CACTGCCTACCACTGCCTACCACTGCCTACCACTGCCTACCACAAGTTTTCGAAAGCGCAATTACGGCGCGCAGTCGCGCCTCGTACTGCGCGCCCCGTGGTGTGTATTCGGAGTATTCGGTGCGCATTCGGTGCTTATGGTGCGCATTCGAAGAGTAGGTCGGCGCCCCGTCTAGAGTCGTCCATGTAAAGAAAGAGTGATTCGCATCATATTGATCTAGGGGAAACAATGTTACGTCTGCTCGCTTGATAACGAGGGAAGAGCAAGGAGTAGACCTCGCGAAGGCGAAGGCCCATCGAGCGGGATTACGCCTGCTCATTTCGAGAAAAGGGGGAAGAAGAAAGGGAAGAACCAGGGGAAGGCGAAGGCTTATCGAACAGGCTTTTGTCTGCTTACTCGGTGAAGGAGGAGAGCTGGGCCTTCGTGATGGGTTTGCGCGGGAACATCATGTCGGGGAAGCGCGTAGGCGAAGGCCCAGCGAGCAGATGATCCTCCTCTACATGCTTTGGGGAGCCGTAAGAATTAGTGACCTCAAGCATGGGCGAACCATGCGGGCTGTGAAAGCCGTGACTACTGATGAGGGCGTGCTCAGGCGAGCTTTGCGGGCTGTACTGTCCTTCCAGGTTGAGTAGTCCCTGCTTCTTTGCGTCCTCCGCCTTTTCCGCTTCGAGATGCTCTCCCAGGTTGGGGCGGTCGATGAGCAATTTACTGATGCGCTTCTTGTCCCAGTTCTGCAACAAAGCCGCGGTTTCATGTTCTCCGGGCGCATTGCTACGCTCGATCTCAATGTTGAAGGGCTCCTCATGCTCCTCAGGTTCCTCAGGCGGAGACTTCGCAGACAGAGATTTCGCAGACGAAGACTTCGCAGACTTTGCAGACTTAAACCTGAATGTCTTCCGCACCTTGTCCCACAACCTCGACGCTTTACTAGCTATTTTGACATGCAATTCTTTGGGGCGTGGTGTGCTGCCAGCGAGGAGCTCAGACCGACCCTTAGCCAGAAGTTTGCTTTCACCTTCACCGCTCATCATCCTTAGGTTATCCATGGATGATTTCCGAACCACGCCGGATTCTTCCGGTCCTGGATTACCGTTTTCATGTCCTCGGTGAAGAAGGGCTCGCTCCTGTGAGCGGGCCTCAGTGTTGCCGTTGCTCTGAGGCCCTGGTGGCATCGGCATCGCGGAAGTGGCGTGGAGGCTGCAGAGCGTGGAGAAGAGAAGGATGAGAACGACCAGAGCCAGCTGGCGATGAGCGCGAGTCGAGAGAGAGAGCATTGTGAAAGAAGAGGGAAAGGGGTGTGTGTGTGTCTGAAAGATTGAATCAGATGAGGAAGACCAGCTTCTTCGTGTCGTTCGCAGATGTAGAGGTGTAGAGAAGGCGGGAATAGTTACCTCAGTGATTGGCTTGCACGAGGAAGACCAGCTTCTTCGTCTTGTTGGTAGAGGTATAGGTGTAGAGAGAGGAGGAGGAAGGGCAAGCAAGTCTCCCTTTTATCCCTTCTAGAGGGCATAAGGCAATTGACAACAAGGGTGATGTCGAGATGGAAGGGGCTTCGTCTCTAGCTATTGACACATGTTGACGCACAATTCTCCGATGCCAGTCACTGTGGCCTACCACTAATTCTGAGGGCGCAAATGCAGCGCGCAGCAGCGCCCCGAGCTCGTGATGTGTATTCGGACGATTTGGTACGCATTCGGATTATTTCGTGTGTGTTCGAAGAGTTGATTGGCGCCCCGTCAAGATGCGTTGCTGTGCGTCAACATGCGTGAACAGCTAAAGACGAAGCCCCCTTCCGTCCCGGCATTACCCTTGTCATCACCTGTGCTTCACGCCCCTTAGAAGGGATAAAAGGGAGACTTGCTTGCCCTTCCTCATTTTCTCTCTACCCCTCCCACTACCAACAAGACGAAGAAGCTGGTCTTCCTCGTGCAAGCCAATCACTGAGGTCACTATTCCCGCCTTCTCTCTATAGCTTTACCTCTGCAAATAAAACGAAGAAGCTGGCCTTCCTCATCTGATTCAATCTTTCAAAACCCCCTCCCCATTTCTTTCACAATGCTCTCTCTCTCGACTCACGCGCACCGCCAGCTGGTTCTGGTTGTTCTCCTCCTGCTCTCCTCCACGCTCTGCAGCCTCCACGCCATTTCCGCGATGCCGATGCCACCAGGGCCTCAGAGCAACGGCAACACTGAGGCCCGCTCACAGGAGCGAGCCCTTCTTCACCGAGGACATGAAAATGGTAGTCCAGGACTACTAAGCGATTTGGCAGCATCCGGCGTTGACTGGAAGCCATCCGGCTATTTGAAGATGAGGAAATCTAACGACGAAAGTGATCATCCGGTTCAGGATCACTTGAAACCTCTCGGTGGCACCAAAGCAGGCCTCAATGTAGACCCAGCGTCGTCGTCGAAGAAATGGTGGAACAAGTGGCGGAACGCGGTAAAGTCAAAGCTTAAGTCAAAGTCTGACAACATTAGGATCGAACATAGCAACAGGCCCGGCCAACATGGTGCCGCACCTCTGTTGCACAACTGGGATCAGCAACAGCACCTGAAGCCGGAGCTAAAGCCGGAGCCAGAGCCGGAGCCAGAGCCGGAGTCAAAGCCGCATTCGCCGCAGCACCAAAGAACAAGCTTGAGCGATCTTCTCGAAGCCGAAAAGGTGTTTGACACCATTGACGAGGAATCACTCAACTTTGTAGGACAGCACACCCCGCATAATTCGCCCGAGCCTGAGTACACCATTAGTCACGGCTCTCACAGCTCACATAGTTCGCCCAAACTTAGGTTCACCAGTCGTCACAGCTCCTCAAAGCATAGAGGGGTAAATTGGGGGGAGGAGCATCCTCTGCTCGCTGGAACATTGCGTTCGCACTTCCCATTGGCGACGTATTAAGCAGACAAAGCCGCGATCGATGGGTCTTCGCCTTGGCCTGGTTCTACCCCTTCCTTTTCCCCTCATTTTTGAAATCAGCAGACATGGAAATGTCTTTCTCTAGATCAATGTGATACGTGTCACTCTTTGTTTACATGGACGACAAGCTTGCCTGAGTGGCCGGGCAGGGCATAGTCGGACTGTCCATGGTCAAAGATGAGCCAACGTGAAGATGGTAAGGGTTGAGAGAAGTTTGACCCACCATGAGCTTGTGAACATCCTTGAGATCGTAGGCCTTGGTCCGACATTCGACACCCTTCTCGGCGACGAGGTCGCACATTTCTTTCGTCAGCGACGCATCGCTGAGGAACGAGCCCTTGATAGTGATGTCCCTGAAGATGAGCTGGAAGCAAGCATCGTCCGTCAGCGCAGCTTCCATGACATGCAGAAGAGTAATTGGCGCTCACAGGGAAGAATGGCACAGGGATCGGATCCTGTGGCTGACCGACGACCATGAAGAGGCCGTGTTTCTTGGTCAATTCGAGTCCAAATTGGAAGGCTGGGATGGCGTCCGTCGTCACAATCACGGCGTCGACCTCGCCCCCGCATTGCTTAACGGCGCCTGCCATTGACGAAGCGTCCTTTACATCGACCTTAGAGCTGTTGAAAGTGACGTCCGGTGGATACTTGAGCGTACGGCACATCTCCAATGGCGGGTCACGACTGTCAATGAGCACGGTCTTGTAGCCGAGGCACTTTGCGAATTGCACGCCTATGTGCGACGGATCAGACCCGGACTCAGACTTGAAAGTACGGTACAAAGGAGTGACTCACCAAGATGACCCAAAGCCCCAGCACCGACAATAGCCACGGACTGTCCAGACGAGAGGTTGCAGCGCTTGATAGCTGCGTAGATGGTCGCGCCTGTTCATCATGAGGACAGGTGAGCAACGAAGAGAAGGTCTACAGAGGTTCACTGTGCAACCCACCTGCACACATAAGAGGAGCAGCAGTGTCAAAGGAGAGATTGTCAGGGAGCTGAATGCAAGACCGGATGTCCACGGCGACGAAGTCGGCCATGGCGCCATCGGTCGTCACGCCGCAGAAGGCGATCTCCGAGCAGAAGATAGACCTGTCGGACTTGCACTCGTCGCATTTGCCGCACGGATTGTTGGAAGTGAGGGAAGCGAGGCGGTCGCCCACCTTAAGGGAGCCATTTGGACCCAGACCCTTTGCTTCGCCTCGTTGGATCATGGCCTCGACTTCAGAACCCCACTGGACTACCTTCCCTGTCGGCTCGTGTGAGGGGACAAGTGGCAGGTCCTTTTGCATCATCTTGTCAAATTCGCCCCGGACAACCATCCTGGAGGGTTTGATGTTGCATAATGAGCACCAACAGGGCTCGAAGTTGGAGCCAGCCAGCCCATCCACTCACATCTCCGTGTGGCAATAGCCCGCCGTCATGGACTTGAGCAGGATCTGATATGGCTCAAGCTTGGGGAGTGGGAGATCCTCACGGTACGTGTACGGCGTCTTTTCTTCCTCGGGCGACTTGGCAAACTTTTCGAGGACGAGTCCCCTCATCTTTGAGGGTAGCGATGATGTGGCAGACATGGGAGCAAGATACGAGGTAGGTAGGATAGAGGGTTGAGATCGATGTCGTCCGACTTGCTGGGCACGGCATAGTGATGTGGAGAGGCTCTTCTGTGGAGGTCCAAGGAAGCCTCGCCAGTCACGCGAAGCGCTATAGTGAAGTGCGCCTCGCCTTTCGTCCCTTGGGTGATAGTACCATGCAAGTGACATAAGGGCAAATATTGAAAGCCCATTCGAAAGAACAGAGGGTAGAAGACTTCATTTGTGCACCGAAGTTCTCCCTTTTGACGCCGGCAATCGGTCGAGAGACTGGGCGGAACGAGGCTAGAGACGTTGTTAGAGAAGATCAAGGGTATAGTCATTGCTAAAGGGCACAAGAGAAAGAAAGAGCAGAGAAAAGAAAGAAGAGATGTAGGTATCGACGGCTGTCGACCGCAGTTCCATGTCCGGCCTCCGTCGAGCTCCATGTCTTGGGAGAGCCGAGAATCGGCTCATCCTCGAAGCACCGACGTCCCTCGGCTCCAGATGGGGCCGATTCGGCCGTTCATGTCATCCTCGCAAGAGAAAGGCCGACTCAGCAAAGCCACGATGAGACGAATCCCACCACGGCTTGGGGCATACAAGATACCGATAGGAGGAAAGGCATTCAGCCATTTTTCCTCCCTCGTGTCTCTTGAAGACGGGAACGCGAGCCTGAAACGGAGAAATGACCCAGGCCCGAACTTTTATGTCTGTGTGAGGGCTATGTCAGCGCCACATTCGCTCCTTTGTCCAAGCTGCAAGGACCAGATAGACGGCTTACCTTCGTGAAAATTGTTCGAAGAGAAGAAGAAGAACCAGTCGAGGGCGGCAGGTGTTTTAACGAAAATTTGCGCAGGCAGATTCATCTCCACGTGGGTTGAGCGCGCGAGCGTGCGCGCCCCTCTCACCTCTGAGTCGCGTCCTAAATGACACTCTTAAATAGACGCGACGGAGCTGTGCAAGGCTCTTCCTGTGAAACCGGCAGGGAACAAAGCTGACGAGAGGAGGAAGAGGAGAACAATCTCCACAACGATGGCACCACCGCAAGCGAGAAAGAGCATTCACAGGCACGGAGGCAAGGCCATTGCCTCAGGGAGTGAGTAAGACTGCTCTGCTACCCTGGAGCCTGACCTGTTGACCCCTCCTCATCCTGCAGATGGCGGCGATACGCCCAAGCGCAAGAAGCCCCGGTTCAGGCCAGGCACAGTCGCCCTGCGAGAGATCCGACACTATCAAAAGTCAACCGAGCTGCTCATTCAGAAGCTGCCGTTTGCGCGCGTGGTCCGGGAGGTGGCCCACGACTTTGTCACGAGCGTCTACCAGAGCGGCGGGGGCGCTGGGCTGAGGTGGCAGTCGAGTGCGATATTGGCACTGCAGGAGGCGACAGAAGTAGGTCTTGCCATGCAGCGTCCGTTCAGTATCACTTCTGACTCAGTGGGAACAGGCTTTCCTCGTCCATCTGTTTGAAGATGCGTGAGTGAACCTTTCTGTATGCGCTGAAGCGCCAATAGCTGACACTTCTTCGCTCCGCTCGGCCTCTGGCAGCAACCTCTGTGCAGTAAGCGTCTAGCTCGGCCCATCCTGCTTCTCCTCACATTCAGCTCACGTTCCTCTCTACAGATCCACGCAAAGCGAGTCACAATCATGAAGCGAGACATGGAGCTCGCGCGGCGCATCCGAGGCATCTGGGGTGGTCTCGGTTGATTCTCCCCGTTGTTTCTTCTTTCCCATATACCTCCTCCCCTTTGGTGACGACTTCCTCATCATGTACAGTACAGTAATTCATAGCATCGTCAAGAATTCCCTTTCTCTCTCAATGTCACCACACGATCGAGCGTCTTGAACAGGGAGATTGCTGTCCTTGGCAGCGCAATATTAGGGGAAGCGAAGACGAATGAGTAGTACAGTAAGGGTATCTGGTCTGGGGCTTCGACAATACTAAATCGGTGTATAAGGAGTAAAAAAAAGTGTCCATCGCTCCTCTCCTCATTGCTGCTGCTGACGAGGAGAGGGTGGATGATGAGAGGAAGGTGATCCTTGCCTCTCCAATTGTTGTTGTAATTGTTGTTGCTGTTGCTGCTGCTGCTGCTGGGGCGTGGGCGGAGGGGGTGTCGGCCAATTGGTAGGCCGAAGCAGGTAGTGGTTTTCAAAGAGGGAGCTCGCGCTCTCCCTGCGATCGATAGTCGGCTGTGCGCTCAGCTGCGAATGATGCTGGCTGCTCTTGCCGCGCGATGTCGACGAAGGCGACGAGGTGGAGCTGTCGGCTCCCTCATTGCTGCCACCGCTGCCACCACCGCCGCCACCACCGCCACCACCGCGAGTTGTGGGCACAGAGAGGGCCATCTCGGGGTCCAAGATTGACGACTCGCCTCCCGCAGAAAAACGTTCGTCATGGGTGGGCGAGATCCTCGATGGGCGCACCGTCAGGGTTGACGCGAGCGGCGGTCGCTGCGAGGTGGGCACAGCTAGAGCCTCTTCGACGTCGTCATCGACATTGAGAACCGTAGCCGAGAAACTCGCGAGTCTGGTCCGGAAGGCCGAGTCTGCGCTGTTGTCATTCTGCGACGGGACTCCTCTCTGCGCTGGTGGCACCTCAAATAGGGGAGGTGTGTGCTGACTGCCTTGCTCCTGCCTGGGGGTGGATACAGACGCACCAGCCGTAGCGTCGCCCGGGCGCCGTCTCTGCAGGAACAGATCGGAGAACTGCTCCTCGGTATCCTTGTCCGTGTTCCAGAGCTCGCGCACAGAGGGGCTCTTGCGGCTGTAGCTGCTGCTGTCCGACGAGGACGAGGTAGTGGTGGCGATGGTCTGGTCCGTGTTTCGCCGGAGCGAGACCACATCTGTCGGCTCCTCTTCCGTCGACGGCCGTTCTTGCTCGGCGGGCGTCGTTGTGGATGAGCCCGCAGCAAAGTACCCGGGCTTGCTCGACGTCGTGTCAAGCAATGGCGGCGTCATAAAGGCCACCGACGAGACAAAGTTTTCCAGGGCAGAGAAGGCTGGCGTGGTAAAGGGCTGCTGTTGGCCCTGCTGCCGTTGCCTTTGCTCCAGGTGCTCCCCAGCGGTTGGCACATCTTCGTTGCGACTCGAGGTGCTGGACCTCATCTTGCGAGGCGGTGGCGCCGGGAGCGACGTTCCAAAGGACGGCGCCACCGTGTACGATGAGCCCAGACCAGATCCCGGGAATGCCGAGGCCGTCGAGACTTGACCACCACGCCTGCTTCTGGTCTCCGAGGCACTTGGTGCGGGAAAGAGGCTAACGTCGTTCTGCGGAGGGGTGCTGAGAAGGTAGCTCTGCCTGTCGATTGCCTGCCTGCCTGCCACGCCCGTGTCCAGCTGAGGCGCTTCTTCATCACCGAGGTAGGGCCTTGGCGAGGAGTACGCGACGCCATATTGGCCCTTGCCACCGCTGCCGTCACCGCCACCACCACCACTGCCGCCACCACTGCCGCCACGACCACCACCACCGTGGAGAGTAGCGACGGGCATCTCGTCGCCCCTTCGGGCAATGATGAATGGCTCGTCGGAAACGAGCGTCCTGGTGTCCGCCTTGCTTTGGTCTGGCATAGCGCTGAGCCTGCGCGTCTGTGTGCTAATCGTGTTTGCTCTCGGCCGCGGCTGTCGTTGTCGAGCCTGTGTCAGTCAATGCATCATCGCAGCGCACACATACGTTCGGAGACTTAAAACTTACTTTGCCTGAGCGAGCCGAAAAGCAGCCGGCCTCGTCTCCCTGACTCCTCGTACGACCATGTTGTCCGCTGGTGGCCCCGCTCCCACCACCACCACCACCGCCGCCGCCGCAGACGGCGCTCTTTCTGAGAAAGGAAAAGCTGGTGGGCGCTGGCGACGTGAGCTCCTCTTCAAACCGCGTCCGCTTCTCCACGTCGACGGCCAAGTCCGGCGAGCTTTTCGCATAGCGAACCCGACGACGCTGGCCGTCAGCGTCGTCGGCCGCCGACTTGTTTGTTGCGGCGCCCAGCTGACTGCCGCCAGTCCTCATTTGGCGGCTGGGGTTCCTGCGCTTGTGCTCTGCGGTGCCAAAGCTCCTCTGGTGCTGCCGGCGCCATCGTTCCCTCTCCTCTTCGAGCGCCTGGCCCTGGGCAATGACGGTGGCCAAGTCTGGCGTGTCTGGCTCGTCCCACTCCTCTTCGCGGCCCGACGAGGGAGTGAGGTGGGGGGTGGGCAAGGGCGGAGCGTCAAAGAGGCTGCGCAGCGCTCTGCTCTGCCTCCGCTGCTCATTACCTCCCAGTGCGTCTAAAGACTCCGCCGGTGGCTCAGGAGGCATACGATGGTGGAACAGCGGTCGGTGATGACGGTCGCGCAGGCTCGAGTCTCGATCGGGGATGACGAGCGAGGAGGCGAGGACCTGCTGTGCGCGGACACGAGCGCGCATGTCTGGCGCACTCTTTGTATGCACCCGGTTTCGCTCCAGGCTCACGGCCTGCGGCTCGTGCGACTTTGGAGGAAACGCATACAAGGGTGTTTGCTGCTGCTGCTGCTGCTGCTTGAGCGATGGCTTAGGCATGAGCACGCGCTGGCAGCCATCCTTTGCTTCGAGGTAGCCGCTGTTGTCTGCGTCGTGCGCCTCGAGCTCGTCGAGGTGGAGCTGCTGCAGCAGGCGGTAGCTCCTGCTTGCCTGCTCGCGCTCCAGCTGGGCCGCCCTCTCCTGCGCAGAGAGCATCCTGGATCGCAGGGGTGCGCCGTTGGGGGAATCAAACGAGGTGCCGTCGCGCGGAGAGGAGCCAGGGATGGGCGACAGGACCGCCTTCTGGTCCTCGCCCGTCCTTTTTTCGAGCACCTTTGCCCACTGCGCTTCGTCGGCGTCTGCCATCTTGGATCTCCGCTCCTCTTCTCGCCACTGTCTCGACGACGACGACGACGACGACGGGGCGAGTTGGAGGCGTGCGGGCGTCTTTCCCTCGTGGAACGGGCGCGTGGGCTGCTGCTGCTGAGACGCCAACATCCGATTGGCCTCGTCTCTCGAGGACGGCCGTTGGGCGGCGGCGACGACGGACGGCTCTCTCAAGCTCGTCATGCTCGTGCTCGCACTGTGGCTCGTCCTGCCGCCAAAGGCAGACGAAGCGACGTCGCCGTCTGATGACGAGAGCGAGTTGCTGGTCGAATGCTGCTTGCTCAGGCTCTTGGACGCGGACGGTGCTTGCGGCGGCGGTGGCGGTGGCGGTGGCGGCGGCAGCGGCAGAGGCAGAGGCAGAGGCGCTGCTCGGTACTCGTGTGGCAGCATTGTCCTGCGCTTCGACGAGGATGTCGTCTCGCTGCCACCAGCGCGAAGGAGGGCAGGGAGGTAGGACTGGTGGGCAAACGAGGGCGTCTCGATGGGCTGGTCTCTGTGGGCGCTGTGGTCGTACGCGACGGGCAGACCAAAGCCCATGTTGGGCGTCGACCGTGGGGTGGGCACCGTGGGCACCGTCGCAACAGGGTTGGCTGCAGCAGGAGCCAAGGTGTTGGACGGCTGAGCAGCAGCGCCGCTTGGGGTAGACGAGAGTGGACCAGCGAGGTAGGTGCGCTCCTTGTTGCTGCGGTCGCCAGCGTCTCGCGAAGTGGGCCGCGATTGCGATGCGACGAGGCCCAGTCCGAGGACCGGCTGGGCCAACGACGGCGGCGTGGTCGCGGCCGACGAGCTGGCGTGCGCAAACGAGGAGCCGACCGAGGAGCGGAGGTGCGGCGCAAAGTGCGAGGTGGCGTACGAAGATGCCGGTGTGTTGATGGACGACGAAGGGGGTGGGGGCGAAATGGGCCCGCGATAGGGGATAAAGTCGCTGTCGTTGCTCTGTGAGCCGCTCATGCCTCGCAGCCTGCTAAACGTCCCACCCGAGCCCGAGTATCTCGCTGCTGCCGACTGCCTCCCCTTTGCGCCTCGTCCTGGGGATGAAGGCGACGAGGGCGCGTTGCTGAAGTGTTCGCTGTCAGGAAAGAAGGGCGATGCCCCTGACGGCGGCGGCAGCGGAGGCGGCGGCGGCGGCGGCGACTGCAGGCCTCGGTAGAGGGGCGACGCTGAAGACGGCGGCGAAGTGTCAAAGTGGGCAGCCGTGGCCGTGGCGCTCTTCTTGAGCTCCTTGGAGGACGACGACTTGCGCAGGGGATTGACCATGTTGGTCAGCCGGTTGCGCGGCAGTGTCGACGACGACGGCGACGACGACGACGACGTCGATGCCGCGGCCGCATTGGCTTGTGGCTGGGCAGCTATCGAGTGCATCTTTGGGTATCTCTATAGGGGCTCGCTTCCTCGTTGCTATGCGAAAGCGCTCATGGATGGGCGCGCGAGCGGGCAGGCGAGCGGGCAGACGGCGTGAGTGCTGAAGCTGATGAGTGCGCGCGAGAGAGAGAGAGAGAGCGCGTCAGAAGAGGATCTACAGGCCTGAGACACTAGTGGGCCACTAGGCATGGGCATCCAACTCACTCAAGACACGCCGCTTCCGACTCGAGATCTTGGGCCAGGGAAGCGGACGATGGGTGATGGACGAGCGGTGGCGGTGGACAATCCCGGCGACGTGCAATCACCGCTGGGTGAAAAGAAGTTCTAAAATAGGACGTAGGAGAAGGAGGGGGTTGGAAAAAATAAAATAAGAAGGCCGCGGCGGGGGTGGGTGGCGTCTATTCAAAAACAACAAACACGTCGATATGGCACACCCAATGAGCACGGGTTGAGGATGGAGCAGCAGCAGCAGCAGCAGCAGCAGCAGCACATCAACCTACCTCTCTCCATCTGCAGCAGCCCCTCCCTTTCCCGGCAACTTGCGAGAGGAGAACAGGGGCGGCAGAAATCGAACCGCTTCAATCGTACAGCAAGGCCCCCCCTAGCTTCTTTGGGCAAAGCGGTCCCTACACTAGTGTGTAGCTAGCTGCACACTGGCTAGCTCGAGGTGTCGACTAACTACGTAATGTATTATTGATATCATATATAGCCTATCAATAAATAAGAGCGGACTCCTTCCTAAAGGAGCCAATATTCAAGAAAGAATGGGAAATACTCGACAGTGACGGGACAAGTAGCCAAAACAAACAAACCGATGGCCTAGCCTGTCACATCTCCGCTCCGAAAGTAGCCGCAAAATGGTCATTATTGTACTGCACTACACGTACTGCACTATGCTGCACTCTACTACGTACTCATGCACTACTAGTAGTCGCAGCTTGAAATGTGACTTGGTATTCGGGCGGAAGCGCCGTGCATGGGATGCAGTCCTTCACTTGGCAGCGCCCAGGTGGGGGTGGACGAAACCCTTTGCAGGCAGACGAAAGCGGCTCCCCCCTTTTTCTCTTCTTGGAAGGCGCCCACAGATATAGACACATGCAGGGGCTCAGCAGCGTGTGAGCACAATGCTGCAGCAGCGGCTATTGAGCAAGCAGTCATTCCCACGACGAAGACGCGCAAAGTCGATAGCACGGACCCCTCAGCATGCGAATTAAAGCGTTCGGCTTGTGGAGAGCTGCTGGAGACTCAGACACTGGCCGAGCTCTTTGTTGAGAGTGTGGAACATGTATTGATCATGAATTTGAGTAGACAGAGGAGAGGACGACGAAGCGACAAGAGGACATCATGGAGTAGAAGAGGACGGTAAATGAAGAGGGAACGGTGGCGAGGAGAGAAATGATGGCGAGAAGGGAAACAGTGGACGGGAGAAGAGAGAAGAGATGTAGAAGACTTTTGGAGAGGTCAGACGATCAAACGACGACGATTGCCTGGCCTTGGGGAAGTTGCAAAAGTGACTGGACGGGCTGCTCTACCTCGTCCATCACGGTGTTCTTCGATGTCGAAAAGGGAGGTTCAGACGAGATCGTCAAGTGCCTGGGGCTTGCCTCGGCCCCGTGGGCGCCGATTGCTTTACCGAGCAAAGCCAGGGTCGCACGCGAGAGCTCGCCAGCCTTCTGGACCGTTGCGATCTCATTCTGCACCTCAGATTCGCGAGCCTTCGTAGACAGCATGCGGGGTGGTATCGGACGCTCGTCGACGTCGATACTGACCCACATGGGCTTGCTGTGGTTCTCGTCACCTTCGCCTGTGACCGAGCTGGGAAGCATTCGCTTGGCGTGGTGCTGCTCGTAATCTTCCAGTGCTTCCTCAGGCTCTCCGCGACGGAGCAGGTGACGCTCATCAGCCTCGACGGGCACACTCGACGACTTGACCACGCGCTTTTCCATCCGAGGCGGGAGATGGCGCTCGGACGCTCCTGCATCGTCATCATCCCAAACGCTCCGCTTTGCCGCGACTGCCGTCACTGGAGCAACGGTCTCTGGAGCGGCAGCGACTGGAGGTTTGGGATTGGGGTGAAAATGTTTGTAAATCATCGTCCCCACACCCAAGACGGCACCGGCGACAATGGCGGCGCCCCCCACTTTCTGCTTTGTCGAGTAGACCCCTGGGGGCAGCTTTGGTTTTTGCAGGTGTGTCTCTGGCGTGCCGTGAGGGTGGAGAGGTGACGTACCGTGAGAATGCGGCTGCTCATGAGGATGTGGCTGCTCAGGCTGCTCAGGGCCGCCGCCGCCGCGCTTCATCAGGGCATCGGCCCAGCCCTTAGCCATGCTAGTGCCGAAAGTGGGTTCCCCGCTGCCGTCTGAACCAGTCACGTCGTGGACCTGAAGAGGAGCAGCAGCAACAGCAGCAGCATCTCCGCCCTCTTCTTCTTTGCTGTCTCCGGGCCAAGAGCGTCGGAAAAGGGGCATGTTGTAGGGGTCGAGTTTTTCGTTGGGGTCATGAGCGTGAGCCTGTTGATATGCATAGATGGTCCCTGCCGTGAGCGCCGCGCCCGCACCACTCGCAGCCAGCAGCTTCGCCACCCCTGCGCTTGTCAGAGCCCGGCGCCGGAGGGACCCGTGCTCGTCTTCGCTATCGCTTCGGGCCTTTTCGTGCATACCAGCCATGAGTTTGAGATGTGGATCGGTAAATGGAGTCGACTGCAGTTTGAGCAGTCCCTGGTGTGAATGCTTATGACTACTTCTAGCCACCTTGTGCTCCGTATGGGAGGAGGTTGCTGGCTCCTTTCCCTTGGTGTTCACATTCTTGGCCCCTGTGTGAGTTTTATGATCGTCACTGCCTGAACCATGGACGTGGGAGGCATCAAAGAAGTGATGTGAGTGGGCAAGATCATGAGCGTGCGGAATAGATTTCCCGTGAGCACCTCTGTAGTGTGGGCTTGCGTGCTCGGGCCCGCTGTGATGATCTTCATCCGTTTCGCTTGGGGTCGACTCGTAGCAGCCCGGGTGGATGTCCCAAGGCTCGACAGCCAAATATGAGCAATCCCCTCGAGCTCCCCGCCATCTCCAAACGTCGTAATCTTCCTCTTCCTCTTCCTCTTCGCCTTGGCTTGGATACCAGACATGTCCAAGAAAATCTGGATGATGTGCCATGTCGCTGTGGTCTGATGTCACTGAGGAAGTGGATGACACTGACGAAGGTGATGACACTGACGAAGGTGATGACACTGACGAACGTGATGACACTGACGAACGTGATGACACTGACGAACGTGAGAACACTGACGAAGGTGATGACACTGACGAAGGTGATGACACCGACGAATGTGATGACCATGGCGAGGTGTATGATGTCGTTGGCGAAGTCTGCGCCGATGAAGAACTCATCCATGGGTCAATATGTGGTACATTTGGCGAATGCGGCATCGATGCCGAAGACTGTGGTGTCCACGGCGCATATAGTAAATTTTGCAAAGTTGGTGACAGCTCAGGTGGTGTCCATCGGTAATTACTGGACGTCCCTGATGGGGGTGTTTCCCAGTGCGAAGAAGAACGTGATGACCCGGGCGAATATCCAGGCTCGGAAGATGTAGGCGATTGTGCTGATGGTGACCGTCCCTTATTACCATGGCTAGGTCCTGCTGTTTGTTCATCGGCGAAGTTTCGTTAGAGAAGGGCAAAGTTCGTAGAAATACGGTTCAGTCCGGGAGTCTGTCAGATGTCCCACGCTATGCTTCTACTCACCCTGATGTCCCTTGTGAGGCTGCGAATGCGGGCTTGCTGGCTCCACAACATTCTCATTAGCATGTGTCTTGGTCTTGATCCTCCGAAGGGGCGGCATTTCATCAATCTCGAGGGGGTTGCCCGGTTCCATGGGGCTGCGCTTGAACATGCTGCCGGGCGAGCGCGAGTGGTGCTCGAATCCAAAAGCGCTACCATCAGGGATCGCAGCGGTCTCTTGTGGCTCAGCCCAGATGTGGAGTCTCGTGCCCCCGTCACTTTGGACGCGGTGTGCGCCACCGACGGAGTGATAGGATCGCAGAACACGACGACCCTGCGGAATATTTTTCTCGTGCTCATGCGTTTGTGCGCTTCCGTGGTGCGGGCTTGCGCGCTCGGATCCGGGGTGGTAATCCTCTTCATTATCACTCGGAGCCAACTCGCCGTAATCCGAAGGCTCCTCGTGCAGACGGTACCATTTGTTTGATCGTGACAGGGGTTTCCAGCCGGGCTTATGCAAGTCTGTACGATCGAGCTGGCGTAACATGGCGCTATAATTCTGTTCCAGGGCCTTCCTAACCTCTGGTGAACTTGGCAGATGCGGTGAATCTGGTGATGAGCTTTGTGGTGAGCTTTGTGGTGAGCCTTGCGGGTGTGTTGTCCCAGGCCAACGTGGCGACCCGTGCAAAGATGATGTCGACCAAAGCGAATCAAACGGTGACCAAGGCGCAGCTATTGGTGACCCATGCGGAGCTTGAGGCGTCTTCAGCGTATCTGGTTGCCATGGCAAAGGTGGTGGCATGTGATCCAAAAAGGAATGTGATGACTCCGACGGACTTGGTGTCCGTTGCGAAGAATGTGGTGTCCCTGGGGGAGATACTGGTCGTGAAGATGTTGGCGATCGCGCTGATGGTGACCATCCCTCAATACCACGGCTAAGTCGTGCTGTTTGTTCATCGGTGGAAATTCGCAAGAGATGGCAAAAATCGTAGAGATAGCGGCTTAGTTCTGGATCTTGCCGCATCAGATGTCCCAGGCTATGCCTCTACTCACCTTCCTTGCCCTTGTGATGCTGCGAATGCGGGCTTGCTGGCTCCATAATGTTCTCGCTTACTTGCGCCTTGGTCTTGATCCTCCGAAGTGGCGGCATGCCGTCGAACTCGATGAGGTTGCCCCCAAACATGGGGCTGCGCCTGACTATGTGGTCGTGCGAATGCTGGTGGAGCTCGGGCCCACTAGCACCCTGAGGGCCACCGACGGAGTGATGTGAGTGGGTTACACCATGACCATGGGAACCATGCTCATGCGTTCGTGCACCTTTGTGGTGCGATCTTGCATGCTCGTTCCCGGAATTATATTCCTCGGTCTCGGAGTGATGATCTTCGGTTGCGGAATGATAATCCTCATCCATGTCGTCGCTTAGAGCCGACTGGTAATCACTTGAACCAACGTCCGAGTGTTCGACGGCCGGATCGTAAATTTGCGTCTGGTGCTGGTGCTGGTGCTGTCCCCACGGTGGAAGTTTCCGGCCCTCGCTCTCATGACCATCAACATGATAGCCTTCGGGATTGAAATCCGAATGTTCTGGCCATTTCTGCTGAAATCCTTTCAGCAAATCCTTATGAAGTTGACGCAATTGCGCAGATGAACGAAATGGCGAAGGTAGTGGTACAGGCGAAATCGATGACACAGACGAAATCGATGAAAGAGGCGAGATCGGTGGCACAGGCGAAATCGGTGGCACAGGCGAAATCGGTGGCACAGGCGAAATCGGTGACAATGACAAATTTTCAGGCCGCGGAGACTGAGGCCATTGCGTTGATGGTCTTTTTTCATCGCCACGGCTGTGTTCTGCTGTTTGTTCATCGACGCAATTTTGTAAGGGATCGGCGAAATCATAGAGGGCTAAGCTCAGCCTCAGAGTCTGAAGAATTAGACGTCCCAATCCACACTTTTGCTCACCTTCATTTCCCTCGTGTTTCTGCGAATGCGCGCTTGCCAGCTCCATGGCACCCTCTTCTCCTTCATGCGTCTTGGTCCTGACCCTCGGAAGGCGCGAGGTGACACTGCGGTCGCCATCGGGCTCTCCCTGATCCATGGGGCTACGCTTGAATATGCCGCCGGGTGAGCGCGAGTGGTGCTCGGATCCAACAGCTCCCTGAGGGCCACCTACGGAGTGACGGAAATAAGCTACACGATGACCCTGCGGAACGGTTTTCCCATGCTCATGCATTTGTGCACCTCCGTGGTGTAGGCTTGCGTGCTCGGCTTCGGTGTGATAATGTTCTTCATTCGAATCGCTCGGGAAGGGCTGGTCGAGGAGTGGATCCCAGTCATAATCCTCGACGGGCAGACGGTACATCACCTTTGGCCCTGGCGGAGGTTTCCAGCCTGGCTTGCCATAATCCTCGAGTTGCTTATGAAAGTCTTCATATGCGATTTGTGCCGACTTTAATGCTTCTTCTTCCGTTTCAGGGAACGGTATTCCTGCCGAATGTGTTGACCAGTGCACATGTGGTGACCCTGGCGAAGGTTCGTCGACGCAATATCGAAAGAGATTGCAACAAATCGCAGAGCTTAGTCCCGGAGTCTGTTGCATCAGAAGTCCCACCCTATGTTCATGCTCACCTTCATTTCCCTTGTGCTTCTTCGGATGCGGACCTACCGGCTCCTTGCCATTCTCCCTAGCATGTTTCTTGGTGTCGGGTTTCGCAGGCTGCGGCACGCCATCGATCTCCATATGGTCGTCTCCGCCTTCCCGCTTCGCCAAGGAGCTACGCTTGAACATCGTTTCCTCATTTTCCCCGTCAGCCTCCTCTGCGAGATCGTGGCGTGTGCGACCCTCGACGGGGTGGTAGTCGCGCTTAGCAACAGCAGGAACGAGAGGAGGAGACGCCATACTGTGCATTCCGGGCATGTGGTAGACCTGGGCGTGGATGTAGGGATAGCGAGATGCGGCCTCTCGCTCGGACTTTTCTGACTCTTTCTTCTCCTCCAATCCCACCGACTGCATGACCTGGTGTGCACCATGGAGTACCAGAGGCGTAAGGGTACCGGCGAGCATGCCAGCCATGGTCCCAGTCGCAATCATCTTGCCCATGCCGCCACCGGCCTTTGGCAATGGATGGGGATAACCGGTGGCGATGTGCTGGGGATTGTGGTGCGTCGGGTTCGGGTGCACGGGCGGGGGCGTCTCGTGTGGCGGAGTGGTGTGTACATGGGGTTGGGGAGTGGTCTGCACAGGGGGGGTCAAAGTGGGCTGCACTTGGTGTGGCGGGACGATAGGCTCGTGTGGTTGCGGACCGGTGGAACCATGGTGTGGTGGAGTGACGGGAGCACGGTGTGGTTGAGTGTTGGGATCATGGTGCGGTGGGGTGTTGGGCTCATGGTCTGGCGGAGTGTTGTGCTCCGTGTTTGTCAGAGCCAGACGCTCCTGGTATGGCAGAGCCGGATTCTGCTGGTGTGGCACAGTATTGTGCCCCTTGTGTGGTGAAGCAATAATCTTCTCATCCTGTGGCGTAGTATACTTCTTTGGCGGTGGATCTTCGTACTTTCCCGACCGCTCCTTGATAGGAGATCTACGGAAGATGTGATGCTCGCTCCCGTTATCTTCGCTCGCCATTTCGGGATACTCGGTGCTTTCGAGATCGTTGTCGTCGACGGAACGCTTGTGGATCTTCTTGACGAGACCGGCAATGCTCTTGACGGCCTTGGGGCCATGCTCCATAAGCAGCGAGCCGCCGGTGAGGGCCGCGCTCAAGAAGCGGGGCTGCAGGCGCTCACCGTCGTCGCCACCGTCGTCGTGGTTGTCGCTGAGCACGATGGACGAGGTGGGCAGCTCCTGGAGCAAGTCCTCGGAAACTACGTCAATGCGATGGTGTATGGGCATAGGCTGCAATTAAATGCAGGTCAACATCACCCGCCTCCTTTCTTGGCCAAAGAGCATGGACTCACCTGGATGCTATCCACGATAAGCTTGTTGTCGTCAGTACCGCTGGCGTCACCTTCTAAGTCGACGACGAGCACGTCTCGCTTTTGGACGGGGATTCCTCCGCCCAGTCTAGCTGCGTCGGCTCGCCACTCGTTCTCTTTATTTTTCATGTCATTATGGAAGGTCTGCAACGCGTTTTCGTACCTTGCTTCGGCGCAGCGTTGGGGGTGCCTGAGACACATGGCCGAGCTCTTGAGCTTGCTTTCAACATTGTGATAGCCGTTGATGACCTTCTTTTTGGTGCAAGCAATGGGATTGCGAGCGCAGTTGGCCACGGCTTTGACCCTGTCGCCTGCGAGATGGATCTCTTCTTCGACGTGATGGAGCCTGCTCTTGGCCGCAGCCTCGGTACAATCCACGGGATTGAGAGCGCACTTGGCGCCGTACTTGACCTCACTCTGGAGCTTGCCCAGACCGGCATCAACCAGTTTGCGCGCGTCTTGCGCACCCTCATTGACTGGAGGAGATGGGTGAGCGGCGACAAGCGGAGAGGTAGTTAGGAAGAGCGAAAAGAGCAAGAGACGGCCGAGGGCCTTTGTACGAGGAGCGATGGCCAGCATCGCTCGCTCGAATGAGAGAGCTGAGAATGTGGGAGAAGAAGGAGATGGGGTGAGAGAAAAAAAAAGGGAGGGAAGAAGAAAGGCAGCCCCTTATATCTCCTCGAGAACGCCACCCCATCGTGGTACTCTTCAGCCCATTGCAATGTGCCTTGACACAGCCGCGGCTCGGGCCGTTGCTGTTGACTGGCTCGCTTGCCTGTTGTTTTCCTCCCTCCTTTCCCTCTTCTCCCTTTTCTTGCCGGGGCTCACGGTCGAACACTCGCACGCCGATGTTTTTGGCAAGAAAAAGACGCGTTCGCCCCGTTACGCCCTGTGTTTTTCTACTGTACTGTGCAGTCGCCTCGCTGAACAGGTCGATTGAACTGAATGACGCAACTGCTGCCATTTGCCAGGAGTCATTGAGTCATTTCGAGTAAGGCTCCGAGGGCGACGGGTCACACAAAACACCAGAAAAAAACCCTCGCTGTCTGCTCGCCACCGCCTCTGCCCGCCCCCTCTCCTCCCCGGCGCCTCCGCCGCAAGAGCGAGGGCAGCTGGGGCTGCACCGTTGGCTGTTGTTGTGGTGGAAACAAAGCAGCATTGCCAGCCCAAGAACAACAAGAGGCGAGGCGTCGATCTGGCAACAAGGCGCATGCTTATCTGGACTATCCAACAGTCTGCTCATCGACGACGAGCCTGAGTCTGTCGTGTCCCGGTGCCCAGAAGCAGACGAGACCCCTGAGGTCGAGTGCCTTGATCGGTTCCGGATAGGCCCACGCAATGTTCTCCAGCTGACTGCCCTCCTTTTCCCCATCGCTCGCGAGATGCACCGTTGAGTAACGAGCCACGCCCTTGTAAGGACACACCGTCCGCAGTCCGTCGTCGGGAAACTCCTTTGCCGATGCGCCTGCCCTTGGCACGAGCGAGTCGGGCTTCACAATTGCCTCGGGCGGAAGATACCACCTCGTTGGATAGCCCGTCTCGAACAAGGCGACGACTGGCTTGCCCTTTGAGTCTGCGATGAGGACGTCTTCCTCATGGGTGGAGGCGCCTGGTGCCCTTGTTGCATAGATCTGGACATGGCGGCGCGACGTGACAATGTCGACTCGGTGGTAGGGATTCTTGACGCCACCCAGCACCTTATCGTCCTCCTCGTACACGCTCCCAAATGCCGAAACGTTGAGCACGACGAGGCGATCCGGCGCAGGCACGTCGCGCGGTGTCGCGGCGGTCAGCGGTGTGTCGCCACGGTAGGACCAGCCACAGGCGGAGGAGAAGGAGGCGGAGGATGTGGACGAGAGGAAGTCCTTGCCGTCGGCCGAGCCAACTTGGATGATGTAGGTCTCGCTGGCCAGTTCCGAGGGGCTCTTGGCATCCTTTGGCGCCGCTACAAGACCGGTATACTCGCCTTCTGCTCCCTTTACAAAGAGGATGTCCTCCCTGGGCACGGCCAGGCGTGGACTCTTCGACTCGCCCTCCCAGAGCAGAAAGGCAGCCGCGCTCTGCACTATAGGCCGGTGTCCAGAGTCCTTGCTGCTCGCCAGGAAGAAGCGGTAGGCTCGTGGGGAAGGCTCGATGTGGAGCTTCCCCTTGGTGTCCTGTGTGCCCGCACGCAACACAGGCGTCGTGTGATGGACCATCGTAAATTTTGCTTTCTGAGCTCGTAGTTGGCCGAAGTTGAGTCTTCGAAAGAGGTGAAGCTTCTGTGAGTTCATTGTTGGTCTGGTGCTTTTATGGCACAGAGAGTGTGCTTTGACACTCACCTCTCTTCGGACTTAAGTGACTTTTTAGAGTGGTGTCGGATACCGGTTCCGAGGCTTTAGCTCGCATTTGCGCTCGGAGTTGCGCTCGGGTTTCTGCTCCTAAGGGCCTTGATAGCGTTTCCTTCGTTGCGCTCCTCGTTGAAGCCTTAGAGCACACGCTCCGGGGTCTCTTCTCTCTTGGTGTGGTGCTTGTAGCTTGCACTGGCACACATGTCTGTCTTTGCAATTGGACAATTTCCCCGGATCACAGGGCTGTCCAATGTGGAGGGAGAGGGTCGAGCTACACCGACATTGTTCTGTCATGCACGGCCTGTTGGACCACTAATGTGACAAGGACGCTTGCCTCCATCTGCATAGTATAGAAGGCAACACGCAAACATGGCGACCTCGTTGCAAGGCCTGACGTGGCACGTCGAGTACGATGTCGCGCAGCCGCCGCCAAGGCCGTCGCCGAAGCACCTGCGCTTCGTCTTTGTCAGCGACACGCATTCGACGCAGCCCGATGTGCCAGAGGGGGTGAGGAGGAGTAGTGTTAGTGACAGCAGGAGGCGTGGGGCTGACAACGCTCGTTTTGGGCCCTTTGCCTCGTCAGGATGCCCTCTTCCACAGCGGCGATCTCACCGACTTGGGCTCGACGCCCTCCTTTCAGCACCAGCTCGCGTGGCTCGCGTCGCTGCCCCATGCGCACAAGTTCATCATCGCAGGCAACCACGACTTTGGGGCGTGCACCCGCGACGACTGGTACGGCCGCGTCGGCCGTAAGATCCACGAAAAGTATGCCGTTCCCGCGGCAGACACGGCTGCGGTGCGCGGCGCCCTCGCGGCATTCGAGGCCACGCCCGACAAGCAGCACCGCTACCTCGAGGATCAAGTCGCCGAATTCGAGCTCGGCGGCAGAAGGTGGTCCGTCTACGGGAGTCCCTGGAGTCCCGTCTTTGGCGGCTGGGCCTGGAACTATGAACGCGGCCAAGAGGTAGGTATTCATATGCGCAGGGGATAGGTCCCCAGTCTCTGACGTCTGCTGGGGCTTCTCATCAGGCCGAGGAAGTCTACAAAGACGTGCCGCCAAAGGTCGACATTCTCCTCACCCACAGCCCGCCGCATACCTTTGGCAACCTCGATGTCCTGACCGACGGCAAGACCCACGTCGGCTGCGAGGTGCTGCGCGACAAAATGGCCAATGGAGACCTCAGACCGCTGATCCATTCCTTTGGCCATATTCACGGTGAGTAGGTGCAACCTTGCATCCCCCTATCTCCCCCGTTTCGCAGGGACAAGAGAGCTGAGTAGGCGAGAGCAGAGGCGTGGGGCACACACGCGGAAAAGTGGGAGGCAAGCACCGACGAGACGCTCCTCATCAACGCCGCCGTTGTCGAGTTCGACATGGGCGCCTTTGTCCAGGAGAAGAGATGTGCGTTTACAGACCGCTCTTCATTACCTTTCTTCAGCCCCTAGAAGATCGTTAGTTGACCTGTGCCGCCTTCTGCTCTCACCTCGACCAGTGCATTACAAGCTCGTTCATCCGTCAGTGTCTCCCCACTGCCTCCTTGCGTGCTGTCTACATGCATTCACTGACAAGCCGTCACCAACAGCCCCGTCATCGTTGACGTTGATCCCTCTCAGATCCATAGGAAAGCCAACGCAGAAGCTCGCTGAATAGATGACCAGAATTGATAATGTTGATGTATATAGTCCGTACAGGTGACGATGTGGGAAGGGAACAGAAAAGAAGGGAAAAGCGGGCCTAGTATGCTCAGCTCAGGCGTGGGCCTGGTTGAGGACCTGCTGGTAGAGCTGCTGGGTGGGCAGCATGTCGGCCGGCCGCTTGACGAGCCACATGACCGACTTTGACGCGCCCACAGCGCCATTACCTCCGTCGTTGTACATCTGCACCGCCCAAGCAGTCTGTCCGGCGGGCAGGAAGCCCGGGTGGTTATCTTGGTATGTGACCCACTGGGGAATGAGCTCGAACCTGGGCGCGAGAGGAATTCGACGTGGTCAATTTTAATTGTGTTGCGGGAAAGAAAGGACCAATGGTGGTGGCACTCACTGGTTGTAGACGTAGGTCTTGATCGACTGCGCACCGCAGGGATCCATGATCTGGACGTATCCATCTGGGGCAAATGGCGTTAGTGAGATGGAGTTGTTGGCGTTGAACGAGTAGGTGCCGTGCTGCCATGTCAGGGCCGCTGTGAAACATCGGTTCATGGATGCTGTTGTACGATTCTAATTGTCAACGAGCAAGTCTAAACAGGCACAAGAGAAGCACACTCACGATTCGACTTGTAGGTGAACGTCGACGTCTCAAAGAAGCCGTCATCGGTGAAGCTGTACGAGATGCCCGACGTGGCCGGTACTGTGAAGTTCTTTGTGATGGGGTTGAAGAAGTCCTGCGCAAGGAGCAGTCAGCTTGCCTGACCAAGAAGGGTTTTCCATATAGACAGGACGCACCAGGCCAGTCTTGACATTGCCAGACCCGCTGGACCAGGTGCCAGAGAGGGAGGTCTGGTTCTGGATAGCGGTAAAGTCTGATTGCGGGTTGAAGGTGTTGTCGACTGTCGCTTGGGCCTGAGCGGCGGCCGACACCATGACAAGGGCCAGCACAACAGAGCCGATTAGGAAACGGACGAGTGCTCTGGGTCGTTGCGCCGCTCGATTTGACCCGACTGCTTGTGCTTTCGACATGATGTATCGAGTCGTGCCAGGAGCGCAGGGGCAGACAGGCTTCGGAGGAAGTGTGGTGAAAAAGATGAGGCAGACCGAGATCGATCGGACGAAGGGGCCTGTGTCGAGGCACTCCGTGGCGCGCGTACGCTTAGGGATCCGGGCGATCGAACGACGCAAGAACCTTGGCTTCTTGGATTTTCTCCTCCTAACGGCTAAATTCAACTTTTATTTTGAATACGGAGACCAAGGTCGGTTAAGAGTCAATCGGAGAAGAGCTCGCCGATGTCGAAGAGCTGCGCTCGGTGACAGAGGAGGGAGCCAGGGTGTAGAGAAGCGGATGCTGTGGCGCGGCGATGGGTGGGGGCGGTGACGGAGAGGTGCAAAGGAGAGAAAGGGAGAGAGCGACTGCGTGGTTCGAATTAAAAGTTGCAAAAAGGAGCGTCTGCATAGGGCGGTCCGCTAAGGGAGCTAGCGTGCTTGTCAAAAGGAAATCAGCACACGCACGGAGAATTCGACTGGCCGTTCCAAAACAGTAACAAATGGGCTTCCTTTTCGGAGAGGAAGGCGATGAGTGTTACGTAAGCCAATTTTGGTTTCTCCATGTATAAATTTTGGAGGGACGGAGTCGTTGGCGACGCTTCCAGTGGCCAAGCCGCCATGTCGATGTCTGAGCTGCTCAGCATCGGACGGAACGATGAAGGTGTGAAGAGGGGCGGCTTGCGTGGTATCGGTGTCGGAGCACCTGTGCGGCGAGGTCTTGTTGAAGAAGTCGGGCAGGAGGGCGCGCGAACACCGCCTTTAGATCCGGTGGCTCAGCAGGAGCAGGAGCAGGAGCAGGAGCGGCAAGCACGACACTCTTCAAAGCCAAGGCCCAAATGTGCAATGTGAGCATGCCCCACTCGAATCTCGTGTCTCCTTGTCTGCTGACAGAACCGGTCTTCAGATGCCACGAAGCGACATCCAACTTTACTTGCCCGGCTTGCCACGCGCCCTACTGCACTCTGGCCTGCTACCGATCACCTCGACACAGTGCCTGCTCTCAGCCCTTCTCGCAGAAAACACTTCGAGATGAGCTTGGTGAGGACGCCGGAAAGGTTGATGACGAGGAGCGGAGGAACATGATGGACGTTCTCCGGAGGCTCCACAACCTCGGTGCAGACGATGAGGCAGAGTACAACAACGAGGCCGGGCAGGAGGGCGACGAAGAGGACGGCGGCGAGAATGCCAACATCGACATTGGTGAGTATCTGGCAGATAGTGCTGAAAGCTAAATTGGCTGATCGCGTGAAAAGGCGGTCTAGAGGAGGCAACTCCGGAGCAGCTCCTCGAGCTCCTCTCTCCCGATGAGAGGGCCCGATTCGAGGCGGCAATCAACGATGACGACCCAAGCCAGGCACGCGCGAAAGCTCTCCTCGACGGGATAGCCCACAAAGAAGAGGAGAGTGTCGTACGGGGGCCTTGGTGGACGACAAACGACACAATCTCCCCCGATCAGGCTTTTGCACAGGAAGTTGGGAGCATACAGCAATCGCTGAAACGGCATGCATCCTTGCCCCCGCTCGAACACAACATCGTCGCAACTCTGTGAGTGCTTACTCCTCTGTCCCCATCAATGGCAAGCACTGACATTGTTTTTACAATCTACAGGCTAGCATACGCTTACCTGCTCCGCCACTTGGATCTTGGTCAGCTGAAAAGCGTCCTTGCGATGGATTCTGGACAAATGCATGAGCCGGTGGAGAAGCTGAAAAGGAAAGAGGAAGTGCCAGACCACGAATTCGATGACATGCCGGGTCTGGAACCAGATGTTGAGCATGAAGAGGTAGCAAAGAAAGGACAGCAACCAAGGAGCGATCCGGAGGACGAAAGGGTAGCGCGAGCCACTTTTGACCGACTAGCACCGTTCGTCAATGCGCTACCTGGCCCCTCCAAAAAGGGAAGTGCGAGCGGCTCAAAGGAGCAAGACCAAAACCAAGATCCGAGCAAGGTCCTCCTCTCCAGCGTTGAAGACGCTTCCTTGTATCTTCTCGCGCGTCTGGACCCCTCGCAAGGTGCACTTGCCTCGACGATGGTTTTGCTCCTCCAGGACGTCATCTCGCTTCTGGATGTGCCCAAGATCGCAGAGACCCAAGCCACAGACAGGCTCGTCTGCGCCTTATCGGACCTCAGCGGCCTGCTTCCGGGTCACGGTCGACGCAAGCTAATGTTCTACGGCGCTGTGTGGCAGAGCCTCGATGGGACGAGACTCGAACGTGTTAAGAGACAGCTGAGGGACGAAATCCAGCGGCTCAAGGATGAGCTTGAGCGCGCCGAGGATCAGGAGCGGTGGAGGGCGGCAGAAGAGGCGACAAGGGCTGGCGGCGTCGTTTTGACAGAGTAGCCATGTATCAAAAGAAGCAAGCATTGTATCACTACTTAGAGCAGCTATCGATCCTACACTTCAGCAGCGGTAGAGTGCACAAGAAAAGCATAAGAGCTGGTGCACGGGGGTCGCATCCGACAAGAAATCACTTCCGCAATGGCTTTTGAGAGAAGCTGAGAGGAGGAAAATGACAAGGGCAGCGTAATGGTAGAATCAAGAGAGAATTACAAGGTGGTGAATGAGGAAAGGCGGGACAGGACTAAGACATGGCAACGTCGACCTGGCCCCCGGCACTGGCGCGCAGACCGGCAAAGTCACGCCAGGTACGGTTGAACTCCAGGTCCAGAGCCCTTCCGCCGTAGACATAGTTGCTGAATTTGGCAATGGCTGTCTCGGCGTCCGCGACGGTGGCAAACTGCACGATTCCGACACCCTTGGACCGCCCGTGCTCGTAGAGGATCTCGGCCTCATCGACCTTGCCCGTTGTCTGGAACAACTCCACCAGGTCCTCGTTCGATGTCGACCAGGGCAGCTGTGCACAGATAGCGGTCAGAAAAGGGGTGGGACCATCACACGGGTAGAACGTCTTTGCTCACGTTCTTGACAAAGATCTGTTGGCTGGGCTCGGCAGGAGGAAGGGCGGCCTGGAAACCACCAGCACCGGCGTAGCCACCGCCGTAACCGCCACGACCACCGGCAAAACCGCCGCGGCCACCGTAGCCACCGCGTGGGCCGCCATATCCGCCGCCGTAGCCCCCTCGAGGAGCACCGCCGTAGCCACCGTATCCTCCAAATCCACCGGCATAGCCTCCCCCGTAGCCGCCAAAGCCAGGCGCACCGCCGTAGCCGCCAGGGAAGCCCTGCCCGGCAAAGCGGTCCTCCCTGACCTCGATGATGCGACCGTTCCAGTCATAGCCATTGTACATCTGGATGGCGTTCTGTGCGTCGTCGGGCGTAGCAAAGACGACGATGCCGCTACCCTTTGGACGACCATCGGGGCCCATGTTGATATCGGCACGCACAATGTTGCCAGCGGTGCGGAAAAGGTCCTTGAGCTCCTGCCACCCGGCCTGGAAGGGCAGGTTGCCAATGTAGAGCTGAGCGCCAGGAGCACCGGCGGCCGGCGGGCCACCAAACCCGCCGCCATAGCCGCCTCCATAGCCGCCTCCGTAGCCCCCACGGGGACCAGCGAAGCCACCTCGAGGAGGTCCACCGCCTCGAGCGCCAAAGCCGCGCGAAGGGATGGGAGGAGCGCCGTAGCGGGCCTCACTCTCTCGGTCCTGTTGTCAGGCTCTGTCAGCACAGCGCCTCTCTCACAACCATGAACGGATTAAGCGATCATGCCTACCTCACGAATGAAGACGGGGCGGCCCATGAGCGGTGTGTCGCTCAATTCCTTTATGGCCCTCTGAGCTTCGTCCGGGCTACCATATTCAACGATGCTGCAGCACGCATAGACCAGTCAACATCCTCTGCTTCCTCCTCCAATAAGCTGTGACCAGGCCATGTCACCCACCCGCATCCCTTCGACATGCCGTTGGGCAGTGAAAGAATCTCCGAGTAGACGACGTTTCCAGCTGTCCGACCATGTCATCTCTCCGTCAGCCCATCAAGGTCCCTTGCCTGGACCATGGATCCCCCACCCGACCCACCATCCGTCATAAACTCCTTGAGGTGGTCCGCCTTGACATCGTAGCTGAGGTTGCCCACGTAGACCCTGCACTCCTTTTGGGAGCGCCGGGCCGCCTCGCCGGCATCAACCTGACCACCAGTGGCCGAGACCGCGGCAGCGCCATCCACGGCCGCCGTTCCGTTTGCCGACATCTCTGCTTCCGTCATGACCTCTTCGGCTTCTTCTCCAACAAATTACTCTCTGCCTCCTTCCAGCTTCGATCCGTCCAAATCCCGCTGCTGCCTGTCGCCGCCGGTGCTTTGGATGGTAGTGCGAGAAGAAGGTCGATGTGTCCTAGCGATGACCCCAAAGGTCCGCAGCTGGCCGCGCGCGCTGTATTCTTACTTCACTTTTCGGAGCTTTTCTTCCTTTGACCCTTTTTTTGTATTCACCACCGTGACGATTATTACACGTGGTCTAAAGTCCGTGCATTTCTGCTTGCTGCAGGCAACCAACCTTCTTTTTTTGGTGGTCGTCCCTTTGTCCTCCTCGAATTGGGACGACCCGACGCAGGCAGCTTCATCGTTTTGACCTCCGTCGAGATGGCTGCTGTGGCGATGGCGTCCTTCGATTCAAACTCGCCGCAATGGGCGGATCTGAAGTCTGTACCACAGGACGACGGTCCATCACCAGTCTGCCCGATCCTGTACGATCCAGCCTGTAAGTCCAAGTGGGAAGGAGGCGAGACTGCATGTGTGACCTGATCATCAGGAACCCTTAGACGCCCAAGCCATGGACTACCTCCGAGCTCTCCTGCCCACCAACGAGCTGTCAAAAAGGGCCCTCGATCTAACGCAACATATCGTCAAAATGTGTCCTCCTAACTATACTGCGTGGCACTACCGAGCGCGGATCCTCATCGACGGGCCCGACTCGGAGCTTGGCCCGAGGCAGGAGCGGCTTCGCGCCGAGCTCGATTGGCTTGATGAGCTGGCCAAGCAGAACATGAAGAGCTACCAAGTCTGGTGAGATTCCTTGCTTCCATGCGGGAGGCTGGGTCCTGGCTGACCCTCCGACTCGGCTTCGCCAGGCAACACCGAAAACTCATCGTAACGGCGTATGACGACCCATCGCTCGAACTCGACTTCATCGCTCGCGTCCTCGCAAAAGACTCCAAGAATTACCACACCTGGGCCTACCGGCAATGGGTTCTCTGCCACTTTGGTGGACTGCCAGATGCGCAAAACGCCGCTGCGCATCCTCAGCTTTGGGACGGAGAGCTGGCATACATCGACGAACTGCTCAAGCAGGATTGCCGCAACAATTCAGCATGGAACCATCGGTTCTTCTGCATCTTTGCAACCGACAGGGCTAAGAGAGGGCTGTGGCCATCAGTAGGGGAGGATGAGGGGCAGTGCGTGACGAGCGAAGTGGCGTGAGTGAAGAAGCGTTCCGGACACGCTGTAGCGCTGCGGCTGACCAGGTCCACAACAGATACGCAAAGATGCAGATCGCCCTCGTGCCGAACAATGCCAGTGCCTGGAATTACCTCAGAGGGTAGGTTTATTCCTCTCACTTCTGGAAAATCGTCTTACTCACGTCGCCCATACAGCGTGTCGCGCCTCGACCCGGTGTCAGCTGTCCACAAGACTCAAAGTGTCTCGTCAAACGACATCAATATCTACACATGCGCCGTACCGCTTGCTCAGACGCTGCTGCCCTCCTCCAAGGAGGCAAAGGAAGACCCACAGATCGATTCGAGAGGGAAAAGCCCGTCATTGGCGCTCGAGTGGCTACTCGATGATGCCGAACAACGGTGTACGTCTGGCTCGAACGTAGACGAAGCCCTCCGTCAGGGTGAAGAGGTACGTTCTCTATTCTTACAAATCTAGTAATCACCGCTGAAGCGAGGATTATGCAACACAGTACATCGACAGACTCAAGGTAGCCGATCCCATGCGGTCGCAATTCTGGAAGTACCGTCTGTCCTGCCTCCGCCGAGCTGCAGCGGCCTCCTCTGCCTAGCGATCTTTCTCATTCCTCACCTTTTTTTGGCTTGATCAGGATCATCTTGGAGACGTAGATAGCATGATTTATAGGGACGAGACAGTAATACAAAGTCCAATACGAAGTGCGCCGAGGCAAGCCTCTTGATGCCATGAAAAAAGAAAAGGAGTCGAAGAGGATGTAAGTGTCCGTTCTTGTGCTTATTTGATCGAGGCGCTTCAGGATCCGTTGACCTTTCCGATAATCTGTGACGAGTCGAGAAACAGAGGGCATCAGTGACGATGTCTTGAGTATGAAGAAAGGCTTGGGAGCAAGGACTGACCTTCTTGTGCAGCTGCTGCGTAGGGAGCATCTCGGGCGGGTTGTGTGTCTGCCACAGCCAGGGCTTGGGCGTCCCGTCAAACTCGTACATCTCGAGATAGATGCCACCCTGGCCGAAATGCCAGTCATTCCGGACGTAGAAGCCCTGCATGTACTCTTGTTGGTCGTAAGAGATGAGCGTCTGCGACTGCTGCGTGCACCCGTTCTGCACCAATTGCCGGCCGTCGCCCTCAAAGGGCGTGAGCGTCAATGAGCCGTTGCTGTTCTGCGTAAAGGTGCCGTGCTGCCAGATAAGCTGCGCCTGGGCGCAGTTGGGGTGAGTGGCTGAGAAGCGATGCAACATTGTCAGCACTTGATGCATGCAACCGGAGGAAGGGCACGGAAGACTCACGATCAGACGTAAAGATGTAGAGTGCCTGTTCCCAGAAGCCATCCTTTGTGAAGCTGTATGATTGGCCGCCGACGGATGGAATGTTGAACGTGTTGTTGCCGGGGTTGTAAAATTGCTGTTACAAGTATTATCTTCTCAGCCCACCGAGCGAGGGCAGAGAAGCAGCGACAGAGGACTCACCAGACCAGTTGTGACGGCCCCGCTGCCCGAGCTCCAAGTGCCGACAATTGTCGCATCATCGTTCGTCTGTTGCGTCACGGCCTGCGCCATGGACGTCGGAAGCAGCGACGCGGCCGCCGCAACCAAGCATCCCACTGCGATAGCAGCCTTGGCCGATGATGTTGTTGCTGTCCTCATTGCCGCTCCGTCTCTCTCTCTCTCTAACTCCTTTCGGTTTCTCTTCAATCTCAGTCGCGGGGCGGCACGCTTCCCTCGGCGTGTTTGTTTTCCGTTTTCTTTCCGCCTCGCTCCTCGCCGTTGCAATAACCTCCTATTGCGCGATATTGTCGCTTTGCTAGAACGAGCGTGACTTCGTTGAGATGAGAAAGCGCCTACGAAAGGCGGACCTCAAATGGGAAAGGAAGACGGGATGAAGTGATGGAGGTGTCGGCCGGTGGTGTAGTGAGGAGGGGAGAGATCAAGAGACACACAGCCTGTAGGCGCGAGATCAGCCAGGGCTCTTTCTAATTTCTAATTTCAAGTTTGCGCATTTGTCTAGCCCCTTAAGTATCTCGAAATTTTTAATTTTTAATATTGATATGGTACTGAATGCGCCTCTCGCTCCGAGGCGTGTGTTGTTCGCTCATACGACTTTTCCTCAGAGCGGCTTGGTTAGATAGTCGGCGAAAGAGAGGAAGAGAGACAGATTACCGCATTTTAGAATGATAATCGCAACCTCCATCGCCTAATCGAGTCTCTCTTCGTTGTATTACAAGGAAGTCTGCACCTGGAAGGGCCAACAACAGGTGCGGCCGTACACATGCCGCGCTGTGCCGACGACCATGTCTGCGAAATGTGCTATTTTCCTCTTTCCATTCTTGGCGCGGGCACGTGATTTAGACATTGCACAAGGGTCATGGAAGCAGTGACTCATTAACATGGTCATCGAGAAGATCACTTCGGTGGAAATTGGAGGAGCAGTTGGCATCGCGACACCTCTCCACCGTCTCATCAGCATCACGCAGCATAGATCGTGAAGCGGATTGATGAAAATCCAAGTCTATCTCGGTGACGAGAAAACAAGATGATGAGAAAGGCAGAACCAACGGAGGAGGGTTGGGCATGACTACAGATCGTCGAGGTCGTCATCGTCCTCTTCCTCGGATCCCTCTGCGAACTCGATAGCAGCCTCGTCGTCGCCCTCGCCCGCATCTGTCTCGTTGATCTTGGTTGTCTCTGGGAGTTCACCGTACTTTTGCAAGGCGCTGCAGGGCAAGCGTCAGCGATCGCGTCAAACCAGGAGATATCGACTGCTAGACAGACTCACCGAGCCTCGTCAGCTGTGTACTTTTGAATCACATCGGCCTTCTCATCTTGGAAGTCTCGCAACGAGAGGAGGATGATATCGCCCTGGTTGATCCAGACCTGCCGTGACGTTTCTAAGTGATAAGCGGCCTGATCGCTTCTGCACTTGATGCTAATGGGGAATGACACACCTTCTTTCTGAGCTTGCCTCGAATGTGCGCCAGACGCTTCTCTCCGTCAAAACATTGAGCCTCGAGTCGCCCATTGCCGAGCATCTTCAAGACCTGCGCGTATTCTGACATGGCAAGGCGTGAATTGGGATGTTTCAAAGAGGACATCCTGAAGCCGCGACTCACGCTGATCCTCGTCTTTGAAAACGAGCTCCCTCTTCTCCGACTCATTCTCGTTCTTACCACGCCTGCGGTTCTTACCACCCTTTCCTTTGTTCTGTGAGGGCGCAAGAGTCAGCAACTGCGTCGCGCCACCGGTACAAATTCTTTTCCAAATAGCTCCGACTCCTTTGCTCGCCAGCGTCTGCAAAACAAGCACCATCACGAAGGGGTTCTCCGCGTGCTACTTGCGTCCTAGTCAAAACTCGTGCAGATACTGACCTTGGGCATCGTGTCTGATTGACGGCTTGTTGTTGTGTGTTTGATGCAAAGAAGCCTTTGGGCGCCCTGCGACGGAGATGGAGGCAGCAAATTTGAGCGAACTTCTCACGTGTATGTGCGTGAGGTACCCCGCATCGGCACGTGAAGCGTTTCGGTCGATGGAGAACGAAGTGAGCCGGACGGCCGGGCTATCGCGTCGACTTTGTTTTCGCAACAATGGCAACGGCAAAAAAGGAAGAAGCGGCCAAAGGGGCCGCCGACCCCTCGAGGGACGACGATCTCGACGACCTCGATGATGTCCTCGATGAGTTCTCAAACAACGACGTGGGCAAGCCAGCGCCAGCACCAGAGCCGGAAGCGTCTTCGTCTACACAGGCGAGCGCGACAGCTGCGACATCGTCTGCGAATGGGGCGGCAGCCGCAGCTGCCAAGACGGGCGTCGAAGAGGGTGATGATGATGACTACGACGAGGAAGCGCTCAACGAGCAATTCCAAAAGGAGCTGGCTGCCGGCATGGAGGCGCTCATGAAAGGCCTGGGAGGAAGCCAGCAAGCTGGAGGCGATGCAGGCCCTCCACCGCCCGATGGAAACTTCAACGAGGAGGAGCTGGTCAAGCAATTTGAGCAAATGATGGCCGGTATGGGCATCGACGAGCAAGGAGAAGCATCGTCCTCGTCGTCGACCAATGGGAAAGGAGCTGGGCCCGGGCCGTCGGCTGGGCAGCCAGCCAACTTCCAAGACGCCATTCGAAACACCATGTCGAGGCTGCGTGAGAGCGATGCGTCGGCCTCGAGCTCCACGGGAGAACTCGGTGGGGATGCGGATCTCGAAAAGCTCATGGCTGCGTTGGGAGGCGCAGGAGGTGAGGGGGCAGAGGGCGAGGAGGGACTGGCTAAGATGCTGGAGAGCATGATGAGCGAGCTCATGAGCAAGGACGTCCTCTACGAGCCCCTCAAAGAGCTCAGAGACAAGGTGAGTCGCTTCCCGCTATCTTTCGACACTATTTCCCCGAAGCTCATGCTTTCTCTCAGTACCCGCCATATTTGGCAAACCCGCCAGCGGCCATCTCGGCGGAAGACCGCGTGCGATACGAAGCGCAGTCGGGCATCGTCACAGAGATCATCGCAACCTTTGACAATCCCAAGTTCGACAACGGGACAGAAAGCGAAAAGAGGGAGCTCAAGAACAAGGTGCAGGAGCTTATGAACGAGGTAAGTGTTGGCTACTTCCTAGAAAGCCTCTCTACTTTGCTGATCAGAGGGTGTTCGCGCAGATGCAAGACAAGGGCGCGCCGCCGAACGAGATTGTCGGAGACCTGTAAGTTGATCGCTGGTAGTGAGGCCGCGTTCGGAACTGACAGTTGTGCAGGCCTCCCGAGTTGGAATCTCTGCCCGGTATGAACGAAGAGAACTGCAGCATCATGTAAATCGTCTTTTTGCTTCATAAGGTGAGGAGAATGGCCTTCTTGGGACCTACTCCACGTGACCACGCCTGTCAGAACAAGCGCGACAGACAGGCAGCCGTTCACTCGAACGCACGCATCACGCACTTGTAGAGTCTACTTTGTCTGGATGACCCAGACTCAATCTGGATGACACTGTTTGAGGATCACAGGATGTGTCTTTCTTGATTCGACTTGCTTCTCGGCATCATGACTTCACGATCAGGATGGCGAACGTGGGACGATCGGGGCAGGGCGCTTTTTCTCTTTATCAGCGTGAACCCCCACGGATCGCAAAACACTTTCGCACGGATTCACGAGTCTTCTTGAACCCGCATCAATGACGAAGGCTGGATAAGAAAGGAGACAGACGGACTTGTCATGCTTCCACGACCTTAGACCCGCGAACCTGACTACTTGCTCCTCGGAGAGCCAAACCCGGGTTACACCCAAACAAGAGCGCGCGCATGACGCGCCTCCGCGGCCCGGGGCTTAGTCTAAATTCCTCTCTATGGCTTAAATGAGACAGTCCTGTACGTCGGACACTACCCTCCCTCCGACATGAAGAACAAGATACTGTCCTCCTCTCGACCTCTGTTTAAAAGCAAGCCAGCGCAGAGCATGAGGGTGTCTTCCTCCCTCACGCTCACTTAAAGTTTAAAATGTCAGCCTTGCCGCTCGTCGCGACGCAGCAGCCAAAGCGCACGGGTCCCCTCATGGATCTCCTCGGACACCTCGTCGAAGCGTGGGACGCTGTGTCCTTCTTTCTCGCCTTGTACCTCGTCGACATCATCACTTTTGGCAGACCCGTCTCTCCGCCCTCTGGCAAGAGCGAAGGTTTCTTTGGAGCTGGACAACACCCCTCGGACAGCCATTTTGGTCTGCATGCGCGCAGTCGAAGCTACGATGAACCCAGCTCGCCGAGACCCTCGGCGGCGCGCCCAAGTAAAGATGCGAACTTCACCAGTTCCTCACCAACATTGATGCAGTACGACGTGCCGAGGTCGTCCTCGCCCCGCTCGATGCGCTCCTTTTCCTCGTCATCGGATGAAGACGACGAAAAGAAGCACACGCACCTCCCCCGCCATTTCCACCGTTCTGCGGACCAGTCGCGCGCCGAAGCCCGGCTGCATCTGCATCCGCATCCGACGTCAACATCGCAGCACGCTCTGCCGCACTCGATGCTCCCGATGCAACCAAGGCGGTCGTCCTTCTGGAGCGACAAGACGCGGAGAGAGTCAGTGCGGCGACGATCAAGCGCGAGCTCTGGCCACGCGTCGTACCCATCAACGAACCTCGACGTGGAATCGCGCAGGCAGGCCTCGCTCACATCATCTCAGGACGGACGCACGAGCCCGACAGTCGGCCGAACGCCCCGAGCAGACAATGGTCTGCACCACAATCAAAAGGAGGTGCTCAGGCTGCAGGTCGAGAAGGCGCTTCGATGGCAACCGATCGTGAAACTCTTGCTCGTGGCGCTGCCTCTCACCGTGTTGTTTGTCGTGGGACTGTACGTGTGGACGCCAAGGCCATTGCCATTGCCGTCATGGCTCATCGACATCGCGAATGTGCCGTTGGGCGACTGGGTCAGATGGGCGAGGATGAATATTCCAGCGAGGGGGCAGGGTCTCCAGCTGCTCCAAACTCTCCTCGCTTCGGCTTCGCAGACATGGAGAAAAGTAGTCGGGCGACTTTGATGGATCCTGGGGCTTCACTCATGTATCATTGCTTTTTGTGTTGTATACCCTATCGTACTAATGACAATTACCGTAGCGAAAAGTCGTATTGATCACCATCTCATGCGAACTTGTGTAAGAGACGTTTTGCAGATGGCAGATTGCGAACAATGTATTGCAATGAGCCCCTATGCTAATGAGAAAGCAGATATACCTGTATGAATGCCAGTGACGACCTCCTCTAGAGTCGACTAGACTCGAGGACAGTCCCCCTTTTTCCCAGTCACATCACAGATCGTTACAAAAAAACACCAAAAGCCGAGACGCAAACGAGCATGCAGACAAATCAAGAAGAAGAGGAGGATCGTTGGCCGGTGGCGGCAGCGAGGGCCGCGCTGAGGTCGAGGTGGAAGAAGGGAGTAAGGTCGTGGTTCCAAATGATGGGAACGCTGACCTCAGAGCCGTTGTTGGGCCCTTCGTCATCTTCGTTGCTGCCCTTCCCGTCGTCGTCCGACGAGTCAGTAGAGCTGCGCTTCTTGCTGAGCCGATTCACACTCGCTTCCGATTCGGCGGCGGCCAGATCCGACTTGTTGTCCGATGAGGAGTGCGTCAAGGGCTGGTGACGGTGGATGTTGTCGTGAGGGCTCACGACGGGAGCAACCTCAGAGATGTGCGTCTGTGCAGAGCCGGTACCAAAGCCAGCGGCGAGAAGCGCCCTTCGGATCCAGGGGCTGGTGATCGAGGCAAAGTAGAACTCGACTTTACCGCCCTTGTACCGTTCAACGGCCTGGCGCACATCGGCGAGGCACTGGACCGACGTCGTGTCGACGTTGGACACGCTCGAGAAGTCGAAGATGATAGCCTTCAGTACCGGTCGGGTATCGGCGCTGTTTTCCGCAGAGTACGCGTCCTCCATGACCTTGTCGAGCCTCTTCCGGAAGCCGAGGAAACGGCCCAGCTTGACCAGGGCAGGGTTGATAGGTCCTGGGTCATTCCACGGTCGATCACCGAGGCGCTTGTAGACGCGTTCGGTGCCTGGCCTTGTCTCTTGTTGGACTTTGTCAATGAAGATGTCCGAGAGATGCGACGCATTGGGGTATGTGAAGGCCTCTTCGAAGCGGTAGATCAAAACGCCAGGTGGGGGTGAGTCGACACGAACGGATGGGTCGCGAAGCCCATCCTTGTCATCGAGAGGCACAAAGACGTCTCGGTGGTTGGAGACGCGGGCCTGGCGCGAGTCGCTGTAGTGGACGCGCACGGTTCCGAGCCAGGTACCGCGAGGTCGGGCGATCCGGATCAAGAGGAGAGCCAGCGAGGCAGCCACCGATGTGTAGACACCGTTTTCGACGCTAGAGAAGACGGTGACCAGAACGGCGGCAAGCCAGATGAAGAGCTCAAAAGGACTGACGAGCCAGAACTTGTAGAGAAGCGCTGGCGGTGCGACCAGGTCGCCAACGGCGTGAATAATGACGGCGGAGAGGGCGGCGTTGGGGATCCAGAAGAAGGCGTCGGTGAGGGCATAGAGAGCAATGATGACGACGACGCCGGTGATCCAGCCGGCGAGCGGAGTGCGAACACCAGACTTGCTCTTGATGGCCGTGCGGCTGAAGGAGCCCGTAGCGGCGTAGGCACCAAAGTTGGGTCCGATGAGGTTGGTAACACCAATAGCGATGAGCTCCTGGTTGGGGTTAATCTTGTAGTTGTTAAGACGTCCGAAAGACTTCGAAATGGCGATGTGTTCCAGGAGCAGGACAATGACCGAGACGGGAATCTGGCCGGCAAGGTCGCTGAGCAGATTGTGGTTCAAGTCGACGGCGTGGACGTGCTGGAAGCCAGAAGGCACTGGCCCAAGAACGCTAATGGGAAACTTCTTGTAGTTTCTCGGCTTAAAGTCTTTCAGCCAAGCATAGGTAGCTGCTGTGGCGATGATGATGACGAAGGCGTTGCGAAGGACCGAGGCAAAGAAGCAGGCACGGGCCAGCTTTGGGAATCGCTTTGGGAGGCGATTGCAGAGCATCCGTGCGGCGTAGAGGAAGGCGAGCGAAGTCAGGCCAAAGGCGGCATCAATCGTGGTGTTTGGAAGGCCCTTCAGAGTGTTGATGATGATCCGGTAGCAGGCGGGACCGTTGGTGACGATGTTGGGGATGCCCATCAGCTTGGGCACCTGACCCACAGCGATGGTGATGGCACTGCCCGTCATGAAACCGCTCACGGCGGGTGTGGGAATGAACTCGATGATCCATCCAATACGGAGCAGACCAATGCCGAGGCAGATGACACCACACATGAAGGCCAGAGCCGAGGCGATGATCTCGGGACGGTATGCGTTGCCGGCTTTGTCCATTACTTCGCGAATGACGTTGGCAGTCTGGAGCGACATGACAGCAACAGGACCGATCGTAACGTCCTTGGACGTGGCAAAGAGTGCGTAGATCATGACACCGATGAATGACGAGTAGAGGCCGAATTCGGCGTCGACGGTGGCGATCTTGGCGTACGACATCGACTGAGGCACCAGAACTAGGCCGACGGTGATGCCGGCAATGATGTCTCCAATGGCTAATGAATGGTGATGCGTCTGTGAGCAGGCGAAAAGTCGCACAAGAGAGCAGAGAGTGGACACCTACCCCACTGCGAGTTGTACGACAGAATCCACTTGGTGAAGGGAAACAGCGCGTCAAAGTAGTTGACGGCCTGTTTAGAGAGCGTGTTATTGTCAGCACACCGTGGCCACTAGTGAATGGTAGGAATCTTTTAATGTGTCTACTCACCTTGGACTTTGGCTCGCTGAAGATATCGCCGAGCCAATCCTTGCTGCTGACGTAGGGCACTCCCAGCCGGTTGGCCTCGCAATCATTGTACCTGATGACTTTCCTCCACGCCTTCTTGCCAAAACCGACGACGCCCGAACCGGCTGATTGCCCATTGTCGTGCGCCGGAGCCTCCTCCTGTCCAGTTGCCATTATGATTCTCTCGCTGTCCCGGTGGTACCGGATCGTCTGATGGAGAAGAGGAAGCGGGCGATGGTGGAGAGCAGACTGCTACTAGGTGTCACCCGGCCTTCCTTTATGTACAGTTCTTCGCGGACCTTTGCAGAGCCAAGCCTTCTGGATTACTGCCACACTACAGGATTTTACCAAAGGTTTTTCCAGTTCCTCTCAATGTATCTCAGCCCACTTCCCGTCCCTGAACTGAAGCCGGCAAAGCAAAGTGAGAAAAATTATACCATTGGTAGCAAATTGTGGCCTAGGCTTCTCCGGCGGGTAGCGAGCAACGCTGGTTGACGTCGAACGCGGCTTGGAGCACGCAATTTTGCGATGGAAAATGGCCGGTTTTGCCTGGGTTTTGCGCTTGTAAGACGTATTTGGATAGTCAGTGTGGAGAATTGTTAAAGTTTGCTGTGTAACCCCGCCGCGCCTTTGACGATTGCTTCGACTTTTGACGTGATCGTTCTCAACAAAAGCACCGTACCGTACGCAGCGCCTAAGCGCTACGACTCGATATGTGCCTGACTGCGATCGGGATATGAAGCTAGTAGAGGCGACGCCACTTGGTCAGCCACAGCAGAGCATAGCGGCAGGCGAGCAGTTGGTCTTCCGAAGTGTCGCATTTCGCCTGAGCATATTTGCACCCGCACCGGTCCCCACGGCATGGTAGAAGAAAGGTGCCTTTGTCGTCGGCTTCTTTCACAGGTCCACAGGGGCTAGATTCACGATACGTGCGCAACACTTCCACCCATACACTAGCACGTCTTTCCCGGGTGTACATCCTATCTTGACGGCGGTCCAGGTCTAGATCTCGCTCGCTATCTCTTCGCTAGCAGCAATGCTAATGGCGACATCAATGGATTGGGCGTGACATCCCAGGACTCGCCATAGCACGCACGATACACCCGAACTGGGTCCAGATCTAATCTTGGAGGTGGGGCATTCTTCTTTGCGCCTGCTTTGTCTCCGTTTTCACAAAAGCCCGGGTGCCTGTCCACCACGAGCTCGACTTTACGACAGCTTTGAGAAGACGACGTGCTCATCTCCTCTGTGCGCACCTACCGGTAGACTGCCTCCGTGCCACTCTCAAACACTTTCCTTTTTTGTCCAGGCCCTAGCATAAGGGTCTCGGCTAAAACTTGACCCAACTCTAACCAGAACCCGCACTCTGCTCTGCCATCCACTATGATTACATCGACTGCTGTTATTGTTGCACTTGCTGCTGCTGCTGCCGCTGTTGACTAGCGACAGTCCTTATTGCGACTTCGCTTCCTTGACCTCCTCCTCCCGCTTCTTGGCCTGTCTACGCTCCTTGACAAGCCGCAATGCACTGACGAGCAGTGGAACCGCGAGCGGCCCAAATAGCGGCGTATAGACGGCGTACTTGTGCTCGTCAGGGAAGTAGAGCTGGCCAATCATATTGGGGTTGAAAAAAGCCCGGGAAGCGTACGAGGCCGATGTGTGCGCTTGCCTGAGCGCCTCTGCGAGCTTCTCCCTGCCAAACGGTGAGAGCACTTGCGAGGACAGGGTGGCGTTCGTCAGGGAAAGGTAGCGCAGGGCGTTGTCGACGTCGCGCTGCACGTCGCTCCCTACGCCCAAATTCTCAATCTTGTCGACGAGACGGACAATGCTGGCCAGTGTCTGTGTCGCCTCGCGAGCCGACTCGAGAAGCCTTCTTCGACCGAGTGCTTCGAGCGCCAGCACATCCTCTACTTCTCCCCCTGCTGTTTGTGAGGGAACAAGCCCCAGCAGGACCCTGAGTTGTCGCTCAAAGAGGCGGAAAGGTTCATCCAGATCCACTTCCGGCAGCGAGGCGAGGAGATTCCGGCCATCTGCTGTCGAATTGCCGTCAAGATTGTGCAACACCACGCCTCCCCACTGAGGAATAAGCCATCCTCTCGCCTTGCTGGCCTCGCCTGACAAGGCGTCCTTGGCGATGCGCAGCGGCCGGTGTTGAGGCGAGGGCAGGTAGAGGATGAAGTGAAGGGTCCTTTCTTCTTCGTCGTCTATAAAGTGAGTGTCGTTGGCGGCCACCACGGAGCTGCTGTCAAGCTGAGGGGCCGCGAACGGATTGGGAGGGAACGAGGAGCGCGAGGACAGCGTCGTCGAGAGGGACCATTCTCCGGAATTGACAAAGATCTTGAGGTCCTCAGGGTCGATTAGATACGACGTCTCTCTTGTCTTTGCGGCGCTCGCAGGCGAAGGTGGCATCGCAATAGCAGAGGTCGACGTTGGCTCTGGAAGCTCTATCGCTTCGTCGTGCGCATCATTGTCCTCTGTCGCAGCTTCCTCCTCTTGCACTTTGACGGGCTCCTCCTCGAGAGTCTCTTGGACGAGCTCTTGGACGATCTTCCTGGGTTCAAAGCCCAACGGCGATTCCCATTGTGTCTGTACCTCGAGACCGAACCGATAAAAAGAGCCGAGCTTGGTGAGGAGATCGCCCATGCGCCTGGTCAGGACCTTGTCCAAGGCTACTCGATCCCATTTTCGAACGCCTGCTGGGCCTTTCCCCTGTACCTCTGCCTCTTCGATCTCGTTTGAGGGTCGATACGATGCATCTTCATTCATCATGGAAACAACGAGTCGGACGTTGCGCGCATAGGGTATCGACCGCTTGTCCTTCTCCAGCGCAGGACTCGATGAAGATCGGTAGGGCAATTGAAGCAGCTCAGCCAGCTGTGATGAGAGCGACGATGCTAATTTATCGACGGGGACTGAGCCAGGTGTTTGCGTTAGATCTGACGGGAGAGCGAGGCTGAGCATGGCCTTCGTTTGCGTCTCTACGACTTCGCGCTGATAATGTATGCTGAGGCCTGTACAGGCGCAAATCGTGGTTAGTTGCAACGAAGCTTCAGCACACTCAATGTTACCCACCATTGAGCGGAACATCATTCTGGCTCCCCAATGTGATGCTCCAGTCCATGCAAGCGGCGTTCTCGGAAGGTTGGACAGCCGTCGCAAAGTCAGACCCACTCCTAGCCGTCACGATGCCATCGCCCGCCAGCTCCAGTCTTCTCTCAATGTCCTCCACCACAGCCCGTTCCCAGTTTCGTCGATTCTGATACGACTCGCCTCCATCTCCAGCTCTTACGAAGGGGAAGGCAGGAGGAGCAATTTCGGGCGGCAGTACCAAGTTGAGCTGAAAGGGGATGCGAACGGGGCACGGAAGCCTGCTCTCTGCCAACTCAATGTCCCTAGCCGGAAGCGGCAGTCGAACGATGGTCGTCGTCTTGTACCAGAACGGAAGGCTGGCAATGACGACGGCATAGAAAGCCGAGACTATGTAGAGCCTCGAGGTCCATGACTGGAACCTCTGCTCTCTTTCCGTCACAGCCATCCTTCGCGCGAGAGGAAAGGAGGTCGCTTCTGGTGGAGCTCTCAGCGCAACAGACGAGCTTAATGTGCGCACGTGGGGATTGGCGCCTCGTCTACCGGTGACGGACCTCGGACATTGCTATTTCCCATTACTTTCGTGCACAGAGGCTGTCGCGAGAGACTGACATGGAGACTCTAAGAGCCTTGCTTTGGCTTTGAGCTACCAACTTGTGTTGTGCCGCTTTTTTCTGACCCGAGGACCCCCGGAGCTGCTCCGAGAAGCTTGAATTCCTTGCCATGAGGACAAGGAGGAAAAGCTGACATTTCGACTAGCGCGTCCGAAATTGACGGTCATTGTCAAGTGCCGGTACCGGCTATGGGGGATTTTGTCTGATCAACGTGTAGCGAGCATGAAGGTGCCTGCCTCTGTTCTGTTTCCCCGCAATCTTCGCCTCTGCAGCTTTGCATAAATCTCTACAGCACCTTTGATCTATGGCTTCTGTCTCGGGTCCTGCTGATTTGAATTTGTGGGGCACCACAGCTCTCTTAGTCTTTGTGCGCTCTAAATGCGGGAAATAGCCTGCATGGTGTCCTATGGCCCTTCCATCTGCCCCGGCCGTTTCAGATAGCCGTGAGCTTCACAAGGTGTTACCGGAGCCCACAGGTCAAATACCTTATAAAGTACGAGCATGTCCCCGCCCACCCCCCCTCTAAGCTTCCCCGGTCACCGATTTCCGCCATAAATCATGTCAGACTTCAAGGAGATAGGTATGAACACACTGCCCGTGCCCGAGGTGAGCAGGCGAGCCTCACATTGGTATCTTCAAGGCCCAGATTGATGGCGAGAAAACTGACATCGGATGACCACAGGGGTATGTGGGCAATCTTTCCGACGAGCACAAGGATAAGCTATATGAAATGTGGCGCGCCTACTTCGTGGCTTGTGACGACGCAAAGGGTGACAAGAAGCAAGGCGGCGGCGAGATGGAGTTCTCGGAGGAGTCGGACCCCACCAAGCTTGGCATCCCACAGGACGACGCCGCAAAGGAAGAGGCAAAGAAGCGAATGGAGGAGCAGGGCATGAGGGATCTCCTCTCTCAGTACGGCTCTGAAGCCCTCCGTGACACGTACTGGAGCTTCTGCAAGGCCGACAACCCTGACACTACTATGCTCCGTTTCCTCCGTGCCCGAAAGGTGAGTGTTGCCTATCATGACCCAACTTTCACAAGATACGGTTGCAAATTGCTCAATGAACTTCATCAGTGGGATGTCAGCCGCGCCATGGCTATGCTTGCCACTTGCCTCAAGTGGAGACTCGACAGCGGCGTCGAGGACCTCGCTCGCGCTGGCGATTACGGCAATTTCCAGTCAATTCCGAAGTTCTCAGAGCAGCAGAACACCGGAAAGATCTTTGCGCAGGGCGCAACGGCAAATGAGGCGCCCATTTGCTACGTTCGGTTAAAGAAGCACTTCACGTTTGGCCAACCTGCTTCTACCATGCTCAAGTTCATTATTTTCCAGATGGAGACCTGGCGGCTGTGTGAGTGGAGAAACACCAGAAACATTGTCGCAGATGCTTATCATTCCTCTACTTCAGTCATGGTACCTCCCCAGGACAAGATGACGATCCTCTTCGACCTCGACGGTTTCGGCGTCAGGAATTGCGATGTCGTCGCCCTGGTGAGTTTCGCCTCCGACCTCCTTCTCCTTAGGACAACAGCAAGCTGACCTAAGGAATATAGCTCAATGTCGTCAAGTGCCTGGAGGCCTACTTCCCCGAGTCGCTCGAGAAGATGTTCATCCACCGAGCACCGTGGATCTTCAGCCAGATCTGGAAAATGATCAAGGGCCTCCTCGATCCCGTGGTGCGCAACAAGATCGCCTTCACGTCCAATGTCCAGGGTCTCAACGAGACCATTCCCTCTGACCGCCTGCTTGAGTGGGTCAAGGGAAGCGTGACCAATGACTTTGTCTGGATGGAGCCAACAGCCGAGGAGAATGCGCTCCTCAAGGACACAGCTGAGCGCGACAGGAGATGGGACCGTCACCGTGCGCTCGCCGATGAATTTGAGAAGCTCACTCGTCGCTGGTCCGTCGACGGCGGCAAAGAGTGAGTAGAACGTCGTTCCAGACCCAAGACGGACAATATGCTAAGACAGACTCTTTCAATCTCGCAGTCCAACGCTCAACGAGCAAAGGGAGATTCTCGTCAAGAAGCTCCGCCTGTCGCAATTCGAGCTCGAGCCATACACCCGAGGCCGAACGATCCACCACCGCAACGGCACTTTGCCTTTGGCAAACCCGGGCATGGTCAAGTGGGACTACATCCAGAAGGACGGTGAGAAGCTGCGGCAGATCATTGGCCACAAGGAATCGCGCAAGTCGATGATCTACGAGCTGCTGGCCATCCAAGACGGCGCGTCAGTGGACGACGCAGAGGCAAAGACCAAGCAAATGATCGAAGCGGGCCAGTGGGGCCAGTGGGATACTTGCGACGACATGCCCGACAATGTCAAGAACCAGGTTGAGCACCTTCTGACGCCCGCCACTTCCGCCCCAGGTGGAACTGCAGCCGCACAGAGCAACGGCACAACCGCTTCAGATGCTGCTGCTGCTGCCCCAGCTGCTGTTGCACCGGCAGCTGCTGCGCCTAAGTCCAACGGCATTGGCGCGTCCCCGCAAGCCAACGGAACGGCCAACGGAACGACCAACGGAACGGCCAACGGTGCTTCTCAGAAGCCCGCTCCTGCCGCTCCTGCCGCCACCAATGCTGCTCCTAAGAGCAACGGACCTAGCGACTACAAGAGCTCCGATTACTCTGCCGATTACTCTAACGACACGCCCAAGAAGCAGTCGATGTTTGGCTCCCTTAAGAAGAAGATTATGACTTAGGCTAGCTATCTCTTCTCTTCCTTGTTTCCCGAATTTTCCTGTCCTCTTCTTCTTTCTTGTGTTGATACCTTTTCTGGTGATCTGATCTACTACCTTCTGTGCCATCCCGGCAGACGTCATGTCGGTATTTGCTTGTGTGACCTGTCAGGTTTTGTCAGGTGGGTGAGGATTGCTGAATGGTCATGTGGGAGGGGTCTCCACTTTGCACAGATTTAACCTCCGGCTCCACACCAGGAGCAGGAGGGCAAGCAAAGGCCGAATCAAAAGGGTCCTATTTATAAGGGAACGAGTGGCCGCACCCACTCAATTCACCCACTGTGAGAGTGATCACGATATCCAAGATGGCTGTCGGCTACATTCGATGGGACCAACAGGGCGTCGAGCACGGGGCCGGTCCAAAAGAGGATGCCATCATTCATGAAATTGAAAAACAGATCAATGAAGCTCAGCAGCGCGTCGTTGACAGCCACCACCATGCTTTCAGTGGTACCCATGTCAAGGTGAGCAATTCCGCTCAAAGACGTCTGCAGGGAGCTGACTGTGGGACGCCAGACACACGGAATCGTTAAGGGCAATATGGAGGTGTGTGGAAGCGTGATGGCCCAGCCTGGAAATAAAGTTCACCGTGGATATTCCACAGATCCTTCCCAATCTGCCGCCCCATCTCGCTCAGTCAATGTTTGCCAAGCCCGGAAAGCACCCTGTTGCGATCAGGTTCAGTTCCGAACCTACTGACCTCACACCAGATACTGTCCCACAACCAAGAGGTCTGGGCATGAAGGTTTTCAATGTCGAGGGCACCAAGCTGCGTCCCGATGGCAAGGATCCTAAAACACAGGACTTTGAGTTTAAGTGCGTCTAATGTTCTTTGCCACAGCTTTGAAAATCTGCTGATCTTGCAGCACCCAGCTCTGCGGCAGCCCTTGAGCTTGCAAACGCAGAGACGTGCCGCGACATCATTGGCCTTCGCTTGAAGCACGCTGATCCTCAAGCTTTGACGAATGCGCTCAAGCAGGTGCGCACACTATAAAGCTCCTTAGGTCAATTTGTTCATGTGCTAACAGAAGTGTTCGACAGCGTCCGGACTTCGAAGCGCAAGACGCACGCAATCACGTCCCGCTCCAGCACGTCTTTTGCCAGCGCCAGTACAGCCAGTCGGCCTTTCGATATGGCGACTACGTGGCCAAGTTCCTCTTGGTGCCGTCCAAAGGGTCAGAGCAGGAAGCTTTCACCGATCGCCGATTGGGCGAACAGGACAGTGAAACAGTGGCACTACGACAGGGTCTCAAGGACTTCATCGAGCAAAAGGAGGCAAAGTTCGACTTTTGTGTCCAGCTGCTCCAGAACCTCGACAAGCAGCCCATCGAGGATACTCGGGTAGCATGGGATGCAAACGAGTTCCCATTTGAAAAGGTTGCGACCGTCACAGTCCCTCCTCAAGATCCATTCACGCCGAAGCGAGGTGAGTTGAGGTATTCTCATGAGCGGCGACGCTGTTGACCAACCCCCGAATACTTCACAACCAGTCAATTTCTGGAGAGATGAGATACGGGTGGACCCGTGGCATGGCCTCGAGACGCTCAAGCCGCTGGGCTCTATCAATCGTGTGCGAAAGGGCGTCTACAAGGCGTCTGCTTCTTTTCGACGGAGGATGAACGGCGGGATCAAAGAGGTCACTGTCGAGTCAATCGACCAGATCCCGGATGAGTAGCGGTCCCGATCTTCCCTTCTTGCTTTCCCGCCTCCTACGGTTAGCGCCTTTTCATCTTCTCGCTCGCTCTTTTCAATATTTCCCCACATTATTTGAATATGAGTGGCAGGCTTGCTTTGATGATTGAAAAAAGAGATTCTTAGTCTTTTTTGGGCTCCACGTTCGATCTTGAGACCATCACTCTTCTGCGTCCTGCTTTCAACGCTGTGCGTCAGAGCTACGATGGCACCCGATCCCTCTGCAAAGGGTGTCGCGTCCAATTCCAGGACGGCGTCGACGCCTGCTGGCGATGCCTCGCTACCTCCGCCATCGAGCTCGCTCCCTTCGTCCAAGGCCACGCTCCCTCCCTTGATCAACCAGCTATCGGACCTCGGTGGAGCGCAGAAGAATGGGTCGGGCCATCGGAGCAGCGACGTTGACCTGGCCGCAAAGGCGCTCAAGGGTGCAAACCACGGTGATGCAGGGGGACCCACGTTTGGCGCAGCGTCGGAGGACGACGCAACGAGCGACGAACTCAACGTCGTGGCCGCATACAAGGCACACTTTCGAGAGGATCCCGTTGCGTTCCTGCAGCAGGTCTGGGCCTATGGCCAAGGAAGCGGCTGGCGAGGGTGTGAGTAAATCCATCGATACAAGCATTGGCTACTGAGTATGATGTGCTGACGGAGTGATTGCGAACAGACTCAAACTACATCGGTGCGCCGATTCTGTACCCGGGCCAATCGGACGCCGTAATCCGAGATATCATGAGTTCGGAGCAAGTCCGTAGCCGCATCACCCGCCTTGCACACCAGAGAGTGGACAACCTCCTCGCTTCAGTGCCTCCGCCGCAGTCGACCGATCCCAAGGAGCTGGAGAGGCGGCGAAGGAAGCTAGATCAGTTCAAGCAGCGAAAGCGTCAAGAAATCGAAGCCCAGCTCCAGGACGTGGCCCGATCTATGGCAGAGAAGAGTGTGGCTAGACTCGACTCGCTCACCTTTCTGCGGATCTTCGCTGCCACGATAAACAACGTCCTTGTCCGAATGTACCACCAGGGCATCCACATTTCCGTGCCTCAAGTCCTCGAGCTGAGGAGGGTTGCGGCCTTTTGCGCAGAGCGCAAATACTCGATCTTCTTTCTGCCGTGCCACAAGAGCCACATCGACTACCTCACCTTCAGCTTCCTCCTCTTTCGCCTGGGCCTCTCCCTGCCCCATATCGTTGCAGGCGAGAACCTCGACCTGCCCGTCGTCGGCAACATCTTGCGTGGCGGCGGTGGCTTCTTTATCAGGCGCGCTTTCTCGGGTGACGAGCTGTACCCCGTCGTGATCAAAGAGTGAGTCCATAAGGGCTCAATTCAGCATGCAGTACCCACAAGCTCACGTTTGATTGTGCAGATACATTGAACAGCTTCTGTCAAAGGGCAAGAACATCGAATGCTTCATCGAGGGCACGCGATCGCGAACAGGCAAGTTGCTCCCTCCCAAGTTGGGCATCTTGAAGTACGTCATCGACAGCATCCTCGAGCAGAGGACCGAGGATGTCTACATCTGCCCAGTCAGCATCCAGTACGACGACGTCGTTGAGGCAGAGACTTTTGTGTCGGAGTTGTTGGGCAAGCCAAAGGAGGCAGAATCGCTCTTTGGCCTCTTGTCGGGCTCCGGCAGCCTTCTCAGCCTTCAGATGGGTCGGATAGATGGTGAGATCTCCCGCCGTAGCAAAACTTCCGGTTCTATTGTGCTGACTTTAGGACGACACAGTCCGTTTCCAAATTCCTTGGTCGCTCAAAGGCTTCATCAAAGAACAGACGAAGCGACGAGAAGCGCCCGGGCCAAATGGAACAAAAGTGGAGCTCGATCTGCTCAACAATGCTCAACACAAGTCCTTGCTCCTCAAGGCGCTCGGTTACCGTACGCTGTCCGACATCAACCGAGCGGGCGTCGTGATGCCTGCTGCTCTCGTGGGCACCGTCATCCTGACCCTTCGAGGCCGAGGCGTCGGCAGGAGCGAGCTCATCCGCCGAGTCGAATGGTTACGGGATCAGATTCTTGCGAGAGGCTACCAGGTTGCTGATTTGTAAGTTCTTCCGTCTTCCAACGCTTGCTTCGTTCATGGAGCTCATCAGGAACGCAAACACAGCGGGCAGATGTCGACGGGCGAGGTCGTCGATCGTGCTTTGACGACGATGAAGGACCTGATCCAGGTTCAGACCGACGTCATGGAACCGACGTTCCTCCCGCTCAAGCGCTTTGAGCTGAGCTTCTATCGGAACCAGGTCATCCATATCTTCGTCAACGAGAGCTTGCTCAGTGTCGCCCTCTACACCCGCGTCAAACAGGGCGGCAGCACGCCAATGCAGCGGATGGAGCTGAGCGCTCTGACCAGAGAGTGCGGGTGGATCAGCCATGTGAGTCTTCTCCAGCCGATTTTCACTTCGTAGCCACTGACCAGACTTATGCAAATCGACAACAAAAGATCCTTCGGAATGAGTTCGTGTATGGGACAGACCCTCTCGAGACAAACGTTCGCAAGATTGTCGACGAGATGACGCGCGACGAGATCCTCGAGCAGAGCGACGCGAGCACGGGCGAGACGATCAGCGACGATGCCTTGATTGGCCTGACGCAGAAACAGCGCGACCTGGGCCGCAGGGACTTTGACGCCTACCTCTTCCTCGTCTGGCCTTTCATCGAGGGATACTGGCTAGCGGCGTGCAGCCTCCTGCTCCTTGCAGGGCCCGGAACGCAAGAGGAGGGGGAGCCCGCCTCTTCTTCCTCCTCGACGATTCACTGGTATGCGGCAAAGGAGTTTGAGTCGAGAGCCCAGCTGTTTGGAAAGACAATGTACAGCCAGGGCGAGCTGAGCTACCTCGAGGCCGTCTCTGCCCAGACAATCTCACAGGCCATCACTCGGTACGAGGAACTGGGCATCGTTGTCCGCCGCAAGTCTTCCGCCGCCAAGCCTGTGCCGCTCATCGCACTCGATCCGTCTTACAAGCCGCGGCTGCAGCAGACGCAGCAGCAGCAGGGTCTGTCAGAAAAAGGGACAACAACAACCACGACAACCATTTCTCCCGGTGGAGGCGGCAAGCTATGGGAATTCTTGGAGAGGCTGAGTGCGTTCAGAAGAGAGGGCAAAGATCGCCGAGACGCGGGCGACGTCGTGGGCGAGAGGCTGTTAGATGTGATTGGGAGAAACTACCCGACGCCAGTAGAGACGACACGGCACACGGACGGTCACGCGAGGATCTAGCAGCCGTTTGTGACAGGATTGAGAGTTTGCCTAGGTCAATTGTATATGGATGTAGATGTGAACACGAGAGCCAGAAGCCTGAGGGTGGTCATCAGACGAAGAGATCGAGATGCGAAGAGAAAAGGAGAATATTAAGCAAAGTAGAGGTCGACAATCATCGTGGCCACTCCGAGGACGATTCTGTGTCAGATCGGTCAGCGGGCTTCTTCATCTTGAGAGGAGTTCACCTTTGAAAGAAGACGAGACTTACTCTAGTAGAATGAGGACGATGACAATGATCTCCAGCCATTCGGAATGTGAGCTCGTGACCTGGTCCTTCAGGAGCTGGAGCATATCCTGGAGCACCTCCACGCGGGCATTGAGCAGCTCGATGCGCTGGGGAATCTCGAGATAGGACCTGGCGGCCGAATAGAGGGGCTCCAGATCGGGTTGGGCCCAGAAGATTTCCGGCGAGTCAACGATGGATCCGACGAGGTGGATGTTCATCCGCAGGATAAAAAGGTGTCCAATCTGCTTCATGATGTCGACGGGAGGCAGGCCAATCTTGCCACTTTCGGCGATGCTCTGAGGAATGTCTTTTGTCGTGTCGATTGTGTTGTCGATGACGCCTTCAAAGAAGCTGATTTTAGTCGATTGGGCCAAGGCATGTGAGAGCGACAGCTTCGTCATGTAGCTTGAGCCGCGCCGGAGAGTGATAACATCATTGTAGATGCTGTTACAGAAAGCCATCGATCAGATGAAGTCTTTTCCCATTTCTGATCAGAAGCAGTCCACTCACCGACTGTAGTCTGCCAGGTACCAGTTGAGCTCCTCGCTCTCGACGTCCTCATGCGCCAGCTTTTCCACCTCGAACTTGCGCAACTCCCGCAGGAGCCGCTTCTCCTCTGTAACGGACATGCCCCAAATTACGACGGCTGCCAAATCAAGTCAGTGTGTCACTCTGCGACTTTCGAGCCTGGCTTGGAGCCACTCACTGCCATATTCCATGAAAAAGATCTCGGGGATCATGCCGTGGACCGAGAACCTCTCTTTTCTCCTCAGCCTGGCCTCCTCCCTTCTCCTCTTCGCCTCTTCTTCCTGTCGCCTTTGCTCGGCTTGTTCGGCATCCTGTTCGTCCGCCTCCTCGCCCTGCTCGCCAACATCGACCAGCGTGGCGGTACTCGCACCGTTGTTGCTCGTTCCATTCTCGCTTTCTTGCTGACCCTCGGCTCCATTCTCTTTAGAAATGCCCGACTCTTCATTTTCGCCTTGCAGCTCGGGAATGCCCAGAAGATCGCCAGTTTTGGTCAAATGGTCCTTTTGCACGCTTCCCGCCGAATGACTCCGATTTCGCAGTTTTGATTTGGAGTCCTCGTTACCGCGCTGATTGTAGTTGTGGACATGGCTGTGATGGTGGGGATGGTGATGATGGTTCGAGATACCTCTAGCCTCGTCGACCAGCTCGTAGGTGTACGTCGTGTAGACGCACTCGTCGAAAGTCATGACGTTGGTCCGGTGCGTATCCCTCCTGGCTTGAAGCCACTTTGTCAGCTCACGCATCCGATATGATCTGTTGGGAATAGCTCGGTCAGCTCTTTGCTGTTGAAATAGAAGATCGTGCAGGGTTAACCTACGTCGCCGTGCTATATGCCGTGACCCTCGGAAGACTGGCCCGGCCCTTCCTGGTAAGTCTCCTGGCATCCCGCCGCATGCTTCCCTCTGGAATCTGTGCCAGGGCAAGCTGCTTATTAATTCGGCTCCTCTCCTCCTCTGCAGTCGTTCCAAAGCGATCGACGGCCTCGCCGGAATCGTCTTCATCGGAGGAATCATCATCGTCGTCGTCGTCTCCACCGCCTCCACCGCCCGACTTTTTCGGCATGGCACCATCTTGACCCTCCTTCGGTATTGACGCAGTCGCATTCACATCTTCAGGCTCTTCGGGGAGGATCTTGAGCTTGCCAGACGCCTTTGTTGATCTGTGGGAAGGAAGAGGCCAGGGTCAGATGCATCGGCCCCTAAGATGATGAGTCGCTTGGACGCTCACCGATTCGGACCGGCCTTGGCCTTTGCTCGGGCAATGCTGCCAGGATTTTTGGACGAGCCATAGTATGCTGGAAGGCTCGGTCCGCTCCTGCCCTTGCCTAGACCGCTCGAAGACATCCTGCTCACTCGGAATGGACAGTTCCGAAGAGAGAAAATAGAAGAAAGCGGCCCCTGTGGAGTCGTCCCTTCTGCATCGCGTCCGGGCGAGAAAATCTGAGTTGATGCAATCGAGCCCACGTGTTCCTGAGACAGACTCCATCCTCACTTCACGTAGTACCGTGACGAACGAATTGATGAACACATGATTGAATGAGTGAAGGTGACATAATAGCCAAGATAGTAAAAGAATCCGCTATGATACAGGGGAGAGGATCTAGTCATCATCGTCAAAAGTCTTCTTTGCCTTCATCGACGCCCGGTGATCAATGGACACCTTTTCTCTCTGCGCGTTGGCCAGAGCCGCGCCCGGCTTGATCCTTCGGTTCGTCTTAGGGTTGGCCGCACGCCTTGCCTCACGCTCCTCCTTCGTCTCCTTGTGCTTCTTGGGCAGCGGTGCGTCTGGATCAAAGGTGCCAGGCTGAGGAGCCTCGGCCTTGAGCACCTCTTCATCCCCCTCTTCCTGTGGCTGTTCGCGCCGATGGTCGTCGGTGCGTCTCTCATAGGGTCGTCCCTTTGGACGGTCTCCAGGCTGTTTGACGGCTCCTCGACGGATGGCATCGGCACCTGCAAACTCTAACTTGAGCTCCCTTCCCAAAAGTCTCGCGTTGTGCGGGTCGCACAAAGATGCCGTTGCATAGGCAGGCGTGAAAAAGTCGATGAAAGCGAATCTTCAGAAGACGATGTTAGCTTCTCCAGCATAGGTCGAAATTAACACAGTCCGACTCACCCTTTGCACTTGCCGGTATCTTCAAACTCGCCCATGCGAATCTTACGGATGCCGGCTCCTCGCGGCGCCTTCTCCTGGCCGTCTTTGGTTCCTTCGCCCAGCTTCTCCTTTGCCGCGAATTCCTGGCGATTGTGGGCACTCCGTTCAATCATTTCACGCAACGCATCGACCTTCGTCTCGAAGCTGAGGTTGCCCACAAAGAGCGTAGGGCCAGGTGGGTGCTTTTGGGCGCGGAGGATCTTTTGTGCAGTCTTGGTCAGGCCCGTCTTGCCCTGCCTTGCAGCGACGGCGTCACCCTCCCCCGCGTCTTCCTTGCCCGTGGCGAGTGCAACGGCGTTGCTGTTCATCTCGGGGCGGCCCGAGTAGTCGGAGCCAGACTTGATCAGCAACCTGCGTCCATCGAGGTGGCCTTCTGACATGCCAATGCCTGCCTTGACTGTGTCGACATCGGGTACGTCGACATATGCGAAGCTTGCGAGTTTCGATACGCTTCAGCTTTGCAAACAGCAAGAGGACGAGTCATGAGCACTCACCCCTTGTTAAACTCTCCGCGCTTGGCGCCCGCTGGCATGTGCACCCTCGAGATGCCTTCGATTCCACCTTGCTCGAGCCATTCCTGGAGTTTTTCTGGGCTTGTCCTGAACGACAAATTGCCAATCCACAAGCTATACGGGCTTCTCTTCGGCAGAGCATCGGCCTCGTTCGCCGTCGCCGCCTTCTTCTCCTCGGCCGGCTCGAGAAGACCTCGCTTCTCTAGCTTCCGTCTCTTTCTCATCTCCTTGTGCGAAAGAGCCTCGACCTCTTCCTCCCCTGCATCGCCTTCCTTCGGCTCTGCTCCTTCATCTTTATTCGACCCGCTCAATGCAACATCCTCATCGCCGCTGTTGTCGTCGACCCCGTCCTCCTCATCCTCCTGCTTCCTCTTGAGGCTGGCCTTCTCGCCCTTCTTGCTCTCCTGTTTGGCTTGCTTTTCAGCTTTCTTCGCCAACCTCCGCTCCTTGTTGGTAAGCGCTAGTGCAGGCGACGACGTGCTAGCCTCCGCGGCTGCTTGCTGCTCCTCTAATGCCATCCTGCAACGCCTTCTAGTCTTGTGTCGTGAGTGAGCTCCAGAGAAATGTCGAAGCTAAATTTCTTCCAAACAAAATTTGAGAAGTCAGCCAAAAAAAAAAAAAAGACTGTCGGCCGAAGAGGCAAACTTCACGCACGGGTCAACGCTACCACTCACACCATCACCTCGACACCATGGCGGTCGTGGAGGGCAGCATCGCCTCCTCGTCGAAGCAGCCAGCCAGCGACCTCCTGAAATATCCGTTGCCTGATCTTAGTAGGCTGACCACGCCAGCTTCGGTCAGACGGTCGTTGGCCGAGCTCTCGGCCCATTCGGTGCAGCTCGAAGAGCACCTCTCCCACCTCCTCCGCCAGTCGACCGTGCACAAGCAGGCTTATCGTGAACGAGTGTCGCGCCTCTCGACGCAGGTGGACCTCATTCGCGAAGAGGCCAAAGTCTTGCAGGTGAGGCTTGGATCTACGAGCGCGACGGCAAAGAGGATTAGCGAGAGCGTGCGTAAGCTTGACGAAGAAATCGAGAGAGTCGATCTTGCCAGGGTGTGGGCAGAGAAGGTCCAAGATTTGAAGGTGCGTTTTGCCGTTGACACCGAAAAAGACCTAGTGCATCGGACTGAGATCTGGCGTCCTCTCTCTCGTTGCAGGCCTCGCTCCTCTCGCTTGCATCTGCCATCGAGCAGCACGACTATGATACGGCGACGAGCCATTGCGTGCGCTGCCTCGAGGTGCCAGATGAGATCGTCCAATCGAAATTTGCTGCAGCTGTGGTGCCTACGTCGGAGTACCCAGAGCCGCCACCCAGCACGCTTCTCAACCTCCGCAAGGCCCTTCTCGACGTCTTCACGAGGCGCTTCACTACTGCCACTGACAACAGGGACACAGTCGAGGCAACGAAATTCTTTACCCTCTTTCCCCTGGTTGGCTGGAAGGCCGAGGGTCTCAAGGTCTATAGGTGAGAGCGCTCAAATCATATTACTCACCGTGTTACTTCACTGACGAAGACGCCGTTCCTGATTACAGCGACTTTGCGAAAGGAATGGTCAGAGACCGAGGGCGAAACATCGTCGAGAACTTGGGCAGTGGAAAGTGTGAGTGTCTTCCTATGTCCTTGTCGTGAGTCTCACCGCTGAACATCAGTCATTACGATACAATAGCTGGGTCGCCGGTGCATCACGCAACGCTCTTGACGCAGCTCTTCGAGCACCTCGCCCTCCTAATCGACCAGCATCAGCCACTCGTCGATCGTCATTACGGCCTCGGAAACTTCCTTGAAGGAGTCATGCCGGGGCTTCAAGAGGAATGCGACAGGCTAGGGGGCCGAGTCTGCGATGCATGGTGGGAGGAGCGCAACATTCATCGGAGGGTAAGTGTACAAGGGACATCGTCCGCAAACCCAGAGTACCTTGAGCTGAGCACCCTTGTCTGTCTATCTGCCTATCTGTACCTACCCCGGCAGATTCAAGAGTCTCGCACTTACTCCTTCACTTACTCGGCATCGATTGGTAAGACGCCCAGAAGTCTGACAAAGCCAGCCCAAGCCAGCGGACCTACCACCTTCTCGCTTCCGGGACGGCCTTCTACACCCGCAAGTGGCCAGACGCCGGGAGCTTCCAATATGACGGCCGAGCCGGAGGTGGATACAAGAGAGGTGGACCGCGTCAACGCAGAGGTGGCCGTCATGGCGTCGAGATGGGGCACCTACACACTCTTTCTTACTGGGAGGCTCCAGGTAGGTGGTTTGACTCCTCCTGGTCCCATGTTTGTCCACATGTTGATCCTGCTTTAGCTCGATGGAGAGGAGACACGGGCGAATGGGGGTGCCGAAGAGGCCAATGCTCAGCAGACCAAGGAAGTCAAGACAACACTTCCCGTCATCGAGTCTTCAGGTCTAGGTCAGAGAATCGACGAGGCCCTGGAGCAGGCCTACCTTCCTCTCGAGACCTGGTTCTTGCGTTGCGGTATTGAGAAGGTGGGTTGCAATTTGAGAGCCGACTTTTAGCAGTATCTTTGACAAGGCTTTCTCAGGCACACCGATTGGACAATCCCGATCTGAGCGCAAGGCCGTATACCTCACCTTTGCTTGACGATGTCTTCTACCTGATCAAACTAGTCCTCGAGAGATGCTCGTCGACATCCTCGCTCAAGGTACTTTCATACATGGTCAGGACCGTGCGGTGGATCATCGACGAGGACTTCGTCCAAGCGCTGGCCAGGAGGATGGAGACCACGTGGAGGAGCTCATCGTCGAGCATGACCGTCGAAGGCCCAAGGAAGGATGCAGCAACCAAGGAGGTGCGGACGACCTTCATCGTCTATCTTAATGTTCTCTCGACTAGCGCAAGATACCTCGAGCGTATAGTCTCAGAGGCCTCTTCCGAGCAGATTCTCTCACAGCACTATGCAGCCGACGACGTTGCCGTTGCATCAAGTACGATCCACGGACTCGACGTCCTCGTTCCTCGAACGCGGAATGCAGTCAGGGTGCGTGCTTCCTCACTTCATTTGCATCACAATCGCTCACTCTTCCTCCCTGCTTGCAGAACTCGATGGAGCTTCTCTTTTCGCAGCTGACAAAACCTCGCCTGCGACAAGTGCTAGTCGAGGCGTACAAAGATGTGACATATCTGCTCGACGATGATGCATTTGCGGAAGCCGAGGCGCACGACCTCTTTGTGCGTCGCTTCCTTCGGGGCTGGGACATTGTCCTTGCGGGATTCAAGGATATGTTCAATGAGGAGAATTGGGAGACGTATCTCCGACTCTGCATCGACAGTGTCGTGAGACCGTGGGAGAAGCAAGCTATGAGCATGCAATACAGCGAGGTAAGTCACCTTAAGCGTCTCCTCTTTGTGGAAGAGAAGGGGAAGTTGACACTTTGCCTTGTACAGCTCGGAGCCCTCCGATTCGACAAGGATTTGAGAGCTCTTTCGAACCATCTCTCGAATCAGTCCAACACTGGAGGTCTGCGAGAGAAATTTGCCCGCCTCACCCACATCTCCTACCTTGTCAACCTCGTCGATGATGACGACGCCGAGGGAGAGGGCTTTGGGGCAACGCAGACGAGGGAAGCTCAGAGAGATGCTGCCTCGTCGGGAGGCGATGTGGCCTGGCGCCTGAGCGCACAGGAAGTCAAGATTGTCAAGGGCCGACGAGCAGGGTGGTAGTAAGGACCCCTTCCACCCCCCAGTGTAATACCACGTGGCCGGAAATCAAAAAGGCTGCAGAAAGTGGAGAGAGGGAGACGCTATATTGTGTTGTTTGTTCGAGCGCGCGTCTGAATGAGTGCAACGACGACGAGTGCGACGCGGCAATCAGCTAGGAAACCGTCTTGGCCGGGGGGTTTACAGGAGAGAGGAGCAATGTCTCGACCGAGACCCACGCCCCGAGTTCGAGAAAAGAGTTCATCGGCGGCGTCGACGGCAACACCCTCTTCTCTTGACGTGCCGGCGAGCACTGCAGGGCCGATATCGAGCGGCCGGACGCTGCCGCCGGCGAGAACGCAGTTCACAGATGATGACGAGGACTCCTTCTTCACGAGAAGAGCCGTCAGGCCTATGGTGGTGTCGAGCGGAGAGAGCTCTCGGAGTAGTGACAGCGAGCGCAGCAGCTCAGGCGACAGTGAGGACGGGAAGAGGAGAAGGAGACGGAAGAAGAGCAAGGGGCCGCTTGGACGGGAGAGTCAGAGCAAGGAGAGCGATGGACTAACGGCAGCTGCGGTCGAGAAGGGAAAGGGGCCCGGTCGCGACGATGGAATACGTGCTGAGGCGGAAGGGCGGGAAGAGCGTAGAGTGAGGGACAGGTCGAGCAGCCTGACGCCTCCTCCGGAGCTGGATAGCCAAGGTGTGTAGAGTATTTCGAGCGCATGTATAGAGCGACTGAACGTCTTCGTCGATGTAGTAAAGGCTAGGATACAGCAGTTGGTCGAGATGAGGACAAGAGGGGAATCTCGAGTGAGTGAAGGCATCCCTTTCTCTGCTGCTGCTTGGGCGCTAAGACGTTGTTCTCATCGCTGTGAAGGGCCAGGAAACGGAAGATTCGGACGAGGAAGATGCAGACGAATCATTGCCGCTCAATTTGGAAGAGCTGGACCCGGATTTGATACGAAACGCGAGGGGGAAGAGGGGAATCGAGCTGAGGAAGAGGTACAAGGAGCTCGAGGAAGAGAGAAGAAGGCGCGGCAAGCTCGACACTGCTCAAAAAGTGCTCAGTACGCGCGGTGGACCGGAAGAGAGGGAGAGCAGCCAGGACGCTAGACCACGCAAAAGGAGCAAGAGCAAGAGTGCATCGCTCGAAGAGGGGCGAAACTCCTCTGCACGTCGGACAGTGGTGGGTCACTCTCGCCTGCCACTCTGCTTCGCAGTGTCGTGATGCTGACAATGGAAACAGACACCGCCAAGGAATGTGCAGGCGATAGTCATTGATGACGATAGTGGCTCGGACTTCGAGCCTCCTTCACAGGGGACAGTGCCGCAGGCTCAGTCAAGGACACGGTCGCAGAGGCAGCAGCAGCAGCAACGCGCGAAGAATGACTCGAGCGACTCGGAGGTTGAGTTCATCTCCGCTCTGCAAACGCAATCATCTGCGCTCCGATCCCAGGCTCAGCAAGGCCCTTCGGTGGGCAGCAGTAGCCGCGTCGCTGTGCCGCTTGCTTCGAGGCCACCAGCGCCGAAACGGGCGGAACCAGAGGAAAGGGAGCCTATCAGTGCGATGTCAACTGAAGAACGCATCACAGTCACGCTCAGGGGCGGTGAGGGCGGCATCTACAAGATTCCAGTCAAGGTCAAAAAGACGACGTTGGTCTCCAAGCTCCGCGCCCACTTCATCGATACAAAGAAAGACGTCCTTACGCCCGCCCAGGCGGCAAAAGTCAGACTGCTGTTTGATGGAGAGGTGCGTTGTTTCATTCAGTTTCGATCTCCCAGCGCTGATATGTGTGCCGGCTCAGGTCCTCGACGGCAAGCAGACGATTGCAGACATCGAGGTCGAGGACGACGATCTCATCGATGTCGAGTGGTGACGGCACACACGCATGCAGGATGTGATGTGCAATGACAATACAATCGAAAGAGGACCTTCGCCTCGGTATAGCAGTACAGTGTGGGGCCGGATGGATCTCTCTCTCTCTCTCTCTCTCTCCCCCTCTTCTCCCTCTCCACCTCATTGTCAACTTTCGGCCGGAAGGGCCTTGGCATCTATGGCTTCCAAATCGGATGTCATCTCGGGGAAGGCGCTGGCGAGCTTGCTTCGGAGCGTGTCGCGGTACAAGTCAAAGGACTCGAGCTGGCCCCTCAGCTGCTGATTGTCGCCGACGAGCCGATTGACAAAGTTTCTCGTGTGAATATCTGGATTGCGACCCTGGTCCACCATGGCCATGACCTTGTCGGGGACGAGCTGGGAGAGGTCCGGCTGCGTCGAGGCATCCTGGACGTGCTGCAGCGTCTGCATCGTCTCGTTGATCTTGATCCGGATCACGTCTTCGGCACCCTCGTGGATCTCGCTTGCGCACATCATGAGCTGGTACAGCTCCTCGGTGGCAAGCCTCACGCGGTCGACGAGCTCCAGCCTTGCCGCTTCGGATGCCGGTCGAGGGAGAACCTGGTGCAGTCCGCTGTCCAAAGACGTCGTCGTCGTGGGCCCAGCCATCACCGTCGCCCCCGCGCCCGCCCCAGCGGCTGCTCCTGCGCCCGCTACGCCGTGGTCTGGTGGTCCCAATGCAGACGATGCAGAACCCGGCGGCCCAGCAGCCGGTGCATCGCCGGCGATCTCCCTCCTCTCGCCCGCGAGCGGTGGCTCGGGTGATGGCGAGGGCGACGTTGGAGTCCGGTCGCGAGCGCGTGGGGGCATGCTAGTGGTAGTAGTGCTGGTGATAGAATTGACTTGCTTCGCTCGCCCGAAATTCACTTTTGGCGTGGAGGGCAGGCGGGTCTCTAGGTTCGGGATTTTCTTTTTGGATTTTTTTGGTCTTCAGATTTTTCTCGTTGGTAGGGATTTCTTGACTTTGCTCCTGTTCCTTCCAGACTGCTTCTCCTCGAGACGAGTTCCCCTCCCCGACTCGACTGGAAGAGGACAATGTCGAACGGCAAAGGCAAAAAGAAGGAGGAAGAGGCGCTCAGACCGAAAGCCAAGACCTTTGGCGGGCTCGGTCTGTCCTCGCTCCTCGTGCGGTCTTTGGCCCATCTCAGCATCACGACGCCGACGGCCATCCAAGCAGAGTCGATTCCCTTGATTCTCTCGGGCAACGACCTCATCGGAGGCAGCCCCACGGGCTCGGGCAAGACGCTCTCCTTTGCTCTTCCCATCCTTCAGAAGCTGCAACGAGACATGGTGGGGGGATACGCAGTCGTCTTGACTCCGACGAGGGAGCTGGCCGTGCAGCTCCACGAGCAATTCGTCGCCGTCGGTGCAGGCGCCGACATTGGGCTCAGGGTCTCGCTCGTTCTCGGTGGCATGGACATGCTCAAGCAGAGCGAGGAGCTGAGCAGGGGCAGGCCTCACATAATTGTCGCCACACCCGGGCGGCTCGTCGACATCCTCAAGAGCGGCGCCGGCGAGGACTGGGGCCTGCAGAGGTGCAAGTTTGTCGTGGGTACTCGAGAGATCGACTTTTCATTTGACAGTTCAGCTCACTGTTTCATCAATCTCAGGTCCTCGACGAGGCGGATCGCCTGCTGACAGCAACATTTGGCCCCGAGCTCTCATACCTCTTTGGCGTCCTGCCACCTGCGAGAGCGCGGCAGACGCTCCTTTTCACCGCCACCTTGACGCCCGAGATCGAGCAGCTGGCCAACAAGGAGCCGGAGCCCGGTGAGAAAAAGCCGGTGCTCTGCAAGATCGAACAAGAGTGGGTTCAAATCGCTCTCGGGCACTTCACTTTCATTTCTGATCAGCCCTTTTTCTTTCTTCTCCTCGTCCCTCCAGCACCTCGACGCCAGAGAAGCTACGTCAAAAGTACATCTTTGTACCGTCGCACATGCGCGAGCCGTTCCTGCTCCATCTGCTTGAGCATGCGCCCACAACTGTCTCTGGGTGGACAAGGCATAAGAAAGGCGAAGAAAGCGAAGACGAAGACGAGGAGGACGAAGGCAGCAAGGTGCCTCCAACGATCATCTTTTGCGCGAGGGCGGCTACGGCGCAGCTGCTCAGTCTGATGCTCAAAGAGCTGGGTATCGGCAACGTGGCCCTTCACTCCAAGATGTCGCAGCCTATGCGGCTCCAGTCGCTCGACACCTTCCGCGCCCGCTCCGTGCCCATCCTCATCACGACAGACCTTGGCTCGAGAGGGTTGGATGTCCCCGACGTGGCCATGGTCGTCAACTGGGACCTGCCACGAGACTGGCGTGACTACGTCCATCGAGTCGGTCGAACGGCGCGTAACAACAAGGAGGGCGTCAGCGTTAGCTTCGTCGGCGAGCGCGATGTCGAGCTGCTACAGGGCATCGAGAAGAAGATCAATGTGGAAATGGTCGAGCATTCCATGAACGAGGAAAGGGTTCTCGAGAAGCTCAACGCCGTCATGACGGCGAAGCGGGTCGCTTCCATGGTGAGTAAAGTGCTTTTGATAACAAGATACTCGGCTCTGACAATGCTCCTTTTGCAGCAAATGCATGACTCCCACTTTGGTGAGCGCGACGAGCGCAATAAGCGAAAGGCTGAGCTCCGGAACAAGTCTGTGGAGGGGAAGCCGCCGTCATCCAAGAAGAGAAGGAAAAAGGAAGAAGCGTGATCTCAATTGTAATGTAGTGTAGCACTATACCATGGCTTGTTTTATCATAGAGATTAGTGTCTGTGATTGATGTCTAATGTACAGTAACAAGAACGCTGACGGCACGGTCTTCAGCGCTGGAAGCCTGGAGGTGGCACGCCATATCCCGGCGGTGGTCCTCGCATCCCCAGTGGAACGGGCCCACCTGCTCCGCCGAGCGGCGGTGGTGGTCCTGCCGATCCTGGCGCTGCACCCATTGGCGGCGGGGGCCCTCCCACTCCGTTCATGTTGGGCGGTGGCCGGTTGTGCATGTTCCCTGGCGATCCTCCTGGCGGCCCTCCCATGCCCATCGGTGGCGGTGGTCTCGCGAATCCTCCTCCTTGCTGAAAGCCTCCTCCAGGCGGCATGGGTGGTCTCCCATATCCACCCCCACCCATCATCCCTCCTCCTCCCTGGAATCCCGGTCCACGTTGATACCCTCCACCACCACCAGGACCACCGTACGAAGGCTGGGGCGGCAAAGGGTGGGGTAATCCTCTGATGTCGTACTCCTTGAGCACACCGCGGTGGATCATATCGAGCTGCGCAGGGTCCAGGGAGAGGTAGTAGTCTCGCACGTTTTGCAGGTGGTTGCGACCCTTGTTGTGGTCCTTGCGCACGGAGGTGCTGTCGTGCGTTAAGAAGACGTCGCAGTAGTCACCTGTTCAAAAGGGGCGAGTCAGTCCAGCCCGTCAGAGTCTAAAGAGGTCAGAGCACAACTTACAGTAGTGTTGCCCCATCTTGGCAGTCTTTCCTTTGGATCCCGTCCTTTGGAGACTGAACGAGCCTAACATTTGACGGCGATGGAACTTCCAGAGACTTGAGCTTGGGGGACCACGTGACTGGCCAAGGAGAGAAAATATCCGTCAATGTGACAGAATGGATTTTTCTCTGTTTGCATGGCGAAGCAACGATGCCGTCCCGGAGAAGCTCGCTTGAGACAAGTGTAATCAACGGGCTTTTCCAGTTGATTGCGCTTCAGTCTTGCCATGTCTTCACTATCAGCCATACAAGTCCAGAACAAGGTCGGTAAGGGCGGCAAGCGCGTGCCCGTCGGCAAAAGCGCCAACGTCAGGTGGCGGCCGGTCTTATCGCACCGCCCGCCGTGTCCAGGTCGTGTGGGACCGACCTCTGACCTCCTCCCCGTGAGCTCCGATCGAGCGCTTCCTCTTTTTGGCTTGCAGCAAAAAACGGGGAGCTATCGCTTTGCAGCCGCGCCTGCTGCCGCGCCAATCCGAGCAGAAGAAAATGAGTACAAATCGCGGCTATTCTGTGTAACTGTATCTTGGTTTCTTCGACTGCCCGTACGCCGTCTGCACTGCACTTCCTCCTCCCATTTGCCCTTGGCTGTGGACACTATCCATACAACTTTCCTCTATTCGTCCCTTCACCTGGTTATTATTCTTAATTTAAAAACTTTCGTCCTCTCAATAGAGCGGGTATCGGTTCGCTTATGATTACCGACGCGGTCCTGGATCGCAAAGAATTGTTCGGTGAATGGACCGATCGATCCATTTGTATTTGGAAATGGCCACTTCGTCGAGCTCGACGTCGTCGCCATTGCCATTGGGTGAGCCGGCGGAAGCTGACAAAGCTTGACAGCTGTGGGAAAAGCCCAGAAGCGGGGATGATGGCCTGGCCGACCAAAGCGACATGGACAAGCCGCGAAGCCAGACAAGATCCGCATCGACAACCCACCCAGGCGAAAGACACTGTGGCGTTTTAGAACTGTATTTGGCAATTTTAAAACCCGACTTAAACAAATTAGATAGGAGAGAAAGAGGCCTCGATTTCTGATTTTTTTTTTCCTCCTTTGAATCCAATTACGTCCCGGTGCCTGGGCCTACCTGTCTCTGTGGTTGAATTACCCAGACGCAAGCGGGGGATCAAAAGACTGGAACACTTCCTTCTCCCAGTGCTCCACTGGACGTTCTCGGATAGGAAAAACTTTTTGCAACGAGGGAAGAAAATCTAGAATTATAAAGATAGAGGCAGAGGGACATCCACCATTTCTTCTCCCTCACCCCACAACCCGCCTCCTCTCCTTCCCAAACGAGAAAGCAAAAATGTTCGGGAGCAGCGACAAGAAGAAGAAGACGGACTCGTTCACGTCTTCCGTTGATCAGCGCCCCATCGACGAGGAGGCCCGCGTAACGCAGCGACGCGTCTCGGCCGCCGACCTGGGCATCGACAACGATGATGACGCCGAACTGGCCAGGAGGACGGGATACAAGGGCGAGTTCGCAAGAGAGTTCAAGAGCTTCTCGACGTTCAGCTATGCATGCAGCATCATGGTGAGCAAGCTGATGTCTCTGATCCGCAAATGCCGGCGTCAAGTCCGCTGACAGGTCGTTCACTCCCACAGGGTCTTATCTCTTCCGTCGCCACGACGTTCAACACGCCCTTCACGCTCGGTGGACCGGCCACGACGGTGTGGTCTTGGTTCCTCGGCTCGGTCATGAACCTTTCCCTCGGAGCAGCCATCGCAGAGCTCGTCAGCGCATACCCTTCGGCCGGTGGTCTCTACTCGGCATCAGGCCTCGTGGTGCCCAAGAAGTACCGCGCCGTCACGGCCTGGTTCACGGGCTGGCTCAACTTCACTGGTCAGATCGCGGGTATCGCAGGAACGGCGTACGGATTGGCGCAGATGATGCTGGCCTGGGCTACCGTCGTCACCAACGGCTCGTACCTCCCTACGACGGCGCAGACGTACGCCGTGTATGCGGCCATCTGCATTGTCCACGGTGCCATCAACTGCTTCCCCACGTCGTACCTCGCAAAGTTCACCTCGACCTACGTCATTGTCAACTTCACAATGACAATCGTCGCCAGCATCCTCGTCCTGGCTCGCACGCCCAGCGGTGAGATGCACTCGGGCCACTACGTCTTTGGCGAGATCATCAACGGCTCGGGGTGGACCAACAATGCGCTCGCCTTCTTCCTTGGTCTCCAATCGGTCCAATTCGTCATGACTGATTACGACGCCACCGCGCACATCTCAGAGGAAGTCAGCAAGGCCGCCATTGCCGCTCCCGTCGCCATCTTTACCGCCGTCTTCTCGACTGGCATCATGGGCTTCTTCCTCAACATTGCCTTTGTCTTTGCTTCGGGCACCGTTGCGTTGGGAACCGTTGATGACTGGATCGGAGGTCTGGCTTTTGCCCAGATCCTCTACGACCGGGGTGGACGCATCGCTTTCCTCGTCACCTGGCCTTTCATCTGCTCCGTCGCTTGGTTCGTTGTCACGACTGCTCTCCAGGCCAACGCCAGGTCGTTCTACGCCTTCTCGCGCGACAACGGCCTGCCCGACCGCGGCTTCTTCGCCAAGCTCAACAAGAAGACGGGAACGACGGTCAACGCCGTCTGGCTCGTCGTCTTCTTCTGCCTGCTCCTCGGTTGCCTCTCCTTTATCAACTACACTGCCGTTCTGGCTATCTTCTCGCTCGCAGCACTGGGCATGGACTTGAGCTACATGGTGCCCATCGTGTGTCGCCAATTCTTTGCCAACCACCCGGAAGTGCAGTTCGAGCCTGGTCCGTTCTACATGGGCAACAGCTGGTGGGCACGCCTCATCAACATCATCGCCATCTTCTGGACCCTCTTCGAATGCACCATCCTCTCCATCCCAACGGTGAGCTCCGTCGACAAGAACTCGATGAACTACGCCGCGGTCGTGCTGGGCGCCGTTATCCTCATCACCGGCATCTGGTACTTCGCCTATGCGCACAGGCACTACAAGGGCCCAAGGAGCACGCTGAGCCCCGACATGCTGCGAAAGCTTGGTGTCGTCGTCAACGACGGTGAGGAGCAGCCTCGCCTCCATGCCGACGCTACTGAGGGCGACAGCGAGAAGCCCAAGGCATAAGCCGTTCCGCTTCTTGTTCCTGTGCACAATTCTCTTCGATTTGTGTTCTATTTACCATTCGGTCTTTTTTCACTCTGTATACTAATACCTAGCAGGAGCAGCAGCAGGAGAGTATCCTCGCTGACTGGAAGAATTTGATTGGATCTGTTTGAACAAGCAAGCGAGGGCAAGAAAGTGGGAAGAGATCAGATCGGATCCACAACCGCCCGGGGCCGTGTGTTCAAGCGGCGACGTGCCTCATCGATCCTGAAAGATCACATTTGACCCTCAGCAGACTCCGAAGGCCAGAAGGAAGAGAATGGCTTGTGATGTCCATCTCGTGCGGACGAACGATGGGTGATGGACAGGAACCAGCGTACAGCAGTGTGAATGGGCAGGGAGGGACGGCCACAGAGAAAGCCGCCCCGCGCACTGCACAAATGGCCCCTCCTCTCACCTTTGCGTAGCCAGGTGGCAGACTGCGCCCTTTCTTCACGCCACCAGGAGAGAGACCTGCATGAAAGGGGCGATGGCGGCCAACCAGCATCGGGCTTATGACGAGCAGCATCGTTCTGGACATCGACATGTAGTGCCCTCTTTGCGATCGAGCCAAGAAGCCGGCGAACGGCCACCTCCCTTTGGAGACTCATACTCGACGGTGACATGCGATGGAGAAACCAAGGCGCCTGCTAGCTTCAGTGCTGGCGCCCCGACTCGGCCGCTACCGTCGCCTCAGCTGTTCGCCCACCCATACCAAACTAGCAGTGTCAATGTCTCCTCCCCTACGATTCCGTCCCGAGGCCCACCGATCTTGCAAGCTGCGAGCTCGTCGGCCTCTCTCTCGCAGCAGTCTCACAATGCATTCGAGCCCGTCTTCGAGGAGGATGAGGAGGGAGAGGAGGATTCTATGCTCATAATTCAGCCCCAACGACCGTCTTGTGAGCGACCAAGCATGAGCGAGCGCCACAGACCGCTGCATAAGGCCGCCTTTCCTGGTTTCGAGCGCCTGGAGCCTCATCGCTACCTCTCGCCGCCACCGCCGTTGTCCCCGCTCTATTCTCCTCAGCTTCCCCCCTATTTTGAGCAGCCCCAGACGCAACGGAGCAGATTCAGCCACTCGCCAGATGGACGGACGAGCAAAAAGGAGGGCAAGAAGAAGCAACTCCCACCAATAGGCGATGCCGAGGGTGCCTCGGCCGGGTTGGGAGGTGGTGGGTCCTTGTTCCGAAGAAAGAGGCAATCTGGCGGTAGCGCGTCGAGCTCGTCGACGGTGCAGAGATACAGGGTCGACTGGAACGAACAGGAATTGGTGGCCATGATGGCAGGAAGCCGTGCACCGACACCAAAGTGCCACAGTCCGACAGTCGCGATTCGACAGATGCTGGGAGTAGGCGCCAGGTGAGCTACGTCAGCCTTTTGGCTCTAGACACAAAAGAAGCTGAACCGTGGAGACTATACAGGGAAGAGGATCCCAGCAGGCACGAGTTGCCGCCGCATCCTTCCGTTCAAGAGGAGCAGCGAGACGTCAAACGCCACACGGCCATGATTCGAGCCAGCTGGATCGAAGTCGACCCGAGGAGGCAGAGCAAGCTAGACTTCCCACTACAGACGGCCAGAAACGGCATGCCTCTTTTCGACGAGGGCGAATGGGAGAGCGATGAGCACGGAGGAGTGAATGACGGATGCACAAAGGACCGCCATGGGAAAGGTTTCTTCTCTAGCTTGAAGAAGACGGCATGGAAGCTAAAACCGAGAAAGGTCAAGGCCTCGATGGTGCAGCGATCCATCCCGACTCCATTCCCATTTGAGGTAGCAGAATACAGAGCTGGCGGTGCATTTCCTCCATCGCCATCACAACCGCTTCAGCAGAGTACACCGCCAAGACGGCTACGTCGGGCCAGTGTCGATGTCTACTCTCCTCCGCCAAAGAGCAATGCGGCGCACGCTGCTTTCGAAGACTCTGAAGAGGAAGCTACTGAGGAAAATCGCAACTCTTCTTTCAGCCCGCTGAAGAGGAGGAACAGGAGTCTCGATATGCTCAGAGCTGCTGACTCGGTCGAGGCGAGCTCCGACATTGAAGAATATAAAGGGCCGCTCCGGATCGTCGTTGAGGAACCTACTCCCGATTGTGAGTATTTCGCAATAGAGATCTAGGAATGAGGCAGTACAATGACGGTCTTCCTTGTTTCTCTTTTACTACCAGGCTCGGCCAACGATCTCGCAGTGATGTCTCGTCACTCAAGGCTTGCGAGGACAAGAGGTCGGCCTCAAGCCTCGCTTCGAATGCTTGAAGATTGGAAGCAGACAATGCACGAACAGCAACACGCGATGTCTCGCCAAATAGAGCAGAGGAAGATCAAGGGAGAGGAAGACGACGTTGTCAATGGGCTCAGAGGGCTCATCGTCCGGGATGTGCAACGAGGTGTCGTCGAGGTCGATGTGGCAGCTAGGCGGCTTGGGTTGAAACCTCTACAACTACCCACCAAGTATCGGAACGAGATGAAGACCTTCGATGACGACAAGAACTCAGAGCGAGCATGCTGTTACCAAGAAGAGAAACGGTCGCAACACAGCCCTCCCCATACTCCTCGCTGTCTATCCGATGAAATCAAGAGGACGCCAGTACCTTCTCCATCATCGGGATGGCAGAAGAAGAAGGCAAATTCGCTTGGGACCGATCCCATCGCTCCACTCGCGCCTCATCAGCTTAATGCAACCCTCCGAACGACGACTGCCACCAGAAAGAAGAGGAGAAACTTGAAAGACGAGGGTAGTGACGAAAGCAGCAGTATGGGAGACAGTAGCAGCAGTGATAGCAGTAGCAGCAGGGACACAGACAAACGCCGGTCTGCACCTAGCAGAGAGATGCTCGAGCTGCCAGGAAAGGATCGCGTTTCGGGCGCGGCGGTATCGTACAAAGCTGATATGGCTGGCCATACGCAGACCTCTGTTGGCACCTCTATTCTTTACGCCGATCAAGCTCTCATGGGACAGTACCAACCCTCTGACCTTGCCCAGTCTTTGACTACTTTGGATGTGCCTGGGACGTCTGCCCCTTCCCAAGAAGCGAAGGCGAAGGGGAAAAAGAGAGAGGCATCGGTGCGGTCTTCACCTTCCTCACCTCCTTCGCCTTCTTCCTCCTCGACTGCAAGCATCATCAGCTACGTCTCCAGTGATAGCATGTATAGTCGCACAACAAATCAAGACAGGCTAAGCCGTCAAGACAGCCAGCGTCAGCATCAGCAACAACAGCAAGGCGGAGGTGTCACTGCGCTAATCCAGAGCTATATCCATGACATTTCCGCCGACGAGAGTAGTGCCACCTTCAATGAGGCCCGGTACGTCGTAACGCCGGAAAGCGCCCACGAAGGTTTCACCTTTCGGCCGCCTCACTATTACACTTGTGCAGCTACGCCGGGCCGAGTACGGTCGCAGACAAAGTTGGATGGGCCAAGTGAAAGCAGCAGCGCTAGAGAGAGGAGGTTCAGCCATCTATGGACACAGCTGGGATTTGAGGGCTCGCCGTGTCCACCCTCAAGGAAACACATGCCCCGGTTAGTGCTCGACGATAATGGTGACCACAATGACGATTGCGAACGAGACCCGAACTCAAGTCACGCTGGAGAAGATGAGAAGGAGGGCGAGAAGGAGAGGAGAGCGGCTGTTCGTGTGAGCGAATTGGACCTGACGAAGCTGCATTTTCCTTCGCCTCCGACTAGACAGCTTCAAGACTCATCGATAGCAACACCCTCGACGACGTCTGGCGAAGACCTCTATTGCCCGTCTGGTTCAAGAATCCGGACGCACCTCACCGTAGGTCTTGCCACTATCCCGGTTCCGCGGCTTGGCGAAAGTCACCTTTTCCGTCGACGAGTAGCGAGCAGCCTCGTACTGCAAATGCAATGCAAGAAGCAAAGCTCGAGGAAGAAAGAAATCACTCGCATGATCGGTCCTACGCCCTTTCCACCATTTCAGCCACGTCCAGTCTGTCGGCCTTCCATGTTTGCCGAAGATTGGGACGACGAGATGGACTCGTCACGCTCCTCTTCTTCATCTGCGGACTCCTCGCCCTTCTTCTGCAGCGCCGCAAGAATTGGCAGCGAGGAAGAGTTTTCTCCATTAACGGACTGTTCCTTCTGGCCTGCCTACGGAAGCACTGGAAAGACGACTATCGCAATGCCAAGCCCTTGGACCCTCTCCCGTAAGCCTCTCGTGCTCTGCTACGGGCAAGAGGACAGCGACGCCTTCGAAGAGGAGGGACCTCAGCCTTTCGCGTTCACTCCACGAGACGCGATTAGAGAGCGAGACATCATGCAGCATCTACAGGACAGTGCTGAAACGTTTCCTTCGACGCCTTTCTCGGATTGGACAGTCACCGTCCTATGTCCCCCCAAAACAGTTGAAGAGGTCGAGTTCTTTCTTGTTCAGAGCCGCGCCAGCTTCCTATCTTTAGGCGAGAGCCAGCCGAATATAACCGATCGCTGGTTTGTCGATTGGGAGGGGAGATGGAGCGGGGCGATGACGCAGAGAAAGGGCAAGAGATGGGGCGCAGCAAAGCGTGCTCGAGTACCTAGTGATCTCAACGACAAGCCAACCGACCAGAAGGAAAAAGAAACGGATGATGCCGAGCTGGACGAGACATCGATATACTTTCCGGAGATGCAGACCCCCTGAAGGGCGAACGATGATTGTTAATTGATGATTTTACACTTGTGAGGCAAGACTTGGCGATACAAGCTTGAATGAAGCGATCTAATGTGAAACATGCGGAGAAAGAGTTGTTCGCTTTTGTTGTGTTGTCGTCTGTCTAGGACCGTCGCCCACGGGCCTTTGCTTGTCCTCCCCTGATACGTCCTGCCGGCGATGTTCCGCTGCCGCTGCCGCCGCTGCCGGCGCCGCCGTGTAGTGTCCTGCTGTTGCTACCGAGCGCGTGAGCAAAAGATGGTCTCTTCTTCCTCGAGTTCGTCTCCTGCTGATGGCGTCTTGTTTCCATTGTCTGCGACCATGTCTTTTTGATGATCTTTGTTGCTCTTGCAATTGTGCCTGTTTCTTCGTGATAGGGCCGACCTTGACCGTGCCTTTGCCTCGACATGACAGACTGGAAGCCGATACGGCCATGAACCGAGTCCTGGGCCGCTCCGTCGTTCTGTCGTTCGTTTTCTCCCTCAGCACCTTGTGCTTGCGACAGATAGAACTTCCTCCTCTCTTCGTCGAAGTCGTTGAGGAGCGGTGTAGTCTTTCCCTTCTCCCACCAGGGTCGAGTCGGTTGTTGACCTTGCTCCTGCTTGTCATATTCTTCCAACACTGCGTCTTGGTGCTGAGAAAATTGTCTCGAAGGTCCCTCCGAGATATCGACTTCTGCTTGGCTGCCCTGACGTCGGTCAAGGTCCTCCTCCTCTTTCTCTCCTTCTCCTTCTCCCCCTTCTTCCTCCTCATTTTCATCAAAAAGTAGCCCTTCGTCATCGTCCTCGAGGTAGAGGTCCCATCCCTTCCTCCAAGCTTCTCTCTGCTCCTGCGTACCAATGACTTGCGTCCAAGGCTGGCCCGGCTCAAACACTTCGTAGGCGTCCCTATCCTCCACGTCCAACCCCTTGGGCTCATTCTCCTTCTCTTCGTCGTCAGAGGACGGCAAGAGGTCCTCACGGACCTCGGCCCTTTCCTTGCCCTTCTTCGTCGCTGTGCTCATAGCGTCCCGCCCGCGCCCTTGCCTCTCTCGCGCTCCTCGTCTCGGCCCAAGGTGATGGTACGCTCAGCCATGCAGCTCAGTCCCGTCCGCGCACGGGCTAAGAAGCACGACGCGTCGTCGCGTGGAGCTTGGGCCTCCCGACCAGAAGACCAACACTTGCTTCTTCTACGGCTTCGAAGACGACCGCAGGACTGCCGCCCTAGAATCAGATAAAACCCATGCCGCCACAGGCCAGAAGTAGGAGAGCGGCAGCAAGTGCCGCTTCGGCGTCGATCAGCGAGGCGTACGACTTGACGAGAAGAGGAGCGAGGCTCGAAGAGAAGGCGCCGAAGGCAGTCAAGAGAAATCGAGAGGTGGCCGACGAGGCAGAAGTCGAGACAAATGGGAAGCCAGGAGAACACTGCGAGGGGGCAGAAATGAAGGCGAAACAGAAGAGACAGGGTTCACAGAATGCGTCTCCAAAGAGACGAGCCACGAGCAAGAAGACGACCAAATCGAAGGCAAAGGCCACTCCCGTGCTGGGGACATCGGAAGACCCGGGAGAAGAGATCGAGACTGCAGCAGGAGATGAGCTCTCAGGTGCCGCAAAGGAGCTCTCGACGCTCATCTCACAGAATGACGTCGGAGCCCTTGAGTCTTGGATCGCGCAGGAAGAAGCCACCTCGCCGAGTGTGGGCCCAAAGACGAAGGACAAGGCGACCGAAGCGTTGTTGAAGCGGGCGAAGAAGGAACGAGATCTCATGGTCAAGGAAAGGAATCGTCTCGCCAAGCTCCTGCATTACGAGCGAGCCATCGTGGCAAGCGCGAAGCTAGAAGAACATGTAGAAGAGGAGGTTGGCGAGGTGGAACCCATCTACATTGCCGGAACCGACGAAGTGGGCGTGGGACCACTAGCCGGTCCAATTGTGGCCTGCGCCGTCATCCTTCCTTCTCCCTCATCAATCCCTGACAGTGGCCTACGATGGTGGAAGGGCCTAGATGACTCTAAACGGGTTCACAAGTCGAAACGAGCAGAAATGGCGCAGAGCATCAAGGAGCACGCCCTCGCCTGGTCTGTCGGCATCGTCGAGGCAAAGGAAGTCGACGAACTCAACAACTATCAAGGATCCATCGAGGCGATGAGGAGGGCCATTGAAGGGCTGGCCATCCGTCCAGACCACCTCCTCGTCGATGCTCGTGACATTCCAGATGTGCGGTTGCCTCCTCGAAAAGAGGCAGTCGCCTCGAGAAAGAAGGAGGATGAAGAAGAGATCGGACAGACGGCCCTCATCTCTGGCGATCGTCTCTCGCAGTCCATCGCCGCAGCATCTATCATTGCCAAGGTGACCCGAGACGCGATGATGGACACGATCCATCTGTCCTACCCAGAATACAATTTCCTCGAGAATAAGGGATACGGGACGGCCCACCACATGAAGGCACTCAGGGAGATAGGCCCTTGTCCGCATCATCGCTTCAGCTTCAGACCAGTCGCAGAGGCCCAGGCGAAGCTCGAGGGAAGAGAAGTCACGCCGCCGAAAAAACGAACGAAGAAGAGCAAGGCAGATGATGGGCCAAAGAAGGACGCGGAAGGCAAGCCGCTTCTCACCACACTCACCAATTGGCTCACACTGCCCTGGAAGAAGGGCGAGGGCGACGCCAAGGATCAAGGACAGGCAGATGCAGCACCTGTTGTAGAAGCATAAAGAGCTCAATCCGATGTCATTCATCTATAAATCAGGAGAACCAAGAAGTCAGGCATGTGAAAAACATCTCAATAGTAGGTCATTCCGATTGCCTTTTCGGCAGCGGGGCTACGCTTGCCCTGCAGATGCAGTATCCTCTGCGGCATCCCCTTGCTCGATAGCCTTTTCGCCTTCCGCAGCCGCTGGCGCGGTTGGCTGTTTCGTGTCGCTCCCTCCATCTCCTTGCTCCTTCGAGCCGTCCAACCCCTCCTCGAGATGCTTGCTCCTCTCCTCGACCCACTCCTCGAACTTGGTCTTCCTTGCTCTTCTCTCCCTCGTTTCTCTCCTTGCTAGTCTTTCCCTCGTCTTTTTTGTGTGTAGCCTCGCAAATACGTCCTCGGTGTCCTCGACGAAGAAGAGGCGGTACGTGGCGATGCAAACCTTGATCTCGAGGTGGTTCGATGTGTAATAGTCTGTCCCCTGCGCATCGCTAACCTCTCTCGCCTTGGCCAGGCTCCTCTCCATGAACGGCGCCTTTGCCTCTCCCTCCAGTCCTTCGGTCGGCGTCCAGAGCGTGTAGCTTGCAAGGTAGTAGAGCCACTTCTCCTCCTGGCTCCTCCCGTCCTCGTCGCCCAGAGTCAGATCGTCGCGCGACAGGAGCTGGATCAGTAGAGTGCCACTGCTTGCCATCCACTCGATCCTGTACAGGTTCTCGTCCTTGCCCACGATGGCCTCTGCCATCATGCGCTTTGCAATCTGCGACTTGAAGTCCGTCGAAGCAGAAGCAGCAGATGACGACGATGATGACGGGGCAGACTGCCGATCACTTGTCATCATTGCTTGGAGCTCCTGGCTCTTCTGGTCTGTTGAGATGGCGTGGGCCGCCTTGATTAGAGCACCAATGACCTTGTCAAGGGTGAAGACGATGTAGCCCTCGATGCCGTACATGTATCGCACGCTCTCTTCAAAGGTGTTTGTGTCCAGCTCGCCATCAAAGAGCTTCTCGCAGAGGTCGAGCAGCGTGTCGTAGTATCGGCTCGGGGGAAGCGTCAGACCGGAAGGCTCCTCACCGACAGCAACACTTTGACCATGGTTCTCGGCAGACGAGGCTGCAGCAGCACCGACGACGGCAGCAGGGCCCGACGCCGGATCCTGGAGACCGAGTTCCAGCGTGACAGGGTTGATGCGCCTCACTGGCGGCTGTTGCGCGGTCATGTGCTCAGCGAGCGACTTCATCTTATGGAGCCGAGCGTAGAGAAGCTGCAGCAGGCGCACAAAGACGTAGTGGGGCGTCGAGCAGAAGAAATTGAGCCGCCTCTGCTTCGCAGGTTCGGTAGAGGCTCCCTCGACGGGCCTTTGCCCTCCTGAAGTAGAATCGAATGCCTGCGTTGAGTCGGCTCTGGTCCAAGTATTGGCCGAGTCAACCTCGACGTCTGCCGCCGCCGATGCCGTCGAGGTGTTTCCGACCTCTTCCTCAGCACCGGCGGCGTTTGTTGATGCTGCCTCCTTTGCACTCGCGTCGGCCATCTCGACGTCCTCTGTCGAAGCAACATTAGCCGGGGAGTCGCTTGTTGCGTTAGCCGCCGCATCCGCCGCGCTCTTAACTTCTGCGACAAGGGCCGGGCTTCCTGTGCGATTCTCAGTGGCGACAGGAGCGCCAGATGTCTCTGCCTGGCTCCGCAGCAATTTCCGACGGAGGTCGTTCTGGTGTTGCGCTCCTTTCTTGTTGCTCCGCTTGGGCGCCGACGACGACGTGCTCTCCGTCTCGTCGTCTTCGTTGGTCGCTTCGCTTCGCGCATCGTCATCAGCACGCGACTCCATGTCATCGTCATCGGCTCCGTTGCCCAGGATGACATCGCCGTTGAGCTGCTCGTCAAATTGTGCCTGGTCCAGGTCGAGGAGCTTGGGAACAAAGGTGCGCAGGAGCGACTCGATGCGGTCACAATCGGCCTTGCTGTACGCCGCTCTATCCAAGAAGCTGAAGGCCAGCTTCAGCACATCGGTCAGGACCTGCATGTCGTCGAGGCCATACACAAGCTGGTGATTGGGCCTTGGGCGCGGAAGCGATGGGTCGGCCGCCAGGCGACGCTGTTGCTGCTGGGTTCTACGCGTCTCAATCTCGGCAACGAAGGCCTTTGCCGTGATGGCTTTCTTGTCGGCCGCTTTGAAGTTGACACCTTGGTGGTCCAGGCTCTTGTAGTAGTTTCGAGCATCGACCTCACGCCAGACCTTGTTCCATTCTCTCTGGGCTCTTTTCCACTCCTCGTCCTTTTGCTTGAGCCGTGCCAGAACGACAGGAACGGCAACGCAGGGGTTGTCGTGCAGTTGACCAATGACCTCAAGTCCATGCTCTCGGCCATAAACCTTTTTGATGACGCGCTGGTAGATGCTCTTGCTCTGGCCTCCGAGACCCGGTTTCAAACGAAAAGTGGCCCTCTCCTCAGCGTCCATCATTGAAATACGCGCAGCGATCGGCTCAAGGAGCGCAATTGTCCGCAAGTTGGCCTCAATGTGATAGTCGTACTCGTGGCGCTCTTCCTCGGAGCGGTACAGGGCGTCTTCGTAGACATTCTTTCGGTGTGGGTTGAAGGATTCTCCCTCGGATGCCCAGGTGGGGTGGCTGACCCACGTATCGTTGAGAACCTCCCAGCACATGGGATCACGACCTGAGCAGGCCAAATTGATCTCGCTCTTGGGCAGCTTGCGGTACGAGGCGCCATAGACCTTGCACGTGCTCAGATCGACGCGCTCCCTCTGCAGCGCCGGGACATTCTCGATGATTGGGTCCTCGTTTTCAAGCCAGCCGTGCTTGCCCATCTCGTAGCCGCACAGATTCTTGAATGTTGCAAAGAGTTCTCGATGTCCGCCAATGAAGAGGGCCGCGCGGTCGACGAGGGTTCGGACATCGATGATCTCCTGCGTGTACAGGTTGAGCAGCTTGAGAAATTCGATGTAGGTGGGTCGGTCATCAACGTGCTTCTTGACCCTCTCAAAGAACGAAACCTCGTCGACGGTGGCCAATGGCGCCTGTGGGTGACCTGGCGGGAAGCCGACCTGCATGGCAGCCGCATCGGCTGGATGCGGCGCCATCATCATGTGGCCTTCAGGCCCGTAGGGATGCATCGGGGCCATGGGAGCACCCATAGGTGGTGGCCCGTGACCGAATGGAGGGCTCATGTCCCGACCCGGCGATCGCTCTTGCTTGTGGTGATGTTGCTGCTTGCTCTTCTTCGTCTTTGCACCAGGAGCCTTTGCGCCAGCGCCATCGGCGGTCCTCTTTTTGCGACCGCTAGGCCCTCCCTGTGAAGGTGGCATACCGCTGCCGCCAGCCATTGGCTTCTTCGGTCCTCCAACACCGGCGTCCATGCCGCCCGGGTTGGCGGGAGCAGCCATCGAGGGATTGGTCACACCCGATGTGACCTGACCCAGCATTCCAAACAGGCCACCGGTAGCTGGTTGGCCGTTGCTGGTGTCAGGAAGAAACTGTTTGAACTCATCGAGAAGGTCCTTGGCATTGTCGAATAGCATGGTCACCTGTGCGTAGACCTTCGAAGGCAATTACCTGGTGTCAGCGGTGTGTGAGCCCAAAAGAACGCTCGACTCACGTCATGAATGGGCCTCTGCTCCTTTTGGTACGTCTGAAGAATCTCCAAAAACTGCTTGTATGTGTCGGGATCGCCTGAGAAGCGCTGTTTGATCTTGTTGACGTAGTTGATGGCGTGGTTGAACTCGATAGGCGGCCGCTTCATGTCGGGCGCATCCATGGACCCCCCATGGCTGAGCACGCCGGCGCCAGCAGTAGCACCGGGTGTGGCAGGTGCGGCGCTGGAGACCATCGATACAGGAGAGTGCGGTCGCAGGCCTTGGTTGAGGGAGCCAGCGGGTAGAGAGGGAGGATGGCGGTCTGCCAGGTCATTGTGAGCTGTGCCCTTGACCGGCTGCACATTCTGCAATGTAGATAGAAACTCACCTTCAGGGCGGCCCACGCCCGACTGCTGGCCATCTGCCCTCGCGCCTCCCGCGGGCGGCAGGTGACCTGGGGCTCTCGACGAAGAGGCGGCTTGGTTATTTGCGCTCATGCGATTGATGGCGCCTGCGATGCCGATGCCACCACGCGTCTGCGTCGTCGTTCCGGTGGGCGTGGTGACAGTGATGAGGTTGCTCTGCCCAGGCTCGCTGCTGCACTCAATCCGGTAGCCAGGCGGAAGGAATGTGTTGAAGCCCTGAATGAGGCTGGGGTGGCCACGGAAGAGCGTCGAGACACGCTCAATAACGCCCGGTGTGTCGATGGCCTGGCTCTTGAACTGAAAGAATGTACAGGTCTGGTGAGAATGCTATCGTGCTGGTGCGAACGTCGCAGCACCACTTACGTCTTTCATGATATCAAGGAAGCGGTTGTATACCTCGGGCTGATCCGAGAATTGGACCTTGACCTGGTCCAAATAGGACAGGGCATCCTTGACGTTGAGCGTCGCCTAGTGGGCCGCGGATGCATTCAGTCACGCAGATGCAGGCCAGGGCGAGCGAGCGCTACTCACCATGCTTGTCGTTGCGTCTCCGACCTTTGCAGGTCGTCCGCAAAAGGGGGATGCAGGTTGCTAATGTCGGGTGTGCGGTATGAGAGTGTGGCTAGGTCGCGCAGGGATCGGAGCTGACGGGCACGAGCGAGGGGGGAGTGAAAGACGGCCTCTGTCTCTGTCTCTCCCTGTCCCTCGCACCGTCCAAGGGCGGCTAAAGCATCGGGTCACGTGCACGGCCCGCATCTCGGAAGCAAGACTTTGCTCGCTGCTCGCGATCAGAAGCTTGGGCAAGCAAGTGCCACGGACCTCCTCGGCAGCTCTGAAATCAAAGATGGCGCAGTCGGACAAAGAGCCAGCGGGGCCATCAGTACCATCAGGAGCATCAGCGCCGGCAACTTCGTCATCCTCAAAGCAGAAAGTGGGGTCGTCATCGCAAAGACCGCCTCGGGCGCGGCATGTGCCATCGATGTGGACAGCGCCCCAATCGCACATCCCTCCGCCATCACCGACGCATTACGTCGAGCCACGGCGGGCCGAGACGTTCTTTAGAAGAGTCACACATCCTTCGAACCCCAACGGACCCCCGCCATCGCGGTGGCAGAGGTTCGCGAACCTGTCTGGAGGCCTCCTCGCCGGCGCCGTCGTGCTCTACAGCGTCCTTTGGGCCGACTTTGGCGACCATGAGCACGTCTTCAGCCCGGTGAGCATCTTTTTCTGACCTGAATGTCTCTCTAGCTTGCGCTGACAGGCCCCACACCCTCTTGGCTAGATTCGAAGGGCGCTCAACACGCAAACACACAGCCCTTTCGCGCTGTCCGAAGAAGAAAGGACGCTGGTCGCCCAATCCGTCCCACGCGACGACAGGACAACACAGAAGATGGTGTGATGCGCCTCGCTGCTGCTGATCTCTGTCTGTACTTGTATCGTTTCCCATCTGCAATCTCAAATCCTTGCAATCATGACGGACAGGCAAGTGGTTCCATTGCAGAGGAGCTTTTGTTAGGCACGTGACTTGTCTTGTCGAGAAGAAAAGTGTTGCTTGCGCTCGAGCGCTGAAGTCTCGGCAGGAGCTGCAAGTTGTAGGAGATGAGGAGGAGTCTCTGTCGGTCCCTCGAGGCCTCGACGTCGGCATTGAAACTTCCGGCACCCAGCGCGGTACGGATCTCGCGGTCGACTCCAAAGCGATGGCATTCCACGGCCGAGCCGGCTCCAAGGCCAATCACGCTGCTACGCCAGCTGCTGGCTTCCCGACCTCCCCTCTCCCCTTCCTCCTCTTCTTCAGCAGCTGACGCAGGCGCGGACGAGGCGCCGCTGCATCGGATCGTAGCCTACGCTCGTGTGGTGCGTAGCCATCGCAATGTGACGTTTATATCGCTTGCCGACGGCAGTCTGCCAGGCAACGAGACGCTCCAGGGCGTCTATCGTTCGTCTTCGTCCTCGTCCTCATTGCCTGATCATCAACAGCTAGCGCCCGGCGTAGGGCTGGAGCTGACAGGTCGGCTCAAGCCAAGCAGAGGCCGAGGACAGGCGTATGAGCTCGACATTGAACATCTCAAGGTGACGGCCCCCGTCGATGCAGCCACCTACCCGATTCCCCTGACCTCTTCGTCGACGCCCGCGAGCAACGACCTGCTGCGCAAGTACGCCCACCTTCGACCACGGGAGGCTCGGCACGCCGCCGTGTTGCGCGCTCGTTCCGCGTTCGAAAAGGCCATCTCAGACTGGTTCTGGGACGCCGGCTTCTCCCGCGTCGCCGCGCCGATTCTCACCTCGTCGGACTGCGAGGGTGGCGGCGAGGTGTTTCGCGTCGAGCAGGACCAGGGCGAAGAAGCCGGGCCCACGACGCCCTTTTTCTCTTCCGCTACCCCTGCCTTTCTCACCGTCTCTTCCCAGCTCCACCTCGAGGCACTCGCCATGGGCCTGGGAAGAGTGTGGACGTGTGGACCGTCGTTTCGCGCAGAGGGAAGCGCCACCAATCGCCATCTCTGCGAGTTCTGGATGATCGAGGCCGAACAACTAACGAGCAGCAGTGGGCCTGCCGCTCTGCACGAGGTGATGCAGACGACGCAGGGAGTCGTGCAAGCGGCGATGCACTTCGCCTTGCACCACGAGCAGACGAGGAAGGACCTCGAGATGCTCTGGCAGGGGCACGAAGCCACCCTGCAGGAGCTCGAATCTGTCGCGTCGTCTAGCTCGGGGCCATGGCCAACGATGACATACACCGACGCTGTTTCGCTGCTCGAGAGCGAAGGACGACAGCTAGACGAGCCACCACCCGCCTGGGGCCAGTCGCTGTCCTCGTCACACGAGCGCTGGTTGGCACAACACGTCGCAAGCGGTCCCCTGTTCATCACCGACTATCCCTCGGGCTTGAAACCGTTCTACATGCGCGCAAATGAGAACCAGGGCCCGGAAGAGAGGAGGACGGTGGCCTGCTTCGACCTCGTGGTGCCGCGCCTGGGTGAGCTTGTTGGCGGCAGCCTGCGCGAGGAACGGCTGGACCGCCTCGAGGCGCAGCCCGCGGCGCTCGACTGGTACGCCAAGGATCTGCGCAGGTACGGCTGCATCCCTCATGGCGGCTTTGGCCTCGGTCTCGAGAGGCTCGTCGGCTGGTTGACAAACACCGACAATCTCCGCGATGTAGCTTCTTTTCCCAGGACAAAGGGCCCTCTGCGGTACTGAGACAGTGGTCAATGGTCGATTGATTGATAGATTGTTTGTAAGCTGTGGTCCATCTCTCATTGGGAGTGAATCTAACGGAGGCGCTACGGAGGCGCTAAGAGAAAAAGGGTAGAGTCGAAAGGAAAGGTAACATGGTGTGGGGGAGGTGTGAAGCTGGCATCAGAACTTGAGATCAACGCCACGCGGAGGGAAATGAGGAGGGGCAAGAGAAGCCATAGACGCTTCACTGAGGCCGATGTCGGTGATGACACCCTGAAATTGCTGCCAACAGACATCGATGCCATGCACGCGTGCAATCTTGAGAAGCTGTTTGAGGCCCGAGCAGCGCTCTCGCGCAAAGATGCCGGCATCGAGCCGTTCGAGTGTGTCGAGGACCTTTGCTGCTTCAGCGACGTTTCTCGGCGCCTCGACGTTTGCCTTGATGGCCTGGATCAGCGGTAGGAACCGCTTGTTCTCCGTTTCCTGCGAGCAGAGCTTGGCAGGGATGCAAACGCGCGCCGGCGGCTTTTCCCGCTGCTGATTCCCAGCTTGAGTCACGGACTGCTGCTGGCTGCCTGGAGCCAGATCTCCGTGTGTGGACCCCGTCTTCTGTTGCCAGGCAAAGCGAGTGTGAGTGCTAGCTCCCTTCTCGTCGTGAGGATAGACTGGCATCCAACTCACTGGTACCTGGAGAAAGATCCAAGTCGGTGCATTGTACTGGTCCTTGGAAAATTTGATAGGGGCACCCCTTGTGCGCATGTGCATCAGGTAGTGCTGGAAGCTCCGCACGTCTGAGACGGTCGCATACAGCCGCGGACACTCGTCGAGGAGGTGTCTCTCGACCAGCCAGGCACGAGCGCCTCCCCTTGGCACTGTCGTCACTTTTGTCCTTTCCTCGTCACTGCTGAGACCGGCGTCGCCGATGTCCAGGTCGACATAGCGCTCGACGAGGCGGACGAGGTAGTTGGGGTCGAACGCACGCTCATCTGGCACAAGTGCAGTGCTGCCACGATTTGTGTAGCGCTCGATTGCGTGTTGCTGTCCCAGACATGGTCAGCGATCGTCCCATTCGGTGCATCTGCTTGTAGAAGAAAAGAAGGAATGGGTGAAGGATGCTGCTCTCACCAGATCTCTGCGCCCCTTGAACCAGACATGCTGGATCGTGGCCGTCGCCTCGCCGCTGAACTTGAGCGGCAGACCAGCCTGACGGGCGAGCATCAGGTATTCGCGCAAGCTTGTGCAGCTCTCCTTTTCATACGCTTTGTGGTCTGCCTGGAGGAGCAGCGACTCGAGCTCGCGGGCGTCCGTTAGGCCCTGTGCTGTCCTTCTACCTTGCATGATTCGGATGAGGAGGTCAAAGCGCTGGACGGCGGCTTCGAGGTTGCCATTCGACTGCCCGTCGTGCTTGATATCTGAGATGGGAGAAAAGGGGGAGGAAGGAGGATAATAAGGAGGAAAGACTTAATTTTACTTCGTAGACTGAACGCTTCACCTACCCAGCTTCATATGCTCCTCGAAGCTTGGGTAGTACACGGTGAAGCCACGCCAACGGAGGATGCTGACCATGCTTCTCCTGCATATCAGCGTCATGGCTGAACATGTGAGCAACCATCGTGGTGGGAAACTTACTGGTCAGTGTCCTCATCGTCAAAGCTGCGGTCATCCAGACCAGGCGAGCTGTCCATGTGCGAGCGAGAACGGTCGTCAGCGCGCACATCAGCGCTTGAGATGCACCATACATCTCGAGACGAGGCTCGTGGCGAAGAGACTCACTCGGGCAAGACAAGCCGCTGAGCAAAAGGAGCAAGCGGGTGAGCAATAGCAAGGAACAAAGAGACCAGAGCACAAGTCGTCGCACCTGGATCGTGTCGCTGAGGAGGCACTGCTTGATGTCTCGCTCCTCCATCTCATCCATGTCAAGCTCGAAGCCAACCGAGGTGGCGCTCGAGCTAGGCGGCCTTGTCTCCTCGTCTGTCGTCGTGGAGCTCATGGTCTACCTATCCTGCTGCCTTCACACACGAATCAAGGATTTGAGAGGGAAGAGGCAGAGGGGGCTAAAGGCCCTAGAAGGGCACGACAGACAAAGAGCGCCGCTCCAAGTGGGAAGATCAGACGGAGAGAAACACATTAGAAACAAAGTCAGCTCAATGGATGATGAATCGATCAGCCGGGCCGCCCACCAGGCCCGCGCCGCCCTCGTTCACCTTTGTGGTCTCCATGCAAAGAGTAGGGACCACATCGTGCTCCGTCTCCGCCACCTCGTCGCTTGCAAGTCAGCTTTGTGCACTTGCAATCGCACGCGGCCCATCACAATTCCGCTTCGGCGACATCCACGGTGAAGAACACCTCTAAATGCGCGAGACTTCTGTCTGCCCTAACGCAGAGCGAGCACATCTACGTACAGTACGCTACTGCGTTCTACATTGACAGCACATACAGGATCGTAGTGTTCTACTTCCAACCTCAAGAGCGGCAACTCGAGCACAACATCCGCTCACAGTCGCACTGTTGCCGGATACAAGCGGAAGTCTGCTCGCCAGGGCTACTCTGTCATGCAACGTCATGGTTGACGAAGACGGCCTTGCGCTCGGCGCGTGTCGACGCGTCGCGAGCACCTGCCTCGGCCGTCATGTCGGTTGTCCCCACCTTCCTCTTTCTTACTAGAGCAGCTCCACTACGCCGAGGCAAGCGCAGTCTATTATTATTGTAACTTCTCTTAGATGTGAAAATTTCGCACGCCTGCATGAACCTTGCCATATATGCGCGTGCCTGCCACTACTAGTTGTACTGATCGCCGGTGTAGGAAAGCAGCTTCGCAGAATCTCGAGCTTGTCCTGAAGCTAACGCACGTCCTTGCTCCGAGACGTGGGAGCCCGCTGACCTCGTTCACCACGCTACTAGCAAACTACAGATCCCTTTCGACATATGCTAATTATATAACTGCGACTTACTTGCTGCTAGTACAGTTTGCAGAGAAGCTGGTGGCGCCGCAAAGAAAATGAAATTTATCGCTACACGAATGCGAAGCAGAGTCTAAAGTTCCGTCGCATTGGCAAACAAGCCCTTGCATACAGGAGAGGAGGAAGGGACCTGGCATGAATAATTGCATAATGTGGGCAGATATCGAAAGCAGGGTCCCAAAGATCCTTCATCGGCGATCAATACAGCGGCTTGAGTGATAGTCGGAGGAGGAAAATATATGGCTAGGGAGGCAAGGACCCTGAGCGAACCTGCGCCATATTCCCGACACCGAGCCGGGCAAAAGTACACCGCTGGTTCAATGATTCAGCCGGCTTGCTAAGCTCCCACACAGGCGACGATCGCGCGACTGCTATTGTGGCGGCCGGGTCTCTTGCTCGCTTTGAGTCTATCTAGAAATCTTCCCGTCGACAGCGTCCTACTCACTTGACCCATGCTAAAGGGGACCGCTGGACACTGGAGTGGGAAAGATGTGGTGCTTGGTCATCAGCCGGGTTATCACAACTTTGCCCTATAGAAAAGCGCCAAGATGAAGGGAGTATGCCCGGCCCCTCAAAGCGGACAGGTCAGTAATTGTGACATGTCAAATTAATTATGCTCTGGCAATGCAACGACTGGCTTCCATTCCTACTGCCCTCTCCTCGCAGCTGCCGAACAAACTCTCTGTTTCGCTGGATATAGCTAGAATCATGAGCCATTATCTACGGCCTTCCTAATGGGTTGTGAGCACAAGCGACCGTCGTCATCGTAACGAGTGTCGACTCCTTGTCACCACTCAGCTCGACATTCTTTCACAGCGGACGCTGAGATGAAGTCATGATATTTTCCGAGTCCCCCCCTCCGATGGCGACCGAGCCACCATAGATAAGTAGAGATTGGGGCTGTGCGTCACAAGCCGAGTCGGTGACGAAATTGACTGATTGACCCCCACGACGTGCGTGCGATCTACGATACTGAAATTGTAAATGATAGATGCTGCACGACGTTGAACCATGTCGCACCTCCTTGCATTTGTCCAACCCTTGGAAAGTAAAGTTGAGACGCGCATTCTGCTTCAACACGAAAAATATTCCCACCAGTAGCCTGCAAGCTCCGTCCGCCCGGGTTCAACCCCTTATTTGCATGTTCTCTTGTTTCCTCCTCCCTTCTCTCTCTTCCCCTCACCTTCCAATTTTCGTTTTGTTCCCCTGGGAAAGCTGGTCTTCCCTCTGTCCGTTCGCCACCCCCTTTTCCTTCTCCGCCTCGGATCTGCTCCCCGTTGTTCCTACCTCGTCTGTCGACCGGTTTCGACGCGCGATTTCCCTCTCGTCTTCTTCCTCTTCTCTCACGGCGCAAGGGTGGCCTCGAGCATCAAGTCGCACGCTCATCTGCCCGCGACAAGCTCCTGCCAGGGTCATTCCTCTGTTTTGATCCGGAGTCCCTTTTTCCTTTGACAAGCAAAGTCTCCCTGCGCCGTCGATAGCTCCCCGATCGACGGAAGCCACCTTACCGTCGCCTTGCCTGGTCGCGTTCATCGCCGCTCTCACACCCCCTTGGCGTCCGTCGGGCCTTTTCTTTTCTTTTTATTACCCTTCTTCTATTCAATTTCCCTTTCCTGTACCGTTCACATACGTCAAGCACCTTTGTCGAGCAAGGGCAGGCAACACACACAAACACAAGCAAGGACCCCCTCACATCCAACTTTCCGGACCGTGCGCTAGCAGCAAAACGGCTCATCCTACCAACGAAGAAGATCGGCTACATTGGAGTGCGTGTTGACGGAAAGGACTTGTGCGCCAGGACCGCCATCGGGGCAGACGCATTTTTGCCTCCTCCACGGAAGCGAGAGCTCGCAGGAGTGCCACTGATAAGAATATATAACGGCTACTTGACCTTCCTCTTTCGGTCCTCACCCTCTCGTCACCTTTTCACCTTTAACGCCACCACCACCCATCCCCTACCCATCCCCTACTCTCACCAACCACCACCGTCACCTCTCTCCCCCTTTCCACGCGGACTCATTACCACCCAACGAAACGACCTCTTCGCTACCACCACCACCGCACCGCCACCTCCCATCGCCTCCTTGCTTCCATCTCTTTCTCGGACACAACCTTCCATAACGACCCGACTTGAAGACTAGAAAGAAAGAATAAATACCGAAACAGTCTGTGTCTACCGTCAAAATCGTCAAGATGAGCAGCAGCAACCCGCAATTCTTTTCCTCGTCGATGCGTCGACACCCGGCCAGCTTGCTGCCAAAGATTTGCCACAACCCAGCCATCCTTGACCTCGTCAAGTGCCCCGTCTCGAGAGAAATGGTCGGTGAGTACCGAGTGGTGACCAATGCGACGGCGGCCTCCCGACTCCTTTCTCTGTGCGGAAGGGTCCGAGCGCTGGGCGTCTGTCTCTGCCTAATTTTTAAAGCTACATTTTGTACTGACACGGCCGATTTCTAGTGTACCTCGCGCAGCAAGCGGCGCACGTCATGCCATACGCCCATACGGAGGCCATCATCACACCGCCAACGACGCCAACCAAGTCGGTCGCGAGCGCTGAAGCTGACCCGGCCGGCAAGCTCGAGATCCACGGTCTTCCTAGTCTTGAGACGTTCATTGCCATTCTCGTCGACAAGAGCAACGTCCAGGTTCCTACGCTTCTCTGCACTCTCATCTACCTCGAGAGGCTTCAAAAGAAGCTGCCGATGCAAGCGAAGGGGCTTCACTGCACGCGTCACCGTCTTTTTCTCGCTTCGCTCATCTCAGCCGCAAAGTACCTCAACGACTCGTCGCCCAAGAACAAGCATTGGTGTCGATACGCCGCCCTGTTCAGCCAGGCCGAGGTCAACTTGATGGAGAAGCAGTTCCTCGCCCTCCTCGACTACGACCTCCGCATCGAAGAGCACGAGCTCATGGTGCACTTCGCTCCCTTCTTCCGAAGGCGCGAAGAAAAGGCCGAGGCTGGCCGACGTGCCATGACGCTCCGCGGCTGCTTTGCTGGCCAGGAGATGGAGCGATACTCGCGTGCGTCTGAGCTCCGCGTCTTCCTCCGCAAGCAGGCCGAAGAAGACAAGGCTCGACGAGAGGAAGAGCACAAGCGACAGCTTCTCTACGCGCAGCAACAGCAGCAAGAGGGCATGTACGGCTCAGAGACCTGCTACGCTGACGCGCCACCGTCACCAATCTCACCGAAGGAGTCGGATCGGTACCACTCGTCGTCGTCAGCATCGTCTTCGAGCCGTGTCTCGGGCGCCATGATGCACCGTCAGCGCTCGATGGACTCGAGCAGCAGCACCTCTGAAGCCGACCTTACCGATGACAACGGCTCCTCTGGCTCCTCTGCTGAAGACTTCGACGGCGAAGAAGAGGATGATTACTACGTCCAGGAGGGTCTCGAAGAGCGAATGCAGCAGCACGCTTCTATCAATGCCAAGGCGCCATCGGCATCTAAGCGTGTCGTCTCGGCCGTCGACGTCGACCTGATGAGTCAGGTCGATGCCAGGCTCGCCGCTGTGGCCGCTGCCAACCACAACGGTCAGTCTCACGAACGTTTAAGCCACCGCATCGTCAACGCTACTGGCATGGTCAAGAGCCAGACGTCGTCGAGCATGTTCAGTCGCCAACAGCAACAGGCGCAACCGACGAAGGTGCGACAGAGCAGGAGCAGCTCCAACCTCCTCTCGAGGATGCTCTCCTCGTCGCATTGATCCCCCTCTCTCTCCCGTCACTCCCCCCCACCCCACTTGACTTGGCTCTCGGTTTCCGGCTCCGGTTCTGTCCAAACGCATGCTGTAACAATAGCCATCAACAACGCATTCAGACAACACACAAGACACATTCTTTTCTCTCATACAATCTTCTTGTCATCATTCACAATCACACTCATTCAATGTCCAATCATCATGGCTTGTTGCCACAGAAAAAGCCTGCTGCCAAGAGTGTTGACATATTCGTTTGATGCTATCGAAAGGCTTACTCTTGTCCCCATGTTCGTAGTAAGGAGCGCTCGATGTTCGAAGTGACTGGCCACGTGGATTGTAGAGCAATCTTTTTTTTTCCCTTTTTTTTTTCTCCTGTCCTGCCCTGGAGACATCGCTGCCACCTCGCCGTTGCACTCCTTCCACCACTTCCACCACCACCACCCTTACTCTCCCGAATTTTGATCTCAGACATACCACTTGTCTTTCTTTTAGAGTCATTGAGCCTGACTCTTCGACTCAAAAGTCTCGCAGCACCATCGTCCAGATACGCCCAGCCAATCCTCAAATAGGCAGACGTAGCGTTTTCGAGTTTCATGTCATCGAGAGCCCGCCTCAACCACCATCCCGTCAATCGTCGACTCGTCTTTGATTGTTGGAATATCAACATTCGAAGAGCTAAGCCGCCATTTTGCTCGTCACCCATTGACGACATCGACTGTTCCTGATGCATTGAGGTGTTCGCTCCTCTCTTTCAGAACCAGGCAGAATCTTCTTTTCTTTTTTCCTCCTTTCACCATTTGTTGTTCCCCTTTCGCCTCTTTCGGCATAACGACTTGCAACCATGGCTGTCGTCAATATTCGTCGTGACGTCGACGACAAGTTTTACCGCTACCGGTGAGTTTACGCCTCTACACTTATGTCATGTCGTGTGAGACAGTGAGTTGACAAGGCGTTTCTCGACCCATCAGCATGCCCCTCTTGCAAACCAAGATCGAGGGCAGGGGCAATGGCATCAAGACTGTCATTCCCAACATGGCCGACATTGCGCGAGCCTTGAGCAGGCCGCCGACCTACCCAACGAAATTCTTTGGGTTCGAGCTCGGCGCCCAGACGTCGTCGGACGAAAAGAATGACCGCTTCATCGTCAACGGTGCTCATGACGCCGAGGCGATGCGCAAGCTCCTCGACGGTTTCATCGACAAGTTTGTCCTCTGCGGTGACTGCAAGAACCCCGAGACGGATCTCAAGATCACAAAGGATGGCATGGTGCTGCGCGACTGCAAGGCGTGTGGCAAGCGCAGCGACGTCGACATGCGCCACAAGCTGACGACCTTCATCACCAAGAACCCACCTCCAAAGAAGAAGAAGGGTGCAAAGGGCGCGGGCAAGTCGGCTGGCCAGACGGTCGACGACGGCAACGACAAAGAAGACGAAGCTGGAAGCGACGACGAGCTGACTCGCCGCATTCAGGAGGAGGCAAAGGAGATTCCTACGGCTGAGCAGCGTGGAAATAACGCCAGCGCAGCAGATGCTGACAACGAATGGTCTGTCGACACAAGTGAGGATGCCGTCAAGGCCCGTGTCAAGGCCCTCGAAGGCGGCCTGCAGTCTGCACTCGTCATCGGCGGCGGTGACGACGAAGACGGCGATGAAGCCGAGGACAGCCCCTACAACCAGTTTGGCGTCTGGCTGCTCGCCAACCGCAAGGGCGGCGAGGAAGGTCGCGAGTGCACGGCGGCCGAGGTGTACAAGAGGGCGCAGGAGCTGGGCATCGAAAAGAAGCACAAGACCGTCCAGGTCCTCGTCCAGGGCCTCTTCACCGAGGACGTCGTCGCAGAGCTGAAGAAATACGGCCCCGTCGTAGCTAAGATGACGACGTCGGAAAAGCACCAAAAGTCGCTCCTGGGCGGCGTCGAGCGCCTGGCTGGAGTGCAGTATCCCTCGCTGATCCCCACAGGCGTTCCCAAGATCCTCATGGCTCTCTACCAGCTCGACGCGCTGGAGGAAGAAGTCGTCAAGACGTGGGCCACGCACGTCTCGAAGAAGTACGTCGACAAGGAGACGTGCAAAAAGGTGCGTAAGAGCGCCGCTCCTTTCGTCACTTGGCTCGAGGAGGCCGAAGACGAGAGCGAGGACGATGAGGATGAGGATGACGAAGACGACGACGATGAAGACGAAGAAGAGGCTGCTCCTAAGAAAGTCGCAAACGGTAGCTCCAAGAAGCCCCAGGTCAAGGCCAAGGAGGAAGAAGACGACGACGACGACAGCGACCTCGACAACCTCTGATCTTCTCAAGTCCTCTTACATCACCGCTCATCGACTCTGACTCTAGGTCTTCTCAGCTTATGATCGTAACATTGATTACTTTACAAAGTGCGAGATCCTCCGCCACTACTGGAGGTGTGACCATGGATCGAGTTGTGTGAAGGAGTTCCGCAAGAGCGAGGCTGTCATGTTATTTTAGTGTCGGCCCATGATGTGCGGATGTATGCGCAGTGTACAGTACTTACCGACTGGTATTTGATCCAAGGGGACCAAAGGCGCTTCCTCGTCGATGACCTCTCGAGGTAGGCCACTGCCTCCGCTGCCACCGCCACCTCTCTTGCGCTTGTGGTCACTGCTCCCTGGACCTTGGTGCCGAAAGTGTGTTAAGGGTGCCAAAGAGCCGTTCCAGCCTCCGTCTTGACCCTGTCCCTGCGAATGCGATCCCGGCTGTGGCGCTCGTTGGGCCTGATAAGATCCTCCTCTCGCACCTCCTCTGCCGCCTTGACCTCTGCCCCTGCCTCTGCCTCTGCCCCTACTCCAGCCCCTATCCCTTCCTTGGTCGCGACCCACTCGTCCTGCCTCTCCTTCTGCACGGGAGGAAGACGAAGACTGAGATGGCCCTGGGGCGACGCCTGGGGCGCCAAAGGACCCTGGCAGGCCCATGCTTGCCATCATTTGCGCGTGAGCTTCTGCACTTGTTCCGTTGCCCGACGATGAGGAAGCCGACGCCGCTCCTTCCTGCTGCTGCTCTGCTACCATGATGGAGATAGGTGGTCAAAGAGTCTCTGCCATCGGGCCCTCTTCTGTCTGCTTCACGTGGAGGTTCCTTCCCTCAAAAGACCTTTCGGCTTTTTTAGATTCAATTTTTGTAGCAGCGCAGGCAGGCCGGGCATCGCAACTCGCTTTTCATCTCACCCACTTCCTAGCAACCAATCCCCAACACAATACACCAAGATGGACTGTGAGTGCCCGCTAAGCTTTTGTCGAGAGCACAGTGAAAAGATGGCAAGAGAGAGAACGTCTGGCTGACAAGGGGACGGACGGACAAAAAAAGTCTCCTCGTTTAGCCAGTCGGAGCAGACGGCGATGCAGCGCATCATCGAGCAGAAGCAGATGAAGGACTTTATGCGCCTCTACACGGGGCTCGTCGAGCGATGCTTCGACAGCTGCTGCAACGACTTTACGTCCAAGGCGCTCAGCTCCAAAGAGGTCAGTCAGACGACTGGAACAGCGGGGATTAGGGGAAGGCTGATGTGGGACGATCTTTTCTCTTTGGTTCTGCTAGGAGACGTGCGTCGAAAACTGCACGCAAAAGTGGTTGAAGCACAGCGAACGGGTTGGAGCGAGATTCCAAGAGGAGAATGCAAAGATGATGCAAGGTCCGGGCAAGTGAGAGCTCCGGTGAGGAAGGAAGAGGATAAGCCAACGACAGGGTAGGGAGAGGTGTAAGAGGCGGTGGACGAGCACGACAGCGACAAGCGTCTCGCTGCATAGGCGAGGCGCTCTGTATACATAACAAACTTCACCAATCATCACAGACGACGAGGACCTCAATACAGAGCAGCCAATGTGCCACCCATTGCACGCCATGTTGGGCTGTCTGTTCAACTAAGAGACTGAACATTCCTCTCATGAGCCTCGGTAGGTGGTGTATGAAAACGGAGAAAGGAGGAGTGGTATGTGATAATGAGGATCGGGAGTGTCTGGTAACGTAAAGAGGATCTGCGACGGCGGTGTTTGGTCAGCTTTCGACTCTCCTCGACGCAGGAGTCCCAGGGCATCAGATCAGCACCCACCTCGACGCGGGGGTAGAACGATGGACGACTGTCCCTCGCGAAATATTGTCCCGTTTCAAATGTCATCCTGTAGATGCCTGGCGAAAGCTTCGAGGAAGGATCGAGCAGCGTCGTGCATCGCCCATCATTGTCCGTTTGCCTATCGTTAAGAAGGCCATCGCATCAGTCAGGCTTCGTAACGCAGGCATTGAATCGGAGGGCAGGACAGTCTCACCCCTGTGCAAGGATCTGAAAGTCGGACTGAGCCAAGGCAGCCAGACTGACATTTACGCTGCTTGCTGGGCGTCCCAGCGTACTGTCAAGCACATGACAAGTGATGGGTGATCTGGACATGGCTCTATCGCCAGGCGGAGCACAAAAGGTTTCAGAAGGAATACAGAGATAGACGAGCGAGAGGGCTTGAGCTCCAGCTTGCCTCCACGTGGGATTCAAGATTTAAGGCGGTGACGCTCGCTCAACCTTCAGCCACCGCCCAACCAACACAGTGCGAGACGCCCCTTTTCCACTGCCCGACTTCCTCTTGCGTAAGGACAAGGAAAGCAAAGATGCCTCTGTTTGGAAAGAAGGTAAGAGCGCGACCACCTTCAACATCAAAGAAGAATGAGAATGTCGAACACTCAACATGCTCCCTTGCCCTCCAAGCAGTCTAGCAAGATCCCGCCAGTCGAGGAGGCTGAGCCCAAGCAGCCAGCCTTCTATGGAGGCATCAACCAGCCCGGCATGCGCAATGGCCCTCCTGGCAGCCGACCTGGAATGGGTGCTGGGTACGGGGCAGGCTACGGAGCAGGCTATGGAGGGGGACCAGGGGGACCAGGAGGACCGCCGGGAAATCAAGGATACGGAGGACCTCCGACCGATGCCGGTCGCTACGGGGGTGGCCAGGGAGGCTACGACCAAGGTGGCTACGGCTATGGACAGCCACAGCCGCGATTTGCGGACGCCAAGGCACCTTCTGCGAACCTTGGAAGAGGGTACGATGAGATGGTAGGCAACGGGAGCCGACAGAGGAATCTCCAACGTAACGTTGAGGAGGACGACCTCGAAGCAGAGTATGGACGAGGTTCGGGAGGTGCAGGACGGGGCGGCGGAAGTCATGCTGCGGGATCCAATGCTTACGACGGAGTCGAGCAACAGGCTCAAGTGCAGGACGAGGAAGAGGATGAGGTAGAGGCTGTCAAGCAACAGATGAGATTCACAAAGCAGGAGAGCTTGGCGAGCACGAGGAATGCACTCAGAATTGCCAGAGAGACCGAAGAGACGGCGTCCAGCACCCTCCTCAAGCTAGGAGAGCAGAGCGGTAGGTTGAAAGCTAGTGTCTTGCTCCCTTCTCTCACAACAAGCTGATAAAGCTGGCATCGGACACCAGACAAATTGGCCAACACGGAGCGTCACTTGGACATGGCAAAGGCTCATGCGTCGAGGGCTGACGACAACACAAAGGAAATCAATGCTCTCAATCGCTCCATCTTCCGACCGAACTTCCAAATGAACAAGAAGGCCAAGCGAGATGCAGAGGAGGCGCGCATCCTCAACCGCCACGTCGAGGAGCGAGAGGAACGTGAGGCAACGCGAAACGAGGCCCTGCGTGCACAGAATCGCCTCGATCAGGAGCTTGGTGGACCAGGATCTGGCCGCTTTGGTGGTGGTCGATTTGGCATGGACCGCTTTGGGGCGGGCAAGAAGGCCGAGGACCCACAGAAGGCCAAGATGGCCCAACGCAGTCGATACCAATTCGAAGCCACAGAGAGTGACGACGAACTGGAAGACGAGCTGGACGGTAACCTGGATGAGATCGGCCAGCTGAGCGCACGGCTCAACGGCCTGGGAAAGGCCATGGGAACGGAAATCACCGAGCAGAACCAGAGGATCCAGCGGCTGGGCGACAAGACGACCAACCTGGACACGCGCATCTATGCTGGTCAGTACATGGTCTTTACATCCTGTCGAGACCTCAAGCTGATTCTCTCCCGTTGACAGGTACTCAAAAGCTGGATCGCATCGGCAAGTGGAAGTGATTGGTTTCCAAGCCGTTTCGCATTCACCCCGCCAGCCGTTCTTCTCGCTGTTATTATTCATACCTATCGCTCCTTGACCGCATCTGGAGCCAAAGGACGTCATTAATTTCTTTTTTTTTTCATGAATCAATCTATTTTTAAAGCGCCGTCAGCCCTATCTCCATGTGCATGCCTCGCCTCTGCCATTTCCGCTATTGTTCTCTGCCCACCCAGGTGTTTGCTCATCTCGTCTCTACCAGCGTCACCTTCAATTACCGAGAGTAGCCTCTCTTCACTGCACGTCGAGCAAGTCAAAATTCAGGCAGTGGATCCAGCGTGCCGAAAACGGGTGCACGGCAAGGTGACAGCACGCGTAGACGAGCAATAAGTTCGCGTCCGTGCGGAGCGGCGCGGCGACAGTCTGCAATTTTCAGACCGGAAGGCTCGCTCTCTACAGCGCCTCTTCCCTCTCTTTTGCAACGACGAAAGGCAGATCTCCGATCCTTCACTGCGACGATCAAGGACAACACACGCCTTTTGCCGCCTCTGCTCCGCTTCCCGGTCCACCTGCGTGCGACGTCGAGCCTCGGTTTCTCTGTCACTGCGCGCGCATCGACAACGACCGGCCAACGGAGATAGTGGCAAGGATGCCTCACAATCCCTTTGCCAAGCAGCCCGACACGTATGGTGCGTTGTTTTCTTCTCTTTCTGACGTCAGTTGGCTCACTGGAATGGCGCATCGACAGTCAAGAAGAAGGAGTATACCTTCACAAAGACGCTCGGCGAAGGCACCTTTGGCATTGTCCGGTCGGCCAAATGGAACGCAGCGGACCCCCCGATCAATGTGGCCGTCAAGGTCATTAGCAAGAAGATCTTGAAGGGCCACGATGAAATTGTGCAGGATGAGATGGATGTACTCAAGGTTGGTCCATCACGCTGTGTGCGCGCACCCAGCTCATCGAACAGCTAGCTAACGAGAGAGGGAATCGCCAATACAGGGCCTTGATCAGCCTCACGTCGTCAAGTTTCTCGACTGGTTTGAGTCAAAGGACAAGGTCAGTCCTGGCTTTTTTCCTTCTACAGGCCCTGATCATTGTGCTGATGCTCGGTCCCACAGTACTACCTCGTCTTCGAAGAGGCCAGCGGCGGAGAGCTCTTTGACCGTATCCTCCAGCGAGGTCGATTCACCGAGGGCGACGCCTGCCGAACAATCCGAGCAGTGCTCTCTGCGATCCAGTATCTGCACCACCACAACATTGTGCACCGAGACGTCAAGCCAGAGAACATCCTCTACCGGACAAAGGAGGAGGACGCCAATGTCGTGCTCGTCGACTTTGGAATCGCCAAGCACCTCAAGGCCGAGGATGAGGTGCTGACGAATGTTTGTGGCTCCTTTGGCTACGCTGCTCCGGAGATTCTTGCAAAGAAGGGACATGGCAAGGCCGTCGATATGTGGAGCTTGGGCATCATCACTTACACCATGTGAGAAAGAGACTTAGCGCTGGTTGCCATCCGCTCCACCCATGGCTCACATTGCTGAATTCTGCTCCCCCTCGACAGGCTCTGCGGCTACACGCCCTTCCGCTCAGACGACCCTGACAAGCTGGCAGCAGAGACGCAACGAGGAAAAATCGAGTTCCACGATCGTTACTGGAAGAACGTCAGTCCCGCCGCAAAGGAATTTGTCAAGTCATGTCTCACCGTCGACCCCTCGAAACGCTTGACGGCTGACGAGGCCATGAAGCACAAGGTAAGCTGGGTCCCTTTACGTCTTTCCTCTTCCTGTCCATCTTTGCTGACTCGTGTCACTCGTGTATCCAGTGGCTCACCGAGAACCGAACCGAGACCGAGGCGTCACACGATCTCTCCCTCGGCCTGCGGGAGAACTACCGCAAGCGGTGGAAGACGGCCATCAATGCCGTTCGAGCCAGCACCAAGTTCCGGACATTTGCTGCTCTGGCCGCCGATGGAAAGACGGGGCCCAGCGAATCAGGCGACGAGGGTACAGGCGCTGCTGCTGCCGATGGAGAAGAAGAAGGCCGCATTTCACCACCTACCAAGTCGGAGCTGTACAGCGAGAGCAGCAGTAGGGATGGCGAGGTTGAAGACGCAGACTACCTGACGGGAGATGAGGGAGAGGATGCGCGCACCTCCCAAGGTCAAGCCAACGGTGACGCAAAGGATGTGGGCGAGAGCGGTGTCAAAGGTCTCGTCAACAAGCTCCAAGGTGCAAAGGTCTCTTCTTGACACGTCTCCCTCTCCCTCTATCTTCTGCACTCTCTTGTACCAGTAGACTGTCGCCGTCCTGTCTCCCTTCGTCTTCTCGCCCACGCCTCGCCGCTCTTTTCATTCATTCTGGCTCCTCTCAGCTCCATAGAGCTCATCGTGATTTTGCATGGAATATTGAGTCAATTGTCGTTGTTCTACTGTACAGCTTGCGTGTGTTCATACAATCGTTGTGCTAGGATTGGCAGCATTCATGAGGAGGGTGGCTGGTCCGTGGCCGCCGAGCCATGTCCACGCTTTCGCCGCTTCCTTTTGCCACCTCCCACCCCTCCTTCTCCTCCTGCTCCTTGCGCCCCTCCTTGGGACGCCGGCACGCTCGCACCATCCTTCTTCTTGTCGCCGCCCTGCTCCTTTGCCGGCTTCTCCCCACCCTTTCCTTTCTTCTTTTTCAAGGACGTCGACTTCTTCACACTGAGTGGATTGGGCCCCTTGGGCCTCTTCTTCCTCGGTAGCGCCACTTTGGCCTTGTCATGGACGGTTCCAGCCGCGTCTTCGTCGGCGTCGACGTCGCGGTGGTGCTCGCCATCGTCGTCGTCGAGGCCGACAATGTCGCCACTGCGCTTGCCCAGCACGGTGCGACCTGCCGAGAGATCGAGCTTGGCCCGCTCGAGCTCCTCGCACCGCAGGCGCGTCTTGTCGCTCATGGGCTCCAGCACCAGCACGTTTCGCTCGTTGTGGTGGCACACGGGCACGGCGAGCACGTCGCGCCGCACGGCCGCGCGCAGACCGGCGCTGTCGGACGCGAGCACGTACCGGTGCTTGTTGGTGGGGCCAAGGACATCGAGCAGGCAGCGCTCGCCTGGCATGGCGGCATCGCGGTGGTTGCACCGCCGCCGCTCAAACGTCTTGGCCATCTCGACGGCCAGGCGCTCGCCCGTCTCGCGCTGGTGCGCATACAGCTCGGCGATGCAGCACTGCGTAATCATCGGCTTGATCGCGCCCGCCTTTTTCTCCGCCGCGGTCGATCCGCCGCCGCCGTAGCCGCCCGACATCGAGACCGTCGTGTTGAAGCGCGCACCGAGGGCTGCAGAGGCCTGCAGCACGCTCTCGAGACGCAGCGCCACATCGCCCGCCGAGAGCTTCTCGCGGACGAGGGCGAGGACCATGGGCGCATCGAGGAGCACCTGCAGCGGCGGGCGCAGGCCAAAGTGGCGGATGTACGCCTCCAGCAGCTTGCGGTATGTCTTGGCTCGCTTCTGCCTCATCTTCTTCTTCTTCTTCTTCTTCTTCTTCTTCTTCTCTTCTTCTCTTGCGACGTCTGTCTTGCCTTGGTCTCGATGAAGCAAGGAAGCATCTTCTTATTTTTCTTTAATTTTTTTTTTCTGTCTGCCTGCCTTTCGCTCGGACTTTTTCCTAGAACTTTTTCGGAAATCTTGAGCCACGTTTTGGGCACACTCCACATCCACACACAGGCTGATGATCCCTTTCCCAAGGCAAGAAAATGAAGAATGGGGGGTCAAGTTGTCTATTATGCGAATTCCAGAGTACTGCGATAGAATGATGAGAGAGAAACAGAGAGGAGCCTTCACGCCGCGGCACTGCCCATGCGGATCAGCGTCTCTTCCTGGAGGAGCCTGCCGCCGAGTTTGCCACCGGGGTGGTTCCTCGTGAAGCTCTGTTTGCCAAGCCCGCATGCGCGTGCAACAGAGAGAATGAGAGCGTCGCCCATGGCCAGGGCCACTGTCGTGCTGCTCGTAGGTGCTGGGACGAGGCCATCGGCCTCTGCCGTGCCTTGCTCGTCGTCGACGGGCGAGCCGGGCGACGATGTCCTGCAGTCGACCCAGGCACCTCTCCCGCCGGTGGCGGCCTCGACGAGCTTGGAGTCCTCCCTGGCCGAAAAGGCAAGGATGGGACACCCCCTCAGCTGGAGGTGGGGCAGGAGCTGGAGCAGTTCGGAGCTTCCGCCGCTGTGCGAGAGCGCACAGATGGCGTCGGGCTGACGCGGTGGTGCCGGCGCTCGGTTCTCAGAAGCCCTCGCTCGGAGCAGAGGGGCGACGGGCGCATGTGGAAAGTGGCCTGAGACGAGGCCCAGGTCGCCGTGCAGCGCCTCCGTCGGGTGCATATAGACCGAGGGTAGGCCGAGGGACATGGATGTGGCCGAGAGCTTGCGCGCAATCAGGCCGCTCTTGCCCACGCCGGTCCAAACAATCTTGCCGCCACCGGCGACGGTGCCGACAAGGACTTTGATGGCGTCCTCAAACGAGGCGCGCGTCGAGCTTGCCCGTCGTCCACTCGAGGGTCCCGCTATTCTCTCGTCGGACCCCTTTTGCATCTCGACGCCCTGCAGCCTCGAGGCGGCATCGAGGAGTGCCTTTGCCTCTGCCAGCAGGATCGAGTGCGCATGCGATAGTGTGGCGGGCAGGTCTACGCCGAGGTCCTCTTCTTCCTCCTCTTCCTCTTCGTCATTGTCCCCGTGCGAGTCTTGATGCGCTTCTTCCCCACCGTCGTCGTCGTCATCGTCATCCGCATCGCCTTGGTCGGTGTCGGAGCCGTCGAGATGGCCAAGTCGCTCCTCGTCGAGCTCTTCAACGATGGCCGCATCGTCCTTGGCTCCCCTCGTGCGCTGCATCGCAGGAGCTGCCTCACTCCTGACCTTGTTCTTGGCCTCGTTCTTGGCCGCCGTCGCACGCGGTCGCGATGAGACGGACCAGAGCGACGGCGGCGCGGTCGAGGGGGGCGTCAGCAGGGCATCTTCGTCTTGCTCAACGTGGCCGTCGTGACCCTGACCCGGAAGCGTCAGGCGGTCGCCATAGACACGCGGCGAAAAGAGCAAGGCGGACGTGTGCGTATTGGTAGATGAGGAAGGCGACGAGGGCCGCTCGCTGGGGCTCGAGGCAGAAGAGCCCTGCTCCATCATTGTTGTCGTCGTCGGTTGCGGTGGCACGAAGGAAGAGGAGCTGGAAGCCATCGTGCTGCAGGTGCAGGCCGACCGCGGGAGGTGGAGAACTGATGGGGGTGAAGATGGAGGGAATAGATGGGAAGAGGAGCTTGTTCTTATCGCATCATCATCTCTCCACCAAGCCGTGTCATGTCGTGCAGCACAAGCAACATCTGCTGCCTCATCAGCGAGCAGCATCAACCGGGTGCATGCAGACACCGAATCGCGCAGCCCTCTTCTGAGCTAAGCAAAGCCAAAGAAGAAATAAAAAAAAACCCAGACTTCAATTTGCTTTCGCCCGACTTCCTCCCTCGAAACTTTAGTTAACCCCTCTTGTGCCTGTGCTCACGGTACAGCGCGCCTCATGATGTTAACGTAATGAAGGTGATGCTTCGGTCATCTCAGCCACCAAGACGAAAGCGGGAAATCCCCCGCGCTCCGATCTTCTGGTCGCCTCGTTTTGCTCACTCTTTCTCTGGCGGCTGACAAGATATCGCGACTCAGCCTCCAGCGAGTAAGAATGGGTGGAGCGCGCAAAGCGCGTCGGATAGAAAATGGAAAAATGTCGTGATTCTGGGGCGCGGGCTGTGTCCGTTCGGGGACTCACTTTAGAGTAGTAGTAGTAGTAGTAGTGTTGCTAGCTAGTCGCGTTCCCTCCAAAGACCGAACAAGGATGGAGATAAGGAGCCTCTCTTATTATCGGATAAGACGACACGACACACCCAGCGCACGTTCTGCACAACTTCTCAGCAGAAAAATGCTATTATTAGGTTGTTGTAGTCATGGTAGGCTGCGCTTTCTATGATCCTTGTCTTTCACTTTAGGCAAGGGACGAACAAGCCCGAGGGGTGCGCTATAGACCATCCTCCCATACGCCGCGGCTCGACGAAGAAGCCTCGTCGGCGTCTGGCGACCGCGAGAAGCGCTTGTTGTTGACCACGTCTGGATACCGCTTGCGCAGCACGGCCAGCCGGCTGCGGTAGTCGTCGTGGTTCACATAGGCACCGCACAGTCTTCGGTTGCCCACAAATGCCGATCGTCCGTGAAGAACACGGTGGTTGTCAAAGACTGTCAAGAGGGACAGAGAATTAAGCATGGCGCGACGGCCTTCTCCTCCACTTGCTGGTGAAGCTACTCACTCAGAGCATTGCCAGGCTTCAGCTGCTCCCAGTACTCGCTGTCGACGTTGGTGAGGATCTCGTGCCATCTGTTAATCGCAATCTTTGTGCGTCAGCACGCCAAAGGAGGAAAGCAGCTGCCAGTGGGAAGAACTCACTTTGCCAATGCATCGTAGAAGGGCAGGACCTGGTCCTCTGGCAGCTTGAGCACGCTCCGGTCATCGTTGTTATACCGGACACGGACAAGCTCGCCAGTGACGGTGTCGTGCTCGAGGATGGGGAAGCCGCCTCTCTTGAGCGGTCGGATCAGGACATCGTCGTCGCCCGCGCTGTGCGTGCGGAAGCGAGCCTGGGAGAGGACCTCGTATGCCTCTGGGTGGACCTCCCGGAGGATCTTTGCGGCAAAGAAGCCATCGACGAGGAGCGACTCTCCCCCGCTGGGCGCTGTGCCGTCCTTGGCCTCTGTGTGGCTGAGGAGGTGGAAGAGCTGGAGGCCGGCTGGGTCGGTAAAGTAGGTCGTGTCTGTATGCGCGCCCAGCGCCAGGTTGGTGTAGGCCGTGTCGCCGTGAGAGAGGTCCGAGGTGAAATCCCAGAAGCCGCCATAGTGCGTCTCGCGGATAAAGGCAATCCTCCTCACCAGCGCCTCGGTGTCTTCTGGCGTGGGTGGAACGCCTGTGACGAAGCAGAAGCCAAATTGTTCCTGCACCGAGAGACAGAGAGGGAGAGAAAGAGGAGGTGGGAATGGGAGGCTCACTTTGAATATTGTTCGCTCAGAGAGGCAAGAGGGAAGCACACTCACAATCTTGCTCAGCCACCGGAGCAGGCCCCTGTCGCTGCCCTGGTCGTCCATGACCTCCGCCCAGGTGACGCTCGGTGGCTGCTGGGCGATTCCCTTGCCCCACAGCAGACGTCCGGCCTTTTCCATGTCTGTTCCCGGCTCGCCGCTGCCCGAGGTGAGCGAGAGCGAAGGTGCATAGGAGTTGGAGTAGAGCCAGGACCACGGATAGAGGGAGGAGTGGGGTGCAGCAGCGTCGTCCGAAGAGGCATCGCGGGCAAGCAGCGACGAGGCCGACGTCTCTTCTGCGCCCGGTTGGGGCCAGTGTACCAAGAGGCCCTCGGTGGTGCTCTCGACGGCGATGGGATTCAGCTGCGGTGAGATCTGGATGTGAAGGGGCCAAGTCAGCTCAGAGGTTTCGACGTGGAGAACAGAGGGCTCTCTCCCCCTCTCACGGAACTCACAGAGAAGGTGTCGAGCTGCCGCTGTTTTGTCTGCGGATGGTAGCACGCCGGACACCTGCAGTGATCTCTGAGCCAAATGTTGTGGCTGGAAAAAGGCAATGTCAGCCGCAGAGACGAGAAAGATGGAGGGTATATGCACTAAGAAGAGGCCGCAACTCACTACCGGCTCTCAATCCCACTGGACCACACGACGTTGACTTTTCTCGCTTGGGCATCAAGGGTGGCCTGAGGTACCGCGAGGGCCTGCGTCTCGCTGAGCTGGGGCCTTTGTTGGTATTGCTGTTGCTGCTGTTGCTGCTGATCCAAGGGAGCGGCTCGATGCTGGCGTGGGGAACAAGCAAAGGACCGGGCATGTCGTGTGATCGGAGCTGACGGTACTGGTCTGAATGGACATCGTGCCTGGGCATACAATGGCACAGTCCGTTGCGATGAGCGCGCAGCAGCTCTACCAACGCTCCACGCCGCTGTGGGGTTCATGGTCGAATCTTAGCGAGATTTGGTATGGCTCGAGAAGATGTGAATGGCCAATATGGAACGGGGTCCTGTTGCACTCTAATCCCGCGCGTGGCTTGGAAATGTGTTCGTGCGCAAAAGCTGCTTTGAAAATAGAAAGAGAAAAGGAAGCTCGGGACTTAAGGCACCGACCGGTGTAGACATTGACGACGACATGCTCCTTAGGTCCGGAGCTCGAGGGCTGCCGGCGCAGGCAGCGGCAGCGGCATCATGGCGAGGTCTACAGGCAGCCATACCTCGCTGCGCCCGGGCCGTGGCATCATCAGCCCCATCGCGGGCCTCGGGTGGCAGCAGCAGCAGCAGCAGCAGCAACAACCCGTCCCTCGCCTTTCCCTGCATCGATGCCAACGAGGCTAGGACAGCGAGGCTGCTGGCCAGACAAGGCCCCGACATTGAGGACCCATCGGCCGCATCTGGCTCCGCGTCGTCCGACGATGGGCCAGAGCCTTCGTACACGAATGTCGTGTCTGGCTACAAGACCTACCATCACGATGCGCCCCTCGAGCTCGACTATGGCGGCGAACTTCCCTCGTTTGACATTGCCTACGAGACCTGGGGCACGCTCAACAGCGACCGATCCAACGCCATTCTCCTCCATACGGGTCTCAGTGCCTCTTCGCATGCCGCCTCGCACCCGGAAAACACGACAAAGGGCTGGTGGGAGGACTTTATCGGGCCGGGAAAAGCCATCGACAGCAACAAGTACTTTGTCATTTGCACAAACGTCATTGGCAGCTGCTATGGCAGCACTGGGCCTTCCTCGCCCCACCCACTTGATCCAGAGGGAAAGCCGTGGGCGACACGGTTTCCCATCATCTCCGTCTTTGACATGGTCCGCGCCCAATTCTTGCTCCTCGACCACCTCGGCATCGACCGACTGTATGCGAGCATGGGATCGAGCATGGGCGGCATGCAGAGCATCGCTGCCACGCACCTCTACCCGCAACGCGTGCAAAAGCTCATCAGCATCAGTGGCAGCGCCCGTGCCAATCCATCGAGCATCGCACTGCGCTTTGCCCAACGTAGCGGTGAGTAGTCCGCAGACAGGGACGTGGCCGTGCTTGATGCTCCAACGAAGAAGGAATATGATGCTGAACTGCGATACGAACAGTCCTCATGGCGGACCCAAACTGGAACCGTGGCTTCTACTACGACGAGGGAAGGTTGCCGCCGCACACGGGCATGAAGCTTGCTCGCCAGATTGCCACCATCACCTACCGTAGCGGTCCCGAATGGGAGCAGCGATTCGGCCGCGAGCGCCGGAGAGGGTCTGCCGATGCCGAGGACGAGCTTGCACCCGCACTCTGTCCCGACTTTCTCATCGAGACCTACCTCGACCACCAGGGCGAGCAGTTCTGCCTCAAGTACGACGCAAACAGCCTCATCTACGTCAGCAAGGCCATGGACCTGTTTGACATGAGCCAGGATTCCCTAGCGTCGCTCGAGAAGAGGCGAGAAAAGAACAGACTGGCGCGGCAGAAGGAGGAGGACGACCAAACGGCGGCTCCCGCTTCTTCGGAGCCTGATGACTCTAGTCTGACGGCCTCTGCGGCGACCAGCACATCGACTGGAGGCGCAGGGAAGCGAAGAAGACAACACATTCAGACGCTCTCGTCGCCCAGTGCCCATACCTACCTCGACTCGCTCGCAGAGGGTCTGCGCAGCCTTTCGGACCACCCCACGCTCATCATCGGTGCCCAGTCCGACATTCTTTTCCCCATCGACCAACAGCGCGAGCTGGCAGAGTGCCTCCGACGCAATGGCAACACCGAGGTCCGCTACTACGAGATAGACGCTCCGCACGGCCACGACAGCTTCCTGTGCGTCTTCTCTTTCTTTTTGTTTCCCTTTTCTCACAAGTATGAGACTGACTCAGGCTTGCCATCTTTGGACAGCATCGACGTCGCAAATGTGGGCGGTGCAATCAAGGGCTTTCTGGATTGAGAGAACTTCGTTGCCGATGTCCTGGAGTATGACATTGTTCGAAGAGGGTTGCAACATGTGCGTGCAATAAGTGTAGCTGTAGCAATAGCAAAGAAAAAAAGCAGAGGCAGAAGGCGAAGAATCCGTGCGATGAAGAAAGAGAGCAATGGAGGGAGAAAAGAGAGAGAATGGAGCAAAAGCAAGTTTTATAGCCTAGGCGAGAGTAGGGCATCAGAGTGCAAATGCAAAGGCAAAGAGGGCTGCAAGGGCAAGTGAGAAGAGGAGAGGAGCCCGGGGCGAAGCGAAGCTGGAGCTCGAGCCGGATCCGGCCGCTTGCAGAGTGGGCGCGGCCGTCTGAGAAGTCGAGATGGCGCTGGGCTGGGGCAGACCAGAGGCGCCGACGACGTTCGTCGACGCGGATGTGGTCGCAGTGTTGGACGACACGCTGGGCAGGCCCGGCACGCCTGTGATTGCCGAGGACACGCTCGAGGCAGACGACACGGCCGACGTGGCCGTAGCGGCGGCGCTTCCGACGACGCCCGACGACGTAGCGACAGTCTGGGCGCCCGAAGAGTCCTTGAGCGCAGCGAAGCCGACGGCAGCAGGCGAGTATTGGAAGGCAGTAAAGACATTCTTGAGGAAGGTGTCACCGACGACGTAGTCTGGCCCGCTGTCGCCAAGGTCGAGCGAGAAGAGGGCGGCGAGGCAGCTTGAATAGGAGAGGCGACCAGCAAGGAGGTCTTGGGCGCTGATGGTGTAGTCCTTTCCGCCGAACCGCAGCGAGATGATGTTGCTAGAGGAACAAGGGATCGAGTAGAAGCCTTCGCTTGAGCTGCTCATCTGCGTGGGCGTAGCGCCGGGAATCTGGGAAAAGACCTGTTCGAGGACCGAATTGGGCATGGAGATGAGCGTGGTGCCCGTGTCGATTGCGGCCGTGTTGCCGCTCGACAACGTGGCCGTATTGCCATTGACGGTGATGGCATCGAGAGGAATGGACCAGAAGCCGTCGTTGCCGACAACGTTGACAAAGGAGATGTCACCGCTGTACTGGTTTCCGTCGAGCTGGCCGAGGGTGAAGACGCCACCGGGGGAAAAGGTAGCCGAAGTCGCCGTCGTGGGAGCGCGCGAGAGTTGGAAGCTGAACACGTTGGTCTTGAGTAGGTTCTGCTCAACAAGAACCTGCCAAAAGGGAGTCGTCTTGGACTCGGCCAGCTCCTCAAAGCCCATGCCCATGATGCCCGAGCTGCCTGGGGTGAGGGTGCCCGAGGCGACCTGATCGACATTTGCCCAGGTCAGGTCATTGACGACGTAGCCGGCGAGCGAGACGTCATCCGCCACCAATGTCCCCGCCACGGCACCAGTACCATATTGGATCTGAAAGGGTGTGCTGCCGCTGTGGTAGGAAGAGGACGAGGCCGGGTTGAACAACGTCGCTGAGTCGCATTCGGAGCTGGTGCAGTCGGTTGTGGCGAGCCAGAAGTCGGAGCTACCGGTGTCAAGAACGACGTTGAAGTTTTGCTTTGGCGTTCCTACGCTGACCTGGCCATAGTACGATGAATCCGTGCCGTAGTCCTGCAGGCCAATCGTTTGTCTCTTTCGGATCGCTGCCCGGGCCTCGTTTGCCGCCGCATTGTTCTTGGAACCCCACCGGGCGAGGATGTGCTCCCGCTGGCGCAATGCAAATGCGCGCGTCTCGTCGGGGTTCGATTGATCCCGCTTGCTTTGGTGGACGAGGGGAATGTGCATTGAGGCAGATGAGGCGCCCACCTCCCGGCGCCCGAGCGGAGCAGGCATCTGCGGGTATCGGATCGTGCTACCGTGTGGCAACACGATGCATTCGCCTGGCGAAGCAGCGCCGAGGGCCAGCGCCACAGCCACGGTCAGGACTGCCGTCGTCTTCATCTTCCAAGTCCACTGCCGCTCTTCTTCTGAATTAGGGAACGGGGAATGCGGGATGGATGGAGAGGGAATGAGATGGGGAAACCATGAATTGCATTCGACAGAAAACGGCATCATATATGCGGAGAGGCAGTGCTGTGCTGATCTCTCTCCCTCCACCCTAGCTTCCTTCCCTCGCGGTCTTTCTTCCGATGAGGTACGACTGACGCTTGTGAATTACTCTTTTTTTTCTTTTTTTTTTTTTCCTTAGTCGTGTTACTTAAGCGTAAGCGCAACTTGTCACCTGAGTTCAACACACTACTAATGTATTATTGCTAGTACGTACTGTACTAGTACTACTCTACTATTACCTATGCCCTGGCAGCTGCCGGTTCACTTCTCCTTACCCTGCATGTGGCTTTCATTGTTAAATCATGATCGGCTTAGACTGACTGACTGCGTGTGCTGAAAATTAAATATAGTAGGCCAGGGCTTCTTCCCGCCCGCTTTCGGGTTCGGCTTCTTCCTTTGCAAATCTCCAAGTCCGAAAAACAAAAGGAGAGAGAGAGAGAGCGAGCGAGGAGAGAAAAAGGAAATTGAACTTCCGGCCGGCATCGATCGATGGCGTTTTTTGATCTCAAACGTCTCGCGGAGAATTGGTCTGTTTGAGATCTGGAAGAGGGCAATCATTGTGCGGCGAGAGGGTGTTGCAAGAGACGCGGCGGTGCTCTACCCTCTACGACCAACGTCGTGTTGGGTCACGACATTGGCGATTAGAGACACAAGCGCAACGAAGAAGAAGCTGGACCCGCATTGCACCTGCACCTCGGCTTGGCACACGGTTCTTGGCCTCTAGACAGATTTCTGGGCTTTTAAAAGTCAGTCCCGTGTACGGAGCGAATTTGTCGGCAAGGGTCCGATACAACGCCGATGACATGACCCGCAGACGGCATCAGCCGGTCAGTTCTCTGACAGCCTTGTCTCATACGACATTTGCCGGATGTTCACCAGACTTGGGGCAGCAGAGAGAACTGGCTCGGGCGAGGCAAGCATGAACGTGACTGAATATTCATTGACAGCATAGATAGAAGCTGGTTATATTCCTTACGAGGACTGCGAGCCCGTCGCGAGGCGCTTGAGGTGCTCCAGGAAGACCTGCAAGCTGACATCGTCTGTGAAGATGGCCGTTCCTGCGCCAGACGTGCCGTACATGCCACCGCTCATGTGCGTCGTGCTGGGGTTGAGCTTGGACAGGAGGAAGCGAGCTTGGGAGCCACCTGCGTCGCACACGACGAAGCGCGAGAGGGGCAACCGGTCGTCGAGGAGATCCGCCGCATCCTTTTGAGGCGTCTCGAGGCACTCCTTGAATGACTCGTACCCTTCCTGCTCTTGGTAGCCCGCCTTTCTCCATTGCGCGACGGTATCGCCGTGAAAGATGAGGATGTGGAAGAAGGTGTCGAGGAGCAGAATGACATCGTCCTTGATCGAGACCGAGTCGAGGAGGACCGGGACAGGGTCCTGGCCAATGCCATAGCTCATCAGCGTCGGCTGAATCATGATGAGACTGTTGTTGACGTCCTCGCTGTTCAGCACGTGGCGGTAGTAGGCCGTCTCGTCGGGTGAGTTGTTAAACACCTGCAAGAACTGACTTCGGCGGAGGTGGAACATGAATTGAGGGTAAATGCTGAAGTTTTCCGTCAGTCGGAAGCTGGCTGGATCGTCTTTGCGGTAGTCTGCGAACTTCTGACACAGGCGGATCAACATGCGGTCGAGCCAGCGCAGCACATCGGGCGAGTCGTCGATTTCGGCCTTGAAGACCGAGATCCTGGCCATAAGAACGGCGGCAGCCTCTTGGTCGAAGGAGCCTGCAATCTGAGCGGAGCCGCCTTCTGCGAAGCTGCGGGCAATGGTGGAGACTCTCAAGCGGAAGGTGCCGTTCGCATGCTGGTAGTGCGTGACGAACTGAATCAGGCCTCGTGAGCCTGGCTGGAGCGGCTGGCCGGCGGGCGTGACGACTTCAAAGTAGATACCGACCGACGTCTTTGGCGTCAGGCTGCACAGCTTCCAAGCCGACGTCCCACCGATTCCGATCTCGGTCTCTCCCACGGAAGCCGACTTCTTATTGGCACTGATGGCGTGACCAATGAGACCGCTGACCTTGAGCTCCTTTGTGCACTGGACATCCAGGGTGGCGTTGAAGCCCATCTGGAGCTCGCCCTTGCTCTCATCCTTTGCAAAGATGCGCTTGAAGCTCTCCTTGAAGATACCCATCTGGAACGAGTCGGCGAGAATCATGTAGCCGTTGGTGTAGTTTGCCAGCGACTTCATCTCCAGCAGACCAACCTGGTCGAGGCAGCCGGCAAAGACGTCGATCGTGTGGCCGTTCTGAGCACATCGCTTGGCGATCGTCTCGTAGAACTTAAGCGCCCGCTTGTAGTACCGCACGTTGTCCTTGTCAATGTCGTGGTGGGACCGGATACGCTCGCGAAGCTCCGTCGAAACGACATTGCCGGGTCCTTCGCTGGCCGGGCCACCACAGAAGAGCATGAGACGGGCGCCAGTGTTGGGAAACGTCGTCTCGAGCATGCCGACTGCAACACTCAGAGCAGTGCCCGTGCATCGCTGAGACCGCTTGTCGCTCGCCACGGGCCAGGGGTCCTTTTGCAATTGCTCGAGGATGCTCGTCAACTGATACTCGCACTGGCTGACGGGCAGCAGGAAACGGCTCGCACCGTAGGACCCTGGCGTGGTTCGAGGCTGGGGCCCGCTCGAGGGCCCACCAGGCGCGGCCGGGCGGGCACCGCCGGAGAGGCCGAGCATCTCCTGGATCGCCTTGGGCGCGTACTCCTTGGTCCCGCGGAACACGTAGCTCTTTGGGCAGGCGTCATAGCCAAGCTCGTGGACTTGTGCCTGTGCTTCGGGTCAGTCTTGCGCCTTCGCAATAGGTCAAAGCTAACTCACCATAGTTCCGAAGGTGACGAGGCCGACAAGAGCATTGGGAGGAAGCAGGCTCAGGCTGAGCACCAGCGACTCCCTCAGCGCCTTGAGATCGTCCTCTTCGACGCACGTGTCGACAACGTAGAGGAAGACAGGTGGGATCTGAGCAGGACGACTGAGAATGTAGTCGATGGTCGTGTACTTTGGCAGCACTTCTGGGGGCAGGTTCGTGTTGCTGATGTCGCGGTAGTGGGGCGGCAGGGCGTTGCGAGAAAGGCAAAAGGGGCAGATCCACAGCTTGCCACGCATGTCGATTTGACTGTCGCGGTAGTACGTGTCAGCGTGTCTCTCTCATTGACAACAGCCAAGCGCCTTTGTTCTCTCACCAGTAAGGGTTCAGGATAGCGCGGCATGGCGGCTTGCAAGTGACGGGCTCATAAGCGACAGGCGGCAGATTGGCCCTCTCCTCGCTGTCTTTCATGGGCGTGTAAAGGGCGGAGATGGGAACGACGGTCCGTGTGGCCTCAATCTTGGTTGCCGGCCAGACGTTCCACGACAGGCGAACGCCATCGCGATCCTCAACGTCGTCGACGTTCATGCTGTTTTGTCCCGGGTGGTGTCTAGTCTGTCAATCGAGAAGAAGCTGCGAGGGGAATGGCCAGCGCGCTTGCTGTCTGAGACAATTGGATTGACATTCCACGTGTCGGGCGACCGACGCCCTCTTCAAGATTCTTCGCGCTCTTATTTTTAATTTTTGAGTGAAGAAAGCTGCTTTTGACGTTTGAGTCAAGCTCGACATGGCGAAGGAGGAGGACAAGCGGGGGGAGGCGGTGCCGCACAAGCACAAGCACACCGTCGGCCAGGATCCTGACAAGATTGAGGAGATCATCGCTCGGAATCGGCGGGTGGCCACCCCGTTTGTGCTCAACAAGTGCGAGGCCAATGCGGCCAAGCACTGGAACCTTTTCTACAAGCACCACGAAGACCGCTTCTTCAAGAACAAGAACTGGACAGAGAAGGAGTTCGAGGTGCTAGGAGGAGCACAGAAGAGACAAGACGAGATTGGAAAGGATGGCGCAGAGGTCAAGCAGTCGGGCGACGAGGAAGCGATAGCAGGGGATGCTATCGTCGAGGAAGAGACGGCAGGGCGAGGGAGCGTATTGCTCGAGGTGGGATGTGGACCGGGCAATATGCTCTACCCCATCATCAAGCGCAATCGAGACATCAAGGCGCATGCTTGCGATTTCTCCTCGCGGGCTGTCGAAATTCTTGCCTCTAATCCGGCCTTTGACCCCGACCGCATCAACGCCTTTGTCCATGACCTCGTCTCCACCCCTGGCAAAGAGCTTCGAGCCCAGCTGTCGCAACACCCCTTTGGACCTCCGACCGTCGTCTCCCTCATCTTTGTCCTCTCTGCCATCCCACCGCAGCACCATCGCTCCGTTCTGCAGTCTCTCGCCGACTGCCTGCCCGATGAGGGAGGAGCGCTGTGCTTTCGAGACTTTGCCCGTGGCGACCTGACCCAGCTCCGGTTCCACCAGAAGGCCTCGGCAGCCTGGGCCGAGCCTGCGCTCTTGAGCGAGGAGCAGGCCTTCTATCGCAGGGGCGACAATACCTTCACCTACTTCTTCGACGTCGAGGAGCTTCGCCAGCACGCAGAGGTGGTAGGCCTCGAGGGAGAAGTCAGCGTCCGAGAGTCGCACCGGACGAATCGCAAGACCGGCGTCCACTTGCACAGACGATTTGTCCATGCCAAATGGAGAAAGAAACGAACGACCGCATAGCGTAACATAGAAGACCTTTTCCCGCCTCCTTCGCTGTAGCTGCTAGCCACTTGTACTTTTACTTTGCAATGACCATCGATCGGTCATGAGGTCGAGAGTCTGTCTTACCAGCACAGGCGAGAAAAGCTAGCTCTACCACGTCAATTAGCTTTTCGAGGCTTGCATCACATCGTGTGCGACAGGTCGAACCATGATCATTCTTCACACCTTGCCACAGGACAGCTCAATAAAGAATAGACAGAGGGTATGTGACAATGATGGGTTACCAGCCTAAGTCGAGTCGAGATACTCAAGAAAAGAAAGGGTCATTTGAGTCTTCAGCGCGCGGAGCTAGCGATGCTAGGCGTGTCAAGAGAAGCGCCAGGTGACGGTCCTTCAGGTTTTTCAATAGCTCGGACGCTGTGACGACGACGAGCTTGTCACGGCACCGTGTCAAGGCCACATTGAGACGGCGATAATCGCAGATGATGTCGTGCAGGTATCCTTGAGGCATCTGAGTTCTTACCGTTGAGAGAATAATGACGTCGGCCTCCTTGCCCTGGAATGCATCGACGGTTGAGACAAGATCCGAGGCCTCGGTGCGAGTCAAATGACGGTTCTGCGTACGTACACCATCTTTGCTTCGGATACTGTCGGCAGGCACATCGAGAGTGAGGTCGCGGACGAGTTGACTTTCGATCTCGCGCTTCTGGTCACTGTAGAAAGTCAAGATCTGCCATGACTTCCTTTGCCTCTCGACAAGCTTTTGGACGATCTGTACGACGGCACGAGCTTCACGAGGGTTGTAAAGGCTCGAGCTAGCGGACTTGCGCTCTTCTTTGGTATGGGGTGGAGTCAACTCCAGGAAGCGTAAGCACGATTTCCATCCGTCATCGCCCGTCTCTTCGCAGCAGGAAAACAAGTTTCTGTATATACTTGTCGAAATGTAGGAGGCCAGGGCTGGAGGCAGACGCCACGACACATCAAGCGTGTGATGTTTGCACCTGACTGTGGCGTCCTCGGCTTCGCTTGTTTCCGCCGCGTAGTCGAAAGCAGAGCGATTGCTCGGCATCCACTCTTGGCCGTAAGGTGGAATCTGGTGTTCATCGCCAAAGAGAATCAATTTAGCCAGTCCCCGCATACCTTGTAGCGATTGGCTCAATCGCGGGGCAGGGATTTCCGAAGCGCCGTGCACCAGGGCCAATGTCGGCGTCCACGGCAGATTGTCCTTGATGACTTCGAATTTGCCGAGCGTGCAAATGACAACACTTTTGCCTCTGAGAGTAGACCACGCATCTTTGGGCGTCTCGATACTCTTTGTATCCCTTGCGTACTTTTCGACGGCTGCATAGTATTCTCCCTGGTAGAATGAAGCCTGTCTGCCGCCTTTGAAGATGACAAACGGGCAAGCAACGTCCATCAGCTCCTTTGCGACGTCGACGGCCGCTGCATTTGTCCTCGTCAGCACCAAACACATGTCGTGCCAGCGCTCTTGAGTCGAGGAGATCTCTGAATACGCCTTGCAGATCGACGCAATGAGGTATGATTTGCCAGTACCGGGCGGTCCCGACACGACTTGGGCAGGATAGGTAGGGTCGAAGGCCTCGACGAAGACCTTTGCTTGCATAGCTGCGAGCTTGCTCGGCACTCGAGGTTTTTCCAGCTCATTCTCCATCGTTGAGTAGAATGAGCATGCAAGTGCCCTCTCGATCTCGGTCCTAGCCACGTTACCGTCCTGTGCGAGCGGCGGGAAAACGACTGCGTTGAACGAAGAGTTGTCGGGACACATTGACCTTTCTGCATCCATCAGGTCCAGGGCGTAGTTGTGCGACTCGATATCCTCGATATTAGGAAGCTGGGGCCCTACGGCGCGAACCTCGAGGATACGTTCGCGTACATGGCCAAAAGAAGGCGGCTCACGATGAGAGGTAGCCCTGTCTGCTTTGGGGTCATAGGAGATACCACCGCCTATTTCGCCGCGGTCCATGACGGCGGGAAACACGATTTCGGCCAGCCTCCCCTCTATCCTGTGTATGCGGCCGCGCATGACCGTTCTGATACCAGGGAGCCGCTCGCCACAGCGCTTCTGGTCGTTTTCATAGTAGTCGTATATGAGCTCCACCTCGATCACCTCATCGCTCATAGCATTGGGCATCGTCCTGAAGCGGTTGCAGTAGACGACGAGGGCTGGAGGTCGGTCACTTGAAATCCAGCTGTTCCGGGTAAAGCTCTGGTCCTCATCGAAGTCGACTATACGCACTAGAGGTTTGACGAGCTGTTCCATCTGCAGCACCTTGACGAGGTGCTTGGCACCGACAAATTTATCGCATTGAGCGGTGCGAATTGTCGCTCTATCAGGATAGCGGACGACGACGAGAGCAGCGAGACAAGCTTCACGAACTAAGGCGGCCACCTTGTAGTGAAGCGCGATTTCGCCTTTGACATTATATCGAGCTTGAAGAAGAGGAATGTCGCCGTCGAATGCTGGATTGCCCATGTACTGACGGAAAGGGGAGACACTGGGCTCGAATGCTGTCGCTGCATCGCGGATCTGGCAGCAGGAACCAACTAATCGTGAGTCTGAGCAGCCGAGGGTAGTGCGAAAGGTGCTCACCTCTGCGCGGATATCGAAGTCGTCGAGATAGGCCAGGACGACATCGGCACGACGAGCGGCAAAGATGTGAAGAGACGATGAGAAAAAGTCGTGAAGAGCCGCTGGGACTGGTAAAGGCTGGTACCTGGTCTGTATGACAAGGACCTTGCTGAACGTTGTTATGACAATTGACATCGCTTTGTTAAATTGTTGCTCATCTTCTTTCGGCACATGAGGATCGCCATTGATCGTGATGGCTAAGCCGAATATGTTGGAGGGTCGTTCCGTAAAATGCATTGGCGTATCGCTGCTGCTTGTTTCGCACTCATTCTCTTCTGTGTCCTCATCTAGGTCGTACCAGATCTTGTCATGGCCGTCTGCAACCCACGTTGACCCTCCTGCATCTAGCGTGGGTGTTGTGAGCCATTCAATCATGATTTGATCGACTTCTGCGAGCGGAACGAATTGTACGCCCATGAGTTCACGGCGTCCAGAAGTCCGAAGGGCAGTGTCCTGCGCGTACCATTCCATGACCTCGCCCTTGCAATCCGACCTATGATAAGCAGCCAGTACGTTAAGTCAAATCACACAAACATCCATTCCTATCTTACTCACCCTTCGGGTGTTCGATATGTGTCGCTGCCGGCTGCTCTGAGCTTCATCCACCAGGGTCGAGCGATTACATTGTCAAGATCTTTCTTTAAGAGATAATGTCCGCCCTCATCGGCTCGAGCTTGCCAGTATTGCTTCTCCTTCTCAATCTCATCGTCGGTGAGGTCGGACATTCCCCAGAGCCGCAGGCGCAAGCCAAGTTCGAGCGTGTGAAGACGTCCGAATATGACGAGACTGGCTCTTGTATACGAACGATTTTCTGTCAAAATGCGACTCTCATGCAAGAGACAGCTGTAGAGGAGGTGAAGAAGCTGCTGGCGAAGCAGCTCAAGCTGGATGAGGGGTCTTATGCAATGAGAGGTAGGTTTCGACGGACAAAAAAAGCTACAAAGACGGAGGTGAAAAGGTCCTGTCCTCACGCACATACACAGCGCAGTTCAGCCAGTCCAGCACGGCGAGTGACTCACAGCGAAGGCTATGTGCTGAAGCTCTGCCATAGCGCGGCCTTCCTATGAGACAAAGATGAATGCCTTGCCTTCGCTGGTGAGTCCAATACTCAGCGCGGCCCGCGCCAGTGCATCGACTCTGCTGAGTCGACGGGAGAGCGAGGCAAACTCCGTGCCGACCTTAGTAGTGAAGTAACCCTTGTCAACCCCCGGAAGTCACGTCTTCGTTTTTGGCCGTTCTTTGTTCCTGACTGGCCGGTTGCCAAGGACTGCAACACTCGGATACAGAGAACGGAGAGTCAATCGGACTTCATGAGCAAGGAGCTTTGAATGTATTAAGCTCGAATGGCATCACCGCAACCCAACCTTGTTACCGTACAGTCTTATTAGTACGAGCATTCTCTCTGGTTTCTATCTAGAAGAGGAATCACGGGGAGGTGCGGAAGAAGGACAGGAAGGAAAGCTGTATCAAAGGGTGGCTAAGGAATTTGGGATTGCCTCCTATTTGAAGAGGGGAATGGAGACTTCGGAGGATAATTACGTACGAGTCAAAGTGTCGAGAGCGCTGCCAGGAGCGTGTGGTCAGAAACGATTGAGGTACCAAGTAGGAGTGTCAATTTATTTTGACTGGTCAGCATATCGTCGTGTCGTCGTCCAGGAGACCAAAAACCGCGTTTGTTGGTCAAGAGGAGTCGGAGATGTCCGCAGGAAGCACATAACTTATCCTCTGCTCCTCGCCGAGCGATCACTGGCCATCAAGCGAGGGTTTGAGAAAAGAACATCGAAAGGAGGCAAAAAAGCGGATGGTACCAGTGGGGCTCGAACCCACGCGGCTCGCGCCATGAGGATGTTCCAGACCACTTTGTTCGGTCTAAGTTGTCTGAAAAACTTGAATCTCACCCTTTAACCACTCAGGCATGGTACCGTTCAATCGAATTTCCCGACTTTTTGCACGATATATACTTATTGATTTTGGGGTGATCGTCGGCATCTTGTCAGCCATCCTTTGGCCTTCACATAGCTTTTGGGAGAGGAAAGAGAGGCCCAAACGGTGTTGATGAGGGCGGAGAAGAAGCAGATTGGCGCATGCACGTGACCATATAGAGTCGAGATTCAAGCAGGGCACGTCAGTGGTTCCCACCAATACAGCTCTTCCTCCGAGATTTGTGCTCAGCATTTGCTCTCCTGTATCGTACATTCGCTTAGATATCTCTCTCTCATCACGGATAGTCTGACATCTGCTTGAGTGATGATCCGGAAAGCAAGGTGTGAACCTCAAGCCAGTGTTTACACGAACGAAAGCAGCGACCGAGCTTTCCTGAGAGCAGCGACCGGGTTGACGCTCATTCGTCTTTGAGTAGTAGAGGTCAATTTCTGGGAAGAGCCCTTCTCCGTGCGAGTCGGCATCAATGAAGAACCATTACAGGGCATCATCCCCCCCTTGTCGTGAATATGACGACCACGGTGGGAAGCTAAAACACGTGGTGTTGAAATGTCGCTTTCAGTGTTGCAAAAAAATGCCCGAGGGTCGGATTAGCTGACGGAGATGGACGCCGGCTTCTTCACCATTTCTTCGATCCGACACGGCGACCCCTTTTCATCGGCCTGGCAATGGCCATCCGTCGTCTTCTCTGATCACGGAACACACACGCGCATATCTCTGCTTCTTCTTCAGCGCCCTTTTGATTTGCCCCGCCTCCCACCAGTCCAGCGAAAAAGTTTCCCATTTCTCGGGCCGACAACGAGGTCTAGAGAGGGCGACGGCTACACAGTGACCAGGGTCACAAGCAACAAGGAGGGGGAGGGCGACGCTTGAGCTGGAGATAGGATGGGCAACGATGGGATAGAGTCCAGCTTGGTTGGGCAGGTCGCTGGTCCCTCTCGGCTGGCAAGCATCGGCACGCCGGTCAACCCTGGCGATAGCAATGGTTTGCTTTCGGGTATCGGTCAGAGCCTGGGTGTGCAGGCTGCCGTTCCTCCGATCTGGTGGAACCCGACAACATGGAGCGAGGACAAGGTAAACGACTTCTTGTGGAACTATCGCACCATCGTGGCCGCCGGTACCGCATCGCTGGTCTCGACAGCTGCTTCTTTCCCTGTGGGTAATCATTTCACTGCGCCCAGGCGCCGTCTGATGTCTGACGCTTCTTGGTTCCCCAATGGCAGTTCGACAGCCTCAAGTCGCGGTTACAAGTCAAGTACTACCCGAGTATATGGGCATGTGGGAAAGCGGTTCTTAAAGAGGAGGGCATGAAGGGCTTCTTTCGGGGTGAGTCTCCCCTTTGGGAGGCCAGACGGACCCTTGGCTGACAACTATTCGTTTCAGGGGTCACGATTCCACTCATCACCATTTCATTTGTGCGCACCTCTTCCTTCTCCATCTACGTCAATACCAAAGAGGCTCTTCACCGGAGGGGCTATCTGGCCGACTCGTCAAAACTCTGGCATACAGCACTGAGCGGTGCCGCCGGCGGTGCCACGAGCGGAGTTATTATCAGGTTCGTGTGGTTCCTTTCGTCTTGCTTCCTTCTCACGCTCACGTCTTGCACGAACAGCTGTGGCTCAGCGCCCTTCGAGCTCGTCAAAGTGCAGAGGCAGCTGGAATACTTGACAGCGGTGCAGAAGGGTCTCGTCACCCAGGTCGGGTCAAAGTACCAAGCGAGATCTGGCTTCCAGGCGGCTGCTGAAATCTGGCGGTATCATGGCGGTCCCAAAGGCTTCTACCTCGGATTTCCCCTGCGTGAGTACACTTGAAAGTGCTCCAGGATCTGTCTGGCCGCTCATCAAAGATACCGCCTGCGCAGACATGTGTCGAGATACGCTTGGCACAGCCCTCTACTTTGGCTTCTACGATACCATTCGATCCTACGTCCGACGCCATGCATCGCCAAACACAAAACCAGGAGGCCAAGCACAGCTGTTCGGCCTGCCAGGGCCTGTCGTCTCGTTCTTGTCTGGCTCTACTGCGGGGATTGCATCCTGGCTGATCGGTGAGTTCTAACAACATGCAGCGCACAACGATGTCGCATCATCGACTGACCAAGCCCAACCACGCCAGTCTACCCGGTCGACCTGCTCAAGACCAATGTGCAGCAGCGGTCTCTGTCGAACCACCCTAAACAGCTGACTGGCTGGCAGCTCTTCACACATTTGATGCGCGAGCGGCCACCACCGGACCCGTCGATTCGAGATACTTTCTTGAAGCGGTTCCTGAGACTGTATAGAGGGCTAGGTGTCAGCGCGTTGCGGAGCTTCATCTCGTGAGTGGTCCCACACTCCCCTCTTCCATCTGCGCACCTGGACGTTGACTGACCTTACCCACAGGCACGGTCTGACATGGACCTTGATCGAGTCCATCTCTGCGCGCATTTCCGAGCGAACAGGGAAACCGTTCCGAGAAGACGCAACATCATTGTCGAGCAAAGGGAAATCATGAGCTCTCTATGAGATCGACCGCTTTGTAGATCTCTCTTTTTCCACCACCTCTTTCAATAGCATAGACGAAAAGGGGAGACGAGGACCAGAGTTGGGTCTCGACCCACCATATAAAAGTCAAAGAGGGAAAGGACTCTTGCGTGGAAAAGGGCTTGAGAGCCTCAGAGGTCTGAGAAAAGCGCGCACGGACGAGGAAATTATTTGAGAGTTAGACCAGTCCAGGAGAGCAAGAATGTTACAGAGAGAGCACTTTCGCAGACGACAACGACAACGACTTACTAGAAGTTGGCAACCGCCATGGTCCAATCTCCGTCCAGCTCGTCCGGAGAGGAGGAGGAAGAGGACTTTATGTCTGACAAGTTCCTGGATGTGGCGACGGCGGGTGCGCCCGGCGGCAAGAAGGCTGGCTCGGCGAGTGCAGAGACGTACAGCGAGCGCAGGCGCAAGGAGCTGAATCGTGCCACGGAACGGGGCCGGATACTTAGTCGCGCCGAACGAGAACGGCTTGCGCGACGGCAAGGGCTGGGGAGGAGTTTGATTGAGATTGCAGAGGGCGAGGACAGGGGAAAGCGCAAGAGGGAAGAGGAAGAAAAAGAGCAGGGCGAGAGCAAGGCGTTGAGGATGATGAAGGCCATGGGCTACGTCGCTGGCGACACTCTCGGAAAGAAGGACGATGACGGCGGCGACGATGACAAAGAGGCGCCTCCGGCTGATGAAGAGGCAGACGGAGGAAAGGGACGCGACATGACCGCCCCCCTTCCGATCGATGAACGATGGATCGGTGCTCGTGTTCGGCACGGCATAGGTCTCCTGTCGAGATCGATTCACGCAGCGTCTGAGAAGCAGGCCGAGGAGGCTGCCAAAGGCGATCTTGAAGACTTTAGAAAGAGGGCGACAAAGGAGCACGAAGCGAGGCATTGCGAGGCGTTGCTCAAGAGAGCGAGAAAGACGTGCGAAGACCTCGACCGACAGCAGGACATCGAGGTAAGAGATCCGTATGTCTGTTCAATTCCTCCAGTGTTGTCGCTGACACGGGCGTATTGCAGTATTCCCCGCTCTGGCTCGACCCACAGCTCCTCTACATCAAGAAGGATGATCTTGCACTTGATCGTGCGCGCCTCATTGAACAGGCCCTCGACGAGGACGACGAAGAAGAACCAGAAGCTACAAAAGCAACCAAAGAGGGAAGCAATGAGCCAGAGCAGACGCCATCGCAGCGTCGACAAGAAGCAAAGCAATTCATCAACCTCGAACCCAAGGCTCGGCTAGACATCACCCTCTCCCACCTCCGCTTTGCCCATTTCTACTGCCTCTTTTGCGGCGAAAAGTACGGTTCGCAAGACGAATTGCAGCAAGTCTGCCCAGGCGAGGAAGAAGATGATCATTGAGGCTTGCATGTACAGTATAATTATGAGAAATGTAGTAGTTGGATCATTGTACAGGATTGACAAAGCATTGTTAAAGATGAAAAGTGGGTCAATGTGACAGAGAAGATTGGAGCATCTCACGCGGTGATCCATGACCTGATTTGCTCGGTGAAGACTTGCCATGTCGAGGGGTCGCGATGAACGCCCAAAGTACCTCCCCGTCTTGTCATGGTTAGCCTGTACTCGACCTCCTCTCCAGCCTTCGCAGACGGCAAAGGATCCAGGAACCACGTCAACGTCTGTCCGTTAAGCTTCCACGCTCCCGACGACACTTCGACATCCACTGCCACGACGTCGCCCCTGTCATCTGCACTTGATTGCGAACCGTCGATGGAGCTAGCGGAGGACTCGATCGCCTCAACCTTGCTCCCCATGGCAGCACGTCCTCGCTGTACGAAGCCCTGGGCCGCATAATGAACAAATGGCACAAACACGTCTATTCCCAGACCGTGCTGCTTTGCTAGCTCAATGTCGCTGTCTGTGGCCTTGATCACGAGCTTGAATTCGGACTTCGAGGCATCAAAGTCCATCGACAGGGGCGTGCCGACCACCGCGCTGGCGAATGGTCTGGAAAAGGCTGCTTCGGAGCGAGAGCCATTGGAAAGAGCCGAGAGGTTGCCCCGGTAGCAGATGACGTCCCCTCCCTCGGCTTTGCTCACTTTGTTACTGTCATTGTTGGGTGAGAGCAGCGTCGCGGACGAGTCGCTAAGGTCGAGAACGTGACGAGGGTCGGAAGGGTCGTTGCTGCCAGACGCCACACCATTGCCTGAAGATCTGGTGAGGGTCGTCGTTTCCGAGAGAGGTAGTGAAAGGCCGTTTTCCCGGAGGTCGTCTGTGCTCCAGATGCTCAGGTCCTCTCCATTCCATCCATCACCCCAAAGGTGCGTGTTGTCGGGCGCGTAGGTCCAGAGAGCAAAGTTGAGGAAGTTGTCTCCGTCACATGCATTCAGACTCGCATCCAGCGCGGCCGTCTGAGACGTGTAGTCGCCCTTTCCCTTTCCCTTCGAATCGCCAAAGTAGGCTTTCTTGCTGTCGAGGTCGAACGGGATCCCCAATTCGCCAATCAGGGTGGGATAATGTCCCATGACATCCTCAGTGTCCTTCCGAAGATATCCTAATTGATCCCGAAGGCATTTGCGAATAGCTGGGAACCCGACACGGACGGCAAAGAGGACGCCCGAGTATTTTCCTCGCAAGAGGCCGAGCGCATCGGCATTGAACCAATTCCAGTGCTTGGTGACGAGCGTAAGGCCGTCATAGAAGTGGGCCGAATTGCAAGCGCGCTGCTTGAGGTCGTCTTCGGTCAGCGACTTGGGCGGCGGCTCAAACACCGGCGGCTGCAAGAACATGATGGCTTCCTTGTGGACACCGCGAATAATTGCCGAGTAGTTTCGCCAATGTGGAAGCCAGAAGTCCTCGACGAAGTTGACCTTCTGTCCTTGGAGATTTCTGAAATAGTCGGCCTTGAGCAAGCTTCCATCCTCGCTGTTGTCGTCCCAGACGCCATGAGCCGCCCAGACACATCGTCCAATAGGCCATGACTCTGCCCTCTTCCATCCCCAACGTGAGTCCGCCTGTTGCTCATCTTGCTGCCGGCTGAGCCAGACACTAGACCCCTGAGGGTCGACTTCTACGAAACCCTTTCTCTTGGGTCCCAAGGGTCCAAAAACATAGTGCTCGACCTTTTGCTTCTGACCAACACCTAGACGCATAGACTGAATGGGCGTTGGCATTGGCCCCTTGCGCATCTTGAGCTGCGGCGCGAGTGCATCGAGCTTCTCCATACCAACAAAGGCAGGGTTTGGCTCATTGATGCTGTCCCAGCCAATGACACACGAATCGCAGAGGTCGCCGGCTGCCTCGATACGCAAAGCCAGCTGGCGACATGCTTCAAAGTAGTGTCGTTGGAGCCAGTGTTGAATGTTGACGCCGTCGATGACGCAAAGGGGGGTGAATGCCTCACCGGCAAAGAACATGGTAAAGAGCGTAGCTGCCGCCAGACGCGTGTAGTTGGTCGTCCAGAGCATGTCGGGGTACTCTAGTGGCTCGGGCTTGTTGGGATTCGGGTACTCGTTGTGCAAGAAAGCCGCTTGCGTCACAGTCAGGTTCCGGGGATTGAGACCGCAAGCGAGGAGCGTCCAGTAAGGGGCGCCCGAGCCTCCGGTAAAGCGCGAAAACTTTGACGGCCGGTCAGTCAAACAAAGTAGCGAAGGCGATCTCTTAAACAAACTCACAAGGTCCTGATGAGGGTCCATGAACACTCTGAAGCCGTGCTGCTTGATCCTTCGCAACACGGCAACAACATAGTCCATGTATTCGTAGTCGTATTTGCCTCTGCGTACGTACTCGCAAGATCAGCTGAGCTCGAGCAATGGATGCACTAGTAGGATACTCACGGCCCCTGATGCTCCAAAGCCTCCCACGTAAAGACGAAGCGCATGCAGTTGAAGCCCCAAGCCTTGAGCCTGGCTAGGTGCACCTCGGCAGAGCCATCTTCGAGGTCCAGTGGCTGGCCCACGAAGCTGTCGCCTCCCCGCTCGGCTCGTTCCCAGAATCCGTCCAGCACCTGCGAAGGCTGGTTGAGGGGCGCTTTGCTCGAGGCAGAGAAGTTGATGCCTCGCAGAAGAATAGCGCGGCCGCTCGTGTCGCGAAAGTAGGCATCGGAGGCGTGCAAGTAGTGAGGTGGCACTGTCATCGAGCGAACGAGGCGTGTCAATAAAAGCAGCCTGTCACCAGGGCGTACTTTTCCTCTCACCTTGCTTGCCAGTGACCGGTGAGGCCGATGGCACCCTTCGAGAAGAGCCAGACATGGTCGTCTAGCTCGCTGTGAGGTAAGATGAGGAGGGCTTCTGACGAGCAAGCGACCGTTGCTAGCTGCACTCAAATAAATGTGGAGAATACGAGACTCGCCACGCGCAAAAATCGAATCATTTCGGCGTTACGAGGTCGTCGTCACTAGGTAATCTTGGCGGGTCTGTGGCTTCTCAAATGCTGCCGGTCGGCAGACCACAAGAAAGGCACCGTTCGGTCAAGAAGAGACAGGAGATCCGAATAGCAAGGGCAAGATACGGGCGCATAAATCGTCTGAGGGACGAAAATGCCAAATTTGGGAGGAGAAAGACCCTTTCACCGTCGCATCTATCAGCAAAGCTTGCCTTGCGCAGCTTTCAGACAAGGATGTGTGGGAGATCATCGCCACGAGGGCGTCGCCAAAGCATATTTTGCTCGAGATGATGAGAATTGATGTATGCCTGAAAACGGGCCGAGAGTTATACATGGAGACATAAGAGAGCGATCGGGACTGGCATGAAAACCTCTAAAAGGGGTGCGATGGCGACCTGGTGATCGAACATATCCCAACACCTTGTCTTCGATTTCTTGCCAGCCCGCAGTCATCAGAGTCGATTTTGCGAAAGGGAGTGCATTTAGCTCTGCAATTGATGAGTAGATCATGTGTGAGCCATCGACCAGGAGAGCACAAACCAGCACAAAAAGAGGACACTCACTCCCTGGGCGTTGGCGCGCCTCTTACCGCTAGGTCCGAGGACGACGTTGACGAAGCGACTGAGAGGAGAATGGACGTGAGTTTGTTGCCAAACATTGAATGGGGAAAGAGAGAGCAAGTTGAGACTCACCGGTTGTACAACAACCTCTTGAAGGCCCTTCCCTTGGGGGTCTTGGGCTTCTCTTGCTTCTCGACCTTCGTGGTCTGAGACTTGACCTTACCGGCACGAGCGAGCGATCCGTGAACCTTTCCCATTTTGGATTTGAGGTGTGAAGTCTGCAGTCGAGGGAGTCAGCACCTTGTTCTCGACAGAGGAGACAAGTCCTAAAGAGCTCGGCTTCCCAGCCTGACAAAGAGCCTTGCGATTTGTCTGCCCTTCCGTTCCCAGAACCCATCTGCCATCGACACAGCTTCGTGAATAGCGTCCTAGACTATGGCCCGATCGTCTCTTTTGCGGCGATTGCGCACCCGTCACGTCTCCTTGCCACCCCCCCTGCTGCCGTCCTCTGTTCGACTCGCCCACAGTGCCACCTCTCCGCGATGCTCCCGCACACCACTCAAATCGACGACACCTCCGACATACATCCCTCGCGCCTCGAGCACACGGCCGTGCAAGTCTCCGTTAACTCACCTTGATAGAACGTCAACCAAAGAGAACTGGTGGTGAGAAAGCGAGGAGCGATGAGGACGCGGCGAAAATTGGAAATGCTGCCTCTCCTGGAAATTGCAATACAGTATTAGCCACGTTTTTGAGAATGTTTTGTATTCAATTTTTAGCAGCTGCGGCAAGACTTCAAGCCTGGCCCTGATTCGGAATTCGCCCCACCACGTCTTCCTCAGATCGTCACCAACACCTTCAAGGAACCACATTCAAGGTGAGTGTCGACACTGTACGAGCGGGACTGGGAGAGGAGAAGCGTACGAGGGAGGCAGAGGACCGGAGAGGAGGGAACGTGTGGCTCGCAGACTGGCGTCTACACGAGGATGACAATTGTCGAGGACGCAGAGCTGACTAGGTCACATCAGATGATTATCTCCAAGCAGAACCGCCGCACCATCTACGAGTCGCTCTTCAAGGAGGGTGTCATGGTCGCCCCCAAGGACTTCGAGGTCAAGCACCCGGAGCTCGACCTGCCCAACCTCGAGGTGATCAAGGCGTGCCAGAGCCTCACCAGCCGCGGCTACGTCCACACCCAGTTCAGCTGGCAGTGGTACTTCTACACCCTCACCAACGAGGTGCGTACCATGCAGCCTGGCAGATCGGTGCAGCTCGCTTGTCTATCGATGAGAAGGCAGCTGCGCTTGGATCTACCTGGTCGATAATTCGCTTCTAGGTCCATGCTGACACCTTTCTTCCTGTTCTTCAGGGTCTCGAATACCTCCGCGAGTACCTTCACCTGCCCGCCGAGATCGTTCCCGCTACGCACAAGCGCCCTGCTCGTCCTCAGCGGCCCATCGGTGGTGCTCGCGAGGGTGCCCCCCGTCCCTTCCGCGGCGACCGCGAAGGTGGTGAGTGGCTGGCTGTGCCTCGCTCTTCCATCTGTTTTAACACCATCTGACATTCTTACTTCTTTCCCCTCTGCCCAGGCGACCGCGAGTACCGCAAGAAGGATGCTCCTCCCTCGGGCGAGTACCGACCCAGGTTCGGCGGTGTTGGCCGTGGCGCTCCTCGCGCTGAGTAAAGGAGTGCTTCTCCCGTCACCGAGCACGCTCTCTCTACCTCGAAAAGCAAAAAGCAAATCATTGTTTCCCTCTACTACACACGTATTGTCTTCTCAACGTCGTTGACTGCACGCCAATGCGTCGGGCAGGCTGCCCTTAGCTGGTCAAGCAACCATCCTGTATGATCAAACCCACATCAAATAGTACCATGTTGACTGCCCTTGGCGCCTAGCGCGGGAGAGCGATGAAGAGATGGGAGAGGTCAAATGACCGTTGAGGTGCAGACAGTGACGGGAACGCGTGACAGAAAGTTTGTCATTACCCATTGGATCCAAGCCAGTGCTCACCTGACCTGGACTGCTTGAGTCAACAATTCCGGACCTACCGTTGCCCGACGGAAGAAGGGCTCGCGCTCGCGTCGGTCTAACGACATTGCCCACTATTCATTCGCAGGTTTCGGAGAGAAAGCCACTCCACCTCACCTCGAGGCCGCGTGTGCCGAAATCATACCCACGCTTCCACGAAAGAATAGACAAGGCGGCGCTGCACGGTGCCGCTTGCTCTGCATCACAGCCAAGGCAAGGACTGGATCGACATTGAGCGGGGCAAGCCGGGCTGTCATTCGCCGCGATGGCTTCGTCGTCTTCACCGAACAAACATGTGAGCTTAGTCGAGTCACCGATCGACGCTTCTTGCTACTCTTTGCCCCCCTGGCTCACTGTCCCGGCATCGCCTCTTTCCCACAGCCCCTCCCCCGGATGACTGATTCGATGTCGAATCAGGCGGGGCCAGGACCCTCATCTTTCAAGCTGGCCGCCCTCTCGGCGCAGTCCTACCACCTCGATAGTCCGCCTTTTACGGGCACCGCAGGTCCGCTCGGCGAGCATCTAGGCCACGAGGGCGGGCATCTACAGGGGCAACAGCCGCACAACTCTCTGGCAAATGTCGCCGAGCAGGACATGACGCCTGCTTCCTCGAGGCCCGTTCGGACGCCGGCGGCGGCGACGACGACGACGTCGGCAGAGGGCGCCTCGAGCTCGGCGCAAGGGCATGCGAACCACGCCAACAACAGCGATGTCCCTCGCTGGAGCCTCGACAGACCGATGCCAGGCGCGATGGCGAGCCGCCAAGACTCAGTCCCGTCCTGGCTCCACTCTGGCTCATCGGCCGTCGTCGATGACCACGACGACGACTCAAACCGGGCGACGCTGTCGCACAGCCTGTCTCCTCCCCCGTTCTCCTCTTCGGGCCAAGGTCCCGTGCAGACTTCTGCCCCCGCAAATTCAGCAGCAGCAGCAGCAGCGACCACGTCTGCAACCCAGGAGCCAAACACACCCATGTCGACAACGCCCTCTCGTCACCGCCGCCGCGAGAGCTCCCGGCCCTCGTTTACACAGATCTCTGACTCGAACTCGCAGAGCAATGGCGACGGGGCCAGTGCCACGACGGACGCAGACGGCGATGCAGATGCGTCTGAGAACAGCGATCCAGACGGCGAGGTCGATGGCGATGAGACGGCATACGTCGTCCGCGGACGATCAAGCCAGCCCGGCCGGGTGCCAATCCAAGGACAGACAAAGGAGGAATACAAATTCCCGAGGCACCGGCTGCCAACAAAGATGAAGAACGAGTCCAAGATTCCCCTCGTCATTGTCGCCTGCGGCAGTTTCTCACCGCCTACGTACTTGCACTTGTAGGTGTTCTGTTCAGGGGTCTACCGGGGTCTACCCGTCTCCCTCTTGGCGGTCTTATTCACCACACTACTTTTCTCAATGCAGGCGAATCTTTGAGATGGCCAAGGACCAGGTCATTGAATCGGGAAAGTATGAGTTGCTGGGTGGCTACTACAGCCCGGTGTCCGACTACTACAGGAAGGAAGGGCTAGCAAAAGCGACGCACCGCGTGCGCATGTGCGAGTGAGTAAATGGTGTCGCCCTCCCATGCAGTTTCGCCCATTCTCACCAGCTGTACTACAGACTGGCCGTCGAGAAGACATCGACTTGGCTCATGGTGGATGCCTGGGAGTCGCTCCAGGACGAGTACCAGCGCACTGCTGTGGTCCTGGACCACTTTGACGAGGTCATCAACGGGGGCCCGCAGGGCGGCGTCCTCGTCTCCGACGGCAGCCGGCGAAAGATTCGCATCATGCTCCTCGCCGGCGGAGATCTGATCCAGAGCATGGGCGAGCCGGGTGTATGGGCCGATGCCGATGTGAGTAGCTCCATACGCCCGCTTCTCGATCTTTTGCTAATGCGCAAGCCGTGTACAGCTCCATCACATTCTGGGCAAGTACGGTTGCATGATCGTCGAGAGGACCGGGGCCGATGTCTGGTCCTTCCTCCTCAGCCACGACTTGCTCTGGCGTTACCGAAAGAATCTCAAGGTGGTCAAACAGACAATCTTCAACGACATTTCCTCGAGCAAGGTCCGGCTCTTTGTCAGACGGGGTCAGAGCATCAAATATCTGTTGCCGAACTCTGTCATCCACTACATTGAGCAGCACCAACTCTACCGACTCCCCAAGGAGCTGGATACGGAGCCGCCGGATGCAGACCACGACCTGCTGTAAGGGAGTCCCCTCCCCATCTCTGCTGTTGTACTAAAAGTTCTCTCTCTCGTTCTTTTGCTTCTCTTCTGAAATGGCATGGTCCCAAAATTGCACCGCATTGCATCCTGTTGTGGGCGCTCGTTTGCTACATCTTTGCTGCGTGCTCAGCTCTTTCCCCTAGAAGCGCGGAGACGTCGACGCCGGCGACCAGCCGCCTTGCTGCTGCTCCGAGCACTTCTTCGACGGCCTTGCCTGCTCGCGCTGCGGAGCTCCTCTTCCTCCACCAGTCTTTGCCACTGCCGCTGCCGCCTCGCTGCGGCGGCGGCGCCCAGCCTGGCTCGGCAAAGGTCGCATAGATGCCGGCGATTTGGTCTTCCAGCAGCACGGCCGTATTGGGGAGGTCGCTCCCAAAGAGGACCCTGCCGTTCCTGGCCAGACGCAACAGCTCGTCGTGGGCCGCTGTGCCTCGGGCCGGATACGCGGGAGGGCGCGTCACCGTCGGCGTCGTGTCGAGATAGATGTTTTCGTGCGTGGCGGCCAGGCGCAGCGCAATCGACACGGACGGGTCGCCGCTGTGGGCGACGACGATGGGCGCGTGCCTGTACGTCGTCGCCAGGGTGCCCAGGCAGTCGAGGAGGTCAGACGAGAGCGTGTGGCCCGACAGGTGGGTGCCAAAGTGCACGACGACGGGAAAACGGAGGGTGTGGGAGAGTGTCCAAAAGGGCGCCAGGTTGGCGTGCAGCACGCCGTAGTCGCCCACGGAGCAGTGCAGCTTGGCGACGCGCGCGCCACGGAGCAGCGCCGCCCTCGTCGAGGCATCGACCTCGTCGGCGCCGTCAGAGGGGTGGACCGTGAAGCCAATCGTGGGTGCCGCGAGGCCTTCGCTCGCCAGCGCCGGAGCAATCATCGAGGCAATGTCCTCGTTGAGCCGCCTCGACATGCCGGCCTTGTGCGCATAGGGCAAGATCCAGCACGAAGCAATGCCCACTCGGCGCTGTGCGCGTACGAGCGCAGACACGTCAGAGGCAGGATAGGGCAGCGAGAAGCGTCCGTGCGAGGGAAACGAAGCGACGGAGTCGTACGTCGCCCCAAACAAGTCTTTGCGCAGGGGTATCATGCAGCATGGCTGCGGCCGCCCATCTGGGTCGCCCGATGGGCCGGCTGGGGATGCGTCGGGGTCGTCAGCTTCGTCCAAAACGCGAATCGAGTCGTTGAAGAACGCGCGAATCTTTTCGGCGAGCCGGGGAGGAAGGATGTGCCTGTTTTACCGACAACGTCATCAGTGGTGGGCCGGTATTCACTCTCTGATGCGCAGCGAGAACGTCGCCACTCACGTATGACTGTCGACGATCCATGGCTCTTCATCGTCTGCCTCTTCCTTCTCGTGGCCCATACTGGACGCTTCTTATGTCGATTCGCTCTGGTTGCGAAAAAAAAAGAAAAAGGCGAAGAGCCAAGCAACGCGGGGAAAGCTTTTCTCCACTCTTCCTAGTCGATCTGACTCAAGCAGCTCGACACAAAGAGCAGGCCTCATTGATTTGATTAGGTTGATGGGTCTCGTACTAAGAGCTGACTATCAACAATTGATTTGGTTTGGACTGGGAAATGGACAAGACAGAATGAGTTGTGAATGTGTGTGTGTGTGTGATTATGTGTGTTGTTTGACAATGACTTTTTTTGTGATGTGGTGAGAGCAGTGAGAAGAATGTGGGTGGTAGTATTACAATGTGTTTTTGTGCCGAGAAGTGATGGAGACCCGTTTCGTTTGTTTCCCCTTTTTGTTTCGTTCAGTTAGGTTTGAGTCCTCAGAGCTCGTCGAGGTCGACATCGTCGTAGCCACCGGCTTCGGCAGCGACAACGGCAGCTGCCTCGCCTTCGAGCCTGGCACCGCGTTGTTGTTCGTGAGCATGAGTGGCCAGGGCCTTGCTCGTGTTGCTACCGTCGGCGTCCATGTCGGACTGATCGTGTCCGTAAGCAGGCCAGGCCATCTCGCAAGTCTCGGTCCAGAGCCTGACGTGATCGCGACCGCGCGAGGTGGGCTTCCTGACAGGCGACGATGCCGAGGGCAACGGAGAAGCTGCGCGACGGCTGCCTTTGCGGACGCCAGGGCTCCTTCCACGACGGTGAGACTCTGCGACGACAGAACCGCTTGCGCCGGAAGACGACTGGCGGCCAGCTGCATCGTTGCGCGAGATGGAGATGGGCCCAGACTTGTCGGAGCTCGACGGAGAAGCAGAGTGCTCAACGGCCACAAAGGCCGAGGGCGTCGCGCGGTTGAGGTGCCTCGACATGAGCAAGTCCTCAGAGCGACCGCGACGAGCCGCACCGCGAGGCGGCGAGGGACTGCGCCGCGAGACCGATCGACGGCCACGAGCATGAGAGCGGCCTCGGCTGGGCACGATGCGCTCTTCTTCGTCCTTGAAAGGCGGCGGGGAGTTGGTAGGCTTAGTGTGCTCCTGCTGTGCCTTGATTTCGTCTCGAGGCGATGCGGCTGGCCGGTACTGAAGACCGGCAATGGCACTGTGCGTGTGCTTGTGTCGAGACATCATTGCGGACCGAGGCACGGTGGCCTCGTCGTGGCCGGTGCGATCCTTGTTGTAGCTCCTCGAAGGCACAGCCTGGGCTTCCACCAGGGGCGCAACGTGGCTCGATGCACCCTGGCAACCAAAGCGGCCACAGACCGTCTGGACCACGGGCAACACAGAGGTCAGGGGACTCATGGCCTTGAGCGTCTTGCCTGCCGAGCTGGCGGCCGATGCGAGCTGAGGTGGGGACCAAGAGGGCTTGCGAGACAAGCCTTGATCGATGGACTTGGTCGAGGACATGGGCACGGCTTCGGCTTGACGCCTCGCCAATGCTGCCGTGTCAGGCTTGAACGAGGTGGGAGGGCTGGCGCGCAGAATCTTGTCCTCGGACCGGCGACGGAAGCTGGAGAGTTGCAGATTGGCATTCCTGGCATTGCCCTGGACGTGCGAAGACTTGATCGTAGTCGCAAGGACAGGCGAGGTGAACAAGACAGGCGGTGGCAGGTTGGTACTGCTGGGACGCCTGGCGAAGCTCATGCCGGCTGCATTACCCTCGTTGTTGCTCGGGTCGATGTCCTTCTTGGCCAACATGGCAGGACCGGGAGCCTTTCGGGGAGGCGTTGTCGATGCAGCAGACGAATGCAGAGCCGGTGCCGCCGCTCCCTTATCTTTGTTGTGGCTTTTGGTGAGGAGGAAGGCCGTGGCAGCAGAGGGCTTGTTTGACGGTGAAACGACCGAGGGAGGCAGGTGCAGGTCGGTGGGCTCCCAGTCTTCGATGTCATCGTCAGCACCGTTGCCGCGATGAGACGAGACAAGAGCAGGCGAGGGCGTGCTCGGGTCCGTCGACATGGCTTCGGAGGTGGACGAATAGGTGGACCTGGAGGAGCTTCGACGGGTCGATGCTGGCGCACGGCTCTGCCCGGTCTGTGCTTCTCCGCCGTTCCATGCCTTGCTGTCCCGGGGCATGGACCGCTCCAAGGCAGTGAGCGCAGGCGAGGTCAGCGCTGCGCTGTACTTGGCCATGATGCTGGGCGAGGGCGGGCAGGGGTAGCGAAACTTGTCGACGGGGGCAGAGGTAGATGTGGTGTTGAGGGGAGGCGAGGGCGAGGCAGTACTAGCTGCTGCTGTTGCCGTCTCGATCGCGCTGGATCCCACAGCTGCGGACGCGGCCGATGCCAAGGCCGTTTTTGCCGTTGACAGCTGCGCTGCCCTGGTCGCCGCTGCCGCGTCTTGTTGTCGGCACTGCTGGCTGCAGTAGAGGTGGCCGGCGTGGACTGATGCTCCACAGTTGGCGCAGACGTCGTCGCCGAGCCACGAGGAGTGCTCGTCGGCCGGCGTGAGGGGCAGGCTGTCGACGCTCCTCGAGGACTCCATGCGCTGTCGCCTCGAGTAGATGCCTGCCATCTTTGGTGAACTCTAGGCGAAAGTCGAAAAGGAGACGTCGAAAAAAAGCGAAAGGGAGGGTCGATGAAGGAGCGGTGAGGGGCTGGCCAGAATGGTGGCGCCTATATCGCTTTGTTGGGTTATGGACCAAAGAAAAGGGAAGATTGAAGAGGTTTAATGGGTTGCTGACTTGGCGAAAGGGGGGGGGGAGCTCAAAGCGCCAGACTAGGTTGCGCGCTGCAGGCCGCCTAATATGCAAGTCGACGGGCTGACCCACACACGCTTGTTTGCCTGCTTTGGCCGCTCAGTGCTTGGCTTCGTGCGCGATGTGGTGTTATCGATGGCACCTCGAGGGTGCTCGTGTGAACACTTCTTCTGATGCTTCGTGATGAGAGCGAGGAAGGGCGTGATGGTAGAGGATGGAAAGGTTGCAGCCACGTCTCCTCTAAGCAAGCCAAACCTGCTCCATCTGATGAAGAACTGCGCGGAAATGATGTGCCTGCTCGGCCGCGAAGGTCTCCCCTGCCCTCAACCTCCGGTGTTATTTTTTTTATTCTGACTCCTCCCCCTGATCAAAATCTCAATAAAAATATTGATCAAATGCACGCGGCGCGACAAATTTGATTGAAAAAGGCGCCGAACTTTGTATTATGCGTCGCTTGCGTGCTCAGGAAACGTCGATAGCGGCCACATTTTTGACGACATAAGGTGGGTCCCCCCCCTTGGCAGTAAATAATATGAGGCAATGAGATTTCTATCTGCGGCCTTCCCGGACTGTCATCTCTTCTTACATGATCCCACAGGAAGCCATCAATCTCCTTTGTGTACCGCCCCGTCCCTCCCTTGGACCCTCAATCAGATGACTCAACCAAAAATGGTGCCATCGCATCACTACTGATGTGCCACGGCCGAGCAATTGCGATGGGGACGGGCACCACGAGCCGCCAGATACCTCGCCGCACGGTGTCCCGCCAGCCATGCTATGACGGGAACTCCCTCCCTTGTCACCCCCCCACCTAAACTCAAGCTCAGCTCTGCATGCACAAGGGCATGAATCACCCTGCCGTGCGCAGCGCGTCGACGATCGCGCGCATACAGCACAGCTTCCGAGGCAACGTTTTCGAATCGCTATTCTTACTGTACACGCGTTAGAGCCTCTTAAGTTGCCCCGGCTGATCCTGTACAGAACACGTTGGCCGGCAAGGGGACTCTTGATTGCCTGGTAGGCAACGAGTTTTTGGTTTCACCCTCGTGCTTCTGATCCCTGATTCAGTTGGATCGACGATTTTCACTTCAAATTTTTATTTTTATTTTTCCTTTGAAATTGAAATTGGGGAGGGTGTAGGGCTAGAGCGCCTCTGACGCAACTTTTGTTCCGGATCGGTCATTTCTCTCGAGCCAAGGAGAAGGTACAAGGACAAGGAGGAAGAAAAAGCTGCGACTAATGCCACGTCGGGTGGCGCGGTTTGGGTGCCATCTGTGGCTGATTGAGCGGCGCTCAGCAGGCCGAGAGCAAGCCCCCTCCGTCATCATCATCACTGTTGTGAAACAGTCAGCCAGGCAGGAAATCATCCTAGGCCCCACCTTGCCGAGCAAGGAGCAGAGCGTTACTGCTGCAGCCCGGTGCGACCGTGCCGATTGATTGTCCTTGTGTGTGGCGCTTTCCGCTCCGACCCTCTCACCGTTCTCAATTCATCCTCATACCTCAATGAGAGCACGTGCAAAATTCGTGCCTCCGAGAGCCAGGAGGCAAAAGCGCGCGCACTGCGGGCTCTCGGATCTCCCGAAGCAGCGCATTTGTCAATAAGAGTGGCACTCAGATTCCCGCTAGTGTCGCAGTCGAGGCGCTGCTCTTTAGTGGGAAACGGATTGAATCAGTTGCTCAATGCTTGAGGGCCACAAAGTCAGACAATGCTCAGTGAGCGGACTAAAATGGCAACTGAGATTCAATGAACCTCCTCAGTATTGACCTGCGATTCTCGGCCGACCGTGCGTCCCGCTCTCTATAGAACTGGTCCAGAAGCTTCACAAGCCCAGAAGGACCGTTGCCCCAGAGCGAGCGGTAGTGTGTGATAGAAGGGCCGCCTCTGACCACTGTTGAAAGCAGAGTCGAGCGGTCTGTTCTTGACCGTACCGCAACGCAGATGGACGGTCTCAATAGTCATGGGTGTGCATCGTGAGCAGAGAGGAGTTCCAAGTTGCTTCAGATACGTCACATAGTGCACTCTGCATGAAGGTGGCGGTAGAGCCAAGCGCTCAAGGATCAGAAGACGGAGAGGAACGAAGAACTGGGAAAAAATAAGAATTCTCTAAAATTCTTACCCCGCCGGCCTGCCCCCTTCTCCATGCCTGATCCGGCAAGATGTTGCTCTAGAGTTTTTGCAGTGTTAGGAGCGGAACAGATCGGAATCGACACTCTGTGGAGCGAAAGGGTCCTGGTGCGAGATGCGGACACTCGGAGAAATTTGCTTGCATGCCTTATGACGAGAATGCCGAGATAGAGTTGTGGTGTTGTTGTGGCTTGGGTCTTGGGAAAGCGCTAACGACGATCAATTCACTACTGCTAACAGAGGCACCTGACCGATTCTTCATGATGATTCTGTACGGCACAAAAGTGAGGTTGTCAGAATCTTTGCGTGCTTGAGTGATTTGGAGAACAGTAGCTCCAGGTTGGTCAATTACTCCACGAGTTTCGGCTTTCCCTCGTGTCAGATCTTACGTTGTTCAGGCACAAACAACGAGAAGCTTTGATGGAGTATGGCGCAATACCCTCAGGAAGAAAACGTCGCTGCGCGACTGTCATCTGTGGGATGAGGCTTCACGACGACGAAGGGAGACGAGACTTGCCTCTTCGACTTCGCTAATAGAGGTCACTGCGACATCAGACGTCTATTTATTGCCTTCTCCCCACTACATCTATCGTGCATCTACTTCTTCTTTGCCCGGTATGGCTCGGCAGCTTCTGGCTTGTAGGCTTCATCTGAGGCCTTGTGCTCCTTTCCCAATGTGTCCGCCCACCGCTGCGTCAATTCGTAGCCCGAGCCAGCCGTGACCAGGTCCTTGTCTTGCTCGAGGTCCCTTTGAAAGTCGGCCATGAACTCTTCGACAGTGAGGCTTTTGCTTGCGCCCTTGTGCTTTTTGTTGTCGTCTGGGTTTACGCGATCGCTGGCAATTGACGAAAGAGGAGGTGTGCAGTGTCAGCACTGCGGCACTTCTTGAAACGTTGGCAGGCGAAAGAGGCGCTGTTCTCTCACCGATGTAGGTCCGTGCCAACGCTCGGAGGGACAATCTCGACGACACGAATGTTGGTGTGCTTGTTGTTGTTGAAGATTTGTCTCGCAACAGTAAGCTTCTCGTGGCTGCCTGGGAGAGTAATGTAGGATTCACCTTGAGCTGCGTACGCTGAGCAAGAGACCAGAAGTGCACAAATGCCTTTGTGCCGTTGCTACAGGAAGGCAAGGAGAAGGGGGCGTAAGACCGAGGGAACAATCAGGCTGAAGATCAAACAGGCAGCAGGGGATACCCACTAGACTGGATTGATGATCGAGTAAGGACTGAAGCCGAGCACGCTCGAGACGTTCATGATGACACCCATAGGCTTGGATTTGAGGTGGTCGAGAAAGTGTGTGGCCATGTGGACCGGACCTCGAATGTTCTGCCACCGATGGATGAGTGTAAGTGGACCCTCTCTCCATCGTTGATAGCCTTTAAAAAGCTGCTCACAGAATTGATTTCCGCATCCACCTTGGCCAAGTCGAGGCTGTTGACGTCGAGGGGCGTCTGCACGCCTGCGTTGAGAATGAGACAGTCTACCTCTGGGTGCTCCGAGATGATGGTCTTGGACACAGTCTCGGTGGCCTTCGTGTCACCCGTGTCGAGCGTGTAGAACTTGGTGCCATTGCCGAGTTTTTCACTGGCGTCTTTGAGCTTCGCCTCGGTCCGTCCGATGATGATCACCTGCTTTCCAGTCTTGATAAAGTACTCGGCCATGGCGTAGCCTGTCGGCACAGCGGCGTGAAAGGTAAGTGAGCAAGTTCGCTATTTCTCCACTTTGCGTCCTGCCGTCGCACTTACCGAGACCCCCACTTCCGCCAGTGATGACGGCACATCCGAAGTCGAGAATCTTGGGTGCCATCGCTACTCTGATACTGGATGTCGTGAGCCTGCTGCCGTGAGCCTGTTGAGGTTGAAGAAAGAAGAAATCGGGCAAGGGTCGAAGTGGAGGCAGTTTTTTTTCCTCAGCAGGGTGCAGTCAGCCCTAAACGCCGAAAGCCGACAGTTCTTGCAGGTAGTGATCACTGTTGCATCTACGCAAAGGTACAGTACGATACAGTGTCTTCGTAGAGAAATTCGGTGGTACATAATATACAGTGGAAATCCTTGCTGTCGTAAAAGGTACCGTCATTAAGGGGCTGAGCGGAGGATGTGCTTTGTGGAGAAGTATCTTGGGTCATCGCTGAGATCGATGAAGGTACTTGAAAGCTGGCTCGGCGACGGATGAGTCGCTCCCCTGCCTATCGCGACAATGCTGGCTACGATGTAGGGACCTCCCTCCCCAGAGAAGGCTCCTCCGACGTGAAGACGTATGGAAAATAGGTCAAAACTCTGTGCATGCTTGCGACGAATTCGCATCGTGTCGTACACAAATGGGCTCGTTAAAGAGGGTCGGACTAGCAACGTAGGCGAGAGGTGCTCGATGGTGAGTGGATGAAGGATGGATGCGGACGAGCCGGTTTTTATATGTAGTCGGTCAACGAGGCTATGCAGCCGTTCTGCATCCGCCGGATGAACCATTTCGAAGAGGTTGTGGCCAATGAGTTCAGTCGAGCGGAGACTCAGCACGCTGGACGATTCCTCACTGACACGCAGGCACTCGAGCCACGGTGTACAGATACAGGTGACGATGGCCGATCCTTGCTTCAAGTCTGACCTCACGGATGCCTGCTCGGGCTCTGCGGTCGCCATCGAGTCGATGGAGCCCAGCAGCGTTGTGGAATCCCTCGAGGCGTGGTATGCTTCGTTCTCTTGAGTTCTCCATGTGTGCGGAAATGTCTCGGTACGATTTCGTCTGGATGGAGGTTGTGAAGTGTTGAGCGCCTCTCGTTCTTGTTGATCCCACGGGGTACCGACTGTGTCAAGGCGCGGTCGCCGTGCTGAGGTTGATGACACCTGCTCTAAACCTGGGGCCGGCTGTTGACCCACATTGTGCGGCCGGTAGCGATGGTGGGAATGGTATACGTCTGTCAACGTGGTCGGCACGAGCGAAGATTGTTGCGACACAGCCTCAGCGGTGAAGGGTCTCGCTTGTGTCGAGGTGGAAGCATTCCAAGGCGACGTCGCGTCTGTCTGACGCAACTGCCCATCCCAGCTTGTCGACGCAGAGTGTCTACTTAAAGTCGGCTCTGCGACTTCCACCCGTGATGAATGACCGAGTGGCGCATGTTGTCGCTGGTCTGGACCTTGCGTATCTTGCGACTGATAATACGGAAGTCGAGAGCTCGAGGAACCTCGATCGCTTGCTGCTCTAGTGAGAGACGACGATGGTGAAAGCGGAGACCAATCGGTGTCGCTTTGCCCAGGAACACTGTGTGGCGAATGCCAGCGCGCATCTCGAGGAATGAGATCGTCCACTTGTCGGACCTTGTTCTTTCTCTTGAACTTCTGCAGGCGTGCTTCCTCCCTGTGAGGCTCGATGAAATCCCATCAGCGAACGCCACCGCCACCGACACAGCCACAACCGCTACCAGCCGCTTCCAACCTTGCAGGTACTCACTCTTTGATGGGTTCATATTCGCACCGAAGACGCAGCCTGCTACACCTTGCACAAGGCTCTTCGCCATTGCACTTCTGTTTCCTGAAAACGAAAATGGCCGTCCGCTCGTGTCAGAGAGAAAAAAAAAAAAAGAGACCATCTCTCGTGCGAACGCAGGAACAATTGGTCTAACGTACCTCTTTCGGCACTCTAGACAGGCACAAAATGTTCTTGTTCGATTCGGTGCAGCTGCGAGCATGCTGATGGTGGACACAGATGCAGGCAACGGCGATGGTCTCACCAGATGGTCGATATAAGTTGTCATCTGAAGGCGACGAGAAGTGTGCAGCGGGTACCAATTTAAGAGCCTCAGAAATGTCCTGTACGTATATCTTCCTCGATGTTACGCCGCACATTAGAAGGCGCTAAAGCGGTACCGCAGGTCGCATAGATAGCTCTCCTTTCGTCCGCCCAATACTGAGAAAGGGGATTTCCGCACAGAGGCGAGGTAATCTAGTACTGCTCCCCGCTCCAACTCTTCACTTATTTTCTTATGTTTTGATTACTTTGTTGTTGTTGACAGTCTGCACAAGGGCTGTACGCAGCCACTTGGATTCTACCCGTGCATTTGTATAGTCATAAAGCCTACGGCGGACAGGTCCCACTCCCTCTTTCGGGCCCGAGTGGGTCCCGACCATCTTGTAGGGCGGAGTTGCTGTACACGACTCCTGGCTGAGTCTGAAAACACTGGGCTAGGCTGTGTGCTCTTTACGCGTCATTTCCTCAGCAAAATAATTATTGTCCGAGGGGGCCGAGCCCATCAGCTCCTTCGCGCCATACGGGTCAGTGAAAGAAAGCCCGTCGGTTTGACGTCTCCCGCTGCTCTCTGTGTCACACGGGATGTCCAGTCGCAATTGGTTGCCAATCGGTGCCACTGTACTGGTTCATTTACGGAAGCAAAAATGGCCTAGGTGCCATCTTCCGCCATTGATATTGGCCAAGTTGCGTTATTGGGCCTTGAGTTGCTATTTTTCATGTAAGCACAGACGAGAAGCCGCGTCGGTTCACTAAAGCTGTGCGAAGTGCCGATAACACCGTGAGATAATTCCAACGATCATCAATGTAGTCGGTCTTGGCTCTCTCCGCCACCCGATTCAGGTAGATGAAGCCGGAACAAGGCCCACTGCACCCATTGGACTTCATAGTCATATCCTGCCTCCAACACCACAACACCAGACAGGCAGAGTATTCTCCAGCTTCTCCATTCTTGGAGTTCCATTCTTGGAAGGCTATCGCTGTTTGCGCATGGATCAATATCGCCTCTTTTGGGTGCATGAGAGACGGCGCGAGCGCAATTATTGCTGTGTAGCCTGGCAGTGCTTGCCAGATTGAGCTTGGCGAGGAGCCACATCACATGCCAAATTTCAAATCTAGCTTCTTAAATTAACGTCCTGGACGGATGCACTGCCTATTTGACTGCCAGTAGCATGGTCAATTGACAGCCCTTTGTAGCATGGCTAATCGGCTGTTGTCCCGTTACTGCGCTGCCCGTGTGGGCACGGCTAATTTATTATTGTCCCGTTACAGCACTGCCTGTCTGAGCTCAAAGCACCACGGATCGAGCATGTGAGCATCTTCTCAGGCGCAAAGGTCGATCTACCCGAGGACACTCAGCCAAGTGGACCCTATTTCTGACCTCCAGAGTAAGAGCATAACTCCAGAATCTTTTACCCTGTGTCTTTGGGGGATCTTTCCTGCTTCTTGCTATTAATGCTTACCATATAGGCGGGGAATTCTTGTTCCTTGCTCCCGTGTCCGTCCCTTTACCAGGAAAAAAAAAAACAAGCGTTTAAGTAAAAATAAGAGGCTAGATCCAAGTCGGATCGGGCCGACGTCCACATTTCTTAAGGCTTGGTTGCACTTGCCGAGCGCTTTCGAAGGTCCTTTCATTGACTGCATTGTTTTCATTGTTTGCGAACCGCAAGGTCGGTCCGACCTGCCACTCCTTTGTCTACACCGCCCCAATTCATCCTTCCTCGTGACTGATGATGCAACGAGGCAAGCTTCGAGGACCTATCAGTCTGCGTGGAGAAGACGCCGTAAGCTAGGGTCAGGAACCGAAAAAATTACATGGCGCGTCGGGCGTGCTGTTTCGAACCAAGTCGCGTTGACGACCTGTCGCAACATGTCAACTTTGTCTCTCACTTCGATGGCGCTGCTTGCAGCTGGCCCGGGCAGCGCAGTGCAGCGCAGGCCTTCGGCCGGAGCTAGCCATATGACGTTGAGAGAGAATCAATCAACGAGACGGCCGACCTTCCAACTTTGGCGGCGGGGAGAGAGTAGATAAAGAGACGAGTGCACACCACTCCTTTGACCCCCCAGGTGCTGCGCTCTCTCCCATTCTCTTGTGTCCTTTTCACTTCCCTCGCTTCCCCTTCTCCTTCATTTGATCCCTCCTGGACGAGGTTCACTACCCTTCGATCTCTTTGCTGCTACTTTACTGCTCTCTCCACCTCTCCCCCCTCTCCACCTCCCTCGCCTTCCATTGTGAACCCTGGTGGTCACACGGAACAACATTCAAAGCAACAGACAAACCAGTCAAGTTTACGAGCTCTAGCCCAACATGCACTTCTCCGCTGCTCTCGTCGCCGCTCTCTCGATCTCGGCCACCACTACCTCGGCCATCCCCCTCCGCCACGCCCACCCTGGCTCATCGTCGCAGGCGCTCCTGGCGCGCGACGCCGAGGGCCACCTAGCCAGGCGCAACGTCGAAGCCCTCATCGCCCGTGGTGTTGGTCTCGATGCTGCCTCGGCAAAGGAGGGCCGCACCATCCTGGCGCGCTACGCTCACATCGCCAACGACGGTGAGCGCAGCATGGCCGTTGTTCGCGACCTTCACCGTCGAGGAATCCTCGACATGCTCGTCGCCGCCCTCCGCGACATTGTCGTCGAGCTTCTCGGCAGCAGTGGCATGGCCCGTCGTCAGGAGGCTCACGGTGATGACTCGCACGAGGAGCTCGTCCAGGGCATTGCGTGCCTCATCGACCAGATGGTCGGCGTTGACAGCGGCGCAAAGTGCTCGGCGGGTGCCGCTCCCGCAGCTCCCGCCGCTGGCACCAATGCCACCGCCAATGCCACCACGGCTGCTACGGAGGGCAAGAACAGCACCCGTACCGCCGTTCTGGACACCTCGAGCCCCGAGAAGACCAAGGCATCTCTCGCCAAACTTCTCACTCAGGTCAGCACGGCCCTGAACGACAACACCAGCAAGGCAAACTCGACGACGGCAACGACGGAACACAAGAGCAAGGACAAGAAGAAGGACGCGACGGCTTCGCTGTCGTCGACGTCATCGGCGCTTGCTGCTAAGCAGACGCCTTCTGCCTCGACGAAGATTTGGGCCCGTGACCTGGAGTTGATGGCGCGCCAGGAGGGTGTTGAGGGCCTGCTTCAGGTCCTCCGCAGCCTTGTCGATGCGATTCTCAACACGCTTCTGCCGATGAGCTCTCGCGATGAGGATAGCTCGAGCTCGTCGGCCAGCAGCAGCTTCGGCAAGAACTGCCCTCCTCCCAGCCCCAACGACGGAATGTACCGACCCGGATGCCCCGGCTACGGTCGCCGAAGCCACATCTCCAGCGACATTGTCATGAGCCAGCGCGACGCCAGCTCGCTCCAGAGCCTGCTCCCGATGATCAACATGCTCATCGAGAACCTCCCTTCGCTGCTCCAGCAGGGCACTGCTCCCGCTGCCGCCGCCGTGCCCACGTCGTCTTCCGCCAAGTCCGCCGCCACCACCGGTGACGCTGACCCGGAAGCCGGAAGTGCCGACGCACTTGCCAGCCTCCTCGGACTGGCTTCTGCCACACCTTCGTCTGCTGCCTCGGCTGCCACAGCCACGGCAGCCTCCAAGAACAATGACTCAGCCGGCTCTGCCGCGAGTGGAAGCAGCAGCTCCTCGTCGGCATCGACGCCCAAGTCATCAGCCAAGGCAGACAAGGCTAGCAGCAAGGCGGACAAGGAGGGCCAGGCTCCCATCTCTGCCGCCAAGCTCTCCATCGACTCTCGCGATCTTCTCGATGCCGACGGTTTCGAGATGTCGAAGCGATGGGATGGCGACAATGCCGATGACAACGTCTCGCAGGACGGCAACCATGGCGGCATTCAGGTTCAAGCTCTCAACGACGTGCTCAACAACCTCCTTGGCGGTCACGGTCTCTCGCGGCGCCAGAACAACGCCGGCGGCGGATCGTCGCAGGACGGTAACCAGGGCGGCATCCAAGTCAGCCTCCTTGACAACCTCCTCAACGGCCTTCTTGGCGGTCTCCTTGGCGGCAACGACAAGGAGGCTACCACGACCAGCGCCGCAAAGACGAACACCTCGGACAAGTCGGCAGCCTCGGATGCAGCCACCCCCGCTGCCGGCGGCAACAACGGCGGCGGCGGCTCGAGCCAGGACGGTAACTCGAACGGTATCAACGTCTCGATCCTCAACGACCTCCTCAACGGTCTCCTGGGTGGTCTTCTCGGCGGCAACAGCCGTCGCTCCAACGTCGACGACAACACGTCGCAGAGCAACAACCACGGCGGTATCAACGTTCAGGTCCTCAACGGCCTCCTGAACAACCTCCTCGGCTCCCACCACGCCCGTCGCGCCCTCGTCACCTTCGCCGCTCGCAACGTCCTGCTCGAGGCCCGCGCCGACTTTGCTCCCGTTTGGACGGAGATCAAGAAGCTGGGCAACGCCCACTTTGACACTCCCCAGCGCCGTGACGCAAGCGAGGGCTTCGCCCCCGTCTGGTCCTCGTTCCGCGACATGGTTGACTCCGCCTACGCCGAGGGTGACGCCAAGACCCACGACAAGCGCGCTCCCCTCCCCACCGTCGACACCAAGCCCTTCGCCCAGGCTGCCGGCAAGTTCATCAAGCAGAAGTTCTTGACCGTCAAGCGGTCCCAGCAGGACTACGCCCCTGTCCTCAACGCCGCTGGCCAGTTTGCCAAGGATCAGATGAAGGAGTGGACTGTTGCACTCAACGAGCACTCCAAGGCCCACGGAAAGGCGCAATAAACGGCTTCAACCTCTCGACTCGACTCGGTTTCGCAACATAGCAGCAAACACAAAGATAACAAAGCACAGGACATCAAATGGCTTCCGCTCCTTACCAACAACAACATTCCCTTTTCCGTCTCCCCCTCTTCTGAGAAGAGGTAGTGCGGGTCAGGGGCATAATTAATGGGATATCATAGCGTCACCTCCCCCACCTCCCCCATCCCATCTCGGCTTTGTCGTCCCTTTGATGTATCTCTCCTGCCTACTTTCTGTTCTTCTCTTTGAAAGGGAAGACCGTGAGAGGCTGATTTGCAATCAATGGACTACCCCCTCTTAAGTCATTGTCTGACCATCGTCTGAAGCAAGATACCTTGGTGGATGATTATACTGCTGCTAATAATACTACAAATGGACGACCGATAAGTGAGCAAATCACCTGCGTTTTTAAGGTACCGACTTTCTAGAACGCTTTGAGGGCCCCGCTTCCAGGAAATCGTGATCCTCTTTCTCTTCCTCCTCTGCCTCTTCCTCGTCGGCCTGCGCGCCTTCAAGTCTCATCGCATGACTACGTCTGCCTGCTCTTCTCCGCTTCCCTTCTCCGGTGCTCGCACGGGGTCCCTTTCTGGGCAGGTACCAACTCAGGATGAGCTCCGTCGTCTCAAAGTTGCACCGTGTGTTGCGCAGCGCAGCCAGGACTGTGGCTTTTGCCACTTCGTACCTGTCGCACATGTCTTCGATCCAGCCCTCCATTGTTGTCCTGCCCTCTTCGACATCGCCACCAGGGATCAAGTGGGCGCATGCACCGACGGAAGCGAAGCCGTAGTAATCTCTAAAGGCGTAGACCCGTTCCTCGAGGGTCTCGCCACGAGACTGTCGCGGGAACGGAGAAGTGGGCCCGCCACCTCCTAGCTTGACAGGGCTGTTGGAAGGCGACGAGGGGGCAGATGGAGTTGGACGCTGATGTCGATGAGAGGCATTCAAGGATGTCCGCCGAGCGGTGCTGCCCATCGATGCGCGAGGGTGCTGAGGCTGGTGCTGCTGGTTCTGGCCGCCAAGACTGACCCTTGCGCTGGCAGATCGTCGTCTTCGAATCCTATCGAGATCTTCTTCCACATCTTCTGCTTCCTCCTCCTCCTCCTCCTCTTCTTCTTCTTCTTCTTCTTCCTCTCCTTCCTCCCCTTCCTCTGCTTCGTCTTCGTCTTCTTCGCCTTCTTGGACGCTGTCATCTCCATGATCTTCATTTGACGATGGAGAAACGGAACCCTTTCTCGATAGGAGAGCGTTGCCACTCCGTGTTAGAATGGGGTCGCCCGCCTCTCCGCTCTCAGGCCGACGAGCGACGACGGCCCGCCTACGCCCAGTCGATGAAGAAGCTTCGCCTCTGCCATCCGCTCGCAGACGTGCATCGGTGACACCAAGACCAAAATGTGCTGTTTGACGTCCTTTGCTCTTGGCAGAAGCGCTCTCTGTGGCTCCTCCCCGGCTCCGTTCGCCTTCGATCGGTTTCTTCCGATCTGAGCTCGTTTCGACTTCCTTTTCTCGCTCCTCTGCAGGTCTACTGTCTCCCTCCCTCTCTCCTTGTCCTTCATCATCTTCTCCATCTTGTCTCCTGTCATCTCTTCCGTCTTCTCTCTCCTCGTCGTCATCGTCAGCCTCCTTGCCTCCGCCTGCTTCCTGGGTTGACTCGCTCGGGAGCTGAGACGCAAAGGTTTCGAGCTCTTCTGGCGGCATGAGAATGAGCCTATCGAGAGCGAGATCGACGAGATGCTTGCGATTCTTTGCATGAAACGCAATCCAGTCCTGTGGCCCATGTCTCGGATACTGACAGCGAAGAAAAGGTTCAGGAGGCCTGGACCCAAGGAAGAAAGAAGGGGAAAGAGACGGCAACTCACCGCACTGGAAAGATCGTCAAAGAGCCACGAGGGGGGGAACCAGGCTGGATTGCTGGACTGCCTCCTTTCGGCTTCGGCATGCTTGCCTTGGTCGCGCAGGGTAGCGTAGTCGTCTCTCATGAAGCCATCCTCGGCGTCATCGACCTCATCGAGGGACAGCTGGCCCTCGCAAATTGCCCGAGCGAGGAGCCTGGCCAACCGGTCGATAAGCTCATTGGACTGCTCCTTGCCGAAGCGGGTCGGTGCAGCAACAGCAGCAGCTGCTGCTGCGAGCGCTGTGCCGTCTTCTTCGTTCCTTGTCGGCACGCCCTTGGGGCGTCGCTCTGCTGCTTCTGCTTCCTCACCGGCTTGACCGTCTCTTGCCCTATTGTCCGTGGCCGCATCTTCTCGTCGGCGGCCATCTCTGGCTGTGTGAGCGTCTGCCTGCTCCACTGCCACAGGCCTCTTTTGGCTGTTCTCCTCCTCACCGTCCTCCACAATCTCGTCTGCCTCTTTCTCTCTCCCCTCCTGCTTCTCCGCCTGTTTCTCTTCTGCCCCCTCGCGTCTCTGCGCCTCTTCCGACTGGCCAGACCGCGCATCGGTCTCTGCAGGCGAGTGCTCCTCCTTGTAGCGCTCGACCAGCTTGGCGTAGTTCCTTCCAGACTTGATGTTGTCGCGGAGGTGCGTCTGGTACGACGCAGCGCTATGCCGGCCGTACTTTTCGGCAATCTCTCTTGCCACACTGAGCCCAGTCCAGGTCGCGCTCGTCTTGGCCAGATGTTCCACGATGTTGTCCATGTCGATCTGTGTGTAGGGCATCCGGCTGGCCGGAGCGGAGAGGCAGGTCAGTATCATCTGCTCACGGCCTATACTGCCACATGCCCCCTTCCAACTCACGGGCCGTTGACGTGGCCGTTGTTGGCGACTGCCCTTGCGACCTTTGCGCTAGAGGTGTGGCCCTCGTCGCGCTCCGTGCGCTCGAGAAAGAGGCGTGGGTCGTACTTTGCATCGTGGTAGCTCACCCGGAAGCCGGCTTCCCTGCTGTCATAGACCCAGGCAGGCATGACGATGGGCAGAAAGAGCTTGTTGTCTGCGTTGAGCTGCTCGTTTGCGTTGAGCTCGTCAACTTTTCGCAGCATCTCGCGCGCGGCCCGGCGGTGCTCGGCGTCAAAGATGACAATGTCGCCCTTGGTAAAGTGCGCCTCGATGACGCCGCCACCGGCGCGCACGGCCTTGATGAGCGCATTTCGCTCCTGGGCCTTGAACGAGACGGGGATGTGCACCTTGACCTTGGTGCCGTCGTCGTGGACAAACGTCGTTGCACCCGCCCCGCGCGACGAGCTGCTCGCGCTACTTGCGCTGCTATTGACGCGCGAGAGCAGGCCGGAGCCATTCCCTTCTGGATCCTGCGCCATGGCCGTTGCCGTGGCCGTGGCCGCAGCAGCAGTAGCCGGAGCAGCATCGGCATCGGCCCCAATGCCCAGGGATTGCCTCGTCGTCGACGGCATTGGCGCACGGCTTGTGGAAAGAGGCTGAGACTTTTTGTTCACATGCAGCCCAAGCCCTCACTTCTCTTGAACCTTTTTTTGTTTCTCGCGCGCGTCGTGCACGGCCGACGCAACACACACAAGCACACGGCACACGCACACGCACACGCACGCACGTGAAGAGGGCGCGTCGGAAATTTGCGAGTGGAAGGTGTTGGTTGTTGCTCTTCAGGCCGGCCGCCGTATCTGCTCCCTTTGTCCCCGTCCTTGGCTTCGCTCGCCTCTCTCTCTCTCTCTCTCTCTTTTTCTCTCTTTCTCGCGTCCTCTACTGTGTTGTGTCGTCGCTCAAAGAGGGCTGTGGCGGAGGTAGAAGGAGTGATGGCACCTTCGACTCGACTGAGCGGGACGGGCCTGGGGGCGTCTTCGTATTCCCAGGGCATCGACGGCATCCTGAGCCAATACCACGAGTGTGAGTGTTGCGTCGATTGCGGGCACTGGGCATGCGCAGAAAGGGGAAAGCCAGATCCTGATCGAAGTGATGTCCCCCACAGTCAAGCGAAAGCACATTGCACAAAATAGGCAGATCATCAAGACGAATGCCGAGCTCCAGATCCGGCACCGGGACCTCGAGCGACGGATCCAGACGCTCGAGGCGCAGCGCAACGAGTCTGAAATCGAAAAGGTGCAGCTGCAGGCCGACTATGAGCGGGCGCAGCATGCACTGCGTGGTGTGGCAAAGGGATGGCAGGCCATGGCGAGGAATCTTGAAATCGTGGCGAGCGCCGGGAGGATGGATTTGGGCCTCAATGGCTACCACGACGCCGGCGCAGACGGCAACGACGAGGGACAGGGACACAGAGACGAAGAAGAGACGACACCGAGATTCGAGAGACAGGCGATGCATCTCCAACCGGGCAAAAGGATCACGCTTGGTGCCAATGCACTGCCGGCAAATGATGCAGTCAAGCGTGTGGCTCAGCCGCCCAATCTACTGTATCCCAACCTGATGGAGCAGCCAGAAGAAGAGGAAGAGGATGAAGGGAAGGAAAAAGGAGAAGAATATGGAGCGATAGAACCGGCTATACAACAGCCGCAAGGAGAAGAGGAAGTAGACGAGGGCGAGGACGAGGACGAGGAAGAGGCCGAGGAGTCGCGAGACGACGATACCATCCGCGTGCTTGCATCTTCCGCGTCCGACGAGCAGCCCTCTCCAGGGCCCCCGGTGCGAGAACAAGGAGGTATAAGCAGACAGAGACTGGCACCGGCCAAGCGGGCGGCGCGAAGAAGCAGTGGAGTCTCCCAAGCGGCAGAAGCGTCTCAAGCAGGAGCAGCAGATGCCAGCGAGGACGAAGAAACAGAGCGGACGCTGCGCACGTCCTCGAGCATCGACAGTCTGAGCTCCTTTGTTGACGACGGCGAGATTCAGCTGTCAGAAGACGACGACGACGACGACGAAGATGACAACACGGCCAACTTCGCAATAGCAGTCGAGAGAAATCTGTCGCACAGCGCGTCGCCTATACCAGGTGAGAGAAGTGATGATCGGATAGCTCTGTCATAGGGAGAGCTCGAAAGCTGATCGAGCGCGTTGTATGCGCCCCTGAAAGCAGCAACAGCAACGAATCGGAAACGCAAGGTGCCGACCTCGCCCGAGACACTGAGGCAGACGCCGAGGAGCACGAGCCCACCGAGCTCGACGGCCGGTGAAGAGGAGGATGATGGGGACGACGACGGTACGGCCGCATCCACTTCGCGCCGGTCAGCACGGTCATCGGTCCGGTCGCGCTCGTCGGTCAACTACGCGCTGCCCAAGCTCAACACAAAGATGCGCAAACCAGACCCCGTCGACCTTGTTCCCGCCGGCACTGCCGGGGGAAGCAGTGGCAGCCAGGGCGCCGCTGGGCCAAGAGGCTCACGGACAGGATCGAATAAAGGCGACAAACGGAGAAGCGGAGCGTCAAGTGGCCGTACTTCGTCGACGGCATTACGAGGCAGAAACGGGGTGGCGAGCAGCGGTAATCTGAGCGACTTGCGCAAACAGCATCAAGAGAGGGGCGAACAGCAAGAGCAGCCGCATGCAGAGGATCCAGCGACTGACTTGGGAGGTCGAGAAGACGCGTCCGGTGACGGTCCACGACCTCAATCAATGCCCGAGACGGCACCGCAAGATTGGCGCAAACAAGTGCGGACGTCAAGCGGTCGCAGAAAGTCCTCTACCTCAAAAGGGAGAAGGATTTCGAAACCCGAGGAGAGCAATGATGAGGAAGGAGAAGAACAAGAGGAAGATGGGCGGAGCACGGGTGGGGACGATGAATACGAGAGCGATGGCCGCAGCCAAGACGGTCCCCGTCTGGTCTCTTCCTCCGTGAGGGCTCCTGCAGAGACAAGACCGCCGCTGGCCAAGACGGCGGGCAACGGCAAGGAGGAAGGGGCACCTCACAACTTTGACGGCCTGTTCAAGGGCGTACACGACGTCAGACCCCTGGGTGGAGGAGCAGACACCCCGATACCCAAGCCTTCGTCCATGGCGAGCGGCAAGAACATCAAGGCGCTCAAGCTTGCTGGACGATTGCCCAGCGGACATGCCGGTGTCCGGCCAAAGACGCTCTCGCGCCCCTCTGGCAAGACGTCCGTTGCGGTGAAGCAGAGCCAATCTTCAGCCACAGGGGCGAATGGTCGCTCCCTTTCTGCTTCCGACGCTGGTCTTTCCAGCCAGCTTCAAGGTCAAAGTCAGGGACAGAGCCAAGGATTAGGACAAGTGACAGGGACAGGGCAAGCCAAGCAGAGAGCGAGCCTCCATGCGGCGATGACGAACCCGTGAACCCGTGTCCATTTCCCCTTTGTACCACTCCAGCTACTTGCTGTCGCTTATCGTTGATATACCTCTCCGCTGCCGTCGCTGCCGTACAACGCGGCAGTAGAATGCAAGACTTTCCTACAGCTCTCTTCGTGGCCTATGTGCGCGTGGTCCAAGACAGGAGTGGCGTCTGGTTGCATACAGCATGGCCTGGTCGTGTGATTGAATGACGGCCCTGAATTTGAATTAGACTGCACGTCTTTACAGACGTGAAATGTCAAAAAAAGGCTGGCCAGGCATCGAATGCGCAGGCGCGCGTGTGTGCACAGGCAGAGAAAGATCTCCGAATTTCAAACAATTAGGCTCGCTCTCCTCTCTCTGTCTGTCTCTCGTCCGTCTTGAGTCGCTTGCGCGCTCTCTCTCTATCCACCCCCTTCTTTCGCCTTTTTTCCGAACGCGCCCCTCACCCGCTCCCGAGGGCCCGAGCTTGACAGGGTATACACGTCCTGTCTGTTTCTTATTTCCAGTCCTCTCGACCTTTGCGCCGCGACTGGCAGCACGCTGCAGAGTCGCTCCAGCAGGGGTTGAGCCACCGCGACAGATGCGCGGCGATACGAGTCCTGCCGACGGCGACAAGCTCGGGCGGGAGGCCCCAATACCGAGGCAGCTGCAGCAGGTCCAGGACGACGACCTAGACCCGGACTCGGTCAAGAGGCATGAAGAGGACGACGACGACGACGATGATGCTGACGAGGGCCGCGACGAAGAGGTCGCAGGTCTTGTGCCGAGACTGTCGGACGAAGAGGAGCGCTCGGCGAGACGGGCGAGAAATGAGGGCGGGGCCAAGCTCGGCAGGGCCACAACGACGTACAGGGAGGGAGATGACGACTACGACGACGAAGACCATCTCAATCACGTAGAGGATGGCGGCGGCTCAAGGTCGCCATTCGCGGATCGGAGAGAGCAGAGGGCTAGACGAAGAAAGCCAGCAGGCGTCCTAGCTACGATTTGGGCCATCGCAAGAGAGGTGAGCAGAACTCGCAATTCGTACCGTCTCAAATCGCTGCAGCTCGCTGATCACAACTTCACTACAGGCGTTGCCAACGCTGGCCATCTCGGTCCTGAGCCTCGTCTTTTCTGGCGAGCTTCTGATCCACCTGGCAGTGAGTGCTGCTTTCCTCGTCCTTTGCTCCTTTGTCCAGCCGCTGACATGCAGCGACCACCACCACAGCGCTGGCCAGTCTTTGTCAAAGGTGAGAAGGAGAACGAGGGAGTGAGTAGAAGAGAGGCTGACCGAAGCGAATGCCACACCCTCAGTCGACAAGCTCTTCATCCTGGTGCCCATCCTCCTCAATCTCAAGGGCAACCTCGAGGGCAACCTATCGCTGCGCATGTCCACCTCGGCCAACATCGGCGAGCTTGATATTCGCAGGACCCGCGAGACGCTCATCTTTGGCAACCTCGCCCTGCTTCAGGTCCAGGCACTCATCGTCTCGCTCTTTGCCGGCATCCTCGCCTCTGTCCTGGGAGTCATTGGAGGCCTGGGCGGCGCTTCCGAAGGCCCCAAGACGGCCCAGCGCCGTGGGTTCGGTGCTCTGTTGACCAAGCGGAGGGTGATCCACCACCATCCTGCGCCGTCGGACCCTTCGATGCGGCTCCGTAACAGCTACTTTGAGTTTGTCCTCGTCATTGCCACGGGCATGCTGGCTGCCTCCATGTCGTCGGCCATTCTCGGCAGCTTCATGTGTGCGCTCGTCGTCGTCACGCGCCAGCTGGGTGGCAACCCCGACAACATCGCTTCGCCCCTCGCCGGATCCCTGGGCGACCTCCTCACGCTGACCATCCTGGGCCTTCTCGGCTCGTTCCTCGTCCGCTTCGAGGGCACCATCCTGGCCACCCTCATCCTCCTTGCTCTCGCGGCCGCCTGCGCCTGCTGCTTCTTCTTGGCCTACCGCAACGCCTACGTGCGAGAGCTCCTCTCCTCGGGCTGGATCCCCCTCGTCGTGGCCATGTTCATCAGCTCTGGCGCTGGCCTCGTCCTCGACGCCTTTGTCCAGCGCTATGAAGGCTTTGCGCTGCTCGTGCCTGTTGCGACCGGTCTCCCAGGCGCCTGTTCGGCCATCTTCGTCAGTCGAATCAGCACGGCACTCCATTCCGGCAAGGGCGTTTCTTCGTCGCTCTCCCACTCCTCTTCCTCGACGCTGATCTCGGCACTTCGAGACATTCTGAAACTCGGCCCCACCGAGGGCTGGATCGTTCCCGCCACGCTTTTCACCATCGGAGCTGGCATCGAGGTCCTTTTCCTCGTTCTCGTCTGGGTCACTGGACAGATGTCGTTTGGCTGGCCCTTTGCCATCACCTTTGTCATCACATCGGGCCTCATTGTCGCGGCCTCTCTCTACATTTCGCACCTAATCACCCTCTTCCTCTGGTCCCGCGACTATGATCCAGGTATGTTCCTACCGACTAGCAGGCCATTCTGGGGGACCACCTCACTGACCATCATCACCAACAGACATCTACTGCTTGCCCTATGTGACTTCGCTGATCGATGTCATTGGGCAAATCCTTCTAGTCGTTGCCTTTGCTACCGCCACTGTTCTTGGCGATCAAATCACGGCAGCTGTCAATGATCACCAGAAGCCGTAGACTACTCGCACGATCCTTGTAATATCTTTCTCCTTCTCTCGCATCCAGATATCTGGTCCTCTCATCGCAATTTCGTAGCAGCATAGAGAAAATGAAAAAGAGAAATCTACAGACACAAACCGAGATCACCAGTCGAGCTTGCCACCGCTCGTCGTGTCGCCGCAAGACGCCTTCTTTGGCTCGTCCTTGCTTGCCCCCTTCTCCTGGACATCTTCCTTGATCTCTGCAATCTCGACACCGCCTGCGTCTTGCTTCTTGTCGCTTCCCTCTTGGTCGAAGTCACTAGCTTTGCCTCCGGAAAGAATGTGTGACTCCTCCTTTGCCTTTCGGATCATCCACTTGCTCGTCGAGAGCACGGCGTCGAGGGCCTCGGTCGGGGGCAGGTTGAGGCAGACGTAGCCCTCATCGTCGACCTTTGCCTTGAACGTCATGATCTGGTAGTCTGAATCGGTAACGCAGAAGCCACCCTCCTTTTCGACCTCTGGGTCCAGGAGGTAGTTGCGCTTGTGGAGCGGACACGACACGTAAGGCCTGCCCTGCTTGTCCTCGCCAATGAGGCCGTCGGCCAGCACAGTGGCTCTCCGATGCGGGCACATTTGCTGCGAGGCGTACCAGCCACGCCCGGGGACATGGTAGATTGCAATCTGCACGTCGCCGTACTTGACCACGGCGCTCGATGTGGCTGCATCGTTGGGATCGACCTCCTTTGCCTCGCACATCCTCCGCCACTCCCACGGTGCGCTCTGCGCCACGTCGAGGACGCTGAACTTGAGCGGGCTCACGTCCTCGGGCCAGTATTCGGGCCTACTCTGTTCGCGCTCCCGCACGCGCTCAATCGCACTCTGCGACTCGTCGGTGTTGACAAATTGGCGGAAGGCCTTTTGGCGCTCGGGGTCGCGCACCACCTTTGTCCATTCGCAGTGGTACGTGCCAATGAGGGTCTGCATGTCCTTTTCCAGCTCGTCGCAGATGCCCAGCTTGTCGTTGACGATGATCTGCTTGAGCTCCTCGATGCCGCCGGGCAGCGACTCGATCCACCTCGCTGTGCGCTGCAGCTTGTCGGCAGAGCGAATGTAGAGGGCGAGGAAGCGGTCGATGAGCTTGATGGCCATGTGTTTGGTCACGTCCGAAGCAAGCATCCAGGCGTGCCGCGGCTGCGCACCACCGTTGCCGCCCACGACGACGTTCCAGCCCTTGGGCGTGGCCAGGACACCAAAGTCCTTGCTGTGGAACTCGGCACAGTCACGGTTGCATCCGCTGACGGCCGACTTGAACTTGTGCGGCGCGCGGATACCCCGGTACCGGTTCTCGAGCTCGACGGCAAAAGCCACGCTGTCTCCGACGCCGAATCGGCACCAGCTCGTGCCGACGCACGACTTGATCGTACGCAGCGCCTTGCCGTATGCGTGGCCCGATTCGAAGCCTGCATCGACGAGGCGGGTCCAGATGGCGGGCAGATCTTGCTTGCGGGCACCAAACAGGTCGATGCGTTGCCCGCCCGTGATCTTGGAGTAGAGGCCAAAGTCGCTGGCCACCTCGCCCAACACCTTGAGCTTGAATGGCGACACCTCGCCAGCGGGCAGGCGCGGTACGACCGAGTACGTGCCGTCTCGTTGCAGGTTGGCCAGGAAGCGATCGTTTGTATCTTGTGTCTGCCGCAGCGCTGGTTGCATGATCCAGTCGTTGAAAAGCGACGAGAGAATGCTGCCCACAGCGGGCCTGCACACCTCGCAGCCCAGGCTGTTTGGCTTGACACCAGCGCTGGCCATGACGGCTGGGAAATCCTTGAGCTTTCGGAATTTGATAATCATGAACAAATCTGACCGTGAGTGTTTGAAGTGTGGGCAGAGGTGGTTCGACACCTCGGCACCAGCATCCTTCATGGCCTTGTTGAAGATGCTTGTCCCTAGCGGCACGCAGCCTCCGCAGCCCGTGCCCAGTTTGGTGCAGCTCTTGATCTCGCCAAACGATCGGCATCCCTTTTCCTTGACCTGGTGCACCACGGCGCCCTTGGACACGTTGTGGCAGCTGCAGACCTGCGCATCGTCGTCCAGGTCATCGCCTTCGTCCTCGCCCTCCTTTTTGACGCCAATGATGAGCTCTGCCGGGGGCTTCTCGAGCGCCTTTTGCTTGTTGCACACGCTGACGAGCTTGACGTAGTCTTTGACGTCGCCTACCATCATGCCGCCGAGGAGGTATTGTCCATCGGCGGTGAAGATGTACTTTTTGTACACGTCGGAGAATGGATCCCGGTACGTGAGAGCCTTGACCTGCGGTGGACCCTGATCTTCGTCCTTCTTGCCGCCGCCTCGCCGACGAGACTGCCCAGGCACAGGCCTGGTGAGCTTTCCCTTGTCGGCAAAAAAGTCGCCAAACGAGGCCACATCGACGCCCATAAGTTTGAGCTTGGTGCTGAGGTCTGGAGATGTCATGTTTCTCATTTTGTGGTGAGGCCCTTCTGTCAAGTTGAAGGCGAGAACGTCGGCCATTTCGATGCCAGGTGCGATCAGACCCCAGGTCTCTCCCTTGTACGAGGCGCATTCGCCAATGGCGTAGATGTCTTTGACGTTTGTGCTGAGATGCTCGTCAACTGCAAATCCGCCGCGTGGTGCCGTCACGATGCCTGTGGCGTCGCCACCGAGGTCATCGCGCGGCTTGATGCCGACCGCAAAGACGATCATGTCCAAGTCATACCGCTTGTCCTGCTGTGTGTCGGCTCCGCCCTCGAGCATGATGCCATGCAGCCGCTCGATCTTCTTGCCCTCTTCTTCCTCCTCCTCAACAACAAGATTGCGGACGCGAGCCTGGAGGAGAACCTCGACGCCGAGCGCCTTGACCTTGTCGAGGACCATCCTGCCACCTTCACCGTCCAGCTGACGTGAGAGCACCCACTGATTCCTCTCGACGATGACGGCCTGCTCCACCGTCTCGAGATCGAGGAGTGCCTTTCCCGCCTCCAGCCCAAGCAGACCTCCACCGACGACCGCGGCTCTCTTGACCTTGCGCGCTTTGGAGTAGGAAAGCATAGCCTCGAGGTCCGCAATGCTGCGGTATACAAAGGCGCCTTCTGTCCGCTGGAATTGTTCGCGGGTGATGTAGGGTGGCAGAGCCGCATCAGAGCCAGTGGCGAGTACACAGACGTCGTATTTGATCTCGTTCTCCTTTTGCGTCTTGACCGTCTTATTGGCACCGTCGATGGCCACAACGGGGTCCGAGGTGTGGTAGGCAAGCTTGCCTGGCGCATGGCTGCTGTACCAGTCCAGCGGATTCAAGTAAAGCTCCTCCGCCGATGCCTTTTCCCAGTAGGTCGACAGGCCTACACGGTTGTAAGCGAGATGAGGCTCCTCTCCGATGCTGCGCAGGGGAGACACGCATGATTCATTTCAGTGACCGACCGATTGAGAACGGAGACGAAAGTTACTCACACGATCACCTCCCACTCATCGCGTCCTCCTTCGATGTCGTACTTGAGCAGCTTTTCTACAAATGCAATGCCGACCATGCCAAATCCGACAATGACAGCTCGCTTCCTCTGCGTCTTCGGCGAGTCAGACGCAGATGACGTTGAGGGCTCATCGCGAGCAACCTCGGTCGGGACGGGTGCCATCTTGCAAGTCCTGTGTTCTGGATGGAGATGGTGAGAAAGAGACCTCGAGCCTCTACCAGACCCTTCGAATGCTTTGAAAGTCTTTCGGTGTCGACCCACCTCGCTTTGCCTCAATGATACCGGCCAATGAACCGGGTGGCCGGCCACACTACAGTCCAAAGATCCGTGCGATACTACTCTAGCCAATGAATTCCAGCCCCTTTGAACCCAGCAGAGAGATAACAAGGGTTCACCTCCCATTGGTAAGCCATTCAAGATAAAATTCTGCAAGAAAAATGTTCAGTGTATCTGTTCTTGGCGAGGCGGAAGCCCTCCTTGAAGCGATAAGGGAGAGACGATGCTTATCTCGAAATGACTTGATCGCGTCACTGTGATTGGCTGTGAAAGCAAATGCCACGCGAATTTGACCGCCTTATCAGTGAATGGCTTCATCGGCCTTTGTTATCTATCCACGAAGGCAATTTGAGGCGGCGAGGCAATATGGGGCTGCCTCCCTTCTGCCCCTGATTCTGCTGACGCAATGACCAATCGGAAGGAAGATGAAGGAGAGATCGAGACACAAAATTGCGGAGCGGTATGCAAAAATCTTGCCACTCCAAGCCTGTGGAGCGCTTTCTGTATGTGCCTCGTCGTATATTGCTCCCATCCCGCAGTGAGGCGAATGTACTGTACAAACATCTGAAATTGACCTTAGTGACCTGAGAGTCCTGTACTAACGGGACACCACCACCACATCCTCCCCCTACCATCGTTGTCGTGACTCTCGCCCCCTTCTTTCGAGGCCTCGCAAATCGAAACCTCGATCGGTCGGTACATTCGAGAGCTCCGATTTGAGCTTTCAAGCCTTCGGTTTCCTCCGATTAGATTAAGAAGCAAGGGAGGGCACTGCATCTGCAAGAACGATCCTGGCCTGCAAAGACCATTGGCGAAGCAAAGGTTGGCTTGTGGCGTTTCGTCATCATAGGAAGTCTGAGCGACGACATCCTTCGACAAGGGCATCTCGCCTATGCGTAGAGGATTCTTATTGTCCGGTGAAAAGGGAACAAGCCTGTAGCGTGAAGAAGGCAGAGGGCCGACTTGCGGCGACAAACACTACAACATGTCTTCGAGCAGCGGCAGCGACGAAGCTGGACCTTCTACCGGCGTCACGACCCCTTCCCCCGGCTCCCTTAGCCCATCCCACAAAGTCGGCCAGGAAGGCGAGACGACTGTGGAAGCTCTCGATGAGGACGAGAGCTACTATTCAAACGAGTATGGGACGAACCTCCCATCCGTTCCCGAGGCCGGCAAGGTGGAGCCGCTAGCCATCGACGCCAGCACACCTGATGCTTGGATCGCGCGAGATGAGCGAATGTGAGTTACTCCATTGCTGTGAAAGAATTCGAAGCTGATGTCGCCGTCATGTTTGAAGGATCCGATTGACAGGCAAGCACCCTTACAATGTCGAGGCACCTCTGACAGAGCTGTGGAAAGCGGGCTTCCTGACGCCCCAGTCTCTCTTCTACGTCCGCACGCACGGTGCCACGCCACATGTGACCAAAGACGAAGCCAAATCATGGACAGTGCGGGTGCACGGTCTCGTGCAACGGGAGATGTCCTTCACCATCGACGATCTAAAACGCCTTTTCCCTACCGTCACGCTGCCAGTCACGCTCGTATGCGCCGGCAACCGCAGGAAGGAGCAGAACATGGTGGCGAAGGGACTTGGCTTCAACTGGGGCGCTGCCGGCGTGTCGACTGGCCTCTTCACGGGTGTCTACCTGGCAGATATCCTCGATTACGTGCGACCGATCCGGCCAAAAGGAGCTTTCCCTTATAATCGAGACTCGCCGGGCTGTGCAAAGCATGTCATTTTCGAGGGATGTGACGAGCTCCCCAAGGGCAAATATGGCACTTCGCAGAGGCTTCAATGGGCCAAGGATCGCAACAAGGGAATGCTCATTGCTTGGGGGCTGAACGGAGAGGAGCTCTCGCCCGATCATGGATACCCGCTCCGGCTCATCGTACCCGGACAGATTGGGGGCAGGATGGTCAAGTGGCTCAATCGCATCGAAGTATCAGACAAGGAATCGCAGCAGTGGGTTTCTGTCAATGTCTAATGCACAAGGGAGCAGGTGCTAACTCATCAGGGACTTAAGCTACTTGCACTTCTGGGACAACAAAGTCTTGCCGACGGAAGTAACGGCGGATCAGGCAAGAAAGGAAGAACATTGGTGGTATGATCCGAAATACATCATCAACGACCTTAACGTCAATGCCGCAATCACGGTGCCAGCGCACAACGAAGTGATGCAGCTGCCGTCTAGCTCAACGACCACAAAAATTTGCGGTTACGCCTACACCGGGGGTGGCAAGAGGGTTCACCGCGTTGAAATCAGCCTCGATGAGGGCAGATCATGGAAGCTGGCCGAGATCGATACGGCCGAAGACAAGTACAGGATTGCACCGATCCGCGATCATCCCTTCTTTGGCACCCTCGACCTGAGCGAGACGGAGATGAGCTTCGCATGGTGTTTCTGGGAGCTCGTGGTTGACGTCGACAAGCTGGCGGGCGCCAAGTCGATCGCTGTCCGTGCCACCGACGAGGGCCTGGCGATGATGCCGAGAGATATGTATTGGAACGCCATGAGCATGATGAATAATTGCTGGTTCCGTGTCGCCGTTCACCGCGACGAACGGGAAGGAGACAGGACGGGAACGCTCAAGTTCGAGCACCCGACGGTGGCGGGGAACAATCCTGGCGGGTGGATGGAGAGGATGAACGAGGACGGCTTGAATCCGCGGTATCCTGATTTCAGCGTTCGTGCCGATCTTTCGTCGTCAGCAGAAGAGCAACAGAAGCAAGGAGAGGAAGGGGAAAGGGGCAAGCCGGCGAAGAAGGAGAAGGTAGACGTCAAGAAAATTATGATAGACGAAGCCAAAGTTGGCAACGAGATCTCGGCAGAAGATCTGGCCTCGCACGCCAACGAGGAGCAACCGTGGTTTGTTGTTCACGACCAAGTCTATGATGGCACATCTTTTCTCAAGCAGCATCCAGGCGGAGGCGAGTCCATCACCCTAGTCGCCGGCGAAGATGCGACGGAAGACTTCATGGCGATCCACAGCATGGATGCAAAGGTTCAGCTCCGCGACTTTCACATCGGCAAGCTGGCCCCCGGAGCGTTGTCGGGCGACGACGGCAAAGACAGCAAGCAAGAAGAGGCACCAGACGCACCGTTCTTGCGTCCCAAACACTGGAAGAAGTCGAAGCTTGTAGAAAAGATTGAGGTATCGTCAGACTCTCGCATCTTCCGATTCGCCCTTGATCGACCAGACCAGGAAGTGGGCCTGCCGGTCGGCCAGCACGTCTATGTCCGTGTCCGCACCACGAGCCAAGATGGCGAAGAGAGCGAGACAATCCAAAGAGCCTACACACCCTTCTCCGGCAACGATCAGAAAGGTTTCCTCGACATTCTTATCAAGGTTTACTTCCCCTGCGCTGAATTTCCACACGGCGGTAAGATGACGAACGCCCTCGAGAATCTCAAGGTCGGAGAAGATTCGGTGGAGCTCAAGGGACCGTTGGGCCACTTCATCTTTGAGGGCGCTGGTCAGGTAAAGATCCACGGTCACTCCCGACGAATCAAGAATGTGGCCATGATCGCGGGTGGGTCGGGCATCACGCCTATCTGGTCGACGCTGAAGGCTCTCGTCGATGATGAAGCCTCATCCGACGTCAATGTATGGATCCTCGATGCCAATCGTACAGAGTCGGACATTCTGGCTCGGAAGCACCTCGACGAGGTCGTTGGCCGAGCCGGGGCCCGTATCAAGCTGTGGCACATTCTGAGCGCAAAGGACGTCGCACCAGACTGGGCAATGGGCAGGGGACGGATAACGCTCGATGTTCTACAGAAACATCTTCCGCCTGCTCCGACAAAACCCACGTCGGACACTGAGCTCGAAGACACGTTGGCCCTGCTATGCGGTCCCCCACCGATGGAGAATGCAGTGCTCAAGGGCCTAGAAGAGCTTGGGTGGGATACAAAACGCACTGTCGTCCAGTTCTGATGAATGTTCAGCATACACAAAAGCAATCATGCAGCAGCATCTGTACTGTAATGAGCCACTGTAAATGAATCATTTGAGCGCAGGTTCTACATGACTCTCTCTACACCACACACATCTGATGGTTGTGGCCGTATCTAGGTGTTCCTGCTTTGGCCAAGCCAAGCAAGGCCGCCGGGGGATGCAGATTGGAAAATAGGGAACATTCTTATACTCCGAGAAGTCGTCTCGTCGTTACGGCGAGCTACAACTCGATCTCCAGGGTGCGAAGAGGGTGGACTGCAAGACTGGCCTGGAGCAGCATGCCCCAAGTTTGCCGACTCATGCTTGTTTGTGGACCTAAAATAGCGACGAATTATACAACAAACAACCCCTAGCCAAGCAAATAGCACCAAAAGAGGGAAGACAAAGCCGAAATTCAATAATGAGGGAGGGGGCCCTCTTTTTCCTTTTTAGTCGGGAAGAAAGGGCACCGCTCCAGTGCCTACGCGACGCGACCTCGTGCATGCCGATTCGTACGCTGGCGGTGTACCGCGGCCGTTGGCTCCCCTTTGTTCACCCTCTTTGTCCCTTTCATTGCTGTAACAGTAATTGATTCCCTCTTTCTCTCTTTCTCTCCTCTCGACCAGCACAACATCCTCTTTAGCAGCCCAGCTCTGGCAGTGAAGCTACAACCCCACCGTCCTCTCTCCCTGTCTCCTAACTCACTCACTCACTCTCTCTCTCTCTCTGCGAGACCCATCCGTCTTCCGCTCCCTTGGCGACATTTCCACAAGTCAGCAACACTCACTCTCTCTCGTTTGAGCAGCAGCAACCAGCACGACCAGCATCAATAACATCTTAGAAACGCCCTTTCACACAACCGCTTCCCCAACATTCCCAAAACAATTTCAACTACCATGACCCGCATCACCAAGTCGATCACCATTGCCGCTCTGGCCCTCGCCCTGGCCTCGCAAGGAAGCCCCTCGGCTTCGTCTAACGGCGTTGCCGCTCACCAGGGCAGCTTCGCCAACGGCAACATGCACCAGCACAAGCGCATGCTCCGCCGGTCCGAGCTCAGCCGCCGCAACAACTCGACGGCATCCGACAGCGACGAAAGCGACAAGTCGCAGCAGAAGGACAGTGTCCTTGGTCAGGTCACCAAGGCCGTCCTGGGCGACAAGTCGTCGTCGTCGTCGTCGTCGTCGTCGCAGGAGTCCAACAAGCCGCAGAAGGTCTCGATGCCTCTCGAGCAGTACGACCAGAACGGCAACGATTTGACCAAGCACAACCAGAAGGACGGCCAGAAGAAGGACGAGGACTGCGACGAGTCGTCGTCGGCTTCGAAGGCGGCTGCCACCGCCACGGCCACCGACGACGGTTCCAAGATCAAGGAGACCGGCAGCGGCAAGGACGGCAAGGACGGCAGCCTCACCTTCAAGCCCACTGGTACGTCGGGCCAGCACAAGGCCGAGAAGACGGCCTCGTCGGACGAGGACTGCACCGACTCGGAGTCGGCTTCCAAGTCGGCATCGGGTTCGGACGCCAAGGCCTCATCGAAGCCCTCCAAGTCGTCGGAGGAGAGCAAGTCCAAGGACACCAGCTCGGACAGCTCCAAGTCATCTGGCGAAGACTCTTCCAGCAAGGACAAGGAGACCAGCTCCCACTCGTCGGGCAAGAAGAGCAGCAGCGACAGCAGCAGCAGCAGCGGCGACGTCTCGCAAGCCAAGTCCAGCGGCTCCGAGCAGTCTGGCAGCAGCAGCAGCGGCAACACCAGCAGCGGCGACGACGAGGACTGCGATGAAGATGGCAGCGACGACAGCAACGACGACGACGAGGACTGCGACGACGAGGAGGACGACAGCAACAACGACGACGAAGACTGCGACGAGGAAGACTCGAGCAGCGACAGCAGCAGCAAGGCATCCGACACCAAGTCCGAGTCCAAGGCCTCGCCTAGCCAGTCGTCCAAGTCGTCCAAGTCGTCCAAGTCATCGGAGGCTTCTTCCACCGTCAGCCCCAAGAACGAGGCCACCAAGGCAAAGTCTACGAAGGCATCTGATTCGTCGTCGAGCAGCGCCGCTTCCAGCAGCAGCAGCAGCAGCAGCGGCTCCCTGGCCGACGTCATCAGCACCATCACCGGAGGCTTTGCCACCTTCTTCTACCAGGGTGGCAACGCCGGCGCTTGCGGCACGGTGCACTCGGACAGCGACAAGGTCGTTGCCCTGCAAACGAGCATGTACTCCAACGGTGCCCACTGCGGCAAGAAGGTCTTGCTCAAGAACAAGTCCAACGGAAAGACGTGCGAGGCCACCGTCGCCGACGAGTGCCCTACCTGCAAGAACAAGCAGTCGGTCGACCTCTCCAAGGCTGCCTTCGACGCCCTCGCCGCCGAGAGCGTCGGCATGTTCGACCTCGAGTGGGGCTTCCTCAGCAGCTAAAGCGCTTTCTCATCAAAGCTTGAACGTCACCATGGGACCTTCACCACTGCACGTCACCGTTCACTTTCCTCTCTTCTTGGCCGTATTTGAGATATGGTCTCCCTTTTCTTTCCCTGTCTTCACCTCCTGGTTGAGGTGAATCGTCTTGCTGTCGTGGAAGTGTTTCTACCATCATCAAAGTAGTCGCGACCACAATCTTCAAATCATCATCATTTTGGGTGTTGCGGCCCCTACTGTGTAGGTGGGCCGCCTCCTATTCTCCCCTCATCTGATTGTGTGACGGTCCTCTTTTGTCTTTGCAAGCGTACTTTCTGTTCCAGCCAAGAACGGCGGCCATGCATGCCCTGCTCGTCGAGCTAGATAGGTGAGACCGGTACGGTGTCGAGGTCGATGTCGAGGTGCGACGTACTGTTCAGCAGATTGTTACATGAATCGCTTTTCTGACCGTTCGCACTCGTTCCTGATTTTCGAATGCCTGCCTGTTTCTGCCCCCTGCTTTCTCTTATTCCATCCCTGAGACTAAACTTGTAAACTTGTTATAGTGGTTAAATTAAAGGAGTCGATTTTGGCTTCATAAGCCTAATTGCGCGAAATAACTTTATATCGCCGCCAAGGATAGAAGTGAGAATTGTTCCTCTGCCGAATGAAGAATACATTGTCATCTTTTCGAGGGGGTGGAATCATCCCGTCGGATGGATTGGGCATCATGTCTCTCTGGTTCTGGGCCTTCTCCTCTGGATCTTGTGTTGCTTAAAGAGACGACGATCCCCCGCAGCGGCTGCTCCTCTCACACCCTCTCTTGCCTTTCCACTGCCTATCGTTGCGCTGAAGCACGCACTCTCTGCTTGGCCGACCACGCTGTGACGCCCATTACGATCGCCCCACGCACGCTCCTCCACCACAAGCCCAGTATTGCACGTACGGCTGGTCACGTAACTCATCGCTACTCTTAGGAGGCAGAAAGAAGAACAGAAAAGAGAAGCTAGAGGAGACCGGGCCGTCATGAAGGGAAGACATGTCCTCCTTGCCACGCTGCTGCTCGGCGGAACCAGCAGTCTCGCGTCGCAAGGGCTCCTTCTCAACAGCCCAACGTGGGCTGACAGCCTGCCGCTGCACCAGCCCTCGCACGACTGGTCTCTGTCTTCCTCTTCGTCGTCGTCTGCCCACTACTCGTCGGTCGTAGCGGCCGGCGAGGGCGCGAGACGGTTCAAGGGGCACAAGACCCGTTTGCAGACGCAACGGGACGTCGAGAAGGGCAACAAGGCAGCCTACTTTGAAGGGCAACAGGAAGACTTGGGTCCACATTTCAGGAAAGCGAGGGGCAGAAGCGAGGAGAGAAAAGGACTGCTTGTCGGCATGCGCACGAGCGCGAGAGAAACGGAGCTACCAGGCAGCAGCCAGAGGAGACTTCTCAAACGAGCAATCACATCCGATGACAGCGACGACAACGAAATCGAGACAAAAATCCTGGAAGAACGCAGCCGCAGAAGGAAGAACCTGATCACCAAGCACTCGCTTTTGAAGGACGATGGACCGTCGAAGTATGCTCAGGATCCCGTCCCACACGTTCTCGAGGGAGATGGCGTTGGCAGAAGGTCTCCTGGCGGCGATGACGAGGCCGTCCCTTGACAGGCTTACATGTCTAGCTCTCACCTCTCAGACTTACTTGCATATCTTCTCTAACGTGATTCTTACGGCACCTACACATACTCCCGGCCTGATTCACATGCAATTCATTGCTGCTTGCCACATGCTCTCAGAAGAAGGCCAGAATCTCGTCTTGCAATTGGTCGGGCACCTCTTCCTGCAAAGCGAGGAGTAGTCAGAAAGACACCAGGGATCCCATGAGACGCGCTAAGTGACCACTCACGGGGACGTAGTGGCCGCAGTCCTTCAGAGCCCGTCCGTTGGCATCGTCGCACACGTTCCTCCAGAGCTCAAGCATGCGATCGTGACCGAATTCTAGCTCGCAGATGCCCCGATCACCCCACAGGATCCTCGTGGGCTGCTTGACCTTGCGACCAGCCTTGCGGTCTTCCTCGTCGAGCAAGAGGTCCACGCCGCCGGGCGCCGAGGCGCGGTAGTCTTCACAAGTGGCGTGCACGCGAGGCGGCGATGAGAGCTGGCGAGTGTACGAGTCGACGACATCGCGTGGAAAGAGGTCGCTGTTGGACGGATCGCCATAGCGACCGAGCATCTTTTGCAGGTACCCGGCCGGACTTGCAAGGACTTTGGAGCAGACTTGGGAGTCAGTAAGGTGCAGCAGCATCGGTTGGGTGGTCTCTAAAATAACTGCTCACGCATCTGCTCAGGAAAAGGGTGGGGCTGAATGAGGAAAAACCAGTGCCAGTACCTGGTAGCGAAGCTGGCACGCGCGAGATCGTAGAGGTCATAGGTGGGCGCAATGTCGAGCAGCATGATCTTGACCACTGTCTCTGGATGGTCGAGGGCCATTCGATGGGCAACTCGCTTTGCCATCTCGCCCAGTCAGCCCAGATCTCATGTTTCTGTCGTCCGTCGAACCACACAAGACTCACTGCGCCTCGGTCGTGAGCCACGACGCTGAATTTGTCGTAACCCAGGTGTTTCCTGCGAGTGACCAGGCAGTCAGCAGTGCTCGAAAGGTAGTTTCAAAAAGAAGGGTTAGGAGTAGGGAGAGAGCCAGAAAACTCACATGACGACAACATTGTCTCTGGCCATTTCGCGCTTCGAGTAGCGCCACTTGAGCGCCTCTTCCAAAGGACGGGCATCCCTGACACCGCCCTCCTCGTCGCCCTTTTGGTAGTTTCGCACTTTGGGGACTCCGCTGTGCCCATGGCCCCGCAAGTCGGCAATGACAATGTCACGCCCAGCACTCTTGACGAGGTCCGGTGCTACGCGGTGGTAGATGATCGAGTTCTGCGGGTGGCCGTGGAGAAGCAGCAGTGGCTCCTTGGCAGAGGAACCGGCTGGGTGCTTGTAGCGGTGCACGTAGATCTCCAGCGACAGCGTCGGATCGTGCGCGGGTGGGGAAACGGGCACGAGCAGAGGCTCGAAGCCAGCCTTTGTGAAGGGGTCTCTGGGCGAAGTCATCCTTGCTTGTCAGGGTGTCATGTAAAGAGTGGGCTTTCCCCCTTGTGCTGTAGAAATAGTTTTGGTGAAGTGAGCGGGGGATATATTCCCCGCCTTTTTTTTTTTTTGAGACGTCTTGTGGAGGGGGGCGATCTCGGCAGAATCGGGGATAAAGCCATGCACTCCTTCGTTGTCTGTCGCATGCTCCTACCATCCATTCTTGCAACGCCAAGGGGCCATTTGCTGAACGAACTCAGCCTCCTATCGGCAATGAGACACTTGCTGGAGGTATGCGTTGCACATAAAGGGGGCAGAAAACCGGCCGAAGTGCTGCAGGCACTTCGGCAAATGGGGCAAAGCAGTGTTGACCTTGTCCCGTCCGAATCAACATGACTACGTGTTGATTCTAGGCGCCGGTGCGCGGCACTGAGAAAGAAACAAGCTCACTTGGCCGTCTTACGCCCCGAATCGCAATCGGCGATATCTCAATGCCCGTCTTAGCCGACGCCCTCATGATTCCACGTTGGTGCCCCGATCGACGTTGCGTCCTATCTTCGAAGCTCTCCGTTGTCTGTTCTCTTTGTTCTCACCTCACCTCTTGCTGGACAAGGGGTATTTCTTTCATTGTCTTGAGTGGTCTGCCGTCTTTCCCATCTCCTCCTCTTCTAGGAAGTTGAAAAGCTGTGTCGACCATCAAAAGCCAGCCACCATGAAGCTCATCTTTTGCTTGCTGCTGCTCTTCTCCTGGTGAGGCACACTCTGTTTATCCACGGCCCACAATGCGCTGAGCCATTGACTCCACACAGCGGCACTTTCTTCGGTCATGCGATCATCAAAGAGCCTTTGCCAGACCCAAGCGAGGTTCTTCCTTGGCAAATGAGCAAGGAAGCATGTATAGACTATCTTACAGGCACCGAGAGAAGCCTTGCCGAAGTGAGGATGGTGCTAAAGGCACTCTTCAGGGCACCTCATAGCAAGGATGCCTCAAATGCGAAGGCGAGTCACAAGAGTCAAATGTACGAGCCAAACATCCAAAACGGCCTCTCTCAGATCGAGTACCTTGTCGTGAGAAGCGAGAAGCAGATCAGGTGGTGCAAAAAGTGGCTGATGGGCGTGGAAGAGGAGGCTCTGAATGACACGTCTGTCTCTCTGCCTCTCGACCAGCACTCTGCAAGTGTGACAAAGCAGATACACAAGAACAAGGATCGCTTACCGCACCATGCTGAAGCCACATCGTCGTCGCCAAGATTTGTTCACCACTCTTCGGGTCCAGACTCCCGGGACGGCATCCTACACCGCCGGTCTTCGCCGCCGCGGATGCCGCCGCGGACGCCACCTCAATCACCTGCTTCGAAACGCAGAAAGATGTCTCAATCCTGCTCCACAGCCTCTCACAGCCTGTTGGAAGAGGGCGAGATCAGTCCTGATACTTTGAGAAGTTGCCAGGAATCGCGGAGTGAGTCTCTGCTTCGTGCTCTTTTCCTCTCTTACAAAGCACCGTGCCGATTTGTTCCCTTTTGCGCCCACGCCACATCTTTCGATAGACAAGCTGAACAAGAAGATCGCGAAACTCGAAAGAGCGCATATGATGAACATGGCCAGGAAGAATGACTGGAACGAGACGTATGAAGTTCGAAAGGAGGCCGAAGGTCTGGCAAAGGAACAAGCGTTACTCATCAGGGATGCCGGAAGAGAGCTCAAAGATCTGATCGAACTCTTGGAGAAGACGCATATTGGGTCCACGTCTGGCAGCTCCTCATGAGTAGATAGACGAGGCAGAATGGCATGAATGTATGAATTTCCCAAGACACTGAATATATGCAGGATGCTTTCTAAATGCTGTTGCGCCTGGCGCTGACACCACCCCTCCTCTTTCCATCGTACTTACCACCTCGGTCTCTCCTTCCACCAGGGCCAAGGCTGTCCTCGTCGTCATCGTCATCACGGTCGTACCCTGCGGGGAGCCGCTTTTCCTTGTCCCATTCTTCCAGTGCCCTATCGGCTGCATCGTAGCCAATCTGCGCAATCTCATTGAACTTGCCAAACTCCATCGTCCCGTATCCTTCGACGGGCATGCGAAGGTAGAGGCATCCTGGCGTCCTCTTTGCCTCTTCGAGCGTCTTGACAGAGGAGACGTAGGTCAGCCTGCCCTGAATGTCGGTGATGCTCGGAATGTTGCGGGCGTCGGACCAGGGATTCCACCGGTTCAGAACGACCCACCAGCCCGAGAGCGTGTCTCCGTAGCTCCTGGGCGACGTGTCGTCGATGGATCCGACATCGACTGCAAAGACGTTTCGAGCGCCCATGGCAAACATGACGCTGACCGGCAGATTGTCAACGTAACCGCCGTCCACGAGCATGTGTCCATCATCGACGAGGGGCGGGATGAGGCCAGCGAGGGTCATGCTGCCGCGGATGTACCGCCAGGCATATCCAGACGTGTGTACCTCCATCCTGGACCAGGTGATGTTGGTCGTGTTGCAGAAAAAGGGCAGCCACATGTCCTCGATGTGCGTTTCACCGATGGCCTTGAATACGCCACGGTTGAACTCGAAGCCCGACGTGTAGCTGCACACGGGGTAAGTCAGGTCGAGTACGAAGCGCCACAGGCTGGCGGTGCGCCCGGCAAACTTCTTGACCCGGCCGTAGCTCGACACGACCTCGGCTTCCTTTGCATACAGGCCACCGACCAAGCTTCCGATCGAGGTACCGCCGATCATGTCGACGGGAATACCTCTCTCTTCCAGCGACCGGAGAAACCCTGCGTGGGCACATCCCCGGGCTCCTCCACCGCCCAAGACGACGCCAATGGACTTGCCACAGAGCCTTCTGGCAAGGCGCGCAAAGTCGCTGAAGTGGTGTCGCCGGCCTCCAGGTCCAGTCGAAGCCGCAGCAGCGGCACCGCCGGCACCACCGCTGGAGCTGCCGTCTCCACCCACGACGCGCTGAAGGAGCAGATGACGCTGACCGGCCACACGCTGGAGCAGGTTGACCTCGAGCTTGCTCTTGAGGCTCTTTAGGGCCTTGACGGCCGAAGGATCGCCCGGCTGGTGGTACCTGAGGAAGGACTTGGAGCCCATGGCGTTGCTGCTCCTCGCTGCGATGCCAATGCCCGGCAGCTCGACGTGGTGGTGCGCATTGATCCACGGCCTCGATTTCAGCCACTCGCGCGTTGATCCCGGTGGCACGCTTCTCTCGGGATGGAGCAGCACCAGCTCCTTCCTTGCAGTCGTCTTGATGCCAAGCAGCATCCGTTCGTACTCGCCCATCGTCGGGTCATCGCCAAAGCCGACAAGGAGGACGCAGTCAGCCTGTCGGATACTCGTCTGGGTCCATGCCGAGCTGACGGCCGTGTCAACAACGTAGATGACGAGACGGTAGCGCTGCTCCTGGTCCGCCAGCCAGCCTGCGAGCTTTAGCTTGCCCATCCGGTTGAAGGCGTGGCGACCCAACACGCCCATGACCGTCCCCTGGAAGAGGAAGCACGTCGGTCCGCTGATGGTGTCTTCAAACGCCGACTGCAGCCGCTCGGCAAACTCGACGATGGGCACCTCGCGCGTCACGGGCACAATCGCCACCGTCTTCAGGTTGACGTTGTTGCGGCCCAGATCCGGAAGGCCCGGAACGGGAGGCGCAGCTCGAAGGAGCGACGAGCCGCCGTCGGCCGGAGAGGCATTGTGGCCTGAGCCGCCGCCTTCCTGGGCGTTGACTTCGTCTCGGACACGCTTGGCAATGATGCGGGACATTTGAATCGTGATCGCAGGGTGCCGCACCGAGATGGCATTGAAAAGCGTCATTGGCATCTTGGCCAACTCCGAATCTCGGATCGCGTGGAGCGTCTTGCGACGAGGCGAGCGTGTGATGACATCGAGCTCGCCCACGCTGTCACCTTGGCCGTATTCGCCAAGGACCTGGACGCCGTTATTGTCATCATGCTCGGCAATGGCTCGAAGACGGCCATTGATGACAATGTAAAAGCTGTCAGCTTCGTCTCCCTCTCGAAAGATGACGTGGCCTGCATTGACTTGCTGCCAGTCGAGCGCAGAGTCGATGTGGATGACGAGAGGCGAGAGGAGACTGAGCAGTCGCTTGCACAGAGTCAGGAGCACAATCGGACGGCGTTCCATGATGCGCTCAAGCGCCCGTGCCGGGAGAAAGCCCACATATGTGTCCGTCTTTGCGCGGATGTCGATGTAGCTCGCCGTGCCCAGCAGGCTCGAGAGATAACCAGCGATGCCGCCCCTGCCGACGGTAAAGAGCGGTTTGGGCTGGTGGAACTGGCTGTGCTCAGGGGTGCCTGCTGCAGCTGTACCGCGTCCCCTTGCGCCGTAACTCAGCTCGTCGTCGTCGTAGTCATCCACGTCTTCTTCTTCTCGATTCTGCCGGTCTCTTGTATTATTTTGGGTTTGGGTTGCTGTATAGGTAGTGGAAGAGGTGCCATCGAGGGCGTTACCAATGTATGCGGATTTTGCCGGCGTCGCCACGGCCGGCGTGGTCGCCGACGTTGAGTCACCTCGGCTTGGCCTGTTCGGTCGCGGGCCTTCTGCCTGGTTTGTGCGACTCTGCTGCTGCTGACGGCCATGGGAGGTAAAGTCCTTGACTCGAGTAGACGCTGGCGGGCCCTTTGAACCTGCACCGCGTCCGCTGCCCTCCTTTGCTTGCCCTCGACCACCGCGTCCTCGGCCCCCAAAGCCGGAGCCGCGACCACGGGACGGTTGCCGGCCGCGACCTTTTCGCGGCGTGCCGCCCTCATCGTCGGGCGGGACGACGACGTCGAGAAAGCCGTCAATGACGTAGAAGAGCCCCGCTTTGGAGTCGCCAGCACGGGCGAGGGTGCTTCCGGCTGGGAAGAAGCGGACTTCGACGTCATTGTCCAGGCCCTCTGCACCTGCCTTTGCCCCAAGCGCACCGCTGCTGGCGCCCATCGCAGCTCGTCCAAGACTGCTGGTCCCCAGCGCTCCACCAGCACCAAGGTAGGAAGAGGCAGCTCCACCGCCAAGCCCGCCGCCAATACCTCCGCCGCCGCCATTGGTTGCTCTGCCAAAGCCGCTCCCCGTAACGCTGCTCTCTGCATCGTCGTTGAAGCTGTTCATCATGGCTGCATCAAGCATGCTCAGGTTGCTGAACGCGGACTTGAAGACGCCGCCGCCACCCCTGTTCATGTCTTGGGGGTGGATAAAGGGGCTCTGCTGCATGCTGTTGAGCGGGCTGGGAGGTGCCTGGACCAGGCCAATACTCCTGGCGATGCATTGCATGACGGCCTCCTTGACATCAAAGTCGCCCAGCGAGCCCATGCTTCCAAAGACGTGTTTGGCATCGTCGTGTGCATGCTGCGACTGGGTCGTCGCGGCTGCTCCCGTCGGAGACGAGGCGCTGCCCGCCAGGAAGCTGGGCATCGTATTCATTGGTGGCGGCGGAGAGGAGATGAGACGCGAAAAGGGGGAGCCCGGCCTAGCATGATGCAGCGTATCGTCATTTCCCGTCATGCTCAGCAAATCGCCCGGGCCAACCGCTGTCCTCGCCGACGGCGTCCGGACTGGCAGGTCTGGATGGCCCCAGGGCGTCGAGGGTCGATGGACCGGTGCTGCCCTGGGATCGACGGCCGAAGGCGTAGAGAGGGACGATCGATTGTTGGAGCTCGGCTTGTGCTGCGCGTCTGACTGACGGGTCCCTGGCGATGGACCAAAGTAGCCATTCGCTTCTGTCGACCGCTGATGCTGATGCTGCTGCTGCTGCTGCTGCTGCTGAGAGTGAGGCTGAGGAGGTCTCAGTGAGGGTGACTTTGCCTTGGCCGGCTCAGGCAGGAACCGCTGCCTCAATCTCTCCATGCCTCCCTGCTCGTAAAAGGCCGAGGGTAGCGGAAAGCAGGCGAGCTCGTTGATGTGCTTCTCGGTCCTCATGACCTCCTTTGTCAGGCCGAGGTACTTGTGGGCCGTGTGAAAGGTGACGCGCGACAAGCGGGTGAGGATGACCTGGACAATGTGCGCCGCTGCATTTGGGTACTTTTTCGTCAGTCGCTTGAACGCCTCTGCCGGTATCACGGCCAGCGTCGTGTCGACAGTGGCCCGTCCCACGGTGCCGACGCCCTCGCGATGCAGCGTGTCGCTCGGCCGGCCGCCTGCAGTCGTGGAGCCCGCTCTGCCCCCTGCTCCTGCATACATGCCCGCGCCTACGCCCCCGGCACCTACTCCCGCGCCTCGGCCGCCCGCGGGCGTCGCCGAGAAGCTGCTGAGGATCGAGCCAGGCGTGTTGGGCCGGCCGTCGAAGGTCGTGGCCGTCGAATGAGTCCGACCGCGCATCGGAGGCGAGAGGGAGCCGCGAGGCCGGCCGTTGGGCGTATGCACTTGCGACTGCACCTGCGCCTGCGACTGCGGCTGGTGCGAGGGCGAAAAGTAAGGAAAGGGCGCCGCAGCCTGGGCGGGGGGAAGGACCTCGCTCAGAGGTGTGTCCGCATCGAGGAGCGAGGCGACCGAGGGGTTGGTTGCTGACTCTGCAAGTGCGACTTGGGCAGGCGACTGGCCCGTCGAGCGCGGCTGGTCCTCGCTCGACTCCCCTGGCGCATCCTGGTGGATCGTGTTGCCGTCGTCCGTCGAAGAAGAGGTGGCTAGACGCTGGTGGTGCCACCCATCAGAGGAGAGTCGCTCGACGGCACCCATGGGCCCGACAGAGCTGGGAATGTTGCGCAGCGTGGCGGCATCGAGCTGCAGCTGACTCGAGCCTGGACGCTGAGGCGGTGTGGGAAGGGCTGCGGTATGGCCCTCGTCGGAGCGACCGACCCTGTTCCTCTGCCTGAGAGGACCTCCTGCCGATGAGGAGCCATGCGCCTGTCCCGGTGGCTGCTGCCGTTGCTGCTGCTGCTGCTGCTGCTGCTGCTGCTGCTGTTGCTGGTCCTCATCGCCAAAGCCCAGCTTGACGTCCTCGGTAAACAAACTGAGGATGGTGAAGAGGCTGCTCAGCGTCCCGCCGCTCTCGACCTCGTTGAGCAGCTGGTAGCCACTCGGCTCGTCGTCATCCTGCGATTCTTCCTCTCCGGCAGCGTGCATCGGCATCCCATCGGGACCCGTGGGCAGGGGCGCATACACCTGGACATGGCCATCAATGACAATGTAGAAGGAAAAGTCGGCATCGAGAGAGATGCTGTCGCCAGCGACGAGCCTGCGCGTCTGCAAGTGGCGGGCAAGCTCGTGAAAGACCTTTGCGAGAAGGAAGAGTACAGGACATTCGGCTTCAGTGCACTGGGTTCGTCTAGGGGCTGGCTGTGTGGTAGACTCACTGGCTTCTCGAGGAACCCAAAGATGCGAATCGCTTGGAGAAACTCGTCGAGGTAGTTGTGAAAATTGCTCCTCTCTGCATCTTCGCCCGACGCTGCCACATCGGGATGGAGGTTGAAGTTCTCATCTCGCGTCAGAGGAACCTCTCGAAGTCGCTCGTACCGATTCAGATATCTGTACCTGAGCCAGACGAAGCCGGCAATGAGCGAGACAACAAAGAGGAGAAAGAGCGAGGGGAAGTTGAGCTGGAGAGTAAAGGAGTAGTGAAGCACAGTGTAGATGAGCGAAGGCACGGTGACGGAGGAGAAGCGGACCAAGGCAGCAACAAGGTGCAAGGTTGCGACGACGACCTGACGAAGGCCATCGAGAAGGCTAGCCAACGGATTCCGCGTCACCCCAGCGCTGGCCCCTTGCCTCTCCAGCAGCGCCGACGAGGCAGCAGCAGCTGCTGCATTGAGGCTTGTCGCCGCAGCCGAGGGTGGAGACCCGTCCATCAGTGGGACCTCGAGACGCCAGTGAGGTTTCGACGTCAGCGGTGCGCTCGAGCTTTCTTTTTCTCGCTCACTCTCTGCGGAACAGAAGACCAAAAATTGGATAAAATTGGTTGTGATCTAATCGCAACGACAGACGTCAGACCCCACGCGCCACGTGTGGGTTGACCGCCGTCCTCATCATCATCATCACCAAGCCTCTTCAGCTTCCCAATCCTCCCTTCTCTTTACCTCATGGCATTGGGTGGACCTGTAGGCAAGCAACTTAAAGCCCTATTCTGAAAAGATTTTAAACCGTGTGGGATAGCCCAGAAGATATCCTCCGATCCAACGACCTGCGTTTGACGAGAGGCAAGGTTGAAGTGAGCGACGACTCGGTATATGTCTGTTTCGTCCGATGAGACTTACCGAAGATGATGTTGACCCAGCGTCCGAGTCCTAGGGGTACATCGGCCAGTATGACATCGGCATCGTCAAGGAGACGGAGCATTTGAAACGGATTCGGCCCTGACTTCTGCATGACTTGAGAAGACAGGTAGCCATAGAAGCTAGTGTAAGGAAGACGTCAGCATCTCTCTTTTCTCGTCGTCTCGGCTCAGCCGTCTGATTCAGTGGCGGGACTCACTTGCGCACAAAGTCTTCATCGAAGCTGCCGTGGCGACTACTAAGCGAGAGTGCAGAGGAGAACGAATGACGCAATGAACTTACCCGGCATTCGGTCCGCCGCGAACAGTGATGTTGACGATGAGATCCTCGCCCGTTTCTGGATCGGACCAAAACTGGTAAGGTGGATTCAGAATTCTCGGAGAATCAGCCTACGCTTTGCCCTACATCCGACCAAAAGTCTGTACCCACGGTATGAGGACGGTGAGGAGGTATGCTTGTCTTCTGGCCAGCAAGGAGCTTTCCCTCTTTGCCATCGATCAGATAGCACAGCGTACCGCTCTGCACATCGAATGTCTCCGTCTGGTAGAGGTGGGTGTGGTAGGGCGGCGTGGCTGTCGACTTTCTTCCCATACCCGAGTGAGGCGACTTGGCCTTGAAAATCTGACCACTCGTGAAAGAGTCGCCGTCTGACGATACCTTCCATGCGACAAGGTCGCCATTGAAGAAGTGCCAACGGCCCTCGTTGTCGATGTGCGGCCGCTGCAGCGGGGGCATTGTGTTTGGTGTGCTTCGCTGATCAGTGGAGAAGTTGGGCGACGCTGCTATTTCCGACTTGGTCCTTTTTCAATATTGTACAAGCTAGTACTGTACTGTTCAGTACAGTAAGATAAGACTAAGATCCCGGAGAAAGCAAAAAAGGCCGGGAAAACCCATTTTGCTGTCACGGTGTTTGGTCGGTCTTCCGTGGGACTGGAAAGATGAGCGATAAGCGAATATCCGTCCACGACGAAAGCACGAACACCAAGACAGGAGAAGCAAGAACACAGCGCCGAACATGAAAGTTTGCATCGTTGGGGCAGGAATCAGCGGCCTGACGAGCGCAAAGATCTTGCGCGAGCTGGGTCACGATGTCGTCGTCTTCGAAAAGGGATCTGACATCGGCGGCGTGTGGGGCGCCTCGAAGCGGTACCCAGGGCTGGCCACCCAGAACACCAAGGATACGTACTGCCTCAGTGACATGCCTATGCCCAAAAGCTACCCTGAGTGGCCGGCAGGTGTTCAGGTGCAAGCGTACCTCGAAGCCTACGCGGGCAAGCACAATCTTCACGAGGCTATTCACCTCGACTGCGAAGTCATCGAGATGAAGAGACCAGCTGGCAGCAAACGTGGGTGGCTCATAAAGACGGGCGACGGCAACGAGACAAAGGCGGATCACGTTGTCATCTGCAACGGAATTTTCAGCGACGGTGCCATTCCGGACTACGACGGTACGGCAGACTTCAAGGCCAAGGGGGGCAAGGTCTTGCATACGTCGCAGATTGGCGACTTGGACCAGGTCAAGGGCAAAGCTGTTATCGTAGTTGGGTACGGGAAGTCGGCCTGTGACTTGGCACATGCCGTTTCCGAACCTGGAGGTGCTTCGCAAACGACCGTCGTGGCGCGCCGCCTAATTTGGAAGTTGCCCCGTCGGATCCGAGGCTTGGGCTACAAGTGGCTTCTGCTCACCCGCTTCGGTGAGGCCCTCTTCGAGTACATCAACCCGTCGAGCTTCATCGAACGCTTCTTGCACCACAACCGTGTCGGGCGAGGAATGCGCAACGCCATCGTCGGTGCCTTGGGCTATGTTGTAAAGGGCCAGCTTCGGCTCGAAACGCTGGGTCTACTGCCTGAGGGCGCATTCGACACAATCGCTAGGAGTACCATCAGCTTGAGCACAGAGGGCTTCTACGACAAGGTGGCTAGGAAGCAGATTGACGTTCGCAAAGACGTACGCATCACACGCGTGGGCACAAGCGACAAGAGTGACAAGCAGCAGCAGCAGCTCGGCGCCACGCTGAGCGATGGTTCCTTTGTACCTGGAGATATCATCGCTTGCGGTACCGGATTCCGACAGCAGACTCCAGCGTTCCTCCCTGAGAAGGACCAGGCAACTTTAATAGACGAAAAGAGCCACTGGCTCCTCTACCGCCATATCAAGCCTCTGTACGTCGAAGACCTCACGTTCAACGGGTACAACTCCAGCCTGTTCTGCCCTACGAGCTCGGAATCAGCCGCCCTTTGGATCGGTGCCTACCTGTCCAAGGGCGACGCAATGTTGCCAAAGCTTGAAGAGCAGGTTCGAGCAACCAAGGAGAAGCTGGCCTGGCTCGACAAACGATCGATGGGCAAACACGCCAGCGGCACCAATCTTGTCCCCTTTTCGCTTCACTCCATCGACGATACCCTCAACGACATCGGCCTCAACATTGGGCCATTTGCCAGACTTAAGCAGTGGCTCCTCCCCGTCGATCCAACGGCGTACCGACACTTGCCGTCCCGGCTCAAAAGCAAGCTGTCTCAAGCATGACCAGAATCCATGTCACTATAGGTCTTTCTCGAAATATCTTCTTGTCTGCTTGCTTTTGCTAGCCCCCTTTTCAACAGAAAACCCCGTCGAGCACAGTATAAAGTGCGAGCCGAAACTAGCGCTTGCTGCCGGAGCTCTCTATTGCCCACATAGCGCTCCGTTCATGCGTTGCACTCCATTCATGCGCCGCGCCCCATTCATGCGTCCCATCGACAAGAAAAGTCTGCGTCGAGTGAGAGTGCTATGATCTTTGTCACCATATAGTAAGTCGCCATGAAGACATCCGAGGCCATAAGGTGGAAGAAGCGAGGCGAATCCGAATGGGTACGGCGCTGCACAGGCTTGGAGAGGTTTCTCTGGCTTTCTGAACAACGCTTCCACGAGGCTAAGTGAGTTTGAATTTCGGAAGATCCTCTTAAGAAGCCCTTCGCTGAGGAGGTGGGCCGGCATAAACCAGCATCCTGCTCAATGTCCTTGTGAGACACAAGACTGAGGAAGCTCCGCGTGTCAATGATCGGCTCAGAGCGGCATGGCTAGCACTGTACATGCAAGTGCCGAGTCTGAGCACAACGCTCAACAAGAATGATGACAATGTAATTGAGGCCAAGTACCGACAGCTAGTTCGACCGGACGAGATCGAACACTGGCTCTCTGGCACCTTCCGGACCCATCCCGCCCTGCAGTGCACCACCGAAGATGATGCGTGGGCTCAGCTGGACTTGCTCAGGGAAGAAATTGCCAATGAAGGCATCAGCCGAGCCGAAGACAAGGGCCACGTCGGCTTCATCGATGTCGTTCCGTGCGCAAAGGACCTTACCGGCCTTATCTTCCGTCTTGATCATGGCGCCTTTGATGGAACGGGCTCCTTCATGCTCGTCGATGCCCTCCTCAAGCACTACATAAAGCAGACGCGCGTGAACCTGAAGGCGAGCAATGGTGTAATCGGGAAACCGTTGCCCGCGCCATCGCTTCTCTCTTATGTCAATGAGAGCATATTGGATGCTGACAACTCCAAGACGCTGCAAAGCCTATTCGAATCAAGGCCAGCCCAGGAACAGGTAGGTGCTGCGGCCCTTTATCATCACTCCTCGCCCATGTGAAAGTCACTGACAACTTGGTCCATAGCTGAACCATCTTCTCTCGCCCATTGAGCTTCTGAAACATGCGACCAAGGTGACTTCGAAGCGCTTGACATTCAGCCAGGAAGAGACGTCAAAGCTGCTGCAGCGGGCAAGAGAACATCAAGTCTCCATATCGCAGATCATCGTTGCCACACACCTCGTGCCTGTGTTGAAACGATACCCCATTCAAGAAGACGCAGCGGAGAAAGGCAAGACACGAATTCAGTTTACCTCGCCCATCAATGTTCGGCCATTACTCTCTGCCGGCGGCAAAAACGAGGCGGCGAAGAGCAGCTTCGGCAGCGAAGTCGTCCTCCTAGACTATCATGTAGCCATCTCGGACATCACCAAGAGCCTGTGTGGCGGCCACAGGGTACAAAGGAAAGAAGACATCGAGTGCCTCCTTCGCCTGGCTCACCAGGTAGATCAACAAAATAAGGATCTACCCCGAACATTCGAGAGCGCTATGAGCGTCTTTAACAGCCTCGGCGAAAACATTCCTGAGCCAAAAATAGGTGAACCGGCTACGGACATGTTGAATCCAGTGAGTGAGGAAAGGCAACAGCTACACTCGCAAAGAAAGGGACGAAAGAAATAATGAGGAGATTCACTGATCATGCACCCCTACAGTTCATTGTTTCCGATGGCCTTCTGGAACGCTTCGTCTCCCGGCAATACAGCGACGCTCTTGAGGTGTTGGGTGCGCATACAATTGTCAATTTGCAGCAGGCCTTCATCGGCCTGAGGAGCATTACGTTCCGCGATCGTCTCACCCTCACCGCAAATTACAATGAGGAAGTCTGGAAAGGTGTCGACCTGAGTACATTTCTGGACGACTGGGCGGACGCGCTTCGAGCTGTTCTGCTCACATGATAAGATACCCTCTGAAAAAACGTGTGGCTTTGTGTCTCATTGGGCCGAGTGGCTTTCAATACAATATACGATGTTGCTTAGCATGGCGTGACCTTTAACCCTTCAAAATCGACGATATGGACTTCACTACCGCGGAAACATAACTCAACAACTGTGTAAATATGCGGAATGCCGAAAAGAGGCAAGATGAGAGGGCACGCTACCTAGTGGTGACCGACGTCCAAGGATGTATGCCGGGCGCCATCGAAGAACCTAGTAAATCGGTCCAATTTTCCATGCCCGTCGTCAACGTGGAGGAAACAGGAAGATGAGGGACGGTGGGGGAGACTGAGGTGTCGATGAGAAGGCCTGCACTCGCCAAAAGTAGCGATGTATGGTTGGAGGCCGTGTAATTCTGCATATTTACTTTCAATGGGGCCGACACGGCGAGGGTTGAAGAACCGGAGACTGAAGGCACAGTGGGAGGCGACGTCGAAGAAGAGGAGCGCCGGAGCGGCGCCGTGTCTCCCGGCGATTCTGTCGATGTCTGATTTGACGCGATCGATTGAGACGGTTTCAGCGACGAATCAAAGGCCGTGTCGACGGCGGCGGCGAACGGATACTGCATGGAAGATGGTGGTGGCCATTGAGTACGAGGCTTGACGAGATACTGCTCCAATGATTCAACAGAATCCAGCAACCGGTCAAGGCGAGCCTCGAGCCTGTCAAGCTTCGCTTCGATGTTAACCGCCCACGCTTGTTCGCCACTTGGCAACGTCGTTTGCACAGATTGCGGCGGGGGCCGGGGAGGAGGTGGCATGCTGGAGGAGGACGCCGACGCCCTGTCCACGGCCGCGTATGAAAGAGACCTTGCCTCATCCTTCGCCTCGTCCACTCCATCCTGTCTTCGGGTCCAGAACGCGTCTGAGACATCATTGTCACTGCGTTCTAGAGGAATGGAGAGATCACCGTCCGAAAGAGCAGCATTCTCGAGTCGTTGCGTCGAGGACTTCAAAGAAAGATTGTTGTACGAGGACCTCGACAAGGTAGCAGCGGCTGATTGCGATGACGTCGAGATCGAAGACGAGGTGGGGAAAGACGTGGAAACGGTGCACGAACCTTGCTCTCCTCGAAGGCAGCACTGCAGGCATGGGATGACACGATCACACTTGACCTTCCTTTGCCTGCAATTGAAGCAGGACTTGGCGACTCGACGTCGCCTTCTCTTCACCTTTGCCTCCTCGTCGCCGGTCCTTATTGCTGCCTCTGTCTCTGTTGACGATGAGGTCGCTACGGTTGCGGATCTCTTCCGGTTCGACGCGCCGGCTGCAGGCGTAGGTGCTGGCGGTACTTGGGTGATGGCCGACATGTTCACAGGGAGCGGGGTGCGTGGTGGAGAGAAGGAAGATGAAAAGAGGGATGGGACGACTCTCAGCATATAAGTCGTATGTTGGGTGCTTTTGAAAGAGCTTCGGGAGCGAGCTTTACAAATGCGGATCAATACCTTCGACCCTTATCTTGCTTCTGTTGCCCAAAAAGCCCCCACGTCCAAAACTTTGATGCTGCCCCTCGCGACCTTACGGACAGATCCCCTTACAAGTACTAGTGTAAGCTAGGGTGGGTTATTGCTCGAGCTGCTTGTTAGTCTAAACGTTGCTTTGGGAGCGTAGAACGTCTCTCGTCGTGCCACAATACACACCCGGGCATTCCTGCCGCCATAGCACCGCTGCGAACGCGTCTGCGGGACTAGGAACCTCTGAAATGAGCTTATCGCGCTACTACACTTCTCTTTACAGGTAGCTACTCTGCATGTAAAGCGAGCTAGAATCGGCCAGATTTTATTGACGATTTCAATCTCCTTCCAGCTTTCATGCGTGCCCGTTTCTTCGAAGGGCACTCTGACAGTAGGTAATTTGACTGGAGCAAAAGTGCACGACTGCTTTACAAGCACACATCTTGCTCGACCCAGAAGAGCAGTGTTCAATCTTTCCTTCCCACGGCCCTTGTGCCTCTTGCGGGCGAGACTTGCAACCCGGAGTGTCAAACCAGTACCGCTGCCCGGGTCGCGGCCGAATTAAATCCTAGATGTGAAGGCAGCCTAAGCAAGCTCGGCGGAATTAGGCACGGATGAACATGCTAGAAACCGAGTGCCTGCTGTCCAGACCTGTGTCGCTCTGTCAAGGCGTGCGTGATATGCACAGTGGCCAAAGCAAGCCATAAAGTTCGGTGGTATTTGTCAGGGGAATCGCGGCTCTTCCGAGGGACATCAGTGAGAAGTGACTCAGCAAGAGCGCCCCAGGGGCGACGATCCCTGACGGTTCGCCGTCGGAGTCGCTTTGTTCCCGCTCTGTCATGCTTGACCAGATTATCGAGACAACTTGTGGCACTGAGCAGATTTGGACAGATCAGCTGCCTTTGCCACTAATTCGCGATTAACCACGCTGCATCATGGGCTCCGCCTCTCGATATGCAGTCTTACCGACGACACGGCCGGAACCGATGAACGGGACAACAAAAGTTGAAGTGGGCCCAAAGCTCACCTATCTAGGAAGATGTATGCAGAGGGCTACATGATGTCGGAGAAGCAGCGACCATTGGAGGGTTAGAGGAGTAAAGTCCTTAGCGCATTGGCCTTGCTTTTGAGCGCATTTAGAGTGTGCTACAATCTTGCGGCCCCCAAAACTCGCACGGGCCCACCCCAGTATTTCCTCTTCCATCCCAGCATGAGATTGTCCTCCTTCACCTTCATTCGACTACGCACACGCAGAGCAAGGGACAAGAAGATATTGCACGTGCTCACTAGGGACAAGCCACGGCTGCCGTCCAAAGTGATGTTGCTGATCGGACAAGTTCATTCAAGTAAGCGATGTATACACATTCAGTTCTCCGGCACGTCTTCTTCGGAACATAGGTAGATTCGAGAGGTATAAAGGCACATAGGATAAGAGATCAAAACGAGCCAGCGAATCGCTTCAATAAAGACACAGGTGGGCAGAGACTGGGATGAAAGGAGGGAAAGGAGGGAGAGGACAGGAAATTTAGACTGCAATCTTGCTCTTGATGGTGCCAAACAACGATCGCTTCTTCGGGGGCGTAGCTGGATCCTTTGTCGTTTTTCGGTAATCAGTTGTGCTCTTCTTGGTGCCAGTGTCGCGGCTCTGCTTGGAAGGCAGAGGCTGCGTGCTGGTCTCGTCGTTGGCATTCACGGACGTTCTGTTGTCAGAAGGCACCAAAGTTGTACCACTCGTCTTGTCGCTTGTCGCCTGATTCTCACTTGCAGCGGGTGCGGCAACATTGGCGGTCTCAGTAGCGGCAGCAGCAGGGGCAGCACCATCAAAGACCAGCTGTCCATCCTTGAAACCAGTAGGCCTGAATCATGAGGTATTGGTTAGTCAAGAAATCGAAACAAGTGCAGTATCTCACGCAGAGGTACCCACCGGGGCGGCAAATCGTCGCAGGTGTCCCACCGTCCCCACGATCCGCCTTTGATCATCTCGACGGTGTGCTTCTCGGCCCACTCGACGGACGCGCCAGCCTCAATCTCTTGGAGCTCACGCACGAGCGTCTTCTTGCATTGGCGCTGGCCGACAATCTGACGGACCTTGTCACCGTCTTTGAGAATGTACTCCCACCTGACAATGCCAGGGTTGCCAGGTGGCAGATCACCGTTGCGGTGGTGTACTGTCTTACCCCTCCAGTAGGGCTCGAAGTCGAACTGCGAGAGGCGGAGGCGCTTTGCGAGAATCTTGCGTTGCTCATCACCCTCCTTGCCTTTCGAGTCAACCCAGCGGCGGGTCACTTTCTCGAATTCATCGGACAGCTTCCGGTGGTGCGCCCAACGTGCGTCACGTTCCGCCTTGTTCTTCTGCAAATCATTTTCGCCCTCTTCAGGTCCAACCCACGTGAACTTCATGTCGACACTGTGGTGATTGTGCTTCATCAGAGGACTATCACAAGATACGTCGCAATCGTCATCACTCACTCTCCACCGACAAATTCCAAGAGGCGGTCCTCAGGAATATTTTCTTTGAGGTCCTCGGTCGTGTTTGTAAAGACGACCTTGGAGCGAACGACGGGATCGAGCAAGCCCTTGACCAGTCCCCAGGCTTGCTTGAGAATCCAGGGGGCGTTGTGAAGGTAGAGGACTGCGAGACACTCGGGGAAGTAGGACTGCAGGCATTGCAGCACGTAGCTGCGGTGATGTGAAGAGAAGGTGCAATCAGACTTAGAAGGATCTCTGCCTGATCTTTTCACTGCCTACACTCACAGGAAGTTCGGCATGTCAAGATTTGAAGGTCCAAAACCAGTGCAGTCAAAGAGAATGACCATCTTGTCGTTGGGTCTAACAAAAAACAGGACAGCAAGGATCAGCCAATTGTCACGAAGCGTTTCGAACTATTTCCGCGGGGGCTTACTCCTCCCGGTGGGAACTCACGGGACAAATAGGAGACGCCAGCTCTCCATCTGGGTGATGATGAATTTCTTCATCGACGGAGACGGCTGTCCCCAGATGAGATGCTTCTTGAAGTGCACATAGCACACTGGCTGGTCATAGACGTTGCAGCCCTTGGCATAGACCTTACCAGTCGCTTGTTGATCGATGTACTTGGGAATTTCTTTCCCGTTGACCAGGTCACCGTTCTCACTCATCTTGTCGACGCCCGTGTCCAGACGCCAACGAAGAGTTGATGCCATCATGGCCGTGGCACGGTCCACGTCCCACTTGCGTGCGCGAAGGAAGCGAAGCATCGTGGTATCTGGGTGATCCTGCTTGCAAAGGCTCCAGAAAGTGTTGCGGAGCGCTTCCGGACCATAGGTTTTAAGAAGCTTGTCCATGTTGGCCTCTTCAGCACGCTTCTGAGCAACGTCCTTAGCGCTGTCGTCTTGCTCGATGCCGCTGTTCTTGACGGCCGACTTGGCGTTCAATCGCTTCTTGACGGCGCCGTCGTCCTGGCCCCAATCCTCGACCTCACCCGTATTTTCCATTTTGGTTCCAGTGGCCTTGTCACAGACCTTGAAGAAACTATCCCAGAGCAGGCGAAGCTTATCCTGATGGTCCGCCGTCAGGTTACCGACGTAGCCTTCAGGCATCCTCATCGTGCCTCCCTCTTCAGGGATACATCAGCTTTTGATCTTTGACCTAACCCCTAACCCAAAGTCAAGTTGCTCCTCACCAATCTCTTCCCAGCCATCGTTTGCACTCGACATTCTCGAAATGGTGTGTTGCTCTTGGGGAAAATATGCTGTAGATCAATCCTCTCTAGGATTCGCAGAAGTGTTCAGAAAGTGGGAATCTCTCTACAGTGTATGAGATCGCCAATCTTTTTAAAGTCTCGCTCGGTGCTGCTTCATTCCGCACCCGAAAGCGATGCGAAATAGACACGATAGACGGAAACTGTGCAGTAGGAGCGAAGCGGTAGACAATTGAGCCAAAATCCGGAGTACGTACGAACCGGACCATTACCGTGTAGACAAACGCAGCTATCATCATCTCAAGAGCTCCATCCGACTTCTTGATGTGCCTCTTGTGATCGAGAACGGTGAATTCATTGTCTCGATGCGGGGTATAGGGTACAGACTTAGTGTCCAAGGAGGCTAAGCCCCGCACCTGTCGGAAGCTTGCCCGTATCCATTTTCGGATTGTTGACTTGGAAGCAGCATGATGGATTGCCTCGAAGGTTGTAGTGCACTTCGTTAAATTCATCGGGAAGAATTAGCGCGCTTCGCCCGGCGCGGGTCTAGTGCGAGCACACGTCAGATTTGTGGCGACCCGGTTCTTCGCTGAACCGGGTCTATGTGTGCTTCTCCACAGTCAGCCTGATTTAGACTAATCTCGGAGACAATGTAGGCGGGGGAGAGCTGACATGCTCTTGCCGTTGACGGACCCTGCTCTACCAACCGGCCGCGTGCATCGAAAAGATCGAGCAGCACACGGAAAGATATATGGATACACTCTTCTCTTCTCCACCACCATCTTCGCCACATCGCCTCTAGCCGTCTGAAGATTGACCATTGCCATGAAGCAAACAGCACTTTCCGTGTCCGTGGAGGACCTGAAGGTACCGTACAATCAGCTCGTAACGATCGCCATTCCTTCAGCTTTTGCGCTCCTCTTTCACCTTGCGGTTCAATACAGGGAGCCGTATTCGCACCACTTCCTTATAGGCCTAGCTAGCACTCTCACGGCCTTGACGGTGGTGCTGCACGATGAATGGAAGATCACGCATAGCGCCGCCTTTTCGGTCGCCCTTTCCATGTTTGGGGTCTTCACGGTGACAATTTTCACCTCAATGGCGATCTATCGAGTATTCTTCCACCCACTGCGCAATATTCCAGGCTTGCTCTCTTGCAAGCTCTCGATGTGGTCCTGGCCAATCACCGACTGGTTTGGCACGAGACAGTACAAAATCCAGGACATGCACAAGAACCTCGGAGACGTTGTCCGCATCGGGCCAAGGGAAGTCTCGTGCTCCGATCCCAGCGCGCTCACTGCTATCTATGGTCCCACTGGTGCCGGTGCGAAAACCGTTCGTGGTCCTTGGTATGGTGGTGAGTCGGCTTTTGTACTGTTGCCTCGCGTTTGCTTTCGACTCAAACCCATCGTTTCATAGCCCAGAGCATGATCCCCCATGTTCACAGTCTTCAAAACGAACCCACTCTTCCCGAGCACAACCGTCGTCGCCGCGACTGGGACCCTGCATTCTCGACTAAGGCGTTGTCCGGCTACCACGAGAATATCTATCGGAACGCCGACATGCTTCTGGACCAAATCGAGAAGCTGTCGAAAAAGGGTCCTTTCGACCTCAAAGAGAGTCTTCTTTGCTTTGGCTTCGACATGATGGGCGAGCTCGGATTTGCTAGGTCATTTGGTACTCTCAAGGACGGCAAGACATCGCACGTCGTCCATCTCGTCGAACTGGGCGTGCGTGCTATCAACACCATCGGAAATGTGCCTTACCTGGCCCACATCATGCGATTCCTCCCAAGCCCAATTCAGGCCTTTGAGTCCTGGCTCGAGGCAGCCGTGAAGTGGCGTATGAGCAAGCAGGGCGAGCGTGAATTCGTCGACGCCGACATCTTCGCTTTTTTGCTGGGCGAGGAAGGCAAGCAGCGCCGAAAGCTGGACAAGCGCGAGCTCCAACAGGACTGCATGCTCGTCGTCGTTGCCGGATCTGACACCACCTCTAACGCCCTTGCTTTCTGCCTCTACGAACTGGCGAGGCAGCCCCGTCTTGTCGAGATGATCCGTGAAGAGCTCGAGGTGCACTTCCCGAATGGCGCGAAGCCAGAGAACTTCGATGTGCTACGAGACGATGCGCCGTTGCTCAATGCATGTCTCCACGAGGTGCTGCGTCTGTGGCCACCGTGAGTCCCCTTTTCCTTCTCTTACACCTGCGTCTCTCACACTGACCCTTTTCTGTCACTCAGTGTCCCATCCGGTCTCCAACGTACGACCACGACGGAGATGACGCTGCCCAACGGTAACTCGAGCGTGGTCGTCCCCCCCAACACCGTGGTCTCCACCCACACGTGGACGATGCACCGTGATCCTCGCAACTTCCACAAGCCTAACAATTTCCTCCCTGAGCGATGGATCAACGAGCCAAAGAGCAAGCGCGAGGTGCACAACGCCAAGGCATGGTCGCCCTTCGGTTTCGGTACGACGAGCTGCATCGGCAAGAACCTAGCCTACATGGAAATGAGACTCGTTCTCGCGCAGTTCATCATGCGTTTCGACTTTACCATGGAGCCGGCCGATGCACAAGACTTCAGGGACTCGATTCGGGACCAATTTGTCTCTGCTGCTGGCCAGATGATCTGCAGCGTATCGCCAAGGCACCAATGGTAAGCTCTCAGTAGATCAGTACATTCCCTTAAGCGCAGGATTTTTTCTTCTTGTCACCTGTCCATCCATTATTCTCGAATTCCAATGCAGTGATGAAGGCCATGAGCGACTGTTCATGAATGGAGCAAAGTCGCATGTGAAATGACATTGCTCTCGGCAGAAGTGAAAGCTCAATCATCCTCTACATCGGCATCTGCCTCGCTGTCGACTTCTTGGACATCATCTAGTGCTCTCAGAGCTTTGCCGTCCACCTCGCCTCTATCTCTATCTCTAATAGTCTGGTCACCGAAAATTGCGTCTTCTTGCTCCGTGTCATCCTCACCAAACTCGGACATAGCATCTGCCAAGATATAGCCTTCGGCTTCGCTCAGCTCGCTCTCTTCCGTCAGACCTGCCCAGTCGCTCGCCTCGCTCCCGAGATCTGTTCCCACATCCGTTGCTGGTGGTGTGTCGATATCTGAGGTACCATTAGCTCGGCGTGCTGGTACTTTCGGAGGACGCGGGTGCAGAATCCATGTCTGTCGGGTCGACGAGGGCACGTCTTTGCTGAATGAAGGACAGCCCAGCACCCGTGCAAGACAGTGGATTGCTAGACGCATATACGGTTCCCGGATAGTCCACACGAGGCTATGGGGATGTCGGGCCTCCTCTTTCAAGAGCGGCTCGCCATCTTGGGTTTCAAAGAGTACCCTTTTGACGACGCGAGTCGGGCTTCGAAAGACGACCTGGTCCATCCATGTCCTAATCTCTGCCTCAGCAATCCGCACACACCTCTGCGGCGGCGTTAGGGTCTCGTCAATGGGCACGAGTTCTATCCGAGGGTCAACGCGGACGCCGATTTGGTGATTTAGGAAGAAGCTAGCCTCTGATAGTCGGAGATTGAAGCGCCCATTGGCCTGGGTGTCTACGGTCGGCCGAGGACTACCTGGCGTCGCCGTCAATCTCGAGAGGTGCGGAGGGAGCGGAAAGGTAGGTATCCGTGCGTTTGGGTGCGAGAGGGAATAATCGCGGGCAGTTGGCCTCGTTGCGTGGGGATTCGAAGTCAGTCGGGCTTGAACTCTTAAATGTCAGCTGGCGGCATCGAGCGGTCGCAAAGGGTGATAACCGGATTCACCATTTTCGCTTCTTCTCTGCTTTCTCTTTCCCACGCTCCTCGAGCTTGCGACCCCAGCAGCACCATGTCCACGTCCAGATCCAGACGCAGATGAGTCAAGGAAGAACGTGCTCCCGGATCCCGATACCCCACCACCTAGCGCAGTTTGCTTCCTAGGAGCCGCGTAGCTCGCACCATCGTTCAAAGCTGAAGGTCCTACTCCGAGGACAGCTGTCTCTCCGCGAGCCTCCAATGTTGACGGCACTGTTGACATCGCTCTCTTGATATGATACCAGGGTTCCTATTTGTAACGAGGAACTCTCTCGTCACCGCTGGATCTTGGGTGATCGACGGCTCCTGCTAATCTGGCTGATCTGCACGACTCGAGTCAGCACGGACCCTCGTCAAGTTATGCCGGAATCCGATTTGTCATCTAAATTCAGACATGACAGAGACAGATTCATGATGACAAGTTTCTTTTTTCTCGCGTGGCTGCTGCGGCGGACTCGAGTCGGCCGATGCATTCTACGGGCTGCGACTTCAACATCGGAACCAGCCAAGGCAACTAGAATCCTCTGTCAAGACTCACCGACAAACCTCCTTCGCTTGCCCTTCGACCCGTCAACATGGCCCCCAAGGTTCGCGCCGCCGCTCAAGAGAGCACCTCGCTCGGTCCCGATGTTGCAGAGGGCCAGCAAGTCTTTGTGAGTGTCTTTGGCACGAGTTCGACGTTGGGATCAGTAGCACCGGAGCAGAAGAAGTGTTTGGCGAGGACGGGTTGGATGAAGATGCAGAAGACCGGTATCGAGGGGATGAGACGTTCGCGCGAAGAGTGCGAGGCTTTGCTTGCCGGGCTGGCTGGTTGCGATGGAAGCGAAGATGAATGCGCATGGAGAGGAGGAGGCCTCGAAATATCTGAAGATGGATGCATGGACTTTCGAGTAACAAGCATCGATGGTGCGGCTGGAGGCGCCTAGGGACCACTACGAGTTGGTAGGAAAGTGAGGCAAGCAGACAGGAGGAACGGGCGATCACCTAACAGCTGATCAGCTTGTCCTCTTGGGTGGCTTGTACCGGAAGGGAATTGCGGATCAGACCATGCGAGAAATGAAGAAAGACGGAAAGAAAGAACATTGATGGGGAAGACGAGATGCTGACTCTGCCCTGCGTCCTTGCTTCCAGGGTGTCGCCCACATCTTTGCCTCGTTCAACGACACCTTTGTCCACATCACCGATCTCACCGGAAAGGAGACGATCAGCCGAGTTACTGGTACGTTTGACATCCTCGAAAGCACAACTCTTTTGCTGATGCTGAATTATTTGTTCTTCAATAGGCGGCATGATGGTCAAGGCTGACCGAGACGAGTCGTCGCCCTACGCTGCCATGATGGCTGCCCAGGCCACGGCTGCCAGGTGCAAGGAGGTCGGCATCACTGCTCTCCACATCCGGCTTCGTGCTACCGGCGGTACTGGCTCCAAGACCCCTGGTCCCGGCGCTCAGTCTGCTCTCCGCGCCCTCGCTCGTGCTGGTCTTCGCATTGGCCGCATCGAGGACGTGACCAAGGTTCCTTCGGACTCGACTCGCAGGAAGGGCGGTCGCCGTGGTCGCCGTCTCTGAGCTGGTGGAGAAGTTTTCGCAAGCATATCTCCCCCTTCTCTCCTCTTTTTCTTTTCTCTCTGTTCTGTACGATTGCGCGGTGTGGCTGGGAGGGGGTGGACAGCAGCACAACAGTGGGGATTTGCTGCACCACTGTACTGTTTCGTTTAGTGACGGCAGCGGTTCACTGGAGGGACAGAGAGTGTTCGACTCTCTGGTCGCCTTGAAAATCAACTACAAGGTCTTGTGCTAGAACGGCCGGATCACACACAAACTCATGTTCACATACTACTACGCACGACCATCATCCAATGAATCATCTCAAGCCTATCTCGTCTGTTATCCTGGTTGCCCTTACCATGCCGCGGTTGCTTGCCAAGAGGTCGCTTTTCCCATGTGTCTTGTCTTCTGTCCTCTTTTCTTCCTTCCCCCCCTTTTTCCTTTTTTTTTTTTTTTTTTTTTTTTTTTTTTTTTTTTTTCCTCTTCCCTTGGGCTATTTCTTTCCTCCTGAGTTATCTGATTGCAAAGTGCCGTTATCGACAAGTGCTTTACTGCCCGGTTGCGCTATCCGGGTGCGAACTGACACTTATTCACCTATTCACCTGACTAACTTTCCGAGGCCCTTCGCCGTTGCCTGCTACCCCGTGGCAGAGATGGACGCTCCAACGTCGGCCCACTTCAGCGTCGTCTTGCGTTAGAGAAATATTTCCTCGACAGAGAGAGCGAGCGAGGAAGGGATATTACCTATTCCGCCGACTCGTCCGATCGGCAATTTGTTCAGGTCTGGTCCGTCCCTTTCCTCTTTTTTTCTTCTTCTTCTTCGTCTTGTTCACCTTGGCTCGCCGCTCTCGTCCTTCCTCATCCCGACCGACGTAGTGGACGAAGACCGAAAGAAAAAAAAGTCGCGAGGTCAGGAAAGGCGGGAAAACACATCGTCCTCCCCCTCTCTTCACCTCTCCTTCCTTTCATAACGCGCGTGGGACCCTCGCTCGCCCCTTCGACGGACGTTGCCATCTCACAGAAGAGGAAGAGATATAAAGCGGAACACAGGGAACATCAAGTGGCTTCTGCGCTAGTCGAAAGGAGACGTCCCATTTCTTTCCTCGACTATATCCGGCCATCTATTGCACCGCACTCGCTCGAAGGCCATTGTCTCGGCACTATTCGACCAAATTTTCAAGAGAGTCGCTCGCTCGCCCGGTCGTCTGACTCGAACATATCTTTCGAATCCGACTCTCACCACCTCACAAGAAAGAGAGAGAGAGGAGAAACTCGTCCCGGCTTACCATTGGCGGTGAAGTCACAGTCAAGCCGCAGCACCTTGATCTTTCTCTCCCCGTGCGGGCTTCTCTTGAACGTCGCCTCTGCTGCAGTCTTCGTCGCCACCATCATTGTCGTCGTCGCACTGCCGCTTAGGGGCGGGAAGGGGGTTCCAACCTTTCCGAGCGAGCAAGACGGCGACAATCAAGGGGAGGCATAAGACGCAGGTGGCCGCGCCATGGCGCCGGCTTTCACCCTCAAAGTCAAGGGAGTGAGTGGGACGCCGATCAGCTCGTCCCCATCATCGAAGCACTCTCGCCGTCTACTAACAGTGCGTCCTCTTTTCCTCTTTGTGCCTTTCCCGTCTTCGTAGAGCAAGCCCTTTTCGCCTCTTCAAAGCTTCACAGATGAAGACTCGGTGCGGGAGACTTGGCGATTGTGCAACAAGACAGCTGCCCATCTCGAATACGGCTCACGGCTCGAGAACCTCACTTGGAGGCTATGGCATCTTCGCAGCGTCGCAGTTGAGGTGAGCCTGTCTGCTCATCCTCTCTCTCACCAGAAAGAGGCCCGTGTGTGCTGAGATGTGGTACCAAACAGGATGACGATGAGGCGTCTTCGTCATCGTTCAACCGCATGAGCCATGGCGTGGCGCAGAAGCTCGACAGTGATCGGAGAGTCCAGCTGAGGGATCTCGAGGTGCCCGAGTTCAAGTGGACCGATGGCAGGGATGCGCTGCGATACAAGGCGTTACTCCACAGCAAAAGGCGCGAGGAGAGGAGCGCGCCTGTCAAGCAGCACCAGCAGCAGCAGCGACAAAACTTTGGGGGGAGTTCCAGTGGCGCAGGGGTTGATACCAATTTGGTGGGTTGCTGCCTTGACAAGAGTTGTTTTCATTGGGAGCTACCCTAGCTTACGAGACCTGTGGCAGAACGCTGCATCGTCATCCTCTTCATCGTCGTCGCCGTCTTCCTCGTCCTCTTCGCAGAGAGCACCGGAGGCTTCTTCGGCGATGGAAGTAGATGCCTCGTCTTCAAAATCCCTCACGCCACCGATATGCAGGAAACTGGCAGACAAAAAGATGGAAGAGATCAGAGCTGCCAGCAAGGAGAGACAGCTCGACGTCGACCGAGGCGAAGGACCCAGTCGCAAGACCGAGGAAGACACCGCCATCGATCGATCCGAGCGAGAGACTGACAGGGTGGGGGTCAGAGGTGGCGGCAAGAAGGAGGATGAGGATGATGAGGACGACGACGACGACGACGACGACGAAGGCGATAAGACGCAGGTCAGCTCGACGTGGACAATCGACGACATCCAAGCAGCCGAAAAAGAACTAAGGGAGCAGGGTGTCGAGCTTAGCGGGCCGCTCCTGGCTATGCTTGCTGATCTCAAGCGAGGCGATCTCACGAGGGTAGACCAAGACACGGGAGAAGCAAAAGGGTCCATCAGACGGCGGTCTAGCAACGTTTCCTCAGCAGCAGGCAAAGTGACACAGGAACATGCCCCAAGCATGTCGATGGACTGGTCTGCGCCCTCCAGACACCAACCGTGGGCGCAGCAGGGCTATGATGGCCAGTCTCTCAACGCCAATCTCGGCGCATATGTTGGGATTCCTCATCCGATGCAGATGCCCACTTCCCACACCATGGCATCACACGTCATGTCGGGCCAGGGCCCGAGTCCGAACGCACTCGCTCTGGCGCGGAACCGCGACTCGGCCGCGCTCGAGACGTTTGCCCTTGCCATGACCCACCAGCAGCGTCCACACACGGCAGGCTCGGGACCTGCTTCGCCGAGCACGCCCATGTCCTTCACCCACCAATCCTCACCTTTGTCCCACGGCAATATGGCCATGCCCCCGACCCACCACGCTCTCAACCAAGCCCTCTCAATGCCGTCGTCACCGGCGGGAGCTGGTATGTCGTGGAATGCTCATCTAGGAAATTCATTTGCCTTGCCCAAGTCGACGTCGATGGCCGAGATTCACCCTAGCGCGTCGATAAAGGAGGAAGAGGAGACGAAGATCAATGCTACCCCTGGTGGTGAGGAAGACAGTGGCGACGACGAAGACGAAGACGAAAAGGATCGAGACACCCTGGACGCTCGCCAGTCGGACATGACCAAGACTTCCAAGCCGCAGTGTGCCAATTGTGGGGCCACATCCACGCCACTTTGGAGGAGAGATGCCAACTTTGCGCTGCAGTGCAACGCATGCGGCCTCTATCTCAAGCTACACAAGGGTGAGTGCGCTTTTCGCTAGTATTGTCACTGTGAGATGCACGCTGACGCTGACACGCACCGTCGACAGTTCCTCGCCCAAGGTCGCTCAAACAGCGCCGAGCTGACAAGGGCAAGACCAACGGGCCGTCTTCGGCAGCAAAGCATCCAGCGAGGAAAAATTCCCAAAGTGGTAGATCTGGAAGGCCAAAGGAAGAGGTTGGCGACGAGGAGGATAATTCTGGAGATTCTGAGGGAGCAAAGTCCGATGAATGGGTAGGCATCCATGCCGGTTCCACATGCGCGAATTGTGGAACTTCGACGACGCCCTTGTGGCGCAAAGATGCCGAGGGCAGGATCATTTGCAACGCCTGCGGACTCTACTACAAGCTTCACAACAGCCATCGGCCTGTCACGATGAGAATGGATGCGATCAAGCGGAGGGCGAGATACGACGAGAGGAGGATGGCTGCTTCGTCTTCTTCTTCATCCTCTTCGGCCAAGAACAATGCGCCGGGGACTACAACGCCCAGGGAGAGCTCTGTGCCGGCACAGCAGCAACAGCAGCACACACACTCGAACAGTGGCGACATGACGAACAATGCTGTGATTTTCGGTAGTGGTGCCCCAACGCCCACCCAACCGTTCTTTGACGGAGGGTCGAGCAACAACAGTGGTGCTGCTGGAAGCAACGAGGCCTCGATCCTGGCAAGCATGCAGATTCCAATGGACATGTGGGAGAACCAGCTGTGTCCGATGGGAGCATGGGGAGAGGAGTGTTGTCAAAATTTTCCACAGCCAGGGCACGTTCACGGTCCGGCATCGATAGGTCCTGGCGGTGCAATGCCTGGGCAAGCCACTGGAGGCAGCAATTCAGATGTTTTGGCAGCCGCCGTTGCCGCGGCAACGGCGGGTGTCGGTGCAGGGGGCGCAGCGACATCGTCGCCGTCCGGTGGCCCATCGATGGTTCAAAGGATGGAAGGAGGTGCGCCAAGGGGAGCCGAGATGGGCATCATTGGCGCTTTCGGCCACAACAGCGACTGGTTCTTGAATCTGGCCCAACAGCAGCAGCAGCAACACCAACAGCCGCAACACCAACAGCATCACCACTTGCATCATCAGCCTCCATCAGCTGACGCAACGGCCGCCGCCGTGGCTCAAGCGCAGGCGCACGCCCAAGCTGTGACGTTTCAGACCGCACAGCAATTTGTCGCCTCTCTCGTTGGTACGCCTGAGGAGGCAACAGGACCATCTTATCCTCTCAAAAGGAGACGAGTGACTTCTACCTCGCCTTCTCAGCCACCACAGCCGCCGCCGCCGCCTCCCCAGCAACAGCAGCAGCAGCAGCAGCAGCAAGGATCAGGCGTCTCGACTCCCCATCATCATTTCCAGCAGCAGCCGCATCATACCCTCTCGCCACAGCAGGTCCAAAACCACTCTCCTCATGCGCGCCCTCTCCACCACCACCACCAGCCACACCACTCGCACACCCCTGCTCATGCCAGCCCCCTTGTCGCCTCGCCCGCGACATCGACGCACGTCCAATCGCCCAGCGTCGGCTCGTCAGAGTGGTGGCAGGAGCTGCACAATGAGGCAATTGCTTCCTCGACCTCTTCTGCTACGAATCTAGGCTGAATTAGGGGAGGAAGAAAGAGAGCAAGAAAACGAAAAGAAGGAAAGGGTGATCCCTTGGACCACACAAGTCAGGAAGGGGCATCCTCATTATCTCAACGGTCCGGTCTTTGTCACCATCAATAATGTATTATCGGTTCTCGACTTTCCTTTAGCTTCTGTTACTCCTCACCCGGACGCCTTGCGAGATAAGAGAAGGTCATGTACTGTAGAGAAACACTGCTACCTCAAAAGAGTAATGCATGGAAAGAGGAGCAAAGAAGGCAACACAATCAGGAACAGGACGCAAAGTGCAACATGAAGAGATTGATTCTAGAAAGTTGTAGGTCATCTTCTACTGTAAAGCGCTGTCGCTTCCTCTGTCAACGAATGGAGCCGAGCTGCTGACCGTGCTTGCGACTGACGGCGCAGATGCAGACTTGGGTGAAGGCGAGGCACTTGGCCTCTTTGCGACGCGCTTGATCCTCGCGAACAAGCCCGAGTCTTCGCCCAGAATGAACTGCAGCGTAACGAGGGGCCAGCTGGTATGATGAGGCAGGACATCATAGAACTCGGGCGCCATCTTGCGGAGCGCAGGCAGCCTTGTCCAGGGGACCGAGGGGAAGTCGTGGTGTTCGTTGTGGTAGCCGACGTTGTAGGCTAGGACGTTGAGTGGTCCATAGTAGGACCATGTCTCCTGGTGGATGCCACCAAACATGTAGTGCTCGGCAATGAAGTGGGCCGCACAGGGGTGTAGCGATCCGGCAAGGAAGCTCGATTCGATGAGGTACAGCCATGCGGTCCAGCCGCACGAAGTAATGAGAAGATAGTCGACGAGGAGCTGGAAGCCGATGTTGATGAAGTGGTAAGTGGTCAGTCGCTGTGTCTTGACGAAGCCTGGTCGGAGGGCATAGAAAAAGATCTGAAAGGTGGCAAAAAAGGCCTTTCCCAGGACATTTTTCAAGCACATGAGCTCCACCTTTGTCGGCAGATCCGTGTCGATGCCATCCTCGCCGAGATGCTTGTGGTGTTCGATGTGGTATTTCTTGAACATCATCGCATAGGGTATCCCGATGGGCGCGTTGACAAAGATGGCCCAGAGCTTGTTTGCCATGATGCTCTTGAATGCGAGATTGTGGGTGATTTCGTGGATGGCCAGAAACGTGTTCTGGTTTGCTGTGCCTCCAACGACGTAGGCGAGGACAAGGAACTTCCAATTGAGCGGATGCACCTCGAATTTGGCCAAAGCGACAGCCAGAGACAGCTGCAATACGACCACACCCAGCGAGATCCACTTCGTCCAAGGTTCATGGCCCATCAGCGTCCGCACTTCGGGATGTGCCTTCAAGATAGCCATGCGTCGCGTTCGATGAGGTTCTTCGGTCAGCAGCCAGAGAAAGTCGGTGGCATCCTGGGGCTCCTTTGCGATGTTTGGCAGCCATTGCGTGCCGGCCATGGACTCGAGTGCCTCTTTGGCCTGCCCGCCATCCCCAGCCAGGAGATCGGCCACCTCGTCATCCGACGTCAGGGGCGACGAGGCTCTTGATCGTTCCCCTTCTCTGGAGCTGGTGCTGGCGCTGCTTGACGATGCCGACGAGACGCTCGATGCCAGCCGAGGCTTTTCTATAGTTCGTTTCCGCATCGATGGAGGGAGCTCCTCCGCGCCGCCATAGTAGGACCAGTCCACGCTCCGGGGCGTCGCGTCGAAGCCAAACATGTTTGTAGTAGAGTTGATAAGAACAACCGACGAATGAATGATGCTACGTTCTGCGATCCTTTCTCGTTAGTAAGAAGAAGGAGCGGAGGACACGTTCTGAAAGGAGCGAAACAAAGATGGCGGCTCGGGGAGGCGCTAGCGCGTAACGGGCGCGGGTCGATTTGAGGATGGGGGCAGTAGTAGCAGGAGCGTTCTTGTAGATCTTCAGGTAATGTTCTAGTCGTCGTCGTCGTCGCAAGGCAAACGAAGGGGAAGATCCTGTCTGTGGGAGGGGAGACCAGTGCCAAGTTGTCCAGGTGAATAGGAGAGCAGAGGCTTAGTGGCGTATGGGCCTTGGTGCTCTCCTTACAGAGTGGCTGAAGAGACAGAGAAGCGCGTGTCGGTCGCCGACGAACAGGCCATCAAAGCCGAAGTTTAAATTTAGCCGGGCTCAATCTGATGCAGGCCAAGCAAGCCCACGTGCTAAACCAATTCGATTCGGCCGAAGCTGAGAATTTAGCAACACGTGAAGAAACACCGCAGCTCTCACCCTCTGCGAAGGGAGCCACGGAATTAGCAGGAGGCTTCAAGTGCCTTTTCGAGGTTTCTGGCTTGATCACCACTACCGACCACTCGACAAAGATGGCAGCTGCTCGACCAACTGTCAACGTCCGAGGTGCTGACGGTGCCGCCGCTGGCTCCGTCACCCTCCCCGCCGTCTTCACGGCCCCCATCCGTACCGACGTCGTCGAGGCCATCCACAGTGGGTATTAGTGTTGGGGAGCAAAGTCGAGAAGAGTGATCCTCCGACGTCTTTCGAGACGGGTGAACGGGTGGTCATGGCTGGCGCGTGTCGAGGGATCATGCGCAGGAGGAAGCCGAAAGAGAAGGAAGGGTGGGGATGGGAGGATGAAGGAAGAGGGAGGCCATCACGAGAGGGAGAAGGAGTAGGAGTAGGAGAGGGAGAGAGAGTGTTTGTATATATGCTCCATGATACCGTGCTGACCGAGAGTGTTTGACCGCCTACAGAGTCGATGGCCAAGAACAAGCGTCAGCCTTACGCCGTCTACAACGAGGCCGGCATGCAGACGAGTGCCGAGTCGTGGGGTACCGGTCGTGCCGTCGCCCGTATCCCCCGTGTTGGCGGCGGTGGTACGCACCGTTCGGGCCAGGCCACTGGCTCCAACGCCGCCCGAGGTGGTTGGATGTACTCGCCCACCAAGGTCTGGCGCCGTTGGTTCGTCAAGGTGAACCAGAACCAGAAGCGCTTCGCGACTGCTTCGGCCCTCGCCGCCACGGCCATCCCTTCGCTCCTCCTCGCCCGCGGTCACCGCGTCGAGCAGCTCGAGGAGGTGCCCCTCGTTATCTCGGACGCTGCGCAGGACTTCAAGAAGACCAAGGAGGCCCTCGCCCTCCTCCAGGCCGTCAACGCCTACCCCGACGTCGTCAAGGTCTCCAACTCGCGCAAGGTCCGTGCCGGCCAGGGCAAGCTCCGCAACCGCCGCTACAAGCAGCGCCGCGGTCCCCTTGTTGTCTACAACGAGGACAACGGCATCGTCAAGGCCTTCCGCAACCTGCCCGGCGTCGAGCTCGTCAGCGTTCACCGCCTCAACCTGCTCCAGCTCGCGCCCGGTGGCCACGTCGGTCGCTTCTGCATCTGGACCGAGTCGGCCTTCAAGCAGCTGGACACCGTCTTTGGCACCCACGACAAGCCCTCGGAGGAGAAGAAGGGCTTCCGCCTGCCCACCGCCAAGATTGCGCAGACGGACGTGACGAGGATCATCAACTCGACTGAGATCCAGTCGGCGGTGCGCCCCGTCAAGTCCGAGGCGAGGATCAAGCGCCCCTTCACGCAGAAGAAGAACCCGCTCAAGAACCGGGGTGTCCTCTTCCGGCTCAACCCCTACGCCCAGTCGCACATCCGCGCCGCCATCCGCGAGGAGCAGATGCGCAAGGCTGGCAAGGCCAAGAAGCTCAGCCAGAGGGGCGACCGCAACCTCGCTTCGGGTGCCTTCCTGGAGCAGCTGCACGCTCCTTAAAGAGGCAGAGACTGCGTGTCTTTTGCTTCTTTTTCTCTTCTTCTTTCTTCTTCTTTCTCTCCTCTAGGGTCTTGCATCTGCAAACCCCGTCTTCTACTACACATTCTTCATTTCTCGGCGGTCTTGTCGCCGCTTGTCACCATCATACAGTCGCTCATCTCATCACTGTCACGTCTCAGTGGCCGCAGATCCCCCCGGCCCACGATCATCACCCAAACCCAAAACCATCTTTCAGGAGCGAGGCATCCGCTGTCTCGCACCTGTATGTACTTGCTGCTGGAGTCTCATAAACTCCTCAGCATTAGCTATAGCGCATGAAAAAAATGACTTCTCTCACTGCACGGAAAAGGCATGATGTCTGTGTATGCGTGCGACGGCGATGTCTCCACATTTGGACAGAAGTGCACACGACATCATATTGCTTTCGCCACCTTTACCTTTAGCCCCTCGCTTCTTTCTCTCTACCTATCATATTGCTTAACCTCCAATCTCTTCAGGATGCCTCTCCAAGGAAAGTGCCTCTGTGAAAAGATCGCTGTCACTGTCGCCGACGAGAGCCTGCCACTGCAGTTTGCCAGCTGCTACTGCAAGAACTGCTCCACAACGGCTGGCTCGCCATTCAGCATGGTCGCCTACGTGGACAAGGCTCACCTCAAGATCGAGGGCCAGCCAAAGATCTGTATGTGTTGTCCTCTTCCCCGTGGGTCAATCTGCTGCAAATGCTCAACACCCGTCCTTTCGATCATGACCTTCGTGCAGACTCGGATAGCAAGACAGACAGCGGCGGATCCGTGTATCGCCATTTTTGCGGCGACTGCGGGACACCCGTCCAGACGCTCGTGAGTCAGCTTATTTGTACGCTCTTTAGCTGACTGCTCTCTCGCGGCTGACTGTCAGGGACCGTTGCAGGCGCCCGCTATACCCGACAAGGCCGTCGTCAAGGTGGGCCTCTTTAGCGACTCGCTCGGCGACATCAACAAGCCGGCCGTCGAGCTCTTCACCGTCAACCGGCAGCGATTTCCCTGGCTGGAGGTGAGCCAAGACAAGATGGTCTGACTGCCCCTGCGAGAGTGCGAATGCCTCTGACTTCCTCGTCCCCCCCCCCCCCCCCCCCCCCCCCCCCCCCCCCCCTCTCCTCGCAGTCCATCGAAGGGGTGCCGCAGTGCGAGCGCAACCCCCCTAGCTGATACCGTTACCCCACACCTCTTAAAGAGTCTGGCATTACAGACAATCACTATTAAATTACATTGACTTCTTCCCACATCCCAATGTTGGCCTGCACCTGGTCCCATTCTTCCATCGGGAATTTTGCCTCCTCGAGCAGGAGTGCCCATCGGTCTATCCACTCGTTGCACTGGCGTCGCAGCCTGTCGATTGTGTCTGGTGTTGCCCGCTGCGCTGCACTCTCGATGGCCTCCTTCAAGTCGCACTGTTGCTCTTGCTCGTTCTGCAGCTTCAGAACCGTATGCGTGAGAAAGATTGGGTATAGGCCACAGTCGTGTGCTGGTTTTGTTGTTGACGCCAACTGTGAGCCTCGTTTGTCCGCATTGCTGCTCCATCACTGTTTCTACGTGCTCACCGTTGCTCTGCAGCGGCATTGCGACCTCGTCAAAGGCCATTGAGGGTGACGACGGGGGACGGTAGCAGGCCTGGAACTGGGCCAAGGTGAAGCGCGCGGCCGTCTCGTTGCTCGTCGAGAGCGAATCGAGGTGGTAGGCGGTTCGCGGCGCAATGACGAGCAGACTCCAGTGCGTCGAGATCGAAGACGGGTCCATGTAGCGGTCCGAGACTGCATCGTGACGAGCGAGACAAGGGCGGCAGTGAGCGGTTGCACGTAACCAGGTCTGTGGCAGGATGCGCTGGACTTACTGGGCAAGAAAGCTATGTCGCTGGGTGGAGGTAGCACGCCCTCGGCGTACTCTGCGACTCGCCGTCAGATTTACTGCGTGGTGTCTCTTTCCAAGGCAGACTTTCTGGGGGAAACCAGGCCGAAACGCACCTCCTAAGCTACACATCAATTCCACTACGGCGGGCTGCCACAGACTGATTCTGCCACGCCTGAGCACGGCAGGGTATCTCTGTGCGAGCACTTCGTAGAAAAAGACAAGGATGGCGTCGCTGATCCACTCGCTAGGCCACAGCGTCTGTCACAAAGAAAGGGCCGAGGTCGTCAGAGAAAAAGGGCCCCCATTGTTCTGCACTGATTCATTCCCCGTGAGTCGCGCGCACGCATGGGACCGACCTGAGCATCGCTGCAGCGGAGGACGGCGTCCTTGAACGAGACGACGATGCCGTCCGTCATTGGGCCAGGCAAGAGGGACAAGGATCTCGAATCGAAATCGGGCTAGGGCCAGCCGGGCAGGCGCGCGCGCGCGCGCAAGACCACGAGCCACGTTTTTGGTGTTGGGTTGGGTTTTCAAGCGAGGCAAGAGCGGGCGCGTTCGTAGCTGCAGACCCGGAAATTGATCAGATCAGGTTCCGCCAAGGGCATAGCTGTAAGTTTTGTGAGGGCTCCTCGCTCGCTCGCTCGTTTGCGCGCGAGCATTCTCCCATTTGGGGCCAAGCAGGTCCAAAGAGAGACCTCGGCCGGTTGGGGGTGGCGCGAGTTCAAACTGGGATTCCTCTCCCTCCCACACAAGCCTCACCGGTAGGAGATGGGAGCAGCCTCTGTTCACCCTGGGTCTCCAAAGTAAAATACGAAAGCGGCAGATTCCAAAATTTTAAAGAGAGAGGAGTAAAAAATAAGAAAGCAGGCGGCCCAACACTGCGCCGCAGGAAATAAACGTCTCGTTTAAGGCCTGTGCTACGCTAGGGACCGACGGACGGACCTTCTTCCCTGTGTCTTCATTCCAACCCAGCCTTGCCTCCCACCTTTCTTCCTACCCAAACTCCTCTATCCTCCTCTCTTCGACTCATCGTCACCTCCACCACCACCATTACCTCCTCCTCCTCCTTCTTCTTTTGCTAAAAGAAGCCCGACCCAAAGCAGCTGCAATAGGGTGACATTGCTAGCTAAGCGCGTTCATCTCCTTTCTTCTTTCACGCGCACTAGCACATCGCCTTTCTTCTCTCTCCCTCAGCCCTTGTTCTTGGTCTTCTTACGGCCAGTGGTCGTAGCATACTCAGCTTGTCAAGATGTCGTCAAAAGGTGAGTTCCGGTGACCCCATGCCATATCCCCACCCGCCAAAAGACACAAGGTCGGAGCTGACCGGCTGCGATGCTTTTCCTCCAAAAGCCATTCGCGAGTTCGACGCCAAGCTCCTGGTCAACTACTGGCTGCCTCGGGCGCCTCTGGCTCACTCGTCGCTGCAGGTGTCGCAGGACTTTGTCGCGCCGGCACCCAAGGTTGCACAGATCTCGTGGGACGCCGAGTCAAACACAATCACGCCCGATGCTGCGCTGCCCAGCTGGGTCTTTAACACCAAGCTCGTGGCCAAGCCTGATCAGCTCATCAAGCGCAGAGGCAAGGCTGGCCTCCTCAAGCTCAATGCCGACTGGGAGGATGCCAAGAAGTGGATTGTCGAGCGGGCGGGCAAGCCCCAGAAGGTGAGCTCTTCTTTCCCAGTGCCCGTGCCAGTGCCGGTGCTAGTGACGGTGCTAGTTCCTCTTTCTCTGCTGGCCCAGCATGTTGATCAGAGCTGACGAGGGCGATTCACACCAGGTCGAGTCAGTGACGGGCACGCTCAACAACTTCATCGTCGAGCCCTTCATGCCCCACCCGGCCAACACCGAGTTCTATGTATGCATCAACTCGGCCCGAGAGGGTGACTACATCCTCTTTACCCATGAAGGCGGTGTCGATGTGGGCGATGTCGATGCAAAGGCCCTCAAGCTTCTCATTCCCGCCGATCCCGACGCACCGTTCCCCAGCCGCGCAGAGTGGACCAAGTCGCTGCTCACGGGTGTCACAGACGCCGGCAAGAAGGAGCTCCTCACCGACTTCCTCATTCGCCTGTACAGCGTCTACGTTGACCTGCAGTTTGCCTACCTTGAGATCAACCCGCTCGTCTGCACCGATGACGGCCTCATCTCCTACCTCGACATGGCCGCCAAGCTGGACCAGACGGCCGACTTCATCTGCGGACCCAAGTGGTCCGTCGCCCGTGACCCGGCCGTGTACTCGGACAAGGCTGCCGCCGTGAGCAAGCCGGCGGCCAAGGGCGAGGAGCGAGGTCCGCCGATGGTCTGGCCCGCGCCGTTTGGCCGTGACCTGACAAAGGAGGAGGCCTACATTGCCAAGCTCGACTCGGGCACGGGTGCCTCGCTCAAGCTCACCGTCCTCAACCCCACGGGCCGCATCTGGACCATGGTTGCCGGTGGTGGTGCCTCGGTCGTGTACAGTGACGCCATTGCTGCCCACGGCTTTGCCCACGAGCTGGCAAACTACGGAGAGTACTCGGGCGCACCCAGCGAGGGACAAACGTACGAGTACGCCAAGACGCTCCTCGACCTCATGACTCGCGGCGACGTCAACCCCCAGGGCAAGCTGCTCATCATTGGTGGTGGCATTGCCAACTTTACCAATGTCGCCTCGACGTTCAAGGGCATCATCCGCGCCCTCAAGCAGTACAAGCAGGCCCTGGCCCACTACGGCGTCAAGATCTTCGTCCGTCGCGGTGGCCCCAACTACCAGGAGGGCCTGCAGGCCATGCGGTTGCTGGGCGAGGACCTTGGCGTCACCATCGAAGTCTTTGGCCCCGACACGCACATCACCGACATCGTTCCCCTGGCCCTGGGCCTCAAGAAGCGCGAGGAGATTGACATTGCCAGCAAGGCCGGCAACCTCCCTTCGGGCGCTCAGACGCCCGGCACCGGTGCTGCTCCCGCTGGCGGCGCCCCCAACGGCACCCACAAGCCCACGGTGGGCTCAGTCGACACAGACACGGGCGCACGGACCCAGCCCCAGGACCAGATTGTCCACTTTGACCCCGCCACGGGCGCAATCAAAAGGCCCGACTTCCTTCCCTTTGACGAGAACACGCGCTCGCTCGTCTACGGCCTCCAGCCCAGGGCTATCCAGGGCATGCTCGACTTTGACTTCTCCTGCGGCCGCAAGACGCCCTCGGTGGCGGCCATGATCTACCCCTTCGGCGGCCACCACATCCAGAAGTTCTACTGGGGCACCAAGGAGACGCTCCTGCCCGTCTACACGAGTGTCGAGGAGGCCGTCAAGAAGCACCCCGACGCAGACGTCGTCGTCAACTTTGCCTCGTCGCGCTCCGTCTACCAGTCGTCGCTCGAGATCCTCCGGCTGCCCCAGATCCGCGCACTGGCCCTCATTGCCGAGGGTGTGCCCGAGCGCCACGCCCGTGAGATTCTCCACCGCGCCAAGAAGGCCGGCGTGCTCATCATTGGCCCCGCCACCGTCGGCGGCATCAAACCTGGCTGCTTCCGCATCGGCAACTCGGGCGGCATGATGGACAACATCATCAGCTCCAAGCTCTACCGGCCTGGCTCCGTCGGTTACGTGTCCAAGTCGGGCGGCATGTCCAACGAGCTCAACAACATCCTCTCCCTCACCACCAACGGCACCTACGAGGGCATCGCCATTGGCGGTGACCGATACCCGGGCACAACGTTCATCGACCACCTGCTCCGGTACGAGAAGGACCCCAACTGCAAGCTCATGGTCCTCCTCGGCGAGGTTGGCGGTGTGGAAGAGTACCGCGTCATCGACGCCGTCAAGAAGGGCATCATCAAGAAGCCCATCGTGGCTTGGGCCATTGGCACGTGCGCAAAGATGTTCACCACCGAGGTCCAGTTCGGCCACGCCGGCTCCATGGCCAACTCGGAACTCGAGACGGCTTCCGCAAAGAACCTGGCCATGAAGCAGGCCGGCTTCCTGGTCCCCGACACGTTTGAGGACCTGCCCCTGCTGCTGCGCCAGGCCTACGAGAAGCTCGTCGCAAACGGCGTCATCTCGCCCCTGCCCGACCGTGCTCCTCCTGCGATTCCCGTCGACTACAAATGGGCGCAGGAGCTGGGCATGGTCCGAAAGCCTGCCGCCTTCATCTCGACGATTTCCGACGAGCGTGGTGCTGAGCTCATGTACTCTGGCGTCAAGATCTCCGAGGTCTTTGAGTCGGAGATGGGCATTGGCGGTGTCATCTCGCTTCTCTGGTTCAAGCGTCGTCTGCCGCCCATGTACACCAAGTTCATCGAGACGGCCATCATGCTCTGCGCCGACCACGGCCCCAGCGTGTCGGGTGCGATGAACACCATCATCACGTCGCGTGCCGGCAAAGACCTTGTCTCGTCGCTCGTCTCGGGTCTCTTGACCATTGGTGACCGCTTCGGTGGTGCCCTGGACGGCGCCGCGCGGACCTTCTCGTCGGGCTTCGACCGCGGCCTCACCGCGCGCGAGCTCGTCGACGAGGCGAGGCGCAACAGCCAGCTGCTGCCCGGCATTGGCCACAAGATCAAGTCGGTGACCAACCCCGACTTCCGAGTGCAGGTCGTCAAGGAGTTTGTCCAGAAGAACTTTGAGCAGCACCCCCTGCTCGACTACGCCCTCGCCGTGGAGCGCGTCACGACGCAGAAGAAGGACACGCTGATCCTCAACGTCGATGGCTGCATCGCCGTCTGCTTCGTCGACATGCTCCGCAACTCGGGTGCCTTTACGCGCGAAGAGGCCGACGAGTACATCAACATTGGCGGTCTCAACGGCATCTTCGTCCTGGCCAGGTCCATTGGCTTCATCGGCCACCACCTCGACCAGAAGAGGCTCAAGGCTCCCCTGTACCGCCACCCTGCCGACGACATTTTCATCGACCTCACCACGCCCCAGCGTGTCACCATTGACGGTCGCAGGGCTGCCCAGTAGTCGTCTGCCGCCGCTGCTGAGGTCTTCCCCCCTTCTTCTTCTTTCTCTTCTCTTCTTCTTTACCTTTATCAGCCTTTGTTTTTGTGTAATCTTACCCTACTTCCTGGTTCGAAGCCCGAGTCAGCCTAGCAGAGCGCTTCTCCTCGGTATAAGTCAAATTGGCATAGATCCCCCCATCCTCCTCCAGCCTGCCCCTCCACATGGGAAGGATTGGAAAGAAGAGCATTCTTGGGCGTCCGTGCACCGTGGCCCCCCGTCACGCGATCTTGTCTCGTTGCTTTTCTTCCTTGGCCATCTGCCGTCGGATTCAGGCCCCCCCATCGTGACTTGGTCGCAGCCATGACTCAAAAGGCGTTTGATGCGGGGCAGGTCCTCACGAAGCTCTCGCTCGACGACAAGATCCGGCTTTGTTCGGGTGCTGACTTTTGGCGCACCTACTCGGATGCCTCGGTGGGCCTCCCCTTCTATGCCAAGCTCACCGACGGGCCCAACGGTGCGCGCGGTGGGGGCGACTTCAACAACTCGACGCCCGCCGCGCTGTTCCCCTCGCCCTCGTGCCTCGGCGCGACGTTTGACGTGGCGCTGGCGCGGCGCATGGGCGAGGGCATCGCGCGGGACTCGCGCTCGAAGCGCTGCCACGTCAGCCTGGCGCCGACGATCAATATCCAGCGCGACCCGCGCGCGGGCCGCTTCTTTGAATCGTACAGCGAGGACCCCGTGGTGAGCGGCGAGATCGGCGCTGCATGGGTGCGCGGCTGCCAGAGCGTCGGCGTGGGTGCGACGCCCAAGCACTTTGTAGGAAACGAGGCCGAGACGGAGCGGATGCGGTCGAGCTCCGATGTGGCGCCCGCGGCGCTCCGCGAGGTCTACCTCGAGCCGTTCAAGCGCATCTTCCGCGAGCTGGCCAGAGACCATGCGCAGAAGAGAGAAAAGGGCGGGGCGAGAGGAGGGAGCGAGGACGTGTTTGGAGGGCAGCCGGCGTGCATTATGACGGCATACAACCGCCTCAACGGCTGGTCCTGCAGCGAAAACGAGGCGCTGCAGGTCGGCATCCTCCGCAACGAGTGGGGCTTCAAGGGACTCGTTATGAGCGATTGGTTCGCTTTACATGCGCACGGGCTCCGTGCGACCAACTTGGAAATGCCCGGCCCGTCGTGAGTCTGTCGGTCTGTCTGTCTGGCTCCTCTTCTCTTTCCTGAATTCGCTGATAGGTAGGGCCCTTGTGATGCAGCCTTCATCGTCGGTTGGACGCAGTCAAGCAGCTGCTCAAGGAGGGCAAAGTCACGACAGAGGACATTGATCGCAATGCCGAGGCCGTGCTGCGCCTCTTGAAGAAGGTCAGTCCACTCGGCTTCAGCTCCTCGCCCGACAAGGAGCAGGAGGAGAGCATCGACGATGCCGCGATCAACACATCGATTCGCCAGATTGCCGCCGAGGGCGCCGTGCTCGTCAAGAACGACGATAATATCCTTCCACTAGATCCCAACAGAGTCAAGAAGATCGCCTTGATTGGCAAACCGTGGACAGACGCGATTCAGTCGGGCGGAGGAAGCGCAAACCTGACACCTCAGAAGGTGGGTCAATAAAAGAGTGGAGTGAGAGCGAGATAGATGACAGACGACATTCACCAGGTCACTGCGCCGCTCGACTGCCTGCGTGACACCTTGTCCAGGGACGGCCATGCTCACGTCGAGCTGCTGCACCACTTTGGCACGGAGATCCATCGCTTCCCGCCCAATCCTTCTTCGCACGCGCTCGAGGGCAAAAAGGTCCGGCTCGATTTCCTCAAGGAAGGGCAGCCTGTCACCACGACCGAGGTCGACTTGCCCTTTCTGGACCGCTCCGCTCCGCTCCCGGGCGAGGAAAAGGGAGAGAAGGTCGACTTCGACACGGTCAAGGCGCAATTCCAGCTCAAGGGCAGCGATGCTGGGACCTACCGGCTCGGTCTAATTGCGTTCGGCACCCTCAAGGTGCAAGTCGTCAGGGATGGCAAACAAACGGACGAGTGGGACTACCAGGGCGAGAGAAGCTTCTTCGACTATGTCCTCAACCCGGCACGAGTCTGGGAGCCAAGGCTGTTCGAGATGGGCCAAGATGAGGCTGTTACGATTCAGCTTGGTGAGTGAAAGTTGCTCTCTGATGAGTAAGCTTCCGAGGTCAGATCTCTCAAGGTTCCACCTTTTGTTATCCTCGTACAGAGTACAGCCGAGAAGCCTTTTCGATGCCAGGTATATCTCCAGAGGAGGCCTATGCAGCTCGAGCCTTTGGATTCCGCGTCGGCTTCGAGCGGCAGATTGACGACGAGGCCGCTCTGAAGGAAGCCAGCGAGCTGGCTGCCAAGTGCGACGTGGCCATCATCATGACGGCCACTGGCAAGGAATTTGAGTCGGAAGGCTTTGACCGTGACACGCTCAAGCTGCCTCGCAGGCAGGACGACCTGGTCAAGGCTGTGGCAAAGGTCCAGAAGAAGACAGTGGTACTCAACCAGACGGGCAGCGTCGTGGAGATGCCATGGATTGATGAGGTCAAGGGCATCATCCAGGCCTGGTTTGGCGGTCAAGAGACCGGCTGGGCCATCTGCGATGTCTTACTCGGGCACGGACGGGCGCCAGCCAGCGGCCGGTTCGCCCAGACATGGGGTGGGTGAAAGAGATTGCCATTATTGTCTCAAGGTTATTCGCTGACGGACGAGGTTTTCACAGCTAAATCACTGAAAGACCACCCCTCCGGCCAGCACAAAGACGAATTCCCGGGCACGCACCGTGCTGGTGACATCGAGGGCCCGCACGTCACCTACGCCGAAGGCAGGCTCGTTGGCTACAAGTGGTATGACCGCCGGTCTGTCGAGCCCCTCTTCTGGTTTGGCCAGGGCCTTGGTGGCTACACGACATTCGAGGCCAGCTTTGCCAACAAGCAAGAAGGTCCTCTGACTTTGACGCGAGAGACGGGCGCAGTGCCGATCAAGATCCAGATCAAGAACACAGGCAAGCGAAGCGGAAAGTACGTGGTGCAAGTGTATGTCAGGCGAGCAATGGCAGCGGACCGCGAGGAAGACGAACCGAACCAAAAGGTAAGCTTCGGAGCTTGCTCCGTTCTTTAAGGAAGCGTGCGCTGACGAGCAATGACAATGCAAGCTCGCGGCTTTCCTGGCCGTACAGACCGGCGCGGGTCAAACGACCGTGGTGGATCTCAAAGTCGAGAAGGAGGACGTGAGTTCGTGGGACGAGGCGCAGAAGAAGTGGCGCGTCGAGGCGGGCCAGTATGACTTGATACTGGCCAAATCGGCAGATCCAAGAGCCAGCATCGAGGAGGTACCTTTACAGGTCGACCAGGGATGGGTCTGGGAAGGCATCGGAGACGTGTAGAAGACCAAGGCGCAATAACAAAGACAGGCAGACTGGACAATGGAAGTAATGAATGATTGTCATGTGATGATGTTGATGGTAGTATAGAACAAAGAATGACGGCTAAGGCGTGGAGAAGAATGGGTGCTGAAGCGCCTGTTGAGGCGTGATGCGCCTGACTGCGTCAAGATCCAGCGTCTTGGTCAAGAGGTCGATGAATTGGTTGGTCAATTTAAGTTCCACGTCCGATAGCCCTCTGGCTGTGTTGGCAGGCAAGAGCCGCTCCCTCAGCACGCCATCACCGCCCGTAAACTGGGGTACCTTTCGGACTAGAGGCGCGCCTGCCGCCTTTTCGACTGTGCTGAAGCTGAGAAAGTTGTTCTGCTCGTCAAAGTGGTGGCTGGAGAATTGGGCACGCCGAAGTTGCTTCGAGGTGAATTTCGTCCCGCGCAGCTCCTGGTGCAGAAGCAGCATTTGATTATTGCTGCGACCTGGAAACAAGATCTGGCCTGTGTAGACCTCGTACAGCGTACAGCCAATGGACCACATGTCGATGGCGCAGTCGTACGGCAGGCCGAGGACTGTGACAAATCTTTGTAAGCACAGAGGAGCAGAACTTCGGGAGAGCACAACACACTGATTTCTGGTGCACGATAGAAGCGGCTGACGAGGTAGGGTGTGATCTCCATTTCGCTGAGGTCCGATGCCGAGCCCAAGTCGCAGATCTTGAGGACCGACTTTGTTTCATTGACCTGCGCCATCCAACGTCAGTCAGCGTATAGTAGCACTTGGAACGCCATTGCACTCACGAGGATGTTATCAGGCTTGATGTCAGCGTGCATGATGGTTGCCTTGCGCATCAGAGACAAGGCCAAGAACATCTGGTGGGCGTATGCCCGAACTGCACGAAGATTCAGACCAACGTCCTTGCCGAATCGTTTGACTACTTCGCGCAGATTCATGCTCTTGGACTCGAAGACCATGCAGAGATGGTTGCGGTGCTCAAAGTGGCCCTCAAGACGAATGATATGACGCTTGTCCTCGGGGTCCATCTTCGCCAATTTCTCGAGAACGCTCATCTCCTTGAGACCTGCCTTGTACATCGTCTCTTGTCTGCGCACAATCTTGATGGCTACCTCTTTCTCATCGCGCATCATGTCTCGTGCCTTCACGACGGAGCTGAACATTCCTCGACCGAGGTTGGCAAAGACTTGGAATCGGCCCTTCTCACCAAGACGCTCGCCCAAGATGATGCGATAGTACCCGTCAGGGTCGTCCCAATTGTCCTTCAGGCTCGCAGCAGAAGAGGTCGGAACAGCGGTTGATGGGACAGTCCCTTTTTTGACCCGAATGGTCTTCTTTTTCTTCTTCTCTTGGTTGCCGCCGTCATCATCGTCACCAAAGGAGAACATGTCATCGACGTCGTCCTCTTCGTCCACTTCCACCTCTTCGTAATCACTCCCGTCTTCTCGGTCTTCGACTCTCTCCTTTGCCTCTCCAATGCCAGCGGCCATTCCCGTTGCAGTGACCTCCTCCGTCCCATTCTGATGATGGTTCAACCGTTCGCGGGCCCTTGCATCATCTAGAGCCCGATCTATGCTCGGGTCGTATTCTGCTGCCGAGACTCCCTCGCCTCGATCCTTGGTAGTCGCACCAGATCGCTGCTGCACACCTGCTTGATTGTCCTTAAAGTCCTTCTCAAGCTCCACCTCAAATTTGCGCTCCTCGTCCGATGGCGGAGACTCTGTGCCTGTTTTCGAAGTGGAAGGTCTGATCTGCTCGGTCTTGGGGCTTTGCACGTCACTTGCGCTGGGTATGCTCAATTGTGTCGCGTCGTTTTGATGCTTGAGCAGGATCGCTTGACGCCTCTTTCGCCGCTCCTCGATGAGCCTGGCTTGGTCTTCCTCTGTCTGAAGCTCGTACTCGATGTCTGCATCTGAGGATAGTCGATCGTCTCGACTGTAACGAGAGTCAAGCGTTCAGCATTATCGCAAATGTCAAGATTGGTACCAGCAACTAACCTTGAATATTCTGTATGACCCTGGTTCGTTGTTGAAGATTCCGCAAATCGAACGCTGACTCCGTCTCGCGGCCGCTTTTGGCCGCTACTGCTGGATGAGGAGGTATTATGCTCTCTTGGGTCCCAGTCCCTCACTTCACGCCCACCATACCCCCTCTGACCATTGGCACTTGCGCCACTTCCATTCGCTGAATAGTCGCGCTTGGCGCCTCTTTCAAATTCGTCCTCCCTTCGACGAGAGTCCCTGTCTCGCGATCCAGATGGCTCTCCATAGCGACCGCCGCCTCTTCGATGATCGTCGTGATCGTCACGACGCCTCTTGCTGGGATGTCCTGACCCCTCACTACCAGCGGGGTGCTGTCGAGGACGATCATATTGAGACGAAGGCGGCATTGGATCAGAAGAAGGGGCGAGGCGGATATTTGTGAAGACAGGAAGAACTGTAAGCTACAAGCTTGACCAGGCTCTCGAGGAACGAACCCAAGGGACGGACAGGGGAAAGTAGTCTATATGCAAGGCTAGCTTGCCACTCTCGCCTCGTTCACAAGAAGGAGACGGCTCTGTTGTCGCGTCTTGCCGGTCCCTCGCTGAGCCAGTGTTCTTTGTTTGAATGGGAAAGCGCTGGGTGGAGTCGAAACAAAGGGAAGTCAAGCACGAAGATGGTGCCCAGTGCACAACCCAAATTTTTCCACGTGAGGTGACCTGGATTGACTTCTTCTCAAAACCACCACCACCATCACATCCAGGCCATGTCTCGGCCGCATGATCAAGGTGAGCTCAGATGAACGCTAGTTGTCGGCCGTGTATGGCGACGGAACGCTGATCACTGCGTCCTCCCACCAGATCGCAATCAGGATGCGACTTGCTACGTAGGAAACCTCGACGATCGGGCCTCAGACGCCCTCGTCTGGGAGCTCATGCTCCAGGCCGGGCCCATCATCAACGTGCACTGTGAGCAGACCACCGCTTCATTGAGATTGAGACGTGTTTCTTGGCCGGGCTACTCATATGGTTCTTCTTTCTTATACTAGTGCCAAAGGACCGCATCACGTCGGCGCACCAGGGCTATGGCTTCGCAGAGTACCAGACCGAGGCAGACGCCGAGTATGCATGCAAGATCATGAATGGGATCAAGCTGTTTGGCAAGCCACTCCGAATCAACAAGGCCAGCTCGGACCGCAAGCAGATTGACATTGGTGCGAATCTGTTCGTGGGCAATCTCGACGCGGGCGTCGACGAGCGGCTGCTGTACGACACGTTCAGTGCATTTGGCAATGTCCTCGGTGTCCCAAAGGTGCGTTGGCCGTACTACTCCTATAGATGATCCTTAAGGAGGAAGCCTTGCTGACTGGATCTTCCTTTGCCTTCGATCAGGTCGCAAGGGATCCAGCCACCAACGAGTCAAAGGGCTATGGCTTCGTGTCTTTTGACTCGTTCGAAGCGGCCGACGCAGCCATCGAGTCGCTCGCAAACCAATTCCTGCTCAACAAGACGCTGTCGATCGACTATGCATTCAAAAAGGACTCCAAGGGAGGCGAGAGGCACGGAACAGCAGCTGAGCGTCTTTTGGCGGCACAGGCGAGAAAGAACAATGCCCTGCCCCCGATACACGCCGCTGGAGCACGTCCTCCGCCCCAAGGCGGCTACGCGCAGCACTCGCAGCCGCAACAGCAACAGCAGCAGCAACAACAGCAGCAGCAGGCCCTGCCACCTCCCCCACCACCCTCCATCCCACAGTATGCCGGGCCTCCGCCGACGATGGGTGGTGCCGTGCCGCCGCCTCCGCCACCAGCGCCGCCAGGGATGCCGACGATGGGCATGCAAGCAGGGTATCCTCCGCAAGGGCCACCCCCACCACCACCGCCTCCCCCCGGTGGCCCACCCCCTATGCACCACTACCAAGGCCCACCCCCGCCCAACGGCCACTACCAGCCACAGTACTAGATCATGGCTCATTTTCACTCTCATGCTTCTGCTGTAACAACGTGTACCATACCAAAAGAAAACCTCATCGAAGCGATGTAATCTGCTTGGCCCGACCTCGATGCCCCCCCCCCCCCCCTCCTGCCTTACAAGCACCAGAAAAATAAAAATAAAAACAGAAGATAAAATAAGACGCGCTCGGTCTCGCTTTCCACTTCCCATCGCATCTGTCGTCCATCAGTCGAAAAGCAGCGGCTGAGGAGGACCTGGGAGGTGGAGTGCTTGCACAACGAAACGATGCCGGACGCGAAGCTCAATGCCTACCTGGCAGCACGGTACCTCGATGGGCCCAAGGCTGAGGCGATGCTAGCCCGTGCCGGCGTCGAGGCGGGCGAGGACAAGAAGAGGCGAAAGAAGCGAAAGAAGGAGACGGCGGCGCAGTCGGGTGCCGGCACGGGCTTCAAGCTAGTCGATGACGAAGACGGGTGGAAGAGGGCAGGCGACGATGACGATGATGACGCAGAGGGGAGGGCCGTCGTTGTGCAAGCGGACGGAGCGGGAGGGAGCAAGGGCAGAGCCAAGTGGGCGCGGCTGGGTGCTGGCGATGCGATGGCCGACGAAGCGGAGGGCCAGATCGAAGATAATGAAGCGAAAGGGGAGGGGGGCATGGACGACGTGCCACAGGTGGCTGGTGCAGATGGCCTGGCGCTGGACGCCGACGCGCAGGCCCAGGTGGGCCGCCGATTGCAGGAGCAGGAGGCCAGCGGCGGCGGAGGCGGCGAAGGATCCGCATCTGCGTCTGCGTCTGGAGGACGAGGAAAGGAGAGGATCAAGGCGGGTCTCAAGACAAGAGAGGAGATGCGAGCGGAGCGTCTGGAGCGCGAGCGCCTCGCTGCCGAAGAGGCCGCCAAGGGCGTCGACGCGCGGGCCGAGGAGCAGGCCAGGCGCGCACAAGAAAAGGAGCGCGAGAGGGAGGCAGCCCAGCAGCAGACGGTGTACCGAGACTCGTCCGGACGCAAGATCGACGTCGAAGAGGAAAAGCGGCAGAGGGAGCGTCAAGAGAGGGAGCAGCAGCGGCTTGAGAGAGAGAAAAAGGACTGGAACAAAGGCGAGGCGCAGCTGAGGCGTGCTCGAGAGGAGCGAAAGAGGGAGGAGGAGATGAAGGATACTACCTTTGCACGGTGAGTAGGTCGCCGTCCTCTTTTGGCAGCAATTTCCGCAATAGCAGCAACGTAGGTGGCTCATATTTGGTCCCTCCTCCACAGCTACTCTTCGGACGAGAAGATGAACGCCGAGCTCAAGGCCGTAGAGCGCGCGTCAGACCCTGCGCTGGCCTTTTTGACCAAGAAGAAGCGTAATGAAAAGGGCCCGTCCAAGCCCGTCTACAAGGGCTCCTTTCCTCCCAATCGCTTCGGCATCAGGCCGGGCTATCGCTGGGACGGCGTCGAGCGCAGCAATGGCTTTGAAAAGAAGCTCTTTCAGCGGCAAAACGAGCGACGGCGGGCAGAGGCCGATGCGCAGGCATGGAGGCAGGAGGACATGTGAGGCCGCAAGGCAAGCGGCACCCAATCTGTACACTACGTTGCACCAATATATCTTAGTCGCCGTTTTCCAAAATGTCGTGAAGGCTCAGTGTGGTTCATAGGACGAGGAGGTGTGGAACGCTCACGCTTTCCTGAAGGCATTGTAAGCATTGACAGAGCATCTCTAGCTTCGCCTTGCTGCTAGGCAAACGCCCACAGGGAAGCAGACGGTTGCTCAGACGCACACAACGACAGTGAAAAGAAGAGCATTTCGTTGTGTCATGTGAAGATTCTAGTCTGGCTAAGCTGAGCAAGAAGGAGGTCATCTCGAGCAGGACATCTAAGAGGGGACGAGGAGGCTGAGAAGGTACGCTCGCGTGCGAGTGGTATAGCCGTCTACCAGACGCTCACGAGTCCGAGCTTCCAAAGAGTCTTTGCTTGATGGCGGTACACCAGCGAACTGCAATGCTTGAGTAAGCACAGAGATACACAGAGAGAGGGGCAAGAGAGAAGCTGGCAGCAACGCACTCTTGATGGCAGCTTCGGACCGACCCAGCTCCTTGGCAAGCTTCTTGACGGACTCAGAGCGCAGCGTGGGCATCGTGTCACCCAGCACTTCCTTGATAACCCTTATGTCTGGCCATGAAAAGGAGGGGAGAGCATGGGGTAAGATTGGGCCGGTCGCAATGACAGCAACAGGGTCATGTTCCTTCTCACCTTCATCCGAAGTCCAAGCTGCTCGTTTGCTCGGCGACTCGGTGATTTTCTTGGCTTTCTTCTTTGTTGGCATCATGCTAGTCTTGCGGTCTTCCTCGACGCGAGCGCCACAGGACTTGAGTGTGGGCTTGGCGTCTTCCGACTCACTGTCCGACGAAAAAGACCTTTTGCTGTGGCCCATCGTCGTCGTCTTTGTCTTGGTCGTCATCAGTGAACAAAGGGGGGATGAAATGCGAGTAAGGCTGAAGTGTTAAGCGTGACTTTGAAGGGGAAAGCCTTGCTTGTGGTTATGGTGGTGATGAAGAAGGCTTTGGAACAGGAATGACGACAATCACAACCTGTACTCCTCTCCCTCCCTCCGCGAATGGATGTTGAACGAGGGAGAAAAGAAACGCGCGTGCGCACCACATCGCAACGGCGACAGCGGCGTCATAATAGGTGCATCTACCACCCTACCACCTTCTCCTCCTTCCTCCTTCTCTCGCTGAGGTTTCAAATCTTGCCAAGCACATCAACATACGTCCTTTCCCATTTCAGACGTTGTTTCAAGATGGTCGTCACCAGCAGGAAGCGAAGCCGCTCCGAGGAACTTGAGATGGAAGCCAGCGCCACTTTGCGCAGCAGTTCGAGCGAGGAAGAATGCAAGGACGAGAAGAAGCCAATGGCATCCAAGACAGTGCTGGCCACGCCAAAAAAGAAGCGAGCCATAGCAACGCCTGCTGGCCCATCGACGCCCGGCAAGGGTGGCGGCGGTTGGACTGCCGACGAAGGTGAGAGTCTAACCGCTGTCCCTCTCACTTTCTGAGCTTGTCTCCCACCCCACTCATCCCCGTGCTTGTCCTTTCGCGACGACAAATAGACATCGAGCTCATTGCAGAATTGTTTGGACGAAAGATACCGCCACTCACGGCCGAGTCGAGGCGCCGGCTTGCCGTCAAGCTTGGAAGGACCGAAGGCGCGATTCACAAACGCTTCTCCCACGTCGTCAGGCCCCGTCTTCTCGGTATGATGGGATCACAAGAAGGCGACACCCATCCTCGCGCCCCATAGTCGACTGTGTCGCCTTCGTCGTCGGCGTGCTCAGGAGGTCTATTGCGGACGATGGCGAAAGGGGAATAGCGTGCTCCTGTGTGTCTCCGTTCACTGTGCGTCTGGTACTTGTTTCTCGAAAGAATGCGATAATCCACCAGGCTTCTATCAAATGTCTTGCTTGAAGTGTCTTTCATACCTTCCCATTTCATTGTTTTTACAGCCCAAGGTGAACATTGCATGTTGCCAAACGGCCCCAATTATTTCCAGACCAAGGTGAGAGATATCCTGTTGCATGCATCGGAACACGCTCGACGACATCGATGCGCGTCTCGTCAGGAGGTTCTACTTACCTGCACCTTTGACCGCCATCCCGAACCCATTGGTGTAGGGGAGGACGATGTTCGTCCACCCATTCGCGGGGTCGTCGATATATGCATATAGGTCCTTGTACGGCGAACTCGTGGTCGCCACGTTGTCGACGAACATGACGGCGCCGGGCTTCAGCGCTGGCTCGAGAAGCTTCAGGATGGGAAGCGCCACTGTGTGTGTGTGTAACGAGTTAGAAGTCGTTTTCTGTCAAGAAGTAGACAAGAAAGACTCACACTCGGCCCAGACTGTGTGGCAATGGTGCAAGTGTCAGTCAGCATGGGCAGCAGTAGCAGCAGAGCACATGGGTCACCCACTGTCCAGCAAGAGAGCATCCAAGCTTGCCTTTTCGAACTTCTGTTTGGGAATCTCTTCGAGAATGTCGCCCTGTAGTATCTGCAGCTGCCCCTCTCGGTCAATGTCGGTTGCTTCTCCTCCGTCGGTGAAGCCCTGCTGCATGTGCTGATAGGCAATCTTGATCTTCTCTGCCTCCTGCTCCGTCCCGTAGACTCGAGGAGGGAGACCAGAGATCACAGCAGACGGCTGAACAGCGAGATTGTCGCGCATGGCCGCGAGCAAGTAGAGTGTCGAGACGCCAAAGGACGTGCCGGCTGTAAGAGGCCCATCAGCCAAGAATCCCCCCCTCCGTCTCATCTGGCCACACGCAAGCTCACCCTCAAAGATGCGAGTCGCACCCTTGGCACGCAGAATCGCATACACGGCGGATGCCTTGTCCTCGTCCAGGGCGACAAACTTGTCGCGAAAGTGGTCGTCGACGAGCTTCTTTCGCAGCTCGGCCGTCGCTGGAAGCTGCTCCTGGCCCGCCAACAGGTGGCGTGGGCTCGGGTGGGCGCCGGCGCGGTCTTGTTCAATCGACAGACGGTGCAGATTCGCCAGTAAAGACTGCAGCTTGGGTCGTGTGCTGCCAAAGAGCGTCTGACGGCTCACCGCGCTCATCGCCATCGTCGTCGTTCCTTTACGAGTCGTTGGTCCCAGTCTGAAAGGCGGGCCCGCGCTATGAAGCTAATTTAAGCTCACGCCCCTCCCGGCCGGACGCTCTTCTCGGATTCGAGGGAATGACTCACAAATTTCAGGCAAGTCTCTCCGCACCTCTGACGTCTTTGACGCTCGTGACGGGCCGCAAATCACATGGCATCTTCAAAAGGCGTCGAAACAAACGAATGGCTGGCGTCATCAACGCAAGCCATCACTGTCGGCCCCTACTTCTTGTTCGAGAGCGAGCGAGCAAGCAGTGGGTGGAGGTCTCTGGGAAAATTCACGTGGAAATACCGACGAGAACTTTTTTTTTGGTTTGGTTTTGTTGCAGGCCTGCATGGCTTTCTTCTGAGAAGATTGATTGGTGCTTGGGCTGGCCACCAGACGACCGGCAACAGGGCGAGCATCAAACATGAGAAACATCGTCATAACGTCGGCAACCCGCAGAGGAGCGGCGCTGCAAGGCGGAAAGAGGTCCGAGGCCGTTGCGGTGGACCCAATCACAAATCGAGTCTACGTCGCATCGTCCTCCTCTTCGAAGCTCGACGATGATGAGTCGCCTCTCGTCGACTTGGACATCTGGCAGATCGGCGAGCAGGACAGCATGCAGCAGTTGTCTTCGTTTGCTGCACCCAAAGCGCCGCGATTCAAGCCGCTACCCAAAAGGGAAACTCGGGAGGGCTGGGCGGCTTTGGAGGAAGAGGCGAGGAACGAGGTGGTGTCGCTCGATTTTATGGCCGATGGGGGTGAATTCGTCCGAGGTAGCCCAGCGTTGTGCATAGTGACTGCAGGAGGCGACATTGGTCTCGTACCGTTGGCGGAGGATGATGGAGGGGGCAACGAATTGTCCCCAATACTGCCAGAGATCGTAGGGAGCGTGCATCAGGGCATCCTCGCGGCTGCATGGAGTCCTGACGACGAAATCCTCGTTCTCGTCACCGACACGACGCCATCAGACTTGGCCGACGATGGATTAGAAAAGGGACCCAGCCTCATCGTCATGACGCGAGAATTTGAGGTGCTCAGCGAGACGGTACTGCGGACAGATGACTTTGGCGAGGGTAAGTCTGCTATGATCTGCACTGCGGCCATTCAAGCTGATCCGTAGCTATCGCAGAACGACCGATTGCGCTGGGGTGGGGCTCCAAGGCAACCCAATTCCATGGCTCTGCTGGCAAGCAAGCAGCTCAGGAGGGAACTAGCAACGAGACGCAGGATGACCCGCGAGGGCCCGCAGTTCCCGACGACGACGGGCTGCCGCACATCACCTGGCGCGGCGACGCCTCCATCTTTGCCATCTCGATGCTCGAATCGGCTCATGTCGGGCGTGTGACTGCAGATAGCAAGCACCATCGGATCCTGAGGACGTATTCCAAGACGGGCAGCCTCCTAGCAACCTCAGAGCCGACATCGAGAGGTGTTTCTCACGCCCTTGCTTTCAAGCCGTCGGGCATCCTCATGGCTACCACCCAACGATACGGCGGCGACTATGCCAAGACACTCGAGGGAACAGAGGAGGGCTCGCACACGGTGTCATTCTTTGAAAGGAATGGACTGCCAAAAGGTCACTTCGTTCTCCAGGACAGAGGCTGTGAGACAATCGTACGGAGTTTGGCGTGGAACAGCGACGGCAGCCTCTTGTCAGTCTGGCTACGCGTGTCCAAGCACTCTGACGTAGTGCAGCTTTGGTCGGTCAACAACTACCACTGGTACCTCAAGCAAGAGTTTGAACAGCCAATTCTTGCTTCGGTTCGTTGGCACCCGGAGAATCGGCACGAGCTCCTGATGGCGCACCAGTCCGGAGAAGTCGATCGGCGAACACTCGTGCTCGATGCAGCGGTATCAGGCGACCAGGCATCATGTTCGGCTGTGGTTGATGGCAAAAGGCTCCTCTTGACGCCCTTCCGGTATCAGAATGTCCCGCCGCCGATGGCTAGTCTCACTCTGGACCTGCCTGCGGTGCCCGTGTCGACAAGCTGGAGTGACGCCGGTCGCACAAGCTTTCTGACAGTCCTCTATGCGCTCGGACGAGTCCAAGTATGGGCGCTACGTTGGAGCAAGAGTGGTAGTCTTCCGGTTCCGTCAGTCTGGGCTGACGTCCAGATCGGTTCCTCCGTCAACTTTGAGGCACGGCAGATAGCGTCCATCTTCTCCAAAAGCGAAGGTAATGACTACAACGCGCAGGTTGCTCTTTTGGGCTCGGAAGACGGACGCTCGGACACAGTCAAGCTCGTCGACTTACGCATTGGCGATGGAGGTGTCAAGTCGAAAGAAGAAGACCATGCTCGTGTCGCAAACCAGAGTACCGGCTTGAAAAGTGTCTTGATAGCGGACAACGTAGCGTCAAGCTTTGGCCTGCATACGGCCGACGGACAACTGAGACGTTTCGCGGCGGATCAGATCGCCTCCAATCTCGTCAGCAACATTGGTCACTTCTACCCTTGGCTAGTTTCATCGACGATGAAGGCGATGACGGGACAAGGAGAAAGCGTCGTTGTCGGTCTGACGGAGAACGGCCTCCTTGCAGCCGGTGACAAGACCTTGGCCCGCGACGCCACTTCCTTTGTCGTCACCAAGACGCATGTGATCTGGACCACGACCGCCCACGAAGCGCGTTTCTTGGCCCTCGCCAGCCTCAATGACCCGAGCGCTGCCCCACAGACCGAGACGCTGAGCCGGCGAGTGGAGCGAGGTTCTCGCATAGTCTGCGCAGTGCCTGCGTCGATGTCATTGGTACTGCAGATGCCACGCGGCAACCTGGAGACAATTTGTCCCCGCCCCCTCGTCTTAGAGAGGGTCCGCAAAGATCTCGACGAGCGACGCTATCGGCGAGCGCTGACCACCTGTCGTACGCACCGCATTGATCTCAACCTACTCCACGATCACGATAGTGAGGCTCTGCTGGCCCACACGGAAGAGTTTGTTGACCTCGTCGACAGTGCAGAGTATCTGGAGCTCTTCCTTTCCAACCTTCGTGATGAAGATGTGACGTCGACCCTGTACCCGGTGGGGCCCGCTCCCAAGGAGAAAGTCGTGAGACCGGGCAAGGTGAATCGCGTATGTGACAGCATCCGCAGCGTCCTCGACAGGAAACAGAGTGATGGACATGTCTACATCAACACTGTCCTCACCACCTTTGTGCGCAAGACGCCGCCAGACTATGAAGGCGCTCTTGCGCTACTCAAGAAGCTCAAGGAGCAGGATGCAACCTTGGCAGACGAAGCGTGCAAGTACGTCATCTTCCTCACCGATGCTGATCGACTGTTCGACGCTGCGCTGGGGACGTACGACTTCACATTGCCCCTCTTGGTCGCCCAGCACTCTCCCCGGCGCGATCCGCGGGAGTACCTGCCGCTGCTGCGCGAGCTTCGAAGCGTCGAGCCAATCGAAAAGCAACGTTTTCGAATCGACGATCACCTTGAGAGAAGAGCAAAGGCCCTCGTTTGGCTCCTTACGGGTGCTCAGAAGCACGAGGCGAGCACGTTCCTACCAGAAGCGCTCACGTATCTGCGCAAGCACAACTTGTATTGGGATGCCCTTGAGTTCATTTCCAAGGATGGTAAACAAGATGCGCTTTCGACGACAATCCAGCTTCATTGCGCTGAATGGCTCCTCGACCAGGCAAAGGAGTACGAACAAGCAGCTATTCTGTTTTGTAACGTGCGCAAATGGGGCAAGGCCATCGAGGCCTACATTGCCGCTGGACAGTGGAGACTTGCTATGACGCTCGCCTCGTCGCAGCCGAAGGCCACCATCGAGGGCGTGGCCAGGCGAGCCATCGAGAAGCTGAGAGCGGATCAAAGGTACTCCGAGGCTGCCACGCTGTCTCTCGAATACCTCGCCAACGAGGTCGATGATACGGTGGATCTGCTTCTACTCGCGCGTGACTGGGCAGGGGCTACTCGGTGCGCAGCAAGTCGTGATAGGGCAGACCTGGTCCAGACGGTCATTTGGCCCGCTGCGACCGAAGCAGCCGCGGACCTCATCGAGGAGGTCCAGAACGACGTCGCGATCCAGTTCAGCAAGCAGATTGAAAGGCTCGCCGAGCTTCGTCGAAAGAAGCGAGAGCAGCCGCAGGACTTCTATCCCGCCGGCTACAACGATGCGGGGGCAGACGACTCGGCTAGCGTCATGACTGGGACGAGTGCGGGCGGGAGTGCATTTAGCACCTTTACGAGATATACAGCTATCGCGTCGTCGTTTTCTGCTTCCGTATCGGACTCACCCTCTTCTTCATCGGCGGGTGGCTCGGCTTCGGTGCGGAAGAAGCTGAAGAAGAAGGAGGAAAAGGCGAAGCACACGGGGAAAAAGGGGTCCATCTATGAGGAAGACTACCTGTTCACGAGCTTGGCCAAGCTCCTCGGCGAGCATCGGTGGGGGAGGATCGGGGCCGAGGCAAAGGCCCTTGTCGTCTGTCTGGCCTTTGCGAGCAAGACGTCGGGTAGTGTCAAGCATGCAGAGGCGGCCAAGAAGCTTCAGCACACACTCGAGACATTCGAGACAATTGCCAAAACCAGGCTCGAGGAGCTGCAAAAGGCAGTGACGGCCGAGGAGGAGCAGCTCGAAGCAGATCGGTTGGAAGCCATTGAGCAGGCATTTGAGCTCGGTCTCTCGCCAGACGAGATGAGGAGAAAGAAGCTCTTTGCGCCCATCATCTCGAGGAAGCCCATCATGCTCTATCCAACGTCCCCAGAGGGGGCCGCGGCTTCAGCAAAGGACGCAGAGTCGTGGAAGATTGAGGCGCTGCACCTGTTGCTTTCACAACCTCATCAAACATCGTAATACGAAGGCTGTCTTTTGCATTGTAATACGAAGGATGTCTTCTGCTTACGCTCGAAAAACTTCTTTGCGGTAGGGGCAGATGGCGTAATGAGCTCTTGTAATGGCAGGCTCTGTCTGATCGCTCGTCATCGCACACCTCGAGCCTCTAGGCGCCTTCATGACCGCCAATGTCGCGTCCACCGAGGATCCTCTGCTTGATGCGATCGTATCGACCTGTGAGCAGTCGTTAGATCAGCGGAAGAATACTTTAGTGAGTGAGGGAGATTGACCACGTACGCCTGATTGAGATCTCCGTCCTACCCATCTCGTCGGCGAGGCATTTGACCGTGTCTTTGCTCAGCGCAGGCAGCTTCCCACCAAGCACAGCCAGAATGATCTTTTGATCTGTGTTTCTTCCCCACATCAGTTGAGTAGGAAACAAACATCGGTGGCGACTTCGGCCAAAGGACGCACCCTGGTCTGCGTCCCACGCCTGCTTCGATGGCGTTTCCGGATTCGACGCCGCGGCAGTCTTTCTAGCTTTCTTGGGTGTGGTGGGAGCCGAGCTTTTTATGCACTTGCTGCTGCTTTCTTGTTCATCCTCACTTTCGTCCCTGGCTTGACGCTTGTTGCTTGCCATCTTTGGAGTTGGTGCGAATTTGCGTGTCGGGAAGGTAATCGCTAGGATGTAAAGTAGATGCTTGGTTCCTTTTCCTGCCCCGAAGCTTTCTGGTTCACTGATCTTCTTCCTTTCTCCCTCGTGACTCCGCGCCGCCGAGGGACACTGTTGTCCCTCGGTTGGAAGATACATCACTACAGACTTTTGATGAGCGACAATTCGATTCGTTTCTTGACAAACAAGTGTCTAGCATTTGACAGCATTACGAGAGGGAGAAGGGAAGAAGAGAGGAAGGAACAGCTCAGGAAAGCTTTCCGAGGAGCATGGCCCTCAGCTTGTTGTAGCGTCTAAATAGCAGCGAGAAAGCGGGAAAAGAAACATTGTCAGCTAAATTGCGACAAGCTGGAAGCTGGAGGACCGCAAACCTCTGCTCACAAGCGCACGGCTTTTTCGGTGCGACCAGTCTTGCTGGCGAGCATTGCCACCTTGTCGCTCGAAAGCGATGGTAGCTTGTCGAATGCAGCTGCGTAAATCATCTGGTCTGTTTCAATGATCTCTTAGCACGCACGCCAGAAGAAGAGCGATTGAAACCGGGTTCTGCGCTCCTACCTTCTTCCTCTTTCCACGGCTGGCCGCCTCCCGGTGTCGTAGGTCCCTTCTTGAACTTTTTCTTCTGTGGGGTGCTTGATTGCTTTACGTCGTCGCTCTTTCTATCGGTCTCGTCTGGAAGCAAAACTGCATCAGAGCTGAGTTCGCGCTTGGGCGGCATCGTAGCTTGAGAGGCAGGAGGAGGTCCAGTGATGCCGGGATGATGGAGGAAAGAAGAGAGGGGCGGGTGAATGCTCGCTCGCAACTTCTTCGCTCTTTTCTCTTCCCGTCGGAGAACGGAGGAGCAGAACGTCATCACACGTGAGCGTGGATGTCGGTGTTCTCAGATCGCTGAAGCAGACGGGGATTCATGTTGTGAAGGTCTTGGACATTGAGGTGCGAGGTGTCAAATACCAGACTTATAAAAGAAGAGTCTGGAGAAGAGGGGAAGGTGACACGAGTGCTGACGATGCAGCGAGCCTCTAGATGCTTCTTTTCGTTTTCTTCGGGGTCTTCGGATTGGCTTCACGGGTCTTCAGTCCTCCGAGTAGCTTATGGCGAATGTGATGGCTGTAACGCACTGTGATAGTGGGAGCCACGACTAAGTAGAATGGACTACATGGACGATTGCGTCCTCGAGGCTCACAAGAGAATGCATTAGCGCTGCGACCAAAGCGCTCCGAGAGCTTCAAAGCCTCCTCCTTCCTGAGAGGAGGTAGCGTCTCTCCAATGACTGCTTTGATGATGGCGTTGTCTAATGTTCGAGAAGGTGTCATTACGACGAAGCAGCTCCCCTCTGTCAATCGAAAGCGCGTGTCTGGCTACTCACCTTCTTCTTGAGTCCAAGGTTTTACCTCTTTCTTGGCTCTCTTCTTGGCTGGAGTCTCTTCGTCGCTTTCTGATTCTTGCATGGCGGCTCTCTTCTTGCCCTTCTTCGGAGAGCGCTCAGGTGTCATCTTTAAATCATTGACTTCACCAAGAGACAGGCTGCTCATTTTCTCCAGTCTCACAGGCGTCGTGGTTGGAGCGAGACCTTCGTCGTCGCTCGAGGGCGGCGTCGTAAGCTCAGCCTTGGTGTCTTTGCGCTTCGACATGCTGCAGTATCCAAGAAGAGATCAGTTCCCAGTGTGTCGAGAAGGTCAGGGGAGCAGTTGAGGACTGAGAAGCGGTCAAGTGAAGAGTACAGTGGTAGGCGGAGGCTGACACTTGGGTCCGCGTTCCCTCGAACAGAGGCTAGATATTCAAGGGACAATGGGCGTTCATGTCCGCCCGCGGACGCAATCGGACTCTCATGCCTTCTAAGCATCACGTTTGCAACAAAGCAGGTGGGAAATACCCAAGTCAGAGGGAGAAGCCTGTGTGCCGTCTATTAAGAGCCTGGAGCTTGAGTCTAGGATATCTCAGTGCTTCTTCATAGCGGACATGGTCCAGAAGGATATATCTTCATTACTAAAGAACAGAGCTATTAACGAGATTACGAGATTTTGCTGTGGCGGCGCTTGTGACTGGTTCTCAAGCTTAGAGCGAGCTTCAATCGGCTTTGACAGAACAAAATGACGAATTCGAGCGAAATGCTTTTGCAGCATCGCGATGGGGATGGGGAAAGGTGGAAGGCGAAGGGGAGTGAAGTGCAGAGGGGAGCAAAGGTGAGATGGCAGCCTAATGAAGCTGCCTGCTGGCAATTGCCGCCTTGTTAAGAGGCGGGACTGTGGCAGTCTGGTTGAGAGTGTGGAGATTCTGCTGGACGTTGGAATCACCTTCGCCGAGCTTGGCGAGGATGTTGATGAGGCCGATAAGAACCGGCTCCAGCTCGACGCCCAGCGCGACAGGGTCCAGGGGAGAGTCGAGCTTCTCGTCGCGCTGGCAGCCCTTGTTGTTCTTGAGCTTGCCCGCGAATCCATCGGCGACCCATTGGAGGGTCTGGGGAAGCCCATCAACGATTGTTGTGAGGTGGCCGCCGGCTTGGTAGGTGGTAAAGTGGACGGCAGCACCACGGTTGCAGTACGTGTCGACAAGCGTCGACGTATTTGCGTAGGGAATAATTTCATCCTGCGAGGCATGGTAGATCAGGATCGGCTTGGTGGGCGTCTCGAAGGCGTTGGATCCCATCAGGTTGTCGTTGAGAACACCAGCAACCTGGGGGTCGTACAAAATCCTGTCGCCGAGCGAGCTGAACTTCTTGTCGGCCACCTTCTGGAATGCAAAGCTGAGAATGTCATCGACGACGCAGTGGGTCGAGGCAAACTGCAGTGCCTGTTGACCTGCCGGCGTGGCGACGCGGTTGACGAGCTGTCTGAGCTCAGGGTAGGCGCTCTCCGCTTGGAAGCCCACAATGGCAGGCGGGAGGAAGCCAGAGAACGTGGTTCCATCGACAAATGCAAACGTGCCCGTCAGGTTGGCGGGAACACCACCGATGGCGAAGCTAGCAATGTTGATCTCGGGCGCGTACGTGGGCTGGAGCTGAGCAGCCCAACCGACGGCAATGGCTCCGCCAGAGTAGCCCTGAAAACCATCCAAAGTCAACATTTTGATTCGTGGCGATGGAGGATTTCCTGATACTCACAACACCCGCTACCATCGAGTTGGGCTTGAGGCCGAGGTCCTTGAAGTTCTGCGTAGCACGCATGCTGTCGAGAACCACGCGTCCAGCGAGGCGGCCCTAAAACGAGCACAACAGCAGTGAAGAGGAGATTTATGCAAAGACTCGGTCAGTAGAGTTTTAGAGGGGAGGAGGTCTTGAGAAAGCGCTCACCACTGCGAAAGCGCTGTCAGGACCTTCGTGGTCAGGAATGGAGACGGTGTAACCAGAGAGTAGGTAAGCTTGGACAACGAGGAGGTCGGCTTGGACGAGCAGATTCGAGGGGAAGGCGAGGAATTGGTAGTTGTAGCTTGGCGCACAGATGCTCGCAGAGCTGGAGAAAGAAAAGACTCGCATGAATGAAGTGCTACGCGGACTTGAGTCACGGCAAACTCACCTATCCTCCTCGTTAGCAAAGCTGACGAAGCGATCATTGGGGGCCAGAAGAGGTGAAAGGATTGTGACGACCGAGACAATGGGCTTGTTGTTGATGCCATTAGTACGGAAGAGGACCTGGTAGGAGCGAACGGAGAGGATGTCGACGATTAGACCCAGACCGGCCGGGATGAAGCTGCGAGAACGAATGACAGTGCCCGGGGCAAGGAACTCGTAACCCGCAGGCGCCTGGTAAAAGGGGTCGGTAGCGGGGGTTTGGGGAGGAACAAGACGCTTGCTGAAGCCATTCGCGGCCTCGACATTGGCGATCAGCGAGATGACGAGGAGGAAGGCGCTCACGAAGGAGCCTTTCAACAGCAGCATGATCTCAGAATGAAATGGGAGGGGTAAGGGAGGGGCGGCGAGGGGGCGGTCGTGACGAAGGGCGGCTGGAATGGAACAAAAAGGAGCATCGAGCGGCTTTTGAAGAGTCTAGTGTAGCCACAGGGCACATGTGTTTCGCTGCTCCTGTTTGAGAGAGGTTTCAGTCTAAAGATTCTCGGTGGGACACGACCACACTGCGCATCTGCACTAACCCCAGTTCTTCTGCACGGAAGGTGCAGTTGAGAAATCTCCTTAACGGGCTTTAGCGCAGAACCTGGGGAAAGAGGAAACAAATTAACTAAATCGATCTGCTTTGCAGGAACACTAGCCTGATTGCTGTGCGGTTTTTCCGCGGGAATCCTGCTGAAAAGGTCGAAGAAGAGAGGGTTGCAGGTATCTTCTTCATCGACGGTATCTCCTTCATCGACGAAGGAGATTGCTTTTGGAATCCTGAAGCCAGTCCCCTACCTTACTTTAGTGCGTGTTCAGCCTCGACAATTCGGCGGTTATGTCAACGATCTCACTGGAGCATCTATCTAGGCCTGAACGCACATATATTATTTCTTTTGTGCTTGGGGAGAGGGAGGAACGCGGAAAGGTACACGCACACACGAAGTTCTGTTTGGGAACAGTTCGGAGGTTCATGACAGCTATGACGATCAAAAGTCCTTTTCTTGGGGTGTCCAGATGGTCCATTCGTTGATGGACGACATGCCAAAGATGTGTTTGCCACCCGCAACGCTCTTCTCGACAGCCTTGGGGGCGTAACCTGTCATCTTGCGGTGGTACTTGAGATATACATCATCACTCTTGTCTTCGTCTATCAGGAGCTGGACCAGGAGTTGAGCATCGATCAGAGCGGTGTTGGCACCCGAGCCTCCTGCTGGTGTCATGGCGTGGAGAGCATCTCCGAGCAAGATCACGACATTGAGATCGTCGCGGTTTCGAAGCAATGTCACATCCTGTGGCCTAGTCGATCGGATCGGGAGAAGCTGGCTCTCATCGATACTCTGCTCCTCAAGGACGGCCCTGACAGATGGATGCCACCCGACTGTCATCTCGAGCGTGACCTTCTTCAGCGCCTGGGCTTCTCGTGTCCGCCCCTTCGGAAAGCGCTTTTCGTCTCCGACGAGGACCCAGTAAAGATAGTCTGAGGGAACCTCGAATTCGGAGAGAGCATCACTGTTGCGACTCTTGAACCGCACCGGCTCCGAGAAAAGCGCGAGATCCGGCGCCGAGTCGCGCGTCAGTGTCATCGAGTTCAGAATCGTGGTGTGGACGTGCTCGCAGCGCGAAAGGAGCGTCTTGCCGCTGACGCAGCGGCTTCTCGTATCATAGAGCTTGATCGAGGGTGCCGCCATCGCCCGCAGCCGAGAATTTGCACCATCAGATCCGACAATGAGCCTTGCGCCCGCGACGGAGGTACCGTCAGTGAAGTGTGCCGTGATTCCCTCGACCCGATCCACTCGTTTGCCAAAGGTGACGTGTGATTTGACTTCCCTGAACAAGATGCGCCTCAGCACGCTGCGATCTACCACGTAGGGCCCCAGTTGCTTGCGATCTGCAAGACCTGGAGTGATTGGTAGTGTTGCCGAATTACCTGGCCCTCGGGCACCGGGAGGAAACGGGCTAGGTAGTTCCCTCGCCTCTTGTGCACTCAGCGAAGCCATGCCATTAAGCCTGCCGCAGCTCTCGAGAAATAATCTCCACGTCTCGGGGCTCAGCAGGTCTTCCAACGCCTCCCCCCCTCCCCCATGGACTCGAATGCGATAGCCTTGACCGCGCGAGTCGAGACTTGGGTCCGCCTCGTACACATGGAAGGCGATGCCGTGCTTGAGCAGGCCATTTGCCAAGCCCAAGCCTGAGATGCCAGCACCGCAGATGATGATTGCTCCTTCTCTCGCCATTCTGTACGTTGATGGAGGGCCGCTCGAGCGACGAGCGATAGGGTCATTACTTAACCTTTTATGTTTATTGGGCTCGTCAGAACCGGAGACAAGCGGACGTCATGCTATTCGGATAGTGGCGGAAATTGGCGGAGATACCAAATAAAGGCCATAAGTCGGCATTACATTTACCATTTCTCCCTGCAAGATCTTGATTGATAGCACCGCCGGTATTGCGGTTGAGGTGTTATGCGTTGAAATAGTCATAAATTACAAGGACAGGACAAGCTCAATCTGCACAAGAGGAGAAGAGTGCAAAGCGGCGAAAGTGTATTTCTTGGTCATGAGAGGGAGCCCAAGAGGCATCGTGCCCTCCGAAGAAGCTGCCAAGGATTGAGCGTCAGGTTCGCAACTGGGTAGAGAGAAGGAGAGGCAGAGACTCTTACGTAGAAAAGAATAGGCCCACTTCTCCCTCTTCTGTGCAGGCTCTGGGAAAGCGGAGCTTGTCAAAGGCAACAATGTTATGCTGCCCATCAACGTCAAGCCGAATCTTGCCATCAGCAGCCCCTCCAACGGAGCTCGTCGTGACGCGGAGACTGATGCTGGTCCAGCGCCCCCTTGCAAATGTAAAGGCTCCCCTGCCGAGCGAGATGCCGTAGCTGGGATCAACGATGGTCTTCGGAGGCACGCCTAGGATGTCTTCGGGCTGGTCCTGGGGAAAGTAGAGGTAGACTTCGCCAAGCCCCTGAAGTAGTCGTCAGATCTTACGTCGCTGTTGGAGGGGTGCTACCAGGAGCACTCACCTCTGCTCTCCACATGAGCCGAGCGCTGAAGCCGGCCTCTAAATCTTGGTCTTCCCTGAGCCCGCCGCTGGCACCTCTGCCCCCGTAGAGCCCCGGCAGCTTGCCACCCTTGACCCAGTCGAAGTCGTCGGAAAAGCGGACCTCATACGAGAGCGTCGTGGTCGTCTTCACCCTGTGTGCAGACCTATCTATAGAGAGAGGTTGGCCGTAGAAATTGAGACCGCCCACATTGTCCTTGTGCCTCGGAGCAGTGCTACCGGCCGGATAGACAACCCGGAGAACATTGCAATCTTGTCCCCCCGCCTCCCTAGAATCCGGAGCTGGAGATGTCACTGTTGCGTTGTTAGCCCCATTTTCAGGCCGGACCTTTCGGACAGGGTGGAAGTCGTCGAGAGACGAGAAGTGTGGATCGAGACGCCATTGTCGCAGAGCGCACACAGGCATCGGTCATCGAGGTGGAGGACACCACGGGCCCACTAATGGCGAAGCGCGGAGACCGTGCCCAATCTCATCAGTCTCCGCATTTTCACAATCCCTGCTGAAACTTACAAAGACAGGTGCGGGCCATGCAAGCCTTCGAAAGAAAGCAACTGCGACAGAAGCTAAGAGCCAATTTGACGTTACAACATTGACACTCACCACAGTAGGGAAGCAGCGCTCTCGAGGGCAATAGAGGTCTTGCGCGATTGCTTGGGCTTATCTTCAGTGTCATATCGGTGCCTCTCCGTCACCCTTGATTTTGGGTAGTCCTGCATCTCCCCCTTTACAATCGGGCACAATTATTCCAGCAAGATGTAGAGCGTCAACAAGGCGGCCAGTCAAGGCTCTTGACCACTCTTTGATCACCTTGCCCGATTTAGAAGAAAAAGTGCGATTTCGGAGATAAACGATCTCCGAAATAGTGAGCAAGGCGCGAGTGAGCAAGACCCGTACCGTCAGCTTGCTTCTTACTGAGAGCATGGCTGCAGTGTCGAATCCATATAAAGGGATTCGCTCTTCTTCACGTCTTTCGGACAGCTACTCCTTCTCTTTACTCCCAATAGGACATGACTACCAGACAAAATGAAGCAGCATGGATCGTACAGGACAGGGCTCCTCTCGTGGTCCAAAAAGCACCCACCGTCCCACCCGGTCCCTATGAGATCCTCGTCGAAGTTCGTGCAGTTGCCATCAATCCCGTCGACTATAGCATTGCCCAGTTAGGTCAAAAGGTCTTTCCATGGCTTTCCTACCCGCGCCAGGCTGGCTTCGATGCTGCAGGCTCCGTCATCGAGGTCGGCGACAGAGTCAGCCGATTCCGCATCGGCCAGCGAGTCGTTGGACATGCATCACACTTCAACGACAAAGACGCTCACAAGAAGCCTGGATATGGCGCTTTCCAGCGCTTCACTCTTCTGACTGAACACATGGCAAGCGTCATTCCTGACTCTCTCTCGTTTGAAGACGCATCGGTCTTGCCGCTGGCTCTCTCAACGGCCGCCTCAGGCCTTTTTGAGGCAAACCAGCTCGCCCTCGCCCTACCTTCGCCGACACCCTCACCAAATGGCCTCTCGTTGCTCGTATGGGGAGGCGCGACTAGCGTGGGGCTGTGCGCCATCCAGCTTGCCGTTTGCGCGGGTTACGACGTCGTGACGACGTGCTCCCCTCACAATGACGCCTTGGTCCGCAAGCTCGGTGCACGGGCTTCCTTTGACTACAGGCAAGCAGACAGCGTGGAGAAGATTCTAAAGTCGCTCGAGGGTCGCACCCTAGCTGGCGCTCTGGCCATCAGCGGGATTCCACACACGGCCGACATTATCGAAAAGTGCGCCCTTGTTGTCGACCGGGCGCAGATGGAGCCTGGCAGGCGAAGATTTGTTGCCTCTGCCATTCCACTAGGAAAAGAGACCGAAGCAAAGCTAAGAGACGGTCGGGTCGAGGCGAGGTTCATCTGGGGAAGCTCACTGGCTCAATCAACGGTGGGAGCGGCAATCTATGCCGACTTTCTGGGACCGGCCCTTGAGGTGGGCACCTTCGTCGCTGCTCCGCCGCCACTTATTGTTGGCAAAGGTCTGGAAAAGATCCAGGAAGCTTTCAGCGCGGCAAAGAAGGGTCTCTCTGCCCAGAAGGTCGTCGTTTCACTTTGACTTCGGAAGGAGAGAAGGAGGGAGTTGGATTTCACTCAAAGATACTGTATATAAGGGGTAAGCTCTCATATGGCTAGGTTTCGGGACTGTGAAGTACTTGATCGTAAAGGTATTGAAAGGATCATCAGGAGCGCCATAGGTTCGTCGATGTAAGCATACTCCACTAAGACTCTTCCTCTTGTGGCGATGAGGACCTATTCTTCTCCTCGAAGCCATGCTCAATCTGTCCAGAATCGTTGACCAGAGGCCTTCCCTTCTGGTCGTACATCCTTGGCGTACGCTTTTCGATCCGCACGACGTCGTACGGATTGTAAATGCTCGCCTTTTCGAAGAAGGTAGATACTTCCTATCAAGAGAGTAAGCTCGTAGTCTGCAAACCGACTTCCAACACTGCCAAATGCTTACCTCAAGAGAGCGACCGGCTGTCTCAGGGAAGATAAAGTAGGTCGAGATGAAAATGGCAGTGTTGAGGACGGCAAAGATAATGTATGTCTGATACTCGATGTTGGCAAAGGCGATTGGAGTTATCTGAAATGGTATTGAGTCAGTCGAAAATCTTTGTACCTCACTCAAAATTTTGGTACTCACAAGGACGACCAAGAAGTTGAAGCTGATGTTGGGGTAACAGTCTTAGCCACAGAGTGTAGAACAAGAGATTGACAGCCACTCACATCCAATTGGACGCGGTCGAGATACCGTTTGCAGCGGCCCGAATGGACAGGGGCGTGATCTCTGCTGGATAGAGCCACGTCATACCAAGCCAGCCGATAGCAAAGAAGGTGTTAAACTTGAGCAGGGGAACCCATGTCAGTTGCCAGGATCGTTGTAAGCAAATGCGAAAGGTTCACACTTACGATGAACAGAAAGGCAGCGGCGACGTAAGCCGGTGCATTGTTGGTGGCATTCCCGTCAGCATCTGGGCGCAAAGCAGCAGGGGATGTGGTGCCTGCGAGAATGGCCATCGAGATCGCCTGGCCTGCTGCTCCAAAGAGCATCAGTTTGCGACGTCCGAAGCTCTCGATTGTCCAGATGGCCACAAAAGAGGCCAAAAAGTATTCTGTGCCATTGCAGGCAGCGACGATGCGCGAGATCCTACAATGGTGTTGGGGAGGTCAGAAAAGAAGAATACCTGAAATAGGAGCAAAGACGAGCAATGACTCACAGTGCCGACATGCCGATTCTCTCTTCGTAGATGGTAGCAGCATAGTAGGTGATGAGGTTGATGCCCGAGATCTGCTGGAACATTTGAATGACCCAGGCCAACGTCATTCTGTGGAAGTTCTTCTCTTTTCCTTGTCTGAAAAGATCGCTGAGGCCGACGCCTGCGGCCTTGTCGAGCGAGTACTTGATCTCCTGGATCTTGATGTCGATTTCCGGATCATCCTCGTGCACTTCATCAAGGGACATCATAACGTGCCTTGCTTCCTCTTCGCGCCCTTTGAGGACGAGCCAGCGCGGTGATTCGGGCATCCAGATGGTGATGAAAGTGGGAACACATAGGAGAATCTGCCAAGCGATTGGGATGCGCCACGATGCCGAACGATGCGGATAGTCTTCTGGGTTGTATGTGCCCGGCTCCATACGCGACGCAGGGTCGAGCCTTGTGATTGATGCATGATAATGGCGTCGATGAGTACGCGCTCGGCGGAAGGGGTTTCAAAGCACGGAAGCTCACCAGTAGAAAGCAAAGTCGATCCAATAGGCCATGCAGATGCCACCAGTGATGAGCAGACCCTCCACCATGACGAGCATGCCCCGCTTGTGAGGCGGCGAGCATTCCGATTGCCACATCGGAATCGTTGCCGTATGCATGCCATTTCCCACTCCACCGACCACGCGGCCAACGATGAGCTGTGCGAGGCTGAAGGAAGACGCCTGGATGATGGCACCGACGATCATCCAAACGGTGCCAATCCAGATGATTGCTCTTCGACCGAGCATATCACCCAACCAGAGGCAGGACAGCGCACCGATCAAGCATCCGACTAGTTCGACGATGCCATCTTAGTGTTCGAAAATATGATCGATTCGCAGCGGCAACTTACTTTCGCTGAAGCCGATGCAAGAAGTCAGCATCGTCGTGTGAAATAGCGGTATGAAGCTGCAACTCACTAAAGACCAATCGTGAGACCCTGCAAGGTCGATTCATTCGAAGTGCCGTCCTTGCCACTAGTGTCAATTTCGGGAAAGACTTCGGTGAACGACGGTAGCGTGAGAAGGGCATTCATGACACCTTGCGACAGACGATTCTATCAGTAAAGAGGCGAGAAACGCAGAGAGGCATCTGCGGAGAATGCCCACCTTGGTCGAAACCAAAGAGGAGGAAGCCGGCTCCAGCCGCAAACCCGATCATGCGAGAAAGGGCGGTGCCGCTAAGGCCGAAGTGCTTCGGACCTTGGTACTCTTTCCCCATGGTCGTCTGATCAATCAGGGATGGCGAATCTGAAAGAAGGCGGCTTGTGCGATCTTAGAGGGCAAAGACAGATAGACAGTAAGCTTAGTGAGTGCTTGAAAAGAGGGCGAGGAGAAAGAGCCTCGACAGCGTCACCCCTTCTTATAAGAGGCTCCTCCTCCTGCGGGCGCCGAGTGTCCCTTCGCCCTACCCCACTCGCCAAGCCAGGGGCATCATGCGGTGCGCTTCTTCGTCAGAATAGTCGCGGAGTGGTTCAAATATAGCACGTTAGAAGCGGCGGAATCCCATACGTCTCACCCTACTTTAGTTCCTGCAGAACTGCTCGATCGTGCGACAGACGCCTGAAGTCTGGGTGCAATCAATCAAGCTAATCGAATCGCGCTATCTGGCTGGATAGTCGTAGCACAAGGTTGCATTCAGGAACTTGTGATGCACCGTAGAGTCGAGCACAGCAGTGGTGAGTTTGAGAGTGGCTCTGACATGCTACCTGACGAGCCAAGACTTCGTCGATACTCTGCCAAGACCCCGTTGATGAATTGCGGCGTCTTGTCTGTCGCTATACACCTTTCCCCCCTCGCTTCCCCGCAATGAGGATAGGAGGTTAGCGCAATGCCGAGAGCACAACTCCTGCTCCCATTGTAGTTGTGATTCAAGCCACCAAAAGTTTCATCGCCAATACTGACCCACGCTGTTGGCACTTCTGGGCAGTAAGGATTGTCACGGTAGAATTATTATGACGGGTTTACGTAGACCTTCTTGGCTCTCGACGTTCCCAGGAACGGGCTCTGAGGAAACGTGGAAGCCACGTGATGCTCACGCAGAGTGATCATTTCACATTCTCCGCGGCCTCTGCACGGTGGAGAAGAAGCGCACGATGGCTGGCCTAATCTCCCGACTTCGACTTCGACGCTCCACAAATTCACTGTGCCTGCGCTTTAGTAAGCTATGCCCGCTCGCTTTGAGGAGCTTCGAGGCTACTGACCTTCCCGCGGGTCCGAGGGCCCCGCCGGCCAAGAGAGCTTACTTCTGAGTCCGAGGATTGTTTAGGCGTCGGTGTTGGAAATAAGAATCACTGGTGTATAAAAAGAGGCGAGATTGGAAAGCTCGATTGCTTGTTGTTGCCACAGAACCCCGCATCCACTCCAGTCTCCCAAAGTAACATGACGACGACAATCCCCACGGTCTTCATCACAGGTGCCAACGCCGGCCTCGGCTTTGAGGTGGTCAAGTCGCTCCTCGCTTCGTCCAAACAGTCGTACCGCGTGCTGCTGGGCGGGCGCTCCTTTGAGCGTGCCACTGAAGCAACGCGAATCCTGACCACCGAGCACATACCTTCCGGCTCTCGCTCCACTGTCGAGCCCGTTCAAGTTGATCTCAGCAGCGATGAGTCCATCGAAAAGGCATTTGAGACGGTGAAGAGCAAGACGGACCGCGTCGACGTCTTGATTAACAACGCCGGTAAGTCTGCGACTTCGACGAGATCTCACTGGAAATTGCCACGCTGACACGCTCTACTGAACGCAGGCGGGCAGTTCGATTCGTATGCCCAAGATGGCAAGATGGGCAAGCGTGAAATGTGGAATTTGTCATGGGACACCAACGTCACAGGGACCCACCTCTTGACCGAGGCGTTTGCACCCCTGCTCCTGGCCTCTTCTGAACCTCGGCTGCTATTCATCACAAGCGGTACCTCGTCAATCGAAGAGGCTTCGCGCGGCCTGCCCTACACCGCCGCGAAGCCCCCAGCAGGCTGGCCGAAACCAAGGTCGTATGAGTTTACTGCATACCGGGCCTCCAAGGCTGGCCTCAACATGGTCATGGTCGAGTGGAAGCGCATCTTCCAGAACGACCCCGTCAAGCTCTGGGCCATCTCGCCTGGCTTCCTGGCGACGAACCTTGCTGGCGTCGGCTCAGACAAGCTCAAGTCTATGGGTGCTCAGGATCCCACCGTCGGCGCTGAATTTGTCCGCGACGTCGTCGAGGGAAAGAGGGACGCAGACGTCGGCACCGTCATACGCCGCGATGCCACGCAGGCATGGTGACGAAGACATCATGTCGTGGTATGATATTCCGAATCTAGCCCTTGTGCTGTTCGATAATTCTTTAGCAGTAGGAATATGAAGACACGACCATTAGATTACAAAGAAGCCAGGACCTCCTTTGCAGCTCGCTGCCCCGAGCGAATAGCACCGTCCATGTAGCCAACCCAATAATCGGCCGACTCGGTACCTGCAAAATGCAGCGCACCCACCTGGGCCCGAAGAGCAGGTCCCACAGTCGTGTACACGCCAGGGCCTGCTGTGGCCGTGGGTCCACCGCGCGAATATTCTTCGAGATCCCACCGCTGGAAGATCCACTGTCGGACGTTATTGGCCTCTTGGCCAAAGTAGTTGACGTAGTCCGGCTGGATAGCATTGATGAGCTCCTGCTCCGTAGCATTGTCCAGAGCGCGCATCTGATCTGCCTCGATGAAGCCCATCAGCGCGCCGAAACGGCCGTCGGAGGGCGAGTTGTCAAACGTCGTCCGAACATTGCCCCGATCCGAGATGGCCTGGCCCGTCTTGCCCGACTGTCTCCAGAAGGGCTTGTCGTAGACTGCAATGGCCTTTCCGATGCTGCCCATCGGCATGCGCTGCGTCAATGCGTCTCGCGACGCCGGAAGCTTGGGCTCATACGAGATCCGACCAGCCAGAGGGGGTGACATGGCAACGACGACGTGCTTTCCTGTGTATGTCGTCTTACCACTCGTCACGACGTTGTACGTTGCTCCTGACTTCTGGATGCTTCGAACGGGTGAGTTCAGCTTGATGTTCTGCGAGCCAAGCTTGGTCGCCAGCTGACTAGCAAGAAGTTCGGTGCCGCCTTCCACGCGCTGTGCCTGGGCTCCATCAGCAGTATCGATGAGCCGCTCAAAAGAACCCTTGGTCGTGGCATTGCCTGCAGCAGCAACGTACGAAACGGCATAGAGCAGGCTAAGCTCGTCAGTCTCTGCCGAAAAGATGGACGCAGAGGCCTCCTCGATGAGGAAGCGCGCAGCGGGGGTGAGGAGCCTGCCATCGAGGTACTGGGAAAACGTCTGACTGTCCCATTTGGCCGCGTTGGTAGCATTCCAGGGATTGTTGACGTTGATCTGCGACGCCATGTTGTCGAAGTCATTGATGAAAGACAAGAGTTGCAGGAGTGTGACGGGATCCTGGGGCGGCACGGCACCCAAGACGGGGGTACTTGAGCTGTACGTCGATGCCTTGCCGTTCTGGTATATGACATTGTCGCCCGTGTTGTAAGTGTCGAAGAGCTTCAAACCCAGATCCGAAGCCAGCTTGATGACTTCGTCCTGCGTCGGTCCGACAAATTCGGCGCCCACTTCAGTGTAGCCGCCGTTGGCGAGCTGAGCATTGTGCACCCTGCCTCCCGTTCGATTCCGTGCTTCGAGGACGACGAAGGACTTACCAGCCTTGGCTAGCTCTCTCGCCGTCGAGAGGCCCGAAAGGCCGCCGCCAACAATGACGGCATCGTAGACAGTCGCACACCAGCACAGCGGTGCCAAGAGCACGAGTGCCGTGGCAACAGGGACGATCATCATCTGTGGTGGTTCATAGTCTGGCAGTCAAAGGCTTCAGATAGATTGAAGAGAGACAGTTGTGGTGTGGGTTTGTGACAATCAATGCACGCTAAAATGGCCTCATGCCCTTTCTAAGAACAACCTTGATGTCTTGGCCTTTCTTCACCCCACGTTCTTGTGTCTATTTGTCAAGACATTGAGCAGACCATTGTCATCCCTATGGCAGCTTTTCGAGCGGATGTCCAAACCAGAGAGCCTTCCGTTGATCGGCGTGCGGTCCTCCCTTACAAAGAGACCGTTAAGTAGCCAAATCAATCATCATGCAGGTGGGGGTCCGAATCCTTTTTCGCGCACGTGCCTCCTTCTTTGGCCACTTATGGCCTGTCTGATGGTGATTACACCTTAGACAGGCGTCCAGGACGAAGAAAGGACCGACGGTGGCCCTGCGTATGTAGACGGCAAGGGTTGCGGGTGGAGCGGCCGCCTAGCTCTGATAAGAAGAAGCGCCGTCTAGGCGGGCGAGATTGAACTCTTACCAGACCCGGTTCCGAGCGAGGCCCGAAGACCGGAGACATCGCGCGCCTTTTCTCGCACTCGGGAAAGATCGCGTGTGCTCCTCCCCCGCCCGGGCCACTCCACAACCTTCATTTCACAATTCAAGAAGGGCAACTTCCCCTCGCTCGTCGTTCACTTCCACTAGGGGTTCACTCACTCTTTCCTCTCAGAAGCTTACTCCATCCACCAGTAAAAGATCGCTCAAGCAACCATGGGTGCCGACGACTACTCCCCCCCTTCGACAGACATCATCACACTTACGAGGCACGTCCTCAATGACGGCTTCAACCTCGCAAAGAGCAGCGCGGCGTCGGGTGACCTAACGATCCTCCTCGCCTCGCTGCAGACGACGTGCAAATTTATTGAGTCCAATGTCCGGAAGGCCAGTTTGATCAACCTGTGAGTCCTGCTTGTCGGCCAGCAAAGCAAACCCTAGCCTGCACCCCTTCTGAACAGAAGATTTGCGTGTGCCACAGAATCGGGGCCGCAGGCAACACCAACGTGCAGGGCGAGGACCAGAAGAAGCTCGATGTCCTCTCCAACGAGATCATGATCAATGCCCTGCGTGCCTCTGGCAAGGCCGCCGTGCTCGTCTCGGAGGAGAATGACGAGGCCATCTTTGTCGGCGAAAAGCAGAGCGGGTCTTCGTTTGAGACGAACAAGGGCAAGTACTGCGTCGTCTTTGACCCCTTGGACGGATCGAGCAACATCGACGCCGGTGTCAACATCGGAACCATCTTTGGCATCTACCTCGTCAAGGACGGCTCCAAGGGCGACCTCTCTGATGTGCTCCGACCGGGCAAGGAGATGGTGGCGGCGGGCTACTGCATGTACGGATCCTCGGCCAACCTCGTCTTGACGACGGGAAACGGTGTCAACGGCTACACACTCGACAACCAGATTGGTGAATTCATTCTCACTCACCCAAACATTCGTCTGCCCGAGCGCGGAAAGATCTACTCGATCAACGAGGGAAACTCGGCCTACTACCACGAGCCCGTGCTCAAGTACCTGGACAGCATCAAGTTCCCCAAGGAGGGATCGTCAAAGAAGCCCTACAGCGCACGGTACATTGGCTCCATGGTCGCAGACGTCCACCGCACGCTCCTCTACGGCGGCATCTTTGGCTACCCGGATGACAAGAAGAGCAAGAGCGGCAAGCTCAGGATGCTCTACGAGGCTTTTCCAATGTCTTTTCTCACTGAGCAAGCCGGCGGTGTGGCCACGACGGGTACCCAGCGCATCCTCGACATTCAGCCCACCGAGATCCACCAGCGATGCCCCGTCTTCCTCGGCTCGAAGGGTGACGTGGAAGACTTGTGAGTGCTCCAGTCCTTCCTTATCCTTCCCCTTCTCTATCCCTTCCCTTTACTGACTCCTTCGCTTTCTCTTGCGCACACCAGGATGAGTTTCTACAAGCAGCAGTAGTAGTAGTAGAGCAGCAATGGAATACAAGATCCAGGAAGCGAAGAAGCTTCTGACATACAATCTTTTGTGAATGCTAAGCCAATCCATCCCTGTACTGCACAAACGCCAGTGCGTTCTCGGCCGTCTCTTCCATCATGGCTCTGAGCCTAGGTGTCTTTCGCTTATCAATGCTCTTTACCACGGCCTTGACCCTTGTCATGGTGCCCTTGAGCCTGGGCCCGACCTTGCAGACCTTGTACGAAGCGTCCCATGGCTTTGTTTCGTCTGCAAATGTGTCAATGAGGCCATTGAGAGCGACGACGAGGCCATCGGGCGACGTCTGAGAGGCGAAGCCGAGCGAGATGGCCTTCGCATCTCCGCCACTGCCGCTGCCGCTCCCTTGGACGGGCACGGCATCGACGACATCGACAAGGAAAGACGTGACGGACCTGTGCGTCTCTGCATCGAGTGTCGGACGTCGAAGGAGCGCTGACAACGTGCCGAGGGCGCTGACCCGAAGCCCGTCAGAGGATGACGACGAGGTCGTCATTGAGGCTGCGTCTCCCTCCGGCTCACTGACCACGTCCTTTGCAGGCGTCGTCGCTCCCTTTGTGCTTCGATAGGCGGCAATCATGCTGGCCACGACGCCCATGCCGTTCCTTGCTGCTGAGGTCTTGTCTGGGAACTCCGAGGGAGCAAGGCAGAGTGCATCGTGCAGCGGCGCATCCTCAAAGCATCTCGAGAGGCTCCACAGGATACCGAGGCACGCTTCCACCGTTGCCCGCCCTTGGCTTGCCTCTTCCAAATCCCCCTCAGAAGCAGCGACGGCAGGCGTTGAGGCGACGCGCGCGGCGAGCTCAAAGGACCAGATCCAAGCCTCGTGCCAAATAGTCTGGACCGACGCACCAGAGAGCCAGGCCAGGAAATTGTCCTTCTTCGCTTGACCAGAAGCACTTGTGATGGGTTGAGAAGGCGGTGGCGGCGCAGCGGTCGCGAGGACCAGGAACGCATTGTGAAGGACTGAAATGGCCCGAGTGGAGATGCTGCGCAGGCCCGAGGCGAGTGCGTTGCTCTCTTGTCCCGGATACGAGTCCGAGATCTGGTCCGAGGGGGAAGAAAGGGCAAGAAGGAGCTCGACGACTTCCAGAGTGAGGAAGCACGCAATGGGTGTCTTTGCAAAGCTCGTTTGCGACTGCTGCTGCTGCTGCTGCTCTTCTTCCCCTTCGTCGGTCGCCATCATGCCGTCTTCCCTGTCGTCGCCCGTTGCGGAGCCCGAGTCGGCTCCCGTCTCGTCGTCAAACATCATCTCCTCGTCTAGCTCCATGCTTTCCTTCTCGCCGTCGTCGTTATCATCATCATCATCATCATCATCATCGTCTTGCTCTTGACTCCTGCTCTTCTTCCATGCCTCGAGGTCGCCCACAACTTCTGCCAAGACCTCCAAGGCAAGCTCGATGTTGTGAAGCTCTTCAGATGCACGCCTCGATTTGCTCGTCTGTTCAGCCTCTGCCTCATCGCCTGCAGTCTCCCTGAATGTATAGCCATCCAGCAGCGCCTTGACCTCACGAGCCCGGGCAGACTGAAGGACTTGGAGGAGGCAGGGCAAGCCATATTGCTCCTCGAAGACCTTGATGACGATTGTGGCCCCACCTGCGCTTGCAGGCAGCCCAAACTTGATAACTTCTCGGAGGGATCTGGGTAGAGAAGATTGGACGTTCCGGAGCGTGGCAAGCGATACAAGGCCCAGGCTGACTGCTTGTCGTTTCAGACTCTCGGCCTGGGCCGTGCTCAGCGCCGCCGTTGAGTCGAGAGCCACTTTCAAGAGGATGACGGCCGACGACAATGCGCCGAGGTTCTTCATCCCCGCCTGCTGCGTGGCGTCGGTTCCGTTGTCACCATCGGCAATGACGACGCCTTTCGCTCTGGCTCGTCGCTTTGCACTACTCGCCTGCTCCCTCGTCGCAGCCCTGAGCTCCTGCTGGCTAATGCCGGCCAGTGCCGCCGAGAAGCTGGCATCGGAATCGCTGAGAGCCAAGAGAGCATTGAGGCATGCCAGACCAGCCTCTACGACCGCCTCGTTTCGCTTTTCTCGATCTTTTTCTCCGACGCTCTTGCTCGCTTGGCCATTGTGGTTCGTCGCTCCATTGGCAGATGCATTAGAAAGTGACTGGAGCGCTTCGACAGACTGTGCGACGGCACCGCAAAAGATGCTCGCCAGAGAGGGCGCCGCCGCATCGCAAGCCTCAAGCGACCGTGGAGACACCTCTACCAGGCACCAGAGAACCGTGACAAGATTCGAGAGGTGGTTGCAGGCGATGGCCGCTGCCTCGTCATCGTCGTCGGGCTCCATTGCCTCAGCAGCAGCAGCAGCATCGTTTCCGCCCTCCTCGGCCATTCGCGCCTTGGCCTTGTTGTAGTGCCTCTTCTCCTTCTTGTTCATCTCTTCGAAAGGCTTCTCAGGCGCCTGTGCCTCGACAGTGGGCTTGACGCTCTTAGCCTCCTCCCTTTTGGCTCCCTCGACGAGACCCAATGTGCCCGCGATAGCGTTGATCTGCTCCAGAATAATCTGCGTGGCTCCCTTGTTTTCGAGAGTCTTCCTTGCCTTGTGCCCAGCCTCGACGCAGATGTTCCTCAGACACCCGGAGGCCGCCATCTGAATCTCGATCTTGTCGTGCGAGGCTGGAGAACTGAGGACGTGGAGGACGCGTGCCACGACGTCGTGCTGGGGCGCGAGCAGCTTGGCGCGCGAAGGCTTGTGTGACAGAAGCGTCGTGAGCGACGTCAGTGCCCAGAAGATGTCGCCGTCCGTCGAGGCTGAGGGCTTGGACGAGGAGGGAAGGGGCAGGTGATTCAGGATCGGGATCACGGCTTCCTGCACGTCGCCCGTGCCGCCGGAGATCACGGCCTGGAGGCCCCCTTCGGACGTAGCACCCTGTCGAGCTGCACGCTGGAGAGGGTTGTGCCGCGTCGCCCGGGCTCGCTCCCGGGCCGCATTGAAGCGTGACTTTGGCATGCTTGGGTTCGAGCGGTGTTGCGAGGAGGACAGGCTGTGGTTTTTGCTTTTTCTTCTCAACTTTTTCTTGACAAAAAAAAAAAGCAAAAAAACCTTGAGAGTGGTCCGTGAGCTAAAGTTTCCCACGTGGATTGAACCTGCAGAGGAAAGAAGATGAGCTCTAGTCTAAATTGGAAGGAAGAGAAAAAGGTCATGGTCGGGACGGTGGTGACAAGAAGGAGGCGGTAAATGACGATGACGATGAGGACGAGGAGTTTACCCCTGCACTCCATCGGGACAGCAAGTGCGCCGCTTCCGAGAGTTGCAGTCAGGCCGCTAGCCTCACAATTTCGATTGGCGTCCTCCTCTTTCTCCTCCTCAACATCCCCTCCTACTTCTTCTTCTTCCTCTTCCTCTTCGACTCCAGCATCATCACCCCCGCCATCGTCCCCTTTGTCAGGGGGTGGACCGCAACCGGATGCAAAAGACTCAAAAGAAAACTCGTTTGCATTCCTCGAGCAGCTGCAGCGGGCGTTCCGGGAGCGAAAAGCAGGCAACGGCAACAGCAGCTCGACGCTCCAGCTGACGCCTGCGCTCCGCCAGAAACTGACCGATGCGAGCCAGAGGTGGAACGTGCTGAGCGGGTACGACGAAGTGCTTCGAAAGACGCTTCTCGTGGACGAGGCCGGTGGGTTCCGATCTCTTCTTTGTTTCCTCTGCTGCAGAATGAACTGATTGTCTTTCCTCCCCTTTTCTTTATTCGATGCCGCAACTCAGAGGCACAGCTCAAAGAGATCCGAACGCGGCAAAAGGAGGTGCGGCAGGCGTACGTCGATGCCGTCGCGCGCCGCTCGGCCTCGCAGCGGCGCATCAACGATTTGCTGCAGCGAAAGAGCGCCTGGACAGACGAGGACCTGTCTGCTTACACGGCCCTGCTTCGCGCCGAACACGGCGAGGGCCGGGCCGAGTCCGAGGCGCAGGCGGCCTACGACGGCGTCGAGCGCGAGGTGGGGCGAAGCTGGGATGCCGTGCAGCGCACCACGCTGGAGCGGTACCACGCCGAGCAGGTCTGGCGCGACCGCGTCCGCGAGGCGAGCACGTACGGCAGCATCGTCGTCGCCGTCGTCAACGTCGTCGTCTTTGTGGCGGCGATCCTGTTTGTGGAGCCGCTGAAGCGCAAGAGGCTGGCACGGACGTTTGAGGAGCGGCTCGTCAAGGTCGAAGAGGACCACACGGCCCTTGTCCAGGGCCTTGTCCAGGACTTGGCCAGCGACATGGGTACAAAGGTGCAGGGTATCGATGAGCGGCTCGGTGTGCTTCTGCAACGAGCAGGCGTGGCGCTGCCCAACAACGAAGAGGGGATTCGAGCAGGTGCGTCACCTGACGAGTCGTCGTCGGCCACGACGCAGCCGCTGCCACCATCAACATCAACACCAGCAACATCACCATCAACATCACCGCCGCCGCCGCCGCCGTCGCCAGAGAGGTCCCAGACGCACAGGAAGGACATGGCTCTGGCTGGCGGCCTCGGATTCGCCCTCGGTGCAGGCATCTTGGCCGCCATGGGTGCCGTCTGGAGCTAGACAATCTGGAACAGCAAATTGCATCTTCACCTCTCTTGACAATTATAATCATTTAGTTGTGGCTAAGTTTTGGGCCTCCTCTTCATGGCAGCGAAGTGTGCGGCCTTCTATCTACAAACTGTTCCTGGTCTTGATTCTTTTTCCACCTTCTAGTTGACGGGCACCTTGGGCTTGCGGACCGAGTCGATGGGAATCTCGCCCGAGATGATCTTGGAGACGACGTCCTTGACCTCGGTCCAGTCCTTGAACATGCGGTGGGGGATCTTGTGGTTGTCGACGTACGTCTTGAGGTCGTTGTCCTTCTTGTCCTTGACGAAGAGGACATCAGCGTGGCGCGCAGCAGACATGTCGGAGCTGTGGTGCCATATGGTCAGCTGTGGTCCGTGTCATGGAGAGAGATGACCAGGCAACTCACATGCCATCGCCGGCGAAGAAGAGCAGCGGTGGGTTCTCGAGCTCGCGGTAAGGCAGAATCGAGAGGCTCTTGTCGTGTCCAAAGTGGCTGTATGGATCAATCAAGTCAGCTTTCGATGCTATAAAGAGCCGAAGGAGGAGATATGCGCGCTCGCGAAAGTGCAGAAAGAGGGACACTCACTTGTCAGGGTGTCGGTAGACGAGCTCCCACGTCTTTCCGACCTTCTCCGGGTCGGTGAACTTGACGTCGTTGGCAACGACGTCGATCTTGTTGGCCTCCTCCTCGCCAATGAGGTTGGAGAAGATGCTCCGGATGATGGGGACCATGCCGCTGGAGACGACAATGATGGGGATGTCGTGCTCCTTTGCGTACGCGTGGAACTCCTTGAAGCCCGGGTCGAGGGTGACGTCGCGGCGGACGAGCTCCTCCATCTCCTTGAAGGGACGGTGGACGGACTCGACCATCTTGCGGAAGCCATCGCGGTAGGAGACGCGCTCGTGGATGATCTCCTCGTTGATCTTGCGGCGCTCCGTGTAGCCCATGCCGACCGTGTCGACCATGTGGTCGTTGGAGTCGAGCTGGGTGATGGTGCCGTCAAAGTCGGTCAGGAAGACAAACTTCTTGTCGGCGTACTGTCCGTTTCCAAGCGCATGTGAGCAACAATGGCGGCGCTATAGAATTCGTCGCAGAGGGCGGCGGGCAGAGCCTATCTCGCGCGCACTCACCTTGAGAGTGTCAGCCATGATGATAGATTCCGTCAGCGAGAGCTTAGAGTTGGAAGGCGATTCGGATGGTGGCAGCTTCTCAAGCGGCGAAAACTTTTGCGCGTGCAGTGTTGGTCCAAGCTCCCCTTGCCTACCTTTGCAACCACGCTGGAAATTTCACGCCTCGCGATCGAGGAAAATAACAAAACGTTCCTGGATCCTCCGTTCAGGCTTCTAATCTGAAGCCCACGTGTTCAGAACCCGGCTTGACAACCGACTTTAAGCCCCCCAACAGACTGAAGGATGCTGACAGCTACTACAGCACCAAGCTAGCACTCTCTACAAAACACTATAAGTTGGTAGGTAATGGCAATCAAAATGCAAAAGCAAGGGAATCAGAGTTGCCGAGAATAAAGTTACATGCAACTTGTTCTTGTCCCGGGTGCAGCGAAAGAGATGGAAGGAATAAGAGGAATCTAACCCAAGTTGAAGGAGCTGCCATTGTACTGTTGACCCATGAAACTAGATGTGTTGTTGCCGCCGGCACCACCACCTTGAGGATTGTGGACTTGCTGCGAATGCTGTGGCAGGCCAAGCAGCTGTGGAGGCGGCCAGGTGTTGTGATCGTAGGCTGATGGCGCAAAGCTGGACGAAGTAGGGCTAGCAAAAGTCGGGCTCGTCGGTTCGTCGGTATGGCCCATCATATTAGCTGGCGGCGGGCCAGTTGCAGTCAAGTCCGCATTCTCCGCCTGGAATTGCTGGTTCTGCTTCTGCGCCCTAGCAGCGGCGGCCTGGGCCTTGATCTGGCCCTTTGTCGGCTTGGCTGCCATGGCGATTGCGTTGGGATCTCCCCCACTCCGCTTGACCTTTTTAGCCCAGCGCAGACCGCACGCGTTGCAAAGCGTCTTTGGTCCCAGCGGACCTTTGCGCCATTCCGGTGAGTCCACCCGTCCGCAGTCGGTGCAGACGTAGTCACCTTCCTCCTGCTTTGGCTTTTTCTATCGTATACTGTCAGCAAGCGCTCATTTGGCCGAAGAGTGTTTGTCCGGGTCGAGCTACTCACCTTCTTGCGTTTGCCATCCTCGCCGACGATTCCGCTCGACGGACTCGTGGCATCGTCGCTCTCTTCGCCTGCCGCTGTATCTTTCGTCGCTGTCCTCTCCAGACTTTGCCCCATGATAGGACTCGTGGGGGCCGAAGCCAGGGGTGGAACAGCCGCCATTGAGTCTCTGCGATTGGGCGCACTCGGCTGCATCTGTGCGTGTTGGGGAAAGTGAGGAGTACCGTCCATGTCGAAGCTCTGAAAGTCGGGATTGTAGCCGGCTGCGCCCTCGTCGAGGCTTCTCCGCCCATCACTACCAGCCTCTGTGCTGCTTGCGCCTCCTCCCGTGTGCTGCTGCCGCAGCGGGTGTTGGGGCGTTTCCGAGACGCTGAGCTCGGAGAGGAGCATTCGCAGCCGCTCGTTCTCGAGCTTGAGCTCCAGAAAGGAGTCGAGCATGCCGACGTTCTTGGTCGGGTAGACGCGGCAAGAGCAGAAGAAGCACTGCATCTCGCTGTTGCTGCTTGATTCGTCTACAGCACTGTCGCCGCCACCTTTGTCCTGGATGCCGCCGTCGCCCGTGCCCATGGAAGCGCGGAGCTTGGAAGGACTGCCAAACTCCCTTTTGATGTCCTTTCCGCCTTCAGCGTCGTCCTCTTCACCCTCTTCATCGATCGTCACGCCACCACCATACGGGCCGACGCCGTCTGGAGGAAAGTAGGGGTGGCCCGTGGCCTCAAAGATGACGTATTTGTCCTCCCAGTCGTCGCGGAACATGTTCGTCTCTGCATCGTCCTCCTCGTCTTGGTTACGCAGGGACGACGAAACCGTCGCGCCTGCTGGGCCTGTCGTGGTGCTCTGTGCCGATGAAGAGTCATTGCCCGACGAGGACCCAGAGCGCGAGCGAGCATTGTTGGCATTGGCTTCGCGCTGGTCCTGTATGCGCCGCTTGTCGGCTGCAGACTGCGGTTTTCGTCGGAAGCGATAGTACATCGTGAGCTCCGAACGTTCCTGCATGGCCCGGCTGAGCTCGCGCAACACGACGGCGACGTCGTCTTGGTGGATGAATTCGGCAATTTCTCTTCCCCTGAGATCCTCAGACTTCCAGCCGGTGAGCGTCTGCACACTCGGACTGGCAAAGAGAACGCGCCCGTGGGCGTCGAGGACGTGAACAAAGTCGAGGAGCTCCTCCACGATGCGATTGGGCCAGCCCTTTCGTTTGGTAAAGTCGGTGGCGGCGTTGCTGCCACTGGCCGTGCCATCTGCACCTCGAAGGACCTGGCTTCCCAGGCCAGGGGGGTGCGAGGCCGCGTGGCCACCCAGCAGTGGACCACCACCAGAGCCAGGCGTGGCGGAGCTGGACCCAGACGAAGGATGAGAGAGTCGCTTTGTCGGGGCTATAGCCGGCCGACCAGCCCCGGTGGCACCGAAGAAACTGGTGTTGCCGCTGGAGCCACCCATGGCCATGGAACCGCTGTGAGACCGACGATGCCGGTACGTGGGTCGAACAGAATGCTCGACGTTGTTACCAACGTTGAAGAAGGGCGTTGACGACGAAGAGGACACAGACGACGAGGGGTCGAGCTGGTGATGGTGGTTCATCATGGCCGACGGATGGTGGGGAATCGCACGCTTGTTGTCTTCGGAGGCCCTGCGGAAGCCAGCGGTAGCCAGTTCCTCGAGATGGGCCGAATCGACGGTCGACGAGGGCTGGTGGACCATCGCAGGACGGTGGTGCGGGGCTCCACGCAGGCCGAGAGAGGGCTGACCGTTGACGTTGTTGAGATTGCCCGCGGCGAGACTCTGGTCAAAGCGCTGTTGCTGTTGCTGCATGAACATGCTCTGGGGCGACAGCCTACTCGAGGAAGCGACATCGATGGGCGTATCAAGACCACCGCCACTCAGCGTCACTCTTCGCCGTTTGCCTGATGCGCTGTCCTCTGTTCCACTGCTCATTTCCCCAGGGGTTTGCGCTGAAGAGGTGTTGGAGTTGGATGCATCCCCCTCGTAACCGCCACCAGCACCACTAGCACCACCGACGCCGCCGCCGACGCCGCCGCCGCTGCTGTTGCCATGGCCCGAGCTACCACCAAGATGACCAGCCGCAGACGTGTCGGGTCGAAGTGACGACGAGTTAGGGTAGCTCGTTGCAGTAGCATATGGCAGGTGCCCCGAGCCGCTGTGGTTGCTGCCACTGGTTGTCGCTCCACCGCCCTGTGCTGCAGCGCCGGCTGGGGCTGCACTACTACTGAGAGGCACAGCACTCCAATTGGCTAGGGCACGACCTGGCACCGTCCCCCCTACGCCTCCGTAGCCCAAATGGCCGTAAGCGGCAGCGGCAGCGGCAGCCGTGGCTGGGTCTAGATTGTCGGCTGCGGCCGTGGCCGCTGTCGCCGTTGTCGACGGCATCGAGGAGGATGCCAGCCTGCGGCCATCATACATGAGCTGGTCGGCCGGTGTGCGCGAAGACGCGTTGACCTTTGGCTGGTAGTTGGACAGGATGGCTTCGAGCTCGACGTCTGCATCTTGCCCGGCGGCATATGAGAAGCCGTTGGGCCCGCCAAAACCCATCTGATCAAAGGCCAAACCCGACTGAAAGCTATTGTTGTTGCCGCTTAGCCGCTGTTGTTGCGGCTGCTGCGAGGACGACGGTTGCGGTGTTGAGGCCCACTCGAAGCCCATATTGCTATTGCTTGCACCACCTTCTTCCATTGCCGCATTATTCGGCTGGTAGAATTGTCCACCCGACATTTGATTGGCCAAAGCAGCGGCAGCGAGATGCTGATGCTGCTGTTGTTGTTGCTGCTGCTGCTGTGGTTGCTTTTGCCGTTGCTGCTTCTGTTGCTGCTGTCGCTGTTGCTGGCTCGCCATGTTGCAACCGCGAAGATTTCAAGAAGCTGTAGGGTATCCTTACGAGACCATTCCTCGGTCGGTCTTTGCCCAAAGCTGCTCGTTGAAGGACCCCGATCCGACGAACAGGAGAAGACCTTTGAAGGCACAGCAGCAGGCAAGACCACCTTGCTCTCCTTGCAGCGAGGACACAAGCTGCTGTTTGGTCCGGTTTTACAGAACGCCTCCGCTCCGTCCAAAAAATGGAAGAGGTCCAACGACGGAAACCAACGCTTTCTGCGCGGCAAGGATTCGCTGATTGAGCAGCACGATCAGGGAGAGGGAAGAGAGTGAGAGACGGGAAAGTGGTCACCGAAGAGGGCAATGGCGGATTGAGATCCCGTTCCTCTTTCTATCAACGGCGACCTAGAGTGGATCACCTTGTGACGCTGTGCGCTTGCGTCTGCCGATGACAAAAGGACAAGTCGGAAGATTTGCAAGCAGAAGAGCGTCGATCTGGCGGCGACGTTGGGTGTCGAGCGACGCTGTGTCGTCGATGTAAGCGCAGGAGAGAGCGAGTTGTGGTCGGATGAAGGCGGCTCTCTTGCGCGTTCTCGTCGGAGCGCCCCTCTTCCAAAGTCCGCGCCTCCGCTCCCTCGCTCAACGGCCCCTCTCTACACTGCTGCTACGACTACGAGTACTCGTCGTCTCGCCTTGCGCCTTTAAGCAGCCCTTTTCCTCCCTAGAACAGAGAGAGAGGCTCTCCTTTTGCCGGATGGTGGATTGGTGATGACCCTGGTTCTATCTTTGTTCCCTCTTTTTTTTACTACCCTCGTTTCCCTCGCGCGCCGTACTCCCTAGCCGCACCCGTATCGTCGAGCAAAGTAGTCCAAAGCGTGCGTGAGGAAACAAGAAACGCCAACAGGGTAGGTAGGACCCTGAGTCCTTTTTTTCTTTTTCTTTTTTTTTCTTTGCTTTTTTTTTCGTTCCTCTCTTTCTCCCGTGGGTATTCCCATCTCTCTAATTCCGTCGGCACTGCTCCTGTGCAGGCTCGCCCTAGCCAGTAATTCCATCTTAATTGCTAGCTTGCCGTGTCGTGTCGGTCGGGTCCAAAAAATGAAATCCAATGCAAAAGAGCTATATTGAGTCCAGCAGCTAGAGTGCTCCTGTGATGCGACTACAGTTTTCCTTGCTTCTGCATTTCTTTATTTTTTTTGACTGCTGACGCAGGGGAGGAGAGCACACCTATCGATACGTACGGGGAGGCTTCGCTGGCTTCCAAAGTCCGCCAAGCAGGATCCAAGAAGATTAGTCATGCTGCGAACATTACAGCGGTTGAAAAGCAATGCGATTGCGCTGTTCCAGAGTAGCAAGGGGAAGAACAATGAAGCCTGAGTCACGGCACAGAGAGACCGTATTTCAGACGTACGACCCCGCTCAACGGCGGGCTGCTGAAACCAGGGAAGAAGAAGAAGAAAAAGTAAAAAATAAAAATGGAGTCCGAGACGGGCAAAGACAGGCGGGCGTGCAGGCAGGACCCTGAGTTCAAAATAGGGCACTTGACACTAGCTGGCGACATTATTTGCTTTCGTCTTCACCGCGCAGGAAAAGTCCCGGGAAGGCCAGCCCGGCTCCAAATCTCGGAGGCTGGTCGCTCCGGCTGACGCGGGAAGGACCAACCACAAGCAAAACTGCCGTCTAACGGTGACGAGCTCTTCAGTCTTTTTGCACGGATGTATGGCTAGCTGTTGATGATGATGGTAGAGAAGATGAAAGAAAGGACAGACGAGAACAGGACAAAAGAGCGAGGCAGCGAAAAAGAAAGGAAATTGTGCACATGAAAGAGGCTTGTATTGACGGAAAATAGAGTGCAGGCATTACTGGCTAGGCCATCTTCGCATCAGCTCCGGCTGATAACGCTTGCCCAACCTGACAGGGCGGAGAACAGAGAGGGGTCAGTCGAAATGGTGAAAATGGTGAAAAGGGATGCAGAGGCGCATACTCACCAGGTTCGTACTCATCATCGCTCGCGTCCATCTCGGCCGCCGACATCATGCGGCCAGGCGGTGGTCTCCTAATCGATTTGCTCCGCCCAGTGGCAATGGCCTCGCGCGCCTTTGCTGCTGCGCCCTTTGACGAAGGTGATGAGAGATGGCCGTTTTCGCCGTTGGCAGCCGTCGTGTCATTTCCTTTACTTTCTGGCTCCTGCTCCTGCTCATGATCCTTCTTCTTTTCCGACGCAGCAGCCGCAGCGTGCGTCTTGGCATCAGCGCTGGCCACAGCATCCTGAGGCACGAGAAGGCCAGGGCCCATTACTTCATGAGCCTGGGGATCTTGGGCGTCGACACGACCGCTCGACGTCCTTTCGACCTGGGCCCTGCTGGGCAGATCTGTGGCCGTTAGGCTGGGTTGCACCGTGCTCAAGGGCCCGCGATGCCCGTCGTCGCTCTCGTCATCGCCTGGCCCCGAACCAGGGTCGAGAGCCAAGCGTCCGATGCCCTCCGCAGGGTCGTCGGCTCGCGCGGCCGCCACCTCATCGACGCCCATAGGCGTAGGTACACGGCCTTCGACTTCTTCTGCGACGCCACTGCCTTCTCCTCCTTGCTCTTCGGGGCCTGTACCCGAGAGGCTGCGACGGAGGGCGGCCATCTTAGCGGGTGAAGCGCCCGAGACGCCAATCTCGACATCGCTCGACAGGGACTGCCTGCCTGCGCTCTTCGCCGGCGAGACGGGCGTATCGGACGGCGGTGACGGCAGTTTTGGCACCTATTCAAATGCATTCGTGTCAGCGTGCCTTGGGCCAAAGAAGGTAGGGAGGACAAGGCTGCTCACCGTAGGATCTTGTGGTGCAGCAGGAGCAGCACCGCCGTCAAGCTCAATCTGGGGAGCATCGGGAAGCTTGGGCAGGCTGCTGGAGGTGGAGGTGACATCAGTCAGGTTGGCCACGTCGCTGTCGGTCACCGAGGAGGCGCCGGCCTCGCTCGTGGTACCGTCGCCAACAGTGCTGCTCCCGTTCCTCGTCGGCCGTCGCAGGCCGGCAGAGGCAGCCGCCATTTGCGCCTCGCTGAAGCTCGACCCTCGCCGCAGATGGTCGGGCCTCGGCACAAAGGCAGTCGGTGAGCTAGGCTCGTCGAGCTCCAGAAAGGCATCTTTGCCTGCTCCGGGCGTCCGTGGCAGTGAAGGCGAGGGCGATGGTGACCCTGCGCAGGTGAAAAGAATCAGTGATAAATCATTCAATCAGTCAGTCAGGAGGCCAGGCCTGAAAGATGGGCTTATGGTGCATGTAGAGAGAGAAGGAGAGAGAGACACTCACCCCTGGTTCTGAATTGAGAGAGGCCATGGGTGCCTCCGGTGTTCTGTGGACGAATGCCATCGGACCAACCGCCCTGGTTGCCACCACCGACCCAGGTGCCGCCGGTGAGCTGAGGCCGAAGGACACCCTCTCCCCATGCACCGCTGCCGCTGCCTGCCGCATTGGCGCCTGGGTAGGGCTTCAGCACCCTGTTGGAAGACCCGTCTGCGCCAGCGCCCTGGCCAAATGCGCTTCTGGGTAGCAGCGGCTTCTCGCCTGCCGTTTGGGCTTGCGTCTGAAATCGGGTGATGCGATCGCGGACACCCTGGCTGTTGACGCCGCCGCTGCCAGAGAAAGAGCGGGAGGGGGAGCCGCTCGGTGACAGATTCGCGCCTCGCGAAGACGAGTCGCTCGTCGATCTCGGGTGTTGGCCGCCACTGGCGCTGCTCTTGCGCTGCAACGCTGCGATTCTCTCGGACAGCGATGAGGCGCCCGAGGGCATGTTCGTCGGTCGACGCGGGCTGTCCGACTTGTCAGACCTACTCAGGGCGAGCATTCGTCGGTACGTGTTGGAGTGATGAGCGTATATTGGTCCACCGGAGAAGAGTAGACCACAGAAGAGAGGGTCGCGAGCGGCGAATTGAGGGAAGCGGTGGCACGAACGATTGATGAAGGTTGTTCGAACGGGATGAGGAAAGAGGACAGGCGACATAGTCAGCAAAGATGGGCACGAATGGTGCAGCCTCGCATGGTACGGGGCGTGTAATAGAGAGGGCCAGCAAGAGACCCGGGTCATGACGCCACAACTCACATCTTGACCGATCTGTAAGATCGCAAGAGACAGCAGCCCTTCGAAGATGCCCCGTTCGCGGCGGAAACGCAAGAGCTCGAGCGCCTGAAGAGGAAGCACCAGCGGAGTAACTTGTAGGCTGACTTTAAGGCTCTTCTCGTCGCAGATCTGTGTATGGCGTGTGTGTTATAGCGGTCTGTGCTGCCTCTGTCTGCCGGGGAAGTCGAATCTTTGCAGAACTGGCTGGCGGGAGCGAGGGCGTCGAGGGAGATAGGTTGCAGAAGCTTAAGGTGGGCCTTCTAAAAGGAAGGTTGATTCAGACCATTGGTGCCACGGACCTCGTCAGTCTAAATCCAACTTCCTCTATTCATTCCATTTTAGCTTTGAAATTACTGATCCGCAAAGGCCCACCCTGCAATCTGTGCATGGGCCAATCCCTTCCTCTTGCCACTGGCTGTGGCGTCAACGGAAGGTGCAGTTGGCCACCTCAAGTGCAACGAAGCTCGGACCGCTCTGTGTGCCGTGCGCCCTTTGGCCTCATCACCGCTTTGCGTCCTCCAAATCAAATTGGGATCTCATCGACAACCCATTCTCGCAGACGGCGATGTCGGCGAGCTGAGCCTACCGGTACCGTAACACCTACATCACGTGCAATTCACAACTTCAGACCAACACTGCTGCACTCGAGCGAACCTCGCGTTCGCCGCTCCACTACCCCAAAGCAGCTCATTGAACCAAAGCGTGAGGGGCAAAGGAGAGAGTGAGGAGAGAAAGGAGAGGAGAATGTCGCGACCAAGTTCGTCGAATGCACCCGGCAGGACGAGCAGCCCGTCCGTCTCGTCGCTCTCCTCCAATCTCTCTGCCCATCTCAGCAAGCCCGTTGCCCCGTCGCCCTCTCGCCAGCACGTTGCCTCACTGGGAGTCGAAGGAGACGCAGCAAGCGCTTCGACCCGCCCCGCAGGCTTACCTGGTGTCACATCCAGCAATGGCAAGGCGAAGGCGACAGCCGCCGGACCAGAGTCGGTGGCGACGATCGGGGGAAGCGACCTGTGGAGAAGCAGCGCGGCAAAGAGGGCCGAAAAGGCGTGGGCCATCCAGGCCGAAAAGAGTAAGCGATCGAAGGCCCGAGCCATTTTTCTTTGAGCATGTGCTGAAATGGCGCCCTTCCCTCCTCTTAGCCTTGCAAACCGACCCCAAGTTCAAGAAATTTGGTGCAACGATGGAGAGGACGCTCGCGACATTCGACAGCGTCAGCGAGTGGGCCGACTTTATCGCCTTTCTCGGCAGGCTTCAGAAAGTGAGCTGAACATCATTGAGCGCTTGCCCAGTCTTTCTGTCCTCGCTCACATAATCTTACAGACCCTTCAAGCGTCCCCAAACGTCAATTCGATACCGAAGAAGCTCGTCGTTGCGAAGCGGCTCTCTCAATGCCTCAATCCCGCCCTACCCTCGGGCGTTCATCAACGCGCGCTCGAGGTCTACCAGCACATCCTCACTGCTATCGGCGTTGAGGGTCTTCGTAGAGATCTGGCCGTCTGGTCGCCTGGCCTCTTGCCCTTTTTTCAATTCGCCAGCACCAGCGTAAAGCCCATCGTTCTCGGCATCTTCGAGAGGCACTATCTGCCATTGGGCGACGATCTTCGGTCCATCACAAAGGCACTTTTGCTTGCGCTCCTGCCTGGGCTCGAAGAAGAGAGTGGAGAGTTCTTCGACCGCGTCTTCAATTTCTTCGCCAAGCTCAGCGATGCCGTCTCGCCCCCCTTCTTCTACCAGAACGTCTGGCTTGTTTTGATGGCATCGCAACCCGTGCGGCTTGCCGCGCTGAACCTTCTTTCGCGCAAGCTACCCAAAGTCAATGGCGACGACAATGGTGACAAGGACGTCACACAGATCGTGGGCAAGGATCTGGGCCTCCTTGTCCGAGGCTTCTGTGCAGCTCTTGAGGATGACAACCTGCTTGTCCGGCGAGCAGTGCTCGACTTGCTCATCACCCATTTGCGCATCGACTCACCCACGTTCAAGACCCTTATTCGCAAAGAGGACCGAGTGCGCCTCGTCAGTGCGTCTTTGGGTGTTGTTCTGAGAAGAGATCTTAGCCTCAACCGAAGACTCTATGCCTGGCTCCTCGGACCGACAGAAGACATCGTCGCTCAGCAAACATACTTCGAGGCCCATGCACAAGATCTCGCATACATTGCACTGGAAGATGATCTCGATCGGGGACCACTTATCAACGTCGTGCCAGAGAAGGTTGAAGCAATCGCCGGAGAGCGGCAGAAACCATTCAAGATCTTTGTCTCGCTTCTGGACAAATGGACCATTGGGCAACCCTTAACAGCTATCCTCATTCTAGATGCCTTCGCGGCCTTGCGCAGACAACTGCAAGGGACAGAGTCGCCTTCGGTGGGAGCTGTCGTCGATGCGAGGGTCAAGGGGGCGGCTACGGATCTGGGAACGACAGCAAAGATGCTATTTGAGGTCGTGGACCCTTTCACGATGTATCGGCAGATCTGGCGGGCCTTGTCCAAAGAGCTATCAACGGAGCCATTACAAGAGGAGCAAGGCACAAGCGGAAATGCTTCGGCAGTGTCGCTGCTTCGCTATGTCTTCAAGACGTTTCGCGTACACGACGAGGAGAGCCGACAGATCCACCTTCCAATTCTGTTCAGCGTACTCGTCGAGCTTTTGTCCAAGCAGCTCGCCGCCTCTTCAGATAAGCCAATCTCCGGAGATACATTGGCGAATGCCCTCCAGCTTGCAAGCGAGATCCTCACCCTCATCCCGCCCAGCGTCTTTGTCCGTTCTTCCACCGAGGAGGCAGGAGAGGTTGAAGGTGATTTCGGACATCATGCCGCGCACTTCTACGAGTCCAACACGAATGCTGCAGACGAAGCTGCACGAAGATACGCCGGCTTTCACAGCCCGGCCACGTTGGAGCGGCTTCTTTGCCTCTCACTTCAGCTGCCTCTCCAAAAGGGTGCTCGTGTCATCTCGACGGTGCTTGTGGACTCATTCAGACTGGCAGCTGGTCTTCTCCGTGCTCTGGATGCCACAGTGGATTCGAGCGTCACATCTTCCATGGGAATTGGGGATCCTCGGTCGCAACCGCGAATACCTTTTTCGCCATCGGGCCAGTGGGTCACTAGTACCCTCACCATTCTGGACGAAGCGAAAGCCTTCTATGAGGTCGAAGCCGCGACGATGGCGCTCCTCGAACGAGCCAAGTCTCGCGCTATTGAGACATCGACACAGCTTCAGGATAGAAAAGCGGTAAAGATCGTTGTCTCCAGTCTTTGCGTCTTCATGCACGCAGACTACGTCGCGTACCACGTCCGGTGCGTCGAGCTCCTCTGGCGACTCAAGAGCATCATTGGAGGCCGCTACATCGAATCAATTCTCTGCTCGCGCCTGTGTGCCACCGAAGCAGAGGAGCGATACGAAGCTCTGGACGTCTTCGGCGTCTTTTGGCGCCACACGGACGAGGACATGCTCAGTAGCAGTACCATGGCGGAGCCGCTGCTGCGTGTCTTGGACGGATTGCAATCGACCAATTGGGCTGACAAGGTGGCGTCGGAGAGATGGCTCAGAACAAATCTGCGAAGCTACTCTTTCTACGTCGATCCTCTCTTTGCAACGATAATGGTCGAGGCGCGACGGAGACCACACAAAGTTCCTGTAGCAGCTGATCTGTCGCTCGAGATGGTGCGTTATGCGCAGCCATTCGACCATGATCGCGTCAATTACGCTTTGGGCAGTCTTCTTGCTGTGGCAAGATTTGGGTCACAGGCCTTTGTCAAGTCTCTGCGCAGCTCCAAGAAGCAGGGCACAACCTACATGCAAGCGCTCCTTGACACGCTGGTTCTGCACCTCAAGAGCAGCGACGAAGAAGAGGGATTTGCGCCGAGGCATGCAGCAACACATATCGTCGTTGCCGATCTCGTTCATGCAATTGTATCTCGAGGATCACTTGGCGAGCGACAACTCGATCAGCTGGAGACGGTTCTTCTCGAGAGGATTCTTGTCGGACTCCACGAAGGTTCATCGCTGCTCATACAAAGCAGAATGTTGAGCACCCTCCACACCGTGATCAATGCTCGGGCCTCTCCCTTGCCGGTCACTCCTTCGAACACGCAGCGAAAGTCGCCCGCTCCTGCTAACGCTGAGGCAGCGACGGAGCTCAATCCGCACCCTCTTCTCTTACGCACGATCAAAGCTGGTCTCTCCACTAGCGGCAATCGACAAGCGCTCCAATACTGGAGCGACTTTATCCTCGCCACGGCGCCAATGTACAAGAAGGCGGTCGGCTCGTATCTTCTCCCTGTCAACGAATGTGTTTGTGCGCTCGTTCGAGCCGCCGTCGACGACCTCTCCCGGGCGTATGGACGTGCTGATCGAGGGAGCAACACTTCCAGTCAGGCGACGGAAGCCGATCTGTCTTTGCTCCTCGGTATCAGCGAAAAGGTCTTGGTGCAGAGTCTGGAGAGCCAAGCTGGTGACGATATCGTTTCCGAAAAGGTTGAGACGACTCAGAATTTGGCGGCAAGGAGATCGCTTCATCACACGGTCCGCACGCTACACGCTCTCTGGGTCGTGTCATCGAGGCGGCAGATGCCCCATGAGGATGCGAGGTCCATGTCGATGTCGTACGCCTTTCCTAAAATCAAGTCCAGGAGCCGTCGGTGCCTCGAGAAGCTCTACCGAAATCATTCGGGAGAGCTCGTCGAATCTCTCATTGACTGTTGGATCGAGTCGAGCGGCGGTGAAGATCTCGGAGAGTCGGCCTTCGAGATTCTCGACACCCTAGCGCCGTCAGCTCAAATCGTCGTCACATTCCTGTGCGATGTCATCTCCACACGCACATCGTCATCATCCACAGCGATGTCGGCCACCAACGGCGAAGGCAAACGGAAGGCAGGCTCCGAAGCAATCGTTAGTGATATTGCCCTTTTCGATTTCTTGGATGCCTACCTCTCCAGGTTGGACGGCTCTACAGCAGTACAGGTCTGGCCTGTTGTCATCATGCTCGTCAAGGACTTTGTCGCGAACAGCACGGGTCACAAGGCCCAGATGCTCCCGACACTTCGCCTCTTTACGACCATTGGCGACAAGCTCAGCCAAACAACTTCACTCGAGGACAGACGAACAAAGCGAGAGGTGCACGATAACTACATCAGGCTATGTGACTTCAACATTCTTATTGCCGGACGCAGCTTTGACCAGCAAGCTTCAACCAAGTGGATCGGCGGAGGTAACGCCCAAGCATCTGACTCCGACTCTGTCGACCAATCCGATCTACCGCCTCATCTTGAAGCCATCGTTGACTTCTTGGCAAAGAGCGCTCTGCCGGCTCTGCGTCGATTTGGAGTCGAGACGGACAGAATCTTGTCTGTGTGCTCCAACGCCGTTTACTATCTCGTCGCACCTACGATTCGAGGGTCAGGCAAGGTAGCATCGCCCCGCCCTCTTGACATTAATGCGACAGTGTTGGCTGTACTCGGCGAGATATGCAAGTTACCCGGAACGCTCAAGTCCTGGCGGAGTATCGTCTCAGACACGTTTTTCGACCAACGCTTCTTCCAGCAGAACATCCATTCGGGTGCCAAGAACTGGCAACCCGTCGTGTTTGCGCTCTTCAACCAGGATAAAGAGAGATTCCTCGAGCTCGTCTCACGCATTACGGCTGTCTCAACTGGGCCGCAGATCAACATTTTCACGAGTCGGGAGAGCGAGATCCTGGCGAGGGCCCTGACATTGCGCAGGCTGACGTATGTGATCCTATCAAGCCGTGTACAGGACCATTTCCTGCCGCAGCTGCCCAGCATCCAGGAGAAGATTGTCGATGTCGTCAGGGCTAGCGAGGCAAGAGATCTCGTCGCTGGCGAAGTCTACCTGACGATGAGGGTCCTCCTTGTCCGTTTCAGCCCGCAGCACCTCGCCAGCTTCTGGCCGGTTCTCATCACGGAGATGGTGAGTGTTTGCGTCCCTGCCTGCATTGCTACACTGCTGACCTCAGCGTCCTTGACCAGACGAAGCTCTTTGAATCTGCGCTCGAGAGCCTCCCACAAGATTCGTCGGACCATTTGCAGTTGCTTCTCTCGGCTTGCAAGTTCCTCGATCTTCTCCTGGTCATGCAAACGGATGAATTCCAAATCCACCACTGGATCTTTGTGAATGACACCGTCGACGTCGTCTATCCGCCCGACGACTGGCTTGGGCCAGAGAGTCTGTTGGATCGACTGGGCAGCGCCATCGAGGCAAAAGTCAGTGCGCAGCGACGAGCAGGAGGACCGGGAGGAGGCGCGGGGGCAGGCCCAGCGAGCCCCACGATACAAAAGCCAGATGTCAGGAGCAGCTTCGCCTCGACAAATGGCATGCTCGTCTTCAGCAAGGATACCGACCGCGAGATGCAAGGCGGCAGCAGAGGCGTCAAGCGCCGGCCGATGCTCCACGGTGTCAAGCGAGTGGAGCGTGTAGAAGAGCTTCGTCCCTTTTTGTCGCATGTCAGCCTGGCCATCTACGAGGCCCTATACGCCACGGCCGGCGGAAGCGTGGCACCGAGTCACCAGGTCGACATGGACACCGTCGAAGAGGGCCTGCTTCGGGACATGTTTGATGGCGATGACTAAGGATCGAAACAATTGTAATGGTATTACAGATGCAGGCCAATACTTAAGATACCAGTTAGGTCAGATCAATGATGGTGGTATTCGTGATTGGGCGAACCTTTTTCGCCGGTTTGTCCACCATCGCGGACGACGTCTTTGAAGAAGCCGAAAAGGATGGAGGGGGAGCTTTGAAAGCCGCCGATGGCTCTTTCTCCTGCGATTTCGCTGACTTCGCCGCTGCCGAAGAGGATGAGGAGTAGGCTGAGTCAGAAGAGTTGAGAAGAGCGTCTAAGTCGCCCAGCAGATTCCTCTTCTTCGTCGAAGCCGCCGTCGAGGAAGTTGCTGGTGCTACTGACCCCGATGATTGATTTCTGTTTTGTAGTGACGGCTTTTCCAACGGAAGGACGCCCAGCCCAGCCTTGATTGACACCTTGTCAAGCTCGCCCAACAAGCCTGTACGCCGGCTCCTTGCAGCCTCTAGTTCCCGCTCGTGCTCTTCTGCCATGACCTCGTCTCTCCCTCCCGCCATGCCGTCCGCGCTCGCCAGCACACCTTTTGTCGCCGCCTTCGCACCTCTCTTGCTTGCCACGCCCTTTGGCCTCTGTCGCGCCAGGCGCGCCTCGAGCATTCGTCTCTTTTCTAGCTCGACGATCTCCTTCTGCACCCGCTCGCGCCTCCTGAACACACTGCGAGCCACCTCGTTCCACCGCGTCCAATCTCCCTCCTCCGCACTTGCAGTAGGAAAGCACGTCGGACAGCAGCCTCCGATCGGCAAAACATACTGATCTGTCTCCACTTCCTTGTCGGCCACTAGGTTGCCCGACGAGGCGGCCGCCTGCTCCTGCGCGAGGAAGCAGCGCGCGAGACAGTCGATGTGAAAGACATCGAGGCAATGCGAGGCAGCCCTCTCTTCTTCAGCTGGAGGATCAGAAGCGGAAGTGGCCGTAGACTTGGAAGACGAGAAGCCCAACTGAGAGAGCGTCGGCTGGTCTGTGTGTCTCGAGGTGGTGTTGCTCGACGAGCAGAGTGGGACGGGGCGCAGCTCCCGAAGGGGGCTAGGACAGAGGGAGTAAGTGGTATGGTCCTGAGAGAGCTTCAGCTTCTTGTTACGACGAAAGGGATCCACTAGGGAAAAGGGCAGACTCACATCAAGCCAAACGTCTCGATTGCAAAGTGCGCAACGATCTCGCTTTCTCCCGGCCCGATCTCCTCTGCCGCCATCCTCGCCCTGCACCACATCCTCGACTGAAATGGCTTTATGTCGCAAGTAGGCTTCGAAGCGAAGCCAAGTGCACTGTGTCACATCGCCTGAGGTCGAGGGCCGCCATTCAGCATGAATGTCTCCTTTGAGATTGAGATGAAGCTGACTCACTGTCGTCATATCTTAGAGAGGGCAATTCTCTCGACGGACGATCCATGTCCTCTTCCTCTTCCGAAGTATTGCCTTTCTCCTTTTCCAAAATGGCTCCGGATGCAGACGAAGGGGAAGCCATGGGCGCCCTCTCCAGGAGGCTCCAACAAGCACCCATTGCGCGAGGCGTCGCTGTCCGTGGCAGCCTCTCCGGCCAAGAGCCGGGTGGCGCTCCCTCTTGAACAGCTTTCTTGCTTCCTTTAGGAGCATTGGTCGATTGGGTCTCTGGTAGCTTGAGGGCTGATCGATCTTCTGGGGCCACGTCGAGCAACGAGTCCCTCTTTCCGTCGACTCCATGAAAGTCACAGGCGGCTTCATTCGACAGCAACCTCCTGCCTAGCCGAGATTTTCGCGGGGCAAGCCCCACGCATCTCTCCTCGTCCGTCATCATCGATGCCCTTCCGGCCAGCTGCGCCTCCAGACGGCTCCATGCGACCCATGCCCACTCCTCGAACAGGCTGACTCGCAGGCCCCAGGTCGAAAATGGCTCGCTGCGGAGGAGCGCCCGTGCAACGAGCATGCAAGACTGGATCGATGTCGGTGGCAGTGCGCGGGACCCGTCCGGCCCGACTGGACATTGCGTCAGAGGTGTGTCGGTGAAGAGAGGCAGGGCAATCTGCTGTTGTTGCGATGGTGTCGGCGCTCCCTCTGACGGTTTGTTCTGTGGGTTTGTGCGGAGATGACGCGAGAGGTGGGGCTTTTGCCATGCCCATTCGAACTGTCATTGCTCACCGCACGGTAAGCCTTGAATTCCCTCATCTGAAATTTACAAACGCCTCACCTGAAGCGCAGCAATCTTGCTCGGAAAGCCCCACACGATCATCTGCATCTCCCACGGCCTGCCTCGCTGCGTCTTGACGGCTCCCTGCGACAGCTCGCCATTGTGCTGCCGTTTCCTCCGCCGCACATCGGGCGTTGAGCCAATGTAGGTGCGCGTCGAGCTCGGCGTGGCATACGACCGAAGCAGGTAGCAGGCGTAGAAGGGCGGCACCACGTGCGAGTCGACCGACGACGTCGACGGCATTTTGGACGGCTGAAGCTGAGAGGGAGAGGGTGTTGCTTCACGTTCATTTTTCCCTGCATGACGCGCGCGTTGCCGCACGTGCATTCTTTCGCACTTTGTACCCAGGCATTTCCCCAAGGTCACTAGAATCCTTCATTATAGCTGTTGCGATCCGCTAGAAGACTCAATGATATCTGTGGACACATTTGGTTGATGTCGAGAGCCTTGCAGGACTCCTCGGCTAGTCTAGATAAAGATGAATGTTGACAGGATGAAGGTGTCATTATAGGCTCATGCTCGCATCCTCGCCCTCGACCTGTCTAGCGGCGTCAGCTCTGATGCCCGTCGCAGGCATACGTCCCCCTTCGGTTGCCTCGGGCGTTGCGCTTGGCTGTGGCCCTGGTCCTCCATCGATCGTCTCTGCATTCTCCACATCGCTGATCTCGCCGTCCAGCACCGGAACAAGACCTTCTACGAATCCCCTTGGGAATCGGGCTCCCTCCCTCATCCGTCCAACATCCTGCGAACGACTCGCATCGGCTGCCGCCGGGATGCTACCACTGTCGATGCTACCTTCAACCTCGCTCTCTTCGATAGCGGCTGAATCGATCGAGACGCCCTGCTGAACCGAGTCCTCGTGGACATAGTTGCCCGTGTAGTCGGCCATGCTGGTTCCCATGCCCATCGTGTTGGCGTACGTGTCGTCGAGGTCATCGGCCGTCGTAGCAAAGGAGACGTGCTGCTGTGCCGTAGCCGTGCCTGCCAAGCGACTCGCAGCACCCCTGAGCGAGGCACGCACACCCTCGCCCATCGCCTTGACCTGCCTCAAGAGCCGAGGCTCGATCTCGACAGCCACACACAGATGGTGCGAGATGGCATCCTGGTAGGCAGTCGGCAACGTCGGATTGCCCACAGCTCGTACCATCTGGCGGCTCCCACCCGCAGGATCCCCACTCGAAGAGGACTTGCCAGCTTCGACCGGTGCAAACTCGCCCCCGCCCTTGCGCATATACGACTTGGCCAGTAACAGGTGGAGCTCGGCCTCCTGGGGAGCATACTGGACGGCAAAGAGGAGGTGCTTGTGCGCAAGATCCCTCTTTCGCTCGGCCATCGACCCCTCGAGCTTGTCGGCTTGCAAAAGATAGTTCTCAGCCAACTTGGCATGCGTCGCAGCACCAGTAAAGTCGATCTTGAGGGCCTGCTGCAGAGCACCCTGGGCTTCGTCGAGCCTGCCCAAGCTCATCAGCGTCCTTGCGCGGAGGTCCCACAGCGCAGCGTTCTGCTCATTGATATTGAGCGCCTTGGAGTAGTAGTGCAGCGCCAGGCTGTGCTGGTTTTCAGAAGCAAAGGCGTGGGCGAGGCCGGCGTAGGCGTTCCAATGCCGGCGTTCGTAGGAGAGCGCACGTTGAAAGTATTCGAGAGCCTCGTCGAGCTTGCCGAGCTCCAGAGCTTCGTAGCCGGCCAGTGTGTATGCATAGGCGTACTCGGGCGCAGCGCAGGCGGCTCTGCGGAAGCACTTGAGGGCCAAACGGTGCTCATGCTGGAGTGCAAATGCGTTTCCCTGGGCCAAATGGGCGACACAGGACGACTCATCGAGGCGCATCAGGCGCTGTGCAAGCGTTGACAGCTCCACTTCTCGATGAAGATGAAAGAGCGTTAGGCTGCAAATGTCCATGTGGGCCGACAGACTGGGCGACAGCTTGGCGGCGTGGGCGAAGTGCTTCTCAGCCAGGTGATAGCGTGAGGTGTCGTGGTAGGCACGGGCGATGAGGCAGTGAACATGGAATGAGTTCCGGATGCTTTCGTCGAGGCCCGAATAGACGGGTGGCATGCTAGCATTCGTAAGGTGAAGCTCCTTGATGAGATCTTCCTTGACGCTGGGTGACATGGGTCCTTTTGGCCGAAGAAGGGCAATGGCGTAGCGTCCGCGAAAGCTGCGAATGGCCTTGTATGCGCCGGCAAAAGTGAGAAATAATTCCTTGACTTGGCCATCTGCGATGCGCCAGCTGCTCGACTCCTTGATGGCCAGCTCTGCCGCTTCATAGACGGCAGCCTGGATCCGCTCCAAGAGCTCGAGATCGACGGCCAACTTTCTACGTTGCTGCTGCGATTGCGGTTGGCGCCCTGCTGTAGGCTCCGAGACAGAAGAGGAGATGGGTGGTCTTGCCTTTGCTCCTGGCAGGATCCGCGAAGTGGTAGCTAATCCAGTCGGACGAGTAGCCGCTGCTGCTGTTGCTGTTGTTGTAGTGGGTCTCACAGTGGAGGTTTGCTGCCCTGTCACGGGGCGTTTCGCGGCCCCGGTAGCAACAGCAGGCCTTGTCCGATTGGCAGAGGAGCTCGTGTGTGTCATGACTCTTGGGGACCTTCTGGGCTTATTGACGTCCTTGTCAATTGTGCCTGCTGTCCTGATACTACTTGTGGAAGCCACACTCGGTGGCCTCTGCTCGTTCTGCTTGGCAGTGGAGAGCGTCCCAAAGGTGCCAGGGGGCTTCGTCGTTGTCGCACTTGGCGCTGTCACTCCAGCTTTCCCCGATTCTACCAACTTCTTGACCGGCGCAGGCGCGGGTGCAGTGGGGTTGATTGCTTGACGAGCTTTGATCGTGGTCCCATTTGCCTGCGTCTCAGTTCGCAGGCGCTTGCTTCCTACCACGCCAGGGACTGCCCCCGCTGTCCTCGTTCCTGGCCGCGGCGGTGCAGCTCCCTCCACGCTAGTGGTGGTGGTAGTGGCGCCCTGAGGAGGTACCTCTGAGCTTGACTCGGCCACTGCATCTCCTCTGGCAGCCTTTGCTCCGGAATCAACACCAGCCGAGAGGGAATCGAGAATGCATTGAACCAAGGACGGGTCGATCTGCCGCTTTGTCAAGGCGTCCTTGAGCATGTTTGGGTATAGCGATCTGGCATCGAATCCTGTTTGGAAGCCGGCAATGTCGACTGGCACTGGCCCGTCCATCTCCCTCTCATCTGAGGTGTCTCGCGAAGTGGGATCGTCTGGTGAGATGGTCAGCTCAGCAAAAGGGGCCAGCATGGGAGCGACGATGCTACATACCGTTTCTGACATCGCACAAACCAGTCCACGCAGCCCAACACCACGGATCGAGCTGGCGGCATTCACGATAGTGTCTCCTTGCCTCCCGGTTCTGCTGTGCCTTGGCAGCCATGTCGGCAAGGGCGAGGTGATTGACGTGGTTCTTGGGTGCTGTCGATGCACAAGGCGGCCGAGCATGCAGTTTCTCGACTCTTCGCTGCATCTCGTCCGATGACGCTGGCTGGGATGCCGCCGCCTCGTTGGCCCATGCGAGGGCCTCTTGCGCCTCTCTGACCCTTCCGAGCAAGCTACATGCGTGCGCATAGGCATTGGCGCAGTCGACGTCGCGAAACATGTAGTCGGGCCCCTCCTGGAACAACTCGATAGCTGCCCTGGCGCCTGCTCGATCTGCCGTGCTGGTGGCCGACCTCGAAGACAGAGGAGCGAGCGACAGGGGCGTCGAATAGGCGTTGCTTGGACCAAACGGAAATGGTTCACCACCATAGATGAGGCAGGTCGCGAGGAGCCGTCTGGCAAGGAGAGATGTTGGCGTGTGCTGGAGCGCGAGCCAGGAGTAAAAGGTAGCGCTCGTCAGGTCAGACTTGAACGTCGAGGACCAGCCCCGATGACCCCTCTCTGTTCCGCCACCTGCCGCAGGGCTGGATGATAGGTACTTTTCGGCCAGGTCGACGAGGCGAGAGAAGGTGTATTCGTCGGCCGTCGGACTTGTATCATTGTCCTCGGCGGATGTCTGTGCCTCGAGGGAGGCTGGAAGGAGCGTGAAAGGCAGCGAGGCGACGATATCCTTGGGCTCGGTCGCCATCGCAGATTGTTGCATCGTTGAGTCTGTTCGGGAGAGTGTTCTGCCGTTGCTTGCGGCAGCTTGCGCGGACGATGATGGCCCCGACGAGGGCAACCTTGGCCTGTTTTGACCGGCCGGATGCACCACCGTCCTCCGTGCCGGCGCGGGGGCAGCGTTGCGAGCCATCGGCCTTGCAGACGACGATGCGACGCTGCTCACACCATCACTCGACGACGAAGGCGCCATGGCGAAGAGAGCCGAGTGTTTGTTTTGGCCGGATCACCTCGGCGAAGGCGTCCAAATTTTATCGGGTTGAGATGGAGGGAGGCTTTGGTGCAAAGCCGACGGACGCGTCTTTGATCATCTGTGCGTGCGTGCGTGCGTGCGTGCACGCCCGTGCAAGGTTTTAGTTGGTTTAGGCCCACGACCAAGGTGCTACTACTACTAAGTAGCCTGACTGAGGTTTTGCGCTTAACCCAATTTTACCTCGAGTACCCTCCCCAGCTTCGGCTCGCGCCGCGATAGAGTCTCAAAGAAGAAACAAGCGCAGACGTCGACTCGGCTCGACGGGAAGCGCAGACGATGCTCGTATAAGGTGTAGGCTCAAGCGTAGGAGGTGGTGTGCGGCCATAGGCTTTCTGCCCCCGATCTCCGCTGCGGAACAAGAGAGAGAGAGAGAGGTCTCCCCGCCGAAACATCCCCTTTTTTGGCATAAGCAATCTCCGATAGCGACAGGGGGTGCACAAGATGGTGTCGCACTCGTCGATGCGTACGGATCACTACCCTGTCAGCCGAACACCAGACTCGCCTGGCTCGGCGATGAGGGCCTCGGCAAGCGGGCAGAGCTACTTTGACAAGTACCCGGAGCGAAGAGGCCAGGGGCCCTATGTGCCCAAGGCGCGTCTCACGCCATCTCTCAAGACGAGCACCAGCACAAGCACCAGTGCGACGAGCCCGAGCCCGAGTCCGAGCCCGAGCACAAGCGCTGGCACGCGCCCCAGCACTGGCACAAGCACAAATACGAGCACAAGCACAAGCACAAGCACAAGCACAAGCACAAGCACAAGCACAAGCACAAGCACAAGCAGCGCTACAACTACCAGAGAGAGAAGATCAGCTGCCGATTTCAGCTCGCCGTCGACAGAGAAGAGGTGGACGAGGGACGGAGGCGGCGGGAGCAGCAGCCAGAGGAAGTCGCAGACACACAAAAGCGCGAGGAACCTCGCCAAGGCTGTATCCGAGGACAGCACTGCAAATGCCGATGATGGCATCGTCCGACCCAGAGCTCAGTCGATTCAACCCGAGCAATCGAAGCACTGGCACTCGCGCAGCTCAGAAGCCGCCGCTGCCGCCTTTCCTAGATTTCGTGGAGGCCTGCGAGCACCAGAGACGGGCAGCGAGCAGCCGAGTCAGGCTGGCCCTAGCTACTCAAAAGCCAGAGAGAGGCTCGCCTCGGAGGCGAGGACGCCGTCGGAGAAGCAGCAGCAGACCGGCGACGCCAGGGTGACAGCAGCTGCGGCCGCGTCTCGCTCTCCCTCGGGCTACCCCTCGATGCTGTCTTCCGTGGCCAAGCGAAACTCATCCCAGGACCTTGCCTCCCAGTTCCGTCGTCAGGCAACGCTATCCCAGTCAGACAACCCGCCTCCGCTCCCGCTCAAAGACTCAAACGTCAATGCCACTCACCGAAGCGGCCAGGTTGGCCTTCCTTCGTCCAGTCGGCTGGGTAGCAGGTACGATGACGCGCGCATGCAGCGGTCAGCGTCTACCGGCATCGTCGATGGCCGCCTTGTGGCAGCGAAGCCTCGCAGACCCACGCAACACGAGGCCCTTGACGGTTTCTACTCGGTGCCGGCCACGCATGCCTCGTCGAGTCATGCGTTGGGCAAGGCAAGGAAGCCGAGGCTGGCGCTCGACAAGACGGAAAAGGTGCCGAGCATCGAGGAGATTATCCGAAAGCACTCGGGGTCCCTCCAGACGCCCTCACCCAGGTCCTCGACCATCCACGAGGGCAGCCACCCATGGTCTGTAGGGCAACAGCACGGCGCAACGACCGTGGAGAGAAGCGGAAATAATGGGATCAATCACAACGATAGAAGTGGCTATGTCGACTACGACAGCGATGCATCCTTCGACTCAGTCATTGAGGAAGCTCGCGCCGCTTGGGACCCGGACCGTCTGGATGCCAAGTCTCGTTGGGCAGGTCGGGCACAGACGGCCTCACTGGCGGACGACGACGACGAGGATGAGGGCGAGGAGGGGAGAGAGGGGGACTCCAAGCAGCTGCCTCTGGGCCGGAAGCTGCAGCACGCCACGTCCTTTCCCGCCAAACCAAGGATGTCGACGCCCAGCAGAAGATCTACGCGAGACTCTCACGGTCGAACGCGTGGCGCATCTGTCACAAGTGGCATGACGACGACGCCACCAAGGACAGAAGGCACTCCGCGGGTGCCTCCTGTGCCGCCATCTGTGACCACGCCGCACTTGTCCACCTCAGCACAGGCCTTTTCTGGATATTCTGCTGCTGCCCCGTCCGCAAGCTCCACAGCTGCGGCAACAGAGGAAGAGCAGGCCATCTCGAGATATCTTCGGTCATCCCGCTTGACGAAGCTCATGACACTTCAGAGGGCGCCCTATGCGGGCTTGACGGTGTCCTATGCCGACGTGGGAAGCCCGACAGGGCACCCCGTCATCGTGTTTTTGGGTCTGGGGGCCGTGCGATACCTGGTCGGGCTCTATGATGAGATGGCTGCTGCCCTTGACTTGCGTCTCATCTGCCTCGACCGGTGGGGCCTGGGTCGCACCGACGACATTGGCAGCGAAAGGAGAGGCGTCATGGAGTGGAGCCAAGTCGTCATCGAGCTGGCCGATCGCCTGGCCTTGTCCAGATTCTCTGTACTGGCCCACAGCGCCGGAGCGCCGTACGCCATGGCTACTTGCCTCCTCTTTGGTTCTGAGCGCGTCGCTGGCCCCGCCCATCTCTTGGCACCTTGGGTCAGCGCCAGCTTGGAGAGCGGCTATCGATGGCTCAAGTACGTCCCTGACGGGCTCATCCGAACGGCACAGGCTGCAGAGTCTCGAGTGCAAGGGTGGCGCTTGGGCAAGCTGCCTGCCTTGGCAAGTACCAATAACGACGTTGACGACGATAACGATGATCCGTGGTATCGCCCTTCTCCATCCTCAAACGATTACGAGGCCGAGAGCGCCGACGGCACACCGCGAATGGACAGCTACGAGACACCGAGACGGAAGCCGCTGCCTCTTCTCAACCTCTCCACTTCATCGCCCGTCAAGTCAAGGTCTTCTTCTACGGCCAACGGTGTGCCCGACTCGGCTTCGTCGCCGCTGCTCGGATCCTTGAGTTCGACCTCACCCTCACCGTCGTCACCTTCGCTCTCCATCGGTCCGAGCACGCGCTCGAGCAAGTCGCCGATTCCTCGATGGCCCTCGTCGGGCTCTCTCAGGGCCTCGTCCACGCCGCGGTCTTCGATCGACCCCAGCTCTGCTCGGCTGACCCTGCTGCTTCCCGACGGCACGGGCGTGCCCTCGAGCGCCTCACTCTCCTCCTTTTCCAATGAAGAAGAGGACAGTTCGTTCGACGCTACGACCCCTGCGTCTGCCTCGATCATGGGCCTAGACGCAGGCCGGCGCAAACGAGCTTGGGTGCTTCGCCGTTCGACCAGCTCCGCGTCTCCCAGCGCACAGAAGAGTGGTGGTTCGAGCCACTCTTATGGCCAGCGCCACGGTCCGAGTGCGCAGTCGAACGGCAGCGGCTATTCGTCTAGCTCTTCCACGGCCGCCTCGACACACTCTCCTCTGACACTGAGGAGCGGCGCGTCAAACAAGTCGCCGCCGCCGACGGCCACGCCGGCAAGAGTGGCACACGCCAGCAGAGAGGCTGGGGATAGCAGCCACGACTCGGTGTTCCAAAGCCCTTCCTCGCTTAAACAGCGAGAGCAAGGACCATCAGCCACGGGCTTTGACCTGGCCACTGCAGTCCTTCGGGCCTCGCACGCCGAGTCTCAGCGAGGAGGCGGCACAGCCGACCTCCTGTGCATCCTTGGACGGGCCTCGCAGAAGCCCTGGGGCTTCACTTACGCAGATGTCAACCACGCCGCCAAGGTCTGGCATGGGGACAAGGACGAGCGTGTGAGCCTCGGCAGCGTGCTTTGGATGGAGAGGCAGATGAGCAATTGCCGAGTCGAGCTCGTCAAAGGCGCCGGACACGGGCTCATGACAAACGTCGCCGTCGTCGTCGAGGCTCTCGAGAGGTGGGTTTACATTTTCTTGGCTAGAGTTTTCTTCTCGCCTCCTGTGCTCACATCCCCAAACCCCCTTCTATGACAGCATTGCCGCTTGCAGACATCTGTAGCAGAGCCCTTGTCTGCTTCTTCTTCCCCTGTGCATTCAAAATTCCTCCCTTTTCCCTCTAATTTCTCTTCTTCTCCCCTTCTCTAGTAGTAATACCCTCCTTTCTCTCCCGGCATATCCAGCGCTTATTCCCCTTTCGTCTCTTCTGTTACCTGCTCTAGACTTAATTTTTCGTCTTCAGACGACATCCTTGCTTTTTCTAGACCTTTCATCTTCTTGCCCTCAGAGTCACATCTTCTCAAAGCACGAATGCAGCAAGTTTCGCCCTCTCACGGTAATTACATCCGCTGGCATCATTTCTCTTTTATTACCCCCCCTTTCTCTTTCCTTTCTCGCGGAACCTTCACGCGGCTGCTTTGGCCCGGCTTGATGTCTTGGGGTGGCCATTGGCTCCTGCGCTCCCATTGACGGCGCGCGTCTTTTTGCTTGTTGTCGCCGCTGGGGGCGCAGCGACCCAATGCAGCATCAGAGCCCGGTAGGCAAAGGCCGCGGCAAAGATGAGCGTCGCGAGGGCACGGCCGCCCGCGGGCGACAGGATCGGGCCCGTCTTGCCCGCGTGGAGCCGGGCCATCCACGGCTCGTAGGCGGCGTTGGAGGCCGTTGTCAGACCAAAGGCGGCCGTGGCGAAAAAGGCAGCGTAGATGTCAATGATGGGCAGCACGGAGCGCGCGCCGAGCAACGGCGGCGTCGAGAGCGTCCAGCCGGCGGGGTTGAGCAGGCCGAGCGTGCCGGCGAGCTGGCCGCCGCCGGTGGAGCCGACGACGCCTGCGATGAGCTGGATCAGCAGCGAGCTCCGGACGGCCGCGTTGGGGCTCCGGGCGACCATGTCGAGCGAGACGACGACGGCCTGGGTGCGCAGGCATCCATCGAGGAGCGGCAGGGACGTGTCGACGAGGTAGAGCGGGGGTGTCAGGCTCGGGAAGAGCGAGAGGACGACGCTGAGGAGCAGGTGGACGGACACGTAGTTGATAAAGGGATGGATCGAGAGCAAAAAGGGCGGCGTCGAGGTGAGGATGACGTTGTTGATCAGGGAGCCGCCCCAGCACTTTGGGCACGAGAGTGTGTCTGGTCAGTCTCAAAAGAGAAAGGGGCAGGACTCAGGCTTCCCTGCTCACCATGACGAGAAATCCGACGATGTTGTATGCCCACGTCGGTTTGCCCCTCGTCCGGCGCACATCGTCGCTCGTCGCCTCCCAGGCCTTTTCGCTCAGTGCGCGGTGCAGCAGCGAGATGCGGGCGGCGTGGAGCGTGGGGAGGAGAGCGTAAGGAAACAGTCCAGCATGGACAGGCGTCGAGAGCAGCAGGGCATTGAGGTTGGCAATAGGTGCAAGGATGGTGGCGAGCATTTTGGGAGGCTTCACTTCGTCGTCTTCCTCGTTGTCGTCGCCGTCGCCGTCGCCGTCGCCGATGTCTGCAACTGACTTCTCTCTCATTGCATTTAAATTGCACCCATCCGGTCGGAGGACCGGCGTCGGCCTCCACGCGTTCCCACGTGTGGACCGGTTTCGCGCAGGAAGGACACAAGACGAAAGTAAGCTCATCTGGTCGCCATCGTCAAGATGTCGAAGCTCACAACCAAGGAGGAGTACGCGGACCTCCTCTCGCGCTACGATGCCTTTCTCTTCGACTGCGATGGCGTCCTCTGGTCCGGCGACGACCTTATCCCAGGCGCAAAAGAGGTGCTCTCGAAGCTGAGATCGTCGGGCAAGCAGGTCGTCTTTGTCACCAACAACGCCAGCAAGAGCCGGAGGAGCTACAAGGGCAAATTTGACAAGATGGGCATCGAGGCCAGCGAGGTACGTCTTGCTTGGCTCGGGTCTCTGCTTTCTGTAACAGGAGGAAAGCTGACTGGGCTGTCGTCAGTCGGAGATCATCTCGAGCTCGTATGCGGCGGCTGTCTACCTCAAGGACGTGCTCAAGATGCCGGCAGACCGAAAGGTGTATGTCTTGGGGATGGACGGCATTGAGGAGGAGCTCAATGCCGTTGGTATACAGTACTGCGGTGGTACGGTGAGTTTTGATCACAATTCGTCAGGGCGAAAGTAGAGAGCTCATCGAGACACGGCGACTACAGGACCCCGATGACAACCGGTTCCTGCCTGCGCTCGACTTTTCGTCGCTTCAGTCGGAGGAGGCCATCGACCCATCGGTCGGCGCAGTCCTGTGCGGCTTTGACATGCACATGTCCTACATCAAGCTTGCAAAGGCCTTCAAGCATATCACCCGGCCAGGCGCTGAGGGACCCGTCGAGGCCGGCAAGAAGGGCGGCGGTTGTCACTTTATTCTTACCAACGACGACTCAACATTTCCTGCAAAGGGAGGGCCTTGGCCTGGTGAGCTTGTCCCGTGTTCAGTTCCTCGGCAATTGCATGCTAGACGCTGACCACCAAGATGCAGGTGCCGGGTCGCTCTCTGCGCCGCTCATCTTTGCCTCGAAACGCAAGCCGACAATCGTGGGCAAGCCGCATCAGCCGATGCTCGACACCATCGAGTCCATCTACAATCTTGACAAGCCGAGGACGCTCTTCATTGGCGATCGCCTCGACACCGACATTGCCTTTGCCAACAACGGCGGCATCGACAGCCTCCTCGTCCTAACCGGCATTTCGACGGTCGAGGATTGCGACAAGCAAGGCATTCACCCAAAGTACGTCCTGGACAGCATTGGCAACCTCAACGTGTAGGACCTGTAGCGAGACAGCGGCGCACGAAGCTTCATCATTCTTAGAAGGCAGAGAAATAGATAATTTCTTGTAGTGCAGCACATTGAGGGAGCTGTCCCTCAGGCGTCTTCGCTGAGCTTCTTGTACGCCTCGCCGTCGAGGAGCACCTCGAACTCGGCCGGCTTCGAAAGCTGGATCTTGCACAGCCATCCTAATGTGTTATCTGTGTTTTAGTGTCCTCTCAATCGATGGGATGCAGAGGGAGCGTGACACTCACCGTTGTCCTCGGGCGACTTGTTGAGCAGGCCCGGCTCGTCGGACAGCTTGGAGTTGACCTCCTTGATCACGCCCGTCACGGGCGAATAGATGTCCGAGGCCGCCTTGACGCTCTCGACGGCTCCGATTTGCTCTGTGGGTCGCGCGCTCCTCGTCAGTCACCCCCTCTTCTCTGTCTTGATTTAGCCGCCTACCACCACCTCTCCTCGACACTCACCGCCCTGCTTGACCTCGCTCCCCTCGCTGGGCAGCTCGACGTAGACGACGTCGCCGAGGCTCTTTTGGGCGTAGTCGGTGATGCCCATCGTGCCAATGTTGGACGCATCGTCAAACTTGACCCACTCGTGCTCGGCCGTGAAGCGCATAGCCTCTTTTCGGAGCGCCGACGACGTCGAGAAGAAGAGCGCTGCGGGAACGACACGGCGCCCTGGCTGGGCCGTGGAGACAGCCGAGGAAGAACGTGCGACGAGGGCAGCCGAGCTGCGGGTCGCAACGGTCTGGGCCGCAAGCCGTGAAGCGGGGCGTGCGAAAGCCGACGAGAGGGCCCGAGTCGATCGGAGGGCAGACATGGCGAGAGCTCGGGAAATGCTGGGGATCAAGAAAGAAGGGGTGTGTGTGTGTCTGGTTAAAGGTTAAAAGTTGACTAAATGACTGCTGCTGCCGCTCGCTACTTGGCAGGATCGAGAAGTAAAAGCGGCTTTTTCGCTCTCGGTCCGTGCCCGTCTCGTGTAGGCCACGTGAAAAATCTAAGCATCACCCCCGCCTGCATGGGAAGACGTGGAAGGTGCCCAATACAGCGTGTGTCGCCAGACAGCTTTAAAAGTAACAGGCACGAGAGAGACCTCGACCAATGGCGACGAGAAGGCGAGGTGGTGCCGGCAGCGCACCCTCACCGCACCGATGGCTGGCCCTGGCCGTGCTCGTCCTGGCTCTGCTGTGCGGCGTGGCGCAGGCAGCAAAGGACTACTACAAGATCATGGGCGTCGATACGGGGGCAGACGACCGTACGATTAAACGGGCCTATCGGGTGGGCATCCGATGTCCCTTTCTCCTCGCATTGGCGGTCGCAAAGTAGCTGACTGGACCATGAAACCCTGACAGAAATTGGCGCAGAAGCTGCACCCGGACAAGCACCCCGACAAGGCTGAAGAATTTGTCGAGCTGTCCGAGGCCTACCAGGTCTTGTCCGACAAGGAGGCCCGCAAGATCTACAATCGCTTTGGCGAGGAAGGGGTCAAGCGGCACCTGGCTCAGAAGCAAGCCTCGCAGGGAGGTGCAGACAACCCCAATGACCCCATGAACGTCTTCAGGCAGTTCTTTGGCGGTGGGTTCCAGCAGCAGCAACAGACGCGAAAGGGCTCGACGAAGCAATTCAACCTCGAGGTGAACCTCGCCGACATGTACAAGGGCCGCACCGTGACAATCTCGTTTGATCGACACGTCCTCTGCCCCGCCTGCGATGGGTCGGGTGCCAAGAGCAAGAGCGACATCCACCACTGCGAGACGTGCAACGGCCAGGGCGTGCGAATCGTGCGTCAGCAAATCATGCCAGGCTTTGTTACCAACGCCCAGGTGACGTGCGATGCGTGCGGGGGCCAGGGCAGGGTGATCAAGCACAAGTGTCCCAAGTGCGAGGGCGCCAAGGTCATCGTTGAACAGGTCGAGCTCGATGTAGAGATCCTGCCAGGAACGCACGAGGGCGAGGAGCTCCTGTACGAGGCAGAGGCAGACGAGGGGCCCGACTTTGACGCTGGCGACGTCCTCGTCAAGGTCCAGTCCAAGCCGCAACGGGGCGACTTTAGGCGGAGGGACAAGCACCTCTACGCTACGATTCCCATCTCTCTCGCCGATGCGCTGTTGGGCTTCGAAAAGAATCTCACCCATCTCGACGGAAGCATTGTCACGCTCAAGCGCGCCGCTGTCACTCAACCAAACTACGTCGCAACACTGGCGGGCCAGGGCATGCCGCTGCACCACTCTGTCCAACCACATGATGGAACGACCCACGGGAACCTCTATGTAGAGTACAACGTCGTCTTGCCGGATCAAGTCGAGGGCGACCTCTTGAAAGGTGTGTTCTTCCACGCAGCTCTCTCTCTCTCTCTCTCTCTCTCTCTCTCTCTCTCTCTCTCTCTCGTGTCCGCTTGCCTCGGTCCGCTGACTCTCTCTTCTCCCTATCTGCAAAGCCTTTGAAAAGGTCTTCAAGAGATCAGCAACGAGTATAAAAGGGGACACGTCGTCACAGCCGCACAAGCACGAAGACCTGTAGAACAACAATAGATGCGCTCTTCCTGAAGGCGAAAAGAGCATCAGTGATAATTCATGATGGCACTCTTGACCAGCAGCAAGTCCGGGTGACCGTGACGTAAGTTGTGCGAATAATCATAAGGACTCGGAAAGATTTCCAGAAAAGTGAACGCAGAATCTGAACTGGATAGCTGCTTTCATTCAAGGATGATGGTATAAAAATACAAACGCGGACACACTGACGCACAGACACAAAGAGAGAGACAATCGACTCAATCATAAGAGGTCCGATCGCGCATCCGCAGGCCCTTGAGGCCACCCCTCCATGCCCAGCTAGAAGAGGATGCGGCCGCGGCGCTGGCATCTGCGTCTCGAGAAGGGCGATCCCCCCTTATCGTCGATGGACCAGCTCCTCGGACCGTGCTGGAGTTCTCCTCGTCTTCTTCGTCCTCCCATTCGTCCTCTGCTGCCGTCACTGCTGCTCGAGGAGACGTTGCCACCTGACTGCTAGACTGAGTCAGAGGTGATCGAACTCCTGCGGCTGTGGAATCGGCCAGATTAAGAGGGTCACTGGACGTGGGCGTTTGCAGGGGCGAGAAGAGGTTGCCTCCATCGACGCTGATCCTCGATGCTGCAATGCCCAAGCCATCCGCCGCAGCACCAAGGTATGGGCTGGAGCTGCTCTCGATCGGCCGCTGACGGTCGACAGCCCTCAGTGAGGGTGACCTCATGGCTGCTGGGCTCCTGCTGCCCACAAAAGAGGAGGACCGACCAGGTGACATGGTCGAGCCGGCTCCTCGCTGACTCCTCGAGGTGGCCGAGCCCCTCCTAGATGACGACGAAGCATTGTTCCTTCGCCTCTCCCGTCGCCTCCGCCGCTCGTACTCTTCTTCTGTCTCCTCTCCGACTTCTTCGCCGTCATCGTCGCTGCCGTTGACATCCTCTCCATCCACAATCGTATTCGCAGCAATGTTGGCAACAGCCTGCGCGGATCCAAATGAGACCATCGTCGAGGTTCTTCCCAGCGTTGGCACAGCGGTGTTGGAGTCGGTCGGATCGGCGGAGGGGCCATCTTTCTGGAACGCTGAGCCTTCTTCGATAGGACCATTGCCTCCGGATCGAGTGATTTCACGTTCGAACATCATCGACCTAAGCCCAGGTGCAGCCTCTGCCCTCGCCTGTCTGTTGAGCACCTGGTCTCTGAGCGCCGTCTGTTCCGTCGCTGCTCTTCTGGCCGCGGCAACGTGAGCGAGCCGCAATCTGCGCATGCGTCGCTTGATGAAGTCTGGTTGGTTCCTCGAAACATAGTCGGCCACGCTGCCCACCCAGCCTGGGAGGTAGCCTTGGTTGTTATTGTTGTTGTTTGTCGTCATCGTTGGGTGCGTGTCCGACGATTGCGATCCGCTGCCGATATTGGTCGCTACCTCTTCGCGCCCGCTTCCGTCCACAACGGAAACACTCGTCAGCTCCTGCTCGCCCGTTCCCGGCCTGGCTGCCGAAGAGCGTCTGTTCTCGGGCGAGGAAGCACCAGCTCCGATGGGTGCATCATCGGGTGGAGCCACGGCCCTCACTGACGCAAGCTCGATCTCCTCCTCGTCGCCACCAGCTGGCGCATTCGTCGCCCCGGCAGCAGTGGTCCTCCTCAGACGGCGATTCAAGGTGTGGCCCGCATCCTTTGTTTCGACCGCCAGCTTATCTCTGAAGCGTTTGATGCCACCAAAGACGTGATCGGAAGCATCGCCAAATGATGAGCCTCCATTGGCGGCAGCGGCCTCCAGCTTGAGCCGGTTGCGCTCCTCCCTCTCACGCTTCCTCCTCAGCTTCTCCTCCCGCTTTCGCTTGCGCTCCTGCCTCTCTGCCCGATCCTCCACCTCGCCGATACCCATGCCGGAGCCGACCCACCACCAGAAGCCCAGCCAGCTCTGCCAGATGGTGAGCGTCCAGCAGATCGACGGCAGCCACCAAAGCCGATCGAATGCAATCTCGACGAAGCTGATGCTGGTGTTGATGAAAGCCAGACCCACGCTTCCGCCACCAAAAGCCGCCGTGCCGCCGTCTGTGCGCCAAGCCCGGCGACGATTGACAAAGAGACCCCAAATAAGAAGGGCAGAGGTGTAGAGGAGGAATAGGGTGGAGTTGCAAATGTTCCGAATAGCATCGCCCAGGTCAGACGTCTTGACGTCGTCGTCGGACGAAAGGGCAGTGAACTCCATGCCACTGGCAACGAGGGCGAGGGGTCCCAGCATCCAGAGGATCAGCCTGGCCTCAAGGGCCGAGGGGTAGAGGAGCGTGAGGAACTGGATGTGGGTGAGATGGACGAGAGCGGTGGTGATGGCCTGCATCAGGAGATAAAAGGCCTCCTGAGCCGTGTTCCAGCTCCCATCCTGAGGCGGGATCTGGACGCCAATGTATGCAAACATGTACGGCCAGCTCCTGCTTTCCACCTCGAGCCGGTGCAGGACCGTATGCAGATGCACGGCGAGGTTGATGAGGAGCATGAGGGTGCTAGTCGTCTGCAGGTAGAAATTCTTCTTGGACAGTGGTCGATGGTACTGCGTCGTGAAGCTGAGGTGGATGGCAAGGATGGTAACCAGGGCGAGATTGATGCCGTCGACGACAATTTGGGCGGGCATGCTGAAGGCAAAGTCGGGCATGATAGCCAGCAAGGGGTCGTGGAACTGGTTGCTGGCCGTTGCAGATGGTTGGCCTTCAATAGTGGTGACGCCTGTTGGAAGCACATCGGCCGTTGTGTCTCCTTTCGAGCCAGAGCTATCGGGATCATAGGTAATAGTCGATGTCAGGTCGGGGTCTGAAGAAGACGTCGACACCGTCCCTCCTCCTGTGGCACTTGTCACACTCGCTGTCTGCTGCTGTGAGCCCCCGCTCGACGGTACAGAGGACGAGGACTGAGCTTGGCGAGGTCGCAGCAGAAGCCCTGCCCCGGCACGCGACTCTGGTTTCGGAGTTGCTCTTGGCAGCACGACGGCAGCGGCTTCGCAATGGGCCACCAGCAGGCTGCACAGGAGCACAGCAAGGATCGTGAGCGCAAGAACAGACAAGCGTGGGGCGATGCGTTGCCGTCGCTCTCGTCTTCGTCCTCGCCGCGCACCCTGGCGCTGCTGCACTGGGGTAACGCACGTCGGTACGTCCTCCATCTTCGTCTTCATCGTTGTCGTTGTCGCCTTCACGAATTGACTGCTTCGGCGCTTCGAGTCTCTATACTGCCATCGCTGGCCAGCTGCTTCGAAAATGGAAGTAGGATAGCCTCGCACTCGCTCCAAAGAGCGTCGGTCTGCAAGGTTGCCTGAACCCTATGTTGAATCTTACGATGGCCGTCTGTCTGGGCTTGCTCAATTCGAAATGGGCGCGCGCCTTTTCCCCCGTTCCCCTGCTCCAATTGTGGAAAGTTTAAGCCGTGAATAAGGTGGCCACGTGGTCAGCGATCTGCAAGATCGCCAGGGAATCGAGAGATCACTGTAGCTATGAAAAGATTGATTGGCCATCGGGTGCTAGGAATAGCTTCGAAAGTGACTTGAGATCTAGACAAGGAACAAGAAGGAGTAGTGGATCAGGGATGATTAGAGGTAGGTTGGGTGCGAGGGAAGAAGGGAAAGAGAAAATAAGAAAGAAAGAACGAATTTGGCAAGAGGATAGTTGACCGTCGACCAGCAGCCGAGGAGAGGGGAGAGGAAAGGGTGTGGGCGTGGTAAGAGGGTGTGGTGAAGGAATTGGTGCTTGGTATGCAAGAGACTTGATAACAAGAAAGGGGGCTCCGAGCCGAGCCGATGAAGCTTGTGCGCATAAGCTGGTCGCGATTGCAGAAATTGATGAGTGATTTGTGCGTCGTCGGTCATCGTTCGTCGTCATCAGAGTCGTCGTCGTCATTGGTGATTTGCTCGCTTCTGTTCACGTCTCAAGGTCCCTGATATAGCCCAAAGGCAGCGAAAGACTCATGTGCATCGGCAGGTAAGGACCCTGACCAGCTTTTGCCCAAATGATTGCCGCTCCGCCGGATGGCCTTCGCCATTGCCCATCCCCACGGCTCCTACTGGTCCACGGCCGTCGACGCGTCGACCACCCTCGACGGCGCCAGAGCTGCTGATATTGACTCCTGTCGGCGTCATCTGTCCCCCGTGGCTGTTGTCCCTCGTCGCATTCGGTGTGTTGCCCACGGGCGCATCATGGATGGCCACGTTGGACGCCTGGCCTACGCCGCCGCCGCCATACGATGAGCTGTGCGGGAAATCATTGTGACCTGGACGGTGACCCGCTGTGCAGATTGCATTTCGGTATCAGTCAGAGCAGTGAATGACCAGGCATGAAATAGAACGACTCACAGGGCTGTAGCTGAGCAGGTACGCCTGACTTGCGACCTTGCTTGGACCCATTGCGGGCCAAGGCGGCCTGGGGCGCCGCAACTCCGCTGGCCTGGGGTACCTGAGAAGCCCGCATGTCACGGTGGCGGTCCCTGTCCCCACCCCGGTCCCTGCTCGTGCCAGCCTCCCAGCCCTTGCCGCCATTGAGCATCATCCAGTCATAGACGCCATCGTCGACCTCGCCGTGAAGCGCTTTACCCAGGAGCTCGCGCAGGAAGTCGTAATCGGGCGTCTCTTCGAAGCCGAGCTTGCGCACGTAGTTGAGGTAGATGCCAAACTCCTCTGGGAAGCCTTCGCAGAGCTCCTTGATGGGCGTGCTCTGCTTCTTCTCGCCAATCTTTTCGTACTTCTGCTTGTTCGTCGCCGCCTTGAGGCCTTGCCATGGAAGGCCTCCACGAAGAAAGTACATGAAGACGTGGCCAAGTGCCTCGAGGTCGTCACGCCTCGACTGTTCGCGGCCCAGATGGGTGTTGATGGACATATACCGTGCGGTGCCGCTGAGCGACTTGCGCTCTCGGTACGGGATATGCTGCTTCGTCTTTGGATCCCTGTACTGCTTGGCCATGCCAAAGTCGACGACATGAACAACGTTGGCTGCCTTTGTCATTGGTCGGCCGATGAGGAAGTTGTCTGGCTTGATGTCGCGGTAGATGAGGTTCTTTTCGTGAATAGCCTGCACCCGGGTAATCTGTCGGTTGGTGAAGACAAGGTAAAGAGAATCGTTAATTAGCAGGAAGCCTTTGCCTCGCACGCACAAGCAAGACGTACCATTTGCTTTGCTGTCATGACAACAGTCTTGATGCTGAACTTGCGACCGCACATGTCAAAGAGATCTTCCAGACTTGGCCCGAGAAGATCGATGACGAGGATGTTGTGCAGGCCCTCCTGTCCGAAGTAGTACACCTGGGGCACGCCGTCTGTCGGAAGCAATGGATGATCAGGATCGAATGATCTTTGAGCTTGACTGCGACCAAGTTCACTACTCACGGCAACCATTGAGGATTTTGTAAGTTCTGTACTCGTCTCTAAGCTGGGGCGCATCGCTCTTGCGGGGCTCAAATTTGATGGCAACCGTCTGGCTGTTCAAGAGGTTGGTGCCTTCAAAAATGACACCGAAGGACCCTTCCCCCTGTGCGTGGGTACAATAGTTTTGATGTGAGTACTGGCTTTTCCTCCCCTTTGCAGCTGATCCAGGCAGCTACGGTCACTCACAATCTTTTTGCCGACTCGGTAATGCACGCCAACGACATTTGACCCCGAACTGTGCGAGGGATGAACCGATGACATGATTGTCGTCGATCTGGTGAAAGAGAATTGGTACCGAAAATCGTTCGCGAAGAGTCGAGGTGGTACGTGAAGTGCGGCGTGGACGGTCAGCTAGCTAGAGGCCCGAGCACTGGCGTAGGGTGGTCGAAACCGAGGGTCAAAGCGGTGAGTGAAAAGCGTGTGTCGGACAAGTGTGTCTGATGGATGAGAGTTTCTTTTTCCTTTCCACTGATGTATGCCCTTTTGCTCCAATTCCTTGTAACGAGAATGTGATGACCGAGCAGGGACAATCGAGTGCGAGCGAGTCCTTTCCTCCGTTTTTCTTTTCTTGAGCGGAGTGCCCTCCTGTGGGTTAATGAATATCCGGCGTTGGGGCTGGACTTTGGCCAATCTTGGGCTCAAAGTAAGATATGAGAGGGGTAAGGGACCACTTCGGGGCGGGCGCCGTGGGATGAGGTCGTGCCACGGACGAGAAATAAACACGAGAACGCGACGTCGAAAGGGGTGTCACCGCGTGCTGCACGGGCTGCGTCGTCTATCCAGGGACGCTGACTTGCAGGCCGAGGTGTTTGCTTGGGCGAAGAAGCGATCTTAGCCAGCCAAGTGCTGTTACCGGAAGGGAAGATGAGCCCGACGACAAGGTCAGACGACCGGGTGTGAAAGGAAGTGCAGCGAGCAGGTCAAGGTGAGGGACACCAGTGCGACCGAATGCTGCTACCAGCGAGGATAGGATATATGCCGAGTGCAATGGGCGCGCGCGAGGTCGAGGCTGAAAGGGGACAAGGGGCGCCCAAACAGAGGAGGAGAAACGTGTCGGGAAGGAGGAGAAGGAGAATGACGGGGAGGGAGGGCGTTGGCTGGAAGAAAGCTGGCCTCTCCCCTGAAAGGGGGAAAGCCCGCCTGCCAGCCCAAATACTAATGACAGGAAAAAGTTGAACCCAAGATTTGAAAATTGTCCCCGTCCCTGTATTCTTTTTTGATTGGGATCTTGAGAGGAATTTCTTTTTTGATATCGCTGTGCTGCAGCAGCAGCGTGGGCCTCGACTAAACATCACCACTTTAAGCTACCATTGGAGGCTTGGTGGCCTGCACCTGCGAACCTTAGCCTAAACGAACACCGGCTTCTATTTCGAAAAGATCCGTGAGAGAAGCAGAGAGGGGTTGCTATGGTACAGAAGCGCATTGCCGATGATTGATGATGCAACTAATATGGATCAAGCCCTATTCATCTTTTTCTTCTTCGTCTTGCTTCCTTCAGCAGCAAGCTCAGGGTGATTGGATTTCCCGTCGACGCCGCGCTTTGTTGCCGAAGAGGGTGCAGCAGCTGCGTATGCGCTGCCACTTTTGCTCTTTTCGCTATTTTTTGCCTTGATCTCACTGCCTTGCACGGCTGCTTTGTTTGCCTTGGAATTCTTCTTGGACGACGATGGATCGACGAGAGAGTGCATCTGCTTAAGCAGACCTTGAATGGCGCTCGATTTGCCAAACTTTTCAGACACGTCGAGCTGCTGCGCGATCTCTTGAATCTTGGCCACCTTCCAGATGGTCCCAACAACCTTCCCCTTTGCCTCTTCATCTCCGCCCGCTGTACCACTTGCGGCACGCTGTGTCGCTCGAACAAACTGGATGCCGCACTTGATTACATCGCGCACCCGATTTGAGGTCTGGTCAGACGAAGCGGCGTCGCGCAGGAACGCAAAGAGAGCCTCGGCCACGACCGGCATGAAGGTCAACCGGTCTTCAAACAGGTCAGCCTCCTTCGAGTCCTTGCCATTTAGGATGATCTGGAGCATTTCGAAAGCCTGCGCCTGCTGATAGCCCTGTGTGGCTGCGCCAGGCCGGCAAGACGCAACAATCTTGGTTCGCAGCGCCCAACCAAGCCGCGGAAAGCGCTTGCATGCATCGGTGATGAAGTTCGGCTTGAGCAGCGAGGCCTTGCGAGTCATGAAGTCTTCGATAGTCGACTGGTAGATGTCCCTGATCTTTGACCCTCCTTGATCCGCGGGCGGCAGCTCGAAAACGTCGTCGCTCGTGCTTCGAAGGCAGCAGCGTGTCAAGTAAAGGTTGGCGGCGTTGCAAAGGCTGGCGGGCGCATCGCCGTGGCAAGCCATGCTGTGAATCTTCTCCAGATGCTGGGCCACCTCCGAAATAGCCATGTCCGACGTCCTGCCACCTCGCAGAATTTGCATCAGAATGCTTTCGGCCTTCGACGAGATCTGCTTGAAACCAGGGTCCTTCTCCAGACACAGGACAAAGAGCGGCTGGACTAGCCCAAGGCAAAGGGGACTCGACCTCTGCTGCCGGGCAAAGATCTCGATGAGGTCCAGGATCTTGTTTTGAAAGATCAAGCCTTCCTTCTTGGCATCTTTGAGAACGGAAATATGAGCTTGGATTCTCAAAGCAGCGACCTTAGCGGTCACTCACCCTCTTGTTCCCTCTTGCTGGACACCCGCTCTCGGAAGATCTCGGCCAGCTTGTCGTCGATGAGCATCATCTGGTCGTCGTCAAGATCCGAAACATCGGAGCTGGAAGAATTGTCGCCCTCATCGTCATCCTCGTCGCTCGCCTCGCTATCGGCGATGCCGCCGGCTTGCAGGGCTTCCTGCACACGAGCCCTCAAGACGGGATCCACATCTTCTCCTTGGCCGCCATTGTCATCGTCCAGCTCTTCGTCCTCTTCCTCATCGTCATCGTCAGAGCTGGAGCTGGTCGCCGACGTTTGCGAGAGGGAGGCGATGCCTCCTGAGTCTGCCTCATCTTCGTCCATCTCCTCGTCTTCGTCGGCCCCATCGGCCTCGTCGTCTTCGTCGCCCACGCCGAGCTGATTGACGAGATGAGCAACGCTATCGCGCGTCATCTCATCGGTAAAGGAAGCAAAGGTCTGGCTAGCCACGCGACGAAGGAATGCAGAAGACAGCTCGAGGAACCCGACGAGGCAATCGACCAGCAGCTCTACCGGAGCGGGCTCATCGGGGTGCTTTGCCACTCGCTCGCTCTCGCTCATGAGGAGCATTCGATCGCCGCAGTCCAAGAGCCTCTGTGATTTCAAAGGTCAGTGGAAGAATGTACGCCAAAAAGGGCTGCTCGGTCACTCACTTCGACAACCTCAAAGTCTTCCTCCCTCGCATTCTGCAGAGATACAAAGTATCCTGCAAGGAGCAGAGACTCAAACGCCCTTCTTTTCTCTTGCGATGCATAGGTGGACTTGCGTACCGCTGACAGCTGCTCGCGAGCACGCTGCAGGAGCGATTCGCCCCCCTCCTGGACGGTGACTAGGAGCTTGTTATTCTTCGCAGAGTTTCGCAGAGACTCAAAGATGCCGAATGCCCGCGACAGCCAAAGCTCGCCGGACGAAGATGCGCCTCGAAGTTTCCTACCCTTCGCCTCGCCCTCAACAACGGTCGAGGTCTGACCCACAAGTTCGTTGATGCACGAGATGAAATGGGTACGGCATGCCGCCTTGACTTTGTCCGAGAATGTCGTGCCAGCTGCCTTATTCAAAACCCTGCTGGCGTCCTTGGGCAATTTGACGATCCGGAAGAACCCATGCACGATGAAGAAGGTGAGGACGATGTCGACGGTCTCGTCGCTCTTTGGGATGCTGGCGTTGCGCAAAAGAGCCAGGACCTGATCTAACACCATCTTACGCCGAGCGTCGATGCTCTGCAGTGCTTCCTCATCGCCCTTCTCCTCGGCTTCCAGTGCGCCCTCACCGGCTACGTCGAGGAGCCGAATGATGTGTTGGTTGACACCATCGAAGTTGGTCAAGGACAAAATTGACTCGACCGTCTTGCTCTTCGTCACCTGGTCAAAGTTTTGGTGCCCGTTTTTGCCCAGCAATTGAGCCACGATGAGGAACCCAGATGCTGGATTGTTCTTGACAGCGTCTCTTACGACGGCAGCCTTCAGGGGTCTTGTCAGCTGAGATATCAAGCAGGGACGTTTCTTAATCTACACGTACTGCGTGGTGTGCAGCGCCGTGGAGGAGGCGATCTTTGCCTGCTAGATGATTCATCCAAGTTCGCATGAAGTTTGGTGTGAAGAGGGAAGAGAGCTGATTGGCGGGCACCCGTGCGACGGCCTTCTCAAACACTTGGAAGCCCCAGGACTTGCGCTCCGGTGATGCCGAGACACCAAAGAGAGTCTCGTCGACGACGATGCGGAAATGCTCTGAGAACGAGGCGCGGCTCTTTTGCGATGGCACGAAGCTCTCCTGGGCGTAGTCATCGAGGATGAGGTCCCAGACGAAATGGACCTGGGCATTCCAGTAGCCATTTCCACCACCCTTTTCCTCTTGTCCGTCTGTCTCCTCGAGCGAGGATGCGTTCTGCGCAACATGAGGAGGTTATCGAGTCATCTGCAGTACACAACTTCAGGGGTGCAAGCTCACCTTCAGCAACTTGGCCAGCACCGCCAAGTTGGACGTAGCAAGCGGGTCCTGCTCTTTGAGCGCGGGCAACCGAACACCCTTGGCCAATGGCAAAGCTTCGCGTCGAAGCTTAAGAAGAACAGCGAGGCTCTCAGGACGAGACTCCTGCGCAACAGACAAGCGCTGGGCGACCATATTGAAGGCATCGTCTCGCCAGTGCAGGTCGTCGGCCTTGGCAAGCGCGTCGAGCAGCTGCACGGTGACCCAGGCGCAGCTCTCTGCGAACCACTCCTTTCCTTGGCTGAGAGCCTGGAGAATGTCGAGGGTCCAGGTAAAGTTTTCCAGCCCGGAGGCGCCCGACCGGAACAGGGCTCCAGATCGTACAACTGCAAAGATGCCGAACAGGCGTGCAAACATGAGGTCACGCTCTTCCTGGCCCTTGACTTTTGCCGGGGAGGTCGAGTAGTGGAGCACGAGGGTGATGATCTGGCTAGCCGATACAGTGGACAGCCGAGCCAGAAGCTGGAGGAAAAATGAAGCAGCAAGTGTCAGCAAGGGCTTACTCAGCGTTTAGCAGTTCCACTGGCGTCTAGCAGGACTCACCTCGCTCAGGGTGACTGCGAAGCCCAGACGAGAGCTCTCTCGGTGGCTCGCCAAGCCCTTCAACAGCCTCTTGACCGAATAGACGACATCGCTGGCATTGTGCGCCTCCAAGGATGCCTCTGCCTCTCTCGTCTGCTCCTCGCTGACGGTAAGCGTCCCCCTGCCATCATCCTTTCCGAGATTATCGGCGAAGAGACGCTCTGGCACCTGCTTCGAGGGCTCCCCCAGCGACTGTTGCTTCTCAACGAGCGACGAAACAAGCGATGATGATGACGCCAAGCGGTCCGACGTCGATGCAGAAGCAAGCTGCCAGAAATGCGACAAGTTGCCCGCCATTGTCGTGGGGCTCTGCTTGCTTTCCTTGAGCTGCTTCGACCAGCAACGCGCTTGAAGTTTTCTCGTTCCTCTTTCTCTTCCTTTTTTTTTTTTAACAACTCGGGAATCGGAGATGAATGAAGCTTGTTTCAGTCTGCCACGAGGGGTTCTGGAACGCCCAGAGACGATTGACTCACTTTAATCTTTTCTTTCTTCTGAGAAAACCGGGGCCATTCAATCTACCACCACCCAACTATAGAGGCAACCATGGTGAGTGAGGCTTGTGCGGATGCTCGTCCAGATTGAAGGCTCACGATGTAGTAGTGCGGGATCCTGGGCTGCGTTCACCACCCCAAAGCGGCCGAGTACCGCTCCAAGATGCTGACGATGTCGCGATGCATTCGTCACCGAGGCCCAGACTGGTCCGGTTGCGTCGTGGCCACGCACGGAAGCGGTGCACACCGAGTGTCGGAGAGGTCCGCAGCTGCCTCAAAGGATGAAGAGGAGACCAACAAGAATGGCAGTGCCACGCCCGAGACGGGCAGTATCCTTTGTCACGAGAGGCTGGCTATCGTTGGTGTCGACACTGGCGCCCAGCCGCTCATCTCGACGGACGGCAACCTAATCCTGGCTGTCAACGGAGAGATTTACAACCACCGACAGCTTCGCAAGTCGCTCAAGGACTCTAGCGCAGAATTCAAGACGCACAGTGACTGCGAGGTCATCCTTCACCTCTACAAGGAGCACGGAACCGACTTCGTGTCCATGCTCGACGGTATGTTCTCCTTCATCCTTCTCGACACTTCGGTCAAGCCGCACCGCTGCATCGCTGCCAGGGATCCCATTGGTATCACGACGTTCTACCAAGGCTGGAGCTACAAGTATCCCGGCGCAGTGTACTTTAGCTCGGAGCTCAAGGCGATCCACGACGAATGCGACAGGATCCGAGCCTTCCCTCCAGGGCACTTCTATGACAGCTCGCTGCCAGAAGGCCAGGAGACGGTTCGTTACTACAAGCCAAAGTGGTGGCATGGCGACGAAGAAGGTGCGGCGCTGCCCAAGGGAGAGGCAGATCTTACAGCGATCCGCGAAGCACTGGAGCGTGCCGTTCGCAAGCGTCTCATGTCCGAGGTGCCCTACGGCGTCCTCCTCTCCGGTGGTCTCGACTCGAGCCTGATTGCATCCATTGCTGCGCGCGAGACCAGCAAAGTGGCTGAGGCACAACGTCTTCGTTTCGAGGAAAAGCGTGCTAAGAAGGCCGCTCGCGTCGCCGAGGTCGCCAACGGGGTGGGAGCCGACGGTGCTCCCGATGGCCTCCCCGTCGGTATCGACGAGGACGCCGAGAACGAGGCCGACACGCTGGCTGCCTGGCCTCGACTTCACAGTTTCTCCATCGGTCTGCCAGGTTCGCCTGACTTGCTGGCCGCCAGGGAGGCTGCCCGCTTCCTGGGCACGGTGCACCACGAGCACACCTTCACCGTGCAGGAGGGTCTCGACGCCGTCAGGGATGTCATCTACCACCTTGAGACATATGACGTGACGACGGTGCGAGCGTCTACGCCCATGTATCTCCTCAGCCGCAAGATCAAGGCCATGGGAGTCAAGATGGTCCTCAGTGGCGAGGGTTCCGACGAGATCTTTGGTGGCTACCTCTACTTCCACGCCGCGCCCACTGCAGACGAGTTCCATCAGGAGTGCGTTCGAAGGGTCAAGAACCTGCACACGGCCGACTGCCTGCGCGCCAACAAGAGCACCATGGCCTGGGGCCTCGAGGCTCGCGTGCCCTTCTTGGACAAGAACTTCCTCGAGGTCGCCATGGGGGTCGATGCCAAGCACAAGATGTTCAGCAAGGGCTCCCTCCAGACGAAGGATGCCGATGGGCGGCCGCATATGGAAAAGTACATTCTGCGCAAGGCCTTCGACCTGACACCCGAGGGCGACGACAAGCCTTACTTGCCCGAGAGCATCCTCTGGCGGCAAAAGGAGCAGTTCAGCGACGGCGTCGGCTACAGCTGGATCGATGGCATGAAGGACTATGCCGAGTCTCACGTCAGCGACGCCAAGTACGCCGAGCGCAAGCAGCGGTACCCGGTTGACACGCCCGACACCAAAGGTGGGTAGTCTCACCTTGCTTGCTTTGAAGAGAATTGTCTGGCTGACTTTTATTTCTCTGAACAGAGGCATACTGGATCCGCGAGATGTTTGAGGAATGGTTCCCTGGTGACGCAGCCGCGAGGACGGCTGTGCGATGGGTCCCCCGTGGAGACTGGGGCTGCTCGAGCGACCCCAGCGGACGGGCCGTGGCGATTCACGACGCCGCATACAAGGAGTGATAGAGAACACAAAAAAAGGCACAGCCGATGCTATCTTTTGAGGCTAGTTATCGCTGTCTTTCCCCCTGCTGCATGTATCTCTCTGTTTATGGCGTTTGGTTGATAATGTAAAGAGCAATAGACCAGAAGTTGTTCCATCATGATGACTGTCCTCTGCTATTTCCGATCCGACCGTGCCCACCGCGAGGCGCAGAAGAAAGTGCGTGGTTTAGCCTCCACAAACGAGAGCGTGCAGACTGAGGACCTTTTCAACCTTTCGCTCCCTCTTCCCTTTTCTCATTCTCAAAAGAGCTAAAAGTATCCGTCCTGTTGACTCGCCTTCCGAGAGCTAGTACAACACAGATCACCGCAGCGCAGCCGCACATACACCCGCCTTCGTAGCCCAAGCCTACATCTGACACCAACAGAAGAGAAGGGCCGGCCATGTCGAGCTCAAAGCGCCTTGCCAAGGTGAGTGAGGCCCTAGCTCTTCCTCGCACGGAGGAAGAAAGCCAAACCGAGCCAGATCTGACTGACTGACTGACTGACAACCTTGCTCCTCCCTCTTTTTCCTTCTCTCTCTCTTGCGGGTGCCATTGGATTCGCAGGAACTGGCCGACCTGACAAAGGAGCCACTTGATGGAATCTGTGGGTCAATATTCATTCTGTCAATGGAGCGGAATTACTGACGTGAGCACATGCACTGCCCCTCTGCAGCGGTCGAGGCCAGCGAGTGAGTAGAGGCCGTGATACTGCGTCTTCGCGACACGCAAAGCTCAAAGCCCTCACCAAACCAGAGAGAACCTGTACAAGTGGAATGCACGAATCCAAGGCGTGAGTACCAGAAGACTTTTCCCGCTTCCTACTCGAGCGACCTAGCTCACTCCCGCCCTTCCCTGTGTCTGCATGTGCGCGAACGCAGCCAAGCTCGACGCCGTACCAGGGGGGCACCTTTGAGGTTGCCATTGACTTTCCCATCGAGTACCCCTTCAAAGGACCCAAGCTCCGCTTCCTCACGCCCGTCTACCACCCAAACGTCGACAAGGACGGGAATATGTGCGTGGGCGTCATCAAGGCCGAGGCGTGGAAGCCCAGCACCAAGGCCTCCACAAGTGAGTCACTTGACCTTTGCGCTCGCCCTTGTCGGCGAGCGAGAGAGACCAGCGCAGATGGAGCGAGCGTGCGCTGACCAGATGCCACCGCCAGTCCTCTTGGCGGTCAGTCAGTTGTTGGCGGAGCCCAACCCGGACGATGCCCTCGTGACGGAGCTCGGTGAGTCCACTTCTTTGTGTCGAGTACACGCCTCCTCCTTGGCCTGACCATGCTGTCTCTCTCCTGCAGCCGACGAATACACCAACCGCCGAGCTGAATTTGAGAAGCATGGTGAGCCCCGTGTTCTGTGCACAGCCCGTTCATCGACCCCTGTGCTAAGGCCCAGCGCTCTTTACCCCCCCTACAGCCAAGGAACACACCCAAAAGGTTCGTCTTTCATTTCCCTTTCTCACTCTCCCGCTAATCTTTTCATCGACTCACATCGTTCCCGACAGCACGCAAAAAAGTAGAGCAGTAATCACACATTCATACGAAGCAAGCCATCTATCTGCCCACTTAAAAGGCAAGAAAACTCAGAGAGCAAGAAGTTCCATTATCAATCATCGTCGTCGTCATCAACATCATCCATCCAGAATGAAATCTGCTTTACTGCTATTGCTGCTATGGGTTCAGAGAAAGCATTCTAGTCTTGGAGGCTTCGGAACGACTCCTCAACCTGCGTCCCGAGCTCGTTGAGCCGGTTGACGACCTCTTCCTCGCCGTCCTTTGGATTGTGGAACTTCTGCTGCGTGAGGCTGTAAATGACGTCGGAGCAGTGCTCCTTGATCTTTGCCCAGGTAGCGCCATTTGTCGCGGCCTGTTGCGCCAGGTCGTGGAAGGTGATCATGTTCTGGAGCATGCCGCTCGTCTTGTACTGGGGGCAGTAGGCGTCGTAGTCGCTCACACCGTTTTGCTGAAGGAAGTCATTCTTCATGATGGCCGCCACCTCGAGCGTCACCTTGTCGTTTTCGCCGAGCGCGCTCTTGCCGACCAGCTGCACGATTTCGGCCAGCTCCGTGTCCTTCTGCAGGATGCTCTTCGCCGTCGATCGCAGCGAGGTAAAGCCTGGGTGGTTGGCTTCATAGTAAGGCTCCAGGGCCTGGACATACTTGGAGTACGAGACGTCCCAGTTGACACTGGGAAAGTGCTTGCGCTGGGCCAGCTTCTTGTCCAGACCCCAGAAGGCACCCACGATGCCGAGGGTGGATGCCGTGACGGGGTCGGAGAAGTCACCTCCGGGCGGCGAGACGGCACCCACGATGCTGACACTTCCCTGTCGCTCCGGACTGCCCAGGGCAGTGACTTTACCAGCGCGCTCGTAGAAGCTGGCGAGCTTGGCACCAAGGTAGGCCGGGTAGCCCGAGTCGGCTGGCATCTCGGCCAGACGACCAGAAATCTCACGGAGAGCCTCGGCCCACCGGGACGTCGAGTCGGCCATCATGGCGACGTTGTAGCCCATGTCTCGGAAGTACTCGCTGAGGGTGATGCCCGTGTAGATGGACGCCTCGCGGGCTGCGACGGGCATGTTGGACGTGTTTGCGACGAGCGTCGTACGCTTCATGATGGGCTGCTCTTTGCCGTCGCGCATCAGCGTAAGCTCGGGGAATTCGGCCAGGACCTCGGCCATTTCGTTTCCTCGCTCGCCGCATCCGACGTAGGTGATAATGTCCGAGTTCGAGTACTTGGAAAGGGCCTGGGAAATGACGGTCTTGCCGCATCCAAAGGCACCTGGGATGGCTGTCGTACCTCCCTGCACACAGGGGAAGAGCGAGTCGAGGATGCGCTGGCCGGTGAGCAGCGGCGTATCGGCCGTGAGCTTCTCGGCGACTGGTCGGGGAGCTCGGACGGGCCAGAGGGAGCACATAGTGTGCTTAGTCTTTTGGCCTTGGAACTCCGTCTCGAGGATGACGTCGTCGACGTTGTAGCTGCCCTTCTCGGCAAGGTAGCTGATTGTACCGCGCGCTCGCGGTGGCAGCATGATCTTGTGATCATTGAGAAGGGTGTTCTCGAAAACCGAGCCGTAGATGTCGCCGCCAGAGATGTGGTCGCCCTCCTGCAGGGTCACTCGGTTAGTCAGGGGAGGATTCACTACTCAAGAAGGGGCCAAAAAAGAGAAGACCAACCTTGAGCTTGACCGGGTTGAAGTCCCACTGGAGCGAGCGATCCAGTGCCTGGGTGTTGATGCCGCGGGGAATGTAAATACCGCCGCTCTTCTTCATGATGCCCTCCAGCGGACGTTGAATACCTGTTGAATCAGTTTGGTCAGGACCGGTAAAATGACGCATGACATCGACATTGACTCACCATCGTAAATGTTCTCCATCAGACCGGGGCCCAGCTCGACACTCAGAGGCTTCTTCGTGCTCAGCACCGGGTCGCCGACGCTGACACCGCTCGTCTCCTCGTAGACCTGAATCGTGACCTTATCGGCGTCGATACGAATGATCTCACCAACGAGCTCTTCGTGGCCGACTCGGACAAGTTCGTACATGGAAGATCCAATCATGTCCTCGGCAACAACGACTGGGCCCGAAACACCAAAGACACGGCCGAATCGTCCCTCGCGCTCCTCATCGCGAATCTTTAGAGGTAGGCCAGAGAAGGTTAGAGACTTAGTAGGCGAAGAAAGAAGGGGGAGATATGACCCTTGTCATTGAGTTTGACTTACCTTGGGTAGGTTCTTCTTGGCATTCTCCATTGCTCCCGCCATTTTGGGCCGATTGCTGAGAATGGGAGAGGTGTGAAGGCGCAGAGAGAGAGAAGCGAGGCGAGAAGAAGGGGGGGGAGAACTGGTTCAGGCTGAGGAGGGTGGAGAGGCGATATAGCCAACTCAGGAGAAGGCTCGTGCACGTGGGCTGGCAGGGCAAGGGCTCGATCACGTCGTGCAGATGGAGCCGGACGCGAAGCCTCTCAACTTTTGACTTTGGAGCAGCCACCAGCCTACCAACACCCAACGAGTCTCTCGCAAAGATGCCGCCAAAGGCCGATTGGGAGAAGTACAAGAAGCCCGACGAAGATAGCAGCAAGGATGAGGACAAGATCGTTGCCCTCGACGAGGTGAGCTCAAGAGAGGAGCGCTGCAAGTTGAGATGGCAATTAAACACTGACATCTACGTGAACAGGGCGACATCCAGCTGCTGAAGACATACGGCCAGGGCCCATATGCTACGGCTCTCAAATCAATTGAGAATGAGATCAAAGAGGTCCAGAAGAGGGTCAATGACAAGATGGGGGTCAAGGAGACGGACACGGGTCTCGCTGCGCCGAACCTGTGGGATGTGCCAGCCGACGAAGGGCGAATGAGGGAGGAGCAGCCGTTGCAGGTGGCCCGGTGTACCAAGATCATCAAGGCATCTGACAAGAGCGAAGAGCAGGAGGGAGCCAACGGAGATGCGCGGGAAGGAGGAGCTGGAGCTGGCGCCGGGGGCCAGGGACAGGGTGGCGAGGCTGGGTCACAGGCCGGCGGAGGTGGTCTCGCAGGCACATTGGGTGGTCTTGGTGGTCTCGGAGGGCTGGGTGGCGGACCTCCAACGGCTGAAGAGGAGGACAAATACGTCATCAACATCAAGCAGATCGCCAAGTTTGTTGTCGGTCTAGGCGAGAGGGTAGCTCCGACAGACATTGAAGAAGGCATGCGCGTTGGGTAAGTTCAGCGGTAGTCTCAATCGTTGCTCATGCTGAGACCCTCCCTTAATCCTCCAGCGTCGATCGACAAAAGTATCAGATTCAAATTCCTCTTCCGCCGAAGATCGATCCGAGTGTCACGATGATGCAGGTCGAGGAGAAGCCCGACGTGACGTACGGAGACGTGGGAGGTTGCAAGGAGCAGATCGAGAAGCTCCGCGAGGTCGTCGAGACGCCTTTGCTTGCGGTTGGTAATTAGCTCGCTATGCCCGCTGTCGATTCGGTTGCTGATCAAGCTTTTACTCTACAGCCCGAGAAATTCGTCAACCTCGGCATTGACCCGCCAAAGGGTGTTCTTCTTTACGGACCTCCAGGGACGGGAAAGACGCTGTGTGCCCGAGCCGTGGCCAACCGAACAGATGCCACTTTTATTCGAGTCATCGGCTCCGAGCTGGTGCAAAAGTATGTGGGTGAGGGCGCCAGGATGGTCAGAGAGCTCTTCGAAATGGCGCGGACAAAGAAGGCGTGCATCATCTTCTTCGATGAGGTCGACGCCATTGGAGGTGCTCGGTTCGATGATGGAGCAGGAGGCGACAATGAGGTGCAACGAACGATGCTTGAGCTCATCAACCAGCTCGACGGTTTCGACCCTCGAGGCAACATCAAGGTTCTTATGGCCACCAATCGACCCGATACATTGGATCCTGCCCTGCTCCGACCTGGTCGTCTTGACCGGCGCGTGGAGTTCGGCCTGCCGGACAACGAAGGACGGGCGCACATCTTGCGCATTCACGCCCGTTCAATGAGCGTCGAAAAGGATATTCGCTTTGACCTCATCGCGCGCCTCTGTCCCAACACGACCGGTGCAGAGCTTCGAAGTGTGGCCACAGAGGTAAGTAGTGGTAGTCTTTTTCATTCAGCAAGTTGCTTTGTCGCTAAACATCAACTCGTCCGCAGGCTGGCATGTTTGCGATCCGAGCTAGGCGCAAGATGGCAACGGAAAAGGACTTTCTTGATGCCGTCGAAAAGGTCGTCAGAGCTGGACAGAAGTTCAGCTCGACTGGCTTGTACAGCAACGTGAGTCAAGCGATTGCTTCTCAGTTTTTTGTCCTTTTCACTGACCAAGCTCCTCGCCTGATAGTATAACTAGAGGTCATATGTTGCTAGTCTTGCTGCTTCGAGCAAAAGAAATACACACAGTCTTACTTCCATTTCGACTGAATGCTTTTGACAATCACATTTCCTCCATGGTCAAGAAGTGTCACTTTTCAAGGCAACTAGTGGACAAGTGTGTCTCTATGAAACGTCGTGGATTACGCCACCTGCAACGAGGCAAAGTGGGCCTCTGCACTTGCCACCTCGAGGTGCTGCTGCGCTTCGAGGCGTCTCCGCGCAGCGTCGAGCCAGTCCTCTGCCAAGATTTTCGGCCAGCCGTGGAGCTGGTTGAGCTGCCGGGCAGCGCCGTCGAGATCCCGCCTCTCGAGGTGCCACTGGGCTCGGGCCAGGACGGCAGGCACGTCGTCGCCCTCTGGGAAGCCCTTCTTGGCAAAGAGGAGCGGCGAGATGGTGGCGCTGATCAGGTGGGATCCGATGCCGGCCTGGTCGGGCACCAGGGCCACACGCTGCACGGCAGGGCGGAGCTTGTTGGTGAACCACGAGTAGAGCGTCGAGAAGGACTCGACGCCCTCGTCGGGCCGGCTCGCCTCGAGCTGGTCGAGCGCCTTTGCGAGCAGCGCATCTTCCTCGCGGCTGCCGCTCTTCTCGAGCGCCTTCTTGAGACTGTCGAGCTGCTTGCGGAAGGGCGCGCGCACGCCCTGCTCGTCCTGCTCGTCCAGCGCCACACTCTGCAGGTCTCGCACGGCGGCAGAGACAGCCAGGGTGCTCGCATTGTCCTCGAGGGCCTTGCTGTTGCCGAGGCTGATCTTCTGGAGCTCGCTGAGATCGCTTGCCAGCTCGTCGAGCTTGGCGAGCCGGCCTCCTCGCTCTGCCTCGACGCGGGCCTTGATCTCCTTCATCCAGCGCCGCTGCATCTCAATGCCCTGCGACACGACTTCTTCGCGCAGGCGCTCGTTAATGATCTCGCTCTGTGTCGCAAGCTCCTCCTTGAGCTTGGCCTCGTACTCGGAGGCCTCCTTTTTCCGCAGAGCCTCCTGCTCCTTTTTCCACTTGGCATCCACCTGGTCCACCTGCTTGGCCGCCTCCTCGTTGGCCCGCTTCAAGTCCGCATCAAACTTGGACCGCGCCGAATCGAGCCCCTTGCGAAGGCGCTCAGCCTCCTGCTTCTTGATGGCGTCGAGGCGCTCCAGGAGGTTCTGCAGCTCCTTTTTGGCCTCGTCGAGTACGCCTCGGGCCTTGGAGCCGCCGTTGGGCGCTTCTCGGAGGAAGGCGGCGAGATCATCGACAGTTGAAGCCAGGTGAGCGACCATGGGCTCGCTGCCTGAGAGCGACGAGATCGAGGGCGCGAGCTTGGGCAGCAGTGGAATCTCGGGGTCGTCGCGCAGACGAGCATTGGGAGCATTCTCGGGGTGCAGGCCACGCTCGCGAGACGAGCCCGCGACGAAGCCGGCAGGCGCCTCGTGCTGCAAGGGCAGTGGCTTGCCGTACGGTGCGCCCTGAGGCGTCTTTGTGGCCGATGCAGCCTGACCCTTGAGCTTCTCCTCGGCTTCGCTGATTGACTTCTTGACCTTGCCAACGAGGTCCTCTGCCTTCTTCTCCAGGTCCTTTGCCACGCCCTCGCCCTGCTCCTTTGCCTGCTCAGCCGTTTCCTTCGTTTTGGTGCCAACCCGGAGGGTGGTCTCCTTTGCCTGCCTGCTCGACTGCTCCAGTCGCTCGCCCGCCGTCTTTCGTGCCTCCTGGGCCTCTCCACCCAGGGTCTCGGCCTTGTCTTGGACCTGGCCGGACACGCGCGAGACGGCCTCGGACACGCGCTGGTAGCCCGACGTGGCCGTTTCAAAGACCCTCTGCGAGTAGCCGCTGGCCTGGTTCGCACCTCCGCCGTCGATAAAGTCGAGCAGGCGCTCCCCACCAGGCACATACTCGCTAAACAAGTCAGCGTACCGTTCGTTTTGCTGCGCGTAATAGGCCGAGCCTCCGTAGAAGAGCGATGCAGTGAGCGTCGTCAGCACGAGAAAGCGTCGGAAGGGTGACCTTGAAGTCGGCTCAGCCTCTGATGCAAAAGTCTTTGGCAAAGAGGCATCAATGTCAGTCTCGAAGCTCCTGCGTTCAAAAGGGTCAGCGTTGAGGTTTTGAGACTTACCCTCGCTTGCAGGCCCTGGGCCCTCGCTGTCGCTACGAGCGGCCTCGACGACAGGCCAGCGGCGCGCCTCGAAGGGGCGAGGGCAGCAGCGGGAAGCCTGTTCATGATGGCTGGCTGGCTGGACACAGACTAGCAGGAGCTCGATCTGGAGCCGAAATGGAGATGTGCGAAGATTGGACTTGGAACAGCGTCGGCTTCTTCCGGTGCGTTCAAAACACGTGGCCCCATTGTCAATTTATTGGAGCGCTCTGCCCCGTCCAGTAGTAGTAGAGGGGCGACGTACGCCAAGCCATATATGGCACTAGTCTGACTGGAATCATTTTAAGGGGCGGGTCCATCCAACTGCTCCTACTTTTAGAAGCTAGGTCATCTTCGAGCCCTGACCCTCTCCCCGACATCCTTATCTTGGCCAGGTGTCGTCCCCCCGCTGCATCGCCGTCTTCTCTGCACCACCTACTCGCACTTACCGTCAATGTGTCATTGAGTTCGCAGGACGTTGCTACCAAACTCCACCAGGCCCACCAAACTGCAATTGTAATTCGGGCCAGGCACAGCCCCGGTAGCACTTGACGCCTGAGCGGCACGCGAGCCAGAACGCGCGCGAATCGCCTTGTCTCGACCGCCTCTACCACTACTGCCACAACTATTTTTGCTACTCAACTCCCTGGCGATAGACACACAGCCACTTTCCTTCCCTCGCTCGACACCCCACGAGCGCCTTCGTCTTTTCTTCGCTTCGCCCTCTACTCATCGACATCCGTGAATCCTCTGTCTGGTGTTCCTCGTTGAGTGGGGAGAGAACAAGCGGGATAGGAAAGTATGGCAAATCCCTTCTACCCGCCCAAGGGTGCTCGCCCGGACCGCGGCGACGCCTCGAGGGGCAGCATAGGTCACGGCGCCGACGAGGCACCTCTCCCGTTCGACCCCGATCGGAGGGGACTCTGGAACGGCGAGCAAGCAGGGATTCGAGGGCGGCGGCAGGATTCGAGCATGGCCTTTGAGGATCGCAATCATGCTCGCAATGGAACAGAAGGTCCCGGCGGGGCGGCTGCCTTCTACGTGCAGGATGACATCTACAGCGGCGGTCCTCGAGCCGGGGCAGCGCAACCAGGCCTGTCTTATCAGCCCCATCCCCACCACCCGGGCGCCTTTGATAATGCGCGCTACCCGCCAGTACTTCGAAGTGAGGGCCCCTCCCTGTCTTCATCACCGAGGGGACCCAACGCCACTTTGCTCCCGCATGGCCAGTACAACGGCTACGCCAATGGAGGTGGCTCTTCTCCGCAGAGGTATCCCGAGGCTCGTTACGCCTACGAGGACGATGAGGAAGACGACGACGACGACGCGTTCAGGGCAAAAGAGGCGCAAAGGAAGCGTGCAGCAGCAGCTGGCGGGTTGGGCGCTGGCCAGTCTGGCTTCACCGCCTCGAGCCTGGCACTAGACACGGCGAGGCTGAACCAATATCCACCACCGTCCGTGCACGACATCAATAGGCCGGGGACGCCAGGCATTTATCTCGATCGGCCGCCGAGGAAAGAGGCTCTCAACGAGAAGCAGAGGGAAATCTTGGCCACCTTCCCCGAAGATCTCGACGAGGAAAAAGGTGGACTGCTGACCAGCGCAAAGAAGATGGCAAAGAACTGGCGTGAATGGGTCCGATGGAAGTATGCGCGTAAGTGTCTTCTCTCCAAAGCTCGTTGTCTCCTTCAGAATTTGTGCTGATGACGCTGCCGTGACAGACTACTACATCATTCTCGTTTTCATCTGCGTGCTCGTCGCCCTCATGACCATCTATCACCGCCAGATCATCGACTGGCTCACGCCCGTCTCAAAGAAGATCAACAGCGTCTCGTGGGGCTGGGTCATTCCCGTCGCCATCCTCTTTGTCATTTCCTTCCCGCCGCTCTTCGGCCACGAAATCGTCGGCATCCTCTGTGGTGTCGTCTACGGTCTCTGGATTGGCTTTGGCATCCTCAGTCTTGGCACCCTGCTGGGAGAGATTGGCAACTTCTATGGTGGGTCACCAAATCCCCCTCTTCTTTACCTCTTGAGGCGCCACTGACCTTTTCATCCGCTCACCCTAGCATTCAAGTGGTTCCTCAAGAAGCACGGCGAAAGATATGAGCGGAAGTCGCTAAACTACGCATGCATGGCACACATTGTCCGAGAGGGAGGCTTCATGGTCGTTCTTCTCGCTCGCTTGTCGGCCATCCCCGGCCACTTCACCACGGCCGTCTTTGCCACGGTAGGCATGAACATCTTCGTTTTCACCATCGCCGCCGTCCTCTCGCTGCCCAAGCAGCTTGTCGTCGTGTACCTTGGTGTGGCCATCGAGCAATCCGGCTCGGGCCAGGAATCGACACAATCCAAAGTCATCAAGTGGGTCGTCTTGATTATCTCCTTTGCCGTCACCATCGTCGTCGCAATCTACCTCTACGACAAGATGAACAAGGCCAGGCCTCTCGTCCAGTCGCGCCTACGACAGCGACGATACACACTTCTCAGCGAAGCAGCACCGCCTAAGGAGCACGATTCTACGTCGGGCCCATACCCTCGCCAAGGCCAGGGCCATGCTGGCTCAGAGTCTCTGGGCGTCGACGACATGGCAGAGACGAAGATTGACATGTATGGCAACGGCGACCCGACGAGGAGGACACAGGACGCTCGCGAGGAAGACGATATGCAAAGAACACCGACAATCAAGTTTACTCAACAAGGTGGTTGGAGATACCGTGACCAGCAAAGACAGCAAGGAGTGGCACCTCTTCAGGCGACCCAATCGATTCTGCGAAAACCAGAGCAGAGGGCAGAGAGTCCGCCGAGTGGGGAGAGCGTCAGCTCACACAACCATTCTCCCACAAGGCCGCTCAACTACCAGCAGCATTCTCCTGCGGTGGATTACGACCCTGAGGCTACGATCCGCGTCGTGAATGGAGGCGCGTGGGACCATCGCTATTCGTCACCCACCCATAGCCAAGATCAGCATGTCTCCCCTCGCTTCGCGAATCCATACGATTCGGTTCCTCAGCGACAGCAGCAGCAACAACAACAACGACAGCAGCAACAACGACAGCAACAGCAGAACAACCTCAAGCCCAAAGAGCCAGCTCACTACCAAAGGGTCAGCGGGGTGGGCTCGGTGTACGAGCTGCCGCCGCTCGAGGTGGGCCTAGCAGATGGCAGCAGAAGAGCGCAAGACGACGGTGAGACATCACCCAATCGACCGCCGAGCTACCACACCGATACGGATCCAGGCCATCGGTCAGAGGATCAACATCAGCAGCAGCAGCAGCAGCAGCAGCAGCAATACCATCAACAGCAGCGCAACCAGATGCAGCAGGGCACTGCCTCGACTGCATCGTGGAATGGCGGATTGGCTCTTTGAGCATGGTCTCGCTCGCATGGTCTCGCAGGTCCAGCTAGGGGTGATTGTAACTTCTTCCTTTCCTTTCTTTTCAGCCCACGCTCTCCGTTTGTACTCTTTTCGGCCTCCCTTTTGTTATTACCCTCCTCTTCTCGGCAATGACGACGTTGCGACGATGGCCTTTGATGGCATTTCACGAAGGACCTTTGTTTTCAATTCAATGTTTCCAGGCGCGAGTCGTCTCCTAGCTCTGCGTTTTGTTTTTTTGACGCGTTGCTCTCGAGTGCCTCCACGCGCGACTTGCGAGAGAACAACACTTTGTGTTTCTTTTCTCTCCAGCAATAAGTTCACTCCGGTCCAGGACTTCCTGCGGTCCGCCAAGACGTGAGGAAGGGAAGCAGGCATGTCGCGCCGTGCGCTCCGCAACTTCCACGAGCCCGGATTGGGCAGTCGAACGGGTCTGCGAATCAGCACGAGCGTGCGACCAGACGATGTGCAGGCGTACTACGAGGCGGGCAAGCGCTTCATGGAGCCGCCGGAACCGACGCCGCCAAGCCGACTCGGCACGCCCTCCTCGCTCTTGTACGATTGCGACGAGGGCGACGAGGGCGACAATGGCGAGAATGAGCACAATGGGCGCATTCAGCCGCCGCTGACATTTGAGCAGGCCATGGAGCTCGATGCGCATCGGCCGCCGGTTGGTGAGCGGTCCTTTGTGGGCGTCTCTCTGATGGACATACAGACAAGTGAGAGTCAGATGCACTTAATAACCCGGTCTGAGGCTGATGAGTGGCTACTTCCGATACATATTAAGGCTCGTATTTGTCGCCAAGAGCCGCGCTCGATGCACAGAGAAGGTACCTGCAAGAAAAGCAGCAGCAGCAGCAGCTGGAGATGCAGACGAGCCGCGACGCCAGGCCGCTAGGAGAGATAGCGCTGAACGGGAACGGGGGCCAAGACAGGTTTGGATTCGAGTCTTCGACGTACATGTCGACTTCTTCCAGCTCGCCCGCTCGGAGGAAGGAGAAGCGGAGTGGGAGGACAAGCAGCCGGAGACTGACGGGATGGGGAGCAGCAGACGAGCTGCCCAAGTCAAGCGGATCGAGGCGAACGAGCTCGGTAGGAGCGAGGCAGTCTATTTCTTGTAGCAAGACGAGGGACGTGACAGTTGCCGGACGAGATTCTAAGATATTCATCGATGAGCAGCTGGAACAGCGGGGACAGTGGGACGAGGAGGTGGACATGTCGATCGATGTGGCCGACGAAGAACAGGATGCGATCTATGACTCTGTGGCGCCACATGATGATGGAGACGAATCCCCTTCACGCCTGGACTCACTGGCTGCAGAGAATTACTATCCTGACTTTGGAGGCGACGACGACGATGGACAAGGCCAGGGCATACCCGAGCTTATGCGTAAAGGGAGCAATGACCCGAGCGAGGAGCCCAACGACGACGCGGTGTCGAACATCTTGGCAGCAAAACCTTTGGCGTCAGTGGCCATTGAAGGGAACAGGGCAGGAAAGGCCGGGAAGAGCATCCAAAGAAAGGGAAAGTCAGGCCGATCGAAAGCTCCCAAGGAGACAGGGAGGCAGGGAAAGGCAAAGCAGAGGATGGCAGACCTGCAGAGCATCGATGAAGAAGGTCCTGACGAAGAGGTGGCTCGTCGTCGAGAGAGGTCCGCCAGTGTCCAGCGCGTGGTCCACAAGGTGCCCCGCGGGCAATCAGTCGAGACGATGACGCCTGGTGACGGCGTCAGACGCAGCTCACGGTACCGATACGCACCTCTGCAGTATTGGCGGGGCGAGACGGCTAGGTTTGGACGGCCCTCGCTTCCGGGCCCTCCAAGACAAAAGAGCGCAAGCGTGTCCACGACGGGCGAAGATGAGGAACACGTCGACGAGAATACCTTTGAGGATGCGCCGGGAGCTGCTCAGCCTCCTGTGCCCGTGCTCAAGGAGATTGTCACTGTTCCACGAGCAGAGGGTGAGGGTACCTTCACGGGCATGTGGCTCCCATCGTCGACGTCAGTCAGAGGACACAAGCGATCTGCCACTGTTCGCACGGGGACCGGAACGAGATCGGCAAAGACAAAAAGGCAGCCCAAAGGCAAAGAAGCTGGAGAGGACAACGACTTGGACCCGATGCAGCCGACGCAACATCCCGAGGACAGGTGGGACGACGGCATGCCTCGGATGGGCATCATCTTCAACAGCGACACCCACGAAGAGGAAGAGGCTGAGATCCTGTGTCCCTCGACACACTCGCGCCTTCGTCCGACAGCCAATGCCTCATTTGCCTTTTCAAAGACGTTTGCCATTGACGGTCTTGCCGCCTTTGGATACCTCGAGCTCGACGTGGGACAGACGAAGCCAACAAAACCAAGTCGGGACAACAACTACTGCTTCTTTGTCTTTGAGGGCGCCGTCAAGGCCCAGGTGCATCGATCCAACTTTCTCGTGGCGCCAAATGGAAGCTTCTTTGTGCCCAAGGGCAACACCTACTCGATTGAGAATGTAAGCGAACGAAAGGCGAGGCTGTTCTTTAGCCAGGTCAGGCACCCAGATGGCGACGAGGCCGCCATGGTGGCCGATGCAACAATGGGAGCCTGTACGACGACTGCCGATGTGTCTCGATAACAAGGGAATTGTTCGAAGCGTTCCTGAAGCCATCATTGATTAACTTGCTTCGCTCGTCCTGCTTTGTTTGTCACCTTGTGCTGTACAGTACCATCTGCTCTGTCAAATGCGACGTGATCCTGTCGTACTGCCGTGGCTTGTGCGAGCAATTCTCACCAGCAACCGTTTCTGTGATGATAAACACGGCCGAGAAAGCTGCCAGAGCACGCACGGAGCAGGTTGGCCCCGCCAGTAGTGTTTCTCGTAAACAGTGAGCGGGAGAGCCATTGCAGGGCAAAGGTGGCGTGATTCCTTTTTTTTGATCAGGCTGGAATCGGAGTAGGGGCTCCGATTCGAGCAGTAACAGAGGAGGACAGGGGTGGGACTCGGAGGAGCGATTACTGGACCACTCTCTCACCAAGCCTCTTGCATGCGTGTCTTTGGCGCGGCGTATCTTCTGTGTGCGCAGGCCCCAGGTCTCCGCCCTCTCGTTACAAGGAGCTCCGCCGTATTCTTTTCTTTTCTTTCTCTTTTTCGGCGCCGCTTCAAAGCAGATCAGGGCGCCGCTTTTAATGACAGTCACTCTACGCTGCGCACTTGTCCTGCCCGCGGATCGACGAAGCCGAAGCGGTGCTCCTCGTCTCCTTTGAGTACGAAAATACAGTGGCGCATGGTGGTCCCATTCTTTTGCTGATCTGAGGAAAGTGTATTACGAGACTTTTCTCTCCCGTCGCCCCTCTTCCTTCACTCAAGCGGTGGCGCACAGAGCAAAAGGTCCGTGTCCCTGTGTTCCTGGATCATTTGCTGACTGAGAAAGCATCTTGCAACTGAGAAAGCATCTTGCAACAAATGATGAGCAGCGGTCAAGAATGTTCTTGATTACTTGCGCGGACATAGCTGACTGTCACAACAGCATCAGTATGCTCGTGGAATCCCAGGCGCGCGCGCAGTCCCGTCTAGCCGCCCGGCGCACTCGCCCCGGCACGCCCACCGTCCTCTCCCAGCTCTACATCCCCGTCCTACGTGTTTGCGTTCAGGACAGAGAGACACTGCGCGTGAACTTCTCGTAAGGGAACGGTCGGCTTGGTCCAGCAATTCAAAGTCTAATCTGAGTGCTTCAGAGGTCTACAATGTCCCCCTGAAGCCTGCACTCGACACGTTTGACTTGGGCACAATTCTTGCAAAGGCATTGCAAGGGTCGGGGCGGGCGACACAAGAGATGAATCTACGAGGGCTTGCTGTGCAATCCAGAAAAGTCCGACACGGAGAGGACAGAGGCGGACGGGTCAATGGCGACAGCGGAGTCGCCTCAGCAACCACGGGCTTCCTTGTCCTCGCCTCGCTTAGCAAGAAAGGACGGACAAGCGTACTGAGCACCTCTCAAAGACAAGCTAGGCTCAAAGCTATAAATGAGTGACTCCTAGTCGAGGTCCTCCTTCTCTCTTCATCCCTCACATCCCCTCACACGTCTACCACAGCCCCAATCTTCAATCGGCCAGACCAAGTCCCTCCTTCTTTGGTTGACACTATCTATCAAGATGAAGACCTCTGCCTTCGCCTCTCTCGTCGCAGTCGCCTCCGTTGCACTGTTCATTTCACCCGGCCATGCCGCCTCAATCGCCCCTCGTGCCGATGTCAATACCGAGGAGTTCGCTGCTGTCCCATCCGGCGGTATTGCCTACACAAGTTCGAACGCTGAGGGCTCCAAAGTGAAGGTCGATGGTACAGCTGCTGCCCAAGACCTGTACGGTACGAGTTTGGCAAAAGGCGGGGCCAAAGGAGAAGACAAGGACAAAAATATTTTCCCTTTCGGCTATGGCCCCTACTTTCGCCCTTCGATCCTTGGCAATCCGACAGGGATCCCACAATCTCTCGAAAACCTTGACCAACTCACTGACCCTACCCAAGACAACCCATTCGCTAGCCCGGATCAGACTCTGCCCTGGCGTCGCACCGAGGCCTAGACAGCGACGTACACCAGCGCCCGATGGCTCGAACGCCTGACGTGGGCAAAGAAAGGCTTCGCGAGGCGCCCACCGCTCAGGCCCCTCTCCGATTCCTTCATCACCATAGCCACCCCTCCCCCTCCCCCCTCCCTGCCCTTGTCCACCTGATTGTCTAATACACGAACAATCTTTTCTCTTTTCAATCCATCCCTTACTCCAGCTCCATCTTTAAACGTTCCAATCTCCTTCTGCCCACTCCTGACTCGATGTAATCATCTCTTCTCGAGTTAGAGAATGTCAACAATCTTTTCTTTCCCCCCTTTAGTGTTTGCTCTCTGCACGAGACGAGGGATATGCTCGTTGGGCTTTTTCAAGCCACTGAACATATGAAAGCGCAGGCTCTCCGATTCGTGTGTGAACCGGTAACCGTTGCTTGCCAGTCGCGCGAGTCACCTCCAATTCGACACAGGTGCAGAGTAGCAAGAAAAGGTGCCAAGACTGTGATTTCCAGCTCAAGAGAAAGACCGGAGAAGATAATTACAAACAGAGTCGAAGAACAAAGAAGGAAGATGCAAGAGTGTGAGACGAAAGATAAGGTGCTGAAGGAGTAATGGAAACATGCTTTGGTCTTACAAGGCCGGAGAGTGGCAAGGGGGACGATAGAGCAGTGGCAGGGCTAGCGAAGCTCAAAGGAGGAGGAGGAACGTTCAGGTTGATGCTGGAGCGTGAGTTGTTGATAGCTGTAGGGGACCGTGTGAGCACCCATGAAGTCAGGAGACGGCCAAGTTCAGTAACTTACGGCTCGGAATGTTCGTGGAAGTAGAAGCCGCTCATCCTTCCGCTCGTCAGGCCTCCAAAGTCAAGCTGCTGCTGCTGTTGTTGCTGCTGTTGCTGCCATGTGAGGGTCTCGCCAGCAGTGGCCGATACTGCCTCGTCGACATCCATGCCAACAAGCGAGTTTGACAGGTCGTCGTTGTAAGACGGTTGTCGTTCGCGCGAGACCGAGGTTCGACCAGCCGTCGAGCTGCCTGTCCTTCTCCAGGTCGCAGTCCTTGCTCGGCCATATGTCGATATAGGCGCGTTCATCATCACAGGACCCGTGTTTGTCGACGAAGGTAGCGGGGGTGACAGAGGCGGTGAAGAAGGCGACAATGGCCTCGTCAGCGACTCGCCTCGTCTCCTCGAAGAGTCTGGCCCTCCTGCGGCGATACTCTGATCGCCAAGCTCTACGCAGACGTAGTAGAAGCCCGCGAAGCTGGCTCCAGTGATATCTCGAACCCTGTGGTCAGGAACCAAGAAGCGCTCTTTCCAGCGCATGAAGATGAAAGGCTTATTCATGTGGTTGAACTTGAGCCCGGGCTTCGTCAGGCTCGATCGTAGCGGTCGAAAGGGTGTAAATCGGCTCCAGTGCTTCATGTCCTCGGCTTCTGTGGCGCCCCATTTTCCTGTGACGAAGCCGTATTTGGAGCCAATGATCTCGGCATCGAAATACGTCGTCAGCTCTGGCCAATCGTCTGTGAGGCCGCGGATGTTGAGGTAGCCGCACAGGTGTGAAGCGGCTAAATCGACATTCTTTGAGGGTCGAACTTCCAGTGAGTATTTGACTGCAAGAATATTGATCGGATGGCAATACTCACTACAATTTGCACAGTCACGTCGTAGCTGTTTCTGCCGCTCTTCTGGATGCCGTTGAAGGTTGCACCGGGATAGAGGCAGCCTCTTCCTCTGCCAATGCACCGCAGCCTCGAGATGTCGGCTTTTGGGTCGGGTCTGGTCGCGTCAAACCATCGCAACCGGTCCATCTCTTCCTTCTTGTCCCCTTCTTCATCTACTCGTCTTCCCATCTCGACCAAATACGGCTGCTCGAATCTACTCGCGAGCATGGTGGAGAGCAGCGGTGCTGCAGGTTGAATGTCTGCAGTGACGAGATCTCCCAGCCTCGGCCTCGTCATCGTCTCTGGTCCGAACGGGTTCTCTGCGATGGAGGCTGTCGTCGAGAGGGCATCGCTGCCGCTGCCAGCATCAATGAGATCCGCAAACGAGATCGCCGTCGGCCCTTGAGACGAGCTCGAGCGACTCAAGCGGCGTGCATTGGACGGCCTTCGTGGTCTCGATGGAGACAGTGCGGTATTGCTGCTACCGTTTGCTACGCCACTTGTCGAGCTTGATGAGCTCCCGGCGCGTGCTCGTCCTCGAGAAGGGAATGACACGACTGGAGAAGCAGGCCGGCCGGATTCGACGACGAAGCCATTACCGGTGTTCGACTGGCTCCGAGTGAAGCTCGACTGTCTACCCAGCATTGGCCCTCCAGATGATGCATGTCCTCCGGGGGAGGTAGGATGGTCTCCCCGTCCACGTATGGTCGAGGGCAATGGAACACGAGGCGATGTAGCGGTGGGAGAGGAAAGAGACTGCGAGAGGGGTGGAAAGTCGCCCTCATCAGGCGTCGAAATAATGTCAGCGTCGCCTCCTGCTCCGATGTTGGCGACCGAGATGGATAAGGGCGTGGAGCTACCTTCGCTGGAGAGGGATCTGCTGCCTTGGCCAAGGATGCGAGACCAAGGCCCAGCTCTTCTCCAGGGATGACCACTCGAGGGTGTGGTGGTCGCAGTGTTGCTGTTGATGGTGGTGGTGGTGTTGGTAGTCGTTGAAGGGATTGTGTTGGCATTCGCTGCGCCGATAGAATCACTTGAAGGGGCGATCAATTCCCTTCGTTCGTCCGTCTGCGGTGCTTGTTCAAGACCCTGTCGACTCTGCATTCCTGCCGTCGGTGTGACAGAGTCACCATCTCCGTGGACAACATCTCCATCTGCGTCTCTCTCCACCGCCTCGCCCCTTGCCTGTCCTTCCGCGGCATGCTGGGCTTGGGTATATACATCGTCGGATGTCTCTACGGCGGCAGACGATGCCATAGCACTGGTGAGGCACGCGTGGCATACCTGATGGCTGTCCTCTTCAAGCGAGAGGGAGGCGGCAGTTAAGACCGATGGCGGCGGTTGCAGACCACTGTTGTCCGTCAAGAGCGCATGGTGCGGCAGCATCTGGACCGACGCGTTGCCAGTCCGACGGGAGGGCAGGGCTGCAGTGTGGACCGACGTGTCCACTCCCTCGCCTCCCATTCCACCGCCTGAAGCAGCCTCGAGAATGCGACCGCATCGCGTGCACGTCTTGATTCCTCCTGCCGCTGATCCTGAATCTGATGTGGAAGGCGTCCTCTGGTCCGCGCCTGCAGAAGCCCCTGCAGTCGAGGAGGAACCAAGGGGTGCGGACGAGTCGGCACTCAACACATAGTCCATCGTGCGGTAGCCGCTTGCAGCCTGTCCAGGCTGTTGTGCCTCTGACACGGACGTCTGCGCTCCCGCCGAAGAAGACGACGGTGAGGTCGTGGTCGGGGCTGGTGTGGAGAATCCTGGTGCAGGCGCCATCGTGACCGGAGTAGGCTGGACGGTGCGCTTGGTGATGAGACCGGACTTGCTGACGCTGGAGAGGAGACGATGAGGCGTATCAAGCCGTGCAAGGTGCGTGCATGTTGGAGCAGACGAGGACGGCGATGTTGACGAACGAGTCGGTGCGTGTGAGGGGCCGCCCTAGATCTTGAATCGAAAGAAATGCCAGTGCGTCCTATCTTCCTTTTCCTTGGCCCTTACAAGCTTACAAGGCGTCGTATAGCCAGACGGTGCAGCGGGGGTCCGGTCGGTGATGCGGAGGTCAGAGCGAAGAGCTCTTCCGATCGAGCAAGTCGAGCGCGTCAGAATGAGGGGGCTGGGGACGGCTTGTCAGATAGATCTCGCGACCTGTCGCCTCGCCCGGCAGGGCACTTGTGATCTCGACTCTATGCGTGGCACGTGGCAATTTTAGATTCTGTCATTTGCGTGGTGGGACTCGGACGTAGAGTTGTAGAAACATTGCAGTAGTACTCTATGACCATTGCAGCTGCAGCAAACATCTCGAGCTCGAATAGTTATGGAAAAGGTAGATGTACAGGAAAAGAAGATATCTTTTGACTCGTCGTGAGGACTCTAGTTGGCGTCACCAAGAGGAACAGCAGCGAAGGGAAGGATGATCGCGGTGTTGAAAATACCGGCAATCCAGAACTGTAAATTGTGACGAGGGGTGGTGAGCTACGACTGACACAAATTCACTTTTTCTCGAGTCAAAGACCCAACTCACCTTGCGGCCTAGCGTCCTGTTGGCCTTCAAACCGGGCTGGTACTTGTAGATGAGGGTGAACCAGAGGCCACCGATGTTGCCAAACCCGCCGACCATGCCCGCGACCACTCCGATGTTTTTGGGACGGAGGTGACCGTAGACTGCATACGCGGCACCGTTGGCAGCGAAGCCCGTCGTAGCCAGGGCCACCATGAAGCCAATGACGCCTCCAAGGTTGGCCTTGCCCGAATCGACGTAGAAACCGAGGCCGATCATGAGGACGCCTTGTGCCACGGCGGTGGCAATCAGAAAGATGACCTTGGCGCGGACACCGAGACCTCTGTGCCGGAAACGATGGTAGAGAAGGTCGCAGATGATACCACCAAGTGGTCGAGCATACAAGTTGCAGAGTCCGTATGTTGAGGCGACAAAGGCGGCATCGACGGCGGTGAAAGTCGGCGAAGCAAAAAGACCGTTGATGAGCTGGGGCAGGGCAGCGTCGAGGGAGGTCTCAAGGCCAAAGGTCGTCATGTAGCACAGCGCCACCATCCAGACTCTCAGATCAGTGATGATGGCCACAAACGACTTCATGGTCAGGGGCTCGCTGACTGAGGTGTCAACCGTTGTGACTTGTTGATTGCCGGTCTCCCTGAAGTCAGCGCCTTTCGCAGGTCCCTTTTCCATGCGTCCCGACTGGCTCTGCTCATACTCGCGCGCCTCGGAAGAGTCGAGATGGACGTCTCCTCCTTGGGCGACCTCTACAGCCGTTCCCGGCAACTGGTGGCGCTGAGACCACTTGCCAGCTGGGTGGTCCTTGCCGATAATCATCATGGTGAGGGCAATGAGGAAGAGGAGGGGCACGGGAAGAACGAGGAAGCAGATTCGCCACGCCAAGTGAGGCGAGAGACCGGCCTTGTGAAGGCGCTCGTAGAGGCCGATCATGACCGAGGGCGTCACGCCACCGCCAAGGTTACCCCAACCGCCCGAGAGGGCGTTTGCCGTACCAACGATTGTCTTGTCGAAAAAGGTGGTGGTCCAAGCCTGTGTAGGCACGAACGTGCCGCCGAGGATCGAGATGAAGAACCGAATAGTCTCGAGGCCGCCAATGTTGGAAATTGTCGGCACAAGCGCAGAAGGAATAGCACCAAGGCAGAGGAGCACCGCCATGACTTTCCGCGGTCCGTAGCGATCGACGGCCGTGCCAGCTGCAAATCGTACCAGGGCCGTGCCACCCAGCGACGCCAGATTGGAGTTTGTGATCTCTGTTTCGCTGCTGAGTGAGCAACGAGACGAGCGCGACGAGACAGGTCTGGACGCGGTCTACTCACGGTCCTGGGTCAGTTTCAGGTCCACCTTGACGGCTTCAGTGACGAGGGGAGCAAAGGCAAACCACGAAAAGAAGGCGCTGAAGAAGCCCAAAGTGGCCATCCAAAAGGCCACCGAGTAAGGGTCCCAGATTCGGAAGAGGGGCAACGTGTAGCTCTTGCCGTTGAGCGGGTTCACCACGGCCGGTTCCCACAGAGAAGCCCATCGGAAATTGAACTGCCCGGCTTGAGCGGCCCTCTGGGCCTCGCTTACAAACTCCTCCGTGGCAACGTGTCCGCCCGTCGTCACTGCAGGGGCTGGTGTGATCTCGTCATGGACCGAGGCTTTCTCCTCGTGACGCAACGATGAGCTTTGCGAGTTCGAGTGCAACGCCGCCTGCGCATCGCCGTGATACTCTGGCGGACCGGCAGACATTGCGGTGATGGCGTACGTGGGTCAACGAGGAAAGGGGATAAGGGAGATGGGAGATGGGAGTAGATAGGCTGATATGAGGCGAGGAGGAGGAAGAAGAAGAAGAAGAAGAAGATGAAGTTGGTTGTGTTAGGTGATCCTGAGAAGGTTGTGAACTAGATCCTTTTTATCTTCGTCGTTTTCCCTCTCCATCGAGGTACCTGAACCAATTGCCAGGGTCGTCGAGCGCGAAATTATGCCCTGGATAGCCAACTGTACCTTCCCCTTCTTGAGAATCGCTTCGACAACGATTTGTGCGTCGCGGTGGCTGAAAAAATCTACTCTCTCTCCACGAAGGGTGAAACCCTCGAGTCAGGTCCGCCATTTACAAATTCAGACCGGCTGAGATGAGGAGAGCAAGCGTTTGAGCATCTCGGCTCGCTCCTTTCTCGCATGCAACTTGCTATCGACCTGAGAGATAGCGATAAGCTGAAAGCACCGGCAGAACAAACGTCAGCACATCGAGCCAAGATAACAGATGTAGCCAATCACACGCGACTACAGTCCTTCTGATAAGAAACACGTGGTCCATACCAAAGCGCAGGCCCGATCTTTTCTCGAGATCTGAGGCCAATGAAGTGAAAGCGCGGATAAGGACGCGCCAATCCTAATCCGCTGCGCCACAATCGAAAAAGCTGACGACTGTGATTGCGAGACGAGAAGCGTTGCCGTCTCGAGATTAAGTCTAGCTCCTTGCTGTGCGACAGCGCAGAAGACGGCTTTTGCTGGCTAGCAAGTAGCCGGCAAGCAGCCACGCGGGACAGTTGCGGAGAGGGCAATGATCTTGCAGCTCATAATCTTATCAGTGAAAAAGGGTACCCGACGATATTAGGCCAGACCTCCTCCCACGTTTCTGACCAACATCTGTCAGGCCGAGGCCTTGTTCTGACGCTTCTGGCAGCTACCAAGGCACGGTCCCCCTGCTTGTGCACAGCGTGTGATCTACCTACTTCATCTAAATGATGCTAGCTTGATTGAGCGACCACCACATCGCTGCAATCTTATCTGCACCATGGTTTTGTGATAAGGATGAACGAATCACACGAGCCCATATCGTAAGGCGTTCCCGTTTCAATCAGTCGAGAAAGCTTTTCGATACCCGATCCTGTGCGCTAGACAGAATCACTCCGGGGCTTTGACTGTAGGACAAGAGGAGCAGCAAAACATTCGTCTGGCTAACTTGAAATACTCAATTGTGAACGGGACCATGTCGGAAGCACATCCTCTTTGTACTCTCTTTTTGCGTTTGTAGCCAGTACTTTGGCAGGCCCTTCTCGAGGAGGATGACTTTCCTGCCCTGCCCATCGTTCTCCATGATTCACACCGTCATCTAGGCCGCGTTTGACGGACGGAAGGGTCAACCATCCTCCGCTGATAGCACTGGCGCTTCTTCCCATAGACTAGTCTCGGGACAATTTATTAAATTAAGCTCACCATGACTGGCGCAATCGTTGAGCCTCCTTGGCAGGACCTGGGGAGAAGGAGAAGAGGATATAAATGAAAAATGGCCTGATTCTATCCGTCCCAAAAGGGTGTTCCAGAAGAAGATAAGAGTGTGTTGTGTGTCTCACCCCGAGTTGACAGGCAGGGAAAATTAAAGTAAGGGCCTCTAGCGTCCCCGTTACAGCGTTAGCATGGTCTACACATTCTCTCCTTTGGTCACAAAAATACACAGGTTGCAAACTACCGATGAAGATGGAAGGCGGTCAGTGCTGAATAGGCAGTATTCGTTGCCTTGAGGCAATTGCCCAAATCTCGCATATCTTCTGCACGGTGCTTCAACGTAGGTCTGTATCGCACAATGCCACTGATATATCGCCGGCATTTATGACCGACGGCGCATTGATAACATCATCGTCTTCGTCGAACGTTTCCATCCACCGACCTTTAGCGCTGTCCTTGGTGCTTCTCGAAACACTTTATCATCGTGCAGCTGTTATCTAGAGTGTTGCTTCCTGCTTAAGGGTACCGACGACAAACGCTCCAATCATCTTCTCTCAAAGAATTCTCCATCTTTGATTGTGTCTCTAATCTCTCCGGGTACCGTAAGGTTCGCCCGACGCCGTCGGACTGCAGGGCCATCGAGAGTGATCCGCCAATCAGAATTGTTGCATTTCGCTGTAGCAGTCAAGATAGCGGTCCATTGACTGCCTTCCGCATCCTATCGCAGTCGGCTATACTCTCGAGATGACGCTGTGTATCCTTATCGCGACCGTTGAAGGTGCCGGGAGGTTACTTTTCGCATTCGACGAGGCCTAATGAGGTATGGGATAAACAAGATTGTGACCATCAAGGATAGAGGAGAAGGGTATAAGAAGAGGTCCCACCGTAAGATCTTGTCGCACCCCCCATCAATCCCCGCACAACCACTTTCCCCTCTCCTCACTCCCCCTTCTCCGACTTCTCAGCTCCTCTCTCTCCTCTGAATCTACGACAATCGTTTTCTTACTCCCAGAACGCCTCACAATGAAGCTCACTGCCACGCTCTTGGCCCTCGCGGCCGGCCTGCAAGTGACATCTGCCTTTCCTCATTTTGCCACCGAGGAAAACTATCAGAAGCTCGCAGCACGCGGCATGGTCAAGCAGCGCGCCCCCTCCAACAATCCTGCTCGAAAGCTCGAAGTTCGCGATCTTATTGGAGGTCTCCTTCAGCCGCTCACCGGAGTTTTGGCCGCCATCGATCTTCCCACGCCTCAGAATCAGGTTCTGGAGCTCGTCCCTGATGCAGCTCATCCTTATAAAGCTCCTGGACCCACCGACATCCGTGGTCTCTGCCCAACAATGAACACTATGGTGAGCTGGCAATAAAGCTACCGTGGGGAGCCGGAAATTGACGAAGAATGTACAGGCCAACCACGGCTATATTTCCCGCAACGGAATCACCACCTTTGCCGAGGCCGCGAATGGTTGCCAGCAGGCGTATGGCTTTGGCTATGACCTCTGCACCTTCCTCTCGGCCCTCGGTCTCCTTGCTGGTGGTGACCTGGTCACGGGCAAGATGTCCATCTCGGGACCCGATGCTCGTGTTCCAAACACCTTGGGTCCAGCAAAGGGCCTCGACAACCACGGCCCTTTTGAGATCGACGGTTCCATGTCTCGAAATGACACCTACTGTGAGTCCTTCCATTTGCCCGAGAGTATCAAGTAGATGTCGCTGACCGTAACTCCAATTCTGCAGTCGGTGACAACCACTCGTTCCTGATGGAGCGGTGGAACACCATCAGAGACTTTGCCAAGAAGTACGACAACGGTAACTTTGGTAACGCCATGTGGAAGAAAGAGCGCAAGGCCACCTATGACAAAGCTGTCGCCACCAACCCGGAGTTCTACGCCGGTGCCAAGTACATTGCCGTCTCTATCGCCGAACGCGCCTTCATCCCTCGCGCCCTGCCTACCTTCAAGGGCGGACCCAGCCCTGGTATCCCTGATGCCTTCAACGTTGAGCCCTTCTTCCTCAATGAGACGTTCCCGGCCAACTGGTTCAAGCGTGGCGATCCATACGGCCTCGTCGGCCTCGCTGGTGACGTTGTTGATTACGTCACCGACCTCGACACTTTCACCAAACCTGGCCAGAACCAGGGCATCGGTAACTTTGTCCCCTTTAGCCTGGATCTGCCGACGGAGCCCTATGCTGCAGGCTGCTTCCTCTTCACGACCCTTGCCGACGTTGGTGCCGGCGGTCTCGAGGGAGAGGCTGTTCACGCCATTGGCCAGGTTGTGGAGCAGATCATGGCTCCCCTGTTTAAGGGCGCCTTCAACTGCGACTTTTCCGGTACCAACACGCCCTCGAGCGGCTCCGGCTCGGGCGTGAACGGCGGCTGATTTGTTCAAGAGCCCCTCTTCGATGTCCTGTAGCCCCCTACTCTCCTCCCCCAGCTCCCCTCCCCCCTCCTCCCCTCCCTCTCGAGCTCCGTCCCCTTCCCTTAAGTGGAACCTCAAGTTCTTCTCTATCCCACCCCAGTGTCAGGAGATCTCCGCTGTAGATTCTCTGTGGAACTTGCAACGTGATCGATCTAGCCCCTTCATCCTACAGACTGTCGCGGACACTTTCGGCGCAATGGTTTCGTAAGAGTGGTGGTGTTATTACAGCGTGCAGAGACAGAAGAGTTGGGTCTGATAAGGGACGAGAGATAAGTCTCTAGTGGCTCTTTGATGCGAACAGACCCTCGATAAGAAGATACACTTACTGACGGGCTAGCGAGATGTAGGGATAACTTTAAGATAGGTGATCAGAGGGAGTTTGGCAAGGGAGATGCAATGGGGGAGCTAGACCTTGAAGCCGAGCGAGGCCATGCATTCACGATGTTGCCTGACGAGGTCCTCGCACTTCTTTGCCGACTCTCCATGCTCCTCTACCGAGTGTCCGAATTTGAGAAAGCAATCATCCCGCGCCTGTTTCGTGTCTGGGCAGGCACAGCATCTAAGTCGGCAGAGGCGAGGAGGAAAATCAGCCTTGCGCAAAACCATGGACGTTGACGGTTGAGCTCACGGTTTGATTCCCTTGGGATTAAGCGGGTTGACAGCCTTTGGCGATGTCTGCGCATCGGGCGCTGCGATGGCGACCGGCATCTCTGCTAAGGAGGTGGGCTGACAGGCAAAGTCGTCGTCGTACTGCTTCCAACGCTGATGACCACCGGCGTTTACCTCATAAGAAAATCTGGTCGCGCCATCTCGGGCCTAACGTCCGATTTCCGAGGCCTCAAGAATTTCCACGCGAGCTCGCCGGACATGAACTTGGTTCTTCATTTGTCTAATTTTCCCGCGTGGCTCAGAACAGTCGGCCGAAATTAGCTGCGGCCCCTCGTCCTCCAGGCGCCGGTCATCTGAAGAACGAGCACGCACCTCCCTGAACGACAAGTCTTTCACCAGCATCAAAACCTGACCGAAAATGGCCTCGCCCGACCTTGCCGCTACTTACGCTTCGCTCATCCTCGCCGATGAGGGCCTCGAGATCACCGTGAGTATTGCGCAGGGAAGCGTGCGGTGGGCGTGGACACGCGAAGGATGGGATGGACGAGCGCGGAGGGGACGGGTAGCTGGAGAGAGGGCGTGTGACGTGGGAGAGTTGCTGGCTTGAATGAGCAAAGTGTAAGGGCGCCGATGATAGAGCCAGTAGGGCGGGAAGAGAGGGAGAGGCGGCTGGCGCGCTGGAGGGGAACCGAGGATGAAGAATAGCCGATACTGACCAAAGCATCTCACACCTCACACAGTCGGAGAAGATCGTCCAGCTGACGACGGCCGCTGGTGTCCCCGTTGAGCCCATCTGGGCCACGCTCATGGCCAAGGCCCTTGACGGCAAGAACGTCAAGGAGATGCTCACCAACGTCGGCTCGGGCTCTGGTGGTGCTGCTGTTGCCGCTGCCCCCGCCGCTGCCGCCGCTGCCGGTGGTGACGCCCCCGCTGAGGCAAAGGAGGAGAAGAAGAAGGAGGAGGAGAAGGAGGAGAGCGACGGTGAGCTGCTCTTTTGCTGCTTCTGCAAACCTGGCATATGGCTGACGTTCTCAACATCATACTTCGACAGACGACATGGGCTTCGGTCTCTTCGACTAAACGTTTCACTCGCTTCGATGTCTCGTCTACTCATCTTCTCAGCAACCAATTCATCTATCTTGGCCTACATCCCATTCGCCATTTGTAAAATGTTTCTTCACCGACCGACCCACATCATCTTTTGAGGCCTGCTCCGCGATTCGTCGTCGGCGCGACTTTGGAATCTACCAAAAGCGATCCCTATGCAATATGCATCCCTATTCGTGGCCCTCAGGTTTGGGTTTGTTGATTGATCCAACGGCAGTCTTTGGTACAGGAGGGTGGAGAAGGGGACAGAAGGCAGTCTCTATCTAGCCTCTTAGGGAGGAAAGGGGAGAGGGGCGGGCGGGAAGAATGACCTATGGTCGCAGGCTAACCAAGCGGGCCCAAGCCTCGATGGTGCTTTCTGGCACACCATTGTGACCGCCTTGCTTGTTGCGTATGAGGGCGCTCTTTCTGCCCGACTCGTCCGTCGTAGAGTAGATGTGACCCCAAGAAGTTTCTTGGACCGTGACGTCTTCTTCACTCTGACCTGCAGCGACGCGGGCTGTGTTGAAGAGAGAACGGCCATGGGTGTGAGGAATGACTGGGTCGTCGTCTGCATGCGCAACAATGATGTGAGGTCGCTTTCTGGCGAAGGCGCCCTCTATGTGCGTCTCTTGCTCTTCGTCCAGTCCGAACTGCGACTTGAGCGTCTCAACGTCGAGTGTGTGGGGCAGCGCCTCGAGCTGGAGCTGCTGAAGTTTTCCATGGCGCGGTGAAATGGCAAAGAGATTGCGGATGGCCTTGTCGGACTCGAATCGCGTGGTCAGGCTTCGGTCAGCCAGGTCAGAGAGGTACTGCCAGACGTTGAGGGGCCAGAGGATGGGGATCAAGCCGCCGAGCTTGTACGACGACAGGAGGGCAAAGATGGACGTGTAGGGTGCGACGAGGAAGATTGCCTCGGGCGGACGATCTTTTTTAATGCTTTTGTGTCAGCGGAAAGAGACGAGACATAGATGCAGAGAAAGCAGGGGATTTGCGGTCCGCGGGACAATAGCCGGACTTACCAACTCTGGCAAGGTCGAGCATCAGTCGACTGGCAATGCCGGTGCCAAGGCTCTGACCGACGAGATAGATGCCTCCTCCCTGCTCAAGAAAGCTCACGGGTGTCGTTGCACGGGCCGCCAGCTGATTTCTCTGCAGGGCGAGTCTGCGCCTGTGCATGACCCATCGCCAAGCAGCGCGTGCATCGCAGAGCACGCCCTGCTCGGTCGGGTGGCCCGTGGAGTCGCCAAAACCACGGTAGTCGATGGCAACGACGTTGAGACCACCTTGCGACGACACACTTGAGTTGGTGAGCTGACCGTATGCCTCCACTCGGAAGGGCGCGGCGCGATTCATGGCGTTGCCATGGAAATCTGTGGAGTGAATGAGGACAACGCGGCCAGTGAGAAGCGGCCAAGAGTAATTCAGAGGTACAGAGATGCTCACACAAGACAGTCGGCCTGGCGAGCAGGGCCTGATCGAACTCCTCCTCTTCGCTGCGCTCCTCGGATCTGGCCGTTTCCGTCTTCTTCTTCCAAAGATCCTTTGGTAAGAGGTGCCACGCTCCAATCTCTACGCCATCCGAAGACTTTATCCGAACATTTCGAGCTTGGCCAGGTGAGATACCTTTGGTCTCGGAAGGGTCCTCGAGGTTAGAGAAGGGCCAATTGATAGTGTGCAAAAAGACATTGTGCGCCTGGAACGAGGGTTGTGTCAGGAGGGCAACAAAGAGGATGTAGAAGCTGACGATGGCGATGGGCTGCAAGTCAGGGTAAGCTTTCGTGCTGACAGACAAAATCCGAGTCTATCAAGGGCTACTCACGATCAGGTTGGCCCTCCAGAGGAAAGACGAGGTCGAGGATGACATCGTGTCGTCTTTCGACAAACCCCCTAGAAGAAGAAGAGCAACGAGAAGGTTGTGAAATTGGCCAAGTGGAGCGAACGAGCACACGTGCACAAAGCTAGAACGACTTCCAGCTTTGTCTCAGAAGGAAGGCGGAGCGGCCAGGGGACAGAGGATGTCGGACAGGAGCTCACATCTATCCAGTAGCTTGCGTACGGCGCAAATACACTTGTGGCGTCTGGAACAGGCAAAAGAATGTGCGTGGAGGAGTTGAATGTGAACCTTGAAGGGGAGCAAGAGAGAGGGGTATATTGAAGGATGCAATGCACATGAGTACGGAAGGGGGTTCGTCAACCCAAGCCAGCTACGGTCTATCATGGTGAGACCACCATGATCGGAGAGGCGCCGCGCTGCCTCCTCCACCAATTGGTACGCTTAAGGACATCACCTGTGCCCCGCAATGCGGTCTCGACGGTCAATTCAAAATTGGCGCGAGTTCAAGCCAGGCCACACTCACCGTCAAAGAGAAAGGGAAATTTGCTGACGAAGTCTTCGTTGACCTCGTACGCCTCCGGATCGAAAGGATCATCACCATAAACAAGGTAGGGTGCATCTTCTGCGTGGTTGCCTGGCCGGTTGTTGCGGCAAAAGGCCTCGCGATTCAGCTTCCCACAGGCGAAGTGAGCAAAGATCCTTTCCCGCACGGTGGGCCAGGGAAATGCGAGATCCTGGAGAAATTCAGTCAAGTCAGTGAGCTGACTTGGTACGGGCGCATGCCGTCTTCATCCGTAGATGTGAAACCCACAATACATGGATGATGATCGATACGGGTCGCAAGCTGCGTGGGCTGTAGGTTACTCGGAAGCTTCTCCCAGTCGAACTGTTCCTGGCTCTTTGTGAAGATGGACCGGCAAGACCAGCAAGATGAGCCCAAAGGGCATGGTCTAAGAAGTTGCATTCCAGACTCCTTTAGGAGACGCTCGCACATCCCGTCAAAGTACTGCCGAGACGCGCCCAATCTCGTTGCGGCTTCGGCAAGGACCCGGATGAGGTCCCATCGAGGCTGCAAGACCACCTGTCGGCGCACGTCGTACAGCTGACACAACGGTACCAGAGAAAAAGATTGAGCCAGGCGGGCGTAGAAGTCGACGGCCGCCGTTGTTGTGGATTCTGTGACATCCTGCGAGCCACTGTCTTCTCCAGCAATTGTCGCAGCCAAGCTCGCGGGTGTAGAAGAGCCAGTGCGGTGTTGGCGCTTGCGCTCACGCCATCGCTGCTGCGCTATCCGGTTCTGCTCTCGTCTTCTCTCGCTCGGCATGGCCACCTTAGGGGGGGATCCTTGTTCTCGTTGCTGATTTATGTATGTGGGTGAGTGTCAACAATAGGGTTGGGTGCCTGGGTCCGTAGTTCCGTATGGACAGAGATCCTGCCCTAATCGCCGACGACAGGCACTAGCGCCGGCATCAAATAAAGTAAAGATTACAGCGTAAATTTCAGAAGAGAAGGGACCTATTCACTCGGGCTCAAGGGACTGCTACCACAATTCGTTCCCCGCTGACACCAGCATTGAGGGTTTCGAGAGCCTCGTTGAGCCGTTCAGCGAGCGAGGTCTTGGAATCCTTTTGGCCGACGAGCCGATATGGCATGCCTGAGAAAGCAAAACGGGGAACCATCTCGGGCTGCACCGTGAGCTTGTATTCTTCGTCATGGTGGTATTGATGTGTGCGCACGCCGATCAATGTCACGCCTTCGGGCACCTTGAGAGGGCTTCGGTGGGGCATTGTGTCAGTCGGACGAGCTTGTATCTGCATAGGCAGAGGAAGAAACTTACATTTCCGCCACGTCCATGAATACAGCTTGGGAGCCGGCGCCGGCGCCGGCACCGCCGGTGCGCCTGACGTAGGGCAACATTGCTGCGACGATGCCGCCCGGCCTGACAAGCCTCAGCGACGGCTGCAGCGAAGCGTCGACGTCTCCAATGCAATCTAGCACAGCTTCGAATCCCTTGCCGTCTGTAGCAGCCATGAGCAAGGTCGAAGCGTCGGCGCTATTGTAGTCGATGACGTCGAACGCGCCTAAACTCTTCATTCGGGCCACATGGCGCTGCGACGAGGTCGTGTAGACTCTTTCGTATCCTTGCAGCTTGAGCAGCTGGAGGGCATTTTGGCCAACAGAGGATGATCCGCCCCACACGAGGATGGGCTTGAGCCTGTCTCCTGCTCGAAAATCAAAGAGGGGCAGCCTGATGCCGCCATGGGTCAGCGACCAGACAGCTGTGACGAGGTTGTCGTTGATCGTTGAGGCTGCTGCAAGGTCGGCCTTTTCCTCGAGCTATTGTGGCATACGACTGAGCAACTACTCGACCATTTCCATGGACAAGATCCGCAGACACACCTTCGAGAGGCACCACCAAGGAACCACGACATACTGCTGGTGTGCACCTATGCCGAGATGCCCAGAAAAGCACGAGACAGCGACTCCAACAGCGAGATCGTGCCTGTCTACTACCTTTGGCCCAAGCGCAGCAACACGACCCGAGAATGCGCCTCCGAGAATCTTGGGAGTCTCGGTGAGCAGGCCTTGCTTTGAGCGCCAGATGTCTAGAGGAGACAGGCAGATGTACTGTACTTCGACCAGGACCTCGTCCTCCCCGAGCTTAGGCGTGGGAACCGTCACGTCCTCTAGGGGAGCACCGACTTTGGTCAGGACTGCAGCCTTGTGCGACATCTTAGATGGGAAAGAGAGACCAGAAGTTGAGGTAATGGTTGGTCTCTCTCTTGCGGTATGGATTGGCGCGCTTCTTATACCATCGCGGTCCACGGTCATAAGACCGAGCAGTTGAGGTAAGGCGAGACGCGCGCAAAGGCCGAATAAGCAGGCGTAAGCAGGCTAAGTAAGCCATTGATTGCTTTCCGAATCTGAAGTCATCGATACGGCCGTTCTACGCGGAGCCCGGAATCAGTCGTCCTCAATTTGGGAGAGGCTTGGCTCCATGGCCGGTCCGATTCCACCACCGCCCGACCTTCGCTTGCCACAACGACATGTTGCACTTTCCTCGCATGGTTCCACGTCATCAACCCGCGAATCGAAGTCTGTACTAAGCGGATGAACCAAGTTTTAAATTTTTTGTGGCTTACACGTGTGCGTAAGTGAGAACAAATCTGCGCTTGAGGGGGTCGAGGAACTTCTTCGTCCCTTGGCAAGAACCACTATCACCCCTGCCGTTGCTCGTATTGACGCTCTACAAGACATGGACGAGGCGTGGACAAAGTCGGCAGACGACGTCCTTTCGCACCTCCAGGTGGACGCCAGCAAGGGTCTGAGCCGCGCCCAAGTTGAAGAGCGGCGGGCAAAGTACGGAAGCAATGAGCTGTCTGAGCAACCCCCCACGCCCCTCTGGCGACTTATCCTCGACCAGTTCAAAGACCAACTCGTCCTCATCCTTCTTGCCTCTGCCGTCATATCGTTTGTGTTGGCCTTGCTAGAGGACAACGAGAGCCTGGGTACAGCACTCGTGGAGCCGACAGTCATCTTTCTCATCCTCATTGCAAACGCCACTGTTGGCGTGGTCCAGGAGCGTAACGCAGACCAGGCTATTGAGGTGGGTTCAATTTAGGGTCTACAGTGATACATGGCGACAGAGAAGCTAACGGCACCATCAACAGGCACTCAAAGAGTACTCTCCCGACACCACATCGCTCGTCCGAGATGGAAAGGCGATTCGCGTGCGCGCCGCCGAGGTGGTCCCCGGCGATATTGTCAGAGTAGCTGTGGGCGACAAGGTGCCCGCAGACTGCAGACTGGTCAGCGTCTCGTCTAGCTCATTCAGAATGGACCAGGCCATCCTTACCGGCGAGTCGGTCTCGGTCAACAAGGACGTCGACGTTGTCAAGGACGCGAGGGCTGTCAAGCAGGACATGACCAATATGCTCTTTTCCGGCACAACGGTAACGAATGGACAAGGAATTGCTGTCGCGGTGCTCACAGGAAGTAAAACTGCCATCGGCGACATCCATACAGCCATTTCATCCGAGGAAGACGAAAAGACACCCCTGAAGCAGAAGCTTGATGACTTTGGCGACATGCTCGCAAAGGTCATTTCGGTTATTTGCATCCTCGTCTGGCTCATCAACATTCGCCACTTCAACGATCCCAGCCACGGAGGCCTGCTCAAGGGTGCCATCTACTACTTCAAGATTGCCGTCGCTCTCGCTGTGGCTGCGATCCCCGAGGGATTGGCGGCCGTCATCACCGCTTGCCTGGCGCTGGGCACCAAGAAGATGGCAAAGAAGAATGCAATCGTTCGGCACCTGCCCTCGGTCGAGACGCTCGGCTCGACCAATGTCATTTGCTCCGACAAGACGGGCACCCTCACAACGAATCAAATGAGCGTCACCCGTCTGTTGACCTTTGGTGCTCACGCCCACGACATCGACGAGTACAAGGTTGAAGGAACTAGCTTTGCGCCGACTGGAACCGTCTCGAATCTCTCTGGCGAGTCCCTCACCGGTGTGCTTAACCACCCAGGCTCCAACATCAATGCCGTGGCCGAAGTGTGCGCCCTCTGTAATGACTCCAAGGTTGCTGTCGATGACTCCGGCAACTATTCTGCCATTGGCCAACCCACAGAGGCTGCTCTGAAGGTCCTCGTCGAGAAGCTACGCCACCATGACTCGAACATCAACCAGACTCTGTCCGACCTTTCGGTCAGCCAGCGCGCGACAGCCGTCTCGGACGCCTACGAAAGACAGTACCCCCGCTTGCTCACATTTGAATTTTCGCGCGATCGCAAGTCGATGTCGACGCTCATCAAGCGGGCAAATGGGTCCGCATCCTTGCTGGTCAAGGGCGCCCCGGACACGATGCTGGAGCGATGCTCCGTGGTCAAGCTCGACAATGGTCACACAGCGCCTCTGACCAATGACATGCGGCGTCTGATCACCGACAAGGTCTTGGACTATAGCAACCAAGGTCTGCGATGCCTGGCCCTGGCCGTTGTCGACGATGAACAGGTGGACGTGAGCAAATATCGGAGCCGGAATCCTAGCGAATATGTCAAGTTCGAGCAAAACATGACCTTTGTCGGTCTCGTCGGCATGCTCGATCCACCTCGACCGGAGGTGAGGGGCGCCATTGCAAAGTGCCGAAGCGCAGGTATCCGTGTCATTGTCATCACGGGCGACAACAAGAACACAGCTGAAACCATCTGCCGCTCGATTGGCGTGTTTGGAGCGAACGAGGACCTCATGGGAAAGAGCTTCACCGGTCGCGAATTCGACGACCTGACCGAGGAGCAGAAGCAGAAAGCCGTCCTGGACGCCAGCCTCTTTTCGCGAACCGAACCGAACCACAAGAGCGAGCTCGTCGACCTGCTGCAGCGGCAAGGCCTGGTCGTCGCCATGACGGGCGATGGTGTCAACGATGCGCCCGCCCTCAAGCGTGCCGACATCGGCATTGCCATGGGCACGGGCACCGATGTGGCCAAACTCGCCGCCGACATGGTCCTTGCCGATGACAACTTTGCTACGATCGAGTCGGCGGTCGAAGAGGGCCGCTCCATCTTCAACAACACCCAAGCCTTTATCCGCTACCTCATCTCGTCCAACATCGGCGAGGTTGTCTCCATCTTCCTCACCGTCCTCCTGGGCATGCCCGAGGCTCTGATTCCCGTCCAGCTCCTTTGGGTCAACCTCGTCACCGACGGTCTGCCTGCAACTGCCCTTGGCTTCAACCCGCCGGACCATGAAATCATGCGTCACAAACCTCGTCGTCGAGACGAACCTCTAGTGGGCAAGTGGCTCTTTGCCCGATATATGATCGTCGGCATCTACGTCGGTGCAGCCACCGTAGCAGGCTACGCGTGGTGGTTCATGTATTACGAGGGCGGGCCCCACATCACCTTTGAGCAGCTTACGCACTTCCACCAGTGCACCAACAGCTCGACGCTGGGTAGTCTCCTCGGCAAGGAGGGCTCGTCGCTTTTCCGCGGCATCGACTGCACTATGTTCACCGACGTCCGGGCAAAGGCAGCGACGACCGTCAGTCTCTCGATCGTCGTCCTCGTCGAGATGGCGAATGCCCTCAATGCTCTTTCGGAGGTTGACAGCCTGTTGATCCAGCCTCCGACCAAGAACCCCTTCCTCATCTTTGCCATTGCTCTCTCGGTCGCGCTCCACTTCATGATCCTCTACGTGAGTCTTGTCGACCTAGCCATCTTTGTTCTTGACTGGTTCTTTGCTGACTCTTCTGTTCGCGACACAGGTGCCTTTCCTGCGCGACCTCTTTGTCGTGACGCCCCTCAACTGGGAGGAGTGGAAGGGCGTTTTGGCCTTTTCGCTTCCCGTCGTCATCATCGACGAGGTGTGCAAATGGGCCACCAGGACGTTTGTCAACCCACCCGATGCGCCCGGCCTCATCGAAGAGCGCGCTGCCGTCAACGGCGAAAAGAAAAAGCAGTAATCATAGAGTATCATAGAAGGATGCTCTAATGTAAAGAGAGTGTTGCTCCACCATTGAAAGAAAAGAAATACTTTGTATTCATCAAAGTAGCAACAAAGGACACTGGTTGACATCGAATAGGGTCGCGACGAACTGTGCATGGTTCGGAGATGGTAGCCGAGGACAGGACACATGTCCGAGCAGGAACCGTCAGGGTGCTCTCAGAACGGACATCTGCGCATGCTAAGCTAAGTCTGAGGGCTCACTGCATTAATCAAGAGGGATCTCTTTCCGCGGAGATGCTTCTCCCCACAAAATCATTGACGCGGAAAGAGCAAAAGACGAGACGGAAGCGGACTTCGGAAAAAGACCGCGTTAGCGCGTCTTCTGAAAGCGGCTAGTTGCCTTTTCGTCTTTGCTGAAGGTTCCTGGCCCTGCCTTTTTTCCGTGCTGCGCTCAGGCCGCGCGTGCCCTCATCTTCTTCAGCTGCAGTAGAGATCTTTCATGTTGTGGAGCGACGGGAAATCTTCTGACAAAGTTTGATTGGAGCGGGGTGGGGTGATGATCACACATGACGAAGGAGCGACCGCGCGGGTGCTGCAACGGATGCCTCTCTAGACGCACTTTAGCGTATTGATTGCGTAGATGACAGTGATAAGCACGCTTCTTCTATTCGGTTCCCAGCTTCTCTTCTTAAATTGACCGGTCTTGCATCCGGAAAGAGCAGATGTCTCGAACATAAAAGTGGCCGCTCTTGTATCTCATCTCCTCTTGTTGGCGCCATCCCCTCTCTTTCTCAGAACACCCCCCCCCCTCTTTCTCGTCATGCTACCTTCGCTCCTCACGCTCGTTGCTCTGCTCTCGACTGCCGTGGTCGGCGTGCCTCTTGAGCCGCGACAGACCGCGGCAGCCTTTCCGGACCCTACCGTCGATCCTTTCTACAAGGCGCCAGCGAACCTCTCGTCCTACAAGCCTGGTGACGTGATCCGCAGCCGAAGCGTGCAAACTGTGGTCAATGGGCCAGACGTTGGTGCGAGCTACCAGCTCTACTACCGATCCAAGACGACCAAGCAGAAGCCGGATGGGACAGTCGCAACCGTCTTTGTCCCCAAGAAGCCTGCTTCGCCCACGCGCATCTTCTCGTACCAGAGCTATCAGGACAGTACGACACTGGATTGCAACCCCAGCTGGGCCTTTGTCGATGGTTCCGCCTCGCAGAACAAGGCAATCGTCACGCTCGACACACCAATCTACATCAACTGGGCTCTCTCGCAGGGCTACTACGTTGTTGCGTCCGATGATTACGGTGAGTGAGAGGGACCAATTTGGAACGTGATCTCTTTGCTTTCATCCTGACAGCAGCTTTCATAGGCTCCCAATCTGCGTTCATCGCAGGACGTCAAGAAGGTATGGCGGTTCTGGATGGGATCAAGGCGATCCGTGCCTATTCGAAGCTACCCAAGGACTCGCAGGTGGCCCTCTTCGGCTACAGTGGCGGCGCAAGCTCTACCGTCTGGGCTACGACGCTGGCAGGATCCTACGCGCCCGACCTCAACATCGTGGGTGCTGTCCACGGTGGAACACCCATCTCGACTCGAGACACTTTCACATTCCTCAACGGCGGCGCCTTCTCCGGCTTCGCAGGTGCAGGCCTTGTGGGCATTTTGAACGCCTATCCGGAGATGAACGACTACATTCTCCAACACGTCAATGATGATGGAAAGAAGCAAATTGCAGCTTATCGCTCCAACAACTTCTGCCTCCCTCAGGTAGTATCAACGTACCCTTTCCTCAACTTCTACCCAGAGATCGACGTCGATGACCCGCTCGACCAGCCCATCCCAAAGGCTGTATTGAGCCAAGAAACGCTGCTCCAATCCCAGGCCGATTTCAAGGTGGCCGTGCCGAAGTTCCCTCTGCTGCAATTCCACGCGCTCTTGGACGAAATCGTGCCGTACCAAGATCACGCCGACTACGTCAAGGAGCAGTGCGCAGGTGGTGCCAATATCCAATTCCAGACACTCCCCATCGCAGAGCACATCACAGGCGAGCTCCTGGGCATTCCGGGTAGCATCATCTTCCTCAAGCAGGCCTTCGAGGGCCAAACGCCCAAGGTCATCTGTGGCACAGGTTTGCCTGACTTCTCGGGATTGCTGTTCACGAGCCAGGCGGACGACGTGATGGGCAAGCAAGCCGCCGACAGCATTCGCGCGCTCAATGGAACGAAGTCCGTCTTTGGGGAAGTGATCAAGTTTTAGATTGATTCGATCGTCCCAGCTCCTTGCAGGTCCAGCTTTCTGTTTGCTTCTCTAATAAGGTCTGCTGAAAATGCCATAGCTCGTATCAGCCTGCGCGATGAAGATTGAGCAAATCTCAGACAAGGTGAAGCGCTTGGAAGCTTGCTGTATGCCCTTCCCGGCCAATGCGTCTTGAATCGGTCATACTACTACGCTAAAATCTAGCCTATTCGATCTCGGATCGTTTCTAGATCCAAATGGCATCTTGGGCATCTTCACCTATGTGTGTTAGACCCCCACAGCAACTTCTTTAGAGCGGCGTCCGTGCACTTCGCCTCTCTACCTCCTCTCCTCTTGCGCAAGTGACTGTCCTCGATTGTTTTTCCCCTCTGATCAGCATCTCACCAACCTTATCGTTCTTAGTTGATTGCAAGCTAGATTAATTTTGCTTTCCTCGGCCTTCTCTGCTCACCCTCGGGCTCAACGTTCGAGGGAGTCAATCCTCACTTTGTCGATTGCAAATACTTGAACGACGTAGGAACGAAGAAGACGTCATGTCTACCAAATGCTGCGTGCTATTACATCTTTCGATTTCTGTTGAGATCGGGCTGGCTTAGACGGCAGCATCGACACTACGGGCATTAGTGAATGACGACGGTAACGCTCCCCGGACTAACATTTAGATGAAAAGCTCCTCTGGGCCCCACCTCGAAGGATTGTCGTCATCACCATCACGTGGGAAAGCAAAACACTCGCGTGTTAAGAAGGGTACTTCGCCCAGAATCCCTTGCTTGTTTCTTCCCGCGAAATTCCCCCTAGCGGACAACTCCTTGCACAAAAAGTCGGCTAATTTCTCCATTGGTTGTGCAGAAAATTTACACAAATGAGCCAAATTCATGAAATTAACATCACAAACCTTCTTGCCCTTGCACCAACTCTATCTTGATTCGTGAAGTCCCCGTACTACACTGCACCACATCCTACCCACCGTTCCGACTCAAGCTTCTCGCTCAATCAGTAAAAACATGCAAGCCAGTATGCACTACTACCTACCACCACAAGCTGACCCTCTGGCCTGCTGCCGCCCTGCATCTTGGTCGTGTGAATCTTCCTTCCTCTGGTGACAGCTAACCTTTTTAGGTTCAAATTATTCATAGTGACGAAGCACACCTGCTTGCCGAGCTCCGTCATTGGCAAGGTGCTAGCTGAATGCTTGCCTATCGTTGAAAACTCCCGCAACGATGCGGGATATCTCCTAGACCGGTGGCACTGTGCGAGAGGCAAGGATCGACGCATGCACGAAAGAAAGCTCGTAGTTGCTTTCCCACGACAGGTGCGCTTTCGTCGCGCACGTCCAGCTCGTCGTGCACGTCCAGTCCGAGATCGATAGATTCGGTCTATACAGGATATACTACTAGCTACACTTCTGCTACAATATATGCCGGTCAACCCCTAGATTGTTACCAACACCGCTACGCACTACGTACTAGCTAACGTACTGCTGCGTCGTTTGACAAGTCAATCACAGGGGATCCCGAGCCGCTTACTGCAGATTGGCCTGGCACTGCAGCCTATCTTCCTGACTTGGCTGCAGATCGTGCGTGCGTCTCAATGCCGGGACTACGTACTAGTTGTTTCTTTCTTAGTCCGGTCAAAGGCAATCTGTCGAGCTGAATCACCTTCCGACCTCCCTGCGTCTCAATGAAAGTCCGGGAGAGGCTCCAGATGCCGCTGTGGCCAAATGCCCTACAGTCTTGACCGTGGCGACTTGTCCACGGTGAATTGATTAGGTTGGTGGGGTAGCATCGCAAAGGTTCATAAAGACCTCAGGCCCCGTCGCTCCCATCAACAGTCCTCCTAAACTCTCTTCCCCCCTTCTACACCTCTTCTCTCCTCTCCCCCTGTCCAGGATTTCTCTCTCCCCTTCCTCCCTACAACCCTTCGCTCTCCAAGATGGTTGACCACGCCTACTGGAATGATCCCGAGATCACGGCCAAGTGCACGCAAGTGGCCCAAACTATCAGCTGGCTCTTCGCTGGTGCCACCCTCTATGACTTCGTCCTTCAAGCGCCGTTCGACTGGTCCATCCTGACGGGCAAGCGCCAGCGACGTTGGCCGCAACTGGCTTTCTTCGGTTGCAAGATCCTCTTCATTGCCTACATGGTCATCAACTTCGTCGTCGTCTTCGGCACCAAGAAGATGAACTGCCAGGCTGCTTTTGACGTCCTCGAATTCCTCATGGGGGCCGTCGTCATCAGCTGCAGCCTTCTCCTTGCTTGCCGAACGGTGTGCGTGTACAATGGAACCGCTCGCACCGTCGTGACGACAATTATTTGTGTCTTCGCTGCAGGCCTCGTTGCCGCTTGGATGGAGGGCGTAACGGCCATCCAAGGACAGTGGACTCCCGGCGCGTCATCATGGGGAGAGGGTGCCTGCGCATGGGCTGGCGTCAAATCCACCTACTGGGTCAAATATGTCATCACAATTGTTTTCGACTTTGTCGTCCTCGTTCTTACCACGGTTGGCATCGTGCGCATGAGTGGCGGCTCGCGCATCGGTGAAATCCTCATTCGACACGGCCTTATCTACTTTGTCCTGACGCTACTCGCCAACCTCGTCGTTACCATCCTTACCGCGCTTCAGCTTTCGCCCACAATGTCGCTCTCGATGGCCGTCCCTCAATCGTCTATCTGCACAATTGCCAGCACTCGTCTCTATGTCATGCTCGCTGAGGAGGCTACCCCTAGGACCAATTCGGGCGTCACGTCGTCCCAGCTCTCGAGCGGCACGGGCAACAAGATTGCCAGCTTCTTCCGGAGCGGCAACACCTCCTCGCCAACCTCGGGCAACTTTTCGACCAAGCGCAAGTCCGGCGTCATTGACCTCGGCGCTACGAACATGAAGCTGGGAAGCGACCACCGCTCGCCCAACTCTGCGACGTCAAGCGAGGATCTCGAGAAGAGCCAGACGCTGAGCCAGAACACGGTCCACATTGAGCAGTCGCGTCGTGTCGATGTCGATGTCTTGCCGAACCACCTCGTTGGCCATCCCTTCCAGAGTGGCGCCAGCCTTCCTCAGACATCGAGTGACATCAACAACGGTAGTCGGAACGGCAGCAGCGCTGGTAGCTCCAATGCGAGTGACCACCACGCAGACGACGACGTCGAGGCTTCTGCCGCCCATCGCCGGGGCCAGCACTCGCAGTCTACCAATGGCGCCGACCACGCCCAGCTCATGGCAGCTTACCCTCGCCTCCTCGCCAACTCCCGCAAGCCTCCTCAGTAGATGAAAGCGAGTGAGAATCAGAGAAGGGCAATTGTATCATATTTCTTCACCTCCCCCGCTCTCCCCCCTTCCCACGTACGTTTCTTTTCCTTTTCCGCTCGTCCTCGCCTTACATCATCATAGTGTACATACCACTTTGCGTACCTCCAACCTTTCTCTCCTTGAAGATCAAGAAAGTTATGCAATCCAAGACACATCGAAAGACAAAAACTCAGCAATCGTGCGACAAGATCAGGAGTGCATTCATTCATCTGACAAAGTTGAGACTGTAGCCGCCATCTTGGCCCTTCTTCATCTGGAAATTGTCAGTGCTCAAGCCGAACCAGCCTAGAACGCTGTCGCCTACGCCCTTGAGCTTGGACATCATTTCCTCCTTTTCTCGCGCCGCCACCGTTTCGATCTCGCCAGGAAGGCGGGCAAGGGCTTCGAGAAGGCTGGGCCGAAGTGAGGGCGGGTGGTTGGGCAGGGCGAGGATGCGTTTGTAGTCTTGCAGTTCTGGATTAGCGGAAGAGCACGGACGAAGAGAAAGACGATGTGGTGACCTACCTTCTTGGGCCGAAGTGAGGCTTGTCCATGTTCCCAGCTTCTCGTTGGACTGTGCCCTCCGATGAAGTGCCTTGATGTAGTCTTTGTCATCGAGAAGAGACTGATTGCACGCCTCCACGGCCTCCTGCCACGATTCCAGCTTCATGCGGCACGCTGCCACATTGGCGTGGATGATGGCCCGAAGCGTCTTTATCTCGTTCTCAGCCTCTTCGTCATCGTCGTTGTTGTCATCCTCATCTTCCACCTGCCTCGCCTTGCCCTTGACATCCGCTTCGTCCGCATCACTCGCGTCGCGCTCCTCGTCGAGGCGCAAGGCTTCTCTCGGCGGTAATCGCGCCAAGGCGTCATTGTAATGGACAATCGCACCGTCGTAGTCGGCCTTTGCAAAGCATGAGTTGGCCATGGCCTTGAGCGTTTGGGCTTCTTCGAGAGCGGTCTAGCAAGAAAGAAAAGAGGGGATTGGGGAACATTGAGATTATTGAAAGGGCAACAGTACATGACTTGCTACTTCAACCCACTCGAAGTTTTTTGCGAGATCCTTCTCCCTCACCAGCGTCCCCGCTTTCCTGGGAGAGGAGGCTTCTTTCGCCGCGCGTCTGTTCATCTCTGATCTTGACAACGCCTTCCTCTTCCTGCCCTTCCTCGCGGCTCGTGTCCGTTCCCATCGCACTGCTCCGCCCGCTTTCCGTCGTCGCTTCTTCCCCCCTTGTCTCAGCACTCTTTCGCTTGCCCTCGCCTGCAAGCTTCGGCGGCCCGTTTGGCCGAAAGTACGGCTGAGCCAGCCAGTGAGGAACGTAGACGTAAGGAGCTGTGTTAGCGGTGATGATCGCGTCTGCCGAAGAATAGTCGTCGAGTGGCACTGCGGCCTTTAGCAGCCGCGAAGTGTATCGCTCATCCCTCCGATCAGCCTGATTGCTCAAGAGTATTTTAGCAGCAGCTCATCCGACTTGGCCCTCAAACACAACGAACGTACCTCTAAGCGACGTGAGAGTTCTGCCACAGCTTCGCGATACTGCCTCACGCCTTCTTCCCCGCTGCCCTCGAGCCTGGCCGGTCCAAAGACCCGCCGAAGGTCCGGATGCACCTCGAGTGCCGGCCGAGTCAATTTAAACATGTGGCCCTTCACAGACGTCGCCGAGGTCTTGGTCTTGAGCGAGGCCACAATGTCCAGGTACTCGTTGCAGAGCATGATTAGATCCGGAAAGGGGTAGATGGGCGCCAGTGGGTATAGAGGATCGTCGGTGCTCGGCTCATGGAAGACACAGGGGTTGTAGAGGTTGCCCTCTGCGCTCATGACACCGTCGGCTCCCGTCCTTTCGAGCGCTCTTGTCACGTCCTGGCGGAAGAGGATGTTACCATTTGCGAAGACTGGCACCTTGACGGCCTCTTTGACTGCTCGGATCTTGTCCCAGTCGGCCAAGCCCGACAGTTGGCCTTTCATCTCTCGGGTCCGGCCATGTACTGTGATGATCTGCGCGCCCGCCCTCTCGAGCATCCTCGCATAAGCCACTGTACGATCAAGATCGGTGAAGACGCGCATCTTTGCTGTGACGGGGACCTTGAGCTCGAGGTGCAGCGCGTTGATGAGGCGGAAGATGAGGTGCCAGTCGGACTGGAGAAAGGCGCCATAGTTTCCACGCTTGGCGATCCCCTGCGGGCAGCCCAGGTTCAAATCAACGGCGTCACAGTGCTGCTGGATGCTCTTTGCCGCCGCAAGGAGGGTGTCGGGGTCATTTCCGCAGAACTGTGCAAACAGCGGCCGGTCCGTATCCACTCCCACGTCGGCCACCTCTTCCCTTCCCTTGCCCTTTTCAGCCTTCAAGAGCTCAAATTTCGCGCAACCCTCTTCACCGGTCGCCTTGTCGAAGAAGCCAATCCTCGCCTTCTTGTGCTCCATGTACATCTTAGAATGGATCATTGGCGTGTAGACGAGGTCTGCACCATGCCGTCTCGACAAGATCCGCCATGCCAGCTCAGATTGGTCGACCATGGGCGCAACAACATAACGAGGCGAGCCGATAGAGCGGTAAAAGTCATAGCTCCCAAGCTTCTCGTGTTTCGGCGTGCCGGTGGGAGGAAACGACTCGAGATCGAGGATGGGCGATGTCGACAGGTCGTCAGTTCTCCGTCGAGCTCCTGAAGACGAAGACGAAGACGAAGAACTCATCGCTGGCCCTGACGTAGAGGACGAGGACGAGTTCATGGCGGAAGCCTGCTGAGCAAAAGAACTAGTCGGCATGACGCGCGACAATAATCTGCTCGCGCCGCTCGACGGCCACAGCGCAACGCGAAGAATGGTGACCTCTGACTTGTCTCCGAGAAGCTATCGGTCTTCTGAGAAAAAAATAACAAAAAAAAAAAGGAAAGACACACTGAGAAAGGTCAAATCGCACAGTCCTGATTGGACACGTGCTTTGTCATCGTCGGCCGAACGCCCTCCGTCGGCTCGACTCGGTTTGCACATCTGCTTCTCACGCATCGTCCTGCCTGACAACAATCAACAACACCCACGATGGCTACCGCTCTGGTGAGTATCACGCCATCTTCGCCGTCCTTTGCTTGTGTGGCTGACTGTACACTACAGGAGGGACTGTCGCTGGCAAAGTACATCAAGGCGTCGCCCGCGCTCTCGCGTCTGATTCGCCCCGTGGCCAATGCCTACGCTCGCGCCGCGGGGCATCGCCAGATGGGCCTCCGGTACGACGACCTGGTCATGGAGGAGAGGGAGTCAGTCCAGAAGGTAGGAGTTCATCTGTATCGCCTCGGTCTGTCACGCACACTGCCATGCTCACAGTGCTGACTCGTAAACAGGCCCTCGGTCGTCTCGACTCGCGCGAGGCCTATGACCGCGCCTTCCGTCTCAAACAAGCTATTCATCTCTCCGTACTCCACCGCGAGCTGCCGAAGGAGCAGTGGCTTAAGCCCGAGGAGGACACCCGCTATCTCACGCCCCTGATCGAGGAAGTTCAAAAGGAGGCGGAGGAGCGCGCCGCTTGGGACACGGTCAAGGTCGACAAGAAGGGTGGTCATTGAGTGGCCTTTGTCTTCTCTCTCTTTGGTCGGAGCTTTGGCAATGTTATGGAGTGAGGGTGCTATGGAACTTTTTCCGAGGGCATGACCTAAGAAGCGCTGGTAAGATGATGTTTCTAAATGTCCCGAGGACGGGCCGAAAAAGTCCGTAGGCCTGTTGAGGTATGGGCGTTTGCAGTTCGCCTTTCCCTCGACTGGACCCCTGCTTTTCTCGGACTGTTCCGAACAGTCATGGCCTGGGAGAGTGCAGACAAGCACGCCTTTGGAATGGGAAAGACATATATATATGAAGCTTTCTGACTCAGTTTTCCCTGTCCCTCCGTCCCTCGACCGTCATTTTTGCCTCCCCTCTGGCAAAAACCTCCCCGCCATGAAGCTGTTTGTGTGGACGCTGGTCGTCTGCTCGGTCTCCGTGACGCAAGTCTTCTCACTCCCGGGCCTCCCCATCAATCTCTCTGACAGCGTCCATCATACGCCTTCCCCCCCTCTGGAGACTGACAACAACCCTTCTACAAGTTTATCGCTGAGCTCTCCTGGGGGAAGTGGCCTTCATCGTAGCCCAAGAGAGCACAATCTGCTCAATCTCGACAAGTCGACTACCCCTGGCCCTTCTGATGGCCATGCCGCAGAGCAAGATGATGTTCAGCCCCTGCACTTAACTCATTTGAGAGAGCCCGACACCGATGACAACAACACAGGTGCTGAACAACAGCAACAGCGGTCTGGAACACGGGAGGCTGGTACGACTCGTAGCCCGTCTCGCTCTAGACGTGAGGGATCTTCGACGCTCAATCGCCGCGGCATGATCCTCTCCAAGCTCAGTGGAAAGGATGGGCAAAGTAAGAACGGAGAGTCAGAGAAGAGTCGCAGCAAGTCCGGTGAGTCGCAGATGAATGTGCTCTCCGTATGTCTCTCTTTCGATAGGTCAAAGCTGACTACTATGTAAAGGCGTTGCTTTAGAATGTCCTCCTTCTACTACTAAGACAGAACTCGCTGTCGCTTGCGCTACTGCTGGTGCTCACATGACTCATCCGGGCCCTAACATGCATCCAAGTCTCGGTCCGGTTTCTTATCAAGACCTTATTCAGGAATCTGGAGCCAACACCGATTGAAAGCAACTTCTGATCAGAAGCGACTAAGGGGTTCCAGGGCCATACGGCATCATTTTTTGGTCCTTTGTTCACCCTCCTGCCTTGCGATCCACTTCATACAATCTTGTTATGCCATGAAAAAGATACAATTCACTCAAGAATGCGTGAGAGTTCTAGCCAGCTTATGACGCCACCTCCAGCTAAGGGACCAGGCAGGAGCGTCGCCCCATTGATCATTTGTCAGGCCGGCGAAACGGGACGTCCGAGCCCAGCTTCGAGCTGTCTGATGCAGCCGACCTGCCACAGCCTCTCACCTTCAAGCTTGCGAATCCACACTAGCCCTTTCATTGATGCCTTGACGATGACTTCGCACCGAGTGACCCTTGTCCCCTTCTGTTCTTGCTCTGGAGTTGGCAATGTTTTGGAGTGGGCTTGGCATGATGTTTGACCGAGGGCGTGACCGAGGCGAAGCCGGAGAAGTGATGCCTCTAAATGTCCGAGGGCGTGCCAGAGAGAGGTAAAGCTTTCGCAGGCCTGCTTAAAGTGTGCCTCACCAATTCGCCTTCCACGAATGCAGTGCCTACTTCTTTTGGATAAGTTGAACAGTCTTTGGCAAATAAAGCACGCCTATTTGATGCGAATGGACCTATAAGTAGCAGGGTGGATGACTCAATTCCCCCCACGGACCCTTCCATCCCTCTACCCGTTTCTTTTGTCTCCCCTCTTGCGGGGAATATTCGACCGCCATGAAGCTGTTTGTGTGGACGCTGGTCGTCTGCTCGGTCTTCGCGATGCAAGCCTTCTGCGTCCTCCCCAAATTCTTCCGCGGCTGCCTCCACGGCAACTCTGATGATCTCTGTGCATTGTCGGACTCGGCTCTTCAGGACGGTGGCAGCTCTTCCACGGCTCCAGCTCCGCACTCTAGCAAGAAGACTGGCATTCCTCGCACTGAAAAGAAGCACAATCTTCAGGATCTGATGCCACCTCCCGAGCCATCCATCTGGGATAAGGTAGCCAGTAGCTTTCAGGCCCTGAGCTTCTGCGATCAAGCCTCCAAACATAAGCAGGAACCGACCGTCGTCGATGACGAAGACGACGACGATGAAACATTGGGGTCCAACCCCCTAAGTCCGAAACCTACGACCACTCGCAGGCAACATCGCTCGACGGACAGAGGAAAGGAGTCACTCGAACGCCGAAGCCCGCTTAAGTCCATGTGGGGTGGCAGCAGCAGTGGCCGAACAGAGGAGAAAGCAGAGGAGGAGAAGCCTCACCGCAACAGTGAGTTGTGATTCGAAATCTGCTCTCTCGACTTGTGCTTCTCTAGGACACTGCTGACACTGGCTCGCTCAAGGTATACTTCGGATCGAAGATGTTCCCAATGTAAAGCACATGCTCATTGACGCTGCAAAGAACGTCAAAGTCCGCATATCGGGTTCCGATGAGAACCTACTCTTACCTCATCTTCAGGCCCAACCTCAGACCCGAGGCCATGTCCAAGGTCACGGTCAGGGCCACGATCATTTTCAAGGGGCCCGATAATCCTTTTGAAGCGCAGCTTCTCCCCCCGTCAAGAGTAAGAGAGTAAATCTTCCGAATCCCAGGGGACGACCCTATAAAGAGGCACAGTGCAAATTCCCTGACACAGGATCTCGAAGTCCTTGGTTGCCCTCCCTTTCCCTTGTCGTCCCACTTCACATAACCTCATATGCTCTTCGAAGTAAGAATCTTCAACCAAATTGCGAATTTTTTCGAGTCTCAGCCAGCATATGACGCTGACGCCTCCAGCGAAGACATCCAGGCATGAGTGCGAATTTATCGATCGCTCGTCAGGCCAGCCGAGCGGGGCCGTGCAGGCACAACATTGCGCTGTCTGGTTTAGCTAATCAGGTGCAGCATTCAGCCGTCGCTTGTTATGGGATCGAGGTGGAATTTGACGCCGACGCATTGCACGATGTCTGAGCCCTGTGTACTCCATATTTTTCGCTCGCCCTTCTTTATTTCTCGTACCCGTGTTTACTTCCACTTCCCTTGTTTACTCGGCCCTCTTTCTCGGTCTTACTCGCCGTGCCGGAGGTCCAGAGCACGCCATTGACTGCTGCGCAGCGCAGCAAGCTCAGGGCGACCTCAAGCTGGCGCTCAACTGGGCCTTCAAGCACGAATCCCAGAGATAAGCCAGGCGTCACAGCACGACGCCTGCCTATACTGTAAAAACGAGTCGTTTTTCCTGTATCTTCTCTCTTCTCTTCGTCGTACAGATATTTTGTCAGCTCGTGTTTCGGGGCGGCTCCCACAAAAAGAACAAGTACAGGCGTAAGAGAAATCTGTACCGATCCGTCAGAAAGATAAAGCTATTCGCCCTTCTTGTCCAATCGGATCCACTTCCGTCCAGGTCCCACCAGAGTTGATGTAACAGAGTCGATTGGCGTTGGACAGCTCCCTCCTGCGGGCTACGACAAAGGGCGTCTGTATGGAAATAACACCTTCAACAACATTTTCAAAATCGGTGGAAAGAGGGTGACGAGGAAGCTTCACAATAGCTTGTTCATAGAATGTCGGCTGCTTATGAGTCCTTTGGAGAATGATGCGAAAACCCTTTTGAAAGCCATTGCATGGTGCTCGACTGGCGGTCGGCCTCCTTGTTCCGAAGTCGCTGGAGTACGAGCGTACACCTTAGTCCTTTCACCGAGTTGAGAAAAGCGCCTATTATGTTTACGTCTCTGAGGAGTCACAACATTGACTTAGTCGTCCGCAACAGACCGAGACAGCTCCTTTGCAAGAATCGGTCGTTGATCCGCTTCCTTTATCCAGCTCGCTATATTTGACAACGAGGCTGCTAAGAAAAGTCACCTGGCCCAGATGCTGTTCCGACTTGCCCACAAGTGTAGTCTCGATCGAGAAGGGCTCGCAAGGTGAAGACTCAAGCCCAAGCCCATGGAATGGCCTGGATCCGAGCGATCCATTGTCAGACATTGACAAGTGGCGCCTTGTACCGTCCGAACGGCTCAAATTGGGGTTTTTGTGCGCCAATGAGATAGATACTGCCTCAGACATCGGTGTTGCTCGGTCAAGGACCCGTGCAAAACATGTTGGCCTGGAATGGCCATGATGGTATATATATAGCCACTCTTCTATCCCCATTATCGACACAGAGACAAGATGCAGTCCCATAGCCTCCTCCTCTTTGTCATCATTGTCCTCTTGACGACCCGTCAGGGCTTCTCTCAGCCTCTGGCCAGGAGCAAGTGCGCTTCGGCCCAGGCGAGCGACGGTGCGCTGCACAAGCGAGGTGCTTGCCTTTCCTCCAAGAATAAGTATGGTAAGCATCTTGTTCTTCGTCACTGTCTCTTCCGCAGCACTTGCGCTTAAGGCTCGAAACGAACGTTTCTCAGAGTCTTCTATGTCCAGCTACCTCGGCCAACAAGGACACGAACATCAAGCACACGAACACCAAGCACACGAACACCAAGCACACGAATACCAAGCACACGAACATCAAGCACGCGAATGGCAAGGACGCGAACGTCAAGAGCATGAACGTCAAGGACATCGACCTCAAGGACGCGATCGAGGACATGATCATCAAGGAAACGAAGCTCAAGGATACGAAGCCGATCATTCTGGAAGCCCGAGCGATATGTCAGCAAGCCCTCCTATTCCCTCGCAGGGATCGACCTCCACAGAACATGGAGGAGGTAATGGCGCTCACGGATTGTTTCTCGACTTTGTTCCAGGACCAAATAACTCTCTCGTTGACTTTGACCCTCCTCGAGAGTCAGAGAGGAGCGACATTTCTTTCAACGTCAACGTTCCTTCAGATTATGGCCTTCACTCTGCGTCGTCCTCACCTGAGCGATTCCCTGAGCACTTCCCTGAGCACTTCTCTGAGCACTTCTCTGAGCACTTCCCCAAGCATTCCTCCGAGCACTCCTCTTCGCATTCCTCTTCGGACTCCTCTTACTTGAGCTATAATTTGGATCCAGATGGGTACATCAACGAAGGAACCGGAAACCTGGAGGGAGGCGATCATGGCAAGCATCAGTGACCTTTGCATATGAGGCAAGTGATGTTAGACTAGCAGGCAAACCACCCAAGCTGTTGTCCCAATGAAGAATCTCGAGCTCCCACCGATCTGCCCACGCTGGCCGCCTTTCTTGATACCTTGAAGCTGACTTCGCTCGCATTGGCGCAGAGCGGGCAGAGCCTGACAAATTCGGTCTAGCTGCAATTGTATACAATGAGAATATCGGGGCAAGACTGGATTAGACCATGGCCTTTAGTGATGGAGAAGATTGACCTGTTCAGGTCCGCGAAATGCGCGCTCTGATGATGATACCTACGTAAAAGATGGAAATGAGCATCCATAGATGATACTTTTCGCTCTGTATGCACTGAATCGTTGCAGCAGAAATGCCTGAACAGACCCACTCTCTGGTGGGCAACAAGCGATTGGTACCAATCGCTAGGCAAAGTGCCTTGCTTGAAGCTGCTGGGCGCGTCTCTATCCACATTGACATAAGGTAGTCAGTCAGTCAGTCGAGCACGAAACCAATCAAGAGCTCCCAAAGATGATAATTGATGACTGCACAAACATTTGGTCAATTCGTGTCTCAAGGCGGTTAGCACAAGGTAACAAATATACGGAAATAGAAGGGAGTTGTACTGCTCCGTAGAAACGGTGAGCCATTCGCCCGTCTCATCCAACCGGATCCAATTCCGTCCAATTTCGAATTAAGGCGGTGTAGCAGAGTCGCTCGGCGTCGCGGAACTTCCTGGTGGGAGATCTCTCCTGCGGGCGACGACAAAAGGGCCTTCGTGGAGATAATACCTTCAACAACATCTATGGTGGATGGAAAGGTGAACAATAGCTTGTTGAAAAGGAGGGGATGGCTGCTTATGCGTCCAATGAAGGATGATGCGAACAAACTTACGTTGGCCATTGCTCGTCACTCGACTGGCAGCCGGCCTCTTTGTTCCGAAGCCGATACCGTGCGAGCAATCATTCAACTCGTATCGAGAAAAGCACATGTAATGTTTTGACTCTCTATTCACGTCTTTGAAGAGTCACAATACTGACTTACTCGTCCGTCACGGACCGAAAAAGCTCCCTTTGCCACCAAAATCAGTTGCTGATACGACTCCCCTGTTCAGCTCGAAAAACTTGACGATGAGGCACAAAGTGTCACCTCATCCAGATGTCGTCACGACTTAGGACCACACGATTGTCTTGACCGAAAGGGGCTCGCGAGACGTAGTCTCAAGCCCAATCCCAATATGGGCTATATTGAGTGATTCTTTGTCAATGCTCATTGTCAAGCTTTGACAAGTGACGCTCGTATCGTCCGGACGGATTAGAAGGAGCTCTTTTGCGCCACTGACAATGATGCCATCTTCGCCATCGGTGGTGCTCGGTCACGGACTCGTCAACAACGTATCAGCCGGGAAAGTTCATGATACTATATATATAGCCACTTTCTGCCCTCAGTATCGACACAGAGACAAGATGCAGCCCCATAGCCTCCCCCTCCTCATTCTCATCATTGTCCTCTTGACGACCCGTCAGGCCTTCTCGCAGCCTCTCGTCGAGAGCAAGTGCGCATCGCCCCAGGCGAGCAACAGTGCGCTGCACAAGCGAGGTGCTTGCCTTTCCTCCAAGAACAAAGAAGGTGAGGAAGTTCTTCTTTGTCACTGCCTTTTCCCGTGTTGCAGCACTTGCGCTAAAGAAAAGGCCCAAACTCATCATCCCTCAGAAACATCTGATTCTAGCCTGGTTGGACCTCAACATCCCTCAGGAACATCTGGTCCCAGCCTGGTCGGACCTCAGCATTCCTCAGAAACATCTGGTTCCGGCCTGGTCAGACCTCAAGACGGCGAAAGGCAACTGCGCGGACGTCAGGAACGTACCCATCAAGGACGCGAACGTCGACGACGTGAACATCAACGACGTGAACATCAACGACACGAACATCAACGACGCGAACATCAAAGACACGAGCATCAAGGACGCGAGCGTCAAGTGCGCGAACGTCAAGAACGTCGACGTCAAGGACGCGGACATGGAGGACATGATCATCAAGCGAATGAAGCTCAAGGATACGAAACCAATCATTCTGGAAGCTCGAGCGACATGTCTACAAGCCCCCCTATGCCTTCTCAGGAATTGACCTCCACAGAACATGGAGGACATGATCATCAAGCGAACGAGGCTCAGGAATTGACCTCCACAGAACATGGAGGACATGATCATCAAGCGAACGAAGCTCAAGGATACGAAGCCGATCATTCTGGAAGCTCAAGAGACTTGTCTACAAGCGCCCCAATTCCCTTTCAGTGGTCGGCTTCCGCAAATAATGGAGGTGGGGATGGCGCTAGCGGATGCCTTGGAGAATGTCCTCCAACACCACATAACTCTCCCAATAGCTCAGGCCCTCTTCGAGAGTCAGAGGAAGGCGAAGCTTCGTTCAGATTCCACGTTTCTCCTGAATCTCATCGTCCGACTGAAGAAGGATTTCCCTGGCCGCCTCAACATGAAATTCGCTCTGCGTCGGCCTTCCTTCAGCACTCCTCTGAGCACTACTCTCTCACGTCCCCCAAACGGAGCTATTCTGTGGGCCCTGATGGGGTACTTGCAAAAGAAGTCGAGACACTTGAGGAAGGCGATCATGACAAGCGTTAGTAGTCATTCATTGTATATGATGCAAGTAGCTGGCAAGAGGTCTCGGGTCTGAGAATACGATGAAGTTTAGATTTTGGATAAGCCAGTATGGCAAATTTCTTCCGACTTGTACACGCGTCTCTCTTTCGAGTTGAATGACTTCCTCAATCACATCAGACTCACCGTTTGTGTTTCCAGCCGACGGGGCTTTTCCGGAGAAATTTTGCCGTCATGAGGTGTTGCAGAGCCCTCTGGCATCGCGAATTGTTTTCGCGTTGAGAGTTTCTCGGGGGGTCACACTTTGATATCAGGCGTGTTTGAGAATGACGCTTTCAAATTCGGTGGTTGAGTGTCATGGAAGTCTGACGATAGCCTCCTTGGAGGTTGGAAGCACTCGAGATGAGCCACGCTCGGTATCGGATCAACAGTCGGACTCTCTCGTTCAAAAGTCGTTGGCGCGCAGGCGTACATACAACACCGCGTCACCGAATCGACGAAGTGCCTGCAATCAGAATTGCAGGAGTCTGTAACTCATAGACTGAGATCTGTAAACATGTTTACGCTCCTCGCCCACATTATTAACGAACTCGCTACAACGGCTTGCTCGGCCGCGCTTGACCGAGGAAGCTCCTTTCTGACTTTCAGTAGCTAGAGTGCCTCCCCTTTCCGACTCCCAAACCATGACAATGAAAGTGTTTCGAAAGAGTACTGGTCCACATGCTGTCACTACTTGCCGACATATGTCTTCTTGGTAAAATGGAGCTCGTAAGATCTGCCTTAACGTGTTTGAATTGGCCTGGGCCTGTGTGGTCCGTTGTCGAGTGACGCCTCGTACCACCCGGACGACCCGAAGGGTGATTTTTATCCTAGACAGAATGCAAATCCAGTCATCGGTGGTGCTCTTCTGAGGACTCAGCCAACAAATGTTGGCCCCGAATTAATGGCCAATGGGCCGTGATGGCATATATATTGCCACTGATCCTGCCCTCAATCTCGTCACATAGACAAGATGCAGCCCCACTCCCTCCTCTTGTTCGTCACCCTCGTTATCTTGACAGTCCACCCAGGCCTCATTGAGCTTGTGGTTGGGAGCAAGTGTGTGTCGAACAGGGCGAGCAATGGTGCACTGCACAAGCGAGGCTCCTGTTTCTCGTCCAAGCGCATGAGTGAGTTACTGTTTTCCTGCCAGTCTCTTCCCTCGCATCGCAACATTTGAACTAAGAACGGAAGACCACTTTGAAGAATCTTCCGATGCTTCCGATGTCGGCATCGCGGGAGGGAATGATGCGCATGCTAGGCGAGTTCTCAGTCGGTCCCGTTGTAAGACCTCACGGCGCTAAATCTAGAGGACACAGTGCCGCCGGATCGAGTCGACGTTCCTCTCGGGATTCTGATACTTCAATCCAGCTTCCTCAAAACGAAACACCCTCTGTGATCTCGAGCACCGGAGCTACAGACACGCCTCAGACCATTACCCCCAGAACTTCTCTCCTCAGTTCCTCGCAAGGATCTCGCCACAGGTCAAGTTCCACTGATGATTATGGAGGGTCTAAGGACTCTCCTAGGAGCGGGGGTGATGCTGGCTCGCCTTTCAGTCCTAGTGAACAAAATCTTCCGCATGACGCTGAAGCTCCCCGCCACACGATCAACCTAGTGCCTCAAGAAGCTTTTCGCTTTCCGACCAGCCAACTTGACCCTGGACCCTCCTCGGGCCCCTCTAGCCTTGCAATGCCAAGTCCACATCTTGTGGTTTCGGAGAGCTTACTGGAAAGGCTCCGGTATCAACGGAGTCTTCTCGAACCCATCCCACCACTCGAAAGGAACGACAAAGGCAAGAGACCCGCAAGCGATGGACGATGACAGGGCCCAGAAGACTTATGATGCAATGAAACAGACAAGGTGACTCATATTTGCCTAAGAATACAACGAGGTACAGCTTTGAAGTAGCTAGAAGCATCGTTTGTCCTGCCAACAGATGGGGCCTTTTAGAGAGAGGCAGAGCCCTCGGGCAGTGCGTGTTATTTTCGTGTTGAGAGCTCCTTCTGAGGGCAACTTTGAAATGGGGCGTATCCGGGAACGAGGTTCTCACAGTCAGTAGAGGGTCACGGAAGTCCAATGACAACTTCCTCGAAGAATGGATGTTGCCTGTGGTTTCATTGGAGAATGATACGAAAGCGCTTGTGAGGGCCAATGCTCGGTACTGTACTGGCAGTCCGCTTACTTGCTCGGAAGTTACTGGCGTGCGGGCGTGCATACAACACGACCGAGTTGACAAAAGCGCCTGCCATGGGTTTTTACTCTTTGCTGACGTCTTTGGACCAGACTGCGCTACTCGTCCGCGACGAAGTGGGACAGCTACTTTGCGACAACTATTGGCTGGACCCTTCGCACTTTTCCAGCTCACAGGACTTGACAGAAAGGTTGCTAGGAGAGGCGGCCTGGTCCACAGGCTGTTGTGCTTTGCTCGCATATGTCGTCTGTGTCTGAAAATTCCGTAAGAGCCAGTATCATGAGTACTCGACTACTGTTGTCAAAAGACGCCCTGTACTGCTCTGACGGCCCGAAAGCTAGCTTACACCATCGACACGAAAGCTTTTGGTGTTGATCTCTTAAGACTCGGCTAAAACACGTTGGCCCCGAACTGCCGTGGTGACATACTGTATATATACCTGTACATACCCTCCTCTCCCCTCTGTCTCGTCACAACGACCAAATGCAGCCCCAACTCCTCCTCCTGTTCGTACTAATCGTCTTTTCGACGATCCATCAAGGCTTCACTCAACCCGTGGCCCGGAGCAAGTGCACGTCGACCCAAGAGAGCAAGAGTGCACTGCAAAAGCGAGGTACCTGCTTCTCTTCCAATAGCAAAGATAGTGAGTGGCTTTCTCCCTGTCAGTCTTTCCCCAGACGTTCCTTAGGTTTCACTGACGCAAGGACGTCTCTTTAGAACCCGTCGACGGCTCTGGTGCCGGCGTTGTAAGAGGGACCGATGCCGGTGTCGCTGGAGGTTCTGGCATCTCTCCCACTCCCATTGACATATCTTCCACTCAGAGTTCGACGGATGTTGTAGGTGGTTCTCCTCGCCGCTCGGAAACTCGCCCGGTCTATGGAAACGAGGAAGTATGGAGGAGGTGGCATCGCACACATTTTAGCGATCCGCCCAGCAACCCTGGGCCAAGCAATTCTCAGCACACCACGAAAAAGAAAGGTCGCACATGGCGCCACTCCCGCTCCTCAGGCAACTCAACTCCTCAACTGTTAACCTCGGAGCCGAGTACAGCCGCAGATTTCGACCTGGATTTTGGTTGGAAAGCACGTCATGCGCTATGGAAGCAAAGGAGGCGGGAGAAGTGGCCAATTAAATGGTTCACTAAAGGAGCCGATGCAAATATCAGACAAGTCTTACGATTAGAGTGATTATAATGTTACAATGAAGTCGGGGCATGTTCTCTATCCTCCCTCGTCGCTGCTCTCGTCGCTGTCGTCGAAAACGTCGATGACTTCGTGTGGCTGAGACCGATTTGAGGACTGTGAGTGGGCTGCTCGGCCTGCATGACCGCGAGGTGTGGAAATCGTGTGCGTTGGCGTCGCATTTGAGGCATCTTGTTCCAAGATCTCCAGAGTGGCCGCGTTCCCAATGCGGGAGAGCCTCTGATCGTGACTTTGGCTAGCGAAAAGGGGCTTCGAAGGTAGCAAAGAACATTGCGATGACGAAGACGCTGGCCTGATCTCGACGAGCTCGACACTGTCATCCCCCACCGGCACAGGAGCCTTTTTGGGCGTGACATCGTCAGACGGAGCGGCACGAGGCGTTTCCTCTTCCCTTCGATCCACTGTGCTGCTTGATGGAAAGGAGGAGTGGATGGGCATCTTTGGCGTTTTGAGGCGATCATCGCTGGGCCGGTTTGTCGACCTCGACAACGTCGGGCTGGGTGGAGGGGACGCGAAAGATGAAGATGACGACGAGGAGCCTCTCGCCTCCTCATCGCTGCTGTCGAGCTCGATTGAAGCCGTGGGTGACTGCCGCTGCCTTCTCTTGGAGGGGGATGCGTTGAGCAAAGACGAAGGAAGGAAGAAGCTATCAAGCCGAGATTGGCCCACCAAGGACGATGACGACGACGACGAGATATTAGACCCCTTTCGACCACCAAGACCATTCCTCTTGCGTGACCTCTCCTCCTCCCTTCTGCGATACTCTTTGAGGAGCTTGCTGGCCTTTGGACACTGCTCAATGACGCAGAGGGGGATCCAGACTCTCAGAGGCGTCTCTGGGACCACGTGTGCCTTTCGAGGGCTTCTATTGCTCGGCGAGCGAAACGCATCCAGTCCGGCATTGTCATCCTCTTGCAACGGCCTCATACGTGGAGCCTCGACGAGAGAAGACCTGGCTGCACGCACAAAGGGCGCCACATCGTACAAGATTCGCACCTCGACCTCGTCGCCTGTGCTTTCATGCTGCTTCTCACCGTGGACAGAGAGGATCGCGGGGCTTGCTGTCTTGACACTTGGTGTCTCTTTTCCGACACTGCCTGTGCCAGCTTTGTCCGCTGCCGACGAGGCACTTGCCACGGGCTTGATGGCGGTAAAGAAGCGATCGATCTGCTGCGTGGGCCGCTTGTTGGTCCTTCCAGGTGACAAAGTCGTCTTCCTGGCCACGAACCCCACATTGCTCCTCTGTGCGTTCCCGCGAATGTCTACATGGTCGTTTAGAACTCCCCCAATCTTTTGATTGGCAAGCTGACGGACGATGAGGCCGGGCCAGAGGTTGTTTCTCATTCTCTCGAGCGCCCACGAGGGATGCCAATTGAAGATGCGCTGTGCGACGCCAACGATCTGGCCAACATCGATTAGGCCGCACGCTCTGTCGTTGCCGCCTCGGTCGAGGGAGCCCACGACGGGCCAGACGTAGCTGGCCATGACGCTCAGACTGGCGTTTGTGCCGAGGAACACATCCCAGTCCGATGATCTGGACAGCGACTGATAACGTCTGCCCAGGTGGCCCGATGCATTTGTTGCCAGCTCGGTACGGATGGACTGAACCCATTGAGTGCGGAAGGCCGTCCAGCCAGCGCTTGGTGTCGGGCATGCCGGTCGCTGGCAGTGGTTGCTGGTCCGGTTGGAGGGATCCCTCGGAGAAACGGGCGGCGCAATGTGAGTGTGGACACCCGCGAGCAGAGAGTCGCCGTATCCACCTCGAGCGAGGGCAACGGCAATCTGTCGAGAAAAGAGAAGAGCTAGGTCAACTAAAATTCGCACAGTCCATAATCAAAGCAAGCGTCTCCACCTTGGCTCCACATCGTGGCAGTCCTTGGACATCGTAGTCGCCGCCAGACATGAGAGCGACGAGAATGAGACCATTGTGACTGAGACTGCCCTGGCTGCCGATGTCTTGGGCCCGGTAGATTGTGACGGTGCCTTCAGCGCCCTTCTTGTTCGTGGGTTTGGAGGGCGAGGCCTGGCTGCTGGCCGAGGAAGAAGCCGAGGACAGTCCCTCGTCATCTTCTTCAACCTCGGTCGTCGAAGCAACGTGTGCACGCCTGGAGACGTTACCACTGAGTTTGTAGCCCCAGCTGATGGAAAGTCGCATTTGTGTGAGCTTCGTGATGATGGCTGTGTCCCAGCAAGATAGCGTCACCAAGGTGGCTAGCTGAGCGACTACTCACTTGCGGACGACGACGCGAGCACCAAAGATGAAAGCGTCAACATCGTCGGTCATGATGGCATCGAGTGCTCCCTGGGCATTGAGCCTGGCCAGCTCTGCTTCAGCCTCGCCTCTCGCAAAGACGAGGGCGAATCCAAAGGCGCTTGCCAGTTCCTTGAGCTGCTCGAAGCCATCGAACGGCCCCCCTGTGCCTGCCACGATGACCTGCCTCGAACGCTTCTCCGAAGGACGCAGGGGCCCGTCGAACACGAGCGTGACGTCGAGGTGGGCCTGCGCGAGGAGCTTGCAGAAGCGAAAGAAGAGGAGGCGAAGCGCAGGCTGGGCTCCACCCTGCGACTGCAGCGCATGGTAGAGCCAGGCAGAGACGTCGATGCCCAACCGGAGCTGGCGAGGCGGCGACTCATGCCCATCCCGTGAGGGCTGCTGCGACTTGACCGTTGAGTGGTTGAGATGGTGCAGCGAGACATCGTGTCCATGGGGCTGCAGCTCCTTCCATAGCCCAGGCACGCCCATCTCAGCTCATCGTCGCGCTTCGTGCGTCAGCGGCGACGAGGTGAGGTTGAGAACACAACTCCCAGATCCCAGAAGAAGTAGTCGTAGTAGTGACAGGCAAGTGGAGATAAACACTGAAAAAATCTCAGAGTAGAGGCGCGTCTCGGTCTCGCGTTCAGAGGACAGAGGGCTAGCTAGACCTGACCAGCAGGCCGGGCGAAGTGGTTGGAGCTGGGTATTGTATTGTACAAGTGATTTTGGAAGCACAAATGAGCACATGGAGAGAGCGTTGAGTTGCGACGGTCACCGCCAACCGTGATAGTTGTTTGAATAAATCGGTTTCGCCTCCTTCTTCTTCGGATTCGGGTTAGGGATATAGGTCATGCTCGTCATGCTGCCACCGCTTGCTGCCGCGTCGCCACCGAGAGCAGGATTGAAGTAGCCATATTGACTTTGATGGCTGTGGCTGTGGCTTGGTCGGCGGATCCTTCGGTCCGACTCGCGGTCATCTGCAAAGCTGATGGACGGGCTATGCTGCTGTTGACCTGGCGCAGACCTCCTTGAGGAGGCAGTCCTGGGCGGCGTGATCACACCGTCGGTGGGCAGCATCGACGGCCACGAGGCGACGGCCGGAACTGTCGGAGGTACTGCAGGGCCGACCGAGGGAAACGACTGCTTTTCATCGACGGACGACGGGCTGGGGAGTGGGGTGGACTCGGGTCCTACCTGTGCTTTACTGCGCCGCCTCCTTGACCGGCCCGCTCGAGAGGATTGCGAGGACGAGGGTGTGATTGCTCTGATGGCGCCCGTGACAACGACGAGGATAGAGGATGTCATGGCGAGGGCGACTGAGGCTCGTGCCCGTGGTCGTGCCGTCAATAAGTTGGCGTTTTCGAAGCTGCCGTGGGCTATTGTCAGGTGGCGGCGCCAGAGCGGCATAGAGGCTGCACGGCTCACCTGTAGTCAGAAGGTTTGACCTTGGTCCAGATCACTGAGCCAGCAAGTGACGCGGCCAGGGCTGTGAGGGCTGCTACGATGGTGATGTATGCTGTCCAGGGCCTCTGGCAGTGAGATACGAAGAGCACCTCGAGGAAGAGGGCGAGAAGACAGGCGCTGTTCGACGCCAGCAAGAGGCCTGCACCTATCTGAAGGTACGTATGACCACTGTTCTGCGTTTCGTTGACGAGTTGCGGAGCGGTCAGCATCGATGCAGTGAGACCCAACGAGGCAATGCTCGACGACATCGACAGCGCGAGCATCGCGGCAGGCAAGAAGAGCACAGGCAGCGACAACATACCTTGTGGAATGAAAGAACAGCCAAGAGGACGAGAGAGAGACAGCGGCCTGGTCTCGCGCACTGAGCAGCCCAGCTGAGTGACAGTCGGAGCGGCAGAGGTCAGGGCGAGATGCCAACTGAACGACGCCGTTGTCTACCTTTTATAAAAGATAAAAAAGTAAAGACAGAAAACCAAAAAATCAACTCTCTCTCTCGCTCCCTCCGACAAACATTTGATCGAGCCACACGGATCGAGCCACGGTGCCACGGAGAGGCCTTGGGCTTTCACTTTATGCAGCAGCACACGACAAAAGGTCCGGGCCCCGAGGCTTTTTGACAAGGCAAATTGAACAACAGCACATCCTTTTGCAAAATCCGGGATCTCAAAAAAAAAATTCGTGCCGGGCGTGGCTTGCGCGGCAGGAACACAAAGCTCAGGAACAGACGGCCCAAATTATTTATATTCTAATATTATGTTCAGCGGGTTGTTAATTACAGATTCAAAAATGAACTGTATGCAACCCAAGATTCTTCACGCCCGTCCTCTAATATTAGCAAATGGGCTTTGGCAAAGCCCTTGAATGCTCTTCTTTGCTCCAGACAGGAACCAAAAAAAAAGTAAATAGGGTAGCCAAGAGCTGGCTTGGCTTTTCGACCCCGTCGTCTCTTAAAGCCGAACAGCAAAAGGCAACGAGCATGAAACGTGCTCGTGCCAAGCTTGTATTGATGCTCGGGGAGAGAAGGAAGACTTGGCATGGCCACGGAATCCCTTCTGAGCATTCACTGCCCAGGCAGGGTAATCAACCGCCATGCAGACTGACCACACCGCAATAGCTTCGCCTCTGATTCACGCTCTTGCGTAGCACCTCCCAGATGCAACCCTGGACCTGGCGTGTATGCTATACATTGTAACCTAGCTAAGGAAGAGGAGGAGAAGTAGCATGTACAGGTGCGGCCCGAAAAAGAGGAATCGGAGGGAAGCGTCCGAGACGTAGACGAGACGAGCGACAAAGATAAGGCGGGATTAAATTTGAGAAGAAAAAAAGGATTGAACATTCTTGGACCTAGCGACCAGGCGTTCCCACGACGCAAGTGAACTGCCGATCGGGTGTATTCTGGATGGCGTTCTGTACGATGTTCCAGGTGTTTGTGTCGTACGCTTCGCTAATGTGGCCCACGATGGCATCTAGACCAGAGGAGTGCGGATCCGTGTACACCGTCAGCGCGACAAGCTTCGGCCAATTAGATGCTCGCCAGTTCTAAGAGCACGGCGGACACTCACCGTTGGGACACACATCTTGTATGAGGACGTTTCGCACTCCGGCCTCGCTGACAAACGATGCCGCAGGTGCAGGTGTGACGAGCTCATCCGCCTTGGAGGTTATGATTGTATACTGAACGCCCGATTGGGTGATTCCACCGTTGTTCAACTTGTTTATGATGGGGCTTCCCACGACCAAGTCGGCACACGCATCGCATCCAAAGAGATCGAGCACATCTTTGGTCAACGTCGTGCCGGCAGGTCCGAGCGCCAGGGCAAGCTTGTACAGGCTCGCAAAGTCGGTCCCGTGGGAGGGAGGTGCAATGGCAGCCACCCTGCGCACCTTACCCTTTGCATCGAACTTGGGCAGGTACAGGGACATGAATCCGCCCTCGGAGTGTCCGATGAGGTCGACCTGCGAGGCTCCTGTCTTTTCCAGCACCGTTTCGATGTAGGCGCCGAGCTGTGGGGCGCTCTCATCGATTGCCTTGAGCCCGCCGACGTAGGGAAAGCCGTCGTAGGCTCCGTAGGTGATGCTGAAGGTGCAGTAGCTCATATTTGAAAAGTAATCCTGCATGAAGTTGAGGTCCTCATAATACGTCGCCCCCAGTCCATGGAGAAAGACGAGTGGGCGTTGATCCGCCGAGGATGGCTTACACGAAAAGTCATTGACGCCACGCCGTGTCAGCGGGGCTGCCACGGTAGCGCTGAAGGCTGAGAGAGCGACGAAAAATAAGGAAATGAAGAGCATACTGACAGGCAAGGACTGAAGAGCAGATGAGAAGGGGGAATGGTGGAAGAGAAAGATTGTGCGTGGCAAGGCGGGGGCATGCTGTAGAGCAAGCGCACTCCTCTCACTATATACGAGACATTGACTGGCCGGAAGAGTTTGCAGAAAGGTTCCAGATGAGGGGGAAGCGAGGAACACGGAGCCCATCAACGGAAGATAATTGTGGGCCTTGCGCCCTTGACTTTAACCTCCGGACGGTGGAGGTGGCCGACACTTCTCCCACCTCCGGAAAGAATGAGGGCTTCTTCTGTGGGATATTTGTTTCTATCTCGAATACAACATCATGTTCATGTGGTTCGTTACCCGTTCTTATCACTGACTACGCTGCTGCTTCCACACTAACCGTTTAATGACCCCATTTAAGACAGGGTCGGTGAGCAGCTAGGCAGCACCACGTGTTTCTGACCCTGGCCCACGCGACTAGGATCAGACCCGTATGCTTATTTTCGAGTCGAGGCGCCATGGCGCCACTACGTCATCGACGCTCTCGCTGCTTTGCAGCAGTCGATGCGGGGGTCTGTCATCATTGACACCGCATCGCAGTCCCAATCCATGCCTCTACTGAGCATTGGCGTAATTTGCTGCAAATAAGACCCTGGCCTTGCCATCCACCCTCTTCCATCCTTTCCTCCAAAGAAAGGAAGAAGCAATTGTAGTCCAAACGACAAACATGGCATCCATCACCAGCTCCATCTCCTCGCTCCTTTCGGGCATCCAGAGCATCATCTCTGGCCTCATTGAGTCCATCCTGGCCGTCGTGACGCACATCTTCAACGCCATTTTTTCCATCTTCTCCACGGCTTGGAGTGCCGTCGAGGGCCTGCTCAAGGCGCTCGTCGACGCGTTCAGCGGACTGATCAGCACCGCGACTCACGTTGTGGGCGACCTCGTCGGCATTGTCACGGGTGAGGACATTACTTTACTCAAGCGGTGCAAGGCGCTAGAAAACTGACACGCAATCCCTCAACAGCCAACATCGTGCCCATCGCCGTCGTCGGTGGTCTGCTCATGGCCATAGGCTTTTTCAGCGGAAAGCAAGGTGCTGCTACAAAGCGAAAGACCAAGTAGTAGGCAGCCGTGGACGTCCTTCGATGATCCAAAGAACTGCTTGCGAGCTATATGATGTATATCACTCAGATCGTTATCGATACCTCTTGCGTTCCTAATCGAGATCTCTGCCTTCCTTGCCTTTACTGTCTCGGCAGTTCTCTGCGCCCTGCAACACATCCGAGCTAGAATCGAGAAGATGAAAAGGAAAACCGAAGGCCGCAGACGAATGCCGAATAGCATGAAATTTGTTTGCTGTTCGGCACTGTTGTCAAATTCCGAAAAGCAGGCGCGGCCGGCTATCGCCGCCTGTTGGTTGCCCCTGGGGGTGACCGGCGAAAACGCGCGTCAATTGTGGAGGGAGGTTGGTGTGTGTGTGCAATGGGATGTTTTCGAGATGCCGTCGAGTGGCTTCATCGTATCGGCGCCTTGTGTCCGACTGGGTTAGAATTGCAATGGCGGGGAGAGGAATGAGCACGGAGGTACTTAAAAGGGAGGGTGGACGGAGTGCAAACTGGCATCGCCAAGGTGGCCGCCAGGGTCCGCTCGATTGACACGGAAACCATCTCCGCCAACATGCTCCACTCCAAAGATCACGACCACCACCATTGCCACCCACAGGCGTCAGCCAATTCGTACCACTGCTGGCGAGTCGCAATCCATCACCTGGCTACCAAACCAGTAAAAGCGAGGAAGGCGATATCACGAACAGTGAGCGGTGAAAGCAGCCGTCGCAACGATCATCACAACATCAAGAGCAACAACAAGAGCACTGCTAGCGAGACCGACGAAGGCGGGCCCATTAGCAGAAAGAGCAGACGAACCAAGAGGTACAGACTGCGGAGAACAACAGCAGCGATGCAAGGACAGGAAACACCCGCGCCTTCCTGGACCGCCGGTCTGACGACCCGGGCGCTTGGCTTTGTCCTGCAATTGCCCAAATTCGTGCCGACGCAGGTGCTGAGGCTGACGAGCCCAGAGGGCCCATACCCCGCCATCCTCAATCTGCCTTCGCGCGACGCAGGACGCACGATCCCCATCTACGTTTTCATCCCCCCACCCCAGGCGCTCGCCTCCTCGCAGCTCTCGGCTCCCGTCCCCAACGCCCCTGCTGGCGCCAAAAGGGTGCCCGTCCTCGTCGACTTTCACGGCGGCGGCTTCATCTATGGCGAGCCACTGGAGCAGGCGCCCTGGTGCGCCTCTCTGGCCCGCTCTGGCATCCTTTCCATCTCCGTCTCCTACCGCCTGGCACCCGAGCATGTATTCCCTGCTGCGCTCCATGACTGCGAGGACGTCATGCATGCGGTGCTGGAGCCAGAGAGCGACGCCGGCCAGTTCCTCCGTAAAGAGGTCCTTGCGAGGTCGACGTTGCCCGAAAACGCACCTGTGGGAGACCGAGGCGATGCAGCAGCAGCAGCAGCAGCAGCAGCAGCAGCAGCAGCACAGGAGTCCAGCAAGCCATTCCCAGTCGATCTCGACGAGAGGCGGGTCGCCATGTCGGGCTTCAGCTCGGGAGGCAATGTCGCCCTCAACATGCTACTCTCGCTGCCGGCCCGGCTCTCGCAGTGGCCCAACAAGGAGACGTCCGCAGACTGGCCCTCGCCCTTTCCTCCTTCATACCCCAGCACGATTCCCGCGCTCCTCTTCTACCCCTCGCTCGACGCGAGGCAGGCGCCCTACGAGCGCAAGCGGCCTGCAGGCATGGCCGGCCCCTCGAATCTGGAGCTGTGGATGGGAAAGTCGCTCAAGAATGCCTACTTGTCGTCAGACCTCGTCGCCAATCTCCGGGCCAGCCCCGGCTTGGCTCCCCTGGGCGTCGCAGGGGGTGCTCAGGGCGAGGTGCGCGTCCGGCAAGCCGCTCACCAGGGCCAAGATGCCCGAGACACGCTCAAAGAGATGGGCACGAGCATCAGCCAGGCCGGCGGCGGCGACGACAAGAACAAAGACGACGACGGCTTCGACAGCATGCACCCAAAGACGCGAGCTCTTCTCATTCTGAGCGAGTTTGACACGCTAGCCGAGCAGTCCGAGACGTGGGTCGAGGTGCTGCGCGCGGCCGACAAACTCGTCGATGACCAAAAGACGTACGACCCCGATGACGTGGGCCTCGGCATTGACCACCCTATCCGCGAGAGGCCGGACCACAAGGCGCAAGTGCGCGTCCACCGCATCAAGGGCCGGAATCACGGCTGGACCCAGATGCCCGATGCCTTTCTGGGCGAAGATGACCGGAAGAGCAAGGCGTTGGTCATGGAGAACGCCAGAAAATTCGTTGTGAACATGTTTCTCGAGCAGCAGCAGCAGCTGAAGTAACGACCACGTTAGAAGACACAGTGTACACAGACTTGTCGATAGCACAAACTTGTAGATTATCATTACAGTCCTCTCAAACCATTCACGGCTTGCTCAAATCTTTGAAGGGGCGATGCGACGATGTAAAGCAGACGCGTCGCTCTCTCGTGTGATATTTTTTGGTCTCGGATCTCTCGATTCGATATCCACGCTCTCCCTTCTTTGACTGGAGTTGGACTCTCGTCCCGGTGGTTTTCAACGAGACGACGTAGAAAGGGAAGCGTTATAGGACTCGTATTGTCGCAAGGAAGAGGCCAACAAAGGACCAAAAAGGCCGCTATTCTTTCTTCGCTCGCTGTCGTCGGATTTTGGGTCCACGTCCGGTTGGCCCATTGATCCGTGACTCTCTGCTTTCTGGGGGCGCGTCGTGGTTCGTGCCGAACACGGGCCCGTTTGCGGGACGAAAACCTCGCATGCATCGGGACTAGGAACGCAAAAGGGACCAGGACGAGGAACGACGCACGAGGTCGTCTCGAAGAAGCGAATCGGGCGTTGACGACGTGGCTGCTTCACAAGAGGACAAAGGTGGGTATCTCTATTATCTCCTTCGCGAAAGCTCCATCCCCGCAAATGTTGAATGAATCTTTTGCCCCGCAGCCATCGTCAAAGACTGTGACTCGACGGAGCGATCCTGCTCCAGCATGGATGCTGAGGTGGGGCTGGCCTCGGTGCCGCTGGACAAGCATGGGAAATTCGAGGATGCATCAAATATGGGGTCCAGAGACGCTTCGCTGCGAATAGATGCGGCAGCGGCGCCACCGCCATCATCGGAAGGGCACGCTGCTCCAGAGAAGACGTCAAATGCGCCATCGTCGGCATCGCTCAGGGTCCAAGAGAAGAAACGGTCTCAGAAGGAGGCGGCAGAAGGCAGCTCTCTCGAAGTGCAAAGACCGAGAGGCAACGGCAGGCTGCGTGAACGTCTTGGCGTCTCCATGGGGCAACCCTCGAGGAATAGCGCGCCGCCCTTGGCAACCGATAGCGCGGTCGAGGCTGTGACGGCCACCACCGGCGGGCCTTCCCAAGCTATCGCACCAGTTGCATCGACATCGTCGCAGCTGCTGCGGCCCAGCACTCATCAGAGGTCCACGAGGAGGGTTCGGTCGTCATCACCAAGCATGGACCAAGATCACGCAATGTCCGCCAATCGATGGGCTGACACTTCGTCAAATCTGGCTACCGAGGTGCTGCCTGCCCCTCCTTCGCTACCCTACGACGTTTTGTATGCACCTCTCGCCCCCCCTGCGGGCATTGATCCGAAACTACTGGCCCAAGCTGGAATACCCGTCGCCAATCTCTCCGCCTTGGCGCATGGTGTCCACCCAGGGGCCGCAAATGCGCCTTTTTCGACCACATCAGCACCAGGACCGTCGCCTGCCTCGGCGGCATCCACAGTCAACTCCACTTATTCAGCACCCAAGATGAAGCGCCTGGCCGCCAAGCAGACACTACAGAGCCACATGGCCAGCGAGAAACGGGGTCAGATGCCCATGCCCTGGGGTCTCCGCACGACGATTCTCGAACGCAAGAGGGCCAACGGAGCCACTGCCAAGACGAGGATGGGCACCATGAAGCGATTTCCGTGAGTATTTTGGCCCTCATACATCGTCCACTTAGCCTACCCCAGTGGCCTGCTCGGCCTGCCCTGGAGCAAAAGTGAAACTGTCGGACGCGCATTCCGTTTTTGACTTTTTACCACCACCTGCTTCCTCAATTTTCCCTCTCTTCTAATCTCTCAAACTTTGGCCTTGCATTCCCGCTGACGACTTCGCCCCCATTCGGCACAGCCCACCGAGCGAGAGGACCAAAGTCACGCTCACAAAGGGTGCCGGCGGCGAAGCGGTCAGGAACAAGGCTTTTCCTGGCGCAAAGCCTGGCGACATAACAGCGGCGGATCGGAGAAGCGAAGCATCGCAAGCCCGACCAGGTGGAGCGTCAAGGGTCACGGCAGATGGTGCAGCTGCTCCGCAAAATTTTTCTTCCTTTGCCGTGACGTTCCCAGATGGGCAGACGATGAAGAATGGGGCAATAGACGCGCAAACGCTCCAAGCATCCGTTAGGGACGTCGACCGCAGCGGAGGCGGCGGCGATGATTCACAGGCAATGACGCCTGTCGTGCCGCTTCTAGAAATCGGGCAGGACGAAGACGACGAGGAAGAGGAAAGGGAGGATCAAATTGAAGGTGGAGGATCGAGAATCATTGCTCAGGTCAATGGGGACGCGAACAAAGTCAACGGCGGCGCAGCTTTAAAGGCAAATGGAGAGCAAAGCAGCAGCGAAATGGAAGTCGACGAAACAGCTTTTTCGTCGCCCGTTGCCCGCAGCCAGAGTGGAAGCCGGGGTACAGGCCTGGCGAGCAGCAGCGAAGGCGCCGATGCGGAGGATGCTTCCCTCATCGAGATGGACCTCGCCGCAGTGGCAAAGAGGGCCCACCCACTGCCGAAAAGACCGAATACCAATGGCACAATGACGCCGACTGTCGAGGCCATCACTGGCGTTCCTGACCATGGGACGAGCCCTGATGCTGTTCAAGAGCTGCCTAAGCCAAAAGAAGAGGAGACAGAGACGGACTTTAACACATCAGCATCTCAGAGGCAGGAGCAGGGCGCGGCGGCGGAAGCAGCGGCGTCGCAGGGCAAGAAGAAACGAGGCAGGCCAAGAAATGGTCAGATTGCCACGCCAGATTCTGCTGCCGCAGCGAGCGCTCTCGGTCTCGTTTCCGGGTTTCACTCTGTGGACTCGTCATCGTCGCCATCGACGGACGACAGCACGCTAACGAGAAGGCCACGCGACGCGCACAAGAGGATTCGACTTAGCGGAGGCTACTATAATAAGGGCAAACTCACGGCAGCAGCTTCCTCCCCGTCTCCATCGCCCAAGCCGCCTGCTACGGCTGCAGAGGAAGACAGAGGCACTGATGGAGACCGCTCCACTCACGAAGCTGATGCCGATCCGGCTGATTCTGTCATTCTCGACTCTCCAGCTCCAGCTGTGTCAATAGCGGCGACTGTGGCAACGACGGCAACAAAGAGGTCTGGAAGGAGCTCGACACCGGCCTTCGTTGAGTCCAATATCACGCCGACGTCTACAAAGTCATTACGGGGCATGTCAGGGCAGCAGTCATCGAGCCCAAGCAAGCTGATCCACGCCAGCGGAGGCAAGGCAAGCGGCAAGCTTCGAGCTGGTACGCGAGGCTCATCTGCAGCCTCATCAACGTCCAAGGCCACGCCGACAAAGGGTGCGCACGGCCTGGTGGCCGCAGCCAATGGACTGGACGACACCGGTGGCAACAATGAGTTTTGCGACACGTGCGAGGGCCGAGGCCATTTCATTTGCTGCGATGGATGCCCGCGCAGCTTCCACTTCAATTGCGTCAACCCTCCGCTAGAGATTGACGAGCTGCCCGAGGGCGAGCACTGGTTCTGCCGCGTGTGTCGAGCAGAGGGAAAGGATGGGAGTGGTAGCAACAGCGCTAAGGACAGGCACTCGGCGGCGATGGCAAAGAAGAGAAAAGCTGGCAAAGGGGTCTTTGACGCCCTGTTGCGCCACACCGAGGTCAGCAATCCTACCATCTTCAGCCTCCCACTCGAGATTCGAAATTACTTCAAGGGTGTGGCCACGTCTGCTGATGGATCTTACACCGACTCGTCGATGCTGAGGCCCATCAAATTGAACAAAGCCGGCTTCGTCGATGAGAGAGATCCTTACAGGCTAAAGGACCGAAACGGAAAGGCAGTCCTTTGCTACCGATGTGGAGGCAGCGCGCTGCCGCAAGACGGCGTTCCGCTTCAAGTCAAAGACGAAGAGCATGGGCATGAACAATCCTCGACCAACCGAGGCGGCGTTCCTGGTCGGAGGGCGGCCAGGCGGGCGCTGAGCATGATAGCCAATCCCGAGGCAAGCTCCATTCGTGGCAAAGGTCGGGAATCTTCGGCCCAGGAAGCCATCGAGAATTCGACCTCTTCGACGGATCCCTCTTCTCACCCTCAGCTGCTCGGAGAGCCCTCTTCCCGGCAACGCAGAGAGGAGCAAGGGTGGCGAAAGATGGTCAGCTGCGATTTCTGCTCCTCGCACTGGCACCTCGATTGTGTGGGACCCGTTCCCATGGTCGGGTTGCCGAGCTTGGCCAGAAAGTGGATGTGCCCGAACCATACCGACCACCTCGTACGACTGGATCGAATCCCTAAAAATGTGGCAAATGCAACGACTGTATATGACCTGCCAGTACCCAGCGAGAAGACGGTGGGTGCTGGAAAGCACTATCGGACCCGCGTCGTCAACGACGGCCTCATCGACATCATCCCAGACCCACTCGATACCTTCTTTGGTGACGAAACTGGCACCGGGAAGGGTGGTGAGCGTGGGTGGGATGCCGCACCGGGAACCACGTCGGTCGTGGACGCAGCTGCTTCGTCGAAATCCATCGGCGCTTCAACGACGCCGCCTACTTCTTCGATGGTGATTCCAATTGCAGCAACCCAGGTCAACAACAACGCCAAGCTTAAGTTCAGAATACCGGAGAAGGTCATTCGACTGGACTGGTGGCAGCGCGTCGAGGAGGACCGTAACCGGCAGCAGCAGCTGCGCGAACAACGGGAAATGCAACGCGAGACAGGAAATCAAAATGGCGGCAGACTCGAGAGAAGACCTGGCCAAGACGTCCTCGTCCCTGCTGGCTACAATGGGCTCGATCTCCTCGCCGTCATTGCAGCTGCCAACTCTGCGACGTGTTCTGACGGAGCTGTAAAAGGAAAGGAGAGGGATGACAGCGTCTTCGTAGATGGGACCTCGCCCGCAGACCTTGTTCGACTCGCCCTGACGCCGCAGATTGCGCCAAGGTACAGGCCGACAGAAGACGACCCCAGAGCTTCATTTCCGTCTCGAAGAGAGAAAAGATCAGCGCCCGGAGAGCCTCAGCAAGAGGAAGACGAGGACGTCAAGTGGTGGAAAGAAGGAGACGAAGAGGCGAGCTCGATCCGAAGCAGCTTCCGGCCGGGCGAATGGGAGGGCGACTTTGAAGGCGGAGACGGCGGCGGCTCTTCTACCAATACTGCGATCTCGATCTCTTCCCCAACTTCCTCGAACACCTTTGCGAAGAAGGAGCCTGTGACGTCAACGACGGCGCAGCACCTCTCCGACGATGCCGCTTTAGATTCAGAGGAACTCAGGAGCCTGCGCGCGGTTCGGCAGCTCTTGCACGTCAAGGGAAGCCAGAAGCTGCTAGACTTCCTGATGGCTCCCTGATGTCTTTGTATCCTTCCTTCGCTCTGATCTGATCATCTTCTTTGCCTTGTACCTCGATCTCCCTTCGCTGAGATGTCTTCTCGCTTCCTGTTTTGTCGTACTTAATCACTCCTTGTCGAAGCAACTCAAATGTAAAAGTATTTTGTCATCTTTTCACAGAATTTCGCCAGGAAAATCCTTTCTGCTGCCTCTTCGGCAGCCTCCGTTGCTCCTCCTTCTCATTGCCGCCAGAGCCTCCAGTGACACACTTGGCACGCTCGGCGAGAGAACTCGCTTCGATTTCTAAAGGTATACTAGTACAGCGCTGGTAATGTCCGGCGACCTAGGCAAGGCCCTCAACACAGGTGATGGCCTCCTGAAGCAAGAGGGCGAGATGGTCGCCATCGATGGCTTCCTGTATCCGCATCCGTGCAATGCTGCCTGGGGGCGCAAAGAACTCCAGCAAGCAGTCATCGTCCTCTTGAACGTCTCCCTCTTGGCCATCTTCCGGTCCTGCTGAGACCGCAGGACGACGAATCTCAAGGGCCGACAATTTCCGCCCATTGTTCTCTTCAACGAATCGGACGACGAGCCTGACGGAGGACTTGCTCGATTGTTCCTCTATTTGCTGCTGTTTTGACTTCTTCCGCTTTGCTGGGCCTTTTCCAGCTCCCTTGAGTAGGTCTTTGGCAGCGTCTGACAGGAGGACGCCAAGTGTCATCTCGAGTGTGAGGCGGTCCGTTGAGGAAATTGAAGACAAGGAGACGAGGCTCTTCAGCAAGCCCAGAGTGGCCAGATTGACCTTGCGTTCTTCGTCCTCGTCTCCTAGAGCGGCACCATGTCGCCGCTTTCGGCTGGCTACCTGTTGCTGTTGCTGCATTTCGGCGGCGAATCGCTCGACCTGAGAACGTTCGGCCATGAGTCGGTCCAGCGCCTTGTGACTCTTGGCCAGCTCCCGCTTGGCTTCTCCGGCCTCGGATGCCAACTTCTCCTTGGCATCCTCTAGCCATACGATTGCATCATTCTGTCGATCGCCAATCTTGGCGAGCTCGTCTTGCGTCAGTGTGCCTCGACGTGGGGGATCGAACAGGAGACGGGGCAACGGGCAGCTCTCGCCTGCGTCATCAACTTCAACACCGTGCGACGAAGAGAAGGATTGGTCGAGAATTGAGCCAAGGTGGCCATGGTCGCTGGACGCGCCACCGTCTGTACCTCCGCCAACGACGCGCAAACGGGCCAGCTCGAGCTCCATGTCGTCAATTGATCCTTGCAGCTCCTCGACAACCTCAAGATCATGCCGCAGCTGGTCCACTTCGCTAAAGCGCGCCGCGAGGTCCTCGAGTGCCTTTCGTTCGGCTCTGAACATCTCTTTTCGGTCCTTGAGCTGCCTTTTCAGTTCGCTGGCTTCTCGTTCTGAGTTTCATGATCAGTCAAAGCTCAGCGATATATCCGGACGAAGGGTAAAAATCCCCCACCACTCAACTCACCGAGATTGGCCACATCGGCAGGCTCAAAGAACTCCATCTCTTCATCGCTGATAAACTTGACAAAGAGATTCTTGGTCTCCTGCTCAATTTGTATGAACTTGAGTCGTCGAAAATAATCCTGTTGCGTCATAGGGTGCGAGGAGAGCGTCAGATGCCGGAGGTACCAGAGAGGTGTCTCGAAAAGTCAAGGTTAACCCACCAGAAGGCTTTGTTCCTCCAGCTCCATTCCTTGTGGCCAAATCTTGAAAGCGTCCCAGTCAAGGAGGAGCTCCGGATTTTTGGTCTTTGAGGACGATTGGCCAGAGCGCTGAAGATGCTGCACTTCCAGCAGACCCGATGTCGAGGCATCCGCATCCGCATTGGAGATCCGCGCTCTTGAAGAGCTTCGCGCGGTGGAGCGGGCTTGCAACTTTCGGAACATGCTGTGTGCATTGAGCTGGCTCTCGCTTGCCTTTCCCTCTGCTCTGAGAAGCGCAGAGAGGCTGTGTCGATGATCTTTTCAGCAGGTAACCTACACGGGCGAGCTCCATGCATACACTTGAACACACCTCTTGACATAAGTCTTCTCTTGCTCACTAAATGCTTCGCCCTTGCTTGAAGGCTCAGCACCCAGCGCTGCTGCCACTTCTTCCTCCTCCTGCTCTGCAACGACTTGCTTTTGCGGCGATTCCAACTCCTGCTCATGCCCTACGTCGGCGTGGCCATTGGCGTGCTTTTGTCCGAGAACACTCCGGTCAGATCCCTTCATCCCTCTGCCTGCTGCTGCTGCTTTTGCTCCTCCTCCGGCGCTCTTGCGCCGTCCTGGAGATTCAGAGTCCGTCATAATTGCCTTGGCGGACCGGGGCGATGGCTCTGTGGTCGCAGCTGAAGAGCGAGCACTTCGACGAGGCGGCATGGTTATCGGTGATGTTGTTTTGTTGCTCGGAGATCAACACTCTCTCGCGCGCGTCAGACGTCCGAGCGCGTTTCGGCCGACGATAATTTCAGATTTGTAAGAGTGTTGGTCCTCGCGGAGACATTGACTTCAGCAACGACAACAGCGACGGCGACGGCGACGAGTGCTAGTCGCAGAGTAACGAGAGAGGACGCAGAACGCTGGCGTCATGCTGGCGGCTTCTGTGCTGACCTCTTCTCCCAGCTCGACGCTCAACGTCGCGGGCCCTCCAAGTTCTCAACTTCGCAGGTCCGTGTCGAGTACCGCTATTTATAGCAGCAACGAGGCAGGGTCCAGCAAGAGATGCATAAGACGGCCGTCGCCATGCCTTATCAGACCCTCGAAAGATGACCAAGATGACTGCTTCGATATCGATGAGGACGACTGCGAAGAAGAGGTCGTCTTCGCCAGAGGCGCAAAAGAAAATCCGATCTCAATCTCCCCGTCGTCCTCAAAGTCGAGCCAAGAAGTGTCGCCAAGGGCAAAGCGGAGGCGGTCTGCTCAGCCTCGCTCACCATCAAAGGCATCGAAGCTGTCACTTGGCACTAGAGAGGAAGGAGAAGAGTCTGTCAAGACCAGACAGGCGCCATCTTCGAAAGGCAAACAGCGGGCAACGGCGCGACCACTCTTGGATGGCGAGATCGATCTGACAGATGAAGAAGACGAGGGCGAGCCAACAAGGTTTAGACGGCACCTGAGCGCTTTCAGGATGCAGGAAATCGATGACAGGCATAGCCCAAAGAAGGTGGTTCGCGCGTTCGGTCTCGCTCGAGACGCTGGCGCAAGGACACCGTCGCCTGTCAAGGGCCACTGGACAAAGAAGGAGACGGCATCACCGAGCAAGGACGCAGAACGGCCATCCTCGTCTTCTGCATCTTCATCCTCCTCGAAGTCGTCCACTTCCTCATCGTCGATGCCACTCAGCATGCTGGCGAGATTGAAGCAGCCTTCTGCGCCAGTCCCAATCGAGCTTCCCACGACCATTGTGCCATTACTTCGACGAATGACCCGCTGCCCATTGTGCGCGTTGGACTTTGAGCCAAATGCCTCAAGTATCGATGGCCCGGAAGAGGATTCAAAACAGCATCAGATGGAGAAAAGCATCGCTTGCGACCAAGATGGTGACGAGGTTGCCTTTCGACCTGCTAAGCTTCCTCAACGTCCGCTCTCCAAAGAAGGTTTGTCCGGCAAACCTGCATCAAAGGTCAAGACAAAGGCCAAAAAGAGAGTCCCTAAGCCAAAGATACTGACGGGACCAGCTCGACACGGACACATTCAATCGTGTGCTCGACAAAGGCAACAAGAGCAACATCGAGCGAATGTGCAAGCCTTGAGCTCGTGCAAGGGAGTCGACCGAGCAAAGGACGAAGAAGAAGCAGACCCGCAGATCGTCATGGACGTCGAAAGCGTCATGCGAATTTTGACGAGCGAGAAAGATCGCTTAGATCGCCTGGAACGTGTGAAGGAGGTGGAACGCCAGCAGAAGCGGAGCGTCTGGGACGATGTGCTCGGAAGCCAGCAAATGGCCATCACTTCGGGTCGTGGAGCAAAGACGGGCAAGTTTGCCACCTCGACCACCTCAAATACTGGCAATGTCGTCATTAAAGGCAGCGGTCGAAAGTCGTCGCCTTTGAAAAAGACGGTCGCTGGAAAGGGGAGCGGCCGGAGGTGCGGAGGAGGCGTAGCCAGCACGACGGTCTTGGCGCCCGGGTCGACAAAGGTCGAGGTCTACCTCAAGTGCGTTCAGCTCTTTGGTGAAGAGGTCCAAGAGACGGAGAACGACAATCTCTTTGACTGGACCTTTGCTGAGCATCATTCGACATTCGGTGCGCAAGCGATCTCGCCAGCATCTGCGCCAGTCACACAGCACCGCAAGAACCTTAAAAGGGCGGTCAAAAGACAGCGCTACGGCCTGGGACTGGGTCAGTCCGACAGAGACGAGGACGAGCGCGAAGCAAGGCTGTCGATGGGCCTCCGGCTGGCAGACGATATTGCAGCTCGCTTCATCGCGGGCAAGGAGTGAACGTACTGTATTTTATCTCACCATCATGTTTGACCTCTCTTCATATCATCATTCTTCTCATCATTCATGTTCATTTCAATGTCAAACACCATCACATCAATACTAAGCAGCAGCGCCCACCAGCGCCCTGCAATACTCCATGGCCGATGCCTGGAGCGCCTCTGTGTCGACTGGCAAGCCGGACTCGATCCCCACGTTGTCGACTTGGGCCGCGTCGTCCCTTGCGCCAAAGTCGAGAGAAGTAAAGACCCGCTGGAGGTTTTGGAGCATCGTAAGCATTTCGCTCTTTGCCACTCTCCATCCCAGCATCTGTCCGTCCTCGTCTCCCTCGCCGTCGTCTTGCTCGGCCGAGGGATGGATGACCCACAGGTCCTCGCTGACAGTCCGGATGAGCTCGCCCACACGCCTGCCGAGCCTCTCCAGACGCTCGTCGTCCTCATCCTGCTGATATCCATGCGCATGCTCAAAGGACCTTGCCGGTCTCACGCGTCGCTTTGCCATCAGCATCGGCAGGTTCCTCAGGCATGCCACGTAGTCGACCAGCACTTTTCCTCCGCTCTCCCACCCTGCCAGCTGATCCATCGACACGGCCGCGTCCATAAGAACGCGCTGGATGGGCTGGAGGAGCTCGAGGATCAGATCCAAGTCCGATCGAATCAGGGCTTCGGGCGCAAGGACCGAGACGACAGTCTCGTGGGCCCTCCGCAAGAGCGACAGGCCTTCTTCCTGGGCTGCCTCGGCTTCGTCGTCACCCTCGTCTTGCGCTTCGTCTCCTTCGAGCTCCTCTTCGTCCTCGTCGACTTGGCTGTACCGCGCCAGCACAAACGACGCTGCGGCGCCCTCGAGGCAGAGTTGGTACTCCCGGTACCGATCCTGCCGTGTGGCCTTGGCGTGGTCGGCCTTGGCCTCGCAGAGCCACGGCTGGGGGATCCTCAGCTTGGCCAACAAGAACTTCTCGACGTCGTCGCTGTTGCTCTCCAGGCTCGACACGTTCCTGGCAAGAAGCGCTTTGATGGCTGTCCGTCTTGACGAGGCCAGCTCGAGGTGCAGCAGCACGTAGGCGGACCAGGTCCAGAGGCCCATCGATTCAAGCTGGTTGGCATAGGCCGTCGTGAGGTTGTCTGCCCTCGTCGAATTGCCCTCGACAGATCGTTGCCCATCAACGACCTGCATCGCGGTGTCCACTTCGACTCGGTCTCGAAAGTCGCCGGCAGAGAGGACCCTCGAAAGGAGCTGGTAGAGGTGCCAGGCGAGCCTGACATCTTGGCCATTGCCCGAGTCAAACGACAGCGGCTCGCAGATGTTCTCGAGCGGGTACGTGCGATCGGCGTAGAGTTTGATCAGGTGGAAGAGAACGTCTTTGGGATACGTCGAGGTTTGCAAGAGCTGTTTCAGCCTGATCGAGCCCGACTTGTCGAGGTGGGGCGGTAGCGGCGCAGCGGTCGTCTGGCCCTGGGAAGCCTTGACCGCCTCTTCGTACCGGCTTACCGCCACCTCGAGCGGCTCGTCGGGAGAAGACTGGTACCACAGATGAAGGCCCATGGCCCTCTTCCAATCGAGGCCCTTTGCGATCAAGAGATCTGGGACCTGGTCGATTGGATCCTTGACTGACCTGCTCACGCTGCCGGGGCTCACCGTCACGTTTCCCGACAGGAGCTCAAAGAGCTTGCGCGTGTGCTCGTCGATGTGTGCATCCACCGCCTGGGCCCGCCACGTCGCCAGCTGCTGCGCAATCTCGGCGCGCGTGTCATCGTCTGCGCTAGACGCCTGAGCCACGAGCGTGGCCAGACGCACATCCCCGGACTCGAGGCACGCCACGCAGGCTTTCTCGACCTCGTGCGCCGTCAGGTAGCTAAAGGCGACCGCCGAGCTTGGCCGACTTGCCGCAATGTGGCTCCGGGCCTCGCCCTCGACCGTCGCTGACACGGCGAGCCTGAGCCAGCCGGAGAGTGCCGCCTTGCGTCGAAGGGCCATGACGGCCCTTGGGTCGGGCCCGCCCTCTGACTGCTCGACAAGCTTTGAGAGGTCCAGATTGGCAACCTCGTCAAACAGGGCATGTCCCAGCCGAAAGATGAGCGACTCGTGGGACCTTTCGCCCGAATCAAACGCAGCGGCAAAGTCGGCGAAGCGCAGACCTCCATCGGCGTACGCGACGGGGCATCCACCTGCAGACCTTGACTTTTTCTTATAGGCCTGTCCTTCGTCCTCGAGCTCGTCGTCCATGGGACTGCCACCTTCGACGACGGTCTTTTGGAGCTGCAGTTCGAGCAGCCGCTTTGCCTTGCTGCGATTGATCTCCTCATCGGCGGGCTCAAAGACGCGGGCGCGTTCCATAGTGACCGTCGAGAATGCCTCGAAATGAGCTGCAAAAGCCGTCGTCGATGTCGACCCTTTCTCGCTCCTTTTGGTAAAAGACAGGCGAAGGAAAAGAAAAGCAAAAGAGTGTCAATACCATCCATTCCATCGCACATTGAGTTTTCATAGGGAGAAAGAGAAACAAGCAGAAGAGAGTGGGAGAAATAGTCTGATCGGCAGCGCTCACCTCAGAGTTGCTGGTCGTCCACTGTGCGCAAACAGGCCGCCGGGCCCCCATCCCACACGGAAGCTCCTGCCGAGACTTGCACCGGCGTCAATGACGAGCGACGTTGCGCTCTGGGCAATGACGCTCTGTGCCACATCCGTCCTCAAGAGCTTGCGGGGCGGCGGTGGGGGCACACCAATCGTCGAGGCCGCAGCCGCCGCTGCCGCCGAAGCAGCAGTGTCCCTCTGTGGATGCGAGGCAGTCATGGGCGCCGTGAAAGCTGGCCGCGATGCCAGCGCGTCTTCTTCGGCCCGCTTCTCGCTCGAGGTGAACGAGCGCAGCTGTTTGCGTGTAGTCTCACCCTGCTGCTGCTGCTGCTGCTGCTGCTGGCTGGTCTGCGGCTGGCCAAAGAAGCTGGCTTGCATGACCTGCACACGCTTCGGCTCCAGCCCCAGGCTCGCCGCCCACGGTTGGCTCTGCTGCCGGCTGCTGGGCTGGGGCGTCGCGCTTGTGCTCCGTCCTCTCCATCGACTGGGCGACTCGGCCACGGGCGTCGCATCGCGCGAGGTGGGCGTTGCCTGTCGCAGGTGGCGGAGGCGTTTCCGCTCGCCTGGCGCTGGGCTCCCCATCTCACTCATTCGCATGACGCCGCTGCTGCGCTCGTCGAAGCCGTCGCTCTCGCTCGTCGCCTCGTCTTCTTCGCCCTCCTCGCTGTCCTCGTCGAGGGCCCGCCGAGGCGGTGCGCCATCCGACTCCATCGCCTCGTCGTCTTCGTGGCTTGGCTGCTGCTGCTGCTGCTTCTTCTTCTTTTGGGCTTTTCCCTTCGCCGCGTCACTCGCCTCCTCGTCGTCATCCTCCTCGCTGTCATCGAGACCGTACCGGCTGAAGTGCTTGACCCGGAACGTCCATTCGCCCGGCCCAGCCTTGTAGTCGACAAACTCAGCGTCCTGCCTTCTGGTGAGCTTGCTCACAAACTGCTTGACCCTGGGGTGGTCGGCGTCCTTGATGGGCGCCCTCGTGGCGCGGTCGGTGGCCCAGCACTGGAGCAGCGAGACGACGGCGGGCTGGTTGAGGCCCTGGCCGCGCTTGGCCTTTGCGATGCGCCGCGGGTTAAAGCCCGGCTGGACACCATCGCGCTCCTCACCCGTCTCACCGTCAAAGCACTCGTCCTCCTCGGGGTAGACGAGGCACTCCTTGAGGCGCAGCTGGACAATTCCTCCCGGAATGTCGCCGAGCTCGGGCACGGTGGTGAGGTCGACTGGCTCGAGGAACTCGATGGAGCCGTAGTTCTTGCGGCCGACGACAAAACCTTCGACGGAGCGCAGCTCGGCATTCGACCACTCGCGCAGCTCCGACAGTGGGGGCTCGGTGTAGTAGTCGAGGGGAAGCAGCACGTCTTCCTTTTTGTTGTTGTTGTTTGCAGTGTTGCTGCTGGTGATGCTGCTGTTGAGGCCGCCTCGCCTCGTCGTCGCACTGTCGCCAGACGCGGAGCTGTTGAGCTTGCCGGGCTTGAGAGCAGGCAGGCTCGTGTCGGCTGCATCGCTGGCACTGCCAAAGCCGCGCGAGGGCGACTCGTCGGGAGCCGCACCGAACAGGCTCGTGTCGGGACCAGCCGGCGTACCGTTCCTGACGGTGGTCGAGGCCCGGGCGGCGGCAGACTCGAGCGCGGGGCTGAAGGCGACGCGGTTGGCAGCAGCGGAGGCAGAAGAAGAGGCAGCAGCAGGAGGCGGCGTGCCGCGGAGACCACTGGTGCCGCCAAACAACGACGAGGAGCGAGTCAGATTCGAAGCTGGCAATCCACCGTCGTGGTCGTCGAGCACAAGCCTCTTGACGCTCGGCCTCGAGACAAAGGCCTGCGGCGGCAGCGACGAGGGCGTCGACGACGAGACGGGCGCAGAGGCCTCGCGAAGGTGGCGTGGCTGCTCGTCACTGAGGCCACGGAAGATGCTGGCATGGGAACTTGGCAGGCCGGCAGCAGGGCTGCCCACGCGAGCCGAGGGCGAGTGGAAGAGGCTGGTGCTGCTGCCAAGCGCAGGGCTGCCCTCGCGACCGGGCGTGCTCTCGCGCAGGCCGAGGCCGCCGGGCGTCGTGCCTCGCAGGCGCGTGATCCTCGTCGAGCTGCGTGGGCTCGGCCGGAAGGGAGCCACAATCGGAGGCGGCTTCTTCGTCGAGCGCTGCATCGAGACGTTGAAGGGTAAGTGGCCCTGCTGGTTTCCCAGCTGCGACTGCCCGAGCGACGCAGGAGAGGCATTGGCCAGCGGCCCTGCCTGTCCTCCAAAGAGCGAGTCTGTACCGTACGGGTTGCTCGCAAGGCTCGCCTGCATGTTGAAGCCAGGCTGCTGCTGCTGCTGCTGGTTGGCCTGTTGCTGCCCAGCGCCAAAGAGGCTGTTGCCGCCCCCAAAGAGGCCGCCCGACTGGTTGTTCTGGTTGCTGGACGCATTGTTCGACTGGCCAAAGCTGAAGTTGGACGATTGGCCAAAGAGACCGCCCGTCGAGGCGCCTTGCTGCTGGTTGTTGTTATTGTTGTTGTTGCTGTTGCCAAAGAGGCCGCCGCCACCGCCGCCGAGTTGAGTGCCATTGTTGGCACTGTTGCCAAAGAGACCGCCTCCTCCGCCGCCCGGAGCGCCTCCTGCATTGCCAAACAAGCCCCCGGTAGAGGCAGTGTTGCTGTTGTTGTTGTTGCCAAAGAGCGACCCGCCGAGGCCGCCTGGCTGCTGCTGTTGCTGGCCTGGCTGCTGCTGCTGGTTGTTTTGCGCTCCTAGGCTTCCAAAGAGGCCTCCGCCTGCCGGCTTGTTTTGTCCAAACAGGCTGCCCGTGCCCGCGTTGTTCGCCGTCGTCGACGCTCCACCGCCACCAAAGCTGAAGCCTGTGGATGCGCCCGCTTGGGGAGGGGCCGCCGAAGCGCTGCCAAAGAGGCCGCCGCCGGTGGCAGGCTTGTTGCCAAACAGTCCACCGCCGCCCGTGCCAAAGCCACCGGCCGTCTGGCCAGGCTGTTGGCCCTGCTGCTGCCCCTGCTGCTGGTTGCTGTTGTTGGCACCCCCGAAGCTGAAGCCGCCGGCGCCGGCGGTGTTTGCCTGCGTGTTTCCAAACAGCCCACCGCCCGGCTGGCTCGTGGCTGCTGCCTGCCCAAACAGTCCGCCAGTGGGTGCCGCCGTCGATGTCTGGCCCGGTGCCGAGGAGGCAGCTCCAAAGCCACCACCGCCGCCAGCACCGCCAAACGAAAACGCAGGCTTGTTCTCCGTCTGGCCGGGCGCTGACGAGGCGCCAAAGCCGAAACCCGTGCTCGCACCCGTCGTCGAGCCAAAGAGGCCGCCCGTGGCTGGCTTTTGCTGCTGCTGGCCCGTGTTTCCAAACAGGCCGCCCGAGCCAAATCCGCCGGCGCCTGGCTGCTGCTGCTGCTGCGGCTGCTGTCCCTGCTGGTTAGCGCCAAAGGAGAAGCCGCCCGAAGCAGCTCCAGTGGGCGCGGATCCAAAGCCACCGGTCGTCGACTGTCCAAACAGCCCCCCACCCGCCGGCTTGTTCTGCTGGTTGGCCTGTCCAAAGGAGAAGCCCGACTGCTGCTGGGGCTGCTGCTGCTGCTGCTGCTGGGGCTGGCCAAAGGAGAAGCCGCCCGCGGCGGGCTGCTGCTGTCCAAACAGGCCGCCAGTCTGCGGTTGCTGCTGCTGCTGTTGTCCAAACAAGCCTCCGGTCTGTGGCTGTTGCGAGTGGGGCTGCTGCTGCTGCTGGCCAAAGAGACCGCCGCCTCCTGTGTTGCCGGCCTGTCCAAAGAGACCACCGCCGCCGCCGCCCGTGCCAGCGCCGAAGCCAGTAGCGCCCTGCTGTTGTCCAAAGAGGCTGTTCGTCTGGCCCTGCTGCCCGAATCCTGTCGCTCCAGCCGGCTGCCCAAAGCCTCCGCCGCCGGGTCCCACGGTGCCCGTCTTGCGCCCCTGCTGGTAGTCCTGCAGACGAAGCTCCTCGAGCGACGCAGCACGGTACGCGGGGAGGCAGGAGATGGACGTGTAGTGGTAGTTGGTCGACCCGCTTCCCGTGGCGTCCTTTTCGTTGCTCAGAAAGGGCGTGTAGGCCGGGTTCGAGGTCCCCTGGGTGGGCATGCCGCCCGTGGCCGCGGCTCCGAGCCCGCCGCCGGCTCCAAAGAGGCCGCCGCCCTGGTTGGCTGGCTGCCCAAAGGCACCCGTCTGCTGGGGCTGCTGCTGCGTCTGTGCCGCGCCAAAGAGGCCCCCACCACCGGCGGGCTTGGCTCCGAACGTCGTCGTGGATGCGCCGCCAAACGGCGAGCTCTGCGCCTGGTTGGGCTGCTGCTGCTGCTGCGCCGTCGAGGCACCAAAGCCGCCAAAGCCAGAAGAGGGGGCCGTCGAAGCGCCAAAGCCACCAAAGCCACTGCCGGCGGGTTTGTTGACTTGCTGTCCAAAGGGCGACGCACTCTGCGCACCACCGGCTGGCTGGCCAAAGGTGAAGCCGCTGCCCGAGGCAGCTCCTGGCTGCTGCTGCTGCCCTTGCGCACCGAACAGCGATCCGCCGCTCGTCGAGGCGCCAAAGCCGCCCGTCTGGGTGCCGAAGCCTGTGCAGAATCAGTCAGCAATGAGTGTTTCCATCCTCTTCCCACACAGGAAGTGCCTGCCTGCCGGTCACTCACCCCCAAATCCAGACTGAGGCTGCTGCTGCTGTTGCTGCGGCTGCTGCCCAAACAGCCCCGCGGGTTGCTGCCCCGGCTGCTGGCCCGCTTGCTGCTGGTTGGCATTGTTCTGCTGGCCGAAGCCGCCAAAGCCCGAGCCTCCCGAGCCAAACATCGTGTCCTCTCCAGCTGGCTGCCCTCCTTTGCTCGCTAGCTCTGGCCCTGTTTTCCCGTCCCGTTCCCGTTCCTGTTCCCGTGCGATGCAAAAGAAGACGACGGTGCGTGGAGACCGTTGGAAGGGTGGGAGCACGCTCGCGCAGTGGACAGTGTCGTTCAGGTGCAGGTGCAGGTGCAGATTCAGAGCCGAGAAGAAACAGCGGCGGTGGGCTCCTCTCGCGCGCGCGCGACGAAGAGGGAAAAAGAAGACGGACAGACGCGACCACGTGTGTTTTGGACAAACCCCCCCCCCCCCCCCATTAAACGGCGCAGCGCTTTGGCGCCCCTCTCATTCAGCAGCTGCTGCTTACGGCTATTGATTTCTCATTCCGTTTTATCTCGTACAACTAAAAGGACAACGGAGAAGAGACGACGGAACATGATGAATTGAAGTATTGGAAACGATTGCGTCGGAGGTACAGATTATTGACGATGATGGACGGGAGCCTTCTTTGTGAGAGAGAAAAGTCGATTACTACAACACAGAAACGTGAGGGTCAAGGGAAGGGGGCAGATTCGTGAGAGGGATGTGAGCCAATTATTAGAGGAAACTGGGAGGAGAATGGGGATGAAAGCCTATTTGCGCGAGTATGTGGCTAGTTGGTGTTGGTGGTGGCGTCGTCGACGTTGACATTGAGAGCGTCGGTGGAGCGGCCGACGCTTCCTGCGCTGCCAGCAGACGAGGCGCCGTCGTCCAGTGCGCTGCCGCTGAGAGCAGCCCGGACAGCGTCGAGGTTGAGAGGGTCGTCGGCGGAGGAGGAGGAGGCTTCGGGCGTGAAGCTCGTTGAGTCAGCGAGGGGATGCTGGACCTTTTGCGCCTGGCCTCTGATGTCGGCCGCTGGCATCAGCTGCGACGTCGGTCCCGGCCTCGATGCTCTGCTGCCACTGGAGGAGCTCGACAGGCTGGGCGAAGGAGCGCGGTCTCGCTGAGCCAAGGCTTTCTGTGCGCTCATCTGGGCAATCTTGCGCGCCAGCTCTTCCGTCGTCGTCGCACCCGCGGCCACGGCAATGTCGGGGATGCCAAGGTTGCTGCTAGGGTCGACGCGATTCTTCTTGCTGCTGCCGCCAGCTTGGCTGGCCGAACCACCGCCTGCAGCGCCGCTCCTCGCATCAGCCATCGACCCGCGGCGCTGCTCGAGACCGGGAGACAGGAGGTGCGCTTCGTTTGGGCGCTTGGCGCCTGGCCCTTCGGGCATCGGGCTGCCTGCGGGCGAGTTCGTCGACGCTCGACGCTGGAGCAAGGCGGAAGAGTAGGGCTGTACTAGCGGAAAAGGGTATCCTTCTTCTTTTGGCTTGTCCAATGCGGAAGTCTGCGTCGATGAGTCTTTGTCTGTAAGCCCGTCTTTATCCTTGCCGTTTGCGTGCTCCTCCACCCCGACCTTGTCCTCGCTTTGCTCCGATTCCTGCTGCTGCTGCTGTAGTTGTTGCTGTTGTTGAGATCGCTGCTGCTGCTGCTGCTGCTGTTGTTGTTGTTGCTGTTGCGGCTGTTGCTGGTACCGCTCTTGGCCGTTCGAGGCCGACGGTGCCTCTGGCTTCTTGCCCTGCGGCCGCACAGCATTATGGGGTCCACGAGGAGGAGGTGGTCGCGGTTGCTGATTCCAATGCGGCGAGGTGGGCATGGGACCCATGGGCGTCATTCCACCACTTGGCTGGCCTGCATAGCCGAGCGAGGCATACGTGGCGCCGACGGGTGGGAACATGGGGTTGAAGCTCGAGGCAGCAATGGGTGTGGTGACGGCCTGCTGCTGCTGCTGCATGTGCACAGGAGCACCTGGCGCCGGGTTGATGTAGGGATTGAAGGGCCCGCTGGCCGCGCCAGGTGTCGCCAGTCCACCGAGGTGGGGACTGCCAAGAGGGGGAGAAAAGGGCCCCAAGCCAGGCGAGAGGAACTGGGTGTAGACTGGCGGCGTCTGGGGCATGGCATGGAAGGTGAAGCCGGGCATGCCAGGCGTCATGGGGACCGTCATGCGCGAGTGCAGAGGCGTGAACTGGGCGGCATTGTTGACGCTGGGAAACGCGTGCGGTGGCAGCTGGATGCGTCCTGGAGGGGCTCTCGACGTGCTTGGCTGGCCGTCCTTCTCGCTTGCTTCCTGTGCTTTGCCGCCCGCTGGAGGAGCCTCAGCGGAGTCAGCCGCCGCAGACGTGCTTGAAGACGGTGGCGCCTGCTGCTGCTTAGTGGAATCTCGCTGCTCGCTCAGGGCCGAGAAGCTCTGCAGGCCACTGCCGCTGCCACTCCCAAACATATCCGTTGGCCCACCCATAAAGACCGACATGCCAAAGGGATTCGACTCGTGCGTCTGTTGGTATGGTTGGGATGCAGGCGCAAATGGCCCTTGCTGCTGCGGCTGCGGCTGTTGTTCTTGCAGAGATCGCTGCTGCTGCTGCTGCTGCTGCTGCAAATGGGACTGGAGCGGGAGCTGTGGCTGATGCTGATGCTGATGCTGTTGCTGGTGCTGGTGCTGGTGCTGATGCTGAAGGTGGGGTTGCAGCTGCGGCTGCGGCTGCTGCGATGAGCTGCCCAGCGGAAAGACATGCTGGGGCGCACCGATGCCGGCCGAGAGCTGGGACTGGAACTGCTGCTGCTGTTGCTGTTGCTGCTGCTGCTGCAACTGCGTCTGGGCAGAAGGCAGTGACGACGACGACGACGACGAGGTTGTCGGTGGATTGGCCGCTGCAAAGGCGCCCGTGTACTGGCTCGGCGTGCTTGGCAGCTGTCCGTGGGGAGGTGCAGACATCTGGGCAAAGCGATCAAAGTGCACCTTGAGCGTCCGGCCGCTGTATTCGTAGCCATGGTAGATTCGAACAGCATTCTGCGCATCCTCGGCGGTGGCAAAGAGGACAGTGCCGAAGCCTCGGCTGCGGCCATCGGGGCCCAAGGCGACATCTGCGCGCTGGATGTCGCCTGCGGCGCGAAAGAGATCCTTGAGGTCCTGCCACTGGCAATGGAAGGGGAGATTGCCCACAAACAGGACTCGACCATAGTAGGCATTCGGCGGTGGCTTTTGCGCACCTGCACCTGCACCTACACCTGCACCTGCATTGATGCCTTGGCCGAACATGGCAGCGCCGGTCTGTCCTGGAGGAGCAGCAGATCGCATGCCCATGCCCATACCCATGCCACCACCCATCCCCATCATGAATTGTTGTTGTTGTTGCTGCTGCTGCTGCTGCTGCTGTTGTTGTTGTTGTTGTGGAGACGGGGACCCCATGGGCATCTGGTTCATGACGTTGGCCATCAGGTGTGGGCTAGCGCCCATCGATGGAGACGGCTGTTGCGCGTACAAGGAGGAGCTGAACTGGCTGGGTGAGGGTGCAGCACCGATGGAGCTCCTCGTCGATGCGCCAAGAAATGGATAGAGGGCTGGCGAGACGCCCTGGGGCAGCTGCTGCGGCAGAAGGTGCTGCTGTGATTGCTGCTGCTGCTGCTGCTGCTGCTGCTGCTGCTGCTGCTGCTGGGACTGCTGCTGCTGCTGCTGCTGCTGCTGCTGCTGCTGGGACTGCTGCTGCTGCTGCTGCTGGGACTGCTGCTGCTGCTGCTGCTGGGCCTGGAGTGGTGGCGGTGGAAGAGGCGAGCCAAGCGCGGCATGGAGCTGACTCGAGTGTGGTTTGGCAGGACTCGCTGATGAGGGCGGCGCCACGGCGGCCACCGCGGCCACGGCGGCGGGCGAGAGCGGCAAGGGAGTAGGCGATGCACCAAAGGCGGCCGATGATGAAGAAGAAGAATTGGGGACTTGTAGGCCTTGCTGCTGTTGCTGCTGCTGCTGCTGCTGCTGCTGCTGCTGTAGGTGATTGAGCGCAGGGCTGCCTGGGCTGTGCGAGAGGAGCGACGTCGTCGACGAGTTGGCCAGGGCCACGCCCAGAAGCGTGCCACTTCGATCGATGCGCACCTCCAGCGTGCGGCCTTGCCACGTGAAACCTCTAAACATTTCACAGGCCCGGGCAGCGTCGTCCTCGGTGGCGAGGAGCACCGTGCCATGGCCGCGGGATCGATTGTCGGGCGTGAGGCTGACGTCGGCGCGCAGGACGGTGCCGGCCTTGCGGAAGAGATCCTTGAGATCCTGCCACCGCACTCGATAGGGCAGATTGGACACGAACAGCTGCGTGCGCGGGTCAGATGCAGACAGTGGGCCCGTCGTGGGCAGCGAGACGGGGACCTTGTTGAGGGCCGAACCGGACGAAGAGGAGATGTGTGAAGGCGCAGGCGAGGCAGGGGCCCCTCCACCACCACCGCCACCACCACCAATGCCAACGCCATTGATCAGAAAGGGAGCGCCGTCGGAGAATGACTGGCGGACAAAGGGCGGCCGGGGAAGCGACGAAGCCCCTGCTTCGCCGTAGGGAAAGGTGCCAAAGCTGCCGGAGCGGCTCTGTCCCACGCTACTCGTGCTGCCGTTGCTGCTGACCTTGGACATGGACGTGGCCATCAGGATGGCGTGCTCCACCGTCTGGTCCGAGATCTGGGAGCGCGCAAGGGCCGCGCTGAGGTTGCTGACGACCTTGCCACCACTCGTAGCACCAACGCTGCCGTTGTATGCAGGTGCAGACGGCCGCCGGCCCATATTGGCGAGCGAAGGACCGGCGCTGAGGGTGCTGCTGCCAGTCATGCTTCCGGCTGCAGATCCTCCTCCGTATGCGCTCCCGCTGGCGCTCGTGTTGCCGTGGCCATTGCCCGTGCCTGCGCCAAAGATGCTCCCACCCGCACCTCCGCCACCCAGGCTCGACGCATAGCCACTCGAGTGTCTGCTGTGGTCACTTGCCCCGGACGAGGCATTGGCCGCATGCAGAGCGGGGCTGCCGCCAAGCGAGGAAAACGTCGGCGCGGCGCTGCTGCCCGGCCGATAGTAAGGGTAAGGAGCAGCCTGACTGCCAGCGGGGGACGACAGGGCCTGGCTGGCATCGAGCGGTCCCGGTGACGGCGACGGCGTCCGAGCTGAGGCGAGAAAGGGCGATGAGATAATCGCAGATCCGGGCTGGGTGGGCGACGGGAGGTGCGACTTGGCCTGAGTAGATGCCATAAGATATCCACTCCCCGCGCCACCACTGCTTCCTTCTCCCCCTCCTGCTCTCCCTCCCCCTGCTGAGAACGGACCGCTCCTGCCGTCCATGATCTGCGCGGGTAGAAGGGTCTGTTTAGCGTGTCGTCTGGCACGCGTAGCAGCAGCAAGCTCACCTGTCCCGGCTTCAAGTTAGACAACGAAGTCGCCGGTCATTTGAGTTGTCCCTTTCTTGCTTGTTTCCCGAGGCGAGAAGTTAGATGCAGATGTGAGCGATGATGTGTCAAGCGTTGCCTAGCCCCGCCCGTCGTTGTCCTTCCTGCTCGTCGGCCCTTTTTTTTATTATTTAATCCACTTGCACGGTGACCGCGAGAGACCCAGCCCAAAGAGAAAGGAGGAAAGGAAAAAAGAGCGAGCCTGCCTGAGTGAGAGAAGAGACGAAGAGGTGACGCCCGCAGCCCAAAAGAGAGAGAGAGAGAGAGGAAGAGGAAAGGAGAGGTCAGCGGGAGTATGACCAAGGGCAACGATCGGCTCGGTCGCGCAAGACGTATGGTACGGTCCGAGGAGGCAGAGGGGGGGGACGGCCGTAGGTCATTCTATATTTGCGGACGTCACTAAACTTACGACCACACGCGTGGCATTTCGTCATTTCCTTTTGATGCGGTGGCTGGCCCTCTCTGCTTCGCTCGCGTGCGCTTAGACTAAGCGCCCGTCAGTAGCTTTTCTTTTTTTAGAGACAGCGGACTACTGTTGATGACAGGGCTAACAATGCGGTGCCTTGCAGCAGAGAGCACACAAAGGGCAGCGAGAATCAGTGCACCCCACCAGCTGAAGAAGAGCTCGTGAAGAAAAAAGGGAGCAAGAGGGAGAAGGGAGCAAGACGTCACTCCGCCCTCAAGACTAACGCAAGCACCCCGTCCCTACTCGGTCCATGCCTGCAGACCTGACACAGGTCAGAGGGAAGCACTGCCTCTATCTGTCGTCGCAATTCGTTTGTTAGCGGATCAACGCAAGTGCTAGGGCCGCGTCCCAGGGACAGGAATGACAGAGAAGGAGATCCCCGCACGCTTTGGTGTTGTCGGCAGCCCAGAGCCCGGTCATTTTATGCCTCTTCAGATCGAAAAAGCTTGGCTCATTGCGACCCGACCAGCAGCTGGGCTCGCGGAGACCGCCTCCCCCGCTCCTGGGCCTCGCTTTGCGCCATGGCCCCCGCGCGGAGTGTTATTCTTCATCTTTGCAGCAGAGCGGCGCAGGCCAGCCCAAAGTGGTTAGTGTGCGTGTACGTGCGTGTCGCGAGGGAAATTTGACGGGGGGTCCGCATCTCCGTCCCCAGTTCTAGCGCTGGTGTTGAACTGCAGCTTCTTACGCCGTCTCTCTAGCTTCGCTTGCCTGCCCACTCGCACAGACACCGCACAAGCGTGCCGCCGCCCTTGCCCTTTTTGAACGCAGATAAAGAGCGTCCGGTGCCCCTTTTGTCCCTCCGTCACTAATCCCCTCTTCTCCGTCAACGCCGCTCTCGCTCTTCTCATTTTCCTTCCCCGTCATCCATTTCTCCCGGCCACAGCCCCCTACCACCTTCCTTTTCTCTTTGTAGACGACGACAACGACGACGACACAACGACAAGCTCAAAGTCGGTCGCTATCTCTCTCTCCCTCTCTTCCTTTCACCCCTCCTTTTTCCAGCAGGATTTCTCCTCCCCTTTCCTAGATCCTTCATCAACGCCGCGCGGAGATGGTGGCCTTCGCCTTGCTATTGGCCATGTTGGTCGGCCTCGTCCCTTTCGTCCTCGCCCGAGACTTGGGCGGTGCTCAGCAGTGCGTAGCACGAGATCTGACTGCCTTTCCACATGAGCCCTTGCTGATCGGCACTCCCAGTCTCTCCCTTGGAGCAGCCAGGCGTCAAGCTCGACGTGACCTTGACCCGTATTCTTCTTTGAGGAGCCTCTCAGGCGGGCAAGGCTATTCGACCCCACGAGGAGCGCGCGGTCGTTCAGCAGGCGAAGCTGGGCTGACTCCAGCTGAAATTAAAATGCTTGTAGACCTCCAGTAAGTATGAGCGGTCCTCTGCCAAACACAGAGACTCGCATCCTGATCCGCGCATCACTATGTCCACGCAGCAACGAAAGCCGTGCACAGTGCGATGCGGAAAATCTTGTCTGGGACCACGACCTAGCTGTTCATGCATACGGAAACGCCAAAACCTGCCAGTACGGACACTCCCAAGACCTCCAGAACAAAGCAGGCGAAAACATCGCAGCAGGCTACGGCACCGACTCCCCGATCAAAAGTCTGTTCGACGACTGGAACAATGAGGTTAGTTTGGCTTGTCTCTGTCGCCATTCATCTTGCATGCATCCTTGACTGAGACCTCCGGTGCTTCTTTAGTTAGCTACGAACGGGGCTGGTATGTATTATTGCTCCGATATTCGGCAGGACTTGTCCACTCAGTGTCTCCTTCAGACGCTTGCTTGAACGGCTTCAACGAGAAGTGCGGCCACTGGACCCAGGTCGGTGAGTCACGCTCTCGACTGACTGGAGCTGGTTACGAGCAACTCGTTAACATATCTCCCCAGTCTGGAAGCGAACCAAAACGATAGGTTGCGCAATAGCGCACTGTCCGGCCTACAAGCTTCAACTCGATCATTCCCGTCACATCGCCGTATACCTGGTCTGCAATTACGGTCCACCAGTGAGTGAAGTACTGCTAGACTTGCACGAACTCCGAAATGTAGCATGCTGAAGCTTCCCATCTGCTCACACAGGGTAACGTCAACGGCCAATACAAGTAAGTGTCCAGCTCCGGGGCATCTCGAGCGAACAAGCTGATGAGAGGGGCGGCTACACAGACAGAATGTTCAACTGCCAAACAGCGCCGGTGCGACATCCTACGGCAGTCACAAAAACGGCCGAAAGGGACTTGGCCCTGGATCAGGATATAACAGGTACGCAAATTCAATCACTAGTACGGGACGCCTTCCAACCAAGCTTCAAGACTTCTCTGGAGAGGGCACCGGCATCCAGGCCCAAGATGGTGGCTGGAAGAGCTTCCTTCGCAAGCTATTAACAAACAGCGGCTTTAGCTTCGTCAATGACGAATTCAGCGACATGGAGAAGCGTGACGAAGAGAACATCGAAGCTCAGGATGCGTAAAGGGTCCTCATCTCCTATCCCCTGTCTTCAGGGCTTCCTTCTCTACCTATCAAGCTCCCAGATAGAGGCCGGTCCTCGAGCTCCTTTAACGGTTTCCATCGGTTCACCTGCGGTGTACCCGTCCTCATCCCCTCTTCTGGTCCCCTTTCCCCCTTTCCCCCTTTCGCAGACACTCAAGGTCAGCGGACTACAAGGCAGGATCCACCATTGTCCGGCTTCGGATCCCCTTTCTCCACCTCTTTCTCATTCTCGGCAAACGTTCGCCGAGTCCTCTTGTCACGTCTCCTTGTCCAGGTATGCTTTGCGCTGGTCCTCGCAATCCATCAATGGTATCAGAACCTCTTTCCCTCGTGCGCTCGCCATGATTCTCGAGCGTAGGTGTGTCATGTGATGATTCTGTAAGGCACAAAGCTTGGACTGTTACTGTACACGGCCGTTCGTATTCCCCCCCCCCCCCCCCACCAAAAGGCGCGAGAGCGTTTGGTCTAGTCATCGTCCCAGCTTCGAGCTGGAGAGGCAGCGCCGTCATCCTCACGAAGGTCCAATCCACCAGGAGCAGACGACGAGACACCCTCCCCGCCGTTCTGTCCCAGCTTCCAACCAGCGGGCGGAGCCCAACTCTCTTCGTCGTTCATCATGATGAGCCTCCTCATCTTTTGCTCTGGCGTCTCGTTGCGCCTCCTTTCCTCCTCTTCGCTGTCCAGCTCCTCCTCTTCGCCGGCCTTTTTCTTGTCCTTGGATGGGATTGGCGCGCGAGATGGTGGGGGAGGCTTGCGATTCAGGTGCAGAGACGGAATTGTGACCCGCTTGGAAAGGACTGGTCGACGGACGGACGATGGTCCCAAGAGATTCTTTAGAGCTACGTCGATGAAATACCGTGATCAGCGCGCTTCGACCTTAGAAAGCCCAAGATAGAATTACCGGCACTCACGCTTGCCTGAAAAGGACCGACGCATGCTCTCGGGTGTCCTTGTCTCGCGCTCCATCCTTCTTTGTTCGGCAGCACGGCTGGATGAGGACGATGACGAGGCCGTGGTCGACGCCGTCGCGTCGACCTTACTCAGACTGGGCGTGGCTGGGTGTATTGCGGAGGAATGGGTGTTGGTCGTGTCGCGTAGTCGCGGTGAAACGTCGATAGATGTTTCGGCCTCATTTGAAAGTGCCTGTGGGGGAGAGGAACGAGCTGCTGCGCTCTCCTGCTTGTTGGACGGCTTTGATAAAAACTTTTGCTCATCAGAAGGCCATCGTCAAAGCGCATACAGTGTTCTCTTCAGCTGCTCACCTTCTCCTCCTCGTCACTCGCGTCTTCCTCCGACTCCTGTGATTGAGCCTCTGTACTCTGACCCTTTTCGATCTTTTCCCTTTCCCGTCTCTCCTTGGCTGTCTCCCTTTTCTTCCCCTTCCCGGCCGGGGCCTTTCTCCTCTTAGATTCTGGGCCCTTCTTCGATTGTCTGGGAGCCAGCTCCTTTTTTTGCTCCTCATCATCGTCTTGATCGTCGCCACTGAAGCTGACGTCATCGTCATCGGTATCTCCGTCGTCGAGGTCTTCGAAGTCCTTAGTCTTGGCACGGATAGTCGGCGTCGTTTTCATACGATTGCTTGGAGTCGTGGCCGTCTTGCCTGCTCTAGTACTGGTGCGAGTACCGCTCTTGCTTTTCCGCGAATTCATCGAGGCGCTACTGTTACTGCGCCTATTCTCTTCCGGATCGACGATGACCATGACGTTGCCGCTCAGCACTCTGGACTCTTCGTCTTCTCCATCTTGTTCATCGTTTGACTCCGCTCTGGTATCTTCGTCAACGTCGAGAGCGTCGTCGAGAGCGTCCGAAGGCCTCTTTTTCGACTTGGTAAGCCCGTGCCGGTCTTTGCCCAGGCTCGTGCGGGGACTTTCGAGTATCTCAAAACCGGGCTCGTTGTCCGAGCCTCCAGCCGTCATTGCGATGTCTGCTGCTCCTCTTCCAAATACTTTGGCGACGTGTGACGGAGGCTTGACTGTAATGATCAAGGAAGAAAGGAGAACAAAGGAGGATGGATGGCGGAGGGCGGAGGGCGGAGGGCGGAGGGCGGAGGCAGAATATGCCAAAGCGCCGCTGCGCGTCGAAACCAACACCAGACCGCTCAGAACAGACGTGACGCGCCACGTGTAGACAGGTGGCATCAGCATGTATGACTTGTACTATTTTACACAAGAATTGCAGGTTATTCTATGGGACTACGATCATCTATGAATGTGAGGTGGGTTTCGAATAGAGTATCTTCGAGAAAGGAAGGGAAGCAAGTGTCAGCGTTTTCATGTTTCAAATGAGTAGGTTGCTCGGCTGTCGCTCACTGGTAAAAGAAGTAGGGTAGTGGCGAGATGGCGAGCGATATGAAGGCGAGAATCGACATGGACCAGCCAATGCTCCATTCAAACATCTGCCGACCGTAAAGCGGCGCAATGGCCGCAAGGAGCGACCGTGACATGGAGGCGGCCGCCAGAGCGCTGGCTGCATATCTTTGCGTGCACTCGACAACGTAGGTCGCAAGCGAGTTGCTAATACCATAGTCAGCCTCTAGCTGGAGAAGGAAAGATGACGAGAGGAGACTCACAAAAAGAAAATGAGGCCGATACCAACGGGAATCTCACCCAGCATCGGCACAATCCAATGGATGTCTTTTCTGGCGGTCCATCCCGTCCAGAGAAAGCCGAGGATGAATAGCGGTGCGGCATAGGCCGTCATAATAAGCCTAGCCTCGGGCGCCGGACCCTCTTTCTCGTCACGTTTTCGCACGTAGTAACGATTAAAGTAAGCAACGAAAGGCAGTGATGCAACGATGCCGACCGCCACCGGCAAGAAGGCCAGTCCTGACTCTCCCGGGTTGAAGCCATAGACGCCACTGAAAATGACCGGAAACGCCTCAAAGAAGATGAAGAGCACCAGGTAGGCAAACGACATTACGAAGCAGGTGTAGGCGCAGGGAAGAAAAGTGACGGTGAGTCGAAGAGGGCGCGAGACATAGACGGTGAGAACCTCTTTCAGGTCCACTTTCGCCTCCTCTATAGGCGCCACAATTGTACTGTCTCCCCTCTCTTGACGTAGCTTCTTGGCTTTACGAGCGAGCAAGACAGGCGCGTACGTTTCGTGTCCGATGACCATGATGGAGGCCAGGGTGAAAGCAGAGCTGAGGAGCAACTTATTAGCGGAGACGTACTAGGCCAGCAGAGGACAACACTAACGTCAAGGACAACGTCCAGAAGATCCAGCGCCACGACGTCGGCGAAGCAGTCGAGATAAAGCCGCCGATGAAAGGTGCCAGAGTTGGTCCGCATAACGCCGACACTGTGTAAGTCATCATTGGCCACGCTCTGACCCGCGGCGCCCACATGTCCGAGATGGTTGCTCCAGAGTTAGACTGCGCTGCTGACCCGAAGAGACCGGCGAAGCTGTGCAGAGATCGACCTTGAGCCGTGTTCAGACACTGGTCAGAATATGAACACTCACAATCGAAGAACCAGGAGAGTCCGCGTGTTGGGTGCCAGGGCTCCTCCGACATTCCACAAACCAAGGCCAATAGTCGAGGTCAGATTGACGATAAAGCGTCCCCGTAGCTCCGAGAGAGGCGCCCAGATGAGGGGACCAAAAACGTAGCCGAGGACATCTGTTGGTCTGGAGGTCAAAAACACTCTTTATGATTACCCAAATAAGCTTCGAGCAAGCTCACAGGTAGTGGTGACGAGACTAAAGACTTCCTTGCTCATGTCTAGGTCTTTGCTGATCGCTTCCGCTCCTCCACTGGGCATTGAAGCGCCTAGAGATCTGTCATGTGAGGCAGAGCAACAGTGAGCATCAACACAATCGGGTTCACAGCAATAGCTCTCTGGGAGCGAAAAAGCGCGGGTTGGAAGACGCTCACGTATCTGTTGAGGGAGAGAAGAGGATCAGGAGGGCGCCCAGGTAGTCAAATGCGGACAGCCGACTCACTCAGGAAGCAATAGGAGGCCACGATGGTGATGACCCACTTCTTCGTCTTCGGCCAATTCAATGGATTCTCATCTCCCTCGAGTCTCAGCAGATTTTCTTTTTCGCCGTCTTCACGTTGCGCCGAGGTGCCTCCATTCTCAAGGGTCGGTGACGAGCGCGCTGAAGAATAAGTCGACCCGGACGTTCTTCTCCCCTCATTCACTGATCTTGCACGCTCCTGCCCGACGTCTGCATCGGCTACTACAGCCCTTTTTTCAATGTCAATGCTCTGCCGCTTAGTTCCGGCGCCTCCTTCGTCGAGATTGAGTGACGTCAAAGTCGGCGTCGAGGCGTTATGCCCTATCTCGCTGCCCGCCAGGCCCCGTCGCGGAGGAGAAGAGGTCATGTCGGTAGGTGGTCAACAGAGAGACAGGCTTTAGGTTCCGCACTCTCATAGGGGACAAATAGGCAAGTGAGGGTAGATAGTTCGTATCTTTGCATGTGCGATAACCTCGTACAAACTTCATCCGAGGCTTACGCACGCAGAGAGATCGCTGAAGGATCGTCGAGTCAACGCGTAAATTTTTGCCGGGTGTTTCTTCGGCCTGTTGAAAACCCAAAGGCAAGGCGATTATTAGCTGCTGCAATGTGAAGCACGTTGAATTTTCCCGTCTGCAAATCTTGGACTGCAAGGACTTTCGGTCAGGGACTAGGACGTGTGTCCGACGTTGGTGCGTCTTGAAGGATGCCCGAGGCGCCGGAATTCAGAGTCAGACCGTGCGTGACGTTTCTTCGATGTGACATCAGAGTCGCGGTGACAATATTTTACAGCTGAACGATAATGATGAAAACGTGTATGCACAAGTACAAAGTGGATGACAGCGAGACGGACATCACTGGGGGAGTCGTTAAAAAAAAGGTTACTCTGGGTCAGTGGCGAAGCGGCTCTTAGCCCGTAGCATGTGACCGTATCGGACAAAGGCGATGCTTCCGAAAGAGAGGATGAGAGAGAGGCAACCCAAAAAGGTGAAGGTTGCCTGCACCGAGGTCTTGTTAATGACATCGCTCATGAATAAAGGGAAAGCAGCTCCAAGGAGCGACCTTGAAAAGGTACAGGCGGCCATAGCCGAGGCGCTCGATGCACCGTAGCTGTCGGCAGCGTACGACAGCCAGGAATTGAAGACGACCTGCATGCCAAATGCGAAAATGATGAGGGCAAAGCAGGGGATGATGTAGTGGACGTCGACAGGACCAACGAGGGCTGCCAAAGGAAAAAGAGCGGTGAGCTGCGGACTCTCCATGTCGAGGATTAAACACAGCTCACCGTCGTAGGGTGCAGTCCATGCAAACAAGAATAGGCCGAGCGGAACGGCGAAGCCAGCCCATGTTGCTGGACCGATTCGAGTTTCGGGGACATAGCGATGCTCATCGTAAGCCCTCTTAAATTGCCAATCCTGCAAAAAGCATCCAATGATGAGAGCTCCTAGTGTGAAGCCTCCCAGAATCGAAAGGTAGGTCAGGCTGGCGTATTCGGGTGAACGTCCGCGGATCTCCTGCCACACTACGGGGAAGGCAGCCTGATTCCTCTTTCGGTCAGTGGAAAGCAGCAGCATTGAGTAGCGAGCGCGGGTGGCTCACCAGAGTGCCGTAGAGAAGTCCGTATAGAAGAGCCGTGTACAAGCCTACAATAATGATGACGGGCTCTATAGTGAAGAGTCAGCGTCGTTGAGTCTACGTGAAGCAACCCTTCGCTCAAAAGCACGTACCCGTGAACATGAAAACGAAGGGCCTTTTGAGGGCGATTGCGTATCGCTGACTGATAGACAAGCTGGGCATCTGCTTGCCATCTTCGCCAAATTCCTTCTCCCCCCTTCGTCTCCGCTGCCGTCTCAGGAGAGTGGCACGATGGCTTTCCGGCACTGTGAAAGCGTACAGTGCAAGAACAACGGCAGAGAAAATGGGCAAAGTCCTGAGGTTCCATCGCCATCCCACCTCCTCTGTGATAAAAGTCGCCACCAGCGGCCCCAGAGTTGGTCCACCAAAGCTCACGAGGCGGTACGCGACATTGTAACGAAGCCGGTTGCGAACCCTGGTCATGTCGACGATCGAGGAGGCGACGTTGTTGAGTGCCGAACTTCCGCATATGCCTCCGAGCAGGCGGAAGATGAGAAGGAGCTCGATATTGGGAGCAAGACAAGCTCCCAGGTTGAATGCGGTGAGAAGAATAAAGGCGCCAACGTACACCACCTTGCGACCTTGAAGCTCAGAGAGTGGTCCGAAGAGCAGTGGTCCCAGCGCGAAGCCGAGTACGTACAACGACGTTCCGCAGATGGCGACGTGGTAATCGACATTGAAGGCATGTTGGACCTGTTTGGCCGACGGTGCAAATGCCGAGGAAGAATAGGTGGTGCACAAGATCAAAAGGCAGTACGTCGTGTTCGCCCAAGCTTTATACCATTCCGGCCACTCAAGAGGATCGGTTCCAGGCTCAAGCGATTCTGGAAGCGGGGTGCGTGATGGCGTATGAGACTTTGAAGGGAGGGGCGGAAGAGAGTGGGTGCTTGCTGTCTTGGAGAGGCCTTTCTCAAGATCGACCGCAAAGCTTAACGCGGGCATTTCCCCGTCACGCCCTTGCCACGGTGGCGTCGATTGGAGGGGCGAGCTCTTCTGCGAGGATGAAGCTGATGAGGACGAGGAATGGGACGACCCTGCTTCGGCCGCCGATGAGAGGACGAATGATACCTGGCCAGAGGTTGTCATGGTGGGTTGTGCGTAGAAGAATGGGAGAAGACAGAACCCTTATCGTGACCTCAATCTCTTGCTTCTATCTTTGGATTCCCAAGCTTACTCCTTATATCATCGAAAAGTGCAGAGGAACAGGGTGAGCGGATACAGCTGGCAACCTCCTCGTTTGCTGCACGGCCCGCTCCCTGCTTCACCTGGCCAAGATCTCAATTTACCAAACTCAGAGCTAATTGGGACCCATTACAGAACCGACGAGGTTAAATCTGTCAGCAGACGACAAAGGCCAAAGTGGTGCTCGTCGAGTTCAAGATAGGGAATAGCAGCGGGCTGCATAACCGAATCGTCGCACATGCTCTCATGATAGCAAAGCAAGAGGTGACGCGCCCGGGAACTTCTTTAAAGTTAGCGAGTTTCTCGAAGCCGTCGGCCAACGGCGACATCATGAGCGAATCGAAGGGGCGTGAATAGACCGCCCGCCAAAGCGCAGTTAGGCAAGAAAGTCTCCGATAAGGGTGATTTGCACGCAAGTCGAGATGCCAAGCAACATCCTCTCATATACTATAAATTGCAACAAACGAGCTGATGAGGAGGCTCGCCCCTGATTAGACGCGCAAGTTCAGTGCTAAGAACCAAGATTTCAATTAGACTCACATCCCAAACTTCCTGTCTTGGCTTTTTTCTTTTTTGGAGGTGTAAAGAGGGAGCTTGGCCTGGCGGAGCCTAGCAACATACGACGTCAATGCTCCAACACGGTGTAAGGAATGAGATACTATACAGATTGCTCCGACTGTCCTCCGACACGGAAGACTCTTATCAAGGCAGCCAAGAAAGTCATCAATGCTCGCACGCAATGGGGTCGGGGCTTGGGATGACCAAAGTGTTTTGTAGACAATGACGAAGATGCGGCACGTGGTTATATTGTGCACGGACTGCCAATTGCAATGGGCGCCCGCGCTCATGTAGGCAGTGCCAGACCCTCTTCAACCCTGATCCATCTCCACTGCTCGTCTCAAGAGAGCCAAATGGCGACGACTTCGTCCCAGTGGGTAGAGTCACCCTTGCATGTCTGCTGAGTGAGTGCTGAAGAGGGATCACACAACAGCAACAAAAAGTCGTCTGCGGTCAAGCGCATCCTAAGCGAAGCTCGCGAGCTGTCGGACGATGCCAGCACCGAGTACACCGCCGCGCCGCTCGAGGACAACATCTTTGAATGGCACTACACGCTCCGGGGACCGTCTTCGAGCGAGTTCGAGGATGGCATTTACCACGGCCGTATACTCTTGCCAGCAGAGTATCCTTTTCGGCCGCCGAATGTCATGATCATGACGCCCAACGGCCGATGGGAGCTCAACAAGAAAATTTGCCTGACCTTTACGGGCTTTCACGAGGAGGTGAGACTCGCTTTCGATCGAAACCTGACTGCCAGAGTGAGCATGCTGAAAGCTTGTGGTGCAGATGTGGCAGCCCGCTTGGGGCATTCGGACGGCGCTGCTTGGCGTGCAAGCATTCATGGGTGCTCGAGCCGAGGCGGCTGTCGGCATAGGTAGCCTCGATTACCCACCAGAGGAACGAACCAAGCTGGCACGCAGGTCGCGAGACTGGAGATGTCCCGTCTGCGACAAAAGTAACGCGGAGATCTTGCCAGATGCAGAGAAGGGTGATGCACCAACCCGGAAAGTCGAAGCACTGCCCGACGGCCTCACCATCGACACGACGGTACGAACGAACGAGGCTGAGAACAAGCAAGAAGAAGGCAGCGGAGCAAAAGCTGCAGACGATACCATTTCGAGCAACCTCAACAACACCGCTTTATCGAAGCCCACCATTGAAACGGGATTCGGACCACAGGGTCCTCGGGCCGAATTCTTGGCCTCAGTGGTCGGAGCACAGTTTGAGGAGTCTCACCAGGCCAGCTCCATTTCCTCAAGTCAGGTGACGACGCCCAGCATTCTCACCCCAAATCGCCATCTCGACGTTGGCGCAAGTACGCCGAATCGATCTCTGGACCTCGGCGCGGCAGGGAGCAGCAGTGGTAGCTCCTTGCGAGCTCGAAAGGTTTCATCATCGGTGGACTCTGCGTTACCTCCCCCTGCATCCTCCTCCTCCTCCTCCTCTGCGACGCAAGCTCAACAAGATGAAGCTCCAGGCAGAGCTGCGGGACCGGCTCCGCCGCTCCAGCGCCCCATCCCTGTCAGGCCAGTCGCATTGGCCGCGACATTCGAGCCAGAACGGACGCTGGCCACGCTCGATCGGGCCATCGTCACTGTCATACTCCTCCTCATCGCCTTGGTCGTCCGACGAATCCTTCATTCCTTTGGCTTCTAGATCAGCCTTCCCATCATCACTATCATCCTATCTTCATCACTCAGATCACATGTACATGTAAGCGTAGCGACAAGTGGCTTCTCCTGCCCCTTTTTCATTCGTCTCTCATCCTTTCTCTCTAATGACATGCTAAAGAATGCGACGATTTCGTTGATAAGGTATACACTTTCTTCCCACACCTTCTTCATTCCCTCTCCTCTTGGACAGATTGTCACTTTAGCCCCTCAGCAGCTCACGGACGGCGCCCATGGCTGCGCGGAAGCCTCGCTTCTTCTTTGGCGTCTCCTGGACCTGCTCCTCTTCTGGCTCTTTTGCCGACGAGCCGGCCTCGGGCTGGCCATTGGTGGATGATGCCTCGGCCACAGCACTGCGTCCGCCGTCCTGGCCGTAGAGTTCGCCAGAGAGGTCGACGGAACCTTGGGTGGCCCTCGAAGTGCCGCGACGTCCATGCGATGCGGCGGCGGGGGTGGTTGTGGTAGCAGCAGCAGCAGCAGTAGCAGCAGCACTTGTAGGCGCAGAGGCAGCCGTCGAAGCCGAAGACGCGGCAGGCGCGGGGCTCTCTGCGTCCACCTGCTGCTTTTCCGGTGCCGACAGGCTTGCCTCCTGAAGCTGGTCTGCCAGCGAGTCAATCTGCTTGTCCTTTGCCTCGGTCGAAGCGGCCGTCGTCGTCGTCGATTCGATCGCGGCGGGCGTGTCGGCGACGAGCGCAGCTTCGACTGGCACGGCTGTGGCAACAGGAGCGATGGCTGCTGCCTCCTCCTTCTCCTCCTCCTTCGCTGGTTGGGACTCTGGAGCATCCTTTGTGATTGAAGAGCTGGTGGGCAGCGCCGCCTCGGTGGCTTCCTCTCTCGAAGCCGGAGCAGAGCTAGCTGTCGTTGCGGCAAGAGCACCAACACCGAGTGCACCCGCAACAGCAGCCCCAGCGGCAACGGCTGATTCCTGCGGAGCCGATTCAGAAGCCTCGTTCTTGTCGGTAATCTCCTTCTCTTCCGGCACCTCTTGAGCAGACTGCGAGACTGGGGCCGCCACTTCCGCGCCCTCCTTCTCCTCGGGCACCTCCTGGGCGCTCTCTGCAACGTCGGCCGCTACCTCTGCCCCTTGCTTCTCCTCAGGCACCTCTTGCGCGCTCTCTGCGACCTCTGCTGCGACATCTGCACCCTGCTTCTCCTCTGGCACTTCTTGTGCGCTCTCTGCGACGTCGGCCGCTACCTCTGCGCCCTGCTTCTCCTCCGGCACCTCCTGGGCCGACTCAGCCACGTCTGCTGCGTCTTCTGCCATCTGCTTGTCCTCTTCCCTCGTCGTGCTGGTGCCAGACTGCTTGTCACCCTCTTTGTTGGCCCCTTCTTCAGCATTCTCTCCCTTGGCGCCACTGTTGCTGCCGCCCACGACGGAAAGATTGGCGAGCTTGTCTTCGAGGCCGCTCTCGGATACAGCACCTGCCGCGGCCGCTCCCACCACGGCAGCAGTCGCCGCCGGTACGGCGACTGCGGCAGCAGCAACATCCTCCATCTTGTGATCCACTTCCGGCGCCTCTTGCTCGTCCTCCTCCTCCTCTGTTTCGTCCTCCTCCTCCTCTTCCTCTTCCTCGCCATCGGGCTCCATCTCGTCGAGATCACCAAGGGCATCCTCCTTGCCCGTCTTGGCCAGCGCAGCCTTGATCCTCTCCACGCACTCGTCCTCCTCATCGGCAAAGTTGCCATTGATGTCGATCAGCTTGATAGCCGGCAGCCTGTCCTCTTCGAGCAGGGCGCCCAGCTTGTCGAGGCCCGCACGGTCCACTTCGTTGTAGGCGAGGTGGAGCTCCTCCAGGTCGGTATTCTTTCCCTTGGCGAGCGCTTCAAACACAAGGGCGGCACCCTTGGATCGGACGAGGCAGTCGCCGAGATGGAGGATGCGAAGCTTGGGCCACGAGGGCAGCAGGTCCGCCAGTGCCTTGCCTCCCTTGAGCAACGCCGTGTTGTCGTTGAAGTTGACCTCGCGCAGGTCGGGACAGTGCGCCAGGCCGTCGCGGACGATTCGCTCGATGCCGTCCATGCGGATACCGTTCTGGAACATGCGCACCTCCTGCAGCGTGCCGTGAGCGGCAAACGCCCTGGCCCAGGCCTTGGAGCTGCCGTCTTCGAGCCGGTTGCGCGAGCAGACGAGCGTGCGCAGGTTCGATCTGCCGCCTTTTGCCTTTACCTTTTCAGCGGCATCGAAGAGCGCGTCGGCCACAATGGTGCCGCCCTGGGGGCCGAGGCCGTTGTTGTTGAGCTTGACGATGGAGATGGCGTGGTTGTTGCTCAGCAGGTTCACCATCGGCTCCGAGCTCCGCCCGCCAAAGGCATTGTCCGACAGGTCAATCTCCTCGAGGTGCTCGTGCGAGACGAGGCTGTCACAGAGCGCCCGCAGCGCCGTGGGAATCTCGCTGATCAGCCGTCCCGTAAAGATGTCGGCAAAGTCGGCCACCTGTTATCTCTCCGGCCCTCAGCTATCATCCTATCACCAGCGCACTTCTGTAAAAAAAAAAAAAAGGGGGAGTGTGACTGACCTTGAGCGTCTTTTTCTTGGACAGGATCTCTCCAAATGCCTGGCACGCCTCGATGCCCAGCGTGTTGCCGCCCAGGTGAATCTCCTCGAGATCCTGCACCTGCTCGAGCTCGTCGACGTACGGCTGCGCCTCTTGGCGCGTCGTCAGCTTGAGATTGCGTCCATGGAGCGAATAGCTCCTGCTCTCAGAGGAGGAAGTGGCCATGGTGTGTGTGTGTCTCTCTCTCTCTCTTCTCTTCTTCCTGTCGCAGATGATGAAGCTGATGTCAACGTGGCGACCTCTGGGCGATCCGTGATGACGCAAAATTCTTCCTGCCTGTCCGAGTGAGGTAGGTGTTGCTTGCAGTCCAAGAGAGAGGAAAAAAAAAAAAAAAAAAAAGGAAAAAAGAAGCACGACTGAAGCAAGGCTAATCAACACTTCCCGGTCGCGTGGCGCGTGCTGCCTTCCAAGAGGATTGGGGAGCATGGGCTCGCGCAGGCTAACCGCTGGCGAGCTTGGACACAATAGCTCACATACGCAAAAGAAGATGGGAAAACACATAACCTATTACAATATGGAGGGAAAGCGGATCTTGAACAGGAGTAGGTGGTACACCAATACACAGTGGGAGGGTAAGGAAATATTCGTCGGTCAGTGAACCATTTAGGACTGGGGAGGTCCCTTGTCGGTAAAGATGCCATTTTTTAGGAGCTCGGGTGAGACGACTGCGATTCCCAGCTGTCTTGCGAGGCCCTGCGCTTGCCGCACTGCACAGCACAGACGATCGAGAGATTAGCAGATATTTTAGAGCAATGCATTCGAAAGACGGACAGGCGGAACTCACCACCAATGGGCCACGTCTGGCCGTAGAGGCAAAGCGTGTTGAAGATGAGATCGATGTCGCCGCGAAGGTCCTGCTCCTTCTCGCTCGAAGCAAAGTTACCCAGACCGGCGGTCGGAAACGACTCGCCAGGGGCGAGGCCGACCACGACAGGGCGGGCGGGCGATGTTGTGTTGGAAGAGGGCGTCGTTGACGACGGCACCGAGCTAATGCCGCCGCCTTCGGGATAAGTGGCAAAGTCGCGTCGGATCAGCTCCAGACGACGAGCGAGCGTCTTCCCGGTGAGAGTCATGATGAAGCACAAGGCGGCCGGGAAGCTGCACAGGTTGGCACCCGAGGTGATGAGCATGCGCAACACGCGCAGGATGCCATTGCACGCCGTCTCGCAGTAGGCCGCGCTCTCGTCGTGAAGGCGGAGGAGAGGGTCGTGGAGAAGCAGCGTGCAGGCGTGAGGAGCAATCTGCAGCATCACCCTCTCGACCTCGATCTTGTGCTGGGGACCGTAGATGGAGTTCATCCAGTCTGGCGGCACCGACATGACAAAGGCTGAAATCTGATTGTTAAGGCGGTGGAATGCTGGGGTAAGAGCCTGTTCGACTGTCGTTGCAGATGGCAGCTTAGAAATGTACGTTCCGCTGTTTTCACTCGAGGCATTAGTGCGGGAAAGGGAAGAAGGGTGCGAGGGAGCTCCACTCACCATCTCCCCAGAAGGATCAGCGCCTTGAGGAAGCAGTTGGCGGGATCGATGTGATTGGAAGTGAAGAGATCATTTGACGAAAGCCGTTGTCTATGTCCTGACTGCGTTCCAGTCTCATTGCCATTGTTGAAGTCGACTGTAGTAGCCATGGGCAGCTCGACAGCCACATCACTTTCGTCCAAGCTGCTTGCCCACAACGTCGATGCAGCGGCCGTCTTGTCGCTTTTGCAGAGAGCATTAGTTGTCTTATCAAAAGAGCAATGACGTTTGCAAACTCACGTCACCAAGGCAAAATACATCAACCGCCTCCTTTCCTCCTCTTCAATCCAGTCATTCGGCGGGCCGAGCAGAGAGAGACGAACGGTATCAATCGTCGCCCTGTCCTTGATCACGTCCCGCGATCGATTGAGACCTAGGACGATGGACATGCGTGTGGCGCTCGCCGAGGCCATCCAGGCGTCAAAGAGCTCGCCACAGAGGTACTTTTTGTTGCAGAGGAGCAGCGTCGCTCTGAACACGTCAAAGATGTTGCCACCTTCCCACGAGCCTTGCGTGATGTGGAACTGGGCTCGATCGCTGTGGAAGCCAGCCGAGCCCGTGCGTGCTCTTTCACGATCCAGGCGCGAGTCCATGGCCAGCTGCAGGCCGGCATAGGTGCCCTTCTGCAGGGCTGGATCATCGTGCGGCCGCGAATGGGCCTCGTCGTGGCGACGCTGCACCTGGGCCAAGAGGGCAGCCTGCTGGGTCTGGTGCTGCGACATCTGCCACGCCGGTGCTCGCACAGGGTCCAGGTCGGGGCGAAGATGGTAGGACATCGAGAACATGACATGGAGTACGGCCGGGGCTGGGTATTGAGGCGATGTCGGGCCATGTGACAGGGCGGTGAAGAACCGTGCAGGCTGGAATAGACCAAGCCAGGAAAAGTTGTCAAAGAAGGTATTGACCAGCGTATCGACCATGGCAGGAGGCGGGAAGTCCGAGGGCCAGCCAGAGAAGACGAGCTCCAGAAGCGGATCGGCGGCCGCCTCGACGCCCTGCTGGTTCGAAGAGTCGGCAGCGGCAGCAGCGGCCGCCGCCGCTGCTGCTGCCGCGGCCACGGCTGCCGTTGCATCGTCCATTGAAGAGGTGTTGACGCGTGCCTTGGTCTCACCAAGCAGCAGCGGGTCGATTGGCTCGTCCTCGTTCCCGCTGCTCGTCTTTTTACTCGCAAAGGGTAGCGGGTGTGGGTAGATGGTGTGGCCCTCGCCGGCAAGGTGCTTGGCGACTGATGCTCCATGCGTGCCCGTGAGGCTGCCGACGAATGAGTCAAACGTCTGAGCCTGCCTCGAAGGCGTAGTGGGCGCCTGCGACGACGAAGCATCCCCGGAACGCATCGTTGTAGCGAGCATCTCGGCAATGGACAGCTCGTCCGAATTGGGCTGGAAGTTGGGCGGCAGAGGTCCCTGCATGTTGAGCTGCTTGGAGCTTGATGCGAGGCGAGCACGCAATTCCGCTGGCAGTGCGTGCAGAGGAAGAGGAAAGAGGCGGAGGGGAAAGAGATAGTTCGTCTGTCAGCATGAGATCCCCCACAAAGGAACAGAGCACCGTCGACGTCTGCTCACCAATCTCCCGTTCCATGCGCTTCTTTTCCTTGTTGGCCTCCTCCAATGGCGACAGGCTGCTCTCTGCCAGCTGTGGCGATGGCCCACCGCGGTCTTTCGCCTTGCTTTTGTTCTTTGCCACACGGCCCGGGCTCGGGCCTGATGCTGCTGCTGCTGCTGCTGCACTGCTTATGCGATCCTGCTTGGACGGCACGTCGAGGTACTGGCACGGCTGCTCGAAGTTGGCCAGGTCCTCGTCCCTCACCTTGCCCTTGGTCACGAGCGTCTTTCTCTTGGACGACCACGCTCTCGCACATTGTCCGCCTGTTTGTTGCCCAGTCAGCAGGCGAGACTTTCAAGAAACGCGCAATGGGGGAGACTACCAAACTCACAGATTGGACGGGCACCATCGCACTTGAGCTTGCGCTCGCGGCAGCTCTGGCACGCGCGGTTCCTGCCCAGGTGCTTTGAAAAGGGCGTGCTGGCATTGAGAGAGGCAGAGGCAGGCGAGGCATTCCTCATGGGCCCGATGCCTCCCTCTGTGGATCCATTGCCGATTTCGTCGTGTTGCTGCTGCTGCTGCATCTGGTATGGATGGTGGTGAGACGCGTGCTGGTGTTGCCTGTTCCGGTCGCTCTCGGCGGCCGCCAGCGCCGTGGCCGCCGCCCTGGCAGCCTGAGAGACGGCATCGGCGGATGCTTGATCCGTGTCGTCGCGGAAGCTGGGGTCCTGGAAGCTGTGCTCGTCAAACTCGACACCGATGGTGGATTCGTCGTGTGCATGCGAGGGAGCATCAAAGAAGTTGGCGTGCTCAGCCGACGCAGCCGGGGGCGGTGGCGGTGGATGATTGTGGTAGTGGTGATGGTGGTTCTGCTGCTGGTGTTGCTGCGACTGCGACGACTGCTGTGGATGCTGCTCCTGGCCATAGCCAGGATAGCCATCTTCCTGCATCCTCGAATCCATCGTCGTTGTCGGAAATGATCCTTCGTGAACCTGTGTGAGCCGATTCCCGTCTCCCAGAGACGCGTGCGTGGGACCCGCTAGTGCTGGTAAGGGCCCGGATTTTGATTTTGATTTTGATTTTGATTGTTGTCGGTCACACGGCCGGCGGGCCAGTCTTTCTCGAGGGCAGATCAAGTGTTCATTATCCATTGCAGTCGTAAGGCAAAGGCTCGAAGAAGACGAGGAGGAGGAGAGGATAATTATATACAGTAGCGATCACGGGTGAGAGCAGTTTGGAAGCGTGAGGCCAGTCTTGAGCTTGCGGTCCGCAGTAAAGAGGCCCCAGTGAGCCTCGACGCCGCCGTACATGGCGTCCTTCCACGTCTCATCGCTGAACTCAAAGAAGAAGTACTTGCTGAACTTGTCTCCTGCCGTGATGTTCTGGTTGGCCTGGCAAACGTATGTGTCGAGGAAGGTGTTGAGCTCGGGAATGCCGGCTTGAGCGGCGCCCAGCGTCTCGAATTGCGTGGCATTGGCCCCAGTAGGCCACCCTGTCTCGGCAATGAAGAGCTCGGGAGCGGGGCTGGCCTGCAACGCGCTCGCTGGCTCTTGGTTGGCAGTGTAGGACCACACCCAGCCAGCAGCTTGGTCTACCGGGAGCTCGCCAAACCATGCGTGGACTGTTGGTGAGATGCGAGTGAGCAAAGATCATATACAATGAGGCTCGAGCCAGCACTCACCGTTGGCCATCACATAGTCGGAGCCCTGGGCGAGCGAGGTCGTTACCATGCTGCCGGCATCGGCAGTGCCAACGGGAATCGTCTTTGGCAAATTCAGGCCCTTGAGTGTGGTGCGCATGTCGGCCATCTTGCTGATCAGATCGGTCTCTGAACCGCCGTTGAGGAGGTACTGGAGAGGGATAAGGGTCAGACTACGCCGCCACTCTTGATCTTGGCGCGTGTTTGCTCAATCCTCTTCTCACCTCATTGCCGACAGTGACACCATCGACGTGATCAACACCGTACTGCTTAATAGCACTCGTCAGTTCGCTGACCTGACGCTGGTAGGTCGCTGTCGCATCAGTCGCAGAGGGTTGAGGGAGCCAGGTGGCGAGGTAGACGGTCATGTTGACCTTTGTCTTCTCGATGGCCTCGAGGACGAGCGAGGGGATGCCGCAGTCGGCGCCGTACAGGCGCAGGCGGGTGGTCAGCTGCGACATGAGCTGGACGTCTTCGATGACAGCATCGATGGACGCCTTGCATCCCTGGTCGTACTGTGGTTATTGTTTGTTAGTGACATGAAAGATTTCGGCGCCTCTCGAAAGGTGCAACATACCTGAGCGTCCTGAGGAGTGTAGCACATTGCGTAGAAGGACTGGTGAAGGTCGGGGTCCTTTTCGAAATTGCTCGGGTCGTTCTTGTCGCTCTTGACCGCACCTGTTGCGCTGTCCTTCTTGTTGCTCTTGCTGACGGCGATACCCACGGCAACGGCGATGATTGCCACAATCAACAATGCACCAGCAATCCACCACCACTTCTTCTTCCCGGCAAAGAGGCCATTCTTGGCGCGGTAGGGCGGCACGCCTTGGTCGTATGCTCCGCCAGCGGCAGCAGCCTTCTCATTGGCCTCCATCCGGTTGATGTATCGCTCGCGCGCAAACACCTCTGGCGAGAGGTTTGTCGCCGAGGCGTTCTTGTTCGACATCAGAAAGGCATCATCGTCGCCCGGCGTGGCGTTCCAGGCGTCCTCGTCGTAGTAGCTGTTGCTGGCGCCTCTGTTGTTGTTGTTGTAGCTGTACCGTTCATCAGCGCCGCCATTGTCGTGGGGCGACAGGTGGTAGGACGACTGGTACATGGCTGATCGCGGACGGTCGAGGTCAAAGGACGGGGTAGAGTAGGGCGCTAACGGTGCGGTGTCGAAGGAAGGGTGTGAGGGAAACGGCGAGCCGGAAAAGTGGCTGGAGAGACGGTGGGGCGGCGGCACCTCTGTCGTTTCGCGGAGAAGCAAGATGGCAGTGAGAAAGGGGGGAGGGTTCGATTCAGGTAAAAGAAGAAGTTGTTGGAGGAGAGAGCGCCTACTCACCTCCGTCCAGGAAGTCGTTGGTATCGGCATCGACCATGGCGAGTGGCTGCCTCTCGCTGTATTGGGCCGAGTGTCTTCTCGCGCTGCTGCTGCTACTCATCTTGGCTTTTGTGTCGCCTTGTTGAGACACGCCGGGGGAAGGGCAAGTAGCACACTACTACTTGTAGATGTTCCGATTTAGCAGCTCCGTTATGCGAGAGGAAGCGCCAGAGAAGGAAAAAAAAATTAAAAGGCTCCGTGCCGCTGAGGGCGAGCGCGTCTTGGCTTGCAGGTGGGTGCAGGCTTAGGCTGTCGGGCTTCCTGCGTCCGGGTTCCTTGGGTGCAACTGTATCTGGAAATGGAGACTGGCAAGGCTCGGCTTCTTCCCGTTCTTGGCTCGGCCGTCGTACGTGATGTGAGACGCTGCAGCTGTGGCGAAGCGCAGGCAAGCAGGTGGATATAGCTGGTGAAAGGGGGTGTTATGTCGAAGGCGATGCAGGCGAAGGAGCTCCTGAGCGTAATTTTAGCCTCATCTGTGTTTAGGGGCTGTGCCTAGAATCCCGCGTTGCCTCACGTGAACCGATGGACCGACGAGGGTCGAGGCCCCGATAAATGCGCCTCGATGGGCAACGATGATGAGGTTTTTATTACGACCTTGTCAAGTCTCTGGCTGCTTGCTGTTGTACAGAGAGACAAGCTCATCGACGGCCCGCGCTGCGAAAGCAGCGTCATTAATGTGCAAGTCAACAGGTATCAAATGCTCGCTACTAGCATCGCCCAATGCGCTTCTGATGCCGTCCAACAAGGCGCCCCTGGCCTCTTTGTCCTCAAAGCTGCCGCCTTCGATGTCGATGCCACTTGTGCCCTTTGTGGGGAACAAGATCTTGAAGGTACTTCCCTTGACCTTGTTGACTAGCACCTCCCCCAGCTGCCGATTCTCTTCGGCGTTGGTCCTCAGCAGTGTGACCTTTTCGTTGTGGGCGTGCAGCTTTCTCTCGCGGAAAGCACCTGGCACGGTGTCCAGTGACCCAAAGTTGCACATGTCGAGCGCACCCACCGAAATGAGCTGTGGGATGTTCTTCTGGTGAGCGGCCGTCAATCTCGAGGGCCCAGCGGAGAGAACGCCGCCAAGTTGCTCGTCGGCCAGCTCGGTGGTGGTGAGGTCCAACACAGCGTCAAAGAGGCCCTCGTTGATGAGGCGCTCCATGCTCCGGCCCCCTACTCCGCTGGCATGAAATACTACGGGCTCGAAGCCCTTCTCGGAGAGCAGCCTGCTGCACTCATTGACGCAAGGCGTGGTCAAGCCAAACATGGTCAGGGCCACGTGGGGCTTGCGGCTCGCTTGCCTGACACCACCGGTAGGTTGGCTTGCCCGGAGCCGCGCCTGGTAGGAGGCGGCCAGCGCTGCAACAGCATGGCAGGTATTTGTGAGGATGAGTTCCGAGATCGAGTTGAGCCTGCCCGAGATGTCGACGATGGAGGGCCAAAAGACAATGTCGGTCTCGCCTGCATAGCCGGCCACGTCGCCGGCCATCATCGTCGTGACGGCAACCTTGGGGAAGCCAATCTCGAATACAGCACTGCGCATGATCCAAGTGACGAGCGACGTCGTCTGGCTCCCGCCAAAGCCGGCAAGGGCATGCAGCCTCCCCTCGTGCTTTAGTGCGCCGAGGATCCGCAGCGCGCCGGCCCGCATCGCCTCGGTTCGCTCTCCGCGATCGAGAGCATTGAACGAGGCTGTCGAGATGATCTCGTCGAGCACCTGCCGCGGAGAACAGTGCGTGTCGCTCGCGTGCCCCTGCCTGTCGTCGTCCATGTCCCTCGTCGTCACGTCCAGCACGACGACATGGCACCCCAGCTCCTCGAGCTTCCTCGTCGCAAACTCGTACTCGGCTCTCTTGACGTCGAGCGGCCCCACGAGGCCGACGCAGCACCTTGCCTGTTCGACAGTGCCCATCTTCTTTTCCCCCTTTCCTTACTGCATCCACAACGCAGGCTTGTTGTCGATGACAGCCAGGCTGTTTTTGGAAGGACCCGCATGGACTGTTGGTCTAACACGCCTGTGGTGGAGTGGAGAAAGTGGGCCCGTGCGGGTAAACTTCTTCGCAAGATCTCCCCTTCCTCTCCTCGTCCTGCAGGAGAAGAGCCTCAAGGGCCGAGCTCGCTTCTCAGCACAAATAGCAGGTATTACCTACACCTCACCTCGCGAGGAGGCAGGCCACCCTACCATGAAGCAAACGTACTCGGAGCCACCCAAGGACGGCCGGGAGGCGCTGCAGCGGCTCCGAGACACGCTCGACGCGGGCGGGTGCATCTTTGGTGCAGGCGCCGGCATCGGTCTCTCTGCCAAGTTTCTCGAAAAGGGCGGCGCGGACCTGCTCGTCACCTACAACTCTGGCCGCTTCCGCATGCAGGGCAGGGGCAGTCTGGCGGGCATGATGCCCTACGGCGACGCCAATGGCATTGTCCTCGAGCTTGTGAGTGTCCTGTTTCCCTTCGCCCGCCCAACCTCCGTGCAGCCCTGTCCAAGACACGCAAGACAGTAAGACTCACGACCCAACACCCGCAAAAGGCCAATGAGATCCTGCCCATCGTCGAGCACACGCCCGTGCTCGCGGGCGTCATGGCGTCGGATCCCATGCGCTCGATCCCGCGCTTCCTGCGCCACCTCGCCTCGCTCGGCTTCGTCGGCGTGCAGAACTTCCCCACCGTCGGGCTCATCGATGTCGACAGCCTCTACCGGCGCAACCTCGAGGAGACGGGCATGGGCTACGACACGGAGGTGGACATGATCCGAGAGGCCGTCCAGCTGGGCCTGCTCACGACGCCGTACGCATTCAACGTCGACGAGGCGCGGCGCATGGCAGAGGTCGGTGCCGATGTCGTCGTGGGTGCGTCTGTCTTCTCTTCACTCTTCCTCGAAATGTATGCAATGACTAACAAGCTTGATGGCAGCACACATGGGCCTCACGACGAGCGGCTCCATCGGTGCGCAGTCGTCAAAGACGCTCGACGACTGCGTCAAGGAGACGCAAGCGAGTGAGTCGCTCCTTCTTTTTTTCCCCCTCTCTCGCTCTTTTCTCCTGACCGTCGATTCCATTTCGATACACCGCGACAGTCGCCGATGCCGCGCGCGCCGTCAAGCCAGACGTCATCGTCCTCGTCCATGGCGGGCCCGTCGCGGCGCCCGAGGACGCCCAGTACGTGCTGTCGCGCACCAGGGGCGTCCAGGGCTTCTATGGCGCCAGCAGCGCCGAGCGCCTGCCAGTCGAAAAGGCCCTCTTTGAGCACACGCAAAAGTTCAAGCAAGTCGGGCTTTCGACGACGAAGCAGGAGGGATCATGATACGAGGAAATCTTGCACATTGAACAGTACTATACAGAATGAGGAGTGGATTTCTACTTCGACTGGCCTCCTGCCTCGCCGTTGTTGTCGCCGTCGTTTTCGCCGTCGTCGTTGGAATAGATTGGCTTTGGCTGCGTCTTTGCCCACGCATTTGTCCACTTCGGGTCCGCGTCGGCCTTGTCGGCGTACTTGAGCAGAGCCTCGCGCGGGTCCTCGCTCCGCGAGTTGTCCTGTGTGAAGTGAATGCATTCGGTCAGTTTGTGAAGTGAATGCAGTCGGTCAGGTTCTCTCTCATATCATTCAGACGGGTGAGGCGAGGCAAAGACACATACCCGAAAGATGCCCTGGACCATGTGCTGCGTCGCGGCCGAGCCGATGCGTCCGCCCTTTCCGGGCCCTTCGAGGGGCTTCTCGGGCATCCTCGTCGCCCTCGGGTCCTGCCGCATCTTTTCCAGCTTGCGCTTCTTGGCCATCTGGCCCACGCCCTGGCCCCGGTCCGCGGCGTTTTGCGCGCCGGGCGTGATGATGGGCCCGTCAAACTCGTTGGCGGCCATGACGGCATCCAGGTCGCGCCTCGTCTTGGCCCGCTTGCCCACACACAGCAGCGCGCCGCGGACCGACGACGTGGGCGAGTAGAAGACGTGGGCAGTGCCGGTGGACGTCGAGGCAAACAGCTGGTTGATCTTGGGATGCCACTGCAGCTTGATGACGCTCCCGCCTGTGCTGTTAGCCGTTGCTGCTGCTGCTGCATCACTCGAGCCACCACCACCGCTGCCATCGAGGACAGGGATGGTGCGCAGCGGGGCCAGGTCGGTGCGCGAGAGGACGCGGATGCTGCCGGGGCCCCTGTCCTCGGTCGTGCCCGTCAGGACGGCGCTCTCATCGAGGCTGAAGATGACGCTCGTCGCGCTGTACTTTGTCGGCAGGTCGCCCTGCTCGGCCAGGGGCTTCTTGAAAGAGCGAATGTCCCAGAGCTTGACGCAGTCGTCGCCGCTCCCGCCGCGCGTGGCCATGCACCGGCCGTCGTTGGTGAAAGCCAGGCTCGTGATGCCGCTGCCCCTGCTGTGTGCGCCCTCCACCGTGGCATTGGGCCGGCTGTATGTGCCCGAGGTGGACCAGATGTGCAGCGCGCCGTCCTCGCAGCCGGCAGCGAGCATCTTGCCGTCCGAGGCAAAGCCGCACGTTGTCACTTTCGTTCGCGTGCCCCGCTCCTTGCTCTTGACGACGACGACCGTCTGCTGCTTGAGCCGCTCGTCGGCGTCCCAGAGCCGCACGGAGCTGTCGGCGCTCGCCGTCGCAAACACATTTCTCAAAGATGGGTGCCAGCAGCACGACGTGATCTCGGCGACGTGGCCCGACGTGTGCTTCATGTCGCGGATGTAGACGTCGCCCTTCTTGTACTCGGCCAGCAGGCCGCCCTCGCGGTCAAACAGCTTGGCCTGGGCGGTGCCCGAGGTGACGAGCAGGCTGTCGCCCGAGTGCGACCAGGCCAGATCGGTGACGGGGTACGACCCAGCGGGCTCAAATGTCTTGTGGGGGCGGAAGCTCGACGACATGCCTCCGAAATCCCAGAGCTTGACGTCATAGTCGAATGCACCCGTGGCGACTCGCGCCCCCGATCCGTCGACGCTCATGGCCGTGATGGCCTTTTTGTGGTCCCGCAGCTCAACCTCGCTCTCCAGTGGGATACCTGCGGACGAATCAGGCCCCATAGGCTCAGGTCCGAGGTCATCTTCGTCATCGTCATCGTCGTCGTCGTCGTCGTCGTCATCATCATCGCCTGATCCCTGGGCCTCCATTGCTCGCCGATTCGCTTCCCTCTCTTCCGCAGTCAAGCCGTCGTCGTCTTCGTCTTGATCTTGCTGCTGTCCCTGTCTTTCCATTCCATTGGTCCCTGCTGATGTTTCCCTCTCCCCGTCCTCGTCCTCGTCGTCCTCATCGTCCTCCTCTTCCGCCGCGTCGCCTCCTGGTGGCCGAGTCGGCCCCTTGACGGGCGCATTTTGGCTCGCCGACACAGGCGCAGGCGCAGGACCCTTTCGACTCGCCTTGCCGAAGCTCATGGGCATCATCGCCCTCAGCGCCTCGTCGTCCATCGTTGCCCGGCTGCTGCTGCTGTTGCGTTGCTCCACTCAGCCCAATCGTAACGTCCTTGGGTTTAGGAAAGAGGCGCGAAATTTAGAGGTGGACGGACCACGTGAAGTGACGCGCGCGCCCGCTCAAAGAAACAGGCACACTTGGGTGCCACCCAACATCGTCGCAGTGGCAGAGCCAGCGTGACTTTGCGCAGTGCGAAGGGACAGTCATGGAGGCCGAGGAGAGAGACAAGCTTGAGAATGGGAGTGGAGACGGACTCGCGGTACTGCGCCTGTCTTTTCCGGCGGCATCGGCTCCAAACGAGGCGCATCCTGATCAACAGCAGCATCATCAGCTCGTGTCTTCTCTCGCCGTCGCCTCGCTCAAGCACCTCCTCTTTGCCAAGGGACAGGTCGCCAAGCCCGTCGCGGCGCTCTCTCTCGAGCGCGAGCGCGAAAAGAAGCTGGCTCGCGGGGGCTCAGGCGCTCGACGGGGAGCTCTGCGGAGTGGTGCCGGGCGAAGGAAGCGAGACAAGGTGCGTACATGCTCTCCATTCCAACGAGTTCAGGCCATGCACTGAACGAAGCTGTGCCCATTGCAACAGCTCCTCGACAATATCGACGCTGCCTCGAGACACATCGAGGCCGCCGTCGAGGCGCTCGCTGCAGGGAGCGGGTCTGAGCAGGACGATGTGGCCCTCATGATTGCGCTGGGCCCCTCGCTGATGCTCCCAAAGGAGCTCTACCATGTCAAGATCAAGGACGGCCTCCAGCGAAATCACCGTGCACCGAATCATGCAGCAGCTACCGAGGAGAATCCCGTGCCCATGGCCAAGCCCAAAGCGAAGACGGCGAGCCTGATGGAGCGCAAGCTCGTCCGGTTTCTCGTCGAGCGCGCCTCGGATGAGCAGCAGGGGCAGGGCGGGCTGGCCGAGGCGTTCCAGAGGCACCTTGCGCCCACGAGGGCCCATCTGCTTCTCTTGGCCCCACCAGACTTTTCGTGCCCTGGCTGGATCCCCAAGCGACACCTGAGGCTGGACACGACGGGCACAGGCGTGCAAGTTGGGCCGGCAAGGCGGCCTACGCCGTCCTCTCCTCAACACCCACAAGCACAAGTCGGTGAACTGGGAGGCAATGTCCACAACAAAGGCACGGCAGCAGCTGCTTCGTCGTCGTCGTCGTCGTCGTCGTCCATCCTCTCAGCCCCGATGAACTTAGTCAGTGCTGATGCGCCCATGCAGTCCCAATCTTCCGATGCCGCTAGCGAGGATGCCCCCTCCAGGAGCCCCTCTGTCGCCTCCCTGCGTCATTCCGGCACCTCGACACCCACAAGCCAGGCCAACTCGTCCTCGGTATCCACCGCCGAGCCCAGCAGCCCGACAAGCGCCAAGAGGCACGAGCAGCAGCCAAGCCGGACAGACAGCCACACGCAGGAAATCACCGAGCTGTCCGAGGCCCTCAGTCCGCTCAAACGTAAGATGAGGACTGCGCCGACAGCAACAACGACGAGCAAGTACAGCAGCAGCAATAGTAGCAGTAGCACCACCGTCGACGGCAGTCCAGCCAGCAGGCTCTTTTCTCCGTCTGCCCGTCAGAGCCAGGGCCACGGTCGGCCTAAGCTAGGAGACGAGGGCTTACGGTCGTCCTCGTCGCCTTTTGGTTCGTCGCCGTTTAGTCAGACGCCGTCGAGCAGACGCTCGGCCGCGGCAGACCCTACCAGGCGGCCACTCTACCAAGGCAGAAGCCTCTCTGACCTCGTCCTCAACCCGCATCAAGCAGCCGAAGAGAAAGGGGCTAAGTCGCCGCTTGGGCCACACGGCGAGAAAGACGAGGCAGCGAAGCAGCAGCAGCAGGCCAGCATCGAGGAAAAGAGGCGCGCAAGGGCGCTTCAGAGGGCAAAGCAGCTCGGATCAAGGCGCCTCGACCCAAAGTCCACCTCAATGGCCATCGTGCCCTCGGGGCGGGGTAAAAAGGCCCCAGCGGCTGCGGGCTTCGTCATCCACTGCCGCCGAGGCGGCGGCGGTGGTGAGGATGGCGGATGTGCCAACCATCACGACGACGAAGCAGCCGGTTGCGACAACCGCATCTGGTTCCTCTCCCGGGCCACCTTGTCCGGCTTTCAGTAGCAGAGCAATTGTACTTTTAGCAGCAACTATCACAATGAGACACTAGCATAGTCCCATCATCCCTCCCTCCCTTCTCGCCAAGAGCTGGTTCGCCGATCAAAGAATCGTAATTGTGTGTGTGTGTGTGTGTGTGAGGTTGGCCTACAGGAAGCCTATGATCATACAACGAGGCAGACGGCTTCGTCGCGCGCGCCTCGATTTTGGGGGGGTGGGATGCATGAAGAGATGAGTGCGTGTGTGGGGTGTATGACGGAGCCGAGTGTGGAATGTGCAATGGATCAGTCGAAGAGCCAGTCTACTTCTTGCTGTTGACAAGGGCCTTGACGATCTTTGCCTCCTCGACGAGGAACGCCCGGATGATGCTGCGGGGAGGGGGACAAGGTCAGTGACCGTCCATCGTGAATCGTGATCTCGGAAATGGAAAGTCTCTACTCACCGAGTCCTGACGCAGTTGGCACACCTGTTCCCGCCGTACGCACGCTGCACCGTCTTCTTGGTCTTGCTGACCGACGAGTATTGGCGCGGGCGGAGGGCCTGGACACCGGGCAGGGACGTGTGGCAGTCGCCGCACTTGGGCGTCGAGGCCTGCTTGCCAATGAGGTGGTACCTGAGCTTGCCGCCGGGCGTCTTGATGACGCGACGACGGTTCGACTTTGTGTTGTAGGGCGTGCGGGTGGGGAGCGTGACTCGTTGCGCCATCTGGAGGGAGTGTGCAGCATGTTAGTTTCCAGTCTCTCTGCTCGCGATGCAATCAGGCTTTCCCCTGCCCTTCCTTCCGTCCCTCCTCTCCCGACGATCAGACCACGCATTTCCCCCGCCTCTTTTCCCAGTGCTCTGCTCTTCCCAACGTCACAGGCTAAGCTCCCCCCTCCGCAGTCGCCCTGCTCGCCGCCATCCTCTTCTAAGGGCAAGCGCGACATCCAGCCATCCTTCCTCGTAAGCCCCCACAGCCGAACCGTCTTTGCGACAGTGAATCCTCGTCCTCGTCCGTATCCTTGCTCGTGCGTCCCCTCCCTCGCCACTCGCAGCATCCACCTCCTTGCAATACTCACTTTTGCCGATTGGTGACCTTGAGAAATGGACGACGAAGCAGCCTTCTCCTCGAAGCGCGCCCAAAAGGTTTCGTCCAAATCGGCCGGGAGCTTCAGCGCGCCGCAGCTCTGTGTGCCACGCGACTGTCCAAGAGAGGAAAAAAAAAAAAAAAAAAAAGAAGAGGCAAAATTCAAATTGTGTTTTGTCATTTGTCCATTTTCAGTCATGTCATGAGACGCGCACTTCCCTGTCGAGCCTCTGAGCTTGAAGTGCAAATGCCGCCTGTTCGTGACTGCTCGCTCGAAGCTTCTTTCCGAGAGATTGGTCATGGACAACCTTGGAACTCCGGTCCCCGAATATACGGCAGGGCCGCGAATCTGCTGCTCGATCAGAGAGCAAGCGGAGCGCCAATCGAAGCAGGCATGGTCCAACCGACGGCGGACCACGCTTTCGGCATGTGCATGGTCACGAACGGGGTCACGTGTCAGGGTCAAGAGCGCATTGGGCTCCTTATCTCAGTTGACCAATGGCATATTACACAAGGCAAAGAGGCCTTGTCAAGCGTTTCTTTTCTTGGCGTGTTGGAGAGACGAGTGCAGACAGGACTGCTGCTATGTTGCCCGCTGACTATACATTGATTGCACTGCGAAGAGAGATTGGGACGGAGGTCCAGGAAATAGAAGAGAGGATCCTCCACCTCACGCGCTTAGAAGGAAACGATGTGGGGTGTGGCGTGCTCGCACGGGTAAGTCGGCCCAAGCAGAATCAGTCAGGCAAAAGTCCACTGCAAGAAGCCAGCCTTGTCGACGTTAATTGAGGGCTGGGCAATGCTGATTCGCCGCTTTCCCAATGGAAATTGAGACAAGGCCACTCCACTCCTGCTTGCACATTTCTCTCCCACATCATCCAGCGTAGCATATACAGTACAGTACATACAGCGACCAGCAGCTTGCGGTGGATCCACTCGTTTCTTATTTTTCCCCCGCTTGCTCCGATCCCCCTTCCACGAAAGGGAGACAGTGCCTATATTATTAGAGCGTACCCTCCCGTTCTTCTCTTTCCCTCTCCTCACCCACATCCTTTGCTCTATTTCCTCCTCCTCCTCCTCCTCCAACTCATACCCAGTCGACCATGGCCGAGTACCGAGACGCACCCACGTACGACATCCCCAAGAGGCTGCAGGGCAACCCCAAGCCTCACATTGACGCGGACACGTACAAGAAGACGTACGAGGCCTCGATCAAGAACCCAGACGAGTTCTGGGCAAAGGTGGGTAACGGACTCGAGCCGTGATTTGGGGAACACGTCGGAGCGCTCGAGTGCGTTTCGATTGTATGCGCTAGTACCAGTGCTCGACAGGCTTTCTGAGGTGAAGTGCTTCACTCGGCATGCCCCGGCATTGCGGCAGAGCGGGGCGCTGAAGATTGCTGCTGCTTGCTCCTCTCCGCGGATGCGCGTCCGAGCGCTTGGCAAAGAAAAATGATGAGCTGAGCTGAGCTTGGACGCTGACTGTCCGATGGTCTTGCAGATTGCAAATGAGACAATCTCGTGGGACGTTCCCTTCCGCACCACACGCGCCGGTGGCTTCCAGAATGGCGACGTCGCCTGGTTCCCCGAGGGCCAGCTGAATGCCGCGTACAACTGCGTCGATCGCTGGGCGTTCAAGAACCCCGACAAGGTGAGTGGGCCCGAACTTCTGGGCCTTTCTTTTGTCTCGGCATGGGCACATGACTAAACACGTCTTTCTGCTGGACAGGCTGCCATCATCTACGAGGCCGATGAGCCCAACCAGGGCAAGACGCTGAGCTACAGCCAGCTGCTGCAGCAGGTGTGCCAGCTGGCCAATGCGCTCAAGAAGCGAGGCGTCAAGAAGGGCGACACCGTTATCATCTACCTGCCCATGATTCCTGAGGCTGCCGTTGCCCTCCTTGCCTGCGCCCGTATTGGTGCCGTCCACTCGGTCGTCTTTGCCGGCTTCAGCGCAGACTCGCTCCGTGACCGGACTGTGGACTGCGAGGCCCGCGTCGTCATCACGACCGACGAGGGCAAGCGAGGCGGCAGGACGATTGCCACAAAGTCCATCGTCGATGCCGCACTCAAGGACTGCCCCAAGGTCGAGCACTGCCTCGTTGTCCAGCGCACGGGCAACGAGCAAGTGAGCATGACAAAGGGCCGCGACGAGTGGTACCACGAGATCACGGCAAAGGAGAGCCCCTACTGCCCACCTACGCCCGTGGCCTCCGAGGACCCTCTCTTTATTCTCTACACGTCTGGATCCACTGGCAAGCCCAAGGGTGTCGTCCACACCACTGCTGGCTACCTCCTGGGCACTGGCCTGACTGTCAAGCACGTCTTTGACGTTCACGAGAATGGTGAGGCGCTTCCGATCGTGACTCCCGGCATTACAAAGCAGAAGGCTGACTCGAGAGTGTCATAGACCGCTTTGCCTGCATGGCCGACATTGGCTGGATCACGGGTCACTCTTACATTGTGTACGGCCCGCTGATGAACGGCGTCACGTCGCTCATCTTTGAGAGCACGCCCGTGTACCCGACGGCGTCGCGCTACTGGGAGGTGGTGCAGCAGCACAAGATCACCCAGTTCTACACAGCCCCTACTTCGATTCGTCTCCTCCGCAGGCTCGGCGATGACTTTGTCAAAGACCACGACCTCTCGTCCCTGCGTGTTATTGGTACCGTGGGCGAGCCTATCAACCCCGAGGCTTGGAACTGGTACAATGAGAACGTAGGCAAGAAGGAGTGCGCCATCGTCGACACCTACTGGCAGACCGAGACGGGCTCCCACCTCATCACGCCCCTTCCTGGCGCAACAAAGACGAAGCCCGGATCGGCCACCGTGCCCTTCTGGGGTATCGAGCCAGTCCTGCTTGACCCGACGACGGGCCAGGAGCTCACCGGAAACGAAGTCGAGGGTGTGCTTGCGGTTCGACAGCCGTGGCCGTCGATGGCACGGACCATCTTCAATGACCACCAGCGATTCCTGGAGACGTACCTCCACCCTTACAAGGGCTTCTACTTTACTGGCGATGGTGCTGCCCGAGACAAGGACGGCTACATCTGGATCAAGGGACGCGTCGACGATGTTCTCAATGTCTCTGGTCACCGTCTCAGCACGGCCGAGATTGAGAGTGCGCTGATCTCGCACCCGGGCGTTGCAGAGGCTGCCGTCGTGGCTATGCCCGACGAGACGACGGGCCAGGCCATTTGCGCCTACGTCACAATGAAGGCCGACTACGAGGGTGGCGACGACCACGAGTCGCTCAAGAAGGAGCTCGTCGTCACTGTCCGCAAGTCCATCGGCCCCTTCTCGACGCCAAAGATTATCAACATTGTCCCCGACTTGCCCAAGACGAGGTCGGGCAAGATCATGAGGCGGATTCTGCGAAAGATTGCGAGCAACGAGGGCGACCAGCTCGGCGACATTTCGTCCCTCGCCGACCCATCGATTGTGGAAAAGATCAAGGACCAGCACGAGAAGAGCAAGCCAAAGTAAATGATGACATGGGTTCTTTTTGCGCTCCCCCACCTCCCCAAAACTTAATCTTTTTCGCGGTCTGTTGGCATTGGGTCGGATCCGCACCAGTATTGTATCCTCCGTCCCTTTCGCCCTTACTCTTGCTCTTTGCTTGTCTCGTTCGTGGCTTTTCGGTGAAATAAATAAAGCAAATGGAATGGATTGTTGCCTCCCGGGGAACAGAGAGATGCTTCGGCAATAAGGCGGAGAAGAAAGGTATATTGCACTTCGAAAAGAAAGAGGAAGGAAACACAAGACAAGTAACAGAGAAGAGGGCTTTATAGGAAGGACTATCAAGAACAAGTAAGGGTAGAAAGGTATTGAGTCTGGTAGGTGGTATTCTTTGCGTTCTTCGTGAAGAGATATTAAGAAGAAAAGGTAAACACTGGAAGAAGAGGACGTGCGATTCGTGAAAAGGTGGTGTCGTCAAGAAAGATAATGGGTGATCACCGATTGAGGTAACCTCCGAATTTGCCGGGGTTGGCGCCATTGCTCGGTTTCAGGGCTCTTCCTCTGTCCAACACGCTGTAAAGGGTTGCAATCGGGTGAGCTGGATGATACCTCCTTGGGCAGGAAAGGTCTTGCAAGGACTCACCTCAGACCTTTGAGGATGGCTGCTTCGTTGAGGGCCTGAATCCGCTTCTGCTCTGCGCAGTTGCACCCGCACGCACTGCATTGCGGGATGGGCGTCTGGAGCGGCGACGGTGGTGCAGGCGCACTGAGATTGGGGCTCGGTAATGGCGTTGGCTGGTCCGAGGCCGCATTGAGTGACGTCTTGGAAGAGCTACTGGGCAGGCCAGGAGCCGGCTGCTGGCTGACCAGGCCCATCTCGACAGCCTGCTGTCGAAGCTGAGCCAGCTCGGCGACGACCCTGGCCATTTCCGCCTCGAGCTCGATGGCCTTGTTCCGGGTAGAGGAGATCGCAGCGGCCCTCTCGCCGGCGTTGGCAAATGCCGCGGCCGCATTAGCGCCCGTGTTGGGTGTGGCGGGGAAGCCGTTGACGAGACCCAAGGCGCTTGACGAGGCATCGCTCTGGTCCGAGGCTGTACTGTGAGGCCGCTGCTGCGGGTGCGAGCTCAAGTAGCGGGCATTTGGTGCCGATTCGCTGACTCGCGCAGCAGCACCAGGGTCACCGCTGCCGTCAGTGGTCGCGTGGCTGTGAGCGCTCTCGAAGCCGGGCGATTGCGCAGATGGAGATGGAACGCCCTGCCCCTTGCCCTTGCGATATGGCGTGGCCACAATCGCAGCCGGTGCCTGCACGCGGTCCGACAAGGTAGGACGGGCCCCGTTTACCTTTTGCGCTTCGTTGACCGTCGCTACCGTTTCCTGCGCGTCTTCATAGAAGGCCTGCGAAGATGTCCTCGACACCTCGCCTACGCTCCGGCTCGTCATGGCAGGAGAAGGGGCCGAAAGCTGATTGGAAGGGCCTGAGAGTAGCTCCAAATTTCCTTGAGCTCCGCCTTCGGCGATGGAATCTAGCGCAGTGTCGTTGCTATCCGGCTTTGGCGCTAGCAAATCCGCGCCAAAACCACTGAACATGCTCGACATTGGTCTCAGCTGGAGGGCAGGTGCCACGAGGCCAAGGCCCTCGCTGTGGTGTTCCGTCTCCCTAGCAGCTGACGATGACAAAAGCATCGACGGCATCGCTGCGTCCTCGTCCACGGCTTTGTTGTCCTTGTTGAAAATCTTCAAAAAGCCGCTCTTCTTGTTCTTGAGAGAAGAGGGAGGATGACTGGCCTCGAGCGAATTGCCGTGACCGCTGTTGGTGTTGCTTGCACGTTGGCCGCCGTCAAGGCTGTTCGTGGAGACGGATCTCTGAGCGTCGGCCATCCGTTCCCTGCTCTGGTTCAGTCGAGCCTGCTCGAGCGAAATGAGCTTGTAGGGAACGCCGCCATGGTTACCCAGGCTGGGATGTTGCTTCATGTCCCCGGCACCAGCCGTTATGGGAACGCCGGACAGGCTGGACCTCTCTTGTGCCTCGCTCGAATCGCTCTCGTGGTTCGAAGACTGCGCATTTGCTGAGACCATTGCTGCCATGCCCACAGCCGCCGTAGGTGTGGCAGAGCCCGCACGGGCCTCCTCTTCGTGGGAAGAAACGCTCAGGCCCTGACCCTTGGCAGAAGGCAGAGCCATTGGCGTAGGGCGAGACTGGGTATGAGCATTCGAGCTTGAAGCCCTTGACTTGCCCTCCTGGCTTTCATGAGTTGACGTGCTCAGTTGCTGATGCTCCAACGTAGCCATTGTCTTCCAGGCAGGAGGAGGGCTGCTGGGCGAAGTCCACTCGCCGGTCGCCTGGGCTCGCTGCTGTTGCTGCTGTTGGTACGAATAGGTGCTGTCAGGCGTGAAGGTCGAAGTCCGCTTGTAGGAGAGCGAGGAGGGCATCCTCGGAGTTGTCGCTTGAGCAGGACTCGTTCCTTGGGAGGAGGCTTGCATCGGACTGCTCTGTCCAACACCCAAGGATGGAGAACGTCCATTGGCGGCCATTTTCGTCTTGGGCGTGAAAGCCTGGTCTCGATACTTCTGGTTGCTCGTCACCAAGAGCTCCGAGAGATCCGGCTTCTTCGCAGGCGACACCATGGGGCTCGTGCCAGCCGATGAGGCTGTGGCGCCGAGCGAGGACGACATCGTCGACCCATTGGTCAGATTGGAAATAGAGCCGTTGTGACTTCCCATGCTACCGCTTTCGCGCTCGGCCGCATCTCCACCTGTGTGGTGGGCCCGGTGGTTCTTGGGCGTAGCTTGATTCGCTGAGGTAGACGACGGCGCAGAGACATTCTCGTGGCTCTCTCTCCCGTCCCGGGCAAGGCTCGAGTGGCTCAAGGCACCTGGGCTGGACGTCGTCATGCTGTAAGGAGATGATGGCGGCTGCATTTTGTTGCTGTTATTACTGTAGTTGTTTCCTCCAACAAAAACGGCAGGGAGCTGCTGCGGCTGCGGCTGAGGGCTCGGTGGCATGTTGGCAAGGTGAGCGTAGTCATCCGAGGAGATGCCGGCACTGAGGCTTAGCGGTCCCTTCTTGGACATCTGATCGGCGTTACTGCCTCCAATGCGGAAAGCTTTTGCGAACTTGTTGCCTTTCTTCGTTGGCGGGGCAGCGCTCGAAGCCAGGCCGAGACCTTTGAGCACGCCAGCGGCATTGCTCGAGATGCTCTTGCTCCTGCTCCGCCTTGACGCATTCGACGCTTGCTCGGCCGCAGCCATTGCAGCAGCCACGACAGGATCGGTTTCGTCTGGAATCTGACTCGAGGTCCCGTTGGACTTTTGTCCCATAGAAAGCGGCGACGGTGCTGGCATAGGATCGTGGTCCTTGTCCTTCAAGTGGAACGAACGTCCGCGGAGCGATTCCATGCTCTGCCTTGCCCAGCCTCCGCCGCCACCGGGCTTGGTAGAAGATGGAGGGTTAGGGACCGTTTCATGCGAAGTCGTCCTCTCCCTGTCAGTCGAAGGCCTGGCCAACGCGCTCCATGGAAAGTCACGCGACGTGCCGCTCGATGAGTTGCGTGGCAAGCCTCCCATGCCGTCATCTGCGTCGTCGTTGTCATCGAGTTCCCAGGGTGCTGGGCTGTTCTTCTTGAGCCGCGGGCCTAAGCTGCTCGTCAGTCTACCGGCATGGTTGTTGCTGTCGAGGGCGTGGACGAGACGTTCTTCCTCTTCGGCGCCTTCCTCGTAGCTCAAGACCGGCGATCGGTTGAGCCGTCCCTTTTTGCTTCGCTTTGTGACATGCAGAGGAGCTGTCGCCGATGCAGTGGATGATGATGACGAAGAGCTGGTCATGCCCTTTGCTGATGTTCGTGTGGGAATCGGTGGCATCTTGGGGACGACTGTCCCGTCTGGCAAGCGGCGCGGCTCGCTCTTTGCGTGCGCCGTCATTCCATCCGCGCGCTTCGATACTGGCGGCGGCGGTAGTTGTGGCGTTGGTGATGACGGGCCCACTGGCGAGGTCGGCATCATCTCAAAGTCATCATCGCCCAGAGCAGCGAGGTCGCCCATGCTCCGGCCTGCAGGCTGACCATTGTTCGGAGCAGGGTCATCGGGCGAGTCATCAAAGTCGGAGCGTCGATCGTCGTCCAAATTGGCGGGGCCTTCGCTGTACATGCTGCTGGTCTCCGCCATGCTGCCCCTCATCGGGTCAAAGGTGTGACGCGGGCGAGTGGGGAACATGGGCATGGGCGGTGCATCGGCGCCGTCGAAGCGGTCGGCCTTGTTGGCGCCTCGGCCGGCCCAGATGCTCGACCCCACGCTCGTGTTCCTGCCATGGCCGTGGCCTCCCCCGCCACGTTGCTCGTCGTCTTGCTGCTGCCCTTCGTAGCCCTCTTCCAGCTCATCGTCATCGTGGTGACCTTTGAGGACTGTGCTTCGTGATTCGTTCTTGAACAAGCTCGGAGAAGCAGCCTTTTTCTTAGCTTTCGCTGCCTTAGAGTAGCTGCCATTGGATCGAGGCTGCGTGCCTGAGGTGCCCTTTCGCCTCGTCTGTTGCGCAGCCACATCGCCATCGTCATCGCTGAGTCGATCTTGAGCATCGGCAAAACTCGTCGCTTCATCGACATCCGTGTCTCCCTGGCTGCGGGTGCTCAGGCCTGGACTCGGCAGCGGCGGCGCCACATCGCCACTCCAGACCACGCTGGCTCCGCCCTCGGACCATGTCGAGTTGGGCCTGTACTGCGAAAGCGTCTGGTTGTGTCCTTGGTAGGCCACAGCTCTGGCCAATTCTCTTGACTTGGATGTTGACATTCCTTCGCTGTCCCTCATCGTCGGCGTCGGTGAAGACGTTGGCAGAGCCTCGCGATTGTTTCGCTTTGGGGACCTGGGCGGCGCGTTGTGCATTGGCGGAAGCGCCCTTGCCTTTGCCATTGCGCCGCTGCCGCTGCCACTGCTTGATGAGGGCAGGGGCGGCGGTGGCCGCGAAGGCGGAGCGGCGGCCACCGACATGCCTCTAGTCCTCCTTCTATATCCTCTCACTTCTCGATCTGTGCGCTGCGCGATCTGTAGTCGCGATTGTCCCGGTGGTGATGACAGGCGAGCAACGATTCGCGTTCGTACGTCGTCGTCGTCGTCGTCGTAGTAGTAGCAGTCGAGGATTCTCAGAAGCGGGAGAAGTGAAGAGGTTGCACACGCGCACGCGTTCGCTGCTTTCCAGGTCCAGGTAGAGTTGTCAAGTCGCCCGCAACCACTAAAGCTTCAGGCAGTTGAACCTTGCAGGAAGGAGAGGAGAGGGTTTGCGTGTCCTAGGCCTTATTTTCCGCCCTTTGTGTGAAGGCTACGGAGGTATGCCCCCGGCGACTGCTGAGATGCGCGGAGCACACGTAGCGCATACAGGGCTTCGATGCTGCCTCCCATCTGACCGCCGTTATCTGCTAGGCCCAGCCAAATGTAAAGTTCCCCCCCCTTCCACTACTCTACACTAGACTAGCTTCCTCGTGCCCTTTGCAATTCCTCCCCCAAAGAGCCTTGCGGTACCCTCGCTTGCCTAATTATTTGCATTTCCCTGCCTCGGTCCATTATTTACCTTTCTTTCCGTTCTTTTTAACCTTTTTTTTTTTCCTCTTTTCTTCTCCGCCTCACTCGATTTTTATCGTTAGCGCCCAGCACTGGAATGCCAGTCCGACTACTGTCACTTTGCGTGCGTGTGTGTCCCCCCGAACACTCCCGTGCGCGTCTTCTTCGTTCTCTTTGGCCCTCTCTGAAATCGTGACGTTACCGGCCTCGTGTCGACAAGCCTTACTAGGGTAGGTACAGTATATCTGTCTGTTTCACGGAGTCAATAGAGATTATAATATATAATCGGCATCACGATCGGCTGGCTGCCCGTCGTGCGGCGGTGTGTGTCGCGCTAGTCGCTCCTTGTGCGGCGGTACGCACTAGCGAGGCATGCAAGTCTAGGAGCTCTTTCATCGTCGGTCCGGCGCTTCCGTCGCCTGCCTCGCACCAGCCCCCATCTGTGCGGTCACTGGACAAGTCAGGTGACGGGCAAAGACTCTGACAATAGTCATTACGATCATCATCGCCAAATTGTAAAGTACATGGAGCTACCAGACTCGTGCTGCTGGGAATGGCCGCTGCCCGACTCATCAATCTGCCCGAGTGATGAAGACGTCTTTGTTGGTGGTCCTCTAAAAGCGCTTGCCCCACCAAAGAGGTCAGAGAGGACCTCGCCCGCGAGCGAGACGGGCCTCACGGCCTTGCTAGGCTGCATCAGCATCGCGCTCGGCAGGTTGAGCGGCGCGCTCTGCACCGGGTTGCCGAGCTCCATTTCAAACGGAGAGGGCAAGATTGGCACTCGTTCTTCTCCCGTCGTTGTAGCTTCAGATGCAGACGTCTTCTTTGTCTCTTCTTCGAACCTGGTACGGGCCTCTCGCAGCGTGTGGAGCACGTCCTCATATAGCGCGATCTGGCCATCCAGCATCGATCGGCCAACGCCGTTCCAGTCTTCCACTCGCTGCCGATGGACCCGGTCGACCTCGCTCATCGTCATGTTGAGCACTGTCTCGCAGCGGGTGGCCATTTGCTCGTCTGTCGATGCCGTTTCTGAAGACAGCGTTTGGCTGCCCTCTGCCTCAGCGAGCGGGTCAGGCTCACCAGTGGCTTCGCGGTACTTTGCCAGGGTGGCCTTGTGAATCTCCAAGAGAGACTTTCGAGAAAGAAAAGATTAGCTTTGGAATACGTCGAGGCGATGGCAGGGTACTCACAGCGTGCTGAGACTGGGCCTTGGAGAGGTTCCAGAGGCGGTCGTGCTCGTCGTGCAGGACGCCGTGGGCATGTCCATCGTAGAGGTCGGCGACCTGTTGAAGCGCGTCGACGGTGCCTTGAAGCGCCTTTGTCAGCGACTTGCACTCGCCACAGCCATCCCTCCAGCACCACGCTCTCTGCTCGTTTGTCGCACCGTGCTCATCTCGCCTGCCTACGTTGCCCATGGGAGGAAAGACGCCACTACCCAGCGCCGAGCCGTTGGAAGCAGCCGGTCGCGTCCCTGCTCCTAATGCTGTACCCGTCATCATGCGCAGCAGAGCATAGGACAGGTTGCGATAGTTGTCCGAAGAGATCCTGCCACCCTCGCGCATGTCTCTCCAGGAGCCAAGGACCCCGCCACGAGGTGCTGTCCCGTCAGCGCCCATGGCCTTTTCATACGTCGAGAGAAAGGCGGCAACCTGTCTGGCCTCGATGGCTGCCTCGGTCGAGTCGACACCAAAGAGAGGATGAAGCGTCTTCGAAAAGACATCGGTGGTAAAAGCCGCTGCAGCGCGCTGGTTGATCTGCTTTGCCCCCTGTGCCCACTCTTCGCCGTCGTGCTCCGTCTCGAGAAAGAAGCGGACAGCCTCATCGGTCCTCAGGATTGGGTGTCGGACGACGCTGACGAGCCAAGCTTGTAACTCTCTCCTCCGTTTCTCCACGAAAGATGCTTCAAATCGCTGTGCCTTGCCTGCGACGTGGTTGGCTGACGGTAGTGGAGGAAGAGACAGGACGAAGAACGGGTAGACGCGACTGAGATGCGAAGAGAGCCACTTGAAGTGGTTATAGCGCCGATAGACACTCGACATGTACGTTGGGCTTGCTGGTCTTTGCGTCGGATCAGCCATGGGATCTTCCGACAGGCCGATGTCGTCCTGCTGCTCCCTTTCAGAGAAGAAGGTGTAAGAAGCGTGAACGACAAAGGCGATGTATTCACGACCTCGCTCATCGACCTGGACCTCTGGAGTGTGTATCTCTACGTAGATGCCAAATCCGGGCGACTTCCAGGTCGGCCCTCCTTGTGGGCTTGTCACAATGTCAAATTGTTTCTGCCGCGCTGTCTCCCCGTCTGCTTGTTCGATTTTGGCCTTGGAACCAAAGAGGATATAGTCCTCCACGCCAGTCGCGACGAAAGGCGAAAAGCGGTTCATGCTCCGTCCTCCCAGCAAGGTGGCCTTCTTCTTGGAGCCCTCTCTGTGCATCATGGGAGCAGGCGAGCCAGGCGTTGTTGCTGGTGTGACCAATGGAGCAGCGCCCTCCGCCATGGAGCTTGCATGGCTCGCCAGTGTGTCACCTGACTCGGAGACAGGCAGCGACGAGGTAGAGTTGGCAGGGGAAATGGTTTCCTGCGTCTCTCGCGTCCTCACTTGGGATCCCTCGGAGCGACTTTTGACCATATTGAGCGCCTGAATGGCGCCAAGCCTGCTGCCGGACATCTCGCCAATTCCAGAGGCAGGGCGGCCCCGGTCCCAGTCCTGTACAGGACTGAGGTAGGAATCGTTGCGGCTGTGAGCGGGCTCTTGTGACGAGGTCGAGGGCGACATAGTGTGCAGGCTGGAGCCAACGTGAGAATTGCCCTGCGGCGTCTTTGGACCCTCGAGGTCGAGTGACATGGGGCTCGGCTCCGAAGACTTCCTAGCCTCGACGGTGGGAGGAGACAAGGTGAAGTCCTGAATGTATGCGTACCAGCCCTTGGGAACGAGGCCTTTGGTCCAATGGCCCGCGTCCTCTTGAAGGGCTGCCAAGCTCCAGCCCCCGCCAATGTCCTCGTTTAGGATCTCGAAAACTTGGCCAGCTCTCAAGCCGAGCTCGTTGAAATGAGCCTCGCCCGCAAAGGCGTACAATGCCCTGGCAGAGCGACCTCCTTGAGTCACCTGGCTTGACCCTGCATTCAAGCCCGCAGCTGGTGGCTCGCAAATCTCGGGTGTCGGGGCATCCTTTGCTTGGTCGTCTGCAGAACCTTCGTCCTGACTTGGGGCAAAGACCATACTGCTCGGTCTTGGTGGTGGTGGCCCAGCGACCAGCAAGTTTTTCTGGCGTGAGGGTACTGTGTTCGCTGCTGGCTCTGGGAGCTCAGAATTCTGCGCTGCCACTGGTGACTTCGTCGACGGGCCCGCCCGCTCGAATCTACTACCATCTCGCGCATGCATGAGCTGGCCCCCAGCAACGGGGTTGCTCTTGTCATCATGGAAGAAGGCAGCATTGGATACAACCGAAGGTTCTCGCGATCTTTCGATGTCGAACACGGACGACGCCGGAAGCACGGCCCTGCTCCTTGGCTTCGAAAGGCGGAAAGTCGAGACGTCGCAGTCCTCGATGAGGATGCCTGCCTCCATCTCCTCCTCACCCAGAGCTGAGAATCTCTGGCCATTGCCGTTCTCAGAGCCGCCTCTCGCCGTTCTGAACGAGCCCGTGCCGCCTATCGAAGACGAATTCGTAGCCTTCAGGGTCGCTTGACTCGAAGTCGAAGCCATTGCGGCCCTCGTTTGATGCTGCTGCCGTTGTTGCTCGCCATGGGCGGGCGAGAAGAGGTCGGCTAGATTTGCATAAGCTGGCTTGATTGGCGTGATGGCTGCCTTGGCCGTGCCCCACCGCACATTTTCGTCGTCGTCGTCGTCGTCGTCGTCGTCGTCGTCTTCATAGCCGTTTGTGTCATCGTCCTGGTCCCGATCTCTCGCGTCCATTAAGCGCCGAATGGTCGACGGAGTAGGCGCCTTGCCGCTGTTGATGGTCTGCGTGCTCTGCTTGCGGATATAGGTCCTCAAAGCGTCCGAGGAAAGCGTGCCCGTTATGGCCACAGAGAGGTGCGATGGCTTGGGCGGAGGAGCAGGCCTCATCGTCGACCTGCCTGCGTCCCCGGCTTGTGAGGATGTGGGGGAGTGTATTCTTTATGAAGAATGTGTCGGAACGGTTGTGCCGAGGTTGGGGCGGGGAATCTATTGAAAGGATATCACACGCGTCGTTGCGGTCGTCACAGTCGTCGTCAATGTCGTAGCGTGCCGCCTCCAAGCTGATGTCACTGAGGAGCACGTCCCGATGGTCTTCTATTGTCCGATATATTGGGTCCTTTGTCGAGGCCGTGGTGAGGAGCCTTCCACCGACCAACACCACTAGTAGCCAGTCTCCTGCAGGGCGCCTGCTTTGAACCCCTTTCGAAAAATTAAGCTCGGTCGCGCAGAAGCACGTGGAAGATCGCGCTATTCCGACGAGTCAGACTCGTAGAAAGTGGAAAGCGATCTCTCTCGTCTGCCCAGGACGACGCAAGGACACGCCCATCAGAGATTTAGAAGCCGAAACGAACCATGCTGCAAGTTTGAGAGAAGCGCCGGGGCGCTTACTCTCTGAATGCTGACACGCCGAGGCGATGCCTTGGAGCAAAAGCAAAGGCAACAACAAGTCTGTCGTCGTACCCCCTGCTCTGCAGCCTTCTGCTCCCTCGCGCTCTCTCCAAGAACTTGCTCAGCTCCAGAGCACTGAGCTCGAGGTCCTCGAGAGCATCCTCGGTCCAGACTTTGAACAAGTTCAGGCCGAGGCACTTACACCATGGAACAGAAAGGCGACGCCTCCTTCGCCTAGTGGCTCCCAGCGGCAGCAGCAGCAGCAGCACACATTCGATGTGACGCTGAGGCCGGATGTCGACGAGCTCAAGCCGCACGTTTCGGCGCTCGTCCGCTTTCGGCTGCCGTTGCGTTACCCAGACCTGCCCCCCATCATCAAAGTTGTCGAACAGTCGGAAAAGACAAGGGGTGTTACGGCCCGGCAGGCGCTCGCTTTGCAGGACTACCTGTCGGCCCGTGCAAAAGAGCTGCTGGGTACTGTTGACGAGATGCTCTGGGAACTTATCACGGGAGGTCAGGAATGGATGAGTGGCCATAATGAGGCTGTTTCAAAAATGACGAAAGGACCGAATCGAAGCTTGGAGGAAGAAAAGGAGCTGAGAGAAAGGGCGGCGCAAACAGTGAGTGTAGGAACTGAGAGCGTGAGGAATGTATCAGCTGAGGCTATATTGTTGCCTTCTGAACCAGGCAGAGGAGAAGCGAGCGCGAGAGGAAACAGAAAGACTGCGGCAAGAGGAGGCAGAGAGGGCTTCGAAGCTGGTGCAACTTATCGAAGAGGAGCAGTCGAAGAAGGCGCTGGCCATCAAGGAGGAGCGTGATCGTAAAAGAGAGGCCTTTGCCATGCCTTCGGCGGGCAACAGCTCCCCTTCCCAGTCGCCTCGGTCGCCGGACAACAATCGTCGAGGTCTGCAGCGCAGTGTGACTCTCAACAAGCTAGGGACCAAAGAGTCGGGCGACTTGGATATTCGATCGTCGCTCCTCAGAAAGGCTCAGGAGCTGGATGGGAGCCAGCAAACGGAAGCATTCATCGATCCGATCGAACATCTGGGCGTCGTCACCCACCACGTCGCCATCGGTCCATTGTTACGGCAGAATCGCCTCTCGACTGTACATCTGGCCTGGGCCCATCCAAGTCTATCGCAACAGAACGCTTCCATGCAGCAGAACAATGGGCTCTGGTGCCTGGAGACCTTTCCGATCACGACAAGACATTATGACCTTTCGAGCGGCAAGCGAAAGATCGAAGAGGTTGAGTGGGAACTGGAAAAATTGAGGGGTATCCGCGAAGAGACGCTGGTCAATGTTCTGGCTTGTGCGCTGGTCCTGGACGATGCCCACGACATCTCCCCGCTCTCGACGCGGCGACCGTCGACAAGCAAGGTATCACGCAGGCTGCTGGTCCTCTCAGAGAGAATCGAAGGCCCGACGCTGCGAACGTTACTGCGTCAATGTGGTCGTCTATCTTGGAAGAAGGTGCGCTATCATCTATGGGACATGCTTTGTGCCCTGGATGCCCTGCACTCGCGAAACTTACTCCATCGCAACATCTGCCTCGACTACTTCTACCTCGATGACGGTCGGCCAAGCCACATGAAGCTCGCAGGAACCGGCTACGTGAGGCGGCTAAGCGACATGGACGAGGTCAATCCGCTGTCCGACAAAATGGGAAATCAATTTGACGCCCTTCCCACCAGTGATCTCCCCACTGGTTGGCTTGCGCCGGAAAGCATCATGGCGTCGGAAGATTCGCCTTCAGCAAAGGTCTACACGCGCAAGATTGACATCTGGAATCTAGGAATCGTCGTACTTCAAATGCTCTACTCGTCGACGATTGTCTCCCAGTATTCGTCTCTTGATGCCTTTCTCGCCAGCGAGGCGTTTGGTCCATTAGATGAAGCCCTTGAGGCATCTGCGGAGCACGTCAAAGTCTTTCTCCGCGGCATGCTGGAGAAGAGCACGAGGAAGCGGTGCTCGGCAGAAGAACTCAAGAGCAGGCTCGAGGAAATGATTCGCTTCGAGGAGGCCGAAGAGAACAGCCGAGGCATAACGACAGAGACCACCGCCACTGCAGGGAAAAGAGCCAAAAGAGACACTTTCACAGCTGCCGACAAGAACGACCGTCCAAAAATGACTCGTGGGCCGTCGGCGGCGACCGATGTGGGAGGCGCAGGTGCCGAGGAGCACGAGCTTGCCATGACGAGGGCACTCCGCCCTGGCTCTTTTTGGCAGCTTCGACGAAATGATGCCACTGCGCCTGTCACGGGGCTTTCCAGGTACGAGAGCGACTTTGAAGAGCTCGAGCTGCTGGGAAAAGGAGCCTACGGCGCAGTCTTCAAGGCAAGGAATCGCCTCGACGGACGCAGTTACGCCATCAAAAAGATCCGTCTTAGTGCATCTGCCGAGAACGATGACCGCACGCTGCGAGAGATCACGGCTCTTTCGAGATTGAACCATCAAAACATCGTCCGTTACGTCACTTGCTGGATCCAGACACAGGCCGAGGATCCACAGCCAACGTCGAGCGAGGAGGCGATGAGCTCCTTGAAGACGACCGATGGCCGCTCGAAGGCCGACTTCAGCTTCAGGGTGCCAGGGATCGACGACGACTTTCTCTCGGTAGGACACGACGCTGGAAGCAATGTCCGCTTTGGTAGCTCCGACTCGGGCGAGAGCGACGATGAAGATCCGGCGCCACCGTGCAAGGCAGGGGAGCGTCCGTCTTGTTCAGAAGGATCCAAAGACTCGGACTCAGACTCAGATTCATCGTCAGACTCGAGCTCGGAGACGCGGTCGGGTTCAGAATCAGTGGACCGCATTGCATCACGTTCGAGCTTCAAGAGGCCGCAGCCACAAGACAGCAGAACAGCGGCATCTCCTTCTCAACCCCGCTGGCTGTATATCCAGATGGAGTACGTCGAAAATCAGACACTCAGAGAGGCAATCGACCGTGGCCTATCCGTTGACGAAAGCTGGAGGCTCTTCCGGCAGATCATCGAAGCGCTCGTTCACATCACCTCCCTCGGTATCATCCACCGAGATCTCAAGCCTAGCAACATCCTCATGTATTGCAACGATCAGATCTTGATGGAGGCTGCCAACACTGCCAATCCCATCTCCTCTTCGACCAACACAGCTGGTGATATCAAAATTGGAGATTTCGGACTCGCGACGACGACGCCACAGCAAGCCCAGCTTGATGGACCCACGTACGGTACACTCGAGGAGAGCGGAGACTTGACTACTGAGGTTGGCACAAATCTGTACATTGCTCCCGAGGTGGCCAAGCGAGGTGGATCTCGCTATGACCACAAGGTCGACGTCTACGCTGCCGGTGTCATCTTCTTCGAGATGCTAGCTGCTCAGCGCGTGTACAAGACAGGCATGGAGAGGATTGGTGTGGTTCGGGATTTGCGATCCGAAGAGGTCATCTTTCCTAAGGGTTGGAATGAGGCTCAGATGCCGGCGCAGACGAAGATTATCCAATGGCTCCTCAACCACGACCCCTCAAAGAGGCCAACGGCTCTCGAGCTGCTGAAGAGCGAGCTTCTGCCGCCCAAGCTCGAAGACGAATACATTGCAGAGTGTCTGCGTCTGATGAGCACACCCAACAGCACCTACAACCTGCAGCTGATGGGGTCTCTTTTTGGTCGCGAGGAGCCGGCCGACCAGAGAGAGGCACGGGAATTCACCTTTGACGCCGGCGGCAATGATGAAGGTCAAGACAATCGCTTCATTGGCGTTGCCTGCACCCATCTACGGTCGCTTTTCCGCAGGCATGGGGCTGTCGAGCTCGAGGCGCCCCTCCTTCTGCCACCCAACGAGCTGTACGGCCCCGACAGGAAGCCTGTCGAGCTGCTGGACAAGACCGGCAAAGTGGTGCAGCTCCCTTACGATCTCGTCGTGCCCTTTGCACGCATGGCCGCACGATCAGAGGGCAAGCGTTTCAAGCGATATGCGATTGCGCCAGTCTTTCGTGATAATCTCTTGGCTGGCGGCCAGCCACGGAGCGTTACGGAAGTCGACTTTGACATTGTCTCGCCGGAGAAGACACCGGCTGCAGAGGCGGAAGCGCTCAGCGTCGTCGACGAGATCCTCGACGAGATGCCCGGACTAGATTCGGAGGAGTGGGTTGTGCAAATCTCTCACGGAGATGTCTTGGACCTCATCACGGATCGGGTGCCTCCTCGACAGCGCCCCGAGGCGCTCGCGGCTATCTCGCTGCTCTCCGGTGGCGGAAAGACTGCCGTCGCAAACGGCAGGGCCATGCTCAACCAGTTGGCGCTTCCACGGTCCATCGTCGAGGAGATTGAAGCATCCAACATGTCGGACGACGTTTCGATTGTCTTTTCTCGGCTCGAACGGCTGGTGGCGCTCGACCTGCGCCCGAAGCTGAGCCGAGCCGTCGAGGAGATCAAGCGCGTCATTCATCTAGCCGCACACTTTGGTATGCAGAGGCGCTTCCTCTTTACGCCCCTCCTCGTCCCTTCCAATGAACTGCTGTACAAGGGTGCTATCCACTTCGTCGTCGCGCGCGCCGGCTCCAAAAAGAGGGATGTGCTCGCTTCAGGCGGACGCTACGATGTGCTCATGAAGCGGTTCGCTAGTCCGACGATACCTGGGCCGCCGCCGCACGCCGTCGGTATCCAGATTGCCGTGGGTCGCATCGCGCTTGCCCTGGCCAAGCACCACGAAAGCGTCTTGCCTCGCTTGATGATGAGCAAGGCCGTCGATGAGGAACGATACTTTGGTCCATGCGCGCCTCGGAGATGCGACGTCTACGTGGCCAGCGGCAAGGGGATCTTGAGCGTACGCATGGAGATCTGTCGCGACCTCTGGGCGGCAGGCTTGAGTGCCGATCTGGCTTACGATCATGCACTCGAAGACTCGCCAGCGCTTCTTGCGTCGACGTGCCGTGCAGAAGGAATTCTGTTCCTTGTCATCGCAAGGACCCGTCAGTCGTCGCTTGTCAAGGTCAAGGGCATTTTGAGCCGAACCGAGTACGAAGTGCCCCGGCATGAACTGTGCGCCTGGCTGGCTGAGCGCATTGCGCGCCAGAACTCGAGCTCGGCCGCTGCTCTGACCAGCGCCGACCACCACCATGCTGCTGGAACGCTTGGATCTGGAGCAGGGGCAGCGGGGAGTGCGGCTGCCGGGCATCACCGTCCGACCTATGATGCCGCCGAAGCGCAAGTCATTCTTCCCAACCCCTTCACCAACGCCAGCTCACGGCGGCAAGACAAACACGGCAACAATGAGCGCCGGAGCAAGAAGAACGTGGCGCCCATCCAAGAGCGGGCAGTCCGAGAAGTAGCCAAGGTCGTTGATGACATCACCACGAACCGAACGATGCCCACAGCGACTTATGCCGTCGAGCTGACCGGAACTACCTTTGCACGACTCTGCGCAGCGAGTCTAGCGAGGACAGACGAGCAACTCTGGAAGCTTTTCTTTGACTCACTCACGAGCGTCGATGAGCGAGACTACGGACGGTTGGTCCGCAAGCACATCGACGACCTTGAAGGAGGCCGGTGCTGGCTCGTCTCGATTCGAGAAGAGGGCGCCCATCTCGTGTGAATCTATTGTAACATAGTCGCTTATTCTAAGTATGACCCGAAATCATCTACCTGCTCGAAACATGTTCTTCAATGGTGATCAGAAGAATTTCGACGTGGGACGGCAGCATCTCTACTTCCCGCCTGCCCACGTGGCCTCTTGGCAGTCTAGTGCCTCTCTATACCTCGATCTGATCAGACATTAATTGGGGTCTCTATAGTAGCGATAGCAGTGTGACGTTTATCCCTAATTAATTGGGCTTTTTCGCCGAGCCTACAGACTTCGATTCGCTCTCGCGCTAGCACGCAGCTCGAACATCTCTCGCTCTGTCCTCGAGCGAGATTCAGATCGCCGGTTGTCCTTGCTCGCTATCATGCCCTTTTGGCCGGTGTCCGGCCTGCCCTGTCTCGCTGCGGGGCCGAGGCGGGTGACGACGTTTGACAACGATTTTTTGATTTCTTTTCTTCACGTTTGTCCACTGCTCAATTGCAAACATGACGCGTAGGCCCTTACCGCGCAGCGGAATGTTCCTCGCATCCGAATGGATGAAAGGGAAATGCTGTTCGAGATTGCGGTGCAGAGGCTTTTGCTTCTTTGTTTGCGTCGCGTCTCCAAGGCGGTGCCATCAAAGAGAGGACAAGAAGATGGAATTGAGGCAGTGATGGCGGGGCTTCAATCGTACACAGAATTGAAGGGTAGAGCCTGGGTAGGGGCCAAGACTGACGTGGTCTCGGCCTCTGCTCAGATATAGCTAGTGTGGTCAAGGTGCCGATGCTCTGGACTGTGGCTGACCGGTTAGATGTCATCGGCAGGTTGCCTTTAGATAATAAACCGTCACCCAGGGGGAGAGGCGGACGTTGAATGATGTAGGAAAAGCGCGCTAAAAATTTTCGTCACATTCCTCTTCTTCCGCTGCACTAATGAAAACCACGGATAGTCGTAGGTACACTACTGTGCGTAGGGATTCATCGATCAGAGGCATCGGTCAATCAACCCCTCAGCTACTCTCCTTCTCTTGACGACGACTATCATCCATTTCATCCTTCGTCAACCAACCTTCCTTTTCCGAGCTTGATCTGACGATGGCGGCCCCCCGCCAAAGCACCATCGCTCGGTGGCCTCTGGTCGCGACGATGGCCGTATCGCTCCTCCCTCCAATGGCAAGGGCGCAGAGCACCGATGTGACGAGCAACTCGACGAGCACAGTCATTTCCTCGCTCATTCTCAACTTGATCATCTTTGCTGTTGAGATCGTCGCCTTCCTTATCCTCCGCCCTCGCTTCCGCAAGGTGTACCGACCCAAGACCTACCTGGGAAAGAAATCGTGAGTAGCAGTGGATGCGCGGATGTGGATGTGGATGCGCGAATCTCTGGGCAGACCTTCTAACACGCGTATGTGCCCACCTTTAGTGAGAGGACCCAGGCGCTTCCCGACTCGCTCTTTGGATGGATTCCCCAGTACATTCGCACGCCCTCGATTGAAATCATGCACAAGAATGGTCTCGATGCCTACCAGTTCGTTGCCTTCCTCGAGATGATGGTGAGCTTTGCTGAGCAGGGGTGTGTGCGAGCGTTCGCGTATTGATCCCTGCCCATCCAGCTCTGGATGTTTGTTCCCACATTCATCTTCACCTGGATCTTCCTCTTGCCCCTCTACGGCGCCAACTCTACGGTCAACAACAAAGGCTTCAACATGTTCACCTACGGCAATGTTGGCGCGCTCCAGAACGAGCAGTACCGCCTGATTGGTGTTCTCTTTGCCAACTGGATTATCATCCTCTGGTTCATTTACGTCATGCGCCGCTTTACTTCCGCCTTTGTCAAGCACCGCCAGGAGTTCTTGTTGAGCCCCCAGCACGCAGCCACGGCCCAAGCTCGCACCATTCTCATCACGGGTATCCCTAACAATTACCTCAGCGAAAAGAAGCTTTCGCAGATGTACGGCTACTTCCCCGGCGGTATTGCCAAGATCTGGCTCAACCGCGAGCTGGGAGAGCTTCCCCAGCTCACTGAGGACCGCGCCAAGTGGACCAACAAGGTGAGCGACTTGAGTACTGTCCGAACTCTCTACGTCTTCTATTTGCTCACAATCTGAGCCTGCTGGGGCGCCTTTTCTCATCTAACAGCTCGAAGGAGCTCAAAACAAGCTCATCAAGATTGCCGCCAAGAAGGTCAAGAAGGGCAAGGTCGAGGGCGTCTCTACGGACAAGGACGTGGAGCTGAATCTCGACGTGGCTGACAAGTATGTGACGAAGAAGGAGCGCCCTACCCACAAGCTCGGCGCCATGGGTTGCTTTGGCGAAAAGGTCGAGACGATTCCTTGGTGCCAGGAGGAGATCACCCGATTGACAAAGGAGATTGACTCTAAGCGCGGCGACGCGGCGACCGACTACGAGACGTACAAGCCCGCGTCGGCTGCCTTCATTCTCTTCAACACGCAGATTGCCGCACACATGGCTGTCAAGGCTCACGCCCACCACGAGCCCTACCGCATGGCCACTCGCTACGTTGAGGCTCACCCACTCGACGTCATCTGGCCCAACTTGACCCTGAACCCGTACGCCGTCAAGATCCGAACCGCCATTGGCTGGGCCATTACGATTGCCATCGTCATCTTCTGGACCGTCATCACCGGCTTTGTCGGTATCGTGTCCAATGTCCAAGGTCTCTCCACCAAGGTGTCCTGGCTGAGCTGGCTCAACAAGATCGGGAGCGTTCCCGTTGGTATCATTCAAGGTGTTCTGCCCACGGTACTCCTCGCCGTTCTCAACATCCTCCTGGTCATGTTCCTCCGTTTCCTTGGCCGCGCGTCGGGTATTCCTACCAGGACCGGCGTGGAGCTCTCGCTCTTCGACCGCATGGCAATCTTCCAGCTCATCCAGAACTTCCTCATCCTGACCATCATCTCGGGTGTCTCGAGCGGCATCGACCAGATTGTCCCCATCATCACGCACCCCGATCAATTGCCCCAGTTGCTCGCTCAGAAGATTCCTCTCGCCTCGACGTTCTTCCTGTCGTACATTGCCCTCCAGGGCCTTACTGGCGCAGCCTCAGGCTTCCTCCAGATCGCACCTTTGGTCATCTACTACATCAAGAAGGCTCTCCTTTCATCGACGCCCCGCAAGGTCTGGCACATCGACAACGACATGAGCTCCGTCGCGTGGGGCACCCTTTTTGCCAGCACGACGCTCCTGACGGCCATTGCTATTGGCTACATGATCCTCGCGCCAATCGTCTCTGGCTTCGCCATGGTTGCCTTCTTCCTCCTTTGGCTGATGTACAAGTACAGCTTCCTGTACGTCTACGACATGTCTGGCGCCAGCGAGACGGCCGGCCTCTTCTTCCCCAAGGCCATCACGTTCACTTTTGCAGCCATGTACCTGGAAATGGTCATCATGGCCATTCTGTTCTTCCTTTCGCAGGACAACACGGGCTCTCAATCCGCAATTCCTGAGGGCGCATTCATGATCGTCCTCATCGTCATCGTCATTGGCTTCCAGTACCTCTTCAACGACTCCTACAAGTCCCTCTACACCGCTCTGCCCCTCTCGCTCGTGCCCGCCGACACGGTCCAGCAACCCTACTCTGACCGAACGCCCGAGGGTGGCGACAAGAAGACGCTCTTGGGCAGCGAGGACCGTGTCGACAAAGGAGCTTCGTCGATGGTTGGCACCAATGGCAAGCCTGCTCCTGCCTATGGCCACCAGACCGATGCCACTCTGTCGGTTGAGCAAACTGCCAACGAGCATGACGACGAAGAGGACCCCATGGAAGCCTTTACGGCTCCTGCTCTCAAGGACCAGCAGCGCGACATTTGGATTGCCAACGACTCTTGGGGCATTGGCCGTGCGCAGAACGAGTCCAACAAGCAGCACGGCCTTCGCTCGACGGTCCGAGACACGGCCGTTGATGCCAAGGGCAACTTTACCACCGACGCTACTGTTCCGCCCGGCGAGACATTGCTGTGATCTCCACCACTACCTCACACTCCTTTTGAATCCCTCGCCGCCCACTCCCGCTCTCTTCCTCTGTTGAGTTTGCTTTGCATTATTACCCTCCCTTTCTCTTCTTTATCCACTCTTCCCTCGTTCTCTCCGCCTCTCCCACTTATTTCACGTCTTCTCCCTTCCCTTCTTCCTTTTATTAATTCTCTTGTGTAAAAAGTTCTCTACTTCTTGCTCGAGTGGCCGTTCTCTCTTCAATACGATGGACATAATGTCGAAAGCTGACTGCTGTCTTGTTTTGTGTCATGTTCGGCCCTTTTCGGCGATGGCGCAGCGTGGCGCCTAGTTTACACGCAGAAGTGCAAATCGCAATGCAGGCTGTGTCTATATTCCATCATTATGAGCCATAGCGCGGGATGGCGAGGCAGTGACTACTGCGAAGGCTATGCGTGTAGACCGCGTGGAAATTGGAGCGTTGAATGCGATGACGTAGAAAAATAGAGGCTAGCGCGCGCATTCAGGGACGAGAACACAGCCTGCGCACGCATATTACTAGCTGTATAGATGGATCGTCGTTCGTTTTCGAGGGTCATGGAATCCATAAGGCCGGAGCGGGGCGCGCGGCGTGGGGCGGAAGGGCAGCCAATTTCCGAACAGCCTTAGGTACGCACACTTTGGAAAATACCATCCGACCTTGGCAACCCGGTTATATAATGTGCGCCAGCTCTCCTCTCGCATGAATAAACTCTTTCTTCACACAATCAGAAGCAAGTACGAATCTGACAAACGACAAAATGGGCGACAAAGTCATCTTTTCGCGAGAGGCAGGCGGCCTCGTCCAGCCATATTCGCGCTCCGAGGGCGCGTGGCTCGTACCGCGTCGAGGAGGCGGCGGTGGCGGTGGACGAGGAGGTGGAGTGTCCAGCTCCGGCTCTTCTTCCAGTAGCAGCGGGGGCAGGACTGGCAGCAGCGGCTCCTCCTCTTCCAGTAGCGGGAAAACGGGCACTGGGACGGCCACCGGCGGCTCCAAGGGTTTCACGCCGGGCTCCGTCAGTGGCGGTTCGTCGCTGTACGGAACGAGAGGTGGCCGTGGCGTCTCCACACCTTACACTGTCACCAGCGGCGCCTTCACGGGCAGACAAGCCGGTGGCGGAGTGCGATCTGGCGTCTACGGAGGTGGTGGCGGTTACGGGAGTGGCTATACGAGCGGCTACACCTCTCGGGGCGCCCGCGCAGGACCCGTCGGTGGTCTTGGCTTCCCATTCATCTTCTGGCCAGTCGCATTCGGAGGCTTCGGCTACGCAGGCTACTATGGGTCGCGCGAGCTTGATGATCGGGCCTCGGATCGGCCAGGTGGCAATATGACGCAGTACACGCTCACTCCGCCGTTTGACAATGCGACGGGCAACAGCTTTGCGTTGTTTTCGGACCTCAACTCCGTCGATGATGTTTACCAGACACTGGTCGCTCAGTGCGGTGTCCGGCAACCACTGGCTGCCAACTTTACCCTCAATCCCAACCAGACGGTGGCCTACTACCGCGGCTCCAGCTTTGCGCTCATGCTCGATGGCTACAACAATGGCCAGCCCAACATCACCAGCGACAACGGCAACAGCACAGAGGTTGACCAGCCACTAGCACCACTGCCTTCGGCCGTCAACCAGACCTACCTTGCTTGCCTCAATAACACCATCGTCGCACAAGTACCCCTCGTCGACGAAGCCACTTCGGACGCAGCCATCGTTTTGTCTTCGCCCATACAATTTTTGCTCTTGCTTCCAGCTTTCCTCGTCGCCTGCCTTCTCACCCTTGTCTGATCTTTCAGCTTCTCAGTCCTTTGCAATACCACTTTCTCGTTGTCCCTCTGTCTTCCCATTGGTGTGCACAATATCGCTTGAGGTAAAGATTCTACAGGGCCATCAACGCAGGGTCCTCCAGGTACTGCTTGAGCTTGACGAGGAACGTCACGGCTTCTCGTCCATCAAGCAGCCGGTGGTCGTACGTCAGGGCGACAACCATGATGGGCCTCGGCTCGATCTGTCATCGCAAAGTTCAATCAGCATCACAAAGACTCATACGAGCTCGGGTCCTTTCGTTTCCAAAGTCGAACACTCACCTTGTCACCGACGACCCACGGCTTTTGGTTAATGGCGTGCATGCCCAGGATAGCCGATCCAGGCAGGTTGAGGATAGGCGTTCCGAACAAGCTTCCAAAGACACCGCCGTTGCTAATGGTGAAGGTGCCGCCGGCCATGTCTTCGAGGGTGAGCTTGTTGTCGCGGGCCTTCTTGCCAAGGTCCGAAATGGCCTCCTCGATGCCCATGATTGACAGGCCTTCAACGTTGCGCACAACAGGCGTCACCAGGCCCTTGTCCGTGCTCACAGCCACGCTGAGGTCGACGTAGTCGCGGTAGACGATCGTGTCGCCCAGGCCTTCACCCTCAATGCTGGCGTTGGCCGCTGGAATCTCCTGGAGGGCCAGGGCGCTCGCCTTGGCAAAGGCGCCCATGAATCCAAGCTTGACGCCCTTTTCCTTGAGCAGGCGGTCCTTGTGGCGAGCGCGGAAGGCCATGAGCGCAGACATGTCAATCTCATTGAACGTCGTCAATGAAGCAGCCGTGTTCTGCGACTGCTTGAGACGCTCAGCGATGCGCGTGCGCATCCTCGACATCTTGACGCGGCGCTCTTCGCGCGAGCCATGAGGCGCAGGCGCCGAGTCCTGGTTGGGCTTCTGCTGCTGCTGCTGTTGCGGCTTCTGCTGCTTCTGCTGTCCCGAGCCAGAGCCAGACGAGGAAGGCTTCTTGTCGCCGCCGTCGCTCTCCTTCTTCTGTGCTTGAGACTGCTCTTGCTTCTGCTGCTCTTGCTTCTGTTTTTGCTCCTGTTCCTTCTGCTCCTGCTCCTTCTTGCTCTGGTCCTCCTCCTTCTTTTGCTTGTCCTGGTCCTGGTCCTGGGACGGCTTCTCCTCCTCGCCGCTTCCACCGGAAGAGCCCTCGGCAGGCTCTTCGCCGGGCTCGATTCGGAAAAGTTCCTGGCCGACCTGGACGGTGTCCTCCTCGTTTGCCAGCGTCTCTACGATCGTGCCAGACTGAGGCGCATTGACCGACACGTCGATCTGTTTGACCCATCCACATCAGCCATCTTCAAGCCTTTTGTGTGAAAAGGAACGGAAAGTGAAGAAACGACGCACCTTGTCAGTCTCGATTGTTGCGACTTCCTCGTCAGCCTTGACAAAGTCGCCTTTCTTCTTGTTCCACTGCTTGAGCGTGCCCTCGGTGATACTCTCGGCCATCTGGGGGACCTTGACAGTCTCTGCAAGGTGAATGGGCGAGACATGGAACGCACGACGCGAGCTGAAGGGCGCCACAGGCAGCGTGGCAACAGCAGCAGCAGCGCGACGGCTGGCCGGAACTGATGATGGCTGGCGAGCGGCGGCGGCATTGGTGGCGGCGCAAGCAGACAGCGTCAGGGTCCGCTTCGAGGTGGACGAAGGGACCAGCGCGGCTTGTCGACGCAGCACATTGGTTGCTGCCGAGGGGCACCGGCGAGGCAGCATCATCTTCTTCAAAACAACCACGCAATTAACGTCGCGGGGCGAGGTCCAAGGGAAGGGTTGGTAAAAGAAGAGCTGGAGAGGTGAGAAGGAAAAGTGAGGCCGTGGAGAAACGACAACTGGAAGGGCGTCCGACGCTCCGATCCGATTCTCTTTTGCCGAATTCACCCTCGTTTGTTTTCGAATGACGCGCCACCTCCTATTGCTAATTCGACGGCAGATTTTAAATCAAACCCTTCTCTTTCGATGAATGGGTGGGCCATCTTGACGAAAGCTGTTATGGTAGTAGTACAGTACATTGCTATGAGTACACTTATTAGATTGCGCGGTGATGGCAATGGTGACGGTATTGTAATGCGAAAGGCAGGGCATCCTCTACGCTCGTCTCGCTGATGCGTCTCCAGCGCTCATCTGAAGAGCGTAAGAGGCTTGTAAGGAGGTCAACGTCTGTTGTCGAAACCCGTTGCTGAAGACTCCACAGCGGTCTCGCTAGCAGTCGCGGCGTGACCAGCTGGTAGGCTTCGACCTCGTCGGCTGAGGTAGTTCTCCTAGAATGACCCTGTCTTGTTTGATGCGATGCAGCCTTCTTCCTGGGTGTCGGACTGCCTGATGATGACTCGCTTTCAAGGCTGCTGCTGTCGCTGTCTTCATCTTCGCTCCAGTTCAATTGTCCGAATCGAAGCTTGTCAGCCGTGCGCCGTGGCTTCTCTCCATTGAGAGGCGCCCAGATCAGGGATCCACGCCTAGCAACGACAATAACGCCGTCGGCTACCATCGCGCGAATGGCCCAGGCGAAAAGCTGCTCGACCTTTTGCTTTTCCTTTTCGCGCCCAACATAGCTCCTCTTGATGATCCTGGCGGATGATGAAGACAGCGAGCTTTTTGCAGCACGCCTTCGTGCTTCGCGAGCTTCTTTGCGCTCCCTTTTCTCGATGATGAGGCGCACGAGCCGGAATGCAAAGCCACGCAAGTCGGCGACCCTGCTCAGATAGGCCATGGTAAAGGCGGGCGGGTCGCGGGGCAGCCGCTTCGAAACCGTTGCTCTGGGCGTCCTCTCGCCCTCATCATCCGATACCGTGATTACTTCTGTTCCATTCGCATCTTTACCATCGCCGTCGTCGCCGTCGTCGTCGTCACCACTGCAAAAGTCGACGATGTGTTTTTGTGCATAGATGCGGAAGAGGGCATCTGTCAGCATTGCGTCAGGCAGCTTGGTAAAGCTGCGAAGCTTTCGACGATGCCGCGGCGTTCCGGTCGTCTGGCTGAAGGAAGGTAAGGGGGGACCAGAAGATGAGGGCGAAGGAATATCTCGATTTGTGTCGGCTTCCACGGGCGTTGTACACCGTATGATCTTGTCGTTTCCGGCCGGTCTCGGAGCGGTGAAGGGTGCAGAGGCAGCGGTGGAATTGTCGCTCTTCGGCATACCGAGTCGTTTCCGCGACAGATGCTGCGCAACAATCTCTTCATTCGGAAGCACCCACTGCTTCTTGGGTCCTTCTACTTCTTCATACGAGCGGTTGCGGGTCCTCGAATCGCCCATGGGCATGCGGGCATCCTCTGCCTGGTTGCCCTCTAGTGTCAGCGCCGACGGCCTCTTGGAGTAATCGGTCGCCGAGAGGTACAGTGCTCGAAGCATATGCCTGGGCTCGTCGTTAGGGTCTTCCAGGATCTCTGTAAAATCGTCAGATGGCGCTTCACAGCAGACGGACCGGCAAGCGCTCACCTATCGTGCCCTGGGTCCGACCGTACCAGTGTTTCTGTACAAGTCCCTTTATCAACGCCTTTTCTACCAGCACGATCCTTTCGCGTCCAGGACCAGTCCTGATACGGCCAATGACTTGAACAAGGACACCGACGTCGATGCAGCTCAGCAGGCCGCGAGCCCGGGACCAGCCTTCTTCCATGGCTCTCCTCGCATCTCGAGGATTCGGTGGACGACGAGGTGCTCGAACTGGCTCCGGTCTCACATACTCGGGAGGAATCCCACATTCTACCACCTTCGCCTTGCCCTTGCCCTTGCCCTTGCCCTTTGCCATGCTGAACCCTGCCTCTTCGTCTGAATCCCTGCTTTCGACCACCTCTTCATCGGGCTGCATGTAGTGGTGGACAGCAATGACTGCGCTGCCATCATCGACTGTTGATGTAACATGAGCGTCAGTATCTTTACACATAGGCACAGTCATAAGGCAGCTCACCCAGCCAGATGATCCTCTTCTCCTTTTCCTCTATCCCGATGACGCGGCCGACGAGGCGGGCAAAGACCGTCGGTCTGTGCCGGTGCGCATAGAGTGCTAATCCGCCCGTGTTATCAACCAGCGCAATCCTAGAGGCATCATGGCATGTTAGCCAGGCCGCTTGCTCTGGCCTATCGAGTACGAAGTAGTCTTGGCGGTTGTAGCTGCTGCCGCCGCCCGTCTCTTGAGGGATGAGATAGGGCTCGTCGAGGGGCGTCTCAAGGGGCAGCAACTGCGAACCATCGTAGGGCTTCGACGATGGACCAGCCTCTGGAGGCGCCTGTGCGCCGCTGCTGCCCGAGTCGCTGCTTCTCATGCCGCCACCACGTCAGTCCCCACAGCGATTCGGCATCGTGCGATGGTCGATGGGTGGGAGCGAGTTCAATGGCTGACGAGAACAACACCTCGTACCTCCACGTGTTTGTGGTCAAAAAAAAAAAAAAAAAGTGTCACCAACAACGCTGGGGGGACGCGACGAAGATCGGCGGTAGGCTGTCGACAGGGGCTGCAGTGTGCAAGGATGATGGTGTTTCTCCGGCTTGCGACGTTGCTGCTCGTGTCGACCGTGCTCGCTGCACCCGCGTATGCACTCAAGATCCTGATCGGAAATGATGACGGTTTTGGTACCGCCAACATCCGGGCTCTCTATCATGCCGCCAAGCAGGCCGGACACGATGCCTTGATCGCTGCACCCGTGGACAATCAAAGTGGGACAGGCGCGACACGTCGGGAGCCCAAGCCGCTGCAAAAGGACGGTGGGTTCGGTCTTGTGAAGGCTGGCTCGCCCGCCGAAGGGCACGATGCCAAAGACGATCACGTCTGGTACGTCAACTCCACGCCTGTTTCGAGCATCGCGTACGGTCTCGAGGAGCTCTGTCCACGATACTTTGGCAGCAAGCCCGACCTTATTCTCTCAGGAACGAATCAGGGCAACAACGTTGGACTTAGTATCTATTGGAGTGGAACGTACAATGTCGCTCGATATGCCGTCGAGCAAGGTATTCCTGCAATCGCATTCAGTGCTGGGAACCTCACCGAGCGAGCATACACCGAGCTTGGCGGGCCCGAAGACCAGGCCAACATCTATGCTGCATACGCCTTTCAGGTCGTCGATCAGCTCCTACTGCATCAGCAACAACAGAGGCACCAACAGTCCGACGTTCATCACATGCTCCTTCCCGAGTCAACTGGTCTCAATGTCAATTTCCCTTCGGCACCGAAGAGGGGCTGCCGGGCGGAAGACACACGCTTCGTGCTCACAAGACTCTTGGCTAACCTTGAAAGGAATCCGGTGAGCACACGCATTGGTCTACAGAGTCCAGACGTGGCTGACGACTTTGACAATGCAAGGATGCTTGCACCTGCGGCCAGCAGCGATCAAAGGGCTGCAAGCTGCCGAGAGAAAGCAGCGTCATTCGTGGCGATAATGGCTGCACCAACACGATCAGTCTTTTCGGTGAGCTCATCCATCCCTGCGAGCATGATGTAAGCTAACTCCTCCCCCGCCCGCAGCTCCGACGACTTTCAGCCCCGATGCCAGCGCGTATGAGCAGGAGCAGCTCCTCGAGACGCTCAGTGGCTTCGTCTCGTGTCTCGATTGAAGCCGCTGTTCTAGACTTACTACCGGACACTCTCGCAAATGGGCACAGATGGACCATTTTGTCGCTATTTCTCTGATAGATTAGATGGCATGTGCCTTTTGTGCTGGATCTTCTCTGCGCTATGTGTGTAATACTTGAGCGTAAGCGGGGTCTCGCGATACTTGGACGCTGCAGCCAAAGGAGGACATTACTCCTCCATCTCCTCGTCAGCCTGTCGCCAAGTCGACCTACGTCAGCTAATCGTGGGAGAGGATAGAAGTGAGGGGCGGATTAGAAGTCTCTGACCTTGAACTCGTCCTCTTCGTCGTCTTCAGCGCTGGCCCCGGCACCCTGGTCCAGGCCAGCCTTTTTCATGGCTTCTTCTGAAGAGTAGTCGATGTTCTTGCTTCGAGCGCTCCTTCGCGATGTGGGCGCGATGATGTCGTTGAGGTCAAGGCCATCCAGAACCTCGTCATCTCCATCTTCGTCTTCGTCTTCTTCTTCATCCGAGGAAGAGTCTTCGTCTTCGTCGTCTTCGTCTTCCTCTGCCGGCAGAGTGGTCAGTCATTCTTCTCAGCATCTCTCTTACAGCTCTCGACTCTCAGCTCGACGCGCACCTGGCTCCTGTGCTTTGGCCTTTCCCTTTCCCTTGTCAGACGACGCGGCGGCCTCGCCCTCGCCCTTGGCAGCAGCCACGGCAGCAGCCCCAACGGGCGTCTCGCTCGTCACGGCGCCCTCCCCGCCAAGCGCCTGCTTTGTCTCGCTTGCGTCCGCCATGTTATCTATGTCTTTTCTTCTTGGGTGTTGGCTCGTCTCCGGAGAAGGTCAAGAGAAAGAAAAGAGAGGAGGCTGCTGGTTTTGCGAAAGTCGAATTTGGAAGCTGGCTGTAATTTGACGCGCGCGGACCAACACTTGCGCGACGCGTGCACTGATCGCCAACGCTGATACTGACAAGGCCTGCGGCAGCATGTCGCTTCTCGCAGTGTCAAAAAAGAGACACCACTTTGCTTGATATGAGACTTTTTCTTCTCGAATTTCGATAAGAGACGCATACATCAGGGCCACAGTAGTACGGCGAGGTCAAGATGGAGACTGATCTTCGTGTTCGAGTGGACCGTCCTCTACTTGTTGTTATTACCGTGGGCCAAGGCTGGCGGTCATGCCGCCTTTTTTTTTTCTTATTTAAGTTACGATGACAAGTGTGGGAGGGATGGCTTAGGCCGACAAGAGGCCCGACTGAAGCCGCAGCGCCGTACTTGTCCACGCAGCAGGAACGGCCCAGCTCTTATCGCACTTTAGTCAATTCGATCACTTGCACCATTTTTTTATTCATGTCGACAATCCTTGTTGATGTTGGTATCGATTGCGAAGTCCGACCTGCTCGAGCAACCTGCCTTCAGGTTTATATCCCGTTTACTCGTAACCTCTTCATTTGCCCGTAAGCTTGACAGGCCCACCACAACGTGAAAAATGTCGCTGGTAGGGCGAGCTCGGTATAATGAGATTGTTGCGTCTGAATTAACTGGCGGGAGGTGCATGGACGAAGGCGTAGTCTCAGTGGAAGAGAAGCGACACGGGCAGAGTCACGAACTCAGTGTTGCTGTGTGCACTTGTCCCTAAGGAGGATGTCCTCGGTGACAAACACTCTCAACTTGACATGACTTGCACAAAATGGTCAGTGTTTATACCGAAAAGCAGGTACACGGATAGAGACGCGAGGGTTCCGGCAGGTAGCTCTCGAAGTGTATCGAGATCACTACTACTGGCTGATTTCATGCTCGATGCTTGCTCGGAACCTGGAGGAGGGGGGAATGGAGGCAATTCGCGAATGTAGCGCGAAGACGGCGGACATGTGGTCGCGAAGCGAGTGGTTGGAACATATCGCGATCACTTCGAAATGCATTGTCTGCATTCTGGGCTACTTCCGCAATTAGCATATTCAGGAAGCAGAGAACAGGATGATATATTCGCGGGATGAATAACGGGGCCGCAACCGGGAAAGAGTCTGCGGTGCATTGTATGCGTAGATGCCTTAGATCAAGACGAAGACTATAGCACGGTGGCGGCTCCGCCGCCACCGTGCCAGGCTTTATTTTGTCCACGCTGAGCACGGTCTACCAGTGGAACACACTTGTCACCGACCCATGGCAAGCTTCCCAGCCCGCTCTTCCGTAGCCAGAGCACCCCGTTCACCCACGAAACAGCTCCATCCTTCCCTACCAGCTTACAACGATGCTCCCTGACATTATGTGATGTCCCTGCTTCCACGGAGTGTACAGGTCTTTGCTCTTCGTCTGTGGGGCGGTTCTCTTTTCTTTGTATGTCTTCTTTTTCCCTCTCTTTTGTCGTGCGCTTTTTGGATGGTTGCTCCGGGTTTGTGTGACGAAGAGCAAAGACCTGTACACTCCGTGGAAGCAGGGACATCACATAATGTCAGGGAGCATCGTTGTAAGCTGGTAGGGAAGGATGGAGCTGTTTCGTGGGTGAACGGGGTGCTCTGGCTACGGAAGAGCGGGCTGGGAAGCTTGCCATGGGTCGGTGACAAGTGTGTTCCACGTCTTTGGTGACATGGACACCGACGATTTTGTAGACAACTGGCAGTGGTGATCAAAGCGATGTAGACAAATAGCAGCACAAATCGAGCAACGTCTCGTCCGCCTGAAGATGAACTGAAACGGCGGAGGAGCAAAAGCAGGCATATTCGCTTCTGAACAGCCGTACACGTCAAGCAATGAGAAGGCTGTCTCGACCAGTATCAGATTCAAGGGTGGTAGTAGTGGTACAAGCGACTAGGTCGCGCTGGGGGTACAGGTGGCTCAATGGCCTGGGGAGATGGAGGGATCTGCAGGATTCTAGGGTACGGCCGGCCTGGAAGGAGGCTAGAAGAGCGTGTCTTTCTCGAGCGCTCGGTATGCTTCGCGAATGCTCGTGCCCCGGTCGGTGTTCGTCCTTGTATCCTGCATTTAGTCCTGCGACGCCTTCGTCTTCTTGCCGGACTTGGCGGGAAGGAGCTCGCTTTGGATGAACGGAAGCACACCTCCTTGCGAGATGGTGACGCCGCCCAGGAGCTTGTTCAGCTCCTCGTCGTTGCGGATAGCGAGCTGGAGGTGGCGGGGAATGATACGGCTCTTCTTGTTGTCGCGCGCGGCATTGCCAGCGAGCTCGAGGATCTCGGCTGCGAGGTACTCAAGGACAGCAGCGAGGTAGACGGGGGCACCAGCACCAACACGCTGGGCGTAGTTGCCCTTGCGCAGGTGACGGTGGATACGGCCGACCGGGAACTGGAGACCAGCCTTGGCCGAACGCGACTGCGACTTGCTGTCGCCGCCAGACTTGCCGCCTTTGCCGCCAGAAGACATTGTTGTTTTGGTAGTGTGGGGGTGGTGAGGTTGGTTTGTGTGTGGTAAAGCTGATGGGTGGAAGGAGGAGAGAGGGAGGCTGCGCCGATGCTTTCTTTTTGAAGGCCTCGAGAGTTGAGTAACGGCGTCGGGGTGCAAGCGGCACGTCAATGCAGGGCGCTGATGTTGAATTCGTGCGGCCCGCTCCGTTTCCTTCAGACGCGTTGAATTTTTGATCAGAAAACTCAGCAAATCCGACGTCAGCATTCGCTCTCCAGGGCGCGTCTCTCTTAGAAAACTAGCCCAAAATCCGACGTCAGCACCCTCTAGAGACGCGCTATGAATCGCTCTTCGAAAGCAACGCGCTGACTTGGAAAATGTCGTTGCCCTTCATTTTCCGCGCCAGAGCGGGCGGGCGCGGCGCCCAGACGGCAAACACTCATCGGGCCCGCGACGTTCTTAAAGACAACCGACTGCTCGGACATCTACTTTCTCCATCCACCATCACCAAACCTTTTCTGTCTACCAGAACCACCTCCACCCCACACTTCATCAACGTGAGTACCCTTCCCGCACACAGATCAGCAGCAGGATCGCTCATCTCTTCCTTCCACCATGCAGAATGGGTCCTAAGCCAGCTTCCACCGCCTCCAAGGCTCCCTCTTCTCAGGCCGGCAAGGCCCCCGCCAAGGCCCCTGAGGCTGCCAAGAAGACTTCCAAGTCGACCTCCAAGAGCGGCGACAAGAAGAAGCGCAACAAGGTCAGGAAGGAGACCTACTCCACCTACATCTACCGTGTCCTTAAGCAGGTCCACCCCGACACTGGTATCTCCAACAAGGCCATGGCCATCCTTAACTCTTTCGTCCAGGATGTCTTCGAGCGCCTTGCCTCGGAGGCTTCCAAGCTTGCTGCCTACAACAAGCGCAGCACGATCTCCTCGCGCGAGATCCAGACTGCCGCTCGCCTGATCCTGCCCGGTGAGCTGAGCAAGCATGCCATCTCCGAGGGGACCAAGTCCGTGACCAAATTTTCGTCGAGCCGTTAAGCGACGAATTCGTCACCTTCAACGTCGACGACGGGGCCGAGAAGCTCGGATTCCTCGGAATCGGCTCGCGAAGACACCCCGATATACTCTTCTATGCCCTCTGTCAACACTAGATATGGCGTGTACCCTCTCTACGGCCATGAGCCTTGTACTATCGTAACAGATCCGATTTCTCCGTCCTTTTGTCTCGAGTGTGATGTGCGTGAGAGTCACAGTTCTTCGTGATTGATTCGCGTCCGTCTATTTCGCCGAGATCGTGGATTGCTTGAGACAGGTGCATCCTGCTGGGTGTGAGGCTGTCGAGTCTATACGAGGATTTGATTAAATCGAGTTGCAGATGTGCATTCGACGCTGGGCCATGGCGGCTGCTCTCTGGGCAGAGGGATCGAGACCCCCCCCTCCGGGGGGGGGGGGGAGGAGGGAGGAGTCAATGTAGATCCCTCTGCCCAGAGAGCAGCCGCCATGGCCCAGCGTCGAATGCACATCTGCACTCAGTCAGAGGGACGGGGCACAGCCGAAAATAAAAAAAAAAGAGCCGTAATACCCGTACTCAATGAAAGTGGCAGAAGCTGAGAGGAGCAAAAGGAAGACAACGGCGTGGCTTCTAGGCGAGGTAAACAAGGATGCTGCCTCTCGGCTCCGAGGAAGAGCGTAAGAAACGAAGACCTGCATACTTGGACACAGGGAGAAGGGACGGGGCTAGCTCCCGGCACGGCTGCAAGCTGTGCACAAACGGCACGGACCGAGTATGGATGTCATAGCCCCGCTGAGTCAGGCCTTGCAGGCGACGAGGATGCACGCAGGCAAAAGGTAGAACTACCTCTGCAGTCAGCAAGCACAGGGGAGGGAAAGATACGAGGGGTTTAAAGGAAAACCCAGTTTCAAGACACGACGGCCAGGAGCTGGCAAGATGGGCGGAGACGGTCATCGGCACCGCGCAGACCGGCAAACAGAGGAATTCCGAGGGGACTGTAGACCCCAGCTCGCAAAGGGTCTAAAAAGACCGTAGTGGGCGTACCCTCGCTCTCCGTATATGAGGACCCTTCGACCGCGCAACCTCCCCCTTCATCATCACCCACTCCATCGCCTCTCTCTTTCTCTCGAACCCCTCCTTACCATCGAGGCAAACTTCTATCGCGATGCCTCATTCTCATCAACTAGCTAGTCCCACCCACTCAACAAGCGGGACGGCAGATACGTCAAAGAGGGACTTAACACCTTCGGCGAAGAAAAGACGGCTCTCCGGGCTGGGTCAGCAGCGTCAACAGCGTCAACCCAGCCAGGTCGTTCTCCGACTAGCAACGAAGTTGGTGAGTCCACAAATATTGAACATTGGCCGTCGCTCAGGTGAGGAACTGATTCTTTCGGCGCCCGTAGTCGTTGCAGGACTTGAAGATTACCTTCGGCCAAGCCGATGGTACTCGATGGAGCGATCCAGCATCGATGAAGATCTCGACCCAGAACAATCTGGCTCGCCCAGGCAACTCCTCGGTCGTGAGATGGTCCACGAAACCGCAACGACGGCTTCGCCGTCGTTGCCCTCGATCGATCAGAGGACGAAGAAAGGCAAAGAGTGATGGAACTCGGACCATCCGACTCGTCGGGCCGTTCAGTCGATGCCATCGGAAACGTCAAAGTTCCAGCTCGTCCATGCTGCCGGAAGGGCCAATCCAAGACTTCCTCGACTGCCCTTCCACAAAGCGCCTCCCCCAGCACCTGACAAAGCACGATGTGGAGTTGCAGATGGTCCCACACACCCTCTCGGAGACAGACGTTCAGCGGACCCTGGACGCTTTCTGGCAAGGACAGCAGCAACAGCAAGCAGCATCGACCATCTCGTCACCGCCCATTCACTTTCGGGCCAGGGGAAAGAACGACAAGAGGGTGATAGTAGCCTGCGGGGCAGAGGGGATCACCTTTGCAAAAGCCCTGTCCAAGACCAAGATTGTCGATGTCCCGGGAGGACAGCTCTCGTTCTCAGCACGAGGACCAGCACACACACCGGACGTCATCACCATCGAATTTGTCTTTCAACAAGATGCGCAGCGAGAGTCAGCAATTCATCTACCCGACACGGACCTGGTCCGAGCCCCAAAAACGGTGGCAGCCAACTACGGAGGTACCTTACTGGGGGCGTGGAGACAGGTCCGAGTGGTCGACGGAAGAGAGACCCCGCTCCTCAGCATATTCGCCTGCTTGAAGATCTCGTTGGAACACCAACTTGATCTTCCAGGATACCTTATCCCTCCCATGCCCAAGCCAGTAGCAAAGCTCGAGTACGCAGGTCGTCGATCCTTTTGCGGACATTGCAAGAACTACAGCCTGCACACGAGGAACCTGTGCCCTTCGCTGTCATGCGAGCATTGCTCCAGCAAAACACACATGAGTGCTCAATGCTTGCAAAGGAGGGTAGTCGAGAAACGGGCCGAGGTCGAGGCCGTGGACGGAGACGTGGAAATTTCCGGCCTCCGTGGGCGCCTTTCCTCATTCTCTCCTTATCGCCTTTCGAACTCCTGTATATGTCTCTTCAAGCGCCGACACATCCAGAACTCAGACCATCTAGATCTCCGACTATATTCCCTTGTATACTATCAGTCCAGCCAAAGTACTTCCAAACTTCTACATGCAAATGCAGGCACACTGAGCCACCCTGATCACCAACTTCCTCTATGTAGTCTGCCACTGTGTGAACAGTTGCGGGACTGATGGTCCACTGCTTGACAAGCGAAGCATCTGTTTGAAGGACACCGAGAAAGGGATATTATCGGGTTGTCTTTACATACCCACAGAAAATCAGGTGGCCTTGACTCTCCATGAGAATCAGGATGGCTCAGCATGAGTTGCTGCAACCTGCACTCTGCCTCTGCCCTAATCCAATAGGGCAATATGGTTGTCACTTTAAACTCGAGAAGAGAGGGAGACATTGCCCATGCAATGATAGAACACAAAAAGACAGTCACAATCGACCCAGCGGGAATAGGAGATCACTGAAGCACTCTGCCTGCCATGGAACTCTCCAGTGATGGCATGACCGAGGGACTCATTGCCAGGGCTCCTACTATTCGCTTGCCTCCAATTGGTGCTCCTGTCCACGATTTCACCAGTGGATGGACCCACTGGCCGCCTCCCTCGTGGCCGTCCACTACAGGCTTATCACAACCTCTTCAGGCCATGGCTGCACCGACCCCTTTCATTACGACGACGCCACAGCCAGTGCCCGTGCCAGTGCCCGCGCCAATGACCGCGCCGGCAACAGCATCAGCATCAGCGCATGTACCCATACAGATTGATCCTGCGCAGCCTCCACCAGCCGCCGGTGCAGAGAACGGTGACGCAGACTTTGACTCGGATGACGAACTCTCTGGCAACGAGGGGGAGCGACCAGAGGTCGTCCTTTCCAGGACACAAAGCACTCATGAGTGCATCTGGACACCTTCCGTCCTGCCTTATGTCGACTGCCCAAGCCCGAAGACCTTACCTCACTATCTCACATCCAACACGTTGGAATATCAACCAAAGTGCTTCATCGACACATCCGTTGCCCAGCGGCACTTTAAAGATTTCATGATCAGCAGAGGTTTCAACTACTCTCCTCCAGCCACCATCCAAGGGAAAGGGAAGGGCATCGTTGTTGTCGTCGGCTGCCGCAACCCGGAGTCAGCTACAGCCCTTGTGCCATAGGGAGATACAATCGTCACACTATCTTCCAAGGAAAAAGGGGATCTTGCTCGAGCCGTCGTGGAACACAAAAAGGGCAAGGCCCATGCTGCCGCTGTTGCTGCCGCCGCCGACCCATCAAAAGTTGCAGATACCATCGAGCTTAAGCTTCTGGCTGCGGGGTCCAGAGTGCACCCTAAGTGGATGGGCATCGAAATCTACTGGCTCCCTGAAATGGGCAAGCGCAACCACAAACTGCTGACCGCGGCAGAAATGCTGCACTTTGTTCAGAAGGTTGTCAGTCTCATCCCCGGCGGCAGACTCAAAGGTGCCTGGCGGGAGATGTTGAATGACGTCTCCCAGGCTCGAGCTATTGCTTGTGTGGAAGTACCTCTTTCCTCTCGCTCCCTGATCCTGGGGTGGATAAAACCAAAAACCAAGCAGCGACAAGCCAATATGCAAGGTGGATTACCCAGGGCGCCCCTCCTTCTGTGGGTTCTGTAAGTACAACAGTATACATCCCATAGCTCACTGTCCTAGCCAACATTGTTTTTCGTGTCAAGGCTCCGGCCACCTGGCCAAGGAGTGTCCGTACAAGGGCCGGCGTGTCGAGCGCCGTTGATCCGTGGCGGGCCTCTTTGGCTAGGCTCCTTTTGAAAACAGAAATCGATTTGCTGGTGTTTCCTGCAATTTGTGCACCACCCTCCTTCTAGAACTTGATCCCAGTGTAGAATAAGCCCAGACTCCAGAGTGATGTACCTTTCTGTAAGATAGATTATCCTTGTCATCCATCCTTCTGTGGGCTCTGCCGCAGCAACTACATACACCTCCAGCTCATTGTCCTGGTGGCCACTGCTTCTCCCGCCAAGGTATTGGTCATTTGACCAAGGAATGCGGAAGAGCCCCAACCACTTTATGACAACACCAAACAGCAAAGTCAGAATCAGGTCTTCCTCCCCCTATACGACAAGGGCGATGTCACCCTTATTGATTGCCCATCCGCAAAGAATCTCCCCCAGTATCTCGGGCGCAATTGCCTCGAGTACGTCGCAACGAAAAAGGTGACTGAGACTGCTACACAAATGGCCATCTCCAGCCTCGCCGCCCTGCTCTCGCCAACCTCGCCTGCCCCGGGTGTGTCCCTCCGAGTCAAAGGAGGCCGCCCTGCAGTCACGGTGGTCTGCAGCAACCCCACTCTGGCGTCCAAAATCGAAGCAAGCGGTGACATCAGCTTTGAGGACCAGGGCGACCAGGTCACGCTTCGGCACCACGCCTCTGGGCCTCGGCTCGAAGAGGACACAATGGGTTTGGAGCTGTGTCTCCAAGAGGATGCTGATCGCAAGCACCCGTTCAGCCTGAACAAAGATGACATCCTTAATGTTGTCGGCGGCGTCCTCCTGCGCATCCCTGGCAGCAAGCTCCGTGGTGTCTGGAGGCAACACCTGAGGGTGATGATCAACAGCACGTTGCAGGACTCTCCTTGCGCCAAGATTAAGGTCTGTGTTGACATCCCCCAGACCAGCCCTGCCTTGGTGCCAGGCTGGCTCAAGCCCAAGACAGACATGCCAATTGTCAGGATTGATTATCCAGGTCGACCCTACTTCTGTGGGTTCTGCCATAACGGGGCCCAGCATGCCAAAGAGCTGTGCCCTAACAACACATGTAATAGCTGCCCAGGAAGGAGTCACGCAGTCAAGGACTGCCCCAACCTCCGTCTTGTCGCACGAGAAGACTACCGCAGCTCCAACTCCCCGAGGCGATGTGAGACCGCCACCGCAGTTCCCGCCACAGCGACAGCGGTTCACAAGAGCCGACGGAATGCGATTTGCGAATCTGGCAGGTCGCGTGCGTAGTGCCTGCCTGCGCAATGACTGAAGAGAGATCTTCGTTCTTGGCTCCCTCCACCTGCTTGCAGTTATTGACTTTTGCCGTGGCTTTCCTCTTCCGCGCGTCGAAAGATGGGTGTGGACAGAGGGAACGAAGGCTGCCAAACAGATCAGCAATTTTTCACATTGGTCTAGAGATGGGAGAGAGCGTCAGCGTCAGCAGCGATGACATCAAGCTACGCCAACACGATGAAATGAGTCCGAATGAACCCTGACCGAGGAGTTCTTGAGGACCGGAGCCGTTTTTCCTTCCTTGGTAAAAAGGCGAGATAGAGTATATTCCTTCTTTTTTATTTTTTCCACCCGCGGGTCTCTCTTTCCGGAGCAGCGCGGTCTTTATCAACTGAGCCTTGCGAAAGCGAGCGACTGCACGAGGAACGACGTACAAAAGCACATCGACCGCCCCACTCACGACCCGGGCATCTTATCGTGAGCACAACACAGCCTTCATCACCACCGGGAGGCAGCCCGTAGCAGCGAAGAGCGCCAGTAGCCGGTATAACCGCGCCCGCATTCCTACCGCCGCCTCCACCTCGAAGCAAAAAAACGCAAGGAGGGGACGAGTGATCGGTCCATTGCAGCTCCTCCTGCCCATTGCCCCAGCGTCACTGTGTCCGTCGTTGTCCCCGATGGCTGTCGCGAAGCGGCAAGACTCGGCGTCGTCGGACCTTAGCAGGGGCTCAGAGAGCGAGCAGTCGACGGCTCTGTCCACCCCCGAAACAAGCAGACCACCTTCGCTCTACTCGGCAAAGCCAGTGTCAGCGCATGGGGACCCAGAGGAAGAAGAAGGCAGTCGGGAGTTACAGTCGTACCTCGACGAGAATGCTGGGTATGCGGACGGAGAGAAGGAGAAGCGAGCGAGTATGGGCCGAGACAGGGAGTTCAACATGAAGACACCCACACCCGAGACGTACCGCAAGAAGCGCAATGCACTAGGCATGACGATGAGCGCCCCAGCCGATAGCGGCAAGACGGCGACGGCGTCGAGCAGTACCATCTCTCCCAAAGGGACCGGCAGCGGTAGCCAAACGCAGATGGCCACTGCCGTTGAAGACGTCTGCGAGCGTCCCTGGCAGAACGAAGTCGACCGATGGAAAGGCCAGGGGGATGCATGCGGCCTCAACTCCAAGCTCGAGACACTTCTTCGTGCTTCGGCGCTGATGCAGGATGAAGAGACGACGTCGGAGAGCAATGATGAAAGCGAAGCCGACGCTGACGCCGACAGAGCCTACCGTCCTAACCAAGAGACCGGAAACAAACGTCTAGGAGAGGATCTCTACCACGACAAGACACCCTCTGCGGCTCCCAAGCACGAATATCTAGCTTCACTATCTCCGCGGTCCGAGCTGCCGGCAGAGTCGTCTTTAGAGTCGAAAAAGTCAAAGAACGAAGGGGCCGAAGCGGGTGCATCCAACGTCAGCTCGCCTGGGCCGTGGCGCAAGCACATGGATTACTTCTTCAGGCTCCATCAGGCGAGAGCAGACGATGCGGCTGCCAAGGGAAACCTGGACCAGTACGAGCAAGAGCGCTTCCTGGCCAACAAAGAGCTTAAGAGGCTTCGGCGAAGTGCAAGAAGAGAGGCAGATGGACAGGAGGCAAAGGGGACTGAACAGAGAGGCAAAAGGACGAAAGCGAAGGGGAGAGAAAGGCTACCATGGGGCCGAAGTCGTAGCTATCGTAGGTACCAGTCCGCATTGAAGATTGAGAGGCTCGAAGCTGATATTGCGAGCTTTCCAGAGTCATCAAAGACTGACGGCGACTCTTCGGGAGACGAAGGGAAGGCCGGAAGAAAGGATGCAAGAGGAGACGACCATCACGGCCTTAAGCTCGACGGCGCAGCTCTGCAAAAGATGCAGTCGCATTCTGCCGACGATGACCATCTCAGCGTCATCGAACGCGTCGCGTCGCGTGCAGAATCGACAAAGTCTGGCAGATCGTCATCGCCGCCACCGATATCGACCGAGGGCGAAAGGCAAGCTGAAGAGGGGGGAATTCAGGATGGAGAGAGGAAAGCGGCGGATGATGATGATGAAGACGGCGAGGAGCACATCCTCATGAAGGGTGACGAGGATGACGAAGAGATCCAGTCGACAGCGGCGCGTCAACGCGCGTCGAGCATAGGCAGCAAGGCTAGCAGCACGGGATCTCAGCGCGACGAGAACAGCAGGAAGAACCTTAACGATGACGAAAAGCTCCAGATTCTTATCTCAGAGTTCGGCGAGAGCCCTCCCGGCGAGTGGAATGGCAACGAGGAGGAGAAATTTGTGAGTTGTCACCCATCTGACTCGGTCATCTCTCTAGAGTGCTCAAATGATTTCGCAGATTCGAGACTCCCCCGCCGTGCTGTTTCGAAGAGTTCTTATAAAGGGATACGCTGCCCTGACCTCGCATCGACTCACTTTTCTAGCCTTCATGTCCACCGCACCGTCTGAGAATGCCGGTATACCTGCGCAACAAGCCTCAGGACCCAACTTGGATGGCGTCGATCCAGCCAGCCTGGTGATCCGTCGAGGGCCAGCCGTTGTGCACCGTCCTGGTCTGACGAAGCGCAAGCGCAAGGTCTGGTTCGAACTCACGCCTGAAGCCCTGACGGCATATCCCAGCTCCAATGAGCTGTACGAGCCCTTGGCGAGCGTTCGAAACGTCGAGATTGACGTCATTCAACCTTATCACGAGAAGCCGACGTGCGTCCAGATCAAGGTGAAGGGCAAGAAGGGTGCTCTTCTCGAGTTCGAAACAGTGGAAGCAGCCTTGTCATGGCAGCGCGAAATCGATGCAGCAGTCTGGCATGCTCACTACGGTAGTGACAAGGTCCGCGTCTCGCTGCCTTTGGCCCGCATCCTCGACGTGGAGACGACGACCATCATGAATTTTGCCACAAATCTCACATTTACCGTCCTAGACACGCCGCAGCCATCTGCATACAGCACGAAGGATCTCTATCCCCATACCCACAAGCTTCGTGACAAGGTACGCTGGCACGACATTAAGAATGACCCGACAATCACCACTCGCAAAATCGACTTTAGCATCACGGAGGAGTGGCTTCAGAACATGTTTGCCGACTTCACCATGGCCCTTAAGGTGGGCAAAGAATGGAGGGCGACGCATGCGACACAGGACTGGCCTCTGGTCCCTTATCCCACCATTGAGATCGAGGGCGGCCGAAGGCGCAGGGAAGACGGCAAGGACGATGGCGACGGCGAGAGCGACGTCGAGGAGGTCATGAACGACAAAGGTGAAGTGGCGGAAGACCAGCACGAGAAGGTGCGCAAACGCATCATCCGTGAATTCAGCCTTGAGTGCCGTCCCGATGAAGTCAGCATCTTGAAAGCCGACATCGTCCGCTCCATCCCGTCTGGCGGCATCCTCGCCATTGGGCCAAAGTACCTATGCTTCTATAGACGAAGGACCATGACGGGCATGTCTGATGTCCGAGTCAAGCTGCCCCTCGCTGATATTCAAGACGTACGTCTTTCGAAGGCCTACCGTTGGCACTATCACGGTCTTCGGGTTCAGATCCGCGCTCACGAAGACATCCTGTTCGAAGTGCGAAGTGAGGAACAGCGAGACAAGGCCGTTGCATGGATCCTCGATGCCGTCAAAGGACGCAAAGCAAGGCAGAATTCAACCTTCGAGGAGCGCCAGCAGAAGACGAGGGAAGAAAGTCCAGCGAGGCGGCTTGCGCAGCATTCGAGCCTCGAGGTACCTTCGATTCCGAAAGAAGCCATCAATCTTCTGCCCAAGATTGTCAATGCTGCGCCAGGCATGGTTCACAGAGTCAGCCCCATGAAAATCATCTGTCTCACCATTGGCAGTCGCGGCGACGTACAGCCTTATCTCGCCCTGTGCAAGGGGCTACAAAAGCAAGGCCACGAGTGCATCATTGTCTCGCATGCAGAATACGAGGACTGGGTGGCCAAGTATGGTATCGCCTTTCGACCGGCGGGTGGCGACCCCAGCGTCCTTATGAAGCTCAACGTCGAGACGAAGCTCTTTTCGGCCCAATTCTTTCGCGAGTCAATCGGCAAATTTCGTCATTGGCTCGACGAGCTGCTGCGAGCCATTGCCGAGCAGTGCTATGATGCCGACCTCATCATCGAGTCACCTTCGACCTTTGGCGGCATCCACGTCGCAGAGGCTATCGGCTGCAGCTACATGCGCGCATTCACGATGCCTTGGACGCGCACGACGTCGTACCCCCAAGCATTCTCGGTCCCTTCAACCGACCTCGGCGGGCAATACAACGCCATGTCTTACACGCTCTTTGACCAGATCCTGTGGCGTGCGTCGGCGGGCCAGATCAACCGATGGCGAAAACACATGCTCAATCTACCTTCCACCAATCTTGACAAGCTCGATCAGTCCTCGATCCCGTTCATGTACAACTTCTCGCCCGCTGTCGTGCCGCCTCCTCTGGACTGGGGCGACCGCATCGAAATCACTGGCTACTGGTTCCTCTCGAGCGAGGCTGAGAAGTGGCAGCCGCCAGAGGAGCTGACTGCCTTTCTGGAAAAGGCCAAGAGCGACGACAAGAAGATCGCCTACATTGGCTTTGGCAGTATCACCATTCCAGATCCTACAGCGACAACAAAGGCCATTTATGAGGCTGTCAAGAAGGCGGACGTGCGAGCCATCGTCTCGAAAGGCTGGTCGGCCAGGGGCTCCACCAAGAAGCAAGGTCAGGAAGAGAAGGAGCCAGAGGTGCCAGAGGAGTGTTATGTCGTCGACAGCATCCCCCACGACTGGCTCTTTCCACGCATTGACATTGCCCTGCACCACGGTGGGGCCGGCACCACCGGCGCAAGCTTACGCGCAGGCCTCGTAACGCTCATCCACCCTTTCTTCGGCGATCAGTTCTTCTGGAGTGGGAGGGTCGACAAGCTGGGCGCCGGGCTCAAGGTCAATACTCTTGACGTCGACGACTTGGCTGCTTTGCTGGCCAAGGCGGCCAAAGATCGAGTCATGGTCGAAAAGGCCCAAAGGATCGGCGAAGCGATTCGGAGCGAGCGCGGCGTCGACAATGCAATCAAGTTCATCAATACGAACCTAGTGCTCTCGAAGCGGAAGAGACCAGCGATGAGCCAAAAGGATCTGCAAAGGCACCGACGACGCTCGTCTGTTGCCACGAGCATGTCCGAAAGCGGAGCTAGCGATAGCCAGAGCCAAGGCGGTCGTAGGTCATCCTTTACTACAAATTCTGCCTCTACGAGTGAGGCAGAGACGGACGATGACGACGAAGAGGGCCTGGACGAGGGAGGTGAGCCAACGATCCGAAACACGCAGACCAATGCAAAAGATCGGTCGAGTTGGTCCTTTAATGGCCTCTTGAAGTCGGACAGCTGGAAGGCTGCGGCGATCTACCCCTTTGGTGCTGCGAGCCGTACCTCTGGATCGGTGGTGAGCAAGTCGACGTCGATCCCGAAAAAGATCAAATCGCACACCTCTGGTCTTGGCGGGCAGTCTGATGCGGAGGAAGAAGAGGAGAGTGGGCAGAGGGTTGCTAGCCCTCAACCTATGTCTCGATCAGCCTCTACGGCCTCGCAGTCTTCGTCGTCTTCGTCGTCACCGCTCAAGAAAGACAGCCGGCCCATGAGTGGCACAAACTCCCCTCGGCTCGCACCCGATTCTCCAACGCTCGCCCCTGAGGGTACAACTGGGGAAAGGAGAGTCAGTGGTGGCGGCGAGGTCGACGGATCGTCGAGCCCGATGCGGAGGGGCTCGTCGATGCTCCAAATGCACAAGAACCTGCACCTCATGCCCTCAATGCCCCACTTCTCAATGCCGCACCTGCCCAACGTGATGCGAAGCGCCAGCATCGCGGGCCTCTCTGGCTCGGGCTCTGGCGCGAAGGAAGGGGAGCGCAGTCGTAAAGAATCTCGTGAGGGCGGGACCGAACCGACTGAAGAAGAAAGGGCCGCACAGGCGCGGACGCACAAGACGGCCAAGATTGAGGATGAGCGGAGAAAGGGGCTGCTGGTTGACAAATGGAAAGCAACGGATCGGTGGGATCTCGTCAAGCTTTGGGACCCGGACACTGTCGAGCTCGATGAGGAGGGTGCCGCAGCGGCGATAGCTGCAGCGACTTGCCAGCCTTCTTCGGCGAGCGAGGATGAGCGCGAGGGTGGGAGAGACCACTTGAAAAAAGGAGAGAAACTTCGCAAATTGCAAAGCGAATCAGTGACGCATCTGTAGTTCTGCAATCTTGTCTACCTATCATTTACCCCCTCTCTATTGCAATATTACCCAGAGCATGCTTCCAGCTTCCAGGTGTTGTTCCGAGCGACGCGAGATAGAATTCGCGCCGCGCCGATGATCGATCCTACACGTGAGAATTTGAGCTGCTTTACGAGCGCGTACGCCGCTCTACTTTTACGATCTTCCCAAAGAGAGCCGGAGGACTTGATAAAACGAAGAAATGAGCACGATGGCTGCCTCTGCCTCGTCGTCGTCGCTGCCACGACGGATCCAAGAGATCCCACCGCGGACCGAGTACCGCTTTGAGCTGGAACCATCTGAACGAATCGCCATTCGCCTTGTGCCTGGAAGCGGCGGAACGGCCGACGTCTTTGGCCACGAGCTGAGCGCGGCGACGGAACGGTGGTATCCCTTTGGCGACGAGGCCAAGATAGCCGTGTCGAGCTCAACGGGGTGCCAGATCGAGATAGTCGGCCATGTGTCGACGGAGTACGTGGCAGACGAGGCCAGCCCTAGCTTTACGAGCTGGAGCAACCTGCACATCTACCTCGAGAAAAAACGGCTCATGGCAAGAGAGGACCTGAAGAAGGACCTGGCAAGCGGGGATGCGAGCAATGTTAGGAAGCTGGCATCGAGCGACAAGGTGTTGCACACAGTCGCGCCGAGGTGGGCGGCGCCGAATGCACAGGCAGATGAGGGGCAAGAGGTAGGCGGCACATCGGCATACACCCCTGAAGGGCAAGGCCCAAGGATCATGGTGCTCGGTTCGGAGGCGTCTGGCAAGTCGAGCTTGATCAAGTTCTTGGCAAATTATGCTCTGCGAAGTCCTGCCGTCTGCGATCCGCTCAGAGGGACGGCTAGTGAGAAGCGAGAGAGTGAAGAGCAGCGGCAAGATGATGGAAGCGCCCCAGGGGGCGACAGTGGCAGCCAGATTACGGGCTGGTGGCCTACGATCGTCTCTCTCGACCCATCGATCGGGACAGCACCGCTGCCCTGTACCGTATCCATCCTGCCGCTTTCAGCCGTTCCCAACTCCACGCTTCCCTCTCCATCGCCTGCTTATCCCTACGGTCTGACTCCAAACACATCAGGAGCTATTCCACCTTCGGCTTCAACGGTGCAAGCCACGAGCCCCTACTCGCTCTGGCTGGGGCAAGAGACCGCCCGCGAAAATGAGCGACATAGCAGAAGAGTTGTCGATTGGCTCGCGGATGCGCTCGATCGGAGGCTCGCAAGGGACGAGAGGGCCAGATGTAGCGGCATTCTTGTCGATATGCCCGGCGTCACAACAGCCGATAGTCGATCGAGGTATGCCTTTGTTCAGCACTGTGTCCGAGCTCTCCATAGTGGGTTCCGCATTTCTTTCATCCTCTCTCCTGCCTGAATGTGAATGCTGACGCTGCGGCACAAGTCGACACGATTGTCATTCTCGGCCACGAGAAGCTCAACATTGAGCTGTCAAGAATCTTTGGCCAGCAGGGTTCAGGCATCAGCGTCGTTAAGATTCCAAAATCGGGAGGAGTAAGCATTTCATCCCTTCTCCAATCACCGTTAATTCATTGCTCAATCTTCCTCGCTTTTAGGTCGTCGAGCTGGATCAGACGTTCAAGCAACGACTCCGAGCGCTGCAAGTGCGGAATTATTTCTATGGAGGCAGCAACGCCCCTCGTACCTTAGGCGATGCCACCAAGGAAGCTACCGAAGACGAGGCTAGCACGGCGACTTCGAGTGCAGCAATGAGCGTCATGTTGGAGCCTTTGGGCAACCTTCCCTCGTTGAGTCCATACAGCACGACAATTCCCTTTGATCTTCTTGAGATATACAAGATTGGCGCCGAGTCGGCCGCACCTTCGTCAGCTCTGCCGATCGGTGCCAGTCGAGCGCTGCAGGATCAGACACAGCTTATCAAGCTCAATCCCTCTGATTCGACACTGGATCAGGCCAACATTTCCAACGCCGTCCTCGCCCTTGTTCAGCCTGTTCGAGGAGGCGGAGGGCCAGGTCAAGCGGATAGCAAGGTCGAGCCGCCCCCGACCGACGATGAGATTATCGGAAGCCCCATCTTGGGCTTCATTCATGTGTGCGTGTTCTCTCTCTACGTGCCCTCTCTTGTCTACCAGCCTGACTGACCTCTGGCGAATCGCAGCGCAAGCATCGACGCCGCTAAAAAGAAGATGACGATTCTCTCCCCTAGCCCAGGCAAACTTCCAAGCAAGACTGCCATACTTGGAGTGAGTCTTCATCTCCTGCGCATCGCATCTCCTCCGTGACTGACTAGCTCGAAATCAAGTCTCTCGACTGGCAAGATGCCTGAGCACGTCACGCCGACCAGGTAGACCTTTCATCGTCAAAATAATAAAGCGGTATCCTTTGATATTGAACAACCCTCCTGTGAGAAGGGGAGGAACGTGTGCCCATCTGTTTTACAAGAAGAAAAAGAATAGAAATGAGGTGTGATACGGTTAAGCTGAAGGGGCGTCGCCATTGCGAAGCGCCATCAACTTCGACCTTGCGGCGGCCGAGGCCTGGCTCGAAGCACTCGAGTTGGAGGCACCTGGGATCCTCGAGACGGGTCTGGGGATCGTCCGGTTTGCAGAGCTGTGCGAAGGAGCTGGAGGAGACATTGGTGCTGCGGACGAGCTGTCTACAGGTCCAGTCGACGACGAAGACGGCGTTCTAGAGAATTTGGCCCTAAGTTGTGCAAGCCGATCGTCTGTGACGCTACTTCTTTGCGAGCTAGGGCTGTTTGGCGCAGTCGTGCCGCCCTCTCCACCTCCAATGGAGGACCTGAAAGAGGTTCGCTGACCCGTCTGGCCCTGCTGCTGCGCCTCAGGAGCAGCAGAAAAGGCCATGCTTGACCTTGCCGAGAGCGAGCCTGGGCTGCCAACCTCGCTCGGGCCACCGTGTCCACTTATCATGCTGAGCGTTCTGGCCTGGGGCGTACTGACGAGGCTGTTGTCTTCGTCCTCCGCTGCGTGGTTGGCCAAGGCACGCTTGATGAATTTCTGGAAGATGGGGCCCGTCTTTTCTAGCGACCGCTGAATCGAAGCTTCCTTGTGCGGGTACCGGCGCTGGAAAAGATACAGATCCTTGATGGCCGCTCGGCTCTCTGACTTGCTGGCGATGCGGTCAAAGATGGCGCGCAGCTCAGCATTGACGCCAGACTCTGCGCCACCTGCAGAGATGGAGTCGCCCGAAGGCGACGAGACCATCGAGGGCGACATCACTGCCGAGGATTGTGCCCGCGCAGACACAAATGGTGACTGGGGCGCGCCGAGGTGAAGCTTCGATGGCGACATTGGTGGCGAGGCTGCTGATCTCCTCGAGACATGCGAGAGAGACGACCCGGTGTGCTCGCTACCTCCAGACCGAGCTCCTTCACCGCCGCCCGCCGTCGAGATTTCGTCCTCATCGACGCCCAGCCCGGAACCCTGTCCTCGATCAATGATCCTCAGCAGATACGCATATACGTGAGACTGCTCAGGGTCCTGCAAGCCGTCGAGCATGCCGAGCGCTTCTTCCCCATATATGCTTCCGAGGTGCGTCAAAATTACCTTGATAGTCCTCAGAGGCATCTCTCCTAGCGGTACGTCCTCGCTCGCGCGCCTCTTCCACTCCTTTGGCGGCGTGGCCTGCAGGAAGTTTTCGACATCGACGAGCAGCTGCTGGGGCTCCAGCAATTCCTCCTGCAACGAAGTTGGCAGCTTCCTCGTGATCTTCCACAAGCACTTTGTGATGAGCTCGGCGAACTTGGATCGCTTCTTGAGCATCGCGTCTTGCAGTTGGTCCATGTCTTCGGTGGCTTCCGTCAGCATCGTGAGGCACGCGCCAAACAGGACATTGAGGTTGCACGACGAGAAGCTCCTCAGCACGATAATGTTCAAGTATCGTCCGTAGGTCTGCGTCTCTTCGTCGGTAGCGCCAGATGTCTCGATCAGCCTCTGGAGAAGCTCCGTCAGCAGTGAAACGAGGGCGGGCCTCGAAACGAAGCTGCCGAGCGTCTTGCCTTGATCTTCTGCCGATCGTGATTTGGGGTCGTCCCACAGCCGTGTGTTGTCAAAAATAGAAGTGCCCGTGACGAGGAGGTGCTTCTTGAGGCGGTCACCTGGAGCGCTCTGCTCCGACGTGAAAGCCCTGTGGAGCTGCTTTCCGAACACAATAGCCAATTGGTCCGCATGGCGAATCAAGGCTGGCGCCACTGCCTGAATCTCCTGTTCGACATGCTTGAGAGCCATAACACTGCGGTCGCAGTCGCTACTCAGGATCTCATTGATCGCCTGTTCAACGGCCACGTCATCTTCGCTGCTAGCCGACGTCTTCGCATCGTACGAAGAGGGCGGGGCAGCTTCAAGCTCCTCTTCGTCCTCATGAATGCTAGCCGAGCTGCGTGCGCTGGCACCATTTGTAGACGGTCTTGGAATACCTCGTGGAAGCCTCGCAGAAGGCGATGCTGGTCGATCATCTGTCCCCTCGGAGCTGGGCACGCTTCGGTGGGCCAAAGACGCAGGCCGCGCGATGCCGGAAGCGGGGCCGGGCAGCCGGCTCTTCGCCGGTCCTCCAGCTGCTCCGGGGATTCCAGACGGTGGCCGTGCAATTCGCGATGATGCCGCTGCAATCTTGCTCGCTCCGGCGATGCTTGCTCTCGGACCGGCACCTGCTGTTGGAGTCGGAGGTGCTGCAACGGGGGCCTTGGAGGTGGGCGCCTCTGTCCGCTTAAGCCTCTCCTGCAGGAGCGACAAGTCTTTTGGCGGAAGACTGCCAACGTACTTATAGATATCTTCGCCAATGATCTTGTATCCTTCACCTAGCGCCATGAGCGCCGCTGTCCTAACGCCATTGTCTCTATCGGCAATCTGTTTCGCGACAATAGGCAATGTCTTTGCCGGTGAACAGACCTGTAGGCCGTTCTTTGCGATGAGGTGGCCCAACTCGCCCAGACATTCGGTCCTGACCCGCGCATTCTTCGAAGGCAGCCCGACGTCGACGTAGAAGGTGAGAAGCTTGCTTGGCGGGTAGATGAAGGCCATCCGTCGGAAGATGTCCCTGATCCGATCGCGAAATGCTACCTTGGGGTCGCCGAACTTGGCAATGAGGCAAGGCAGCAGACTGTTTGCCTCATAGTCGAGGAGATGATACCGCTCGCCTCGAAGCAGATTGACGAGGTGATCCAGGACATCGAGGCATTTGAGCGAGATGCTCGTATTGTTGTCTGTCAACCGGATCGCAATGTACTTGAAGATCAAATCCGAGTTGGCGACGGCTCTCTCCAGAGTCTCTTGATGCGAAAGGCCAAATTGCTCTTCAGCAAACGTTGGGCTTGAGATAAGGTCGGAAAGCAACGTCAGCGCTGCGGAGAAATCGCGTTCGGCGTTGTGATCCTTGCTGAACATCTGATCGATGATATCGACGCTCAGATGGTGCTCGCACTGCTGCCGAAGCACCTCGACCAACTCCGGCCTCGGTGTTCCCTCCGGTCCGATCCAATGCGCTGCTCGTCCCTCTTTCTTCTCTCGAATCGCCTTGAACTTCCCGTCGGCCGTGATCAGTGGGACTGAACGGTCCGGAGCAACTTGGGCAGTAGACGAGGAGAATGCTGGTTTCTTGGCAGGCGCCCCGAATTTGGCCCTTGTCGCAGATCTAGGTGACGGTGCTTCGTTGTCGTCGCTACTGCGACTGGTCAAGACGGACTGCGGCCTCGATGCTGTGCTGGGGGCTTTCAAGGAGCGACCAACCGCCGTGGGAGGTTTGACGGACGAACGAGGGACAGCACCTGCTGCGGACTTGGCAGCGGCCGGCAAGGGCGGAAGGCTCTCGACAGGAGGCGGCGGTGGCATCTTGGAAGCACTTGGACGGGTAGACGCAGGAGCGGCAGCAGCAGAGGCGACAGGAACAGCCTTTGGGGCCTTGGCAGCTGCTTGAGATTTTGCAGCGTCAATGAGAGGGATGACGGTGTTTCTCGAGGCGGTTTTGAGCCCATTGGTCTGCTCCATGACGAACTTGTAACCAGCACGCATGATGATAAAGGGAAGGACCGACTGTGCCGCCTTTCGGACCGCTGCCAGCTTATCGTCCAGCGTGACCACGACCGGGAGTGCCAGAGGAGTCAGGTCCATGCCCTTCTCTGGAGGGTGCGCCTCGAACCACTCGCCAAGCCAAGTGAAGAGGTCCTGCTTCAGCATTGGGTTGGCCGCCTTGCTGTCGAGCACGGTGCCAAAGCCGGCGATCATGTTCCCAACGCCCACCTGCTCCGCCATTGCTGTCAGCGTCTTTGAGGCCGCAGCACGGATCGGGGCCTTTGCATCAGCGAGGACCTGAGTGACGGATGGAACAAATGTGCGGACGTGCTGGTCGAAGCCCTTGTTCATGGCCGTGGCAATCTTCGCCAGCGCGTCGAGAGCAAGGGTGCGGACCTGAATGTTGCTGTCTGTATATCGCATCTTGAGGGCGGTGCCTAGCTCGTTCATGTTGCTCTTGAGCCGCGTGTTGGCATCGAGGATCGCGATGACTTCCTCGAGGCCCTCCTTCCTCTCCTTCCAATTGGCATCGCCAATCTTGGCAATTGAAGAAGCAGCCACGAGCTTGTCCAAGTCGACTCTCGGGATGAGGGCGTCGAGCGCATCCTCGTCCACCTCGGGCGCACCAGCTGGCCCAGTCCCGTTGCCGTTCGATTCCGCACCTGCAGAGGCTGAGGGCCTGCTCTCGCCGCTAAATCGTGTCGGCGCAGGCGGTGGGTTGCTCGTCGCCTTTTCGATCTCGGCCTCGATCGTCGATCGCAGCTGAGGGTTGAGATCTCCCAGGAACGTCGTCAAGGCAGTGCCCAAGAACCTGGCCAATGTCCCAATGACCGTCGTCGCATTGGTTCGGACCGCAGCATTCGCCGATTTCAGGCAAGTCAAGAGGTACTCAATGACGCCTCGCACATCGACACCTTGCGTGCCGAAGTCGAGGATTGCCTGGTTGACCCAAAGCAGCGAGTCGGCGATGGCCTTGGGTGCTTTGACATTGCTGAGCGGTGAAAGAGCTTGGGCCAAGACGAAACCGAAAGACGTCTTTTCTGCAAATAGCGTCAATGTCTCGCCAGCGGAGCCCTTGAGCTTCATGTCGCCCAGCTTTTCACAGAGTGGTGCCATGGACAGCGATGCCGACGCTCTCGCAAACGATGGACTGTCGTCGGCCAAGAGGCGCATCGCTGAGTACACCTCAGCCATGACCTGAAAGTTGCTCTCTTTCCACCCTGGCTTCTTCGAGAGGGATCGAATGATGATTTCGCTCTCCACTTCGGCGGCTTCAACCTTAAGCCACTGGTTGAGTTCTTGCATGCCTGTCAGACGCTCCTTCCAGACACCGCTGGCCAATTGCGTCGCAATAGCTTCGGGGATCAAGTCGGCTGCCTTTGCCTCGGCGTCTTCCTGGTGGAAGCGATACTTTACAGGCTCCGTTGCCGAGGGCGCCTTTGCCCCTCCCGCCCCTTTGGCCCCAATCGGCCGGAACGGGGCAGTGGCGGCAGCGGGCTTGGACGGGCCAGCGCTTGCTGATGCGGGTGCCGGCCGCTTTGCCATGAGTCTGGCAGGAGGTGCAGCTCTTGTTGGAGCCGGAGATGATGCGGCCCTCGGTGGTGCATTCTCTTTGTCTGCCACCGGTGGTGCAGCCGGCTTCTTGGCGACAGGTGCAGCCGATGGCTTAGGCTTGGGCTTGGGAGCACTGGAGGCAGCCGGGGGCGGAGCAGCCGACCGAGCGGGCGCTGCTCCTCCTGCCTTAACCTTGACTGTGGCTATCTTGAACTGCTCTTGGATCTTTGCCTTGCGGATATCGTCCAGGCCATCGATGAATTGGTTCATTGGCCGCTCTCCGATAAGCTTCATCAGCGTCCCCAGACCCTGCGCACCAGCGTCTCGCACATCTGCTGATCCGTCGGCACTGGCGCTGAGGAGAGCATCGGCAATGGGCTTGATGTCGGCCTTTGCTGGCATCTGCCTCGTCGTCTGCAGGCATCTGACCAAGTACTGAATCGTGCCCGTCTTTACCGAGGGGTTCTTGTGCTTGGTAAAGTTGAGGACATGCTCGAGGATCTCTCCAAACGAGACGGTCTGGAAGACGGCATCGAGAGCTTCATTCAAGACCTTGACCACGGCCTCTTTGCGCTCCTTGAGCTTCTCGAGGAGCGGGGGCAGGACTTTGTCTTTGTTCTTGGCAAAGTTGGCCTGCAACCCCGTTGCAAGCTTAGCAATGCACTGGGCGCTGACGAGGGCGACGTTGATATTTGCGTCCTTCTTGACCTTCTCTGCAAGCTCGTCGACGAATGTGTCGATTGGTGGTGTGTGAATCATCTTTGGCGTACCCTCCAGCACCTTGAGGCACTGGTCCAGGACCTCCTTTCTTTCCAGCCATTTTTTGCTTGCAAGCATCTCGTCGAGATTCTCGGGCCAGGCGGCCGCCTTGAGCGGATTGACGGGCTCGGCGAATTCGAGGGGATCAATGTCGTCCTCCGCTGCCTCGCCCTGGCCGGACTCGCCGCCTCCACCATTGCCGTCGTCGGCCCCTGCAGGCGCAATCTCTTCCTGGGCAGGCTTCTGCGAGATCAGGAATCGTGTCGGCTTGGTGTGCTTTTGCCCTGTCCGGTCGAGCTCGGCAAACTGTTCGTGAAGCTCTTTTGCCTGGATCTCTTTCAGCGACGCAATCGTTGGCTCCAGGGCTGGGCCGACCCATTTGTGCAACTCCTGAGCCAGAGTCCCCGCCTCTGATCGGACCGTCTTGTCGGAGTGACCAAACAGCGTGGGCAACTTTTTGAGAATGAGCTTGAAGCTGACCTGCCTCGGGCCAAAATCTCGAAAGAGCTCGGCCAGCGTCGCCACGGCACAGGCGACCACTTTTGGCTGCTTCGCTCCTGTCCCAGCCAGCAGATCAGTCACGAGCCCTTCGCAGCCCATGGCGTCTTCCATCTCGGCGTACAGCATCGCCACCTCGACAGCCGACTTCTTTGTCCCAGCCCTCATCGCGCCAAAGCATTTCTCCACCACGGCAGGCATGACGACTTCCCTTGTCGCTCCGGCTCCCTTTCCTCCGTACGACACAAAGGCCTTGAGTACATCGAGGGCCTTTTCCTGCGCAACTGCATTGGAGTCTGTCGCCCATGCCTTGACTCCGTCCGGGTTCTTTGTCCATGGCCGGAACACGGGGTCCTTTTCCGACGGGCTCTTTTCAAAGGCCTTGGCCAGATCTTCGTACCCAGAGACTCTTGCCTTCCAATTCTGTGCGGGTCAAGCCGTCAGTGTCCAAGCCCGACGTTTCAGTTGGACGCGACAACGAGCAGCGACACCTACTTTGGAGGCCAGTCTCTCTTCGATGGACATCTTCGAAAAGTCTTCTTGCGCAGGCGGTGGGCCGCCCATGCCGCCCGACGCACCAGCGCCGCCTCCAATGGGAAGCTCGTCCATTGTTGAGACCCTCGCCTTGCGTCTAAGTTTCCGCTTCTATCTCCCTTTCTTTCTTTCCCTTTGCAGAGACGATATCGGGATTGTCTTGTTTATGAGTCGTGCCTTTTCCTTACTTCCCTCCCCCTTTTCCACCTTGTCGATGTTGCGCACTACTGATACAAGAGTCCGACGCGCTCGTCTCTGGACCAACGACGTATCGTACGGAACCCGTATGCTTCCCTCCTCGCCTCGTTCCTCGGAGCGTCCAAGAAAAGGAGAGGGGGGTGTTGGCAAGCGGAGAAGAAATGGTAGTCGTTTAGGGACTCCTCTCTCCCTGGCCAATTTACAAGAGGATGGCCGTGCAACTGGTGTTGTTTATCGTCACGTGGTTAGCGCGTCGCTATTGTTCAAAAGTGTTGTTCGTGCTTAGCATGTGAGCGGTGGTTGAAAAAAAAAAAAGCATGCGATTGAGCATTGCGCACTACTACTGAAAAAGAGTGGGGAAGTCGAAGAGCAGCGACCAAGGAGAGAGAGATGTGTGTGGAAATGACAAGGTTTGATGATGCAGACCGGTGACATGGATGCGGACACAACCAAGGTTCATAGCGAAAAACGAGAAGAGATGTGATACAAAGAGGGTATTCGTCGAACGACGGCCCACGCCTGATCAGAGGTAAGGGAGGCCGCCTTCATCGCCGCTGATGCCGCTGAGGTCCGAAGTGCGGTTGCTGCCAGCTCGCTCTGCCTGCAGAGTTCGCTGCAGCCCTGCCAGAACGCCATTGTTGCGCTCAGTGGCGGTCTTCGATGTCGAGGCAGCTGCCAGGGGGGCCTGCAGAGGATTGTGTGCAGGAGCGGATTGCTGTTGCTGTTGCTGCCGCTGAAGAGCGGCGGGGCTGCCAGCCTCGCGAATCTTGCGCTGCATGTCGTCCTTGTCCTGCCAGTAGCTCGACATGTGTGCATAAGGATCAAAGACGCTCGTGTTGTTGGGCCCGATGGGCGGAATATAGTTGGTCCCCGAGGGCGGGCCAATGGGTGCTGGACCACCCATCATGACCTCCGAGGTGGGGTGTTGCGGCGCTCCCGGACTGGGAAGCATCGACACTTCCGACTGGGGCGATCGCGGAGTGGTTGACGTAGAAGGATCGGCAAATGGCGATCTGGAACTCTCTGGCGACGCCTGGCCTCCTTGCTGATGGCGATTCAGGCCCGCATACGATCCGACTCCAGCACCATATCCATCGACTGGAGTGCCCATCGAACGTTCCGAGACGGGCGTGAGGACCTTGCGCACATTGCCCGAACCTGTGGCTGCCTTTTCAGGCCTCGGAGGCGGGAAGAGATGGCTGTCAGGCACGACGCGTCTTCGCGACGAAACGCTCCTGGCGTCATCACTCGTGCCGGCCACGCTGGAGCCATCGTTGAAGCTGCCTCGCGCGCTCTCGCTGCTCTTTGTTCTCTGGCCCAAAGCTGGTCGCGGAGGAGGAAAGAGACTGTCATCGGGAACCACGGTCTGGACCGAATTGATCTTCGACATTGTCCTTGTGCCTCGCCTTGCGTTGGCATCATCCTCCGTCGACCAGGGTTCGGTGGTCAGCTTCCTCGGTGTTGACGGAGCGAAAGCAGATGTAGGCGCTGTAGTGTTGCTCTGCAGTGTGCGCGAGGACGACCTGAGCGCGTTCTGGCTCATGCCGACGCTGGTATAGGGAGAGCTCACGGAGAAGTCGTCTCCGGGAGCTCCAGGAAGGTATCCATCCGAGGATGCAAGACCAGAGGCCGCCGTAATAGAGGCATTGCGCTGATGGATCTGTTGTTGATTTTGATGAAGCTGAGAGGAAGAGGAGTACGATTCCGTGGCTTGATGGCCAAAGCCTCCACGGAAGGCAGGGGTCGAAGCCGCATCTGCCATGTTCATACTCCTTGCCTGCACATTGCCGTCGTTGCCAGGCCGCTCAAACGTCTGACGGAACCAGCCGCTGACTGTTCGCTGGGTCTTTCCGGTCGCAACGCCTTGTGCGTGCGGAGAGACGGACCAGCGCCAAGGCGAGACGGCTGCCGCCGACTTCTCGTGCGAGCCGTAGGCACCACCATAGAAGCTGTCGTCTTGCATGCGTCGCCTGCGCCTGATCCACCAGAAGATGAGGGCGACGAGGATGATGATCGCTGCAATAGATCCAACGGCAGCGCCAGCAGCAGTGCCTCCGTGGCCGCTGTGGTCGTCGCTGCTGCCGGAAGATGAGGCGCTGCCGGCCTTGGTGGTGCCATCGTTCGTAGCTGTGCTCTTGGAAGCACTGGACGCACCAGCAGCCGTCGAAGAAGCAGCTGCGGCGCTGCTCGACACCGACGCATGCACGACAGAGCCTCCCGAAGGCAAGCCATTGCCGATGCCGCTGGGCGTCTTGCAACTGCCCTTGCCAGTGCCAACGGTGTAGAGGCTCCCGACGCCGCCCGTACCGTACTTGCCTCCGTCGTTTGCAATGACAGCTATCTTTGTATTGGCATCAAACGGCACCTGGAATTGAAGCGCTCCTGTCGCTTTGGATGATCCACCGGAGACGGTCAGAGGAGTGCCCTTCTCAGGGAGGAAAGAGAAGGATACCGTGCCGCTGACGCCCGCGTTCGTCTTGTCCGTCTGCCAGTTGATCTTCCAGTCGGCGCATTCCGTGGGATTGTCAGGGGTCGGATACCAGACAAAGTCGAGATCTTCAGTGGAGGCACCGCACGTCGCGCCTCCCACAGGCGGTGCGATGGTCTGGAGTGAAGAGACACCAGCACTGTTTCCCGACGAGTCTGCAACGGCGACGAGCGCTTGGGTGGTATCCTTTGACGAGAAGAGGGGTACGGACCAGTTGTATGAGAAATCCTTCGATGATGGTACGTCTTGCATCGACAGCGTGATAGGTGCGTGGTTGATGGCCGCCACTGTGAGTGTCCACGGACCTTTGCCTTGCGAAGCGTCCCAGGAGATCTCCATCGTCGAGCCTGTTTGCCAATAAATGGACAGTCAGTGACCTGTGCAAAGCATCACCCGAGCGCGAGTCCCCACTCACACGCCGAAGCACCACCAGAGATGCCCACGTCCAGCGGCGTCGTTGCCGCCCTGCGAGAAGGCATGGTTCGCACCTCCATAGTGAACAAGGAGCAGCGGAAGTCCAAGGAGCGTATCGATAAGGCAGCTACTACTTTTGAGAAGGCCCAGCCGGGCAAAGAAGAATCGAAACGTTCAAAAGAATGTGGTGGGGACTAAAAGAGTGTGTCAGCCGTAAGCAGTGGCGAGAGAATGAAGGAGTGAGGGGATGAGGTCGCAAGCGGTCGATAGGGAACGGTGGTGGTGCTGGTGGTGGTGGTGGTGATGGGAGTGGTACCGGAGGGCTAGGGCAATTGCAATATACTGGTGTCAAATTGAATTAGTCTTGGCTGGGCATGGGCCGGGGTCAAATCGCAGAAGAATTTTCTAAATTGCGCACGCGGTTCCAGCCTTCACAAAGGGAGTCGAGGCATGCCTGCAGCTGCACGTCCGTCTCCATTTATCTCTGGCCTAGTGATCGTGACTTGCTCTAGTAGTACGTGGTGGACTAGCTAATTACTACGACTGGTATTTTGAGCGAGCTCGGTCCTTGCCTGGCCGCCGCCATTGGCTCTATGATCTGAGTACCAGCTAGTCAAAGGGCCCTTCTTTGTTGACAAGCGATAGAAGCACCTCCTTCCTCTTTTTCCCTTTTCGGGTTGCGTGCGACCCTGGCAGACGCGGAGCCTGCCTGGACCTGCCTAAAAGAGGTGGGCAGACAAGACAGACACGTGGCGAATTCTTTGGACCACCCCGCTCTTTCGGCGCTCTCTGCCCGAGCAAAGGGAAAACGTCTTCTTCTTGAGCGTAAGAGGGTTCCGGGTCCGTCCAACGCCAACTTTCATCCACGTAAGCGAGACGAAAGGGCGGAGTCCTTGATCCATAAGACAAGGGAAGTCAACACCCTTTGGCCCGTGGTCAGCTCGGCCGGCAGACATTCGGAAAGAAGAGACGCGGTGCGGCTGAGTCACCATCTCTTGACACACCGACGATGTATCCGAGCGGACAAGCGCCTGCGCCGCCGAGCGGCCAGCAGTCGGCCTTTTCCCATCCACCTCACCTGATGCCCTCACCCTCCGCTAATGGCACGCCTCCTCACATGGGCTATGGCGGACAGTACGTGGGCTATCCTGGTCACCAGCAAGGCCACTTTCGTCCGTCGCCAGCCACCGGAGGTAATCCGGGCAGCAGCACCAGCTGGAGTCCCATGGGCCAATCCAGTCTTGCCGGTGCTGACGGTGGGGATGACGAGGACGATGATGAAGAAGATGATGAAGACGAGGATGACGACGATGAGGATGACGAGGATGAAGACGAGGATTCCGGGAGCAAGCGAGGGAAAAAGCGAAAGCGAACAGGCGGCAGTGCGAAGGGAAAGGGTTCGTCTGGAGGCAAGGGAGATGAAGGCGGTCAGGGACAGCAGCAAGCTGGATCAGACGGAAAGAAGCCCAAGCCAACCCGCGGGGCAAAGGCCTGCAAGAACTGTCGCCGTCTCAAGATGCGCTGCGTTGGCGCAGAGAATGGCCCTCCGTGCGACCGCTGCAAGCATACGAACCACGCATGCATCTTCGAGGAGTCCAACAGGGGCAAAAAGGGCGGCAAGAACCAGCGGACCGAGGCCATGGCAGCAAGCCTGCGGAAGATGGAGGCGACGATGAACAATCTCATTCGAAGCCTCAAGGACCCTGCGAGTGCCTTTTCCCAAGGCGCGGGAATGGTGACGAGGAGTCCCAGCCCGGCTACGATTGACCGTGAGCGGGGTGAAAGAGGCAATCAGGACAAAACGGCGCTGGATGGACGATCGGGCGCCTCATCGTCGCGCTACTTCAACGACCGGCAGAGCCACACGAGCCAGCTGCAAGATCGCGAACGGCTCAGTCGCGGCTGGCCCTCGGTCGACGAGGCTGATGAGCTGGGAAGGATTTACCCCGCACGCCCCTCGAGCAACAGCGAGCAGCAGGACAAAGACAGCCGCTGGCAGGCGACGGCCAGTCCAGGCGGCGGCCATGTCAATCCGCGCGCCTTGGATAATGATGGCCGGTCTCGAGGCGGTCCGAGCACGCAGACATCGCCAGCCAACGTACCGACCGTGCTGCCCACCGCGGCTGTTACGGGCACGCGCTTTGTCGAGCCCGAGCGACCTCTCCGGACACGCCGGCATGGCTCACCGCGACTACACAGCCTGCCAGACAACACCTTGAATCCACTGGGTTTGCTCGCCGAAGCGAGCCTTCACAACCACCAGCGCGCTCGAAGGATGACGAGCAAAAAGGGTTCCAACACCCTCGATGACACGGCTAGAATTGCCCTCAAGGCCACCGGAGGTTTCGCGGGCAGTCACTCGGGAAGTGCATCCAGTCCTGGGAGCCAGACCGGGGGGACTAGCGTAGCCATGTCAGGGGGAAGCCCGGCTGGGCCGGTCAAGCAAGAAGGTAGCGAAGAAGGTCGAGCTGCGTCAAGTGGACCGGGGAGTGGGACAGGCACGGGTACAGGTACAGGAGTGGGCACAGGGACGGGGACTGGCGAGGCGACAGCGGCTTCGAGCCCTGAGAAGCGCACCGAGAATCCGCCAGACGCGCCAAATACGGCTGGTGGGGTAGGAAAGCGGCCGAGCACCGCAAGCATCGTACAGGAGGAGTACGTCGAGTTCCCTGGCGCCGAACGAGCAAAGCAGGCGAGAGCAAGGGTGGGGACCTCGGGTCTACCCGGCCCCTCAGGCGCCAATCCCGGCGACGAGACGCCCGAACGGGTACACCTGGGCGTCGCGTCCGAAACGTACTTCAAGCCTGGTCCCATGACCATTCTACCCCTCCGCCGCATCGTCATCGAAAGGGAGCTCCCACCAGAGCTCCTCACTCAAGGCATCATCAGCTCGCAGGAAGTCCTCGAACTTTTCCAAATATTCTTCCACCATTGCAGCCAGCACGTCGTCCTCCTCGATCCCGAATGGCACACACCGACGATGATCTGCAGCCGGAGCCCGTTTCTCTTCACGTGCGTGTGCACGATAGCCAGCAAGTTCTACGCAAAGCGGCCAGAGTTGCACCTCCAGTGCCTGCAGCAGGCCAAGAAGAGCGCCTACATGATCATGAGCAGAGGTTTCAAGAGCGTCGAAATCGTACAAGGTTTCATGCTACTCTGCTTGTGGAATCAGCCGGTGAGTTAACTACCTGGTGTAGCCCTTTTCGATTGGTCGACTGACGCACCTCTTCATCCAGGCGGAACGATTCGAAGAGGACAAGACATGGCTCTTTTCTGGTGTGGCGATCAGAATGGCGACGGATCTAAACCTTCATCGCAAGTCGGTCGCCTCGCTACCTGGCAATCCTCATCCTGACGACCCGGTGGTGGTGGAGCGAGAGCGCGAAATCATCAATCGCGAGCGGACCTGGCTCATGTGTTTTAACATCGACCGTAGCATCTCGGGTCAAATGGGCAAGCCCTGGACGATTCGCGAAGACTGGATTATTCGAAACAGCCGGCATTGGTGTCTTCAGAGGCTCAGTCAGCCGTGGGACCTTGGCATCAGCGGGCTTGTAGAGCTCCTCAGGCTGACGTCGCGCCAACTTGATTTCCTCTACTCGAGCACTACGTCAGTTTCTGGTCTTAACACCGAAATCGATTACGGCTCCATCCTTCGCGTCTTCAACGAACAGATCGAAGAGTGGCACTCCGTTTGGACGTCTCGTGGCTTTTTCAGGTCCCCACATGAAGACCAAGACAACAAGCCAGCAGGACTTCGAGGCGTACCAGCTGAAGAAAGCGTTGGGGAAGCCGCGCCCTCGGCCAATGCAACGGAGGCAGAGAAGGAGGCGGCAGAGCGCTATCGGTCTGCCAACACCAATACGCCGCCACCGGATGACGAGGATCACCACAGGAGAACGCTGCACTTCATCACAAAGCAAGCTCCCATGCGCTACAACTACGCGGTTCTCATCCTCAATTCATTCGGACTTCAGCATGCCGTGGACTTTCCCACAAGAAGTGGACTCGACAAAGGTCTCTACTTCACCAAGTGCTTGGAGGCAGCAAAGGGGATCGTCGCGGCCGCCCGTGACGGCCTACGTCCTGTGCTGAGGTACAGCCCCGACACACACTTTGTCATCATTTCATATGCTTGCGTCTTCTTGCTCAAGGTCAGTCTCCTCATCGCACGTCTTGGAACAATATTGAAACTGACGAAGAAATACAGCTTACTCGCCCGACATTTGCCAACTACGTCGACGAGGACGAAGTGCTTGCCATCGTTGCGGACGCGGCCAACCTGCTCGAGTCAGTGTCCATGTATCCGACGCACACACCAGCGTTGTACTCTGCCTTTCTGCGGGCACTGCTCCAAGCTCGACAAGAGAGGACAGCGACGAGCCGGAGCGGGGCTACCACACCCTATGGCCGCTCGCGAGGTGCCTCGCCCCTGGGCGCCGATGCCAACGGCGACTTGGACAATCTGCCCGAGGGTGGGGCGTATGCGTCTGCAGAGGGAGGTCCGGCCGCTGCTCCTGCTGCAGGGGCGGAGGAGTCGGGTGACGGCGCTCCCAACCCGGCAGGAGCTGCCTTCAACCTCGGTCTAGGCATGGTCACGCCTTCTCAGGGCATGTCTCATCCGTCTTCTTCCTCGCTCTTGAATGCTGGGCTGGGCAACTTGGCCATGAATGGCCTGAACGGCAATCCAAGCCTCACTGCTGAGCAAGCTGCTGCACTCAATGGCATGGACCCCCATGGCGGCGTCAACGGCTTGCAGGTCGACCAGCTGCTCAATGACTCCTTCTGGAGCTCCTTGCTGCCCCCTGGCTTCGGAGGGCCCTTGGATGGGCTCGCGACGGGTAGCGTCGAAATGCATCCCATCATGACTCCTTCTGCCAATCAAGGAGGAGGTCATACGGGCCAGACCGGGAACCAGACGGGGCCCCCGTCTGAGTCGGGCATCACACCCGGCCAGACGAGGGCAAGCACTCCGAGCATGCTCAACACCTTTGGACCCAACGTGAGCAGCTATGTCCCTGGACCCTCTCCTCTTGAGTCGATGCTCACTTCTTTTTCCCTTTCTCGATAGGTTCGTTTTGACTTTTCTGCCGGTTCACTCTCATAATGAAGGACGCCAGGAAAATGCTCGTTACTCCTCTCAATTCCCCGCCGATGTTGTCTCGAAATGTAATCACATGTAGACTTTTCAGTGTGTCGTCATTTTGCCTCAATGCTGCACCAAATGGTGTATTATTGGCCTGCAACTTCTCCAGGTACAGTCGACTGCTTTGCAGCAATCAAGTTTGTGAAAGCAAAAGAAGATCACGATTCCCATTGATGGCCAATGTGAGAAAGAGAGAAGATGAAAGACAAAAGTGCTCAAGGCGAAGGAGGAAAGGAAGAGAAGATAACAACTGTCCGCCTCTAGATGAAAGAGCCAGGAGAGAGAATGAAAAGGAGCGAAAGTGAGAGAGAAAACTCATGGAAGGCCTCAACGCCTCGGAGGCGGAGGCGGCATAGCCCTGCCGTTTGCTCCGCCAGGCTTTGGCGCGACGGAAGGCTTTGGTTTGCCCCCTCCAGGAGGCGGAGGAGGCGTGCCTCGGCTTGAGACGGCGCTACCGTTCGGGGCGGAATCGCCATTGGTCTCGCCTCGCTCGGCGGCCATTGCGGCCTTTTTCTTCGCGAGCACTGCTGCGAATCCACCGGGGTCCATGCCAGGCAGCACCGCCACAGGGGCAGCTCCCACGTCGGGCGCGACAGACTGGGGTCGCTCGTGCGCTCGGACCGGTGGAGTGGCGACAGCTGGCTTTGGCTTGGGCGCGCCAAAACCAGAGGGCAGAGCTGAGGCTGCAGCAGGAGCCGCAGAAGCCTTGGCGGGCGCCGGCGGAGGAGCTCGCTTGGCCGGAGCAGGCGCAGCAGGGGCCGCTGGCTTGGCCGGAATCAACTCTAGGTAGTCGCTCGGGCTCCAACCCTCGGCACCATTTTTCTTGACCAGCCACCAGCCGTTGGTCTCCTTTGTTGTCACCTCGACACTTTCGCCGGCCACCAGCGACATCTCGCCCTCGTTGTCCGTCTCGAAGTCATACAGAGCTTTGTACAGGGGGATTTGTGGCGCAGCGGGGGGAGGCGGAGGGGCTCCAGCACCGGGGCGCTTGGGCGGCGGCGGGACGCGAGCATTGGTCGTGGCCGAGGGAGTGGACGTCACAGCAATCGGCGATGGTTTCGCGGGACCCCTGCTGCCGCTTGGCAGAGGAGCGGCAGGTTTGGGCGTGCTTCTTGGGAGAGCGACCGCCTTAGGCTTCCGGTTCGGGTTCGACGGTCCGCCAGGCCTCAACAGCTTTCCTTGAGTGATGGGCTTGACAATGCCCGGCTTCCTCTTGGCGGGCGGTCGAGACACGCTCGACGGAGACTCTCCACTCGCGACACTGACCGTCGAGCTCTTGTAGACGTCCTCACGTTGGATCGTCTCATCCTTCTTGAAGGTAATGTGCGACTTCTTGTCCTTGCCCTTGGAGTACTCGAGCTGGCTGTTGATGTTGACGTTGATGCCGCCGGAGGTCCGCTGGAGGAGATGCGTCACGAACTCCGTCTTGAAGTGCGTATGAAGCACTGGGTCTGGCTCCTGGCTGTTCATGACGTTGATGATGATCCAGTCATCGCGAAGGTTCGACAAGCCCACGGTCTGAATGGTACCAAGGAGAATTTTGCGCTCGCACGTCGTCTGAGGCTGCTTGTTGACGAGCTGCGTGATGATGATGTAGAGTGCCTTGTCGGTGAGGACAAGGAAGCGAGGTTGTGCCTTACTCGATCGTCCCAGCTTCGAGACCAGCAGCTCGGCCCGGGCGCTGAATGCCACTGTTTCGGTCGAACCCATGCCGCTGGCGCGCTTGAGCATCTCTCCTTCTGCGCTGCTGCCGCTGTTGACATCGAGGTAGTCGCCCATAAACTTCCGCATGCTGATCAGCGAGAATCTCCTGCGTTCCTTTCGCTGCGCCAGCACATCATGTCCGTAATCACGCAGCTGCGAGTAGGCAATCTTCTCCTTGTTGTTCAACCACATCCTCTGAATTCTCCTGGCAGCCTCATTCTTGTATCGCATCCAGTTTCGGTACGCTCTTTGGATCCTTCTCGCCATGTTCTGCCAGTAGTTGTCTCTCATGGTTTCGAGGGCAAAGAGCGTTTCGGGGTCCTTGATGAATGCTTTCGTCACACCCATCTGCCATTGATCTCTTGGGATACCAGTGTCGATCAGAATGCGCTCGCAACCGCTTCTCACGTCACCCGTCCACGTATATTCGCCCGCGTAGCTCGTAGCCGGCGACAAGAGGTAGAAGCGCTCAACGAGCTTCTCGAATGTGTTTCGGTATGCGAAACCAGCGCGCCGGACCCTGATGTTCTCCGTCAGGTTGAGGTACTTGACCTGTGACAAGATGGCAGCTGTGTCGTACTCCGTCGGACTCTTGTTTTGGTTCGGCTTTATCGTTCGGATGTACGATGGTTGCGACTTCATCAGTGTGTCGATGAGGAGGTTTGCGCTCGACTTGATTCGGTCGCCAGCCGTAGGAGGCCGCTTCTTACTGTCTGGGTCAGGTCTATCGGGGAAGAGGGTATGAAGGAACTGATTCTGCGACGAGTCGACGAGATTAAGGATGTCCTTGAGGAGCGAGTCCTTGTTCTTGTCCGTCATGCCTTTGACGTTGTACAGAACATCGCCGGCGTAGTGTCGAACGAGGAACTTGGTGCCCCGAGGCTCAAAGTGCGGGTTGGCCGAAAGAGCGCCGAGCCTCTGCGAGAAGGCATTGTCGGCCGCCGAGGGGTCCGCGTGTGCTGTGGCACAGGCATCGTTGAGTGCGGCAAAGATACCAGGTGGCCTTTTCGCCTCGATGCAGTCCAACACAATCTGGTTATCGAAATATTTGATGGGCGTCCACTTGATCTGCTCGTCAGCATACTCCTGCTGTTCGGCTCTGAGTGTGAGCTGAATAAAGAGCTGTTGCAGGGATTCGTTGACGTAGTTGATGCAGAGCTGCTCAAAGGAGTTATCCTCAAAAATTTCGAAGCCGTAGATGTCCAAAACACCAATGATGTTGGAAGTGGCCTGTCTCGGCGCCATAGACTTGTTAACACGAGCGACGATCCAGTCAAAGAGATTGTTGTAAATCGCCTTTGAGAGCGCATCTCGCACCGAAGCAGCTTGAATCGGATTGTTTGGCGACTCATAGATGGATCCTGCAAGCCTGCTCAGTCTCTCGAACCTCCGAAACTTCTTCTGGCATACTCACCTCTTCGACCACCCCTCTGAGTTTCGACGATCCTTTCCGTAAGAGCCTTTGTAATGGCAGTAGCATCGACCTCCAAAAGGTAGGCGACGAAGTCAAGGACGCCCTGATCCGCGATTTGAGCGTTGCCCTGGTCATTCTCGACAAAAGTGGCATTTCCAAGCCACAAGATGGCTGCCAGCATCCTAAAGATCTCATTCTGCTCCTCGCCGGACAGCCCAATGATGCCCATGGCCTTGATCGTCTCGCTGAAATCGTCGTAGTCGTTGATACCGTCGACGTCGAGACACTTGGAATTTGCTGTGTATGCGTACGCAGAGGGCTCCTGCAGCCCAAATGCTTCGCGCATCTCTGGCGTGGCAGCCTTAGAGAGCTGGTAGAAGATGTGGAAGTTGCGCTCGTTTTTGAACTGGCCCACTACCCTGCCCTTTTCGAGCAGGTAGTTTGTGATGTTGGCGCCGATGGGCTCGCCCTGGGCATTGAACATGATCTGGAGGTACTTGCCGTGGCGCGAGCTGTTGTTGTTCCTGAGTGTCTTTGCGCATCCGAAACTCTCCAGCAACGGGTTCGTGGCTAGGACCATCTCCTTGATGTCGCTAATGTCGGAGCCATCGCCCCCAGAGACGGCAGCGATGTACTGCATGATACGCTTGGCTGCCTCGGTTTTTCCTGCACCCGACTCGCCGGAGATGATGACGCACTGGTTGTCCTTGTAGGCAATCATGTTGTAGTAGGCCCCCTCTGCGATGGCAAAGACGTGCGGCGTCATCTCTAGGCGGTTCTTGCCCCTGTATGAAGCGAGGACCTCATCGGTGTAGATGCCCAGGTCTCTGAATGGGTTGACCGAGATGAGCACGGAGCCGATGTAGGTGTAGATTTCACCATTTCTGAAGCGCTTTTCCAAGTTTTGGTTCACGGCCTCGTTGCTGATGGTCGTGAGAAGCGTCATGTCGCTAACACCTGCCTGAGGCTTCTTGAAACCCTCTCGCCAGTCGGCCTTGGCCACACCTCCCTTTTTGGGAGGAGCCGACTTGCCTCCACCGGGCGGAGCTGCGCCCCCGCCCTTCTTGCCCGCCTTCTTCGAGATGGCCATCTTGTCGCCTTCTCGACGCTCTGTCTAGCGACGACTTGTTGGCAAGCGCGGGGAGAGGGGAAAGACAAATCGGAAACGGGTCCTACCGACGTTCTGACTGGTAAGTCCAGGTCGGTGACGTGGGAAGAGTCGATTCTCGATAAAGGTACCGCCACGAAACTGCTCTCCAGATGGAGGGGAGGGGGAGCGTCCGACCAGCATTTTCGGCCGAGAAGGGTGATCCGATAGTTCGCGATCATCAAGGGCGCGTCCGAGCTTGTTCGTTCAGACTTCTGGAGCGATTTCTTTTTTTTCCCTCTGCTGGTTTCCATTCCATCGAGAGCGTACAGCAAGAGAATAGCACAGGATGTTTCGCTCCCTCGCCGCACCGACGCTGCGATCGATGCAGAGGGCGCAGCCGCTGGCGTCTCGGACGCTGGTGAGCAGCGTGCTGCTGAGCCGGGACGCCTACGATGCGGAAAAGGTCGCGAACCTCAAGACAGAGCTCAAGCAGCGAGGCCTGTCGACCAATGGAAAGCGGGCGGACCTCATCCGACGCTTGCTCGAGGATGACAAGCAGAAGTCGGGCGGATCACCTGCCCCCTCCACGCCGTCATCGGTGACGCAGCCCAAGGCTCGCATGGCCTCGACGAAGCGAGCGACCAAGTCTGAGTCGTCGCCCAAGGAAGCCCGCCCGTCCATGTCGGCAGGCAACGTCGGTGTCGACGGCAGCGCGGGCCCTACGGTGTCGCATCCCCCCGACATGGAGCCAGGCCAAGTGTCAAGCAACCTGGGCGACGCCATTGAACGCGGCATTGTGCCCGAGAAGCCGGTGCCCGTCGAGGCAAACCCACCCGGTGTGCCACCGCAGAGCACGCCGACAGCGCCCGTCACCTTTGAGGTCAAGATTCCCTATGAGGCAGAGGTGCCCGACGCTGGCCCGGAGATTGTGAGTGGCAGAAGTAACTTCTTCGGCGGCGGCCTCCTTTTGAACGTGCACTGACTGCTCAATGCTCCTCGCCAGCCCCTCGTCACTGCTTACTTCCACCCTGAAACGCCGACGTACGAGGCACCGCCGATCAAGCCGCCGCTCAAGGTCATCACCGTGTCTGGAGACTCGACGTACCCTGGCGGCGGCGTCTCGCACCCGGGGCAAGACGACACATTTGCAGATGAGCTGCCGCAGAGCGGGCAGTCGTCGCAGTCGTCGGACCAGAGCATCCGATCTGCCTTGGACGGCCTCGTCTCGGCTGTGCGCCGCGACCTCGGCCTGTCCTCGACGACGGAGACGGAGCAGCGACTCAAGTCGGCAGCCGGCAGCATCATCAAGGAGGCCAGGGAGGGCGTCTCGAGGCTTGGATCCGGCTCGAGCAGCGCCTCGTACTCGACGTCGACTGTCGCCGCCTCTTCTGGCCCTGACTCGTACTCGGGCGGCAGCACGAGGGCACTCAGCGACGAGGAACAAAGAGGCCTCTACGTCCTCGGCGGCATCGTTGCGGGAGGCTTCCTCCTGGGAAGCCTCGGCAAGCCGTCGAAGCGCCGCGTGGAGAGGGTCAAGGCCGAGATTGAGCAGATCAAGCGACAGACGGTCAACGAGGACCTCGCAGCCCTTGTCCAGCGGGCCGAAGAGGCACTCAAAGCACTGTAGAGGCATGCGCCTCCTGTCATATAACTCATTAAATCTGAATGGTTCGAGCTTGTTCATGCACTGGTTGTCAGCTTCAGCTTCTGTCCAGCGGAGAGCAGATTTTCAGTGATTGAGTGACGAGATTGAGAGGCTGTGAATTGGGTTTTCTATGATCTCTCTCTCTCTTTTCTACAAGTAGGGTTGGATGACTTCCTCGCCTGACTAGCTATGCCTTGGGGGCTGCTGCACTGCCGCTGCCTTGCGGCGCCGCCTTTGTCGCCTTTGCCAGCCTCATCCTCTCCATCCTCGCCTTTGCCGCCCTCTTCTGTGCATTCTGTCTTTTTCTCCTCCCAGCTCCTCGTTCTGCAAGGTGAATGAGCAAGAGGTTAGCGGTGACTCGATTACCAGGTCGAAAGGAGCAGACTCACTGCTTCCAATCTGCGACACTTTGGCCTTTGACGCAAAGTCCTCGAGCCGCTTTCTCTGCTCCTTGAGCGCCTTGTCCGTCCGGCGCTCCTTTGCCTTGTCGCGCTTCTTGAGAAAGCCGGCCATGCGAGTGCGGAGCAGCGCCGTGTAGGCCTGCTGGAACGCTGCGAGGGCGTCGGCCTCGACGAGGGTGGAAAACTTTGTTCGCCGCGTGCTCCGCTCCGCTGCGCCCCGGCCCTTGCCATCGGTGGCACGAAAGATGACGGGCCACGTCGTCGTTGCTGCTGCTGCTGCTGACTTGCCACTGACAGCGGCCTTTGTGGCGCGCTTCTGCGAGAGATAGAGCGAATGCGACGAGGCGCAGGACTCAAAGAGCGACTGCAGCTTCGCGAGAAACTGCCAATGGAAGCGTCAGCGTCAAGAGACACAGAGGAGAGCACTTTTCCTAGAACACACCTCTTCGTTGGACACCCGGCCCGACATGATCGGCTGAAGTCGTGTGCGTCGTCGTCGTTGTCCCAGTCGTCGTCTTCTCGTCTCGTCTTCGTTGGTGACTGACTGAGTGAGAGCGAGGGAGAGATCAGACGAGACACGCGAAAATGGAAATTGATCACCCGGCCGATAATTAGACTAAGGCCTGCAATCAATGCCTGTCGAGAGGGATCAGCGGCGAGACAGGAACAACAACAGCAGCAGCAACAGCGTCCGAGCGTGCGGAGAGAGAGAGAGAAAGAAGGCGCAACAATATAATCGTGGGCATACTCTCTCTTGTAACACGAATCACAAACGACTGCCGATTGAGAGAGCGCTGCGCCGTCTAATCTCGCACTCGTCCAACCCTCCCACGCTGCCGTTCCCTACAGCTGCTGATCTGCCCATCGGAGCGAGGGACGCCTTGGCAGCAGCCGACAGTGCTGTCGCTACCCCCGGCTTCGCACCCCGGATCCACCATGTCGTACCGGACCAATTTCACCATGGACGATGATGACGACTGGCAGGAAATGTGAGTCTGGGCTTGTCGACCCTCCTAGCGCTACGTGGTATTACTTGTATATTTGTGCGCATATATGCTCACTCTCGGACACACACAAATCTCGCAGGCCGGTCGTTCGTGAGCGGTCCCCCGCCTCGTCGCCGTCGTCGTCGGATACGGAGGGTGCGCCGAGCGGGTATGGCCGACCAGGCGCGTCGATTGCCAGTGCGAGCACCAGCTCAATCGGTAGCCAGCAGAAGAGGGCACAGAAGAAGGTGGGGTTTGGGTCGACGGCAACAGCGACAAAGGCCTCGGCGTCGTCGCCGGCAAAGTCACTTCGGACCAACGCCGCCGCCAACGCCGCCAGCGCCACCACCGCCACTCAGCGTGGGCACAGGCGCAACTTGTCGAGCCAGACAAACGCGACGGGCCGGCAGCTCGACATCGATGATGCGCGCGGCTTCAGCTGGCGGGCCAAGCCTGCTGGTCTGGGCGAGGGAGGGGGGAAGAGGAGGATCGATCGGCTCCCCGAAGACAAGGACGCCGATGAGAACGAGGCTGCCCAGGGTGGGCGGCGGAGGAGGCTGAAGCCAGGCGACTCGAGTGGCTCCTCGAGCGATGACGACAACGATGACGATGACGACGAGGGGGGCGCACGAGGCTACACGCAGCTGCGCCTCGACGACGATGTTGAGGGCGAGGAGATTGACGCAGCAACCGAGTATCTCTTTGGGCAAGGCCATACTGCAGAGGACATTGCCTCGGGCGAGGCACCGGGAGCCACACCGCACTCGCAGCTCGACACGACAAAGAACCTGCTCAGCGAGGGGCAGAAGATTGCCTATGTGGGCCTTGTCAGCCTCGTGGCGAGAGACCTCATCCGGCTGCTTCAGCGGGTGCCCGGCAAGGAGCTCAAGCCAGCCATCGACTCGGCAGACGAATGGCGACTCAGAGTCATGGCCAGGCTGTTCCAGCACATGGACATTGAGAGTAGCGGTGAGTCAGGGTTGCTTCGTACTAGAAGGCCGAAGGGTGTCTAGCGAACACGCGCACTAGGAGAGAACACTGATTCGAGGTCCCGACTTTGCAGAACAATCCATGATTCACTCGCTAGCTCAACACGGTGTCCTGCCGACTGACCTGGCCCCCAGCCTCGTCACCACCCAGACGGTGGACAATCCCGACTTTGATCCCGAGGCCGAGCGGGAGAGAGACGAAGAGCGAGAACAGCAGGAGCAGCTGGATGCCGAACGCAAGGAGAAAGAGGGGCAGGAGAAAGAGACCACTGAAGAAGAGGGAGGAGAAGGGGAATTGCAGGAGGGAGAAAGGGAAGAGGGCGAGAAGGCACCAGAAGGGCCAAGTCACAATGAAGAGAAGACAGAGACGGAAGAGGGCGATGGAGCAGATACAGCAAATGCGAGAACGGAGGCTATGGATGAGACTAGGGCGGAAGAACAACCACGAGAAGAGAGCGAAGGCGCTGCCACTGCGAAGCTCGAGGAGGAAGCATCAGGAGATCTGGGAGATCCATTCGCAGACGAACATGCTGGTGGCGATCTTGGCAGCATCGGAGATGCGGACGTCAAGCGTGAACCTGTCGAGACGGACGCAGGCCAGAGTCTGAGTGCGGACATCCCCAACGAGGAAGGCAGCGGTGACCTTGGAACAGGTGCCTCGACGCCGACTCTTGCAGCAGAACCTGGCACACCCACGATTCCAGACTCTAAGGAAGTAGATCCTCAGGACAAGGATGCCTTTTCAGCTGCAGCAGCATCTGCAGGCAGCGACCGGACAGAAGAGAAGAGGTCGTCACGTATCATTGCAGATCCCAACACCACTACGCGCGTCCTCGGCAGCGCCGCAGCGGACGACATAGTCGACAAGACGACGCCGATGGGTCTGACGAACCAGCCCCAGACGATCGACACACTGCCGTCTGCCCTCGAGGGAGTCACAACAGAGTTGTCGTCTGCCGACCGCAAGATCACACTGGACCTCAGATGGACGGTGCTCTGCGACTTGTTCCTCGTCCTGACGGCCGACAGCGTCTACGACTCGCGATCCCGCGTCCTTCTCGAGAAGGTCGCCGAGCACCTCGGTCTGGCATGGATGGACGTGACCAAGTTCGAAAAGAGGGTGACCGACGCTCTGGAGATTGAAGAAGGCGTCGCGGGCTCGCTACGAGGGAAGAAAGCCGTCAAGAAGAGGGCTGAGGCAGCGAGGCGGAGGAGACTGGTCATGATGGGCCTTGCCACTGTAGGTGGCGGTCTCGTCATTGGTCTCAGCGCTGGCTTAATGGCGCCCTTCATCGGCGCTGGCCTCGGTGCTGCGCTGGGTACCATCGGCGTTGGCGGCACCACTGGCTTCCTCGGTGGCGTTGGTGGTGCGGCCATCATCACAACGACCGGCACTGTGGGTGGGGCGGCGCTAGGCGGTCGTGGCATGTCTCGAAGGACAAGGAGCGTGAAGACGTTTGAATTCAAGCCCATCCACAACAACAAGCGAGTCAATTGCATTGTCACCGTGGGCGGGTAAGTTGTCCGAGCCATTATGTTGTCAAGTCTGAAACCCTGCCCGACGCTGACTGCGTCATGCCCAACAGCTTCATGAGCGGGCCACAAGATGACCCCCGACTGCCCTTCTCCGTCGTCGACAGCATCATGGGTGACGTCTTCTCCGTCTTGTGGGAGCCAGAGATGATGCAGGAGATGGGCGACGCCATCTATCTACTCTGGAACGAGACAATTGTCCAGGGTTTGCAGCAGGTGCTTGCCGCCACGATTGCTGGAGGTCTGGTAGGTGCCCTGGCCTGGCCACTGTGGCTCACAAAGCTGGGTTACTTCATCGACAATCCCTGGTCAAATGCCCTGGACCGTGCCCATGCTTGCGGTCTCATCCTCGCCGATGTTCTCTCGCGCCGCCAGCTTGGGGTGCGTCCAATCACTCTCGTAGGCTTCAGTCTGGGCGCCCGCGCCATCTTCTACTGCCTCCTCGAGCTGGCCCAGAAGAAGAAATTTGGCATCGTACAGAACGTCTACCTCATGGGCGCCCCCGTCACGGCCTCGGATAAGACGTGGAAGGAGGCCAGAGCCGTAGTCGCTGGACGCTTCGTCAATGCATTCTCGAGGACAGACTGGATCCTCGGCTACCTCTTCCGAGCGACGACTGGCGGGCTTCGCAGCATCGCAGGCTTGCACCCGGTCGAGAGGGTGCCCGAGGTGGAAAACATCGACGTGACGCAGACGGTGCCCGGTCACCTTCAATACCGCGCATTCATGCCCCTCGTCCTGGATGAGCTCGGGTTCCGCACGACGGCAGACTACTTTGACGAGCCAGAGGACCTGTCCAAGGTCCCTGAGAGGGAGATCGTGTACGAGCAGGAGGAATCAGAGGCTGTCAAGGAGATGAAGGCTGTTAAAACGTCGTCGGGTGGCTTTGGGCAGATTTTCAAGCGGAAGAAGACCGCCGACGGGCAAAATATGAGCAGTGGCAGCAGCAGCAACAATAGCAGCACCGACCATGGGGCAGGTCCTAGCATTAAGTCACCCTCTTCTCCTGCACCTCCTTCGAAGCTCGCGACGCAAGTCTCCGGTGGAGACGGCGACGACGACGACGATGATGATTTGCCACCCAGAGAAGAGCACTCCCCTTCATACCCCGTTGAGAAGCCCAAGACGCCGACGCTGTCTCAGCCAGCGGTGCCCAACAAGCCAGCTTCCAACATGCCCTCTCAGAGCGGCGTCTCGTCGGGCGATGCCGACCTCGATGCGATTCTGGCCGAGCTGCGAGAGAGCGGCATCGAGGTCAAGGAGCTGCAATCATCGCTGCCTCCCTTGCCCTTGGCCAAGCCAACGACGCCCTCGGGCACGCAGACACCATCAAAGGAAGTCAGCGTATCGACGGGAAAGCAAGCCAAGGAGCAGCAGGAGGCCTCCTCGAGCCTGGAGCCACCCTCGATGGCAGCAACGAAAGCCAATCTGCCGAGGATGCAGAATCACCAGCAGTCTCAAGCTCAGTCTCCGTCATCACCAGCCCTTGACGGTCCTTCGACGGCAGGAGAAGACAAGCAGCCTTCTTCGCGGCCTCGGCTGCCCTATGCAAAGAGCTTCGGAAGCACAGTATTTGACGTCGACGAGCTGCCTCCCCCTCCGCCGTATTCCTCGACGTCATTTTCGGATACGCAAGACGTCTCGCTCTCGTTTGGGTCGTCGTACGACGACGATTACGAAGATGAGCAGAAGACCTCAAAGGGCTCACCACCTCCGAGAGTCACCGTCAATGAGGAAGAGGAGAAGGACAAGGGTGAGGCGGAACTGGAGAGAATTGCGTCTGGCTCCGCCTACGGGCTCTCGGAAGAGACGGCGAGGGAATTGGCGAGGCAGTTCCAGAGCAGCGGCATGTCCACACAAGGAGCAAGGGCGGCCGCGAAAATGGCGCAGACGCTCGGCCAGGGCAGCAGCGACTATTCGCCGGCTGCTACTTCCGCTGCTTCCCCAGCCCTTGACCCGTGGTCATCAGGGGGTGCTGGGGCGGGTGATGGTGAAGATGAAGAAGCAGCAGCTTCTGCAGTCGCTTCGTCTGGATTTGCACCGCTGAGCGCGCCCGAGCGGAGCTTCTCATTTGGAAGGCAGACGGACGACGAGGCCTTTTCGTCGGCGTCGGCCGAGTCACGATACGGCGGCAAGGGCAGGGGCGGCTTGGACCTGCAGCCACAGCAGGATCCTTGGGGTGCCGCACCGAACTCGGCCTACGGTTCCTCGTCGTCCTCAGCTGCGCATACACCTGCGACGGGCGGGATGGAATCGAACCCGTGGGGATGAGTTTGATTGTCGCTGCCTGTATTACCCTCAATTGCTCTTGATGCATTCAATGACATACACAAAGAAATCATTTCTTCCCCGGTGGCTGCGAAACGAAGCGCTGCAGAGTAAGTACTGTACATTCGTGTTCTTTTCTCGCAACGTTCGCATTGAAGGTCATGCGGCCAGAGGGAAATGCACCACGAGTCAGGGTATGTGGATCGAGATTGATCCTAAGAATTAGACTCAGTCAGACGCAAGCGCGCGCGCGCGCGCGCGCTGCGACAGGACTAATTTGCTTTCTGGACAGTTTAATTCCGACGGAAGTGGGATCCGTCTCTCCCTCTCGCAACTTCCCGCGATTCCGCGAATGTCGAGAGCGAGGGCTTGATCCCCTGACGAGGTTGGTGTCGGCTGAGTCGCAACCACCATCTTGGCGCATCCTGCAAGCCGCTCTTTCCTCGTCATCGTCATCCTCGTTGGCTCTGATCTTCTCAGGGCGGAGATTGAACATTAAGTGCCCCGACGGGGCGCGTGCCGAGAGGAGTGTTGGCCGGTCCACCAGGCCAAGCAACCAACGCGTACGTATATCCTCCATTCCCCACAAGAAGCGCAGAGACCTGAGCAGCCATCACCCTTTTTGGCCGTGTCTGTGCTCATTGTTGTTGGCGCTGGACGCAAACGGCGATGATCAACACGACGGCGCGGCGGCCCCTACTCTTTTCACCCCAACACAACTAGGACGGCCTGCTGCGCATTAATAGACGATGGCAGATGCCCCACGTCCTCCTCGTCGTGTCTCGTTCCTCGACACATGCCAAGTCATTCCGCTTCCCCCGTCCGACAGCCCGCCTCTGCCACCGATTCCACTGCCCTCTTCGCCGACGTCGCCAACGTCGCCGCTGGGCCGAGGGGGCCGGGGCAAGCACCTGCTCAATCCCTTTCACAAGCTGCGGAAGGGGTCCAGACGGTCGCACCACGATGCAGATGACGACGAAGTCGAGCCGGACCCGAGGCTGGTCCTGCCTAGCACGTATATGCGCGAGCAGCAGTCTTCGGCGTCCGTGGCCTCACCTCCTCCGACACAGACGAGCTCGGCGGCTGCGCACGCTCCCACGAGCAGTAGCCAGCCCTCTGTCACGGCCCAGAACGGTGAGAGACTGAGGAGGAAGCTCATCTCGCCACCGCCGCCCATCCTGCGGACGGCGACGCCGGTCGGGGCGCGCCAGGACGAGGAGCAGGAGACGGCAGAGGAAACAGAAGAAAAAAAGGGAGCAAAAGCTGGGGAGGGGGGAGAGCCATCGAGCATCACCGGGCGTAGTTTCCCGGAAAGCCAGGCGGCGCTATCGCTGGGCAGCAGTGCAAAGGGGGCAGACAGAGACGGCGCTCCCTCGGCAAGCCCACCACCTACAATGACGAGGCCTGTAGCGGTCAGAAAGGCACTCTCCCTCGGTCCACCACTGCGCACCGACGACGACGACGATGGCGAGAATGAAGGTGACGAGAATGGGGGGACAGCGAAGCCTGGCACGGCAACAGAGACAAGGGGGCCAGAGACGCGGCCGGCTGCGGCCATGCGAAGGGAGAGTTCATCACCAGGCCATCACGAGGTGAGAGTCCCACCCGTCGTCTCGTCAAGTGGGAAGGAGGGTCCCTTGTTTCCGCCCCTCGCTCGGCGGTTCAGCCCACCCGATCAAGGCGAAGGCGAAGCTGCGTGGCAAGACGAAGGCGAAGGACACTGGGAGGAGGAGGCACTGCATAAGTCTTGCATTTGCCCGAATTGCGAGCAGCTTATGCTCAAGAGCCTGGCCAAGAGTGAGTCGCCGTGTGCACAGAGAAGACTATTCTATTACGCCTCCTGACTGAAAAGGTATCGGCAGACTACGTCCCGCCTTGGACTCGCTCGGCGCGGAAGAAGTATCTTGCAGACCGGCAACAGGCCCAGCAGCTGGCCGACAACAAATCATCGTCAGCATTGCGAGGCATATATTCGCACAAGCTGGGACGCTACCGATCCAATTCATCTACCGACGACGTCACGCTGATCAGCAACACCAATGCCAATAGCTCCGTTCTGTCGCCAAGCCAGAGCCCCTTCCTGCCAGACTGGCTTCGCGAAGGCGTAGTCGACGACAACGAGGACGAGATCAAGCCCAAGGAGCTCAAGGCAGACGAGGTCGATCACAAGCGCGGCATAAGGAAGGTGGCGATGATGCAGACGAGGACAGAAGCCCCTTCATGTCCGGCATCGGGCATGAGAAGCCCATCGACGCCCGTGCTCGACGATACCGTGCTGGCAGAAGAGGTCGACATGGAGCTGAGACGAAGAAGGGAGCAGGAAAAGGCGACTAAGGAAAGGATGGATAAGCGGACGCTGAGCAATGACACCAACGCCCTGCGCGGAGGAGGGGCCAGGGCAATGATGAGACAGCTCGAGGAGGCCGAAAAGAAGGAGAGGCGCGCCGACTTGCAGAGGAGACGGTCCAGCGAGACGCATATACACCGTCCCAAGGTCTCTTCGCCTCCTTCGAAGGAGCCTGAGCCTGTCCCTGTCCAGATGGGTGCCGTGAAAGACGTACCGGCAAAGCCATTCACGCCACCACCTAGATTGAACTCACCCGATGTCATGGTCAGCCAGCCCCCCATCAAACGCACGCAGTCACCCTTGGAGGCTCTCCGGGCGCGGAGTCCTTTCAAGAGGACAGACTCGAGCAACTCTAACGAAGGTCGTTCGACGCCACCAGCTGTGGAGAACGCCACGTCCTCCTCCCCTCATTCGTCTTCTCCCTTGAAGAAGTCAGCACCTCTGCCAGCGGAGAGCCGACCGGCTGCTGAAGTAGCCAAGGCGACCTCTGGTGCTGCTATCGAGAAGACAGGATCGACTTCTGACCAGCCTTCACTCCTGATCCGACGAGAGCTCTCGCTAGGCATTCCCTTGCACAATGCCCGAAGCGGCAGCGGCTCTCCCTCTCTACAGCTTCCGCAAGCAGGAGGAACAGGGTCGTCACGAGGATCCTCTTCTTCTCATAGTAGGTCTCAATCACCTTTGAAGCCATCGTCGACTACCGTCCCTAACGGTCTTGGTTCGCTGCAAGAAGGCAAAGAGGCTATAGAGACCCCATCGGACAGCAGCAGCAGCTTAGTTAAGGACAGTGGCAGCCTACGGCAACCGCACGCACGGTCTCACGCAAGCCTTCCTCGATATGGCTCTCCGCTAGGTGGTGCAGAGCCGAGTCTGGGCATGCGACCCGATCCCGCAAAGGTTTCGAGGCGGCACTCGGCTTTCGTTGGCAATGGAAACGGCACTGTCCCAGGTACTTCATCGCCCTTGGCATCAAGCGGTCGACATAGCGACGAGGTTGATAGGAGAGGAGCAGCGAGCAGCAGCAGTGGGCTGCACACGGTCAAGGCTCCCCAGATCAGCGAGGAAGCGGCAGCAAGACGCGAGCGGGAAAGGGGCGACTCAAAGCTTGGTCGTGCAAAGACGTGGGGCCATAGCCTCTTTGGCAAGATGCGGCCGTGATAGATGACCTCACTTTCTTTGTGCATTCCCCTGCCTGCTCCTATCCACTGTTGTAAAGATATTGCTGAGATAATCTCATCTCGTTTTCTCGTCCTCTGGCAGTGTCTGATGATGGTGGCCAATACTGTGAGTGGCAGATAGCCACAATGCAAGCATTTTTCCAGCGGGTCTGTCTGTTCGTGGATATCTGCGTCCAGGAACCCAATAATTAGCCAAGCTAGGAACACGTTCGGGGCTTTTTCTTTTTCTCCTCCCTCTTCCGCTATAGCCTTTCTGGGACGGTTTAACCTTTTATTTTCCTTCCCCTCAAAGTGGCACTTCCTTGTTGCCGATGTGTTGCATGTCTGCCATTGGAACTTTGCATTAACGGCACTCTCCTCGTTCTTCTTCTGCTTCGAAGCTAAGGAGGAGGATGTGAAAGCCACGATCGACGTCGAAGCCGAGGCAGAGAGCTAGATGCGCGTGGGACCCGAGGAGATGCAGATGCGCACGCACCTGCCTGCGCCTTGGAAGCGCGCTTTTCGGTGCCTGGACATCTTGAAGCGTGAGAAATCCGAGCTTCTCCACCATTGCATGCCAAGCACACCAAGAAGAGGCGCAGTACTCAAGGGCCTCGGCTCGGGAGAAGAGACAGAGCTGCGTCTGGTAGCAGCAGAGATAGTATCAGTAGTGTAGTGTCCTGAAAACGTGTGGCACTTGCTAGCACCGAAAATCCGGCAAGGAGATCGAGAGCACAGGAAAAAGCGCCGAAGGGTAAACTTCCAATCTGGTCCCCACATACAGACAGTAGGCACGTACAGCTAGTGTACGGCTAGTGGTTCGTCAATTCTTCCAGCTGTCCTGCGCAGACGTGTCAGTCGGAAATTGTGCAAGTGTGCATCGAAGGGGTAAAAACGGGACACGTAACGTCATCTGTCGATGGAGACAGCCGTGGGATTTTCTTCTTGCTTGGGCTCGTGTGGGAAAAATCACAGAAGCCGATACCGAGCTTTGGAAATTTTGAGGCTGGCCATTTTGCAATGGAGCCAAGGGGCGATCCGCACTGCTGGGTTCCGAGCTAGCTTGGTCTTACGCAAAGTGTCCGCGTACCTCATCTGTTTGGAGCGCTGCAGGAACACTCTGGAAGGCGAGGAGGCCGAACTTGGTCGGCCTGCTCGATGGCAGAGGTCGTATGGAAGACGACAAGGACGGGCCCGAAATGCGCTTCAAGGTGACACAAATTGGCTGACTCCTGCTCGCCGATGTGCCCACTTCGTGACCATTTCCCTCTTCTCCAACCCATCCCAGCCACGACTCTGATTACATTTTTTTTGCTTTTGTTTGTGTTGAGGTAATTTACGACAGCATTCATTCACATGGTTTCCGACTGAACGCATACTGGAAGTCTCATGACCAAAGACACGGGCCGGTACGCGTTGGCTTATTGCTGCTTTATTGCATGCATATATTGGCGAATTGGCCAGCTTCCGTTGCGAACGAAGCCGGCGTGCATTTCGATGGGTCCGATGCCGCCTCACTACACACCGAGAGAGAGAGAACAGATGAAGAAAGCTGACCAGCCCTCGGGTTCAGGACAGGAAGAAATAAGTGCAGTAGTGGCAGCAGTAGTGTAGTGTAGTAGCAGTACGTGTCCAGCTAGTAGTAGTAGTAGTGCGTAAGCGGCAAATTAGAGCGGAGATCACCAACGAATAAATGCATTCGGGATGCCGGCGCTTGTCTGTGCTCTTCTGGCCTAATCGCCTAGCCTGCACTTTGGAACACGATCCTTAGTGAAGAACACGCATCGATTAAACACTACTTGCCCTTTTTATTCTTTTTATTGCTGCGATGCTTCATTGAAGTTGTATAGTGTAGTAAGTGGCAGAGTATAGCTAGGGTATGGTTGTAACTTTACGTCGCCCAGTCCGCTCGATTTGGAAGGCGGTGAGGTAGGAATCCAGACGACGGGGACTGCTCCGTCCAACACCTGTCACCGTCTTATCCTCGTCTTCGCGTCGACCTTGTCCCTTCCGTCCCGTCTCCTTGCTCCGTGGCCTTGCCAATCCGAGACTTCAGCGCCCACTGCGTCGATGCGAGAGACCACCCTCCCCCAAGCCATATCCCGAGTGCCCTCCAGAGCTTGATCAGCGGCATCTAGCTCGGGTCAGGCCTTGCACTGCGCCCCCGATGCCGCTCCTCGGACCGTCTTCCACGCCGGACCTTGGCGCGGCGTCGCTGCCGAGGGCCAGCTCGCCCACGCCATCGACGTCGTCCTCAACAAGATCCATCTGGCCCAGCTTCAAGCGCGTCACCAACTCCATCAGTCATACCGCTTCGCCTGACCTCGGCTCTTCTTTGGCCGGCAACAACAAGCGAGACAGTGGACCTGACGAAGGCATGTGGGATAACGTGAGTCCAAAGTGACGGCGTCGTCGCCTTGGATCGATGAGCTAGTCTGCTGACACGAGTCTTGGGTTCCGAAGAACGATGATGCATTTCTCAAGGAGGTCGCCTTCCAGGCAGCTTCCCCGACGATGGAGCCTGAGCCTGCTCAGCAATCAACGCCGGTCCCCGCACAGCTACCACCTGCCTTAGGCCCAGGTTCGGGAACAGGACAATCTCCGATCAACTCTGACGTCTTTCGAAGTCCCTTGTTTGCTGCTCTGCACCAGCATCAGCAGATGCAGCAGCAGCCGCTGCTCCCACCAGCGCAAACATCGTCGTCAAGTAGCCAGCCGCAACAGCACCACCGGGTCAGCCAATGGACAGCGACATCGCTCGATGCGCATCCGTACGAGGAGCTGTCGTCGCTCACGTCTGCGCGGAATTCCATGCAGAGTGCAAAGTCGGCAGCGCCGCATCACCCCTCTTTTCGTGCCAATCCCAGTGCTAGCCCGCACCTCTCAACCGGCCGCAGCGGGAGCCAGGCATTCAAGACGATGAGCAACTACAGCGGGAGTGGGAGTGAGGCGAGCAGCAGCGCACTCACCTTTCCCTCGCCTGCCAGCAGTCGAGCCGAGCTGGAGCGAAAAGGAGGAGGAGGACTGGCGGGTTCGGCAAGCTTTAGCAGCAGTGGTCGGCACTACGATGGTGCCAATACAAGCACAGAGACGAGCCCGACTGCACTTTCGTTCATCGCCGGCTCCTCGCCAGCTCCTCCCGTGGCAGCCTTGGCCTCGTCGTCGACGGAGCGCCTTCCTTCAAGCTCTCACCTCCCTCAACAAGGTGGCCTGCACCGAGGGCAACAAGGGCTAAAGGCATCCGATGACGAGAGCCAACTGCCTCCTAGCAAGCGAAGCAGCGGCAAGAGTTCCGACCTGGAAAAGGTCGATGAGGTTCCTCTCTCGACTAGCAACAGTCGATCCTCGCCAACAAATCCTGCCCCCGTGGATCAGCCTGGAGTGATCCGGCATAGCGCATCATCACCATCGATGATCTCTTCGGCGGTGGCGCCCTGGATCTACATGTCGCCTGAACCTTCATCGTCCACTATGCAGTCTCAGCGATCACACATGGCTGCAAGCCAGAGCGCCACAGACTCGCTTCGATCCATGGGTGGCGGAGTAGATGCAGCAGCGACAGCCAAGCCTTCTTTTTCTAGCTGGCGTCTGCGTGGCACCCATGCTGGCACACCAGAACGGAAAGCAAAGAAGACCACATTTGTCGCTGCAGAAGAGGATGATGTTATTGCGGCGGCAAAGCTGGGGCCTAGGGTGTACGACGACGACGACATTGACGACGGCCACGGCGACAAGGATGAGGAAGATGCCGTGTTTGTCGTCTCGGCCGATGGGCACCCGCGAACACAGATCGCCACTACCCAACCTGTGGAGAGCGGCCACACTTCAAGGACAAACTCGCCGAAGCCAAGAAAGGGCTTCGTCTCGGGTCTCAAGAAACTTGTACAGGAAGGCGCGAGTAAAGGCAGCCCCAAGAAGAAGCCTACAAGAAAGAGCAGCTTGACGAGAGGACTTTATGAGCAAGAGGGGACGCTGGGAGCAGAGGCAGGAACAGCAGAGGACGAAGAAGCAGTGACGGCTCCCTCGGTCAGCAATGGTGACGACGAGGTTCACATAGTCTCTGCTGAATCGAACTTCGTCAACTGGAGGCCGACGTGGAGCCGAGGAACAGCTACCCACGATGGCTCGATGCCCATCCCGTCCACTAATAGTGCCAGAGCCCTACAATTGGCCACGGGCGTCGCACCGGCGTCTCGAAGGCCATCGGTGGAGCCCATGATCAGCCCAAAAGCCAACGGTCCGGTAGCAGATGTAAAAGCGTCGCAACCTCGCAGACCAAACACATCCACAGCTACCCCTGCCGCTCCGGGGAATCTTGGACCGCATTCCAGATCAGGCTCGGCGGATGTGTCTCAAACGTCCAAATCCACCCGAAGAAGGCCATCGACCTCCTCAGTGGCAGATTCCTTGTCTCAATATCCGCCCAGGGCGAGCAGTCAGATGATGCGCGGCACAAAGGCGAGCAATGAAAGCTTATCGAGCCGATTCGGTGGCTCTACTGGACACGCCAAACAGGGAGGGGCCGGCCATAGCCGTCAGTCAAGTCGAGCGAGTATCATCGAACACACCTCGCACGAAGATGCCAAAAGGCGAAGTGGCGTCTACAGCGGGGCCGTCGTCATTGGATCGAGCGGCAATCTGGCCCGAAAGGGTGGCGGTGGACGCGACGAGGCGCGAGAGGAGCTCGACGCTGGTGGACCCTATGCTTCATCATCTCAGATGTCTTTTTCGAAGAGCGAGCAGCACCTTCACGCGCCTCCGCCAGTAAGGCCGCAAAGGACGGAGCAAGATGGTGTGGGTAACGAGCAAATGACGACGGCTCGCGCATCGGTCGACGTCGCTTTTAACACAGCTCACGATCGCCGGTGGTCATCCACTTTGGGTCCCTCGAATGAGCGGCGTCCTCGGAGAGGAAGTGACGCGTCACTCTCGAGCTTCTTCAAAGGCCGGAGGGGGAGCGATACCAGCGTACGCAATCTGCACATTGCCAAACCCTCGGATCCGTCGACGGGCGCCACTTTCAATCCTTCGGCTGACACTGGACGAAGTCCGGTCTTTTCGATGTCCTATTCCCCTAAGCCGCCGTCGTCAGCAAAGCCCAGCACCCCTTCCACTGCCAACACCGATCATAGAGCTGCCGTCGAGGGTCGCAGCATGAGTCCTCTGGCGACTCTGCAGCTTCCACCTTCCGATTCAGGTGGCAGTCTGGGCCGGCGAGAGAAGCGACAGTCTTTTGTGGGAACAGCTTCTCAGAGGTGGTCGGGTCTGTTTGGCAGCTTGCCAAGAAAGATATCACATTCCAGCATATCGAGACCAGTGAGCGTCAGCTCTCAACAAGGCCTCTCTTCTCCTCGCTTTGAAAGTGAACAGGATCCGCCAATGTCGCCGACGGAGCTCATCGTCAACAAGATTCGACGGACAGGTCAAGAGAGAAGCGTCACTCCAGAGCCCATCACGCACACCCCCTGGCACTCGTCAACCGGAGGCGCCTCGGAGCCAATGCAGCGACAATTGTCGGCCTCGCGATCGGCGGGAGCCCTGTCCCCGGCAGAGCACCGCGCGCTGTCGCCAGTGTCACCGGAAAGAAATTCATCTCAGTGGGCTAGCCGACCGTCGGTAGGCGGCGACGGCACTCGACGACGATCAAGCCTTGCCAACGGCGCAGAGGCAGGCGTGGCGTTGCAGCAACAGAGAATGTCTTCCAAGAGACCAACATTTGGCCTTGACCTGCAGCCAGATGCCGCCGCAGCGTTCGACTGCATCCCGAGCCCCAATTTTAGAGGCAGGACGTTTTCGACGAGCTCGGCGCCAGGATTTGTAACAACGAGCTTCCTGGAGCAGCAAGTTGGACCCAAGGACCATCTTGGAGCTGGTAAAGCGACAGAGATGAGCGAGACGAGATCTCTGTCAAGATTGGACGCCGGAAACGCCTCTGATGCGCCCACGATGCTGTCTTCGCCCAGAGAAGAGCTTCTCGATCTCGATCCCAACAGTCAAGACGACGAGGGAGAGCGGCTTCCCTTCAAGACCAAGCACCGCCGCGGAATTAGGTTGGCTGATCAGAGGCGCGCACTTGTTGACCAAAACGAGGATGATGACGTCGAGGAGCAGGTCAAGGATGAAGATGAGGAGCAGCCAGTTAAACTCGGAGCAAATCGACTCAGCTACGATGATGATGCTCCTCGGCCCCGTTCGAGGCATGGGAGCGCAGACGGAGGCTCGGTGCCTCCGGCTTTTGGTGCAACTACGAAGACTTTCTCATCATCGACGACTGCCCTCGACAGTGGCAGCGGCAATCGCAGCAGCGTCGCCAGCGCTGTCTTCCAGTATGCGCCTCCACCTGTTCCAAGCCCGAGACCACCGCTGGCAGATGCGCCGAGCTCGCCAGGATTTGACGAGCTGGAGCTGCTTGACGATGACGGCAGTGGTGCAGAAATTTCTGGCGTTGCTGGCGAGGAGCACGAATCTGAAGATGCGTTGGTTCCGTCGTCTATTCTGCCTAACATACAACAGGAGGAGAGGCAGATGAAGAAGGAGCGGCTCGCTCAATCAACCGAGAGCCAGGACAGTTCAACAGAATCGGCACTCCTCGGACTGAACATTGTTTTGCCTTCTGAATCAGCTCAATCGTTTGGAGATGATCGGCGCAAAGAACAGACGGTGTCGAGGCCAAGGCAGAATCTCGATCATGTCCGCTCCTCGTCTTCGATGGACATCTCGGGCGCGAAGCGCACTATTGAGTCACCTCAACCACGCAGGCCGTCTACTTCGACGACGTCGCAAGGGACACCAGGAGATCGAAGAAGCTATACCTTTGTTTGATCACTAGTCATACTGTTCCACCCCCTTTGGGCAAATTTCACTCCCCAGTTATATTAAAACTGCGAAGGCCTGACTACTGCACAAATGTGATGAGGTACTGTACTGTACAAAGATGTTCCGGTCTGAGCTCTATTGCGCAAGGTGCTCGAGCCCGGTGATGATACCGCGAGCTCCGGTCCCCTCGTCATCAGCGAGTAGATTCGCAGTTCGTGACGCGTTGAGGACACAGTCGTTGACGGAAATGCCCGTGTAGGAGGCGCCGATGAGGGTCAGGCAACCGCCTTTAGGCTCTTGATGCTTCAAGACGTGGTGAAGCTCCTTCATACGCTCGAGATGGTGGCGGTCATACCGAGGGATGCAGTCGACTTGCAAGCGCAATTTTGCCTTGATGGCCGACTGTGCGAGTACCTCTTTAGGAATACCCAAATTCTGGCATAGAGTGTCAATTGCCATGCTTGTCAACTCTTGGACTTGTTGAGGAACGTCATCATCGTCATTTCCCTTGGTCTTAAGCGCTAAGCCCCAGGAACCTGGCCCGAGACTTTGCAATTGGTCGAAGACTGTGAAGCCTTTTCTGAAAAAGGGGCCGCCAAGCATCATTGTGAGCTTTGTGATGTTGCCCTCCGAGCTCTCTTGACCAGGGACAGCAGCGCTGTCAAAGACGACACCAAGAAGTCCAAGCGTGTTGGTGTCGACCGAGGCACGAGGAACCAGGTATCCAAAGCCATCTGGGACACGAAGCGGGTTAGGAGATCGGATGGCGAGATTGAGAACGGCAACAGTCGATGTGTCAGTTTTCAAGAGGTGAACAAGCGCAGGGTCATCCTTCCAGACTGCCGCAAGGTCGTTTGACGGCATCGCGCTTACGACTCGGTCGAATTTGCATTCGTCGCCCCCCTGCAGTACTATTTCTGCTAGTCGCTGTGGGCTTGCTCGGATCTCCTTGATCGGATCTCCTCGATGAATCGTGACGCCCCGTTGGACGATGTCCTCCTCGATGGCGTTGGTGAGCTCTTGAATTCCTTCCTTGAAGCTGAAGATGCTTGTAGTCTTCATGTAATTTACTGTTGCCTTTCCCAGCTGTTCTTCGAGCTCGAGCTGCTCTATGCCTTCTTGCTTCTCCTTCGCAATCATCTCCCTTGCGGTGGCGTTGTCCTTGCTGATTTCCTCGTCGGTCCTGTAGAAGCGATTCCACCTGGTCGGCATTGCCGCTCTGATCAGTCCGCCGTGTCGCTTCTCAGCGAGAGCGAGAAAGCCAAAGATACTTCGAATGCCCAAGTCTTTAGTGTCGGCAGCGTAGATGCCATGCAAGACGGCGCTCATGGCGTTGTCGATGATCTTCAGGCCGGCGGGCCCCAGGCGCCGTCGAAAGAAATCTTCGACCGATTCAGCGCCAGCACCGAGGTCTGGTGGAGTGCGGAAGTCGTGTACCAGCGCTGGGATGATGCTCCGTAATCGAGGAGGCCGATTAGTAAGGACGGCCAAGAAGGCCGATGCCAGCGAATTTGGCAAGAGGTTGACCTTTCCTGAGTGGAATATGTAGCGGTTTTTGGCCGAAGGATGAGTCTTTGGAATCGAGAGCATTCTTTCCTCCAGCCCCAATGATCGAACCTATTCGTCCTCCCCGGTCAGCGGACAAACACCCTCATGTGGCTCTCTTGTATCCGAAGACGCACCAGACTCATCATCGCTAATCCTGGCAAGCTGGCTGGCCTTATACTCCTTGGTCCACCCTCGACAAGCGCCAGATCACCTCCAACTTTGATCTTTTCGCTTTCGACCCATCCTCCGACTCGCTTCTTAGCTTCGTAAAGGTGGATATCATGGGTCGGAAGCCGCCGTACAAGCTGCAATGCCATCGTCAGTCCGGAGATGCCTCCGCCGAGTACCGCGATTCTTCTCCTCTCTTTGACAGGCGCAGCTGATGACTGGGATGCATACCGACGGACAGAAAGCTTGAAACCCTCTCCGAAGAGACTGCTGCTGCCGCCACCCCGTCCGACTCGCAGCAATCCCGGCATGTCTTTACTGTCGTGGTCAGCAAGAAAGGCATTCTTCCTATTTCTCCGGACTTTGCCTGCGCTCGAGCCAACTTATAGTCCACGTGTCTCCTTCCACTCACCAAAAATTTACTTCCGCATAGCTTCTTTCCCTCTGACTTTCTTCTGGCTACCGGGGCATCGTCGACGTGATGAAGGTGATTGATCGGAGGGCAGCGCTGCTCTCCGACTTCGAGGTCCTCTCGTTGATGCGCGAGATGGATCAGCATCACAGGAGTACCGCACAGCGACCTAGTCTGGTAGCTTATGATGACTTGCAGGTGCGTCCCTCTTGAATCTTCGCCCATCGTCTTCCCCCTTTCCTTTTCTGACGAGCTCTCGTCATCGTCAAAGGCACCCAAGGAAGCAGACGACGGCCCACCGACGAGCCTGGAATCTGTCGCCGACGAAAAGGCACTCTCTTCGCTACCTTCGAACCTGCGCACTATCCAATATAGCGTCCTGGAGCACCTGAGCTCGGTCCAGCGGCCGTGCGCGCACCAACAGCCTCGTCACATCAGCTCATTTCTCTCTGCTTTGAGAAGATGGGAACGTGGTTACGACGTCGAGGGCGTCACACTTTCAGTTCCTCCAGAAGCGGTGCTCGGTGGTGAACCTTCCTCTGGGGCCGAGCAACCTGAAGGACTTTTTAGGGGCCAGGAGGATCTCGAAGAGTCATACGAAGGTGACAGGACCATGGGCGAGGTGACGATGGGAGGAGGTCAGGCAGAGGCGGGGACATCGAATAGCCAGCCTGTACCGAGGGTCGCAAAGGAAAGCCGGCTGACAAAAGGCGAGAGGCTGATGCTTGTCAACCATGCGCCCATGACGCTCATCGAGCTGCACTGTGTAAGTTCAGCCCCTCGACCCTGCTCGTGCCTGATCAGGGGCGCCAAGCTGAATCGAAACTGTTCGGGACAGATTGTCGAAGAGGTCATGGCACGCTTCACTGAGCTGCAGATGGCTGACATGCTCGCCCTCGTCGCCCACTTTCTACCTCTGGACACAATTGCAATCGCCGCCGATGCCGAACGCGAGTCGAACGAGGGGCAGGCTCAGCAAGTGTCTGGCGAAGGCGAGCAGGAGTACTATGGTCAAGACGAAGTTGACGAAGTGATGGAAGACGACGGCAACATCTACGAGGAGCAGCTCGAAGCGCTTGAAAATGAGGAGCCCGCTGGAGATGCCGTTGGTGCCGATGGACCGGATGACGACTAATGGGCAGAGACGTGGGCTTTAAGCAATTGTATTTCTACTCAAGGCTGTGCTTTCGTGTGTCGTGGTTGATATACAGGGCTGTGTATGCGTTCGAGATCATTTGGATCCGCCCCTGCCCCTTCCTCTGCCACCGCCACCACCACCTCCTCTTCCCCTCGAGCTCCCTCTGCCTCCTCTTGAACCCCCTCCGCTGCCCCTTCCTCCTCTTCCCGCCCCTCCTCCCCCTCCTCTGCCCCTCTCGCCCAGGACCCTACCCCCTCGTCCCTTATCAGGCCCGAAAGATCGATCTCCCCCTCCATTCGAGGCAGGCGCGATATTTGGGTTCTCCATCAGGAGCATGTCGTCCACAGAGTGCAACAACTTGTCCTTTCTCGGCTGCTCGACGTCATCGACCGGTCAGCAATCATGTCATCTTGAGGCTAAAAACGAGACAGAACTTACATTGCGTTCGAACATCGTCGCCCAGCTCTCGACGAAGCCATCGTCCCACTTCTTGCTCCCTGAAGCGGCCTGGTTGAGCTCGTCGACGAGATTTTTCCTCGCCTTGGTCTTTCGCGCATCTTTGTGGAACAGTCCGGCCCCTGCCTCCTTGTAGGCGGCAATGAGGATCCTCTCCGCCTTTCTCTCTGCCTGCACGCTCTGCTTTGCCCTTTCTTGCCCATCGTCCGCGACATAGGCAGAAGTTGCAGGTACACCTCTCGGCTTCGATTCTCTCCTTGCCTCACCTCCGTCGCGATTGTCATGTTCGTCCTCGTCTTCCTCGCTGTCGTCATCGCCTTCTTCTCTCCGAAGTCTCCCTCTGGCAGCGGATGGTCCAGCTCCATCGTCATCATCATCAAAGAGCGCATCGTCATCGTCGTCGGCATCGGCGTCGCCTCCTGTCCTTTGCCTTCTCTGCCCCTTTCCAGCGGCGTCCATCTCGACCTGCGCCGCCTTGAACGGATCCCAGACTTCTCTCTCTTCCTCTTCGTCCGAGTCTGGCCTCTCTGCTCTCTCCAGGATGCTCCTCTTGAGGTCCTCCTCGAGCCCCATGCCCCCCACCTGGAAATTCCTTCCCTTTCCCTTCCTCTTTCCATAGCTCAGTGCCGTCGAAGACACAAGCGGGGGAAGAGACTGGCCATCCTCAAAGGAGGCTGCGCGCTCCGAGAGGAGCCTTTGTCCCTCCTGCTGCTCGTCCAGGAGCAGCGCCACGACGTGGTCCACCGTTGTGGCGTGTGCAAACTTGAGCGCCGATCGGAGCCGCCGCTCAAGCCCGTCAACATCCCTCTGGAGATGTGGCAGGACGACGAGAACGCCCTCCACGAGGGCCCGGATACGTTCTTCATCGTCTTGCTCCTCTTCCTCTGCCCCTTTGCCCTTCCTCGCCGTCGACTTTGCACGTCGCAGCTCGTTCTGGAGCGTGCTCCAACCGCCTCCGACGTCTTTGAGCGGCGGAAACGATCCTCCCTGTTGATGAGATTGTATCGGAATCGTACTGAGATCGATCTGAAGTCTCTTTAGAAGCGTGCGTGCCTCTACCTCGTCCCTTGAGGACGGCTCTCCAGCGCTCGTTGTGACTGACTGTATCACCTCGATCATCGCGGGGCGCACGAGGGCGAGATCGAGGAGGAGGGGCAGGTTCACGAGCGGCGTCCCTTCCCTTGTTGAGGCGGAAGCAGGCGCTTGCCTCGAGGACGAGGGCGAAGCCAGTGCACAAAATGTGGCGGCTCTGGCCGTCGCAGAGGTGCCTCGACGATGCAGCAAGCCCCAGGCCGCATCGAGCAAGGACACCTTTGTATGCATCAGCCAAGTCCGCTCGGCCTCGCGCACTCCAGCCTCCATCTTTGCCGTGGCCATCTCATATGCGCGCTGTAACGTCGCTCCTCTCCTCTTCTCTACAACCCCCCGTTCGTCCGACGCTTCCTCGCGCCCCTTGCGCAGCAGAGGTCTCGCGCTGTAGACTGGTAGGAGGCCCACCAGCGTCGCGACGATTCTCGCTGCCCGTGAACTTCGTTCTCCATTCTCCCCCTTGCGCTCGATCGATGCCTCAAGCGCACTGAATGCGCCGTCCAGCAGCTCGACGGTAGTGTCCCTTGTCAAGAGGAAAGCCAGCAGGCTCGCGACCTTGGCACTTGTACTGGCAGACGAGGACGAGGCCGAGGCAGCCAGGGCCAGGTCAACGCAGGTCTCGGCGCTGGCAAAGACGCGGCTCTTGAGCAGCGAGGGGTCGCCTCGGCCAGCAAGCCGATGCAGCACATCAACGAGCTTCTCCGTCGTCTTGCGCAGCTCGGCTTCGCCGCCATCATCGTCGCCCTTGTTGTTGCCAAAGTAGGCAGTGGAGTCAGTGAGCGCGGACCTTGCAGAGAGGCGGAGCGCCGACGAGAGGTGTGGGCCTAGGGAAGGGTGCTGGGTCAGCAGAATGGCCAGCTGTGACGTGGGCGTGCGCGAGAGGAGGTCGACGGTCGATGCGAGCGAAGGGGCCAACGAGGCCGCAGCGCCATGTTGCACCATGTTCCTCCCTTTTCCTTGTTCTCCCTGGTCTGCTTCTTCTCCTTCTTCGCCTTCCCTCTCTATCTTTCTCCCCCTCTTTCTTTCTCTTTCTCTCCCGCTCCGCTGAAGATGAGAAGAAGGGTGTCTTCAGTCGACGAAGAAGAAGAAGATTGAAGTCTTCGCGAAAGAACGCATTCTGGCAATTTATTTAGCTTTCCCTCCACAGCGACGCTCGTTCAGCTGAGCTCACGACTGGGTCGTTGAGCACGCGCCAAACCAGGAACGGCAAAAGTGATAATGATGATTACGGGTACAAATACAAGTCTGCATCATGGTTGTAAAGTGTCACTTCTACTTGGCAGAAGACGAAGAGGGCCTTGCATGGCTCCTTCTGCCCCCCGACCGCGTCGTGCCCGCTGGCAGGGCCGTCGCAGCGGCAATAAGGGCTTTTTCGTCGCCAGGCGCCAGGCCTCCTGGCAGCGGGGGAGCCGTCACCCACTTCCCTTTTGACGATGGAGCACCCGCCGTCGTCGACGCTGAAACCGGGGCCGCCGTCTGCGATGACAATGAGCCCCTCGCTTGGGCCAATACACCGCTTGCGCCTTCCTGGTCCACCCTGTCGAGGTAGGCGCCCATCTCGAGCGCATCGTAGGCTACGACGGGTTTGTCCTTTGCTACCACTGATGGCTCGTCGCCGCTCTTGCTCCAGATAAAGTCTCCTCGGACGACCTCCTTCAAGATCTTGTATGCCTTTGCGCTCGCATAGGGGATGCCCGTCACTGGGTCCTTGTACCTGGCTGGCAGTCCGGTGATGACGCAAGTCGACTGGCGCGGTCGCAACGGACGATTACGCGCAGGGACGAGGATGTAGCGATCCCACTGGCAGTGGAGGCCCAGGATGGCTTTGTATTCATCCACCCAGGTGCTCAGATTGGGATCGAGGTCGAGCACAGAGACAAACGTCCTCGCTTCAGGAAGGGCAGCCGGCGGAGATGTTCTTGGCGGGGGAGCGAGGGCTTGGCTAGTTTGGCCATTCGGTAGTGGGGCTGGTGCTGATACTGAAGCTGGCTCTGCTGCTGGCTCTGCTGCTGGCTCTGCTGCTGGCTCTGCTGCTGGCTCTGCTGCTGGCTCTGCTGCTGGCTCTGCTGCTGGTACTCCTGCTGGTACTCCTGCTGGTTCTGCTGCTCGTTCCGCTGCTGGCTCTGCTGCTCGTTCCGCTGCTGGTTCTGCAGCTGATTCTGTTGCTGTTGTCGAGGGAGGAACGACGAGGGAGAGTGACGTGTCTTCCATCGACACGTCCCCGTCCGCTGGCAAGGACTGGTCCGCTGCCGATGCTGTAGACTGATCCGCAGGCCCCTCGGCGGTCTGCGAGGTCTTTTCGGCGGGCATGTCGCTTTCTGTCTGCGTCGCCGAGGTTGCGTCCATCTCGAGCTTGGGCGCTTGCCTTTGGGCGGTGGAAGCCAGCCTGGCTGCCACAACGGGATCCTCGGTGACTGCAGCTGTCAGGGGTGCGCTCTCCCGCCCCTTGTTGTCATCTACATCGATGATCTCCACGAGCTTTGGTGCAGAAGGATTGACTTTCACGCTTCGCCATCGCAAAAAGCCGCCGTGCTCCATCCTCTTGACCTTTTTACCCTTGTCTCTCTCCCTCCTCTCTTCCTCCCGCTGCATAAAGTCGGCCAAGCTCTGCCTGTTGTGCTCCTCCACCTCAAATGCCTCGGCGATGAGCTCGGCCTGCGTCAGGCGAGGACGCTTCTTTGGCTTCTTGACGGGCGCCATCGCCGCGCGTCGGGCCTCCTGCTCGGCCTTTCTAGCCCTGACCTCATCGGCAATGCGCATCGTCGCCTTGCGCGAAGAGGTACGCGGCTTCCCCGCGCCTGGGCCCGACGTCGTCGTCGCTGCAAAGGTGATGCTCCGGCGTGGTGCCCTGGGCTGCTGCTGCGAAGGACTCGCCTCACCTGCGGCCGGATGTTTGATCGCTGGCTTCTTCATGCCGATCGGTACCGCTCTTGCTCTCGATGCCTGTCAGAAATCAGCTCGTGTCAGCGGTCCATCCTGACTGTTACAACCAGGCAGGACACACCTTCTTTGCTGCCTTTTCCTCTTCCTGCAGCCGCCTCTCGCCGACCTCATCATCGTCCTCGTCGTCATCTTGCCCATCGTCGCTGCTCTTGTCAAAGTCAGAGTCCACAATGTCGTACGCATCGTCGAGTTTCTCTTCAAAGTCGATGTCTCCTTCCTCCTCGCGGAAGATCTCGTCCTCGTCCTCATCCTCGCCCGCTCCTCGCTGCTGCTGCCGTGCCTGAGTCTGCATGCGCCTCTCCGACGCCTCGCCCTCGGCCTCGAGCTTCTCGCGCTCCTGCTCGAGCAGCTCGCGCATCCGATTGCCCGCCGTGGACCGCCTCGATCGACCTGCACTGAGGTACTCGACGACGGGAGCTTCTTCCTCCTCCTCTTCTTCCTCTTCCATGTCTTCCTCCTCTTCCTCCTCCTCTTCCTCTCTGGAAGTGTGCAGCGATGGCCTGCCCTCGTCGCCACCGCTGGCATCCGCGCTCACGCTCACGTCGCGCGAGAACTCCCCACGCTCGCTGTCCTTGCCTCGCTCCCCACTGGGAGCCGGCGAGGCTGACATTGCTATGCTTTGATTGCCGTCTGCCGTTTGCCGTCTGCGCCACGGTGGTGGTTGAGAGCGGTAAATGCGAAGAGTCTGGCTCTGGCGTTATTTTAATTTTTCCAAAAAGATCTGGACGCGCGCGCGCTCGAGGCGCCCATTTCCTTTCGTCGCTCGCCGCCACTTTCTTCGCCACCATCACTACCCTCCTCCTCGGTCCTTACACATTCACACAATGGTAAGTCACTCGCGCTCGTTGTTGATTCAAGGGTCCTATCTGACCCCGTATGCCCGCAAAACAGGGTAATGACGGCGGCACCATCGTGCGGCGCGCCGACATTGTCCGCACAAGGGAGGGCGCCGGTGCCGCGGGCTCCAAGAAGGATCAGGGCGTCGTCGGGCGAGTCAAGGCGACGACGTGCGCCCTGTCGCGCCAGCCATTGCGCAGCCCCGTCGTTTCAGATGCACTGGGCAGGCTCTACAACAAGGATGCCGTCGTGCGCTACCTCCTCAAGCGCGCCGAGAGTGGCGGCACGGAGCGGGCAGCCACGACGACGAGCAGCAGCGCAGACGACCGCGTTGCCGGGCATCTCCGCGGGCTCAAGGACGTGACGCCGCTCAAGCTCGAGCCCAACCCGGCGCTGTCGCCGGCTGCAGCTCCCACTGCTGCTACCGCTGCTGCAGACGCCGACGATGAAGAGGCGCCAGCGCCATTCGTGTGCCCGCTGACGATGCGCGAGATGAACGGCCGGCACCGCTTCGTCTACATTGTGCCCTCGGGCTGCGTCATGAGCGAGTCCGGCCTCCGCGCCGTCGTCTCAGAGCAGCAGAAAAGGCGGAGTCCGTCTTCTTCTTCTGAAGACGACGCCGCCGGCGAGAGCAGAGGAAACGGCGACGAGGCAAAGTGCCCCGTGTCGGGCACGCCCTTCTCGGCCGCCTGCCTGGGCAAGCGGGAAATCGTCGCGGGCGGCGACGTCGTCGTGCTGAATCCCACCGATGCTGAGGAGACGGAGATGCGGAGGGCAATGGAGCTGGCGAGAGAGACCGAGGTCAGGCGCAGGAAGGAGCTTAAGGCGGCCGCCGCTGCTGCTGCTGCTGCTGCTGCTGCTGCAAAGGGCGTAGAGGCGGGCGACGGGGACGAGGACGCCGCGGCAAGAAAGGCGCTCAAGAAGGAGGAAAAAAAGCGGAGAAGAGACGAGGCCGCACGGCTATTGGCGGTTGAGGAGTCGGAGGCGAGAAAGGCAAACAAACTCGATGGGTCTCATGGGCCAACGGCACTCACGGCTGCTGGACAGCTGGCGGCCCAGGCCAAGTCGTCGACGCTGGCTAACGGAGGCAAGGAGCTCTCGGCAGCGATGCGCAGCATTTACGGCCTCGACAAGAAGAAGCCAGAGGGCGAGACGTGGATGACGCGGGGTACCTTCAACCGCTTTGCATGATTCGCCTGTTCTCGAACTCCTCCTGGACAGAACAGAGAGAAGGAACTTGACATTGTATTATTGTACAGATTATCCCTTGATTGTGCCCCTCTCCTTTTTCATCTCATCTGAGCCTGAAGCGGGTTGGGTTTTGTGTTGATACATGATTGAGTAATTGTAGCCGCCTTAGAGACGGCCCCAGAGCTGTCATGGACAAGAGAGAGAAAGACCTGTGTGAGCTTGGTTCATACCCTTGCCAGGGGGTATCTGCCTGTCTTACCTTGAATGTCCTGTTCCACTCGCCACTGGCCAGGTACTGGCCGTCGGAGGAGACGTCGACACTCATGACTTTTCCCGCGTCGCCGCTGAGTGTGCGCAGATGCTGCCAGTCGTCTGCGCTCCAGATCTTGACCAGGCCGTCGTAGCCCGCCGTGGCCAGGTATAGACCTGACTTGGGCAGCTCCATCGTCCCATCACTTTCCTTCGTGAGCGCGGCAGTATGGCCGTTGCCCAGATCCGCCAGGCGCTCGTCATGGGCACGAAAGAAGCGGACATCGGCGACGCTGCTCTTGTGTGCCGGGATAATGTACTGGCACTTGAGATTGCGCAGGTCCCACACCCGCACCGTGTCATCGCCACTCGCACTGACGACGTTGAATCCATTGGGGCTCCAGTCCAGGGCCAGAATCTCGCGCGCGTGGCCGTCGAGGACCATGGCCGTCCGGCCCGTGCGACAGTCCCAGATGCGTCCGATGGCGTCCAGGCCTCCAGATGCTAGCAGCGCGCCATCCGGCTGGAACTCGCACGTATACACCTCCTTCGAGTGGCCCTCCTGCCGAAGAAGCGATGTGGCGGTGGCAAAGTCCCACAGTCGCCAGGTGCCATCGAAGGAGGCTGAGGCGAGATAGTCGCCCGATGGATGGAAGGCTACTCTCGCCACTCTCGCCTCGTGACCTGAAAGTGTCGAGATGGGCCGGTCGCTGTACGGGTAATACCATGTCAGCGCGGGATCAATCTCTATTCAACGGGTCACCTCAGCTCTATGCCTTACCTGTCCAAGCTCCAGAGGAGCACATTGGCATCTGCAGCTCCCGTGGCCAGGTTGACCGCTGCGCTGCTCTGCGACACAGTGGCGCGCGGATGCCACGCCAGCCCTCCGACCTTGTCATTGTGGCCCCTCAGCGACATCTTTTCGCGTGCACTGGGGATGTCCCAGAGGCGTACGCCGCCGCTCCAGCTGCCCGTGGCCAGAATCTTGGCATTGGGGGAGAAGCGGACGAGGCTGACGGGGCGGGTGTCGCCCACCTGAGACCCCAGATTGGTATATTCTCGGATGGGCGCAAAGAGGGCTTTGCGCGTGGCGACGATCTTGGCGATGGGGATCTTGGCCTGCTCCTTCTGCGATGCGATGCGTCGCGCAGCACTGTAAATGGAGGAAAGGTTCGTTAGCGGAGACTGCGCATGTGCATGTGAACGAGGCCACTCACGCCTTGAGAGAGTAGACCGCCATCGATGTTCTCGCCCTCAGCAGCTCCTGAGACCCCTCTGTGAAGAACTCTTCCTCCTGCTCGTCGTCGTCGTCCTCTTCCTCGCTCTCGCTCCTCACATCCTCGTCATCCTCATCGACTTCGCCGGCCTCCCTCCTCCTCTGCTGTATCTTGACAAGCACCTCGCGAAGCCTCTCTCTCCGATCCGGTCTTCGCTCCCCAAAACAGGTGATGGGTTCGCCCAGCTCTCGCAGCCGCGAGCGGACCTTTGCGTCGTCTGTGGGGACGGCCATGTTGCGCGCCTTGGCTCGTGCGTCGAGCATGTCCATCAGCTCCTTCTGCTCCGCCCTGGCGTGGGCAATCGACGAGGAGGAGGCAGGCTCCACATCGAGCTCATCGGCATCGATGCCGAGCTGATCGACGTCCATGTCTCCATCATCGCTCATCGTGTTGAGCCTTGCTCTTGCGAGAAAGAGCGCGTGTGAGCGTGTGAGCGTGTGAGCAAGAGCGAGAGAAGAAGGCGTTGCATGCATCGAGAATCGCGCTTCTGATCACGTGTAAAACAGGCAAAACAACTTTTGTGGCTCATGCACGGACGAGCTCTAATCGTGCCACAAACCGCCGCCGCCGCCTCCGCTCACCGTCGACATTTGCGCCGCGCCCGCGCTCCCCTCCTCTCTGTGCACTGCCACATCGACTTGACTGCCTGTGCACAGAGAGGAAGTAGCAGTAGCGACAGCAGCATAGTGTCGGGGGCGATGATGAGGGACGGCATGCTCTTCTTTGCTTTTCCTGCTCTGGCGCTTTTGCTTGCAGCCTCACCCAGCCATGCTGCCCAAAATGTCTCGTTTGACAACCCTACGCACATGACGTCGCATATTCACGATGTCGGCAAGGCATGCAACGTCAACAGAACCCGCCTTGCCCCAGACTCGAACCAGCTTCAGGGCGATTGCGGCTACCTGGCCTGGTGTGATCCGTCGACGAACACCTGCAAAGTAAACGGCTGCCGGACCGATGAGTATCCCTTTGGGTACAATAACGTCGATAAGAAGGTGAGCCTACCTGCTTGTTCATCGTTGTAGGATCCGTCAAGAAGTTGCTCATTGTCGCGTATGCACAGGTATGGCCTCCGAGATGTGGCCGAGGCCAGTTCTGCCCCGACGAATTCAGCTTCTGCATGGACAAGAACCCAGTAGGAGATCCCTGCCAGCTGTCAAGAGATGGTGCGTGTTGAGCACTCTATAAGATCGAGGGCGAGAAGGAGACTGATAAAGCGGCGTCTCAGATCAATGCGTCAGCGCAGAGCAAGGGACAAAGCCGATTTGCCTGCACAATGTCTGTCAGCTCATCAACGCAACCGAAGGGTCACAGTGCCTCTGGGAAAACACCATCTATACCGACTATGTCTCGTTGAGCGACACCTACGGCGATGTCATCAGCAGGGATAATTGCATGACTGGCCTCTACTGCGACGTGCCGACGTCGCGCTGCCTTGTGCGCAAGTCCGAGGGGCAGGCCTGTTCCGCCGACAAGGAGTGTGTTTCGAGCAACTGTCTCGATCCCAACTACACCTCCGAGACGCCCATCAACAATAATGCGACGGGGACATGTGGCCCAGTAGTCTATACCCAGCTTCGTGGGCCCAAGCCATACATCTATGTGGTCGTGGTACTTGGCATCGTCATCGCGGCCGTCATTCTCTGCGCCTCCCTCATGCGCCTCCACCAGAAGCAGCGACTGCGCAAGAATACGGAGCTGCGCCAGTATTGGGAGGAGCAACGGCTGTTGCGACGCAAGCTGCAACTGGCAAGGGAAGAGGTGCTCCTCATGGCTCAGCAGCGTAGCCACCAGAACAGTCCTGCAATGTCTCTGTCTTCTCTGCCAGGCGGCTTCAATAGCCGAAGGTCGAGTGCTATCAATGTGGCAGGGACGGGCACTGCGGTCGCAGAAGGAAGCAACACAGTCCGACGAGGCGCCAATGGCTACTGGACAGCCGCGAATGACAGCATCCCAAGTAGTCCTCGCCACCGCCTAGGAGCCCCAACGGGAGACCCAGACTACCTCTATGCGCCCGTTACGCCACTCAACGCAGATGCTGCTGCCGCTGCTGCTGCTGCTGCTGCTCATGCTGGTGGCGATGAGAAACGCGCCAGAGGCCGCGACCGGTTCGAGCCACCGGACCGCGAGCGTGATCACTCGAGGAGCTACGACGAGACGGACCCGCTGCGCTCCTCTGGCCCCCTGCACTCGCGCATCACTCTAAGCGAAAGCAAAGAGAGCTTCAACAACGAAGACTTTGTCGATGCGCCCCTCGCCGACGAAGCGGCCACTTCGTCCGCCATTGATCCCTTTGACCCTTCGTCCTCGCGCAGCCGCCACTTTGCAAACGGGACAGACCAGGTCTCGCGTAATCGTTTGGCTGCCGCAAACAGCCTCGCGGCAAACGGCAATGGCGCCTCGAAGATCTCGCCGGGCCAGTCGACATACACCCTTATCTGAACATCATCACTACTACGCCTTGTATCATATGGCCCCTCTAATCCATCTATACCTCTCCATGTGTGTTCTCTTCCAAGGAAAGCGGCTGAAAGAAGCAAATTGTTCATTCGGACGGACGAAGGATGAAAGGCAGCGAGGCATAGGAACAGAAAAAAATGTGGGGGGATGGACGCTGTAACGACAGTGATAATGTGGTGAGGAAAGGGAAACGAAAGTCTTTAAAGTGCTGTAGAGAAGAGAGAGAAGAGAGAGATAGAAAACGAAACAAGAAGAAGATTGTCCATGACGGCTGTGTCGCCGACGTTTGAGGGTTTGGAATCACCTCTTGAAGAGAGGGGCCTTGAAGCTCAGCTGGCTCGCCTGCTGGCGCACCACATGATCGCGCACAAAGGACGTGCTGCTCACGTCCGTCGAGGCCTCGCTGAGAAAGCTCTCCTGCCTCTCCAGGCCCCTGTGTTGTCCCTTGGTCGGGGTTCCGAGTTTCGTCGGCGTGCCACCGTCGGTGCTCGTAAACTCGTTCAGGGCCTTCTTTCGCTGCTCCAATTGAGCAATCTTGTCGCGGACGCTCGGCAACACGACGCTGCTTCCGCGCAAGTTGTGCGTGCTCGTCGATCGCTCCAGGCCCCGCTGGTCTTCACCGCTGCCGCCAGTCGTCGTCGCATCGGGGCGTGGGATGGCAGCCATGCTGATGGATTTGCTCATCGTTTCCTGCTTTGACGGCGACTTCTGTGCCACGGGCCCGAGTGGTCGGACCGTGGGTGGCGCGGAGCTTTCTCTCGTGAAGCCTTCTCGGCGACCGCCGGCAGCGCCACGCACAGCGGGCCGCGGAATCGACGAGACTTTCGGTCGGATGGCTTCGTCGTCTCCGAGGTCTAGGCCGAGACCCCGGGCTTGGTAGGCGTCATCTTGCACGATCGTCTTGCTACTGTCGCTCGCCGTCAGCTCAGACATATGGGCGCTTTCGGGCGTGTTGATCTCGTCCACCGATGTCGCTGGGGAATAAGAAGAGCGAGAAGAGGGTGATGCCGTGTCCAGCGATGCGCTGGAGCTCGCGGGAGAAGCACCGGGCACCTTCTTCGGCGACGAGGCTGCTTTCTTGGGTGGAGAGGCAAGCACAGCTCTCTTTGGGCTCCTGTTCTGCACGCTGGCGCGAGCAGCATTGGGAGGCGGGATCTGTCCGGGCTCGACCTTGGCTCGTAGCGTCTGCTTTTCGACGGCCTGGGCTTGTGACGATTGAGGTGGGGTGGGAGATACCTTGAGCGGTGAATCGCTTGTGGCAAACGTGAAGCTTGACTTTGACTTGAGCGCGCTCTTAGTCGGTGAGGGCGCATTCTTGCTGGGCGAGATGGGCCGTACGCCAGTCGAAGTCGACTTTCGCTGGGCGCTGTGCTTGAGGTCGAGGTTGGAGCTGGCACGGGGAATGGCCAGCTTTGTTGGTGACGGATTCTGCGACTGGAACTTGGGCGGCGACCGGGCAATCGGCGTAGGACCGTCGTCAAAGTTCTTGTCCGCCTCTGCCGAAGTCCGACGAGTCTGTTGATGCTGAAGCGCCTGTCTGGGGGCCTCATACTCAGAGTAGTCGGCATCGCCTTCCTCGTTCTCGCGCTCCTCTTCTGGCACCGTCTCCGTCCGAATCCTCAACCTCTCTTCTTCCTCGTCAAAGTCGTCGTCATCGTCGTCGTTGTAGCCCTCGTCCTCGTCATCTTCCTTGATTCCAGGGGCGCTTGTGACCGTATCAGTCGAGTCGTCTCCGGCCTGGAAACGAGGCTGCCTGCTCTCCCACGCCGGCGTAGATTCTCCCTCGAGGCGGGCAGACCCAATGACCAAGTCGACCTCATCGACAGAGTCGTCATTGAGTCCCAAGGTTCGGTCGGCCACGGCTTCGTCCTCGCCGTCGTCGGAGTCGTCATCTGCCAGATCATCGAGGGACACGGCCGTGGTGGGCACAGCAAAGGGCAACTTGTTGTTGGATGAGTGGACATAAGGCTCGCACGAAGGGTCAGAGGGCCCTGTCGCACTCGAGGTGATGGACCGCTGCGACGGTGTCGCCTCGCCCTTTTCTTCGACACTGATGCCAAGACCCATGGGAGGGCTGACCTCGTCGCCGGTGCTGTTGCCATTGCTGGGCGCCTGTCCTCCTCGTCTGGCCGTTGCGCTGCGGATGGCATGATTGATGAAGTCAAGCGACTTTTGGTGCTGCAGGCGGCGAGAATCATTCTGGAGGCGCTGGTGGGCAGGCTGCAATGGCTGGCCGAGCTGGTAGCCAGACGACGGTTGCTGTTGCATTAGCTGTTGCTGTTGCTGCTGAGGCAAACCGTGGGGTCCGTTGAGGACGGGATACGATGGCTCGACATGCGATGTGATGCCAAGACCCTGCTCGACTCTTGCTGAGGGGCTGCGAAGGGCTTCCATCGATCGGATGCGGGCGATGTTGGGCGCCTCGGAGTCAGACATCGCGTTTCGGTCATGTCCTCCCTTGGAAGCTACGGGGTTCCAACTCCTCGCGACCACATTGGCAGAAGGGTTCTTGATAGGGGGCGGATCAAGAGAAACAAAGTTGACGACACGCAGCGGCAGCTCAACGGATACGTCGGCAGAGAGGGAGCTGCTGACGGAGACCTTGATCGAGTAGAGGACTTCGACGTGGCGGCCACGCGAGACGGTCAGAGCATCACCGGGCAGGTTCATGTAGTGGGAGAAGTCGACAGCACCACCGCCACCGTCAACACCAGTCCACCAGCCGCGAGCAGTGACGACGCCCTTGGAGCCCTTCTGGCCCATCTCTAGAACCTCTTCCGAGATCTTCTTACGGCTCGTCGACGTCGTGCACGCGTCTGGGTCCACGTAGGTGTCGGTCGGGTCGTCTGGGGCAGAGATGCCCATGTCGAACTCAGGTCGAGGCCGGTACAGAGTGACTGTGCGAACGAGGGCCAAGGTCAGGCTCTTGACCTTCTTGCTTGTGTCGTTCTGGATGTTGACATTGACGTAGACGCGCTGTCCGGCAACCCAGGTCGTCCTGTGAAGCGAAGCGGTTAAATGTACCTTGCCCGAGCCACCGAGGAAGAGACCTTTACTGGCACGGGCTTGAACTGGCCGGTGCGCGCTCGAAAGCACCACGGCGGGGTTGAGGTAAGGGTAGAGCTCAACGTGACGGTAGAAGTGAGCAATGGAGCGATTGGGGTTGCTGCCGCTGCTCTTGAGCTTGACGGATCCAATGACGATGTACCGCACGAGGGCATGCTTGCCGCGGTAGCTTCCCTTTGCTCCCTTTCCGACAGGCATCTCCAGGGCAAAGGGAATCGAGTGGGTGCCCTCCTTGCCGCGACAGAAGCCTTCGTTGTCGGGATGAGAGGCAAAGCACGGCAGCGGCTCCCAACCTCCGTCCGCCTCAGGCGAACTGAGCGAGGGCGTGCCATGGAGCACGTAGGGTCTCGCCGGTCCGCCGACTTTGCGCTCACCATAGACAACAGTAGCATGGTGGTAAAAGATGTGGCGGGTGTCATCGTTGAGCAGTTCTGATCGCAGATACGTCAGCAGGGTTGCGGTATGAATGCAAAGAGAACAGAGCATAACACCTACCTTCGAAACCAACGACGCGGACTTTGGGGTGGGTGAGCATCAAGGGGCCATCCTTGTCGTTGTTCTTGCGAACCTTGATCTCAAGACGACCGCGGAGGATACCACCCTCGACGACGAGGTCGCTCTCCAGAACAAGGTCAACGTCGACACGGGCCTTGCCCTGCCGGCCTTGCTCGAGCACTGCGGGGGGCATGGCCGCATTCATTCTGGAAGCGCCCGATTTCGTGGAAGCGAGAGAGTCTGTCGAGCCGCTGGCGATGCTCTCGCCTGCCATGGACGAGGCCGAAGAGGAGGCCGACGAGGAAGCGACTTTGCGGTTGCTGTTGGCTAGCAGTCGGCTCAGCTCTCGCGAGCGGCGAGCTGGGGTGGCAGACGTCGAGATGAGCGTCGGCTGGCGGTCGAGGAGGCTGACGTTGGACCTGGATGCCTCTTCGCTGAGCATCGTTGGTGCGCTCATCTGTCTCTTGTGCCTGCTGACGACAGCATCGTTGCGCTCGTTGTGGTCAGCCTGAGAGAGGCGGGCCGATGCAAGAATGCTGTCTTCTTCGGCCGTCTTGACGCGGCCGGGGAGGATCGTCTCGCCCTGATCAAACGAGGCATTGAGCTTGTCGAGGCTGACCATGGCCTCGCCACGCTCGGCTCCATCGAGTCCCTTCCAGCCTCGCTGACTCCTCATCGACATTTGCGATGTCGACTTGTGCAGAGTTTGGCTCGCTCGGTTCTGAGCCGCATCGCGGGGCTGCGCCTGCTGTGGCTGCTGTAGTTCCGCTTCTTTCTCATGTTCACCGTGAACATCAGCAGTTGCATTGGGGCTCGACATGAACCGTGGCTTGGGCGGTCCACTGCTGTGGGAGCGTTGTGAGCTAATGACGCTGTAAGTTCGGCCGGTCACGCTCTCAGCTGCCGTCCCTTGGAGAGGAGCCGTCTTGGGTCGGTTCGTGGTAGAGCTACGAGTCCTTGCAGTACCGTTGCGGCTCAGACGGCCCTCCTCGTCGAGGCGAGCAGTTTCGGAACCATCAGGACCATAGAAGCTGCCGACGCGAAGCGTGGCGGGGCCATCAAAGGCCTTTTGGCCTTGCGCCGACGAGTCTGACTTTTGACGCTGATGCTGGACGGGTCTTGGTACGGGGAGTTGGTTCCTCTGCTGCTGCTGCTGCTGCTGCTGTCGCTGCGATGGAGGCTGGTTCGTGCCCACTTCGGACGGAGGTTTCATCTGGCTTGCAGCCCTGTCGGCCTCGACATAGCCACCAAACCCGTCTGGAATCAATCGCGACTCTTGCGTGGCAGCCGTCGCCGCCATCTCTGACGGACCTCGCAGCTGAGCAGACGCGTGTGACGAGGAGTAGGAGTTGCGCCGGCCCGAGCCTCGATTGAACGAGCCGCCACGGCCACGGCCACGAGTGGTGAAGGAGCCAGATCGACTGCCGCTGCGAGGGATTTCCGATGTGCGGCCCAAGCTGGTTCCGGATTCGCTGCCAGCTTCGCTGGACCTGTATTGCGACGAAAGCGAGAGGGAGCTCTTGCTCCTTCCCATGCCCGACGACGAGGCCGGGGGAGGTCCGCTGCTCGTGTTGGACCGGCCACCACGCGAGACCATGGTATGTGTGCGCGAGAGGTTGGGCTGCGATCGTTGCTTGCGGATCGTAAATTCACGCTTCAGGCTGCTGTTGCTGCCCTTGCTCCTCAACGACGAGTACGAGGTCGCAGAAGAGTCAGTCGTGGGCGAGGTGTCGGACGAGTACATGTCTGACGGTGTGCTGTCCCACCTCGACGAGTCGGAGGACATGGCGGCCACCGCTGCGCCCAGACGCTTGTTCCGATTCATGGGACCCGTCGAGTAGCGCTTGCCGTCGCCGCTTCCCGAGCTTGTTGTCATGCTATCGGGCGAGGAGAGCGAGGAAGGCGAGCCGTCGGTCTCTGACTCTTCGCGGCCCATGACGCCCGGTTGGCCGCTGGCAATGCGGACGCGCCTCTCGTCAGCCGATGAAGACCCGCTAGATGCGATTGGCGGACGCCGAGGCAGCTGTGAAGAGGCAGATTGTTGTTTAATCTGTAGTGGCTGTGTGCCCGATCGGGGACGAGGACCATTCAGAGGCGCCGCTCGTGGTTCAGGAGGAGGTCCCATGTCGATGCCGAGACCAGAGAGACCTCTAAGGTTGGTGGACATGGCTGCCACGCCTGCGATCAAATGCGCTTGAGTCTCTTTGAATGTGAAAGTGTGTCGAGAAGAAAAGGTGGTGCAATGAGTAGAAGGAGCGAGAGGGGGGGAGGAGCGAGAGAGCAGACAAGCAGGGTAGAGACTGGAGGGAAGGAGGTGGATTGGAGACACACTCTAAGGGCAGGCAAGAGCGAGCTGTTGAGCGTACCGGTTCGACCGAGAAACAGCAGCATCGTTGCGATCAACATCTATCCTTTCCCTCGATACACGTCTATTATTCTCCAGCCAGGCTCTACGGTCTGTTTCGATGGTGGTTCCTCCCGACGGCGTTGCGCGATATGTCATTTTCCATGGCCCTGCAACTAAATGTTGCTTATGTAAGCGCGACCGGCACGGCTGTGTTGTGTCGACAGCCAGCCTTTCTGGACCGCGTCCGAACCATGCTCCGCTCAGCTTGTCCCCATTGCCCACCGGCCAGTTCACACATGGCCTTGGAGGGATTGGACACGTTCGAGCACTGCCTAGCAAGGCTGCATCTTCTCCGCAAAATTTATTTCGGTCACGTCGCCAGATTCGTGGTCCGCTAGATTTCCTCTACTTTAAAACGTTCTGTGCTCCTAGTTGCCAGTCTGGCCCGCTTTCATCATTTCTGTCTCCCTGAGTTCCGGAAGACCGTGTGAAGGGGCCAGGCCGGGGATCAAAATAGCGGCGTGGCTTTTCTTTTGGAGCTGGTCCCGAGCGCAGGCGCAGGCGCAAAGTCTACCTACATGAGGGCCAGACTACTGCTTTTTGTTTTCACTTGTGGACTATTATCCCCTGGGTCCGCCTGCGAATCGCTCGCCATGCGGTCCGATCCTCGTTGGTCCGACGTCGTGTGTGCGCGCGCGCATTCAGGGATTGAAACGTAAATAGCAATAATGGAAATACTTCAAAGATGAAAGCCTTCCTGTGCAGCATTTGCAACAAAAACAAGAACGGCCGCCAGAACTTTTTACCCTTTTTTAAACAATAAACAATAATTCTGACGTTGCCCTGCCGACCCTGCCACTTCTGGACTATTCTGCTACCTACTGCTCTTGCTTTCATCCAGGAGCTTTCCCGCGCTCGCTCGGAGCATCCACCACGTAGCGCGCGAGCATAGACGATCGGCTAGCGAAACGTCGGCGAAACGTCGACAACCCGAGAAAGGAGGTCCGTGTTATCGTAGTCCAGACTCGTCTGGTGGGACGCACCTTGCACACACCCTTTGGAACACGGCCTCTTCTCCCATATGGGCAATTAAAATTCCTCTCTATTGCGCGTCACACGATCAGTCGCGGACGAAACGATGAGGATTTGAGTGGATCCATCAACCATCAACCACTACTATGGATCCAAGGCGAAGCAAGGGCGACGCCGACTCCTTCCATTCGTCATCGTCATCGGCATCGGCAGGCGGCTCGGTGCGCGTGGACAGTGACGCAGCAGCGGCGGCGTCGACGGCTGCGGGGAATCTCTCGGGCGTCCCCACTACCACGACTAGCGGTGATACTCTGGCAAGACCTTCTGGTATGGCGCCAGGCACACCTCCTGCTCTTTCCATCGATCCAGGCACACCAACACCATCGCCCAATCCTCGGTCCTCACACCATCATCCTCCCCACTTTGCCTCGCCGCTCCGTTCTTCAATTCACCCCAGGGGCGGGGAAGCTGCTTCATCAGGCTCCGACGAGGGCAGCTCGAGGACCGTGTCTGCAAACGCCTCTGCCTCCACGCTCTTACCGGGCGCCAAGACGCCAGACGTCTACGTCGGCGGAGCTGGCGCTTGGAACAGCAACCAGAGCAGCGGCAGCGACGCTGGAGGTCTCTATCGGTCCAATTCGCACCAAGATCAAAAGAGCAGCGATCCCTTCGAGACAAACTTTGGCGCCTCGATGGATGAGCAGAGAGGGGACCATCGTCGACGCAACTCGATGTTGTCGCATTCAGTCGACATGACGCAGTCGCAATTGGCTGTCAACAGCACAGGTGGTGCTCAACGAAGCATGGCAGAGTCTGGAGCCGAGCCAGGCTACACGCACCAGTACGAAGAGGCTGTGGGTGGCCTCAATTCGAGCTCTTCAGGGCCAAGGCTTGGCGGAGGTTACGCCTCGTCGGTCGAGGGCGAGTACTATTCGGCCCCACCATCAAGGCTCATTTCGAGAACTCCCACGCCGGTTTACAGCGGGGCAACAGCCATGCAGCAGCAACCTCCTCGACTCTCCAGCCCAGACTTTGCGGCATCGGGGTCGACTGCAACGACGACTACCGAGAGCGAAGACGAATACGAGTCAGACTACACTGCCGCAACGGCAGGTGGCGGTTTAGGCGGGTGGGGCGCCTCCTTCTTTGGCTTTGGAGCAGGGCAGGGTAACGGGATGAGGGCAGGCTCGAGCAGACGGGGGCCAATGAAGAGGTATGCAAAGGGTGGAGGATATCACGCTTTGTCGACCAAACAAGGCGATAAATGGGACTATGATGATACGGGCACGCCGCTTGTCGAGTCGCAACGGAGCAATCACGCTCGAGGAGCAGGGGGGACGGGTACTGGAGGCAAGAAAAGGTGGAAGATGTATGATGCACAGACCGGTGTTGCTTCGCATCAGGATGCTCCTTTGCGATTGCGCAGGGGTAGCTCACCCACGGACCGAAGACGGCAATCACATCGGGCCAGAAGTGGTCGCAGGTACTCGTCTTCGGGTTCGCGGTGGAACCCATTCAGGGCCATATCATCCCTCCTCTGCAAGACCTTCCGTACTTTCTTCGGGCCGATACACCCCATCACCATCTTCCTCGCTCTCGCCCTCATCGCCGGCTTCGTCACGTCGGTCACAATGCTCATCATCTACATTCTCAACCCCGATAAGGAGCCGTTGCCTTGGCGAACATTCTGCCAGCAACAGATGCCGTTTCCTCACGCCTACGCTGACGCACTCGCGCCCGTCAATGTCATGGTAGGCATCATGACTGTCGATAGCAAGTACGAGAGGCGGAGCATCATTCGAAACACATACGCAAAGCATACCCTACCTACGGACGAACATGGCAATCCGACTGCCAATGTCCAGGTCAAATTCGTCCTGGGCAAGGTCAGGAAGGCGCATGCAAGGCGTGTGGCTCTTGAAATGGAGGCATACAACGACATCATCGTCCTGGACCTTGAAGAGACCATGACCGCTCGAAAAACGCACGGCTTCTTCAAGTGGGCTTCCGAGAATGCCACTGTTCCATTCCTCAAGCCAGTTGCGGAAGATGCTCATCGAGGTGCCCAAGATACCGTCGTTGCCAGCCCTCACTCTCCTGGTGGCTTGGCTAACTTCGACTACACAGCCGATCACAACGGCGCTGGTCCTTCCTCCGATGGTCAGCAGCAGCAGCAGCGGTACGAAATTGGGTGGAAGAAGGTCGACTATGTTGTCAAGGCCGATGACGATTCCTTCATCTTCCTCGACGAGCTCGAAAGGCACCTTCGCGTAGCTCCCAGGAGATTGACCTATTGGGGCTACTTGATCAAGAACTGGTTCATGGGAGGCGAGTGCTACGCGCTATCATTCGATCTTGTCAACTGGATGGCCCGCTCTCCAGAAGTGGCTCGCTCAGCCAAAGGCAAGGAGGACACGAGGACGCCGCAATGGATCGCCCTGCATCCCAATCGATCTTCGATCAACTGGGTATCGGAGCATTGTTGGATCTACGACCACCCCAAGGGAGGCTCGCCATACTCGCACGGCTTCCTCTTCCCAGACTATGTCGAGAGGATCAAGCTCGAAGGCAGAAAGGGCCTTAGCGAGCAGGAAATCGCTTGGCGTGGCGGCGAGAGGGCTTCGCATTGGTACTCAACAGTGACAAAGTGGCATCAAAAGTACATCGCTCCGAGGCAAGACCTGACAGTTGAAGAGGAAATCGAGGCTCTTGTCGAGGGTGGTGGTCGCTGGGCGGGTAGCTGGGTGCGAGGTTCCGACGGGAGCTCTTCGGAGGTCTGGGTACCCTACGACGACATTGTCTACGAAGCCGACGACCAGAGGCTCAAACCTTCTGGGACCAACGAGATGGGTCACTCAGCCATGGCTTTCGACGTTGGTCTTGAGCCTAATTCGGGCCTGCCCATTTATGGAGTACCCGGAAACGAGAGCGCGATTACTGGTGACAGAACTATGATGTCAGCTGTAGTTTCACCTCCTCCTTCCATCGACCGCGACCAACCCCACGTGGTAGCACGCTACTTCGATAGAAGGGAAGGTGCGCGTTACATGACCGAGGATGATGGCGACGACGCCGGTCTCCTGCACAAACGACGTGATTTCCTCGATATTGCATCGCTGCCAAAAAGCTTTCTCAAGGCGCATCGAGAGCAGTCAGAACCAGGTCCTCTGCCCCCGAAAGCACAACAACAGGGCTTCACCGTCATCGATGGGAATCAGATCCGGCTTGTTCCACGTCCGACGTCGAAGGATGGCTTTGGCGACTGGGCATCTCTACGCGCGAGGCGCTACCTCAACCGACCGCACGGCGGAACTGTGGTCGTTCACTATCTGAAGAAGACAGAGTGGTGGCTCGAGACAGCGATGGTGTTCTTGGGCCAGACAAAGATGTGGCAGAACGGCGCAGGCGGTGTGGGCAGAGAGTGGAGGATGGGAGGAAGCCCACTCGTCAGGCACGATGGGTATATCAGTGAGGGCAGGAGTCAGCCTCGGCCTGATGGGAGCGTTGCACCTGGTGAGGGAGTAGCAATCGAATACGACGAGCATGTGGACAAGGATTCGTGGATGTACGCGGATCAAAAGAAGGGCTCGTCGAAGAACAAGAAGCCAAAGACGCAGACGAAGACGAGCATGGTGACTTCCTCATCCACTTCGTCATCTGATCACTCCCCATCTGTGGATTCGGGTGAGAAAGCAGCCCTCCATCACAAGGGAAAGACGCCGAACGGCGAAATCTCGGGCCAGCAGCAGCAACCGAACGAAGCTCTTCCTCTTGGCAAGAGACCAGCAGACCCGACAGTCCGGAGCTCATTTACAAGAAGCACACCGGTAGGCCAAGGCGCTCGCTTCGCGAAAATTGCGAAAGAAGGTCCTTGACCCTGCCAGTCAAGACCGTCAAGATACATCTACCCTTTGTCTTCTCTTCCCGCGCACCGCGACGATAATTCTTCTTTCAAGGGATGGCCCCTCTATATTCTCAGCCTCAATACGATAACGTCAGCAGCATGTACGAAAAGTTGTTTTCTCTTTGGTAATCATCAGACGAGTCACTCTCAGTGATCTATCTGCACATGACCTTACATTCTGATTGCTCTTCTTCCAGTGTATGAACCGGGCAATTGTCATCTAGGCTTAGGGAAGTACCGACCCAACCCAAGCCGCTGCAGCCACGATAGTCGCCATTGTCATCACTGCCACCGAAACCGCCACCGGGGCACTGTTCATTTGTAAAAAGAAAAAGGAAGCGTTGTAGGCCAGATCTCGCCTGCCTCCTTCTTAACCTCATCGTCGAGTCCTGCGAGTCCAGGTTTCTTCGTTGCTCCCACTCCTGTTCCCGCTCCTGCTCTCTTCACAGCTGGCCGACCGGTTGCGTTCTTTCCGTCCTCTGCTGAAGCTTCTTCATACGTCTTTCCTTCGAGGATTGTCTGACGCATTTCCAGCTCCTGCGAGCTCGATTCAAGCTTCCGAGCGCTTTCCCTTTCTGTTTGAGCAAGAGTCAGAACGAATTGAGCCGAGTTCAGCAATTTTCAAGAGCATAGTCAAAGTCGATGGCTCACGAATCTGGGCGATTCGGCCTAAGAAATTGTCCTTGTTCTCAGCACGCTGGCTGTAGAGCAACCTGGGTGCGATTGATAGATAGACAACCATTAGATTCGACGAAGCTGCAGAGCGGAAGCAAGAGTCTTCAACGTACCGGAGGCGTCGCATGCGCTCTTCATTCTCAGTACGAAGGCGAGAAATTATCTCCTCTTGCTTGCATGACATCGCTTGTGCCTTCTCGCTCGTCTCGGCCAGTGTTTTATAGATTCTCGAGACGCTCGTTCTGAGAAGAAGGTCATTGCTCTTATGTCGGAGGACTACCTAAAGTCTTTCGCAGGATAGTATCTCACCCGCAAGTTGTAACATAGGCGCATACATCCTTGACAAGGCCTATGCCTTTCTTGTACTCTTCTTTTAGGCTGCGCTCCTCTCGCTTCTTGGTCTTTGGGTTTTGTGAAAACTCGTGGACCTTGTTGATCAGTCCTGATAATCAAGGGACCATCTTGAGTTAGAAAGTGAGGGTGCCGGCCGTCAAGTTGCCTTACCCTCGAGAGCTTGCAACATCCTGAGTCGATCATCGCAACCCTCTGGCCCTCTAAGAATGACATGAGGGAAGGGGCGCGCATACAGAGTGATCGGCCCACAAAGACCACTCACTCCATCTCTTCATCGTCTGTCTCTTCAGGCGAATCGCTCGCAAGGTCCTCTTCATTCCATAAGTCATCAAATTCAAGCCCTCGGTCCCTTCTTCTGCTTGTTCGCGGCTTCTTTCTGCGCCTGCTTTGTAGATCACTCTCGCTGCTGTCGTCATCCGATAAGGATGACAAAGACGGTTGGTCGAGATTCTCGTCACCAGATCTCCCCTGTTGCTGGGCGCAGCGACCGGAGCCGTTGAATGCTGGGCGTCGAAGAGGGTTGCAGGGTAGCGGTCGCTCCTTTATATGAAGCTTTTTCTTGAAGTCATCTGTGTGAACATGGAAGCAAGGAAATGGCAAAGGACAATGTCAGTCCAGAGGATCGAGAACAAGCATGGTATGATACGAAAAGGAGAGAAGAAGAAATTGGAAGGAAGATACGATTAGAAGAAAGTTGAAGGAGAGGGAGTCAATCACCAAAAGTAGTCTTGCTCGAAGAAGCTTTCTTGATTCGAGAGGAGCCCTTCGCCCTGCCGTGCTTGTGAAGACTAGATCTTTGCCGACTCATGGTATTGGTCCTCTCTCTTCCCAGACGCAGAAAGCTATGAACGCAAGGCAACCCTGCAACGAATGTTTTGGAATGCGAACAGAAAGACAAGGATAGAAAGAGACGGTGGTAGTGATGAGGCTACTGGTGACAAATCGACGCGTGAGGATAGGACGGGTGCAGAAAGTGAATCTCCGCCGTCCGTGCGCGTCTTACTCTCTCGTTGATGCTGTCTCGCTCCGGACTGCCTTGCCGCTCTCAAAAATGGCCTCGTCTTCTTCCTGGCCTTTCAGCCGGGCACGGACGATCTCGACGCTGACCACGGTGCAACATGGGTCCGCCATCGCATTTGGCTCTTTTCTCATTGTCCATCTCGCCGCGCCTGCCGTTGCTGTCGTTGCACCCTCCGGCGAGGCGGTCGAGTTGGCCACAAAGACGATGGTGAGCACTCCCCATCCTACGTTTCTCCTTACCGCAGAGGTCTCACATCCTCTTTATACCCTTCAGATCCTCGGTAGAGTGTTCTACCAGAATGCTGTGACGGAGCTAACGATTGTTTGGGGAGCGCTGGGCCTGCACCTCGCCTCGTCCTTTGCAAAGCGGGTCATGCTCGCTTTACCGCTTCACAAGAGGAGGCCATCATCGTCCAAAGGCGACGAAACAATACAGGGCTATTCGATTCCGGAGCATGGTCCCACAGATGCATCAGCACACCCTCCACCACCTCAGAAGCGCCGACGAAAACCTCTCTCGTTCCCTTCGATCCACACGCTCACTGGCTTCATCCTCGCCCCAGCCGTGGCGCTACACGCGGCTTTGAACCGGCTGGTGCCCTCGCGCTCCTCTGCACCCATCTCGGACCTTTCCCCTTCTGAGCTCGACTACTCCTATGTTGTGCACGGCTTCCAACACGACTCCAATGCCTCATGGCGCGCCATCACGTACGGTCTCTACGCCGCACTCTTGGCTGCTGGCGCCCTCCACGTCGCTGGCGGGTCCGACAAGATCGCGAAACGTCTGCAAAGCAGACGAGGAAGGCGGGTCGGCAACAGTGGCAACAGTCACAGCAGCGGCAGTAGCAGTACTATCGAAGTCGGAGACTCAAAGTCGAGTCCGAGGGCAGCAGCAAAAAGCATCGATGTGGCCCGCAAGGCCCAAAGGAAGAAGACCGCTACGGGTGCTGTTGCTTTGTTGGGTGCTGGATGGCTTGGGTGGGGCATCCGAAGAATGAACCGAGAGAGCGAGGGCTTGATCAGCTCTTGGTCTGCAAAGCGGGTGGGTCGCCACTAGAGTGCAGACCTCGACCATTGCTTGACCGTTGCTGACCCACACTCTTTACTTACCAGTTTGACGCTTGCTATGCCGCCATCTGGCCTTACAGTGCGACACGGTAGCCCTGTCTTGGGCGATGGGAGTAGACGATAGTAACATTGTGGGTTAGTGTGATAGGGTACATGTACATTGATCCTCCAAATTTTTGTTTGCCGTATTACTCCTTGCCAATGGCAGTCATCTGACAACACCCGTTCTTGCTTAGCTCTCTTTCTCTCGAACGATCCGCGTCCTCTTGAGATAGCCCTCGTATCACAGCCCGCTTTCCCTGGCCATCATGTACCACTCATCCTCTACGAAGACCTTTTCGGGATCGCCGATGTGTCCCTTGCCCCTATGACATGCCTGCGCGTGCTTCCACCAGTAAATTTCGGGCACGTTGACCGGTGTGCACTTCCTCGATTCGACGTCAATCCATTTGCCACACCCGTGGCACTTTCCCTGCAGCATCTCCTGGCGATCAGTAGGGTTGCTCGAAGGCCGAGCCACGACTTGGAATGCGACGGGCGGGTCCATCGGGCGAAGGGTCGAAGGGAGAATACCATGCGTATACATCATGTGATAATTGTACTGCGACGTCTTTGTCTTGAAGAAGCACGTCTGCTCCTTCTCGAAGCAAAGTGGGCACAGGCCTTCCTTCTTGACACCGACGCCGCGCACAAAGCGGGGTGTGTAAAGGTCCAGGAGGTTCTCGATTGGATTGCGCTCTCCGATCTTGCGCTTGGACCTTACCTTGATGGACGAATCGAGGCTGCAAAGGTGGTGTAAGTACCTTGCCTCGAGGGGCAACGAGAACAATCCACCCACGTCGAATTGTCGACTTTCACGATAATTTCGCTGTGACATTTAGGGTCAAGAGGTGATGGCACCCGGTAAGCGCGATACCATTCTGGAAACGAACGAAGCTTCTGTGGAATCGTGCCTGGAAAGGGTCGAAACGGGCCACTTCCCTGCTTGGATTGCTCCGTCTCATGGATTGCATGCCCATATCCTTCGTTACGATTCATCTTCCTCTTGATTGAAGGCGTTCTCTTTCTCTTGCATATGCCAGACTGCTTCTTGGACGACGAGGAAGTTGAAAGTGAAATGAGCGTATTGGCAACATTGACCATTTCGGCAAAGGAGCCCGACGAACTCGTCTGGCTGCAGTCGGCGGATCGGCTCTGCTGGTGCCTTCCATTCTCTCTTGCATCTGCGAAGAGACGGCGCGTACCTGAGCGAAGCGTCCGGACCCTTTTCGATGGTGGTGCCGAGTCTTGAGAAAGGCACACTTCGGACGAGCATCTCTTGAGGCGCTGTGGGGTCGACAAAGTAAGACTACTTGTGACGATGGGCTCATCCGTCCTGGCCCTTTTTGAGTGGATATCCCTTGTGATTGCCTCTGCTCCCTTCGTCGCTTTCGTTTTAGCAACCGCACAACTCTCTTCGCTGAGCTCGAGGTCGACCTCGGATGGTGTCACGTCTCTGCTATCGTCTCTCGACTCATACTCTGTCTCGCTCAGATCCGCACGGGCTTGAAAGTTCTTGACTTCGGACAAAGGCTTTCTCTTGAGCTCTCCAAAGGTCTTACGGGCCACAATGCTCGGTGACGATGGTGGCGTTTCTTCCTCTTCCTCCTCGGACTCTTCGGACAGATTTAGGTCTGTAAGAGACTGCGCATACATGTGTACAAATCAGGTTATTGTTCTATGGCTTTGACCAAGATACTCACACGGAACTCATCGCTGAATGATTGCTGGCTCGATAGGCGATACGGCGAAATTGTTGGCTCGACAGATTGTTGAGAGCATGGAGCGGAAGCGAAAGTCTGTGAAGAAGAGTCCACATCGAGGCTGTCGTCCGAAGAAGGCGAGAAGATAAATCCCTCGTGATCCACCCTTTCATCGACCCTCTTCAAAGTGTTGGCGAGAAGATCGTGTCCCTCGTTGAGCCCCGACTTGCTTCGAGTCATGAAAGAAGGTAACAGTCCTGGCTGCAAGAAGCCGCAATGTGGAGTCGTGGGTGTTGCTTGGCTCGCCCTTGTCGGTGTCGCGCAGTCTTCGAGCTCGGGAAAAAGGCTCGAGATGAGATCCTTTCCACGCCTTGTCCCTGGCGTCGCCGGAACAGCATCAGGCCCCTGGTCCGCTTTGCGCTCGTACGAACCAGCGTATGAACTCCTTTTTCGGCTGTGCGCGCGAAGCGTACCAAAAGGTCAGAAGAGTGCTTGCATGAGGGACTCGCGTGCACCTACATTAACGTCTGAACGAGTGGCGTGCTGCAGCTTGATGACTCTTTACGACGCATCTTGCTGATCAGCTCTTTGTGGAAGGTGTTCTCGCAGCTTCCAGCACCAAGTTCTACAGGCGAGCTTGGGAAACTCTGGGCCTCGCAGTCGTCGGCAAAATCCCAAGTCGAAGACGTCGAAGACGAAATGGTTCGCTTGAACGGGAGAGCCCGAGAGAAAAGACGCTGCGGCCTGGGTCTTGCGCCCCGTCTATACAGATGCAGATTTGGGTCCAATTCGTGAGTCTGTGATTCCTGCGCAGATTCTTGATTCGATAGATTGGAGGAAGTCACCGGTCTGGCACACAGACTTTCAACTGTGTGCTCAGAGCAGGACCTCTTTTGTGATAGGAAGAGAGGTAGATACAGGGAAGGAACACGAGCGAGAGGAGGGGAAAAAGAGAGAGAGGAGACTTTGAATTGAAATGGACAAGCGAAGCTCACCGCTTTTCTATATCTTTGCCCTTGTAGTCGTCATCGTAACCCGGAGGTGCAGGGCTGTGTGAGCCGCTGCCACTTGCATGGTTGGTGATGGAAGAAGGGTCACTCTGTTGTTGTTGTTGAAGGACGATCTGGCTGCCGTCAGGCTGTGTATGCAATCAGAGGTGAGCTAAAAGGTCTCAACCAGCACGACACAGGCCAGGTGACTCACCGCCTTAGCAACAATGGTACCCGTAGCAATCTTCAGCAAGGCCTTGCGCCTGACACCGTTGATGTCCTTGTAGATGACATAGGCGGAGCGACCAATGGAAGCAGTGTTGCCACTGATGACTTTGGCCTCCGAACCATATCGGTGCTCAATGACCCGCGAGCTTGCCTGTCCGCCGTCCCGCACCAGGTTGTCGGTGCCTTCAAGCAGGCCGTCGAGGACCACATTGGCGGCGATGAGGCTGCGATTGAGCGCTCCTCTAAAGCCCTTTGGGGGCTCTCCAGGCTGTCCGTCTGCTCTGGGCTTAGCTTGTATTCCAGTCTTCTTGCCAATCTGGTCGCCGACGCCAGATGCCACCGACAAGATAGCGTCGCGAGTCTGGTTGCTAACCCGCGCGGCACCTCCGCTGAACCGATTGAGCCTCTCTGCCGCCTTGTGTGTTCGAGGGCTGAATGTTATGGGAGGCCGACTTGACGTGGTGCTGGCTTGGGTAGTTGTACTAATGCCTGTGTTAGAGCGCTGGACAGCTGCGTCGTTGGCAGGTGCAGGCGTCGACTTGTTGACGTATGAATCGGCGGCCCCAAGCATCTTCTCGCCCGCCCAGGTCGATCCTGATGTAAGGACGAAATATTCAGTCCTTGCTCATACGCTTCATGCCAATAGCACGCGTGAGGCTTACCCTTGACAACGGTCCTTGAGATGAAGTCGGCGCCTTTAAGGAGCCAATCGTCCTTGTACTGCTTGGAGAGCTGGCCACTCTCATCTCGAGGCACGGTTGTGACGGTTACAGCTTCGTCTGCTTTGTACTCTGTCTTTTCATCAGGCAGCTCGAGCAAGACAGGGTCCTTTTCGTGGCCGGCGACGCGCATCTTCGGATCTTCTTTGAGCTGCCAGGGTCCATCGATTGTGCCAAGAAGATCGCCATGATCGTCGAGCAGCTCGATAGTGCCCTTTCCGGTGGCATCATCGTGAAAGGCGCAGTACTCGGAAAGGATCTCTTCAAAGAACTCAACGTCGCTTTTTTCCTTGCTAAGCAGCTGCAGTCGAATGGAAGCTCCAGGCAGGTCGGATGACGGGAGGACGTAGGAAGACGATGAGCGTTCCGGGACAACGCGCTGGCTGGCCTTGATTGGCAGCGAGAAGCCGCTTTCGATCTCCAGCACCACCCAAATGTCCGTACTGGGAGGAATATGGTCATGAGCGCAAATGGACACTAAACACATGAGCGCGCATACAGGCTGCTACTCACGCCACATCTGCCTTGCCCTTTTCCTTGGGCGCAACTTTGGGATCATCAAAGGGATTGTCGACATTGACAGTCACCAGCAGGACCCGGAGCGATCCTTGGGCTAGTTCGACATCCGGATCTCCTTGGAATGACTGCGATGTGGCAAAAGGGAAGTTCAGCAAGGCACGCTCGAGCAGCTGCGCCTTACCTCGCCGCCACTTTCTGACTCACTTGGAGAACTTTGACACCGGGTATCTCTTGAATTAGGACGCCGCGCGGCCCAGTGTCTTGAGAAGTCGAGCCTTCTGACATCTCGACCATGAGTGCTGCAAGCCTGCCTCGATTTCAACGAAGACCGTAGATGGTGCTCCGAGGATGAGTGCGAGCACTTGTTCCAGGGTCCTTTGTTCTCTTTTGTGGTGGCTGTGTACAGTACAAAATGTTGCGTGGCACGCACGGGCCAGCGCGGGGTGGCTTTCGAGCTTTCGAGCTCCATTTAGTGTGCGCTGTCTTTGAGTTGTGCTGTGCGTTCGGACAATTTATTCACAGAGACGCCAGAGGAGCCTCCGTTGCTTGTGTTCCCATACCCAACTTGTTGCTTTCATCTGTTTTGCATTCAGCTAGAGCGGGGAGATCGACAGCTATCGTCATATTTTGTTGCCTTATGCTATGGTCCCACCATTGGTCGAATGTGGCGAAGCCAAGATTGTTCCTTGCGGAGATTAGTCGCCAGATGTATCTCTCGACGGTGGGCCGTTGGCTGAAAGGGCGGCGTTGTCACCCCTCTTCACGCCCTGCCACTCTTCAGGGAGAAGGACCAATTTTCTTTCCTTTTCAAACATACTGATCCTCTTCATCCCAACTGTCCTTTTACGGCCTCCAGCTCCCCCTGCGACCTTCTATCGTCCAAAAAGAACAGACCACCAACAACAGGGCACACGACAGGGCGGGCATAAATGCGCTTCCCAACAAGCTGGGCAACGCTATTCCTTGTCGCCGGCTCCGTGCGTGTTGCCGCCGACCCCTGGAGCCGGCCTGTCGACGAGGCGGTCGCTAAGCAATCCTATCCAGGCTATAAGTCAGGTTATCGTCTATCTTACAAAACAAAAGAGCGCGTTACAAACATGTGGCATCGCATCGAAAAGGTCCGCCCAGTGCAGGTTGCAGCCCGCAAAGAGGTCATACGAGCCCCCGAGAACGTCGACCTAGGCCCAGACATCAAGGACCGCCTCTGGCGTAGCGATGTGATTGCGACTCCAACGATCACCTACCTCAAATTTCCGGTGGGCTTTGTCTATGGCACTGCTTCTGCCGCGGCCCAGGTCGAAGGCGCGGTCAAAGCGGACAACCGCGGGCCAAGCGTGTGGGACTCTTTTGCCCACCTGGTTCCTGGCGGTATGAGGAACAACGACACCTTTGACGTAGCCACCAATTTCAGGTATCTCTATCCCCTCGATCTGGCCCGTGTCCGGGCTATGGGCGTGAAGGCGTACAGCTTTAGCGTGTCGTGGTCTCGCGTAATGCCCCTTGGTGCGCGAATAGATCCGATGGTTCGAAACATGACTCTAGCAAGGTCGAGCTGATGAGGCGTGTTTTCTCTCACAGGCCGAGGCGACGTCAGTCCAGAAGGGCTGCAGTTCTACGAAGACCTCGTCGAGGAAATCAAACGCCACGGCATGGAGCCCGTGGCCACTCTGTTCCACTGGGATGTGCCACTGGCACTCCAAGAAGACTACGGTAGCTTCTTGAATGAGCAGATTGCCCAGGACTTTGTCGACTACGCCTCCCTCATGTTCACTCGACTAAATCAGAAGGGCGTCAAGCTCTTCTTCACGTTCAATGAACCTCAGGTCTTCTGCAATCAGCGATTTGGGCTGTCTATTCAACACATCCATGGCTGGAGCGAGATACCGAAGAATGTCAGCTACCTTTGTTCCGGCAATCTTCTCAAGGCACACGGTCGGGCACACGAGCTGTTCCAACAGCTACGTCAGAACAAGACGATTGCAGGGGACTGCAAGGTGTCGTACAAGAATAGCGGCTCGTACAATGTCCCCTATCGGAACCACAATGAAGATGACGTCGACTCCGTGCAACGTAACATCGACTTTGGTCTGGGACTCTTTTCAGAGCCTATCCACAATTCGGGAAACTATCCGAAGGTCGTCCGAGAGGAAGTCCCCAAAGAATGGCTGCCAGAGTTGACAAAGGAAGATCAAAGGAGGCTAAAGGGATCGGCCAACTTCTTTGCGACAGATTACTACGGATCGACGGTGAGCCGATCGACCGAGCTGGACGGTGGGTACAAAGCATGCGTCCGTAATCACACCCACCCGGCATGGCCCGTATGCACAGACACCGCTACCGTCCTGGAGTCTGGCTGGCCCTTGGGTGAGAGCTCTGACTCAACAACCGAGACGTGGTTGTACAGCACTGCTGGCGTCTTGCGCCACCATCTCAAGCAGATCAAAAAGCACTTTGACGTCAAAGAAGGCATCTACCTCAGCGAATTTGGCTGGGCTGAGAAGGGTGAAGCCGCCAAAAAAGATCTCGGAGACATCATGCTGGATGACGGCCGACAACGCTACTACACTCAGTACCTGGGAGAGGCACTCAAAGCCATTGAGTATGGCGGCATTCCCCTGCTTGGCGCCTTTTGTTGGAGCGCCACAAGCAACGTCGAGTGGGAGGTAGGCCTCGAGAGCAGATTTGGTCTCCAGTCGGTCAATTACTCGGATCCAGAACTGCCGAGGACCTTTCTCGGTTCCTTCTTTGTAGTTCGAGATTTTTTCAAGAAGCATCTCCACCACTAGATATACTACGAAGCTTTGCATGTCGGTACTAGATCATCGAAATGAACATTAAGGTCCTGCTTTGATGCTTTGTTCAGTGGAGTACGTGGCTGGCCTCCTTTTCTGGCGCAGACCGTAAGCCCCATTTCGTCCCAACATTGCATCATTTTGTCCTCTATTCAGCCCGCATTGTTACGCCCAACAGGGTCTGTCTACCTTAAATTAGCAGGTGATCTTTCTTCTTCTCTTGACCTCGCATCTCTTTCCATCTTCTCTCGACGAGAAGAAGAAATCCTTGAAGCTGGCCTTCTAAGCTGCCATATTCGCACTTCCTTGCTCGCACCATTCCCACTTTCTTCTCGGAAAGCCGGTCTTTCCCCATTTCCAAGCTTCTTCTCCACAGCCATGTCACGCTACGCACCCCTGCCCCTCCTCAGCTTCACCACCGAAAAGAACGACGGCGCTGCCTCGCTGTATTCGGACGCGAGCAAGGTCCCGTCGTCTCCCTCTCCTGTCAGTTCGTGCTTCACCGATGGCGAGGAGACAGACTTTGACTATGGCCGAGCCTCTGGTGCAAAGGTCAGTGTTTTAGCTCGTGGCTACTGCCATTGTTGTTGATGCCCGACACTGATGTCCTTGGAAACTGCAGTGGACTCGTCTCCAAGGCAACCAAGAGTCCAAGGCTGAAGCAATGACGTGGTCACAGGCTGCGTATGAGGCTTCCTCGAATGCAGGCAAGGCCATCCTGCAGGCTGGCCTGCACATGACGGATCTCGCCACCAAGGCCGTCGTGGTGCCTGCCACCGGAGGCGACAAGCAATATTTTCAACCTCCTCCTCCAAGGCGACAGGGTTCTTCCTCATCCACTTGCTCTTCGGCATCATCGAACTCGAGCTCGAGCTCACAACAAAACGGCGACAAGATCGAAGGAACCTGGTCGGCTTACGTCCAGGACCTCGCCCTGCGCTTCACCGCGCCAAAGACGAACAAGATCAAGCTGCACTAGCTGTTCTCCTCACCAATCTTTTTCATTTCCAGAACTCGCTGTTCGAAGAGGTTCCTAATGAAAGGCTGAAAGCGTTATGAAATGTACGATTCCTTCCTCTCAAGGTTCCTTGACCTTCATCTCGCCCTCCTGGAACTGTCGAGCCCACTGTGGGACAAGGGGATATGGAAGATGAGCAAAGCTGCTCTAGAGCTTCGCGCAGCGCTTGTCGAGGCTCGAGACTCACCAACATGCTGGGAATGGGCTTCGTGGGAGGGTTGTGACGCCACTGAGATTCTCACGTCAGCTTAGAAAGTTAACGAGACGGAGAAGAGGTAGGCTAAGACACACCTCTCGGTCGGCGCTATAGCTCCAGAGTCCGTAAGAGGCGACAGCGATTCCGACGGCGCAGATGGCGGTGTTGCTGACCCAATTGGTAGGCCTGTCATTGTTCCTGAACATCAGAGAAGTGATCTTGATGATGGCAGAGTATGCGGTCCCTCACCTTGTCCACCAGCCGCCTGGGAAGATGAGAAGTAACAGCAGGGATGAGATTCAGCAGGCACGAGATGAAGGCGAGTTCGACTCACCAGCTGGGCTCCACACTTCCTTAGGGTAGGGGTAACGCGGTCCAGCACCCTGTCAGAGACCGTGTTAGCGTCAGTGAGCACTGAAAAACGCACGCTCGCAAGCTCACCATGATTGCTTCTCCAGATCCAATGTCGATGGGGACGGGTGCAGGGAAGGCCAGGCGATAACTCTCAACCCAAAGGCCAACGCCGTGGATATCGGCCGAGACTCTCCTACTTTTTATTTTTCATTTTTATTTTTATTTTCGCATCGTGTTGGGCGACAGTCTTGTAAGCACACGTCAAGCTGGGACTGGTGCGAGATTTCGTCATGATCGATAGAAGGCTTTCTTTCTTTTCGAGACAAGTAGGCGAGATAGGGAGAGATAAAGAAGAGAGGTAGAGATGATAGAAAGAGAAACAAGAGAAAAGAAAAGGAAGATCAGAGTGACGACTGAGTGATGGAGACGGAGGCGAGCCCGGTAAGAATATGTTTAAGGAGGGAAAGGAGGTAGAGGTTGCGGTAAGGGGAAGGCGGTGAGAATGGCGAGAGAAAGGAGAGTGGTCATGAAGCGGAGTCCAGAAGCCTCTGAGAAGAACGAGAGTCTCGAAACGTACCGTTCGAGGTGAACGTTTCGGGTGAAGGGGCTTGATCGTATGGAGTAGAAAAGAAAGCAACGCTTTGGCCGCATCTGTTGGCCCCAAGCCCACATTCCCCCGCTCCGCTCGCCTCGTGTAGTAGTCTCGAATGTCTCCGAAGCATCTGTGGTCCAACGGTGAGACGACCAGCGGCACATCCGCACAGGTCCACCCTTGACGAGTCAATTCGCCGCCGCTGCCACCGTCTTGTCTACTTGTTTTCGCCCTTCTTCTTTTGCTTGCGCGGTGGCGTAACCGGCTTGCCCATATTGATTCCGCCGTACGCGTACTTCTGCTTCTTCTCAGCCGGTTTGAGGATCTGATAATAAAAAGAAAGGGGGGAGGGGCAATCAGCATCTGCCGAACCCGTTCTTAGCAAGTTTCTGACTCACCTGGAAGGAACAGAGCAGCGTCTCGTCGACACTCATCATTGCTCCCGCATTGTCAAATTCGCCACAGTAGTTGGGCGCCGAAAAGAGCGTGACTAATTGCCGTTTCGCAAAGAACTCGTACCCATCCTCCACGACCTGATGCGCCCTACAAATCAGGTCCATGTCGTGCTTTTGAAGGAATCGCGATACGACGTCCGGTCCGAAGGTGAATGAAACGCCTCGATCATTTTCCGACCAACCCGAAATGTCCTTGTCTGGATCTGACCACAAGAGATCGCAGAGCAGTCCTGATAAAGGGGCACGCATGCCGCTGGTTAGCCGCCATTTCTGTTTCCTCCATCGCATCACCTCACCTGTATCTGGTACGTCTGTCGGCCTCATCACCCTCCTGATCTGCTCCATGCTCTGTAGGTCCGGCGACAATCCTCCGTGCATCGTAAAGATCTTCTCGTCAATGATCGCTGCGATGGGGAGACAGTTGAAGCAGTCGGTGAACGTCTTCCAGAGCTTAATGTTGAATCTCCGCTTGCCTGTGAAGAACGACATATTCAGCATGAGAGGCGAGCGATACATATCGGAGTCCTAGGCATTTGGACTCACATTCGTCGTAGAAGCCGTAGATACGGTTGATGCTTGCGCACTCGTGATTTCCACGCAGGATGAAGAAGTTTTCGGGGTACTTGATCTTGTAAGCAAGAAGCAAGCAGATTGTCTCCAGCGATTGCTTTCCTCGGTCGACGTAATCGCCCAGGAAGAGATAATTCGCCTCTGGAGGGAAGCCACCATATTCGAAGAGACGAAGCAGGTCGTAATATTGGCCGTGAATGTCGCCTAGATCATGCGAGGATGATGAGCCAAAGGTCACGAGAGATCGGAGCAGCTTACATACCGCAAATCTTGATTGGCGCCTCAAGTTCGAGAAGAATGGGCTGGTTGATGAAGATGTCGCGCGCCTTGAGGCAGAGATATTTGATCTCATACTCCTCCAGATGCACCGGCTTCCCTGGTCGTGACCCTCGGACTGTGCAACGTGGCCAAGGACAAGTAGATGCGTCAGCTAACCATAGCGAGTCAAACACTGAACTACGCTCACCCTCTAGAAGCCTGTCGATGACATTATCGAGGTCAACCTCGGGAAGTTGTGAGTCTGCCATGGCGAGACTGTTTCGTGCTCCACGCTGAAGGGGAGTCATGATGCTCAGCGCTGCTTGATCGCGATAACGAGTACGATCCACGCTTTCAGATAAGCGTCATGTCTCGAGACTCACCAACCAAGACTAGGGAATTTGGCCAGCCCGCTTAATGCAACAGTGATCCTTGGCAGGCGCCTCACCCTCTTTCGTGGCTGGATCGACGTGTGCAGACTAGATCGAGTCGTGCCGAATCGCCAGTCTCTACCTAGCCAGACAGCTGTGCAAAATTAGGCGCAGATCCAAGCGACTCTGTAGATGGTGGAGGAAGCGATAGAAATCTCGTGTCCAAGCTGATACGTCTCTGGTTGAGTATCGGAATAACGACACTTCGACCGGTACGCCTTCAGTGAGGTCAACAAGCTGATCCAACCACGCAAAGACGCGACGACGCTGTCACAGAAGCCTCTGAAACCTGAAGCTATGCTGAACGACTTCCCGACGTGAAGAGGCCGATGTACGAGCTTCGAGGTCTTCCACGCACGGATTGCTGGACGATGGGTCGCCACGAAATCCTGGCCTTCGCTCGACTAATCGACAAGGCGGCAGATCCTACAACAATCGCGTTGCGACGTGGCAAGCAGTACTCTGCGCTTATCCAACGCACAAGTCCGCGGCGATGGAAGGCGTTGAGGACCTGCGAAGGAGGAACAGAGGAGAGAAAAGGAAAAGGACGATGGAGACGGCGATGGTGGTTTTGTGTGCCGAGGCCGTGGTGCTCTTGTCTTTTGACGTATCTCGCCTCCTCTGCTGGCCCTCTTTTTTTCGCTCCTTTTTTCAAATTTTCAACCCAATTGTTGTATTCATTCAACTTGAATTCTCCATTGAATATAAAGGCAGCAAGCAAGGAAGCTGCCGCGATCCGACGCGTCTCAAGCAAGAAGACCCTCAGGCTCGTCGAAGTCACCGAGAGTCGCGACATTGTTGATGGTCACGGCACACACGTCTCCGGCCATCAAGGACTGATCAATGAAGTCTTGTTTGCCGAAAGGATCTCACAGCTTCTTATAGCGCGAGGTCCGGGGACTAGCTGAGGTCTCGCTCATGTGTGGTGACTAAGATGCTTGCGCCTCGCTAGACAGATCTCGCTTTGTACTCCTGCCTTACCGCTCCCTACATTCTTGCAAGCTGAGCCAATGCTTGCTCTTGGTTCCTGCAATACCATCGAGAACTATCCTAGTGGTGTCTGCCAGAGCTCTCGTGAAGCAAGGTCCTTCGGGCCAAGCTTCACCCGGGTGCCGTTACCATGGTGAAGGGGACAACACGTGTAATCACCCTGATCACGTGCCTGCACTTCGTGGCAGCGAAGCAAGGCGTCCGTGCCAAGTCGCTGTCCTTCTCGTCGCCTAGCTTAAGCTCGAGTCTCGCGCCTTCCTCTTCCTCCAACGTTGTTCTCTTGCCAGCATTGCGGCTTGCACCGGTCAGACATCGGCCCACAAGCCTCTGTAGCTAGGCCGAGAGCGCTGGAGTGACGCGAGCGCTGGAACGTCCATACCGACCTATACCTCGAATCCGATGGACAAGATGCAGATGCAGATGCTCACCAAGGTGAGAGAGAAGTTGACAGCCTCTATTGTGAACGCCGCTCTAAACTCGGTCCCACATAGTTCGAGTCCAAGTCGAACAGGGTCAAGGGCATTGCCTTTCACCCTCGTCTTCCTCTGCTAGCATCGTCCCTACACAATGGTAGCATTCAGCTATGGAACTACCAAATGGGAACGATCTACGACCGCCTCGAGGAGCATGAGGGCCCGGTTCGTGGTGTCGACTTCCATCCCACACAACCCCTGCTCGTGAGCGGTGGTGATGACTACAGGATCAAAGTCTGGAATCACAAGACTAGACGATGCCTCTTCACCCTCAACGTGAGTGAATCAATGAACTACCCGCCTCCAGATGTCTCCGGCTCAACGTGCTCTTCCAGGGCCACCTCGACTACGTCCGCACAGTCTTCTTCCACCACACGCACCCGTGGATCCTCTCGGCCTCGGATGATCAGACAATTCGCGTCTGGAATTGGCAGAGCAGGTCTTGCATCGCCATCCTGACGGGTCACAACCACTACATCATGTGCGCCCAATTCCACCCGCGAGAGGATCTTATCGTCAGTGCCTCCATGGATCAAACGGTGCGCGTATGGGACATCTCAGGGCTGCGCAAGAAGAATACGTCGGCGCAGCCCATGAGCATCGAGGAGCAGATTGCAAGGGCGAATAGCGGACAGGCGGACTTGTTTGGCAACACGGATGCCATGGTCAAATACGTTCTGGAAGGACATGAAAGGGGTGTCAAGTGAGTAATGTCTCGTACCCGAGAGCTTGAGGTGCTCATTCTCGTCCACCACATCCCAGCTGGGCTGCCTTCCACCCGACATTGCCTCTGATCGTCTCTGCCGGTGACGACCGTCAGGTCAAGCTCTGGAGAATGTCGGAGACGAAAGCATGGGAAGTCGACACCTGCCGTGGTCATTTCAATAATGTCTCGTCTGCCCTCTTCCATCCTCGGCACGAGCTTATTGTGTCAGACGGTGAGGACAAGACGATCAGAGTTTGGGACATGGGCAAGCGCACGGCAGTTCAGACCTTCCGGAGGGAGCACGATCGTTTCTGGGTCTTGACTGCGCACCCGAACCTGAATCTGTTCGCCGCCGGTCACGACAATGGCCTCATTGTCTTCAAATTGGAACGAGAGAGACCAGCCTTTTCCATCCACCAAAATTCGCTCTACTACGTTCGCGACAAGCAAGTGCGCCACCTCGACTATCAGACGGGTCAGGATTCGGCCTTGCTCAGCGTCAAGCGTCTTGGTAGCCAATTTACTCAGCCGCGGACGCTCAGCTTCAACCCGGCAGAACGCTCTGTCGTTGTCACTTCATCGACTGGCGAACAGGGCGTCTACGACCTCGCGCCGCTTCCCCGCGAAGGTAGCAAAGGAGACCTGGGTGAATCGGGCAGCGTTGGCAAGCGTGGTCAGGGAACGGCAGCCATCTTTGTCGCCCGCAACCGACTCGCTGTGCTCCAGAAGGCATCGCAGACGATCGAGGTTCGAGATCTCAGCAACAATGTCACCAAGACGATCACCTGTCCTCAACCTACCAACGAGATCTTCTACGGAGGTACGGGTAGCCTTCTCCTGAGCACTGCGACCGGCGTCCTCCTCTACGACATCCAGCAGCAAAAGGTCCTCGGCGAGGTCCCTAGTCCGCCAGTCAAGTATGTCGTATGGAGTGCCGATGGATCACTGGTCGCTCTCCTCTCAAAACATACGATCACCCTGAGCAACAAGAGCCTGAGCACCAACAATCTCGTTCATGAAACCATTCGCATCAAAAGTGCTGCGTGGGACGACGCGGGCGTCCTGATCTACAGCACCCTGAACCATATCAAATACGCTCTTCCTCAGGGCGACAGCGGCATCATCAAGACGCTCGAGGCACCCGTTTACCTCACGCGGATCAAAGGCAAGCAGGTCTATATCCTCGATCGGTCGGGACGTCCGCAGACGATTCCGATTGACCCGACGGAGTACCGCTTCAAGCTGGCTCTCGTCCGTGGTGATTATGACGAGGTCTTGCGGATTATCAAAACGAGCAACCTCGTTGGACAAGCAATCATTGCGTATCTGCAAAAGAAGGGCTATCCAGAGATTGCTCTCCATTTTGTTCAAGACAAGAGCACGCGATTTGACTTGGCCATCGAATGCGGCAATCTCGACGTCGCCCTCGAGACGGCTGAGGCCATTGGCGTCCCCGAGGTCTGGAATCGATTGGGAGAGGCGGCACTCAAGCAGGGTAACCACAAGATCGTCGAACGAGCATACCAAAAGACAAAGAGCCTAGAGCGGCTCTCCTTCCTCTACCTCATCACTGGCAACAAGGAGAAGCTCGCCAAGATGGCGATCATTGCTGAGAAGCGTGGCGACCCCATGAGTCGATACCAGAATGCTTTGCTGCTGGGTGATGTCACCCAGAGAATCGCGGTCCTTCGGGAAGCCGGGCTTGACGCGCTGGCATACGCTACAGCAAAGGGCAATGGTCTACTGGACGAAGCTGCGCAGATTGCCGAGGAAGCGGGAATGTCGGCAGGACTGACAGAATTGGAGCTTGGCGGCAAGCTCGGGTCTACGAGCAGCCAGAATGGTCTCGGGAGGGCGCCGCTAATGCCACCACCAGTTGTCTCGCAGACTTTTGAGCACAATTGGCCGATTGTGGGAGCACAAGAGAGCTTCTTTGACAAGGCCCTCATGGCGCAGGAAGAGGACGGAATTATCTTCAAGGACAACGCTGTCAATGGGACGGGCAAGGCTCACGACGACACCAATGATTGGCTCGACGGTGATGATTTCGAGGATGCAGAAGATGGCGACGGGCTGGGCGTCGACCCCTTGGTGCCAACAGCAGTGGGGGCCACTGGTGTGGCTGCCGATGAAGCGTGGGATCTCTCAGACGGCGAGATTGGGTTCGAAGACGGCGATGACAATGTGGTCGAGCCTCTGCCCGCAACACACCCAGACGAAGGCTCACTGGAGCCCGGTGTGGCCGAAGCCGAACACTGGTTGCGCAATTCGCCCATTGCCGCCGATCATGCTGCAGCAGGGAGCTTCGGGACGGCGATGCAGCTCCTCACGAGGCAAGCAGGTGTCGTCGATTTTGAGCCCCTTAAAGCCCACTTTATTCAGAGCTTTGCCGCTTCACGCGCCTATCTGCCTGGCGAGGCTTCGTTGCCCAGCATCGAAGTCGCTCTCAGACGCAACACCGACGAGACAGAGCGTGCGAGCGCCCTGCCTGCCCGAGCGCGGACTGTGCAGGACATTGGCGCTGGAGAGCTGCAAGAAGCGTATCGGGCAGTCAACAGCAACAAGCTCGAAGAAGCCGAGGTCATCTTCCGAAACGTGCTTCTTCAGCTCGTCCTCACCGCCGGTGCCAACGAAGCCGAGGGAAACGAGATCCTCGACCTCATTGTCCTTTGCCGAGAATACCTGATCGGCATCGCCGTCATCCTGCACCAGCGTCGACTCATCGTTGAGGAGCCCGATAACAAGGCTCGACAGCTGGAGCTTGCCGCCCTCTTCACTCATGCCGAGATGCAGCCTCCACACAAGCAGCTGGCCTTGCGAACGGCGATGAATGCGGCCCAAAAGGCAGGGAACAACAAGATGGCAGGTACATTTGCCAAGCGCTTGCTGGACCTTCAACCCTCGGCCCGCGTGGCTCAGTTGGCCCAGCAGATTATGGCCGCCGCCGATCGGAACCCCAGGGACGCTGTGCCAGTGCCCGATTACGACCCTCACGAACGAACTTTTGTCATCTGCGCAGGCTCTCACGTCCTCATTCCCGCTGGAGGCGCCGGAGCTGTCGAGGATCCTCTGACAGGTGCAAAGTACCTGCCCGAATTCAAGGGCACAAAATGTGCCATTACAGGTATCACAGAGGTCGGCAAGATTGCAAGCGGCCTTCGGACATGGGTTTAGAGGCGGTCGTCTTGCGCACACACTCAAAACTGGCTCTTCCTCTTTTCCCCTATCTTTATCTACCCGTCTAAATGAAATGTCTTGATGAAACTGGAGCTTGTGTTGAGTAAGATACAGCGAATGTTTCTATTGTGACGTGTTTGAGATTGCGTAAAGAGCTTGAGATGCTGAAGGGCGTCTTGAAGCCGAGAGCTGGAGGCAGCTGTCAAGCAAGTTGATGAATTTTCTATCGAGGGTCTGCTTCAGGCTTGAAGTGAGTTCGTCACTCTGCATCAGTTGCGAGAAGATTGGCTCGAGATGACCACGCAACCCTCCAGGGTCGGGTGGACGACGAATAAATGGCATCTTGCTGAGCGGAGGCTGGAAGTTCACCGACTCCTTGAGAACCTCTTCGAATCAGCAACACGATGAGAAAGAAGGCAAATTTCTACCCACCGGCCAAAGTTCTTCGCCCTCCTTTGTAGCAGACGGAAGCTCTCGTAATGCAAAGATGCTACCCGCAAGGCCGAGATCGCCTCGATTGCCTTCAAAGAGTGTCTTTCTTCTGTATGTCTTGATCACCTTCGGGGGTTTGCTCGCGTCTGCGGGGCCTCTATTGTACTCCCACGCAAGCGATGACTTTCTCCGTTTGGGCACACGCGCATCGGACCACGATTGACCATCATCGTCTGCCCAGAGCGCTTGTTCGAGATCTTTGAGCGCATTGCCTCGGTCAGGGCTCACTCCAAATTCATCCTCGTAGCCAAGACCGTCCTCTTCATCTTCGTCCTCTATGATGACTTCCAGCTGCAAGAAGCCCTCTATGACTGTTGTGGCCCACTCCCACATGTCAACCTTGACCGCGTCGTAGCCCTCGCTCGGCGCAAACAAGGTCTCAGGCGCTCGGTACGCGCCTGTCCCCACGCAGCTTTCTTGCTTCTCCTGGCCATTGCCCCCGGGGCCTCGGACCGAGACGTCGCTCTGCGCGGTACCGAAATCAATCAAGACGGGCCTGGGAAAGGGCGAGCCTTTCTGTGTAAAGAGGACGATGTTGGACGGTTTGACGTCTCGATGGGCCACCCTGGCCACATCGTGCAAATATCTCATCGCCTCGAGGGTGTCCCTTGCAATCGCCATGAGGCACTCGAGCCATTGGCCTGCCCTTGGACCTGTGGCTTCTCTGAAGAGCCGCTGACAGAGGCTCTCGGATCTGTTGGCTATCGCCGGTGCCGTATCCTGCTCCGTCTCTGGGCCAAGAGGTTGAAACGCGATGTTGGTGTACAGGTCCAACAACGTACAGTCTCCACGGTCCAACAAAAGATTGACGATACTCGAGAAGGGGCACCGGTTGTCCTCGAAGGCACCTAGCAGTTTCACGATCTACAAGATCGCAAGTCGCGTCGAAGGCGCGGGTGAGGTGAGCAAAACGAGCTGGAGGAAGGATGCGAGGCGGGGTGGACCAAAGACTTACACCGGGATGATCGAGCCTCGCGAGCAGACGAATTTCTTCGTCGACGTTGTGTGGCTTGCACTGCTCCTCCCGTATGACTCGCTTGACGATGCACCTGCCCATCCTATGGGGCGCCAGCTCTTCATCCTCTGCCTCCTTCGGGACCAAGACCTCGGAGCAGAGGCCGACCTCATACCGCACCAACTCATCGTTGTCCGTATGCAGCACCTCGTCGAGCTCCGCTTGTGAGAAACAGTCCTCGTTTCGATACAGAACCTGTACCGCCTCCGTCGGTATTGAGGACGAAGGAGCAGGCGGCGCCACGACGCTCATGCTCAGCTGCTCCAACCCGCCAACCTATCGAAGGAGTTGTTGAAGTGGAGAAAGAGTCCAGCGCTCAACACACGGAAGAAATCGTGGAAATGGTAAATTTTAGATGCGTGTCGCATAAATTAGTCTAATCTCTCTTTCGTTTTGTTTCGTACAGTGGGGGGACAAAAGTCGTACGCGAGCTGATTTTTCGCGTTTCCAACTTCCCGCCAAAACATAGGGAAAATGCGGAATTGCTGGTCCTCACGGCCCTCAGTCATGACTACCCTTTGAAATACTGTTAAAAGTGATTTGAAACCTGGAAGAGCTGCTCTGTGCGTACAGCTACCACATAGCTAGAGCACAAAGAGTGGTCACGCCAATTGATTGAGTAGAGGGTGAAAAAGCAAGCCCATTTTCAAAAAAGTCGAAATTTACTAGTAAAATCGACCTTTTTTGGGAGGGCACCTCTAAGAGGTCTGTCAGCTCCATCACCACCCGTGAGAAACGCTTGGCTCTTAGCTATGTGATGGCCCTACACATGAAGCAGGTTTCTTGTTTCTCAAAACCGCTCTAGATTGCTTTTAGAAGGTAGTCATGACTGGGGTCCGTGAGGGGCAGCATTCTTGATTTTTCCTATGTTTTGGCGGGGCGATGAGATGAGAAAAACGCGCTCACGCACGACTTTTGTCCCCCCACCTGTACAGTACAGTAAAGTATCAATTCAGGATTGCCCGGACCTAAACATCGATGACATCCCCGTGGTCCACTTTGTCCCCCTCGATCTCGTCCGCTTTCAAGGCCTCTCGCTGCTCCAAGATAGCAGTGTCGATTGTCTCTCGGACAAAGAACCTCCAAACCTTCACCTCTTTCGTCTGACCAAATCGAATGGCCCTCCCCTTTGCCTGCTCCATCGTGGCAAAGTACTGCTGGTTGTGCTCGGCCACGAGCGGGCTCAGAAAGATGACGTGGTTCGCCACCGTCAGATTTGATCCGGCAGCGCTCTCGTCGGCAATGTTGAGCAGCAGCACCCGCTCGTCGCCGCCCTGGAAGCGCTCAAGCATGTTGGATCTCTGCACAGCCGAACCTTTCATCTGAATGTGCTTGATCTTGTACCGTGTCAGGGCCTCGTCGACTTTCTTCAGCAAGCCATCGAATTGGACGAAGAGTAGTACGCGGTCTTCTTGCGGTATCTGTCGCTTGATGAGTGTCGCCACCTGAGCGAGCTTCATGCCGTAGAAGGTCGTCTGCTCCTCGTCATCGCCCAGAGTCGAAGCACGTACGATCGAAGTGGGCTTGCTGGCACCATGGCAGCCCTGCGTGCAGCACTTGCCCACGTACGCGTTTGTCAGCATACACTTGTGACATGCTCCATGTCCGCACACCGACATGAGACAGAGCTGTTCCATCGTCATGGTTCTGCCTCCAAGCTCGCACTTGTCGCCGGGACAGACGATACCCGAGTCAAGCTTGCTGTCGGGCACTTTGGACGACAGCGATCGTGCCTTTTGGACATCGCGGACCATGGTGAAGTAGCGAAGAGATTGCTCGCGTGACCACAGCTCGTTACGCAGTCGCTGAAGCAGATGAGCCATGTTTCGAACCTTGACCTCTTCCTCCCAGTCGAGGTTCTTGTCCGGTTTCTTGGCCTTAAAAGTCTTGCCCGCCACCTCCCTGGCTCTCCTCAGGGACAAGCCTTCCTTTGTGAATTCGAGGCGCTTGAGCATGCTTATGAGCTTCGGTTGGCAATCCTCATCCCCCCAGGCGTACGACTCGACATTCTTGACAAACTTGACGGGCGCCTGATTGTCTGGGTCTCGATAATTACGCTCCAAGAGCAATTTGAAATGCTGCTGCTTTGTCACCTCGAGCTCCCGCTCTAGCTGCTCCAGCACCTCGTCGCGCTGCCTTGTCCGCTCGCCAACGATGAATTCGCATGCCTCAATGGCATTTTGTGCTGGGGCGCGGTGGACCTCCGATTCTTCGTTTTCCAGAACAAAGTGCGACGCCTGACGACTCAAAGCTTCCTCAGGACCAGAGCTCTCGCCCAGTGTCCTGCGAAGCCGCTCGTCACGATCGTTGATACCGTCTGCACCCTTCTTCTTGGCAGAGGCTGACTTTGATTGGGCCTTGAAGATCCTCCGTGCCAATCGAAGGTCAAGAGCCTCGATGGTATGAGCCAGCTCTAGGTAGCAGGCTCTTTCTGCTGCAGGCATCCTGACAGGCCGCAACAAGATCTTGAAGGGAATCTCGTCGATCTCGGCCACGTTTTGACGGACGAACTTGTCCAAGAAGCTCTGGCCAATAGCTTGGCGACGATGATGCCACGCTGGAGAGCGCACTTCGACGAAGTTTCTGAAGCGCTCCACCATCGACCGTTCCTTTTCGCGGCCTCTTCGGACCGACTGCTTGGTCGAGTCCTCGTCGTCATCAACACCCAAGTGCACCTTGAGAAAAGCCGCGATGCCCTTCACATCGGCAAAGTCCGCCGTCGGGGGCGTGCCCGAGAGGATCCATGTAGAATCAGACTTGAGTTCGCGAATGGCCGAAAAGGCCCGGTTGGCCTCCTCAGCAATGTAGTGGAACTCATCGACGACCAATCTTGCCCAGTGAAAAGCCTCGAGGGGAGGCGATGCCATTTGGGTCCAGTCCTTGCGCACTGCTAAGGACTTGAGGCCCCAGATGTCGCTCCCACCACCAATTGCCGGCCTCTTTGTCTTCTTTTCCTCGACTTCGTCATGGAGGATGATGAAATTTTCCTCGTCTTCGCTCTCGTCGACTTGCCTCTTCTTGCTGCCCTCGGCTCTCTTGCTGTCAGCATCGACTTGCCCTCGGACACGCTTGCTGGCATGATTGCTCGTAACGTGGTCGCTGTTAAAGTCGACACGCTGGGAAATGGACTCCCACACCTTCTTGGAGCCCTCCGACTTGAGCTCTCGGACGCGATTACGCAGACCTGCCAGCGAGAGTTGCAGGGCCGAGTCAAAGAATCGCCCCTCCTTTGCCGGCAGCGGATTGGCTGCCGATAGCCGAGCAAGGGCTTCGAAGTAGGCGTCACTTTTGTAGACGGTGATGGACATGATGACGATGCGGGCATCGCACAAATCTTCAACTGTTATCTTGTTGAGCTCGGCCTTGGAGTGGATGACCTCGACACGAAGCTTGCTGCCTAAGAATTTGATGATCTCAGTCCGCCACTGGCCACACAGGTGTGGTGGAACAATGATGAGGGTTGCCTTTGTCTCAATGAAGCCGCCGGTAGGGTCGACGGGCGGGGGCCGATCTCGAGTCGAAGCAATAAGACCCAGAGTGATGGCAGTTTTCCCGTAACCCACAGCATCAGCGAGGACGCCACCCTTCACCAGCACCTGACGACTCGCTTTGCCCTCGACGCGCCAGCCCATGGGCTCCAGCATGCCTTCCGCCACCTCTTCTTCCTGGAACGGCTCGATTTCGCTGCTCTCCTGAGCGAGCATCCACGTCAATGATCTCTTTTGCTCCGGCCTCAGCTCGAGCTTGAAGAAACGAGGATTATCTGCCTCTGCATCGCCTCGATTACTGCGAAGGGTGTACTTGGGAAGGTTGAACATGTTCTGCTGCTTGTCGATCTTTGACAAGCGCCAGCCGAGGGATGGTGAACCAATGACGGAATCGTTCAGGGGCAAGCGCGCCAAGGCTCGATGTGCAAGCGTCAAAGGATTGACGCCTATCCGCATCTTTCCCGTCACCCCATCTTCGTTGCTCTGTTTTGTGTCCACACGGAGCTGGACGACAAAAGGCGCTGGCCGCCGCTTCAACGCCTGCTCGTAGGGTCCGGCCTGACGGTCGTTTTCCATGGGGATGGGCTGTTTCTTCGGTAGCTGGAGCCACTGCATGTCGGGAGTTGCAGGGGCACAGTCTTGACAAGGCGTCTTACACCCCTCTTCCCAATCTGAAGGCATGCCAAGGGACATCCAGCTTAAGAGGGCAGCAGGAATTGCAACCCTCTCTGTTAGCCAGGCCAAGGCACGGAATGTCATGCTTGCTCGGTGCTCGAGGTCGACTTCGTGCCAGAGGTCGTCCGCATGTGGCCAAAGGCTGCGAGCAGTCCCGTGGATTGAAGCGGTGCTGCTAACTATGGTGCTCGCTTCTCGGCAGCTAAGAAGCGAGCTCATAGAGGAAGAAGCTACAGCCAGCGTCGCGCGGAGTTCTCGGGGTCTTGAGACCTTGAGAGCATCGCACGGTGCCCACTGCCCACCAAGGAAAATGTTGATCGACTTCCTTGTCTCCTTGACCGCCGATTCAGCTTCCTTTTTGTAGTCGGCATTAAACAATTGCGCCCTCGGAAGCTTCCATCCGTCCTCGCAACGTGCAATGACGACGCGCTCTTTTGGAAATGGCAAGCGCTCTATCTCGCTCGAAAAGACGAATCGGTCTGCCTCTTTCCCTTTGAAACGGTCCGTGTCCAGGAAGAAGAAGAGTCTTCTGGCGTCCTGTTTCGCACTGCCGTGTTGGACGTGTAGAGCACCATTGGCTGTGCCGCACTTTGCTAGCAGCTGATACTCTCCCGAAATATCGGTATCGAGTTTTTCTTTGACCTCTTCCGGGATGGCTAGATCAAACGCAGAATATCTCCTCGTCTTGCCAATGTCTCCTTCCAGACCCAGTGAGGCTTCCCATGTGGGAACAAGCTTGCCTTTGAGATGTAATTCCGCTTTGAACGACTTTTGAGACGGCAGGCAGATTTCCCACTGGGCGTCGAGGAGCTTCGAGTCGCGAGCTGTGGTATCGAGCATCATACGAGCCACTGGCCTAAGGAGGAGCTTGCGAAGCGGGCTGCCCGCTGCTTCCTCCGGTGCCGCTTCAACGAACAGTCGCCAGTGGGGTTGCGTCGGATCAAGGCACAGCTCCAACCGTACGCCATAACCACTGTAGCAGGCCAGCCATGTCCTCTGCCGCAGAAGCTCGTTGAAACGAAGCTCGACACCGTCGGAGAGCACTTCTGCCAAACGCGCCGCCCACAGCCCCAAAATTTTCTTGTCTTTGTTTTCTGCCCCTTCAGCGAGCTTTTCAATGACTGTCGTGGTGAGGCCGCCCAGGAGGAAACGCATTGGAAGGGCCGCCTTGACCATCTTGGCAAATCCGTCCGGGTCCAGTCTTTCGCGCTCATCGAGCTCGTAGTCATGCTCGGGCCGTCCCTTGCAATTGGCGCATGTCGTAAAGTCGCAAGACTTGCACCGGTACACATCAAGCTTCGTCGTCATCATGCGCCCTTCGCAGTCACAACGCATGGAGCTGGCCGCCGCACATTTCAGCAGTTTGGGCATATCGACCGCTTGGCAAGAGATGATGTCGTGCTCCCCTTCCGCTAAATGGCCCACCACTTGCGTGCCAGGCAGGCCATTGGGTTTTACTGAAGCATCTCCGTCTCCTTTGGTAAGATCGATGTCCATCTTGGCAGGCTGGTTCTCTCGCGTCTTGGCAAGATCGGGCCTGGCAATGACGAGTGCAGCCAAGATGCAGGTTCCCACGACAGTCGAGCTCATTGCATTTCCGGCCAGGTTTTGCAGCTGGTCGTTGGTCTCTCGCGTCAATAGTAGCTCGTCGATGGGCAATCCTTGTAGCGAAAGCGCCTCAAGACCGACCATGGGACCACCTCTGCCTGTGAGGTAGGGCATGCCTGTGGGTGTGATGCAATTTGAAACTCCAGGCCGAGCGCTGGCAATGTTGCGATCGACATTCTGGCTCAGCTCCCAGATGCGACTCTTGTAGTGTGCGTCGATGCCCTGCTTTGCCAATCGGAGCACGGTGATGTCGAGCAGATCCAGTACTCTTTCCGGCATCGGCATCGCCCACTCGTTCCAGGCGCCATGGGACAGCTTGCAAGTACCGCCCTCTTCCCACGCCGTGAAGGGTCTGGCCTTGCCGAGCTCCTCCTCTTCTCGCGCCCGCTCGTGGCGGCCCTGGCATTTTGACCAATCGATGACGGAGCGGCCCTTGTCGAACCCCTCGCCCAGCGCAAATTGGTTGCGCACTCGTTGAATCCTGGGATCGTCGGCGGCCAGGAGGAAGGACTCGAGAGTACACGATGCGGGCCGAGCCAGGCTTCTGGCTAAGGCTTCCCAGTTGTCGGCATACCAGTCCTTGCGATTCTTCGTCGCAATGAGGTAGCCTCGCTGGCGGGTGTGCGGAACGTAGTAATTCCTTGTATCAAATCGGGTAGAGTAGGCCGAGTCGTAGCCGATGGAAACGAACTCGTCCTTGACGCCCTCCCAGGGCGCTGACATGACATTCTCAAGAATGACAATGGTGGGTTGATGGCGCTTCACCCAGTCAAGCATTCCAAAGAACGTTCGGCCACTCTCGCCGCCATCCTCTATGCCCTTTTTCTTGTTGTTGAGATTCGAGAAATCGACGCAGGACGTGCCAGCGACGAGGAGATCCACGTTGCCGGGCACGTCGACGAGGGCTCCATACGCAGTGTGGGCACGGTCGTTGCCCAGCTCGCAGACGTCGCGAAAGAGGATCGGTGGGGCAAAGTTGCGTTCTATGTAGGCCTGCTTGTACGGTTCAATTTCGCACGAGAAGACGTGTTCGACTTCAATGGCGATGCCGTGAAGTTCCTTGATAGCCCTTGACATGAGTCGCAGTGCGAGCAAGGGTGATTCGGTGCCACTGCACATCGTCGAAACCCGAAGTGGCCGACCCTCGAGAGTCTTTGCTAGGTTCTCGACCTCGGGTGTCCGTTTGACAATGTCGGCAAAGATGTCATTCAGGTCCGAGATGGGAGGGAACATGCCTCGCTGTTCCTTGTCTTTTGCCTCCTTCTCTTTCTGCGTGGCTTGAGAGATTGACGGGACGAACCTTGGCCTCTTTATGCCACTCAGGTCCTTCTGTGCCCTCTTCTTTGTCGTCGCATCGTCTGCCTTTGCTTTCGATGAGGACTTTGGCCGCCGCTGCTGTCTCGCCGCCAATTCCTCCTCATCTTCGTCAATGTCGATATATGAAATCTGGTCTCTGTCCTCTTCCTCGTCCTCTTCCATCATACCGTCATCAAAATCGTCGTCATCATCGTCGTCAACGTCATCGGAGACGACATATACATCCGGCGAGGGCGGTCGCCTGTGACCGTCGATGTCAGTATATGTGGAGGACGAATGATAGCTGCTTGCACATACACTTTGCTCTTGGGAGTAGGCTGCCTCTCCTCTGGCGTCGTCGCAGGAAATTTCTTTGGTGGTGTAGACACAGGCGATGCTGCTCTCTTTCCAAAGTACTTGCTCAGGGTGCTCTGTCCCTTGGAGAGCTTCGAGAATGGCTTTGGAGGCGTTCGCTTGCTTGCATCCTTGCCTTTCGCACTGCTCTTTATCTCTTTTCTCAAAGGTTGATTCGATAAAACCGCTGGCGCTGAGAAGAAGCCTGAATGGTGAAGGACGACTTGTGGGTCACTTCCGAACCTATAGCCCTCCAAGGGGGAGTCACTGTCGCCCTTCAAAAGTGAGAATGCCCTTCAGCTCAGGAAACAGGAGGCTCGTCAAAGCATGGCCGCTTACCTTGACCCTTTTGGACGGTGGCATCTCGTCGGCAGGCGTCCTTATGTCAGAGCTTCCTCCAGATCCAGAATCCGAATGCGACCTTGCCATTGAGGGCGTCGAATGGCCCGACAACGCATCCTTTGGATCATGCTCGCCGTAGCATTCGCTGTCGATGATGGGTGGTGATGCCATGTTTCCAAGTGATGCTGCAATAATCGAACGGCGTCTTCTTTGGGACCAGGGAACACTTTCCCTGGTCAAGAAGAAGCAAGCAGCAGTTCAGGTGTTGGTTGGCCCCATCACGTCGCGCGCGTTCAACGCGCACACTTTAAACTTCTGAGAACGTCTGTGCGCCTTTCGCACGTGGCATGCCGCCCCGGCTGGGATTTTTTCCTTCCTTCTGAACTACTTTTTCTTTTTCGCGATCTTTCTTGAACAAGGACGACAACTGCGAGATGGCCGAGGTACCGCAGGCCTCGGAGCCCCAGGCAATCGACCAGGTGGCGATGGACACGGATCAGGAAAGCGTGCCAGGATTGAACGATAAGATCGAGATTGTGAGTGCCTGTTTTTTCTATGCTCTCTTACCCTCTTGATATTGACCTCTTGGTTGTCCGACAGCTCAAAGGATATGAGAAGGATCTGTCAGCAGCAACATATTGCCTGCACCAGGAAGACCACACTCTCGGCAATGTCATTCGATACATGCTCATGAAAAAGTGAGTACCTCTGTGCATTCACTACGAGGGGCATCCGAGGATTATCAAATATTATTAGATCTCGGAGCGAAAAGGGGAGGCAAATCAACGTGTCCTCTCCCCAGTAGCGATGAGGCATCAAAATATACAGGAATTCTTCGTTGCTGAGGGTTGCTCTTCTCTCTTGTCTCTTGACTTGAGGAAAGGCGGACGCTGACCAGACCTCGATAGTCCCCAAGTTCAGTACTGTGGCTACAGCAACCCGCATCCGAGCGAGCCCAAGATCCATCTGCGCATCCAAATGTTTGGTGAGTTGTCGCTCGAGGACCAGGAAAAGGATGAAGCAAATGTATAAGGGATTTATCAGCACGCTCGCACCCAAAAGAGGGCGGGTGGATGACGATCCAAACAAAATATTACTCCATTGGTTCCTACTGATCATTTCAAGGCCATATTACAACGTTTTCCGATGCCTGAGAAGCTGACCTCTTCTCGTCTCCAGATGGTCAATCTTCCCTCGTCGCCCTCAAAGAAGCACTGGACAATCTCGAGACGCTGTTCGAAACAATCGGCTCGTCATATTCCAAAGATCTTTCTGAGGGCAAATTTGAGCGGTTCCGCGAACCGGGCGCCAACGAGGAAGAGCTGCGAGCCATTGTGGAACGCGGCAAACAGATCCGACAGGCACAAAAGATTGACGCTGAGAATCGCCGGAGAGCCACAGAGATGGACGTGCCGGATGAATGAGAGGCCTACTTGCCTCGTTGCTGCTTGTGTGTACTCTACCTACCCGTCATTGTATTTTTATCATCCTTCGTCATCTTCACATCTAAAGCATCCCTCTAAAACACATGGCCGTTTCGTTCTTTTTCGGCCGAAGGTGGTGCGTGCGCAGGCCAATTTTATGGGACGCAACGGAGGCTGCTACATTTTCCTGCTTCTTCGTTCGGCCCCTCCATTCGACAGGAACCCCGTGCCCAACCAGAACGACTCGACGCAAATTCAGCTTCGTTCCATCGCGGCTTTGCTTGTGTTCACGAACAGAGGAAGCGTTCACACAGTCTAGCGGAGCACTGGCGACAGTATGCTCCAGTTGTGAGCCTCTTTCTCGACAACCAATTTCGCCTAAAGCCGAAGCCCTTGTGGAGAAGTAAACGTGGACATCGAATTCCGAGCTTTTAAGGAACATCAAACTCAGAACCGAAGGTGACAAGCTCAGGGATGCTACTTTCGTCAGGGACGGCAGGCCTGTCGAGGCCTCTGCAGACTCGAGGGCTCTCTTTGGCCACCACCAGCCTCGTTGCCGCTGCTCGGGCTGCGCAGCAGCAGACCGGTTTTGCTTCGCAGGCCGATGTGCTCGGGCTTTTTGCTCCTCAATTTCGCAACCGCACCTTCTCCAGTAGCAGCCAAAAGTCAGATGGCCAAGGCAGAAGACGAGGAAAGACATTCCTCATTGTGTCGCCACGGAGGGGATCGTCGCTTTCTCCTCTCGTCCTGAAGCGCTTCCAGCACGTTCAGCCACAGGAGACTCATTCTTCAGGTCCTCCTCCCCCGCCACCTTCTAGAGGCCCAGGAAAGCAACAGAAGAGCGAGCAAACATCAGAGACCAGGCCAAAGCAGGGACCGCTGTACCAGACGGCTGGCTCCACGCCGGAGAACAAAGACGCGCCAGTGTCAACGTCGGACATCTCCCGAGTCAGCCCTGTGTCTGGCGTACCAGGGGCCGAACTTGGCTCCGATGCCAACCAACTTAGTGCTTCACAGGCACTATTGGCCGAGAAGCAGGAGAAGGAGCTCGAGGCAAAGGAGGCTGAAGAAAGATGGAAGCGACAGCCATTGGTCAAGCGTGCCTGGATCAAGGTCAAGGAGGAGGCGGCCCATTACTGGCACGGTACCAAGCTCCTGGCAAAGGAGGTCAAAATCAGCGCCAGATTATTGAGGCGATTAATGCTCGGGTACAATCTTACCAGAAGAGAGCACAGACAGGTAAGCTGAGCATAAGCCTTGGTTCTCAATGCATCGTTTGCTGATCCCACAGCCCTGTTTCTAGCTCAAGCGTACGACTGCCGACTTGCTTCGTTTGATCCCCTTCGTGCCTTTCATCATCATTCCAGCAGGCGAGCTGCTGTTGCCCGTCGCCATCAAGATTTTCCCCAACATGCTCCCGAGTACATTCGAAAGCAAGTTTGCGGTCGAGGAGAAGCGGCGCGGCCTCATCAAAGCTCGCCTAGAAGTGGCAAAATTCCTCCAAGAGACGATCAAAGAAGGTGGCATCTCTCCTGGCGACAAGGTCAAGAGCTCCGATGAGTTCAAGGAATTCTTCCGCAAGGTCAGGTCGACCGGAGAAGAGCCGTCACCGGAAGACATTATTCGTGTCGCCAAGCTGTTCGAGGATGATCTCACGCTCGACAATCTGACGAGACCTCAATTGGTGTCCATGTGCCGGTATATGCAGATCAACGCGTTTGGAACCGACAATTACCTTCGCTTTCAGATCCGACACAAGCTCAGCCGCATCAAGCAAGACGACATGACCATCTCTGCCGAGGGAGTCGAGAACCTGAGCCTGTACGAGCTGCAAAACGCCTGCCAGAATCGAGGCATCCAAACGCTCAACCTCAGCGAGGACAGGTTGAAAGAAGAGATGTACCAGTGGATCGACCTGCACCTGCACCGTCGTATCAGCGGCATTCTTCTCGTCCTGTCAAAGGCCTTCAACTACCTGCCTCAGGGCAGCGAAGAGGGAGAGAGCACTCAGCTCAAGAGCCTTGAGCTGACGCTGAGCAGCCTGCCCGACAACCTCATAAGCGAGGCCGAGCTCAACGTCAGCAAGGACGCAGCTACCAACAAGCAGAGACTCGAGGTCCTGCAGCAGCAGGAAGAGCTCATCGAAGACGAGGCCGAGCAGGAGCATGCCGAAGAGGAGGCCCGGCGACAGGAGAAGGAGCGGAAGATGGCCCGTCTCAGCCGAGAGGAAGAGGAAGCTCGTTCGCTCTTGCCCAAGCGCGAGGTCGACCCTGATCCTCGGGAGCCCAAGATGACCAACGAGCAGCTGACGGAGCTGGGCGAAGCGTTGAGTATTCTCAGCGCCAAGTCAAGCGTTCTCAAGGAGCGCGAAGAGCTCGCCCAGCTCATCCGCGAAGTCTCTGCCGGCGAAACCGACGACGAGGGTGTATCCTTGTCGCCTGGAACTGCCGAAGTGGCGGCCAAGGGAGAGGCACAAGCTGGAGGACAAGGCGATCAGAAGTCAGAAGAGATGGCAGAGGCAGCGGCCAAGATAACGACGAGCAGCACCACATCGAGTTCGTCACGAAGCCTGGCCAAGCGTGTCAAGGCCATGCTGCAAAAGATTGATGCTCAGCTCGAAGAGTACGATCGTGACGTGGGCAGTCGCATGAACATCATCGAGGCCAGCCCGGCAGGCAAGATCAGCGTCGACGACCTCGAGCAGGCACTCCGACTCATCAAGCACCGGCCAGATGAGGACATTCTCGAGAAGCTCGTCGACAAGCTCGATGTCGACAACGATGGACTTGTGCCTCTCGCCGATCTCGTCGAACTCGCACAGCACGAAACAGGCTTGGGCATCATGCGAGATGAGCAGGTCAAGGACATCCGAGCCGAAGGCGACGCCCTTCGTGGTGAACGAAAGGACGAGCGCAAGCCGCGACGAGAGGACATTGTCGAGTAAATTGCTTCTTGTTTATCGTAAAGGTTGTATCTTTCCACCCTTCATTCGCTCCCAATCTCCGTCCAACCAAGCCATCAAGCCATTATCATTGTCAGTCTCAGCAATGTCAATAATCACCTCTGAAAAATAATCATCATCTTTAGCTGATTGGAAGAAGGTTCAAGGGTGTCGACGCGTGAATTGTTCGGAAGCCCGTTGTTCCGTGTTCCCCTTGCATCAGGGCCAAGGGCCTTGCAATAAAGCGAACGTTCTTGGTATGAGCGAGCCATCTATCTCATGAATCGCTAGCTTGGTTGTGGGAGTGCCCTGTGCCTTCATTTACACCGAAGCAAGGGTTCATGCAACCGAGCTAGTCAATTTCCACCTGTCCGTTCATCAGTCTGTCGATTTGTTTGTCGTTCGCTTCCATGTCAGGAGATGCAGAGCACAGAAGAAGCTGTCCTACCACCGGCCTGTCCGTTCCTAAGCTAGCTTGACGCTCTTTACCACTCGCCAAGCAGCTATTACGTGAGCCCTGACCTCTAGTGAAGCCTATTCGTTAGCTTTACCTGCTTCCATGAGCTCCTTGCTTTTTCTGCAGGCGAACATCCCATAGATCTCGCAACGGCCGCGGAGAGGCCTCAACGACGTTCGGAAGCTAGGAAGGCCAGGGCCATGGGTGAAGGTGCAAGTGCTGCTGGGAGAGAGCACAAGGCTGAGTATGGCGACCTTGATGTGTCGATAAGTAGCAAATGCCACCCGTTATTGCTGCCTGTTTGGCCACTACGGGCTGAGAGGAGGGTTTATTCATTGCATCACAAATCGTTTTCCCAGCTTGCCCGTAGCTTGGACTAAGAGTAGTGCGCGTCAAGAGAGTCCGACCCTTCCGTCACCGTACTGACATTCGTGAATGTGTGAGGACGGAAGGTGGGACCGAGCGTTCAAGAGTCACTCTCCTGAGCTCCGCTTCCCGCTTTGCAGCCCGCCGATCTTCATGGTGACGGCCAACGGTTGAGAGACCTTCTAGGTGGCTGCAACAAGTCCGGGACGTGTGATTGCTGACGCCGCAGGCACGTCACTTGTGGCGCGCAGCAAGCCGCTCGAAGTCTTTTCGGCCCGACTTGACGACAGCCAGAAAAAGCCTGCCAGCGACACGCGCTGTGGCCCGACCGGGACGCCCCGACGCGGGATCGCTACGTCAAGCCAAGCCACTCAAAAGCACACCACATTCGCGCGCGCGCGCGCCGCGCGCTTCGCACCGCCCACACGACCTTTCAAAGCCAAGCGGTTGAACAAGGAGGCGATTCGCATCCCGCTGTGATTTCCCCTTTCCACTTCCCATCCCCGTCCTCTTTCGTTCGCAGTAGTACAGTACTTGTAGTAGCAGTAGTGGCAGTACCATACTTAGAGTTCTCTTGATTTAGAATTCGGATCGTTTTTGTTGCGAATCTATGTCCGTCGTTTCAACAGTCTGCTTGCTCAATAGCAATGGCAATCAGGAAAAAAAACCAAGACAGCTTTTGAGGGGGTGAGAAAGAGGTGTGACAGAGTCTAGAATATATGTCATGTACATTCTTTGACGATCCCTTCCGAGCGACATGGAACGAAGCCAGACCGTATGTGGGGCAAGGCAGGGGGACTTCGAGATAGAGCGTAGCGGAGTACTGTGCAATTCGGGCGTTGGTCAAGTCGTCCCACATAGGCGGCCCGAGGTCTTCGACCAAGGAGGCAGCGGAACTTTTGAGCGCACCTCCCGAAATTCCCATGCTTTCTCTCCAGAGATTTGCTAATCCCGCACATCAATAGTTAATGATCGCCTCACGTCAGTATACAAATGCAAATCCATGATCGCCTTTCCAAACTTCAGAATTAACGAAATGTCATGCAAGCTGGGCAAGGACTTCTTCAATTGCCTTGCCCTTGCAGCTTCCAATCTTCTGAAGCCAAGGTTCGAGTACGGCACTAATATTTGCTGGGCTATCTATCGCAACAAAGCCCGAGCGGGCCTCGACTTTACCGAAAGCCCGCCCGGCTTGGCTCGTATCATGCAGGCTCGCCGGCCGGCCGGCGTCAGTCAGACATCAGCACAGCTATATGCATTAACATGTATTCTCAACTTTACGCAGTGCAGACAATGAATCGGACAACGATCAAAGTCGAGGCAGGGTCTATGCGAGCAGCTATCCAATCTTCCGCCCCTGGCCTGCTGTCTCAAGGCCGAACCAGGCGTGTGAACGTGTACACAGATTGATGTGCAGTACAGTACAGAAGCCCATTATGCACCTTTGCTGTCCAATCGTACCGTGTCCTGCTTGCCCTTGCTCTTGTGGGAATTATTTGGACGCAGCAAAGAGAGAGGGGGGGAGTAGCGGCAGATGCTTTGTGTCCGACGCAGTATCTTTTCTTGTCTGACTCGGGCCGATCTGTGAGCAATGTGCGGGAACTGTTCACTGTCATTATAAAGGCCAAGAGCCTCATCCCACCCAATTTGTCACCCCACTCTCATTCTCCTTCCGCTCCTTTATCTCTCACCTCTCCTCAAAAGAGGAAAGATGACGTCCATGATTCCAAGCAAGTCAGCAGACTCTCACCTAGAGCCGTCAACCGTCAGCAACTCTGTATCCAACGCGGGCACGACGCTGCCAAGGATGACGCAGGCACCGATTCGCAAGACGATCTCGCTTTCATCAATCTTTCGCGAGAAACGACGACCGCGAAGTTCCTCGCTGCTCCCACCCGATGAGCTCGAGCAACAAGACGGCAAGCGCAAGAAAAAGCCAAGCCAGCGCTCCTTTTCCCCAAGTTCTCCCACCCAGCCTTACTTCTCGTCTCAGCCAGAATCGACATCATCATCCTCCTCGGTCGGACGATGGCACGGTCGACTGTCTCGCGTTGTCCCTTTCCACAATGCTCCACCCTCCTCCCCACCGCCGATGCCCATTCCGAGCCGTCCGGCGTGCCCTGCTCCTCTCCTCGACTTGTCCGCCTTCGACGAGGACGATGAACACGCCTTCCTGCCCCGACACGACCTTGATCCGAAAGCTCTCCTCTCGCTTCAGGCCGCCACTGCAGCGGCATCGTCAGCACCCATTGGCAGTGTCGGAGCCAGCGGTGTATCCACTCCTCTCCAGCGAAGTCTCAGCCAAGAGTCATTCCACTGCCGGGGCCTGGACCTTGACTTCATGGAGGGTTATGGAGCTGCGCAGCCCCGGCTCGGCGGAGACAACGTCGCCAAGGGAATGGAGACGATGACGGCAAACACTCGCCCTGTGTCGATGGTCTCGCTCGACACACTCGACTCCCTCTCGTCTGTCTCTTCTTCGGCATCGTCTGTCTGGTCCGACGCATACTCGACCCTCTCATCGCGGATGGAGATGACTTCTCCGTTTCAATGCCCTCCCTCGCCTCCTCCGCAGCTCAACCTCGTCTTCATCATGCCCAAAGACATTGTCGACGAAGCCCCGCAGCGAGTCGAGATCGCAACATCAAGCAGCGACTCAGTCCTTGAGCTCAAAGAACATGTCAGTAGGCGCCTCGACTGCTCCCCACGCTCTTTGGCCCTCGTCATCGCAAGCACCAGCGACTGCGACGAGCCGACCGACAACAGGCGCAGGCTTGACAACGATCGCGCTCTGTACGAGGAGGGTCTGCAGGACAACGACGAAATTATCGTAGAGCTTCTTCCTCACACCGCAAGAAACTCCGCCAGCACCTCGGCGTGCTACGCAAAGTCCTTCTTTTGAGCGATTCACTATCCTTCAACAACAATCCGAGCGCTGAGCGTTCGCTCCCTTCTCTTCATTATTGTTTTCCAGCATATACCCGAGCCGTCATGGGTTCGTCCTAGACAGCCAACTCATTCTCACATCAACAACGTTCCCTAGCATTCTCTCCATTGTCCTCAATTTTGTACAACGTCACACTCTCTGTCTCTCAGCATTCAAGACCTAGGAAATCCGCATTCAATTGACTCTAAGGACAAAATGTTCCACTCAAGCGTGCGAATCTTCTACAATTTCTTGCGGCTCTTCCGGTTCACTGTCATCATCGTCTAGATCGCTTTCGCTTCCCTGCTCAAACGTCTGAGGCTGATAATCCCTGCCGCTAGACCCATGTGCAGCGCCAATGTCGTCCAGTCGCAGCTCCCTCTTCTTCACCTTCTTCGCTGCCTTGTCCTTCTTGTCGGACTTGCCCTTGCTGCTGCTTGAAGAAGACTGCGAGCTGATCCCACCGCTCTTTCCACTGGTCCCGCTTGACTTTCTCGACCTTGGCTTCTTCGAATTTCCGTCTTCATCCGACGAAGAGCTCCCAGCAAGCCCGCCACCGTAATGGGCGGCCAATCCACCATCGTCTGGAACGAGTGACTTTTTGAGGCTCTCCATAAAAGATCGGCTCCGGGTCTGGCCCCGTCGTCTCGAAACACCCTTTCCTGCCTCGTCGTCTTGCTCCACTTCTTCCTCTTGCTCATTTTCGCTGAGCGCTTGCTCCGGCACCTGTCCTCGCTGCACCTGCTCCTGCGCTTCGGTGCCGACCTCTGGGTCCTTCGATGCCGCCACATCACGCCGAGTCCGAAGCTGAATGCTTCTAAGCGCACCGCGGATGCCCTTCTTCCGGGTCTCATCGCGCTCTTCGTAGTCGTCATCGTCATCATCGGCGTCCTGCTTCGCTTCGAACCGATATGGCAGTGGAACCTCTCTCGAGACTCGATACATGTCGACGTTACCCTGCGTTGTACAATGTCAGTAGGCGAGTACAAAGAGACAAGAGAATGAGAGGGACCCACCAAGTGCTCGTTCTCCAGACGAAGGAAATTCCACTGGAAGCGTCGGAGCATCTCGATGAGTGCGATGACGAAGATACGCAGAAGACTTGAGGCTGGTCCAGGTAATAGATAAATGATCCATGCGAAGCGCCCAATGATGTTCGTGACCTGTTGCAACGATGGATTAGCACAAGCAGGAAAGGGAGTAGAGGATGGTCGCAGATCCAACTCACTATCGCAAAATAGTAAAAGGGCCAGTAAGGTTCAAAAACGAGCTCGTCTCGGAGAAATGGATATCGTGCGTGCGGTCGAAGCAAGCTCCAGTCCATGACCAGGTCCCACACCACGGTGTAGCAGGAGTAAATGGCCCCAAAGACGCACCAGAGGGCAAGGTCTTGGTGGCGCGCGGAGCCGTGGTATCGATAGTTGACATAGAGCCAGCTATAGAAGACCGACGAGGTATACTTTCCCGCATTCACTAGGTGCAAACGGGTAGTGAAACCAGAGTCGCGGAAACGGCGGAGGCATTGGAGCAGACGCAGAATTGTGGGTACGCTCAATAACGCCGCCGTCCAGAATGTCCGATTTGGATCACATCGCTCGGGAAACGCCCAGTCTGTACCAGCTGTCAGCACAAATTTCATGATACAAGACAATGTGCAAAACTCACGATGCTGGTATTCGCATCCAATGAACCACAACATGCTGATGGACCAAGCCAGACTCGTCAATTCGTCCGCGAGCTGGCGTCGAGCAATACAAGTCAGCGACGAAGGAACAGAGCCAGCAACAACCTTTAGACTCACAAAGAAGTCCCGGAACTCCACCTCAGACAGGAGGCCTCCGTGAAAACAGCGACAGATGCTTACAACAAACCACCTCCGGCTCTCAAGGTTTGCGATAGGCAAAGGATTCACGAGAATGACGATGACCACGACGAGGTAGACGATTGGCCATGTAGTCGGTGCAATACTTTCTGGAAAAGGATTGAGGAAGCTGACCCAGAAGGCGAGGCTGAGGAGCAGGATGAAGAATGCCGGGAGCTCAAAATACTGGTGGAAGTCAAGGGCGTGACGGACATCCCACTCGAAGATGAATACGGTGTTGACCCTCGCCTTGTGCCAAACAGCCAGATTGACGCCGAAAAGCAGCGCGAATACAGTCGGAATGCTGAGAACGAGACGGGTCAGAAAGCTGAATGTTGCGAGATAGAAAGAAAGACTCACAGCTCAGCACCGTAGACACGCAATAGACTTTGCCACTGAGGAATCGCTTCTTGTGTCTCGGGATGCATGGCTGTGTTCGAGTGAGAACTAAGATCAAGGGATCGCACATGCTGGTGTTACACACCTTCAATGAGTCCACCAATAGTAGCGCACAAGGCTACACCGACAAAGAAGCCAGCGCGAGCCACACTCAGATGGTGTGTGTGGCGCTGGTCAACAGTCTGACCGCTGGCATTGACCCTGAGTCGATCGAGAGCTTTTTTGCGATTGCCGTGCTCAAAGTAGGCCGTAAAGATTTCTTGACCAGAGTCAGCCATTATCCTATGAAGGAAGGACAGCAGGGTCCTACTTCGCCCCTCACCTTCCGTTCCCTTGATGAGCTTCTCCACGCTCTCGCTCGCCACGAGGATGCTGGGCGCCACCTTCGCCCTGTAGTAAGCGTCTGCGCAGCGTACCTCGGTCGTTTTTTCAAACTTCTTCAAGATCTTTGCGATTCCCGTTCGGTTCAGACTATAGAAAAGAGTCAGCAGAGACGCACTGCTCAAGAGCTCAAGTGACTCACATCTTGTAATTCTTGAGAATCTCCAGGCCCTTGTAGTACTCGAGGACGGCCACCTTGAGCTTCTTTCTTGCCGCCTTGTACCTCTCTGGATCCTGGCTCATGGCAGCATCCTTGTTGTGCTTCCTGATTTCCTCATCGTCGGCCTCGGAAATGAATCCACCGTTGACGTTGAACATTCTCGAGAGGGCCGCAGAGCGCCTTCGATCTCCTTCGTCCTCCTCTTCATGCTCCTGCTGAATCTTACGCTTGGCTGCTCCTGACTTCTTCTTGTCGCCGCTTGACCCTTTCATCTTGGAAATTGCTTCGGGAGCACTGCCAACAACGTGAAGTGGAGAGTGTCTGAGCGCCGAGACGGGCCTCTGGACATAGTCAACGAGCCAGGAGCCGGTTCCCTGCTGATCCGCTTGGTGGCCAGGTGGATGCAGCGCCTTGTACATTCTCCGATGCTCCGATAGCTGCTTACGGCGTCAGACACCTCTAGAAAGACGGCCGAAAAGAGAAGGAACAGCACTCACTTCCTCGAGTTGTCTTGCCAAGATCTCGTACCTTCTCGCCATATTCGACTCGCGCTCCTCGTAGAAGCTCACGATGTGTTCCAACTCGTTGTCGAGGGCCCAGAAGAACTTCCTTTCTTCCTCGTCCAAATTCTCCTCCAAGATCTCGTTCAGCAACTCTTGATTCCGGCCTATGTGGATGACGACGGGTTAGCTGGGCTAAAAACGCTCGTTGGACCTCGCTACTTACTCTTCTTCTTCTTCTGCTTCTTTTCCTTTTTGGGCTTCGAGCTCTTCTTCGACTTGTCGCCATCCTCGCCCTCCATGGGCGCCTTTACCGTCTCAAGGGGAGGGTCTGCGAACGAGAGACTGGCTTTCGCGCCGTTGCTCGCTGAACTGGTCGCCCCTGCGACGTTCTCGACGTCGTCGTGAAGGCCCAATGGTGCCAATTTGGACGTAAGCGTATTGCTGTAGACCGTCTCCTCGTCCGAGGGTACTCTCGTCGCCTGCGAAGATGAGGGATCGGGGCTCAGCGCCTCCGGCTCCTGACCACTTTGACGTTGTTGTTGCTGTCGCTGCTGCTGCTGTAAGCGATACTCCATCGGATAATCGAGACCGGTTCCTTCGAAGCTGACGACGGGGAGACGGCTAAGCTCCTCGTTGTACCTTGTCACATTGAGCAGAGGCGCACTGCGATCCGTTCCGCCATAGCTCCGTTCCTCGCCGTCGAGGCCGGCCTGCTGCTCCAGATGCGTGCCATTTCTCTGCCTCAGGCCGATTCTCCTCCACGCACTGCCCACGCTCCCATCCGTCGAGCCGGCCCCTCGCGCAGTTGCAGATGAAGATTCAGAGGCATCGGACCTGACCAGCTGCAGCTCGAGGTTGAGCCTGGCCTTGTGACGGGCATCGACGCGCTTGATGAGCTTCTTCAAGCCGCGGTACTTGAGGTAGGCACGCTTCCACTCGACGACGCTGTTTTCCTCGAGATATCGTCCGCTGGAATGAAGGCGTCAGACAGCCCAATCACCCCCACAGGCAACATTCATCTACTCACAACTTCATCTCCGGACAATGGTCGTCGAGAGGGCGCACCGCTCCCTGATACCTAGCAACGGCTGTCGGAGGCAAAGAGGGGCGGGGGAAGGGGGCGTGCGTGCGTCCAAAAGCAACACACGTTCCGATGGCTTGCTTGCCTTTGGACTTTTTTTGCTTTTTCTCCGAATTTCATTTTGAGGTTGCACCGAAAGGAAGCAGGAAGCACTCTCGCAAGCTCAAACACCAAAGTGGCTTTATTTTTCAAAGGGTGGTAATTCAACACCTGTCTGTAGAACGCTCCACAGGCTGCCACAAGAAAGAGACAGTCACTGGCCAAGATGATTGGGATGCTGCTTGCTTGAATCTTTCGCCCGCGCAGAGAGGAGACGGCCGTTGAACGTCTCGCGGTGAGACTCGCTCTGTTTGACGAGCCACTTGTGCTCGGCCATCACGCTGTTCTCTGCCGCGACCAGCTTGCTGTGGACCTGCTTGACCGTGCGGTACTCTACCTGCTCCCAGGAATCAATCGTGTCCAGCCGGCGTTCAGCGCAGATGATCTTGTCCATCCTCGTGATTAGTGGAAGCATTGGCGACATCTTTGACTCCACATAGTAGACGTTGCCCAGCGTGACTTCTTCCGCGTTTTTGCCATACAAGCGCGCCAGGGCCAACCGGCGACGTTCCTTGACGTTCTTTCCGCCCGGCTGGGTGGACTTAGCGAGCCGATCCTTGTCGAAATTAATCTTAGGCAGCTGGCCTTTCTCTTCAAAATAAGCCTGGACTCGGCGCTCAACCTCGTTGAAATTCGGCTCAGCGACTTCCTCGGCGCTCGGAGCGTCATGCCCGCTGTCCAGCACCCCAAGCGCAACCGCGAGGGAGTGACCTGCGCAGATGACAGCTGCCACTTTTTCGCGACGCGCAACAAGATCTGCGAGGGTATCGCCTGACCTAGGTAAGATCTCGTCCCAGGACAGCTTAACAACGTCGCCTGTAAAGTCGATAGGCCGCTGTCGGCTGCTTGCGTTGACCTTCACCGCCATCTCCTCCGAGAGAAGTTCCGCGACGTGCAGATCACCCTTTCGTCGATGTTCACCCTGTGGTGGACTGAGAGCAAGGTAGCTGAAACGAGGTAGAAGTAGGGAAAGAGGTCGATCGATGGGACTACAGATGGACGGTTGAGATGCTGTCGCCGCTGGTAGCTCCTGCCTCCTGAAAGAGGTGGCGAGCGGCGGTGCCTTCTTCCACCTCACCGGCCACTGAAAGCTTGAAGGCGCTCTGGCATTTGCCCCTCTCTTTCTCGCACGGACTGACCGCATCGGAGCGGTGAGTCGCGCGAAGCCTAAAGGCGGGCTATGTACGCGGAGACTGCGAGGTCTGCTCCCCGCTGTGCCGCCACTGCTCGCAAACCTGATAAAATACAATTGCCCAGAAAGAATACTAAAGACATGATGTTGGCGACAGCTCAAGGGAGCGAGCAGTGCTGCTTGACAATCTCTTCCAGCTCCTCCAACCCTTCCGTCACTACGACCCTGGGCCGAAGGGCGATTTCGCATCCTCGCGAGATCTCCTGTCCGAGCTTCTCACGATACGCAGCCGCCCGTTGCTCGAATTTGGTCAGACTACAGACATCGTCAGCGCAACTTCCAAGTCCAGCCTTCAAAGCAAGACTCACATGGCACGGGCAACCTCGAGCTCGGCTTGAGTTCTCTCGACATTATCCCTGCTACTGCGATCCATCTCCTCCAACATATCGTGCAGATCTCGGCTCTCTCGCACAAAGGCGTCACGCTCTTCCTCGATGGCCTACACAAGTACTTGCAGTCAATATTCTGATTCTTTCGGCACCAAAATCAGCCTTCAGCTTACCTTCTTCGTCTCCTCTATTCTCGCCTGGATGTTGTCGTGCTTGATGCTCAGGTCCGTCACTTGATCCTTGAGCGAATCCAACTCATCGATGAGCGAGTCCAGCTGCTCGGCCTGCTTGCCCTTCTCCTGACGGAGACTCATGAGCTTTTGGGCCTGCTCCTTCTTCTCCTTTTTGATCCTCAAATCGATGTCCCGGTCCAAATTGAGCCCTTCCGCCAGCATCGTCGATTCGTTGTGAGGATTGACATCGATACTGTAGAGCCTGGCGCCGGTCTCAAGCACGAGAGGAAAGAAGCCAGCCTCCTTGGCCTTGTTCGTAAGATCCTCCAGCACCTCCTCGGTAACGGCCTGCTTGTTGGTAAGGACAACCTCCTTGTTGTAGTTTGCCTTCATTGCCTCGCGCATCTTCTTGGCCACTTCGTCGATCTGCTTCTTCAGCTCCTCTCGGCGCCGCATCATGCCCCGGTACTGGTCCTCCGACACAGGTTGTAGGGAGAGTCGTTGTTGAAGCTCTGCCTTTTCCTTTTCCTTTTCTCTGTAGGTCGCCTCTGAAGTGTCCTTGGGTTGTCAGTTGAGTACTCCTCAGTCTTCGTCTTGTCTTCTCCTCACCGGAATTCGCCAGAGCCTCCTTCAGCTTCTCGAGGGCCTTGCGAGTCTTCTCAATCTTTGGGTTGAGCTTCTCGTCACGATAAGTGCGGAACTTGAGGAGATCCTCCTTGAGGATCCTCTCTTCAAACTTTTCCACTTCTAGGGCCTGGGAGGAGGTCAGGTCAGGTGCTTCTCGTCTAGGACCAATGTCCGCTCCTACTTACGTCATCGCTCTTCAGCGTCTCCAATCGTTCGCGGTACTGCTTTTCTTCTTCTTTCAGTTCTGCAATCTCTTGACGCAAGACGTTGTTTCTCTCGGCTGCAGGAGGCATGTGCAGGTCATCATCAGTATTTGTGTTGATAGTCAGCGGCGTGGGCCAAAAAGCAGCTCACCGAAAGCCTGCTCGAGAGCGAGTTTCTCTTCAGGATATTCGTCTTCGTTTGCCCAAAATCTCTCGTAGCACTTCCACAAGAACTGATAGAAGTGCCCGGCGTCGTCTTCTGGCTCGATCTGCCTCTCGAGTGGACCACCTTGGTACTTTGTCCGCGATGGCACCATCACCAACATCTTCTGCATTAGCAACGCGGCAGGATGTTAGCATATCGTGTAGGGCCAGATGCGCACTTTAGCACTCACGACGAGATTTGCCATCCAGTGCAGCATGCCGCAGACCGGTGGCCAATTCTGCGCGCTACCGGCAGCGGAGAGCTTCGTCTTGGAGAGATCGCCGAGGAAAGGGTATCGGAAGTCGGTGAGGCACTGGAGCATCTCCTCGCTTTCTTTTTTCGGTTCCTGGACGAACTTGTGATTGGGGTCAAGGAAGAGGTAGAGATGCCTGAAGACTTGGAGGAAGAGAGCCTGCGTGGGTTCATGCAGACCACCTTGATGTCTGGCAGGAAAGGTGAAGTGGGTATCGTGAAGAAGCGCAACAATGTCTCGCTCCATCTTCTCCATGCAGCTCTTTGTCCGAAGTGGCCGCGTGTCGGTCAGTTGCCTTGGCGGCTTCTTGGCAATGGCCAACATGAGGCCCGACATGACTGTTTCGATAGCTGCGTTGGAATATCTACCGTTGCTGTGCAACACAGGCACGGTGAGCGGGCTAGGCGTAATTAGCTAAAGAGCGAAAGACTCACTTTGGTGTTGGTGCAATGCTGGGCCTGCCTACGCTGGCCCGAGACATGGTGCTTTGCCTCGCGTGTGGAGTCGCGACAGCGCCCATCTCATCTCCGGCTCGTGAGACGCTCAGTCCCTGCCCTCCGAAGCCGATTGGCGCAAGACTCGACCGCGGTGCATTGCCGCTGCGACTGTTTGCGGTGCCCGGCGCAAGAGACTGGCGAGGCAGCATGGAAGGTCGGGCACCGGCATTCAGGGGCTTGCTTCCTGATAAGTGACCGCCGCCGCCATTGCGACCACTGGCGTAGTCTGCCATGATGTGGGAGAACCGCGACCGGCCTGCTCTTAGCTCGACTGCGAAGTGGTTCGTGTTGGTCGGCAAAGCGGTCGCGACCAGCTCAGAGCGCGTCCGATATTTATGAAGACGCGCCAAACACGTGCTTCCGCCTCCGAAAGTCCAACCAACACCTTGTCCATTCTGAGCTCAGCAACGCGGTGACCAACAAAAGGCGGTCTGAAAGCGGGCAGTCGAGGGGCAAGAAGCGGAGAAACAAAGATGGCATGATTCGCATGCAGGAAGACAGAAACGGCCATCGTCGACGACAATGCCCGTGCGTGGGCGAGGAGGTTGGCCCAAGCCTGCAACGTCCTTCAAGGATGGTGGCGGGCCAGGAGAGAGGTCGAGGATCGGCGAGTACCGAGCGTTGAAAGGCATGCCCAGATCGGACACAGCGCTTTCCCTTCTGCGAAGAATCGGAAAGGCGGTTGAGCCTATTATGCTCAAGCATTCCTGGCACCTGCCTCTCCTAGTCGAGGTGTATCCCAAGCAGGAGAGTCTGCTCGGTGCGTATCTCTCTCAAACAGACGTGACTGGCTCAATCTGACCACGTCCTGCGCAACAGGCTTCAACGTCAACCGTGGAAAGAAGATTGCACTTCGTCTCCGACAGCCTCATAATGAAGACGACTTCATCGACGAGGAAAGCATCACCGAGACGATGTTGCATGAGCTTGCGCACAATGTCCGAGGACCCCACGATGACGAGTTCTTCCGCGTACTTGATGGGCTGACGATGGAGTGGTACGACTTGCGCTTCAAGCAGCGCTTTGGTCTGGCGGGGACAGGGTCAGACGCTTTTCAGTCTCATGGTTTCAAGCTGGGAGAAGGTAGCGTCGATCCTAGAGACGCAAGAGCAAGGGCGGCGGACATGGCCGAAAAGCGCTGGCGATTCCAGCAAGCGATGGGTAATTCGGGTCGCGCCCAGACACTTGGTTCCGCTTCCAGCCGTAATGCTGGCAAGTCCAAAGCGCAGCTTGCAGCTGAGGCGGCCGAACGCCGAATTAGCATGTCCAAGAGCTGTCCTTCGACAAATATCTCACTTATCGAAGACGCTGATCGCGAGCAAGAAGCTCAAGAACGCCTGCACGGCATAGAGGTGATCACCATTCAAGAAGACGACGACGACGGGGGTCACGACGGGGATGAGCACAGACATAACAGAAAGCGTCCCATAGACAACGTCGGTGCGCTCGACAAGGGAGGTGCAAGTGGGCAGAAAGTGACGAAGAGGGAGGAAGACAATGAAGACGACGATGACATCGTCTTTGTCGGTTCGAGCAGGCTAATCAGTCACCCTCGTCCACCTCCACGGAGGACATTGTCGCCTCGCACCATGAGTGGTTCTCTCGTCGGACAGACCCGTGCCGCGGCTGCGCTTCGCTTCGACAATCTGCAACGTACAGATACCAACACGTCGTCGTTGAGCGCCGCCGCCCCATCGAGCTCTGATCTCGACACCCAATCGGCCAGATGGACATGCCAAGCGTGCACCCTCGTCAACGGCAAGACCTCGCTCACATGCGAAGCATGCGAGACCATTCGACCGGGCTTACCCTGCTGGACTTGCCTCGGATGCAGACACAGGATGATGGGCGATGACGCGCGCTTCTGGTGTTGCATCAAATGTGGCGTCGTCAAGGCAAGCAGCGGCCCTGGCGAGTCATAAGCAGTAAGCCAATGTATAATAGCAGTGGACCTTTCTCAGCTTGACCAGCATGAACCTCAAATCAAGCTTTTCAGAAGGGGCGAAGGACCGCATTAAATAGACGAAAATGTACCAGTACATATTACAACCACGACAGCAGTAGAGATGCAAAATATGAACTACTCCTCGATAGGCGCGATGCTCGCACCTCTCCTCCCATTCTTTCTCGTACTTCTCGTCGTCGCCGACAAAGAGGCCGTCGATGCCGTCGAAGAGCCGCTCGTGCTCCTATAACCCGCCTGACTGCTAGCCTTTCGCCTCCTTTGCTGCCGAGCCTTCTCCAGCTTGGCCTTCGCCGCCGATTCCAGTTCGACGTCGTTGACGCCATGCGCGCGGGCTTGCTCGAGGATCTGCTCGAATTCCTGGAGCTCGTTCTCGTTCGAGGAGCCGCCACCCACAGCCGCGGCCGCGGCCGCGGCTGCTGCTGAAGCGCCACCTGCCGCTCGGTTTCCGCGCGCCTTGGCTAGAATTTCCGAAAACCGTTTGAAAACCGTTGCATCGTGGAGTTTGTCTTGGTCTGGTGAACATAACAGAACAGAACAAGAGTCAACAAAGGGAAGAGATCGGGTCAAAGATGAGCCTGTTCTACTCACAGAAGGCGAGGTTCTCGATCAGACGTTTGACGGATCGGTCGGATTTGTAAGGGAGGAGCGACAGGCAGTAAGCAATATCTCTCCATTGTCGCTCTTCCGATGTCAGCCGGAACCTGCAAGAAGAACCATGTCAGCTCCCATCACGGAAGATACTCAGAGAACACTGACCTCTGACAGAGCTTCTCAACGACGTTCTCGGCCTGTTTCTCCTTGTCGATGAACGTGAAAACGAACCGCATGATCTTCTCGAACGTTGCCTCGTCGACGGCATGCTTGCCGATGCTGAGGTGGCTGATAATGTCTGGCAGATTGTTGTATACGGCGTTCTCCTTGGTGGCCAGCTCCGTGAAGAAGAGTTTGGCAAGATCGCTCACCCGTTCATCGTCGTCCTCGAGGCACTTTGCCATCTCGCCCAATTGACCTTTAACTTTGATCATGCCGTTGAGAATCAGATGGGTGAGCACCATGAGTGTGTGCTTCTTGACGCCCAGATCCTTGTCCGTCAGCCCTGCATAGAGCTTTTCGGAATTCTCATCGATGAGATTGCCGAAGGAGATGGCCATGTCTCCAAGTCCGATAACGATGTTGGATCGTACGACTGGGTCTTCCGATGTCGACAAGATCGAAAAGACCAGAGGCAAATTCGACTCGCAAAACGACGAGGAGACGCACATGAGTTTGCAGAGCGACAGCACCGAGGCTCGTCGCAGGAACTCATTCTGTCCAGCGATTAGGACCAAATAATCTTTGTGTCAGAAAGGAATACACTCACCGGATAAGACTTTGGATTTGAGCAAATGTGGCTGATCATAGGACCAAAGACTGCCAATAGACTTCTCTCTCCGAAGAGCAGCTCCTTCTCTCGAACCTCAGCCACGACCTCGCCGATCTCGTCTTCTGCATTGCCTGCCACCTGGTCTAGCTCGTCTGCTCCCACGCCGCTATTGTCACTATCCTTGCTTCCCTTGGCCTTTCTGCTTGCAGATGCTTTCCTCGAAGCTGCCGCCGCGGTTGTCTCCTTGCTGCCCTTCGACGTTGCTTCGGCCCCGTCGGCATTATCTGCCACATTCCGATTGGTGTCTTTCTTACGAAGGCGCTTCTCCTCGTCTGCCACTGCCTTTCTGCGCTTGTATTCTCGCTCGACTAGTTCGAGGTAAACGCTCTCCTTGAGGGCGATGTGACCCACCACAAAAACGAGCTGTGCCATAGAGAATGCCAAAGCTTGCCGGTCCATAGAACCAGGCGTGGCCGGAGTCGCGACAGGAGCGGGAGTAGGCGGCACAGAGACGGCCTCGCCACCTGCTTTGATCATCGGTCCTGACGGCCCAAAGAGCTTGGCGGCCATTGTCTTGATCAAGTCAGCACAGAGAGCGTCTGGTTGTTCACCCAAGAGGTAGATCGTCTGGATGGCATTTTCTGCCAGACTGAACCATTCTCCACTCATAGACGGCCACTGAATGGCGCCACAGAGTCGGCTGAACATGCGATGATTCATGGGGAACCTCAGCTGCTCGTCGCTAAGGGCGCCTTTGACCTTCTTGACGCTTCCTCCCACGCGCCCGAGGGCAATGCAGGTGTACTTTGCCAGAACGATGTCCTTTGCGCCCAGGCGACCCAATCCGATCTGAAGCAAATCGTCGATGTTTTCGGCCGCAATTTCCCTCTTTGCCACCGCGAGCATCGAGAGGACAATGATGGCACCTTGGCGTTGCGATGCCGGGATGGGCTGCTTTGCGGTGTAGACGGACCATAGTTTGGTGACGATGTCATCGTGGATAAAGCCTTCAGTGCACATGGTCGAGAACAGCTCCTCCAAGCTAGTCAGTTCGGCCAACGTGGCTCCAAATGTTCGCTCAATCATGTTGCGAGCGATCCGGGTCACGTTGTCGCGAGGTGATAGGTCGGCCACTGGTTCAAAGTAGAGGGACCGATAGACTTCGATAAGCCGGCTTCGAATTCCTTTGAGCTGTTGACCATCTTCCATGACCAGAGTGTTATCCTTCGTCCAGATGAGGTGCACCATCTTCTTGATGCCTGCCGCCGATCCAGGTACCTTGTACTCGTGCGCCACTCTAAAGCACTCCATGCTCTCGAGCGCCTCGGCTTTGTTGGTCGAGACGAGGAGGAGCGATAGGATGGGGATTGCCGCTGCGAGCTGTTCGATGAATGTAAGCGCATCCACGTAATATCGCCTGGTCAGACGTAGCCGGACAAGCTTCTCGGCTTCAACAGGCGACAGCTTGGATTGCTGTGCGGCCAATGCTTGTAAGTCAACACTTCGTCGTGGCTTATTTTTCCTGGGCGTCTTGTCGGCGTCCTCTCCCTCGTCTTCTCCATCATTGTCTTCGTCCTCGGTCTGTGCCTCCTCGTCCTCCATGGGCACATCCAGAAGGCCGTCGAAGACCTTGAGCTCGTCGTCGACGGCCTCCAGACGCTTATTCCACTCGTCTCTGTCGAGCTCGCCACCGTGCATGAGGCCAAAGGGATGCGTCAAGATGAGCTTGGTGATCAGTGCGATGGCGTTCTTCCGCGCTGATGACGACTTGTCGCCTAACGCTTGAATGCTGAGTTCCACCAGCTGATTTCGTTGACTTGGAAACTTGGCAGGAAGCCTAGCGCGCCTGTCAGCGTACAATTCCCTCCCTTACAGCACCTGCTTTACACCATCATCCACTCACTCGCACAGCTTGGAGCACACGGAGATGCACTTGCACCTCACGTAGCTGTTCAGGTCCAGGAACCTCTCCATGATGAGGGACCAAAATTGCTCGACCTGTCTCTTTCTCGCCTCGGTGCTCCCTCGCTGTTCATCGGCGTTGCCATCGTTGCCTCCTGCGCCATTGGCAGCTGTAGCTGCTGATGGCCCGTGGCGGCCATCGTCATCGTCAAGGCTGCCGGCTTCTGCGCCAGGCAAAGCATCGTCCGTGGTAGTGAGCTCCCTGATGAGGATGCCGAGGATTTCGAGCATGGCGTTTCGCATCGGGTATGACTCGCTGTCCAGGTGCTTGAGAAGCAGGCTGATGGTTCTCAGCACGCTCCTGGGACTCAATTCTCCCATGCGAACTAGGAAGCGAGCGAAGCTTCGGGGGCTTTTCGTGTCGAGTCCTCCAAATTCGCGCACCGCAACCTCCCTCAGCACATCGTCACCTAGCCTCTCGTAGTCGAATTCGATCCTTAGGAGCGTGAGAAGCTCAGCCATGGGCTCAGCAAGGTGCTCGTAATAGGCCAAGGCCTGCATGATACTAGTTTGAACAGCGAACGCCTGACCGTGGTTCTTGACGGCCGACGAGATGACCTTGAAGATGCCGAGCTTGATGCTCTGCACTTTGAGATGAGCCTCATTCTCCTGGAGCAGCAGACACGGGCGCAGGACACAGCCTGAAACGAAAGCATCTCTCGACGCCGAGAGGGGGAAGAGAATGGAGGTGGACAGGCGAAGCGATTTGAGGAGAAGGCTGAGGATTTGCGGCGCTGATTGCTGCCAGTCCCATCCGGCAAGGTTCTTTGAGGCCTCGATGGGTGAAGCAGTCGTCAGCATTGGCATAGCTCCCTTCTTCGTCGTTTTCCTCCTCCCCTTTGCTGCTCCCGACCCCCCTGCTGTCCCGTTCGCTTGTGCTGCTGCACGTTCCTCTCTGCTGTTGGATGCCTTCTCGGCCGCATGGATAAGCCATTGGAGGAGAAAGGCGTACTTCTCGAGCGTCTCGGCGTGCTCTTTGTACCGCTCGATGCCATCCAGTTCCAGATCCCTTGTCGCTGCATCGAGCTGGATCGAATATGCCGAGGAGAATGCGTCAACAAGCTTGCTCCTGTGAACGCCGTTGAGCGACGCAAAGTACTTCAAAAGCGACCGAGCGAGATCGAACGTGTCGTCTGAATCTATTGAGGACGGGGAGAGACTGAGGCTGTCGATGAGCGAGTCGAGAAGCTGGGTCCTCTCAAAGCCTGAGTCTAGATCCGAGATGTTGACCTCGTTTGGGATGCGATACTCTGACTCTTCGCGACAGGCTACCAGTTCATCTGCCAAATTGAAGCGTCCTGCGGTCGCCGGAGCCTCTTCCGAGGAAAAGGGCTGTGATGAGGATGCCATCGTCCGTTCAGTCCTCTGATTGTCTAGAGGGTGTTGGTCTCTGGTGATGGACCAAAATAGGGCGCGTTTTCGCGTTTGGACCCCTCGAAAGTCACGTGTCACCGACGCCTTCCACGCACGACGCCCGCCAGCGCCCTTCTCCTCTGACCTCGCCTTCTCGCTTCCTCAGAATCACCAACCATGGTGAGTGCCTAGCTTCCACTGACGGGGATAGGCGAGGGTGCTGACAGGCCGGTCTTGAAAGGAGAACCAATCTTCGGCACCTGCCTCGGCGAGACAGATTGTCAATTTCCTCCGAAGCTCCAATGGCCCAAAGACGAAGCAGGGCGTTCTGAACGGCAAACGACATGACTACTTCAAAGGCACGGGCGCCGTCAAGGCACTACTGAGCCCGGCCTACCAGAAGGCCGCCTCCGCAAAGAAGTCGGAGCTTCCCAAGGTGACGACGGAGGAGGAGGCGACGACTGTGCTCCACAGCGTCATTCCCTATGCTTTCTTCCTCCGCGTCGATCGAGGCGAGGGCACTTCCAAAGAGGGCAAGCCGCTGCAGGTCAATCAGATGCAGATGTTCAAGGACGAATATGTGGGTAGCACTGTGGAATGGCGGGCTTTGGAAGAGGGAGGAGCTGAATTTGACCTTGGTCCGTCTCAGTATTACGCGTGGTTCTACGAAGGCTCTCAGCTGCTCCTCCAGCTCTCGGGCGTTGGCATGATCCTCCTCATGCTTGCTGGCGTCATGTTCCCCCTCTGGCCCGCATCGATGCGCGTCGGCGTTTGGTACCTGAGCATCGGCCTTCTAGGCCTTATTGGTGCCTTCTTCGGTTTGGCAATCGTCCGTCTGATCCTCTGGGGCATCACCACGCTCACCATGCGGCCAGGCATCTGGATCTTCCCAAATCTCTTTGAGGATGTTGGCTTTGTGAGTTCGTCAAGGCTTCTTGCTCCTTAAGGGGACCGTGCTGACGGATATGAGCACACCTGCGTGTAGGTCGACTCGTTCATTCCTCTCTGGGCGTGGGACGTTCCGCCGCCTAAAAAAGGAAAGAAGGCAAAGGCAATTGCACAAAAGCCTGCAAACGGAGAAAAGAGCCAGGGCCAAACGGCTGTCGCGGTGAGCCTTTTGAACTGCCACACCTGTAAATGAGGAAAGTCGATCTGACTTGCTTGACCTGTCAGAATCTGCCGGGATCTGAGAACCGCCCGCAAGCACCGGCGGTCCCCAAGTCTGCTGGGGAATCGCAGCCGACAGCTCCGAGCTCGCAGGCCGCAAAGGCACCGGCCTCGCAGCAAGGCCCTTCTGAACCGCCTCGAGAGTCAGAGGGCTTGGCCGACTTGGACTGAGTTACAATCACAACTGTAAAAAAGGGAAAGGGTTCCTGCTCGGGGACCATAAAGACGCAATATTTTAAGGTGATAAATACGATAATGAATACAGCAGTGAGCAACACAGCGCACCAAGCCTCAAAGATGGAGAGGCAAGATAGATGGGACAGGGCCCTTGGGGACCACGCGGGTGGGATTGATCTGTAAGAGAAGGAGTAATGAGTATTTCAGGATTGTCCGTTTGAAGGCACGAACGCACCTGTTCCGCCTTCGAAGACCCAGAAAAGTAGTTCGACTGGAGTGGTCGAATTGCTTCGGTCAGAAAACTTCAGCCACGCAAAGCCATATCGAAACGCACCTTGATGTTGTCGAAGTCGGTTGAGTCCCTGAAGGCGTCATGGGTCCAGTAGAGCGTCCTCAGCCACTGGTGCAATTCCGGAAAGCCATCGCGAATCGTCTTGAGGCCGCATTTGAAGAGGGTAGCATAAGCGACATCGAATCTGATCAGACATGTGTACGTCTAGAGATAGAGAGATTGAGCACACAAGTCGTAGAGGTTGGCCAAGCGAGGGTTGGGGCAACTCACGGTAATATCAAGCTCTGTCAAACTCTGGCCCAATAGATAGGGCCCTTGGTGGCGCTTTTTGAGCTCCTCGAGCCTTTCCAGACCGTCGAAAAGTGGGCTAAGGGCTGCCTCGTATGCCTTTTGATCCGTTGCAAACCCCTAAAGTGCGGCTTTCCCTCCATCAGTCAAAGTTTGAGAGGAAGCAAACAGAGTCCGCCAGACAACTCACCGCCTTGTACACGCCCGAATAGACGTCCCGCTGGCTCGACTCATAGTTTTCGTCGATCAGCTTGAACAGTTCAGAAGGGTGAAGGTTCAACGAGGCCTTCTCGGGGCCCAGGAATTCGTTGAAGGCCGTCGAGAGTTGCCGCATAATCGAGATTGATTCATTGTTGACGACTTTTGATGTCTTGGAGTCCCACAGCATGGGAACCTGAGCTCGGTCTCTCGCTTTTCAGCTTTCCTCTGCAATCAAGTAAGGCAAAGAGGTAGATGGGACGCACAACATATGGACCATCTATGGATCCCTCCGACTTTTCATAGAGCGCCCGGAGATCTGGCGCGCCGTGCAGCGGCTCTGGCACGGTGCCCGGTATGCCAACCTCTGGACGATCTTCAAGGGGCTTTGGCGAAAATGTCCAGCTTTTGCGCTTGGGATCCATGACGCTGTTGACAACGACGATGGGCAGCACATCTTGCAGTCCTTTCAAGGAGCGCGCGATGGTTGTGCGCGTGGCGAACGGCTGAAGGAAGGTGGTGCCCTCATTGAGCTTGCCCGAAGAGCGAGGGACAAGGGAAACTTTCAAGACTCACACAGAACCAGCCGATGTAGAGGTAGTAGCGGCCCTTCTCTGGTGGGAAAGGTCCACCGGCCTTGATCTCATGTGTGATCGATGGCATCTTGACAAGATGTCTATAGTGGAGTGCCTGTAGGCAAGATAGCGCACCCCAGGTGGAGAAGGCTTCTCGCCGATTAGACTTATACCGTCTCCCGATCTAAAGCTCGCAGGTGCCTGCCTCTCCTTGAGAGGTCTCAAACGAATCATTTCTCTACGAGAAAGGATGTTTGACTAGCTGATGTTTAGGCCGCTGACACAGGGTGAAGAAGAGGTGAAAGATCTAGAAATGATGAACAGAGACTCTCAAGACACAAGCGTGCAAAGCTCAGATTGTGCACTTTTGGCCCCCGGTGTCTTCACAGTTCTAACAGTCACAGTGATATGTCAGCTCCCATTCTGCGGCTTCAACAAGACATGCATGGCTACTCACAACGTCCCATATCTTCGTCATCCTTTCGTTCCTCGTCTTGGACAGCGAATTGCGCTTCGGATCGTCCTTGTTGTCTTCGAAGTTGGAGTGGCAGTGCCATTCGTGATCGATCGATTTGCACTTCCAGAGCCCAAAGTCGCTCGTCTCTTGGTAGCTGTGACCCTTGCAGCATGACACTGGGGTTGCACGTTCAGTCTATACGTGAACAAGAAGGAATGAAGAACGCTGCTCACGCTTCTTTTTGCCGCCCTTGTCGGTCAGAAAAGATATTCTTCATGGAGGAAGCAGTGATCAGCAAACAATTCTCGGGCTGCATGCATATCGGTTCGTTGTTGGACTCACAGAAGATGATTCCTATCGATATCTTGACGACGCTTGAGTGGAAAGTTAATGCTGTCATCATACGTCTCCTTATAGTATTCTTCTGCATGCGCGAGCGGGGTCTATGTATCTCCAAGCGTCAATGAATGTCGCGCGGTCACTTCGTGAGCATTTACATACTGACAAAGGAAAAATGCCAGACCAGAACGACGATGATGCTGAAAAGAACGGTAAAACCTTTCGCCATGGTGGTCGCTTGCTCTCTCGTCTAGAGGAGGGTCGAAAGAGAGGGAATGAAGAGAGGCCCCGTTGCCAAGGCACCTGTCCTGACTTTTGGTTTCCCGGGAGTCTGAACAACTCCGCTCAGGGGCGCGGCAAGTGTTGCGACTGCGGCTCATCATCATCAAAGGGCGAAGCTGAACCAGGTGGCCCTGGCCTCCACGAAGGAAGTCCGCCGCCATTTCGGGGTGTGATGCGAGAGACCAGGATTCGTCATGACGAAATTTGTCTTGACGAACCTAAAATCATGCACAGGAAGATGTGGAGCGAGCCGACCGGTTAGTGCGTGGGGCGGTCCCAGCTTCTGCAACAAATCGAAGCGATCTGACGACGTTAACGACAACGACAACGACTTGTGAGCCCCATGGCGATCGGTAGACGTGCCCCAGCCTTTGCTTCGACTGCTGTCTTGCAGGTTCGAGCAGGCTCAGGCAGAGCCCTTTCGACCAGCGCTGCAGCCCAGCAGCGGACATACCGCGACACAATCCCCAACCTCGCCCTCGGTCCGTCTTCTCGCGTTCTCTTGCTCAATGCGACCGGTCGAGCCTCGACGCTGCATGCCAAGCTGTCACTCTCGCTCGGCACCAACATCGTCGGCGGCACCTCCTCCAAGTCGACACACCCCGATGCGGAGCTGGCTCAGAAGTTTCCCCTGTTTCCGGATGTCCGGACGGCCGTGCGAGAATTAGGCGGCGTGGACGCGGCTGCCGTGTTTGTGCCGCCGAGTGCTGCGGCCGATGCGGTGCTGGAATGCATCGAGGAGGAGATTCCCACCGTGGTAGCCGTCGCCGAAGGGATTCCGACGCGAGACCAGATGCGCGTCATGGCGGCCTTGCACTCCCAGTCCAAGTCGAGGTACCTCGGCGCAAACTCGCCGGGCTACACCAATCCAAGAGGTGCACGGTTGGGAATCGCACCCGTCGCTGCGGCCAGCCCGGGGTGTATCGGTGAGCTGAGCCCGTCCATCTCCGTGCATAGATTTCACGCTGCAACAGCTGACTCCGAAATCCTGGTTTTCAGGCATCGCCGCTCGATCGGGTACGCTGTCGTACGAGGCCATGGGGGCCACAAAGGATCTCGGCCTTGGACAGAGCTACTGTCTCGGTCTGGGCGGTGATGCCTACCCTGGAACGCGCACGGATGGTGGGTCTCAAACTTCTTCCATCTCCCCTCACAACTCATGGCTAATTTGGTCCGAAACATTTGATTGAAACAGAGGCTCTAGAATTTCTGCTAAACGATCCCACGACTAAGGGCATCATCATTGTTGGCGAGGTGGGAGGCACGATGGAGGAGGACGTGTCCGACTATCTCGACTCTCTCCCTTCACCACCGTCCAAACCCATCGTGGGCTTCATTGCAGGCCTCGGCGTTCCCGAAGGGAGATCCTACGGCCATTCTGGTGCAATCTACCACGATGGTTCCGCCCACTCTGCCTTGCAGAAGCGCAAAAGGTGGATGGCGTCAGGCGTGCGTGTCACGGGCACCATTGGCGAGACGGCCATGGCGATCAAAGAAGAGATGGATCGACTAGGGATCGAGTATCCCTAGTGTTACAGCCTGTAGAGGAGCTTGTACTCTGGAATCGCACCTTTGCAACGAGCCTCATCATCTTGCTCAGGCAGCGACATCAGTGTGAAGCCAGCCTTTTGAAGCACGCGCACTGATGCCTCGTTGCCCTTATACGCGCTCGATTTGACCTCGAGCAGTCTTCTCCCTTCTTGGTTCTCAGCTCTCGAAACGGTGATACGCTGGAGAAGCGAGAGCAGCGACCGGACGGCATGTGTCATGACCCCTTTTGACCAGTGTGCTGGGTCGAGGAGGTATCCTAGATCATCTCTAACCTTGAGTACACTTTCGTATCATTGCTGGCTTAGAAGAAGCGATGGCTAGAACTTACCAACTTGCCATGTTGTCGAGCCATCTGGGACGTAAAACTTGACATCGCCGATCCACGTTGCACAGCCAGAGGAGATGGATCGGTGTCGGATCGCATGGACCGGCAGGGTTGTAAGCCCATCGCGAATGGCGGATCGAGCGAGGTGAGCGAGACTGGCCCTCGCCTGTTCTCTTTGGATTGGGACCCACTTTGCGGCGTGCTCGGGTGTGTACCTTTTGATGTATCATATTCAGCCTCCATGTGGGGACCGAGAGAGAGAGTGAAGGAGGGCATGGAACCCACGGGTGAGGGACGTTGGCAAGCTTGGGGTAGACACGGCCGTCATTGAGTACCTCTAGCTGTCACGAATTGGATCAGTCATGACTTAGTTAAGAGGCAGACAAGAGAGGCAGCTCACCATTCGGGGAGCGTCCTCTTTTCTGAGTGGTGTCTGCAAGAAAAAGGTTTGTATGTGATATCAGCTTCGGTCGTTCAAGAAGGGGCATGCAAGACGACTGACGAGGATGTATTCGTCAAGCGGCGCAGCAAGTTGAAGAAACGGCTCACAAAGCGCGTCATCCCAGGACAGGCCCAAATCGAGTACCGCTTGCTTCAGCACCGGGGGACCTGCGTCGCCTACAGCCGACTCAACGAGCGTCGACATTGGAGGGAAAGGAAGTCTCTTATGGTCAGAGAAGAGAAGGCGGTGAAGTGAGTAGGAAGACCTAAATGGAGGACATGACTCCAATTTAAGGTTAGCGGTTCTCTCGCACAGATCGTGCGCGCTAGGTATGACTCTCTCTCTTACCCTAGCTTGCTTCACTTTCTTCGCGAAAACCGAGGCCATGTCGAATGAAGATGCTCGGACGCCAGCTCCTGTGCAGACCATACCGCGCTGGAGAGAGCTTGTAAATGCGCAGGTTGATGCTTGTCTAGCCCGCAGTGGGCCCGACGACGACGCGCTCTTCTACTCGCTGGCCACCGTCACTCCCGCTGGTGCGCCCTCGGTTCGGACAGTGGGCCATCGAGGATTCGTCAACGAGCGCATCATCGAGGCGCAGGGCGGCCTGCTTCCGTCCAAGCATTCTTCGGCTGCTGGAACACCAAGCAAGGCGAGGCGAGAGCGCGTCGACGGCGACTTTGGCACAACGGACGCGGTATGGATCACAACAGACGTGAGGTCGGAAAAGGCAAAGGCGCTCCTGTCAGACGATTCTGGTGCGGCGAGCAGGCGAGGCGCCCTTGTCTGGTGGTTCAAGGACGCTGGAGTACAGGTGAGGACCTAGTCGCCAGAGGGGCAATGCGAAGAGGGGCAAGTGAGAGGCTGACGGGCGCTTGTGAGTGACAAGGTGCGAGTGTCCGGCTCGCTCCATCTCATATCGCACGCTTCGCCCCGTCATCGACTAGGACCAGTGGAGCCTGGCTCGAGAGAAGCGGAGGCAAACTTCGACTGGCAAGCGTTTCGCAGACGAGCTTGGACCGACCTCCAAGATGACCTTGTCGATGCTTTGAAGAGACCCGCACCAGGGTCCGTCCATCCGAACGCTGCACGGCTCGAGGAAGATCGAGGGAGGTGGCCCGGCGACAATGGTGAGGGAGACGAGGGTCTCGACCTGTCCAAGTCTCCTGATCCCGGCTCACGAACTGAGGAGGCATTCGAGAAGTGAGTTGGCTTGATTTCGAATCGTCTTTCAGATGAAGTCAAGTCTGAACAGATATTCGTCGGCAGTTTCGCACTGCTTGTGTTGCAGCCGGATGAGGTGGACATATGGGAGCGAGCACACGATCGCAGGAGCTCTTGTCGAAGGGATCAAGTAGGATCGTGGACGGAACATAGAATCGTACCCTGATCCTGTCCTTCGACATAGCAAAGCCCTTCCTTTCAACCACTCGAGATCCTCTAGATGAGAGACATTCATTACATGTAAACGGTGAAAAGCGAACAAGTGCCAGCATCAGGGCAGGAGGGATGACGGTCTTGCGCTACTCTGTTTTCTCTCTCGGCCTCGCATCACGGAGAAGGCGCCTCGAGATCAGCGGGAGCCCGATCGTCAAGACTAAGATGAGGGCAGGTGCAAGAATGGCGAGCAAGCTCCAGGCTGTCCGTGGTACAGCGCCCACGTCCAAAGGCTCAATGACGATGTGAAATGGCATCGGCGAAAGCTTGCCGCCCTCTTCTTCGGATGAAGCCATGAATAAGCCTTCCTGTGCGATAGGCAAAGGAAGCTGGTCGATGTTCTGAAGCGGTCCCATCAGTGCCTCTGCGAGCCTCGCGATGATAGTAGAGAACGTGGAAGTGGATCGTGCAGCGGACGGCGGGCGGGGGATGGGGACGCCATCAAAGGTGGAATAGACATGAACGTAGAGCCTCGGGCACGGCCAAAAGGGTGTATCGGCATCCCTCTCGAGCCACTCGGGGTCCTGGTGGCTCTCTGCCAGTGTTTCCTCCGCCTCTTCTTGGCTCTCCGTCGCCTCCAAAGGAGCCGGTGCTGCTCCCGTGTTGCTAGTCGAGGTCGTATTGGCCGCTGTCGTTGCATTGTTGCTCTTCCCCTTGGCGGCCCATTTGATGTTGCCCGACTCAAGCATGGTGCGCGGCGAATGGACATCGAGGTGAATCGAGTTGGGAAACTGGGGATTACGACACGGGTCAGTCTCGTGGCTCTCAAATTTGCTCTTCGCTCGACGGCACCCACATTAGCAGCCCAGCTCGCCCTGAGGGTATATCGACGAGTCAACCACCACTCTGTATGGTTCCAAAGCCCTGCCACAAAGCGATCCCTGGGCGGGATGTCGCTGTCGTGACCACGGGAGAGAAGGGGAAAGGCCTCGGTGGCTAAGTCCACCGCAGCAACACGGCTCTCCTGCGTCTGTGCCGCGGTGGTGGTGCTGGTAAACTCGGATGGCGTCACAACCTCGTCTAGTGCTGGATCAGCAAGCTGCAATGTGAACCAGGCTCCCCGATACGAGTCGACGTGCTCGCCATCTGCCTTCGTCTTCACTCGACTGGGCGTGATGGTGAACAGCCGAGGGTTCGATGAAGGACGTAGGACGGGCCAATCGCCGCTCACGTCTCGCGCTGCTTTTCCCTCCAGATGGCCGCTTTCGTCAGCTCGACACATGACGGGCCCAAAATTGACTATCTCCGTATTGGCCTGGACGGACGTGATCATGGCCAGGCTGAGTATGCAGAGCGCCGAGAGGGTAGCCAGGGAGGCTCGAGGGAGAAGTCTTGCCAGCGCACCTCGCTGCAGATTGAGGAAAGGGGAGGAAAGGAGCAAGCGTCAATAAACGGTAGATGTGACATTAGAATGAGTTGAGAGATGTATAGGAGAAAAGTACAAAGCGGCAAAAGAAGAGAAAGAGGAGGGAGGAGCTCCAACGAAATCAAGGTCTCCTGGCCCCGCTGCTGCTCCTCACCTTCTTTGTCTTTGAGCTAGGGACGCCACCCTGCTTTTTCTTGCTGCCGCCCATCTTGAGTTTGACCTTGCCCGAGGTGCCCACGTCCTCCTCAATCTTTTTGTTGAGTTTCCTCTCCTCGACCTTTTTGCGCTTCTTCTCCATTCGCTTTGCCGCTCGGTCTGCATCGGCTCTCTTTTCTGCCTTCTTCGCCATGAAAGCGGCGTCCGTCCTCTTTGGGGGTGGGTTGGCCACCTCGATCTTCTTCTCTTCCGTGCTGTCGCTATTGGACCTGGGAGATGGCTTTGAGAGGGGCGTGCCCTTGGACAAGGAGCCCTTGTTGCGCAGCGGTGTCTCGTTCGGAGCCCTGGCGTTGGAATTCTGTCGAGACATCGACGAAGGGCTGGTGCCACCGGGTGTGGGCGCACCAGCACTCCTCTGCCGAGAATGGCTGCCTCCTGTTGCCGCTGCATGCCGCTTGTTGGGTGTCGATGCCTGCGAATTGGTGGCGGCCTTGCATCGCGACAACCTCAGCGGCTTTCCCTTGAACTTGAGCCTTCTCTTGAAGTTTCCGTTGTTGATCTCGAGCTTGCTGGTGCCGAGCTTCGACGTCGTCTTTCCCATCTTGCTCGCCTCCAAAAATGCAGTTTCAGCCTCGGAGATGGCCATCAGCTCATCGACGCTCGTCGAATCAGTAAAGCGAACATAGGCGATTCCTTTGCCCATCTGGGTGGCAGAGTCGCGGATCAGACGGACACTCTCGACCCAGTAAGGCTCGGCCTTTGTCGAGCTTGGCCGTGCAGCCTGTTCTTCCCTCGCTTCTCGCTCCTCGTCCTCGTCGCCATCTCCCTTCCCGTCGTCATCTTCTTCTTCCGCTGACTCCTCCCCGCCCGATGCAGATTCTGCTTCGGATTCCGACGCGGACTGTGACTCGGCGTCGGACGCGGTTGCAGGCTTCTGCTCACTTTCTGGCTTTGGCAAGGTTCTGCAGGCCGAGAAGTCGAGTGCCTTGACCTCTGGTGGCATTCCCCGTTCCCTCCTGACTAGAGCCTCAAAGAACTCCCGGACTTCCTCCTCTTTTGCCTCAAAGTCGACGTTTCCCACGAAGATTGTCCTCCTCCTCATATTGATGTCCATCGCGGCAGCATTGGTGCCCATGCTCTGGCCCAGCAGCGATCCATTGGGCGTCCTAACCTGGTCGAGCCCAGCCGACAGTATGGCAGACGTCTCCAAAGACCGCACCAGGTCGCAACGGATGTGTCTTCCCCGGAACAGGGTGTTGTTCGACGTAAACGCCAAGAGCGCCGCCAACGTCTTGTCCGTCAACTTGCTGACATCGGCATTGTACCTCTGCGCATAAGCATCGAGACGCCTCTGACCCGCAAGGTCGATGGTGACGTAGGCATTGAGCGCGTCGGCCTTTTCGTTGACCTCACCCTGGATATAGGCCACTTTTCGCTTCTGCTTTGCATTGAGGAAGACTTTGCCCTTCGACCCAGCCTCTTGATCCTTGACCGTGCCTCCTTCAGTTTCCTTCCAGGCTCGTGCGCGGTCCCGCCGCTTCTGGCCTCGTTCTGCGCTCTCAGGGTCGTCGGCCTGATAGTCGTCCGTCGGCTTGGAAAAGGGAATCGAGCGAAGCCGAACAGCCTTGACGATGGTGATGAAGGGATAAGGCGAGCAGGCGACAAGGTGCCTCTTGAGTGCCTTCATGTCCCCCTTGGACGTCGCTAGCGAGAGGGGCAAGTTTCCGACAAAGAGGGAGTGGGAATCCTGCTCCAGGCGTGACTCTAGTGTCGGTTTGGCAGGCTTCTTCTTGGGCTCCTTTGCAGGGCTCTTTGCGTTCTTCTTGAGCAGCGTCTCGTGCACGGGCGGCGGCCCATCTGCATCGCTGTCGTCTTCTGAGTCTTGCACCACCTCTTGCCCCACTCCTGCTTCGTTTACAACAACGTTGGCGGATTCCTCTTCCTCGTCTACGTCTTCCATGGGTGTGACCGCGGCTTCGGCAGCCTCCTCCTCGACGCTCGACTTGTTTCGTGAGGACGAAGCAGCGGGCGCTGCAGGCTCCGGCTGCCGCGCGGCCGAGCTGAAGAGCGCATCAAGCTCCGCGTCAAAGCTCAGAGGTGCCGCCGACGCCGACGCCACCTTGCTTGCCTTTCTGCTGCTTCCCTCCTCGTCCTCTCCAGCCCGCGACTTTCTCTTGTCCTTCTTGGCCATCGCTTGCGGTCGTTGTCCTGCAGGAAAGCGCTGCTACAAGTTGGTCCTTGCTCTCTGAAATTTTTTCCTTGTCCTCGAGAAGCAATTTTTTGGAGCAGCTCTAAAATCTGGACATCCACGTGGTGTATCAGGACGCACTCCACCTGTTAAAGGTTGGCCTGGCTTGGCTTTTGCTCGCCCAGCCATCTCCAGGACTCATCCACTCAGCAAGACACCAGCGGAGCGGAACACACCATGCAGACGGTCTCAAAGTTCATATTTGGGCCTACCCAAGAGGGTGAGTGACTGTTCTTGCCTGCTTCTTGCTCCCCTTCCAAGCTGCTTCACAGACTGACGCGGTACGAAAACACGCGCACACACAGAGCGGGTCAAGGCGGTGCAGTCCAAGCTTCGATCTGAGCAACGAGCATTGGATCGCGAGATGCGGAGCATCGACGGCGCCGCCGCCAAGGCCAAATCAGAGGTCAAGCGGCTGGCAAAGAAGGGCGATGTCAAGAATGCAAGGATCCTCGCGCGAGAAGTGGTGCGGTCCAACAAGCAAAAGAACCGCTTGGCGCTGAGCAAGGCGCGCTTGAACAGCATCCACATGCAGCTGCAGCATCAAATGGGTGAGAGTCCGATTCGGACTTTTGGGATACACAACAAGAGAAGGCTGGAACTGACACACTACGGACTGTGTCGGGACAAAAGCAATGTACAAGGTGACGGGGAGCATGCAAAAGTCGACTGAGATCATGAAGCTGTCAAATCAGCTCGTCAAGCTGCCCCAGGTTAGCAAGGTCATGCGCGAGATGAGCCAGGAGATGATGAAGGCCGGCATCATGGAGGAGCTCCTGGACGATACGCTCGATTCTGGCGTGCTGGGCGAAGACGACGAAGAGCTAGAGACTGAAGCTGAAGGAGAGGTCGACAAGGTCCTCTTCCAGCTCACAGATGGGAAACTGGGGCAGGCCCAAGACGCAGATGCACTGCCAGAACTCAAGGGGCCAGAGCCAGTTGTCGCCGAGCAGGAAGACAGTACAAAGGAGCAGGAGGACATGCAGAGGATGCAGGACGCCCTCGATGGCCTCCTTCGGGGTTAATACGCTTGCCGTGATCTCTTGTACAGTACTCCAACATATTCCCAACTTCAGATACAGGCAGACTCAATTGCAAAGGACATTGTCGTCATCAACGTCAGGGTAATCGTGTTTACGAACGGAAAATACAGACTGGTAATTGAATAGGAACCCTACTTCAGACCGGCTCATAGGCTCCCCGCCCTGACCCTTGGCCTGAGACGGTGCGGTAGACATGTCTGCCCATGTCTTGTGCGATGTACGGTGCCTCTCTCCAAAAGTCTTTGTTTGGCAGCTCGATGACGCCGTATTCGTTCTGTCGTACAGCTCGTCAGCACCTACTATCCAGTGTATCTCCCGCAGACACTCACATAATTCCGCCAGAGCCCAATGGCAAGGTATGCTGCACCTCCAACGAAGACGCTGTGTGCATGCCGGCGCAAGGTCAATTAAATGATCGCAGAACGAAACCAGTGTCCGACCTGCTCACAGGAAAAAGAACCAGGAGAAGAAGGAAGACAAGACTCCACCACCTGAAGAGCTTCCAGACCCGTCTCCTCCCCTACCCGTATTCCCGCCAGAAGCGCCTTTTCGGCCTCCCATGCTCACGGCGCATGCATGCGGTGTCGCCCAGGTGATTTTGAGCAGCCCGTCCTCTCTGTCATACTTGTCAAACTCTGGCTTTGCGTCCTAGAGGCCGAAAGAGCGGTCAGGTCTCTGCAGTAAAAAGGCAACAGGGCAGCATCACGTACCGGTGCCTTTGTACGGTCACACAAAAGCTGAACCTGCGTCCTCTGCCTCTTTTCGCCATACATCAGTCCTTTCATATCGAGCGACAACGCCTCTGTGTCGATGATCGCCAGGCTTATGGTCAGCGCTTCTTGATGAACGTCTGGTGGCATACACCCTACTCACTCTCACTGCCCTCAAGCGACCGGCCGAGATCGGTGCTCCACTTGAATGCATCCGCATCGTCGCCTTCGGCCGCGGCGGTAGAGATGACCTGCGTGACTCTGTCCGGCTGACCCTTTTTCTCATTGATGACCTTCATGCACACCCTTGCTCCCTTGGGACACTGCTCGTCGTCTGGTACCGCCTCATGGGGCAGGAGGTCACACAGATTCATACTGATCTGCGTCGTCGTCATTGTCGGTGGGGTGTCCTCACTCGACTTGATGTCTACAGGAAAGGGGAGCTTCGACAGGTCGCTAGCCACCGAAGAAAGCTTAGTCAGCCCACCAGTCCGTTCCTGTGCCACCGCAAAGGGCACAATCTTGCTCACAAGGTGTAATGTCCAGCTTGGACGTTCTTGCAATCCGCATTGACCTGCGCCATGCTCAAGTTCCCATCATCGGCACCGCGCCCGGCGCTCGCCGCAAACACCACGAAGCTGGCCGCCAGCAACCCTGATCTCTGGAACCGTCTCATCGCCTATGGCTCGTTATCGCTGGTGGCTAGTCCGATCGACCGATTGAATGACCGGTGCGTCTGTGATATCGATAGGGTCCCCTACTGGACTGGACTGGGGTCTCCCATCGATCTCTCCACGTGATTTTCGCACAACAGTTGGTCGGCCCAATTTGTGGAGCTACGTTTGCCTAAGCTCACTTTCTTCGCTCCTTTGACGACCCTTTAACCCGCGAGAATCGACAAGGAAACAATGGCGAGCACAGTCAAGTTTCCCGATGTAGAGGAGCGGACGTTGCTGAATGCCGAAGGATCAACGATCGAGTCAGGCCGCAGCAAATTCTTTCGAAAGATGAGGGAGCAGCCCCTCGTGCCCATCGGTCAGTACTGATCTCTCCTTGTCCTCTTGTTGTTTCAGTCAGGTGGATCGGACCCTAGACGAGAGCTGACCGAGAAATGAATCACGCAGGGTCATTGGCGACGTGCGGAGCCCTGGTGGCCGCATCTTACTACCTCCGAGCGGGGGACCGCAACCAATTTCAGCGCGCACTGCGATGGCGTGTAGGCCTGCAGGGTCTCACCGTCGTCGCCGCCTGCGCAGGGACATTCTACTATGGGAGCGGCGCCGCGGCGGCCCCACCAACAGCACCAGAAGGAGGGGCAGGAGCAAAGAAGGTGACTTCATTGCAGCAGCAAGCGAGTGCTGCGATTGCTACGGTGCCCGGCAGGCCGGCTACGAATCACCAAGCGTCAAGGGCCGAGGAGAGGAGAAGAGAGGAGAGACAGCAGCTCGCAGAGCGGCTCAGGGAGGCCGAGAGCAAGCAGGAGGCCGCAGAGAAAAGAAGGGCTGAGGAGGCGCTGCTCAGACCAGCTGGGTCAGAGTCGGGCGCGAGGACGAGGCCGATCATTGGGAGAGACGGACGCGATAGATCCGCGCCAGCCGCCTCGGTCTGATAACTGTACCTAGGTAGAAAGCACATCACACCACTACTCCAGCATTAATCTCATCAAAGCAAGCAAAGAGAGAGGAAAAACGAGAACCCAATGCTACACAGACCACAGCGCTACAGCATCTTCCTGGAACATACCCGGTGGATTTTTGTCATGGGTCGCGAGAGGAAAAAAGGCACACAAATTTTACTTTCCCTGGGCGGCGCCCTTCTTGAGATCCCCGTCCTTTTCGATGCTGCCAGGCTGCTTCCGCTGCAGCGCCATCTGCTTCTTCTTCGTGATGCTGCGTGCAAAGAGACGTGAGATGCTCTCCCTGCGCTCTCACAAGGAATGAGTCATGCAGGTACTCACGTGTTGAAGATGGTCGAGAGGATGAAGCGGACAAATGCAAAGTAGGGCTCTGAAGAGAAAGGGAGGATACATCAGTGAGCGAGCAAATTGTCGAGACGCTGTGCACGGAGGGAAGACAACCTACCCCAAAGCTGAGGAGGGAGGAACTTCTGGGCGACACCGATCGAGATGGGCGACGTGACCCAGGTGACACGCATCAGGAACCAGAAGCTGGCCTTGACGGCCGCTGCGATGCGATCGTAGGACCGGGCGCCGTTGATGTAGGCCATCGAGATGAGGTAGACGAGGTTGCCGACGACGGACACAGTCAGGTTCGACGTGATAATCTGCTGGATCCGGTCCTTGGGCGTCGTCTTGCCCGCAAATGCCCTCTGGAGGATGCCTGAGAGTCTTTCCTTGATCAGCAAGGTCGAAATAGAACGGAATCATAGAAGGGCTACCCACCCGTCATGACGTGGCCCAAGGGAGCACTGATGGCGAACCCATAGACGAACATCTTGAGAGCCCTCTCGTTGATGCCGACGGCCTCAAAGGCCGACAGGAACGCCTGGACAGGGTCGCCCTGCTGTCTCCTCTTTTCCTCGGGAGTCAGCTTCTTGCTGGCGGGCGCAACGCCTGCGAACTTGCCCGCGAGGACCTCGGCGAGGGCGGCGAGGACGCCGCTGGTCAGCATCTTGGTCCGCAGCGGGTTCGTCGACAGCGCCGAGATGTAGTTTGACAGGAGTTGCTGGCCGACGCTGGACATGGTGATGCAGTTGTCAGAGGGGAGAAGGAAGAGAAGATTGATGTGTACAGCAGGAAATCCGTTGCGAGAAGTGAAAAGGGAAGAGAGAGACGCGGCACAACCACTGGAGGGTCTTCGACGACGCTGTGGGGGTAGACTGACCGACTACTGGAATTTGGCTTATCCGTGCGAGCAATTAGAATTAAAGATGCATTCTCGGCCGTCTTTTCCTGTTCGGCCCACGAGGAGCCGGTGGTCGTGGCATAGCTTGTCAGGCCTGGCTGGGTCAGTCCGGTGGACCAGGAAAGAGGGGCATGGACCGTCTATATGGCTGCTGTAGGCGCACTCCCAGCGACAGCCCATTCCCTCATCATGTGCCTCCTTTGGCCGCTGGCCGCTACTCTGGAAATTTCATTCTGGGCACCCTCAACCGACGATCTTTTCCTTTTTTTCTTCATTCACACAGGCCCGCGATGGAGATATGAGCACGAAGTCGTCGATCTAGACGGAGAAGATACGTAAAGTGGTAGAGCAACAGCCTTTGGCAGCTTGCAGCCATCGAAACGTGCGCGATGATCGGTATCGGTAAAGTGGACCAGCGATTGTCAAAAAAAGGCCCGCACAGGCCACGTGAAATGGGCTGGCCAAAGTGATGGCGCGAGTTGAACCCACTCCCCCCTCTCTTCTCTCGTGCATTTCTTCGCATCCTGCTCTTCTCGTGTCTCGGAGGAAAGTACCAGCTGAAGAAGTGTCCCCATGCCGCGACTGGACACAGGCCCACAAGGGTCGAGCGGTGGCGGTGCTCCGACAGTGACGTCTTCGCTCAAGTCACTGCTCTCGCTCCACCCCGAGCGACCGCGCCGCGAGACCCTCAAGGCCCTCCTCCTTCGCTCCGTTCGTCTTCGCGTCGCTCCTTTTGGCGCTGCAGGGAGACGGCAGCGGCGATCGGGTGCAGGAGGAGGCCCCAGAGATGACGGCCAAGAAGACCTCGAGGAGCGTCTGGATGGCGTGCGACGGGGCCAACTGCCACTGCGAGTCCGGCCAGCATTTATTGTTCTCAATGTCATCTGCCTCCTTGGCCTGGCCTTCCTGGGGTGAGCAAGCGAGCGGTGCATTCCATTAGAGATCTCTAGCTGACTCGCGAGGCAACAGCTTCCACCCGAGAGGGCAAGACTACGTACCCATCAACGACAAGCTGCTCCATTTCATCTGCTTCCTCTTGGCCACGGGGCTCTTCTACTTCATTTGGGACGTCGACGAGGTGAGCCTCTCTCTGTTCTTCCGCCTAGCCCCCTTACCAAACTCTGACACTGGTGCATGCAGCCGGCCAGAAGAGTGTGGATCTGGCGCCACATGGCGCTCCTGCTGACGTGGATCGTCTGCTTCGCTGCCGGAGGCCTGGGCTCCGAGATTGTCCAGTCGCTTCTGCCTTACAAGACTTTCCAGTGGCTCGACGTCCTGGCCAACTTTGCAGGGTCCGCCCTTGGGCTCTTCTTCAGCTACCATGCTGAGAAGCGGTACCGGACCCGACGCGAAATCGAGAGGCTCTACGAGCCGCTGGACCAGGAGGTATACGGCGATGACGAGGACGATGGAGAGGACGACGATGGCCTCGGTCGTGGAAGTGGCGCCTTCAGAGATGCAGGCGATGGCGAGCGCGATCCCTGGTCTGCGGCCGACGAGGCTGGCTTCGGTGCGATTGGAGGCAGGGCAAGCGGCAAGAAGAAGGGAGGACCAGACGAGCGACGGGTCAGATTCGGCGAGGACCAGGTCTGGGAGAGCAGTGAACAAACCAGCAGCAGCCAGGAGCAGGGACAGTGGGAAGGCACTCCGTCTGCGTCGTCAGGAGAAGAGGCGGCAAAGGTGCACAAGCAGGATCTCTTTTCCATCGATGACGATGATGATGACGACGGTGGCGGGGATGTCTGGAAGGATGCCAAGTAGAGCCCAGTCTAATCTCAAGGATCATCACTCTGGGCGCAGGAATGTAAATGATGTCTTTCACGCTGTGACTGTGTGCGTGTGTACATCGCAGTTGCCGACTATGGTACAGGTGTTGGGACCGCCTCTTGTATGCGCGCGAGCCTAGCCAAAGATCTCGGGCACCTTTTGCTGGATCTCGACGAGCTTCTGGACCATGTCGAGATCTGCACAGTTTATGTATTGTTGGATAGTCAGCCACAGACGAGTGCGAGAAGGGAGACTGACTGACCCAAGTTGTTGCCCAAGTCGATGCAGGTAAATTCGGTGATGTACTCGCCATCAGCAGACACCCTCCCAATCACCTCTACGTAGCCCGAGCCGCTGAGGTTGGTGTCCTGGCTCATGCGCACCTCGACGTGGCCTGAGTCCGACGTCTGGAGCACAAAGTCCCTGCCCGAGACCTTTCGATTCGGAAAGTCGTGATGAGTCAAGAGGAATACCACAATTGGAGGGGCCCAGCAAGGCCAGCACTCACCTTCTGAAGTTTTCCTACGACGCGCACTGTCTGGCCCGTGTGGCTCGACATCATGTCGGAATTGATGAGCGGAGTAGCGGGTGTCTGGTCAGTCATGGTGCTGTGTCTCTGCTTCGCGTTGCGCGAGGAAAGCGTCGAAAGAAAGAAGGCGTCAAAGGAGATCCTGCACTGCTGAGCACACGTCGACGAGAAGAGGATGAAGCGCGAAAGATGAATGTGTTGCGTTTCCTCACTTTCTCCAGACGCGTCGTTCTTCCTCGTCATTTATTTCCACGGGCCTCGCTCGTCCCTTCGCTGGTGAGTGTTCCTCAGAGCATTGCTGGTTCGCCCGTGGTGTCCAGCTGTACATATGACGGAATTCTCGGATTCTCAGTGTTCAATAGTTTGGCGATCCGGGCAGCCATCTGAGCCATGTTGATCTCTCTCCTTTCCCATAATATCAGCTAGTGAGAGCTGCCAGAAGAAGAGTTGCCAAGCCAACAAGCCACGCGAGCGGACCTAGCAGTCGAGCAGCTCTCTCAATAAATAGCGAACCTCCATCTGGACGAGGGGGAAAAAGGCAGTGCGCTCGGAGCGCCAGTTTCGCGATCGCTCCCCCTCTTTGTCTCTTCCAGAAGTGCTTCAGCAGCATCGACCGCCAAGCGCTAGCGCATTGCAAGAGGACATCGGCCAGCTTCTTCGTTCGTCTGCCTCCTCTTGCTCCCACTTTGACTCTGGTCTTTCGTCTCGCTGGAAGAGATAGGAGACAGGGGGCTATCGCGACAGCGCGCGGAAGGAGGGGTACCGATGCATCATCCTTCAATGGCACCTATCGGAGGAGCCGGCGGTGGAGTGGTTTCGCCCCCACCTTCCCTTGCTGCAGCGCCCGGAGCAGCGATGCAGAGGCAGCAGTATGCGCAACCACAAGCACCCCCGAGGGGGTTAGCGCAGCCTCAGCCTCCAGCGCCGGCCCCGCAGCAGGCCTATCAGGGCACTCTCCCGCCTGGAACGAGGGTCCACGTTGGCGCGATCACGGTCACTGTCAAACGCTACCTGAGCCAGGGTGAGCAGTCGCCGTATGAGGGCGAGATGATCATTACATGCTGATAAAGTCTTTTCCCCTTGCTCTTCAGGCGGCTTTGCTCACGTATACCTCGTGACGACGGAGCAGCCGATTCCCATGCCCGTTTCGTCCACTTCGGCTCCCTCATCGACCTCGTCGAGTACCAGGGGTGAGACTACGCACGTTCTCAAGCGCATGGCTGTGCCGGACAAGGAGACGCTGGCACTCGTCCGCAGCGAGGTTGAGATTCATGTGCGTCGGACTTGTCTTCGTGTCACTAGCATTGAATGCTGACGCTCTGTCTCCAGCGCTCGCTACGTAATCATCCCAACATCATCTCATTCATCGAGGCTTCGGCGACCAATCTGCAGGGCAGCGGGTATGAGGTCTTCATCCTTATGGAGTTTGCCGCTGGTGGGGGCATCATCGACCTTATGAATGCACGGCTGCGGACGAGGCTGTCGGAACGAGAGGTTCTCAAGATCTTTGGCGACGTGGCCAGCGGTCTCAGTGTCATGCACCACATGGATCCTCCCTTGATGCATCGCGATCTCAAGGTCGAAAACATCCTCCTGGCACCTCCACCAAAGGAGAATCCGGCGGCGGGGCCGACGTACAAGCTGTGCGACTTTGGCAGCTCCACCCCCATTCTCTCGAGACGCGCCCCACGGTCTCTGGAAGAGGTCAAGCGACTGGAGGCCGACCTCAACAGGCACACGACGCTTCAGTACCGCGCCCCGGAGATGGTCGACGTCTACCAGAGACGGGTCATTGACGAAAAGGCAGACATCTGGGCCATGGGCGTGCTTCTATACAAGCTTTGCTACTACACGACGCCGTTTGAGGAGAATGGCGGTGGGCCTCTCGCCATCCTCAATGTCCAATATCGCTTTCCACCCATGCCCCCCTATTCGCAAAAGCTCAAGAATCTCATTGGTGAGCGGGCTTTTTTTCGGCAGAGAGAGCGAGCCCTTGACGATCTGACCACACTTGCGCGCCCCCATACAGCCTCGATGCTTCAAGAGCAATCTTCGGCAAGACCGACGATTGACCAGCTCATCATTTCAGTCCACCAGATTCTCGGCACCAAGCCTCCAGCCTCGGCAGTGCACTATGCTCAGCTGGCAACAAGCGGCAAGCAGATGCAAGCGTTGCCATCGGTCGTCTCGTCATCGAGCCACTTGACTGGATCGGCAGCGGCTGATGCTGCCGCACTGGCAATGGCGCAACAGAGGCAGCAAGCCGACCGAGCAGGTGCTGACGGCGTCGACAAGGACCTCATTGCCAAAGGCCCTTCGGCAGCCGAGAGAAAGAGAGCAGAGGAGGAGGAGCTCAGGAAGAGGAGCGAAGGCATCACGCCGATGAGGAGAGGAAGACCGACGCGGGCGAACCAAACGGCGTCGTCCACAACTGCTTCGACTAGTACCCCTTTCTCAGCTGCCACTGGGAGCCATTCTGCGGGCCAGACGAGATCCAACAAAGAAAACGCCACGCCAGGGAGCGCCGAGATGGGCTTCTCGGATTCCTTTGCCCCGGCGCCTGCCACAAAGGCGGCCTCGCCCCCACCTTCGAAGCTTGCTCTCTCATCGGCACCTGGGCCACCATCGAGACCTTCATCGTCGACGTCCGACGTGAGGCAACGAGAAACACCCTTGAACCACTCGCCCGCGCTACCAGGCTTTCGGACCCCGTCGCACGATGCTGCCCGAATATCGCCCTTGCCTACTGCTTCAGCGGCACCATTGGTGTCGAAAGGTCAAGATGACGAAGCATCTTCGCGATTTCCCAGTGTGGAGGAGCTCGATGCCAGGTATGCGTCGCCACCTCCCAAGTCGTCGGTGCCACCAACGAGACGTTGGAAGGAAGAAGAAAACGAGCGAGATCAGCGGACATCACAGGCTATCCCTAGGTCGAAGACGACATCTAACGTCACCATCCCTGGCCTATCGAACCGACAGAGCCTCTCTGCCATCGCTGGCAAGTTTGGTGGGACCATCGGATCGCCAGTCACCTCCCCACCGACATCTTCAGCAACGGCCATTCCTTCAGCAAACCACCAGGCGTCATTTGACAAGCCGAGCGGATCGGTCATGAAGCGCTGGAATCACGAGTCGTCAGCCTCCATTGCCACTGCACCCAGCACCTCTGATAGACGCTCTTCCTACCTCTCGGCCACCAGCACCTCTTCATCGAAGAAGCTTCCACCGGCACCAGAGATGGAAAGGCGGGCGCCTGCGCTCCCGCAACGACAGCCAAAGCCTAAAGATTGGCTTACTGGCGACGAAAGCGTGGAAGACAAGCCGAAAGGTGACCATGACACTTACAAAAGCCCTGCCCGCTATGGTAGCCAATCTGTTGGAGTTGAGAAGGTGCAGGATCTTCGTGACGCGAGTGAGTCAAGTGGCGACGAAGAGGAAGGGCCAGAGGACCTCGACAAGCCTGCGGCTCGGGAGAGGGTGACGCCGACGCATGTTGCGGGAAACATCGTTTCACAACGACTCCAAGCGCGCAAGGACAGCGCACCAACGCTTCCTGCGCCATCGAAGAAGCCGACGCTGCCGCCAGGCAAGATCAGGCCTCCCGCTTGGATCGAGGCGGAGCCAAGGAGCAGCGCAGTACCCAAGGAAGAGACGGAGGAGAGAGAGAAGATGACGAGTGATGCAGAGATGGACAAGATGGCCCAGGAAGCTGAGAAGGCTCTCGAGAAGTTCATTGGAGCGGGTGCAAGCACCGACGATGGACCATCGCCCGTCTCAGGTGATGTGACGACGGCCAAAGTCAGCGCACCGGCTCCTTCATGGGACGAAGACGATGAGGAGATGCAATTCATTGCACCACCCGCGCTACAGGGCAATGATGCTGAAGTATCGAATCTTGTCGAGCTCGGGACGCCGGTTCATAAAGCCCCTCCGGTCAAGACATACGTCGAGGCTTCTACGTCGCCCATGCCTTCGCCCGTCTCACGCGGTCCGGAGGAGCAGAAACCGTTGTCAAAGGAAGCGCCTGCCAAGCCTCCAGTCGTGGCCCCCAAGCCCACGCGCAAGAGCACAGCTCGCGAAGTGGCCGAGATCATGTCCAAGTACGAAGGCTTGACTACCGAGGATCCATCCTTGTCTTCGCCCTCGCAACCCGAGTCCGACAAGCTCATTTCCTCGCCTTCTATGGCAGCTAGTGTGAATGGCCCGAAGCCTGATGAGCAACCTGCTTTCGACAAGGTGCCGGAAGCCGGGCCAAAGCAACAAAGGAAAGATTCTTTGTCCAGCACTTACAACGGCAGCGTTCCTCCAAAGCCAAGCAGCAGCAAGCCCTCGAGCTGGCAAGCTGCTACAAAACCTTCTGGCGCCGGGCAATTTGCTCATCTGAAGCCCTGGGAGAGGGAGGCGGCTGAGAAGGCGCAGGTCGAAAAGTACGGCTCGCTCCGGGACCAGGATGAAGACGAAGGTGACGGGGAGCCCTCTTCTGCCCGCATTTCGCGCAAGGGAGAAGCTCAAGAGCGGTTTACGGGCGTATCGAACCTCATCTCCCAGTGGCAGGCCAACGCACAAAAGGGTGCACCGGGATGGGGGACCATCGGAAGTCCTACCACTAAGAGTTTCGGAACGAAAGAAAGGAAGAAGTCTCAAGATGATTCTGGCGCCATCGATTTGGGGAGGAGCAGGACAAATGCGTCTTCTTCGACGATGGGCCCGACCAGAGGAAGTCGTCTGGCAGGAAGAGATGTCTAGGCCTGACTTCACCGAGAATCTGTGCTGCCACTCTTGTCCCTCTCTTTGAAACGCATACTACAAATAGACGCATCAAAGTCCCATTCTCTCCGTGTCTGCTCGCCATCATTGTCTCCGCCAACACCAAGACCGTACTTCAATTACAATATCTCCATTCTTGAAATGTGAGCTAAATTTTGTATTCGACTGCGGACGCGTTCTTCTAACGGTTCTTGAGATGGGCGGGCCTGGATCTCAGCCTGCTCCGGGACCGAAGAGGCAGCACCAAGCTGGGCGTCAGGACAATAGCTGGTGATGTGTCCACTCAATTGATTGAACAAAACATGAACAGCAGGCATAGCCACTGAGTGTCTATGTGCTTGAATGAGAAGACGAGGAGAAAATGGGTTGAGAAGCCCCGAGATTGGCCTCCCAGGCCGCCTGACTTGGCTGCCTCTTCTGAAATAAAGTCACGCGCGCGCTTCTCGTCCCGTCTGGCCGAAAGGGAAGGCCCGCGCCTGTGCCTCTGTTGCATGTGAAGGAAGCACCACCACACACAACTTCCATCTCCTTGACTCCGTCTCTTCTCCTTTTCTTCGCACCACCTCCCTCGGCGGCTCCCACACCCTTGCTGGAAGACGCCCCTCCTCCCCTTCCGGAGAAACAGAAGACAGAAAGATGGCCCTCGATCAAGAGAAGCTTGCCAAGCTGCAATCGGCCAGCCGCCTCGGTGAGTCGTCATGTCGGCAGAAAGATCTTCTCGCCCCAAGGTTCTTTCTGCCTACCCCTTTGCTTTCCCCGCTGACCGAGACGCAATGCAGGCGGAAAGGGCACGCCCCGCCGAAAGGTCGTCCGCAAGCCCAAGGGGCCCGGAGGTGCCGATGGTGACAAGAAGCTGCAGGCTGCCCTCAAGAAGCTCAACGTCCAGCCAGTCAACGGCATTGAGGAGGTCAACATGTTCAAGGAGGACGGAAATGTGCTCCACTTCCAGGCTCCCAAGGGTGAGCATCCCCGCCGATCTCTCTGCTGCTACTTTGTGGAGAGAGAGAGAGAGGGTAAAGACATGTCGAGCTGACGCAGGTGGACCTTCTCCAGTGCACGGACTCGGATCGTCCAACGTCCACGCCGTCTACGGCCAGGGCCAGGACAAGGAGCTCACCGAGCTCGTCCCCAGCATCATCAACCAGCTCGGCCCCGACTCGCTGGCGAGCCTGAGGAAGCTCGCCGAGAGCTACCAGGCCATGAACGCGGCGCAGCAGCAGGCCGCCCTGTCCGGCGGTGCGGAGGGAAAGGCGGCCGCCGAGGATGATGACGAGGTTCCCGATGTGGTGAGCATTCGAAAACACCTACGCTGACTGATTGTCGAATTTATAATGCTGACTGAGAATGCATCGGCTTGCAGGTCGAGAACTTTGACGAGGCTGAGGGCAAGAAGGACGAGCCAGAGGTTGAGAAGCTCGATTAGGCGCTTCAATCACTCTGCTAGAGGTAGAGGGCGAAAGAGGTGCTGGAGGTGATTGCGGTGGGCGAGCATGGCGGAAAGATGAAGGGCTTGTAAGGTGTTGCGACGTTGCAAAGGGGTTTGGGAAGGGCTTCAGAAAGTACGGATGCCGGCGTGATGACGACTATTCTATAAACTCGCCTCACTCTTCTGGCATGTCTCTCTATCCTCGTCTCCTCTTCCCTGTATATGATTTTGCCCCTTCTGTTCCTCTCCTCTGTTCTCTTCTCCTCCTTCTCGTTAGCTACGACCCCACCACCCAAAATAACACTTGGATCGATTTTCTTTTTGATGCCCAGCATCGATGAAGTGGAGATGGGGGCCGATAAGACGTAGCATTCTAGTGAAGCGGCGCGGAGAGAGCAAAGATAGTCACACAGAAGGAGTAGCACTGCCAGGAATAGGGGTGGAAGAGGCCTTTGAGATAAGCAAGGGACATTGCTCGATGCCAGATTTCCGGTCAAAAGGTCTTGAGACGATCCAGCGAGTGGGGACGACATGGTGCGATGACGGTCTGAGCTCAAAGGCATTAACCAGGGTGACAAGGAGCACCTTTAGCTCGGCGATCGCTGCCAAAAATTCTTACAGTCAGCTCAAGAACGCAAGAGGAAGCTCATGAGAAAATGCTCACCAAAGCGATTGCCGATGCAGGCCCTCGGTCCGAGCAGGAAGGCCGGACCGCCCGCTTTTGTGTAGAGCCTCTTGCCCTCCATTGAAGCTTGCTCGTTATCATCCCACCTTTCTGGCCGGAATTCGTCGGCATCTTCTCCCCATAGGCTTTTGAGGCGCCCAATTGCCTCGATGGGTACAATGATGAGTGTACCAGGCTCGATTCGAACGCCATGCTTTGGCGCGCCGGGGCTTCTCGCTGGGTCGACAGGGATCACGTCGCTCTTTGTCGCCATGCGCGACGTCGTGTGGATCGCACCGTACCGTCTCAGCCCTTCATTGACCACATTGTCGAGGTACTTTAGACTTTGAATCTCCTCATATGTCAATTCCCTGCTGTTGTCATCCTCTTCTTCTTCCTCTTCTTCGCTGTTGGGTATACGGAATGGTGCCCTGCTCTGAACATTGAGGCCCTTTGACGCTCGAAGATCTCGAATTTCTTTCCTAAGCTTGTCCTGCACACGGACATTTCTAGCCAGGGCGAGGAGTAACCATGTTGTTTGCACCGACGTGGTCTCGTGTCCGGCAAACATCAGAGTCGTCATCTGGCCCATGAGCTCTTCGTCCGACAAGCTCGCCTTGTCCATCACTGTTCTGGTCATTGGAACAGGCGAATTAAGTGCTGCTTGTCGGACGTCTTGGCGCTGAAAGGAGCTGCTTCTGCATCGACGAGCGAGCTGGGAGAGGAGCGAGGGCATGCGTGGAGGAGGTGGACTCGACATCTGCTGTTGCTGAGCCGCCATGAAGAGCGAAGTGCTGGTCGCTGATGCTGCAGGAGCGGGCGTTAGCGGAGGCGAAGAGGACGGTGTAGAAAGGGCTGATGGGGCCGGAGACTGTGGATTGGAACGCTTGGAATTGGCGTTGGCCCTCATCAGCGTGGCCAAAATGTCATTTCGACGCTTCGATGCCTTCCCTGTTCGGACGAGGATCCTGCCGTCATCTGCTCCCGATTCATCGTCGTCGCCATCAAGTAGAAGGCCTGCGTGCAAACGCCTATGGTGCTCCGAAGCCCTATCGAGAATGAGACGGGCTTCATGGTCAAGGACATCTCGGGCTTTCTGCATCGTCGGGCTGAGGGCCCCAAAGCCAAAGGCCTCCAGAGCCGGAAAGTTTCCCAGAACGATCTCACGAAACAAGTAGAAGAGACTGCCTTGCGCCTCGAGAACGAGGCTCAGAATGCTGTCGAATGCCCTTGATAGCGGGTGGGACGAGACTCCGTCTTCTCCCTTCTCTGGTCCCATTGCGCTCGTTTCACCCGACGACGGCTTGCCTTTCTTGAACAGCCTTCCAAACATGCCTGGCTGAGAGAGAGCGCCGAAGTCGTGGCCGAATCCTGCTTGTCCGAGGATATCGAGCGAGGCCCTCGAGACGGGGCGGAGGACATCGAGCTTGACCCCTCGCATCCCGTCGGTAGCCTCCTCCACCTCTTTTCCTTCTCTCTCGACGCTCTCGAGGAGCCTGTCCCTCAAGCGCGCAGCGTGCGAAGTAAAGACGTCGTGGTACATCTTGGCGCTGGCCGGTGCGAAGCCCTTCTGCAGCGTCAACTTCTGCCGCTTGTGCTGTTCTCCCTCTGCCACGATGAGGCCAGGTCCCATCAGCTGGCCCAGGAGGCGAATCGAAGAAGGGTGCTTGGGGTACTCGTACGCCTTCTTGACGAAGATGTAGTCCAGCGCGACCGGGTCCGTCACCAGCAGTCGAGGCTCACCGAGGAAGGCCCAGACGCGGAACGCCTCGCCGTGCGTCTCGATCCAGCGGAGAATGACCGTCATGATGTCCTCTTTCTATTCGCACGTCCCAACCCTTCTCAGCACCCTTGTCGGAATCTATGAGGAACACCAGCTCACCTGGAACTCGGACCAGTTACCCATGAAGTAGTCTTTTGTAATTGGGCCGTCCAGGTCGCGCAGCCACGTCGTGTAGCGCCACAGCCGCTGGGCGACGAGTGCGAGCGGAACGCCCACACCGAGCAACAAAGTGACGCATGCGAGCCATTGTAGGTCGAGATGAGTGACCAGAAAGTTCATCATCCTCGCCAAGGATCAATGGCCAAGGATCAAATGAGACGCGGGAGAGGAGAGTAGAGAGGACGGGGGTTGTCGGTTGCCGCCCCCCACGTCCGTCTCGCGGCGTCTGAGTATAGCTGACAGAACGACACTGCACGGTGCGTCTCAATACATCCATCTCCGCTTTACACAATGTGCCTGTAGCCTCAGCTCGACGGAGCTCATGCACCAGTGCAGGCTCTTCAGTACAGCACTGTGAACAACGTCGGAGATTCATCCGCAGAAATTTTTGAAACAATGGAAGGCCTGAAGCCATGTCTCGCAGCTCGAATAACGGTGCGAAGCTAACGAACTTCCCTTTGTCCTCTCGAGAACAATGGGGACGCGAGCTTAAAAAAAGTAATGCGCTATCTCACGAGAATCTTTGGAAGACAAGTGTGATAACATTGCAGTTGCTGGAGCAGGATCAAGGGTGTAGGAGACTAATGCGGCAATTCACTTCGCTCGGCCTTGCCGCTGGCGGGATAGTACGTTGTCCACCCGAAGTGGTTGCCCTTGAAACGTGAGGGATTGAAAACATGACAACCCTCGTACGTCAACTCGAACCTGTCAAAGGTGTCTGCCAAGACGAGCTGCATAGAATTAAATCTGGTCAGCGAGGGTCTCCACGGATCGAGACAGAGGTTGCAGGAACACTCACCGCCGTCGGCATGGGGTAGAGGCGAAGCGTGTGATCATAGTCCCACAGGACCGGACGCGCCTGTTGTGGTAGCGGGCAGAGGTGGGCCTGATCCAGAATCGTCGACACGAGCTGATAGTCACGTTAATTCAGCCAAGGCAGGGAGGAGCACTCGCGTTACACACTCACGTATTTCTTCAGATCCACCTCGCGCGCCTCTTCCTTGAGCCTGATGGTGTTGCGCAGCATCTTTCCCATGAGATCCTCGCGGAACACCACAATGTCTTGTCCAAAGTAGCGCAACCGCGCCGGGTTTGAGGTGAAATGAATGTGGTCTTCGACCTTGACACTGGCCAAGGAGGGTCGGTTGAGCCGTGCGAAGAGCTTGCTGGAGATTGCAGACGATAGGGCGCTTCGCGGAAGCGTCGGTGACGAGAATGGATCGGAGGGAGAGGGAACGAAAACAAAATGCGATGCGGCAATGATGGACGGGAAGGCGGAAAGGACGTCGCCGAGGTTGGAGAATGCGTCTAGAGGACGGGACACGAGGACGTCAGTGACCAAGTGAATGATACTAGACCGCAACACGCACCTTGGTAACGTGAGATGACGTCGCCCTTGCCAGTCTTGCTGTTCTCGAGAAAGCTTCCACAAAGAACAAAAGCGAAGGGGATAAAGTCGGCGTCGAGGTAGCCCTGAAGCATGGATCGGAAGCTGGACAACGTTTTGGGATGGTCGAGATGAAGGTCCGAAATGAAGACAAAGGCGAGGTCAGAATGCGACTCTTCGTGGATCTTCATCGCGCTTTCCTCCTTGAGAGACATGGACCCGGTCCCCAGGAAGTCAACTTGGTTACACAACAGTCTTGTTGCAGCCGATGTCAGCTTCCGGCCTGGGTTGGATTTCTGCGCGGCGGCTCACCTAGCTTGCTTGCGAGGTTCACTGGGAGGATGGCCAATTGCAAACACATGAATTCTTTCCTCCTGGGTGAACTCTCCCTCAACGAGGACCATACTGCCTTCTGTGAAGATGCCTTCACCCGGAATAGTGTCTTCAAGGTCTAGGCCAACGACGCCGTCTGCATCTTCGAGTGCATATCGTCCATCGGAGGTGGTGCAGAGCAGCCCGAAGAGGAGAAAGCGTTGCCCTTGTCGACCGAGAAGATTTGTCGTCGAAGTGAGCTACAGACAAACAGTCAGCCCGGTGCTCTCTTCTTCCTCAAGGCCATCCCCCTACCTTCATGAATGCGTCGCGATCCTTGCCGCTACCCACGGCCAAAGGGGGCAGGAAATTCTCGTTTCGTAGCACTGCGCTCTTGACAATGTTGAGCCGCTCCAAGAGGTATGCCGGCTTTGAGGTGGCGGGTGGGAGGAGCTTGGGCGCCTGCGAAGTCTTTTCAAACACCTTTCTTCGCTCGTCAAAGACGACCTTTGGCATCTTGAACGAGTCAACGACGTGGAAGAAGCGGTGCGGATCCGCCTTTTCCCCATATGTCAAGGGGTCTCGGGACGTTATGTCGTTCTGTAGCCGCTCGATTTGTGTTGCGCTCGCGGCCGTGTCGGCGACGAGCAAGGATTCGTAGACCCTTTCGAGGGCGGTTCTCGTCACAATCGAGCTCGTCCCTTCGCCCCTTCCCAGATCCTCGACGACACCCTTTGCCAACGCTTCTATGGAGTCCTGCCACACTGCCTCGTCCTCCAGTAGGCCATGCTCGTCGAGGGTGTCTACGATGAAGGAGATGGCACTGGCGTGAAGCTGCAGCCCGTACTTGCGTGAGAAGAGGCGGAGGATAAGCCGACGAAGGGCAGGTGGTGCCGTCGGGGCCGACATAGCCGGTTCCCCAGCAGCCACCGACGGCGCGACGGATCCATAGCGTACAGAGTCGACCATGTCTGGCTGGAAGAGTCGGGTGGTGTTGGAAAGACGTGATGGCCCATTAATTTCTCCAGAGAGGCAGAAGAGAAGCGCGCACCCGCGTCGCGTCACATGGCCGATTTCCGCGCCGCACAATGCCGATAAGCTAGTATTCCGCTACTGCTGCACAGACGTACTAGTCTTAGTCTAAAAGTTGCTTTTCGTTCGGCGCTCACCTCAGCGGAACCCACCTGACTCATTTCTCACCCACTACTGGACGGCGGGCCGTGCCGAGGGAATGACGGCTCACTCACGACTCCCTTTACGACCGCCAAGCCTGTGACGCCCAGCTTCACACACCGCAACTTCCTGAGCATCGATAGGGTCGCAGGCGAGGGACAATAGGAGTAGCCTTGGCTGAACCGCCGGACCGAAAAGGACCGGGCTCTCGCTCGAGCTGCACCCTACGTACGACACAAAAAAGCGACGAGGACGTAACCTTTAACGAACAACATCATGACAAAGGATCGGGGAGTAGGGGAAGCGGTTTCACCGACGAATGTAGATGCGAATAGCCAGGACGATACTCGTGGCACCAATGGGCCAGCGGTCGACCACGAGTCTGGACAGACACCAAGGTCGCAGCGACCCGTAACTCCGCTCCCATGGCGCCAGCTCTCCATTCTTTGCCTCATGCGCCTTGCTGAGCCCGTTGCCTTTACGCTCTGCTTTCCCTTCATCGGCGACATGCTCTGGGACCTCAAGGCGACGACAGACCGGGGCCAAGTGGGCATGTATGCCGGCATCGTCGAGAGCGCCTTTGCCGCCGTGCAGACGCTCACCGTACTCCAGTGGGGTCGGGCATCGGACAAGCTGGGCAGACGGCCAATCATTGTCAGTGGCCTCATCGGCTCGTCCATCTCGACGCTGCTCTTTGGCCTTTCGAAGTCCTTTTGGTTCCTCGTTGCAGCTCGATGTCTCAATGGCGCACTCAACGGCAATGTCGTCGTGTATAAAAGGTGAGCCATCTGTTGTCCCGTCAAGTGGACGAGATGAAGAAGGAAGAAGCTTAACCAGTCCCCTACTCCTTTTAAGTCTTATTGGAGAAATGGAGTCGACCGATCGCTCCAACGTTGCTAGAGCCTTCTCGCTCTTGCCGCTCATGTGGGCCGCCGGCTGCTCCCTCGGCCCAGCGATTGGAGGCTACCTATCGCGACCAGCATTGCGGTACCCCCATCTGTTCGCTGCCCACGGCTCACTTGGCTTCAACGGCCTCTGGGAAGAATACCCTTACTTTCTACCTTGCGTTGTCTCCGCCTGCATCACTTGGATTAGCGTTCTGCTTGGTGTGTTCTTCCTCGAAGAGACGCTGCCGAGCAAGGTGCAGGCCAAGAGAGAAAAATTTGCGAGGAAAAAGGCTGCAAAGGCTGCCCAGGAGCAACGCGACGAAGACCGAAGCCCGCTGATGGGTTCATCTTCGGATGGCCGCGCAAGATCTTCTTCTCCCACGTCGTATGGAGCCACAGCTGCCTCTCCTCGTCCCGATGGGACTGTGCCGTCGCGACCATTGACGGAAAGGTCGCCGGAGCGTCTCAAGTACCATCGCTCGCTCCGTGAAAGCCTCTTGGACTCGTTCCGAGGCCACAAGCAGCCACAGGGTGTCGATAATGGCCCTACAGCTGCGGGAGATTCGGGGCTTCCTGGGTCAAGACCCTCTCGTCCCATACCGAGGCCGATTCGCGGACGCTCTAGATCATATCTTGGTCATGTTCAAAGCTGGACGAGCGGCTTCACGCCCCAGGGAAGTCGAGACCTCACCCCAATCGGTAGCCCGAATTTGGGAAGCAATGCACAGCTTGGAGAAGATGCCGAGGCTACCCCGACGGCAGCAGAAGAAGGACCGCAGTCGAGACCGTCCAAATCCGATGGGAGCGTCATGAGCATGCTCCGTAACGCTCAGGTTCGCAGAGTCATGGTCAGCTACGCCTTTCTGAGCCTGACAAATGTCGGCATCGATAGCGTCCAGGTTCTGTACTTTTGGGAGCCCATCACGCTTGGCGGCCTCTCCTTTCCCTCGACCATTACGGGAACCCTGCTCTCCTGCTCTGGTCTCCTCGGCGTCATTGTCCAGCTCTTTCTCTTTCCCAATATCCAGCGCAGAATCGGCACGCTGCCTCTTTACCGGCTCTGCATGACCATCTTTCCCCTCGTGCCCCTCATCCTGCCGCTGGCCAACTTGGCAGCGCGAAGAGGGCTCAGAGAGGGTCGCGAACACCACGAGGAAGGCGGTTTTGAGCAGGACGTCCTTCCTGCCTCGCGCGTCCTCGTCGAGATCCTTATCGGGATCGCGATAGGACTTAGGATGCTGGCAATCATGGCTTTGTGAGTGGGATTTCTTTTGTTCATCGATCACATGTGCTCATCGCTCTTGGTTTGCAGCTCCTCGCAAATCATTCTCGTCAACCAAGCAGCCGCCCTCTGTCCCGGCGCCCAGTTGGGCACCCTCAATGGGCTGGCCCAGATGGCGTCCTCGATCTCGAGAGCCTTTGGCCCGTACGTCTTTTCATCGCTCTTCTCTCTGTCTCTGACAGAGCAGATCCTCGGCGGCAATCTGATCTGGCTCGTCATTTTCGTCGTCGCGCTGACGGGAGCGCTGCAGACCTCTGGCCTCGTCGATGTTGAAAAGATGATTGACCGCGGCGAGCTGGGCGAAGATGCAGCCACCGGTGCGGGCCGACCGTAATGAGGGGCTCCAGGGCCTGCCATGGTCCTATAATTCTTGTTAATGTCATTGTCTTGTTTAGACGCTCAATAATGCCATCTGCTATCCACGTCGTTGCTGTTTGTCAGCCAGGCACTTAGCCTTCTTCCTGAGGCCCACTTATTTATTGGCGCGCCGCCGGTGGAGCCAAAAATTGGATCTTGACCAACACGGCCGCTCAACCTTGTCTTCCTGCCTCTCGACCACGCCTAGCCTTTCTCTTCCCCTTCAACTAGACTTCGCCCAGGCCGAGGAGGCGGGAGCACTATCAAGCTAATCTGATCAGACCGTTGCGAGTGGCTTGGCTAGGTCGAGGAAGAGAATAGGTGGCCCAAGATGAAGGTGAGCGGATCGTCTTGTCGCGCTGAGCCCGGTCGGCTACCTCGGGGACGACGAGCAGCTGACATGTCTGCACCCATCAACCCACGGAACACAGTTCATGATCGATGACCTGCCGATTCTATTCCCATACCCGAAGATCTACCCGGAGCAATATGCCTACATGACCGACCTCAAGCGCACGCTCGATGCCAACGGCCACTGCGTCCTCGAGATGCCGTCGGGCACGGGCAAGACGGTGTCGCTGCTCAGCCTCATTGTCGCCTATCAAAAGGTGGGTTCTCCCTTCCTCCGCCCAGCTGCCAGCCGAGACATCTGACAGAGACGTGGCTCCTGCTACCACAGTTCTACCCCGCCGCGCGCAAGCTCATCTACTGCTCCCGGACGGTGCCCGAGATCGAAAAGGCGCTGGCAGAACTCAAGCGGCTGATGGAGTACCGAGCTCGGTACAACGACCCAGGGTCAAACCCTCCGTGCCAACGGGACACGCCACTTCCCAAGGGGCAGGGGGAGCAGGAGGAGATGCTGGCACTGGGACTGAGCAGCCGGAAGAACCTCTGCATTCATCCCAGCGTAGGCAAGGAGCGAAAGGGAAAGGTGGTCGATGCGCGATGCAGGGACATGACGAGCGCTTGGGCTTGCGAGCGGGGGAGAAAGGAGCCCGGAAGCGTGGAGCTGTGCGACTTTCATGAGGAATTGGGCAAGATGGAGCCTGGGAGTCTTCTTCCTCAGGGTGTCTGGACCCTCGAGGAGGTCAGGGAGTACGGCAAAGACAAGGGCGTCTGTCCCTATTTCGCCATTCGGCGCATGATGCCCTTTGTCGACATTATCATCTACTCGTTCCACTATCTGCTCGATCCCAAAGTCGCCGAACAAGTGTCAAAGGAGATGAGCAAGGATGCCATCGTCGTCTTTGACGAAGCCCACAACATCGACAATGTCTGCATCGAGTCGCTCAGCATCGATCTGACGCGACCGATGCTCGATAGCGCCTACCGAAGCATCAACCAGCTGTCCGACAGGGTCGAGGAGGTCAAGCGCACCGATGCTTCCAAGCTGCAGGACGAGTACGCGAGGCTTGTTGAAGGCTTGCAGGAGCAGGCCGACGATCGCGAGGCAGAGACATTCATGACAAATCCCGTCCTGCCTGAAGACCTGCTTCAGGAGGCTGTGCCAGGCAACATCCGCCGAGCTGAGCACTTTGTCGCCTTCCTCAAGCGCTTCGTAGAGTATCTAAAGACAAGAATGAGGGTCCTGCACGTCGTGGCCGAGACTCCGCCGAGCTTCCTGCAGCACCTCAAGGACATCACCTACATCGAGCGCAAACCCCTGCGGTTCTGCGCTGAAAGGCTCAGAATGCTCGTCTCGACACTCGAACTGACGCGGCTGGACGAGTACTCGAGCCTGCAAAAAGTGGCTGCCTTTGCCACGCTCGTTGCCACATACGAAAAAGGCTTCCTCTTGATCCTCGAGCCATTTGAGACCGAACACGCTACGGTGCCCAATCCCATCTTCCACTTTACCTGCCTCGATGCCAGCTTGGCCATCGCGCCCGTCTTTGAGCGCTTCTCGTCGGTCATCATCACCTCGGGAACGATCTCACCCCTCGACATGTACCCCAAGATGCTCAAGTTTGAGACCGTCGTCCAGGACTCCTACCCCATGACGCTCACCCGACAATGTTTCTTGCCCCTCGTCATTACGAGAGGCTCTGACCAAGTCGCCATCTCGTCGCGCTTCGAAGTCCGAAACGACCCGGCCGTCGTGCGCAATTATGGCTCCATCTTGACCGAATACGCCAAGGTGGTGCCCGATGGCATCGTCGCCTTCTTCCCTTCGTATCTTTACATGGAGAGCATCGTCGCCGCATGGCACGACATGGGCATCCTCGACGAGGTGTGGCGCTACAAGCTCGTCTTCATCGAAACGCCCGACGCACCCGAGACATCGATTGCGTTGGAGAACTACCGCCGAGCGTGCGACAATGGTCGGGGCGCGATCCTGCTCAGCGTCGCGCGTGGCAAAGTGTCGGAGGGAATCGACTTTGACCACAACTACGGTCGGGCCGTCATCATGTTTGGTGTGCCGTACCAGTACACGGAGTCGAGGATCCTCAAGGCCCGATTGGAGTTCCTGAGAGACAACTTCAGGATCAAGGAGGCTGCTTTCTTGACCTTCGACGCCATGCGACATGCAGCGCAATGCGTGGGGCGGGTCTTGCGCGGAAAGACCGACTATGGGCTCATGGTCTTTGCCGACAAGCGATTCGCAAGGGCGGACAAGCGCGACAAGCTGCCGCGGTGGATTGCGGCGCAGATTGACGAGTCGCACGCCAACCTGAGCAGCGACATGGCGCTCGTCGAGAGTGTCCGTTTTCTTAAGCAAATGGCCCAGGACATGCCGACTGTGGGCAAAAACGGTGTCAGCCTGTGGGACGTGCACGACATTGAGATGCGGCAGGAAAAGGAACGGAGGCACTTTGAGCGCCTCCTTGAACAGCAGCAAAAGGGCAAATTGACGACACTCGATGAAGACAACATCGACGAGATGGACCTGGATCTCGACGGAGCTGGCGGCGACGAATTCGATGACGAATTCGGGACCGGAGAGGAGCTCCAGGCGTTGCAAGACGAACCTTTGACGAGGAGGAAGTCATGGAGGAGTGATCTTCAGACAGACGACGAAGGCTGTTGAGGGGTTTTTATGGGTTTTATTTCGGGTTGTTCGCATCTATCGCTGGGGGAGAAGGGAGGGGGAAATTTGTAGAGTACTTTTCGCATCTCGTCGCCGTCTTTGCCCACTTGTACCAATACATGTTTGTCATCTTTTTTACTTGCCAAGAAGAGCGGTATGAGAAGCTTGAGTGAGCGTGCCTTGGTATGTGATACGACCGTTGAGCGAGATCTGCAACGGCACACCCGCCGCTTTAGCCTGTTTGAGGACGGTGAGGAGGTCTGTCGTCTTGGCGGCAAGAAACACATCGAGGAAGCGGGTCTTGAGGCAGAAGTCGAGCTCCTGCGCCGTCAGGTGCCGCGTCCGTTTGCTGCCGAAAATTGCGCCGATGATGTCGAGCAGCATGTCGTCTCGCTCAGTGTTGGTGAAGCTACATTGAGGTGAGATGGCGTTTATGTCAGGAAGGAGCGCAATGTGTAACTTGACACTCACACTTTAAAAGATAACATCTCCTCCTCGCCGCACCAGACCGAAGCGCCAGCCATTCGAGCCAGCTGAATGGTCATTTTGAGCTCATGGAGACTATTGACGTCCGGCAGTCGCCCAATAAGCTTCCAAGCGCGGATTTCGGTCAGGTTCCTCGAGTGCAACGTCTGGACGACGACGTCCATGAGGGCATTCACTGCGCGGGCGGGCTCGATCAAACGGGCCGACAGTAGCGGCGATATTCTCTGTTTGCTGAGCGCTGGGCCGGATGCATAGGCGGGAAGAGAGGTCCCCTTTCTCGATATTGTACTCCTGTCTTTCGCCATGGCATCCTCTTGGGATGGAAACCATTCTTGCTGAGTAGAGTAAGGAAGCTGTGTGAACATGACGACCCACACCTTTCTTCGATTTTGCTTACCAGGTTCCTCAACGAGCATCGAAACCAGACTTCTTTGGGTAACCCCTTGGCGCACCGAAATTGGATGGGGATGCCGACTTGCTGCGCCAAGGAGAGGTAGTGTGCGAAGGCGGCTGCACCGACACTTCGAAAGGCGTCTGGTTCCAGCTGGAGGAGCTCCCTTTGGAGTGCATGTGCATTGACCGATGGTGCCGAGGAAGTACGACTGGACATGATCAAAAGCAAGTTTCGAAAAGATGCCTTGCTGGGCGACGATGTTGTGGTACGCCTTTGCTTATCTCGAATTGGCACGGCGGGCGATGCGTCTCGAGAGGAGAGCGTGGTCACCGAATCGTGAAATTGCGACTCCTCATCGTCCTCGCTCGCAGTCGTGAAGCTCGAAGGTGACGATGGACATTGTCGCTCGCTGCCAGTGGATGCGTCTGTATATAGTTCTGGGGCGCTTACATGTGCGTCGGTGGTCGACTCAACGCGAGCTGGAGACTCTGTACACTCGCCAAAGCCCTTTGGCAAAAAAGTTACGTTTGGACCCTCGCCTGGCTCTGCCGGGTCGGTCGCCGCCACTGCTAATAAAGCAGAGGCCGTCGCAGAAGTAGGCAAGGGCTGCAGCTGCTCTCCCCGCTGCGCCGCAACTTGCGTCCCCTCTGCGGACGAGTGATATTCGTCGTGATCAAACGACGAGTCTAAATCGATCTCCATGGCAAGGGAGGACGCTATGCTCGAGGCTGAAGAGCGACGCAAGTCACTGCGCCGCCGCGTGCGCTGGCCGATGAGCATAGCCGAAGCGCAGGTATCAGGGAAAGGAGTCGGCAGAGCCGGCGGTGATGAAGAACCCCAATGAGGAACCTTCCCTTCCTCGAGCCTCTCCCACTTGCAACGACGAACGGTAGCCATTGCCAACCGTCGTTCGCTTGCTGGAAATATTCTTCAAGTCGATGTTGGTGGGTGGGGTGAAGAGACAGACGGAGGAGATGGTCTACGGGTGGTCTAATCGCGGGTCAGGCCGCCCACCGCCCTTTCCGTGGGCCTCTTCAGGGCAAAGTGGGCTCCCTGCAGCTGAATTGCCAGCAAATTACTCGTCTAGGCTGCTCGGTGCCTTTTTATTTGGGCGCCCGCCGCCGCGCCGAGCGCCAGAGTTACATGCGGCACGTACAGTACACCGCATAACGCAGCCAGTCTCCTCCGCTACGCATTACTACTAGTTCCCACGCTGCTCTTGCTGGCTAGTAGTAGCTTCTCTGCACCACCAAGCGGGTTTGGTGCCACATCACCAGGCGAGAAACGTTGCAATGAGGAATGAAAAGTTACAGAATACAGAAACGGGTTTCAGAAGAAGAGAGCCGAGAAGATGCTGATGGACGGGAATGGAACGGTCGTTTGTCGGTGCTTTCTTTTTCTAATTTTGCGCCTCCATGCGGTTGGCGTCGGCCTTTTCGCCTTCGCCAACGACCCGGTGGCCTCCATTGGCCTTGCGGTCCGAGGCGAGCGTCTGGGCGAACTTGCTGCGCGCCCGAATGGCGGGGCCCTTGTAGTAGAAAATGTAGATGGGAATCGTGACGAGGATGGCGAGGAAGCCGAGCAGCGTCGATGCCCACTCGAGGCTCATGGGCCCCAGGTTCTGGTAGAGCGGGGTGGCATACAAGGCAGCGATACCGGCGAGGAAGTCTCGTGCGAGTGCGTTTCCTCCAGTGGCAGAAGCCGAATAGGGGCCGTAAGCTGCCACCATGTAATCACTTAGAGGTGTTGCAGCCAGGTCAGCAACTGAACTGGAGGAATATGCTGTGTGAACAGAGACTACTCACATCGTGGCCATGTAAATAGCGTAGTTGGCAATGGCAATCATGCAAGAAAAGATCATGGGCGCGATCCAGTGAACGTGTGGTGGGCCAAGAGAAGTCCATGCGAAGCCAAACAAGCCGATTGCTTCGAGGGGCGCGACCCAGAGCAGCCACCAAAGACGGGCTTCCGGCAGCAGTGCGTCGGGGTCCTTCCTGCGGATCCTGTTCTGGCTGATGATCGAGGGGAAGAAGGAGAAGTAGGAGATGATGTAGCCGATGTTGATGGGGAGGAAGGCCAATCCAATGGCCACGGTGCCGAAGCCCCACTGCTTGTAGACGAAGTTAAAGCTCTCGAGGAAGGTGAAGATGAGGGCATCGCTGAAACCACTGAGCAGCGAGAGCGACAAGACGATAGGCTCACGGAGGAACATCTCGAATGGACGCAGCCATGTCTCGACGATTTCCTTGAAGCTGAACCGGTCCTCCCGCAGCTCACTAGGGCCGTAAATGTTGGTCTCGCCGGCCTTTCTCCTGCGCTTGGCCTCTCGATCGAGAAGAACCGTGGCGCGAGTTTCAGGCACGATGAAGAAATGCATGATCTGAGTCACGCCGCCAAAGATGAGCTGGACCCAGAAGATCCAGTAGGTAACCTTCGGGATGGTGTACGCTTCGACAAAGCCTCCGATGAAAGGCCCAATCGACGTTCCGCCCACCGACGAAAGAACGACAAACGCAACCGCAAATTGCTGCTCGTCAGCCTCCCACATGTCTGCGACCATGCCGAGCGTGACGCTACCGCCGGCCGTGAAGAGACCACCAAAGAACCGGGCGACGATGAGATTGTTGTAGTTGGGCGCCAGGGCGGCCCAGACTTGGGTCACTGTACAGTACGTCTCAAATTAGTGGCCCGTGCGCGATGTGAGACTCAGAGATGGTGGGTGCTCACAGTTGACTAGGAGAAGCGACAACTGGAGGATGGGCCATCGTCCAAGCTCTTCGCTCCACGGTGCCCAGAGCTAGAACAAGAATAGTTGTCAGAACAGCGGTCAGAACAGCGCTATCACAGGGGAAAGACAGTCTACACACCTCTGAGCCAAAAGCGTAAGCCACAAGGAAAATCATCTGACCGACACGGGCACCCTGCTCGCTGACACCACGATACCGATCATCCTTGGGTATCTCCATCACTACATTTGGGTAGATCGAGGTGTTCAGATTCATGCTCATCTGAACGGTGAAGATAACCGTCAGGATGAGCCATTTCTTCCATGTCGGGAACGAATAACCGAGTTTGTCCCATGCTTCTTTCTCCTTGAGCTCTACTTTGCCGTCGGTCCTAGGCAAGTTCCTCTTCGTCCAAGCCCTTGACAGACGAGACTCCCCCGTCTTTGCACGCTCCGGGGCCGCCGGTCGAGTCGGCTCCGTCTCCTTCGTGGCTTCGCCGTACTGGGGGGGCTTTTCGATATCCTTCGGCGGGCTGCTCGGACTGCCGGCGTGAGTGGCCGTCTCGGTGTCAGACATGTTGCTGGCTTTGTCGTCTCTCTGCGAGATCGTGGTCGAGTGGGAAAGAACGTAAGAGCACCCTCTGGGAGTCTAGATAATCCCTCTGCGAAGGCCGGCGATGCAGGGGAGCCCACGGTTAAAAGTCTTGTGTTCCGCTTCAGGCTACGTCAGGGCCGCGCTCACCCGATTCTCAACGCCCGTCCCTCTGGAACAGCCACTATGCACGGGATTGAATCACCGTACTGCTCTTTCACTGGATCCCCACAAGAAAAAATTCGCCGACGATCACACCACACTGCTCCATCACCGTGAGCCGATGCGGATCGATTCTCATCTGTCTGACTTATTTTTTTGCAAAAAGTTCGCGACTAATTCCAAAGGGTTCAATTTTTGGCACTCGACGTCACAGTGCGCGATATGAAGATCGATCGATTGTGCAATTTTTAGTCATATCTGTCATTCAGGAACGGTACGGCGAATTGCAGAAGGGTCGCTCAGGCCGGTCTTGGAGCATCAACGACAAGCTGCGCTTTCTCCTGATAGCTTACTGGCTTGACGAACGGACCGCATTCTCATCGGGTCATGAGTTCTTATATCAGACCCAGAAGTTCTATTGCGTAGCATCAACAAGTGCAGGGTTAGCTGGCGGTCGCGGCCCTCTTTTGTTACACTTTTTTCCATCGAACAGGCTGAAGACGATGGCTCAGACAGTGTTGACATAGGTCAAAGGCCTCCTAAAGTACTCTTGGTCCGTCTGGTATCCTCGACTACACTAGATCAGAGAACGAAGCCGACGGGCTGATCAGGACGGGCTGATCAAGGGTGTAACGAACCGCCGAGCAGGATCGTAAAGTAGCGCTGCACACGACTTGGGCTGGAGGTTCACATCTGCGTTCTGCGGGACCGTACAAAACTAGGAGAACATGTATGAACCACCGGGGAGCTGATTGCCAAGCGACACTACTCGAGCCGCGCTCCTCAGGAAGACTACTGCTAGTTGCGAGAACGGTTCGTCACACGTGGCTCGTGCACACCACCAAAGCGATCACTTGACGCGTCGGGACTTTCGGATCTGGGCATCGATGGCGGGAACCCAATGGCGGCCGTTGTGAGCACTGAGCCGGTCGTAGCAATGGCAACGACACAGACGAGCGAGGACAGGATCAGCCACGCGGAGCTGACGGATCTTCGAGCAGTGCAGAGGACGTTTGTGAGTGTGCTTTTGCTGGACAAAGCTCTGATGCCGGCAGAGAGCTGATTGTACGAAAGGACGGAGCCTACGCACGCACAGCGCTAGCACAGCTCAGCTATGCTGTCGTCATCTTGCGCCTCTTCGACACGAGCTTCTACTGGTGCGGGTGAGTACGGAGTTAGAAGTCTGGCAAGCAGGACGGTCGCTTATCGGCTCCTCCCACTGCCAGCCTGACGTACACCATCCTGGCACTCCAGCTCGTCTTCATTGCCATATATCGGTATAACCTTGCAGGTGGGTCCATCTGGCAACTCAGACGCTTTACTCTACTCATGTCGTCACATATTCAGTCTCCAACCACGACAAGTGGTCAGATACCCATCGGCTCGGCACCGTCGCAGGGCCCGTCTCGCCAGCGGGAACACCGGGAGTGCAGCTCCCGCCTGGCCCCGACCAGCCCGTGATTGTGCGGCCCGTCTTTCGAACAGCGGGCACAGTGGTGTTTGTGGCGACGCTTTCGACCCTCTGTGTCGAGATAGCGCTTGCAGTGCTGATTCTCAGAGTATGACATTGCTTCAACCTATATCGAGAAAATGTATAATTATCCCAGCTTTGTTGTGTTTCCTTATTTTCACCGCCCATCCATTTCATTTGGGAGGAGCGCTTTCACTCCAGACCACTTGCAGGAAGTGTTGTTTCCTCTACTTGGACTTTGCAAGAGGATCAACGCTGTGCTTCTCGCCGTGGACGGCGTCCTCCGAGTCGGTGGGTTGGTCGTTTGGGCTCGCCTTGGAGAAGTGCTGGTGCTTTTGTCGCTCAGCCTCGGCGGCCGTCTTCTTTTGCAGCTCTTCCACGCTGTCATCGGAGCGCTCAGCGTGGACGGCATCCTCGGATGTGGTTGCTGTCTCCTTCTTGCCGGGCGTGACGAAGCGGGCGGTCGACGAAGAGAAGGGCGCGGCGCTGGTGCGAGACGTGGCCTAGTAGGGAGTGGAAGGGCGAGGCCGACGTCAGCGCTCAAGGATCGGGAGCCGCCAGCAGTCGGAAGACTCACCACGACAAAGGGACGGGCCCTGAGAAGCGAAGAGCGGGCGACAAATGCAAACGCCATGATTGGAATAAAGGGTGTTGATGAGGAAAAAGGTGAAAACTGTTCTCTTATCCGGGTAGTAACCCTACTCTACCTGCCCTACATCTCCACCTAAGATGATGTCAGTGCCCTGATGAAACGTGCCTGTCTGCTGACTAATCAAAAAGGGGTTCCGGACGCTCTAATTTTTTTTTTTTTTTTGGTTCGAGGACGAATTTTTGCGCGAGGAGCGACTTCATTTCTTCTTGCAAGAAAAGACGAGGCTAGGACGGCATGGCGACTAGGACCATCGCCGAGGCATACGACAAGGAGGCCAGGGGCGCCGACCTCCAGGAGAGCCTGGCCAAGATCCGGCACCACACGGGCTCGAAGCTGCCCAACCAGCGAGCGCCTGCACAGCTCCTCGTGGCCATTGAGTCGACGCTCGCCGAGGAGGATGGCCAAGGTGCCGGTGCCAGCACGTCCCAAGGGGCGCAATCGTCCAAGGCCAGCCCCACGGAGTACTTCATGGCGCTCGAGGCGACTCTGAAGCGGGCCGCCGAGGTGAGTTGCGCTAGGTTTTATTACTTTACCGCAAAGGTCTTGGAAGCTGACCACTTGTGCTTGCAGACGACGTCGTCCTCTGCCGGCGATGCCGGCTCGCTGCTGTCTTCGACAATGTACCTTCTCACCCTCGTCACGCCGCAGGTCTCTCCAGGCGTGCTTAGGTCACAACTCTCCAACCTGCTCGAGCCACTCGGCGCGGTCCTGGCCGAAGCCTCGGCGGCCTCTGCTAGCTCCGAGGGCCACGCTGCCCTCGTCCGGTCTACCCTGGGCGTTCTCGAGCCCCTCTTTGTCGCCCTCAAGTCTGATCGTGCGACCCTGGACAGAAATCTGCAGCTCCGTGGCTGCTGGAACTCGGTGCTTGGTCTGTGCATGGACGCCCGCCCCAAGGTCCGGAGGAGAGCCCACGACCTCGTCAACCAGGTTCTCCAGCCCGCGTCTGGCGATGCCAAGCCGCATCCCTACGCCGCAAAGACGGCTGAATGGGCCATCTCAGCCCTGGAGCAGGTGGCTTCATCGTCTAGCGGAGGCTCCCGCAAGGCCGACAAGTCACATGCGCCCGTGTACGATAAGAAGACTGGGAGGGCAAAGGAGCCAGAGGCAGCCGCGGCCCTTCGTCAGAAGCAGGCCGATGGCGGAGCCAATGCCGGCATCTGGGTCTGTGGATTCCTCAAGAGCCTGGCATCTACACTGCCTGCCAAGGTGAGATACAATATCTTGCTTGCACACTCGGCTCGTGCTCCCATGCTGACACGATAAATGCGCCCCTCCAGTCGATCGCCCCTCTGTCGAGCAACTTGATCCGGCTCGTTGGCCAGCAGAACCCTTTCCTCACCACCGCAGCGTTTGAGGTCTTTGAGAGCCTCTTCCGGACCTCGCGGCCCGTCGACAGCGCCACTGCCACGACGACCTCGTTCCCGCTCTCTGCCACGCTCACTACCAATGAAGGACAGAAGCTCGTCGAGGGCGGGACACTGGATGCGACGCTCGACGCCCTGTGCTCGCCCGCCGTCGCACCCTCGGCAGGCGATGCGCAGCTCATTCCTGCGTATCTCGGTGCACTGGAAAACGCAATGGTGGCTGCCTCTCGCAACTCGTCGAAATGCTGGGCCCGTGTGCCCAAGATCTGGAACGACGTCCTTTCACTGGCCCTCTCGAACAAGTCAAAGGCCAGCAGGGACTCGCACCAGGTCCGGGTTGCAGGCAGGGATGCTCTCTGTGCCCTCGTTCGCTACTGCATCCCTGACGCCGCCATTGACGAGGCCCTCGAGACGCAGGACGGCGACCTCCTGAACCTCGTCGAGTCGCTCAGGGACAGCCTCGACAAGTCGGCACTGCGCTACTCGCACGCGCGGCCCGAGCTCCTGTCGGTCGTCACTGCTCTTGTTCTCCGACTCCGCTATCGCCCCAGTACCACTGCTGGCTCGCGGTCGGAGCCCGCAGCTTGCCTGCTGGCGCTTCCTCTGGTCCAGATTGTGGCCGAGCTTCGAGCGCAGCCCAAGTTCGAGCACCGTGAGCACGCCGATGGCGTCATCGGGGCTGCTGTCGAGGTCTGTGGTCCTGCCACTGTCCTCGAGATTCTGCCGTTGGGCCTGCTGGGCGAAAACGGCAAGGAGGGCGGTCGTGCATGGTTGCTGCCCCTGATGCGCACGAGGATCACCAACACGCAGCTCAAGCACTTTGTCTCGAGCATGGTCCCCCTCTCCGAGTCTCTCTTTGAGCGACGCGCCCAGGCCGAACAGGCGTCAAAGGCCATCGAGGCAAAGGTCTTTGAAGCGCTCACTGAGCAGGTCTGGGCCCTCTTCCCCGGCTACTGCGACCTGCCCACGGACCTGGCCGAAGCTTTTGACAAGAAATTCCTCGAGCTTCTCGCCAACGTCCTCTACTCGCAACCCGCCCTTCGACCAAGCATCTGCCGCGGGCTCCAGCTCCTCGTTGACCGCAACGAGTCGCTGGCCAGCTCCGCTGCTCCCACGGCCGTCCTCGTCCAGTCGTTTGGCCTGACGAGCGAGCAAGGAAAGGCGAACCTGAAGCAGCTCTCGACGATTGCCTCGAGTCTCCTCGCTGTGCTCTTCAACGTCTTTTCCCAGTCGCCCTCGGAGAGCCGGGGCTACATCCTCGATTGCCTCGTCGCCTACCTCAGGGTCATGTCGGCCCAGGACATTTCCAAGACGTACCAAAAGGTCGTCACCATGCTCGACCAGTCGCTGCCTACGCTGGCACCAGCCCGGGACCGCGACACGGGTCCAGGTGCTATTCCACCCGTACCACTGACGATGCTCGACCTGCTCGGCTCACTCGTGCCATTCCTGGGCGAGACGGAAGCGTTGCAGCTCTTTGAAAGGGCCTGCCAGGACAACATCCTCCGTAGCGCCGAGGCTGGTATCCAGAAGAAGGCATACAAGCTGCTTACGAAGCTCATGGAGGGCAAGCACGGCCGTACCGTTCTCCGCGTGGACCAGCCGGGCGAGGACCGGGTTGGCGAGACGCTCACGAGGCTCAAAGACAGCTCAAAGGCTGTGGCGTCGGGGGCCAAAAAGGATCGCGTGGGCCTCTTTGCGGCCCTTGTTCCACTCATCCCTCCTACCGAACTGCACCACCTCCCCTCCATCATTCCCGAAGCGGTCCTGGCAACAAAGGAGGCCAACCAGGGAGCGAGGGAGCTGGCGTACGAGCTCCTCGTCGGAATGGCCCACAAGATGCTCGGTGGCGGTGCCATCAAGCGGGACCTCATCGACGGTGCTGCCGACGGCGACGAGGAGATGCACGTCGTGTCCGCCAGTCTCAACGAGTATGTGACCATGGTCGCCGCTGGTCTCGCCAGCTCGTCTCCGCACATGATCAGCGCCACCATCACCTCGCTCGCCCGGCTCGTGTACGAGTTCCACACCGAGCTGCCCCGGGAGACGCTGACGGAGATCCTGGCGACGCTCCAGGAGTTCCTGCGCAGCTCCAACCGCGAGATTGTCAAGAGCACCCTGGGCTTTGTCAAGGTCACGACAGTCAGCCTGAGCAGCGACCTCGTCGACGAGCACCTCAACACCATCGTCCCTGCACTGCTGAGCTCCAGCGCCGAGCACGGACAGCACTTCAAGACAAAAACGCGGCACATCTTTGAGCGCCTCTTGCGGCGTTTTGGCTACGAGCGCATCCTGTCGCTGACTGACGAAGACAACCGTAAGCTCATCAACAACATCAAGAAGCGCAAGGACCGGGCCAAGCGAAAGAAGGCTGCACGCGACGAGGGCGACGAGGGCGCCGAGGACGAGGCGGCGACGGGAGCGGGCCAGCGCAGCCTCAAGAACGTGGGCGCAGACGCCTTTGAGGAGGCCATCTACGGCAGCGGATCCGACATCTCGGACTCGGACGAGGAGGAGGAGGCCGGTGGACGATCCAGGGGAAAGGCAGCCGCCCAGCAAAGCAGGCGAGAGCAGCGGCGTAAAAAGGGCCAGGAGTACATCGTCGAGGACGACGACGAGCCCATGGACCTGCTCGATCGCTCGGCCGCGGCAGGCGGGCGGATCACGAGGGAGCACAACGTGGCAAAGGAGCAGAAGAAGCGAAAGGACCTTGGCTCTCGCTTCACCCTCGACGAGGAGACTGGCCGCATGATGATTGACGACCCAGAGGCACCGTCGGCGGGCGCAGCAGCGCTCGACGATGCCGATGTGGATGGCGCTGGACGCGCATACATGGACCGCGAGAGGGGCACGCACGGCTTCACCCAGCGCGACGGCGTGATTCGGCTCAACAAGAACAACAAACGCAACCGAGAGGCCGATGCCGAGATGGAAGAGGAGCAAATGGCAGCTGAAGAGGCAGCGGCCGCACAGGAGCAGCAGCAGCAGCAAGAAGAGACGGCAGCACTGGCGGCGGCAGCAGCAGCAGCACAGAAGAAGGCACAAAAGTCCAAGCCCGCCAAGCAGCGCGTTGGGCAGGAGTTCAAGGCCAAAAAGGCTGGGGGCGATGTGACAAAGGGCGGGCAGAGCCCCTTTGCATATGTGCCGCTGGGCCAGATTGGCGGAAAGAAGGGCAAGGCGGGTGGCCAACACAAGATGAATATCCTGGCAAAGGACAAGAAGAGAAGAAGGACGTAGTACCATTCTACCTACTTACTGCACTGTACCTGAGGCTTCTTCTGGTTCACGGAATAATTCATGATGGGATAACGAAAGACCGCGTGGTTCGGCCCTGATCCATGACGTCGAAAGCCCGACGACGCCCACATGTGGATTTGGGGAGGCCTTAGCGCGCGTCCCTGTCGCTGCGCGCGGCCAACCCGAAAGTTCAATTCTAATCTTTGTATTATTGTATGGCCCTGGCGCCCAATTTCATCTCTGCTTCTCTTTTTTTCTTTTTTCGGACTCCCTTTTCACCGTTGCTAGTGGCTAGGTAGCAATAGTAGTAGTAGGACTAGCGGCACGGAAGCGGTGCTTCTTCCTGCGCATATCATCGTGCAGCTTGGGCCCCCATCTGCTCGCACGCACGCACACGGACCTCCCCCTCTTCCCTCTCTCTCTCTTTTGCTCTCCCTCTCCCTCTCTCTCCATGAGGCTGGCTGCGAGCGCAGCGCCCGAGAGTCGACGAACCATCCCCGTCTCACAGGCCGCCGTCGGCCGCTCGTCCGCGCGCGTCTCATCCCGTCGGTAAAATAGGAGCAGAGTGGAAACGATGGCGACGATGGAGATGGCCCGCGAGCAGCCCGCTCGACACGACGAGGGCAGCCTGGACCGGCAAGCGGGGCCGGCGACGCTGTCGACGGCGACTATAGCAACACCAACACCAGCGACGGCGGCGGCGGGTCCGGTAGCAGCCTCGCCGGGGCAGCAGCAGCAGCAGCAGGCGGAGCTGCTCCAGCTTCCAAGCGCCCCGACGCATGAGCCCGCGTCTTGCCCGTCTTCGTCTTTGCCGAGCGCCGCTGTTGCTGGCTCCTCGTCGGCGTCCGCGTCGTCGTCGTCTTCCCCATCCCCAGCCACACGGTCGCCGATCACAAGGGGACAGGCGGGCAGCAGCACAGCGGCCACATCGCCCTCCCGACTGCATCCATCTGGCATGGCAGTGACGGCGACTACGGCGGCCACGGCGGCCACGGCGGCCGCGGCGACCACACGCATGGGCAACAGCGGAGAAAAGGACGACGAAAGCGAGGAGATGGAGGAGATGGAAGAGGTGCTCGAGGAGCTCGACGACGACGACGGCGTTGAGGTCGCAGGCATCCGGACTGGTTCCCGGCTCGGCCATGCCGACGTGCTGGCCGGCGGCGCCGAGCAGGAGGCGTCGATGGCCGAGACGGTGGCGACGATGCAGGGCGCAAGCGTCGCTGCGCTCCAGACGCTGCTGCGGTCCATTGGATCGGATCCGGGCGCCGTGGCCCTCATCGGCGGCCAGCCGCGGCTCGACGCCCTCGAGGCAGCCGTCGCCGCCGTCGCACAGAGCCTCAAGTCGACATCGCCGATCTCCTCGACGAGCAGCCAGGGCCCTGCGTCGGCCCTGTCCGAGAACAGCGCCGCCCAGGAAGCGGCGGCCAGTCTCAACCACCTTCTCGACTCCTTCTCACTCGATGCGGCCCAGCGCGATGCGAGCCTGGCCGACGATCTGAACCTAATCAATGCTCTCGGCTCGCTCCTCTCCAGCCTCGAGGCATCCAAAGCACACGTCAGCACCGATCTCGCCCTCGGCAGCGAGTCTGCCGCCGCCGCCGCCGCCTTGCCCCGATCCTCGTCGCCCCAGACTGCGCCTGCCGCGCTCGGCTCGCTCCAGTACCACCAGCAGCAGAGCTATGCCCAGCGCTTTGGCCACCGCGCACCGACGGGCGCCACGAGGATGCCCTCGTCTCCCCTGGCGCAGACGGCTCGAGCCAGCGTCAAGTCCCCCAGCCCATCTGCGAGCCGCGAGTCGCTGCGGGATCCGTTTGCCGAGACCGAGGGAATGGTCATGGCGCCGACGGCCATCGCAGTCGAGGATGGCTCCATGGCCTTTGCCAGGCTGCTCGACAGCCTCATCGCGCGCTCTTCCAGCTGCATCGAGGCTGCTTCCCTCGTCGCAACGAGCAGCAGCAGTAGCGCCCTCTTGACACCGCCAAGTAGTACTACCTCGACGGCACAAGCGCATACATCGCCAGCAAAGACGTTGCAGCGCCAGGCCGAGGAGCGCCAGGACGCACTGGCGCAGCTCCAGCGGGTCGCTGCCATCGCCAGAGATCTCGTCGCCTCCAGGAGCGCCACCGCACCCCCGCTCCTCTCTGCCGAACAGTGCCAGCCTCTTTCTGGTCTGCTCGGCAGCCGCACCTCGTCACCGGGGCCCTCGCCTCAGCTGCTGGCCCATGCCAACTCCAGCTACTCGCCTGCCATGTCGCCCACCCGCGGTCGTTCGCGGCGCAATAGCATGGCCTCGCTCAACTCGCCCAGCTCCATCAGTCCGGGCACAGAGGTGCCCATGCCCATCGGAGATCCGGCAGGGGAAGCCCTTGCAGCGGGCGTCGGCGTCGGCGTAGGCGTCGGTGTTGGCGTCGTCGCCGGGGCTTCCAGGAGCTTGTCACGGCCCTCTTCGAGGAGCAACTTACGCCACGCTGCTTCTCCTTCTTCTGCTGCTGGTGCTGCGACCATGTCACCCCCTCCCCCGCCCCCGCTGCTGGGGGGTCCGACGGCTGTTGGAGGAGCTGTGGCCTCTCCGTCGTCACGTAGGGCCAGCTCAACCAGTGAGGGCAACGCATCCATTGCTGCGATGCAATCGCCGCCACCACGATACTCGGAAGACTCGATGAGGAACTGGTCCTCGACCTTTGGTCATGGGCATCATGCTGCCGCTTCGTCGCTGTCTGGCGTGCCGTCGTTTGACCATGCGCAAAAGGACGGCGTCCTTTCGAGGAGCAGCTCCAGCGACGTCTCCTTTGGGACGACGACGCATCATTTCCTGCCGGCGTATGCGCGAGGCTCAGACAACATTGCCTATCGCTATGGCGACGACGCCAAGGGCCGCAGCTCCTCTTCGCTGAGCCACTACGATGCAAAGCTCGGCAGCAGCGGCGGCGGTGCCTTTCACCACTCGACGGAGACAATCGCGCGCGAAAAGGAGCGAGCACGGAGCGCGAGCGCCACGCAGGAGTATCTCGCTCGCACCTCGCAGGACCTCACCATGGTGGAGAACGGCATCGCACGTCTGTACACGGCCCTGCCTCAACTCTCGGACCAGCGGGCCACGCTGAACAGCTCGCCGCAGTCGCACAGCAACTTCAGCAGGGCAGCGGCAGAGGAGGAGAAACCAGGCGCAGTGTTTGATGCGCTCGAGCGGCTCTCTCGCGGTGGGCGCATGGAGGATCAGCGGGCACTCCCGCCGCCACCACCAACCGTAGCCTCGAGCTCGTCACTGAACAAGCTCGACTCGCCATTGGCAAGCCCTGTCGAGCCCTCGTCACCGAGCTCGGGGGGCGCCAGGGGCCTCGTTCGTCGCTTCTCGTCAGTGGCGCCCCTCGCGCTTGGCTCTCTTTCGCTGCGCGGCAGGGGCAGTGCTGCTGAAGGAAAGGGCAAACGACGGGAGCGCGACGGTCACGAAAGTGCCGGGTACGACGCAAGCCTCTCGAGCCCCTCGCCCGTGTCAGAACGTCATGTCGGAAATGGCCACTCTCGACTCGACCGGCTTCTTGGACACCGTTCTCACGACGAGGATGCCGACCTAGACAGGATCGCGAGCCGTGTGCTGAGCTCGCGCGATCGCGAGTACGCTGACCAGCGAGTCGAGTTCAGGGCGCGACCAAAGCAGATGGGCCGCGCATCCAAGCTCGAAAAGATGGGCATGGTGAGTCAATTCTCGAGCTGCTCCACCCTCAATCGTATGCTCATGCTGCTGCTGTTCAAATTTTCTCTTGAACAGGCCCAGACTGCCATGGCGTCGGGATCGGAAGACGACTTGTTTGAGAAGCTGTCGTCGGCCAGCCGGCGCTTGGAGGGACAGGACGCTGTGATGCGACCCAAGAACGGGCGCCGGTCGATGGACATGCTCACTCAGACGCACAAGCGCGGCAGCGCCTCGCTGCCACTCAGCAGCCGCGACCTCGTGCGGGCGAGAGCAGCAGGCGCAGATGGCAACGACGCTGACAGCAAGTGGCAGACACAGACCATCGGTGACTTTTCCGACAATACACTAGCGACACAGGTTGCCAGTGGCATGGCGGGCGCCAGCTCGGCCCATCTAGAAGGTGGAGCAGGGGACGACCTCGTCGGCAACGATGGCGATTCGGATGACTTTTACGTTGGGCAGCCCACGAGTAAGTGGGTCCAAACCCATGCTCCCTCCTCCTCCTCCTCTTCTCCGCAGGGCAAAGCCGCTAACGGTGCTGCTGCTGCTTCGTACAGGCCAAGCAGTCTAGCATTGCATGCAGGAAGGGAGGAGGCAGGTGTGGAAGTGCAGGAACGCAAAGAGGACAGCGAGGAATGTCAATGGCATTATATCTGCGAGACGCAGGCCAGACTGGGGACCATGACAATATCGCTCTGGCGAGAGCAGGACGTCGAAGAGACTCACTGGCGATTCGAGGTCGATGCGTCCGGAGAGCACATAGAGTTGACGGGCGATGATGGCGGCGGAAAAGATCGACGGAAGGTACTTTGCTACCCGCTCTCCTCTAGAGGGACGCCTGGCCAGGGAACCATGACGCCCAAGGAGGATCATAGGAGCGCGAAGGTATCAGTATCGACTGCGGCCACGGACGAAGAGCGACCTGATGCTTTTGCGGAGGCGCCTCTGAGCGCCAGTATGCTCGAGTCGAGCCGTACGAAGAGCCTCGTCTGCACGTCGTGCCTCGAAACCGTCGTCGATCTGCAGAGTGTCTCGCGCTTTGTCGCGCTCCCCTCGCAGCATTGGGAAGAGCTCATCGACGCATGGATGTGCCATGGCGACCAGGAAATCAACGTCGGTCTGATCCAAGCCCACAAGGACATGGACGAATCAAAGCCGGTCCAGGTCGGCGAGGTCCGCGTGTCGGACTCGCAATTGACGCTCAACGGCGTCAATGCCGTCGCCGGGAAGATCGACATTGTCACCTCTACGTCGCCCCTGGAGGTAAGTGTTGGCCGCTTCGCTCGAGCGGAGAGGATTGGCACGAACGGACTGCACAGAAAAGTCGTCATCTTGTGGTGCGCGCTTGCTCTTGCCGAAGTGGTGGCACGCCTTGTCGCGTGTATCTCCTGATGTTGAATGGGCAAACCGCCAGGGCGACCTTGGCCAGGTATGTCCTTCCGTCATTGAGATATGCTGTGAGCACGGTCCGTTCCATCTTTGGGTTTTACAAGGGTACGCGCGGGAGAAGGCTGAGTAGCGCAGAGACGCGGCTTGGCTGGGGTGTTGGAAGGAGACCTTAGATCTCTCCGAGATGAGACTTCTTCCCGCCCAGGCAAGGCTTCTCTTTGAGCCTATCCTTCTCCTCCGACTGATACATTGGGTCCGAGAGGAATTACATCAAGTCTCCTCGTCAGAAACACCATCTTCGTTTCTTCTCAGACGGAGAGGGTCACTAGCAGGAGACACATACACGTTCATGGGCGACGATGGACGCTGATCCCTTCTTTTGCCAACCACAGCAACCAGCTCGGCTCATCTGTGCGCAGTGCCGCTTCCCTCTCGGAAACATCGTGACGCCACTCGACAACTCCGCTCCTCTAGCCCTTGCCAGTGGCAGCTGTTCGATTCGACTCGGAAAGTACGCCCTCCGACCATCGTCCCTATCGAATTTGCAGCCCGCGCCGAGCCTTTTGCCGATCATCGTTGCTAACGACCTCGTCCGGCTCGCCCAGGCACACGCCGCGAGGCATTTTGTCATTGAAGGCCTCCTCAATGAGGGCAGCAGTGCACCTGACAAGGTCATGCTGACCGTTTGGCTCTTCCTCGAGTCGTTCGAAATTGCTGTCTCCAAGACGGCGTCGACCATTGCCGCCTTTCATGGTGTCAAAGACAACGGACATCGGCTCCGCGCGTGCAAAGTCATGTATCGCCTGGACTCGGCACAGTCAGTCGACAATCCCAGCGCGACAAGCTGGAGTCAACCGGGCATGATCGAAAGGCTCGCCTACCCAAACGCCTGGTGCCTCTCCCTTGTCCACTTCTTGCAGCTTTCGACCAGCTGCCTTGCGCCCAGCCAACGCACCTTTGGCCCATGGACGGTTGGCTTTCTCGAAATGACGGGCAGCCAATAAAATACTTTTTCCCCATTATGGACGGGTTTTTCCTTTTCTTCTTGTCCCCACCATTCATACCAAATTTCCTCATCATTCTCATCTCAATTCATCATGCAATTCCATCAAAGATCTAGCACATTCTATGATACAGTACAAAGCTTGCTCACGAGAGCTTCAGTCTGCGCTCCTTGGCAATCACACCAACCAGCTCGTTCCAGTCTGCCGCATCGCCTTCCACAGTGATCCTTTTCAAATAGCTCAGAATATCACCAACCATGAGATCATCGCAGGCGCCCAAAAAGCTGCGAAACCTGCCAACGTCTGCAAGTCGTGGCCCGCTCTTGCCATAACGTTTGTACCACGCCCGCACCATGCCCCTCACATCCTCCAGACTCGTGGCTCCCTTCAGAGAGGGAAGCTCTTTCGGGCCTTTGGCCTTCAGCAGCGGCTCCCAATCGTACTCGAGTGCCGCAGCGTCCGACGTGCGACTAGCGACCTCCATCGCAGCTCTGCGCTCCTCCATCAACGTCCTTTCCCTCGCTTGTTTCCCGCCCTTGAATCTGGCCACTCTACTTCGCTGCTCGGCAATCATCTCCGCCTGGACCTCGCGCGGAAGCGCCGCGTAGAAGTCTGCGTCAATTCCGAGGTCATGCAGCTCGGCCCGAGAGACTGCTGATGGATCTCGCAGGCGAGGCGACGAAGGAGAGAGGAGCGTGGTCGACTGGCCGTGAAGGCTCGTCGACGTTGCGAGCTCCATCGCGCGGAGGCGACCCGGCTGCTGCTGCACTTGTTGCCCTGGCCGATGGGAGCCCGACGCATCGTTCAACACTGCCCTTTCAAAAAGCCTTTGCTGCTGAAGCAATCCTCCCCTCCTCCTTGGCGACTCGGACAGCGATCTCTTATTGTCCAACGGCGACGAAGAAGCTTCCCTCTCTCTGCCGAGGTCCCTCATGATTTCTTTCCGCATCGACTCCGGAAGCTCTTGCAGCACGGCCGGATCAATCTGCGAGAAAGTCGCGGCGACAAAGTCCGACCTCGATTCCGCTGCCTGCTGTAGCAGCTTTTGCTGGCTCGCCGGCCCGTCTCGATCGCGCTTTGATGGCGTCGCAGAGGCTGCACGTTTCATGAGTGTCGTGAAAGGGTTAACTTTCGTCGGCGTCGTTGTTGTTGATGATGCCTTGGCGGGAGAGGGCGAGAGTTTCGATGCAGCAGCAGCAGCATTTTTGCTGGTCGTCTCTGCGGCGAGTGAAGGTAATTTATTCTGATGTCTAGCTGCAGAAATTTGGGCCTGAATGTGCGCCGGAAGGGCAGCGATGACTTCGCTGTCCAGTTGCGAAGCTGGTGGGATGACAAACTGCGTCGAAGCAGGTGGTCGTGGCGGCGGCTCTGGCGTGACGGACCGTCTTCGCGGTAGTTGATCAGAAGATCCCGGCACTAGTTCTTCTGAGGCGCTCATGTCGTCTTCATCGTCGTCATATTCAGAGGTGTGCAGCGCTGTCGAGATAGGCAAGGTATCTTGCTTCGACTTCCTCTCGCTCACATTGGCTCTGTCAGTGCTCTGCTCTTCATCGTCCCTCTTCGAAAGCTTAGGTTCTGGCTGACCAAACACGAGACGTGATTGCCCTGCTTCTGGCTTCGCGGTGACCTTGCCTTCCTTCGGTGAAAGCTTCTGCAATGTAACACCGAGCCCACGCAGCTGATCTGGTGGCGCGTTGAGGCTCTTGATGAGTGGCCAGGCCGCCTTGAAGATCGTTTCGGCATCATCGACTGCCGCACCGCCAGGTCCCCGAACTGGACAGCTACGACTGTGTGTATCGCAAGGACCGTGCCCAAGAAATTTGGGCGCCTCAATGGGTGCATGAGCTGCTCGAATCATGACGCTGACGACACACTGACGCCCCGCGAGACGAATGGCTTTGAGCCGGCTGCTGACTTCCTCGCACAATTTCCGCACAAAATCTTTTGCTTCCTCCTGTGTCTCAAAGCGAATTGCGTAGTTGACATTGGCGCCACACGACTGCCTTTGCTTGACGGCTTCGATGCGATCCCTCTCCCGGCCATGCAGCTTATCCCAGACTGTCGCGCCCATCTTTTCGCCCAGCTCAGCCGTCAATCGGGCCTTGGAGGCCTTGGTACGGGCCATGCCAACATTGTAAGTGCCAAAGAGCTCTTTGAACCTGTTGCGCATGGACCAGCCGATTCCGTGCAGATCATCGACGTCAAGGGCAGCGGTAAAGTCGAGCACGTCTTCCGGTCTGAGATGAAACGAGCCTCCAGGTTTTGCCTTCCTCGTCGCAAGCCGTGCCTGGAGGATGTTTGCCCCGATCCCGATGCTGGCTTCACACCCTGTCCTAGTGCGAATCTCATCCCGGAGCGCCTCGGCGAGCTGCTTCTCCTCTGTCCAGACCTCACCCTGGCTGCTTGTATGACCACGATACGCCTGTAAAAGCGCGGCACCTGACTCGCTCAATCCCTTCCCCTGACGCATGTTGTGCAGCAGCATGCTGACGTCGAGGAGTGCCTCGTCGATGCTTACAGCCTCCAAGGCATCGGCATGCTCGAGCATCAACGCGTAGAACTTGACAGCCACGTCGTTGTAGCCGGCAAAGTCATAAGGGATCGTCTGGACCGTCGGACACATTCGCCGAGCCTGCCCCAGACTCATGCCGTTGCGAATGCCGGACTTGCGGGCCTCGTAGCTGCAGGAGGCAATCTCCGAGGTGCTGCTCTCGCCCGCCGAGTCGGAGGAATTGTGGCAGACAACGACAGGCTTGTCGACAAGATCCGGGCGCTTGCGAAGGCCGACGGTGACGAAGAATGCGTCGAAATCGACATGCATAATGCAGCGCTTGATCCCAGACGGCAGGTCCAAGCTCCCCTGCTCTCGTCCCGCTTCTCTCATGGCTTGCGTGACGAGTTCCTTCATCTCGCTCTTCCAGGTGCTGAGGTGATGCAGCCGACTCTTCTCAAAGAAGCCGGCCAAGAAGCTGTCGCCAGTCGCCGTGTTGTGTTGGCGCCAAGACGGGGACGAGAGCAGCTCGGCGGCCTTTCGATTGGAAGGATGCTTTGCGTAGGGATGCGAGGGGTGAGTGTGCCCAGCCGCCACGGCTGCTGCCCAGGTCGGCGGATCAGTGCCGAGCGAGGGGAATGTCTTCGCGTCGGGAGCATGTGCTTCGGGCATCTGATCTATGTCCTTCGTACCGGTAAGTGGAGTCTTTGAGGTTGTGCGTCCCACATTCACCGATCGAAGGCCGTCATGCTTGGTTTCGACAGAAGTCTCGAGCTTCGCTATCGACCTCGGCAGCTCGTTGGTTGCGGCGTCGTTGTTCGGAATATCTTCATCGGCCTGTAATCTTGCTGTCGCTGGAGCTGATGGTGCTTGGTTCTCCATCAGGGTGTCTTCATGATGAGAAGAGGCCCGAAGATCCTCGCGCTGTGGCGCAAGAGTAGAGTCCATCGCTGCGGGCTCTGCACTCGCCCGTGAGGTTGATGGCGCCTTCTCTGCCCAACCGGCCAGTGTCTTCTGACGACTGCCCTTTCCCCATGGGCCCACGCCGCCTCCGTTTGTACCGGCACCCGCACCAGAGTGCCTGTACAAGGACATGGCTGGGTTTTCCGTTTTGGCCATCGATCTCCAATCCTGGCCCGCCGTCGCCACGTTGTTCTTCTTCTCATCCTCCCCTTCCTGCTCCTCCTCCTCAACGTCCTTCTGTTGTGCTGCGCTTGCCGACCTGGTCCTCTTCATCCCCACTGCCTCCCGTGGAGCAAGAGCACCGGCTTTCATCGCCCCGGTCGCATCTGCATCGCACCTGAAATCCCTCCAATCGAGTCTCCTCCCCTCTTCCACGCTCTTCACCACCCACTCTGGCTTGACGACCTTGTAGCGCTCAAACTCGATGCGCTTCTTGGCGGTGAGGTTCGACGCCACAATGTGCGTCACGGGCGTCTTTTGATCCAGGTACGGCATCAGCTCGCCGCCGTGGAGTTGCAGCATCCGCCGAAGCTCGGCATACGGCGGGTTCGTGTGGCCGTTGATGTAGATGCACGTTCCTCTGAACAAGGGTGGATAGGTGTCGCTTTGGGCAGTCTTGCTTTGAGAGGACGCGCCTGCAGCCAGAGCCGCAGCAGCTCGTGCTTCGTCCTCGGAGATGGCAGCCTCCTGTACCTTGAGCTGGTCATACAAGTTAGCCGACATCGATGATGAGCAGCCCGATACTGCTGCGACTTACCTTGAGGCGTTTGTTCTTCATGTACGATCGAAAGTCGCCAAAGGCGCTGGGCTTGTAGGCGTCTGTCTCCATGTACGTCTTTGCTTCGGGCGATGGCTTCTTGTTGACATCATCTGGAAAGTCGTCGTCACTGGCCACTTCGCTCTCAAAGTCGGCGCGGGCCCGCTTGGCCGACGACGACGAGGCAGCAGCGTTCCGGGGAGGTGCCGAGCTTAAGTCGGGTACCTGGACTACCTCGGCACCTTGCGTATCGAGAACGCCGAGGTAGAGCTCTGGTTTGTCGTTTCCAGCGTCCTGCAACTGCAGCGGTGGCTCCTCGCCGCGCTGCCCTTCGTCATCTACCCCGTGGACAGGCGCGCGCATCGCGGAGGGCGGAAGCGGCAGCGGCGGCGTGAGCTGGCTCGTCGCCGCCAGTGCATCGTAGAGCGCCTCGTCATCGTTGTCTCCAAACGAGGTCTGGCTACCCGCCGGTGGCGGCGACCCGACCATCACGTCGGGAGGGGGCCCATCGGGTTGCTCGCAGAGGACGTCAGTCTCGTCTCTCGCGCACTTGGATCCATTTTTCTGGTTCTGATTCTGGTTCAGGGCGCGTAGATTACCTCCACGCTCCGAAGCGTGTGTTTTTTCGGTTTTGAATGTCCGGTCATCTCCACGCAATACATACGCCTGCGTCATGGTGATGAGAGTATGACACTATTCGGACTTGCTGCAGTAATTTCATAGTGATTGACAACGGCGCCTAAAAGTACAGGTTGGAATAGCAAGAGGAAGCTGGTGGAAGTGGTGATGTTCAAAGGAGGGCTACAGCAGCAGAGGACAATCAATCTCTCTCTCTGCGCGCCCGCCCGCGTAGGCGTGTAAAAGAGTGGATGGCAATCATGCCCAATTGTCCCGCGAGTCGGACTTGGCTCGACCCCTGAATCCGCCCTCTCCTCCGGAGTCGTCAAAGCCTCGACTCTTGAAGCCGCCGGCTCCTCCCCTGGAGCTTTCATAGCCGCCCCTTCCCCTGGAGCTTTCATAGCCACCCCTTCCCCTGGAGCTTTCAAAGCCTCCCAACCGCTTGCCATTGCGACCTTCCCATGGCTTTCCTGCCCTGTCACCGCCAAAGTTGCCAAAGCGCGAGCCAGACCTACGTTGCTCGAGCCTGATGCCGAGCTTCGAGAGGAATGCGGCGCTCACGTACGGTGGCTCGTTGAGACCACCGGCTTCGACGGCCCACTGCTTGACACCATCCACCATGGCGCTCTTTGTCGTCCGCAGTTCGTCCGTCCGGCTGGCATAGTAGCCCAGCAGCGAGGCAAACACCTCCGACACTGTCTCTTCCTCCAGGCCAGCCAGGGCTTCTTCGATGGCACCATCGATCTTCTCGTCTGCGAGCTTCGCCGTCAGTTCCTCTTGGAACTTGGACGGTCGATTGGGCGACCCCGAGTCCGCGCTGGCATAGGGTGCTCGCGAAGACTTTTTACCCCTCGTCGACGACCTCTCGCGCTGACGATCATGGGCAGGAGCCTGCTGCATCGCATTCCAAATCTCCGAGGGAACAACGCTCGTCGGGTCCTCGTCAAATCTTGTGGCAAGCTCGGCGAGTTCGGTCTTGAAGGCGTCCGTCGAGATGTCCTGAACAGGCAGATCCCTGAGCGACGAAGCGGCAAAGCCGGCCTCAAACGGTTGCAGGATGATGTCTGCCCGGCCCGTCTTTCCTGCTCGACCAGTCCTGCCGATGCGGTGAATGTACTGGTCGGTGCTGACGGCTGAGCCGACCTGGATGACGCGTGTAGTGCCGGGGTAGTCGACACCCCTTGCGCTCACGTCGCTCGTGACAAGCACAGAGGCACCCGTCGGGTCCTTGCGGAACATGTCACTGGTTCGGAATCGCTGGTTCTGGTCCTTCTTCGAGTGGATCTCATACATCCGAGTCGAAGAAGCAGGGAGGCAAGCCTTGATGGACCTGTGCGAGAGGACCTGGCTGAGCATCTGCGTCAGCTTTGTCGTGGGCGCAAAGATGATGATCTTCGATCGACCAGGGTTGGAGAGCTGGTCATGGGCGATGACGCGGATGAGGTGGCGAATCTGGTCGGCTGCCGAGGACAGCACCGTCGCAAACTGGGGAATGTGCTTGTGAACATTGTCCTCGCCCTCGGGGACGCAGTCGATGAATGCGTGGTTCTTGTCGAGAGTCTGCCTGGCAATGGCGCGGATGTCGCGAGAGACGGTGGCACTGAAGAGCATCGTCAAGCGGTCCTCCTTGGTGGGAATGTGGGAAATGATGGACTGGATGTCGTCGCGGAAGCCCATCTCCAGCAGCGTGTCGGCCTCGTCGAGAATCAGCGTCTGACACCCAGACAGAGCGTTGCGGACGACGGATTCCTCTCGGGCGAGATCCATGATGCGGCCTGGGGTGGCCACAACGACGTCCGGCCTCGTCTTCTTCCACTGCCGCAGCTGACCCATGCGAGACGCGCCACCAACGAGGAGCTGGACGGAAAGGCCGTCGTGGTGCTCATGCAGCTTTGTAGCCTCAGTTGCGATCTGCGTCGCCAGCTCACGGGTGGGTGAGATGACGAGGGTGCCGACGGTGTTGTTGAGGAACTGCTGACCGAGTCGGGTCCTTCCGTGCTTGTCCAGTGCCTCGAAACTCAAGTCGGGTCTGTTCTTCTTGAGCATCTCGGCAAACGGTTCCGTGAACTCTCCCTTGAGCACACCCTTGTGTGCCTTGAGTCTCGCCTCGATGGCCGGCACCAGAAAGGCCAGCGTCTTTCCCGTTCCTGTCCTCGCCTTGACCAAGAGGTCGTGCCGTCCCTGCTCCTGCGTGGCCTTGGTATCTGCCAGTTCCGGTAAGAGGTGCAAAACACGCGTCTGAACGTCCGACATTGTCTTGTAGCCAAATGGCTTCACCGTCAGGGCCTTCCAGGTCGGATAGGAGATGTAGGGCTTGAGCGAAGCAAACGACTCGTCCTTGGGCGGCTTCTCTGTGCTCGCTGCCTCAGCGCTGCCTTCTCCGATAGGCTCACGCGCCACTTCTCTGTTCACTGCTTCCGCCTCTGCCTCCTTGACGACTGCTTGCATCTGACTGGCGCTGGTCTTGAAGGAAGCATGGTGGCCAGTCGTGTACGAATCGAGATGATGCAACCTTCCGAGCAACTGGGATGCTCTTGCCGGTCCGCGAACCGACACAGCCAAAGGCGCCGCCGCAGAGGCCCTTCCAAGTCTTCCGCTGGCGCGAGCCAGCTGTCGAAGGGCGAGCATCTTCTCTTCTAGGCTGCTTGTGTCTTCCTCGACACTTACGTGAGAGTGAAGATGGGGAATAACCTCTTCCTACGCTCAGGCAAATTTTTCCATAAAATTGTCAGTGGCCCTTTTTTTTTCCTGAGTTCCACGTGCGTGCACTTCCGATTTCCGAGCCCCCCTGCCAATTTTTTCGTTTTTGGCCTTGTTTTCGAGCTCGATTTCTTCTCAAGAATCGACTGCTTGAGGTGACAATGATCTCGGCAGCGGCTTGGATTGCTCGCGGCAAGGCGGCGAGAAATCCCACCAAGTACAACGTCGAGGATGAGGCAGAGCTGGAGCGGGTCGCAAAGCTGACCAATGTGCACTTCGACGACGCCAAGGAGCAGCTCGCAAAGGCGCAGAAGGCAGCCGCCAACTGGAACCGGGAAGGGCGGCAGCAGGATGAGGCTGGCGACGGATGGGAAGACGACGACGACGACGATGATGATGATGGAGGTATCAAAGATGATGAAAAGACGGCAGAGGCAGCAGCAGGGGCGGGGCAGGAGGTGGTCGCCGACGATGCCACAATGGACACCGACGACGCCAACGACTTGGCCAAATACAATCTTGACAGCTACGACAATGATGCCGAAGAGGAGAATGCAGGCCAGCTCGGAGCGTTCAGCAACATCAAGGGTCTCCAGTTCTACCGAAACAATGACGAGGACCCGTACATCACCATGAAAGAGGAAGACGAAGACGAGGACCGCGAGGAACTCGAGGTGCTGCCGACCGACAACCTCATCGTCTGTGCCAAGACGGAGGACGAGGTGTCGCTCCTCGAGGCTTATGTCTACTCTTCCGAGGACTCGAATCTCTACGTGCATCACGATCTTATGCTTCCCAGCTTTCCCCTTTGCCTCGAGTGGCTCGACTACAAGCCGGCCGGCCACGGGGCAGACCAGAACAGCGCACCAGGGACAAAGGGAAGCTTCATTGCAGTGGGCACGATGGATCCGGAGATCGAGATCTGGAGCATGGATGTCGTTGAGGGGCTGTTCCCTGATGCGCTTCTAGGCCGACGAGACCTCACAGAGGCGCTCAATGGTCCCAAAGGAACGGGAAAGAAGAGTGAGTTTTCGATTCCGGGCATTGAAGAACTGCCGAAGTCGAGACTGACCACCTCGACCCCTCCAATCCAGAGAAGAAGCTGCCCAAGGTCCGCGTCGCCAATCCAAACTACCACGTTGACGCCGTCTTGTCTCTGTCGTGGAACCGGAAGGTGCCGAACCTGCTCTGCTCGGCCTCGGCAGACAAGACGATCAAGTTGTGGGATCTGTCGCGCCCGTCGGAGACGACGTCCACGTCGGGCGGTGTGGGTGCCTTGCGATCTTTTGATTCAGTACACACCGACAAGGTCCAGAGCGTAGCGTGGGACGACAGTGGCAAAGCAAGAGGGTCCATCAATCGTCCGGCGACCTTGTTGAGCGGGAGCTACGACAAGACGCTCGCCGTTTTTGACACGAGGAGCCCCGACTCGACTGTGCGCGCAGGTGTTGCATCGGATGTCGAATGCGTCAAGTGGAACCCATGGCGGGAGCACAATTTTTTCGTCTCGATGGAGGATGGTCTGGTGCAGTCTTTTGACGCTCGAGTCCTTTCCTCGTCATCGAAGGCGCCCACACCGTCTTCAACGCCGACACTCTTCACACTGTCGGCTCACGATGGCGGCTGCACATCGCTCGATATCTCGCCTCATATTCCCGGCTGCCTTGCTACGGCAGGCACAGACAAGCTCGTCAAGCTCTGGTCCATCGACGAAGACTACTCCGGCACATCATCCAACGAGCCCGGCGCGAAACCAAAAGGTATCAGCATGGTCACATCGCGAGACCTCGACGCGGGCAAAATCTTCTCGGCTTCCTTCTCCCCCGACGAGCCTCTCTCGCTCGCCGTGGCAGGCTCAAGGGGCGTGTTGCGGGTGTGGGACACGCTGGCCAACGTCGGTGTCAGAAAGACATTTGGGGAGAGGCTCAGCCAGGTCAAAGGAGGGGCGCCGGCCATCGATGGCAAAGAGCCGAGCAGAGGCGATGGAGTCGTTCGAGTTGCAGACGATGACGATGATGACGACGATGACGAGGGGCCTGATGGCGAAGGAGGCGACGAGAGAATGCAAGAATGAGACTCCTCATTCGTTGCTCTTTGTACATCAGATTGTCCATTACACTCGCAATCACAAATGATACATAGGAGATTTCACGCCAAGAGTTGTCTTTGCGAGCACAGGTGTGAGACGGCAGCTGTACCCGTGTTATTTCATTGTGTTGTATTGGATCAGGTATGTGTTTGTACAGCTATGAGGAGGAGGAAACGATCTGTGATTGAGACGAAGGCGCCGGTGCACTCCTCTCTGCCATTTCGACATCCATGGACAGCATCCCACCTTCCTCCTCTTCCTCCTTTCCGTCCATCTTCTCTTTGTTGATCGGCGCCTTTTCCTCGCTTCTTTCAGAACCTGAACCGTGCGCCTCCTTGTTCTTCAGATGCGACATTTTGGCCTGCTCGCTCAGCATCCGAAACTGATCTCGATTCGCTGCCGCATACGCCTTGGCCCTCTTGTCAGACGACGAGACAGCCGCATGCCGCGACTTCTGCGCTGCCGCCTCGTCCTGTGCCCTCTCCCACTCTGCAAGCTCCTTGCGCAGTGCCGAGTCCGGCTTCTGCACCTTTGCGCTCGCATCGAGGTTCGCATTAAAGAGGTTCACCCACTGACGGTGCCGCTCAATGAGCTTCTCGCGGGTGCCTGACGTCGAGAGTCGGTGCTCCTCCAGCTTGCTTCGCAGGTCTTTGTCCTTTGTCAGAGCGTAGTTGGGCCGGGTCAGACGCTTACGCGTTGTCGCGCCCTTGCCAAGGCCATCTGTGGTGGCCTTGACACCAACCATGCCTAGCGGTTTCTGAAACCAGCTGCCTCCTCCTCCCGCTGCTGCTGTCGATGCTCCCTCGCCACCATTGACGCTTAGGGTACTGCTTCCGCTTGTCTCTGTCGCGGTCAGGCCGCGCTCCTTATCCGATGGCTGCGGATCGTCTGGGCTGCAGCTGCCCTTGTCGAGGTGCCGATTCAGGGCTGCAATGGTAAATGTATGCTGGCATATCGGGCAGGGCGAGAGATCATTTGCTTGGAAGCGCAGGATATGTCAGCATCGCACAGCCAAGGTTTCGAGCCGAGGATGCCTCACCAGTCATTTCCCTATAGTCTTTTGGAGACGTTGGTGAATGTGCCTTCCCGTTCGAAGGTGAGCCCTTGTCTCGTTGCACGCGAGTCGCTCTAGGATCATAGCTGTCATCTTCTTCACTGTCCGTCTCAAAGACAATGACTTGGGATGCAGCAGTCTCCTTGGGACTGGCCCCCCTCGTCCTGCTCCTCGTCATTCGTCCATTTTCGGCTCTATTGGTGGGTGGCGACGAGCTCTGCCTGCTGCTCGGTCCAGCTTCGTCATGCGAACGCTCCGGGCTCCTCGGTCTCTTTAGCGATGCTCTCGAGGGCGTTGCTTCTGCTGCTTTTTCCTCCATGGCTTTGAACGCCTCCTCCCGCTTCTTGTCATCCTGTTGCTTCTTGAATAGCTTCTTCCTGTAGCGGTTCACACGCTTCAAGTCAATTCCTCCGCTGCGCCAGTGTTCTTCCACTCTGATCAGGCTCACCTGGCTATTCGCCACTGTAGAGCAACGGACTCCATGCCCTGCTGCGGCACGAGCTGAGAGTCGTAGACGTTCTTGGCCATACATTTCGGGCAGTGGTGGCCGTACGGATCGGGCTGGTTGATGGAGCTGCGCACGCATGCAGAGCAGAAGGTATGGCCGCACTCCTTGAGCGACACGGGGGCCGTGAAGATGTCCTGTGTATGTGCAGGGTTTTAGTGAATGCAAGCTCAGTCAGCTTACGGGACAAGAAGAGGTGGACTCACGTAGCACACTTCGCATCGGAGCGAGCTGTCGAGCGCCTTGAGAAAGGCGTAGTCGTCCTTCCAGTCGTTCGGATCGTCGGCTCCCTCAAATGCCGATGCGGCGCCCCCAGCGCCTAGGCCCAGTGTCGACGTAGATGCTGACGACGAGGCCATGAGAGACCATGAGCTTTGCGCTTCCCTTATAATCGTGCCAGACGCTCGTGGTCGTCGTGGTGGAAACAAATGATCCTCGCCGATCTGGAAATTGCTGCAAGCCGGAAATAATGAAAAATGCAAAGTAGTCAGCAGCGCGCGACGCGTTCGCATTGGCCTCTGCTCGTTTTTTCCTCGTTGGACGGGAAGAAGGAGCATTCCCGCCGCCCTGAAGCTTACGGCGATGTGCGCTGTCTCTTCAAACGTAAACAATAGCTGTCTGTTCTTCTCAGCTCAGTCTCCAATGTCAAGGTCTTCTAGGCGCTAGGCTTCGGACACTGTTTCTTCGCCATGTCCAAGGAGTGAGGTCATATAGCCATAGCCAACTTGATATTCTGCTTTTGTTGACGGTGCGCGATGTCACTTCGACTGAACAGCATGAATCTGCTAAGAATTATCTTCAGAAAGGTCTTAAGAGCGCTGCTATCCCGTAACATCACAGTCATGTGCAGCAGAATAGCGGGGCGTTGAGCAGAGAAGTCGTGGATAAAGCTCGACCCAGATTTCCCCTCGATTTTAGCGCCGGTTGGAACCTTTTTTCTTCCCTTTGTTCAAGGATCCCCGCCAAAGGCAAGCAAGGCATACTCGCTCGCTCGCTCGCTCGCTCGTGGCGCAACGATGTCGGCGTCAACCTCGCGAGGCGCGGTACCCAGCCGGCAACCTACGCCGCTCGACGAGGAAGAACAGTCGTCGGCGGCGGTCAGGACAGGACGGCAGGCATTGGTGCTGACGTTTGCCTCTGCGGGGCTGGGCAACTCGCTGAGTGCAATCTGCACCAACCCATTTGACATCATCAAGGTCCGCCAGCAGCTCGCCGTGGACCGGAGCCGCGCCAGCTTCTGGTCCGTCGCCGCGTCCATGGCGCGCAACGAAGGCGTCCGGAGCTGGTGGAACGGCGTGACGGCGAGCTGCCTGCGCGAGGCGAGCTACAGTACGATCCGAATGGGCTCCTACGAGTCGTTCAAGGAACTCTACTCGCCCCTCGTTGATGTTTCTTCTTTTACCAACAAGCTTCTCGCAGGCATCACGTCCGGTGCCATCGGAGCGGCCATCGCCACGCCGACGGACCTGGTCAAGGTGCGCATGCAGGCCGCGCGACCGCCGTCGGGCGAACCGCCGTTCCCGAACACATTCGTCGGCTTCGCCCGTGTGTACCAGGAGGGCGCCGCGCGCTCCTCGTCGCCGCTCGCCGGCCTCCAGTCGCTCTACCGCGGCGTGGGGCCGACAGTGGTGCGTGCGGCAATCCTCACCTCGACACAGATCGGGTGCTACGATGAGGCAAAGACGCTCATGAAGGCGCGCCTCGGCCTGTCCGAGGGCGTCGCGCTCCACTTTGCCAGCAGCATGGTCGCTGGCTTTGTGTGCAGCGCCGCGAGCCAGCCCGTCGATGTGATCAAGGTCCGGATCATGCAGGACAAGTCCCGCCAGATCAACGGCGCCTTCCACAGCCTGGGTATGCTCCTCCGCAACGAAGGGCCTCTGGCTTTGTACAAGGGCTTTGGCATGTGCTGGGCTCGATTGGGCACGCATACAGTCATCTCTCTCGTCTTGTTCGAGCGTTTCCGGGCTCTCTTTGGCATCAAACCTTTGTAATCAACATCCTCCAATGAGCTAAAATAGGCAGCAGTCGCTTTCGCAGTATGGCAGAGACGGAGGAAAAGATGGTCAAAGCGTGCCATTCTCTGCTGTAAGAAGCTATACAAGGAAAAGCGAAGAGTAAGTGACAAGGGATCCCGCCATGAAGAGGCTGGGACAAAGGCAGGCGATAGGGGAGTGAGAGAGAGAGAGAGTTGGAACGAGAAAAGACCGGAAGAGAGGAGAGGAGAGGGGAAAAGGAGCGATGACAGGGAGAGAGGAGAGAGGAGAGAGAAGGAGAGGGATAAAGGAAAGGTCCGATTAGATCCTCCGAGAATTCATCTGCTGTTGCTGCTGGTGGTGCGGCGGTGGCATTCGCATTTGTCCTGGTGGCGGACCGTAGGCACCCGGCGGCGGTCGCTGCATGGGCATTTGTCCCTGGGGTGGCATACCTGGCGGATAGCGTCCTCCTTGGGGCGCATAACCCGCAGGTGGGGGACCATAGCCCGCGGGCGGCGTCCCTCCACCGCCGCCGCCGCCGCCGCCGCCATTCATGTAGCCTGCAGGGGGAGGTGGACGCTGGAACGGTTGTGGCTGAGGGCCGGGCATCTGCCGGATCTGCATTGGGGGTTGCTGTCCCCTCCCGGGCGGAGCTGCCCCTGCGATACCGCCAGGTCGGCTTGACGGCACAGCTTGGGCGTTTGGATTCCGCGCCCCCGCCACGGCTGACCCTCCTTTTTCAGCCGCCTTGATGATCTCCTCATCGAGAAGATTGAGTGCTGCGCAGAGGACGATCCACTCGACCATGTCCTCGTTGCCTTCGCCCAGCGTCTGCCACACCGCCTTCTCCTCTGGTGACTTGCCAGTGATGCTAACCCTCGTTCCTCCGCCGCCGCCGCTGCCCACGCTGGCATTCTTTTGGATCTTGCCAAACTCAATTCGCTTCGGTGGGATCAGGTGGCCGGCATATGTAAAGTAGAACATGGTCCAGAACGTCGCGTTTGGGTTGGGCTTGGAGATCTGGAACAGCGGCTGCTCGTGCCCTGGCGCATCTGGATTCGGGAGTGTGAGCTTGTACACGGGAGCGTGGATGCCCGTGTTGGTGATGGACCACTTGAGATTTCTCGACGCCTCGCACCGCACCGATCGATCCCGATTGGGGTCCGATGCGTGTCCTGGGTCCGACTGACCTGGCCCGCCTGGACCTCGCGAGCCGGGCGGCGGGACCATCTTGGCGACGCAGAGGTCGCCTTGGGGCGAGCTGCAAAATTGGGCATATCAGCGCTTTTGCTAGCCGGGTGCTAAAGTAGAAACTCGGCCTCACTCACGGAGTCAGAAGGTACGTCTCCCGGTTGAAAGACGTGTGGATGTAGGAATAGAGGGTGTGATGCGGCTGGCCATGCGGCGTCACGATGAGCGTAGGCAGGTGGTTGGGTATCGGCGCATGGTTCGGCGACGTGTAGATCGAGTAGACGGCCGACATTGTGAGTGTCTCTCTATCTCTGTCTTGTCCCTTGTGTTTCCTCTTTTGATTATATGTTCGGTGTAATAGATTAAGAAACGGCGAGCCTCCCCTTTACCGGAAAGAAAGAAGCAAAGAACACTGGTGGACGACTGCTTCAAATGTGGACGCCGATGGCGTGGCCGTTGTCGTCGTTGGTGTCGTGGGAGGGGCGCAAGGTGGGATGTCTATGGCGCTCCTCGGGCGTGCCCCTGTTCGAGGACTTGGATCACGGGAAACGAGTGTCGAGACGAGTCAAAGGAAAGAGAGAGAGCAGTGTCTTGTCCGGAGCTAGAATGTGTACACGTTCGCCAAGTTCTGCGGAAGCAACAGACGGACGAGAGGGGGGGCCGATGGTGGTGCTGGATGTGGTGAGGGCGACGATGTGGGAGGATGAATGGAGAGCAAAAAAAGAGGCAGGCGCGCGCGCCGGCAATTCCAGGCAGGCCAGCAGCAGCAAGCAGATCTTGTACTGCTGATGCGCCCCTTTTCAATTGACGCTTCTCCTTTCTATTAATACCAATATTTTCCTTTTTCAGAAATCGCCTCGCCCTCGGCGGGCGTTCACGCATGCAAGCGTATCGAGTTCCAGACGCTTGCATCGTCTGGAGTCGTCTATTGTAGAGGCTCGTCAGTACGTAGTAGTAGTAGCAGTGATGGTTTATTTTCTCTTCCTGACTCATGACCGGCAACTCAAGCCTTTGATAACATTGTGCTCTTCCCGGTCCTTGTTCAATATACCTGAGAGAGTAGAGGGGTCACAGAGCGGGGTAATATGGAAAGGACAGGCACAATCAAAGAGCGGGTTGCCTCGTCGGGGCGAAGAAATTCAGGTGAGGAAGACTTGAACAGGGAAAGGCGGCTTTTGTGAAGACCTCGTGCGGCGAAATGTTCCCTCGAGAGAGGGGCTGAAAGCGTCTCAAGCAATCGACAAAGTCTAAGTCTGCGACTGAGCGGGCGCCTTGAGCGGGCGCTTTGAGCGCGAGGAATACCCGCAAAAGAATCCGGTGTCCAGTACAGAACCTCTAAAGGTGAAGCCCTTATTCGAGACAACGAGAAGCCCCTGGAGATTGGAAAGGAGGACACCGTTTTCCGACAAAGGTGCTTTTAGCTCGCTGTCGGCGGGCAAGGCACGGTGATGGACTGACTTGGTGACGCGACGCGCAACAGCCAGAATATTTCTCTCGCCTGCATTTGGTTTTCTCTCCACTGTTTTAAGACCCACAGACACCGACTGAACACATGCGCGGGCTGGACCACGATCGCATTGCGCAGGTCTAGGAAAGGATCATCACTGGCGATATACGGACACAGGAGCGGCTCATGAATCGGTCTGCCAGGTCGCATCGCTCCACCAAGATTCCAGGCGTGCGGATAAAGCCTCCCCCTGCAGTGGGAGCCGATGCAAAGGCATCGACATCCCGAAGGCGTCTCGAAGACGAGGGTGACGGGGAGGCCCTCGCTCACTACAGGCAGCTGCGTGATGGCGTGCTCGAGGAAGCCGACAGGAGGGGCAAGAGGACAAGGCAGACCTCAGGCAGGGAGGAAGAGGAGGACAATGAGGAGAGCACAAAGCCGCTGTTGGGCTGCGTCCTTTGCATGTCAGGCGTGACTGGCGACAAGGTAAGAGGCCACCTGAGTCGATGGAAGCGCTGCGACGAGCACAAGCGGCTAACTAGTCTCCCATAAATCAGGGAATGCTGTCAAGCTATGCTACTGCCATGGGAGCAAGGGTCGAAGGAAACCTGACCGAAGATGCTACGCACCTCATCGCCCCCATGCCCGGCTCGGAAAAGTACCGCTGTGCAGTGCAGCTGGGCATCCCCATCCTGAGACCTGCATGGGTTGCCGAGCTACGGGAGAGGTGGACAAACTTCGAGGAGTATAATTTCGAGCAGGTGCGTGTGTGAGAAGTATCTATGAGAAGCTCGCTCCATGCTGATGAAAATATGCTTTTATCGCGGCAGTTGATGGAGCAACACAGGCTGGGTCCGTTTGAGAACTTTGGTGTTGGACTGGCAGGCTTCACGAATCGTACCGAGAGGTACGACCTGCGACAGCGACTGCAAGCAGGCGGCGCTGCAACGCCAGAGGTCTTCACGCTCGACGGCAAGATCACACACCTCATTTCGGCCACGTCCAAGACGGCCGACTCAAAGACGCTCAACCTCCTGACAACGTATCGAAGAAAAGCGGAAAGGTTTCTCCGAAGGGGCGAACCTTTGCCTTCGCTCCAAGAGCATGGAGCTCAGGAGATCCACGCCGCGCACGAGATCCGCATTGTCTCGAAGGACTGGCTCGAGGATAGCCTCGAGATGGGCGTTTGTATGGACACGGACCTGTACGATATCCTTGGTACGTCCAGAACAGTCCGGCAGAGAGACGACTTCAAGCGAGGAATCGAGGAGGCCAGACAGAGGAGCGAGGCTAAGCTACAAAGGAACATGGCCGCGGCCAAAGAGAGAGCAGCGAGACACGTAGAGGAAGCGGTGGGCGTGCGAAGGAGAAAGAAGGAAGAGGCGACGGAGCCAGGCCGGCCTAGCAGACCGCTGGGTCCAATGTCTGGCCTTCTTGCGCCGAATGGCGACACCTCGTCTTTGCGTGACGTGGCCAAGGAGAGCCAGGGGCTATCGCATGTGAAGCAGAGCCGCCTGCAAAGCTTGTCGAGGGAGAAGAGCTTTGGCCAGGCAGAGAAGCTCTCTGCGTCGTCAGATGTGGACTGTCCTCGCGCATCTCCAACCAAGCCTCCAATTGGCACGGAAAAGACACAAAATGCCATCTCCGATCACGTCGAGATCGATTCGGCCTCTGGCTTGGGCCAGGAAGAAGGGCCCATGACAAGACACAAGGACTGGACTGCAGCAGCGTTCAGGATGGACCTGAAGGATGAGGGACGAAATCAGCGATTGTCGAAAGCACTACGCCTGAGCAGCGTCGCTAAGGTGGTCTCGCATTACGATGACAGCCAGGATGCTGACTTCTGCGTCGTGCCGCTGAGCTGCGTGGAAAGGCATGAGCAAGTGGGCGACAAGCGAAGAGGGGCACTAGTCACACACCTCTTCGTCGAGCGATGCATGCACGAGTCCCGGCTGGTGGACGCCAAGGAGTCCTTCGCGCTGCAACCTTGCCCCACTGGCTTTCCTGTCGCTGGCGCCCGTGACACGTTTGTCGCCGTCACCGGCCTGAGTGAAGGCATCGAGCAGCATCAGGCCCTCGCGGCACTGAAAGAGGCAGGCCTTCAGACGTCGTCGACGCTCAAGAGATCCGCCCACACCCACCTCTTGTGCGGCTCCGATGCCGATCGGAGCGAGAGCTCGCGGCTCAAGCGGCAACGTGCAAAGGAGTGGGGCATCCCAATCGTCGGGCTCGACTTCATCCAGAGGATCTACTCGGAGGGAAAGGTGGAGCCGCCTGCCTCTTCGTCAGCGCTGAAAAGAGCCATTGCGAATCGACCCCTGGGACAGACCCAATTTCTCAAGGCTCGCTCACTCAACAGTGACGACAGCGCTTCAGTGCCCGGAGGCGAGTCCCTGGGAGAGACACAGCGCTTTGACGAGGAATCCAGTGGTGCCGAGACGCCCGCTGCCGAGGAGAAGGCGACAAGAGGTCCTGTCACTGCTAACAGCGGTGCACGAAAGCACGAAGCTTTGCTGCCGCCGCAGGAGCAGCCAGGGCAAGAGCCTAAGAGAGCTGCTGCTGCTGCTGCTTCACGTTCCGAGCCGTCGCTTGGCGATTCAGGCTCGCTCGCGACGAATGGAGTCGCGCAGGAGGTGCTCGATCTCATCAATGGCAACGCTGAGCGACAGCCGCGGCGGCGCGACAGCAGCCCTAATCCACGACGGGTCGAATCGGGTGCCTCGTCTTCCTCTTCTTCTTCAGGCCACACTGACCGGACGAAGAGGACTCGAGGAAAGCAAGGCCCTCCCGCGAGACGACGAGGGACGAGTAACGTCGAAGAGCAGGACAACGCAGAAGAGATGCTGGCGAGACAGAGAGAGGCGGAAAAGATGCGTGCGGCCCTCATGTCGCAGCCACAGACCTTGTCGATGCACGACTCGTCACTCAGAGTCGTCTATGAAGACCCGGCTTCCAAGAAGGCATGGAAACAAATGAACGATCTCATCGGTGGCGTCAACAACAACAGTAGCAGCAGCAGCAGCAGCACAGATTCCCAGACTGTCGAGCCAAAGTGAAGTGCCATTTCATTGGTCACAAAATAAACGAATCAGTTTACATCTTGGGTTGATTACAATAAATGCTATCATTGCTCTCTTTCCGCCTGCTTCACAACCATTGCCAGACCCTGGCATATTCTCCAGAGACCTTTGCCTCCCTTGTCCTGACGTTTGCGTTTCCCTCTACAATCTTCGACACCCTTCTCCAGAGGTGCTCGCGCTTGGCGACGTTGTGCTCATCCCGCAGAACACTGTCGCGCAGCTGGGCGCTGGAGAGAAAGGGCGGCTCAGCCTTGGCCTGCGCCTGCAGCTCCTCGATGGCGACTTTGACGAGCTCATGCACCTTTTTCGCCGTGTCCTGCGTCTTTGCGAAGCGCGCTCGAAGGAATTGTACGCCGCCGACGAGGATCGTGACCAGTGCGAGCCAGATTCTTGCCCGGCGCCAGAGCGACTGGCCCGCCAGCTTGGCCTGGCATGATGCTCCGACGCCCAGAGGACCTTTGGCAGCAATGAGCAGCCCCTCGTCGCCGATGACATTCACCCGTCCGTTGGTAGTGACGTCTTCGAAGGCCAGCTTCCACAATTCATCAAAGTATTCGTCTGCTTGGTCCGCCAAGAGACCGCCCTGCTTGACATCGTCCCTGAGCGTGTCCTCGAGCTCGTTCCTCGGCAGAGCAAAGAGAGTGTCACCACCGGACCCCTTGGATACAGACTTTGCTTTTGGGTGCGGGTCTGCGCGTTTGCACAAAACATCGGCCTTCCAGTGTCGAAGGCGGACCTCGAGCTCTTCGGCAACCTCGGCAGCCAAAAGCACCTTTTGCGTGTCGGGCAAGCAGACCGGAGAAGAGGACGATAGCGGCAGAATGTGATGGACGAGGGGTATCTTGCTGATAAAAGGGTGGGAGAGCACGTAGTCGGACGATTCGCAGCTGACCAGCTTGCCGCTCCGGCAAATTGCATGAGGCGCGCACGGGGTGCATGTCGGTCGCAAGGCTTGAGGCACCGAGAAAGACAGGTCCACGTCTTCATCGCCGTTGTTTCGCTGAGCCGCCCTCTTTGCTTCGACAGCGACCCTCTGGGCAAGAAAGACGTTCGAAGAGGATCCTGTGTCACAGAATCCTACTTCGCGGCTCTCTCGGACGTACCACGCCCACCAGACCATCGTGACAGAGAGCAAAGCAAACCATAGCGTACTTCGAATCGAAGATAGCCGATCCTCTTGAGTCTGTTTCGAACCTGCTCGAAATTTTCTTGGCCGGGCCTCTCCGTTTGTAATGCTTTTGGTTTCGGCCTCATCCTCGGTATCTCCTTCAACTTCTTGCTCATTGGAGCTGAGCTTTGCGATGCCTTTTTCGACCTGTCTCTTCACAGCGCCCACGACACGCGGTGGTGTGCTTGCTGCAATAACAGGGTCCATATAGTTTCGGAGCGATGAGAGGCTCGTTACCTCGCTGTTGTCCTCATCCTTTGCCGCCACCTTCCCCTTTCGACTCTGTCCTGTCCCAGCTTTACGTTCTGACGATGCCGCCGGTCGCGCAGACTTCTTTGCCTTCTCTTGCCGCACGGCACCCCTCGACGAAACTCGCCCACTCTTCTCCTCCTTTACGCTCTGGAAAGGATTCTGTTCTGAGAAATTGGAGTTGTCGGGGTCGCGCTCATCATCGCTACCGCCGCTGACCGAGGCAGCAAAGGAAACGGAGCGGCGGGAGCCAGGCGTCGATCTTCTGGACAAAGCTGATCTTGGCTGTGGTCATAATTTGAGAGTTAGTTTCGAATCAGTCACATTGGCTCATGAAGACTCACCACGCCGGCAGCGCCTTCGCTCTCACTGCCCGTGTCAACCGCCTGATCGTCGCCTTCGCCTCCGCTCAGAGGGCTCTTGACGCGTGTCAGAGAGCCATAATGCAGCACGCCTCGCCCATCAGGCCTCGCGTTGAGATCCCGATTTCTCTGTGCGCGTAGCTCCGAGGCTCTCGGTCTGATGTGTGCCTCGTATGCGTCGACGAGAGCTTGCTTGCGCGCCGTAGAGGGCAACGAGACGCCGTGCTGCAAAAGCAAGGACCGGAGCTGGGCCACCTTGAGCGACGCCGGCTCGAAATCGGGAGAGAACGGATCCGTGTCATCATCGATGGCGTTTGTCGGGCTAGCGAGCGAAGAGGTCCTGCTCATGCTCCGACGCGGTGGCGTCGCGAAAGACCTTGACATCGTCGGCGGATGCAAAAAGATTGACGGCGGCTGCGCGTAGTGTTTATTTCGTCGACGCTTGATCCATTTCCAATTTTTCCACGCTCGCGTGGCCGAGAAAGTGAATTGCAAACTCCACTTGGACGGGGCGTGCGCAGCGATGGCCTCCTGAGGTCTCACCATCACCGACTGCAAACAATGATCGTGCTAGCGCTTGTTGCCAGCGGCTCCACGATCCTCTGCGAGACCCATGATCCCGAGCATGAGCGTTTCCTGGTGGGTGACTCAATACAGTCGTCTATGCGAGCATTGTCATGGAATGGCTGAATATTCTTTTGCTTGCCCTTCACGCAGACGGCGTCAGAGACCATCCTTGGTCGCATCCCGCCCAATGCGTCCCGGCTCAGCTACTCTTTCGAGGATTGGCTCTTCCACTACGTATCCGAAGATGGACTCGTCTTTCTCTGTGCCGCCGACGGAGGAATGGGCAGGCGCCTGCCCTTCGCTTTCCTGTCAGAGGTGAGTTGAGCTCTGATGATAACCGCAGGATACATGACGTGGCTCACCTCTCTCTCGCTTCCTTTTTTTTTCCACAGGCCCAAAAAAAGGTGGGTCATCTCCCCATTAGGCTCTTACGCAACTGGCCGCGCTGACCCAGACCCTTCTGAAGTTCCTCGCAACATTTGACTCGACGCTCCTCGCCTCGCCCGAACCCTCGGACTTTGTCTCATACAAGACCACTCTCGAGTCGCTCGTCTCGCGCTTCAACCATGACCCACAGTCAGATCCTGTCAAGGCCGCACAGAAGGAGCTCGCAGGCGTCAAAGACATCATGACGCAAAACGTCGAGCAGATCCTCAACCGAGGCGAACGTTTGGATTTGCTGATGAGCAGGACGGATCAGGCTGCGAATCAGAGCATGGCTTTCCGGAAGAGAGCCGTCGGACTGAGAAGGCAGATGTGGTACAAGAACGTGAAGGTCATGGCCATGGCAGGATTCTGCCTTCTGGTGAGTGGCTTGACGAAGACTAGACTGAGATTTCCTTCTTCGACTGACCTGACAATTTTCCCGTCACCTTGTCAGGTCCTCTTCATCATCCTTGGAGCTATTTTCTCGCAGTAATACCATATGTGCTCCGGTGTTGTAAAAATGTCGTCAATGATGAAGCACTAACTAGCGAGCAGATAGAGTCTCAGCTTCAGTTGATGTTTTTTGCATGCAGGGGCATGGGGCCATTGCACGTTACCCTTCTGTGGTACTATCAAGGAGAGTGATGTTCTCGACCCCATCCCAAAAATAAAAAAGAATGGTGACGAAAGTGGGATTCGAACCCACGCCCCGAAGGACAAGTATTTGTGAGAAAGGAGAATTCCTTAAACTTGCGTCTTAGACCGCTCGACCATCTCGCCTATATCAATAGCTTCGAGATCTTTGTGCACAATATAATCGTAACACAACGTTTCTTCTCGGAAAATACTCCGACGTTGGATTTGTGAGGATAACTGAGGGATAAGGCGAGATGATTGCAGGGCTTGACCCTGATTCAGGCTGGAACCACTTCAAACAAGAACACCATCGCTAAGTCGCTGTTGATTCACTTGATTTGGACCTTTGAAGGGAAAAGATTATAGATACATGAGGAAGTTCGAGAATGCAAGGTAACGAGCAGGACCTGACAATTAGCCAGTCTTTGCCGTGTTGACCCAATCGATGTTGTCCTCTCGGCACTCGATGCGCGATCGGGTCGTTCCAAACAAGCGATCCCATAGTCTCGTCTGTTTTCCATAATTGGACGAATTCCGCCATCCGAAGCGGTGGTGCTGGTCGTGGTCCTCGAGGCAAAGGTCCATATCGAACCATCTGAGAATGTACCCAGTCATGGGCGTCATCCAGTATAATCTGACGCCCGAATGGCCAAAAATCTCTGTGTAGATGATGAACTGCTGTGCCATGAACCATGTTGAGAAGTTGAGACTGTTTTATAAAGGGAGGTAGGAAGGAAAGAGCATGGTGAGCATCACCATTAAAAAAAAAAAAAAAAAAAAAAAAAAGAGGACTCACGGGAAGACGAGCCAAGTGAGCAAGGGAATGACGAGAATGTCGCCCCATTCCTGCTCATTGTCGGCGAAGGCAGACAGGAGCGGGTTCGGGTGCTTGGTGACGTGGTGAAGTCGGTGGAACTTCCACAGCCATGGGATCTCGTGCATGCCCCGGTGGTACCAGTAGAACCAAAAGTCGAGGACCGCCGAGTAGATGAACATCTGAACGGGGAACCAGAGGCTCAACGACGGCTTCTCGTATCGGTCATAGATGAGGAAGGTGGCGAACAGCGGCCGAATCGTAACGGTGCCCAGCATCGACAAACCAATCTTCTGAGAGTGTAGATCGGGGACACCGTCACGGGGGTGGGAGCCGTCAAAGAAGCCGTACTTTTGGCCCATGCGGTTGAACACGCGGACACATCGAATGGCGAAGAACTTGAACGCGAAGGCGTAGAAGAAGAACGCGAAGACGGGGTGGAAAGTCCATCCCGTCAGCTCCATGAAAGCGCGATGGATGAGGATTGGAACAACGGCCCGCGGCATAATGTAGGCCCACTGCCGCCAGACGGGGTAGAAGGGCACCTTGTCGTCCTTGGTGTAGACTGGAGCGGGCGCTTGTCCCTTGGGGTGCTGAAGGATGTTCAGCCGATGGATTAGCCGCTTGTAGAAGTCCCATTCGGACTGATCCTCGTCGAGGTGCCAAGTGGCCGTCATGGTGTGCTTCTTCTTGGGCGCGACCATGGGCGCCTTGTCCGGATTTTCGACATTTTCGATCGTGACCTTTTGCGGCTCCTGTGCTGTGGCAGCCATGGTTGATGAGGTGAAGGGAGCCCGGGGGTGCTTGATCGCTCTCTGCCCACGTTTATATATGTGAATGAGCTCGTGAGGACAAACTGCTCCATTCACGCAGCCCACTCTATCGTATATGTGCTGCTCAGCCAACGCTCTTACTGGCAGGCCGCCACACCAAGAAAACGAGAAACGCAATAGGAATCAATGGAGCCTGGAATAATTTTAGCTCATTGGATCTGTGAAAGGTGAAAATTAAATAGGAACAGGGGAGCAGAAAGATGCCCGAGGGTCAGTCTACTATCGCTAAGTCGTCCCGAGGTAGAGGAGCCGAAGTCGCGACGGAAAATTGCAACGGAAATTTTCACCCACGCTACCTACTGAGGCTGATAGTCGAGGCGCAGGTCCGCTTTCGCAAAGCAGAGAGGAAGGCATGTGATGATTGGACTATGATGCTGGCTTCTCTATTTCGTAACGACGTGAAAGAGATTTTAGGGGAAGAGAAGGGGAACACAATTCGGAGCTAGTGCCTATGTCTTCTACCAGTATATGCGCCTCTTGCGCCGGCGTGCTGGTACCACAAGTCTATTCTTCCCTTTCAGAAAGAAACGGGATGATTCCAGTCGATGTTGTCATCACGACTCTCCTCTCGAGGCCTGGCCGTGCCGAAGAGTGTGTCCCAGATCCTAGTCTGCTTGCCATAGTTAAACGACTTCCTCCACCCCCTTGAATGATGTTTATCGTGGTCCTTGCACGGCACAGTGCATCAGCATCTGATTGCACTTCTTGCACATGTGAAAAAGAGAATAAGTTCGTCATCACTCACCTCGACACAGATCTCGAGGCCAAGGTGTCGGAGAATATAGCCCGTTGCTGGAGCTGGTATGTAAGCACGTATACCTGAATGACCCATTGTCTCGGTGTAGACGACAAATGCCTGGACGATGAACCATGTGGTAAAGTCGGGGCGGAGGGTGATGCTCGTCAGAAGTCTACAAGAAAAAAAGAGTCAATGTGTTTGTCATGATGAGCGTATGAGAAAATATAACTCACGGGACGAGGAGATTGTCGCCAATTTCTTGCTCGACGTCGGCGAAGGCGCTCAGTATCGGGTTAGGATGCTTCGTGAGATGGTGGACACGGTGATACTGTGCGTCGCCGAATCCGTTCCGTGAGCATTTTCTATTGAGACTCCTCTTTACCCTCTCACACTCACCTTCCACAGCCACGGGATGTCGTGCATTGCACGATGGTAAACGTAGAACCAAAAGCTGCAAGATTGGAGATGAATCGAATGCCTACGGGGGCTACAGAGAGGGCCGCACTCACTCCAGCACGACAGCATACGCGAAGATGTACACTGGCAGCCATGGGCTGAGCGTTGGCTTCTCGTATGGGTCGTAAAAAAGGAACATGCCGAGAAAGAGGCGGAAGAAGACGACAAAGACGAGGCTGATGAAAATTTTGGTAACGTATACATCTGGGACGCCGTCTCTCTTGACTTCGGAGTCGAAATAGCCGTATCTGGCGGCCAAGTCGTTCATCTTGCGGATGCAAATGACGGCATAGACCTGGAAAGCATAGCCGAAAAAGACGTGGGCCATGAGCGGGCTCCAGGCTTTGCCGTCGTTGTATTCGTAGTAGGCTCGATGGATGGCAAAGGGAACGAGAGCCCGAGGCAGGATCCAAAGCCATTGCTTGTATTCGGCTAAAAAGGGAACCTTTGCGCTCTTTGGAAGCTTTGGCGGGTTTGGCACCTCGAGGTCGGGGAGCACATGTAGCAACCAGACATACCACATCAAGATGTTCCAAGTGTAACGCGGCTTAAAGGGCCACGACGTCGTCATGTGGTGCTTTTTAGGCGGTTGTCTAGGCCCCTCGTTGCTCTTGACCAAGTCTTCGCTCTTCATCTTCTCGCAAAGGACAGAGGGAGAGGAACGAAAAAGTGCCGTAGTGGTGGCGGTCATGGAACGGGGCAAAGAGGAGGATCAGACATGTAACGACTTCTCGATAGAATCCCTTTCCCAATGAAGAGCTTAGCTGTCCCAACTCGTCCATGTTTTAAGTCACCCCCCTCCGTTCACCGTTGACCCTAGAATTAGCACTGGAGACAGAATATAGGAAGCAAACGACCTCACCTCCTTTTCCTTTACTCGGGGCGAGTCCGGGTGGGCGAGTCCGGGTGACCTTGTCCAAAGCACCCCCATATCCTCTTACTATTCACTAAGTGGCCATCTCAGGCTATTTAAGCAACATGACATTTCCTTTTTGTTTCATTTCTTCTCCTCTTTGACGCAAACAAGAGGGAAAGAGGGATGAGAGCGAGAGAATCGAAAGAGTAGAGCGGCGAGCAGTTTCTCTTGACTCCGCTCTCGTCTCGAAATTAGAACGTCCTACCGATATAGAGCATCTAGGCCGTCGACTTTTCCTTCTTGTCGAAAATGGCCGAGATCGAGGTCCAAACGACCTGCGGAGCCTGGGCGGCGTCGACGGGAGCTGAAAGAGAGAGTAACTGGTCAGCGTGGACCTCACGAATCGCGGAGCTCGGATACTTACACCAGATGCCTTGCTTACGGTAGTAGTCGGTCACGGCGGCCGTCTGGGCGTGGTAGGTGCCAAGGCGCTTCTTGAGCGTCTCGGCATTGTCGTCGGACCGCTGGATCAGGGGTTCGCCGGTGACATCGTCGGTCATGGGCTTCTTGGGAGGGCTGTATTCATACAATTGATTGTCAACATCTCCAGCAGCGAGGTTGGAATTCCACCCTGGCAAATACCTACCTAAACTCCTTGTGGTAGCTTCGCCCGCTAGCAGGGTGAATCAGCCGGCCGGTGATGCGCGAGATGAGGAGGTTGTCGTTGATTTTGAGCTCGACGGCGTGGTCGAGCTTCTGCTGCTTGCTCTTGAGCATGTCATCGAGCTTCTCAGCCTGAGGCGTGGTTCGAGGGAAACCATCGAGGATGAAGCTGGATTTCAAAACAAGTCAGAAAGTGAGTGAGCGTAATCCATGAAGAGAATGAGAGAGTGTGCCACACACCCCTTGCTGCAGCTCTTGTTGTTCTCGAGCTGGTCCTGGATCATGCCAATCATGATCTCGTCGCTGACGAGGCCACCCTGGTTCATGATCTCCTTGGCCTTCTTGCCCAGCTCGGTGCCCTGGGCGACCTGCTCTCGGAGCATGTCACCCGTGGCCAGGTGGCAGATGCAGTTGTTGTACCGCTCGAGAATCTTGGGCGCCTGCGTCCCCTTTCCCGCGCCAGGTGGTCCAATCAGGATCATGCGCACGCCTTCTGTCGCGCCCGAGGCAGGGAGCGCCGACGAGACGGCCGAAGAGGCGGCCTTTTCGAGCGAAGAAATCTTCGTCTGCAGCTGCGAGACGAGATCCTTGAGGTATGCAAGCTCGTACGAGCCATCCTGCTTGGGCTTCTTGGCGCCCAGTACGGACGGGTCCGGTGCAGCGGGAGTGCCGGCAGTGGTGCTTGTTGCCATCTTGTATGTAAGAAGAGTCTAGAGTCGCGAAGAGGGTGCGAAAGAAGCAAAATGGGAGATGCCGGGAAAGGAAGAACGCGAAGAAGATCATGGGTGGAGGAGTCGACACGTGTTCTTTTGAGGTTTCAGTCCCCCCTCCTGCTTAGATCGGCGTCAACATCAATAGTTCATCATTCGGACGGTCGGATAGCTATGATACAGAGGAGCGCGTCGGAGGAGATAAAGCGGAAGATGGGACTTGTGTATGAATGAGATGGAAGGTTCAGGGCTATATTTACTGGAGTGGCACAACCGAGGCAGCATGCTGTTGAGCGGCCAAGAAAGCCTGATCATGTGTATGGCCGTCCCGCTGCAGCAGAGAATAGATTTCCGCCTCGACCTTTTGCCGGTGCTTGCGAACGTCCTGCGTCTGAGAGTCCATGCTTGCCTCACCCGTTGTCGAGATACTCGTCGGCCTTGCTTTGTTCTGCGAAGAAGGTTGCTGCAAGAGTTGCTGACGCTGCTGTTGTTGCGACTCGTCCAATTCGCTTGAGTTAATCGGTCCGGAAGAGTCCGCACGTTGGAACTCGAACTTTGCGCTTGATTTGTCCGGTCCCGCCAAGAGCTCCAGCATCGCAGCCAGATCAGCGTCTGACGTGTAGACGATCCTAGTGGCCGCATCGCCCGTGGGAGTGGCCATTTCAAAGCCAATCTGCTGCTGCTGCGAAGACGATGTCCGGGTGTGACCCTCATTGGGATTGTGGGAGCCCATTCCGGCGGGCAAAGGGGGCATGTCGGTGTCGTCAAGGGAGCGCTCGTCGTCGGCATCGTCGTCTTCGACAACGTCAGACGAGCTTCCTTGTTGCTGCCGTCGCTGCTGCTGCTGCTGCTGCTGCTGCTGAAGGCTCCCCGATTCCTCGGGGCCTTGAGCCACCAAGGGCGACGTCTCGGGCAAGCCAGGCATGGGCGGCGGCGCATTCCCATCGTAGGAGAAGCTCTTTCGATGCTTACCCTTTGTCTTTGCAAACAGGCTTCGTCCATCCTCGTTGGCGAATCCGCGATTGGGCGTGGCTGTAGTAGCATCGATCATTGAGTCACGCAGAGGAGTAGCTGCACCGCTGCTGTCTCGGACGTTGGGTCGCCACGAGAAGTTGCTCGCCTCGCTCGGCGTTCGACTGTGTCCAGGTCCCAGGCCGATCGAGCTGCGCGTGTACATGCTCGACCGGTCGGCCAGGCCGGCGATGACTTGCCAGACGATGCTTCCATCGGCTCGTTCGGTCACCTCGATGTGGTTCCTCGGGCCGCTGGCACCGCCATCCCCGCCGCCAGAGCTTGGCGACAACATACCACCTTGCCTGGATCCCTGTGCATCAATGCTCGGTCTTGCCTCGTCCTCACCATCGATGTACATGTCGTAGAGACTGCCGGCGTACGAACTCTGCGCACGGCTTTGCCGATTCGCGTCCGCATGTGGCGAGGAGGGAGGCTTGAGCTGCGAAGGCGTCTGTCCGAGCCGAGGAATGGGAGGCACCGGCTTGTCCGCAGGAACATCCTGCGAGAGTTTGCGTCGGTGCACTCCACTGACACCATCGCGTCCCGGAGGAGTAGCTGGCCGGTCCTGAATCGATCTGCGACCACTAGAGGAGGAGACGGAATTGGTGCGAGTGTGGGGATTGCTGCCTGCCTGAACCACATGCTGAGAGGCACGCGCGGGTAGCTTGGGCTCGGGCTCCTGGGAGACAATTTTGCGCGACTTGCGCTTCGACGAAGTCGTCGACATGACTGACCTACGGCGCTCATCGTTGATGTCCAATGTGGGAACGATGATCGTCCGTCGGACGATGGTGTTTCTCAACGATTTCCTCTCCTCCTCTCGCGCGCGTAGGGTCTCAGCATTGGGGCGCGGGGATGGCCCCCTTTCCGTGGCAGCAAGGGATGTCTGCTGATCCTTGGGTGCGCTCAAGGCAGAGGTAGGCGCTTGTGAGGCCCAGCCATCCTGAATAAGAGCTGGTGAGCCAAGACCACTAGGCTCTGGCGCTTTCGTCGCTGCTGTTGTGTTCTTTGAGGTGGAAGACTTTCTCGGCGGCGGCATGACGTCCTGGGCAAATATGTTGGACAGCGGAGTCGCTCCCGAGTCGGAGCGGGGCAACTGTGTCCGTGAAGCGCCTGACGAGAGCTTTCGCAGAGGAGCGTGTGGAGGCGATGTCGCCGTCGCAGTGGAGCCACCTTCGATCCGCGGCGATTTGCTCGGTTGCGACAGGGCTGGCGACGATCGTGCAGCGGCCACGGTCGTGGGGAATGGATCGACTGTGCCATCGTTTGTACTGAGGTCCGAGTGCTTCTTGGACCTCATTCTCGACATGAAGCGGCCGATGCTACCGACCGACTTGTCGCTTCGAGGCGTGTCCGGTGCATTGCGCGGTGACTGTAACGACGCTGACCTCGACACCTGGCCTCCCGTCGCAGGGCTCTGCATGTCTGCAACCCGATCGTAGTTGGGTGTGCGAGGTCCCGCGCCGCCACTGGCCACCACATCGTCCCACGCTTCGAGCTGGCCCTCGTGACCAAAGGAGCTCGAACGACGGCGATGCGTCATTGGAGCCTTGTTGACCGGCTTCGTCTCACTCTTATAGTCTGTCGGAAACGCTAGGGTGCTACCTGGCGACTTGGAGCCGGAACGTGAGGGGGCCTGCCGCTCCTGAAGACGCTGCTGCTGTTGCTGCATAATAAACGCATCCATCTCCTTAGCGCCTTGCTTCCTCGAAAGCGTTGAATCGACCTTTGGAACGTTACGGGCATGATCCATGCGCTGTGATGTCGACAGCAGCTGCGGCCGGGAGACGTACTTGGTGAGCTTCTTCTTTGACTTGCCACTGAAGGATTTTGAGCGGGGCATCATCGGCTTGCCGCTGCCAACACTGCCCTCAGGCCCCTTGAGAGCACGGGTGGCATTGCGAGCCTGGGCAGCGACGTCATCGATGAGATCGGCATTGACAAAGGCCTCTTGGTTTGGACCCTCGGACCAATTCCTGGGCGCATCGTCCATACCAGGGTCTGAGTTGGCCTGCGTAGCGGGTGTCGCCGGTGATGCGAGACTTTTTGAGTTGGAGAGAATATCATGAGACTGGCTCTTGACGACTGGTCGCCGTTCGATCGTGAAGCCACCGAATCCGTCCGAGATACGGCGCTCCTCATAGTTGAATCCCTCATCGTAGCTCTCCTCGGGGATCACGTCTTGCTGAGGTGCGAGCATGGTTGGAATGTTGTAAATGCCGCTGTAGTTGCCTCCATCAGCGGCCTGCTCGGCCAATGACCCTTGCGCCAGTGTAGTCGCTTCGACCAGAGAAGCCAACGACGACGAGTTGCGGTTCGTCTCCACATCCAAATTGTTCTGTACACCCTCGGACGGTGGGGAGCCTGCAGCTAGATGGCCCAACGACAAGTCTTGGAGCGACGGCAGGTTTGTAACCGAGGTCTTCGCTCGAGGAGGTGGTGACGTAGGGCGATGGCTCGACGTGACATCGTACATGACCTGTGACCGGAACGATCGCTGGGAGCTTGAGGGAGCAAGACTGGCACTAGCCCCACCCGTAGTTGGGATTTTGCCATTGGCGCCGTTGCCAGTAACCGAAGCCAAAGACGGACTGGAAGACGGAGCAGCGTGATTGAAAGGACTGCCCTCGGAAGCATTGCCCCTGAAAGCGTCCACGGAAGTACGAGGACTGAGGTGGTAATCGCCCGATGCCTGTCTCTCCGCCACCATTCTTGCGCGCTCTCGCGCCTTTTCAAGTTTAGTCTGGGGCGTGCCTGCAGGTGACATGGGCCGATTGGCAGACCAAGGAGACCTTCCAGGAGCATTGTCGTACGAGAGCTCCCGCTGATGAGCCATTGGCGGCATTGGAGGTGACGTTGGGAGGGGAGGAGGGGTTTGGTCGACAGAGGATTCACGATTTGAACCTTGCGGGACGGGCGGTAGTGTCTTTTGGCTTGCCGATCTCACCAAGTTGTTCTGAATCTCGGCGAGCTGGTCCATGGTGATACCTGCACCGGCAAGGCTGCTCGCCGCCGCGACTTGACCCTCCTCTTCCGGTTGCTGAGCGCTCGACGCTCCTCGGGAACCTTTGTTTGCATCTCTCGCATCACGCGCCACCTTTGCCCAAATGTCGTCCTCGTCCTGCCGCTCGTCTTCCGAAGCGGCAAGGTCACTGAGACCGCTACGAACGCTGGCGGCGTCGGCCACCCTGTCGCCGTACCTCTCGCGCCACTGTGCGGCCTTGAGGGGATCCTGGGGAGGTACGGGATACAAGCCATTCTCGCTTGTCGGCGAAGTGATTGAATTGCTTCGCTTGGGAGCGTATACACTTCCCACTTGGCTGGTTGCCGGCGTGTCGTTCTGCTCCGTCGTCGGCGAGGACGCGGTCATGGTTGAGGCTACCGACTCAATGGCACCGGTGGGCTTCGTCGCGGCGGCGCCGTTCGTGTTGACGCCCATGTTGGCTGGTCGGAATCCGGCCGCGTACGCAGACTGCATTGAGGTGTTGTTTGAGGCCTGGGGAAAATAGTGCTGGGACCGTGCGGCGATGGCGTCGGCCGAGAGCACAGAGGTTCCTGAAGCGGAAGGCCCGAGCGGCGGTCTGGCTCGGGCCCCATTGGCGGGAGGAGGCGTGGAGGCAGCACTCAAGGCACTGGCAGCCGCGACAGAAGCACCGCCAGCAATGCCAAGGCCAGCAACCTCGTCTCCTCCGTGCCGTAGCTGCGATCGGGAAGGTGTCTCGCCGATGCTGCTTAATGATTGCTGTGCCCTTAGCTGATGCTGGGCTGAGGGAGATGAGGGCGATCCCGGAAGCGCAAACGTCTTGGCGTTTGGACTCGTGGGTCCAAGCTTGATCCGACCGTTTGCGGGGTCGATGGAAGCCACACCTTGGTTGCTCTCACGCCTCGGCGAAGAACCGCCAACATAGTTCATGCTGGACCTCGAGCTGGTGAGGCTTGGAGACCGAGTGCAACTAACGGTAGTCATCGACTGGTCCATCGACTGATCCATCGACAAGTCACCAGCCGCATCTCGTGACCCATCAGGCCTGACGACGACGGCACTGGGTGATGCACGGACTCGTCCATCGGACGAAGTTGCAGGCGCGGCGCTGTCCGAACGTAAGTAGGCAAGCTGAGCGTCGGATGGAGACGCAGGCCGAGGTGTTGAGAGGGCCTGGATGGTCTGGCTACTGTCAGCCTGAGCCATGGCAGCAGCTCCAATACCGATCGCAGCCCCAGGTTCGTCTTCCGCGAGATCCATGAGACCGTTTGAGTTGAGTGGCGTCATTTCGGAGTGGGCAGAGATGAATGATCTTTCATCGCTGTCGACGGACCGACGCGTGCTGGCAGTTTCCCTGCTGAGGCTGTGACGATGACCGGCGCTTCGTCCTTGTCTCGGGGAGGCTTTACTGTTGAGCACCTCAACTGTTTGTCCTCCCTTATCAGCTGGCACACGAGCCCGACCATTGGTGCTGTCTTCTGTATCGCCTTCGTCCTCTTCCTCTTCCGCTTCCTCTTCGCCGACTCCATCTTCGTCTTCTTCCTCTGCCTCTTCGCTCGAGACCTCTTCGTCAACACGACCCGCTACCATGCCATACACCTCTGCCAAGGCAGTGCTGACCCTGCGGAAATCGTCTGGACTCAGGTTTGTGAGAAGCTGAGATTCACGAACACCCTCGTTCTGAGGAGCAGCGAGCAGATTGGGCGAACGCAGTCGAGGCTGGGGCTGAGGAGAAGGAGCGAGCTCCTGACGAGGCGGTGTAGCTCTTTCGTCTAAAGGCTGCCTTGATCCTCTCCTCGAGGCCGAGATGAAATCACCAGGCATGGCTTCTTCGCTTCCGCTGCTGCTGCCCAGACCAGCGACTGCCTCCTGCTCTTGACTCTCCCCCTGCTGCGTTGAGTCGCTCATAGTCTCAGAGTTTCCAGTTTCGGCGGTGGGAGCGTTGCGAGACTTTGCCGCTCGCGCCTTGTGGACGCCGGCAATGTATTCTTGATCTCGCCTTGAGGATCTTCCACTGAAAAGGTTTCCTTCTTCGCTTTTTCCCAAGTTTCCCAACGTCTCTGCCAGCGACGAATCGACCTTGCCGGGCACAGACGATTCGTAGCGAGGGCTTCCCCAACCGCCGAAGCCGTCGGTGCCTCCAAAGTCGCCGGTGCCGCCGAAGCCGTCGGTTCCACTTCCGTAGCCTGACCGGGTCCATTGAGACTCGCTGGCAGTCGCGCTCAGTGCATCATCCTGGTCCATTTCGAGCCGAGTCTGTCTACGCAGCTGATCGATGATCTCGTTTTCCTCTTCTTCTGTGAGAAAGTTTTGGTTGCCCGGTACCCCAGCGGCTCTCGCCCTGGCCCTTTGGGCTCGCAGGTGAGCGCGCATGGCGTCCGGCGTCACCATCGTTCCGTCGGGGGCCCGGAGCAGGGTGAATCTGCGCGTGAGGTGGGGCATGATGAGCGAGGTGCTGCGAGGGTAAGAAGAGCCATGTCAGCACTCATTCATCTGCTATCATGGACACAAGCCTGCATAGACTCACCCTGCGTCATCAAAAAGCGCCGGTGTCGAAGATAGTGAACGAGATGGTGAGCACCAACAGAACAAGACCCAGATGCGATGGATTCAGGCACTACTCACGATAGTCGGATTCTGGCGGGAGTGCATTGGCTGTATCGAGCTGGGGTGCCTTGGATGGGCGTCGCTGATACTCGCTTGCACCAGCCTGGCCACGCTGGCTCGCGTTTGGATCGGCCACGGCAATGGTGATGCCTCCATTCTGCTTGCCTCGCGACGACGGCTGGTTCTGCCTTCGCCTAAAGGGATTCAAAGGATTGTTGGAGAGCATCGTCGGCCTTGACCTTTGCGTGGATGCAGCGGGGGTAGTTGTACGTTCGTTTGTCGTGGAGTTCCCTCCGCCCTTCACGAGATCGCCTGAGACCGACGAAGTCGTGAGAGATGACTCTATTCCTGCATTCCCCCCTTCTCTCGAAGAGGCGGATCGCTGCGGACTTTGTCAAAGAAGAAAGGAAAGAGAGCAAATAAGTGCCAGCTCTTGGCGACGGAAATAGCTTGAAAGTCGGTTCCCTTCTTTTTCTCCTCTTCGCGGACCCGCCAGTTGAGAAAGGGCGTCACCGCGAGACGTCGCAAGCCCAACGGAAAGCAGCGAGGAATCGAGCTTGTAGTTGTGTCGTTGCGTGCGCAGTGTTTCGCAAAGCTTTGCGAGCGGGGATGCCTTTCGGAGCGCTAGCCTGTGTTGTGTAAGGTCCTGACGATGACAGCAATGAAGATGAGAGGGAAGAAAAAGCGACTGGCCTGCACTTAATATCGTCTTGCCTGATTGAGCTCTTTTAGCTCGTTTCTGTTTTTTATTTTCCTTCCCTATTTTTGCACTCTCTTTCTCCTAAGTGGCACTTTGGTGGGCTCCGACTGTATGGGCACCGTGCACCGTCCGGTGCTTTGTATCCAACAAATTATGGCGAGGAGCAACATCAACAAGAATTGCAGTCCGGCAGCCAAGGCACAGCTAGATGAGTTTCGTTTAACCTGATTCAGCACCGTTCGATTCCCATTCGATGTCTGGCTCCCGAGAAAGCGAGCGAAAGCCGCTTCTGCTGTCATGGCATTGCCCCCTCTTTTTTTTTTTTTTTTTTCTCCGTCCGCCGGCAGGACCGGACCAGCTGTCTGATTTGTCACTCATGACAGAAAAAGGTTGAATGCACGGAATTTAGCCACGGCATCTGCCAAGCCTCACGTGAGACTTTACCTCCACCACAGACCGCTATGCTTCCCCCTCTTTCGGAGCGCAATCCCGAGCAGGCAAGGCCTTCGCCATTCGTGGCTTTGAAAGGTGCGAGGGGGTTTTCCTTCCTATTGGAGAAGAAGGCTACACCGAAAGCACCATCAGCTTTGAGTTACCCAATCCATCAAACAGCTCCTTCTTTTCCCTCTGCGCGACTCTCCTCCGCTCTCATCAGCCGCCGCCCTCGCACCAGCACGCAAGCCTCCGCCCCGCCTAATCGATCTCCCGGTAGATAGCAGAGGCGCCCTCGGCCACCCTGTACGCACCCGATCTCGCTCTTACACCTCTCACAATTCTTTTATAACCTCAAATTCTCCTTTCGACGGCCTTTCTTTCTCATTCGCCACTCTCTCACGATGAGCCAGCCGCCGGTGAATTGGACGACACTCGTCGCCGAGTCGTCGCGTCCCAAGCCGGTGAACCACATCTACATTACGCAAAACTCACAGTCGATCAAGGGCAAGTACACCATCTCGCCCTACGCCGAGGACGTGTATCCGCCAGTGTACGACCTTCCGCCTGCGGAAAACAAGGCAAAGAATTCGTCGAGTGCGGGATTCGTCAACAAGAACAGCGCGATCAGCGTCATGGTGTGGATCGAGGGCAACAAGGACCTCGTCGGAGGCCATCAGCGGCCGACGTCGATCGAGGGCCTGCCCGTTGGTCGACCGATACAGGAGCATGGTAAGCCCGTTACCGTCTATACCAAGAGCCACATGGGCAGGATCAAGATTGTGGTGCCACAGTACACCGTGCCTCGCCCATTGCACATCCAAGCAAAATCATCAAGCGGCGATGGTGAGTCAAGACCTCTCTTCTTCTCTTCTTCTCCCTCAACCTTCCCTTATCTTTCTCTTCCACTCTCTATCCTCTCCCACCCCTCAGTCATCGTGCACATCCCACCAACGTTTCGCGGAATGCTGTCCTTCACCACCGACTCGGGCTCGTTCAAGCCCTCTGCCTCACTCAACAGGCGTCTGACGCCACTGGGCGAACAAAAGAAGCACCGCGGCGTCTTCAAGGTGCGCATGGCCGACTGGATCCAAGACGATCACATTGAGCGGGGCGACTCTGCCGAGTTGATCACTCACAGCGGGACGGTGTATGCGTATGAAGCAGGCGAGGAGAGCGAAGATAGCTCGTGCGTCATTGTCTGAAATCAAAGAACGAGAGGACAAACGACACCCCACGCAGTCAGTGGACCTCCACTGACCGGGATAGAAAACAAAAGATTGATAGATGTGGGCTTTCTTCTCCGTATATCCATAAGTAGAGCTCCTTCTTCTCATCACCTCGTCATTCAACTTGTATCCCACACTTTTCCCACTCCATTTGTACATCTCTAATGGTGCCACTCTCGCTTCTTCAGCACTATATTACATTTAAACCTCTCGCTGCGACACCTCGAGGACAAGATCCTGTTGCAGGGAAGACTCCGAGGTCAGATCATCACGCCGTAGAATTGTAGAGGGAGAGGAACTCACCTCGACGTCGAGGAACCACGTTGAGTTGGTTCTCCAGGGTGTCGTCGCCGGCTCCGCCTCGCTGCCGTTGGAGTCCCGGGGCACCCGCCTCCTCTGGCTTCTGTCGCGAGGAACAAAGTCGAATCGGAAGCGATAGAGGAGCGTCGGGAGGACCTTGGTGATCTCCATCAGGGAGATGTTCTTGCCCTGCATTGATGAAAAGGGTCAGCATTGACAGACAAGAAAAGAACAGCGAGAGAACTGGGGCCTCACAATGCACTGGCGGTTGCCTGCACCAAAGCTGAGGTTGACGCGCTCCATCTCCCTCCTCGTCTGCTCATCGAGACCGATCCAGCGATAGGGGTTCCACTCGGCCGCATCGTCTCCAAAGGCCTCCTTTGTCCGGTGGAGAACAAAGGAGCTGACACTGACATTGGTGTTGGCGGGGAAGAAGCGGCCATCGATGACGTCGCCACCGTGGGGCACGAGACGGGGCAGCGACATGCTGATGGGCGGGTGCAGCCGGAGCGTCTCCTTGATGCACGCCTGCAGCAGCTCCAGCTGGACGCCCTTGCTGTATTTGGCAGGCAGGCTCAGGTCGCCTCGCTCAAACGCCTCGTCAATCTCGCGCTGCAGGTCCTCGTACACTTTGCCATTTCGCACGAGGTAGCCGAAAAAGGCAGAGAGCGCCACGCTCGTCGTGTCGCTGCCAGCTCCGACGACGCTGATGGCCGTGCGCAGACTGTCATTGGCATCATACTGCCGTCCCGTCGAGGGGTGCTTGGCGCGGATGATCTTCGTCAGCATATCCTGTCGGTCGACGAGGCCGGCTGCCTCGGCCTTGTACCGTGCATCGATCCTCGCTCGCGTCGCGACTCCAACCACCTCGCCGCCCGGCTCGCCCGAGAGCCACTTGAGCACCACGCGGGCTGGTCGAGAGAGGAGCGGCGTCAAGAAGCCGGCCATGCTGCCCCAGTGCGACAGGTTCGAGACGCCCAGAAGAAAGTTGTTTGGGTCGGAGCCCTTCTCGAGAAACTCAAAGCCCCTTCCAAACTGTATGTGCGTCAAACAGGAAGTAGCCTTTTTGAGCAAGCGTGAAAGGGACAAATGCAATCGAGACAGACTCACGGCAAGCTCTCCGACGGCATCCATGGCAAAGAAGTGCATCCATTTGGCCATGTCGATGGACGCCTTTGACTTTTCTGCCTCGCCCACCATGCGCTCAAACTGCTCCACCAGCAGGTCTACGCACGGCTCGACGCACTCCTCGAGCTTGACGAGGTAGCTCATCGCATAGGCGCTCGCCATGGCCCTCCGCCTGTCTGCATGCGAGTGCGGATCGACGTCGCTAAAGAGCGAGGGCCGGCCCCAGTAGACCTGGAAGGACTTGTAGAAGTCCGTCTTGAGGTACTTTGCCGAGCCGTGCGCATAGATTTTCTCGACGGCGCGCGCCGACGTAAAGCTGACGTGGTTCGGCGCGATGCGGACGATGGGACCGTAACGGGCATGCTGCTGCGCCAAGGCCCAGACGTAGTCGCGCCGGTAGGCGTGCAAGAAGGGAAATAGGGGCAAGCCCAGCTTGGCTGACAGGGGGCCAGGCAGACCAGCGAGCGGGTGCAAAAAGAAGTGGTAGAGGGTGTAGGGGAGCAAGATGGCACTTGCCACCAGAACCAGCTGCAGGGAGATGGGCAGCTGGAGCAGCCGTTGAGTGATGCCCATCAGAGCAGATTGGTGCAAAGACATGATCGAATGAGTGAGCGCTTTGCGGTGAAAGGAGCCAGAGAGCAAGAGGGAGTGCACGGGTGGGGGGAAACGACGAAGAGAGAAATCCTTTATACCATTGCTATCAGACGTTTCGTCAAAAGGGACCGGCCCCCCTCACCCCACCCATGCTCCGTCAAGCAGGTCAGCAGGCGTCGTATCTTGTCCGAAGTCGGACTTGTCCTGAAGGGGGGGTCCGTCCAACCAGCAGCCATGATAAAGACGGGGGCTCCGCACGAAATGGACGCGCAGTAACTGACAGACGCGCCACTTTTCTCGCACGAGAAAATCATCAACCTCTCCACCGCACGACAAAAAAGAAAGAGGGCCTGGACGTAAAAGACTTCACGGCCGATACACCGTACGGACTAGGAACGGACCTGGACGACCGAAAGAGGAGAAAAGAGAGGTAAATCTAATCTTTTATGACGAGGACAAGTACAGGTTCTGTCACGGGAGGCTGCATTGCTCAGGAAAAGACAACCGTCTTGCAAGGGAGAGGAAGTCGATCGATCAGCGAGAGTCTGGAAGACAGCATGGGTTGATGCCGTAGGTACGACTCACCTTTGCACCGTTGAGAAGGACGCGTCGCTCTGCGTGCCACCTGACAGCCCTCGCCAGGACCCTAGCCTCGATGTCTGCGCCGGCCCGTGTGAGGTCTGCTGGGGCATACGCGTGGTTGACCCGGTCGACGGCCTGCTCAATGATCGGGCCCTCGTCCAGATCAGCCGTAACGTAGTGGGCGGTGGCGCCGATGAGCTTGATGCCGCGCTCGTAGGCCTGGTGGTATGGTTTTGCGCCCTTGAACGAAGGGAGGAACTGGTCGAAAATAAGAAAGAGGGGCGAGTGAGCACTTGCAAGCTCCCACAGCTCATAGTCATCTTCAAACTCACAGAGTGGTGGATGTTGATGATTCGACCAGACATGAGCGAGCACAGCTTGGGTGAGAGGATCTGCATGTACCTGGCGAGGACGACGAGGTCGATCTTGTACTCCTTGCACAGCCGCAGGATCTCCTCCTCCTGCCATGCCTTTGTCTTGCTCCCCGTCTTTTCGATGGGCAGGTGGAAAAAGGGGATCCCGTGCGCCTTCGCCAGCGCCTCGTACTCGTCGTGGTTGCTCACAATCAGCGGAACCTCGATCGGCAGCGTACCACTCGAGACGCGGAAGAGCAAGTCGTTGAGACAGTGCCCAATCTTGCTGACCATGATCATCGTCCGTGGCTTCTCCTCGTCGCGGTGGATCTCAAAGCTCATTTCCATCTCGGCCCCCAGCTCGGCGGTAAAGTCGGCCTGGAGCGTGTTGGAGAGGGCCGCGTTGGCCGTGTTGGCCTCTGCATGCACGCGCATAAAGAAGCGGTTTGTCGTCGGATCGCCAAACTGGGCAGAGTCGCGGATATTGAAGCCTCGCTGGGCAAGGAAGCCCGTGACGCGATGCACGATGCCCTGGCGATCGGGGCACGAGAGCGTCAAGATGAAGCTGTTGCGGCTCGACGATGGAAACGGTGCAGCCGCCGCCGCTGATGACGACGCTGCACCACCCTGGCCAGCGCTGCCTGCGTCCTCGACCTGGCCCGGTCGAGCAGGGGGCGCTGTGTTCTGGGGCGTGGAAGACATGCTTTCGAGCTCGGCGAGGGATCGCAGTGTACGGGCGCCGGAGGGAGCAGGACCAGAATCGGCCTTGTTAGAAGAGAGGAGGGACGAGAAGCTTCGATATGACGGTGCGACTGCTGATGACGCTTTGAGATGAAAGAGTTGTCTGCCAAGTCGTGGGAGCCGCAATGCCATCGCTCTCAAGATGGAGATTGGAAGAAAAGAGGGAAGATCTGATCCTTTCTACCTTTTTTTTTTCTTTGACATCTCTCTTTGCTTGACTCAGGGCGTCGGTCATTTTCTTTTCCAAATCAGTCTAAAGTTAGTCCACGGCGCGGCTGGAAAGCCTAGTCACAATTGTCAACGGATCTTCACAGTTGTACATGGGCTCTGTATTTTGCTAGGGCTTGAGAATTGTTGACTATCATACAATTGGATGCTGCTTGTTTAAGTGAACCAGAGGGGAAGAGAAGTTGACCCTCACGGACGCCATACTTTGAGGGTAGGAGGCGAGACGCGGCTCGATGTGCGCGATCGCGGCGTCGACGCTTTGCTCAGTGCCACGCTGCCGTCGGCCCCGCTCCCATCTCTGCGAACCCACAACGAGTGGTCTTTTGCCTCTGATGCCGGCGTCGAGGGCCAGCTGGGTAGCAGAGGAGACGAAAAGAGATCCAGTGAAGGCATAATGCCATCTGACGCCTTGCGTGAGAATGGGCTAGATGGTGTGGCAGCGCTCACCCTTCTTGGCCGCAACGGCGAAGTCGAAGATAATGTCGATGAAAAGCTCGATGTTTTCTTGCGCAGCAGCGGGCTCCTCTGCAGGTCCGCATCAGTCGCCGATCTGAGAAAAGACATGGCAGCTGGGCTCGTCGACGGGCTAGCCTTTGGACTGATGGTCGCAGAGCTGATCCAGGGGAGCTTGTCCTCGTCCGTCGGGCCTCTAAATTGGCCCTTGGGGCTCTCAGTGATGGCTATGGACGTATTGCCACCCAAGTGGGCATAGTGCTGGCCGATGTAACTGCTCAGCTCCTGCCAGCCGCCGCCAACGCGGACCATGACGGTACGTGAGCGGAGAATCCGGCAGAAGCACAGCTTTGATCCCACCCAGTACCTTCCCGACTCGTCGCGCCATTCACCTGAGGCGTGCGAAACCTGAACAGGTATCGGCAAGTGATTGACAACTTTGCTCACGGCCACATCGAGCTTGCTCTTTGGGTTGGCGCGGTATCGATTCGGGTGTCTCTGTAATGGCGTGCGGCCACCCGAAGGTAGAATCGACGACGCCGACTTTGATGGAGAGAGGACGGGGATACGTGAAGACGACTGGTGCGGAGAGCTCCTGGTGCTCTTCTGTCGGACCCTAGACTGGCGAGGCGTGACAAGAGGACTTTGTGGAAAGGCACGCGGCGTTCCCTCCGAGAAAGATCTGGTCGATATGCGCACCGAGGCATCAACAGCTTTCCTGGGCGTCAACTGCAGCCCGGCAGGATGCTCTCTTCCAATCTTGTTGCTGCATGGAGGCTGAATCTGCAGCGGCGTCAGAGACTCGTGGTCATCTACACGCAACGTTGCCACCCCATTGGCTTCGGACTCGGACTCCGATTCACTCGAAGGTGCAATCGATGTGGCGGTCGAGGGAGCCGATGACGACGACTCTCTGGCCTCGTCCTCGCTCACAGCAAGCTGGGGACCAGGAGGCGCGAGTATCTCTCGCGCCATGGCTGTCAGGTCCTTTGTTGACCGCCGCACCTTTGCCAGCTCGTCTCGCACCCTCTTGTCTTGGCTTACGGGATCTGCGGCAGCACTGGCCGCCTCAACCAGACTCGACAGGTCGAGAAGCTCTTTGGTGATTCGTGCTTTGTCTTCCTCTTTGTGGCTTCGGCACGTAGGGGTCTCTCTTCCTTTCACGGTGACCGCCTTTCCCTGCTCCGAGTCCTCGTTGGTGTCGTATGCTGACGAAGTGATGCCCTGCAAGCGGTCGAGAAGATTCAAGAGCGAGCTCTGGCTTGTCTGTACGTGCTCGCAGCGGGTCACAAAGGCTGCCAAGAGGCGGAATCTTAAAAGGCGCGAGTCCCTCTTCCGCATCGCATCGCGAAGAGCAGCGACGTCCTTTGCCAAACCCTCTGATATCTCGAGCGACAGAAAAGCTTCAGCGGCTTCTTTATCCGCCTTCCACACTCTTGCCACCTCGTCGGCTTGGCCTTGCGTAGGGAGCGGTAACAAGCTTTGCAGTTGACGGAGGCCATCAATCTCAGTCTGCTCTTCGATGTGGCCCGTCGAGCATTGCGCTGTGAGGGCAAAGATGCGTTCCTTGGCGGGTGAATGGTTTACATCGCTGCGGCGCGTGTCGACTGGTGAGTATGAGGGGAGCCTTGTATGCGAACCGAACACATCATCATCCTCTGCGGATGTTCCCTTTGGCATGCTGCTTGGAGAGGGTCCGTCTTCATTGTTGCTGATCAGAGAGGTCGTACGACTGTGGGTGGCTTCGGAAGAGGCGTCCGCCTGGTCCGAACTTTGAGACGGCAGCCGGACACCGCGGTCATCGTCTTTCCTGCAAAGATCGTTTACAGAGCGGATATGATTTGCAGCTGCACCGAGCTCCTTGCCAATGGCTCTTTTAACCTCTTCATTGTGGCTGTCGAGAAAAGGGTAATCCTTGCATTTCGGCTGTGGTATGTGGTGCTCCATCGACCTCATTAAAGACCGCGACGACACTGAACCCTCGCTGAGAAAAGCTTTCGTCGTACTTGGCCCGCAGAGCCGTTCGAGGTAGCTGACGAGCTTTCTCAGCCGCCTTGAGAAGGAAGAGCGGTCGTCAGAACCAAGGTCGTTAGCCTTGACGGTGGATGCCAGCTCCTTTGCGTCGAGATGAAGCGTATGGAGGGTTCGAAACAACTCGTCGATCCTTACCCATTGGGCAGCTACCTCCAGCAGAACCTTGCCACGGACCTTGAGCACCGAGCCAAGGTCGTCGATGCGGTCCTGTTCATCGAGGAACGACTCGGGGACTTGGCATTGCTCGATCAGTTGGTCTAACCTTTCGCTGCAGTCTGGCACCAGCTTTGTGCAGAAGAGCCGAACGCGGTCGTTGAGCTGCGTAGCCTCTCGCCTCATGTCCTCCGTCAGTTGACGAGCGCTCCGGTGAGCCTTTGTGCTTGACGTTGTGCCATTGGCATCTGTTGTCGTTGCTTTACTGTGGTAGATTGATGTCGACCACCTCGCCTTGTTCTCGACAAAGTCGGCGACATCACTTGCCAGCGGAGAAAACGTCTGCCAGCATTTTTTCCGGCACAGGTCCCATTGAATCCTAGATGCCAGCAGGTCCAGCTGCTGCCGTCGCAAGTGCATCTTTTTGGTGAGCTTGTCGAGGGCCACGAGGGTGCCTACGGCTAACTCGATAAGGTCTGTGTCCTGCGAAGACATGTGCCTCTCGGACGCGGCTGTGGAAGAGCGGGGCGGATGAGAGATAGCTGGAAATTCGATGTGTGTGGTCAGCTCACCCTTGGCCAGGCCCCTCAACCTCTCGACCTCTCCGAGATCAAAGCTTTGCGCCGACGCCTCCATCGAATCGAGATCTTCCTCCCACGCCTCGAGCTTTTCGACTCTCTGCGGCAGTAAGAACCAGCTCGTGCCCTCTCCCGCCGAGTCCGGTGGAGGTTGTTCCAGATCATCGAAGACGGCAATGGGGGGCAGCGAGGAGAGAGCATCGAAGTGGTCCTGGATCTTGGTCTTCGCCTCGACAAGGCGATTGAGATCGGCCACGTCCGAGGCGCTAAGGCTGCTCATCTTCTCGACAAGCGCTTTCGCTCTTCAACGACGCCCGAAACCATCTCCCTGCTCAAAACCCATGCAGAAAGTCGCAAGCGTGAGACCGGCCGGGGTGAGAGATGGAAATGGCGGAGAAAGGCGACAGCTGCTTGACGACACACACAGTAGTGGCCAAGGCGCGCGCGCGCATAGGGAAGCTTTTGGCGCCGCTGAGACCACGTGCTGCTATCTGGCGACGCCCGCATCTTGCTCCCTGCTTAATTTTGCTATTTGCAGTTTGAGGCTTGCTGCATCGGTCACTTCGGGGAGCGAAATTGGCCGTTCCCTTGCTCCATGAGAATGGTGTGATTGATCTGCTACGTCGCTTTGACTCCAGCACCGTGCTGAAGGAAAGGGGTCCCCTTCCATCTCCAGCACCTACTACTGCGACCGAGGCAGACGACGAGTACCGCATGTGACATCATCAAGAGTTGTTCCCAGAGCTAATTCGCTTCCAGTCTTGGTGTGTAACACAAGCAACGGCCTCTGGATTGAGCAGTAGAGTATCCTCTTCCTAGCCCCGGTGCGCGCGGAGGCCTTCATGCTCGAGGAAGTCAACGAGAACCGCTACTCACTATTACTAGTACTACCCTCTCACTTTTACGTACTATTGGCCCTTCTACTACTACTATTACACTACGTGCGCATCTACCTACCCCTGGAACGAAGTAACCAGAACCTCCCTCTGGAGGGCTCTTCGGAAAATCTCGAGGGGCCATACATCTCGACAAGAAATCATTCGACTCGATTAAACGCTTTGCTCATTACTCCCTTTTAGCATCTGCCGTCGCAGACTGAGAGGGGAAAGGAGTAGCTGTATTTGGGAAAGCGGTGCCGGTTTCTTTGAGTCTTGCCTGAAGGTCGAAGGGATAAGAAGAGCGCAGCCACCTACTTTTTGAGACAACGCTCGTCACATTCTTTCAGCCCCTCTGCCCGTTCGTGATCAACGAACAGTACGTACGTACCGCTCTCGTTCGCTTCAGATCTGCACGCCCCCCGCCGGCGGCCCCTCTCGCATCCTGGGGCCCATTCTTACCTTCCCCCCAGCACACTAACTTCTACCCTTGCTCGTTGCGGCTGCCTTCTTTACCCTTCTTCCCCTCTTCGCTCCTCCCTCTCCATTTTTTCCCCTATTACCTGTCCACGTCTTTTAAAAAGGGCGAGTAGGGCCGTTCACCCTTTTTCTCTTTTCCCCTTCATCATCGCCTTTACAGCCTGATCAGTCAAGCGCTCAAGCGGCCCTGGCAAGCTCAGCCCACGGCAAAAACCGGTCGGGCCATCTCTTTCCGTCCCCACCGGACACACGCAACATGCACCCTGCTCCGCCGTCCGCACAAGCGCTTCCACCGTCATCGGACCCCCGATGGGTGGTTGTGTCCAATCTTCCCCGAGAAGGTCAGTAATGTCCGCTTTAGTCTATCGAGTGAGGAAAAAAAAAAGAAAGGGGAGAGCAAAGGTGCTGAGTCTGCTTTTCAATAGCCAATGATGCTTGGTTGCGCGTCTTCTTCGCCACCATCGGTGAGTCCTACCCAACAGGCCGCTATCCAAGGGAGCACTACAAGTCTCATTACTGATTTGAGGCTTTTGTTGGACTTCACGACCCTAGGCAGCGTCGAATTTGTCGACTTCCTCGGCACCGAAGGACCGGGCTCGGCTTCTGTGCTCTTTGCCACCGTTGATCAAGCTACTGCCGCGCTGCGGTACGATGGGTACCCTGCCCTGGGCATTGTTCTGTATGTCTCTGGACAGTGAGCTTTTCGTGTCTGTCAGAAGCTCGTCTCTGACCCTTCTCCCCTACAGACAAGTGCAAACTCGCAACGACGCAACGACTCGCTCAATTTCGTCATCCATGTCCTCGCTCCTGCCTTCTTCTCAGTCCCAACTGCCCTTTCAATCCCGCAGCCGTCCACTCTTGGGTCACCAACAGGAGAGTAAACCGACACACAAGAACCTTTACGTCCTCAACCTGCCCCTCGATGCAACAACTGACCAGCTCACAGCCCTTTTTGCCTCATATGGCACGGTAGTACACTGTGTCATTCTTGCCATGCTCGACGCGCAGGCACGTCGTCGTGGCTTCATTGACATGTCATCGCCTTTTGAGGCAAAGGAAGCCATCGAAGGACTCAACGGCTTCGTTTGGCACGGCTACCCCATCGAGGTCTCTTACGCCATTGTTCAACGCAGCGGCGGACCATTTGATCAGGAGTCGGGTCGCAACATCATCAAGCGCAACGTACCTCGAAACCGCTTCAATACTGGCCCAAGACGTGTTCCAAGCGATTCCACGATTGGGCCTCGCGCTTTTCCTGGTGCTGGACTCCTACCTCCTCCCCTTTATCGCGACATAGGCGCTTCGGGCCAGTCGGGCCCTTCGAGCCCTGCAATGTCAGAGGGCTCGAGTCTGGACGAGAGCACGGCAACGGATCCATGCACCATCTTTATCTCGGGGCTCGATCCCGTCGCTATACTCGACGATGACGACTTCCGTCACGCTCTAGAGCCCTATGGTGCGGTAACCGCTGCTTCACTCAGTCGTGACCAGGAAGGAATCTCCCGTGGTTTCGGGGTCGTCACTTTTTCTGCTGAGGCTGAAGCGAGCGCGGCTCGCGACCACCTCGATGGTAAGCTTGTCAACGGCCGGCGCCTGACATCGCACAATCTTGTCTACAATCGGACTCGCCACACCGCAAGTGGGCTGGCGACCGGATCTCAACTAGCCATCAACCTGGCGCAAGCTGCTGGACTCCAGCAGGCACTGACACCCTCGTCTTTCGGTCGCCCCTCGCCCTTGGCTTCATCTCTCCCGTTTCCCACCTCCCCAGTTTCGTCCAGCATCCATTCCTCCGCTGCTCATTTCAATCACCCATCACCGCTCCTTTCACCTCAATACTCTATGCCTCACGGGCGACTCGGCAGCCAATACACGTCGCACCAACCCTCTTCTTGGGCAACTTCCATCAGCCCACCTTTTTCGCCTGCTTCTTCGACTCGCCGTCATGACCAGATCCCTATGGGTGCTATCGGCTCAAGCTTTGTCAACTCGCCCCGTGAACCGCTTCTTCCAATGGGCACCAGCGCCTATTGCTCTGCCAATCTGCCAACCGCTACGTGGTTCCGCTCAAACAGCACCCCTCGCCCGGTTGAGATCAAGCCTGATCCTCGAGAGGCGGCTGTCCACAAGCACAACGACGGAGAGGAGAAGAGTCCCGGCCCAAGATCCAAAGCTCTGCTCAAGCAACTAGCAGCACCTTTCACTCCCAAGGTCGCGCTCCAGGCAAATGGAGTTGTTGGTTCACCTTCTCTCAGCGAAAGTAACGATGCCAGCCCCGCCAGCACACGTTCCACAGGCACCTCGGTGAATTTCTCGCCCCTCGAGACGCCGGACGTCTCTCGTAAGAGCGATCAAGGGGCCGCAATCTGGGGAAGCGGTGGGACTACCACTGCCTTTGGCAATTCTTCCTGTCCATGGAGTGCTTCTTCTTCAGCGATCAGGGATGGACACTCCTTCAACCATCTTTCGAAGCACGCCGAAGAGGGCAACGGCAAGCAGTTTCCAAGTATCTCGGCAAGTGGTTCGGCCCTTTTGGCACTTCAGGAAGCCTCCGTACCACTTTGGCGAATTCGGGGAGAAACGCCGCGCTCCCTTGGCGCCTGTTGGTCACGAGAAGACGTCAAGCCCGAACAAGAACAAGTAGAGAACCCGGATTCAGCCACTTACTGACCTGACTACCAACAACATCTCTGCCTTTGAAACATCAACCTCTTTCGTTCTCTTCAACTGCGACTTTCCTCGTTCCTCGAGACGCCCGCTTTTCCCCGCCGTCTTTGATTCAAGCTTGACCAAAATCCAGTGCAGCCTAATGAAACTTTCGTCCCTTTCTGAGCTTGTTACATGCACTTAGTCGAACAGAGTCCTCCCCAATTCGTATATTAGCAATCGTCGTCACCTTTCACCCCCTCTCCAGACCAAGCACGGGCTATCCGTCACATCTACCATCTTCAACATCGCGACTACATTCGAATTCATATCACGTATAGTTTACACAGAGCATCTACAGTATATCGTTGGTGAAATTATTGAGAAGAAGGAGGAGCCGAGCCAGACGGCCGTAAAGGTTCAAAAGCACTCAAGAGTTTGTTTCCGCCACCACTGCCGCTTGGACTTCCGTTCGCTGCCGCGGTTTTCGTGGGCGAAGGGTTCCTACGTGGAGACGGTGGCTGAGCCAGGGAATCGTCAAGTTGCGGATGCTTGCTACCCGACATCTTCAAGAATTTGCGTCTTCCCAATTCGAGGACCGATGGTGAAGATGGAGCGGAGGACACCTCTGCGTCTTCGGACGAGGCAGAAGTTTGTATCGTTGCTTGTTGCGCAGAAGAGGCGGACGGAGAGACGAAGTCCGTGTCGTGGCTTGTAGATGGTGTCGGTGCTGAGCTGACATCATGTAGCGCAGTGGCGCCAAGGAGTGTTTTGATCTTTCCCCCGCGTGGTTGCGAAGCGCTCCTGCGAGTGTCTCGATCGTCACCGGACCCAATCGAGTCATCAGCCACCACGGCATTTCCTCCTTCTTCTCCGCTACCCAGAGGCCCTTGTGATCCGACGCGCGGTCTAAGCCGCTTGGTTGTGCTCGTCAAGAACCGTCCGATTTTGTAAGGGTTGCTGCTGTTGGTCTCTTGTTGATCTAGCTGGTCGTCCTCATCTCGAGCGGCTAAAGAAGAAGACGAGGCACTATAGGGTAGGAGGTCCTCGTCTCGATGGTGTCTCATGTCTTCTTCCTCCTCGTCAATGTCCGAATCTTCCTCCTCTTCAATTTCGTCTTGAAGGTGGTGCTCATTCTCCCTTTCGTCGTCGTTGCGCTGAAGAAGCTGTCCACTCTCATCGGGCGTCGGAGGCTCGATGTTGAACGAGGGAGGTGCCTGCAGCGACGAAGATGGCTGGCTGTTGGAGCGACCCTGCTCCGTGCCTGACGCGCTCTGAGAAGAGGTCAGTGCTGCCACAGCAGCAGCTGTCGTCGATGTTGTTGCAGCCGCTGCAGCGCTTACGATTTCATTGACGCCTGAAGGTGTTTGAGACGCAGCCGTTGTGAGTACATTCGAAGCGACCTCGTTGGCCTGTACTGCAGCAGAAGATGATATAGCACGAAGGTTGCTGGTCACAAGATTTCGGCGCGGTTTGCGATGGTGAATGACGCCCTTGATTAGCGTAGACTTCTGGCTCCAGGCCGACCTGACGATATCGCGCTTGATGTGGGCCATCAAGTCGGCATTTGCCCAGGTCCTGTTGCGGTATTCGAGCCGTGGAGCCCTGAAGACCAAGTCGTAGAGGTCTGTTATGCTCTTTTGCTTCTCGCCCTTGTATGACAGGCACAGAATCGTCTCGCTGAGCTTGAAGTACACCATTGTGCTGTTCTGCGAAGCCCGCTGGCGCATCTCCGAAGCATTTCGGGCTGCAATGACATGTTGTCCCGTCTCCTCTGCATCAGACTCGTCCGACTCGCCACTGTTGTTCCTGAGTTGGTCCTGTGAGGTCATGGACGTCAAGCTCTTGCTCGATGAGCGCAGCGCCTCCGTCCTGCGATCTGCTGGGCTCAACGTCAACGACTTTTTGCCACCATTATTGTTGCTACCGCTGCTCGCGACGCTGACGCCGCCATTGCTGGTCCTCCGTTGATCTAAGAGACCTGCATCAGATTGGGTCTTCTTGGGCGAGGATTTCTTAGGCAACAGATTGTGTGAGGAGGGGGGTCTGTCGTTCCCGCCAGCGTCGCCTCGGTCTTCATCTCCTTCCTTGCCATTCGTGCCGTTGACCTTAGCGTTGCCATTGCCTTTCGAGAAGAATCGGACGAAAGCAGACCTCTTTCTCTGCCGAGTGACGCCCTTCTCCGCTGCAGCGCGCTCTTGTGCTTCTTCCTCCTCGAGTGCCCGCTTTTCCCGCTCTTTTCTCTCCCGCTCGCGTTTGGAACCGAAGATGTAGTCTTCGATTCTCCGACCCACTTTCATCTCAAGCTGGATTCGAAGAGGATGCAAGCTCAGCTCGAAGTGGTCGATGATGGCGATTCCGCCGACAGGAGCCAGAACAGACCACATGGCGTCAAGCAGCCTTCCCTCCTTGGCCATGGGATGATCGACGTTGTTGTACTTTGTGATGATCTCCGTGAAGACGGCGTCAGGGTGCACATTTACGGCGTTCAGGTCGGCAATCGAAAGCGTATTCGCGGCCGAGTTGTCAGCTTTGTTGAGCCACGTGAAGCTGGCGCCCTTGATCGAAAGCTTGGCGAGCAGCTCGCCCTCTTTATCGCCCATCATGTTCCATGCAATGTCCTGAGCTTGCGCCTCAATTCTCAAGGCCGACTTCTTCTCCTTGTCCGATCCCGAGTTGTTGTCGTCGGCTGCCGTGATGCCTTCCATGATGAGCGTCAGCTCGTCGATCATGTCTTTTAGCTCGGCTTTCAGACTGAGAAAGTCCATGCGCCCTTGTTCGTTGAGGTGGTCAAAGTGCAGTTGGTACTGCAAGTGAAGCTCCCGGGCATGCCGGATGCGCACCTGCAGCGCCAATACAACCTCTGCCAGCACCGCATGATCGGTCATATCGTAACTCAGCATCATCGTCTCGAGGCGCTTCGCGTGTTCGCGGTAAGCCGGATCACGGTACAAGAGTAGGTCCGTGACGACGTTGTAGATCGAAGCAAAGTGCTCAGAATTGGCTAAGACGGAGTAGCGAGGGCAGCGGACCCGGATCAAATCCATATGATGCCGAAGGTGGTCGATAGCGGGATCTTGCGTTTCCAAGTCAGCCGCCACGGGCCGGCTGGGGTCGTGAAGGCGTAGCTTGTTGAACTTGTCATAGTGCAACGTTGCATCGGTTCTCGGTGCGATGCGATCGAAGTCCTTCGTCTCGTACTGGTTTTTCTGGAAGTCAGCCACGAGATCATGCCCAGAAGAAGATCCGACTCACTTTGAGATCAATGAGCGTCTCCAAGGGAACGTGCAGAAAGCCGTAGCGCTGCCTAGCTCGGTCGAGAAAGGAGCAGTGCTTGCTCGGACTAAATGCCTGGAGCCCATCGAGAGCCAAATAATTTCGATAGAGGGCTCTCTCATTGACCGAATCTTCCTCGACCTCGGGATCCTTGACTGCATAGTTGTGCAGACGGGTGCGGATGGCCGTGAGGACAACTGTAGACCGATCGTTGACCAGACTGCGCAGAACGATTTGGGGTTTGAGGAATACGCATACGTTGCTTTTGCGAACATCGAAAGCCTCGGAAATGCCCAAGGTCGGGTCGACGTTCTCGTCAATGACCTTGGAACGATCCTGCTGCCCGTTGATCTCCTCTGGCTCATCCATGATGTACTGCATCGTATCGTTGAGCAGACCACGAAGCAGGTCAGACCCGTTGCTGTCCCGCGAGGGATCGCCATTGGCCGCCGTTGGAGCAGGAGAACCGCTGCTATCGTGTCTAGCGTGCCTCTTGCTGCTCTTGCGGCGGCGACTTGCAGGACGGCGACCCTTTGACTTTTCATCCGTTGAAGCGTCCTGCTTTTTCTCACCGCCGCTCTTGTCCGAATCGTCCTTTTCGTCCTCGCCATCGTCGGACTTGGATAGCTCCCTAATATACCTGACAGCTTTTGCCGTGAGATGGTGAACAACCCCTCTCCTCCTTCTCGAGCTGAGATAGTATTTGAGAAGAATGTCTCTCGTCGAGTTGCTGTAGAAGATGGCCGGGTTGTGGGCAAAGAAACGATTATCAAACGACTCCCATGCTTGGTACATCTGCGCAAGCCGCGGCTCCACGTCGGCGTCCATGACTTGCCCACCCTGTGGTACAGAATCGGGTAGAGCGCCAGAGCTGGGCTTGCCCACCGTGTCGGAAGTCCCGTCCCTCTGCTCTAGCTTATCGAGCCTAGACACCATCTGAATGTATTCGGCAATTAGCTTGACTTTCTTTCGAAGATCCTTGATACGCGCTTCCATGCCCTAAAATCAACAGGTACGTCAGCGCCGCGATCAAGCAAACAGTATGGAGATATCCAACAATTACCTCGGTAGCGGCAGCCTGTTCGGTGTTGTACGCTTCCACGCCCGTATAGTCCATGCTGACTGGCTCTCCGTCGGTGCTTTCCAGCTTCGACAGCTCCTCCTTCAAGAAGTTGAGTCTCGAGCAAGCAAGTTCACGCTGGATCATATGAGCCCTAGGCGCTTTGCCCACAAGGCAGGTGTGAGTGGGTTCACTTCCGAACTTGGTTTGCTCGAGTCTCGACAGTGCCTCGTCGTGACCTTCTTCGCCTGACGCACCACCCGTCTGAGACCCCTTTTTGGCGATCTCCTCAACGTCTTCCGAATGGCTGGTGGTGCGTGCGCTTCTCTCGCGCTTCGATTCGATGCGCCGGTAGTAGTTGAAGCGGGGACATGTCAGGGCTTGGATTAGCTTGATCCTAGGCGGACGATTCTGTGGCGGCCTCCAATCAAGCTCGACAAAGTCGTTGAGGTCGATCCACTCTGCGTCACGTTCATTGATCTCGCATTCGCCAGCAAAGATATCCTGCGTCTCGTCGCCTGCATCTCCCTCGTCGTGGGGAAACAGTTGCTTCTCGGGCTCTCTGAACTGGCCAGCCAGTGTTCTGAAATCAATCTCACCGAGATCGATCTCCGCCTCGTAAAAGGGTTTGTGAAACACCTTTCTAGACTCGCCCAGCTCCGGTCGCTCTCTGACCGTCTCCTGCTGACGTTGGTGGAGATCAAAGTGGAAAACACTTGTCCTTGTCTTGATGCCAAGCAGCGACGTCATGCCGTTTGCCCAATCCGACTTGTCCTGCTGCGGGTAAAGATGGGAGATGAAGAGAGGCGATATGTCGAAGCGGTACTTAATCGTGGCAAGATGACGACCAAATTTCGGCGATTGGGCGAGAGAGCCAGGGAAGAGCTTCCCCTGTCTGATTGGCAGACTGAGTGCACTGTTGAAAAGGCGCATCCATGCCCAGAAGTGCTCCCAGGCCAGCGGTGTAAAGTAGAGATTATTGACAGAATCGGAACTGTCCTTCGTTTCGGGTTCCTCCTTTGAGTGAGGTCGAATATTGTTTTTTGGCGAATAGATGGAGATGGAGAAGTGGATGTGTTCTGTTCGCCAGCCGAGGAACGAGTCGCCTTTTTTATCTTCCGGTAGCGTGTCCATGTATTCCTTCGACCTCTGATGCACTTCCCAGTGTGGTTTGCGATCAAAGAACCGACATTCTCGATAGAACGGGGCACCTTTGCATCTTGGCGTGCGCTTGCAGGTCTCGTCCGTGCAGGTCCTCTCCAGATGCACAGCAGAGCCCCACCGAACGCCATTGGTGAGCTTGAGACAGATCTTGCGGAACTCGGGCTCCTTCATGTACCGCTTCTGATCGGACACAAGCGACTTCTTGCTCTCGTTCTCGTCCTGTGCGTTCCGATGTTCCTGTGCAATACCAGTCGCTGCCCGGTCAATGTAGTCCTTGAGGTCTGGAATGGCGAGTAGGTACTCGGAGCTGATGATCTGCACCACCTCGCCTTCTTCGTTTTCGAAATTGATGCGAATCTCGACATCACCGCGCCAGCACTTGACCCATCCGGCCCCATGGCCGAGGATGTGGTAAGGGTCTCTACTGCCCTTGAGGTAGAAGTGCAGTTCGCCGTCGCCAGGGAACTGGAAGTGGATCCGTCCATGAAAGATGAGAGAGATCTTGTCCCAAAAGCCGATACGCGGCGAACCATCGTGGGGCGGACTTGTGATGCCTTCGATGACCCGGACCACATCGTGGATGGCTGGCTGCAGCGACTGGCCCCAAGCGATGCGAGAAGGGTACGATGAATGAACCTTGATCACAGGCGAGCCAAAGAACTTGGTCGGCATTGCCATTTTGGGCACCGAGATGCCGTACTCAATGGCATCGATCCGGCCTGTCGCCGCTGGCACCACAATGGCAGGCACATGTCGAATGGCTTTGAAGTCGCCTAGCTGTTCGGCGATGCACATGTCGGCCACAAGCTCTAACGCAGGAAGGTGTTCCGATTGGTGATGGGCTGTGGGAGGGAAGTGAAGGAGGGGCATGGGGTAGTCTCGCAGGTCGATTCTCCATTCATCCATCCTGAGGCAAAGGTGCAGAGGAACCAAGAGCGAATACTTTGTGTCTCGAGGCACACCCAGTCCTTGCTCGTGAATAAAGTCTGGGATCTCGTCATCTGGACGGGAATGGGGCGAAATGTCGATGCAGATCTTGGTCATGCTGGAGCGGAAAAGCGGAGCTGCCTTTGACGGTTGAGCCATCTTGATGGGCATTTCGGTGACATTACGAACTGCCGCAGGTAGCCGGCCATAAATGCGCCGTCGCCGGACATCCTCTCGACGAGCCTGCTCGGTCTTGGCATTGGTGTTGCGCCGAATCCAGCTCGATGCATTGAATGCATCCAGGCGCGCTCGAGCCTCTTCGATTGATACCTTGGCTCTGCGAGTCGCTTCTGCCTCGGACAATTCCTTGTTAGGAGTAGTGGTCGTATTGTTTGTCTCAAACGTGGTTGCCGTTGACCCAGAAGACAGGGAGTCACTACTGTCGTTGCTAGGCCGAGGATCGAGCGTGGCTGCTTTCTCGGCAAATGCCGCTTCTCTCTCAAATCGTGCCTGGTTCTCGTCGCCGCCAGCACGCCAAATGATGTTAAGCCTCGTCTCGAAAGGATCGTCGGAGGCCTCAAATGTCAGGATACGAATTTGGATGGTGATCCTCGGCAGGTGCTTGGGCGCCTCGGCGACAGGGGTAATGATGGAGTCGTTGGCGCCTTTGAGAAATTGATGCAGAAGTTGCTTCGTTGCCTTAACGGCCACGACAGTATTGTCGATGATGGGATGCATTGTGTAGGCGAAAGGGACACGGATGCCTGCTGCGTCTCCATTCAACATAATGTGGGGCCGCTGGCCAACTTTGTCTGGCTTTCGAAAGCGGAAAGTCCAGTCTCGCATCCTCACAGCCTCTTCCCACATGCCGTTCGATGGCACTTCGGGACTTTCGACGGCCATCAAAAGCGACTCGAAGCCAACGGTGAGCTCGTTCTGATTTGAGGCGGAAGCATTGAGACGGCGCAGGCGTAAGAAGAGATTGACGTCACTAGGAAGCGCGACGGCGACGTGCACCTCGTTGACGTCGAAGCTGACAAAGTAAGACATTGGCCTGTACTTTGAAATCTTCTTGCCCTTTCTCTCGCCTTCTTCTTTGTCCGTCTTTTTGCTATTTTCGCCAGCCTCTTTATCCTCTTTCTGATCTGCTGTCGCCTGTCCCTCTTCTCGCGCCTTCGCATTCGATTTCAGCTTCTTGACCGTAGCCATGGCGACAAGAAGGCAGTACGTATGCAAGAGCTCGATCTTGAAAGAGAGGAGCTTTGCACACTCGTTGGTGATTGTAACCTCCTCAGTATGCTTGCCGATCTTACTGCTCCTTGATCCAGGCGGCCGAAGGGAGAGCTTTGTGGAAGAGAAGGGCATCCAAAAGATGAACTTGGTTCGGTCCTGCTGCCGAAACTTCTCGTGGGTGCGCTGCGACTTTGATTGGGCCGGCCGCGTCTTTTGGAACTCCCAAACGGCGGGAGCAAGAATTGAGGGCGACTGCATCATTTCGGTCCTTTGAATCTGAGCCTTTTGGTGCTCAAGCGGGTCGCCAGCTTTGCCTGTCCCGTCCAGGTGTTGTGCAGAGGCCTGATCGGCATCGAGGAGAGGAAAAAGGCCGACTTCATACAAGCTGAGCTTGCCCATGGCGGCCTTCCCTTCTCTTACGGCCAGCGCAATGGCCGCTGAACGTATGTCCTCCGGTAGCTCCAGGGCGCTTCGCGCTCCCCAGCTGTTGTTCAACTGATCGTTTGGGTATCGTCGGAGACCACCCTTTACGGTCATTGAATACTCGATGATGATTCTCTTGCATTCAAAGCCGACACCGCGCGACATGGTGGGGTCGCACTGCTCGTCCACCCCGCCAATGTGTGCGACGATGGTTCCAATGGAGATGTAGAAGCTCACTTCGGGTCGAAGCGTGTCGAGGAGTGCTACGGGCTCTGCCGACTGCTCCTCGTTGCCGTCAATGGCCGGCCCAAGCTCCGAAGGCCTCTGTAGGTCATCCTCCGACGATGACTTCGTGAAGCGTCGCGGATCAACTTTCCTTGACGCTTCGGTAAAGTAGTCGATGAACATCTTGGCCGCATGGAGAGCATCGGGATGCCACATGTCAAAATCGAGCTCCTCAAGGCTGCATCTCGTGTCGGCGGTAAGCTTGCTAGCATCAAGAGCGACGCCATTTGCAACCGGATCTTGGTAGCCCGGCACGCCATTGTGTACCGAGATCTCAAAGGTGTTGAGGACAAGAAGGTGTCTTTGCAAGATGTTGGCGCCGGGCGCCGGTGCTGTTGGTCCAGCAAAGGGAGCGTCAAAGACGTCAGAGGCGCGCCTCGCCGCATCCTTTCTGTTCATTGACCAGAAGAGGTCGAGCGCATCAAATGTGCATGAGCTCTCGATGTTCAGCTTGGTGTTCCACGGACAAGCCGACGAAGATACAGCTCTTGAGTTCGAGCCCTTTGATGCCGACCACGACCTCTTGGGCTTCGATGGCCGCCTTTGATCTTGGGCAGTTTCATTGCCGGCAATAGAGAAAGGTGCACTAGGTTGGGTATCCAATGGCAAGGTTGGCATATCCGGCTGTAGCTCTCTCATCTTTTTGAGTGCCTCCTCCATCGTCATGCTCCTCTGGGGCGGCTCGAGGCCGCCTTTCTCCTCTTCCTCCTCTTCTTTCTGCTTCGCCTGAATCCACTTCGCGAACTCGCCTGATATCGTGCGAGGATCTGTCAGTCCTCCCGTCGACCCGCCTCCAGCCGCTCGATCGCCCCTTGGACTGGGGAGAGACCATTCAAGCTCATCCTTGCCCAGCGCCTTCCATGCCGCACGTCGCTCCATCTCGCTTCTCTTGACGTACTGGTCTTGATACGACGCATGACTGACAAAGTTGATCTTCGGGACGGCTAGAATGAGGCTCAGCTCCGAATCTTGACCGGCGGGTGCAGCAACCATCTCGCTTGCGTCGATGACGTAGGAGAGATCGTCGAGCTCCGCTCCCAACGAGAATCTTGGCAAGCTTTCCAAGTATCCCTTTGGTCGCTTCGGTTTCTCTGAGTGGAGTCCGAGTTCGGCTCGACGAGCTTTGCGTTCAGCCGTCTGGAACTGAGAGAAAGCAATCAAGGCGGCTGCATGTCCGCTCTTTAGATGGCCACAGATGCGACCCAAACGGATTTCGACGATAGCTGCGAGCTCGTTTGGATCGCCAATGAAATACCGAGGCGCCGTAATCTCCGTCTCATCCCTCGACGGCAAGAGCCCAAAAGGGGTCCATGTTGACCTTGTCCGGAGGGCCAAGTCGCCCATTGAGAGCAGTTCTGAGTACGCTGCGGGGGACTCTCCATCAATGCCAATCCGCGCCTCGAGGCTGGCCATCTCTGCTTCAACATTGAATGCTCTCCGGTGCTCGATGTAGGAGATGTGGCGCCGATAGGGCGTCCATCGGAAGCGCTGAGTAAAGGTCTTGTTATAGGATGGCCGGTAATTCTTGATCCCACAGGTGCCAAGCCAGCGCTGATGAAGTTCATCCGCTGGATCGCTCGTCTTGACGGTAAAGTGCAGGCCGTGAATATCGGTGGTGAGCTGGAGAGAGCTGGCCAGGTGCGAATGGGCCTTGTGCATGTCGTCATCGATGGTCAAGGATGTAAAGGATGACTTGGAGCTCATCTTCACCGAGAGCACCGGCATCGTAAAGGAGAAGGAGCCCAGAATGCGCAGGAGGTTGGCGCCCGAAGAGGGTTTCTGCTGCTTAATGTGCTTGGAGAGCTGGGAGCGCGTCCTGAGAGACAGGGGCACGATAGGGTGAGCAGGGCTGAAAATCAACTGCAAGGGAATTTGTACGCACCCTTCCTCGTCTGCTTTTGCAGTAGGTCTCAGGCCATTGATAACGGCTTTGCGCTCTTCCAGTGCCGTCAAGACTCGCATCAGCGCGTCCGCGCCCACCATGGCCTCGCCCAACTCGATAGCAAAGTGAAGGCACTCATTTGCGCCCACCGTTCTCCCCAGTACGAGGGCTGCGCTGACAGTGCTGGTGCCCGGCATAGCCAATATCCTTGCCGACTCAGCGACTCTGGCGCCGGGCGCATCCTTTCGCCAGCCCGTGTCGCTCGAGTATTTGGACTGGTCTATCGGCTCCAAAGCCCAATCGACCCACCGATCCGTCCAAGCGCTTCCTCCTGCTCCTCTTGTGGATTGCCAGGAGGCGAACTGTGCTTTCGTCCCCCTGGAGGCGCTTCTAGACCTTTTAGCGGAGCTCCCTTCGTAGCCGCCGGAAGACGAGCCGCGACGGTGCCTGGATTGTCCAAGATCCAGGGCAGCGATGGACGAGTCGACTGGCTTTTTCACCGCACCAGAGAGTCCAGGCGAGCTAGCGGGACTGGCCGTCATCCGGGTTTTGCCCTCATCGAGATTGCTGAGGGACGACATGTGCCGTGCTTGCTGCGCATCAAAGACCTGGATCCCTTGGAAGCGTAGTGTCAGGCTGGCACGGGCCGCCGGAAGGCCATCGAGCACAAAGGATGCGGCTCCTGATCGGATGCGCGTGGGCATGGCAAAGAGAGCCTCAGACAGCCGCTTTCCAAAACCCCTCATGTCTTGTTGGCCTTGGTCCTTGGTGTCAGCATCGAAGTCGGGACGCAGTGAGTCTTTTTGCTTCAGGAGCATGAAAAGGCTAGCGCCCACGTTCGCGATCCGCACGACGGAGTCGGCCTCTTCGACGTAGACCTCCACGCGACGGACCTCGATGTCGATGATGGATGTCAAAAAGGGCAAGCTGGAGGTAGCTAGATAGAGGAAGGACCGGAGAGCGTCGACGGCTGCGGTGCGCAGCGCTGGCAGGATGTTGTGTCGCATGATATGGTAGATGCCCAAAGCCACCCTGAATGGCATCACACGAGGCCCAGTTGTCGAAGCGCCTGGCGCTGCGGCCGCGTCGCCGTTGGCCATGGCCGCGGCTGCAAATGAGGGCATCGGCGCGTCCATTCCCATTCCTGTGAGGCGCGGCGACCCAGGTGGGCTCTCCATGAGCAGTTGTAGCCTCTTTTCCTCTTCTTCTTCGTGCTTCTTTCTGCTCTCCTCCTCTCGCTGAAGCTTTTTTTCGGCTTCCTCTTGTTGGCAGGCACTTCTCTCTACTGGCGCCTTGGAGTGTGAGGGATCCTTTCGTGGCATCGAGACACCCACACCGTGAATGTTGATGGTAATCCAGCTGCGTGTAGTCGGCTTGCATTTGATATGAGATTCCTGCTGCGAGCCACCTTCATCGACATCATCCCCGATGTGCTGCTGAGCCTTGCGGCCATGGAACGAGAGGTAGACTCGCTGCACCCTGACGAGCATGGTGCCCTTCGAGCACTCGTCTTCATTTTCGCTCGACTGCGGAGCTGCAGAGCCTTTTCGAGACGACGATGTCCTCTTTGGAAACCCACTGGAGCGCCATTCGATGCCCCGGATGCCTCGCAGACCCACACGCTGAATCCGGAGACGGCCTCGCAGGAACAGGCGCGGGATGCGGGGCAGGACAGATCGGAAGAAGACAAAGATTAGAAGAAGCGCCAGCAACGTCGTCCACATATAAGTTCGACTGTCGGAGGCACCGCGTGCAAGCTGATGGCCGCTCTCGCTGCCATCGGCCGCGTTCTGCGGACCCGTATACGGCGCGGAACTCATCGTCGATGTCTGTGCGAGGTCGTGGTCAATGCTGTCGCAGCGACCTATGTGCACATTTCGAGAGGAGCAATTCGAGTGGTCACTTGTGGTAAGGGCCCGCCACGCAGATGCTTCCGTGTACGGTTGACGAAAAGGGGTGATTGCGCTGTCGACGGCTGCCCGTTGCACCTGCGTCGTCGATCGCTACAGTGTTGTCTTCCACGCCAAGGCCGGGCCAGGTGGAGCGAGATCTCGAATCACGTGACGTCACCCATACCCTTTCTTCTTTTCCTATCCTCTCCGTGTTTTCCCTCTCGACTGCTGCAAATGACCTGGAATAGAACGACAGGTAGACCTGGATGCTGCAGCTTCAGAAGGAGCCACGCTCACACACAAATTATTACCTTGAGTTTATGAAGAACACGCAGATTCTTCAGGGCATCGTGAAGGGCCTCGTGACGGTCAGGACCCGAGTCTTGGCAGAGCTCTGACCATGTCAACAGCGGTTCTCGTTCTTGCAAGTTGGCTGTTTTTGGCTACAGACATTATCCTCAATGAGATGTCCCTCTCGAGACCATGCGTGTTACCTCTCCTGACTCCACGGTTGCGAATAGAGCGCAGGCGCCCACAATCCTTACACGGATACCCCGCGACTTAGGAGTTCGGGGATGCAAGAGACTGCTTTTATGCTTTCATAGACTCGCTGTATTGTTAGTGAATGCTATCGAGCTCGATCATCTAAAGATGGAACATCTGTGACGGACGGCCCGATCATGCTGCAGACAAAATTAATAATAGCATACCGCCGGCATCGATCTCAACTTTTCTTTTCTTTTTCTCGTTCCTGGAGAATTTCTCTTTGTGGCTGAATTTCAACCTTGAGGGTCCCGTTTTCATTTTACCAGGCCGGGTTCGATCCAAATGCGCGTCGGAACCCCTTAGTGTGCAGCAGCCAGGCCGGCCTCAACACGGCACACCATCAAGGAACCTTCGACGGGCCGGACCAAGTCGAATCGCTCGCGCACTTGCTCGCTCAGCTTCGCTCTCACTTCCGCTAAAATTAGCGAGAGAGTACGCTGAGAGCCTCTTTCCTTCGCTTCTCTCCTACTTTTTCGGTCCTCCTGGTGTGCATCTCATTCTTCTGCTTGTCATCCACAGGCGTAGAACAATCGTTGGGAGCATGAGGCCTTCTCTCTTTTCTGCTGCCGTTGTGCCAATCGTCCATCTCGCCGCATCGGCGCAAGCACAGTCGTCGTCGAGCGCGACAGCAACGTCGACGTACCTGCCGCCCCCTGCTGCCTCTGGCACGGTCGCATCGGCGGCGTCTGCCTCGCCCAACCCACAGTGGAGCCAGCTGCTGGGCAACTCGCTGTACTTTTACGACGTCCAGCGAGCGGGCAAACTTCCGGACAATTTTCGTGTGTCGTGGCGCAACAACAGTGTTCTCAACGATGGCAAAGACGTGGGGCTGGACCTCAGCGGCGGTTTCTTCGATGCGGGCAACTTCATCAAGGCCACCTTCCCTCTCTGCTGGACGATCACGCAGCTCAGCTGGGCGGCCATGATGTTCGGTGGAGGCTACGATGCCGCCAATCAGACGTCGTACCTTGACGAAACACTCCGCGTGGGCCTCGACTGGTTACTTGAAGCTTCCTCCCAGCAGGACTCGCTTGTTGTCTTGATCGGCAACGAGGGCGTCTATTGGGGCGGCGATCAAGACATTCCCACCGATCGCCCATCGTATAAGATCACGAGGCAGAACCCGGGCACCGACGTTTTTGGCTCCTGTGCAAGTGCACTGACGAGCGCGAGCATGCTCTATGCTGGCACTGCCTTGCCGCTAGGACCCAACAGCAACGGAACCGCCGCCTCGCTGCGCAATACAACCTACTCGCGTCTCCTCCTCAACCGCGGCCAATCGCTCTTCAACCTTGCGCAGACGGCAACGCCGCAGCAGGTCTATCAGGCAGCCGTTCCGCAGGTCAAGTGGGCATATCCCAGCACCGACTACGCCGATGAGCTTGTTCTTTCTGCCACCTTTCTCGCCATGGCGACGGGCAACAAGTCCTACATCGACTACGCCCAGACGACGTATACTGCAAGCCATTTCCCCTTTTCCAACGGCGCTCTCAACTGGGACCAGCACACACCCGCGGCACCTGTCCTTCTCGCACAGGCTTCGCTGATGGACGCAGGCCTCGACCTCAACACGACAAAGTACCAGTCCGATGCCGAGTACTGGCTTGATCTAATTCTCAATGGGCAGATGAGCCAGACGTTTTCCACAAGCGGCGGCCTCTTCTGGTTCAAGGGCGACAGCGACTCGGCCAGCCTTAATCCCTCACTCAATGCTGCTTCCCTGGCCGTCACGTACCACGGCATGGCCTCGTCAACGCAAAAGGGTCAAGGCTACCTCGACTGGGCCCTGTCCCAGCAGGACTATGCGCTGGGCAAGAATCCCATGAATGCAGTCTACTCCGTCGGGCTGCATCCCAACTCCGCGCAAAATCCGCAATCGGCTCTCGCCAGTGGAGGGACAGATGCGGCGAACATCGACTCATCTCCGCCCACCGAGCGCTGGGTGCTTTACGGCGGCCTTGTCGGCGGGCCCGACAAGCAAGACAACTACTACGATCAGCGGAGCGACTACGAGCAAACGGAGGTGGCCATCGACAGCAATCCGCCCCTAATGACGCTCATCGCCTACCACATTCAGAATGGCGACGCAGACCCTTTCTACGTGTCCTTGACCCAACCTCGCGTCATTCTCCCGTATCCAAGCTCCGGGGGAGGCGGCGGCCTCAGCGGAGGCGCAAAGGCCGGAATTGCAATTGCCGTCATTCTCGTCGTCATCATCATCGTCGGTCTCCTCGGCTGGTGGCAGCGCGAAAGGCTCCGAACGTTCTGGCGCAGAAAGCGACTGGGCCTCAAGGCGTAATACTCCGGTGCTCCACCCTCTCCTTCACCATCACCATCTGCACTCACGGTCGTTTGTTTGCCTCATGGATCTGTTTCACATCGGACATTTACTTCCTTGTATTATTGCTTTCCGTCACTTTAATCTCCACAGAGTCTTCTTAGCCTCCTCTCTTCACCAACGGGGATTCGTCATCAGCTTCGTAATTGGGTGAACGATTGGCTATATCTGGTTTGATTATACAACTAAGCGAAGGTAAGGAGGAAGAAAAATTGGTCCGCATCGACTCCAAAGCAGGTATACATCTACAGAGGCGCCCTCTTCATCCTGCCCTCCATCTGACTGAGCGCCACGCTCTCATCATCGCTAGCGTCCTCGTCTTCCTCTTCGTCGTCCTCAGCATTGTCATTGTGCACAATATCGTCGCGGCTCAGAGAAATGTCCAGCCCTTGGAAGCCTTCGTCCTCCTCTGCCTCCTCCTCGTCCTCGTCCTCCCTTGTCCTCTTTCTTGACGCAGAAATCGGAATAGGTCTTGGCCTCTCTCGAGGAGCATGAACTTCATTCTCGTCCTCTTCTTCGTCCTCGTCGACATCCATCTGGTCCGACGAGGCTCGGGGCGCTGCTGAAGTCTTCTTCGATCCGATTGCAGCACCGGCGGCTAGTTGTTTGTCCTTCGAGATGATTGTGACGAGCCTCTTCTCATAGGCCTTGATTGCACCAGTGTCTTGCGCAGCCGCATGCCGCTCTTTGACCTTCTTGTCCAGCATGAGCTTGATCGACATTGCCTCTCGAGGCCCAGCGGAGACAAGGAGCTGCGCAAGGGCTTTGAAGAGGACGAGAGAGTATTTTCCGTTGCTCTTCTTTCCCGCGTTTGATGATGCACTCCCTTGACCGTTGCTACTTCGGCTGGAGGGACCGCTAGCGGCTTTGTCGGCTTCGGAAAGCGCCGACTCGATGACCTTTGTATGCATCCGCACCATTTGCTCCGCCTTGATGGCATGCTGAATGGTCAACTGAGCGCCTCGGATGACGAGTGCTGATGAAAGAGCTTTCGACAGGTTGACAAAGATCGTTTCCGATGCCGCGTTCGCGCCATATTCTTGGTGGACGTTCACAGCCTGCCACACCAGTCAGCAACACCAACGTGCCGAAAAGGCATTGACCAGACTCACCCTCCTGAGAACCAGCGAGATGATGCGACATGTCTCCTCAACGCGCCGATACAAGATCCCTTCTTCGCGCAGTGTGTCGATGATGAGCTTGACACATGTATCGAAAGCGGATCCTAGTCGACCGTAGAAAGCCAAGACCTCGACGCAGTGCTCGATGTCGATGACGCCCAGCTTGATGGCTCTGACAAAAGCCGAAATATGTTCGATGAACGCAAGGAAGCGCTCAAGGTACTTTTGAACTGGCCGCCTATCCACTCCGTCCTCGGCCGTCGTCTCCTTTGTCGTAGCTTTGGGCTTCTCGCTGCGCTTTGCAGGCCTTGGATTGTCTTCTTCGTCGGAGTCGAGCTCACTTGATGAAAAATCATCTCTGTCTTCCGCCGACAGCGAGTCTCCTCGCTTCTTCAAAGTCTCGTCTGCGTACAGGTGGATTTCCTCCTCAATGAAGCTGGCGAACCTGACCTGAAGGTCATCAGAGCAATCCAGATGAAGAAGGCTCCGCAGCTTTGCCTTGGCAGTTCTGCTGTTATCGTCGTCCTTGGAGTCTGACACCTCTCCCTCAGCCAACACGCTTGAATACAGGGTGACGATGTTGAGCGAATGAGCGAAAGCCTCTCGTTGAACGCCTCGCGGTACCGGCGTAGATGCATTCTTGTCCATGAGGTCCGCTGCAAGATCGAGCAGTGCATTCCGCTTGGTTACGAGAGCAGCAACCATCGCTTCGTTGGTGGTACTCTCCTCGACATTGACGAGAGATCGCGTCTTCCACAGGATGTACAGCGCAAGCACCGCGAGAGCATTCTCGATCATCTGGCTTCCAGTATCAGTGCTGGATCAAGTTTGTGCAACTTCAGCAAGAGCAACTCACCTGTGACTCCGCCTCAAAGCCGAGTCTGCCCCTTGATGCGAGTCCTAAAAGCACCTCCCAGCCACTTGTTTGCTGGCCTTCGTCATCTTCCTCCAATGCCTCGCACATATCCATTCGTTGTGCGACGATTTTTGCACGCAGTGAACAGGCCGTGAGTTTGTGAAGCTCATCATCGGCAAAGCCTGTTGATTCGATGTCACGACCTTCGACACCTTCGCGAAGAGATCCGACCAGCTTTTCCTGAAATTCGCTGAGCCTCGAGGTGTTGATTTCGGACAAAGCTTCGACCTGGTTCATGGCCATGAGCGAATCCATAGCGTTGCTCAGCAAAGGCGGCTCGACGTGACGTCGGAACTGATCAGAGATATCGTCCCAGAGTGCCTCGTAGGCTTTGGTCTGCTGCGTTTCGATGTATACCTCAATGTTCATGGACAAGGGCAAAAGGAGGATGTCGGTAATGCGGGGTGCATCGGTACGGTATTTGGCGAAGAGCTTAGGCAGTGCGGGGATCGTTGCTCGCGTCATGTCCGTCAGGGCCTTGATCGCTTCCTCCTCTTCATCGTCTCTGTTAGTCGCAGCACTTGCGGCAGACGAGATAACCTGCACCTTTCTTGCGACAGCGATAAGCGCCTCAACCAACACCGCCTCTTCTTCGGATGTGAGGCGGAGGTCCTCGTTGGGTGGAGGATTGTCACCAGAAGAGGACGCGCTATCCGCAACTTTCTTGTTCTTCTTCCTGCCAGTCGCTGGAGGTTTGCTCGTATGGTCGTAGAGAAGAAGCTCGATGATCGATTTCCAGTCGTGCAGTTCAACGATTGTTTCCCATAGGGTGCCCACGATCAGCGTGATGCGGGATTCTGAGTTGGCTCCGAGAGCCGTGGCGTTGTTTGCTGTCACCTGCTGTTGCTGATCTTCTTCTACTCCATTGCCCGATACCTGATCGACTCGCCCGCTTAGCCGAATGATGAGGGAGGCGAATGCTTTGAGGCGGATCTTTACGATATCTTCCTCTTCAATCTGTTCATCCACCTCTTCATCGAGCATTCGAGAAAAGAAACCGGCGACGGCCGACCGAACCCTCTCCTCGACGTGGAAGATGTGGCTCGCCAGAACCTCACGCTCGCCATCGTCGAAGAGCTCGTGTGCATCTAGCTGAAGCAGCACGTTGATGGCGGCGATACGGACGGACATGTCGACATCGACAATGGCCAGATCGATAAGGCGCTTCTTCTGAATTTGCACAAAGTGGCGGACGTGCTGCGACGGTGCATCACGGCCGAGCAAGCCATTCACAGCCTTGATGGCGGCAAGACGCACCGAAGGATCTATGTCGGGTAAGAGCGTGCCAATGCACTGAAAGAAGAACTTCTCCTTCTGAAGACTTGGGTAGGTCTTCATCCATGAGCCGAGTGCCTCGATGCATTCGACGCGGATTCCAGCGTCAGAATCACGGTAGCGATGGACAAAAACACTGGAACAGATCTCTCATTCAGTCCCACCTCTTCTCGATCGGCAAGATGGCAGACTCACGTGTTGATGAGCTCGCCGTGGAACTCCTTGAGACTCTTTTTGGCCTCTGTCATTGCTTTGACTTTGCTCTCGAGCTCCTTCAGACGTGTCTTGTCATTTCGGGTCTTTTTCTTTTCGATATCCCTGCTCTTGATGCTACTTTGCAGCTCCACGTCGACGTCTTGGCGGATTCTGCTTAGTTGTGAGATGGATTGGAGAGCGACGTACACAGCCGTATGGCGAAATGATCGGAAGTTGCTGCTCGACATGGCGCTGATCCAGGCCACAAACGTCTCTACGAATGTGTCGTCGTACAGCATGTCAGTCTCCTGCGCATTACTGAAGAGTCTCTCGATGAAGTCGCCCATAGACCGCCTGAATTTTGCGAAAGCCGGTGCCTTGGATACGAGAGGGTACGAAGGCATGACCGAGTGCTTATAAATTGTTTGAATATCGCTGAGGTTGCTCGCAATCGCATCGTGGTCCTCGGCTTGATTCTCATCGATTGTTCCATTGCAGCCAGCGGACTGTGACAAGAATCAATCGTCAACGTCACAGTACGGTTGCACGTATAAGCTCTCGTCTTACCCTGATGAAGAAGTTGACAAGCTGAGCTAAGGCCATGCCAGCGTTGTCATGGTAGTACATTGCCCACTCTTCCGCCGTCGATGCAAGGTCTGACTCAGGGTTCTTGACGTGGTTGAAAAGCTTGTTGTCGTCATTGATGGGCAGCTCTTCTCTGTTACCCAGTGTTCTTTTTCTAGATTTGCCCCTCTGAGCGGCCTTTGTTTTGCTAGCGGCAGCTTTTGATGACGCAGCACTTGTCGCCTTTCGCTGGCCCAGCGACCTCTTTGAAATCCCAGTCTGGACCCGCTTCATCTTGCCTTGCCCATTCTTGCGTCTCTTATTTGAGGATCGGTCCCCGAAGTTGCTGGTATCGTCCATGTCTGTCTCACCCTCGGTGGTCTCTTCGAGATCGTCATCCTCATCGCTGCTTCCATCGTCTGAATCGGTCTGATTACTACGGGCAGCAATCAAGACCTTCTTCGGCGCAGCTCTGCCCTTCATGCCCGACTTCTTCCTCGTCGCGAGTGGCGCGATGACATCTGGCGATCCAATCTCCACTGTCAGCTCATCACAGAAAGGGACGATGCGGGAGAGACTGGGCTCACTCTCGTGCGCGGCGATGGCCGCCTGACGCTTGGGACGTTCGGTCGCCGTTGGGATCATCGTGCCGGTTCTGGCTCTTTTTGCTAGGCTCTGATCGAGACAGATTCCTTTGTGTCTCGCTCTGAGGGCTTGTTCTTGGTCCCTGCTCTCGCTTAAGACAAGTCCTCCGCTCCGTCCGGCAATTCAGTACTGGGTGTGATGTCTGGCGATGGTCGAAGAGGGAATCGGAGCTGCGCCAAAATTCACGCGTCGCGCATTCAATGAGCGCGTCGGAACACGCGGGGGAGCAGAGCAACACTTTTTGTTCAATCTTGGCTCAGATTTCATAAGACGGTGATGAATTGACAAGAGGTCACAAAACACCATCGAGGAAATCTTGATTGTCGTTGCTTTGCGACTGTGCCGCACTGCCTTCTGTTCTTGAAGCAGAGGGTGCGCCGCCTTGCAGGATCCTGACAGCTGGTTGGCCCTTTGTACGTGCCCGCTCCTTGGCGAGGGCGTCCTCTGAGGGAGAGATTGAATTCCCGAGACCTTGAGGCTGCTTCTGAGGTGGTCTGATCCTCGTCTTGGACAAGCTGGCTTCGAGGAGATCGTCGAGGATCTTCTGATCTCCATCGTGGCCGTCGTCATCGTACAAAGTAGACACTTCGGCTGTTCTCCTCCTCGTGGTCGCCCTTCTATTCGCCTCCTCTTGATCAGTAGTTCTCTCCTTTCCTCTCCCCGATCCAATGTTGAGTGAAATTGTCTTTGCCGATGTCGACTCTCCTGTTGCCTTTCCTCTGTCTTCTTTAAAGCGCTCCATGTGCGCCCGCGGCCCTTGAGCCTTTTCTTTTTCTTCCTGCAATCTTCTACCTTCCTTTTCGAGCTCTGCCAGCTCGGCGTCGTCTAGCCTAAATCTCGAAGTCATCAACTTCGACGACTCGCCCTTCCCATCTCGAATTCGTTGTCGGTGCAGCAAATGGCTCAAGCTTCGATCAACGTCGGCATCGTCCTCGTCGTGCTTGGCAAGAATGTCCTCGAGCTCCTTTCGAGAGGACAGCGCGTTGGTCGTGCGCGAAGAATCTAGCTTGGACACCTTTTCTCGAAGCGCTGTCAAATCTACTTCTGGTTCCTCCTCTTCCTCTTCTTTTGGTGTGAAGACTCCTCGGTGAGCGGGCATACGCTCAGTACACAATTGGGGCGAAGTACGCACCTGCGTGGGGGTCGACTTCCTTTTCCTCGTATCGCCATGCATTACTCTGCAGCTTCCTTCGTGCGTATTTTCCCCTTTCTGATGATTGAATATCCTGTTCACCACCTTCCTCCTCGGATTCTTCTTGCTCTTCCCCATCGTCGTCCCCTTCGCCGTCCTCCTCTTCCTTCTCTCCGCTCAGCTCCGGAAAAGATGCCTTGTCCATCCTCGAGCCGCCTCGACTCTTTCCCGGGCCGCCCCTGCCTCTGCCTCTTTCCGAAGAGGAGCCTCCCCGTGCGGCATTGTACCGCCTCGACGCCCTCGCCTTGTACTTGTTCTGCAGCACCATCGTGGTGACGGGCGTCGACGGCGTTGGAGTTTTTTTTTTGTTTTTTGTTTTTTTTTTATCTTTTTCTTCTTCGACTTCGCCTCCTCCACCTCTGCGTCTAATTGAGGGATCTGGGAAGCTGAGTGAGCCTCGCAATCAAGACACGTCCGAAACACCATCCATTGTCACTGGTGAGCCGGCCCAAGCAAGATGGACACGGGTGGCGGCTTTGTCCTGCCTGCTGGCAAGGGCAGCTCCCAGAGCCTTCCCCCTGGGGCCGCAGGGGAAGATGATGCCGGTGCAGGGGGTCCCACGAGCAGCGTCGAGCGGAGGAAGCTCTCGTCCAAGCAAGAGATGCGCCTCGTCGCCTTTCTCGATGATCAGTTTATGGCCCTTGTCCGCGGGTTCAACAAGCGGCACGAACCGGTCTCATCCACATCATCGTCTTCGAGCAGCAGCATAAGGACCGTCCAGGCCTACATCGAAGCCGCCGAGCGAATCCTTGGCGTCATCACGTCGATTCCGCCTGTGGGCCCTTCTGCGGCGCTCCTCGTCAGCTATCTCTTGCGTTTCACGGGTGACATCGTTGATGGGATTCAAGGCTATGAGGCTGAAGGGGTTGAAGCTCAAGGCGATGCTACGCTGTCGGTCGAAGACCAGCTCGACTTCGTCCTGTGGTTCATGGTCGTGCTCGATAAGATCTGGGCGGCTATCCTGAAAGGCCACGTCGTCGACTACAAAATCATCAAGGGGCGCGCCTCGGAGGAGGCGAAAGGAGCTGGAGCAAAGGAAAAGGTCATCGATGGCCGCTTCACCTCTGTGGTCACCAACCGGCAAGAAGGGAAAGAAGGGCCAGGCATTCCAGAGAGCAAACCGCTCGTTGGCGGCAAGGGCACCTCTACAGTGGGGCAGACGGACAGGATCAGATTGAGAAACGTCGCTGTAGGAGCGAGGGATGGGCTGTTTGCGTGGATGAGGCAGCAGCTCAACCGGCCGATTCCACCACGAATCGAGGACGATGGCGAGGACGAAGAGGAGCTTTTCATAGAGCAAGGAGATGTCGACCAGGAGGAGGAAGCTCAGGAGTTTAGAGAACACGAGGGAGCGACTCGGAGCAGCAACGGAGCGCAGATTAGCCAGCAACAGGAGGAAGACGAGGAAGACGAGATGGAGGAAGTCGATATCGATAAGGTCGCGAAAGGGGACGACGAGGAAGAGCCGGAACGACGTTCACACTACGATGATCTATTCGCGAGAAAGATTGATCTGGACGATTCAGACGACGAAGAAGAAGTCGAAGCGAGAGATGACGAAGGAGGGGAGCTTGAGCCAGAGCGAGGTCAGAAGCGTTCAGCTGAAGCAGGAACCAGCTCACCCTCATCGAAGCGGGTCAAGCGAGAAGAGGATGAGGAGATTCCAGAACCACCCTCGCCGACCTCATCGCTCACGACAGCAGCGCCAACGATTGATATGGAAAGCGTGGCGACCTTCTCGGGCACGGACGCGGCGACCATCATGCAATGGGATTCCCGCTTCTCCAGAGTCCTCTCGCGCACCCTGCGTTCGCTCAGCGATATCCAGGACGCGAAAGCCACGGCACAGAAGCCACCTGCGAGGAGCGCACTTCAGCAAGAGGTCGAAGCATAGCGCCATACCGTCGAGCATTGCTGCAAGTTGACAGAGATAATGTATTGGTACGCAATTCGAGATGATGGGCAACGGGCAACGCAAGACAAGGATAAAGCATGACTGTACAAGAATTAATCTCCTTCCCTTCCCCCACCCCTCTATTCGTTTCGTAAGGTAATATTGAAAGGTATCATTCAGTCGTGAGATTGGCGGCACTCGCTTTAAGAGCCTTTCTTCCTCCTACTTTCGCACCGGCGGTAGGTAGTTGCTCAACGTACTCGCCCTGACCTGATCAGTGGCGAGGAGCTCTGCCAGCGCGATCTGCGCCCTTTTTCTCGATTCGATGGCCGCACCCATTACGGACGCAATGGGCGGCCTCTCCATCGCTTTAGTTTGACGTTCCTCCTTCTCCCCGGCACTGTCACCAGCCCCGAGACCTCCCATTCGGAGCGTCTTGATGTAGCTCCACTGGATCGCCGGCCTGTCGTAGAGAATCTCTCTTGCCAACCGCACCGCCTCATCTTCAGACCCACGCTGCGGCATCACGCCCGATCGCACGCCAATGACGGCCAAAAGAACACGGATCGAGGCGACAAGTTTCTTGATGCGGTCGTAGGACTCGTTGAGGAGCCAAACGTGCAATTTCTCGATGGCGTAGGACACGCCAAGACCTAGGAGCCAGCCTGGAGGCGTAAAGAGCATCAGGGCGGCCACTACGAAGATGACGAGACCATGCGTGAGGGCGGCAATGACAAAGGCACTGCACAGAAGATCAGCATAAGAAACGACGGGCGACAGATCGAGATTTAACTCACCAAAGACTCTTTGCGCTTGCCATGCTCTCCTCCTCATGAGACGCATAGCGAAGGCTGAGGCCCCAACCCACGGCGTACGCTGGAACATAGACCAGGGCCAAGGGCAGGACGTACGGTAGCCTGACGAGAAGCCAAAGTAGTTGCTCGCCAAAGTAAAGCAACGACAGTTTCAAAGATGGAAGTGCCTGCGCTGCGTCCTGGCCCGTAGGGATCAGCGCAAGAATAGAGGTGCTTCGGGGGCTGCTACGTCGCCCAAAGGCTTTCTCGAGCGCGTTGAGAGTATAGACGTCTGTCGAAGAGGCGATGACCATGGCTTGTAGCGTTACAAGGGCCTCCTTTGCCTTTCGCGACTCGGGCGTATCAAGATTGAGAATGGTGACAATGCTGCATTGCGGTTGCCCATCAGCTACCCAGGAATGCGCAGAGAGATCGTAGATGCGCCTTCGAACACTCACGCATTAGAGATGGGCACCAAGTCGCGAAGAGGCAAGCTACCACCTCGAGTCCAAATGAGTTCCCTGGCCATCTTGATGCCATGCCAAGTTGCCCAATCGGGCGCATCTATCGTGAGCTTGTAAATCTCGGCTCCGATGCGATCCGTAAGCTTCTTGACGGCCGATCGTGCCCCTGAAGACGACGAGGGGGCTTTCGACACGGTAGAGGAGGGCGTTTGTAGCAACGAGACTCCGTTCGTCTCCGCGCGATCGAGTGTTGGACCGTTGGGGTCCAAGGGAGTCTGCAGAGCTGATCCATTGCGCGACTGGTCGCCGATATCGAGGCCGAGGCGCATCCGCGTCTCGGGGTGCGGACCATTGTCACCACTGACGATGATGCTGGGACCTGGGGTATGGGGCACGCTTGCTAGCGGATCCCGGGGCTGCACGTCAAAGGGAAAGTCTTTCCTGGCAGCAACCTCTGTAGCGACTTGGGCGTCGGACAGGAATTCCTGGGTATATTCGTCAACAGAGAACGCCGGGCCAAATTGGAAGACAGCGTCGCTTCGGAAGCGACTCTTATCGGTGTAATTGATGCTGGCGGGCACAATTGTGACCTTGGTCTTGTCCGAGCCCATGTGTTTGGCGTACTCGAGCGCTGCCCAAGCGGCGCCAGCCTTCATGCTGTGTAGGCGGTGCTCGGTGTAGGAGCCTCCCTCGGGAAAGAGGCCAATCGCCTCGCCAGCTTCCATGGCCTTGAAGGTGCCAGCGAATAGATCCTGGTTATTTTTCGTCTGCCGATCCACCTGAATGTTGCCAGAGCTGTGTAGGATCCAGCGGAAAGGTTGTCGCTTATAAAGTCCGCCTGAGCGATTGTAATCAGCCACGGTCCCAGCCTCACGTTTTCCGATCAGTACTCACGCTTGGCCCAGTAGTGGATCGGACGCCTGTGTGGCAGCTCTGCAGAGATGATGGCCACGTCCATGATGGTGCTAAGATTCCAGGTCAGCGATCTCTACCTAACTCAGAAGCTCTGGTCCTCTTTATCTCACCTGAAGTGGGTGCAGCAAAGAATGAATGGTCCATCCTTTGGCACATCATGCCCACCAATGACCTCGACACGTCTGAAGAAGTGCGCGGCACTGCGTTCGCCGATGAAGCGCATGACATTGTACATGGGTCCGAAGCCAGCTCCCTTGATCTCCTTGGCTGCATCGGCGCCATCGCTGGCGCCAGTGCGAGGCGCGAGGGCGTTGGCCATGGTCGGCTGCCGTTCTGCGAAAGTAGGATACCGTATTACCAGCAGGCGGACTCGTGTGGCATAAGAGGGCGAAAGCTCTTGGATATCCCTTGACTTTGACACTTGGTTTGGCGATTGATTGATCGCCGGTGGAGTTGGTGGGGTCGCGATATGGAAGAGCGAGAAGAGCTGAAAGGTGCGCTCGCTCCACGTGAAGCAACTCGCACGGACGTACGTCACCAGCAGTCACTCTCGTTCTCCCTAACTCTTTAAGGGTCTCGACATTGACGACCAGCAGATGCTCCAGTTTTTTTGGTGTGGGGGATGCAGCGTAAAGACGGATAGATACACATGGTGGTCCTGATGGCTCGCGGGAAACATGGTGAAGAATGGGAACAGGAGAGAGAAGCTTGCACTTTATAATTACTTGTTCTCTTGATCACCCGAATTGCCCTTTGCGCTTCCTCTTCCCGCGCCGAGCATCTCATTCAGCTTGTCAGGCGTAAGTTCCAGGCCAGCCTCCTTGAGCTTTCCAAGCACTGTAGTTGCCCACAGCATGTGTGAGCTCGACTGTCTCTATTCAAAAAAAGTAGAGGGAAGCAGACGCACCTTCGCCGGTGGCAGCCCTGACATCGCCGTCCATTGCCATCTTTGCCATTTGGGTGATGCCGGGCGGCTTTCCACTCTTGACGTCGATGCCTTTGCTCTCAAGCAACTTGATCAGCTTGTTGATAGCCTCGAGTGCCTGCGGGTACTCGGCCAGTTTTTCAATGCCAAGGGGAACATTCTCTTTGTTGTCAGGCTCCGAAGCCAAGGCGGGTCGCGTTGTGGTAAAGTGACGCAGTGTCAGCGTAGACGAGGTTTGCCTAGGCGCGGACAGGATTCTCGTCCTGGCAGCTTGGCGAAGTGAGAGGCGAGCGAGGTTCATCGACATTACCATCTTTCTGTAGCAAGGTGGGTTGGTAACTTGGGAAAGAGGTGGTTATGTGGTCAGCAGGGCCAAACACGTCCGGGCAGACCCTAGCTTAGTCAGCTAAGCCCCTTCTAGTCTTGTTCGTCATTAGGATCCTAGAAACGGTCAAACCTCGAGAGCCAGCAGAAGGTAGAAGGGGAGATCCGGCCTCCAGACTAAGTTCCCATTACTATGAAAGAGAGAAGCAGATGGATAGAGTGAGACCACAGAGAAGCAGTGCCTTCGTCAAGAGAGAACCACGAATAGACAAAGAAATACGTCGAATATACCCCTAGAAGCGAAGAAAGAGAGAGAGTATTTGAAGTGCACGGTGACGCTTAACAATAGACCGGTGACGTTGAGTAGTGACGATGACAGTGGCTAAAGACCGGCTTTTCGTTATTTTGCCCGTGCTGCCGGCGTCCGAACGGAGAGGGTGTCACACAGTGACTTTCCCGAATATGCGTTTGTGTGTGTAGAGCGGAGAAAAGAGCTACAAGTTGAAAGTGTACCGAGCGATGCTTTTGTCGAAGCTGCGAGAAAAGGTAAGGATTGTGGCGATGCAAGCCTCTAAGGCTGTGTTTGATGCTGGGGGTTGGATGGTGGTTGATGCTGTTGTTGCTGTGGCTGCATGCCCATGTCGGCCATGGCCTGCTGCTGTTGCTGCTGCTGTTGTTGCTGTTGCATTTGTGCAATGCGCGCACCCTCGTGAGCAATTGGGTCGAATCCAATGGGCAACGCCGGCGAGAGCATTGGATCATTACTGTTGGCGGCCATATGCGTGACGTGGGGCAGAGTGGACGCCATCTGGGGCATCGAAGACATGGGCGTCAGAGTCAAGCCGGGATGCTGAAGCGAACTGTGATTCTGGGGCGGCTGCGACATGGTAGGTTGCATGTGCATGGCTTCAACCATGCGCTGCTGTGGCGGCTGTCGACTCATGTCGACCATAGGGCTCGCCGGAGGGGGCTGGGACATGGCCTGCTGCGCCATCATCGGCGTTTGAGGCTGCGAGACCGAGGATTGAGCCTGCTGCATGTGACCCTTGTTGAGACGCACGGGCGGCATGTTGAGCCTCATGGACGAGGCTGCTTCCTCCTGCTTCATCAACAGGTTGCGCATCTGGTTGAGCTGCTCCTGAGGCTGTGCAGCATCAGTACCGGGCTCTTCCGTCTTGACAACTTGCTGATGAGGTTGCTGCTGAGTGTTGAACTGTTCCTGATGGTGCTGTTGCTGGTGATGTTCGGGCAGAGGAGGCACAGGCTCATTTCCCCCGAAGAATTGATTTCGGTTCGAGAGCGATGCCGGAGGGGTAAAGGGAAAGTTGATTTGCGAAATGACCTGTGCCACTTGCGAGGGTGCGATGACAGCTTCTGCCTGATCCAGTTCAATTTCATCGACAGTTGCGTCTTGCTCAGTGGTGGCCTGCTCCGGTGGTGCAGCCGTTTCGAGGAGGGGCGAGACGTGCAGATCGACGGTAGCTGACAGCCGCACGAGCTGTTGATTGCCTCTAGCAACATAGTGGGCGGTGATGTTGAGCTGAGTCGATTCGCACGAGGCGTCGGGGGTACCGTGGAGAATGGGCTGTTCGCCTTCCTTCCACTTGATCCAGTGTGGAAGGCTTTGTGCTCCGAAAAAGGCCTTGATCGACGTCGAGGGTGCTTGCGGGTCCCAGATGCGCAAATGCCAGGTCCACTCCATGCCGTGGTAGGCCACCTGGGCGGGGGCAATGATCTTGCGCTTGAATTCGCGAAACTCGAATCGGCCCTGATTGTTCTTGCGCGCTTCGACTCGCCAAACGTGATTGCCCTTGCTCTTCTCCTTGACACCGGCCTCGTTGAATCGTGCGATGTAGCTCGACGTCCACAGGTAGGCCCTCGACTGTTTCGAGTTGCACTCATCCTCACCAAGCTGATGAACAACCTCTTCGTGAAAGGCATTGGTGAAAGCCTGAATCCGAAATTTGAAGGCTTTGAAGTTCGTCGTCGCGAGCGACGATCGGCTCATCTTCTTTGCCGTGACTTGAAAAGAAAGAGAGCTTTTAGTCATGGGCAAAAGATGAGGCACAGGCTTGCGTACTCACGGATCTGATGGAGGTGTTCACCCTTGCTGTCGCAATAGTCGATGTCGGAGCAGACCTTTTCGAGAAACTCAAAAAAGATCCTCTCAAGCTTGGTCTTGAGCTCCGGTGGTACGGTGGCGCCCGACATGCCGCGTTCAGAAGCCAGAGTGCTGCTGTCACCGTTGTCATCACCATTGTGCAGATCAAACATGAGCGACGACGACGAAGAACCGCTCTTGCCGTTGCCGCTCTTTGTCCTGCGGTGGTGCGTCATTTGCTGACCATGAGCTGAGGAGGGATGGGGTTGCTGGGCCAATGACGGCTGCGAATCACGGCTGATTGCACCCTCGAAGCTCGAGTCGGTCTGCCCCCATGACTCTTGAGGTGAAGGAGGAACATTGGCCGCAGGCAGGCCCTGCCCATGCTGCGGCTGATGGTGATGCTGCTGTTGCTGATTGTGTAGAGCCATCTGTAATGCACTACCAACGTGGTTCGTAGAGGAAGACTGAGACATTTGGCTTGATCCTGGCAGACTCTCGCTTGAGGGTGTCGATGGATGCGTCATCATGCCCTGAGGTCGCGAGCCGTTGGCGCCGTGATAATAATTGCTGAAAGCGCTCTGAGGCGTGACAGGCGACTGCTGCAGCGAGGCTGCACCATGATTAAAGGCTTGAGGATTGTTGCCAATCTGCAGCCGGTGTGGCGGTGTCGGCTGCGCCCGCGCCACTGCCAGTTGATGTCCAGGTGGAGCCGAGCTGAAGATGGGTGGCGCCGATGGAGGATGAGCTGGTGCGCTGGCTGGTGCGGGCACGCCGCTGCCAGTCGAGGCGGAAGTGACATCGTCGTACACAACTGGAGGCGCCGAAGGGGGCGGATTGATGGGTGTGCCATCCTGGGAGCGGAGTGTCTTAAAGGGCGAAAAGTCGATATCTGCTTCGTTGGCTGGCCTCTTCTTCAGCGCTGACTCGGTGGCCGTTCTTCGATGGCCTCCTGGTCGCTGGTGCGTATCTTGGGACGACGACGACGATGATGATGATCGCTGCTTTTCCTGCATTTGTCCATCACTGACCAATGCCAGGCTTCTGCTTCCTAGTTCTCCGATCTCTGTGAGACTTCGCTGCAAATCGGTGAGGCAGAGACTGCTTCTCTCGTGCTGGCCTTGGTGGAAAGACTGCCTTGCATTGTTGGCCAGGTCCGAGACGCGGTCCAAGAGATCACCGATCCGGGCAATGGCTGCGACGCTGGTAGCTTTGTCTTGACCAGGCGCAGGCGCTGGGACGGAGCCAGGCGCAGGCGCGCCGCCCTGCGACAGAGGCCCCATGGAAGACATGGCAACGGGCGCTGAGGGAGATGGCCCCGACACCAAAGGTGCTTCCTGCTGGAGATGCTCGAGAGCCGGTGCAGCGCCGAAGTGACCCGGACCGTGGCCATTGCCGTTGCTCTCGTTCATTGACTGTGTGAGAGCGGCCACTGCAGCGTCATGGTCCCGATCAAGGGCTTGCCGGACCTGCGCCTGAGCTTCGGCCTGGGCATGGGCCTGAGCCTGTGCTTGTGCATGGGCATGAGCATGAGCGTGTGCCTGGGCCTGAGCTTGTGCGTGCGCTTGGGCCTGGGCTTGAGCTTGAGCTTGAGCAGCCGCGAGGTCGGCTTGCTGTTGTTGTTGTCCTTGTTGTTGTTGTTGTTGTTGTTGCTGCTGCTGCTGCTGCTGCTGCTGTTGCTGATGCTGGTGCTGGGCGGCAAAGCCAGCCTGCTGTTGAGCCTCTAGGGGGTACGGAGCAGAGAGGTCCGCCGGTGACCTCGGCACCGCCCGCGAGCCCAAGGCCCCGTCCAAAGTGGTAGAGGGCTGCAGGGTGTCGTAGAGAAAGTGGCGCTGCTGACCGCCACGCAACGTCTCGCCGTCTTCTTCGTCTTCCTCGCCGTCACTCCGGAGGCCCTCTTCGTCCTCTTCGCGCGGATTGTCGAGGTGGAGATGCCTGTGCTGTATGCTAAAGCTTTCACTGCCACGCCTTCGGTGACGAGGAAGGTTGGCAAAGATGCGTGAAGCTCGGCTTCCGCGCCCACCAAAGTCAAACGAGGTCGACGATGACGATGATGTGGCAGGAGCGTAGGAAGCTAGAGAGTGATGAGCAAACGTGGGCGATGGGCTTGAACGATAGCCGGACATGTATCCGGAGGGGTGGAAATCGAGGCCAGCAACGGATCGGCGACGTGCGTTGAGAGTAAAATAAAATGAGGGACCAGCAAGGCGATCGCCTCGTCAAGAGGAGACAGGCGGATCTCAGAGGTCCAGAAGGCGACGAACGTTGGTAGGGCACCGGGCCAGAGTTTGTCGTCGGGTGCGCGCAGTCGTGTACGTCCTTGCTGAATGGTGCCGTTGCTGGTGTTGCTGCCGTTGATGCTGCGGGAGAGTTTAAGGAATGGAAGGAAGATATAGAGGAATTTGGGAGAGCAAATTGTCAGCCAAAGAGAAGCGAACAGAGAAAGGAGGAAGAAGGTAAGAAGCGAAAGAGGGCAAGAGGCTGGACAAGACGAAGAGGAGCGGCATGAATGCAGGTATGAATGCATGGCGCGGACCAGCAGTGCGGCTCTTGGTTCGAAACGATAGTGTCTGTATGCCCGTGCCGCTCTTCACCGTCGGCATATTGACTATCTTCTTTTCATCCGGCTGACGATAGGTATTTGTGATTTTGAAGGGTCTACCCCCTGTCTCGGAGAGAGTGAGATTAGAAGCAGACACGGTCTGCCCCTCCATCTTCACCGCTGTTGCTCTCGAGCCAGCGGCAGTAGTGGGCCCAAGCGCACCACAATTGGCGTAACTTCTCAGCAGTGGCCACTCCGCCTTCTACGAATTTGTCTCCCCCCTCCTCGTTCTTCTCTCGCACGGCACAGCCTGATGATCCTCCTCTTGTAGAGCGCGAGAAACCGAAACAAAGTCCGCGAAAGGAGACAAGTGTTACGAAATTCCTGCTACTGCACTCACCTATACGCGACACTGTAGAAGAAGCACTTCTCGCGGGCTCTTAACCATGCACTAATACCGCCGACCGCTTATTTGTCGGCCTCCTGTCCTTCTCCTTCTTTCGCCTCCGTACGTGCGTGTGAGATCCGACTGAAGCTCCTCAATTGGTGTCTTTTTTTAGATACCTTTCGTTGTCCAATGCTCCTCCCGTTCCTGGCTTTTGCCTCTCCGTTTTCCCAGCTCCGTCCCGATTTCTTTTCTTTTCCGCTGGGCTTGAATAGGCAGAGGAAAAGAAGAAGGCCGCTGGTAATGCCGCTGAGCAGCTGAGCCTCAAGACTTGGCGTTCCCGTTATGTATACAAACTTGTCGCTGCGTGGAAATGAAGAGAAAGAGAGCGCGCCAGAGAAAAAAAGGAGAAGGAGGCGAGGCGGAGCGCAGAGATCGAGACGAGAGCGAGAGAGAAAGAGAATGAGTGAGAAAAGAGATCTCAGAAGGGATCGAATCGATGGCGGGTTCCGAGGAGGTGGTGAAAGGTGCACAGGAAGATTCAGCGTGCAGCCTCTCTCCTGTCAAAGCCGGCGCGAATACGAGAACTATTTGTATCTTTTTAGTATTCTTTCCACTTTTTTTAAGATTTCCATTTGGGACCGCGGCTCGCCACGCGAGCGCCGGGGCACCGCCTCGCAGAGAGTGGACCCCACCAAGACGCCGTGTACGTGTCTGGCCGTGGGCTTTTTTGACCCTTGGTCTTTCTTGGACTGTGGTCAAATTTATTAGTGGGGTGCTATGCGAGTCCACCTTGTGCTCGTCCCTTCATTGCTTTCTGGTCATGCTATTGATACATTGAGGATGGATCCAAGATCGACATCATAGCCCTCCGACGCCGAGGGGATCATAAGATTCGGCTTCGTCCTTCGGTGGTGGAGGAGGAGGAGGAGGTTTTCCGGCGGACTCCGGCACCGGTGGGAGTTTTTCGACAGCCTTGGATGGCGAGGAAGAGCCTTGAATCTTGAATTGAGCGTCCTCTTCGTCAAAAAGAGTGTTTGCAAGCGCCGACTTCTTCTTTGTTGGAAAAGTGACAGCGGATGGGGAAGCCCAAGGATTCCCATCTGTGGACGGTTGCCTTCTCTGGTCTTGCGGAGCCACGTTTGAGACAAACCTCGACGGCGGTCGAATGTCTGGGGACCAGGCATTCCCCCAAGCATCCGTTTCGGGGGCCAAGACTGAAGAAGAAAGCTGGCTTCGCTGACGCTCGGTTGACTCTCGCTCCTGCTCCTCGTCAGAGGACACAGGTCCGGTTGCCGACGCATAGGCATCCTGAAGCTTGGTACCCCATCCAATGAACATATTCTTCATCCGAGCCGCTGCATCCGCTGCTCCTTGGTTCGTCCCTCGAGAGCCCTCGTCGGACCTCTGTGATGATGAGCTCGAGGGTGTCATCGAGGCAGCCTGCGGGGTCCGCGACGCACCAGCTGGTGCTCGGTTGCCGCCGGCCTTGGGCACGCGAGGCTTGTATGCGAGCCTGTTGACATCGACAACACCATTGAGGACAGGGTCGTGTGCCGCATCGCTGACAGCCGGTCCCACCGTGACACCATCAACCTCACTCGGCCCCTGATTTTCGATCCTCCTCCTCTCTTCTTCTTCCTCTGCCCTCTGCTTTGCTTCTAGCTCCAGCAGCCTTTTCCGCTCCCTGGCCTCGGCCACCACGAGTGTATTCATATCCTCATCCCCACGTCGAAAAAGCTTGGCAAAGAAGCCGACATCTCGCGAGTTGGGAAGCAACACGCCCATGTCGGCCGCCTCTCGCTTCGGGTCGTCGAGGCTGGCATCAAAGGATTGGTTCCGGAACTTCTCTTTCTGCGCTGGATCGAGCATGTAGTCCCACACGCTGATCGTCGTCGAAGCTGCTGGCGCGCCATCGTCGTCTGGCTTGATTCTCTCCTTCTCGGAGTTGTGCAGAAAGGTGCCGAATCGGCATTCGTACACTTGGGTGAAGAGCTCGAGGAGCCACTCATCATTGAACTCGAAGCGGCGAGGGAACTGCCGCTTGATCTGCCAGACGCAGTCAAGAAATTGATGAAAGACGGGCGATGTCTCCTTCAGGTGGGCTCCGCTGCTGTGACCATCGCCACCGCCCGGAAAGTTGGCTGTGAGCTGCCTTGTGAAGCCCCAAAGGGCATTGGCGGCCGCCTGTTCGAAGCCGCCTCGACTGTCATCGCCCTCATAATCGTCGTCACTGTCATCTTCACCGTAACCATGCGCTGTTGTAAAGTACTTTTCACTGCTGGCATGGCCACAGCGGTCCCAGAAGCGATGGCCAAAACTGCACCAGTCCTTCTCTATGAGAACGGCAAATCCTTCCATTGTCCGATAGTACGGATCCAGGCAGAGCTCGGAGAGCGACGCCAGCTGCGAAGTGCGATCCCAGCCGTCGGAACAGTGGATGAGGACGTGCGACGAGTTGATGTGGACGTTTCGTGCGATGATAAGGGTCCCTTCCAGGAGTGCAGAGATGTGCTTAAGCCACTGGGACCTTTTCAAGGCAACGTGGTCCAAAGGGGGGGCAGTCGCTTCCCGCTTCATTAGCCTCGACGAGGTCGCAAGACCGCCGTCGTCCTGCTCCTCAACCACGGGCTCGATGGCGGCGACGACTGACATGCCGAAGGTGGCGGGAGCCTCGGCCTGGCGTAGAGCGTCGGTGACCTTTGCCAAAGAGTCGCGCATGACGTGAATGTTTTCTACGCCGAGGTAGGCCTTCTTGCAGCCACGATAGTGCTCCATGTTCTCCGTCCCGGCCCCTTTTGCACGATTGGCGACGGCATTTGTTGTCGGTCTTGCGTCTATGATAAGGTTGGTCGTCGTAGCACCGTAGATAGCAACAATGTTGCCCCGGTCCGACTGGTTCCCGCCAGAAGCATGCTCTGCGCTGGCCGTGGCCGCAGACCTGGCCGATGGGCTGTTCGGATCAGCAAAGAGGTGGCTGGTGAAGATGGCTTCGATGAGCTTTTCATCCTGCATGCTTCGATTGTTGAGGCCGACCATGGGCTGAGAGGATCTCGTGATGCTGCCGAGGTTGGCCCAGTGCAAGTAGGTCAGGGCGGGGATGCGAGCTTTGGAACGGTACTTTGACGCATAGCGAATCGTCGCGTCGGAGATCCGGGTGGGAACGACAAGATGGGAAGGGTATGTGGGGCAGAACTGGACGAGGTCCACGTCAGACAAAGTGAGCACCAGAAAAGGATGTGCTCTCGCAACTCACGGTATAAGTTGAGTTGACATCGCAGAATCTCCACGCCTTTGTCCTAGTTCCAACACCCATGCGCCCAAACTCTCGCTTGAAGTCGTACACCAACCACCCCTTCGGTGAGAGCTGCAGTGGTGGTCTGGGGTGATAATTATAGGCGTAAAGAGATCGAGGAGTTGCTGCTCGCATTTGTGTGTGAGAAGCAGCGTGTTAAGGATGAGGCGAAGGAACGCTACTCACGGGCGATCACTACGCTTCTGAGGCTCTCGAAGACGTCAGTTGCGCTCGTGTCTGAAGTGAATCCTAGAGCAGCGCTTTCGAAATTTCGTAGTCTCAACATCAGTGGATAGATGCGTTTCGAAGTCGCCGCCCTTCCGAGCGTCTGAGCCGATGCCTGCGAGGCGTCAAAGTCTAGCAATGAAGGAAGTCTTGTAACAAGCCATAGTAGAGAGTAGGCAAACTGGTGGCCTCAGATGTCAGTACGATGATGGCTCACTTGTAACAGCTCTTGAAGACTCACCCAAAACTCCCCTTTCCCTGACCTCTTCTCTTCACTTTCGTCGCTCTGGCCCACGGCCTCATCGAGGACAAAGACGAGATGGTGCTGCGTCAAGAGGAGAGTGCCTCGCTGGCACTCTCTACCGCGCTGCAACAGCACCGACTCGACCTAATCTCTGAAGTGAGCCACAGTTGCTCAATGCTTGTGCCAGATCAGATAAGCCCACCTTTGTCACCCGAAACTTGTCCATGGCCGGGTTTCGCGACGCTCGTTGAGCAATCTTGGAGGAGGGATCCTGTCGAGACCCTCGAGGAGGTCCGAGCGAAGCAGTCTCACGTGTGCCGCCCTGGGGCTCGAAATTTTGACTTTTTTTTTTCTTTTTCGATTGGCGCCAATGTCAAGAAGACAAGGGAACAGTCTCTTCACACCGCTGCAAAGACCACACACACTACCCTTTCGAAGCCAAGATGATAAGAGCCTCGAAACCGAGAAACGCAAGGTCGAAGCGAGCTTTGGAGAAGCGAGAGTCCAAGGAGCTTGAGTCGGCCAAAACGGCCATCTTTGTCCGAGGTTCGCACACGTCCGAGGCAGTCTCTTGTGCTCTCAAAGAGCTGGCGGGCCTCAAGAAGCCGCACAGCATCCCCTTCAGCAAGCGCAACGACGTCGCACCCTTTGAAGATGCCTCCAGCATCGAGTTCTGGGCTGCGAAGAACGATGCGAGTTTATTCGTGGTGGGCAACCATCAGAAGAAGCGCAAGGACAACCTCACCTTTGTCAGGACCTTCGATGGCCAGGTTCTTGACATGTACGAGCTGGGCATAACAATGGCCAAGAGCCATGAAGAGTTCAAGGTAAGTGAACGTATCAGACTCCTTACTGGGACGAAATGTGCTAAATCCCAACCCCAGTCAAAGAGATCACCCACCGTAGGAGCTCGACCTCTGTTCCACTTTTCGGGGCCTCACTTCTCCAATGACCCGTCTTCGTCGCTCGTCGAGGGACAGAGAAATAACAATACAGCACTCGCTGCGTCGCAGATGGCTTCGCCTGGCCTCTCTTCCTCCTTCCAGCACCTAAAGTCTCTCTTTCTTGACTTCTACCGCGGCGAGGAACTTCCACCTGGATCAGGGCCAGGAAAACAGCCTGGCCAGGCAGGCGCTCAGGTTGCTCTCAAGGGCGGCCTCCAGCACATCATTTCAATCACCGAGGCACCGGGTCCCGAAGAAGAGGGAATATCGGGCGTGAATGGAACCAGTGCTGCGATCGCACCGGACCTCGCAGCCTTGTATGCGGCTGGCGCAGCCACCGCATCGTCTGGCAGCGACAAGTCGAAGGCAAATCTCGACTCGAGCGCGGCAGGCAGGACAATTCATTTCCGCGTCTACGCCGTCGTCGACGCGGGTGCAGCCAAGGGTGGTGCCGCTGAGCTCGAAGAAATTGGACCTGCGTTCGACTTTGTTCTCCGGAGAAGGTTGCCGGGCGATGTAGGCCGGTGGTCGGCGGCGCTGCGCCGGCCAAAACTGGCTGAGGAGAAGAACCGACAAGGAAAGGGCGAAAAGAAGAACATCGAGACCGACGAGATGGGCGACACGGTCGGCCGGATTCACATGGGCAAACAGGACCTGGACAAACTTCAGACACGAAAGATGAAGGGACTCAAGAGGGCCAGGGCTGCAGCTGGTGCAGACGGATCAGACGAAGACGAAGACGACGATGATGTAGCTGATCTCATGGGCGATGATGACGATGAATCACTCGACATGGAGGACCTCACAGGCGGTGCAGACGACGACGATGATGATGATCACGACGATGACGATGAAGGAGATGAGGAGGACGGGGAAGAAGGGGCGGCGCCCGAGAGGAAGAGGCGGCGCTGATCGACATTGTATCCAACTTGTAATCGTAGCCACCTCGTTTTCACTGTCTCGATTTAACACATCGCATTTCCAACCAATAGGACAAGATAATGTCTGTAGATGATTGATCGCTCAGATTCGATCAAATAGATGATGGTAATGAGGGGTAATGAGGTTACAATGGGGCTCAATTGTGCTTTGCGGTGCTGGTCCGGTGATGCTTCTATACAGGCGTAGAGGAAGAGGACAGGAAGGTGTGAGATGGGGCTGCCGAACACACTCAGAAGAAAGAGGAGAGAAAAGGCCAAGTCGAGAGGCTCCGAGACTCTGAAGAAGTCTACAATAGGAGACCGAAGGCTGCCAGAAGGAAGAGAAGGCCCGCCGCCACGGCACTAGTACTGACCGAGTGTGACACGGTTCTCGCCACGCCGCTGGTGGCGGTCGTTGTCGTTTTCCCCGGTGAGTTTGCATTGTTGGCGTTTCCGCCGCCCGTTGCAAAGATGCGCAGACCAGAGACCTGCCAATAGGCCTCGCTGAAGGAGCTGCCATTATAGCCGACTTGGTAAGAGCAGGCAGGGTATTTTGCGTTGCAGCCAGAGACGTTGTACTGATTGGGGTGGGAGCTATGTTAATTAATTTCTGGTGCTGCAGAAAGTGGGAATCTGCAGGTACTTACGGTGTTGGCTGCCCAATCTCCGCAGAGATCGATGTTCAAGACAATCTGTCATGGTGTCGGGCAGTCAGTATCTTGTGATCCAGGATGGGACAAGTGATGAAACAGGGTCACCGACATTGTGAGGTCCAAAGTCGCTATTGCACTCATTGGCAATGTTGAAGTTAGCTCCCGCCTTACCCCAGTTGCTGGGGTTGACACTCTGGCTCCCTGCTGCAAGATCGCTTGGCTCCGAGCCCTTGGGGAAGTACCAGACGGAGATGCCGCTTCCCTCTGACCCCATCGCACGCTCCATTGCGAAGAGTCCACCGGTCTTCTTCTGGTTGAAGGACGATCCCCAATTGGCGTTGGACGTGCCATTCATCTCGGTCTGGCAGCCCTGGTTGCCGTTGCTGCCCGGGGATAGGCATGAAGTCGAGAGCACCGTGCCCGTCTGCGTGGAGATGGTCGAGGGAATTGTGCAGTTGGACTCCGTGTGCAAAGTCGCGAGATTGCTCGGGTACTGGTCATTGGCGTTCTCCATGATGTCGATCTCACCACCGGCAGGCCACTTGCCAGCATTGTACTGGTCCGTGACCGTCCAGAAAGCTGGCCAGACGGCGCAGCCCGTCGGGATATGGGTGACATTCAGCACATAGACACCATCCGAATAGCTGTTTTTGCTCGTGATGCGCGCGCTCTTGCGACCCGCCAGCTGGACCTCGGTCGTATCAACGCGCATGAAGAAGCTGTCGCCCTCGACGTAGGTGATGTTGTTGGTCTTTGCATCAGACTGAGACTGGTAGGTGACGAGGCCATTGGAAGGATCCGTTGCTGTGTACCAATCAAAGTCGTTGAAAAAGTCGCTGGGGCCAATTTCGTCTGTCATTGTCCACTGTGCCCCGCGGACAAGGGTGACCGTCAGCATGGCCAGTGCCAACATGGCCTTGAAGGCAGATGCTCCTCCGTCCATCATCTAAACTGTTGCAGCTCGCAGGGCGGGGTCACGATTGCTCTTTGACGGAAAGGAGAGAGTGACAGTGAAGTCAAGTTTGGCGATCAGCCATCTTTAAGTTACAAATCGGCATATACGAAGGGGGGGCAGGGCTGTTGGGCAGGGTGGGTACATGCCGACCATTCTCAAATCAGGTGGTAAAACACTACGGGAAAAACTAAAACTGGGCTAGGATTGCTTGTTTCTAAAAAAGAAGAATTCCTTCGGAAGGGGCAAACAGATCCCGAGGAAAGTAGAGTCGGCAGGGCCACGCGCGGCTTCCCACGTTTGTGGCGTTCACGGCACGGTCTTCACGGCAAGCCTATCATGACATACATTACAGCCTGAAGGGAGCAGAAAGAAAGGTCAGTCCGAGTCCCGACCCTCATCGGTCACCGAAGACTGCTCACGCGGTGCCTCGCTCGACTGCAGGGAAAGAGAAAAGGTGGTGAGATCATCACTACGCTCTCGGTGGCCAGAGGAAGGCCGAAGCTGCCCACTCACAATTTTCGCGAATCTCCTGAGTGTAGCTGTCGTAGAAGCGCTTGATCTTCTTGTTGAAGTGCTTGTTCTTGTCATTGATATAGTTGACCTCGGCATCGGCATCGTCTGGACGGTAACGACTGCGTTTACTCCGGAAGTCAGACCTAAATGCACCGGAAGTAGGTCAGCGCCAGTCTCTGACAAAGTAAAGAACACACTCACTCTTGGTTGAGATGCTGAGTGACGCGGTCCAGCGCTGCGTCATCGGGCTTGTGGTCTCCATACGCGAGGTTGTTTATGCCACCGTAAAGGTCATCCTTCTTCACCACTTGACCCTTGGATGGTCCAGTGGTTGTATGCGTCATGGCCGAGCTGCTGCTGCCGCTCTGGAGCGGCGATGCACCCAGAGCAGAGGCCCTCTGCTTGTCGTAAGTCGTCAAGTCCGGTTTGAGCTGGTTGATCTGCCGTCTATAGGTACGCTCAGCTGCTGACTGTGGATCAATTGCCCCTTGGTCCTTGGTGATGGCCTTCTTGGCCAGCTTGGCCTCCCACGCCTCGTTCTCCTCGATCGAGTAGCCCATCGCCCTCTGTCTCTCCACGTCCTCTCCACGTTCTTTGGCATCTCGTTCGTCGAGAACCTTTTCCGCCTTGGCCATCTTGCGCGCAATCGCGGCCTCTTGTTTTGCGCTCTTCTTCGCCTTGTTCGCCTCTGTCGCCACGGCCTTGCGATTCGCAATAGAAGACTCAGCCTGATAAAAGGCAAGTGATCAACTTTAAGCCTAGGGCCCTCTTTCAAGATCATGCCATGTCAGCACTCACCATCTTCTTTCGCAGCTGCTTCATCTTCTCCATCCGTTCCTCCATCGTGAGCGCGTTTGCCTGCTCAGATTTTGAAGACCCATCTTCCTCTATGACGTCCGCTCCTCCCTCCTCCTCTGGAGCTGCTTTCCCCTTGCCCTTGCCCTTGCCCTTTGCGCTCGCCCCCGTCGATCCATTCGAGGCTGCCTTCTCTACCGATTCCACGGCCGTGGCATCAGGCCTCTGGCCGTCTCGCTCATCTTCGGCCTGCCCGAGAGCTTGCTCCTGCTCCTGCTCCTGCTCCTGCTCTCGCTCTCGCTCCTTGCCGGTCCGCCGCACTGCTCGACTGCTCTCATCGGCCTTTGCTTCCTCCTGTGCGGCCTTTGCTGCTCTCGTCCGTCGAGGCGGCATCCTGCGTATCTCTGGGCACGAGAGGTAAGTCGGATGCTCAAGGGCGAGGGAAGGCGAAGGATACCGGGCCTAAATTTGTTGGTGGATGGCGCCTGCTCCGTCGGCCGACGCGTCCAAAATTTCTGTGCGTGTGTGTATCCTCTTGACGCATGGGCCTCTTTCTGATTTCTCCCACTTTATTGTCGCCGTCCAGGACCTGCGAGGCGATGGAGGAAGGACCGCCCAGCAAGACTGAGGCGGCAGGGAGGGGCTCTGCTGGCGCTGGTGCAGGCGGGGCCGGGGGAGGGGGAGATTCTGGCGAGGGAAAGCGTCGAGGACGTCGCAGTCGAGGGCCAAAGAAGAGCGATGGAGGAAACCAGAAAGGTCCGGCGGCTGCTGGTGCTGGCGCTGCGCCGCCAAAGGGTAGCAGTTCAGCACCACAGGCTCAAGCAAAGAGCCCTCAGGCTCCTTCCTCGCCAGTGCTGCAGAACCAAGCCCCGCCCAAAGGGCCTCGCTCGATGGTTGACGGTGCCAAAGCCTCTACCTCTGCGTCGAGCAGCCAAGCCCAGGCTGCTGCTACTACTGCAGCTGCTTCTGCGAAGAAGAAGAAAAGACGAGAGCGAAAGCGCAAGGAAAAGAAGTCAGAGGGCCATGATGCGGACGCCGACGATGACCTCGACGCACAGCAGAGACCAAGGCTCAAAGTTGTCGTCCGGCGTCTCCCGCCCAACGTGCCCGAGGACGTCTTTTGGCGCGCCGTCGAGCCGTGGGTCAAGCGACCGGGCACGACTGGGCAGGGTGTGGCGTCCAACGTGGACTGGACACGCTTTGTGCCGGGCAAGATCAAGGATGGAGTCCGCCGAGGTGCGCCCTCGGATGCTCGCGAGCTGCTTCCACACACGCACGCCCGCGCGTACGTCCGCTTCACCTCGCTCGACGCTCTTTTGGCTTTTCATCGCGCCTTTGACGGGCATGTTTTCCGCGACGAGGCTAGAAAGATTGACTTTGCAGCGCTCGTCGAGTTTGCACCATTCCAAAAGACGCCAGCCGACCTGGGCAGGGGAGCTGCCAAGGCCGATGACAAGGAGAACACCATCGAGGGCGACGCCGACTACAAAGACTTTCTGCAAAAGCTCGAAGAAAAGGAGAAGGCGCCGGCCGAGAAGACGGATGCGCAGCTGATGGGTGAGCGGTCTTCAGAGTACACTCCGTTGTTGAAAACGAGTTCGTAAAGAATGCTGACCTGGGCTGTTCTTTCTGTCAGCCGACATTACGAGCCAGGCCGAGAGGGCAAAGAGCACACCACTGCTCGAGCATCTGCGCAAACAAAAGGCCGGGAAGAAACAGCGGGGTGGCGGCGCCAAAGCCAGCGCGGGAGGAGCAGGAAAAGAAAAGAAGACAAAGCAGGCTTCGTCGACCGTGGCTGCTGGAGGTGCCCTTGGTGCTGCAGCCCCACCGACAAAGCCGGCCGCGATGAAGGACAAGAGAAAGGGATCGAACAAGAGTGCGCCACCGCATGGCAAGAAGAGACGAGGCGGCGGCGGTGGTGGTGGTGCATCAAAAGGCGGTGGTGGAAAGGAGAAGCAAACATCAGGCGGAGGGGGAGGAGGAGGAGGAGGAGGAGGAGGGGCACAAGTTGCCATTCTCAAGCGGCCACCGCAGCAACAGTGACAGATCATCATACTTCCTCACAAGCAGCAAGCACGGTACAAGGAGTGAGAAGCATATAGACAGAAAAGACAAATATTACAGACATGCAAGCTAGGGCCGCGGTGACTTTTTGGTGATGACTAGTGGTTTGGTGGCAATGACGCCGCTGTCAATCACAAAGTACCCGTCCTTCCTCGCTGGTCCGGATCCCTTCCACGTCGGTGGCGCATAGGCACCTTTCCCCAAAGTGGACGCCGGTGATGATGTGTCGCCCTGTGAGGCAACGACTGCAGGGGTGACAAGGGTTTGAACTTTGTCACCAGGCGAGGCAGAAGCAGCCGCAGGAGTAGTAGCAGACTTGGTCGTCGCACTCATTGGCGAACAAAGGGCGATGCTTGTCCCGGTCGTCGTGGGGCTTTGCGGCCAGGGACTGTTGGAAGATGGACCGAGGATCGGAGAAGGTTTTCCACCGGTTGTGGTCCGGACAGGGTCAAAGAGCGAAGAGTCCATAGATGGCGTATTGACGCTTTTCACCGAGTGCGACGTGAGGTTGAGCTCCTCTATTGAAAAACGACGCACCTCTCCCAGTCTCGAATCGCCCGAGGCCCACGCAGGTGACGTGGCGTGGCGCGATCGACTGCCGTACGGTCCAACGCTGCTAATCGAGGTGGGGCTCGCGGGAAAAAGGGCCATCTCCGACTTTTCGGCCAGCTCGCCAGCATCTGTTCCGAGGTTGAGGTAGAGCAGCCCGGCTTTTTTCTTGCCCTTTCCCTGCATTAGCGAGCTGTTGCTGTTCTGTCGTCTCATCTGAAGATTGCCGTAGGTTGCTCGTCCATTGCTACCACTGCGCCAAAGCCGCAGAGGCACGTCCATCATCATCGCCTCGGCCTCGTCCACGCGCCCCTTTCTCTGCGGCAAATCGTCCACCGTCGCCACTCTTTTTGGCAATGCGATCGTCACTCTTGCTTCCTCCAGTTCCTCCTCCCACGAGATGGTGCTGCTCGACAGCATGCTTTCAGCCCTCATCCCGTACTTTTCCCGACCAAAGATAAGGAGCTCGAGCTGGCTGGGTTTGTAAGCCATCATGTCGCTGCTGCTGTCGATGTTGCCGTCCTGGATCGCTCTCAGCCGCAAGTTCGGGCTAGAATACGAGACAGCAAGAGTCTTGCTGTGAGTGAACATCGGCTTCTGCTGTTGTTTATGCAGCCGGTCGACGGTCTGAAACAGCCGGCGGCCTGTTTTGGGCAGCTTCCCAGTCGAGCTCGCGATGACATCAGTCTCGACAAGCTTGATCGTTGGCTCGATGCGCAGACTCGAGGGGCTTCCTTTGCGATGAAGCCAGGGAAAGCGCCTGGAGGATGATGCCGTATCATGCGACTGTTCCTCTCTCAGGCTTTCTACATCGGCCTGGCGAGATGGAGACGCGAACTCCTTGAGCGACGCTTTACCAAGCCTTGTCGGCAGGTACGAGTACGGAGGGCTGCCCTTTGGCGATGGAAAGGTCTCCCTGGATGCATCAGCCGACAACGAGTACTTGGTAGCGCCACTATTGGCCGCGGCAGAATGCCATGCGTTGAGGCGATCTTCACGACTGCTCGATTCACCAGGGGATGGGCGTCCCCCAGCGGTGAGAACGGTGAGCCACTGTACAGCGTCGTCATCACAGGGGACCTTGGAAGGAGAAGGCGACGGGCCCCGGCTGCTTGGTTGGTGGTCGTAGATGGCTTTTGGCCGCAACAGGTTGGGGGAGTTTGTAGTCGCCTGCTTCCTTCGTTGGTCCGAGAGGATCGCTTCATCTTCGTGCTGAGTATCGATTCGATCGTTGGAGTTGAGAGGGGGGTGGTATGCGTCATTTCTTGGTCGCTGAGACAGACTTGGTTCTGGTGTGGCAAAACGCTCTGCCGAGTGTCCCGGTGATGACTGCAGTGCGCTTGTGTCGCTGGACGGATGCCTTGCAATCTTTGGCGAAGAGAAAAGCGAAGCAATGGAAGTGCTGCTGCTATGAGGGAAACGTGAGCTTGTGGGCGTGGTACTGTCGCGGTCGTCCTTCTCCTCCATTGCTCTCGCGGTGCATTCCAGCGACAGAGGAGGCTCAAACGGTGCGCTGCAGGAGGACAATGGATTAGCTCAGTAAGCCAGGAGTTTCCGGGTCCAAGGTGCACTGACAAGGCATCCTGCATGGCACGGCTGCTCGCCACGATCTCGCCGCCTGCCTCGAGGGCCTTTGCAAAAAAGTCGTCGATGAGCGACATCCTTGCTTGCTTCTGTTGGGAGATGCGTGAGCAGTCGCCTGTATCGTCCTGGTCGCTACTCCTTTTTCGAAGTCGACGCAAGTCGTGCATATTGAGAATACGCAGTGATCTGAACCGGTTCAATTCAATGTCGCCCGTCAGCGGTCGAGGTCCCCCTCGAGACTGGTCAAGCAGTGCGTCAAAGGTCTTGATGAGGCGTGCAGACAGGGCGAGAAGCTCCTTTGACGTCCTGTGCACCTGGTACACTTCGAGTTCAGACTTGCTCGCTTTGCCCTTGGTACCAATGCTGTGGTCAGGCGTTCGCGACGGGCCGCCCTTCGCCGTCGAGGGAGTGACCGAGAACAGAAAAACGGGGGGCGACGCAGTGTCGTCAATGTCAATGCAGCGGACAGCACGGATCGACAGCTTCCTCCTGGCCTTGGACGACATTGGCGGCAGCACGGGCGAGTGGGCAGCGGGAGCAAGAGCACAGCAAGGAACAGGAATTGGAACAGGAGGGTGAAGTGGCGACGGGCAAGACGAACGAGTGGGAGATAGAGGGAGATGTGAAAAGCCAAAGCAAGGAAGGGAGCGGTGGACCAAGGATGCGCTTTTCCCTGTGGGCGCGAGGCCCGCGCTTTACTCCGCTTTGGCCCTACCCTTTTGCTCATCTTTGACGAGTCGTCGTGCGGACCCAAGCAAAGTGATAAACAAGTCACAAGAGAGAAAGAGATTAGCTCTCTTGAGAACATGCTCAAATCCACTTGAGAAATAGTGTGCATAGTTATTGCGCTCTGATCGCTGTCATGCGTCGAACATGCCATCGACTATTGGTGTGATTTTTTCAATGCTAGACTTGGACGGGCAAGGTTCTATGAATGAGCGTGTCAAGCCCCGCTCTCGCTCCTGGACCCAATTGAAGAACCTAGCTCGCCCTATGAGCCGTCCTCAGCGGAGATCGCTGACGAGGTCGAGGGGTGGAGCGCCTCTTGGCAGAACTTGCAACTTCTGTTGGCTTGCAAAAGTCAACGCCCCGCCCCCGCGGCCACGTGCATCGAGGACTCCGCTCGGCGCTCACTCGCGACGACGACTGGTCGAAAATGCCGTTGTCGTTGCTGGAGAATAGTGGCAAGCTGGTTTCCACGACCGACCTTTATCGAGGACAGTCTTGCAAAGACATCACGCAAAGCACATGGGCGCGGGGAATTGCGCAGAGAGCTCCTTAATCTCCGTGCCGACATTGCAAGAGTACTGCCTCACAATACATATGTTGCCGTCCTTGTACCACCGGAAGCTCAGGAACAAGGCTTGGCAACGTCAGTTCCTGGATTGTGGAGCAAACGCAGGCAAGGTGCATGTGGGAACAGCACCTCACAAGGGAGAGGTGAGATGGCTGGGACACGGCGACGGCGGTTCAGCATTCACTTCTGTTGAAGTGGCGAGCACCCTCGATCTGGAAAAATTGGAGGTCCGCTCCTCCACCGGATTCAGCACGGCTCCGTCCATCCGGCGCCAGGCTTGTGCGGCAGCTACCACCGTGCATCTCGGGCGAGGCAATACGTCATTTATCTCCGTGGCGTGGCTTGAACTACTCTAGCTCTTTCCCTGCCTTGGTCCTCCCCTCATTGTCCTTTGTGATGAACACACTGCAGCTCTTTCGGTAGGGAATGGTCTACCTGCGCCGTGTTTTCAGGCACCTGAAGCATGCTTTGTCCTGTACCGATTCGCCATGGAGAGAGGCAGGCGGCGATTGTTGAGCCGTGATCGGCACGCGAGAAAAAGAGCGAGCGCGGGAAATTCTAAGCCGACCTAAGTTCCCCCGAGGCACATAATGGGGATACAGGAATAATAACGGGCTAAGGGGTCTTGGGATCGTGCGATCTGGTGCTGCCGGTGATTTCGAGAGGGAAGAAAAACACACGACGCACAGGTAATATCAGTGAACAATTCTGTGCCTCTTTTACTTTTTTCCCCTCTTTTACTCTGCGTCATCGTCTTGCCTCTGCTCCGGCCTTTGACCCAATAATGCTACACTGCTGCTGCCAGTACTGGCCTTGTGCTGGACAGCTCACGGTTAGATGGCACAGATGCAAACAACTTGCCAGGGGTTGAACCGCTGAACGCTTAGTAAAAAAAGTAATTCGCACCTATGAACTGCTGACCAGCCTGCAGAGTTATGCCCAAAAGGTGCGATGTAATTTAGTGAAATAGCCATCGCAATCCGGCGAAGGAAGCGAGGGTGGGGATCAACTTTTTCCGCACGCTCCACAGGCAGCTTGTCAGAGAGTGCAAAAATTGAGGAGCTCCGTGGGGGAGAAGGCATAGACATTCAAGTTATTCAGGACAGGACCCCCGACCTGCCGGAAGCAAAGGAGATTATTCATGGCTGTATAAAAGACAATTCCTGGATGACGCAGGTTCTTTTTTCTTTCCTCCCTTCATCCCCTCCCCTTCCGCCTACTCCCCCTCCATCCTCCATCATGCAGTTCCAGATCCGCGGCACGCCCATCGGGCCCATGTCGCTCATCGTTGCCGTGCTGGCCTCGATGGGCGGTTTCCTCTTTGGCTATGACACGGGTGGGTACCACATTTATGTCAAAAACACCAAAGGACTAGGAGCTGATGCGGTGATTTTGCACATTGTTAGGCCAGATCTCGGGCATCCAGGAGATGGATGACTTCGGTGAGTGGGGCATCGATGCAGCTCTTCAATTACCAACGATGACAGCACTGACGGCGCGTGTGCAGTGCGGCGATTCGCCACCGAATTCGACCCAAACAACTCTACGCCTGCACGGGACTTCAAGGTGTTCAACGACTGGCTCATTGGTCTCATTGTCTCTCTCCTCTCGGTCGGCACAGCCGTCGGCTGTCTGATTGGTGCGCCCCTTTCGGATCGCATCGGTCGTCGATGGGCAATGTTCTGGGAAACAATCATCTTTGACATCGGTGTTATTATCCAAGTCACGTCGTTCCAGGCCTGGTACCAGGTCGCAATTGGAAGGTGAGTGCCTTATTCGTCGCTGCGAGTCACACTTTCATCTCCTCTCAACTGACGATGACATCCTCCGACCTATAAGATTCATCACGGGTATCGGTGTGGGCGCTCTCTCAGCTGCAGTGCCGCTCTACCAGTCCGAAACTGTCCCTAGGCAGATTCGGGGCGCCCTCGTCGCAACCTACCAGCTCTTCATCACCCTCGGCATTCTTGTCGCCTACTGCATCAACATTGGCACCCGAAGTCTCGACAACTCGGGCTCTTGGCGAATTCCCGTCGCCCTCGGTATCGCATTCTCCACAATCCTCGGCGTCGGCATTCTCTTCTGCCCAGAGAGCCCTCGATGGCTCATGGCAAACGATCGTGCTGACGAGGCCTACAGGGCCGTGGCCATCGTTCGCGGTACCAAGCCCTCTGACTCAAACCCGTGGGTCGAGGCCGAGTACGCCGAAATTGTCTCCAATGTGGAGGCGGATCGCAAAGTCAAGGCGGGATCGTGGCGCGACTGCTTCCGACCACAGCACAAGGTCCTCTACCGCACCCTTCTGGGCATCACTTTGCAAGCTGGTCAGCAGCTCACTGGGGCGAACTATTTCTTTTACTATGGAACTTCGATCTTCACCTCCGTCGGCTTGAGCGACCCTTATGTGACGCAGATCATCCTGGGAGCAGTCAACTTTGGCTGCACTTTCCTCGGTCTCTACGTTCTCGAGCGTTTCGGACGCAGGCTTCCGCTTATTTTTGGCGCTGCCTGGATGGTCGTCTGGCTTCTCGTCTTTGGTCTGGCCGGCACCGTGGGCGATTCAACTGAAAAGTCTTTTGGAACGCTGATGATTGTCGCTGCGTGTCTCTTCATCGTCGGTTACGCGTCGACCTGGGCGCCAGGCATCTGGCTCTTCTGTGGAGGTAAGTTGTCGTGACTTTTCATCATAAGCCTAAATTTCACAAGTCGTGCTGACTTCTTCCTTTGTAATAGAATCCTTCCCTCGGTTGACTAGGGCTAAGCAGGCCGCCATCGCCACACTGTCGAATTGGGTTTGGAACTTCTTGATCGCCTTCTTCACCACTCCAATCACGGACAGCATTCAGTTCAAATATGGTTTCGTGTTCGCGAGCGCCAACTTCCTCAACTTTTTCGTCGCCTACTTCTTCGTGTACGAAACGGCCGACCTGACGCTCGAAGCCATCGACGAAATGTACAACGACCCGGCGTGCAAGCCCTGGACAAGCCGGAGCTGGGTGCCTGCAGGCTTCACCTCGAGGAAAGACATGGTCCAAAACAAGGACGTCGACGTCGATTCGGATGTCGTCAAGGTGCCCGACTCCAAGGCTGGACAGTGGAGATCAAAGCCTGACCCTATCACGGGCGAGGAGACTGACACGACGAGAAAGGCGCCAGAGACCAAGGTTGAAGGTGCATAGGTTCTCCACTTTCTCAATTTCCCTCTCCCGGCCGCTCAGCAGCTCTCTACCCTGTCAATCCGTTGATCTTCTCTCCTCTTTAACTTGCTAATAATTAAGCCCGCAATCGTAATCTTCAAGAGCGTCCCGCAAACCTGACTTTCGCTCACTTGCCCCATCGTCTTTTCGGAAGCAAAGAACGACCGTGATGACTGAAAACGACCGTGATGACTGTGACAGTAGTCAATCTACTAACAATTTGCACGAGTAGAGCACGCTACAAAAAACAGGAAAGATCGGCGAGCTTGAGCTTGTACAGTACATTACTGTACAGTACGGTATATACAGGATAACGAGTGTGTGCGATGAATATTCTAACCGGCCTTCTATCGACGCCTTGCGCCGTAATTTCTCTTGCGTCCAAAAGTCTCCTGCTGCGGAACCGGGGGCTTACCCGTCGAAGAAGGTCCAAAGTAATGGTGCGTCGGTGGCCGACCAGTTGAACCAATCTGAGGGCTGGAGATCTGCGAAAACGTCTGCCAGCCATCAGTCTCCCCTTGCTGCCCATCGACTTCCGCCTCGGCTTCTTCGTCTCCATTGCCGACTTCGATTGGAGATTGGACCGGAGATCGGAGTCGGCTGCTGCCACCAGTGCTACCGCTGAATGCCGTGATGGCGCCAGCGCTCGAGGTGCTCGCAATCGACGGTGCTCTGCGGTGCACATCGCCAGCATCATCGGCGATTGACGTCCGTGAAGCCACTGACGGGATCGATCGGCTCTTTAAATCGAAAGGGGACGTCGACTGCTGCTGTAGCAACATCGAAGGAGGGTCGGACGACGCAGTTGTGGAGGGCATGTTCTTGAGGATGGAAGATTTGCCGCTAGACCCCTTTTTCTTCGTAGACGTCTTTCTCTGCGCCAGAGCAGGTGCTGCCCCGGAAGACGAGAGGGAGAGGGCGGCATTTGATCCATTGGACGACTCAAGTCTACTGCGGGCTCCCTCGTCAGTTGAGGCTCGTGACGTGAGATCACTTGCGTTTGCAAAGGAGCTTTCATTTCGCTGGATCGGACTTCGGGCGTTCTGGTTGACGTCCTTGGATTCCTGAGACCTTCGAGGAGCCTCAGCGTGGGAGGACGACCATGAGGGCGTCGTCAAACTCGTCTCGTTGCTGTCGACTGTGTGACTGCTGGCTTTGGATCTTCTCAGATTCGAGAAAGGGTTCAGACTGCCTTTTCTGCCTTTGGCGGCTGCTTGCGTCTGCCCTCCACCCACGCTGCTCGCAAGTGAGCCGTCGAAGATGCTGCTGCCTGAGATTGACGCGGCCGTCGTGTGTCCCCCGGTGCTGTGAATGCTGCCAGAGCCTGACGTCACCCTGGACTGACGGTCATGATGAGAACGGCGGTCGTGAAGATCGATCTGGCGTCCATTGACAGACACTGGATAGTAATTCTCCTCCCTGATCTGTTCCATCGACTCTCTCATCTCGCTCGCTCCCCCGCCATTCTCGTCACTCGGGGAAAAGGGCCCTGTGTCCAAATCTTGGTCGACCTCGGATAGGAAGAGGTCACCAGCGTACGAGACGACGGGAAGCCCCGGACCAGACGCCTTGCGGAAAGGTCGCAACATTGGATTCATCGTCGATCTTGGGGACGTTTTAGGCAACGACGACATGTTCGGGATGGTGGTCACAGAATCTTCCATTTCTTGCTCCTCTTCCCTTCTTTCTTGGTCTTCTTGTCCCTGCTCCTGCCTTTGCGTTGGTGCTTGATCTGTAAGTCTTCCCTGTGGAAAATCGTTGACCGATGCATGCTGCAAGGATCTATCTGCCGCGGTCGGCTCGACACTAAGCGCAGCTGGCTTGTGGAAAAGGAAGCTGCGATCATCAATGTCGGCATGTGATTGCGAGTTTGACGGCGACGGCGAGTTGGCAGGAGGAAGAGGTAGAGGCGATTGGGGTTGAGGAGGTCGCGGCGGTAGAGCCAAACTTGCATGGCGCGACGAATTGTTCCCAGGCAGCGCCGAGCTTCTCCTCGAATGACCACCAACGCCTGACGAAACTGGTGATGGCATCGGAGAATCTACATCGCCTGTCCCACCACTAGCAACGCTCCCGGCTAACAGGTTGTCGACGGGACCTAGCCGCTTTGTTATGATATGCGGCAGTGGGGAGGCTTCCTGTGATTGAGACGAGGCGTCAAAAGGGTCTATTACTTTGCGCCGCCTTTGTCGTACTTCATCTCCATCGTTTCCGATAGATATCCCTTCATCTTTGAGGTCAGCGATGCTTTGAGCCTCTTGCTCGTCTTCGTCTTCATCCTCGAGCTCGTCGTCCATGTGAACAGAGGTTCTCGAAGAGACTATTGGGGAGTAGTTGCCCGACCATCTTTGCTTGCTCCTGCTCCTACTCCGGCTTCTACTCCGGCTGACGTTTTCATGGGACGAGACGAGCTGCGCTTGGTGGGCTGATGGAGTCTGCTTCGCTTGCCGAGCTCCGTAAGTGCGAGTATCGACAGATGATGATCGTCGAATCGTAACATCCTCCGGCGTCGTAGCCGGTGTGTTGAAGCCTGACAACGAGCTCTCGTAAAAGCCTGCTTTCTTTGTATCATCATCCACATCGTCTTCCTGATGATCCTCAGCGTCTTTGGGCCTCTCGCTTAGGCGCAAAGTTTCTTCCGGTTCCGGGTTGTCTTCGTCTCCAACGAGCGATTTCCCCTCCCGTTTGGACGATGATAATGCCAACAATGAGGGAAAGCCAGCAATCTTTCTGCTGCCATCATCGCTCTCGCTCCCCGGGCCTCCCGCTTCCGGCGGATTAGCCACTGTCGAAGCTTGCCGCTGCGATATGGATGCTTCATCGCTTATCTCGGCCTCTCCCAGACTATAGAAAGAGCCAGTGCTTTCGTTGAACTCGTGGTGAGGTAATACCGAGCTCCGACGGATGGACCCCGAGATACCGCTGTGAGGGCTGAGAGAGGGAGAAGCAGCCAGCGACAAACTTGAGATCTCGTCGTGGGTGTTGCTGATGCGGCGACCGGGTCCATGAGTTGTCTGTGGCGCTCGAAGCATGTCTACTGAGTGACTCTTGTCCTTCGTCACCACAGATTCTGCAGGAGCTTCGAAGGAAGAAGATGAGGTCAGGCTCATAGGCCAAGCGCCAGGCGCCCACGTTGTCTCATTGTCAACGATCTTTCCCTCTTTCTCTGCCTCATCTTGCTCTAGATATTCTCCATCTGCGTCTGCGACCGACCTCGACATCGAGTCATCTTCTGCAGCGTGCATTGCGTCGTTGCGCTCAGCGAGGAGCTCCATCGCCTTTGCTAAAGCCTCTTCGAGGATCTGACAGCGCTCCTCAAAGCTTTCGGCCTCGAGCTTCCATGCAGCAGCCTCGTCTTCGGCCTCTGCCGTCTCCCGCGCAGCCTGCGCCACGGCCGCCATCATCTGTGCCTCATTTTCATCCTTTGCGCCTCGCTCAATCTCGCTCAGCTCTTCCCCTTCTTCATTTCTCTGCTGCTGAGCGGCCGCCATGGCCTTTCGGAGGCTTTCAAGTTCCTTGTCCAACGCTGCCGCTTTTATGCGCTCGCTCCTGACCATTTCGTTTGCCTCGGCAAAGACTGCCTGGCTCAGCTCTTCCATCTCCGCTTGCATTGTGCGCTTCTCTTCAGCGATGCGCGCCACGTCGTTGTAGGCCTTTCTCAACGCTTCAGCGTGGGAGGACCGACTGCCGTTAGACGCTTCCGGGCTTTCGCTCTCGAAGAAACCACCCAGATTTGACTCGCTCCGAGCGGAGGGGGACGAAAGCTTGCCACCGCCGATACGAGCGCTCCAGAGGGAGGAAGAAAGTGGATTTGAGTTCGTCCTTCTTCTTGATCCGATATTCGCCCGGCCAGGATTATGCGAAGAGCTTGTGACGTCGGAGGAAGTCCCGTCGTCCTTGCTGGGCGACTCGACTGGAGTCAACGACGTCATCATACTGAGCCGATTGCTTGGTCCGACTACACCATGCGAGTAGCCACCATCGCCGGCGAAGCCACTCGTAGCTTCCAGCCGCCGAGCGTCGATTGTCGGTAAGCGCGAAATGCGATTCAAGCCGGTACTGTGGCTAGATAGACGGAAACGAGCAGCATCAGAGACAAGCGAGGGTTTTCCCTTCGCCAATGCTTTGAGGAATGATCTGCTCCGTGGCCGTAGCGCTCCCGTATTCTTCGCATTTGTAGCCAACGTTCCTACTTCGTTTGATGCTCCATCAGTCGCCGCTCCACTGCTGTCCGGAGCAGGGCTTGAAGAATCTCGAGGGAAGAAGTTCTGCATGCGCTCTTTTGTGAGATGTGCGATGATGGCTTCTGAGACGCCTCCATAGCCAGGCTTTTGTTGTTGCTGATGCTGGAGCGACAGTGTCAGATTCGCTCTTCGTAGCACCAAGCACAAACTTACCAGGTCGTCGTAACATCCTATGACAAAGCGCAGTCCAGCTCTCAGAGCGTCTACTTCGGTGGCTGCATCGCTCGACTGACTTTTAGAAACTTCGATGGTGAGACCCTTGCCCTCTGGACCCGGTTGTGCCACATTACTGCCTCTTCTTCTGACGCCTCTTTGCTGTTGCTGCCTCGGCGCACCTTCATGCGTCAAAACTTCTTCCATCTCCTCCCCTTTTTCCTTTTGGTCTCGATCCTCTTCATTCCCTTCGATGGAACCACTGGTGCTTGAGCCAGAATCGAGAGGAACCCTGCCCAGTGCTCCTTCTGGTGTCGAGGCAGACGTCATCAGACCGCTCCGCGATCTGCGGCCCATGCTTCCTTCCGCTCTGTCCTCTTCTTTCTGCTGTTCCTGGCCCACGCCTTCGGCGTGAGGTGATCGGAGCTCCATTCGGCTTCGTAATTTCCGTGGCGGTCTTTGCGGCGCAAGCGTTCTCCTTTGAGGCTCCTCCTGCTTTGCATTGGCAAAGAGCGCGGTTGGCTGAGCCAGAGCACGAGCTTGTGTGAGCAGATGAGCGATATCCTCAGACCTGGCCAAAGGCGCATTCGATGCAGGGCGCTTCGCCATGCCCGTCCAGGAGAGCGGGGGCGATGTTCTCCCGTCCATACCACCTGGTGACAGGGCTGAAGACGCAGGTGATTGCATCAGCGGCGGAAGCGGCACGGGTGGGAGTGCGGATGCCGAGGTGGAAGCGTCAGGTTCCCCTTCGGCCACTCTCGATTGTGACGAGTGGCTCCGAATGTATACCTTCATCTCGTTGAGTCGCTCTAGGGCCGTCCGAAAATCATCAACGGTCGCTGAGCGTATTCCTGAGGCCGTTGCTTCGTCTTGTCCACTGCTGCTGACGCCTTTGCTGTTCTTAGGACCAAGCCGGGAGGGACCGTGCCGCAGAGAGCCTGGTGTATGTGGGTTGTTCTTTTGGGATGAGAACTGCTGGATCTTCTGACGTGGTCTCGACGAGGAAAAGTAAGCAGAAGAGGCTGGCCTTGATGAAGAAGCCTGAGAGAGGGCAGTACCCGCAAGAGGCCCTCGACTGATATAGCTCAATGCCAAATCCAGCTGCACGCCCATATCGACTTCGGATGTGGCGCTGCTTGGTTGACGAGAATGCATTTGCGGCCTTGCTTCCTCGGAGGGACGACTGTGGAAGCTGTGGACTGATGTAGGAGAGAGCTGCTGCTGCTGCTGCTGCTGCTGCTGGTTGTCTGCAAAGGACACATTGGTGTTCCGAGGCGTGGGCTCGTCGGCTTCGGGTGTTGCTACCAGCTGCAACTTTCTTGGGACCTTCACGACGTCGTCCTCGGCGTTGAGAGCCAGGCCGAGCCCAAGCCCGAGGGGTCTGTCGTGGTTCACAAGGCCATTGTGATTATTTTGAGGTGTTGCTTGCGATGACCGTCGTGGCGGTGCAACGATCGAGGACGCCATCTCGAGCTCCTAGGACCCCTACACTCTTCTGGTTCCTTCGCTTCGTGTGTGCGCGCGTCAAGGCTTCCGTTCGAAGTGAAATGGTAGAGGCGATGCTCTAAATGCGGGGATGCTCTCTGCCTCCTTTCTCAGAAGTCTCGCATTTCCCAAAGCTCTCTCGTCTACGAGTATCCTTCCTTTCTTGATGAAAACGGAGCGGTGCGATTGCGGGCGATGGAAAGAGGTGATGTTGACACGACAAAGGAGGAGATGAGGGAGGCAGTGCCTCGCCTTGCTTGATCATAGAGATCCGAGACAGCATGCGCCGTCGCTCACACGGCTTAGCATCCCGCCGCAGAGCTAGGCTAAATTCTCATTCACGCAGATAAAGAAAGAGCCCAGTTTTGGTCCACTGAGTAACATTACACTAGTAGTAGTAGTAGACGAACGAAAAAAAGCTATTATACAACAGGCACAAGTTAGCGTGATTGTGAGAGTAGTTGTGGGAGAGAAGTTTTATTAGTATTGGTAGCAAAAGCGTTGTAGTAGTTTGAACAGTATGAAAGATGTTGTAGCAGAGGCTGGAGAAAATTCTCCTCGGGCTGGACGGCAGGCAAATCCTTCTTCTGTTTGTGCGGAGAAGCACTCGGAAGGAACTTATGCATTCGCTCCCGTTTGCTTTTGCCCGCTTGCTTTTGGCCCGCCCTCACGGATCCTGTTACTACTCCTCATGCTCCCGTGTGCCTTTGCTTTTAACGCCGTCCGCCAAATTCCCTGAAATATCTGTAGCCAGTAATAGCTGCGCATAGCCACCTACCTGCTCTATTTTGATGCCCTGCTAGCCTGAGTCTCGCTGTCAATGCATGTGCGTAGCTAATGTGCCTGATGTTCGACCGTCGCTTTTAAGTCCCCTCTTCGTCAGCAGTCTATCTTTAAGAAAGGAACAATTTGACTGGCTGAACAAATGATGTGGGGATGCGACCGTTGATAGGGAGGCAACAGGGGTCCGGCGCTTTGCCTTGGCTGCCTTTCTTCGCCCCAACGTATCGTTTGAGCAATTGGCAGACCACTGATGCTCTAGGAGCTAATGAAGCAGAAACGCTGAAGAGGAGTGCTCAAGACAAGGCGAGAAGTCCTTTTGTCATCGTGAGTCTCGCTTCTCGATGTGTCGAATCAAGAGGGTAGCAAACTTGTTTTGGGCGCGCCGCACGAGCTGCAGAGGGCCCTTGGCCAATCCTACGCCTGCAAATGGTACATCTTCGAGCTTCATGATGGTACTGTTGTCCATTCTCAGGCTTGTCTCTATCTAGCGGTTCTCTTGACTAAGACAATGCAGCCGCCACCCCTCTTCACTACCTCAAAGACTAGTCTGTCCTCTTTGAAAGACTCAGAGAGCTTAACCTTCTTGTATATCTATGTTGGTCATGATGAGCGTCTTTCTTTCTTCGGTCGCAGAGACTATGATTTCTAGACTTGCGTTGTCATACGTCGACAATGGGTGAATTGTTGGGCCTGATCATGTGATCATCTTTCGGTTGATCATCTCTCGGCTACACGGAAGCCTCTCGCCCTCTTGCCGTCCTTCGGCACAGCGCTGCTTTGATATGCAGAAGAAAGGCCAACCATGATTTCTGACCAGTGAGCTACACGGTTTCTTCTCATAGTCCTCTTCGCTCTGTTGTTATTGCGTGACGATTAATTCCCCTCGTCGCATCGCAATGTCTAAGAGCAATTTACAGGTGCGATGTGGTATGCGAGAATGGCTCGATAAGAAGTTTAAACGAAAACCACCGCATCATCCGCGGCCAAGCTGTGGGTCTTGGCCTTCGGCGCAAAACGAGTCTGCTGATCCAAAAAGAGCCAGCACGGCTATGTCACGGCCGAATGACAGAGTGAACTCGGCTTCTACGAGGGGCTATGGAATTAGGGGCGGCCAGCTGTACGCCGAAGCGGTGCAGGCTTCAGGCTTCATCCAGCATCTCAGCACGAGAGTTCAAGGCCAGCGACCCGAAAAATTAAAAAGGACAGAGAAACGGCAGACTAGCCAGGGCTCTTCCTCTCTGCCTTTTCCGCCCTGTCCGGCCTCTTGTCAGTTGGTTTTCATAGTGCATCAACAAGGTCCTGGATCGCTCCCGTTTCTGCCTGTGTCACAAAAGAATATATTGAAATTTGAGGAAGCGTCAAACGGAGCACGCATGCAGGGCATCGTCCGGCCAACTGCCCTAGCTGGCCTGGCACTAGCTGCATCCGCGATTGTTCAAGTTCGGGCTCCAACGCGAGAGCCCCACTTGATTATCAGCTTTGTGAGACCGAAAAAGGTCATTAAATTCTTTTCCTGGAACGTATTAGTAGGGAGGCCCGACGCCCACTGGTGTGATGCATGTTAGGTTACGCTTTCAGATGCAATATTATTGTTCTATTGGGGTGACCACATTAAGTTACTGTTCCTGCCGCGTTCCTATAGCAGGTTCCTTTCATATGTGCTGTTACGAAGCAGATGTCTCGCCCTCCGCAGAGCGCAAGAGAGAACTTGGGCTGTGGTTCGTTGAAGACGACCGGTGAGTTCCACATGCTCAACGCCCCGTGTCCGTCACCAGGGTAAGCGACGCTCGACTCTTTGACACCTCTCACCACCAGCGCACGCACCGGTCTACGCACTCTGTCGGACTCAAGTGACGCTCAAGGAAAAAAAAAAAAGCCGGATCGACACAATTGTCAAAAGTCACGCACGCAAGGCACGCTCGCGGTCGTGCTTCGACGCTAAGCCGGAAAACCAATTTCTCTCCATCATCCGAAGGGCCAGCAGATTATTTGGCAAAAGCTCCCTATCTCCTTTGCTTTTATACCAGCAGCCGTCACCTCAACAGAGGCGGAGTTCCACTGGCTATTGAGCCCCCTTTGGCGGCAAATTCCTCTGGTCCACTTGCCCTCTTTCCTGCCACCCCTGCTAGTGGAAGTATCTGCGACCGGATTTGCTGCAGCCCCGGCCAGGGCAGCAAGGTACCGAAGACGGATTGGGCATCCCTTTCCTCCAAACAAAAGAACACGACTATTCATCGTCTCCAACACTACGAGGTGTGAAGGCGGTGCTCGAATCATAATCACAACGACACCGCACCGCGACCCGCGCGCCAAGCACCTGCAGCAGCCGTAAGCCAGACGAGGCCGCTCCCCCTCTGGCTGCGCCGCCGCTTCTCTTCACGTCACCAGCACCAGCGCGTCATTTGTTCCTCGCCCCTCGTACCTTTTCGATTCGCACGCACACACATACACACACACATACTCTCTCTCTCTCTCTTTTCCTCTCACTGCGACAAGACGACGATCGCATTGCGGAGGCGAAGTTCACCCCTTGGTTGACGAAGAAGCGGCCTTAGTCGATCTTACTCTACACTGCGCAGCCGTCCTGCAATGTCCATTCCCGGCCAGCCTCTCTCTGCCGCGCATTCACCTGGCTTAATGAGCCACTATCACTACGCCGCAGGCCATCACAATCCCACCGGTTCCTCGGCGCCCTCATTCGCCCAGCACTCGGACCAGGGCGCTGCAGCGGCAGGGCCAGGCAGCGGCGCCGTCGGCAGCGCTTCCACTGTCAATGGCTACTCCAGCGCAGCTGCTGCTCAAAGCCCTTCCCACCACCATCACCCCAGCCACATGACCCATGCGTCCGTCTCTGACGGAGCAAGCATCCACCACCGACCCACGCAGGCAACTTACTACTCCAACCCTTACCAACCGTATCCTTCGACGGTAGGCACGAGCGCATTTGGTGTCACACCCGGCCTCGCATCTTCTTCCACAGCAATGCCTTCTTCGACTGCTTCAAGGTCAGCCTCTTCAATGCAAGCGCCCTCGCATCTCGTTGCCTCCCGGTCGATGAGCCTGACGAACACGCCATCGACAACTGGCAGCGCAAATGGCACCCAGAAGGCATCCATGCGACGGCGCAAGAGCTCAAATGATGGCGCAAATGCAACGGCCTCTAACGACGACGACGACTCGGACAAGGGTTCTAAAATGAAGGCAGGGAATGGCGAAGCGTCCGGCTCGGGCAATGTCACAATGTTTCAATGCCGCGGCTTTGGCGACTGCAGAATGGTTTTTACCAGGAGCGAGCACCTCGCTCGTCATGTTCGGTGAGTCAGCTGTTCTCGTCTCGATGTTGATGACATGGGCAGTCACGAGACTGACGAATTCCAAACGCAGAAAACACACTGGTGAGCGACCGTTTCGTTGCCATTGCGGAAAGGCCTTTTCTCGGCTCGACAATCTGCGCCAGCATGCGCAGACGGTGCATGCCGACGAGTCGGAGCGAAATGAGGTCATGATGGCTGAGCTAGTTTCGCTGCACTCGAGCTTGGCTGCGTCAGCCGCTCAGTCACAGCATGCTCACGCGCAGGTGCTTAGCAAGAGGGGCACCTCGCCATCTTCCAACGGGGGCACACCCACCGCCGGGGGCGTCTCTGGCGTAGGTGCGGGTGCTGGTGCTGGAGGACGACGAAAGAGCTCCGTTGCAAAGGGAGCAGCTGCGAGTGCAGCGGCGGCAGCAGCAGGCAACAAGAAGCGGCTCAGCAAAGATCATTCGAGCAACTCGGGTCCGTCTTCGCAGGTCTCTACGCCCCTGGCAGCACCCGGCGAGGGTGGTCACAGCCCACAGAGCTACCTCTCGCCGCACCCCTCTCTTCCCTCCGCTGGGCAAGCCCAACCTATGCCAGCCTACGGGGCTTACCCTGCCGCGTATCCAGGCCAGCCCACCTCGGCCTCTCCACATGGTGTCTACCCCGCTCAAGGCTATGGATTCCCGCAAGCAGCCCCACCCGTCGACATGATCCTCAATCCGAATCTGGCCCCTCGCTTCGGTCAGGCCTACGGTGACCCTGCCCTCTCTGCACAAGGACCTCCTGTTCCCCATCAACAGAATGGCGCTGCCTACTACGGCAGCAGCGGTGCCTTTGCTGAGCAAGGCTACGCCCACCCTGCCGCCCCTCCCTCCTTTGCCGCCTTCACCCCGGCTGGCCACGACGTCGCGGCCGCAGACTACCCTGGCGCATCAACGGCGTCTTACGAACACTATGGGAGCCAAGGGCAGACGGTAGACTCTGTCGTCGAAACGCCGACCGCTCCGGCTGCTTACCAGCTGCCAGTCGAATGGAGGCCGTTTGAGCAGAGGCGAACGAGCTTGCAGAGTGATGCGCTTCCGGGCAGCGACTCCCTCGATGGCTACTCGCTGGGCGCTACGTCCCTGAGGTCCAGCTATCAGAGTACCCTTTCGGCCCACTTGCAGATGCGCACGCCTGTCCTGCGAAAGGGCGGCGCAGCAAGTCCGCCTGGAAGCTCGCACGGCTTGCGGCCGCCAAGCTCGGCTGGTCGCCCAGGTTCGCCTACGGAACGACCCGTGCTACCTCCTTTGTCGAGCCTCAGCCGACCTGGTACGGGTCACGGCCCACCACTGACCTCGCCAATGGTGCCACGAACAAGCGGAAGCAGCGCGGCCGCACCGCCATTCTCTAGCAGTGGCAGACCATCGTCGACGATGGACGGCTTGGCGCCCACCCTCCCAAGCCTTGGCGATAGCCTGAGTGCCGATGGCGAACGTCGTCCCTTCACGGCGTCTTCTAATGCAGCAGCGTCGTCGCGTCCCGTGTCTCGAGGATCGGTCTTGGATCCTCCGAGCAACCTGTACGGCCTCAGTGGCGATGCCACGGGTACACGACCTCTGTCCTCTGCTCGCCTGCCTTCTTCATCGCTCCGGTCTGGCCTCAGCTCCTTCTCACAGGCTCGCTCCTCGCAACCGAGCACGCAATTGCCAAGCCTCCGGGACACACCTGTCACGGCCGTGGGCGAAAGCCCTCGCAAGACATCGCCCCCTTCTGGTAGCTCGCCTTTCCGCTTCCAGGTGCCTCCTTCGCCAAGAGACGCAGTAGGCGGCTATGGCAGCCGGGGCGGGCTCGGCACGGGCGCCGGCATGAGCAGCATCGACAGGAGGCCCGTCAGCCGAGATCGGCTCTCATTTGGACCCCTGCCCTCGCTCGCCACGAGCTTGGGTGCCAAGCGACCAAGCATCAGCGACGAGCGCGACTCTCCCTCTAAGCGCCTGCGACCATTTACGAGCGGCGATATTCCCACACCGCCTAAGTTTGGGGAGTCTTCGGAGCGCGGATACCGGCGTGGCGACCTACCCGAGGGCAAGGACGGCAAGGCCGCCGACGAAGCTGACGACGAGGAATATAGACCTCCACCAAAGACGGCCAGTGTCGTCGACAGCAGCGTCAGCGGCGCGACGAGGAGGGTGAGCATCGCCAACCTGCTTGATCATCAGCGGTCGAGGAGGGATGTCGATGAGAGGAGGCTCACCACAGCCAATGATGATCCCGAGAGATTGACGACGATGGGTAGCCTCTTTGATCCCACGCCCACGCCGAGCAGGCCCGGCACTGCCTTACAGCAAAAAGTCAAGGAGGAAGACGAAAACGATGAGCTCGCGGCCTCGCCTTGATAATCTGTCTGTCTCATACACAATCTTTCCCTTTTCTTTCCCGTTCCGAACCAAACGTCTGCGCAGCGGAGCATCCCCAGATGCTCCCCCTTGTTCATGAGTGTATCCTCTATGTATGCTCTCTCTTCATGTTTTCTTAAACTTATTCCACGTTCTAATTCAATCTCTCTCTCGATCCCTGTATGTGTGGCTCTGACTCTGCGTTGTGATTGCATTTCTGTAAGGATATGCAGAGGAGGCTATATCGAACGACTTTACTTTACCCCGAACCCGCCAAGCCAAGACTTGACAAAGTCAACAGTCTCGGCGTGCACCTTTGCGATCCGGGGCGCTTCGAAGGTCTTGTTGCCATTCTCGTCGCAGTGGTGCCAGCAGTTGGGAATAAGCTTAAAGGGTCTCAGCAGCGAGTCCTGGCGTGCTCCGCCGTACGCAAACTGCTCGCTGTGCACCGTGGCGGGCCTCCATGGGTCGTCTTGTGGGTTTGTATCGCTCGCCATCAGCGCTCTGCGAAGTCAAGGGCGTGGTCAAAGAAAAAGACACTTACATTGTCCATTGATGAATGCCAGCCGGTCCATCTCGATTGAAAAAGCTCCCAGACGGTTCACCTCGGTCGTGTTGGGGTGCTTGGGCATTTTGAAGTGTTTGCCTTCAGTAAAGCCCTTGTGGCAGATTTCAGAAACGTAGTCGAGGTCCAAGAGGGCAGAAAGGACCTTGGGTCCAGATACGGTGAAGTCAAATGGCACCGCAGCGGGGTCAGGTGTGCGCGGGGCCGTCTGGAAGTAGCCCCACTATAGTATACCAAGGAATGAGAAACGAAGCGTTAGGTCATCAGAGGAATGTCGCTTTGTCAAAGGGATGAAAAGGAATTGAGAGACATACCGTTGTGCAGAACTGGAAAGTCCAAGAAAAGCCGTCGTCGAGAGCTGTAGCATTCTTGTACTGGTCCACCGTAGCTTGAGTGGAGAAGCACTCTTCGACTGAGGTACCATCCTGGGTGCATGGATCCACCACCGTCTCTTTCACGTAGGCTGCCCAGTTGAGGACGACCTGTGGCGCATCGAGTGTGTTGTTGCTCTGAGCCCTACGCTGGGGCGCCGGATCGACGGATCCCGACGGATGTCCGACCAGCGCGGTGCAAAAAGCCGGAAAAATGGGCGTCGAGACCGAAGGATCCCAATTAAGGCTCTGGTAAGATCCGATTGGATACGAGACGGTGTTTGCAAAGTCGGTAGGGTCTGCAAGATCCTCGAGCCCAAAGAGAGCCTGGAGCTGTTTGGTCTTTGCAGCGTCACGCTTGGGCTGATGGCGGCCCTTGTGCGGTTCCGGGGCGAGGATCTTGTCCATCCATTCGACACCGGAAGCCATGGCTTGTGAGCAGTCGACCTGAGCACCGGCGAAAGTAGGGAAATAGAGGTAGGGGAACTCTTCGATCGCCGCCACGACACCTGAAGAGGCAATGGATCCGTAGATGAGGTCTGGGTAGACGACTGGAAAAGGAACGCCAATCAGTTGATGAAACTGTAGGAGGAGCATTTATCGCAAAGTCACCCACCTCTCATGTGTGCAGCTCGAGCCCCGGCGTAAGACCCTCCATAGTAGATAACTGGTGTCTTTGGTGCGGTGAGGTCCTCATCGACACCGTCAAACTTCATCTTCTTGACAAATTGAGCGCTGTCCTCAAGGGCCTGCTTGTTGTTGAGCCAGCGCAGCTCGTCTGTCGTCCAGGTCTCGCCAGGCCCGAAATCAGTTCGGTTGGGCAGCGAAGCGCCGTAGTAGCGGTGTTCAAGAACAACCGGAATGCCACCCGTGGCATTTGCGAGAATGTCGATGATGCCATGGTCGAGATAGGGGAGGCGGGGCGTCCCGTCCGATTCGCCGCTGTCGAGGATGAAAATCGGTACGGTCGAGTTGGCAGATCTTTGCGACGGAGGCTTGTAGTAGCGCAGGTGATACCAGTAGCGCTGCTGGAACTTAGCCCCATTGACACCGTCACCAAAGTGATCGATGGGCTGCGTTACGTTGCCGAGGACGATGTCGGGGTACGTCGGAGCGGCATCGTCGTCATCAGCGGTCGCCGGCTTCTGTGATGCGATCAAGCTGCTGAAGACGGCCTGCTGCGAGGCATTGAAGAGGAGCTTCGATTGTGCGCCGTTTTGACTTGCCCTTTGGACGAATTTTTCGTACCCAGCCATCAAGCGGGGAGTCGTCTGCATGCCATGGCTTACGCCGACAAGGGACAGCGCCAGGGTCAGGACCGTGTACAGCTGCATTGCTGTCGCGGCGGGATAAATGAGTGTAAATGTTGAAGGAACGAAAGGGTGGGGAGGGAAAAGCGGGTGAATGTGGGAAGAGCGAGAGGAAGCTTACGAGGGGAGCCGAGCTAGCTACCTGAGATAACCATAGCACCCCTTCTCTCTTCCCAAACCTTGTGGAGAGAACCGCGCTAGAAGCGGCCTTCGCGGCACCTAGTGCGTGACAAAGCAAGTGACAAAGCTGTTATAATCACGTGAGTACTTCGAGCTTCAACTTTTTTTGGCCAGAATTTTTGAGAACTTGGGAGTTGCACGAATAGGGAAGAACCGAAAGAAAGCAACGACGATGCCAGGACGGATAGCTGGAGCTGACAAGAGTGGCAGCATAATGGAGAGGATAAAGGCACAGTCGAAGGCGAAAGCGAACGATGATTTCGTTATGACGCTCGATTCAGACGATGAAGTGCCAGACGAAGACGGAGATATCGAGAACGCAGAGGAAGAGGACGAGGACGATGACGAACTGGAGGGGAAGCCTGCCAAAAAGCCGAATGCGGGGCTTGCATCACGAGACAAGATCAAAGAGCCCGTAAAAGCCAAGAGAAACGCCATAGATGTTGGGGACGGCGAGATGGCTCTCGATAAGAGCTTCACCTTCGACATTATGGGTGATGGCTTTGACATGGACCTCAATGGCGCATGGGACATGTCTGTCAAAGGTGCAAAGGGATCAGGAGGCATCAATGAACACGGACAGGAGCAGAATAAACTCTCAGTTGACGACATAATTGAGAAGAGGCGGAAGACGAGGCCTGACTTCAAGCTCCCCGAGCCTGAGGACGACGACCCAGAAGACAACGAGGATAGCGACTTGGCCGAAGAGGAGGATGACGAACACCTAGACGACCAACACGACGTCGAAGAGGAGGATGAGGAGGAATTTGGCGCTGGAGTCAGGCGAGCGAGAGAAGCAAGTGAGAGCGAAGAAAGCCACGATGAAAAAGATCCTCTATCGAGCTCGGAAGACGAGGACGATGAAGAAGAAAGGCAGTCGGACGAGGATGAGGATGAGGACGAAGATGATAGCGAAAACTCAGAAGCAGAATCGGAACAGGAGACAGAGGTGGAGAAGGCACGGAAAGCTGCCTTTTTCGCTGTAGAAGACCAGCAAACAGGGAAGGCAAAGGACGGCGCCGATGAGACGCCTACGTTTCAGTCCCTCTCCCTGTCACGACCGCTTCTGCGCGCTTTGGCGACTCTCAACTTTCACACTCCAACACCGATTCAAGCGAGATCCATCCCCATCGCCTTGGCCGGCAAAGACATTGTGGCAGGTGCCGTCACAGGAAGCGGAAAGACGGCAGCCTTCATGATTCCCATCTTGGAGCGACTAGCCCACCGGCCAAAAGGGCGAGATGAGGCAAAGACGCGCGTCATTATCCTCATGCCTACACGCGAATTGGCTGTGCAGTGCGCCAGTGTTGGCAGAGCCTTGGGCAAATTCCTCGACGTCCGTTTTTGCCTCGCCGTTGGTGGTCTCTCGCTCAAAACTCAAGAGGCAGAGCTCAAGCTTCGACCGGACATCGTCATTGCCACGCCTGGTCGACTGATTGACCACATGCGCAACAGTGCCTCTTTTGGCATAGAGGACGTCGAGATCGTCATCATGGACGAAGCTGATCGTATGCTCGAAGAGGGCTTCTCTGCCGAACTCAACGAGATCCTCGAGATGACCCCGAAGGCTCGTCAGACTATGCTTTTTTCGGCCACGATGACGGACGATGTCGACGAATTGGTCCGCTTGAGCATGAAGAGACCCGTTCGTCTCTTTGTCGACCCTAAGCGCAGCACCGCAAAGAAGCTCATCCAGGAATTTGTCCGAGTTCGTGGCCAGATGAGCGTTGGTCAAGACGATGGAGGTAACAATGGTGGTAGTAGTAGCGTGGTCAAGAAGAGGACCGAGGATGAGGCCCGGCCCGCTCTTCTGCTGAGCCTATGCACGCGGACGTTTCGGACAAAGGTCATCATCTTTGTTCGCTCCAAGAAGCTGGCTCATCAGCTGCGCATCGTTTTTGGCCTTGTTGGTCTATCTGCAGGCGAGCTGCACGGAGACCTGTCACAGGAGCAGCGCTTGCAATCGCTTCAGAGCTTCAAAGATGGTCGCACAGACTTCCTCATTGCCACCGATCTCGCAAGTCGTGGTCTGGATATTCGAGGCGTGGAGACGGTCATCAATTACGACATGCCCACTCAATTCGAGCAGTATCTTCATCGAGTGGGCAGAACGGCCCGTGCTGGACGCAATGGGCGGTGAGTGCAATATCACTTGAGCTCGTAGGCAGCACGCTGATATTCTTCGCAGAGCCGTCACGCTCGTGGGACAGGGCGATCGCAAGATGCTCAAGATGGCGCTCAAGAGATCGCCAGCCGCCCAGGTCAAGCATCGCATGATACCTGGAGAAGTCGTTTTGCAAATCTCCGAACGCCTCGAAGAGATCAAGGGAGATGTTGATGTTGTGCTGCGTGAAGAAAAAGAGGAGAAGGAATTGCGAAGGGCCGAAATGGAGCTTACAAAGGGTCAAAATATGGTCGAGCATCGGGAAGAGATAATGAGCCGACCTAAACGGACATGGTTCCAATCGGAGTCGGAGAAGCACAAGCAAGAGCAACTCGGGACCAAGGAGTATCTGAACAAGGTCGGAGGCGGCGACAAGGAGAAGAAGACGTCAAAGGAGGGCCGAGACAAATTTTCGGGCTTGAGCAGAAAGAAGAAGAGGATGAAGATTGCGAGAGAGGAAGACGCAGAGATGAACAAGCGCGGTGAAATCGATGCGGGTATCCGAGCTGCGAAAAAGGCACAAAGACCTAAGGAGCTGGGTGTGCTCGAGAGCAAGGGCGGTCCTTCGAAGGGGAAGAACAAGGACAAAGGAAATAAGAAGACCAGGAGCAGCTTCAACAAGGTCGGAAAGGGTGCTGCGGGCGGATTTGCATCGGACTTGGGTGACCGGTCGGGGTCAGCTGGTGCGCGTGGAGCAGCAAAGGGCAAGGGTAAAGCAAAGACTAAAGCACCCAAGACCGCCAAGGGAGGGAAAGCCAGCAACAAAAATCGCCGTCGATGATCATCCTTTCCTCTTTCCTGTATCATTATTACATTTGGTGAAACCGCCAAGGCATGATAAGACACTACAAATACTTTAGACATGAGATCGAAAGAGAGGGTGAGCGCCTACTCCAAGATGAGAAAGTCATCCGCTTGAGCCTCGTCATCTTGCAATAGGGAAGGCTGCAAGTCGGGGATATCATTGCTCGTTTCCACCTTGATCTGATCCTCTGGAGGCGGTGGTGGCCGCTCCGGCTGGCTTTGGTCTTGGTTCTGCTGTTGTTGTTGGTACTGCTGCTGTTCAGGGTCCGAAGGGACAGCCGAGGCAGCAGCAGCAGCAGCCGTCGCCTCTGCGAGTGCTTTCTCCGCCTCCTCTCGCGCCCGCATCTCCTCCGCCGTGAGGAATCGCCCTCCTGGACCTCTCGGTCGTCGCATCGCATGTTTGTGCCTCGACTCGTGCTGATACGATCGATTGTCGTCTCCCGCCACACCTGCGCTTGCCCCGCGCGCTCGTGCGTCGCCTTCACCATCACCTCCCGACGATACGCCCCTCTCCGAATGACCCAAGAGTCCTCGAGCCACCAATCCAGCCTCACGCCCCGCAAGCGCCGCTGCAGCCGAAGCCGAGATCTTACCGCTCTTAACAGCTTCTTCGGCTTTCCTTCGCTTCTCATCCATTCGGGCGCGAGCTTCTCGCCGCTTGATGATCCGCCCGTACTGTTTTGGATTCACGTACAAAGGCTCATCTTCGCCTTGGTCTGCAGCTCCACCGGCAGCGCCTGCGGGCACTGCGTTTTCTGCTCCACCGTCATCAGGAGTAAAGGCAGAAGCGGAAGTCGAGGCTGATGCAGCCTGGGCAAGCGTGGTGGCATCGAGAGCTCCTGGCTCAGCAGAGTCGAGACCGTTGGCGTATTGCTGCTGCTGCTGTTCGTCATTCAGCCACAGGCTCGACTGCTGCTGCTGCTGAGGACTGATGCTTCCTCCCCCTTGGAAGAATCCCTCAGAGTCGTCCAGGATACGTTGAAAACGCTGGTGAGACGATTGGGCGTCATCCACGTCGGGGCCACCAAATGAGGGATCATCCGTTGGATGATGGTGTGATGTGTGATTGCTGTAGTGGGGATAGGCAGAAGTCGAAGTGACGCTGCCAGGTCCGCTGCCAGCACCGCCAGCGTGAAAGGCATGGAAGGCCGCCTGACTGCCAGACTCGACGGAACTGTGCGATGGTGAAACTGCGACAGCGTTAGCAGAAAGTCCTGCGCCATTTCGTGAGGACGAGCCCGTGAAAGGAGTGTAGCCATCGTCGCCACCGCCTGACGAAATCCAGTCGTGGTGGCTTCCAGTCGAGGGCGAGAAGACGTCTCTCGCAGGTGTCGTCTGCGTCGTCGTTGACTGGGAAGGGTTGTAATGCGAATGCGAAGGTGTCATCGTCGTTGTCGTGAGCAGCTCCTGTTCTCTAACTTGCTGCTGGTGCTGCTCTTGATCGTCTTTGTTGGTGCGAATCGGACCTGCGTTTGCCTTTCGCTTCTTGCGCGGTCTCGGTCGCGTCGTGCCGCCGCTGCCCGAGTCGTCCAGCTGATCATCAATATTGAAGGTCATCGGATAGCGGAGTGGAGCCTCGAGTTGCGAAGGGGGTGCTGAGTAGCCCACTCCGAAAGATGTCGAGGCGTCTTCGCTGAATTGGCCCGCGTTATTGCCACCATGCTGGGGGACGAATGGGTAGCTTGCTCCATTGTTAGTGTAATGAGAGTAGGGTGGCGAGGACATATGATGATGTTGGCCATGATGAGAGCGCAGCGCAGCATCGTACGAGTGTGGGTCCAGAGGAGAAGGCCACGACGACGATGTCCCTCCATTGTTCGATGCATTGAAGGCCTGAAAGGGCATGCCGCCATTTTCGACGACATCTTTGTTGCCACCATTCATTGAAAAATGGTATGGTGAAGGGGCCGATGACGTCGGCCAGAGAGACGGTTGCTGATGATAAGGTGTCTGCATGTGTGCACGGTCATCATTGGGTTGTTGGTGAGGATACTGGGCAAAATGCATGTGTGAAGCAGAGGAGGCTGGACCTCGGTAGCCGCTGCTGTGACTGCCGCCGCTCGTGCCAGCCCCACTTCCATCGTGCGAATCACCTGTGTGTGGCGAGCTCGTTGAATGTTGAACGTAATAAGCATCGGGTGTGCTCGAGGCGTTCAAAGAAGAGGGTAACATGATCGCAGGGAAGGAGGTAGCTGCAAAGAAGGGTTGGCTCAGCCTAGCATTCTTCTTTAGTAGACCAGGTCAGGCGCAAGCAGTGTTGAGCTCGACATTGCTTGCTATCGACCGGTCCGATTTCGGTCCTGACACTCACGATCGCCGCGTCTTCAGCCCTCCAGCACTGGTCTTCCGCCACCGCTCTGCGTCTTGTGACTGGTTCGAGTCCGCGCTCGTCCTTGTCCTGCTAGCGTAACGTCCTAGATGTACAGAGGCTGGGGCAAAGCCTTGAGACTCATCGCATAATACACCTTTGATGCAACAAGATTCTGCCTGGTCATATAAGTCGGTTGAGAGTACCACGCCCCTGGGTCCCTTGTCTTCTGGAGGTCTGCCGCGCGGGGCGAAAGGGGCGCCGCCCGTTTCTTCTTCTCGCAACGAAAGTCGAAGCTGTAGCGGACTGCGTCCTCTGTTTTCTCTCTATCTCTCTCTCTTCCTTAATCGCGGCTTTCGTCAACGTGGAAAAGCAGCCGTCGCTCGTCGTCGTTGGTATGTCGGTTACCTCGGGTACTTCTCTCCTTCTCTTTGGCGCGCGGTGAACCCCGAATCTTGATTGCGATGATCTTAACCCTCTCCCTCGCCTCGGCCACTCCTTCCTTTTTTTGTCGGTTTCTGGTTTCCTTTTTTTTTCTTACTCTTTCTTGGGCCATCTAGCCTACAGGTCTTTTTTTTGCCCTCTCTTTTTCTTTTCTTCCTGAGTTTTCTTGACATCTTTGTTTTCGCGTCATCATTGTTGAGTATTATATTAAGAATACAAAAACGATAAATCTCCGGTGGGCTTCAGGCATGCGTTCGTGGTGGCCCCCGACCTCACATAATCAGATTAGAGCCAAGTTGATGGTCCCCTGTCGAGAGTGAAAGCGGGGAAACTAGATCTTTTTGAACAAAGGTCGCCATCAATCATAGAGACTTTACATGGTGGAGTTGTTACGAGCGATCGTGAGATCCCAGACGACAACGCCTGTGGCGTGGTGAAAGATCCAGGCCAATAGCCAGAAAGCGCTTGAGGACAATATCATATCAATACACATCAGTATCTATAGAGTGAGGCGCGCACATTTTCAATGATGAAGTTTGCAATGGGCAAGTGGTATGCCTCGATCAAAACGTCGGATTCGTCCACCTTTGGTCAAATTGACAATCCACTTCAGACGCACGCGTTCGAGTCCGAGCGCAAGCACGCATATCGGAATTCCTAATTGTCGATTTTCAACCTCTTACTATTCGGATTTACTAGGACAACCCACTTGGGTCGAGAGACAGATAGGTCGACTTGATCTTGTAAGTGCCAGGACTGGATAGATATAACGGTTGATAGCATAGGTGCGCGCCTGCAGGAGGGCGAAGAAGAACCTGTGATCGGAGATGGTTCGCAAACTTCCTTTTTTGCCCTGATGGCAGACTTTTACGCTCTCACGGTCTTCTTTGCGGGGCACAAAGCCATCAATCGACGAAGAGCTCGACGATGGAGGAGAAGTTACGCGGCTAGCTTCTTTTTCGTATACGACCTAGTAGCCAGACGAGCCTCACCCGATCCTTCAGGCCGGTGATCTTGGCGAGCCCAAGTTGCAGCAGAAACCTGAACTGCTTGGCAAACGGAGAACAGGATTGGGAACCAAGGATGAAGAGCGGGTAGTTGATTGCCAGAGTATGGTATGCAAGAGACACGCCTCACCCGATCCTTCAGGCCGGTGATCTTGGCGAGCCCAAGTTGCAGCAGAAACCTGAACTGCTTGGCAAACGGAGAACAGGATTGGGAACCAAGGATGAAGAGCGGGTAGTTGATTGCCAGAGTATGGTATGCAAGAGACACGAAGAAAAGAAGAAAGAGCCGATGTGTGTGAAAGAGAGAAAGAAACAAAGAGAAAGATGAGACTGGAGCTGTAGCTGAAAGGACAAAATTGGCGATGGTTGAGAGCTGCGTTCGAAAGAGGTGCGAATGTGTGTGTTTTTGTTGTAACTTCAGGGACGAGCTGCCAGCTTTGTTTGACTGACGATGATGTTGTTGTTGTTTTGTTGCATGCGACGATTGACGATTGAAAAGACAAAGAGAAGAGAAGAGAAGAGAAGAGATATGGCTGAGAAGAGAAAAGGCTAACCAGGTCACCGATGATGAATGTTGCCGGCGGTGCTGGCCCTTTGAAGCGCGTGACGGCCAAGGGAGCCGCTGGTCGGTTGGCAGGGCCCTGGCAGCAGGGAAGAGGGTTTCCGAGACCCGGCAGCGGCGCATGGACTGTCAGTGCGGCCACCTTCGAAGGACGAATCGCCCGCCGAGCTGGTCCAGCTGATGTCACCGTTCGCCGTGTAGCCCAAGGGCTTGAGTGTAGGTAGGATCGCTCGATGCGCTTCGTTGGAGGGACCAGACCCAGCCTGCTGCTGGCTCATTCGCCTGCGGGCGGCAATCGCATCAGCCTGAACGGCCGAGGGAGATGACCCTCCCTCGAAAGAACTGTCCTCTTCCTTGATGGCTGCAGCCCGCGATCCCTTTACAAAGCTTGGGTTGCCAATGGCCGATGGAGCCAGGTTCTTCATCGTGTCTCCATACGTGAAGGAACGATGCCTCGCAAACTGCTTGCGGAAGCCGTTGAGCTCCGTCGATCGCTTGTCCTGGAACTTGGGGTCATCCATCTCGACGTACTGCTGTGGTTCGCAGCGCGACGAGTAGTGGTCAAAGAAGTTCTTGTAGCCGCCTTCGAGGATGTAGACCTCGGGAAAGTGGCATGAGGGGTAGTCCTGGGCCAGGGCCCGGTCAGCCTGTCGCAAAGCCAGTGCCATCGAAGGCGCTCTCTTGCAAGAGAACTCGCAGTGAAAAATGAGGACCTGCTTCTTGCTGTTGCCCCTCTTATCGGCTTTGCCGCTTTGTGTCCGAGGCGGCAGCTGCTTGCCCCCCGCGTGAAGGCCTTGACCTGCCTTGAGAAAGTAATTCTTGACACGCTCCATGGTGCTCAAATTGATGGCGCCAGGGATGTGGCCTCCCTCGTATTCGTAGCCGAAGCGACAGTCAACAATGTGGTAGCTCTCCATCTGATGGGCGTATTTGCTGTCCAAGACAGCGATGAGGGTATCGGGCGTGATGCGCATCAGACCATCGTCCTTGACGTTGTGACACGGGAGCACTTTTCCCTCGCGCTCCGAGGCCCCAAAACCAGGCAGACCTTCGCCAGCCCCATACGGCGACCCAATGGCCATGGGCGATTGGCCCACAATGATTTCGCCGTTGCCCTCCTTTCGCTTTCCCATACCGTACCCAAGTGGCGAGCTGTCGTCCTTGCTGGGCCGACGAAGCAGACCAGGACGCGGCACCTTGGGACGAGCACTGGGTGCGATTGGAGATCCGCTGGCATCAAAGCCGTCTGGGAACCTTCTTCCCATGAGGTTGCTCACGTCTGGCGAAGAGGAGTCTGCGAGCATCGATTCGTTGGCATCGAAGCTGCTCCCGCTCATCATGGAAATATCCTCGCCAGCCTGGATGAATGCCGTCGAATTGTCGATCGCTGACTGGCATCTTCGTGGGGCAGGAGCAGTCGTCCTCGAGGCCGGGGGAGCAGCAAAGGAGCTCTTGAAGGCTGAGCCGGTCTGCAGACCTGCCAGACTGGGCCGCTTCGAGTAAGGGTTGGAACGCTTTCCAAGCGATGACCGCGAGCTCTGGTCAGATCCCGATCCGCTGCTCGAGCGCTGTCCCATCATCGAGGGTACGATGGCCGAGGAAGCTGCTTTCTCAAATGTACGAGCCTTTGGCTGTGCTTCCTGTGAGGGTGGAGAGGTAGAGGGAGCGTTGGAGAAGATCGAAGAAAGACTTTGGCGAGACGATGAGGACGCCGACTGCCTCTTCCCCTTCAGTTGCTCGGCGATGTGCTCAGGTGACTGCGGAGCAAAGAAGTAGGACCCCAGCCCCTCGTTTGCAAGCGTCGACGGAGAGGGCGACTCGATGATAGTTGCGTGCGAGGGTACTACGCTAGTCCTTTGAATGCTGCTACTGCTGCTACTGCGCCCCTGCTCCATCTCAAGGCCAGTGCCTGACCTGACATCGTTTCGAAGCCGCTCCATCGAGCTCGTCTTGCCTTTGAGTGGTGGCCTGTTGAGCGCAAAAGACTTCGTCGTGGGCACGTTAGGTTCCGACTGAGTGCAGGTGAGGTCAGCTTCCCAACCCAGTTGTTTAGAAAGACGATGACAACAGAAGGACTCACAGCGCGGTGCTGCTGCTTGAGAGCTTCCAGGCTCTTTCTTTTTCCAGCGCTCGGCAGGTCGCCAGCCTGTGAAGTTGTCAAGGCTTTGTGCAGGTTAGGACGTTTACTGCCGCTGCTGCTGGCATCCGAGTAGAGGTCAGTGTGGGTGACTTTGCCAATCCCGGAGAAAAGGTGCTTACCTTAGAGCTGGGCCCATGCCAAGAGAGCGCAGACTTGGACGCACAAGGTTGCCGCCAGGTTGGGACACAGGAAGTGAATTGGGCCTCCTTTTCGCCGGCGGCTCCTTGTCGGGGCTGCTCTCGAAGCCCGAGTTCTCGTCGAGGAGCAGACTTTTGGGAGAGACTTTCTTCTCATTGAGCGAGAGCTCGGTGCCAAAGAGTCTGCCTAGAGATCCTCCGGCTGTGACAGGGTCAGAGAGCTTCCTATTGGCGTTGCGTGTGGCCGTCGTGGGAGATGAAACGTGGTAGGAGGATGAGGACGAGGCAGCGGCCGGTGGGGTATCTTCCTTCATCGCGCTCCCCGGCGGAAGATCCGTGGCGGGAGATGGGCGAGTCTTGGGCGGTGTGCTGGCCTTTGTCCGCCTTGAAGGTGGGGCGGGAGAAATGTCCATGTAGTGAGGCGAGCTGAGCTTGGCCCCCAGTCCTGGCGACTTGGCGTTGAGTGCTGTCCCCATGGCAGCGCCGAGGCTGTACTGCTGATGCCGCGCCAGGGAGGAGTTGGAGCGTGGACGTGCAGCGGCATCGCCGTGTGCCAGACTGGTCAATCTCGAGCCTGATCCCGACGAGGGTAGTGACGGGATCGTCGACGTGACGGCGGCCGCTGTGACCGCCGCGGCGGCGGAAGCATTGGCCAGGTCGATGGAGGAGCCCAGGGACATCGACGAGCCAAAGGAGCGCTCGCCGAACTCAGCAGGCAAGTCCTCATGTTTGAACGTCGGTGAGCTGGGCTGGTCGAAGATGTCGAAGCGTGAGGGCATGCCAACGGGTGACGACATGAGGGATGCCGTTGCCATTGTGACGGGGCCGAGCGAGACAGTCAGTGGCTAGTGCTGGGCGTGCATGCACCTTTGCCGAGGATGTCCAGTGGTCTCCAGCGAGGGAGAGGGGAAGCAAGCACGCACGCAAAGTCGGCGGGATGAACAAGCGTCACCCTGAGGTCGAATGGAGAGCAAGGGTGATAGTGAGGAGAGGAAGGCGACGATGTAGAGAGGAACCTCACCTTTCTTTTTTTCCAAGTCTAGGTCAATCGCGCCCGTTCCGTCCAATTTTTCATTTCATGCCCGAGCCGCCAACTAACAACTGCCTGAGAGAACAACACATCAACACCCACCGATGCAGGCAGGCAAGGCGACGGCAAGTCGATTTTTGCTCCACAAAAATAAAATAAAAAACCTAGCCCGGCCCTGGTCAGTCACACACAAGGCCAAGGTGCCTAGTGGGTCACCTCCCTTTGTTCCAGGGATCCCTTTGTGATAGACCAACCCTTTGTCCGTTCACGTCCATGTATGAATGCGTGATTCAAGTCACAGCCACGGCGCCGAGATACTGCACCCCGCCTCGGGACAAAAGTTGCTTAGAGCTTGCGAATTTTGAACTTGAGCGCATGGTTCACACATGCGAGATGACCATGCTACGCAGCGCCAGCTTCCTCTGTCCGACGCTTCCCTGTGTGCCTTGCGCTAGGGAATTATCATCACAACTTCAATTCGTCCCTCGTCATCACCGAAAAGGGGAACGGATGGGATCATGCTCCCTTGGACGGGGCAAGTTGTCCGAACCTAACTTTCGGGACATGTACGACTATCGACGAGGCTAGCCCCCCCATCTCGAAGTTCTGTCACAGCGGAACTTCAAATCGCAAGACTTACCCATCCCACGGGACGGATAGCTACGCCACATATATCGCTTGTCTACTTCAAACCTCGCTCGCAGCGTGCGCTTTTCATCTATTCCTCGAGGGTCATTATATTAGTCTTACGACGCATGAAAATAAATTGGACCTATGAGACTACTTAGCTGTCAATTAGAGATCTCGACAGACATCCAAGGCAAGCTTGCTTGCTCTCTCTAAGATCACATGAACAACGGAACGAGCAGCGGCAAAGTCCCGCGGCCGATTTTTGTACAACAACACTACTACTACTACTACTACTGCTCCGTTGGTACTACTGCTGAAAGTAGTCTCCTGTAAGCACGTCGTAGGGATTGAGGCTGCTATCGAGGGAGGTCGGTAATTGCTTCAATGCAAAGCATGCCTGCAGCGGAGGATTAGACAAAGGAGGATGCGGTGATATTTCATTGACCGAGGACCGTGTGAGCAGAGTCAGGGTCTTAGGTACAATGAGAGGATCAGGGCAAGCAATGCTCTTGAGTGGGATGGAATAGAGCAGAGGTAGGTGGTGACGATCAGGGTCGATGATCGACAATAACAGCCACATTAGGAGGATCGTCGTGGAGATCTCAAACAACGTCATTAACAGCGCGGCTAGCACCATCCAAGCGCATCGCCAAACAAACAATGGAATGAAAGCGAGGATCCTAGGTTGTAAATAGTGTTTTAATCGATCGCCTTGGCAACACACACCCGGTTCCGGAATCCCGACCGATAGCCTGGCCGAGAAGTGGATAAAAGTGCAGTGTTGAACATCCAACGGGAACACTGGGCACAGGAGCAGAGGAGCGTGGGTCAGCAGCCAAAAAAGAAACGAGAAAATGCAGTGTGGTAGAAAGCGGTGTTGTTTTCGCTGCAGAGCCTTGATACACACGCGTCTCGCTTCCACTTCGCGTTTGTCCGCATGACTTTTTACTTTTCTTACCCTTAGCAAGCCCGGCTCGGTCGTCAGAGCTGCGCGCAAGACACCGACTCGGTGAAGTAGCCTGTCGAGCAAGAGAAATTGATGGTCGAGCATCCGTTCCTGCTTGGTACACATGCAACACACCACTCCCTTGCAGGCTGTCATGCCGTCTTCTTCGCAGCTGTCACCAAACGCACAGAAGAAGTCATGCCTGTGACAAACACAACCAAGCAAGCGTCGAAGGCACCCCAGCCAAACTTCCGGAAGGAACTGAAGCGATTTTTGTTTGCAATTGGCGATCATACGCTGTGCATATTACATGAAGGCCACCCCTCGTGGATGAGAGGGCCACCTTTTTGTCCTCAAGCTCTGTGGTGAAAGCGAGAGAAGATATGGAGAGGAATAGGAGGAAGATGGAAAGGGAGGATTGTAGTCCTCATCTCTTGCCCTCCCAAGCAAGAGGGATGAATGAGAAGGGCGTGTGCGTTCTTATCGTTGCTGAAAATGTGGATGAGGATTGACCGTGACCAATGAAGAAAGAAAGGAGAAGGCTTAGACCTTGGCGGCCGAGACCGGGGCAGCCTGCTGGCGAGCCTTCTTCTCGGCGGTGCGGGCCTTGCGCTCCGTCTTCATGTCGGCCTGTCGCTTGGCGATGAGCTTGGTGTACTCCGCCTTCTGCGCCCTCTGCACCTCCGACTTGCGGACCTTAAGCGACTTAAGATGCCTCTTGCGCTGCAGGCGCTGGGCAGTAATGAGACGCTGAACCTTGGGCGCCTTGGTGTAAGGCTTGGCACCCTCCTTCTTCGACTGAACCTCACGACGAACGACGAACTGGCGGGGGTCGTCCTTCTTGGTCAGGTTGAAGAACTTGCGGATGTCTGTAAAGAACGGTCAGATTAGGTTGCACAATCTCGTGGCGAGGAGACGAGACGAGAGACTCACGGTTCGCGCGCTTGGGGCCGAGGCGCTTGGGCACGACTGAGTCGGCATCCGTCAGGCCGGGAATGTCCTGCTCTCCCTGCTTGACGATGATGAGGTGGAGAGCCTGCATGTCGGGGCCGACGATGCAGCCGCGAACCGACTTGCGACGGCGCTCGCCGGTGCGACGCTGGCGGTAGCACGAGCTGTTCTCGCCGAGGAGAAGGCTGACGCGGTGGGGAACGAGAACGCCCTGCTTCATCGGGAAACCCTGCTTGTCGTTACCACCTCCGATGCGGGCGACGTAGCCCTTGAACTCGTCTCCGAGCTGGTCGAGCTCAACCTCCTGGGACATTCGCTTCTCCCAGAAGATCCTAGTGCGTCGGTCATCGTCGATCGAGTACGACTTCTGGGCACCCGTGGCGGGGTTGGCAAAGTTGAGCTTCCTGTGAGGTTGTGGCAAGGCAGCGTCAGCGTCTTGTCTTCCTGTTTTCAAAAACCACTGCTTCAATCCCGCCATCCTGGCCCCTCCTTTCACTGATCTCGTTCTCGGCAACGCCCCAATCCTCTTCCCACTCTCTTTCTCGACCACTTTAAATGCCTTCTCGCGCCCTTGAAGTCGCTCGACGACGCCAGAAAGAGGAGCGTGGATCTCTCGCGGCCACCAATCGAGTCGCAGAACTCCCTTCCCCAAGCTCGTGCTCCCTTGGACGTGCCCCTAATGCAGCCATTCCAGACACTGCTTCCTGAACGATAATCCTCCATCCCGCAACCGAAACCGTCATTGCACTCACATCTTGACTGTGTCGTCGTCGGTGTCGAAGTCGAGGGGCCGGTCTTGATGATCAAGGAAGACCTCGAATCTGGCCCCATGCCTGTCGCAGCAGGCGCGGGTCGGCCGAATGCCGCAGTGTAAAAATCACGTGTTAATATTAGTCGCGTGGATTCCAAGGCCGCCGCTTTGCCTTGCCTCTCTTTGGGGGGACTCAATTTCTTCTTTGCCATCGCCCGACCTCTTTTCGACAACCTCTCCGTCCGACAACAACAAAGGTTAGTCGCTGTTTCCTGTGATTGTGATGAGGAGAAAGCTGACATCCCTGTTCGATGGCAGGTGAGCTTTGATATTTGGGCAGCGATCTGGATTCTTTGGAGCGCCGGGGCAGAGACCGATAATCCGTCGAGGCTTGAGGGAAAGGGCGGAAGGACAGGTCACGGTGGTGGGAATGGAAGCCCCTATCGAACATGGGAAGACCGGGACGCAGTAATGCTGGAGAGAGCGATGCGAAAAGGGTGGAAGGGAGCGATAGAAAGGATGGAAAAAGGAAGAGGATGATTATTTGCGGAAAACTAACCAGGACATCCTCTGTACAGTCAACATGGGTCGCATGCACAGCAAGGGAAAGGGCATCAGCTCTTCGGCGCTCCCCTACCGCCGCACTCCTCCTTCGTGGCTCAAGACGACGCCCGAGGAGGTCTGCAACCAGATCTTCAAGCTTGCTCGGAAGGGTCTCACCCCCTCGCAGATCGGCGTCCAGCTCCGTGACAGCCAGGGTATCGCTCAGGTCCGATTCGTCACCGGCAACAAGATCCTCCGTATTCTCAAGTCGGAGGGCCTCGCTCCCCAAATCCCTGAGGACCTCTACCACCTGATCAAGAAGGCTGTCGCTGTTCGCAAGCACCTCGAGAGGAACCGCAAGGTGAGCGCTCGCTCCATCCAGCCTCATGTCCCACAGCCTTGCTGACAACCCTCTCTGTCTTCCTCTCTTCGCCTTCAGGACATGTCGTCGAAGTACCAGCTCGTCCTCATGGAGAGCCGTATTCACCGATTGGCGAGGTACTACCGCACCAAGGGTGCTCTCCCTCCCACCTGGAAGTACGAGTCTTCGACGGCTAGCACCCTCGTTGCCTAAGCGGTATTGCACCGTCTTGTGCATCATCCGTCTGGGTTGAGCGACGTCTGGTGGGAGAACCTGTTGGAAGGGTCACGGTTCGGTCCACGTATGAGGGAGTCTATCACTCTCTCTTTGTATGATTCTACACGGCATGTCTCTCCATGAACGCCTTCAAAAATTCACACATTTCTCTTGTCTCTTTGCGGCCGCTCTACTGTTGAAGTGAATCATTCCTCCCACGCCCGAAGCTTCACCACAAAGCATAGCTCAAGAGCAAGTGCTCCTTGTCTCGAAGTCGAACGCAATCGGGAAGGGACAGAAAAGCTAGTCGAAATTCCCCCTTAAGAGGGCCATGACAATTATACACAGGCCGGCCGTAGAGGGAGAAAGGGAGAAGGATCGAACCGAGGAGGTAGTAGTAGCACGATTGGGGAGGACAGATAGCTCGTCTGGAGGAAGCGTTGGGAATTTTCAAAGTGCTGTGATTGTTAAACGCCTCCCCGTCTGTCTACCACTGGAGAGCATCGAAGGTCTATGGTGAGAGCCTTTTGGGCCAGTACTGGTGCGTGTGACCTGAGCCTGCCCCCGTCAGAGGGCGCAGCCGCCCAATTGCTCGACCATAGCGTCAATCTCGTCCTGGTCCTCGAGACCGAGCTGGTATCGTCGACACATGGATCAATAAGCTGCCTTTCACAGTCCAAAGAAAGACTTGCCAAACACTTACCGTCTCTGCTGTGTCGTCATCCCCCACACGGCTTCCGTCGGCAGTGATGAAGCGGACGGCGTTCTCGGGCTTGCCCATGCGTTCCGCGTAGGCGCGCTTAAGCTTCGAGAGACGAGTCTGTCGCTTCACCTTGAAAAAGACCTCGTTGCCATCGGCGTCTTTGACCTTGATGTTGAGCTGCTCGCTGGGTACAAGACGGAGCCAGAAAATGGAAAAGTGAGGTACAGAGTCAGTGGTTGTCAGAGGAGCCAATGCGCAGCGCAACTCACGACTCGGGCTTGGGAGCGGGGGCTTCTCCGTGGTCAGACATGGTACCAGGTGAAAGCAAGTGTCGAATATACGTATACAGAGGTTTGCTTTCTTTGGTCGTCTAGCCCGGCAGCAAAGTGGCGTGGGGGTGATTTGGTGGTTGACAGGCAAAGTGGACGGAGCGGGCGGCGACGCTTTCCAACATCGCCATGCCTGCAGCGCGCTCCAACGGGTGCTCGTGACAAAAATAAAAGCAAAGAAAAGAGGCCAGGGCTCAGCAACACGTGGCGTGAGATGCTCAATTGTCAGAATTCTGCCTCCGCCTTTGCTTTGGTGCGATTGCAGGACAGGCAAGAGCGGCATCTTCTTTCTTCTCTTGCTACGCATCGCATCCACGATGCCGTCCGTCGCATCCCGGTCTCCCGATGCGTCGCCAGACGTGCGCGTGAAGCGCAAGAGATCCGTGTCGTTCTCCTCGGCGAGCGACACGGACGACGCCTCATCGGCCTCTCGGTCACCACCACCTCGTCGCCGCAAGGCGGCTAGTCCATCACCAACTCCTTCAAGATCACGTTCTCGATCCCCTCCGGCCCGCAAAGAAAAGACAAATGGCGACCCAAGTCGCGCCCTCATGGTTAGGGAAGAGGCAGAGAAGCTCAAGAGGACAGAAGCAAAGGGCGAGGAGCTGAGGCAGCAGCTCGCTAAACTGTCGAACACGCGAGGAGGTGGCGCATACATTCCCCCCGCCAGGCTGAAGGCACTGATGGCCGAAGCCGCAGCAGCAGATCCGGGCAGCGTCGAGTTCCAGCGCATGAGCTGGGATGCGCTCAAGAAGAGCGTCACCGGCCTCGTCAACAAGGTCGCCGCCGAAAACATCAAGTTTATCGTCCCCGAGCTTTTCGGCGGCGCCAACCTGATCCGTGGCAGGGGCCTCTTTTGCAGATCGATCATGAAAGCGCAGGCTCAGTCGCTCCCATTCACTCCCGTCTTTGCAGCGCTTGCGTCCATCGTCAACACCAAGTTGCCCATGGTCGGCGAGCTCTTGGTGACACGCCTCGTCAGCCAGTTCCGCAGGTCCTTCAAGCGCAACGACAAGACGGTTTGCAACGCTACAGCGATGTTCATTGCTCACCTCGTCAATCAGCGGGTGGTTCATGAGATTCTGGCCCTCGAGATCCTCGTCCTGCTCCTGGAGAAGCCGACCGACGATAGTGTCGAGGTGGCCGTGTCGTTCATGCGCGAGGTGGGCGCTTTCCTGGCAGAAGAGTCGCCGAAAGCCAACAACAGCATCTATGATCGCTTCCGAGCAGTTCTGTACGAAGGAGCGATTAGCAAGAGGGTGCAGTTTATGATCGAGGTGCTTTCTCAGGTCCGAAAGGAAAAGTACAAGGACAACCCGCGCATCCAGGAGGCGCTTGACCTGGTTGAGGAGGACGACCAAATTACGCATCAGATCAGTCTCGACGACGACTTGAATGTTGAAGAGTCGCTCAACGTTTTCAAGGCGGATCCTGCCTTTGTGGAGAACGAAGAAAAGTACCGGGAGATCAAGGCAGAGATTCTCGGTGAGAACTCCGACTCGGAGGCGGGGAGCGACGACGAAAGCGGTGACGATGAAGATAGCGAGGGCGAGGACGAAGACGATGAGGCAGACGAGCAGGCAAAGGTTGACATCCAAGACAAGACTGAGACCAACCTCGTCAACCTGCGGCGAACCATCTACCTTACGATTATGTCTTCGGCCGGGTTTGAGGAGGCGGTCCACAAGCTCATGAAGCTCAACATTCCCGAGGGGCAAGAAATTGAGCTGTGCAACATGATCATCGAATGCTGCTCCCAGGAGAGGACCTTCAACAAGTTTTATGCCAACATTGGAGAGAGGTTGTGCAAACTCAACAGGACCTGGTCGGAATGCTACGAGGTGTGCTTCCGAAACTATTACGACACCATCCATCGGTACGAGACGAATCGGCTTCGCAACATTGCCCGCTTCTTTGGCAGCATTGTTGCCGCGGACGCCATCAGCTGGGCCTGCTTTTCCATCGTCCACATGACTGAAGAGGACACGACGAGCTCCTCGCGCATCTTTTTCAAAATTCTGATCGGAGAAATGAAGGAGAAGCTGGGAATGAAGGCCCTCGTCGACCGATTCAAAGAGCCAACGATGCAGGAGTACTATGTCAACATGATGCCCAAGACGGACCCGAAGTCGACTCGATTTGCGATCAATTTCTACACGAGTATTGGTATTCCACAGATCACAGATGACATGCGGGAACAACTCAAAATCGTTCGCGATCAAGCCCTTGCCAAAACGCAGATGCCTGACGACTCGTCGAGTAGCGACTCGGACTCGAGCCTCAGCAGTTCGTCGGACTCGTCGAGTCTGAGCAGCAGCAGCATCAGCGACTCGGATTCGTACTACTCTCGGCGGAGAAGGCGAGCTAGGTCCGATACCCGGACACCACCGAGGCAAGCAACTGCCAACAGGCCGAGGAGAGATGCGTTCAGCCCCGAAAGAAGTCTCAGCCCTCGCCCACGTCGTAGGGACAGGAGCCTGTCCGATTCTCATTCGCCCCCGCCGCGACGGAGGAGGAGCCCTACCGACTCACGCTCTCCCCCACCTCGTCGAAGAGGACGGAGTCCCAGTGATTCACGCTCGCCCGTTCCCGCAAGAAAGGCCAGGAGCCCAACTGACTCTCGCTCGCCGCCCAGTCGGAGAAAGAGAAGCCCTTCGATCTCTCGGTCTCCTCCACCTGTTAGACGACGCTACGATGATGATGACGGCCACCGTCGCAGGAGGTCTCCGACGCCTCCTCCTCGCGGTATTCCTCCCCGTGACAATGGCTATCGTCGCAGATAAGATCAGCCCTCAAAAGGAACAAAAAGTCACCCTGTATTATTATGCATCTTCAACCATCAATTATCTTCCGCGATCATCCCCCCTTGGCCCTCGAAGAACCTTTGATCGTCTGAGCACAACCTCGAGTCACTTGTTGCATGCCCTATCTGGACCTCTGAATATGCGCCGTCTAACGGACCACAAACCGGTGACTTGCTCTTCCGTTGTTCCCGCTTCGTTTGAGGCGAAATCGCCTGAAGGATAATGAACAGTCGGCTCGGTATTCAAGGAAGACACCGATCGGCGCCGAATGTCAAAGCAGGACGGTACATGTCGTTGTCCGTGGAAAGGGATTCGAGGCTCTCCGCAATAGCAAGGCCATTGAACACAGAACAGGTGGAAGAGAGTTAGGCCGGACAAACCTCAGCAGCAGAAGCCGCAGACAGACAAGTTCGACCGAGGCGTTTGCGCCTGCATCGCAGAGCGCTCGCTCCGCGGGCTTCCAAAAGAACTACGTCCCCGCAATGAGCGCGTGGGGGAGGTTGCCCGTGGCCATGTCGAGGGTACAAGAGTTCGGCCGGTGCAGGTGTCGCGCGAGTGGGGAAGGAGGTTGCGAGAATGGGGCTCCGGATTCGAACATCGTCGCTGCTGCCGGCCTCATTCTGTCCATTTCTCATCCACTTACCTGATAACGCGCTCAATTTGCCCAGTAATGTGTTCCCAGTGCAACTATCTCATCAATTGAGAGAGCCAAGAGTTCATTGCTCAATCAATGAAGAAGGGTCCATTGAACGCCTCTTTTCGTCTTCCTCTTTTTCTTCCTCTTTTTTTTGTCTCCGATCGACGAGAAGTTCACGCCTGCATGCACCCTGCAATATATGCATGCAGGCGGCCAGTCAACTAGTACTGGACCTTAGCCACTGCACTTCTATATATTCAAGTTGCACGATCTATCTCTGAGACCGCGCTCGTAATATACGATGTATGTCTGCTTAGTACCATGCCGGTGACTATGACAGTGTACCGCTCCACCCAAGCTCTTGGCTCAACGCAACGCTGAGCTCGCGCGGACTTTGACTTAGAAATGGGCCAGACCGGCCTGATCAGGTGTTGGATTTTTGTCATTCTTCCTGCGGGGGCGTCAAATGGGTGAAGAGGCCTCCTTACAGCGCTGGTCTTCAAAAGAAAAAAAAGGCAGGGGCACGGCAGGCGGTAAGTTTCATGTTTGAAGACCGCCTCGATTTATATTACATCTCGATCAAAGATTAGGTCTCCGACGTGAATGCTCCAGCAGATGTGTTATCAATACTAGCAAACCAAAAGAAGCAATTTGAAAAATTGTCGTTGGATTAGCTTCCCCCAAAGTTCGGAGCCACTGGTCTCGTGCCTGAGGCCAGTTTCACCTCCCAAGATTTCTCGATGGCACACAGCTGGCGAATAATGCTGGTGCTGCACAGCGCTTCCCCACTGCTGCCGTCGTTCTGCAGGTCAACTAGGCAGGCTAAGGCTCGGCGCTGCTATCTACCATCATGGATGCGGGATTTCGGCCTGTCGCAATACTCTACGCTACGCTACTACTACTACTACTACTACTGTAGTTTTAACCAAGGATAAGGTGAAGGAGAGAAAATTCCCAAAGCTCGAGCGAGCAGCCAAAGCCCGCCTTCCCGATCAAGTTTTGGGAAACAGAGCGAGGCTAGGGGATCAGCAGTTCCCTCTCGTCGCTGTCTCCTGTTCCTTTCTTCCGTCTCTCCATTGACGTCGACCTTCGACAGCCGTCGACGACCGCCCGCTCGCTCATATTCGCGGCCGCCCTTCTGCGAACACGCGCACGCGTCTTGGTGAGTAAGCAGACTAGTCAAATGGGTCATGCACAAAATCGATCGGAGCACGGGAGTCACATCCGATGGGGGGCAGGCGGAGCATTATTGACTGCTTTGGTGCCTGGTCCGCGCTTCGATCTCATCTCGTTGCTGCTCTTGTGGCCCCCTCTTCATTTTGCTCTGCCCTTGGTCTGCTGGATGGGGTCAGCTAAGCAGACTGGTCACCAAAGGGACGGGACAGCTGAGGGAATGATGAAGCCATGCGCCACTGTGAAAGATTATTTCCACCTCGACCTGGACCCTGTCGACATTGAGATGCGGGGTTCAGGGGCTGTCCTCGAGCCAGGAGGGCCCCTTGGTCAAAAGAGCCCCTGGCCGAAGAATAATGAGGGCTTTCTTAGGGAAGAGATGGACGAGGATGTGCCATATCATGGATCGGTGCACTTTGGCCGCATTGGGGTTCCATGCGTTCAATCAATTTGCGCATCGTGACCGATTTCATTTATTTTGCTCTCCGAGTGGCTTGCAACGATGGTGACTGACCTCATTGCTTGCTCCTTCTCGCTCTCCCCTCTCCTCGGTACAGTAGTCCGGCACGTCGTCTCAAACAGCCTTAGAGGAGCGGCTCACACGACCGTCGTCCACCACTGCTTGCTTGGCGAGAGACGGACTGGCACGGTCGCGCCCTTACAAGGACCTTCCTAAAACAGCGGGCACTGCAACGATCCTCGTTGCTGGTACAGCTCCGTGGGATTGTCTCCTGTCTTTCTCGGATCAATCCGTACATTGATTCGGACAATCTACTCGGCACTCGCCCTCTCAGGCCCCACCAGTCACACACAGACACGCACTCTCTCTCTCTCTCTCTTTCACACACACACACTCTCTCTCTCTTACGACTGCGAGCGTTTCTCGCGACTTTGGTCGAGGCGATTCGAGGAGATTCAATCCCATCGCCCAATTCTACTTGACTGTGAGTGTATTGCGGCTTGATCCGTACAGCTCACGGCTGGGGCAATGAAGACTTCTAGCATGGCTCGGGCCTACCTTTGCGCGGATGCCCGCTCCTGCATAGAGGACGCATATTGGCTTTCATTGGCACGTGCCAAGTCCTCATTTGACCCATTCATATTGCCATTGTCGACGTCGTGCGCTGACTCTTACACCATTACAACTGTCTCTCTTTGCCCATCACTCAGCTCTGTCATTTGTGGCCCTTATCGGTTGCCGTCCTCCGAGTCGAGCGCAGCGATAAAAATCGAAAATTTCCAAAATCCCAAAACTCGATCACGCAAAGAGAGGGAAAAAAAAATCAACGGAAAGGGCTATTGCAGCAGCGCCCGCACGCCGCGATATCTTTCTGTTCACTGCCTTGTTGCACATAAACGGAGCGCCGTCCCAAACCCCATCGCCCTCGCTGTCACGGCGTAGGTAGCGTTGGGGCACGACGAAGCCAGGAGAAGGCCCGTTCGCGCCAGCAAGCCCTGCCCACACTCCTCGCGACGACGGGACGCTTTCCTCGGAATGCTCTGCACTCAACCTCAGCAGCGACCCTCATTCATGCATAATTCTTACGACGTCGGGATGTCTGCGTCTTCGCCCAAATCGTACGGTGGCGCTGTTGCCGTTGCTCCTGCCGCCGCCGGTGCACCACCTTCCTCTTCTTCTCCTTCCACTTCCGCTTCCACTTCCTCTTCCACTTCTTCCTTGGACTCGTCCCCCGTGTCGTCTTCTTCAACTGCTGCTAGACATCGACATCACGCGAGGAGCTACTCGAGCGACGCGCAGCGTTTTCTCGACCAGTCGAAACCGCAACAGGACACCTCGACAACTGTTGGCATGCTGCCGGTGCGATCGCGCAAGCCATCGCCTCCGCGAACCGACGATGCGACCGACACCGCTGCTGCAAATGGCGCCTCCTCCTCCCTGGCGCCTTCTACAGAAAAGCGTATCTCGCCTACGAGAAAGACCTCTCCCCCTCGTAAGGAGATGTCTCTCGAGGCAGCAACGGCAGAGGAGATCGAGGCAGAGGAGAAGTTGGCTCTGCTTCGAGAAGCGCAGAAGAACCGACGCCCGCGCATGATGCGGCTCACACCTGCATTTTCCAGCCTGCCTGGCCGATCGCCACCCATGTTTCTCTCACAAGAGACCATGTCGGCGCCCTTAGACCACGTCCGCATGCAAACTCAACAGCAAGCGCAACGTGCTGAACAGGTTTCAACGCCAGAAGAGATCAACAAGGTAGCATTCCCCACCACTGATGACACGCCGCCGAGCGACAAGTCGACGACACCACTCGAGAGCGATCCACCAACACCAGTGCAGTCTACGGTGGCGACCTCATCGCGCAAATCAATTGCGCTGCGCATCAATGGTGCCAACAAGGAAGAGCCGGGAGTCGGTCTGCAGATTGACCTTGCCTGTATTCCCACACCTTCGATGCAAGATGCCAACGGGCCCGCTTCGACATCGTACATTCCCGACATGGTCCGAGACCGTAACGGCAACCCGATCAAACCCTCACTCAAAAGCTCACGCAACTCCGTCGGCAATCTCTTCAACCGTCCTGGTCGCTCCGACAGCACGCCCGAGCTACCCATCAGCATCCGTGCCAAAAGCGTGCCGACGACACCCACGCTCCCAAAGGCGGTTCACTTTGACGCCAAGCTCGAGCATGTGAAGCTCTTCAAGAATCGTCAACGGCCAACGGCCGTTTCTCGCGACGGAAGCCCAGAGCAGACGGAGACGGAGACAGAGGAGGAAAAGGACTTTCCATACATTTGGCGACGGTCGCAGCATTCGCCTGTCTCGCCCTCATCCACCTCGCCCTCCGTTGCGACTCCCCAGCCGTTTGCACCCAACGGCAGCACTTACCGCTCTCGATCGCCCTCGGCGGCCGAGGAGACGGAGCAGCTCGTCCTTCGTCTGCCCAACTTTCCTTCTTCAACCCGGCTGTCGGTCGATCGCGAGGTATTTCTCGAGCGCATCTTCTTGGCCGATGACTTGCGCTCCGTCAAGGGCACGGTGCGAGTTCGCAACATCTCCTTCGAAAAGTGGGTCGCCGTCCGTTACACCCTCGACCACTGGACGACGACCGGCGAGGTATCGGCCGAGCATGCAGAGAGCATCCAAGGCGGCAATGCCGATCGATTCACCTTTTCCATCAAGCTCAACGAGCTCCTTAACTGGCCTCGAGGCTCGCCCGCGCACGAGACCAAGAGCATGTTCCTCTGCATCCGTTACACCGTCTCTGGGGCAGAGCACTGGGACAACAACGAGGGACACAACTACCAGCTTGACTTCCGCAAGCGACAGATGCCATCGACGCCCCTCAGCACGCCCATCACCACTGGTGCGGCCCTACAACCTCCAAAGGCTACCGTGGCAGCCTCGATCGGCCAGGGGACGGCCAAATCGCGCGTCTTGGAGATGGCCAAGAAGGGCGTCCACGGTGGCTCAGCCAAGGGTGGCTTTGCCATAGAAGATCTGCGTCGGGAGCTCGACCGCCTTCGTTCAGACGAAGATGAAGAAGAGGAAGCGACCACTGCCACACAGCTGCGCACGTTTGCCTCGGAAATGGCCAAGCGCAAGCAGTCGCCTCCTTCTTCGCCAGGCCGCTCGGGCTCCCCCACCCCGTGGACCGCCCGCTACGACTTTGGAGCATCGCTCAAGAACCCTCGAAGCGGAAGCCGGACCACGGGTCAGGGCCGTGCCGCCGCGCTCGACTACTTTTCGGCAAAGCCAACGACGGCGACGCCCGCGGCAAGCAGCCAAATGGTCAGAGGCGGCGCAAGCTATCAGTACGGCGCGAGCCCCAGCACAAGCAGTGGTGCTCCGCCAATGAAGCCGTCAATCTCCATCGAAGGCACATCACCCAGCAGACATGCCGAGATTGCAAAGCCTTCGCCTGACTTCTCCCATAGATTTGGCATGATCTCGCCCGGTCTCGGCGATGGTCCCGTCGAGCACCGTCCAGTGTCGACATCGGCAGGCAATTCCGTGGAGCAGAGCCCCGAGACGACACCCTCTAGTTCGTCCTTGGGTGTTCCTCGAGGCACTCATGGTGGCCGCGGTGCCTCGGAACGCTTCTACTCGTTCCCTCCCAACCGCCATATGCAGTCGCCTGGCGCCGCGACGCCCCCGGCCGTCGGCAATGGCATGGCCGGCTCCCAGGTGGCTCCCGTCGTTGGTGCCGCCTTTTTCGAAGACGCCATCTTGGCACAGGCCAGGGGCTCGCCGCTCGGTAGTCCCATCCAGTCTCGAAAGGTACCACCGTCTCCGAGGTCCGTCTCGAGCCGGTTGGCCGAGGTGAAGGCATCGGAGGAGCACAAGGCAGAGAACGGCCTCATCGTCGAAGACTACTCTCCGTCGGCCTCGCCTGTCTCGCCGTGCGGATCACCCAACCCCTTTTCGCCATCGGTGAGCGTCTCGTCAAACGAGAGTGACACGACCATCTCGACGCTCGTGCCCGATGAGCAGCCGCAGCACCGACTTAAGCCTCGCAAAGCCGCCGATGGACTCTCTGTCTCGAATGACAGTGCCGAATCGTCAGACGGATCCTCTACGCCCGATGCTCGACAGTCGCGTGAGGCTTCCATCGACAATGGCGAGGACGACGAGAGTCACGGGCCTCGCTACCGTCCCGCGAGCATGAGCGACTACCAGGAGCTCATCAACCGATTCTGCTGGAACTCGGATCTGGTGCCCAGCGGCGGCAGCACCGTTCTCGTCACACCGCCGAGCCGCTCGCCTACCACCACCTTCAGCCCGCCTCTAAGTGGCGCGACTACTCCCACGCTCTGCTAATACGACATCCCTCGAGCAAGCATCTCTTTCAACTCTCGGGCGTCAAACATTGGCCGCCTCCCCACCCCTTCTCCCGTGCTTCGTCTCTTTCTCCTCGTCTCGCATACATGAAGCACGCATTTTAAGACGACCCGATACGTAGAGACGACTGCGAAGATGATTTTTTTTCTCTCCATTATTCTCTCATCAACAATTCACCATCATCGTCTCATCATCATAGCTATTTCAGTCATGATTCTTCTGTTGCCTCAATTTCTTTCCCTGGCTTTCTCTTTCTAACCCTCTTGTAAAAGTATCAAATAGGATCAATTGGCTTGTTGCCCTTTTCTTTCCGTGTTTGCTTCGTCTCTCGTCGACGAAATGTGAGCCTAATCGTTATTTCTGCAGATGCAGCGCAACTGTTGGTTGGTCATCTTGCCACACTACCACCACCTTTCGGAGCGAGCGCAGAATTAAATCTCCGGCGTTATTGATGAACGGAAGTAGCGGGCAGGTCCGAACCCGTCGGGCGCGAAAGGCGAGGAAACTTGCAGTGCGCCAAAACTTGTCCCTCGGACCCCTCTCAACCTGGACCCTGGATGGACCGGCGATGGCTCTTCCACAGTCTGGAAGGCGCTGCTCGCATCGTCGATGCGTGCGTTCCTTTCCTTACGTTTGCCCGTGTCTGGGAGAGACTGGCTGCGCGCACGGCTGCGCCTCATTGCACAGTCGCGTAATTTTATTCAATGATAATTTCCCCTCGTGCCCACGAGGCTGGATGCTGAGCTTGCCCCTGTAGGAACAAAAAAAATTGGTGCACTATATGGAGAGAGGCATCGGCGCGTATTTGGATTTTCTTCGATCGCGGAGGAAAGATGGGAGGAGTGGACCCTGAGTTCAATTTCGAAATACCACTATTCATCTGCACGTCCCACTAATGTTTTCCGGTACACTATTCTATTGCTCCAAAACTTGTTTACCGTCATAGTCGCCCATCAAAATGTCAACCGCTTTATTGTTGTCAATCTTTTTCAAATGACGAGAGGGTCTTGCTGTACGATGCCCAAAGTCTGATGCACTGTGTCCGTACGGGGTCCTTGTAACCAAAGCAAGCGATTAGGGTAAGGGTTAGGCGATAGAGAGAGGCAACGAAAGAAAGCCAAGATCGGTCTTGCTCTTTTTTTTTTTTGCAGATCCGACTTCTTGTCGTTGCCACACTCCCAACCAACCCCCTACTACCAAGTCCGCGCCTTGTCTACTCATCGGCCCCATCGACCAACGGCTTCCGCAAGCGACTTCAGCTCTAGAAGCTGACGACGAAGCCAGGTCGCAAGTCCGGCGGGTTTCCCCTCGAATCGTGCGACCCACTCTCTCGATCTTACGACACAGCCCGACCGACGATGGCGCAACCAGTCAATTTTGAAGATGACTTTCTCGGCCAGCATCTGGGTCAGCTCCTCATCAGACAGCCGAGCAAGACGACAGCGCCTCCCCTGTCACAGAGAGAATCCAGCAGTGGTAGCGAGGCAAGCAGCAGTCTTGGACGAAGACATTCGGTCTTCGCTTCAGCTTCAGGGGCAAGGCCGTCTCTGAGAATGTCGGAAGTTGACACTCCGGCAGAAGACGAAGCGGCACCACTCCAAAGACGGAGCTCGATCCAATCGTCTTCTTCGTCGAATCAGCAACAGCAGCACTCTCGCACCTTGTCTCTCGGGCCCCTTTCCCAAACAGACGCCTTTCTTGACAACCTCTTTTCCCCAGCCACGCAACTTGCACCTCCCATCAAAGGATCTGCTGGTGGAAGCTCTAGCGGCGTCGGCGCCGTTGAAAGCACAGCTGGTGCCGAGCCCAAAGGAAACTGGCAGCAGCATCAGCTCTTCTCCTCGCCACTTTCGCCGAATTCTTTGATTAGGGACATTGGTGCCATGTCGCCTTTGACACCACCGTCGCCAGCGGCATCCGTCTCGTACTTTGGCACAAACCCTCACCAGAGCTCGAGGCATGCATCGGAAGACGCGGGCGCTGGTCCTAGCGCTGGCGCTGCTCCAGCTGAGAGTGCACAAGCGACACCAATGAAGAATTCCTTTTCGACGTCTTTCGGGGCCAGGAGGAGAGTCGCGCGTGTGATGGAGCCGTCAAAGAGCAGAGACAGCCATCAGACGATGGTCACGAGCTCACGGCACAACAGCGGGAGTGGCAGGGCAGTTCAGCGCTCTCCCTCGACCTCCTCGCTGTTGTCCGACACTTCCTCGTCACTATCTCCTCGCGCGAGTGTGGGCAAGTTACGGGAAACGGGAGACAGAGAGAGCAACAGCTCGTCGCAAACGCGATTCTCGGACACTTCTTCAAGCTCGACAAATACACCCTCCTCTTCGGATTTCGACCAGACTCAGCGCTCGTCATCGGCCTCCTCGACGAATCCATGTTCGTCTGTGACATCCTCGAACCTAAGCTCGAGGTTCATGAGAAAGATGTCAAACCAGTCTTCGTCCAACGAGACGGAGCTGACGAGCTCGGTCGACCTGAACAGTCCAGAAGACAAGTCGGACGGTGATGCACAACCAGAGACTGAAGGGCTGGCACAGGAAGAAGGCGAGGATTTGAAGGGGTCCAAGGAGGAAAGGGCCAGAGATCCGAGGACCGAATTCGACTCCAAGCTTCAGACGGTGACGGAAGAGGAAGCATGGAGACAATGGAGAAATGGCGCAGCAGTCGAACCACCAGAGACGCCAAAGAAACAAGGAAGAGTTTCATCTGGCGAAGGCGACGAGCCGAAGCCTCTGTCAGTGCGTGGGGCAGCCGCGACAAATACCGAGGACCCAGAGCATGTACAGGGGACAGCATTGGTGCCCAAATTCACGTCTCTGACGTCGTCGAGGAGTTACGTTCGGAAGAGCATCGATCAAAACGATATGTCCGAGCCTGATTCGGCCTCGTCAGTATCGTCATGCTGGCCATTTGATGCGAGAGCGCCTGCGAAGTCGACGACTTCAAGCGATAAGGCTTCAAATTCGGTGTCCCTCAGCTCAAAGCCGGCAAAAAGCCGAGCTTCGGGCGCTTCTGCATCATCGACACACTCTACATCGACCAAATCGCCGAGAGCTTCGGCAATTACGGGGGCAACTAGTACTACGGATGCTTCAGTGACTCGTCAGAAGAAGCTCATGCTGGTCCCAGACGGCCCCGACGGACGAAGCTTCAAGTTTGTCGAGATGGAAGACGAGGACGCCGAGAATGTCGAGGAAGGTGAACGATCCGCTGGCAAGGACGTTTCCCCTGCAGGTGACGAGGAGCCCAGCGTAGAGGAAGAAAGAGGAGTGTCGGCAGTCGACTTTGTCCACAGAGGAAAAATTGACGACAAGACAATTAAATCAAGCAACACCTCGTCCAAGTCAGGACCAAGACGAGGTCTGCTGCCGGCGTTTTGAAGAAGAACACAAACATGAACGGAACGAACTTTCTTGGGAGGTGCATAGCCCTCTATTCTTGTCTTGTTACGATGACGAACCATGGCCGAAACCATCACATTTTTTAGATACACTCTCGATGTCGCCCGGTTCGCATTCTATTCCCTTTGCTTTGCTCACTTTGTAACTTTACTCACCATCGTTTCCATGTCCAATACCATACACGAGTCCAAGTCAGAGGGGAAAACCGCGATTCATTTCTCATAATCACTAGTTGGGACGAGAAGAAATAACAAAAGGTGGGCGGGAGTATAAACAATAATGGTATGAGCTGTCGCATACAGAAGCGGGTGTGGATGACAAGGCTGTGCACAAGATGGGCGTGATTAGGTTGAATCTACTCCTGCCCGAAGCCGACTGTTTCCTCGACGGCCCAGATGAGCTTCTCTTCGAGGACAGTCTTCGACGAGTAAGGCGGCAAATCGATGCGGTTGAAGCATGTGTGACTCTTGGGAAGCTGCGTGACCTCGCCGCTCTTCTCAATTGTGAATCGCCTGGGCCCGTCTGAACCTTGCAAGTCCTTGAAACCATTGACGGGGATCCTCGAAGTGCCCGTAGCAAACTGCAGCAGTCGGCTCTTGCGCTCCGGGGGCCAGGCACGAACGCACTCCCAGAACCACTGCACGACTTCGTCTTTCTCAGTGAAGCCTCGGTAGTCGGTGAAGCGCTTCCAGTCATCGACGTCAATCTCGCTCATGCCGCCAATGAGAAGCTCGAGCTCGCGCTCGTCAAAGACGTTGATGAGGTCCTGAGGAATGAGCTCGGTGAAGCCGCTGATGAACGCCTTGAACTGCTCCTCCACGCGCCGAACAATTCGCCACTCTGTCATGAGCTCGATGTACTCTGCCTTGTTCTCGTCCGTCACCTCGATCTCGCTTCCGCCAGGCTTGAGGTCAACGGTGATCATCTCGCCAAACTTGTCTTCGACAGCTGTGAACGTCTCATCGACGACGTCGACGATCGAGTTGCTCAGCATCCACTGCAGCGAGCGGTGGTAGTCTGCGTCGACGGACTCGAGATCGGCAAGTGTAATCTTCTTCTTGAGAATCATCTTGTAGAAGCTGACGATGAAGTAGGCATCCAAGAAGCGGCGGTGGAAGATGGCCAGGCCAAGCACTCGTCCGATGAACTTGAAGTAGTTGAGGTGCTCGGGGTTGACGCCTGAATGCGGGTTGATCTGCAGCGTGTAGTTGTCGTGAGCCGAGTACTCGAAGAGGCAGTAGAAGGGGTTGAACATCTCGTGCGAGAGGAGGAAGAAGAACTCTCTGCTCAAGCCCCCGTAGTCGAGGCCGTCTTCGCCGTCGAACTTGATCATAAGGCGCTTCTTGAGGTCGTTTGGCTGCTGACGCATGATCTCGGCGTAGGAGTCCTCGAAGATGTGCGTACGGCGCACCTTCATGTGGCACTGGCCAGGAATGGGGCGCAGGGCGGGCTGAGAACGGAAGTAGATAAGCTTTCGTCGGAAGTCGCGCTTGTACTGGGGCACATTCTGGTCCAGCGACGAGGGCAGCCTCGGGTCGTCCCACGTCGTCGTCTTTGTGTTGTGGTCGACAAAGTAGACACGAGCCGTCGAAGTGAGGCGCATCTCCCATCCACTCGGAAGAGGACCCAGCTGCGAGACGCTCTGGGGCTGAACGGTAAGGTTGTTTCCGTTCGGTCCCATGATACGGAGAATCTGCTGACGTCTGGGGTCCACCCACGTCGTCGTGCGAGTGTTGTGATCAACAAAGTAGGGCCTGCCCTCTGGCGTGTTGCGCTGTTCCCATCCCGAAGGCAGCGGACCGGTGCCGGCTGTCGTGGTGTTGCCCGAGGGCAGCGCACCGCTGGCGGCGCTCGAGGGTCCGATGCTACTACCCGTTCCTCCTGGAGAAGAAGCTCCTGTGCCGGTCTGGCGATCACCACCGTCGACACCAAGAAGATCGTCTGCCAGAGCTCGGTTGTTCTGTCGCAGGCGGTCCCCAGCGGCGCTGGCTGCCTGGGCAGCCTGGTTGACGCCCGAGCTAGCCGATGGCCGAGTCCAAGTCGTCGTCCTTGTGTTGTGGTCCACGTAGTACGTACGTCCGAGGTGGTCGGTCCTTCGTTCCCATCCTGCTGGCAGCTCGCCTTGGTCATCACGATTGTTGCCCGCTCGCGCTGCGGTGTTGATGGCGCCAGCAGTGACGTTGGAAGCAGTTGCAGCCGTAGATGCGCTGGCGCCTGTGCCACCTGCTGCGGCCGAGGCGCTGGTGCGGCGATCAGCAGCAGCAGCAGTCCCTGATCCCAGCAAGGCGCCACCGCTCTCAGCAACAATGGGAACTCGGGGCGAAGACGATGCTGCTGCGCCCGTTGAGGGGTGCGCATCGGCCGAAGATGCGCCCGAGCTGGCTGCGGGGCCCATCGAATCTGGCCTAGCCGCGTTGCTGCTCGAGGCAAGCGACGTAGAAGAGGCGCTCGGGCCGCCGGCAACGCTGAGATTAGGGGCCGCGCCGGCGGTGCTGTTGTTGACGATTGGTGTGCTGACGTTGGTGTTGAGGTCGATGATGAGCTTGCCATGGACCATGAGATTGTCGTTGGATCGCTTGAGATCCCTGGTCAGGAGCACCTTGCCCCCCAACTCCAAGTCGATGACGTCGGCAACGGGGACATTGATGACGCCCAGGAAACCCTGGTCCTTCTTCTTGAACTTTTTCTGGTCGAAAATTTGGACTGCAAGGACAGATGAATCCTTGACGTTGACATCGAAGCTGTCGTTCCAGTACGGGTTCAGCGTCTTCTTGATGACACTGTTGTAAAGCCAAAGGTAAGTCTGAGATGCTGAGAAGCTTTCATTTGGACTTCTGACACTCACGAAGTCGAATGGGTCTGCTCGCCGTCGACAGTGACGATGGCAAATGGATCGGGCAAACGAAAGACGTCGCGCTTGATGAGGGCATCGGCGGCAACAACGGTGACCCTGAGCTTGCGTGACAAGCTTCCCGGTGCCGCTGTGTTGACCATGGTTGTGAGACGAAGCGAAGGAGAAAAGAGACTGCGAAAAAAAAGGGGTGGGGGTTCACAGAGGGATCTCTCGTGGCAAGTTTCCTGTTCCTGGTGGCGCAATTTCGCCTGTCGACTCAGCCAGTCTGCGAGCGCCTGGACCTGAGTAGATGGGTCAGAAGCCCGAGAGACGGCTACAGACGAATGCTATCGCTGGGACCGGAAGTGGGGGCTGGGAGGATTGGTCGAGGGCAACCACTAGCGAAAGATGGCAAGCGTAGAGGAAGGGTCAGGTGAGATGGCGGTGCTATCGAATCAGCTGGATAGGTGTTGAAATCGTGCTAGAAAGTTGTAGCGAAACGGCCCGCCGATTTGAAACTCTCTTCGGCATTAAAGTTGCCCATGCTCACGTGCTCACGTGGGTGTCGGCACCTCGTCGAGCTCAGCTCGGTCTTCGGAATTGCAACATTGGAGCACAAGGCCGATAGGTGCACGGATAAGAGACGGAGGGGACCATGAACGCGGAAACGGAGGACACAGACAGAGACACAGGACCGAGGCTCTCCGTGTGGGCGCCCTACCCCGATGGTCCCGTTCCAACGCTGGATCCGGATTGTCTCTATGCGGCCTCGCTCTTTCAGGCACGAGTGAGGCGAGGGACGCTAACGACGCCGTCGACATTGGTGCAGAGTGAAGTGCCCTGTCTCGAGGACGCCTCGGGCGTAATGCTGGCTGAGGGCGTGGACGGCATTGATACCTATTCTGAGGTGCACCATGGCTCTTCTTCCTCGCTTTTGAACCCACTGGTCGTCGAAGGCGGACAGGAGAGACAGGACATTGGCAGAAAGGCGCTGCTCCTCTTGACCTACCTCGAAAGGGAGCTCCAGCCGCTCATCTACCACATCCTCTTCTCGCCACGCCTCTTTGCTGCCCACACCTACAGAGCCTATGCGCGCGGCATGGGCTTCGCTCAGCGAAAATCGATGCCGCAACGGCTTCAGTCGGCCGCGAGGCACAAGGTCGCTTCGACCGAATACCTTCGCTCGCGCAACGCGCTCTTTACTGGTCTGACGGACTCGTCAAGAACTGCCTCGACGCTCACCTCTGCACTGCGGGACGAGGGCGGCGACGACGAGGCGCAAGACCGTCTCGAGCGGGAGAGGCTGGCGCAGAGGGCAGGCATCCGCTTTTGGCCGTTCGGCCTGACCGATCGTGACGAAAAGGCCAGACGAGGCCAGGTCGTCAAGCAGAGGGCCGAGGCAGCTTTTGGGCAGGCCAAAGTCCTTCAAAGGCTCGAAGCAGTCCTGGACGTCGTGACATCGTCAGTCAAAGCCACCGGTGGCGATGGCGGCTTCCTGTTTGGGCAGGACAAGCCAACCAAGGTCGACGTCCGCCTCTTTTCCCTCCTCGCTCCTCTGCTCCATCTCGTCCCTCTAGAGGAAACAGCTTCGTCATCGGACGAAAGCGCAGCGCTGGCCACAGTCCTGCTGATCCGGAACCGCTATCCACTTCTCGTTGACTACGTCGAACGGGTGCGCACGCACATTTGGCAAGCCGAGGGGCCTCGTCTGCACTGGCCCTCGGAAGATGTTCCTCAAGACATGACGATCCGCATCGCTCAGACACTCGGCACACTCTCGGGCCAGGCTTACCTCGGCCTGACTTCGCTAGGCACCTACCTGCGGCCACGACGACGACGGCCGGCACCACCCTCTACCACAGCGCGGGAAGGGCAGGAGAAGAGCAAGCCGGAGCAAAAGACCGAGCGGGAGCGCAAAGACGAGGCGAAAATTGCCTGGGGAAGGGCCGTCTGGATCGCTTCGGCCGTCGTCGGTGTCATCGGTACGGCCTTTGCGAGCGGGCTGTTGGAGATCAGTTTTGAAGCGGACGAAGACGAGGAGAACGAAGACGAAGTCAAGGAGGGGGGAAGCCGCCAGGACGAGGAGGAAGAGTATGAGATTGAATTTGTCAATGACAGCGAGGGGGCAGTGGCCGAGGGCGAAGAAGAGATTGAAATCGACAGTGTAGAATTAGACGATGCTTACGACGAAGATGACGACGACGATGACGCATACGAAGAGGTGGGAGAGGAAGAGGAATAGCGGGAAGAATGAAATGAGATAACTTTCCAAAGAGTCTTTCACCAATGCGAGGGAAAGTGCGCTTGCGATCAGAACGAGAGAGCAATGTTTACTGTGTGGCATTGGCCGGTCGTGACAGGTGTGTCATGCTGGGGAGGATTTTATCGTACAGACGAGGTGCGGAGAACAGTATGAATGATAAAATACGAGGAGGAAAGATATGAGGAAAGAGGTATTAGAAGCAGATGTTGAAGAGGCGAACGTAGAGCGGCTTAGCCTTCTCTTCCTCGCGCTCTTGGCGCAGCACCTGCAGGGGCACCTCCTTGCGGCCAGTGCTGATGTCCATGTCGGCGACACGGACGTACGACGGCCGCTTGATGACCTTGTAGGCCACGTAGAAGAGGACGACAATGGGCGCAGCGAGGAACTGGAGGAAGAAGTTGTTGACACGGTCCGACGCCGACATGTCGGCTTCGCCGATGGGGAAGGCGGCAATGTAGAACTGGAAGATGACGACGAGGATGCAGAAGAGGCCGCCAAACCAGGATCCGTACACGCCCAGGGGAGCGGCCCAGGGCAGCTCCTCAACCGTGTGGCCGCTCTGCTTCCATGCCTGGCGGAAGCGAATGTGGCAGAAGCAGAGAGAGCCCCAGGTGAAGATCGTCGACAGACCAGAAAGGGCAAGGAGCCAGTTGAAGATTGTCGTGGCCGACGATGCGTAGATGAGGAAGGCAAGGAAGCCCATGAGTAGCGAGAGAACGACGGCGGGGAGCGGGCGGCCCTGACGGTCAATGTATGCGAAGATCTTGGGCGCCTGTCCAGCCTGAGCAAGACCGCAGAGGGTACGCGAAGCGGCATACACGGCACTGTTACCGACGGAGAGGACAGAGACGAGAATGACGGCGTTCATGATCGACGGGAGGACCTTGATCCGGCCGTAGTCGATGGCAATGACGAAGGGAGAGGCCCTGGCATCGTACGACGAAGATCCCGACGTGAGGCGCTCCTCGTCGTAGGGAACAATGAGGCCGACGAGGAAGAGGGAGACGACGTAGAAGATCATGACACGCCAGAAGATCTGCTTTGCTGCCTTGGGCACCTGCTTGCGCGGGTTGCTCGTTTCAGCAGCAGCCAGGCCGACTGGAAGCAATCAAAACACAATGCGAGTCAGTCATCGAGTTTTCGCGCTTTGGCCAGCGGTGCCACACTCACTAAGTTCAGTGCCGGCAAAGGCAAAGGCAGCCGTGACAAAGATGGAAGCGAAGCCCTTGAAACCATTGACAAAGGCACCAGGCTCGTGCCAGGTGTGGGCGCCACGGTAGGTTCCATCGGGTGCGCCGCCGACGTCGATGACGATGGCGAGGATGATGAAGCCAATGACGGCGATAATTTTGATCATGGAAGCGACGAATTCAAATTCACCGTAGCCCTTGACACCGAAAAGGTTGATGACGATGATGGCGAGGAGGAAAATCATGACAAAGACGCCCTTTGGCACCCCGTTTGGCCAGTACTCCAAGACGATGGACGCAGCTGTGAGCTCGAGAGGAAGAATGATGAACCACTGCATCCAGTAGTTGTAGCCCATTGCGAAGCCCCACGCGGGGTCGAGGAAGCGAGTCGAGTAGGATGCGAAGGAACCGGAGACGGGGAGCGCCGAGGCGAGCTCACCGAGAGCCATGACGACACAGAAGAGCATGAGACCGATGAGGATGAAGTCGATGAGGAGGAAACCGGGACCACCGCTGCTGAGTGAGCCACCGGAGCCAATGAAGAGACCAGTGCCGATGGAGCCACCGAAGGCAATCATCTGCATGTGGCGACCCGAGAGCTTTCGCTTGAGGCCCGTGTCGGCGCCAGGCGTCGAGACGTGGCCAACCTGCTCAGTGGCGAGGTACTCGGGCGAGTCGACCTCCTTGACCGACTCCTTTTCGCCGGCATCAGCAGCCTTTGCCTCGCTTGTGTCGTAGCGCGGAGCGGTAGCCGTCTCGGGCTCCTCTGCCCGCTTGAAGCTGTCAACGAAATTTTTGAGGACGCCCATGATGAGACGAGGGAGGATCGTTTGGGGGGATTTGGAAGAAAAGAGAGGGGAGCATGCGGGAGGGCGGGGGACCAGCTCCTATATAGCAGCGGACGGTGCAGCCAACGGCCGCCGTTCCTATCTCTGAAGCGGGGGCAAGACAAGATACGCCCGGCCTAACTTACTCCTTCTGGCCAAGGCCGATAGTTCTGGACCTCGAGGGCTTACACGCTATCTACGCACAGAGGTCAGACTGCTGCAAATCTCGGAGAACAGAATGACAGTGCCAAAGTGCCCTCCTATCTTTCTTCCAACTAGGGCGTTCATCCCGTCGTTCTGCCCTGGACCTCGGTCACCTAGCTTCAAGACGGGCTAGACAGGCATTGTTAGAGCCCAGGCGGAAGGAGAGGCGAAGCAGGTACTTGACAAGTGCTGCGAGTCGAGAGGGCTCGACCGTATTTTGAAATGCAGAGGAAAATGGATTGCAGCACCCAGATGTAATGACTTCCTCTCCCCAAATGCGCCACGAATGCACCGCTTGTCTGCCACATATCCCTATTACCCCTGTTCTATTTTCAAATGAAGGCGGTTCGACGACAGGCCCAGGCACTTTGGCACTTTGTCATTTTTCCGCGAGGGAATATCCGCACGGCACTTCTGCCGCGTCTTGAACAAGGCTGAAACGCTTTCCCCTCAGATAAGAGAGTTTCCTGTCACCAGACACCGCAAGTGGCCCAGCCACACGTCGATCAAGAGGCACTGGCTCCTACGCCTACCGACGCAATTAACAACGGACGGTCTCTCAAGAGTCTTCAGTGGCGGATCTGCTGGTGGCGGTGAGCCATCGGTCGACACCTGAGTGTCTCAAGAGGACAAGGGCGAGAGTCATCGCCCAAACAAAAGAGCAGGGACATGTACATGTGAAATCGGCCCATTCTCTCGAGCTAAGGCACCAGCAAATACAAAATTTCCATGTACTAGTTCGCACTGGAGTTTTGCTCCCACCCCGCCGTGAGCCAAGTCTGCCTAGCGCGTGGTACCTGGCTTGGCTGAAATAATACTCGGTCCACACCTCTTATCGCGAGCCACGCGCACTTGGCCATACAGTAGTTGAGGCTTTTCCCTTGCTCATGGACCCACATCGGCGCTTCTTCCGAAGTGAGATAAGGCAGCTATTCGGGTCAGAGACTCCGACGAGCTAGAATTGAAGCAGGAGTGAACAACATGATCTGACCCGTGGCCGCTGTGTGCCTGCATGGACGAGAAGGCCCTCTTGTTCCTGAGCTCAATCGCTTGGATCGAGCATGTCGGTGTGCATGTTGCCGCTGATTGGTGGCGCGCTCTGTGCTTGCAAGGGGTCCCCGTGCACTTCTTCTGCTGCCTTTGACCGGACCCAGTGAAACGAGACCTGCCCGAAAGGTGATAAGAATGCAAAAAGCCGCGAATCGCGATTTCATGTCTTCTCGATCGGTAAGGGCCCCCACGGAGAGATCCAAGGGATGCGAAAGTCCTGACCCGAATTGGCGAGACGCCGGCAGTCTGGCAAATGACCATCCTTTGCATTCTCCTGGCAGCGCCTGTCCGCGCAACCACATTACGCTGTAGAGAGCATCCTCCTCGGCCGTCGCAACTTTGCTTTTGTGTGAACAGATGCGAAAGCGCTTTGATCCCCCTTTTCCTCGGTTTTTGCATGGCATACAGGCTTTTTCGCTCCGTACGTTAGAAACAAAATCCTGCCCGAGTCGACGTCGGTTTCAGTCGCTTGCCTCTTCTCTTCGCCCCAAAACCCGGTCCACACCAGTCTCCACTGCTCTGAAAGACTTCTCTGCCGTATTGCGAGACGTCAATCGACAAGCTCTCCTGCGCCAGACACGAGTAAGCAATGTTGTCACCGACGAGCAAGGACTCAATAGCTGTTCGTTGCCTATTTCTCCTGAAAACGTAAGCAAGTTGAATACATCCCCTTCCAGTAGCGACTTCGCTACCTGGCCTGCAAGATTTTGTACCGTAGTGTGGACCGGCAATGACGATCACCTCGAAGGCCAGATCTTTGCCGTGACCAAAAGTAATGCATCAATTCGTAGTGCCGTGACGGAAGCTTAGGGTGATAAATCTTCCATCGTCGAAATCGAAGCAATGTAGAGAAGGTTGGATGTGATATTGTGATTAGGAGCCAACAAACGGGTTAGAAAGATGGTAAAGCATACAGTCACACAAATTCTGAACACGGTAGCATTGAACCAAGTCATCATTGGAAGGCAGGTCACTTTTCGATGGCGAAGGCCTGGCAGTCGGCGAGCGGCAGTCAATCTTAATCGGTAGTGCCTGCAATGTCGACCTCTGCTGGGTGTAAAGGCGTAGAGTCCAATGCTTGCTGAAGCTTGACTTGGAACCATCCACCCTCTTACCGGTTGCATTCCACAATGGCGCAACGTCTCGTTATACTCTTTCCAGAAACTACGACGTTCACAACGAAGGCATTGCGAGCAACCCTCTTGAAGCACGCTCACACCATATGATGGCAGTGGGTGCAGGAGTGGCGTCTTGGACCTCTTCTATTCAAGGGATGGCATTTAAATAGGATCTGCTCTGTCACACGATGCCTGCATCCCCGCAATCTTCAGGGTGTTGGGACCTTCTATCTCTCGTTGGGCTTCCCCGCATTTGGATTGGCAGATTGACGATCATTCCGGTACCGCAGGCTACCGGATCGTACTTGCAATCTCTCAACGGTGAGGGGCAGTGCCTCGGCGGTCTCTGCCTCCCCACTCATTCAATTAATTCGTCTTAGACAATACAGGAGGGGTAGTGGAGTTTTGTTTCGAATATCACAGAATTCTTTCATTTTTCTTGATTCCTCATAGGCAAATTGCCGGACATAGAGAAGTAAAGTCCACCGACTCTGGCACTCGGCTGCTCTGTCCCGAACGGGTCGGTCAGCTTTGGGGTGGGTCCTGCATGAATCTACATTGCAGGCACGAAGACAGTGAGAGTAAGAGTACTCCGACACGCGTCACTCTTGACGGTGGTGGTGTGCTTGACAGGGCAATCTTCCTCTCCGCCATCACCACCACCCATCATTACATCACGATAGGGACGCACGCGTGTGCATGCGATGCATCCGTGAAAAAAAGTCGAGACCACCCCTCCTGATTGTCCACATTCGGCGAGGCGCGTGCGACGGAACAAATAAGAGTAAAGCGACGCTGAGGTGGAGGATCCAAGAAATAGAGGGCAAGTCCAGCGCTTGACCGAACGACCCGACGGCGCGATCTTCTTGGCTTTTTCCTTCTCTCTGTCCGTCGGCGCCTTGTCCAACGTGCACCACCTACAACCGAGCCCTCTGACCGACACCAAGAGTCATGAGCATGGCAGCAGTATAGCAAGCCAAGCGAGCGAGCAATCGACCGCACAAGCCAAGAGGAGCGGAGGAGGGGGGTGGCCGCAATGACCTCGTTGCTGTCGCCCTTTAACTTTGGGCAAAAGTACGCCTACTTCCATGCCAAGATCACGATCCACGAGCTGGCCAGCGTCCCCCTCGTCTCGGGCCGATTCCAGGCCAAATGGCGCATCAAGAACGTGTACGGCCTACAGAGCCTGCCCGTCGCCGCTCAGGCGCATCATTTGATGCACAGCGCCGCGCACAGCAATCATCACACAGGCGAGCAGGCGGGTAAGCCAGAGGATGGACCGAAGAGAAGACAGTCGCTGCGGAGGTCTCAGAACGGCAGTGTGAACAACCAGCCTGATGAAGATGGCGACAACGACGAGAACAGCAACGAGAATGACGGAACGGCAGATTTGCAGGCGGACGATGAGGGCAAGGGGAGTGTAAACGAGACAGCGCCCCTAAAAAAAAGTTTTCCGGTAAAGAGCTCAGGCGAGGCCGATGGCGAAGATGAAGGCGCTCGACAAGGAGCCAATGGCGAAGATCAAGAGCAAGTGGAAGGCACCAAGGGGACGCACCACCGTGGAGCACGTTTCTTCTCGGGAGTCAAGGGCGCATTTCGAAGCCGCAAAGCCAGCACGACGAGCAAAAGGAGCGAGGATTCGATACCCTCGCAACTTCGTAAGAGCACCGACACAAGGGCAGACGAGCAGTCTGACTCGCTGCAGACGCCCGACGACTCGTTTGGAAGGGCGAAAGCAAAGAGAATCAGAACGCCATCGACCAATGGTCATGCTCTTTCTCCCTCCTCCGCTGGCGCGACACTCGAGGATGAAGACGAACCGATATCGTCGACTACCGTGGCACGTGGGCCAAGCAGCGCCAAGGGAAAAGAGAAGGAGCCGACGTCCGAGGGCAGCACCGATCAAACAAGCTTGCACTTCCACGCTGAGCCGAAGGGCAGCACGACGAGCGAGAGGGTCAAAGAGCACGTCGTGCACTGGGAACGCGAGCTCGAAGTCGGTCTTCGGATCGCAGTCGATAAGCCCAGAGGTGCAGGAAGCAGTGGCACAGGTGCTTCGATGTCCGCTGCTGCTCCTTCCAGCAACACCAATGCCTCTTCCTCGGCCAGCGTCTACTCTGCCTCTTCTTCGGGTGAGGGCGCACGGCATCAAACCAGCAACCGTGACCTTCGCGAAAGGCATGATGCTGATCGGGAGAAGGAACAGCAGCTGGCCGATGCATGGGGCGTCCTGGCTCAGGCCGAGCTCAAGATCAACGTCAACAGCAACATTCACACCGACGCATCGGGACCCAACCACGAATCTCACTCGAGACTCGGTCAGGTGACTATCAATTTGGCAGAGTTTGCCCCTCACCCGCACAACCACCATCACCACCATCATCACCATCAACACCATCATCATCATCATCACCCTCACCATCAGCAAGGCAAGGGTAGCCAAATTCACAGCCACCCGCCTTCCAAGAGGAGCGAGACGAGACGCTACCTGCTCAACGACAGCAAGACGAATGCGACGCTTAAATTGACCATCGAAATGACGCATGTAGCCGGGGCAAGGGAGTACTTCGTGCCCTCGATCAGGCAAGGTCTTCTCGTTGGCAACATGGCCGCCCATGCGCTTGAAGCCGGACCGATGAACAATTCGTCGAGCAAGGGCAGCAGCAGCGCCAGCTCCGATAATGGTAGCACTGTCCACGACGACGGTGGTGATCGTCAATCAGTGGGCTCGAGGACAAGGAATAACGGGAGCGCCGCGTCCCTCGGCAACCCCATGGCCAATTGGCCCCCAGACAGTGTGGCACGGCACTCGAGAATCCCTGCTCAGAATCTCAAGACAGAGCTGTCTCACAAGGACGCCGCCCGAGCAGTGCAGGAGGGAGGAGGCGGTGGGAGGTTGGCCTTCTCCTTCTCCGGGGGAGCGCATCACGACCGAGCTCCAGAAGATGTCGTCGCTGGCATCTTTGATGGCTCCTCGTCATCTTGGGATACCAACGCCAGCCTCATGTTGACCCCGACAGTCAGCCGCGCGGAAAAGGTAAAGCACGGCGCGTCAGCCGGTCGCAAGCAAGCCGCGGGCGACAAGAAGTCCACAAGGCCAGGGATGTCCTCGAGGCCAAGCACGGCAACGAGCCTGCACAGCAACAGTAGCAACAGCAATAGCAACAGCACCAGCAACAAAAACAGCAGCAATCGTACCGCCGACAAAGCTGATATTCGCAGCCACGAAGCCCTCGGTGGGGAGAAGCCAGAGCACTACGACTCCGTTCGCCCCGCCCTGTCCGCAGAACACGGCTCTCAGGCAGCTGGGCAGATCCCCACGAGATTCTCGGCCAAAGTGACTTCTCCCTCTGCCGGTCCCGGTGTCGACATTGACAGCGCGTGGCGACCTACGGAGGCTTCGAAGTCCGAAACCTCTAGCATGATGCGCGGTGATTCAGCGTCTTCGTCCAAGAAGCAGAGCTCCCCATCGCCCAGCCAGGCTCAGCCGCCGAGGAATCACAGCAGGAGCTCTTCGGCCTCGACAATGAAGAGTATTCTGCGATCTGGCATCACGCCGGCGCAGTCGAGCGAATCGTCGCCCGTGTCAAGGGGCAATCTCCAAGAGCCTGCCGGCGCTACCTCGGGCGGAGCGGGGTCCGGCAGCGCCAAGAGCAGCACTGGCAGCAGCAGCGGGGATCGCCCCGGCATTCACCGGCGCACGTCTTTGCACTCTCGACCAACCTCGGTCCACTGGGACCCGAGCATTCAGCACCCTAGCGCCGTCTCAACGGCATCAGATCCTGCAAGTGGTCAGCCCCCGTCGCCGGCATCGCAACAGCAGCCAGCACCGGCATGGCTGCAGGCCAACACGAGCAGAGAGCCCCTTGTAGTCCCGCCCGTTCCCCGAATGATCACCGCTTCCCCTTCGTCGCTAGGCGGTACTTCCTCTTCGAGATCTCCCTCTGCAAAGGCATCGAGCAGTAACGTCCAGTCATCGCTGTCGACGTCTTCGACTCTCCCTTCTGTTCCCTCTGACTCCGAGCTCAGCCTGCCTGCTCTAGTCGACGACAACGAGTCGGAGGGCAAGAGAAGAGACAGCAGCTACGACGAGGTCGGATTGGGATTATCTGAGGCGATGCCTCCAAAGACACCTCCCGACGTTGCTCGCAAGCTTGCCCTGCTGATGCCCAGGGCTTCAGCCCTTTCAAACCAGGATCAGCACGCCTGTGTGACCGCGACGGGAGAGAAAGTGACCGAAGCGAGCAGCCACAGCAGCGGCAGACCAGACGAAGGTGGCCGCCACCGCGTCATTAAAGGCACTGTGGGTTTGTCAAAGGACGAGGCCAAGCGTGAAGGATACCGGGGCGTCGGATGGGGGACACACTCGGCCCTCGGCATCGATGCAAGCTTCTGGAATGCGTCCGGCTTCGCATACACACCTGCTGGTGACGATGCTGCTCTCACCGGCGCCACGACGGCCCCAGCTACTGCTGCGAGCGACTGAAGGTGCATTCCAGCTGGCAAGAAGGCTCACCTTCCTCCTATCTTTTCTCTTCTTTTCTTCTTTGCAATTGCTACTCAACCTAGACTTCCTTCGTACTAAGCTATGGAACTGCTCTGTATCTCTCAAGGCTCCTTTACGTACAGTACCGTGATATCTCTCCCTTCACTTAGACCTACCCCTCTCTCTTTTCGCTTTACTATTCTACATCACTTGCACTGCGCCGTCCCATGCCCTTCCGCCATGTGTTGTCACATAGTAGCAAATAGCATCTCAAGCATCCGTTTCGCTCCTCTTTCTTGTCGCTATATTCCCTAATACATTTCGGTCACCAACGTGCGTCTCTCTTTGGCTTGGCTTTATTTTGTGAGTGGCTGTTGAAATATACAGTTACGGTACGTGGAATGAGACTTTCGCCACAACGTCATGACGTCGCCTTAATCGCTAGAGGTGACAATAGGTCCGATGATGATTTTCTCCCGCCCCCCATCACTGCCTCCTTCTGGACACGCATAGGTTCCTGACCTGACCCGTGAGCTAGCGCTCCCTACTTACGCAATCTTGGGCGCCAGGCAGCTACTGGCTTTCTTGAACCTTCTACTCTGCCTCGCCGTCTTCTTAAGCAGCTTCACGGCTCCCATGCAGACGGTGCCGTTTTCGCTTGCAGGTCCTTCTCCAAAGCCGAACGACATGACAACGTATTCTTCTTCACCGGCCCCGACTGATGCACCTCGGTCATTGCTGTTGCGGCAGGTTGAATGACCGCCTATTGTCTTGCGGGCCTCGATGACGCGCTTGGCAAAGTCGAATCGTGTCTGCATCATTGATGCTGGGGTTCAGCGAGGAGAAGGCATGTCAATTGGAGAGAGACATGCAACAAGTCTCACCTTGACGTTCTCGGGTCTGATAGGAAGATCGGGCGACTCGACGCAGTGTTGCAATATATCAAAGTCCAGGCCGCTGTAGATATCTTGGAGAGCTTTCTCTCCTCTTTTGGTATTCCCGGGGCTCTCAGGGCTCTCGAGGTTCTCGGGGTTCTCGGATCCTTGCTCCGAGGCCTGGCTGTCCTCGACGGTTGCAAAGGCTTGTAATTGTGTGGGAAGATCCTTGACGAGGTAGCGAAGCACAATTTGCTTGAGTGATTTGGCCAGCTCGCTGTACTTTGTGTCTTGCATCGACTTCAAAACACCCAAAAAACGGGGGACATGTTCCGGTTCCAGATGGGAGCTGGCATGGCCGGCTGACCAGGTGCAGATGTCTTCGATGTCGAGGAGACAAGCAGCAGCGAGAAGTGACAGTGCGTTCTTGCTGGTGAGCAATGTCTGAGTTGGGCCGCCGTAGAGATGCCCAAGGACCTGATTTAAAGGTAAGACTTTCCGCACATGGGCTGGCATAGGTGAATACTGACAATACGAAGTGCCTGCAGTGAAAAATGCCAGAAATCGGGATGAGTTGATGTCATGTCGTGTCTTCAAACCGCTCTCAACGTACCTCCCGAGTCACGTATCTGCTTTCGACCTTGACCATGACACTGCAACCCTTCTTTGTGTTTCGAAAGAGGGCATCCAACATGGGGGACCGGGTGATGATGAGGGCATGCAGTAAAAAGGTACAGCGATCGCCATCCTCCAGATCAAAAAGAACATTCACGTCACTGTACGAACACAAAGGCATTCAGCTGGGCGAGATTTGCAACTCGCATCGCCTGCATGGCTGCTCACCTGAGGTAGCCTCTGTGTGCACATCTCGCAGAAGTCAGTGACAACATTCGGAAAGCAGTTCGAAGGACGACGCACTGAAGAAAACAAGTCTGAAAAATAGTGTCATACCTGATCAGTTCCCAACTTCACTCAGAAGTTGAGAGCGGTGCTCACTTTGTAGAGGTAATCTGTGATCGACTCGGAGCTATTGTGCGCAAATCCCTTGTCTGCCGTAGGTGGGCCAAAGAGCGAAGCCGATGAGGCGACCGTCGAAACGCCGTCGCTCGGTGTTTCACCGGACGCTATTGTGCCTTCAGATGAAGCCCTCTTCATGTGGCCGTTCGTTAGCTATTGGGGAAACTGAGTTGAGCTTGGTGGTCCCGAATCGCTGCGATAGACTATGTGCACCTTGCTGCTGGCAGAACTCATCTTACAAGTAGCAGGATTTTTTTTTTGGATGATAGCTGTCGTGACAAAGTAAGAGCAAGTGGCGGTTGGGGACTCGAGAGCCGCACGCAGGTTAAGTGCAACCAGTCGTTGAACGGTCTCAATGAAGCAGAAATGTACGCCGCTTCTTCGCTTGCCGTCATCCAGCGCCGTCATCCAGCGCCGCTCGGCTTTCGAGGACAGGGCCTTCGACGGTTTAGAGCTCACTGCTTAGTCATCAAAGTCATTCGCGTCCTTCCTTTTTTTTTCCTCCTTGGTGACGGCAACATCGGTCTTCGACTTTATCATCTCACCTGCTCCCTTGCTTACCTCTCACGCAAACGCATAGATACACATTACATAATGAGCGATTGGGGTGAGTCTTGCTTCCCTTGAGAGTAAAAGGGCGTCCAAAAGTGGTTCTGAGACGTGCAACAGACGCAGACTCGGACGAAGGCGCTCCTTCGGCGCCTGCGCCCAAGGTTGCTCCTCCCAAACCCGCATTTGGACGACGAAAGTTCGAAGATGAAGATGTCGAGGAGGAGATTCAGGTATGTGTGCTCCGTACATCTCAAGCAGCGATGCACGAGAGAGCCTCACACCCTCTTCGTGCAACAGGACGACTGGGAGGAGGAAGAAGTGGCGCCGGCGAAGCCCGACGTGTCGCACCTGAACCCAATCAAGAAGAAGACGTCGGTCAAGCAAAAGATCAAGGAAAAGGAGGAGGAGGAGCGTCGACGCGCTGAGCTCGGTCTCGATGTAAGTTTGCCCGACCTGCGCACCCCTGAAGAGGCTCTTGTCATTGACTCTTGTACTTACAGTCTGAAGAGGACGAGGACGAAGACGAAGACCCACTCGAGCGGAAAAGAAGGGAGAAGGAGGCGCAGATCAAGGCTGACGTTGAGAATGCTGCAAACCTCCTGGGAACGAGCAAGATTTCTAATGGTGAGGCTCATATTAAGCATCTTACCATGAGATCAAATCAAGATCGCTGAGCGTAGAATCCTGCAGATGAGAGCGTTGCCTCGCTCAGATCAATGAAACCAAGCAGCAAGGAGGACTGGGAGTCATACGCCCAACAGCTTTGGAACCAGCTGCTGAAATCTCAGAGCTCCCGGCCTGGATTTGACAAGCACTTTGTCCCGGCGCTGTGCAACGTCGTCTCGGAGCCTTTGCGCGACGTCGACTGTAGGCTCATGAGTTCGCGCTGGAGAGAGCTAGGCGAGAAGAAGGGAAAGGTCGAGAAGGAAAAGAAGGCGAGCGGGGGAAAGAAGAAGGCAGAAAAGCCAAAGCAAGTCGGAACGGCCAGTGCAAAGAACAAGTGAGTCGCCTTGCCAGGAGCCTGCATTCACAGACTCATCCCTGACGAAAAAATCGCCTTGCTTTGCGATCACTACCAACTTTGCAGCATCGACACCAGGGCGTGTGAGTGCAAACTGTTCGTTCTTCTGCCTCGATAGTCGCTGATGTACTTCCTCTTCATAGACGGCGACGAAGCCCTCGACGATGGCGACGATCTCGATTTTATGTAGAATTTGTCCCCCCTCCCCCTTCTCTCCTTCGCTGTTCAGCGCCCTCACTTAGAGTCAGTCCCTCGGGAATAATGCAACGAGCAGCAAAGTCACCTTCAATGTGCGCCTCTCTTTTCTTCATGAGAAAGTGAGAGCTTCTCACAGTTACGTTACTTTCAAGTGACCGAGAGATCTCAGGCTAGAATGGCTCCTTCCTTCACAACAAAATAATTGCTTGTCCTCTCGTGGTACCTAGCTGTAACATCACCAACAGTGGAAGGGACAGGAAATTGATGGAAAGGGGACAAAGGAATTCAAAGGGCGAGGGTTATAAATAAGTTAATGAGGCTACGGTGCTTATCCTAAGACTGAGACTGGCTACCGAGGTCGAGAAGCATCTCTGCCGCCAGTCGATCTCGATCCGAGGAATGATGAGCGGCCTTGGAAGGCGATGACTTTGCAGAGTTGGTCCTCGAAGTAGCCGATCCAAGCGCTTTCCTGTCACTGCTGTTTTTCGCGTTCTTTCTCTTCTTACCGGGCGAAGAAGTGGCAAAGAGGGGTGGGGAAGACGTCGACGAAGGGGAAGATAGTCTCTTCTTGCTGTTGAATGAGCGGCGCAGACTTCCCTCTTCCTCCTCATCTGAACCAAAGAAGCCCGAGTCATCGTGCTTGCCTGGGCTATGTCCGGCTACAGCGAGCTGACCAGCACCAAGGCTCGTACGTCCGGTCGTTAGCGAGGTCAATGGTGCAGCCTTATCGGGGCTGCGCTCGGCCGTCCACCGATCCGTCCAGTCATCACTTCCGTCAGACCTCTGCGACGAGTTCAGGCTCGGGATGTTCTCAGCATCCTCTACCTCGGCGTCGTCTGCTGCGAGACCGAAGCGAGGCTCTTGTGCGGTCGTGTGTGCGGGTAATGCTCCGAAGCGAGACGGTTGGCTGTTTGCGTAGGAATTTCTGAGCACGCCAAAGACCGAACTCTGAGACCTTGCAAAGCCAAGTGGCGCGGTTGCTGCGTTCGCATTGGCGTCACCCCGACTGTGGGAGTAGCGCATCGAAAGAGGTGGTGTGGAGTGGAAGATCTCGGAGCGGCCAGGGTATAAGAAGGAGGAAGGCCGGGGTGCTCCAAGGGCGCCAGGTCGTCTCTCCGACGAAGGTGCTTGCTGGGGTTGATACAGCGAGGCAGTGGAAGAGAGCGACCTTGTGTACGTACCCGTCAACCGTAAAGCCTGCTGTTCGTTCATCCGCGACAGCGACGTGGAGCGGGCCAGGCTGTTGCCCGAGAGGGCTCCCATCGCATGGCGCCGATCGTCCGGGATACCGTATAATCGAGCTTTTCCCGCATCCTTCTGCTGCTTCCCGTCGAGCCTTGCGTTCTGCAGAGCATGCTGCTGAGGTGAACTGGCGGCCCTGACATGCTGGTACCTGTTTGTTTTGCGATCCTGCGCCTTCGACGGAATCGCCTTGCGTTCGGTCAGACGACTCTCCACGACGCTGCCCCAGGATGGAGAGCGAGCAAGCGCCCTGTCGCGGTTGGCTGCCATGTCGAGGGTCGGCAAATGAGAAGACTGAATCAGAGAGTTGTCCATGCTCCTGTATCCGCGAGATTGCGAGGCGGACTTCCTGAAAGACGGCAACACCATCTTGCGCGAGCGTTGCTTCAAGACGTTGCGCTGATCTTGTCGACACGGCTTGGCCAAGCCCAAGGCCACGCGAGCATCGGTGATCCAACTCTCTTTATTGCCCTGGTGCTGCTCCATCTTGGCTTTGAGCTTTGCAGCTCGCCTGTTGGCAATGATGCGCAGCGTTGTCTCTTCATCCTCTTCGTCGACTCGAGGTGCACGGGCCTCCGTTTGTCCCAGGTTATCTTCCTCATTGTGGACACCATCGCTGCCCGACATGGCGCTGCTGCTGCTGCTCTCCATTCGCTGCCACATCGCCGCCTCTTTGCGTTTGGCTTGATCCTCATCTGCTTTGTCACCCAACGAGATGGAGGTGAGGCCATGTCGACGAAGGGCTTCCGCCAAAGATGAAGGCATGCGCAGTCTGGCAAGTCTCTTATCGACTGCTGATGTCGCACTAGCCAGCGTCGCTTCTTTGGCGTCAGTCATCGCAGGCTCCGCATCGATGAGAAGTGTGGCTTGGCCATCGGAGCCCGTCCGCAGGGCGACCTCGCTGTTGGTCCTCGGCCGGCCATTGACTCGACAGTTCCCCGAGCTATCCTCACAAGCTTCCATTAAAGATTGATTGGCGACAGGCCGCAGCACAGAGGCACTGGCACTGCGGTGTAGAGTAGGGCGATGGTGCATACCCATCGAACGCTGCAGTGATGCGCTGTTCCCGCTTCTCGGGCGACCAAGGATTAAGTCTCGCAGGTCCTTCCGTGGGGTGGACGTCACTGCTTCGGGGGATTGGCCAGGACCAGACGCGGCTCCGTCAGCACAGAAATGACTGCCAACGAGTTTGGCCATGGCAGGCATCGATGCAATGCGACTGAGCTTGTGACCTGTCCGGGCCTGAAAGGCGTCCAAGAGCGGTAGAGGCCGGCTCGGCGCCTCTCGCTGTGGCGAAGCACGAGGCGACTGAGATCCTTCACGATGACTATCGGCATCGGGGTTCGACTTGCCGGCAAAGTCGTCCAGACTGGGCCATCTTCTAAAGGAAGAAACTTCACGAAGTTCGGGCTCTTCGCTCTCATAGCGCTTGGCAACGACGGTGGCGCCTCTGATGCCCTCTACCCCGCCAAACCTTGACGCCCTCTTCTTGACTGCCTGGCGCTTATTTTGGAACCAGATAGAAACCGATCTGTGTTCGACGTCATATGAGTGAAAAGAATCTTTCTCCAGTCTCTGCCGAAACATTAGAGCTCACCTAACGCTCATATTCAGCTTCGCAGCTAATTGCTGTCGGGTGTCTGCGTCAGGAAACTGTGTCTGGGCAAAGACGGAAGCCAGCTGGCTCGTCTCTTGCTTGTTCATTCTTCTCCGTCGCTTCTTCCCGCCCGCGACAGAGTCATCGACATCGATGCTGCTCGTAGCGAAGCTCGTGCTCATGTCGCCTGCATGTTCCTGGCCTGCCTCCTGGCTCCGATCGTCGTCGTCATCGACCAGCTCGTCCTCGTCCTCCTTGACATCTTCCCAATTGTCACCATGCTCGCTCAGGATCGGTGGAGACGCGTGTCGAGGATCTAACTCGAGTGTCGCTGTCTTCTGGCTCGTTTTTCTTGAGGCCAGCACTGCACCCCAACCGTGGGGCGCGTCGTCGTCGTCATTTTCGTAGCTCACAAGCGGTCGCGACGCGTTGCTGACTTCTTGTTCGCGTCGCCATGGGTCTGCCATTGAGTGGGAGGGCGTATGGAGCTGATGCTGCCCCGGTCCATGCAGTGCTGGACGCGCGTGATCGCGCTCGACATGGCTGGCAACTGGCGTTTGCAGCACACTGGCGTCCCTAGGCGCCACAAGGGGAGATGAGAGCTCCCTGGAATTGGTACGTTGCTCCTTGTGCTGGCTGCTGGCTGGCGAGCTCGATTGGGGCTGATGCAGGTAGGCAGAAAAACTGTCATCGGAGCGTTGCGACTGCGTGCCTGCTCCGTCGGCCTGAGGAGGAGACCGATGGTGGTGACGAGGGAGTTGTTGAGGCGGCTGTGGCTGCTGCTGCTGCTGCTGCTGCTGGCGCTCACTGACAATCCGAGCCAGCCCGTCCTCCTGCCGATGTGTGTTGACTTCCGACACTGCAGCAGCTTCTACTCGAAAGGGAGAAGATCCGAACGCGTCAGAGCCAGACCTTACCGACGACACGTCTTGTTGTCCTCCGGGATGCATATCGGCGACGCGGCAAGTCGAGTCAAGGCTGCAGCCTTCTCTCAGCCAAGTCCAGGGAGTGTGTATAGCTGACGCCTGGGCTCGATCGCATAGACAGGCGCGTTTGCAGGCCCGGGGCGATGGCAAGGGCGATGAGGTCACCCAATGGCCACTATATGCCTGCGATGACCTTTAAGCGATCACTTGGTCACTTGGCGTTGGCGCTGCTTTGCTCCGTCCTAGTCAGTCTCTGAACAAGAAGCCCATTTGGAAAGGTAGACTGATCGCTCACCCTTTTGTCCAAATGTCTTTGCGCAGCGCAAGACAAGAAGAGGAAGATGGCGGAGCTTGTCAGAGGCGAGGATCCACGCTCGGCTCGACCCTTTTTGCTAGTGTTGCGAAGGGCGAACGAGCCTTGCCTAGTTTAGAGATTCTCGCGACGCGGCGTTTCTTCACGTGCGGCTGTCCCATTTAGATTTTGGGCCAGGTCGCTGGCTCAGGTTCACGCTTCCTTCCCACCCTACCCCCAGACGATGACACCGACCTTGCAATGACGATGCGCAAGTTGCTCAATGGTGTCAGCAAGTGCTCCTTGGCTCTCCTGCTGAGCTCTCTCGTCCTTGTTTTTGCGCTTCAACTCTCGGCAAGTACCTATGCCGTAGAGTCGCCGCAATGGATGCCGAGGAGCGAGGACAGTCTCCCTAGAATGCACGAGCGCGACTATGCTCACCTATCGGACCAGTCGCTTTCACTCATTCCTTCGCTTCTCGATCCTCGCCCCATCATCGACCATCGACAAAAGGGGTCGCTGCTCTCGGACATTCTCATCCCCCGCATCCCGGGCAGCAGCAACAATGCAAAGGTACGAGATCGCATCGTACAGCCATTCAAGAAGAACACGAAGTGGACCATCGAGGAGCACAAATTCACGGCAAAGACGCCCGATGGCGATCAAGAGATGACCAACATCATCATTACGCACAACCCTGGTGCACCCAGAAAGTTGATGCTTGCATGCCATCATGACTCCAAAATCACACCCACAGGTTTCATCGGAGCGACTGACAGCGCCGCACCGTGCGCTATCATGATCGACACGGCCCTTTCCTTGACCGAGGCGCTGGAAAGACGGCACGAGAGCTTGAAAAATGGACAGGAATCTGGGGCCAAACGAAGTGAGGAAGCGACGCTGCAGCTCATCTTCTTCGATGGTGAGGAGGCGTACCGCACCTGGACGCACACTGATAGCATTTACGGTAGCAAGTGAGTGGTCGAAACGACTTGAGCGAAGATATTGCCAGCTAATGAATAATGTCTTCCAGAGCACTGGCAGCATCGTGGGCAAAAAGCTTCTTCACACCTGTGATGCCACAAAAGCTCCTGGCCAAGCGACGATATGCCTCTAGCTACCACGTCATTCGAAACATCGACTCGATTGACCACATGGTCCTGCTCGACCTGCTCGGTGCCCCCAACCCCCGTGTACCAAACTACTTTGGAAGCACGACTTGGATGCACGACGAGCTGCGACATATTGAGTCACGCCTGGCTGCCTCCAAAGCCCTCTTTCCAAGGTCGATGGAGCAGCAGCTCGATCTGCCGCCTTTCCATCCCGACTACGCGCGCGCCGATCACAGCGAGAAGTTGCAGGGAGCCGGCGTCGAGCGGCAGCTCTCATTTTTTCCATCGCAAGATCAGACATGGGGAGGCATAGAAGACGACCATTTGCCGTTTCTCGCCAATGGCGTGCCGATCCTTCACCTCATACCCACCCCTTTCCCTGCGGTGTGGCACAAGATGAGCGACGACGCTTCTGCACTCGACTACCCCACGATGCACGCCTGGGCCATGATCATGCGAGCGTTTGTTGCAGAATACCTCGAGCTGGACCTCGCTGGGCCGGCAAAGGTGAGGAGGGAGGTGGAGCCTTTGCAGAAGCGCCTGGCGGGAGCGGCATTTAGGGCAGTGTGCTCGATCCGCCGTCGAGAGGAACTGGTGAGCGTGTAAACCACGATCCTCTTGCCCAGAGCCAACATGCTAATGACCTGGCATGAAATAACAACCAGAAGTGAAGAACAATTTGTACATTAGCATACATTTAGAACGCCGGGGTCTGGTAAGCTCAAAGGAGAAGGTCGGGTGAAGTCTGTGCCTGAGTGACGGTGACGTGTGATGGAAGACCAAAAAAAAAAAAAAAAGATATGGCCCATTGGAAACGCGCACCAGTCAACATCTATACCCTCCATGCTGTCCTTGGCGTTTCAGATACGACTGCGTGTCCCTGTTAATGATTGAAAAGATGATTCGGTTTCCTGACTCCTGGCACCATCTCGAGCACCTCTTCTTCTTTCGTGGCGACTACTGGACAGGTATCCAGCAGCGCGGCTTCATCTTCTTCTCACACCTTTAGCGGATCAGCGGGACTGATCCTTTTACGTACGATCAAACGAGAAATTGGCGCTCTCACGACCCATTAACGCCAAAGTAAAAGGCGATTTAAGCTACGGTGAGTACAATCCTCCTCGTTTACACAGGCGGTAACGCGGGTGGAAGTAGTCTTCGGCAAACATACCCTTAGCTTCTCGGCGCCGAGGAGGACGGAACAACACACATCGTTCGCTCGGGTCCCTTGTTGAACTGCACTGGCTTTCTCATGTGAGTAGCGCATCTTCGACCCGCTTCCTTTGGTGGTCCGACGAGGTCTCGCTCTGGGCTTGATTCTTCGGCGTCGGGCCAGTCACAGCAGCAGCAACGATAACGAGAAAGATCCGTATGCAAGGGAGCGATGCGGAGTTGTGCGTGATAGAGAAGGCCGCGACAAGAGGAGAGATGCGGGGTGCGGGTGAAATGGCATGGACTCGAGGAGGCTCCCGCGCAACATGCAGAGTCGGATCTCATTTGAGCCGCTGGGTTGTGAGCGGGGTAGATGCCAACTCTTGGCTTTCTAGCACTCCACATCCGAGATGAGCGCGGGAGCTGCACCTCCTACTTTCATTGCGGACAGGAGCCCCATCACGCTGGTCAATCTCCTCGTAATGGGGTAATGGGCTAAAGGGGCAGCACAACTCAAGGCAGAGAGAAGTGGGGAGGCCAAGGCTTTATTTCTTGTTTTCCATGGGCCTTCTGCGCACAGGATGCATGCATGTGGGACTGCCCACCTCGTGGCCTCTGCTGCCAGTAGGAGAATGCCCGTCGACGAGTCGGCGCTTTTTATTTTTGGTTTTCTCTCCCCGCCGAGCCTAGCGTCTAGCATTCTGCTTAGGCTCGGCCAGGACTCTTCGAACGCAGCACCGATGCAAAGGAGACTAAAAAAAGAAGTCTAATTTGCTATATGTCTTCGGCATCCTAGTGATGGAACGGCAAGACAACGATTCTAACCCATCAATTTAGCTCACTGGACCCGAACCAGCCTGCTACTGGTTGGCACGGGCCCTCTTGCCGCCTGCAGCTGCTTGATTGCCCTTTGTCCCATCTAACGAGCTCCAAGCTACGGTAGTGCCGGAGCAAGAGACGTGGACGGTTTAGGCGCTTTATATCATAGCCAAGTCCAAGCTTTCTCACACCCACCTCCTTTTCTCACGAATCTCCCTCCTGTGTACCTCTTCGCTCACGCTTCCTCCTCTCGCAGCCCCTTCGTCACCCCTCCTCCTTCTTCTTGGCTCCCCCTTTTCTCTACGACGGCGGTATACGGCGGTATAAACCTGGCTGTGTCCAATCTGCCGTCCCCCTCCTTTCCCCTCGGCCTCCTCCTCTCATTCGCAAGATGGTGAGGATCTTTCGTTTCACGGCACTTGCCGTCGTACTCGGCACCACAGCAGTCCGTGCCCTTCCGCGAGGCAGTCGCTCTGTTGGCTTTGACTTGGACGGTCCCACCCTCTTTCTGGACGAGCGAGGCGACATCGACGGCGATCTCTTTGAAGAGCGAGACGGAGCGCTCCAAAATGCGCGTGTCCTGCTCCGACAAAAACGGCAAAACCCCGCTTTTGACTATGCCAACACAAAGGTCCGCGGCGTGAACATCGGAGGCTGGCTTGTCGCTGAGCCTTGGATTACACCGTCGCTCTTTGACAACACGGGCGATGATCGCGTCATCGACGAGTACACGTTCGGAAAGTACATCAGCGACGTTGGAAGCCGGCTCGAGAGTCACTGGAGCTCCTTCTACTCGGAAAGCGACTTCTCCCAGGTGCGTGCATCTCCAGCTTAGCTGCTTGCCCCTCGCACTGACGATGAGGCACACTTCAGATTGCCGCTGCGGGCCTCAACCATGTACGGATTCCCATTGGCTACTGGGCCATCGACCAGAACCATGGCGTGTACTACCAGGGCAGCCAGCTGTCGCACCTTCAAACGGCCGTTGGGTGGGCTAGAAACCACGGTCTCAAGGTTGTCGTAGACCTGCATGGCGCCCCTCATTCCCAGAATGGCTTTGACAACTCTGGCCGAAAGGGCAGCCCGGACTGGTTCACGAGCGAAGACTACAAGAACCGGGCCAAGGCAGTCATTCAGACGCTGGCAAACACGTTCAAGAATGACGCAGACACCGTCACGGCCATCGAGCTGCTCAACGAGCCCCTGACCACTTCGGGCCCTTCCAATGCCCTCTCGTTTACCCAGGACTACTACAACAATGCCTACTATGCCGCGCGGTACCCTTCTGGGTCGCAGGAGACCAACTTTGCCATTATGATCCATGACGGCTTCCAACCCCTGTCGGCCTGGCAGAACCAGCTGCAGCCGCCCACCTACCAGCAGGTGATCCTGGACACGCACATCTACTACGTCTTTGACAACAACGTCGTCGGCCTCGGCAAGCAGGACAAGCTCAACCAGGTCTGCGGGAAACGGAGCTCGATTGCGCAGAGCCAGCCTCACCTCTACACGGTCGTGGGCGAATGGACTGCCGCGCCGACCGACTGCGCCAAGTACCTCAACGGCCGCGGCGTCGGTGCTCGCTACGACGGCTCCTACCCTGGCTCCTCCTACCACGGCTCGTGCAACGGCAAGACGGGCACCGGCAGCGACTTTACGGACAATTACAAGAACTACCTTGCGTCGATGTTTGACACGCAGCGGAGCGTCTACGAGGCTGGCTCTGGCTGGATCTTTTGGACCTGGAAGACGGAGCAGGCGGCCGACTGGGACTACCAGCGCGGCCTCAAGCTGGGCTTCATCACCAACAACCTCAACCAGAAGGGCTTGGCAAGCTGCTGAGCGAGAGCACACGTACGCCCGCGCGCGACATACAGAGACTTTCGATACTTTCCACACGCTACGACAGCTTAATGACTTCAACTACATGCTTTGTCTGTACGAGGAGATGCAATTTGAAACGCCCGACTTTCTTTAGAGATAACTTGCTTACTTGTTGATTGGTGGTATTGCATCGTCTTGAGGATAGAGAGAGAGAGAGAAGGAAGACAAATGATACAGGAAAAGGGAAAAAAGGGGATAGGGTGTAGCAAGAAAAACTTTCAATGACCTCTGATCCTGCGATGTCGGAGCAGGGCATCCTTTCGACTAAAGACGCTGCCGCATCCATTCTTGCCGTCGCAGCGCCACTCCTGCGTCGCCATGCTCTTGCTCGCATCGACTTCCTTGTGCAGGACGATGCACTGGGCTGCCGTGATGCGTCCCTGGCGGACCAGGTTTGCCTCGTCGCGCGCATGGATTGTCTCACGATGGCGCGCCAGATCGTACGGCCGGTGGAAACCGACCCCGCAGACTTCGCCCGTCAGGGGCGAAACATAGTCGCAGAGCGTCAAATGATTGTTGTTGCTGCTGGCACCGCTCGTCTGATGCTGCTGCTGATGGTGCGCCGTCTGCTGGTGGTGAGAAGACCCAAGGCCCGAGGAGGCGTGTGGGTTGAACGAGAGGTCTTTGTTCGTCGATCGCGGTCGCGCCGGTGCACCTTTTCTCTTGCGACCGCCGCCTCTTCGAACTCGATTCGAAGCGCCTCCGCGCGTCGAGGGCGCCGCCGCTGGTCGCCCGTAGTCTGCATCGTCGTCATCGTCGTCCTCTTCGTCCTCACCCGTCTCCCACTCGTCGCTCTCAAGCGCAGACGACGACGACGCCGCCGAAGAGGAGGAAAACGAGCCTCGCGGTTGGTGTTGATGATGTTGATGATGATGTTGTTGCTGCTGCTGCTGCTGCTGCTGTCCTTTGGCCATCGAGACAGACCCGGGAGCGTTCATGGCAGGCACAACGGGCTTTGCAGAGCTTCGGATCGAGGGGCTCAGGCTCGCATTGTCGTCCAGGCTTTGCTGGCTGTCGCTCTTGGCGTCACTGCCCTTGTGCTGGTGGTGCATCGAGGTCCTTCCCTGATTGTCGTCCGCGTTCGAGTAGAGAGGCACATCGCTGCTCTGGCCTTGACCTGCCAACAGCTGCTGCTGCTGTTGCTGCTGCTGTTGATGCTGCTGTTGGATTCGATGCTCAGGAACCAAAGATGGATGTTGACCGATGCTGAGGCCGCTTTCGTTGCTGTTTGGCATGTAGTTGTAGCCACCAACCATCCTCTGCGAAGGATGCACCTTGCCACCCTGACCTCCTCCAGACTGATAGGAAGACGGAGGCTGGCCGGGCACAGTCTTGCCGCCACTGCGGCGGCGGTTTGGTGCTTCGTCCTCGGACTCGCTCGAGCTGCTCGAGACGACAGAGAAGCGCGGGCCTGACATGTGAGGCGCAGGAGGCTGCCCGCCGCTGCTCGAGGCCCACGGCTGCCAGGTGACGTGGCCCCACTGACCACCATCGGTCGTCGCTGCTTCAAGCCCAGCTGCAACACCAGTCAGCCCAGGCTCATGGCCCTGCTTCATTGCCTGTCCTCCCCTGGGATCCGGCGAGGTAGATGACGAGGACGAGGAAGCGAGGCTCCCGCCCATCGCATCGGCCAAGCTTCCGCCCATCTGCGCACGGAACGGCGATGTCCAGCCTTGACGGCCTCCGCCGCTCCCATCACCCGCTCCTCCGGATCCACCGTCCTGGGGGACATACGGTTTCTCGTCCTCGTCGTCCGTGCTGCTGCCCGTGCTTTCAGAGGGACTGAAGAGGCTTGGAGACGCCTCGCTGCTGTCCTGGCTCTGCAACGAGGCGCTCGTCTCATCTTTGTGCATCTTCTTCTCCTTTTCGCCGTGCGATTGCCGCAAAGTCGCCTCTTGGTCCGCGGCCTTCTTGGCGGCAGAGGGCGGTGTGGCCATCTTGCTCTGTTGCGCAGCCATACTCTGCATCTGAGCCTTTGACGGCCTCGCCGTGTCCGTCCTGTCAAACGGTGCTCGCAGCGGCGGACTCGGCGCCGTGCTCGTCTCTCTGCTCGCACTCGTCGTGCTGCCTCTGCTCCCATCGTCGACGAGGCTCGGTGTGCCCTCGAGTCCGCGCTGCCCTTCCTTTTTGCTGGATGCCGTCTCGATGGACGAAGGGACGGACTGCTGCTGGTGCTGCTGCGCAGCCCTTGCAAGGGCGTCGTGCAGTGCATGCGGCGCGGTCGCAAAGAGGCTCTGCATCGGGGCCGCCCCGGAGGCCTGCATGGCCGATTCGACCGAGTCATAGTCTAAAAAGGCCTCCTGGGGACTGATGGTCAGCCCGCTCCGATCCCTCGTCAGCGGCCGACGGACGGGCTTTTGCGCTCTGGCCCGGTCGACAGCGCGCTGCAGCTCGGTGGAGAAGCGGTTCATGGGCGGTTTGAAGGTAGCACTCTTTCCTGGTTGCTGTTGCTGCAAAGCCGCCGATTGGTCATTTGACGTCTCTTGCCCTTGAATTTGCCCCTGCCCTTGCCCTTGCTGCTGATGCTGCTGCAGGTAGGCGTTGTTGCCATTGCCAAAGAACATGGAGCTGAAGTCGAGCCCTTGGAGGTCAAAGGCGTTGAAGTTGTTCGTCGGTTGGCCGATCCAGCCGGGGTACATGGACCCGCCACTGGGTCCACCGCTGGCCCCTGCCCCACCAACTCCGTTTGGTCCAAATTCAATGCCTCCCATGGGCGCTTCGGATGTGGGCAGGAAGCTGGCATCGAAGCTGCCGCTTCTCCGACGCGGCTGGCCTGGCCTCTTGGGTAGCTGCTGCTGCTTGTTGTTGTTGTTGTTGTTGTTGTTTTCAAGAGCAGTCGGCGTGATGCTTTGGGGTGGAAAGAAGCTGCCTTGGAAGGACGTGTTGCTGCCAGCACCCAGGCCGGGGAAGAGGAGATTCTGCTGGGCCAACGCCGATGGTTGCAGCCCGGCCGCCGAGGTCGACGAGACGGGCGTGGCACCTGCACCTGCACCTGCTGCTGCGGCTGCGGCTGCCACAGCCTGCTCATTCAACGAAGGGGGCAGAGCAGCGCCCTGCTGCTGAATATCCCGCAGCGGGCCTCGGAGTGCCCTCGAATCAACACCGGCCAAATCGGCCTGGACCTGCCTTCTTGCCCGTTCTTGCTCGTCGATCGACGGCTGCGTCAAGGGCTGTTGCGGCTGTGGTGTACGCGCCAATGGAGTCTGAAAGCTGCTGGCCCAGCTCGGTGGTTGTTGTTGTTGTTGTTGTTGTTGTTGTTGTTGTTGTTGTTGTTGTAGCTGCTGCTGTTGTAGCTGCTGCTGTTGTAGTTGCTGCTGTGAATGCTGTGAATGCTGCTGCTGTTCCGTCATTGCCGTGGAAGTGGGGGCGGCCGCCGTCGGAAAGAGGCTTGGCATCATGGCCAAGTCGCCCGCAGTCGCATTGACAGAGGACGACGCCGGCGAGGTAGAGGAGCCGTCATCGCCAAGGGAGAGGCTGTGGATCGGTGGGCCAAATGAGCCGCTGGGAGGATTCCTCGGCGATGTTTCCGACCCGCTCCATCCACCGCTCTCACTGCCCCCACTGAGGCTGTTTCGGCTGCTGGCCTGCTTCTGCTGCTGGACATGCTGGGTGATGCTGCCGCCCTGCCAGCTGCTGCTGTACCCATGGCCCCTCGCCCTCTTGCGATTGGGCGCCGCCGTCGACGAGGCCAGGGTCCCGCTGTTGGGCGGATGGTTGAGGCCAAAGTCGTCGTCCGGTCTCGAAGACGGGCTCGAAAAGGGCGACTCTCCTGCTCCTGCTATTCCTCTCTGGCCTCCTCTGCTCTCTGCTGCGCCCGCTCCAGCACCTGCCACTGTCCCTGTGCCTCGATGGTCCAAAAATGCCGAGGACCGGCCGATGTTTGTGCCCGGGCCTGCTCCTGGCGTCTGCTGCTGGCCATTGCTGCTCCAGTCGTCAAAGAGGATAAAGTCCTGGCCGCTGCCCGTCGCCATCGCCGGTCCCCCCATCGCGGGACCGCTGGCGCCGTTGCCGACCGTGCTCGGGGCCGCCATGGTGGGTGCGCCGCCGCTTGTGCTGCTGGCAGCAGCGGCCATCGACGACGGGTTCGGCGCAGTCGTCGACGCCATGGTTTGCTAGGGAGTATATGCGCCCCTTGTCTCCCTCTCCGTGTCTCTCTCTTTCTCTCTCTCTCTCTCTCTTTTTCCGTGTCTTCGTCTGCCTCTCTTCGTTCCTCCCTTTCCTTTCTCTTCTCTCTCCTCTCTCAGCTTGTCCCTCTATTGGCGGACGCTTGGCTTGGCTTGTCCAGAACCCCGACGAGGGGGGGGGGCCGCTGAGCTTCTATCGATTCGCGTGCGTGCGTGCGCGCGCGTGTGTCGGAGTCGTCTGACAAACCTCTCCCCCCCCTTCTCCCCTTGAGTATATAAAAGTTTCTCCTATCCCCCCCCTTTTCTTCTCCGATTTCCTCCCGTCTTGCTCCTCTGGCTGTCCGACCGCGACGCCCGTCGAGGCTCTGTCGTTGGGCAGTCGTCAATCTAACCCGCAGCCTCGCGCGCGCCTCGACAAAGACTGGCCGAATGTGTGTGTGTGTTTGCCCAAGGAAGCAAGCGTGGGACGGCGGGGCGGCGATCCGCACAAAAGGAAAGAGAAAGAGAGGCGGAGGAGGACAAAAGCAGGCAAGGTGAGAGGGAAGCCCTGCGAAAGAGTATCGAGGATGGGGAGAGCCAGGGGGTGGGGGTGAGAAGTAGTCGCTCTCTCTGACGAGCAAGCGGGCCTGGCTGACTACTGCTAGCCTGCAGCTGCGATATGTGCGTCAGAGTCGCCCGCCCGCGCGCGCGGGAGCCTTTTTGTATAACTCTCCATCGGATCGCACGGCTTACGTGTGGAGGGGGGAGATTGTTTTCTATTCCTGTATTAGACTAATCTCGTCCTCTTTTGAATCTGACCCCTCACTGTCTCATCCAACAATCAGAATCATCATCCATCATCGCATTACTACTACTACTACTCTAGCTGTCCCCTCTTCACTTCTTCTGCTTGAGGAACGGCCGGATCTGTGATTGAGACCTCGAGTCAGCGGCGTGGACTCTGGCGAGCACGGTGCAGAAGAGGGACACTGCGGGCTCTCACCTTTTCGAGCCGCTTGGCAGCCTCCTCGATCTCGTTGTCCTTGCAAAAGGCGAAGCGGAGATAGTTTTCATACAGGTGCGCATTCTTCTTTGAGCTAAAGGCCGTCGCGGGAATGCTTGAGTGAGGGACAGAGAAATGAGGAGGCAAGGGTAAGACTTCAAACCGTGGCAGGAACAGGTGCGAGAACACTCACCAGACGACGTCGCACGTCTTTGCGAGAAAGTAGGCCATCTTGTAGTCCCGAGGCTGGTTCTTGAACGAGTCTGGGTACTCAAAGTCCGCTGGCAGCTCCAGGCTCGAGGCGTCGGCCATGATAAAGTAGGCGCCGTGGGGCACGCTGTAGGGCATGCCGAGCCCGTCGAGGGCCTTCATGAGAATCTCGCGGCGGTCTGCGTACTCTTGGATCTGCTTGGGAAAGTAGCCGTTGTTGGGCGCTTCTTCGAGGCCAATGGCCGCTGTAGAACGGGCTCTGTATCAGCATGATTCGATCTTAGACTTCAATTCCTGTCAAAAGCTCTCACCCGCCTCGGAGCCAGTGGAGTTGCAGCAAAAGACGATTCGGACGTGGGCGGCGAGCGTGGCCTTGATCAGGTGGGGCGCACCCACGCACCAACCGACTCGCCAGCCAGTGCAGGAGAAAGTCTTGCTGTGAGAGATGTCACATCCGTCAGCAAGAGTAACAAAGAGGGGAATCGTCAAAAGAACCACCCACCCGGCGCTGCCCACGGTGATGGTCCGCTCCCACATGCCCTCGAGGCTGGCAATGCGGAGGTGCTCCTGGCCATCAAACGTCAAGCAGTCGTAGACCTCGTCGGCGATGACAAGGAGGTCAAACTCAATGGCGATCGCCGCAAGCTTCTGGATCTCTTGGAGCGTAAAGACCTTTCCGACGGGGTTGTGGGGCGTGTTGACCATGAGCACCTTGACCTTGCCGCTCTTGCACTTTTCCCGCAGCTCGTCAAAGGGAATCTGCCACTCGTTTGAGCTTGGGTTCCTCGCCGATGATGACGACGTCGCCGACGACGACGACGGGGGGATGAGGGGCAGACAGACGGGCACACCGCCGTTGTACATGACCTCGGCCTCGTACTGGTCAAAGAAGGGCTCAAAGAAGATGACCTCGTCGCTGTCATGATTAAGAAAAGTGAGCTCGAGGCATGACGGGGTATAAATGCGCAAGCCGCAACAGGCCACTCACCCAGCCTCGAGAAAGGCAGTGAGGACGCTGTAGATGCCGCCGTTGGCACCTGCCGTGATCTGGACCTCTGTCTCGACGTCGAGGGGCTCCTGCGTCTTTCGCACCTGCGGCAGCTGGCCCTGCGCCGGCGGGGCGTCGTCCTGGGCCGACGCTGGCTTGTGGAAGCTCTTGCCCACGTACTCGGCCACGGCCTTTCTCAGACGGGGCCTCCCCTTTGGGTGGCTGTAGTGGTGGACGTCGACGCGCTCCTCGGCCGCCTTGATAAAGGCATTCTTGACAAACGGCGAGGGCGCCCAGTTCATGAAGCCCTGGCCCAGGTTGACGGCCGTGGGAAAGTTGATGGGGTTGAAGACGGACCAGACGTCGGGGCCCTTGCTGTACTCAAAGTCGATGCGCGAGGCAGGCTCGGCGAAGCGGCAGGCTGGCCTGGCGCCATTGGCGGCGGCGGTGCTCTTCTGGGAGGAGGCAGACATGGCCAATGTCCTGTGCGGCGAGACGACGGAGATAGAGCGTGCAAAGAAGCGGGTCGACGAGAGCCTCAGTGGCATTCAAGAATGCGCTGTCTCTCTGCTAGTGAGGACGATGATGTCTCAGCCAAGGAATGAATGGGGCCACCTTTCTCACGCTCACCGTTCTTTGATGAGAAACAAGCTCGTCGTTCGCAATGTCCGCACTCTCGCGACCGACGACGCATGACTGACGACCAGTCACGCCAGAAGAACGTCGGATTTTTTAATTTTTCACGTGTCCGGCCCCGATCGGCGTCTTTCGGTGATACCGTAGCGCTCCTTCCTCGTCCTCGGAAGCTTCCCTTGCCTCGCTCCCCTTGGCCCTCTAAGCCTGCCCCGCATGACGTGGAAGGAGGCAGAGGAAGGGCAGCGGCGGCGCAGAACAAAGGGTGCACCAGACTACGACCGTGCCGAGTACTGGGACGCAAAATACGCCAACGAAGGCACAGCAGCCCACGCCCACGTCGAATGGCTGGGCTCCGGCGCCGTCATGGCCGCCAAGCTCTTTGCGCACCTGCACGCCTGCTGCTCCCAGCGCACGGTCCTTCACATTGGCCCCGGCACCTCGGGTCTCGTCGAAAGGATCGAGGGCGAGTATGGGCGCCGTGCATGGCCCATCGACTGCATCGTCGTGAGTTCACTTTGGCACCGTTGTCGGCGAGGAGTCTGATCTTTACGGTGTTGTGCGTGTGCGTGTTACGGTCCAGAACGTCGATTTCTCCATCGAGGCCGTCTGCCGCGGACAGGTGCAAAACACAGGTTCCCAATGGGTGCAAGCGGACCTGCGAGACTGGACGAGCGTGCAAACGAGCCTTCTCCCTCTAGTAGAGCGTCACGGGCCCTTTGACGCCATTGTCGACAAGAGCACCAGCGACAGCATCTCGACGTCCGGCCCTTGTCCCTCGTCGTGCCACTTGATCGACGAGCTGGAGCAGCAGCAGGGCCGCGAAATGGATCCCGTCGACGTACTTGCCTGCCACTTGGCCGCCCTCACGCGGCCCGGCGCCCGATGGTTCGTCCAGTCCTACTCTTCCACCCGATTCGATCAAGAAGGAGGAAAAGCTGGGTCAGGCACGACGAGGCCGCCGCCGCACTGGACCGTGCTCGAACGCCAGCCGATCGAGGCACCCCACGAAGGCCCAGGCGCGCCTCCAGTCTATCATTGGCTGTACACGCTCGAGCGCTGTTGAGCGAGAAAAAGGAGAAAAGACATATCAAACAATTGTGCTTCGACGCAACTACATGACAAGAGAGGCAAGGGGGGTGTCCTTTAGATACCCGCACATTGTGGAATAGACAAGAAGGAAAATGACGCTTGGATGTAGGTGAGACCTTTGCCGAAAATTGGAAAGTGCCGGACATGAGTGGATGTTGTGAGAAGAAGAATAAGGTCAAGAGAATAAGAGAAGACGGTGACGGGTGTCTGAGGGAGAGAGAAAGAAGAGAGAATGTCAAATAGTGGGGAGCTTGGACGTAAGTTGCCGTTGATAGTAAGACGTGAGATTAATAAAGAAAAGGAGTAGGTGGTGCGTTCCCTCTCCTTTGGCCCCGATTGGTATTAGAAGGTTAGGTGACTCAGTCGAATGGCGACGACCCGCAGACGAAGGAAAGAGATGGTGTGCTTGTTGGTTGCGCGCCGGCGTAGGAAACCACATAATGGACAAACGAGATCGAGATCGGGAAGGAAGTGGGCGATACGTGGGAGCAAAGACACGAGAGAGAGAGAGTGACGCTTGACTTTTCCCTCGCCGTGGTGTCCCCTCGATTAGGATTGGTATTGCTGCTGGTGATGCGGGTGTGCGTACGTCGACATGCCGGGATGCTGGCCGGTCGACGGAGTGCGGGCCGGAGGCGGACTAAACGGCACGTTGGCATCCCAACAGGGATTAAAGGCGTCAGCCTGATGAGAGGGATAGGTCTCTGGCATGGATGCAGGGTTGTGATTATTCTTGGCGAATGCGGGCAACTGGTTGTTAGACATGGGCCGGTATCCATAGGCGGTCGTCTGTGGGAAACCGGCAGGAGGTGGGGGCAGGACAGCGCCGCCGTTCGCACCAAGGTCCATCGAAGACATCATGGCGTTCAGATCGAGACCAGGCGCTTGGCCGCCGAGGTAGGCGGGGGCGGGGAATCCAGCGGGCATGAGGCCGGAGCCAGAGGTAGCATCGAAAGCGGGCGCACCAGCGTGAGCTCGCATGCCGAGCTCCTCCATCAACCTCCTGTAGGCTGGCACACCCGCCAGCTTGTGGCTGGTGACAATCTTCTTGACCTGCTCCACGTAGCGCGGCTTCTCGGGCGACTCCAAGCTGGACAGAATCTTGGTGACAAAGCCAGAGCCATGGAGCTGGTCGGTGAGGACCTCTTCCAGCATCTTGTCCTTTGGCGAATCAAAGAGGGCGCTCAGGATCGTCTCGCTCGCTTCGGGCTCCACCTTTTGAAGAACGACTTTAAGGACCGACTGGGACGCGAGCTTGTGCGTGCAGAGCTCGCCGAGGTGAGGCGAGAAGCGCGGCGCCAGCAGCCTGTACCGACCGTTGATGGCCGAGTTGTCGAGGAGCCAGGCTAGCAGGAGGCTGCCGTTGGGGCTCGTCGCCAAGGGTAGGGAATTGAGAATGATGGCAATGGCCACCCGCTTCTTCTGCCTTGGCGTGGGCTCAATCTTGCCCATGAGGCAGCCGCGTATGCTCCTGGCGCCAAAGCGGCCCTGCGCAATCTCCCAGCACCGATCCACCATGGCGTCAAAGACAAAGTCGCTGACGTCACGCCAGCGCAAGCAGCACTGCACCACGTAGTTGCCGTACTGATCCAAGAGGAGCGGGGGCACATATGGCCGCAGGTACTGTGCAATCAACCGGAACTGCTCTGGCGTCTGAGCGCAGTCGATGATCTTCTGGGCCGCCCACGTCCCGTTCTTGTGACATCCAATGGTGGCCAAGTGGGGAGCCAGACGCTGCAGCAATGTATTCTTGACTCCCTCTGAGCAGAATTCAAAGAACTTCTGGACAAGAGTGTTGCCAAGGTAGTCGCTCGCGAGTTCGACGATGCAGTCCAGGTAGTCGCTCGCCAGGGCATCGCAGTCGGCCGGGCCCATCTGGCCATTCTCGATGCTTCTCCGAAGCTCACGCAGCCGGCTCGTGTCGAAACGGCGCGTGATCGAGACATCAGAGACCAGAGGAATCGAGGTGTAGTACGTGGCGGGAGGGCGGTACTCGGAGACACTTGCCACATCGGCCTCGATGTCCGCTTCGGCCTCGCCCTCGCTCATTTGGCGCATGAGCAGCTGCAAGTCCGTCACACTCGGTCGAGGTACCATTTGCGGAGGAAGAGGCACGCCGCCCTTGTCGCTACTGGGCACAATACTGCTCGACGAGCTGGTGCCGGTCAGCGAGCCGGTGCGGACGTGGATACCCGTGGGCGAGTCCGTCCGACTTTGCTTGCCACTTCCGTTGCCTCCTTCGATTTGTGATTGTTGTTGTTGTTGTTGTTGCTGCTGCTGCTGCTGCTGCTGCTTGTGCTCGTTGTTGAGGAGATGCAGCACGAGATTACTTCGATAGTCCTCTAGACGACCACCCTGAATCTGCTGCTCTGTCGAAATGCCCGCGTTGGCTGCGCCTTTGACTTCGGCCAGTGCATCGACGGCAGCCTGGTACGCCTGCAAGACGCTGTCGACATTCTGGGATGGGTACTGCTCCTGATTCTTGGAGGGCACCTTTGCGAAGCCAATCTTCATCGGCCCAACTTCCGTGCCCAGAGGGTCTCTGCCTTGGAGCATTTTTCGCGCTCGGATGGCATCGTCGAGGCGCTCGTAGTTGATAAAACCGCAGTTCTTGTGGCCGAGCACCCTTGCACTTTCGATGGGACCAAATGGCTGAAAGACGCTGAGCAGGGCTTCTGCCGTCGTCGAGCTGGGAATGCTGCCCACCCACAAGGCCCTTGTCGGCTGGCTGCCCTCGGAGGCACCAGGGGTCATGGGCTGAGAGCTGGGCATGCTGTCAAAGCGCGGCGACGAAGAAGACGTCCGCTCCAGCGAGGCAGCAGAGACGGGCACACCATTGCTCGACGAGGGCGCGACGGGCACCAGGTCAGCCTTGCCAAAGCCGATGCGGACCGTGCCGCTGATGCCAGTGCCCATCGAGCCGAGTCGGCCTCCAAGCCGGTTGAGAACATCGTCGCGCGCCCTGATGGCATCGCTCATCTCGACAAAGTTGACGAAGCCGCACTCCTTTTCGGGCAGCAGGCGCAACGACTCAATGGCACCATAGGGCGCAAAGGCGCTCATCAGGTCCTGGCCCGTCGTAGCAGCGTGCAGATTGCCGATCCAGAGACTCCTGGTGGGTGCAAAGGACTGCGACGTGCGCTCGCTCGGATTCAGCGTCTGTCTGCTGCCCTCGGACGTGGCATCGCTGCCGCTGCCAGGCCCGAGGATCGCTGGGGTCGAGGGCGACGTGTTCTGGCGCGTAGACGAGGGCGAGTACATGGGCGAGATGGGCTGCACATGCGCCGGAGGAGGCGGCGGGGTGGAGACATTGACATGGGGGAATCCTTCGAGGGGCGCATACTGCGGATTGCTCGACGAGCCGGCGATGCTGGCGAGGAGCTGCTGCACCTCGGGCGTGGCCGTGTTGAGGCCATTGGCCTGGAGCATCCTGACGAGCTCTTGTTGAGCCCGCTGGCGGCCACCTGGGCCAGGCATCGCGGCCACGGTCCCTGCCCGATTGCGGCCAGCCATGCCTGCTGCTGGCCCTCCCACACCGTTCAACCTTGCCGCCTGGGTGACCGGATGGCCTGTGACGGCGGCAATGGTGGCCGCCACCTGCTGTGGGTCCAGGCCGATTTCCAGCGCATAGGCTGCGATATTCTCGTCGTACGACGACGTCGCGCTCCTGGTTCCCTCGGAGTGGACGTCGCTAGTGTGGTCGTAGTGGCTGTGGTGGTTGAGGTTACTATGATGGTCTTGAGGACGCAGACGGTGCTGGCGATGGGCAAAGTGATCGTCGATGGCAGCATTGAAGCCGTTGGTGGAGAGGGTGAGGCCATTGCGGTCGGTGCGCGGGCGTGAAGTTGAGGCCAGAGTGCTGGCACGGTTGCGGTGGAGACCAAAGCCACTGGCCATCGAGGGCCTGCTCGTGTACAGGGCGTCTTCGTCGTGCCGGACCGAGTCGATGCCGCTGCTGGTGGTGCCAGTGGTGGAGGAGCCTGCGAGGCCGAGGTAGTCGAGCGTCTGGACGCCGCCCTCGGGGCTGTCGGGGTGGTCGTCGTGAGAAAAGTGCAAGCGACTGCTGGACCTGCTGGCGCCAGCACTGCTGCTGTTGTGCGCTCCAAGGCGGCTGTTGCTGCGTCCCACGGCCGTCGAGCTCCGGTCGTCATCCTCGGGCCAGGTCGAGAAGAGCGAGGGTCCAAAGGCGCTGTTTCCCAGCCCAGGGAGCGCGCTGGCCAGACTGCCCGACCTCAATCGCTGGGCGGCAGAGGTGCTTGATTGCTGGTGATGGAACGACTCTGAAGACAGGAGTCTGTTGGGCGTCTTTGATCCGTGTCCGTACCCGTCATCATTGATCGAGGAGAGCCTAGCCAGACCGGTCATGAATGCGCCGCCAGCACCAGGACCAGCACCGGTACCACTGCCGCCGCCACCACCACCACCACCACCACCACCGAGAGAGATCGCATGGTTGGAAGAGGATGCCGAAGCAGAACCACTGCGGGAGCGCGCATTGGAGAACTCGTCCGAGAGACTCGTGTCTGAGGCCATGGAGCCGAGCCTGCTGGCCAGCGGACTGGCAGAGACCCGAGACGACGACGAGGATTGCGAGCCGGCGCCACTCGAGTTCCAGGATCTTTGGTCTCGAAGGTGGTTTGTATGCGGCGGCAAGGGATCGCCAATGGCCCCACTTGCGCCTCCTGCTTGTGCTCCATCTCCTGACGATCCTCCTCCTTCTGCGACCCACGACGAGGGCAGCGTGCCAGCCCGCGCCCGTCCCTTCAGGAGTCTGGAGCCATTTGCAGACGAAGGTGGGGAGATGGCACCGACCGGTGGATTGGGCGACGTCGACAGCTGGTAGGGCTGCATCGAGATGCCAGTCTGCTCGGCCGTCGTTGCGCCGTCGCGAAGAGCCGGAGGAAGATAAGGCGAGGGTGCAAGACTGATTCCTTCGTCTGCTTGTATCTCACGAGCTCTGTTGGGTGGGTACGTGGTCAGCCTTTATTTCTCTGCGATTTCGAAGGCGTGGAACCAAAGAATGCCTACCTTCTCGAGAAAATGGGCGGCGTGGACCGAGGCGTGTCTGCACCTTGCGCTGCCGAGGAGCTGCTGCAGCTCGACTTGGGCCGGCCTGTGGAGATTGGGGGTGTCAGCGTGGTGAGATTGCGGCCCTTGGCATCAGAGCCGCCAACGAAGACAACGCCTCGACTAGGCTCACCAGACCCCAGGCCGCCACCCGCTGCCAATCCCTGCGAGCTCCGCAGCGCCGCCATCACGCTTCCCCTCTACTCCAAATTCCAGAATCTAATTGCGTCTGCCAGCCTCTCGTCGTTATCAAAAGCACCGGTGCAACAGAGGCGCCATTCAAAGCGAGACCTGTAGTGTATCAGAAAGGTGTAGGCGAGAAAAGGGTGCTGTGCAGGTAGTAATTGTCGTCGTTCTCGTCTTCGTCGTCGTCGTTGTATAGTTGTAATAGTAACAGCAGAAGCGGTAGAAGAAGACGGAGGGAGTACCACAATAGAAGAAAGTGCGGCGCCACACCCTTTGCTGGTCCGTCGGCTTATTTTGCGTAAATGGGTGCGTGCGTCTGATCGTCGTCTTTTGGCAAATTGCGTGGAAGAGAGGAGGGTGATGAAATGAGAACAGGAAGTGAGATGAAAGGGGGGGAGCGTGGCCGTTGTATATGGCCAGAGAAGCTGCCGATGCCGAGTTGCGAGAGGGAATCAAGCTCTCTCCTCTGATCGTTAGCCTGAGCGGTCCAAAAGGAGAAGAGAAGAAGAGGGGAGGCGACGAAGGGCGCCGGGGAGATCAGTGCCCGCGAAATGAACAGGCCTGTCTGTCCCTTTTAGCGCACTTAATCACGGCCTGACGTCGCGTGGCAAGACATCTTCAAGTCGCAATAGTAGCTAGTGTAGTGTAGTAGTGACATCCCCCTTTTTTTTCTCACTTAAGAAAATAGCCCGCCTGCTCCCTCCCTTCTTAGCATAGATAGAGACCGCTATCAACATGGTTGCTTGGCACCAACAATGGGAGTCGACAATTAGTCCGTCGAGCCGAGCCGAGCCCAGCAGGGCGGCTCGATTGCACCAGCTGAAGTGTGTCCTCTTTCTATTTTGGCGTCCCATTACTTTCGGAGAGGACGCTTGCTCCGTCCTTGGACCCAGCCAGACAGAGCCTTTTCTCTTGTAACATCGCATGTGGCTTTTCAGATGGTGGTTCTCTCCTTTTCCCCCGTGTGCATGGGTGGTGTGTCACTCGCCAGAAGAAAAGGCGCGGCTGGCAGTTCGCGTACGGCAAAATCCATCCACGCATCCAGACAAAAAAGCCAGGCAGGAGAGCAGCCCGATGAGGCGTGACGTTAGGTTTTTCTTTTTTTTCTCCTTTTTTGAATTTCTTCGCATTTGACTCGCTGCACCCTTGCCGTTCCGTTTTTGTATCGCTCCAGCGCGCATATCCGACCTTCTCACCGGCGAGCAAGCGAGTGCCTGCCTCGCGCTCCCAACCCCCCTACCGATAACATCGATCCTCGACTAATTGTTTCCCTTCCCCCTTTCTTTACGCTGTCGCCCGACTCACTCGCTGTCACCGCTCTTCTTTCGATTCTGACGCTGCGCTCAACGGACTCGGCATACTGTACTGGCTGAGCGCCCAAGACGGCGACGCTGCGAATGAAAGGACTGCGCAAGTAGAGGCATGCGTTGCTGAGCCCCTCATCGCCACACTTTCCCTTCTTCAGCCAGGCGTTTCATCCGCCTGTCAAGCCCCGTCGCCTGCTCGCCGCGGCGCGCACAGGCAACAAGAGCTCAGCTGGGACTCCACTCGCTTGCGCACCGATGGCTGCTGCGTCGCCACTTGTCAAGCGGAGCCAGGTCATCAGGAGGAGTCATCACATGGGGGCCGCCAAGGCAGCAGACGTGGCAAAGGCCGCGCGGGTCAAGGCGACAGCCAGCGCCCAGCGGCCACCTACGGAGATGCATGTCGAGTCGGGTAACAAAGCAAAGCCGCTCAAGCCGTCGTCATCGGATTTGAACCCCGCTGGCGGTCATGGAAAGACAGAGGCCGCCGGCCAAGGCGACAAGGATGAAGTGCCACCACAGCAGAGCGACGTTTCTGCTGCTACTACTACTACTACTTCTTCTTCTCCTTCTTCCTCGTCTCCCTCTGTGTCATCATCATCCTTGTCGACGTCAACGTCAGCGCAGGCACCCGCGAGACGGTCAACAACAAGGACAAGAAAGCCCTCGAGCCGGCTTCTGCCTTCGCCCTCGCCGCCTCCCACGCGGCCCTCGTCCTACTACAATCCATCAAAGGCCATGCACGCACGCTCAGCCAGCGTCACTTCGTCCAAGCGCCAAGCTTCAAACGAGCCGACGGCCGCCGAGCGAATGTCGCCGCATACACAACCGCAAGCACAATCGCAACCACAGCCCGCGCGCCTGGAGGCCGCTTCCCCTGCAGAAGACGGCGGTTTTGGTCCAGGCAAGAGAAAGAGAAAGTGAGTGTTTCAGAGGAAGACTGGGGAGAAACAGAGGTAGCGCGGACAATCAAGATGCTGACCCATCCGTCACGCAGACCAAGCACCATGACCAAACCGCCAGCAACGATCACAAAAGCTCCTTCGCCCAGTGCTCTCCCAGCTGCCGCTGAAAGGACAAAGTCCCCCTCGCCATCGACTGCGCCAGCCTCAGCGACCAAGGTGCGCATCCGTCTGGGTTCCAGGGCCAGCGGCAATGACGTTTCCCAAAAGCAAGAGGGCAAGCGTGTCAATTTGGATGAAAAAGCGCACGAGAAGGACGGATACGACTCGGATGGCAATGCTGAGGGCTCAAAGGCCCTTCTTCTGGCTCTTGCCGAGCCCGACGGCGACCAGGGTAACGAAGACGACTCGGATGTGGGCCTGCTGAATTCGAAGCACAACTCACAAGCGATGGCGAGGAACCAAAAGCAGCGCCTCGGAGCACCGGCAGCCACAGGTCGGGACATTCAGCGGCACTTTTCGCCAGCCTGGCGTGCCCTATCACTATCTTCTGGCTCAGGCTCAACGACCGAACCCCCTCCGCTTCTTTCCCGAGGTGGACTGCAGCAAGATGGAAAGTCGTTCAGGTCGGGAATGAAAGCTGGCCTAGCCGCAGGACAAAAATCCGCCCTTGTCAGCAGCAGCAGCAACATCAACATCAGTAGCAGCAACGGTAGCGATGGAAACAAAAGCAAAGGAAGCCGCAGCGGCAGTACCTTTGTCCCTGCCTTGCGTTTCCACCTCAACACCGCCGAGGACGGGGCCGATGACGAGAGCTCACTCAGCGACGTGGACGACGAAGACGACGACTTCCACGTTGCCATGCTCGATGGAGGAGGCGACTTTGACTTCAAGGTCAAGGATGAATTCGACTCAAAGAGCTTCATTGGCAGCGATGTCGAGGATACGCCAGCGACGACGCCTCGCAGCCCACAGTCGACCTGTGACCTTCCCGAGCGTCGGTCTTCGAGCGCCGCAGAGGTTTCTGTCCCGTCGACTAGCGAGGCAAAGGGAACAGAGAGGACGTCGCACAACGAGGACGCCGTCTTTGCCCATGCGCTCCCTCCTTCCTCGCGCAGGCCTCACACGCACGCCGGCTCTCTGACGCTCTCGCTTCCTTTCAATGAGGTCGGACACGAGAACACTGTCAACGAGGTCGACGAGCAGGTACTCTCTCCCCCTCCCTCTGCTACTGGGCGCGACTCCTCTTCCGAGGAGGTCGAGGGCCAGGTGCGGGTGAAGCAGGCACCGCAAGCTGCTCCAGGCATTGCAATCAAAGTCGACGACGGGGACCGCAGCGCGGCAAATGCAACACAGGAAGAAGATGAGGACCTGCTCAGCCCTTCGCAGCAGGACATCCTCGGCCTCGAAGTGTCGCGTGCCGCCGGGACGCCTCTCAGAAGCCATCACAACTTCATGATGGGTGACCCAAACCCCAGCAGCGCCTTCAACAGCCCTGCTGTCATTGCGACGAGCGCTCAGTCTCTCCCAACGGCCTCACAGGACCCCGCACCACTCCTGCTCCCTCCCACGTCCATCTCCTCAACGACTCTGCGGACGACAGCCCGACCTGCCAGCCCCTCATCCGGCGCACCCCCTGCTCCTGGTGCGGATGATGGGAAGGGACAGGAAGAGGGCGACGTCTCGTCAGACGACGACGACGACGACGATGATGATGATGATGATGAAGACGACGATATGGACTCTCTATCTCGGTCTACGGCGCCATCTGTTCACGAAGCCGAGGAAAACATGGTTTTGGGACCCCCTGAAAACCTGTGCCTCTCGGAGCTTGATCGAGCATGGGAGCAGGACAAGTACTTGAGCGAGGCCCGGCAAGTGGCCAAGCTTGGCGGTCCCTTTATCGCTGCTGTGCCCGTCGAGGACGAGCACGAGGACATCCGGAGCGTCGAGGAGATGATGGATCTGGACCGCGTCAGCTTGAAGCGCTCTCTTGTCGAAGAACACCCCGAACCTGAAATCGTAGACGCCAGCAGTCAAGACCACGACAATATGGTAAAGGCCAAGGTCGCTCGATGCAGTGCCAAGCGATCGCCCAAGACTTCGACTTCGAAGAAGCAGACGCCTCCTCGCAACCGCGCTGCCGCTTCCGCTGTCGCCAGTCGAAGGAGGTAGCAAGCATAGCCTCCCGCGACTTTGACCCCCCTCTCTTGTTCTCTTCCCCTCTCCCTCTCTCTCTACAACTCTTCTAAACTTTAATCTCGATGAACGGAATCCAGTCATACACCACTCATCTAACACTATTTACTCTCCTGATCCGCGGCAATGTATCTTAGTTTCCCTTCTCCTTTTATCCCCCACGTCTCGCCGCTGCGTCGCCTCTCATACAGTATCAGTCTACAGTCTTCATTCTCGTTCTGTCTTTTGCAAATGTCAATCACCTCTTTCCACTCTATACCACCTGGGAGACGATGAATGATAGTGAAGCAAATGACATTACGCAAGCACCTTCTATTGACTTTTGCTGCTATTTCTCTGGAGCTCGTAGACACCACATGATGACCGGAAAGAGCTCCTCTGGAAGCCCCAACTGTGTCTCTTTTCGGACCAGGACGAGGCCAGCCTCGGCAAAGACGCGCTCGTAGGCATTTATCGACCTCGTGATGCTCTTGTCCTCCTCGTCGTACCACACATTCTCCTCGCCGTCGTCGTGCTCCCGCACCACGTTTTCCTTGACGACAATGATGCCGCTCCCATCGAGGACGGCGCCCTGGTCACGCTTGTAGGCCGTGGTGGGCCCCACGAGGGCGCCCTGGGCCTTGCGGAGAAAGGAGACGAGGTCGCGGTCAGAGAGGTGCTGGAGGCACCACTGGCACCAGATGACGTCGAATTTTGTCGGCTCCTGCTTCGAGAGGGCCTCCGTCTCGCCCGGCTCCTCCTCGCCATTGTTCTTCTCCGTCGTCGTCGTGTTGGTGGTGGTGCCCCGCGCCTGGTCTCGCGGTGAAAGTGTTGGCTCAAAGGGTGCCGAGCCTGGGACTGCCTCGACTTTGTCTTCCTGTGTTCTTTTGCGCTTTGCGAGCGATGGCGATCTCGGCCCCGACTCGCTGGAGCTGTATGGCAGCGACGGGTCAAAGGCCTGGAGCGTGCTCAGGTGGAAATGCGCGGCTTTCCTGGCGCGGAACGGCGAGAGCGAGGGAGGCGTCGTGAGGCTGGGCCACGTCGCGGACTGCTTCTTTGCCTCTGCTAGGAACTTGAAGCTCCACAGTCTCAGCTACGAGGGTCTGAAAGAAGAGACAGGGAACTCACGTTCTCGACTGGCTCGACGAGGTGGACGACATCGACGAGCTTGCTGAGCGCATCCCTAGTCACCCGCCCGATGCCTGCACCGCAGTCCAGCGCCCGCGTCCGGGCCCTACCCTCGCCTCCACGCTCTTCTATCCGGCTCTTCAACCACGCCTCGGCGCCCTCGGGTGCCGACGAGGGCGCCACGGCCGACAAGCGCGGCAGGACCTGGGCCAGAAACGTCCTAGAGCCCAACGCGTCGACGCGGGGCAGCGTCCCCTTGCCAAAGCCGCCCAGGACGCCATCGACGGTGGCGGGCACACCCTGCCAGTACTCGACGCCCTTGACCACGTCTGGGTTCGGGTGCACCACCTTCACCTTGACTTTTTCCTTTTTTGTCCGCGTCGGTGCCGATGCCATCTTTGTGTAGGTAGGTGTTGGTTGCCGCGTCACTCATTTCGCGTCACCTCCTGCAGGAAAAATCAAAAGAGCAAGCTTCGTCTTCGACACGTGAAGCGGATTCACCGTCGAAGGGAGAATGTCAGGTTGACTGAAGGGCTGCAGAGGAGCAAATAGCAGCAAGTCGTGCAAACAGATGGATTTCAGAAGAGCAGAAGGGCAGACAAGGAGGGCATAAGCAGACCAAGATGGCCGAAGGTGAGAAAGGGGGAAAGATTCCCTCTGGCGCCAAGCCAGAGGAGCCAACTCGCGTCTTTGTTTGCAATCAGCAATGCTTCCTCCTCGATCAATGATCTCACTGGATGGAAGGTGCAGTCCGAGCAGAAGGATGGAGAAGAAAGGAGAGAGAGGCAAGAAGCGAGGCCCGTCCCCTCCCCCCTTTTTATCTCTCCCCTTGTGTCGCCGCACCGCTGAGCGCGCAGCATCAACTCCGCCGGCACCGCGAGATCACGTTTTGCGATCTCGCACCGTCCCCGATGATGAAACAGTCCGCTTTGTCTCTATCATTGGTCCACGGAGAAGTATGTGGGTCTTCAGCTCATTGAGAGAAGCAAATTACAGGATCACAACAATAAGATGCAATGAGGGCACCAAGAAGAAAAGGAGAGAGAGAATCAGATAGAGTCGGGTCACTTGCGCTTCTTCGAGATGCTGCTGGACCTAGCGGACGGCTTGACTGCTTTCGGCGCCGCCGCCGTCACCCCACTCTCGTTCCAGAAAGTTTGCCTCTTGAAGCCCACCGCCCAGGCGACCCGTGCGCAGAAGAGGGCAAAGGTGATGGCAATGTTGCCAAACAGGAGCGCGTTCCAGTTCGACGGCACGAGGAGGGCAAAGAGCTTCTGCAAAAAGGGGTAGATGGTGCCCGCGTGGCGCGAGGGGAGAAAGTGGATGGTGAGCAGGATGTGCGTCCAGTCGGCGATTCCGAGGACCGCAAAGAGGTAGTAGAGGATCGATTCGAGGGTGGCAGGCGAGGTTGCGCCGAGATGTCGGCGGAGTGCGTAGAACATCAGGGCCGAGTTGAGCATGATAAGAAAGTAGCCTGTCCCGTCACCACGGTTAGCAAGTTCTCGGCGCAAGCTTCGCCATGGAGCTACTCACAGCTGCCGAGCTGTGCCAGGGCCATCTTCGTCGCTTCATCAAGGAAGATGATCTTCTGGGGCAACGTCTTTCCGATGCTTTCCTGTGTTGCCGTCTGCCAGACACTTCGAAAGCCGCTCCAGGCCGACGACGTCGACGTCGAGCCCAATGCCGGTGAGGCGGACGACGTCAGGCGTGCGAGGGCCGAGGGGATCAGCTCTGCATGATAGTTCTCCTGGAAGAAGATGGCATAGGTCGCTCCAGCCAGGACCGAGATGGGCTCGATGATGCCAAAGAAGTAGTACCAGTGATCTGGCAAGGGAGTCGCCGCTGTCGTCATCTCGTCGTGTTGCTATCAAATGTCCGGAGAAGGACGTGCCCGGGGGAAGATCGCTTTGGCGCGCTAAGTAACGCACTAAATCACACCACCTTAATCCAGTTGCACTTCACATTGGCTGCATATCCACGTGTAAGCTCATGATGGTGCCCATCAGCGCACGCCAATCTTCCTCTGCAAGAACCCCATCCTCTCTGGCAGTGGCTGAGGAGCACCTGGTCAGCGTCATGGCAAAAAGAGAGGATCAAAAAAGCAAAAGAAGAACTGCAGCACCCAGGATTCCCGCGTGGTCCCCCACCGCAGTACTGACTAGGCGATACCGTGCTTAACTTCGCAGATCGGACGGGATGCGGTGCTTTCACGGTTCTATGGCCGCAGATGAAATGGCTTGGTTTCTGACAAAATATAAAGCGTCTAGATAGCATCAAATGACAGACTTTGCGATCTGGTGTCGGGTCGAAGCCTAGGGCAGGCAGGCACGACCGGTTATTATTTATCTATTCTTTGTTTGGCGATTGGAGGGGGTCCACCTACAACTCTTGCAGCTCCCCCACATCCACCACCACCACTGCGTTGTCGGGGCTGTGGTGGGACATTAACGGCGCGAGACGATCGAAGGGGGCAAACGAGTGCACTGACAGCTCGCTAACGACCCCAGACAAGATGGTCTCGTCGCACCCAACGTGGGACGATATCGAGGCAGCGGTTCGATCTCGTGAGTGATCCTGGCCAGTCCCCACTGCCATCCGTCTCGCTGATGCCCTCATCTGTCCATCATGCAGCCACGCTCTCGCCAAAGAGCTTGCAGCCGTCCAAGCCAGCGCCCGAGCCAGGATGGCACACGAATGACGCCGACGTGACCGACTTCGGGCCGTCTCGGCTCGACGACGACGTTGAGATTGTTCCTTGCAGAGATTGCGGCAAGGTCGTCCTCCGTGACGCCCTCAGCTTCCACAAGCGTGAGCGAGGCCCCCTACTTCTCAAGTTCCTGGTGTATCACGCGCTGACAAGGAGATGCACAGAGAATTGCCAGCTAATCTATGCCATTGCCGAGCGCCAGATCTCGCCGAGCATCATCGAGGGCGATCCGGCGAGCCTGTCGCGAAAGCGCCGATTGTCTGAGGGTGAGCTTATCCTTTTTTGTGCTTTCTCCTCGCCCCTCTTGTGACTGAAAAGAGCGACCCTGGCACGCAGTCTCGGACTCGTCGCTGGACCACACAGGCTTGGCCGACTCGACGGAGAAGTTGAGCAAAAAGGCACGCAAGGCGCTCGAGGTGGAAGCGCGCAAGAAGGCCCGACTCGAGGCAAAGGAGGCGGCCAAGCAGGGCAAGGCCAACAAGCGCAAGAAAGGTAAGAGGGAGTGGCAGTTGCAAAGACGAAGGGAGACTGATGTCAGAACTGTATTCGAAAGCAGGACCAACGGATGTGGACACGCAGTGTGGCGTCATCAACGACAAGGGCCTGCCCTGCTCGAGATCCTTGACATGCAAGTCACATTCGATGGGTGCCAAGCGTGCAGTACCCGGCCGGTCGAGGCCATACGACGAGCTGCTGCTTGAGTGGCAGCGCGTCCACAATCCGGCTCTCGTGGCCAAGCTCGAGGAAAAGGAGCGGGCACTCGCGGCGTCCAAGGCAGCCGCGGCCGAGCGCAAGCACCGCAAAGCCATGGAGAAGAAGAAGGCTGCCGCCGAGTCGAGCAACCGTGCCAACGGCGGAGGAGTCGGCAAGAAGAAGCTGACGTCTTCCCCCTCCAAGGCGGGTGCAGACTCGGCGGCAGCCATGGCTGCCGCCGGCGGCGATGTGCGGCAGCTGGCCAAGATGCAAGAGGATCCCGAGGCAGACATGTTTGTCCTTGGCTTTTCCGACGACGAAATCGACATCGAGATTCGAGACCTGGTGCTGGCCATTCGGGCGGTGGCGTCAAGCGAACGCACGCGGATCCTGCCTCTGGCCAGCCAGGCTTTCGCGGGCGTCTACACGAGAAAGGCACATATGCTCAGAGGATGCCGCGACCTGCTTCGAGAGGGGCTAAAGGGCACAAGAAGTGCGAACAATGGTCTCTTCATCCCCAATGCCCCCAGCCTCATGGCCGCTCAAAGCCAATCGTAGATCGAGCACATCTGGACATCTACCTCAGGTCCTTCTCTCTCTCTCCTTCTCTCTCTCTCCTCTAGCACACTACAAGCAACACCATCAGATCCGGTCTCTTTCTGTTTTGCTTACACGTTCTTCTTTATATATCACCCATTGTATCAATAGTCTATCTCAATCTCAGCATCTGTCTGGCGAGATCGCATCTTCTCGCATGAGCCTTAAGCTTGTTGCCTACTTGGCACCCTCCTTCTCAGCCTCTGCGAGATGGTGTCTGAAGAGGTCCTCGGCTCTCTTCCAGACGGCACCCTTGGCTTCTTCTTGGCCAGCACCGGCCTCCTTGCTCTTGGGGTGTTCCGGCAGCACGTAGGGCAGTTGGTAGAGCGAAGGCAGCAAGTCGTTCGAAAAGGCCTCGGAGGCCTCACAAGGAAGCAGCGTCGGCAGATGGTCGATGGAGACAACGGTCAGGCGGGGGTTGCCGGCCCTGGGAAGACATAGAGTCAGTCTCGACGAATGTGACTTTACAGGCTCTCAATGCATAGCTCACCCAGTGTCAACCTCGACAGTAGGCTCGTCAAAGGTCGTGTTGATGTCATAGATGGGAAGGGGGTTGTTGGGGTTTGTCGTGTCGCAGCTCACGTCGACGACGACACCCAGACGCCGCTGGGGTCCGGCCTTGGCGACAAAGTCGCGCGAGAGGAAAGGCGGGATCTTCTGGTTGAGGTAGATGCAGTTGACGAAGACGTCGACTTTGAAAGCCAAGATAAAAGGGGAAAATGTCAGCGCCATTGGGGCATGCGATCAGCTAGGGGGAGAGAGCGCACCATCAAGCATCTCCTGGTACGGGCCCGACTTGGCCGTGGTTTCCTGAATGTCCCAGCGGACAATGTCTTCCTTTGCGACGCCAGCCTTCTCGAAAAAGTCAACAGCACCCCGTCCGCATCGACCGAGGGCGCCAACAACAAGGGCCTTGACCTTGCCATCGGGCCTCTTGCTCTTGATGGCCTCGACTTGCTTGGCGGCGAACTGGATCAGCTCGTGCTCGTTGGGGTAGCGCGACTGCTTGCCCAGCTTTCCCGCTTCTGGATCCTTGACCTGCTCAGCCAGGGCAAGGAGGCCGAGTGCGGCACCTGCGAAGCCGGCGTGCCAACCAAAGGCGGCGACGCGGCGCTTGTTGGCGTCCTCGAGGAATTCGAGGTCGTAGAGCTTGCCGCCTCCCCTCTTGAACCGGGCGAGAACATCGACCCATCCAGCTTGGTGCTTGTAGCAGTGCGCAAATTGAATGTGAGTCTGGGGAAGATCAGGGCCGGGGCTCTCGAGCTCCTTGAGGCCAATGATGGGGATGTGCGCAGGCAGCTTCTCCCACGAATTGTGCGGGGCCAGCTTGCATCCAGCTCTGAGATGTAGATTCAAACATGAGCAAGAGTATCTATCTGCTGCGAGTGAAATACGACACACTCACTGCTCGTATTCTTCGTCCTCAAAGATGCGTTGGGGATCCCTCTCGACAGTAATGTCGAAGCCAGCGTCGATGAGCTTCCTTGCCGTCGTGGGCGTCAGGGCCGCACGGTGCTCGGCCTTCTTCATCTCGCACCTCAGGTACAGAGGCTGCCTGTATGTTCCGTTGGCCGACATGTTGTCTAATGAAAGCGAGGGGGTGACTTGGAGCAATTAATGAAGCGATTGTTCAGACGAAGAATGTTTGTCTTCGTGGAGTCATTCTAATCCGGAAGTCGGGCACCTGGAGCCACGCGACGCAGCAACGGGTCTCGTGAAGTCCCTGTACGGTTCTTTGAGCGATCAGGAGGCAATGTCGGGTGGTGCGAAGTCATTTGGGGAGCTCTCGCCGCTCGCTATTCTCTCTCAATCTCACCTCTGTCAATAGTCTGATCCTGTAACTTTCCGAAAGGGCTTGATCAAGTCGGTATGAAGAAGAATGCCTACACGAACGGAGGGTCTGTTTCATTTTTCTGGCATTTCTGATAATCTTCGGCGACCGGAGGCCGCATCCCTTCAGAAGTCTAAATTTGTCAACACCACTTCAATCAATTTTACCTTCCCATCCATGCCTGCCGCCACTTCGTAAGGTCACTTTCGCCGACTAACGAATATCACAGAGGCAGGAGAGAGTTCTTTGTGCTTCAACGGCCACCTTCGCCACCACCGTCTACGCCTCAGCTAGGGCTGGCTGCATCGGCAAAGATGAACAACGCGTCAAAGAGCTTCATCATGTCCTTTCCCACGATGATGTCTTCGGCGACGGCGACCGGTGGCGCGGACACTGCATCGCTCATGGAGTCGCTACACCAGCATCTTGTTCCCCTCAAGCCGCTGCCGTATGCCTCGTACTACAAGGGCGAGATCTCGCTACTTCCCTTCCTCTCCGACAAGTATCTCTCTCTTCTTGCGCCCATCCTCATCTACTGGGCCTCGTCGCTATGGTTTCATCTCCTCGACACGCTCCAGCTTCCCTTCTTCGAGAAGTACCGCCTACATGAACCCGCCGAGATTGCTGCGCGGAACCGAGTGAGCGCGAAGCGCGTCATTGTCATGGTACTCTTCCAACAAGTAGTCCAGACGATTCTCGGAATCTTTGTCCTCGAAGGTGAAGAGACGGTCCGTAAACAAGTCTTTGCCGACCACGAGGCTGCGATGGCGAACATCGCCATGAGAGTGGCCCATGTCGCTGTGGCCACCGTCGGTTTCAAGAACGGCGCCAAGATCCTTCAGATGCTTGGTCCCTGGTTTGTCCACTGGCTCTACTGGTGGGGCATCCCAGCCTTCCAGCTCGGGTGGGCCTTGTGAGTGCATGCGAGCAAAGATTGACTTGACATTCTTCCTCACGGCTCATTATCATATCACAACAGCCTCGTGATGGATGCCTGGCAGTACTTCCTCCATCGAGCGTTCCACGAGTCTCGCTTCCTCTACAAGCACTTTCACTCGCACCACCACCGTCTCTACGTGCCCTATGCCTTTGGTGCGCTATACAACCATCCGTTCGAGGGACTCTTGCTCGACAGTGCCGGGGGTGCCGTCGCGCATGCAGCCGCCTTCATGACGGTCCGCCAGGGCATTCTCCTCTTTACCTTTTCCACCATGAAGACGGTGGCGGACCACGGCGGCTACGCGTTCCCTCCTTGGCTGGACCCTCTGCACCTCCTCTTTCCCAACACGGCAGAGTACCACGACGTGCACCACCAGATGCAAGGCCTGCGCTACAACTATAGCCAGCCCTACTTTGTCCACTTTGACATTCTCTTTGGCACGAGAATGTCGGCGGAAAAGTTTGCCAAGATGCGGGCGGTTAACGACAAGCTCAAGAGGGAGAAGTGGGCCGTCGACAAGGCGGCAAACGGGTCCGAGGCGACGGTCGCCACGGGTGCTGCAGGCAGCGCCACAAAGGCATCGACGAGAAGAAGAATAGGAGCGGAGGTGCACGACGACGTGTCGCCGGGCGAGGTGGCAAGAAGAGCAGCGGCAGACGGCGTGGGAGATATCACAACCACGCTCGACCAAGAGTCATACCGAGAAAAGGCAGGCGTAGTTACCTGATCCAACCCTCTTGCATCTCCCTCCTGTCCTCACATACCAGTCTCTGTTCACACATCACTCACCACCTTACTACCGCTCAATGACTTCTTCTTCTTCGCCCCTTCTTTACGATCACCCTTTCTTTAATTGCTCTCTATTTGTTCATATTTTCCGCGATGAAATCGATAATTGCAGCCGACCGCTGACGATGAATGACGAGTACAACTTACAAGGTTTCCGAGAGGTAGGGACAAAGGAATGCGGGTTTGGTAAGAAGACGACCGCTCTCTACAAATCGGCGGCAGAGAGGTCCCAGATGGTCCTCAGGACGTGGTCCGCCTTTCTCCTGGTTCTCTTCAACAAGCCCATCCGGCTGAGCTCATTGATGGCCAACGCGAACCTGGCCCGCACCATTGCTTTTTCTCCCTCCTGTGGTTCCAGACCGTTGTCGTTGTCGTCGTCATCATCGTCCTCGTCCTCGTCTTCACCTTGCCAATTCCGTTTCTTTCCTCTCGGTCGCTTGGTCGGCGACTCACTTACAGCCTCGACACTGTCCTGCGCAGCTGGCCGAGGCAGCATTGAGGGCTTGACAGAATGCTCAAAGGCACCGAACCAATCGGCGAGATTGATCATACGTCCTGCATTCCTGTAAAGGTCGTAGGCCACACAGACGTCAGGCGGCGCAGGTTGCTCTCGCTGCGCGTCCATGGAATCCTCTGCCTCGATCGACGATGGGACGAGGTACGAGCTGGGATCCGTTAGACCAACAAGAAGATGGACTCGAGGGTTCGGGTCGATAAGAGAGGCGAGATGTTTCGTCGCATTGTAAGTCTGGCTGGAGTAGAGCGGCGGCCGTATCGACGGTCTCAAAAGATCTCTGTTGCAGGCACCTGACATCAGTGATCGGTGTAATTTCTTGGAAGAGGTCCGCACCCACCGGATCGTCTGGACAAGCCAAGTCTCGAGACCTTTCTTTGCGCCCTCGAATTCTTCCTGCCTTAAGAGCTGCTTCTGGACCAGATCGAGACGGCTGGCCTCTTGTGACCCCCGCACTGCTCTGTCCACCTCTTCTTGCAGCCTCTTCTGTTCACGCACGCCCTCGATCTTTCCTTGACACTCTTTGATGATGCGCAGGGATGATGACTGTTTCAGCAGGCCATCTGCGTCGAGCAACTCAAACAGAGCCGCAAGGTCGCTGGCCCCAAGCTTCCGAATGGCAGCAGCCAGCCTCGAGAGGTTTCCGTCCAGAAGGGTTGTCCGACTCAGAGAGCTGTTATGGCGCTCGTCCGTCTCAAGCAACTTTATTATGAGCGCAGCCATCGACGTTGAGTTCGGCCCAAGCGCCAAAGCACCTTCCTCATCAGCTTGGTCCCTCGTTGATGCAACCCCGCTCGCTCTCAAAGCTTTCTCCATCCGATGCAATAGCCGCAAGCCGACCCTTCGTTCGCGCCGGAAGCGATCAAGGGCCCGCAAAAACGTCGGGAGATCCTCTACAAGATGTTGCTGCGATGACGTTCCATCCTCATCGCCGATCAGGGTCGAAAGATATTGCATCTTACTCTTGCCCTTGGAAGCTGGAAGCATGACTTCAAGTATTGCTAGCTCGCCTCCGTCCATGTCGCCAAGGATATGCTGCCGAACCAGTTCGAAGAAGGCTGCGTGCCAAGTCTCATTCGCATCCGCTGAGCTCGTCTTGTCCTCAAGGCCCAGCAAGGCGCTCAGCGGGTTGACAGTAAAGTGATGAAAAAGAGCGAGCTACGAATGGGCAGATATCCGTCAGCACAGCCCTGCTCACACCTGCAAAAGTGAGAAGCGTACCTCAACGGTCTTGACGACATCATCGATCTCAATACCCTGCTCAAAAAATCTCCGTCGCAGAAGATCGAGCGTCTCGTGTCCTAGCTGGACCTGGGGCGCACTGTCACCTAAATACAGCTGGAATGATTCGTGCGATGATCAGTAATAGCAAATCAATCGTTTCTCAACATCTTGTCTTACCTCCTCGACAAAGTTCTCAAATATGCGTCGACCGCTTGGCAATGTGAAGGTGGTGATGTCGATGAGTCGAAGCGTGTCCGGATGAAGCACATCGAGCAGGGACCGATGGCCCGCTGGTGCGTCGAGGAAGAGGACGACCTTGGGACCCGAGGAGCAAGCGACATATCCATGAATCGCTTGAATGACATCATTGAGGACATCAGAGCCCCAAGCCGGGGATCCCCTAAGCGACACGACAAGCGTTGCACCACTCGGCAACGTATCAAGGAGCTTCAGATCCGCCTTTTCTACCTTACTGTTGGTAGAAAATGTTGCTCCAGTCTGCGCCAGCGCCTGCGCGACCAGCAATCGAAGGGCTGCTGGCAGTGATGATCCATCGTTTGGGTTCAGTTGCACGAAGTGGTACTTCCCTGTAAGCTGACCGATCAGTCCTCTTTGGACGTGGGCGTTGAGGGGAGCTCCTGATTGAGAAAGAAACGTGAGACGGTGTGCATGTAGGAATTGGGCGAGAAGAACTGACCTGTCAAGCATGCAGACGGAAGTCTAATGGAACTCCCAGACGCAGAATCGTCGCCGCCACTCAATCCAGGGAGGAAGAACTGATTTGTCTCGGGGACCGAAGAAGAGGACTGGCTCACGAAGGCGCTAAGCTGCTCGACGACGGGGGAGTAAATGGCCGCGCAGCTTGCCTGAAAGTAGAGGGTACGTGAGCAGAGTCGATCGAATTGGCATCGATATGTGTGAGAAGCAACACTCACCTTGAAACATCTCCGTGCCGCTTCTTTAGCCTTGACGTAACCTGCGTAGCGCAGCTCAGGACCTCGTCCACCTATGCGTTCGTACTTGTCAAGGATTGGCAATGACTGTGCGAGGTCGAGAGTCTCGTCCTTTCTACCTCTAGTAGCGCATGGGATGAAGGTCGTCGACTGTGTGGGTCCTTGTCTAATCAGTAAAGATCCACCCTCGGAACACGCAGTCTGCAGGCCACCCACCTCGACGAGGCTCTCGAAGCCATCTTCGTCCATGGCAAATGAAGAATCACCTCGTGCGACCCTCGCCTGTGCGCCCTGCCTGCCTTCTTCTGATCCTAGAACCCTTACTTGCGTCCAAGGTCCTTTACACGCGTACTTGATCTCGTCTAGCCGTTCGCATGAACGTCCTGGCTTGCCCAGACTATCGTTTGAGCGACGTTCTTCCTGCCTCGGCGGCAACAAAGCAGGCTAAAAATTAGGCACCCAACGTCGCGCACGGGTACGCTGCCTGCTGTGTTTTCTTTTCCCACTCCAGTGACGCACACACGCACGCACACGCGGACGCGCCGGCCGGAAAAGAGATTGCGGGCGAGGTCGCAACAAAAGATCGAAGAGCAATCTTCGGCCTTCATTTTCCTCCTCTTCCTGCCCCCTTTGCAATCCGTCGAGGGTCCGCATACAGGCACGCCCCGCTCGTCCGCCGTTCCGTAGATAGAGTAGCCGACCCACGCGCCCCGCAGAGGACCCAAGGAGAGGCTGCAGTCATGCCACGATCAACGCGCGTATCCCAGTCGGCTGCTGCCACAGCTTCGCCCGACTTCGAGGCAGCTGGAGAGAAGATGACGCCGAACAAGCGAACCACCTCGTCGAAGTCCGTCGCCTCTACGCGGTCAGTCAAGGCCGAACGCGACGAGACACCAGACGTGCTCGACAGCCAGGAAGCGACGAGAATGGCAAACGAGGCGAAGGAGAATGTCTTTCTTTTTGTGCCCAACCTCATTGGTAAGTGATCCGGTCAAGGCCTGCTGCTCTCACCTGATAGATGAAGCGCCAAAAGAGCTGAGGCATGATTGTCGCTTCAGGGTACGCTCGAATCGTGCTGGCGGCGCTGTCGCTGTACTACATGAAGTCGAACCCGAAGACCTGCACGCTTCTCTACGGCATTTCGTGCCTCCTCGACGCCGCAGACGGCGTTGCCGCCAGGGCACTTGGTCAGAGCACAAAGTTCGGCGCCGTGCTGGACATGGTGACGGATCGCTGCACGACGTCGTGCCTGCTTTGCTTCCTCACGACAGCCTACCCCCGTTGCGCCATCATCTTCCAAGGGCTCATCACCCTCGACTTCAGCAGCCACTACATCCACATGTACAGCTCCCTCATCACGGGCTCCAGCTCCCACAAGCTCGTCACCTCGGACGTGTCTTGGATTCTGTGGTACTACTACAACGACAGCGTAAGTCTGCTCCGTGTCCTGTTTGACTGTGGCCCATTGTACTGACTCAGAAGCGCACTTGGGCTTGTTTGCACAGCGGACGCTCTTCTTCTACTGCGCGGGCAACGAGCTCTTCTTCGTCTGCCTCTACCTCATGGACTTCTATCCGACACCGCTGGGCCTCAAGCCCGAATGGTTCCTGTGGCCCTTGGGCAAGGAGGTCGCTTCCAGCCTTACAAAGACCGCCATCAACAACCAAGACTCGATCCAGGCTCTGACATTCGAGATCATCCGCAAGCTCACATGGCCCCAGGTCCTGGGCGCCATCACGTTCCCCATCTGCGCCGTCAAGCAGGTCATCAACGCCGTTCAGTTCTGGAAGGCCGCAAAGGTCCTTGTCGGTATCGACCTGGCCGAGAGGGAAAAGAAGAGGGAAAAGCAGGGCGAATAGGGCAGGGAGGACATTCCTCAGATGCGACGATCTACGGCGAGAGTCTTTCTCTCTCTCTATGCACTTTCCTTTCTTTCTTCTCTTCCCCATCTCTTCCTCTCTCTTTCTCTTTCTCTTTCTCTTCTTTTGCTCCCTTTTTCTTCTTCTTTCTCGGATTCGGCGCTGCGAGTAGAAGTCGTCTTCTCTTCGCTCTCTGGTCTACTCTCTCCTTTAATCTACCTTCCCGCGAGACGCTCTTCGTCGTGCCGTGTAATTCTTCCCTTCCCCCCTTTCATCAAACTACAAGCCAAGCTAAAGTGGAAGCCACAAGCGACAAGAACGTCAAAAGGAAATCCAATGATGGCAAGGATGGAAATCGTAACATTGAAGACGGATGTAAATTGAAACAATGACTGAGTAGAGGATGAGAAGGGAGACGAGGGGAAAGTAAAGGAGAGAGCGAGAAAGCAAAGAGTAGGGTGATGATTATCGAATGGTAGCTATAGGATCCTGTTTGTACAAAGGTGGTTTGGCTGTTCTGGATGGGGAGGGGAGAACCGGTGACAATGAGAATCGGCAAGAAGGTAACGCAGGAATTCTTGAGAGACGATGAGCTGAAGAAGGCGACGGTCAATCGAAGAGGCGGCACCGAGGCTTGGATCCAGCTCTCTCGGTGCTTCGAGAAGACGATATTGGTTGGAAGCGGAATGGCTTCCTCTTCCGGCGTCGCCCAAAACTACGCCTCTGACCTTCGGCGATTCCTCGACTCGACACAGAGACCATCGGGACCGGGTAAGTAACAGACATTTCGCCTAGCCTGGGTCTTGGGCGTAGGCGCCGGCGAGGTGGGCTGGCTCGCCGCCGGTGTTGGCGTGGATGAGCCCGACCTGACCGCATCGCTCTGCTGTATCTTGCCGCCGGATCCAACATTGGAGTCCGAGAAGCTCGATGAAGCGCTCGACGGCTGCTGCTGCTGCTGCTGCTGCTGCATGTGGCTCTTCTGGAGCTGCCACTCAGGCACCTGGTGCAGGCTCGTCGAAAAGGACGAGGGGCTCATGCCCAGTGCGCTCAGCGCGCTCAGCCGGCCACCACCGCCAGCCCCAAAGGCTGTCCCGAACGACGTCCGACGTGGCAACGAGGCGAATCCACCACCGGCGCCAGCTGCATCATGTGGTTGCGGTGACTGCGCGCCCTGCGCAGCGGCCTTCCAGAATTGTGGGGCGAGAAAAGAGCTCGTGGGTGTGCTGGAGCGGCGCTTCCACTGCTGCTGCTGCTGTTGCTGTTGCTGGAAGCCATAAGTCTGCGAAGACGTCGAGGCGTGGGAGGAGGATGACGACGGAGAGGTGCCGAGCGACGATGACGTCGTCATGTCCGAGGGGGTGCTGCGTCCAGACGAGGCCGAGTGCGACTCCGTCGAGTGCGACGCCATTGCAGTCTTGACGTCTTCAGCGTACTAACCTGGTGAAGTGTTGTCTTACAAGAGGATTAGACGGCACCAAGATGATGACTGAGCAATGGCTGGTCTGAAAGAATGTGGGTGCTTCGTGCGTGCCCGATTATTTGTGCCTTTGTTTGGTGGCGTCCGAGATAATAATTTATGATTTGGCCCTGTCGCCCCGCGCGAGCGCGTTGCACCTATGACAAATGCTGTGTGGGAAAGAGCGGAGGTGAGAGGGACACAAGTCCGAATGACTCCTTTGTCTGGGCGCGGCTGGCTGGCTGTAGCTTGCAGAGGAATGAGGACGGAGGAGCGAAGGAAGAGGTTGACACGATGTCCAAAACCTCGACGTGGGTCCACCACCGGAACGGAAAAGGTTTGGCAAGGCGATAAAAAAGAGGAGCCACCCCGTTTTATTGTCTGACCCGCGCACGTCTAGGGGAATTTCTCGATCCAGGCTGCATTGTCAAATCGAACGCGCTTCATTCGAGAGATTAGACCAAGACACACACCCCTTGCCCATAACGATCATCCATGGCAGCCTCTCGCCAAAAGCAAACGAAGGCCTTCAAGGTTTTGCTCCTAGAACGAAACGACGAACACTACACAAAGCATTACCGCTGTTGAATAATGTGAGAGTATGGTTTGGCCCCTTCAACGGCTTAATGTCATACTCGATGCCTCACTCAGAAGCGAGACCAGATGTTCGACTTCCCACGAAGCTGCACTGCAGCCTTCTTCTGCGTGGCTTTCTTACTGTGAAGGAGCAGTCTACGCTTGCAATAATGTTGTGCTTTCCAACACGTCCAGAGCTTTTCAGTTCTACAGACCAAACACAGGAGCGCTGTTGCGAAATCTTCCTCTCCATCATTAAGCATCGTGCGCCTTTTAACGGTACAGATGGTCCTGCTGCAAGTTGGCGGCGTACTCTGCCTCTGCTCGATCACCGTTTGCCAAGAGCTTCTCTTTGTCTAGAAGATGAAAGGAAGAGAAGAGAGCAGGACTGCGTAAGCCTACAGCAAGCAAGAAGAGATGTGAGACACCCACTGTACAAGAGCTCCTCTCGCCACTCGGTGCTGAACTCTGCGTTTTGCGTCTCGACAATGGCGTCGACAGGGCAGGCCTCCTGGCAGTAGCCACAGTAGATGCACTTCGTCATGTCGATGTCTGTTGTTATATTTGGGGCGATCAGTCAACTGCCTGACAGGACCAAGAACCAAGCAAGATGAAAAAACGCACCATATCGAGTTGTCCGACGAGCGCCGTCCTCTCGGGGCTCCGATTCAATTGTAATGGCTTGCGCAGGGCAGATAGCCTCACAGAGCTTGCAAGCTGCGAGAAGGTGTGTCAGACCAGCAATCCTTTCGACCCTCAATTCAAGGAGCAGTGGAATAGCATGAATGTGTGCACTCACCGATGCAGCGCTCCTCGCCGGTCGGGTATCGACGCAGTGCGTGTTCACCGCGGAATCGAGGGCTCAGCGGCCCCTTCTCGAAGGGGTACATGATCGTATAAGGTGGCCGGAAGAAGTTTTCGAGGACGATCCACATGCCTGTGTCGAGAGGTCAGCTTCTCAGAAGGGAGCAGGGACATAGCCGTATCAAGGTGTGTGCTCACCTCTCAGAATCTCAGTGAAGAAGAACAGCTGACTGGCTTTGTCAAGTGCGCTGGGTCCCTTGGAGTAGTCAGGGTATGGCTGGAGCTGCTCAGGTTGGCCGGCACCTAGCGCCTGTGCCGACTGCTTGTTGAGCGTAGCTGAATCCATGATCCCAGGCGCAGAGTTCGTTCCATCCTTGAGGAGCGTTGGGCCCGTGTCGGCTCGCGCGGCCAGAAATGGGCTGGTCGAGAAGAGCCGGGGGGCAGTGGCACCGTTGCCGGCAAACCTGCTGCTGCTGCTTCCATTCACGCCCAAGCCGGCGGCCACTCCCAGGCGAAGAGGCGATGCACCGCTGCTACGAGCGGCCAGCATGGCAGACCGCAGCACCGCACGCTGAGCACTCGCCGACATGGCCATGTTGACGAAAGCCAGAGAGGGAAAAGGTGTCGAGTGACGACGGACGCGGTGGATTTTGTGGTAGCGAGGAAAAGACAGGTGGCCTCTTCCGAAAGGTCGCGCGAAGGCAGGCAGCGAATGAGAAGCGTCAGGATTTGTAAGATTAGAAAACCTACAGCAGTTCTGAAGCAGTTGTATTGGGCCATTACACTAAACCCACGTGCTCGCTCACTCACACCTGCCAAAGTAGACCCTTGCTCTTACGTGGACCACATTCATTATTCTAAGAGATGGACATAGACTGTTATCCCGCGAACGGTCTTCGTGTCGGTCTTCATGTCACACGTCGACAGAGGCAGCGTGAAGAACAGTGAATTATTGTTGATGGCCTGAAAATGTTGTTGCAAGAAGTACATGGGCCAAAAGAGGTGCCAAAGTCGTGAAATATATGCAAAAGTGTCAGATGCCACTGGGGTATGGATTGATCGTTTCTTGTGCCATTCAGGGGTCAGATTCGTCGTCGTCGTGTGCCATATAAAGCGCAAGTGAGGTCAGGTGACTGTATAATCATGGAGGCGCGATGGAAATGGATGTCAATCTCGAAGGGCTCGAGAGATTTTCGTTAGAGGCCCTTGACCGGCCATTGGTCGAGGTGTTGAGGAAAGAGGGCGGAGACTGGTTGAGATTTGTCGTCGGAGAGGAAGACAGAGAAGAGCTGCCGTTGACGCCGCCCTTTTCGAGCAGCTCAAAGGTATCATTTCCAGAATCCTCGTCGTCACCACCATCGCCGCCCTTTCGTCGTCGTCGCCTACTTGACACGGACCTGGCCTTCGACTCTCTCTCCTCTTTGTTCTGCTGTCCGTCATTGTCCTCCTCTTCTCCATTTGATGGACTGTCTTCAGTCTCGTTGACAGTCGAAGGAATTCGCGTCCACCGGAAATTCCCCTTGTTTGTAGCCCGGAGCGGAGTCGCTCTCCCATCTTCGGCTGCTCCGTTGGCCTTCTTCCGTGTCGAAGACGTATGCCCACGCAAGGAAGTCAACGAGACCTGCTGCACGCCTCGGTCGAGAGCCTCTCTACAAAGTTCTCTCAGGTTCCTTGCCTTTGTTCTTTGTCTCGTCCGCAGCCCTCTGCTCGCATCGGGTGACGATGGTTCGGCCGATGACGAGTAGGAGCGGCCTAGAACAGAAGCGATGGTCGCCTCGTCGGCATTAGGCGGTACGTAGACGAAGAATGCGGGTTCATGCTGCTGCGATGGGCCGAACCCTCGTCGACGACCGTCGACTGCAGCCTTGCCCTTGGCGAGTGTGCGAAAATGCGCACGCACTTCGATGACAATAGCAACGATGGCAATGGCGACGACGATGAGAGGAATGTAGATCGCCATTTCCCTCTTGGACTGGTTGGGTATCCAGGGAAGTGGGCTAGAGGCAGCAAAAGGAATGGAATCATGAGCATACAGCATGTGAGAAGAATGTCATGCAGGTTGAGACTCACCTTACGTATGCTTTTTCCCTCGGAGGCAGCAGCTGGGCCAAGGCGATGCCGGGGCCCTTTCGATAGATGTCAAAGTCTTTGTGGCTACTCAACACATAACCCTCGCCTGGCTTCCACCGCCACCACTTCTTTCGCAGGAGGTCTCTGGTGAGCTTGCCAGCGGTCTCTGATCGAGGTCTTCTCCGGTCGTCTGGCACCGACAGCCGGACATCGTCATCGAGGATTGATTTGGTCCAGCCCTGCTTGAAGACATTCCTTCGCGATTGCCACGGCGGCACCGACCACGGTGGTCCGGAGGAGAGGTGGATAAGGTCGTCCTCATCATCACCATCGACAGGCTTCCCAACGCCACCCGCCACCTTGCCGTTACCTGCTACTGGGGTTGGCAAAGGATGGTGCTCCTTGTCAGGCTTGCCAAAGCGCCGGCGTCCGCTGGGGACAAAGGGGTAGTCTGGCCGAAAGAGGCCGATGTTGAGGTAGTGATTGGAGCCATGGGCACCAATGTCGGCGCTCGAGAAGGGCGATTGGCCAGCTGGGTTAACTGTTGGCGGCCCAGTCCTTCGCCCTTGTTTGCCCTTGCTGGCGCCCTTGGCAGAGAACGACAACGATGCATACGTGTTTCGCAAAGGACGGCTGAGCGTTGAATTTGGGTCGACTTTCGTCTCTACCCTCCCAGCTTCCCAGGCAGACTTGACGTGGTCTGCCTCGCTTTCGTCCTTGAAAGCCAGGCCTGCAGCATCGAACACGATGTCGGAGTCAACATTTCGGGCATTGCTGGAAGAGACAAGTTCTTGTTGCCCCTTGTCCGCTATCCCTCCTGCATGCGAAGGGCCTGAATTGTCTTCAGGAGACAGGTGGGCGTCTCGTTTGTCCGCTGCCCTCGTATCCTCCGTCCCAATGCCTGTGGGCAGGCCAGACGCGGCCGAGGCGGCCACGAGGGCCACCATCATCAGCCTCAATCGCGACAAAGCGCCCATCGGGTCCAATGGATCTCGTCTTCTCCTTGACCGAGTGTGTGAATAGGACATTTTGTCCGACCAAAGTCCGAGGGGGCCAAGCAGAGAGGTGGAGCAGGATCTGGTAAACAGGTGAGAGGAGAATGCAAAAGGGAGAAGCCAAAGAGGCCCAGCCAAAGAGGATGGGCGTGCTTCGCCGAAAGACGTGGAGAGACGTGCGCCAATCCCGAGCGCCTCTGCACCACGCTCGTTCTCTCGACGCACGTTGTCGTCCGACCCTGACCTTGTCGAAGTCGGTCTCAGTCTTGATTGGTGAGGGAGGGAGAGGCAAGGGGAAAAAAAATTAGGTCGCAGCGAGCTGTGTTCGTTCTGCACTAACGAGACCGATGATCAGAATTGCAATTCCACGCGATGCCCTCCCAATTCGCAGAGACCCTTTTTTATTAGTTTTTCTCCCATGTTGTGCGACATCTCATCGCTTGACTTTTAACTTCCGTATTAGCAGTTGTTGTGCCCTTATAAAAGCCATAGCTTGAGCGGACAGGCTTCAAGAGGGGAGAAGGGAAAGGGAGAGAGTAGTGGGAAATAACATCACGCTCAGAGCTGAGATAGACGCAAGTGCTTGTGTGGTCCGCCGGCTTTGAGATGCCGCTGCACGTGGGAGTGGAGATCGAGGCCGAATATATCCTCTCCTCTCTTATCCTCCATTTTTTTTTTTTTTGGTTTGTGGCTCCGTTGCTTGAGCGCGCTCGGACATTGAGCCCCGATTTAAGGCTCAGAAAAGAGAGGGCAACCTTGACGACCGCTTTGCCGTCTCTCTCGACCTCGACCTCGATGAGCATTGCCAGACAGCCATGGCAGACAGTCGCTACCTCGAGGCTTGGAAGCGCAATCAACTTCCTCCAAAAGCGGCGGTAGGAGCCAGCACGGCGAGCAAGGGTTCGTCGTACCAGGTTCGCCTCGACACGCCCGGGGGCGTCACGTACAGCCCCGACCAGCTGGGCTCACACAACCAGACGAAGCGCCTGTTCATCCCTTATGTGCTCGGAGAGGGCCTCACTCGAGAGGACGATGATCAGAACAACGAGGCGGGCACTAGAAGAGACGAGTATAATTTCGACGATGACTTGAAGGTCCCCTCTCCGTCAAACGAGAGTGGCAAGCTAGCCATTCCCACCCCAGAGAATGGCGATGACAAGCGACTCTCGGCTGCCCAGGCGTACGCCGCCTCGATCGATATGAATGCACCTCCGCCTACGCTTCCAGAGGCTCCGACAAAGGCGCGAGGAAAAAAAACTCTCTTTGCAATTGACGATGAGATCAACGAGTACACGCCGCCGGGCGACAGCTACGAATATGAACCGAGCGTCTCGCAGAAGACAACATCGGGTCTGTCGACGATGAGCACGCGGTCGACGAAGACGGTGGACCTCATCACGTCGTCGTCTGGAGAGCTGCCGCCGTGGTATATGCGCGCCTCGGCCCGGGCCAACGTCACTCCCTTGACCGTTCCTCCGAGCAAGACAGGCAAGGCCTCGGATCACAAGACTCCGTGGGCAGCGATGAAGTGGTACGGACATCGAGCGCTGGAGCGCCCTTCTGCGCGAGAGAACGAGCGAGGTATCACCGCTTTTGAAGACGTCGGCGGTCAGGGCCGCGTGCCCCGCGCCGATGAGGCCCTTGATAGCGACGGCAAGACGATTCGAGCGTCAAGCACGACGGCCACGGCGGCTACTTCATCCAAGAACCTCCGTGTGGCCGACGTCTTTGTGGTGGATCCCAGGCCGCAGAAGCCACTGCGCATGGTTCGACGTGTCGATCCCCGACAGGTCCTCGTCCTCGCCTCGGGCACCTTGCTTGCACCTGCGCAGGTGGCCAGCCAGAGAGCCGCTTTGGCTGCACGAGACGCCGGAGTCGACCTGTCAACGCTCTCAATGCAGGACCAGTCGAAGACGCAAAAGATGATCGCAGAGCAGATCAGCAGCGAGGCCCAAGGTGGCATCGGCGTCGTCTTTAGCCCCCATGACGAACCGCTTGCTCAAGATCTGCAAGGTATCGACGTCGATCCCAGGGCCGAGGTGAACCTCTGCCGAAGGCTTGAAGCAGCACCGACATTCACACCGACGTCGCTGCGGAGAGCCCAGCTTCGAGCTGTGCTGGCTGCAGTGGAGCTGTCGCAGTGGGAAGAAGAGGGCTTTGACAAGATCGTCGTGGGCACGGATCAGGAGTGGATCGTTCGTGGCATTGTTTACGAGTGAGTTTGGCCTTTGTCGTTATATGCGGTCGCAGGCCACCACGGTTGCTCATGACTCACACCCTGGGCAGCATCTGGCGGTGGAAGCATACAGGCTGGAAGCTGATTGACTTCGGTCCGCTTGGCGCACCGGGCGAGTCAGTACCGGACCGTGACCTCTGGGAGCTTCTCGACGAAGCGGTGAGGTCGTATGAGAAGATTGAGTGCGTTCCTCTTAGCCCTTCTTTTTCCTTTCCAAGCTTCTTTGTCACTTCTGGCAGGCTCACACACACGCACACTCCGCGTTGCTACACACACACAGTTGCAATGTGCGATTCTGGCATATTCACAAGGGCGACGCAATGCTCGCTAATCGGCTGGCCGAAATGGGTGCGCTCAAGTCAAAGCAACGGCCGCAGATTGTGAGGTGGAGGAGAAAGGGCTTCAACGAGGACCATGGCAAGGAGGAGAGGGAGAATGCCAGGAAGAGGATGCTCGAGACTATGATTTCATGACGTCGCAACCTGCCCGTGCCTGGTCGTTCGTTGTCTTTAGTCTAATTTTGTCTCCAATAATCTATATTTGTGTGTGTATATCCGCACCCGTCGGCAGCCCTTTCGACGTCGGCCCCCACGCCGACTTTGACCCCACTGGTGGTGGAGGTCGGCCGTCTGATGACATGAGCAGCATTGCTCTTCGCACCACCGCCACCGTATCATCACCACCACCACTACTACCAACAACTCGAACTTCAGCACGTTACCGCGGCAACAAGAGGTCTGTTATACATCATGTCGACCGTCCCACACATTAATGCGGCTCGGGGTCTGGCGCTCGGCGAAGCTCCCCGAGGCGAAAGAAAGCCCAGGGTCGTAGTGACAGGCGGAAGCGGAAAGCTGGGACGAGCGACGATAAGCCATCTGTCCAGCCAGGGCTGGGAGGTCATCAAGTAGGTTACCAGTGGGCGTGTTTGCAGAAGATAGCAGCTCGGCTGACGCAGGGTGAACGTTACGTCTAGCTTCGACATGCGAAGGCCTCCCACAGCGAGCGAGGACGGCAAATCGGGCTTGGGTGGCGCCTACCGGCTCGTCGAAATCGACCTGTCCAACATGGGCTCCGTTCTTGAGGCTCTCTTGGAGGTCGACATGGCCTACAAGGGCATCGATGCCATTGTGCACCTGGCCGCCATGCCTTCGCCCGGCCAATCGTCCTCGTCGCTGCAATTCAACACAAACGTGTCGAGCACGTACAACATCCTCGAGGCTGCCCGCAAACTTAACATCACCAACCTCGTGCTGGCCTCGAGCGAGACACTGATCGGCATCCCCCTCAATCCAACTCCGCCGGCGCGGCTGCCCATCACGGAAGAGTCGCCACGGCGGCCAGAGAGTGCCTACAGCCTCAGCAAACTCGTCGGCGAGGTGCTTGCCGACGAGTATGCCCGATGGCAGCCCGATGCGAAGCTCATCAGCCTTCGCTTCAGCAACGTCATGCTCGAGTCCGAGTACGCTGGCTTCGAAGAATGGCAAGACGACCCCATGAAGCGCTTCTGGAATTGCTGGGGCTACATCGACGCCCGCGACGGTGCCCAGGCAATCGAGCTGGCGCTCCAGTCGAAAAAGACGGGCCACCACGCCTACCTCGTCGCCAACAACAACACTTGCATGCGCAAGTCCTCGGCGGAGCTCGCAAAGGCAGTGTTTCCCAATGTCCCCCTCGACCCGCTTCCTTCGGCCAACGCCACTCTCCTCGACAATTCAAAGGCAAAGAGGGAGCTCGGCTTCGAGCCGAAGCACGACTGGTCATAGAAGAGTGATGCTGATCTCAATGAGGCTACTAGAGCGTGTCGGTCGCAGGGAAGACAAGAAGAAATGAAAGTGAAAATTGATACAGATAATGGTGACAGGTATTCATGAGTGAGAAATTGTCCGCGGATCAAGAGGCGCATCTAGCCAGCCTCCTCATCTTGAGAGGAAGCTTTGGGGAAGTCGCTAATCTGAGGAGAGGCGAGCGATTCGACTGTCTCTTCTTCCTCTTGATCACCATTGGCAGCGCTATCTTGCTCGGCGTTGGCTTCCTGAGAGTTGCGCTCTTCAGCAGACGATGGTGGCTCAGCTGAAGGATTCGTCGAGACAGCGGAAGAGGTCGCCGGCTGCGCGCCTTTCGACAAGGGCAAGGTCCCAATTCCAAAGGCCGACGACCGTCTCTTGAGGAGCGATGGGGAGACTTGAGGATTCGTGTTTGCACCAGCCATCATGGCCCAGAGATTGTTCGTGGGGTCCACCGAAGCATGCCGATGGGCTCGCTTGTTCAGGATCCTGTTGTTTGCTCCAGACCCGTCCTGGTAATCTCTTTGTCGAAGCGTTGACGAAAGAGAGCTGGCTGAGCCAGGAAGGCCAGCATCGGCGGAGTGCTGCTGATTGGGCAGAACACCTCCAGCAGGGAAGGTGGCCAAGGGCAGCGAGAGCCGCTTGAGGTGTCTGCTAGTCGATGTCTCGCTATTGCCAGTGATGGTACCGCTAGTCAGTCGCTCGTGGCTGCCTGCTGGGGTGAAGGGGCGCGAGCTCGTGCTTGTCAAGCTCGAAGCAGCCGACGAGGCCGATGGGGGAGGACCGAGTATGCTGTATGACGCTTGACCCCGCTTTCGGTCGAGCTGCTGGGCTGTGTTGATCTTGCGAAGCTCGTCGCGGAGCTGCTTGTAGGCTGTCCTGATCTGCGCTTCCCTTGCGCGCTGCTGCGAAAGCTGTTTCATCAGCGCCTCGATTTGATCGGCACGACCAGGTGGAATTCCGCTGCCCGGCTGACCGACATCGGGCGATGAGGACTGCGATGAAGTACCGCGAAGAGCGACGCTGGCTCGCAGTTCGGCAATGTCCTTTTCCTGCTGGACGACTTGGTCCCGGAGCGCATCCTTCTCCTTTTCCGACTCCTCAAGCTTGTTGGACAGATCCGTCATCATGTGCGTCGAGTCAGAGTCCGACGAGTTCTTTCGCTGCGCCTCGGATCCGTCGCCAGCCGCGTCGCCACCGTTGCGTGTGGCCAACGGGGACGAGCCGCGAGAAGAGGACATTATACTGGAGAGTTTGTGGAGATCGCCCTTCGTCTCCTCGTGAGCTCGTCTACTCTCTTCGAGCTCATCGTAGACCTCTCGCTGCCGACCCTCGTGAAGCTTGTGTGCGTCGGCCAGTTGTCTTTTTACGGCCTGCAACTCGTCGTTTTGTTCCCTCGCCTCCTTTTCTCTCTCTGCAGTCGTCGTCGCGTGCTGCTCAGCCGCCAGCTCGAGCGAGGCAATGCGATCCTGCATCGTCTTGACGTTGGTCGCGTGGAAGTTCTCAGCCGCCCCTTCACCTCCGGTGCCAAGGCCATCAACGAATTTTGCGTGTTGCTCCTCCATATCCCGGAGTCTTTCCTTTGTCGTCGCATGGAGCGCCTCCTCCGACCGCACCTTGCCCTGCACGCTGGCCAGGTCATCTTTCAGTGCCTTCATGCTCGACGACAGCTTCTCTCGCTTGCTCTCCTCCTCAGCAACCATCGTCTTGTACTTCAAGGTTTCTGCACGCGCCGCGACTCCCTCTGCGTAGGCCTTTTCTACGTCCTCCGTAAGCTTCGTGGCATTTGCGTGGTGCATCTCTGCTTCGGCCGTCATACTGTCGAGCTCGTCCTGGAGGTCATCGATTTCGTCGAGGTGCGAGTCGATTTCGAGCTGGTGAGTCTCAAGCATGTAATCCATGACGCTCCTCTGCTGATCAAGGAGGTCGAGCAGCTTGCGAATTTCCGAGGCAGACATCTCCAGCTTGTACGACATGGTGGACAGATACTGGCGAAGACCCTCGCTATCATTGACGCCGTCGAGAGGAGTTGTTGCACGAATGACACGCTCCAAGGTCTTCTTTTCGGCCTGTAGATTCTTGAACGCCAATGCGATCTCTGTTAGTGGTGAGGTTATTTTGGTTATTTGGGTCAGCGAAATGATCATGTCTTCAGACAGATGGTCATAGGACCAGAAGGCTCACCTCCAAAGGCGCCGGCAAAGCGACCCTCAGCTCGCTTGATCCTCTCGCTGTATGCACTCAAGCTCGATTCCGTCCTCTTCTCCTCATCCATCTCCTCCCTCCGGCTCTGAACTGTCGAACTCCTCCGCTTGAGCACATGGCCATTGCTGCTCGCGCTGTCAGGGAACAGACCGTCGCCATGGCCAGAGATGGAAGGTGTCTGTAAACCAGAAGAGGGCGGGACGCCCGAGAACGACGTCTCTGGGCTCTCGGCCTGTCTCGGTGTCCACACACCCTGATGCCCATGCTGGCTCAGCCGGTGCCCTGCCCCTCCGACCACTTGCGGCTGAGCTCCAACGTCTGCAACCGAGACAGTCTTCGCTTGTTGTGCTAGACCAAGCGAGATTTGCGACGAGGTTGATGCATTGTTCTGCGTGTGACCAGGCTTTGGCGATCGCCTCCCAAATCCTGACCAGGCGCTGGGTGGATGCGTTGGAACACCTGCCTCCCGACTGCCCTTGGCCACGGTCGACGGAGACGGGGATGAGGGGGCGTCTGTCACGGGCAACGTAAGCGTCATTGGCTTGTCCCCAGCAGCGGTGGCGCGTGTGCCGACGTCTGGGGTGGCCGAGCCCACGTCAGGGGACTTGGACGTCGCCAACTCGCTTCCAGACGGTGATCGCTTCTCGATGCTCGCCCGCACCCGTCCGACGATCTTCATCTTTTCGAGTCCAGCCAGAACCTCATTGGTTGGGCCCTGCCGACTTTCGAGGAGCTGAGGGCTGCTGACCGAGTGCGTAATGCCCCGCTGCTGAGGGGTGAACGATGACGGAGGCGAGGAGGCACCCTTCTCAGTAGCTGGCTCGCCCATGATTACTGAGCCGGTGCGGGCTACAGGCACGACCTGAGCCGATCTCCTTCCGCTGATGGACCCAACCCTGGTCAGAGTTTTGACAACCGCTGTTTCGGGCTCGCTGTCCGACACCGCATCTTCCTCATCCTCATCCTCCCCATCTACGTCCGCGTCGTCGTCGTCATCTAGGTTTTCTTCTTCGTCTCCGTCGTCTTCCCTGAAAGCCTCAGCTCTCTTCGATGAAGACGGTTCGGCTTCCGTCTCTCTCGGAACTTGCTTTCTTGTCACTGCTGAAGGAGCCGATCGCTCGTATGCCTCTTCGAAACTCTTTGACGGTCGTGCCAAGTCAAGCATGTCGCCATCGAGAAGCGCCATCGATGCCCGCTTCTCGTCATAGGTCATCTGGGGTGCCATGGTTGACAGCATCGCCTGTGCTCTCTGAGAGCCTGCTCTTGTCTGCAGGTGGCTTCCTGCCACGACGGCTGCCGTCGCCGATTTGCTGACGTCGGACGACATCGAGGAAGGCCCTGCTCCGTTTGCGGCATTTGAGATCGCCACATTGGCGATCGCAGAGGACTTTGTCGACTGGTTTGATGAGCGAGCGTCGCTGTTGTTGCTCTGATTGCTTGGCTGGTGAGTGTGGCCGAAGCCACCCTCGCTGCCGCTCGCCCATGGATCGCTCCCTCTCCTCTCCTCGTTTCTCTGGCCATGGCCGACGCCGCTTCCGTTGGTGTTGCCCTTTGGCAAAGTCCCGTTCTTTGCCGGAGTCTTCTTCATGACTGCATTACTGTAAGTCGAAGGCGTGGGAGGCAGCGGGGGCAGTGGCTCGTCAGGAGGATTCGTAGGCGGAGGCGTTCTTCCTCGAACGACTGGACTCTGCAGGGCTCGACTGGGCGTACCAGGAGCCCCTGGGCTGCTGGTATTTGCCGCAGTATGAGAATTGAGGCTCAAGGCGGCCGGCCTGCCCTTACGCTTGATGCCAGATGAAGTTGTGGACCATGGCGTCGAGGGCGAGGCCGTAGAGCTCGGCGAGAGTGCTGGGTTCGACATGGGGGTCCTAGTGGTGAAGGACGAAGGGCTGACACTCTCGGGTGCCGTCGCATAGCTGTCAATGCTTCTGAGCGACAAGCTGCCTGGGATTCCCGAAGCCTGGCCAATTTGAGGATTCAAAGAGGTGACCTGGCCCATGGCAGGGAACTCGGCCCCACCGATTCCCAGGCCAATGTTGATGGTTCCCACGGCGTCCCGTGGTGGAGGAACGCTCTGCTTGAAGAGGGCCTGCTTTGTCGCCGTAACGAGGCGCACATCGTCATAGTCGCCTGCCTTTGAGTTGCCGTCCGAATCTTGGGTAGATGCGCTTTCCCGCTTGCTGCTAGTAGCGTCACTGCTGCTTCCGCTGTCCCTCTGTCGACGGCCGCTCTGCTGTGCTTCAATGAGGTAGGGGAGTTCTTCGGGTGCGCTGGTCTGCGATGTGCCATGGCTATAGGCGCTCCCGCTGGGTCTTCGGCTCCCAGCCATGTCTCTGCCACTCGACGAGATCGAAGACATGGTTTCACTCTTGCTGTGCCGGCTCGAGTTGGAAAATACGCCGCTCGCTGGCGATACCAGCGTCTCTTCTTGCCCGCCAAAGTCAATGTTCTCCCGAAGCACATCCGAGTAGTCGGCCCAGTCGCCGTCAGCCCAGGCAAATGAGTCGGTGTGTCCCTTGTGATTTCGCTGTGCCTGTGGTCCATCCGGTCCCTCCTTCGAAGCCGACATGACCCGGTTCTGGGCCGTCTGATCAAAGTTGGTAGCCTTGGGTGTGCTGGCATCCGATTTGTCCGAGGTGACACCGAGAGCATCTTCGCTTCGAGCGCTGGCCGAAGACACGCTGCGTGGATCCTGGAGAGCAACGTCGGCACGGGGAACGTCGGCGACATCCGCCCCTGCGGCTTTTCGAGCATTGGCAGCGGCGACGTGCTTCGCTCTGGCAGCAATGGCCTGTGCAATGCTCTTGATGTCCGACTGGCTCGAGCTGGGTGACATGCCCCCTCCTGCACCGGCAAATGCCGTTCCTTTTTGGCCTAAGAGGGGTGAATCTGCCAAAAAGCCACCCTGCGTATCCGAGGCCGACGACGTCTTTCGCTGCGGAATGTTGGGCATCAGTACCCTCCTCGCCTTTGCGCTACTCCCCGAGCCCGACGAGTCTGTCCGGTGGCGGAGATCGGGCCGAATTGGAACGTCTTTACTGGAAGAGGAGGCTGAGATGCGAGGTGAGGCGGGTCTGGCCTTCTGATATCGGCCCTTGGACCAAGGCGAAGTGGGAGCAGACGAGCCCGAAGGCGACGCCGCTGCAATCTCGGGCGTCGTCTGCTGGGTGCTCGAAGGCGAGGCATCGATCTCGCCCTTCATCCCGATTTGCGCGGCACCCACGCCAGAATTTGGCGTCGCAACGTGCGAAGAGCCGGAGCTCTGTTGCCCCTCGGACACTGTCCGCTGCCTGAGCCATCGCCACGATGGCGACGGCGCCGCCTCTGTCGCCGGTGATGCATCCATCTCTCTTCTTCCTCACTTCTCCCACGTTCTCTCTCTCTCCTGCTTCTTTTTCTTCCCCTTTCTCGCTTTGCACGCTCGCCCTGTATGCGCTTGCAGACGCCCGGAGTCGTGCCAGGACTCGGACCAGATTCGCAGTCGCCTTTGTCGAAGATGCCGTTAAATCTTCAGGTCTCGCAACAGCTGCAAATCGACAAGGTCGGGGGGATAAGGGGAAGCCAAAATCAGGAAAAGAAAAGCCGGGCGTCTCCTCTGCTTTCCCACCCTCGTCGTGGTCGATGATGAATTCGTGGGACGATCGGGAGTTGAAAAAGGAAGGGATAAAGCACACCTTACTGCTGCTGCAGCTCTAACTCTACCACCACATCCTTATTACTACTCTCTAGTAATAGTACTGCTAGCAGTACACTACGCTATTAAATGCTTCTTCGTCGTCTTTCTTGAAAGGGCGAAACAAGCTTTTGAATAAAGAAATTGCTTCATTTGAAGTTTACTTTGTCTCATGGCCACAGATGTCTTTATATCCGGCCCAGCAAATGCTTATCATCGCTAGCAGATCCCTACAGCTGCCAGGTGTCGTCCTTTAGCGAACATAGGACCCCAAGTATACTAAACAAGCGGGCGAGCTCGCCTTTTTGCTCGAGCCGGAGAGAGAGGGGAGGCTATCATTTAATTGTTGCATCCAAGAGGTTCACATCAGGTTATCGTGTTCCCATCGTTCTGTTTGCTGTGCCTTTTTTTTCTCTGTCTTGGTTCTGCCGGCTGCATAGCAAACAACAACTTTTCAAAAGTCTGAGACAAGTGTAATTCTATTGGCAGCAGCTACTGGCCTACACGAGCTACTTACACACTATTTGCGTTTCTGCGCTAGAGAGGAGGACGGGATACACAGTGAGGAAGTCACGGACTAGCTGCGCTAGACAGAGACCTCACGCACAAACTGTCACGAGTAGGCTAAGTTAGGGCCCTAGACACAGACTGACGTAGCGTACCAGAGCGGCAAAATAGAAGGCGAAAGAGAGAGGCAGGGACTCTGGGCGAAAGCTCCGAGGTCCGGATCTGATGAAATGCAGAGAGCAGCGACTGCTACGGGCCACGGCACTAGCTGACGGAAAGACTATGGGGGGCAGGGGCTCTGCCGCTCGTTTGGGCCCGCGTAGGCAGGCCTGTTGGGCGATTCTTCGTTGGAAGCGGTTCCTGCTCCTGCCGTACTTTGTACGGGCACGGGCAGCGGCGGTTTCGTTGAGCCGCTCTTCATCAGTTTGTTCTCTGACGAAAGGTGGGCCCATGCCCACACGCAGGCATACACAGCTGCCAGTAATTCTGTACAGCTGCTTTGCTCGCGGCGTCCGAAAAGGGCTCAAAGTGTTAGCAAATCATTTTTAAGAGCAGCAGCTTCCTATTTTGGGTAGGCTCGTGCAGGAGGGTGCGGACCCCGCGGCTCCCCTCTTTGTGCTCGGAAGGAACTTCTAACGATGCACCTTTGCACATACGATGCAGATTGCTACGAACACTCTAGCTAGTACGTGCATTTAATCAACATGCACTTCGCTGGCGAGAAAAAAAAAGTTAGAAGGTTGACAGAAAATCCTATATAAGTGAGAGCAACTACTCTACCACTACAAGCAGTAGCTGAGCAAACCGTTGAAAGCACGGGGAGGTGGAAAGGGCATTTGTCACGGCTTGGGAACAAGACGAGGACGAATGCACGCATCTGCACAAAGAAATTTACTTCTTGGCCTGCTGCTGGTAGACGAGCTGCTCCCACTCGTCCTTGAGCTGCATCAGCTTGGGGTCGGCAAATGGCAGGACTTGTGTCGAGATGAGTGAGCCGATTCCCGTGATAGGGTCAACCTGGGTCCATGAGCGACTCCTGTCAGTCAAATGCGCATGCATGGAACCTTGGCCTTCCAATCACCACCTGCTTTGCACTCACAAAGTAGTAGCTGTTGCCAAGTCCCGCCCAAGCGTACGAGCCAGCGGGTCTTCCCGACTTTGTGGGCGCCGTAGCGAGGCTGAGGGAGGAGAAAGGGTCAGCTTGCTAGACTGGAAGCAAAGACGGGCAGAGAGCCAAAGCGCGACGCACTTCTGCTGCAAGAGGCTGACACAGTATCCTTTGCCCGTCGCCGTCGAAGGCGCAAACTCATCGATGTCGTAAGTCAAGTCGGGACGGCCCGTCTTGTAGTAGGGGTCTGTTGAAGAGGCAGAGTATGGCATGGACAGATGAGCCTGGAGCCACTAATTGAAGACGATGGGGGATTGCACAGTCCAGACTCACACGGCATCGCGACCTTTCCGTTCCACGGGTCTTCCTCGCCGAGCTTCCACGCCTTTTCACTAAGCAATTTGCTGTCGTGGTTGAGACACTGCAAGCATTCATGATTCATCCAGTCAGCGATCCAATCAGCGGCAGTATCAGCACCAGCAGCGAGGACTCACGGCACGGAGGAAATTCGAATAGGTGGGGACGGTGGTGTAGATGGCCGCACTGGCAAAGTGAGCCTGACCCTCGGGGGGATCGTCGGTGGCGCACTGGTAGACAGGCAAGGGGATGTTGATGAAGTCTGGTCCCTGGTCGCCACCTGGCCCCCTGACGTGGAAACCAGAAATGTCCTTGCCAGCTTTGATGATCTTGCTGTTCTGGATGGCCATTTCACTCTCGGTGAGGCCCAATGGCGTGAGGATGAGCTCACGGAAGAGCGTGGGCAGGTTCTTGCCCGATGCTCGCGTCGCGAACTGACCAAGCCAGTCGGTGACTGGCTGGTAGCAGTGCTCTTCACCCGCCTCGCGCACCCTCGGCACTTCAAAGTCTGCGATGCGGCCGGACACAAAGGCGAGGATGCCATGTGCTTCGCCTTCCGAGGGCTGATAGTACTCGACCATGTGCGGGTGGTTCCACTTAGTCGTCATGCAAGGAGCGAAGACGATCAGCATAAACGCCCCCCAAGTCTATCCACAAGAGACGGAACGGGCAAGACAGACTCACGTAGTAGGCCATGCCGGCACTGTGGGTGAGGAGATGTCGGAGCGTGACCTCACTCTTTGCGTCGCGCAGCTTCATCTCGCGCTTGCCGTCGGCGCCCACCGGTCCGTATCCCTCGATGATCTTGCTGACCAGACTTCCGCTTCCCACCTTGAATTCGGGCAGGACCTTGATCAGCTTCTCGTGGTTGTCGAGATCGTCGAGCGACCAGCCAGACACCAGGCCCTTGTCGAGCAGAGCCAAGACGATGATCGAGATGGAGATCTTGGAGGCAGAGGCCATCCAGTGCACCGTCTCGGTGCTCATCTTCTTTCCCTCGGGCGCTGCCTCGCTCCCCGGCACTGTGTGGTGGCCCGCAGCACCGGACCAGACTACCCCATTTCGGTCAAAGACGGTGCCGACGAAGCCTGGGGCGACGCCCTGCTTGACTTTGTCCTCGATGAACTGTTGGTATACCGACATGATATGTCCTGTTCCTGCTTGCTTGTTCTGTTTTTGGAGGGATGGTGGTAATGCAAAGAGAATCAGATTTAGAGGAAGAAGGAAGAAAGGGAAGGGAAGGGAGGGGTCCGAGCCTAGGCGGAAGCGGGGAAAATGTGGGGGCGGAAAGACCACGACCAATCATAACCGCACGGACAACAACTGTCTCACTACTCCTCCCGCTCATACTCTCTCCACACCGTTCCGTTCCTGTCTACTATAAGCCACGATTAAGTGTATATCAACCAAGTCGGCATTCCTAATAGCTACAGGGAAAGGAAACGCCGGGAACCGCACGTCTGTGCACCCATCAGAGCCGGTCGAAAAGCTTAATATGCTGGACCGAGCTCGACTATTTACCGGCTTACATAAGCTTCCCGCTCCGACTCTCCGCTTCCGTTCCGGGATTGCTAAAGTGGCCGTGCTCTTTGCCAACGTGGTCCCACCACTGAGACGCCGCGTGCCTTCGCTCGGTCAGATGCCTAGACGATGACGGGTCTGATGACAAAAGAAGCTCCTTCCCTTATCGAGACCCTGTGGACACATTGATCCATCCCTCTTTGCCGATTCTGATCTGAATGCAACCACGTGACTGTTTTAAGCTCGGTGGAGGGGAGCCCGGCGCATAGAGAAGATCATCAGCTTTGGGAGCCCGATCTGATCCCAGCAATGATCATCGCAACAGCCACCTGAGCGTGAGACAGGGAAAGAGACCTTGAACGCGCGGCTGTGATGGCCCAGCTGAGCGACCTGCCGCCCGAGATACTCCGCCTGATTGCTCAGCTCCTCTACCTCGACCATCTCCCACGCTCCATCTTTCGGTGCATTGACCCGCACGGCCTGCCGTCCACGTATGGAGACGGGCGTCTGATCTCGTCGACGCAGGCGGCTACCCAGTGGAACCTCTACTCTTTCTGCCTCGTCAACCATGCATTCTACCATGCCGCTCGTCCCCTGCTCTGGAGGAGGCTCCAGATCACCCTGCCCTACTCCTTCCTGCTGCTGCTGAGGAGCTTGGGCGCGTCTCGGCTCGCGCAAGCCTACGAGGATCAGAGGCACGATGACGACGACGACGACGATGGCGACGATGGCGGCACCCGAGACGAGAAGGAGGGAGAGTCAGAGGAGGGAGAAGGGCTGGAGGAAAGCGCACAAGGTCAGATCACCAAGATCAAACAGAAGAAGATTTGGGACCTGGATGACGCCGCAGGCTTCAATGCCATGCTCGCCGCCGTCGGCCTTGCGCGAGCGACGGGGGGAAGCGTCTATGTCTCCCAGGGACATGAGCACCAGCGAAGAAGCTCCTTGAAGGATCAAGACACCATCGGGAACGAGGACGACGAGGACGACCTCGAGCTCGTCTGGACCGAGGATGAGAGAAAGGGCGTGAGCAGAGGACGCTATCGGGTCACGTTCAAGCACGATCATCCAGACGTCGGGAGCAACATCCATCGCTACCCTCGGGTCCTCGACTTTTCCACATTCCGCACCCAAGGCATGAGGAGGACGATCGGAGAGGGGGAGAGCGCCCGCTTTGTGACCCCCTCCAAGCTCCTCGCCCTCATCACATCGGTCAGCGAAGGCCTGATGGCATTTGGTGCCAGCTCCACCATGGACAGCGCCCTCAGCTTCGAGGTCATGGAGGCACTTGTGAGTCTATTCTTCTGTCCTTTTCTCGCACTTGTATCAACACGCTGAAATTTTGGACCTCTTGTCTTGTCCAGCTTTTTCGTGATGGCGAAGTGGTTCGCAAAAGCGGCAGGCTTCGTGGCGTGTCGGTCGAGCGACGCAAGGATCGTTCCGGCAGTCGGAAGCGCAGGCTCCAGTCACTGGACCTCTGCAGCTGCACAAGCCCTTACTTTGAAGCTGCTTTGCAGAAATTTGTCAAGACGCATCTCATGAAGTTCAGTGGAAGGGCCACACAGACAGTCTTTGAGGAGATTAGCAGCAGCGATGCCCCGACGAGCTCCAGCTCTGAGGATGAAGAGAGAGACGTGGAAGAAGAGCGAGGACGACGCCGGTCGAGATCACGAGGGCGGTCAACGACGAGGAGCTTTTCTCAGCGGCCCTTGCAGACGTCCCGATCCATCTCGACGGGCCGCTACGGGGATGGCGACGATGATGAGGCTCCTTCGACGCATCCTGCTCGAGCGACTTTCTTTCCCTCTGTCCATAGGCTGGGCATGGCCAACATCCATTTCAGCCCCGAGGTCATTTCTCCCTTTGTGCTAGCTTTCCCCAAGCTCACCCATCTCGATCTGTCGGGTACCAAGGCGGACGCAAACTTGCTCGCGGCCTTGGGAGCCAGCCCGACAATCGACTTGCAAAGCCTCTCGCTCGCCCGTTGCAGTCGACTCACGTCGGAAAGCATCACGGAGCTCCTCGTTGACTCGCCTGTATGCGCCAACCTGACCGAGGTCTCGCTCGAAGGAAGTCTTATTTTCCCAACTCCATTGACGGCAGACGATCTTCGAACAATCATCACAACGTCGCCCCTCATGCGATCGGGTCGGCTTCGCTACTTGGATCTCGGAGGATGCGGGCTCAACGACGAGATGCTTGATGCCTTCCTGCCTCAACCGTGTCTCTTGGATCTTGGCCTTTCCTCGACGCCCGATGTATCACTCGAAAGACTAGCGCAATTCCTTCAGATCAAAGCGCCCAACGTCCAGGTCCTTGAGCTGAGCGAGAGCTGTACACCTCCTGGCACAAGCCTCAACATCGTCCGTCTCAACACGATTCTTCTCGAACCATGCGCAAGAACGCCTCCAATGAGCCTCAGCGAGCAGCTGGTTGCTATGGGATTCGCTCGAGAAGAGGAGCCCAACAAGACAGCGGCAGCTGCGCCGCCACCTGCGCCAAGGCGAGCGCCTACGAATCTACGTGTCGTCGGATTAGCACCGTGGACGCTCAAGTCGGTGGGCGGCGCACTCGGCACCTGGCGCGTCATCCTGGGTGCCGGACGCAGGGGCTGGCTCGTCGATGTCTCGGCAGGGCCAAACCCCGAGGCAGTCGACGAGGCTCTTGAGAGTCCCTCTACCTCGCTCGATGCGCCCATTGCATTGGGAGTAGGTGGAGAAGGCATGCTTCGAACAGGGTCATGGTCCTTTTCTTCTGGCCGACCTCGCAACAGTGGAAGCTTCGACGAGGAAGAGGAGAACGCCAGGGGCAGAAGGAGGAGGGGTGGCGGAGCAGGCACGATGGGCAGCTGGGAGCCAGAGACGCCGCCCTTGCGATCGGCGAGCCACTCAAAGAGCCCTGGCCCACCTCCTTCTTCGGCCAGGCTCGCCGCTGCCGCGATGGCAGGATCGAGAGGCATGGGTCTAAGGAGTGTCTCGTTGAGGCGAGCAGCAAGCAACAGTCAGAGCCGGAGTCGGTCTTCTGCCCTTGGCCAGCCCCTATCGACTGTCAACGACAGCGAGGGTGATACTGCCGCTGAGACTGCGTCTGCGGGCGGTCCAAGGCTCGAAATAATCAGGGATCTGCCCTCGAGCCATCCGAGAACCGTCTTTCTCAAGCAGCTCGCAGATGCCAACGGCCACGTCCCTGGCTCCACGGGCTGGCACTCGAGAAAGATGGAAGTCCTCCTGGGCTACGGTCTGCTGGGCAGAGAATCGGGCAGCTACGCTTTTGTGGCCTATCAGGCCTGATTGGGATTACCCTTTTGCTTCTTTGAAAAATGTACAGATACAATGCCTCATGACACATCATGACATGCATACTGGCGGTGGTGGACTACTTGTTGACCTGCAGCTCAATCACATCGTTGTCCTCGAGATTCCAGTGGGCCAGTGTCTGTTTCAGCGTAGCAGCTTTCGGACCCACTCTCAACTTTAGCCTCGAGGCGCCCACGGTCCCCTGCAGAACTTCTGCATGGATCCGGTCCCTAATCGAGACCATCGGTGTGTCTAGTGTGAGGCCTTCAAACGTAACCTGGCCTCCGTCGCACTTTTCCGAGACAGCCGGCGCATCGGGAAGCTTGACGATGACACGGATCGGCTGTGGATGGTACTGCAGCCACATCGCTTCTGGGTGGAGTTGGCCGTCGGGTAGCTTCGACAGGCCATAGCCCTCTGCACGTGGGCCCGCCGGCGCCGACGCGCCGTAGGGCGAGCTGACTTCTCCAGGCACCGCAGCAGGCGCTTGTGGCGCGCCCTCGGCGGAGGGTGAGTTCGTGTAGGGCGAGCCAATGGCTGGCCGTTGAAGAGGGGGTTGGTCGTAAGGCTCGCCTTCGGCCGGGCGCTTTTGGCCAGCGCTGACGGCGTCGTAAGGAGAAGATGGCGCGGCGTACGGGTTAATTCCTGCTTGGAGACGGCTCGGGTGGATGCCACCAAAAGAAGCCATGGGAGGAACCTGTTGTTGTTGCTGCTGCTGTTGCTGTTGCAGGTAGGCGTTGGGAGCCGCTGGCTCGGCAACGTAACCTCCCGGTACGGCCACCATGCTCGCAGGGGCCGGTGGGGGTGGCTGCGGCGTACCAAGCTGGGGCCCGATGTTGGCCTCCTCCTGCGTCGTTCTGAATTTGCGTTCGATGTTCGCCTTGGTCTGCTCCAAAACTTCTGGCCGATTGAATTCGTTCCGCGTCGTCTGCCGCGAGGCAGCGTGACCGTCCCAGATGATCTTCTCCTTTTCTCTTCTCTTCCTGTTCTCTTCTTCCTCCCGCCGCTTGACAGCCTCCTCTTCTTTCTCTGACCCAAAGATATCGGTTCGTTGACCAGCGAGTTGTCGGAGCGCCTTGCTCGGGTCCGCTCCTTCGAACAGTGCATTGTGTTGCGCTCGCTTTTCCTCGAGGTCTCGTCTTTGCTCGCGAAACTTTGGATTGAGAAGCTCGATTCTGACGTGCTCCTCCATATCCTTGAGAGGTACCGACTGCTTGCAGACTGGACAGATTGTGGTCTGAGAAGCTGATGCGGCCTTCCTCTCTGCTAGCGATTTGGGTTGATAATCTTTGCGGACCTTGATGCTGGGATTGGCCATAGCTTTCTTTGCGGCCTCGACTGGCTTCGCCTGCGTCTCCTCTGCCTCGTCATCGCTCTCATCCATCTCCATTTCGTCGTCGTCGTCATCTGCTGGTTTGGAGATATTTGCTGGAGCCTGCGCCGCACGCGCCTCCTCTGGGCCCGGAAGATCCACGAGGCCAACGGTGTCGAGGGCTTCCTCCTCTGTGCCTCCCTCGATCTCCATGATCATGGCTGCCATGCGCCGCTGAGCCATTGTCATGTTCTCAACCTCTCGCAGCGACATGGGGGGCGGTAGGTCGTAGTGCTCGTCCGCCTCTGTAAACTCGACGTTGCCCACGACGACAAAGTCCTGCCAGTCGATTTCATCGAATGCGGCTCTTTCCTTCTCCTGCTCATCCTCTGCCTTCTTCCGCCTGATTCTGACCCATTTCTGCCACTCGCCACGCGTGCGAGCCTCCTCGAGGATCTTGAGCCTGCCACCGCCCTTTCCGAAGCCCATTGCAGGTTCGGTTCCTTCCAATGGCGGGTCTGGTGCTCCGTAAGCATCTGTTCTGATCTGCCTCAAGACGTCCTCCGGGGCCTCCATGACCATACGGTACTGTTCTACCAGTCGATTGTAGTAGCCAAAGAGCGAGTGCGTTGGCCGCAAGAATTCAAACTGGTACGACTTCTTCTCGCGTGCCTGCAGCGCAGAGGCAAAGGCTCGACCCTTACGAGCGGTGAAGAGGGCTGTGAGCTTGATCACATCTCTGTAGAAGCAAGGCAATCAAGTCAGCACTATTCATCGTGTGATCTAGAAATGCAAGAGACTCACAGATCGACGGCGGTGATGTTGGGCAACTCTGCAGAGAAGACAAACGGTCTCGGCTCCTTCGGTTTGTCTCGCTCCTCTCTTCTCCTTTGCGCCTCGGCTGCATTCTCGCCATCAGCGGCCTGTACTGAACCACCTGCCCCGATGACATCCCCTTGGCTTCCCACGGCACTGGCGAGAGGACCTTCGCCTGTCCTGATGGCCTCGATTTTGGCTCGATAGTAAGCATTGTACGGATCGTTGTCGTTCAGGAAGCTGAACTTGCTCGAGCCAGAAGTGGTACCGTCACTCTTAATCTTCTCCTCGAATTGGGATCCATTTTTAGCGACAAAGGTGGCCGTCTTGTCGACCATGGAGCGAATGTCAGGTGGGGGATAGATGATGCCTCCAGTGCTGAAGCGATTCGCCGGTTGCTTAGCGGCAGGTTCTGCTGCTGCCGCCGCCGCCGAAGCCTCGGTGAGCTCGTCGACATCCTCGACCCTCGCCGCCTTGGGCTTCGGATCATTCTTGGGATCCGGCAGCACGAGACTCGGCGCCATTGTAAATGCGGTGGATGGTGCTGAGCGGCAGGTAGGTGGTCTGGGCGATGCTGATCGTCAAATCGTCAAGGGCACTTTTTTCCACGTGATCTCCCTCACCCAGCTCGCCGAAAAAATAAAAGAAATAAGCTTCTTCCTCTGACTAGATTGTCGTGGTAGCTAGTGAACGAGGAGATGAACGGCGGGAAGATGAACGGAAGTGCCGTGAGTAAGGAGGGAGAGGTCCATCATCACCATCGTCTTGCTGAATCTAAGAAATTAATCAGGAGCTCACGCCTTCGCTGGCGGAAGTGACGTCGTTGCTGCTGGGGAATGCAGCGAAGAATATCGAGTCCCAGGGCAACACGGTCCCTGTATACATGAGCATGCCTGCCGACCTACTGACGCCGGTCATGGCTTACCTTCGGCTTTCGAATGGCGCTTCCGATCAAAAGAGGAGCTTTCTCTGCGAGAGCGTGCAGACGGGAGAGAAGATCGGGAGATACAGCTTCATTGGATGTGGTGAGTGGCGAGCCACGACTAGCAGCAAACGCGGCGGCGGTGGGAGGGCTGACTGAATGTCTCGGCAGACCCATACAAGACCATCAGGTCTGGGCCTGGCCTCGATGTGGAAGGAGACCCGCTTGTGGCCATCCAAAAGGAGCTCGACCAATTCAAATACGTTCCCCTTCCTGCGTTGCCAAAGTTCACTGGTGAGGAATGCAGCCATCCCTCTGTGCCAGCCCTCGACTGACACTGTCTGTCTTGCGGACAACAGGAGGTGCTATGGGGTACGTCGCTTACGATTGCGTTCAGTACTTTGAGCCGAGGACTGCGCGGCCTGGTCTCAAGGACGCGATCGGGATTCCAGAGAGCGTCTTCATGTTCTGCGACTCGATTATCATCTTTGACCACATCTATCAGTCGATCAAGTTCGTCTCGCATGTCCACCTCCGGTCCGCGGAAGGAACATCAGTGCTGGCAGACGACATTGCAAAGCTGTACAGTGTCGCGGCGGAAAAGGTGCAGAGGCTGTATCAGTCGGTGGCAGGGAGCGATGTGACACCGCTGCCACACCAGCCTCCGATCCTCAAGGGCCAGGAGGCTGTGTCCAACGTGGGCAAGTCGGGCTACGAGTCGTTTGTCACTTCGCTTCGCAAAAACATCGTCAAGGGTGACATCATTCAAGCTGTCCCTTCGCAGAGGCTGGCACGCAAGACGACGCTGCATCCTTTCAACGCCTATCGGCACCTGAGGCAGATCAACCCGAGTCCATACATGTTCTACATTGATGCTGGCGATGCGAAGATTGTCGGTGCCAGTCCTGAGACGCTATGCAAGGTCGAAGGGGGTAAAGTCAGCGTGCATGCCATCGCCGGCACTATTAAGCGAGGCAAGACGGCGCAGGGTGAGTCTTGGATACTAAAGTTAAGTAATGCGAAGACCTCGCGCTGATGGTGAAACCGCCACCGCAGAGGACGACGAGCTGGCGCAGGAACTGGCAACCTCAACGAAGGACCGTGCAGAGCATGTCATGCTCGTCGACCTGGCGCGCAACGACGTCAGCCGGGTGTGTGACCCACGCACGACCGAGGTCGAGACGTTTATGCGCGTCGAGAGATTCAGCCATGTCATGCATCTGACAAGCCGCGTGACGGGCATGCTCCGCAAGGGAAAGACAAGATTCGATGCCCTCCGATCCATCTTTCCCGCCGGCACCGTTTCGGGCGCTCCCAAGATCCGCGCCATCGAGCTCGTCAGCGACCTCGAGGGCGAGAAGAGGGGCGTGTATGCAGGCGCCGTCGGCCACATTGACTTTGCAAGCGAGGAGATGGACGTCTGTATCGCCATCCGCACCATGACATTCACTGGCACACCAGAGGCGAGGACTGCCTACTTACAAGCCGGTGGCGGCATCGTCTATGATAGCGTAGAAGAGGACGAGTACGTGGAGACGATTAACAAGCTGGGCGCAAATGTTCGATGCCTTGATCAGACCGAGGGTGAGCTTCATTTCCCTATGCCCTGGTCATTGTCGCAGTCGCTGATGTGCAGCTTTTATTGTAGCATTCTACCTCGAGCAGCAGCAGAAACAAGAGCAAGAGCAATGAGGGGTGGAAGGAAGGTGCCAAGAAGGTGGCCATGTTGTAAGAATCACTTTCTCTTTACTCTCGCTTTTCTAATAAGCCAAGGCTTTTCGAACGACGTCATCTTCAATCAACGTCTTTGTGATGGCCTCTTCTCTATAGTCGTCAGTGATAAGCGTGTTGTTGTACGCCTGGAACTGGAGCATCGTGTGGGGTCGACTGCGCTTCGGGACGCCCTTTGCGGCGTAGTACGGCCACTTGGGCACTGCAGAGAAGATTGACAATCAGTGTTCGATTGACATCACGGAAGGGGAGCGAGGTCTTGGCTTTGAAGTCACTCACCGTTCTTGCCGCCGTTCGGGTGGCCCTTGTTAACAAAGTTGATCCAGGCGTCCATCATGGAGTCTGCCACGACGGCCCATCTCGACCCCGGCTTTCGATAGTCGACGGGCGGCCTCAGGAACACATACTGAGCCATGGGACGGAAAAGGAGGTCGTTGTCGGTGCCATGCGATACGCCCGTGTAGGCCTGACCGCCTGGCGAGGGCTCCGAGAGGAGATATGACCAGGCGGCGGATCGCTTGAGGCCTGCGGCTTGGTGCTGCGCATGCTGCCGGAGCTGGTATCTCCGAGGCGCTTGGAAGATGATGTCGCCGACTTTGCTCGTCAAGAATTAGCAACACGCTCAACTCCTGTTCAAGGAAGACAAGAAAGATCCTCACTAGCAGCTGCTGCCCGCTTGAATTGGTTCTCTTCCCCAAAAATCCGATCGTGCGGCTGCCCTCCCGTGAGCTCTGGTCGGAATGGGCTGCCGTGCTCTGGATCATCGGGCCATGCCTTGAGGATCGACTTGAGAACGTGGCGGTGGTCCGCAGGTGTCAGATCGTCCTTGACAACGACGGCTCTCTTCATCCACGCTCGAGTCACTGTCTCGTTGTGCAGATCGTGGGGCGTGAATGCAGTCCCTTCGTCGAGCTGCGCTGGAGTCAGTAGGCGGTGCAGATGACAGAAGACGCCAGCAGCGCTGCAGAGAAAGGCCACTCACGACATTTCCCATGAGCAGCGGCACGTCTTTGTATTTACCCTCCTTCCAGAGCTCAAAAGGACTCTTCGTGATGAATTCTTTGTCAAGCGTCGGCCAGAAGGGAAAGAAGGTTGGGCTCCTCCAGCTAGCAGCTTGATGCACACCCAAGACATACATCTTGGCGCGTGTATTTGCCTGCGATAGACCGACAGCTGGGAGCTCGCGGAGACACTGAATCTGATCAAAGGAGTCGGCAAAACGTGCGCAGGGTGTAGGGGCGAGGAAGGCACGCCAGTGTAGGAGGTGACGCGATGCGGTGGGTGGCGTGATGGCCATGCTGTCGAATTTAGGCTTCTCTGTCAGCCTCGAGGCTATATATGGAGATGGGATCGTGGTAGCTCACCTCGATCCTCCGCTCTGCAAGATGGCACGATGGAAAAGGTTCTCTCCCTTATCATCTCCTCCGTCGGCCAGGAGGTGAAACGAGACGCTCTGGCCTCCTGAGGACTCTCCCGCGATGGTGATGCTGTCAGGGTCACCGCCGAATTGCGCAATGTTTCTCTTGATCCATCGCAGTGCGCCTCGTTGGTCATGCAGTCCAACATTGAGGTCGACGTTTCCCTTTTCTGCTTGCTCGGCCATCGACGGTCCAGAAGCAAAGCCGTACACGCCCACTCGGTAATTGAATGTTACGACGATAATGGGCTGGCCATTGACAATAGATCTCCGCACCAAATTCGTCGGCTCGTAGGGAAAGTCGGCGCCCATGAGCCACGCGCCTCCGTAGATCCATACCATAACGGGAAGACGTTTCTGCATGGTAGAGGGACGGAAGACATTGACGCCTATTGGACAGGTCACCGTGCGCAGTGAGCACCCGCGGCAATGGTATGAAGGCAATCGCCGAGACTCACTCAGGCAGTCCTCACTAGAGGCCTCTTGTGCACTTCCTTCGGGTATTGGCGGTCGATAGGCCATGAAAGGTGGCGGAACGTATTGTCCACAAGATGGTCCATAGTACGTAGCATCAAAGACACCATCGGACCCTGTTCGGTTGTGAGGATCAAGCCGGTCCGGAAGAGGACCCTCCCAAACCATCTTCGGTCTTCGAAATCTGAGATTTCCGAGCGGAGGTAAAGCATAGCGAATGCCTCGAAACGCTTCTAGTTGGTATTGTTCGTCTAGAACGCCCTTGAAAGAGCCCTGGACGCGATGCAATCGAGGTCAGCGCCAGCTAGTAGTGGCTAGAACAAGAAGAGGGAAATTCACCTGCTCCAAGCGCACAAACGGGCCAGTCTGCGGCACCGTACCGAGCCATGTTGAGGCAATCGTCGCTGCTATGAGTATGGCATGAGGGAGCAGCAGGAGCGTGCTCCCCAGGATGGACCTCCTGGCAGCGGGACTATGATCATCGCTGCTCATTCTTCTCGTCCACTCTGTCGCGCAATTGTGGGGATAAGCAGCAAGATGGAATTCAAGACGAGCTTAATTCGAAGCACGTGTCGTTGAAGGAGAGATACACGTGCGTCTGCTGTCGAAAAGTCAATTTTTTGCCTCTTGAAAGTTTCGTCCCCCAGCCTTGCTCCTCTCAACAGCCACTTCACGTCTCCTTTCCTCTCTGTGGAAGTGATCCTTATAGAAGAACAGCATCAATAGTGGCAGCGTCGTTGCTTCGAAGCTCTCTCGACACACTCTTTTCCTCCTTGCATAGACAACCAACTCCCATACCACTCATCATGTCCTACGGAAACGGATACGGCGGCGGCGGCGGCGGCCGGAGCAACGGGTGAGTCGATTTGTCCATGGCCTTCCTGTGTCCCTTCTTCCTTCTCTATCGTGTGCATCTTCTACCCATGCTGTGCTCTGAGTAAAGCATCGTGGAGGCGGATGCGCATTATCTTTATCAAATTATCATCCTGGCTCTGCCTTAGCAGGCGAGTCGCGGGATCGTCGACTGACTCGCGTTTGCCTCCTTCTCATGACCTCGCTCCTCGATCGCGTGGATGGTGTTTTCCGTATGTCACTCATCCTCTGTGGTACTGTCTTGCTGACGATGAAGCTTCGACGATAATGCGTACCTTGAAAACGGAAATGACAACAGCTACTCCAATGGTGGTAGCTACGGTGGCGGTGGCGGTGAGTTCCCCGTTCAGCTCACAATATTGTGTTCCAGATCCACTGATATACTGTTACAATTCTTAGGATACGGTGGTGGTGGCGGTGGCGGTGGCTACGACAGCTACGGAGGTGGCGGTGGTGGTGGCTACGGCGGCGGCTACAGTGGCGGCGGTGGCTATGGCGGTGGTTTCGGCGGTGGCGACCGTATGTCCAACCTCGGTTCTGGTCTCCAGAAGATCGACTGGGGTACCGCCAGCCTGACACGTTTCGAAAAGAACTTCTATGAAGAGGACAGGCGAGTCACCGCTCGTAGCGATGCCGAAGTCGCCAAGTTCCGACAAGAGAAGGAGATGACCATTGCCGGAAGTGGCGTTCCTAGGCCTGTCGAGACATTCGAGGAGGCCGGATTTCCAGACTACATTCTCGCTGAAATCCGCAAGATGGGCTTCTCCAACCCCTCTGCCATTCAATCTCAAGCGTGGCCCATCGCTCTGAGCGGCCGCGACGTTGTCGCCATTGCAGAGACCGGCTCAGGAAAGACCATCGGCTTCGCGCTGCCTGCCATGGTCCACATCAACGCACAACCTCTGCTCGCGCCAGGTGATGGGCCCATCGCACTCATGCTTGCACCGACACGTGAATTGGCAGTTCAGATTCAGACGGAGTGCAGCCGCTTTGGTGCCTCGTCTCGTCTTCGTAACTGTGCCGTATACGGAGGTGTGCCCAAGGGCCCGCAGATCCGCGACCTTTCTCGCGGAGCAGAAATTGTCATCGCTACTCCCGGCCGTCTGATCGACATGATCGAAGCCGGCAAGACCAATCTGCGCCGCGTCACTTACCTCGTCCTCGACGAGGCCGACCGCATGCTGGACATGGGCTTCGAGCCCCAGATCCGCAAGATTGTCGACCAGATCCGCCCAGACCGTCAGACTCTCATGTTCTCGGCCACATGGCCAAAGGAGGTCCAGCGGCTGGCAAACGACTTCCTCAACAACTTCATCCAGGTGAACATTGGCTCGATGGAGCTTGCGGCCAACCACAACGTGAAACAGATTGTCGAAGTCTGCGATATGTACGAAAAGAGGGGTCGCCTGATCAAGCATCTCGACCAAATCAGCCAGGAAAACGCAAAGGTTCTCATCTTTACCGGAACGAAGCGTATCGCCGACGACTTGACCAAATTTTTGCGCCAGGACGGTTGGCCGGCACTGGCCATTCACGGCGACAAGCAACAACAGGAGCGTGACTGGGTTCTTGCCGAGTTCAAGAGCGGTAGGAGCCCCATCATGGTGGCGACAGCTGTTGCCAGCCGTGGTCTCGGTGCGTATTGATTCTGCAGATGTCCCTTTTCCATATTTGCGGTGTTTTAGGGGTCGAAACTGGCAAGGAAGGCAGAGGAGAGACCTCTCACAAGTTGACACCTCCACTGATATTGAGGTATCTATGAGGTGTCTACCAAGAGAGGTGCAACGCTCTCCTCTTCCTCTTACCTTTCTTGTCCCAGGTACGACCTCATCGAGAGCAGCACTGAAGGCCCTCCTTCGATTGAGGAAGGCTTTCTTGCGCAGGACGTCCGATATGCCGTCCGATGGCATATCGAGACAGGACAGCAGCGCCTTGGCGCTAAAGCAGCTGGACAATGAAGAGGTGGCCTAGCAAAACCCCGGCCATCCTCTCGCATCGTCAATGTCAGCTGCTTTGGCGCATTGCCTCCTACCTCGGTAGTGAGGGCTCGGCTGCTGTCCGTGGCCACGAATAGTTGCCAACGAGGTAGGGCTTTGGTCACACCCGACGGTCGCTGCTGCCGTCTGGGGTTTAGCTCGAAAGTCCACCTCTGCACTAAGCCTGTCGATCGCCTTCGTCACCCTCGTGAGGTGTCGAAGCTCTCACACCAGCCCCTCTCGGTCAGCGTTTTCGAGGAGCGAAGGCGGTCATTGTACCGCATCGTTCCTCTGACAGATGCACCTGTTGTGACAATAAGTCTCATCGCCTTAGTGGCGTATGCTTACCGAAATTCTCTCTTTCCTTCCATGTCCCTTTTTGGGGTGTACGCTACGCTTTTGCATCTGCTCGCTCCGCTTGCAATGCAATCGTCGTTTCTACCCCCTCTCCAACTCGTCCTTCCAATTGGCCATCCTCGCAAACCGGTGATCCTCGTCGACGGCCACGTCTCCTTTCTCCGTTTCTACTCACCCCCCTTTTGAAATCTCGTCCCCGATCGGGTCACCCATTCACATTACAGATGTGAAGGACATTGGGTACGGTGAGTGTGTCCTGGGTCTCTCTCCCTCCCTCGAGATTATTCGATCGAAACTGACGAGGTCTTCCGACAGTGCTGAACTACGACTTCCCTACCAACACCGAGGACTACATCCATCAGATTGGCCGTACCGGCCGCGCTGGTCGCAAGGGAACGGCCATCACTTTCTTCACTTCTGAGAACAGCAAGAGCGCTCGTGAGCTCATCGACATCCTGCGCGAAGCTCAGCAGGAGGTGCCTCCCGAGATGGAGGAGATGGGTCGCTACAGTGGATACGGTGGTGGCCGCGGCGGCGGTCGCGGAGGCTTCCGCGGTGGTCGTGGAGGAGGCCGCGGCTTCGGTGGATCTAGGACCGGCTCCAACGGCATGGCCATGGGAGGCGGCGGCGGTGGTCGTTGGTAAAAGACCGACGGATTGCGCTATCGCTGAAACCTACGTATTCTCTTCCGTCGATCACTCTCAAATTTCGATTCTCTCGTTACCGTCAAGGCCCCCCATTCCACTTCCCTGAAATCCTCTCCACCTCGTCTACTTCGATGTTCAAAAGAGGTGGCTGTCAGCCCTTTCTTCGAACGGTCTTCCTGCTGGAGCGATTCGGACGGCGATTCGTGTGGAAGTTTCGTTGTCTTTATTGAAGCAGACAATGCTCTTTCGCCTCTCGCCCTCAATCGCCTCCTCTACGTCGTGGCCGCAATCTCTCCCCTCCGGACTGGATTGCTCTCTCGACGCCATCGATTACCGTCACCTTGCTGGGTACCTACCTCCTTCGTCTTCGGAGCTCTACGGTTCCCCAACTTCGTCTTGTCTCGCCTGTACTATTCTTTCCCCACACCAACACCAAAATCGGCTCTCTCTTTCAGATGTAGAGCTCATCACCAAATCTATAGAGGTTCCTTGTTCTTCCACGTGATCTTTGTGCGAAATTTTGCTGAGAAGTGACGATGTGATTCTTGCAAGGCGAAGTAATCTATCAACCCAGCTGCAGGTGGTGGAAGCCGAGGCGCGAGTGCGATGCAGCGGGCTGCATCATGTAGCAGGAGGCTACTAGGGAGAAGGACGAGGTCCTTTGAGCGTGCTTTCACTTCATCTTCGTCCGTGCAGCTGACCAGAGACGGACGCCGAGTGGTCCTGGGGATCGAGAGGTTCGTTCCGATACTCTTGGAGGTTTCCGTCCGATTAGGCTAACGCCCGTACCTTCCCAATGAAAGCTCCTGTGATGATTCATGCGCCGCCATCTGCGTGGCACCTACCACGTACGGCGAAGACATCATCTCTGCCTCGTCCGAGCGTCTCAGGAACAGCGATGGCGAAGCCGAGTTGGTCTCGTCGATTGTCTTGAAGCAGGATCACAGTCTGACGTCGGGAATTCAGCCGCTGATCGCCGCCAATTCGCATGCCGCCTCCCTGCCTCACGCCATCGTCGCTGCGCTTCGGGAGGCGAAGTCCAAGGGCTTTATCGCGTCCATCACCTCCCCCGTCGAGATCGATGCCATTGCCGTGACCCAAGGACCAGGCATGGGCGCGAGCCTTGCGTCCGGGCTTGGGCTTTCCAAGATGCTCTCCGCGCTGTGGGAACGGCCACTGGTCTACACCCATCACATGGCCGCCCACGCTCTCACACCATTCCTTCGGACGACGACAACCACAACTGCTCGTCCTCATGCCCCAACGCTCGCCTTCCCGTTCCTCACCTTGCTCCTCTCAGGCGGGCACACGCTCCTCGTCCTCTGCAGAGGCCCGCGGAGCTTCAAGATTCTCGCTACGACGAACGACGACTCGATTGGGGACGCTTTTGACAAGGTCTCGCGAGGCTTGAAAATTGATGTTGATTGGGCAAGCACCAGCCCAGGTGCGGCCTTGGAGGCCTTTGTGACGCAGAGAACGGAAGGAGGGGAGCAAGAGACCGAGGACAAGACCGCCTCTAAGAGATGGAGCTTGCCTGTTCCACTCAAGAACAAGCCGGAGTTTTCCTAGTGAGCGATGTCTGCTTTGCGAATTGATGCACTCTTTAACACTGCTTTGTCTTTCTCCCCAGCTCCGGCCTCAAATCGGCTGTCCAGCGACAGATCGAGGAGCTCGAAAGAGTTCACGAGGGCCAGATTCCTGATTCCGATCGACGTTCGCTCGCACGCGCATTTCAACTGGCGGCCTTTGCACAACTAGAGAGCAAGATTCGAATGAATCTTTCCTCGGAAAAGCAGGGGGAGGCAATCAAGGCGCTCGTGGTCTCGGGCGGAGTAGCTTCGAATGAAGTGCTCCGAAAGAGGCTCAGGGGTTGTCTGGATGACATGGGCAGAGGCGATGTTGAGCTCCACTTCCCACCGTGAGCTCTTAGACTTCTAGTTCCCTTTTGTCGGTGCGAGCTGACAAGCACTCCCACAGAATATCACTCTGCACAGACAACGCAGCAATGATAGCCCACGCTGCGCTTCTAGACTATCAAACGACATTTGACCTGACGAGATCGCCTCGGGCCAAGTGGAGCCTCGAGGATCTGTAGACATATCATCACAATCTTCTCTTCATAAGAGACTCTATAATAATCGCAATCTCTGTAGTGTACAATTATCACATCGTCTCTAATTTGCATGGGAGCTGACTGCTTGCGTACACCTCTGACAAAGTAGCTCCGACTTGGAGATCTTTCGGTAGGTCCGACAACGGGGACAATCATGACCCTTGGAGGGCGATATGGTGATGAGAATATTTCCTTGGCCCTTTGCTTCGCTGATGCCAGGAGCGTCACCACCTGTCTTGCTTGTGATGCTCACACTTCGATGCCAGGTGCCTTCGCTGTCGGCCAAGGAGGCCTCATCTCCCGCGCTCACATCATCAGAGTGGTGGAGGCGGACGTGCGAGACGATAAAGAGGCGAGCGAGCTCGTCGGCTAAGAATAGAGTGGACGATTAGCATGAGAGAATGCAAAGCTTTCCGGAAAAAGGTTGATCTCACCTCGACTCGTCAGCAGCGATGCGAGTGTGTCCGGTGGCGATGAAAGAGGCAATGTGATATCGACATCGACTTCAATCGCAGACTTCATCAACCTGGGGACAAGGCGAGTTAGCTTTGTACTGTCAGACAAGTGCAAGGCAAAGATGAACCCACTTTGCTTGCCTAGCACTCTCAATCAGTGACAGAATCTTGTCCCTAACGCTGAGCAGCTTGTTCATCTCTGCGTGCGCATTTTCGTCCTTCCACATCTCATCCACCCCTCTCCACCCCCCCTCGAAGAAAGAAAGATGCTCCGCTTCGTCGTCTGGACTAGGATCCTTTGTCGCGCCTCTTCGAAAGTGGTCAATCTCCTCAACGAGATGCGGCGTAATGGGTGCCAAGATGCTTGAAAAGGTGTCGAGGATCTGTGACAGAACCGCAAGCGCGTGGCTTCTCGTCTTTGAATCGGGCGAGTCAGCATAGAGGCAGTCCTTGGCTACGTCAAAGTAAAGCGTCGAGAGCGTCGATGAGGCAAATTCCGATAGCCGCCGAACCACTTGCGGGAAGTCGAAGCTGTCGTAGGCAGATTGGCATGTCTGGTCGAGCGTGTAGAGCTGGTGAAGGATGTATCGGTCGAGAAGGGTCATCTCTTCTCTTTGTTTGGGTAGAGGGAATGCTTTCCCGGAAGCATCGGACTCGGAAGGTGTTGGGAGATTGGCGAGCATAAATCTTGCGGTATTCCTCAGCTTGCGAAGTGCCTCGGAGGCGTGCTTGACAATCAGAGTTCCCACAGGGATGTCTGCTGTGTAATCGCCTCTCGCAGCCCAGAGCCTGAGCACGTCAGTCCCATAGGCTGGATCGCTTTTCTTCTTGGGCCCACCCTCGACAAAGTGCAAGGGCGAGATGACGTTACCGATGGATTTGGACATTTTTTGACCGCGTTTGTCGACGACGAAACCATGTGTCAGGACCGTCCCGTATGGTGCAGAGACGGATGCGCTTTCGCTGCTGTCCTGCGTGGCTACATACGTCAGGAGCGAGGACTGGAACCAACCACGGTGCTGGTCGGTCCCTTCGAGGTACACGTTCGCCACTGGCTTATTGACTGGCTTCTCCCCGCAAAGTAGGCTCCAGCTCGTTCCGCTGTCGAACCAGACATCGACCGTGTCGATCCCTTTCCTCCATTCCCTAGCCTCGTGCTTGTGCTCTTGCGCAACGAATTCGTCGGCCGTGCCTTCCCACCAGTAATCAGTTCCCTTTTCCTTGAGTGTGGCAATGATGTGATCGATGTTCGCTGGAGTCAAGAGCGGTTCGTCGTTTTCTGCGTTATATACGACGGGGATAGGAACGCCCCAAGCCCGCTGCCTAGAGATGCACCACTCGTTGCGCCGCCTGATCATGCTCGCCATCCTCGTTTTGCCCGTGGCAGGGACGAAGGTCACTTGCTTGAGAGCTGCAATGGCCGCGTCCTTGATTGGCTCCAGGTTAGCGAACCACTGCGGCGTGGTGCGGACGAGTACGGGTAGCTTCGATCGCCAGTCGTATGGGTATCTGTGCTGTAACGGCTGCTCGCAGAGAAGGACACCGGCCTCCTCGAGGAGAATGACAATCTCTTTCGTCCCCGAACCAAGGACAGTCTTGCCACTGAGCTCCTCGGCAGACGTTCCTGCTATCTTGCCAATCGCTGCGGTAAACTTCCCCTCGTCATCGATTGGTGAGAGGATTTCCTCCTGGGCGTATTCGGCATTTGATGCGCGGTGAGCCTGCCATGCCTGGTAGTCCTCGATGCCATGGCCTGGTGCACAGTGGACCAGCCCCGTGCCGGCGTCCGCTTCCACATACGAGGCACCTAGGATTGGCCGAGACTTGGCATGCGGAGGCAGGAAGTTGTGTCTGTATTTGGAGTCCAGCAAGTCCGATCCCGAAAAGGAGAGGAGCTCCTCAAGGGGACCAACGAGGCTGCGTTCGCTTGCGCCAGGTCCGACCTTGCCAACTTTAAGTCTTTGCGTGGCACTGATGCGATCTCGAGCAAGAACGAGAAGTTCATCCTTGAGGGCGCCCTCTGTACATCGAACGAGACTGTAGTCCAGCACTGGGTTAACGGTAAGAGCCATGTTCGAAGGAAGCGACCATGGCGTCGTCGTCCAGATGATTGCGCCAATGCCATTACGGGGCACTCTGATGTTGCTGCTCTTGAGCAACTGATCGAGTTTGGGGCCCACCTCAAGCTCAAATCGGACGTAGACCGAAGAGCTGAAGTGGTTCTCGTTGTATTCGAGCTCCGCTTCGGCCAGTGCCGTGCCAGACGAAGGCGACCAGTAGACGGGTCGCCGAGCTCGATAGATGAGACCCCTCCTTGCCATTTCGCCAAAGATTCGAAGCTGCCGCAGCTCATAGTCCCGATCGAATGTCCTGTACGTCGTCTCCTCGCTCCAATCGGCCATGATGCCAAACTTTTGGAAAGCGACCCGCTGGATCTCGATTGCCTTTGTCGCTTCCTGCTTCGCCGCCTCTCGGAGCATTGTCGGTGGGATCTGCTTGTGCTTCATGCCCTTAAACTGCGGTGCACCAACCGCTTTGCTTTCTATCGGAAGGCCGTGGCAGTCCCACCCTGGTCGATAGTCTATCCGATTGCCCCGAAGCAGCTGATAGCGATTGACAAAGTCCTTTGCCATCTTGTTAAGGGCGTGGCCCATGTGCAGTGGACCATTGGCGTACGGCGGGCCATCGTGCAGCGTAAACGTCGGCCGATCGGCCTGCTCAGCCTGCCATCTGTACAAATCGGCACATGTTCGCTGCCGAAAGAGTATCTCGCGCTTTTCGGCGTTGGCGCGGATGTCAAAGGGCGTCTCGGGCAACTGGAGCGTAGCTTGCAAGCCCTTTGCCTTGGCCAAGGCTTGGTCAGAGGAAAAGGCGCGACAACGGCCTTGCCGAAGAGATGCTTGGTGCTCGTGAAGGTGCGCGGTCCATCTGGCGTGCGCCGGCAAAGGCCGCAGCCGGAGTATCGACAACATTGTGTCGTCCCCTTTGAGGCCCAGAAGATCAATTTGAGAAGATCAGCAACCTCGTCCTAGCAGCTGCGACAAATTTTCGCATTCACAACCCGAAATCCGAAGCTCAAGCCCCAAAGGCAGGGCGTCGACTGCCTGGACCCTAAGATGAGGAGTCATTTGGTCCAGGTTGAGCGGAGGCCTGTGCACAGTGTGATCCTATCCCTAGCCTGCAAAGCGGTGTGCAAAGCTGGTCACGCCGCCAGATGAAACAAGCACACAAGTCAAGTGCGGGCGGGTCAATAGCAAGATGGTCTTGAAGTGTGTCGTGTGCCTCGAAAAGAAAGCACGGACCGCGCGCGCACACACACTCAAAAACTCCACCTTCCTTTAGTCCAACTTCTTCCCTCTCAACTTCTTGCAGCCTCTGCTCGATGAAGAGGTCGAGGGACTCTTCGCCCGCACCAACGAATCAACTCAAACCTTCAACAAAAGATACCGATCTTTCAAACGGACTCACTAGCAGCGACACACCCGACATGGCCACGGCTTGCCCCCATCTCTCGGCGGCTTTTTCAACGCTGTCGCCACCGAGGCCGAGCCAGCAGGTCCACCGAGAAGAGTGCACGCAGTGCTTTGACAACCAGGATGGACCCGAGGGAATCAACGTCTGCCTCTCTTGCTTCAACGGAGGATGCCTGGCCAACGAAGATCGCAACCACGCTGCGTTGCACCACTCAAAGACGGGCCATAACCTCGTCGTCAACATCAAGAGGGTGCCCAAGCCGAGGGCACCTGGCCAGGAGGACATGCCGTCAGAGCCCAAGAAGCTCGCTATTGCTGCTGAGACGGAAGCGGACAAGTACGACTTTATCACGACACCAAAGTGCCTCGCATGTCAGGGCAAGGAGCTGCCCAGGACAGACAAGGTGAGGGGAGAAGCAACAAAACTGGTGCGCCCAGCAAGTGTCACGAGACTGACGATAACTGCCATCACTCCTCCCGCAGCTCGAAGAGGTCATAGGCGGCGTAATGAAGGCTCTGTCTTCTGCTCAACAATCAGAAGTCAAGGCATGGGAGGAGGAGATTGTGCCGTGCAACCACACACGCGAGCTCAAGCAGCTGGGTGAACCGACGAAGCTCGAGCTGAGCGAGCTGGCCAAGTGCAAGAAATGCGACCTCAACAGCAATCTGTGGCTCTGCCTGACGTGAGTTGTCATCCTTGCTTGTTCTGCTGTGTGCCCCGCTCACGGTCTATTTTCTTCACTCCACCAGCTGCGGAAACCTGGGATGCGGTCGGGCTCAGTTTGGAGGCGTGGGTGGCAATAGCCACGGCCTGACGCACTTTGAGGAGACAGGCCATCCCATCAGCGTCAAGCAAGGCACCATCACCGCCGAAGGCACGGCCGACATCTACTGCTACGCCTGCAACGACGCCAGAATCGATCCGGAGCTGGCGAGCCACCTCAAACACTTTGGCATGAACGTCATGGACCTGTCCAAGACCGAAAAGAGCATGACGGAGCTCCAGCTCGAGCAGAATCTCAAGTTTGACTTCAACATGACAGGCGACGATGGAAAGGAACTCGAGCCCGTCTATGGTCCTGGGCTGACGGGCCTACGCAACTTGGGAAACAGCTGCTACATGGCTTCGGTGCTCCAGGCCCTCTTCTCACTGCCCAGCTTCCAGTCGCGCTACTTCCAAGCATACCGACCCCATACGATGGCGTGCACCAACCCGCTCCCTGCCAGCTGCTTCGAGTGTCAGATGACCAAGATGGCAGATGGCCTCCTCTCTGGCCGCTACTCGGTGCCCAGAAGACGGCCAGACGGCAATGAATCGTCTGAAGGGCCCATCTTCCAAGAGGGCATCCGGCCGAGCATGTTCATGGCCCTCGTGGGCAAAGGCCATGAAGAGTTCAGCACGATGCGCCAGCAGGATGCAGATGAATTTCTCAAACATCTCATCTCGTTCATCCAGCGCGAGAACCGCAAGATGGACAACAATGCGGCGGTGGGTGCACCGACGTCTGATCCTACGAAGAGCCTCGGCTTCGCATTGCAACAACGGCTACAGTGCACAGAGTGCAAAAAGGTGCGGTATACGGTCGAGCCGCAAGACGCCGGCCTCAGCTTGCCTGTGCCTCTCCGTATCAAGGCGAAGAAGGTAGACGCACAGCAGGGCGACGGTGATGCCAAGCAAAAGGCGCCGGCGGAAGGCGTTCACGCTGAGCAGGACACAAAGGCCAACGCGGCAGACGAGGTCGAGTACGAGGATGTTGACCTGCGCGAGTGTCTTGACATCTTTACGGCGCCCGAGTCGCTCGAGTACAAATGTCCTTCGTGCAACAAGAATGTCATTGCGACCAAGCAAACGCTCTTTGCGACGTTTCCCGACGTCCTTGCGATACAGGTCCGACGCTTTCAGCTCGTCAACTGGGTGCCTCAAAAGGTCAACGTGCCCATCCTTGTTCCTGTCATTGGGCAGGACCTCTCGCTGGACCGGTACCTCGGCACAGGAAAGAGGGAAGACGAAGAGGAGCTGCCCGACACGAGCCCAGACGAGGGACAAGGGCATGCAAGCAAGAGTGTGGAATTCGATGCGGGCGCCATGTCCCAGCTCACGGCCATGGGCTTCCCTGAGGTTCGCTGTCAGCGCGCGCTCCTTGCCACGGGCAATACGGGCGACGCAGAGGCAGCCATGAACTGGCTCTTTGCCCACATGGAAGACCCAGACATTGACGATCCAATTGATCTTGCTCAAGCCGCGTCCGCGGCCTCGGGTTCTGGACAGGCTGCAGGCCCGGACACATCGATGCTGGAGGAGATGGGCTTCACCAAGGCGCAAGCGAACAAGGCCCTGCGGCTGAACTCGAACAACGCCGAGATGGCTGTTGCGTGGCTGTTTGAGAACGCAGACGATCAGGGAGACGTCGACGGTCCAGCGCCCACGGCCGCTGACAACGAGGCCGGTCCGTCTGCTGAACAGCAGCAAGCCGTCGTGCCTGGCTCGGCAGACCTGCCGGCAACATACAAGCTCAACGCCTTCATCTCGCACAAGGGACCTAGCGTCCACAGTGGACACTATGTAGCCCACGTCCGGAAGACCGGTGTCGTGGGAAAAGACAACGCAAACGAGGACGGGGATGATCAAGAGGGCTGGATCTTCTTCAAGTGAGTGAGACTGGCTCACCCGCTCTTCCTCTACGGTGGCGAATTGCGATGCTTTCGAGTGCTGACATTGTTCGGAAAAGCGACGAGAAGGTCGTCAAGGCACCCCTCACATCGGCGAGCGCCTCGGATCCACAGTCTGACGTTGGCGTTCGCGGCCTTTCGAAGCTGTGAGTCACAATGCTCTTATCCGCCCTTCCTCATCTCGATCGCCCAACTGACATGTCCTGTGTCCAAAGCGCATACGAATACATCTTCGAGCGGAGATAAGGCAGACAGGCACACAACCAGGAAATCAAATGTGTACTCTTTGACTTGACGTCGAGAAAGAAGAGAAAGTGATAAGAGGGATAGAGGAGAGGAGAGGGAAAGAAAAGGTAAGGAGAGGACTAGAGAGAAATAGGTCATCAACGAAGCCAGAGCCAGAGTCAAGAGAAGAGATTGAAGACATAACGAGAGAGATGAGGAGGAAGTGAATAATCGTCGACCAAAGTTCTGGGCCTGGGCACGCCGAGATTGGAGTTGTAGCGAAGGACATCGGGGAGTGGAGCGGAATGGACAAGAAACGATAGCAAAGACGAGAGAAGGTGGGACAAGTGATCATGGGCCGAAAACGAAAAAAAAAAAGAGAAAGTCGGAAACTAGGGGTGGGGGGTATACCTGGCGCACCAAGCTGGGGAGCAGTCGAGACTCGTCAAAGCTGCTCGCCAGCAGTGATCCACTCGGTCACGCATGTCTTCTATGCCTCGCCTCTCGATAAATGTCGTCGTTCGTCGTCGTGTCGAAAAAGTAGAAATGAGTGTGCGCTCTCGTTTGTTTGGTCGTCTTGAGCCAGATCAAGAGAGCCGTATGCTGATTGTTCCCCGATTGTCCGAGACTGGCGGCCACCTATACGACGATACCAGATCGCCGGCCTGCCGCCGTCGTATTTACATGTCCCTACTCTGCTCAAACGTACTCGGGCGCCTCGGTCCCCTGCCATTCGCGTCCCTCGTGATCCGCCCCTCTTTTCTGCCTTTTATCGAGATCGCTCCTTCTTAGAGGATGGCGCACTTCGACTTTTTCCGCACCACTGGAGGCTCCAGCGCTGCGACGATGGCCTGTTACAACGAGGAAAGAGGTCAATCCAGAGTACCTTGATTGAAGGAACAGAAGAACGCACCTCATCAAAGACATTCTTGAGTCCTCGCTGAGTAAGTGCCGAGCACTCGACGTACTTGACGGCACCCAGCTCTCTCGCCAAACGCTCACCAGCCTCGGAACTGACTGGTCGCTGCTTCTGCCTGGCCAGCTTCTCCGTCACAGCGGGATCGTCGCGCAGGTCAACTTGAGTTCCGACGATGAGGCAAGGTACGCCAGGGCAGTGGTGATGGACCTCGGGGAACCATTTTTCCTTGACGTTTTCAAACGAAGCTGGCGACGTGACGCTGAAGCAAACGAGGAAGACATCCGTCTGCGGGTACGACAACGGCCGTAGCCGGTCGTAATCCTCCTGACCTGTCGAGCGAGACGATTTCAAATATGAGATTCGGATCAAGAAAGTAAACTCCCGCAAGATACGCACCTGCCGTGTCAAAGAGACCCAGCGTGTAGGGATCCTCTCCGATCATGACTGTCACTGCATAGTTGTCAAAGACCTGTGTGCACCACAAGAGCTTTAGCAAGGGTCTCCACAAGATTGTCTTGGCCTAATGCAGCTCACCGTTGGGACATATTCTGAAGGAAACTTGTTTGTTGTATATGAAATGAGGAGGCAGGTCTGGAACGGAAGCCATCAATCGTCAGCAACAAAGAAAGATATACGGGTCGTTCTTGCGCTTCCCCTGTCTTTCTCACCTTGCCCACAGCACCATCGCCTACAACTACACACTTTATCGTCTGCATGCTGTCGTTTAGCGTCTCCTGCCGTGAAGGTAGCGACGGAAGGGCTCTGGGGAGTCTTGGGGGTCAGTCGTCCTAGAGGTGGTGGTGTTCGCCTAGATAGTCGAGCCCCTCGCGCGCACTTTGCAGCGCGCGCCGCCCTTTGAATTTTCCACGCGACATTCTTCGGCCGAGCCAACAGGGTTAAAGAGTCTATCCCCACCAACGGGTCACGACCGGAAGTGCAGGCCCCACGCTCAGGCCCCGCTCGCTGCGAGTTCTTCCCATTGTTGGCTCACATAAATAGAGAAAGAGAAAGGGGGGACGCAGGCTGGAAGTCGGGGAATCAGCCAAGAGGACGATCGAAAGAGCCCGCCCAATATGGAGCCTGGGGACCCGTTCTCGCTCTTCGGGGAAGGACTTAAGATATCTTTGGTTTCATGCCCTACGGTTTTCCAGGCACTATTACGTGGTGCGAAAGACCTCGAGAAGCCAACGGTAGATCATGAATGTGCTGAAGCATGGAGAGACGGAGTGCTCTCTCATGGCGTCGCTCGAGGCTGAGGCTGGTGAGATAAAATGGCTCCAAGGTGTAAGGGTTTGGAATGCGTTTCCATTCGAAAAGGACATCTTTCGAGGCCCGCGCGAAGATTCCAAGGGCATGGAAAGGGGAAAGCGTCTTGTAATGAAGAAGTGGCTAGGGGAATGAAATAATACGTCTCAGCAAGGTTGATTTGGGCGGGCTGAGAATCAAGGAAGAGTGCCTCACTTGCGTTTGCGACCGCCTGTCGAGCAGGTCGCGGCGGTGTGGCCGTTACTCTCGCGACTGGCACGTTCAGCATTTGCCTCGTGAAGGTCAATTTTGCACCAGACAAGTACCACTCACGATGACCGAACGATAAGTGAAACCAATTGGTGTCGATGTTAAGTATTGAACATGGTGGCTTGATTAGAAAGCCGCCGCAGAAGTCGGCGAGAATCTGGTTGACCACAGCAAAGTCGGATTCCTTGGGTGCGCTTGGGGACATGTCTTACCGGAGTGTATCAAAGCAGGGTGAGTGGGTGCCATGCACATGGAAGAAGACTTGTGTTGATCCCGAGCCATGCTGGTCAGCCGTCCAAGGGCGTGGCCGGTCTATGTGATCTGGTAAGCGAGGGTCAAGGTGGTATTTGGCCGCTGGCATAGTCCTCTTCGAGGCATTTACGCATGGCTCGGAAACCCAGAGAAGACTGGGCTGGAAGAGTAGCGGGCGTACAGAGGCAGAAAGTAGGAAACAGTTTGGGAGAAAAGCGGTAGCACAAATATGTCGACCATTGTAAGACTAGAGCGAAGGTGGCTGCATTCAGATGTCCGCTCGTAACATCCTGGGCGCAAGGCGCCACGCCCGAGTTGACGCCCCAGAAAGCCGAGTAAAACGTCTTTACATATCTGGTGTAGACCTAAGAACTTGAACGCCCGAGCTTGTAGAATCGGGTTCGGCGAAAGACGACATCGTTCAGTTTGTTTTTTGAGATCTTTAAGGTAAAGCAGAAGAAAGGAACACTGGCAGCGGTGATGCTGACGCTGAAATGGAAGGAGAAAAGGAAGAAGTGGAGGCGTGTTCTTCATACAGTACGACATAGGTGGTTCTACACACCACCTGATGGTCTACATGCTCACTCTCGCTGTATTCCTTGACTTTGTGCTCGCAATTCTTAAAAGAGACAACATGTGATGATTCTAAATTTGGCGGTCCCTCTCACGCAGACCAGCGCCTGTCCGCGCAACATGGCGAACTTGTTCCATCTCACTAAGCATTTCGATTAGTCTGGCACGGTGTTGACGTTACTTGTCCCGAGGCGCAACTATTGTCGCCGGCGACAAGGCGTCTACAAAATTTGAAATCGTATCTGACTGAGATCCTCACTTCGCTGATGGTTTTGTTCACGTGACCGCGGTCCGGGCTCAATCTGACTCCACTCGCGACGGCGGTTCCGGTCGTCGCCAGGTGTGTCTGACGACCCTTCTCACACTCATCGACTGGGGACGACGTCAGATCGTCGACGGCGGCTCCTTCCTTTCCACAAGCACCGAATTTTCAGTCGCCCGACACGATAGTGGAACGCCAGTCTGCCCCAGGCGCAGATATAAGTTACACTCGGCCCTGGGCGACTCGAGAGGCCGCTATCGTTCGATAGGCTGAGAGTTGTCACGACACACGCTCTCGTTCGCGCGAGCTCATCAAGTACTCGCCAATTCGATTCTACCACTCCTGAGGGGCGGCACCAACGACCATGGGACAGGCATCAGGCAAGGAGAAGGGCGATTCTAGCACCCAGACAGTCGACGGCGGCCACCTCGTGCCCCAAGGTGTCTATTCTGCCGTTCAAGATTACAATCACGACGTCGTCCAAGGTATCATCAAAGCCCGGAAGCTGGCACCATTCTACCAAGGTCTCGACGACGAAGACGCCTACTCAGAAGCTCCTTTCAATACCGAATGTCCCATTTGCTTCCTGGTGAGCCGATCTACTACTTTCCTCTACATGCTGGCTGGGGAACTTGTGGCTGACAGCTAGCGATTCACTTCTTTTAGCACTACCCCTCGCCTTTGAATCAGACTCGATGCTGTGGCCAGCCAATCTGTACGGAATGCTTTGTGCAGATCAAACGAGCTGATCCGAACCATACCAATCCACCCTCGTCCGAGCCCGCGGCATGCCCATACTGCATGGAGACGAGTTTCGGCGTTATCTACAAGGCTCCCCCGCCTGGGCTTCTCACAGGCGATATAAGACGAGAGGCAGGAACGGCAGAGGGCGCAAGTGCGGCGCGGGCTCAGGCAGAAGGGAGTGCAGAGGGAAGTGCAGCGGTTTACGGCAAGCGGCGAAAGAGTTTTGGAGCGACTGATCCAGAGGTGGTGACCATCGGTGTGTACATCCATTATGTCTCTCCCCGTTGAGCAGCGCGTAATAGCTGACACCGCTTCATAGATCTTATTCGTCCGGACTGGGAGGCGAAGCTGCAGGCAGCCCACGCAGCCATCAATAGGCGAGCCAATCGCAGGATCATTATGCGACAGGTTGGGGATCGGCTGATCCCGGTCGGCGTCAGTTCGTCAAGGCTGGGTGCTGAGCTGCCGCCGGGATCAACGACGGGTCCGGGAGGCGCCATCATCATTCAAGATGGTGCGCGATGGGGTGGCTTAGGAAGAAGTGGAACCGGCGAGGGTCGATCGACGACGCGTTCGAGGCGGGAGCTGGCTCAGCTGCTTCAGCTGGGTGGTGGAGCCGAGGTGGAAGAGATGATGATGATGGAGGCCATGAGGCTGAGCTTGCTCGAACATGAGGAGCAACAGCGACGGCAGGCTCAGGCGCAGTCGAGAGAAGAATCCTCGTCCTCGGCGAGTCCCGCAGCTGGTGGTGGTGACGTCGGAAATGCACCTGCAGACGAAGAGGCCCAGTATGCCATTGCTCCACCCACATCTTCTGCAGCACCTGCTACCGTCTCGGCACCTGCAGCCACATCTACCTTTACCGACTCGCAACTCCCTTCCTCCATGCACCCCACCCGAACATCGAGCTTGGCTGCGGGCCCTCCGTTGAGTGCACCGATCGATTTAGGCCTCTCTTCGTCAATGATGGCGGAGCTGTCCGAGCTCATCGATGGGGCTCCTTCAAGGCCTCCGGAGCCCTCTGAGCCCTCACCTTCTTCTCCTCCCTCTGCTCAGGGTCTCGAGGCAAGGCAACAACCGCCCTCATCATCTTCGATGGCCGGAGAGCCAGCCTTGCCGGCATCTGGCACCAACACGCCGATCCTATCTTCATCGCCGACGCATACACGCCAATCATCGTCGCTGGGCCAGGGTATATATGGTTCGAGCCCCTCAGCGCCTTCGACACCATCCAGAGTCGGCACTAATCCAAATAATCCCTTCCGAAGGATGGCAGGAGGCAGCAGCAACCCAGCCACGCCTCCCAATCACAGCAGACAAGGCTCTAACTTTTGATTCGGCACATACTGTTCCCCACACTCTTATTCCCTTTACAATCATTCCACGTACACATTCATTCACAATTTTTGCCATGCATTTGCCTAGATTCTCGATTTCCCCCACAATCTCATCGTCACTCATTGACCGAGCCTGCTTTTGTCTATCTTACGTTCTTGGTAGTAAAGAGAATGATCACCCGCCCCACCCTGATCTCCTTTTCACTTACAAGGTATTTTGGCTGCTGAACAAGTTTGCAGGTAATCAAAAGGCCCAACTTCAAGCATGCCAGCTTCTTTCTTGGCGGTTCATCTCAACACTTAGCTCATCTTCAGGCGCCGAATCGGCTCATTGTTCTCCCTGTCTCTGCCATGGCGCTATTTCTGGAACTGGTTCCTTGGCCTAGATTTTGGCTAGAGTGCATGTGAAGCTTAGCTTGAACGAGTGCAGATGTTGGTGTCCTGCCAACACAATGATATCTTAATGGGAGAGGGGTGCGTGACTTTCTGTGCGGTTCGGCTCGGTTCGTGCGGCCCGGCCTCCAAGCGACGACACTGGGAGGATGGAAGCCGTACACAGCCTCCGCCTCTTGCCAGCGGCCCTTTCAGGAAAACGTCACGCCTTTTCTCCTATTACTACTCGAGCCTATCCTGCGACTCGCGAGCGGTCGTCGTCGCCAAGCATGTTTTCTGAAATTGTCGTCTCTTTTTGTGGCTTGGCCCTGACGTGTTTCGCTGCCAAGCCCATTTATTATGTCGAAATCTTTTGCTCTACTCTTAGCGCCGCCAAGCAAAGGCAAAGAGAGCACAAAGCGAAGTAGTGATTTCAGCAATTCGCGCATCGTCGCCCTCTGCCCCCATTGAGGATCTTGGTTTCCTCTTATCTCTCCGACTCCTTTTTCAAATCTCGCTCACCTTGAATCTGCTTTCTTGAGTCTGGGCGGTGCAACAATAAGCATGCAAGACCGTGAAATGCTCACCCTGACTTGCTTCTCTGCAGCCTTGTTGACCGCATCCGGGCTTCCTTTTGGTTTGCCTGCCGCTGACGTGCGTGCGGATAGATTTCTGGGCAAGGTGCTAAAAAAAGACTAACTCTCCTGCATCGATACGATTCAACAACACAGGGCAGGGGCCCGGCCTTTGCTGAGCTTCGACAGCTGCCAACTTCCATCTCACGCTCTAGTAAGTACGTAGTACGTAGTGTGCTGCTGAGACGCCTCTCGGTGATCTTGCCCTATCGTAAGAGAAAGAAGGAACAGTGAAAAAAATAGAATGACTTGTGCGACCCGAGCGAGAGTAAAGTGGTTCTTGGCTCTGTAGGCGGTACGAAGAATAGCACAGCATGTCAGCAAATTTCCCTTGTCATGACATGTCCCCCTGGACGTGCATACTCTACGGCCCGAGGATAAGGACTTTTGCGGAGCGGAACGCCAAGACCTCAAGGCGGATCGTACCACCTTGTCGCTTCCGCCCAACATGTACGCGGAAGTGAGGCAAACGAATGGCAGTTCGAACCGCCGAGATGGAGGTGCAATCCTTAAAACCTCAGCTCAACTCTGGGCACATTTGAAAAGGAAAGACCCGCATTGGTGCCTGTCGTTCCTTCCAGCTTCCGTCCTTTCCTCAACGAGTGGCGACGCTGGCAGCATAGCAAAGCGATCGGTATAGCATCGCCTGGGTCAGTCGCGTCAACGCCGTTGCAATCAACTCCGACCTTATCAACTTCGGCAAAGATAAAACGCCCGTTTCCCACTTCGCACGGACTAGGAATCAACTCGCCAGTGCTCATTCCTTAGTCACCTTGCGAGAAGGGCCGAAGGTGGTTTTCGAGCTACGAGCCCCGATTAGCCCGTTCGGCGCCTACACGCCTCGACTCACGGTTACTTCACCTATCTTTACTGGGGCGTCGTTGACGGTGCTTTCGGAACGGAGCTTCCCTCACTGTGGACGCCAAGGCGGACTAGCTATCGCGCTCCGTCTTATAGGAGTTGCAACGTGTTCAGCCCATTCCTTCTAAGCCTCTCCCAACCCCTCCTTGCCCTTTCTCGGCGGTCATTACTTGGCTTTTCTCCTTCCTCTTTGACTTCACGGTCACCCACCATGACTCAAGCGGATTCAGACATGCAGCTCCCTCAGTCACCACCGCCAGCTCACATTGCCGATGATGGACGGAACCGCAACGAGCTTGCACCATCCTCTTCTGCTACCTCGTCATCCTCGTCCTCGAATGCAACGACGGCAATACATGCGCAGCACGAAATGCAGCAACCGGCTGAAGGGCAAGCACCTGGAGAAATACGGGTCATCGATTTGCCTGCAGACTTGGCTGCACATCAGGAGCAAAACCACGACTCGCCCCCGTCGTCGTCGTCGTCATCCTCGTCGTCCATCGGAGAAGACCGTATCACAGGATTCAGAGATGTCATCGAAGCAGTCGCGCTGGTATGTAAAGAGTCTGTCGCAGTAGTTCAACTTATCTCACACGGTTCTTTTTTTTTCTGTTTCAAGACATGGAGAAAGCAAAAGGATCACCTCTTCGTCTCATGGGTCCATGTTCCTTTAGGCATTATGTTCCTCCTTGTCGTCACCTGGGGTTTCCGCCTTGCCATGGATCTTGCTCCTTTTCGCTTTCCTGCGCCCGTCCTTGCGATGATGCTCTTCTTTGCGCTGCTTCTCCTGCTCGACTTTCTCTCGACGAAATTCCCGGGACAAGCTCATCAAGACACAGAAAAGACCGCGATGGATGCCACATCAACGGTCAGGAGCGCCACGAAGCGCCGACGGTTCGTCGACCCGTTCATGAAGCTTCTTGCTCCTCCATGTGACTTCTGTCTGCGAAACATGTGAGTTCAGACACTGACTTTGTTCTTGGATGGCAAAGCTGAATGGGTAAAACAAAATCCAGGTCCGTCATGTTCACGCCCAGCTTTGTTCTCATCCCGGCCCGCGAGGTTATTCCGGGCAAGGAGATTGGACTCATCGCCGCCTGGTTCACCATCTCGCAGGTGCTCGCATTCGTCTTCCCGGTCCTCTTGACCTGGGGCATAGAGTGGTGTATAGGAGTGACGAAGAGCAAACGCAAGAGCTTGCGAAGGACAGGCTCCAAAACACCGTCACAATACCATCGATCGCGCAATAACAGCGTCGCCACGCTTGCTGGAGTCGACTATGAGAAGGGCATCAGCTTCGTCGGCGGTTACAAACTCGGTGCTGTCGCAACAGGCCTGTCGGGCTTGACAGCGCACATGCTAGCACCCATTACTCACCTCACCGTCAAGCTGGACGACGACGAGATGCGGCAAATCCAAGCCACCGCCATGGAGCACGCCAGGCAGCAGGGTGATCCGGCCGTGACGAGCGACCTGGCTAAGTTTCGATGGAGCGACTTCAGGCCAATCTCGGACGTATCCACCTATGAGCACCGCTCCATGAGTCCACACCACCACGATCGGTCGAGGCCTTCCAGAAGCAGGTCGAGAAACAGCTCTCATCGGTCGCCTCGTCTGGGCAGCGCGTCGCCCTCTGGCAGCCCCATGCCCACCCCCTCGGCTGAATACAAATTTCCTGGGCCGAACACGCCCTCGGCTATTGATGCCGTTGTCGCCTCGACGGCCGATGGTTCCATGCAGCGCTCCGTCGACTCCCACCTCTCGGCGCAAGGTTCGGTGACCACGGCGAACCCTATTCCTTTGATAATCGCGCAGCCACCGGAGGCATTTGAGGAGCAGAGCCGGGGCAGAAAAAGCCGAACCACGTATGCCCAAGCTCGTGAGTCGTCGCACGAAGATGAAATTGCCGTCATCGAGGAGGTCGAGGAGGACTTGGAGAAGGTGCCAACAGCTGTCAATTCGCGTCGCCACTCGGGTCTGCTCGCTCCCGTTGAATCGCGACGCGGATCGAAGATCAGCTTCGATGTCAAGACAAAGCTGGCCCACGAGCCCGCTCCTGACTTCGGCGCAAAGGCAGCCATCGTCGATAAAGATTACGAGGAGGATGAGCAGACGAGGCGCAACAGCGAGGCCGTCCAGTCGGTCATGTCGTCGGAAGGACCAAAACCGGATGCTGTCGAGCGTCTCTCGCTCTGGCTCTCGGATTTGATAACGCCCGCCATCTACTTTGTCCTCTTCATCGTTGGCCTTCCACTCTTCTTTGTCCTCGACATCGCCCTGCCCCTTTTCCTGGCCATCAACCTTCTGACATTCATCGCCGCCATCACCATCGTTCCACCCAAGGTCAGACGGTTCCTTCACCCGATTCTCAGCTGCAGCATTGCTACGGTCCTCATCATTTGGGCTTTCGCCGCCATGAAGGGCATTGGCCTGTCGACGTGCCTCAACCGCTTCTATAGCGTTGATGCCAAGTACAACGTCCTCTGGGATCCTTCGGGCTACAAGGGTCCCATCCCAGGTGCCGGAGACGTCCTCTTCAGCACCCTCGACGCTGGCATCGTCGCTCTGGCCGTGCCCATGTATCGCTACCGCAAGGAGCTCAAGGAAAACTTCTGCCGGATGATGGTCGTGTTGATTCCCTGTGCTGCGCTTTCGCTCTTCGTCTGGCCCCTGATTGCGGCCAAGTTTGGCATGGACCGCGTGCGATCTCTGGCCTTTGCCGCGCGCTTCATGAGCACGCCCCTGGCCATCGAGCTCGCGGGCAACATCGAGGCCGACGAGTCCATCACCGTCATCCTCGTCGTCATCACGGGCATCGTCGCCGCCATTCTCAAGGATCACTTCTTCCGCCTGATGCGCGTCGACCGGGAGGACCATCTCATGATTGGCATCACGATGGGGTCCACTTCGGGTGCGATTGGCGCATCGAGCCTCATTTCCACTCCCCGCGTCATGGCTGTCGCTTCACTCGCCTTTGTCCTCTTTGGCGCCATTCTGCTGATTGCCACCGCCATTCCACCCATCGTCACGATTGTCCAGCAGCTGGCTTCCTAAGATTTCCTTACCCAAGCTCCTTTGTCTTAGTGCTCATGTACTTGTATATCTTCATCTACATATCCGACTTCCAGACTCTCTTACACATTATCTGTGAATCTTCTAGACTCTTTCAATGACTAGCAGTTTCGACTTCGTATGAGTCTTGTGCCACACTATCACAGCCCGGCAACGGAGCAATGACCGCATGCCGACTCGGACCGACACTGATACTGCATGCACCATGTGCGCGTGAATCTCCTCTGCGGTCCAGTATTAGCTACAGATTCCGAGCATCAGTGTTGTCAAGAAGAAAAGCGGAAATGGTGCCCTGCTTGCTCGGCTTATGCCTGTCTAAAACGTCGGAGCTGGCGATCGCCGACTGTGAGATCTTCCGGGCGGTAAGAACGATAGAGGGCCCAGAATTGTATGCAACAGGCGGTCTGGTCTGAGGTGAAAGTGCCCAAGATGTTTCTCCGCCTCGGTCTGCGTTGTAGTGGTAAATTTTCTTCCCTCCTCCCTCTTCCCTCTCATTGGGGTACAAGAGCATTTCGCACCCCGAACCTGCTCAACTGCTTCTTGCTATGCCCTGCCATGGACCGTCCCACTTGCCCAATGTCTCTTTTTTTTTTTGCGGATCCGAAAGCGCAACAATTTCCATTTGCGCTATCCCGACGCTGTGCGTCCAGCACTTTACCCGCCCCGCTCATTGTTCAGCTCGCGGTACGGTACCTTTTCTGACTGAGGATATCGCTTGCAACTTGTCTCTTGCGCTTGTTTCCTTGTTTTGCACCCTCTGCAATTGCAAAAGCTCGGATCTGAAAACATGACTGCAGCGTTCAAGGTGGTGAGAGGAGGGCCTCGCTCTTCGTTTTGTTGTCCCTCGCCCTTCGGTCCTCGGTCACCAAGCGGCCGAGTGGACACCGAGCAACACACGTGGAGATCAAATTGCGAATTAAGCATTAAACCTCGCTCGGAAATATCCTTGTTCCCCATTCGCCCTTGTTTTCCTTCTTAATCCTCGTGTGTGTGTGTGTGTGTGTGTGTCGCTCTCTCGTTCGCTCTTATTTCCCCCCCCCCCCTTCTCTCCTTCTCGGTCTCTGGGTGAGCACGAATCAGCTCTCGTTTCCGCCATAGAAGATTGTCGTTCGGCAACAATCGCTGCTCATTCGCGAGAGTGCAGCGCAATAGAGGTACCGAAGAGTGAACGCCGAGAAGAGCGAGGAGGAGGCGGTGGTCGAGTCGACACGTCAAAGGATCCGAAGGAGAGAAAAGGAGAAGCGATCACGATGCCCACAAAGACAGTTGAGGTCGACGCCGTCCTGTTCGACATGGACGGCACCCTTATTGACTCTACGCCGGCAGTGAATGCGACATGGGCCGAGTTTGCGCGGCAGTACAACCTCGACTACGACCATGTGCTCAAGACGTGCCACGGCTGGCGGACGATTGAGAATCTGCGCAGGTTTGTGCCATCGATTAGCGAAGACGAGCTCCCACAAAAGGTCAAGGACTTCGAGGGTAGGATCTCGCAGATTGCCGACGAGGCAAAACGGGAGGGAAAGGTGCAAGGCCAGATTGTCGCCATGCCCGGCGCCAAGCAGCTCCTGGGTCAAATTACAGCGGGCCAGAGGGAAGATCCAAAGAGACGGCTGGGCTGGGCAATTGTCACTAGTGGTGAGTTTGTTGGATCAGGTCGCAACGCATACAGGCAGGCTCACACGAACCCGTTCCACTCACCAGCGACACAGGCCTATGCCAAGCTAGGCTTTGCGTCGGCAAATGTTTCGGACCCCCCGGCCGTCTTCATCACCTCGGACCTCTGTTCTCGTGGCAAGCCGCACCCCGAGCCCTACCTCCTCGGTGCCAAGCACTCCCAAGTTGACATTTCACGCTGCCTCGTTGTCGAGGACGCACCGCCGGGTGTCGAGTCCGGCAAATCAGCAGGCGCCAAGGTTCTTGGACTCAAGACGACGCACGAGGGCCAGAGGATGTGGGACAAGGGCGCTGACTTTGTCGTCGAGGACCTGAGCCAGGTGCAGGCACGCTGGGAGGGCGAGAAGCTCATCCTGACGATCCAGTCCGAGGACAGACCACCGACGCTCTCCAACGGCCAAGCAGCTGCGCATTGAGTCTTCCCATCCTCTGTTCCGTGAACCGTTCTCTTTACACTCCAGCACACGTATACACAAACACAGTCAGGCTGCAATCATGTACCTCGCTCGCTCTTCTCTCCATCGCTGCTTCCACTGTCGTGTCTGTATGTTGCTACAATACCGTCTTTTCACAGCTGCCTAGATTCGAATAGAGAGACATCGCTTTGCCCCTGACTTTCTCCATCCCCGGCCGCCATGGTCGTGTGAGCCCACGCTTCCTGTGCACATATGCTCATCCTCGAGGGACGGTCAGCTTAGCTGAGGACAATGGAGTCGCGCTGGTGGCAGACGCAGTAGCAGCTGCTTGTGATAAGATAGGTGGATTTTGCCAATACAGAAATGTATACATCGAGTGTCTAACAAACCACGCATGACGAGCCTCCCTCCTCGTCCTCGGAGTCTTCGTCTTCGGCCGGTAAGGGGGGCAGGGCATGGGAGCCAAACTCGTCCAGCCGCGCCATTTGCAGCTCGACGACCTGCACGCGACCGAGTCCTGCGGTATGCTGCTGCTGCTGCTGCTCTTGGTCGTCGTCGTCATCATCGCCATCATCATCACCATCGGTGTTGTCGTGCTTGGGGTGGCGTGTGCCATCCTCGACGCGTCCAGCGACTTCGTCGTAGCCCTTGGACGGGTCTGCGCGCTTGGGCGGCAGGAGCGGTGCCATCTTGAGGGCCTCGATCTGTGGCAGCCAGCCGTCCGGCGGAAAGTCAATCTCCCACTTGATGTAGAGGTCTCCGTCGCTTGCTCCGTGCCAGCCGGGAAGCCCCTGGCCACGCAGCACGGCCACGTCACCGGGGCGAACGACGGCGCCGGGCCGAGAACGGAAGCGGATGGCGCGGCCGTCGAGGTGGGTAAAGACGGCGCGGTCCAGGCCCAGGAGAGCCTCCGAGAGGGTGATGTGGGCTTCAGCGAGCAGGTCGGCCTGCTTGACCGTCAGCGCAGCGTGTGGCTCCAGCTTGAGCTCGATGATAAGGTGGCCGGGCTTCTCGGCCAGCGGCGACGCGTCGCTCTGCTCGCGAAAGACGATGCGCTGACCGTCGCGCATGCCGGGCTCGATCCGCACGGCGAGCTTGGCCTTTGTCTTGACGACTTTTTCGCCCTTGCACTTTCGGCACCGATCCTTCTCCCGCACCTTGACGCCCTCACCCTTGCACGAGGGGCAGTCGATGTAGTGCCGCTGGATATAACCCCCACCGGCACTGCTGAGCTTGGCGACGCTGCCCTGCCCCTTGCACTCGTAGCACTCGGTCCCCTGCTGAGGCGCGCCAGCCTTGGCGCCGCTTCCGTGGCACGAAGAGCAGAAGACGAAGCGCGAGAGCGTAAAGCGCGCACGCTTGCCCAGATACAGATCCGCCAACGTGACCGAATAGGGAATGACAGTGGGGGGTGCCCGCCGTCGTTTCTTTGTCCGTCGAGGAGGCGGACCTCCCATGCCGCCCATGCCGCCCATTCCACCCATCCCACCTCCGAACATTTGAGCTGGAGGAACAAGTTTTCTTGTCAGCAACTGAATGCCTTACAGTGGCTTCTTCATCGCCGCACGTACCAAACACGTCATCGAGATCAGCCTCGTCCATCCCGTACCCCGTTGGCCCAGCTCTCCCAGACGGGCCGTCCTCGCCGTATTCATCATATCTCTTCCGGCTCCCCTCGTCGCCCAACGTCTCCCATGCCTGGCCTATTCTCTGAAACTCGCGCGACGCCTCCTCCTGCCGGTCGGGGTTCTTGTCTGGATGTGACGCCAGCGAAGCCTTATGGTAGGCACGCTTGATGTCCTGCTGCGAGGCATCTGGAGCGACGCCCAGGACATCGTACAGTGCCGTGTCGACGACCATGTCTCTAAAGAAGAGGAAAGGGGAGGACCGTCGTTGGTGTCTCCGAGTGTCTCTTCTCTTCTTTTTCCTGCTATGAAGTGAATGAAAAATTGTCGCTCGACAGAGCAGGATGTGGAGATGCTCAAAATTTTGGATGGTCGTGCCACGCGACTCGCGGCGCCCATTGCTTTCAACCTAGCTCCACAAAATCCAAGTCCCAAGGCGAGCAACCTGGGTTCTTCTTTCGCTTGCCCCTCTGCTACGACTGATCATTCTCCGACACCGACCTACCGCTCCATTCGCTAATATGTACTGGCTCGCTGAGGTCCTCGAGTACCTCAATGTGCCGACGCCCTCGGTCAAGGTCATCCAACTGGCCGTCTCTCTCCTCGTCATTCTCGTCCCGTTGCCTGTCTTGGTGGCCTTTTACTTTTGGGCGCGGCCGCGTCAGGCCCTCGTGCCCCCGTATCGCGAGCGCGTCGTCGTTCTAGGTGCCTCGTCGGGCACGGGAAAGGAGATTGCGCTCCAGTATGCTGCTCGGGGCTGCCGCAGCATCGCACTCGTCGGCCGCAGGGGAAAGCTGCTCGAAGATGTCGCCGATGAGTGTCGCCGACTCCGCAAGAAGGGCGAGGAGTGGCAGATGAGCGACCAGGCACCCGGCTGGGACGACCCCAATCCAGAGATCAAGCAGGACCTTATCGTCATTGAGGCAGACTGCTCCAAGCCGCAAGACGTCATTCGCATTCGAGAACGGTGCCTGCAGGGTGGGTTTCTGGCCCTTCTTGCCCCTTCTCTTTGCTCGGCAGTGCTGACACTTTTTCTCTCATCTTTGTAGACTACAAGGGACTTGACACCGTTCACATTTGCTTTGGACTCTCTGCGCTTCGGCCACTGCTGGGGATTGCTGGCATTGACCCGATTCGAAAGACTGGCGTCGCGCAGCTGGCTGGCTTCCAACCGCAGTCAGTCCCCTCCAAGAAGGGGACCGCAGACTTCTTTGAGGCCGACGCTCAAGGCCTCGAGACGGTCGGCGAGTCGATTCGACGCATCAATGAAGTCAATGTCACGGCCACTGGTCTCGTGCTCACTGCGCTCATCCCCATGCTGCAGACGACATCGCCTTCCCCGGCCATCCACCTCCTCTCCTCCATGGCTGCTTGCCTTCCCGCACCAACAAGATCCCTCTACGGCGCTTCCAAAGCCGCTCAGCTTCTCCTGTTCCAAACCACCGGCTTGGAAGCCGACTCGCAAACGAAGGCCAGCAAAGACACATCACTGAGGCGGAATCGCATTCGCTTCTTTGCCACGCTCCCGGGCACCATTCTGAGCGACTTTAGGACCAGCGCCGTCGATGGCAGCCCCGAGAGCAGCAATGCAGTCGACTCAACCTGGACCGATGGCAAGAAGAAGGGCGACGGTCTGGCCTGCGCAGAAGTGGCAGAAAAGAGCATCCTCGCATTGGATCGATTTTCCGAGGGCGTGCTCGAAATGCCTGCAAAGTACTACGCCGCTCGAAGGGTCTATCCCTTCTTGCCAGGCGTCATTGCCAAGTTGGCTCACAAAAAGTACCAATACTGATCTGCATCAATGAATACTGTCAACAATTAACTTTCCGATTGACGTCGTGTGTGTGTGTGTGTGTGTGTGTGTGTGTGTGTGTGTGTGTGTGTGTGTGTGTGTGTGTGTGTGTGTGTAGCGAATAGTGCAAGAATAGAGGCGCGGCCTTGCACACATTTGGCCAGCCAGGAGTGCCTGCCACGGATCGTGATCGATTGTCATGAGCTATCACGGTCGGACAGGCACAAATGATGCGTAGACTTCCCCATGTGCCAAGCCTTGTTTTGATCGCCGAACTTGATCATCTTTGTCGGCTCTTCTTCCGAGCTTTTTGTACAGTACAGTACAGCACAGTACACACGCACGCGTCTTTCCACCCGGCCTCTTCTCTTTCTTTCCTGATGGGATTTTTCATGAGCGAAGCAATCAGATAAGACGCCAGTAGCGCGTACTAGTGCTGCAACGGCACAGGCACCCAAGAATGAAAATCTTAGGTAGCAGCGATCTGGCTCTGGATCTGTTGCCCTCTAGATGAGCGGGAAGAAGACGAGCGTCGAGTCCATATGACCCGTGCATCGTCTCCCAGAAAAAAAAAAGGTACAGACCAGCTAAATGAAAGAAGCGCTCAAATGACGATAGATGAAATGCGAGAGGAGAGGTACAGGAAAGTACCAGCGAAATGAAAGAAAAGCTCAAATGACGATAGATGAATCCGAGAGGAACGGCAAGGGCAGGCCAGAAAGGAACAGGACGAACGGTATAAGGTTGGGTGCCTGTTCTCTCGTCCCACTTTGCACCCACTTTGCACCCTCCGTGACTTCTTCCTCCCTCTCTCATTAACCTCTTGAGATTCTCGTAAGAGGAACTTGAACATCTGAGCAGCAATGAGCGAGCAAAGACGGCTATTGGCCTATCACCAAACGGCACCAGCACCAGTCGATGGCGTTCACCGTATCGTGCTTGACCGACCAGAGGCGAGGAACGCGATCTCGCGGCGCTTGCTTGCCGACCTCGACGCTGCTCTCGACTCCGTCCTTGCACACGCCGCCAAGCCCACGTCTTCCAGTAGCTCGCTCCCGCCAACGCCACCGGACTCCGCGCCAGCTTCGAGAGCGGGCTCCATCTCGGGGCCTTCCTCTGCCTCTACGCATTTCTCGCCCGCTTCTCTGACATTTACACCTGCCAGAGCGTCATCCTCCAACGAGGGCGAGGAGCAGGAAGGAGAAGACGACGAAGACGATGCAGACACTTCTTCCTCGATGGCCTCCTCCACCTCAACACTCGTCCACCCTGCGCCTGCCGATCCGTTACGCTGTCTGATTCTGGAATCCTCCTCACCAGCGGCATTCTGCGCGGGCGCCGATCTCATCGAGCGAAGAACCATGTCCGAATCAGAGGTCGTCGATTTTCTGTCCCGGCTTCGGAAGCTCGTGGGTAAATTGGCCGATTTCCCCGTGCCGACGATTGCGGTCCTCCAAGGCTCTGCTCTCGGTGGCGGGCTGGAGCTTGCCCTCGCCTGTGACTTCAGAGTAGGCGGTGGCAAAAGCACGAGCGAAAAGACACGGATTGGATTTCCAGAGACGCACCTCGGCATCATTCCCGGTGCCGGTGGCACGCAGCGGGCGCCCCGTCTCATTGGCCTGTCTCGCGCAAAGGAGCTCGTCTACACGGGTAAGCTCCTGGACACGAGAGAGGCGCACGAGTGGGGTATAATTGATCACTTGGCCGACGAGGACGAGGAGGCGATGCAGCGCGCCTTACGCCTCGCACAGTCTATGACGAGGAGCGCACCCTTGGCCTTGGCCAGCGCCAAAAAGGCAATGACAATCGGGGCGGACCTCGAGCTGGAAAAGGCCCTTGATTGGGAGGAGAGCTGCTACGAGGTGCTCCTACCTACACAAGATCGCAGAGAAGCACTCATTGCATTTGCAGAGAAGCGAAAGCCCAAATTTGTCGGACGGTGACATCTAAAAATAAATCTGTGTATGCCTTCTTTGCATTGATTTCATGATTTTGCACCAATAAAGTGTTCGCTTGGCTTCACATTGACGGTGATGATGAATTTGACGACCGTAAGACCAGAGCATACTGCGCACTAGTAGAAGATGCCATCTGTGAAAAATCGGTCGCGGTGGAGCTCGAAGAGGACTGCACGCTTGTGCGGCAGCTCCACCTCTCTACGGAAGCTCTGGGGCAGGTAAGCCTTGAGAAGCTCGACAATGTCCAGATCGGCCCTCGGCTCGCCCAGGACAATCTGGGTTCGAGGCTCGCGAAGGAAGCAGAAGTGCTTCATGCTGACCATGCTCTGCGCGAAGCGGAATCTGCCTCTGAATCGGTCCTCGCCGCACAAGAGGTGTGTGCCTTGATCGTAGTCACCAACATGTCCGACAAAGGCGGCCATGCTGTCCTCTTTGTTCCAGCTAGCCTCGCCATAGCCAGCCAGTTCGCCATCCCAGGCAACGACATAGCCCATGATATGGGGGTCCGCAAGCCTGTCGGCCAGATAATGACGGTGGTGTTCGTCGTCACCAGATTCCCTCCAGCCGAATTTGACGCGATCACTGTTCTGCCATCTGCAATACGGCTCAAAGTGGCTCGGGTTCGCCGCGTCGATGTGGGTGAGGGTGAGGTGCGACTTGACAGAGTGGATGTAGCGCGAGTAGACCACAGCTCCAGGCGCAGGCTTTGGAGGTCGAAGAGGATGGACGGTCAGGACGGGTGGCGTAGTTCCTTTTGTGAAAGACTGAATCATCGGGAAACTGTCGCTCGTCAAAGTCCCGAAGCGTTTGGGGCAGGGTTGAGGAGACTGCAGCCACGAACGGCCTAGTGGAGCGCCTGCGCCTTGCCAAAAGCTAGATCGATCAAGGAGTAGCTCCGAAGAGTTGACCGCATCGGGTGCCGAAAACGCAAGCCCGGTGTGCTTCAGGTAGGCGATCACCTCAGACTTAGCCTGTCCGAAGGAGCTGTCCACTTCGATAGGGATCCTCTCGTGTTCGTCGTGACGGACCCAGATGCCGTATAGAGCGCCCCAGAGATCCGAGAACGATGGCGGCTGGCTGCCTACGCTCTCGAGCAGCGACACGGTGAGGCGCTCGGCCCGGTCGTCATTGACGGCTCCGTGCAGGCTCACCCGAGCCTTCCTTCCGTCCGACACTGGTGACAGGCGCAGGACAGGACGCAGTCCAAGCTTTTCAACTTGCTGTCGCTGGTCACCCTCGCTAATCTCCTTGCCAGTTCGAATCGCGCTCTTGTTGTCGGCCGGCTTTTGGCCCAAAAGGACGTTGAGTGCGTCCTTTTGCTCATCGACGAAGATGGGCGTCAAGTCTGGGAGCGTGAACAGCTCGGCCTTGGGCCGGTCTTCGAGAGGGATGATCACCGTCGGCGGCGTGAACTTTGGTGCTCTTGTCGATGGCATGATGACTTCGTCAGCTGGCCAGCGTTGATGTCGAGAAGGGAAAGGCGATCTTCTCACTTTACTACTTAAGGGCTCAAGATTTTTGCCAGGCTCTTCTTCCTTCAGATTTATTGACCAATTTCATCTCGCATCACAGGCACGGCTTGGAGTCGGCTTCACCTGAACACATCTGGATTACAAATAAGCGAAAGCCAAGCCCTGCTAAAGGCAGCATGGTCTCGCTCAGGCACTGTGCGCTGCTCCTTTACGCTGCCCTTAGAGCTGGAAAGAGCCTTGATGAAAATGACATGCATAAGACACCGCGCTAGCACGATCAACGATCAGATAAAAAGAATGCGGGCCGGCTCCATGAACTTTTTTGGAACTTTGTTAATCGGCCACTTCCCGCTTCTGTTTGAGGACGCCAATGCTCGCGAAGTTGCTGTCGCCATACGGTGGGAAGAATTTTTGAGCAACGTGGTTCTTCACAATAGCTTCGAGTGAGCTCATTCAACCCCAAGAAGAAAGATTCTCCTTGGCAGAAGATCTTGACATGGACATGAACAAATCTTGATAAGTTCTAAGTGATTATCGCAGCAACGACGGAGCAGCAGGGCTAAGTCTTCTTTCTATCATATCGAGCGAAGACGGAAGCACTTCTGGGTTGATCTGTCACGATGGAGAGCGATGGAAACTGAGATGGTGATTGTGCATTTTATGATCGTTATTCGTACTACCGGACGGGGTGGTATTGCAAACAATCGTAAACCTATGTCTGAAGCGCTGGGAAGAATGGAAGATACATCGGAGCTGGAAGAGGGGAGATTAAGATGTGATGCGAAGCGTAAGCAGGCCTTGCCACCATCCTATTACACGTATGTGTGCCTTTCTGCCTCCTTCACGGATCACATTTGCACTGCACACTCGATACTCTGCGCAGAATAGAGACGGCGGTGGTAAGTCACCATGCGGTTTGAAAGCTTCGTCTGGACAGTACAGGGTGCTCGCACCCACTATTGAATACGTTTTGGTCAAGAAGCTTAACTTGAGAGAGGGGGGTGCCGGAGAAGACTAACTAACGTCAAGAGCAGGGGAAAGTGGAGCGAGTTCTGAAGCCACGTGGATATTTCGAGCGCAGAGCCAGCTCGCGTTCTGTCTCTGCGACCATTAGGCTCTAGCTTCTTGTCCTTCCTCTCATCGCCCGTTCGAGAGCCTATCTTCAGGAAGTAGCGTTGCGACCGGAGGAAGGCGGACACAGCAAAAGAGCCTCAACACTTTTGCGAGAGCCAAGACGGGACAATGTCGTCTTTCTTTGCAAAGCAGCAGCAGGTGGCCTCGCTGGACCCCCGCCTGGGCGGTCTCATGGCGTCGGCCGGCCTGTACAATCTCAAGGCTCTCATCAAGGCAATTCGATCATGCAAGACACTTGCTGAGGAACGATCTCTGATTCAGAAGGAGTCAGCCGCGATTCGCACGTCGTTCAAGCAAGCTGATCCGTTCTCGCTGCACAACAATATCGCCAAACTTCTCTACATTCATATGCTGGGCTACCCGGCTCATTTCGGACAGATCGAGTGTCTGAAGCTCGTTGCGACACCAAGATTCACCGACAAGCGGCTGGGATACCTTGGCATCATGCTGCTCCTGGATGAGAACACAGAGGTGTTGACGCTTGTCACGAATGGCCTCAAAAAGTGAGTCAATGAACAAAGGGCATGGCGGCGCAAGGTGATACTCGATCCTGACTCAAATGGCATCACAGCGACATGGCGCATAGCAACATGTACGTCGTCGGGCTGGCACTTTGCACTTTTGCCAACATCGCCTCCGAAGAAATGTCGCGCGACCTGTCAAATGAGGTGGAGAGGCTCATGGGGAGCAGCAACACTTATATCCGCAGAAAGGTAGGCCCCTCGTCTTTCAACTCTCTCTCCCCTTGTGCGAGCTGCTGAGGCCCCCCTGTTCAATCCCACACAGGCAGCCATCTGTGCGATGCGAATTGTGCGAAAGGTGCCCGATCTTCTCGAAAATTTTACAGAGCGGACAAAACAACTCCTCAACGACAAGAACCACGGCGTCCTCCTCTGCGGTGTCACGCTGGCGTATGACATCTGCCGGTCTGACCCAGCCGCTCTCGATGATTTCCGAAGAGTGAGTTATCCCATCTTTGGGCTTCACATCATACAGTTACTAACCCGACAATCTCAGCACGTTCCCCTACTTGTTCGTCACCTCAAGGCGTTGGTCACGACAGGGTATTCACCCGAGCACGATGTCTCTGGTATTACAGACCCCTTCTTGCAGGTCAAGATCCTGCGCTTGCTTAGGCTCCTTGGTCGAGACAACGCCGCTGCGAGCGAGGCCATGAATGATGTTCTTGCCCAAGTGGCGACCAACACAGAAGCGAGCAAGAATGTGGGAAACAGCATCCTATATGAGACGGTTTTGACCATTCTCGAGATCGAAGCCGAGAACGGCCTTCGGGTCATGGCTATCAACATTCTCGGCAAATTTCTTGGCAACCGCGATAACAATATTCGCTATGTCGCTCTCAATACCCTCAACAAAGTTGTCTCTATGGACACAAACGCGGTTCAAAGACACCGGAACATCATCATCGACTGCCTCAGGGATGGCGACATCTCGATTCGGAGGCGTGCGCTGGAGCTTAGCTATGCTCTCATCAATGAGTCTAATGTTCGGGTGCTCACGCGCGAGCTTCTCGCCTTTCTCGAGGTGGCCGACAACGAGTTCAAGCTAGGGCTCACGACCCAAATCTGCCTGGCCGCCGAAAAATTCGCACCGAACCGAAGGTGGCACATCGATACGGAGCTCCGTGTTCTGAAGTTGGCTGGCAACTACGTGCGTGAGGAGGTCCTTAGTGCCTTCCTGCGACTCGTCTGTCACACTCCCGAGCTACAGGCCTACACCACGCAGAAGCTCTTTTCAGCATTGCATGCCGACTTTTCCCAGGAAAGCCTCACTCTGGCTGCAGTGTGGGTGCTGGGTGAATTTGGCGAAATCTTGCTCGAGGGAGGCAGCTTCGAGGACGAGGAGCTGGTAAGGGAAGTGAGCGCAAAGGATGTTGTGGACCTCCTCGCCTCGGTCCTGGACTCGCCCTATGTCAACTCCCACATTCGCCAATGGGACCTTACGTCGCTTGCGAAGCTTACGACTCGAATCCATGATGGAAGCCAGCAGAGCAGGATCGAGTCAATTCTTTCGGGATACGACACCTCTGTCGATGTCGAGATTCAGCAACGAGCAGTCGAGTTCAGGGCGCTCTTGGCTAGAAAGGATTTGAGGGACGGTGTACTGGAGCCGATGCCGCCGCCGGAGATCAGGCAGACAGTCGTGGGCACTGTCAGCGAGAAGAGGGCTGTGGGAAGCACGAGGACGGACAAGGATTCGCTGTTGGATCTCATGGGCGACGAGGCGCCCGGCCCCAGCAACGGCAACTCCAGCCTTGGGGCGGCAGCAGGAGGGGGCAGCAGCGCGCAAAATACCCAGGATCTGCTGGCGGACATCTTTGGCGGAATGGACACCCAGGACTCGACACCGGCCGGTGCTGGAGGTGCAGGTGCAGGGCTGATGTCGCCAAGCCAGACAAGTGCGCCACCGAAGTCATCGGTGGACGATATCATGGGTCTTTTTGGTGCTCCATCTACATCACAGCAGGGAGGGGCAGGTGGACTGTCAGGTCTCGGCGCGCCGACCTCCCCGCCACCACAAGTGAGCAACAGCGGAAGCGGCTTGGACGGCTTGGACATCTTTGGTGGCGGTGGAGCGACCTCCTCGCCAGTCGCATCACGACCACCTGCGGCCTCTTCTCCTCCTGCTATCGCTTCAGCCGCGGTCGCTTCTCCCCCACCTCAGCAACAGCAGGCCTACACGGCTTACGACGCGCACGGCCTCAAAATCACACTCACGCCAAACATCAACCCCGCGCGACCAGAGATTGTCAACATTCTCGCCCGCTTCGAATCGGAGGGGATGCAGACGATCGAAGGCGTTCAGTTTCAGGCAGCCGTCCCGAAGAGTCAAAAGCTGCAGATGCTCGCCATCTCCAACTCGACCATTCTGCCGGGAAAAACAGAAACGCAGCAGATGAGAGTCATGGCAAGCAAAGGAGCGACCGTCAGGTTGAGATTGAGAGTCGGATTCTCAATCCAGGGCACAGGCGAGGCCGTGCAGGACCAGGTCGATTTCTCAAGCTTTCCACCGCTGGCCTGAGAAGGACGATTGTAGAGAGAAGGAGAGACTACATTGAGCGAGACACAATTCATATCTCAATCCATCACAAGTCAAAGGTCTGAGTGCTGCGTAAGATGATGATATTACAATGCCTAAGTATGATGATGCGCCGGTAAGATTACAGATGTTGCCTGTTGATGCACCAGTATACAGTTTGTCTCATTGTCCTTCGTTGTAACAGTCTGCTCTACGTCAATATCTCTTCCTTAGCTTCCGTTGGTTTGTCGACGGGGTTTTCTGGCGCTTATTGCTTTGCGAGATATATCTTTCCGTACCGACGGCAGCTTCTTTGTCATCCTCCGCCTCGAGCATCTCCGTCAACCTTCTCCTCGCTAGTTCCCCCTTCGTTAATTTGGTAGTACGAACGACCCCTCCAGGTTCTCCGCGCTTATTTCTCTTCGTCTCTCTCTCCTTTCGTTTCTCCATTTCTTCGCAAAGCTTCTCTCCCTCAAGCCATTCATCCCATCGAAGATTGCGGACCATTTGCACCTCCTCCGCCTCTCCTTCCCTCACTCCACGAAGATAAGAGTCCATTTCGTCCGGTTGAAACAAGACAGAGTCGACGACGGAATCCAGCATATTTTCGAGGGCGCCTTCGGTTCGCAGGAAATGAGAGTTGCAAAGTCGCTGGGCGAGTGGGCTTGCTTTCTCGACTGCGTCATCGCCACTCTTCCTTTCTGCTCCCGCTTCATCGAATAGACACGAGGTGACTGCCTCGTAGACTTTCACAGGATGATAGTCATCAGGGCTGTCTTCGCGGTCATTACCCCATTTTGACATGGGCTCCGCTCGGTCATGTATTCTCCATGTTAAGTCATCTTGGATTTTCGTCTCTTGCTCCAGCACCGAACGGGACAGAACTCCCGCATCCAGGCGGCTCCTCCATTTCCTCATCTGCGACGCGCTTTGATCCTGGACTGTCCCAAAAAGCGAAATCCAGCGGGCATGAATCGGCTTCTCCGAGGCCATATCTCGCGCTTGCAGATCATTCGGTGCCATCTGAGACTGAGACTCGCCGAGTGCGACTGGTGTCCTGATGATGTCCAGCAAGTCAGCTCGAAGCAAGGACTGTTGGTCGAGAGCTCCTGCGATCGAGTGAGGATGGTCTTGTGCCTTTCGTTGTCCTGGCTGCTCTTGCTGCCAAGCTCCCCTCTGACGGAGCAAATCGACGAATAGAACGACATCGGGTAGGCACCTCGACAATTCTGCGGTGGGCAATGCAGCCAAGGATACCTGATCCCCCTTCAAGTGGTGCCTCACCACCTCATCATCCGTAGCCGCCCGCTTGACCTTTGGCAATTTCTTTTCAAGATTGACAATAGAAGAGAGCCATGGCAGATGTGCGGCGAGCGTAGTTATCATGCGGTTGATTTGCTTGCTCCGTCTCTGAACCATCTTCGTGAGGTTGAGGCGTACGGCACTTCGGATCTTGTCTGCCTGGCTCACGGGGATTCCAAGGTCGTCGATCTGATTGATCTCGCCATCCTCATGGTCCTGATCGATAACGAGAGCGGCAACTTCCTCATCACGGTATTCCTCGCCTTCGGTGACCAGTCCAAGCTCGGCCTTTGTCATCCCTTTGCCTTTCGCGCCCAGGCTCCAGCCGCCAAGATAGATCACGACGCTTGCAAGTTGGTGATGAGGGCGCCCTACGATGCCTTTCGTCGACGCTTCGAGGGAAAGCACGATAATGGCCCATGCGCAGACGCTGAGATCGCGGATAGGCGTCAGGGTTGACGCGCGATTTGTCAGGCCTTCTCGCTCACACAGCAAGGAAAGGGCACTTGCAAGCTCCTGAGCACGTTCGATATTTGCCATAGCCAGAAATTGGTGATCCTTGGCACTCATGACCGACTCTTCCTCCTCCATTTTGCCGTCTTCAAAGCGAGGCTTACGACGAGCATACGGTGAAGTTAGGCCATAGCCGGGTGTCGCCACACGAAGGCTCATCTGGCGCCGCAAAAAGGCGAAATGCTGCTTGAGATAGATGGCTGGGCTGTCATGGCTAACTTCGGGAAGAAGCGTGCCTTCGAGAAGAGACTCGAGGCGTTGCAAATAGAGCTGGATCTGCTTGACGTTGACGAATCCTTCCGGACCGGTGCCAGACAGGGCTGAAATCTGCTCGACGGTCAGATCGGGCCGGATAGGCTTGAGAATGGCAAAAATGCAGGCCATGACGAGCGTCTTGGCAAAGATGTCGAGGCGGACATTTTGCCAACCACTAAGAGCCTCACTCCGACCGCTGAGCTTCTGTTGCTTTTTTCCATCCGTTCCCCTCTTGGCCTCATCCTTCAGGATAGTATGCGCCTGCAGGAAAAGGCGCTTGACCTTTTCAAAGCAACTGAATGCCCTCAGGCGATTCAATATCTCGGTGACCAGGTCGTCGATCCGCTTTTCCGTGATATTTCGACGATGTTGTTCGTTAAATCCCTGACCCGGAAGATATGTTGGCGCCGCGCCAAAGCGCGGAATCTGATAGGGACCTCTACGTAGGCTTGCCTCTCCAGGCCGAACGAAAGACGAGCCTCGAGCTGGGAAAGCCCGCTCTAGATCCATCAGCTCCGCTAGATCCTCCTCTGTGGGTCCCTCGTCTGCATCCGGGCCAACAGCATGGCGACCACGAACATCGCCCATGAGCGTCCCGCATGCTGAGCACACATCGTCATAGACATCACGAACGAATTGCACCGAATGCGAGCCGCACAGGGGACATTTTCGACCGGCCATGCTGCGCCCGTCGCGCAGCGGATTGCCGATGCAGCTGGGAGTCGTCGACCTGTCTTGGCAATTCTGATGATGGTGAGCACGAAGGTGCGGTCAACGGCTAAACTCCACGTGGACCTTATCGAGTGCTCGAGCCCGCCGGCCTAGTAACGCGTCTTAGATGCCCCTACTACCAACATTACAACTTGAGACTTTGGCACCCGCTGCTCAGCTCCTCTCACTTCTTTCACCTCGATCTCGGCGAAGACCGAGTGTTGATTCGTTGCGTCAAGAGGAGGAGGCTCATCACCAATCTCTCCTGCGCAAACGATTCTTTCAGCAACCCTTTTGCAAATTACTTACTGCATCTCTCAATTGCCCCCCCCCCCCCCACGATGACGACCAATGGACACGGAGCTTCGTCGAGCAGCAGTGCAGCAGCTCTAGAGCAGCAAGCGGACGAGCTTACCTCGCCTGCTGCGCTCCGCAAGCTCGTGCTCAACTATCTCGTCCACCACTGCTACCTTGACACTGCCCAGGCTCTTGCCGATGACGGCATCTCTTCACTCGAGAGTCTGTATCCATCAGCTGCTGGACCTTCTTCCTCTTCTTCGACTGCAGCCCCCGCTCCCAGCGGAAGCTCGACGGTTGTTAGACAGTCAAGAGCATCGAACCAACAGCTCCTTGGGTCGGCGCACCCGCTCTCTGCGCCTCCCCTTTCAAGGGAGGATTCGAGTATGGAGATTGAAGTCGACAGCCTCCTAACGCTGGCTCAGCAGGAGCAACAGGGAGCAGCAGGGACGGTAAGACCCGAAGCAGAGAAGACAAACGGGCAGCCAGTCGACGACGATGTGGGAATGTCGGGGAGGGCAGAGGAGGGCAAGGGCGCTTTGGCGGCGCCTGGGGCACTCGAAGGAGATTCAGTCAATGGCGAACTGTCGGCGACCGATTTGAATGTCGTGCGGGTTCGCAAGGGTGAGTGCTTCACTGGTCCTTGCATGCTACTGGCAGTGGCTCACCAAGCTCTCCCTCCAGAAATTCGTGATCACATCGTCAACGGACGAATCAAGCTCGCGATTGAGCTACTAAACACGCAGTTTCCCACCGTTCTCAATGCGCCAGAGGGTGGGACAGCAACCAGGAGCTCTGCCAAAGCTCAGCAAAGGGATCGAACGGAACGCCGGCCCGCCCAGTCGGCATCTAGTCGGAGTCGAGAGCGGGGCGATGACAAGGGCGAAGATATCATCAAGGTGCTACCTTCGAACCCGACTTCACTGGATCCTGCGCACCTATCGTTGAACCTGCAGATTCAGGTCTTCATAGAGAGTGTTCGATCTGTTTCCGCTGGTTCGACAGGGAGCAACAATGGCCTGGATAGACCCAGCGTCGGGCTCACGGCCCACTCTGTTGCCTCTTCACAGCCTGGTATCGCATCAGCCGCTGCCGTTTCGAGATCTGCATCCCCCGCTCCTTCGTCTACATCATCCCACGAAAGCATCGCTTCAGCCAACGGCCTTTCTTCTGCATCCAACAGCACTACAATCGTTAACCCGGTCCTGAATGCTGCCTTGGCCCACGCCCAGCTGCTGTACACCAGCGTGCAGACCTTGCCTGGCTTTTGGAGGTCCATGTACCTTAAAGAGCTTGAGACCGTCACAGCGCTCCTCGCCTATCGAGACTTGGAATCGTCGCCGTTGCGCAAGTACCTCGACCAAAGCCGGCGGGTTGCTCTTGCAGAGCAAATCAACAGCGCAATTCTCTGTGAGTCAACCCCTCTTTCGCCCGCCTCGCTCGCTTGAACTGACGCTTTGTTGACAGTCCGTACTGGCAAACCCTCACAACCCCTGATTGAGTCCGCGGTGCGGCAAACGACTTTCCTCTGGACGCATCTCTCCCTGGAGAAAGTTGCTGTCCCACACGACTTTCCTCTGCTCAAGTCTGGCACAACGACGCTGGGCCTTGACAAATTTGATGCAGGCTCAAATTTTTACGGCTCGTCCACGGGGACGACGTCTGGAGTAGGCGGTGCCAAGAACAACGCGAACAACGGAAACAAAGCAGGCAGAGTCCTGCCTCCCTTTGATCTCCACTCGTTCTTGTCGGAACGATGAGGCGTCGTTGCGCCGTCCGAGTCAACACAATCCTTACTGTATTCAGCATATCGAACCACTACACTCATCCACCTTTCTCGACACTCTTCTGCCTCGGTCCACGTCCCGTACATATCGTCTCTCTTTCTCTGCACAATCTCAGACCTTCTCAACCCTATCATCCGGTTCCTTTGGCGGCCGGCCTGCGACGATATTCTTGCATGCGTATTACAGTGTGATAAAGTTTTACAAACAGGGCGGGTTTCGTTGCGTGTATGCTGCACACGCCTTTCCTCGTCCTTTCAATTCTTCTTTCCTTCTTGCCTTGCCTAGCTCTGCCATCGGAGACACACTCAGAGGCGAAGATCTTCCAAGAGAGCTGTTTCGTAGGCGCTTGGAAAGTGATGCGCAAACATCTTCGTTTGCAGATCCGGCAGGCTGAAAAAGCCCAGCGGCGATTTCACCTCGTAGAGCTCTGCCGAGACCTCGTCTTCCTTGGCGCGCCCCTTTTCGTACCCCTTGCCGTCAGAACCAAAGTTGGAAGAAGAAGAAGAGGAAGAGGAAGAAGGAGCAGCAGCGTGGGCCTCGACGGGTGATGAGTCGAGCCAATAGTTTCGACCCGCTGGCACCAGGATACCGCCCTGGACTGCTTCGCTGTGCATCGTCGAGGCATCCAAAGCCTGCCTCCTCGTCGTGAGCTGGTGCAAAGGCGCGCTGTCCCCCTCGCCCGAGAGCCACGGCGATTTCGGGCCTCTAGCGGCTGTCGCAGCAGCTTTTTGGCGCGCCTCCACGGCAGCATACAGGTCCGCCTCGACGTCGCATCTCAGCTTCCAGAGGTCCGTCTCAATGCGCTTCTTTCTCTCGGCTTCTTCCCCGCTCAAGCCTTGTCCACTTGCGAGCTTCTGCGACAGTTTGCGCCACCTCCACCACGATGTCGCAATATGCACTCTTGCATCTTTTTCCTCCTCGTCGACTGCCTCTCCTTTCTGGCTCTTAGAAGCTCGATAGCTTCGGGCTCGTTGTTGGATCTTGAGAAAGGCCTTCTCGTGCCGTCTGCGGACACGGCTCAAGGCACCAAGAACACGACGGAGCTCACGAGCCTGACCGTGTCCGCAACGCGGGATGATGTCGCTGCCCAGGACGACTGAAAGAACCAGCGGCGTCTTTCCGAGAGACGACCGTTGAGCCAGCGCTGCGCTGACCGTGGCAGGGTGAGCAAATGTGATGGCCCGTATAGGACGATCAGCTGGGAGCCCGCTCTCGTGGTGCGTTACCCATTCTCCATCGTTCAAACCTTGACCAGTCTTTCTGTACTGGCTCAAGAGGAGAACAACGGTGCTCGCGATGGCTCCACCGAGCGAATGGCCGGTAAAGACGATGCCGAAACCCTCATTCTCTTCGAGCGCCCGCGAAAGAGTTGTGAAGAGCGTGGAATCGCGACCGATGAGTGCCTTTGCCGCCCGCAAGATGCCTGCATGGCAGCGCAACGGTGACGACGAGCTGATCTCTCCGTCGATGCCTTCGATCGGAGGCAGGTCCATGTCCGTCACAATCATCTCCAAATCGACGATAATGTCCTGCAGGCTCTGTGTTCCTCGAACGCTGACAACGACGACCTTTCTCGAGTAGTCACGGACGAGATAGAAAGTCGGACTGTAGGCATCCGAGTCGAGCGTCTGGATGTCGGCATGAAGGACATCCTCGTGATGCAGCCGGGACAAGTGGGCAAACGTCTGGCGGGAGAAGCGGTTGCCAGATGGCGTAAAAGTCTCGGGCAGATCCACCAGGGTGACGTGCAGCCCATAGGCCGATATTGCCAGTCGACTTGCCCACTTTATAGTCTTGATCATTTGGCGTGCCTCGGAATTTGTCACTTGGGTCTTCTTTGCTGCTCCTTGCTTTGTACGAGACTCCTTCTTGTTCGAGGACAGGGAGCCAAAATAACCACCACCGCTGCCGCTGCCTGTAGACCGATCCCGCTGCTCGATTCTCGGCGTCTTTGTAAATTCCAAGACATCGGGCCCCTGCCTCGTCACGACCATTTCGTCATCGCTGCTTTCCTCTTCGTCGTCACTCTCATCGGAGTCTTCATCATCAGACTCGTCGTTGCTTCCCTCCTCAGTAGCATCATCCCTCCGCTGCAACAACGAATTGGCGCTCTCTTCCCTAGCCCGTCGGTCAGCTGAACGTTTGGCGCCGAGGTCAACTCGGTCCGGCTTTGCAGAGTCGGACGCCACCGGCGTTTGCTCGTTGAGCGGTGTTGATCTCGAAGGCGTCCTTCTCGTTGACCATCCTTCGATCTTCTCGAGACCTGCTCCTTCAGCGACGTATCGCTGTCGTGTGACATCTTGCAGACAATAGAGCTCGAACAGGCCTCGCAGGACTTGCCATCGGCTCAAGCCTTTGGGCCTCACCTCGCTGACGTCCTCGTGCTTTTCCTCGTCATCGCCGGGAGTCACATTGTCACCGAGACTCTTTCGCCTTGCCGAGTTGCTCCCGACGCTGACGCTGGTGCTCCCCGTACCGCCGAGGCTTGGCCTTCTGTATCCAACATCTGTGCTCTTCCGCCTCTCGATTTTCGTTCCCTTTTCTTCGTGATCCTCCATCGATACAGTCGCCCATTCGTTCTGCACAAGTCGATAGGCCTCGATGGCACAGCGGCTTAGCACCGTCTGGCCGGTCAGATTCATAAACGTCCAATGCAGGAACCAGAAGATGAGCGACAAGTTCTCTGCGATCCGGTAGACCAGGTCCACGAGGTGCGCAAGAACAAAGATGAGGAAACCGTAGGTGTGGGCTGCGAGTGAGATTGTGAAGCGGACCAAGATCGGCTGGTTCTTGGCGGATTGCGGCTCGGGAGACCCACTAGCTTTGGCAGCAATCTTTGAGCGTGTACCGAGGCCAAGATCACCCAAGAGGAACCAGAGCAAAAACGAGCGGCGCTGAGGCGGTCGTTGGGCTGGCTCACCAGCCGCCTCCTGCTTCTGCTCCTCGTCTTTTTTCACCACCTCTTCCGTGAAGCGGGGGTGTGGATGGGAATCACCATTGGATAGGCTCGGGGTCTCCGCATCCATGTCAGCTGTAACGTACTGGTGCATCAGACTTTGTCGGTCTCGTTCTTTTGACGGAGTCCTGATCATTTGCGCTGGTGTCAACCGCGAGGGTGTCAGAGTGCCGCTGTCGTTACCCTGTCCGACGCCGCGCCCATGCGTCTTTCGCTTCCTCAGCTTTTGCGATGCTGACAAGGTTGGCGATGCCGTAGGAGACAGAGCGAGCGGTGAGAAGTGGTTGGGAGGAGACGAGGTCACACCGGCCGTCTTCTTTCCGTCATCGTCGTCCAGGGTTGTTAGCGGGCCCAAGTGGCTGGCGATGCGCGGCGAACGATTGTACAGGCTAGGTGTGGGGAACGGCGAAGGGTTCATTTCGACGTATGTGGGCGCGAGTCGTGGTGTTCCTGGTGGTCCTTGGACCGGTGTCATGACGAGAAAAGTTGTTTGGTGAGATTGGCTCTGTTGTCCGTTATCCAGGTAAGGAGTCCACGGCGAGGGAGGCAGGGAGAGAAGGGTAGGGCCGATCCGAGGCGTGGCAGGCTCATGGATGGACAAAATCCTGGAAGAGATGTAGTCGCTGTCCAGAGACCTGCTGTGACCGTCGAGGGACATGGGCGTAAAGGGTGTGTTGGTACCTGGCGTGTGGATAGGCACCAGGCGGGGTGCCCTCGGATAGTCGGAGTGGTGCACCTGGTAAATGAGCGAGGACCTTCGCGAGGGTGGCCGAGATCGTTCTCTTCTTGTGAGTGAGCTCTGCTGCTGCTGCTGTTGCTGCTGCTGTTGCTCGCTACCGCCGCCCTCATAGACCGTATCGAGAAGGCGAGGTGTATCTGCTTGAGCAGAGGTGATGCCATCCTCGGCCTCCTCGTCTCTCTCATCTTCCTCCTCCTCTTCCGACTCATGATCCGAGTCAGGGACAGTCAGAGTCGGATTGAAGTCCATTGGTTCGGTGTGCCGCCTCTGCATCCCACCAGGCCTGTCTTCGAACATTGACGGGGCATCTCGGCCCCTGCTCTGGCCAGCCTTGGCTGCGGCTTTGGAAGCTTTATCGGCAGCATGTGCGGCCTTGATGAAATTGCCAAAGGCCGTCAGCATGCCGACCTTGTGTGCTGGTCTGTTGCGGGCCTTGAGCTTCTCCAGCTGCTTCCTCGCTCGTTCCTGTTCCCTCATCCGTCGCACGCCAAGCAGCCCTTTTGAAAAGGCAACCATTGATCAGCGTCTGAATCTGTCAAAGGGTGATATGGCCAGTCTAAAGTGCTCACCCTCGAAGCTCTTTGCATCGCTGCCCTGATCGTCGAGCAAGGGCGGTGGCAGAAGGAGGGCGCCCTCCTCGTGGCCTTCTCCACTACGGCTGCCCCAAAAGCTGCCACTGCCTCCCCACCAGGCGCCGGGCATGGCGACGGGAGAGGGCGGTGCATCTGGCGGATCCTCAAGTGCAAATGCGGAGCCAGGACCAAATACATTCTTGGATCTGGGCCCTGTCAATGGCTCGTCCAGGATCGTTCTCTTCCTTGCCGAGATCTTCTGAGGACCGCCTGCCGCCAACGAGACCATTTCGTCCTCGGCTGGCGCCAGATGGCCAAGCGAGAGGTCGTCGGGCGGCTCCAAGTGATCTGGAGGCACGCTGTCTCCCCTTTCGACTCCCACTTCAAACGTAGGATGGCCCGCCCTCGTGCCCACCAGGCGGAAGCCGCTCTCGCCGTCGTCGTTCATCGACGCTTCAAATGCCATGGCGCCCTGCCTTCGCGCTCTACGCTGCGCAATCGTCTGGCCACGTCCGTCTCTCGTCGAGGGCATCTTGATGCCCAAGCGAGAGGCACCAGCCTCCTTGACACCCTGGAGCCAGGCTCGGGATACTGACGAGATGGCCTGGGATGCCGTCATGAGGGGCCTGCTGCTGCTCCCGGCGCTGCTGCTGCCACCACCACCACCACCCCTCTTTCCGACATCGATGAAGCTTGACAAGCGCGACCGCTTGCCGTCGTGACGGGTGAAACTGAGACTCGCGACCTTGCCGCTCGAGTCCCGCTGGAGCAGCAGCGCGCCAAGCGCTTCGAGGGCGCTGCCATTGCTTGCCGGTCTCTTCCCGCCGCGGACATCAACGCTGGATTTGTGACGCGGCATCAGCCTTGGTCTCGGTCTCTCCCCTTCTTCTCTCTCTGGCGCTACGGCACCGGTGGCGGACGAGGAGGACGAGGAAGAGGAGGAAGACGAGCCTCTCCGGCGGTGTGCCGACAAAGAGGCAGCATTGGAAGTGGGCCGAAGGGAGCCGCGCGAGTCAAACTCGGCCGCAGCTATGGCCGCGCCGGACCGGCTGAGGATCGACGACACCGTCACATAGTGCGCCGTCGCCGGCTGCCAGCCCGATTCGCCGGTGCTTTCGAAGCTGCTTCTGCTGGGCACCGATGCTATTGACTTCGGGCTGGTGACGAGGACGGCGTCGCGCGCCGGGTCCATAGAAGACGACGCATTGGATGCAGATGAAGATCCTTGCCTCTGCTGTCTCTGCTGCTGCTTTCTACGGCTCGATGATTGCGACTTGGTCGAGGTCGAAGGGGGTGTCGAGGCGATGGGGAATTGAGGGGCATCGGCGCTCGAGCCTTGCTCTGCCTGCGACGGCGGCAGGGGCTCAAGCTCATTGAGATCAAGAGGATGTAAATCCAAGCTCGACGGCCGACGCCTTGAGTTCTCCGGTGAGGACGACGACGATGGAGAAGGCGCGGCCAGCTCCATGGGCGAGATGACGCTCCCAATGTGGGGGCGAGAAGTCGACATGCTCGAGCTTCAAGCCGCCGCCGTGCGTAGATGTAGCTTGTATGCGCGAATACGGACCGAGCCCAGCTACGCGGCTATTGCAGGCATAGCGAGGCCGGTGCCAGCTCACTGCAAAACCTCAGGGAAGTCCTCTCCAAAGTGATGAGGACCGACGAAGCTCTGTCTCTGTCGATGAAGGGAGCTGCTGCAAAACAAAGATGAAAATATTCAAGTTGAGCCAGAACCAAGCCGTCGTTCCCACAGACCCGTCTTTGTGTGGAGCAGCTGCTTGGTAAACGCGTGGCTGAACCTCGTCATCCCACACGTCAATCTGAAAGCCAGCCCTGTGGCTGAAAGAAGATGGAGACTTTGACTGCACCACTGAGAGCGCAGAATGACGAATGCAACACGGTGCATGCTCAAGAACTTGCTCTCACCCGTCACGCTAAGTTAGGTCAACCGAACGTCGCTGCTTTAAAGACAAGCCCGAACACATGATTGCCGTGAAGGGAGACCAATGATATGTTACAGCTTTTGTCTCGCTCTAAAGACCAATGATGCGCTTAATGAGTCCCTCCATCTGCATTCGCAGCTTCTCTCCCAGCTGGCTGCTCCTCGCTTGCGTCGCCTGATTTCCACTTTGAACCACTCCATCAATCTGCTTTCCAGAGAAGAATACGGCAAGCAAGATCTTCGCTACCACATGGTCTTGTAGCTTCTCCTGCTCATGCTCCTTCGCCTCCTCTTCTTGCTTTTCTTCCTCCCCTTCTGGAGCCTTGGTTAGGTCTTCCCTACCCTTGCTCTTCTTTGTTCCTTTCATCTTAGTCAACCCCACCGCGTTCAAGAAAGGTGTTGGCGTCGTAGCCCACATTGCTCGGATGACTTCCTCTCTCTGTGCAGTATCTCCCTCTCTCGCAGACACGAAGCTCTTGACGGCCTCGTGTCCCGCTAGCCCCTGTAAAGTCTTGAAGCCCCCGTCCACCCGGAGTCCCTTGCTCTGAGTGTCGACGACGCTATCGACCAGGCGCCTCAGACGCGCAAACTCCTGCTCGCGCGATCCATCGACGAAACACCGTCCTAGCTCCGTTGGCCCCGCTCGTCCATCGTCGGTGACACGGAGGCAGCCCATTCTCGAGAGTCTGTCGAGAGTCGCGTCGACTAGATCCGACAATGCGCAGTCGACGCCCTCTTCTTGGCCGCTCCGGCAGCCGTAGAACGTCGGATTGCGCCGCATGGCCTTCACGAGGAAGCTCCATTGGAGCATCTTGATCACGTCAACCTTGCTTGCGATGCGCCCGTGTGCAAAGTCGCAGAGGAGGGAGTACGACAGCACCGTTGAGGAGGAGGAAGCCGAGGAGGATTGCGACGAGACGAGCAGGTCTGACTCCAGAAACACGCCTTCATCGCCGATCGATCTGCGTAGCAAGCTCGCCTGGTCCGTCTGGCAGAGGATCAGGCACTCTGGCGGCGAGGATGCCGCCAAGATGGAGGTGGAAGCAGATGGTCCTGTCGCCATTGAAGACATCCTGAGCAGCTCCACGGTCGAGTAATTGACCGTCCTCCTCGCACCCTCTTGCATCGCCGTGTACTGCGCGCCCATGACGACGGCCAAGTCGACCCGTCTGGACAGGGCCGGATGCAAGCTCCAGACCGACTCTCGCGAGACGACTAGCAGGCGAATTGTACCTGCCTCAAAGAGCTCCGACACGAGCCGTCGGTCGGACGAGGACATTGTCTCGACAATGATGCCAACGCCATTCAGCAACGGCTCGACGAGGTTGGCGTCCTTTAATTGACCCAACCTCGTTTCGAGCAGAGGCAGCGTCGTGTCTTCATCTCCTCCTTCGCCGCCCAAGAAGGCCCTCGTCTGGAGCTCGCTTGCGCTTTGTCGGATCAAATCTCGAGCCGTGATCGCACACTGCGCCCTCGATGGTACAAAGACAATCGCCTGCTGCTGCTTTGCGAGCGCAGAAAGGCGGTCATATGCCGGCTTTACCATGGCCTTGAGGAGCGTGGCAGAGTGAGCCAGGTCGAATGTGTGGAGAGTCAGACGGAGTGGCGAGGGGCGCTGCGTCGGCTCAAATGCATAGTATCCTTTGTCTTCGTCGACATCGAGCGCTTCCGCCAGAGTGCTTGCGTCGCTGAGACTGGCAGTCGTCCCGATAAGACGGGCATCCGAACTCTGGCGCCGGTTGTGCTGGACCATTCGGCGAAGACGCATGAGCGCCAGCTCATAGGTAGCGTCGATCAGATGCAAATCCTCGGCAATGACAAGTCGGAGCCTCTCTTGGGAGATCAGACCGTCGAGCGACGCTTTCAGCGCGAGATAGGGCGATGTGAAAATGACTTGAGTCTTCGCTTTGACCGAAGCGAAATCCGCCACCGACCTCGCCAGCTTGCACTGGACGTCGGGTGTCGACGCAGCGCGCTGGTTAAACCTGTCAAAGTTCCATAGGGCTTGATGGTGATCGGGGTGCAGGACGAGCGTCAACCCGTGCGAAGTATTTCCTTTCGCCTCGCTTGCTATCCTTACGGTGCGCCAGATTGCCATCTCAGCCAGTGTTGACTTGCCACTAGCAGGAGGCGCGCTGAAGAGGATGTTTGCGCTGGAGTGCATGAAGCTGTGGAATGCTTGCGTCTGGACCGCATTCAGCGCTCTGAAGTCGTTGGCGTAGGATCGCGCCACGGTGGAAAGACTGTCCAAGCACGTCTCAGTCGACAAGAGCGGAAGGTCGAGGAGACGGGTAGAGGCAGGAGCATGTCGAGGCATGGAGACGTGCTTGAATGGCACCCACACCTCGTCCTCTGATCCGATCCACCGGTCGCTGGCCCATCGAATCGTCACGCCTGCTGGCATGGCTTCGGGCACATCAATGACAAAGGTGACCGTCTGGGTTGTTGTACTGGGATGTACAAGGACCCTGGTGTGCTTCAAGATGTCCTGGCCGTCATCACTTTCGACCCAGATGTAGAATGGCTCCATGGATCCGGACTTGCGGTCGTCCCAGGCAAAGTCTTTGCCCACTTCTACGTTGATCTGCAGCAGATCGTGCGCGACTGGCTTCAGAGCCCACTGGATCGACAGCGAAGGGAAAGATCGTGCGGCATCGCCGATGGCACGTCCCTCGCGTTCGTTGGCCTTGCACAAGTCGCCAATGGCCGCAGCACTCATCTTGGCCAGCTCGGGGACGGGCACGTCGTCTGCGTACCGTTTGAGCTTGGTAACCAGCTCCGGCGTCAGATTCGACTGCGTGGGCGAGAGAGGGTGGTCGAATGGCCACATTCTCCTCTCGACAGCCTTTGTCATGCCCATGAGTGCCGACGTGACGGGCGACCACTTTCTTGCCAGCGCAATCTCAAAAAGAGCCCGAATGATTCTGCCGGCATTCTGTGCCACGTATCCTGCATCGCTGACGAGGGCAAAGTCGTCAATGTACTCTCGCGAGATAAAGGCCTGCAGCAGCACGCTTGTCTTTCCTGCGCTCGTCTCGCATGCGCCCTTGACCTCGCAGGGCGCCTTTTGCTCCAGCCGTTTGAGTTCCTGCACCTCGTTGTCTCGCGGCAGGATCTGCTCAAAGTCCGTCGCCATCGAGAGGACCGCCAGGGCATCAGCCTCGGACATGTTGCACCTGAGCTTTTCGTTGAAGATTTCGATTGTCTTGTATGAAACGTAGTACTTGGCCGCCACACGGCCCAGATCCGTAATGGTGAGCTTGCCTCCGTCTTCTGTCATCTCGAGCATCTTGCACGCGACCAAATGCTTTGCCGCCGTCTTGATCTCATGCACCCTGCGCAGACCCAGCTGTGGATCCTCGACGACTTCGTCGTGAGTCATGCCATAGGCGAGCGGATTGCGCCTCATGCGGGTAAACAGGTAGGTGTAGGAGAGCCACGCGACACCGTCATTGATGCTGCTGACCGATCCCAGCGCCACCTCGGCATTGAGGGCGTCGTAGAGCCCAGTCTTGAACTTGCTCTCGATGGGGTGCTGCGACGTGACGGCATCGACATAGTGCGAGAGCTTGTCGTGGGTCGTGACAATGTAGCCCACGCCCTTCTTTTCGAACTGCGGCCGGCCGGCTCGACCAAAGATCTGAAGGACATCGAGGATGGACAGGTCGTTGAAGCGGCCCAGGCCCGAGTCGTACACCTGGGTGCCCTTGATGACGACTGCGTATGCGGGAAGGTTGACACCCCAGGCCAGCGTCGAGGTGCAGCAGAGGACCCGGGTGATGCCCGCCTCGAACATCCTCTCGCTCAAATTGCGGTCCGATCGGAGCATGCCGGCGTGGTGGATGCCAAAGCCCGTCTCAAAGAGCTCCTTGACCTCTCGGTTGCGGCTGGCGGCCAGCTCGCGCTTGAATGTGTTGACGGCTACGGTTGACTCGGGGTCCTCTTCGCGCTTGCGCAGGAGCAGCTCCAGGAGACCTTCTTCCTTGCACATCTCTCGCATCGTCGATGCCGTCTTGACCGTCTCCTTTCGGGCGTGGACAAAGATCATGACCTGATGCCCCTCTTCCAGGAGCACAGAGAGCTTTTCAAACGTCGCCTTGTCGTGGTTCTGCCGGCTGAGGGCCGAGCCGACCTTGCCCTTGACACCGAGAAAGTGCTGCTCGAGCGGGATGGGACGGAAAGACGAGTCGAAGAAGAAGAGGCCCTGGTACCGGTTCACGCGCAGAAAGTCGGCCACGTCGGTGTAGTTTGGCAGCGTGGCCGAGAGGCCAACGATGCGGATCAGCGACTGGCTCGATTCAACGAGACGCAGCGTCCTGGCCACGATTGTCTCGATGACGGCGCCGCGGTCTTCGTGGAGGAGATGCACTTCGTCGATGATCAGCAGCTTGACCTTGGACGCCAGCTCGCCCTCGCCCGTCGGCTTGCGCGTCACGACGTCCCACTTTTCAGGCGTCGTGACAATCATCTGCGTCTCGTTGATCTCCTTGCGCGTCAGCTGCATGTCGCCCGTCAGCTCGCGCACTTTGACGCCGAGGTAGGCGAGCCTCTTTGAGAACTTGCGGACAATCTCGCTCGCCAGCGCCTTCATGGGGGCGACGTAGATGATCTTGAAGTCGGCCAGACGGACCTGGAAGCGCGTCGATTGAGGGGCCACGTTGGTGCCTGCCACGGTGCCTGCTCTGGCCTTAGCAGGCCGCACCTCGTCTGCATACTGGCTGATGCAGCGCAGGACGGCGAGCATCGCCACATCCGTCTTGCCCGCACCCGTGGGCGCACACACGAGCAGGTTCTCGTTGGTCTTGTAGCCCAGCGGGTAGACGGCGCTCTGCAGCCTGTTGAGGCTGTCATAGCCCGGGAATGCGCCCTTTGCCAGCTCGTCCATCTCCGAGATGGGGATGCGCCGTTCGAAGTCGCGCATGGGCACCTGGTGCGGCGCCGGGATCGTCAACTCTTCGAAGAAGGACTCCTCGACGCGGACAGTGCCGGGTGGAAGGCTGAAACGGGACCCAAAGGCACTCAAGACGTTGCCACCGCCCGTGTTGGACGAAAAGACGTGGGGATACTGGGGTTGTCCTTGGTCCGTCTGCCTCTGCGAGCTGAAGAGGGGCCTCGACGTCGAGGCAGCGAGCTCCTCTGCGCGCATCTTGTCCATCTCCTCGAGCGAAAAGGGCAGCGCGCCCTCGTCCTCGTCTGAATCCGAGGCATGGGCCTGGCCTCTTGCCCGTCTCTGCCTCCGGTGCTCGTTGCGACGCTGTTTTGCTAGTGCCTTGTCCTCGGCCGTCTGAATGACAAAGGAGGAGCCCGGCGTGTAGGGCTTGGCCGTACTTCTCGTCTCCTCTGCATGGTGGCCTCGCGACGACGCGGCAGTCTTGATCGTGGATGTACCAGCACTGCCATTCAGGAACGATCTCGCCGATGGTGCTGCTGCCGTCGTTCCATTTGTATTTGACGGCACTGGCGGGACATTGTTGCGACGACCCGACAAGTCGCTGACGACCACACCGCGCTGAGCAACGAGATCGCGCACAAGGTCGAGGTGGTCGAAGCCAAGCGTCTCGGCCAGGACGATGCTGACCTCTTCGTCGTTTCTCGCGCCTTCCAGCGCTGACTTTACGCTCTCAATCATGCTTGCTCTGATGGCTAAGTCACCTGCGTAGCGCGAGTCAACATGCGCACGCAGACGGACGGTAGCGGCTGCGCCGTCGACGTCCTCCGCTTCGCTGGCTTCAATCTGGCCCGCTGCATCGAGCAGCTGGTCCCACAGCGACTGCACGGGGACTTCGTCTTGGATCACGTCCTCTGGCAAGTCGAGGGCCGAGTCTGCAGAGATGGCCTGGTTTCGCTCCGACGACGACGTCGAGAGGAGGGCGGCATAGAGCGTGTCGATGTCAACGTCTTCTTGGCCTTTGCCCTTAATTTCTTCCTCAGGCGCCACTCCTGGTGACGAGGACAGGAGCCAGTCCAGGTGGGACGACAGCGCCATTCCCTCTCTCTCTCTCTTGCTCCCCTTCCTTTTAAGCAGCAGTCGGCGCAGCCTATGTAACTTTCTTCTTCTCTGCTGACAGACTGACTGACTGTCGCGAGCCCTAAATTCTCCCGCTGCTCTCTCATCGTCATTTTGCCCTCCACGTGTAGGCCACCGCTGTGGCCCGTGCGTCCTGAATGCAGCCACGACCGGGGTGGACACAGAAGTGGGTGGTTGCTGCGCACACGATCGTCGCCCCCATTATTCTCATCGTCAGACTGCTTGCTCGAGTGGACGTGGGAGTGTGCGTGCCGAATAAGGCAACAGCGTCAAACGACACAGATCGGGCCAGATGGACTGGTCTACCTCGTCGCTGATCAACTCTTCGCCCTTGTCGAGGAGGCTGCCGGGCCAGAGGACGCCGCCGGACCCGACGATTGAGCAGCCGAATGCCGCCGACATCACCTACGGCTGGCACCAAGCCGAGTCAAGCAGCAGCAGCGGCAGCAGCGGCAGCAGCAGCAGAAGCAGCAGGAGTAGCAATGATGGCTATGAACACGCAGTGGGGGGTGACGTTGGCGAGGGCGCAGCAACGGGAGTGGAAGCCCACCCGGATACTGCGCTTCGGAGGAGGAGACGGGCGTCGACTTCTTCGTCGTCAGGAGACGACAGCATGGTGTCGTTCGACACTACCGAAGAGGAACACATTGCTGAGGCGCAGGGCTCACGTGGAGAGCAAGACGGGCCAAGGCCGCCTCCGCCGCCGCCGTCGCCGCCACCTCCTCGGCCCCACGCACCCGAGCAGCAGGGTGGCGGAGACGCAGAGGAGCTCTTCATCTGCCGCATCTGCTTCGACGGGCCCAACGACGAGAGTCTGGGCAAGCTCATTGCCCCGTGTCGCTGTCGAGGCACGATGAAATTTGTCCACTCAGCCTGCCTCACGCGTTGGCGCGCCCTCTCGACTCGCCAGTCGTCGGTCGTGGCGTGCGACCAGTGTGGGGCTGCATACAGATTCCGCAAGTCCCGCTTCGTGGGCATGGCCACGAATCAGTATCTCCTCTTTCTCGTCACGCTCTTACTCTTTACGCTCCTCGTCTGGACCGTCGGCTTTGCCGCCGAGGGAGCCGTGCGGCGGTGGGAGGGCGGTGGGCCGTCCACCGTGGCGACGACGTCGAAAAGCTCCTCGATCCTCGACTCGCTCTTTGGATCCGACGACGACGAGGCCGAGGCGCACGACGAGCGGAGGGACAGTGTTTACTACTACGACAGCTTCATGGGTGCCTACACGCTTCAGACGGGCAGCTACTACTACTTTGATTCGGTGGGCTACTGGAGCCTCTTCAAGGCAGCCGTGCGCCACGTCGGCAGCGGACGCGCCCTGAATGCGGCAAAGGAGCTGGTCAGGGGTGATGCCGAGCGCGATGACGGCGGAAGAAGGAGAGAAGAAGGAGAAGAAGAGGAGGAAGAGTTGGGAATATGGCAATCTCTCAAGCATGACTGGCTCTATGGACCATCGGGCCTCTGGCCGACTGCGAAAAGCGCAGGAGATGGAGGAGTGGGCGGCGACGAAAGGGTCGAAGGGTCCATGGAGGAGGAAAAGAGCGTCGGGGTGGAGGATGTGCCAGCGAAGACTGAAGAGGCCAGTGCCCCTCGCAGGACGCACGCTGGGGAGCGGTACGATGCACGCCAAGCTAGGCCCTTGGCGGCGGGAGAGGCCGGCAAGAGAAGCGAGAAGAAGGTCCGAAAGCCTGGAAAGAGCGCGGAGCCGGCGCAGGAGCCTGTGCCCGGAATCCTGGATCGGATCGCGATGCAGTGTGAGTACACATGAGCCGTCTTCGCAGTAATAGCAGCAGCAGACCACACGGCTGACATGACAAACTGTGCACCAGTCTCGCTCGGCTTCTCCATCGTTGGCATCTTTTCCTTCATCAACCTGCTCCTCGGCATCTCCTTCTGGGGCCCCTTCCACCTCGGCAACTTTGGTCTCGGACGAGGCTTCGCCCGGCTGACTGGCTCAGCCCGACGGCGAGGCGGCGGCGGTGGCGGCGGTGGCGGAGGACAGGGCTCGGACGGAGGAACGATTGCAAGCGTGGTGCTCCTCCTGCTCGTCATCATTGGCATCCTCCGTGCACTCCACGTCGTCTTCAAGATCATTCGCTGGTTCTCGCGCAAGCTCCTCACCAGGCTCGAGGACTACATCATTGACTGGGGGGGCGACGAGGAGGTGCACGAGGAGCCTGCTCCTGCACCTGTGCCTGCTCCCGCGGCTCCATGAGAGGCTTGCTATGCACCTATGCGATGCGATGCTTGCTGCTTCATGTTGCTGCTCCCAGGCTGTGAGGCTGTTGCAAAATCTAAAATGCAGGTCTATCATCTTTCCACTTTTTAGCATGATCGGGTTAGTCGTGGGCCCTTGATGTAATTTTCCTAAGCTCTAAAGGCACTAAAATGCAAGCCCCCCGATGCCCGAGCCTGTGTGGTCCGAGCGAGCGAACCGAGATTTTCACCAGCCTCGGGGGTTGCAAATCGAAGTACCAGTAGTACCAGTAGCAGAAGCTGCAGTATCTGAGTAGTAGTGTGGGGAACGAGTGCCCAAAGTAGGAAGGGTTGCTTTGCTCATCTTGGTTCGCTACTCTTCGCTTCTTACATCCCTGTCAGTGTCGCCGGCATAGCTGCAACAAGCACGCACGCACGCACGCAAGCAAGGAAAGATGGCCAAGGAAACCGAGACGCAGCTCGAAGCGTGAGTCGCGAGCCTGGCAGGACAAGATCCTCACGATCCTAGGCTGACACGAAGCATGGCGCTGACCTGACTTGCCTCCCGTTCCCAGCATCGTCGTCGGCGCCGGCTTCAGCGGCATCACTGCTGCGCACCGCTGTCGCGTCGACCTCGGCCTGACGCGCATCAAGGTGTTTGAGAAGAGCGACAACTGGGGCGGCACATGGTGGAACAACCAGTGAGTCGGTCGGCTGCCTTGGACAAGACACCTCTCTCACACGGTGGTGGTGATGGTGCTCATCCTCTGATCTATTATTAGGTACCCGGGAGCGGCGTGCGATGTGCCAACGAGTGCGTGTCTGACTGTGCGTTGCTGGCAGCGGAGTAGTCTGCTCATCATGGAATTACAACAGGGCTCTACTCGCTGTCGTACGCGCAGAGGAAAACATGGAACCAGTTTTTCAGCGGGCAGGAGGAGATCCACGACTGTGAGTATGCGTCACCTGGATGCTTTGGTTCACCCTGTTCGGACGTTGGCTGACCATCGGCGAGGGGCACAATCTTGATCAGACACGATGAGCGTGGTGCGAGACCTCAACCTGGGCCACCTCGGCCACATGAAGCACCAGGTCCTTTCGGCTGACTACGACGCCACCCGTGCCCACTGGACCGTGTCCGTCAAGGACCTGACCAACGACAAGGTGACGACCTACACGTCTCGGGTCCTCTTTTCGTGCGTCGGCGCCCTGAGCGTGCCGCGCGAGTGCGACGTGCCCGGATGGAAGGACTTCAAGGGTCCACTCTTCCACAGCGCCCAGTGGCGCAAGGACGTAGACCTGACCGGCAAGGACGTCGTCGTCCTCGGCAATGGGTGCAGTGCAGCACAGATTGTGCCCGAGATTGCGCCCAAGGTCAAGTCGCTCCTCCAGATTGTTCGCGCAAAGCACTGGATCGCGCCTCAGTTTGAGGACATCTTCGGCATCGTGCCCCACATGTCCTGGATCGAAAAGAATGTGCCGGGCATCGTTTCGTTGCAGCGCTACATCATCGCTGCCGTCCTGGAGAGCCACTTTCTTCAGGCATTCAAAAAGGAGGGAAAGGAGGCGCGCCAGCGCTTCGCCGCCGTCTCAAAGCGCTACGTCGAGCGGTGTGCCCCGCCAGAGTACCACGACATCATCATTCCAAAGGACGGCGAGCTTGAGGTGGCATGCAAGCGCCGCATCTTTGACAGCAGTGGCTATGTGCCCTGCCTCGGTCGCAAGAATGTCGATGTGACCCGCGACCAGGCAGCCAAGATCGAGGCGGACAGCGTTACGCTGCAGAGCGGCCGCAAGGTGCATGCAGACGTCATCGTTCTCGCCAACGGCTTCCAGACGGACCAGTTTGCGTGCCAGATGGCCATTCGGAACGCCAAGGGGGTCCGCCTGGAAGAGTACTGGAAAAAGCAAAAGGGGGCTCCTCAGGCCTACCGGACCATGTGCGTGTCTGGCTTTCCCAACCTCTTTGTCGTCTGGGGCCCTTCGAGCGTCACGGGCCACTACAGCGCCATCCACTCGATTGAGCGCAGCGTCGAGCTGGCCACGCGCATCCTCAAGCCCGTCTTTGCGGCGTCCTCGTCTGGGGACCCGCGCGAAGTGTCGCTCTCACCCCTGCACCGCAGCGCAGGACGATCCATCGTCGTCAAGTCGGCCGCCGAGGACTTTGAGCAGGACTTTATCCAGACGCAGATGAAGGACCTCATCTTTACCACTGGCTGCGCCTCGTGGTACGTCGATGAAAAGACGGGCCGGGTCACCGCCGTCAATCCCTCGTTCCAGACGACGGTGGCCTGGCGCGCCCTCTTTCCCCAATTCAACGACTACGAGTACGCGGGCATGTCGGCCAAGCAGGCCTGGAAGGCGTGGAGCCTCGGCAACCGCCTCGCCTCGCTCCTCGGCCTGGGCTCCACCCCCGACGTCCGCCCAATCAGTGCGCGCAGAAACGTGAGCTTCTTGTCCAGGCTCTATGCGCGCCTCACCTGGCCGCTCCGCCACATCCTATACCGCTTCTTTGTCATTGTGCTTCGGGGTGCCTCGGCGCTCGCTGACAAAGCAACAAGGTACCGAATCATCCCGCCTCCCCCGCCCTCGGAGCGCAAGAGCACGGCGCCCAATTACTGAAGCCACACACTCACACTCAGACACGGCTGCTCACTGCCTCTCAGTGCACTGTACTAGATACTGATACAAGAATTTAATGTATTCCTCCCTACTTCAATAATTGCCTCCCCACTGTGGCTGCTGCTGATGCTGCTGGTAACCTTGCTGATGTTGCTGCTGCTCCGGCGGCGGCAGCGCAGGTGGATAATTTGGCTGCTGGTAGCCCTGCGGCTGCTGCTGATAACCTCTTCCCGCCTGATAGGGCGGCTGCCCCTGCGAATATGGCTGCTGTTGCTGGTAGTTGAAGCCTTGCTGCTGCTGCTGCTGGAATTGCTGAGGGGGCGTGTTGTATCCGCGACCCGCCATGGGAGGAACAGCAGCAGCACCCCATCCACCACCCGCGCCCGGCCCAGCGGCAGTGTTGACAGCCGGAGGCGGCGGTGGAGGGCCCGGCGGCGGACCTGCACCATAGGCCCCTCTGCCCATTCCTGCTGCTGCCGGAGGCGCCGCGCCGCCGCCCACATAGCCCTGCGAAGGTGGACGAGGCGGCGGAGGACCTGGAATGCCGCTAGGTCTGCCCATGCCCATGCCCGTACCCATTCCCATTCCCATCGACGGTTGCTGCTGTTGTTGCTGCACTTGAGCGCCCATTCTCGCTGCGCCCCCCATGCCCGGCAACGCAAATTCGTCCGAATCTGCGCTTCTCGGGTTGAACGCGCCGTTGGCGTGCTCAGCAGCAAAGCCACCGCCACCTCCATTCGCATTGGACTGTGCTTGAGTAGGCTGCCGCCGCGCAGCATTGCCCAGGCCAGGGATGAAGCTCGTGTCTTCGTCCCAATCTTCCCCTGCGCCTCCGCGTGCGGCTGCCTTGTACCGCTCCTGCTTGGCCTCATCCCGGCTCCCACCTTCCCCCTGCCGTCCATCTTCTGGCCTCGCCCGTTCCCAGAAGCGAGTGGCATGGTCATTGGACCCCGACGCCATGACGTGTCCGAGTGGATGCCAGGACAGCGTCCAGACGTTGGACTCGTGCGCAGTCGGCATGGAGTGCACGGGCACAGTCGGATCCGAGGCACGCAAGGACCAGAACATGATCGAGCCCTCTGACCCGCCCGAGACAAGCAGGTCCCGGTGGTGCGGGTGCCAGTCGAGGGAGCATACATCGACGGGATGGCCCTTGAGCGTGTGCAGCTCGCGCATCGACCGGATGTCGTACAGCTTGATGACCTGGTCCCGCGATGCCGTCGCAACGAGATTGCCGTCCTTGCTCCACTTTACGCTCTGCACAGTGCCCTTGTGGCCGTGGCTGGAGGAGCAGTCGATTAGCCCACTTTGCCGATCAGCGTCCATTTTAAGTACTCACTATGTCGTCAAGTTGCCTCCCGATCGTGGGTCCCAGAACTTGACGAGGTTGTCCTTGGAGCCCGAGACGAGGAGACCCTTGAATGGGTGCCAGTCGACGCACTTGACATCCCAGCCGTGGCCTAAAGGTGGGAACGACCTGAAGTGAGCTTCTCTTGCCTTATTTCAGTATTTCACGCCAGACAATCCTCACCTTTGAGCGTCTTCTCTTCCCTAGCCTCATCAAAAGCCCAGATCTTGAGCGTGCTGTCATCGCTGGCCGAGACGAATCTGGCATCGTCTGGCGAGAAGCTCAGGTCCCGAACTGCCTCGCGATGGGCAGGCAGTACCTTGAGGTTGTTCATATTGGACTGAAAGTACTTGATGATACCGCCCTGGTCTGCAGACAGCACCCAGGTACCTGACTTGGTGTAAAGAATGGACCGAATGGCATGATCATGGGCCTGTGAAAGCTCTCTTTCAGTCAGCCTTCTAAAGACGACACCACTTGCACAGAAAGCTCGCACCTGCAAGATTGTCTCGAAATTGTAGGTGAGACCGTTCCACAGCGTGAATTCTCCACTAGACGATCCAGTCAAAAGCCTCCTTCCCTCCGGAGTCCATCGAACAACATTGACGGGACATCGAATCTTGTTCGTCGAGGTGTGCACCAGGTTGGTTGTGACAGCCTGTGCCGAGTTTCTGTACGCCGCCGCGGGGAGCAGCTCCACGACATGGCTCGCACCCGGTCTGACGACCTTGTCTGCCCTTGCGCACGTCTGCAGCCGTCTTGCCAGGGACCATCGGTTGTACTCTTCGTTCCAGTCGACAGTCCTTCGCTGCAAGAACTTGCGCACCCTCCTCCCCTCGAAACCAGCCTGCTGAGCGATATTCTGCGCTGCCGCTTCCTCTTCGAGCTTGGCATCGACCGCTGGGGCCGTTGGCGGCTCGTAAAGGTGGCGGATCGGCTGGAAGCGTCTCTTTCGTGCGCTCGCGCTGGGCCCTTCTTGCGGCCTTTCATCTTCTCGCGCGGGCTCAACTCCTACCTCCCCTTGCCCTTTATGCGTGGAGAGTTTCGAAGTAGATGCAGCTTTCCAGACCTGATCCTTGTCATCCGCATCCATCGTCGTCATCGAAGAGCTTGCAACAGGCGCCATGTCGCCTATCGCCCGTCGTCGTCGTCGTCGTCTGCGTGTCTGTTGTTTCTCGTCTGCCTACCGACCGAGCTCTCTGTCGATCCTTAAACTGTCGAGCGAGGAGAATTGGTGGGCCTTCCGTCGGCCGAATTTGCGCACGGATGACCAATTCCACTCGCGACAGGGTTTTCTTTTTAAAGTTGACGCACTCTCGATCCACTTTCCGCCTTCCCTTCTCACCTCCTTTCGGCCCTTGCGACGATGACTTCTACACTGGATGCGGCGCAGTCTTCAGCGACGGGAACGCCACCGAAGAACAAGCCCCAAGGAAAAGACGATGGCGCTGACGAGAAAGCAATCTCCAAGTCGCGGACAGACCTGCTCGATGCCGAGGGCGACCTAAGCCCGGCGTTTCACCTCGCTCTTGCCCGCATCTTTCTCCGCTTCAGCGCGTCAGCGCAAAAGCTTGGCCTGGATCTCCCCAACGCTGCTGCTGCTGCTTCCGAGAAAGACGTGGGAGCACAACTCGACAAACTAAAAAAAGTCGCGTTGGACGACGACGAGCTCGATGCTTTCGCGCGGGCTACCAATGGCGAGGTTCTCAGTGACGAGAGCAAGGAGGAGATCAAGGAATATCTCGATTGCGATGACCAATCAAGAATCACGGTGCGTTACAAATCTAGTGTCGTACGAAGAGTGGTGCTGCAGCTGACGAGTATCCGCGCAGTTTTCGGGATTCTGCGAAATGTACCACCTGCAGACAGGCAGCGATGCTGCGGAGACGTGGAAGGACCTCGAGGCCCTCGGCTTGTGAGTTTGTCCGAGCCCAATTCCTTCTCTTTTGTGATTACTAACACTTTATCGTCTCGTCCAGCAACGAAAAGCTCGAGCTTGACTCACCTTTGAAAGCAGACGCGAGCAAAGAGGAGAGAAGCACATGAGCAAGTGCTTGTGCACCCAAAAACGAAAGAAGGATACCAAAGTGTATATTTATCATTGTCCTGGAGCGATGCAATTGACGACGAGACAACAAAGAAAAGGCTAATGTAGTGGTGACTCAGTCATACCGGTATCGTGTAAGCAATTGTGCATATCATGCTGTCTATAGCTATGGGGGGCCTTGAACATTGTCGTTGATGAAGGGGAACCATGGATGAGGGCTGTTCTTGAAGTCGAGCTGGGACGGCAGTACTTCATGTGCCTGGCAGCGCTGCGCAAGATGCTCCAGTGTATATCGCAGCCCAGGCAGGAACTGTTGCAAGAAGCTTGATGAGGATTCTGATCTGGATGGTCCTTGCATTCGTTGACTTACCGCTTCGTGCTCGCTGGCGGCCTGGTGCAAGTCTTCGCACAACGACGCCGCTTCTTGTAGCAACTTGGCAGCTCTGTCCCTTGACGGCTCCGACTGTAATTGCACCGAGTCACTGACAAAAGACGTCCAGAGCCGCGCAACCTCACGATCCTCAGTCGCTGAACCGTCACGACGCCGATCGGAGAGCCAGTGGAAGCGACGGTAGAAGGCGTCGCGCTCGAGGAAAGGAGTACCTTCGAGCCGCCGCCTCGTGACTTCAGGTGGCACGGCGAAACCTTCCAAGAGGTGCATGTCTTCCTCGTCTGGAAGCCATGGATATCTCTCTGTCGTACTTCTCGGAAAGTCAAAGCAGAGCTGTAAAGCGTAATAAGCCATGGAACACCGTATTGCAGGAGACTCGAAGAACACCTTACCTCGAACATGCCACGGAACGCCTTTTCCAGCATCTCCAGGACCGCCGCCTGATCTGCAAGCGACGAAGCCAGCTCATTTTTGGTTTCATCGTCGATGATGAACGACGAAGGCTGCTGAGCTTCGACAGCAAGGGCGCTGAGCACCGTGTGCCTCTCTGACGCGGCCCAGGCTGCGACCCAATATGTGACTGCGTATTCCTCACATCGGTGTAGCTCGAGTTCCAGGCCGGCCATGACGATTTGGATGACTACGTCAAGGATGAGCGTCTGAAGCGCGGCTCGGAGCAGGTTGCCGTCCAGCTGAGGACCTTCGCGACCTGCTAGTAGCCTGGCCAGTGTGTCGCCCAGTACGCCGGCCTCCTCACTCAGGCGGACGAGGCCTGCATAGGACTTGCACAGGTTCCGGTGTCCGCGCGCACGGGTCTGGGCGAGGATGTTGAGGTGCTCGACTAGGTGGCCGGGTAGACGGCCGAGGAACCAGGCCAGCTGCCCCGCGACATCCATCTGTCGGTTCGCCTGCTGCTGGGATCGTGCTCCCGTTGCGTCTCGGCGGTCTGCCGCCTGCCTTTCGCGCACTTCCTCCTCAAATGCTTCGTCAGCCAAGCGCTTGAGTGCGTCTATAGGGACACCTGCGAGATCCCGTAGAAAGTCATCACTGAGGTCGTCGAGAGTGCGGTTGAGGCCAATGACGTGCCCTGTGCAGATGATGGACTGGAAGAGGGAGCGCACATAGGCGCACCTTGGCCATCGCTGAGAGCGAATGGCACGGCTCGTCAGGAATGTTTTCCACGTTCGCCAGCCAAAGGAGCTGTGAAACCAGTACGCCTCCTCCATGTCCGTAATTGTCCTGCGCCAAAAGGTACTCGTCTCCTTTGGCGTACCAAGCGAGATCGGATGAGGCGGTGGCATGCTTGCGCTTCCATCGTTGCATCCCATTGTGGCTAGTCGGCGGGAATGATTGGGATCAAATGCTGCCAAAGCCCTCGGCGATGGAGCGTCCGCGAGCGCAGGCGACATGAACCCCAGACAGTTGTCGGCTTTGCCTGGCTCCAATCTATCCAGGAGATCGAGAGCATCAACTGTGAATGCGCCAATAGAGGGAAGCAGAGGCGGTTCCTGGTGACTGGAAGTCGGTGAGGACGTCGCCAGAGCAAATGTATAGAAAAAGGCGAGAATCTGCCTTCGGAGGTGCAGCCTCTTGATCATTGATTTTCTATCCAAGCTCGAAAGGGCCTCTTCTTGCTCATTTAAGTTTTCTTCGAGAAACGTGATGGCCTCGTCCAAACCTATGATGGCCTCGCTGGGCGGAACCTCTTCGAGGAGGGAGACGCCCGCCTTTTCGGCGGAGAAGTCTTCGAGGTCGGCGACGTGGTCCTTGACTAGCTCATCCCATGCGAGGCCAATCGACTTGAGCAACGCAATCACAAAGGGGCGAAGGACCTTTCCCACGAGTGCAGGCACCGGGCCGGGCGCCTTGGGGTGGATCCTGGCTGTAGCGTAGATGTAGAGGCAGGTGTGGATTGTCTGCTGGAGCGTCGCTCCCTGATGCCATGCCGCCTCACACGCTAGCGCTCGGTCCATGATCCAGCAGACGTCCGCCGCCGAGAGGTTTGCGATGGGGTCAAATGCGACTGCAAGTGCCGCTCCGGACGGCAGCTTGTCGCTGTCAGCCACCAGATTTTCGGGAGGCGGGTGAATGCCAACGTCCATTCTCGGATCTGTGATCTGGATTGCCGCCATAGACTGCTCGAGCGTAAAGGAAGGGTTGAAGACCATCTGGCCTTCCTGTAGGTCTGATCAGAGCGCTAGAGTGAGCCCTATCGCAATGAAGCATCGTGCTGACCTCTGGCCCACCAAGCTCACCTTTGAGATGTGCGAAGAGCGTATCGGAAACATCGGTGTACTCGGGCGACCCATTCGAGTGATCCTCAAGCTGATCCTGGTCCTCCATCCAGTAGCCCAGCGATGGCGCCTGATCCTCCATCGTCGGCCTGTCCTTACGCCCCTTGCCTCAATCCATCAAGTCCGTTCGGTCCGGCCTCACTCTCCCGCCATCTGTCTCTCTCTCACTGCAATCTTGGGGAGGAACATTTTCCAAATGCCGCTCGGGAGTCGGACGGTCCCTTCACGCGTCGCGCGCGATTGCTTTTTCATCTCCAACCTAAAACGCTCCAACGATAGTGGCTTTTGACAAGCAAGACTGCCAGGGCGACCCGCCGATCTCGAGGACGGACACCATGGTGTGGCCATGTTCCGCGCTGTGATTCTTTGACAGATATGGACATTCATGTGGAAGAGAACGGAAGGAGAGGTCGAGATTCTGCGTTCGCGGCACACTCTGTCCGACCTACTGATGCTACCTCGACTTCCTCTTCCACCCTTGTCAACGTAGACGCAAACGATCGACCACTCAAGGCTAGCTTTCAAAGGCGCCAGACATCCACCTCAAGCCCATACGCACGCTTCTCTCCGCCAAAGTCCCGCCGCAGAGAGCGTATTCCAGATGCACCTCCGTCTCCCTCTTCTTCTTCATCGACCACAACCCGGAGAGCTCTAGGACGAGAGCATACACCCGTCGCTGATTTACCTCTGTGCCCTGACGATTGCCGCTGTTCGGATCAGGAAATCGAACGGGGCTTTTGCAGGCGTGCCATGGCGGAAGCGTCGAGCGAGGGTGGAACAAGCGAGGCTGATTCGGAAATGGAAGCGAGACTGCTGGACAGGCGCTGGACCAATGCGAGGGAGCAGCGCGGCGATGTGCATCTGGCTTGGGATCCAAGCGAGCGACGACGCGATCGCGAGTCGAAGCAGCAGCTTGGCGAAAGCCGATCATCGTCGAGCACCATCACTGGCAACCAAGGCTCGGCATCGACTCCGTTGGCCCCACAATCGCAACCACAGAGTCCATCTCGCATTGGAGACCGAGGGACTGGCAGAGACTTGAGGTCAGATCCAGTCGTTGTGCCGCGATCTAGCCTTGACTTGAGTGCAACGAACAGCAGTGACGAGGGAGACGAGTTTGCGCCTCTGCAAGCATATCGAACCCTTTCGTCACCACTGCAGCGCTCACAGAGGCCATCATTGAGAGTGTCGTCCTCGCCTGGGCCACGGCCCCACCAAGAGTTGTCGGAGAGCACTGTGTCGGCGCCTGGGCATGGATCAGCTGCACGCCGATCGATTGCCAACGTCTTTGAACGGCTCTTGCAAGAAGAGCAGCGAAGAAGGCAGGAAGACAAGGACAAGAAAGAGGCACAGAGAGAACGGAGGCGACAGGAAAAGGCTAGGAGAGAGGGTGAACACGAGAGTGACTGGGACGACAATACAGCAAGGAGTAGTCTGAGAGGCAGTCAGCGGGCAGAGGGTCGTTCAGCTAGCGAGAAATCTAAATCAAGCCCAGCTAGTCGCCTTCAGCATGACGTCGATCGCTTGCAAAAATTGTCGGCTCAGACTTCGACTTCGGCAAGCAGCGACACCTCCAATGCTCATAAAGGTCCTTCTTTGCCCTCGTCGCCCAAAAAGTCTTTGTCATCCTCTCCGATTCAAAGACCGCCATCTTCGATGGTCCCATTTGCTTTGCAAACGCCAATTACGCAGCCCGTCGAGGAGGGACGCGAGGACAAGGAGCCTGAGCGAGACGTCCAGCTTAATCCAAATGCGTCGATGTTGCCTCCGCCGCCGCCGTTCCAGGATCCTTTGGGCGCACCTTCGGCGAACACTACACAGTCGCCTCGGGCCTCACTACCAGACGCTCGGTCTTCCAGTCCATTGTCAACTTTTGCGTTTCCGAATCGGCTTCCGCAGCGACAGGCACCACTACATGCCGGCGTGGCCCTGATCGACTCTTCGAAGCAGCTCTCGCCTGTGGTCGGAAGCGGGCGCTTCAGTCCGGGAGACCCATCCTCGCCGAGACGCAACAGCCATCGAAGATCGGCTGATGTGGATGTTGTCAGCGTCAGTAGACGTCTGCCGACAACTTCAACGACACCTCCTTCTACAACGCCGCTTCCGTCAGCACTGGCGGAGGTCCATACCCCACACCTCACACCTGCAGACGATGCTTTTCAATCCTCGACATCCACAAGTCCCAGAAGAGTCAGATTCAGCCCCCAGCCGCCGCAAGTCGTCGTGGCCGAGCGTGAAGACGACACCGATGAGACATCCAGCCCCGAGAGTCACAGGGACCTATCGCTGCAAGGCGTGGAGGATGAAGACGAGAGTGAAGAGGACCAGAAAGGAATGGATACGGACAGGTCCTTTGCAGCTCCGATGGAGCCCAAGATTGATCTTGGCTCAGGAACTCCGAACAGTACAGATGCGACCCGTCTGTTGAGGGAAGGAAACACGCCCAAGACGCAATCACCCTTCGTGCCTGGCGCTTACTTTTCTCCAGCGGCGGGGCCATTGTCGTCGGCGGCTTCACCGGCCTTTTCTCGTCATATCATACGACCGCGGGGTCCGAAAATGGCCCTGGAGACGGTCTCACCGTCCAAGGTGGCTGGCATGGACAAGAAGGGTAAAGAGGAAAACGAAGAAGCATTCTGGAACAAGGACGCTGATCCGCCTGCTGGAATACCTTCACCACCGCGCCCATTCGCGTGGACATCGGCCTTGTCGAGGTTTGGCTCGGCTGTCTATTCGCCCCCTAAAACCAAGACGTCAGGACTTGAGAACAAGGCCGATACGAGCATGGCGATAAGTCTTGGCTCAGCCTCGATCATGGAAGATGTTCTGGAGGAGAGCCTGGAGGGAGAAACTGGCGGGGAGGACGATGAGATCACGCAAGGCTCCCAATACCATGGAGGTGCCCCTCGCGAATCGACTCCACCACCAATGAGCCCTAGTCTGCGCTCGAGTCTTCGGTCGAACCTTTCTGTTGCCGGGCGTCATATTAAGGACATGCAAGAGCAGTCTCTGCTCCAACTCGACCCTCTCCGAACTTCGGGGCAAGACTCCAGCCAGGTTCCAAATGCGGATGACTCGCTGCGTCTGACGCTTGAGGAGCTTTTGGAGGTATTGAAAAGACCCCAGGAACCCGATAGCTTCGTCTCGTCATTGACGGAGATAACGCTGCCGGGCAACAAAGTTCTTCCCACCAGTACGCAGGCGACCGACGAAAACGGCCGGGCACTGGAACTCGCTGAGATTGCAGATGAAAGCCTTCATCGGAGTAAGGTCGCTGAGGAAGAAGATCGACGCTTCGTTGCCCGTCTGGACCAAGTCCGCGATCGACTCCAAGCCCTGCTGCACAGCAGCAGCATTTCCGGCCCTCAGCCAAAGAACAAAACGACAATGTGGAGCACGTTCATGAGGCTTATGCTCCATCTTGCGCTTCTCTTTGCTGTTCTCCAATTCGCAAAACTCCGCGCGAGCCTTTTGTACCATCACCCTTATTCACTCCTCGAGGATCCGTTCCAAGCAAGCTCGACTCAAAGCGCCATTTTGTTCTCCATTTTGCCGCGCAGACTTCCCTTCTGGTCCCTGATGCGAGGAGGCACAGACGGGCTTCTCGCGAGGCTCAACATCTTCCCACCGGGATCCCTCGTCGGTGTCGAGCAAGATGGACTGACATGGATCCAAGATCTGCCACTATCGATGCAGCTAGACGGAGGACAAGGGAGCTCAAGCGTGGCAAAAGTGGTGTTTGACATCGTCTGGCGAAATGTCAAGAGTGGCAGAACAGAGTTGGCCTGGCGTGTATTGATGTGGAACTTGGCCAGGTCAATCGGGTGGGACTGGTCGGACATGGGCGAAGGAGGCCTTTTGGTCCCGACTTGATCGGCGATCTGTACGAATATTTTGTCAGTTGTATACCGTTCTAATATTGCTGCTGCAACACAAGCATCTTTTGCCATTCGAAAGCCAGGAGTTGTTGTGAGAAGACAGGATTATTGGATTGAATTGCTTTGATTTGCGTCCTACGAAGTGACGAGAGACAAAGAGAAAGAGGGGAGAGCGAGGGAGAACAAGTGCAATTTTCAGAAGTCATCCTCATTGAACTTGAGTGGCTGGAAAGCGTAACCCTGGGCGATATAATGCTTGGAGCTCGCCTCGACCCAGTGCAATCGCAATGCGTGCAAGAAAGCCGAAAGGCCCTCCATGACGACGAGGACGCAAATGCTCAGGGTAATCCAGACAGCAAACGCAGCGACGGTGGCCAAGACGCCGACGATGCCAGTCATGCCAAAGACGTTCTCAATCGTCATCTTCCACGCTACCTCGCTAAGCTGTGCGTGGGCCAAAGACAGGGCCCACAAACGCAGGTACGAGGCTGTTTGCGACACGGTACCCAGGGCGAATTCGATCGTCTCGATGACTGAATGGATAAAGACTTCGCCGATTTCAAATTCGCCGTGCTCGCCCTCTTCGCCGCCGTGGCCACCTCCACCGTGGCCTCCTCCCTCGCCACCGTTGCCTTGACCAATGATGTGACCTTCACCGGCATCATCGTCCTCATCGTCGTTGAGGAGGTCCGCCGAAGGGCGAGCAGCAGCCTCGTTCGTGACGCTCCTGTAGCCCTGGCCCTCGCGCTCCTTGTGCTCCTTCCACTCGACGTAAGGCTTCGTGAGCAGCATCCAGGGGATGCAGATGAACGCAAGCAAGAGAAGCATGACCTGGACAAATGCCTGGCCAGGGAAGATCTCCTCTTTGGGGTCGACCTTGCCCGGCGAGAGGAACATGTAGATGAGCGTGTTGAGAAGGTTCGGCGGGTTATTCCGGAACACGACGCCGTTTGCATCCTGCTCATACCAGTCCGTCGTCCACTTGTAGACGATGACAAAGACGAGGTAACCGAACAAGGACTGCAGCAGCAGCATCTTTGGGATGAATTCGCCGTAGATGTTGACCGGCTTCTTGTAGTGGATGGCGTTGGGGATGTTGAGGCAGAGAGCGAACGACATGTGCAGGACACCGAGAATGATCGACATCTTCATCTTGAGCGAGTTGGTAAAGACGAGGAGATTGTCGGAGCCGTGCCATGTTGGATCAAGTCCAAATGGATAGACACGGCCCAGCGGAATGGCCTCCAACGTCGCGTTCGGCGGCTGGTCTGTGGGCCACTTCCAGCCTGAGTGGAAGAGGTGCATCGACTTGCTGAAAATGTCGTTGTACATGAAACCGGTGAAGATGGAGAAGAGGCCCATCAGGAGAATGATGTAGCGGCCGTAGAAGAACATCTCGAAGATCTCGCCGAGACCTGCCTTGGCCAGCTTGCGCTCGTAAACGCACATGCTCAATGCCGCAAGGAACATGATTGTGCCGTGGCCAACGTCACCGAACATGACGGCGAACAGGAAAGGAAAAGTAATGACCGTGAAGAGACCAGGGTTGACCTCCTGGTAGGATGCGAAGCCGTAGGCGTCGATGATCGACTGGAAACCGCTTGTGAACTTGTTGGTGAGGTGGTAAGTCGGAGGTGTCTGGCTCGTCTTGAGCTCCTGAAGCACGGGAGGTACCGACGTGCCCGCATTTTCGGTGGCTCGACGGAGTGCCAATTGAACAGAGCCGATACCGCTCTTAGGGCACCAGCCCTCGGCAATAAGCGTCTTGCGCCTCGAGTCGTAGTTGAAGAGATTCATTGTCGCGTACACGAGCTTCTCCTTGCGGACCACGTCAGCCCAAGCACTGAGACTCTCTGCAATCTTGACCAATTCTGTCCGCCTCGTCGCGCTGGTCGAGTAAAGGACGTTGTTGAGGTCCTCGATGCGGTTGGTGACTTCTCGGAGACTGTCTTCTCGCTTGTCTGGATTGCTGTCGATGGGGTACAGTGTTCCGCCCATGCTCTCGCTGATCTTTCGAATCTTGGCCAGGAGCTCGGCACCGTGGGCGAAGATGATGAAGACATTCTTGCGTACCGGCTCCTCCTTGGATGGGTCGTGAAAGGGCTCGGCGATCTCGGCATAGTTCATGTAGAGGTTACCACGAAGCACACGCCACAGAATCCTCTCAAAGGTCGCCATCCGTGTCCGGTCAATGGTCCCCGCCACGAATCTGTCCGCATGTCCGTCAGTCTGGGAATTTGGACGAGCAAATCTTCTCAGGGGCATGAACTCACTCCAGGTCAAAAGTCCCAAAGCCTGATTCGTTCTGGCCGCCAGCAAGCCCGCGGCTCTCGACATCATCGAGCAGAGGAGCATTGGCGTCGTCGGTGCTTGTCCTGATGGCGTCTTGGCGACCTTCGGCTTGGTCAAAGAAGACGGCAGTCTCCCTGAGCACGTGGCGAGCCTCCTCGAGCTCGAGGAGCCTACGCTGGAGCTGCTCGTAGCTTCCGTTCATCTGTCCCAGCCGCTCCTCGTGCTCACGAAGCCGCACGCTGAGCTCGTCCATCAGCTGAGGGCCGCGCTGGTCGCTCGTGTTGACAAACGGAAGCGCAGACTCGAGCGGTCGGACGGGTACGGACTCAGCCTCCATCTGCGAGTACAGGAAGCGGACGCGGCGGTCCATCTCGTCGAGTCGGCGAATGTCCGAGACAAACGAGCGTTGGAAAGGAGTCACATCAGGGTTGAGCTATGAGAGTCCTCCTTGGTCAGCGTCAGGTATACGCAATAAGAAAGCGAACAACTCACGTCCTTGAACTGAACATTTCCGAGCTCGCCCAGCTCGTACACAGTGTCGTGAGCGACCTCGCTGGGGATGTAGAGCTGTACGAGGCTCATCTCCGCCGAGCGGAAGAGGCTCTCGTGACCGCTCATGATGGGCGTCGCTCAGTCGTGGGAAGAAGGTTGAACAGGTCGTCGCTTCAGGGGGTGTGCTTGTAGCAGCGACAGCCGAATGACCAGCAACCTTGGTCCACGTGTTTTGAGAGTTTAGGAAAGTCGGCCGAAAAAAATCGCAACCTTCCTTCGTCTTACCGTTTCTCTCACTACTCCTCTGCGTGCACAGCGATCGACGAAGAAGGAGCCGGTCAATATGCCGTAAGTAGCCACGCATATCCTATGCAGACATAACGCTTACAGTCTCGCAGTCTCTACGAGCTCTTTTGTATCGCGGCCTCTTCAGAGTCTTCTGTAAGTGTCAACTTTTTTTCTTCTCTAGCCCTTTTGCACCCAGGCCGCTCACGCTGTTTGCCCTACCTCTAGGCGCCCTTCCGCGATCTGATTCGCTCGACCTCGCGTCTCATCATGGACCACGGCGGTGCCGTACGAGGTGTTCAGTACTGGCAGCGCCGAGCGCTGGCCCAGCGGGCGCGGCGACACCAGCAGTATCACGAGACGGGCGACCACTTTCTTCTGCACTTTGACACCAACCCTCGGATTCTCAACCAGCTCTCCAGCCGCCTTCGGGCCGACCCGCGCGTGATTAAGTGGACGACACTCAAGTTGGGAGAGCGGCTAGACCAGATCACACCAAAGACGATGGCAGGGTCAGAGAACATCGATGGGCACCCGCCGCAGATGGGGGGAGGACGAACGGTGAAATACTCCAACACGAACATGTAGAAAGGTTGCATCAACGGTTTCCATTGTTGTGTAATTGTACAGTACAGTATTGGCTCTCAGCCTGTGAAACATCATACTCGAGCCACAAATGCGCTCAAATCTTTTTTGTGCAAGCGTGCCTTGGCCTTAGGAGCGCCACTCTCTTGCTGCTGGACATCATCTTCGGCTCTGGACCGCTTGACGCCGATCATTGTGTCGTGTTCTGCAAGCTGAAGTCAGTCATCGAAGTCAAAAGAAGATAGAGTGACACCAAAACTTACGGCGATTGTGAAGAAGGCTGTCGACAAAGTCGCGGCTGCCGCTCGTGATGTACTTGTGACTTACACCTCGAGCACTGAGGGGAACCCTGACCAGTGCGGCGAGCTGACTTTTGAGGGCAGTGACTTTTGCATCAGTGCTACTCTTGCCCTTTCGCTTGGTACTCTGGCCCCCTTGCTTCTTGACTGGTGCGTCAATGTCGACCTCATCACCACTCAGATCCATATCGGCCTCTTCGGCCAATTTCCTCAGCCAAGAATCATCGTGCGATTCCTTTTCTTGCTGGTGCTGCAGCCGGTCAATCTCTCGAGCCAGATCCACCCGCTGTCGGAGGGCAGGCAGAAAGGAGTATTCGACTGGTAGCGAGTTGAGGTCGTATGTCCTCGACAGACTTCGACAGAGGTCGCCCCACAATCTTTTTTCTCCCGGCTCAATCATGGCGACGGACAAGCCGGACTTGCCCGCACGGGCAGTTCGGCCAGAACGGTGGACGTAGGTATCGGCACTCCGCGGCAGCTGGAAGTGAACGACGTGGTCGACCGAGGGAATATCCAGACCTCGGGCGGCCACGTCGGTGGCCAGCAGTATGCTGCTCGTCGGTCCGTCTGCGCTCGTCAGGTTGACTGCCTGGAAGCGCTCGAGGTTCTTGAGCCGTTGCCGTTGCTGGAGATGGCTGTGAAGCGGGTGGACGGAGAGGTTCAGGTTGCTGAGTAGCGGCGTCAATCGTCTTATCCCATCGATGGAGTTGAGAAACACGAGGGTGCGGCCCGGGTAGCGCTGGAGAAAGTAATAGAGGTAGAGATCCTTGTCCTTGGCCAGGCACTCCACTTTGGTCTCCACCAAACGTTCAGCCAGCCTCATGGCTGTGCTCAAGTCGACGACTTTCGGGTCATCGTCTCGAAAGTCGATCATCGAGATCAGGTCTTCGATTGTTGAGGAGGCCGCTCCATTCTTGCGCTTCTTGCGCTTCGATTTCTTCAGGTTGTTCTGAAGCTCCTTTGAAAGCGTTGCAGAGTAAATGAAGGTTTGCATGTCAGATGCACCGCCGGCAATTGTTGACGTGGACGTGTAGTCTTGAGAACTGCAGCGAGCCGAAGAGCGATGAGTCGGGAGTGAGCTCATGAAATAACAGCGAGTACACACCTATGTGAATGTTTTGCTCGCTTCACCAGAGCAAAGATGGTCTCCATCTCGGCAAAGTGGCCCGTCTCAATCATGCGGTCCGCCTCGTCGACGACGAGGAAGCGGACCAGCTTGATTCGACGCGTCAAGGTGTCGTCCTGCCAAGATTGAAAGAAGGGTTAGCATGGTATGTTGCAATACGCCCCTTGCCAGAGAGAGCGACTTACGCTCTTGCACATGTCCCAGAGCCGCCCTGGTGTTGCGACGATGATGTCAGTGCCCGCTCCATCGTGGCCCAGGACGAGCCTGCGCTGCTTTTCCTCGCTGATGCCTCCCGTCAAGGTGGCAACATGCGCCCACTTTTTTGTGGCTGAGGGTGAAGAAGCCTTGATGAGCGCTTCGAGGTGCTTGGACACCTGCAAGGCCAACTCTCTGGTTGGAGTCAGGACAAGCCCAGTGAGTCTGGTCATATCGCCGTCCTGCGCATCCTGGCCTTCGATATATTTGATCTTTCGGTCCTCTTTTTCCGTCGTCGCGATCCAGTTGAGCATCGGCAGTCCGTACGACAGCGTCTTGCCGCTTCCCGTCTGCGCAATGCCGACAACGTCTCTTGATGGAGACTCCTGGCCTGATGAAGATTTGAGAGCATGAGGTAGGGCCAACGCTTGAATCTTGGTGGGCCTGTCAAAGTTGAGAGCTCTAAGAGCACGCTTCAAGCGGTCATCAAGGCCGATGTCGAGCTTCTCCCAATGTGCCAGCCGCGGCACGTCCTCGTCGTTGCCCAGCTCGCCCTCACCATCCAGACCTCCAGCATCCAAGACATTGAAGTCGACATCAAGGTCGTCTTCTTCCTGTCCCTTCTCTTCTCTTTGCCCTTTATCCCCGCTTCTGCTTTCGCTTTCGAGGACGCCATCCCAATCGATCGCCGGGAGCTCTTTGGTGTCATCGTCTTTCTCAGCGCTTGTTGTGGCTACTCCGATCTTTTCATCCCCCGCGTCCTCGCCCTTGTCCTCTGTTCCTTTGACCTTCTTGCTCGGTGGCAGGTATTTGTCCGTCCCCTTGGCCTTGACCTTGGCTTTTTGCTTTGCGGCCCCAGCAGCGGCTCCACCCTTGACGACAAAGGACATCGCACCATCATCCTGCCTGACGACATCTACGCCCTCGACCTCCTTGAGGCCCATGAAGTCATCGTCGTCAAAGTCGAGTCCCTGGAGAAAGTCCGACTCGGTCTGGCCGCCCGACGCCTGGGCCTCGAGCGGTAAGGGAATGGCAGCCCAGGGAAGCGAGGCAGCATCGACCCGGTGAGCCTCCTGCGCAGACTGCGACGACGGCTTTGACGCCTTGCCCCTTCCTGCCCCTCTTGCCTTTCCTTTTCCTCTCATGTCCGTCTGTTCGTCTATCCGTGCGTCCGTCAACGTCGCTCAAGTCGACTCGACTCGACTAAGAAAGAAGCGTTGCTTCTTTCTTAAAAAATAAAGGAAAAAAATAAAAAAGAAAGTTTTCTGAGCACGGACGTTCACGTGGAGGATATGGAGAAAAAAAGCATGCGGTCCTGCCTCCGGCTCTCCGGGGTGGATTAGCCGTAGGTGGAGAGAGAGGTGGGGGTCCGGGCGGAAGGAGCGCCGCCAACATGTGCGCTACTGTTGGTTAGCGCACACCAAGCAAGCCCACAACAAGCAAGCCCACACCAAGCGAGCACACACCACGCAAGCACAATGGCCAGCAAGGAGGAGGCGCCACTGCCCATCTTGTGGGAGGCGAGCCAGTCGCGCATCGAGTCGTCGAACCTGGAAAAATTCCGCAAGATCGTCAATGCCCGTTATGGCCTCCATCTGTCGACGTACGACGACCTGCACAGATTCAGCGTCGAGCGCATGCCCGACTTTTACAAAACGTTGTGGGACTTTGCTGGGATCCGCTATTCAAAGTCGTACGATGAGGTCCTGACGAACCCGAACGCCAAGCCGGGCGACCTGCCACGCTTCTTTGAGGGCGCCAAGCTCAACTTTGCAGAGGTGCCGTGTCTCGTCCTGACCCAGTCGTTTATCGTAAAGTTGCTGATGTGAAGAAAGGGCAGAACGTTCTCTTTCCGCTCCACCCAAAGAATGCAACGGCATGCATGCCCCATGCCCCGCGCAACTGGCCCCACGACAAGACGACTGCCATTTGGGAATACGGCGAGGCGGAGTCGACGGCCGACGACGCCGTGCCTCTGCTCCTTCAGCAGGTTTCCTGGGGCGAACTTCGGCGCCGCGTCGCTGTCCTCGCCGAGGCGTTCCGTAGAAAGGGCGTCCAGGTTGGGGACCGCATTGCACACGTCTCTGCCAACTCGTCGGATCCAATCGTGAGCTACCTGGCCACCGCGTCCGTCGGCGCCATCTTCTCAGCCTTGGCCACCGACGCAGGACCGCAAGCCATCTACGGTCGTTTGGCCCAGATTCGACCGAAGGTCGTCCTGACGGATGATGTCGCCTTTTACAACGGCAAGGAGACCAACGTCGTCGACCGTGTTGCCAGCGTCGCCGACGACCTGCTGACCAACGGGAAAGTAGAGGATCCAAACGCGTTCGAAGTCGTCTGCCTCATCAATCGCAAGCGAAAGCGCAAGACCACGAGCCCCGAGCTGGCGTGGAAGGGAAAGAAAGCGACATGGTGAGATCGTATTGCTCTGAGCAAAGAGTCAAAGCCCGTCTGCTAATACTGTATAATCCACTGCAGCTCGACATTCGAAGACTATCTCCAGTCTGTGGGTCTGTCCACCTCGCCGTCATGCAGCCCTGCGCATCGCTTCGAGGCGCTGCCCTTCTCGCAGCCCGCTCTCATCGTCTTTTCTTCGGGCACCACGGGCGAGCCAAAGTCAATCTGCCACATTGGCGGTGGTATGCTGATCAAGGCAAAGACGGAGAACCTGTTCCAGTACGAACTCTTGGGTGGAGACACTTTCTTTCAGCTCACTACATGCGGTTGGATCATGTGGCAGAGCCTGGTCTCGCAGCTCCTCGTGGGCGCAAGCGTCATCACCTATGACGGCAGCCCGCTGTACCCCAATGCTCTCGCCGTGCTTCGACTCGTGTCGCAGCACTGCAAGCAGAGGGGCGCTGTCACGGGCATCGGCATGGCGCCCCGCGTGCTCTCCGAGATGGAGCGCGCGTCGGCCAAACTGCCGCGCCCACCCAGGGACATGTTCCAATTTGACACACTCAAGCTCGTCACGAGCACGGGCAGCCCCCTCTCGCCCGCGAACGCCCGCTTCTTCTACGAGAAGCTGTTCCCCCGGCACGTCCAGCTCGTCTCCATCAGCGGAGGCACAGACCTGGCGGGCTGCCTCATTGGCTCGTCAATCTTTGTCCCCGTCCGAGGCCATCTTCTCGGTGCAAAGACGCTCGGCATGGACGTTCGTATCCTCGACCCCATCACGGGCGAGGACTGCGAAGCATCGGGCCAGGCGGGCGAGCTGACGTGTGCCAGTCCTTTTCCTTCACAGCCCGTGAGTGTGCTTCGTCTTCGTTGAGACTGTGTCTCTAAGTATGCTGAATTCATGCTGGTGTGGCCTCGTGTACGGTCTCCTACAGCTCAAGTTCTGGGGTGCTCCCCAAGACGAAGAGGCGCTCCACGAAAAGTACATGGACTCCTACTACCGCCGCTTCCCCAATGGCCCCGCGCGCGGCTACTGGGCCCAGGGCGACTTTATCTCGCGGCGGCCCACGCGCAGCAAGGCTGTCGGCGGAGAGATTGGCGGGCCCTTTGAGATCCATGGCCGCTCCGACGGCGTGCTCAACCCCTCGGGCGTCCGCTTTGGCAGCGCAGAAATCTATGCCGTCGTCGAGGGCGGCCAGTTCCCCTACGTGGCCGACAGCGTCGTCGTCGGCCAGCGCAGGCCAGGCAAAGACGACGACGAGCGCGTGCTCCTCTTTGTCAAGCTCCACGACGCCAAGGCAGGCCTCTCGCCACGGCAGATCGACGACATGAAGAAAGCAATCCGCACTGCCTACTCGCCCCGCCACGTCCCCGCCCACATCTTTGCTGTAAAGGACATTCCCGTGACGAGCAACGGCAAAAAGGTGAGGGGCGCGGAGGTAGCTCAGCAACTTTCTTACTTCTCTTCATTATTGCATTAGTTATTGGCAATGGCTGACGACACTCAATCTACAGACGGAACTGGCGGTAAAGGCCATCGTGTGTGGAAACACGGCCTTTCGACCAAGCACAGCGACGGCGAACCCAGGAGCCCTCGACGAGTATCGTCAGTACGCCGATCTCGAAACGGTGCTTCGGCAGTCGAAGCTCTAGTGGGAAGGAACAGGCTTTGCCCCGGACTCTTTGGGCCCAACCCCGTCGATTGATCTTGGCTTTTCGCACCTTCTAGAATTTCCCTGTTTTGATGTTATTGATAACGAGATTGACTGTCAGAGGAGAGAAATCGATATCTCTGCAGCAGCACTCACCAATCAAGAGGTTACCCGCCATCTCTCTCGCTGTGATCCAGGCAGTGACCACAAACGTGGGCAGGTCCAGCGTGCTAAAGAGCGTGTCGGCCAGTCCGAAGGGCATCATCGGCGGGATCCAGCCCTGGGCCAGTTCGAGGGCCCAGCAGCCCCCGCCCGTTGCGTCGGGCATCATGTACTGCTTGACGTGGCCGCGGCGGAGGTGATGCTGCGAGCCTGGCGCATAGACTTCGGCCTCGAGGGCGCCTGCGCTAAAGGCGTGCTGCTCGCCCACGAGGATGTGGAAGTAGTCGTCGGCCTTTAAGCAGGGATTTGTGAATCAGCACTGTGCCCCATGTCCTACTGTCTTCCACTCCAGACCCTCACAGTGTGACGCCCCGTGTGCCCCTCGGTGCCAATTGGCGTACCAAAGAAGATGAGGTACTGTGCGAGAGAGGTCAGATCTTTCTGGCTTACTGCCTATTGAGATCGCGTACGCAGAGCTCACCTCTGTGATGGACGCATGGATGATGTACATGGAACCCATCGCACCTGGCCAAGATTGCAACATCAGTCTTCCTTCCTCCTTGTCCATGCCGCCCAAGAAGCGCAGATCGAGGACACTGATGCTCACCACCGGCATTGTTGAACATCCACTCGTTTTCATCCTTGATGCTGCGCGTGTTGAGGTACCTGCCGACCTTGTCATCGGCGTGAAGTCTCGCGAGAATGTCATCAAGGAGCGCCTCGGTCGAGTTGTGGTTCTGCGCCAGAGCCTCCCGGGTCAGCGCGTGGAGCTTGGCCGGCTCAAAGATGTAGAAGTTGGCCTGTAGAGAAAAAGGTGGAAAGGAGGGCTTGTAATCAGACGTCGATTTGCGGGCGGACGGCAAGAGCGGAGAATGGACTCACGCGGACACGGTCGAGCGCCGCAATGATGCCGGCGAACACGACGAAGAGGGCACTGAGGACCGTGAGGAGGCCTGGGCCTTTGGAGGGCGCCTTGGACCTGCTCAGCGGGCGCTTGGATCCTTCGACTGGGCCCAAAGACCTCGTCACTGAGCCGTTGCCGGTCGACTTTCTGGGGGTGCGAGACATGGTTGCTGCACGGAAACAAAGAGAAAGAAGGAAGACCAGCTGGGAAAATCGGACGATTCTCGCGCGCGTACTTTGGAAGATGCGCTCTAAATTTCATTCCGAATCGCAGCCCGCCCACCGCTCCTACTGGACTCTTCACCTTTTTGGCGAGCTGGGCAAAAAATCGACGCGAAGGTGAATTAAATCAAATTTGTATTCGACATTAATGCCGACTTTAAAGACGCGTGTCAAATATGATTTATTCTTTTAGCTCATTTTATTTAAGTTTGATGCATTAGTGTATTTTCTTTTCGAGAATTAGTCTCTAAGTCTCAGAATTTGTGACAGTGGCACACAGTCTGAAGAAAATTTTGGCCACCCGATTATATTGACTATGAAAATCTTGGAGACCAAGCGAACGACCGGTATCCCAGCGGTCCTGTTATTGTGGGCGTAGTATAGGTGGTTAGTACGCCGTGTTGTGGTATATAGAAATCTATAACCGCGGCGACCTGAGTTCGAGTCTCGGCGCCCACATATTTTTTTCCACCGTGTCCAAGTCTTTTAAGGTCTATTTTTTTGGTCTGTGAGCTCTTCAAGAGGGGAGATGTTGCGCTCGCAAGTCTCGCCTGTGAAGGTGCAGGAAACTTGACGATTCTGCTGCCCACCTGTTACAATTACTGGGCACCCTGATGCGTCGGAGCTCATTTTCCACGCTGCCGAGATGACCTGATGCGGCGCTCTGATTCTGTCTCAAGAGCACATTGTTTCTTCAGCGCCGAAGATGCAGGGCTTCTCTACATTGCATGTCCTTCTCGCGTGGCCAGCAAACACGTCGATTGCCAATCTTCTCAAGATGCCGCGCGCCCCGACCGCGAGCAGGCCCGCTCCCATGTGCGGGTGTAATGAGGTTCCTTGTCTCGTGGCCAGAGTCCGTCTGATGGCCCCTCTCCGCTCGTCTACACTGCGCCACGTCAGCTGCAGCCCACTTTTGCCTCTCTCCTTCTTGGCCAGCCTATCTCATCTACACAGAGCCTCAGCGCTGTACAGCCCGCTTATCTCCTCTGGGCTCAATCGGCGTTAGGGTATTACGTGAAATTGGCCCCTCCACCAACCAGTGTTGACCAATCTGATTAGAAATCGGGCCACCAAAAATGGCGCCTCGCCCTGCACCCTCCTCGTCGACGCCTGCACACGGCCACGACTACACGCCCCTGCGTGTTCTCAATCGGACAGAAGAAGGCAGTGGTCGAAGAACGTCCAGCGGCGAGGACGACGACGACGACAACGAAGAAGGAGAAAATAAGGACGAGGAACGACGCGCTGGCAGTGACGGCGGCACTACGATGCAACGTGCCGCGTCCGAGGACGAAGAACCGCTTTTGGAAGGCCAACCCGTGACTCGTCCCACAAGAGAGGAGAGAGTTGTGCAGCGCTCGCCCTGGCTCGACGCGGCTGACGGTACTGAATCGCGAAGCGGGGCCGACACGTTGATCATGGGCAACATGCGAGGCTACAGCGCCTGGGGTGTGCAGGTCAGTGCTGCTTTTCCCGCGCTTTGAGACAAGAAAGAGAGCTGACGTGCTCCCTACCTTCAACTAACCCAAAAGATGTTTGCCCTGGCTTTTATGGCCCTCATCTGGCCCATGGTCTTGCAGCGCATGCCGTGGCACAAGCTCCCGCTGTTCGGATACCACCCCTTGGCTCAATCCTTGAGCCTGATCCTCCTGGCCCAGGGCCTGCTTGTGCTGCAGCCCACGACGCCGCAGACGCCCAAGCGCAAGGGCCAGGCCCTGATCTGGCACCAGCTCTTCTTCCTCATCTCCTTTCTGCCCCTCGTCACCGCGGGCGCCTGGATCATGTGGCACCTGCACTCGAAGCCGCGCGCAAAGCACTTTATCTCGTGGCACGGCACCCTGGGCGCAGTCGCCGTCGTCTGGGCCTGGATGCAGGCAGCCGTCGGTGCCGCCAGCGTGTGGTTCAAAGGAAGAGCACTGGGCGGCGAAGCTCGGGCAAAGAGCATGTGGAAGTGGCATCGGTGCGTAAACTCTCTGAAAATCCACTTCTTCAACTGAAAGATCCCCGCCTGCAGCCTCTCGGGATACATGCTCCTCAGCCTCTTTGTCCTCATTCACATCCTCGCCGTCACCGAGACAGAATGGGTACGAGGCTCTGTGCCGCTCTTCCACCGCGCAGCCGCTGTCCTCGCCGTCATCGGATTCGCAGCCGTCATAGCGACTCGAGTCCAGACGTCAAAGATGCCTCAGCTGATCCGTCGAGGTTGAAATAGTTTCGTAAAAGAGTTCTTCTTTGTACTGTAGATTCGCTCAGCCGATGAAATGACAGACCTCACTACGTTGGCTTCTAGTGTGAAAGCGGCGTCAGGCAGGCCTCCCGGTGCGATTAACCAAGGTGCAGAAAAGGAGAGAAAAGGAACCAAAGGGCCTGCTATGTACAGGAAAGAGGCAAGCTTATTCTTCTCGAGAGCAAGAAGGAACAAGGGCACGAGAAACTGTAAAAGGGCGGCAAGCAGCATGGGGAAAGAATGGAAGGAGAGAGCCTAGATCAGAGGCCAAGCTTGAACGAGACGGTGTGTGATGTGCAAAAGAGTGTGGGGGAAAGTCGAGGTCCCTCTGCCGCGTGCCTCGGTCTCGAAAGACGAGATACCAAAGAAGAGTGTCGAACGGAGTCCAGGAGATGTACAACGGAGGCGAGAGCGTGTGGATGTGGCGGCCTCAGAGAACCTGCATGTAATTGCTCGGGACGATGCCCGTCTCTCCCGTCGATTTTCTCGCTTGCCACCACTTGCCGCTGTTGTCGACGATGTCGAGGATCTCGCCCTTTGTAAAGGAGATCTCCGTCGGATCGTCTGCGTTGGCCTGGTACGCATATAGGGCCCGCGCCTTGTAGCCGTACCCCGGCATTGGCTCGTTGTGATGGCCGTCGAGCGTCGCCTGCTTGTGCGTGCTCCCCGGGCTTCCCGTGCGTCCCTCGTGGGTGGTGCTGTGGCCAAAGTCGGAGCCTGGTCCTCGTTGGCCGGGCGCAACGACGCCAGAGTGACCGGTGCCAGCCGCCGAGGCAGCAACGCCGCTTCGAACGCTGTGGCTGTCGAGCTTGGGCGTACCTCCAGCGTTGGCGGTGGTAATGTCGTGGGCAGAGGGGCCCTGGCCATAGGTGGGCTGGTAGCCACCATTGGCGGCGCCACCCTGGAAGCCACCTCCGTAGGTGGAGCCGTTGCCCATGCCTCCGCTGCCGACGCCGTTGTTGCGGTGGACGCCTGTCGCGGCGCTCGTTCCAAATCGTGCGCCGGGGCCCGACAGCCTGCCGTTGCCGGCCATGGTGAGGAGGCCATAGACGACCGTGTCCTCCTCTGACGTGAGAAAGAGGAGCCAGATGACATCGACAATCGTCAGGATAAAGTAGCCGGCGGCAACAGCGTTGAGGCTTCCCAGGTTGCTGTAGATGCCGCTGTCAATGCCAAAGACGGCAAAGACGAGGGCAACAGCAGTGAAGGTCGCCAGCTGGATCCGGGTGGCCGCAATCGCATCCGTCACCACAGTGGCACCAAAGCCAATGATGATGAAGAGATGCAGGAAGATGGAGAACCAGAGAACAGTGTGGCCAGTCAAGGGAGCAGTGCCCAAAAGTCCCGCGTTGCTTGCCTGGGCGGCAATCTGCCCAATGAAGGCGACGAGCCACGCAATGAGAGCGAGGCCCATGGTGACCATCAGCACCACATTGCTGAAGAGCAGGCTGTTCGAAGAGTGATATTAGCTAATGAACAGGATCGCGTACTCGGCCTTCATCATCAAGTACTCACCTCACGTCGAAGCCTCCGCCGCCTTTTCTAGCCATTGTTGCTGCTGTTGCTTCTGCTGATGCCGTTAACGTAAAGGTGTATGTTTAGAGTGAACAAGAGGCCTGCCCTTGCCGATTTCTGTTGCGCGTTCTGTGCGTCGATGTAGCGTTTCTGTCGTCGTCGTCGTCTCGGCCGCTACCTGGCTGTGGCTGTGCGAAGAACGAGCTGGCAAACGCGTGCGTATGTCTAACCTGCTTTTCAAGTGATTTGTTACGGAGCAATCCGTTAGGTTTCGATGGGCGAAAGAACGAAGAAGCGGCGAGGCGAGAGTCGGAGTCGAGCGACGGGGCACGCGGCACGACGAACGTAGGAGCGGATGGCAAGTATGCGCCAGGGGCACGAGAGGAAGTCGTAAAATCGAAGCGTCAAGATATCGCGAGGACGGAGGAAGAAAAGAAGAAACGGAAAAGAAGGGGCAGGCGAATAGCGCACAGAGTTTGTCAAGAAGCGGAGAAAGGAGGAGATTGTGGCCGGCAGCAGCAGCGGCAATGGCGGTGGTGATGATGAAAAGAACCGACAGGTGAGCTTTGCCGGAGGGAAAAGTGCTTTGACAGCCACTGGCCTGGGACTACTCACGTGTATGCGCGTGCAGCTGCTGCTACTTGTCCTGCTGCTTGTGCTGCAAACGCGGCAGTCGGGCTGGCAAGGCGATCGGAAGGCGCACGCTGATGATGTTCTTTGCTGCTGCAAAGGGGGAGGCAGGGGTATATCGACGGCGAAAGGTGGCAGGCAGACAAAGCTAGGCGGCGGACGCGAGTGAAAAAGGCAAACTAAATCCCCTTTCCTATTTTCAAACCCTTCCTTTCGATCGTAGGGCAGCCCGAATAATATAGAGAAGACTTGCCCTCGAGTTTAGCGCAAAGTGTAATGCGGCCGAAAGAGGCTAGAAGGATACGGAGACGGCTAAGCGCACTTCCCGTGGGTCTGTAGCAGGGAAGCAGGTGGTGGGAAGTTGCAGGTTTCTGCGTCTGTACCAGCCAGACAGGCGAGCGAGCAAGAGGGAGAGAGACAAGGAGAACGAGAGGAAATTGAGAGCGAACCTGAGACAGACGAAGAGCGAAAGTTCTTAAACAGATAGGGGTACAAAAGGCAGCAGGCAACGCCCGCGCTCCATCAGCCCACGATTTAACAACGCAGCCCAGACAGAGGGACAGTATTGGCGTTTTGCTCTCATGGCAGTTTGGAATTGGGAGAGGATTCTTCGAGATCTTTAGAGCTTGCCAAGCCTCGTCGCACCATCCAACCGAATCGTTGAGCCGTTCTAGTGGGGGAGTGTGAGCGGAACGAGCAGGCTTGGAGAAGAGGATAGACTGACCATCATGGGGTTCTCGATGATGGCCGCAACGGCATGTGCAAATTCAGTAGGCAGCCCAAAGCGCGGCTGAAAGCATCTGGTCAGCCACCGACAAAGTCCGCTAAGGGAGATGCTAGTCTCACCGGGAATTCGGCGCCCTTGAGGATCTGCTTCTTGGCTAATGAAAGGAGTAATTCTTAGTGGCATTCAAGCGTCGAGAGTGGTGAAACCTTGCTCACCTTTCTCGGGAAGCCTCTCCATCATGGGCGTCGAAAACTTGTAAAGAAAGCATGTCAATCGTCTCCCCTTTGTGCTGGGCGTTTTAGAAGCGTCTCACCAAGGCCGGCGCCAACGTCATATTGCGAATGCCAAACCAGGCCAGATCCCTTTGGAGCATCGATAAGAATGAGCAACGAATATGGCAACATACAGATGTCACTCACCTGGCGATAGGCAGAGTCATGCCCACGACGCCACCTTTGCTCGCCGAATAGCTGACTTGACCGGTTTGCCCTTCAAACTATGGAAGACGTCACGTAAGCCACAGCTAGAACACATGATCTCGATCCCACTCACAGCTGCTACGCTGGCGGTGTTGATAATGACACCTCGATCAGGCGTATTCTCGTCGGCCTTCGCAATTGGCTTGGATACATCCCTGACGATGCGTGCCGCGGTGAGCCTCGATACGTTAAAGGTGCCAATTAGCTGTCCAATGTCGACGTCAGTAAGGAAAAAGACCACATGGACTGCTGCGTATGCTCACATTGATCTCTACGACTGTGCGGAACGTGTCGAGATCCTAGGATGGATGTTTCTTCAGCTTGATGACCAAGACACTCTCAAGGGTCAAAGAGCAGCTCACAAAAGGCTCCCCGTCTCCGTTGATAATCTGCAGAGGCATTGTAAGCGAAACGGATCGAAAGATAGAAACCTACATGCCCACCTTCCCAGCCATGCCAACACCACCACAGTTGACACATCCTCCCACGACTTTTCCTGACCAGGCTTCGTCGCACTTTTTAATGGCTGCTGAGACGTCCTCTTCGTCGACAATGTCGACGCGAGCGGCGATGGCTCTCTTCTCGCCTCCGCTCTTGCCATTGAGGTCCTTGGCCAGCTCCTCTGCCTGATCCTCGGAAATGTCCCAGATGGCGACATAGCCGCCCTGAGCGTGCAAATGGCGCACTGTTCCTTCGCCAAGGCCGCTCGCTCCGCCGGTGACGTACCAAATATGGTCCTGGATCTTCATCTTGCGTTCGATCGTGATAAGGTGACAAACTTGTCGCCTAGGACTCTCGCGAGCGAGGAGACAAGCCTCTGGGGTCTCGGGATTCGGAAGTGAAGTGCTGCATCTGTGTGAAAGGCCTGATGGTCGACCATCACAGCATCACTGATCGGTGCTCAAAGGCGTTCATCATGAGATTCGCTCTGCGACTGATCACCGATCTTTACGAGATAGGATAAGGCTAGCAGGCAGTACGTCAAGAGGGCCACGTCATGAAGCTAAGGAGTGTCATTCGAGCAGTCGTGGGGTTTGATAATGTCTCCTCCGCACTAACGGCAGTCTGCACATTGCCTATCTGACCGCTCCGCCAGACCCTTTTCCTAACTCCGTGATGCCTTCTGCAGGTGTAGCTCGGAGAACAAGCAAGTCCAAGAACGAGTGCCAAAGCTAAAAACGTGTCGCTGCTTTGGTCGCCGCCAAAATCTGAGTTGCAGATGCAAGTGGTGGAGTCGAAGTAGCGTATTCGAATTAGATTGTTTTCGGCGAGCAGCGAACGTGTGCGCGCACATGCGCGCGATTCGACGTCTCCGCTCAAAAGCACCTGTGCAGCTATTGTAGGACGGTATTGTGAGGTGGCCGGTGCGGGTCACTCGAGCTGGCACTTTCATCTCTTCTCGAACAGATCAAGGTGACAATAATCTCCCGACCCGGGCCCCTGATCCTCCTTTGCGGTAGACGGGAACTTGGCAACTTTGCGGGTCAGGCAAAGCCAAGCAGGCTGACGGTCACTTTTTACCCGCGTGTCTCGGCATCACGCAACGCTGAGAATCACTGTGGACCCCTCACGACAAACACAATTAGGCGACAAGGGCTTCTAATTCTCACTAAACTGGCTCGCAAGCTACACGCATTTCCTTGAACATCTTTTTTCTTCGATTTGTCCCTGCACGGCGCCACAGCAAGCAGAGCCTTGTCGCTCCCCAAATTTACCGGCACATAGCCCCGGCCAGCCAAAGATCTACTCCGATCGAACAAGTTTGAGCGGGAAAAGGGAAGCCAAGTCTTTAAATTTCTGGACCGACGCCGGAAGGGAACACCCAGCGGAAAGGAAGAGGGCAACTCGGGACAAAAGAAATGGGACGATGTTAGGTCCTTACTACTACCTTCTGTCGTTGTCCTTGTGCACTGTCTTTACCTGGTTTCGGAACAGTCTTCGTCCTTCGCTCGCAGCATCAGATACAACGAGGAAGGGAGAGCGGCGTGCACCCCTCAGGGCTGCAGATCAAGATACATATTCAACAAAGAAGCCGGTTATCACCGTGTCACTCGGCGACAGCAACAGCACCATGACCGCCAGCGTTAACAACAACTCCACGATCGTGGGCCTTGGTAACTCAACGACAAATTTGACCGAGACATGGAAACCGCCGCTGAGTACTCGTGGACGCTATATCATCGACGCCAACAATCGCCGGTTCAAATTACGAGGAGGCAATTGGCATGGCGCTTCGGGCACCTACTTGGGCCGAGGCGACATCAATGATGATCAAAACCACCACGTAGGCGAAAAGGCCTACCAGACACCTTTGTGCCTCGATCGGGTCGCCATCGATGACATTGTCGACTCCTTTCTCAGACTGGGAATCAACTCGGTCCGGCTGCCGTTTTCCAACGAAATGATTCACACGACGGCGCAAAACACCATTCCAGACTCCGCTCTGGCAGCCAACCCGCAACTCAAAGGCATGACACCCTTGGAGATCTACGACGCTTGCATCGAGGCGCTAACCAAGAAAGGAATCGCCGTCATTCTCAACAACCACACGGTGAAGAGCATCTGGTGCTGCGGTGTTGACGTTAATGCACGATGGAATGGCATCCAATCAACCGAGACTTGGATCCAAGACTGGCTGTTCATGGCTCGCAGGTATAAGGATAACGCACGAGTCGTTGGTGCAGAGCTGTACAAGTGGGTTACCTCAGCTCCATGTTCCCTTGGAAAAGAAAAGGCTAACAAAGCACCCTCACAGCGAGCCAAGGAGAGACTTTCTCTCTGATCCGGTCTGGGGGAGCGGAGGAAACACCGACTGGTGGCAAGCGTCTTTCGAAGCAGGCACTCGTATTCACCGAGAGGCAAACTCCGACCTTCTCATCATCGTCGAAGGTACATATAAGCATGCAAGCTACATAGAGGTCCCGGACGCTGATCTTCCTCTCGACAGGTATCAACTATGTCGGTATACCCACCCGCTTCACCACCCACTACCGCCCAGAACTTCAGCCGGTGGCCAACCTCTCTCATGCATTTCCATCTCCAGACAAGCTCATCTACTCTTCACACTTCTACGCATACACTGGACCCAATGCCACAGGTGGCAGCGACATTGGAGGAACAGATGACGCCCTCTACCGAGATCTGGAGCCCTCCGTGCTCTCAAACACCCTCGACACGCTGGCCTTCTACGTTGCGACGAGCCTGTCGGATGTGCAGAAGCACTACACGTCGCCCGTCTGGATCAGTGAATTCGGAAGCGGCGGTCGAAGTGATACACTGGCGGCAGATCGAAGCTGGTGGAACCGCTTTTGTGGGCTTCTGAGACAGCACGATACCGACTATGCCTACTGGCCCTTGGTGGGCTGGCAGACTAATGGGCAGGGAGACGGCTATGCACTGAACGAGTGGGATGCAAACGGCCAATTGCTCTCCATCACCGATCCCGGTGACTGGCGCTTGGATGCCTACGCGGCATTGCAAAATGACACGAATCTGGGACAGCAGGGTATGGTTCAAGAAGTACCTCGATGGACGATGCTCTACCCTCGGCTTGGCTCGGCGCAACAAAGCAACGCGCTCGCCCAGTCGGGTGGTGGTGTCAACGGCCTGCAGACGGGCGATCGAAAAGCAAGCTGTCCAGATGGATTGAGGCTGGCTGCCCTGAGCCATCAACAGGATCCCTCTGCGCTCTGCACCGATGCAACTTTCGGTAGAGACCTTTGGAACGGCAGCGTGTCGTCCAGCAAGCTCGAGGTTGTCACAACCGAAGTCCATGTGCAAAGAGGTCAAGATTGGGCCAAGGGCTTTACCAAGTTCCAATGTCCAGAAAGGAGCTTCCTCATCGGCTACTCTTACACGGGCGATGCTTCCGTCTCAGCCATTTGCGCGCCTGTTGTAGACCCAAACCGGACACTGCCCAGTCAGATTCGTACCGTCTGGTTCAACAAAGCGACCAATATTGACCAAAAAAATGATCACGGAAACTTTGCGACACCAGGCCAGACATTTGGTGCATGTAGAGACGACGAGCTGGCCATCGGCTACGCCTTTTCGATACACGACAATGGTGGCTGGCCTTCTGCACTCCTATGTCAAACCAACAATCCAGCTGGCATCGTCGATGGGACTTTGCAAAATTATCAAACGCCCTCAGCTGCCCTTCTCCTTCTCGTAACAACAATCCTCTGGACACTGCTTCAGCGCTTTTAAGACTGCTCCAACTATTCTCAAGCAAATGCTTCCTCTCTACACAACCTGCATCAATGTCACGTATTTTGCAATTGGATTTAGTCATTTCATGAAGTTGATCGGGTTCTACATTCGCGAGCTGCAAAGACATGTCGATGCAAGAGGAGGGAAGAAGAAGGCAAATAGGCGGAAGAAACAAGGGTTGTTTGAGCATGGTTTTAGAAATGGCGAGAAGAAAGAGGCGGGAGAAGAAGAGATAAAGGGCAGCCGTCTGTCGGCGTAAGAGTGGTTTAGAGAAGTTTAAGGGTGGAGACGTCTTGATGACTCGCGCTTTTCCTCCACGACGGCCAAAGTGGCTGCATTTGCAGCCAAGGTCGCTGGCAGATTCACCGTAGATGACATTCTGGTCATCTCCATCGATGCTCTCACGCGCTCAAAGGAACGTCTAGGCGTAGCACTTGCGACCGCTTGAAGTCCTCGTGCACCGGGGACAACGACGACCGTCTTTGACTTGGCGGAGACGGTGTAGGTGAGTTTGTTGGTGACAACGTGGTTGAGCTGGGCCCAAAGCAACGGCGCGATACCGTAGAGAAGACCGGCTGGGATGGCTGCAAAATCGAGCAAGGCCGCGGGCCATCGTCTTTTGCAGTTCTGGTGAGGCCGCTGACCCAGGTAGCGCGGGGGCGTCTGTGTAATCGCTGCCAATGGCGAGTCGCGCGTCATTGACGGGGCCTGGCGGCGGAACTCCTTCAAAATGTTGTCCGAGGCCTGCCACCGTACAGTCGCAGCCACATGATGGTAGCAGTCGTGAATTGCGCACATGGACACGGTTGCCAGAATGCCCAAGCCGCCCAGGAATCTGGCTGCACGGAGAGCGCAAAAGACAATCGTGGGCATCATCCATGTAGGGTGAAGTCCCGGTGGCGTACCGACGGGAAGTTCGGCACCGGCGGCAAACGGCGATTCGAAGATCGATTGGACACAGTCTGATACTGTGCACGCCCTCGCGTAAACGTCGGTGAAGACGATGTGGCCATTTCGAAGAATGGCGGAAGGATAGATGGTGATGAGGAAACCTATGAGGAAAACCTGAGCAATCATGAGGTGTGCCTCGTATAGCCGCGTCATGAGGACAATGATAGGCAAAATGCGCAGCTTGTCGTCTTCGCCTGCCGCGTCGTCGACATCAAGGAGCAGGAGGGCTTCGTCGTCATCCTCGTCGTCGTCCTCATCGTGAACATCTTTAAGATAGTCGTCATGATTGCCGTCTTTGTCGTTGACGTTGACGTCGATGGGAATTGCCACGCTAGGCAAGACTGAACCGTCAAACTGTGTTGTTTTACGAACACGAGTAAGGGTGAACTCGGTCAGGGTATCGTCGCTGCTGTCCGTTGTCGCCGTGACGCTGGGCGATGGCGTGCGACTATTGCCCGGCAGGTCGACGACGTTTTGTTGCAGCTGCTGGTTTTGCTGTCGTAATCTTTCATCAGCGGCGTGGGCAGACGTCTCCAGGGCCATGTAGCCCTGTTTCGGCCTAGACCGTCCGATCTGACCGGTAAGGATACGGTGCCAGCAATAGCCAAAGTCTGTGGGTGGTTGACCGTCAGCGCGCACACGAGGGAGGAGTATCTCACTGTGCAAAAAGGCTCACCGAGGCTTCCCCAAAGGTGGCGGGTGGCCTGCGTCCATCGGGCCAACATGTCTTGGATATAGCTGGAGACGGGGCCCGTTCCAGGGTTGCCGACAACGTTGCACTGCGAAGCGGGAGAGTAGATGGTGATTGCCTTGACCTGGGGCAAAGTGCATCAGCTTCTGTTTCTCCCAAGCGCTACAAGGTTGGTTCTCGCTCACATTTCCCTTGGTTTCGAACATAGCCTTGCAGTAGAAGTGGAGATCTTCTCCGATTGCCTCTGGTCCTGCGTCCCAAAAGTCGCAGAATCGAGCCAGATCGAGGCTGACGGCGTACGCGCTTGTCGGAATCTTGCACCAGCTCGAGGGATAAATTCCACCGATGCCCGCACAGCTCCAAAAGATATCGGTCGCCCTCGTAAAGATGGGAACATCGGCCGAGTTACGGTCAAAGAGTGTAGGTGGGACAAACATCATTCTGCGTCGAACTTCGGGGCGAGCGAGAGAAAAGTGGGCGGCTGACGCGAGGAAAAAATCAGAGGCGAAAGCGGTGTCGGCATCCATGACCGTCACAATTGTTCGACGCTGCGAAGCCACGTCGCGGCGCCTGGCCATGTGACGTGCGGCCCAGTTGACATTAGAGCTCTTGCCAGCACTCTCGCCGATGATGTTGCCGGGATGCAAGGAGTAGGAAAAGTCGGCAAAGCAGCCACGCTTGCAGTAATCGTCGACGAGCGACTGCGCCTTGGAAGGCGCGCCAGCCTCGCGCTCTTCCATCCCAAGGCACACATAGTAGCTATGCGAGGCCATGGGGTGCGAGGCCAGGACATTGAGGCTCTGGGAGTAGGAATATCGTGTCAGGACGGAGCAACTTGGGAGAGTAATCGGCTACTCACCTCCCTCAGGGTGGCCATGTCTTCCTTGTAAGCAGGCAGAATGATGACGTGCTGTACGCCGGCCAAGGCAAGGACGTGATCGCCCTTGCCCATCCGCTCGAGGTCTCGCTTCTGCTCGGCCCACCATTGAGCCCAGTCGCGCTTCGAGTGGGCCAAGGTACCTCGCCAGCACGCAAAGATACCATATGCGGTTCGTGACTGGCACACGACAAAGACGATGTGAACAGCGACGAGACAAAAGGCGAGTAGCTGAGGTGCAAAGATGGGGCCGATCGCACACAGGGTGAGAAGAGCGACATGAGAGAGGAAGGGAAAACGCTGCAGGGCCCAGGCGAGGGCCATGGAAGCGGCAGCCCTCGCTTCCGCGCCCCTTCGCGGGGCGGTGGCCCGGAGCATGTCACGGTAGGACGGTCCCATCTCTCTTCTCTCTTCACGTTTGTTCTTTGGTGTTCGACCTCCCTGTCCCTTTCCCCTATCTGCTACCGTGACCGTGAGAGTGATCGCCGCCTTTGTCCTTTCTTCTCTGAACCGGGACCGTGGCAAGTGAGGAGGGTCGTCCGAGAGGAGAGTCGCACACGGGAAGCTCACAAGTTGATGAGAGTAAGGGAAAGAGAGCAGGTGGCTCTCACTCACTCCTCACCAGCTCACTCTTTGGCACACACTCACATACTTTTTCGTGCTTTCAAAAAAAGAAAGGTGATCATAGAATCGCCAATGCAATTAAGGAGAGCGAACGAAGCGGTCGATTAAGCTACGCTGCATCTGCACCTGCACCTCCTTCTTTTTGTAAGAAAGGGCCCTCTCGCCGACTGCCTGTGTCCCTGTGGACGACTGGCCTGACGCCAGCGATACGTGCGTGTTCGAATCGCGAGATGGAACTCGTAAGAGGCAGTGCACGTTCGTTCGAATCGATGGTCGCCAGCCACGAGGTTCCGTGGCTCGTAGCGCGAGGTTCAGCGATGCCCATCGGGTCCTTAATTTGAAGGCCTCGCCAATGCCCCGTGCTCTCGCTCCGAAATCTCTCGAGCTAAGAGGATAATCTCCTTGTCTCTATCTTTTGGCCCGTTTGCGCTTGTCAAATCCACGCCCCCTGCCCACAGACGCCCCGTTGTCCGACGAGTCCTGTTCCTCGATCTTTCCCATACTCTCTCCAGGATTCCATGTCTTTGATTCTTCCGTCTTCGGGCACGAGCAAAGAGTAGTGCGGTGGGACACGGGCTCTTCACCCCGACTACGGCCGTCGCTACTTTGAGCTCCCGGGCTTGCTTCTTTGCACTGTATTGACCTGCCTATATCTTTCTAGCGAGTGCGTTCCGACGATGGTCCTATTAGTTTTGGTCTCCGCGTCTCGCTCGCACGCTCCTTTGCTGCCTGAGAGAAAAAAGCTTATTCGCAAAGATTACCCTTTTGCGCCGGTATTTTTGAAATTGAAACACAAAGATGGCGTTTGACGTGCCGCTCCTTTCTTTTTTCTTCAATCTAAGCCAACGTGCTCTCAATGGCGAGTGCACGTTTGCTGGCCAGACTCTCGTCGTCGCGGTGCTCCTTTGCTTTTCCCACGAGGAAGGGGGTGGTTACGGATGATTCGAGGCCGAGCAGATTTGACACTTGTGCCGCCGGATGGGGCTCGTGGTTTCCTTCGCCACGCGGCCGCTAATGGACATTCGTCTCCTCGCGTGATCGGGATCTAAAGAGAGATGCAATCCCCGCTGAAGATTGAGTCTCCATGTGTCTTCTCACCTCGGGCGCGAGAGAAGGGTCGCCCCCGTCTTTTGTCGCAACGGAGATGCGAGGTTGGTCACGACGAAGTGAGCCGCACATTCATGCCAGTGGAGTCGCGTTACGACGGTTAGGGAGGCAATCCAACCTCTTCAGCCGAAAAGGCACCTCGCCTGATGCGTACAACCCGACCGTCCGGACTCGCTTCTAAGGTGATTATGACGGGCGCTTCATTGACTCTGCCCAAATTCGTTCCTGCGTCTTGGTCGACTAGGAGGGCTGCGTCCGTCTACGCCTCGAGCGAAGATGGCACAGTGCCAGTTGATGTGTCGCCAAAGGCAAGCGTCGATTCGCCATTGCGCAGACGCTACCCCTTTTGTTTTGACCCACAACGCTCCTCAATCTTGTCTCTTCATCGGCTCCTCTGATCAAGCCGCCAACCTGTCTATTTGCGAATGGCTGGTGGCGGTTAGAGAGTAGAAAGGGAGGAAGGAACAAGGGTAGATCCGTGACCAGATGCGACTGCACGCCTCACGTGCTTTCTCGGGAGCCAGATTCCGAGGTCAAAATTTTATTTTCTTCTTCTGACTGCCGATTGTAGGACAGCTACAAAACGCCCAAGCCGGCCAGCACAATCAGCCAAAAAGATCATCCATGTGCGCCATCTGTCATCAAGAGTCCACATGCGTGTCAGCAGACCTATGAATAGCCGGCGGAAAAAAAAAAAAGGGAAACGCTTCGAGTGACAGGCTCTTGCCATATGTTTCTGTTGCTGACGCGAACAGCTCTGACGAAGGGATGTCACGTTACGGCCGCAAGCCAAGCCACACCGGTTCGACGTTCTCGCATTTAAGCTCGCGTTCCCTTCATGAATCTGCTCTTGCCCAATCTTGCCTCGATTCTCGCATCTTCGAGTGATGCTGCTGAGCAGCACGACCTCAAAAGTACTTATAGCGGCACTTCTCACCGCCCTTGGCTCCTCCATCATTTACCACCACACACCCTCCCTCAGCAAGGCTTTCTTTCGTCGAGGCCTCGCAATGTCGACTAATGCACACGTCGGCGCAAGCACTGGCCGAGCGCCAATCTGGTTTATCGCTCATGGCGGGCCTCCGACAATGTACGATCGCCAGCATCCGGCGTACAAGCACTGGCTCCGCGTCGCCCGTGAGATCAAAGAGTCAAAGCTCAAGGCAATCGTCTTCATCTCTGCCCACTGGCAGCGCGAGGACGGTCCCTCCAAGTCCGTTTCGGTCAATGTCGCAGAGACGATACCGCTCGTGTACGACTTCTACGGGTTTCCTAAGCACTACTACGAGGAAACTTTTGAGACGAGGAACCCCGAGTGGCTCAGCAAGGCGGTCCGCGATCAGCTCTCTTCCAAGGGCTACCACGTGGAGAGCGTCGAGCGCGGGCTCGACCATGGCGTCTGGGTTCCTCTCCTGGCCGCCTTTGGCCCAAAGCTTGACATTCCGCTTATCCAGGTCTCACTCCCACCTTCGACGAGACCGGATCAGGACGGCATCGACGCCTTGCAGCTCGGTGCCGCGCTGCGACCACTCCGGGACCAAGGCTTCGCAATCGTCGGTGGCGGTCAGCCCGTCCACAACCTCCGCGACTTCTTTCGATACAGCCAAATGGGTCCAGGGGTCAAGGCACCATACGCCCAAAGCTTTGCCACGGCCTTGACGCAGGCCCTCGTGCCGCCCTCTTCTCATCCATCCAAGGACGAAGACAACACCACGGACCCCAGACGATGGGATGCAGCAAAGGCCCTCTTTCTGCGGCCCGACTACAGGCAGGCCCACCCCACCAGCGAGCACCTGCTCCCCGCCCTGGTCGCCCTAGGTGCTGCGCACTCTGACGAGGCAGGCACCGAGCAGATCGATCACATCGATGGCGCTCTCGCCTGGAACATGTACCGATACGGATAGAAGCCACATTTTGTACAGTACTACCACTCCATTGAACTTGTTGACTTTTTAAAATTGAATCATGAAACATTGCGATTGGGGTTTGTGGGCTTCTCTTGCTGATTACTTTTGGGTAAGACAGATGTTGCAAATGCTCTAGCTCATCACCGATCCTTCGAAGCTCCGCGCCGGCTTGACCTCCTCCTCCAGCGTCAACCCTGCTCCTGCGGTCCCAGCTTTACTTCGTCTCCGCATCGGGGAAGGAGATTGAGGCGATGTGTTGACCCCTGCTTTGACAGTTTCGTGCGCCTGGTGCACCGGTGCACCCACCTCTTCAACGGCCCCCGCTGATGCCTTCTCTGCTGTGGCTGAAGGTGCAGATAGCCGTTGTGCCCAGTCTTCCTCTCCGCCTGTAGCACTGTCCTTCAGCATAGTCTCCTCGGCCATGCTCCGCAACAACACATCGCCCTGGTCGGCCTCTCGTGACAGTGCTTCTCCGACAACTTCTCGTTCTTCGTCGGTGAATGTTCCCAGTTTGGGCAGAACCCGACTTGCAAAAAAGGCCCGAGCCGCTTGAGCACCGTGCTGATGGTAAATTGCGCCAACGAGCGCTTCGACACAGACGCCTCTGATCTTGAAGAGCCCTGTCTCCTTTGGTCCCTGCTGCCCATCATTGACTGCTGGCGTCCACCGCATTACCTCCTCCAAACGCAGCGATCGCCCGACGTGGTCACCCAGCTTAGAGGTGTGAAGCAGCTCTTCGATCCTGTCGTTCGACAAAGCCACCCGTCCACCCCCGTGTGTGGCTATGAATAAGCTAAGAAAGAACTTCAAAGCTCGTCTCCCTGTGAGGATAGCCGTTACACATTCAGCACCTTTGCCCACACAACATGCCACCAGTGAGACTCACCCATGAAACCTAATCGTCTGCTGTGTCCTGCGCTGACACCATGGTCCCAGCTCTCGTGCGTGACGAGCTGCAGTGCAACATCGTTTGGAAATGGCAAGCCAGGAAAGGCGGACCGAAGCCAGCTCTGCACCGAATCGACGTCTTGGGCCGCTTTGGGTGTCAAGCGAGCATTGAATGCGGGTGTTGCTTCCTCCACGGCCTCCTCCTGTCCTCTTCTGTCGCTCTTCTTTGTGGGTCGGGTACGGACTGGGCCGGTATGAAGCATTCGCCCTGGAGCAAGTCTCGAGTGCGAAGATGATGATGAGGGGGCCGCCGAATAAGAAGACGCATGCGAAGAAGATGTGGACGCCGCTGCAGAAGCCAGATATCTCGGCGCTTGCTGCCTCGAGCCACTCGTCGCCGCCGCTCGGAGCAGCGACTGTGCTGCCGAAGTGGACCGTGGCCCAATCATTCTTCTTCTCGCGTTTGTCTCCGGTTTCCTTGCCCTGAATCGACGAAGAAACGCGGACGAGGCTGACGGAAGAAATAGAGGGTCGTCTGAGGCAGACCTTTTTTTGACGCAGAGGCAGAAATACACGTGATCTTTTCAATGCTCTCCCACGTGAGACTTCTTCGACTTCAAATTTGCCCTCACATTCCCACTGTCGCCGTATCAAAGGGCTTGAACGACGACGAACAACGACAAGCAACGATGGCACCTTCTATCGACGAGCCGTGAGTCTACCTCGTGGAACTGATGACGTCTCTTTCTGTACGCTGACACGTCCTCTCACAGACCCAAGCCGATGAACTGGGCTGATGATGTCGACGATGACATCTCTCCCGACGCGCCCAAGATCGAGGAGCGCGACGAGGGAAACGGCGTAAAGGTCATCATCGAATACCGGACAAACCCTGAGGGAAAGAAGGTCAAGGTGTGTGCATCCCCAGGGTGTTTTGATCTTGAAAGGCGGCTACAACGCAGAAATTTGCTACAGATTACGCGCAGGATCCGCCGCACTCTTGTCACGCAAAAAGTCAACGCCGTGGAAGCAGAGAGGAAGCAATGGGCCAAATTTGGTGGCGAAAAGGGCCGCGCCGCCGGTCCTCATAAGAGCACGACGACGGTGGGCGAGAGCGTGCTTCTCAAGATGAGCGCGGGAAGCGAGAAGGTGGGTGGCGCGAGAGTCATTGAGGAGCAGCTGAGCATTTGTCTGACGCGATGTCTCTTGACAGACCGAGCCAGAGCCCGACGCAATGGACCAGATGCGACAGCAGCTTGCCAAGAAGAAGATTACGTGCCGTCTTTGCAAGGGCGAGCACTTTACTTCCAAATGTCCGTACCGCGACACGCTCGAGGCGATCCCCGGCGCTGCAGACACGCCCGAAGGCGATGGCTCGCTCACGCCTGCTGCTGCGGACCCGACCAATCCGGCGGTGGCTGCCTCCTCGGCGGGACCTGGTGGCAAGTACATTCCTCCTTCGATGCGTGCAGGCGCCAATCGGACCGGCGAGAGGATGGGCGGACCTGGTGCAGGGATGTCGCGCGAGGATATGCCGACGTTGCGTGTCACGAACCTGGGCCAAGACGCCGAAGAGGACGACTTGCGGATGATGTTCAGCCGCTTCGGCCACGTCACCCGAGTGTACATTGGCAGGGACAGGGAGACGGGCGAGGGCAAAGGCTACGCCTTTGTCAGCTTCTCCGACCGCGAGTCGGCCGACACGGCTCGGCAAAAGATCGATGGCAGAGGGTACAACAACCTCATCATGTCGGTCAACTGGTCTCAACCGAGGGCCGAGCGGCCTTGATTTGTTAAGGCCTTTGTTTCATCTACCATCCTCAAAAGTCTCTTCAGGTAGTGCTTCTACCGTGATGATAATGCATCTCTTTTCCATCTTCTTGCGTTTCCAGTCTGTGAGGTACAGGACATTTGTGCTCTCTGTTGATTTCATTGTTGCCTCCTTCGAGCCATTCATAGACTTCGATCATGTGGTGCGAGACACAATAATGTTGAGCGCGAAACTTGGGACATTGTTCAGACCACACCTTTGAGCTTTGACAGATTCTCCCAGACGCGAGCAGGTCTGTCTTGTGCGCAAGAGCAAGTCAGAATGCCGTCGGCGACCATGGATACCACTCAGTCGTATGGACACAACAATCGGTGACCCACCCAGACCAAAATAAACCTCTTACCACAATGGAGTCTATCTTCGTCTTTTAATCTTTCATTTGTAAAGTCATTGAGAGACGACTAGAATGGGCTTCTTTCCTTGAAGGGCCTTAGTAGTTGTACGGTACTGAGTGACAAGTGAGAAATGAAAGCGCCATATTTTCGCACTGCCGACTTCTTCGTTGCCAGACCCTAGACCACATGGACGTCACCGATTACGTCTTGTCGGAGGGGATTCAGCAATTCGGAGCAGGTCGACGTTACCGCACAGCGAAGGATCTAGAGCGCACGTTTCTGCGACCGCGCAAGCGCTCACCTAGTGTGAATCTAGCAGAGTTAAGCCACCGGCCCTGCCGTGCTCGGTCGAGACGCCGTAGATAGAGCACGCAGCCTGATGAGGCGGTGACGAAACGTCGTTGAAAAATGGGCTCTTAATCGGGGTCACGTCAGACCGGCCAGGCAAATGAATGGACAGGCAAGGGAGGAAAGCGAAAAGGGCCCAGCCAGGTCCGTGCAAAGCGCGCAAAACGACGCGTGATTGCATCATACGGGAAAATGGCACCCCCAACTCCACCACAGGCCCAGCTAGTCTGCACCGTTCCTTTGCTGGCGAGAAAAGCATATATAGGAGCCAGCCGCTCACAATCCCATTCATTCCCTCCAACAACCAGACAATCTTTTAGTCTTCAACTTCCACAAAACACAACAGCAAAAGCCAAAATACACAATGTCGGGCCAGAACGAACCCTCGCAGATTAACGGCAACCTCAAGAGCGTCCAGGGACAGGTCGTGGAGCAGATTGGCAACCTGACCGGCTCGACGGAGTGGCAGCAGAGCGGCAAGCAGACGCACGCCGAGGGCGAGGCCGAGCAGAAGGCCGCTCAGGCCAAGGCCTACGCCGAGGGCGCTGCCGACCGCGTGGGCGGCTACAAGGACTCGGTCGTCGGTGCCGTCACGGGCGACAAGGCTCAGCAGAGTGAGTTGCAACGTGACAAAGGTGGCAAAGTGGATCAAGCTTACCCATCTTACCTACAGCCGCTGGCAACGTCCGAAACGAAGCTGGCAAGGCACAGCAGAAGGCCAACGAGCCCCAGTAAATTCGTTCCCCAACTCTATATCCACCGTCCTCATCACCGACTGGTTTACCCCAGACCTCCCCTCTCCTTTATTCTTGTACCATGTTGACGACAAATTCAACGACAATGTGATATCTGATTTCTAAGTCTTGAACAGAGAGAAAGATTGACTAAGAGTAACACTTGTTCCACTCGGTGTCGGTTTCGACGAAGGCCAAATTGGCGACAAAGTCATCGAGCGGACAGAGATTGCCCTTGCGTGCGAGGGGATGGCCCGTGCTGTTGGCAGCGGCAGGGCACCAGCTGTCGTCGGGCGGGAGCACCTGTCCGTTTGCGCGGATTCGCACATATTTGGCCGTTCCACAGCCCAGACGCTCAAAGACGAGCTTGCCCTGCAGGGGAGCAATGTGGGAAAAGACCCAGGCGTGAGGCTGAGTCGCTGCGTCTGCGCCTGTTCCGAGTGTAGGACCATTGAAGAGGCCGGCAGCGGCAGCGATCGGTCCGATGTTGTTGTCGTGAGACCCGTCAAAGAAGACGCGGTAGCCCTTGACGGGGAAGGTGGCGTTGCTGCCGTCCAGCGTCGAGTTGAGACTCGTCGGCGCATCTTGGAGGTGAGGTGGAGGAGCCTGCTCTGTGAGCCTCGAGATGAGCTCCCTCAAGAAACCCTGGCCGAGGGCCTTGTAGTACTTCTCATCGCCGTAACCTGCGCCGTAGTATTTGCCGACGTCGTATACATAGCCGATCTTCTCCCATTCTGCAGCCTGAAAGACGCCACAAAAGGCGCTCTGGTTCAGCTGGAGCTTGCCGCCAGAGACGACGGCAGCCCTAGCCAGGGTGTCGAAGCTGCACAAGTTGGACAGATTGATGAGGTCTGTGGCCGTCAGATTGATCTGTGCGGTCCCGAAGCGCTGGGCGAGTCGCACACCAACAGTGGGGACCAGGGCTGCCTTTGCGTAGGTCTGCTGGTGCCCCGATTCGCCCTCGGCGCTGGTCCTTGCCTCGTCGCCGGGGCACGTCGAGACGTCGAGGGTGTTGTTGATGCCATCGCGCTCCGAGAAGACCACGTTGGGGTCAGGCAGGCTCGTGGAGGCTGCCCTCACGTCGTCCGATGTCCTCAAGTCACCCGCGGGAAATGCGCCGCCGGTGTAGCCGAGCCGCCAGTACTTTGCCGTGAGAATAACACGGTCGTCGAGGTCGGCCGCATCGCCCGTCGTGCGCACAAACGGCGCGCTTCCCCCCAGCGTAGGGTATCGTGCCGCCGTCGATCGGCCGCTGTACCACGCCTGGAGCGCGCCGTAGGGCACCAGCGAGTCCGTCTGCGTGAGCAGCGTGGCGTTGAGCAGGAATTGGAGCTCGGGTGCAAGGCTGGTACCGGCTTGCTGGGCAGCCGCCTTGACCTTGGTCAGCGTCGTGTTGGCCGCCTTGAGAGCATTCGAAGTGAAGTGGCGCGCACCGTGGCGCTCAAGCGAGGTGACCTGCTCCACCAAGCAGCCGGGAGGTGGGAAGGCCGCGAGCTGGCCAGCGGTCGTGTTGTCAACGGTGTAACGAGGCGCGTACTGGCCAAGACGGTGGAAGATGTTTGGGTCCAGACCACGGTTTAGAACCTCGTTGCCGTCGTCGAGAACGGGCAGGCCAGGAAAGACTGCCGCGGTCGTCGAGGACAAGAGCGTAAGGCCTAGGGCAATGAGCGACGGGACGTGCATCTTAGCTTCTTCCTTCAAGGTATGTGTAAGGTAGAAGAAAAAGGTGAAGGTGAAGGCGAAGGCGAGGAGGGTGGCGAGTGCGACTGTCCATCGCCTCTCTCGCCTCTTCCTCCTCCTCCTCCTCCTCCTCCCACTGCATCCTTTCTTCTCTTGCATCTGCTGACGAAGAAGCAAATTGCTGGGCCTTACATGGCACAAGGAACCTGAAAAAGAAGCTTATTCTTTGTCTCCGACTCTTAGACACGTTCGCTCCTGTGCGTCGGGGCTTCTCCTTTTTCCGTCAGACTTCTTCCGTGTGGAGAGCTTTCAAGAAGAGACAGGACCTTGTTCCGTAGTGTGTGGCTTGTGCAGGCCAAATGATGCTCGATATCAACGTGGTGAGAGGACATGAACGCGGCTCGAAGTTAGCAGTCACGGCAACAGCAGCGAACGTCCGCTTTTGAAAAGACATTTGAACACGGGATGGGCCCGGTTTTGGAACTCCTGCAACGTGCGAGATGCTTGCTGGGTTGGCAGCGAAGAAGGTCGCTATGGTCTTGGTGAGGTCATTCTAACGGCGGTCTCCGCTTCGCTATTTCAGAGAGAGCATTCGCTACACCTCAATGAATCCACCATAGGTCAAGTCAAGAAGAACAAGTCTCTAGAGCGAAGATTGCTTCTTCTTTGGTCTCGAAAAGCATTGCAAAAGGAGTCAAGTAGTGCTGGAGAATTTCACAGAAAGGGGGCGAGCGACTGGGTCGGGCAAGCCCAGGACGAAGATTGCAATATCACTTGATGTTCGAGGCTACTCCAGGCTTGCTAAGGCTGCCGATCCACGAATCTATTGTTGCCTTGCAAAGGAAGACACTCCTCACAGGAAGGCTTGCACCTCCATCCATTGTGAGTTGGGCGTACTCAGATGACGGCAGTGAGAGAGGGACGAACTCGGAATTCGGGCGATGAAGATTGATGAAATTTATGTATCGCGCAAATGCAACAGCTTTTTTGGGCTCCACAAACGACACCGGCCATGTCGTCGGAACCTCCATTCCCGGCACCAAAGGGTATGGAGTGGGACCCGGCGAAGAAGCGCTTCTTCAAGGTGGATCCCAAAAGGGCGAGGGTAGCACCCAAACCCGCTGTGGTTGAAGTCGAAGAGGCTGGCGGTAGCAACAGCGGCGGAGGAGAACAAGGAGAGGAGCAGGTGCCCATCGAGCCGGCCGCGTTCCCGCACAGCCCGAACGATGCACCTGCCACGTTTGCCCCTGTCGACATCGCAGCGCTGCGAAGCGGGGGCGTCTCGTTCTCGGCGTCTTCGCGCTACCGCTCTGCAAATATCGCCTCGCGTATGGCCGAGATGAGCTACCGGGAAACGGTGGAGATCGACTTCGACACGCCACCAAATGTCTGGGCGAGAACATTTGCCCTGAATACGCTCGACTCCGTCCCCGAGCTGGGCGCATTGATGTGGATGACAACCCGACGCGGCTCCTGCCTCTTCTTCGACTCGAGCGAGAGGCGTGGCAGTGGCATGACCCGGGTAGGCGTCCGCTTTGGCCCACAGCACTGGCGCGACCCTTCTTCGCCCTTTTCGCCCATTGTAGCAACTCGAGCCCGTCGCGACGAAAATGAAGAAGAGGTCGACGAAGAACAGCTCAACTTCTTCAGGATCGCGCGCATCATCGATCAGGCTAGAATCGGGCCCTACGATGCACGCTTTACCTCATTCGCCCACCACCGCGGACTCGTCGGCTCGGTCCTCGTCGGCGAGAAGCTGTGGTTCTCGCACATGGAGCCCAACAGGGAGGCCGACCAGCCTCGGAGCTTCGACGCTCACGGTCTGCATGTGTCTGATGTCAGAGTTACGGAACCTTGCGGATTCGCGCTGAGGAGAATTGAAGGCGGCCAGGGCGCGGCAAAGGCAATCGTAGCTGCATACGGCTTGGGTGGTCGCGTGGGCTACGTAAAGATCGTCAATGGAGCCACCGACGAGGCGAGCGTTCCCTTTCGACAGAGTGACATCTTTGACATCGATGTTCTGCCATCGGGAAAGCAGGCTTGGTTGCTGTGTCGAAACGGTAATTTATACAGCATACAGATTGACGAGACCGCCGCGGACGAAGACGACAACAGTCACAAACGAAAGAGAAAGAAGAGAAAGATGCAGGCACCTGCAAAGGTACCAACTGCGGAAGAGGACAGGGTGGTCGCCTTTCGGATCATATCGGATGACGAGGTGCTGATCCTCTGTGACTCGGGTAACCTGTACCTGTCATCGCCAAAGGAGCCCGGTCTGCGCACTATGCAGTTTTCACTCCCACACAGCCAGCGACAGCAGAGCCAGAACGGACTTGCAGTCGACGTGGAGCATCGCCTGTTTGCACTGGGCGGTCCGCTGCTTGTCATCTGGTCGCTCGATCGACCAATGCCCCTCTATGCGGGCCTTCCTCATGGGCATCGGCCATTTGGACCTGTCACCTTCTGCCCACGGTTCCACGTCGCTCGCGCCGAAAAGCAGGGTGGCTCCCTCTTCCTGCCAAGAGGCCTCCCTGGGATTGCCAATGGTGGTATGGGAAGTCGGATTGAATTCTACGAATGACTTGAGACATGTAAACCATCACCGTCACACCATCTGTATCAATAGCAACATCATACCCACGCTTCTAATCCACGCTTTTCGGCCGAGAAACCCCGGCAACGCCTTAAAATTTTTGGAGGCTGCCATGCTTGCTAAGGGCCAAGACTGCGCTCGCGCCTTCTCGCCCTTTGTCTTCCTCGGTGTCTGTTCCAAAGTGTCGCCGACCGCTTCGAGCTATGGCGGACGCTGAGGACCTCTTTGAGCACCTGGAGGGCGCGTCTGCTTATGGCGCTCCCTCTGACTATTCGTTTGCAAACGAGTCGACTGCGACGGCGCCTTCGACGGCAGTCAGTGGCGGTGGACCGCGCAATCACCACGGTGGCCGGGGTGGCGGGGAGCACAAAGCAGGCAGAGGCAACGGCACCGCTGCCGCAGCAAAGGACAATGCTACAAGAGGCAATGGCAATGGCAGGAGGAATGGTGCCGGTGCGAGTGCTGGTGCTGTAGCTTCTAACGGGTATGCCAACGGCACGGCCAAGGGTGGATCTGCCAAGGCCGACAAGTTCGATCTCGACCTGGATCTGGACCTCGACGCGCTCAACGGCCTTGACCTCGAGGACCCTGTGCTGAGTGTCGATGGGCCTGCCTCGAGGGGCGGCAAGAAGCGTGGGGCCAGAGCGAGGGCAGGTGATGAAGGGGTGATGGCCCCGGATCACGACCACCACGAGCATCAGCAGCAGGCACTGCAGCAGCACCAGCGCAGAGAAGGCGGGGATATCCTCGAAGACTCGGTGTACGACGACGGGGAGGAAAGGCCGTACGATGAAGAGGAGTCCTTGCCTCCGCATGCATGCACCTATTGCGGCATCCACAATACCGGCTGCGTCGTGCGGTGCCTGACATGCAACAAGTGGTTCTGCAACTCACGCGGCTCGACCTCGTCGTCGCACATCGTCACTCACCTCGTGCGCGCCAAACATAAAGAGGTCTGCCTCCACGCCGAGTCCCAGCTTGGCGAGACGGTGCCCGAGTGCTACAATTGTGGAACAAAGAACATCTTCCTCCTCGGCTTCATCCCCGCCAAGAGCGAGACTGTTGTCATCCTCCTCTGTCGACAGCCGTGCGCTGCGATGCCCACCTCCAAGGACATCATCTGGGACACGTCGCAGTGGGCGCCCCTCATCGAAGATCGCTCCTTTCTCACTTGGCTCGTCAAGGTGCCGTCCGATGTCGAGGTGGCCAGGGCGAGGCAGATCAGCCATCGCCAGATCATGCGCCTCGAGGAGCTCTGGAAGGACAACGAAAAGGCCACGCTGGACGACGTCGACAAGCCAGGCGTCGATGAAGAACCCCAGCCGATCCTGCTCACCTACGAGGATGCGTACCAGTACCAAAACATCTTTGGGCCACTGGTTAAGGTCGAAGCAGACTACGACCGCAAGCTGAAGGAATCGCAGACGCAGACGGACCTCGTCGTACGCTGGGACCAAGGTCTCAACATGAAGAGGATCGCTTGGATGACGCTGCCCAAGCTCGAGTCGGGCGAGGTGCGCCTGGCTGTTGGCGATGAGCTCAAGCTGCGGTACAAGGGCGAGATGGCTCCCCACTGGGAGGGTGTGGGCCATGTCATCAAGATTCCCAACAGTGAGTCGGTCCTTCTCTCTACTAATATGAGTTTCTTGTGCGCTTACAACTAATGTCACAGACGTATCGGACGAGGTGGCAATCGAGCTGCGCAGAGCGGACGGGGTGCCAGACCACTGCACACACAACTTTAGCGCCGACTTTGTGTGGAAGTCGACGAGCTTCGATCGCATGCAGACAGCCATGAAGACGTTTGCCCTTGACGAGCAGAGTGTCAGCGGCTACATCTACCACAAGCTTCTCGGCCGTGAGGTGGACCCAGTTGCGTTCCGAACGGCGATGCCAAAGCAGCTCAGCGCCCCTGGGCTTCCGCCTCTCAACCACAGCCAGGTCGGGGCAGTCAAGACAGTGCTGCAGAGGCCCTTGAGCTTGATTCAAGGTCCTCCTGGAACGGGAAAGACGGTGACCAGCGCGACGATTGTGTACCAGCTAAGCAAGATGAACCCGGGCCCAGTCCTCGTCTGCGCGCCTTCCAATGTCGCCGTGGACCAGCTGACAGAGAAGATTCACGCGACTGGGCTTAAAGTTGTGCGAATGACAGCCAAAAGCCGCGAGGCTATCGAGAGCCACGTCAACTTTCTCACGCTCCACGAGCAGGTGGCCAACAACGACACGAATACGGAGCTACAGAAGCTGATCCAACTCAAGACCGAGCAAGGAGAGCTGTCGAGTAGCGACGAGCGCAAGTACAAGGCCTTGACGAGAGCGTGCGAGCGCGAGATTCTCAACACGGCCGATGTCATCTGCTGCACCTGTGTAGGCGCTGGCGATCCACGAGTGTCGAAACTCAAGTTCCGGACGGTCCTCGTCGACGAGGCAACGCAGGCCGCAGAGCCCGAATGCCTGATCCCGCTCGTGCTAGGCTGCAAGCAGGTCGTCTTTGTCGGCGATCATCTCCAGCTGGGGCCTGTCATTATGAACAAAAAGGCAGCCAGGGCTGGTCTGACGCAGAGCCTTTTCGAGCGCCTCATCATCCTCGGGAACCGTCCCATTCGACTCGAGGTCCAGTACCGCATGCATCCCAACCTGGCTGCGTTCCCTTCCAACATGTTCTACGAAGGAACGCTGCAGAGTGGTGTCACCGGTTCCGAGAGGCTGCGCAAGAACATCGACTTCCCCTGGCCCGTCCCCTCGTCGCCCATGTTCTTCCTCCAGAACCTCGGGCAAGAAGAGATCTCGAGCAGCGGCACCTCGTTCCTGAACCGCACCGAGGCGTCCAACGTCGAGAAGATCATTACAGCGTTCTTCAATGCTGGCGTTGTGCCGAGCCAGATTGGTGTCGTGACGCCGTACGAGGGTCAGCGCGGATACATTGTCAACCACATGCAGATTCACGGCCGCCTCCGAAAGGACATCTACAAGGAGGTCGAGGTGGCCAGCGTCGATGCGTTCCAAGGGCGAGAAAAGGACTACATCATCTTGTCATGCGTGCGATCCAACGAGCATCAGGGCATCGGTTTCTTGTCGGACCCTAGGAGACTCAACGTGGCCCTGACGAGGGCCAAGTATGGCTTGGTCATTCTCGGAAATCCAAAGGTGCTGAGCAGGCACCCTCTGTGGCACTATCTTCTCGTCCACTACAAGGAGAAGGGCTGCCTCGTAGAGGGTGTGCTGTCGAACCTCCAGCCGTCAATGATCCAGTTTAGCAAGCCTCGGAGGCCGCTGCAGAAGCCTGGCGACCTCATGGCCCGTCACCGTCACGACCTGCAGGGCGATGGCTTACGCAACGGGGCCCTTTCGCCCTCGCCATCCATGTCGCAGTTGCAGCAGCCTCCATCTCAGCAGGCCGTCTCCAAGGGGGGCATTCCAATGGGCGGAGTGCCGCCTGCTGGGAGCAACTACTACCGACCTCATTATATACCGTCGGACGCCCAGAGCGTTGCATCGCTCAACACCCAAGCATCATACCTGCCTCCCCCCTCATTCGCAGGCACAGCCTACGCAAGCAGCATCGTAAGCCAGGACATCGACGACGAAGCCACGAGCAACGTCGGAGGCCCAGCCCCGAGCATCACTTTCAGCCAGAGCGATCGTTTGCATCGCAGGCTGAGCGGGGTGAGCCTGGCGAGTGCAAACAGCGAAGCATATAAAGCGGGAGAAGCAGGCGGTGCCGGACAGGACGACGACATGAGGAGCAATTACTCGGCAGCAATGAGCCAGGACTCCTTCACGACGTTTTAAGCGGTCATACTGCGGGCTGTTTTTCCTCTCTTCTGCCTCATCGCTTCCTCTCACCCTCTTCAATAACCTTCCTCTCCTCTCCCCATCCTATCGGCAGGGATCGGGACCGCCATGGTGACGAAGGCACCGCGCATGACGTTGGCGCCTCGCGCACCGAGATGGACTTCCTGCATGCCGTCCTTGCAGCTGCGGAACTGCCAGGTGGGGCACAACTACTGCTCCACCCCGGTACACGCCTGGCGTCTCGCAGGACTAGTCAGCTTGCTCGCGCCAGCTTTCGTCCTAGAGGAGGAAGCTTCCAATAATTGTAGGGGAGACCTAATTTCACCTTTTTTTCACTCCTCCCCCCACCTTGTCCTTTTCATCCTCCTTCTGTTTACTCTCAGCTGAAATATTTCAGAGGGTTCCATTCTATTTTTTGCTATCGTACAGCGGGGCCCAACTGTGGCTTGATCACGGTGATTGCGATTGTAAGAGGGTGCTCTTCCATCGGAGCGTAGTATAGAAGGTCCATCTGGTGCGTTCGACGTGGTCGTCGTTTTGCTCTTCGAGCGACTTCGACCACCTGCGAGTCTGGCCATCGACGCAACGTTCAAACGCTCCACCGTATTTGGCGTCATCGCCATCGGGCACGAGCCCATGGGAAGCGGCAATGACCATGAACCTCGCAATTGCCGGTCGACCGGTGTGGAAGCCAGCTACGATGATGGCACGGGCAGATTCAGACCTGGAGAGGCACGTCGATATTGTCGCAACGAGGGGTTCGTGCAGCTGGCCCATCCACAGGCCGTCTGCGGAGAAGACTCGCTCAAACGTCTGGTGGCCCTGCACGACGGCCAGGCGGTCCTGCACAGAGGTCCAGTCGAGTCCCTGCACGGTGATGATGCCGCCGGCCTGCGACGGTGCGTTCCTGCTCACGTTGAATCGGAGCGTGTCCAAAAGGCCTGGGGCGGGGTAGTCGGTCACGACGACACTCGACGCATGCCCGAACACGGTTGCTACGACCGACGGCAAGCCCGTGCCGGCGCCGAGCTCTAGGACCCGCTTGCCACGAACGTCGGCCGCCTCCACTCTGAGACCTGCCCTGTCGTCGCCGCCGTCGCTGTCGCCCTCACTATGCTCGGAGCGAGAGCTGATGACGATGGAGTCGGCAAGAAGGACGCCAGCATCCCACTGGTAGTGTGCAAAGAGGCCGTTTGTCTCGTTCGGTGGGATCCTGTACCGAATCGCTGGTGCACTGGCCCCTCGACCTTCAGGACCTCGAGGCGGGCGGTACGATGTCAGCTGGCCAGGCTCACCATGGGCCGTGGTGTGGTAGCCAAAGAGTGACTCGAGCGACGACTCGAAGATGTCAGTCACGGAGCCTGTCGAGGAGGAGGCACCATCGTCGTTGTCGTCCATTCCTCTCACGATGGCCCCAACTCTTGTCCATTCCCCAATTTAAAAAAAATAACGAAAAAAGACAGACAAGCAACACATCAATCTCCCATCTACCAAAGTTAGTCGTTTCGGAGATTTTTGTATCTTGGATTCCTCCGAAATAGTACACGTGCGCTTTTCGATTAGCGGGATCGCTCGCTCGAGGCCAGGCCGGGGACGACTGACTGGGCCAGGGCTGGCTGCTACTGCAATTCACGAGCGCAACTCTCTCGCCTGGCCGCCGCCCCTCAGCTGCTCTGCCTCGTTTGCCTACTTCTTCTTCCTTTTCCTATAGCTCCATCCACTTCTTCTTCCTTTACCCTTTACTCGCTCCTTCACCGCCAGCCATGTCTACCCAGCCGCTGCTCCAGCGCACCGCCGGCAAGCGCATTGCGCTCCCCGTCCGGGTCGAGCCAAAGGTCTTCTTTGCCAGTGAGTACTCTCATCCTTCTTCCCCCTCTTGATGATAGCACCAGTCTCACCATTTTTTGTTGCCATTCCAGACGAGCGTACCTTTCTCTCGTGGCTCAACTTCACCGTGACCCTGTCGGCCCTCGCGGCGGGCCTGCTCAACTTTGGTGACAATGTCGGACGGATCAGCGCGGCCATGTTTAGCTTTGTCGGTGAGTTGCCCTGCCCTTCCCTTCCCTTCCCCCAGATCTCCGCCCCTTCAGAAGAGGAAGAGGGGGAGCACGAGGCATGGAGAGGAGCTGACATGTACGATATCGGACAGCCATGGCCATCATGGTCTATGCCCTCGTCACATACCACTGGCGTGCAGCGGCGATCCGAAACAAGGGAAGCGGCCCCTACGACGACCGTCTCGGTGAGTAGCAGACGGCTTCTCGCTCTTGCATTGTGCCCAAGGATGGAAAGCTTAACACAGATACTCTCTCCGCTCGACCCAGGCCCGACGGTTCTCTCGGTCCTCCTCCTCATTGCCGTCCTGGTCAACTTCATCCTCCGGTTCCAAGAAAAGAACTAATGTGGCCCATCCAAGTTCTCACACGCCCTCTTCTGCGACTTCCTGCCTCGTCATCGCTCCCGTTCCCATTCCGGTATATCATACACCAGTCTCGACCAGCGGTCGGCTTTCATACATTAGACTAGCTCGGCAGAAGTCCTCTCTCGAGGCATCGGTCTATTTCAAAGGTCGTCTGTTGCACTTGCCGAGGAATCTGTCCTGTAGTCCTCCCGACGTAATTGCCGCTGTTCTTCCGGATTGTGGCCTGTCGAAGTGACTCAATGTGTGAGAAAAGACGTGATAGGTATTATGGATTGGATGCATCGACAGGTATAGTACAAGCACCACATTCTGCGCTCAGGCAGCAGCCCTCGTCGCCGGCCTCCCCCTCCGCTCCTCTTCCGCATCACCAGCGTCGTCAGAGGCCGAAGACGAGGAGACGTTGTGGGCCTCGCCGCCGTCTTCCTCTTCCTCCTCCACGACGTGGTGGTATGCCGGGGGAGCATTCCCAATGCCGTCGATGTGATGGCCCTGGGCCTCTCCCGGAATCTCGTGAGCCCTAGAGCCCCTCGACATGGATCGGATGACGCCTTCACCTCTCTCCCCTTGGCCCACGGTGTTTCTCGGCACGCTCGGCGTCCTGCCCCTAGACGATGACGAGGAGCGCACGCGGCTGATGGACCTCGAGATCGAAGACATGCTCCGTCGCGTCGACGAGGCGCTCCGGCCGCTCCGTGAGCTGCTCCGGCTGGCCGATCGTGCCAAGGCAGAAAAGCCAGACTCGCGCTCGGGCAGCTCGCCGATCTTGCGATGAAGGAGGCCGTCCAGCGGAACATCCCTGGGGTCCGCCTGGATCGGCAACATGGCGCGTTCCCGCTCGCTGAGGTCATGCAGGCTCTGGCCGCAGACGCAGTAGTCGTGTTGGATCCCGTGCTGGGGCACGGCCGTGTTGGCCCACGGCGAATTCTGGGGCAGCGTTCGCGGTGCGCCAGGGTCTCCCACTCGCTGCAGGCCAATGTCGTAGGGCATGTTGGCTGGCCTCGTGCTTTCGTCACGAGGAGTGTATGCGGGTAGGGTGACGGCATCGAGGGCGACGCAGCACGATGGAAGCGTGATGGGTTGCCTGAGCGCAAACACCTTGAGCTTTCTGTCTTCGCCTGGCATCTCGGGCTCGCGCGAGTGCACCACCTCGACGAGGAGCTGGTGGGTGAAGCGGATAGAAGCCTTTGTGCCCGCTACCGTTGTGCTTCGGACGACGTTGTCGTTGGGCATCCGGGCGATGCCTTGCACCGTCCAGGCATCGTCGGGTCGTGCACCTGGCCGCCTAGGATCCCTGATCAGACCTTCGCTCTTCTTGCCATCGCCTGGTCCGTGGGGGTCATTTGGCCGAGGCGGCACCCAGCCCTTTTCAAAGAGCTTGTGGCGCTGTGGTGGGACGTGCTGCTTTCCCTTCTTCTTTGTTCTCAGCTCCGTCGACGTCTCCACAGAAACACGCACGAGGTACACGATGAGATCGGTGGGCGGCGTGGGTGAGTGGATGTCGACGTTGAAGACGCCACCGACGGAAATGTTGTGGGCAGTGCATGCGACAGAAAGCAGCCCGACGGTGGGATGCAAATCGTTGTAGAGCACTGTCAGCGGCGTCGGTCCACCGTCTTGGGCTGGATTGACGACTGGGAACAGGTCCCGCCAAGCTTCGATGTTGCTCTTTGCTCGACCAGCTCCCAACGCAGTGGCTTTGATGAGATAGCGGACACGTCCAAATGGACTCCTTTCGTATGGTGGGCTGTCGGCAGGGAGGATAAAGGCAAATTCAAAGCCGTGAACACCTTTTGCCAGCTCAAGTCCATGCTCTTCAGAGGGAGCAGGCGTGGTGCTGGCAATCACATCAGCGCTCGGTGCGCGCGCATTAGCGCCACGGCCGCTGCTGCCGCCCAGAAGCCGACCCCTGCCCTCGTCGTGGCGTCTTCCCAGTCCACGACTGGGGCTCATGGTGGCAGAGCGTGTGGTAGAAGAGGGCACAGCAGTGTTGCCAGCGCCGCCCCTGCCTCGAGGATTGACAAAGAGACCAAACATGTCGTCTCGGTCCCTCTCGTGAGGGTGGGCCACCGAACTCTCCGCTCGACCGTTGCTGAGACCAGTCCGTGACATGGTTCCTGCTAGGACTGACTCGACCTCCTCCGTGGGCGAGGGTCGTGGTGATGGCACCTCGGTAAAGGGAGGGGGTAAAGTCGACGAGGTCGAGCCTCGGCGATCGAGAGCCTCAGCAGACTGTGATGGGGAGATGTGCGGCGACTCGGTGCTGCTTCGACTGGGACCAAGTCGAGGTGACTGATGTGCCGTGTTGGTGCCGCTGCTCGGATGGCTCCGATCTGTGCTGCGACCTCCCGCCCTGGATGGAGAAGCGTTGCGGCTGTTTGCTCGGCTCCCTGCCCTGCTCGCTGGTCGACTCTTGGAGATGGCCCTGGCAAAGGCGGCGCCGAGGCCGCCGAGGCCATGATTGTTCTTGGGGTCTGCATGCTCTGTATCGCTGTCGTGCTGGTGGATCAGCCCATCAGAGGGCCTGCGACTGAGCGACCCGGGCCTGCTGCTCGTCGGCGTGGCGTTGCGACTTGCGTTGCGGCTCCGTGTCGCCCTGCTCCTGCCCCTCCGCTCTCCTTGCGACGCACCGCCGACAGCATCACCATTGTTGAGCCGGCTCCGATTACCGGGCAGACCGATCTCAACGACCTTTTCCATGATAACGCTGTCCTCCCAGGACACCGGTGTTGCGCCTGCAAAGGAGATCATGTCGCGCTGGTCGGGAAGCACCGCGACGCTCTGCACCGCGCGGAGCTTGACACGAATACCCTCAATACGGCGCTCACTAGGAACGTAGAGCTCGACCAGGCCTCGCACTACCTCGTCTGACGTCGTTGGCGGCTGGTCCTCCGACGGCGTCGACGTTGGCGGTCTCAGGAAGACGGCATTCTGGAGCAGATGGAGCTGGAGCACTTTCGCAGTCAGCGGTGCATTTCCAGAGCGATGGTCGCACGCGTAACCACGACAACAGACTCACCCGAAGCTCGCACGGAGAGGAGAGCAGAGACGAGAACATCGACCCTCGCCAACACGCTTCTGCTTCTTCTCAGTGAGTGATGGCAGTGACCGATGAGGTTTCAGATTTCCCAAGGGCGAGAAGCAAATCTCGCAAGGCGATGGAAATCTTAATTTTTCTCCAATTAATTTTTTTGTCGTTTGTTCGCTCGTTTCATTCACAGGGACATCCGCGCGTAAAGCCGACTGACTGCTCGCGTGGCTAGTCTTGCTGCCACTTTTTGTCATTTCAGAACCCTAACCGTGACCGTGAAGCGGCTGAAGCGGCACAGAGAGGACCTTCGAATTAAAAGTAATGCTGAAGCTGCTGTGGGGCAAAGACAAGGCGTGCTTGCGGGGTGGGAACTCTTGATCGAGAGCAACGCCCTCGCTCGCGTATCCGGTGGTCGGAGTCGGAGTCAGAGTTTAGGGGGCGTCGTCGGCGAGACTTTTCCCAATCGATTGAAATTTTTGCAATCTCGCCGTGGAGAGGGGCAGCGAGATCCTCATCCAAGGGCGGCCGCAGTAGAAGCATCAACGAGGATCAGCACTGCCCAGTGAGGGAAGCTACTATCACGCTCGACGTCATAGTCTTTGTCTGCTTCTGTGACGACGCGCGCTATCAACCGCCCACCAAAGTGTCACTTGACACTACTACCCTCTCCTGAGCGCACCATCGGAGAGAATTGGAACCGGCCGGGTTTTCAATACAACGTCACGTCCGTGCAACGCCACGACATTTCAAATGAAAACGTGGCCTTTCTAATCTGTTGAATACGGTGGGAAGTGGAGCAATCTGTCTTTTGAAGCGAACTGCAACGAAGTTCCTTCGCTTTCCTGTCTCTTCTTCAGCTCTCCCACAACACCACTACCCTCTACTCAACGTGAGCCCTGCATTCGAGACTCGGCTTGCCCAGGACCTCACTAACGCTTTGCACGGCCGCTGGGATAGACTTAACAACCTCATTCACAATGGGTATCCTCGTAAGTGTGCCCTCAATGTTCAATGTCTCACTCAAGAAATGGCTCGTGCTCATATTGCTCTCTTTCTTGCAACAGGACATTGTTCCCCCCGGCGTCGTCGTAAGTGGTCTGAATTTGCCGAAGGTCTTCAGAATCGCCATGCTCACCAAAGCGATCATGTTGATCAAATAGGACGGCAAGGACGTTTACAAGGTGTGTTTCTTCTGAACCCGTCGCTCCGGCGCTATTCAAGCTAATGCCTTATCTTTAACCAGGTCTTCGAGTAAGCATATAGTTACAGGATATGGATAATGAGGAGAAGAGACTGACTTCCCAAACAGCTACGCTCGTGAGCACCACTTTGCCATCGTGAGTGGAGCCTCTTCCCGCACTCCCGAGCTTAGCCTCTGACAAAAGTCCAACGCAAACAGCCTGCCTTCAATGTGACGTCGTCGTCTACGGCCAACGCTGCCATGGAGGCTGCCCGTGACGCCAAGTCGCCCGTTATCCTGCAAATGTCGCAGGGTGGCGCTGCCTTCTGGGCCGGCAAGGGTGTTCCCAACGACAAGCAGCAGGCGTCCATCGCCGGTGCCGTTGCGGCCGCCCTCTTCGTCCGGGCCGTCGCCCCTTCGTACGGCATCCCCGTCATCCTCCACTCGGACCACTGCGCCAAGAAGCTCCTCCCCTGGTTCGACGGCATGCTCGAGGCCGACGAGGCTTACTACAAGAAGGAGGGCAAGCCTCTCTTCAGCTCGCACATGCTCGACCTGTCCGAGGAGCCAAAGGAGGAGAACATTGAGATCTGTGTCAAGTACCTCGAGCGCATGGCCAAGATTGGTATCTGGCTCGAGATGGAGATCGGCATCACCGGAGGCGAGGAGGACGGCGTCAACAACGAGCACGTCGAGAACTCGTCGCTCTACACCCAGCCCGAGGACATCTGGGACATCTACACCGCTTTCTCCAAGATCACGCCCAACTTCTCGATTGCTGCCGGCTTCGGCAATGTCCACGGTGTCTACAAGCCCGGCAACGTCTCGCTCAAGCCCGAGCTGCTCGGCAAGCACCAGGAGTACGTCCGAGGCCAGCTCAAGACTGACAAGGAATGCCCAGTGTGAGTCTGCTTTCCACTCTCTGACAGCTCCTCTGATTCAATCTTGCTCACACGCGCATACATAGCTTCTTTGTCTTCCACGGCGGTTCGGGCTCCGAGAAGCACGAGATCAAGAAGGCGCGCGAGTGCGGCGTCGTCAAGATGAACGTCGACACTGATACGCAGTGGGCCTACTGCACTGGTCTGCGAGACTTCTTTGGCAAGAACGTCGAGTACCTCAAGTCGCAGGTCGGCAACCCAGAGGGCGCCGACAAGCCCAACAAGAAGTACTACGACCCCCGTAACTTCATCCGCGAGTCTGAGAAGACGATGTCGGTTCGCTGCAAGGAGGCCTTTGAGGACCTTGTCTCTGCCGGCAGCCTCTAAGCTGTTGGCAGCTCTTCTTTGCCACTCTCGTCGGTGTTCATAAAGGTTGAAATAGTAAAATCCTATTCTCTGGATGTCCTAAATCAGTTTTTTTTTTTCGCTATTCAACGAAAGACGACAGGTGAAGCCGTGCGCTCCATCTCCGAGTATTACGTAATATGCTCTGGCCCGGGGAGAACAGCTCTGCAGGCTGGCTGGCTCGCAAGACACCCCTTTTAAGACAAGGACAGACATGGCGACGCCATTCCCGTCGATGGGCGCAGGAGGAGGGGGAGGAGGAGGAGGAGGAGGAGGAGGGGGCGAGTTATCACGATGGGTATCTCAAGTCAAGGCGCAGCACAGTGGGACGCCGCAGCCGGTGACGCCGCTATCGCCCACGCGGACCGGCAACTCGCAGACGGCCGATGAGCTAGAGGAGGAGGTTCGCCAAAGCAGGCTCAATCGAGCCAATAGGCGAAGCAGGCTGAGCAATGCGGGCGTCAGAGGTCTGGAAAGCGGCATCTCCAGTCCATCAGGAGGTGCGTGATGTGTGTGTATGCAAGGTCAAGATGTGCTGCTAATCTCGACCATAGACTCCTTCCGGTCACCGCCGGCGACCCCCTCTGGCGAAGAGACACTTCGAAAACTTCTCGGTCAACGAAGCCAGGTATCATCCCCCACGATGGACAAGGGTCCAGGTTCTATGGCAGCACCGTCCTCGCCGCCCAAGAAGTCGTCAGCCCTGCTCGATCGCTACGGAGGCCAGGCGGGCCCCACTGGCGTCGCAAGGGCCGGCCCCTCGGGCGCATCTACCTCACTGGCCTCTTTCATGGGCGGCAAAGCGAGCGGTCCCAGACTAGGCAAGCTGGCGGGCGACGGAAGGAGCGCCCCACCCGAGGCAGATCTCATCGACGAGAGCCGAAGGCACGAGCGGCGGGCCCTTCCTGGTCTGGCGTCGCCTCCCGTCTCCAACACGGGCGGTGGAAAGTCGTTGGCCAGCTTTCTCGAGGCACGCGCGGCGGCTAGCGCGACGACGGACTCGCCTTCCATGCCGCCGCAATCGCCGTCGCTCAGCAAGCCGTTGCGCTCGCCCTCGCCGGGCCAGTCCCCCTCCAACAGGCACGATTTCTCCTTTGCCGAACGCGGCCTGCCGTCTGCCAAGAGGACGGAGAGTTTCTCACGGCCGCGGTCGCCCATCAAGGCGCAACCTGAGCAGTCTGCAGCGACGCAGCCCAGACAGGTCCCGACGGCGCAGCCCAGGCAAGCCCCAACAACACAGCCAGAGGAGAGGATCATGACCGATGCGGCCACCAGCCCGCTCAAGGAAGACCAGATCGCCGATGCTCGGTCACTCAGTCCTTCAAGGGACGCAGTCGTTGGCCTGGCTCCTCCTTCGCGTCAGCCAGCAGCGACTTCGTCGTCGTCGTCGACAACGTCTCAGCTTGCACCTGCCTCGATCGTCCATTCGCCCACCTCTGACGCGCTCTCTGGCTCGTCGCCACGCTTTCAACTTCCTGTCAACCGTAGTGCTCCCGCGACGAGCAGCCCGGCGTTTGCCAATGTGCACACTGCGTCCAGCGACAAGGCCCCAACGGCTTCGCTCACCCGTCTACGCGGGCAGAGCTTGGTCGGTCAGCGCGTACGAGAGGCAAAAGAGCGTGAGGCGGCGTCGTCTGCAGCAGGAGGCGAGCCTGCGTCACCCCAGCTTGGTCGCTCGCCCTCGCTCCAGCGCCGATGGACGCCTCCGATGCCTGCCGCCGAGTCTCCAGTTGCGGCCGAACGCAAGCCATGGCAGCCTGGCAAGCTCGGCAACGCTCTTCCCGGCCTTACTGGGCATCCTCGCTCTGCCTCGCCCGTCAGATCGGCTGCCCTGGCCACGTCGCCGAGACAAGAAGAGGAGCCGTCGTCGGCACCACCGGTCCGCTTGCCAGGACTCGGAGCAGTATCTTCGCCCTTTGCCTCTCGACAGTCCTCCTTCGTCCAAGATGAAGTGAAGCAAGACGGCAAACTCGACCATCCAACGATGGCACGAGCCAAGGGCCCAAAGAGGTCCGCTGCTCGCTCGACTGCATCAAAGTCGGAAGAGGTTGACCGAAAAGACCAAAGCTCAAAGGGCACCTTCGTAGGCTCCAAGCCTCCAGACGACGACGACGCCACCATCTCGCGCCTCGTTGGCTCCGAGCAGGACACGATGCATGCCATCAGGCCGTCTGACCGCCTTCAAGCAAGTCCTCGACCCACAGTACGCGAGGTGGAGCAGAATCTGCGCGGGGAAGAGAGGCAGCCCCAGCGGGAGCCAAGCTACGACACTGTTGACCGACAGCTCAAGGAGGGCGTGGGCGCGCTCGAGGCCCTCGTCGCCGGCAAGCGGGTCGAGCCACCGGCGAGCGTAAGCCCCGTTCGAGCGACACGCAGCCCTGGCATGATGGTCGACATTGCCCTTCCCAAGGACACGGCCAAGGTCGACATCTCTCCCGTCCTGCGTTCCACACTCGCGAGACCGGCTCCGAGCTCTGCCAAGACAGTCTCCATCGATGTGCTCAGCGTACGGCCAGACGGATCTGTCCAGTCACTCGCAGACTCAGACGCACACATCCTCTACGAGGCAGAGACATTGGTCATTACGCACAGGTGCAAGGACATCAAGACTGGCCTTATGCGCCACGACGTCTTCGTTCGAGCGGGTCGCCAATCTCCTACCTTGGCTGGACAGGCATCCGCAGAGGCCTCCAAGGTGCAGGAATTGGCCAAGCGCGTCAATGCTGCGCCGATCGATGCACGTCAGGGACGGGAGTCTGATCATCTCGTCAAGCTCCTGGGGGGCGTCATTGTGACGAGAGAGGGAGCAAGGAATCGATTTGAGCCAAGCAACACACATATGTACGCCGTCCGGGGTCGCACCGGAGCCATCTACATTGATCAGACGGACCTGACAACGTCGAGCCTCTGCTCTGCACACTCTTTTGTCATTTCCGTCATGAGCGACGTTTTCGTTTGGCACGGCAAGGGCTCTTCGGGCTCCATTCGCTCGGCAGCCAAGAAGTTTGCGCGCGAGCTCCGCGATCCCTCACTCACATCGGCTCTGACAGAATACGACGAGGGAAAGGAAGATGAACTGTTCTGGGCCTGCTTTGAGCAGGAGCAAGAATATGCCAGCTCCTTTCACCATGAACTGCTCTACGCCTTGCCCGAGCACGAAGTCGAGCCGCGCCTCTTTTCGCTCCTCACAGACTCCGAAGGCGACCGAGCCATTGTGCCCATGCCCGCACAAGAACAGAGCTCCTTTTCCTCGGTCGACTTGCGGCCGGACACGGTCCACGTCGTGCAGCTGCCCCACGAGATCTACGTCATCGTCGGAGCGCAGGCACGCTCCGACCGTACGGGCATCTCTGCCGCTCTCGACGCAGCATCAACCCTGGCACGCTCGGCCAAAGACGCTCGCCCCCGCGGTGCCTTGCTCCCTCCTGTCCACGCTCTCATCTTCCCCAGCGAGGTTCCGAAAGAGCTACGGGCTGCCATTCGTTACTGGGATGCTACGCCACTGCTCTCGCGCTCCTCGGCTTCGCGAGGCAGCCGGAGACCGCTAGGCATGAACCTAATGACGGAACCAGAGGCAAGAGCGGGCTTGAAGCAGACACGATTCGAAGCGCGAGCGCTCTGGGATCACGACTTTCTCCCCATTGGTGTCGGTCCCGACGACATTTTGGACGACTAAAAGGCGTGCCGCAGACAGGTCACCGAGATAAATCAGATTCACTGTACGATGCCTTGTGCAGAAAAGTCATCCTCAGGAGTGACAACAGGTCTATGCCCTAAAGCTAGACGATGATAATGATGATGCTTCACGTTCAGCAATCCTTAGTCAGCATCCTTCTGACCTACGGAAGTCACCAGCCGCTGTGCACATGCTCCTCTGGCGCGGCCTCAATCTTGAGGCTGACGCGCGTGACCCTGGCCAAAAGCGGGACAGGTCTAGAAAGTCAAGTCCGCTAGCAAAAAAAAAATAAGAAAAGGAAAAAGAAAGCTCAGCTCGATTCAGCCTTGATTTTTTGTTGCCGAACGCCTCCTGACGTGCCTCATCGTGGGCACAGTCCCACTCATGCCGCCTTTGATCCTTTTGTGCTGCATTCCGCTGGCTGGACCCATGCCTCCATGATGGCCAAGGGTGCGGGGAGGGAGAAAGCCACTAACGTGCAGCAGCCGCGAGAGAAACATGAAAAAAAAAGGTAGATGGTGACCCGTGCGAAATGCCAATGGAGCACTGGGCAGGTCATGTGCGTGCACTCTGTGTCAAGAGTAATGTGAGCGACTGACTGAATTGGGAGCTTACGCTTCGACGAGGGGCTTTTTGCCATCGCTGGCTGCAAAAGGGCCGAGAAGGGTGGGGCTCGGGGGGTCACTTGAGGATCTTGGTTCTGTATTTTCCCGCACCTCGAGCAGAGGAAAGGCAAATGCCGCGCCAGCAGTCAAGAAAGGGGGCTTGTTCATCACAGAATGCGGTCAAAGGTGCTCATCGTGTCTATTTCAGCAAAGCTAGACGGAATCGAAACCCCGCAAATGATAATACAATGACTCCGTGACGATATATGGCACTCACACGACAGCCCTCAAAAGCATTGCTGCGACGGTCTGGATCTTGTCAATCTTACCCCTCCTCCTTCTCTCTCTCACTTTCTCTTCTCTCTGTTCTCCTCGTCTCTGCTACCTCTCTGAGAACTCGACGTTATCTTGACAAATCTTCAGCAATGTCCGAAGCAGGTCTGACCGATAAGACGGCAGGAGGCCACCATGGCGCAAATTACGAAGGCGACAACGGCAAGCCTGCCGGCGCCGACCTTAACCGTCAGGTCAGCGTCACGCTGACGCCCCAGCAGTTTGAGGAGATGTACTTCCAGCCTGGTGTCAAGAGCCGAGCCCAGCAGGAAAACATCAAGGCCTTTGGTAATCCCACACCGCTCGGTATCGTTTGCTTCTTACTCACATACACGCCTACCATGTGTGTCCTCATGGGCTTTCGAGGAACGACCACCTCGTCTCTTCTTGGTCTTCTGTGAGTTTTTTGGAGGTGCGATTCAAAGCAAAGAGGAAACGCTCACCGTCATACCAACAGAGGATCCTACTACCTCTTCGGAGGCATGGGCATGTGGATCTCTGGAATTCTCGAATGGATCGTCGGAAACACTTATCCGTCTCTCGTCTTTATCTCCTTGTGAGTCGCCAACTTCCTTAAAGACGAAGAGAAAGGTGTCTGACTGCGTTGAACAGCGGCTCCTTCTGGCTGTCTCTCGGCATCACCCTCGACCCCAACTATCAGGTCCAGCAGACTCTTGGCATGACAGGCCCGGCCTTCAACTCGGCATTCGGCCTCTACCTCGTCTTCTGGTCCATCTACGTCTATTTCCTCTCCATTGCCGCCCTCAAGACAAATGTGACGCTGTTCATCATCGTCTTTTTCGTGGCGATGACGTTTAATCTCCTTGGCGTTACCTACTTTAAGCTGGCCTCTGGCGACCTGGCGTTGGCGAGCACTCTGGCTACTGCGACGGGAGCAGTTGGCTTCGTCAGTTCAGTAGCGGGCTACTGGATCTTGCTCCACCTCATTCTCGCCTCAGTCGAGTTCCCCGTCAATGTCCCCTTGGGCGACCTCTCCAGGTTCTACAAGAAGAGAGAGGCAGCCTAAAGTACCCTACCATTTCCATACTCCTTTCCCACTACTCTATTCTCCCTACCGCCATTCTTTTTTCAATCACCATTCCACACTCTGTTCTTGAGATTACTCTCCTCTTTGAATATCAGTTCATAGTCCTCACCATGACCATGTAGTGTGAGATCCGTACGGTCTCTCGGCCGTAAGAGGCAGTCTAAAATTTCCCTCCAAATTTTTATTTTTTTGGAACATCCGAGAAGATCTCTCTCACGACGACCGACATGGACGAGACGGAGCAGTCGCAGTGGGACCTCGTCGCAGGTCAATGGAGTGGAGCAGAGTCTTCATCCTCTCGCTCTTCTCTGGCCAAGGAGGTGATCGAGGGCAACTATTGTCGGGTACTTCGATCCGAGACGGCAAAAGACCTCTTGAGACCGTTTGCGAGTGCTCTCGGCAGCTGGCTCTCCTCGGCAACTTCCTCGGAGGTCGCCCCTCTGGACTTTTCCAAGGTCCGTATCTCTGCTGTAGGGCAGAGCGGAAGACAGGAGGAGCTTCAAGCGCTGGCTGTGGCTGCTGCGGCACTCCATGCCTTCATCCAACTCAACTGGACAGGGCCCGACCTCGAGGAAGGAGCGACACCCCTCGTCACCCTACGGAACCTTCACCCAGACGTCTTTCCACCCCGATCCGTATCCGAAGATGAAGCTGAAGACGAGTCAAGGCTGACGCAAAGCATCCACAATGCCAGCCTCGAGGCACTGACGTGGGCCGGTGAGCCGGCATACCACCTCTGCGCTGAGCCCTTCTGGCTCCTCTTTTCCAAAAGGATCCTTGCTGCGCTCCAGACGCACTCGCGAGATGGCGCCCAAGGCGAACTCGAGACCTCGGCATGGTGGAGACTGAGGGCCGCAGCGGTGCACAGCAGGATCCTCGACACGCCCGTTCCAGTCGGCCAGGAGGTGATGGCCCCGCTCGCACAGCTGCAAGAGCGATTGGAGAAGCTTCGGCTAGAGGGAGGAGCAAAGGAGACAAGATGGAGGCTTCTATCTGCTCGCCTCTTCACTGAGCGGGGCTTGGCGTTGCAAAGGGTCGGTGCAGATCGCGAAGGCGCACTGCTCTTCGTTGAGGCGGCCAAGGCTAGCGGCTTGAGGTACGAGGTCACCGGCGCGCTAGGGAAAAGAACCAAGTTCCAGAAGGAGGAAAAGACGATTCTTGTGCTGGCTGCCAAATCACAGGCGAATGGAGAAGACGAGAAGAACTTTGAAGAGGACAAAGTGGAGAAGGATGAGCAAGATGAGTTGGAGCAAGAGGAGTACGACGAAGGGCCGAGCGCCTTGCCAAACGAAAAAGGCTGGAAGTCGGCTCCCGATCCCAACGCTGAAGCTGGCATGCCTGCCGAGTTGCGGCTGAACGACGACACGCTTCTGGAAAGGACAAAGTTCTCTTCAAGCGCGGTGGCGTCCTCATCTTCCACGCCCTTGTCGAGCATCGATCCATCAAAACCCTCCGTGCTACACCCGCTTGACTCTTGCATCCTCCTCGCTCTCTCCCTTAACATCGACAACACGTCTCCAAAAAATGGTCTGACGGCTTCGGAGATCTCTGCCTTTGTCGCCCGGGTACTCAGCCACGCCAGAAATTGGTCCGTCCACACCATGGCTCTCCTGCTGCGCAGCCGTCTCGAGGCATCACGAACGCGGACTGCCGAGAGGGCCGTGCTGCAGCTGCAGGCTCTTTTGGACCAGATGCCGACCTCGGACTCTACGCTTCAAGAACGGATCCTGTACTTCCACCAACTCGACCTTCCCTCCAAGTGGGAGATGCAGGCAGAGCTGGCCAAGCGTTATGCGGCTCTTGGCGTCGTGCGCTCCGCGCTGGAGATCTTTGAGCGCATTCAGCTGTGGGAGCACGTCGTTCAGTGCCTCGGCGCTCTGGGTCGGCAGACCGAGGGTGTCGAAGTCGTCCAGGACTTGCTCGAAGGTAAAAAGACGGAGGCTGAGCACGCAATATCACAGCGGAAGGCGACAGGTAACGAGCAGCAGACGACGGCAAAGACACGGATGAATGCCGCCAGAGAGGCAAAGCTCTGGTGTCTTCTGGGGGACATGCAGATCGACGAGGCTCAGAAGCACTATCGAAAGGCTTGGGATGTCTCTCGTTCATCTTCAGCTCGGGCTGCAAGATCACTTGCCGGCGTCCTCTTTGCGGTGGATGACCTCGAAGCGACCGTCTTGTGGCTGAGAAGAGCTCTCAAGATCAACCCGCTCTACACACGGTCCTGGTTCATGCTAGGTTGCGCGTACATGCGCCTCGAATCGTGGGAGGAGGCAGCCAGGTGCTTCAGGCGAAATACAAACTTGGACGACGAGGATGGGGAAGCCTGGAACAACTTGGCCAGTGCCTACCTTCGACTTGGTCAGGGCGGGCAACGCATGCTTGACGAGGCCCTCGAGGCAGCCCGACGGGAAGAGGCCGATGAGCAGGCCGTCCTGGCAGGATTACAGGAGAACGACGATGAAACGGCCAGCGAGCACAGCCAAGACTCGGGCGTGGCGGTCAGCAGCAATGACAGTGACGCTGCCACGGAACGCGGGCAGGACTCTGACGAGGAAGACGAAGCAGCGGATGAAAGTCGAACGAGGAGAGCACTGGGCTCGTCGACGTCACAATCACCATTCGAGCTCAAGATGCTGGCCCATCGTGCGCTGGCCCGCTCGCTGAGGCTGAGCCACGAGGACTGGCGCATCTGGAACAATTACATGATTGTCTCGGTCGATTGCGGCCTCATGGGCGAAGCAGCCAGGGCCATGATTCGCGTCTCGGAGATCAGGGAGGCCAAGTCGAGCCGAAATGGCACGAAGCAAACAGACGATGAGATCGTCGACATACAGGTCCTAAATCGGCTCGTCGATGCCGTGACTCGCGCCCCGAGCAAAGAAGAGGACGCCGTGGAGGGCGAAAGCGCCAGGCCCGATCAAGCGAACCACAGCGCTCACGAAGGTCATGGACTATACCCAAGGGTTCTCGAGCTCTTCAAGGATCGACTCCTGGTCGCCAGCGCCTCATCGACGGTCCCCGCCGTCTGGCGCGCCCATGCGAGATTGATGCTGTGGAGAGGCGAATTTCGGGCGGCGCTGGAATCGCACCTGAACGCATGGAGGGTGGGGCGAGGGTCCGAGGCCTCGTTGGACCGGCTAGAGACCGGCGACCAAGGCCAGCAGGCGGCGTTTGCAGAAGCCGTTGATGAGCTCGAGGAGCTCTGCGAACTGCTGGAGAACCTGGGTCCAAGAGAGGTCGAGGTCGAGCAAGGGAAGAAAGAGCCTGCCATGGCGAATTGGGCGTTCAAAGCTCGGAGCCTTGTCCGGGGTTTCCTGGCAAGGACGAAGGAAGCGCATCAGGACGGACCAGGGTGGGAGCGCTTGGAGTCACTTCGAGAATCTCTCAAGCAATCGTAGTGATATGTGCAATTAGAGCTTGATTTCCTTTATCACATTGCAAACAAAGGAAGAGGAAGTCTTTGGTAGATCGTAAAAAGAGAGAAAAAAAGTAGGGATCAATAGAGAGTGAGCAAAGCAGAAGAAAGAGCCCGGTTGAAAGACCAGGATCCGCTTCTTTGTGGTCGATCTATCAGAGGCGAAATTAGACGCAGGCTCATGTCGCACGCTTCTTCGATTAGGTGCTGTTGCCGTTGCATTGCCTCCAAGATGCACGAACGTTGAAAGAGGAAGCGAGAAGCTCAGGACCTTCTAGACTCGAGAGGTGACTCGCCGTCCCACTTGACCAAGTCAACAGGCCGGGCGATGACCTCGTCGATCTCCCACGTACCGCCCGCGCCACCTGAACCGTACTTCATGCCAAGCAGCGAGCCAATCTCGTCAGTAGCCCGCATAACATTTTGCATGTCCTCGACGGTGTGCGCGGCAGAGACGCAGAAGCGGACGCGGGACGAGATGAGAGGCGTGGCGGGATAGGCGACGACGACAACGACGATCGGTGGCCGGCAAGCTCGATCGAGGGAAGCGGCGTAGTTTGGGTCGCTGAGCGCCTTTGTCTCTTCTTCCCTAATCTCCGATGCATCTTTCGCCCATCGTTCCGAGGGCGGCAGGCTCAACTGGCGATCGAGCATCATGCGCGAAAAGAGGGGCATCTTGGCCGGGTGGAAGATGAGGAGGGGCACGATGGGAGAATCGCGGTGCCCGTAGATGATGAAGCCCAACTTTCGAAGACCGCTAGAGAGGTAGCGAGCGTTGAAGGCCAGCCTTCGAAGACGTTCTCGTCCCTCTGAGCCATCAGACATGCGAGGGGGCAGATCCACCCACGTTGGCACCAACGCCTTCTCCTCTTCATTGTTGCCAACACCCATGATGCTGGCCATGCTAGTGATGACCTGGGTGAGAACAGGTGGCGAGAGCGTTTCGCCGTAGACGTTGGAGTGGTTGGTAAGGCGAACGCGGTCGATGAGGGCCTTTGAGCCGGCAATGTAGCCGCCAGCGGCACCAAACGACTTGGTAAAGGTTCCCATCAGGATATCGACTCGCTTGGGGTCAATACCAAAGTAATCGCAAACGCCGCGGCCTCGAGGACCAATAGCGCCGATGGAGTGAGCCTCGTCGACATAGAGGAAGAACTGAAGAGGGCGGTGAGAAGCGTCAGCAATGCATGAGACGAGCAGCGAAGCCAAGAAAACTCACCTTGTACTTTTCCTTGAGCCTAATGAGCTCCGGCAGGTTGACCAGGGTCCCCTCCATGGAATAGAGACCTTCGACGACGAGGAGGATCTTCTTCCAGGGCCTGTGCGTCCGAGGCATGCCCTGAGAAATGCACTCGCGCAGAAGGCTTTCGAGCTGCCTCATATCGTTGTGCTTGTACTGTCGAATATGAGCGCCGCTAAGACGAGCACCGAATCGAATCGAGGTATGGTTGAATTCGTCGGAGATAATGAGGGTGCCGGGCGCAGCCACGGCAGGAATTGTGGACGAGTTCGTGGCGAAACCCATTGAGACGACGATGCTGTCCTCGCATCCGACGAAGCGCGAAACAAGCTTCTCTGCCTGCGTCTGGAGGTCCAGAGAGCCGGCTCCGAGCCTGGATCCAAAGGAGCTAACCCCGTAGCGCTTCAGCGATTCAAAGACAGCATCTGCGCAACCGCCGTGCGATTGAGCAAATCCGAGGTAGTTGTATGCACTGATGTTGAGCGCCCTCGTCTTCTCGCCAGTGAACCGGAAAGATTGGTAGAAGTCGTCCGAGGTGCGGTCGAGCGTCAACACTGTTCGTCCGCAGACGCCAGTGACGGGACGCGAGAAGCAGTCGTCGAGCCTGGCCTTTAGTCGGCGCGTGTAGAAGCTGTCAAAGTCCGAGTTGAGAGCTGCATAGCCGTTGCCCTCCATGAGGTGGCGGTAGGCCTTGGGGAACAGGCGCTTGCCGAAAAAGTCCCGCATGTGGCCAAAGACGATGAGGATGAGGTAAGAAAAGTAGGTCGTCAGGACGATAAAATAGCTTGGCTCCTCCTCAATCGGGCTGGGTAGTGACGAGCCCTTGCGATGCTCTGACACATGACGGAACTCTTGATTGGCGCAATACCCATACTCGCTGTGCAGCAGCACTGTACCGTCCTGCGAGCTGTCGAAAGAAGTCGGTGGCTGCTGCTGAAGGCCCTTCTTCGAAAGGGTCGTTTTCATCAGGCTTGATCCCTTGTGCATCTGGCTCCGCAAGTGCAGATCCTGAATCGACTCGAGGCTGTCGATGGACGGCGACGTCGACCCCGTCGTCAGACTTGGCGCCTGGCTTTGCGCATCCTCGGGGCTGCTCTGCTCGCTCCCTCTCGACCCATTGGCGTGTCGCGAGAGCCACTGACCGTCATAGCCATTGGCATGTCCGTTCATCGTCAGCGTCCCGGTACTCGTGCCTGAATCTTGACCCATGATGGGCGTGTCGTCGTCAAGGAGGACGCTGTTGTAATCCGATGAGGGAGACACACCGACGATCGGGACACCCTTCGAGTAATTGCCAAATCGCGGCTTGCTGGGCGTCGTTTGCTGTGAGCTTGCAGATGTTTTGCGACTATGCGTTGCGTCTGTGGCAGCAGGCATGTCGTTGTGGCTCTCCTCTATTGACGGCGACCGATTTCTACCGCGCAAAGTGGTCGTGTGCTTGAGATTGATCTAGTCGGTTGCAATGTTTTTTTTTGTGCCACTGAGTGGCTACCGAGGTTGCGCGTGAGCGAGCGGTGACGGCAATGGTGAGCTGGTGAGCCTTGCGAGGGGCGAGGCCTCTCTGGTACTGGTCGAGGTTCCTCGGCTCGTCGACAATATCGTTCAACGTCGCGGTTCGGGGAAACAAGCAGCCCGAGCTACTCTCGTGAGGAATTGGAGCAAGATTTCGCTTGCCGCGGAACGAGGAGCCCGAATGCGAGAGGAATTTTCGACTATTCTAAACGCTTGCAGATTTCGCTATTTTAACATTAGGGTCCTCTTTATGCCACGTGTCTTTGCAAGCACGTGGCGATTGGGCGGTCTCCACCGTCCAAGCTTGCAGATAGCCAGGCCACTCTCCGGAGAGCTATCGCAACGAACTGGAGACCAAGGATGTCTCTGCCCAAGCGCATCATCAAGGTGGGCAATCTTCCTTTCTCTTTACTGAGCCGGAGCATTGGCTAATGCGAGATGGCGCACCGTAGGAGACGGAGCGGCTCGTGGCCGATCCGGCGCCTGGCATCACTGCCACCCCTCACGAGGACAATCTGCGATACTTTGACGTTGTCATCTCCGGACCGTCGCAAAGCCCTTTTGAAGGTAAGCGCTTTTCCTTTGGCACTGACTCTTCTAATGCTCTCATTGACTCTCTTCATTGTTCGCAGGAGGCTCATTCAAGCTCGAGCTCTTTCTTCCCGAGGAGTACCCCATGGCACCTCCAAAGGTCCGGTTCCTCACTAAGATCTATCACCCCAATATTGGTGCGATATCCTGACCCCTCACTACGAGGCTGTCACTCTTCTGACCCTCCGCTTTGGCAATTTCCTTCACAGACAAACTCGGCCGCATCTGTCTCGACATTCTCAAAGGTGAGCTCTTGCTCATCTGCCAGAGCTCTGTCTGGCCTGTCCTTTGTTGCTGATCCCATCTTTCGACCCCACAGACAAATGGTCACCAGCGCTTCAGATTCGCACTGTTCTTCTCTCAATCCAGGCGCTTCTCTCGGCACCAAACCCAGATGACCCGCTCGCCAACGACGTTGCAGAGCACTACAAGACAGACGAAAAGGGGTGAGTACTGCGAATGGGCCAACGAGCGACTGTGACACTGAGCGCTCCCGATCCCTACAGAGCGATTGAGATGAGCCGGCAGTGGACAGCGCAGTACGCGAAGTGACAGAGTCACCCCTCGTCAATAGATTGTATCCTCACTCAGCTTTCGAGAATCGAGACATCCCACAATGTATCTCAACATTTGAGCGGAGAGTGCGTGGTAGCCTTCTCCTCAGGAGCATCTCACAGACTTCGCCGCCTTTCCATGCACACAAGTCGAGCTAGCGGTCTGCTTTCCTTAGCTGCGATTATGAGGATACGAATGACATTACGCTCAGCGGCTGGCAAATAGCTAAATACAGTGATAATTGTTGCGCTTTCGAATGATATATGCAGGTAGTGGCCGCTTCTTCCTCTCTCCTCTAGTCCTCATCGCGCGCCAATGGACCTCCTCGCCCGTACAGTGCGTCGAACATGGCCTTGAGTGTATCTTGATCGAGATCCGTCAGTGCTTCTCGGTCCACCTCTACGCCTTCCATTGGGCTTCTCGAGGCCATGCCAGACACTTGAGGCGCGGAACCGACCGAGTGATCCACGACATCTTGGCCCGGCACGACTGAAAGGCCCGGTGCGATCGATGGTCGCTTCTCCGATGACGCGGGGGGAAGTAGAGGGCCGAGTCCAACACGTCCCAGAAGGCTTTCCGTCGACGCGCGCAGCTCCCCAGAAGATGTTGGCAAGCGATTCCAGACCTCTTTTATAGCGCTCGTGCGATGCGGATTCGACACGGCTCGGTACATGTGTAGCAACACGAGGAGCGAGGTGCTGAGGATCAGGAGCGAGAGGAGGCGACGCAGCCTGCTCGACCCGTCTTCTGCTCTACCACCACGTCCCGCCCGAGATATGAGCGGCGCCGACGCGGAGGTAGGTCCAGGCGTGCTGCCCAACCCTTGTCGTGTCCGTTGGCGCGCAGCGCTGGATGGCATCGCAGTGTCCCCGGGGCCAGTCGAGTGAGTGGTTATGAGAAGAAGCCTGTCAAGACAAAACGCGTGGAGGGGTGTTGGATCTCTTTTTTATTTTTATTTTTATTTTTATTTTTTATAGGTGCGCGCATCTTCCACGTCTTCCACGTTTCCTGTCTCGGCCGGCTAAATTCTCGTTGGGCGGGCTCCTTCACAGAGAGAAATCGAAGTGGGGGAAACATCAAGTCATCATCAGTTATTGCCCTAGTTGGTGTAGTAAAGTGGTAATGCACTACTAGTGGTCAGAGGGTACGAGCTGGCGCCTCTCTTCGCGCTGGCTGCAGGTACAACCGCCGTGCTCCGCTCGGACCCCTGGTCGATGAGGCCTTACAAGTAGTGGATTTACCCCCACGTCTTGTGTCTGCCAAGACTGGCTGTCATGCGATGTTGGAAAGCTCACCATTTGGGAGAATATACAATCTGGAGGAGGCATCCGAGTGCGAGTCGCGTCCTCTATCTACCTTGAGACCGACGGGACAACTGCAGCAGGACAAACAAAGCAGTGTGGTTGGTTGGCTGAAGATGAAGGCGAAATTCAACAGACGGAGTGCTCCGTGCTTAAATTGCCTAATCTCGCTGCTTTTCCCAATTTAACGCGGGGTTCGGGTATAGAGAAGAGAGAAGTAACGATCCGCTCCCTCTCGACCAATACTTCCTCCCGACAGCATTGCCGATCTTTTCCTCTCCGAAAGCACTATTCAGCGCTTTTAGGATGTCGGCCGATTCGCAGCAGCAGGTGGAGAGCAGGACTTCACCAACGAAGCAAGATGAGATGGTTTTGAGCAATGCTAGCCAGGCGTCGGACCAAGATGCGATCGCTGCAGCAGAGACGTCCAAGGGAATTGCAGGACCGAGGTCCTACGAGGTTCCAGAAGGAATTGACGAGAAGAAGCTTCTTCTCAAAATCGATTTGAAGCTCATCCCTTGGCTCTCTGTTCTCTATCTCGCCTCGTTCTTGGATCGGTCAGCCATCGGAAATGCTCGTCTCTACGGTCTCGAGAACAGCCTTCACATGGACACGAAAAGTGGGACACAGTTTGCGATTGCAACCGCCATCTTCTTTATCCCCTACGCCATCTTCGAGGTGCCTTCCAACATCCTGCTCAAACGGCTACGTCCATCAGTATGGTTCCCTCTCATCACCTGCCTCGTCGGCATTTGCATGCTGAGCCAGGGTCTCGTCCGCACGTATCCCCAGCTCGTCGGCACTCGCTTCTGCTTGGGTATGACCGAAGCAGGACTCTTCCCCGGGGTCAATTATCTTCTCTCGGGCTGGTATCCGAGGCGATCCTTCGGGCTACGGGCTGCCATCTTCTTCAGCGCAGCCACCGTCTCAGGTGCTTTTGGCGGACTGCTCAGTGCTGCAATCCACAACATGGATGGCATTGGAACCCTTTACGGCACGCCAATGGAAGGATGGCGCTGGATTTTCATCCTCATCGGTCTCGCCACCTTTGTTTGTGGTGTGCTCTCTATCTGGCTTGTCCACGACTTTCCCGACACGGCAAGATTTCTTAGCGAGCCCGAAAGAAAGCTCGTCATCGATCGTCTGCAGGCCGACCAGAAGTTCTCGGCCGGCGGCGAGGGCTTCCAGTGGAACCAGATAGTCAAGGCGTCCATTGACTGGAAAACGTGGATCGGAGCGTTGTGTTACATGGGCGTCGACGGGCCCCTCTATGCCTTTTCCGTCTTTACTCCGACAATCGTCCAGGCGCTCGGCTACAAGGCCACAGCGGCGAATTTGATCTCGGTGCCCATCTATGTCTTTGCTTGCATCGTCACGATAGCTGTCGGTTTCATTGCCGATCGTAAGGGCAATCGTGCTCTCATCAACATGATCATGATCAGCATTGGCATTGTCGGGTACATCATTCTCGCCGCCAGTCGACTCCCTGGTCTCTCTTACTTTGCGATCTACCTCGCAGCTGCTGGAATCTACCCTTGCATCCCCAACACCATTGCCCTAACATCAACGAGCGTGGAGGGTGCATACAAGGTGAGTCAGATGAGCATCTTACGCATTCGGACCCTCGTATATTTTGCTGACATCACCGCCTCGCGCCCACGACCAACAGCGCTCCGTCGTCATGGGAATCATCATTTCTTGGGGCAATATCAACGGAGCCGCGACCACGAATGTGTACAGAACAAAGGACAAGCCCTGGTACACCCTGGGCCACGGCATGATCATTCTTTATCTTGTCATAGGTGAGCCAATTATTTCCAGGAAGAGGACTAGGAATCTAAGCCCTGCTCTTCCACAGGATTCGCCACCTCGTTCATCTACTACATGGGCTTGCGAAGGTCCAATGACCGCCGAGCACGAGGTTTGGCAGATGAAACGATCCTGTCCCAAACGGACAGCAGCGGACATGGCAGCGAGACGCTCAAAGAGAAGGCAGCCGAGGCGAGGGAGGAGCTGGCCCAAAAGAACATCAGCAACCATGGTGCGCTCGGGGGCGGGATCAGGAATCTGTATGCTCGCCTTGGAGAAGCCGAAGGAGGCGTCTATGCTACACCAGAAGAGGCCATGGCTATCAAAGGAGACTCTTACAGCAAGTTTGGTGAGTACCGATTCGGCTCTCGGCTCTCAGACCCAGACGCGAGTGCTGATGCTCAATCTCTTGCAGTCTACTCCTACTGAGTTCTTTACTTTCTCGAGCCGGATCGTAACAGTGTTCCGTGGAATAGCGATGAACGCGATGTTGAATTGCAAATACGTGATCAAAGCAGCGGTGAGAGAGCTAATGTCCTGCGTGGAAGTATTCTATGAGGTGAGATGCTATGATGCGCTGGTGCCAATGTCCGAAACTCGTGCTTCGGAACGATGTCCCACAAGAGAGTGCGGCTGGCTCTCTTCGGCTGCACCTGCACTTGCGCTTGGAATCTTCTCATCAAATCCACGATCGCCATTGGCCTCGGCGCGAATCCTTCGAAGGAGCGTGCCCGGCCAGAAGATGGCCCAGACACCAGTGGCAATGATGAGAGGCAGGGCGTCCAGGGTGAACGTGAAAACCTCGTGCGTGTACAAGTAGCCATCATAGCCCATTGCATTCTCGACGATTCGGTAGACGGACCGGACGATGATGCCGATGCTGGAGACGTAGAGGAGGTCAAACAGGAGTACAGTCGGGTTGCCGGAAAGGGAGATGTTCAAGGGCGAGAATCGCTGAGGATCTTGTCGAATGAGGCGAAGGTGTGCCACAAGCGTCACGGTGGCAAAAAGAAGGTACGAGGCGCCCTGAGCGGCCACGCCCGCAAGAAAGATTTTGTCGCCCACCTTTCGCTGGGGGCCGTCGGACGTCTGGAGCCCGCCACCAGCAGCTTGAATGAGGAAGGTGATGATGTCCGACGTGACAAAGATGACCTTGAAGAGTCGAGGGTGCAGGAGCGAGTACTTGGATTTGCCCTTGATTTCCGTCGGCTTCTTGCCTTCGAGGGCAGCCATGAGCCTGCCAAAGAGAATGTAGTTGAAGGCAAGAAAGGCTGGAAAAGGTATGAGCTTATGCTCGGTCCGGAAGACAGTCGAGATGCAACTCACCTGCAGGAGAGAGGACGACAAAAAGGTACATTACAATGTAGAGGCTCTGTTCCGTCTGGTTGTACCTCTCAGCCACCCGGATATAGTAGCCGACCATTGCGAAAAGAAGGCCAATCGGCAAGCAAAGGGCCCACTTGTCCACCTTCTTTCTCGGATTGAGAGTGTGGTAGAAGGTTGCTGTGCAGATCAATGTGTAGAGAATTGCATAGGTAAGATTTCCTCCGAGGTCGGGGACGTAACCGAAAGGATTGCCCGGTTGGTAAGCGACGGTGTCGGCGGACACGGCAGGCACCGTGGACGCCACTAGGAGGAGACTCGAAGCAATGATGAGTAGGCTGCGAGCCATCTTTGTCACAGGACGAAAGGGGTATCTTGTGCTTGGTGTTGGAGAGCTGAGGGCTCAGGGTTCTTAAACGTCTTTGGACATATTTGGTAAGGGTCCTGCGACGTCGGCTTCAAAACTCAGCTCGTCACCAATCGAAAAAGCATGAGATTTGCGTGTTCGGTTCCTGAAATACAAAATTTCCTTTTGCCGGGCAAGAAACGCTCTAAATTACGTGTGTGCGGCTCTTTGGCGGAGGTTCCGCCGATCCTTGCTGCTTGCTTCCTGCAAAAAGCGATAGCATCGGTGTTAAACGGCACGTTGGACTTATCGTAGCATCGGTGCTAACCGATATGGTCGACTTCCCGTACAAGCTCTTAGCAACTTCCTATTGTGGCGTAGATGTCATTCCTGCCGGTGGTCTTCTCCTCGTCCCCGCTCAATGCTTTGGTCATATTCCTTACCTTCTTGACGTTGTCCGCATAAGTTTCGCCGGTGGAAATTGCAGGTAGCCTGACCATTCTGCTGCCCACTCTTCCCAAGTACAGGGCACCCTGATGCGCGAGAGCTCAATTTCCAAGCTGTCGAGATAATTCACTGCAGCGCTCTAACTCTGTCCCAAGAAGCACTTCGTTTCTTCAGCGCCGAAGATGCAGGGCTTCTCAACATTGCCTGTCCTTCTTGCGTGGTCAGCGGTCACGTCGGTGTCACTCATCTCAAGACGCCGCGCGCACGCCCCGACCCACAGCAGGCCCGCTCTCAAGTGCGGGTGTAATGAGGCTGATTGTCTCGTGGCCACCCAGACGCGGTCCTAGATGCTCATCCACAATGACTAGCTCACACTGTATCTCCGAGCACAGCCACCATCGCTACGGTAAGCGCACCGAGAACAACAGTGGTCAGCATGACAGAGATATGAGCATTGTTACCAAAGGAGCAGCCACTGGGAATTCTTGAGCCACATTAAAGATTCCTCCAAAAGCAATCGGAACCCCTCCTCCATTCAGAATTTGAAAAAAGTCACGCGTCTACAACTTCGACACATCCACAGATCAACCAACGATCACGATCACAAATGCCCGGCGCAACGACATCCGCGAGGGATGCAGTGACGGGAAAACCATGGTCCATGTCAGATGTGCCGCGAGATGCGAGGCTCATGGCAATGATCCTCTCGTCGATGGGCATCGAGGATGCTGAGCCTCCGGTCCTGCATATGCTTCTGGAGTTTGCCCACAGTAAGTCCCCCAGCGGTGGATCATTGTACGTCCTCGTTGCTGACATAGCTGCTGCCAGGATATACGTACGACGTCTTGCAAGACTCTCTCATCTATGCCGACCACGCCAATTCTTCACGCTCGGGCGGAGCAGCCGGCGTATCCTCTGTCTCGCTCGAAGACGTCCAGCTGGCGATCCAATCCAGAGTGAACCACTCCTTTTCCAATCCACCAAATAAAGATGTGAGTCTGTTCTCCATCAGACTGGAATTGCATCGTGGCTCATTCACACCCTGGACAGATGCTTCTTTCGCTGGCTTCGAGCGTCAACTCCTACCCGTTGCCGCCCATCTCGGACCGCTTTGGGCTGCGCCTGCCGCCTCCTCAGCACTGCCTCACCAATGTCAACTTTTCCATTGTGCCCAATCCACCACCGGCAGAAGACGAAGAAGATGAGGCCGGCGGAAAGGTGGGAGCATCAAAGGAGCAGGACCTTGACGAGGGTGCAGGAGAAGTCGGGGAAGAAGAGGCGGAAGAGGACGAGGACATGGACGACGTTCAGAGCGGTCAGGCAGACGAGCAGCCAGGCTCGGATCAAAGAGGGACAAAGAGGAGCCTAGAAGAAGATGAGGAGTACGATTGATGGACCCTCTCATTCTGTATTTGTAGCGCATGACTCCAGGAACGACTGATTGCTCTGTTTGAGTCTGGTGGTAGTGTACACATGATGAAATTACAATACAAGATCCACTATACTTCGCCTTCCTCGGCGCTCTCTTCGCCTTCCTCGCGTTGCAGAGCATCCTCTGTGCGCTGCTGTTCTTGCTCCAATTTCTCGATCTCGACTTCCTGCTTTGCCTCATGACCCTCCTCTGCCTCTTTGCCTTCCTTTGACTCGGAGCTGAAAGCACGCCGGGAGGCACCCATCAGGGGTGGAGGTGGACCGCTTCCCTTGCTGCCGTGCCGACTAGGAGGCCTCTTCTCCCCTTCGTTGCCTGGCTCTCGGCCATTGCTGGCTGCCAAGGGAGGGGAGAGAAAGGAGACTTGGTGTTTCGACTCCATCTGCGCGGACAGGACCGGTAACGGAGGTGGACTCAGCGTTGGTGGTCGGGGCGTGGTATGTAGCGCACTTCCGGGTACGGAACCCGACAAAGTCGGGCGCGGGCTTCCAGTCTCCCCATGGGATCCCAATGGAGTGGTCAGGTTTGACCGTGGTGCCGATGGAGGCTGGTGATGGTGAGGTGTGCTGCCCGGCTGCTGCTGCCTGCCCGAGGAGGAAGCCTGCAGGCGCTCCTCGTGGAAGAGCATGTGGGTATTGACATCGTCCTTGGCCTCCTCGATCTCGTCCTCGTCTACACCAAAGACATCATACCACGCCTTTGGGCCTTTGCCGTCGGGTCTCGGACGTGGGCTGAAGCGTGCAGGATCGACCTCGACAGCCTCACATGCTCTTGCAAAGGCGCACGCAGCAAGGATAGGCGCATCATAAAATGTGCAAACGGCACCATACAAGCTGGCCCAAGCGTCAGTACGAGTCCTCCAGACATCTGTGGGAAGCGTGCTCACAGGCAATTGCAATAGATGACCGTCAGCTGAGCAAGGCTTCTCGGGGCGCCCAGCCTCTTTGCAGCCTTGATGGCAATCGGATGCGCCTGCTCGATGATGAGGTCGAAGCAGAGGGCTTCCAAGAGCCTTTCCTCGTTCAGAAGGATCAGGTCCTTCCATCGACCATACTCTCTCGAGCTCTTGTTGGCCTGGTAAGCGCGCGCCTCGGCCAGCTCCTGTCCTTGTGGCGATCGATCGAGCACCGCCATGGTGGCCTCGATGACGTGGTGAAGCTTACGATGCGTCTCTTCGACCTTGCAGGCCAGAAAGATGCAGGTAGGGGCAAGCTCAAAAAAGGGAAAAGTATCGAAGGTGCGCTCGCGAGGGTCCTTTGGCATGGCCTTGCGCATGAAAAAGCGATGGAAAAAGATTGAAGCAGTCGTCGTAACGTGATTGTGAAGCCGCATATAATCGCCAATGCTGAAGAGGAGCTGTATACCCTTCCATCGGCTAATCCTCTCCTGGTCTTCGTCCAAGCCACCAACGAGGACGCTAGGAGTGTCGCTCATATCCGACTGAGAAAAAAGCCATTGTGCAGAGGCATCAATGGGGTGCATGAGCTGGTTCAGGGCAACGTTCTGTCCTTCGCCCTCGCCCTCGCCTTCACCCTTGCCTCCGCCTTCGCCTTCGCCTCCGCCTTCACCATTGCTAATCCCTCTCGAGGGCGATGTACGCCGCTCATCGTCCAGGAGGGAGGTCTTTGAGGCGGGTGACGGAGCAGCATCCTGGGGCGAATCGACCATGGTCACCTTAGCCCTTGAGCATGGCAGCTTAGTCTTGGCTGTCGGTAATCGCGCACACGAACATTGCGAACGCGAAGTCCTGTGCTCTACTCAACTTCGAGAACCCGTCACGTGCTGCAAAATTTTGGATTTTTTGGCCAAAGTGAGAAGAAGAGAGCATTCATTACCCTCCTCTTCGCTTCACCCCAAGACATGCCTTCGATCAAGCGCAAGGCGAGCTCTTCATACGTGAAGACGCCTTCAGGGATACAGAGGAAAGGCAAATGGGCTCCTTCCCGTCAATCTGACCAATCTAGCGAGGAAGAGAATGGACTCGATAGCGTGGAGGACGATGAGGATGACTTCGACGATGGTGAGGATTTGATGGCAAGAGCCGTCAATGGCGATGGGAGCGAGGACGAAGATTTGGAATCCGGAGAAGAAGATGATGACGAGGAAATGGAAGACGAAGAGGAAGGCGACGGCCCCAGGGCGCAGGATGGTCAACCAAGAAAGAGAGGGCTCCATGCAGTCCCGACCAGTAACGAGATGGAGATGCTCAAGAACACCAGCGAGCTCTTCAAGAGCAACATCTTCAAACACAAGGTGAGCAGAGAAAGTCGCTTCATAATGATATGTGAGCTAAAGTGCCCTTCAGACCGACGAAATGCTAGCCGAGATCCGTCCTGCCTACGAGAAGTCGGCTGCACTTGACATGGTGCTTCGCCATCTCAAGTCGCTCTTCGAGGGGCTGGCTCCGATTCAGCCCCAGACCCTCGAGCCCGCACTCGATTCTCTGCAGAAAACGTACAAGGTGCCAGTCAAGGTGGTCTTTCCCGACCCCCAGCCCAAAGAGTCTTCGCCCCTCCGTTTCGGGTTCGAAAAGCCGAGCAGGGTGCAAGTAGTAGGCAGCTGGATCCTCAGGACGTCTGCTCTGAGGCCAGAGGGGGTCGACGTGGATTTGGTCGTGACGATGCCTTCGGACCTGTTTCAAGACAAGGATCACCTCAACATGCGCTACTTTCACAAGAGAGCCTACTACCTCGCCAACATCGCTGCCGCCATTGTCAGATCCTCGCGTTCCCCCGGCGGTCTTGGGCTCGAGGTCGAATATGCCTGCCAAGACGATGACGTTCGCAAAACTTATCTTGTTCTCAGAAGTGGTCGAGATAAGTCGCAAACGGACTTCTCGAAGCTCCGCGCCGTCATCAAGGTTCACGTCGCGTCTGAAGAGGGTCTCTTTCCGCCCGCAAGACTGGCGCCAAGTCGGAATAGCATTAGAACCAGTAAGCTTGGCTCAGAAGACCACGACGAAGCGTCAACATCGCAAGCAGAGCCGCCTACCCCACATTACAATGCTGCGATCCTTGCCGATGCACTTGCCTCGACCCACACCATCTACCTCAACAAGATTTTGCAGTCATGCGGCGAGTTCGCACCTGCAGCCATGCTTCTAAAGACCTGGGCTTCGCAGCGTCCCTTTGGCTCAGGCCAAACTCGTGCAGAAATCAAGGGAAAAATCGGCGAGGCAAACGCGAGACGAGTAGCATTGGGTACATCGAGCATTCGGTTTATCCTCACCATGCTCTTGGCGCATCTTCTCAATGGACCTGAGAAAGTGCCGGGCGTCAAGACAGTCACGACGACAGCCAGACTCGGCACGGGTTTCTCCTCGTACCAGCTTTTCCGCGGCGTCATTGACTTTTTGGCCCACCACGACTTTGCTAAAGAGGCAGTCTTCATGAAGACTGTTGGGCTGCCCTCGCAGCGGGACAGCATTCCTTCTGTCGACTTTGTCGATCACTTTCCTCATGCCTTCGTCGACCCGACTGGCTCAATAAACCTCTTCGCAGGATTGCCGTCCGGCTCGCTTCAGTTGCTACAGGCAGAAGCGAGAGCGACGCTGGCGATGCTCAACGACCACGAGCAAGACTACTTCGATGACATCTTCATGCGCGAGCGAAGTAAGAGCTCCTTTTTGTTCGACGAGGTGGCAAAGCTCGACCTTATCAGGGCGACGAAAGAACGAGCGGCACAGGTCGACATTGGATCTGCGATACGGGCAAGAGCGATGCATCTGGAAGCAACATTGAGAAAAGGCCTCACGAATCGCATTAGAGGCTGCTGTATACTATCGTCGAACGCGGGCGTGTCGCTCCAGAAGTGGCCTTTGAATTCGAGCCGGCCTAGCCAGAAGATGTCAGCCGAGGTTGGCCTTCAGCTGGACGCAAGCCAAGCATTTCGTCTCGTCGACCACGGACCGCCACCAGAGGACAAGGAGGCAGCGCAGGCGTTTTCCGAATTTTGGGGCAATCTCGCCGAACTGCGTCGCTTCCGAGACGGGCGAATCGTTCATAGTGTTATCTGGAACGCAAAGGGTGCTTTCGACAAGCTCAACATTCCCCATCGCATCTTTCGTCACGTTTTGGCGAGGCACGACGAGATCCAGAGAGTGTCGTTCTACGGCGAAGGATTCAATGGTCTCTTGTCACCAGAGAAGGAACTTGCTGAAAAGGCGTATCTTGTTCAGCCGGAGGAGAGAGGCTTCCATACGGTGCAGACAGCGTACGACGAGCTGAGCAAGATGCTGCGTGGACTCAATGATCTGCCACTCGCACTCATTGGCGTCGTTCCATCAAGCGCCAATCTTCGAGCCATGAGCGCGATGGTTCCATCGCCGGTCAATCTGGAGGCTCTTGGCACCCGAGTGCCCGATTACGCCAGTCATATTCCCGTCGCAGACGTCATCCTCAACCTCGAGTCTTCGACTCGGTGGCCGGACGATGTACCTGCAATTCAGGCCATGAAGCTGGCCTTGTACCAAAGGATGGCAGAGAGCCTCGTCGAGTCGGGCAAGCTGGAAGGAGGAAGCGCAAGAATTGTATTCGATCAGAACACCAACGATAACACAAATAAGCTCCTCGATACATCAGCCCTCGAAGTCATCTTGAGGACTGGCTTAGCTTTCAGAGCACGAATCCACCATGATCGCGAGCGTAATTTGCTTGAGCGCATTCTTGCCGAAAAGACGACATCGGCTCGGCAGAAGAAACAAGCGCGAGAAGCGCTTGACCGGCTTAAAGTGCGATACGTCTCAGGGCCGCGTCACCATCAGACAATGGCGGCTCTTCAACATCGTTTCCCGGCGCTATCCGCGACGGTACGTCTGTTGAAGCGATGGATCGCTGCTCAGATGCTCTCTCGGCACGTGCCCGACGAACTGGTCGAGCTGGTCTGTGCTCAGGTCTTTGTCAGTCCGTCCGACAAGGCTCCGGCGACGGGCTCGTCAGGATTCTCCCTCGCCCTTCGACGCCTGGCGACTTGGCGATGGCGTGAAGAGCCCTTGCTCGTAGCAACAGCTTCGGCTATCAGTGCGCCTGAGGGCGCCGAGTCGGTCCGGTTTCCTACCAGCAAAGCAATCGAGGCGGAATCCGCCTTTAAACTTGCGAGAAGCAGCGACCCGGCCATGAATCATCTTGCCTGGTTCATCGCCTCAGAAGAGGACACTGCGGGGTCCGATTTCGGGCGACGAGAGCCAGGAGCTTCAATCGCCGACGCTCTCCAAAGGCTGGCGAGGGCGGCCTGTACCATCCTTGAGGCAGGTCCGAACCTTGGAGCTGACACGATCAAGGCGCTTTTCGTGCCAGCTCTGGGCCACTATGACTTCGTCATTCGCCTTGAGCAAGCATTGCTGCCCCGATACCTGTCCAACGTCAGCTTCGATGGACAAGCTCTGAAGAAATCGCTCCAACGCACGAGTCCGACGACAAAGGTTCAGGCTTTTGTGAACCGTGACCAAGGATCATCATCATCGTCATCACTAGGATCTGAGCCCAAGCCAGGCTTCGACACAGCGACTGAATTCGTGGAGCTGTTGCAAGATCTCTACAGCGACACTTTCCGTCTGTTTCACGACGAGCAAGGCGGTGACGTGATCGGAGGGATGTGGAATCCGTCGCTGAGCAAGAGGAGGGACTTCAAGGTGGCACTCGGCTTCAACACGATGCCAGTCAGCCCTGAAGACGAGGCGTCCTCGAGTAAGCGCGGAGTCGTGCTCAACAAAGAGGCTGTCTTGGACGAGATAAGAAGGCTTGGTTCAAGCTTGATTCGAGAAGTCATTTGCAAATGATATGTATGATAGGAGTTATTCCGCTGCCCATCCAATCTGACAATGCATCGCGGCGCTGTACCTTACGGCGCCGTACCTTTCACTCCTTACCTGCCTGAACCCCACACAAAGTTGAGCTTGTCATCCACCTACCACCACAGATACCGGGCTACCAACAGCGATGCTTTTTACAGCTGTCACCCTAACACTCCTGCAGCTTGTTTCATGCTGCAAAGCGAGCGAAGCTGATGAAGACATCGTGCGACGCGTGGCGCTCATGTCACGGAGCACAGGCGGTGCTGAACACAAGGCCCTCAAGCAAAGCAAACACGAAAAGCCACACACTGGTCCTTTCTGCCACGGCAAGTCCGCCATCACTTTTAGGGATGATGATATCAACAACACGCCCAATCACGATCAACCAAGTCAGGGACACAGTCAGTTAAAGCTTTTCGCACTTGGATTTCTCAGGTCCTGATCGTCGATACTGCCCATAGCTTACGGCACAATCTTCTGTTCCGGTATCGTTCTGCCGAACCGTTCGTTGTACATCTCAGACTTTCTCTCTCGTTGGGTGAAAGACGACAAGGGACACAAGCACCTCGAGATAGTGACCTTGAACGAGAATGTCCCACCAAGCAATCGCAAGGAGGACAGCGCCTCCTCGGATGGCTTCAGCTACCGTGAGTTTCCTGACCCACAGACGCAAGGTTGCGAAAGACTTCTGAACAAGGTTCGGCAGACTTTGACGTCAAGCTGCCGACCAGCAAGCCCGGCAAATGGACATACACGATCGTGGAGCACTTTCACACCTTGTTGAGTAGCGCACCTTTCTGACGGAAGTCGAGCACGGCTGACTTTTAGCTGATATCAGCGAGCCAGACATGATGGGCGTCAACACCAATTCTTACGATTTCTCTATCGCTTAGGCAGAAGTTCTACACGACTCTCACTCCAACAAGTCTGGACTTAGGAGCCCGTATCAGAAAGAAGCATGTGTGACAGAATAATTCAAAGATTTCGTCATGACAGCCCGTTGATGCAACTACTGCAAGACCCTTGCTGAGCGTATCTTGTCGGGAAAGATGCGCGTTCGCAGAGCTTAAACCCGGCTAGTGCGTGAGATGATTATCAATCGTCGCTCCCTGTTCGGTCATCGAACCTAGCCGTCACCACTCTAACTCGACAACATTATGGCGAGTGCTAGCAGTACGAGCGGTGCAGGCATGGCACGTTCTGATTCTAGCCGGAGCGGTCGTCACCACCATCACCACCACCTTCCGCAACCACCACCGGCGCCTCATGCCAGCACCGCCTTTGGCGACTGGGTCAACGAGGTGGACACTACCGCTCCTATCTTGGCGGATCGCATCTACGGCGATGACGGAAGCGACAGCGGAGACGAGCTGCCTCAATCGGCGTCGTCAGCGCGAGACGCTGGTGGAGATGCCGATGCGCCTATGAACGAACACCTCCGATGGTCAAAGTCTCTACCGTGGTGGAGGCGGCCGCACGACTACTGGTTGAGGCCATTTGCCTTTCTCCTCGCAATGTGCGGCGGCATGGTCATGTCGCCCAAGATCGACTTATATACGCAGTTGGCCTGCGAAGACATCCTGCATATCGACGGCAGCTTTGGATCTACAGAGCTTCGACAAAGACCACCACTGTCGCCGCTCTGCCTTGAATCGCCCCAGGTTATCGCCGAAGCGACCTCATTGCAGCTCAAGCTCACCCTTGCTATGGGCATTCTCTCGGCCCTGACCACTGGTCTCTGGGGCGGCCTTTCCGATCGTAAGGGCAGGACCACGGTTCTCCGCCTGGGCGTTGCTGGTCTAACACTCAATGACCTCATTGTTCTCGCCGTTGGTCTCGTCCCTGCCGCGTCCCTCGCTCCCTTTGGCGGTCCCAAGGGCCTGCTCATCGTCGGCTCAGCCATCGAGGGCTTACTCGGCGGATTTGCCACCCTGACCGCTGGCCACCAAGCATACATTGCCGACGTGACACCCAACGGCACCCGCGCTCGCATCTTTGCCTTTTTCACTGGCATTGTCTTTGCCGGTCTGGCCGTCGGTCCGGCTCTCGGAGGTGTCTTGGCCAAGAAGACGGGCCTCATGAGTCCCTTCTACTTTTGCTTGGGCGCCCACGTTCTGTACCTCATCGTCACCATGTTCATTCTCCCAGAGAGCGTCAGCCCGGAACGCCTCGAAGATGCGAAAAAGCAGCACAGGCGCGATGTCGAGGAGCACACCTATACCCTCCGGTCGACGTTGCTGGTCCCGTTGAAGCCGCTCGCAATGCTTCTTCCCAAGCAAGTCAGCGCCCCCGAGCCTTTGTCCCCCGATGACGATGGCGAAGGCGAAGCGGCCGCTTCGCACATCTCCGTCTCTCGCAAGCCCAAGACGTGGCAGTCGCTCGACGCCAATTTGTTCATCCTCTCTTTGGCCTACTTTGTCGAGGCTAGTTGCATGGGTGTCTTGACTCCCAAGATATCCTACGCTAGGTATGTTTTGGGTTGGGATGTTGCCGAGCTGGCGTATTTTCTTTCGTTTGCGAGTATTACTCGGGTGGTGTGCCTTACGGTCATTATTCCGCTACTCGTGAGATGGGCCCAACGGCCAGGAGAGGCGACCAATGCTCTTGCGCTTCCCCAGGACGGTAGCAAGGATGACACCGAACGATCGCCGCTGCTTTCGCTAGACAGCCAAGGCCGGCCAACGACGTACAGCGACACCCAAGAGCAAGGCGAGCCTGGCCGAGAGGCACGTATCGAGAAGCTGTGGACCTTGCGAGCGCGCCACCTTCGTCAGATCCACGACAGCAAGTTTGACAAGCGTCTGGCGCTGCTATCCATCTCATGGGACGCCCTCATGTACCTCATTTTGACGGTAACCCATGGCATGGGCCCTGTCCCCTTTGTGGCTGCCACGGGCCTGACAAGCCTTGGGGGCGCTGCACCGGCCGCCATGAGCAGCTTGGCACTGGCACTCTTGCCGTCCGAGCACGATGCGGGCAAGCTCTTTGGCGCATGGAGCGTCGTCAACGCGATCAGCACAAGCATCGTTGGTCCCATCGCCTTTGTCGAGGTTTTTAACCACACCGACGATGGCGCCCCGCAGACGATCTTTGCCATGTGTATGGCCCTCTTTATCGTCTCGGCCGTAATCATTTCACTCGTCAAGGTCAGAAAGCCAAGCAGCTTGCCTGCGCTGCCCCCGAGGCCGGCACCACCGTCTGCCGACGGACGAACAGGAAGGAGAGAAGACGAAGACGAAGGTCCAGAGGCGAGCTCGAGAAGCAAGATTCGCCTTAGACCCACTGTGCCCTGGCGCGAAGGGGAACGCTCTGTAAATGCTGACGATTCATAGACTTGTACATATCTGCTTGCCTGCTCTGCCCAGAAACCGCTTTCATCATGACACACGCAAAGCAATCTATTGATGACCTTTTACAATAGCCCCGCAAACCCGTCATTTCTGGCCGCATTGCCACTGCTGCTCTTCGGTGGCTGCTTCTTTGCAAATTGGTAATCGTCAAGGAGCTCGTCAAAGGCGCTGCGGCCAGTGCTCTTCGGTGAGGGAGCGGCAGTTCTGGACCTTGCTGACCGCGACGAGTCTGCCAGTCCTCCCATGATGAGCGATCGAATGCTTCCGGCAGTCAGTGGTTCGCTCTTCTTTTCCTGCTTCGCGCCCGACCCAGATCCGCCTGCTCCCTTTGTCGGCGCGCCGAGGTCGGCCACAGACTGGTGGACCTCCTTGAAGGAGCCCGTAGGACTCGAAGCCTTGCCGAGGAACGCCAGCACATCGCCCTTCGTAAGCATGCCCCGCATGCCCGTCCCTTTGATCTTCTCAGCGTCGGCCTGCGAGACGTGGTTCTCAATGAGGAGCCGCGTGACCGAAGGCAGCATCGGCGTAGAAAGCTTCGGAGAGTGTTCTGCTGACTGTACGGTATTGCCGGGCGACTGAGATGTAGGGGGTGCTTGTGAATCGGCCTTTGGCTGCTCGATTTGTTCTTTACCTGGTGAAGGCGCAGACTCGGAATTATCGGCAGGCACCTCGACGTTGGAGATGTCGTCGCCCTCTTCGGCCAGCATTGCAATCGTCTTTCCTACTGGCACACCCTTCTCTCCCTCTTGGACCTGAGATCAAATGAACCGTGTCAATGCGTACCAGAGAGTAACAGCGGTCATAGGTACCCACAACAATCTTGGCCATAATGCCGTCATCCTGCGCTTCCACATCCATCGTTGCCTTGTCTGTTTCCTACAAATAGCCATGTCAGACGCCCTCTTCGTCGGCGACTCAAGGCGACACTCACAATCTCGAGCAGGACATCGCCGGCTGAGAAACTCTGACCATCCTTGACCTTCCACGTCGCGAGACCTCCCTCTGTCATTGTCGGGCTCATAGCCGGCATCGCAAATTTGGTGATGGCCGCACGAGACGTCGACGAGTGCAGGGCTGAGAGAGAGAAGCTAGTCAGTCTGGCCGCAGTGGAAACCTACAAAGCACAGACTCGAGACCAGACGCACCTCGGACTGCGGAGGGAGCCGCGCAGCGCAGTGCGCCTCTCGCCATGATGGACACCATCGTCTCGCAATCGTCCTCGTAGTTTCGGCGTAACTTCTCAAAAGTTAAAAATTAGATGATGGGTGGGCGGGGCGTAAAGGTTGGGAAAAATCGCTTAGTCATGCAGCCCACGCGAGACGAGATCAAGCCTCCACTCGAGCTTCTTCTTGAAGACGACGATAACGACGACGGCGAGGCGATGGAGGCAGGAGGAGAGATGCGGGTGGCCATCATTGGAGCGGGGTCCGCAGGAATGGTGATGGCGAAAACACTAAAGGAAATGGCCAAGTCTGTGCAGCGACCAATCTCGTATCGCGTCTTTGAGCGGAGGTCCAAAGTCGGAGGAATCTGGCAGCTCGACGCAGATCCAGGGTCATGCTGGCTCGCGGGAGAAGATCCGACCAGTGGACGACTCGTTGAGCTTTCCAAGCAAGGCTCGGGTAGACTGAGAGTCGGCTGGAATGGGAGCGTTCCTCCGGGACCCATGTTTCAGGGTCTCCGAACCAACATACCCTCGGACTTGATGGCCTATCGCGACGTCCCCTTCAGAGAGGGCACAGACCTTTTCCCGAGCCGCGAGATCGTCCAATCGTACTTGGAAGAGTACGGAAAGGACCTGGCAGATGAAAACGTACAACTCAACACAGAAGTCGTTTCAGTCACAAAAGAGGGCGAATGCTGGAAGGTCAAATGTCGAGGGCAGTCAGAAGAAGAAGAAGACATCTACACCCACGTCGTTGTCGCCTCGGGGCGGTGCAACACGCCTAACATACCCAATATACCCGGTCTCCAGCACTTCAAGGGCAAGATCATGCACTCAGCATGGTACCGCGATCCTTGTGAATTTAGAGGAAAGGTGGGACATGCTCACGGCAGAGGGGGATTTCTTTCCGTCTGCTGATGCCTTGGTCACAGACAGTCCTTGTCGTCGGCAATGCTTCGTCAGGCATGGACATTGCGCGCGAACTTGCCGGCTACATAACAAGGACTCTTCCCAGTGGCTACACACCCGAGACGTGGCCTGAACAGGTCAAAGGCAATGGCAAGGTCAACGTCATCAGCTCGTGGGAATCGCTCGAAAAGCCCCCACCTATGGACTTCAACCCGTTGGACCCTTCGTCGCCGGAGTGGTGTCGCAAGGTCCAAGTGCGAGGACGGATCAAGGCAGTGCACGAAGATGGAGCCATTGTCTTTGAAGAGGGCGAGGATGTGAAGTCGGGTCAGGTCGACGTCATCGTCTTTGCCACTGGCTTCCTGTTCGACTTTCCCTTTCTGAAGCAGAACCAGGGCGCTTTGTTGAAGGCTCCCATCCTACCGCACTTTGAAGGAAACGACTCGGGTGGGAGACCCTCGTCGACAATGTTCAATCTCGATGACTGGCTTCTGTTCCACGCGAGAGACAAGACCATCTGCTTTCTGGGGATGCCCGTCACCGTCGTTCCCTTTCCCTTGACCGACGCTCAGGCTCGGTGAGTTGAAAGAGACGCGCTCAGAGAGAAGCTGGAGCTGACAAAGGATGCATCAGCTACGTGGCCAATCGCTGGGCAGGCCTTTGCCCGCCACTCCCACAGCTCGACACAACAATTCCTCCCCCGGATGCATCACGATGGACCTCGAAGTCAGCTACCGCCCCCACCACCACCTCATCATCACAGAACCATGCAGAGGATGTCCGTCTTGAGCCGGTTCAACACGTCTTCGGCTACCCTTCGGATGTGGCCTATGTCGATGAACTGATGCGATTGCTCCCCGGCCCGACTGCTGGTAGAGAAGCGCCGTGGGACAAGGGCAATGCCGCCGACAGTGGACCTAGAGAGAGAGGACCTGAAAAGGACTACCTCACCACGTCCTGGCGGCGAGACCGACGAGCGAATGGCAAAACACTCAGAAGAGCCACCCTGGGTTACTGAATAGAAAGAGATGCTGTGATCATAGAGCTTGCAGAAACCATTGCATTTGCATTTGCACAGAGTGGGAAAAGTCCAGAATTTAGTGGCCGTACTTTGCGCCACGATGGAAGACGGGGGGCTGCAGGTGGGCAAGGTCGAAGCTGGGCCTCTCCACCACGAGGAGCTCTTCTTCGGCACCGTCTTGCTTTTTGGAAAGAAGTAAGCCGACGTGAAGGATTGACTGGTAGTCAAACGTCATGTTGCACGACCACGACGCCAGGGCCGACTCGGCCGACCCTTGACTGTTTCCATCTCTCGCCCTCTTGGAGGAGGGTGTAGCAAGGGATGCCGATGATCCCTTCTTGACGGCGCAGAGCCATGCAGGTCCCCAGGTCAGAATTGTCTCGGGTCGAGCGGCAGTCTTTGCGAGCCAGATTGCTCCGACTGCGTGATCACGCACGCCAGCCAATCGTTTGTGCAGCGGCATCTCAAAGCCGAGCGCGTCTTGCTGCAGGGGCGACTCGACGTCGACGAGCTGCGTCTTGTTCGTCGGCAGTACAAGAAGCATCCTTGAGGGTCTGGCCGGATCAAAGGTGATGCAGCTCGGCACGGTAGGAGGCGAAGGCAGCGCGCCGTGGTGACGGAGCGTGTCGAGGGAAAAGACGTGGATACGTCTCGAAGTGTCGACCGACACAAGGTATTGTCCGTCGGGCGAGACTTGGACGAGATCAAGCCGAGCAAACTGTGTCCTCTGCCTTGTTTCTGGTTCCGTCTCCTCTTCAGCCTCGGATCCACTCTCGGAGTCCGAGTCGACTCCGTTGGCGTGGCCATTCGAATGAGCATGGCCATTTGTGAGCTTTTTGCCTGCGACGGCCCGGCCGGCCTCGCGGCTCCGATGCTGTGAGAAGCTAGCAACGATCCGGCAGCGGGGTGCCGTATCTTCCGTGGGTAGCTCCACGACGTGGACGTATGAGCCAGGGTATGTAGCCAGGACCAGGCGACTGCTGTCTGGCGTGAACGTCATTGCGCTCGAGCCAGGCGCGCCGCCAGCTCCTTCGCCAAACGCCTTGGAGAAGGCGCTGACTCGACGGGGTAGGATCCCGTCGCCCACTGTCTGCAAAGAGAAGAGCTTGGTCTCGTACAGGTCGCTGACGGCCAGAAATCGTCCGTCGGGCGAGATCGCCAGGGCCACGAGGTTTGTCTTGACTTTCAGGTCCATTTCCAGCAGCTTGACCCACTGATCGCCGGTCGGCGCATCCTTATCCCCGTCCAGATACACAAGTCCCATATCCTCCAGGGCACGAGATCGCCTTGCACCTTCGTCGGCGAGCTTCCAGATGCCTACGCTTGTCTCTCTACGAAGAAGAATCCAGCGCTTTCCTTCGCAGACTGAGATCGCACCGCCTCCTCCTAACGCGCCACCCTTTGAAGTAGGTGGCACGTACGCGATTCTCCGTTGTACTGTCTCTGCAAATGAAGTAATCGGACTGTTGCTGATCGGATTGTACTCGTCTATTCGTCGTTCGTGCTCCTGTTTGTGAGCTGCCTTTGCCTTGCCTTTGTCATGCATGCCGAGAGAAGCGAGGGACACAGTCTGAGACGGTGAGGCAGCGGGGGTGAGGACGAGGTGAAAGTCGACACCGCCGCTGACAAGAATGGGAAGCCGATCCGATCCCCCAACAAGAGGGCTAAAGGGAGGGTCGATTGCGAGCGCCTTGACATCGTGCGCATGTAGACGTCTCGACCCGGTCTGGATCCATCGGGCTCGTTGCGAGTCGCCCTCTACAAGGGCATACTCGACGACGTTTTGGTCCACTGAGCCACTGTAGACGCTCTTGCCATCTGGCCCTGCACAGAGGGTGAGAACATCGGCACTGCGCTTGTGGCCCGAGAACTGGCCGCCAGAAATAGCTGTCCTCGTCTTTGCTTCGAAAAAGGTGACGTTGCCCATCGAATCGCCAAAGACCAGCGTTCCGTCGCCAAGGGCTAAGACGGACCAGACGATTGTCTGCTCGAAGCGTGATCTGTCGACGAGCACCTTATCCACCATGCGTCCGGTTGCCAGATCCCACACCAGGCCGCACGACGATGCTGTCCCTCCTACCAGAAACGAGTCTTGCCATAGTTCTTCGTCGTCGTCGGAGTCCGAATCCGAGTCCGAGTCCGAGTCTGTATCTGAGTCGATCGCCCTGTTTGTCTTGGTCTGCTTGGGTGTTGTCCTTCTTGGTGGGCCCCAAGCGAGGCTGACGACCCGATACTTAACTCTATCGAGCATATGAACACCGATGCCCCTGTGACCGCCTTGGCTGGCAATTCTCCGACTGACGATGTAGTGCTCGAAGCGGCCATCTTCGATGTCGACGATACGGACATGGCCGTCTTGGCACGCAATGGCCAATTTCTTTCCCAAGGGCGAGGGTGCTAGCGCCCAGATTGAGCCTCCATTCGAAGGCAACGTCCTCGTTGTCCCTGCCAACGCCAGCGCCTTGGAAGATTGGGCAGCCATTGCGGCAGTGACGAAGCCGGGAGAGTTATCGGAGGAAGGCCAAGATGAAAGATGAGGTGGGAGAAAGTGCTCCGTCAACAGCGGCCCTCCAGACGTCGAAAAAAGACGCAAAGTCGGGCGGGGTTGAGTCGGGCAAAGGACGAAGGCGATCGAGTCAATCTTGGAGTCGCCGTTGCCGACAAGCGTGGTGTCGACGAGCCACCCTTTTGCTAACGACGCTGGCGCTTGATCTTGGCTGTCCTCTGTCCACACGCACAGGTCGATGTTGCCATTTTCTCTCCCCACGGCAAGGACGCTTCGTTCGGCGGGCTTCAAGGGCGAGGGGGGAGAAAAGGCCATGGCAGTGATGCGTGACGGCGCCCAGTCGACGAAGCGGACACGATGAAGGTCCATCGCAGATGTCGAAGGACCCGAAGACGGCCCGCTCGCGTTCATGTCCACGTCTGCATCGACGTCCATAGCGACTGCCATCGTGTCGATTTGTGCTTGCCCCAAGAACGAAGAGGCCAAAAAAAAAAAGGTGAGAAGCTGACCTTCCACTTTTTCGAAAAAATTTGGCCAAAAACACGTGCAAGTCTTCATCGCCGCCATAGATTGCTGCCTGCATGCAAGACGCGGCGCGGCGTGGGTGAGCAGACGACAGCAAGTCGGGTGCCATTGTTCATCGCGTTTGCAACGCAACGACGACACCCTCGATCCAAGCTCCGGTGATTTGCCCACGCACGCGGTCAGGGCGGTGCAGGAGCGGACAAATTCGAGAGGTGGTGCGAATCAGCAATTGGTCGGAGCACCACGTCGATGAACGATGGCTGGCTCGCGTTGAAGGGGGAAAAGAAACAAAGAAATTCGAGTCCAGAGGAGGGCCAGAAGAGAAAACGAGCGTGAAACGAGAGGGGTTACACCCGCCGGGGACACCAAAGAGCGATGCCCGCGGCGTTCGATCCGGTTCGCGACTCAGTGCAGTCACCCACCTCGGAGACGGACCGACCTCAGAGCAGGAGACCCTCGCGGTCTGCATCGATTGCCGATGTGCTCAACCATGATGACGAGGATGGCATAGCCGTACGCTCCCTCTCCTCATCGAGTGGCGGACCGGGAGCATCCAGCTCCAACGTCAGCTCATTGCGAGCGGCATACTCGCCCCCGAGCTACATGGCCAAGCTGCCGCCCACCATCGCATCGCCCACCAGCTATTCGACACACCTTCCCCACTCGTCTGGCAATGGCGGCCCTTCGCAAATGCCGCCCTTGCGAAACCAGAGGTCGCCTTCGCTCCAGCACCTGCTCAATTCCGGTCCGAGCCCAGGCCATTCTGCCATGGCAGGTCCCTCCGGTCCCTCGAGTCCCGGATCAGTCGATGGGCATTACGCGCCTCCAGCTCATGGTCGAGGACGAGGCATGTCGATGTCTTCGGACGACCAAGGGGGTCACTCTCGGCTCAGGGTAGATAGCAGTGACATACCGCCAGACTACCACCACCGAACCTCGCCCGGGTTTGCGGGCCAGCGGCCGCCGATGGGAAGCTCGCCCACATCTCACTTTGCGATACCAGAGGTGCCGAATCGTTCCCCAGAGTCGATACGGTCGAGATTGTCGATCCATCGTCTGAGTCAGTCTCCTGGGACGGTGCCGGTGCCACTGCCGCCTCACCACATTCCCTCGACCCAGCATCCTTATTCGATGGGCCCTCCCCCGGCGCTTCCTCCACCTCTGCCTTCGCCCCATTCGCAGTACCCTCAGCCACTGGCCTCTCCACACTCCCTTCCTTCTCCCCATACGCAACAACCACCGCTTCCACCCCCGCATCAGTACCCTGCCTATGGACATGCTCACGCACCGCCACAATCTCCCGCTGGGCCTGGGACGCCCATCTATGCGCACCACCCGCGTTCGCATCCTCCCCCTTCACAGCAGCTCCCATCGCCCTACCATCATGGCCCCTCACCGGAGTCGCCACACACCATGCCTCAGACGACGGAAGGCAGCTACTATGCCCCGACTTCCGGCCATCCTGGCTGGTCACATACTCCTAGCGAGGGAGGATCTCTCAATAGATCTTCCGTCGGACACGATGGGAGGAGCGGCGCTTACTTTCCCGCACCGCTTCCCGCCGAGTATGTGGCACCTTCGGTGAACCATGCGAGCAGCTCACAGCCAGCCCTGCCTCCGGCGAATCGACCGATGGAGCGACTGGAGCCATCCAATTCCCCACCACAGGCCAAAAAGTCGAGACGGGAGAGCACACGTGATGAAGCCATGGATAGGGTGCAGGCAGAGGGTCTTGGAGCAGATGCTCAGCAGCAGCAAGAGCAGCACCCACCGCCAGAAGAGCTACCAGCATCGACTTCTGCTGATCCACCTCCAAAGCGAGGCAGAGGAAGACCGCCAAAGCAAAGGGTGAAAGAGGAGACAAGCACGGAGGCCACTGAGACGAAGCAGAGGAGAGCCTCGGTCGCAGAAAAGGAAGAGAAAGCAATGGCAAAGGGTCTCGAGTCGGACGTGAAGATCGAGAAAGATGCTGCATCAGAGCTTTCGAAGCCTGTACGGGGCAATTCCGGACCAGACAAGCTGCTGCCGATCAAAAACTCAGCAATACCTAAAGAGGAAAAGTCGCCAAAGAAGGAGAAACCAGAAGACACTAAGATGGAGGAGGTTGACGACGAGGTCCAAAATGGAAATGGGCCGGTGCAGAGCGACCTTGCGTATGCGCCAAAGCAGCGCGTGTCAGTGCCCACTGTTACGCGAATGCCACTGACCAGAGCAGAGGTGGACCAGCTCCGGGGAAGCTCCCAGAATCCCCTTCGTCGCAAGTGGCTCGATGAAAATCCGGGCTCGTCGGATGGATGGGAGGTGATGCTGGCCCGGTTCGCCTCAGAGGAGGGCGGACAGCTGCGCGCTCCTAAGCGCAAACGGGAATCAACTACCGCTGTGGCCAGCCTTGCCAACGGGGAGGGCGATGCCGCGTCACTAGTGGCAGCCCACTACAATTCGCGAACGGATGTCGGTTTGAATGCACGTCGAGAGTCGCCCATCTTGCCCCTCCGCAACTTCAACAATTGGGTCAAGAGCGTCTTGATTGGTCAATTCTGTCAGCATGGTGGCAAGGTGCTGGACCTGGGTGGAGGGAAAGGTGGCGATCTGCAAAAATGGGAAAAAGGCAACATTTCTGAGTATGTCCTCGCCGACATTGCCGAGGTCAGTGTGGCGCAGGCCCGACAACGCTACGAGGAACGACGACTCCGATTTCGAGCCAAATTTTACGCCTTTGACTGCTTCAGCAACCCTCTTGCGGAGCACATTGAACCGCAAGTGTTGCAGCGCGGCTTTACCAACGTCTCGCTGCAGTTTTGCATGCACTACGGGTGGGAGTCGGTACCCAAGGCCAACCTCATGCTCGAAAACATTGCGCGCTACCTCGAGCCTGGCGGCCACTTTGTCGGCACGATTCCCAACTGTGACGAGTTGCGAAGGAGGTTGACTGCGCTGCCTGATCCTGCATCGGCCGAGGAGGAAGAGGCGAACCCGACCAAGGGACTCAAGTTCGGCAACGACTTTTACCACGTCACATTCGACCCAGCCCAGCGCGATAAGAAGTACAAGGATCCTCCTTTCGGCCACCGCTATCGCTTCCACCTCATCGACGCCGTCGAGGGCGTCGACGAATACGTGGTGGACTGGGAACAATTTCTGAGCCTGGCAGACCAGAATGGACTGGAGTGCGTCTACAAAAAGAGGTTCGGCGAGGTGTGGAATGATGAAGGGAGAACGACCAGATACTCGGCACTAGCGAGGAAAATGAGAGTCGACGTGCCGTCTAATGACCAACAGACGTTCCCTCCTTCCATGCCTCCGGACCTGTGGGAAGCTTGCGGTGAGTGCCTCTTTTCGACCTGCACCCTGCATGTACGCTAACACGTCTCTCCGGCAGACCTGTACATCGCCTTTGCCTTTCAGAAAAAGAGTCGGCCGTGATGAGATGAGGGAGGGACACTGGCGGTCCTTTGCGTGCTCATTGTTTAGCCATTCTGTACTTTACAAATGTTTCTTCTTCCTCTACGGTCATTCAGCGGAAGCAGATCATATCAATCTGATTTAACATCGTCGAATCCCGCTTGTGGGTCACGATGACGACTGGAGTAGTAAAAGTCAACCTAGGGATGAGGATCGACTGCCGAGGAAGAGGCGTCGGGTGGCCCATGCTCGGTAGCTGGTGTCTGGGGTAGGCTAGCATAGGAGGCCCTGACTGCTGATCTTGACCTCGACCTTGACCTTGACCTGCCGCTGCGGCTGTGATGCCTGGGGTAACGCGGCCTCCTCGGCCTCAGGAAGCGTGGCGGCTTGATGATGGCGTTGAAGACGAGGGTGCCGTAGCACAGCAGCACAAAGCCGAGGATCTGCATGCTCCCGCTCAATGGCCGAAATACCTCCCAGCCGAGCACCAAGGAGGCGATCCAGATGCCAATGGTCCGGCACGTGTCGATCGTGCTCCTTGCCGTCGCACTCACGCTTCTCGTGACGGAGAGGCCAAAGAAGTTGAAAAAGGCGATGGAGAGGGCAATGGCCAGACTCGACCAAAGCACGGGAGCAGAGTGAATCATTTGACGCCAGCCGGTCGCCATGTCAAAGTAGCCCCCTCGACCGTCTTTGGTCCGGCCATAGAGAAAGTGTAGCAAGATTTGGGCTGTTAGCGTGATGCTGGCACCAAACATGCCTTCAAAGCCTACGGCGAGTCTGGTAAGAGATGGGGCGAACATCGTTGTAAGCGTGCAGATCTAGACAGCAAGGTTTTGGCGTCACGTACAGTGGCTCGACGCTGTAGCGCGCCATGACTTTCTCCTCTAGGACAAATTGCGCGGCTGTAAACAGCTGGGCAAAGAGGATCAAGAGGACACCGAGAAGAGCAGTCACTGTCTCTGGCAGCTCTTCGTCGCCGTTGCCCTTCATCGTCGTGACCGCCTTGGGCACCGGAAGACCGGGGATGGATTCGGGCTCGATCTCTTTGAAGATGGTGCCTGAGAGTCCAACGACGCATACACCCAGCATAACGGTAACAAGCGAGAGCCACTGAAAGAGGAAGAGGTGACGGCGAAGGAAGATGACCGAAAAGACACCGACCCAGAGAACGAGAGCGCCTCGAGTCATCCTGAACCAGAGGTAAGCGTCCGATGTAACGAAGAACACGTTAGTACGACACTCACTGATAAATGCTGACAGGCGTAAAGAGGAGACCGACATTCATCTGTACAAACCTCGGGTCAGCGTACCCTTCGGAGGAGTTGGAACACCAAGGCACACTCACAAGCGTCGTCCCACACACGTCGCACAACGCTGGTGCAAAAAAGAGTCCCACAGCTGCTCCCGTCAAAGCTTCTCCCTCTGGTTCCTCTGGCCCTGCCTCTAGCGCAGCAACCGGTGCTGGCGCTCTATCCTCGTCTCTTGATATCCGAGGGGACGTTGTTGGGCTCTGCCCCAGTGCCTCATACGTCGCCCCATTCGAAACCCCGTTCTTTTGTAGCGAGAGAGGCTTGCCCTTGTACCTCTCTTGTAGTATCTGAAAGAGCACTGGCAAAAGGCACCCCATCTCCCCGAGGAACATTTGCAGCGTCTAGTCGTCGCTTCGTCAGTGATGCTCTGGTTTCTTCTTTCGTTGTACGTGAGGTAGATTGCAAGCTCACCTGCCAAACGGGCTGGCTGAACTCGACGTGTCTGGACGGGTTGGGGTCGTCGCAGCGCTCGACACATTGCATATCCTGCCACTTATTGAGAAGCGAGTTGGAGATGCCTGTGAGGAGCATGCCCCCCACGAGCAGAGGCACAGTCGAGCGCGCAATCGACATCCTTGTCTGTCGCGCGCGGTGAAGTGGTGGAGACCGCAGTCGAGAACGGCTTGGTAGCTCCTTTGTCGGCGCTGAGTACAGCCGTTGCTCGGTCGTCCTGCTCCAAGGGGAATCTGCGATCCCTTATCGTCAGAGATGGGAACAGTCAGTGTCAGGCCCCCACCCCCTCCCCTGTTGTTTGAACGCGACCGACTCCACGTGGGCTTTGACGATACCTCGTCACACGATATCTCGCTGTGGAGAGATTGACTTTTTGGACAAGACGCTGAATATTGCTAAAAATACATCTCAAGCTACGGACCAGACAGCTTGGTCCTGCGCTCGTAGAAGTGCGGTGCCAATTCGGGCAGCCACTCTTCTTCAATGACGGTGAGATCGCGCATGAAGCGCTTCTGCGTCTCGACGACCTCGTGAAAGATTACCCACTTCGTGCTGGGCGATCGGTTGAACAAGACTGACGATGGGTGAACGTAGAGCTCGGCATTCTCGCGCACGCTCCGGTAGCTCCCATCAAACGACATCTTTGCGGCGTTCTTGAAGTAGCCGCTCGTCAGGCACTTCCGCAATCGTACGGCGTCTCCCTCACAGCTAACGATGGGAAGGCTGAACCTCCTCATGTACTTTTCCAGCTGCCCTCGAATGCTGATTGCTCGGCTCAGCGCTCTGAAATTCAAACGATGCTGAGCACACCACCTCGCGCTCTGTCTTCCCACCCGGGGATTGATAAAGGCGTTGTACACATTGAGGAGCGTGAGGTGGTCTCCTTCCTCTGCCGTGAACTTGCGTCGCTCGAGCTCGCCTTCGGCTCCCGCTTTCGACTTGCCTTCATCCGGGATGAGAAAGGGGGTCGAGACCGACGTCATGGCGGCAATGCTGAGGATCTCGTGTCCACATTTGAAGGTGACAGACTCAAGGAGCTGCAGGGGCAAGTCAGCAGAGGAATGCGTTTCGAAAATCGAAGAGGTCCTCACAATCTTGGCCATCATCGGATCGACGGGCATCTCAGCCATTTGCTCTCCAAGCGGCTTGGTCAGGCGGCCGTAATCGTCGAGCGCGCCTAGGCTGGCCAGAAATTCGAGTGCTTGTGCAAGGAGATCACTGGGAGGGGCGGGGGGCAGATAGTCAAATTTGGCCAGATTGTCGATGCCCAGGGCTTTAAGTTGCAGCACCTGCATCGACATGTCCGACCTGGAAAGCTCCGGCGGTGTCGTTGCAGGGAGCCTTTGGAATGCTGCTTCTGTGTAGAGGCGGAAGCACTTTCCAGGCGCTGTCCTGCCTGCCCGACCGGCTCTCTGGGTAGACGACGCCTTCGACGTGGGCACGACAGCAAGAATGTCCATGCCCGTAGATGGATTGAAGAGGCGAACCTTGACGAAGCCGCAGTCAATGACGTACCGGATGCCATCAATTGTGACGCTGGCTTCTGCAATATTGGTGGCCACGACGCATTTCCTGTGGCCTCGAGGGGCGGGCTCAAAAATGGCAGACTGTTCCTCGGGCGTCAAGCCTGCGTGCAGCGGCTGCAGCAAAAGAGGCAAAGAGCCAGTGGGCATGCTTGAAGCGAAAAGTAGTCTGAGCAAGTGTTGACGAGTATGTGCAGGGAGGAGAGAGCCGACTTACTTGATCTGGCGATCAGCGAGGGCCTGCAAGCAGCGGTCGATCTCTTCCCGGCCGGTGAGAAAGGCCAAGATGTCCCCTTGCGGTTCCTGATCCGATCGAGAGAGTTGAGCTACTTCCAGGAATAAGCTTCCAAGGTCGGACCTACCCTCAAGTGAACAGACCAGATTGCATCGACGGCAGCCTCGACATAGTCGGACGGAGCGTTGGCGGCATAGGCCACCTCCACAGGAAAAGCCCTGCCTTCGAGCGAGATGATCGCCGCCTCTCCCTCCGGACTATCGGCAGCAAAGAATGAGACAAAAGCCTGGGCATCGATAGTCGCCGACGAGATGATGATTCGAAGCTCCGGCCTCTTTTTGCGGATTCTAGATGGAAGAAAGTGAGAATCAGCGGACGGCCTTGGATCCAGAAGGGACGTAGGAGACTGACTTTTTCAAGAGACCCAGGAGCATGTCCGTGTACGCCCCCCTTTCGTGGGCCTCATCCACCATTACGACACTGTACCGACTCAGGAGAGGATCACGCATGCACTCGCGAAACAGCATACCATCGGTGCAGTACCGAATTCTCGTCCGTGTCGGGTGGGAAAGGTCCTCGAACCGAATCGTGTAGCCAACCTCGTCGCCAAGCACGCACCCGGCCTCGGCTGCGACCCTCGATGCGACGCTGACAGCACTGATCCTCCTCGGTTGCGTCACAGCAATTTGCCTTGCGCCCGAGGCCCAGCCCGACTCAAAAAGATACTGCGGAATCTGGGTTGTCTTGCCGCACCCGGTCTGGCCCACAACGACGACGACGGGGTACTCTTCAACCATGTGAAGAATGGCATCGCGCTGCTTGGCTATTGGCAGCCGAGACCGTTGCCCCTGTATGCCGCCAGACTGGTCTCGAGATGGCCCTGCCTGGATGACCGCCTCGCTCTCCGTCGCCCGATCGAGGGTGGATCCTTGGTAGAGTGCGAGGCGTATCAGCTTCGTGCTTCGTCGAGAAGAAAAGATGAGAGGAAACTTACCTGGCCGCGCGGTACCTGGCTTCCAGAATTGCGCCATCAGCCTCCAAGACCCCGCTCTTCCACCTCTCGCGCCACGCCTTGATCAGCACTGTCCGTTGTCGCTGTCGTTACTGTCGTCGTAGTTGCCTCCGCCGGCTGGGAAGCCTTCTTGACACGTGACGTTTCAGCGTTGATCGGCGTCCGATGGGTCCGAAAGCTCATTTCTGCAGAGAAATGGGAGCAAAGAAAACTAAAAGCATCATTAGTCTAATGAGAATACAGTCAGGTGAAACCTAAATGTGGGCGGACTTGACGTTCGTCCTCTCCTGCGCGAGCTAAGGCTGAATGAGCCGGTCTGTGATTTCCTCTCTGGCGCCTTGCCCCTTCCTCCCACTTTCTCCTCCTCCTCCTCATCATCAATAGCCTTTGCTCTGCGACCAAGCCATGGCGGAGGCGCAGGCACAGGCGACGAAGCGCGGCGCCATACAGCCGAGGCTGGCTGGTGTGCCGACCGAAATCATGGATCACATCGCCTACTTCTGCACTACAACGACGCCCGGCAGCGATCCAGACCCGCCAGCAGCGACGGAATGGCTTGCCCAGCGCGAGGCCGGCGGCACAGCGGCAGCGGCCGACGCCACGAGTGATTCAGCGGCACCCCCCAGAGGAAACGAGAGCATCTTTTCCACACCGCCGCCGGCCTTTGCCACACCGCCGACGAACTTGCTGAACATGATGCTGACCTGCAAGAGAATGTACCAGCAACTCAACCCAGACACCAATACGGGCCTGTATGCCAAGGTATTCCGGGACAAGTTCGACACCGATGCGATTGCCCGGCGGTTTGGACACGACGCAATCAGCAGTCGCAGTCTCACAGCCGAGCTCAAGCGCCGGTGCACCATCCTCAAGCGCATTCGGGCCGCCACGCACAAGGGCACACTCAAGATTCGTGAAGAGAGCAGCCCAGAAGACTTCGATGCCGAGATGGAAGAGAATCTCTGGCTTGCCTTTATGATGCTCATGGAGAATGGTGAGAGTCCTCTGGTACCTTGCCACCAAACGAAGATCGATGATGCTCACAACTCCACAGATGGCCGCAACATCCTCCAGCTGCGCTGGGCTCACATCGAAGATTATCTGTCGCTGCACCACTCGCGTGTTATGCTCGAATCAGCCTTGCGTCCTCAGTTCCCACCCGACTCCGCGGATCGTGCGCTGGCTCTCCACCTCAGCTATTTGCTGTGCGACCCAGACAGCCTAGCATACGAGTCGCGCGACGAGAGCGACGAGAAGCTCTTTGTGCTGAGGCCATTCGTCTTTGCTGCTCACAAGGTAAGTAAAGCCCTCGTTCCTCGAATGTGCTAGCAGGGCAGGCCTCACATGACTATCTCGTCCCCAGTTCGATTCATACCTTGCACCGTGGAATATGCCACGGCTGCCCCTCGCTCGATTGGTGTCTGACAGGGACGCGCCCGAGACCGAAGCGGCGAGGAAAGACCAGGACGCCGAAGACAACCAGACAGGTTCCAATCCCTTCCTGGCCGATCTTCGACCTCGGGTCAGATCTCGGGTCATCACCCACTGTGGACGCCAGATCAGCATCGTCCCTCCGAACATCAGCCATGCTGCTTGCTTCTCCTTTTTCATGAAAGTGGAGCGGGACCCGGCCGTCACAGACTACAGCGAGCTGCGAGCGGTGGCTCGACGGGAGGAAGCTGATGAGGAGGAGGTCGAAGCGCTCGCAGCTGCTGCCGCGGCGAGGCAGCGCGAGGCCGCTTCTACTTCAACCACGGACTCGCAGCGTCAGTCTTCTTCTGGGCCTTCGTCTCTGGCAACCCGGCGCATGCAAGCCGCCACGAATCGCAATCCCCGCCTGTTTCGGTCGAGGGATCACGACAAGGATGTGGCCAGGCTTCTTTCTTGTCTCTCGCCCTACTGTTCGCCTGGCCTGAAGCCGCTTTTCCATGCAGGCGACTTTGAAGGCGCATGGGAAGGCCGCTTCAGCTTCTTTGACTTTGACTCATACCGAGAGATGCTGGCGGGCAAGATGCGAAGCCTGTACGAGGGACCGTTTGGCGAGCAGCCGCAGGTGTGGAAGGTCCGAGAGCACTATGTCAAGCTCGATTACAGCCGGCTCGATGAGGGCGGCAAAGGTAGCATTCTCAATGCCGGCTTCAAGAACGACGAAGAAGAGCCAAACAAGAAAAGGGGCGCATTTCGGTGGACGGATCTCAAGGCAGGCAAAGTGCCACAGGCAGAGTCGAACGGCTTTGGAATCCAGAAGAGGATCGACGGCGATGCCGACGGTGAGGAACAAGCGGATGACGGAAGCCTGGACGGCATCTACTGGCCTGGGATCAATTCAGCGTTGTCTACAAGCTCGATCCTTGGAAAGAGACAGCTCGAGGACGCGGACGTCAATGACGACGAGGCAGCTCCAAAGAGGAGTGGGCGTGTGATCCCAAGTGACTGGCACCTTTACCCGAGCTTTGGCGACGAGGGCTCGTCGATCCAGGCGTCTTCCTCATCGAACTCTGACCGCTACGAGATTCTCTTGTCGGGGACTGGGCACTCTGCTTGGGGCCGCTTCATCCTGCGCGGCCGTGTTAGATCGTGGGACGGCATGATGATCATGACCAAGGAGTACCGACCCGACGGTAGGGGTCGATGGCTCTACCGCGGCTACGCAGTCGCTGGTGGAAAGCTTGTGGGCCGCTGGAGAGACACCTTCACGCCACAAGAGATGAACGGCTACGAAGGTTGCTTCCTTCTCCATCGGCGGGAGGATGTGTGACGTGTTATGACTTCTTATTTTCCCCTTTAGTGCTCCTTTCATTTTTCATGACCCTTCATTCTAGTTACGTCTGGCATTTAATTTCTGTTCATGGGTGTGACTGTATGTAAGACTGCGAGCTGTGACCGAATTGTCAATGTCTGCCTTGTGTCGACCGAGGCCCCATGAGCTGCTTTTGGCTCGCAGTTTAACCTCTCATCTTTTCTTGTCAGGCCGAGGCTCGATTTCTCCACTCGATGGTCTCTTTTTCGTGGACATGGTCGTCTTGTCATTCACAGAGGCATCGATGTATCTCGCTGTCAAAGCCATCCTGATACCGCCTGCTCCTTCCTTTCCGACGTCTGCAAGGGGTACCACCTGGTGTTCGAATCGTCTTTGGAGGTCGAGCCCCTGTTGAATCACCACTGTACCGTGCCTTAACGGGATCCGGAGCACTTTGATGCTCTTTGTTGCTACTGCTGCTCCCACTCCCTTCTTTTCGCCTGCACTGTTGGACGATCCCCGCACCTTGCCCTTGCTCCTGAAAGTCATTGTGGCCCCGACCCCCAAGGACAAAGACGATATAATCGGGCCTAGGCCCGGTTCGCCATCGTCATGGAAATCTGTTCCTCATCAGCCGCGTCAGCTGTGTGTTCTTGGATTAAGCCCCGCCCTGACTCACTCATCCTTTGCGAGTCGACGTAGCGGACGGGATACAGCTCGTTAAAGTATCCTGGTCCTACGCCGTCACCCTGATCTGGAGGTGGCCTGTCACCAAGCACGGCCTTGGTTCTCTCCTCGAGCAATGCAAGCGCACTCTGTGCGGACTTTGGTGCCTGGGACAGAGGGACGGTCGACATGTCCACCGCGTGCTGTTTGCCTTTGCAAATCAGCTCGCCTCTGACCGCAGACTGACTCTACTGACCTTGTAGCCTACACCATAGTTGAAGGTAAATTGCTGTGAGAGAAGATCGCCCTTCATCGTGTGTCGATGTAGAGGGTGTCGCATAAATGGTACGACCTCCTCCCACGAGTGCTGTTGCAAGTCCCTTGGAGACAGTCCTCTCTGCAGTTCTGTAAATATCTCGTCCATCTCGGGCTCGAGTCCTTGGACAATGTGCACTGCACAGTCGCCCTGTTCGTCCAGGAGAAAAGAGGCAACCTCCATGGGCCGACCGTGTCGATCCTGCAATGTCTTGAATACAGACTTGATTCCAGACGAAGGATCAACGATGGTGTCTTGCAGTGTCGGTGTCGTCACATCCAACTGTGGGGCCGCTACGACTGTTGATGGGGATACTGTCTGGGCATAGCAGGTCTGGCACTGCAGATAATGCGGCGATCGTCGACAAGATATGCGACCGCACTGTATGCAGTGAAGCCCGCGTAAGTCATCACTGCTCGGCTCCTGGCCTCGACCTTGTGTCCAAGCAGATGACCTTGCCGGAGCAAGTGGGAATGGCATTCCTCCCACCGCGAACAATCTTGGCTCCGGGCGAAGTTGGAGAAAATCGTGACGGTATCTCAGCGACTCGGGAGCGCATTTGGCAAAGGACCAAAATTGACTGCAGTCGGGCGAGAGGCACGTCCACCCGCTTTCATAGACTCTTGGCGATGGCACACCGCAACCTTTGCAGCAGTGATACTCTGCTGAAGAATCGGGCTGTTCGCTGGTGGACACGCAAAAGAGGTCTTTTCTTCTTTTGAGACGTCTACGAGACGACAATTCCGGGACGTCGACACGGTGTGTTTTGAGAGCTGCCTTCACAGAGCTGGGCGAAGGCATCGATGTGTTCTCATCTCCGATCCACCACGGTTGTCCCTGGCTCTCGATGTACTGTATAGATCTCCAAGTAAGCTACTGTCGTCACCTTGCTTCTACATTAGCCTCACTCTTTGCGTCATGCGTCATGATTGTCAGCTGCGAAATCACACAGTCGAACAGGAAAGGACAGAGACTCACTCAAATCGGAATTTCCACCTGACTGCAGCCTCCCCCTGGTCGTCCTCCTCGCCCTCGCCGTCTGCCCTCTCACCCCAGCCATCGGTAATGTAGTACCAGGCAAGCACTGCAAATGAAATGTCCTCCCTCAGCCTGAAATGCGCCAGCGGGTAGTCCTTTCCCATAATCAATACCACTGGTGCCTTGTCTCGCATCGAACTGAGCAGTGCCGCCACCCTGGCGTCGGAACTCGACTGATCGCTGAGAAGCTTGAGCCGTGCTTGAGGCTTTCCATTTCTCTTTCTCCTTTTCCCACATGGAACAGAGCTCTTTTCCTCTCTCCCATCTCCCTCTACTTCGGTTCCAGACGACGAGTCTGGACGGCCCGACTTGCCTCCGCCGTGCGAGATGACGACTCGTCCCTCTGCATGCCAGAGGTCCCTGGGCGCGCCAAAACCTCCGAGGAGGTAGGCGTAGGGCGTTATGTCCCTGTGCAGCGCCACTGTCGCCGTGCTAGTACTGCCTTCAGGAGCAGAGGACGGCGCACCCTGAGCTGTGGGTTTGTGGGCGTCAAACCAGGCAGGTCGTGGGGCCGAGGTAAAGTAGCAGCCAGAGTGGTAGGTTCGATAGTACGGCAGCGTTTCGCAGAGCTCTTGGCGCGTCACGGACCAGATCGGTGGATTCCGTCGTAGAACGGGCCGGCTCTTCTCCTTGGTCTCTGTCTCCTTCGACATCTTCGACGTCCTGGTGTCACGATGTTCGTGCGGAGAGAACGCAGCTAGCCCGTCCAAGATCTGAGCTCTAATTTCCTCTCTCGGAGAATATCTGGATACAATGCGCGGTGCTTAGCTGCAGTGCAGGCCGATTCGCATTCATGACATCTTGATATTGTAAAGAAACCGAGTCCCAGATAATCATACATGGAAAGAGAAGAGAGAACAAGAAGGACGGAGAAGTTCAAGACAGTGACTTTGTTTCCCTTTACAGAGGCTTTTCAGTCTTTGAAAGCGGCTCGATTTCCTCATTCCCTTCTGCCTTGATGTCGTTGCCCTTCTCTGCTTCTTCGTCTCGCTGATGAATCTCTGCCTTTTGCGCCTCGCCTTGTGCCTCTGCCACCTGCGGTACGACTCTCGGTGCTCTCTTGGTCTCATTTTCCTCATTCTCTTGTGAGGCGTCGCGGCTTCTCTTCTTGCCCCTGTCAAGGTGCTCTTCCACTGGCGTAATGTCGATCTCGTCCTCTTCCTCCTGCTTCACCACCTCGATGCCGGGGACGCTACGCAGGCCTTCAGTCTGAATGAAAGGTGGAACTCGAGACCTTTCTAACAGCCTGCTGCACGGCATTGGGCGCATTATTGGAGAAGTCGACGAAGGCGAGCTGTAAGCCCATCTATGAGCGTGTCCGGGCTTCATTGTGGGAAGACGAGGCTGCTGGGGAATTTGGACGTGCTCATGACTTTGTTCGTGAGGGTCCGACTGCGCGCTGCCCTGATGGCCATGCTCGATTGAGCCAGAAGAAGGGAGGGGACGAAGTAAAGGCGGCTGAGGCGGGGCAGGAGCCGAAGGGTGTTGATACCGCATACCGACGTTTGAAGCAGCCGCAGCCGCAAATGGATTCGTTGCTTGCCTGTCACGCTGAGCAGAAGCATAGCTTGGCCTCAGCGAGACCACATGACTTGGCTCCACAATACTGTGCATGTGCGGAGACTGATGCTGAAGTGGCTGTTTGAGCTGACTCTGACCGTGATTCGTGGGTGCCGGTGGTCTAATTTGAGATTCATGTGTCATGCCTGCAACGGGTTGATGGACCTGCACCAATTCGTTCTGGCTGAGGCTCGGTTGATGAGAGTCGTGGGGAGCCGAGGGAGAAGGCGCCAAGGGCGCAATATTCTGACGACCTGCAGCTGAGGGGGACCTCGACCGTGGGTTTAGGGCATTCTGCGCAGCAGTAGCGTCCTTTAGCCTCTGGCTAGGCACTACAGGCGTCTTGACCGGCGTTTTGAAGCTAGGCGAGAGAGGTCGATTTAAGCCTGCCTCCCTGGAAGGAAAAGCTGGCGCGAGTGTCAAACCATTGTTTGTTCGTCTGTAGGATGACACGCGAGCAGGGGCGGAAAATGAGACCGACATTTGCGTGCTGTCGCAGTAAATGCCTGAAATGCTCCTCGGCTCCGGAAGCGGAGGGGGTGCAGCTGGCATCATAGCAGGAGCACCACCACCTCCTACTGCACGCTGTAGCGAGTATGGAGGAGGGAGAAGAGGCCGGTTTGCAGGCGAATTATAGCGAAATGCCGAGAACTGTTGGTCGTGGTGATGCGTTTGCGGGTAAAATTTCCTCTCATCTGCGCTTGTCCCCTCTTGGCTCTGCTGGACATGATGTTGATGGGAGGGTGGACGGTGCTCTTGGCCCGCACCCTCGTCCCGAAAGCTGTCGGCACGGTGAGTGCCGCGAGATTCGCTTTGTAGATACATGCCCGAGGACGACGACAGTGCAGCAGCAGGTCCCTGGCGCGGCTCACAGTAGTCACCTTGGTACAGGGTCGAGGAGTGGGGATTGGATGTAGGATGTGGCATGATATCGTAACGAGAGCGGGTAGTCGCAGAATCATGCATCGTCCGAGGCTGTCCCTGACGATGTTGCTCCCACTGCTCGGCCGATGATGACGAAGTCGCATCGACGTCGATGGGTCGATACTGGTGCTGGCCAGGGTAGGTTGCTTCGTGATGGGGATGCGGGTGCGCACGCTGATATCTATGGTGTCGTGACGTGACCAAATCGTCGGGGTCCGAATAAAGGCGCCGAGCTGCGGGAGCACGGTGGCAAACATCTCGAAGCCGCTTATAGTCCTGCTTCGCCTTGCCTGCCTCTTCATCCTCATCGTCAAATTCAAAGCCGACGTCCGACTCTTCGTCCGTGTCGACATCCTGATGTGTGCTTGTGCAGCCGCTGTCTTCATCTTGGCGGCTCGAGTGCCCGCCACCGCTGCCATCACGGAGACGAGAAGCCCAGTCGCCTTGTCCTGGTCTACGGTCTAGACCCTTTCGGGCTCTACCGCCGCCACCGCCACCGCTGTCATCTTGATCTTCCGCTGGTCTAACACCGGCATCGTCGAACCAGGCCTGCACGGGCTGAACCGCTTTGCCCTTCCTGTACGATGCTGACGCCTTTCTACTCTTGCTGCTTCCACTCCATCTGCCAGAGCCATAAAACTCAGAGTTGTAGCCAAAAGGCGGTCGTTCCGACCCTTCCATATTCTCTCCTTCTCCTTGTCTTTCTTCCTCTTCCTCCTGTTCCTCACTGTCTTCCTCTGCCCCTTCTTCCTCCTCTGCCTCGTCGCCCTCGTTCTGCTTATATCTCTGATACGGTGCAAGAGAACGAGATGAAAGGGTTGATCGTCTTCCTCCTCTCCTGCGCTGCGCTCCACCGGCGCCACTTGGCCCAGTGCCCGAACCATCGCGCCGAGAATCTGAGTCGACGGCACCCCTTTTCAGCTGAGCTTCGATCCTAGCCGCTTCCGCCGCATCGGCGAGCGTCTGCTTGTGCTTCTTCGTCTTTTGATCCACAGCCTCCTTGAGTATCGCCTGCGTCACTCCCGCATGCTGCAAAATCATTGTGGCACCCGGTCCCGGCTCGTACTTGCAATCCTCGGCGCGACCTCGCCTCGAGCACAGCTCACAGGGTTGATGGCCAGAGCATTTGCGCCTATTCAAAGACGGACACTAGATGAGATGATTCGGACATAGGAAGGGGGCATCATGAAACTCACTTGAAAGCTCGGCATGGGTCGCATGCAATTGGAATGCGCACCCTCGGTTGTCTAGGTTTCCTTGCAGCAGAAGAACCACTACTGGCCTGCTGCGCCGAAGCCTAAAGGAGGGGAAAAAATGCTATTTAAGCTTCGTGTTTTTTTGGTCTAGCAAAGCCACGTCGCCGCCTCACCGGGTTTCGATTGGCAGGCTTTGGCTGCTGTGCCTGCTGCCGACGATCCTCGGGCACGGTCGGTCTACTTTGCTCACGCCTGGGCATTGGTCGGCTTCTGCTGCGCACGACCTCGTCGTCCTTGTAATCCGAGTCTCGTCCCTCGACCTCGTCGTGTTCCTCTTGTTCTTCGTCGTCGTCGTCGTCTTCGTCTTCGTTCTCTTGCTGCCTTCTTTTCCTATCGTTGTCGTCAGTTCTCATCCCACCTTTAACGTCGCTTCCCGAAATGTCTTCTTCCTCTTCTTCGTTGCCGCTCTCCGATTTGCGACAGCTTCTGCTCCTTGTCATGCGAGAGCCGTAGACCCTTTGCTTTTTACGGGGATGGAAAATGGGAGGAGGCAGATGCGATCCCCGTCGTGGTGCCGAAGCTGCAGTCGCTGTGCCTGCAGTTGTCGCTGGAGCCGAGGCTGTCGTCGTCGCTGTTGCTGTGGTGGTCGCGTTGCGCGTGATCCTCGCAGTGGAAGACATGCTGCGAGCAGGCGCGTCTCCTCTGGGCAGCCGAAGTGGAACTTCGCCGCCAGCCGCACCGGCTTCTTCTGCGGTGGATCCGAAAGATGGTCCAGGTCGAAGGGGCCTAAGCTGCAGGACGGAGCAGCCGCTTTGTCGCTGCTGAGCGGCAGCGGGAGGCGGAGGAACGGCGGCGCGTGCGTTAGTCTGGGTGGATGAGCCCCTGTCGCCTAGGAGCAGAGGGGGGTAGCGGTGTAGTACAAAGGATGTGCTCTCTGAGGAGAACACGACAAGGGAAATGGGACGACGACGACGTGAAGAAAGCGGAAGCGGAGAGATAGAGAGAGTGGGATGGGGGAGAGTGGGAGGAAGTGTGCTCAGCAAAGGCCACAAAGAAGAAAAAAAGAAAACCAGGAAACTGCTCACCGCGGCGCACAGTATCTTGGAAATGGCTGCTGGCTGTAGGAGCGCCAAATCCGACTCTTGACCTAGGGTCCGTCTGTTGAAGTTGGCTGTACGATCGAGTGATGTCGGAAAGTCGCGAAACGGACAGGGAGGGACCAGCTGGAGTGGGAGGGAAACGAGGTGGCGGCAAAGGCGGCGGCGGTGGCGGCGGCGCCTGTTGGCGCGGCGGGCGCGGCGCGTCGAGCTGCGAAATAGACTGGAAAGGGGCCGCGGTGGACGAGATTGCAGGCAAAGGGCGGAGCACGGCGGGCCCGGGCGTGCACAAGGGCAAAACCGCGCCCTCAGCAGCTGACTCGGGCGCGGTCCTCCTTGGCCCTGCTCCAGCAGCCCTGTTCCCCTGTTCCAGCTGGCTCTCAGCGGGCATCGGTCGTAGTCCAAATTCCGAATTGGACATTCTGGGCGAGGAGGGCGTCGCCTTGGCCGGCCATTCGTCTCTGTCCATCTCGGCTCTGCCTTTTGTCACCCGCCACCCAGTGTCGACCGAAATGATGATGCCGATGGCTTTGTTAGAAGGCTTGCTAGAGAGAACGGATGAATTGAGCCACGCCAGATTCTCTCTATTAGGAGATTGAAGGCGAAAAAATAGCAAAACAATCCCGAGTCGCTCGACCTCTTTTTTTTTTTTTTCTTTTTTTTACAACAAGACGAAAAGGTGTACGTCCAGTGAATTCGAGTCGTTTGCCCTTGGAACGGCCTCTCTGTCACTGATGAAAACCCGTGAGAGGGGTGAAGAACGAGGTCGAGGCCAAACGCCCGAGTGAGAAAAGCGGTACCTGTCCTCTCTCCTTTCTTTGGACGAGCGAGGGCGCGTGTCCAGCCGTTCAAAGTGGATGGTCTGGTGGTGGTGGTGGTGGGCGATTGTGGGGAAGCTCCCTATCCCTCTTGGCTTGCAGCCCGATCGAGATTCCACCTTTTTGATCTGAGCCTCCCTCTCGACCACACCCTCGCAATGCTGGGACCTGATATTTCTTTGTAGCGCATAAAGCAAGCACAACGGGGCTGAATCACTTGTAGATGTCTCCGCGTCTGGCAGCCGCGTCGGTAGACCGAAGTTAGCAGGTAGACGAGAGGAAGCGGCTTGTCAATGCCAGATCAGTGCTCAGAAGGCGCATGCAAAGCGCAAAAAGTGCATCCCTTCCCTCCTTTCCCTTGCACATCGCCCTTTTCCGCTCCGCTCCGACAGAGGAGGGCGGTAACAGCGGGACAGTCGGACAATGACCGTGCCTTTGTTTTTTGTCCTTTCTTCCCCTTGACCTCCCTCCTTGGTCCTACATCCCTCATCAAGCGGGCGTTTTGACGTAGCCGATGCGCTGCGATGCTGTGCAACGCATAATTGACTGTGGTCAAACATGAATCTCATCCTTGCCCGCGGCCGTCCACGTCTCTCTCGCACGTAAGCCCACTTTTTACTCTCGCCTCCTCATTCCTTCAATTCCGAGAGTTGGCTTCCAAAGTCTGAGAAAGTGAGGACGGTACTGATGAGCCGCGAGAAAGTGATGTATGCTTAGTGTACAGTGTGAAAAGATCTAGAGCATCAACCGCCCGGGATTTCCTCCCTCTGGGCTGCGCCAAGGGCCATGTCCCGCTTCCTCTCGCCTGCCAAGTCCTCGTACCATTCCTTGCTGAGCCCAGCTTTGAGGCGGTCTTGGGCGTTGAAGGGCCCCTTGAGTCGGCCTGCGAAATGGCGGCGCACCTCCTCTCGGAACACCTCGACCGGCGAAAGTGGCGGCTTTGCATTGGCACAGAGAAAGGTCAGCCAACGGTGACCCGCCGAGACGTGAGTCACTTCGTCGAGGTGAATTGTTGTCAGAACCTGTCGAGACTCGATGTCAGTCTTTGCTCTCTCTCAACTATGGTCAAAGGTTGCTCGGTCTCAGAGACGAATCATCTTTATCGCCACGTACAGGGACTCCACGTAGGGACATCCACCGCACTCCGTGCTTGACTCTATCGATGTTTGTTGCTCATCCTCGTAATGCCAGTCCTTCTACTTTAGATGCTCACCTCTACGCTCTGTTCGTCGCCTGCATTGTCAAATTTCTTGATCGTGAGCGGGTTGGCATCGAGACCCCTTGCCTCGTGAACGAGGTGGATGATGCTGAGACGCGACATGAGACTGTCCTTGGTCTCCAGCGCACTCTCCCACAGACCGTGATGGACGGGCAGCTGGCCAAAGTAGGAGCCCATGTCGTGGAGCCGTTGCTGAAGGAGCGAAAAGTGCTTGCATTCGTCTTCTGCTACTTTTAGCCAGTCCGAGTAAAACTGCAGCGGAAGCGTCCTGGGGGCCGTAGGCGAGGACAAAGTGTGTCGTGCGTACAGCTCGGGCCCACGGGCGATAATGTCCCACGCCAGGTCAATGGCCCACTGCTCAATGTTGGCGAGCGAGTGAAGCATGGCGATTCTGCCCTTTTCGGTGCCGCCCTTTCCGCGCTTTCCCTCCCGGCCAGGCTGGACCAGCAAGGCATCTTTCAGCCGAGGAGGTACCTCAGGCGGCGCTTCGCTTTCCTTGCGCAGCCACTTGCGATCACCACCTGCTTCGATGCTCCATCGGCCGCCGCCGACACCAGCCTTGCATTGCCCAGTCCTGAATGCCTTTGCAGCTCGAGAGGTATATTCTACCTTGAGCTTGGGTTGGGGGGTATTGAGCACCAGCACGGCCCACTCGACAAGCGTCGTCGGTCGAGGATTAGGGTCCTTGATATGATCTTCCTCCCTTGAAACAGAATCCGAGATCGAGAGCTGCTCCTGGACGGCAGTATGAAGGCTCTTGGCGACTGGCTCGCGATGGCGAGTAAACGCCTCGCTAACAGGCCTCACTTCCACGACCTCCCACCCGGCTCGGTGTGCTTTGCCCTGCGCGTCGGTCTCGCCGTTGGGTTCCTGCACCCAAATTTCACCGTTTCGCTCCTCGACGGCATACGTGCACGCTTTGAGCCCTGTCGAAGACTCGCCTGTGCTTAGCGAGAAGTCGTACTCATGCCAAGGGCTATTGTAATGATGCCGCGTCAGCGAGACTGACCAGCGCAACGTCGCTGTTTTTCACTCACCAAACAATGACAGCATCTTCGATGTCTTCCTCGTCTTCTATGTCATAGATTGAAGCGTTTTCCAAAGGCGCGCCTAGATGGGGGCACGAAGCTTCCATGCAATAGAAGCGAGAGGAGAAGCCGTCTTCATCATCTTTGGGTGAAGAGGAAGCGGCCGGAAAGGAAAAGAGGAGCAGCGAGTGGTAGATGTGCTGCTCCACCTTGTTCCGTAGCGTTATATGATGGCGAGCAGAGGAGCGCAGCGAATCTAGACTGCCCACCCTAACGAAGTCCTCCCTAGCGCTCATCGCTTGCCATTGCGGTCGTGGTCCTTGACTTGACAGGAAAAAGGAGCAAGCCAAGAAGAAAGGAGAGAAAATATTTTTTAGAGCTACCGAGACCCGTACCGTACCGTAGGCCACGGAAAATCCCCTCGCAAGACCCACGTGACTCTGGGTGAGTGTTGGTCTTCTCGACGTCCGGAACTGCCTAGAAGATAGGGTCCTCACATAGCGTGAACGATTGCGAAAATGGCCAACATAGGCGAAGCAGCTGCGACAACCAAAAAGGCCGACCTGCAGCATGTGAAGGCTGAAGATGTCGAGGGCGCCACCGGAGAGACGGAAAAGGGAGACGAAGGAGAGGAAGAAGGCGACGAGGGCGACGAGGACGAGGGAGAGGAGGCGACCCAGCAAGGGTCAAGTCTCAACGCCAAACAGAAGAAGAAAAAGAAGAGCAAGGCTGCGGCCAAGTTGAAAAAGAAGCTTGGCATGGGTGGTCAGGAGGGCGCCGCCTCGTCGTCATCTGGGAAAGAAGCGCATGCATTGACCGACGAGCAGGTCAAGCAGTTGCAGCAGGCCGTAGAGAAGGAGCAGGGGCCCGTGGCAGCGAGCAAAGTGGACCGACAGAACCTCCAGAAACTCATGGAAATGATGAATCTCGAGCGTGATGCCCTGCTCAAGAGCCAAGAGAGCAAGCAAAAGAGCGCCAAGGCCATCGCAGACCACAAGTTTTGGAAGACGCAGCCTGTGACCAAATTTGGTGAGACCATAGTACTTCGATTGCCTTCCTAGATGTACCCTTCCTTACAACTTGCACCTAAAGGTGATGCGCCGCTTAGATCTACACGTGAGGAGGGGCCTATCGAGGCCAACCAGCCGCCGGAAAAGATTAGACAGGAGCCTTACCCGTTGCCGAGCGACTTTGAATGGGTCACTGTCGACATCGATGATCCTGAACAGCTCAAGGAAGTTTATGACCTCCTCTCGGGTCACTACGTCGAGGACGACAACGCAACACTACGCTTTAATTACTCGCCCGAGTTCTTCAATTGGGTCCTCAGGCATCCGGGCTTCAACAAGCTCTGGCACGTTGGCGTGCGAGTGAAGAGTACCGGCAAGCTCATCGCGTTCATTTCGGGCATTCCACATGAGCTACGAGTTCGAGAGCAGTGAGTAGGCGCCGTCCTCTTTCGTCGTCTACCTGGTCACTGACTCGTGGGCAGATCCTACCACTGTACCGAGATCAACTTCCTCTGTGTACACAAGAAGCTACGCTCGAAGCGTCTAGCGCCGGTGTTGATCAAGGAGGTGACACGCCGCTGCAACCTTACGGGTGTTTTCCAGGCCATCTACACGGTAGGCGCTGTGCTGCCAACACCCATCAGCTGCGCCCGCTACTACCATCGCACCATCAATCCCGAAAAGCTCCTCGAGATTGGCTTCAGCTCGGTGCCGTTGGGTATGACCAAGGAGCGGTACTTTGCGCGGTACACATTGCCAGAGCAGACGCAGGTTGCGAACCTGCGACCGATGGAGAAGAAGGACGTAGCACAAGTCGGGAGGCTCATGAGACGGTATATGCGGCGATTTGACATGGCCGCCCGCTTCTCCGACGACGAGGTCGAACACATCATGTTGGGCGGGCATGGCCATGGCGAGGTCGAAGGGAAAAAGGCCAGGCAGGTTCTTTGGACCTATGTCGTCGATGTGAGTCTGTTTCCTTCTTTCTAACCGATTCCTCAGCTGATAGAGAAGCGAATCAGAACCCGGAAAAGGGATGCATCACCGACGTCTTCTCCTACTATAGCCTTCCGTCTTCGGTCCTCGACAGCGACAAGCACAAGACGCTAGAGGCAGCATACCTCTTCTACTATGCCACTGATGTGCCTTTCCAAAGCGAGAGCTTCTCCTCTGCTAGGCCATCTACCTCGGAGCAGTCGACACCCTCGACGAGATTCTCGGTGCCGCAGTGGCAGCAATCGCCCATCACGGGCCTCTCGAGTTCGGAGCTGGCAGACGAGGCCAATGTGACCCCGTGGGACAAGGAAGACATCGGTGTCAAGCAGCGCCTCAAAGCTCGGCTCAATGAGTTGATGCAGGACCTCTTCGTCCTTGCCAAACGCGAGGGCTTCGATGTGGTAAACTGCCTCACCGTCATGGACAACCCCCTCTTCCTGCAAGACCAGAAGTTTGGTCCGGGAGACGGCTTCCTGCGCTTCTACCTCTTTGTGAGCAGCCATTGGCCTTCTAGATTAGTTTGTCGACTGACACACCGCATGTACAGAACTGGCGTGTCCAGCCAATTGCCGGCGGCATGGGCAGTCGAGCGGGCGAAGCAGAGATCGACCCGGTCATTCAGCACCTCCGCGCTTCGGCAGCCTCGTCTGCTTCTGCCTCGTCTTCCTCATCAGCGAAGCAGGCTGTGTCAGAAGAGGAGATGCGGCGCGTGCTCGAGAGTAGGCCAAGACCAGAACTGGGGAGCGGAAACGGAATCGTGATGGTGTAGACATTGCGAGCACACTTGAAGAGAATGAACTAATACAAAAATTCATGCCTCCTCCTCTACCTCCTCTTTCTTGACTCGACTGCCTCCCACCTTCTTTACCGGCGAGCCATTTTCTTGTTTGATGGACTCCTTCTTGATGCCTGCTGCGCGCGACTTGGAGAAGAGGCCAGCCTGGCGCAGGGGGCACTTGACGACGTCGAATTTGGCCTTATCGTCCTCCTTCCACTCCTCCTGTTTGACGCCCGAGATGACGCTCATCCCCTCCTTTTCCCAGTCCGGTGATGCGTAGCGATCCGTGGCGAAGCCTCTCGCGGAGCACTCGGCACACGCCTTGCCGTGCTTGATGAGGAGAACGTGAAGCGGATACTTGAGCTTCGAGGGGATGCGCTCGTACAAGTGGTAGCTAGGGTTTGGATGACAGGTGTCAACGTGATGGCCTGCCAAGGACGAGGAAACACATTCTACTCACTATGTCTGGTCTCGCGTCGCTTTGTCCGGAACCCAGCCGAGTTTCCTGCAGAGCCGGTGGACATGCGTGTCGACTGCCATCTCGTCGTTGCCGATGCAAAAGGCGCTGACGCAGCTAGCCACCTTGGGCCCCACGCCGTTGAAGCTGACGAGCTCTTCCATGACCTGGGTGGAATTGGCATCGTGAAGATGGTCAAGCGAGAGCTTGCCGTGCCTCTCGAGGGTCTGTCTCAGCACGCCCTGGATCGTCCGCGCCTTGTTCTCGTGCAGGCCGCCACACTGGATGGATCGCGCGACATCGGCGTGCGACGCGTCCAAGATCGCCTGCCAGTTGTTTTTGCCAAATGTCTCGCAGAGGCTCTTGTGCGCATTGCGGCTGTTCTTGCCCGAGGTATTGCAAGAGAGAATCGTGCGCACCGTGGCGTCGAGCACGGATGCGACATCGCCACAGCCGCCGAAGCGATCGTCGCCGCGGGGCGGTTGCTTGAAGGGCATCGTCTTATATCCGTGTGCTTCCGTCAAGATCTCGGCGACTTGCTGCGCTTCTTCGGCTGTCGGTCTAGCATGCGTGGGAAAGGGGCCGCTGGCGAGGCTCGCTCTGAGCGAAGCCAGTTTCTTGTCCGTCGTCGTCTGCTTTGCCTTCTTTGGCTTCTCGTCGGCTTTTGCGTCCTCATCCTCTTTCTTGGCTTCTCTCTTGACAGCGGGCGAGGCAGAACGCTTCCGCTTGTTAGCAGGTGCCCTTCGTTTTGTCGGACTGGGTGTCTGAGGGGGCGTGAGGGGTTCCTCTTTCTTGACAGCCGCCGTCGCCGCCGTGGTAGAAGACCGCGTCGAGCGACGAGGCGTCGACGAGGAAGCAGCAACAGCCATCGATGCTCGTGGCAACAGTCGGCAAGCAGCGAGAGAGTATCGGAGAGCCAGAATCGTGAGACTTGATGCTGGTGCTCGTTCTCGTTCTGGCAAGCAAGAGGCGTCGAGGATCGTATTGCGCGAAGAATTGCCTCAACCTACCTACCTAAGCAAATGATGTCAGCTTTGGCCACCGATGTTTCGCACGGGCCATTTTTGCTTGCAGTCCCTTTTTTTTTTTTTTTTTTTTTTTTTTTTGTTCCTGGCGCGCGTTCCAAGATCTTGACTCGACGAAAGACGTCGCGGAAGGCGAGAGGTGGGCGTCGTCATTCTCAAGAGAGCGCAGATTGGTTCCACAGTCACTGACCGAAGAGAGTCGACTCATGAGCGGGAAGTAGTGAACGATAGAAGTAATGCCAGGTGGAGATTTGCCAAGGCGAAGTGAGGTTATTCAAGATGCAGGATGTCGTCTGACAGGAGAGCGTGTAAACGCACAGTAGCAGTAATAATGAACGGCTCGCGCTCACTACTTCTGTTACTTTGTAGTCGATCGGGTCGCTGCATAAATAAACAGCACAGGAGCGGTGTGTAATGTGAGGATCAGGCCTGGGCACAGACGCCCAAAGTCAAAGAAAATATTTCCAACGCCAAGGCGGTGCGGTGCCTGATGGTAGGCAGGTGCCAATCAGAAAAGCTTTCCCGTGCGTGTAGACGATTTTAAGTGCCTCGACGGCTGTGTGTGTGTGTGTGTGTGTGTGTGTGTGCGTCTTGCGCAGTGGAGAAAAAGTAAAGAAAAATAAAGGTACGAGCTGCTCCTTGTCCAAGGTGCATATTTTTGAATAGAGAATCAATCATGCGGTGAAGGCGACGACCGCGAGGTACAGTTCGCCGCTTGGCTCAGGAGCGGGAAATCTCAAGAGGATGGCCGACAGTATAAGAAGGGGGGGGGTGTAGTACGACATGCCTGCCTTCCTTGCCACCAGCACCCAACGTTACAAACATGTCTGAGAAGCATCCCCAGTCTTCAACGCCCGTGCCGGCGTACGATGCGCCGCACCAGTGGACGCAGTCCCCCGCCGGTACCCTGCCTGCGGGCGGAGCGGGCCTCCACCAGCCTGCTCATGAGATGAGGTACGCCCAGCCCGGTGGCACGCCCGCCACGTCGCCTGGTCAACAGCCGCACCTCCACGGCGGCGGCGGCGGCTCGACGCACGCGGGCATCGGCTCCGTTGGCGCACAGGCTCCCTTCGGGCAGCAGGCCGGCATTGGCGGAGCTGCGTACGGCTTGAGCGAAGGAGCAGCGTACCAGCAGCAGCGTGAGTACTCCATGCATCTTTCTCCATCTCCGTCCTGCAGTCACTGTTGTGCTGATGAGTTGAACGAACACTACTTTCACTCAGTCATGGCCCAGTGCGCGCGGGGCAACCACTCGTACGACACAAAATTCGGCGTCGTCGGCATCATTGTCGCGGTGTGCTGTTTCCCCTGCGGCCTCATCGCGCTCTGCATCGACAAGAAAGAGGTATGCACGAGGTGCGGCCACCAGACTGGCTAAATAACAAAGCCCAGCAATGTCGACGGAAGGCGCCACCAGAAAGACCGATACCAACGACGCGCCAGGCGGGGGCGGGGGGGGGGGGGGGGGGGGGGGGGGACTTCCCAGCTTTTATTTTTCCGGGTTTCCCCTTCCCCCGCGCGTTTCTTCATGTAGATTTATCGTAAATGTTCCCGGGCGCTCGAGTCGCGGGCGGACGGACGTGAAGCAATGTCAGGCATTATTCCCATGACTCCCCTCTCTCTATCTCTTCCTCTTCCACCTTTCACGGCTCGCACGCCACTGAAGGTTGCAGGGTTTCATTTGCAGAAACTACTTCAGTGGGCAGCTCCGGACACTTTTACTTTGCTCTACATGCCCACTGCCAGTCACATGTCACGTCACACACTCTCCGAACTGGGGACAGATATTAATTCCAAACCAATCAAACGATGAATGATGAACAATGACCACAGAGGCTGCGAGCCGGCAGAAAAGTCGACAGTGAGAGGAGAGAGAGCTCTAGACGATCCCCCGATCGCCGAGCTCTCGTTGCTTTTCCCGCTCCCTCGAGCTGCTGCCGCCGCCGCCGCCTGCTCCGAGATCCACACCGGGCGTGGTGCTGCCACCGACTGCAACACCTGGCACGACGACGTGGGGCGTGCTTGCGCTGTTGGCATGCCCTTGCCCCCCGTGGCCGCCGCCAATGCCATTGAGAGTGCCTCTTGCCAGGGCATTGAGCTTGTGTGTGAGCGCATTCAGCTCGACTCCACTCGCGCTCGCGGCACCTTGGAGATTGTCCCAGTCAAAGTTGATACCCCGGTGTCGGGCAGACGCAGCGGCGCTCGAAGCGGCACTCGAGGCCCACTCCTTTGCCCTCTCCAGCGCCGGCACAACGACCTCGGCGGCCGCGGCACTCCCCTCGGTCAACAGCTTGGGTCCCTTTATCCCCTCGCCGACAAAGAAGCCCGATGCGACGCACTCGCGTGCATCCTCAATCAGCCAGCCGTACCACATCGAAGCGAGCGGGACGGTGGCGAGGTGCCAGAGGGCGTGTGCGTCGAGCGCGCGCAGAATTGGGGGAAAGTCAAGCAGCTCCAAGGCAGAAGCGGCCAAGAGCAAAAAGACAATCTTTCGCAGCTGATGGCGGGCCCGTTTGGACGACGACGGCGGTGGGATGGCGGCGGAGACGGGCGCGGGAGGCGATCCGCCGTTGGAGTGCGCCGTTGTGCCCGGGGGCGGTGAGCCTGCAGCAGCGGCGCCGGCGATCCCTGATGGGGGGCGACTGGCCCGCATGGCCGCACGCGAGGCGCTGTATCGATCCGAGAGCGAAGAGCCGAGCGACCGGGCAGCGAATGCAGACGGGCTGAACGAATAGGCGAGCCAGAGCAGGCTGTGCGCGAGACCGACCACCACGTTGGCAGTCATGTTGTACGAGTAGTCGAACCGGCCGAAGCTGAGGTAGAGGATATGGAGGCCGAGGCAGGCTCCGCAGATGCGTGCCAGCAGGCCAAAGGCGACCGTGCCCGGCGCCAGGCGAAAGAGCCTCGAGAGGGAGAAGAAGAGCCCGCCCAGGACAACGGCGCCCGCCGAAAAGTAGTCCATCCTCTCGGTGAAGTTCTTGTCGCGCGCATGAAAGACGGCGGACCAGAACCAGGCGTTGCAGCTGACGAGGGCATGGAGGATGTAGACGAGCTTGAGTGGGAATGCTTCGGGAATGTGCTTGCCGAGCTGCCGGACAGCCCTCTGGTGGACAAAGAAGTTCATGAGCGAGAAGAGGACCGACATGGGTTCCTGGCAGCCCAGGAAGCGGACAAAGACCCATTTGCCGTGGAATTGGACCATCTGCTTCTCGACGGGCCGCATGGCGTCGAGCCTCTCCTTGACCATCTGCTCGGCCACGCTCCGCTGCTTTGCCATCGACCAGTCCTCGGCAGCACCCTTTGCATCGACGAGCGCCCTCGTCTCTTCGCGAATTTTTCGGACCCGACTTTGGGCCGCGTTGGTGACACGGTGGGTGCAGTGGTACTTGCAGTCATCGATGCAGTTCCAGAAGGTGAGCCGGAGCATCATCGGGAGCCTCGTCGTCTTGGCTGTCCCGTCGTCCCATTCGGGATCGCCCGAGCAAGAATCCTTGGTGCACGAGCTCACGCAACTTTGGTACTCTGGTGACCGGTCTCCTTGCGAGGCGCTTACTGTCGGCAAAACGCTGCTGGCGAGGAAAAAGAGAATGGCGAGAGGAAAGACGACATCGGCGAGTCGCAAACGCCTTCTTCGCCTTCTTCTTTTTCCCCTGGCGAGGGCCATTGTGGCAGCGGAAGATCGATGATCTTCAGTGGGAGGAGCAGAGCAGGCAGAAGGCGGCGCAGAGCAGCGGCTGCTCGATGCCGGTGAATCGACTGCCATGCTCTTTCCCTGGCCCCGTCTTGATAGTCAGGGTGAAACGAAGCCTAAAAATCGCGTCGACGCTTCCGTCCGTCCGCTTGCTTCCCCTCCCCTGTGATCAATCAAAAAGCTAGAAAAGAAGCGCACGTGTGAATTAGAGCAATTTGACCCGATTCGATCAACATCCTCTAGAGAGCCAGCCAGCCAGCTAGCGGTAATCATGGGGGGAGAGAGAAAAGGAATTAAGAGAATCTCTACGACTGTTTGGATAGGCGGGCAGCCTTCTTAGCGTTGTAGACGTCTTGCACAACCTTGCGGATCTCATCGACACCCTCGTTCTGGACATACAGAGTCAGAGATTGAAAGAAAAGGAAGGCCAGGACACAGAACTCACAATGTCGGCACGGCTTGTCTTGCGAATGATGTTGACTTCTTCCTCCGACCACACGAGGTTGTAGCTGCTCGAGAAGGAAGCTGTGCTCGGGTCATAGTCCGGTTGGCACTTGTTGGGCAGCAAGGGAAGGTAGATGAGCGTGGCGCCGTTGGTGGCCTGTGGCTGGTGTCGCTTGTTGTAGCGAATGCCATCATCGTCGACGTGCGTGGGGCCCTCCTCCTCTGTGCGATCCTCGTCCGGGATCGACTTGGCATCGAGGATCCGGGCGTATCTGCCCTTGAATCTCTCGGCAATTTCATCTGCGCTCAGCGTCTTGTTCTTCTTCTTGCCATCCTTGTCCTCTTCCTGAGGCCACTCGGACAGAGGCTCGAGCTTGACGCGCTCTTGGATATCCAAGCCCTTTGTACGGCCAAAATCGGCGATGCGTTCCAGAGCAGCGCCGCTCTGGACATCGCTGGAAAAGTCGCCGAGGAGCATGATGTCTACGTCTCGTCCAGGTCGAAAGAAGGAGTAGGTGGGCAGATTGTTGGACATGCCCGCGTCGACGAGGTGGATCCTGGGCGAGTTCTCGAAGCCTTGGCCTCGACCTTCTTTCGTTTCAGCACCAAAGAAAGGATTGGCCTCATTCATTGCGTGGACCGGGTGATGCGACTGCAGTCTCTCTGCCTTGTCAGGGTGCTCCTCGACCCAGTGGTCAGCGGCATTTCGAATACGCGTGCCAAAGGCGCCCTTGGGGAGGTTGCGGTAGAGCGTGGCTAGCCAGGCCGCCAGTGGCCCTGCTGGTGCGCTGGTGCAGATGCCTAGGACCAGGCTAAGGCTTCGTTCAGGCAACTTCTGCGTGCTGGTGCCCTTTTCGAAACGCCTACCGAAACTCCAGGTTGGGATCCAGCCCTCGAGCTCATCGCTTCCAAATTCGATGGGAGAGAACTCGAACCACTGCCACCATGCGTGTGGGTCGCTGTGTTCGTCTGCGTCATGGTTGCTAGTGTTCTTGAAAGGTTCTTCGGCTGAATGCCAGTCCTGGAATGCGCCGCTTCAATTTTGAGAAACCGCAAAATGAGACTGTGGCAACGCGATACGACTCACCTTCCAGGGCCTCTCGTGACGCACGGCCGTGAGGAGCGGTAGCGGATTCTGGCCCGTCTGAAGCCCGGCTCGCTTGAAGCAACGGCTGAACTGAAACCATTCGCGTCGGAGCGATGGTCCACTGACGCCCTTTTTCCCTTGCGCTGCCTCCTCACCCTCGTCTGGCTCGGTGGAGAGGGGCTTCGGTGGCTCAGAGAGGGCCAAAGGCGAAAAGAAGATGTGCGAGGTCACCAAGGTGCCGTAAAGATCGAGCGGTCCAGGGTGCAGGTGACCAATTTTCAGCTTCTGGAGGATGGGGGCTAGCTGAAAGTAGATGCCATTGGCACTTCGAGCGACGGCATCAATGGCCGACATGGACAGCGGGTGATGCTGCGACGAGCACGCAAAGTGGTCGAGGAGGAAAGAGGCCTGCATGCTGGCAAAAGTGTAGAGTCTTTTCCGATTCTGACAGTGTAAGAGATGTAGCTAGAGGCTGGCAGCCGGCTCAACTCACCCTCCAAGCGTCCAGCAGCTCCCAGAGACGCCTGCGCTGTACATGATGAGGTCCCACATCCCACCGAGGGTCTTTTCATCAGTCTGCTGCTGCATCTCCTCGATGTAAGCCAGAAAGCCGCTGGAATGTCTAGTCAGCTACGGTAGAGACGGCACAAGGATGCACGCGCGGCTAAACCCACAGACAGGCTCTGTATCCACCACCGCTACCACCAAGAGCAATGACGGGCACGTCATCAGGATGGACGTCTTCCTCCTCGGGTAGACGGAGGAACTTCTTCAGCGCTCCCGAGGAGACGATGAGCTTCTTCCTTGCATCGATGAAGGCCTTCTCTTCAGGACTCAGGGTGTTGTCACGGCTAGCATTGAAGCGTCAGCCCGCATGTGACTGTCCTTTCCTGCACAGAGAGTAACAGCTTACCGAAGTATTGCGTCCTTCTCAAGCTCGGGGTAGAGCACGGGATCGCTGAGGTCCCTCTTGACCTGTCGGAATCACCGTTAGACAGCTAGGACAGATGCTGATAAGCATTTCACAATCACCTCGCTGTGGAGATGGATCAGATTGGACAAGCGATGCGAGCCTCCCGCCTTCTTCTCATTGCCCGCGCCGTTGTCCTCATGGCCGTCCTGCTTGTCCTTTCCGTCCTTGTGATGGTGTGGGTTGAGCTTCTTGAAGCCGCTCACCAACGCTGAGATGGGGTTTTTCTTCCCATCGCCCTTCTCCTGCGAGTCACCCTTTTGAGCATGCTCTTGTGCCTCGGCATGGTCCTCGTCTTGGCCAAAGGGGTGCCAAGTCTTGTTGAGCGCCTGCGAATGATCCTCTTTGAGGCCGGTGTCCTGGGCTTGCACTGCCATTTGCGTTAGGATGCTCGGAAGGAGGTGATTGTGGTCTCTTACCAACTCCTGAGGACGACTATCGACCATTCAAACTGTTCCCCCATGGCAGACCAGGCACTGTCAAGGTGCGAGGGTGGCTCGTGCGCCATCGCACGTTCCCATCTGTGACGGCACACCGACAGGCCGGGACCGAGGCATCGTTGGCTATCAGGAGCTAGCGGCTTCGCTGGTAGCCCTGTATGCAGATATCCGCGTCTTATGCAAAGGCATGCGCCGGTGGAGCAGCAGTGAGAAAACGTCCTAGCTAGCAATTTTGCTCGACAGCACAGCCTGTCAAAAGGTGCTGCTGCTAGGGCTTGTTCCATTTAGTCACCGTATCGCGACTTTCGCCCCATCGCGCCACGTGGAAAGCGATCTGCGCGAAGTCGACTTTCTACTCCACTCGCTGTCCGACCAAATCTGCCTGGAGGTAGCAGGGTACAGGCCAGCTCGTCCCACGTCGTCCCATGGCATTTGTAGCACCAGCAGCAACACCACAAACAGCACTGACAGAAGCAGCAGGAGGTTCAGCAGTAGCTACGCCTACAGGCCATTGCACGCCGAGATGACGGCGCCTCCTGATCCAGCGTGGTCGTCGCCGCTGAAGAGGCCGTCACCGATGCTCGCGACCCGTAACTCGACAATGATGCTGCCTGGAACGAATGGCGCAGAGGCTGGCTCCTCGTTGGCGTCCGACTATGCATTTCTGCCACGGCGCCCCTTTCCCTTTCACAGGTCTCTGACTGTGCCGCACTCGCAGGCCAGTAACAAGCTGGGCGCGCTTCGGCATCCATTTCCTGGTGATGTCCCGCTGCCAGGCGCAACGGCAGCAACAGCAGCGCCGGCGCGCGTCTCGCAGAGTCCACAGTCAGGAGCCGCGCCGATGGATCAGGACCGCAGTGACGAGGCCGGACCGTCCACTGGACGACACACGGACCGAGAGCGCGAGGACTCGGCACGGGCGGCGCTTGACTCGACGGCGCTCGACTCGAGCCTCTTTCCCTCGCTCCTGGCCGACACATTGCAGCTGCCCATCTCGACGCTGCTCCAGGTCATCCCGCCCCACCTTCTCGATCCATCCCACGAGCGTCTCTCGGCCATGAGCCTGCAGGTGCCAGTGACGAGCATCGAGGCGCTTCTGGAGGCCTGCCGCACCCTCAACTGGCTCTTTGCGCGCGTGGCCGAGGGTGGGTCGCCCGACGGAGGGGGTTTTCCCGCGCGCGGCAAGGCTCGGCGGTCCGCATCGCAACCTCTCGAAGGTAGCAAGGGCGGTGGAGAGGATCGGAGCGCAAGCGCCATTGCAGCTGTCCAGAGGGTCGGAGGCGTGTCGATGAGGCGCAGCGACTCGTCGGCATCGGCGCGTGCTGGTCTCGCGCCGCGACCTAGCACGGCCCAATACGTCGACTTTGACGTCTTTGAACTGACGCAGAGGGTGGCCGATATGGCCGCCGGCCAGGCGGCAGAGAGGCACATCGACCTCGTCCTTCTCCAGAGTAATGATGTCGGCACTAGGAAACGGCGACAACAGCAGCAGCAGCACGGTACGCACACTCCAATCAGCGCGACTGGGTGCAGCGTCAAGGGCGATGAAGGGGCCACACGCTTCGCGATGGTGCAGGTGAGTTGACTTTTCGGCGCCCTCCCCCTCTCTATCTGCGCAATCTGACATGGATGACACCCTCAGCTCGTCTCGAGAAGTCTGGAAAAGGCAGGCCTGCAGGCCGTCGTGGAGTTGGATGTGCAAGTGACCGAGACTGACGGTGGATCACCGCGGTGCGCATTCAGCGTCACTATTCTGCACGATCAACCAATAGACATGCCAGAGGAATGGACGGCGCCTCTCGAGGATGTGGCAGATGCGGCGGGGGCGTCCGTCGAGAGGAGACTCTTTACGGGTGGAGACGAGGATGCGCCCAGGCATGGTCTGCGGCAGACGTTGATCTTTGACTTTCAGCCGGGAGGCCGTCTCGCCGAGGCCGGTGACCTGCACCCGCGTGAGAGCGAGGCGCGGCAGCGCTTTCTTCCTTCTCTGCGCTTGGCCGAAGAGCCGTCGGCAAAGGAGCTCGTCGACTTTGTCGACCAGGACCTTCAGGGTAGGAAAGTGGCCATCCACGGCAGACCCACGAGTGACTTTGTCAAGCATCTCACGGCCTTTCTGCACCGGTGCGGCTGCCAGACGGCGAGCCTTTCTGCAGTCGAGGCTTCTCCAAGCGCACCGATCGGCGCGACGTGGACCAGCCACTCGAGTCGTTCGATGAGGACGGCCGTGGCCCTCTCTGGCAATCGGCCCAGCCTCGTCAGCTACCCGAGCGGCTTGGGAATGGGACACGAGGTGGACAACAAGACTTCAAACTCGGTCACGGCAGTCCTTGATCCAGTCACTGGCGTGCCGCTGACACTACAGATGGGGCAGCGGAAAAGCAAAACTAGAACGAGCCAGTCAGACCCTTCGGCAAGCAGCGAGCCGTTCTCGGACAATGACCGCCTTACTCCGTTCAGCTTCATCATCATCGACGATGATCCAGACGTTCTTCACCGCGAGCTTCTCAGAATACGCTCCGGCATAGCAACGCTTCGTTCGGCCATGGGCTCTCCGGTCACAAGTAGGGTGGCCTCCTCGTCGCCGCCGAGAAAAAAGAGTGTGGGCGAAGAGATCGAAGAGCGAAGACGAGACAGCCTCTTCGACTCGACGCAAGCCATCCTCTACTTTTCCAGCCTCAGCAACTTCAGAGTGGTCCGCGACACGATTCAGCCTATCGTCGAGTCAGCCAGCCAGAGCAACACGCCTCTGCCCGAGATTATCGTCGTGCCCAAGCCTGCAGGCACTAGGAGGATTCTGACGGCCATGCATACAGCCATCCACAAGCCCCTCGTCGACCCTTTCTTCTCACCGATTGCCACCAGCCCTCTTTCCCCTGCTGCCGCTGCCGCAATGCAGGGCGTCGGCCTGGGTACTGGCGATGACGCCAGCAGTCCGTCCTCGGTGGCACCGTCGCCCTCAATGCAAGAGAGGGCGAAGTTTCCCGTCGCTTCAAAATCGAATCTGCCCGGAGTGTCGCGCAAACAAGAGAAAAAGGAGCATGAGCACACAGACAAAGGGTCTCCCTTGCACATCGACCTCCCACCCCAGCCGGAATTCTCAGAGAAGCATCAAAAGGAGCCCCCATCGAAGAAGGTCGAAGCGGCCGAGACTGGTGATACACGGTCTGGTCCATCCGCTTCGGATGCCAAGGTTGAAGGGAACGCAGAAGGTCTGCTCTTGCCAGCGGCGACCGAGGGTGCAAAGACTGTCAAGGCTGGATCGGCGTCAAGGCCTTCGACGAGTCCAATGCCCACTGACGCGCTCGAGTACTTTAGCGAGACGGCCGCCCGTATGGGTTCGAGTGGAGCAGTAGGCATGATGATCCAGTCGCCCGATGGACGGCCTGCCGGTATCTTTTTCCAGCCAAAGACGTCGTCCCACGGCAGTCGTACGCCCAGCAGCGTTCACAAGGGCAGTGACGAGCAGGGAGCGAGGGCAAGTGCTGGCGGTGGAAGACTCGGGGCAGACGCAGGTTCACGAGCGGAAACGGGAGCGGCGATGGGATCGGCCACTGAGCTTGGACCCAGGAGGAGGTCAATCCAGGGCAAGCGTACAGCTGCTGCGCCATCACAAACGGGCGATGGGCCCTCCGCCATGGCCAGCCCTCGCTCAAACGAGAGCCTGGAGCTGCAAGAGTATCCGAGCGGAAGCATGTTCGAGCCCCAGGTGGAGCTCGAGAGCGTCCTACACGGCAATCGACCGCCTGTCGCGACTCCTCTGCATAACTCCTTGAGCACAGCTAGCTCGAAGGAGGATGATTATCTGTCTCCTCAAATCAGTATACATCAGAGCTTGACGGCAGCAGCGACCCAGGTCCGCGACCAGACCCCGAAGACTCCAAAGCCCAAGAGCGACGGCGGCAAGAAGAGCACAAAGCCCGCTCAGCCAGGTGGGAAAGCAAAGGTACCAGTCGAGAATGGCAAAGGCAAGCAAAAGGTCGCGACCTCTGTCTCGCCTGCTCACCCAGCGGCAACGGTACCATCACCGATTGGAGCGCCCGATGCCGCCCTGCACGCTACTCGACAGACGTTTGCCAACACAAACCTTCATGCGCCCGTCAGGCCGTCGGCCCAGCCTCAGTCTGGTCTCCTCATTGGTGCCGGCTTCACTCCGACGCAGAAGCGGAGCACGGGCCCAAAGAAGGCGGCGAAGCAGATCAAGGTGCTACCACCCATCAAGGTGCTCATCGTTGAAGACAACCCGATCAACATCAAGATTCTCAGCACCTTTTTTGATCGCAAGAAGATCCAGTACGACGTGGCACGCGATGGAAGGGAGGCCGTGGATCGATGGCGGGAAGGAGGCTTCCATTTGATCCTTGTGAGTCATTCTTCTCTCCCAGCTTTCTTCATTGTTTCTGACCTAGCTTGTCTACAGATGGACATCCAACTCCCAGTAATGGACGGCATTGAGGCGACAAAGGAGATTCGGCGATATGAAAGAAATGCCAACATTGGCGTCCTGACGTCAACGACGCCGATCAGCACCACTGCCAACGACCAACATGGGAAGCTCGAGATAGCACCGTCGCCGCCATCGGCCGCCATTGCCGAAGGGGCCAGCAGCACGAGCCTCGCGACCACACCTTTGGGCGGTCTCACTTCTCGGGCCAGTGTCATCATCGTCGCCCTGACAGCCTCCGTGCTCAACTCTGACAGGGTTGCCGCCCTGGCAGCTGGGTGCAATGACTTTCTCAACAAGCCCGTCGACTTGCGCTGGCTCGAGCGCAAGGTCATTGAGTGGGGGTCGATGCAGTATCTCATCGGCTTCAAGGCTGGCATCGCTGGAGACGACATTATTGCTGCCACTTCCACGGCAGCGGGGCCTGTCTCGCGCAACGGGGCGGCTCTGACCCTGGCCAACAACAACGGCGAGGTTCGCAAGGCGTTTGCCGACGGGCCCGATTCAAAGGCACGAGAACTGGCGGGCAAGCTCCACATTGGCGGACTCAAGAAGGATGCCAAACGGTCAAAGGCCTCTCCCACGTCTCCTGCGTAGCTCTAGATTCACGGAAGCCCGCACGTATCTGTCATATCGCTCAATGTATCATTTTATTTTTATTTTTTGCTTCTCTGATGATGTCTTTTAGACTCTTTTCGATGTGTGTAATGTTGTGCAGGAGTGCTGCAGCCTTTGTTCCTGGTTGGCGCTTGCCTGATAACTGAAATCGGCGCGGTCTGTGCGAGGGCTCCTTTCCAAGATTACGAGGCTGCGATCGCCCTCCCTTTACTCTCTCTCTCTCTCTTCTGTTCGGGAACGATTGAAGACATGGACCAGGTGACGCATCTCTGCCGGAGGCGATTCCACCACGTCATCAAATGTCCCAGAACGAGCGACCGAGTGAGCTTCGCCCTCATCGGCTCTGCGTGGGATCGGTCGGGCTCGCTCTCCGGTAGAGAAGTCGTCGGCGAAAGCGGCGAGGAGGGAGCGCAGGAGGAGCGGGAGCACGACGGCGATTTTACAGACGTCATTCTCTTTCTTCTGCCTGCCGGCTGCTCGAGATACATCGGTATCCCGTCCGAGAAGGTCTGTGACGAGGAAAATGTCCGACTGTGAGTGCAATGGGATGCCCTTTCGTTGGTGTCAATGCAGCTGACTGTAGGCTGTAGAATCGCCATTGACCGGCCTGGGTGCGGAGCGACAACGATGTGCCCTTTGCCGGAAAGGCTGGAGAGGTGTACAAAGCATACACTTAGCATCCTCGACCACCTCGCCCCTCGGCTGCGATCAAGACGACCGCTGAAGCTCCTCTCACACTCTGCCGGTTTCCTCTACGCCATGCACCTCTTCTCCCATACACCCGCAGACACGCTCGTCAGACTATTTGGAGAGGAGCCACGCTACCTGGCCTCATCTGCCTTTGTCCCCACGCACATCTCTGGCTCCTCGATGTCGTACCTGCCTCGATCGCTCGTTGCAATTGCGCCCACTGCACTGCCCTTTATGATGGACGCCTTTTCGGCCATCTCGACGGGCGCCAGCGCCCTCCTCACGTCGAGCACCTTGGCTGCGACTACAGTTGCTTCCGGCTTCAGGTCCAAGTCAACGCTCGAAGACGAGGAGAGCGAGGCGGAGCTCAAGGCGGCGCGCAAAGCGGAGCGCAAGACGGCCAAGAGCATGAAGAAGAAGCCCGACGCCGAATTCTGGCCTCCTTATCCACCCATTTCCATCGTCGAGCCCAATCTTGACGACGAAGAAGAAGCTCAGAACGAGTGCCTACACCCAGCCACAGGCAAACCGCTGACGGAAAAGGACACCCTTATGTTTGACATGATGCGCGCAGAGAATGCCTTGTGAGTCGCTTGACTGGGCTTTTGACTCATCAACAAAAGACTGAGCCTCACTCTGCTTCGATCCAGCGTCGGCTTCACCCAGGACTACCTCCTGTGCCTGGGGAAGGAGCCCACCATGGACAATGTCGGACTAGAGAAGCTGTCTAGAGAGACGATCGAAGGCCTGGCCACCAACAACGTCTTTCAAAAGTTGCACGCCAAGGTGCTGTGGGGCGACCAGGACGCTATTGTAAGCTTTGATTTTGCGCACCTCCGTGCCAGTCAGCTGAAAACCATCCTTTCTTCTGCAGACGCCGAAAAAGGGCAGAGACTGGCTCGACGGCGTCTTTGACCACGCCGTCGCGCTTCCAGGTTCTAAGCTCGAGGTGTCTGCTTGGATTATGGCAGATGCTGGACACGATCAGGTGCGCTCGAAGGCAGAACACGGCAGAACACTCTTCCAGGCTGACATTTGAGCTGACACCACACTTTCAGACCATTACAACAAAGGCTGTCATGAAGAGGGCCATTCGATGGATGTTGGATCGCGAGTGAAGAAGGAAGAAGAGAGCGCTTTCTTTACACGTGAAATTGAATAGAAATTGGGTTTTTGACTTGCATCCACCACCCGCTTCTCGTCTATCAGACACCATCACTCGTCGCTTCTCTCTCTGAGACGGGCCGTCCTACGGCGGCGTCGGCAGCAGCAGCAAAGGGCACAAGATGGTGGTGCTAGACTATGATACCTACTCCGACTCGCCCTTTTTCTACGATGGCTCGGCCGCCAATGGATCTGGGCAGGCGGTCTTGCAAGACGCGGCACGGATGCAGCCCCATTCCAGTCCGAGGGTGTCCTACTACTTTCCAAAGGGTGTCGGAGAGTACCACTATGGCGAGCGACATCCCATGAAGCCTGCGCGCTTGACGCTCACCAATCGCCTCGTGCTCGGCTACGGCCTTCACGAGCGCATGAAGTGTTACACGCCGCGGTGGGCCACACGCGAAGAGCTCGAGATGTTTCACGATGGCGACTACGTCGAGTTCCTCAGCTCCGTCACGCCCTCTACGCCTCCGTCGTCGGCCTTCACCCGCTTCAATTTTGCAGACGACTGTCCGGTCTTTGATGGCATGTACGAATTCTGCCGGGCCTACTCGGGTGGATCACTGGCTGGTGCTCGCAAATTGACGAGCGGCTCGACCGATATTGCCATCAACTGGTCGGGTGGGTTGCATCACGCCAAGAAGTTTGAAGCGAGTGGCTTCTGCTATGTCAACGACATCGTGCTGGCCATCATGGAGCTTCTCCGATACCATCCACGCGTTCTCTACATCGACATTGACATCCACCACGGCGATGGCGTCCAGGAAGCCTTTTACAACTCGAACCGCGTCCTCACCGTCTCGTTTCACAAGTACGGCAACGACTTCTTCCCCTGCACGGGCGCCCTCGGCGAAGTAGGGACATCTTTGGGCAAACACTTTTGCCTCAATGTGCCCCTCCAGGACGGCATCGATGACGGCGCCTACGTCTCCCTGTTCAAAGCGGTCATTGAGCCGTGCATCTCGACTTTTCGACCCGAGTCGATTGTGCTGCAGTGCGGTGCAGACAGCCTGGGACTCGATAGGCTCGGCTGTTTCAACCTGAGCATCGCTGCGCACGGCGAGTGCGTCCGCTTTGTCAAGTCCTTTGGCCTGCCGCTCCTTGTCCTTGGCGGGGGAGGCTACACGATTCGAAATGTAGCGAGGTGCTGGACGTACGAAACGGCCGTCTTGACGGGCTGCAACGTCGCCGACCAGCTCCCACCCACACCCTACATGGATTACTTTGCGCCGACCTACCGTCTTCACGAGCCTTTGCAGGCGCGCGTCGAAAACAACAATAGCAGAGCGAGCTTGGAAAAGATCCGGAGAGAGTGTCTCGAACAGCTACGTTACCTCCACGGAGCGCCAAGCGTGCAGATGCACGAGCTCCCGCCCGACATGCACGGTGGCTGGATCGAGGAAGAGGCCATGAAGGACGACAAAGACAAGGCTTGAAGAGAGCTTGGCGTGTACTAGTAGTGTATCATCATCATCAATAATTCGTCAATCATTTCATGTAGCAGGAAACGTGTCGTAGAAAGAAGCTTCTTATTATACAAAAGAACTACCCTACTCCTCCTCGCCTTCGAGTGCATCGGGAAGCCTGATCCGGCCGTCGCGCTGCCACCAGACCCACAGACCGTAGCCCATCCCAGCCAAGACGACAACTGCGAGCAGAGAAGACAAAGCGACCCAGCCCCACCGATAGAACCAGCCTGGCTCATAGGGCTGTAACACAGCGTCGAGCGTAAAGACGCCACCGATGCTCCTTGAGTTGGGGAGTCCATCCGCGGGCGGATCAGCCTTCTTCTTCTTGCTCATGCGCGTCACATCGTCAGCCAACGATTCCCTGCCAAACGACAGGATTCGAGCACTGTGCTTCCTTCCGTCGGTACCCCGCGTGTCTGCAACGCCGACGACCCATCCGAGGCCTTGGTCGACGTCTCCATCCCCTCCGCCATCGTCTGCACCATCCTTGGCCACTTCGAGCTTCCTGAATGCAAGTTTGCCGTACCGGCTGGGCCCACCAGCGCTCTGGTCGAGCAGACTATCGACCTGCTTGGAATCTTGCAGGCCAATGGGCACTTGCTTGGCGTTTCCCCATGGTAGGGCATCGTCGGCGGGGCTCGGGATAATGTGCAGCAAGACAAGCCTTTCGAGCAGCTCCTTGTCTTGCAGGTACGTGGTCAGGTTGATCTTGGCAAAAGCCGCATCGGTCGGGCAGAGAACGACGTAGGACTGATCCTCGTCCGTCAAAAGCTGTTCCCTTCGACGATGACGCTTCTTGTCCCTCTTTCTCTTTCTGTTCTTACCGCCCCACTTTGACCGAAGGGCGTCGAGCTGCTCCTCGCTTGTTGGTCTCGTCCCGTTCAAGATCCAGCCATAGCCAGCCTGGACGACCAGATCTCGCATGGTGTCTGCCTTTGACCCCTTGAAAAGTTTGTCGATCGTCAAGTCGAGCGTCGGCGGCAACTCCACCTGGTCAATCTCGTGAATGACGCCAGTAGAGGTCAGGATATCATCCTTGACCACCCTAGCGTTTCTTCCCCTCGTCCCTCGCTTAATTTCCACGACGCCCTTTCCGTCTCGCCCGGCCCAGATCGGAGATCCCTCCAAAGTTGGGTACCGCGTCTGGCCAGAGGCAAAGTCGGGCGTATAGACGATTTTATCGATGGCGTGATACTCGACCACCGAGCGAAGCTCTTGACGAGACTCGGTCCGGTCCAGAAGCAAATAAGGCATGGCCAAGCCGAGCGCCTCAAAGGCATCGTTGCGAGGAATGAGGTAGGTGATGGCGGGTGCGCGCTTGACGGGCTTGTCCAGCTCGGCACTAAAGACTGTGGCAACAAATGTGCTCAGACTCAATGAGGACACGGCCGTCTGAATTGGGTTCGAAGGCGGTTCGAGGACCTTTGAGATGAGATAGATGATTGACGGTCCCACCTTCACAGGCGTCGCGATCACGTTAGCGTCTCCAAAGGCCACATCGCCGTTGCCCTGACGAGGTGGCTTCGTCTTGCCCCACGCTCTCGCCGTCCCTTGAATGCTCTCTTCCTCGTCGTCATCATCGAGAGCAACGACGATGCGTTGGCGGCCGTCCTTCAGACGCCAATCACGTAATTCTGTACCGACAAGCATGCCCTTCGTCAGATTTTCAGGGCTCAGGCTCGAGGGCGCGATGTGATATCGGAGCACATCCTCGAGCGGCGGTCGCTTGTCAATGTCCGCGTCGTCTTCGTCGACACCCCATCGCGAGAAGTGGTGAGCCCTTTGAGTGGCGTGACTCTCAAACCAATTGTCGATTGTGTCGTCACGAGGCACCATGAAAGTCCACGGGAGAGCTTTTTCATCGTCGTCTTCATCTTCACCGCCGTGAGGATTTTTGTTGATGTACGATTCCAAGCCGGCTGCGTGCATCATGGAAACAAAACGGCTTGCGTTGAGAGCAAGCAGTGTCTTTTCCACCGATAGCGCCAGGTCGCCGAAAGGAAGCAAAAGCGAGTCTACAATGTGAATCACCCCGTTCTCCGTCAGAATATCCTCAGCGACTATTTTGGCCTTGTCCACTGTCAAGCTTTTGTCCTTGTCATCCACTCGAACAGTGACGGCCCCGCCCAAGGTCGTCGTGACTGTAACGAAGAGAAAGATTTTGTAAGCATCAAGTTGTTATTCAGTCTCTCCGCGATCACACTTACTCTGCGTCTCATTGGCCTTTCGAAGCTGTTCACCGTAGCCTACTTTGCCATTCCCCACACCAATTCCACTCATGTGCCAGCCCAAGAGCTTGATACGTTCTTGTCGTGCGAGTTGCCAAGGCCCCATGATAAAAGTCTTTTCCAAATCGGTGAGCGATTCGAAAGCCTCTGCAGTGGGCAGGAAAAATGTAGCGTGGGCCGTCTCGGTCAGAGTGAGGAGCATCTTGTCCGTCGTCAGCTCGACGAGATGCTGCAGGCGAGAGTCTTTTCGAACGATCGTGGCCAGGTCCGGAGGTAGATCGAGGATATCGTCAATGCTGACAACGATGCCATTTTTGCTCGACGAGTCCGTCGCAAGCACCTTTGCTCCTCCCTTTCCTTCATCGTCGGTGCCAAAGTAGATACCGAGCGACTCTTTTGCCGATTTTCTCGTGGCCATTCGTAACTTTTGGCCACGTCCTCCCAGCAGGCCGCCGTGGTCCTCTGCACCTGGATGTGGTGGCTCAGAGGGTGGATGAGGAATCGGGCCAGGCCTGGTGGGCTCGTGCAAGAACCTCCGTGAGGGAAGGTGCAACGTTGTGTGCATGATCGGATGCTGACCGGGCTCGGGCAACGGAGACGGTGAGCCCTCGTCAGTCATGTTGAAGTCGTACGGCAGCGTGAAGTTGAGAACATGGTAGAGGAGCTGTTGTCGTAGCACAGCGTTGATATTTTCGATGCGGTGCTCCTGGGATTGGCTCCACACTCGCACAGCGAGATCTTCCTCTTGTTGATCCTCATCAGCATTAGTACCAGCCAACGCCACAGCCCACTCCCATCGTCCCATGACACTATCCCACGATGGAACGTCGCCGGCCTCATAGTACTTGGGGGTGAAAGAGACACGAGCCTCTCGCTCATCGCGCTCCTTGTCTCGCCTGCGCAGGATGGCCTCGTCGGTGGGAGCCAACATGGTGAGGCCTCTACCGTCCCCGAACTCCATCAGGTTGTTGAGCGTAGGTATGAGCCTGGTGCGCTGGAGTAGGCGCACAAGGATCGTGTGGTTCGACGATGCGGCGAGTACATCAAGGAGATTGGCGTTGTGGGGGATGTTATCTTGATCTGCAAAGGCGCCGCCACTCATTACCGCCAGCAGGCCCAAGAGGCCTGCGGCCACCGGTGACCAGCAAAGACGCATGAGTGAGGCGATTGCGCTGCTCAAGCGTCGACAGTCGAAGAGGGCTATAGGGTTGACAAGTCGCGCAAGAGATGGAGTTCACTGTAGGCTGCAGCTGAGTCCAAGATTAGGAGACGCTCGCGCGTCGCCCTAGTTCAATGTGGAGAATCAGCCACTGCCTGCCACGCGAGCTCGAAACGATGGCTCCTCTAAGTCTATCCTAGCTAGGCCGTCGAGCGCGAAAAAGCTCCCGAGGCATTCCCCGCCCACGTCGAGTTTCGGGACTCTTTGTGGGCGGGGATAAACGAACTGAGTCTGTGACAATCGATCTGAGCCTTTTGCGAGGAAGACTAACAAGCTCCCGCCTTACTTGGCGAGTGTGTCTCGGATCTCCTGTGAGATAGGAAGTGCACAGATTAATTATTGCATGATCGGTGATTGCAAGGGTGAGAGGGAAAGAAAGCTGATGGAGCGGCGGCCGCTTCCCACGACATGGACCCGACTAGCTGGTAGTAGCAGTACGTAGTGCAGTGTAGCTCGGAAGATAGTGTAGAGTAGTAGAATCTGCGTGGCTCGAGCAGGCAGGCGTTTCTCTGCTGCACTATTACTACACTACTGGTGTCACAGTTTCATCTCTGGCTTCTTTTCTTTCCTCGGTTTCACCCCACGTCTCCGAGAGGCACTCTATCTACACAAGGATCGCACAGCTCAAAAAAACTAGACTAACGGATACATCGTCAAAATCTCCTCGCTTTCTTCCTTGCCTGCCAATTTCGTCGATTTTCCCTTTTTTATTTCCCTTCTGTCTTTCTACACACCAACGTCACCGACCGGTCTCGCCCTCCCTCATTCTCATCGGACTCGTTTTTTTCTCTCTGTCTCTTCTTTCCTTCTCTTTCTCTGGTTCATATTGATCAGCCAAGCAGAGAGGCCTGGATCTTGTTGTCCCTTCTGCCCTTGTTGCCGGATCTTCTCAACTGGACGCGCCTACACGCTTCCGCCTCCGCCCAGACACACGCGCAGCCGGACGGCAAACCTAACGAACCCAGACGACGACGACTCGAACGACCCACCGAAGAGACCTCTGGTCAGATAAACGACCAGATTTTTCCTTTTCTCTTCCCTTTTTCCTTTCCCACAGCACGAGCCCCCGGCTTACGAAGTCGGTACGAGGACAAAGTAGGGGAGCCGACTGAGCCGAAACGGGCACGGTCCATCTTTTTGCGCTTTGGCCCTCATCCCACATACAGACAGCAGCTGCGATAGAGACGGACCGCTGAACGAGGACGACAAACGTCATCTTTCTGCAACGGTGGATTTTTTGCTGAACGCATCGCATTTGCATTGACGAACGAATCGACTTACGAAGAATCGAGAGAGGAAAGAGAAAAGGCATTCGCACCAAGATGAAGGAGATCAAGGTCGTCATTATGGGTGGGGGAGGCGTGGGCAAGTCGGCGCTGACTGTGCAATTTGTCCGAAACGTCTTTGTGTCGACGTACGACCCCACAATCGAGGACACGTACCGCAAGCCTGTCATCATCGATGGTCAGCAGTACCTCGTCGAGATTCTCGACACCGCTGGGTGAGTGTGCGACCTGCTCGTGGAGAGAAGAGTAATGGACGCCCCGAGGAAAGAGAAAGGGAGAAGGCTGACTCGAGAGTCGGCATTACAGAACGGAGCAGTTTATGGCCCTCAAAGAGCTGTACATGAAGAGCGGCCAGGGCTTCATCCTCGTCTTCTCCCTCACCCAACTCGGCAGCGTGAACGAGCTGGGCCCGCTACGAGAACAGATTGTGCGCGTAAAGAATGCAAAGGTGGGTCAGGGACTTCATACGCCGCTGGTTAAGAAATGTGCTTGTCAAGCTGACCGTCGATACCTTCTGTCGCATCTCAGGTCCCGCTCGTTCTCGTAGGCAACAAGTCGGACTTGCGAGCAGAGAGGCAAGTGCCCCGCGAGATTGGGACAAACATGTCGCGGGCCTGGGGAAACGTGCCCTACTATGAGACATCGGCCCGCAAGCGCATCAACGTCGACGAGGTCTTTGCCGACATTGTGAGACAGTGCCGGGCATTTGAGATGCTCAATGGCTCTTCCTCTGGCGGCAAACACAAGGAGGGGAGACGGGATCGGAAAAAATGTGTCATCATGTGATGGCTATCAACGGCGCAATTGCACTCAGGCACAGGCTCAACAACCCCCAAAAAAAGGAAAGGAAGATGTTCTACCATCCACCGTCTCCTACCACTCCCTGCTTCCTTCATGTTATGCACTCTGGAAGAGGCTCAATATACCCACGTGGAAGCCCTCTTCCCTCTCTCTTCACTCTTCTTCTCCCATGTGCTAGCATCGTATAGTAGTACTGAAAGAACCAGACACTAGAGTGCATCGAAGTTGATCGCGTGAACTGCTCGTTTTCTCTCTCGTTCGTCTTCGCGCTGTATGGGGTGGAACAGTGTGAGTAGACCATAGGCAGAGCAAGAGGCAATCTGGGAAAGACGCACCCGCTCGTGCAAGTGCAGAACAAAGACAAAGCCCAACAGGATGACGACGATGGTCACGAGGACGACAGTGACAATCGGGATCCAGTCGCCTGGCGAGAGGTACAGCTCCTTGATCCACGTCGAAGGATCGCCAGGCTGTCCCTGTTGCCAGGGCAGAATGACGACCTGACTGTTGGGAATGACGCCCTCCATTTCCAGGTAGTTGTCCTGCTGCCTGCGCGTCGAGCCGACAAAAAGCGACTCGACGTAGTTGTTAGTCCTTCCCAGCCCAAAGAATGAGTACGGGGTCAGGAGCGCCCGAAACGATGTCTGGGCCAGCTGGCCAACTTGCTGCGCTCTTCGGTTGCCGTTTGTGTCAAGAACAGTGAATTTGTACGAGGCACCGGCATAGTTGACGCCCGATGGCTGCTCAGAAGTGAGCCAAGGAATGAACGAGGAGAGAGCGGAGATTCTTACCTTGTACTTTTCGCCTTGAGCAGGTTCACAGTAGCTCGAGCAGGCGCCGTTGAGCGTGATGGCCTTGAGCATAAATGCATCGTAGAAGAAGTTGTTCTGAATGAAGGAAACGCGACGCCGATCCATCGTCGCACCAGAGAGCGGGAGTCGCTGTATCATCATGTCGAGCGAGCCGTCCTCGTCGATGTCGAGAAAGGAGATGCTGCGCGCATCATTGATCCCTTCGATGGCATCAACCTTTGTCGACAGCATCTCGAACGTCCGCCTACCCGCTCTCTTCTCCGGCTCATCGGGACAACCTGGCTTTGGCGGTCCTCTGCCCTCGCACGACACACTCGTCAAGAGCCGTACTCGGGTCTCGTCTGCCTTTGACTTTTTCGTCGGCACGGTAATGATGGCTAGGTCGGGGAAGCCATCCTTGTTGAAGTCGCCGATGGACAGTGGTACGGGAAGTGGCTGGATCAGCAAATCATCCGACTGCAGGATTCGATTCTCGGGCACAATCGCCGAAATTGGCAGCCTGAGGAAATCATCGTTCTGCCGAGTCGTATCAAAGTTGAAGAGAAAGTCGCTGTCAGCCGTGCACAGGTTCGCCTCAGGGTCGCGGCACGTAGGCTTCGCAGCTCTTGCGCTCGTGGAGGCAGAGGCTGATTTGGCCTTTGACTTCGTCGCGGGAGGTTCTCCGGGCCCAACCCCGAACCAGCCCTGATGCTTGTTGGAGCAGAGCGGGATCTGACGATTGTACGCGATGTTGATGTAGCATTCTCCCCTGCCCTCATCGTCACAGGTTGGAAAGACGACATCGATGGTGCCATCCCCATCCATGTCAGCAAATGTAAGGGCGCCCGTTCCCTTTGGAAGGTTGCCTTTCCTCGCAAAGGAGTAGCCAGGGCTTGTTGAATTTGTATCCTTTTTTCCAGAACTAGCTTTCTCCTTGTCAGCCGTCCAGATTTCGTAAGAGCGACCTGAGAATGGTCCGCTCTCGCAGTCGAGAAAGAGATCTGCCGTCATGCCCGCGTCAGCAAAAGTCGGGCTTGTGCTCTAGCAGGGACGCTCACCTGCGAGGCAGTCTCCATCCATGTCGACAAATGCTGACGAGTGAGGGGTATCAAGTCGGCACTTTGGGCTCGGCAAGCGCTCGTCGCCGTTCAATGGCGCCGGCGCACTGCAGCACACAACAATCAGCTTCTTGCAAATGGGGGAGAAGAGCATGTGCAGCACTCACACTGAGAACATTCTTGTCCCATTGGACTCTTTCCAAGTGTTTGTCCAGGTGCTCAGAATGCCCTCTGCCTCATGCGAGTGGCCAAGAAGGTCTGGTCGCATGTCTCCTGTGGAGTCGAGCAAGATCGGGTGTGCATACGTCGACTGGTTGGTCTCTTGGTAACCTTTCTCTGGCGTCCAGAATGTCCGTCAGTATTAAACATTCACCATTGGTCAGCACTGGCTCTCTCACCGAAGCGCCCATCCAAATCTGCAAGCCAGATCCCCTGCCTCAGTGCCAAGTTCTTGAGCGGCTGCAGTGGCGTCTCGTCAAACATCATGACGAGGACGTCAAGCTTGCCGTCGAAGTTGAAGTCGGCCGGCACGACGTTGGAGACTGTCAGCTTGTCTGGCATTTGGATCGAAGATACGCCATCGGCCTGCGGCTTGGAGAAGCGGAAATTGTTGTGGTCCCACAGACGCACATCGATGCGCTTCCGATCCTGCGAGAGCACAAAGGCGTCAATGCTATAGGAACACAGCAACATTCAGCTAATCTTCTTCTCTCGGAATTAATAAGAGTCCATCAGAGTGTGAGTAAGACTTACAAAGAATCGCCATTGAAGTCGCCAAAGGCCACGACCTGTCCGTCGACGTCGTCCATGCCCAGTGAGCCAGCGTCGATGAGTCCTTCGTAGGTGAATCTTTTATCGCCAATTCCAAAGATGGCCCCCACCGGACTCGCCATGAGCGCGAGCACTGCTGCTGCTGCCAGTATCGCCGTCTTCGCCATCGCTGTGGCAGAGATCCACTCTGTAGACCTCCGCCGCCGCTTACGAACCAGACGTGACAGCATCGTCATGGTTTGTTGCATCTAATAATGGAGGGGGTCCGCGCGCTTAGTCTCAGAGGCGATGAAATTCTGCCTTGACGCGCATGGGCCACCGTGTTGTAAAAAAGTAGCCAAGTCCTTTTCATTGCATCTCAGCATTGCAATCAGCAAAGCTTCCCATCTTTAAGTAAAAAGCCGGACAGGCCTTCCTGAACAAAGCGATGAGAGGCAGAAGGAAGGGTATGAAAACATCGTCAGAGTTCCTCTTTGGCAGCCGCGCTGAGCTGGCCAATCTGCTGCCTCAGCACAGCCAACCGTTGTTCGACATCGTCCAGGATGGTGACGAGCGCCCTGGCTTCGGCCACGGGATCCTCGCTTGGCTTGATGGGCGCCACGGGGCTCCTCGGTGACTGCCTCTGGGCGTTCTCGACGACCCGTGAGCCTGAAGTATGCGCGTGGTGCGGCTCAAAGTACTCCTTGAGCACCTCGCGGATCGCGCCAGCAACGGCCTCCGGGCCTGCTCCAAGGTTATCGTGCTGGTGAGAAGAAGGCGACCTATTCGAGGCTGGTTCCCTCAGACGGTGTGGGTCTAGAGGATCTCGTGTCGTGCCCGGCGACGAAAATGCCCAAAGGTTGGAGATGACGAGGAGAATTACAACAAAGCCAAGGATAAGCATCGACGGGCTTGCGCCGCCCAGTGCATCTCCGAGTATTCCTGCGATATTGGAGAGCATGTCGAACGCTCCACTTGCCACATCTTTGAGCACACCCAGGTGACCCATGAGACCGTCCAGCGAGGAAGCGGCAGCGGTCTCTTCCTCGCGCGTGCCATTCTCTTTCTCCTCCACCGCAGACCCAGCCTCTGCACCATCAGCCGTGACCTCAGCGGCCTCCCCGTCGTCGCCCTCTTCTCTAAACTCGGAAGCATGATCTTTGACATACTGCCGAATCGCTGCGTCTAAGTCCTTGTAGTATTGCTTCTGCCCATCGATTGAGGCTTTGTCGATGATGCCCTTGATCATGCTTCGTCCGCTCCACTCGACCTGGCAAGTAACGAAGACCTTCGTCACGTTCCCACCTGCCCATGAGAAGCACGTCCTCGTCTTGACACAGAAGCTGCCGCCTGAGGGAACATCCGGTGTTCTCGTCGTCGTCACAACGGTGACGTAGTCATCAAAATCGATGTGGATATTCTCGTCCGTCAAGACGCACTTCGTCTGCTTGGGCCCGAAGCCTCCCGCCAGGGGCTTGATGTAGGAAATGTTCCTCGTCAGCATCTTCTGGCTCCCGCTACCGGCGCCAGGCGCCCAGTCGGACACCTGCAACTCCAACAGCTTCTGATCGTTGCTCCAGAAATCCTTCATGAATTCGCTCGTAAAGATGAGGTTGTAGACCTTCTCGGGAATGGCCGGGTAGGTCGTGTCGAGGACCGTTGTGGACAAGTGCATCTTGTCCTTGTCACAGGGGCATGACGTCTTTCGGTGTGGTTGTCGCTTTCCACCTGGACCAGGCGATTTGGAGGGCGCAATGCCAGCCTTGGCATCAGCGCCCGCTGGCTGTGTCGTGTCGTCTCTCGTACCTTCGCGGAGCTTTGCGCCAAGCTTCTTCTTGAGCCTGGCCCGCTTCGACACCTTTGACTTGTCGCCCTGCGCTGCCTTGTCGATCTCGGCCTGGTCGTCCACCGACTCTTCTCCGTCGGTGAGCAAGTCGAGGTGCTGTGGATCGACGGGCACGTCGGGGTGGGAGAGCTTCCAAATATTGACAATGAGGTCATAGGTGGCATCTCGAGAGAGGAACGAGGCAAAGGTGTGCTTTGCATGCAGTGTCGCTACTTGGATGGCGTTTGGGATGACAAAGGCAGTCATACGCTTTTCGATGGACACGATCTCTGAAAAGGGCAGCGCGATGTTGGTGACCCAGCCAAAGATGCTCGCATAGAAACAGACGTGGTTCTCGGAAATGTAGAAGCGACCCTGGATCAGGATCTCGCGGACAAGTGCGCAGCCGTAGTCCTCGATTAGGTAGTCGTCTTCGGGCACCGTAGGAAAGAGTGCGTGGAACTCTGCGTTGCGCTTCGAGCTGGCGACAGCAAAACCGGTGATCTGGCCACCCATGTCGCCCGGCCAACCGGCATCATCGCCTAGCGAGACTCGCTCACCCTGGCCGCCAGGGCTCAGGCCTCCCACACCACCCATCCCGTCAGGTGTCATCGGTGACCGATCGCTGTGCACGCCGTAGACGTCGGGGGTGAGGAGACCAGCCTGGACGCCCGTCTGCGCAGCAACGGCTGCCGAGAAGTTGGCGGCAGCATTCAGGCCCGAGGCATTGGAGAGATCCGAGGAGGCGAGCGAAAGTGTGCTGCCCGTCGCGCTCCTGGACCTCATCATCTGCATCCTTCGCTCGTGCTGCTCGCGTTCGTCCTCGCTGTCGGGGCCCTTTTCAATGACGGTGCCTGTCGAAGGGTCCCGGTAAACGCCGCCCTGGTAGCCTGCGACAAAGTCATCGTCCAGGCTAGAGTTCCGCCTCGAGCCCGCCCGACGATGAGGCGGAGAGATGCTCTTGGGCTGGGCCAAGGCCTGCTGACCCTGCTGAAGCATCGCTTGGTTGCCCACACCCATGCCAGCCATGCCGCTAGCTGCCAGCGCGCCCGCGATACCGCCGGCGGGGCCTGTCTTTTTGCTGCTGTCACCCGAGCCCTTTTTATTGGGCGAAAGACCTGCGTCGCTCAGCTTGCGGAACCGGCTCAGGGGAGATGGGGTCAGGTTGCCAGTTGTCGCCGAGTGGTGCATCTGATGCGCCTCTGGAGAGGCCTGGAGCATGCCATTGGAGCCTGGGACAGCGAGCGATGTCTGCCTCGATTTGGCTGGTTCGACGAGGCTGCCCGTCGTCGAGTACTTTGCATGGCCTGTGATCTTGTCGATCGAATTGGAAGACGATGGGGTCGAGCCCGGCAGCCCACCGGCGAGGAAGGTGTCGTGCGTGGCGGTGGGAGTGTCGACGGCGGCTCCCCTGTGCTCGCCGCCCTGGAAGGAGTTGTTGCGACTGCCCATCTTCGGCCGCTTTGGAGGTCCTGGTCCACCAGTCGTTGAAGAGGCACCATCGGCCTCGCCATTGGTGCCGTCGGGTGCGTCGGCATGCACGACGAATTCGCCTTCGCCAGGCCTCACAAAAGAGTCAAACGTCAGGTGGCCGTCGCCCGGCTTGTCGAGCTGGGCCAGATTCGACGATACCGTGCTCCCGTTGCTCCCACTCGCCTTCATCGCTGTGACTGCTGCCGCAGCGTTGACAGGAGCGGCACCCGCGGGGACAGACACTGGACCACCGTTGCTGTTGCCATTGCCGACAACCAATGAGGGGCCATGATATCCCTCTGAGTCGGGCGAGTCCGGCGCCCCAATGTCGGCGCTCGTGGCCTCGGCCATGGCTCTTCGCATGAGCTCGTGGCGATCAAGGACTTTGTCCTCCTGCTTGGAATTGCGCCGTTTAGACGACGACGTCGACAGCGCGGCGCCAGGCTCGCTGCGGCCCTTTGCGTGGGAGGAAGACGATCGCGGCATTATGCCCTTTTTACCGGTTCTCCTTCTCGGAGCAGTTGGTGTCGAGTGGAATCCAAAGAGGCAGTCTTCAGCCTCGCTGTCGGTTGTCAAGTTGGCCTGGGCCTGCCTGGGCGACTTTTTCGTGCTTTGATGAGGTGGGGCACCCTGATCGTCGTCCGCAGATGTGGCAGGGACAGCCTTTCTCTGCTGCTTTGGAGGAAATTGGCTGTCGTCGAGCCAGAGCGTGTACCTGCGCGTGTGCGTGCTGCTTGATTCGCCGTCCAACACCGGTGAGGTTATGTCGATGTCTGGCAGGCTTGAAGAACGGGCAGAGGCCGACGTGTCGAGCAAGTCCAGCTGCTTGTCCTCCCTCTTCTTCCTTCGCTCCCAAGCCGTTGATGGCGACGAGACCAGCGGCGTCTGTATGTATGTCTCTTGCTCGCTATGGCTGACGCTTCTTCCCTTGCCCTTGGCTGGCCCCAGCGAGTCTAGCTCCTCGACCGCGCTGCTCTCCGGATTGTCGGACAGAATGCCCAACGAAGAAGCAGATGATCGTCGGCGACGGGCTCCGCTGTACGTGCCCTTTTCGGTGGCGCTGCTGCTGCTGCTCTTTTCACTGCTTCCACCACTGCCACCCTCGAATTGGTGCTGGTGCTGGGGCTGGTGCTGGCTGAGTGAGGGGAAGAGGCTGTTCAAGACGCCAGGCAATTTTCGAGCAGTAGTGGAAGCAGTAGTGGCCTGCATTTTGTACTACTGTATGCAAAGCCGTATCGACCCTGAGGCTATACACGTACCACACGTACTAGCAAAGCTAGCTGTGTGCCGCTCGCTGCCTTTCCTATTTGCCTTTTCGCTTTTTACTTTTTTTGTTTTCTTCCTTTTCGATCTCTGTTGGTCCACCCCCGCTAGGTTAGCTACGTAATTGTGATCGGCTTTAGAGTTGTGTGGCTTGCACACACAAAAGGCAAAATAATGGCATCGTCAGCGAAAAAAAGGAGATTTTAAGGGTCGACCCTTGGACGCACCCGCCGATCGAGGAGCAATTTCTACGATGGAGGTTCTACTTCTACCTGGGAGAGGCCAGCAGCACAGAGAAAAGTAGCGAGTGCGATGAGGCGGAACGGCGTGCTTTGGCGCAAACACACATGCTCAGACACCAGCACACGGTCGGACCGCTCTGCGCTTGACTCCACCTAAGAATAAGAAAGGCCGCTTCCCTCTTTCCCTTTCCCTGATGAATTTTGCGATTCGATGTCTCCAAAAAGAAGAGAAGCGCTCGATTGTGCAAACTCCTCGAGCCAAGCGCTGGCCGCCTGCACCCAGGACACTGAACCCGGCACCGAGCCATGGAGTTCCACAATTTCTGCGACGGGCCAGGCAACTCCGACGCCCAAGTCGCGCAAGCAAACAGAGCATGAATGTTTCGGGATGACATGACAGTCTTCTTGACATGACAGTCTTTTTTTGTGAATGAGAGACGTATAGATACATTTGTGTGTGAGATGTGAGCCCGGTCGTCACGAGAATTATCAACAGCCCTGCGCTTGACAAGAGACGGAGATCATGTCAGCGTTGGTGTGAAGAAAGAAAGTGTAGTGCAGCGACGACCAAACGTTCAGTTCCCCATCTCTTCCCTCTGGCCGATCCAAGGTTCCTCTCCCCCCATCCGCGACGGTGCAGACGTACATCTGCACCGCCGAGCGACGGGTGTTGTACTGGACAGCGTCGATGAATCACCAGAGCAGGGACGAGGGCTGCCTCGATCTTCTCTTCACCGCCGCGTCATCTTGAAAGAAAGACAGGGCGCTTACAGATTAAGGATGACATCGAGAATCATCATGCTCTGGTCGATCCGCAGGCCAGTCTTCTCTGCACGGCAACTCACCTACATGTACACGGCCAGAGCAGCGTCAAGCTGCCGCCGTCTTCTTGCCCGCCAAGGCCCTTGCCCTGAGTTGGGCCAATTCCTGCTCCCTCCTCGTCCTCACCGTCTCCTCTTCGTCCAGTGCGCGCTTCTTGGCCTCTCTGAATTGCCTGGCGTGGTCAAAGATCTTGACGCTGGCCGGCGTCAGGTGAGAGAAGCCGTGGCGCGCCTGCCACTCTTCGTCTGTCTCGCCGGGCAGACGTTCACCGTAGCCCACGCTTGCGTCTTCTGTCCCCCCGTCCAACCTGCCCTTGAGCTGGCGACCGTCCTGTGTTCGTGGCGGTAGTGGTGGGTTTGTTGCGTGATTGACACTGGGCAACACGGCCGACATTTGGGACAAGAAGTGATTGCGCTTAGCAGGATCGAGAAAGTGAGTACGGTGGAACGAGTCGGCGCTCTCAAACGTAAAGGGCGCAGGGGCGTGTTGCTGCTGCTGTTTCTGTTGAAGGGAGGCGCCGCGTGCCCGTCCTGATACAGTCAGGGAGTCGTTGCGTTTACGCTTCGCTGATCGCTGCTCTCCATCTTCTCGCAGTGCTTGTCCCTGTTGCGTTGGCGGCATGGAGCCCGGGGGTGCTGTGTCATTTGCAATCCACTGGTCCACGACGTCGATGCCACTGGGCCTAGTGAGGCCAAAGGCGCATGGAACGCATGTCTCGCACTTTGTCGGACAGTCGTCGTCAATGTCCTCTTCGCTGTCTGGGTGCATGTTGCCCTCGCATCCAGGACAGGAGCACGTCGGACCGCACTGGCAGTCGGTAGATGTTCCCAGCGCAGCGTGCATCTCGTCGTACGTGGCTGGAGGGACGGAGCGGGCGTGCGGTCCTGCTGCCACAGTAGACGACGATGTCGTTTGAGGCGAGAAGGCGGCATCATTCTTGCCCGAGCAGCAGCTCTTCTTTGCCACTGATCCCTTGACGGGGAATGCGCAGTCGTTGATTGCGTCGGAGCAGCACCGGGTCCCATCGCAACAGGGTGAACCTCCGTTGTCGGCCTGGCTCTCGGCTCCTCCCGCTGTCTCTGCCTCTGCCGCCCCCCGTTTTGCCGCCGCTCCTTCCTTTGGGTCCGAGGCAGTCTTGCAGCATGTGCAGATGCCCGTCGTGCGGCATCGGCAGGGGTTCATGAGCGATTCGAGCGAGTGCCTGCCCTTGGACTGGCCGGGCTCCGATTCGGGGCTGCCCGCGATGCTCGCCAGCGTGCTGGACAGCAGCCTCGTCTGACCTCCTCCTACTCCTCCTGCTCCTGCTCCTGCTCCTGCTCCTTTAGCACCATCGTCCTGATTGGTGGGCGACTGGGAGCGGTCGCCGCAGTCGCACCTGCCGTGAAAGCTGCCCGTGGCTCGCTTGGTGCGGCACTGCTCGCACTGCGACGATGGTCGGCCCTTTGGCCGGACGGCCTGGAGCTGCCGCTGCGTGTGGTTGCACGTCGATGCCCGATGGCCGCGGATGCAAGCATCGCAGGCGTACTTGCGACCGTCGATGAAGATCATGGTCCCGGTATCCTTGTCCTTTCCCTTATGTGTGAATGTTCTCTTTTGGCCGGTCGCTTCCCTGAATTGAGAGGGTAAACCCACTCGCGCGAAGACAGCAGCGGCCGTGGAAGCGGTGGTGGCGTTACTGTCGAGCGACTAGCTGGGAGGTGACCTGGGAGAGCAAAAGGGGCCCAGGGCGCATCATTCGGCCGCTTAATTCAGATCACAGATGTCCGAATCTGCCCCCTCCAATATTGCTGTGTCCCCTCCCGTCGTGGCCGCCGCGTCCGATGAATCGACCGAGCAGTGTCGAGGAGATAGCAGGGGCAAGGCCAACGAAAGAAATATTAATTCGCACTGAGAATTTTAAAATCCCTCAACGATCACGTCAAAACGAGCGCAGCTCGGCGCTTTTTTTCATTGTTATTTTTTCTTTCTTTTTCCCTCGCTTTCTCCCTCGTTCTGCTCTTGCTCTTGTCTGGGCGGAGGGAAAAAGCGAGGGCGCGAGCGAAAATTGGTCTTCGGCGAGTTCTTTTTCCCTGTAGGACCACTTTAGCAAGCACTTTATGAATAAAAACGCGCCGAGCCGCCGCTTCTCAAGATGATGAATTCCTTGCAAGGCAGCAGCAGCTAGTCTTGACGGTGCCGAGCCCTTATCATCACGCACATTGAAAGAGATTTTTTCAATTACGTATGGAATCTCGGGTCAGTACTTCGGCATGACAGGGATCTGATCATCGAGGGGGCTTCCGAGACTGTGCAAAAGATCGTCGTCGTAGCGGCGGTTGTCGACAGCCTCCTTTGACTTCATGAGCAGCCTGTCGCCCTATGTTTACAGACAAGGAAGGAAAGAGACATGAATATATCACTTCACACAGCTACGGACATGGAAGGCCTGACGCACCTGGAAGACAAGGGCACAGGGGAACAGGACGAGGAGAGCGGAGATGAGCGTAACGAAGCCGCCGACAGCAACGAAGCCAAAGCGGTCGTGGAGCTTGGGGACCACGAGCGGCACCCAGAGGAGAAAGAGGTACTGCATGCAGGTCAGCAGTGCCACGGCTGACGAGGTGTGCGCTTCATAGATCTCGCTCAGTGTCGTGTACGTCGAGAGAAGGATGGGGAAAATGGCGAAGCTTCGGTAGGCCAACCTATGAGAATCTTTCGACAGACGGATCTACTGACAAGAGAGACAACTCACCCCATGAGAAAGAGACCTACGATGGGAAGCGCCAAGTGCACGTAGGTGTACCCGCTGACTGCAGTGGTGGCCGATCCAACGACAAAGATAATGGCGCCGGCTAGGGCAAAAGCCAGTCGTGCGTCACCGTAGCCGAGGTCTCGATGTTCGCGCCTGCTGGACCTGCGTCCACGGCACTGGAGGATAAGGTCAATGACAAAGGCCAAGATGGCACCGGCAAAGATGGCGGCGAAGGGAATCAGACACATGGCGGCCGCCTTACGGTACGGCTCGTGCGCAAAATGGGTCCACCATGGCAACTCGTAGAGGAGGATGAAAGCGCAGCATATAACCGAGGCAAACCACAAGGCATGCACGAGAACGATGGGCTCCGTGACGATGTAGCGCAGCGGTCGTAGAAGCGTGCGCGACATCGTCTCGTCCATGGCATCGGTTCGATGCTCCAGTGTCGTGAGCTCCGTAAGGCGCCGCGCACGTCGGGTGAGCAGAACCGAGTCGCTCGTCTCTTGAAACACAGTCGCTATAACGACAAAAGCGACGAGCGCGATCGACGCTTGCAGCCAAAACTGGGCAAGTGAACAAGACATGGTCAGAGTAAGTATGCCGTATTTGATGAAAAGCAGACACCTACTACGGCTCGCCAGCCGAGCTCATATACGACCCAGGACGAATACAGAGGCGCCATTGAGTGGGTCCCAACGACAACGAGCGCATGCAAAGCCAGGACCATGCCCCTCTCCATTGGCTGAAAGAGGTCACAATGGACACCTGACGAATAGAAAGGGGTCGGTCAGAACTGTCAGTCACGGCTGCACTTTTTAATATACTCACCAACGCTGATGGAAAGGATGCAGCCGCCAACAAAGCCTTGGATACCCCTCGTGATGACAATCGGTACGATGCTCTTGGCAAGCGTTTGGCCGAGAAAGAAGAGAAGAGTGGCCAAAGTCGAGAAGAGCAGCACAGGCTTGCGCCCCACCCTCTCGCTCCATGGCGCAAGCAAAAGAGGAGCAAGAGCGACGCCAATCATGAAGATGACGTCGCCCAACATGTAGACCACCTCCGACGCTTTGAATTCGGACAGAAGGCCGTCGTAGCTGCGATACAGTCATCTGCTAAGGCGTTGTAATAAGTCGGATCCGGTGCAAAGGCAAACTCACCATGCCTCATAGCCCCCGGTCATGCCTGCAACTGCGAAAGTGGCCCACATGATCGACAGGCTCGTAGCCCACTTCTTCACATTTGTCCAGCTGCGAGGCCGGCTTTCGTCATCTTGCTCCCAGTCTAAATAGATGGCGCCGCGCTTGCGGTTGGAGAAGTCGGCATTGCTGCCTGCGTCAGCTTTGTCCATTGTCTCGAGCGTGGCCTCCAGTGTTGGTGTCTTTTCCATAAGCACATCGCCGCCCTCGGTGGCGAGGTCGACCTCTTTGAACTTGGACGAAGGAGGAGCCTCAATCGGAGCCTTGTCCTCTCCGACCAAAGTAGAATCGGATGTTGAATGGGAGACAGAGCGCATATTTTCTCGCCGATGAAGTGATGAGACCAGCTCGTCGCTTGTGGGAAGAAAACTTGGAGGGCAATCTAAAGACTTTCGGCCTCAGCTTTATATGAAGCCTCTGCTGCGCTCTTCAGTCTCCAGTCGCAACGCTGGGGCGTGCAAGCGGGGCCAAAGGCATAAAGCCGCGAGTGGAGAAGAGGCCCCGTTCAGCCCGTTTCTCCTCTGCGGGGCGCTCTCGAATCTCCCACGCCTGCAGCCAAAACACGCACTCCATTACACTGCGCCCTCTCAGTTCTGCTCTTTGCTGAGATTGATTTCGTATCATTAGCGTCTCATTCTACAGCTCCACCAATCTGATCCCGTCCCGGTCGACGATCCTGACCGTCCATTGCCCCAGATCGACAATGAATCTCTTCTTGAGCTCGCCGATGCACATCCTGAGCAGATCCATGCCCTCTTCAAGGCTCATGTCGGGTCGATGGAACCTGTCCATGGTGCTGAGAGTGAAGTGTGCGCCATAGCCGTGAGCAGCAAAAGGCACCTCGACGAGTGTCCCGAGGTAGTCGAGCCAGAAGAGGGCAGGCGACGAGGAGGGCACGTCGAAGCCGCCGAGGAGCAGATTGACCTGGTATGGCTTTCGGGAGCGCAGCGACGATGCGAGCTGCGATCGGATCCAGCTGGCGGCTGCCTTTGGTCGAAGCTCGACGTGGTTTCTGCAAAAGGGTGGCTGCCTTGAGCCTCTGCTTTGCTTCCAGGGTGAATCCGACACTACTCACCGGATGCCATAAAGCCTGAGATTTCTCTCCATGTACTCTGCAAATTGCAATGTGTCACCTGCGACGGAAGAGCAGAGAGTATGAGCGTCTGTGTGTCAGTAGATCAGCAAGCAAATCTTCTGCTCACCGGCCTCCCCGTTGTATGCCATGACGAGGTGCTTGCTGAGCTCCTTCATCTTGTCCTCGTCGCCCTTCATCTTGATGATGCTCCTCGCGGCATTGGAGTCCGAGGCAATGATGGTGTAGCCCTTCCCCGTGATTCCGAACTGGCACTCCATCTTGGCCTGCTCTCCGATTCCTCTTGCTCGCTGTGCTTGAAGTCCTGTTGGAGTGCTTGAGAAGGCGAGGGCCGCGACGAGGGAATTGAGCTCAGGCCAACCCAAGGACGCGCGGTGCTTTCGACACGTGAGTGGGTAGTGGAGTAAGATTATTTCCGTCACCGTTTGTGTCACGTACCGTGAGAACCTATCGATTTTGCGACCCCCGATCTTCCACTGAGCTTCTACACTAATCGAGAGAAATGAACCTCGGGATCAAGGACTTGCATGAAAGGATCCGGCCCGCCAATGAGCCAGCATGATGGGAATTGCAAGCTCAAGCAGTATCGAAGCTTGTCACATCCACCAAAAGTAACACCAAGCCCTCCCACCTGGAACCACGTCCATGCAATACGTGGATACAACCTGTCTCATCTCGCGCCTTCACTTTCCGTTTTCGATAGGTCCGTAGACACCCTCTTATGACAAGGACAATGATTGCCACAGGCCAAATGAGCGTAAGCCTCTTCAAATTTGAGTGCTCATCGCCGAGCAATCTTGTCTTTCTGGGACGGTGGAGGGCCCGACTTGACTTTTTTTATTTCTTGTCCGGCGCTAACAGGAGACAGTGATTGTCGGACCGCACTAAAGAGATATTTCGTCTACCCAACTGCCTGGATAGATCGACGCTTTTCGGAGGTTCCCCTAGCTCGGCGAAAAAAAGGAACAACCAAAAAGAAATTGCGGGGTCGAAGGTGTTGATGACCGAAAGCATCATGACCGAGGTGATGGAGGAGGGGGTGCGCTCCTCCCCCTACTCCTCATCCTCCCTCTCCTCTTTGTCCTCCCTCTTCTCCTCGCCCTCTCCTTCACCCTCTCCCTCCTCCTCCTGCTCATCTGCCTTCCCCTCTTCCTTTCCCTCCTTTTCCCAAAGCGACCGACGATGCTGCGTGTACTTCTGACCTTCTTGTACGCTCTGGCGTCCTTGCACCTTCTCCTTGCCGCGCCTGCTTCGCCCCAACTCCCCACCAAAGATGCACCGTACAGCGACAGTCCAGCACAGATGGACGCCACCATCGAGTGCCCCAACGGCATCCAGGGCAAGGCCGGAGGTGTGGTGCTGCTCGTGTCCGGCACCGCGCTGAACGGGCGTGCATCGTACGAGCAGGGGCCTTTCGTCCAGCTCCTGCCCAATGCCGGCCCAGGCTTTGACGTCTGCTGGATCTCGCCGCCCAACAATGGCCTCGGTGACGCACAGACCGGAGGCGAGTACGTGGCCTATGCGATCCGCAAGCTGGCCCCGCAGTCTGCGACGGGCAAGGTCAAGGTCGGCGGTCACAGCCAGGGAGGCGGCCTCAACGTCCCCTGGGCCCTCATCTTTTTCCCGAGCGCAAGGAAGCGTGAGTTTGTTTCGTCTGGGCAAAGCTCCTTTATACACTGTAACAGAGAGAGTGTGTGCTAATGCAAAGACGGATCTCCATCAGTCGTCGACTCCTTTGTTGGTTTCGCTCCCGACTTCCACGGCACCACCATCCTGCCCTACCCGGCATGCACGGCCGAGAAGCTGCTCTCGCTCGGCGTCGGCTGCGCCCCCTCGATCCTCCAGCAGGAAAAGGGGAGCATGTACCTGGGCGCCCAGCTGCACTTTCTCACCCAAGCCATCGTACCCACCACGGCCATCTTTACGCGAACCGATGAAATTGTGATTCCCCAATTTGGGCCCAACCCGTCCTCGCGCCTGCCCGGCTCGGTGCAGTTCCCGCTCCAGGACTACTGCGGGCCCCTCGAGCTGAGCGACCACCTGTCCATCATTGCGAACCCCGCCGCGTACGCCATTGCCCTCAACGCCTGGACGAGCCCAACGGGCGCCGCCGACCTCTCCAAGTTCGAAAAGGCGCGCGACTGCTTCAACATTGCAAACTCGGCCCTCGACCTCAACGATGTCGCCGCGAGCATCCGCTATTTCGCCACCATTGGCGAGGCCGTCGTCACGAGCGGCGGCGCGCCCACGCCCTCGGAACCAGCGCTGAAGCAGTACGTCTGCGACGCAGGGGCCGCGACCGTGTGTGGCAAAGCCGGTCCCACGCCTCCCATTGTCTCCCTCTCGGACCTGACTGGTCTAGCCAGCGATTTGTAAACTGAGCCTGGTCTGTTTCATTTCATGCAGTGTACAATTATCTACAAACCCTCGACCAAAGCCTTGAGCCAGGCATTCTCTGCGAATGTCGGCTGCCACTCCTTCTTGAGCTCCCTCAGCACCTCTGCCTGTCCCTGTCCATCGACTGACTCCTTTGCGCGCTTGGATCGCTGCGCAAAGGCCCGCAGAAAGTCTTCGACGACCTTGGCGCCCTGCTTGGTCGTCTCTGGGTCGAAGTTGTTGAGGTTGACGTCGTCTTCGTCGTCCTCAAAGTCCTCGAGTTCCTCGGCTTTGCGCTTGGCCAGTCGGATCACGGCCGGCGGGAAATTAGCCAATTCGGCGACGTGGATACCGTAGCTCCGGTCGCTGACACCCGGCTCGACCTTGTACAGCAGAGTGATGTCACGGTCCTGCTTGCTCGTTGCCCCCGCCCGCTGTGTGACGTGGGCGACGACGTGGAGATTCTTGACGTTGGGCTGCTGACCAGCCAGGCTGGTGATCTCGGCAAAGTGGCTCGCAAAGAGCGCCTTGCACCGGATCTTTGTGCAGATCCACTCGGAGATGGCCCAGGCCAGTCCGAAGCCATCGTAGGTCGAGGTGCCTCTGCCCAGCTCGTCGATGATGATGAGAGAGTCCTCGGTGGCCGTCTTGAGGATTGTTGCCGTCTCAAGCATCTCAGCCATAAAGGTGCTGACGCCCTTGAGCTGGCTGTCACCTGCACCGACACGTGCGAGGATGCAGTCAAAGACGGGCAGCTGTGCACCTTCCTCGGCCGGAACGTAGCACCCTGCCTGAGAGAGAAGGGCGACGATGCCCACCTGCCTGAGGAATGTCGACTTGCCGCCCATGTTTGGGCCCGTGACCACGAGGAATTCCGATTCGCCGGCGACCATGTCCGTGTCGTTGGGGATGAAGTGGATGTCGTCCTGCACCTCTAGACACGGATGTCTTGCTGCTTTGATGCTGAGCGTGCCGTGTGTCCCCTTTGCAGAGAGCGTTGGGCGGGTATACGGGATGGGTGCGTTGGTCGAAACATGTGCAAAGCTTTGGAGCAGGTTCAGCAAGCAACACAGACATCCCCATCATCTCCTTCGCCTCACCTCACGAGCACGTCAAGCGTGGCCATCAAGACATTGAGCTGCTCCAGGGGCGGGCAGTATGTCGCAGCAATCTGTACCACCTCCTTGACTAGGCTGCTCTGCTTGCGGCTGTACTCTTGCGAGAATTCTTTGTAATCGTCACACAGATCCTTGACTGTCCTCGTGGTAAAGTAAACGCCGCTCTGGAGCTCACTTCAGCCCCTGTGCTGTTAGATGTCACTCAGGAACGATGGCTCACCTTGTTTGTGCCCAGCTCTGTGTAGCCCTTCTTCTTCTGCAAGACTTTCGAGTCGTTTCGTGTGACCCTAAAGCAATGACCGTACAGCTGCGTGTCCTCAAGCTTGACCTTGTCATCGAGGCCGAGGTCCGACTTGACCTCGTTGTGCTCTTTGACCAACTTCCGTCGAACGCGGTCAACCTTGGCGCGGATCTCTTCCAGTGACGGATCAAATTCAGGCTTGATGACGTAGTTGTGGCGCTCCAGCTCGTCGAGGTCCAGCGTGGTCTCCACCATGTCAACGAGCTTGGCGAGGACGTTGTCGAGCTCGCCGAGAGGATTTACAAAGGTCGCCTCGACGAGCGCCCTCGCCTCATCGTCCATAAGCTCTGATGCAGCGAGGTCACTGCTTAGCTGAGGAAGCCGTCGAACGCCATTGTAGACGACGACGACGTCCTCAAGCCCGGCAACGCCCTTTTGCAGACGTTTGCTGCACCGCAGAAAGTCGGGCATGTATCTCAGGTTGTCGTTCTGAATGGTCCTCCGCAGCTGATCGTCCGAAAAGACGCCGACCAAGGTATGTCTCTTGCCTGCAAACGCTCAATGAGCTGTGCTCTCGGCTTTAAAAAGGTGAATGCAGCCACTTACGAATCTCGTGGATGTTGATCAGAGGCTGCTTAAGCCACTGTCCAAGGAGCCGCTGGCCTTGTGGCGTCCTGCAGTGGTTGCATAGGCCGTATACGCTCATGTTCTTGCCGGTTTGGGCTGCGTCGGGAAACACGTTGAGCGCCCGGAGTGCAGAGTTGTCAAGGCGGAGGTACTGCGACAAATCGTGGGTCCTGATTCGGAATTGGCCAAAGTTGCTCTCGTCGTGCAAGAGACCGAGAAATTCGATGAGAGCACCCATCGAGGCCATCGATGTCGTCAGACCAAACTCAGCTGTATCGGGTAAGTAGGTGACATGCAGAAAGATTCTTGAACGCCACTCACGAAGTGCATTACCCGATGACGCCTCGTCCAAGAGTCGGTTGAGATCCTGTTCGACTGACTTCGAAGAAAAGCCAGCTGCATCATCACAATCGTCAGCTCCTTCAATGGGTCGTGATCGCGACTTTTGTACTAACCACGTCTTGTCTCGGAGATGACACATCCGCAGCGGTCGACAACACTCTTAAGCTTGGCGAGGTCATAGTCTTGTGTGGGTCCGTCGCTTGGCAGCAGGCACTCTTTGACACCGAGTTGAATGAGCAGTGACTGCAACAGAGGCCGATTGGTGAGCACAAAAATTCTGGAACCTCTACATCCAGAAGGCACATATACCTCGGTATTGGTAAACAGGTCGTTTTCAGCGAACTCTGCAACACCCAAGTCGCGGTTCGTCGCATCGGCAAAGGCAGCACCAATCGTCTTGATGCCGTCCTGCACGCGCACGCGAAGTGCCATGACAACGGGTGACGAAAGCAGCTCGGACTGTACAAAGAGGAGGTCCTCGACCGCTTGGAGGTTGCCCGGAGAGGCCTGGCATCAAGGTCAGACTCGAAGGCAGCCAAACATCGTCGACACGTCACCCACCTCTTTCTGCACGGTCCAGGTGTTGCTCTTCTTAGTGCCCCCGCCCCAGATCTGCACCTTGAGCTGCTGACTGGTAAGAGCCTGCCGCAGGAAGCTCTTTCCGTTGCTCATGCTCAGCGTACACGAAGGCAGTGCATTGGTGCCGGAGCCCAGGTTCTTGAGGACGTGTTGCGTCTTGAAGAACGTCGTGGCAATGAGCTTGGCGTCTTGTCCGTGGGCAGAGTAGAAGTCCTTGAGCACAGCAGAAAGATTTAGTATTTCCTCAGACTTCGAAGAATGAGAGAAGCTGACTCACTCCGCGGTCAAAGAGACGGACAGTGCCCTCCGGGCTAGGTCCCTGGCGGTGGAACCATGAGACAAAGGACGACTCAGCGACCGAGTCTGGCGTGACTGCACGCGTCAGCGAGGGTATCATTCCTCTCAATAGTTCACCGGCTACTCACCGAGCCCAAGGTCTACCTTCTCGCCCGCGGCAGCTGCCGGATACATCAAGTCGGACATGGCGAGAGTCCGTCCTGCCGTTCAAAGATGTTGGTTGGTCTCTCTTGCCTTCCTTTAATTGACGCTCGACGCGCTTCCTGAGAAACGCGCCCTTGCTCGTGTCTTTCTGTTCCGACTTCCGGTGGAGGCTCAAAGCTCGCGGCAGGCCAGAAAAAAAAAGTCAGTGGAGAAAAAAAAAAAAGGGCACGGAAGTGAATTACGATGGCGGGCAAGAAGGAGAGGGCGAAGGGCACGGGCTCCGAGCCATACAGTGGCTACCAGGTCAACGATGCAAGCCTGGAGCGCCAAGCAAAGCGCAAGGCGGTGCTCGAGGAGGAGCGCAAGAGAAGGGTGCTCTCGAACATCGATCCGGTGCTCAAGCAGCACGCTGTGACCCGCGCCAGGGACCTTCCGGTGAACATGCGCAAATACTGGAACAACCGCCACGATCTCTTTTCCCTCTTTGACGGCAGCTCAGAGACGGGTCAAATACCGCTTCTCGACGCCGAGTCGTGGTACAGCGTGACACCCGAGGCCATTGCAGCACGCATCGCCGAACGGTGCCGGTGCAACACCGTCGTCGATGCCTTTTGTGGGGCGGGCGGGAACGCGATCCAATTCGCATTCACCTGTGAGCGAGTCATTGCTATTGATGTCGACCCGATCAAGGTGGCTTTGGCCAGATGGAATGCAAAGGTGTACGGCGTCGACGATCGAATCACGTTTCTCGTCGGCGACTTTTTCGACTATGTAAAGGCCTGCCGTCGCTTCCGGGACGAGGGCGTCCGAGACGACGCGCAAGCCTGGCAGGGCTCCGAGACAGCGAACATTGACGTGTGAGTGCTGTAAGAGAGTCCAAGGTGGACACGAGCATTTGCTGACTTCGATGACTAGCATCTTTCTGGTTGGTGTCGTGTAGTCATCGAGCTGATGGGCAAGAGGCTGACAGTACCTACAGTCACCTCCATGGGGAGGCGTTACATACAGGGACCCATCTTCAATACAGGCCAACAACCATACCGGAGAGGAATTGGGGTCGACCGCCAGCGGTCCGGCGTATTACCCTCTTTCGCTCTTGGCGCCGACAGGGGGCAAGGTCATGTTCGACGCAGCATCGAGTCTCACCTCAAATGTTGCCATGTTCTTACCACGAAACGTGGACCTCAAGGAAGTCGTCGGACTAGCAGAGGGCACGGAATCTACGGAGGAAAAGGGAGAGGTCATCGTTGATGTCGAGGAGCAGTTCATGGGCGAATACTGCAAGGCGCTGAGTTGTTATTTTGGCGAACTGACGAAGTTCGACGGGTCATGGTGAACGCAATCAATGTATTTCTATAATAAATGTCTATACATCTATACTTCTAATCTTCCAGGGCCATGTCGGGCTCTGTGCCCTTGGCATCGAGCTTCCCAGAGCCCACGGCCTTGTTTGCTTGACCCTGGAGGCGTCCGAGGACCTCTATGATGTGTGCAAATCGGGCTTTGTCCTCGTCGGTTGGCTCACCGGCCTGCTTGGCGATGGGTGATGCATCCTTGGATGAGGTGCCTGGTGGTGAAATAGTGGATCCGGTGGGAGGACCATTGAACCACTCAAACGAGGGCGGCTTGCTGTAGAAGATCTGGGCATCGGCGCCGTACGTGTCCTTCTCGTGGCCTCCTTCGGGCATCGTTTCGAGCGCGCTTACAGCCGACCAGATGCCCAGGTCATGAACTTCTTTTGCCGTCAACTTGCCCAGGCTCGTCTCATACATGGAGCTCTCCACGCCCTCCTTTGTAGGTGCGTTGCGCGTGTGCGTCTTCAGCTCGTATTCTCCTCCGGATGTCGATGCCAGCTCCAGGACGAGCGCTGGGGACGAACCCGGCTGGAGGCTGGACGAAATGCCCTTTTGGAGCCGGACAGTGAACGTCGGTGCAATTTCCATGGGTTGGGCCATCTTTTGCTTTTTTTCAAAAGAATGTGTGAGTTGATGAGAGGGAAGGTGGGAGGGGTTGCGACAGACTTGATGTCAGCGGCTCTAAGAGCCTTCTTCACCAGGCTTGGCAAAGGAAGGAGGGAATCGGATTCGCTGTCTGAAAAAAGGACGTCATACTGTTTGTTACTTTGCAGCCGTTGCGCATGTATATGTAAGCTTTCAAGTGCCTTTGAAGATCCCGAAGCGGTGCGGTTGGAAACGGCGAGGAAGGGCCAAGACGTGGAAGATTCCAATAATGACGTCCCGCAAGCGGATCGATCCTGGGGGGTTCAAGATAACGATAAGAGACATATTAGCCTACACGTGGGAGGTGGAGTCGGACTTTTTTATCACCCTTCTTTTTTTTTCTGGTCACTGACAACTTTTTTTTTTTGGGTGAGAAATCTTCTTTCTTGGTAGAGGGCAAGGGCAGCAATGGCGGACGGGAAGAAATCGAGAAAGGTAAGTTGCTGAGGGTTCGCGGCTGCGGTGGCAGACACTTACATCGTGACCCTTTGTTGCAGAGGCAAAGGAAGAGCAAGGGCGGTGCCGGCCAGGAGGACGTCGCAGAGAAGAAAGCTGAGGAAGAGCCTCTCCAGAAGCAAGCGAAGGTGGATGAGCAGAAGCACGTCGCCGTCGCCCTGGCAAGGCCACAACAGGAACCTCAGTCGGAGGACAACCACACACAACAGTCGCAGGGGCTATCTTCGAACGCGCAACAGCCACAGCAAGAAAAGACAGAACAGACATTCTACCAGCGAACCAATCCGCACAAGCCCAGTGCGCTTCCTCATCTCGCCTCTTCCCACACGCCCGCGAGAAAGTACACCGTGTCAGTCGCCCTGCCTGGGAGCATTGTTCTCAATGCCCAGACGCCCGAGCTACAGGCCAGGCTAGCTGGCCAGCTGGCGAGGACGTGCGCCATATTCAATGTCGATGAGATCATCGTCTTTGATGAGGGTCAAGATGAACAGGCCAACGACACGAGGAGATTCCCGCCAAGGCCTGCTGCTAGAAAGTGGAAGGAGGATGGCCAAGAGGAGGGCATGGGTGAGGAAGGTGAACCGCAAGGCGAACGAAAGCCCTTCGATGCCAACGGGTTCCTGGCCAGGATTCTACAGTACGTCGAGACGCCCCAGTACCTCCGCAAGCAGCTCTTCCCTATGCATCGCGATCTGAGGTTGGCCGGCCTCATCGCGCCCCTCGACTGCCCTCACCACCTCCGCTACGAGGACGAGAGCGCGTACCGCGAGGGCATCGTGCAGGATGTCACGTCTTCCTCTGCGCCCTCCGCGGCAAAGGGAGCAAGCACAAAGACCGTCTACGTCTACGTGGGCTTCCGCGATGCCCTATCGTGCAGGGTGCCTTCCCACGTCGACGTGCCCGTCGGTGCGCGCGTCACTGTGCAAATGCCTGGGCCTGGGGTGCAATACCCGCGTATCGTCTCGCCGCGTACGCCCGTCGAGCAGCTCGGCACCTTTTGGGGCTACCAAGTCCGGCTGGCTCGGGGCGGCGTGTCCGAGGTGCTCAACGACTGCCCGTGGTCGAGCAGCGCAGGCTACGACCTCGTCATCGGCACTTCCGAGCGCGGCAGCAGCCTCAGTGCTCTGCTCGAGCAGACTTCTGCAGCCTCGGCAACAAAGGGCGAGCAGGGTATCCCACCATTTGATCACGCCCTCATCATGCTCGGTGGTCTGAGTGGGCTCGAGGTGGCCGTGGAGCGAGACGCAAAGATCCATCTGGATGCAGACGGCGCTTCCAGGCTCTTTGATCTTTGGATCAACGTCGTCGAAGGACAAGGCAGCCGGACGATCCGGACCGAAGAGGCCCTCATGATCACGCTAGCAAGGCTCAAGACGGCGCTCGAAGCCACTGGGAGACGATGAAAAGGCAACGCATGCACTACTGTACAATACCAGCCATCGCTAGCTTGTCATGTTGATACATTGACACTTCCATTGTCTATTGTTACATGGATTATGAGAGAGTGAGACTCAGACGACGACTTCGCTCCTCTTCTTTTTTCCCTTTTTGCTCTTCACCGCCACGGTCTTCTTGACGACAGCCTCCTCCTCATCTGAGGGCATTTCTTCCTTTTCCAGCACAGGAGGTGTGGAAGCAGAAGCAGAAGCAGGAGCAGGAGCTTCGTCTCGGACCGCCTCCCCGTTCTTGGACTTATCCTTTGTCATGGGCAGTCCCAGGTCGTCCAGATTCAACTGGACAATCGGAACGTCGTCGAGATCCTCGCTCACCACCTCCTTCCTCTTTGTCTTCTCATCACTCAGATAAAATGGCGAGGCCCTCTCTCTTCTCAGCCTCGCCTCCTTTGCCTCTCTCAGTCTCCTCTTTTGCTCCTCAGCGTCCACCGGCCCATCGTCTGGAGGGACAGTCGCCGCAACCTTTCCCTTTGCTGCTCCTTTGACGTCCTCGCCGCTGTCCAAGACGATGCTCCACTTGCTCGGTTCCACGATCCAACTCTCGAGGTCCAATCCGAGGGGCACGCCCACCTTGGCCTGTGCCTTCTTTGCCACGGGTCCCAGCGCGTGCCCAAAGAAGAGGGGCGAGAGGAGATGGAGGCTTCTTGGCTTGTCGACTTCCTCCTCGTTGATCGACTTCTCGGTGACTTTGTTTGAACCCTCAACGCCTCCTTCGTTCTTCTTACTCTTTGCGCAGTAGCCGTCCAGGTCGACCTCGATCAGTCTGAAGAGCGCCCGGTACTCCATCGCCCTCTCTAGAACCTCGGCTTCCGTGCCCTCTCTGCACCAGTCCTCCAATGCCTTGCCCACATCCTTTGCTAAGTCCCTGATCTGTTCCCCCATTGGCTCCTCCCACTTCTCCGAGAGGCTCATGGCCCACCACGCAAAGAGCTTGACTCCATTGTGGATCAGAGCCGCGCGCGTCGTAGAGGAAGTCTTGTCGATCAGGAGCTGGGTTCGCCGAACCATAGACAAGATCAGCGCGGGCGGGTAAGGCACCTCGGAACAGTACTCTCCGCAGCACCACGCGGCCGCATGGAGCACCTCGCCTTCGTCTCCCCGAGCTCGATCCAAAAACTCATCGGCGTCCTCGAGCAGCCTCCGTAGCCTTTCAACGGCGTGAGCTCGGACTCCTCGGACCCGCATGGTCACATCGATAAGCTGGTCGCGAATCTTGGCTCCAACTTGCTCGTCTCCATCGCCCACACTACCCTGTGCACTGACAACTTTGGCGATCCGAGCCAGACGGACAAGCGTGTCGACATACCATTCAAAGTCGACGATGTTGGCATAAGTGTCATGCGCACCAAGTCGGAGAATTCTCGTCACGATCTCGAGCCGGTAAGACGCAGAGTTGAATGGCGAAGGGCCAGATGAAGAGGTTGACGGTGCGCCCAGGGCAGCCTTGAGCGACGAGGCTGCACTGGTGGCAGATGTGGGCTCAAGATGGGCCATGTGCTTCTGAATGATGTCTCGCAGGTTGCTCCTCGACGCCATGCCGCTGACGAGATCCAGTGCACGAAGCCTGATGCTCAGGTCCGGATCCTCAACCGACTCGAAGATGGTATCCCGGTGCAATGCAACGAGATGCGGGTGCGAGGGCAAGATTTTGACCAGAGCCAGGAGCGCAATATACTTGAGATTCTGGTCTTCGTCGTCCAAGAACGTCGCCAGCTTCTCAACGCACGTTGACGCAAGTTCATCGCCACCAGGGCCCGTGAGCATGCCGCCGATGATGACAGTGTGCATGCACTCGTACAGAAGCGACATAGCCGGCGTTGTCTGAATGATCGTTGTGATGGGCGGTAGCAGCTTCTTGACCAGTCTCGGTTCATGGGGCGTCAGCGCTCCAAAGAGCTTGATAATCTTGATGAGCATCCAGTTGTTTGTCGATGTCGTCAAGATCTGAAAGAACTGAGGAGACAGGGGCAGAAACGCCTTCGGGTCCCGTCGGGCCAGCTCGCAGATGACATTGACCGTCGCCGAGACCACACTCTGCTCAGCGTCCTCCAGCCGGTCCCGAAGCCGATCCCACGACTGCTGTAGTGCATCGGGATACTTTGCGATGATCGAGGCAAGCGCAAGAACGGCCTTTTTCCGTACAGGCGCCCTAGAGTGGTTGAGCATCGCAATGACGTCGGGAGCCAGGTGCTGAGCCAGGTCGGGCGTGGCAATGTGCGAGAGGCCGTTGAGCGCCACTGCCACGTCGAGCGGCTGAGAAGATCGCAGGTCCTTTTTGATCATGTTGGTTGCGAGGATAAGCACATCCGTCTCCTGGTTGAAGCACTGGGACGCAGCCAGGTAGCCGACTTGCTTTTGGTGGAAGCGCGGCGAGGCCATGACTTCAAGCATGTGGAACGAGGCATTGGCAGCGGGATAGCCCAGCATTTGCAGCTACACGCCAGCGGTCAGTGCATGGATACGATGGAGTGCGGGGCACAGCACTCTCACATAGGTAAGCTTGAGGACAGCTTCGGCCTTGACGTCCATGTCGCCGCTTCGCACCTCAGTCCGGATCTCGTCCATGAGCGTTGCGACGAATTTCGCCTCATCCTTGCCTCGGTGGGACCGCAGCCCCTTGATGAGGTCGCTCAGCGATCTCTCAAACATTCTCTCTCCTCTCTCTCTCTTTTTTCTCCTACAGGCGCATCGAGGCCACCTTGTCGTCGTCCCAAGCTCAGTGCTCCAGAACAGAGCACCAATCTTCGAGGCTAAGGAAATGGGTCGTGATGCAGGCCACGTGGCGCGTCTTTGCTTCTTATTGAACAAGTCCAACACCCCTTTACAGCAACTACTACTACATGCGTTCTTCTTGATGAACATGGTCCTGCGCTTGTGGCGATTCACCGGAGCCTCTAACGCTCTCGTTCGCCTTCCCACCTTGCTTGCCTCGGCCCCTGCCCTTCGCTCTCTGTGGAACACGGGAGGCGCCCTTCTCTCTGGCTTTTCGGTGGCCCTTGCCGTCAAAGCTTCCCTTTTCTGTCTCTTGCTCAGCCTTCGCACCCCTCTCTTGGCGTGCCTTTTGCTGCTTCCCTGCTTCCGGTGCGGGTTCTTTTGCGGTAGTTGTGGAGAACTTTTCCCCGTCTTTCTTCCCGCCTTGGTCTTTGGCACCCTTGGCGTGCTCTTTTGCTCGTGCCCTAGGGCCTTTTGGAGCACCTCTGGGCATGCCGACGTCCACTTTCCTTGTGGCGTCTTGATGCTTGCTTCGGAGCGATTGTTGCTCCATCCTGAGATCAGCAAGCACCTTATCGGCACATAGATCGCACAGCAAGGGGAAGTCAGCTTTCGGTCCTGCGAGGGACTTGAATGCTTGGTTGACTTCGCTGACAATGATGCCCTTGATCTCTTCAACGACGCCTCCTGCCGTGTTCCGATCAACGATGAACGGGTCCTGACACACGATTGGCTCATCTTGCCAATGGTGCGGCTGCTTGAAACTATGTCCTTCGTCGCCTGTGAGCGCTCTCTGAAGAAGAAAGGGCTCTCCGTGTTTGAGGCTGAAGCCGTATCGATTAAAGTCGAAATCAGCAAGCCATTCGAAGAAATCACGCAGCAGCGAGCCGAGCTGCTCTTCGAGGTTGAAGTTGGTGCCGCGCTTCGGATCGAATGGAGTCTCATGCACCTTGCTTTGAGAAATCCTTGCAGCAGTCTCGATCTGTTGCTCGGTCGAAAGAGTCGCAAAGGTGGTGTCGAATCCTCGCGCCCCTGTGTCCGGGTCGACTGTAATGCCGAGCTCGATGATGTCGTCAATTGGTGAATCGACCAGATCAGTGGCGGTTTCGTCTGGCACGGCACTTTCCTCAGCAGTGGTGGTGGTTGCGGCGCTGTCGCTGCGGGGCTCGAACTCCTGCCCCTTTTCATCAGATCCGGTTCTGCCGATGTGCATATCTCCGCCTTTGGCTTCTGCCTGCGCCCTCTTGGCTCTCCGACGATCTCTGCCTCTATCGCTGGCCAGTTGTACACGCTGCCAGAGGACCTCTTTTGGCATGTCAAGTTCGGCCAGCAGAGAGGGTGACTGGAGATTTGGCACAAAACCCCTTAGCTGGAGGAACTGCAGAGCACTGGGAAAAAAACAGCAATGGTGAGCCATGAATGCCATTTTTTTTTGCCATGGAAGCGGGTTCTCACATCAGGCAGATGGTGTAGCTGTTGAGACTTCGATGTCCTCGGTCAGGGCTGGGGTTATTGAGACCACGTCTGGCAAACCAACGCTTGACAGCGAAGAGTAGCGGTCGCACAAGTTCTGGACGGACATTCGCATAGGCGGCTATCAATCGCGAGTTGGCCTCGCCAAAGCGATCATTGATGTTGAGATCCATGACGAGACCCGATGGTCCGTGTGTGAACTTGACTACGGATAGTGCTTCGGATATGAGCACTTGGACACTGACCAATCAAGATTTAACGCACCGATTGGGACCTTTGCCCTCGTGACGGGGAGCACATTTACGTAGTACCTCGAGCTCATGAGTCTCCTCGCCACATGTGCAACGCTGTTCCAATTTGGAGCATTCTCGCCTGCAATAGTAGGATTTTCGAGGCGGCCAGGTCGAAGTCCAGGCGCAAGAGGAACGTAGTCCTTCTTTGGCTGTAGTGCACAAATCAGCAAATTTCCAGAGAATATCCCAGATAGTCTACTCACCGTACCGACACCCAGTGGCCTCGTTGGATCTTTCAGGACGAGGTCCATGTCAGAGTCCTCCTCTAGCAACCCCGTCTTTGTCGACCCAAATGCCTCTACCTGTAGCCCGCAGCCCTCCCAGGTATACCGAGTGCTGAGCCACCTCTCGACGTCTTTGACAATGCTTGCGCGCATACGGAGGTTTCTTTCGCTCGGTCTTGTCGACTGAGACGGTTGCCTCAGCGATGACTCTTCGTCTCACAGAAGATCCAGCTTATTACTCACAATCCACAAGCCCTTAATCTGACGCCCTAGAAGCTCCTCAGCGGACAGCTGGCCGTTTGCCATGAGGTCACCACGCCATGACTCGCATTGTGAACGCTCTCGTGCATATCGTTCCTCCCTAGAGTGAATCTCGGTCTCGATGGCATCGAGTCTTGCCTTGACCTTGGGTTCGCTCCTCTCCTGTCCCGAGCTCCGTCCGTCGTTGGCCTGCCGTTGCATGCGCACTACCTCATCGCCAGTCTTGACCTTGTTTCCCTCATTTCCTTTCTCTTCGATATTCGTCCCGCGATCATCTCTACCCCTTCCGCCTCTCCTTCCGCTCTCATTCCTGCTCTTCACTCCTTCGGCCGATTCAACTGATTCTTCTGGAGCCTTTGCTGGCGCCGGCGGCAGCAGCGGTCCATCATCATTTCCAATGGCCTCTCCGCGGATCGAAGCAATCGCCCAACCAACGTCTGGCATCGCCATGGTCGTCCTCCTTCTCCCGCCCTATCTCTCTCTTTCTCCTCCCTTCTTGATAATCCCCCTTCAAGGCTTCAGCCGCTCTCTGTTATGTCCCTGGAGCCAACCCAACCTAAAGACTCGGTGGAAGTTGTTGGTAGTTGTGTGATGAAGGCACCGACACAGTCCATCACCTAAGGCTGCACATCTCAGGACGCGCTTTCTTTGTGGAGGCGCGTTCCTCTGAAGACAAAGCTTCTTCTCGACAAGCAGCAAGCAGCTCTTTCTTGAGCAAAAGTCGCCTTATTCTCGAATCCAAGGCGCAGGACAGACAGCATGAGCCTTGTCACGCTTTTGGGCCAACCGCAAGGCTCGGACGATGTGTCCCGTTTCATCACTTCTCTCTCGTCAGATGGAGACGGAGACGTCGAGCTGGCGGTCAAGGAGTATCCGCCGGTGACGTATGCCAGCTCGCAGGAGCACGGCATCTCGCTGCAGTTTGAGCAGGGCAGGTGCCAGGCCATTGACCTTTACAACGAGGGCGCTGCAAAGGGCTGGAAGTGCTTCCCAAAGCTCCCGTGGACATTGACGACAAGCGTATCGGACAAGGAGCAGATGCTGGTCATAGAGGCGCATACAACTGGCACAGATTTCGTCAGCATCCTAGGAGAACCGTCGAGAAAGGGCGGCGGTGAGCCTCTGCAGGGCGGTGGGGCGAGTGGTCTCGGGCCTGGGGCGTGGATGGAATGGCAAAAGGTCGCCCTTGCTCCGCCTGCCACGGTCAAGGTTGATCTCATGGTGGAGCTCAAAGGGCCAGACGCTCGCGGTGCCCAGCGCTGGGACAAGGAAAAGGGAGGCAAGGCGACATGGGGAGTCATCACGCTGAGCTTGGCGTCGTAAAATGATCACGATATTCATTTCATGTATTCAAAGACGACCGAAGACGGTCGAGCTAGTAGACGCGCGACTGCGAGCGACACACGTTGAACGAGGGGGAGTGGCCATGGCGAAGAGGACATTGTCGAGAAACTCAAGCTTGGCCTTCTCTTTGGAGGAAGAAGCGCTTGACGAATTACTCTCTATGCTCGAGGAAGACGATGTAGGCGAGCGAGGCAAGGTCACTGCGCGTTCCAGAACAGCGATGCGTCGACAAAGCTGGTCGACGATCGTATTTGCGTTGTCGAGTCGGCTCTCGAGCGTCGCCATTTCCTCCTTTGTCGCCTTCTGCATCAACGAGATGCGATGCCGAACCGCAGGTAGATTGAGGTACGACCAGTCTTGGGTGACCGACGTTTGTATCCACTCCCTGGCCTCGGCAAGGTGTGTAACGAGAGGCTTGACATCTTCGTTCGCCGAGGGAGTGCTGTTTCGAATCTGGCGACGACGGTAATGCTGGAAAAAACGACAAAGGTCATGTTGCTTCTCGTCGTTCCCAGCATCGCCATCTGCTTGTTGCTCGTACTTGCTTAATGCTCCGATGTCATCCTCGAGCGTTGACGAGCAATGGATGATTCGTCTCCACGCGGCCCAGACTTGGAATTCGTCTTCAGCACAGAGGCGCCTTTTGACAATCCTACGAATTCTTTGTCCACTAAAGGCATCGCCCCTCTCGGCCCTGTCTAAGAAGTCGTCGTCAGAACAGCAAAGATCTCGACGTTCCTCTTGGTCGAGCTCGGCAGCTTTCTTCGTCGTCTGATCGTAAAAGGAAGTGACGGCTTCGATGGTCCAATGCGCCTCCTCGACGTCGATATCGAGATCCTGGAACACGGCCAAGAGCTTCTTTGCGAGGTTGAATGCTTGCACTTCTTCGACACATGTCAACGTGTCGAGCGAGCAGGTGGCCCACTGAATGAGGATTGGCGATTCGGCCAGCCGAGCAAGGAGGACCCTGGCTCGCTTGACCTCTACGTGTTCGGTGCCATTCCCGAGCCTTGCATTACGCAACGTCGGCCTCTCGAGCTGCTCCTTCTTGCTTGGTGTCGACGGAAGCTGATCCTCTTCAACTGTGACGTTCAAGTCTCCTTGCTCAAAATCAGTCGCCTCCTTTTTGGCGACGGCAGGAAGACTCTCGGGTGCTGAACAGGGAGAAGACGTTGTCAGAAAGACATCCTCGCGACTTTGACGTTTAGGAGGTGGTGTTGCTGGAGGGACGGCCGGAAGGCAGCTCGTGGGAGGGGGAGGTGCGCGGGGAAGCGCATGGAGTCGCAGTACCAACGGCGCCTTTCCTCGTCGGATGGCCGTCGGCGTTTGCGGCATGCTCATGGTGGAACGCCGATCGATGTCCAAGCTGGATGTCGTCCTTGTCGTTGTAGACGTCATGGAAGGTGGCGACGAGGGGGCATGGCAAGGCCCCAAAGGCTCAGAGGACGCGATGAATTGGCCGTGATCCAACGAGGCACTCGCGCGAGAGGGGCTGGCGATAGACTTAGTGCTGGAGGAAGAGAGCTCGACAAATGGTGAAGCAAGTGCCAACGACGCATTTCCCCAGGCGGCACGACGATGATGAGGCAGCAGAGCAGAGAACGAAGCACCACGACGACGACGCAATGGATGCTGCCCTTCCTTCATCGTGAGACGACCTTCGTCTTCGAGAGAGCAAGGTCCAAAGATAGCTGGCTGGATGTTCGAAATCATGTCTACGCTCGGTCCTGCTCTCTCTGACACTCCAACTTTACTTGGCGAATGCACCGCTCCGCGACGGAGAAGGAGTTCAGCCGCACTTTCTACCTCGGCCGCGTGTGTCCTCACTCTTCCGAGAAACGTCAGACCAGAGCATGGGAGGTGGAGACGATGAGAATAGAATGTAGAGATGATGAGATTAAAATGTAGCAGATGAAGATGGGTCGATGGATGGTGCGCAAAACAATTGGAGCAAGAGACAAAGGTAGTGTTCACTAAGACTAAGAAATCGAATCGTGGCGTTAGAAATTCGTCGCGTAGGTGGCTGGCTAGCTTATGACTGCCATCGTTTAGATCGGTCGTGTAGGAGAGAGGCATTACGGGGTAAGGTCGTCACTGTCATGTTTAGAGAGGCCTCTTAGTTGAGGCGGAGCTCGTACGACGAGAACTGCGGGCTGCCGTCGTGGACGCCGACGGCGGGTGCCTTTTGGCTCGAACCAGGCGTGAAGTCAAATTCGGCCTTGGCCTCGTCTGCCGTGGGGGGATTGGCGCCCTTGGGGCCCGTGTACTGGAGGAACTTGATCCTGCCGTTGTCCTTGGGGCTGTACGAGAAGTAGTAGAAGGGCGAGCCCGAGTCGTCGGAGAAGTAGCACTCCTCGTTGGCGAGGTAAGCCTCGTCGGCATAGACGGATACGTGCTTGAGGCACTTGTTTGGGTGGGTCTTGAGCGACAGGTGGCCGTAGTAGACGCCGTCCTTCTCAGGGCTGTAGTCCTCGAAGCCAGGCCTGCTCGATTCCTTGCAGGCGAGGAACTCAAACTCCTGCGCCTTGGAGCCGGGGTAGGCCGAGAGCAGGCGCGGGTTGCCCTCGTACTTGATGCTGTCGGGCCTCTGCCTGCCGGCAAGGGCGTCGTCGAGGGTGAAATCATTGGCGAGGGTAGCGGCGTCGACCTTGTTGGACTTGGTGTCGGTCAGGGTCAGCGTGCCCGTCTTGACGACATGGCACGTCAGCGTCCCCACATCGCGCCTCTCGAGGGGCGTAGGCGCGGCAGCGGCGAGCGAGGCGAACAGAGCAAGGATGGCAAAGGACTTCATCGTTCTTGAGCTTGAAGAGGGAGTGGAGCGAGCTGAGTGAGGACTTCGAGGGGTAGAGGCAGATGTTGGGGAAGAAGTTGGGGAAGAGAATGGCCGCTATAAGTACCTTTTGCTGGACCAATCTTCCAAGCCAAGACCACTCACTAATGCGTCTCACCAAGGTCCCACTTTGTGCCTCGCCTTCTTCGGACCTCCAACGACGTACTGATCAGGCTTGTGTTTCTAGACGCATGCATTATCCTTCCCGAGGCAACCTTATTTTCGACTTTCCCCCTTTTCCTATTTCCTTACCATTTCGGGCAGCTTCCCTGTCAGCGAAACGCGAATCGACGTCATCCGACTTCTGAGACCCTAGCCTGGGCCCTGGTCGGATTGGCGTTACCGTGGGCAACTCAATCAATCAAGGCCGCCGGTACCCGACGTCCAGTTGTTCGGAATCGTGTCGGCTCCCCAGGACCTTGACCAAGTCGTTGAGTCGTCGAGTCGGCGGGGTTGCATCGTCTTTTCCCATGATCACGGTGAAAGACGGTTTTCTGCCATCCTCCGCTGCCCGACCACGGTTCGTTACCGCGAGGTCAGGTTATGCTGCTGTCCTTTCTTGTCTGAAGATGGTCTTACTAGCCGTGCTTGGCGAAGCAGGGGTGGAGCCTTATCTCGCAATCGATCAGCTCGGTGCTGTCGGAGTTGTTGGCCACGTCCCAACTTTGAAGACCTTGCTGCATAGCTTTCTTGTTCTCCAACAGTCCTGATGTAGAATCGCCGGTCTCACCGGTTTTTGGTGGAAAACCTTGACTGAAGTCGCACCATTCTCAGACCTGAATCCACTTGACACGGCACAGCTCAAGACTTCTCTCGAAGACGAATCCGAGCGAGAAAGGCCCAAACGGCTACTTAGAAGCATAACCTAAAGACGTTGTTTGTTCATTCACTCACTGTGACCATGACGTTGTTAAAAGAAGAGAAGAAAGGGGGAGGAGAGTGGGAACGTGCAGTGGAAGAAGACCGTCCATGCTGCGGGGTAAAGGGCCACTGTATCTCTCTAAGTAAGGGCCAAAGATTTCTCAGGAGAACCTGATGTCGATGCCAGTGTGAAAATACGCCAGGTAAATGAGCCCGTCCTCGCCTGCCGCACCAAAGATCACCGCTGCCAGCTTCCATTTCTCTCCGGCTTTGTCCTTGCTTAGGTCGTATGGGAGAGAGACTGGAACATCAAATCCTTTCTGAGTGATCACCTGTCGCGGAACAAGCTTGGTAAGGTCGACGGCCGTGAAAGGGAAGGAGCCAACACCGGATTCTAGGGCCTTGTCTTGGGCAGTGGTGAGGGCGAAGGCGACTGAATACTGTGACATTCTGCTGGGCGTGGAGGTGGCTTCGAAATGGACATTGATCTGGAGAGAACGATGTGAGCCCTTCTCCAGGGACTCATGTCACTATTCTTTGAGCCAGCACTTACCCTCTCCCCAGGCGTGGCACTCGTCCTTCCATTTGCGAGACTCAGCTTGTTGACAGAGAAAGACGCAGACAAAGCGACGCTGGCCAATGATAACGCTACGATGGCGACAAAGAGCAGCTTGACCGTGATAGCAACCATCTTGGTTCTTGCGAGTGGCTGTGTCCGGAACTTTGCTTGGTGGGAGATGGATGTTGGGGGTTGGTATCTTGAGTACCCGCAGGCCCTTATTATGCCAGCAGTCACATTGCATAGTCGGACCTGATTCCCCGGAGAAGTAGCGGTCGCGGTCCTCGGTCATCTGTGACACCAAAGCCGCTCGCGCGCGGCCCGTCATCCGGTAGTCCGGCATTTCATTGGAAGTGCGCTGACATCTCCGCTCTCACTCAGCTACAGCATTTGAGAACGAGGTGGTGATGATGACCTGACGGTCTAACCCGATGTCTGCAGAGTGCCCTGTCTGAACGCAAATCGTTCCAGGCCCGAATTTACTTGACACGGCAAAGATATTGTAAGACTCACTTCGACGAGCTCGAGCGAGCAAATGCACAAGGAGAGGTTGAGCAGGTGCCCAGAGACTCCATTACGTCAGACTTTAATCGAGATTTTCATTGTAAAGCATAGGAGGAAAGTGTAGAAGGTGGTCGCCTATACAAGGTACAGTACATGAAGGGCGGCTAGGAGAACCAAGGGTGAACGCCAGCTACCATTCAAGGAAACCTGATGTCGATGTCGGTGTGTAGGTAGGTTACGTACATCAGTCCAGTTCGTCCACCAGCGTTGAGAATAGCGGTTGCGAGCTTCCACTTTTGTTTCACTTTTTCCTCCTTAATGTTGTAGGGTAGCGTCACCTCAACATCGAAGCCCTTCTGCATCGTTCCCCGGCCCTTTTCAACATTTGTGACGTCAACAGCTGTGAAGGGGAAGGCGCTAGTAGCGGTCTTGAGACGACTGTCGTCGGCCGTGGTAAGGGCAAAAGCTATCGAGTACTGTTCCGTCGAGCTCTGCGTGAGGCTGGTGTCGAAGTGCACAGCGATCTATGAGTTCGAGAAATAGCCTCAGTCACCTTAGCATCTGGTCATTGTATGCATTATGACTCACCCTCTCTCCGGGCGTAGCACTCGTCCTTCCATTTGCGAGCGTCACATTGTCCACGGAGTAGGCCAAGACAACGCTGGCGAAGGACAGGGCAGAGATGACGACAGTAAGCACTTTGCATGCGATGGCTACCATCTTGGATGATTCTGCGAGTCTCTTCTTCGATGGGCTTGATTTCCCTTCAGAGTGGACGCTGGTTTGGCTCGCTCCTCCTTGGCTTTGGCTTTTTAATGTGGGTACTTCGGCTTAAGATTCCGTGAAGTCGAGGCCATCGGTCATCTCCAGCGGAGTTCTTCGCGCGCGGCACACCGTCATTCGGTCGTCCAATACTGCAACGGAAGAGCGCTGACATCTCCGCTCCAAATCAGCTACCGCGTAGTCCGAGCAACGGGGATGCAAGACAACTGCAGCATCGCGGCGCGGAGCGGACCCCTCTGTGCAACTAACACGATCGCGCCTCGAAAAGGAGCCGGATGTGAAGCCGTCCACGCCCGCGGTGTTCAGGCGTGCCAAACCGTTTGCGCTCCAAGAAGACATCAAACAGCGCCTTTTCAATACTCCCATCGCCTCCGACAGTCGCGCTCCATGAACAGCAAAACAAACGTCCGAATGATATTACCAAGAAGAGAGAATTTTCTGTATAGAGAATGGTGTAGATGATCCTATGGAACGTGTTTCAACGGGCAATGGCCACAAACGGAAAGACAAAGGTTCCTGTGCTAGCTGTTGCGACTGATGAAAGTGAAAGTGTATTGTGCGTGTAGGTGGATGGAAAGAAAAAAGAGAAAAGGGGATCACCGTGCCAAGGGCTCTTCGTCTGGGACGTTGTCTTCCTCTTCTGGCCCTGGTTCGAGGTGTCTCGACGCTTCTCGCTGCTGCCCGAACTCGTCTGCGCCTTCATCGGCAGCCCCTTCTGTGGGCTCCTCGTCTTCTTCTTTCGAGTGTCTGATGGTACTGAGGCGTTTGCCCTTGAAACCCAGCGACCGACCCAGCTTCGAGAGCGTCGCTCTGCGCTTGACGCTACCGCTCCGCTGCTGTTTGCCGTGCTTTCCTCTCGGCTCGTCATCTGCGCTGAACGTGTAGCCGCGCGACGGTGTCGCTTGACCCGTCGCCATGTCGTAATGAATACTACTGGTGCGCGACTCGACAGGCCGGAGCGGCGCCATTGCGTGCGTCTCGCTCTCCCTCGAGTCGACAGCCTCGGGATCGTGGCTTGCAATGTTGCTTCGCCCGGGTGCCGAGGGGGGTAGCTCGAGACCGTACTGCTTTGCCGCCCGAAGGGCCGGCATGCCAGGGTCGCGGATGAAGTCGTGGTTCGGGTCGTACTTGGCAATGGCTCGAATCACATCGATGTCGGTTGGGAAGTACGTCTGGCGGACATGCTTCCAGATGAACTTCGGCAGCAGCGCAAGCCAAATGGTGAGGATGCCAACAAACCAGTAAGCGGCGCTGTAGTAGAGGTAGTGGTTGTTGCCGTACGAGTAGGTCCAGATGAGCGTAGGTGGGAAAGCGGCGTAGATGGGGGCAAAGATGAAGATGAGGAACGGGCCGAGCCAGACACCGGCAAAGATGAACCAGTTCCAGGCGCGAATATCCAGACCGACGGACAGGTTAGCCACGACGACGGAGGCCATGGCCAGCGTAGTGGACCACTCCCAAAGCGACACGTCGTAGCCGTCGTCGCGCGCAGACACGAATTCGTACGAGTAGCAGATGAGGAAGTAGAGGATGGCTGACTGCCAGAGCGAGTCGAGGAGGTAGATCATGAAAAGCTTCAGGCTGAAGTAGCTGCCCTTTCGACTCCGCTTGTACAGCTCCGGAATGTCCATGAGCACATTGTCGGGCAGGACACGCTCGAAGATGCCGAGCGCAATGACGGCCGCCACAGTCCAGAAGGCGTTCCAGAACAGGAGGTAGACGTAGTCCATGACCTGGGTCGAAGACCAAGCGCAGTAGATCTGGAACCAGAAGAGGCAGAAGATGTTGATCCAGTTCTTGTAGAAGAAATTGATGATCATGTTGCCGTTGCGGTGGTAGCAGTAGTGGCCGTGGACGAGAATGAGGCGTTTGAGGAAGCGGAACTGGGCAATGGCGTAATCGGAGCTGTTGACGGCTTGGAGACCTTCCTCACCGGCAATACCGACGCCGACGTGAGCAGCCTGGATCATCGAGACATCGTTGGCACCATCACCGACAGCCAGCGTCATGACGCCGAGACCATCCTTGATGAGTCTGACGATGAGAGCCTTCTGCAGCGGCGACACTCGGCAACAAATGACGGCCTTGCACTGCGTCGAGATGTCCAGGAGCAGCTCTTTGCTGAACTCCTCCGAGAGGGCGTGACCGAGAGCCTTGCCATCAATGACAAGGGCATAGCCGCCAGGTCGCTGGCCGTTGTCCTCACCGACCAATGATGCGGCGCTCGTCGTGCTTCTCCGTCCGGTGTAAGCCTCTTCACCCTCCAGTCCCTCATAGTCCGGAGGCTGATTCTCCATTTGCGCAAGAGCCTCTGACCCGCCAAAGAATTGCTCAATGGCTCTTTTGAGCTGATCATAGGCTGAGTTGGGCTGCCCGTATTCGCCTCCTCGAACGACGATCAGGTTCATGTCCTTGGATAGCAGCATCGTTGAGTAGCCGATAGCGATAGCCGTCTCCAGCTTGTCGCCCGTCGCAACCCAGACATTGATACCAGCCCGCTTCAGGTCGGCAATTGTCTCGGGCACGCCCTCTTGCAACCGGTCCTCGATGGCGGTAGCACCCAGCAAGACAAAGTCTTGCTCCAAGTGTGATGCCAGCTCCTCCATGCGCTCCTCACGGCCCTCCAGCAAGACGGTGGCCTCGTGGTACTGGCCAGCCCACTCGTCGTATTCCTCAACGCTGAGCTCCTTGTAACCAAGACAGAGCGTACGGAGACCCTTGTTGGCAAACTCCTCGAGCGCTTCGTCCGTCTTTGCCTTGATCTCGTCTTGCCCAGGGGCCGATCGTTCGAAAATGACACTGTCGGCGCCCTTTGTCATGACGAGGATCTTGCCGTCCGCCTCGCGCCTCAAAATCACACTCATCCGCTTGCGCGCCGAGGAGAACTCGAGGACAGTGAGCAGCTCGTACTTTTCATACTCGGCGGAGTAGGGTGTCTGGATCTTGAGTGTGCTCCTATCCTTTCCGCAGAAAATGAAGCCGACCTCGGCAGCCGCCTGGACCAATGCTTGTTCGTCGGGGCTCTGTGCCTTGTATTCGAGCGCACCAGTCTCTTCGTCTTCGCCCGTGACCACAGTGTGGCAAAGGGCCAAGGTGCGCCAGAACCATCCGAGGAGCTTACCATGTGGCGTGCCCGGGCTCTTTAGGGCCTCGGTGAGCAGACGATCCTTGAAGGGCTGGACATCGGCATTAGCAGGCTTCACCCGCCTACGGCCCTGAGCATCGACGGCTCCGGTCGATGACTCGCTCTCCTCGCTCAACTGTTGGGCCTCCTTCTCGTTGCTGCTACTCTCGTCGCCCGAAGACGTCTTGGGCTTTGCTCCAAATTCGTCGTCGCCTCGATAGGTGGTGCCACCAACGGCAAATTCGCGGAAGATCATCAGATTTTGCGTCAAAGTGCCCGTCTTGTCAGAGAAAATGTACTCGATCTGACCGAGGTCGTCTGCGAGATTCCACGAACGTGCAAGCGTCCTTCGGTTCGTCTTTTCGTAGTAGATGTCGTGGTCATCAAAGATGAAGTAGGCCTGGATCGTGCGGACGACCTCGATGGAGATGTAAAGTGAGATGGGGACGATATTCTGGAACGTGATGAGCGAGTTGCCAAATGTCACGAGACCGTTGAGCTTGGGATTGTCGTCGCTGAAGATGGCATAGTACTCCCAGTAGGCTTGCCTATTGAAGAAATGTTGCTCGATCAGAGAATCGGCAATGGCCAGACCGACAGCCATGGCAGCGAGAATGATAAGGTTGACGTAGACCATGGGGTTCATTTGTCGCTCTACCTTGCCACGCTTCGTGGGAGTCTGTCCGGAGTTGGCGATGATCTTGGTGTCGGCGCCCGTCATGAGAACGACGCCAATGATCCATCGGGTGTTGCGCACATTGCAGCCACGGAGCAAGATCTGATTGATCGTAACGGGGCATCGTAGGGGCTGGCCGTCCTTGTCAAAGCGATCGCCGAGGATGACACTGGCATTGAGGCGGTACATGTCGGTATCCCTCGGGCCGGTGTCGATTCTCATTTGAGCCTCTGTGCAGTCCTTTGCGGTGCGAATCGTTTGAGCCAACTCGGGGACTGCGTGGCGCACCTTCAAATTTGTCTCTCCGTCCAGATTCTTAGTCTCAACAAAGCAGGCGTCCTCTTCCTCTGACGTAGCGCAAACGATGATGTCTGCAGGGATTGGCTCGTTGTCCTTGAGGAGGACAAAGTCGCCCACCTTCAAGTCTTCCCAATTCATCTTGCGCCATCTGGGCGCCCGCTTGGCCCAGTACTGCGCCTCTTCGTCCGGGTTCAGGATCTTGCCATGGTGACGCACTCGTCCGTCGTCGCCGTGCTCGTACTCGCTGTTGAGGACACTCACGCCCATCGAAGACTGCCTCCGCACAGGGCCAGAGCGCAGTGAGCTTTGCGACGTCCTTGTGCGCCCCAGCTCGGGGCCCAAGCCGCTGCCAGCATCACTTCCAGCGATTTGGTGGGTTTGAGGTGCGACCCCACCGCCCGGAGCGTCGGCTGCGGGCTCCATGGGCGATTGATCGAAAGTCATCGAGCGACGGGCGCTAAGCTCCTTTTGATGCTCAAGCATCTTTTTGTTCTGACGCTTCTTGCCTCCCAGCATTTGCTCCCGGAAAGCCTTGAAGGTGGATTGGAACGATTGTTGCTTCGACTGAGTAACATTTGGGTTGATCCAGCCGCCGCCGACGACGACTCGTGTCTTTGCGTTGTTGATGCTGCGATCGGAAATGTGTCTTCGAGTGTCTTCGTAGCCATCCTTGATCATCGTGCCCGCAAGGACAACGAGGAGAGGCAGCATGGCGAGACCTGGCGAGATGGTGGCGAACTTGGGAAAGAACTGAAGCACGACAATGACTGAAAGGGTGTGGCAATGTCAGTGGTCAAGAAGATACAGGAGCGAGAGGAACACAGCACTGACGTGTGAAGAACAGATTGGCGACTCTGTGGTACTGCTCCCACAAGTTCTTGAACAGGAAGTTGTAGAGGGTATATCTCGCCGTTAAGAGCTATTCACGCAATGTCAGCAACCGGCGCAATTTTTGCTGGGCAATACTAGGCCACTCACCTGGTTCGTGGCAAATTGCCAGTTCTTGTGCGGCTTGCCCTTCTTGTCGAATGCCTCGGCGGGGAGCGCTTCGTTGAAGTACACGCTCCTCGGCACCGCTGGAGGAGCCCGTCGCTCGAAGAGGCGGTCGGGATCATACTTGCGCAGTGTATCGGTGAAGCGCGTCCACCACTGAAAAGTCTTTGTCTTCTTTGTTTTCCGCCTTCGCACACCATGGGTCTTGTTGCTCTTGCGCGACCTTTGCGAGATGCCCGTCGCTGATCGCTGAAAGATTGCCATCTTTTTGCCAGTGAAGGGAGGGACAGGGCAAAGGATGGGCGCGTGATCGGAGGCGGTTTGATCCTAAGCCAAAGGGGTAGATCGAGTCGAGTGTACGCAAAGAGTATTGACCTGCGCTCTCTCACTCGCCGAGGGCTGCTAGGCGCAGCAAACGTTGGCCCCTTGAACTCTGACCCTTGTCGACTTTAGTCCAGAAACAAAATTAACGAGATTCTCGCCTTTCTATCTTCGCAAACAGGGGAGGCTCTCTCTCTCTTCCTCCTCCGCTGCTGATCGCTACCAGTCGCGTCTCTTTCGCCTAATCGCCTGCTCACCGTTCGAGCTTGAGTGCAGGTGGTGGCGTGAGACAGAAAGTTATTCGAAGCCCCAAGTGAGGCGATGGGAATAGAAGAAGAAAAGAGAGGGGGCCGCGGCGCCTTTCCTTGTGCCTGCTGAAAGGGTTATTCGCGAGCGATGGGCGACAGTAATAACAAGATCGGGGCGGGGCGAACGACGATCGAATCGCTGCCTGCCGGCAAAGCTGAATGAAGCAGATCAAGCGCGCAGCTATGGGCAGGGATGTGCGTCGGTCGAGCAGTGGCGGTGGCTGGTCCCCGCGACGGGTGTGGATCGTCGTCGGTGTTGGTGAGGCGAAGTAAAAACTCGTCCTACCTTGGCTAATGCGCAGGCAGCGACGCACGTTCGAGCGCAGGCCGAAGGGGCAAATCGACTGAGGCTGTTAGGGCAGGCTAGGTAGCAAGACGCGGTTGTTATTTTAAAAATTTGTCCAAAACACTAGTCCGTTTGTGCACCCGGGCGCTGACATCCGTGAATTTAATGGACAGGACTTCGTGACGCCGCGGCTGTATCGCGCCGGAGATATAACGCCACCAGAGAGGCCCTGGAGAATAATGAGAGCCGCGACAGCAGGTCGTTAGTGGTCAGTACGTGTCAACGCCGCACGTCCGATGTAGTTAATATGGCGCGGTGAAGGGTGAGGCGCACGAGAAGCCAGGAAGGCTTGGTGATAGATCGAGGAGGTGCGTCCCTGATGAGGTAGAATTATCGAAGCTACTCCTGCGTCAGCCTTCAGCTACGGCACGCGCAGGAAGCAGCGTCGATTAGAGCGCTTGATGTATGGGGCTGGGGTCATCTCCTCCCCCATCTCCTCCTCCGTCAGTCCGTCCCCATCTGTCTTTTTCGTCTTTGTCTGCTCGAGATGGCTGGCGCATCTATGGCAACCCAGTCGGGCTTGCCTGATCAGAGGCAGGGCAAGGTCCACCAGAGGGACCTCGGTCGCCAAAGATCAGAGAGCCCGCTCTTCACGATGTTCGACAGCCCTTCCCCGTCATCTTCACTGTCTGAGCCAAGCTCCGACAAATCCTTCTCCAGCAGCGGCACTCCGCCCCGCAAGGAAATTGGTGGTGATGATTCGGACTTTGAGGCTCCTCTGCAGTCTCGCTTCTCCTCGTCCTCTTCCTCCTCTTCATCGTCCGCCTCTTTTTCTTCTTCCTGCTTCTCCTCCCTGCGCTCCTCGCCCTCTTTGCCTCACCTGTTCTCGTCGCCACTGCAAGCTGGCGCTGCGGTCCGAGTGAGAGCGCGCAGAGGAGGGTCCAGAGCTGGTCAAACTATGAGGCAGAGAGAATGCATGAGCACCCAGGCACAACCACAACCAAAGCCTTTCCCATTGGACTATCCGTCTGCTATACCGCTGCCCGAGCCGGACAAGTGAGTATCAGGCAGCCACAACTTTGCTCCAGGGGCGGAATTACCACGCTGATCGCTCCAACACAGGTTCTACGATGTCACGCCTGTCATCAGGGACGAGGAGTTGTGCATCGAGCACTGGCTGGTACACACGCTCGACTGGCCCGTCGGTGACAATGTAGACCCGCTCCATTTTGACCTTCAGCGACTCCAAAAGACGCTGCGAGCCTACGCGCTGAGCGAGACCAAGTCCAAGTCCACTCGTGCCAAGGAAGACGACGACTTCATCGATGTTCGTCTGGGTGGGCCAAAATATGCCGATTGGGTCACTAAGCGCTGGTCAGCACCTTCGCTTCGTCCCATGACCTTTCATACGACCGATTCGCTTTTGTATGCGCTGGGATTATCGTCGACTGCTCATTCGACACCGATCTCTGCATTGGGACCCTCCCTTTCAGACTACGTCTCGAGAGGCGCCGCGACCCTCTCCTTGTACTCGATAATGCAGAGGAACCAGCGCATCTCCTTTGCTGCTTTGCCTTTGAATCGTGTCGTGCAAGAAGCAAGCAGAATTGTGCGAGGAAGTGGGCACTTCCAAGCGATCCTCTCGCTCGAAGGCGACAAGCGCAAGACTGAGGATCCGTCAAAGCAGCTTGACCTCCATCGATCTTTCGATTTGTGCGAAGCCGTCGTCGTCAAGCTCCTCGAGCTCGAGTGGAACAGATTGACGGGCCAGATGACCGAGACCCACAGTGGAAGGAACGATATGAGCGGTAAGGGGACAGAGAAAGAGGGAAGCGGCTCCCGAGACACGAATGAAGAGAGCAAGGTGGACCAGACGATCAATGCGTTCAACTGCATCATTGGAGTAGCCAACTCCCGAATCGGCGCGCGAGAGTCGGACGGGATGAATAGAAGTAAAAAGAGCACCGTAAGACAATTTGCTGGAAGAAAAAGGAAGGTCAAGAGGCTTAGGTCACAGAGCGAAATGCAGGCCAACCTGGACGCCTCGAGCAAATTGATCGTTGGGGAGGGCACAACACGAGACGAGAACGAGACGCCTGGCAGAATGACAGGAGAAGGAGAAAGAAAGGTCCGTGTCGTTGATGAGCGCAAGGCCGACAAAAGGATCAGAAAGAAGAGGATTCTCATGGATCTTTAAGAGTCTCAGCTTTGGTGCCAACAGGTCAACTTCGTTGCTTGTTCAAAACTTCTTCCAACCTCAAAGACGCCTCGAGTCCCCCCCCCCTTGCGCAAAAAGAAGACGATCAAGACACGCAAATATGACATTGAGCTTTCGGAGCGTGTGACAGATCGTAAATGTGTGATTTTGGGGAAAAGATGATCAAGAAGGAACCAGAACAAGCACAGCTTCTCTGTAAAAGACGAAAGGCGGAGAGTGAAGAAGAAGGCGACAAGGCGGCGTCGTTATAGAGAAGAAAACCGAGTCTGAATTAAACAAGATATAAAAGAAACACATGTCAGCTGGCGGGCTTCTTCATGCCCCTGGCGGGCTTCTTGAAGCCTTTCGTTACGCCGCGAGTGGCCTGCTTGAGGCCTTTGACGGATTTGGAAGCAAATTCCATGACTTTACCGACGGTGTTGGCGATTTTGAGGATGAAGTGGCTGTTGTCCGGTGAGGCTCGCTTGACCAAAGGAAGCGGACTTGAGGTAGTCTCGTGAAAAGATCTCTTTGGCAGTCTTACTCTTTGAATGAATTTAAGACCTGCTTTCTGCACGGCTCTCGAGGTCTTTGCCTTGATTCCTTTTGCGATCTTCTTGTAAGAATTACCACGAAAGATGTTGCCTGTCCTTACACCGCGCTTCACTAAGGTGGGCTCGCCGTCAAGTTCTCGAGCCAGGCGGAGGGGTTGCTTGGTGTCGCCGGCAATCTGCTCCTCAAAGCCATTTGAATTGTCACGCTTGTGCGGAGCACTCTCATGGCTACTCAAAATGGAATATGGATGGTCCTTCTGACGTAAGTTCACGCCCTCCATTTTTTTTTAGGAAAGAATGTGCCTGTGCCTTCTGATGAGCTGTGTTGAGGGAGAAAGAGAAAGCTGAGGTCAGTAGTCGCCAAGCTGCGCAACGTGGTCTCAACAGCTCCAGAAACTATCTGACATTCTAACTTTACAGCCATTGCACAGCCGCACGTACACCTTTCTGCTCTCCCAGTACCTTCCTCTCCTCAACAACCTGTCCCGTCCCTCAAAAATGTCTCCTCCGGCGATGGCGCCTGGTCTTGGAGACCAATAGAAGACGGGTGCTCTTTGGCTTACGATGAGCTGTCCAAACAGCATCAGATGGTAAGAAAAGGGGCGAAGAAGGGTTCCCGTCACCACCACCGAATGGGCAAGAAGAAATTTGAGGCCTATTACCCCCGACAAGACAATGAGAAAAAGCGTTTTCCACTCACGATGCCCAAGCTTCTGTCCAAGCCTTTTGAGTTTTGAGCCGATGGCGGAGAATCCTTCGCTCTTCGAAGCTGTATGCTTGAGAGGCGGAAGTAGTTTTTCGGATACGAAAACGCCCGGCCTCGTCATGCCGACCCTTTTTGCATCATGGGCGAAACCAGTTAATATCTTGCTACCCGTGAACTTCTTGGCAATCGTGGACTTAAGGTTGCCAAGTAGTTGTTTCACCCTCCTGGCCAAATTTTCGATGTATGTGGGCTTTCTGTAAAAGCCAGAACCGGTGTGGCTTCCGTAGCTGCCGTAAGTATTATGGTTGCCGTGCCCGCCTGGTCCGCGCTTAACGAGAAACTGAGTCTGTTGATCAAGGTGCTGAACGTCGTCCTCGGGCAAAACGGGTGGGTCGAGCAGGACAACAGCGATGGTCAATGGCGCTTCCTTGGGCTCAACCGCCCCATAGCCATCCAAAACCACTTTGAGACTCCTTTTGACGGAGCGTGTCTCCTGGTCATTGAGCGAGCAACGCTTCTCAAATTCGTTTCCAGAATGGCGCATGCCGCCACAGCGCTTGTCCAGGACCAGCATTTGGACGTCGGTGGACACATCGCGGCGGCGAAAGTCGTTTGACTGGAACAAACAACGCTTTTCTAGCCCATGAGGCGAGATGAAGTGTAAGTACCCCGAAGCACCATCGCACCTGTTTTCGAGCTCGCTGCTTTGCTTCTCAAAAATCAGACGGCCCTCGACGTCACCGGACCAACATCCTTCTGAGTACTCGCGACCTTCGCCACCCACGAAAGGGTGGTGTAGGCGACCTTTGCGGTCTCTGCCGCCGCAAGTCTGCGCCATCCAGTCGTCCTGGGCCGCGATCTTTTCTGCAAGCTGCTCGATGTCCAGCTCCTCATCAATCGACGAGGAATGCACGCCTTCTCCTGTGCCTTCTTTATTCGGCTCGTACATTTCCAGTGGCTCGCTCAGTGGCTCTTTTAAGTTCTGTAACGGCATATTGCTTCGCTTCTGTCTTCCCCTCCTTCCCCGCCTTCCCCTCCCTCCTCCCCTCCTTAAGTTTGACGACCTTGAAGCTGAACTCTCTGCAGTTGACGCCCCTGCATTTGGGTCAGGAGGTGGTGGATCGTATACCTCAGGCTCCCCAATTGCTCCAGCCTCTTGTACGAGTTGATCTGCAAACCAAATCCGAAAACGGCTGAAGTCTTCTGGCAAGCGTGCTCTGTCTTCCTCTGGAACACCCCGCTCACGCTGACCCCACCGGATGCCTGCCACGTCGCTGAAAATGTGACTATACGCTTGTATTGCATGTTCTTGTGTCGACAGCGGTGGTAGCTGACCTCCCACATTATTCGCAGGCGCATTATTCGCAGGCGCATTATTCGCGGGCACATTATTCGCGGGCGCATTACCGGCACGTTTTGCGAATGGCTGCTCGGAAGCGGACCCAAAGAGCAAATGGGACAGCTCTTCGACATTGAACAGCGACTCGGGCTGCTCGAAGAACGGCTCGACGACGTCGTGCGAGGAAGTCTTGGTTGGTGCGACTGTCACCAGAAGAAAGTCGGGCCTGATCAATGTGGCCGCAATGCTCACGTCGGCGCCGTGAGAGGACGCTGTGGCGCCGGACTCTTCTTTGGTCTTGTTGGCGGTATTACCGAGTCCCGGAGTAAGCTTGCTACTGTTGATGAGCCACAGCGCCTCCTTATCGTTAGACATCGTGACGGCGTTGGATGAGTCTTTGTTCGTGTCATGCCCAAGGTTGGGTAGCTCTGACGTCGTATTAAAGCTCGCGTCGAGACCTTCGACCTGATGAGACGTGGCAGAAGCTTTGTGGTTGAGAGGGGCACCCTTGTCGTCTTTGGGGCCAGCAACCTGCCACGGAGAAGTCGTAGCATGGACATTGAAGCTGGTCACTGGCAAGGTGAAGGTGGAAATGCCGTCTAGCTCTGCTACTTTCACCTCATTATTGGTCGAGGTGATGTTGTTCGAGCCGGCCAGGCCCTGAGAAGTCGTCTCCGCGGCTGTAGTGGCGCTGGCAACAGAATTACCCGCTAGCGGAGCGGAGGTGGTGGGGGCTCCCGAAGGCGGCACAATGGAGGAGCTTGTCGTCACAGGGGCTGATGCAATGTTCTTGCCATCGTTCAGCATCGACGTGGCATTCTTGATTTCTTCTCCACCATCCTTGATCAGAAGGACTGACGATGCTGCCGGCAGCAAAGAAGATGGCATAGGAGAATCGGGAGAAGAAGAAGGTGGAGCGCTTGTACCTTCCTGCACGTCACTTCCTTGAGTGACAGTGGGCGAGGGCACCGACGTCAACATCGAGTTGGCGCCAAGGGTGCTGGTCGTCGAGCCAGCCAAGGAGTCGGAATGTACAGCGAGATTCTCCAAGGGCTCTTCCAAAGGACGAAAAGTGGGCTTCTTGGCATCGACCAGCGAGCCATCGGTAATGATTGAGCTCGAGGGGTCATCGAGCACGTCGGAGGCCATAAAGTTGTTCTTGCCTATGACTGGGTTGGGTGCAGAGGTCATCGTACTCTGATCTATCGAGGGAGCAGAGAGCTGCTGGAAGGGCAGGCCCTTTACGTTGATTCTGTGCGCAGATAGAGAGAGTGAGTGCAGCGAATAATGGTCGGAGCGGGGATGAGGACAGTACTCACCCATCGCGAACCAGCGCGAGGCTTATTAGAAGAAGGTGAAGGAGGTCGATGCGCAACATCGTTGAGCAACTCTCAAGGTACCAGCCCAAGAGAGATTGTGGAGAGGTCCCCAATGAGGCACAGCGAAGATGCAGAAGAAAATGGGTGGGGAGAGAAAAGGAAGGAGGGGGGCGCGACAGAGGTCGCCCTTATATCCCTTCTCATCGGCTCCTCGCCACAAACCTTTTTCCCTTTATCTTGAGGCGAAGCACTCTTGGCCACGGAAGAGATGCAGGTGGCGTTCAGTAGCAAAGGCCCGGCGGCCATCGCCTCGCTCTCAATGTTTATTTGCCTCGCGGCAACGTCACTTGGCTGTGAGAGGCAATTCCTCGCCGGAACCGCCGAGATGCCCGAACGCCCCCGTGCGCCCCGTTAGAGCAAAGTGTTTATTGCAATTGAGCAAGCTGGGTAAAGTGATGTGGGTTGTAGTAATACACTCGATTCGTCGCAGCCCTAATCCTGCGACTTCCTCTGCCGTTGTCAAAGCCATCTGCGTCACTTTTTTGCAACCGTCTCGATGAGGTCAGAGATGGAGATTGGTTCGTAGACCGTCTGGGCCGCCATCGTCGCGCTCCTCTGCTCTCGGAAGATGACATCACCCTCAATGTAAAAAGTGACGCCGCCTTTCCCGTCGATGCCCCGCGAGAGGCGTAGGAGTGAATGCGCCCCTTCAGGTCCCCCTCTCCGGTTGAGTGCCTGAACGAGTAGGTCGGCATCGGACGCCGCCTCGCTGACGATGTCGATAAAGGTTGTGTCATCTTCTTTCTGACCATCGGCTCCGTGGGCCCGTAGGTCTTGTAGGCCACCACTCTGGCGTTGTGTTGGCCTGCTCTCGCCTCGAGCTTGAAGCACCTCGCCGTCGCGCGTTGCCAACCCTTCGAGTGAGGGCCTCTGCAGAGTCTGGGCGCTCCTCGCGTCGCCCAGCTCGATTGCATGTTGCATAGTTTCGAGTGCCCTCTGAAACCCCCTCTGCAGACTGAGCACGCCGGCATTTTCGCCGAGCCTTTGCTGAAACCATGATTTCCAGAACTGATACCACTGCGCCACCTCTGCCAAATTCGCTCTCGGGTCAATGAGTAGCTGATAGAGAGCCTCGAGCCATTTGGGCAGAAAGTCCCTCGCAAGGACTTTGGAGAGAATCGAAGGTCGAAGCACGTCCGAGGACCGCCAGGCCAGGACGTCCTCGAGGGCATCCATTTTTTGGTCTGTGGGGTCGACCTTGAATTCGGCGCGAAGGTGGGCAGAAAGCTTGGGCACGACATGGGCTAGGCACATTGAATCCCATTCCCGTGAAGAAAAGACTGGTCGCCAGACGGCCAAGTGTGCAGGCAGGCTCCTCGATACCCTCCACGCTTTCACGGTGGCCCGTAGTCGCCGCTTAGCATCTTGCAGAACGTCGTCCATCTGGTCTCCCAGCACGGGCAGCCAGGGAAACACGAGTCGGTGCAAGGCTCCCTTCTCTTGGTCCTCCTGTGCTCTGGGCGGCTCCCATTCTGCCACGGCACGCTTCAGCTTGGGAAGGATGAGCTGCTGTGTGACATTGTCGCGGACAAATGCAGGCAGGATGCTCTTCCAGGCCTCAATAAGGTTGATGGCTCCTTGTGAGTCGCTCGGCTCCCACTCATTGTTGAGTGCGGAGCGGACAGGTGGCATCCACAGATTCCAGACCAGGCTTTCGTAGGGCGTCATGATCTTTGCCTCCTTGCTCTTGGCCCTCGCCTCGGCGTCGCTCTCGATGGCCAGGGCAGGCTTCCACTTTCTCAAGGTCGTGACACACAGCGCTGGCTCCTCGAGAGGCAACCAGTGGGACAGAAGGCGACGCATGACGGGCACGACGGCGCCCACGACGGCCTCGTCAAGTCTCGCGGCTTGGATCTCTTGGGCATGCTCCTCGACGAGGGCCTTGACTGCTGGGGTGAATACCTCAAGATCGACGAGGCTGTTGTCGGATTGAGCCTCGCGGCCGAGCTTCTCGAGCTGACGCACGACTGCCAGCAGCGACGACAGCCGCTTGGCCTCTGTCTCATGGCGGGCTTTACGTCTCAGGGACTCATCGCGCTCCCTGACGAGCCACTTTTTGCGCTCCATGACTGCACTGCCCTGTCGTGCCAGCGTGTCCAGATTCGACTGGCTGTTCTGGCAGATAAGGCGCAGGTTGTGTCGCAACTCGGGTAGCTTCGTCGTGTCGCTCGTGGGGACGGCGTGGTGAGCCAATGCGGCACTGAGTGAGGATACCTCTCGCATCTCTTTGCCTGTCGCATCGATGATCTGTCCCACGTCGCTCGTGGCTGCCGCGCCACCACTGCCCCCGCCATGCTCCTCGATGATCTGCTCGTAGGTGCGGTGCTGGACCTTGGGCTTGCGCGGCTTCTTCTTGCTGTCGGCCGTCGTCCAAGCCTGCTGTCTCTGCTTGTCCTGCTCCTTTGCCGTCTGATCCTTTTTGTTTGCTCGCCTCTTGTCCCGCTTCCGCCTCGCCTCCCTCTCGTCCTCATCGGTGCTGACCTCCTCGCCTCGCCGCCGTGCCTCGTCTTTGGCCTGCTTTGTCTTTTCCTTGCGCCCGCCAAAGGCCAACCCAGCCTTTGAGGGCCGCTGCATCACCTCAATTGGATTCACAATGCCCTCGCCGTTTCTACCCAGGCCGCCACCGCTCCAGCCCATCTGGGCAAGGTATTTGCTCGGGTCGAATCCTCCCCCCAATCCTGTCCCGAAGCGGATGTTGGTCTTGGGAGCAGCTCCTCCGCCATTTGCACCTGATGGCTGGTGTCGCTGACCAGCGAACGAAGACGACCTTTGAGAAAAGGCGGAAGAAGGAGCCACCTTCTCTGCTGCACCAAACGAAGAAGGAACGCCGGCCTCGGACAGCTGGCTGGGCGCAAAGGTGGGATGCTGCGCCGCCTCACCACTGCCCAGTCCTCCGCGGCTTCCTATTCCCGCTCGGCCGCTACCAATGCCTCCCCTGCTTCCGATGCCTCCTCTGCTTCCTATCCCTCCTCGTTCTTCGACGTCGTCCCCTGCATCCTCGCCTGTGGCCGGAGGTGGTCGTGCCCCAATGCCGCCGCGAGACGAGACGAACGTGGCCGGTCTGAAGCCTCCCTTTTCCAAGTCTGTGTCGGACTGCCTCTCCTGAGCAGTCGGCCCCGTCTTGGCTCCGATCCCTGCGCCAAATGTGGGTCGCATATCGAGGTCCTCCAGCGCTGCTCCCTCCTCGTCTTCCCCGCCATTTGGACGCGCAAGCATCTCGTCGTCTGAGTCGTCGTCTGAGTCGACATCATTTGCTGATGCCTCCTCTTCCTCATCGTCGGAAGAGAGAGGGGCTTCCTCCTCCTCCATCGTCTCGGTTGCACCTTTGACAAAGCCCGGCGCTCTCGTCCAGTCCGTTCTCTTGCTCTTGTCCCCGCCGTCGTCATCGTCGCTCTCGCCAAAGACGCCATAGATGGCCTCTTCCTTTGCCGCCCTGCCCGTCCTCCGCTTCCTCTTCTGGCCCGCCAGAGACCCGTCGTCGCCGGCAGACGACGCACCGTCGGATGAGTCGCCGTCGTCGAGAAACTTCCTCGACCGACGGGCCATTTTCCTCCTCTCTCCACCAGTGCGAGCAACCTGGATGGTATGATGAAGAAATGCGCGCGCGATTAGATTTTCTGATTTTTCCCTTTCTCTCTCAGGTGGAGCTGAGGCGACAAGCAAGGCTCAGCGCGCGCCTCGCGCGAAGAAAATCGTCGAGGAAGTCAAGTCGCGCATACGCCGCATCCACTTGTTGCCTTCCCTTCTTGCTAACGATCTGCAGCTGTAGGAGCTGGAGGACAGAGGGCGAAGAGGGGCAGTATCGGACTCAAAGAAAGAACAGAGGATGAGCGGACCAAAGCAGGGTTTTGCCATGGGTCTCGTGCATGGCGGAGACAATGACGATCGCGATGGCGCTCCCGCTGCCTCCTCCTCTTCGTCACTGTCCGGCGCACGAGCGAACGGGAGCTCACGCAAGGTCCTCACGGCCAGAGATGCCTTTGGGAACTCATCCTCGGACGAAGAGGACCACGATGGGCGTGCGTCCCGTCACGAATCCCTCAGTGGCTTCTCGCGCTCCAAGTCTGGCCAGTGGGCTGCCTCCTCGTCTTCCCACGCTGCGAGGGCTTCGGCGAGAGAGAAGCCAAAGGTCATCGAGTCGCGCGAGAACAACAACTGGTGGGAGGAGCGCCGGCGGAGGATGGGCGTCAATGTCGAGGCGCTTGCGGGCCACGGACCGGGCAGGCGCACGCACGGAGCAGATGCAGCGACAAAGGACCGGATGAATGATGAGGCGCAAAAGGTCGGGCTGGAGGTGCGACGGGGGAAGAGGGAAGACGCTGCGGACGGCGCGCGAGAGGGGGAAGTGCCACCGATGGAAGTCGACGCCGATAATACCGCGGAGAAAGACCCGAAACAGGAGGGGGAAGACCTCGACGAGGAAGCGCAGGCCCGCGCCGCTCTGCTGAGCGGCTCGGACCCCAGCTCAGCCGCCCGCAAGAGCAGCACCGTGATTGCGCTCACCGAGGAAGAGGCGCTGCGGCACGACGCCTCGACGCGTCCCGATGCACCGACGCTCGAGTCGTACGCCAAGATGCCCGTCGAGGACTTTGGCGCGGCGATTCTCCGCGGCATGGGCTGGAAGGAGGGCATGGGCGCAGGGAAGAAGCGCGATGGCCCGACGAGGGCGCCCCAGGTCCAGAAGAGGGCCGCCCTGCTGGGGCTGGGCGCAAAGGAGAGGGACCTCGACAAGGCCAACAACGGTGGCGGGGCGAATGGGGCGCGGGCAAACGTAAAGGCGAGGCCAGAGAGGAGATACGTGCCCGTCGTCAAGAGGGAGCAGCCGGAGCAGAGGGACAGCCCGCGCTCGAGACGGGGCAGTCTGAGCCCCGGCGGACGCGACAGCGATAAGGATCGGGACCGTGATCGAGTCCGTGATCGTGACCATGGCCGTGACCGAGATCGTAACCGTGACCGTGACCGTGACCGCGACCGTGATCGCGACCGAGACCGATCGAGGTACTACGACGACCGCAAGCGGCACCGCGACGGGGACAGGGACAGGGACAGGGATCGCGAAAGCCATCGACGGCACCGAGACCGTGATCACGACCGGGACGCATACAGAGAGAGAGACAGACGGCATCGCGATGACTATGGCAAAGACAGCGACGATCGGCGACGGAGCAGGCATCCTGACTCGCCCGATCAGCGACGCAGAGACTAGCACACACACACACACTGCATACAGTCTTTTCATGTCATTATCCATATCGCATTGCAATTAGTCACAACCATTACTTGATCCCAAGCCTGTGCCGCAGATGCAGGCCTGTGAGGCTGCTGTACGACGAGTCGGCCGTGGCAGCGGCGGTGCCCGCAGCAGCAGAGCCAGCGACGTCCTCGCTGGGTGCGGCCACCGATGCCACTGCCTCTTCAGTGTCCCATGGGTTTCTTGCCTCGCTGGCGGCGTCATCGTTTGCCAACCCACCCACTGCCCTCCCTGCGCCCGCGACGATCCACAGTCTGAGGCCGTCGATGCCCTGGGTCAAACTCTGCCTCCACCGCCGCCGGGAGAGCAAAACAAGCAGGACAAAGAAGACGGCGTAGCGCTTCCGGATGCCGAGCGTCGCCAGTGGCCTGCCCTGCGCGGCCGTGGCAGCGGCCATTCTGCGCCGGCTCGCTTCGAGGCGCTGCCTATAGTCGTCGTCGTCCTCTTCGGCCCGGCGGCCCGCCAGCTTCAGTCGCCGGTACCGCTCCTCGGCCATCTTCCAGCGCTCCTCCTTGGCCTCGCCATCAGCTGCGGCCACACCCTCCTCCTCGCCGCCCACGGCAAAGGCCCGGGCCAGCTGGCGCGCCACGGCCAGCAGCTGGGCGCGGACGGACCGGTGGAGGCTGAGGAGCCGGAGGACAAAGAGGTAGGCCAGCGTCCGCATCAGGTCGCGCTTCCGCCGCCTGACGTGCATGTGTCGCGGATAGTACTGGCCCGTGGCCGAGACTGTCGAGAGGTCAAATGCACCACGGCCCCTCGTCGCGGCGCCTCCTCTCATGACAGCAGAGGTGCCGTCGCGAGGGAGTTTGGAAAGTGGCACCAGCGTCGCCTTGGGCGACGAAGCCGACGACGATGGGTAGGCTGGGTAGCCGTAGAAGGGATTCGAGGCATTGTACGGGGAAACATGATCGGGCATGGCGGCAAACTTGCGCGTGCGACGCGAGAGGAAGCTTGGCTCCAGAAGCATGACGCCGCTGATTGGTGGCTCTTCCAAATCGGCCACCTGGAGCTGGGGCGAGGGGAGCGCCTCGCCTGCAGCCAAGGGCGGGGGAGCGGCTGCGTCGGCAGGACCAACGGCAGAGGGAGGCGACTTCGACTGTGCCTGCTGCTGCCTCATGAGCTCTTTGCGGTACGCCACTTCCTTCTCCGACGCCTTGGTCGCCTCTGCATCGACGTTTCTGCTGCCTCGCCTCCATCGCGCAAAGAAACCTCGCTCTGCATCGCCGCCACCGCTCGCCTCGCTTGTCTTCTGCCTCTGCTTTTTGCCCTTGGCGTCGACAACCTCGTCGGTCTTTTGGCCATCTTTGCCACTCTCGACGCTGTCGCTCTCGTCTCCCTCCCCGCTGCTGCTGCTGCTGCCGCTGCCACCACCGCTGACTCCTCCCTGGAGACCGATCTGACCCTCGCCCGGGGTAGTGAGGCTGCCCAGACGAAAGTCGCGAAGGGAGCCCACCCTGCGAATCGGACCGCTTTGGTCTTCCTTTTCTGTAAAGTGCACGTTTCGCATTCCTCGCTGTTGCTGCAGCGGCAGCGGCAGCTGACCACCGACCAGGGTGCCCCGTCTGCTCTGCACAGGGCTGCCGTGGCGCGATGGTTGACGCGAAGAAAGCTGGGAACCACCGCGTCCAGGGATAGCAGAGCCATCGTCGTGAAATAGGCCGAGCGAGCTGGGATTCGTTGGCGTCGACTTGGTCCTCGGTCGAGACTCAGAAGAGGGATAGCTCGCCTCGTCCCGCGTCATTTGCAAGTACTGCAGCTTCTGAGCGGCCTTGGGCGTCATGCTGGGCAGGCCTCCTCCGAGGTGCTGCATCTGCTCCAGCCGAGGCGTAGAGGGCACCGAGTGCTTTGGCGTGCCCCTGCGCGAACCCCAGGGCTGCAAGGGAAAGAGGAGGGTCAGCCACCATTGTAATACAATAGCAGAGATTGCATGCATAGTGCAATGCCAGACTCACTGTGTTCTCGGTGCTGTAGAATTCATCGACGAGGCTGTCGAAGCTGCCGCTACGGCTCAGCGTCTTTTTGTAGCCCAGCGCCGGACTTGACACGCCGCTGCGACCCCGTGGGCTAGGTGGGGCGCTGTTGCGCTCCCAAGACTCGTCGCTGCTGCTGTCGCCGCCGGCGTTGGCGCTACCACCACCACCACCACCACCTTCGGCTGCTTTGCCCTCGTCTTGCCCGGCCTTCTTCTTTGAGCTAAAGACGGGCCGCGCAAACTTGGACATGACATCGTTGCTCGACTCGTCGATCTCCACCTCGAGCGTGCCGCCAAAGGGTCTGGGCAGGTGATCCGCGTCAAAGAATTCGAGGAGGCCGTCCTTCGAAGGGAAGAAGATCTTGTCGAGGGCCTGCTGGGGCAGGACGCGCTTGGCGAGACCCCACATGCCGGCATGGACCCAGCCGTAGTGGAGAATAAAGACGGCGCCGACCATGCCGGGAAAGTGGTTCTTGAGAAGGTCGAGGAGAAAGGGCAACAGCTCGAGCTCCAGATTGGCCATGCCCGACTTTTCGAGGGAAAAGGCAATGACCATCTGCAGCGGGCCACCCTCCTCCTTCTTCTTCTCGCGGTAGGAATGGGCGAGGAGGCGGCGGACAGACTCCATACATCCAACGATGTACTCGCGGCACTCGTCGAGGCTTGCGCTGTCCACACGCTCCAGGCTCTGAAGACTGATGACACCGCACGGCCGTCTGTAGCGGTCGACGAACTTTGTGTTGGCCCAGAACAGTGGCGGCCGGGGCGGGCGCGGTGAAACATAGAGGGGATGCAGCGACGAGAGCGAGAGCGAGTCCAGATCCGTCCTGAGGCGCCACTGCAGCGATGTCGTGAGCAGCTGAAGCGCCGTCGCAGCGTCGTACCGGCCTCGTCGGTAGAAGCGAAAGATGGTCGCTGAGGAGGAACCATATTAGGGGGACCGATGCCAGGACAGGGAGAAGGAAATGGACACCTACCGCGATCATTCAGGAACCACTTGATGCGCTTGGTCGCCAAGGCGTCCTCCTCGAGGCCTAGCTCGGAAATGACGGCAGGGACGACATCGTGGAGCGCCTGTGCCTGCACCTTCCTCACCGCGTCGAGGTGGAGCCGGTGCTTGTTGGCCAAGTCTTCGTGCTTCGCCGCGACGGCCTGCGACGACGATGTAGCGACTGGCATGGCTGCTTCTACTCGCTCGCTTGCTCACCGCACCCTGATTTGTCCTTTTGAGTGGGTGTGTGGGTGGGTGAGTGGATGGATGGATGACAAAAGACACACGGAAATGCGATGTCCAGTCCAAAAGAAGGCAAACAAAAAATAAGAAGCCGGCTCACGGAGGGGTTGAAAGCGGGCCGGTCGAATCCATGCACGCATGTGGGACGCGTTGATCTGGATAAGTAGTCCAAGCAGTCTGTCATGTCATTCTGTTCCTCGTAAAATAGAAAAGAAAAAAGCCTCAAGTTGGCGCGTGGTAGCCCTGGCTGCCTTTCGTACGAGAACGCACAGACAGTGGAGGGCAGGGCCTGTCGTGCGAGAGGAAGACCCACACTTTCTCTCTCCGTCGTCGGTTTTCTTCTGGCCACGGCTCCTCAGCCGAGGCTGTCGGAGGGGATTGGACCGGACTTCACCTCTTTCTGCCAACACCACCCCCACCATCACCATCACCGGCCAACCATGTCATCAACTGCCACGCTGCCCACGGGCTCTGCGCCCACCAAATTGGCAAGCAGCCCACCGTTTCGTCACGAGCACGTCGGCTCCTTCCTCCGCCCTCGACGGGTCCACGAGGCTCGTGCTCAATTTGGGGAGGGCAAGCTCGACGCTGCTGCCCTGCGCGCCGTCGAAGACGAAGAGATCGCAAAGCACATCAAGGACTGCCTTCACTGGAAGGTCCGCGATCTGTCCGACGGCGAGTTCCGCCGGCAGTACTTTCACATCGGTGCGTCCTCCCATTCACTATCGCCTCCCTCCCTCTTTGCTGGCCATTCTAATGATGCCTCGCTCGCACAGACTTTCTCAAGCATCTCGAGGGTGTAGATATCCAAAAGAACAGTGAGTTTGGCCGATGCTGTCTGACGCTTGCGTACAGCATGAGCTGATGGTCCATCTCCTCACTCCCAACAGCGCTCGAGCAGCAGCAGGGCAATGTGCCGCCCACGTTGGCCGTCACGTCCAAGCTCCGGCACTCGAAGCCGATTGAGGTCGACAACTTCAACTATCTCAAGTCCATCGTTCGTGAGTGTCGCAGTATTTGAGTGAATCGCCAACACACCTGATGCTGAGATCTGCTCTCCATCAGCGGCCGACCAGCACCATGCAATCAAGATCACCATTCCTTCGCCCACCATGCTTCATTTCCGAGGAGGTCGCAAGGCCATTTCCGAGCAGGCCTATCCCAATCTCGATGACTTCTTCGCCGACCTAGCGCAATGCTACGTGCAGGAGGTCAACGCGCTCTACGCCGCTGGCTGTCGATACCTACAGCTCGACGATACAAAGTGAGCTGCCTCACACTTCTCGGAGTATTTGCACAGCCACTGAATGCACTTTGTCTCGAACAGCCTCGCCTACCTGACTGACCCAAAGATGCGGTCCGACGCCGAGGCCCGCGGCGAAGATCTGGCCAAGCTGCCACAGCAGTATGTGCGCCTCATCAATGCGGCCATCAGCAGCGCGCCAAAGGACATGACGCTGGCCATCCATCTCTGCAAGGGCAACTTCAAGTCGCAAGTGGGTACCGCATCTATGACGTTCTTTTCATTGTGGAAGCCGACATACTGACGAGGCTCCGCCGTTTCCAGTACTTTGCTATGGGCTCCTCTGAGGGCTACGAGCCCATCGCGTCGGCCCTATTTGGCGAACTCAACGTCGATGCCTATTTCCTCGAGTGGGAGAACCCAGAGCGGTCGGGTCAGGACTTCTCGGCGCTACGCCACCTGCCAGAGACAAAGACGGTGGTCTTGGGCCTCGTCTCGTCCAAGACGCCTCAGCTCGAGGACGAGGAAAAGCTTGTCGAGAGGATACAGGAGGCGAGCAAGGTTGTTCCCAAAGGCAAAGACCAGCTTGCCATCTCTCCTCAATGTGGCTTCAGCTCGACTGTCCACGGCAACGATCTGTGAGTATACCTTGCCTTTAATTCTCATGTTAAGAGCTGAGCTGACATTGGTCTTGACGACATTGCAGAACCGCCGAGGAGCAGTTCAAGAAGCTTGACTTGTGCCGACGGGTCGCTGCGAAGGTCTGGGGAGAGAACAATGTGTAAAAGAGGCCACAGATTGCGTGGTCGGTCTAGTCGTGACCTGCGATGGTCCACATCCCACGCTACCATCAAGTTCGGCTAGATCATTGACAACAAATCATCTAAAAAGTATTATTTCTTCGACCAGGAAGAGGATCTAGCTGAGTCAGGTTGGAAAGGGGTCGACGGTTAGGAGGATGGGGCCGAATCAGAGAAGAATCTGAACTTAAGATGACAGAAGAGTGTCGTGAACTGAGGAAGCGTACTACCGCGCAGAAAAGGCTTGCGCTTGGTCGAGAGATTACTGTTGGAGCTCCTCGACGTTGTTGACTCCCTTGTTCAGCGGGCTGGATACTGGGGCCGTAAGAGCACGATGGCTACCCCCCCTGTGGGTGGAAGTCACCTTTAGTCCACGCGCGTATTTGATGAAATCAATGAGCCCATATCCCGCTGGCGATGGCTTTCCCTGGGTGTTGTCAAGCAGTTGCGGATCCCCCGGGCGACGATGATTGAGCGACCATCCAATAGTGCCGATGTTGGCTTCGTACGCTTGTTTCATAAAGTCATACATGAAATTGTACAAGTATGTCGGGTTAGTGCTTGAGCTCCCCAGCTCCGTCGTCACGATTGGGTGAAAGCGTGCAATTGGAACTAGGATGTCTTTGATGCACTCGACGCCCTTACAGATTTCTTTGAAGTCCTGATAAGAATGAGGAGGTCGAGGCGACATAATAGTCAGTGAGCGCTCAGAGAAGGATGTAAGAGTTGAAAGGGGCGAGGAACGACTCACGTAAACGTGTACCGAGATAGCCAAGTTGTTTTCCTTGTCGTCCTTAAGCTTGTATTTCGCCCAATCCCTGATATCGTTTGCAAAATCTAGACCGGCGCAGAGGAGCAGGCCTTTGAACTTCATACTTCTAACGACATTGATCATATCCTGCATGCCCGCCACCTGGTAGCCAGGGTTGTAATCGCAGAATTTGGCATTCCAGCCGTACTGCAGGCACCACCACATTTTGACGCTCGCCTTAGGTTTCGGCTCGTTGAAAAGCTCGAACACGACGTTTCTGTAATTGACAAAGCGCTTCGCTACCCTTTTCCAGAACTCGAGCGAGTGTCCAACATTGGCAAAGTCTTGCTGAGGTGCACGACCAGCATCAGCAAGTAGTACAAGCAACTCAGAGACCCGAATGAGACTCACCTGGTCGGTCGTAGACGTGTCGCTTGCTTTCCCCACGGTCCAGTGAAGGTCGAGGATAGGTGTAATGCCATTTGCAATGAGCATGTCGACGTACGTAGCAATGTAATTGAGATAGGCGTCGCCACGCGCTTGGGGAGGACCATTGTCGAGGTCGAGGAGGCATGCTTCGTTCATGGGGATGCGTACGGTCTGAGGATATTGAAGGTCCGCACACTTTGAGCGACTATCACAAGCACTTCAAAGGGCAACAAATTGGGACCCACATTGACTCCCCACTTATTCTTGAGCATGTAGATCGTGCTCGCACTCATGGGCATCGTATCGGCACCCCCCATGGGCACCGACATCTTGATACAAGCATACTCGGGCCCGCTTTGCGAGACACCAAGCATGATGTACGGCTTTCCCGTGCTGGTATCGACGATCTGATGATTATACACCTTCAGATTGGGTGCTGTGCGGTGACCCACATTACCAGCACCCGCGGCACCGCCCCCGACGAGTGGGTGCTTCCTTCGCAAATCTTGCGGTCGAGTTACGGCCAGGGAACTAGGACGTTCAAGAGACGTCACGGTCGCTAGCGTCGCGAAGAGGGAGAGAAGTAAAAAGAGGGTGTGGAAGACCGCCATTGTCGAAGAATTATGCTTGCTCCTGCCCTTAGCGAGCGAGGCACACGGACGACACCAAAAAATGAGCTCTCTTATACCTTTGACCTCACATTCACCGTGCCAAGAGCTCTTTGTGCGCTGCTACACAATTATTTTCTCCTATTCAACAAGCGGCCTCCCTCCTTCCTCTGATTCGTCGGTAAGACTTGTCATTCGAGCGGAGAAGCTGGAGAAAAGCTCCTCGTCGTGAGAGAGTGGGGGACTTTCAAGACTTCGCCGTGGGAAGACCATGCGACTTTACCGCGATAGAGGGTGTCTTGTCTCTCAGGAACACGGTGCTGGTGTGAAATGAGCCGGGGACCAGGGCAGAAGCGAATCAAGTTCCGTCGTCCGGAGGAATCCCGTTCCCACGGTCTCCTTAGAAACACACCCATCTACGTTGCACCTCATGCCCTGGGCGTCGACCGCGGAATCGCAAGTTGAAACACGAAGAAGGACGTTTGATGTCACCGCCGGCGCTGCTTACGTTGAAACGGTGAACCACGCGAGCGAGGTCGCCTTCGCTCGTCAGAGAGCAAAAGGTGCTCCGCCTTCGATTCCGCGCATGCAGTGTTGCCGAAGCGCCGGCACGCGCACTACAAAAGAAAGCCACAACAACATAGAGCAAAGCGAAACGCATCCCCATGGATTTGGAAATACCCCTCCGTTTGAATTTCTGATCTGCCGACTTTTCTATTCAACAGAGCAACCCACGGAATGTTCATGATATTCCGTAGGCTACTATCAATGCCCTAGTTTGACAACCGGCGGCTCGTAGCAAGCTAGGGGCTTCGTGTGCCGTCCCAGGCACCAGGCCTCTTTTGCAATATTTATATATAGCACTGGCCTGCTTGAGCGTCAGGTTAATGCGGCGGAATACATGAGGCCGGCTCGTAATGCACGGGAAGGAGCAGCCTTTGACGGAGTGTCAAGTCAGGGCTAGCGTGAGCAGGGAAGGGCAGGAGAGTAGTCCTGGTCCAAACATACCGTGGCAGACAGCCCAGGTTCCGAGGCTAGGGGGTACTGCTGAATGGAGACAAATGAAAAATGATGAGGTGGTGAGGAAATCGTCAGAGAGAAGACACCTTCCTCTCCTGCTCCATCATCCACCTCGCTAGACGCACAAAGATCAGAGAGTGTGAGAGATGCGGCCGACGTCCCTGCTCCTGTGTGCGCTCGCCTGTGCGGGTACTGCGCTGTCCTCTACCCCGGGCAACGACCTTGCTACGTCTCGCTTTGCCCTCCGGCGCTCTCAATCACACGCGAATCGCGTCGCTGCCCTCTTTCCCCGTCAGGACAATGCGACGTACATCGCCGACGAAAACACAATCATTGCCGAGATGGGCACGAATCCACTCCAGGCCGCAAAAGACGTCCAGACGATTCCCTACCTGGCAAACAATGTAGGTTGGCTACGGAATGAGTCAGAGAGCAGGTTGCTGACAGCCCTTCTCAACAGAATACCGGAGTGACGGACACTGGCCTCCAGACGGTGCAGGGCGATTCCAACGAGGCGCAGTTGCCTGGAAATGAGTTCGCGCCCTTTGTCCAAGGGGCTAGCACGAATGTGTCCGCTCAGGGCGGGTGGGAGGCCCTTCCGCAACAGGACGGCTTCGATCTCAACAGGACCTGGGAGGTGCTTCCGGGCCTTGTCATGCCCTTTTACGTGACATCCAACTACAACCCTCAGTCAATCAAGCGTGCCGTCATCACCTGGCCGGGCAAACCGCGTGATTCGTGGAAGTATGCGGCCCTGTACAACAACGCCCTTAACGTGGTCTACTACAGTCCGACAATCCAGTGGGGGGTGGCCAACGGCAGCGTGCTCATTGTCGCTCCCGCCTGGCTGAATGACATCGACAAGGCAAACGGCAGTGTACAGGCCAACGAGCTTTACTGGCACGGCTCCCAGTGGGAGGCTGGCGGAAACTCTCGAAACCCGAAATTGGCACCACCGCACAACCGCACCCTGTCCACATACGAGGTTGTCGACAATTTCACAGACTGGCTGTTCAACAAGGACTACTTCCCCAACCTCAACCAGGTCGTCATCGCCGGCCACTCAATGGGTGGTCAAGCAGCACAGCGGTATGCGCTCTTGAAGAAACAGAAAGCCTACGACAACAACATGCAGGTGCGCTCCCTGCCCTCCTTTCATTATTCCCGCACCCCTTTGCTCACCTCTTTCATGTCACCTACAGTACTGGGTTGGCAACCCGGGCTCCTGGGCTTGGCTCAGCTCCGACAGACCATACCATAATGACTCGTGCTCGACGACGTACGACAATTGGCACTACGGCCTGGGCGGGAACCAGACAAAGATTGTCAAGTACGCAAGAAAGGATGTCCTGGCCGACAAACAGGCCGTCGTGAATCGCTTCCTCGCGCGCAAGATCCACTATGCGCTTGGTCTGCTGTGAGTCGCGCTTTCTCCATCTCGATTGAAGAAGTTCTTTGTCCTTCTCATGCTGATCGATTCATTTTTCACTCAGCGACAATGGAGCAGGTGACACGCATTGCGAGGCCAGAGATCAGGGAGGCAACCACTTGGACCGCGGCTCGCAGTTCATGCTACACCTCGGTGTCGTCAACAACGGAACATTCCCCGCAGCCCACACCGTCGACTTCATCGTGAGTCACCTCTGCTCCGACTCTTCTCTTTGCCTTTTAGATCGTGTTGCTTACCTTGGCGGCCCACCCAGGCAAACACCTCGCATCAAGACTTTGCCATGATGTCCGCCAACTCGTCATTGAACTGGCTCTTTGCAAACGACTACAACGTGCGAAACCCAGACATCATCCCGTCGAACCCGGGCGATAAGAAGCACAACACGACAAAGGAGCCTGTTCCCAAGGTGAAGGCCTACGCAACACATGGAAACAAGGTCCTCGCCACTGGTCTTCTGGGAGGCAGCTTGGCCCTCGTTCTCGCAGTCTTTACCATCTTGCCATTCATCTTCACGGCAAACTTTGTTGAAGACCCACAGCCGGCTGAGGCGCGGATGACAAGGGGCTACGAGAAAGCGCTGCCAGTTTCATCCCACAAGCTGAACCAAGGCAGCGCGGCAAGCTCGCAGGCGCCGATGCTAGGTGGCGACGACGGCAGCAGCACTGACTACCACGACCTGTACAGAACGAACATTCCCTCTCGGTTTCAACCGGCCAGCAACCGCAGATACCTCTGATGACCGGAAGGCTGGTCCAATCCAACGTCACAAGGGTGCTGTTGCTCTCCCTGCTATTACAAGGAAGATAGAGAAAAACTCCCCTATTGTCCTTGTTTTTGTGTAATTTACATCATCTCCTCGCTCTCTCATCGTTTTCTCCAATCAACCATCCAACGCCTCTGCTCAGGCTGAAGCCTCCGCCACCCTCGCCTCCAGGCTCCTGCTCGTGGCCTTGCCGTTGCGTTGGTGGTGTCGACGAGGAAGGCGACGATGATGTGGAAAAGGTGCCGAAAAAGTTGCGCGCTGCACGTGCCGCTCTCTCCGCTGGGTCCAGGTAGAGGCCACCGCCGCTCGTTGTTCGGGTGCCCCTCTCGTCGCCCCCCAATCCATCAAAGAGCTGAGCCGCCCGGCCATACTCTCGCTGCTGGGGTTGCTGCTGCTGTTGGCCGGCAGCTTGGGAAGGTTTGGAGTCCCGATTTAGCGCAGACTTGGAACTGTTCGAACGCAAGCCCGCGCTGGCAAAGAGAGCGCTGAAAGGCGACGTGGCACCCTCCATGATGCCCGATGGGAGGTTGCCACCTGCGGCCGCGGCAGCAGCGGCCGCTGCTGATGCGCCTAGTCCCAGGATACCTGCCGCAGCGTTGCCCACCATAAAGCCACCCTTGCCATCCGCCCCTTGCTCGACTGAGCCGCTCTGTTGAAGCAGCATCTTCTGCGCAGCCGCGGGATCCCTTTCGACGAGGTCTGAGTATTCCTGATCAAGTTTCCTCCAAGTCTGCAGCAGCTGCTCCAGCCTCTCAGGCGGGCACAGTGACAAGACCTGGCCCATGAGCTTGAGCTTAAGCGCGACATTGTCCCACGATGGATCCTTTGTCACCTGGAGCAGCGTCTTCCAGCCGATATCCTCGGCTTCTTCGATGGGGATTGGTGCGCTGCCGCTGCCGCTGCCGCTGCTCTCGCTAACCCTTTCGTCTTCACTGACGATCCCATTGCCGCCCTGCGATGCTGTCCTGGCGTGGTGCGCACTCGCAGCCTGAGCACGCTTCCTGAGCGCGAGAATGCTTGCGACAAGCCTCTCGCATAGCGCGTTCGCCCGCTCATAGTCGCTTGCAGCAGTGGCCGCATCGGCAAGCATGGCCAGCGTCTTGACTTCAATGATGGCCTTGGGCGTCAAGTTCTGCTGCGACGACTCTCTGCTCGCGTCGGGTGCTGAAGATGGCGAAGGCACGTTGCACAACTTCTTGGCCAGGTCGAGAATCAAGTCTGGCGTCTTGTATGCATCCTCCTTCTGTGCCAGCAGCCTGGCCAGGAGATCCAGACGATTGCTTTCTAGACGGATCTCAATGGGCGCAAGCGGGACCGAGGGGTGCAGCTTCGAGCTCACTCGGAAGGAGCAGAAGCGCGAAGTGGCCTCGATGAACGCTCTCTCCCGCTTGAGCAAATCCGAGTCGGCCGAGCCGAGACCGAGGACGTCGTAGGCCGTCTTCATGCTTCCCGTGTGCAGATTTGGGTTTGTGCTGTTGTCGTACAGCTCGCGAGACGCCGCCAGAATCAGTTCGTCTTTCTCTGCTGTGGAGAGCGACGATGTCGAGTGCATGGTGCGATAGAGAGACAGGTCTATAATGCAACATAAGTCAGTCTCTGGACAGCTTTCGGAGCATAGCATCGCTCCTTTCTCACCTCCAGTCCGCAAGATTGCCTCAAGAATAATCTCGTCGACCTTCTGCACATCGATGAGTTCCAAGGCCTGTCCGTGTCCCACCAGCCCTCTGAGTTCACCCCAAAGCTGGCTCCAATCGTTGCCTGTCCGCTGCTGCGACCTGCTGAACGTTCTCGCAAGCTTCGTGACCCCTTTCATCTGTTCTTCCCTCTTCGAGTCGGCCTGTGTGAACCAAGCCAGGCTAGTCGGCGAGGCAGAGTCTGTCCATCGGAGAAAGACTCTGGCGGCCTCGAGATGCCTCACGAGTCGTCCCACGTAGTAGGACAGGGCGTTCTCGTCAACGCTCGATAAGAAGGGGTACACCGTTGCTGGATCGCATTTCGACGACACCGCTGACGAAGTCGCCAGCACTGGTCCGGCGACGTCGAAGAGAGTCCTTGGTGGAGGCGATGAAGTTGTTTGAGATGATGAGAGGGACGAAGTGGCCAGAATCCTTCCGATCTCGTCAAACACTCTAGCGTTTGCTCCCTGCTGCCCAAGAACACTGGCCATTGCCACCTTTGCCCGCTCGTGTCTGCTCAACGACAGTCCAAGGTCGCCATCACGAGCCTCAAGAAGCCACCGAGTAAGAGTCAGGCCATCAACCTTGCTCGGGGTGAACGAATGGCTGGCCAGATGGAGGAGGAGGGCGACGAACGATTCTGTGACGCCCACCTGGACAAGCTCTTCCGGAGTGCGATTCGGTGCTGCTTGTCTGCGGACAATACCGTCCAAGAAGGGCACGACGCCGGACTTCACTGCTGCAGCTGCTTCCTGGCTGCTGCCAGATGACCGAATGAACTGCGAGGCCATGCGGGTGCAAGCAGCGGAGTCCAGCGCGGCCTCTTCTCTTGTCTTGCTGAATTGGCTCAGGGTCCACGGTGATGTTGAGACGGTGGACTGTCCAGAGGTTGCATCGACATACTTCTGCATCGACTCGAGGTCTTCCTTCATCGCCACGATCTCGGAGCTCGACAGTCCGAGGGCTGGCGCGAGAGAGGTGACTTGGATAGCTGCTGCGATGGACCCGGTCTCTTCTTCGATGCTTCGCACCACTCCCTCGTAGAAAGTCTCGAGCTCTTCGCGGCTCAATCTCTGTCCGTCTTCCAGCTCTTGAAGCGACCCAGCGAGCTCCCTCCCTTCCGTATCCGGCCCTACATCAGCGTCGCCATGGTCCTGACTCGTTTCGACCCACCGACCCGCCTCCTGATCATCTTGGCAGCGCAGTAGGACGTCGGTGTCTTTGAGTGCGCTCAAGTCTCTCCCTGCCGTCGCCCCGCTGACGAGAAGGAGGCGGACGAGGTCAAGCCTGCACCTCGCCACCCCCGCATATAGGCTCGTGCCCTCGGCAGCCCCGAGGAAGTCGTCAAGCTTCTCAGGTTCGAACCGCACTGCCAGCTCGACAGCCAGCCGCAAGGGATTTTTGTTGATGAATGCTAGGGCGTCTGACGTGGTGTTGCTTGCGGCGTGCTCTTCCATCCCCGGTAACGCTGCAACCTCCGCCTCATCGGCCCAAGGATCGTCTTCCTCTTCTCCTTCCGGCGCCTGCAAGGTCTTGCTCGAGGTGGCCTGTCCTGTCGCTCGCCGTCGCTGCATTCTCTCCCAGACATCGAGCATACGTGATCGTCTGACGAGGGCTCTTCGAAGCGATCGCCCCTCGCTTTCGCTGTCCGGTGTCAGAGACCTTGCAGACGCCGCTATCCCGACATCGAGCAGGTGTCTCAGCGTCCCATTGTCAGAGTCTGCCAGTGGCGACGAAAAGCTCTCCACCGCATCCAGCACAGCCGTACAGACCCAGACGTCGTCTGTCGTGATTGCGCCCAAGCTGGCGTCGATGGCCTGAACCGACAGTGGGGGACGAGGCGGCGAGGGCCCAGACGATGCACTGCTGCCGCCGCCATCATCGATGCCCGGTCCCAAGGGGAAAGCTCCGATCAATCGGAGCCAGGCTCGCTTGCGCTGCCGCTCCTTGCTGCGCAGCGCGCTCATCTTTGGACGCTGACGCGAGAGCACAAGGCGGGCGACAAGACGAGTGTGGTGATGCACTTCTAAGGTGTGGCCCACTCACTCACTCATTCGCGCACACACGTGTAAAAGCGGTGGAAAAAGTTGAGAAGAACGCGACCGATAGGACGAAACCCACCTCGCACGGACTTTTCTCTCGAGCTGGACTACTTTGACGACGACGACGAGGACGGCGACGATGGAATTTGATCCGCTCGCGAGAGACGCACCGCCGCCGAGGCATGACCTCGAGTCTGACTCGGAGCTGTCGGAGGGGGAAGGGGAGCAGGGGCAAGCGGGGCCAGAACGGACGCGCAGCAAGGTCTTCGTCGAGCCAAAGATTCAGGTTCTCGGCCTTTCAAAGAAGCAGGCTCCCCTGATCGTCGCTGTGGGCGAAACGGGCGAGTCTCTCCTCGCCTTGACCTGTCCTTCCCTCTCCGAGTCCGGCTCGGTCCTCGTCGACGGAGAGCAGGAGGCTTCGGTCCACGTCACTGCTGCTGCCACGCTGGTCCTGCTTCGGCCCTCTCATGCGCTCTCGTCGAAGCTCGCCTCGTTTCCGTTCGTCGCTGCCGCTCTTCTGGACGCCCTCTCCCCATCGAGGTACGTATTGCCCCCTTACTTCCGCCTCATTTAATCTCATTATGCTGATAAAAGAGAGGATAGTCTCGTCGTCATCGACGAATACACGCCCCAGCTCTATCTCTCCAAGGACGCGCGGCCCCAGGACGACCCAGTCCGCTACCTCGCCTCGTCCGAGCACGACACCGACCCAGCGCTGAGGCGCTACGAGGCGCCAAACTTCATCACGGGCCTCGCTGCCGCGCTGCTCACGGCTGCCTCTGCGTCTACCACGGCGCTCCCGTCGATGGCGCTCCTGCTCCCGACGTCCAAGCCGCGGCCGCACCCGCACTTTGCTGCGCAGCACCCTTCGTCGGCGATTCAAGCCCATGCCGAGCCCATCGAGGCGCACCTGGCCGAGACTGTGTCGAGGCAGCTCAAAAAGTGGCCAGGCACAGACTTGCCCATCGAAGTCGAGTCCAAAAAAGAGAGGACACTGACGACGTTTCTCGACGAGCGCAGGCAGAGGGACCGTAAGAATATTGCAGAGCTGGCGGGGAGCATGTATGTATGATTACTGGTTGGCTTGCAGAAACAAAGACGAGAAGAGGTATACAAGGGAATGTATAATGTACAGAGGGAAGGCGTAGGAGGTAGAGAAAGAAAGAAAAAAAAAAAAAAGGAGAAAGCGAGGGCAAAAAGAGCCACTAGCCGCCCCGGAGGATGCCCTCTATTCTCCTCCGGTCCCTGTCCGCGCTCTCGCGAAGGTGCTCGATCTGCCGCATGCCCTTGATCCTCAGCTCCTCGCACGCCTTTTCCACCTCCTGTTTCATCCATTCTTCCACCGTCATGGCCAGCTCCGCCTCGGATAGGTTTGTTAGCTCGGCAAGGGGCTTAATTGTTCCCTGCTGCTCTTCCGCTTCCTCTTCCTCTGCGTCCTCCTCCATCGCTGCTTTGTCGACCGCGTTGCTATCTCCCATCTCGACATCGTCAGCCGACGAGACAGAGGCCAATAGCTGTGGCGTGGTGTCGGAGCTGTGATTGTGATTCTTCGACGCATTCATCGATGACAGTGCTGACGTGGAAGTGTGCGCGCTGTCCGACGACGAGAGGTTGAGCTTCCCTGCCGCATCTGCAAGCGCCGATGACGACGAGGTGTCGCCTTTGCGATTCTTCTTCGTCGCCGCCTTGATCTCCCCTCCAAAAGATGCCGCGTCATTTCGCGGCTTGGGTGTCTGTTCGACCGAGGGCGATGCAATCGGAGCCGCTGTTGCTGGCTGCTTCTTCCCCTTCTTCTTGGTCTCTTCTTTCTCAATCGATGCCTCAGGCTCGTCGTTCTCCTTCTCAGATGTCTCCCCTTGTTGCTCGTCGTTGGAGGCCTTCCTCCCGCGGCCACCTTTCGTCTTGGTAAGACCTTTCTGTTGACGGACCTCTTCGGACCCTGGCTGCGCCTCTTCGTCGCCCGTCTCTTCTTCCTCTTCCGTAGCGGCTTCGGCCTCATCAGCGCCCTTCTTCTTGGATCTTCCGCTCCTACCCGCCCGTGTCTTGGGCGCTTCGTGGTCAATCATCGTCGCTTCCGCCGACTCAACTTTCCTCGACACTGTTCTCGCCGCTCTCTTTGGCTTGATGTTCGCCTTCTTTGCCTTTTCCTCGCTCTCCTCGACCTCGTCACCAGCCACGCCGCCCTCTTCCACCTCATCTTCTGCCTTCTTTGCTCGTCCGTTGGCGCGCGTGGACACTGCTCTCCGTTTGGCAGCTGCCGTCGCGCCGCCCTCGTCGACTACGGCTGCTTCCTCGACAGCATTTGCCTTGCCTTTCTTTCCCCGCTTCGCCGCCTGCGCCTTGACGCTGGAAGAGCTGCTCGATGCAGTCATGCCTACTTCGTCGGCTCCTGCGGTAGACGAGGCCAGTCGGCAGTTGAAAAAGGCACAATCTGGCCTTCGTCGATTGTGCTCCTGACTGGGATAGGAAATGCAGATTGACTGAGCCAGGGTGCTACTGAGAGGAGAGAGACAGTACTCACGTCGGGTCATCGGCCTTCTCCCAGCCCCCAAGCGACACCCCACAGTAAACACACGTCACATTGTCATCCTCGTCCAGGGAGGGAGTGTAGTGAAAGCCTGCTTTTGCAAGCTGCTCGGAAGGGAGGTGTCAACTCTAGCTTTCTCGTCTTTCGGATGAACTAAGGAACCCACCTTTGCACTTGTTGGCTTCCACCCTTTCTTGCCATCATACTTCCACAGTCCACCAAAAGTCATGTGCCGAGCCTGGTACATTTCGTTGCTCGTTGGCAAGAGGTGGCCCTGTGAAGCCGGCCACTCGTGCCATCGTGCCTGCCCTTGTTCCTCGTCGAGCGTTTCTGTGCTGGCGCCACTTGCGCGGCTATCTTCGATCCTGACCCAGCACACGCTCGGATCCACGCTCCGGAGCCGGTCAAGAGCACTCTCGCCTGCAGTCCAACCCGAGACACTGATGCCCTCAGGCCAGATTGTGCAGCGATCGGCTTCCTCAGCGCCCAGGGGTTCATAAAAGGCGCCTAGACGAGCGAGCTCGGAAGGTGTAGGGTACAAAGCCTTCTGAGACTTTGCCGATGTCGCTGCGGCAGAGCATGCGATGGGGTGGGGCCATTGCAAGGGAGCTGGTGCTGCTGCTGCCGACGCCTTGTTGTTGGAGGCCTTGCGCCGTCCCGGCTGTACCGGTGCCCCATCTGCGTTCGTACCAGCGCCGCTCAGGATGAACGATTCCTTCCGCGACTCGTACAAACGCATGTCCGGGAGAGACGAGGAGTCGGCCATGCTGAAGAAGGGGTCAGAGTTGTCCTCTCCACGCCGTCGTTGCAGCTCGTCCGTCAGTCGTCGGTGTTGGTCTTGTTTTAGAAAAAACGCGTCGCGGCGCCCCCGCCAAGGAGCGGCGCGCATCACGTGTTTGACAGTCCAGGGAAGTCTCTCCCCCGCCTTCTTGATGACGACCTGCTTCCTTCGAGAAGAGAGCGACCCCTTCTTAAGAAGGGCTGCTTGACATGGCAGCACGCGGGGCAACCTATGGGAGGAGAACAGGGGCGAAAGTGGGGCCCTGCCACATCTCGTCTTTGACCGACTTCTTCAGCGACGATGACGGCGATGACGGCCAGCCGCGCCCTGCATCGGTCGAGAAAGGGGCAGCTAAGAAGCCATCACTATCAAGATCAGGCCGTAGCAAGAACAAAGTACAAGCCGCGCAGCATTCCTCAAAAGCTGATGCAAAAGCAAGCAGGGACATTAGGCTTCCCGAAAGAACCATGGAAGAGCTGGCTTCTCGGCCGTCGACACCCCCGAATGCTTGGCAAGATACCCCCCACCTCTCCGACTCATCCTCCCTGAGTCCAATCGCTTCGATTGCCAGTCCTACGACAGCTGCTTCAGCTGATGGTAGTAGGCGAGTTCAGGTGCCATTGACACCGACAAGCTCGTCGCACTCTTCAGCGTCCCGAACGCCGCGGACGTTGAAGCGCAAGGCTTCGCCCGCGTCGCCGCGCAAGATCTCCATCGCTCGAGAGCTGAATCGCATCTTCAGCCCGACCAGCTCGTCCAAGACTCGCCAGCGCAAGCCATATGGAGCCACAGCCTTGCCGGTGGGTGAGCGTGAGGAGGAGCACAGCTCCGAAGACGGCGACGAATCTAGGCAAGGTCAGGTACTCTCCCGCGGAGCACAAGTGTTTCATCGCCCGCATACAGGCCTCGCTGCTCGAATGGCGGCAAGAAGAGTCAAAGCAGAAGCTACGATGTGTCACGACCAGGATGAAGACACGGTAGAAGAGCAAGGAAGAAAGATGCAGGAGGTCGCCGAGCCAAGCTCACAATCGTCTTTCCAGAGCGAATCTCAGCCGGTCCTCGGCGTCCTCGCTCCCACCGTGGCACATGCGCGCCGAACATATGGAAAGGAGCGCAGCTTTCTAGCAGTATTGAACGCAGGCATGGTGTCTGAAACGGCTCTTTCCCCAGAGCAAGGACAGCCCAACCATGAAGGTCTCGGTGACGGCAGGGAGGCAGGTATGCTCGATTGCTTGGGAGAATCACAGCACAAGTCGTACGCAGAGATGAGACGACGCTGGGGCGACGTCGAGGACGATGGATCTGATGAGGTGAGCACCCTTCTGCGTCGTTCGCTTCTAAATGAAGGGGTCTCACATTGCAACGGTCTACACAGGAGCAGGAAAGCGAAAAGGTCTGCAACGTCACGTCGCTGCGTACAGCTGGAGAGCTCCGTCGCTTTCGGGAGGAGTTCGAGTACCTCACGGGTGGACTGGTGCCGGGCCAGTCTCTGGACACTCGGGTCGCCAGTGCTCTGGACCTCGCCCGACATTGCATCGACGCCGCTGGAGACGGGGAGGAAGACGGAGACGAAGGAAGCTCGGACGCTGGGTCGCACAAGGAACACGGTAAGAAAGACGGCGAGGGCAACAGCGCGCGGCTGCCTTCGCAGCTGTCATTTATCGGCATGCTCGATGTATGCGGGCTCACCAATCATCTTTGGTCACTTTTAAATCAAGCAGGCGTGGGTAAAGACTTGGATAGACACTTGGATTTGGCAGGCGCAGTCATCCTTGCAAAACTCTCGGCGCATCGAGCTTGTGCTGAAGCCCTGATGGAAGCTGCTGGCATTGGCTTATTCGAAGTCTTGGCGCATCTTCTACAATCTCTTTCGGCAGACGTCAAAGAGGGGCGACAGAACGCAGACAAAAGAGCTTCAGCCCGAGCTCAACGCCAAGAAACGGCTACCGAAGACGCACTCGACGAGATCATCAAGCAATCTGGACTGGCGCCTTCGACAGTGGATCGACCTGCCTCTTTACGCCGCTTGGTCTTGGGCATCCTGTGCTCTCTTTCACAGCTTCCTCGAACGAGCACAAACGTTGGACAAGGCATACTCCAAAAATTCGCGATGTATAACAATTATCGTCGCTCGATTTTCGAGATTGTCGTCGAGTCGGGCCTGGCGTCACATGCCGATTGCACAGACGATGCTTGCCCCGACTACGTATCTGTCGCTCTTTCGGCCCAACTGGTCGATCTCGTCTTTTGCGCTTCGTCACGAGAGACTTCATCCACCATCGAGGAGGCCGAGCTGAAGCGTTGGGCAGGACAATGGACAGCAATGCTCTCGACACTTTACAATGACTTCTTCTCAAAGGCGCAAGAGCAAGCCGGAGGGTCCCTCGTGTCGTTGCTACGTCTGTGCGTCAACCTGACGCAAATCGACAAGCGGTGGAGCGAGACGTTTGCCAAGACGAGCGACGCTCTTGCCCGTGTCGCATCGCTCATCCTTGCGGCCTCTTTGGAGCACGGGCCCGCCGTCGTAGCCACTGCAGAGCTGCGCTCCGACATCATGGCTTTCTCTCTCGGCCTCTTGACAAACATTCTCGAATCATCTCCTGCCAATGTCCGGCCATGCTTTCGACGCTTGCAGCTGAAGAGGACAGATCTCCACGATGGTCTTGGCAAAGGGAAGGTGATGGCCATGAGCCTACTTGGACAGCTGTTTGAGAGAGAGCGAGTTCGTTCGCACGAGAGCGCTCAATCGGGTTTCTTGTCCGGCTGCCTCGCAGTCTCTCTCTCATTGGTTCTGGACGCAACGGAAGAGGGCAAGGAAGGAGACAAGGAAGGCGTCGAGATCGCAAAAGCTGCCTTGCAGGAGGGCCTTGATTGCACGTGGGAAACAGTCAGAGAGAGACTGGTCGAGGTGCTAAGCGACTTTGCCGCAATGCATGAGGAGATGGCGCGGTGCAGGGAGGGGGCCCAAGCGAGCGCACCGCTAGAGGTACAGGAGCAAGCGCGCGGCGACACTGACATCAGTCTGGTACGACTGCTGGAGTCGAGGCTCAAAAGGACATGACATAGAGCCACCCTGATCATATATTATCATCTGTATTTTTACGTCAATACATTGCCATTTGGAAGGGCGCCGACTCTCATGGTTTCACGGTAGATGGAGACGAGCGGGGTGCGCGTGGGAAGGGGTTTCTCCCTTCACCGAGTTGTGAACAGTCCCCCTGCTCCTCGGTCGCCCAAAGCCGTGAATCTCAGAATCCGCTCACAGGCCGTGTCAATTGGACCCCCTTTTGCTCTTCTCCTCCAGCGGCGCAAGTCGGCCTTCAGGAACAGAAACAAGGCCTGCCTGCCCGGGTGGCGGCTTGACGATGTTTGACAGGACTTGGGAAATTGACCTTGCAACTCGTCTAGGGCGATGGCCGTCGGCAGCTCTCCCAAAGCGCGATGAGTCACTGCGCCGCAGATTGCAATTCCGTCCGTAGCAATAGCGGACCGAAAAAAATAAACCGGTCCCCGCTCCTCCTGCACTGACCCCCTCGTTGGCTGAGAGAATAATTTTCCGGCTCCTTGGTGCCTTTGGGACAGCCTTTCCGGTTGCGCTTTTGCGGCGATGAGGCGAAAGCATCTCCGTTGCGTTGGTGTCAATTACACCGCCACGAGCAGCTTATCGACGAAGCAACCCTGGACCCCGCTTCTCCCGCGAATGTCCCTCTTTTCTCCTCCCCTTTTTTTTCCCTTGCGCCTCATCTTCAGCCTCACCACGAGAAAACCCTTCCCCGTCACCTTCCCCCCATACAGGACGTATCTTTTTTCCTTCTTTCGTTCTCCGAACTCAGCAGTGGGACACCGGTCTTAGCCCAGAGCGCAGTGTACTAAAGAGGTCAGATGGCGACAAGTATTGGTCGTTTTGACCAAGATTCTTTCGACGACGACGACGCCAACGCCTGCTGCCCAGATCTTTTTCGCCGAGCCCACCATCGCTCAGCCCCAACGTCTGTGCCAGCAAGTCCAGAAGCAACAAGCCCAGTCACTGATCGTGATTTCGAAGTCGAACATTACGGTGACGCCCCGGCGCCTCTCGAAACAGGCAGCGACCGAGCGATCAAGCGAGAGGGTAGGGGAGATAGCATGGAAGGCGCCGATTTCTGCATTCATGCCCCTCTCAGGACTTCTGCTGAGGACATGACGATGCCAAAGACGCTAAATTCGGAAGCAACGTCGACCTTGACAGAGCAGTACGCATCAAGAGGGGTTCTGACAAAAAAGCTCTCGATACGTGCAAGGAGAATGCTCGCGGGCAACAGGATCAGCGGCGAGTCCATCACGATCCAGATCAGCAATCCCAACACTGTAATTCGAAGCTCGCTGCGTCAGCGCACACCGATTCCGGAAGGCGAACAGACGGATGACATGAATCATTGCCATAAAGTGGACGCAGTGGTCGATGCCGAGAACAAAGAAATGCGTCGTAGCCCGAGAACGCCACTACAACCGCAACAGCGCCACCCTCTCTATGCCCCGAAAAGTCTGCCCGACCAGGGTACGCGTCGTCGCCCAGAGAATTGCCGCTGGTCGGCGAGGCTGAGAGCTTCTGCCTCGCCTAGGGAAAGGGCGACAGGCTCCGTCAGAAATTCTCTGGCAAGTCATTTTGGCTTTTCTGAAGAGCAACAGACTCAATACCTCCGACCTCGCTCTCCTACTCGCCAGCCTCGTCTCTCTCCTTTGGCAGTAAAGGTTCTTCAAGACCAGGAAGCACGGCAATCTTCGGTGCTTGACAGCACTTTCTCTTCTTCCTCTTCCTCCCCATCGTGCTCGGTCCCTCTCTCATCTCCGTCAACAAGCTACGCAGGTGCTAACATAAGTCGATTCCGACGCCAGCAAAGCGAATTGCAAGGTCGCAATGTGGGTCAGAGTTCCACCATCGATGGAAGCGCGATTGGAAGCACATTTAGCGACAACGTGGTCTTCGACGGATGCAACTGGCTCCTCAACCAGCCCGCTTCGGCGAGCTCATCGATGAGTAGTGGGCACGCAACGGACAGCGAAAATGGTCTCGACTCCGTCATTCAGCTCTACCATACACGTAGCCCTGTTGAACCTCATGACGATTTGTTGATCGAGGATGCTACGAGACAGAGCCTTGGAGGTGCACAAACAAGCCCGTCCTTGGCAGCTGGGCAGCTCGAGTCGGCTAGGGCTTCTAGCGAAATCTTGTGGCACCAGACAGATCTCGCTACTTCGTCGACATGTGCTGATGAAACATTACTGGCGACAATAAAGAAAGAGGGGAGCGAAGAGACGTTGTCGCCTTCTTGTAATTCAGCAGGAGGTGGCAAACAAAGATTACGATTTGACCTTCGGTGAGCAGAACCCAACCCTTCTTCCTGATGCTTCAGACTGATCCTCTCTTTGCTGCCTAGTTGGCAAGGAGGAAAGCACCAAATTGTATTTGATGAGGAAGAGACGCAGAAGCTCACTTACGCACAACTGTTGAGCGCCATTGACAAGGTCATCGCACGCACGAGATCTGTAGCAGCGTCGGAAAGCCTCTTTCTCGCCACTGGAGAGCTGCATGAAACAGCCTCGATGGGTTCGTCTACATATCCCGACTTCACCAAGCTCGAGCCTTGGAAGCTCCAAGACACTACCGATGTGAGGAACCAGTATCCGCAACAAGAGCCTCCGAACGCCCAGCAGACCCTGGTTCAAGACCTTATTTCGAGCTTGTCGAGGCATTCACATCCTGTCGTGCTACTAGTGTGGGACGGTAGTAAGCCTCCAACGATGGAGCAGCTCTGTCGTCTGAGAGATGGACCGCCTTTCGACCTCGATGAGAGCTCCGACGGGCATCAGACAGAAGACGGAGAGCCAGACGAGGCCGTTGTCGATAACGTCGAAGAGCAGGACATCTGTCAGGGCAAGCCTTTCAAGCTTGGTGATTTTGTCTTGGATCCAGAAGACCGCGGTCCAATTGAGCTTCGGGCAAGACTTAAGAATAATTGGGAGAATGACGAACTATACCGGAAATCGCTCGTCGCGATTGGCGAGGTTGGCGGACCCTCTACGCTTGGAGAAGCTTTTATACTGAACGAGATCGACCAACTTGGGGAAAGAACAAGGGTTTCTCATGGCACTCAAAGCAGCGTAAATCGAAGAGCGCGCGCTCACATTCGCTGCTTCAGCGAAATGCTCAAAGTCTACGCTGAAGATGCGACATGCGAGTTTCCGATCAGCCCTGATTCTTCGAGATCTTCGACCGACAGCCTCTGCAAACTCATCTCGCCGAATAGACACCATACCCCGGCAAATGCAGGCAGCGGCGATGTTCCAGGTTCGAAAAGAATTTCGCTCGATGATGGCCTCCTTCAGATGCGCTCGCCTGGTGTCGATTATGATGCTGCTTTCATTGATGATTTAACGCAGGTTTCACACTCTTTGGCACCGGAACCCACATCAAGAGGAGCTTCTTCCCTCTTAGTGTCGGCACAAAAACATGAGTTTGGAGGCCAACTTCGAATGCAAAAGCCGGCACCAAGCATCGACAATGTACTCAAGACCAAACTCTCTCCTCCAAACCTCAATTTATCTAACTCCAGCCCTTTGACGACCGAGAATCGAGGAAATGCTCTTTCGCGGGCGTTTGAACTGGCTTCCTCGATGGAGAATAACAGCTGTGGGGGGATTGTAACAAACCACCGCCAACACGACAGTCGCACCCTCTCCGTCATGGAAGTCATACAAGATTCATGGCCCCCTCATTCAACCCAACCTCACTTCGTACCTAAATTTTCTTCACCTGTGCCTTCTTCATCACCACGAACGCCCAAGACACAGCGGCACAACTCTTTTGCGAGGAGCGCAGCAAGCACGCCTTCGTTCGACTTCCTCGCCTCCTCGGGCAATAGAGGTATGCAGTCCGTACCAACCTCACGGGAGCGGACAAGCTCCATCGCTTCTGCCGAGGCGCCCAGCTTGGTTTCTTCGACGTCGACGGCAAGGAGTCTGACCGCTTCAGTTAGAAAATTTATCACAGCGGCCGTAAGACCCGATCGAAGGCCGACCACCTACGACGGCCAAGCTAGATTCGTGAGTACGATCGACCGAAGGTCTCGGTTTTTGGGTTTTGCTGACGCTAGCGGTGCATACTTACACAGGACCTTTGGACGTCGGTGCTAGGACATGCTCAGCTAGATGCCGAGCTTGAGACACCCATGGATGCCGCTGCGTCACCAAACTCTGCAGCCCTGTTCAAAAAGAAGAGTCGCCCAAGAGTAGTCACCGGCAACAGATTCATCCTCAACGTAGGCTCGACGCCGAATAGGTCTCGAAGACTGCACGAGAACAGTACCCGAAAGCAAAGGGGAACGAGCGAGAGTATTCTGGTAGATGATATTGGCACCGACAAGAGCACCAGAAGAGAAGAAGACATGCCCAGGAGAAGAGAGCGAAAAGGGCTGCCCGTAGGGTGGGACGAGATTGACGAGAATTCTCTACCAGTCGTCCCCGACGCGATCCGATCCCTTATTCTCAGTTTTCCCACCGATGATGCGGAGCTAAAGGATGAGTCAAGCTTGGACGAGCTCACGGAGATGAGACAGAGGTATCAAAAGGAACACGAAAAAGAGCTGCAGAAGCAAATTGCGCTCAAAGAACGTCTGCACGCCGAGACACAGAGACAGAGGTTGCTACCGTCAGAAGTGATGAGCAACATGCGCCAGACAAGTCAAGGGGTCACGACAATCCTTGATGAAGTCTTTCGCAGCGCCATCCGAGAGCAAAGAGCATTATCAGGCATATCTGAATGTAGCGAGTCATTTGCGTCCGCGAGTCCGTCAGCACAAGGATTCCGAGAAGAGGACAGGGAGTGGCCAACAAGACGGAGACAAACGAAGCGTAAGCCTCGTCCACCACCTCTATGTCTCGCCAACACAGAGCCTCTTACAGCTCAGCGTGAGCACTCACCGGCGCTTGCACACTTCTCAGCGGTCGATTCGGATGGTCATCCTGCTCCCCAGTCACAGACTCAGATTCGCCAAAAGGTGCACTTTGTCGAGCCGAGCTTTTCTTCGGGATCGACAAGAGGAAACAGTCAAAGACTGCAAGACTTGAACCCTTTTCCATCTCCAAATTCATGGAGAATGCGACAGACTGATATCGAATCTCCAGCTCGGACTTCGTCTTGCTCGATCGACCGCATCTCGCACGCGTCGAAAGACGACGGATCGCGCGCATTCGCCCCGTCTGCATCTGTGAAGAAGTCGACGTCGAAGTCAGCGCATCTGCTCTCCTCTTTCCCCTTTTTCAGCAGGCATTAAAGAGTGTATTGAGAGATCAACGCTCGGTGGATGTCGTCATCGCCCACTTTACTTTTCAGTCTTTTCATATTCTCTTTGACAGAGAACTCGAGATGTTTCTACTTTTAGTCTATTCTCTTGGTGTAGACTAAGGTACGGGATGCTGATGTATTGATAGAGCGAACATGAGCTGGTGAACACTATTTCAATCTTGGTGGAAGCTCTGTATACCTACGACTAGTACCAACCTCTGTCTTCGTAAAGAGAGGGTACACATCGTGTATGATGCGCCGTTCGTATTATGATTTCGGTGGTCGGGTGTGTTTCTGTGACTCTTCTAACAGATTCTATAGCGACTCTTCGGCCTTCGCTCAATCCTGCTCGTCAACACTCAAGTTTTTGTTGCTGTAAGTGTCTCCCTCTTCAGCTCCGTCGTACGTCTCTTGGAGCTTTAGAAGTACCTCCTCCTGCAGACTTTTGAGGTGCTCCCAGAGTTTGTGTGCCTCGCTAGCTCGCACTTGATTCTGAATATTCCTCAGTTTTTCCTCCGTCTGCGCCACATTTGATCAGCACTATCAGACTCGAAACAACCTCAGAGGCCACTCACGCCATTGACTATTTCCCGCCTCTTCGCTACTCTTTCGAGCTCAGTCATTCCTTGGCCTTCCGTGATAGCACTAGGATCCGTGACATCTGCTTCAAGTCGATCAGCCATTAGGACGGCATCCCGCCAGAGGTCGACGGGAAATGGAAGTTTTTTGATCAAAGCTAAACCGTAATGCTTCCTGGAAAGACGCCGAGTCTGCATCAGAAACTTGATTGATGCATCCTTCGCAATATCTTACTCTTTCATGACACCATCAACGACAGTATGCGAACATTCGATGTCGTAGTTCCCGGACCTGTACTTATCGTCTTCATCGTCCTCGCGTTCTTGTGTGAGCCTCTTGACAGCGAGATGGAGCAGTACGACAGCTTCATAAGGGGAGAGTGTCGAAGCAAGTTGAACGAAGTGCGTCGCGAAGATAGTCGGTGCTCCCTTCGTAATGAGAAACTCAGAGATTGCGTGGGCTACCCCTAGGCCTTCCTCTGTCGAAGTCCCTCGCTTAAAGTTATTTCAGTGATAGAAAGAACGAAAGATATCGCACTTCGACCTACGCCGAGCTCATCAATGATGACCAGACTACGTCTACTTGCTAGCGAAAGGATGAATGACGACACCTTCATCTCGCTTGCGAATGTTGACAAATTAGCCTCGGGCTCGTCGTCATTGGAGAGCCGAGTCAAGATTCGGTCAATGGGCGGGAACATGGCGTACTCTGCTGGAATACTGCCAAACAAAGTTAGTTTGTTAGACTGACGTAGCGATCTGGTATGAACAACACACAAGGAGCCGATACTGGCCATGATGAGAAGCAAAGGGGCTTGCTTCAGGTATGTTGTCTTTCCACTCATGTTCGCTGTCGGAAGATGATGAGAAAGACACTGTAAGCACTCTTTTTGCAGCGACTCACGACCGGTAATGAGCTGAAAAGACTTTCCAAGCCCAAAGTAAATGTCATTTGCATGTGTCTTGTCCCTACCGATCTTTTTCTCCAGAATCGGATGTCTTCCCGCTTTGATTGCGAGCCTATCGGAGAAATTGGGCCGGACGTAATCCCTACGTGAGCGATCTGCCGTCTTGGCCAAATTGACGATGAGATCGACCAAAGCCAGCACTTCAGACGCCTTAGATGCTTTCCATCAGCGGAAAATACTGTAACATTCCTTTTAACATACCTTATACAAGGCCCCTACGTGTTCGATGATCTCTCCACGCATCGATTCCAGATACTTCTCGGAGAGGATGAACACCTTTCAGGGACAAGGAGTGTTTAGTCTTGGGCAGTGCCGCCACGGTAAGACGACTGACCTCGCCCTCAGCATCACGTATGCGCTGGTTGATCTTTTCCTGGTGGAAGTTCAAAGGAAGAGTCAGCTACTTGCTTCTCGAAGCTGACTTGCTTAAGTTGCTTGCCATCTGTAAGGTCGACATCGAGACGCCATTCCTCTTTCGCTTGATATTTATGAACCCATCTGGTATGTCGCTGCTCGAACAGTCCGGCCCTTTCATCTCCAACTAAATTGAAACTAGTGATCAGCGACAATTCATGGGAAGGACAAAGAAGAGCACTAACACAGTAGCCGTTGACTTCTTTCTTCAAGGTCAGTGGCATGCGATAATGGCCTTTCAGCTGGCTAAACAAAGCTTGTCCGTCACTCAGATTCTCGCTGTAGGTCTCTCTCGCCAGATCTAACAGTTTGTCCTTGTTTGTCTTTGTTGTCGAGGGAAGGTCAGCAAGAGTTGATCATCATAGCATTCCTCAAGGTGGGCTCACCTGAATGGCACGAATTTTCGAGAGCCTTTGATTGATGTGGACCTTGCCTTGGCCTTCGAGGACGTCTGCATCTATATTTTCTTTTATGTGCGTCGATATGATCGACAAGCGTTCGTTGGCCAGGTAGGGTGCGACACCTTGCAGTAACGTGCAAGAAGCGCCCGACACGGCTCGATGCACTGGTCGCGAAGGCGTCACTCAGTTCTTTTTCCTACGTGAGGGAAATGGAAGTTTCCTCACCTCCGCTCAACGTTCCCAGCATTGCATACAGCTGGATAATCTCTGCTAACTTTGCCTCGATGGCTGTAGGATCTGCGACCGATGACGTTTTGATTGGCGTAACGATTTGGTAGATGAGCCGGTCGAAATCAATTGTGAGCTTCTCCGGCGCCTTGAGCGATTCCTTCAAGGCATAGAAGAGCTTTCGTCCCAGCTGTAAGAACCCGTTCTTTGCACAATGACAGTCTCAACGTACCTCGGAACTGGAAAGGAGATCCTCAACAGCATCTAGCCTCATTGAAATAGAGTCTCGGTCTTGTGTCTGAATGTTAGCCATAGGTGCAATTACTAAACAAGGGCAACTGACTGGCAAAAGGCTGAAGAATGTTCATCTTGAGCATGCGTTCGCCCATTGAGGTCGAGCATCTGTGGAACGAGCCTGCCAGAACTTTTTTGATTCAGCCCAAATGTCGGGTGTCATATCGTGTCAATCTTTACCCAGCAGCGATCCTTCCACGGTACCACTCCTGGCTCCTCGGACGAGCTCGAGATTTGTTGCTGTATCGTGATCAATCATAATCGATCCTGACGTGGTCGTAGTGGAGAAAGAATAGTCATTTAAAGACGCCTCTAACATACAAGGATGGGCGTACCTTCAGGATGTTCGTAGCGTATGTTGAGTGATCGGGGCGAAAAGGTGATGCCTTTTTTGTCATCCAGCCAACTAATCGGATGGAGAGAGGTCAGACTGAGGCTGGCATGACTTTTTTCGCAGACGAGGCGCCCTCACTTGAAGAGAGCGCAGGCTGCGCTGAGGGCAAAGTACTTCTTGGCCAGTGATCGGAGTGTTGTCTCCCCAAAGTTCAGATGTTGCCATAGCTCGTTTGTGGAAGTTCGCTCTTTATCGCTGTCGTTGTCTTCGCTGATCGCTGTCGATTTGATATAGATGTCCTCGTTGTCAGGAATCGCATCGACTAAGAGCTTCCTGATTCTCTGAGCCCCTGCATTTCGACTGTGTTTAGTCATCCTGCACTTGTGGCATTGAGCCATCTTCTGTACAGTTTACCTTCGGCTTCGTTCCACATCTTTCTAGAAAAGGTTTGTGGCCTTATGTTGCTATTCTCTTGAACAGTGTGGGCCAGAATCGAGGCTTCAGAAGTTGCTGGAAGCTCGTCAAGTGGCTGGTTTCCAGGCATGATGACTGTCTGGGGAGGATGAGCCTCGAGAAGATGTATCGTGTTCACGTAGGTCTAAGGGAGAGGGAACGAAGCGCATACAGTCAGTCATCACCAGGCTCAGCTCGTGTAGAATTGCTGATAAGAACCTGTGTATCGGTGTACTGAGTACAAGTGTAAGCATTCAAGACACCATACCTGCCGCCAGAGCCTCTCTGCACTTACCTGCGTCAATATGCACCGACCAGTCGTCATATCAAAAAGGGCGGCGCCCATCTCCTTTCCCGTTCCCCTGCTCTCGATCAAAGCACAGACCCAGGGATTCTCTCCACCCGACACATTGAGCTGTGGCCCGGAACGAGACATGACACTCTTTCTGCTGACATTGTACCGCGATGAGGCGCCTTGGTCTCTGGGAAGCGGGGAAGTGCACAGACTGCTCTGCGAGCTCGATGTGCCCGGTGCTGTGGTGGCCCGAGAGGGCATTTGAGCGCAGTGGGGTCTGCTACGACTGATAAGAGAGGCTGGAGCATAGATGAAACCAGGCTGTCTTGTAGGTGGGCGAGAGATGATTTGTCTTCTGGCCTGATAAGAAGTGCTCGGCTTTCCCATGCCTGAGCTGGACGGTGCAAGATGGGTCCAAGAAGAGCCCGAAGCCGGACGTGGACCTCGATCACTCGACGGAGCAGGATTCTTAGCGCTACCAGAGGTCTGATAGTCTTGAGCCGACATGGAGAGAATAAAGCGTATGTTACAACTTGATTGGGTCGGTACAGTGGCTCTGGTGGTCTGAGACAAGCACGGTGCTCGGGCTCTTTCCCCGCTCACCGCCTCGAGACAATGACGCTTTGTGATCTGTCATCTTCAGTCATTTCACGGCTTCTGGGACTCTATGTGTTTGCTATGGACTGATATTCACTGCTTTCACTGCTACGAAAACTCAGCCTCATGACTCGTGAGGTGACCGATGACTCCATCGGCCCCTTCTTTCTCCGCGCTTGCACGTCCTTCATCAGAAAGTTGTTTTGCTCCTTACGGCCGTGAGCAACAGAATTGACGCGCGTCGAAGTCACAGCCCTTCATTTGATCTTTTTGAGTTTTTTTGTGAGATTTTTTTATTCTGAAAAAGAGTCCTGCGATCTTCTTCTTGTCTTGCTCCTCTTCTGCAATTGCCACCGTTATTGAGCAAGTCCGGCGATCTCCAAGATGGACAGGAATATGCAAGACCACAGGGAAGAGGATGAGGAGGGGGTGCATCTGACGCTGGATGATGTCCAAGACGTCATTGAGGACGATGGGCAAGACGGCGACGAGCCCATGGACGAAGACGACGACGATGGTGACGATGGCGAGCAACAGCAGCAGGCATTCGAGGACACGAGCTTAGCCGCCTTTTACGCTCACAAAGACTCTGTCTTTCACCTTTCGCTCCATCCGAGCTACCCAAACCCGCCGCTGGCATTCAGCGGAGGCGCAGATGACAAGGGCCGATTGTGGGATACAAGGACGGGCGAGGCGCTGGTCGAGCTCGGCGGACACACTGATAGCGTCGTCGCTGGTGGCTTCAGTGCGACCGGAGAGTACGTCGCCACCGGCGGTCTCGACGGCAAGGTCAGAGTATGGAAGCTGCACCCGGCCCCGGCAGGTACAAAGGGCTTTGAGCCTCGGGCCGTCGAGGATGGTCAGGCCGAACGCAGAGAGTGGGGTGCATGCCAATTTGTCACAAACCTCGAAGGGCCCGACGAGATTGTCTGGACGGCCTGGCACACAAAGGGAAACGTCATTGCTGCCGGTGGGTCCGACGCAACGGTGTGGATGTGGAAATTGCCGGGGGGTAACGTCATGAACGTCTTTTCGGGGCATACGGCCGCCGTGACATGCGGACGCTTCACGCCTGATGGCAAGAGACTCGTCACGGCGTCGGAGGACGGCTCACTGCTCGTGTGGGACCCTCGATCCACGTCGGCGCTGTCAAAAGTGTCGCCCACCGACACGCGCTTCAACATGGACGCTGGCATCACGTCGCTCTGCCTGAGCCCAGACAGCAAGCTGGCCATCGTGGGCGGGGCTGCTGGCACAATCCGGATCGTGAACCTTGCCAACATCGAGGAGGGAGGCGCCGCACTTGTTGTTGGCGCTCTCGAAGGGCATGCCGAAGGCGAGAGTATCGAAGGATTGGAATTTGTCGACTTGCTCGGCAACACATCGGGGACCCAGCCGCAAGCTGCACCGAGAGCGCAGGCGAATGCGGCCAACTTTGCCATTTCAGCAGGCACAGACGGAAAGGCAGTCGTGTGGGACCTGTCGACTGGCAAGATCAGGTGCGAGGTGATGCACGACGATGCAATCACGTCCATGACGCTCCATGGCAGCGGACCCATCTTTTCGACGTCGTCAGCAGATGGAACGGCACGGACGTGGGATGCGAGAACAGCGGCAAATTTGGCTGTGCACAGAGGCTTCACCGATGGCGTCCTTGCCGTCGTCGCCGGGCCCGACGATGGTTACACACAAGGAGCAGAATCGGGTGGTGTTGGAGCTTACGTCAACTTGGCAGACAGCAAGGGCTGGAAGGTCATTGCAGCAGGCGACGAAGGTGTCAGCCTCGTCTTTAGAGTATAGAGTGTCTTCAAATGTCATGATGTCCTCATCCATTGCGCCTCTGTAGCTGTCTGAGCCGCGTGAAGAAGGAGAAACAATTTTGATGATGGCTGGGTGAGAAGTAAGTAGTACAGATATGGAGGAAGTAGGCACCAATTGTGGTTTTTGTTTGCTGAGATCATCGGCCCCTTCCCCTTCCGCGCCCACCCCTGCCTCCTCTGCCTCCACGCCCGCGGTCCATGCCCCTTCCCCGCGCTGCGCCCTCCTTTCTCTTTCCCTTTGGCTTTGGCGCATCATCGACGAGGAGCATATCCAGCGGCAGCGAGTCGGGCAAGATCCAGTAGCGGATGTTGTTGCCTCGGATGCTAAGCGTGTCGAGGTTAATCGGCTCCCGTCCCTTGACGGTCATCTTGACAGTCTTGAGGTGCGTGTTCATCTGCACGTCAACGCCTGTAGAAGGATCTCAATCTCAGCAACCCTTGCCCTCCCCCATGCCTGCCAAAAGAAATAGCAATTCGCAAGCTCACCTGTCACCGTTCCATGAATGATAGTGTTGTTCTTGAGCTCGATCGTCACGCTCTCGTTTTGCAGCTTCATCAAAAACCTTCAAATCAAACGAGGAGATCAGCAAAGGAAGAGGCGCGCGCTTCTGCGCTCCATGTGTGACAGTCCTCACCTGACGAGCTTCATCGTGGCGGTGGATGCGGATGGCCTTGACCCTGTCTGCAAAGAAGCTGTCTCCAGAGGCTACTTCGTTTGCAAAGACGGGGAGTCTGGCTGTCTGAATGCGTGGTCGAAAAGGGATGCGCGACAAGACCACGGCAGGAAGACCAATTGCGACGGACTGAAAATTGCACGTGACGCTAACGCGGGTGAAATTCAGCCAAGGTTGGTTCGGTCCTTTCTGAAGTGTTGGTTTTGTTTACAGTAGAGGAAAGGACGAGGTCGTCTGACGTCTTACTCCCCCTACCCAAACGATCACGGCTTCGGCATGGCAGCATCCGCTGCTGCAACGAGATCACCGGAGCGGACAATGCAGCGTGTCGTGGCGACAACGCCGTTAGGAGATGCGACAAATAGGGGGATGACATCTTCATCCTCACATTACCTCGGCTCACCCAGTATGAAGGCTGTCCAACTCGACGATGTGGAGCTTTCACCTCGACTAAGAGCCAGCCCACAGAAGGAGAAGATGCGATGGAAGCACGCGATGGAGCCGGCAGAAGAAGCGACGCTGGACTGTCTGAGTGATTGCTCCACCATCAGCGCGCCATCATCGTCATCACACTCGCTGGTAGGCGAGGAGCTGGCGGAGAACGAAGATAACGGAGAGGAGGACGACGATGCCGCTCTCTTCTCCGATCCATCCAACGAGAGTCTAAGAGCCAGGTCGGATGGAGGGCCGGGCCGAAAGAGGGAGAGGAACGGGGCGAAAAAGGTGATCCCGGTGTTTTTTGGAACCCCATCCAAGGATGAGCACGAGAGACGTGCCAAATACAACAATCTCAACAGGAGGCTTTTGAGGACGGACAGCTTAGACCTGGCAAGAAGAAGGAGCGTGGGGCCGTCTCAGAATGTACCAGAGGTGGGTCCGGTGCCGTCGTCAGAAAGTGTCGGACCGGCCTGCGAATCGTCGGCAGTGTCGGAGGAAAGCATTGAGGGCCACCTCGCTGGACCAAGCAATCATCAACGTCAAGACGAAGAGCCTCTCGAGGATCTCGATGGAGACGTAGATGTCGTGATCTTCAGGGAGGAGAAGGAAGTGGAAACGTCGAATGAAGGTGCGGTGGGATCGATAATCTCAGAGGTCAATTCTGCGCAGGAAACCGGTTCGTCCATCGTGCGACACTCGCCCGAGAAGCATAATCCCCTCGAGACCATCCTGCAGAACGGTCATTTGACGTCTGCGACCTCGCTCTCGACATCGCCGCGCAAATCGCCCAGAAGATCTCCGCACAAGTCCCCACACAGATCTTCGCACAGATCGTCACCGGCGAAATCTCCATCTAAGCGGTCACCGAGGAAAGAGGGGAGACCGGAGGAAGGCGCTCCTTCAACGCCGACTGTGCGCGATATGTTGAAAAGCTGGGCAGCGACAATCGTTCAATCCCCGACCAGAAGCTCGACAAAGACGAGCCCGAAGAAAGAGGAACACACCGAGCTTCAATCTAACACAGTACATTTGCTAGAGTTGGCGCGGCAGGTTCCCCTTCCCGAATCGCCGGAAAAGCCTAGCAATGGCGTCGTTGAGGGCCAAGTGATGGAGGAGCTACCAATGGCAAAGGGCGTTGGGATGGCGAACTTCAAGGCACCGCTAGGAGTAGCATCGGTCAGGAGAACAGCGTCTCGCTCTTCGGCAGGGCCGTCCGCAAGGCTGGCATCGGCCATGAGCAGCAGAAGTGTTCCAGTCGCAGGAGATGCCCCCAAACCTGCGACAGCGAAAGAAATAACAAAGCCAAGCAATACAGTCAATGCTAGGCTCGCTTCGAAGCTGCCGGTACCTGCGTCGCAAGCAGTCAAGCGATCAGGTATCCCAGTCGGTCGCCCACCTTCCTCCTTGTCCACCAGCGGATCGTCCTCGGGTTCATCTATGTCAAGCATCAAGACCAGTCACCCCGCTCCTGCCAGCGCACCCGGCTTTTCATCTTCGTCTCGAGGTGGTTCTTCCGCGGATGCCGAAGTGGGCTCTAGCAAAGGGACAATGCAAGCACCGGCCAAATCAAAAACGCCATTGCAACGGCCAAAGTCAACACTTGCATTTAGAGAGCGTGTTGCAATGGTACGAGGAGGCGCAAGCAATCCTCAGGACCGCGACATCAAGCACAACGGGCCGTTCCCTCCCTCTCATAAGCCAGCGCTCCATACACAAGCTCGCGAACGACCGCATGAGACACCTTTGAAGGAGCAGCAACGTTCGGTCCTTTCCGCCTCAGCTTCTCAGGTCGAACAGCTGCTGGGAGGAGGCATGCCTGTCAACTCGTCGTCTCCGAAACCTCTTTCAAGACCAACGGCGGCACGCGATCCCAGAATTGCCCATACGAAGCCTGCTACTAGAGTGTGGGACAGTCCGGCAAAGAAGGTCGATGCTCGCTCGCCCCAACGCAGAACTCCCAAGGCCACATCTCCTGTTCGATCCATGCGTCCACCTCCGCCGCATAACGCCCCTGCAGCTACGCCGACAACGACCACCGCTCCTTCCCTTCCATTCAGCTCAGGCAGCGGTCGAGCAAGGCGCGTGCTCGTCAATTCGTCGGAGCCAGCTTCCTCGCCTCCTAGAGCCGCTGCTCGAATCACATTCGATAGTCATGAAGGAACACGAGCCCTCCCACGTATAGGTCAGACATCGAGGACGACAAATGGGTCAGAATTTGCCGCAATTGGCTCCGGAAAGGGCGATGACGATGCGATCGCGCCGATGGAGAACGAAATGCAAGTAGAGAGGGCATTCCTTCGTACGGATGAGCGGCAATTGGGTCACGCGATGGCGGAGGAGCCTGTGATGAGGATCGAGAAGGATGATGGAGGTGCGGCTCATGAGGCGCAGCCAGAGGCTGCACCGTCGGAACTGGCCTCTGTCGTGCCCATGCCAGCTCCACATCAGAGCAGGCCTCACCGACAAGCCCGTATTGTTCCTCAGAGGAATTCTTCGAAGACAACCATCTTCGCCGTTCCTACGCCTTCGTTGGCCTCTACCCGACCTTTATCGCAAGCTGAGTGGAGCCAAAAGACAAAGGCGAACACACGACGGAATGAGGTATCTGTCATTGCGATCGACAAGATCACGATTCGAAGGCCTGGCGAGCGGCCTCCGAGTCCTTCGAGCAAGTTTCTCAAGGCCCAGAGCCCGGGAGAGGAGCTGGTCAACAGCAAACGATTTGCGGGCAGTGATGACGAGGACTTGAGCGACGATGATTCGACTGAGGAGATTGAGAATCACCTTTCCAGCGTCAGTCGTCACCGCCGGCGAGCGGGTGAAGAGGATCGATACGAGACGCCTCCTCGCATTCGCTTCGCGCCATCCGGGTGCAAGGCTGTGCGATGGCAGAAGCAGCTCTTTCAAGGGCCTTGCTCTTCCTCCTCTTCGTCTTCGATCGGCTCAGTAAAGAGCTGCTTGGCCCCAAAGACGTACAATCTGGACAGATTTGGAAACGTGGTTGGGGCAGACCAACCTCTCCCCTCTCGAATCATTGCAAAGCAGAAGGTCACTGTGCATCGGATCGTCTACGACGGCGAAGACGAGGAATAGCGGGCATCTCTTCGGTAGCTCGTCCAGCAAATACTGGGCAAAGAGATAGGACGCCTGTGGCTCACACCCAAGCTTTTCTCATTGTCTCCTGTAACATCAATCTATCTTGTAGTCATATGAATCATTACATGCAGACGCATCCTTCGTTATCAAGAGCAACAGTACCATCTTAGAAGGCTGTCAAGCGTGACAAGACTCGATCTAGCTTAGCGACTAGACAAGGATACGTCTTCTCCCTGTGCTCTTTCATCTCTGCTTTGCTCCTCCTGTACCGCTACTTGGTCGGCCTTTAGTACTTCATCTTGATTATAAGGCAAGAGCCGTTCAAAGTCTCTCCTTGCCTTGTCAGCAAGATAGTTGACCTCCCTCTCAAGCTGCCTCAACTTCTGTCGCGTTTCTAGCACCTCCCGCATGAGAATCTGCTGCGAAGGCGTGCTGATGAAGGGCCTTCTCTGCTCTCCTTTCGTCATCGCTTCCTGCTCTTCGGCACCGTGGGCCTTTCTCTTTCGCGAAACTTCTGTTTTTGGCCCGTGCTTGCGCTTCCCAGTCCCTGGTCTGACCGCGAGCAGGCCAAGCTTGACCGATCTCCTCAGCCACGGCCTCGCCTTGATGTATCCGACTTTACTCGAAGCGATCTGCATGAAGTCCAAGTTCGCCTCAGGTAGGTACCCTTGACTCCTTGCTCGGACCTCTTGCAGCGTCTCGAGATAGTATGCGAGAAGGAACTTGCCCTGAGCATCACCAAAGTCGTCGTCGGCCTTCTCCCTGCACTCCTCGTTTTCGGGATTGGTCCAATACTGGGGAATGCGGCCATCGGCATTGCAGAATTTCACGCGCGCCTCTTCGCATCGGAGACATCGTATGGGGCCATGGGTGAGCGCCGACCACACGCACGGCTCGCCTTCCATGTAGCATTTGTGGCATTTCTTTCGGACCTGCGAGCCGGGGACTGGTCGCTTTCGGTCATCAATGGATGAGACGGGTAGCACGGGATCGTCATTCTTCCAGGCCACTCCAATTTCATCGTCGTCTGGGTGGCTGTAAGTCTGAAGCAGCTTCCAAACTTTTGGATGTAGAGCATCGACGTCCGGATTCTTCCATGGAGGATCATAAGGGTCTCGAAGCAAAGTCGAGTCTCGAGGAGGTGATATTGTTATACCCTCATCTCCTGATGGCAGGATGCTTGGCCCGTCTGCCCTGATCTGCTCAGTCCTACGCGCGTCTTGTTCCATCTCAGCAAAGACTTCGTCAAATACGTCGGCAAAGTCTTTTTCAAAGGAGCTGCTTGCCTCGGCCTCTCTGGCTGCTTCTTCAAGGGCGGCCTCTCTTAGCTTCGGAGCCTTGTGGACCTGTCTCGACGGACCAGGCGTCCCACTACCCAAAGGCAGGTCTAACATGGATGGGTACGACAACGGGATCAGCAAGAGGTGGTGGCCAGATGGCAGTATTGCCACAGGCTGAATGAAACCGAAATTCATACACGAGGATGCGTCATATAATTCTTCGTCTCTTCATCATCAGAACACAAAAAGGAGAGCTATACCCTCTAACAAAATTTGCTACAAGAAAAGACAATGGGGAATGTGGGAGCAGCCAAATGAGCGTGTGGGAGGTGTCCATGGACGGGTCCTCGGCGAAGGTACGAAACCGAAACAAAGTCAGAAGAAGGGAAAAGAGCTATTTACTAGACCAGGGTGCCACCGTACTGCGAGACGTTGTCGTCGCTCTCGCCGAGTCGGCTCTCGACGGAGAAGAGGTCAGAGCAGCCGAATTGTGACCACGACGAATTCCACGAGAGCGATTGGCATTCGGTGACATCCCAACGATCGGGGCTCGAATCGAGATTGGCAATCTCGGTTGGATCGTTCGCAGGGATGGGCATGATGAAGGAGTCGCCTGGACGTCCTACAGTTGTACCGTGGTCGAGCGCAACGTACGACTCATCGGCGGCGGCTTGGAGCGATCCTACTTCTGACGAGACGGGAGCAGCGTTTCCGTCGGGACCTAGATCGTCAAAGCTCTGCCGTGAACCTGCTCCAAAGCCCTGGACATTCGGATCGAGGTCGCTGGGTGGTTCTGAAACCGAGGTCTGCTCTTCCAGAGAAGAACAACCGGCGGGTTGCAGGAATTGTTTGTAGTACCCGAATCGCTCGCGGCTGAAGCAGTCCTGCATCGCCTCGACAATTCTATTCTCGCAACGCTCCTTGAAATGGACGACCACGAAGAATTCTCGACGGTGACCGTCCAGGTAGGCGTATCTTGTTTCCGTTTCCCCTAAAAGCGGACGGAACTCCAGTAAGAAGTCTTGCAGAGGATTGAGACGTCGGCTTTGGTGTCGCTCGTAGGCATCGCCGATCCTCCCAATAGCTTGCATGACCTCAGGTCCAAACAGCCCAATCTCATCGATGTTGTCTTGAACAAGGAATGGGCCAAGGCTCGGTTCCAATGGCATGACCAGATAGCAAGACTCCCGAGTGCTGCGTTTCCCCTGGTTCTGCGTCGGAGCAAAAAATTGCTCCATTTGTCGCTCGATGGCAGAGGGCGACCAATCAGAAACCTCGTCCGAATGAATTGCGGAGATCTCCTCAAGGGCTTCGTCGACGCCAAAACTCGAGCTGCCTGACTTGGAAAGGGAGGAGCCAGAAATGGTCCTAAGATGCTCAATCTTCACTGGGATGGCTCGGCCCGCCCACTTGGCCATCTTGGCTTCCTCGACCGAATCGAGAACGCGAGACCGGCGAGTTGGGCTGGCAACGCCAGTCCGCGATCCCTTCTTGCGCCTTGAGTTTCGGAACTCGTCGTCAACCTCACCAGCCAAAGCGCGGGGGAATAAGGGCGCGTTCCATGCACTGATAAGGATCCGAGCAGCGGAGGTTAGAGACAGGCAGGTGCACAGAAGCGACGCTCGTACTTACAAAGTATACCCATGATGGAAGCCGGTGCTTTGAGAAGCGGTGGGTTGCCATCGAGAATAATTCGGAGAAGACAGCTGGACATCGGAGCGCATGGATCGGAAGTTGGATGAGCGACCCTTGTTCAGGCGGAATTTCATGGTGCCGAACGAGTCGGGACGGACTGGCTGAGCATAGGAAGGCACAGATTGCACACGAACTCCCTTGAACGCTGGGATCCAGCAATGCTCATAAAAGAGACGACCTGCACGGCTCAGCGATGAGTGGACGTCATTGTAAGAAGCTGGCGACGAGTAGCGGGTGAAGCGACTGCCTGCTTGGCCGGCATCGTGGACCGACCCGGGTGAGAAGCCACTGCACGGTTTGCGGACGACCTTGAGCCGCACCGCCTGCCTGGCCGTGGCTAGACCCTTTTCAACAAGGCGATGAACGCCAAGCTGAAACGGGCCAGCCATGGAGGAGGCTAACGCAAGCGAGTTGATTGAGTGGTGATTCCCGGTGAGTGGTGGCTGATGGTGGCAAACAGGGCATGCACTTCCAACTTTAAGCTAGTCTGAAAGAGGCGCAGATATCTCGGCCGAAGAAATAGACCCTCGCTCCCCTCCTTTAGGAGTGGGTGCGTGAACGAAGCTGCAATCAGAGGTAGATGATTGAAGTTGACTTTTTCGGTTTTCGTGTCGTGGGATTGAGATTGAGACCTTTTTTCGCCATTTATCACCTTGACCCGAAGACGCGCAGCCGTGTCGCCTTACTGACAGGAAGAGCCTTGCTCATAGTGAGAGGGCTGGCGGACAAGTTTGAGAAGAGAGTCGTCGCTCGCGGAGCGTGACCTCGACTCCCTTCTTGCCGTCTGTCCACCTTTGGGGGTCATGGGGTTGCCTCATTAGCGGTAGGAAACCCCCCTGTGCCCCCACCACGCCCAGAGCCGGCTGCTATCATGAATAGACTACCTCCGTCAGCCCCTCGGTCCTTTTTACAGGCAAAGGTGGTCGCTGATGTGGACAAGGACACCAGGGAGCGGCGGCTCAATGGGCACCACATCGCATCTTTCCCTGCTCTCCCCTTGGCTGCACAACCACCACCCCCTCCCCCACCACCGCTCTCTCCTCCTCCGCCGCCTCCCTCGCCCCCGCCACCTCCTCCGCCAACTGAGGAACCTCCTCCGCTTCCCACCGAGGATGGACTGCCACCACCGCCGCCGCCGGCGGCACCTTTGTCTTTCGGATCAGTTCTGCTGCCGCACGAGCTTCTCAAAGACGACCTTCTGCCGAAGAGCAAAGATGGACGGACCCTCAGACCCTTCAAGGTCTCTTTTGACCCGGCACTAGACAAGAAGGCAGACAAAAGCAAGTCTGTGGTCATGAAGGCCCTCGCACTCCCACCGGCCGGCACAGATCCAGTGCTGGATCGAACAGCGGATCCGAGACGGCGATCGTCATCCTACGAAAAGGCTATCTATGCAGGTCGATTGAAGCCAAGGAAGGAGCTGAGGATCGTTGAGTGGAAGGTGAGTGACTGTGCTGTAGACTCGGCTGGCCCTGTCGTTCTCACGTATGCTAATACCGGCAAGCACAGTGGGACAAGCATTCCCTTGGGCCAAAGCCGCCGCCCCCTCCGCAAGCCTTGCTCGTGACCGGCCTGTCGCCCTTGACGACGCCTGCGCTCATTAACCAGCACTTTCGTGCCTTTGGGCGCATTGAAGCATCAGAGCTCAAGTTGGACCCCTCAACGGGCCAGAGCCTCGGCATCTTCTGGCTGAAGTACGTGCATGACTATGATGACGACGACAAGCCCAAGGCAAGCAACCCGCAGAATGCCCACGAATCGGCAAAGGAAGCTCTGTCCCAGTCTGATGGCCGCAGGATCGGTCATGACGCTGTAAAGGCTGTCTTTGACAACGAGGTTAGGGACAAGTACAAGGAGACGTATCGCAAAGAGCTAGCCCGGCGCCATGCTGCGAGGGTCAAACCGACACCTGCAAAACCCCAAGACGTCCCCGAAGAAGCGGCAAAGGCCCCAGATGGCGCAGCAAACCCTGCACCTGGTTCTGTCGCAGCTATGCCCCCTCCCCATGCGCCTCGAGGGCCGCGAAGTGGCCGACCGAGGCCTTTATCGGTAGCCACGCCACCTCAACCACACCATCGAGCGGTGGCGACCTCGGTGCACGCACGCTCCCCCTTTGCCAGGCATGCTGAGGCCTCCTCATCGAGCCTTGGATCTCCCATAGTAGGGGAGTTCTCATCGGTGGCTACACCCTCCCACTCTCAAGGCGCATCTTCGCCTGCACAAATGTCGGATGGACACAGGGACGTCGAGGATGCCCACAGGTCGCGACGAAGATCCCGGCGCATGGAAGATGACGACCTGGATATGCGCGGCAGGTCAGACGATGAGGACGAGTATCTGAGGGGATTCAGGGGCAGAGGCCACTATAGCGCGTCCCGGAGTCGCTTCGATGAGCGGGCGCGCCACAATTACGAAGACGGTGACGTGCTCGAGGACACTGGTCGGATCCTCGGACGCCTGGCGGCGATAGATACGCCCTACATCTTTGTCCCGCGGGTGAGATCGAGCTCCATCTCGATGCAGAGTCTCCACAAGCACTTTGACTCGTTCCTTCCGGCATGGATTGCCGCCGATGAATCGGGTTGGTACGTTGCATTCAACAGCAAGGATGCTGCGAATCGCTGCAGGATGGTCATGGATAAGACGACGCTCTCAGGATTCCACATCAACATCGAGGTCAGGATGCCGTCTTCGGACGCGCTGGCGGAACGTAAGAGGTCCAAAGTGGAAGATGATTACGACAACGCATCTCGGCAGGTCAGCGCCCCGCCGGCCAAGACCGAGTGGACAGAGGAAGAACTCATCGAGGACGCCGCCCTGCTGTTGCAGCGTGACATGGGTAACGTCTTCGTGCGCGACGTCAAAGCTCGTGTCCTTCAATCGTACATTGCCGATCTCCTGAATCCCAAGTCGGCCGGCGGCAAGATTTTGCATGCGCCAAAAGGACAGCTTTTCCTCGATGACCGCGAAGAGAGGCCAAAAGCCAGTCGGAAACAGATCAAAAGGGAGGAAACACCGAGCCACGACGATGGTCATCGACACAGACAACCGCCGTCGAAGGCGACGCAGAAGCCCATATTCACCGACAGCGAAGATGAAAGCGACGACGCACACCCTCTTGAGCCTGTGGAAGCGTCGCAGGTCCTTGAGGACGAGGAAGCAGCCAAGACCAGCAAAAAGCTTGCGAAAGCGGTGAAGCAAAAGAAGCCAAAGAAGGAGCTGGCTGGACTCAAAGACGAAGATGTTGAAATGGCGGGTGTGACCGACGAAAAGAAAGAAGCGAAACCTCTCAAGAAGAAAGGGACCGCCAAAAAGGTCTCAAAACCCATCACCGAACGGAGCCCAAGCCCCGATCCATTCGAGCTGGGTATCGCAGAGACCGACGAAGATCTGCACTTCTTGCGATTGGCGCTGGAGCGGATGCATGCGGGCAAGACGGTGCAAGCCGCCGGCATGCCCGAGCAGGATCTGGCAGAAGAGCAGGGTGGTCCCCATGCCTCTGGATCGGCGCGGACAGAGGGCTTCTATCGCATTCCTCCGTCTGAAAAGGCCGCTCACTTGCCTGACCGGAATCGCGCCATTGTCGACCCACAGGCAGCCATCGGCCTGGCTTCTGCGAGAGACAATCGTGCCGATTCACGGCGCTTCGTCCAAGGTATTGAGCAGCATAAGAAGGATACGGCGACGGACACGGATATCCTCAAGTTCAATCAACTACGCACGCGAAAGAAGCAGCTCAAGTTCGCCAAATCGCCCATTCACGACTGGGGCCTGTATGCGATGGAACTCATTCCTGCAGGCGACATGGTCATCGAGTACGTGGGCGAGGTCATTCGGCAGCAGGTGGCCGACGAGCGCGAGAAGATGTACGAGCGCCAGGGAAACTTCAGCACCTACCTTTTCCGAGTCGATGATGATCTCGTGGTCGATGCTACACGTAAGGGCAACATTGCTCGTTTGATGAATGTAAGTGAATCCGTGTCGAGGTGGTCACTCATCCAATTGACCCTGTTGGCGCGTTTACAGCACTGCTGCACGCCAAATTGTAACGCGAAGATCCTCACTCTCAACGGCGAGAAGCGCATCGTTCTCTTGTGAGTGGCCGCGAGACCTGTCCGCGAACGGAAGTGGACAAAAGCTGACTCTGGCTGTCGTCTACCAGCGCCAAAAATGTCATTCTTCCCGGCCAGGAGCTGACGTATGACTACAAATTCCAAGCTTCAGGTGAGGAAGAGGACGCCATCCCGTGCTTGTGTGGCTCTCCCGGGTGTCGGCGTTTCCTTTAGACCCGTCTTCCTTCCCACTTTCTTGCCCCCCCTTTTCGATGATCAAACACCTCTTGTCACTTGTATCAACACACTACACGGCATCCAGTACTTCTATCATTGCCATATCGTTAGCGATTTCTACCGCCGACGGACATAGAGCCGCGGATCGTGTGCCCGCTTCAGACTAAGCTAAGGTTGTCCTAGTCTTGTTTCTGGGCGCCTTTCTTCGCGACTCAGCGGTCCTGAGGCTTTTTCCGTGACTTTCTCATGCGCGCTATCGCACGGTCCGCGCTATCAAGCCGCCATCTCTCTCCCCGCCTCGCTCGCAGCTCACTCATACTCTGTCGTTTCCTGCGCAACTCTTCCACAATGTCTGCAGCACCCATCGACGGCATCGTCCTCGGCGTCTCTGGCGGCAAGCCTGCGAGCGCTGAGGTGGCCCGCGCTACCTCGATCGACGTCGCTTCGCAGTGGGCCGCTTCTCGGGCTTCCAACACCAAGCCCGGTCAGCTGAGGGTCTTTTATCCTTCCAAAGTGAGCACGAACACTTTCCGTTTGATCGCCCTTGGTGGGATTTGCTGACATTTCCTCTTCGATATAGCCCGATGAGCCCATCGTTGCAGCTGTCTCGCTCGCCAGCGACCAGAAGCCCGCGCCCACGACGGCCCCCGACACGCTGCCCGCGGCCGAGACGTACCTGCGCAACGAGAACCTCGAGTGGAGCCGTATCGCGGCAGCCAAGGGTGCCAAGGCGCTCAAGGAGCACGGCCACCCGTCATCGTCCTCGTCCTCGTCCGAGGGGGGTGACGACAAGGCGAAGCTGACGAAGCGGACCATTGCCGTCGACAGCTTCGCAAGTGCGCACGCCGCTGCGACGGGCGCCAACCTGGGCCTCTGGCAGGTCAACCACTTCAAGACGAGGGGACCCAACGCTGCCTTTGGCGAGGCCTACGAGAAGCAGGGCGGCCGCGACATCGAGGTCGTCCCGCTCAGTGGAGGCAGGACGAGAGCGGACAAGGAGAAGATCCTCGATCAGGGAGACGAGATCAAGGGCTCCTCGGTGCCCCTGAGCTTCTTCACGGGCGAAGTGTGAGTTGCAGCCAGCGTCATGCATCTTCCTTGACAAAGGGCCCCAATCTTACTGACGGGCCAACTTCCTTCGCTAAGATACGCCGAGGCGCAGAACTGGGCCAGGGAGCTCATGGAGACGCCGGCCAACCTCTTGACGCCGACAATCTTCAGCAACGTCGTCACCGAAAGACTCAACAAGCTGGCGAATGTCAAGACGACCGTGCACGACGAAGCGTGGGCCAAGAGCAAGGGAATGGGCTCCTTCCTCAGCGTCGCCAACGGCACCGAAGAGCCGGCCAAGGTTTGTTCGAGCCGGTGCACCTGTTCTTGAAAGGCGACCTCCTTCTAACTGACCCAATCTGCGGCAATAGATGCTTGAGATCCACTACAAAGGTGCCACCTCGCCGAACGCTCCCACGCTTGCCTTCGTCGGCAAAGGTGTGAGTTGCATCTCATCCTAGGATGGGACATGCAGGATCAAGCATATCTGACAATAAAGACCCCTGCAGATCACTTTTGACTCGGGTGGTATCTCGCTCAAGCCTGGCCTCGGCATGAAGCTGATGTGAGTCACTGTTTGTGGTGCTGGTGAGCTTCGCAATCTCACCCTGCATTCCCACAGGCGTGCCGACATGGGCGGAGCAGCTGTCTGCGTCTCGACGGTGTACGCCATTGCAAAGCTCGGCATCCCTGTCAATCTCATCTGTGTCACGGCCCTGACTGAGAAGTGAGTGACTCTCTCGTCTCTTCTGCTTTTGTCTGCTAGGAGCAGGTTCTGATATGATGACGTATAGCATGCCGAGCGGCCATGCTACCAAGCCGGGCGACATTGTCAAGGCCATGAACGGCCTGACGATCGAGGTCGACAACACCGACGCCGAGGGACGACTGGTCCTTGCTGATGCTTTAACATACGTCTCGCGCGAGTTCAAGCCTGCCGTGCTCATCGACGTGGCCACGTTGACCGGAGCCATTCTCCACGCCTTGGGCCACGAGTACACGGGCGCGTTCGTCGAAGACGAGAGCCTGTGGCAGGGCATCAAGGCCTGTGGAGAGGCCGAAGACGACCCGTTCTGGAGAATGCCGCTGAGCGACCGCTTCGAAAAGTACGTCGACACGTCTAACAGCGACATTGTCAATGTCGGCCGGCCCGCTGGGAGCGCTTCGGCAGCCATCTTCCTCAAGCAGTTTGTCGAGTGCGTTGCGTTCTCTCCCTCTACCCCCTTGCTCATGAGCGTTGATTAACCTCTTTCTCCCTGCAGAGGCCTCGAAGACCGCAGCAAGCAGCAGAAGGCGACGGTCAAGTACGCCCATTTGGACATTGCTGGCACCATGGTGGGTAAAGCGTCCTGCTCCGTCCCTCTTGTGAGGGTCAGCTGCTGACATCCTATTCATTCGCTCTGCTCTACAGGAAAAGATTCACAACACGGCCTACCAGACGACGATTCTCACGGGCCGTCCCACCAGGGCTCTGATCGAATACGCCCGACGCTTCGCCGTGGCTCCCTGATGGGATTCCTCGTCTAGTCGCTGTATAGCATAAATCACGGTGTCAAATAAGTGAAACGAAGAATGCCACGTTGTTCCTCTGCTTTTTTGAGCGTGCTCCACTTTGGACCCCCCTTGTTTCAGAAGGAACGTTTGTTGGTGGGCCCTCGAGAAAAAAAAGGTTAGCCGGTTGTCATTTGCTTGGCTGCACTAGGTCACCGTCATCGACATTCTGTTGTGGAACACCGCCGCTGTCTGGTTTGCGAGTGGCGCTCAGGGGATCCATGGCGAGAACAGAAGCTGTGCCTGGCGACTCTGCGTTCCCGAGTCGGGGAGGAGCTGCAGGAGCAGCTGGAGGCAGCACCAGCGGCGGCAGCGGCAGTGGGTCCTTGCCGAGGGTCCGACCGCGATGCAGCGAACACCCGAGGATAATGTGTCTGGCCACGCCAGCGCCAAATAGGACGACGAGCACGCCGCCTGCTATTCTCAGTAGCCGGTTCCGGCTGAGGCTCGCACTCGCCTCGAGCTTCGTCGCGGCGTGGCTTCACTTTACGCAACATGGTCCGACCAGCGAGCGGGTACAGGATGCAGCGGCACTCATTCCCAAAGAAGTCGACAGCAACGACGAAGTAATCAGCGAGCGGACAGGCTATCCCGTGCGGAACGGTACGCGGAGGCTGCTCCTTCAGCAGCAACATCAGAAGTCTCGAAGACGAGGAGCCGCCCTTCCCATCTCGGCTTCTTTGGATGCTAGTGGAAGACCCATATGGACAACATCGCAGCCTCGGCGAACGTCTTCGGTGAGAAGCTTTTCGAGTGATGCAACCGCAACTGCAGCAAAGAGAGACTCGGAGCCCACTCCAGAGGAGCTTGTCCACTCGTCTGCATCGAAGGAGCGTAAAGGGAGCGAAGGGGCGGAAGCCTTGGACCAGGTCACGGACATCAACAAGCTCATGTGGCATCCCGACTTGCTCAAGGACATCAAAGCGCCCCGGCATCCCATTGTTCTATGCCATGGCCTCTATGGCTTCGATGTGCGCGGGCCGTTTCTGGGTCTCGAGATCCACTATTGGGCCTCTGTCCTGGACGTCCTCAGGAAGAAGGTGGGCGCAGAGGTCATCGTCCGAGGTGTACCAGGGTGAGCATGTCTTTGTCTCCTCCTTTCCAGACTTTTCCTATCTCTCTCCTTGCTTTTACTAACGAGTCATTTCATTACCAGGACGGGAGCGATTGCGGACCGAGCGCTTGCGCTGCACAAGTTTCTCATGAGTCCCGAAGCGGGCTTGCGGGGAAAGAAGATCAATTTCATCGGCCACAGCATGGGCGGCCTCGATGCACGGCACGTCATCAGCGTCATCAAGCCCGACACAAAGGGAGAGTACGAGCCCGTGAGCCTGACGACGGTTGCGACGCCGCACCGGGGAAGCCCCTTTATGGACTGGTGCAATGCCAATGTCGGCACGGGTAATGAAAGAGTCGAGACTGAGATCAGAGAGGCGCGAGAAAGGCTCAAGGAACAAGGCACAAGTGCTCATGTCGGTGCGCTCGACCATGATGGCCAGGTAAAGGTACCCTACAGCCTCAAGACTCCCCTCTTTGTGCGTCCCAAGCAAGACAAGTCGAGTGGCAACGACGCGGAAAAGCCCGAGCCACAACAGCCAAAACAGCAGCAGCAGCAGCAGCAGCAGCAAGCGTCGGCAGAGGTCCAAAAGGCAAAAGAAGAGCCTGCGACAAAGATTGCGGAAGACCAAGGGACGGTCGCAGATGTGAAAGAATACGTCGGAGATGCCGCCGAGAAGCTGACGGCGAGCGTCGTGGCTGCCGCAACCTCGCCGGCTGGTGCTTCTCCCAATGTAGAAGCTACGGCATCAAGTCTGTCTTCATCGCCGACAAAAGACAAGAAGAAGTCCAAGTCGGACGGCTCGTCGATTCTCGACTTTACCGCCTTCACAAAAGCACTGTCGTCGATCGGTGGATCCTTTTCCGCGTACATGCTCTCCGTTTTGGACCAGCCGGCCTATGCGATGCTCTCGACACGATACATGGCCCAGGCATTCAATCCCTCGGTGCCCAACTCGCCCAAGGTGGCTTACTACAGCGTCGCGGCGCGCACACGCCGGCTTTCGATCTGGCACCCGCTCTGGCTCCCCAAGCTCGTCCTGGACGCTGCAGCCGAGAGCCGAAGCGCCGGCGGAGAACGGGACGGGAGTGGAGATGCGCTAGGCAAGGAAACGCAGGGCAACGACGGCCTCGTCAGTGTCGAGAGCGCCAAGTGGGGCCACTTCATGGGCGTCGTGGATGGTTGTGACCACTGGGATCTTCGTGGAGGCGGCGCGCCGCGATGGCGAGGCAGGATCAACCCGGCGACGGGTAAAGCGTGGGCCAAGGACCCGAGCAAAGAGGAAGAGATCAAGCAGAAAAAGGCAAAGGAAAAGGAGGAGAGCTGGATTGACATCAACAAGATCCTCGGCCGGTTAGTAGGTGACAGCAAGAAGAAGAAAGACGGCAAGGGCAGCAATGGCACAAACGAGGAGAGAGAGGCTGTCAAGGAGGGAGAAAAGGAGGAGCAACCCTCGAATGCAGCCGTGGCCAAGGCCAAGGCTGGATTCATGGACGAGGTGGCTGGTTGGATCTCGGACCGACTGCCGCAGAGGGATGAAAGCAGGCGCGCCGAAGCAGAGAGGGTGGCCGATGAGCAAGATCGCAAACAAATCAGAATGGAGCAACGGCTCCAGCAACAAGAGCAAATGCGAGAGGAGGAACAGCATGAGCAGCAACAACAGGAGCAACAACAAGAACCACAAAAGCAGCATGAGCAGCAAGAGCAGCAAGAGCAGCATGAGCAGCAAGAGCAGCAAGAAGGCGACCGTGCAGAGGACAAGAAGACGGACGGTCTCGCGACAGAGGCTGTTAGTGACCAGACGTTCACGCAAGCGGCACGGATCCAGACTAAGCTCCGAAGGGAAGCGGCCTGGGAAGAGGAGCTCGGTCATCTACAGAGGGCCCGAGAGCTCCGAAGAGAACTTGCGTGGCATCGAGCCGAGTGGGACCGAACGAGAGCCTCGAGCGAGGGAGCCGCCAGCGGCAAGGACGGCGACGGCCCCAAGCGATCAACGCCGCGAGAACTGGATTGGGACGCCCATGCCAAGCAGCGTCAGAGTTCTGCTCCCGCCAAAGCAGCGACAGAGGCACAAAAGGTCGAGGCGAATGAGCTCGAGCGCTTCTGGATTGCCATCTGCAGACATCTTTGGGCGCAAGGATTCTGAGATTACCTACTTGCATGTGCTTTAGAGACCTGCCGTGGATGTGCAATACACTACTGCCACAGATCTCCGCACCGAAGCGCCCTCTTCCTTCAGAAGTCAAGAGTCATATGGAGATTGGACATGCACTTTTGAATGTATCATACATGACCGAGCAGGGCTGGTCCGAGTCCGGAGCTGGTCGATCCTTTTGTCGTGAAAGAAGAGACAATCTAACGACGGCCAGCACCGGGGACGTTCCGGCCGCGCCTCTCGGGCTGCTGGAAGGCCGAGACGGGGCCAGTGACGCTGACGGGGAGCTTGTCGAAGCCAACGCTGTTGAGCATCTCCTTGGTGTCGGCGTCGACTTCGAGGCCGCCGTTGGCCGCAACGTCGAGGGCCGAGACCTCGGGGACGTACTGGTCCTTGCGCTCGCGCTCCTCTTCCTGCAGCTTGAAGCTGATGCCGCGGACGGGGCCCTTCTGGATACGCTTCATCAGGTACGTCGTGTAGCCCGCGATCTTGTTCCGGAGACGCTTCGAGGGGATGATGGCCACCTCGTCGATCGTCTTCTTGTTGGTGTGGAAGTCCGTGGGCGAGAGCCTAGGGTAGTAGCGCTCGATGAGCACTGTCAATGCAAGGGTCAGCTTCCAGCTCTTTGCAATCTTCTGACCATTTCCCTCCTTTCCTCTCCGCATTCCTGCTTTGCTTTCCTCCATCGATCTCCTTCTGCTTCCTTATGCCAGCCATACACCTTTGTTCCACCTTCTTGGTTCGACACTCTCCCTCCCCAAGAAGTTCCAGCCAGTCTACCTCCTCCTTCCGCTTCCGCTTCCCACAACCGCTCTCGCCTCTCCTCTCTTCCGACCTGTGACAAGCCGCTCTACTAACCTCGCGAAGCACGCTTGCTAGTCTTTGTCCTAACGCGACCCATGTTGAACTATCTGTCGTGCTCGTCGGTCGAAGTGAGGATGAGTTGGAGAGAGAGCTTGAAGAAGGAGGGGCGAAATCCGTGTGTCAATCCACCCTCGGCCAAGGACAGAACGAGGTCAGGTGACTTTTGCCTTGCTGCGGTCCACCCGTCAATTTGCTTTTAGTCAAGGTCACTTTAGTAGAATTCAACATTTTTAATATAGAGGTTTCAATATTGAAATTCTCGCGCGAGGGGAACGGCAAGCTCGACTTCTTCTTGCGCGCCTTGCTTTCCACATCTTCGTCAACGTCAATCGGCAAACCCGTCTCTCAAGGTGAGTGTCTGTCTTTGTTCGTCTTCCGTGTGGCGGGTTTAGGCACGCACGATGCTCGAAGACGGCGGCAACTTGACGGCAGGGAAGGGGTAGCGGGGGGACAGAAAACGATTGGGAAAGGGACCTTTTGTTCAATTGGTCGCTCTCACATTCGCAGGCTCGCCCGCGCGTCCGTCTCGAGAGAGAAGAGGAGATGTCGTCGTCGCAGAAGGAGCTGGTCGGAACAGATGGCTGAATACCTCTGTACCCGTCCAGCAGGAGCATACAGATTCCCACCCACTCTCCAACACAACCACCACCGCCAAATCTTGAAAGATGGTCCGCATTTCCGTCCTCAACGACGCGCTTAACAGCATCGTCAACGCCGAGCGCAAGGGCAAGCGACAGGTCCTCATCCGGCCTTCGTCCAAGGTCGTCATCAAGTTCCTCAGCGTCATGCAGAAGCACGGTGAGTCTCACGATGGAGTGGCATGCTAGGAGAAAAGGAGAAGGAGGCCGGCGGCCAGCACCACCGGGCTTATAACTGTTGGGCGAATTGGCTTCTGCTCCCACCAACGCCCATCTTTAAGGGTCCGGAAGATCAATATTCTCCTCCTTCTCCATTCTTACTGGGACAGCCTCCAATGGCATGCTGGCCCTATCAGCGAAATAGAAGAAACATTCCTTAAAGTGAACAGTTACTAATGTTCGTCCGAATCTCGCAGGCTACATCGGCGAGTTCGAGGAGATCGACGACCACCGCTCCGGCAAGGTCGTGATCCAGCTGCTGGGCCGTGTCAACAAGTGCGGTGTCATCAGCCCCCGGTTCAACGTTCCTCTTGGCCGAATTGAGCAGTGGGTCGAGCAGCTGCTCCCCGCCCGTTCGTTCGGTATCATCGTCTTGACCACCTCGGCTGGTGTCCTCGACCACCACGAGGCCCGTAGGAAGCATGTCGCAGGAAAGATCCTGGGCTTCTTCTACTAGGTCATTGATCGGCTTCTTTTCCTCTTTACGCGCACATCTTCATGTACTATGATCATCCCAAACAACGAAACCAAAACAAGGCATCCAGGCACTCTGGTTGTCCTTTCTCAGACCTGACATATTACATTGGAACGATGGAGTGAAGGTATCTAAAAGCCTCTTAGACGATTCTTGGTGCGCTTCGGCTTTTTGCTGGGCGGCGGACGGGAGGCAGCCGTCTGGCTGGCAAATGCTAGTTGGGGAGGATCGCTTGGTCGGAGGTCCCTTGCTTCAGGCTGGCTGCTCGCAACTGTCGGGGTCCCATACTCTGTCTCGGCATAAAGCGAGAGGCTAGACGAGGGTACACCTCGTCCTACATGTGTCGCACCGGAGCCAGCGTTGTCCGAGTCTAAGTGATGACGCCCTCCGGCCCCACTCCCAAGCCTCGATTTGCGTACCCGCTGTGACGCAGAAGGGGGAGGCGCAGATGCAGAGGCTGACGCAGACGCAGACGCAGACGCAGACGCAGACGCAGACGTATAGCCACCGTCGGCCTCGAATTCTCCCAGATCCCCTTCCTCGCCATCGACGTCAACATAGGGATTTTCGTAGATGTAGTCTCGCGGATCGGCTCCCACTGTCCAATCGGAGAGCAAGAGACGGGCCGCCATGGTCGTCGTTGTTGATGAGCCCGCTCCATTCCCCATGATACGGTCCCGCGATGAAGAGGGCGCAGACGAAGCCGTGGGGGAGCCAGAAGCCTCAGCGGCGTCAACGCCGAGCTCGAGGTGAGAGAGCTGAATCCTTGGAGGATTCGGGACCTGTTGCAGGGCCTGCGCTTCAATGTTATCTTCCCCTGCGCCATCTTGCCTTACTGCTGCTGCTGCAGCCACTTCTCCCTCATTGCTCGTCGTTGTCGCCGCCCTTCCTGAAACCGACTGCGACCTTGACTTTCCCCGCCGCCTCTTCCCAAGAACGACTCGTGACGCCAGCTTCGTGTCGTTTGAAGCCTGCAAGCAGGAAGAAACGAGATGCCTCCGAATTCCTTCCATCGCTTCGGTCCTATCAGTAGCAGTCTTTCCTTCACTGGAGGGAGAATCGAAGAGTTCGCGGAGCGCGTCGATAGCGCCTCCAAGCAACAACTCTTCGACGACAGCATCGAGCACGTAGGCGTTGGGCGATGCCTCGCACCAGGCTGAGCTGTCGTTTATGAGAATCGAGGATTCGGGACTGAGTTCGAGTGCTCTCTGGGTGATAGGTGCGAGTGTGACTGACGAGTCACCCATCGATCCGATGAGTTCAAGTCTGGACTCGTGCAGATGCATACATTAGCAGCTGAAATTCCAAGAAGATCCAAAAAGAAACGCTCACAGGGTGTAGGATGATCTCGAGGGCGATGTTGCTTCGATATGCCGCCTCAGGGCCGATTTGACCATGGCTTTCGCCTCGCCAACTGCGTCATTCGATTGATCTCTGACCATAGTGTACTTCATCATCGCTGTAAAAGAGTCTTAGTCAATTGAGGCAGGGGTCCACTGGGAGCATCAACTTGCCTTCGTACGCCTTTGAAAAGTCGACGAGGAGGCGCCTGCACCTTTCTCGAGCACGGCTCGGTGGTGCAACGATGGATTTTGTCACTGTGCCGAGGACGTTGCTATCTCTAGTTGACTCGGCACGCTTGAATGCAAATCGTTGCAGCCAGACATCGCTGCTTTGGTCCAATCCCAGGAGGATGATCATCACATGATCTGCTCCATTCCCGGGAGTAGTCACATCGCATGTAATAGCAGGTGGCCAAACGCATTGCTTGGCAAGAAGACTGAAAGATGGCGATGATGTCTCGGCGCTGATCGAGTGAGGCGAAGCCGCATCGATGGAAGTAGAAAACGTCTCGACCAGGCCGCTTTCGCCCCATAGTACAGCCGAGAATACTGTAGATGCAGAAGAAGAAGCAGATATTTCGCCGGGCAGCGAGGTGATCGAGAGATGCTCTTTGGCGTGACGCTGGTGCGGCCACGTTGAGAGGAAGGTGTTGGGCGTCGATGTAGCTTCAAGATCCAAGATCGAGACTGTTGAGTCCGTCAGAAGCCATAGGAGACGATGTGGTGATTGGACAAACGACATCGAAAGGATAGGCGAGTTGACCGAGGACGGCATTGTAATTTCCTCGCATCTCGTGTCGATCTCCTGGTGTGAATGACAGCTTCAGTAAAGATAGCTGGGCAGCGCGTATAGAGTTTCTGCTCACCTTCTCTTGCGTCTCGACGAATAAGAGCCTGCTACCCTTGCCGACGAGAAATCGACTCTCTCCAGCCCACGAGAGTGACCATTGTCCTTCTTGAAAGAGGTCGAACAACTCGTGCTGTACGTTGAGCAAAGTCCACGACAGACAATTGGCCCATGGACTGGTGGTGATGAGGAGCTTAGAGACATGTGTATGTACATTATCGATATTGAGGAAAGACTCACGCTTTCATGGCCAAGTCGATGAAGTTGCACTTGAACAGGCCCACGTTGCCTTCGACATCGATTGTGAGGGCCCTGCAATCGGTCTTTGTTGGATGGAAAACCACGTTCACTATTTGTGAAGGCGCTTGATAGGTGACATTTCCAGGGTCGACAACAGGAGTGCGGTCGCCTTTCTTTAGGTGCTGAATGTTCAAAATGGACAAGAGACGCAGAGATCCATGTGATGCTTGAATGCTGCCAAAGATGGTCACTGATCTTGTCCGAACACAAAGCCATGGACCGGCATGCTTCGAAGTCGGGGTTAAATTATGGCGTACAGGGGCGACCTGCACGCCGAGGATGGTAGTGACGAAAGTCGCCAAAAGGTGGCGACGAATGAGAATTCCATGAGCTGCGCTTGAGCGAGATCGGACAGTGATATCTGTACGATTTGTGAGCATGGATTAGCAAGGGACTTTAGGAGGCACTTACAGAGTTCATTCCCCCCTTCGCCTCCCGCAAAGACAAAACAATCCTGCTGTGGCCCTGGACGTTGCATTGCTTTGGTCGAAGGGATGAGCGCACTCAGCTCAGGTCTGATCCATGCAGCCTGCGATCCTCGCTCCGCATCGGCCTCTGCCTTGCACTCGCTGGGGAGCTTCCCATCTGACTGCGAATCTTCCCTTACAACGAAACCCTCGAGTGACTCAAGCTCTGGGGCTAAACACAATAAGTCTCAGCAGCGTCAGGACCTTTGCTTCTTATCAATATTCTCTCTGAGGTGGAGTACGAACCACTGACTGAGAGAGAGCGTGCGTATTGGAATGAGACATCGTCACTCCCGCCTTCGGCCGCGGCTCGCGATTTCGCCAGCCATATGGGCCCGCGCGAGCCGCGATTGATGTGTAGGTTGGACGCCGTCGTGAAGTTGTCCTCTTCGTCCTCACTGCTAGATGGTGTCGAAGCAACAGCCACTTTCTTGGCTCCCTAGCTTTTACCCGCAACTTTTTTTCTGGCCCAGCTTCACGTGTTTCGATGGTCCGTGCCCAATGGAAGATTGCGTGGCCCTTGTTGGTAACGCCCCTTCCAAGACTCAACACCCGCACTCAATTGACATGGTAGCAAGGTTCCAGCTCTCCCAGCAGCTTCAGGGTCACACAGGCGATGTAAGTTGCGACTCTCCGAAGCTATGACTGTCGCGCTGAAACGGTAGCTGTCCATAGGTTCGAAGCCTCTCGGCTCTCCACCTGGGCGACCCGTTGAAGCCCTTACTATTGTCAGCGTCTCGAGATGGGACTGGGCGAATCTGGGCTCGACCAGACCAATCTAAGGCCAAGAGAGATATCGAAGCTAGAATAAACTTGGAAGGGCATGCCGGTTTCGTCAACGCAAGCGCCTGGCTCGATACAGGCAGCCAAGGTGGGTTAGGTCGGGGAACTATGATTGTGCCTTGTATGCTCACCGATGACCTCTCCATCGCAAGCCTACGCGCTGACCGGAGGCCAAGATCATTTGGTCAATGCCTTTACGCTCCCACTACAATCTCCGGATCCTGCTGCCAACTCGTCTCTTACTCCGGACTTCGTCCTGGTGGGACATGAAGACAATGTCTGCGCTCTTGATGCTCTCAGTGGACCCAGGGGCTATGTCGTTAGCGGGAGCTGGGACAAGACGGCTCGTGTGTGGAAGGAGTGGAATTGCGTTTCCGTCTTGGGTGATCACGCACAGGCAGTGTGGGCTGTGAAGGCTATCGATGAGGATTTCGTGTTGACTGGTGAGCTAGCACCTGGCAGATGCGAGTCCAAGCCATTTGCTCATGTGGGCCCGCCGTAGCTTCTGCCGACAAGGTGGTCCGGATGTTCTCGCTCACACACAGCCGCAAAGATGGCGAGATGCTGTTGCCAGTGGCCAAGTTCGTTGGCCATACCGACGCTGTGCGAGGGCTGACCATGTTGAGCGCGCGGACCTTTGCAAGCTGCGGTAATGATGGGTGAGCAGACCACTTTAGAAGCAATACAGCGATAGCGAATGCTCACTTCTTCTTCTCTGTCAGCAACATCCACATCTACAATCTCCCAAACGTACAAGGCCCGTCTCCTGTCCAAGCAGTCGTGCAACCGTCCCAAGTCCTCTCTGGGCATACAAGCTTCGTCTATGCGCTTGACTCACTAAGCTCTGGCGAAATTGTCAGTTCAGGGGAAGATCGGAGCGCCCGAGTTTGGAAAGGTGAGCAGAGCTGTCTTTACAAGTTGATCCTCGAAAATTGACGGGCATGAAAGATGGAGCTCTGCAGCAAACGATTACCATTCCGGCAATTTCGGTCTGGTCTATCGCTTGTCTATCAAATGGAGATATTGCCTGTGCCAGCAGCGACAACTTCATTAGGATATTCACTCGCGAGACGCAACGTGTGGCGGACGTCCAGGAGCTACAAGCTTACGAGACTACCGTCTCTTCGCAAGCCCTCAACAAGGCACAGGTTGGTGATGTCCAAAAGGACTCGCTGCCCGCGCCCGATGCCCTCTTGCAACCGGGGCGCAAGGAGGGTGAGGTCCGCATGGTACGCAACGGCGAGCTCGTCGAGGCCCATCAGTGGAGCTCGGCGGCGAACCAGTGGGAAAAGATTGGAGAGGTCGTGGGAGGCGTAGGATCAGGTCAAAAGAAGCTCTACCAAGGAAAGGAGTACGACTACGTCTTCGACGTCGACATCGCCGATGGTATTCCACCCCTGAAGCTGCCATACAACGCCACCGAGAACCCTTACAACGCAGCGTACAAGTTTCTCGAGCGCAACGAGCTTCCGCTCACATACGTGGATCAGGTTGTTGCCTTCATCGAGAAGAATACGGAGGCTGTCAATCTCGGCAGCAACAACGAGTTCGTTGACCCCTACACAGGTGCCTCCAGCTATCGACCGGGCGCCACATCAGCGAGTGCGCCTGCAGCTGCCGCACCTCGACCATCAGCACCCGTTGCACCCCCAATCTTGCCTCTTGCGCGACCGCTGACGTTCAAACAATTTAACGAAGCTGGAGCGAAGAGCAAGATTGACGAACTCAATGGACAACTCTCTGGAGCAACTGCATTGACGACCGACGAAAAGGATGCGATTTCCACCTTGCTTTCCTCTCTGACTAAGCTCTCGTCTCAGCGAGCCACAGGCCAATCTCGACTCAACGTCACGCCTCTGGAGACTGCCATGGCTCGGTGGCCACTCGCTCTAAGATTCCCTCTGCTGGATGCTTATCGCGCGGCTTCAGCGTATCCAACGACGACACCGACTGATGAGTGCGCCAAGGCTTCACTGAGAGTCGCTGCTTGGACAGACAGCTGGCCAACGGATGCAGAGCAGGACAAAACGAAGGGCATCTTGGCAATGCTCGCCCTCCGAGCTGTTGCAAACGCTTTCAGTCGGAAGGAAGAGGCAAGTTCTTTGCTAGAGAGTGGTTCACTTGTGAGTTCATGTTGTGGATGATCGACGATTCGAAGTTGTTATGACTAATCGGGGTGCTTTGGCATTGCAGATCGCCGTGGAACTTCGAAAATCGGGACACTTTGACCGACTCAACAAGAATGCCCGCACCGCCTACGCCACTGTGGCGTTCAAGTGAGTGGTTCTTAAGGCTGAAAACAGATAGAAGCTTACAAGCTTCGCTGTGCGAAAGTTTCTCTGTCCTTGTCGTCTCGGATCCCTCCAGTGTCAAGCTTGCTGCATCGACGCTGGACCTCGTTATCGGAGTGAGTGGTCTTGTACCTGAAACGTTCCTTGCTTATCCTTTGTCCACAAAGATTCTGAAAGCGGAGAACGACCCGAAACGAAGAGACGGCGAGGTTTTCTATCGAGCTCTGGTGGCACTCGGAAATTTGGTGAGGAATCACAGATATCTCTGTGTTAGTGATGAGACTTGTGCTCATAAATCTTCAAATATCTGTCAGCTCGTTTCCAAGTCCGCCGGTTCACTCTCTGTCGGATCCATCGCCGACGCTGTAGGAGCGAGTCAGGCAGCTGTATCATCAGAAGAAAGGATCCGCAACATCCAGCGAGAGGTTGCAGAGAAGGACACTGCAGTAAGAGGAATTTAAGCTCCGGCAGCATGGTATACAATGATTATGCACGCCCTGTCTTGTTTACTTCTACAAGCTTGTCGCAATGAAATGTCCGGGACAGTGAATCCCCTGACTTCTTGTCTTCTTCCTAGTTCTTCGTCGTCAAGAGTCCTTTTTCGATTCTGCGCTGCCTGGATCCGATGATGCCGTGGGCTCTGGTGGAGGCATCTGCTGGACTTGCGTCGCCGAAGGTGGAAGTCTAGCGAGCTCTGCGAGGAACCTATGGTAGCGATGGGTATAAGCATGGTGCAGGGCAACGGGACGTACAATGCACTTGTGCTTACCAATGAATGGAAAAGAAGAGACCAAGGGCGATGCAGAGGAGAGCAATGACGTGGAAGTTGCCGCCTGTCACAATGGCCAAGCCGAGGAGGACGATGAAGAGACCATAGAAGCTCAGATCCATCGCAGTGCGCATAGGCGTGTTGAGCCCCGGCTGGAAGAGCGAGTCAAAGGCGGCTTGCATCAACGAAGCCATGGTGGGCTTCTCCTACTTCGTGGCGGCGCAACTGAGCGAAGTCTTCCCTTTCGTTGGTCTCGAGAAGAGGAAACAGGATCAAGCTCGCCCGTGTTCCGAGCCTGAGGTCTTTTTCCACGCGAGGGGGGACCCGCGCACGGACTCACAAACCCGTGCCTGTCTTCCTCGCTTCTTCCTTTTCCTCCTTGCCTCCCGTCCAGCTACTGGTGCGACAGAAGTCAAGATGGCCAAGGGAAGAAAGAACGCTTCGCAGACAGCCAAGATCACCGAGATCGTGGAGCCGACACCTTCAAAGGCTAAAGGCGGAAAAGATGCTTCGCCAAGCGCGGTGCCATTCATCGTCCTGGGCGCGCTGTCGATTGCTTTCGGCCTCGCCATCCACCTCACCGCCGTTTGGAACAGCCCGGAAAGGTCCGTCAGTCAACTTCTGGAACTTTCCACCCGCCAAATCAAGTCTAGAATCAATGTAGCTCACGATTGGCCCGATGCTGCGACGTCGGCGTTCCTCGAGGCGCACGCACAGACGCTATTTCGCGCCTTCTTGATTGCTATTGCCGTCTTCAAAGACCTTCTTCGAGACGACACAGGCAAGGCACTCTTCCTCATCATCACGGCGGTGGGTGCGCCGATGTTCAATTTTGCTGCAGTCGAGTCTATCAAGCACGGTCGGCACCCTCTGCTTCACATCACCACGTACGCCGTCGCGGCCACGCTGGGCCAAGTGATGTGCATCGGTGCCGCTACGCCCTTATTCTACCTACCTGCCTACGCCTACGTTCGGTGGTCAGAGAGCAAGAAACCCCTCTCGGTCCATCCTCTCCCCTCTTCCAGCTTCGCCAACGTCTTTCTGGCCCAGCTCGTAGGAGCAGCAACGGTCGCCACGATTATCGGCACCGTCTTTCTGCCCGTGGAGAGCCGAGAGTGGCTCCTCGTCAACATTGCCTTTCAGTTCTTTCCGTTGTTCCTCATCCCGCTCGCCTTTGCCTCGTCACGGGTCAAAGCGGCCATCGATGAGAATGGCGACGTCTCAAAGCCCCGGCTTGCCACTTCCGAGTCGTACCGCATGATGGGCTACATTTGCCTGGGCCTCTACTACGCCGGCCTCTACTACGGCTTCCAGGGCTTCAGAAGGGCCTATGCGGCACGCACGTTCAACAACGATGCCCAATGGACCATCTTTTGGGACCTAATCGGTCTGCTCGGCTCCCTCTATCTCTTTGTCCTCATCGACAGCTTCGCAGACGAGGCGGCCATCAAGCGGGGTGCCCAGAGGGTCCACGCGAGGCGATTCCTGCCCGAGGACATCCTCATGGGCTTGCCCGGTGCGCTCCTCCTAAGCCCTGGCTGGGCCGCAGCGACCTATTGGCAGAGGTACGTAAAGGCCGTCGTTCGGGTTTGTGGCAATGCAAAATGACTGACGCGTTACTTCCGTTGTCACGCAATGACAGGAGGGAAGTGCTGGCGGAAAAGGCCAGGCTGGGTGTTGTGCCTATCGACAAGGACGACTGAGCGGTGTCATTTGACTAATCAATCGGAAAAGGGTCTGCTCGCTTTAGCCTTCGAGACTACTGTACATCAGATCTGTTGCTGCAATCTTTAAATTAATCGTTACTTGTGCATTTAGCATCCGGTCTCGAGCGTGCGGAGAAGGACGAGGCTCATGCTGATGATGGGGCGTGTCTGTTCATCATAGACATCACTGGCTGGAAGCCACCTCTCCTCTCTACTCAGGCGCACACATGTCTGTCGGACTGGCTGACCCGGCATGTCGGGTAAAGAAGAATGGGTCCATTTCCTCGAAATGGCGGGTATCAAGGGTAGATTACATTTGTGGATTGACCCCGCAGCGTGCCGCGCAGATGGGGTGTCTCATTGCAGTGCAGCACTAAGCGCCTCCATCTGGTCTGCGTCTCCCACAGCTTCGTTGACCTGTGTAGTTTCTTGGTCGTCGCTGCCATCATTGCCGTCATCCGCGGTCCTCTTTGAAGCGCGACCTCCGACCTCGCTCGACTGTTTGCGCTTCTTGCCCTCAGCACGTTGGGCCGGTGGTGTCGCGTCGCCGGTGCTATTTCCCTCCTTCTTCTCCTTTGCCAAGATGCGCCCTGTCTCCCACGCCAGGTAACCCTCTCTGCCCTTCTCCCATGCCTCGGTAGTCTCGCCTGCGCTCTCTCGGCCTCCCTGGAGCGGATTTAGACTGGCGCCAAGCGGGTCCGTCGCGCGAAGCTCATGCAACGCCTTGAGGAGCGCAGACGTGTCTGTTCGCAGCTTGCGCGCAGCCAGAGGAAGCGTGGATGCCAACGGTGTCTCGACATCCGCTGCACCTTCGTCGCCGACGAGAAACGAGAAGCGATCGACAACTTTGCTGATTCTGGCCAGTCGCTGGTCCGCCGCAGCGTTGGCCAGTGCTAATGAATGTCGGACTGCCCGGGCCTGAAGCACGAGACAGGTGTCAGATTCATTGATCCTGTCAACATCTAAAGACTTTACTCACTGCGCTGATTTTTCTCTCAAGCTCATTCTGCCGCTCACTCAGTGCCTCGCTCTCTTCCTTTGCGCTCAATTTCGACGACGACCCTTTGCCCTTTGTCTTCTCCTCGGCCAGACGGAGGTCAAGACCGCGATGATGCTCCAAAGTGATGTATCTGGCCTGCCTCGACGTGATCCCAAACACGCTCTTGAGGCAGTACAGCTCGAGCGTGTCAAAGGTGTGGTCCAGCGCGTTCTCGAACAGGGTGAGAATCGCATGGACTCCCTATCAAATATAGCAAGCTTCCTGTCAACAATTGCTACTTCGGAGAGGGCGAATATGTCTCAAAAAGAGACTCACCTGTTCAGCTTCGGCATCGCCATTGGGTCGCTTCTTGAGCTGTGCTTTGACAAGCTCGTGAAACTTTTCGCCCATGATGTACAGATGTTCGTTCGAGACGTAAACGAGCGAGTCGATGAATGACTTTGGGTTGAATCCAAAGTGCTCCGTCAGCAGTTCGAGGTGCTCGTCGGTGCTCGACTGGTCCTGTCCCAGCGGCTCATCCTTGCTCGTCCTCTTGGTATCGTGCGAGGACGACGAAGAGGATGCTTGCGCATGTCTGCTGGCCATCCTGGGTATGCTCGTCGACGTTGGAGACCAACACTGCCAAACAGACCAAATGGAGAGCGAGCGCGTCGTTCCCCCCCTCCGCGGAGATTTAGTGGATTTTGCACGTGAACTTTCTCAAAATCCAAAATTTCACTTTTTTTGAACACAGGCAGCGGCCAACTTCCTTCGCCACGAAGAACCAAGGGGAAGAGACAGACGATGGCGCCAAACAAGAAGTCTCAGGATCAAGCCGAGGCATCTACCTCATCTGCACCCAACGAAGATGCCGAACCCGTCAACAAGAACAAGCGTTTCCGCAAGGAGAAGCCCTGGGACACTGACGACGTGAACCACTGGGAGATTCCCAAGATTACGCGCGAGGACCACCCTCTGCCCTTTGCAGAGGAGTCGAGCTTCGCAACGCTCTTTCCCAAGTATCGCGAAAAGTATCTCAAGGAGGTGTGGGGGCCGGTCACGCGGGCACTGGAGAAGCATGGGATTGCCTGCACTTTAGACCTCGTCGAGGGCAGCATGACGGTTAGGACGACACGAAAGACATTTGACCCGTACATCCTCTTCAAGGCTCGAGACCTCATTAAGCTTCTCAGTCGGAGCGTGCCCTTCCCACAGGCCGTTCGGGTCCTCCAGGACGATGTGACGTCGGATGTCATCAAGATCGGAGGCCTTGTTCGAAACAAGGAGAGGTTTGTCAAGCGTCGTCAGAGGATCATTGGACCGAATGGGAGCACGCTCAAGGCCATTGAGCTCCTCACCGGCTGCTACGTCCTCGTGCAGGGTAATACGGTCAGCGCAATGGGTGGATACAAGGGTCTGAAGGAGGTTCGGAGGATCATCGTCGATTGCATGAAGAACATTCATCCAATCTACCACATCAAGGTGCGCTGATCGTCCTTTTCTGCTGTCTCTTTTCCACAAGCTTACATGACGTCGCTGTTGCAGGAACTCATGATCAAGCGAGAGCTGGCCAAGGATCCGAAGTTGGCAAATGAGTCGTGGGATCGCTTCCTGCCCAAATTCAAGAAGCGCAACGTCAAATCCAAGAAGCCCTCGGCCGAGGCAGGTGCGACGGAAAACGCAAACACCATCCCGCTGGGCAATGGCACCAGCAGCAAGCCGGCCCTCACCGCAGAGCAGGAAGGAGAGAAAAAAGAAAAGGACAAGAAGAAGAAGAAGGTCTACACACCTTTCCCTCCACCGCAGCAACCAAGCAAGATCGACCTCCAGATCGAATCGGGCGAGTACTTCCTCAAGCCTCGAGAGAAGAAGGAGCGCATCGAAGCAGAACGCGAAAAGCGACAGGAGTCGAAGCAGCGCGAGCGGGAAAAGGAAAGGGAAAAGAGCTTTATCGCGCCAAAGGAAGACGACGGAGAGGGGCAGTTGTCGAAGAAGGCAAAGAAGAGGAAGGAAAAGGAGTCGGGACCGGATGGGGATGCAGAAGACAAGAAGAAGGACAAGAAGAAGCGGAAGCGAGAAGACAAGGAGTGAAGCATCGAGTGCGCATGGTAACATTATCAACATCCCTTTGCAATCATATTAGTACAGAGCCTCTTCCTCGATGGTCTCAAATGGCCGCTCGGTTGTCGAGGTGGAAAGGCTGAGAGATGCCAGCCCATGTCGATTGGCCCTGATTTTGGAAGGTGGGTGATAGGGCCATGCTTGATAGTTGGGCGCGACCCTTGCTGCCGACGATGAGGGAGCCGGCGGCTGAGGCAGAGGCCTAGGAGGAAGATCGCCTAGGACTTCCCTTTCCTCCGATCCTGACTTTGAATTCGCACTCTCTCCTGGCCGTTCGAGATGAACAAACGCAGGGACCCGGTGTTCTCGTCTACTCGGCCTCGGCGAAGGCGTTGATATGATGTCGAATTTGCGACCAGAGGAAGTGCCTTTGCCCATGCTGGATGCCCGCTTTGTGTCGATGCGGAGGTTGCTCCGCCTTCTTTTCGAGGGCTGCTCTTGAGGTGCAGGATCCTCGTAGTTATGTGGAACGAGTGGAACAACAGGTTGCATGATGGGTGCAGGAGCAGAATTGGGGATGAACCACCATTGAAGAGCCCTTCTTATCGGCATGCTCAGCATTGCAAATGATTGCTGAAAGGGCCTTACGAGACTGGGCCGTTTCTCTTTGGCATCGTGCTTCTCTCTTCCCACCCATGGACGCAGGGAGACCCAGAAAGTCGATGCAGACGGAAAGGACCAGCGTGGCCGCTTCTCGGAATCGGCTTGTGCAGCTGACAACGGCTTTTCTGCTTTCTGGGCCTGATCCTGGGCCAGGTGTCGCTCGTCGAGGAGAGAATCCCAGCTTTTGGAGGCCGTGTGCTGCTGCCAAATACTAGTAGGAAGCGGTGCAGAGATCAGACCATCGTAGGTTGATGATCTGTTCGATGAAGCCGAAGAGAATTGCTTTCGATGGCGGCGAAGGTTGAAGATGGGGGCGGGTAGGTCAGGGGCACAAATTTCAGCAGGCGCCGCGTTGCAAAAGCGATGCATGACTGCGTCTGCGTCCTCTTGAGGATGAGGCAAGGTGCCCTTCTCGAGATAGGGCGAGGGTGGCGCTAGTTTCAGACGTCTGAAGCGGCGATTAAGCCTCGAGCTGAGCGGCAATGACGATGCAAAGGCGACGACGACGAGGCCGATGAGAACGAGGAGGACGTATGCGAGGATGAGCAGCGCGTAGAAGATTCTCTCTTTCTCCAGGCTATTGATGTAGGCACCCGTCAGCCGTTGCAGGATTCCCTGATGATCGCCTTGGTCGCTACCGTTGCCTAAAGCAGCCTGCTTGACGGGTTCCATCAATTCCTTTGTTCGATTGGTGTCCAGCATCAGGACGTCGTCGGCGACGATGGGTAACGAGACGTGGGCGTTTGATTGGATCCAGGTGAGAGCTTTTTCGATCTTGTCCACCTTTTGCCCTAAGATACAGTCGATAAAAGTCTGCACAGGCTGGTAGAGTGGGGACAGGGATGTTTGCAGGAATGTGTCCTAGGAAGAACAGAACATGAGCCTCTGAGCATTCCGGACAGTCGGTCGAGCTCACATTCAAGACTAGGGCTATGCCATCCATGAACTCGTTGAGGGTATTGTTCATCGTCGATGTTCTGCGAAGGAAAAAATCAATAGCTGCGCCCAGACAGGTTGAGCAAAGCGAAAGGACGCACGTTACGTTGACCCATCTGAACAGGCCATCATTAAGACCGTTTTGCGCATCGATAATGACGGTGTTCGATTTGTTGGCAAAGTCTCTCGAGGCATCGCCAAAGTAGGCGTCGATGTTCGCTTGGAGGCCATTGGCAGTGCCATCGAGCATTCCATCGAATCGGTGTTGGAATTGGTCCTTCACAATGGCTACGGCCCTGAGCTGCGCCTCGACTGTCAGGAGACCAACAAGGCCCATTGCTAGTACTGCTACTGCAATAGGGTGTGAGATCCAGGCGAGCCACCAACGAAGATAGGCGAGGGACTGCGAACCCTTGATGCCTAATCGTTGCGCGATCGTGAGACCCACTTTTGCCATCAGAGGATGCGTCGAGAGCTGCATGAGCGCAAAGAGAGAGGGAGTGTCGAGCATCGAGATCTGCTTGGTGGACTGGCCCCGGCCACTCAGCGAGAGCAGGTAGGTGTCTCGCGTATTTTCGACGTGCTTGTGAAGGCACCTCCAGGACCACCATTCGCGCAGTGCGCACAGTATCAGAAGCAAAAGGGCCGCCAAGCCTAGCAGTCCCAGGCCAACTCGAGTGATGTGACGCAGTGCGTCGCCCAGATCATCGATTGGCTTGGTGTCGAGGGCCTTGTCGCAAAAGCTCACCGTCCGCTGCTCGGGAACCGGCAAGGCCGACGAGTTGAAATTGAAGTTCGATATCGCTACCCATTTATGAGAGTCAGTGACGGTGATGGACAATAAAGCAGAATGAGGAAGAGGAAGCTAAACCCACTATCGTTGATCTCGGCCCTGAGTTGCTCGAATGGCGTCTCGATTACGTCGTTCACTTTTTGTTTGAGCTGGTCCAGTGTGGGCATGCTGCCATTGATGTTACTCAGGGCGTCCTCAAAAGTCTTGGGAATCTGAATGTTGTTAAGTGCACTGTGGTGAACCGTACAATAGCCGCACATCAGCTTGAAGTGCACACTTTCGACGCCACGCTTGCCATACGCTCACCTTAAGTCCGGCTGGGGAATCTGTGGCACACCTATGCTTTTTCCAAAGAGCTTGGCGACATCATTGATGCCCGACACTGAGCCTTTAAGGACGTCATTGAGGCCATTGATGGATGCCTGGATGCTCTGTTGGATACCGTGAGCCGCGGCGTGTACACCGTCAGAAATGAGCTGGACGGCACTGATGAGGAGCGATAGAGACCCTCTGACGACGAGCTCGATGACACAAAGAAACAAACTCCGATACATGTCGACGAGAAAGACGAGGAGATTTTCGATGGCTTCGATGCCGAGCAGGAGCACCTTGCCCAGCCCCTGGACCGTGTCCATCACGGCGCGCGAGGTGGCCTCGTTGAAGTTGTGCGCCATGATGCGGGGCATGCTCGCTGCCGTCGTAGCCGCAAGCTCTACGCCTCGACAGCTTGTCCATAGTCTAGTCTTTGCTTCTGCTACCTTGTCGTCGACATCTGTGGACGAGATGGCTAGCCTGGCGGCAACGAAGGCAAGGGCCAGGAGAGTAGGCGAAAAGAGGCAGAGGGCGAGGCGGGCTCGAAGGCCTAGCCAGGGCTTGAGACGGGCGTCTGTACTGGGAATCACCATTGACTTGACGACTTGTAAGGAAGAGTGTTCATGCTTTGGGATCCTGGGCAAAGGCCTCGAGATCATCCCTTTGTCTCTCTCCTTTGTCAGTGGACATTACCCTCCCCTTGTCCTCAAATTCAATCTCCCTTTGTCCTGCAGTGCGGAGCAATGAGGCGTCCCCAAAGAGAAGGCGCATTTGCAATCTTTCTAATATTTGGCAGATGCATTGACATCACTCAAGCCACAGCTCTATCGAAGGCTATGAAGCCAACTTGCTCGGAGTCCTTCTGAGGCCGTCACCATGCCTAGTGGCCGGCCATGAGGTGTCAATCGACTATTTCGATAGACGGATGCCCAATTATCTTTTCAACTCACGCGCCTTTGTCCACTTTTTCCGGCGCTTGGGTGGATGCGTAGCCGGTCTCCACCCTCCGTAGATCTTTTTGTACCACCAGCGCCCCAATATCGACAATGGAGAACGACGCGGCGCGAGAGGAGCGGCATGCGCAGGCCGTGCGCTTCCTCGTCTCGCTACAGGCGTCCAATAAGGACAAGCAGCACGACGACGAGGCCTCCCAGCGGGACTTTTTGCGCTCAAAGGGCCTCGACGAGGCTGCCATCGATCGGGCCTATGCAGATGCACGTCGACCCGAGCATCTCAGCTCGCCAGTCGCCACCGAGGCAGCGGCGGCTTCACCCACAGACACTGCGACCGATGCTTTCGACAGGGCGAGGCGCCAATTCGACTCGCCACTCTCGCCATCCTCTTCCTCCGAAGAAGTAAGCGGACCTGAACCTCAGTTGCCCCCCAAGACATACCCTCGATCTCCCTTGGCGCTGTACCAGGACCGACAAGCGACCTCGCAAGCCATGGCAGCCGCACAGCAGCAGCAGCCTGGACCCACGACGCGGTACGAAGTCCTGCTGGCCTTCTTCAGGTCCATGTCCTACTTTCTCATGCTCGGCGGTGGCTTCGCCGCTGTCCTCGTCGGTCTGTACCGGGTGAGTCCTCTCTTCACTTCTCTCTTCCTTCCCCCTTCCTTCCGTGTGTGCTGACATTTCTCTCTCTTAAAACAGGCGTATATGCTTCCCCGACTTGTCTCGACGCTGGATGCCCGCTCAGAGCTGCTCAAGCACCACCACGACCTCTACAGCACGCTGCACAACCGGGTCAAGAAGCTGCGATCCTCGGCCGGCTTCTCTTCCACGGATGCCAACGGCACCTCTTCGTCGGCGGCCGCCGTACCGAAGCGGGGTGTGTTGAAGCGAGTGCAGTTCGCAGATGAGGTCGGCAAGGACGCCGCACCGACGTCGCCGACGTCTTCTGCTGAGGAGATTGAAGACAAAAAGGAGGCTGGCGACGTTGTTCTGCCCGGCACCGACGTTGTCGTTTCCGCCACATCTGTGCCCGATGGGAGCAAGGAGAAGGGTGGTGATGGAGAGGAAGAGGAGAAGCGGCCACTGCTGGAGGGACAGGCCGAGGACGCAGAGACAGAGAAAGACAAGGTCGTTCCCATCGACGTGACCGCGCCACTCCGATCCTCGCTCTCGAAGCTCGCCGAGGCGCTCAAAGCCGACGCATCCTCGCAGGCTTTGTTGCCCCCTTCACCAGCTACAACATCAACAAAGACACCGACGGTGGCCGACGAGGAGTCGGACGGTGCCTCGGAGGAATCAGACGATGAAGACGAGCTCGAGTTTGACCCATTTGCGCCTCCCAAGACGTCGTCCTCAAAGAAGAAGCACACAAGTACAAGCACGTCGGCGGCAGCGACATCGACAACGAACAGTGGAGAGGGAGCAGGAGGAAAGGCCGCTTCGTTGCGGTCGAGCCTGAGCGCGATCAACGCCAACATTGCTGCGCAGATGTATACCGCAAGCGCATCCCACTATGGCTCGCGGTCGTTCAACACCTTTGCCTCGTCCATCACCTCGTCATTCGGCGCATCACCGTCAACAGGCTCGAGCAATGGCACCAGCGCAGAACAAAAGACGGTCGATGTGGCGCAGGTCAGGGCAGACATCCGGAACCTCAAGGGTCTTCTGTTGAGTCGGAGAAATTTCCCAATCTACGCTAGACCGTCGTCAGCTACCCCTGCTGCTGCCACAACATCTACATAGCATGTGTGTGTGTGTATAATGGAAATACGATTGTCTCTGTGCTTCTCGTTTTACACGTAACACTGGCCCAAGTGATGATGTGGGGAGGGAAGAGACTGACGACATCAATCGATGCCACAGGCCCAGACTTCTATGCAGATGCACTCAAACTTGCCCTCGTCCTCGCCGTCGTCCTTCGAAAAGGCCGATGGGTTGCAAAGCACCTCGTTGTCAAACGCCGGGCACGTAGCTGAGATGCCCCGATCGAGGCTGCCGTCGAGCCAGAAGCCGTACTTGCCCTCGCCGCCGCCGAAGGAGAGGTAGTGGGCCTCTGTGAGGGCCATGTAGTCGTTTTTGCCAGTGTAGCCAAACGTGGAAATCTTCTGTCGGCGGCCGCCTGCATCCTCGTCGGGCGCGGCTGCCTGGCTGGGCAGATTCGTTGTTTTCCACAGGAAGCTGCGCGTGAAGGAGGACGATGAACAAGGATTGCTCACACGACAGTAATGCATCAGTCCTGTGCCAACTCACCATTCTCCATTGCCGTAGTAGTGGGCCTGAGGTCGGATGCGCTCATTGACAAATGCTCCAAACACATTGTCGTCGGCGTCTCGTACAGCCACGATGAGGCCAGCATCGGCGAGGCTCATCAGCCCGCCACCAAGCCTCTTGACGCTACTACCACCGGCGCCCCCTGCACCGATCAAGGCTGCCTTTGTGGCACCGCTCGCGCCCCGCAGCCACCCCTCGTCCTGTGCCACGCCTGCACCTGCACCACCGCCGCCGCTAAGCCTAGACCCGCGTCCTGATCCACTGGCCGAGGCAGACATACCGCTCTCGACTGAGCGGTACAGCGTGCCGAGGCTGATGCCATGCTGGTCCGAGGAGTAGAGGAGCTTCCAGCTCTTGCCCAGCTGTAGCCTCGGCGGCAAGTGGGGCTGTAACCTCGCTGCGTGCCAGTCCTCGATGACCTCGTTGGTCTCCTCTCGCCGTCCCCGGAGCGTGACGGGCATGGGTCTCTTGGAGCGGAGCGATTCTTCGTGCGAAGACAGGCTCCACTCGCCTGTGTTCCAGCGCCGGGTGGCCGAGGCATCAAAGCCAGGCGCACCGCTGATGGGCACCACGGCTGCTGGGGCCGTCGAGTAGTGGGTGCGGTGTGCATGGCTACTGCTGGTACTGGCCGCCATGAGGTTCGGTGGGACAGGCTTCATCGTGGGCGAGGTGGGCGATGCAGAGGCGCCGAATGGGGTCCCGTGTGAGTAGTCCGATGCCGAGGCAATCGACTGCTTCCGCCGCGGCGTGGGCATCGACAGGGCCGACGCCGGTTCTTCTTTGGGCGGTGGAAAGGGCGACGGCGTCCTTTGTCGGCTCGAGCCGGCCTCGCGCTGTTGTTCTTCTCCTCCCTCGGGTGGGACGATGAAGTCGCTAGCGCTTGGCAAGTGGTTGGCGACACCGGCGGGCAGGCCGCGCAGCGAGCCGAGCGTCTTGCGCAGGCTTCCTCCCCAAGAGCCTGCCATCTCGGACCAGCTGTCGCTCCGACCTTGCTTCATCTGCCCTTGTTCATCAGTACCATTGTTGTCATTGCCTTTGGAGGGGGAAACAGAGGCAGCGCCGAAGTAGTCTGCCATCGTCGAAGAGCTTGTCGTCTGCATTGGGCTATCCTGAGCGTCCTTCATGTCGTCGAGCTTTGTGCCCGTCAGCCCTGGGCTCTTCTCCTCTGCAATCCTCCTGGCATTGCCTCGCATCGTTTCCTCTGGACTCGCTTCAAATGTGGCAAAGAAGTCGTCCTCTTTCGTGGCTTGACCGGCCTGCTTCTGCTTCTGGTTGCGATCGGCTAGCTGCTTCTCCATGTCGCGCAGATCAATCATGGGCGGCGACGGCTGTCGCTGTGACCTCGCAATGGCAGCCCTCTCAAATGCTGCGAAGAAGTCTTCGTCAGCCGGGTTACCTTGCTTGGCTCCCTTTGTGCCGCCTCCTGCTGCCGCTGCCGCTCCTGCTCCTGGAGTCACGGACTGAGGCCCTGTTGGCGTATCCCATGCGTCCCAGTCGAGAAGATCAGCAGAGACAGCTGCGGCGGGCCCTATCCCCTTGAATGCCGTCGTGGTGGAAGAGGTGGTGGCGGCAGGAGGGGCAGGAGCAGGAGCATGGCCGTTGCTGCTTTGCTGAAAAGTCTGTCGATCTTGGACGGGAGAGAAGCTCTGCACCATGTCTGCGTCCTGCCAGTGTTCGTCTTGCTCGTCGTTTTCGTCGTCCTCGAAGCCAACATCGGCAGCGTGGCTCGACGAATCGAATGACGCCGGTGGCGGGTCGACAAAGTCGCCAAACCCGTCGCTGGAGGCCGTGAGCGTGCGCCGGTGCTGAGCCCGAAAAGCGGACAAAGCGAAGGGAAAAAAAGGTAAGGTGAGCAGAGTCAGCCTAGGGAGGAGCGCAAAGGGAGAAAATGTTCAGCTAGAACCGCCAATTTGCTCACCCCGGCCGATGAGGTCGCGACGGGGCTGCTGCCGCCCAGGTCCAGCAGGTCGACGCTGGGCTGCCTCCCCCTCTTTCGCAGCCCGTCTCGGGGCGACTCCGGAGATGAAGTCCCGGCCATATCCACTCTACGGCTTGCGTTGGTTGGTCGGTTGCTCAAAAAAACCAAAAAGTTGCTTCACACGCGCTCGCTGGACGCCGCCGGACCCCGCCAGGGAAAAGAAGGCTTGGTGGCTCGTGCGTAACTTTTCGACGCAGATGTGTGCGTGCGCTCCGCTTCGATTCAAGCAGGCATCATCGATGGAGAGGGAAAGATCGAGATTCATGTGTGACAGTATCTTACATGTGGTTGCTGTGATTGTGTCAATTCTTCCCTTGCTTCACTGGTCGCTACGCAGGCATTGCTCGTGCTTCCTCTTTGACAGATGTAAGAGAAGACACGGACGTCTCGGAGGGGCCCTTCCCTTCGAGAGGCAGAAGACATTCGCATTCCGTTCATGCTCGTCTTTGCTGTTCCCTGCTGCGCACTATATAAGAGATGTCTCATGGCAACGGTTCAATAGTATAGAACGGATCCCGGCCATAATGACGGCTCTGGAAGCTGGAAGCTGGAAGCAAACCACACTCCCACTGTCCAGCAAATTGCCCAAGAGCCGGCCAGCTCAGTATGGTCCTGCATATTTAGCCTTCTTGGCTCTCCCACATGTACTCAACACAATGGCGACAACGAGCTGCACGCCCTCCTAGCCGTATCAGTAGGAGTAGTGCAGCTAATCAAGGGAGGCCGAAGCCTTCCCACCTACCAAAAGAAGACAGACGCGTCTTTCCCTGCTGCAAACAACACTATTATAATCTAGGCAAGGCACACTCACATGCACACCCAACACACAATTGCAGGCGAGCGGGGAGCAGGACGCGCTTGCGCGTCGCCTGCCTTTCTCTCTCTCTCTCTTTTCTTTTCCCTGGCCTTCTTTCTTTTTGCTTTTTTTTTCTTGAATTTCGCCATTACCGGTCTCCATTATTAGTCCAAGCCCTCGACCATCCAACGACTGTACGTGTTGTAATTGTCCTCGATCAGATCAGGACGAGGCAAACAAACGCACGACGAGTTTCTCACCGCTGCTCCTTTCTCTCTCTCTTTTTCCTTGTCCGTCAATCGATCGATCGTAGCAACTCGTCTGGGGGACCCTTCGTTCGTTCGCCAGGGGTTGTTGTGTCGCAACCAACACGCGAAAATTCGGACGAGCAGCGGCTTCGCGCATTTGACACGGCCAGCGAGCGCCCTTCCTTTCCGGACGAGGCGAGACTAGACGGAGCTTTCAGAGTAGGAAGCAACCACTTCAGAGCGAGAGAAAGAGAGGGAGGAAGGATACGATGGCGGGACATCACGAACCATCGTACGAGGACTACGTCGAGAGGTTGGTTCCCCGTCCTTTTCACCTTGACCCTCTTTCGAGATCTGGCTGACCAATCTAATTGCGTTGCTTCTCACCAGGATACACTACAGCGAAAAGTACTCGGACGACCATTGGGAGTATCGGTGAGTGCTGCAAGATCCGTAAGATGAAAGGGAATTACAAGCTGACGGAAGACGAGTATGTACGCGACCGGCAGCCATGTCATTCTGCCCAAGCCGATGCTCAAGCTCATCCCGCGGGAGTACTTCGACCCCGAGGAGCCGGGCGTGCTGAGGATCCTATCCGATTCCGAGTGGCGCGGGATCGGAATCACCCAAAGCCTCGGCTGGGAGCACTACGAGGTCCATGGTCAGTTCCCCATCATTTCTTGCCCCAACGCCTGCTCGTGGAAAGAGAGTGCGTGTGTATGCTGACAAGAAACACCACGCTGCAGCTCCCGAGCCACACATTCTGCTCTTCAGGAGGCAAAAGGATTACCAGGAGAAGGTGAGAGCGCGCGAGCGATCTTCCCACGAGTGTCAGAGCTGACCAGGCGCGTCAAGCAGTACCTCAATAAGCAAAAGTAGCGACCAAGGAAGGATTGGTCGGAGAGAGGGTGGAGACTGTGCAGTTGGGCAGGCAGGCAAGCAGGTGAAATATTCAATCTTGTATTACCACTTCTCGACAACAGTACGGGCGAGGAGGGGAGGTGGGATATCTTGTACAGGGCGATAGGTCTATTGAGTTGGCTTGGTGATGCGGACGCGCATCGGTCTGCGCGGCGTCCTCCAGTGGCTCTGGCTCAGGTCCGGCAGAGGCACCTCCTGGAGGCTGTAGCGTTTGCCCCGGTCGTCGACAGTCTCAAAGTCGGTAAAGAGGAGAAAGGAACTGAGGGCAATGATGGTCTCGAGCTTGGCAAAGCGCATGCCCGTGCACTTGTGGTGGCCCGCTCCCCAGCCGATGAAGGTGTATTCGGTCTGGCCCTGGCCGCGCTTGTAGCGCATCGGGTCAAACTTGAATGGCTCGGGAAATGCGTCTGCGTCGTGCAGGTTCGAAGGCGGCGAAAAGGTGACGTAGGCGTCGTCCTCGATCTCCTCGCCGTAGATTGTCAGTCTCGGCTTGAGCTTTCCTTCCTTGTCCTTGCTCGGGCCGGGATAGTAGCGATTGAGGCTATTGGTGAGCATGAGGCGAATCGACTCCTTGAAGACGAGGTGGAGAATCTCAAAGTCAGGAATCGACTCCCAGTCTTCGAGCTTGACCATCTGCAGCTTCTGCAGCGGCGTCAGGTCCTCATAGACCTCGCCGCGCGACTCGGCCACCTTGCGCAGGCCAGCCTCGAGGCCGGCCCTGCACTGCCGCTTGAGGTCGTCGTCGGCGCCGACAAAGGCAACCGAGTAGGCCCCCGTGCCGATGGTGTTGAGGATGCCGGCGATGATGCCGCCAATGACAAACTTGCTGACCTGGTTGTGCGAGTAACCATTGTCGATGAGGTCCTGCGCATAGTCTTCCTCGCGGTGGCCCGTCTTTTGCCGCTCGGCCAGCGTCTTGCGCACCATGCGCCAGAGCGTCACGGCGCCCCACAAGCGCATCAGCAGCCGAGGCTGGGGCACCCAGGGCAGAATGGTGGTCCAGAAGCCAGAGTTGCGCTGTGTGGCCCAGAAGGCCGCAACGAAGCGCTTGAGATCTTCGGGCGACGACGCATACTCAGCCATGCCCATGACGCGGACAGTAAAGCGAAAGACGAGGGGGTAGTACGTCTGCTGCATGTCCAGGTCTGCCGAGGCGCCGTTGCCCAGCCACTCCTGAATGCCCTCATAGGCATCTTCGACGAGGCGAGGCGCGATGGGATTGAGTCTCGTAGGGCTGATGGCCTTGATGAGATCCCTCATCACTCGCTTCTCCTCGGTGTCGACCTCGCCGTCCTCGTTTATGCCGCCCTGTCGTGCGCCGGCAATGCCAGCAAAGAGGAAGTTGTTACCACCGGAAAAGGAGAGGTCCTTGTTGAGGCAGATCGCCCGCATCGTCTCTTCGTCATTGCCACCGACGTGGTAGACGACTTTTCCAAGCAGGTTGAATTTAGCAATGCCGTGGTGCGGATGCCTCGGGTCCTTGGTCACATTTTTTGAAAGGCTGCTCGGACACTAGTCAGCTTGGCGCACCCGCAAAGGAGGATGAGGCCGACTCACAAAGTGTATCGATTGGCATAGAAGCCGACGCCTCCCAAACCAGGCAACCGATTCTTGATGATGGGCACCTTGTTGAAGCCATTGTGGAGCTGCTTCGGCGGCACGAAGAAGACCCAGAGGAGCCACGACGCGACGAGAGCCGAGGCAGCAAAGAGCAGCTTCGAGTCCGTCTGCACGTCTATCATGATGGTGGCGGTCGTCTGCTTCTAGATGGAGGAGTAAGACCCTTGTGGATCATCCGTCGAGACGACGGCCACGGACATTTTAAACTCTTTCTGTCTTTTGGCAGAATCCTCAATCACCGGCCAATTTGTCTGCTAAGTTTGGCGCGCCATCTTGGAAATCGCCTGATCGTCTATGGTTCTCGACCTAAAACAGTCTAAAATTTTAGAGGTGAGGTGTTGCAGTTAGTTCAAAGTCCAGGTGACAGATCGCGAATGACAGAATTCTTCACGTGTGTTGCACCCCAAAGGAACGGTCCGGGTGACGTATCTGCGATGAACGAGCCACCCCTCAAGTTCTTCCGATCTCGCTTCTCGCAGTGTTTCTTTCTCTATCTCTACCGTCACTGTTACTCCAATCACCATGTCGCTCTCCAACAAGCTCGCCATCACCGATGTCGACCTCAAGGACAAGAGGGTCCTGATCCGGTGGGTTTCGTTGCCTTCGTAGCCTCTATTTACTCTCTGTGCTTGCACTTACCCGTCCCTTCCGGCTTTGTAGCGTCGACTTCAACGTCCCCATGGACGGCGACAAGATCACCAACCCTCAGCGAATTACCGCGGCACTTCCCACCATCAAGCATGCCATTGAGAAGCGTGAGTCTGTTCGCGATAAATGCAAGGTCAACATATCACTGACAGGAAGAAACTGAAGAGGCCAAGACGATCGTCCTCATGTCGCACCTCGGTCGCCCTGACGGCCAGCCCGTGGCCAAGTACTCGCTCAAGCCCGTGGCCGCCAAGGTGTCTGAGCTGCTCGGCAAGAAGGTCGAGTTCCTCGACGACTGCGTCGGACCCAAGACCGAGGAGGCCGTGAACAGCGCCTCGCCCGGCAGCATCTTCCTCCTCGAGAACCTGCGCTTCCACGTCGAGGAGGAGGGCAAGGGCAAGGACGCGTCTGGCGAGAAGGTCAAGGCCGACAAGGCCAAGGTCGACGAGTTCCGCGCCTCGCTGACGAAGCTCGCCGACGTGTACATCAACGACGCCTTCGGCACGGCCCACCGAGCCCACTCGAGCATGGTCGGCGTCGAGCTGCCGCAGCGTGCGTCTGGGTTCCTAATGAAGAAGGAGCTCGAGTTCTTTGCAAAGGCGCTCGAGAGCCCAGAGAGGCCGTTCTTGGCCATCCTGGGTGGTGCCAAGGTCTCGGACAAGATCCAGCTCATCGAAAACATGCTCGACAAGGTCAACAAGCTCATCATCTGCGGTGGCATGGCCTTCACCTTCAAGAAGACGATCGAGGGCGTCAAGATTGGCAACTCGCTCTTTGACGAGGAGGGCAGCAAGAAGGCAGCTGCACTGCTCGAGAAGGCAAAGAAGAACAACGTCGAGGTTGTCCTGCCCGTCGACTACGTCACTGCCGACAAGTTTGACAAGGACGCCAAGGTGGGCCAGGCAACCGACGAGGAGGGTATCCCCGACGGCTGGATGGGCCTCGACGCCGGCCCCAAGTCACAAGAGCTGTTCCAGAAGACCATCGAGAGCAGCAAGACGATCCTTTGGAACGGCCCTGCGGGCGTCTTTGAGTTTGACAACTTTGCAGGAGGGTCAAAGGCCATGCTCGACGCATGTGTCGCCGCTGAGAAGAAGGGCTCCACCGTTATTGTCGGCGGTGGCGACACGGCCACCGTCGTCGCCAAGTACGGTGCAGAGGACGGCCTCTCGCACGTCTCCACCGGCGGTGGCGCCAGCCTGGAGCTTCTCGAGGGCAAGGTTCTGCCCGGCGTCGACGCTCTTAGCGAGAAGAAGTAGAGAGAGGCTTGTCAGCACATATTATAAAGCCAGAAGAGAAGAATGAGATCGAAGGTTTCAATCTCGCTTGCGCCCGTCAGACACGCCTTTTATGCTGTTCATGCGCCACAAATCTCCCCCCTTTTCTCCTTTCGAAGGAAAAAAGAACAAGGTAGAGGAGCGTGCTTCCTAGACTGCGCCTTGCAATGCCCTGCCACGCCATGGGAGCTTGAGAGGCTCGAATGACTTGACTAGCTGAAGGGCCGCCTATAGTTCTTTTTCATCGTCACTCAGGCATTGCACCTCGATGCTGTGGTACTCACCCTTTCTCATCCCCTCTCCGCCTGTTTCTGACGCCATCTCGTCTTTGATTGCCCTGTGCCATAGCTCGACTGGGACCACGCGCTTTCAGGTCCACCACATACGCATTGCCGCTGCCCTCCACGATGGAGAAGGCACAAAAGTGAGAAACAACAGAAAAAGGAGAGAAAAAGAGGGTGTGCGTGAAGAAAGGGAAAGGCAATGGAAGGGAGGGGGCAGAAGAGAGGAAGCAAATAGGCGGAGGAATCACGACGCGGGGGGGAATGTGGGGATCATCGGTCATCCTCTCATCATGGGCCAACGAGACTGCCGTTATGATGGCGGCAGCGTTTACCTCTCGAAACGATGGTTTTGTGACCCTCCTGCTTTTAGAAACGTCCTTCTTCCCCGTTACCCTGCACGACTGTTCGCCTACTCCCTCCTCCTCTTGGCACCGGATGGCGCTAGCCAAAGAGACATGGCAGGGAGGAGCAGGGAGCTCTTCTTTCGAAAGCGAAGTCGCCTGGTGGGTGGGGTTGGTTGAAGAAGAAGAATCCGCAACTTGCGACACCAAAAAGAAAAAAAAGTTCTGATTTTGCGAAGTAGCACGCCGCACGCGTGGCAGGCAGGCGAGGGGCGGCAAATAGGCAGAGGGCAAAATGCTCGATTGAGAGAGAATAAGAGGAGAGGTAAAAGATACAGAGAACGAAGAAGAAGAAGTTGGTGATTGCAGAGAGCTGGCTGCTCTTATTTTGTGTGAGAGACAATGTGCGGCTAGTTTGGCAGAGGGTTCTTGGCCTTGAGATCCGGGTGGATGACCATCTGGTGCAGTCCGTGGCCGGCGGGGACCATGGGAAAGACGTGTTCGCGGTCGTCCGTCATGACCTCCATCAGGACGGGCTTCGAGTTATCATAGTTGATGAACTCGGCCATCTTCTCGTCAAGCTCTCCCCTGTTCTTGCAGAGAATCGAGTGGGCACCACAGGCATTTGCCAGAAGCGTAAAGGCCGGGTTCTTTTGCTTTGTGTGGCTGTATCGCTCCTCGTAGAAGAGATCTTGCCACTGCACCACCATGCCCTGGCCGTTGTTGTTGAGAATCAGAATCTTGGCACCAATGCCAAACTCGACCGCCGTCGCCAGCTCCATAAATGTCATCTGGGCCGAGGCATCGCCGTCGACATCGACGACAATCTTTTCAGGCTGGGCAACCTTGGCGCCAATGGCGAATGGAATGCCGACACCCATCGTGCCTGCGCCGCCCGACGAGACCCAAGTGCGCGGGTGTGTCCACTTGATGTGCTGAGCAGCCCACATTTGGTGCTGCCCAACGCCAGTCGAGACGACGAGGTCCTTCTTTCGCTCAGGACCCACGGCTCTGTCGAGAGCCTCCATGATCTCCTGGGGCTTCGACGGCGCATCGGCCTTGCTGGGGACGTAGTACTACAAAACAAGATTGTGGTCAGCCACTGTCCTTGCACTGCCAGCAAAGTGAGAAAAGAGTGGAACAACTCACGAAGGGGTACTTGCTCTTCCAGCCGTCGATAGTCTTGTGCCAGTCTGTCTTGTTCCGCGCCTCTTCGACGAGGGGCAGCGTCTTGGCGAGATTCCGGACGACGTCGCCCTCAATAGCGCAAGTGGCCTGGACGACCTTGTTGACGTTCTTTGGCATGATCTCGTAGTGAATGATGCCTCCCCTCCCTTCGAGGGCAGCTGCTCTTGCGTGAGGTGCAAACTTGTCGACGCGGCCAGTGACACGGTCGTCGAAGCGAGCGCCAAGGGCGATGATCAGGTCTGCGTCCTGCATGGCAAGATTGGCATAGGCGCTGCCGTGCATGCCGAGCATCTGCAGCGACAGGGGGTCCTCCTCGTTGAAGGAGCCGAGGCCGTGGAGAGTCGTTGTGACGGGAATCTGGCGGCGGTGGGCGAGCTCCTTGAGGAGCTTGGGGCCCTCGGGCGAGGAGAGGATGCCGTGGCCGGCGTAGATGACAGGTCGCTTAGCCTTGTTGATGAGTCGCGCTGCGTGCTCAATCTCTGGCGAGACCTGCGACGACGAGAGGGAGTTGTCGACGGACCGTCGTGTTCGCGGTCGGGCCGTGGCTCGGCTGGGAAGGGCGGCCTGATTGGGCGTGGTCCAGCTGCGAGGCAGAGCTTGCCGAAGAATGCCTGCGGTGACGTCCTTGGGCAGGTCGACGAGAACGGGGCCCGGTCGCCCGCTGGTGGCAATGTGGAAAGCCTCGTTGATGCGCCGCGGCAGCTCGGTGACGTCCTTGACCATGACGTTCCACTTTGTGCAGCTGCGGCTGATGCCAAGCATGTCGGCCTCCTGGAAGGCGTCGGAGCCAATGGCACTCGTGGCCACCTGACCGCAGAAGACGACGAGGGGCGAGCCGTCCATGAGAGCATCCTGCATCGGCGTCACCACGTTGGTCGCACCAGGACCGCTGGTGACGAGGACGACACCCGGCTTGCCTGTAACACGCGAGTAGGCCTCGGCCATGTGACCGGCGCCGTCCTCTCTCCTCGGAAGGATAAAGTCAAAGTGCTTGGAGTTGTAGATGGCGTCGAATACGGGCAGGATGGCACCACCGGGGTAGCCAAAAATGTGCCGGATTCCATGTCGGAGCATCATTTCGTGAAAGATGTCACCGCCAGACATGCCGACAAACGTCTCGTCGAGCGTGTCATCGAGAGATCGTGAGAGGGGAGCAGGGGCGGGTGATTGTTGGAAGGCAGGCGATGGCTCCGGTCTGTTGAAAGGGTGGATTGTCAGATGAGCGGTATGAACATCCACCGCTGTGAGCACACCATGCCACTGCTTACCTTGAAGTTGCTGGTTTGGTTGCAGTGGCGGCGGCGGCCTGCTCTTTGGGACTGTTTGTGCTGATGGTCCTCGCCTGCTGCTGATGCTGCTGCTGCTGCTGCTTCTCGATGCTCCTCGGTGCGCTATTTGACAGGGCCACGTTGGCTGTGCTGGCAAATGATCGCGCGGGCATCGCTCTCCTGGCCGAGGCCGAGACCGCGGTGCGACCGGCGAGAGCCTGCATCGCCCTATTTCGGGCGACGACACTCATGGCCATCGTGTTCTTTTTTGAGGGTCTTGTTCCTGTTCTCCTCGAGCCAGTGTCACTTGTTCAGTCACTAAACGGCTAGCTTGGCTTACGTCCTGTGGCGTCGAGCGTGCGAGGTGTGGTTGGTTGCAAGAAAGAGGGCGTACAAAGTGCCCGCAATCCGAAGAACGGAGGACCTTCTTGACTCTCTCTCGTCGAGTCAAGGGTGAAAAAGTGGGAAAATCAATTTGAATACAAGAACTCGACTGGATTTGTAATACTTCAATACAACATTTATCCATAAAGCGCAAAAGGCCGAGGCCGTACCACGTGCCCTTTCACGTCAACTTTCACATAGGCCGACGACATCTGAGTCTACTAGGCTCCTGGTGTTTATGGCTCATGGCGACACCGTCCCATGATGTTTGATGAGATTGTTCTGCTATCAGATCATGTATCTTGAAAGAGAGACAAGACGCAAACAAGTGATGAAGGCGGGCGATGCTACAGAGCGCTGTTCAGCACTGGGAAACTGACCCTGGCGGAGTAGCAAGTGGAGAGCGAGACTTCACCGTCGAAGCGGCGCTCGCTCCTACCCTTGGAGAGAGCACAATCATCAAAGCGCCAAAGGTAACACCGAGGCACAGGCGTCTTCTTTTGTGATACCCCCGCTCCCGTCACCTTGTTTTTCTTTTGTTCAGTCAACCAGACTTGGCAGGCAAGTAAAATCCAAAGCAGTCGATAGCAAATATCCGCCGGACCGTTACTCGCGGCCCCTTCCTGCCTCCTTGCCTTCTTCTTCCCTTGTATCTGACCCCTCTTCCCTCATATACCACCGCTTCTTCGTCCCATCCCCGCCTCTACGTCTTTTTCCGTTCCGTTCCCTAAATCCTCTCTGGAGCGCAGCTCTGTCGACAGAGATATGCTACCTTTCCCTTATCCCTCTTTGATTCATCGATCGCAAGGAGAGAGAAGCACGGAGCACAGTATCATCAGCGCAGAAAGGCCCACGGGGCGCAACGATGGCTTTCAGTCTACAGATGGCGGTGTGATTGACCGCACAGAATCCGAAGCCAGTCTTCCAGCCTCCGAGTCAGGGCTGTGAGTGTTTCGTAGGGCTCAATTCACCGCCCAAGCAAGCGCAAGCTGACGTGACAGTTTCCGGAGGAAAGCGAGACTCAAGAAGCAGGAGCATTTCAGACTGTTCAGGATCCGGCGTCAGGAAAGAGGGTCCGGCGCAGCACTAGGACTACCCGAGCTGCCGTCTCTCACGCTGACTGCGACAGTGACATACCAGAAGACGGTAACAAGTCCGAGTGCCACTCACCGCGGAAGAAGCAAGCAACCATGAGCTCAGGACGATTGAGACAACGCAACTCGACTTCAGCTCATGCGTCCTATGAACGCTGCTCCAATGCACAAGAGGCAGCGGCTGCTCTGACGACCTTGGCCGACTCTACGGGCAGCATGACTTTTCCACGACCCAGTGATCAGCAGCAGCAACAGCAGCAGACAAGGTTCAAAGTCAGGCTCAGCTTTAAGAACAACAACAACTCTGTTCAGCAACAGCATACAGAGTCCGCTACCCATTCTCAACATTTACAGACGAGCTACGACGCTAACCTCCAGGCTGCTCATTATGCCAATCTGGTCGATGGTGATGCAAGCTTTCTTCTGAACCAGGCAACGGGCAACAATTTAAGCAACATATCCACAAAAGCAGTGAGTGTCCACTTGATCGAGTCAGTCTGCGGCGAGAGCGTTGGCGGGCTGACTATTTTTTGCATGGGCACATTCAACCAGAGTGGCGAAATCGCTGGTCCTCCCCCCTCACACCACAGGGTGAGGCAAGGCAACGAGACGGAAGAATGGGTGGGTGAGCAAGCTTTCCCCTAGCATCGTTCTCTGTGCTCACTGCTTCGCTAGAAGCTCTTCCCCAATTCGATGCAGCAGAGCAGAACACCTCCAGTGAGCATGCCTCACGGGGGCTTGCAAGTCAGTCTGCAGACTGCGAGAAGAGTTTAAAGGGCTCATATGTCGCATTCAACAGGCCTGTGCTCAGTCTTACCGGGACAGCGATCGTCTCCACCAATCTCAATCAATGACCTACTGTCAAGCGTCGAGCGCTCACCAAGGCACTGGACAAGTGCAAACTTACTCGGAGAAGCTACTCGTTGACACACATGGTGTTGCAAGCACTTCGACCGTTTCACCGGCTGTTGTCAATCCAGCTGCCCTTAACATTCCTTTCTCGCAATACGCCGTCCCTCGAGAACAGCCTACTTCCTGGACTTCTGAAGCGCCACAGCCCCTGTCAGCGCACTCCGAAGGCGACACCCACTACCATGATGCCAGAACCAGTACCCCATTCCTTGCACCTGCCATCATGCAGATGCACACTGCCAGTATATACGGAGACCAGGGCTGGTACCTGGAGAGACAGCCACCTCAGACGACATCAGTCCCTTACTCGCCCTATCTCGACCCTCGAAGTAACTTCCCTTCACGACCTCTTTTGCCGGGAACATTGGCCCAGCTTCACAATGACTGGCTCTTGGCCTTCGGTCAGGGCGACGGTCAGCGACCAGATCCGCTGGTGACGCGGGGTCTGCCCACACCAGAGCAAACGTACGAGTCGAGCCGACTGCGCATGATCTGGCAAGAAATTGATCGCAGACGTATCGTCGACATTGGGCCAGCAGAGATGGAAGTGGTCGTGCAGGCAAAGAACAAGGCCTACAACGAGCTTCGTAGCACCCTGTACGCCAACGGTACACCGAGGGAACCCACGTACGAAGAAGTAGCGAGGAAGGCAAAGGAAACGTGGGAAAAGTCCAAGGTCGCCCTTTTGTACTGCAGCGCACTCCTTCGTCAGGCAGAGTTCGCACTTGCACAGGGCAGTCTGGCCCTTAGGCCACCTGAACAGAGCCATGCGCCGTTGCCAAGGTCTCAACAAGATGTTGCACATGAAGAAGATGCCGAGGGAATCAGCAGCACTGCCAAATTTCAGCAAGCCGTGGGACATCAGAGAGCTCCTCAACAGCAGTCACAGCGATCAGAAGCCACTACGTACGGCAGTGCATCTCAAGAGGAGCAGCAGCAGCAGCAGCAGCAACATCGATCGCGTAGCTCTTCTTCGCAGGAGGAGAAAGGCTTCAAAACATTCAAAGAGACCGCCATGACACCACCTCCTACCACGACTAGTCTCAATTATCCGTCCCATTCGATGAATACCAGTACGGGCTACAGAAGCTAAAAAGCGAAAAATTCACCCTTGCCTTGCAAGTCATCAACTTACTTCCTCCTAGCGGGAAGCTCTTCCAGACTACCGTCTCGAGTCGCCATGTCATGGGAGATGACCCTTCTTTTTCTATATCGTTCACTAGAAGAGAGAAAAGAAGTTGAGTAGTACTACTGCTGAACGCTACTCGTGGGAGCTTGGAAAGGGCGTGCGATGAATTGTTAATGGCTTGCTTCTCATTTGCGAGTTGCGTCCATACCATCACCGGAGCCTTTACAAGCGCAAGTCCTAATGGACGAAAATGAGAGATGAGAGGTAACTGGAGAAGCCAAATCGTCACCTTGTACCAAGGTTGCAAAGTAGATCGACTCTTCTCAATGCCCATGCTCCTCGTGTAAGTCTACAGGCACTCCTCGCCGGCCTTGAGCGTCATGCTCATGTACTCGATGATGTAGAGGTCTGTCTTGTTCTCATTCTTGCTCGTGTTCAATATCGTCGTACGGTCTCTTGATGCCAGAATGGCAGAAGGAGTCGACGAGAGCGCGGGCCCACCAAAATAGCGATAGAGGTAGAGAGGTTTGATCGCACGCTTATGAGAGAAGGGGAACGCCGCTCTCGCAGCATATTGGAAGGCCCTTGGCTTGAAAAGATGATAATGAGGCTCTAGCTCGATACGCATAAAGATACTAGTATGCAAGGTAGACCCTTCTGGGGAAGCGCAACAGATGATCAAGCAGATTCACTTCTCCCTCAAGTACCTCCATGGACCATGACAAGGGAGGAGGAAGTTGTTAGTGGCTTCTTTTGACAGATTTACACAGCACGCGCGCGCGCTTTCAATCTCGCTTTGGCCAACTTGCCCCCGCCTTTTTCGCGTTCCTTCCTTCCTTCCCGTCTGTCTCGCCATTAACAGATAACTTCCTGCTTCAGCCATGGCGACAACGACGTCCCTCTCTTCATCGAGCGGGAACATCTCTGTCCCATCCGCCCCACCGTTGCGTGTGCAGGTGGCATCGTTCAATTGCAACCTTCAAGGCAGCTCTGCCGTGGCGCCGGACCTGTCGCACTGGCTCGTCCCCACACTTTCGGAAAAGGATGCTCGCTTTGTCGCAGTCGACGAGAAGCAAGGCCGACCCGCTCCAGACATCTATGCCGTTGGCTTCCAGGAGCTCGTCGACCTTCCCGACGGCTTCTCTGGCAATGCCGCGATGCAGTCGGCCATCAAGCGGACCGACCTAGCGATCCGCCGCGCGATCCGGCCCCAGGCGGCCACGACGAGACCCGATGGAATGTACCCGCCAGGGGGTGGGCCCGAGGACTACACGCTACTGGCAGAGGTGCACCTCGTTGGCATCGTCCTCTTTGTCTACGCCCGTGAGCGGGCGCCCGTGGCGGGCCTCTCGGGCCCAAAGAGCGCCGTCGAGCGTGTCAAAGAAGTCCGCGCAAGCTCGGCTGGCACGGGCCTGCTGGGCCTGATGGGCAACAAGGGTGCCGCCGGTGTCCGCGTCGTACTCGAGGGTGCCTTTCCTGGCATGCCAGATGAGACACTGACGTTTGTATGCGCCCATCTCGCCGCGCACGATCACAACGTCCCAAGAAGAAACAACGACTGGAAGAACATCGTCCGCCGCCTAGTCTTCGATCAGGCCTCTGTGCGGAAGTTACCTGCCTTGCCCATCACACCCAGCCAAGGAGGAAAGAAGAGCACCGATAAGGAAGAGGACGAAGAGATGCAAGGCCTTACGGAAAAGTACGAGACGGAGAAGTCCGCCCGGTTCCAGTCCCGCAAGCCCGTCGCTCTGGACGCTGAGGCGCACAGCATTTATGACACATCGCACCTCTTTGTCTTTGGCGATCTCAACTACCGCATCGGTTTCAACACGAAGCCGTCTGCGCACCTGGCCCGAAAGGGACAGGAGGACGTGGTGCTGAAGCGGAGCGACGTGAAGCGAAAGATCAACCAGGCCGACTGGAAGACGCTCGCGACATACGACCAGCTCGCGGCACAGCATCGACCCTCGGAGGGCGGGCCCAAGGCCTTCCACGGCCTCGTCGAGCCGGACATCAGGACGTGGGGCCACGGCCCAACGTACAAGTTCAAGGTGGACAAGGCTGCGCGCAAGCAGCTGCAGAAGCAGCAGCAGACCGAAGGAGGGGACAACAAAGAGCAGCCTGGAGTCGCCCCGGTCATGGGCCACAATGCAGGCGAGCTGAGCGGAAAGCGGGTGCCAGGATGGACAGATCGGATCCTGTGGGCCTCGGCCGGTTCAGCGTCAGACGACCTCCAGGGCGTCACGCCGGAGCTGTACAGGAGCATCATGCGGTACACCCACTCGGACCACAAGCCCGTCACGGCCATCCTCCGGCTCAGCCCACCTGCGTCGTCTAGCGCGCACCTGGATCCTTCGACGAGGCCATTTGGCATCGACGGCGCCTACCGCACAAAGGCCCTGCTCGGCCTCATCCTCGATCGCATCCTCGGCTATATCTGGTCCGCCCTCGTCACTGCCGGTGCCGGCAACGTCATCGTAGGCATCCTCGAGCTCGTCGGCGTCGCCATTCTCTCTGTCTGGTACCTGCGCGTCGGCGGCTCTCAGCAGTCTGACCTGGCGTACTGGCTCGGCAATGTTCTGGGCAGACCATGAGCCCCCTTTTCACCTTCCTTCATCCTGTCTTTGACTTCTTGGAAGCATCATTCTTGAAAGCAATCCTATCGAACTAAATGAGAATTGTGGATGAGGCAAAGGCATTACATTGTGTGAATTCTGTCTTTCTTTTTCTTTTGATTTGGTCCCACTATGTGTCGGCTCCCTCCTCTGCAACTGGAGCCCGGCAAGATGGACAGACGCGGCTACCGCGCAGCCACTTGCCTGCGCAATCCTCGTGAAAGACGTGGAGACATTCCAGGATGGCCGCCAGCTGGCCCTCGCGGAACTGGATCAGGCACACACCACACCTCTCGACCTTTACGCCGGCGACCTCGAGGCGGAGCTTCGTCTTGAGGACCGCGCCCGTCTTTTTGTCCTTGACCTCGCGCCGGCGCACGCACTCGACGGGCGCCACGGGAATCTGCGAGAGCTGTTCGGGCGTCAGGCCGGGATTCTTGGCGGGTCCCAGAAACTCGGCAAGGAGGTGCAAGTCGTCGTACGTGTCTCGCCTCGTCGAGCCTCCCTCGGCCTCACCATCGGGCTCGGCATCGCCATCGGCCAATGAACGATCATCAGACGAGCCAGAGGCTGCGACGGCTCTTTGCCGACGATCCTGCAGGTCGGCAAGACGGGATGCAAAGACGTCGAGGTCCGTCAGCCCCAGCGAGGGCGCGCGGGCGAGGCTCGAAGCGGCACCCGCCATCGTCTCGGCTGCCACGCTCGCCTGGGTAGTCGATGCCGCTGTTGTCGGCGATGGCTCCGCTGGGCGCTCGCTGACGATGGAAGGAGAAGCCAAAGGAGAACGAGCGGGCGGCTGCGGCTCCTCCGCAGCGGCGGGCCGCACGAGGCTGTTCATAAGCGTAGGCGGAGGTGTTGGAAGCGGCCTCGATGCTCCGATTCGTGTTTGCCGAACCTGTTCTGGCTCGCGAGTCGCAATTGCACCGTCTCCTCTGCTAACGGGCGTCATTGGGCTGCTCCTTCCTGTGCCAGAGCCAGATGCTCTCCGAAGTTCATCGATTGGCGTCTGACTTCTTTGCTGAGGCTGTTGATCGTCTCCATCCAGCAGCTGAGGCCGCGGCGGGAGTGAGGGCATCACCAATCTAGCCCCAGGTCCAGTCCTTGGCGGTGCTGGCGGCGGAGGCGGTCTCATCATCGACGACGAAGACGAAGATGTCGCACGGCCGACCGCGCTGTGGTCCGAGGTGCTCGGCGCCACGTTCGAAGGCACATCCTGCCCTTGCGCCGAGGGCGTGCTACCCCCACTGAAAGGCATCGAGCTAATACTCGATGCGCTAGCGGCTCTGAAGGAGTCTCCTGCCGGTTCGGCCCTCATTAACGTTGAATTGCGGGAATTTGGCCTCTGCGAGCCGTTGTAGAGAAATGGTCGCTGCGACGATGCCATTTGCGATGCAGAAGGTTGAGCATGAGGCGGCGGTGGCGGCGGTGGACGTCTTCTCAGTGTCTCTTGGCGATCTGCCCCACTCTCAGGTCTGGACGAAGACCCTTGCTGAAGAGATTGGTGCTCTGGTTCCTTTGTCGGGCTCGGCGGCCTGGCGTCAGGTCCGTTTACCTCGAATCGCTCCACCATGGCGCTCACTCGGCTGCCTGGTCTTCTCCAGGGCAGGGGAGGCTCTGGCAACGGATTGCTGTTGCCGCTCGTGTGCTTCTTCGAGGGCTCGAGTGGCTCGGGAAGAGCTCTCCGTTCCTCCGCAGGGATGTAGGCCATCCAGCTAGGAGTACCATTCCCCGGTGGTGGAGGAGAAGAAAGGTGATTGAAAGAAGCAGCAGAAGACGTCTCTTCGATCTGCTGCCTCGAGGGCGGGAAGTGACGAGTGGCGGCGGTGATAGTGGGTAGACGACCGAGCGGTCTAGGGGCGACACTCGATCGAGGGTTGACAAACGCGGTCGAGCGTCGATTGATGGCGCCTGACCGACCAAGCCGTGGAGTACCTGTCGTTTCGCCCTCTTGGACTGGCTGTCGTGAAGAAAGCATGCGCTCAAGGGCCGATAGAGAATCAATGCCGTATGCGCCGGCCGAAGCAGCCTGTATCTGGGCAATGGATGCGAGAGCTTCTGAACGAGCCTGCTGCTCGTCCATTGTTCGAGAGGTAGATGTACCAGAGAGCTTACGCATCGTTTCATTTCTTGCCAGCACCGTCTCTTCACGCTGCTGCTGCTGCTCTCTCTGCCCATCTTCTCCTGTCGCATTTCCAGTCTGCCTGGACACAGACCGGTAGGACTCCGCCGGAGACCGTGGTGTACCGGCGAGCCTCGTGTCCAAAAGCCTATCGAAAGAGCTCTTCCTTGTCGAGGGGGGTTCCAAGGCAGCTTCTTGGCCATGAAGTGGTGTAGCGAAAAGGCCTTTGAGTCGGTGGCCGACTGGTGGTCGATCGCTCGACGGGGTAGGTTCCCCTTCTTGGTCACTTTCCGAAGAAACGTCTCCGCTACTCCCACTGTCCTCCTCAAACTGCCCAGCCCTGGCTTCTTCCGTCGTGAAAGGAGCCGAAGACGGCCTGATTGGCTGCTTGCCCTTTTCCAGTCGATGGACCGAGCGGGACGACGCAGAGGCCAACGAGAGCTGCGACGTGCTTTCCTTGGCGCTGCTCGCAATTGATGCTGGCTCAGACAGGGCCTGATCAGGTTCCGAGGGGGAGAGCGAGTCGTCACTGTCGTCGTCTTGGCGATAACGGCCTTCTTCAGCGCTCTCGCTCTCCTCGCTGCTGCTGCTGTACGCTGCTCCACCTCCTCTGGATCGGCCCAAGACGAGAGGCGGAGGTGCCTTTGGTACGCTTCTTCCCACCTTGCCCAGGTCCTCGAGAGAAGCTCTCGATTGACCTGCTAGCGGCGGCCGTTGCTGCCGAGCTGCTGCATCCCCGACCCACCCTCCAGGCACAGAGGGCCTCCGATCATCTGAAGATGACTGACTGCTCCGAGATGGTCTCGGTGCCGCGCGCTGCTGTCGCATTGCCTGCAACATGGCTTCCTCTTTTTCCCAGGCCTCGTCTGAAGAGGCAGATTCCTCCTGAGACGTGGCTGGCACGCCACTACTACTGCTTGACGAGCCAAGGCGGGCCAACATCTGCCTCCGCAGCGGCACCTCGCTGTCTGTAACGGCCGTCTCGTTGAGTCGAGGCGCAAGGACATTGGAAGATGCTTCTGCATTGGTGGGTGGAACAGCGACAGCCGCCGAGGTAGATGAAGCGCCCACAATGGGTCCCCAGAGGTCTCTCCGTCGAGCAGCAGCTGCAGAAGCGTCGTCTCTGAAGCGAGAGTGAGACTCGCTTGACGGTCTGCCTCGTATCTTTGTAGCTTGGAGTCCGTGAGTTTCAGTCGATGCGGTACCATGCAAAAGACCAGTTCCAGTCCCGATAGCAGCTGTTCGACTCCTCTTCCTCGGCTCTATTTCATCACTGGCGCACCGTGGGGCCGCGGTAGATGATGCTGGTACCTCGCCAGTAGAAGCTACTCTCCGATGAGCGTTCGATGGTGAAGCTGATTGAGAAGCTGCCGATGGGCCTTGCACAACCGGGGCCGCACTTTCGCCACTCTCCTCTAACGCTGTAGTCTGTCCAGCATCAAGTCTCCGTCTCGCCCTTGCCTCCATAACGAGGCGTCCCAATTGAGGCACGGTGGTTTGCTGTTGTTGCTGCTGTTGCTGCTCCCTCCGCTGCCTGTCCCGCTCCAATCTCTCCTCCAATGTAAAGCCAGCCGCTAGATCGTCTTCCCAGGCTTGACGGATCGAATTCATCTCCGCTTCGTCGGCCGACGAGTCTGTTGCCCGATCTGCGTCGCTGTAAACCCTTGTAGCTCTTTCTTCAGGCTCCGCATTGGTTCTCGCTCTCTGCGTCCTCGCGTTCGTTTCATTCTCGTCCTCGTCCTCGCTTCGAAATGCCGGCGGAGGGCTATCTGGCACCTGGTACATGACCGCCTCCTCTTGCCTCCTCCTGTCCTCCTCTGTCCATTCCTCGCCCTCTCTCGGCTGTCGCGGCGGGGAGCGAGGTCTGGTGGCATTGGCTGGGAACGGAGGTGGCTCATAGTCTGGCTCTGGGTCAGACTCTTCAGCCCCCGGTAGGCCGAGAGACGAGAGCTCAGCATAGATGTCGTGTCGTCTTCGTGCTGCGAGAGAGGCGAGGCTGGCGCCAGCTGGAGAGGCTGGTTCTTGCGCGGCTACGCTCGGCGACGCCATGGTGGGGCCTGCGCTCCGTGGTCTGACAGGGTGCTCAGCTCGCTGGGAAGGTTGATCCTGCCGCTCTCTTCTTCTTGCACCGGCTTCTCTTCTCGTCGGGCTCGCATTGCGAGGCGCCGAGCTCCTCGAGAGCTGCTCGTTGCTTGTAGAGGTTGAAGGAGTAGCGAGCTGCTGGGCGCTCCGGGGTCTCGACGGGCCTCTGTCTGGGGCTGTCACTGCCAAGGCAGGCCTTGTGCGTTTCTTGGCCCTCTTTGTCGCAGTGGTGGGCACGCTTTGGTGAGTCGACGTGGCGGCAATGGTCGTGTGACTAGGTCCCGCCAGGTTAGCGCCGCTGTTTGACGAGAGGGCATTGGCCGCTTGCACCGCCCTCTCCGCCTTCTTGCGCCTGGCCTTTTCCCTCTTTTCCTTTTCCTCCTGCTTCTTTCTCCGCATATTGTCCGGTGCTGTCAGTGTCATTCGGCCGTGGTGGAGTTCGGCGGCCGTCAAGGGTCCCTCTGTCTGTGGCTGCCCTGACTGCGCCTCATTTCCGACAATGACTGTCGGAAGCAGCGCAGACGATCCTGACATCGAGGCGAGGCCGAGAAGATCCTGCGACGAAGCATGCTGGCGGAGGTGCACAAGCGACGAGGAGGAGTTGGCAAAGGACCCGCCTAGTGCGTAAGGGAGCGCTCTTGATGGCTGCTGAGACGACGAGGTCGGCGGTGGTCGCCTCGATGACGGGACTGCAAGGAAGAGAGGGTTTTATAACACGATTGCTCAAAAGTGGAAGACTCTCCCACTCACCATCTTGAGCATCTCTGCGACTGGGCATATTGCTGTGCGAGCCTAGAACAGCATCGCCGTGTCCCTAGCGAGTAGGCGCGGCAAAAGGAACGACGACTCGCGCGCGATGGGATGCGGCAGATTGGTAGTTGGACTTTTGGCGGCGCGAAATGACGCACATAACATCTTCCCCTCCACGCCTTAAAAATAAGGGGCCCACTCTCCCTTATTGCCGTCTCCTCCTGTCACAATTGTGAATTCCGGAGACTTCCTTCAGTAGTGTGTAAAGGCCAGGAGCAAGGAAGAAGCGAGGGTGTGGATTGGCAAGTATGTCCACAGATGACTGTGTAACACTTCGGAGTGTGTAAAGCACAGAACTTGAGCAATACAGAAAGAGAGAACGGAAGCAAGAAGGCATATCGGATCGAGTCTTGGTATATATACGGGCTCGCTCGGAGCTATTATAAGTGTGTCGCTTTTGGGGCCTGGTAGTTTAGAGGTATAATACTTGCTTTGGGATTTTTTCGCAAGTTTACGCGCGACTCCTTCTGCAAGAGGTCCAGGGTTCGATTCCCTGCCAGGCCCTCTTTTTCCTGTTTTTGCACGTACGATGACGCGTGTCTTCCTCTCCCTCCACGTCTTTGTTACTTCCCTTCCCTTCCTTGTCGTCGACCTCGACAGTGCTGGACCAAGTCAAGACCACCATGGCGTCCACTCAAAGCAAGGGTAAAGGGAAGAGCAAAGAGGTCGCCAAGCCTCTTCCGCTCGGCCTGCAGCCATACCATGTCTTCTATCTCGCTGGCCTTTCGGTGCTCGTCGTTGTCGGAACGGCGTATTCGGTCCTCTACTCTACCCACGTCTACAATGTCAGCCTGAGCGCGTCTGTGACGCAGCACCCGCTCCGATCGGCGCTCGACTCGAATCCGTTGAGCCAGGCGCCCCTCGCAGAATCTGCCAGGCTGCCGGCGACAATATTTGCCGATCGGAGGAACTGGATCAATCGGATCTTTATCAAGAGGGCCTGGGGTTGGACGGGACTGGCGTTTGCAGCACAAGCGCTCACGCTCCGAGCTGCTCCTTCGTCTCCTACTTCCCCATCCTCTGCAAAGGGAAAGGAGAAGGAGAGGCAAAGCAGTAGCAGTAATAGTGGCAACAACGAAGAGGCAATGGCGAGGGCCGAAGCCACCATCTATAGCCCGTTGTCAAGGTCCACCTTCCGCTTCCTTGTTGCAACGCTTCTATGGGGTGAGTCGACTTCACAAAGAAAAGGCTCTACAAGCTGACTTCTCAACTCTTATCCCTCTCTCAATGTCCCCTCTGCTCAAGTGTGAGCTGTCAGATGCTTTCGTATTCTTTGCATCTCCCGTGCTGACCTTCGACACAGGTTCTTTGCGGCTTGGTTTTTCGGCCCGCCTCTGATGACGAGGGTACTGCAGTGGAGTGGTGCCGTATGCTACCCCATGCTTCCACCCACGGCCTCTTCGTCACTTGCCGATGATGGCTTCCTCATCAAGGGCAGCGTGCACCCCATGTTCTGCTATTCGCGCCTCCCACTCACGCCGCAATCGAGCCCAGAGCTGTTCCAAAGTGGACATGCCGCGCTGACCAGCGCATCCTCTGACGGCTCCCTCAAAGCTCGCTGTACGTGCCTACCTGTCACGAGACGAATGAGTTGTGAGACTCAGAGCTCATCCTTTTCTTTCCTCAACAGTCCATGGCGGTCATGACATCTCGGGCCACACCTACATCCTCGTTCTCTCTGCTCTCTACCTACTCGAAGATCTGACGCCCTTCCTGCCCCACCTGGTCCCCGTCGCCCTGCATCCTTACCTCCTCCAAATCATACCCGCGCGAAGCTGGTCGGTCCTGGACCCCTTCCGCGCCTCGGCGTCCATCAGCCCTTCGCAAGCGACCGTCAACCTCGCCGTGGCGCTGTCGATTCTCGCGCTCATCGGTCTGTGGGCCTGGTGCCTCTTCTGCACCGCCCTCTTCTTCCACACGCCCCAGGAAAAGGCCAGTGGCCTCCTCGCAGGCCTCGCTGCCTCACTCCTCATCCCCAAGGGTGGGTGATGGATGATGTTGTCGTACTTGTTGCATTGCAGACTTCGTCACACACGGACTAGAAACAGGAAAATGAAGCAATATTACAATTGATGCGGAAAACCCCCCCTTGCTACTTCCCTCTATTACTTGTTCGTCTTGGAAGAGCCCGACGACTTGGAATCGAGAATCTCCATAAAGGACTCTTGCGGGATCTGCACCCTGCCGAAGCTCATCGATCTCAGCCGCTTTTTGCCCTCCTTTTGCTTGCCCAGCAGCTTGGCCTTGCGGTCGTAGTGTCCGCCATAGATGCCTTGCAGGACATCCTTTCGGTATGCGCCCTTCTTCTCAGCGGCCACGACCTTGCCCCCCACGCAGGCCTGCACCACGACGTCGTACTGCTGCCTCGGCACGACGTCCTTGATCTTCTGGGCCCACTGTCGTGCGACGTAGACGGCCTTGGAGCGATGCACGACCTGGCACAGCGCATCGATGGGCGTGCCGCTGATGAGAAACGTGAGCTTGACGACGTCGCTCCTCTCCCACCCGTCCTCCTCTGCATCGATGCCCTCGGCGCGACCCTGCCCTTCAACGAGGTCCTCGTACTCAAATGTGGCAAACCCAGCCGTCTTGCTCTTGACGAGGCCGAAGAAGTCCGTCACAATCTCACCAAGCGGCAGACGGTACTTCATTGTCACGATCCTCTGCTGCTGCTGCTGCTGCTGCTGTTGCCCATCCAGGTCGCCGCCCACCATGCTTGTGGTAGCAGCGCCCCCCTCTTCATCGAACGAGACGTCCACCTCGGTCCCGCGTCTGTCCGCGCAGAGCTGCATCATCGCGCCAACGTGTTCTTCAGGGCAAGTGAGCGTCCCGAGCACCATCGGCTCTTGCACCTCTACCACGTTCTTTCCTCCTCCCTTTGTTCCTATTCTCGAAGCAACGTGGTCTGGAAAGTCGAGTGGGTTGGAAATGATGCGCGATGAGCCGTCCTGGTGCACCAAGCGATACGCAACCGAGGGAGCAGTGACGAGAATCGTTTGCTCGTACTCATCCTCGAGCCTTGCCCTAAAGATCTCGAGGTGCAGCGCGCCGAGCAGGCCGAGCTTGATGCCCTGCCCCAACGCGTTGCTCGATTCGCGAGCGTAGGTGACGCTGCGGTCGTTGAGGGCTAGGCGCTGAATAGCTGCTTCTAACTTGGGAAAGTCGGACGACTCGACGGGAAAGGCGGCGCAGTAGACCATCGGCACCGAGGGCTTGAAGCCAGCCAAGGGCTCTACATGGGTATTGGCATGGTGCAGCGTGTCGCCGATGGATGCTTCTGTCAAGGACTTCATGTTGCTGAGGGATTCTTGTCAGTATCGATGTGACTAGACAGCAAGTTGTGATCAGACTCACCAGACCACCCAGCCGACCTGGCCTTGACAGAGAAGCCCTGTTGAAATACCGGTGGGACTGTTCACTCCCGCATCGAGCACCTCGTACTTTTTCTTGGAATGCGAAAAGGCCAGCTTATCGCCCGTCTTCAGCACACCATCGTGCACAGATACGAGGGCAATGACGCCGCGGTACGAGTCGTACCAGCTGTCGAACACGAGGGCGCGCAGCTTTTCTCCTTCGCCTCGTTTTGCGGTCGTCTTTGTACGAGGAGCGAGGGCAGCAGAAGGGGGAGAAGAAGCAGCAGCAGCGGACGTGTCGAAACCGACATCGACGATGCGCTGCAAGACTGCTTCAACTCCCATTCCCGTCTTTGCGCTGACGAGAATTGCCTCATCTTGCCCACCCGGCATACAGTCCAGGCCCAACCTGGACTCGAGCTGGGCAAGCACGGCGTCGGTGTTGGCATTGGGCAGGTCGATCTTGTTGATGATAGGGATAATTCGCAAGCCTCTTGCCACTGCGATCCGAAAAACGGAGAGTGTCTGTGACTGAATCCCCTGGGTCGCATCGACGACGAGCAATGCCATCTGGCAGGCGCTCAGGCTCCGGCTCACTTCGTAAGCAAAGTCGACGTGACCAGGCGTGTCGATGAGATTAAGCAGGTACTCGCGACCTTGAGAGCGTCGGTCGGCATAGATCATGCTGACTGCTTGGCTCTTAACGGTGATACCCCGCTCACGCTCCACCTTGAGCGAGTCCAGCACCTGGCGGTTCACCCCAGATTCGCCCTCCATGGGAATCGTACCTGTAAGCTCCAGCAGCCGGTCCGCCAGCGTCGACTTGCCGTGATCGATATGTGCAATAATACTAAACGATGTGGGAAGAAGCATTGCAAACTTGGAAGCGTCTGGTCCCATCGACTTCGCTGTCGGTGTGGCCGATGTAGACGCAGCAGAAGCCGAAGCCAGACATCGCACACTGCCGCCGACCCATTCTCTGCCACGATTTGGTGGCCTTTCAAGACCGCGGGCAACCAATCGGGGTCGTAAACAGCTTGCGGAAGCGAGTCTATGCAGAGGTGCGGCTCGCAGACGAGGCGCAACGATGCGCCCAGCTATTCTTGTCGTCATCTCATGTCGTCTTGGAAGATGCAAAGCTGCCAAAATTGACGAAATGGATCTTCTAGTTTATAGAACACGTGGAGGAACCGGCCCTCAGGAACGCGCGGGCTAATCGTGGTGGAGTGTGATCAGCTGCAGCAGCGGCGACAACGACAACGACCACAGCAGCGATAAGGGGCTCATAGAGCAGCAGGAGCGGCAGCGCTGGTAGAGACAGACGAATCGAGATGTCTGCGCAGCTGCCCTATGCACCGTACCAGAGCCATCGGAGGGCCCCGTCGTCTGCGTCGGTAAACTCCGGGGATGTTTCAGGCGCAACGACGCCTCAGCCTATGGCAAACACGCCCTCGACGGCGATGCCAATGGCGTCCTCCAATGGCTCTCATTGGACCCAGCAACAGCAACAGCAGCAACACAGACAGCTGCCACCTACGAAAGGTGGAGCTGGGTCTGGAATACCCTCTGATGCCCCGCCGCCGCTACGCACAATCTCCTCGCTCCGAGCAAAGGACAAGGGCAAGGCGGACCCTGACAGGACAGCTGGCTCATCCACTGCTCGCAGGGCTGTCTCGTCAACATTGGCAGTCCCCAGCGCGTCTTCCCCGTCAGCGTCCACCTCGTCTTCCGCAGCCTCCACGGCACCACTTGCCGAATCCTCGACTTCACCAACCCCCTCGAGCTCCTCGCTGCTCTCCCCCCACCCGCAGCGAGCTACAGGGCCGTCACAGAGACCAAACGGCCAGGGCCACCATGCCAAAAGGCACTCATACTCTCCATCGCCCACGCGCGCCAGTCACCCAACGGGATCGCACTCACGATCCGCCTCGACTGCGTCTGGTGGCAGCCTCCTCCTTGCCCCTCACCTCCCTCAGCACGTTTCTACTGCCCAACGGCTCCGCGACGGCTCTAGCCTCTCGGTCCAGATGGGTGGCAGAGACACACCCACAAGTGCCAGCTCGGCGTCATCGTCGCCTTCCGGCACACCCCTTACCTTCTCACCCAACATGGGCGCCGGTGTCAATGGTGGACACTTGCCTGTCCCTTCGCACCTCGCAGCATTACCCCCGACGCTGACCCAGGGAGGAGTTGGTGGTGGTGGGCTACCAAATGGAATGATCGGGAGAGGCACGGCGTATCGGCCTGGCTTTCAGCCAAAGGGCGTCTATAGGGTCCGCACGGACGACTTTGCAGTTGCAAAGGCTCGCTCGAGAGAAGGTAGTGCTACTCGCAACAGGCAAGATGGAGGAGGGGCCGACGCAGAAGAGGAGCCAAAGGGGGCCAGATCTGAGATGGAGGCACAGAGGTTGGAGAGGAGGCTCGAGAAGCTCCTCTTACTCCACAGCGACGCGGGCCTGGCTAGGCTGATGGGCGCCGCCTCGTTGGCGGTCGACTCCTCGTCTTCCATCTCATGGCTGCCTGAGACGATCAAGCGACAGCGAAGGCTCGCCGAAGAGGAAAAGAGAATGCGAGAGGAGGAGATGCGAATCGTAAAGTGGGAGGACGATGCGAGCCGCAAGAGCTGCGCAGTCTGTCACACCCCATTCAGCCTGACGGTCCGGAAACATCATTGTCGGCTCTGTGGCCAGGTTGTATGCGCTTCACCTCAGCTTTCGGTGCCACCCTCGCCCTTTTCATCGGAAGAAAAGGAGCAGCAGCTCGATGCGGCCCATCTGGCAGAGCTCAAATGCAGTGGACTCGTCGTGGGTGATGGCAAGGGCGGCAGCAAGATCAGGGACCTCCCGCCTCGCTGGGACGATAAGCCGCTGTTGGACGTTTTTGTCACGCCACCGGGGGGCGGTTCAGCCAGTCCGGCTCCTTCTTCGCCGTCGAACTTGAGAAAGAGAGAAGAAAGCGAGACGCTCAAGAGAAGAGGGATACGCATCTGCAAAGACTGCCGCTCGACGATCATGCATCGACAATACATGCTCGACGATGGCTCGCTTCCCATGTATCTGAGACTGTACGAAGACCTCGTCTCGCTACAGAAGGACATTGAGCAGTCGCTGCCTGAGTTCCAGGAGATGGTCCTCGGGCTCCAAAGGCAGGACGCAGCAGCGGCGCTGGGCACCAACGGAGCAGACGAGCAATCGACAACGGATAATTCCAGCAATGGGGCAAGCACGACGACGACGACAACGGGCAAAGCGAGGCAAAGGACAGCACTGGCTCTGCAGAGAGACGCAGCCCAAGCAAGGAAGCAGCTTCTTGCCAATTTCGCCAATTACGATGCGCTTGCCAAAAGGATCAGGGCTCTGCCTGTCGTTTCACCGCCAGGTGCAACGCCAGCCGGGACTGGAGCACCGTCGGCACAGAAGAGGGTGCAGGAGGCCATCTGGACGCGGGCCAATCTGTTCCTGCAGCAGAATGTGAGCTTGATCTTTCTCGCTTGAATTCCTCTCATATGCGTTCGGGCCTTGCTGACTTAAATTTGTGGGACGGCACCAGATGTTTCCGCTCCAGAGCCTTCCTAAGCTTGGCGCAAAGGGCAGCAGCACTAACGCGCAGGCAGGGTCAAAGCAAAGCGCTGTGTCCTCAACCTCTTCTTCGCCCAAGATGGTCAACGGATCGGCCGGTGGGCCAGACGAAGAGACGCTGCGTCGTGTGCAGCAAGACCCTGAGGGCGCAAAGGAGCAGCTCATCGTTCTCGAACAGCAGCTGGCCCTCGTCAGGCAGTATGCGGTGAGTTCTCTTGTCATCATGGTCACTCATGATAAATCTGATCCCTTGGCTGACGTGGACTGTCATTGCCGACGAAAAAGGCAAGCGCGCAGAAGTCGAGGAAGTTCCAGGACGCAAAAACACTCAAGGCCAGTGTCGAGGATTTGCAAGAGGAAATCAGACGATTGAGGGGGGCCGGTGTCAGCGTCTGAATCGCGCGATACTCTATCCCTGCCTGTACTTTCACTGCCATCATGCAATATCCTACTCGCGCACAGTCACGCTTTCTGACTCTCTTTCGTTGCGATGAAGGATAAATTGTCTACTGAATTGAAGTGTCGAAATGGCTAGCACCCTTCTGCTTCACACCCAGTCCTCGTCCTCGTCGCTGATATCGCCATCGGCAATCTCCTTTGCCAGCTCTCTTTCCCTCTCGCGCGCCGCAGACGCCGAATCGAGCTCGGCCTTGTGGTTGTCGAGCGGGTAGCGCATGGCTTTGACCGACTCGTTGTGAAGCTGCAAGCAGAAGTTGATGCGTTGCCTCAATTGAGCCTGTGGCTCGTTGGTCGAGTACACTTCGCCCGTCTCGCGGCTGCGCATCTCGCCGCGCTCGTGGTCGACCTGCGCCTCGATGACGCCGTCTCTGATGGCCTTGGCAACAATGTACTCTGCATCTTCCTCCGACTCTAGGTGCAGCTTGCGTGTGATGTCCGACAGGCTGATGCGCGAGTATGCCAAGGAGATGGTGCGAATGCCAGTCTTGATGACGTTGTGCCTCAGCCGCAGAATGAGTGAGTGCGTCTTATCGGCGAGGAAAAGGGCATTGTGCGTCGAAAGCGTCTTTGCAAAGAGAGAGAGATCTCCGATTCGCACCGCCTGGACAATTTCCATGTAGGGGGCCAGTGCCTTCTTGAGAACGTCCATTCGGAACACGCTCCGTTCAGAGATGTCGCCCATCAGGAGCTCCACGACGACGAGGAACTTGTAGGCGGTCTGCAGGAAGCCCGCGCCGGGGCTCGTGGGCTTTACCTTGGCCAACTCTGCTTTGAGCACGGTGTATGCGTCTGCTACAGGCTTTTCGTCGCTGTCCTTTGTGTCGTCTTTTCCCTCTGCCTTTCTGGCTCTCTTCTCTTCCTCTTCCCTCTTCGCCTTGGAGCTTGGTTGTGGTGCTCGTCGAATAGCTTGCTGCAAGTGCGTGTGTGCCTCGGTGTAGTTCAGCTGCACAGCTCGGATACGGCCAACGTAGTATTCGTAGCGAGCAATTTGACCGTTTCCAGCCTGCGCTCGTGGGAAGGGCGCACGAGCCACGAGCTTGTCAGCTTGGTCGTACAGGTTTGACTCGACGATGTAGGATCGCAAGAGGATGTTCTGGACTGTGGCGTTTGTCTCGTTGTCGTGTCGCAGAGCAGCTGTTCGGTGAAGAGACAGAAGGAAGTCCCTCTCCTCGGCTAGGCCTCCGCTCTTGCCTTGACCCTTGAGAATCTCAACGCATCGAGCGAGATAGAAGATGGTGCGAGCACAAACCTGGTCGAGTGTCCGCTTGTTGGCCGCTTGGATTTGCTGAAGCGACCTCCGAGAGAAGATGGCGGCCTGTGAGTTCAAAAATTGATCAGCTTTGTTCTACCAGCCCCATACCAACAACCTCACCTTCTCGATTTCACCCTTGTCCGCAAGATAGACGATGACAAGGAGGCTGACGTATGCATTGAGCTCGGCGGAGGCCTCGGGAGCGTGCTTGAACGACGTGTCGGCGAGAGTTGCGGCATCCTTGATAGACTTCTTTGCGGCTCCTTCTGCGCCCTCGGCAGAGTCAACATCCATGGCATCGCCAGTCGTCTGCCTCGTGGTGCTTCCATTGCCGCTTGGGACATATGCGTGAGGGAGCACTGCAAGCAGCTGAGACCTGACTTCTGAGTCTGGGCAAATACGAAGGGGTCAGCACAAAAACAATGAGAAGAGGAGCAGCCTTCTAGTCCTACACACCTTTTGCTGTACCCTCTTCTATGGCCCTTGCCAGGACATCGGGATGGAGGCTGCAGAGCTTACGGCTTGAAGCCAAAGATCGGAGTGCTCTCGCGGCGAATCGTGGCTCGAGATGGGCGACAGAACGGACAATGAGGAGCAGGTTGTGTCGGAGGAGCGTCAGGAAGATGTCCTTTGGAGCTGGAGGCTCTTGGACTTTCTTCGCCTCCGAAGCACCATTAGGGGCTGGGACACTGTCGGCCGCCGCCATTTGGGTGTCAGGCATGTCTTGCTGCTTGTGATTGGATCGTCGAAGCGTCGTCGCCTCACTTGTATCTTCTCGACAAGCAAGCAGCGTCGACGCGCTTCATGCACGACGTGATCGGTCACACGTTCGGCCGAATATCTGGCACAGACCACACCCAGTCCCTGTAAAACACGTGACGTGGAAAGGGCGTCGGAGCAGAGTCGACCGGAGCGACGCCCGGGCCAAATGAATCTATGCACTAAAGTTAGGCAGACCCCCCTCATCTAGGCAGGGCCTGGTGACGAGCTGGTCGTCACTTTAATAATGGGTGGCAGGCTCTCCTGGAAAAAGCTTGGTAAAGCGGAGGCGCGGCGATCCGTGTTTCTCATTGCAACCCTGAAAAGAGAACAGAGTCGAGCAAGGGGGGAAAGAAAACACCAATACACTACCGTACTAGCTGCTGTTCTAGCTGGTACCGACCAGCTACTTAGAGCGAGGGGAAGCCCCGACAGAATTTAAAAATACCCTCGCAGAAAGTCGCGCTAGGACCAGCCCCTTTGCCCTTGCTGAAGATTTGACAAATTCCTTTGACCTGCACCAAGTCCAACGCACCACGGAACCGCGTTGTCCGCTTGCCCGCCTGCTCTCACGTCGTTTTCGAGCGCACTCTCTCTTTCTCTTCTTTTCACCTTCCCTTTCATCCCTTTGGCTTCTGTGAGCACGACTCTTTTACCGACTCTTTTCGAAAAGGAGTGCCTTTACCTCTTCTTTGATCGCGACGCTCGCTTTCTGGCCGCGCTCGAAAGGTGGTAGTCTAGCCCTTGACGGGTGTCGCTGCCGGCCGCAAAGACAGACAGAGCACGGAGGAAGAGGAAAAGTATCTCACTCACCATGGACCAGCGTGCGACAACCCCGCCCGAGGATGTCGAGAAGCTCTCGCAGCTCTCGAACATCTCCCTCGACTCCATCTTTCCCGTCCTTCGCGATCGCTTCTTCTCCTCGCTGCCCTACACCGCTCTCAGCGACTCGATTCTCATCTCGGCCAACCCCTTTGCGGCGCCCGGCAACCGAAACACGGACGACACTCTTCGAGAGTACACAAAGGACTACCGCGAGACGAGCAAGTCGAACCGAGCCAGGCTTCCGCCCCACGTCTTTCAGCTGGCGTGCAACGCCTACTTTTACCTGCGCAGGACCGGCCAGGACCAGAGCATCTTGCTAGCGTGAGTAACTGCTGAAGAAGAATAATGCTTTACCATACCATGCTCATCGCCTCTCGTACTGCTACAGGGGCGAGACCGCCTCAGGAAAGACTGAGATCAGGAGGCTTGCGCTGAGGACCCTCATCGACTTGAGTGCAGCCTCGCCAGGCAAGAAGGGATCCAAGCTCGCCGCGCAAATTCCTTCTGGCGAATTCATCCTAGAGAGTCTGGGCAACTCGTCGACGCTCGAGAATGCAAACGCCTCGCGCTTTGGCAAGTACACGGAGCTCCAATTCAGCGAAAGCGGTCGGCTGGTGGGTGCCAAGACGCTCGACTACTATCTTGAGAGGAACCGCGTAGTGAGCGCGTCGTCGAGCGAACGAAACTTCCACATCTTCTATTACCTCGTCGCCGGCGCATCAAGTGAGGAAAAGGAGTTCCTCCATCTCGGCGATGGCTCCGACTTCCGCTTCCTGGGATCCCACTCGAGGCAGCACAAAGAGACCGCCCGACAGGATGCGGCCAAGTTCACCCGTCTCAAGCAGGCATTCAAGAACGTTGGCCTGTCCAAACGCCACGTCGCCTCCATCTGCCAGGTGCTTGCCGCCATCCTGCACCTTGGTAATTTGGAGTTCTACCAGGACCGCCATCGGACCCAAGACTCGGCTTCAATTCGCAACCCAGAAGTACTGCACATCTGTGCAGAATTCCTCGGCATCACTTCAAAGGCGCTTGAGGAGTCGCTGACGTACAAGACCAAGATGATCAAGAATGAGGTCTGCACCATCCTCCTCGATGCCGACGGGGCGGCCAACAACCGTGATGAGCTGGCAAAGTCCATCTACTCGCTTCTCTTTGCCTGGATCAACGAGCACCTCAACGAGAAGCTTTGCCGCGACGACTTTGACGCATTCATTGGCGTCTTTGATCTGCCGGGCTTTCAGAACCTCTCGAGGGGAAATTCGCTGGACCAGTTCTGCGTCAACTTCGCCAACGAGTCGTTGCACCGTTTCATGCTTCGCACTGTCTTTGAACGGAAACAAGACGAGTACGCCGATGAAGGGCTCACTTTCCTCTCGCCAGAAGTGCCTTACTTTGACAATGCTGAGTGCGTCCGCCTCCTCACGAACCAACCTGGTGGCCTGGTCCACATCATGGACGACCAAGCTCGACGAATGCCAAAGAAGACGGACCAGACCATGGTCGAGGCCTTTGGCAAGCGGTGGGGAAACCACCCTTCCTTCAAGGTTGGACCTGCTGACCGAAGCGGCTCAGCCACCTTCACCATTAGTCACTTCCACGGAACGGTGGCATACACGAGTGAGAATCTCCTGGAGCGCAACAGCGAAAACGTCAGTCCCGACTTTGTCTCGTTGCTCCGTGGGCAGACGATCGAGGCAGGCAAGAGCGCGGCAGACGTCCCGGGCGCACAGAGCGTCGGCTCCTCGATTTCCTTTGTACGCAACCTCTTCAATACTAGGGCTCTCAACACGCAGGCACATCCAAAGAGCGAACAGACGATTGTTGCTGCTCAGCAGTCGGTGAAGCCCATGCGTCAGCCCTCAATGCGCAAGCGTGGAGGAACGATCAAGAGATCTACGACTCAGCGCAGGGGTGGTGCTGACGACGATGACTCCGACGACGATGACGACGCCAAGGACGGTGCAGGCACCTCAGGAGGCAAGTCAAAGCACTCGGGCGTGCGCTGCGTCGCAGGCGAGTTCAAGAGCGGTCTAGACACGCTCTTTGAGACAATCGAAGAGACCAAGCCCTGGTTTGTCCTGTGCCTTCGACCTAACGACAACCAGCTGCCGAACCAATTCGAGGCTCGCGTTGTGAAGCAGCAGATCAAGTGCATCGGCATCGCCGAAATGGCGCGCAAACTCCTCAACGAGTACAGTGTCAACATGACCTACGAGGAGTTCTGCAGCCGCTACGCCGAAGTACCCGTTCTGAGTGCTGCCAACATGCAGGGCGCGACTGGTGGTGAAGCCAAGCAAAAGTTCTCAGCCGCCAAGGAAGTCATGGGCTGGAGCGACAACGATGCCGCTTCGGGCAGGGTCAAGGTCTTCCTCTCCCATGCCGCCTTCCGCGAGCTGGAAGACGACCTCCGAGCGGGCGACCCAGAAGAGGTTCGGGCGAACGAGCGCAAGGCACTCATGGATGCTGACGCTGCTGCCCGTGGCGAGACAGACCCCTTCTCGCCCCTGGGCGTCATCGATGAGTCTGCAGGCGGTGCCCTTGCAGGAACTCCCGGCGGCTTCGTCGGCGCATATGGTGACCCATTCAAGGAGCGCTCCACCGCGGCTTTGCCCCTGGTTGGCAACCAGGAGGACAGCATGGACGAGGCCAAGAGCACCTACTCGGACTTTTCCGGCCTCAATCGCCGCAGCTACGGTGGCAACTTCAGCGCCTCAGCGTCGGTGGTCGGCTCGGAAGCCTATGCACCCTCGCGCAACATGTTCGCCGACGCCAACGGAGCAGCACGCGGCCTGAACGAGAAAGGCCCTACGCAATTTACCGACGCCGCGGATGGGGAGGTGGCCGAGGAGATGGCCGTTACCTCACAGCGCAAAAGATGGGTGCTCCTCACCTGGCTTCTCACTTGGTGGATTCCTTCGCCGTTCCTCAAATGGTGTGGCGGCATGAAGCGCCCCGACATTCGTATGGCCTGGCGCGAGAAGCTGGCCATCAACATGATGATCTGGTTCATTTGCGGCTGCGCCATCTTTGTCATTGCCGTCTTGGGCAATGTCATTTGCCCCAAGCAACACGTCTACTCGACTGACGAGCTGCAGAACCGAAAGGGCAATCAGTCCTTGACCGCCATCCGCGGCGAAGTGTTTGATCTCAACAACATTGTCACCATGCACCGCTCCGTTGTTTCGGTCGTACCCGAGACAGCAATTCTCAAGTACGCCGGAGAAGATGCAACCGGTATCTTCCCGGTGCAGGTCAACGCGCTCTGCAACGGTGTCGACGGCAGTGTCAGCCCTTGGGTCCAGCTCAATCGGGACAACTCGACAGATACTAACGCCCAATATCACGATTTCCGAGCCATTCACCCTGAAGACTTCCGCTCTGACTGGTACTACGAGTCGATGTGGCTCATGAGATCAAACTACCGCGTCGGTTTCATGGGTTACACACCCGATGGCATCTCGGACCTCCTCGACGAAGGGCGCGCCGTGGCAATCTACCGCGGTGGCATCTACGACGTGACCGACTATGTCAGCCAGGGAAATCGCGGAGCAATTCAGGCGCCGGAAAACACTCAGGCGCCGGCGAATACTAACGCACAGTTCATGTCATCTTCGATCATCCAACTCATATCACAGAATCCGGGCAAGGACATCACCAAGCAGCTCGACGCCCTGCCCCTCTCTTCCGACGTCATGGATCGTCAAAGAGTATGCCTGAGGAACCTCTTCTTCATCGGAAAGCAGGACAACCGCAACTCGCCCCAGTGTCAATTCGCTCGTTACATTCTCTTGGCTCTCTCGATTGTCATGGTCGCCATTATCGGCTTCAAGTTCCTAGCGGCTCTCCAATTCGGAAGGGAGCGTAAGCCAGAAGAACACGACAAGTTTGTTCTCTGCCAGGTTCCTTGCTACACCGAAGGCGAAGAGTCGATGCGCAAGACGATCAACTCGCTGGCTGCACTCAAATACGATGACAAGCGCAAGCTCATCTTCATCATTTGTGACGGTATGATTGTCGGTTCGGGTAACGATCGACCTACTCCGCGCATCGTCCTCGACATTCTCGGCGCGGATCCCAACCTGGACCCAGAACCATTGAGCTTCCTCTCGCTGGGCGAGGGAAGCCGTCAGCACAACATGGCAAAGGTCTACAGCGGTCTGTACGAGCACCACGGTCACGTTGTTCCTTACCTCGTTGTTGTCAAGTGTGGTAAGCCCACTGAACGCCAGCGTCCAGGCAATCGCGGAAAGCGAGACTCGCAGCTCGTTCTCATGCGTTTCCTCAACAAGGTTCACTTTGGCCTGCCGATGAATCCGATGGAGCTCGAGGTTTACCACCAAATCAAGAACGTCATTGGTGTCAATCCGAGCTTCTACGAGTACGTCCTCCAGGTCGATGCCGACACAGAGGTCGAGGCCCTCTCGCTCAACCGGTTTGTGTCGGCATTTACCAACGACAAGAAGGTCATCGGTCTCTGTGGAGAGACTTCCCTGTCCAACTCGAAGCGCAGCTTTATCACGATGCTCCAGGTGAGTGCCCTGTGCCAGTAGGGTTCTCCTCACATTTTAGAGCTCTAACCCATGCCTTTTCGCAGGTCTACGAATACTTCATCTCGCACTACCTCGCCAAGGCTTTCGAGAGCTTGTTCGGCTCCGTCACTTGTCTTCCAGGTTGTTTCTCCATCTTCCGAATCCGTACGCCCGACACGCATCGACCTTTGTTCATTGCCAACCGCGTCCTTGAAGAGTATGCCGAAAATCGCGTCGATACGTTGCACACCAAGAACCTGCTTCACCTGGGTGAAGATCGTTATCTGACCACGCTGGTTCTCAAACACTTTGGTAACTACAAGACGCTCTTCATTCGCGACGCCAAGGCCATGACGACGGCGCCCGAAGACTGGGGAGTGCTCTTGTCGCAACGACGTCGATGGATCAACAGTACGGTGCACAATCTCTTCGAGCTCATCTCCACGCCAGGCCTCTGCGGTTTCTGCCTCTTCTCCATGCGCTTCATCGTCTTCATCGACCTGCTCTCGACGATCATTGCGCCAGTCACCATGGTTTACATCGTCTATCTCATTGTTCTGGTCTGCACAGATGACGCCACTGTGCCCGTCACGAGCTTGATCATGTTGGCGGCCATCTACGGTCTTCAGGCCATCATCTTCCTGCTCCGCAGGCGATTCGACATGATCATCTGGATGCTCATCTACATCGTCGGTACACCCGTCTGGACTCTCTTCCTGCCCCTCTACTCCTTCTGGCACATGGACGACTTCTCGTGGGGTAACACTCGCGTCGTCATGGGTGAAAAGGGTCAAAAGATCGTCAAGCACGACGAGGGCAAGTTCGATCCCAACGAGATTCCTGAACAGACGTGGCAGGCCTACGAGGAGGAGCTTTGGGAGCGCAACTCTGCTCGCTCCATCGGCGAGATCATCGAAGCGGCCCGCAATGACAAGTCCAACGCCGGGTCGAGGGCCGGGTCGATGTATGCTCCGAGCCTGTACGGCGCGCCCATGATGCAGCAGTCGCCCAGCTATGGACACAGCCCCTCTGCTTCGCAGCTCGGCGGCGCCATGGGTGGCGGTTCGCAAGTTGGCACGCCTGGTTATTTCCCTCCTGGACAGATGGACGCTGCGAGACATTCGACATACAGCTTGGGCGGCGGCATGCCTCAAGGACAGAGCTACCACGGGGCCATGTCGGGCTATGGCACGCCTGCTATGTCTATGTTTGGCGGACCAACTGCGACGAATCCGGGCGTCTATGCATCGCAGCCGACATCGATGTATGGTATGCCGCAGATGCAGTCGCAGCAGTTCCAGTCGGGCTACTTCCAGGGATCGCCCTCAATGTATGGCCAGTCGTTCTACCAGCCTCAACAGCAGCAACAGCAACAGCAGGGATCTGGACAGAGGAGCGGACGATCGACGCCCGGACCCGCCGAGGGCCCTCTGGTCGACGCCAGCACGCCCGGCGCTGTGCCTGCAGACGATGTCGTCGCTCGCGACATTCGACAGCTCATCATGTCCTCAGACCTGGCCAGTGTCACGAAAAAGAAGCTCCGTGGTCAGCTTGAGGAAAAGTACGGAGCACCATTCTCGCCGGAGAAGAAGACATTTGTCAATGAGACGATCGACAAGGTCCTCGCGGAGGTCTGAGGCCTGCTCAGCTCTGTATGGATCGCCACTCGTCCACGTCCTCTTTCTGTGCATCTCTTCGCGAACTATCATCAAAGCCAAGGAACCCTACCTTCACGAACAATCTCTCCCTCGTCCCATGTGTATCTTATTGAAACGTTCTCCCCTCTCTTTTCTCTAACTTCTCCAATCGATCAGCCTCGCTCCGATTTTGTGCAAGCGTATGACAATGAAATTGTGATTCTATGACCCGATATCATGAAAAGAGAAAGCAGTGTACATCTCAGATTCGTAGTGGCATGTAGAGGCCAAAGTCTCTCAAGCGCTCGCAGCTTTCGTAGACCTCTTCTCTGATCCTCTTTTCGGCCTCTCGATCCGCACCAATGCCAAAGAGGGTGCCCATGCTCGCCCGTAGCCTCCGTTCTTGGTAGTCGCGACGGCGCTCGCACTCGTTGTAGAGAATATTCTTGTATGAGTTCTCGACACGCCGCTCGAAGCCGTCGAGCTTCGAAGTGTCTTTTCTCGTCGCGCTTCCACTGCCCGCAGCGGCTTGAACGAAGGGGTGCTGAGACCAGGCGGTCGGGTCGACGTGGTACTTGACGTTGTGCTTCAATGTGGTTCGGGGCATCCGGTATGCGCCCTGTGCATTCCACGTGTAGAGCGGGTCCGGTGTGCCAAAGAGCGTGGGCGCATAAGACAGGAGCGAGAAGAGACCCAGGATAAGAATTGGGAGCAGCTGCAGGAGGATCGACGTGGATTCTTGCTGTGGCTGGTGGCCACCTGCTCGTGGCCTTCTTGGCATGCCTGGCCCAAAGTGCACACCTGGCCCGCCAAAGTGGAAAGTCGTTCCTCCTCCTCCAAAGCCTGAAAGACGATTCAGTAACCTTGACCGAAGCAGACGACGAAAAGAAACACCTACCGTTCCCCATGCCGCCTCCAAAGAACATGTTGAAGAGATCTTGAGGATCAATCTCGCCATTCATACCCCCGCCGCCATACGTCCTATATGTTGCCCCACCCGGCCCACCTCTCGCAAATTGGCTGAATCCAGACCCACCACCGCCGCCTCCCCTCGAGTCTGGGTCGCTGCCCGTCTGGTCGTAGATAGCCTTTTTGTTCGAGTCTGAGAGAATTGTAAAGGCCTTCGAGACAATCTTGAAGGCTTCGTCGGCACCAGGTGCACCGTTCTTGTCCGGGTGCAGTTGTAAGGCGAGCTGTAAGCCATGTGTGTGAGCTCTCCTCCTCTTCGCCCCAACGATCCATGATGTCCCTTCTCACCTTCCGGTAGCCCTTTTTGATTGCATTTTCGTCCGGCTTGTCCTCTTTTTTCAAGCCCAGAACCCCGTAGAAGTCATTGTCCCTGCCAGCCTTGTTGACCTGTGTCACAATCTTTGCCTGTTCCTTGGTGTACTCCCTCTGGGGCCTCTTTTCTTCCGCTGCAGAGGAAGCCCCGGCAGCTGCCGGTCGCCGATGCGCTGCTGATGCGGTCCCGTTCGGCATCGCCGAGCTCTTTCCCGAAGAGGAAGAGGACGTCCCGGCTTCGGCACTGCTCCCGTTCGCCTGATTTTGAGTCGAGGTGTTCCCGGGCATGTGACCTTTCTCCAAGCTGGTGAGGAGGATCTTTGCCTGGGATGAATTGGGGTCCATGGACATGGCTTTTCGGGCCCATTTGAGTGCGCCCTCGAGGTTCCCCGACGACGAGTGTTTCATGGCGAGATTGTACGCCTTTTGGGCGTCTTCGGGCGACGACATATTGCTCACCGTCTCGGATGTCGATGACTACCGAATCACCGCAAACCCCGGTCGTCGTGAGGGAGGGCCGATCTCGTCTCCCAGGTAGGAATTTTTAGACGTCTAGGGCCAGGCCAAGATTTCGTCGCGTGTCGCTCAGCTCTTCTTCGGCCGGGAGAACACTTTTTTGGCACTTTTTTTTTTTTTTGCGAAGAACCTGACATCCTGATCATCAAGTGATGGCGAGGGGAGCAGTAGCAGTGGTAAGGCCACTACTAGCAGAGGCTAGAGCTTGGACATGTGCTCAACCGCCGAGATCAACGGGGGTACAGGCAAGAAGCATTGCCTCGACCTCGCGGCTGTCCTTTGCGGCACCACCATCCAAGACAGCCGACCAACAAGAAGCTACATCTTCTGACGACCCGCCACCTCCCACACCAAAGCCGAAGCGACGTGGACGGCAACCCGGCGCTGCAAAGGAGACGGCGGATGAGACCGTCGCATCATCGTCAAGACCGCGAGCATCGACGTTGGGGAAGAAAACGGTGAAGCGACGAATCAGGTCAGATGCCCCTATTACGGCGCCCAACAGGAACGGTGCTCGGCCAAAGGGCCAGGTCGAGAATCTACTGCCGGACCCGACGACGCCCTTTGCGCACCTGCCTGCCCCAACATTCTGGCGAAATGTGTTCAACACCGAGCGAGGCTTCCTCAAAGATCATCGCTATTTTGTCGCAAACGAAGATACGACGAGAGCGGTTGCAGACCGGCTCGACCTGTCACGATTGAGGCAAGAGGCCGGTGGTGAAAAGCTTACCATCATCGAGTGCTACCCTGGACCGGGATCGATCACGAGGAGCTTGATTCAAAGCGAACATGTGGATAGGATCATCGCAATAGAGGAGAACGAAGGATATGCGGCGTTCTTGAAGGTGAGCCGATAGTCAGACTAGGATAGAAGAGCCTACAGAGTGTTGATATAGTTGTCTTTAGCAACTCCCCTCGGACCCGACTCTAGAGAGAGTTGCGCATCTAGAAATCGTCAAAAAGTCACCGTATCGATGGACCACATATACCGATCTCGTTGACGAAGGTATGCTGGATCACATACATGGTGTCAAGGAAAAGCGCCTTGTGCCACAGTCGGCTGGGTCATACGAGAAAGCGACCGGGGCCATTCACGAACAAGAGGATTGGCAACGTTCCAGCCCGCTCGTCGTCTTGTTCACTCTCCCAAACGCAGTCCACGGCGAACAGCTCTTTCAACAGCTAGTCAGCGCCATAGCCACGAGGCTCTGGCTCTTCCGATTTGGAAGAGTCCGCATGGCGTTTGTCTGTTCCGAACATCTCGCCACGGTGCGTCATGACGCTTCTTTTCCTTGCGACGAAATCTCTCGCTCACCCCATTCTGCCCCTCAACAGCGCAGTCTTGCTGAGCCAGGCGAGAAGCTCCGGACTAGACTGTCTACTTTCTGTGATGCCCTCACAGACCGCAAAATGCTTTTGAACTCTTCGCATTTTGAACCACTCCAATCACACATCTGGCCAACGACATCTACCGTGGGCGCACAGCTTCCCGTCTCTAGGCTACCTGGGCAGGTATTCAACGCACCGAGCGGGAAGACCAAGGAGAAACTCTGTTTCTTATCCTTGGAGCCCAAGACCCGACCGCTGTTGTCGGAGGAGGACATGGAGCCGTTTGAATTCATTACCAGGAACCTCTTTGTCCTCCGGTCGACGCCTGTTGGTGAAGCTCTCAAGTGGGTGTCTCCTTCTCTCTGCTCACCTTGAATGCGAACTGACGATGAGATTCATGGCTTGCAGACACGTCGCGCCGGGTGCCCAAAACGTTCTCAACATGCTCTCGACGGACCATCCCGCCATGAGGAAGCTCATCGAAAACGTCAACAAGGACAAGCCTGAGCACGAACAGATTCTTCCTGACAACTTTCGCATCGATCCAGAGACGTTCGTCAACGACTTGACGATCCACCAATGGGTCGCCCTGGCCAAGATGTTTGACCGGTGGCCATTCCGACCAGAAAATCTTCTAGAGGAACAGATGCCGTCTAGAATTAGAAGAGACCGATAATGTCGGTGCTTTTCCTTTTGTATCACTAGTTTGACAATCATAGACACTGCCCATTGAACGTGACCAACCCACTTCATGGATGGGCACAGAGAGCGATCATGAGCCTACGAGAGGGCGAGAAACAAGATGACTCGACGTCTTCAGCGGTGATAGTCTCTAGGGCGGAGCAAGCAGGTCTTTCAACGATCCAGAACGTGGGGAAAACGGGCCTTGATACAGTACTGTACAAGGAATGAAAAAAAAGAGGGCGATTGAAACCCTCCAATGGATATTCAGGTGACCAAACTGGAGAAGACAGCAAATACCAAGTAACGAAATGAGGAGAGATGACCCAAAAGATAAAGATAAAAGATGAATGGTGCTGCGCTCTATCCGACGAGTGGTGAATTGGGGAAGAATCGATGTTTGAGGACGGTGACAATGGTTGAAGGCCCGATTGAGAGAAAGGTGGCTAAGACCCGTGACCTTGAGTGAAATCGTGGATATGAGGTCGTCCGGAGGGAATGAAACAGTGGACGGGAGAACTCCGTCGATGCTGGGTAGTACAAAAAATTGCCGATGATGGAGACGATGTTGAGGCCGATGTCCCGGTAGGTCAATGGATGCAAATGAAAGATGACGAGATGAGGCCCGAAATGAGACCGGAATGAGGGGGTGAAGGGAGAGAGAGAAAAAGAGAGAGTGAAATGTATCAGAGCCTGCGAAGAGCGCACAGCGACACTTCGATTTCGACGTCCTGCATCGAATTAGGCTCTTGGTCCACGATTCGGCTGTAGAGAACTTCCCAAAGGCTGTCGAGGACGAATTCGACAGCGCCTTTGGTCAATTTGCCTCTCTCCCGAAGCACATGACGGAAATGCGACTCGTAGAGGTTCTTGAAGAGCTGGATCATGTGCTCGGAGAAGGCGACACGAGACAGCGTGCCGGATTGATATGCCTTCCAGGCCGGGTGTGGAAGCCGCAGGGTATTGGGCTCCGATTCGGGCAGCTGAGCAGCGCCCTCGACGCCGGTCTCACCCAAGCCGCAGCTCCAGTCGACGGACCAGAGGTGACTGACGCTTTTGAGGACGGCTTGCGTTTGGCTGCGTGTGCGAGGGTGCATGGGGACGTGAAGGAGCGTTCGAGCTACGTCGGACTTGAGCATGCCGCACGACACGAGACGCTGGATGCAGGGAGCCAGCGTGTTGCTCAGCGTAGTCCAGATATCCTTCTTTGCCGCTCGAGGGGTAGCCCCGCTTTCTGCGTCTAGGCGAGTCTGTGCTGAGTAGCTTGAATGTCTTTCGTGTCCGCTTCCTTCAGCTCGCATGCGGCTGGTGAGCGATGCCAGCGACAACTTGCGCTCGTCTGCCAATGCCGACTTTGCTTCTCCAAACACTGTTTGTGATCGTCGTCTGGCAAATGTGCTGTCGCCAGTGCTGCCAAAGACATCGTCCTCTTCGGAACGCGCGATGTAAGCCATGAGAAAGACGGAGCCCTTCTTGAATTCGTGGGCCCTCGCCATCAAGAAAGTCGACAATTCGGCTTGTGCCATCGTGGCGGGCGAGATAGAGGTGTTGGCAGGGGTATGAGACCACTGCAGGTCCATGAGACTGAAGCCCAGGTGCATTGTGTTGGGAGGCGCGATCCGACAACCGAAGGGTCTCGCGACGAATGAGTTGAAGATGGAGTTGGTCAACGCAGGTTTGTGGGTTGATTGCCAGTGAGGATCGAGGTAGGACTCTGGATGCGTCTCAAGAACTTGCATCAGCGACCTGAAGTCGGCCGACGGTCCATCCTCGTGAGTAACGGAAAAGTTGAGGGAGGTGGTCTGTCCCTCTGGATACCCACGGCCGACAATGGTCGGGGGCGCAGCATCCTTCGGACCGCCAAAGAAGCCCGTGCGATCTGCGGCAACAGTAGACTGCGGGTGCGGTGTCCCAGCCACCTGAGGCTGCCGAAGGAGTGCTCGATGGGCGAAGGCCGAAATCATGGGCTGCAGCAGTTGCGTCGACCGAGAGTTGAGGCAGCCGTATTCGGCGATGTTGACTGTTTCGCCTTCCTCGCCCGTCAAGGGGATCGATTCAATCAGCTGATCGATGACTTCCAGAATCTTCGCTCGCACACCCGGACCAAAATGTCCTCCTCCCGAGGGAGCGAGCAGCGCATTGTTCGCGACCGGGACAGAGTCCGAAGGTACTGACGGCTTGGCCAACCTCGGTCCTTGACTTCCCTCGGCAACCGCTTGCTTGGCATTGCCGACGCCCGACGCATCCAAGTCGCCCTTGCCGATGTAAGAATTGCGCAGATGGGAGGCCACTGATGCGTCTGGTGAAACCATGGCTTTGTGGTCGATGGATGGCGTGTCGAGCTGTGTGCTGCCTCGTCCCGAGGCCACAGCTTCCGAGAGGCTCGCCTCACCCGAAGATGACGATGTCGAGGCGGAAGCGACCGCAGCGTGTTTGTCGAAGGGTGATCTGCTGTCAGCAGTGGCAGGCGGCGAGGTCTCCTCTTCAAGATCAGAAAAGTTGGGGTGTCCCATCTCGAGCCGGTGGCCATTTCCAGCCATTCCGACATTTCGAGGGTCGTGCGTGCCTGAACGTTGGACAACGCGGCGCCGACCCACGGGAATATCATCGTTGCGGCTCTTGACAGCCAATCCACCCGTGGTGCGGCGTCTCGACAGATCTGCCTCCTCGCGGTTGAGAGCAGCAAACGTGACCTCGTCGGCTGCCTGCTCCGACAGGACACCACCGCCGCCACCGGTTTCGCCAGAAATGGAAGCAGAAGCTTCTGACGACTTCTTGATAAGCTCACTGTCCGTCATCTTGAGGCCCATGGCAAGCGCTCCCATCTCCATCGTTCCTGCGCCGTTTGATCGGGAGAAGCGTGGTTCGGCCATGGAGGCAAAGCCAGCCGCGGGACCCTGGAGATTCGTGTACAAGGCCGACGAGGTCATGCTGAAACCCAGCCCCATTTCGAGCCCTTGGCTGACGACGCTAGAATATGCACCTCCCAATGTTGATGACGAGTCTGCGGCCGATGAAGAAGAGATGTTGCCGCCAGTCGCTGACGTCTGCGAAAGGGGAGGAGGTGTGATGCCATTGACCTGACCGAGGTCCAAAAGTGTCGACTGGGACAAAGGCGGTGGCGGGGAGGAGTCAACCTGCTTGTTGCCACTGCCCATGAGAGGAGAAGGACTGGTGTACTTGTCTGATCGAGGATCCTCCGACAGAGTGTGGGGAATGCTACCCCTTCGAGCACTGATGCCCATGCTGGTAAGAGGGTGAAGAGGCGAGTCATTGCTGACAGCGTTTCGCCTTGGCACGCGAGCCCTTGTCGGTGGATGCGAGGGGCGGCCGTGATGGTTGATGGCGTTGGACCTCTGAATGCGGGAAGGAGAGTCGATCCCGAGCCGTGGTCCGTTCTCGTCGAGAGGTGTCATGATGGGCCTCTCCTCTTCGCTCTCGTCGTCGCATGTCGAGACCGTCGTCGTAGGAGACGATGTGCTCATTCGGCGTGGTTTTGGTGTGTGTTCATGCGGAGCAATGTCGCCTTGGAGCGATGAGGCCGAGGTTCCGACTTGAAGTCCTCGAGTATTCCTGTTTCGAAGAGGCGACGAAGACAAGTCGCTGGCCTGCATCGTGGTTTGTGGGGACGAGTAGGCCAACGAAGAAGGACTGAAAGACGGTGCATGTGCAGGTCGCACCGCGCGCGATGACGAAGAAGATGAGAGATGCTGCTGCTGCTGCTGCTGTTGGTGCTTCACCGGACTGGAGTTAGCGGTCGTAACGGGCGACGAAGTGAAAAGGCTGGCGGTTCCGCTGCCGCACTCTGTCAGGCCGCGATGACCTGGCGGGTGCCGCATTGCGCCATTGTCATCATTATTGTCGGCCGCTGTGTCATCGTCGTCGTCGTTGTCGTCGTCATCCGCGACGGACGAGGCGGCAGCGGCGGCGGCGGCCTCTTGAGCTGATGCAAACATTGTTCTCGGCCTAGCTTGGAGCGCGGAGTTGGGCAACAGCCGCCAGGGTCGGTCGAACGAGGCGGCGGAAATGGTTGCGTTCTCAAAGCTCCGCCGAGAGCCGTCTCGAGAGTCCGAAGGCAATGCGAGACCGCCGGGGGACCCGAGGGCGGACGCGGCTGCTGCTGCTGCTGCGCTTGCCATTCTCGAATTTGACGATGCGCCCGATTTCATCGACATACCTCCGTCGCTCTCCCTCCGGGCCATGGGCTCGTTGCACACGTCTGCATAGGGCTCGCTCAGCGCAGGCGGGCCAGCAGCCATGGCCTCGGCAGCCCACTTGCGCAGCTTGGTGATCTCTGCATGCTGGTCGCTGTGCGCCCGCGCCTGCACGGAACGCGTCGCCGTTGCAGAGTCAGACAGACGCCGGGTCGACGCCTGATCAGGCACGGCAAGGCCCTTGGACGTTGATGCGGCGGCAGACATGTCTGTTCAAGAGTAGAAGCGCAGGCGGCAACGGGCGAGTTGCTTCCCTGACGTCCAAGAGACCTGCTCCCAGACGATGCTGCTGCTTCTGCTGTTGCTACTGGAAATGAAAAGTAAAGGTAGTCAGCAGGCTGAGCTTGGCAGGCAAACCTGGAACAGTAGGCCGTCGAAGTCAACTCACGGGGTCCGTCGACAGGCAGACGCGTGGGTCGAGCTGCATTCACTGTCTATCGGCAGCGCAACAGAGTCGAAGGACGCTGAACCTCGTCTGGTGTTGGGGGAAGGGGCGCTGTCAACCTTGTCGATGTGCTCGGTGGTAGATTGAGAAGGCGATGGACCAGGTTTTCTCTGTTGCGCTGCGAGGAGGAAAGAGCAAGCCAAAGGCAGTTGCAATGGTCCTTATTAGCGCGGCCTAGATGGCGGCCTCGTTTCCTTCGCCTCGAGCGGAGAGTGTCGAGCGGAGAGTGTGAAGAAGGGCTAGAGTGGTAATCTTCGCCCCTCTGTCTTTCCTGTCTTGCCGTAAGAGGGACAGGTAATTGCAGACGGCGCCTTGGTGCTCCCTGCGTCGGTGAGAATAACCAAGTTGGAAGCGCGGGGGACCCCGTTTAATTCAATTTTGTAGGGAGGGCGTAGATTGAGTGATGAACTTGGGGCGGACCCCTGCGTGGTGCTTGATGAGGTCGCTGGCGGTGATGGTGGAGAGGTGTCTTGGCCAGCGGGACGGTGGATGAGTGATTGGGAAAAGGCAAAAGACGTTGCTCTTCCAACTGGCAGCCAGGTCGCGCGCGCGCGCGGAGTCGCAACGTCGGCTTGAGCAAACAAGGCGCTGCTTGCAATCGGCCCACGAACGGATCCTGCGCGCCGAAATCTTCGATCTGCCCCCTCTTTTTTTTTTTTTTTTTTTGTTTTTTTTTTTTTTTTGGTTTTTTTTTTTTTAAACTCTTTCTCTCGTCGGTCCCTCCCTCGTCTTGTCTAAGAAAAGATCCAAGGGAGAAAAAAACCATGAAATTAATTTAGCAGAAGGGGCATGAAGTAGTGGGTCGTCGTTCAACCCTACGTGGATCGCCTGTCTCGCGAGTCAGCAGGTGTGCTTGCTTTTGCTGGCTCAGCAGACGGAAGACAGAAGTGCCATCCAGATCATGCATTTCGGGACACAGCAGTAGAGCAGGGAGGGTCCATTGCGCAGGCCTAAGAGGGGAACAGCGGGGAGAGAGAGATTCGAGCCCCAGCTGTCAAGCTTGGCCCGACACGGCCTGGCTGCTTTAGATTGGGCCATTCAACATCCGCTCCAGCGCGGGTCGCATATACGACGTTACAACACGGCGGGTGCGATTCACTGCTGAGCTAGCTCGCTTGACTTGTGCTCCTTGGCATGTACTCGGTTTATCTTTATTGTTCGAAAATTCGCCGTTCCTAGTAATATAAAATATTGGTTTATACGTGAGGTCTGGACCCTGCTTCTATATAGCCATACATCTTCGTCACATAACCACATGCTAAAATCTTACTACCTCTCGAATTGCAGTAGAGCAACTACAATATTTGCTTTAACGGGTGATTTCCTGAATATCTAGCCAAATCAGGGACCAGGGTGGGTGCGCCCGCACGCGTCCAAGGGTCCCCTAACTAAAGCGCCCGTTACGCTTCGTGACACCCCCAAAATCAAACTGCCTGAACGGTTGTGTCGACTGTTTTCGGCGCATGCGACCTTCATCAGTGGGCGGAGTAAGGAGAATGTTCAAATTTTTGGGTCGAACCCCCCCGCCAACCCCCCCCCCTTTTTGGCCCCAAGTCTTTGGGCGTTGGAAGGGCTAAGAACGCGGGCTGGCTGCTACCTTCCAGAGAGATCGTGCTTGGGGACGTACAGCGGGGACATACGTACAGCCACTCAAAGCTGTCTCAGGACCGCATCCAGCGGCGGAGCAAAATCGAATCGGGCAGTATAGCTCGCACATTGCAAGACATGTCTCACCTTATCTTCTCATTGCTACACGTACCACACATACATATCCTGCTACGCTTCCTCTACACCTAATGTTTCTCCTTTTAGAAATATCTCACACTTCCCTTTCGCGCCTCGAGATGACTTGGTTGCTCATGCGCCCTGCAGCGGCGCATTCAAGAGGGCACTTTCATTGAAGAACCCGTTCAGTTTGCTCCGTGGTTATACCCTGGATGGTGAACGTGGCCGTACGGCTGACAGAAAGCAGTGACAGATTTTCACCACAACAACAGGATAGTAGCCTGGATGAGTCCACCGCGCCCTGCTCGATGTGTCCTGTCGAACAGAATTCAAAAGCAGGGATCGGGGAGACGAGCACGATTGGAGACAAAGACATGGGACAGGAGAGATATGATGGTACATTGCGACGAGTCGCCTCGATTAGCTAGCTTGTGATGGAGAAATAGGCGACGCCGAAACGAGAAACTGGAGGATGGAGCGAAATGAAGGGAAGCGAAGCGAACGAAGTGAGTGGTTAGGAGCTTTCGATCTAGGATCAAGAGCAAGACTATGCGGCTGCTGCATTTGGCTGCCCCGTTGACCTGCGCAAGGAGACGGTTAGCGGGCAGCACACCAGACAAGATCAGAGAAGCGGCCGGGCACCCACTCGATGATCTGCAAGACGTATTGCTTTTCGTCGACGAATTGCTCGTCGTCCTTGTCGTTGTGGAAATTGGAGAGAAACTGCACCAACCGCTCTCGATTGCGCCGGAGGATATTTTCGATGACTGGCGGCTTCTTGGGGTTGGCCACAAAGACCTTGAAGACATGGAAGGCCTCGAATTGGATGTTTTTGCTCTTGTCCTTGAGGAGATTCATCATGTCCTTGAGATTCTCCTCATTGGAAATATACCGTGTCATGACGTTGAAGTTTGTCCGGTCCAACAGAATCTCTCCAAGGAGCTTGAGTGACTGTCGCTTTGTCACGTAATTTGGCGAATGCAGCAGTCCCTTGTACATGGTGAAGAACTGAACATGTCCACGTCAGAGCAAGTTCCTTTTCTGATAATCGAGCAAGAGGCAACGTACCCGATCGTAGTTCTTCTCCAGATACTCTGCAACCATGGGCTTGTGTCGAGTGAGGGTCTCTTTGAAGTTGGCAAAGGCGTCGCAGGAAACACCAAATGTAGTTTTCTCGATGTGGTCGGGGAAGGTGTAGAATCTGAGGGTAGGTCGGGTCAGCTGCGCTCCCCAGGGCGAGAACTTGCAAAAGAGAAAGACGCACTTGTCCGAGTAAAGGAGGGTTTTCGCAAGCACCTCGTGTCTGAGCATCTCTCTCAGGATCATGCCCGTATTGAGCGCCACGTCGGGGTTCTCATACCTTTGGACAAGGGAAAGAGCGTCAGTACCTTCTGACTCTTGCGTCAGTCTGCGCGCGACTAACCCCTTAAGAGCGGTGAAGAGCACATCTGGCTTGGCGGCCAGATGCTCCACAGTGGGCCAGCGTACACCTATCTGCCTTCGCAAGAGGTTATTGAAAATCTGCGAGACGTCCTTTTTGGCCTCAAACTCGAAGCGCCAGATATTGGAGACCAGGAGCTGAAGGACGTCATTATTGTAGACCTCTTGAGCTAGCTGCGCCACCTGATCCGGTTGAGGCTCCGTCTCTGCAATACTGTCAGCCTGCAAGCCCGCCTTCTTGTTCTGGGCGAACGCACCTCCGTCGCCATACAAGATTGCCTTCATCTGAAACAAGTTCTTCGACACTTCCTCGCCAGCCTACAAATGCACACCAGTGAGTCAGCGAGCGAGCAAAGCGGGAAGTGAATCTCAGCACACCTTTCTCTTTCCCTCGCCCAAGGCTCCATCGAGTCTGCTAACGGCCTCCTTGAGGTTCCTGACGAGTTCGGGAGGCGTCCGTTGTTTGGACTTGAAGATAAAGTTCATTGCTTTCGCTTTTGGGCCCGAAATCTTGGCGGTTTATTAACACGGCTATGTAGTTGTGCGGGATTGATGCTCTGCTGTGGTATCGAAAGTCGATGTTGGTCTGATGTCCTCGAGCGGAGTTCCTGCAAGCGAGACCAGATGCAGACGGAGAAAGTGCGAGGAGTTTCAATGCTCGAGAGCAGGTTCGGAGAGCCCCTGGCCGTTTGTTTAGGATGAAGCCCTGGTAGAGGTGTCAAGATCGGCCTTGTATCGGGCCAGCCTGCACAGGAGTGATAAAGAGTCGTCTGAGCCAGCGCACTGACAGGACCGTCGGGCTGGAGGTGTTGCTTGTTTGTTGCGACGGCTGGACCTCAGGCCAGCTCGTGCACAACACGCGCATGCAAGCCCCTGATTATTTGGCTTTTTTTCGGATTTCGGGCTCTGGCGAGGTCTGCGCGCGTGCGCGTGCGCGTGTCTGGCTGCGTGTTCTTCTCCCGCTGTGGTCCCCCCTCCCTCTTTGTTCGCAATCGCTACGTGGGTCTAATGACTACTACTACCCTCAATTAGTACTGTCCCTTAGCTTTCATGCTCTTTCCAAACGCTTCATCCATAGCCCGTGTAACTGACATGTGAAGATGCGCGTCAGCGGCTTGAGCCTCGGGAGTCTCTGATTGCCCCCACCTGGTGTTGCAAGGCTGGCTAGCGCTTCGACCCGGATGGCAGTCCCGCACAAAGCATGCCCGAGGCCGCACGGAGCCCTCAAGGTACAATCTCGGGAGGTACTTTTACCACCCATCATTCTCTCACATATGTGGCGAATCGTACCAATATAATCTCGGAACAAGGTCGTATCGGCTGGTAAGTGATCACTGATGGGCAATAAGTGACCATTGACCGAGCCACAAGACGCCGGGTCTTCTGCGTCAGCGAGGACTTTGACATGGAAGCCGCCGAGCCTTGTCAACAAGAATGAGAAGCACGCAAACAAATATGCCGAAGCTCTTTCCGTCCTGTCTAGCGACGGAAGCTGCTAATCCTTCGCCCGGTAAAATTTTATTGAGAATATAATAGCCTGCATGGAAAGAGCACCGGCCAGCCTAGCCTAATCAAGCACGACGCGGACACTGCACTAGACTGCTGCTCGCTGCACCACACACATAGTTGGTAGTATTTATGCACGGCACTACACTACCACACGGTGAGTATAGCTTCTGTTTAATTGCTACTTGTTTGGGCGGTGCGAACGAGAACGTGCCAAAGGCCTCACGACAGGATGGGTAAGCGACCGGCTAATGTTGCTTGAGCCGAAGCCAAGAGAGCCCAATTCAGGATCCTGAGAGGGATTCATTTGTCCCGAAAGGCTTGCACGGTACACAAAGCCCAAGGAGTCTACATGTTTGAGTACTGCACCCGCAGGGTCTTTGGGATATCCCTCCGTCAAGGAAGAAATGGCAAAAATCAGATGGAATTCTTTGGATTGGCCCGTGCTTGCGCACCGCCTCCTTGCCCCGCGGATACCGAGCCAAGCAAGTTCAGAAGGCAAGGAGACCAAGATACCGAAGCCAGTGCACCGGACCGTCGAAGACCAAGGACCGCATGACGAGATGGGGAGGGCCCATAACAACCCCGACCAGCCCGTCCTTGGTTCTCGACCACAAATAGGTTGGGCCCATACAATAATGTCCGCCAGCTCGGGGAGCGTGACACGACTGCGCACACTTTGTATTTTTCGAGACTGCGCTAGTCCGCCGACTGCATTTCTGCTCAAAGCGGCCTATGCACAAATTCATCAGCGAGGTCCTCTAGCGGGATGCCAAACCCTGGACTATGCATTGATTACTGTTGTATTCAATTTTATATTTTATTAAACGATCGCGAGCAAAGCAAACACTTCAAGCCAGCTTGTCCCGAGATACCCTCAGCGACCGATCTGTACAGCCTGCCCGGCTGTTTTTTGTGTCACCCGTTCTCTTGTCTCATTTTTTTTTTCCTCGCCATCACACCATCACTTCGCTGCTCACGATACGTAACGACCTCGTAACGCCCCTGCCCTTCATTGGGCTCTTCTAACGACCTCGTGAGTTGTCGCTTTCGTGGCTCGGTCTTGGGCTTGTTTTGTCAGATGGGGTTTGGAGGTGCTACCGTGTGGGTTCATGTTATGCGAGGCTGTCGGCCCGCCACGATCCGCCCCGACGAGCTCCGTCGAGATTTTTTTCACACAGTGGCATGCAACAGGGACATCACTTGGTCTTAGGGCGAAAGACACGGGTGAAGAGAGCATGGATGCGTAGCAATGACGGAGAATAGATGCGTGCAGGGGACCCCACCCCCGGCTCATCGTGTTGATTGCAATTTGGCCCACGACACGGTGGTCGGACCGCTTCTGCAGTCATGGTCCTGGATGCAATCGCGTTTGGTGCGCGAAAAACTTCCGCTTGCGCAATGCAGACAAAAACACATGTATGCTTGCGTAACGTTTTGTCTATGATCGACGTCCCATGCACGCCCAGCATTGCATTGCTCTACCAGCGCGCTCTGAATGGGCCTTTGCGTCAACCACCTTCCTGTCACGGTCTCTTCCGCACGTCTCGGAGAACACCTGTATCTGAATTTCAGGCTAATTTGCTACCTCGACACAGCCTAACGACTCAATCTTGACGACCTCACACCGGTTTCACGACGTACTACGACCGTCTAGCAAACCGGCAACGATTAACGACGCTCCACAATATACACAACACTTCACTCTTATAACGTCCCCACCCAGCAACGATTGCCGAGATCAACCAAGCATCGTCCGACGGCGTGCACGAAAGAAACAAAAGACGCTCGCCACTCGATCCGTATCAATCTCACGGCTCGACCCCTTCGTTTTCCCACACGACGGACCGCCGCTGCCCTTTTGCATTAATTTGGACCGTAGAGGTTTCTCTCCGGACCTGACTTCAGAGCCTCATCAGCACTCGTGCAAACTTTCGACTGGCGCTCCGCACCGGTCTTTATCTGCTCCTTGACCAACGAGTATCCTCTCCGCCTCGGTACTTGCAACGGCAACCATGGAGGACTCTTACTTCTCTGCAATTGCGCCTGGCCACGCCACGGCGGGCCATCAACAGGAATATAATCTGCACTCGCCCTCGTTCTTCTCCCCCAACGTCGATCCTTCGAGTGGATTTCCCCTCTGCCATTCCCTTTCTCCCACCACCTCCAACGCGTTCGGCTTTGGCGACCCGACACACCCATTCATCTTCGACCTTGGCGACCACAAGCGTGCCGACAGCGAGCCCAGCTCGTTCGCATTCGATCTCGACGATCAGGACAAGGACGCCACGATTCGCTTGACTCCAAGGCGCAAGCGTCTCCTGCAGCGCATCTCGCGTGTATCTCCTGGTCTCAGCTCAACATCGTCGTCAACGACGACTGCCTCGGAAGCCGGCAGCTCCGACGACGACGGTGAAGAGGTTCACGACAACGAAGACGCCGCTAACGAAGACGTCAGCGGTGACAACGCTGCCAAAGGCAAAGGCGGTATGAACCACGACGTTCTTCACATGAGGCCCAGCCTTCCTTTCCAAGGCGACAACTTCTATCTTCAGCAGCAGCAACAGCAGCAACAGCAAGGCGGCAGGTCCGCTACCGAGTCCTCGCAGGTCAGCGCCGCCCTGTGCAGCTTCGACCTCTCCGACTTTATCTCCGACGGCGACCAAGAGCCAATCAGCGGCAACGGCGACCAGCCGCTGCAGCGCAGTGCGAGCATGGACACGCCTCATGGACGTCTGGCTCCGTCGGTGTTTTCTACGCCTCAAAGGCCCTTGGTGCACCGTGAGATTTCTAGCCTCTCATCAGCCCACAGTTGCTCCACTCCCGGCACGCCCGGTACGCCCATGACGCCGTCGTCCCATCACGGCTCCTTCTTTGAATTTGGACAGGGAACAAATGAGAGCGACATCGACCTCGCTGCCGCCGCAAGGCCCATGACACTGGGCGTGGCCCGCAGCCACAGCTTCGCTGGCAACACGAGCGCATCGGGAGTAACGTCAGCCGCGAACGACCAAGACCCGAACGGTCTCTTCACTGATCGAGCACAGGACCCATCTATGCTCAACATGACAGGACGACCGACGGTACCCATGCGCAGCTTCACCGGCTCCTTCGACACCATGTCGTGCAATCCGGCCTACATCACCCCTGCTCAGCAGCACATTCAACAGCAGCAGCAGCAACAGCAGCAGCAGCAGCAGCACGACCTGCAGAGGAACAGCAGCATGCCAACATCACCGAGCCTCTTGCCTCAGCACCACAGCCACCTGTTCGCCGACCAGCGTCCACAGGTCTTCAACGGGGCAGAAATGTCGCCATACATGTCGAGCGACAGCGTCTTTGGCTCGCCGGCGAGCCTCGCGGGTGAATGGACCAACAACGGTCAGGCCATGATGCCTTCGTATTCCGCCCCTCCGAATAAAGTGACCAACGAATCTGCATCACGCGGTATCAGTGCAAGCGGTGCGCTTCGAGGTGGACGATCCAATGCGGCTGCGGCATCTCACCAGTCATCGCCATACCAGAGCCCGGGCAGTCCCTTGCACCTCGGTAACAGCGGGCTCTCGTCCTCGATGCCCACGCGCCACTTCGACAGCAACCAGGCTATGATGGCTCACCAGGCCATCGCAGGCATCATCACGAAGAGAAGCCGTGGAAGGCGAGTGCCGAACAATCCAGACGAGCTCAACAACCTGGGAAAGAGCGGCAAGGTCTACACTTGCAAGGTAAGAAATCCTAATCAAGACTGGCCTGCGCTGGACAACGACTGACATTTGACGCTCTTTTGACAGGTTCCCGGCTGCGGCAAGTGCTTCAAGCGCAGCGAGCACCTCAAGCGACACGTCCGTAGCATCCACACCGACGAGAAGCCGTTCACGTGCCACTGTGGCAAGAAGTTCTCGAGGCACGACAACCTCAACCAGCACGCCCGTGTTCATGGCCCTGACGGTGGCGTCGGACCTGGCGGTAGCCCATTGATTATGTCGGCCGGTGAATCGTCTCACGAAGGCAGCCTGTCGCCTACGACGTCGTCCATCTCGCTTAGCCAAGCCTTCGCGGGTACGGGCTTTGAGTCTCGTCGAGGTTCGACAGTGTCAACGGCGCACCGCGCTAGCCTCAAAGACGATGACGAGCAGATGGAGGCAACATTTGAAACAGACCATGAAGTGTTTGACTTTGAAGAAGATGTCAAGCCCACAGTTGCACAGTGATCCAACATCTGCCGCAGTCTTTTCCGCCTCGACCTCTCGGCGCAATACACACGCTCGTTTCCGGCTTCTCGTCTCCTCGATCTTCTTCGCTCTTTCTGCTCGCTCGCGGCTTTGATTCTCGCCCTTGTCCTCTTTCGTCGGTTTCCTCGCCTCTCTACGGTTCTCGCGCACGATGGCTCCCACTGCATCGCTGCCTGCGGTCTCGTATGCGCCCTTCTGCGTCTTTCTCGCGGCTCTTTTCTCGACTTTGCTCGTCCACCTTGTGCAAGTCGTTCTCACGGACCTTTTCCTACCACGTCTTACCCTTGCGCCTCTCAAGCGACCGTGAATCTCTCCCCCTCGATATACACCGTAACTCCTCGACTATAATGTTTATACTTTCCCGCCCTGTTTCGTTATACGTACTCTTTCGTCCAGATGGGGTCTGTCCACTGGATGAGCCCTCTTCTTAATCCCCTTTTTGCTTTGGACCTTGACTTAATCAATACCTCTTCTTCTGAATGTTGTGCCTTGTTCTTTAGATGATCTCGAAGTTTCATCTAAGAAGATTAGGACATGGAACGAAGGTGAGAGGGGAGGTGGGACGGGGGATAGAAAGGTAATGAGAGGAAATACACTTCTTAAAACTTGCGGCTCGTCTCAGCCCTCTTGAGGATCTGATCGGCCGTCTCGAGGTACTGAGCCCACCTGCGCTCGAATGCGTCGGTGAGCCTGCGCGCCACGCCCTCGCTCGGTGCGCCCTCGACGTGATCGGCGGCGATGGTGATGCAGACGTTGCCGTTGTAGGAGATGATGCCGATGCCCAGGGTGCCCTTGCCGCCCTGCGGCGGGCTTGCGCTCCACTCTTCGACCTGGGCGTCGGCCAGGGTGATGTGGCCTCCCTGGGGTCCAGGGACGTTTGTGACAATAGCCACCTGCGCCTCGACGGCATAGGCCAGGTAGGCGCGCACAAACGACTGTACAGGTGTCCAGAGGCTTGGGTGGGGGAAAAGGATGGGCGCCTGGCCCGAGATTTGAATGAGGTAGAAGGCAAGACGAGGCAGGATACCGTTTTTGAGAACGCTCAGCTCGCGCGCCGCTTCGTGGAGGCGTCTGTGCATTGCCTTGGCGCCCATGGCCAGGCCTTCGTTTGCGCTCGGGGAGGGGATCCATGCGAGGGACCCAGTGGACCAGTTCTGCATCTGCCAGTTGGCGACGGGTCGGATGCTGATCGGGATCAGCAGGCACAGCGGGTTGGGCAGAATGCGGTTCACGCTGCGTTTGAGCCAGGGCAACAGACCAGGAACGTCCACAGGCTCCTGGTGGTCAATTTCGTCGACCATGACGTCGGCAATGATTGTGCAGAGGACGTCGTTGAGGGTCAGGTGACCCCACCAGCTCTTTGCTTTGCGACCTCCCTGGAGAGCCTCGCGCCAGCCACCTGGCGTAGGTCCGCCAAAGGCCTTTTGCAGCTTCTTGACGTCATCGATAGGGAAGGACTTGCTCGTGGCGAATTCTCTCTTCTTTACACGCTCGCCGACATAGTCAGACGTAAGGTACCGCTGTCGCCAGCTGCTGGTGAGATAGTAGAAGACGAATGAGGCGGCCTGGGAGATGCTGCCGAGGACCTCGAGGAATGTTGATCCAAGCCAGATGGCCCAAAAGAGGGCGAACATGGCGAGCTGCAAGACGAGCAGGTTCTGGTATTTGTCCAAGGGCTTCAGTGCCTTATGCACTTTGGATGGTTGCGCCGTGCCACGCCTGGCTGCCTTTATCGTCTTGCTACCCTCGTTGATCATACGTTCCAGCTCAGGACCGTAGCTGGAGATGAAAAGCTGCGACATGACGAAGCCCTGCCCGTCGGTCAGAGTATGGTGGCCTCTCACAACGATGGCACCGCCTTTCTGGTCGCCATTTTGGTAGTTGTCAAAGTACACAAGCTCCCACAGAGGCTTGGAAAAGTCCCACTCTTGCGCGATGAACTCGGCCGTCTGAGGGGTCCTCTTGTCAGCACACTCAAGCGGACGCTCACCGCATCCTCCTCCGCAGTAAGGAGAGAACTCACAAAGTCATCGAGCTCCTGGCGGCCGGCAGCTCCGGGCAGCTTCTGCTTGCTGAGGTGGCGGTGGACATCCCAGTTTGGGTCATCGACAAACGTGGCTCCGTGCCACCTCCTCCCACGGTTGACGAGGATCTGCTTGTACTTTGGAAAAGCGTCAACCTGGCGCAGCATCGTCTCGTGGATCTTCTTATCATCGATAATGTCAGAGAAGGTCCAGATGGCGGCACAGACGGGATTGAAGCTCGAGATCGACGAGAGGTGGAGCCACATGTGGTCGAGCTGAACATGCGCAGTGTCAGCTGTGTTTCCGTGTTCGTGAGAGGGAGAGGAGTAGCAAAACTCACACCTCCGATGGCATTCTTCCTCAACTCGATCTCCTCCTCAAGATGCTCCTCAACCCACGCTCCGTGCTCGAGAATGGTCCTTGCAATGCTCCCTGCCATACCCGGGCGGTTGCCGAGCTCTTGAAGCTTCTCCTCGATGCTCGAGACGAGCGTGTGCAGCCTAGGGCTGATGAACGTGAGTTGGTCGCGATGACCATTGCCATTTTCGCCAACGTGGGTGTCAGGAGACTCTTTGGCGTGGCCACTGTTGCTGATGGAGCTTAAGCGTGACGAGCGAGAGGGCGTGGTACCAGTGTGGCCGTTGCTCTTACTGCTTGCAGTTTTGCGCTGGACTGCGGTGCCATCAGCGGTCGCAGTGCCGTTGCGATTGCCGGACATTGTAATAGTGCCAGCAAACAAAGGGAAGGTATACGAAGCCTTCTATAAAGGTCAGTAGGAGGATGAAGCGAGCAGAGGTGGGAGGGTGCGAGCACGATTATTGAGACAGCAGCGTCGCAGTTGCACTGAACAAAGCAGCTCGAGAGTGTCTTCGGCGTTCGGCCCTCCTTTTGGGAACAGATCGACCCTATAAATGGTTGTCTTTGCCCGGATGAGAAGAAGCGAGTAAAAGAGGGGCTTTGCAAGGCTTCAGTAAAGAGAGAGGAGACGAGAATGGATCTGGGTGAAAATAGCAAGGACAAGCAGGACCTGCTTTGGGGGGAGCCATTCTGGATTTGTCTGTGCGGGGCGCCGGCGCCCTTCCTTCTTGGATCGACGTGACGACGTCACACACCAAAAATTGAAAACTGTTTTCACAAACTTCCGACATCCGATCTGACAGGCGTTCACCGGCGAGTCGCAGCGAGGCTACGGCCTCACTTCCAAAGCTACCCCACTACGACAATAATAGTACTAATAATAGCATCACTTGCTCTCGCAAGCTGAGAGGAGGACCGCTTCACCTAGATCAAGCTCGTTTCATCTTATTCCGAGTTGAGACTTTTAAAAAAGGTTAGCAGCTGTAAACTTGCACGTCGCGGGTGCCTTCCCAATGATGGCCGTCCAAGCTGGAGTTCGACCCTTCCTTGAGCCTCGGCGAACTTAGGCCATGCTGGTTGCTTTCAATGTTGCGAGCACCGAAAAGCCATTCTCAGCAGGTGATCGGGGTAGCAAAGGCGAAGTTGGCGTGAGGGGACCTGAACATTGACACGGAGTTAAGCGCGAACGGACCACCCGGTCGGTCGTAGTGGATTGCGTGAAGTGGAAGGAGCCCACAAACGCTTGAAGGTGCTTTTTATGCGTCGTCCCTTCTTGCTACCATTGACATCATGGCCGGCCAGAAGATTCTCATTACAGGTGCTTCAGGGTACATCGGTGGCTCACTGATCAGCTTGATCCAGAGCCAGTCCCTTGTGGATGCCTCTCGGATTTATGCGCTGGTACGCAAGGATGAACACGAGGCGGCGGTCCGCAAGCTTGGCCTCCACCCCCTTCGCTTCAACCTAGACGACAAGGCTGAAGTCGAGGAAGCCATTGTGAGAAACGAAAGTGAGCTTGAGTCCGTTCGCGCAAGAGAGCAAGCGGGGTAATTAACATCATGAGATCAAAGTCAGCGTTGTCGTCCACTTCGCCGGCGTTCTTGTCTGGGGTCCTCTGGAAAACTTCCTAGACGCCCTTGTCAAGGTGCACAAAGCTACGGGCCAGACTGTGCATCTGGCCCATACGTCAGGCGCCAAGATCTTTTCCAGCTGGGCCGGCTCGCCCCCTCTTAAAGACGGACAAGGCAACTACGTGCCCATCTTCGACGACGACAAGCTCTATGACCACCAGAAAGGTCAGAAAGCCGTCGACTTCCCACCGAGTCAGGCGGCCGTCGATGTCAACACTCGTTTGCTCGAGAAAGGGGACGAGCTCGGGGTCAAGACCTACGTTATTGCGCCGCCAATCGTCTGTGAGCCCGTCGTCTCTCTTCCTGTCAGGAGAATTGCTGATCATTTTCTTTGTCAGATGGCAAGGGCACCGGGTTCGGAAACAAGATCTCAATCCAGACTGTGGCCATCATTAAGCTAGGAAAGGCTTTGAAGAAAGTGTTCCAGTACAGCGGCGACGACTCCGTGAGTCTCATACACGCCTATGACCTCCTATTGCCAAAGACTAATTAGCGACTTCAGCCGTGGGTCTTTTGTCACATCGAAGACTGTGCCCTTCTCTATGCAAGACTCATCAGCGAGATCGTGGCTGGAAATTCGCCTCCGCACGGAAAGAGAGGCGGATACTACTTTGCCGAAAACGGTAACATCAGGTGGACTGATGCCTACAAGGCCATCGCTCGTCGGATGCACCAAAAAGGCCTCATCGAAACCGATGAAGTAGCTAAGCCCACGAATGACGAGGTTCAGCGTGCCGCCGAAGTCCTCGGCGGTAGCATTCCCTTCCTCAACTTTTCCGTTGCTGGCGAGTACGTAATGATTCTGCGTGGCGTGCAGCATGACCATCTCAACTGAAACTTCTTCTCATTGCGAGCAGATGCTTTATCCGGGGCACAAATGCCAAACAGAACTTGGGATGGAAGCCAACGCACGACCGTGCAGATTTCGTCGCTTCGATGTCCGAAGAGGTCGACTTTGTCACAGAAGAGCTTGGATGACGGCTTTTATGTCATTGCGAGCTGCAGGCCGGGCGAGCGACAGTAGTAGTAGTAGTGTGTGCAGTAGCAGTAGAAGTATTGTGCCCAAAACAGTTTTCCCTTCGGTGGGCAGTGGCCAGCTTATTTTACTGTTGTTGACGGTGAAGCCCTCCGAGCGCAAACATGCCTTCTTGATGCAAGGAAGTTCTTCTGCTCCAAATTTTCCCGCGCTACTTTTTACTTTCGACGATTGAGCCTCACTACTTGATTTTATTCCTGGAGACCGGCATCGACTCGCCCCAGCCAAGCTCGTCGAGTAAAAATGGGTACGGTAAGGAGAGGAGTGCGTTCGGCACATGACGTTCAGAAATATAATGTCTGTCGTCAAGGTATTCCTAGTCCCGGCTGACGTTGCGCGGTGTGATTGAGGTAAAGGGTATGAGCTTTAGAGCAGAAGAACCGCGCGGACACGTCGTCTGACGCGTCCGTCGAAGGAGAAGCCACGGCAAAGCCATCCCTTTTTTTTTTTTCCCTTCCTCTGTTCTTCTGGCTCCGACGTGTGGTGGCTGCGCTCAGGCCTTAAAACTGATTTATTCAGGCACCAGAAGAATGTTGCAGCACCTACGCATCTGGCTGGTACGTGTTTCTGTGTTTCGCCGCTCAGATGGCTTGCTTACCGGTTTGCCCATCCACCGCATCCGGCGACAGGCAGGCGAGTCCGGTTTGTTTTTGGTGTTGCTTTTCTTGAAAAAGTTCCTTCCCCAAGAATAGAAGTACGGATTGTACGGCCCGTCCGATTCTCCGTTCACCGTTTTCCGGACGATTGCATTGTGCACTTCCTCTGTCGTGTCCCTCATCTCTGACAACATCATCACTGCCACCATTCCATCGAGCAAATTCTCCCCTCTCCATCTTCAAAGGAGCTGCTCACCATGTCTGACCACTGGACGCCTGTGTACGACTCGACGTCTTTCGTCCTCTCTGTCTTTTTCCCAAGGTCTCTCCGCCCGGCTTGGTTCACATCCGATGCCTCTTCTCCCATGAGCACCTTCCAGCCGGGCAAAACACCCTTTAGCACGGGTCCCGTTGTCTTCGGCACCATGGCCCTCTACCTCGTCACTGTCCTCGGTGGTAGGGAGCTCATGCAACGGTTCAAGGTTCCCCCTCAGGAGCTCAAGAAGCCCTTCCTTGGTGGGTGTCGCCGTTACAGCTTCCCCATGCGATTCGAGCTGCTGACACAAGCATCGCCACAGTTCACAACATTCTCCTCTCGTCTGCCTCTGGTCTGCTACTTGCAGTGATGCTCGAAGAGATCGTCCCCATCTGGTATCACCACGGCTTCTTTGCTGCCATCTGCGCCCAGTCTTCATGGACCCCACGAATGGAGCAGTTCTACATCCTCAACTACATGTTCAAAGTGGGTGCATGGTTTTGTTTTCCACCTTGTCTGGCCGCATCCGCTGACTGATGGACGCGCAGTTTTGGGAACTCATCGACACCGGGTTCCTCGTCCTGAAGAAGAAGCCCCTTGGTGAGGACATAGATCTCCTCTGATGACTATCGCACACCTGTCTGACTCGGATCACATCCCAGCTTTCTTGCACGTCTACCACCATGCCGCCACGGCTCTTCTGTGCTTCTCTCAGCTGCTCGGAAAGACTCCGGTCAGCTGGGTCGTCATCGTGAGTATCTCCTTGGCATGACATCGGAACAAACATCGAGCTCATCTCTACCTCGCAGACGCTCAACCTTCTCGTCCACGTCGTCATGGTGAGGCACGATCGCACGGTGCTGCTGGATGTCGTCCCCTTACTCACTTCTCGTCTTTCAGTACGCATACTATGCCCTCACCACGCTTCGTATTCCTTGCCCTTGGAAGCGGGCCGTCACCACGATGCAGATTCTCCAATTCATCCTGGATCTTGGGTGCGTTGCATTTTTCTCTGGCAGATGAAAAACGTCGCTAATTGTCTATTTCACAACAACAGTGTTGTCTACTTTGCTTCGTACCACTACTTTGTCTCAGCCTACAAGGTCCCTCTGCCCAACATCGGCGCCTGTGCTGCCGGCAAGGAGCACGCCGTCTTCTCTGGATGTGCCATCCTCACCTCGTACCTCTTCCTCTTCATCGGTGAGTAGTGCGCCCTCCTCGGCTTTGAAAGCACCTGCTCAACGAAATTTTCTCTTGCAGCCTTCTACCGTCGTACCTACAGCAAGTCCAAGGGCGCCGTCAACCGCGGCGTGTCCCGACAGTCGAACAACGGCAGCCGTGTGCTGTCAGAGAAGGCTGCTCCTTCTGGCAACTCTACTGCGCTCTCGGCTTTCCAGGCCGGCGACGCTAAGTACAAGCCCTCGACGCCTCAGCTGGAGCACGCTCCCCTATAGGCTTGCTTAGGGAAAGCCTTAGAAATCGGTGCGGGACCATTGGCGCTCCCGCGTCGCCGGCCTCTCGCCTCTCTTCTAAACACTGGCGTGTTGGCCGCCATTTGTCGTAGACTTTAATCATTTGTTGAGACTACCTTAGCAAGCAGAACGCTGTAATTACCATAATGAAGCTCCGCTGGTCGAGCAATAATCACTCAACAGACCTTTAAGAGGATCGTGAAGGGTGAAGAATCTTTCAGCAAGTCGTTCAGCCTGCACACGTGCATGACAGGCGATCTGCAGAAGAACAAGAAAATAAATTGAGACTCTCACGACTGACTCTCTTTTTTAGTGGAGTCGTCGTTCTTCCGAAAGTTTCGGCGTGACTCTTTCGTCTTCCAACACAACGAACGCAACCAGACATACCACCTAGTTCGCCAGTCATGAGCCAGGCGGTCCCTTTCAAAGATGCGCTCAATGAGCTCGACGATCGTCGTATCAAGAACATCCGTCCATGTGAGCAAGTTCTGAGTCTCGGTTCGACGAAGTTTTCCCTTTTAGTTGACACGATCCCAACCTAGTGATCCCGCCGCAGATTCTCGTTGAAGAGTATCCGCTGACGCTGACGGCGGCCAACACAATTATCTCTGGACGCAAGCAGACTGAAGCGATCGTAAAGGGCGAGGATGACCGGCTTGTCGTTGTCGTGGGCCCCTGCTCGGTTCACGACGTTCGAGCTGGGCTCGAGTACGCACAGAGGCTCCGCAGGTACGCCGATGCGGCCAAGGAGGACCTGCACATTGTCATGCGGTGAGTTGCGCTCTCTCTTTCTCTCCTTTGTGCGTCCACATGTCTTGACTCACTGTTCTCCACAGCGTTTACTTTGAGAAGCCAAGGACTACGGTTGGATGGAAGGGACTGATCAACGGTGAGTTGAATCGCTGTGCAAAAGTGCTAAAATCTGACTGCTCTTCCCAGACCCCAACCTCGATGGTTCCTTCCAGATCAACAAAGGTCTCCGCTTGGCTCGTGGTCTCCTCCTCGAGGTTGCAAACATGGGCCTGCCCGCCGGAACAGAGTTCCTCGACACGATCAGCCCCCAGTACACGGCTGATCTCATCAGCTGGGGCGCGATTGGCGCAAGAAGTGAGTGGCGGTCTGAATTTATCATTTGAACAAGAAAGCTGAGCCTGGGCGTGCGTAACAGCGACCGAGTCGCAGGTTCATCGCGAGCTGACTTCGGGTCTGTCGATGGCCGTCGGCTTCAAGAATGGCACCGACGGCTCCATCTCCATTGCCGTCGACGCCATCAAGTCTGCCTCTTCATCGCACCACTTCCTCTCCGTCACCAAGCAGGGTATTTCTGCTATTGTTGAGACGGCCGGCAACGATGCATGCCACGTCATTCTGCGAGGCGCCAATTCGGGCCCCAACTACAGCCGCGAGCACGTCGAAAAGGTGTCGGCGGACCTCCAGAAGGCCAAGCTGCCCGAGAGAATCATGATCGACTGCTCGCACGGCAACAGTGAAAAGAAGCACGAGAACCAGATGAAGGTCGTCGACTCGCTCGTTGAGCAAATCGGAAGCGGAAGGCCAGAAGCGTCGAACATTGTCGGCTGCATGATCGAGAGTAACCTCGTTGAAGGTGGGCATTTCCCAGCGAAGACGGTCTGGTCTCCTCTTGAAATCTGACATATTCTTTGCAACTTGACTTCTTTAGGTAAACAGTCGATTCCTGCCGATGGTCCTTCGGGTCTGACGAGGGGACAGAGCATCACTGATGCCTGTATCGCCTGGGAGACGACCGTCGTGGCCCTCGACAAGCTCCGCGGAGCCGTGCAAGCTCGGCGAGCGAAGAAAAATGCCGGTTCGAACGTGGCGCCAACGTCGCCCCAGGCTTATGTCAATGGCCTCAATGGACCTGCAGGCATTAACGACGAGCTCCTCAAGCGAAAGCAGCAGGAGTCTGCAAAGGGTTTCAACGACGATGTCCTTGCCAGCCTGGGCAAAGGCACTTCTCTGTGATCTTGAATTCCCCTCCTCTCGAACACGCAAAATGATAATCTGTCAGAGCATGTTGCTTCTGCCTCCGTTTCAATCGTTGGTGTAAAAAGACAATGAGATGCTGCTTGCCGTTGTGTGCTATTACATATGAGTCCCCCCTCAGCTCTTCAGCTGTCGATCAGGTAGCGTTTCTGGAAGAAGCTCCGGAGGTGCGTGACCTGCCAGATACCAAGCGCAACCAGACCAAAGAGGGTGACCCAGGCAAAGTTTTCGACTCGCTGGTTTGTGGACTCTGTGTGAGAGCGCAAAGGGTCGGACGGAAAAGGTCAGGAACAATAGAGGAAAAGAGAATGAAAGTGGACCCACCATTGGTGCCCCGCATCTTTTCCTCGCGCTTCTTGAGGTAGTCCATCTCGTTTACGATCTCACCCGCGACGGCCTCGAGCTTCCTCATCTCCGTTTCAAGGCCCGAAAGCGACTCTTGATTGGCGATGGCGTTGTAGTCGACGGCGTCGGCACCAATGTCGACGTCCAGGTCGACGGTGAGGACATGGCTCTTGGCGCTGCCTTTAATGTCGATGGCAACACCTGCTGTCAGCTTTTCTCTGATTCAAGGGTGGTGGGGTGGACTAGAAAGAGTGGCCTTACCTTTTCTCACGAGTGTGTTCTTGAGGCACACGCCCAGGTCTGCGTGGCTGTGTGTGTTGATGGCCATTCTGGTCTCCTGCCGAATGTTGCGCTTGGAGAGGTAGATGTTGTTGTGCTTGCTGCCATCGACGACGTCGACATCGAGCCGCTGGTCATTGGCGTCTCCAGAGACGAGTTGCGAGTTGATGGTGACAATGACGAGCGTGTCGGCGAGGGCGTAGTTCCAGATGCACTTGGTCGTGGGGTACGTGTCTGCTTCAAGGTCGAACTTGATGCCGTGCACTGGCGAGGTCACGCAGGCGCAGAGGACGAGGTAGAAAAGAGAAGTGAGCGTAAAGAGGCTGGCCCCCTTGGCAACGGCACCATGCCGCCCCTGTCTCGTTGCCGGTCGTGGCCTCCCGCCTCTTAGTTGGTGCGTCCGTGATGCCCTCGCAGCCATCGCAGAAAATGAACTAGATGTAGTCCTCAAAAAGGGAGGAAAGCGCCTTGGTTCTTCTCGTTGGCGACTTTAACGCTTTAAGTCTGCCACGCGAGCGAGGCGTCTTCCTTTAGAGGCGCGTCTGTCCATCACTGGCTTGTTCACCATCCGTCACTGCCTACGTCCAGAAATCAACTCGTACCACGGGAGAGCCCAAGGCAAGGCAGGGCAAGCAGCAGTCGTGCCGGACGCACACGAAGGGGTTCTGCCAAAGGGAGTTGCGCGAGGCCAGCTTCCTTTGCCATGTCCGAACTGTCTGCCTTTGTCAATCGTGAGTTCAGCATTGAAGCTTCTTCTTCTTTTCTTCACTACTGCAGCACTAATGCCTGAAAGATTCGGCCCTCCAATAGAGCAGGTACTTGCTGTGACACAGGATGGTCGGGTGATCACGGGCACTCTCGCAGGGTCTGACAACCTGGGCAGCGTCATTCTGGCCGGCTGCGTGGAGCGCGTATACAGCACCGATGCGGGCGTAGAAGAGGTCCCCCTCGGCCTCTACATCATTCGTGGAGATAGCTTGTGAGTTTCTGATGTGCAAATGGACGTCTATTATATGAGCGCGCGAGGGCTCATGTTGATTTGGAACAGATCCCTCATTGGTCAACTGGACGTTGAAAAGGACAAGGCTACGGACCTGGCGTCAATACGAGTCGAGCCGATACCGGAGACTCGCCACATCTAAGCGAGACAGAAGGGAGGGAGTGCCTAGCATTAGAGGAAAAAAGGGGGGGGGGGGCAAGGAGGAAGAGTTGTGCCAGAAAGGAGGATCGGCAACCTCTTGGCCCCCGAGCTGTTCGCAGAAGCGCCTTGTAAAAGTACGTCCATGCCAAAAATCCATACATTGGGTCATCTTTGCTTCCGCCAGTCCTCCGGGCTGCCCTTTCGAACGCTGCAACCACCGCAGCCGCTGGCCTTTGGCTTGCTTTTGATTCATATGTGACCAAATACAGAGATGAATCTACAAGGTATATCTGAAGTCCTTGTTCTCGCAGTCGGTGACGTCTAGCAGCGTCGAGGCCGCTGCACTTTCCTGCGACGGTCTCCCATCTTCTCCCTTTTCGGACGGCTCTTCTGGTCTCAAATCAGGCTGGGATGACACGCTGTCTTTGTCGGCAAACCAACCACCGCCTCTCCTCCGATTCTCCCAGGCCATGACTGCAGAAAGCATCAGTGCAAGGCCGATTGTGGCACACATGACCCCCACGACCGTCTTGAACGTCGTTGGGTAGTGGTCTTTGGCCTCGGAAGGGACGAGGATGTAGCTAGAAGCAATCTGATCGGAAAAGATGAATAAGCGCTCAGAAGGGGATGCCCGCCGATTGCTCAACTGAAGCAAACTCACGTTGCCGCAATTGTAGCCAACGAAGATCGAAGCGCTGGCAATGGCCTGCTTCGTGCTGCCGGCGATGTTTGCCGTGCACATGCCCAAAAGCAGCACAAAAGGTGCACCAAAGATGGGAATGAGGTAATACCCAGCCAGAGGAATACCTTTGTTGGACCAGTCGCCCTTCCAGCACATGAGCGCACCCACAATGGGCGGCAGGCAGCTGGCGATCAGGAGTAACGTACGGGCAAATGGCACGGTCGCTGCGAAGCCCAGCCGCTTCGATGTGGCCAGGAGTGTGACGACGTAGATAGACACAGCCGTAGTAGCACCACCGGGAGTGAGGAGCAGAGTAGCACGGGTCGAAGTGAACCCAATTGCCTTGACGAGAATCGGTCCAAAGACGGTCACGGCTCCGTTTGTGACGTAGATGGCTGTCGCCATGAGGAAGAAGAGGTAGATCTTAGGATCCAGAGCGGCTTCCTTCGCTTGGGACCAATTCCAAGCCATGGCAGCCGCAGAGGATGGCGTACCCGTCAGGTTACCTCGGACCTTGGCGTCGATGCCTTGCCGATCTGCAAGCGTGAGACGATTGTAGCACGGGATTGCCAGCAGCGGGAGTCGGAGCGGCGAGGGCGGTAGTAAAAGAAGAACCAGAAAGCCAAAGGCCACGGTGATTGATCCTGGAACGAGGAAGATGAGCTTCCACGGAGCCAGGGTCGTCTTTGCATTGCCGAGCCTCGAGTTGACCAGGCTCGAAAAGATGGAGAAGAGGCCGGTGGCAGAGTACCAGATGCCTAGTCGTATTGGCTGCTCGCGCCTCGTGTACCACATCCTCGTCACGGCGACAAAGCCAGGCGAGACGCTCGACTCGACAAAGCTGTTGTATATCACAAGCATGAGTCGTCTTTATCCATTCGCTTCCTGTAGTCATCGAGTCAGCTTACCCAAGAAAGAAGCGCTGGGCGTACAAGCCTCTCCAGTCAGCTACCAGGGGCGTGAGCATAACGATGGCTCCCCAGAGGACGATTGCGAGGCCCAAAAAGATGTTGAGTCGACGTTGCCATCGCTGGACAAGAAAAGCCATGGGGAATGCACCGGCCAGGTAGCCATAATAGAAAAAGGCATTAGACTGGCCGTATCTGTTGCCGATCAATTGTAGGTCCTCTCGGATCCCAAAGATGCTTGCAGAGCCAAGTACCGCCTTATCGTAGTACTGCAGTCCAAAGGCGATGGTCAAGAGCGGCATGAGGATCAGATCGGTGCGCAGCAGCACCCGTGGTGAGCTGTCCATCTTAGTGGTGGCGGCGACGAGGACGGGAAGCCTGGCCCTCGCTCGCTACCTTGGCAGTCGAACCCTTCGCAATCACTCCGACGTTCTTCCAAAATCTGGTCTCCGAACGCACGTGACCCGGCCTCAACAAGCTCTGCAACTCATTGACAGGCCCTGGCCATGGCTCTGGCCCTTGGAACCAAGGCCAACAAAGTGGGCGCTGCGTGGACTCTTGCGCAGAGACGAACTTCCTGTCCCCAGGGCTGCGTTGAGGCAAAAATATATATAAGGAAGACATGGAGAGCTATGTGCGACAACGTGGCCAAGGTGTAGGGCATTGGTACACCTGTGCTTGAAAGATGAGCCAATCGTCCCGAATATCCCGTTCAGAAGCTAAGGGACACGGACCGTTCGCAATAGCCAAATTGACTAGTTACTTTCTCCTAACGCCCTAGCACTCGCGTGTTGGATTCTCAAAGCCGTCGCCAATATTAGAGAAACCCTATCCCAATCTTCCCCTCTCTTCCTCTCCCTCTACATCTCTCACTCTCGCACGCGCGTCGCTTTGTCCTCCCTGGGACGACAGAGGAGACAGACAGGCGGCTTCAGCGGAGTGGCAGACAGACGGCTGTATTAGGTGAGAGAGCACCATCGGAACGTTCGACCGACCCTGTTGGAAACGGGGACGGCAAAGCGCGCCATTTACGCTTCACATTCGCATCTTCACGAGGCACCTCGTCAGAGGCAAGTGTCTGGACATTTTTGAAGGCCAGGAGCGATACATGCCTCGTCTTGGTGCATAGTTGGCGAGCTGCTGGCCGATCCAAGGGCAGACTCTCCCGCCCACGTCCTTACGATTGATTCGACTGACGTGGCAGGCGCTGATCGACTTGGCGTCGTCTAGGGGAGGCATTGCGCTCTCGGGTTGAGGCATCGTATTCATGGCCCCAGCTTCTTCGTCTTCTTCCTCCTCATCTCACGGTGAGTGGAAAGCAATATGACAAGGACGAAAGTGGACAGTCCATCTCACCAAAGTGCAACACATCGTCCAGGCCAAATATACACGGCAGCCAATGAGAACAGAGGCGAGAAGCCGTCGCTACTCGCCATACCCAATACCAAACAAACGACCCCTCAAAGATCGAGAGGAGCCGTAGTTGGAAGCCTTTCGCAGCGAAAGCCCAACCTTCACCTCAATTTTAACTTGGGCCACGATTCGCCCCAGCCTCGATCTCACTTTTCAGCCTTCAGCTCAAACGACAACACGCCGGCCAGCGAGACTCGACACGGACCCATGTATGGTCCCGGCAGCAGTCACAAAATCTCGATGGCTAGCCAGTCCGGTGCCGATCCGTCGGAACGGGGTGGCACCACCTCTTCTGCAGGGTCGCCAATCAACGAGAGGAGTGCAGGTAGTGTCATGGGCCTAGGAATCGGTGTCAGCTTTCCGTCACAGAGGGCACTCAATGACCTTTCTGGGCTAACGGACCTTGAAGGCTCCCCTACAACTGCGCCGAGCACCGACACGTCGACTTCTGCCTCTGCTTCCTTGTCTTCCTTTCCCATGCCCCCACCTCTTCGTTTCGATCCTGCAGCAGCTCAAGCAGTCGCCCCTTCACCTCGTGCGTCCACCAGGATACCCAAGGATGGCTCAACAATACCACAGACCCCAGATCGATCGCAGCAAACGGTCAGCGCGACGGACAAGTCCCGAAGTAGAACAAGCACGCGCGAGACTATCACTGCCGCCACGCCTGCTCAATCACCTTATCATCAGCAATTTGACTATGACAGATCCGGACAAATTGGAATCGGAGAGCTGTCAACGCCCCGCTGGACCACCATGTCGAGCGGCCAATGGAAAGGTCGCTCGCGCTACGCTGGCGACGGTGACGCTCAGGACACGCTCCCCAGCCTGTCTTCGCAGCAGTCTCTTGCGTGGGACCACAGTGGCGGTGCTTCACCGGGTGGTGCACGATCAAAGCAAGCTGCTCGGGCACCGTTGCTCTATGAGCACCGACAGGAGGCGAGCGATGAAGGAACGAGTCAAAAGCGGGCCGAGGCGTCGCGACACTCGCGAGCGATCTCCTATCTGGCCACGGTGCCCCCCAATGAGCTTCAGCACCCAACGAATGACGGTCTTCGTGATGAGTATGACAATGCTGGGGCCCCACACATGATCGCCTCTCCCTCGATGCCCGCCTACGTACCAGCACTTGGTGGTGTCTCATCACTTGCCTCGTTGACTAGGACCTTCCCGAACACAGCCTTCGACAAAAGTGGAACATCTGCTGAACGACCGCGAGACATCAGCCCAGACTTCTCCATCAATGCCATGAGCGAATCCGAACTAGGAGAAGACGACGACGAAGGGAATGCCAAGTCGGCCTTGGGTGCGAAACTCGTCGCTTCCAAGCCGTCCTCTGCTGCGCCCCGATGGTCGTCCTCTGAGGCTATCAACAAGCCCTCGCCACGAATTGGCGACACAGTCTGGTCCGAGGAAGAGACAGGGCCGTTTGCAGTCGGTGAGGGTGCCGGCCAGCGGAGTATGGCACCACCGGTGGCGAACCACCGACTCGGCTCTGATCAGGTTGTGGGCGCCCTCCAAAAGCACCTCGGTGGCGATGGGGATTGGAAGAACGGCAGCTTTGATCTAAATGCAGCGATCGCCGACCTGCTTCAGGAAGACAGAGCCAAGAGACAAGCTCGTGCCGCTGCTGGGCTCGATGAGCAAGATACCGACTCCATGGTGTCGCCCCGGGGCAGCCTGGACGAGGCTCCACTGTCCAAGCGTGCGTCGATCCAGCGGGCTGTCCAGGTCTCGGCAAGGTCCTCATCCCGCGATGCTGCTGCAGGTGCCAGTAACAGGGTCAGCTCTGGCGTCAAGGCAACAACTGAAACGCCTAGAGAATCAAGACATGTGCGAAGAGTCAGTTCTCCAGCAGCGACGATATCGTCATCGACCAAAGCTTCGCCCAGTGCCACCATGGCTCGCTTGCCCTCCTCAGCTTCGACCCAACACGTCTCTGCCTCATCGTCCACCCCGCAGGGGTCTGTCGCCCAGTCGCGATCTGCGAAGCGTTCGTCTTCGGCCAGCATTGGTCATTCACTCCTACGCGGTTCAATACCGTTTGGATCTGCAGAAGAATACGAGGGCATCCTGACTGGCGAGGACGGAGCTGCAGAGGCACTGCGTAAGCTCGACGGCCTCTCTTCGACGCCCAGGACTAGCAGAGATACACCGTACAGGGAGAAGGAGCCAAGCAAGAGCCCAAGATCAAGCAGGCAACTGTCGAGACCGGCAAGCGCGACGAGGGCAAGCAGGCAATCGTCACCGGCCAACAGGTTGCGGTCAAGCACAGCTCACGATGCATCCCTCAATTCGTCGACGGGCAGAGCAAGGGAAGATTCTGTGGGGAGCACTGGGACAAGCTCGACGCGAGCTAGCCGTGCTGGACGGTCTAAAGCTCTTCAAGGCGAAGACGATGGCGCTGGCGCTGGTTCAGCTGTAGCTGGCGGCGCAGTATCCTCCAACGACAGCCCTCGTCGCACGTCTTTGTCGAGTCCCCGCACTCGCAGAGCCCCGCTGCCGCCGATGCCAACCCAGCCTCCGCTGTACAATCGAGGCCCAGGCGCTCTCGTTGGTCCGGCTACACCTCCTATCAGCAGTATCGGCCTTGGCATCGATGGCGCACAAGCCGTCTCTTCGGTGGCACCAATGGGCAAGCGTGCATCCGCGGCTTCCATCGCGTCTAGGGAGTCGGCGACAAATGCGCAAAGGTCGTCGGTCAGCCGAGCCAACAAACCAAACGCGGTTGAGGGTCAAGGCCTTGAGAGCGATCATCTCGAGGAAAGTGATCTTCGATCGCCCCGTGTCTCGGCAAGCTCCTCGAGCGGCACCTTCGCAAATGTCGGCGCGTCCATCGGAAGCCCAACCCCTGCGAGCGGTAACGCCAGCAGTAACGGGCTTTTCGTGCCACCAGTGCCGCCATTGCCCAAGGCATGGGAGTCAAGCAGGGCAGGAAGCCTGTATTCAACGGAGGAAAGGAGTAGCAAGGAAGGCATCTCGAGTGCGGCAGAGGGTATCACCTTGCCGCCGGTGCACTCGAGTGTGGTGTCGCCGACTGCCCAAGGGCTGGACGAAGCATCGTCCCCGTCAAAGACGACGTCTCCCACCGCAACGTCCTCGACTTCAGGGGCCAGCAAGAGGATCAGTCGCAAATGGAGTTTTCCCAACATCAGTAGTGCTTTGACGAGAAGTCCTTCTACGGCGGGCAAGGAGCAAGTTGTGACGCACAAGCAGAGGCAGAGTCTCGTAGGTGCTGCTCACGCTTCCACAGGTGGTAACGCGTCGGACGCCACGACGCCCAACAAGAAACGCTCGACGATTGGTGGGACGCAGCGGCGACCATCTAGTAAAGGCGATGTTGGCAGCAGGACAACATCACAGCAGCAGCAGCAGCAGCAGCAAAGGGCGAGTCAGATCGTGGGCACACGAAACCTTACGATCGAAACCGACATTGGCAATTCGCATGCGTCGCCTCGCACGAGTAAGTCTGCTGCACCACTGTCTGCAACTGCAAGTCGGCAACCTCTGCCGCCTTCCGATGGTGCAGTGGCGCCGACTCCGGCCACTGTAGAGGCGACGACCAACACCAATCGTCCTAGCGCCCCACCAAGTCCTCGAGCGAGGAGAACACCTTCTTTCTTTCGCAAGCGTTCCACCGAGACGGATGTGTCGAGCCCTTCAATTGCCCAGCACCAAAGCTTCTCCCTTGACAAAGCTTCGCTACAAAGCCAGGAGAGCCTCGAAAAGGCAGAGGCAGTGGCCTCGCCCTCGGGTCGCAGCTCGCGAAAGGCGTCAATCATGGGCTTCAGTGGTCTCTTGAGGAGCGCCTCAAGAAAGGCATCTCATGGTCTCTCGTCGCAAACGTCAGCGCCCGCTTCTTCGGACAGCTTTGCGGCTCATGTTGCAGGGAACTTGGTGATCCCGACGACCACCGAGTCTGAAGACAGCGCCAGAGTTTCGCCAAAGGACAAGATCTCGTCGCCAAAGGTGTTCAGTAACATGCGGAGGTCGAGCCTTATTGGAAGAAAGCGTGGCAAGACCCTTCCGTCCTCCAACGAACCACCAAAAGTCGAAGTAGCGCAGTTGCCTCCGCTTCAAGTTGCTCCTTTGCCGGAATCGCGAAAGCGTCAGCCATCATCGTCAGCCGACACGTCGGTTGCCAAACAGCCGTCGTACTCGTCGGCCGCCGTGGAGACACCGGCTCTAAGAAGGCTCAATAATTCAAATTCGATGGGCGACCTGTCGAGCTCGCAAGGCAATCACCGTGCCAGCGAGTACAGATCAGACAAGGCGCCGACGCTCCCTGTCATTGACGCTTCGCCTTCGACGATTCTTTCATCGAGCGACTTCAATATCGACGACCTTGGCGGTGATGCAGACTCTTCGGTCGCACCACCCTCGCCGACCAAAAACACGCCCATCAGCCGCATCCCGCGAGCTACGTCGATTCGCAGCAGCACCACGTCAAGCTCTCTGGCCAGTGCAAGTAGAGGTACGGTTCACACAAGAAAGACGAGCCTGTCAACGAGCAAGACGAATGCATCGCTTGCCTCCAATTTTGGCATCATGGCCGGCGATCAGCAGGAAGCCTCCAAGGGCGAAGGCGTCAAGGCGACTCGGCGACAGTCAGTGGTCCACTCTGACACGGAGACAGTCAACGAGCATGGTGCCAGGCCACCGATGACACCTACGTCGTCGGTGTCTGGCGGCTCGTTGACGCTTGTCTCAATTCTCAATGCCTACGCTGCGGCCAAGACGCCCGCAGAAGTCGAGGTGGTGCTTCGCAGAGCTCGATTGGCGTCGTATTCTTCAGCTCTTTCAGCAAGCGACAAGGAAGTTCTTAACGGGCTTGTATCACGTCAAGAGCAGCGTATGGCTGTTGCTGCGGCTACCACCGCTACAACATCGACCTTGCCATCAACGCCTTCGACCTCTGGACTCTCTTCTTCCACCAGAAACAAAACTGCGCTACTCTCAAGCAGCTCTGCATCTGTCAAGCCGTCGACAAGGACCTCGAGCAACTTGACGACCAAAGACATCGTCCCTGCTTCGGCCACGTCTACGACATCAACGGCCTCTTCGACCGCACGTCGCGCACGTGCCTCAATGACAGCCACGTCCACTTCCGCACGCACGGCTAGGGACCAAGCGCTCTCGAGCTCATTGACCTCCAGCCGTACGCCTTCATTCGTGACCAGGAGCTCGCACCAGTCGAATGCCGCGACCGTCCCTTCTGGTGCACGTGAAAGCCCCGCCCTTTCCGACATTACCGCTCGCTCGACGAGCAGCAGGGCCAGCGCTGCTGTTGCAACGGGCAATGCAGACACACCACCAACAGTCGACGAGGACGAGAGGGACGGCGATGAGGAGATGGAGGCATACATCCGAAGACGCCACAACCGCAAGCTTGCACAGGGCGCCAGGCTGAGCGACCTGGAGAAGATGCTCGAATTCCCAGACGACGAGCCACCCGCAAAGGCGTACTCGCCTCGACAGGCAGAGGCTCTGTGGGGCGACCGCCTCTGTGACTATGAGCTGCAGGAGATGCGCGACTACAAGGAGATTTACTTTGCTGGCACTGCATCTGCAAAGAAGAAGAATGCTACCATGGACAGCGACTCGTCTGCGAACAACTACGGCTACGATGACGAGCGCGGCGACTATCTAGTCGTGGATCATGATCACCTGGCGTACCGGTACGAGGTCATGAGCCTCCTTGGTCGAGGGTCCTTCGGCCAAGTGCTTCAGTGCCGGGATCACAAGACGGGTAAGGCGGTGGCCATCAAGCTGATTCGAAACAAGAAGCGGTTCCACCACCAGGCACTCGTCGAGGTCAAGATTCTTGAGAACCTTACAAAGTGGGATCCAAATGAGGAGTTCAACGTCATCAAGATGACCGAGTCATTTTATTTCCGCAACCACTTGTGCATCGCAATGGAGCTCCTCAGCATCAACCTCTACGAGCTCATCAAGGCCAACAACTTTGCCGGTTTCTCAACCCGCCTCATCCGCCGTTTCGCGACGCAAACACTCCTGTCTCTCAGCCTCATGCGCCATCATCGTGTCGTACATTGCGATCTCAAGCCCGAGAACATTCTCTTGAGGCATCCTCGGAAAAGCGCCATTAAGGTCATCGACTTTGGTTCCAGCTGCTTTGAGCACGAAAAGGGTGAGTCTATCAGAAGGGCTTTTCAGCTTCAGATTCTAATCTTTTGCCACCCTCTTGCAGTCTACACCTATATCCAGAGTCGCTTCTACCGCTCCCCCGAAGTTATTCTAGGTATGAACTATCACACGGCGATCGACATCTGGAGTCTAGGCTGTATTCTCGCCGAGCTCTACTCCGGTTATCCTCTCTTCCCCGGAGAGAACGAGCAGGAGCAGCTGGCGTGTATCATGGAGATCCTCGGTATTCCAGACCGGTATCTCATCGAGAGAAGCTCACGCAAAAAGCTTTTCTTCGACTCGACGGGTGCGCCCAGACCTGTGGTTAACAGCAAAGGGAAGCGCAGACGTCCGGCTACAAGGTCATTGGGCTCGGCGCTTAATTGTAACGATGACCTGTTCCTCGACTTCTTGCAGAAGTGTCTGCATTGGGATCCAGAAAGAAGGTCAGCATGCGAGATTTCTCAAGTTGCATCGTTGACGGCACTAACCGCACCACTGTCTTCTTTGTTTGCAGAATCAAGCCAGACCCGGCTCTCCGCCACCCCTGGATCAAACGACACACGGTCAACCATGAAGTCATGCAAGCAAGCCTTGGTCGCTCGCTCGCAAACTCCTTCAACGGCGCCACAGCTTCTACATCTTCGTCCTCGGCTGTTCGTAAGCCGACCAGCACATCATCGCAGGGACCAAAGGTGTCGACCAAGTACGTTTCTGGCCACCCATCGTCATTGACGGGCTCCACCATGTCGTCCTCCTCGTCCGCTGGTGGCCCAAAGACGTCTGCAAGTGCTTACGTGACGCCTGCGAGAAGCGAGCGGAGGACGTCAATGAACAGTAGCAACAATCCTACGAGCCCGCTGCGGAGGACTCGGCAACAGCAGCAACAGACAGTGTCTTGATTCTCTTGATTCTCGCACTTCCTTTCACTTTTTCTCACATTTTCCACTCTTCTCACAAAATGATACCAATTGACTCAACGTACACCCAACAAATGTCGTCACGCCGCAAAAAGGGGTTTTCGCCAAGTCTTTCAACATCACGACCACCACAGAGACAATGTCTACTTTTATCTCATCTCTAGTCACATACCTTATCATTCTATCGCTTCTACCTCTGTCATCTCCCTCCCTCTCTCTTTCAGTCGATGCATGGTCGAAACCTCCTTGTCTCTATTCATCCCAATTGAATCTGTTCTTCGTGCGGCACCTGAACGAGACTTTGTCCTTCGCCTTTCATCAGTATCCAGACACAGTTTCTTTTCAATTGGTAGAATGATATTGTACAAAAGGGGGGAGTAGGTTCAGGACATTGTCAATTCCATTGGAGCGGTTCCTGCACCAGCCGCCGTCGTCGCCGACACGTCAGCCGAGCCGTTGGCAGGAATTCCATCGACGTAGTCTTCCTCCTGGAGATACTCCTTCCCGTACTGAGCCAGAAATTGTGTGCTTCTCTTTTCATCGACAAAAAGGCCATAGCACCGACGGACATCCTGCACATCGATCGAGTCGGCCTTTCTCCTCCTTGCAGCCAAGCTCGATGTCGTAATGAGCTGCAGCGCGTATCTCAGCGACGTCTCCCCACCGATACGTGTCAGCACCTCGAGGGCCGCCTCGTCAATCGTCACGTCCTCTTCCTGCGCTCGGAGTTGAAGAATGGCGCGGATGTCTGTAAGCTCATACGGTTTCGTCTGAACGATCAGGACGCGGTCCAGCAGGTCGATTGGCATGCCGTGGGGGCTCTTGTAGCGGGTGCCGCGGATCCGCGTCATTCCTCGGTTGCTCGCCATGATGACGAGCGGCGCCAGCTCCGTCTCAAGAGCCCGATTGATGAAGCTAAAGCACTCAACATCGAGCATATGGACCTCGTCGATGAAGAGCACGCCAGGTACAATATCGGCCTTGCCCTCCTCGCGCCATTCGCCGACTTTGGCGTTAATCTGGTCACGAAGCTCGGGCTTGATCTCACCAGTGTCACCGGCGAAAAGAGCCAAGAAGCCTTGCGTCCGGCTATTGATGACGTCGATCTCGTGGAGAGAGACCATGTGCGTAACCTCTTTCCGGCGCTGAAGCTCTCCCTCTGGGCACTGGACAAAACGCGTATCGCTGCCCATGGCGTCGTAGTCCCTTGCGCGGGTGAAGCTCCTTCCCAATTTCGAGATTCGGCCCGAAGATTTGTCGATGCTCACAACATCGCCCGCTGAGATTTTTTCGCGAGAGAGACTGTCGATCATCTTGTTTCCCAGGTCATAGATGGTCTCCATGTCCGTTGTCTTGACAGTCAATTTCCCGGTCTTGGTGGCCCCTGTGAGGCTTCGGTCAATTTGTACCTCGACGACCTCTCCCTCGACGACCTCCTTTTCCTCTTTGATGCGGACACCGATACTCCGACGGAAAGCCTGAGTCAAGGCCTCTGTCTTTGACATCTCAAGACTGAAGACCTCCGAGGAAGAGAGCATCGTAAAGGGCACGTCCGGCCCCAGGGCTTGGGCCATGCCCATGGCGATGGCCGTCTTGCCCGTGCTGGGTGGACCAGCGATGAGAATAGCCCTTCCTGCAATCTTGCCCTCCTGAACCATCTTGACGATGACACCTGCAGCCTTTCGTGCTGAGGTCTGTCCCACCATGCCCTGCGATGTGTGTCGGGGATTGAGCGACTCGTCAAGGCCAAGGCCTTTGACGTGCGAGTGCGAGCCGATGCGCTCGAGCATCTGGATCGTCTTGGACGTCTCTTTTGCCGTCGTCGAGATGCTGGCCTGTCAATTTATCTTGGTAAGCAATGTATGTGTGAGCGGCTCTCGAATCTTCACTCACCATCTTCAAAGATCTATCGTCGTTTATGGTTGATGGATGCGATGTCCAAGAAGAAAGTTGCGCATCAAGAGCCACCACAAGCCACGTGTCCTTTTTTCTTTTTTCTTATGAAGCTCTCTCCACTGCTTTAGTCCGACGTTCTTCTTGCCGCTTTCAGGACGAGCACGGTTTCTTACATCGACATCTCGGCTTGCCTTTGGAAGATGCTGTTACCGATTGGCCGGCGCTCGCTTGGGCGAACGTCGGTTATTTCAACAAAATGTACGGCGCTACAGCAGGGCACGCTCCGAAGAGCGCAGTCGAGCTTTGGTGCAGGGAGGAGACTGTCGCCGCTACCTCAGCAGCAGGGCATTCGTATTGGGGAGGCAAGAGGTGAAGTGGACGTGGGAGATGCTCGAAGCACAGGAGGGAATGTCAAGCCCGTGAAAGGACCCGAGAGTGGGCGTACGGCATTTGCAGGTCTGCGAGAAGATGCGATGCGGTCGAAGGCGTCATCTGGACAAGGCGAGAGGCGAAGGGCTTCGGCGTCCCAAGATTCCTCGTCTTTCACCCGACTGCGGAGTGGGAACGACCAAGGAAGACGGGCAGCAGAGATCGGTTCCATCCCTGCTGAGACCAGACCGAGGGAGCCAGGAGCCTTCGCAAGGCTGCGAGGCGAGGCACAGCAGCCCAAGGAAGGACACCCCATTTCGCAACCCAGATCCTCGAATCGTTGGTCTCCTCCTGCCTCTCAAGATCCATCATTCTCGTCTACGCTTAAAAGCGACACTCCAGCAGATGCATCAACATCGTGGAACGAGCAGCGGCAACAGCAACAACCCTCACCGAGACGAGCGAAAGACTGGACAGCACTCCGTTCGATCATTGAGAAGGGCCAACAGGAAGAAGAGGCCGTCAGGGTAGCGCAACAACAGCGAATGAACCAAGGAAAGGGGCGAGAGGAGAACAAAGAGCGTGTTCAAGAGGCAACACAACTGGTCAAAGGCCTGAGCAGGACGTCCGAGGAGAAATCTCCTCCTATCGAACAGCTCTATTCGGCGCCCGTCGACGGCAATTTCGCTCTAGTCGATAACAAGCATGCCACCCTCTCGGAATGGTCGCATTTCGTCGACGCCAAGCAGCCAGAGCGAGAGCTCCTTGCCCGGCGTTATAGCTTGAAGACGCCCCAATTGGCCAACCAATTCGCCATGCTCTTTCACACGACCGAGATTCTCACAAGAGCCGACTTTCCGTCCTTCGTGGGCATCTTCGATCAAGGCGGGGCTTATGCGGTCCAGGTCGAGCTGGGTGGTTCTAAAACCGTCACCACTGCATCAATCTTCTTCGCCAAGCAATGCGATGGCCTCTACAACCACGTTGACCGGCGGCATCAGAACGAAAATCAGGAGGTATACAAGGAAGCCATGGCAAACGATGTCGCTGGCCAGAGTGCTGAGAGAGAACACAACATCAAGCCTGCCAACGCCTCGAATGCGCTTTTTGCCCCGGCAAGTTCTCCTTCCAAGGTGACCCCCTCTTCAAAGCTGAATGCGGCAGACTTCGAGGACCTCCTTTTGCGGCCCGATGACAGCTCGCGTGAGGCAGATGTCGACGACAAGGTGGGCCGCGTCTTGGATGGTTCTGCCGTCCAGTCGGGTTCTCCCGATGCGGACCATGCCCGTATCGACGACGTCGTACCCGTCGCCATTGATGGCGATCAGGTCGAGCTACACGGAGAGGGTCAAGGTGGAACGGAAATGGCCAAGTTGAGGCACGAGGCCAACCTTGACGATGCTACGGTCGATGGAAGGGTCGGCTCGGTCCTCCAAGGAACAGCGGCCGTGTCCAATTCGAGTGTCGAGGACGAGGCGCGAATTGATGATGTAGTGCCGGTTGCCGTCGAGGGCCAGCAGGTTACGAACGACGCGGCAGGACAGGGCGTTGGAGCAGCGGCGGAGCAGAGGCAGCATCCGGAGGCTGGATCCTCGTCTCCGGAAGACAAAATTGGATCAGTCCTTGATGGGACATCGGCCCAGTCTGGTTCGCCCGATGAGGACAAGGCTAGAATCGATGATGTGGTGCCCGTTGAGGTGGACGGTACGCAGGTTCCCCAAAAGTCAGAGGGGTCAGGCGCACACGAAATGGCCGAAGCGAGGGAGAAGGGATTCCAGTCAACATGACTTGTTGTAAAGCCATCGCTCCATGTACCTTTGCCGTCAATGAAAAACATCTTTGGTCGCTGCTATTTGTTTGCCTGAGGAGCTAGCTCTGACCTTGTCTCCCAAGCATGGGTGTATATGGAAAGAGCGCCAGGAAGAAGAAAGCAGACCCGAAGACGCGTCGTATTTTTTGTCATTTGCATCCATCCATCTACACAAACTCTTGACGCCTCTGCGACGATTGCGAAGGTGACGACGACGACGGTGTTTCGTTGAAAAGAAGGAGAAGGAGTATGGATGGGCAATTCCGGCCTCCGGCAGGAAGGCCGTACCCGGGCGCGCAGCCGCAGCAGTCGCCAGGCTATCCTTATGCGTCGCCTGGGGCCCCGTTTCCCTGGTCAACACCAGGAGGAGGTGGGGGAGGGGGACCACGGCCACCGCCCTCGACAGCCGCAAGTACACCCTACACGCCTGCATCGTCCTTTGCGCAGACGACGCGTGGCCAGAACAGAGCCTCGCCTCAGACGCCCTCTCAGGACCAACCAGTGCTGCCCCATCTTCACCCGGCCTACAGTGGTCGAGGGAGGCCGCCCCTTGCCCTAGGAAGGAGGCCTCCCGGTGTGGCTGCCATCCCCAGACGGCAGGTACTGGCTCAGCAGGCGCTCGCTTCGGGAGGTTCATCCCCGGATCCTAAGGCGTCCGCTCGTCTCTACCCAAGTAGCTACCAAAAGACGCGGCAACAGCAGGCGACGCAGCAGCAGAGACAGCAGCTACTCCAGCTGCAGCACCAGCAGCAGAAGCGGCAACACTTGGTGCGGGAACAAAGGCCTAAAAAGGTCCTCGATGGGCGAGAAGATCTCTATCTCGACACTCTCGGACCGACAAACCGCCTGCTTCTCTCCTTGAAGAGCGGACTTCCGTCGCATGTAACTTGGGCGTTGACTAGGCTGATCAACGCCTCCTACAACCACCTCGATCACCTTTTCCTCGATGCTCTGCCTGGCCTCGTTGACGCTCTGCTGTCCTTCCCCCGCAAGCTCGTCTCTGCCGTTCGAGGCGAGGAGCCAGAAAGGTGGGAGCCGAGCTACTGGGAGCAAGAGGAGCGCGACTGGGACGGCATGGGAAGGGCAGCATGGGAGGATGAATACGATGGCGAAGAGGACGATGAAGAGGAGGAAGGTCAGACACCTCGGACGAAGGCGCTGCCTGCAGCGCGTTTCTCGCCCTCGTCAATCCAATCGCACGCTCGCCTGCTCCAAAATGCCATCTCGGCCATGCTCATTCTACGCAATACAGCACTGCTGGAAAAGAATGAGCGTACAATCGTCCACCACGGCCGAGCCATCAATTCCCTGGTCTGCGACCTTCTGTCTCTTCCCAATGTCTTTCCGAGGGATCAAGGCATAGACTCTGCATTCAAGGAGATCGAGGGAATCGATGAGCTGCGAGTATATGCGCTCGACCTCCTCGAGACGACGCGGCACAAGCTTCATATACGCAAGCGTGCTACAATCGCCTTTGATGTGCACGGGATCCCGACTTCGGCGCCAGACTATGCAGAAGCAGGCAAGCTGGCCAGCAACGATCTCGAGGCGGCTGGCGACGCAGGCGCCAGTGTCGAGGACCGCGCAAAAGCTGCACGGAGGGCTGGGGCTGGCGTTGCAGACTCCATTTTGAATCTGCTCGTGTACCATCTTCACGCCACCAACGACCGCTCCATCTTGATGGGCGCGCTACGTTGCCTCAGCGCTTTGGCGAGCGAAGAGAGGCACGAGTCCTTCTTCGTCGAAGTCGATGTCCCCACGGCCGACGGCAGCAGCTCAATTTCCTCGCCCGGTATCCTTCGCAAATGTCTGACATTGCTACCTCTCACATCCGACTCTCCTCTACTGGAGGCAGCTCTCGATTGCCTCTATCAGATCGTCAACATTGGCAATAACGTCCTTCGCATCGGAGTATCTCGCTACACCGACGACGTTGAGGACGCGTCCGCCAATTCTGCTGCCGTCGTAGGTGCGCCCAAGCCCTTGGGTGTCGGCACAGGACGGAGAGAACGCATTCTCTCCCAAGGCGATGCGTCTTCTTCCTCCTCCTCACCCGATCTCGGCAGCTCCCAGGCTCATGGCAGCAGACTCAATGCCGGTGCCGGCGACGCCAGGGGCGTGATTCGGCTCCTGGCCCGAAATCTCATCTACAATCGCGTCGTATGGGACCGCACGCACCAGCTCTCGCTGCACCCTTTACTCCACAGCGGAATCCCAGGTGCTGTCGGAGCACGGCGCCGCGAGAAAGAGGAGCTTCAGAAGCGGAGGATTGGCGGCGACCTCGAGAGAGCAAAGCTCCGCAGGCTACAACGCAACGAGTGGGACGAAGTCAAGGACATGGCTGAGCCTGACCGGTTGCGCGCCTGGATGAAGCTCATCTATGAAGCCAAGGACGGCGGCGAAGTCACTCAAATGGACTTCTGGTCCACTTATCGAGACCAGTTTGCACCGTATTCAGAGCTTGGCGGGCCTCCTCTCCAGCCGGCGGCCGAGGTCATCCGGACCGTGTCGGCCGTCTTCCCAGGCGCTGTTGCTATGGTCGTTCCTCCGTCGCGCTTCATCATAAAGGGTGTCGAGACCAAGGACCGCTCTCACCTTCGCAAGCATGAATGCAGATGGCACGGCTGCCTTGCACCGGATGTCGAATCAAGATCGTTGCTGATCTCGCACATCAAGGCTCACTGTATAATTGCCCCATCAGGAAAGTGTAACTGGTGGCATTGCACCTACAGCTTGCCCAAGGACGTGCCGGAAGAGAAGGCGGGCGACTTTCTCTTTCGACATGCGCTCACACACCTGCCAGAGGACGACGAGGTGGTCAAGAAGAAGGAAGCCGAGGTACAGGCCAAGGCCAGAGAGGAGGCAGCAAAGGTCTTTCAGGACGAGTCAAAGCGAGTACTGCTCCATCCTGTCGCATTGGATTCACAACAAGGAGGAGGAGGGAAAGCCAGGATTCTCGCTGGACCAGAGGGTCTCAAGAAGCGCCTTCGTAACGATCTACCAGAGCTCGAGAGCAGCATCAAGAAGCGTGCGGCCATCTTGCCCCGTGGCACCGTCGATTCACCGGACATCCTCGTCTTTTCAGTCACACGGACCCCAATGGACCCCGAGACGGGCAAGCCGACGGGCATTTCAAACACGTCGTGTCTCATTCTGAGGAGCCTGGCGCGCACGACGGCCACTATCATTCACCGTGCAGGCCTGCGCGAAAGGAGAGTGGAGCCTGATGCTGGTAGCGGTGGTGTACGGCGATTCCATCCTGATGAGAGATTTGGTCTACCTCTGCCATCGGACGGTGGTTTCGCTGTCGCGGGCGTTGCGGATGTAGAAGTGGATGGTGTGGGAAGTGGTGGTGGTGGAGGAGGAGGAGGAGGAGGAGGAGCGGGCGACAATGGCGGCATTGGCCCCGCTGAAGGATGGATGCTCACGGCTGCATCGAGGCTGATGGATGCCTTGATTGACGTGGAAGACGAGATGATGGCTGTCTCGAGCGAAAACGACATTCTCTGTCCCATCATCAACGACATACTGGCAGAGATAAAGAGGAACCCTGTCGAAAGCATCGTGACGGAGTGGGCCCCTGATGAGGAGGGGCACGAAGAGGGGAAAGGATATGAAGCTTCGCCATTGCCTTAGTTGACAATGTAAAAGAACCGTTATCAATGAAAGAGAATAGTGATAGATGCGATCATTGAGGCCCTGTCAGCCTCTGCCTGTTCTGCGAGAGTCGGCTGCCTTGTAGGAAGAAATTTGTACTCAGCCTTTGTCATTGGTGCCATAAATATGTGCTCAGGGACGGCTGTCCGCCCGAAGGGAGTCGAAGTGGCCCACGCTGAGTAGTAAGCAATTCCGCCCGCGCGCCTCCAGCACACGCACGTAATGGCCACGCGAGCGGACGCACATACAAGACTTTTTTGGCCTTCACGGCCTCGTCGGTTGCGCTGCTGCTCCTTTTGCACTCTTTATCATCAAGGCCCGGACAAAGGGAGAAGTTGTCCATCGAAGGGGCTTTCACCTCCGCCGTAGTCAAAGAAGGTCGGATGGCGCCCTGAGCACACTTGCCTCTCCCTAAACCGACAGCATCATTGCTCCGAGCGGATACATCGGCTTTTCGTCCGGGTACCACTCACCCCCACCCCCAACTCCACCACCCCTTTCCCCCTTTCCTCTGGTGTGCCACGCTGACTCACCTCGCGGCCACTCGTCACCGATCTCCTACGACCTGGTGGCTCTTTGAGGAAGGGGGTGTGGAAGACAATCTGAAAGCACAGCCCTTTCGAATCAACATTCAGCATCGCACACGGCTGAGGACCTTTCTCAGAGAGGTTTAGAGGGACGCTCACCAGAAGACGAGGTGAGTTGAACGATAGGCTCAACAAAGTATAAAGCATTAAGGTGCAACAGCTACGATTCGTACCAAACGAGAGCTTGGCATCGTTTCATTTATCCTAAAGAGTGCCGTGTAAAGGACAATTCGCTGACAAAGGTATCTCCTCTTCCCTTCCTGCCCGACTCCTCTTCGCACGCCACCATAATCGATTTTCTAGACAGATTCTGCAGAGAGCTGGAGGCTCGGCTGTCGTCAGTGCGCGCCTGCTCTGGGTGAGACTCTCCTCATCTCCAAGCGCGAGACCAGCATTCGACGACGAAATCTCGACCCCGTCTAATGGAGGACCGTCCCCGTGCCTCTAGAACTCGCGCTTCCAGACACAATTCCGGTCCACCTGCTGTCGACTTATCTTCTTCAAGCTTTATCCGCAGCACCAACGACAAAGAGCAACCCAGCACATCATCGCCGCCTCAACAGACAGCTGCTTCATCCTCCACTTCTTCCAAGCCAGCCAGAAGGAATCGTCAATTGAACACTGCTCAGCAGGCAAGTCGAGCTGACTCGCTCGCATCGACGAGATCACGACGGTCTACTGCTTCTTCTCGTCTCAGCGACGCTAGCTCAATTCTCGACTTGAGTCAACGAGGAGGCTCGCCACTGTCGGCGCCCGCTACACCTGCCACCTCGGTCTCGACAGCCACCAACGTGTCCGCTTCAGCCAAGACGAACAAAAGGGCGCTCGAGCAGGACCCCGACGAGGGCCTGTCCGGTTCCTCGTCCACTTCTTCTCCGACGGCGACCACATCGACTCGCCAATCTCGAAGCACCAAGACGGCAAAGACTAGCGGCAGCTCTTCGAAGGGCAAGGGTAAAGAGAGGGAGACGGAGGTTTCGACCGACAACAGAGGGTGAGCTTGCCTCTTTCTTTTAACCTGGTGTCGCTCTTGTGTCTTGTTCTAATTATTTCGATGTCACTTGCGCCAGATCGCCTGTGAGCCCTACGAAAGGGACGAAAGGTTCAGCGACCAAGGGCAAGGGAAAGAAGAGAAAGAAGGCAACCGCCATCTCTTCCGACGAAGAAGAGCAAGCCAAGTCTTCGACCAGCAGCGCAGCTCTCCCTCTCCACAAGAAGGCAAAGAGCAAAAGAGCTTCCGGCGAGAAGGGCGACCACAAACTCCTTTCGAGCTCGAAGGACAGGGCTAAAGCTGTCGATAAGATGACGTCAAAGAAAAATCCTACTTCTCCTACCATCGCCTCGGGCGGTTCCGCCAAGACTCGAGGAGGTCCGATGCGTAGGGCTTCCAAGGGTCGAGCCTCGGCAGCGGCAAGTGCAAGCAGCCGGTTCGCAGCAGAACCTTCGACTTCGTCGTGCAGTGTTCCAGAAGACATGGACTTGGACCAAGATGTTTCGCCGGTGTCGGCGCAAGTGGACGAGGAGGAGCGCAAAGGGAGCAAGGGAAGTAGCAGCGATCGAGGGGGCATGACACAAGCCGGATCAATCGTTGACGGCCGTGACGGTGGAGAGTCATCGAGCGAGATGGGAGATGAGGGGCTCGATGACGATGAGGAAGACCAAGTGGACATGGAGCGAGCCGAAGGCGGAGAAGGCGGTGACGAAGAGGAGGAGGAGGATGGCAACGATGATGAGGATCGTGATGAGGAAGATGACGATGATGAAGACGAGGAGGACGTAGATGAGGCGCACTACGACGATGATGCCGACGATGGCTACGGCGACGGCGAAGACCAGATGGGCGAGTTTGGTCTCAATCTCCGTGCCATGGCCGGCTACATGTCTGGTCTCTCTGGTCGGTTTCGAACTCTGCTTGCCTCACTTCGCAATCGCAAGGATCCCTCGACGCAACTCGTCGCTTTGCAAGAGCTCTCGGAGCTCCTCAGCATCAGCAACGAAGACATGCTTGCGGGCTACTTTCCAACCGAATCTTACGTTTCAGAGCTCATCTATTTGATGGGTGGGCCCAAGCCGCCAGCTGACGGTTCCAGCGAGAAGGGAGAAAGCAAGGACGAAGACGACGATGAGAATGCGATTGCCATTGCTGCAGCTGCTGCAGGACTTGATGACGGTGGAGAAATGAAGCTCCTCGCATGTCGTTGCCTCGCCAATCTCATCGAAGCAATGCCCTACGCAGCTCACAGCGTCGTCATTCACGGCGCAGTTCCCGTTCTGAACTCCAAGCTGATGGAGATCGAATTCATCGACTTGGCGGAGCAGGTACTCCAGGTATGTGATCTGATCTCGTAAGAGCTCTGCTAGCAGCCACTAAAATCTTTCTTGCACGCCATAGACACTTGAGAAGATTTCCATCGAGTACCCAAGCGCCATTGTCCGCGAGGACGGGGGCATCATGCCCATGCTTCAATACCTCGACTTTTTCAACATCCACGTCCAGCGTACGGCCATGACTGCGGCAGCCAACTGCTGCCGAAAGCTCTCGCCCGAGTCCTTTGGCAAGATCAAAGACGCCATGCCCACTATACAGAATGTGCTCTCCTACAGTGACCAGCGCCTCGTCGAGTCGGCTTGCCGTTGCATTGTCCGGACCGTGGACAGCTACCGCGTCCATGCCGAGCTCTTGGAGCAGCTCCTGACCCACGAACTCATCGGCGCCGTCAATGCCATCCTGCTGCCCTCCAACAACACGGGCTCAACTTCATCCGGTGGCTCGAGCACTAGCGTAAACACGACCACCTACACCGAAGTCCTCAAAGCCCTTGGGATGGCTGCTCGCATCAGTCCCACGGTGGCCGTTACGCTGCTCGATAACAATGTCGTCGAAACACTCTACCACTTGCTCACCGGATCGCCTGCCCCGGCAGAAGACGGTAGTGGTGGACGCGGACCGGCGTCGCTCCAGAGGATTCTCTCATCGGCAACTGAGGCAGAGGCTGCTTCTGACGCAGGTGCAATCGCCATTGTAGCCAGCGACGGAGCTGAGAATGTGGGCATGGCAGACGTTGCTGTGCTTCAAAACCTTGCCAATCGACCCAAGGAGCAGGTTCAAGAAGCGCTGTCGCTTGTCGCCGAACTGCTCCCACCGTTGCCCAAGGACGGTATCTTCGATCCTCGCATGTACACGGAGAAAGCATACGGCAAGAGGAGGTTGAAGATGGCCAAGGCGAAGATAAAGCAGGCTCGCGAGATGTCAAACGCCAAGAGAGGAGAGAACAAGGATCCGTCGTTGGACAGCAAGAACAGCAGCAGCACCGAGGACCTTGACCAACAAGCTGCTGCCCCAGCAGGAACGCTATCCACTACTGGCGCAGTAGACAGTGTCAGCGCACACAATGCTACCAACCCCTCCACGTCCAAACCTGGAAAAGCCAAATCTGAGCGCGACATGGCGAAAGAGCGTGCTCAAGTCAAGCGCATCGACACTCTCAGGGATCGACAGGAGCTTGTCAAGCGCTTTACACAGCTTGTTTTGCCCACCCTCGTCGAAGTGTACGCTGCCAGCGTGTTCCAACACGTCCGTAGCAAGGCTCTTTTTGGTATCCTCAAGATCGTCAGCTTCGTGGAGCCCGGGCCGTTGGGTGAAGTTCTCGACAACGTGCCTCTGGCCAGCTTTGTTGCGGCCGTTCTGTCGACACGCGATCATCCTTCGCTGGTCCAAGGAGCCTTGCAGCTTGTCGAGCTCTTGACGACGAAAATGCCGAGCGTGTACAGTGCACTGCTGAGGCGAGAGGGGGTCATGTGGGAAATTGAAGACATTGCGTCCAAGGAGCCGACCAACAAAGCGCTTGCAACACCGTCTAAATCTTCAGAAAAGGCAAAGGCAGTAGTTCCTTTGGTGCTGCCAGGTGCCTCTTCGTCTACTCCGTCCGCAGCCGATTCCGTCACCCCATCAGTAGGCAACCCTGCGCCGGTGAGCGGTGAAAATTCTGCAACCCTGGAGATCAGCGGTGATGCATCAAAGGGCGGATCCAGCCTGAGTAGGCTCCTTTCGTCGACTGCCTCGACCTATCCCTCTTCGATGGCAGCTAGCACCCTCGGAACGCTACCCGGCGCCACCAATCTTCCGCGAACATTGGTGCCCGGCACGATGGTTCACAGCATCACAGGGCATACGATGACAATGACCGAGGCCGAAGATGCGAACATCTGGCGAGCTCGAGTCCTTCGCGAAATTTACTCTCCCAAGGCATCTCGGACCAGCTCCGGCGGCGCAGAGGCGGCAGGAAGGGCTCTCGACAACATCAGAACCCTTGTGGTGGGCCTGCATGGGGCCGACGAGCAGGATGCAACCGTGGTGCAAGGAACGCTGGAGAACATTGCCGAGCTGTTCTGCAAGCCCGAGGATCCCATCTCGAGCTTTGAGCTACTCCGATCTGGTCTCGTCGAGGGCCTCTACTCGTTTGCCGTTGGCGACTCAGAGTCACTGCCCAGACAGACCAGGAGGCGACTTCTCACGCGAGCCCTCATGACTCATCAGAACGACGTCGGCTCCTCGGCAGCCAGCGGTCTGGTTCGACGACTCCAAGAGACGCTGAGCAGGCTCGAGAATGTCGAGATCACGACGGCGATCAACAGTGGGCCAGAGGAGAGCAAGAGAAGCCCGACTGCCAATGTGGCTCGTCAACTTCGACTGAAGCTCATTGCAGAAGACGGTGATTCAGGCGAGATCCCCAAGAGTTGCGCCAATCTGGTTGTCACCATCCACGCCATTGCCTCGTTCCAATCGCTGAGCGACTATCTGCGCCCCAAAATCATCGCTTCTCAGGCTGCTGGTCCCGGTGCTGGCTCGTCCGGTTCGACTTCATCGCGACTCTCTGGCGTCTTGGCAGCATTTGCGTCGAGCGCTGGACTGGAACTGCCGCCTTCCCTGGCTGCCGCTGCCGCTGCCGCTGGAGATCGAACTTCGTTCACGTCAACTGGTTCCCAGGGCACTGCCAACAACGCAACTTCTGCATCGTCTTCGGATCCAACGCCAAGAGAGGCAAATGAGAAGCCTGCCCGGCGTCGAAGCTCGAGACTGAGCTCCAAGGGTTCGAAGAGTAGCGGTGGCGATGGTGATGGTGATGGAGAAGCAAAGGTCGACGACAAGAGCAAAGAGTCGCTCGCATCTTCATCGAGCCAAGGTGCGGCAGGCACTTCGTCTGACCCTGATGCAAGGGCAATCGCTGGCTTGGACCCTGGGCAAGCACAGCCTGAGGACGGTTCAGATGAGGCCCTCACGAGAAGGCTCGTCGAGGATCTGTTGCAGGGTGAGATGGAAGGCCTCGGCGACGATGGTCCCTTTACCGATGACGAGTACGACGAAGAGGAGATCGTCGGAGACGCCCACATGCCAGGTCTCGAATCGGGAGACATCAGCGGCGCTTCGGAAGACAAGACCATCAACCTCCGTGTTGCTCAAGACGGGCTGAAGGTCGAGGCGAAGACGCCCGATGGAACGCGCGTGGCAACACCATCAAATGATCCGCTCGCCAACATCTCAAAATCTGCGCCTGTACCGTCCTCGTCTTCCTCTTCGTTGGCCGGAGCTGCTGCTGGTACTCCTGGGGGTGTGACGGCGGGACCTTCTTCTTCGGCAGCGCCAGGCGGATCAACACCGACGAAGGCTTCGTACTCATCGGCTCTGCAGAAGCGACCTACGGACTGGCACTTAGAGTTTGAGATGGACGGAAAGCCCATCTCGCTGGAATCCACCATCTACAGCGCTGTCCATCACTTCGAGACCAGCCCAGAGCGTCGGCAGCAGGCGGGTGGAGCCCAACGCTACATCTGGTCCAACACGTATTCGGTAAAATTCCGAAAAGTGCCAGGTCCTGTTCCTTCCCAGCGTTCGAGAGGTGAGATCCGAACACTGATTTACTAGTAAGAAGTTGCGGGTGCTGACTCTGTGAAAAAGCCGATGGCGCCACGCCAGAGCCGATGGAGCAGGAGGCGGCCGGGATTGTGGAGCTGCCGCCTTCGGTGGGCGTCGATGCGCCTTATGCGAGGATCCTGCAGCTCCTTCGCGTGCTTCACGATCTCAACGCAGAATGGCGCGAATTGAGCCGAATCGATGTGTCGGCGGCGGCAGCGTCCAAAGCTCTCGTTGAGACGGCCTTCGTCAACAACAAGCTGACCGCCAAGCTGAGTCGACAGCTCGAGGAGCCCATGATCGTTGCAAGCTCATGCATGCCAGCTTGGTCGCTCGACTTCCCGCGCTACTTTGCCTTCCTTTTTCCCTTCGAGACGCGATACGCCTTTTTGCAGAGCACGTCGTTTGGCTACCACCGCCTCATCAACCGGTGGCAGAATATGCAGACGCGCGAGCAGGGTAGTTCGTCGACTTCACGTCACGACGACTCGCTCTCGTTGTTGGGCAGGCTGACAAGGCGAAAGGTCCGCATCTCGCGCTCGAACATTCTTGCCTCGGCCTTCAAGGTATTTGAGCTCTACGGCACCAACTCATCCCTGCTCGAGGTCGAGTACTTTGAAGAGGTCGGCACCGGTCTCGGCCCTACTTTAGAGTTCTATGCCTTGGTCAGCAAGGAATTTGCCAGAAGGGATTTGGGTCTATGGCGCGACGATGACTCCACCCATGCAGTCGATCCGGCGACGACGCGGATGAAAGATGACCAAGAGGTCGACGTCGCACACAAGTACGTTCTGGCCCCTCGCGGCCTCTTCCCCGCGCCGACTTCGCCAAAGGACGTCGAAAAGCCGCTGGGCAAGTCGCGCACTGCAGCCTTCCGCGTCTTGGGCCAATTTGCTGCCAAGGCCCTCTTTGACTCACGCATCATCGATGTCAACTTCAATCCGACCTTTATGCGACTCATCCTCAACCACCGCGTCGCGGAGACGATCACGATGCTAGCCGCCGTGGACCCTGAATTGGCAAACGCACTCCAAAAGCTTGGTCATATGGAGTCCGCCGAACTCGAGAACATGGGTCTTGACTTTACCTTACCCGGCCACGCCGATTATGAGCTCGTGGAAGGTGGCAAAGAGAAGGCCGTGACGGTCGAAAACCTGAACGAGTATGTCTCCGAGGTGATTGCACACACGCTGCGAAAGGGTGTCAAGGCCTACGTACGCGCCTTCCGCGAAGGTTTCGATACAATCTTCCCTCTTTCGAGCATGTCAAGCTTCACGCCCGACGAGCTCGTCATGCTCTTTGGCAACACAGACGAAGATTGGAGCGAGGCAACCCTGCTGAGCAGCGTGAAGCCCGATCACGGCTACAATGCTGACAGCGTCTCGTTCCGCGATGTGATCCACATCATGGCGACATTCTCGATCGAGGAGCGCCGCGAGTTCCTCCAGTGGCTCACAGGCTCTCCCAAGTTGCCCATCGGCGGTTTCGCGGGTCTGCGTCCACAATTGACGATCGTCAAACGCCCGCCGGAAGCAAACACGCCTCCCGACCAGACGCTCCCCTCGGTTATGACGTGTGTCAACTTCTGCAAGCTGCCCCAATTCTCGACGCGCGAAGTCATGCGCCAGCGACTCCTGTTGGCCATGCGCGAGGGGCAAGCGAGCTTCCACCTGTCTTGAAGAAACATAGTTATGCATGTAATTGACTCTACCTACATCCTTCATTCCATTCTCTCTCCCCTCTCACACACATCTGTCTTTCTCTTTCGTGTCATCTTTTTCTCCATTCTCCAACATTGTAGCCAGCAGGAGTCGTCAGCGGAGGAGGGTAGGCGAGGAGGCTCATGAGGAAGTCGCTGTGAAGTGAAATCAATTCCAATCTCTCTATCTGATCAGCGGAGAACCCTATCATCCTTCCTATCAACGATCCACTGATCGAGAGCGATCTCGGAACACCAACACGAAAGAAAAAAAAAGAAATGGAGGCGCGTCCACTCTACGCACGCACGCGCTCAGTCACCTGCCTGGAGGGAGAAAGGCGCGTGTAGGTAATGAGATTTTCGTCGCGTCTGCCTCGAGACGCGCTCTTTCTTCCCTACCGCTTCGACCTACATAAAGGGCGCCTACCTCCGTCCCATCCACTCTCTCTCACCACCCACGTCGGCCTATCCACTTTCCTTTACCTCTTTTCTTTCACCAGCTGCAAAGCCAGCAACTGCAAGCAACTCATCTACACGGCAGCAACAGTAACAGCAACAACAACAGCTGCAGCCTTACATCCGTCGCCACCACCATCCAAGCCCTAGTCTCTGCACCGTCGTCATCACCATGTCCGCAGTCTCGGCCAACAACCTCACTACGCCTTCCAAGAAGGTCGCAGCCCAGCTCGAGAAGGTCGACATGAACAAGACACCCTCCAAGCCATCGGTTGGGGGTGACTTTGACGACTCGACGTTCCTCTCCAGCAACAAGCAGGCTGCCAAGAAGGCCATCGTCGATGCTGCTTCCACCAACAGCAACAAGGTTGAAGAGGCACTTCCCGTCGACAGCAGCCCAGACGACGTGTACGGCAAGTTTGTCGGTGATGTCGACCTGCCCGAGGAGGAGGAGCCGCTGCTCATCGAGAACAGCCGTCGCTTCGTCCTCTTCCCCATCCGCTACAACGAGGTTGGTTGCACGATGCGTCTCTGCTCTATTCTTGTGTGCTAGCTCGCTGACATCATCACCATCAGATTTGGCAAATGTACAAGAAGGCCGAGGCCTCCTTCTGGACGGCCGAGGAGATCGACCTGTCCAAAGACTTGCATGACTGGGACAACAAGCTCAATGACAACGAGCGTCACTTCATCTCTCACGTCCTCGCCTTCTTTGCCGCCTCGGACGGCATCGTCAACGAGAACCTCGTCGAGCGCTTCAGCAACGAGGTCCAGGCCGCCGAGGCCAGGTGCTTCTACGGCTTCCAGATCATGATGGAGAACATCCACTCAGAGACGTACTCGCTCCTCATTGACACATACATCCGCGACCCCGACCAGCGCGAATTCCTCTTTGACGCCATTGAGACGATCCCCGTCGTCAAGCGAAAGGCCGACTGGGCTCTCCGGTGGATTTCGGACAAGCGGGCTACCTTTGCTGAGCGCCTCGTCGCCTTTGCCGCCGTTGAGGGTATCTTCTTCAGCGGCTCTTTCGCGTCGATCTTCTGGCTCAAGAAGAGGGGTCTCATGCCTGGCCTCACTTTCTCCAACGAGCTCATCTCACGCGACGAGGGCCTTCACACCGACTTCGCCTGCCTCCTCTTCAGCCACCTGCGCAAGCGGGCGCACCCAGACACGGTCAAGCGAATCATCACCGAGGCTGTCACCATCGAGCAGCACTTCCTCTCGGATGCCTTGCCGTGCAATCTGATTGGCATGAACTCGAAGCTCATGTGCCAGTACATTGAGTTCTGCGCTGACCGGCTGCTGGTGGCCTTGGGCAACGACAAGGTGTACAACAGCACCAACCCCTTCGACTGGATGGAGAACATTTCGCTGGCGGGCAAGACCAACTTCTTCGAGAAGAAGGTGGCCGAGTACGCAAAGATGGGCGTTGCTATCCGCGAAGATGACAAGAACGACGACGGCGAGCAGGTGACAAGGAACAGCCATGGCTTCTCCGTCGATGAGGACTTTTGATTTTTTCCTCTTTTCTCCTTAGTCCCTTATCTGTTCCCTCTGTACTCTAAGCCTGCTCTCTCGTTTCGTTCCTTACTCCTCACTGCTCTGCGAATATACACTTGTCACCATTCTGTAGCCCCGTCGCGTTGCGATTGACGCGGTCTGAGCGATGATCTGAGCGATCGGCAAGAGTTGTCATATAGTGTTCCTTCACGACAAGGCACCGGTCGTGGGCTCCACATGGGGTCGGGGTGAACAGCAAGGAGGTGTTGACGCGCGTTTCGACGCGCCTTGCGAGACAAAATGCGCAGAGGCCCCAGCCAGAAGGCCCAGGAGTCGGAAAATTTGAACACAAACAACACCACCAAGCAAGTGCAAGTAGTAGTAGTAGCACGACTGCTACCACAGCTCTCACCTACTCCCTTTGCGTCTTTGTCTTTGTCTTCTCTCTCTCTCTCTCCACCCCTTATCTCTCTTGGCACCACTTCCTCCTCGCTTCGCTCCTTGTCGCCGTCTAACGTGAGCTTTGCACTCTTTATACAGCGGCACGGGATCACTTTTTCTCTAGACGAGTGGATTCCTCCAACACGCGCAACACCACACGCATACCCTCGACTTGCCTCCCCTGCACAACAAGCGCACGGGCAGAAAGGAGGATTGGGGAGCTAGCGAACGATGGAGAACTACCAAAAGATTGAAAAGCTCGGCGAAGGTGTGTTTGCCTGAAAGGAAAGAGGATAAATGACTGCAAACTGACGTGATGCTCTCTTCGAAACAGGGACGTATGGAGTGGTGTACAAGGCTAAGGATCTGACACCGGGAGCCAATGGTCGGATCGTGGCTTTGAAAAAGATCAGGCTCGAAGCAGAGGACGAGGGCGTGCCGTCGACAGCTATCAGAGAAATCAGCTTGCTCAAGGAGCTCAGAGACGAATACATCGTCCGGTGCGTTTCTCTCTCCTCTCACTGGACGTGCTGCGTGTTGAGCTCATGATTTCGCATTACAGACTGTACGACATTATTCACCAGGAGTCAAAGCTTTACCTCGTAATGGAGTTCCTCGACCTCGACTTGAAAAAATACATGGACAACGTCGGGAAGCGGCCTGATGGAATGGGTCCCGAAATTGTCAAGGTAGGTTCAAGTGCCGGCCTCGGTTCTGCCAGAGCCACAAGGCTGACCGCAACTTTCCCAAACACCATGGCAGAAATTCACCTACCAGCTAGTCCGAGGCATCTTCTTCTGCCACGCACATCGTATCCTTCATCGCGACCTCAAGCCACAGAACCTTCTCATTGACAAGGACGGCAACCTCAAACTCGCTGACTTTGGCCTTGCGAGGGCATTTGGCATCCCGCTCCGGACATACACCCACGAGGTTGTCACACTGTGGTACCGTGCGCCCGAGGTGCTCCTCGGCTCTCGTCACTACAGCACGGCCATCGACATGTGGAGCGTGGGCTGCATCTTTGCAGAGATGGCTATCAAGAGCCCCCTCTTCCCTGGCGACTCTGAGATCGACGAGATCTTCCGCATCTTCCGGTAGGTTTCTTTTGTGATGTTCTCTTTCTCCGCGCACTCAACCCCCTTCTTGTTTTTATCTATCACCTGCATGCTGCTCGCCTCCTTCTCAGGACATTGGGCACACCCTCCGATGCGACTTGGCCTGGCGTCAAGAGCTTGCCCGACTACAAGCCCTCTTTCCCACAGTGGTCAGGCATGCCCTTGACAAAGGCTGTGCCTGACCTCGATGAGGCCGGCATCGATCTGCTCCGGGGCATGCTCGTCTATGACCCTGCCGGACGAGTAAGCGGTGAGTCATTCCGTCTGAACTCGTCTCTCCATCTTTTCTTTTGTAGTCGCCATCTGATCTGACGAAACAACACCTCACTTCTCAGCCAAGCGTTGCTTGGATCACCCGTACTTTGCGGAAGCCCACTGAAGAGAAACGCTCGCATCGCATAAAAAGGCATACTCTCTCTCTATCTCTCCATACTACTACTACTACCTTCTATCTACTTCTGTGCCATATTCACCAGTCTTCCCAGCGGTTTGTTCGTTCGTGAGCGTGCTCTTGCGCGCTGGAGTGAACCTGTAGCAGCGTTTGCCACGTGACTTGGAACCGTGAAAGATTATAGGGTTACATTTTATTCAAAGTGATGGCGGAGGGCGAAACGTCATCACGTATCACCACCATCACCAAATACTCCTTCAGAGCGATCAGCCGATCGGTTTCTGCGCATCTTGCACACAGCCATCGGTCTAGCTGCGCAGAGAACATCTCTTGCCGTCATCCAAGAGGGCTCAAGCGCTTGCGATCTCTCGCCTCTGACATCTGATCGCCCGAGTCGACCTTCGGGCTGTCTTCCTTCCCCTGCACTTCACTTTCCTCTTTGATCTCGGCGCGGACCTCCCAGGACGGTCAAGATCCGAGCAAAGGAGCAGAAAGAGGACGATCTTATCACCCTTGATTGCTTCATTTCTCGACGAAGCTTTTCACATTAGACGTGTTTTGAGCGCGGGGATCCCATGACAAGCGCGTCGCGGGCCATGTCGGCCATTCCCAACGAGGAGCTCCCAATTCTCGAGTCGCTCATCAGGTGAGTGCTCTTTGTCTCCATCCGCGGCTTCATCAACGCGACTGAAGTCCTTTGTTTATACACACACAGCATTCGAAATCGTTTGACAGCTCTGAAAAAGGACAGTTCGGACTACATCAGACCGCAAGATGTCCAGCAGCTCTACCAGGCCGTCATCAAGCAGGGTGAGTTCGGCTGCGGTGACTGAAACGAGCTTCTTCTCCTCGGGGCGTACTGACCCGTGCACCCCAACAGTTACCCGGCTAAACACGGTTCGAGATGAGCTGGCGGCGTCGGAAGCCTCGACTTCCAATGACGGCTCGAGGCCAAGCCGACCAGGTGCTGAACCCAACGGCGAGGTTGACACGGCAGCCTTGACGGCGACGAACAGGGTCGACACCACACTCATGGATGTCTTTTCCCTTCTGAGTCTCTTCTTCCTTACCATTGGCAAGAGCAGAGAGACGCCAGCGACCTTTAGCCAGTTGGGCTGCATGAAGGTGAGTTCCTCTTGAACCAGCAATGCACCGCGCTCTTCGAAGTGGCTGACCAATCATCGATACAGCAACTGCTGGACCATCTGGCTGAGAGTGGCATTTACACCGAGGCGGACCTGCAACCGTTTGCCAAACGACTGGCCGAGCTCAAGGCGATTGTCAAGCGAGACGCAGACGCAGGAAAGCACCCCCCGCAGCTCACTAAGCTCATGATGCGCAAACTAGAAGGATGCGGTGCGTAGTAGCTCCTCAATGGCGGCCTCTTTGTTGACCTTGACTTTACTGACAAGGTCTGCTTCTCATCATGATAGGCAAGGTGCTCAGAACGCTAGAGGGCACACTGTCGGTGTTGAGCGTCGAGCTCGTCCCCATCCACCAGAGGCTCGTCTCGGTGCGAAGACAGATTGTGGCGGCAGCTGCGAAACCGAAACCTGCGCGGGCTGAGATCAAGATGCTCCAGGAAGAGCTCCGCAAGATTGACTCGAAGCGCGTTGACGGCAAGTTCCTCGGACCCGGCGGCTCGTCTGTGCCTGCTGGCCAAGCCATCCTCGTGGGCATCCTCGAGGACTGCTTTGAAATCGTCCATGATGCCAACGTGCGCAACGACGAGGTGCCCATGACGCTGCAGCCCATCTATGACCGCCTGTCCGAGATCAAGTCGCAGCTCGAGCACCTCGTTCTTACTCACCGGTGGACGCTGCGAGAGACGGACCTGTGGAATTACCAGGTGACGCTCAAGGAGATCGATCGGCTACGCGTCGACGGCAAGTTTGTCGACAGCGAAGGAAAGCAGCCTGAGGGCCAACTCGTGCTCCTCTACCTCCTTCGACGGTGCTACGGCCTCATCTACCGCCTCGTCGCCTCGTCTGAGCCAATCTCCGAGGAGCTGATGCCCATCAGCAACAAGCTCTCGACGGTGTCCAAATGCCTCAAGGAGGTCTCAAAATACGGAGGGCCATTCACGATGAGGGACCTCTACCCGTACCGGCTGGCACTGCACCAGATCGATGGCATGCGGACACCTGTGCGCGACAAGGACGGCAAGGAGACTGGCGAGCGAAAGTGGCTCGGCAGGGACGGGAGCGTGCCTGAGGGTCAGGCCATCCTCCGCGCTCAGTACGAGGAGGTGGAGCAGACGATCACCGAGATGCTCAACCGCGAAGATGATGACGACGAGGACGAAGATGGGGACGCCGTCGATGAGGAAGAGTGGGAGGGCTCAGAGGTCGATAGCGAGGTCGAGAGCGTCGCTTCAAGCGCCGCGGCCAGCGGTGCCAGTCCGGGCCTGATCGACAGGAGCTTCCCAGGAAGCCCAGCCATCGAAGAGGGGTCAGGACAGCAGCGCACCTACGAGCTTGGCGCCACGGCGAGCCCTCAGCATGGTTCCAACAAGCCGATGTTGAATGCAGCAGTCGTACCGTCTCACATCATCAGGTCGTCAGAGAGCGAATTGACACCTACTGCGACGCGGTTCAAGGGCAGTGCCGCCAGCGGCAGCAGCGTTGCGTCGTCTGATCCGACGACTGCACCGACGACTGTGCACTCGACCTTTAACGATTCTCCCACCAGATCCAACCTTCCACCCGGTGCTGTGACAGTGGCAGTCCCTGGATCCGTCGCACCGCCAGCGCCTGGACGGACGCCAGTCATTCCCACGCTCACTGCCAGACCAGGTGAGCCGGCAGTCGAGCGAATCCTCGATGGCGTGCCCCAGTCGGCGCTCCACACCTCCATGACCTCTAGCGAGGTCAGCTCGCCGGCCATCAGCAGCACGGGGGCGAGCCTCCACAGCTCGCCAGGTCAAGGCCCAGTCGCAGGCAGTGGAAAGGTTGAACAGGTTTCCAGCATTGATGCTCTGGCCGCCCACGTTGCTGGCGATCTCAAGCTGGGTGGACAGTAAGGGGGCGGGCTCGTCGTATATTCCTTTGCCTGTCCCCCTCCTCGTGTATGATGAAACCTTCCCCACTCCCTTTCTTCACCCCTCTGTAACTATAACATGAAAGAGATTCTGCTTGCTCATGTGCGTGGTCCTTTGCAAGGTAATAAAGAGTACACTCTAGTTGTTGGGCTTGTCGCCAACACCGGATCCCGTGTCGGGGCAAGCTGTTTCGTCAAGAATTACATAGTGAGCGACAGTCGGGGAAGGAAATTCATGGGGGGGGGGGGGGGGGGGGGAAGCTGCTCACCCTGTTCGGCCAGCTCGCCAGCCTTGCTCAAGAGGCCATCCTGGTTGCCTCCCTTGCCCTCCTGCTGCAGCTTCTGCGCCTCGGCCGCGGCCGTCTTGATCCACTCGGCGCCCTGCTCCTTGAAGTCCTTGCCGGCCTTTTCGGCGCCTTCCTGGCCCACGAGGCCGGCCAGCGTCTCCTGGGCGGCGCCGCCCGCGTACTGTGCGTGTCCGCCCAGCACCCCGCCGGCGGCCTGAGCCAGCTTGGCGGGGTCAAAGTTCGACTGGCTCGACTGGTCGTTGGTGTTGGACATTATGTGTGACGGATTAGGCTCAAAATAAGAAATGGGCTCTCGAAGTCGTGGTGGTGGGGGAATCGGAAAGGTGTGAAGCGGGTGAGGTTGGTTGTTGAGGCTTCTTGGTAATCTTCATGCCGTTTCTGGATGTGGAGGTGGAATGACGTGCATCTCAACTATCGCGTGCTGTGCAGCGGGAAAAAATTAAGAAAGTGAGAGCAACACCAACCGACACCATTCCCCCGTTGAAGCCGAGGAGCACAGAGGGGCAGGGAGAATGGACGGCAGAGGCGGCAAGGGCAAGCCGATAGTGCTCGACGACGACGATGACGATGACGGCGTCGTTGTCGGAAATGCTACTGGTGGCAAAGTCGAAGAGGTGGTTGTTGCGAAAGCGGGCGATGGCAGCGGGGGCACCTCGACATCGACCTTGTCGGCCCTGATGGGCGACCGTGCGCAGCTGGAAAAGGAGAGGTTGGAGAGACAAAGAAAGAGGAGACGAGAGGCTGGCTTGTCGGAGGGTGACGATGACGAGATGGCGTCAGATTCAACAAAGGCGAAGAAAGCAAAGTATCCTACGACGCCGCAGGTCGTCGCTACGACTCAGCCGAGCACGTCGTTTCCTTCCTCTTTCACGGCCCCTTTGAGCGGTAAACCGGGCGACTTTCAACTCTATTGGGATGGAGGAGTAGAGGTTGGTATCATCGAAAATCGCTCATACCTGATTCAGAGGCTGACAGCCATGGTGGACTAGAAATCTTACAATCGATACTGCTCGCAAGAACCTGGCCGGCGCTTCGCCTCCTTCCTACTTCCTACGACACCGTTCAATGCCGCAGGTCTGACGCACGTCATTATGACTACCTACTGCGAGGATTTGCAATGGCTTGCCACGCTATTTCCCAAAGGACCCAGAGGCACTGCGCCTGAGATCACCATGATCACGCATTCACCACAGGGTTCGGGCAGCTCGCTGGTCGGTGTCCATTCTCCATTGCATCCTGATCTTCCTAACTGGGTCCGCCTCGTCATTCCGAGGATCAAAGATGGCCCCTCCGACTATGAGACACAGCACATGAGTAAGTGTATTGCACCTTCGTTGAAGTAAGACAATTTCGCCAGTCCTATGTTGACACAACGAGCAGAGTTCATGTTCCTTTTCTACCCCGACCGGCTACGCATATTGATCTTGTCGGGCAATCTTGTCGACTACGACTGGGATCGCATTGAAAATGTGCGTATCTCCTTTCTTGAATTTCTCTCTCAGGATGGCCTCTAATACGCTGATTCAGACGGCCTTCATTCATGACTTTCGTCGACGAGAGTCGCCCACGACGGAGGAAGAAGGGCTCGGAGTCGACCTTCGAAAGGTTCTCGACTCGCTAAAGGTCCCGGCCGGACACCATGCCCAACGCATGCTCAACTCCTATGATTTTTCCCAGACAAAGACGGAGGCCCGTCTAGTCATCAGTCGACCCCTGGCCAAAGCTACGCAGGGCTGGAACAACATCGAAGAGTGGGGGCTCGGAAGGCTTGGAAAGGTCGTCAGAGAAACGCTGGACTCTGCTGAAAAGAGGAAGCAAAGTCGAAGCAGAGGCGGTGTACGGCTCGAAGCGCAAGGCTCGAGCATGGGGACATACTCGGCCAGGTGGCTGCAGCAGGTCCACATTCTCGCTTCCGGCGTCGACCCACGTAAAGGCGCACTGCCCCTCCCCGCGGGCAAAAAGGCAGATACAACATGGGCAAAGGCAGTGGGTGGCAATGCGAGCGACAAGTGGCCCCCAATCAAATTGCTTTTCCCGAGCGAGCGATGTGAGTAACTCCAATACGTTTCGTATCAGCCATCTGACCTCCCTTCAATGAATGCCTGTCGTCCATTAGGGGTCAAGGACACAGCCGTCGAGGGCGCACCGGGGGCCGGCACATTCTTTGGCAAAAAGGCGCAATCAGTCAGCCGTGGCTTCGTCGACTTGGCTCACCAACCCGTTTCGAAACGGGGCGACATTATGATGCATCATAAGAGCCTTTTGGCGCTGCTGCCTGACATCCTCCGAGAAGATGGTGGAAGCGACCACATCGACGATGAGGAAATCGTTGGGTGGATCTACATGGGCTCGCATAATCTCACGCAGGCCGCATGGGGCAACATTTCGTCAGCTTCTGCATCGGCACCGCCCCAGCTTACATGCCAGAACTGGGAGCTGGGTCTCGTCCTACCGTTTCGCCGGAGAGACCTCAAGGCGGACGCAAAGAGTGACGCGGCAAAGATCGTGACGTGGAAAAGGCCAGTGGAAAAGTACCAGGATGGTGATGTCCCTTGGGTGAGTCGAAGAGATCAGTCAGCTTGCCAAAGCAGAAGCTGATGAGACATGATGCTATCAGGACCAGTTTCAGCAGTAGACGGCGATCCCTCCTCGTTCTTGTATTGTATTGAATTTCATCAACAGAGGCCAGAGCCTCAAGACATTTCAAGGAGACGATCAATCGAGGCTTGAACATCTCCGTGACAGCCTTCTAAGACCATCTGACAGACGTCTGGTTCAGTCGATGGGAAGATGCTTCGAAGCGTCTCTACGCCTGCAGCCAGATGGGCCCGATCGATCTCTGCCTGGGCGGCAGATGCTTCGGCATCGTCCATGCCTTCTGAGGAAGGCGAGACACCAGCAGCGGCACCAGCCCCTGCAGACCCTTGAGAGAGTCCTCTAGTTAGCTCTTGCTGCTGTTGTTGTTGCTCTCTGCTGCCCCTTCCAGCCGAGGGCGAGTTGGTCTCTTGCAAAAAGGACGGCAGGAAGCCTCCCAAGTCCGAAAAACGCGAACGCGCTCCGCTCCCACTGTCAGACTTCGCGTGCCTCTGCTGATCCTGCTGCAGTTGCTGTTGTCGAATGGCAGCAGCAGCAGTAGCGCCAGCGGCATGAGAAGAGGAAGAACCCGTCGAAGACGAGAAGCTCGTATCTCCCGTCAGCCTCGTCATACCCGCACCGGTGCCTTCATGGTCATCAAAGCTTCCATCGTCCGTAGGTGTCCGCACCCCCGAGTCTTCCGGGGGCTCGTCCTCGAGCGTGTACGGATCAACGCTTTGTTTACGTGCCGGCCGTGCCTGTTGAAGGGGCTGAGGAGGAGGCGCTCCAGGGTAGCCCTGCACGGCCGGCCTCACCCTCTGAGCGCGCGGCGCATTGGGTTGTTGCGTTCCGCCTCCTTGCTGCTGAGCCACATTTCGAGGCCCACCCTGAGAAGCCAGAGCTGAGAACGGGCCCTGACGGAGCTCGTCCGAGTGTGGTGTCTGAGGTTCCTCCTCTGCATCCATGCCTCCACGGAAAGACCGAGACCACGAACCCAAGTTGAAGCCTGATGATGGCCTTGTAGCAGAGGCATTAGGCGTCGAAGAAGGCGACGCAGTGCCCGAATATGACGAGGAACTTGGGCGCTGCTGAATCCTGCTGGGAGATGCCTGATCTCCGAGACTCTTCCCGTCGTCGTCGACGCCAAATAAGCCCCACATTCTTGATCGAGCACTATTGCTTGTTGGCAGCGAGGGCGAAGGGCTTTCATTCCTCGCTGGCGTTCCCGCCTCGGGGTTGCTTTGGCTACCACTTGGCATTCTGGGGCCGTCCAGCCCTTCTTGAAATAGCTTTCCCAGTGCTCCCATCGGTTTCCCAAAGCTGGCTCCGAGGCCGGCCCGCGCCGCCTCTCCTGTCCGCTGGAAGAAAGCTCTGGTATCTTCGGCCAAGGTGGCGGCCATCGGCGCAATGGGAAGCGCGCGTGCGGCTTCGTCTCCTGAACCGCCTCCTTGTGACGATGAGGGCGTCATGTCGGAGGATGAAGCCAAAGGGATCCCTCCTGATGTCGTACTCTTTTCGAAGCCAGACTGATGCAAGCGCTCCTTTCCCGGACTCGATTCCAAAGACTCCTGTTCGGTGCTTATGCTCTGGACCGCATCGCCTACGTTCTTTTCAAATTGTTCTTGTGTGATGTTGCTGAGCGAAGTGTAGTCCATCGTCTCGATGAAGGCGATCGCGCCCATCTGCTAGCGATTCAGCAGGGTTGTACGAGCAGGGCGGAATTTCAGAAACGACTCACCAGGCTCGAGAGATAGTAGCCCGACTCGCTTGAAAGCCGCTCTTGGTTGCGGAACCGCCCGATGTATTCGACATTGGAGATGAGATGGTCGGGATTGGCACGGAGCACGACAAAGATGAGGACAGGAATGAAGGTGTCGGCATTTTCTTCTGTTGAGAGGTGCCGAATGAGACCGAAGATGACCTTGCAGCAGTTCAGGATGCAGATCAATTTGTCTCGAGGGGCCTTGTAGTGGTTAATCTTTAAGAGCTCTAAAGAGACTAAGGAGTGAGCCACGTCCTTGGACGACCACTGTCAGACTCACCCTGCATGGCAAAATCGATGAAGCCCTTCGAGTGGTCACCGCGGGGCACATCGAGGTGCTCTTCAGTGACCCATGTGAAGAGGTTGATCCTCTGTTTCAAGACCCTGTCTCTCTCCAGGTCGTCGGTTTGGACGCTCCACTTGCCCTCTCGGCGGACGGCCGGGCTGAATGTGTAGGCGTACAGACGGTTCATGACGAGCTTCTCCATGGCCTCTGTCGCATTCTCGAATTCGGTGTCCGATACGTTGGCCCACACCTCGCACTCGCGCATCTTGCCCGCGATGAAGTCGAGAAAGTCAAAGATGAGCTTCGTCTGGTCTTGTGTCCTATATGGCTTCTTTGTAAATCCTTTGATGAAGCTGCGGGGTTGATAATGTTCAGACAATCCTTGTGTGAAGAAAATTTAGACCAATGGTTAGCAGCTCACCTTCTCACGTATTCGCCCACAGGACCAGCACTGCGATGACGCATTTGCTCGAGGAACCGATTGAAATCAAATGGCTTCTCCTCACTGGCCGGTGTCGATGGCGGTGGTCCTTTTCCTATCCTAATGCCCCCGCTCTTGGGGGTCAGTGGGCTGCCCTGTGACGAGGGAGAGTCTTGCTGTGGGACGGAGAGCACCTGCGAAGAAGAGACGCCAGCCGAGACGGGAGCGTCAAACGACCCAGTAGAAGGAGATCCCTCAGCCGCCAGGCTGGTCTTTCCAAATGCTCGTGCGACCGCCTCAACCTCGCTGCTCGTGGCTTGCTCACTGTTCTTGGTGTGCTCAGGCGTTGCAGGAATTGGCTTCTGCATTACTTCCTGTGTTGAAGGTAGAGCAACATCCTCCTTCGCGGGCGTTGGCGGCGCCGGCAAGTCCCTGTCCTTGTCCTGTGTGGTTTCGAAGTTGCTCGAGTGAAGCGAAAGCGGCATTGGGCGGTCCTCTCTGCCATCCTGGGTGTCCGCTCCACTTGCCTGAGCGTCTTCCTTGCCCTCCTCGGCTTCCTCGATGCCGCCCTCATCTTTCTGATCCGCTGCTTCTGCCGCTGTCCCTGCTGCTTCTGCTGCTCCACTGCCGCCCATCGTCTTTACTTCGGTGCTCTCAGACTGCGCGTCATCTTTCGAGGCATTGTTTGGTGTTGCGTGCACGACTTCCGGCCGTTCCGGCTCCTCGTCGTGCCCCTCTACTTCCTCCTTCCTCTCTAGCTTCTCACTTGCGCCTTTCTGCTCTTCCTCCCTCAGCATGACTCTATTCTTGCTCTCCGTGTCGTCTTGTGCGCTTCCGTCCGGCCCACCATGCTCTGTCGCGCGGTCCTCCGCTACATGGACAGCGCTTTCAGGACTGACTTTCTCTTCTTTGACCTCGGACGCCTTCGCATCATCCTCGTTGCCAGCATTGGCATCGCTCGAGAGACCTGCTAATCGATCCTCGAGGTCCTTTTCGAGTTTCTTCGCCAGCTCGTCGGCGCTGCTCATCTTGTCTCCGACTACGTCCTCGGTGCTGTTGCTATCTCGCCTCGCTCCCTGGACCCGTCTCAATTTTTAGACTTTTGTCCCAGCTAGAGCGGGCCAAGTGCCACGCGCCCGCGCACGCGCACCGCAAGGGACCAACCACTGGGTGGAGTCGAAGGGGTACGTACTCTTCTGCCCCTCCCTCTAGAGAACGCGTCAGCCTGCTTCGGGCTCCGAGTTGACTGTTGTTGATTCATTCTTGCCGCCGGATTTTAGAAGCGATGTTCTCACCACGCTTCGTCATCGTGGAGATGTGTTGGAGAGACGTGGACTGAGTATCGGAGTTCCGTGTTCCATCCTATCTAGCTGTGGGCGCATCCCAGATTGATTAGCTCGATGAGATTACGGTCACGAGCTTGCTCTACGGCCGTAATTGCGCCTCCCACTCCACCTCATAGAAGCTTCGCAGAAGCTCTTGATTTCTCGAAGTGCGCCTCTGCAACCAACACTGGAGTCCGCGGGGCCGCGCTGGGCACTAGCACGTCGCCGATAAGCGCAGAGGAGAGCTGATTGCTGCTCTTCCAGATCAATCGCTCCTTTTGACCAAATCCAATTGTAGCTTGCTAAGGTCATTGAAGGGTATAAGAAGAGCTTCTCGAGCAAGAGGTCGTCGCGTCAATTCCTCATCTCCCAATTCCTTTCCTCTATATTACACCAGCTTCTCTAGAAGCGCAATGTCGAAAGAACAGACTGCTGCCATCGTGCCCTCGATCGGCGCACCCGTCGAGCTGCGCCAGGTGCCCATCCCTACACCAGGCGCGCACGAGATCCTCGTCCGCAACGTCGCCATTGCCGTGAATCCCGTCGACTGGAAGCTGCAAGCGTATGGCCTTTGGCTCAAAAACTTTCCCACTGTACTCGGAAGCGACGTGGCGGGCGTCATCGAATCCGTCGGGCCTGAAGTAACCAACTTCAAGGCCGGCGACAGGGTCACGGGCTATTCGGGCGTCATCTACACCGACCATCTCGAGGACGGGGCGTTCCAGCAGTACACGATCCTGCGCGACATTGCTGCGGCCAAGCTGCCACAGGACTACGACTTCCGCAAGGCGGCCACGTTCCCCATGACGCTTGCCACAGCTGCCCATGCACTGCACGGCAAAGATACCTTGGACCTACCCCTCGACTTCAAGGCGGCAACCGGAGAAGCATTCCTCGTCTATGGCGCCTCGTCGGCCGTGGGCAACACGACCATCCAGGTGGCCCGCAACCTGGGCTTCACTGTCATTGCCGTCGCCTCGGCGTCGCACGAGGCCCATCTCAAGTCCCTGGGCGCGGCCCACTTTCTCGACCGCAACGACCCTGCAGTGGGCGAGGCCCTCGACAAGATCTTGAGCACCCACAAGCTCTACCTGGCCTACGCCATCGACACCATTACCGGCGGCGACTCGTTTGACCTTGCCGCAGCGCTCCTCTCCCGTGCGCCTTCGGTCCAAAAGGTCGCTGGCGGAAAGAAGAAGCTCGCCCTCGTACTCCCCTTGCCCGAGGGCAAGCAGGTGCCAGACAATGTCGAGGTCGTCATCATCTCCGCCTATTCCTGCTTCAATGCCCAGCCTGACATCGGCAAATACATCTTCAACACCTACCTGCCTGAGTCTCTCGAAAAGGGCACCCTGGTCGCTTCGCCCCCGATCAAGATCATCGAAGGTGGCCTGGCCTCGACGCAGCAGGCCTGGGACATAAGCAAGAAGGGCGTCAGCGGCCAGAAGCTCGTCATTGAAGTCTAAGACTCGCCCTCGTCATTCCATCTGTCTTAATCATCTATTTTATCTAGTGCTAATATGGAGTCCGAAATAGGTTCTTCTTTGGACAAGTGCTGTGCTGGATGTTGATTGTGTAGAAAGACACGGAGTGCGATTCTGAGGAAGAGGGAACCGTAAAAGAGGTGGTAAGGGAGAGGGATACATCAACAAAATTGTCCATGAGGGGCGCGTGTTTCAACATTCGCCCTTCAAGCTGTTTCCTGGCCTGTTTTGCAGAGGTGTGAGCTCATGACTGTGCCAATGCTGAAAGAAATGATGACAGGCTTACATGGGTTGGCCGTAGCCTCCGACCGTTTCGTCGCCGGTCCAGATGGTCAGGTTGGGATTATGGTACGCTTCGTAGTGCGAATCAATGTAATCTTTGGTGGGGAAGCCAGGGGCTGTGCGAAATAGAGGAAAGTGATGAGTGAACAGCTCAGAGCTCAAAGAGAAATTGAGGAATGCTCACGATCACATCCGATGTTGATCTCGTCTTCGGGCTGCCAGATCCGAACGTAGTCGACGAGGTATGTCGCGGGGAACTTGAGCTCGTCGAAATTGACTAGGGCCATTGCTCTCATCAGCATTCTTCCTTCCTTTCTTCATAATGGCCTGCTCTTGTCTTGCACGAGGAAGACTCACCGTATGAGAATGAGGACGAGATGCCCAGATTCAGGAGCACATACATGGGCTCGGGAGGGACGAGGCGCTGGCCGATCTCGGTGGCCGGATCGGCCTGCAGGGCCTTGGCATTCATCCTCCACTGCGGCTCACCGCCGACGGTCCAGGTAATGTGCGAGTCTGGTTCCTTGCCCACCTTGTATTCGAAGCCATACGTGTCAAACTCCGCGCTGGTCTCCATGTAGTTGCTATTCTTTGTGTATACAAGTCCGGAGGCCGCCTGCTGGTAGACGGAGCCGGTGTAAGAGTTGAGCTCGGCATTGTTCGTGTCGAAAAACTCGTAAGCGCCGGGCTCGGTCGTGAGATTATAGCCTGTGTCAAAGGGAGCGAGCTGCAGCGACATGGAGACGTGGCCTCGCGCACCCCTCCTGTTTGCAGCCTGTGCTTCGATGATGTCGATCTCCGGCGCCGAACGGCCGACGAAGGAGCCATCCGAATGGCGGGGCCCTGGATGCTCGGTGCTGTCACGGCAAGTGCAGCGGCTCAGACGTTGGCCAGGCAGGTAGCTGAGCCCCGGGCCATACTGATCGACAAAGACACCAGTCGTCTCTGCAGCTACCGGACCACCACCCTGACTGGCCAGGTACGTCTGATTGGGCATCGTGCCCACATCGCAGCTGTCGTAGGAGTAGGGCCACATGCCATCCGTCGTCGCTCCGTAGCCGGCCCTTCCCAAGTTGCCCATCGTCCAAGCCGCTGGCCAGAGCCCGGAGACATCTGGGGCGCCAGGGAGGACGACACGGACCTCGATGTATCTGGATCGCAGAGCAGGACTGTAAGTAGTGCAGAAACAGGAATGCTTGCCACAGGATAGAAGTGATATACCTACCCGCCAGTGAAGCAAAATTTGTTCCAGGTGGACACCATGCCGCCGCGGAAGTTTAAATTGTGGCCAGGAGATTCGGTGAGCGTGATGACCAGATTGCCATCCTTTGTCGTGACCGCTGCCGGATCATACCATTCGAAGTTTCCGGTGCCCCAGTAGTGGAGATTCACCGCCTCCCAGAAAGGATCATCGCCGGGGTACTGCCATGAGCAAAGTGGTTTTTATGTGAGCATTGTGACCTCCGTGAAGAGAGGGGCCAGAAAATCGCTCACGAAGCTCCTTCCATCCTGATTGAATTCGTCGCTGAAGACGAGCCTCATCTTTTTACCATCGAGACTCGTGCGAGTGCGAGCCTCGACAGGTGTGTCTGCGTCGATGACATCAGTCCTCAAGCCTGGTAGTTGTGGCACCTGGCCGCTCGCGTTGGTTCCACCGAGATTGAAGCCTCCTGCCGTGCCCGTCTCCTTCTTCAATAGAAAGACCAGAATCGGGTAGCTGTTAAGAGGCCAAGTCAGTGGAAAGGCACGGATACTTTAGGAGCAAAGCGGCAAACGCACCCGGCAAAGACCATCAAAAGGGATGCGGTCAGGCATAGGAGGCTTCCCACATTCATCAAGCCACGCCTGGTGAAGATGGTGCCCGTCGAATCGCCACGACGCTCACGGCTCGGGTCCGGTTCGTGCAGATAGTCGTCTGGCTCGGGTTCTCTGGCGGCATCCCTCCAGACTGCAAAGTTGTCCACCGTGCCAAACTTTTCAACCGAGGCAAAGGAGCCCGAGTGGGAGTTGTCCGACGACGACAGGTTGCCACCAGAGGTCGAACGGTAGGAGGCTGTTGCGTGGTGGTGGCTCGCAGCCTTGGCTGACGAGAATTTACCCGGTACATATCTGGGAACAGAGGGACTGCGATGCTGTGGGGAAGGATACAAGGAGACATGAGACCGTGCAGGAGACGACGAAGGCGAAGCAGAGGAAGGAATGGGCACAAAGCGATGACCTCGAGAGGAAGGCATGGTGGGTGATGGTTGCACCTTACGACGGGCCCAGTTGATGTTTGAGAGACAAGCTCTTTTCAGCCGAGAGGGGCATGACGACGTCAAACTCAAGCAGTCAGCAGGATTCTGTCTGCACGACTAGGAGATCGAATCGTCACATGTGCGGCGGTGCCAAGTCCCGAAAGGCTAAACAAAACCCCTTTGTGCCCACCCAGGACGTGCTGTACATCCATCATGGAGACCGAGAATAGATGCTTGTGTGCTGCAGCCAAGAAGAAACCGCAAGTGGAATGGGGAGCCCACCGTAGTGAGAGAAGGAATAAGAAAAAAAAAGTTGGAACGAAGAGGCTTGGCGTATTTGAGCGCGCCTGCGCGGTTCCTCTCCGTTTTTGTGGCTTTTCCTGATTCCTCCAACCCAAACAGCAATGCAGGGGCTTCTTGGCTTGGGCCAGGCAGGCTGGCTTTCAAGTAAAGAGAATACGGTGATGATGACCACGTGAGAGATTCAGCCCAGCGAGGCAAGACATGGTTGACAGTCTCCAATGGGGCTTCCATGGACTCTTGTGGTTCGCGACCGCCATGGCCTAGGGCAAAACCGCTTTGAAAAGAAATCCGCACTCACCTGGGTGGACAAGGGGACGATTTGAGAATGCTGTTCCTTGCTACACGTAACCATCGAAGAGAGGAGAGAGACGTCGGAAAGCTGCCTTCCAGAAGTCAGGATGGTGTTGTCGCTTGATTTGGACGCCAAGGAGCCGTACAAGTAGCCTGATGCCACCCGAGGACCACCGATGTTGTGGACCTCTGAGCCGACATACAGGTGTGAGGTGGACAAGGAAGAGTGGTAATGGGAAGAGGATACGGTTTTTGTGGAGAGAGTGCGCTGCATGCCAGCTTCGGCGGAGAAGTATTGATCGCTGTCTGTCCTGCCAGCGCCGAGTGCCTCGTCGTAGCCACTGAAGGTGATGATGTGGTCTTGGTCGACGCTGTCCTTGGTGTTGAGTGTCGAGTCGCCCACCTCGTGGTCGACGAATGGCGTCGAGTCGTGGGGTGGCGAGCGGCCCACGGAGGAGTAGGTTGAGTCTCCTGATAGGTAGTCCTGCGCACTGTGGTCTTCCATGGCTATCGAACACCTGCCCCTAAGAAGAAGATGGGCTCAACAAGCGATCACAGGCTGAGCTTAGACGAAGTGGATAGTCCGATCATCAGAGGAGAGAAAGAGATAGGGATCCACTGTAGCGCAACTGCCCACCGTGGCATTGCTGCTATGCAACTCGGCCTTATCAAACGTACTCGTGCGTGAACCAGCAAAGGGTCGAGGAATGCGGTGGGCCTGAATTGGGACACATCGATATCGTATCGATCGAAGGCTTGCTTGGGTCTCAGCGGCTGACAGCTCCTGGCAGAGCGCGCCTGCCGCCGTTGTCGTTGAGTAGCCCGCGGTGTCGGTCATATTTTCCATTGAGGCATGTTGTCATACATTCAGAGAAGGCGCGCCAAGCAGGCCTGCACCCTCCGCCCGTCCGGTGAGAGGCAAGTGGCCTCGCCGTACGGTTCGCGTCCGCGCCAGGAATAAATGAGGAGGTAGATTACCAATACAAAAAAACAGCCCCTACTGGATACAACAATCAGCCGAAGATTCTAATTAAATGGAGTGCACTGTAAGGTAAGGACCTATTCAGCAAAACACCAACAACAAACACGCTAGCTGCTCCTCGGACTTCTTCGTCAGACGACGACGACGACGACGAGCAGTTGACGGCGAAACGCACGCCGCCGCCATTCATCTTCTGTAGGACGGAGCTTCGAGCACCGGTGTCGCGCCCCGGCTTTTCCTTCTCCGCGCCCTGCTGCTCCGTCACTTCCAGTCACACTACTACTTTTGCTTACGACTTTCAGACTCGACGGGTCATAGAGGGATCCTCTGCCTGAACAACACACCACGCACGCGCGCAGAAGGCAGCTCGCAAACGCCTCCTCTTGTGCTGGACACAGTCTCTCTGATCTCGACTGGGATAATAGAGGAAGATGGCGAGGCCAAGAATAGCGATGCCAGTCCGTCCGGTCCTGGTCCTGGCCCTGGCTCTTATCCTCGCATCTGCGGTGATGGCTTCGCCGACGGCAGCGTGGACACGGCCGAGGGAGATTTCCGCCCCGTTGCCTCGGCAAGCACAGCCTAGCGGCGAAGTCGGGGGTACCTTCTCGACCCTCACCAGGGACAAATGGATCGGCCTGGGGCTGGCCATTAGTAGCAGCTTGGCAATCGGGACGAGCTTCATCATTACGAAAAAGGTGAGTGGTAGATTCGAGCGTCTGTCTACAAGGATGAGCTGTTCCGTGCTAATGTTGGCGTTACAGGGCCTGATGGACGCGGCGGAGCGAACGAATGGGCTGGCCTCGGACGGACATTCTTACCTCCAGAACCCAATCTGGTGGGCGGGCATGTCGACGATGATCGTGGGCGAAGTAGCCAACTTTGCCGCCTACACTTTTGCACCTCCCATTCTCGTTACACCCCTGGGCGCGTTGTCTGTCTTGATTGGGTGGGTAATTCTGACACATGAAGAGAGATGAAGGAGAGAAGTCGCTCACGTTGTCTCGTCGGCTATGCAGCGCGGTACTCGCTTCTTTCATCCTCAAGGAAGAGCTGGGCAGGCTGGGTCGGGTCGGATGCACGCTGTGCCTCGTCGGTACCGTCATCATCATCATGAATGCGCCCGAGGACAAGGAGATCCGGACCGTCGACGAGATCCTCAATTACGCCCTTCAGCCCGGCTTCCTCTTCTACTGCCTCTTTGTCACCGGCTTTGCTATTTTCATGATCTGGCGCATGGTGCCAAAGTATGGCAAGCGGACGCCCCTCGTCTACATCAGCATCTGCTCACTCGTTGGCTCTATTTCCGTCATGAGTGTTAAGGGCTTCGGTGTAGCCCTCAAGCTGACTTTGGACGGCAACAACCAATTCAGCCATCCGTCAACGTACTGCTTCGCCATTGTCGTCATTGTATGCATCCTCGTTCAGATGAATTACTTCAACAAGGCCCTCGATCAGTTCAGCACCAACATTGTCAACCCAATCTACTACGTCATGTTCACCACTTCGACCATCTTTGCCTCCTTTTTGCTCTTCCGAGGCTTCAACACGGCAGGCACTGCGCCTGCCGTTTCGCTATTGGGCGGATTCGTTGTCATCTTCATGGGCGTCTACCTCCTTAACCTCAACCGACTCATCGACCCCATCACCCAGCAGCCACGGGTCTCGCTCATGACGGGCGAAGGTGTGGCTGGCACTGGCCGGCTGAGCGAAGCGCACGACCGCTTCCTCCCCGGCCGACCCAGCACCTCTGCAGGGTACCCTCCTTCGCGCCGAGGGAGCGGCTATGGTCATGCCGCCTTTTCTCCAGCGCCGCAGCAGCACCATCGGCGCGATTCGGGCAACAGCATCCTGTTCAATGCACACCACATGGAAGAGGCCGTCGGGCTGACGCAGCTCAACGAGACGTCAGAGGACGAAGAGGAAGGTGAAGGGGACGGCATGAGCCCCATCGTGCGGCAAAACTCGATGAACCGAAAGACGAGAGAGGAAAAGCTCAAGAGAGCCGCTGAACAGCAGCATCAACAGCAACAGCAGCATTCGAGAGCTTCGAGCTTGAATAATTCTGTGGGTCAGAACCGGGGGGGCCGAGGACCAGGATTGGGCATTCAGGCGCAGAGTCCGCTCCTCAGAGGCGACAATGTCGATGAGGAAGACGACGAGGATGAAGGCAGGCAGAGATATTCGCGGGCAACGCAGGACGGTGCTACAAGTCGACGTTGAGTGCTACAACTACCACTACTATCTACCACTACCACTACCGCTACAACTCGAATTTGAGTTGAAATCACCAAGGGACAAGGGTTGCCCGATGGATTTTATATTTGGGCCGGATGACGGGACGGGCATTGAGCACCACTTTCTTGTTTCTGTTTTTGGGCGCCATCATTCAACGACACCACCTGTAGCCAACAATCTGCTTTTTCTTCTCACTCTTTCTCTGTGTCACTTTCTTCTCCTCCCCTCTATTCTTTTCACGCTTTCCCTCGAGAGGAGGGAAACGGCTCGATACACGATGCACCCTTTTGCTTGGCTGAAGACTGATGAAAATGGGCTTGAAATTACTGGTCTATGTGAATTGAAATAATAGGAGAGGAGAAGGGGGTGGTTGTGTCATCGAATAGTTGGTAGGCAGGATCATGGATCCTAGGCCAAGGCTTCTCAAGATAGGAGAGGTGACAGAGGGAGTCGGGAAGGCCGGTCTCGCCGAAAAGAATGTTACAGCGTAGAAACAAGAAAAAGATCAGAGAGTCATTCTCGCGAGAATAAAGAAGAAGGTCTCGTCGGTGTGCGAGTCGGAGGATAGGTGTCGTATGGTGGACAGGATCGCGTTCACCGTGAAAAGAAGTGAGGGGAGAGTTGCTTTGCGTCCGGGTAAGAGTGCTTTCGACGTGTCTGTATGTTATTTGCTACAAGGCCTGGCGCTGTCGAAATTGAAAGTTGAGAGAGACGGAGGCTGAGACGAGACAGAGAGGAAACGTATGGTAGGTAGGTAAGTAGGTAGCGCCAGTCGGCAGTCTTGTTCCCGTCTTATAGACATTATGCGAACGAGTCACGAAAAGAAATTGTCTGTTGGTGCATTGGAACGGGGAGCCCCACGTCTAAACGTCTTCAATCGAGGCAGGGATGCTGTTCACTTGCTTGATGTTGGCGTGCTCCCCATGCTGCCCGATCAAGTTAGCACCCTGCTTCAGGGGCAACGGAATTGCCTTCAACGAAGTCGATGGCGAGAGAGCAAACGAAACGGAAGCTTCGCCCGATGACGTCGTGGCCGTCGTCATCTCCCTCGAATCGTCCTCCCCTCCACCATCTGTCGTGACCGTGGCAGTAGCCGACACGAAGCTCGAGTCGCCCGCTTGGCTCTGGCTATTGTCTTGCTGCTGCTGGTCGTCATCTTGATCTCCGTTGACGTACTGCTCGGCCGACTTATCGGGCGACTCTCCCGTGACACAATTCGGGGACGCGCGTGGTGAACCCTGCATCTGTGATCCTCCAGCTCCTGGTGTTGAGCTATTGGTCTTTGGAACGGGAGACCGAGTCCGGAGATTGTCATCAATGGAAGACTGGCCGACTCGAAAGCGCAACAGCGAAGGCTGGTTTGGCTGAACCGCAAGTGAAGACGTGGCTTGTATGGATGCGTCGACCTGCAGCCCCAGAGCTGGGCCTGCTTGACCAGAGCGAGGCTGCGGCTGACGAGCCTGTTCCGTCGCTAGTCCCACTGCCGATCCGTCTTGTCCAATTCCACCATTTCCATACAGCTGTCGAATAAGTTCGAGCTGTTGCAATTGCTGAGCCGTCGAGGCCTGCCAGTCGGCAGCGGAATTGGCGTCGAGCCCAGCCATGACCATGCTCATTTGCTGCACATAGTCCATTGCGGCACTGCTGCCACTGGCTGCACCGCTACCGCCAGCACCAGCTTCAGCGCAACCACCTCCTCTACCACCTCCACCTCCTCCATTCCCTGCGATGCTGTTGTTGTTACCCATCACGTATCCTGACTCGAAAGGTGTCGCGCGCATAAAAGCTTCGAACTGGCCCTGGTCGATGGGCTGGCCATGGAGGAGCTGTTGCTCGAGGAGCTGCTTAGCGTGTTGCTGCTGCAACTCCGGTGGCAAGAATGTGGGTGTCGTCGAGTTTCGCTTGTTACTAGTGGACGTCGCCTGGAGAACAGCAGCAGGACCGGCAGCAGGCGATCGAGACGCAGCGCTTCCTGGTCCCGTCGAGCCGCGACGATCCGAGAAACGAGGCACCTCGGGGGAAAGGCCCGCGGGCACGAACGAGGAGAGAGGCGAGCTGGCCAGGGACGAAAGAGGTGAATTGTAGTAGAGCTGGGGTGTCCCCTGATAATTGAGTTGATTCGAAACGGGGGGGTTGAGAGGATCATAGAAAGTCTGAAAGTGAGGAGAGCCACTGAACGACCGAAGAGACTGAGGGGTACTCTGATTGTAAGCTGGTGCCTATTCATATACCTTTGGAGAAAAATTCATAAACTCACCGGTGACGCAAGTGAGGGCAGACCTTGTGCAGAACCCGCCAGAGCAGGCGTGCCAAATTGTGGACTGTAAAAAGTCGACTGTGGCGTTGCAAAGCCGGTCCATGCGCTAGGAGAGTAGCCAGCAGACTGAAGCTGGATGAGAAGCTGTTGTTGTTGCTGCTGTTGCGAAGAAGAAGCCTGCTGTTGCTGCTGCTGCTGCTGCTGTTGCTGAAGGCTGCTTGCACCAAAAATGGAGTCGATCGTTGTGCCGTAGCCAACGTCTGGCCCAGCATTCTTTGCCGTCTGCTTGAGCCGCTTTTGGCCTTCACTGTCCGCAAATCGCACCTGGATCGAGGAACTGCGGCCAGGGAGAATCTTTCCGTGGAGACGATCGATGCATTCCTGGGCGGTGTCGCGGTCGCGGAGACGGACAAAACCGACGCCACGAGACTTGCCCTCATTGTCGAGCAGGATGCGTAGCGACACAACATGGTGAGGTGCAAAGAGCTGTTCGAGTTGCTATGGGATGAAAGTGTCAAAGCACAGCTTAATGGCGCTTCTTCCTGGGAATATACTGCTCACCGTGGCATTGAAATCTAGCGGAAGACTGATGTGTACGTTGCATCTATTCAGCACCACACAATTTGTCTGGTTCGTAGAGAAAAGCAGCGACTCACTTGCTCAGGTAAACGTTGGTGGAGCTGTTGTCTGCCATGCGACGGAGCTTTGTGCTGAACGACTCCTTGGCCCAAGAAGTCGTGAGTCCGTGCTGGGGCAGCTGTGTCAGGGCCAGCTCGGCATCCTCGGGTCGGTCGTACATGATGAAGCCATATCTGGGGAGCAAGTGAGCTGCCTGCTAAAGAAGAAACAGTGAAAAATTGGCTTACCCTTTGCACAAGCCCGTGTCCATGTTGATGATTGCCTTGTGGCTTTTGACTGGGCCGAAACAAGAGCCCAAACGCAGCAGGTCATCGTCGCTGGTGCTGAGTCGGGGACATGGAGGAAGCATGATGAGCTTGCGAAGATAGATAGAAAGCGTCTTGTAGTCACTTACTGCGAGGGAAGGCCGTTGACGTAGATGTTTGTCGCCAAATTGCTGCTGGGATCGTGCATATAAGGGGCGACATGATCATAAGCTAAGGCATGAAGACGAAAAGGAAAAATGTCAGTCATAGAAAGACAGCTGCTGAAGACGGTTCACGCACGATTGTAGCTGAAGCCTAGGGGTGCTGGCGGGTAAGCAGAGCCAAGGGCGCGAAGCTGGGCAATGATGTTCGCGCTGGCGAGATGCTGCTGGGCGAGGATGGGCAAGAGACCTTTCGCACCCAGGGCACTGGCGGTGTCATCTTCAGTGTGGACTAAGGAATCCACGGCTCCCGTCCTGCCATCATGGTTGTTGGTGAACGTCGTCGCTGATGGCGATGCTCTTAGCTCTCCTTCTTTTTCTTGTTCGGCCGACTTTTGCTCCTGGTCGCGATGACAGCGATCGTTGTCAGCCAATAAGAAGAAAACAAGGGGTAAATATCAAGGAGAGATCAGGGCTGTCCATACTCACGGTCGTTGTCGTCGTCTTTCCTGTCCTCGTCTTTGCCTCTTCGAAGCTGACTGACCGAGAGAGGCGGGTGCCGTCGCTGTAGACAGATGAGGCAGAGGTAGACGTCGTCTTGCTACGCTGGATCGATGGCGAGCGCTGTCGTTGGGCAGCTTCTCTCCTCTTGGGCCCCGCAGGAGGAGCGGTCTGGACAGCAGCAGCCTTTGTGTTCGTCGCTATAGTGCTGGCAGCCGTATTAAAGGTCCCTGTAGCTTTCTTAACTGGCCTCGAGGAGCTGATGATGGTGCTCTTGCTTCTGCGCATCGCGGCGGGTGCTCGAGGAATTTCGACGCTGTCTGCTGCCGCTGTTGCCACTGTCCCTGCTGCTGCTGCTGCTGCTGCTGTGGAAGCTGCTGCTGCTGCTACAGTGCCGCTTGGACGAACTTCGGGAGCTGAGGTGCTGGTACTGGTGGGCGTTGTGGCGGTCAAAGACGTGTCGCTGCCCTCCGCGTCGCGGGGATCGTCGGTGTTGAAGTCGAGATGGGTCATGGTGGTTGTGGTGTTGGTGCTGTTGTTGGATTTCCCGTGCAGCGAAGCAGACCGTGTCTTGCCAGTGGCAAATGTGATGGGATCGTTCTTGACCAGCGTAGCTGGTGGTCTGCTAGGTGCCGCGTGGCTGCCGCTGCCCGCGTCGTGCTGCTTCTCGTCTGCAAAGGGCGGCGTCTCTTGTGCCGAAGCTCCGATCACCTTCCTCCTCCTCTTCGCCCGTGACGATTTTGACGAGTCAGCAGCGTTTCTCTGGCTAGGAACTTCGTCACTGGGATGTAGACGGCCGGCTGCAGTGGTTGCAAGCGGAGAAGATTGACGAGAACGAGGAGGGGGAGGATGGGAAGGAGGAGCAGCTACAGCAGCAGAGGCGGTATGGTGGGCGGCTGTTCGATGCTGAGTCACTGACGCTGTGTTGCTTTCTTGCCTGCTCGTCAACTCTGGTCCGGCCTTGGAGGGACGACGGCGAGTAGGCATGACGAACAAGGGGGAGGGAGTGGTTGGTGGGAGGGTGGGGCTTGTGAGAGAGTACTTTTTTGCTTTCTTTCCTTTTTTTTTCCCTCCTTTCCTCCGGTAGTAAGACAAAAAGACTGGCAGGGAAGGAGAAAAGAGGCGAATGCAAGATGAGAGTGCGGCGGACACAGGGATCGATCTCTCAGAGAGTGAGGGAAAGATAGGGAGAGGGAGAGAGGGTTTGCCCAGCAGAGAGGTGCCGCGGTGACGAAGGGAAAGTGGCGGTACGCCCCGTCGAGGAGAGTGAAAATCGGCCTAGCTTTGGACAATGAGCGCTAGAGAGGCCGAAGAGGAGAGATAGAAGTCATTTTGATGATGTGGAAATAGCGAGGAGGCGCGAGGACAAAGAAAAAGGGGGAAGCGTCAGAAAGGGCAGCAGGCGAGAGACAAGTTGATTGCCAAAAAGTGACCAGAGTTAACTGCGGCACAGACTCACCTTTTGTAAGGCCGTCGTTGTTGTTCTTCTTTTGTCTTGGTCTCCCGTCACCGTTCTAGAAGTTTCCCGCGGCGCCCGGCAAGCAAATGAGGGAAGGAGTGGAAAGGGGCCAAAAAGGGAAATCTCTTCAAAGGAAACTCGGCCACCGACCAAACGAGAATAGTGCAAAGCGTCTGACCAGCTCTTGAAGCCAATTGACCGCTCGCAAATGCGAGATCTAGTGCCGACGAGATGGAGAGACCGCTTGTCGGAGATGAACAGAGTTAAAGTTGAGAGGGAGAAGAGGAGAAAAGAGCGGCCCTTTCGTCTCTTCTTTAAAATTGCTCGTCTTTCCTCGCTCTTCTTCCTTAATGTGAAAGACCGACCAGCACGATATGCAAAGAGACGATGCCGGGTCTGATGGCCAGGAAAAGTGGGGTGCTCCGGACGAGGGAGACGAGTAGAAGTGTGAGTAGTAGTCTGCGCGAGTTGAGCTGGAAAAAAAAAGGTTATTGGCGAGTTGGCGGGCGAAAGGGGAAAGGAGGAGAGTCTGTAACCGTTAATACAGGTGAATGGCTTTCTGGGCTTGGCTGGCTGGCTGGCTGGTCCACTGTCTAGTCAGGAATGAGATGAGGATGTGAAGAAATAGAAGTGCTGGTCGGCGATCGTGAGGAAAGAGAAAGAGGGGGACAAAGACCAAAGGAGAAGCCCCGTAAGGACGGCTTCTTTTTATATAGGAATCACCGTCATGGGCGAGTAGCTGACGTTCAAGAGACAGGGCTGCTCCTGACAAAGCCAAACTACAGCTTGGCAAGAGCAAGCCAGACCGCGATTTCAAGGCTGGCCCTGTCGAAGCCTCTGCTCACTTTGTGAGAAATGCAGCCGACGCGCGCCAAATTAAACTGGGTTTTTGCATGTAAGGGTAGCGCTAGCAGTACTGGCATACGGCAGGACCAGGCTGACCACTGCTGCCAGTGTATTTGAAAGGACCACGACATCGCCAGCAAGGACCGAGTCTACAGTGACATAGCTTATGCTTCTTCTCGCCCTGCTTGTCTCTTCCCTCTTTTAACCTTCGCAGATTTGCCAGCCATCGTGTCGATATACAAGTTAGGCAGGCCAGGAGCTCCTGAGCTCTACCACTAGAAGTGGTAGTGGCGCGTGCTTAATAGAGGCCTCTGGGCGTGCATCGCAAAAAACGAGTCCGTGCGAGAAAGCAGACGCTTGCGACCCTCCACCACCGCACTGGTCGTCTCGCCGCCTGTGCCCCAAGAGAGAGAGACCAGCGTCGAAAGTAAGAGCATCATCATCATCATCAGCAGCAGCAGCAGCAGCAGCAGCAGCAGCAACAGAACGAGAATTCTGCAGAGCCATGGCCTGGCGCTGCTCGGGCAAGACGAATGCGGAGCTCATCGCCAACATGCAGGCGGCCGGCCTCATTACGTCGAGCCGGGTCGCGCAGGCCATGTCCCTTGTCGACCGGGCCAATTATGTCGTGGGCGGTCAATCGGCCTTGTCGGCGGCCTACACCGATGCGCCCCAGTCTATTGGATTCGGCGCCACCATTTCGGCTCCGCACATGCACGCGCACGCCTGCGAGGCTCTCCTTCCCTTTCTCAAGCCGGGCAGCCGCGTGCTAGACGTCGGCAGCGGGAGCGGCTACACGATGGCCATCTTCCACCACCTCGTCAAGGCCCAGGATCCCGTCCAGGGCCAGGAAACCGGAGAGACCAAGCAGGAGAAAAACGGCTTCGTCGTAGGCATCGACCACATCGAGGGACTCGTTGACATGGCAAAGAGGAACCTGCAAAAGGACCAGCTTGGCCCCCATCAGCACCGGGGCGGCATCCAGGCCGTCCTTGGGGACGGCAGAAAGGGCTTTGTGGCCCGCGCTCCCTACGATGCTATCCACGTGGGTGCTGCTGCGCCATTTATGCCCCAGGACCTCATCGATCAGCTAGCAAAACCAGGCAGAATGTTTATCCCCGTTGAGGACAACGGCGGCTACGGTAATCAGTGAGTGTGTGCATGTATGCACGGGTCACAAGGGGCATCCCGAATAACTTGCTCACAAACTGGGCATGCAGAGACATCTGGCAGGTCGACAAGGACAAGCAGGGCAATGTAGCTCAGAAGAAGCTCTTTGCCGTTCGTTACGTGCCCCTGACTAACGCCGAGAGCCAGTGGCCCGTCAAGTGAAACCCAACAGAAAAGAGGAATGGGCCCTGTCATACACTGTATTATATGCTTCACATTCATTTCTTCCTCTCTCTCCACAAGCAACTTCTCTCGAGGTTGTGAAATGCATCCATGCTCATATTCAGCCGAGGTTCGAGCGGCTTGAGCACCCTGATGGACTCAAGCTGCCGCCGCCTAACCTCATTGTTTGCGCACCCTCGTATTCGCTCATCGATGGTCGTATCGTGGGCGTGCAAGCTCAGCGCGGCGAGTGCCAGGTAGGAGTGCATAGCATCGGGATGGTCTCCCGGCGTCTTGGAGATGCCGCCCACTGGCGACTGAGCCGAGAGGAGCCATGCCACATCGGCCTCTGCATTGATGACATCGTGCGCGCCCAGGTTCTGAAAAAAGTTCGCAAGGGGTTAATCGTAGATGGCAACACAATGTCTTTTTAGACACAACAGTAGCAGGGTGGAACACTCACCCGGATAGCGGCGCCGCACCAGAATGAGTAGCAAACGTCTTGGGCCTTGCCCGTCCTGCCGTTGAAGCCCGTGCCTTCTTGTCGAGCAAGCAGCCACCGCTTTGCCTCCTCTTGCTGCCGTGGCGTCATTGCGTGTGACGTTTGAGATACCGCAGAAGAAGAAAACGAGGAGAAATGTGGCTGAGAGGAGGACGAGGCAAGAGAAAGGGCGGCGGTGGCGCAGTAGGTCGAGCCCCCATGCGACTCCTGGAGCGGCGCTTGGCCAAATGCTCCGTCGTAGCTCTGATTGCGGGGGCTCAGCCAGCAGAATCGGCTAATGGTGCCTCTGTAGCACTCACTATGCTCCGTAGCAGAAACGAAGTGGCTTTTTCCACGTCGATCGACGACCAGTCCTGGAGCATGAATGCGATGGCAAAGGCACAGTAAATGAAGCGGGCGTCGAGTTCGCGCTGTCCCACGCAAGGCGCGAAGCTCCCATCTGGCTCCTGGAGCGCAGATAGGTGCGCATACAATGCGTCCCTGTCTAGCTTAGAGAAGTCGTCGTTGAGGATGGCGAGACAGACGAGGGCGGTGTAGGTCATGGCCAGATGGCCCCGGCCTCGTATCAAGTCGGACGTGGAGGAGGAGGAGGAGGAGGAGGAGGAGGACGACGACGACGACGACGACGACGAAGGCACTGCTGGGGAGCCCATGAACCCTCCTCCTCGTTCAAGAGCTGCACTCTCTTCTCTTCAGCGACTACACTTGCATGACAACGGGTAAGTTGCAGGATTTCTCACGGAGCTGCTGAGCATAGATCCAGTCTGCGATCTCCTGTCGCTCCTCCTGCGGCACCTTTTCCTCCAATGCGCCTAGGAGGTCCAGCGCGCTCAGGCAGAAAAAGACGATCGACATCCTGGAGTGCGCAGAATGCCATTCAGTGACGGCGCCCACCTCTAGAAAGGCATCCTCCTCCCTCACCTCTGCTGGTCGGCCGATTGGTAGGGGCGAGGGAGCATACGCAGGTGCCGGAGCCAGAAGCCAATGTGCTTCTTGTGCTCCAGCTCTCTGGTGTCGTCGATGGCGGCGATGTCGTCGTCGTCATCGTCGTCCTCTACCTCCTCTTCCTCGCTCCTCCGTCCATCGCGGCCCGCGTCCAGCTCCATCGGCGACTGATTCTGGCTGGGCCAATCGATAGGTGCGGGAGAGAGACGCGCTTTCTTCTTTTTTTCTTTTTTTTTCGGATGACTTAGTCTGATAATTGCACTTCTGAGGGGACGGAAACATAATTGACGCCTCCCCCAGAGCAGCACAAGCGCATGGAATTATACACAGATGACATATAGAAGTAGCTAGTCTAGTGTATGCAGTGTTGGTCTCTCGCTAGCGTCTAATGTCGGTGTCTCTTTCGCTTCCTCTGGCAAAACCTTACTGCAGAGGCGTCGCTTTGGCCTCATCGCTACCATCCTTCTACTCGTCAGGACACCGCCTCATCCACCTCACCAGTCGCTCTCCTCGTCTATTTTCCCCCTTTCCTTTTCGCTCCCAAATCTCCCTCGTTTGCGTATTCACCTACTTGTCCCCACCACCTACTGGAGCTGATCACTTGCCACACATTCATCGGCGCGCACTTCTTAGCTGCTGAGCATCGCAAAGCGAGGCAGGGGAAGGCAGCGCTGCCTTTTTTTTTTCTCCGATTCCCTGGCGGTATATCTGGGTCCTCGCAGAGACAAAGCAAAGGCCCAGGTCGCGGAGATTGTCATGTCGATCAGCGAAATCTACGCCCTCAGCCTCTACGCCCAGGGCGAGGGTCTGCCCCTGTGGAACCCCACCCCGTGTCGGCTGGCCGACGTGGGCTACATGCGCGATGGCACTTTTCACTGCCTCTTCAATGCCCATGACGGGCCCCAGTCATCGACTTCACGCTCCGATGCGGCCAACATTGGCCTGGCGCGCAGGACCGAGGCTAACCACGACTCGCGCCCAACGTCGCCGGCGCGATCTGGCCTTTTGCTGCCCTCGGGCCTTCCGTCGAGCAGCCAAAGTCCGAGCTCCGATGCCGGTGTTGGCCCCGACGACCACGAGATGGCTGATGCCGGCCGCAACGGAGACCATCTTGAAGGCGCCAGTCCTTCCCCTCCCTCGTCCTTTCAGCCCCAAGTCCGCCGATCTTCGAGAACGAGGAACCTTTTCTCGCCCTCCGCAACCAGCTCGTCACATGGCACAGACAACCAGCTTCGTCCACCTTTGCCACTGGCCGTCGAGGAGGCGGCCGAAAAAGTCTTTGACATGGGCCCGCGAATGAGCGCCAACATGAAGACGCTCGGCACCACAATTGGCGCAGACGCCAGCCTCGCTGCAGCGCCCGTCGGTGCGGTCCTCTCCTTTGAAACGAGTGGTGGCGATGGAGCGCTCCTCATTCCCCGCGACCCGACACACCGCCAGCTGCTGCTCCACGTCGGCGTCCTCAAGGACTACCTCAAAACCCACCGCCGGTACATTCACAACACCTTTGGACAGCCCGAGGATCTCGACGCAGACGACATCGTGCTCATCTATGGCCAGGATCTGACCTCGGACTGGGCGTGTGCCGTGAATCTCGAGGCAGGCCGAGGTGCTCGCGTCGAGTTTGAGGTCTTCTCCGTCGCAAAGCTCGGTGTTTGGGGCAATTGGAAGACGAGCTGTTCAGCGAGCCAGCGCGGCCCGCATCGAGGTGGGTCTCGAATCTCTTGGCGAAAAAAAGGCATTGATGAGCCACTGAACCCAACTCTTCACAGACGCATCCCAGTACATCGAGAACGCCCCATCTCCCGCCAGCACAGCGATGGGCAGCGACGCAGGCGGGTCACGACGAGGCTCGGCCGCGAACATATCCTGGCAGGCCCATGGCCAACTGGACGCCGGCCCCGCCTCGGTGGGGCTCACTGTCGGCAATGAAGGCGCTGCAACACCACCGCCATCGGCACCTCCCTTTTTGCCATCACCATCATCAGCTGCTGCTGCTGCTGCTGCTGCTGCTCCCTCAGCGGACGCAGCCATGCCCGAAAGGCCCGAATGGACATGGGCAAAGCACAACCCCTTTCCCGCTGATCAGAGCGTAATCCTGCGGCGAATCACTATCAAGAGCCGCATGATCTTCACACCGACGATACGGGCTGCTGCTGGCCCTCGCACGGACTGCGATGGCAAAGACGACGACAAGACAGATGGTGGGTCGGGCGCCAGAGCCGCCTCTGCTTCCCCGTTGATGCCGCTCGATCCCCTCGACCTTGTGCACGAATATATCTGGGCGAGAGGCACCAACGTTGCGCTGTCCATTGCTGCTGAGGAGGAAGCCGTGAGGCTCATCGCAAAGGTACTCGCGAGCTCGACGTGGGACGCATCTCTGGGACACAAGCAGTCAATCGACGAGTGGATCCGGGAAAGAATATTTGAAGCAGCCGACCAGATGTCGACGATTCACGTCGACAAGGACGGCGTGGCTGCCCTCGCTTTTGATGTACCACCGAGCGAAAACCACTCGCCAGATGTCAGACGAGATGCCGCCATTTTCTCTCGATTCGTCCAGGCGCCACCAACCTGGTTCTCTCATCTGTCTCGCCCCACAACGACGACATTCTTCAAAAAGCAATATTGGCACGACTTTGCCCCATCTTTCATCCTCAACCAAGCCGCAAGCAATCCATAGACAGTCGACAAGCGCTTCTTTCAGCATCACTACACGGGTCAATCAACATATCAGCGCAGCGTCGAGCAGCATCGAACAATGCCATGTCCCTATCAGAAAGTAATCATCCCCGGTCTATTGGCAAATTTGAAATAAGTATAACACAATCTTGATCTAGAACATGTCTTTGCAGCGATAGCAGAACGACCATGTCACCACCTGTGGGCTTCCGAGAGGTGTGCGGGCAGAAGCGTCGCACTGTGCTCAGCTTAGACCATCTCTGTGAAAGCAGATTTAGCTGCTGTCTGTCCTTCTTCTTTGAGGGACGCGCTCCACGTGGCTCGTTGCGCGCGGTCGCGCCTGAGGTGTTCGTGGCTGTGATGCCTTGAACGTGCGAATGATTTCTTCTCGACTCCACCTACCATCTGCTCGCCTCTTTGCTCAATTAGAGTAGCGATCGAGCGACTCATTCTTTTCTGTCTTTCTCTCTCTGCCTTGTATGCCAGGCACGGTACCGAAGCTCACAGATCCCTCCCTGGTCACATCTTCATCGGGACCGTCTCCGTCGCCATCCAAGGCAGCTGTCACGTCTGACCCAAGCATCGGCGGCCTGCTCGACGCTCCAGCCGGACATCCGACTGCCGGAATCGCCTCAACGGGCGCTGCGCAGCTCACGGCGACAAACGCACTCACAAGTGCACTGGCACCCACAAACGAAGCGGCACAAATGACGGCGAGGCCAAACGCAAAGGGCAAGGCAAAGGCAAAGGCGCCCGCGCCCGTGGCCAACGACGCAAACCAGGATGATGCCGACTTGAAGAAGTTCATCGAGACAGGAGGCCACTTCAGCCTGGTTCGGTGAGTCGCCGTCTGTAGAGGGAAGTTTCAAGTCTGTCTGACAGCCCTGCCACCGCCACCAACAGGAACTTCCATCTGGCCGATGCATTCACCCTCATGAATGGTTTCTGTGGCGCACAGTCTCTGTTTGCTTCAGCTAGATATCTCATCACATCGGATCCCAGGCATGCATGGACAGCACTTTGGTTCCCTCTCTTTGGCGCCATCTTTGATCTCCTGGACGGGAAAGTGGCCCGCTGGCGCAACAGCAGCTCAATGCTGGGCCAGGAGCTCGACAGCCTGGCTGACTCTGTGAGCGTCGCCATCATTGTCCAACCTTGCTGTACACTCACATCCTCTCAATACTTGTCAAACAGGTCTCCTTTGGTGCAGCACCTGCCTTTGCCGCATACGCTCTCGGTCTGCGTCTCCCCCTGGACACGCTTGTCCTGACGCTGTTCATCTGTGCTGGCATCGCACGTCTGGCGCGCTTCAACGTCACCACTGCTTCGATTCCACACGACTCAACGGGCAAAGCACGTTACTTCGAAGGACTTCCCATCCCTTCCTCCCTCGTCCTCGTCGGAGGGATGGCCATTTGCCTGCTTGCTGGTCGTGTCGAACCTGGAGGACTGCCCATCGCTCTGGCAAAGGAGCGCGGCGCGCTGGCCAAGGAAGGCTTGACTTTCACTGCTAGCCTGCGCGACGTGATCCCCGGTGCTAACCTGGGACGCGGTGTTCCCTTTGGTACGATTGGATTCGATGCCAGCAAGCACCTCGCCAAGGGCTTGAGCAGGCTCTCCTTCCTCGACACCAAGTCGGTTGCCTCGTGGTCCCAGCTCGCAAACATCGAGATTCACAAATTGAGCTTCCTCTGGGCTGCTTGGGCCATGGCCATGGTCAGCAAGACGCTCCGCGTCCCCAAGCCCTAGTTCTACGTCACACAAACACATCCGCTCCCTTCCCAATACTGAAGCCAAAATTTTCCTTTATGTCTGTGCTCGATATCTCCCATTCCCCTTCTCTTTTGGCCTTCTTACTCCTCTGCCCTGTGAATCAAAGCAAAATTCTCTCCACGAACAAAGCTTGAGCTCGGGCCTATGGAATCCTCCACACCTGCGAACGTGACTTGAAATTTGTGATCACTGGCCGAACGAGACGCGCCTTTGCTATCAATCAAGCACTACTGGACGGCCCGGATCCTGTCGAACCCGTCTCTATTTTTCCTCTTTATCTCCTCATCGCTTAGCTGCAAGAGGATGGCGCCTTCTGCCCAGACACCCAAGCGCTCCGTGTCGTTTGGACCGACGACGGACGATGAGAAAGGGGCTCGGCCGTCGAGCGTGGCCATGACGCCGCAATCCAGCACCGACGTACTGGCGGGCTCCACGTCTGCGCAGTCGACGCCCGCCGCTGCGCTCAAGCCGGCCCTGAAGGCAGGTACGGAACGCAACAAGCTTCCTCCAAAAGAGCAGTACCAGCACCCCGATCCACTCGTCCGTCGGCTCCGGCTCGTCGACGCCGCGGGCGACCCGGTCAACCTGCGCTCGTACTTCAAAAATGTGAAATGCGTCGGCTTCTACTTTAGCAGCCAGTGGGCCGGGCAGCCCCTCAAGGAATACCACCAGGTGGGCTGTCCCTGATTTTTTTTTTGGGCAAGAAGGACGTCAGAGGACTAACGATCATGCAATTGCCCTTGTATTTGACCACAGACGATTAATGACTTTGTCCGGGTCCACCCCAACGAGTTCAAGGTCGTATATGTCAGCGTCGATGTAGATGAGCAGTGGTACAAAGCAGGCGTCAAGGGGCAGGTGGGTTCAGGTCAAGTGATGGCATCTCTCTTCTCTTCCTCTCTCTCTTTGGCTGATGAACACTACTTGACTTGCTTCAGCCTTGGGTGTCGATGGTCTGGAACGACGGATCTTCGCTGCCGTCCGATCGCCAGCCAAATTCTTCTTCGCTCAAGAAGGAATCTGCGGTCCAAGACGACTCGGACGACTCCGAGGACGCGCCTCCGGCACTGTACAACAACGAGGACTTTCTCCTGGCGTCCGAGGCCGACATTGACGAGTCGCTCTCGCGCTCTGACACGTCTGGCACCGCGTACCTGCGCCCCTTTTCGCGCGTCCACCTGGCCGCCAAGCTCAACATTATTGCCGCGCCCACGCTCTGCGTCTACCATCTCGAGAAACAAAAGATGCTCGACTGGAACGTGCGTATGGCCAGGCTCGGAAAGATGCGGAGGCAAGATACCTGGGAGAGATGGCTGCGGGGCGAGGGACCCCAGACGCTCAGCTTTGGCGAGGCCATGCAAAGAAAGCCAATCACTTTTGCCATGTGCGCCCTGGCCATCCTCTACTGGTGCCTCGTCTACTTTGGCGGACCAGAGTACAATGTGAGCAGATCTCTCTCTCTCTCTTCCTTGCTGGCTGGAAGCTCCACCACTGACTATGCTCCGGTAGTTCATTCGAAGGTACATGGACGGTTTTGACCGTACCAACCAGCCGCTCGTTGCCAGCGACAAGTCATCACCGCCACACTTTGACTTCTGAAACTTCCAAAGTGCCCTTTTCTTCGTTTCCTCCCCTCTCCTCTCGGCTCTGTACTTGTAACTTCTTTCTCTCACTCTCACTCTCACTCCCACTCTCCTTCCTCCTCTCTTTTAACTCACACATTCTTGATCGTCTTCTAAAGTACATAAATCCGTGGGATGAATAAAGTTCGGGAGAAGAGGTGGTGGTCACGTTACCCCAATCTATGCTCCTGTCGTGTGCTCGTTGTCGTTGCCGTTGTTGCCGTCTCTGCGGCTGGCTGCATTGGTGTGTCCTCGTCATTGGTCGATTGCGGTTCTGTCGGTGCCGCTTCTGGCGCTGCATGGTCTGTTTTCTCGCCGCCCTCGGCAGTGCCGCTCTCTGCCTTTTCGCCCTCCTGCATACTTTCTTTTCCGTCCGTTGGCGCTTCCGATGTCACGGTCTCCGCCTCCCCAGATGAAGTGGTAGCAGCAGTCGCTTCATTAGGCGCCACCACCTCCGCCACGCTCTTCATCGCCACGTCACCCTCCTTCTTCTCCTTCTCTGCTGCTGGTACCTCCTCCTCCTTTCTGTAGATGGCCAGGACATCGTCGACCTTGACCTTTGCGAACTGGGCCACATGGGCATTTCTCGCAAGCCTCATCGCCTTCCAGCTCAAGCCCGCCCTCTGGTCGTTCCACTCTGCCAAGCTCTCGTCCTCGGCCTCGCGCTTCAGGCGCTTCACCTCGGCCTCTCGCACCTCGGCGCCAATCTGGAGGCCCAGCGCCTTGATCTTGGCGGGCGCTTCGAATCCCAGGTCCTGCCGTCTGGACTCCATCTTTGCCTCCAGTGACTTGATCCGGTCCGCATACTGCTCCAGCGAAGGAATCGTCGGCGGCCACTCAAGGTCGTCCAGCCCGTCGACGTCAACCTGGACCTCGTTGCCTTCGGCGTCCTCCATCGTCCGCTTGCTTGGCTCTGGTCTCTTGACGCCATCTTCCCACAAATTCGACAGGGCGGCCGTGCCGACCTTGTGTGGAAAGGGGCGGAGCACCCTCAGCGTAGCCCGGAGCGTGTCATTGCCGATGAAACGGTCGATTTGCTCAAGCGTCAGGCCAGCCTTGTCGATAGGAGGACAGCTGTCTACTTTCCAGCTCAGCCATCGCTGCTCTCGGCGAAGCACCTGCAACACCGAGTCCGAGAACAGTCTGCCTTCCTCTGTCATTGTCGTCGCGATCGTCGTCTTATGGCCGGCAGGAGACGAAGACGACGAGGATGAATGCGTCTGCTTCAGCTGCTGTACAATCTCTTTCCAGGTGTCCCTCAGCCACCGGTCGTCGGCCTCGTCGAGCACAAATGCCGTCGAGGTGGCCAGCGCCTGGTTTTTCCAGCCGGCTGCCTTTTCGCGCTGCGCAGCTGTGAAGCCCAGCAGATACTGGAAGAGAATGAGGTATTGAACCAGGACGTGTCGACGGAATTTCTCGTCTCGAACCTCGTATTCGAGCAGGTTTCTCCCCGTCAGGTACTTGGGAAAGTAGTCGTCATCGCCGTCGTTCTTGACTTCGACCGCCTCGTTGTCGTCGACGTCCATGTTGTCTTCGCTGGCCTTCCGCTTCGAACCCCGCTTCGCGCCCCGATTGCCCCTCTTTGCCGAAGAAAGATCCGAGGTCGATGGCGCAGAGCTACCACCCAGCTTCGCAGCCTCTTCCTTCTCCGCCTTGCCAGCCAGCTCCCTCTCCTTTCGGGCGACGGCGGCAAACAGGCTCAGCGTTGTTCGGGTCGCCAGTCGAAGAGTCCGCATCGGGCCTTTTTGTCCTTCAGGCGCTGGATCCACGCAGCCTTTTGGCAAGACGACCACACTCTCTTCCCCTTGCTGCTCTTCTGAAAAGAGGAGCAATGGATTCGAGAAGTAGTCTTGCTGCTTCCAAAAGAGCGAGTAGAACCGCGGGTCGTTTAACGAGTCCAGCAGCTCTTCGTCCGATTGTTTGTGCTGATCCTCCCCAGCCTTGACGGAGGAGGCGGTGGCGGTGTCTTCGCGGCTGCTACGCTTCTCGCCTTCCTCCTCTGCGGTTTCGCCATCCTTCTCGGTGGGCTCCTGCTCGGCCTGGGCTTCGGGCGATTGCTTGCTTGACACCTCATCGTCATTGTCTGCCACTTGTTCCCAGACCGTTTTGTTGTCCACGTTGAAGTCGCCCCGCAAGTTGACGCCACTTCTTTCGCCCAGAGGTAGCACAGCGCTGAGCAGGCTCAGAACCCGACCGGCAAAGATGGTGTGAGACCGTGTGGGCTTGGAAAGACGCCGAATGACATCGTTGCACAGACGCAGAAGTGTGAGGCCCTTGCCCTTGGAAGGCACCAGGCCTGCTGTCAGCTGGTCTGCTCTTGATTCGATGAAGTTGAAGAGAAGAGAGCACGAGGGGATCGTGAGCCGCTCGAGGAGCTCTTCGTGGATGAGGAGTGGCAAATTCATATCGATGATGCCTGAAGGATTGCATCGACGTGAGTGAAAGCAATGGTAAAGCACGATGCGCAGACTCACCATGAGACTCGAGCGCAATGACGATATCCAGACGATCGAAGAGCCCCTTTGCTGTCGAGTTGGACAGCTCTGCTCCGTCCTTTCGTGAACATTATCGATCGGGTAAGCTGACCTTGACTGTCATGAGAGGAGAAGGAGCACACTCACCACTTCATCCAGGGCGCCGAAAGCAAACTTCCTCGCCTCGAGTCCGCACTCATCTTTGACAAGGTCATCACCACTCCCAATTCCCTCTATAGATTGGATCGCGTCTTTTGCACTTTGGATCCTGGGCGATATTGTCTGTGCGGCAAGGTCGGGAGGAAGAAGGAGATCCGAGTGCGAGTGCGAGGTGCGCAACGTCGAGAGCACCTCGAGACATTCCAACAGGGCAGGCACCAGCACACTGCCGACCTCATTGACTGCTTCCGATGCCATCTCGTCCTCGTCTCTCGACCCCTTTCCTTCTCTCTCTCTCTCTCGTCAGGCCTCGTGTTCTTCTCGCGTCAATGATGAGGACGAGCGAGGCGTTGGTGGAATGGAGGTTGACGTTTTCATCACGTGCCCTCGCCCTCCAAAATTTCTCAAAAGTTGGAACCAGGAGACTTTCTTCTGACCTTCAAGCTCCTCCTAACATCACCGAGAAGACTGGCCGGACGATGGAGGCATCATCTTCGACTGCGACGATCGCAGGGCCTCCTACCCCGGCACAGACACATACGCATACACCCACGTCCAAGTCAGGAAAGTCCAAGGAGGAGTCGTTCACAGCTGCTTTTGGACACCTTCTCGATGCCCGTATCCTGCGCGCCCTCGCCAAGCTTGGCTACTCCCGGCCGACCCCAGTGCAGCTTTCGAGCGTGCCCGTGGCCCTCTCGGGACGAGATGTGCTTGCAAGAGCGAGGACAGGAAGTGGCAAGACGCTGGCATATGCGCTGCCCCTCGTCCAGAAGGTCCTCCTGGCCAAGAAGGCCCTCTCGAAATCCGACACGTCCTACCAGAGGACCCGTGCCATGGTCCTCGTGCCCACACGGGAGCTCAGCGAGCAGGTGACGGCCCAGCTGGGAGCGCTGCTCCCCTTCTTGGAGCGCGATGTGAGCGTCGTGAATGTTGCGCGCGATGCATCGCACCACGTCCACAAGGTCCTCCTCTCTGAACGGCCCGACATCGTCGTGGCCACGCCCAGCCGGGCCCTGGCTCACGTTCAGGCGGGCACGCTTGACCTGTCGAACCTCGAAACACTGGCCATTGACGAGGCCGACTTGATCCTCAGCTATGGCCACGACGAGGCGCTGCGCAGCCTGCCCCTTCCAAAGGGCCTGCAATGTCTCTGCATGAGCGCGACGATGACCAAGGACGTGACGGCACTAAAGGGCCTTGTGCTGCACAATAAGCCTGTAAGTAGCCCGCATTTACTTCATGCTAGTTTCTCTCTGGACAACAAGTGAGCTCACACAGTGCCAACACAGGCCATTCTGGACATCGCCGACCCGGAGCTGTCGAACCTGACGCAATTCAAAGTCATCGTCGAGTCGTCGACGGACAAGTTCCTACTCCTCTACGTCATTCTTAAGCTGCGGCTGATCCGGGGCAAATGCATCATCTTTGTCAACGACGTCGACCGGGGCTATCGGCTCAAGCTGTTTCTGGAGCAGTTTGCCATCAAGTCGACGGTGCTCAACGAGGAGCTGCCCGTCAATAGCCGATACCACATCGTGCAGGAGTTCAACAAGGGCGTGTACGACTACATTATTGCGACGGACGAGAGCCGGTTCGGCGCTGATGCGACTGATGACGAAAGCGCGGCAACAAGAGTCGAAGAGGTGACAGAGACAGAAGCGAAGGAGAGTACAGAGGATGGTGAGGATGGTGAGAACGCGAGTGAAGACGAGCAAGGCGAGAAGGAGGAAGGGGCAGAGAAGGAAGAAGAGGAAGGGGCGACAACATCAAAGAGCAAGGGCAAGAAGCACAAGCCGGCAAAGGGCGAGGGCAAATCGAGCAAAAAGCATGAATACGGTGCTTCGAGGGGCATCGACTTCGTTGCCGTCTCTTGCGTCGTCAACTTTGATCTGCCCGTCTCGACGCGAGGCTACACGCACCGCGTGGGACGAACGGCGCGTGCGGGCAACACGGGTACGTCGCTGTCGTTTGTCGTGCCCGAGGAGGCCTTTCGCAAGGACATGCAGCCTGGATCGTCGTCTCGGCCGCTCGTCTGTGCGACGACGGAACGCGACGAGACTGTGTACGCCAAGATTGAGGCGCAGGAGCAGGCAAAGGGCCAGGAGATTCGCGACTGGCGCTTCGACAAGAAGCAGGTCGACGCCTTTCGCTACCGGATGGAGGATGCGCTGCGGAGCGTGACGCGGGCCAGCATCCGCGAGGCGAGGATCAAGGAGATCAAGAATGAGTTGCTGAACAGCGAAAGGCTCAAGGCCCACTTTGAGGACAACCCTTCGGATCTCCTGTACTTGCGCCACGACAAGGCGCTGCATCCGACGAGGGTTCAACCTCATCTCCGCCATGTCCCCTCGTACCTCATGCCCCGCATCCGATCGGCCGTCCCGGCCCCGGCCCCCGTCGAAGGAGGCGACGCCGCAAAGAGAAAGAGGACCGACGATGATGCCGAGGGTTTGGGCTATGTCACATTCGCAAAGAACCGCAACGCAAACGGGTCGCGGGGCGGACGAGGCCGGGGCAGGGGCAGGGGTCGCGGAGGCGCCTCTTCCAACGGACGGTCAATGAGCAAGAAGAAGAAGGCAGATCCACTGCGCAAGTTTGGCAAGTAAAGGGGCGTGGTGCCACTGCTGGATGACTAGAGCTTGTTTGCACATGTAATTGTAGTAGTAGTGGTGGTCACAATAACAACAGGTTCAATCTATCAGTACATGAATGTCTCCGTCTCGACCATGCGTGGCACGGTGCGGAGGTCTGCATCCTTTGCCTTGGTCCAGATGTAGCCATCGACGAGTGCCTCGTGGATGCCCGCCATCCAGCGCTTGCTCTCGTCCTGCTTCGCCAGCTCGTGGGCGCGTAGGCTGATCTGGTGGCATGCGTCCAGCGCGGCGGCTCGGATGATGTACGCTTGCTCCCTCGCCAATTTCGGGCCTGGTACCACACTGTCGCTTCCCTTGTCCTTGCCTGCGTCGTCCCGCTGGATGATTTCGGCGTTCCAGGCGCGCAGCGACTCGTCTTTGGCCGAGGCGACGTCGAGGATGCCCCAGTGGACGAGGAGCGAGGGGATGACATTGTCGACAAAGGCCGGCAAAACGCTCGCGTCCGGTGTCGGGGGCGCCTTTTCGTCGTTGCCGAACCGGGCGCGGAGCCACGAGAGGAGGAGATAGGCGCGCTTGTGCACGTAGACGGTCGTCGAGGAGGACGCGATCGTGTATGCGTCGTTGAATGCCGGCAGGGCGGTGGTGATGGCGTCGGCAAAGAGGGCCGCAAAGGCCTCGTCGTCGCCATTGGAGTCCACCTTGGCCGTCGACAGCGCCCGCTCGACAAAGGTGGCCAGGTCCGGGCACTTCATCTGCTGCAACCGCCTGCCCGTGTCGTTTGCCGCGACGCAGAGCACGTGGGCAGCCTCGAACATGTCGTCGCTCCGCCGCGTGCCCACGACGGCACCCGGCAGGTTGGGGTGCGCTTCCTCGACGTGCGTGGGCACACCCCACAGGCCGAGCACGGTGAGCGGCGTGAGCGACTCGAGCGTTGCCGCGCTCAGTGGGAGCCCGCTGTCTCCCGCTGGGTCCTCGAGATACATGGAGAGGACGAGCTTGACGATGTTCTTGTGCGCACCCTCGCGCGTGTTTCGGTGGAACGCGGCTCGGTAGCCGCTGAGGCTGTTGAGAAAGCACAGATGGCAGATGACGTTGAGCTCGGCGTGCCGAGACGGATAGGCAAGGGGCAGCTTGTAGCCCGACTCGAGCCACTTGGCGTCCGTCGGCAGCGTGCTAGGCATCGAATCGAGCAGGGCGTCGATGCGCTCCGTCGAGATGGAGATTCCAGCTGCCTCTCGCGCAGCCAAGCACGACGACCGCGTGACCTTGAGCAGATCTTTGGCCGGCCTGACGGGCCCAACGTCGCTGAAGGACATCCTGTTCTACGTCGCTTTTTGGCCTCTCTCTACCTGCTCAGCAACGGAGTCAGTCCTTCCTCGAAAGTGTTGTTTTAAAGTTGAGCTGGAGTCATATTCGGAAGTCGGGACATGGCTCGAGCGAGGGGATGAATGAAACAAAATAAAATTCGCGACAAGAAATTTTGCCGCGTGGAGCTCGGCCGAGCTCTCGCACACATCCTGGACCGCAGCACACGTCGAGCCTGGGTGAGGTTGATTCGAGGAGGTCAGCTTCTTCGACACCGCATCGCCCTCGACCGACTAACGTCAAGACACAAGCAAAGTGAGTCTTTCTTCTTGTCTTTCACGTCATTCGTAGTATCTTCGTACTGATTGTTGCGTTCTCCTCGCAGAATGGTGAGTTTCTTTGCTGGAGATCGTCAGGCGTGTAAGGAGTGCGAGAGGAGCATGTTGAAGGAACCGAACCACGGCGAAACGGGTGATGAGAAAGGACGCAGGGGAGAGGGGACGGGGACTTCTTTTCTGCGTGCGATGCGTGGCGCTGGGTGGAGCTTGGGAAGCAGCGTGGACTCGTGGATGGAGAAATGCGAGAGCGGACTTGTTGAGACGATGAAGAAGGACTGGACTGACATGACAAACGCAGGTTCGCGGCCCAAGGAAGCACATGAAGCGCCTGGCGGCGCCCTCGTCGTGGATGCTCGACAAGCTCTCGGGCACCTACGCTCCCAGGCCCGCCGCTGGTCCCCACAAGATCCGCGAGTCGCTCCCCCTCGTTGTGCTCCTCCGCAACCGTCTCAAGTACGCCTTGACCGGCCGTGAGGTGCTCTCGATCACCGCCCAGCGCCTCATCAAGGTCGACGGCAAGGTCCGCACCGAGCCCACTTACCCCACCGGCTTCATGGATGTTGTTTCGATTGAGAAGAGCGGCGAGCACTTCCGTATCCTCTACGACGTCAAGGGTGCGTACAGAGACTGCACGTCTGCGCAGAGAATTTCCGAAGCTGACCTGGTGTTGTGTGACTGCTGCAGGCCGCTTCATCGTCCACCGAATCACGCCTGAGGAGGCCACCTACAAGCTGCTCAAGGTCAAGAAGGCGCAGCTCGGTGCCCGCGGTGTTCCCCACGTCGTCACCCACGACGGCCGCACGCTCCGTTACCCCGACCCGCTCGTCCGCGTCAACGACACCATCCGGTACGACATTGAGAACAACAAGATGGTTGACTTCATCCACATGGACACTGGCTCCCACGTCATGGTCACTGGTGGCCGTAACCAGGGCCGTGCCGGCCGCATCACCGGCCGTGAGCGCCACCCCGGTGGCTTCGACATCGTCCACGTCCAGGACACCCTCGGCCGAGACTTCTCGACGAGGCTCTCGAACATTTTCGTCATTGGCGACGGTGGCAAGCCCTGGATCTCGATGCCCAAGGGCGGTGGTATCAAGCTGAGCATCGCTGAGGAGCGTGACCAGAGGAGGCGCCAGCGTGAGGCTCAGGGAGCGTAAAGGAAATCATGTCGCAATCCTTCCTGTCCGTCTCATACACACATTCATCACTTTCTCACGCTCTCTCTTGACCTTGGCATTCCTCTCAGCCCTCATCCATGTATGAAAAGTATTCTCTCTATCCAAAAGCGCCACTCGAGGGCGAATGAAGAATGACCATGGCGCATGCACACTGAAACTATAGTCTAGTTGTGAGATGCTTGCGTCTGAACGGACCTACCTTCGACCTTTCTCCGTGCTGCTCATTTTTCTTGTTCTGATGAGCCCAGCACGGCAATCAGGATAAGTAGCTTGGTGTTGAGCAGAAGTACAGCCTCGCTCTTTTCCTTCTCAGCTCGTCGACGTGTGTTGATGGGAAGATCGTCGAAGAAGCTCCTGTTTTATTTCGCAGATCGACTAAATATAAATTTTGCCTCGGTAGCGAGAGAAAGAAAGACAGACACAGAGACAGACGCGTTTCCGCTTCCTCGAACCAAATGGCACGCCATCGAGGACGAGGTGCACGATGAGACCCACGCTCAATGTCCGGCTGCTGGGCGTCGGCGGGGCTGGCTCGGGGGGGCTAGCCTCGGATTTGCGCCTGGCGCTCGCCTCGCCCGTCCAGGGCTTTGACCCCTACCGGATCCTGCTCCAGATCGTCTCGCTGCAGGCGCTCCACTACCTCGTCCTCTGTCTCGTGGCGCCGCCCTGCGCGGCACTCTTTCCCTACATCCAGACGGACCGGCTCGAGTTCCAGGGTGGCGCCATGAGTCTCGGCCTCGTGCTCGACTGGCGAGAGATCAGTGGTGTTCCCACGGCAGGCAGAGCCGCATGGGCGACGACCAGCGGCAGCACGAGCGCGATGGAGAGCGACAGGTGGGACGAGGCTCAAGGGCTGGACCGGTGGTGGGACTCTGCCGCCTACCTTCTTCCGCCCACGACGGCGGCGGCAGAAGAAAGAGGGCCGATCAAGGTCACCGTAGGTGATGTCGGCTGGATCGGATCGCGACCCGCCAGCGTCCACTCGATTGACGCTGCTCCACCCTCCGCCAAGGGCAAGACAAAGTCACCGGCGTGGTACCGCGCAACGGCCCAGGATCCCTCTCGGGGCTGGTCCATTGTCCTTGCTTGGGTCTTGACGGGCATCGCAGACGTCTACCTCCTCGCCCTCCTCGTCCGTCGGCCGACCCACATCCTCGACCATACCCTCACGCTCCACTTTTGGCATGCCGTTCTGACGACGCTCTACACGAGGCAGCTCCCGCGCAGCCTCTTTTACTGGATGGTCATGTGTGCCCACGCTGGTGGGTGCGTCGTCTGGGCAGAGGCCCTGGCCATTGGCCGCGAGATGAAGGGATGGACGAGCGGCCTGGGCAGGCAGCACGGTGACAACGACGACGAAGACGATAACAACGACGATGAGGAGCAGGTGCACGAGCACGATGGTCTGCTGCGTGGTCAAGCTGGGCGGACTGGTGCGCACCAAGACAGTGACTCGGGCCGACGTGAGGAACGAGGCGCCAACAATGGCGTCGATGGTCTGGCGGCCGATCGGCCGAAGATGAAGAGCTCGAGGTCGCCCACCACGCATGTCGTCTTTGATCACGACGAGGTCCTCGACAGTGATCAGGAAGACGACCATAGAGACGCTGCTGCAGGGCGAAAGGGGAAAGCAAATGGCCATTCGGCAGAAGCAATCGAGATGAAAAGACTTGACTAGGCTTCCTTGATCATGACTTGGTAATTTGATCACATTTAAATGCAAGTGTGTGGTGCAGCTCTAGTCCCACAAGCAGAGCCACCGCCTCTTTGTCTCGGCGTCTGCTTCTGCATCAAAGGCCCAGGGGACAAGGACGATGTCTGCGTCAAAGCCCTCGCTTCGCTTGGGAGCCTCGAGGTTGGCATAGTAGCTGTCAAAGGCCAACTTGGGCACCAGGCTCCGAGCATCCTCTTCGTTCTGCTACAGCGTCATGACTATCAGCGCTGTACATGCGCTTTGCAGAGCACAGCCATCCGGTCCACTCACCAAGCCGGCTCGGGCGCGGAAGAGATTGTTGTGCCACGCCAGGTCCTTGACGACGTCGAAGTGGACGCATCTGACTTGGGCGCCCAACTCCTTGGCAATGGCAATGTAAGGCGCTCTGGTCGTCACGTTTCTGTTCGTGTTGTCAATGACGACGGACTCGCCCTGCTGCAGGTAGTCCTTGACAGCCTGCTGGCACTTTGCCGCAGTCTTGAGCTTGTCCTGGTTGACCCAGGCATACCCGTGGGGTTGAAAGTGCCGACGAAAGTAGCTCGTCTTGCCTGAAGCCGGTGGACCAACAAAAACGACAATGTCTGGCTTGGTCTTGTCTGACGGAAGCAAGGTCTTGCTGACGATATCCTCCCCGACCGTGCTGACGAGATCCGCGGGGGGTTTCCAGCCTGTGATTTTGTACTGCTGAGGCTGTAGAGGGGTGTGTCAGCCTACTTGCCCTGCTTTAATACATTATGAAAACAAGATGCGTACCCGTTTGCCGTCAAAGAACTCTTCGGGCGTGTAGAAGGGTATGCCGACGTTGGTGGCCCACTTTCGGTCCGTGTCGTTGTGGTCTTGTGGCCTGCCCGCCGCATCGCCGACAAAGTACGAGACCTCGTCTTGGACCTGTCCGCCTGGGGTCACTTCAATGTCTTCCCTTTGCCCACCCACCTCGACGTAGGCATCAACGATGCCCTTGTCCCACATGGCCCGCCCCGGCTTGCGAAAGCCGTCGTCACTCAGGGCCGCGAGGACAAGCATGGGGCAGTCGATGGCGTGCGCGATGTGGGCCAACTTGCTCTTCCATGTCTTGAGGCGAGACGAAGGTGTGAGCGCCGTCGACTGCGGCGACGTCTGTTTCTGGTTCGACACGATTGCGATACAGGCACTAACTCGGTGTATTGAGCTCCCTACGTCCTCACTGTCTCTTGAAGCTCCAGCCAGTCAACTCACCCTTTTTGATACTCTTCTTTTACCCGCTTGAAGACGCCCCACCGCGTCTCTTCGAAGTCGTACTCATCCGTGGCGGAGGGAAAAGACTGCCAAGCGCCATCATCGCATTGTCAGCATCGCCGATGGGTGGGAAGGGGACGGAGGGGGCGAAGGTCGACTCCTACCTTTCCATTCCTCGGCACGACCAGGCACCCATCTAGGTCGAAGCAAGCCACTTTGACTTTTTCCTGGCCCTGAACGCCCTTGCGCCTCTCCACCTGCTCCTGCAAGGGTCGCCCGAGGCTGGCTCGGAGGCAGCTTGGTCTGCTGGAAGGCCCAAGGGGGGCGAGCCACACGAAGGCGCCCTGCTGAGGGTCCGACGATGATGACGACGCCTCAGGGTCCACAGTCGCTGACATTTTCTTGTTGAATAGTGGGAAGAGTGATTGGGTCTTACTGCCAAGGTGGTCGTCAGTCTTGCGCTTTTTGACGCTGGAGCCTTCAGAGGCCGTCGTCGATGCCTTGGTCGATGCGCTGCGAACGGCAGAGGCCACGACTACAAAATCATCGTCGTCTGCCTTTCTACTCTTGTCGCTCGATCTATTGGAAGAAGAAGATGGGGCCATGCGATAAGCCCGAGGTGCCAGACGAAGCTGCCTCGCCGGAGCAAACACCAGGGTAGCGGCCCTCAGCTTGCCTTTCAGTTCGTGGTGTTTTTTTGGATCGGCCCAATCAATCGCGGTTGTGGTCCAAGCGCGAAATCCGCCGATTTCTTCGCGTGCTTGCAAGAAGAGAGGACCATTTCAACTTCTTCCTGCCCCTCTGACCCGACAAAATACAACCATCACCATGTCAAAGGCACAGGGAGTCAACGTCGCCATCATTGGTGGGTCCTGAGACAAAAGTCAAACCAAGGCAGGGAGTTGAAAGCTGATGCAATGCTCTTTAGGTGTCGGCTTGGTCGGCACATCGGTCATCTCGCAGCTGACGACGGTGCCCTCGTTGGCCTCTTCGGTCCACATTGTCGCGCTTCAGAACAGCAAGAAGGCCCTCCTGGCCGGTTTGGGCGAGTCAAGGATTGCCATCTCGAGTCAACAAGACTGGCAGTCCAAGCTCTCGTCCAGCTCGACGGCAGCCCTGCCCCTGCCTCAGCTCACATCGCACCTCGCTTCGCTCACAAAGTCGACGGGCCGCCACACCGTTGTCGTCGACAACACATCCAACGACGCTGTCGCCTCCTTCTACCCATCTTTTCTGGGTGCTGGCTTGAGTGTCGTGACGCCCAACAAAAAGGCTTTTTCCTCGTCGCTGGACCTCTACAAGGCCATCCTCGAGTCCTCGGCTGCGACGGCGTCCAATCCCCGGCCGGCGCTCCTGTACGGCGAGAGCACCGTCGGTGCCGGTCTGCCCGTGATCTCCACGCTCCACGACATCCTTGCCACGGGTGACGAGGTGACTCGCATCGAAGGTGTTCTCAGCGGCACCCTCAGCTACATCTTCAACGAGTTCTCGACGCCGAGCGGAGCCCCTCAGTCTTTCTCCAAGATTGTCAAGGTGGCCAAGGACAACGGCTACACCGAGCCCCACCCGGGCGACGACCTCTCGGGCAGCGACGTTTCTCGGAAGCTGACGATTCTCAGCCGCATGATTCCCTCGCTCCTCGAAAAGCTGCCCAAGGGCTACGAGTCGGTACCCACGCACAGCCTGACGCCTGCACCCCTTGCCGACGTCAAGAGCGGCGACGAGTACGTGGCACGCCTGCCCGAGTTTGACGCTGACTTCCAGAGCCTCAACGAGGCAGCAAAGGCCGAAGGATATGTGCTCCGCTACGTCGGCGTCATTGATGCCGTCTCGGGCGAGATCAAGGCGAGCTTGGAAAAGTACCCCTTCAGCCATCCGTTTGCGAGCTCGCTCAGCGGCTCTGACAACATCTTCCAATTCAAGACAAAGCGGTATAGCAACAGGCCCCTGCTGGTCCAAGGACCCGGCGCAGGCGCCGATGTGACGGCCATGGGCGTTGTGGCCGATCTGATCAAGGTGGCCGAAAGGAGGGGTTGATGAACGCTAGCAAAAATAAAACACGGATAGGTTGCAAGCAAACGAACAGATGCAAGATATGATATATGATTACTAGAAGAAAGAGCAAATCAGGAAGCAAGTTGCGTGTGACTGAAAAGAAAGAGAGGGAGTATATGTATCAATGACAGAGGATAGACAGCTAAGTTATCAGCAAAGATTCGGTCGTGTGTTGTTGCAAAGAAAGCAGAGATGAAGACGTCGGTTGCGAAAGTTACGGTTGCGAAAGTTGCGGTTGCGAAAGTTGCGGTTGCGGAAGATGCGGTTGCGAAAGATGCGGTTGCGAAAGATGCGGTTGCGAAAGATGCGAAAGAGGACCATACTCTAATGACTCTTCTAACGACGATCGAAAGGACGAAGGTGAGGAAGGATGAATGCACGGCAAATTTCGTTCTTCTGATGATGATGCCGAGATGTACGAGGCGGGGGATGCCACTGTGTGCTCTTGCTGGAAGGAATGGCCGCCGTTCAGGATCATCTCCATCGTGTCATGGTGGTTGCGCTTCTCGATTGGGTGACAATAGTCTGTCAAAGCATCGCGAACGATGGCTGGCTGTGCCGAGCTCGTCGAGGTTGACGCCATTGAGGAAGGATGGGCGTGCGCTGGGTCTTGTGAGGGAAGGCTTAAAGCATTGTGATGAGCCGGCGTGCTGGTGCTGTCAGAGACTGCCATTCCCTCCTGCATCGGATGCAAAGGCGGGGGTGTCGGGAACCCCACTGTATACCCCTGGAGCTGGTGATCACCAAAGTGAGGAAGCTGGTGCTGAAACCGAGCCGAGGATTCTTGACTGCTAAAAATCTGCTGACGGTGATCCTCAATGAACGAAAGTTGAGGGACTGCGTGAGTTCCGACGGTAGCAAGGTAATGGTGGACGGGGTGGTCGCCAGAAAGAATGTTCGCAGGACAGTCGGTCGAAGATTGGAAGTGCGACGGCTGCAGAGTCAAGTGCGAGAAGGGAACGTCATCGACTACTGGGTCTCTGGTTCCGAAGCTGTTGTCATCGGTGAGGTTGGGCGAGAAGCTGAAGGCGTGGAAGTCTAGAGAATTGGAGCTAGCGGTCGATGGAGGTGAAGGCGAAGATACTGTGTTCGCCGACGAATGGTCCAGATATGTATACGCGGCGGTAGGGCAGACGATGTTGTCGCCCTGGTCGCTCGTCCTGAAGCGCGCTTGGTTCAGGGATGATGGAAATGTGTAGTTTTCCGTCATCTTCGCAGGGATGTCCATGCGCGACGGTCGCTGCTGCCACCATGGTTGAGGAGCCTTGGGCACCGTCCTCGTCTCAGGTGCTACATCACCGATCAGGTATGAGTCCTTGTAGAAGCGCGGGTGCTGGGTGTGATTCTCTTCCGAGCTCCACGGAGCAGCCTTGAATAATTTGCCATGATAGGGCACCTTTCTCGAATTACTCTTCCGTGACGGCATCTTGGCACGGTGGGCTTCGACAGCAGCTTTCTTGAGCTTCGCTTCTGGCAACGAAGATTCCTTGTGGCACCGTGGCAATGGGTGCATCTGCGCGTTGGAGATCTGCATTGGCTTGGTGTGATGAAGAGAGACGTGAATCTCAGCGTCCGACGGCTCGCTTTTTAAAGCCGAAGTTGCCCCGACCACCTTTGGCGGGGAAGAAACAAGCACAGGTGAGTACCTTTCAGAGCCCACTTTGCCACCGTTGGCCCAAGCCCTTGACGGTGAGCTTCCCTTTGAAGAAAAGTCGGAGCTGGCGGTGACGGTGATAGTGTCGGTGGCAGCGGAGGTTTTTGTCGCCTTTGCCTGTCGCTTCGGCTTGTATCGATAATTCGGATGCGCAGCAAGGTGAAGACGCTTGCGCATCTCTGCCATTTCTTCGTAGAGTTTCTTCGTTTCCGGAACCTCATTACGCCACCATTCTGCGATCATTTGAGAAATCTCGGCTTGAGAACGGGCTTTGACCTGTGTGTCGCCATTGCCGGCCTCTTTGGCGGCCTTGAGCTGTGCTTCGCGTACTTCACGATGCTTGTCGGCTCGATAGAGGATCCAGGAATTTGGTGGGCGAGGGACGCCGTCGGGAGTCAGCGGTGACGTGAAAGACGGCATTGAAAAGGCGAGGTGGTTCGCGCCGACTTGGCTGCCCAATCTTGATTTGCGGGGCTTGCTTCTTTTCCCAATCGATCAGCAAGGTCCACATACTCCCGCGTGTACTTTTGCTCACTTGGGTTTTCTGTCCGCGGATGCTTTCTGAGCATCACTTGAGGATGCGCAACCTCCCACCTTTGGCGAATCGGATGCAGGCAAGGATTGCGACGTACCGTGGCGGCCTCCCATCGCCACCGTTGGAACCATTGTTACAATCCTGACTGTCGCTTCTGTTCACAAGAAGGAAAGGTGAAGTCGGCGAAGTACTGCGGGCCTGATCCGCAAATGTATCCACCGGCGCTATTCAAGTGTGCTTGTGAAGTCAAAGAGCCTTCTCAATCTAGCCGGTCTTGATGGTGGTGTTTGTTTTGAACATGCCAATCCCATGAAAGTCGTCGAAAATGTTGTTGGCTGCACGCTGTAGAAACTTCGGTGCCAGATCCGCTTAGCCCGTGTACCGGTGATTGAGAGGATGGGAACCCACTCCTCGACGCTGTGCGATAAGGTACAAGAGAGTGGCAAATGTTAGCGCTACTCTAATTATGATGAAATCATGATAGATTGAGGGAACAGGGTTGTAGACGATTGCGACATGCCAACTAGCAAGGCAGACACTGGCGAGGACAAAGGGAGACAAGGCCTTGGATCGTTCTCGTCCGAATATTGAATGAGCGCGGGGGTTTGACGCGAGAGAACTGCTGCAAGATAAACGGAGAGTTTCTTTTCCTAAACATTGCGAGCACCAATTTAGATTGTGAAGAGTGGGGCTCAAAGTATGCGCTGGTAGACCTCCCGCCTTTGGTTAATGCGGCGTTAGCCTTGACGGCAGACAGAGCAGTGAGACGTCGTGAAAAGAAAGGTAGCGGGCAATGTTCGCGTCAATGATCAGGGTGCATCCGCACGAAGAACCAAAAGAGGATTGATGCGGATTTTCGAGCTCCGCAATCTACACTCGCCTCGCTTGCAGCCACTCCACCCATTCACAATGCCCGCCGCCCGAACAGTCTCAGTGCTGGGTGCGAAAAGCTCATTTAGGCTTAGGCCGATCGGTAGAGTGACGGGCGCCTTTTTAGTCGAACGGCACAATTCTGCGTCTGACTTTGATTTGTGCGAATCTGCCCTCAAGCGCAAAATGCCCGCGGGAATGTCCATTTTGAAAGATGGAGCCGATCACCTACCGTGCTTATTCTTGACAAACATTCGCAAACAGATTCCCAAAATACGGGTCGCTTCATCCGGCCCATGGAGCTCGCCAAGCCCAAATTATTTTGATAAATTGTCATGTCTACCACAATCTGGCGCACACCGTTACATTAATGACCACTTTACTGTTGTGCTACAACCATTCAACCGCTGTGAGGGTGGAAGTTGCAAAAGTAAAAAGTGAGCGACACGAAGGGACACTGCACCACATTACAGCAGTCTCCTACTACTACACCTCGTAGAACCACTTACTACATTATTCTCTCAGGTGAAAGAGATCTAGCCTGTAGCCATGCAGGACTAGGATAAGACATTCTTTTGTGGGTCTGCCAGAGATTACGGAAGCTTCCGACTCTGATAACGCTTGGTCCAAACTACCGGAACGGAAGAGCAGCACATGTGTACGGTCCTGGTCTTCATTATGGTAGTGGGGTAGTGTTGCAATAGTAAATTAGTAGCTGCTGGTGAAGAGTAAGTGTCAGTGACATTTCGGATGCTTTTGACCCTTCAATTTACGCAGTAGGCTAAGTAGAGTAGTAGCTCGGGTCTGGCCCCAGCATGCATACATGAATTTTCTTTCAAGCCGTAAATGGTTTCCAACCCACAGGACTGTCATCGCCACACGGCAGATGTCCCCGTCTTCATCTTTTTAGCACACTGGGGGATCACAACGTGCGACAGCGCCTATATGTCCCTAGTCGGTATGCAGTCCTATCAGGCGATTTGTCGTAGACGCACTGCACGGGACGTACATATAGGGTCGCTTTCACTTTAGTTACTGTTAGATCGAGTGAGGTTGCCAAGCCTGTACAACTCACTTCCCGCTACCCTGACCCTGTGAAGAAGCTTGGTCGATTGCCTCGTGGGGGTGTGAAATACTGAGCTCGCCCGACTACTGTCACTGCTTGCCTCTCCAGCCGTCCTCTCTGCAATGACGTTTTCCACCTCTACACCTTGGCCCTCAGCCGCATCTATTTCACCCTGTTCTCCGCCCACTGCCGTCGGGGAGCGAATGGTGGCCGGCAGCTGATCCCCTTTGCCACCGATCCAATGGCGAAGATTAAAGATAATTCCGGCCAACATGACACCAATCCAAAGGAGGAGCTCTGTTCCGTAGATGGCGACCGCTGCCGCAGAGATTGGCCTGTCCAATACTGACGCAGACGGACAGTTTCAGCAACACCTCGATTCAATCGTCGCAACTGTTTCCTTCAGGGTCGAGAAATTGAGGGGAGGGATGACTCACCGACACTGATGAGACTAGTCAAGTCTCCAGCGGCGTCGAGCCCCACGAAGAAGAACGAAATGCCGCGAACGCTACGATGAGTGTAGATATCATAGTAGTGTCGTAGGACACCCATGCCGAGACCGGCCGCGGCAAGGGACGCAAAGAGGTCCAAGGTCCATTTCGGCACTTGCTCCTTCGTTCCGTACTTGAAAGGCAGCACATGCACATGTCGTCACCATCAGCCTGAGCAGGAGAACGGCTAGTAATGGCGAAACACACCTTGATGCCACAGACGATGGCAGCCTCGACGGCGCCAAAGGCAAGGGCAATGAGCAGAACCACGATGGTCGATTTGCTCAGCGACCATTTCTGACCCAAGAACGGCATCAGCGAGCACTATTCAAAGAAAAAAAACCAACACGGGCTCTGTCGACGCACATGACCATAGAACATGACCTGTGACCAGGTCAAGAGGCTCAGCAACGTCAAGATCTGGGCCTGAACCTGAAGAGCCACTGCTCAAGGGTAGGGCAAAGCTCATCAGAGATCCTTTCACTCGTGCCGTCAGCAAGACACGACTGGTCGCACCATTTTCGTCTGCAAGAATGTTATGCACGCCCAAGGGGAGACCGGCAAAGGCCCATAGGAGCATCATCGAGGGCTGCAGCCCTGTTGTGTCCTTTTTGCGCCAATTGATGTACAGCTGGGGGAGAAGTTGGATGGACCAGAATACCTATGATTCGAGAAAAGGCCTTATCAGCTGTCATGTTCTCACGCATGGGTCCCAGCATAGTGTGGCTTGTTTTGGGGCTACTCACTGCTCCCATGGTCCCGAGGACGTTGACGGCGACGCGATTGCCGCCACTGCCATCTCGGCCGTCCATGTTTGCCCTCCTTCCCCGCAAAGATTAGACAGCTATCAGGTACGGGAGAGGGAGGAGTGGTGTCTGTGAATGATAAGATGGACCTAATCCAACGGCCGAGCTTCCTTCTTTCTATCTGCGCTAGCAAACGATTGAAATAGCCAAAAAGCCGATAATTATTGGCTGGCCGCCTTATCGCGCAACGCGATTTGGGCCTCGTTAGAGTTGGTCCCGGCCCTCTTTGTCTCTCTTCAGTCAGGGCGGCGCAAATCGCGGATAAAGTAAAAGTAAATGAGAAGACCAAAAAAAAAAGGAGGCACGTAACGCGAAGAAATTTTTTCTTTGCCATTGGGTACAGTGTGCGGGTCGTGTGGCTGCTTTAGTTCTGCGGTACCGTCAGAAGTTGGCCAGGTCCGAGAGCTATTCGCTTTCTTATCTCTATCTCTATCCTCGCGGGAAAGAAGAAAGGTGGGCCTGCGAGCTTAAAAGACGGCTGGGACGCCAGGCCATTCGTCTCTTCTTCGACGGACCTCTTCCTCTTCCTCCTCTCCTCCCTTTCCTCTTCCTCATCCTGTCCCCTCCACTCCTCCCAGCTTGACGAAACAGGATGGCGACGGAAATGCCCGTGTCGCGGGTGAAGCAGGTCAAATCACTATGGGCCGCGCGACTGGACCGACTCAACGACGCCGTTGCTCGCTCGCCAGTTGGCTACTACTTCAAGCTCCAGGGCTCTGGTCACCCCCTTGAGCGCAAGGGAGCCGTGTTCTCCGTCGAGCTCCGAGCTGGCCTTGTCACCTTTGCTGCCATGGCCTACATCATCTCGGTCAATGCCTCGATTCTGTCGCTGTCGGGTGGTCCTTGCGTCAAGAGCCCGGGTGTCGCAGATGCTGTCGCCTATGCTACGTGCAAGCAGGAGCTCCAGCAGGACTTTGTCACAGCCACATCGGCCATCAGTACCCTGGCCACTGGCCTCATGGGTCTCTTGGCCAACATGCCCCTCGGACTGGCACCAGGTCTGGGTGTCAATGCCTACTTTGCCCTCACCATCGTCGGGATGGACGGCCAGGGCCTCATTCCCTACGGCCAGGCCCTTGCCGCCGTCTTTCTCGAAGGCTGGATCTTCTTCTTCCTCTCCATCCTCGGCCTCCGTCAGTGGCTCACCCGTCTCATGCCTCGCTCCATTACGCTGGCTACGGGTGCTGGTATCGGCATGTATCTCGCCCTCATCGGTCTCGGTCCAAACGGTCTGTCGGCCGTCGGAGGCAACTATTCTGACCTGCTCGGGCTGGGCGGCTGTCCCGATGAGTACAAGGACGACAACGGATACTGCCAGTCGCACCTTCTCCAGTCGCCAAAGGTCTGGCTCGGCGTCTTCCTCGGCGGCATCCTCACGGGACTCCTGCTCCTGTATCGAGTCAAGGGTGCCTTCCTCTGGCCCATCATCCTTGTCTCCATTGCCAGCTGGCCTCGGTCGAGTGCTGTGACCGAGTTTCCGCACGACAACGGTGGACAGGGCGACCTCGGCTTTGACTTTTTCAAGAAGGTCGCCACCTGGCACTCGTTCAAGCACTTGGGCGCCGAGAACATCGACTTCAACTACGGAAGCGGCAAAGTTTGGCTGGCGCTCATCAGCATCCTCTACGTCGACATCACCGATGTCAGTGGTACCCTCTTTGCCATGGCTCGCCACGCCGGCCTCCTCGACGAGGTCCTGACGGGTGACTTTGAGGGCTCGTCGGCCGCATACCTCGTCGACAGCTTCTGCATCTCCATCGGCGCCCTCTTTGGTCTCAGCCCGTCTACGGCTTTCATCGAATCTGCGTCTGGTATCGCCGAGGGTGGTCGTACCGGCCTCACAGCCATTTCGACGTCGTTCTTCTTCTTCCTCAGCCTCTTCTTTGCCCCCATCTTCGCCTCGCTCCCCTCCTGGGCCACTGGCTCCACGCTTGTCATCGTCGGCTCCCTCATGATGCGCACCGTCACCACCATCAACTGGGACTACCCGGGCGACGCGATCCCCGCCTTCCTCGTCATTGCCGGCATTCCCTTTTTCTTCAACATTGCCTACGGTCTCATCGCCGCCATCATCTCCTGGATCCTCCTCCACAACATTCCCCTGCTCCTCAGCAAGATTCACCCCTCGCTCAAGCCGCCCGGATGGGACACGGAAAAGGAGCCATACGACGTGGCGGGAAGCATGCGCGGGCAGAAGTTCACCTTCAAGACCCTCCTCCCGCCCTATGCCAAGAAGATTGTCGAGGGCAACTGGACCTTCTGGAGGCCCACGGAGGAGGAGATGCAGATTGCCATCGAGGGAAGGAGGCTGACGCAGGAGCGGAACGCGCTCCGCGAGGAGCAGCGGCAGCGAGACAGGAGGATGCTGCGGGAGCAGCAGCGCATGCAGCACCGCGAGGGCGTCGACGTCGACACCGTCCTGCCCCGCACCGCCACGCAGCAGGAGCTCCATCGTCGGAAACAGCAGGATGGCGAGGACAGCTCCTTCGAGGGTGGTAAGGAGGAGAGCGATGGCCACCAGACCCAAAACCGTCGGCAGGGCGACGACGAAAAGGCAACTCATCACCTCGAGGAGCCATGATGGAGTGCGCGCTTCTCAGCCGCAACGTTCAGTACTTTATTTGGTTGTTTTGGTAGATACTTGTGTGTATAGTTACAAAGAGAGAGAGAATGTGGCAAGATATCAATTGTTCTTCAGTAGCTGCTCTCGGCCTTTTTGGCCTCGTCAACAATGACCTGCACTACGTCGCTCGTCAGGCCGCCTGGCAAGTCGTCGTCCCCTGCCGCTTCAGTTTGGAGAGGGGCCAGCGCGATGGAGAGGTCATAGGTTCTTGACAGTGAGAGGTCTGATATGGGAAGGTGGTTGGCTGCGAGAATCGAGAGAACATCGACAACCCTTGTGATGCGCCTCCTGAGAGCCCGGATGACGTTGACGTTTTCATCGCTGTAGACACCCTCGGTGTCCCTGCCCTGAATTGCCCTCGCGCTCTTCTTTGCCTCGGCGTCGTCCGGCGCAACCCAGATGAAGCCGTTGAGACCCATGGTGACCTCGAGCTGAGCCTGGGAAAGCTCAACAAAGTGGCTCTTGAGCCTCCGGATCAGGACGGGGGGAACCACGGCGAGGGCGCCATTTCTCAGCTTGCCGTAGCGCAGGCTCCTCGTGTGAAGGCCCACGCTGCCATCGCCAAATGCGGCTTGGACCTCGGCGACGAGCAGGTCTCCCTCTGCAAAAAATGTTCGCATTTGCAGTTCGTCGGACTCCAGCTTGCGCCGCTGGATGCCTCCGGGTAGATTCACGCTGCTCAGCGCCAAGATGGCATCCTGCCGCGCTCCCACATCGACGCGCCAGCGACGATTGCCCGCCTGCACCTCTGTGATCCTGCCCACGACGAGGTCGCCAACTTCGGGCGCATAGCGAGACTTGAGCGCCGCGACGCTCACCAATCGGTTGGTCCGCGACACGAGGCCACAGAGCGAGGAGATGATGCTGGAGGCGCCGTCGAGGCCGCTGCCTGGGGCGGCACCGCCAATGTATGCGCCATGCCCTCGCATGAAGGTAGACGTTGAAGCGATCGGTTGCCCGGCCGTGGCTAACAGGTGGGATTGTGATCGTTTTGACGATGATGATTGGCCTCCCTCTTCGTCCTCGACATCCATTCCGTCTTCCTCGTTCTCGTCGTCCTCGAACATGATAGACGCTGTCGCGTGCGCCGGTCCATGCCCGGAGAGATGGGTGTGCGAAGCGACTGATGAAGAACCCGACGGTGCCATCAGCGTATTGGTCGCTCGATGTACCTCGAAGGTCGCCATCTTCGCCTCGGAAAGCGGCGGAGGAAATAGATGCAGGGCCAAGCTGAGACCGACCGAGTCGTCGCAGGAAGAAAGAGAGAAAAGAAAACACTAAACTTTTGAAGGTGGGCAGTCAGTCACGCGTTGCGCAATCATCGTCTCCACCTCGAAGATCTGAAAGGGCGAGAGAGTGAGGTGTGTCTCAAGCAAGCGAAAATGGCGGAGGCGTCCGTTCAGATGGAGCCCATGCTGGCGCTTATGGCCGACGAGAGCCGGAGTCAGCTCATCAAGCAAGGAGCTGAGGCCAAGATTTACGCCTCGTCGCTCATCACGTCGTCAACTGATGCCAGTGCCGACAAGGTCGCCATGCTGCTGAAATACCGCTTCCCAAAGACGTACCGACACCCTGCCTTGACGGCCTCCATCACGGCAGCTAGAACAACGGCCGAGGCGAGAGCACTTGTGCGCTGCATGCGAGCAGGAGTGAACACGCCGAAGTTGCTGTGTGCAGACGAGAAGCATGGTGTCTTGGGGCTCGAATACATCGTCGGGAGGAGCTTGCGAGAAGCGCTTGGCGGGGGCAACGAAGGAGGCGAGGAAGAGGCAGTCAGCAGAGAACCACCGCAACCGCTCCTCTCGGACAGCGAGGCGCTCGAAGCCATGGGTCTCGTTGGCGAGCAGTTGGCACGCATGCACCACGCCAATGTGATCCATGGCGATTTGACGACAAGCAACATGATGCTACGGGCGAAGCTGCCTGGCGACGATACAAGAGCTGGCGTAGCACATCAGGAGCAAGCTCTGGTGAGTCGCAATGGGTGTACAATTGGAGATGGAGTGCTTTGAGGGAAAAGCTGACGCCTCAAGGTCAGGTCATGATCGACTTTGGCCTCAGTTCCACATCAGCCATGGCAGAAGACAAAGCAGTCGACCTCTACGTTCTCCAGCGGGCGTTTGCTTCGACGCATCCCAACAGCGAGCATCTTTTTGCAAAGATCCTAGACGTCTATCAAGAACAGCTCGACACTCTGGAGGGCGGAACAAAGAGCAAGACCAAGGCCTCGGCCGAGGTCATGCGCAAGCTAGACGACGGTGAGTTGGTCTCCAAGCATAGCGTCAGTCAAGGGGCTGACCATGCGTGGTCACTCCTTTACGAAGTCCGGCAAAGGGGACGGAAGCGCTCTATGGTCGGATGAGCATCCGATGCAATGTAATCGTAGACTGTAAGCATCAAACAATATGTACAGTACCACTATCTCGAACAAACCAGGATTGCCAAAGTCAGCACAAGGTATAATGCCGTGCTCGTCGATGCACTATTCATTCCCGTTGCCAGCATGAGAGAGAAGGGGATGAAGATTGCAAGCTTAAGTGAGACAAATGCAGCGTGAAGATTATGATTGAGAAGATTATGATTGAGAATGCTGTGGATGAGAGAGAGAAGAGTGCTGATGAAGAATGCTGATTAGAATCGAAATTGTCCCGCTTCGAGTTGGCGCGGAGAGAGCTGGAGCTCGACCTCGTCCATATGCTCAATGCTTCAAGTTCGGAGGTTGATTTACACGAACTCCCAGGTGGCGTCGAATTGGCCCTGGGCGAGGTCGGTGAACTCGCTGAACATCTTCTTCGAGAGGATAAGACCTGCGTCACCACACTGGTGAAAAGAGCATAGCAAAGATCAGCACGTGAACCAGGAATGTGTGAAGGTCGACGGAAAAGGACTCACGCCACCACCGCAGCTGTCGACGAGGCGGCCGGTGACCTCCTTGCCAAAGGCCGAGACCTTGATGTTCTTGTCGCAGTTCTCGCCCTGGCCAAAGACGCTGGCCGAGACGCCGAGGACGAGGTCGTTGTCCGTGCTGACGTACTCGCCGCAGGCGGTCTGGCCGTCAAAGTCGGTGTACTGTGCGAGGCCAGACTCCTGGCCGGTGACGGTCATGGTCTTGACCTTGGTTCCCTGGGGAGCAGGAGCGGCAGAGCTCATCGAGGCGACGGCCACAGCGGCGAGGGCGAGGGCAGCGAGGTTCTTGAAGGCGAACATTGTGTTTTGCTTGTTGCTGATTGTTTGGTTGGGTTGGCTAGGGATATTGAATGAGATGGTAGTGCTGTGAGGCTTTGTTGAATCGATGATGAGATGAAGGCTGGTTGGAAGTCACAAGATGGGCCCCTTTTATACCTTTTCCTTCTCCAGACACGCTGTCCAGCAACAACCGCGCGAGGATAGGCACAGCCATCAGTATGCTCCAAGCATGGCATGCTGTGCAGTGCAATCAGCAAGATATGACTTCTATCCGCGTCGTCGCTCCTCCGTCGTCGCTTGCTCGGCGGTAGAGAGACTGACACTCGGCACCGGATCTTGGCGTTGCAAGGACTCCTCTAGCATTACTTGACAGCGAGATGGGCGCTACCTGTCTCTCCCCACACAGTGCTACAATAATCTCAAGGAACGGCCAACGGACGTGAATTCCCGATGTGTGTCTCATGAGGCACGGTGACTTCGGACCTGTGCGTCTTAGCGCCTTGTATTTGTCGGCGAGAACGGCGAGGTTGGCCAACTTACAAACTAAGTTGAAATAAACTGTCATGCGGCGACTTTCCGATAGAGCATGTGCGTAAAATCCGCCGTTGGTGATACGGCTATGCGTACAGGGCGCGTGTGTTCGTGGAGCTCCGACGTGCGCGACACGACACGACACGACACGGCACCGTGCGGCGATTCAGGCTTCCGTCTCTCAGTTGCTTCGACGCGCTGCGTCCCGACGACGCTGATGCGCAGCTGCCAGATGACGTCTCATCGGAAACCATGAACACCAAGCCATGTCGCCTCTCACTCGGGCTGCGTGTTCGGCCGAAAACGCCATGGGATTGATGACTAGAAGGGAAAGGAAAGCGATCGATGATGACAACAGGACGTACAAGAATAATGGCCACTATGCGAATAGAGCGAGGAAGCGAGAAGCTAGGAAACAATGGCGAAATGAGCGAGAGCGACGTGGTCTACAATAATAGTAGCCAGCGGAATGAGCGTAAATGTGAAGAGATTTGGGAATGAGAGAAGGTACCGGAAAAGGAGCGTGTAGGCGGTCAGCCAAAGGTGCCGTTGCTTTGGATGCTGCCCGCCAGTGAGGGCCGTCTCGAGGAGTCAGAGTAGCCGGTGGGTGAGCCAGTGTTGGAGCCCTCTGTGCTAGTGACCGACGAAGCGTTGGAGGACTCCGACCGGTGGTTGGTAGAGTTCAAGTTGGACGTGGAGAGGCTGTTGAGGAGAGCAGGCGAGGATCCAATGTCGTCCTTTGGCGGCGGCGGCGGCGGCGGCGGCGGCGGCGGTGGCGCATGCATAGGCGGAGGCGGCTTACGCGGGAGGGTCGACCTGGCCTTCAAAATGCCCGTGTGGTCTTCCTCACTGGACTGGCGGCGACTCTGCGCGATCTGCGCTGCCGCTACCGCGGCCAGGGCTGGCGACGTTTCTTCGAGGCCGAGACCGGTTGCCGTCGCCGTCTTTGTCATTGTCGGCGTCTGTGCGCGGGACGATGAAGTAGAGGTGCTGAGCTTCGGTGAAGAAGAGGACGCATTCGTCTTCTTAGACGTGCTGGAGGAAACAGAAGTGTTGCGACGGTGCTTTGAGGCCGGAGAGGGTTTCAAGGAGAAGGTCGAACCCAGTCCGTTGCCATTTGCTCGCCTTGCCGTCGTCGAAGGCAGCTCCACCGTGCCTTGAACGGGTGAGGGCATGATCTCACTCCGCGAGCTTTCACTTGAGCGACGACCAAGCTCGGTGCCTGTCGCTCCTGGCATCTCGCGGGAGGTGTCTTGCGATGAGATGCGCTTGGGTACAGTGGGCGTGTCCCTGCCTGATGTTGACGGCTGAGATGACATGGTTGCGTCTGGAGAGAGGATGAGCGACTCGCGAGCCTCGTCTTGAGAAAAGCGGACGCTCTCTGAGAGGGGCGACGAATAGTGCGTGTCTGAAGGGTGCCTCAACGCTGGGGCCAGCTTGCGACTGCTAGCCGATGAAGGCCTCGAAGACGGGGGAGTTGTTGTGGTATGAGCATCCAATCCGGTGGCTTTCCTTCGTGCCGTGACTGCCTCGACTGTGGCGACCGACGAGGTGTCTGAGTTGCTGCTCCTTGACTTTGGACGAGGATTGGGTCGGAATTCAAGAGCGCCATTCTCAGACTGGGTCACAAACTCCTCGTCCTGGCCTTGCGTTATCGATGATGCCTCCTCGCTCGGTCCAATCTCGGGCACAGGACGCCGACGGCCTCTCGCTCCTTCGAAGCTCCTCGCACTCTCGCTGCTCCTGGGAGGGGTTCCAAGTCGGTGGCGGGGAGGCAAAGAGCTTGACCCTCCTCCTGGCACTGGCTTCCTCATGACGGGTGCACCTCCGGCAATGGAAGCAATGGCACCCCTGGGCGTGCGCGCTGACGAGGAAAACCCTTCATTTGTCACCATCATCACTTCGCTAGTGATTGGTGTCTTTGACCAGCCATTACCCAGATCCATCGGCGCTGCTTTGACGCTACCAATACTGCCGCCGTGGCCATTGCTTGTGGGTGCCGTCGATGCCGAGCTCGTCTTGGAGGAGCTTCCGGTTCGGAACGTCGACGAGTCCTGATCCTCTCCATCTTCGTACTTGGCCTCGCCCGTGTCGACATTGGCAAACAGCGGGGGCACAGGTGGCACCTCCTCCGCCTCGCCATCGATGGTCTGGGTCTGGGTCTGGGAACGATTGAAGCGCTTCAAACCATCCCGAGCGAGGCTACGTGAACGCTTCGAGAACGACTTTGCCGGGTTCGACTTGGTGCTCCTCTTTGAATAGATGGACGACGAGCTCGACGCACGACCTTCGGCCTCTTCACTCTCCAGATTGGGCGACAGGCGGGTATCCTTCTGTTTCCTGCTGTACGTGCTCGACAACTTGCCAGTAGATGCAGCCGAGCTGACAACGGCCGGTGGCGGGAGGTTGTCGGGCGATGAGAGATTCGCAAGCATTGCCTTCCAACTTCTCCATCCTTTCTCCAGACCTGGTTGACCATGCTCTGTCACGCCCAAACTTTCGCTCCTCTTCATCCTCGATGCCTTGACTGGCGGCGGCAACATCGTGGCTGGCATAGCAGCCGACGCAGCGCCGTACCTTGGTGCACCACCTATCCCTCCGCCGCGAGCGCTGCCGGCATCGCCGTAGACGACCTGCATCGCATGACCATCCTCATCGACGCCCGCCGCAAGGTCGCCCGCGCCCGATTGATATTCGACAAGCTGGCGCGATCGCTGCGATAGCTCGTGCTCCAGGCGAATGAGCCACTTTTCGGCAAATCTCAGGTGGCCGCTCGAGCTGCGAAAGAAGGGCGTCAGATATCGATGTCAATCGCTTGGTTTGTCGACATCGGTCGAAGGGAAGACTCACTCCAAGACACCTTGCGCCATACCTCTGACCAGCCCGCTGGGATCAATGATGAAGGTGCATCGCTCTTTAAACAACAGAAGAAGCGTTCAGTATTCAGCCTAGTCCAGGGAGACGACCTGCAACGGCACACCCACGATCGACAAGGCCCATCATCGTCCGCTTGACGCCATAAGTCTCCATCGCTTCGCGGTGCTCGTCGTGCAAGATACGATAGCCAAGATGATGCTCATCGACAAACTTCTTCGATCGCTCCGGAGGATCCTGGCTGATACCGATGACGATAGCCTGCAAGTCGCTGAAGACGGGTGTCAAGCCGATTGCGTCGCGGAAGAGGCACGACTCCTTCGTGCAATGTGGTGAGCCGGCCAACGGAAAGAAGCTGGCAAGGAATTGTCAGGAGAGTGAGTTTTACTTTTCTCGGCTCGATGATAGCCATGCCACTCACAAGACAATGATGGGCCTTCCTAATGCAATAGTGGCGTGAAGAGACTGTGTGTGATGAAAAGCAGAGCTTATGAGCAGCTTGAAGCAGAGGGGCTCAGCCGAAAGATGGCCCACTCACGCATCGTCGTCCTAAGTGATCGGGAAGATTTATCTCGGGCGCTGGTTGACCGATCAGAGGCGAGGAATCTTTGATTGTCGCTGGAATCTCGAGCAGGCCGGGCCCGACGGTGAGAAAGTGCTTCTCGCCCAAGATCGGGTAGATGGGCACCCGAGGGAGGTATGGCGCCATCGTTGCCGTCGCCGGCTGACGATGCTAATTCCGTTGTGCGCCAAAGCTGCCGCCCACGCCGCCTGGGGGCCCGCCCTCTTTGCTCGCTCGTTCGCTCGCTCTGGAGAAATGTGGAGCAGCGCCCTCGCCTCGCTCGATCGGCCGAATCGACGCCTTCACTCGGGAGTCCGACGGAAAGTGTAGCGGGGCCGAGAAGCGCCAATCAATGTCGGCAGTGGACAGTTTTTGCGTTTTATGTTAATGGACAGCAGTGGTGGATGGCGGCGGCGGCGAATGTGCGGGACTAGCAACTGAAGCAGTGACGAGAAGGAACCGCCTGCCTTCTTGGTCACTGGCTACACCGCCCAATCAAGCAAGAGGGCCACATGAATGATCCGGCTAGGGAAAAAATTAAAATTTGTCGCACGAAAAGAACCTGCAGCCACGGTTAATGTAATTGATAATGACGCATCCAGTAGTGAGGGACAATAAAATAAGAGAATTTGTTGGTGGTAATACAGTGGCTAAGGTTGAGGCTTGCGCACCGGTTGCATCGGCCTTTGCTCCCCCGATTAACAGCGCTGGAACTCAATGATTTATTTCGTCATGAGTGTGACATACGAACAAAAGGGAATATTTGGGCCTTTCCAGTTCACGGCGCGGCAGGGATTTACACGTGAGGCATCACCAAGCGAAGCCTCACGACACACGCGCGCGCATGCACAGGACGTGTTGGTCTAACCCTCGCCCGTTCTCCACCAAGGGGAAATGTCGTCTCCATCGGCCTTGCCGGATCCTTCGCTACCGGCTCCACCCCTGGCAGAGCAAGATGAAGGATTCACAGCCGAGCAGCTGATCCAGCGGCAGGCGCAGCTGGAGCGCGAGGCGAGAGAGGCGGTGCCGTTCAGCTTCACAAAGGGCGGCTGCACCTACGAAAAGGGCTACATTCGACAGCCCGTCTACGCCTGTCGCACCTGCGGAGGTGGTGGCGTCTGTGCAGGCTGCAGCGTGGGTTGCCATGCTGGTGAGTCGACGGGCCGTTTAGCTGTATTGTGCTTTGTGCCTCATTTGTGCGTGCTCTCTCTCTCTCTCTCTCTCTCTGTGATCCAGACCACGACCTCGTCGAGCTCTTTGCCAAGCGTAACTTCCGATGTGACTGCGGTACGCTGTCGATACAACGAGGAAGTGCGGGAGGACAGAACAAGCAAAAACCATCGCCGTGCAACCTGAGACCCTCGCCACTGTCATTTGCACCCGAAAACGACGACAACGTGTACACGGCCAACTTTGAGGGCAGATTCTGCTACTGCAAGCGCGGAGAGTCATATAACCCAGAGACGGAGGAGGAGGTGAGAGTGATCTGGGGAAAAAGCGTGAGCCCCTGAGCTGCTCAACTGACTATCTTTGGACAGACGATGTTCCAGTGCCTTGTGTGCGAGGATTGGCTCCACGAGTCCTGCACCTCGCTGCGTCCGACACTGAGTCGTCCTGGAGACGGCAGGGAAGATCAGGCAGCTGATGGCCCTCTGCTCGACCACGACTCGTTTGATCTCTTCATTTGCGACACTTGTGTGCGCAAGCCGGAATGCACTGTCCTGCGCGACTACATCGGTGCTCGCGGCTGGGCAGTCTGCCTGCCGACGAACGCAAACGAGCTGCCCAAAGAGTGGGATGGTCTTCCGGCAAGGGATGTTGTCGCCGCTGTCGCGGGCTGGGAAATGCCCTACCGCATCATGGGGCTCAACGATGGCAATGCGAGCGTGCCTGATACCTCCAGCATGGGCGATGCCGCCGAGGGCGAGAGTGCTTCCAAGCCTGATCGTATGGGCGATCATGCCGAAGCTGCCACGGGTTCAAAGAGGCCTGCAATCTCAGAGGATGAAGATCTTTTAGCAAGCAAAAGGGCCAGATTGGGAGACTGCATACGGCCGGAGGGACTCAAGAATCTTCAAGGCAGGCTTGACGTCTTTCTCGAGGAGCAATTCCGCGCAAGAATCTGCCGATGCTCAGAGGTGGGGGTCCCATTGGAGGCGCTTATCCGTTGCACAGTACAGATTGAGCTGATCCTGGGCTACTGCTTCGACAGTGTCTGCCCAAGTTTGCTGCCATTCCATTTGTCCTCGAGGCCGAAGACACGTACAATCCGCCCCAGTCACAGGCCGTCTCCGAGATTGGCGACCATGAGAGTGAGGGAGGGGCCTCGCAGACCTCGTCGACGTACGACCTCGGCCTCGCAGCTCTGAATCGTCTTCCACGCGAGCAGATGATCAACTCGCTCGAGGCTTATAATCATCTCCGAGACGCCCTCTTTCAGCATCTCCGGCCCTTTGCCGCCGAAGGCAGGGTCGTCGACGAGGAAAGTGTCCGGGACTTCTTCCGGAAGCAGAGGGAAGGCAAGTGAAGGCCGAACATCCCTCTTTGCAGGTGTACTTCTTGTATCATATTACTGTACAGTAACATTATTCATTTATTCCTACCAACGACGGCGTTTACCATGCCATTCTTGAAGCCCTTGTTCCAGAAGTCTCTGGGCTCGATGCGCGTCTCCAACCCGGGGAGAATGGTGAAGTTGCGGCAAAAGGCCGAGATCATCATCGAGAGCTCAGCCATGGCCAGGTTCTTTGCGATACATGCGCGATGGCCCGGGAGACCAAATGCAATGTGTGAAGCATTTTGCCCGTCGTCGAGCCAGCGCTCAGGGTCAAAGGTAGAGGTAGTGTCGCCGGGGCGAAAGGTTTCTCGCGGCTGCCGATGGAAGCACTCAGGCGAGACGCCGACGATGGTCCCGGGCGCGAGAAGGGCGCCGTCGTCGAGGACCAGGCCGCGGGGCCCAATGATGCGGTCCAGCGCCCTGGGTACGGGCGACGCAATCCGGAGGCACTCGTCGACGACGGCCCTCAGGTAGGCGTCTCCAAGGAGCGTGCCGAGGCTGCTGCTGCTCTCTTCTTCGTCGTCACTGCGCTTCTGACCAGTGCCAAACAAGCGAGCAATGTGGCAGAGGCCGACGGCGAGCGTCGTGGCTAGCGACTCCGTCGCTGCAAAGAGGACGTCGCACGTCTCGGCCACGAGTGCTGCCTTTTGCTCTGTGCGCGAGAGGGACCGGTACAGCTGTGAGGCAGCCAGGGAGGACACGTAATCTGTCTGTGGCCCCTCGACGTCCAACGGCCCTTCATTGGACTTCTGGTCGATCACAGCGTCGACGTAGCGGTCAAATTCCTCCAGCGATGCCAATTCGTCCGCAGACAGCTTCTGTATGCTAGGCATATAAGCGCGCAGGGTCGAAACTGCGCGCGCAAGCGGTCCTATCCAAAGGGCAAGCGGCACTGCCGCGTTGAAGTGGTCATTGACGCGGCCAATCGATGGTTGCTCCAGTTGCGCCCCTGCGGCTCTCTGCTGGCCGAGCTCGTCGATGGCACCATAGGCCCGTCCAAAGAGGAGCTCCGAGGCCGTGTCGACGGCGTAGGCCCTAAAGACGCCCAGCAGATTGATCTTGACTTCGCCCTTGCCCTCGCTGCCACCCCCGCCGCTGCCGTCGCCGCCGCCCTCCCTCTCGCTCGCCGCTAGTCTCGCCTCGATGTGCTCGCAAATCCTCTGAGCGTTTCTATGCAGCACTTTCTCCCGCAGCTCGGCGTTGGCCGAGGAGAAGAAATGCGGGGCAAGCTTGCCGCGCGCACTGTGCCGCTCCCGTGTCCGTTCGCTAAAGAGCGTGGCATGGCCGCCGATGTCGAAGCCGGCATAGGAAGGCGCCTTGTCGCACCGACCCAACGCGCGAAGTAGGCCGGGGCTCGCTTGTGCCAGATGCAGTCGCTGCGGGCCTGTGCGAATTGTGGGGCCCAGCCGTGCGTGCTTGGCTGCGAGATACGGTGTGGGTCCGACAGAGGACAGGGCGTCGAGGAGAACGTAAGGCACGTCTGAAAGGGAGGAGCCGGGGAGGAAGTCCGGGTACCTTGACAGAAGAGACAGTCTCTTGCGCCGCCATAGTACAAAGAGCAGGACGATCGATGAGGCGGTGAGTACCTGTTGCAGGAGAACCATCCTCCTCTGCGTCGCTCTTTCTTCCTCTTCCTTTCTCTCCTCCTTCTCCTTCTCCAAGTCCAGAGGTTCTATGAGGGAGCATCGAATCAACCGACGCTCGCCTTCCTCCACTCGAGGCAAGCCCGAGTCCCGGCAGTCCTTTGCGCAGAAACTTTTTTTTTTTTGGTTTGGATTTTGGATTTTTTGGTCTCTTGGCGGGTGACGAAGAAAGTGATCACAGAAGTTGTCCATCCACCTCGACAAAATGGAGGCGGTAATGGGGGAAGAAGATCACGTCGAGGAGGCGACAATCGTCGAGAGTGCTCGTGATGCGCCTTTGCAAGCTTCAGAGCCGCTAGTGGCTGCTGAGGCTGTGGCGATTGAGGGAGAAAAGGGTGCAGACGTCCCTGCGCAGGCTGGCGCAGTGGAAGATGATGCAGCGAACAGCAACGGCGCCCGATCCGAAGAGATGCGGGGTCAAGAGCAGTCAGAAGAGGAGCCCAAAGAAGAAACAACACTGGCGGATGAGCAGCGCTCAGCACAGGCTGTGCCAGAGGCCGAGGAGGACACTGGCCTAGGCAAGGCGCAGGAAGAGACACAGGAACAGATGCAGGAACAGCCAGTCTCGGAGGACACTGCCCACATCTTGGCGAGCGGCGTGGTGCCGGCGCAGGAGGAGGAACAAAGTAAACAGCAAGCCCTCGAGCCAGCCTCCGAACCAGCTTCTGCGGACCAGGAACTGGCACGACTAAGGCAGCTCGTCATGGCCACGAGGGGTGCCACCGCCCAGCCTTCTCTTCCGCCCGAATTCGGGGACCGACCCTCGGAAGCAGAAGCAGCAGCCGAGACTAGCAGCAACCACACAGTGGCTGTGGGGGAAGAAGCGGAAGCACGAGGAGGGAAAGTTGGGCCAGTAGAGCTGGCTACAGATGCAGAAGCCAAGAGCATGATGGAGAGGACGCTGGACAAGATGGGAAGGCCAGACCTCAATGTCGATCAAGATGGTATCGAAAGCGACGATGACGATGATGATGATGAGTCGTCATCCAGCTCGTCTTCATCATCCTCTTCATCTTCATCGTCTGATGAAGAAGACGAGCAAGAGAAGGTGAACCAGGGAGCAAACACCAAGAAACGGGTCCAGAAGCGAGCTGTGGCGCCCCAGGACGAGGACGAAGACGAGGAAGGCGGCGAGGGCGGAGGTGACCCTACCAAAGGGCCACGAACGAAGAATGAGGTGATCGAGACAACGATTGACGAGCCACCGTTCAGCAAAGTGCCTCCGGAACTCGAAATGCGACCGCTTGGAAAGATTCATTCCGTGGTCGACTGTGTCGTTGTTGTGGCCCAAGACACAGGCCGGGCACCCGGTCAGCCAGCTCCTGCCACCACGGTACCTGTCGACATGAATGGCAAACGAGGCGAGCAGGAGGGCGAATACAGCGTCCTTGATACTGGGAGCGTGCTGTGCCTGGACGACGGCAATGTCATTGGCGTCGTCTTTGAGACGTTCGGCTCGGTTCTGGCTCCACTGTATGCGCTCCGTTATGCCGATGCGTCCAAGATCGACAAGACGGTGGTGTGGGTTGGCAGACAGGTGCTGTACGTTCCCGGGGCAAGCACCTATGTTCTCACGAGGCAGCTGCGAGCCATGGGAAAGGGGAGCGACGCCAGCAACATCTGGGACGAGGAAGTTGGAGACGATGAAATTGAATTCAGCGACGACGAAGCAGAGGCAGAGTACAAGCGGCAAAAGAAAGCGGCAAAGGGAGGCGGCAACAAGGGAAAAAACAAGAGGCCCTACGATGAAGGTGCCCCTCCTTCTTACCAGCATCCAGACTACGACGCGCAGTCCTCATCAATGTCGCTGCCCTATGACGAAGGCGCAGGTGACCTACAACAACAGGATCCTTCTTCTTTGTCGGCTTACAACGTCAATCAGCATGGGCGGGGCGCCGGGTCTTCTAGAAGACCATTTGGGCAGCGCGGACGAGGGAGAGGTCGAGGAAGAGGAGGTGCGAGCTATCAGCAGCACCACTCCCAGCAAGGACCTCCCAACAGCAACGGAGCCTATCCGATGTACAACCCAGCGATGCCTATGCAGTTGCCCATGCAGATGCAAACGCAGATGCAGATGCAGATGCCCTTTGCGAACCAGCCACAGCCATCGTCGGCGGCACACCAGTGGCCCTTCCATCCCCATGAAATGGCAGCCACCCACAATGGCAGCTACTCTACTACACAACAACAGCAGCAACAGCATCCAGCTTTCTGGCAACAACAGGCTCCTATCGCGTCACCTTCATGGCCAGGTCAATACCCCAATGCTCAAGCCACGACAGCTGTGGGAGGTTCCTGGGACAGTCACTACGCCGCAGCAGCTCAGCAAAGCTACGATCCTCAGCAGCCATCCTACCAGCAACAGCAGCAGGCCGCCCACCAACAGTATCCTTACCACCACAACCAACAACAGCCCTGGAACGGTCAGCCACCACAAGAACGATGAGAGGGCCAGGCCGCCTTGAAATCATTCGATCCTCTCACATTTGTGTAAAGATACAATGTAATAGTAGTAATCAACGGCAAGAAGGCCGTGAAATCATATGACGCTCTTTCTCGTCCGACTCTTCTTGTTTCTGTCCTTCTTCTGGCGCGAAAGGGACGATGAGGTTGCTGATGGCAGACTCTCAATGTTGTCTTCATCCTCGTCCCCCTCTTCCTTGGCATTGTCGTGCTGCATAAAGGTTCCGCGCCACTCTTGGACAGAGGGCTGCCGAGGTTGCAAGGCGGTTTCATAGTCGGATGGGCTTGTCTGCGTGCTTGCGTCACGGACCTCCGGCATGGCCCTCGGCAACACAAACTGCCAGATCATATTCATCCGTCAGCTAGTGCATTTAACGTTCTTCGTAAATCTTCACACACCTTCTGGTCGTACTCATTCATGACCTCGGCAGCCAGAAGCGTCTTGTCCTTGACGAGGCCCTTGTAAAACGTGGCGAGTAGATGCGCCTGGGCGCTGGTAGCACCCATCAGCAACGAGCAGAGCATCAGGCTCGACACGCTACCGTCCAGACCCGCTCTTCCAGCCTTTAGCAGGACAAGGTAGAAGAGAGCGTGCAGCGGAGAGTAGACGCAAAAGATTCGCAGCTGAACCTCGGGTGCCTGCCAGACGTCGAGTGCATGCATCTGCGGGTGTGTCGATGCGCTGCTCATACGTCGTGATCGATCCTGAGAGCCTGGACTTGCGAAGAGGACCCGAAAGATGACACCGACGTATGGGATCTGGCGGAGCCGCCAGAGGAGAAGCGCCCTGCGTTGAGTCAAAATCAGTTCAATGCACCGGGTAGTTTGCCAAGAGTCGTGCTCACCACAGCCAAGCCAGGACAGTAACGATGCCACGAAGGATGCTGTGTCCCACTTCAAGAGCCCTAGCAACAGTCGTCGGAGAGGACTCGAATTCGGGAGCCTGGAAATCAGGCCTTGGCAAATCAACGAGGCTGGCATTCTCGCTCGCGAGCTTCTCCGACGTAGGCTTGAGCCAGAGGTGATAGCGGCGCTTTGCTGTAAAGAGCGAGTATGCATTTCCAGCTGCGAGTGCCAAGAGGAAGAAGATGAGGAGTGAAGCCTTTTGTGGTGCAACGTCAGCTTGTCAGATCTTTGCTTGGGCCCATGAGAGGGAGAAGAGCGCCAGACTTACAGAAGAGCGCCAAGCATCTTGTTGTCGCTGAAGTTTGCGCGATGCCAGACCGACACCGCCGGTATTCCGATCATGTGCAAAGAGGCTGCCACCAGCACTTTGACCGGGCCTGCGTCCGTTTCGAGCACCACCACTGGTGGCGTGAAGCGCGCTGTCGGGGTGCATTGCCATGGCGAGAAGGCTGATGACGTGAAGCGCACCTCCTGCAGGGTATCCGAGCGAGGGATCGGCGAGGAACATCGATGGTGCCATAGAGAGCCAGTCGTAGATTGCTTCCGGCATCTCTTCGATTCTGGATGGAAAGACGGCCCTCTTCAATCAGAGTCCCTCTCAGTGGTCCAGTCTAGCTCTTGCGTCTGCTCACCTCTGCCGCAATGTCTTCTTGCGAATGAAGCGACCCGACGGTCGTACACCTTTTGGTGTAGAGCTCAGTGGTGTCAGGCTCCGCGAGCCCTGACCCTTGCTCGGCGTTGCGCCCGTCATCGTTGACGCAGTCCCAGCAACAGCACCACCGGTCGAAGAGAGACGGGCAGCGTTCCTTGATGCCGACGCGCCGGGGCTGCCAAAGGCGGCATTGCGCCTGTAAGGGGACCCTGGACCATCTCTGTCTGGCGAAGAGAGAAACACAGTGGGGGATACCGGATTAGACAGTGGCGTGGGCCGCAGCGAAGCACGTCGACTGGCACTACCAGGCGAGGCTGGAAGGAACGACGAGGAATGGCCGGGGGAAGAATACGTGGCTGACGAGCCTTGGCTGGCGTTGGCGCGGTACAGGTCCAGTGGCGTCGAGGGTGTGCGAGCGAGGAGCGAGGAGCGGACCGGCGTCGAGCCCGGAGGTCCACGCCAGGTCCTGTTCTGGGGCGAGGCCATCGTCGGGTCCTTCTCGTCTCGCTTTGTCGGTCGGTGTTGGTTGCACTTTTCTGCGCTCTTTCGCGCGTCACGAGCGCACTTAGAAATAGCCGGCGCGCGGTGCTCGAGCCACACACGCACCCATCGCTTCGCGCTTCCACGTCGTCTCGCCGATCGCAATGATGCGCCTCACGCTCCTCGTGCTCCTCGTCGGCGTCCTGTCTCTGTCGCTGATGTCCCAGGTGCATGCCCAGATGTTCCAGCACTTCTTCGGAGGAGGTGGGAACCCCTTTGGACATCGAGAGCAAGAATCACCCGCGGTAAGTCTCTCCCTCTGCAGTACACCAAGACAGCAGGAAATCGGCTGCTGACACGCTGCATACATCCGGAACCAGACGGGCGATGCAGCCTGGTTCGAGGCTCGAGTCGAGGCCGGTGCGTAGCTCCTTCTCTGTGACTCCCTCTTCTACGCAAGGCAAAGCACAGCACACTGACGACCGGAGGCACCCGAACAATAGCCACCTGCACAGACTATCTTTGCCCGCGCACCCTCTCGTGCGTCCAGTCACCCTCGCAGTGCCCCTGCCCCTTCCCACACCAGGTGAGTCGTCGCTCACTTCTACCTGCCTCAGCTACCAGGCCGAGGAGTAATGAGTCTGACTGTATGCCCTGCCTCCAGCACCGCTGCCCGTACCCAGACGCAGTCACCGGCTCGCTCGACGACGGCGGCCACGTCTGCGTGCAGACATCCTGCGAAGAGGTCTATGCGGCCCGCAAGCTCAGCTCAGACTTCAAGCTGTCTGATCTCACATCGTGAATGTAATGAATCTTGTCTGTGCTTCTTTCAATTTGTGGTATTCGCAAAGGAGAGGCGGTGATGTGATATAAAGAGCGAGAAAGAGTGGGAGATCGAGGTCAAGAAGCGAGAGAGAGAGAGGAAAAGGTATAATGCGCAAGGTCCGCGGGTAGAGACGAGTCAGTACTGCGACACAAAGCAGCAGACAAGAAGAAGGCAAAAGACGCATTGGGGTGCGGCTGCATGCACATGTGCAAGATCACTTGAAGGCGCGAGGTATACTTTGCAAAGGGCCAAGTAGCTACTACGACGATGCCAGCTGCTGCGCCTCGCCAGTCGCATAGGCGTTCAGCCAGTTCTCCCGAGATGTTGCTGCTGCCGACGTCGGTTGCGCGGCGGACGAGCGCTTCATCGTGGCTTGCGACCGAATTATCTGTTGTTGGTACACAGAGGGCGAAGAACGGGCAGGTGCAGGTTCGAGGCGTTCCTGCTTGTTGATGCTCGCCGACCTGGCTCGGTTGGCCATCTGCAGAGGGGCCGGCTCAGGCTGCATGGCCGGCGTCGGGTGAGGCGATCGGGCCTCCGTCATTGCCCGTCCCATCGAGTCTCGGTTTGCCGCTTTGCGTTCGGGCGAGGCTCTCGCGGGAGAGGCAGAGGCCGACGTCGCGCTCGACAGGATCCCCTTGCGAGAGCCCGTCCGGCGACGTGCGGGTATCATGACAGGGGGGTTGCCCTCGCCCGTCGAAGAGCCTCTGCTCGAAGATTTCTTCGCCATGGGCTCGCCGCCGTTGAAGAGTGGGAAGGCCTGTGCGCCGGCATTGAGGCCTTGGACACTGCTGCTGCCGCCGTCGGACATTTGAGCCTGTTGGACTGGTAAGCCACGCCCAGCAGCTGCTCGAGGGTTGGAAGATTGACGGCGCCTGGCACCATCGTCATCGGGCGGTGACGCAGAGAGAAAGACGGGAATGTCTCCAAAGACGCCCGCTGCTTGGATTCCTCCGACCATTGGGGGCGACGAAGACGAAGAGTAAGAAGAGGAGGAAGCCAAACCGTAGGCGTCTGCACTGCTCCAGCCGCCTTCATTGCCGGCACCGACGGTGCTGTTGCCTCTGCCCTCGGCAAGCGGAATTGAGCTTGAGCTGCTGGAATGTCGCAGACCCAAAGCACCCCTCGGCAGCGGCCTGTCCCCGTCTTGCTCCTCACCACGTCCCTGGGGTATGTCGGCGAAGTTACTTGCCTGGTCGGAAGAAGCATGATCACGGAAGTCGTCCTCCTCGTCGTCATCGGTGCCCACGGCCTCTGCCTCCTTGAGCAGCTGCGCAGTCAAAACGGCACCCCTCTCCTTCTTTGTCATGCCTCGCAGGCTGTTGAGCCTATTGCGAGGCGAAAGGCTGCTGATTCGGCTTGGCAGGCTCGGCACAGTGGAATCCTCGTCGGCGTCCTTTGACTCCGTCTCCGAGACCCGTCTTGACCTCCGCGGTGACTCGTCCGGCGCAGAAGGAGGGGCGGTCGACAGAGGTCCATCCACGGTAGAAGATCGGTTCATCATCTTGTTGACTCCCTTGCGCAGTCGCACTGCCGAGCTTTGCTGAGGCGGAGGCGAACTTCTTCCGTGCAAGCCCTCTGACCACTCGCTGTCGGGCTGCAGGCTACTGCGCCTGTTTAAGGACGGCGAATCGGGCACCTCAGAAGAAGTACCGCCGTTCAAGAGCGATTTGAAGGCCTTTGACAATGGCGACGATGGATTGTCGTTGCCGTTGGGAGATTTTGAGGGTGAGGTGCGCCCGCCCACCTGCTGATCTTTACGGTTCGTTGCCACATTGATGGCCAATTCGGGCCGGTTCGGCAGCTCGTCCTGAGAGAAGGAGACGAGGGGTGCCTGCTGATACGCCAGTCTCCTCCTCGCTTCCGAGCTTGGCGACCCGTCGCCGTTGCCGCTTTGGTGCATTGTTCCTCCAAGGCCGTTCAGCTGCAGAGCAGGAGGCGGTCCCATCATCCTCCGGGGACTGTCGGAGCCCTGAAAGACGCCATTCTGTTCGTTGCCGTTGTTGGCCGACCAGTGTGATGAATTCGGAGATGGAGCAGACATCGATGCAGCGGCCTGAGCCCTCTGTCTCGTTCTCCGCTTTCGCCAATCCCAGTCCTTGCCGGCTGCGGCTGTACTGCGAGTATATCTCTCGAACCAAAACTCTGCATCGTCGTTTGTACACCGTCCCTTGGCTCTTCTGCTCGCCTTACGCCTTTGTACATCACCTCTGTCGTCAACCACTACCTCCTCCTCTCCTCCCTCCTTCTTCGCTTCCTCCTCTTGGTCGTCGTCGCTGTCGTCCCAGGGCATGAGGGGGAGAGAAGGGCTTGAGGCCGCTCGAGGATGCCCACCGGCCAGCCTGGCAGCCGTCTCAAGTCTCTCGCGAGCCCTCTCGTGAACATCGACGTATGGCTCCCAGCTGGGCTCGACGAGCTTGATGCTCCTGAACCGTTGCGAGGGCCATGCTGCTCTTGCCTGGGCGGGCGAGAGCGTTCCCAGCCTCGGCGTGGAGGCCCGGAAGGAGGGCTGCCTTGCACCCGGAGGCAGGCGCGAAAAGAACGAAGCAGGCGGAGGCGGTGGAACGGGCGGACGGTTCATTCCCCCACCACCGGCAGAAGCAGAGGTCGACGAAGAAGTCGGTGCTGGTGGTGGTGGTTGTGGCGGCGGTTGCGACGGCGGCGGCGAAGGAGGTGGCCGTGCAAAGGAGCCATAGGGCGATGGCGTGGAAGGAAAGCCCTGCTGGTGATCACTGCCAGACCACGCCAGGCCTGGAAACAGTCCCTGGCTCGAAGGATAGAGCATGTTGGGCGACGGCAGTGAGTTGGCGATGTCCGGCAGGCTCGACCACAGCTCCTGCTTGCGCTTGAGAATCGATCGAGGCGCAGCAGAAGCACTGGCCGCCTCGTCGCCCGAGTCGGCAGAGGCAAAGGTGCTCGAAGTCGAATTGGGCGAGCTCGACAGGAGCGGCATGTCCTTGTATGCTTCGTCGCTCGAGCGCTGCAGCTCCTGCAACGGGTTTCGTTCCCCGTCCCTGGCGGCCAAGATACCGGGGTTACGTTTGGGCGAAGCCACGCGCGGGCTTGCTTCGTGGTGTCGACCCGGCAAGCGGGCCGTGTGCTGCTGTCGCGAGGGACTGCCGCTTGCCAACTTCCCACTCTCCTTTCTTCTCCTTGCGAGCAACGAAGAGGCCGTGGAAGAAGAGGAGGATGAACCCGGCCGAACTTGCACGGCCGACGAAGAGGAGCCGTGCTCGGTCGCTGCGCTGCCGGAGAGGAGAGGTTTGGAGATGACCGTCGAAGGACCTCCGCGGGTGTCGAGCTCGAGCTGGATCGGGCTGCTGCTCAAGCTCGAGCTGGGATCGGAGCTGGTGATTCTCACGAGGCTGCTGTGTCGCTTGACCGCGGCTCCCTCCTTGCTCAGCGTGCCCCGATGGCCATGGCCGTGGCCGAGGCTAAAGACGCGACGGAGAGGCCTCGTGAGCCCGCCCGAGCCGGGGTCGTGGGCAGTCTCTGCGTCGCTGTCATCTTCGAATTCGTATTCGTCCGAGTCTGCCAGAACGAGGAGGCGTCAGCTCGACTGCACTCCCACTCCAGGCACCAAGTAAAGACTCACCCAGCTCGAGCTCGGCAACATTGATGCCGTTGCTCAGACCTTGGCTGAGCTCAAAGAGCGAGTCAATCTGCCGTGTGGAGCCCGACTGAACGAAGAAGTAGAGGGCGGTAAAGCAGACGAAGAGGCCTGTTATGAGGAGCAGTGCCATTGTCAGTACAGGCAGGAGAAGGTGCTAAACGAAACACTCACCGAGGGTGGCCATCATGATTGTGGCCGTCCAGGTACGCCAGAAAGCGCTGTACCAGATGGCGACGCAAAGCGCCCAGGCGCGCCTGGATGCGGACAGGCAGCCATTGTAGGCGAGCACGCCGAAGTGAGAGGACTTCTCTCTCGCCATCTTTGCTCTCGTCGCAGTGGCGAGCGACGAGCCACCGAGAGCGGCTGGACGCAATTGCAATGGAGACCGAAGTGCGGCCAAGAGCGGGGACAGGGCTCGCCGAGCGCCTGTCCCTCCGTCTCCGCCCGTCATTTGGCCTCGGCCGGCGCCCAGGGCCATGAAAGACTGTCGGTCTAGTGATGGCGCCTCTCCCGTCTCTTCTATGCGACGACGAAGAGGTCCATTTCTAAGATGCAGGCGATGCTTCCTTCGGCTCCCTTGCTTCCTTGCTTCTTCGCTGCCTCGTCTGTATGCGCACTCGATGTCTGCGTCAGTCGCCGTCGTCGGAGTAGTCGTCGTAGCAAAATGAAAAAGCAAAAGTGAAAAGACTAGACCGGAACGAAAGAAGTGCAAGTCGTACGTCACGGCCCTGGATGCAGCACTTCAGCTTGGACTCGAAGCGCTAGGCTATGTCAAAAGTGATATATTTGCAGTGCCTTCGATCTAGGCGCCCTGGCTCTCCCGTCCAGGGTCACATCTCAGACATCCGTCCGGCTTATTTTCTTTTTTTAAATTGATTTCCCCACCTTCTCTTTCGAGGCCCGGAAAGAAGAAGAGTCTGTCGAGAAAGAACAGTGTACTGTACGTGTAGCACTAGCATGGGACATCGTGGTATTATTTTGGTAGTAGGTGTAGCTAGAGTAGTAGTCGTACATCGAGTTCACTTTAGGCTCCAGCCCGCACCCAGCTCTGGGCCCGCTGCAACTGAAGTTGTAGCAGTGGTAGTAATTCAACTAGAGAAAAGCAATATGAGTCTCTTTCTTGTTTAGCGCTTCTTTCACATGTGCCAGACCTCAACATCGTCCCAATCGTCCCTTGACCAATGGCAGCTTCCGAGATGATCATCAACGGCCTTGTTGAGCACCCTCTGAGGCACCCGATCGGGCTCGAGCCTGTGCTCGCTACTTCGTGCCCTCGCTAAGCTCATCTCAATCAGGCTGGGATCTCTCCTCTCAAGCGCCACAAGAATCATTGTTCTCCTGTCCTTGGCCGTGCCCTTGTTGCCTCTGCCGGCTTTTGCTTTTGCTTTCACTTCAAGCTTCCTCCTTTGTTTTTGCTCCTCCTCGTCCTCCTCCTCCTGTTGAACGTCCAGTTGTTGCTGACGTTGTGTTCCACGACGTTTGAGCTGGGCGAGACAAGCGAGGAGCGAGTCGACGATCGACGGCGAGTAGAGGGTGTCGGCTGTCACGACGAGGTCGGCGCCGCCTCGGGCGTCGGCCTCGGCGAGCAGCGCATCGACGTCGCTTGCCACTGTCCAGTCGACCAGGAGTGTGATTATCTGGCCGCCGCACCGCGTGGCTCCACCAGACCGGCTAGGAGGCGGCGAGTTGGCTGCAATGTTGGGCAGCAGGACAGACGAGTACGGCGGGTCAATGTCCGTCGTGATTACATCGAAACCCAAAGCGGCCAGCACGAGCGACGTGAGGCCCACACCTGCGCCAAGATCCACAGCGAGCGGCCGCCGCGTGTTAGCGGCGCCTGCCGCTGCTGTTGCTGTTGCTACTGCTGCTGCTGCTGCTGCTGCACCACGTCGGCGCCGCTGCTTGCGCTCCGTCTCAATGAGGTAGCAGACGAGGACCTGCGACGAGAGCCAAAGCGTCGTGCCCGTCGATGTGCCCACGGCTGAGACCTGCTTCAGCCTGAAGCGCGTGTCCAGCGACGGAATCGCATACAGCAGCTCATCCTCGTTCTTGGTATCGCTTGCCGGTCGAGGCCCTTCCTCCTCCTCTCCCGCCCCCTCTGCCTTCATGCGGGCAAGTCGAGGGGAAAAGTTCGTGAAGAAGAAACAAAGAAAAATAAACTTGGTCGCGTCCCGATTGACTCAACATGCGTGACGACGACACTCTGACCGTTACGATAGTACAAGGGCAAGTCATGGGAAATCATTCGTCAATTTGCTCATTTGTGTGGTTGTCATGACAAGGGTAGGCCATTGGTCTAGTGCAAGGACGACATCGCAGTGGCAGGAGACAAGCAGAGGAGTCATCAAACAGCACTGGACCGTCCAAGGTCGCGACTGATATCGATTCAGACGTCGGAGAGGTCGTCGCTGTGGATGAGGGGCGCCTGCTTCGACAGCTGCTGAGCAGCCAGCTTCTTTCGGCCCTGTTGGGCGGGGCTGCCCACTCCCGACGTAGACGTCATCATCTTGCTCGGACGAGCAGGTGGGGAAAGGAGACCGGCAAACAGGCCACCTTGTTCCCGGTCTTGCTGCTGCTGCTGCTGCTGCTGCATCGTCAGGCGCGCCGACGTAGACTGCTTGCCCGAACGCTTCTTGATCGGCGGGCCGTACTTGTAGTCGGTGACATTGTTGAGCTTGTTGGCCTTGTCGAGGGCGAGGTGCATGAAGTGACCGCCGACGACGGGCCGGGCGAGGAAGGTAACCTTTGGCGTGTAAGGCTGCTTGGGGAAGTCGCCGGCTGTGGTTGGGTGGAAGAAGAGTCAGAAGAAGAGTCAGCATTACGAATGGAGATGTGTAGCCACTGGTCGAAGGACCCACTCTGCGTCTCAAAAAGATCGATGAAGGGTGCATCGGTGCGGCCCGACGAGACAAACTTGTACAGCTTCTGGATAAAGAGATCCTTGGTCGACTTGAGGGCGGCCGTGGCAGAGGCAAACATGGCCCAGTCGGACTTTTGCCAGCTGTAGCGCGAGTCCAACGGCACGCCGTACAATTCGGCCACGGTGGGGTAGAATTTGTCCTGCAGATCGTAGATCTCCTTTGCCACGAGGCGAAGGTTGAGGAGGCGGTCAAATGCCAGGTTGTACAGCGTGCCCCAGCTCTTGTCGTCCTGGTAGAGGAGCTTGGTGTGGGTGCCGTTGCTGTTGAGCGCATAGCCGTACCAGGCCTGGATGTAGGTCGAAGAGATGTTTTCGTAGCGCAGCGAGTCGTTTTTCTTTCCCAGCCAAGTGGCGATTTCGCCCAGAGCAGCGATGCCCTCGATTCCCTTGATTGCCAGGTCGGTCTGGTTGGCCGCCTGGCCAGCAAAGTCGTCGGTGCTGAGCTGCTCGGCGGGAATGAGCGAGTCAGAAATGAGGAATTCACCCCACTGCTGCATGATCTTGTAGTGCTGCCGCAGCAGCGGCAAGGCCTCCTTCTTGCCGACCATCTGGGCCCAGTGGAGCATCATCAAAATCATGTTGCCGCTCTCTTCGACCTGCATCGGCTCGTCATTGCCGTCGTTGTGGCCAAAGGCGTTTGGATACACGCCGAGATCGTGGACGCACCACTTGTTGGGGTACAAGCCCGACTCGGTGTACTCAAAGATGGGCTTCATAATGTCGCGCAAAAATGAAGGATTGAGGTAGGTGAGGAGGGGGAAGAGAGGGAAGAAGACGTCGACGGTTTGCATGTCGCCGTTGGAGCTGATCTCTTTGAGGAAAATGATTGTGTCTGACGTGTTGTATGTCTGGTTGTCGTACGGCACCGTGATTTCAATCGTGGCAAACGCCTGCCGGACACTGAGCTGCGTAATGGCCGCGTACTGGTCCCCGACTTCACCACCACCAACGACGGCCTTGCTGTCGCTCTCGATCTGGGCGTCGAGCTGCTTGCAGTGCGACAGTGCGTTCTCAAAGTCGTCCATAAAGAAGCTGACCATGTCAGAAAAGTTGGGGAACTTGGACATCCAGTAGCCGTAGCGATCCTGCTGGTACGACTTTGTGCCGTTGTTGGCTGGCTGGTCGAGCTTCTTGATGTAGTTGACGTAAGGGGCACGGACGTGGCCAACGGCGAACAGGGCGTCGTTGCCGCCCTTGCCGCTGAAGTCGACGGAATACGCAAAGGCATTGTCGGGCCCGCCGACGGGGTCATGCTTCTTTGCGAGGGTGCCTGTGTTGAGGAATTGGAGCTGGGCAAAGACGTTGTTCTGGTTGAGCGAAGACATGCCCGCACGCTTCCTCATGGCGTACGCAGCATTGCCCCACTCGGCGCGCTGGCGGAATTCCGTGTAGCGCTGCGGATTGGTCCTCTCGACAAAGTAGATCGAAGTGCCATTGTGGTCGTCGATCCATTCCTGGGTACGACAGTCAATTGCCAAACGTAAGCGGTCTCCTCTGCATGCGTATAGAAAGCGAAAGCAGGAGCCACTCACCATCCGGTACGGGTAGTTCTCGTAATCATAGTCGTGGCCCGTCACCCACCGCTCGTCAATGTCGGTGTAGAGCTGCACACTCCTGCCTTGGGCTGTGCTGGAGTCGAGCTCGAAGTGCATGTAGCTCATCGGCAGACCTGCGTGGAATGTCAGGGATGGGAACGCAAGAGAGGCGCACGATTGCGACTATTATGTTTGCTACTCACTCTGACGGAGGTAGTCGTTGGGCCAGATGGGCGTCATAAAGGTGACGTTGAATGCGACGCCATCGGCCTCAAATTCAAAGATGGACCTCGTCGAGGTGTACGTGACCTTCTTTTGGTTGGCGTTGCTGCCCGAGCGCACCGTGGTGCCAAAGCCGTCGCCCATCCACTGATAGGTCGTGTTGTCGATGCGAATGTAGCCAGTCCAGGTCATACGGTAGTCTCCGTCTGCGCCGTAAGAAGAGGTCCAGAAGGAGCCGTCCTGGCCCGCCAGGTAGCCACCATTTCCGACGACGTTGGGCGGCGAAGCAGACTCCAGGCGGCCAGCAGGTGCCCAGGTGGTGAGATCTGGAGGAGAAGAAACAGAAGAGAATAAAGAGGGGAAAGGAATGGAGGAATAAGTTAGCATGGTACGGGCTCATGTGTGTTTGCGTAGAAGAACAGTCTGCACGCACATGGTCCCTTGACCGCCAAAGGAATGCTAGGCGGCTTGATAGGGTAGAATTCGCTCGCTTGGTATTGTCCAGGAGGAAGGGTGACCGTGGTACCCTTGCTGTGCTCATTGCTGGCATCGTCGTTGTCCCGCTTGGCGACAAACGATTCGAGTTCGAGAGGTGGGATGTGTTGTCCGGCACCACGGGGCTGGATCGAGAATTGGGCAGTGTTAGGACACGAGGAGCGGTCGCCGCTGGCGGAGCTGGTGCTGGCAGGCTTGAGCACTTCCCAGTCGACGCCCTGCTTCTGGTAGCCAAAGTCGTGGCTGCTGAGCTTCTTGATCTTGGAGACATCATGCACCTTGCGGTCCTTTGGGTCACGAGTCAGGTCGGCCAAGGCACGAAAGATTTCGGCTTGGTTGGCCTTCTTCAGCGAAGCTTCCACGGGCACCGAGGCAAACGTCAGAGCGACGAGTGCGGCGCTGAGGGCGCTCCGCAGCCTCATGTCGAACGATGATCAAGTCAAGTCGCGCAAAGTAGAGAGCGAGGGCGTAGAGGGCGTAGAAGTTGGAATAACGAAAGTCGTCCAAATCAAAAGTGGGAAAAGGGAAGGAGGAAGGCCGCGGCCGGGAGAGCGTAGCGGACAAAGGAGGGTGAAGTAATAGGAGGAGAACCCTTGCCTGATATCGACTCAGGCGGGTCCTGGCAACAGAGTGTGGACTCTAGCGGAGACTTCAGGGCGGAGACGGTCTAGAAGATGAGGGGCTTCAAAAGAGCCAGGAGGGGGCAGTTCATGTGGAGATGACCCCCGCGCGCGCCTCTAGCGTCAGCCTACTTCTAGTGTGCACGCACCTTCTATTTCGCATCTTCTATTCCTCCGAGGAGCTTGGCCGTTGTGTTGCTTCCAAATTAGAGCATTGCAGCAAGCCAACACTCGGCAGATCTACCCAGGCAGAAACGAGGCCGGCAAACGAGCAGATACATTGAGGGACACTCCATATTCGGATTTCTCTGTAGGTATTCCGAAGGCTTGATCCCCTGGTCAATATAGAATTATATGAAGCTGCTGCTACGACAGCACTCTAATTCGGCAGAGGATGTTGCATAGACGCAGTGTGATCGTTGACGCGCTGCATGATGAGAGCTAGAAAAGAGCACATGTATCGTACTGATGTACGTACACATGGCCTACTGAAGTAGGAATCGTGCATGGTCTGTCCTTTGCAGGGTGAATTTCCCCACATTCGCACCTTCTGCCCAGCTTGATCGCGTCAGGCTTCACGTGGCGCCATCGTATTCGTCTTGCACTGGGCGGCAGTGTCGGTCACAGCGCACCGTCAGGCCTCAAGTCGACTCGAACTCTGTCTTCATGATCACTTAAAGCGGGATGCAAGATTCACTGCGGTCATGTTGTCTCGATTGGGCTTCTTTTCGGTTCGTCTCGAGGTGCGACCGGCGTCATGCACTCTTTTAGGCCACCGTCGACCCAGCCGCCAAAGACGTCCGGCACTTCTCTCTGAAGATTGGCGTGGCTTCTTGGCAGCGCATCGAGGGATAAGCGAGGTGAGGCTCAGCAAACGCATTTTCTGGCAGACACAGACCTCCGAAACAGTATTAACACTCTCTCGAGGAGGAAAAGCGATGTGTTGGACGCTCTCCCTGTTCACAAAAGATCTAGCTCAACTTCTCTCGTGTTCCAACTGCCAACACGGCACGAGAATGCCGTTGGAAGGAGACTCTAAGACGCTCTTCTTGATGCTTATCTAGATGTGCAGTGCAGGAAAGGTCCGCTTAATGGCTGGCGGCGACGCTGCCTAGTATGTCCGCCCCAGGGTAGAAGATACACGGACAAGTTAGCTCTAGATTTCCGCGCAGGCGTGCTCCCGCTGGCTGTCCGTCGGTCCCAACAAGAGTATCCGAACTGTGTCTCCGCCGTTCGGTCGCCTCATCATCATATTCGCCCTCGTCCGGTGGATGACTCCCGTGCCAACCCTTGAATTCCCACAGCGAACGGGAGAGGGGCCACTAACGCGACGCGTTTCATTACTGGAACGACAGCAGCCGGGACTGAGCTCGCTCGCCCGCGCTCGGCGACTACCGTGGAAGAGGGGAACGGGGCGGGCCAATGAGCGCAAATGTTGGTGAACCCAGTTGGTTTACATTATTTTTGAAGGTGACTCCTTCGCTGCCTCGCCACCCGGGCCAAATTTGCTATTCAGGGAATACAATAATCCAGACAAATTTATTGCGCAAAGCACACTGTCCTGATGCCTGGAAGCCGCAGGAGAGTTGAATAAGTCACCAAAAAAAGAAAAAAAAAAAAAACGGATAGGACCCTGAGCTTTGAATTCCTTTGGTCCACTTTTTCCCCCTCTGTCCTTTTTTTTCTTTCTTTTTTTTGAATTCGGCAGTATTGTTCGGCCACTGGGCCCCCCTTCCCACCCCCGGGACCAGGACAGAGGGCTACCGCCACCTCAGCGACGCGCGCCTCTCACCACCACCATCATCATCACCGTTTCTCTAGGGTGATCTGTCCAGTACCTCGCGACTCAACTTACGTTAAGTCGATACTCGAGGTCAAAGAAGCGGTCCACTCACCGCGCGACAACTACTCACTCGCAAGGGACCGGCCGCAAGAAGCCACTCTCACCAAACACTCAATTCCTCTCTCTGCTCAACAGCAAAAGAGAGAGTCACTCCTAGCTGCGCGGCCTCCTTCGCGTTCGGTCGTTACCAGGAGCTAGCAAAGCAGCAGAGAGGCACATAGGCAGCCGATAATCGCTCTGCCGTTGACCTGTGCTTCCGCCTTGTTTTCTACCTCCGCCTTGTTTCACACACCGACACCGCAAGACTCGCCAGCTTTTTCTCCAACAACAGCCAATCTCTTACGTCTCAACAGGAGACGTTTAATTGGATACTCACGACCCTTCGTTCGCTCCTGAGCGAACTACATCAATTTTCCTTGACGAAATTGTCAACTGAGCTTCCTCAAGCTTAGCCGACGTACGACATAGGCGCAGCTTTCCCCGTTTTCTCAACAAGAAAGGGGGCTGCGTTGTCTATTTGAAGCAGCCTCGTCATCGTTTTCGTTCTCTCTCCCAGAAGAGAGATCCAACCTGCTTGGTTGCTGGACCTTCCGTGAGTATCTATAGATTGGTGCCGGATAGACTTTGGGATCACACACTGGCTTCAACAGCACTCACCAAAAATAATAATAATTGAATCGCTACAGGATTCGCCAAGGTCCCTAGCACCACCTCGTTTTTGTCGACCCTTTGACGACGTCTCTGTCGTCGTCGCTGGGAATTTCTCGGCTTTTTAACCCCCCAAAGAGCAGCTACGTCGTAGGAGCTGCCGTTTGAAGAAGTCATTCTTCACCGTCAGCAGAAGCGCAAGCTCGCTTCCACTGTTGCACATCAAGGCGTCCGATATCGTTACGCCAGTGCTCGCTCCGCGGCTCTTTCCAGCTCTCTTAACGACTTCCTGACCAAGACTCTTTCTCTCTCTTCTTTTCCTCGCCATTCCAAGCGTCCTCGAGTTCTCCATCCCGCCATGTCTTATTCGAACAACTTTGATTTTGCCGCCTTCCTCAACTCGCCCAGCAACGGCATTCTGGCCAGCAGCGACGGTCAATTCGGTCAACCATCGCAAACTGCCTTGAGTAACGACCTCGTCGACACCCTCGACAACGTTGATTCGCTCGTCGACTTTGGCATGTCGGCCGACCCCAGCACCCTGCTGCCAGAGTGGGCTTCCTCATCAGCCAGCGTCCAGGACTCTGCGCCCTCGCAGATGAACAGTGAAACCGTCAGCGACAACGGTGCTGCTGCTACGGTGCCAACCACCGTCAACAACAACGGCTCAATCGACACATCCTACCGTGCCCGCATTGCTGCACACCACACTGCACAGCTCCGCCACTGGATGCCTCAGCTCGGTGGTGCCGCCGGCGGTGCCTCGGCCGGTCTTGGCGGTGCAGGCCAGCGCAGCATGGGCGGCAGCCACAGTTCGCCCAGCGTGCCGTTGAGCCAAGCGGCCAGAGCATCGAGCGCAACCCCGCGTCCCAAGATCGCCTCGGAGTTGACGATCCAGGAGCGTCGCAGGCTCTCACGCCGTGGACAGGCAGCTGGCCACGGTGTGGTCAATCCCAAGGTCAGCGGCCGCCACCAGAAACGGTCGATGAGCAATCGCGTCGACGGTCAGACCGCGACCGTGCCTTTTGACCAGTCGCAGTCGATGCAGCAGCAGCAGCAACGATCACAGCTGGCATCGCAAGTCCAGACACCTGTCAGCGCCACATTTCCGCCGCAGGTGCAGATAAATGAGCAGGATTTCGACACACACATCTATAACGGTCAATTTGGCAACATTGATGCTCTCACCAAGCGCGCATACACCTCGACTGGCTTCGATCTCCTCGGCGCCCTGATGCGCGTTTCGACGCGGCCCAACCCCAAGATCACCATTGGGCCCGTCGACCTCTCGTGCTCCTTTACCATCGTTGACGCCAAGCATCCGGATCAGCCCATTGTCCATTGCAGCGACACATTCTGTGAACTGACTGGCTATGACCGCACCGAGATCATTGGTCGTAACTGCCGCTTCCTCCAATCACCCGACGGCCTTGTCGAAGCTGGCTCGGAGCGCATGCATACCGACAACGGTGCAGTCGCCCATATCAAGAAGCATTGCAGTCGCTTCCAAGAGTGCCAGACCAGTCTCATCAATTATCGCCGCGACGGTTCGCCGTTTATCAATCTCGTTACCATCATTCCCATCGGCTGGGGCGACAGCGAGGAGCCCGTGTTCCTCGTTGGATTCCAGGTCGATCTGGTCGAGCAGCCTGGTGCTGTGCTGGAGCGCAAGCCTAATGGCCTCTACGTTGTCAACTACAGTCAGCAAAAGGCCGACCAAGCCAGCGCTCTTATCGCTGCTGGGGAAACGACGGTGATGAGGGACGACGACCGTGAGATGCAGGATCCTGTCGAAGCGGAGGCTACAAAGCGCGCCGTCATGGCTCACGAGTTGGCTGACATCATCAGCAGCGGTAGTGACGAAACGCACAAATGGGCCAGAATGCTTCTCGACAATTCGCACGATCTCATTCATGTCCTCTCGCTGAAGGGCACCTTCCTCTACGTGTCACCCTCCGTCGAGCGCCTTTTGGGCTACAAGGCAGAAGAGCTTGTTGGAAGGAGTATCAGCGAATTCTGTCACCCCTCGGACGTGGTGCCTGTGTTCCGAGAGCTCAAAGATTCAACGAGCAACGCCAGTATTGCCGCAGCCGCGCGACAGTGGGCCCGCCACGACGGCACCGTAAACCCGCCGACCAAGGGCGGTGCCGGCCAGACTGGGCCCCAGGTCAATCTCATTATGCGCATGCGTCACAAGCATCACGGTCACACCTGGATCGAGAATTCGGGCAAGCTTCACTTGGAGCAGGGCAAGGGCCGCAAGGTCGTCATCTCGTCTGGCCGACCACGGCCGGTGTACAATCTACCGTGGGAACAGGCTCGTCGCACCCTCGACGCCCGCGAACCTGGCTTCTGGTCCAAGATGTCGACCGACGGTCTCGTCATTTCGACCTCTGGATCCGTCGGCGACGTCATTGATCGCAGCGATCTCAGCAAGCGCAACGGTGGTGTCGACATCTTTGGCAGAAACATCTCCGAGTTGACCAACACGGAAGCACAAGGCGCGCTCTCGCAGGCTTTGAACGGTAGCGAGGTCACCGTCGTTGCTCACGCGCTTCTGGGCCGGCCGGTGCTCACGACGTTTATCCCCTCGTCAACAAGTGGGGGTACGGGCATGCCAACCGTCTTTGCCTTTACGCAGAAAGTCGATCTTGTCCAGTTGAACATGGCGCCAAACGTTGCACACGCTTCCTCCATGCCGGCCATACCCATGGCCGACGGGGGCATGAGCAAAGCGGGTGAACCCTCGACTGGTTCAGTGTTTGCCGAGCTCTCGACGCAGCGGAGCAGTTCATGGGTGTTTGAGTTGCACCAGCTCAAGAACGCCAACAAGCGGCTTCGCGAGCAAGTGCGCGCCCACCAGCGCCGTTTGTCGGGTGGTCGTCCAATGATCAACACGACAATGCCGCCGCCTAGCCCCGCGCGGACAAAGAGCCAACACCAGGCCGTCTCGATGGCCAACGCTCTCAAACCCAACAATCACCGCTTCCTGTCCGACTCTGCCCCTCTGCACATGAGCGCGGGTGGCCACATCAGCGACGTGTCGACGCCTACCACTGGGACGAACTCTGGCTCCGGCTCCGGTTCCGGCTCCGGCTCTGATGAAACGCAGGCGACATCCATCGTCGGCGAGCCACCGTATGGCGACTACAAGTAAAATTCTTTGGTTGGCCCGTCATGGCCCCCGTTCCTTCCGTCTCCTCCTTCTCCCCGTCCCGAAACCCGCTTTTTTCCCAGCCCCTCCTTATCACGACCTGTGCCGCCGATCGCCACCTTACCTCTTCAAAAGCGTTGATGCCGATCACGCCCCGTTCCTCCTGATACCTATCTTTACTACTACTTTAATTACGAGGTCCATCTCTGTCGACCTCTCTCGGGTTTCCTGGGGTCTACTTTGTACAGTAATATTGCTTTTTCTCTCCCTTGTTTCTTTGTCTCTCTCTCTTAGGTCTATTTTGTCTCTGTGGAACGCCTTGATTTTTTCTTCTCCACTGTTGGTTCGTGGTTCAGAGAAGTTGTGAGAAGAGTGAGAAGCCGAGATTGCATGGATGGCGCGTGTGGCGTGGCTGTACTAAATTTTCCTCGATTCCCCCCATGCCGTGTTTCCTCACTAGCCCACACGTACTAGCTGTACTATACTGTACAGTACGTGTTGATGTGTAAATTTGGGTCTGGGCATGCAGAGTGACCACCTGTTTTGTTATTTTCTCGTTTTCGAGGAGCTTGCACGTCGGTTTACCTCGCCTGCCTTGACCTTGCTCTTTTCGCTGGACGGTTGCCCCACTTCTTCTCCCCTGCTTTGCTCTGTGGGCGTGCTACATCGACCGAGACGATTCCCAGAGCGAGAAAGAGAGGGGTAAAAAAAAAAAAAAAGTAAAAGAGACATGTCGGGCAACGGCGGTCCTCCGCGACTGCCGGAGCTGCCGGCAAGTTTTGGGACCTCGTCGCCATTTCCACCCATGGGCATGCCGCGACAGGCCTCTTCAAGCCATGCTCAGCAGAGCCAGCGGGGTGGCATGGGAGTACCGGCAGCACCACCACCGCTCCCGCCGCATCCGCCAGGTGCGCTCGAACGGGAAAAGCAGATGCGCCATCACCAGCCAAAGCAGCGACCGCCCTACTTCCACCAACCTCACCCCCACACTAACGCCAGTGCCTCTGGTGGCGGCTTTGTTCCAGGCCAGCTCATCTCGCCACCACCACCACCACCGCCGCCGCCGCCGCCGCCACAGCAGTCCCAATCGTATTTCAACAACAACGCCATAGCTCCAATGCCGCGCCACCCGCATCCCCCCGCCGGTTTCGTGGTGGGCTCGCCACCGGCCATGCCCGGTGGCTTCCTCGCGTCTCCAGACCCACGCCAGCGGCCGCACTCGGCAGCGGGTGCAGTCAGCCCGATGCTGATGCAGGGAGGCCCCTCGCCGCCCCAAGCACGGCCGCCGCCGACGAAGCACCTGTCGCATCTGCCTCGCCCCGCCGCCCACGGGCCCCTCCAGTCGCTGACGGCCTCGGTCGACGAGCTGAGTTTGGCCAGTGCTCGGCGGGCCAGCAGCGAGAGCCATGGCTACCACACGGGGGCCGCTTGGTCCGACAATACATCGTCCACGAGCGGCGGGCCGCCCTCGCTCAACGTGCCCGTGCCGGACCTGGCTCAGCTCGGCGTCATGCGGGAAAAGGCCATGGCTAGTGGCGATGACCGGCGCAAACTGCGGTGGGCAAAGCAGGTCATCAAGTTTGTCGAGCGCAAGCACGACGGCAACAAGATCAGCGACGCTAGCCTCGTCCGGCACATTGACGAGGCCATCTCGCACATCAACCGCATGGCCGAGGCTGCCCGGCCCGACGCTGAGGCCCTCTTCCTGCGAGGCGACCTCCTCGCCTCGGGCTCGTTTCCCTCGTACCATCGAAAGGACCTCCGGTCGGCATTCAATGACTTTGAGCTCTCGGCCCGGATGGGCCATGCGCCCAGCTGGTTTCGCATCGGCCGCGACTACGAGGTGCTGGGCGACGTGACGCGCGCAAAGGACGCCTACGAGCGCGGGTGCAGCGTCCAGGACGTCGGCTGCGTCTACCGCATGGGCATGGCCAACCTGCTGGGCCAGCTCGAGGTTACGCAGGACAAGCCAAAGGCCATTGCCCTCCTGCGCGAGGCCGCCGATGGCGCAGACGAGGACACGCCCCAGCCCGCATACATCTACGGCATGCTCCTCGCCGGCGAATTCAGCCACGTCGAGGTGCCGGCGCAGGTGGTGCAGAGCCTGCTCCACAGCGCTGGCGGCCGTCCCGTGGCCAACCTGGAAGCTGAGGCGCGCCGACGAATCGAGCGGGCGGCCTACCTCAACTTTGCACCGGCGCAGTACAAGTGTGGCTGGTGCTACGAGTATGCGCAGCTCGAGTGCTCCTTTGATCCCCTGCTCTCGGTGCAGTACTACAGCCTGGCCTCGCAGGGCGGCGAAATTGAGGCAGACATGGCCCTCAGCAAGTGGTTCCTCTGCGGCGCCGAGGGCTGCTTTGACAAGAATGAGGCGCTGGCATTTACCTTTGCCGAAAAGGCGGCGCGCAAGCAGCTGCCGAGCGCAGAATTCGCACTGGCCTACTACTTTGAGGTCGGTGTTGGCTGCACAAAGGACCTCGAGCTGGCGAAAAAGTGGTACAGAAAGGCGATGGCGCACGGCAACGACGACGCAAAGGAGCGCCTCGATGCCCTCGCTGCGCCCACGCCCCAGACGCTGTCGAGAAAGGAGCACGAGGGCTACGTCGATGTCAAGCTGCAGCGGAAGCGGACAGAGGCCAAGATGCTGTCGGACAAGCGCAACACAATCATCAACAAGCGCAACCAGCGCCAGGGCGTCAGCGAGGCCAACAACAACAACGGCAGCAACGCGGCCAACGAGGAGGCCAAGGTGCGCAATATCAGCAGGAAAAAGACGATGAAGATGGTCGAGGAAACGGCCGGTGGTAGACGGGGCCGTCTGCAGGATCCTGCGCCTCCGCCGCCGCCGTTGCCGACAAATCAGCCGGATAAGAACGCGGCGTCGCGCGCGGACAAGCTGCTCCCCGCGCCATCCGAGGTCATGATGCCCGATCCTGCGGCACTGCAGCAACAGCAGCATCAGCAGCAACCACCCCGACAGCCGGCCCATGACTCAGGAGGACGACGGCCCAGCGGCTTCAACAACAGCGGACAGCAGCAGTCTCCCGCCAGACTCGGTGTCGGAGGCCCACCGCCCCGAGCATCTTCGCCACGGCCAATGCCGCCCAGACAGCCTCAGCCGAGCAGCAGCGGCGGCGGCAGCGGCGGTGGAGGCGATGATATACCCCTCGCTTCCAAAACGCCGGCCAAGGTCTACGAGAGCTTCTCCGAGATGGGCTTCGCGGCAAAGCCCGTCAAGGACGACAAGGACTGCACCATCATGTAGCACACGCACCCGCGCTCGAACGGACACTGCTCTCAATCACTCTCTCCCTGGATTCCATCTCAAGCTATTACCCTGGCCTCTGTCTGTCTGTCTTGTCCTCTCTATGCAATGTGAACTCGATTAAACTCCCCAAGATTGACTATGATACACGAGTTTGCGTTGGGTCTTGACGTTGCTCTCAGACGGTCTGGATGCTCTCCCGGAACTTGGCCATAAGTTGTCGGCTTGCCTGTCGACAGACCTTCATCGCAGCCGTGTGCTTTGTGGAGATGGAAGAAAATGTCAGCGGTATGCCAAAGCAGAAGGATGGGTAAACGCATACATACCTCTTTCAGGGAGAAGCGGCCGGAGGACTGCGAGAGGACGACGTCGGCTGATCCGGCGCCTCCTTCGTCGCCATTCAGGGGTTTCGCGCCGCTGATTGCAAACGCAAAGAGGAAGCCGGACCGCGACAGGGCCTCTTCGGCTGGTGATGGATCGAGGACCAGGTCCTTGTCGCCGTCTAGCTCCTGCTCCTGCTCCTGCTCCTGGCCCAGCTCCTGCGCCACGTCCCCGTCCACGTCCATCATCGTCCCGTCCGTTTTCAAGCCTTGCGACGGATTTGTCGCCGCAGAGTCTGGCCTCCAAGCACTCCGGTCGAGCAACCTGCGTGTCCCGCGCGGCACGTAGCAGGCGCAAATGGCCACGACGGTGGCGCGCATGGGCGTGCGCGCGTCGAGGAGCGCCAACGAGGCCGCATTGATGTGCGCCGCGCGCTCGGCGAGGCCCGGCGTCCGGTCCGGGTCAGGCCGCGTCTCTTGCACGAGCTTGTCCCCGCGCAGCAGCCTCGCGGGGGGCCGTGCATACGTCTGGACGTTGAGCTGGAGGAGCGCGCGAGGGTAGAGGTGGAGCAGCACGACGGACGCAAAGAGGTCGTGCAGGGCCTGGCCAAACGAGGTGCATGCGACGCCGGGCACGCCCTGGAGCGGCGTCAGGTTCACGTCGAGCGCGGCACGGTCGGTGAGCTCGTCGCGCAGGCGGACCTCCATGGGCCCGCTCAGAGTCGCAAGCGACGTGGTGGGGCCTGCGAATCTCAAGAAGCGTGAGTTCTCTGTGCAGTCTGCTCTTTGGCGCCTTTTGTGAGCGCAAACCCACCAAAGGAAAAGAGCGCACTGCCATCATGCGCAGCAATCACGCCTTGCTCCAGGCTCGTCGGGCCGACCTGTAGATTTGCCCGGCCTCTGATCGTCGCTTGCATCGTGGGAGCCCACCTCCTCTCTGCGGTTCGGTGAATTGACGTAGACTTCCTGACTGGAGAGTTGCTTTGCGTTTACTTTTTTTTTTTTGGCCTTCTTCTCGGCACACGTGGACGCGTTAGCCCTCAGCCTCATTGTTTAAAAGGGGGACGGAGAAAGAGAGCCTGCTCGCAATGGCCCTCAGGCGGACTGGATCAAGCAACCTGGATCAAGCAACAAGGTAGACGACCACACGATGAATGCGCTCGTGGCAGCCCTGTCCAAGGGCGTGATCGAGGCGCAGGCCGGTGGCGAGATCAAGGCACCCAGCGAGTGCAAGCCGCACCACTCGACGCTCGAGGCCTCCCTGGCCCTCTTTCTCTGCTTGGGCCTCATCGTGTCCTATCTGCCGCAGATTGCGCGCATCATCATCAAGAGGACATCACTCGGCTTCTCGCCCTGGTTCCTCTTCCTCGGCGCCACGAGCTCCGCGAGCAGCTTTCTCAATGTTGTTGCGCTGCAGTGGGGCGTCATTCGATGCTGTCGATGGCTGGTGAGTTGGATGCGATCGGAGACCGTGCATGCAATGCACTTCTCGCTTATTGTGGACTGATCATGGCCGATATTCAAAAAAAAAAAGACGACAAGCGCATGCTCCGAGTCGCTCCTGGGACTGCTCCAGGTCGGCCTCCAGTGGTTCCTCTTTGTCATCGTCCTCGTTCTCTTCCTCATCTTCTACCCAAAGGAGCTCCGTTACGAACGCGCGATTGCGCTCACGGGTCCCTCCAACGACATCTCTGCCCAGGACATTGTCGATGGGTACGAGTCGGATTCATCGGCCGGCGATCTCGACTCGCTCGACTCGCACATTGCCGAAAATTACAGCAGCTTTGCTGCGGACCCGGCCACGGGCGCCGTCGGGCCTTCTGCGGCTGCGCATCTGGCCGTGCCGGGCACATCGACGCCGCCCATCAACGGCGAGGAATCGGGCTCGCACCTCACGTCGACGACGACGACGACGACGACGGCTGACGAATCGCCCGACAACAGCGGAGTGGCCTCGCATTTGCTCATGCCCGAGGACGAGGCCGACGAGAGGAGCAGCTCGGCGTTCAGCAGGCTCGTGCCCACCTTTTGGCCCGTGTGGAAGGCGCCACGGAAGCAGGGCGCTGGTCCTTCGCCGCTTGGGGCCTACGAGACCACGGCTCACGGCGAGCGCCTGCCTCCCAACGCTGTACTGCCGGCTGCCAAAGCTGCAGCTGATCCGTCAGCCGCCGGTGAAGGCTTGGCCGACGACGGACAGGACGCGCGAGGCGTAGTTGGGCAAGCGGCAGGAGAGGGCGAGGTCCGCTTTGCGCCATCCATGACCACGTCGACGTTGCTCTCAAGGAGCGAGCGCGGGCTGCGAAGGACACGGAGGGTCAAGCGAAGGACAAAGGAGTGGGGCCTCGCCCTCTCGCTCTCGTGGCTCGTCGCTTTCCACTTCCTCTTTATCGTCCTCGTCACTCTGCTCCTCGTCACGTCGCTCCCGCCTACCTCGTTCCCACCACCAGAAGAAACTGCAGTCATCATCATGGGTCCTTCGTCAAGGCTTCTCGTGTCCAGGTGGGCCGCCTTTCTTGGCTTCACCTCGACGATCCTCGCCGCAGCACAGTACGTGCCCCAGATTGTGCACACGGCACGCGCAAAGCTCGTCGGCAGCCTCAGCATCCCCATGATGTGCCTCCAGGTGCCCGGGAGCGCCATCTTTGTCTACTCGCTTGCCTTGCGGCCCGGCGTCAACTTCACCTCGCTTGCTGCCTACGTCTGCACGGGCATCTTGCAAGGCGTGCTCCTGGGCCTCTGCATCGCGTGGAGGATCCGCGAGAGGAGACTGGGCGTCGACGACTATGGGCGGCCACTGCCCTGAATCATCTGATGATCTTCCACACCAATCATAACACTGATACAGCTCGTTGTAATCCTTGCCTGGAGGGTACTCTATCTGAGAAAGAATCAATGATTTTGAGAGAGAGAGAAAAGGAGTGATCTATTATGACAAAAGAGAGAGTGAATCTAGGCGGAGGCGGAAGGGTAAGGAGCCAGGTCCGGGTACCCGGCGGGGATGATGCCCTGCGCGCCAAGCTCTTGGCCCTTTACCATGAAGGCAGCAATGGTCTTTTGGAAATTCTCGACCTGGCCTGCGTCTGCGGCGTCAAATGGCTTTTGGCCCTTGCCGACCTGCCGGATCTGGGTGCCGGCGGCGACATTGGTGATGACAAAGTCCTGCTCGTTGAGCAGCAGCTTCTTTGCCGACGAGACCTTGCCCTCGATGAGGAGCTTGGGCAGGTCAAACTCCTGGCAGACGGGCCGGGCGAGGCCGATGCCGTCGGTCGACTTGTCCTCGATGGCGTTGACCATGGCTTTGGCCGTGCGGAAGCCGCCCGTGACCCAGATCGTCGACTTTTGCACCTTTTCCCGCACCACCTCGCTGAACTCGAGAAAAAAGGCCTCGCGGGCGCGCGACGAGTCGCGCTTGTGCTCAAACGCCAGCACCTCGTACGTCCCACCGCTGATTTCAATGACGTCAATGCCGAGCGTCTCGAGGTGGGCACACATCTCGCGGCACTCTTCGGGCTGGAAACCGCCGTCCTGGTACTCTTTCGAGTTGATCTTGATGGCGAGGATAAATTTGGGGTCGGGCACCCGCCGCCGGATCTCGGCCACAATCTCGTACACGATCCGTGCCCGGTTCTCGAGCGAACCGCCGTACTCGTCGGTGCGCTTGTTGGTCGACGAGCTCAGGAATTGGGCGAGCAGGTAGCCGTGTGCGCCGTGGAGCTGGACGCCGTCGCTGCCGTTCTTGTAGGCATACTCGGCAGCCCAGGCAAAGTTGTCAATGACCTCCTTGATCCCTTCCTTGGAGAGGGGTGTTGGCTTGTTGAACGAGAAGCCCATGCGGTCATCGAGCTTGACGTCCGACGCCGACACGGGGTTGGGCTGGATCGCGCTGGCCACCTGCCTTCCGCCGTGCGAGAGCTGGGTAATGTAAAGAGCGCCGTGGGCCTTTGCCTTGGCGGCCATCTCGGCAAACGCGGCTGCTCGCTCGGGCTCCTGTGACTTTGCATTCATGACCGGGTTGCCTGGCGCCTCGAGGTTCTCGTGGTCGACGATGGTGTTGCCAGAGAGGATGATGCCGAAGCCGCCCTTGCCCCACTCCTCGTAGACGTTGATGAGCTCCTGCGAGGGGATGCCTCGCTTCAGCGGGTTGTGCTGGTCCCACGACGAGAGGCGCTCCGTCATGGCGCCCTTCATGAAGCGAGACGGGGCGACGCGGCCCGAGAAGGGCAGCGTGATGCTGTCACCCAGCACCTGGTAGTTGGGTGCTGCCTCAGTCGTGTATCGGTCGGTCATGGTGGTGTGAGGGGGGAAAGACAAGGTCTGTGACTAAGAAGGGGGGGAAAGGATGTGAGGATAGTCTTAGAGAGTGAGTGTTAGGTGGAAAGCTGAGAGTTTATATACCATACACCGGTGCCGTTGTCAAAGTGGCACTCGTACGGCACGGGTTAGGGTGCATGGACCCGACGTTGCGCCAGAAAATCTTCTTGCAATCCGGATCAATTTCTCTCGACTTCTCTCTGGGTGGAGGAAGGAAGATTGCTTCGGGTCCAAGACTAACTCCGACAAGCACTCTCCACAACGCTACTACTACTACTACACTGTTGCAATAAAAAATTCCGGATTTTGGGTCACTTCTGTCAATCGCCACATCAGACTGAGGCTAACCTAAGTGCTTTGCCCTCTTGCCACTCTTTAACTCTGGCAACACGCGCGCACCCAGAAGGGGAATCTGTGTGCAGAAATGACCGACGAATGGCAGGCCAAGGTTCAGAAGTTGCGGCAGATTGTGACGGAAAAGGGTCACCAGGCCGGTGGAGGGTGGGACCACGCCTGGCAGACGAGCCTCACGCCCTGGGACCGCGGCCAGGGCCCTCAGCCGGCGCTCACGTCGTCGTACGAACGAGATGCGAGGACAAAGAATCTGCTGCCGCAGTCTGCAGGCGGTAATGCGCTCGTGCCCGGCTGCGGGAGGGGAGTCGATGTCGAGTATCTCGCCAGCCGGGGTTTCGACAAGGCCGTCGGCGTCGACCTGGTGCAGGGAGCCATTGACAAGGCTCACAATGTGCGTGCTCAACATATCAAAGTACCTCCAGCGAAGGGCAAAAACTGACCGCAGTAACAGTGGCTGGCCTCTCTTCCGAGGCAGCCGTGGCACGATCGCATCTCCTTCGTCGCTCTCGACTATCTGAGCGTCGGGCAAGATGATGAATCAAAGCTCGACCTGACCGCCAAGTCTCTCTTCGGATCCTTTGACCTCGTCTATGACTACACGTGAGCATACTACTACTACTAGATCTGGGCATAAGAAGAAAGCTGAGCATGCAAGCACGCGCAGCTTCTTTTCTGCTTTGCCGCCTGCCTTGCGACCCAAGGTGGCCGCATCGCATGCCAAGGTTACCAAGCGCGGGGGGAAGCTCTTCACTGTCGTCTATCGTCTAAAGGTGGATGGCGACGGCTATGACGGTTCGGGCCCTCCTGTGAGTGCGCGACTACAGACAAGAGTAGATTAAAGGCGAGTAAATTGACCACAGAGATAAATGCAGTTCAAGGTCACCCCGCAAGACTATCATGACGTCCTCGACGCTTATTTCGATCTCGAATTTCACGGCAAGCCCCTGGAGCATGCTCCGGGACACGAGGGCATCGAGGAGATCATGATCTGGAAGAGGAAGGAGGTTGAATGAACCGAGCAAAGAGCAGTCTGGACCATACTCCCGTTTTGTTAGTCACGAGACACGATGGAAATACATGTTGGATGCTATTTATGGCATTTATAATCTCGACCTCGCTGCGTTGACCGGCAGGCCACCAGCATGCCTCTATCCCAGAGCCTTACACAAGCAAATGCAAGATAAGTACTTTGAGTGCGGAAGGCATCTCACCGAGACGGAAGATAGACCCCAGACTCTGAAGGCATTGGCTCTGGGGGCTTCGTTGCACGATACTGCACGTCGGAATAAGCTCCTCGAGCATCGAGATGTGAAAAGGCACTTTTGCCCGTTTGTCATGTTCCCAAAGAATGATTTCTCCATCGAGCAGTCGCCCTTGACTTGGATGTGTGAAATTGTATCGAGGGAGTCAAAAAGTTGACGCAGGCCAGGGCATCCAACGTGGGCTTGCGGAGTTGTTCTGTCGTTGAGCATGCGAATGCCAAGAATGTCTTACCTGGGTAAAGTACCGTACAGTACCATAAGCCCTTTATTCGGCTCCGACAGGGCTTTGCAAATCAACAAGCCTTTTAATGCACCGTACCGTGAAGTGCATTGTCTCCGTGCGAGGGTCTCAATTACCAAGGTACTGATCGATGTGAACTCCAATAATGGATCTCTATTCTCGGCTCAAGCCGACACAGCCCCTTCCTTCTCTCTTAATCTTCGCGGGCAGTCCAATTCCGCACTAACGTCAAACAATCGAAGGTCGTTGTAGACATCAGTCTGGTACTCTCCAGTCTGGGTCTTTGCAAAAAAAAAATTCGGGACGCTTGCGCTTTTGCTTGGTGATGCATACAGCAGCAGATGCATGCCCTCTGCCCACGGGGTCCCTCTTCTGCTCTGCTTCTCTGCCTCCCTGGTTGGCTGTTGGACAAAAAAAAATAATTATTAATGTCGGCCTCTCAAGATCCTGGTAGCTCTTTCTGCTTGTCTGGTCTGTCTGCAAGCAATTCACCCGACGCGACTAACCTCTCAATCTCCACTGGGGCCCGCGTGACATTCATTCTCCTACAATCTCCCGTCTTCTGTCTCCTACCGCCTTTTCCTAGTGTCGAATTTAATTTATCACTTTCGCACGAGAGAAGCGGGCCTCGGTCAACGTCGCACCCGCTCGCTGCAATCTTGAATGAAGATCGTCTCTACCTCACTCACCTTCGGCCACCCCGTACAGTCTTCTCGTCGCTACTAAGTCCTACGGTGACCATTGGGAAAAGCAGTCCTCAACATTGTTCCTGGCGCATGCTTTGAGAGGACTTGCCCATGGACCCGACTGGCTTTCTCCGACAGCCGCCGCACGCTCGGCGGGCTTCGGGCACAGGGTTCCAGCAGGCGAGGGGATGTACCAGGGAGGATGTCCAAGAGGATGAAGAAAGTGGGGTATCACAGTCGCCATTTTTCACCTGCCAAAGCGTGGAGGAGGTGCTCCAGAGGTGAGTCGGAGAGGCAGGGCAACTAGTCCGCATGTATCGTGACTAATAATACTCACGTTGGCTCTTCCAGACATAAATCGCTGGCGCCCTCTACCTCGAGGCGGCCCCGGTTCAAATTGCTTGTTCGTCAACAACCGAAGTGCGGACTCGCCGTGGGCAACGAGGAAGCCGGTCTCAAGAATGGTGAGAAGCTCTTCGACCAACTTCCAGTGATGTAGCGGTTGACATCTTCCCATTTCAATCAGCACGAGCAAATCCCATCGATCCACCTCCAATCTGCGAAGTCGTCCCAGAGCTCATGGAGAATGTGTGAGGGAGGAGAAAAAAATTCGGGAGAAAGAAGAGACTCCTACTGACATGGAGCGCAAATAGCCGATTGATATCATTGCCAGAACTCAGTCTTCAAGCTCGCCTCGTCTCCTCGGAATCGGGCTTTGTCGAAGTAACGTCAAGAAATGGCGTGGTGCAGCCACTAGTGGGCGATATGGATCAATGTGCATTCATTGCACCCAAGATACAATCTGAGCAAGGTAAGCGAAGCCTGTGCTTGCCCCGAGATCAAGGCTCACTTTGAGCCTTTACTCTTCAAATGCCATTCAGAGAGATGCCTCTTCGTCTTTTCCGAGCTCGGTGTACGGCAAGCTGGCACCTATCGCATCCGGTTGGACCTTGTCGAACGGGTTGGGTACACATTTTCCATGCTCACGAGTGTCTATACCGATCCATTCGAGATTCACGCCACTCGAAGCACCTTTCCCGGTCTCGCCCCTTCGACCGAGTTGACCCAGGCCATTTTTCGACGTGGTCTCAAAATTCGCCTCGTGAAGGAAGCAAAGCAGTGCAAGAAGGGAACGAAGAAGAGGAAGAATGACGATGGCCGAACATGGCGCGTCCCGCAGGATGGCGACAATCTGTTCACACAAGGACCTTACACATCACCTCTCGTACAGCAACAATCACCAAATTCTTTCGAAGCAGAAGGCGCCAAGTCATATGCTCAGTTAGGACATGGAAGAGACACAGTTCACCAAACAGGTCCTCCGCCTCTGCAGTTGCCTCCATCTGGGCCCGCTTACACTGCACCACCGGCCTCGATATTTCATTACTCCGCTCAATCGCGTCCTTCCCAAGCTCCAGCACCACCGATCTTTGCGTCTACGCGATCCACGACCTCCCTATCCTCGTCATTGCTCCCACCTCCGCCTCCCCTCACCCACAATATCGAAACAGATCGCTTCGGCCGTCGTGGATCAAATTCTTCCACTTTCGCCCGCCGTCTTCTCCCACAAATGCCGCCGGAAGCCTATGGCCCTGGCTTCGAGTCGAACCCAATGTTTCAGACGCCGACTTTGCCCGTGGATCGAGCTTTTCGAAGCTTTCTGCTCGCGAGTCGACCTCGGCCAGACGTCTATCCGCATCCCCATTGCACACAAGCGTTTGATGCGACTAACCAGACTAGTGCGTCGCCATCCGAGCAGCATCAATCAAAAAGCCCAAAGGTCGAAAGTGGCAGATGGAGTGATCACCGCGAGGCTGACGCGGGCGCACAGACATCGTCCATGCCTGACACGCCTCCCTGCCTCTGGGCCCTTCCGGCAGCGAAAAGGATATTTGCACCCCACAAACCTCACAATCCGGTCTACGACAATGACAACTCAAACAAACGTATGAGCGTCTCGTCTCTAACGGGTGGCCAGCCGCCATCGCCTTCGACAATGGAGAAACGAGATCGCCCGACGCTGCCACCACTCGCTTCACTCGCCTCATCTGCCGCCCAAAAGGTCTCAACGACATCGTCAGGCCTCTTGCAGTGGGATCGAGGCGTGGATAGGGAATCGGGATGACCCGACATTCGAGAGAGCAGGCCTGATCGAATCTTATCACCTTATAGCCCGGAAACGCCTTACCAGCAACCACCGTGTCGTGAATCTTATTAATCTTGTAAAATAATAGACGAGCACCATATTGTCCCGCCTTTTCATTGTCTCATAGCAGTAATATTACTACCCGCCCGTCGAAACCCTGTTGCCATCACGTTTGTCATCTTCGCCTGCATTCATGAATTGAAGAGAGCTGGAAGCATTGAGAAGCCAGGGGACAGAATAGAAGAAACGCTCGCAGAGAGATGTTGAGCTTATCTAGATAGAGATCAAACAAGAAAAGGGGAGGAGCCTGGAAAAGGAAGAGGGAGTGGTGCAAGAAAGAAATTAGGCAATGATAGACGGAAGGGAAGTAATGGGAACAAGAAAAAGGTCCATGAGGTCATTGCCATCGATTCGGTGCATGGTGGTTGTCGTCGCCGGAAGCAGTGTGGAAGCTTGTCTCCGTCCAGTTGGACTCATCTCCTGGATGATGAGGTAGCTGCTGAGCGTCGTCTGTCACCGATGCGGATCTTTGCAGTGGTGAAGGCGCCTGCTGCTGCTGCGCACCTCCAAAGCGGTTGTGGAATCGCTGAAGAGGAGACAGAACCGGTGATGCATCGTCGTCGTCGTCGCCCGCCGCTGCTTGTCCATGGGTGGAGCCTTGGCTGCTCGATAGTCCAGCGTCTTTGAAATTCATCTCGAAGCTGTCTACGCTTTCGTTGTTGGCCGATGCCAAGGCCACTCGAGAGTCTGCTGAGGCATGCTGCGGGTAGAAGCTCTGACCAGAGGCCCTCTGCACCGTGATTTGTGGGACCTCGAATGCAGGACCATCCCCTTCTTCCTCGTCGCTGTCATCCCGATATCGGCCGTAAGGATTGGCGCGCGTCGGAATTGGGGTCGATGATGTGATCTGGTCGGGATCGTAAAAGGAGAATGCGGATTCGCGACCCGTTGCAGACAAATTCGGCATGAGCGAATCTCGCGGTCCTCTGGACGCCCTCTTCGCACCGTCTGACGACGCTGCCGCTTCCGCCAATGATGATGAAGTATCTCGCGGCATCTGCTGATATGCTTGCCCGGCCTGCTGCAGTGCGTTCGGGTTTTTTGGAGGGAAGGTGTGAGGCGCCCATCGCTCCGGATCACCTTCGGATGATGCTCCGGCTGTGTATGCCTTTTCGTACGAGAGGTCTTCACCTTCAACATCGCCGACCTCTTCGTTCCGGATGCCGAGCCGCTTTTTGAGGTCCCCCTTTACCCATGCCTGTCGAACGAGATCGACGTGCGTGGGCCTAAAGGACGAATTCCAGGCGATCCAGACATACCGAGGCAGCAGACTGACCACAACACAGATGAGGACAATGACCCAAAATTGTACCGTGCCAAACAGCACAAATGCTGTCGAGGTGTAGGTGGTTGCGAATGCTGGCGCACTGTAGATGGCGACCCAGATGAAATAACTGAGGTTGGAGAGGATGATGACGACCCAAATAATGACGGACCAATTCTGAAGCATCAGGCCGCAGTAGAGGTTAGCCGCCAGCACACAAGCTGCTCCCGTCGTCGTTCCAAGGGCTGTGAGCGGATCGAGCGAGAGACCGTTGGCAGTGACCATGGGGAAATAGTACCAGGCTGCTGCAGGGATAGCAAAGCATACGATCGACTGGTAGATGCCGTCGATACAGGCGAACCAGAACTGGGTGCGGGTGTAAAGCTTGCCCTCGCGGCCTGGAGCATAGGTCTGCGGGAAGGCCAAGAGTGCAGGCGCTCTGACGTCCTGGTCCAAACTGCCGAGCATGATTACTGGAAGCGAAGTGAAGATGAGGTTGAAGAGTAGCACCAGGCTGTAGTCGAAGAGATAGGTGGCGTTGGACTCGCAGAAAATCTGGAAGAGGAGCAGGGCAAAGGTCCAGATGAGGTTTTTGTAGAAGAAAACCTGGTGCAAGACGCCAATTCGGTAGGTGTTCCAGTGTCCATGGACAAGGAGGAGTTTTGCCAAGAAACGAAATTGACCAATGGCGTAATCGGCCGACATTGAAGCTTGTGCTCCCTCGAGGCCAGCAATACCTACACCCACATGGGCCTCCTGGATCATTGAAACGTCGTTGGCACCGTCGCCAATGGCAAGAGACATGGCTCCGATGCCGTCCTTGACCAATCGTACTGTCAAAGCCTTTTGAGCGGGACTGACACGGCAGCACACGACCGTTTCGCACTGCGTCGTGAGGGCCAAGAACAGTGGCTTGAGGCTCTTGTCCAAGCAGAACTTGAGCGTCTCGCCATCGACGACAACCGCGAATGCGCCCTTGTCGACTGGATCGGTGCCGTGACCGTCAAATTGCTGCTGGATCTTTTTCTTGCCAAGGCCCTTGCCCTCCTTGCTCCGGACAACGATTGGTCGACCCGAAGCTGCAATCTTGTTGCAAGCCGCCTCCAGCTGAGCTCTGGCTCCTTGTTCGTGATCGGCTGAGATGATCATAATCTCCATGTTGGACGACAAGAGATTGCAGCTGAAACCAATTTCGATGGCCGTTTGGAGCTTGTCACCAGTCAGAATCCAAAGCTTGATACCTGCTTGATGCAGCTTCTCGATTGTTTCTGGTACCCCAACCTGGAGCTTGTCCTCCAGTGCCGTGGCGCCCATCAGAGTAAGGTCGTGCTCGATGCGCTCGCATACCTCGTCGATGGCCTCATCGCGGTCTTGAAGGGATGCAGCCGCCTCGTCGTGCAGCTTGGCCCATTCCAGGTACTCGCCCTCATCCAGGTAGCGGTAGGCGATGCAGAGCGTCCGCAAACCGGCATTGGCAAAGTCTTCCAGGTCCTTTTGTGTGCGGCTCTTGAGCTCCTCGTCATGATTTGCAGTTAAGCGCTGGTAGATGACCGAGTCGGCACCCTTCGAGATCATGAGAATTCTTCCATCAGGTTCGCGTACAATGACGCTCATGCGCTTCCGAGTGCTGTTGAATTCGAGAACTTTGAGAGGCTGATACCGTTCAGGCGCGCCCATGACTTCGATGTCGACGACATGGTTGTTGCGGTTGAGGTAGACAGCCCCCACGTCCCTGGCTGCAGCGACAAGGGCCGCTTCGTCGGGGCTCTGCGCCTTGTACTCGAGAGTGAAAGCGTCTCCGGAGTCGGTTCGGTCAGCGAGTGCAGTATGGCACAGGGCAAGAGCTCGGAAAAAGGCCACTGTATGCCGTCGTTGGGGCGACGATGCCGACGTCATGTCGTCAGCGAGCTGAGGCGATATGAGTGTGACTTTGTCGGGCCGTAAGAATCGGTTCTTGAAAGCCCGAGTCATCTTGGACACCATGTCAATGCGCATCTCTTCGAGTTGGGCCGCCTGCGAGTCCGCGTCCAATCCACTCAAGCTCTTGCCCTGCCTCTTCATCGCACCCATCATGGCCTCGGTAATGCCCTCGCCATACGAGACACCATTGATGGAGCACTTCTTGAACTCCATCACATTCTGCGTTAGCGTGCCCGTCTTGTCGGAAAAGATGTACTCGATCTGGCCAAGGTCATCGACGATGCCCCACGTCTTTGGCACGCAAGGGTGGTCCAGGGGTTCGTAATACATGTCGATGTCTTGATAGATGAAGAAGGCGGAAATCGTCTTTGTCAATTCGATGGAGATGTAGAGCGAGATGGGAACGATGTTCTGGTAAAGGACGAGGCAAGACCCAAAGATGTAGAGGGCGTTGATGATGTTTGACGAGGAGTCGGTCGAATCTGGCTCGTAGTAATCTCGCGAAGTATTGGTCTTGTTGAGAATAAGGCCGCCCACGATGGCACAAGCGGTACACATGGCAAGAAGAATGACAAAGTTGACGGCAACATTGACGTTGGTCTCCTTTTCAATCTTGCTACGCTTCGAGGGCGTCTCGCCGCCGTTCAGCATAATCTTGGTGTCGCTACCAGTGAAGACGACGATGCCAATGGCCCAATCGGTATTGCGGAGCGCACAGCCTCGGAGCAAAAGCTCATTAGCAGTGACGGGCTCCACCATCGTCTTGCCGCTCTGCTGGAACTTGAGCAGAGCATTGAATGCATAAAGATTCGCATGCGGGGGCTCGCAGTCGATGACGAAACGGGCGTGCTCAATGTCGTCTTCCGTCTGGATCGAAGATGTGGCCTTGAGGCATTTGCGGACCTTCAGGTTCGTCTCTCCGTCGAGGTTCTTCGTCTCGACGAACGCAATGCCATCTGGGTCCGAGGAATTCAGAAGCACCATGTCTGCTGGGACCTGCTCATCCTCCTGCAGCAGGACGATGTCGCCCACCTCAAGCTTCTTCCAGAGCGTCCTTTCCCATCGTGCAGTGCCAGGCGTTCGCCTTTGCATGTCAATCACACCCTCGCCGGGCGTTTGAGCTGCTGATGACGATGTGGCCGGGAGGAACGACGCCGTGCTGGCACCACCGAGATGGCTATCGTCGATAAGGTGCTGCTGGCTACCACTGCGATTGACCGAATGCTTTCCATAGTCGCTCTCCGAGGCAATTGTTTCAAGCCGGTTGGTGTTGGAGCTGTCTGACGTGCCCGGTCTCGAAACCGGGGCTCCACCCATGTATCGCGCGGCCTCAGTCTGTGCGGGCGTGGAAGTCGACTTCGGCGGCCGAACGGCACGCATGCCGATGGCGTCCTCCTTTTCTCTCAATTTCCGCACCCCCTTCGACACTTTGCCGCTACGCGAACCCATGCCCATCAGCTTCTGTAGCTGGTTTCGTGCATCCTTTGGCTGGTTGACGTTGCGCCAATTGCCCAGCTTCGTCACGGCGGAATTGTTGACTTGGTTGTCGATTATGTGTCTTCGGTAGTCTTCGATGCCATCCTTAATGGCTGTGATGGTCAGGATGGCCACAAGGGGCAGCATGGCAATCTGAGGGATCGTCGCGCCAAATTTGTCCGAGGTCTGTTTCAACGAATCAAAACGTAGAGGTCAGCGCTTTCATCAAATACCTGCAAGGGTAAAGAGGGGGATGACGAACCTGAAGGAGGACCAGGCCCAAGAAGTAGATATTCGCCAGTCTTCTGAACTGCTCGCTCAGGAAGCGAGGAAGGAAAGAGACGACCGTGTACTTTGATGTCCTGACCTTGTTCCGCGGATACCTCGCCGTGATTTCGCCCCTCGCGTTGGTGTCCTGAGGCGATGGTGCAACATTCATGTAGACGTTCCTCCGCTTAGCTGGCTTGGCCTTGACCTTGTACCAGGGACCCTTCTTCTTGAGGCTCTGGTCTGGCTTTGACGGCAGCATCTCGTGGCCCGCAGGAGTAAAGTCTGACTGGGCCGATTCAAAAGCCATGCCTGCAGGCTCGCCCTCGGTTGGATCTTCGCCCATGCCCGTCATGTGCAGCTCTTGGTCCTGGTCCTGACCTTGCCGTATTCTCCCCAGCTCGTCCTGCACCATCTCGACGATGCCGGCCGACGTCTTTCTTCGATGGGCATTGTCCTTTCGCAGCAGCGTCTTGCCCCTCCCGATCCTGCCCAGGATGCTCCCACCTGCGCCCCTACGACGAGCCTTGGCTCGTTGGTCCCTACGCATCTCCGATCGGTGCGACTCGGCAATCGACTCGGCCGCTGTCCGGACAGTTCGCAGCTGTAGGTTAGGGTCGATGGCGGGATCATACTCCGGATGGCTGGGGTCCGATACGTAGGGAGGTCGGTCGACATTCGACGGTCCAACCTGATAAGGTTGCGACATGTTGGCATCGTAAATGTGGCCGTGTGCGTCCATCGCTGGTGGAGGCCTGCCTCCGTGCCCGAAGACCATCGTCGAATAGAGCGAGGGGGGGAGAGGGGAAAGGGAGAGAGGGGAAGAGGGGAGCACAAGAAGAGGAGAGAAGGGGATGAGCCGTCAAATGCGAATAGATCTAGTCGGTCATGAAAGCTCGCGAAAGACGAAGCGAAGGTAAAGTCGTCCACTTTAGTGGTCGTCTTTCGGATCGGCGCTCAGGGGCGGCCAATTGGAGATTGTGAGCGTGCTTGGCAGTCAGCGAGAGAAGGCGCGTTCTCAAGCAGCTCGCGCATTAGAGGAGTGAAGTCTAAAGTTGCTTCGCAACCCGCGTGGTTTCAGATTTTGCGCGCTTCCCATTTGTTCAATCTGTTCAATCTCGCCGCTACTTAGAAACAAAGCTAAAGCCATGCTCTGTCTGCACGTCTACTACTGCCCTCCGCTGCTGCTACTGCTGCGACTAAGCCTTCTTCGTCCTTCTCATCGTTGTCCCTCTCCTTCATGCCAGTCCAAAGGCAACGCCGTACGGCACAAATACCAATTATTCGATTCAATGTGTTGCGTCAATTGAATATTTTTACAATGGTGCATGGGGGGGACTAAAAAGAAGGCAATGTTACACGATGCTGGCCCGTTGGCGGCCTGTGAGGACCTGGGGTGGGTTCATGAATTTGGCAGACGGTTGTCGCGAGAGACTGGACGAGCGAGCGCTGTGACGGCCATGCGAGAGGGAGCGCGAGTGACGCTTGTTTGAATTGGTGGGTTGAAAGATTTTGTCCTGATGCTGCTGAACATGATTGCCGAGAGACACAACGGCTGCCTCGAGGTAGTGTTGCTTGGCGAGACAAAAAAAAACTTCAGATACGTTGACGACGGACTCTCTCTGCTTTTACTCACTGTCTCTTCACCGGCAAACACTGCTTCCCAAATGCCCCTCTTGCGCTCTTTGTGGCTTGAGCCAGGTGGCCAGATCAGCTTGCCCATCTCTTTCGTCTCAACGATGAACGGCTCCTGTTCATTGGAAGACCTGCACAGTGACAGAGAGCAAACGGCTTCGACGGATTGTCCCCCTGCGATTTCCACCAGGCGTTCAAGACCGACCGTTCTTGCAAACTCGTCCGAATAGGCAGCTGGCATCCCGCCAAGTGACGTGAGGTGCAGGGATCGGTGAAGTGCGATGCATGGACCGTCGATCTGGGAAAGAACAGGGCACACATTCAGTACGCAAGAAAAGCTCCTCAAGATAGAAAGGGCAGACCAACAATTCGAGCAGCTGATCTGGACTTTGAGACCGCCACATCTTTAGCGGTTCCCTGTACTTCTTGGACTGGGCAATGACGCGGCGGATTAGCTGAAAGCGCTCATGTGATGACGGGCGAAACTCACTCTCGAGATCCTTTCGTACTAGGGTAAAGTTGAGTTCAGCAACAGCTTGAATCAAGTTTTCGAAAACGGCGAATTCATCCTCGTCATCGGTGACCACCGTCAGCACATTGGCAGGTGCGCTTGGCAGGGGAGGCGGCGAATGCTCGTCCAATCGAGGCCCTGAAACCGTTGGCATGGAGCTTCGCCTCTCTCTCGCCGTCACTGCTGCTGGCGACGTTGAGGAGGGCGACGATTTCGTGACTGTCGTCGATCGCTGCAAATTTGTTGCCAATTTGGCTTCGAAGATATTACCAGGGTTAATGAGGGCGCTCGGCGGAACGGCGGCGGCCATGATCTGGAGATACTCATCACGAGCGACGCCTGCTGCTTTGCGATGAGTTTCGTACAGGCTGTGCTGCTGGAGAGCGGAAAGGGTTGTGAACCACCCTTGCTCGACACAGGGCGGTGTGGGCCATGCGATCCGCCAGTGCTGCTGGTGTACTGTCGAGGCCATAGCAGGGGCGTGTCGAGCATGAAAACTCATCAGCTCCTCTGTCTTGGATGGGAGGGGAGGCGGTGGTGGCGACCGATCCCGTCGCGCAGCTGAGGACACCCGGTTGCCCGGCCACGGTGTATTGGCCGATTGTCCATAATAGGACGCCCTCTTCACATGGCCGTTGGTCAGAGTGGGCTGATGCTCGTCTGTAAACTTTCGATTCTCGGAAGACGAAGAGGAGTCAAGCAAAGTGCCCTCAGACCGAGCTCTAGAGTGTCGGAATGGGGACGCATTTTCGGCAAAGATGGCATGGTCAGGCGAAGCTTGCACGGCCGAAGCGACAAATGCCGAATCCACAGTCGAAGGGGTCGGGCTACCACCCCCGTCAACCAAGGCAGGAGCTTGCAGCGACGGTTGGAGCGTCGCAGCGGAATCCTTGGAAGAGGACGAAGACATATTCCCCGATCGTCTCTTGCCTGATGGCATTTCACTACTGTTGCTGCTGTCCCCGTCGTCCATCCAAGGTAGTCGGGGTGGTTGCATGTTTGCTTCGCCCCTGCTGCGCTCCTGCTCCATTCTCGAAATCGCATCAATCAGTGTCCTTGGCCCATCCGTGCCACTTCCCAGCACCCTCGCAGAGTCAAGGCCGTAACCCTTTGCTGCATCCCCTTGAAAGCCTTCATTCAGATCGCGCAGAGAGGAGAAGGAGCCCTGCTTGGCCACACTAGGTCGAGATCCTCTGGCTCCTCCGTCCGCTGAGGCCAAAGGTTCCTGGTCCACGTTCCTGCGCAACAATGGCGTCGTTCTTCCTCTTGCAAGCTCCGCCTCGAGCTCCGCCAATTCCTGTCCGGGGGATCTAGGCAGGCTGGACCCAGCCATGACTGGGCTGACGTTTCCGCTGTTGTGGCTCGTCGGACTTGCAGGTCGTTGCTCTCGATCCTGAAAGAACGCTGAGGACGTGACGTCGGGCCGCGACCTTGCTGCCGTGCCTGCTCGGAATCGACCGGCGCTCATCCTGTTGGTATTCATATGCCGATTTGGGCTGCTAGTTGTGCTGCTGTCGGCACCCGTAAAGTAGCTCGATCCCGATAGCCTGTGCTGATGGCCCTGCTGGTTCACACTTGGGCTCGGCGGCTTGCTGATCGAAGGGGAGTTGGCGTCATACTCAATGGCGGAGACGAAGCTTTCCGCCCTAGAGATGGGCAGTGGCGCAGGGCCAGGAGAAGGCGACGAGGGACTGGCCACTCTCCGAAATGAATGAAGGTTGAATGTCGAGGAGTCCTCCTCTGACCTCGGTGAGGCGGACTGCGGCGAGCCCACTGCACTCCATCGCCGTACGACGCCTCCCAGTCCTCCAAGACCGCTAATCGATGGTCTCTTTGTCCTCAATGAGGTATTTGCTGCGGCCGTTGGCGCTGAAGACATACCAGACCTGGGTCGATCAGCCTTGTAAGCTGCTGCCGAGCTGATGTGGTCCTCGTGGTGCGGTGTGGATGTGCCGTCAAAAGAGAGCGACGTGGTGGGCGAAGGGACGATCTCATAGTCATTTCTCTTCGTGCCCTCACCGTTGGAGACGACAAGCGAGCTCCTAGACTGCGCGTGTCTCTTCACATCTAGCGCCAGCGAGGGCCTATCGAGACTGGCGTGCGATGACACGCGCCGTTGGCGCGGTGAACTGTATGCTCGCATCTTGGCCCCAAGTACTCCAAGCGCTCCCGGCCGCGATGGTCTAGAAGTAGTCGACGCTGTGATTGGCTCATCCGGCCTCGATTCTTCCACTACCGACGACGACCGCCCCATTCTGAAGCGGTTTTTGCTTCCAGATGCCATGCTGGCTGAAGAGACTTTAAAGAAGTAGAATGTCAAGTAGGGTCCTCTCTCAACTTTCAGCTCCACTTTGACCGAAAGGGGGACTGCCAAAAAATTAAAATAAAATAAAATAAACAAGAATAAAAAAGCCACAAAATCAAAAAGAAACCTTTCCCCAGCGGGGAATCGAACCCCGGCCAGCCGCGGACTAAAGACAGGCGAACCTGAACAATGAGAGGCGGCGATCCTGACCACTGGACCACTGAGGAGTGCTTCGAATAACTCCGACGACTAGACGTTGATGAACACAACAGCATGGTCAACCACATCATAGTGCTCTCTTTTGGAAGAGAAGGCAAGATCGAAACGTTCATAGGGGGCATTAGGAACCCATCTCGTCTTCTGTTCACATATATGCATGAACGTCAAGGTTTGGAAGCAAGAAGCAACGGCATATCCGCTCCGAAAGTCGCTCCGTAGCGCGGGTTCTTTTTCTGGAGACCACTGCCATTGCCTAGGCGGCAATTCGAGGGAAAAAGCCCTATCTCCGAGAAAAGAGAAATGGACAACCAATTGATGGCCGGGGCTGCGACGTCGGACTTAGCTTGACCCCTTCGCAGTCGGAGAACTGATCGGAGATCGGGTATCATCGATCGGCTTAGGCTCAAGTCCCGGCACCAGGCCGAGCCTAGCGCAGTCGACTGCATATTGCGACACTGGTGTAAGGCCTCCGCCCTGATTTAGTCTAATAAAGGATCAGTGTACAGGTACTTCCGACCTTCCCGCTAAGGCGACGCGTTCGTAAGTCTGGTACAGGTATATACGTCGGCACCCACTTTCTATGCCGGGCAGATTTCCCTCTCCTTTCCCCACTGTCTCTGCTACCACATGTCCAGCATGAGCACGACGCCGCATAGCCAAGAGGGATCGGATCGCGAACTGAAGGGGCCAGAGGCTCTTAAAGATCCCGAAAAGGGCTCGCAGCCGGCGCTTTCCCCCACCGGTCCTGCTTCTTCACCACCCCCGCTTCACTTGCCCCCTGCCGCTTACCTTACCCTTGTGGGCGGCTGGCTCGCTTTGTTCTGCGGTTTCGGGTGAGTGACCTCGGCGAGCACCCGGACGATGTCTGAGGGGTCTAAGCTGACCGTTCTTGCAAACCAAGATTCCTCAATGCATTTGGGGTCTTTGAGTCATATTACAAAGAGCAGATCATTCCCTCTACGTCCGAGTCGACAATCAGCTGGATAGGCTCCTTTCAGTCATTTTGGATGCTGGCCGCCAACGTTATCGCCGGACCAGCGCAGGATAAATTTGGCCCCAAGCCCCTGCTCTTGTTCGCCGCAGTCTGCTTCTGCTTCAGCTGCATGATGGTCTCGCTCTGCCACCAGTGGTGGCATCTCTTCCTGGCTCAAGGTGTCCTGCAGGGCATGGCTCTCTCCATCGGATTCGCCCCACCGATGGTCTGCGTGTTGCAGTGGTTCAAGCACAAGGGCCCCCTGGGCGTCGCTGTCATCGTCTCGGGCTCCTCGGTCGGTGGTGTGGTGTGGCCGATTGTCGTCCGAGCGCTGCTCAGCAACGTCGGCTTCGGCTGGACATGGCGCGCTCTAGGCTTCATCGGCGGCGGTCTGCTTTTGGTCTCCACAGTGCTGACCTCGCAGCCCGACATGTTTGACGGGCAAGACGGTGAAGACGATGTCGCCCACAACAAGCGCGGGCGTGTGACTAAATTTCTCCTCGTCTCCTTCGGTCTTTACCGATCGTCCAAGAAGCGACCACCAAAGCGTGCATTCTTCTACTTTGACGTCCTCAAGCTGCTCTCGTTCCAGATGACACTAGTCGCATGGATGTTCATCTATCTCGGCCTTTTCTACACGTTTTTCTACCTGCCCTCATGGGGAAGGTTGTACGGCCTCAGCGAGGACATGTCTTTCTACTCGATCTCGATCCTCAACGCTGCCTCTTTTTTTGGCCGTCTCTTCCTGCCCTTCCCCGCTCTCAAGGTTGGCGCTTTCAACGTCGCTATTCCTTGCGCCCTGGCGAGTGCTGTGGTCGTTTACGCGTCCTTGGCTGTCGACACGTCTGCGGGTGTTCTGATCATCGGTGCCTTCTACGGTTTTAGTGCGTCAGACCCTATATCAACACTTTCCAGAGACATTGGCTGACTTTTTCGCCCCATCCTTTCCAGCTTCTGGAGGTCTCATTTCACTCCTCTCGCCCTGCATCGCGCCGCTCTGCCCTGACAAGACCCGAATCGGCTCTGCCGTTGGTCAATTCGCTGCGATGTGCTCCGTCGCCAGCCTGTTGAGCGGACCCATAGGCGGGTGGATCATTGGCGCAGGCAAGACACCCCAGCAGGGCTTCCACGGTGCACAGGGCTTCTCTGCAGGCTGCCTCACCCTTGGTGCCATTTTCTTGGTGAGTCGCTTCCAGTTGACCTGTCCGAGCTAAAGAGATCTTGCATAGCTAACAATCTGTGACCTTCTCAGTTTGTCGCAAAGCTGGTCATTAACCGCAACCCATTAGGCAAGGTCTGACCAAGGTATCATACATATAAATTTCCCTAATCCACTTTGCTGTTTCACTGCCTGTGTAATCCTTGTATTAATGTCCATCAACGATTTCTGCGACTTCGACAAGTTGTTATCTGACCTCTCCTTTCTCGAGGATCTCTCGAGCGAACCTGCTCCTTTTGCGCACCTCGAATCCCTTGAAGTAGAAGAGAAACATGGGTAGAACGACGATAATGGATATAAATCCGAGGAGCGATGAGGCCCATTCGTAGCCGAGCCTCTCGTAGACTTGTTATCGTGGCGCATCGTGATGGGCTCGTAAGCGAATTTTTCAAGCGTATGCATGAGGAAGCAGACTTACGAGGGTTAGTGTACATCGCGGCACTGCCCGCGAGGATGTTGCGGACGAAAGTGTTTCCTGATGCGGCCGACGAGGCGTAAGGCCCGTAACTGTAGACGCAGTAATCGATTGTGGCTATGTAGATGGCGAGCTGTACGGTAGGTCCCAATTAGCAGGTGAACCCGTCAGTGCGACTAAGCACTCACATTGGCGATGCCGACCAGAGCAGTAAAGATCATGGGGGCGATCCAGGGGTTGTGTGATGGTCCGAAAGACGTCCATGCAAACCCAAATAGACCAATGACGAGGAGCGGGCCAGCTATGCAGAGGGCAAGCAGGATGAGAAAGCGGCTTTGTAGAGCCTCGATGCTACTCACTGAAAAGGAGCCACAGAAGCCTAGACTCGGGTGTCAAAACCTGAGGCTGAGTCCTTTCGAGTGTCTTTATACGTTCGGTCGGAATGACAAAGGAGGCGAGACAAAGGAAATATCCGATCCAGACCGGAGCAAAGGCAGCGGCGGTGACAGGAGCCTCGAAGCCCCACTGGGCATAGATGAGTCGAAAGGAGCCCATAAAGCTGAAAATGAGGGCGTCGCTGAAGCCGCTCAACAGGCTGCAGCATTGGACGATGGGCTCACGAGCGATCATCTCGAGCTTTTGCCGTCTCTCGTTTCGTCAATTTGGTCAAGTCACGTCAATGACATCTTGCAAGACTCACCGAGCGAGTTGTTGTTGCCGCAATGTCCTTTGCTTTCGCCAGCATGTCTCTCGTCTTCTTCTTCTCCTCGCTGCTGTGTGGACCAAAACGCTTTCTATACCTCTCCGCGATGATCTTGTGCCGCGTCTCGGGAACGAAAACCAGATGGAGAAGCTGGACCACCGCTCCAAAAATGAGTTGCAGCCAGAAGAACCAGTGCCATGATAGGTACGCATGCACAAAGGGGCCCACGACAGGCCCCAGTGCGCTCCCCCCAACGGAGCCAAAGATGATGAGGGCCGTCGCGTACGGTTCGCGACTGCCAAAAACGTCGGCGACTATATCCCCGAGTGCCAGTGTAAGTGAGCTGCTTCTCTGACCAAGTCCATGCCGCACAAGCGGTACGTACCGATTCCCACGCTGACGCTGCCTGAGCACGTAAACAAGCCGCCGAGTGCCCTGCCGACGACAAGTGCGCCAAAGTTTGGCGCGAGGGCACATAGGATTTGCATGGCGTTGACAAGGGTGAGGCTGAGCTGAATGACCATTTTCCTGCCCTTGTCTTCGCTCCAGGGGCTCCAGATCTGTGCTCCGATCGCGTATGCAACGAGGAAAACGGCCTGCCCAACTCGAGCGGCCTGCTGCGAGACGTGGAAGTGGTCCGAAATGGGCTGCACACCATCGCTGTAGACGGCCGTGTTGAAGTGGGCGCTGAGCTGAATGAAGAAATAGATGACAATGATGCTCCACTTGCGCCACAAGGGAAGAGCAGCGATGAATGGCACTTTGCCGCTCGACGGCCGCGCACCATCCTCTTCTCCTTCGCCTTCTTCAAAAGCGACACCAGCTTCTTCTCTAGCGAGTCGCCATTGGGGCGATTTCCCGCTGGAAAACCTAGACGCTCCCTCTCCACTGCTGTCCGCGGCGAGACCCTCGTGCATATCGCCCTGCTGCCCGACGACAGCACCCTCTTTGTCCATCACCGCGGCGAGAGGGCAAGCTGTAGACAGAGAGCGTCTTGCCGCAAAGAGCTCTCGAACGGGCCTCAGGCACACAAGGGAGGAAAGACCCGCTCCTGTCCGTGCAGCGACCGAGGGGACCTGACAGCTCTGGACGGCCCCAATGAAGCAGTAGTGAGTCCAGGAATGGTAGTACAAGGTACAGTGCGGTGCCGTGCAAATCGAGCAACATCAACGCTCAGCATGCATGTATGTCCGATCCACCGGCGCGCCTCACGATTGCGTGCTGGACCGCCCTGCGTCAGGCAATCAGTCTATTATTAATGAGGTGATTAACAGGGCACAAAATTCACCGGAAGCGTGTTTAGTCTGAGCTGACCCTACGGCACCTATGAAAGACGCCGTAGGCTGCTGAATGTATCTGGGCCAAGGCCCAGGGTTTCTGACCTCCACGAAACTAAACGTTGGGCCTTGGCTAAACCCGCGCTCGAGTGGAGGCATAAGACTCGAGAGCGAAGGCGACCTGGCTCTTGTCACTACTACGTCGTAGGTATCATCACTACTATGTCGTAGGTATCATCCATTCAAGTGGCCTGTCATGCTCTGTCTACAGGGGCTCGCGGCGACTATCGCTAAAAGTACAAGGTCCAGTCTGTCTTTTATCTTCTTTACTTCCCTCTCCTTCTTTCGTCTTCTTTATAGATGCGTGAGGGGATCAACGGTGATGACTCCTTCGTGCTCGATGTGAGGCTGAAGAAATCCAAACATGGTCAGCTAACGCCGGTCGTTCCACACCAGAGGGAAAGCAGAGATACTCACGTAGTTCCAACTAGCCAAGAAGGCCTTCACCGCTCCCGCCAATCCCACCCTCCTCCGATCCTGCCCTCCAACGTCGGCGTTCCCGCCGGCACCCGTATGCTTTCCCACCCCGCAGGCCAAAAAGGCCAGGCCTCTAAATTGTTCGCGCTCCAGCGAAACGAGAAAGTCCTCAACGAGCTCTGTCGCTTCGTGTGCGTGCAAGCCGTGTAGGTCCATCAGTACTTCGGTTCTCTCTTCCATCGTGAGGGACGTCGATGCCGCCGCCGCCGTCGCAGCGGGGCCCTTCTTGGCGTTGCTGTAGTACGACCTGGGGACAACACCGAGGCAGATACCGAGACCGTTGCCAATTGCCTTGCCCCTCATACCCCTCGCACTACCTTCCTCCTGGGCAGCTCTCTCGGCCAGCGCAGAAGAAGCGCCCGTCGTCGAGGAAGCGCCCTCGGTAACCATTCTTTCGCGCAGCTCCTCGTGCCTCTCCTTGAGCATCATCATGGCCGCTCGTGTTCCTTCCTCTTGAATCGATCGATTGAGCGTCTGGCCCTCGTTGCTCCACTTGCGTGCTCCCGCTCCATCCCCTCGTCGCCATGCTTCGGCCGCCCTGGCCAGACACCGATTGCGACGATCAGAGAGCGACAGCGCATTCTCACGGTACGTGTGATAGGCCTGCGAAGCAGCTTTACCGGTTGCCAGTGTCGGAAGAAGCGCGCAGGGCCTCAACGGCAGCCTGGTACTGAAGGGGCTGGACGAAGACGAAGAAGAGGTTGCCCTTGGACCCAGCGGTGGAGGTCGGTTGGTGGCGGTAGATTTGCCCACCGAGGTGGCTGCCTCGCCCTGCTGGTAAAGAGCAAGGGGCGTGGGCGCTTTTCCTCGCAGCGCAGCCGCCCATCTGGACCGACTGGGATCCTGGCCTGGCACCTGACCGCTCGACGAAGCTTTATTGCGCTGTGCCTTTGGGCCCAGCGGCGCCGCCGACAGTCCCAGCTCGGGGAAGTCTTCGTTGGGCGGCGTCTCGGGCTCGACGCTGCTTGACGCTGGCGATGGATTGGGGGCGCCGTTCCCTGCCGAGAGATTGGACACGCCCGAGGCTAGGGCATCGACGACGGAGATGTCGTGGAGAAACGAGCAGCCATCGCCGTTGAGGCACTGGCCTCGCAGCCAGAAGCGGCAGAGGGCCCGATTGAGGTCGTGGGAGAAGCGACAGTCTGCTCTGCGGCATTCGCCTGCGAGAAAGTACCGGCAGACGCGGCCCGCTCCCAGCTGTGCGGGTCCTGACAGGGGACCCGCGCGCGGCGGCGGCGGTGGGGCATTGCTCCCGGTGGCCCAAGGGGCGGATGATGAAGATCGGGGTCCAGAGGGTGGCATCGCCTTCTGAGCAGCCAGAGCTTCGCGGGGGACGACCGAGACACCGGATCGGCCTGGGGTGCCGCCAGCGAAACGCTGTCCGCCGGCGGGACTTCGAGGTCCGGTTGGTGGCGTCTTTCCCAGACCGGTGGAGCTGCTGGCCGACGAAGACAGCGCGGGTGCCGGAGCCGAGGCCAGAGGCATGCCTCCACCGTCCATGATGGCCTTGAGGGTTGCGTCAATGTCCCAGTTGCTACTTGCCAGGGCCTCTTCGATCTGTTCGGCGGTCCAAGAGATGCCCTGCGATGAGCCGCTCTGAGTGAGGATGCTCGAGAGAACATCAAAGGGCGTCATGGTGATCCCTTCGAACTCTTCTTCCGACGTGGCAGCATTAAGCTTTGGACGCTGTTCGTCCGACGAGCCCAGCGAGGTGCTCGCAGAGCTGTACCATGAACCACTCGTGTTGCTCGGAGGATGTTCACCGGGCGCCCCAAAGCTCTCTGCAGTCGTGAGACTCTGGACCGAGGAGGTGGAAGCTGTCTGCATGCTGTTGGGACGGCCACGTGCCATCGCTCTACGGCCGCCATTGCCGCTACTGAAGGGCACAGGCACCGCGACAGCACCGCCACCGCCGCCGCTGGTAGTTGCAGATGACGACGACGACGACGACGAAGCAGCGGCTGCAGCAAAGGGCGAAAACTCGTCATGGTCGGAATCTTCATCGGACTGCGCGCCGGCCGTCGAAGACGAAGCGATGCCTTCCGTATCGGCGGTCGCCCACGGCAGCTGCTGGGCAGATGAGTAAGGCGAAGAGGGCCTCTTGGTGGGGGTTGCATGGACAGCCTGCGGTGTTCGAGGCTTGAATTCGCTCGCGCCGACGTTGAGCCTCGGTGATCCTGTCATCGATGGCGAGCCCGGCCGGCTGATGACTGAGCCCACTGCACGCGACATGGCCGGCGTCATCTTGGGGGAAGAGAGGGGAGCCATCGTCGAAGGATTGGAAAAGAGGCTGGTGGCATTGCTGCCAAACGCAGCCGCAAAAGGCGATGTTGCTGAGCTCGACGGACTCGAGCTCCATGGATTATTCGCTGTTCCCTTGGAGGAGGCTCCATTACCCAGGGCAGTGCCGGTGATACCGCTGCTGCTGCCACCACCACCGCTGGCTGCTGCAACGGTGCGGTGCCACAGGCTGGGTGATGCCTTGGGGCTAGGCGTACCTATCACTCCGACGTTTGGGTTGTAATTGCTACTGGTCGTCTGAGATTGTGGACTCGATGGGCGCGAAGGCGGGTCCTGGCCCGGGGCAGTGGTGCTGGTGGGAGTGACAGGGCCCCATGGACGGCCTGCATTGAGACCCATGTTGGCACCAGACACCGAACGAATGCTGGCTGGCCTCGGTCGCGAGCGAGGAGAAGCAGGAAAGGGCGAGGGCGAGGGTGACGAAAGGGAGACAAAGGAGGCCCCGGTAGGCTTGACATCCTCACGATGGCGATGGAGCAGCGCCAGAACGATGTCGTCAAGCCGACCCGTACTCTGCAAAAGGGACGACTTGAGCCCTGACTGCCCATACACGGCTGTGCTGCCAGACACTACTCACCACGTCGGCACCTTCGACTGCCTTGAGCTTGGTTGCGAGCTCCGTTCGCACCGACTCGATCCGTTCTTCGTCGTCGAGAGACTCATCATCGAGGAGGGCGAGAATCACCCGCACGCTTTCTTTGTCACCTCCGCCGACACCATCGCTTCCAGCGGTCGAGGACCTCCTGCTGAAGCTGTTGACAGTGGAGATCCTTAGGTGCACAGATGGCTCATCGGTCGAATCGGCTTCGCTGGGGGGATATCTGGATATCTCCTCTTCGCGTTCTTGGTCCTGGTGCTTGAAAATTCCACTGCTGTTGCCCTCCTGGGCCGCTGATAAGCCTTGGTGGAGTGATCTGCCCTCGTCAAGTACGAGGTCGAGATTGAGGTCGTCATCGTTGTCTACATCGGCGTCAGTGCCCGTGCCGCTGCTTGCAGCAAGACCGCTGCTCCTGACTGGTTTATACGCGTCGACACCCGATGCTGCCACCGCACCACTGAAGCCTGTGGTGCTTGGCGTGCGCTGCAGATGAGGTCGACCAGCAATGGCCGATGGTGAAGGCTGGAGTAGGGCTTCTAAGTAGGCCTTTGAATGGGTTCGGTTTCGTGTCAACGTCATGATGTCAAGTTCATGGAGGTAGTAAGAGTGTTGAGAGGCAAGGGAGTCGGGGTTTGGAGCGAACGAGTGATTCGCTGTTTCGAGAGTTCACAGTAGTGGTGGCGACCAAGTCGACAACGTGCCCACCGTCGCGGCACTACGCGAACGACGGATCCATATAGCTCTTGCAGGGTGAATAGAGGGAAGGGGATCTAGGGGCAAAGATGGTGCCAGTTCTTTCGATTCGGCGTCAAGGGCGCCAAACAAGACGTTTGGGAGCTGTGAACCTCGGGGCTCGTTTTTCGTCGTAATCAAACCGCAAGCAGGCGTGGGAATGGCAGGGGGCGTGCGGTCGTCGCTCTACACCTACGCTGCTATCTTGGCGCGGCTGGTGGCGCTGTCGCCTGCGTCGAATCGTCCAGGGAAGTCTCACAGGAACAAGAGCTCTGGCTGGACGACGCCAGTCGTCGCAACGTTCTGATGACTGAGATCAAAGAGGACTGGCAATCGGCGGGGGAAGCCACCAGTCGACAGCCAATAGTTGGTGGTAAGGGCAAGTCGGGGATAATAATGGCGCGATCGTCAGTCGTGCTGCTGGGTTCAATAATTTCATCCTTTCCCTTTCAGACTCCACCCCGAGTCTTGATTTAAAAATATAAAAATACACATAGCCTGCAGCTGTGAGATGCAAGTTTGTGGTAGTGACGGCGGCTGCTGGAGCAAAGATGGCCACTTCACTGCTACGACATTACCCTCATCCTCGACTCATCATCTTTTCTAGCTCCTCGAGAGGATCGCCGTAGAGTGTCAATCTTTTGACGTTGAGCTCTGCTCCTTCAGAAGCTGCCTACGGGAACCCGATCAATCCTGCATGCCGAAGTGCCTGTTGGTTGAGCGAGTGCAAGGCAATCACGTGCCCTGATCCGTCTCGTCTGCCAATATTGCAGCAACGCTCGTTCTTCTCGACGCGATCGTCTATCTCAAAGAGCGGTCGCCATGTCTTCTTCATCGTCTTCGAGAAAGAGGTGAGAAGCTGTCCCTACATATATCTTATTGTCTCGATAGCACTGACTGAGCCCACAACCGTCAATGAGCAGGACCGAGCACATCGAGCGGACGAGGTATCCAAATCCTTTGCCCCTGCCTCCCTACCCGCCCAAGCAGCTGGCCATCAATACGCCTCCTTCGCGGTATGTCGACCCTCGTTTGTTTGGGCAGCGGCTTGCCGCCTCAGTCCCCTTGCCAATGGTAGTGGATGCCGAGGCTGGCATGCCTCTCGACATGACTTCCTTTCCAGCCTGCTGGTACACCGACCAGGAGCTCGCCGACGCAGACGCTCAGGGCCGCGGAGGCGTCTTTCCCATTTTGGATCGAAGCCAGGTGCAGATCGATGAGGAGGACGCCTTTTTGCTGAGCGACTTGATGAGCACGAGCACCACCATCAACGGAGCTACAGCTGCCGATGGCATCGATGGCACTGCCACGCCCGAGAGAGGGCAGCCCACCTGGCTCAAGCGTACTGAATATCTCGCAGCTGCCGAGAAGAAGGCGAGGAGGTCTGAGCTGGCCAGCAGACATGCCAACGTAGAGAGTATCGATGCTTCGAGAGAAGCGCAGCTGGCAAGAATCAAAGTGACCTTCGAAGCTGCCAATCAACCCCTCGAGACGCTGCGACACCCCACAAAGGGCCACCTTCGCGCCATAGACGCCTTCCCACTGCTGCCAGACACCGACACATGGGCGACAAGAGTCGACGTGTTCCGCTTCGGCGATGCGCCAGGACGTCACATTGACAACCGCCCCGCACATGATCCCCGTCTTCAGACTGCTATTCTTCGTCCTCACCAGGACACGCTCGGGCAGCCCCTTTTCTCGCTCTTTGCCATTGATGCTCCCGAAGCCGAAGACATAGTCGAGCAAGAAGACGAGGACATGTTCGGAAGTGGCGAAGAGGCTGACGACGGCGATGACGACGACGAAGATCGGCCAAAGAAGGGAAAGGCTCCTAAGACGCGGAGGGCGTTCCGAAGCAGAGAGCAACAGCTTGCAGCAGAAGATGCAGAAAGCCGGAGAGCTGTGGATGCAAGGATTCGCGGCATGAAGACAGATGCGGAAAAGCAGGATGTCCAGGCAGAAGTATTCGAGACTGCCGACAGCGAGGAGGTGAGTACAGTACATCGATAACGAGATGGGAAACAGCTGGCTAACTTCGGCAATCCTAGCGCCCGATACACATGGCGCTACTGCGAGACTATGAGACACATGACGAATCGATGCGCAAGGACCAGGAGCTAATTGTTAGTTTCCTCACCGGACCTTCTCGAATCGAACGAGATGATGCGAGTGGAGCCGGACCAGAGGCAGGAGAGGCCAACAATGGGGTCTTGCCCCCACTCACAGCGTACGAAAAAAGCTTTCAGACCAAAAGGGGAGATGCGGTCCATGCCGGAAACGTCGCTCTATACCATCCAGTGTCTATGAGAGCTTCACTCCGAGTCAAGAGAAGGAGGGTGAGTGCACAGCCACTTGCGCAATTTTGTCAATTGCTAATAGCGGTCAACTTGCAGCCTATCGACCCTCAGCCACCCGAGCATTGGGATGCAATCAATCTGGGCAAGAGGTCCGTGTCCACTTACGAAAGGATCGAGCGGCTCCACGAGCGGAAACTCGTCGACGACTTAGACCTTGGGCTATTGCCCGAGCGCATTCCACTGCCCGAGCCAATCGAGGAAGAAGCGGAAGAGACCGTGGGAGAGGAAGGTGTCGAGGGGCCAGCTGGTGCCATTGATGAGGTCGAAAAGGAGGACGAAAATGTTGACGACGATGAAGACTCAAGAGCGACGCCTTCGCAAAAGGCTCAGGAGCCTGCCGAGGTGGGAGCAGAAGGAGCGGATGAAGATGAGGAGGAGGAGGAAGAGGAGGAAGAGGAAGAGGAAGGGGAGGAAACTGTGAAAAAGCACAAAAAGTCAAAGGCGGGATCAGGCTCGGACTCGGACGACGAAGATGATGAGGAGGGCTCAGATGAAGGAATGGACGATGATGAGCTCGAAGCGCTCCGCGCCGAGGCAGGAGCTGATGCGGCAGAGGACGAGGGCGCAGACGAAGCAGTTGGGGCGAGGCGGAGCCGACGAGGGCCTAGACCTGTCAGACAGACCGAGGAAGCGGAGAAGGAAGATTCCCTCGGCGCAGAAGCCAGGGGGAACGGTGCTGACGAGATGGACGTTGATGAGGACGCCTAAACCAAAGGAGACGGCCGCACCGGCTGAGACGCAAAGGCCGAAATGTAATCTAATTTTATCAGTCAACCACCTCTGGGATGAACTCAATTTTCTCGTACTGCCTCTGTCTATTCTCCTGTCTGACCGCCGGATGACCACTGTCGAGACCGAAGATATCCGCCCTGTCACGAAGTGAAGGCGGAGTGGCAAAATTATTTGTTTGACGCTTCTGTCCCTGTCTCATTTTTCCCAGGCTTTCTGCAAAGGCGAGGAAGTGGATAATTTCCGTTTGTGAAGGGCCCGAAATGACTTTGGCATGAGATTACAGAATGCTCAGACTCCTTCCACAACGGCAGGCGACAGATTGCTAGGTCTCGAACAGCTCGCTGAACGGCGTAACCCCTTAGCTACCTTGATGCGTACGGGCGCAATTTTTTTTCTCCTAGCGGGAGGGGCTCAACCTCTCGAGTATGACATTGCTGAGACTGTTGAGGTGGGTGACGTGCTCTTTTCATGCCGTGTACGCTCGAATGAGAATGACATGCCGACTGCGAGGCTCTGTAGCCCCCGTCATAGATGCCTGACCATATGCCAAGTGGTATTAAAGGGGCCGACTTTCGCACTCCAGACCATCTCTCCTTCATCGCCCCCTCCTTCGCCTCCCCTTCCCCCATAACATCCATTCAACAGTCTTCTCTTCTCGTCACGAATCTCTTCCGAGGCCCCCCCAAGTCACACAACACACACTACTCTCCTTTACAACATACAGCGGAGAAAAGCTCCAACTTTCGGTGAGTTATACTTCTCGTTCCTTCTGATGGTCGCTTATCACGGTACCTACGCAGAACATGATCGGAATCAGCGTCAAGGTCATCTTGGCAGCTCTTGTCGCTTCCGCGAGTGCAACCGTCGTGCCGTCCGATAGCTGCCACGGCTCGTTCTATGACGGTGGCGGTGGCGGCGTCGGTGGTGGCATCGGTGGTGGCGGCGGTGGCGGCGAGTCTGGTTGTGCCTTCTGGAACAACGGCGGCCAACTCGTCGCTTACAAGGGCGGCTTCAAAGGCGTCAAAACCATCTCTCACCTCCGGTTCAGCAAGGCTGGCTGGGGCGACTTCCATCTCGGTGTCAGCCCTAAGCTCTGCAAGGGCCTGCTGTGCCATCACGGAAAGGCTTTTTATATGAAGGGCAAAGGAGCACTTGGGTTCCATCATGGTTTTGGTCGTCGAAGCAGCGGATCCACCAGCGACGAGGATGCCGAATTCTCGAAACGCGGCCATGGTGACTGGGACTTCAAGTACTCCAAGGAAGATTGCATCGCCGTCGAGTCACCCTTCGGCCCAATGTACACGCCATCCCAGCCATGTGATGAGTGCGTAGTCTACTATCAGGGCAGGACGATCAACGGTCATAAGACAGAGTACGGCTGCGACTTCGACTTTGACAATTGCAACATGTACGACTACAACACCGGCAGCTACATGCCTGGCCACACAGGAAGCCCCTCGAACGGCGGCATCCCCTACAGTGGCAATCCCTATAACACCGTACCCAGCCGGAGCAGCCCCGCTCAGATCGGAGCTGGCGGAATGGGCGGAGGCGGTGAAGGTGGTGGAGGCGGCGGAGGCAGCGGGGGTGGAGGCGTTGGTGGAAGCGGTGGTGGTCACTATGGAGGAAGCGTCGGTGGAGGCGCTGGAGGAGGCGCTGGTGGAGGCGCTAGTGGTGGCGTTGGTGGTGGCGTTGGTGGTGGCGGAGACCACGGACTCGAGCACAAATCCGACTACAGTGGCACGGAGTCCAACTATCGCCGGGATACCTCTGGCCGCGAACTCCGCCCTCGAACGTTCGGACTCCTACCTCTTCTTGCCGGGAAAGCCCTTCTTGGTGGCGCTCTCGCAAGTGGTCTTGGCGCCGGGGCTGGCTCTGGTGTCGGGGGTGGTGTTGGCGGCGGCATTGGCGGCGGCAACGGCTTTGGCAACGGTGGTGGTGGCGGCGGTGGCGGTGGTGGAGGAGGATCCGCCTACAGCGGCTTGCAGTCCAACTATCGCCGAGACGCCTCTGACAGTGAGCTTCACCCTCGAACGTTCGGACTTCTACATCCATTGGGCCTTGGAATAGCGAGCGGTGTTCTTAATACCGTTGCTGCCGGACTCGGTGGTGGTGTCGGTATTGGCGGTGGTGTTGGCGGTGGTGTTGGCGGTGGTATTGGCGGCGGTGTTGGCGGCGGTGCTGGTGGCGGCAACGGCTTTGGTAACGGTGGCGGCGGCGGCGGCGGTGGTGGTGGTGGTGGTGGTGGCGGTGGCGACACCGGCGGCGGCGGCTACACTGGAGCTTATTCCCACTACTAGAAGCGGGTTTAGATCTGGGAGAGAGATCCTAGAGCTGCAACAAACAGTTCTCCTTGTCGCTCTTTGACAAAACCTGCGGAGCTTGAAACCTACGTTCTCAAGGAAGACTAGTAGTAGCAGCCCAACCTTTCCACGGAGTTCACTTGGCGCAAGCAACAAACGCCATGCAGCAATTTCCCTCTCTCTCTTTATCCTCCCCTAACTTATCCCATCGTTTACGCCCCTTCTTTGTTAAGTGATGACATAGACAATCAACATTCATTTCCCCCCTGGCTAGAGCCCCATCAAGGCCTTCCCTCTCCTGAGCGATTCGACATCACGGTCAAGAAAGTGGGAACAAAGTGGTCAACTTGCCAGGCGGTGCTACACGTGATCATGCGTTTAGTGCGCCCTGGTTGTAGAGCGCACGGCGCGCCAGCCAACGTCGACGACGGACACGGAAGTCTAATCGCCTCAATCTCACCAGTCGATTGTCCCGTTCTTCTTCTTCTTCTTCTCTCCGGCACAAGATACACGACACAATGGACCAGCACTGGAAGTCGTTTACCTCAAACGTTGGGCCGCTCGGCCAGCGCATCACGCGGGGCTTCGGCAACCTCAACCAGCAGGCTCGCGAGCGGTTTGGTGCCGTTGACGTCGACGACATCACCGAGCTGCCCGACGAGTACCGCAAGCTCGAGGATCGCGTCGATGCGCTCAAGGCGGCCCACACCAACCTGGGAAAGTGAGTATAGAGGGTCAAGGATGGCTGAGATGCCACAAGAGAGGGGGGACACTGAAGGGATGGATTGGTACAGGATCGCGCGCGCCTATGAAAACGAAGGCTACGACTACCCTACACAGGTGCAGGAGTCCATCACCCAGATCTCGGCTCAGGTTGGGCACAGCGTGACGACGTGGGCCTCGCAAGCTGCCAAGCAGGCCAACGTCAATGTCAATGTGCCTCAGACGTCTGCGCCGCCTACGGCCCACAAGACGCTGGCCCACGCACTGTCGCGGGGTGCTGCCTCTGGCGCACTCGAGCTGGGTGCGAGTCCCACGAGTCTCGCCGGTCTCAGCAGCCCCACGAGCCCCAACTCTTCGAGGACGGCGGTGGCGCAAGAGGAGACGAAGCTCGGCGAGGCGCTCCAGAAGTTTGCCCTGGCCCAGGACCGCGTGGGCAACCTGCGCCTGACGCAGGACGACGCGATTCACGGCGGCTTCCTCCAGCCTTGGAGCGCATTCGGGAGCCAGATTCAGCTTGCTGTCAAGGCTCGCACCTCGGTCAGGGAGGCCAGGCTGCACCTCGACTCGTGGCGTCAGGCCATGAAGGCGGCTGAGGCGAGCGGAAAGCGAGAAAAGGTCGAGTCGATGAGGCAGGATGTCGAAGGCGCAGAGGACAAGGTGGGTATCTGTCTCTTGGTCTTCTTTGTTTCAGACTGAGCTGACAAACTGCTGCCTTACACTCAGCTTGTCAGCGCCACGGAAGAGGCCATCACCGTCATGAAACGTGTTCTGGAAGACCCTCAGCCGCTCAAGAGCCTGGCGGCTTTCGTAAAGGCGTAAGTAGGCTTGAATGCCATTCCCTCTCTGCTTCGTTCATCGACATTGACCATATCTTTCACTTGGTGCCTCTAGACAAGCCGAGTTCCACCAGGCCGCCAACGAGGTCTTGGCAGAGGCCGCCCAGGTCCTCTCTTCGGCTGCCATGTCTGCCGAATCCGACTACATGTCAAGCCGTTAAAGCGGCCGAACCTCTCTTTCCTTGCTCAACTACCATCCCCTCACTTCCTTTTCTTTTCTCAGTCTCACTTATTTTTGGGCGAATCATTGTTCTCAGCCTCGATGGCGTCGTCGTGGATGTTGCGGGTAGAGATTTTGAGAATAAGAAGGACTTGCCCTCGAAACATTCCATTCACTCCAGAGCACTACATGCTGTATTGCATTACACGAGCTTCTTAGCGTCACTGGATGGGGATGCTGCTGCTGCTGTTCCCCCTCCTCCTCCCACCTTGAGGCCGGTGTTCTGCTCGACGCGACTCAAGCTCTGATCGACGATGCTGCTCGTTTGTCTCTTGGCCGACTGCAGCCCCTGGCGCGTCTCTCCGACGAGGGCGTTCCACTTTTCGTTGGTCCACTCACGCGCATCGCGGACTTGCGGTGGAAGCCTGCGCTGCTCAACTTCAAGGTAGTAGTCTGCCAAGTTGTGCGATGTCTTTGGCAAAAAGTAGTTGAGCGAGCCGACGAGGAGCAAGGGGGGTGTGAGGATGCGAATGGGAAAGGACCGATAGCGCGTAAAGACGCTTCCGGCCAGCGTCGCGACGCCCACGTAGAGCAGGCCGGGCGTCAGCGGCTCGTCGGCTGGGATCAGCGAGGAGACCTTGCTCTCGACGGCTTGCTCGACACCGATCCACTTGGAGATCTGCCCGCGGAGCGCATCGCTAGCGTGCCGCGTAGAGTCGACGACGTAGCGTCGAGCCGAGCCCACCTGCTCCTCCAACGGTCCTCGGACCTCGGCGAGGGTGACTGGTTCAACGGGGGAAGAATAGATGGGGAGCTGGATTTGAGATAAGACGAAAGAATCAGTGACGCTGTTAATGAGTTCCAAAGCACAGCAGAGCACGGCTAAAGACGAATGTCTCACCTTCTTGGACGACGAGGAGGTCGACGTCTCTTCGGCATAGACCGGCCCTCGGCTCACACCAACAGCGGCCGCCATGATGGAGGCGCCCACAAGGGGCCCTAGGAACTGACGAGAAGTCTGTCGGAGGTCAACGTCAGCAGATGACCAAGAGCAGTTCCCCTGTCGGTAGCTCACCGCCTGCGTCGCCATCAGATCGCGCTGCTCAGAGTACGCTTGCTTCTTTCTCTAGGGCAGATTCGGATGGAGGGGTGGGCTTCACCAATAGAAGCTTTGACACGTGCTTCAATTACATAAGCCAGGCCTGCAAAATAAATATTGGTGAGGGTTCGCGCCCCAGGAACACGGAGAAGAGAGGGCGAAAGAGGCTGCTTACGATGACGACAGCCACAAAGACGGTCCGCAGCATGGCGTCCTCCTCGTTGTCCTCTTCGCACCTCCGACCGACGTCCGAGCAGGTGCAGCGAGTGTCGGGCCAGATTCAGGCGGTCCGCCAGCGCATTTCGCAGGCCGCCTCGCACGCCAAGCGACGGGACCCACCGCGGCTCGTGGCCATCTCCAAGCTTCACCCGCCCACATCAATTCTGGCCGCGCACACGTCGTGCAGTCCGCCGCAGATCCACTTTGGCGAAAATTACGCGCAGGAGCTCGAGAGCAAGGCCAAGGTGCTGCCCAGCAGCGTCCAGTGGCATTTTGTGGGCAAGCTGCAGAGCAACAAGGCCAAAGTGCTTGCCGCCATCCCGAACCTGTACCTGGTCGAGACGCTCGACTCTGTGAAGGCGGCGCAGGCACTACAAAAGGCGTTGGTGAACTTGGAAACGAAGAGAGAAGGACCGCTTCGGGTCTATCTCCAGGTCAACACCAGTGGTGAGGACGCCAAGGGTGGCTTGCCGCCCCTGGGAGGACATGAGCAGGGCGACAAGGGTGGCGAGCTCGTCCAGCTCGCGCAGACGATCGTTCAAGACTGCGATCGGCTGGAGTTGAGCGGTCTCATGACGATTGGAGCGGCGGCTGAGAGCAGAAAAGGAGACGGAAACGGGTTTCAGTCGAAGGAAGAGGCGCTCGAGGCCAATTCAGACTTTAGAGTCCTCAGCGAGACTAGGCTGGCCCTCGTCAGAGCGTTGCGACAGGCCAAAGTGGAGAGCAAGAACAGTCGATATACCCAGTTGCTGAGTGGAGACGACGAGGAAGGAGGCCTGGAGCTGAGCATGGGCATGTCGGCCGACCTCGAGGTGGCCATCTGGGCGGGGAGCGACAATGTGCGCGTGGGCACAGACTGCTTTGGCGTGAGGCCAAAGAGCAGAGACGAGGCCATGGAGTCGATGAAGCACGAGCTCGAGCCACCAGCATCTGCGTGAGCGAAATACACATCTAGACATAGATATGGCCCCCCTTTATGGCTGTACTTGTAATCCGACAAAAGTATTAATACAATGGGCCTCCTGCCCTATGAGTGCAATGTATCTCATGCTCTTTCCTTGATGCCCTCCATCTCGTCATCTATCGCTGCTTCTGCTGCCTCGTCATCCTCCTCGTCAAAGTCGTCTACCAAGGCAGGAATCTCGACGACTGGCTCCGCAATGACACCTGCTTGACGAAAATGCTTAGCCTTCAGGACAACGAGGCAGAAGCAGAGCAAATAATGGGGCGACTCACCCTTGCTCGCGTCTCTGAAGCCCAGGTAGACGATTGCATCGGGCCCATCAATGATGCCCATCTCCTCGAGATTTGGCTGTTCTCGGTCTACTTGAACGAACCGGATGCTTTCGTCCTGCTGCCCATCTGCCGTGCCCACCATCTTGCTGCCTTCGAACAGGCCCACGTCAGATGGGCCCATTTCCTTGAAGCTGGAAGCACCCGTCTCTGCCGGAGGGGTATGTGCGCTTGTCGCCAACCCGGCAAGAACGTCGTTGATGAGCTCGTCGTACGTCGTCTTTGGCGAAACGGGCATGAAGAGCTGCGAGATAAGGCGTGCTAAGCTATGGGTACCAATTCTTCTCCAGACAAAAGCGGCACCACTCACCGTCACCTTCCCATACTTTACGCGAAGAGAAAAGAGGTCGTTCTTGGCGTTCAGTGGCTGCGGCTGAGAAGCGAGTGCAGCTGTCAGCTTCATACTCCTCCCTTTGCTCTTTTCCAGCTTCTGCTGGCCGAATGCTCACCATCTCGGCAGCCTTTGACGTCGACGAGAGTCGTCGATGTTCTGAGCTTCTTGCCTCACGCGTCGCAAAAGTGGAGCGTCATCACGTGGCAACTCCCCTCCGGCCGAGAATGTCGGGGTGACTATGGTGAATTCTCGAACGTCTGAATTGGACTCGCACCTCCTCTTGCGTCTCCCTCTTCATCGATCCCTTTTTGCTCCGCCCCAGAGCCCTTGGGGTCACATTACGCACCATGTCGACGTGGAACAAGCACTACCACTGGAAGACGAAGAATGCGACGCCATGGACGAAGGAATACTTTCGGAAGAAGCTCGTTGGCGCCTCGTCGTCGTCGGTCCAGATCGACTCTCTGACCAACTTTGAGGGCGACGTGGAGCTGGGCAACCGGAAGGGCAAGCTCATCACCATCTACGACTGTTCCTTTACCCTCGAGTGGAGCGGCAAGACGGCAGGTGGCGACGACGTCAAGGGACAGGTGCAGTTTCCTGAGGTCAGCCATGAGGTGGCCGACGAGGAGCGCGAGTACCCCTTTGAGGCCAGCTTGACATCCACAGCGAGCGACGAATCGAGGAAGCTCTGCGACGTCGTTCGAAAGGAGCTCGTTCCCGGTCTCCTGCCGCACTTTCACGCGTTCAGGGCCGAGCTCATTGCTGAGAATGCAAAGGACCTCGGTCACGAGGACAGCCCGGCCAATGGCAGCAGCAGCGCGTCTTCGGGCACCTCGACGCCAGCGGCAGGGACAGGGGCATCGTCTGCCGCTGCTGCTGCATCTTCCTCGTCGTCGTCGTCGACGACGACGGCAGCGGCTTCTGCGTCCAAGACAGCGGCTGCCAAGTCGGTCAGCACGACCAAGGTCGATGTCTCGACGGACCTGAGCATCAGGAGGGAGGACCTGTGGGGCCTGCTCACCGAGCCGGGGCGGATTCCGATGTGGACGAGGGCACCTGCGCAAGTAAGTACTTTTTACTTTTATCTATAGGCATTCTCTCTTACTGACGAGGGTCCTGGTCGCACGACACGCAGTTCACACTCAACCCGGGCTCCCACTTTTCCCTCTTCAACAACAACGTCACGGGCTCCATCGTCTCGGTCGATGCGCCATCGAAGCTGGTGCAGAAGTGGCGTCCGCCGCAGTGGGAACCTGGCCACCACGGCACACTGACGACGAGCCTGGTGGAGAACGAGAGCAGCACGACGCTCAGCCTTGCGCTCGAGGGCGTGCCCATCGAGGAGGAGGCGAGGACGAGGGACGCCCTCGACCGCTTCTATGTCGCAGGCCTTAAGGGCCTCGGTCTTGGCACAGGAAGTCTGGTGTAAAACAAAGCTGTGCCCTAAGTATTGTAGTGGCAGCCGCCGCCGCCGCCATGAAACATACAGAAAATAGAAGAACTACTCTAGCAGTAAATCAACAAGAGACTGTCGCTTTCCCTCCACATCCCGACTCCTTTCTTCCTACGCTTTCCCTCTGCTTGATTGAGCATGGCTACTTCTGGGCTGCAGGCAACGCACTCGCTGCGCTTCCTGATCACTGGCGGTGGCCGAGGCCTGGGGCGGGGTCTGGCACGCCAGCTGGTCCAAGAGGGCCACGACGTCTTTGTTGTTGACATTGACGCCAAGGAGCTGCAGCACACGCTCAACAAGCACCTCCCTTCCTCTTCGTCTTCTTCTTCTGCTGCTGCTGCTAGTTCTGGGCCGGGCAAGTTCGCAGGCACCGAATGCGACGTGTCGAGCCTGGCAAGCGTGCGTGCGGCCATTGAGCAAGCCGGCCGCTTCCACCGGGGCGGCAAGGTGGACGTCGTCGTCAACAATGCGTCGCGCACGAATCCCTACTGGTCTCACGGTGCTTCCACTTCGCGGCCGCACAGCGACAGCAGTGACAGAGACGGAGACGGAGACAGTGTTGGAGACGGGGGCGAGAGTATCATTGAGCGCGAGTGGAGGAGCTTTGTCGACACGAATCTCACCGGCACTTTTCACGTCAGCCGGGCCTGCGTGCCCCTGCTCGACGGCGGTGTGCTCCCATCAATTGTCAACATCAGCTCGACGCGGGCAAAGATGAGCGAGCCGGACCAGGAGGGCTATGCCAGTACGTGAGTCCTCCTCTCTCCTCTCCCTCTTGTTAATCAAGCAACCCTCGGCTGACTGGCAGCTTCCCCCCACCACAGCAAGGCGGGCATCCTGGGCCTGACGCACTCGATGGCCGCGTCGCTGGCGCCCAGGGGCATCCGCGTCAATGCGATCCTGCCCGGCTGGATCCCCTCGTCGCACGAGAGCATCGCCGGCGACGCAAACGCGACGCCCCACAACGACGGCCTGACCACGGCTGACGAGGAGCAGCATTGGAGTGGGGCCGTGGGCACCGTCGAGGACCTCAAGAACGCTGTCCTGTTTCTCGCCACGACGCGCTTCGCAGACGGGGCAGAGATCCGCCTCGATGGGGGCATGACGAAAAAGATGATTTACGTAGAGGAGTAATGGCAGCTCTCCGTACATGTCGGGTATGAAACTTGAGCGACTAAAGGGTGTGTATGTGATAAGTGTATATATGTCTGTGTGATTCATCACTGCTTTGGCGCAGCAGCATCTCCAACAGCGCTCTCGACGACAGCAGGAGCAGGAGCAGCGGCTGGCGCTGCCACTGTCTCCGCCTCTGCCTCTGCTGGCTTGGTCGCGCTCATCGGCTCCGCGGCCTTGTACGCGGGGGGTGCGGCCGTCTCGTCGCCGCCCTGCGCGCCTCCTGCCGCTGCCGCCTCCGCCTTGTGCGCGTTGGAAGGATGATTTGGCTGGTCCTCGGGCACAAACTCGCCGTCGTCCCAGCAGCACTTGCATCGGCAGCAGCTGTCCAAGCAGGTCCAATTTGTGCCCCAGCTCCCTGTTATGAACGCGGCGTCGACGTCAGCTGAGTGAAGCTTTGAAGATATTCAAAGGGGGCGGCGGCGGCGGCGGCCACTCACTCGTGTTGAAGAACTGCTGCAGAATACCGGTGCAGAAGAAGCCGCAGCAGCCTCCAACTTCTCCGCCAGCGTCAGCCATCGTCTCTCTTGCGTGTGTGTTTGTGTGTAAGGTGTAGGGAAAGAACGGGTTCTTGCTCTCGCGGGCAGTGGCCTGTTGGTGGTGGTGGTGGTGACTGGGAAGGGGAGAGGTGATGCCTTTCCTTTTATGTACTACTGTAGATGAAATTTCTGCTAGTCTAGTTGTGCAGACCAACGCCTTCGATATGAGATTGACAAAGGCAGTGCCGGTGTCTCAGAAGGCAATTCACGCTAACAGAAGACAGATAGAGGCGATGCTTCTCGGGGTGATGTGTCGGCGAAGAGCGCGAATTGCCAGCTACGTCAATGAGCGCGCGCAACACACATGGATCTGCACCCCCGGGTGTCCGAGGCGGTGCGGTGCAGCTAGTCTTGTTTTTCTTGCAGCGTTCCTCGTGCGACCGAAGTCTTGGCTACCTCGCGTTAAATTTATTCAAGGTAATAATCGGCCGAGACTTTAGGCTAGCTTCCTTTCGCCTTCTTCTTCCTGCTTGTGCGTCTTGAGAGAGCAGGTGTATCGGACGGCCGAGGGATGTCACCTTCGCGAGGCGGGGCGCGGGCATGGTCGATTGCGGCAACGACGAGCAGCAGGACGCACTCCTCGAGCGCAGGAGCCCGCAACCTTCGTCCGGTCCTCCATGCGGCGAGTGTCTGCCCGAGGGCGCCGCTGCTCCCGCCCGCTCGCTTCCACACATCCGCACCTCGACTCCTCTCTGCGTCGCTGAGCTATGCGCAAGAGGAAGAGGCCCCGCAAGATCATAGTGGCATCGAGCACCGGCTGCCCCAACCCGCGGACACGAGCTTGTTCGAGTCCAGCACCGAGGAGTACGACGAGTTTGTGCGTCTGGATCAGCACCACGACGCCGATGCCGACGCCTCGTCGTCGCAGCAACAGCCCCTTCGGCTTCTCAGGGGCCTCATCAATTCAGACATACGGGCCGCTAATCGGGCGCTGCACGAGCTCAACGTGCTGAGGACCACTCTCGCGCCGCACACGGTCGCCATTCGTGCGGCCCTCGACTCGCTGCAAGTGGGCGACATTGAGGCCTGCCACGCATGGGTCGAGCTATTCCCCGTAGCGACGAAGCTACATGGTGATGAAGTCGCTTCCAGTGATCACGCTGGCGACGCGAGACACTTGAAGGACGTGGAACGCTTGCTGCTTCGCCTTGTGGAAGTGTCCGAGGCCACGCCGGCCGATGTATCGCGCATCCTCGTCAAGCTCGTCCAGAGAGGCTTCCTCGTCGAGAGGGCAACGCAGAGGACCATCGGCCAAGTCTTTGCCTGGGTACTACGCTCGGCAAAGCCTCCTTCTGCAGCAGCGAGGGTTCATGATGACCGAAAAGGGAAACAGAGGGAGGTCGAGTCGACGTCGGCATGGACCTGGCATCTTTGGAACCACATTGTGCAGGCCGCAAGGTCATCTCTGCTAGCCTCTGCGTCGAGTGACGAGAGCGCCGTCGATGCGAGCTTGGCACGGCTCTACAACCGCGCCATCAGGACTTTCGCACTGGCAGATCGGCTCGACACAGCCCTTTGGTGGATCGGCCAATCTTCGTCAGTGTCCCCCTCAGACAAGGGCGTCAGAGATGAAGCGACGGCGCTGCAGGTCTTGACCCTGACTCTGGTCGCAAAGAAAGTGTTTAATGATGCGGCCCAAACGAGTCTTCACAAGGGGCAAAAATCCGGAAGAGAGAGCTCGACAATGACGGAGCTCATAGCGATACAGGACAAGATCTACGCACGCGCTGCTGAGGAAGCGACCAAAGACAAGAGCGTCGACAAGAGCGAGAGTCAACGTCTGCGGGACACACTGGAGAGGCAGATTGGTAGACTGGAGCAGAGCATAGGCGCAGTCGCTGGAGGCAAGGAGCAAGACGATATGAAAGCCTCGGTGCTCGACAGGATGCTTTTAAAACGCGCCAATCGTCGCGATATCGCCGGTGCTTGGAACTTGTTGCGAACCGAGCTTGGGAAGCATCGAAGAGGGAAATTGGATTCGTCCATGGATCATCTCCCTAGCGCGACTACCTTGGCGGTTCTCCTCGACATGGCAGAGGCGCATGCCCAGGATCGCAAGCGGCTCGAAGACGAATCAGACCTTTTCGAACTTCCGCCCGACCAGGTGCGCGACCATGCTGACAACTGTATCTTTCGACTCCACGAAGGGACAAGGGGCGGCATTGGACTCGTTCAGACGGCCGAGATGCTCAGGCTCGTGAACAAGGGTGACGATCGGGCAGCCGTCGAGCTGTTTCGGAGTATCTTTGTTCAGACGGCCGATGTTCAAGCTTGGATGCGCGCCGTCTTGGGCTCTCCCTCCTCGTTTCGCCCCACAGGCGATTCAGTGCAGGAGAAGGAGGATGACACCCATTTCAAGCGACTCGTATGGCCCGGCACGCATCCGAAGCACATTCTTCTCCGTGCCCTTGTTCGACTGTGCGAAAGCGACACCGCAAAGTTGACAAGCCTGTACCACAGTTTCTTGGACTCGCTCGATGAAGTATTCGAAGATTCTACAGCAGCTGCAAAGGAGCAAGGGAATGACCAGCAGGAGGAAGCTATCGACGATGACTTGGCGATCACAAAGATTCTTGAGGGCCTCTCCTTTGGCAACTCGTCGTATCCCTCGACTACTTCGCATTCCTTTGACCTCTTTCTCAAGTACCTCGTCGACTCAATTGCCGCTACGTCTCCACCTGGCGCTGATCGAAAAACGGCACCCGCGTACTCCTTTGCCCAACGTCGGGAACACGAGACGAAAGTGCGCCAGTGCCGGCTCCGAGCCAATGCGAAGCTCGCCGAGATCCTAGCCGACATGAGGCGATTGAAGGTGGAGCCGAGCGTGGCGAGCTGGACTATTGTATTGCAGAACCTCGCGTTGGGCTCTAGCGACTCTTCTTTTGCTTCGAGGAAGCTCCTTCGGCAAGGACGTGATACCGAGGATTGGGAAGAAGGGGCCGAGGTAGACGAAGGTACCAAAAAGACGGGCGTGTGGAACCTCGCAAGGGCTCTCGGAATGGATCCGGATCAGCGTTCTAGTCGCACAATGTCCAGCGCAGGAGCGGCCACGGCGACACTGGCTACCTACCTGGCCCTGATGAAGGGATTCCTGGGCGTGCCCGTTTCGCAGGGCGGCCCGCTTCTGAACGAGGCGAGGCGAGTGAGAGAATGGATGTTGAGAACTGCGATTCAGAACGAGCAAGGAACGGAGACGGACACAGAAAAGGCAGAGGTTGACATTGAGGCAAAGATTCATGCTTTAAGTCAAAGCGTGGCGGACCACCAGCATGTGCACGACGGCAGGGATGGAGAATTGTTGGCGGAGCAAGAGACGACACGGGCGCCCAAGTTCTTCACGCTAGATGACATCGGAAAGAACGTAAAGGCGCGCAAGACCTTGGCGTGGTTGGCCGAGTGGGAATCGTCCGCAGACGGTCTAGAGGAGGTAGAGGCGATACAGGAGCAAGAACAGAGAGAAGCACGAGACGTATTTTAGGAAGGGTGGCATCACTGGAGAATGGAGGATTGATTGAGAAAATTAGATGATTATGTGAACAAATGCACGTAGCCTGTACTACTGTTTTACAAGATAAAGGGGTGATAGAAGTAGTGGTGACTCAAAGGTCCATGCAAGCTGCACTAGCTGCCAGAATCATGTCTGCCACACCCATCATGAAGGGCTTGTTCGACGAAGCAGGCGAGGAGAGCGAGGAGGCTGGTCCTTGGGAAAGACCAATGGAGGCCCAGCCTTCAGGAACGAGGTCCAAATTCCTCGACGAGTCGCAAATACCCAGAACGACGGGGAAAGACATGGGTGCGGGTATCGATGAAGACGAAGACGAGTCAAAGGATGAGGGGGAATGCGAAAATGCTTCGGAGGCGGCAAAGACCTGAGCGGTGATCCGGAACGGTTGGACAGTGGATTGCCTTCGCCTTGTCGGCAAGCGACAGCGATCGTGTTGTGTGTGCGAGATGCGACGAGGCGTCGACATCGCGGCTTCGTTGTCCAGAGCATTTGGCGAGGATCCCGGCGAAGACTGTGTCGCCCCACTGCTGCTGCTGCTGCTGCCGCCGGTGGTCGAATTCCAAGCGTGCGCGAGCTTCCGGTACCAATTAACGGATGTGGGTGAGGCGAGGGAGGATGACGGTGGCGGCGAGCCAGGTTCAAAGCCCGTTCGCTGTTGCTCGGTACTATCCTGAAGGTTTGGCGGGGACTGAGACTGCTGTTGTTGCTGACTCGACAGACTATGTTGGTGCCCGTGGCGATGTTTGTGGTTTTGCCTTTCTGGCGGCAGGTCCGCCCCCTTGAAAGGCACAAAGGCAATTCGCAGGTATCTCTCCGTCTTCTCTGACGAAGAAGACGCAGAAGCTACTGGCAGAGGAATGACCATCGTGACAGCATCGGCGGGCACATTGTCAATTCCAATTAAGCCAGAATTAATCATCACCGGCACTCTGGAATGCGAGTCGCTGTTCCAAGGCGCGGATGGGGCTGGATTGTGTGCCGACAGCGGCGGCGACAGTGGCATGTCCTTCGTTTGCGTGGACGAGGAGAGGGCGACCAATCGCTTCGCGGCGGATGCTTCTTCGCGCTCCCTGCGTCGAGCAAAGTCGGCCAGAGCTGCAATGTTGTCATCGGAGCTGCTTCGTCTGCGATCACCTCTGAGATGCGGCCACATGGCTGCCTGCTGATTCGTTCCCAGATTTGAGCGCGACAGAAGAGAGCCCAACGCTGGTGTTGCCGCTCTTGGATGCTCGTTTTCGGATGTCTCTGGGGCCGAATCGGGGCGTTTCTGGAAGGCCGCAACCGAGTTGACTTTGCGAAGTCCCCGACGACCCTGAATACCCTCTTTGGTCTCTGCATCCGAGCCGGGAGGAGAGAAAGCAAACTGCGAAACGCGAGCGGCAGGTGGGGAATTGACACTCGGCCGACCCGAGCTCGTCTTGGAGGACAGAGAGCTTTTGCCCTTAGTTGACTTGGCAGAAGGTACCTTTGTAAGCGAGGGCAGTCCCTGCGTGAAGGCGGGCGCGCTTGCCCGGCCAATGCCGACGCCTTCCCCGATGGAGGACGAGGGAGACTGTAGCGAGTCCCAAGCTGGCACCGAGAGGGACGAAAGAGGGGCACTGTTACTGGGCAAGACCTTCTTTCGAAACCATTCGCTGATGCGCTTGTTGTTGTCCTTCCTACTCGACATGGTGCTGCCGCTGTTGCTCTGTTGTTGCTGTGGTTGTGGGGCAAGCTTTGACTCCCGAAGCGGGGACCCACCTCGGGCCAAACGCTGGTAGGCAGCCATACGAGCAGGATCGATGGTGCTCAGGACAGGCGAGCCAAGTCCCCGCATCTCTGTCATTGACGATCGAGGCGAAGGCCCGAGCGAGTCACCCGTGACAGCCGCCATTCGAGAGAGGTTGCTCGCCCTGCCGCGCTGGGGACCACTTTCTTGCTCAAGCGTGTAGTCTCCAAAGGGCGATTGTCCTTCGCTGGGAAGCGTCTGGATCGGAGTAAGCTGTGAATGTCCAAACGCGGAATCGCCCGTCGATGACGACGAAGAAGCCGAGAGAGACAGCGTTGTTCCCGCTGCTGAAAAGAGAGGCACGGGCGGCAAGCTCTTGCGACTTGTAGTGGACTCAACCTCCTTTGCAGAAGGCGGTAGCTTGGGGGTTGTTACGCCCAGACTTTCGTGGCTGACACTCTTTCCCAACGAAGGTCGTCGGCTTTCGAGATTGACGAAGGGCTCCCCCTGTGCCGAATTCGCGTGCGACTTCGAAAGCTTCAACGACTCTGGCCTCTTAACCGTGGTTGCAACGGATGATCCGGGCTTGGATGCTGTCCTAGCTCGCAGCGAAGGCCAGCCAATGTCCGCACTAGTCGTTGTAGAGTTGTCATCGGCACGGCTTCCTCCCAACAGGCTGGGCGCCGTCGAAGTGGGGCTGTGGCCGGCGTCAGTGGCAGAAGCCGAACCCGGGGTAGAGACTGCAAGCTCGCGTTGCGTCTGCGGATTCGCGAGAATGATGGTACAGTTGGGTGCAGCCGAGCCGGCCTGCAAAAAGCGAAGCTCAAACGAAGCCATGCCCGAAAAAGTCGCCGGGGGTTGATCGTCCTTTGAAGCCACCTTGGAAGCCAGATGGTCGGAGACGACGACGGCCCTAGCCACTTCCTCGGCATTGTCGATGGATTCTTGCGTCAAGGCTGAGCTTGGAGCGACGACCCACTTGCGATGTCGTCGAACGCTGCGAGCCACGGTCCAATCCAGCGGCGATGCAATTTCGTCGTGAGTTGAGCAGGACGAGCAAGAGTCCAGCCTAGCCGAGAGCCGGCTGCCCTCCCAGTCTTCCGCACTGCCCACGTCGATGCTGTGCAAGCCCATTTCGTCGATGGAGAGGATGTCGAGCGTCTCCAGAGGATCGTGCTGCACGACAGAGAGCGTTGACCACGGTGATAGTTCTGCCTCATCTTCTTCGTGCATCAGAGGTCTTGCGACGGTACTGCCCCTCGCCTTCGCGACAATCGTGCTGGAGAGGGCGTTCGCGGGCGAGTGGGGCACGCTGGACGACACAGACCCTCGCATTGCAGCGGACCGATCGTATCCATACCCCAAGCTCGCAAACCCACCGAGCACTTGCTCCGATCCGGTGCCCTCCAGAGCCCTCGATAATGTCGTCGAGTGCCGCTCCTCTACGTCGTCGGTCACAGAGCTCGACCCGAGGACATCCTCTGCGGGCAAGATGTCGTTGGACTCCTCGCAATCTCGCAGGTGAGCAAAGAAGCTGTCCACGGGGGTCTTCTGGTCCGCATTCGTATCATCGCCTTGTTGTGGCACTTGTTGTTGCTGTTGCTGCAGATGCTGCTCGGGCATGACTGTCTTCCCGCTGTCGGGGGTTAGTGCGATGGCATCAGAGCCCTGCGAGATCATTGTTGGCTGCAAGGTAGGCGACGAGACGATTTCCTCGAGCATGTTTGATTTTCGAGACACGTCTACCGGCCTCGCACCGAGGTCAAGGCCATCGAGATCCAGCTTGAGGCTCTGCGATGAGCCGCGGCGATGGAGCGGTCGCCTCGACGGAGCGTCGATCGACGGACGTGTCACAGAGCCGATACCTCGACTGCCGCCCTGGGCACGGTCGACGGGCGGCATGCGCACTCCATCCCTGCTGCTTCTGCCGGCCGCTGCACCACCGCCAGCGGCCGAAGACATTTTGGCAGGCGTCGAGATTGACTTGACCAACAAAGACGGTGGCTCCGACACACCGCTGCCGCTCGTCGTGAGGACCTTTGCGTTCCTGTCGAGTACGAAAAATGCAGTGGGGGAGACGGCGGGCTTGCAGGAAGGCGGTGGGGATCGGTTATTGGGCAACGGTCCTATGCAGGTCTGTCCAAGCGCCATGCCGTTTTCTCGTTTTTGCAGCAGGCAGGTGCTCTGCGACAGGTGACAGCGACGGTGACTCTAGATCGCCAAGACACGTCGTGTTTGAGCGTCACTATATGCGCACGCAAAGTGAGAACTGCACTCACAAAGACGCACCGCCTTTACCGCTTCTGCTCTGCTTTGAAGTGTATTAGAATAGATGACAAAGGGATGGCCGAAGTTGCGTCTGTCTTGGCCCTTTGTTGTGACTTGGATGCTGCTGGTGCTGAACGAAGAGAATCTACACCTGCCTCGGCGGTGCCAGTCGTGCCGCTCGAGTGATGGCTGCTGGAGTGAAGTCGTCAAAGCGTGCGCAAGGAGATGCGAGAAAGAGAGTCAACGAGAAAAGACGGTTGACACTATCGAAGCCACGAAGAAATCATATTTGTGACGAAAAGCGACAGCGACAATAATCAGATGACGGATGAGCGGCGAGTGGCTGGCTGGCTGACTGGTGAAAGGGGGGCGGAGGTGGGTCAGGGAAACGCAGCGCCTGCGGAGCGGAGTCGCCTAAAGAGAGCGGTGGCTGAGGGGTGACGGCTGCTCACAGCGGCAGGGTGGGAGATTAACCGCGATTCAGCGAGGCTGGCGAGGCCCCGGTCGAGACTACGATCCGATGTGAAGTTTTAGCGATGCAGAAATCGGACGACTTTGCGCACCTTTGCCTGTCGGAGGTCGGAGGTCGAAAGGGGGGCGAAGAGGTGGCAAGGGGAGAGGATCGAGACTGAGAAAGGCGAGGTAGGCGGAGACGGAGACGGAGACGAACAAGGGGGAGAAGAGGACAAAGGGAGAGCGGCCTTACAAATTTAGTCGGAGCCTCACGATCTTACTGCCACAATTGTGTCAACCTGTCAAAAACCTCTTTTGAGAAAAAGAAAGGCAGGAAAGGCAGGAAAAGTCCTAGGGGGAAACAAGTACTAATTGCCTAGGCCGGGCCATGCTGTCCTTTGGAATGAGGCCGAGGTCCGGTTAGCATTTGCGGCTGCCATCCTACTACTACTACAATTGTCGTTCGGGCGCCGCTCCGAGGCTGGCTCGCCTGATCCGTTTCTCCTTGTTTTATTTTGTTTCCCCCGCGAAAGGTTTGTGGCGCACACTGATCAAGTGCCCGACAGACGCTGTGGCCGGCACAAGCCTGTATTCATGCTCTAAACTTGGCACACGCCGGGCTTCGCGGTGGCTTGACCAAATTTAAAAACGTTCCTGGTCTTTGAAATTACGAACCTGGACGGATTCTACCCTAGAATTATATTAGTAGTGGCAATGTTAGCATTTCTTAGTATTATTAATTTGTAGGCGCGAGCTGAACAAGAACAACGCACAGATATCCTACAGTTTCCCGAAAGCTTGTCGGCAGGCACTGCAAGTGCAGACCCTAGGTCCTTGGTAAACCCTTTTTTTCTGCGTTTATTTTGCTCCGTGGCTTTTCCTTTTTTTTCCTTCCTTTTTATTCGGCTCTGCTGGACGCAGACTTGTTCTCTGAATTGGCTTCATTCTCAAAGGCAGGAGAAGCCAGATCTCGTTCTTCTCATCCTGTTTCAGGCTCCGAACGGCGAGGGTCTAGTCACCAATGGCATCTAGTCACAAATCAGGTCATTTCTCTCCAGGCAATTGCTCTTGATCTCCACCTCTCTCCTTTTCGCAGGACAAGTACCTGCAGGCTCACATACGCAGAAAATCCGGAGAAAAGCCCGTAGAGCAAATGCTCGATCTTGGCTCCGCTTCGCTGCTGGCTAAGCGTGTTGGCTGCAGTAGTAGCGGCGCCAGCGGCAGCTGGTGAACAAGGTGGCTTTTCTCGACTCGGGAGAAATCGACCTTTCCGCAAGTCTCTCTTGAGTGCAGCTTTCAACCGATGGGTGACGGGTATGAGTCTCGAGGTCGCGAGCCCCCCCTTTTTTTTTTTTTCTCTTCGGTATTTTTCAAACCGCGGGATTGCTCACGGGCGTACGTGAATGAGCTCGCTCGACTCTTGGCTCTGCTGAGTCTCGATGGCGATGGCGGTGGCAATGGCGATGGCGACGGCCAAAGTCGGAGCCCAAGACTCTTTTTTTTTTGGCTGTTTCCCGAAGGCGGGACGCGCATCTTATCAACGCCACATACCTGCAGGCAAACAAGTCACAGCGGCATTCATACGGTAGAATAAGCCTCAGGGTTTCCTCATTAAAGCAAGCTAAGGCGTAGCATTGGACACATTTCTGCGCGAAAAGCCACACAGACTGACAGACTGATAGTAGGTGCTAGAGACAAATCGGGGAAGCCCGGCTGCCACACATCGTCATCGTTGACTGTCATGTGGTCCGGGAGTATCAATATTATTCAAATGAGAGAGAAGCAAGGTAGGATTTTAAAGTCACAAATCAAGCCTCGCCTTCATTCTGCCACTCTGCCACGACGGCCTTGTACATCTTCGAGTCGTGCCTCTTTGACCGGTCGTGGTGGCTTGTCCCACGCCTAAGTCTCCGCACAAAGCGCTGGATGCCCTTGATGACGACTGTGACAGGACGCGTCATGTAAGCCTCAAAGAGGAAGCACAGGACCGCATTGACGATGACGATGACGAGCAGGTTCATGTGGAAGTAGCGTGGGAACTCGACGAGCTCGAGCATGTCAAAGATGGGGCCCGAGGTCGCAAAGAGGAAGTAGACGGAGAGGAGCGTGAGCGACAAGAGCGAGAGCATCAGCATCACGTTGGTGTACATCGGCTGGCGGTACGGCGGACCTGCGCTAAAGGCGGCTGCCACAATGAGGTATTGGAACGAAGAGACGAGGAACAGGGCCGAATTCTCCGGATTTGATGTGTTGAGCTCCGAGGGGTCCACCTCTGGCGGGACGTACCACGGCTGAGCGCGAACGTGGAAGAAGACGAATGCTTGAACGATAGCGCAGACAAAGACCTGGCCGAGCATGGAAATGAGGACCTTTTTGCTGACCAAGTTTGCCGTTGGCCGTTTGGGATTAATGTCCGGGTACGGCAGGGTGCGGGCCATGGTCACAGCGACGGGCAACACGCAGAAGAGGTCGACGTAGAGGAACTGGCCGTCTGAAAGCGAGGAGGCGAAGCTGTAGAGGAGCGAAATGCTGACAAATTGGATCAAAGAATAGAGAGCCATATACTTGAAGCAGGAGAAAGAAGTGACGAGGGCGGCCCGGCCCTCCTTGATGACCTCGATGACGCAGCCAATGTCGGGCGACCGCGAGGTGAAGGGCGCGGCCACACTGGCCTCTGCCTCGGAGAGAGAGATGCCAACATCGGCAGCCTTGAGCGCACCGCAGTCGTTTGCACCATCGCCGCACATGCCGACCGTGTATCCGAGCGCCTGAAGCCGTTCGACGAGTTCGTGCTTTTCGTCTGGGCTCATTCTCGCGAAGACGGTGCCCTTGATGAGCATTCTCCTCAGTGTCTCGACGGGCGCGTAGTCGATCATCCATCGGAAGACATCGCCGGTGAGGGCCAGCTGATAGTCTTGAAAGTCGAGCTCCTCGACGTCCAAGACGTGTGGATCGATGTTGAAGGGCTTGAGCTTGTATGGATCCAGCTTGACTCGCTCGTCGTCGACTGATGACCAGTCGATCACGGCCGCCGGCTCTTTTTGCGAACCGGACACAAACGTCGGCACAAAGACGTGGGCGCTTGGCCCAACCATGCCGCACTCCCGAGCGACCGAGATGGCCGTGCGAGGATTGTCGCCCGTGGCCATCTTGCAGATGATGTTCGCATTGGTCAGCGTGGCAATCGCTGGTGCCGTGCCATCCTTGATCTTGTTTTCAAAGATGATCAGGCCCAGGAAGCGAAGACCGCTCTCGGCCTGCTCTCTGCGCATCCGCTGTGCCTTGATCCAGCTCATGCCGGCCATGCTTTTGCCTGCACAGGCAATGACTCGGTAGCCGTGCTTGGTATAGTAGCCCAACAGATCTTCATAGTCGCTTGGAAAAGAGTCGGGCTCGCAAATGTCCGACATGACCTCGGGTGCGCCCTTGACAAAGACCTCCATCGACGTCGACTTGAGCCGCTTGACGATGACACTCATCCGACGGAGCTGCGAGACGAACTCGAATGTCCTCAGCACGCCGAGCTCGAGGAAATGAGCATGCTTGCCAGGCCTCATGGCGTCCTCCACTTCGAAAGCTTGTCCGCCCGGTGGCCGTACCACTGTCTGTACCAGCGCCGGTGCCCGGTCGGTGAGCTTGCTTTTGCCGTCCTTTGCCGTGCCGGTCTTTGTTGTGGCGCGCGCTGCAGCATCCTTGCCCTCGTCCAGCGTCCATCCCGTGTACTCAAACATCTTGACATCCAAGGGATCACCAATGACCTCACCGTCGACGACCTTAAGGCTGTGGCACGTGGCCAGAGCATGCAGCAGTGGCATCTTTCTCGCCTCCGTCTCGGCTTTGGACGAGCCATGGTTTACCGGCATCTCGTCGACTGTCTCGTGAAGCTCGCTGAAGCGCTCCGCCTTTATGTCGATGGTCCGCGTTCCGAGGACGTCGAGGCCGTCAGCAGTCAGCGTGCCAGTCTTGTCAAAGCAAAAGACATTGATCTTGCCACCGATGTTGACGCGGTTGGGCGAGATGCAAAAGACGCCAGCCTTGCGCAGTCGCGAAATAGCAAAGGACGTTCCAATCGACATGGTAGCGGGCAGCGCTGGCGGCACAACGACGGTGATGAGATCCAAGGCGCGGAGCACAATCGTGTGCCAGGCAATACCCAATTTCACAAAGTTGACGCTCGAGGCAAGGAAACCCACGCCGGCAATGCCAGTGAGGAAGCCAATGAAGCGGAACGAATCGCGGTAGAACTTGAAGCCCATCGGTTTAGGGAAGAGCATGCTTCGAACGAGGGCGCCCTTTGTCGTGTCGAAACCGGTACGGACGACCATGGCCTTTGCGCCGGCCTGGTAGCCTTCGCCATCTTCGTTGGTGCTCTCCTCGCTGGTGGCCATGAGGGTGGGACGAATGCGAATGATGCGAGTTCCACTGAAGAGAAAGTGCTTGGCAAGATCCGATGGGATTTGGGATCCCGGAGCGTGGAGCATGGCCATCTGAGCGTCTGTAATGGGAATCTTGCTGACGGGAACCGACTCGCCAGTGAGCATGCTTTCGTTGACAATGGCGTCGCCGTTCAGCAGGACACTGTCGGCGGGGAATAACAGCAGTCCGTTCTCAGCCACGTCGTATATGTCGCCAGGGACCATGTCGGTGCTTTCGCGGACTGTCCAGCGCCCTTCTCGGAGAACATTGACCTTGCATGAGAAGCGGCTCATTTCACGCATCCTTCTGACCGTGTTGCGTGTCTCGATGAGCGTCGTGATGATGCTCGCGCAGGAAATTGCGACGATGCAGATCGCATAATAGTAATAGTTGTCCATGCTCCAGAGAATGACCGAAGCGATCTGGAAGATGTAGAATGGGTGGAGGACCTCATCGACGAGGAGAGCAAAGGTCGACTTGGATTCAATGTCGATGACGTTGGACCCAAACAAGGTCTTGCGGTCCCTCTCGGCATCGTAGCTGATGCCCTTCGCTGCTGCGGTCACAGAGGTCCACATAGGGTCGCGCCAGTCCTTGACCATACGCCATCGACCCGAAGGAGGATGAAGAGCGAAGCGTGTGTAACGGTAGTCGATGTAGGTGAGGTCCATCAGCTGCTCCGTCTCAACGCCAGCCAGAATGGCCAGATCGACAGTGTCCTTTCCATGCGTTGATCCATTGCTGATGCCATTGCCGTTGCGACCGTCCTTTGCAGCCCTCTTTGCCTTGGATAGCAACTCTGGAGGCAGATTTGAACTTTGGGCCGTCGAAATGTGCTGATAATCCATTTGGCTGGTTGGAGGGTCGCGAGACGAGAGGGGAAAAACAGTGGCGAGGGGCCTTGCAAACGGCACCGTGACCGGCTTGACCTTTAGAAGATCACCCCACTGGTTCTGAACGACGACAAATTCCGCCTTCTCGAAGTCTGTCTCACGACAGACCCACTTGAGCCAGAGCCTGGGTAGCCATCGACCGAGGAGATATACGATGCCGACGGTAAGACAGCAGATGACGACGTAGAGCACTTGGCGTACAGCCACAGTTTCGTATGCGGTAAAGCGAATGAGGGCGTCGTCATCAGCAAGGTACACCTGCTGGCGACCCTTTGACGACTTATCGGTGTAGCTAGCCTCTTCCTTTGCCGCATTGACGACGTCCTGTGATGACACCAACGCAGGGTTGCTGGGGTCTGAGCCGTTTTGGAAGGGCGTCAAGTTGGATCTGCCAGCTTGCTCTTCTGCATCATGTCCGCCAAGCTCTAGGTCGAGTTCATCTTGGGGCTCACGCTCCGTGGCCACCCTGGAGTCTCCAAAGACCGGATCGACGGCCGCGCCCAGCGGTCCAAATGCCGAGGGCAGCAAGCCTCCTCGCTCATGCGCGTCCTCATCGCTGCTCGTCTGTGATGCACTCTGCAGGTCGTCGTCGTCATCGTCATCGTCATCGTCGTCGTCGTCATCATCGTCATCGTCGTCATCGTCTTCTTCGCCGCTATCCCTGTAATCATCGGAGCGCGCGTCGAAGCTCCGTCTCGAGCCAATGGATTGACTCGAGCGTCTTCTGCCAAATGACGGTCGCCTTCGGCTCGAAGAGGAGCTCGACATGAGGCGCCGGGACTCGTCGCCGTGATCGTCGTCATCGCCCCTTCCTCGGAAGCTGGCCATGATGGAACCGAGGACGCCTCGGCCCGACTCTTCGTTGCGCTGCGGCACCTTTTGCCTGCGTCCGATGCGCCTGGAACTGCTGTGCGCCGCGCTCCTCGCACTTTGGCCATCGTCATCGACTGCAAAGATGGCACTGGCATCGCCTCCATCGCCCCTCGACGATGCTGTTTCGCTTGGCACAGCCGCCGAGTCGACCGAGACGCTACTCGTCTTTCGTGTGCGTCGCTGTGAGCCGGCGACCGACATGTCCTTGGAGATACGCCTTCGAGACCGATTAGAGGACCGCAACTGAAGGTCGCGAGTGATGTGGTGCATGCTGAAGAGAGTAGGGAGAGAGGAGGGGGTGATGAAGTCTTCAGCGTGAGCGCTTTGTAGGATAAGATGAGGACGATCTCCTTCTCACCTTGTGATTGACGATGGCACAGCTCCGGCCGAAGGACCATCGAAGACGCTGCCCGTGCCATCGTAGCTGCTCATCTGACTGTCTCTTCGTTGCCGGCCACCGATGCGGATGGCGCCGCGTTCTTCGGTCGGCGACAGGGGCTCATCCACGACGGCCGAGCTCGATTGTGCATCTCCCTCGCCAACAGTGTGGACACCATCATCCTCTTCCAACTGCAGCGCACCGTCGGGCGACTGAGCCCATTGGAGTGCCTCTGCCGACTCCTTGTCGCTGAAAAAGGGCGACGTCGAGGGCTGGTACTCTGGCCTGCCAAATGAAGGTGCTTGGTACTCATCCGCTGCTCGCACTTCGCCACGGGACGAGGTGCCCGCAGCCGTGGGAGGTGCCATGTCGACTGAGGCGGGGAGCGAGACAGACCCTGTGCAAGATCGAGCCCAAACGAAGCGACTGGGTTCCTCCTCGAGAATCCCCCTGCCGCGTAGGAACCTCCTCTCTTTTCGATTCATCTTGGATCGGTGCTTATCTAAGCCAGAGCAATGAAGCGCGCGACGCTCTACCCAAGATCAGTCAGTGCCTGCTTTCCCCCTTGAAGGGAAGCCAGCGAGCCTTTTTCCACATCACATCGGCAAGGGCGAGGAGATCTTCCTCTTTGCCTCGACATGTTGGGAAGAGCTTGCAAATCGATACTGCAATGAGTGGCGCGCAACCAGGGTCAGGGGACAAGCAAAGACGATATTTGCCTCCCTTTGCACTGATAAGTCAAGCATTCTCATCAGAGCTTGAGGCAAAAGGGGCGCAAAGAGTGTGGAGAAGAGGCACAGGTACACTGTCCGCTCGTCCCCGTATGCTTGTCTGGTCGCCAAAAGGGACTTCAGCGCCGCTTGGAGAGCTCATCCTATGGCGACTAGAAACCACCTCGGACATCCACCGCGGCTGAGAGCCCACGTGAATTAAGTTCGCCCCGTTTCTCATCTGAACCTTTTAGCGGCCTCTAGCGTCTCGAAGTCCCTGCAGCGCTGCACTGCTCTGCAGCTGCTTTGTCCGAGGTGCAGCTTTGATGATCGCCTTGCTGCCCTAGCTTGGCTCACTGTGTCCTTCTGTCTTCCTTCGTCTCGTCGGTCGTTCCGTCTCTGCCGCACCACGCAGACCTCAGCCGGTCCTCTCTGTGGTCTCACTCTCTCTCCCTCTCGCGTTCTGTCTCACCTCGGTGGTGCGTCGCCAGACTATTCTCACGCCTCTGCCTCTCTTCATTTTATTTCTTCGCCAGCGGCAGAAGAAGAACACCCCCCCGCCCTTTGCGCTCCGGTCCGCGCAAACAAGCACTGTCGCGCACGCGCAAGAGAGGAGCACAAGCACACGACCTCCTTCGCACACCGAGCACTCGCCGCTGCCAACTGCGTTCTCAGTAGCCTCGTCATCGAGAAGCGACAACCCATACGAGGCTGTGCGGGTACATCATCACGACTGGACAAGATTCGTTCCCGGTGAGAAAAGCCGCTCGAGCCGCCCGCCATCTCACTCCCGCGTCGTCCGCAGAAGGCCGTGGACGCCAAGAGAGCGTGTTCGGGCTCAAATTAAGACGAGAGAAAGAGGGCATTTTGGACGTGGCAGGGCGCAACCCACGGCGGGCCTTTGTGGATCAGGTGGATTGCCGGCGTTCAGGGGACACAGCCTTTGGCCTTTCTTCCTCTTCTCCCTTTTCATTATTTTGCCCCTCCTCTCTTTCCTGGTGGGGATCCACGACACTATTCTGGGGCGAGGCTCGGTCAAAGGGCGCGATCGATGCTTTGATCAGATCGACTCCGACCACACGTCCATCCGGGCCAAAAGGCACAATCCTGCCCCCGCACGCTTTACCGCCTCATCTACCACCCATCTCACTGCTCTGAGACGAGGCCCAATCTAACACTCTAGCCCCTCAAGTCGCGCATAGAAGTACCTCGAGAGGGCTCCTCTCATCTTGGTCAAGTCGTCTGGGGCAGCAATTGTGCGATGCAAGTATCGGCACATTGGACGCAGCAGATGGCAGCACCATCACATGGACAGCCGCAACCCGGCGCATTCCACCTTGCCCAGTCGAGTCCCCAACAACAACAACAGCAGCAGCAGCAGCAGCAGCAGCAGCAGCAGCGACATAATGATGGGTCCGGATCCTTCTTCTTACAGACATCTGAGCCGATGCAGTGGAGCTCCCCGATGCAACTGATGCCGTCGATGTCACAGCCAAATTTCGGCACGATGCAGCAGCAACAGCAGCAACAGCAGCAACAGCAGCAACAGCAGCAGCAACAGCATCAACAACATCAGCAGCAACATCAACAGCAACAACAGCAACAGCGGCTTCATCAGCATCAACTACAGCAGCAGGAGCAGTTGCACCAGCAACAAGTTGAGCAGCAGCAGCAATTAGAGCAGCAGCACTACGCCCAAATCCAGCAACAGCAGCAACAGCAACATCAGCAGCATCAGCAACAGAACTACCGCCACCAACAGCAACAGGCAGCGATGCAAGCGATGCAGCACTCGATGCAAGGCCCCTCGAGAGCGTCCATGGGCCAACAGGCCAGTCATGGCGAGCAGCACGTCTTCAGAGCGTTCGGCCACTCACCCTCTATTCAACAGCAACAGCAGGAACAGCAGCAAGAACAGCACTCTTCACCGACGACACCCGACAAGTCGAGGGAATATGATGTCAAAAAGATGCTGCATCTCTACATGCACGATTACTGCCTCAAGAACAACTTTGGCAAGACTGCAAATGCGTTGGCGAGCGACACTGGCGTCAGGACGGAGGAGGGCGTGCCATTCGGCTCAGGTTCCAAAGACGGTGTGCTCTCCGACTGGTTCAAAGTCTTCTGGGAGAATTACCTTGGTTCTCAGCTCTCGATGCCTGACCGAACGGCCTCGGAGCAGAGCAAGATTGACCGCGCCACCAAGCTGGCATTTCTTGCCAACCGACAGGGCGGCCTTCAATCTGCGTCGCCGATGTTCCCACAGCAGCCGGAGCAGGGGGCACCGCTGGGTGGCGCTGCCATGCGAAGAATTGAGTCCGAGCCCGTCAGTCGGCCGCCATCGAGCAATGGGTCCACCATTCAACAGCACCAGCTCCAAACGACGCCGAAGAAGCCGACGCCGGGCTCAGGTGGCCAACAGTCGATGGTGCCGAGTCAAGGCACCCCGACTTCCAGTCGAATGCCTCCAACCAATGCAGAGATCAGCTTCTTCATGAACCAGCTCGGCTGGGGCAACCGAGCCATCAACCACCTTGCTTCGTACGAGAGAGACCGTCTTGTGGCCCTCGTCAACAAGTCGCGGCTTCATCAAGCAGACGCCCAGCACCGCCTCTACGAGCTGCACAAAACCTCACCCAGCGGCCCAGCGGCAGCCATGCGCGGGCCAAGCGGCAGCGTGTTCCAGCAGTCGCCCATCAATTCGCCGCCAGACCTTGAACCCGGCCCTGGTCCTGGTCCTGGCCCTGGCCCCACGCAGCCCTCGCCGGGGGCCAACAAGCGAAGGCGATCATCGATCAATGCGCCCTCTCAGCACGCCTTTCAAGCCATGGCCACGCCCATGTCTCACAGCCAGACATCGCTGGGCTTGGCCCCCTCGCTGATGGCTGTCAGCCCGCGAGGAGAGCCGAGCAATGGCAACGCGGGCATGTCGGCAGCCGCTGCCATGCGTGATTTCGAGCAGCAACAGCAGCTGGCGCAAAGCCTCAAAGCGCAAAGTCAGAGCATCATCGGCCGGCAACAGCAGCAGCAGCAGCAGCAGCAACAACAACATCAACAGCAGCAAGGGAGTCCCACGGTCCAGCAGGCAGCTTCACTCTCAATGTCGGCCTCGGGTCGCTCAATCTCTGGGCCGGGCCCTGTCGGCGCGTCCCCTACCGCCATGGCGAGATCCCAGAGCCAGAGCCAAGCGCAGAGTCAGGCTTCGACGCAAGCAGATAGCATGATTGGAGCGCAGATCAACAAAATGCTGCAGCAGCAGCAGGCCAGGGGAGCCGATAATCCCAGCAGCTCTTCGAGTATGGCGCAGATTGTGCAGCTCAAGAAGCTTCAGGAGAAGAACAACGCACGGCCCAAGACTGCGTCGAGCTCAGAGCATGCGGACGAAGGCGAAGGATCCAAGGATGAGGCCATGCAGGTCAGTCCATCTACAAACATGGGCGAAAGTCAGCAGCAGCAGCAGCAGCAGCAGCAGAGGCAACAGCAGCAACCCAAGCCACCGAGCACACCAAAAAATGCGAAGCGCGGACAGAAAAAGAACAGCGTCTCGTTGGCATTGCAGGCAACGACAATGACCAAGGGCCAGGGAAGCATGGGTCCACCTCCGTCGCCCTCAACCAGCCTCCAGCAGCAGCAGCAGCAGCAATTATTCCACCAGCATCAGCAACCAGTCCACTCCCAGCAGCAGCGATCAGGTGCACCGACGACCGTGAGCATGACCCCGCCTACATCTGTCAGTCAGGGACTGCCGACCACGCCGAATGGTCTAGCGACGCCAATTACTCTGCAAGGTAGTCAGGCAAGCGGCATCTCTGTTCCTAGCCCCATTGCCGGGCTGGGCGTCATGGGCGTCAGCGGGGGACCGTCAGCGATGATGGAGTCGAGCTTCGACATGTCGGGCGACTTTGGCTTGAGCAACAGCTTCGCGGACCCTACTTTGTCGTCATCGTCGTCGGCTCAGCCGTCGGACGGTGTCAATGGCGAGGCAAATGCGGGCAATGCGCTGGGCATCAACAGTGACCTCGACTTTGACTGGCGCAATATGCTCGCCTGATTGGCGTAGCGAGATCCTCTTCGGTCCCGCCCTGGCGACCTCTTGACTTTCCTTTCCCCTTATTCACACCTTGCACGCATACCTTCCTGGACCACATTCACCCACACGCACGTCCGCCCCCTTGTCCTCTTTCCCCTTTCTTCCATTGTATAAGTAGTAAAAGGTACTGTACCATGTCGTCTAACAGGGTTCAGCAGTCATTGAAAACCATCTCTTTCCTCCACTTGACCATTTGGAAGATGTGCAGCTTGCGCGCCTTGAGGTGCGCACGCACGAGCCCACGGATCGTTAACAATGGGCGCGGCGGCGCTTTTAGTTTAATTTTTTCCTTCGCCCTCCAATGGGAGAGGGAGAGATGGAAAGGCACCCCACAGGTTCCAATCGGAGAAGTACCTCGAGACGAGCATGGAGGAGGCCGATCAAGATGTGTCGGGGCCGCTGGACGGCCCGACGCCCGTTCCCGCGTCATTGAGCTCGTCCACGGCGAGCGTCTGTCCGGCACTTGCCTCTTTGGCGACTTCAAGCCCGCGCCAGTCGCCGTCTTTGTCGTCCTTGAGCTCCTCCGGCTCTTTGTCGACCCCGCAGAGTGACACTGGGTCCAGCAGCTGCATGTCTGGCGTGCGAAAGAAGCTCGAACTGCTCTACCGCTACCGCGACCTGCTCAGCCAGGGAGCCGAGCTCGTCACGGCGGCCCAACACCGGTATGTCAGTCTGCTGGGCGAGGCGAACGAGATTGCAGCGCAGCTGAAGACGAGCAATGAGTCAGAGGAGAAGGATGATGGAGACAGTGACAGACAATTGGAGCTCTTTGGTGGAGCGATGCCAGAATGGGAGGAAGCGGTTGCCGCGGCTGCTCAGAGGTCGGCGATGGCGAGTCAGACAAGCGAGGCGCATTCGAGTTACACAGGCCATGCGCACAAGGAGCAGGCGGGTCACGAGCTTGAGGGCTTGACAGCTGCCGACTTTGATGATAGCACCTTTGACGAGGGCGGAGAGCGATTCGACGAGAAGACGGTAGTTCCCCTGTCGACATTGGAAATTGACGAGCAGATATACGACATCAACGAACGCTACAAGCCTGGGCCCGGCCGCACCTTTCCCTGGACGAAAGAACTCGATGAGAGCCGTCGCGACATTTTCCGTAAGACGACCTGGCGGCCGTTGCAGGAGGAGGCGTGCAACGCCGCCATGGACGGCAAACATCTCATCGTGTGGATGCCCACAGCTGGAGGAAAATCGCTCTGCTACCAGCTTCCTGCCATTCTTCGCCCCGGCATCACCATTGTGGTGGCGCCTCTCGTGGCGCTGCTTCACGATCAGTTGGCTGGCCTCGAGGACAAATGCATCGCCGCTGCGGCTATCCATTCTGGTGAAGGTGTCAACATGATGGAGGGCCTGGAAGTCGAGGATGTTCTCACCCAGGCAGACTATAACGAGATGAGAGACTATCGAATCATCCTTGTCACACCAGAGGTGAGCGCCGTTGCTGATTTCTCTCTCTCTCTTATCATTCTAGTCTGACAAGTGTCTGCCACAAAACAACACACAACAGCGCATCGCTCAGCGGCCTGCCTTTCGTGACAAGCTCAAGGTGGCGTCCGAGTCGGGCAGGCTACAACGGATTGTCATCGATGAGGTGCATCTGTTCGAGCATGCCGACTCGTACCGACCCGCCTACCCGGCCCTCGTCGAGCTGCGGCGACTTCTGCCCCGGACACCGTTCACTTTTCTCAGTGCAACCATGTCTCACACGTTCATGGCTCGGCTACGGATCGAATTCGAGCTCGAGGAGCAGCAGACGCTCTGCCTGGTCTCGCAAGAGAAGCGTAGGAATCTGCAATTCTCGGTCGCGCACAAGGCCAGTGCCACCTCCTTTCTCCAGCTTGCGCACTGGATCCGAATTGCGCACAGGAATCAATCAGGCATCATCTACATCTCCAACATCAAACACGCCGATCTTGTTGTCGCGGAGCTCAAAAGAAGCGCAATCTCTTCGACGGTTTACCACGGCCGACTGTCCAACAGCCGGAAGCAGCGCGCGGCAGAAGATTGGCTCGAAGGAAGGGCGCTTGTCATGGTCGCCACCAATGCCTTTGGGCTCGGCATTGACAAGGCCGATGTCCGCTTTGTCTGCCACGCGACGCTGCCCCGTAGCCTCGAGGATTACCACCAGGAGTGTGGACGAGCGGGACGGGATGGTCAGCCTGCAGAGTGCCTCCTTTGGTACACGCCCAGCGACGTGTCTGGAATGGCATCAAGGATCGCAGAGAATGGTCGCAATTTCGAGCGAGACTTTGAAAAGTTCCGCTGGATGCTTAGGTATGCCCAAACGAGCGAGTGTCGAGCAAGCATCGTAGAGGATTACCTGTGGAAGGACGACAACTTGACGACGACAACAAATGATATACCCAGAAGCTCCTCGTGTCCCTGCTGTGACAATTGCGAGAGGGGCAGTGCCGACGTCGAAGACGTCACTCTCGAGGCATGGCAGATTCTGACCTTGTTCCAACACGCTAGAAGGAAGGGCATGCGTTATCGATTCACAATAAAACAGCTGGCTGAGCTCGCTGTAGGCCATGGTCGCAGCACGAGAGGTCATCAAAGGGAGCTTGGTCACAAATGTATCGGTGGCCAACCAGTGAAGCTGGGCATCAAAGCAGCAGAGAGACTCGTCGTGGAGCTCATCGTACAAAAACTTCTCAAATTTGACCCGCGGGACCGTAAGTCGTATGGTACAACCTATGTGCAACTTGGAAACCTACAGTCTTCTGCAAATCCTTTGGTCCGTGCAAGCTCGCTTGAGGAGGCCAAGTCACTCAAGGGCCTCGTCATGGTGGCGTTCGGACCAGGTGAGCTGAGGAGCTACACCCGAGCCAGCAACGAGACGAGCAAACAGGCAAGGCAAGCAAAGACAAAGAGAGTCAGTCCGGTGAAGAGAGAACCAGACGAGCAAATGTACAATGGGATGCTTGAGCAGGAGCGCTTCAAAGAGGACAGTCCATCCCTGAAGCGTAGGAGGAGTAGCAGGATCAAGGATCAGGCAAACTTAGTCAACCTGTCCAAAAGTTGATGGCAGCGTCTGGCCCAGCTCCTTTGGCCCAGCTCGATCGACATTGTGGAAGTGCGAGGAGTTGAAGTGTACTGCATAATTTAGACGTTGGTGTTAGACAGTTCCTTGCTGATCGGGATGCATCTGCTGCTTGAAAAGCTTATGTTACAACATGTCGAACGCATCTTGCCTCGCGCATGCACAGCGCACAAGTGCCTGTCGAGTCTGCATGTAATTGGCTCCTTCAAGCCATACCATCCATCGGATTGTGCTTGTTGTAAGCCCTGCGCTCCTGCATGACTTGCTCACCAATCAGGCACGTCGACCTCTTCGCCCTCCTATGCCCACGTCTTTCTATCTTGTGGAATTAGCCTTTGACGACCGTGTCCCATGACTCCAGCTCTCTTTACCTCGACAATATTTGATCCTCGCTCTCGACAGAGGACATTCTACTATCTCTTATCTGTGAAAGACCGCCGGCGGATTTCACAAGCGTCGCACGATGCCCACTGCTCAGACAGGGTTGCCTCGCTCCAGAATTACAAGCAGTAATTATCCAACGAGGGTTGCAGACTTCCCTGTCGACAGCAAATGTAGAAAAGGGCAGCAACAAGAGGCGAAGAAAGCGATATCGCACATTCTTGTAAAAAAGAAGACGACAGAATCGCCGATGAACAGGCTGGAGAAATGTGGGATCGTGCGGTGCGATAGCCTGCCGATAGAGGAAGCTTGGAACACGTTCGGCCTCGCCAATAGCCATAGCAGCTACCAGCCGAACAAGGTCCCTGTGCCGACAGAGACGCCATTGCGCGCCACGATTGCGACAGCACCGCCACTCCTCTCCACTCCTTCTGCCACTCGTTTGCTTCGGCATCCCTCCAAAACTGGCCTCTCGAATGATGGCGCCTGCTCTCGTTCTACTTTTTCTTCGAAGCAACAGCAGCAGCAGCAACGTTCTGCGCCGCGACTGCAGGCGGAAAGATCATTACAAGCAAATTTCGCGGCGCAAGAGGGCTGGTTCCCTCCCTTGGAGTGTATGTCTCTCGACATCCGAAACCAGTCGACATTGGGTAGCTTCATTCAACCTGCTCAATCGTGTTCTAGAGCAAAAATGCGGCCAATAAGTAAGCAGGCTACTACAACTCCTGGTACAAAGGTCACCGATCGCTCAAAACGGGCTTCGTCCACGTCGCTGTACAGCTCGGACAAATCTTGCACTGCCGATCTTGACCAAAAGCATCAAAGTCAGCAGCGTCGAGGCTCGAGAATCAGTCGGCTGCTCCGTCCACCTCTCCAACAACGGCAGCAGAAATCACAAACCGAAGATGCCAGTGTTCCGCTTCGACGGCAACTGACCTTGCTACTTGGGAGAGCGAGCAGCGATCCGCAGGGCCCATACGCCATTGCAAGCTCTGAACCGAAGTCTCAAAGACGAATGCAAGAAATCCAGGTGGCTCAGAGATCGAACGATCCCAATCACGATTGCAGCGTTCGCGGCCATTCGGTCATCTTCGAGCAGAAGGAAGAGCGGAGAAGGGTTTCGAGCACCAGTGTAATCGTTATCGAGCAGCAGAAGCAAGCGTGTCGAAGCTTACCTACACGGACCGGCTTGGCGAGGAAGGCGCCTTTAGTGACGATGCAGCCAGGTTTGCAGCAACAACCACCCTTGCCTCTGAAGAAGGCATCTGCAACAGTCCCATTATTACCTGAGCCTCCGGCACGACCTGATGAAGCCAATATTTTGTGGAATCAGCTGGAGAAAGAGCTGGGAGTGAAGCTTGGGCCCGCCAACACGCCCTCTTCCTCGCAATCTAAGTCTGTCGAAAGGCATAAGATGACCACTACACCGCACCAATACTCTTCTCCTACCAAGCCAACGGAACGATTGCGACCTCCAGCCAGATCGCGCGCCTCGAGGATCCCAGTACCTTCGCGAAGGCTCCTTTGCACCGACTCGGGCATTGCTCCCACTCTGGTCCTATCGTCGTTGTCGCGCGAATCTCTGCCCAGGGCAAGACCGTTTAAAACGTCGTTGAAGTACAGGAAAGCGTCTTTCGATTGCAGCAAGCGTCCACCGGTGCAAGCAAAATCTCTTTCGGTCAGGTGTCAGAGCAGGCTGCCGGCAACCATCATCACGAAACCGGTGCCATCTTCCTCTACTGATCCACTCGTGTACATTGCGGCAGGCGAGAGCTTGACGAGGGCACATTCGTGCACCTCGACATTGTGGTCGGAGCCCTCGTGCTACTCCGGCGTGTCAGACTCGACGATGCCCTCGTCGATGCCCATTACGCCTACAAAACCACGCGCGCCAGGCAATGCCGAGACACCACCGTCGCCGACGCCTGCTCCTCGAGAAGAAATCGTAGAAATGTTCCTGGATATGCTTCGATCAGAGCAACGAGAAGGCTTCCGGTGTGATGGCGAATCCTTCGGCTCGCCCGCGCCGTCTACGGCGCCTTCGTGGCGACAAGCGTGGCACGTAGCGACGCAGGAGAGGGAATATATTGGCGTGTTCCCCGAACGAGAGAGGCGGAAGCGCATCGAAGCCATCCAAGCCATGGAAAAATGGAGAGGTTGAAAGAGGCAGTCCCCTATGTCCCTTGCATCTCTCTCTCACGCTTGCTATCAGTCCACCATCCCTTCATGTCCTCATCTCAATCTTAAAGTCAAGCCATGTAATAACAGCACTTACCATCAAACACTAGCGAGAGTCTCTGCCTCTCGGCAACTACATTCCTTAGCGAAAATCGCGGGCCCTCAAGTCCACTTCTGTGCAGCACTCTGAAGGACCAGGATGGCTAATCGTGAGACTCATGATTTGTACAGCATTATACAACGCCTTTTGTTGCCCTTTATCGTCGGGCCGGGCTCCTACTTCTCTCTCTTCGTGGACCTCCTCTGTCCCCCCTTCCTCCTGCTCCGCGACCTGCAAGTGCTGGCGGGCGAACGAATGCGAAATCGGCTTTGAGCGGCTTGTCCATGAGCGTGAGGCCCTCTTTGCATGCTTCGATGACCGCTGTGGCCTCTTCGTACGTTGTGTATTCAACCAAGGCATATCCCTATGTTATTTATTCTATCGTCAGTCATGATCTCAGAAAAGACTCGAAAGGTGCTGCACGGCATACCTTGAGATAGCCAGTTCGTCGGTCGAGGTTCAAGTGACAATTCTTGACTGCGCCGTAGTCAGACAATTTGTCCGTCACCTCCTCCTCCGACGCCTCCTCATGGATATTTGTCACAAGCACAATCCATCCTTCGATAGCTATCAGGTGATTTCAGCATATAATGATCAGCACAAAGGAGTCAAAGCAGGATGCAGACGATGAGACTGGGACTCACAGCGCGCCGCTCGATCTCCTGACGTGCCACTCGACGAATCCAACAGGTCGAACTTTCCCGATCGGACCCCATCAGATGACATCGGATCAGGTCCAGCGCCACCTCTGGGATCAAATCCTCGGCCTTTCCGTCGCACTGACGAGGATGCTTCTGTGGCGGAGATAGTTGTCAAGGGATCATGAGCATCGAACGAGTAAGAAAGCAAGTATTTTGAGAGAAGAATGTACCTTCATCGCCGTCCATCTCTACATCCATCCCATCCCGCTCAGCTGGAGACTCCTCCCGATCATCTCGACGGTTCCGCTCGCTTCCGTTGGCAAAGTCGACGTCGCCTTCTCGCCCCATGGCTTATTCCCTCAAGGTCTCAATCGTAGTGAGGATCGAAGCTCACCTACTACCCTGACGCTGGTGGAGAGGATCTAAAAACCACGTGGGAAATCTTCTCACCAGTCCAAAAAATTAAGAGGGCCTTTGAAGGCAAAGACCACCAAGCAACGGCGATGGTAGCAGCCCCAGCACCAGCAGGAAACGAGGGCCTCGTCTTGCCCGGCCAGCCGCTTCTCTTCCCACCGCGCGCACCTCTTCCGCAGCCCGGTATCGGGGCATACACCCGTGGGTCGCAGCTCCTTGCCTCCGTCGTCGGCCACCAAAGACCCGGCGAAGGCACGATCCAGGGCCTGCCCTCGCGCTTCGTCGTCCCGCAGCCCTCGTCCGTGGTCCTCGGACGCGTAACACGAGTCACGCCGAGGCAAGCCACCTTGTCGATACTCGTCGTCGATGGCAGGCCGTGCTCTTCGGGAGACTGGAGGTCCTGCGGCTTTGCAAATCACGCGGCCGGAGAGGACCCGAGCGGATCCGGTGGGGATTTCACCGGCGTGGTCAGGCAGCAGGATGTTAGGGCGACCGAAAAGGACAAGGTCAGGCTAGCAGATAGCTTCAGGCCGGGAGACATTGTTCGGGCTACCGTGGTGAGTCGCCGCGGCGAAGGCTGTTCTCAGAAAGGGTTGACTGACATACAAGCCCGCAAGATCTCGCTCGGAGATGCGCGATCCTACTATCTCTCAACGGCATCAAACCATCTGGGAGTTGTATATGCGTTGCCATGCCCGGATCCGGCAGAGCTACAAGTGCCTGCTGCGGCGGATCTCCAACCGTTGGAACCTATCAGCTGGCAAGAGATGCGGAACCCAATAACGGGCGCCATCGAGAAGCGCAAGGTAGCCAAACCGGAATAGAAACGTCGCTCACGCACATGCACAACAAATGTATTATAGCACTGTCTCTACCAGCTAATGAGTTAGGAAGTACTCGAGCATCTTGGGGTAGTTTGGCGTGCCTAGGCCTGTGACAGGATCCCATCCTTGGACAGCCTCGAAGCCCTTTGTGTTGCAGCCCGGATTGAAGCCAGAAGTGATGTCATCTTGAGAAGACGTCGTTTCCAGCCGCATCAGCGAACACAAGATCAGAACACGGATAGATGGCAGGTCAAACCACTCACTCAACATGGAAGGGTTGGCATAGAGGGCCGGATTGACAAATCCGACTGTAGGCTTGCCGACGTTGAGTCGTGCCTCATTAATGAGCGTCAAGACCGAGGCGAATGTCGGAGCCGATGCACTCGTCCCGTAGACGTGATATTTGTATCCACCGTCGATGGCCACAACGTATCTGGCGCCGTTTGCTGAGACATCTGGGAAGCCTCTGGTGACGCCCGAATCATTGTACTGCTTGCTCGAGTAGGTGGAAGGTTTGTGTTGCGCAAACCAGCTCGATACAGCCGTCTTCTGGTAGGTGGGGATGGAGAAGACGTTGGAGAAGCCTCCACCACTGTAAATGACCTGGTTGCAAGCCGATTCGGGCGCCAAAACAGAGGTATTTGGGTTGATTTGCGTCGCGCCGACGGAGAGAACATAGGGACAGCCACCTGGGAAGCCCGGGGTGAAGACGCCGCCCAGCTTGCCGCTTTGGAGCTGGCCCGTCGTATCGCTCACGCACATGTTACCGTTGCCAGCAACACCGTAGTCGCCCGAAGAGAAGACGAACGTCGTGCCGGCCAGCCCGAGCTTTGCGTACTCATTGCACTGCCGCTGCTCATACGCCGGCGTGAGGTCCACTTCATTGTATCCATACGATGTCGAGATGACTTTGGTTTGTTCTACCCCGCCGCATTGTTTGGGCTTGTCGTATCCGCCCGGAGCCGAGTCAGGATAGCTCATGTCTTGCGACGGATCGTCACCTGCACAGTAGGAGGCGTCGAAAGCGTCAAGAAAGTCGTTGAAGCTTGCATTTCCTTCAATATCGCCGACCTGGTACAGCGTCACTTCCACTGGGTTGACGAGCGCCATTGCGAACTGCAGGTCCAGGTTGGACTCCAAGTTGAGGTCGAGGTCTTGCGTCTCGTTGAGGTAACCACCGTCGATCGCGACAAAATTTGGCCTCTTTTGGACTTGATTCCGAGAAAAGTTGCTGAAGAAGAGGTCGAGATCTGAAGGCACGAAGGATTGTGGGCTGTACTCGACGATCCCGAGACTGTTCTGCGGATTCTTAGTCAGGCCTGGGGGAATTTTGTACAGAGTCCGAAGGCAATTAGGCGTGATGTCGGTGTCGCAATGCGAGAGCTCACTTAGGGCAATTGCTTCTTTAGCTACCGCGAACACAGAGAAATGAGGAGAGGACACAAAGCTCTCACTCGATGATGTTCTTGTACCCCGGGTTAAAGCGAAATTTGGGCAGGACCGTGGAGCCGGGACCCCAGCGGGAATTCGTCGCATCGCGCTTCTGCACGTCGCGCTTCTCCTGATCTTTGCCCGGAATTCTACGGTCGAAATGCAGCGTGGGCGTGACAAAGTCGATGTGGTCTCGAATTGAAGTGGGCACTGAGTAATGGGTGGCAGCGACGTGCGGCGTCTGCGACGGTTCGTGCTCCCAAACCCAGTACTCGGTGCGGAGTAGCCGTTCAGCTTCCTCGACCGTGGCCTCAAAGGACAGCCAACCGAGCGAAGCACTCCTGCTCTGTCTCTCGGTAGACACTCCTGCTTGAACAAGCCATTGACTGACCGCATCGACGGTTTCTTTGCTCGGCGCAAAGGACTTTGCGATCTGGGCGGGCGTCCAATGCTGGCCGTATTCGAGAGACTCGGGATGTGAAACGGCCATGAGGTGCTCTTCAAGCCGATCGAGATTGCTCTGCTTGAGGGCTATGCGCATTGGCAACTTCATCCTGCTGTTGAGCCGGCCCCGTCTGACCCAGCCTTGCGGAACGATGTTACGCTTCTCATGAATGGCGTAGTCCTGGTTTACGCCCAAGGGGGCCGCCAGGGCAGTCGCAACCAGGGCAAGTGTAACAAGGAGGACTGTTTGTAGAAGCGCCATGGTCACAAAGGTCTTGAGGAAGGACAAAGTAGCTCAAGGCTTGGAGGAAGGAGGCTGTTCTTATTTCCAAGTCCACTTCAGTCATCTTCTTAAAGTTCTTTCCACATCGGAAGGCCCAGCGGATATGAGCGAGATAGGGTATATACCGACCTCTAAGAAGCGGAGCCTGCAGTGTTAGCGAGATAACCTAATCAATAGCGGGAGAATCGAAGCTCGGACAGAGTGCCATGGAAGTGGAAGAGCATCACTGTCGGCAATTTTGGGAGATAAAAATTAAGCCGTAGACGTGGGGCCGGACCTCCTGGTCAGTTCCTGATGAAGAAGGTTCGGACATCTGGCCGTTCTTCCCTTCGGAGCTAATACTGCAAGGCCTTTTTTTTTTTTTTAGCTCAGGGGGAGGCTAAGGTACCCTCATAGAAGACTTCGGTCGTGTGGGAAGAGAGAGAAAAGGACAGAATGACCTGTCGTTCTGTGCATCATGGGTCTTTCTTATCTCACACGGCAGCGGAAGAAGCATATGGAAGATTATTTAATTGCTTGAAATGACTGACAAAGATATCATCCGCGAGCTCAAGCTCGGCGATGCGACCAACCCTGCTTAATCTCGCAACGGCGCTAGCTTCCTTCTACGGAAAGCTCCTCTGCGCGTCTCGACCGTGTGCTTTGTGCGACGGGTGATCGACTTTGTGGCCCGTTCCCCGGCAGGCGCGAGAGCGTCCTTTTCCTCCCGAGTCTTCGATCGGATCGGCTCCCTGGCGACACAAGACGAGAAGTTGTTTACTATGATGTACAGTGCAGCACATCTGCAGCACATGTGTCCACAATTCGCGACATGATCAAGTCGTGATGCCTGGAATTGAGGCCGAAGATGGGGAAGCAATCTGAGCCTTCAGTGGAAGACTCGACGCAGTTACCGGGAATAGCACAAGTGGGCCATTGTTGGCAGGCGGCGTCAGGCCCAGCGCACGCGCGACGGAAATACAGAGAACCTCGTCGTCGAGGATCCACTGGGCGTAAGGCGGGATCGCAAAGCCTTCGGGGAGGTTCTCAATGGACTTCAGGTCGGCCTCGTCAGAGTCCAACGACAGATCGCCATTCTCGGCAATAGCCCGCGCTCTTCTTCGCATCTCCTCGGTGTTAGAGCACTGAAGGAGCTGGCCGCGCAAGAAAGTGAGTGCCCGAACGCAGGCTAGGGTGGCCTGATGATCAGGCACCTCGTCGGACCACTTCATGCGATCGGCCTCGACTTCGAGTGAGAGTAGCAATGGTAAGAGGCGGCGCATGATGAGGACCTGGTTGCGCTTGAAACCTATGCGGCGGAGAGAGCCTTTTGACGCGGCGTCGAGAATTGCCTGAACTGTCCATCGCAGACATGCATCGGATGTAGTACCTGGCTCGCAATTATCCTCCGCCTCGAGTGGTCTGACGCTTACCCCGTACTTGGTACAAGATGAATGAGAGAGCCAATCCGGCTCTTGCCCGGGTGCTTCCAGGTAGACGGACGTTCTGAAAATGAGCCTTTCGAGATGGGAAGAGCAGAAAGAAACGGCGCTGTACTCTGGGTCTAAGAGGGAGAACCCATGCGTGAGTGGCATGGTCATGAAGTCGAAAGACAAGCAATGTTGACTCACCACCGTGGCACTCTTCATCTTCAATGGTCAGCTCTCGGAACGAGGGCATGGAATCAAGCCGTGCTGCGATGGCCTTTGGCATAGGCCATGGCTGCGAGCACCAGAGGAGCCGACGAAGGTTGGTACACCGTTCGAGCAGTACAGTAGCGTAAAGTTCCAGGTGCGACAGAAAGGCATCCCCCACATCGCACCCATCCATCAGCATCTCGCCGTCGCATGCCGATTCGTACACGCTCTTCCACTCCAATTCGAGATTGCGAATATGGGAGAAATAGACGGGGCCGCCGCTGCTCTTGGCAAGCTCAAAGAGGCGGTGCATGCGCATGACGTTAGTGATGTTGTAAAGCGAGACGTTACGCCACAGCCGCGAAAGGCACCTATGACGGATCCAGCTGCTTGTCTGTGCGAGCGCACGGACAGATGCGAAAGCCTCTACATTAGACCGGCTGGTGTTGAAGACAAGAGCCAGGCCTCGATTGACCTCTGGAAGCTCATCGATGAGTTGGTCGATGATCCTCCTGCGGAAGGCGCACTTAATCAGCCTTAAGTGAGGCAAGCGTGACCGTCAGTACACACAACTCACTCCAGAATCTCAAGGGGTAGCCGCATCCTGGATGGCTCTCGGAGAGGGAGTGAGGCTTCTGTCCCGCCTCTTTTGTAGGCAAATTCCTGCAGTCTTCCTCATATCTGCCTACTGGTTTATTGAATGCATGAAATTGAGCTTGCGGTCGGCGCATGGTCAATGTTTCACCCCTTAGAGATGCGCTTCCATTTGGCGCATGACAGAAGCTTCACTTCAGGCGCATAAAAGATTTCTCGGCCGGACCCTTCGGCCGAAGAATGGGGAAATCCATCTGCTTTCCCCTACTCTACATGTCTTCGAAAAGTGAGGGATCAATCAGGGCTGAAGTGGGCCGGGTCTCCTTCGAGTCTAAAGTCGGGAGCTTTAGAGCTGGGTTCTTCATGGTCACCCGTTTAACGATTGACAAAATCAACATACCGGTATCAGTAGACGTGACGATCCGCGCCGCGCCATCGCGCTTTTCACCTTTGGAATTTCGACCGGACATTGATGAAGTTTGATCTCGAATGACGAAATATACAGTATGTCACGGCCCCTACGGTTCACACCATTGCAAGTTCCGTGATGGATCATATTCCCGAAGAGCTTCTAGAGAGATGGACTGGTCGTTGCCACTCTGACGAGAGTCGTCACTGGACCGACATAAAAGAAGATCACGGAAGAGGTGGCGGCTTCACCACTCAAGGAACCTGAGGCTTCTGACCAGGCTCGAAGAGGTAGGTGAGGTGGCACTTGCCACAGTACTGCCTGTTGGAGTGCAGACTGAGGAAGATGCCGGCTCCGCACTCGGGCGAGGGGCACTCGCGACGGAGACGCTTGATCTTTCCATCGCCGTCGACCTTGTAGTAGCGGAGGACGCTCATCTTGACCTTCTTCCTCTTGTGCTTGATCTTCTTGGGGGTCGTGTACTGCTTCTTCTTCCTCTTCTTGGCACCACCACGAAGACTGTCCCAGACCTGATTAGCGCTTGAATAAGAAATCATGTGTGCTTGGACGGCACTCACCGAAGCACGAGGTGAAGCGTGCTCTCCTTCTGGATGTTGTAGTCGGCAAGAGTACGGCCATCCTCGAGCTGCTTGCCGGCGAAGATCAGACGCTGCTGGTCCGGAGGGATGCCCTCCTTGTCCTGGATCTTGGCCTTGACATTGTCGATGGTGTCCGAAGACTCCACCTCAAGGGTGATGGTCTTACCCGTACTGTAGAATGCTCGCCAGATCAGCCCCTCGATTTCCGTGGCCACTCGAGATCATACTCACAGGGTCTTGACGAAAATCTGCATCTTGAGCAGTTGCGATCAATGCTAGCCAAACTATGGCGTCCTCTTTGTGGATGAAGAGGGTGAGTCAACGCCCGAACTGCGACTAGCAACAGCTGGGCTACTTACTGCGAGTCGATCGTGAAGAAAAAGAGGCAGACTGCAAGCCGTCGCGGCCAATTTAACAGAGGCCGCAGAATTTTTCATTGCCACGCGTTCGTTCACTCGGACAAAGCCACGTGCTTTATATCACGTGAAGCACCGCGCTTCTCCTCTCGAACGTGTTTTTGGTGGAGTGTTGATCTCTCCGATGGTCGGCAGGTAAGGCTCGCAGCTATGTCTTCCTCAGTAAGTTGGCCGAGAAAAGCGACCAGCGAGCAGCAGCGGGAAGGTGCGACTGACACTTTTTGAAAGGACTCGACCATGGCGGAGCAACCGGCGCGATCGTCCTCAAGTCTTTCCAACATACCCGTCCCACAGGCGGCCCGCCGAGAGGCCAAAGCGTCGAGCGGTCTCCCCACTCGAACAGCGGCGAGCAATGGAGCAAGCTCGGGTCCCTCCAGACTGCCTGCGAAGAGTGCCAGCAAGGCAAATGTCGTGCTGCGAGCGACTGTTGCCAGTGGCTCGGGCAGTGTGTCAGGGTCGTCGAGGGCGTCGACAAAACCCACGGGCGGACTCACACTTCCAAGAGCACCGATGGTCAACAGGACTAATCGTCCAGTAGCTGTCGGTAGAGTGCCTAGCGGTATGCTACCCAAAGGAAAGGTCGCTGTCGGACCTATCAGGTCTGCCGGATCTCCTGGACGGGGCCGTATCAGCCAAGATTCGAACGATTCTGGCCGGATGGAAGCGATCGAATCCCGAATGACGTCGATGCAGGATCTTTTCGACATGGAGAGAAGAAGGACAGACGATATGATGGCGAGGGCCATGAAGGAAAGAGAAATGCAGGAGGAAAAAGTTCGACAGCTCGAGGAAGACCTTCTTGAACAACGTCGACTTGCTACCCGGAGAAAGGAAGAGGCAACGAGGCGCAAGTCCATCGCAGAAGATGAGGTGAGGCTACAATTATTCTATGCACTATGCTCAGGCTGACCCCTATCTCGTAGCTTCAAGTTATCACGAGCAAGCACAATCGTGAGAAACGCATGCTCGAAGAGGAGCTCGAGCAGGAACGTTCGACGGTGTCCGCCCTGAAAGTGAGTGCACCTTTTCAAGAATGCCACTAAGCAGGGTGCTTAGACGTCTAGTTCCACAGGCCACACTTGCGCAACAGTCGACCGCACACCTCACTATGGAGAGCCAGCATGCAGCTTTGCGAACGCAGATTGGTAGTCAAAAAGACGAGATCCAAGGCCTGCAAGGACGCATACAAGAGCTAGAGGCAGCCAACAGATTGTTGCAAAACACAAGTCTGCACCTGGAGTCCGAGCTGCGCGAAGCCGAGTCGCTCCGACGCAAGCTTCACAACGAGGTCCAAGAGCTGCGAGGCAACATCAGAGTCTTCGCGCGGGTGAGGCCGAGCGTCAAGAACGACGCCAACAACTCCACTTCTCTGGCATCGATTCGATTTCCTAACGAGCGGGAGGCGAACCAAATTGAGCTGCTTGCTATGGGTGAAAGTGCGACGGGCACCGCAACGATGCGGAACCATCTCTTCACATTTGACCGCGTTTTTCAACCTCACACCTCTCAAGCGGACGTATTCGAAGAGGTGGCTCACCTCACACAGAGCGTCCTCGATGGCTACAATGTGAGTCTCATGGTCTTTCGGCGTGTCAATTGTTCTCATAATTTTATCCCTTTTGCGATATAGACATGCATCTTTGCATATGGCCAAACAGGCAGCGGCAAGACGCACACTCTGGAAGGAGGGACGGAACTGTCACTTTCCACTGCTTCAGACCCGAGCAGCGATCCGCACGCCGGTCTCATCCCAAGGGCTGTGCAAATGCTCTGGAAGACGGCCGAGGACCTCCACGACAAGGGCTGGAGGTACGACTTTGAGGGCCAAATGCTCGAAATTTACAACGAGGGCATCAATGACCTCCTGGGCAAAGCTGAGGTCGACACAGCCAAGCACGAAATCAAGCACGAAAAGGGCCGTACGATTGTGACGGACACCGTCGTTGGTAAGTGATGCGGCCCTTTCCCCTCGCAAGCGCAATGGCGACTGACTTCCGTTTCACAGTGCCCCTCGACTCGCCCGCCAAGGTATTCCAGCTGCTTGCCAAGGCCAAATCGAGGCGCCAAACGGCCTCGACGCTCATGAATGAACGCTCTTCGCGCTCGCACAGCGTCTTCATCGTGCGGGTGCGAGGTCAGAATGCTACGACGCTGGAATCGTGCGACGCAGTTCTGTCACTGGTCGACCTTGCTGGTTCCGAACGGCTCTCCAACAGCGGCAGCGGATCGGATCCGGCGAGGCTTAAAGAGGCCCAATGCATCAACAAGAGTCTCAGCTCCTTGGCGGACGTCATTGCCGCCTTGGGCAACAGCAAGCAGGGGCAGGGCCATGTGCCGTACAGGAATAGTACGCTGACCTGGCTCCTCAAGAACTCTCTTGGGGGTAACTCGAAGACGTGAGTCGGACTACCCTCTGCCAGACTCTCGACAGACAACTCATGCTGACATATGCTGAAACTTTCCCGGTTAGCCTCATGCTCCTGGCCCTATCGCCCATGGCTGAGCATCTCAATGAGTCTCTCTGCTCTCTCCGTTTTGCGAGCAAAGTGAACAGCACCGTTATTGGCACTGCCAAAAAGGTCAAAGGAGCCTCGTCAGACTGATGCGAGCCGTCTTTTAGCCATATTTAGCAGCATTAATAATTAGACAGACTCCCTTCTTTCTCTCCCTTCCTTGTAATTTTGGTATCGTCCTTGTTGCACGTATTTCCATCACGCTACCTTGTCTTCGACACCTTGCGCACCTGCCATTCTTCTTACTAGGCCGTACCGCTCCACGACGAGCTGAACGATGTCGCTCCATTCGTACATGGCGCCTTGGCCCAGGTCGCCGCATGCCAGGCGCTTTGGAATAGGCCCCACCACCTCGTACCCGAGCACCTCGGTCGCAAAGGCCAAGTGCCGGCTAGTGAGGGGGTGCATCCACATGAGCGTGTTCATGGCGGGGAAAAGCAACGTAGGCGTCGTGGGCGACAAGGCTCTCAGGAAGCTCGTCTGGTCGTGTCAACCATCGTCAGCGTATATTTATAGAGGTGTGTGGCGAGAGAGAGAGAGAGAGACTCACAAGCAGGTCGTCACAAGCGCCCGCATTGATCTTGGAAAGCGTGTTGGCGCTGCACGGCGCAACAAGGACAATGTCTGCCCATCTGCGGAGCTCAATGTGGAGAATGGCGTCACCAATCTTGGACCATGACGCCCACTCGTCTTCGTCCGTCCACAAGTGGGCCCTCTTGGCGCTGTCCGGCTCGGGAGAGGAAGAAACCCGACCAGCGGTTCGGTTCTCGTTTGCGAGACTCGCAACATTGTACGGGCTATCGACGCTTTCCTCCGAGATGTGATCGATAAACGACCGTTCGAAGAAATGCTGAGAAGACTTTGTCGAGATGATCTGCACCCTGACGTCTTCGTACTAGAAAAAGTTCAGATTTTGATGTCAGCGCTCACGATGTTTATCCTGTCATAGCGAGGAAACTCACCTCTAGAAGTCTCTCGACAATGAGGGGCAGTTTTACGCTCGCAACGCTTCCCGTCGTTGCCAACACAACGTGTAGCGGTCTGGAGGATCTAGGTGGTTTCGACAGCGGTGGATACGGTGATTGGAGCGATGCGGGAAGATGAAGCTGTTCGGGATGCGCAACGGACTGTGCAGACGTTGGCGTGTGTGGAGTCGGAGACACTGTCACACTCTCTGGGCCGCTGACAAGACTCGACCCTCCTACGCCCAGGGCCAGATCTGATGTCTGTATCTGCCCTCTCGAGCGGTGTGGCTTGAATGAGGCTGGCGGTGGAGGTGGTGCGAAAGCGGAGGGGTTTGTGGTCGGGGGAAGATCCTTGTTGGAGGTCATCGTCGGCGAGGGCTCGAGCTGATTGGCTGATGCAATGAGGGGTGAAGAGGCTGCCGCCAGCCGGTTCAGCATGGGAATCGAGGCAAGACGGTCGCTAATGCTTGGTTTGTAGCTGTTGCTACCGCTGCTCTCTTCCCTCTGTGGACCTTCCGGCCGAGGATCCCACTCTGGTCCTTCGTCCTCGCGAGAGTAGTCCGTTCCGCCGGTGGCCAGCGTCGGGTTTGGCTGATCCGTGCCTTCGCTCAACTTTGGTTGCGAGACGGACCTCGGCATGAGCAGGCTCCGACCGCTCGATGCAGAGGAGCTGAGGACACCTTCAAAACCTTTGCCCCTCTCGAGTGTTTCCATGCCCACAGCAGCACCTGCACCCATCATGCGTCCAAATGCCGTCATGCTGGAGCCCATGACGCCCGTGATGGCGCGGTTGGACATGCCGGCCAATTCGCTGATCTCCTGGGTCAGCCTTGTGCGCATGCGCACGGGCATCGGCAGCGAGCCCTCGTTAGCCGCAGCGAGGGCCTGGGCTGCACGAATGTCGTGCTGGCTGGCGCTTCGCTTCGCCTGCCCGGCAGCGAAACCCAACGAACCCTCAAGGTGGGAAGGACGGGCAAAGACGTCTCGAAGACTCTCCACCTGAGGCCCTCGCAGACCCAACGATGCCGGTTCTGCATTCTCCAGAAAGGCAACAGCAGCTTGGACGTTGACGAGGCAGTAGCTCGCCTCTCCGCCACGCAGCAAGCTCTCGGCTCGGAAGCGCTGGACGTAGAGGAGATTGCTCGCCATCTGTGCCGGATTCGATTTGACAATTGAGTAGATGAGAAGCGGGAGGATTAGATCTGCGCTCGAAGTTGTCTTTTTTCCGGCATTTGCTTCCCCTCCTTCGTCTGGCTTGTCCTCTCCACCCTTGGCTCTCTCGTGCTCCTCTCTTCCTCCCTCGATGTCTTCGTCTTCGTCGCGAAGCTCAATCTTGTAAGGTAGCCGATCCAGACCATCAACGATGCCCTTGTGCGCATCGACGAGGAGGGTCATTTTGTCACCTGGAGCCTGGCTTGAGCCATGACGATTGAGAGACTGCAATTTCTCCCCGCACGACTCGATGATGGCATCCAAAGCTTGCATGGCTTCCCTTCCGTTGCTCGTCTCGACGTCTGGGAGAACGAGGCCGAGGTGAGAGAGGCTGAGGCCGAGAACATTGAGCGCGGCGATGCGAGACGACAACGATTCATCGTGGAAGCTATCGCTGGATGTATGCGGACAGAAGATGCTGGAGAGGTGTCAAAGTGCGCGGGCGATCAGCGCTAATGGCCTTTTTCTCTGCGCATTCAGACTCACCGATCATAGACCTCGCCACAGATGAACTTCTCGACAAGGCTCAACTTCTGGTCCACAAGTTTCTCAATCTCGTCCGCTTTCTCCTTCTCCCTTTCCTTCTCCTCTCCGTCATTTCGTTGCTCCCGCCATCGTCCCCGAATCCAAGCCTCGATTTGCTCTCGAACGCTGGCAAAGAAGTCCTGAAAGCTCTCGCCCAAGTCATCTGGTGGTGCCAAAAAGGGCGCGCTGGCGAGAGCTGCGCCGGACGAGGTGGCAAAGCTGGGCGAAGTGGGCGATCTGACAATCGTCGTGGCCTTCGAAGCTAAATTTAGTTGCAAGCCATCTTGCACCCCTGCCTGATCTTCGCCCGATGCTTCTCGCAGCGGTGCCTTTGCACCGCTCAGCGTCCTCCGTCTGGCTGAGCTGACCGGTGGCGGAGGCACAAAGATGGCTGCAAAGCTGCAGATGACCTCGACGATCTCGTCTGGCATCGCATCGTCCTGACCTTGTAATGAGGCGCGGATCCGATGGGTCATGCTGGAAGCCAGGCCCGACAAGACATCAGAACGGTGAAGCTCTTTTCCCATCGTAATCACCGAGATGGTCCTCGTGCTCCCATTTATGTTGCCGGCGCCGCCGCCGCTGTTCCCGTTTGCCGTGTTGAGAGAAGTGGAGGAGGAGGAAGGCAAGATTGTCTTTGTGTCTGAAAGCTCGACAGGGGGCTTCTGCACATCGCTGTTGCTTCTCCGTCCGCCAAAAAGGGTTGCAAATGAGGCCGAGGCTCGATGTCGCTGTCGCTGCTCCTGAGCCGTTTCCGGAGAGAGCTGGCTGCTCGACGACGCCGATCGGTCTCGAGGCATCTGTTGAGGAATGAACGGAGGTAGAACAGGGTGTATTGGTAGAGTCAGGTCGATTCGAGACGCTCCAAGCGGGTAGCTGGGGTATGCAAGGAGCGAAGACGATGACGACGACGACGACGACGACGACGACGACGACGCAGGGAGGTGAGGTTGAGGGAGGGGCGACAACGTCTTAAACAAGTATGCTCTTCGATCTGGGAAAGGAAGCTCGTTGATGAAACTCATGTCCTCCCTGGGAATGAAGCTCTTGACGTGCAGCTCCCTTATCACTGCTCCCTCTTCGCCAGCGACTGTTGTGGTGGTGGTGAGGCTAGCTCGGAGGCCAGACAATGTCACGACATCGATGTCGTGAATTTGACGCTCCTTACCCTTTGGCGCTGTCGACGACGGCGAGGTAGGCCCGACAAGAGCCCCAACGATTGATGCCTTTTTCGAAGTTGAAAAGACGATGTGGTTGTAGATCTGCGAGATGGACGGCGACTGGTATTCGCCCCTCGCATTGGCCCTCTGCGGCGTCGTGGGAAGCAGCAGGGCCACATCGCCGTCTCGAGGGGCTGCATGCAGCGACGAAGAAGAGGCCAGAAGGGTGGCTAGAGTGAGCCACTCGCCGTCCGTGGCTGCCTGCAGCCTCTCGAGCAGGGCCCACCCTACGCTGCCTCGCCGCACACCGAGCTGCTCGGCGTCAGACTGGAGCTGCTGAATGCTCAGCTTCAGGGCAGCGGCGCTCGCCTGCTGCTGATGCTGCGCGGTCTCTTCTCCCGACACTGTCAGATGCTGGGCTTGAGTTGGTGGAGCCTGTAATCCGGGGGTGAGTAGCGCCGATGCCGGGTCGGACGGCTGCTGCTGCTGCTGCTGCTGCTGTTGTTGTTGTTGTTGTGCATGGAAGAGCGTAGCGTGGGACATGAAATTGGCCTGCGAGGGCCGGGCTGCATGTGTGGGGCGTGCCTGTCGTGGAGCATACTGCAGACCAGAATAGGGGCTCTGGCCCACCGACGCAGGCGAAGACGAGCCCAAGGACGAGTTGGACAGCGTCGACCTGTGTGTTGATCTCTGCTGTTGTTGTTGCTGCTGCTGCTGCTGTTGCTGCTGAAGATGCGCAGAGCCACCAGGTATGCTGACGGGCGACGAAGGCTTACTTCCTTCGGCGTGAATTTGCGCCAGCGCCTCGTTGGGCGACATGGGCAGAGGCGGCATGAGCGTGTTGCTGCTGCTGCCACTGCCACTACCACTGCCACTGCTGCCACGTAGAGATCCGGCGGGCTCGTCTCTCAGTCGAGTCAGAGACTCGGAGCTTCGCGAACCTCGGAGCCCCGTACCTTCTCTCTCGGACGCTTGAGCTCCAGACGCCCGGCCAAGTGAGCTGCCATGGTGCCTTGACGAGCTCATCGCATCGACTTTGAGTCTAAAGAGACCATCACCGGAATCCAACCAGGGCGACACGACTTTTTTTTTGGATTCTACTTGTCGGTTCCCTTCGACACGCGAGATCTTTGCCTGCACGGATCACCGTTCTTCGGAGCTGCAGGCCGGTGTGGCCCTCGCTTGTCCGCGACAAGGTTGGAGCATAGCATGAAGCCCTTTCGGCATCTCAAAGTTGTCCTTCTGAGAAAGCCCGCGATTGGGCTCGCAAATTGCCGCTTCTAGCTAGACGTTGGGCACACCTATCGTGGGTTTGTACGCCCGGATACTCTCAAAGACGACATGCATGTGGTGTCAGAACAAATGTGCTGTCCGCGGGAGGGGGTTGGGGTCATCACACGAAGCCGTTTCTTACTCCAGCATCACACAACGGAGCCCTGAAGCCGCTCCCTCGTGCAAGGTCAAGATCCTCTCTTCGAGCAGGGCACATCACGTGGGTGGTAAAGTAATAGCGCATCGTCATCGTCCGTGTCCTAATTCAAATTGCAATACCAAGACCAATAAGATCAGCCCTTTAGCCCAAAGTTTGACCTTCGCGACGGCCCTGCCAAGCAAAAAATCATCTGCGTTCGGCGCAGACTACTTGTCAAAGGGACCTGCGAACATCTATTTTTGGAGTCGTTCAACGAGCAGAACCCCACTCTTCCCTTCTTCTAGCAACTCCTCCTCCCAAAATAGTCCCGACTCTTTCATCTTCGCTTGAGGGTGGCGTATAAACTCGTTTCGAGGACACAGATACACACGGACACACAAGATGGGTGAGTCTGCTTCGATGTGCTCTTTGAGTCGTCAATTCCTTTCTTTTTTTGCTGATGACGGGCGACACAAACGGGATAGCTCCTTCTGAGAACACGCCCTTGGTTGGCGGCAACAACCACAGCGATCAGTCGGGCAATGCTTTGCCAATGCATGTGAGCAAATGCTTCTTATTTTCGCTTGCTTTGATGGCGAGTTGACCGGACAACGAACCACAGCGGCCTACGTCGTTTCCCTCGCGACTGAACCCGAACGCGCCGCCGGGCCATCCCAACTTCGTCTCTTCGGTTTACTGGCTCTTCACCTCTTCCTGGGTCAACATCCTCCTCCTCTTTGTGCCCCTCGGATTCGCCTCGGAGTTTCTCCACTGGCCTGCTGTCTGGCGCTTCTCGCTCAACTTCTTGGCCATTGTTCCCCTCGCAAAGGTGGGCAGGCACTGGCTCCTCACATATGCAGACCAGACCAGCATGCTCAGTGACTTTCTATTCCCCTCTAGCTCCTTGGTGATGCCACAGAGCAGGCCTCGCTCAAGCTTGGTCAGACTCTCGGTGGCCTTCTCAACGCAACGTGAGTTTGGTGCAGAGCTAAGCGTTGGAGAGACACTAAGACTGAAGGAGACGGTCTACAGCTTCGGAAATGCTGTCGAGCTCATCGTCGGCATTGTTGCTCTGCGTGAGTGCTCAAACAAGCGCATATATGATCGAATTGTTGCGCTACAGAAGCTGACTATATGTCCTTAGTCCAAGGCCAGCTCCGCATTGTTCAGCAGTCGCTGATTGGATCGATTCTGTCCAACATTCTCCTCGTCCTCGGATGCTCCTTTGTCGCCGGCGGCCTCTTCAAGTCTGAGTCGACGTTCCAGCAGACGGCTGCCCAAGCCTCGGGCAGCATTATGATGCTCGGCTGCATCACCGTCGCTATTCCTGCCGCCTATCAGGGCAGCAGCCGCATGTCGGCCCTCCTCACGGGCGGCTTCGAGGCCCTCGAGAAGATCAACAAGCACGCAGATGAGACGGAGCATGGCCTCCTCTTCATCTCGCGCGGCGCATCGTTGATCCTCGTTGCCGTCTACGCTCTCTACCTCATTTTCCAGCTCAGGACCCATGCGTTCCTGTACGAGGCTGAGGAGGCAGATGAAGAGGAAGAAGTGCCCATGATGACGCCCGTTGCCGCCGTCGCCGGCCTCCTTGCGGTGACGCTTGTGACGAGCTTCAACGCAGACTACCTCGTCGGTGCCATTGACGAGACGGCGCAGGAGTACGGCATCCCCAAGGCATTCATCGGCACCATTCTCTTGCCCGTCGTGGGCAATGCCACCGAGCACTTTACCTCGGTCTGGATGGCCGCAAAGAACAAGATGGAAATCGCAATTGGCGTCTCCGTTGGTTCGTCGATCCAGATTGCCGTTGGCGTCATTCCCTCGCTCGTTCTTCTGGGCTGGGCTGTGGGCCAGCCCTTGACGCTCTACTTCCAGTCCTTTGAGACCGTTGTCCTCGTCGCATCCGTCGTCCTCGTCAACACGCTTATCCAGGACGGCCGAAGCAACTACATGGAGGGCGCCATGCTCGTCTCCCTATATGCCGTTGCCGCACTCTCCTTCTGGGTCGAGCCGGACGTATGAGCGATCATATCAGTCATTCGCGTGCCACAAAGAAGCGAAAGAAGAGCTGAAGCGGCCCTCGTCCAGCGTTGTGGATCATGGAAGGGAGAGAAGGAAAAGAAAAGAAAGTGCAGGAGAGAGAGAAGGAGAAAAGACGATGCTCGGGAATGGGAATTTCATTGTCATGTTACAGATTACGCGTCTCGATTCCTTCGACGGGAAGCGTATCGCAGTTGCAGCCTACTTGTCATTGCTTTAACTTTCATATGATGACGATGTCGTGTCGTTTCGCTCCTTTCGCGGTTTAACAAGTCAATTAACAAGCATTCTGTTTCACTCGTGTGTGCTACACATGGACACTACCTCACTGCACGTTCCCTGAGATGATGACGGGTCCTCTGGTGAAATATCATGGGCACTGAAGTGTAAACAGCCAGGTAGAGTTGAATCTCTACAACGATATGCGAATCTGGTATATGATTCCGCGCAAGATGAAAGAAGAGGTATAACACGGAAGGGACAAGACGGTCACGGATCACTTTGAGTACATGCGCATGAAGTTGATGAACTCGCGATCGTCATCGTCGGTGCTCCTTCTGATCAGCTTTGAAGAGTTCTTGACGACTCTCCTTCGGCGCTTCAGAGTCACCGGCGATGTCACTTCGGGGAAGTGGCTAGCCCCGCTGAACGACGAAGAGGTAGGGCTTGGACTGTGGAAGGAAAAAGGGCCCAGCTGCTCGTCCATTGCCATTTTCGCAATTGCCTTCGAGAATTCATCCTCCTCATACTGGATGCCTTCTTGCAGAGGAGTCTCCTCAAGGTAGACTTTTGCCTTGTCCTGCTGCCCATCTGCTGCTGAGACCGTGTTCCCATCATCTTCATATTTGATTCCGACCAGTTCGGCATTGGCTTCGTCCTCGACACCATCGGTGTATTCTGGCATTGCCGATGCGGGAGAGAGAGGGATCGACATCGGTCTTTCGTCTCGTCCGTGGGGCTCAGAAGACGCGAATGTAGTGCTCTGAGCTGCATCCCGCCCCTCCATCGACTGCTTGCTGTGGCTATCGCCGCTGCTGAGGTGGACGAGGATGCTGCATCCCTCCTCGCCCCCGCGTTCTTGCTCCTCTTCCGCTTCCTCTGCCTCTTCCTCTGGCAGCTCGATGGGCGACTGGAGCATTGGATCGAGGATTGCACTTTCCTTTGACGCCATTCGCTTGATCAACGCCGACATATTGCGGGACTCGCTCCCGTCGTGGGACTGAGGTTGATCGTCCGGAGAATCGTCGACGTGAAGCCCAAGAGCTGCCGCCGTCGATAACATGAGTGAACAGGCACCGCTCGAGCCGGGCGGGAGTGGCGCCTTTCTCGGCTCTTCAAAGGGCAGTGGAGGGCGCACAAAGCTGCTCGTCCGATCACTGATTTTCTGCCACTCTTCTTCGTCGTCGTCGTCGTCGAGCTGAGGAGGCTCGACCGGCGACAAGAGCGGATTGACGAACTGCTGCCGGTTCCTGCTGCTCCTCGAACCAGGCGAGGTGAGAAGCGCGCCATTGTTCGTCAAGCTGGACGACGTGCTCAGACCAGGGCTCAGACGGCTGCTCGAAGCTTCAGACTGGCCGCCGGCGCTGCTGAAGGTCGCCAATGAAGCATTGCTGCGTCTTTTCCAGGACGATTGAGACTCAGAAGCCGTCGACGAAGACGCCGTAGACAGTCCTCGGACCGCTCTCGCTGACGTCGACGGAACGTTGGGCACCTGCACCGTGGCACTTCTGAGGTGTGAGCGCGCGGGACGGGGAGGAGGCATGGCGCCAGTGACAGCTGAGGCTGGAGCTGGGTGACCCTGCATAATGACTTCAAAGTCGACGGCTGCTGCATCTGGCTGCACGTTAGACCAGCCTCGCAATGCAGCGTCTGAAATATTCGATCGTTCGACAGGCGCACTCTTGGCCAACAAGGTGCTATTCTGCACATCGTTGGGTACCGGAGTGCTCCGAATCGGCTTGTACTCGGCACTGTCCACGCGGTGCTCGTTCCCACGAGACTTTGATGATTTCTTGGCACCGTAGCCCTCGTCGGGAGTCTTGAAATCGGACGCCTTGCGATACCGCAACGCAGCTTCGGCTCTCCTGCTACCAGCTGCTTTGAATGTGTTGGTGACGGCTTCTCTGGCACCTTCGAGTCTGACGCCGAACACTTCGCCCACGCTCGGCCTTCTCTGGTGCTGGTGCGTTGGTCTTGGCATTGGTGGAATCTCAGCAGCCGGCACATGATCGCCCCGATAGTCTGTAGGGCTGTACGGAGCCGGAAGGGCCTTTGATTGCCGTCGTCTCTTCTTCTTGCTCAGCATCACATTTCCGTTTTTCTTGAGCGCCTTGACGAGTGTCTTGGGATGGTACGATGCGAGCTCGTCATCGGTCTCCCAGTCGCTGCCGGGACCTAGCTCGAAGCCGTCGGAGTCGAGTCCGAGGACATGGCGTGCCTTTGCGCCCGGAAGCGCATCTCCTCCCCGTGGCACCGTCATGCTAGACGCGGACGAGGAGCCTGACGACAGTGTCCGGCCCCTGGCGTAAAACCCAACTTCACCCACGTTGGGCATGGAACCGTATCGCCGCTTTGGAATGGGGAAGCTCGGGCTGTCATCCTCGCGCTCGCTCTCGTCTGCTAGTGTCTCGGCCATCTCTTCTACGGCATCCGGACCTGCCTCTTGGCTATCTTCGGGCGCTTCAGGCGCGGCTTCCTCCTCCTCCTCCTCTGAAGAGCTACTCTCGTCCCAAGCCAGCGAGGCCGGGCCAAGGGAAAGTGGCGCCCGCATACTGCTGACGCTCGTCGTCCTCTGGTGCTGTGGCCGATGCCGTAACGATGCAGGAGCCGCCGCCGCCGCCGCCGCCGCCATGTCGTCTTATCGCGAAATGTTCGCTGCAAGCCACTTGTTTCTTGAACCTGACATAAGAGGTGGCGTCGACCTTCCTTCGTTGGTCAAACAACGTAGCGGGGGAGAACAAAGGGGGAGCGAAAGGGGCAGGGGGAGGGACAAAGGGACGAGGGACTGCGCAACGCATTAAATATCTCCCGAGCGGAAGACCTCATCAGCAGGAAGCGGTGCAGATGCTAGATACCTGAGCGCACGCTCGCACAAATGCACACACACAGTCACACACACACCGCCGCTCTTCCCTTCTCTTCGCACATGCCTTGCCACCGGGCCAGAGTTGCCCACCAATAATCTGTCGACGACCGCATGGACGCCCTGTGTTCGTTTTGCTGAGGTCTTTGATTTTGATTGACGGATTACAACATTCGACCGCATGGACGGCGTTCTCGCGAATACACTTTTGACTGAAATTGATTCTCCTTCCCTTCTCTTTCTTGTGGATTTATTGAAACAAATAAAAAAAAATGGCTCGACTGCAGGCACATGCGCAGAGACGATAGAGCGTGGGCGGCGCGTCTTTCTGCTCCTTGGCCGAGAGGCGAGGCTTACTCTGGGCGGAAAAAAGACTGGAGACCACCTCCACGTAGACGTAGTCGCGCAGAAGAGAAGCTTTTGAGAGAGAGGGGGAAAAAGGCCGGTGCTCGTGGGCCAGGAAACGCCGGACTACCCAGGAACAGTTTGACGCCCACGCACAAGCAACGTCACCTCAATTTTCTATTCCCAGGCCGTTCCTTACCAGGCACTGCGCGATCGACTCGGCTTGGCGTGCCGACGTCAAGGTTGTGATCTGCCTAAAGCTGGGAAAAGCCCCGGCCGCCTGGCAGTGTGACAGCGGGTGAATTGCGCCTTTTCTTCGAGCTTTCATGCTTCATTTCCATGGTTTTTGAAGTTGACATCATGCTCATAGATCTCGATGAGGGCCGCTCGCATGAAATTTGAGGGTCATGTTGGAATGAGTAAGGGAGAAGAGTGCATCAAAAACGACGAAGAGGAGCCAGGGTATATTCAATGTGTAGTGTGTTGTCATCGACTGTATCTATCAGGTCAGGCCCTCGCTTCTACCGAGGCGGCTCCCACTGCTGCAGGACCTCCCGCGCCTGCTTGCTTTGCCAACTCATCGAGCTTGGGCGCAGGAACCGGTTGTAGGAGCTCCTTTGCCCTCGTCTCGGCGTCGGTCAGGACCTTTTCAAAGCGCTCCATTTGCTGCTTCGTCCACTGCTTGATGTCGTCAGGCCGCTTGAATTCGCCCTCGGCCGTCTGGCCTTCCCACGCTGCGATCAAAGATCGTGACCGTTCCACATCTTCGACCTCGGTGCGCCATTGGACGAGGACTGTCTTGAGGCTGCGCAGCCTTCTCGCAGCATCGCCCATTTCGGCCCTCGCAACTTGGCTGTGCTCGTGCAGCATACCGAGGCTTGAAATGAGACTGCTGGTGCATTGCTGGAGATGCTTCATCTGCTGTGACGCCGGCGCCTTGGGTCCTGGTGTCTCTCCGTCGCCAGTCACATGCAAGTCTCTAGGTGACATGGGACCCTCATGCTCTTCTCCTGCTTCGTCCTCGGCGACGCTCTGCAGCCTTTCGCCCGTCCCTCTTGAGTGGTCTACAGTGGCCGTGGGCAATGGCGTCAGGAACGAGAGCGAGTCGTACCTTGTCACTGATGGAGTCTCTGAAGATGCCCAGTCCTCATCGACGCTGCCCATCGCGTTGAGCCAATCGCCTCCCTCGGCCAAGCCTCTGGCAAAGACTCTCTCTGCCTCTCTCAGCTCTCGCACCTGCATCTCTCGTTGTGCCGTGTGCTCGCGAAGCTGCTTTACAATTGTCGCTGCTGACTGCTCTAGCCCTGATGTATCTTCTTGCGGTGCTGAAGCGTTCGTCTCTGACTGTCTTCTGTTGGTAGCCGTCGCCACCGCCCGTGTCGTCGTCGTTGACGACGTCGAGGCTGAGATATTTGAGATGTTACTCAGCTTCGAAAGGAACACCTCGGTGGCCCGGACGCTTTCGGCAAGTGATTCCGAGGCGACGAGGTAGTGCTCCTGATCCCTTCTCGCCTTTGCTTCGACCAGTCTCTCGCGGTCTTCAGTGTCTTCTGCAAAGGCTGCCGACGAGGAGCTGCCAAGTTGCTCGGAAAGGCCGTTCAACTCATCTCCCAAGCTGTCCCCAGCCGTTTGGCGCGGGTCTGCTCCACCCGCCAGCTCGTCAGCCAGGCTGAACCCCTCCTGATCCTGCAGGTGCTCCTGCAATGGTGCCTCGCTCAGCTCCTCAGAAGCTTGCTGGCGCGCCCCGGCTCCCCGACGACTGCGCCCGCCCCTCCGAGTTGAGACCACCTCTTCTTGATCTGACATCTGCTCATCGGCCATGGACATCGACAAGGCATGGCCCGACATGCCACCACCGACGTCGTCGAATGCTGGGTCGAGGTCCAAGTCGTCCGCCATGGCGCTCTCCTTTGCCGTTGCAGCTCGACGGTGCTCTCTGACTGCTGTTGAGATATTCAGGCCCCTTGCTCCAGTATTTAGACACCCCATCCTGAGACCAACAGCTGGTTATCACGTGGAATGTCACGTGGAAATGTTGCCAGGCCAGATTTTTGAAATTTTTGGAAATTGGAAGCATTGCTTGCTTGGCTTGACTTGGGATCACTTTGTTGCGACGCAAGCAAGCAGACTGGCACAAGATGGCGCCCAGGTCGAGGTCCTCGCTGATCTCCCAGCTCGCCGACTTCTCCAACGTTGCGCCGGAAGGTGAGTTCCGTTTGGGATTGAGTGGAATGTCCCTGCCTGTCCTCGCTCACCTTTGATCCTGCAGACAAGGACCCTCTGGCCGATGATGGAATGGACGCCGACGGGCATCGCTCAGGCTCAGAGCAAGGCGACGACACAGATGGGGAAGGGGAGGACGAGCATCGTGCACGATCACACTATGTTGATGTGGGTCCGAGCCGACTGAGACACAAGGCAGATGTGTCAGAGAGCGATGTTCTGCGGACGGGGCGATACGCTGGGCAAAAGGCTAGCGCAAAGGAAATGATGGGATTGGGTAGTGACGACGAAGAGGACGAAGAGGGCGAAACAGATCGGAGTCAAGGCGATGAGGAGCGCAGCGAAGATAGGTCGGAGGATGGAGAGGACGATTTGTTGGACGGAGAGGATGGAGATACTCAGACCGGGAGCGAAGAAGAGGACGAGGAGGAAGATGAAGATGAAGATCTGGAAGAGGGGGATGAAGATGAAGACGACGAGGAGTCTCTTGAAGACGAGCATGAGGAAGTCCAAATAGGAAATGCTGTCAATGGGAAGACGCCAAGAACTGCGGCCCAGTCGGACAAGGAGCTGTTGAAGTCACTCCGACAGCGCAACGAAGAGGACGCGAGGCGAGGCAGAGATGTGCGCAGGCAGCTGGACGCATGGGGCAACGTTCTCGGGCTCCGTATCCGCGCCCAAAAGATCATTCGCGCAGGTGGAAGGCTGCAGGTGAGGTGGAGCATTTGCCGTGCTCTTCCTTGATGGTCTCACTGACGTACTCATCTCCGGTTCAGCCTTTCTTGGCGACGGCTTCTGCCGAGCGGCTGCCTGTCGATGCGCAGCAAAGTAGGGAAACAGCGCTCGAGTCGCTGCACCAAATTTCGCAGCACCTCTTCTCCGTCCAGCGAGACTTGCTCAAATCGCTGCAAAAGACCACGGATGAAGATCTGGATACCGAAGCTATTGAGGTCATTGATGAGCATCTCTCTGGTGCGAAACGGAAAAGGCAGGACGAGGCCGTCGACACGCTTCGTAAAGTCGACGAGGCAGCTTGGCCGCTGACCAGGGACATCTTGGACAAGTGGAGCCTGCGATCGAGCCTCGAAGGTCATGCCGGTGCGGCCAGGAGATCTAACAAGTTCGACACTGGCAGCCTCAAGGCGATGAACCAGCGGGCGACGGACCAGATCGATGCGTTACTCAGCGGTGATGGCATGGATCGACTCAGGAAGCGGACACGAGTGTGGCGAGGCACAGATGCAGAGGGCAGGCTCATTGGCTCGCAAGGACACCAAGAGGGCGAAATCGACGACGGGGCCGATGAGGGCATCTTTGACGACTCCGACTTCTACCAAGCGCTGCTTCGAGAGCTCATTGACACCAAGGCGGGCGATGGAGGAGCATCGGACCCGTCGTATGCGTGGGCTGATGCCGTAAAGAAGGCGTCGAAAAAGAACAAGAACGTAGACACGCGGGCTTCGAAAGGGCGTCGTCTCAGGTGCGTTTCTCCTCACAATTCAAATGCTAGGGGAACTAATTTTGGGCTGATGACCCATGAAACAGATATGAGGTACACGAGAAAGTGCAAAACTTCATGCCGCCGATTCCTCGGGAGACGTGGACGGACGAGCAGATCGATCGGCTGGTTCTTCAGCTGCGTGGCGAGGGTCAAGAAGTGCCCTCGGAGCAGGCTGCCCCACGGGCCGAGGTGGACCTGCAAAACTTCAAGCTGTTTGGGTAGCATCCTTCTTCGCTACTACACTACACTTTGCAACAATCCTGTAATTTACCATCATTCAATTCCAGCTGCCTTTCGCGCTTCAGTAAATCGTGCGTTGGGCGACTTGAGAAAGAGCGGACGACTGACTGAGGGCGGCGCACGAGCCAGGCGCGACCCAGGCTCCGTCCGCCCGTCCGCCCGCCCTGCGTGCTCTAGGCGCGCGCCGCTAGAAATTAACCTCTCTTTAGACCCGTCAGCGGTGCGTGAGATGGCCAGCGAGGCTTTCAGGGACGAGTGCGATGAGACGAGTGCCCTCACAACCCCCTTACGGTATGCCCAGGGTCGAGCACTACGGCGACGATGACGAGGCCAGCTCTGCCTCGTCGTCTTCCGATGCAGGCCACGGCGAAAAGAGACCCAGGCCATACAGAGATGTCGAAGACGACGACGACGACGACGACGACGATGACGACGAGACGGCGAACGGAGGCAAGGACGTGGGTGGCTCAAGCCCACATTCATACCCTCCCAAGCAGACAATAAAGGGCGATGATGAGGACGAGGGCAAGCTGTCGCTGGACGAGGAAGAGAGGGTCGGACTCATGCAGAGGGACAGGGACAAGGTCAGTTAACTAGCTGTCTCGGTGCGAGCCAGCACATCAGCCACAGCACTCATCCCCACCTTTTCCCTGGTTGCCACAGCCTACCTCCGGTGCATGGAGAGACAGAAGTAGCAAGGGTCCCATAATGCACAGATTCGGGCGCTACCTCGTAGTCGGAAGCGTCTTTGCGTCGGTGCTGCTGCTCGTCCCCCTCCTCGGCTGGCTGGCAACCAACACATCGGGGGGCGCGCGGCACCCAGCATACGTCGAGCAAGTCTCTGCTCTCGACTCATGGGAGCTCCCTGCCAACAACGACGGCTCAGATCCCTACTCGTCCGAGCATCGACACGGCTCGCACCCTCACAAGTTCAAGCACCCTTTGCCGCCGGGTACATCCAAGCTGCTCCCTGCGGCATCCAACGACGAGAGAGGCGCATATGCGCTGGGAAAGGGCAACGGCCGGCCATTTGCGATCAACTACCAGCTGCCGGGTCTTTCTGACGCTTCGCGAATCATGTCGGTGGGCCAGAAGGGCAACTCTTCGAGACTCAAGCGCATCACGATGGACAATGTCTTTGATGGGACATTTGCAGCCGCCCAAGAGGACCTCGACTGGTCAGCAGAAGGTGCGTCTGAGGGCTGTACTCGGTCAGATAGCAGAAGATGAGGGAAAGCTGATCTTAGTTTGATGTCGTCCTCTTTTAGACCCAGATGAGGGCGTCTTTGTCAAGACGGACATCGTGGGCAATCTCATCGTGCAGGATGTGACCAGTCTCCGAAAAGAGAAGACAGGAGAAGGAGAGGTGGCCAAAGGTGGGGGAAAGGTCACCTTTGTCCACCGAAGCGATGTCAAGGACGACAATGGCAGGATGCTCAATTGGCACAGCTTCAAGCTCAGCCCCGACATGCGCTACGTCCTCTTCTTTACTGACCGCGTCAAGGTGAGGCATCATGTCCCAGTATCTATGTTTGTTCGAGATCTCTGATTGCCTCGACTATCAGCAATGGCGATACTCTAGCTACTCCAAAGTATGGATCCACAACGTGCAAGCGAAAGAGACGACGCAGATCGGCTTCAACCAGAGCCGGGCATCCGTCTCCATTGCTTCTTGGGCCCCTGCCGAAACGAAGTCAGAGTGGCCCTCGGTCGTCTTTGTCGAAGACAACAATCTCTTCTACATCAATAATGTCGACAAGCCAAAAGAAGTGCTCAACATCACAAGCGATGGTGCCAAGACGGTCTTTAATGGCATCAACGACTGGGTGTACGAGGAAGAGATCTTTGGTGACGACGCAGCGCTCTGGTGGTCGCCCGACGGCAAGAAGATTGTCTACCTGCGCTTCGACGAGACCGACGTGCCCGTCTACTCGCTCCCCATCTACAATCCCTCCGCCGATGCAGGCAAGGAGACTGCGTACCCCACCAATACCGAGATCAAGTATCCCAAGCCGGGCTTTCCCAATCCCATCGTCAGCGCCCACATGGTCGATCTGACATCGGTCAAGACGGCAAGCAATGGGAGCATCAATGTAGAGGACATCAAGGCCGAGCTCGTCTCTCCGAGGGACTCGACATCAGTCACCGACGACATCAACGAGCAGGCTGCCGACGTTGCGCTGCGGTCGGCAGGCACCGCCAAGCGGATTATCAACTCAGTCACATGGGTGAGCAACGACGAGGTTCTCGTCCGAGAAACGAACCGGATCAGCGACGCCATGCGCGTAGTAAGGTTCAATGTAGAGAACGTAACGCTGGCTCAGGACAATGTTCCTGCTTGGCAGCAGTCAAAGGACAAAAAGCTCCGTCAAGTGGTAGGCGAGACGGTCAGGAGACATTCGACGGTCCAACAGGGTGGCTGGATCGCTCCAGACCAGGAAGTGGTGGCCCTCTACGACGTCAAGAAACCGGCAAGCTCGCCTACGACTGCCTATGTCGACGTAATCGACTTTGACGGCTTCCGTCACCTTGCCTGGTTCGCCAATGCGAGCTCCTCAGTGCCCGTCTATCTGACGGCGGGCGAGTGGGAGATCGACCGCGTCGTCCATGTCGATGTCCAGAGGCTGAGGGCATACTTCCTCGCCGCCCTGCCTGACCCTTCGCAACGCCATCTCTTCTACGTCGACATTCCCAAGAGTGCCTCCGAGGTTACCAAGGCGCCATGGAAGCAGCCCGTCGCGCTGACCGACATGTCCAAGCCGGGGTCTTACGATGCGAGCTTCGATCCAAAGGGATCCTACTATGTTTTACATTACAAGGGCCCCGACATTCCCCACTCCAAGGTCCTCTCCGTGGCCGACGGCAGCTTCGACCTGGTGCTCACGGACAACGACAAGCTGCGCAAGAACGCCAAGGAGCACGTTCGGCCTGCCAAGGTCTACTACAACGTCACCACATCGTCCGGCATCACCGTCAGCGTCGAGGAGACGAGGCCACACGATTTTGACGCCAGCGGCACGGTGCAGTACCCGGTCCTCTTCAATGTCTATGGAGGGCCCAACAGCCAGGTGGTGAGGGGAGAGTGGAAGATGGCCGATTGGCACACCTACCTCGCCTGCACCCTCGGCTACATCGTCGTCCGTGTCGACGGTCGCGGGACTGGCTTCCGGGGCAGGCCGTACCGAGACGTCGTTACGTGGAATCTGGGCAACTTTGAGTCAAAGGACGTCGTCGATGCCGCCGAGGCCATTCGGAGGCTGCCGCACGTCGCGCACGAAAAGGTGGGCATCTGGGGCTGGAGCTACGGCGGCTACCTGACGTCCAAGGTTGTCGAGCGTGACAGCGGGACGTTTGACCTGGGCATGGCTGTGGCGCCCGTGGCAAAGTGGAGCCTGTACGACTCAATTTACACGGAGCGATACATGAAGACGCCCAAGCTCAACGCTGGAGGGTACCGCAACTCGTCGGTGCACATCACCGACGGTTTTCGCCACTCGCACTACCTCCTGGCTCAGGGCAGCGGCGATGACAATGTCCACTTTAGCAACTCGGCCACGCTCCTCGACCTTCTGACGGCCGAACGGGTCCGGGACTTTTGGTTCCGCATGTTCACCGACTCGAACCACTCGATCAATACCAGGGGCGCCAACCGGGAGCTGTACGAGTATCTGACCCGATTCCTCGTGACCAAGTGGGGCGCGGGGCCTCACCGTGTCTTCAAGAGTGTATAGCATATAGATGAGATAAAGCTCGCTCGCTTCCACTCACAAACCGTCAGATCAATGAGATTTGTTTTTGATTCTGTTATTATTGGCTTTTTACTACTACTATTGGAGAGGACCGTGGCAGATGACATGCTGGACAAGCCTGCGGATGTCGTCTGCGCGCTTCCTGCCGACTTCGAGGACCTCCTGGTGGTTTGCGGCCTCGCCGGCATCTTGCTGGAGCATGTCGCGTGCGCGCGCCTGCGCGTCTGCGTCGGACGCGGCCTCGGCAGCGACGGCGGCGGCATCAAAGTAGGGCGAGACGACGACCTTGTTGGTGATGAGGCTGATGCCGAGCACCTTGAGGCCGGCCTGGCGCGCGGCAATGACCTCGGGCACCGTCGACATGCCGACGCAGTCTGCGCCGGCGGCGCGGAGGAAGCGGCACTCTGCGCGCGACTCGTACGAGGGCCCCATGACGTAGGCGTAGGTGCCCGACTGGAGCAGCTGCGGGCCACCGCCTTGGCCGCCCGCGAGGCCGAGCTGGGCGGCGCCGCGGAAGAGGCTGGTGCGCAGCAGGGGGTCGTATGCGTCCGACGTCGGCGGGAAGCGCGGGCCGAGGGGAAACGACGGTCCGACGAGCGGGTTGAGGGAGCCGAGCGTGGGCAGGCTGAGGTGGTCGTGCATCGAGACAATGGTGCCGACGTCCCAGTCTGGGTGCAGGCCTCCCGCGGCATTGGTGACGACAACGGCCTCGGCGCCGAGTACGCGCATGAAGCGGACGGGAAACACGCACGAGGCGGGCGAGTGGCCCTCGTACAGGTGGAAGCGGCCCAGGGCGGCGACGACGGGCACCCTGGCGGTGGGATTGCCGCCATCGACGATGTAGCCAAAGGCCAGCGACGACTGGTGGCCCGCCACGGTCGACTCCGAGAAGCCCTGTAAAAGACAGTCACTGTGAGTGCAATGTTGCTTTGCTGCATCGATGTTTCTTAGAGGGAGAGCAACGCACCGGGATGTCGGCGTACGGCACCAGCACCTTGTCCTCGAGATGGTCCACGAGGCCGCTCAGGCCAGACCCGCAGATGATGCCCCACTTGGGCCTGCGGAGCTCCGCATTGGACACGCGCGACTCGATGGCAGAGAGCGCCGCTGAAAAGGGCGCAGGCAGAGAGGCCAGCTCCTCGGAAGTGAGAGGAGCCATGGTAGGTAAGAGGGAGGGAAAGAGAGCCCACTACTATTTCTTCCTGGATAAGCTTCCGCCCGTACCGGGGCGCAGACGCGTCGGAAAGTCGGCCGTCCGGCCTTGTTGGCCCAAACGCAGGGATCAGGGTGCGATACGATAGACATGAGCAGATGCTGGCTGCGCGGCTGAGATGTCAGATTCCTCTTTGTAAGCTCGACGGCGGGACCTCTCCTCTCACGCCGGTTCCGTGCGACGACGACGAGTAGCAGATCTCGCTCAGCTGGAAGAGAGAGAAGAGATCGAGCAGCACGGAATCAATAAGTCGAATAATTAATTTCCGACCTTGGATCCGTGCCTGTCTCTCTCTCGTCTCCACCAAGCCAGGTCAGACGAGCAGAAGCCTTGCGTGAGTCGGCATGATGACGACGACGACGACGGCGTCGGGTACTGGCGCGCCATCGTCGCCTGCCTACCTCTTCCCGCCCATCTACTCCTTTGCGCCCTTTTTCACGCTGCAGCGCAACGACCAGACGCTCGCCTCGCAGCTCCAGCTCTGGACGCGCTTCGTCGTCGACTACTGCGCCGCCAAGCGCCTCTTTGTCCTCGATGCCGATGCCGCAGATGGCAGCAGTGACGGCGGCGAGATCTTCAGCAACAGTGCGATTGGCAGAGGGCTCGACCGCGCTGCGAGGAGAAAGGTGCTGAAACACCTCGTCGACGAAGGGAGGGGCGCGTGGGTCGGGATAAGCGGCGGCGGCGGCAGTGGCGGTGGCAGCGGCTACGGCAGCAAGGTCTGGGGACGGGGGACAACCGCAGCCGACGAGGCAGGGGGAGACCGCGCCTTGGTGTTCTGGAAGAGACCAGACGAGTGGGGCGAGATCATCTATCAATGGGTGCGTCGCCTCACACGAGAGGGTCAGGCGAGAAGAGAAGCTGACAATCTGATAAATTGACAGGTCGTGGCGACGGGCCAGAATCGGAGCATCATGACTTTCTTTGAATTGACAGAGGGAGACCTGGTCCAGAACACAGGTGAGTCGTGTTTCTTGCCTTCACAAAGCATGCTGTCTCCAAACTGACAGCACCTGTGCGCGCGCACACAGAATTCAGAGGGATGCCCATTCCCCTGCTCCGGCTGGCACTGGCGACACTTGAAAAGACGGGCCGGGCAAAGGTGTTTGAAGGCAGCGAGTCGGGCGAGTCCATGACCGGCGTCAAGTTTGCCTGAAGAGACCACACAAACACAGCAATTCCATGTATTTTAATTGTAGACTGGGTGACATTGACGGAAGCAACCACAACATTCACAGTCTGCTCTCGCGCTCGCTCGGTGGGTCGGGCCCACCGACGGCGCCGCTCTTCCACAGGTCGGCCAGCTCGGCCCCCGAGACGTTCCCCCACTGCTGCAGGACCTCAGTCGTGTGGTCGCCGGGCGTGAGGAGCAGCTCTGCGCTCTCGTCCTGGCCGGGGCTTCCTCCGGGCAGTCTGGCCGGTGTGCGCGTGAGGTGCGGGGCCGGGTGTGGCACAATGACGTCGCCACCCTGCACGTCGTCGCGCGTCGCAGCAGGGAGAACACCGTCGACGGCCGCCTCATCGCGGTCCAGCACGGCGACGCAGCAGGCGTCGGTGCCCACAAACGCCGCGTTCCACTCTGCGCGCGTCTTTTTGCCAAACGTCTGCTCAAAGTAGCGGCGCAGCTCGGGCCACGTTGCGCGGTCGTGCTGCGTCGATGTTGAGGGTGCATTGGGCGAGGGGACCTGTTCGCCGAGGATGCGCAGGAGCTCCTTGTAGAACTGCGGCTCGATTGCGCCACTAAGAGAGAGATAGCATATAGTCAGCTCTTATTATAATAAAGAAAGACATTGAATGCGCTCTCGTTGCTCACACGCTCATCCACCCGCCATCACTTGTTCTGTACACACCGTACCACGGTGCGCCTCCGTCGAGCGTGTTGCGGCCCCTCGTCTCGTTTTTGCCATCGTTGATGACGGCGCCCCACGTGGGGTGGGCGAGGTAGCTGGACAGAAAGACGAAGCTGGCCATGTACCGCGAGCCCGTGACCATGTCTGCCTCGACGACCTGGCCCTTGCCCGACGACGACCGCTCGACGAGAGCGACGAGGATGCCGACGACGCAGATGAGGGAGCCGCCGGCAAAGTCGGCGAGCAGGTTCATCGGCGGCTGTGGGGGCCCACCGGCGGCGCCGACGAAGCTGAGGAGGCCCGAGAGGGCGACGTAGTTGATGTCGTGCCCGGCCATGTTGGCATAGGGCCCCTGGCGCTGGAAGCCCGTGATGCGGGCAAAGATGCACTTTTCGCTTGCCTTGATTCCCTTTGCGCTGTCGCCCTTGGCCACGTCGTCGGGGCCCAGGCCGAGGCGCTCGAGCACACCAGGGCGAAAGGGGTCGATGACGACGTCGGCCTCGGACAGCAGCTTGCGCAGCGCAAGGTAGCCCTTTGGATGCTTGGGCGAGATGGCCAGCGAGCGCTTGCCGCGGCACAGCGAGTCGGGGTTGAGCGTGATGCCGACCCGGTCGATGCGGACGACGTCGGCGCCAAAGTCGGCCAGGATCATGCCGACGAGCGGGCCTGGCGCCAGGCCGGCAAACTCGACGACCTTGATGCCGGCCAGGGCGAGGCGCTTTTCGCTGCTGCTGCTTGTCGAGGCAGCCATCGTCAGTGCAAGTAGAGGTAGGGGATTTGGAGTGAGGTTGCTGAAGAGGCGAGGGACACACAACGATGGCTTCGCCTCCCCCGCTCGCAATCTCGCCGCTTCTCCGCACGCCGGCTCCACCTGAAAGCCGGGCTGTCTTTTTTGGACTTTTTTATTTTTCCCAGTTAGCGCGAGAAAGAGAGAAGAATGGAGGGTTAATTTTTCTTTCTTCTCGTCAGTCAGAGTGTCAAGGTGTGATGACGCAGCAGCCTCCAAGGCCGTCATGCAACGTCACCCTCATCGATTCGTCCTTGGATCGCACTGCCGATGATGGCGATGATGGTGCTGCCGAGCAAGCGTGTCTCCTCGATCTCCAAAAGGTGGCGAAGGGCGCAGAGGCCGCAGGGCAATGGACGACGCTCGCGAGGTGCGATGGCCACTTTCCACGGAGCGCCTGGCTCGAGGCGATGGAGCAGCTCATCGAGCACCCGGAGCGCAACAGCTCCAGCATCTTGAGAGCCGACATACTCAGCGTACTCGAGCCAGATGCCATAGTGGAGCAAGTGAAAGAGCGAGGACAAGAGCACGGCGGCGCATACAGGCTGGTGAAGCGCGTCCATCGGCGGATCCTGCCCCGGAGACCCAATCTCGACGGGCAGCTCGAGCAGACTTGTGATGTGCTGGTTCGCGATGGAGTAAATGGGCAAGATGGACTGGTCATCTATGCCTCCCACGTCGGCTCGAGCGGGGAGGATGGCGATAGGGGGAAGCAGACGCTCGTCGAGTCGGCCGAGCAGGTTCCCTTCTACCACCCCAAAGTCCGCGCCATCGCCTTTCGCTACCAGTCGATTGCCACCCAGCACGCAACTGCACCCGGCGAGCCGCCCCTCCTAGCCCAGCTGTACCTCTACATCCTGCCATTCCCGGAGGATCAATCGTTCAACGCGGCCGCAGACCCCTCGCATCGGCTCTCGCGGACTGCCCTGGCCTTGCTCCAGACGCACGCCGCACACAGCTGGGGCCTCATGCACGACTACCGCAAGCGGGTACAGCACGACATCGTGGTGCCCCGCGAAGACTACATGGACACCTACCAGGCCCTCAAGCTCCGCCATGCCACGCGACTGATGAATTCGTGGCAGGAAAAGACCGATGCGGACAAGCATGTCTTTGAGGACCTCGGCATCGCTGCCTTTCTCATGGTCCTCTGGCGCTACACATTTGCTGGCCAGGCAAGAAGTAAAGCAGGGGAAGAAGGGAAGAAAGGCGACCAGTGGCCCAGGCCATACTTCTTCGTCGACGTGGGCTGCGGAAACGGTCTCTTGGTCCACATTCTCAATGCAGAAGGCTACACCGGCTTTGGATTCGACCTCCGCGAGCGGAAGAGCTGGCAGGGCTACAGGGACGCGCCGGGCGGTGCAGATCTTCGCGTCGTCTCGCTCGATGCTCCTTCAGAAGTCCTCTCTCCCTCGTCGTCACCGGGCAACGGCGACGGACCCATACCACCCGGAGGCGCATTCTTGATCGGCAACCACGCAGACGAGCTCACACCGTGGCTTCCGCTCCTGGCTTACTCTGTCAAGGACTGCTCGGGGCTAGTCAACATCCCCTGCTGCCCGTGGGGCCTCGATGGGAGAAAGTATTCGCGTGTCAAGGGTGTCCTGGACGAGGACTCGATTCGGCATTGCCTCGGTGGTAATAATGTACCAGAGGCGGACGTCAGAGCGGCAGTCGACGCCTATGAGCGCGGACCACCCATCGAAGGAGGGGCAGGAGTGCAGAGCCAGTCGCGCAACGTCGCCTACCTCCAGTATATATGCGCGCTGCATCTCTGGTCGGGCTGGCACATTGAAAAGGAAGCGCTGCGCATTCCCTCGACGAAGAACTGGGCCATTGTCAGTCGAAGGCGGATTAGCGAGACAGCAGAGCTTACCTCGCCGACGATTGACGAAAAGGTACGCGAAATGGCACAAGGCGCACTGAGGGCGGATTGGAAGGCTCGCACGCCCGAAGGAAAAGCAGGGCATTGAGATCGCAAAGCAGTAGATGGGAAGTCAAGGCAAACAATTGTAGCATAGAAGCAGAATCGAAGCAGAAGCAACGCATTCGCATAGTGTACATGTACAATACAGTGCAAACCAAGCAGCTTGGACATCTGTCTCTTTTCACCTTCGCCATACCAAAAGATGTCGCAAACGATTGCATGTGGTCTATCCATGATCAAAAGAGTAAAAGTACATGTTTGCAAGACAATAAGTGAAGGGCTCTGCTACCTCTGAGACCTCCTCTGGATGTTCCGTCGAATCTTGCGCTTCGCCATGCCGAGCGAAGCCATGCCTTCTTGCTCATCTCGCTGCAGAGAGTCCTGGGCGTGGCTGAGGTGCATTTGTTCGTCTCTCGGGAACTCGAGGTAAGGGATCAAACTGAGCGGTAGGCCAGCCATGGTGCGCTCCTGCGACGTGCTCGAGGAGAGGTCACCACGCTGAGCGGCTGCAATCGTGTCAAAGTCAAGCGATGCGAGGACAGGCACGTCGATTGCACCTTTGACAAGGGCAAGTACAGGCTTCTTCGCTCCGCCATCTGAGTTGCTGGGCAGCTCACTGAAGGCTGCCGCTGGAGTTGGCGTGATGAGGTGGACGTGGCCAGCAGCAACATCGATGGATCGCACGATGGCGTACCCGAGGCACGTCGAACTGGCAGCTGACGGTAGTGTCCTCGACAGAGCATCGCGCCATACACTCTCGCCTTCCTGGCCATCGACGGTGTCTGCATCTTGGTCAACTCGAACGAGAGCGACCAAGCTCGCATTGAGAGCGGCAAGCTGTAGCTCTGGCTTCGGTGTCGCGCCAGTTGGCAAAATGTGAATGCCTCCGCGCAGACCTGACGCCACATCGACGATGAGGGGACGGACCTCCAGTAGAGACCGTCCGAAGTTCCAGGTGGGCACCGGAGGGGGGTCAGTGGTGCGATTGGGCATAACAGGAAGCGGCAAGGTGGTCGAGTATAGATAGCTGATCAAGCTGCGCGTCCTGGCCTCGGCAGCAGAAGGGCCCCGATCCTTCACAAGCATCATCGGCGCAGGTTCCAGCGGTACGATGATGGAACCCGGTCCTATGATGGCGCCGTCGGCATCAAGCCTCGTATGTCCTCTGACAGGATTCAGCGAATGTGAGGGAGCTTCGTGGGCGAAGATGTCGAACACATGCGTGGGGCATGTCATGTCCTCTATGCGGCCGATCAGATCAGCTCCCAACCCCTTGATCCATCCTTGCGTATTGACCAGGAGAGGAATACGATGTTCTTCGCCCCTCCGCACCTCCTGCTGAAAGAATACGACGAGATCTCGGATGGCTTCGAGGTAACGATCGGGGTCGTCTCGAGGCGTTGTGTCGCCGATGAAATGAGACCGCAAAGGGACGCGCAGCGAACACCAAGAGGGACCAATGACGATGGTCTCACGAGCATCAAAGAGGTGAAGCGAGACAGCACCGGGTGGCCCAAACTCTGTCTGTCCCAAGTCTGTCTCTAGGAAGGCGACCTGGGCATATTTGCGCGAGGTGAGGACAGCATGTAAAGCATGTCGAGCAAAGGTCGACTTGCCCACCCGCTTGGGACCTCGGACGAGGCAGGTAAATGCAACCTCAGATGCATCTCCCTGGGAGACGTACGCTTGCTCAGCATCCTCTTGAAGAAGAAACAAGGCTCTAGACTGAGAAGGTGGCATGTATGCTGCCTGAAGCCCCACGATTGGGGTGTCGAAGACTGGGTAGAAGCCAGGAAGCGGGGAAAGACGTGAGGCTGCTCGTTGATCATCGGTCGTGAAGTATTTTGGCGAACTGAAGAGATGTCGAGGGAGTGGACAAGCTGCCCCGATACCCTCTATTCCGCTTGTGCTCGACGAAATGAGGACCACCGTCGAGAAATTGGCAGCGCTGATGGGGTATTCCGAGAGTTGCTGGACTTCTTCGTCGTGCTCGAGCGTCTCGATTACAGGCACGGATCCATTTTTCGGAGCGAAGACCAGCGCAGAAGCTTGGTTCGCCCTCAAATGCGCCCCAGAGACGTTTACTGCACCTTTGAGGACAGTGATGTGCACGGCGCCCACAAAAGGCAGCGTCTGGTAAGAAGGGGTTGCATGTCAGGACATCTACAATTCGATGAAATCCCATTTAAGTCACACTCACATCATCTGCAGAAAGCCCAACCAGCATCTTCGTGCTTCCTTGCCTTTCTTTGCCCTTTGTGCCCTTGAATGAGATGCAATTCGACTCATTTGGCATCCACGTCCCTCTAGTTTGCGGCAGGCTGAACCCGAGTGCCTGATGCTGCGAAAATGCGACTTCGGCTGGACCAGGTTCAGGTTCGTCCATCTCCTCCTCTGAGGCGCTTGCATCTTCATCCGAGCTCGAATCGTCATCCGCGTCTTGAGGAAAGGCGACAAAGTCGTCTTGCATCGTGCTTTCCACCGCCGGGTTCGTATCCTCGGCACCTGTCCCTTCAAGACTGAGACCGCGGCCATTACTATTTCCATTGCTCATCCCAGAAGCCTGAAAGTATCTCGACGATCCCTTGCCTTCTGCCTGCGCTTTGAAGTTGTTCTCTTCGCCATTCTTTATCTTGCTGGCGGCAACAGGCCGGCCCTTCTTGGGTGTGCTGCCCGCCTCGCCTTCATCTTTCGCTTTCGCTTTGCGCTTCACCCTTCGAGGCCCCTCCTTGGGCGAGGGTGATGCCTGGGTATCTGAGGACGGTCCACCAAGTGGAACGTTGAGGCCCTCTGCAGACGCATTCTGAGCCGCCAGGCGAGCTTTCCTTGCAGCTATAGCGCTCATCGTCACCTCCCTCTCCTCGTCAGTGAACTTCTTCTGGCTCGCTTTCGAAAAAATCTAAAAGAGGTTGGCCTCGTACCTCGGGACTCGGATCGCAGCAGCCACGTTGTTGTCCACGCCCAGACTGTCCACCTCCAGTCCACATCAGCACATCGAAGACTCGGACGACCACAGAGAGCGATCACGACATGAAGGTCCTGGTCACCGGCGCTTCGGGTCTTTTGGGCCGTGCCACCCTAGCGCAGGTCAAGAAGGACGGTCATGAAGCCAAGGGAACGGCACTCAGCCGCGCATCAGGCGACCTCGTCAAGGTGGACCTGACCAACTTCGGCGCAGTCGACGAGCTCCTCGACTCGTTCAAGCCCGACGCCATCATCCACACGGCTGCCGAACGCCGCCCAGACGTGGTGGAAGGGAACCCAGAGGCATCCTACGCTTTGAACGTTGACGTGCCTGCGCACATTGCCGAGCACTGCAAGGGCGCAGCTGGGGCCAAGGTGCCGCTGCTCATCAACATCAGTACCGACTACGTCTTTGATGGCACCAGGCCGCCGTACAAGGTCGACGACGAGCCCAATCCCCTCAATGCCTATGGCGTAAGCAAGTGGCAGGGCGAAAAGGGCGTCCTTTCACACGCACAGGCTGGCCGAGCTACGAACCTTCGCGTGCCCGTCCTGTGGGTGATATGTTGCTCCATTGTCCTACCTTATTTGCCCCACTCGCTGACGCACTCTTACATCAAACAGGTACGGCCGCACTGAAACAAACGCAGAGTCGGCAGTGAATGTGCTCCTCGACGCCATCGCGCCAAAGGCAGCCAGCAAGTCAAAGAAGATGGACGCCAATGCGGTGCGATATCCCACTTGCGTCGAAGACGTTGCCAAGGCCCTGTCTGCCCTATGCCAGAAGTATGCTGGCGGGGAGGTAGATATACCCCCAACGCTGCACTTTTCCGCACTGGAGGCCATGACGAAGTACGACATGTGCCTCGTCATGGCTCGCTGCCTCCGTTCCGTTGGCGAGGAGGCGCCCACCGAACACCTCGAGCCCGAATACGAAGTGGACCCAAGCGCAGCCACTTCGAGGCCAAGGCATTGCAAGCTTGATGTATCTGTCTTGCAGGATAGTGGCATCAGCACCGAGTGCGTCAGCTTTGAAAGCGTGAGTCGAAGGGAGCAAGACGAGCTGGATACCATTATAAGAATTGAGACGCTGACGCTGATGCTTACGACAGTGGTGGAAACAGTATCTCGAAGAGGTGCGTCAGCAGTGACGGCGATAGCAGGCAGCTTGGCTCCCTTGTAATTTCTAAGAGCTAGCTCTACACACACGTACACATCATCGGCGTCAATTCAAAGATACTGACTACTTTCTTCTCCTTCTTCTTTCCCTCTCGTATTGCCGTTTTCAGTACGCTGCAAATGCTCGAGAACAGAGAGCCAAAGAGGCCGCCGAGGCCGAAGCGAGAAGAAAAGCAGAAGAGGAAGCCGAGAGAAAGAGATTAGCCGCAGAAGAGGAGCGGAGGAAGGAAGAAGAGGAGCGGAGAAAAAAGGAAGAGGAGGAGGAAGCAAGGCGTGCCGAGGAACGTCGACGAAAGCAAGAAGAGGAACAAAAGGCGTTGGAGGAGAAGCGGCGAAGGGATGAGGAAGAGGCGCGCAAGGCGCAAGAGGAGAAGCAGCAAGGCATCCAGGAAGAGGAAGAGCGAAGAAGGCGGCAAGCAGAAGAGGCGCGAGATGAAGCAAAAGCGACAGAGGAAGACGAGGAGAGGAGAGAGACTCGTGAGGAAGAACGCGACGGAGGCGAAGAGGCTGGCATCGCAACTACTTCGTCGACGGCCCCTGCCTCACTGCGCAGTCCCACATCGCCCAATCCCAGCTTCTCGTCGCTGCAGGCTCGACCGACGCCTCCTGCCACGTCGGGAAGGAGCAGCCCAACCCCATCCGTCCTCTCTGGGCAGCCTTTCACTCTACCGGTGTCTTCAGCAGAAGGAGACGCCGCAAAGACGGCCGACGCCGAGCAGCTGGGGACATCTGCTGGGACTATCACTGTGGAAGCAGAAGGAAGTGGCCCAAAAGCAGGCGACGACCCTCTGGTACCGCCTCCATTGAGCCTCGATGCAACAATAAAGCAACGACGCGGCCCTGTGCAGCCCCAGAAGGAAGAACCAGGCTTCTTCCCAGCGGCTCTGACCAAAAGCGGCGATGCTTCACTGCTCCTCGATGCCGATGCGCCCCGAAGCAGAGAGGGGGCTGCAGAAGATGGCGGTAACAGCGGAGACGCCGACTCGGATGGTTATGGTCAGCCAAGCCCTCGAGGCGAGGGGTCTTCCAAGCCATTTGGATCCTTTGCGGGTGCTCGCGAGGACGATGCCGACGCCGAGAGAGACCAGGAAGAGGCTCCAGGGCCACCAGGAGCGGAGACAGAGTCCAACGCAATGCAAAAGAGCCTCTCCGTACAATCTGGGATAGGGTCAATAGGGTCCAGCCAGAAGGCAAGACCTTCATTTCAAATCAAGGTTGGCGATCCTCAAAAGGTCGGAGATCCCGTCACTGCCCACATCGTCTACACGGTCCGGACAAAGGTCAGTCATTGTCACTGTACATCGACGTAATGGTGTCATCTAGCTAACCCAATTCTCTTCGGTGCCATAGACGGACCACCCGAGATTCAAAGGGCCGCAATTTTCTGCCCTTCGACGCTACAATGACTTTCGCTGGCTGCATGCGGCTCTGGTGCACAACAATCCTGGCGTTTTCGTGCCTCCAGTCCCCGAAAAGGTCAAAATCGGACGCTTTGCTCCCGACTTGGTGGAAGCGAGGAGGCACGGCCTCGAGAATTGCATCAACAAGATTGCCAACAACGCCCGGCTGGTGAATGACGAGGACCTTCACCTCTTTCTGGAGTCAGACAACTTTGCCGCCGACGTGAGTAGCCCCAGATCCCTTCTTGGAAAATTCCAAGTGCTGATGATGCGGCCCAGGTCCGAGCCCGAGACCAAATTAAGGGACCCGTGCCGACGCCAGAACAAAAGACATATTTTGGCTGGTCGTCGTCAATCACAAACAGCCACAAGTTTCACGAGTTCGACGGCTGGTTCGACGACCAGAAGGTGTACTTGGACCACCTCGAGTCGCACCTCAAGAACCTGGTCCGTGTCATCAGCGCGCTGGCACAGCAGCGAAAGGATCTGGCTGGCGCAACCTCAGACCTGAGCCACAGCTTGATGATGCTCTCGGGCAGCTCCCTCTCCAGAAGCCTGTCCACCTGCTTTGCTGGCCTGGGCGAGGTGCAGAGGAGGACCTTTGAGTTAGCAGATGTCCAGGCCGACGCAGACGTGCGTGACTTCGGAAGCGTCATCTACGAGTACGAGAGGGTGGTGGGCAGCGCTCGAAAAGCATTCGCGACCCGCGTCGACGCATGGCAGGCGTGGCAGCGGGCCGACGAAGAGTCTCGAAAGGTACGGGCAAAACACGAGAAGCTCAAGCGCGATGGCAACAAGGTCCACCCATCGCGGCTGCAGGCCAGCCTCGAGGAGATTGCCATCGCCGACAGCCGCTCACTGACGGCCAAGCGCGAATTTGACCTCATCTCTATTCGGTGCAAGGAAGAGATGGATACATTTGAGCGTGATAAGATCGAAGGCCTGTCCTTGGCCATGGAGATATGGGTCCAAGGCATGATTGAGAGGCAGCAGGAGGTGAGAGGAGAGAACGTCATGTCTTATATTGGCGCTTAGCATCACGATCGCAACGCTGATCACTGGTATTCCTCTTTTCTTTTCGCAGCTCATGGCCGAGTGGGAGCAGTATGCGGCGCTATTAGAGCGGCAGACTGGACAAAAGATATCTGCGCCCTGAAGCGCCTCTCAATTACATATTGGTATTCTTGATCATCATGTCTCCATGCTACGTCTGTTGACGTCGACGGTTGAGAAAGATAAAGACGGCCCTCCGATGCGCCAAGCCCCGAGCGACAAGTAAGACGCCGATCCGCGCTTCGATGCATTGAGATGAACCCTTGACAGATCTTCAGCGGTATCTCTGGCCCCCTCGCGGAGCTGGATAAATCATGTCCAGATAAGAGGATGCTTCCCTATCTCTCATTTTTCCCCGCACAACCACGACGATCGCCTCTACAGCCCAACGGCGACCACGATGGAACCTGTCATTAGCGCCTTCTGTCATGACTGAATTTGCTAAACGAGCATTTTGATTCGTCGATGCAGAGCCTTATCTCGCAGGTTCTGACTTTTTTTTGGTGCATGTCCGCACAGGAAAAGCGCGCGTCAGAGATAAGCCCCCAATGTGAAATCCCCTCACGTCACACGGACTTGCTCGCTCGGCCCACAACTGATTTTTCCTTGAACCGCTGGTGCAGATCGAAAACATCGGCCTCTTTTTTTGGTTCTAAGCGGGGGACCGGACTTGCAAAGTACTCGGGCTTCGCAAATACATCGACATCGACAGGGTCTCATGACTTCATATTGGCAAGAAGAACGAGTGAGAAAGGGGGGGAGCGTGGTGCTATCTTATCAATTGGGCAATTACTTTAGTGGTAGGCTGCTGCTCGTATCGAAAAGCGGATCGGATCGTATATGGGCCTGAAAGACGTCAACTGACTAGTCTGCGGGATGCTTCTTCTCAACACGCTCGTTGGGTCTTGGCGTTACGAAGCAATCAATATAAAGACTGTTCCGGCTCTGAGACTCGCTGTTTGTCTCCCTTTTTAACCACGACCATTTTCCTCCCGTCGGTTCCTCTTCCTGTCACCCCTTCTGCCAAGTCTCCCAAAGCCACCACTTCGCTTTGCCAGCGGCTCTTGTTTCAAAGGGTGAGTTGCATCAGTCGAGACATTAAATTGGGGCCGGCCGATGCGGAACGATGCTTTGCTTTTGCGCCCCTCTTTGAATGTGAAATTCAAAACGCTGCAGCGAGCGGAGGGGAGAAACGGCAAATGATGCATCCCATCCGGAGAAGGAAGAAAGACTTAATAAATGAAAAAAATCCCACCCAGACGTTGACTAGAAATTTTCCCGTACCCACAGCTAGGCTAGGCAGCCTGCCGTTCTCAATCCTTTCACCTACAAGAAGAAAACGACTCTGAGGGAGAAAGCCAGCGGAGCCTCCTCTGTCCTCTCCATCCACCATCGACCCTCCCGCTGTCACTTGCTCAGGTAGCAGCTGCCCGTCATGGTCAACATCACTGTGAGTCTGTGCCACTAGAAGACACAGTAGAAAGCAGTTCTTTTGCTGACGCTCATTCTCTCCTAACTTTTTTTTTCTCCTCTCCACTCAGTATGGGCTCCGTGAGTTGAACCTAGCACTCTCCTGTTCTCTTTCATAGACCTCCCGCTGACATAGCATTTCATCGGAAACAAAAGTCTCTGCCCCCACGGCCGAGTCTGACGCCTCGCAGATCCTCTCGGTCAACGGCACTGACCTCATCACCACCTATGGCGATGGCGAGATCGCCGCATACAGTCCCGGCGACATTGCCTGGATTCTTACCTGCACCACTCTCGTTTTCCTCATGATTCCCGGCCTTGGATACCTCTACTCTGGATTGGCGCGCCGCAAGAATGCGCTGCATATGCTTCTCATGACAATGATGGCCTTCACCGTCGTTTCCATCCAATGGGTCTGCTTCGGCTACGTGAGTGGGCCCCGCTTAATTATGCCCGTATATGTAATCGTTATTGACAAAATGACCAACGCCAACAGTCTATCGTCTTTTCGCCCACAGGTGGCACCTTCATTGGCAACCTGAGGCACGGCGGCTTCAAAGACGTACTCAACGAGGCTGTCGGCGAGGCAAATGACAAGATCCCTGGCATCGTCTATGCGATGTACGAGATGATGTTCGCCAACCTCGTCCCCGCCATTGCCATTGGTGCAGCCTGCGAGCGCGCCCGCGTCTGGCCCTTCCTCATCTTTACCCTCATCTGGACTACGTTTGTCTACGACTTTATCGCCCACTGGGTCTGGTCGACCAGAGGATGGGCCTTTAAGTGGGGCGTCCTCGACTACGCCGGTGGTGGACCCGTTGAGGTCTGCTCGGGTATCACGGGTCTCGTCATTTCCTACTACCTCGGCAAGCGCAAGGACTATGGCACGGACCGGCTTCTGTTCAAGCCCCACAACGTCTCGCACATTGTCCTCGGCACTGTGCTCCTCTGGTTCGGCTGGTTCGGCTTCAACGGCGGCTCCACTTTTGCTGCCAACCTGCGCGCGGGCATGTCGATCGCCACGACCAACACGGCTGCCTCGACAGCGGCGCTTACGTGGATGTTCATGGACTACCGTTTCGAGAGGAAGTGGTCCGTCGTCGGATTCTGCACTGGCGCCATTGCTGGACTGGTTGCCATCACGCCTGCTGCCGGCTTCATTGGCGTCCCCGCGTCGTTCCTCGTTGGCTTCTTGGCTGCGTTCGTTTCGAACCTCTGCACCAAGCTCAAGGTCTATGTTCACTGTGACGACGCCATGGACATCTACGCCGTTCACGCCGTCGCGGGCTACGTCGGCCTCATCCTGACGGGCGTCTTTGCGCAAAAGAGCGTTGCCTTCAACGACGGCTACCTCTCCATCAACGGAGGCTGGCTCGACGGCAACTTCATTCAGGTGCCCTACCAGATCGCTTGGTGTGTTGCCGTCACGGCCTGGACTGCCGGTGTGACATTTGCAATCATGTTCGTCCTCGACCACATTCCCGGCATCGGGCCCTTCCGCGCCTCCGAGACGGCCGAGATCATCGGTGTCGACGAGGAGCAGTGCGGTGAATTCGCCTACGACTTTGCCTACTTCAACCGCGACTTGGAAGGAAACTACGAGCCGGAGCACGGCATGAAGCTGAGCATGCAGGAGCACAAGACCGGACCCAATGGGACTGGATCCACTGCTTCGACGTCGGCCAGCCCGACGGGCGAAGAGGTCGCTGGCGAGCCGGCGCCCAAGATGGTGGAGCAAACCGAGAAGACGCAGGCTTGATTTGTCCCCTCTCCCTCGTCCTCTTTCTCTCTCTCTTGCTCCCTCTAGCATTACCTCTTTGCCTTAGAAGACCACTCACACTCTCCCGTCGCTTAACACTTCAAGCTTTCATCTTTCATTACAGATTCCCTCTCTTTCTCCCTCTCCCTCTCTTCCCTCTCTCTCCAAAGCGTCTCCTTCACATCCTCTCGGCGCTTCATTGCTCCCTCTAACCCTCCGAAGCCCATCACATCCTCCTCCCTTATCTTCTTGTTGTACTTAATGGTTCTCTGGAAAAAATGTGAAAGACCTTAGACGAAGAACAGCAACAGTGTGCGCGTGTCTCTGCCTCTTCTCTCTGCCTCACCTTTGAGTAAGTGCACGGTCGTGTGATGCGTCCCGCCCCGGTCCTACCGTAGAGGACTCAGCCAAAGCACACAAGCGTGAAATCACGCGCAGGACAAGCCCGTCATTCCCACACGTGCATGATATTCGCTCTTTCCTCACGAAAGAAACTGTCCCACAGATGGGTGTGTGTGTGTGAAGGGGCGGGAAAGGGAATTGTGTCACAAAAGGAGATAGAAGCGAGGAAACCACGAAAAAGGGGAAAGACAAGCTGTAAGAATGGGAAGCGAAGAGACAGAAAGTGCGGTGACGGAAGAAAAATCATCGCCTGACGGGCGCCGTGCCCTGTGGGCCCCCTCGGCCGTACCCGCCGGCAGCTCCGCCCTGCATGGCGTCGAGCTCGGCCTCGAGAGACTTGATGCCCGAGTGGGCCTGCTCGAGGTCCTTGTTGAGCCGGTCCCTCTCTGCGATGAGGTGCTGCTCCCACTGCCTGAAGCGCTGCTCCTCGAGCTTGACCTGCTCCGTGAAGCGTCTCCTCAGGCTCTCCTCTTCCTCCTTGAACTTGGGGTTGTCCAGCTTCTTGACCTTGGGCTCGCCAAACTTGCGCGTCTCCATCTGCGATTGTCGGTAGGCCTCGTAGTGCGTCTCTTCAGTCGTGTTGATGAGGTCGAGCATGTGGGTCCGGATCAAAAGGCTGCGCAGCTTCTTGAAGTCGCAGTGCTCCTCGTTCTCCACCTCGGCCACTCCCCACAGGTAGTCGCGACCCTTGACCGTTCGGCCATCGCGCGTCTGGACGTCGCGCGTGGATCCGATGATGCTGAAGGGCATCGCGCTCATGAGCGTCTTGGCGTGCTCGGCGCTGGCCTCATCGTCCGTCTCAATGGGAGGCGAGTAGACGCGAATGCCCTGGTGGGAAATGACCTCGCGAATTCGCTGCTTGAAGACGGCCAAGTCGTTGGGGCTCAGCGTGTCGGCCTTGGCCACAACAGGGATGAGGTTGACACGGGTGCCGAGCCTCTTCATGATCTCAATGTCGAGCGGCTTGAGGGTGTGACCGGTGGGACGGATAAAGTAGAGACAGGCGTGGACCCTCAGGTCCGTCTTTTCCTTTCGCTCCGGCTGCTGCTCCTGGCGCATGTACATCTCGTGCTGGTCGTCGAGGAAGTCGACGATGGGTGCCCAGCTGTCGCGGTTGTTGACATAGTCGCCGAAGCCAGGCGTGTCAATGACGGTGAGCTTGACCTTGAACTGCTTCTCCTCAAGCTCGGCCTTGATGATGTCGATCTCGACCGTCTTGTCGAGCTGCTTCGAGTGACGAAGCGTGTGGTTCTTGCCCGTCGCCAGCTCCGTGGCAAAGAGGGTGTTGATGACTGTGAGGGAATGTCAGCTTCTAGAAGAAGTTTATGCAAGCGGCACAGCAACTCACGAGTCGTCTTGCCCACGCCGCTCTCGCCCACGACCATCAAGGTGAAGTGGCCGCCAGCCTTCGCGACGATCTTGTGCCTCTGGGTACGACAGAAGACAACAGGTCAGTACAAATTCGCCCTCTCCTTCACAAAAGGGACGGACGCACCTGATTGGGCAGGTTGGCAATGCCTGGTGATGGATCGTTCATCGCCATGACGAGGTGGAATGAGGGTTGTCGAAGAAGGAGTTGGATGGAAGGGAGTAGTTTTTCAGACTGTCAGCGCGCGTCCTTCGCTCGCTCGGTGCTTGGCTGGCAGACAGAGGGGAAAGAAAGTTCAAAATGGCAAAGCGGCCGAAGCCGAGCCAAAACGGACCGCGTCTCCAGTGCTCGTTGCGATGAAGGTTGGGCGACAAGGGTCCACCAGACCTTCCGTTGCGGGCAAGGGTGGAATTTTAGGAAGATTTTGCACTGAACACGACCAGTTGGCGAAAGGTGAGATCTGACACTGGCAGGAAAACGCCAGAAGCCCACTCCTCCCTCCTCCTCCGACGCCCAAAGCGCCGATCTTCCGACGACCAAAGCTCGTGCAGCAATGCCCTCGGCTCCTTTCCCCATTGCCTGACCTTGTCCTCTGAGTAGGCGCTGATGCACCAATACACTCGGCCGCCTCCCCCCTCCCTCTACTTGACCCTTGTCTCCAACCCGTTCCCTCGCAGAGCCAATCGTAGAATCCGCCCTCTCTTTACCTCTTCCTCGCCCATGAAAGACGTCTAGAGCACCGCGGACCACAAAAGACTCACCGATTCCCTGCGTCGACATCTTGTACTGATTCCAATTCTATCTGACCAGTCGAGTAGATCCCCTTGCGGCTTCCTGGCCCTTTTTTTCTTCGGTATCCCAGCGCAACCGAGAGCTGACAAAAGCTAGAATGAAGAAGAGAGGAGGTGGGTAGTCGCGCGAAATTGGTAGTGTCGGCGACGTGGGACCGACGGTGAGCGTTTGAGTCGAGAAGGGAAGGGGCAAAGAAGAACAGCGGTGTGTGTGGCCTTGCAATCAATCCAATCCAATCCAAGCAACTAAAAGGGCCAGGCGGCTTCTCCCTCGTTCGCTTCACGCTTCACGCTATAAGATTGCTATTGAAACAAGCGTAAACGCTGGCACATTATTCAAACCTTCCATTTTCAGGTGTCTGGATTCGTTCTATTGTTGAGAAAGAGCTTTAAAGACGGCGCTAAGAATCTTCCTTGCTGGCGTGCGAAGAGGGGCGGCGGTTGCCTGCTCATGAAATCCTCCCTTCTCGGGGCCATTCTGTTCAGCATTGCTTACGGTTGGCGAATCGAACAGTATTTGTGATTTTGAGGAGGGAAAGACAGGCCTAAGAGTACATGTGGGTAGGTTGATGAATGGAACAATGAGAGTAAGAGAGAGTGAGATGGACCGGAACACAAGACAAGAAAGTCGAAAGAGCGATAGAGGGGAGACGAAGGCGAATGAATGGCTATAATTACACATACTACCTAAGGAAGCAGGCCAGTGCTCCCTGCTCGAGTGAGCGCAGTCGCCCGCCAAGGCGCTGTGCTGTCAGGACGAGGGACGATCCCAGTCGAAAGGATTGACCTCGGATCGGTTGCGATGATGGATGCGGCCGTTGCTTGGATCGAGGGCCGTCGAGGTGGCAGGCGAGGCCTGGCCATCCTCTGGCACATCGGCAAATGGACTCACGGCCAGGTTCCTCGTGAGGATCGATCGTGGCTGCTGGTCCTGTGGAGGCACGCCGATGATCGAGACGGTGCGCGACTGCGCTCCAGAATTGGGACCCAGGGTGTGGGCCGAGGGCGTTGCATGGAAGGTGATGACGTCTGGATCCTCTTCCCCTCCGAGGTATGCCAGTCCCACGTCGCTTTCCACGCCCGATGGCGTACGGCTCTCGCCCGAGGGTTGATCGAGATCGTAAATGAAGGGGGCGCCCGACGAGGACGCCCGGCTGTAGTACGTCTGTCGTGTGGTCCGAGTAACGCCGCTCTGCATCGTCGAGGACCGGTCCAAGCCATCGGTCCCGGCGTGTGACTCGCGCGCCACGAGCTCGTCCGTCTCATGGCCAGCGTCGTCGCCGCCCTCGTCGCGGCCTTCGTACTTGGGCAGGTGCTTTCGCTCGTACTCGCTCAGGCCATAGGACGGCAGCTCGCAGTCGGCCGCTTCGCCGTCGTACCTCTTTGTCCGCAGCGCCCTGCGTTGCTGCTGCTGCTGCGATTGCAGCCGGTGGTGGCCGCGCGCTCCTTCTGCGGCCTGCAAGCCCGGCACGAGACTCGACATGTAGCTCCATCCCGAGTCGTCTTGCCGGGCCATGACGATCGAGTCGATTCTCCGCCTGGTGCCATCGGCCAGCGTCACATAGTCGGAGGCTCTGTTGCCCGTGCCTAATGCGCTGGAGCCTATTCTCTGGCTCATTTGCTGCTGTTGCTGAATGAAGGAGTCGCTGTCATCTGACGCGCCAAGATTCTCCCTCCGCCGGCGCAGACACATGACGAGGATGAGCAACATGAGTGCAAAGAGCAAGCCGCCCAGGACGCCGGCAATGACCGACACCTCGACGGTGCTGTGCTTCCGGTGGTGACCAGGGTCGTCTTCGAGGCTGGGATCGCCGCCAATGCCGCCGATGCCGCCGCCGTCGTCTTTATTCTTGTCTCCGTCGCTGCTGCTCTTGACCTTCTTGACGGGCAGACACGACGTGTCGTTGACGCCCGTCGGTGGCAGATCCACCGTCGAGTGCTGGATGTTCTGTGAGAGCTTCGTCTTATTCTTGGACGTGCGATCCGTGATGATGAGCGCAAAGTCCGTCCCTGCAGTGAGATCGACAGCCGCCCATGTGTACTGGGTCGCGTTGGGTGCCAGACTGACGTTGAGGTGGGCATGTCGCGAGTGGCTTTCCTTGACGATAATCGTCACGTTGCCCCTCGCGCCCGTGATGCCAATGACGGCCGGTTGACACTGGTAGAAGTCCTCTGGCACATCGACATTGATACCGGCCGAACGGACATACGAGCCAAGGACGAGGATGACAAAGCAAAGCGACCAGAGGAGGCTCGATCGTAGCGTTGCGCCAGCCATCATGTACGCTTGCTGCTTTTCCCCGCGCTCCTTTTGAGACGGTGGTGAGGGGACGAGAGAGATGGGAGTAGGAGAGAGAGGAGACGGCGGCGTGGGATCTCAGAGTCGCACGAGAAAGAGCGCCGCTCTCGTTGGCCCCCGCGGCCCTACGTTCAGTCGACGAGGAAAAGGGGAGTGCGAAAACGAAAAAAAAAAAAAAGGCAAAAGAAAGGGCGGCGGTAGGGAAAAGAAAATTCCAACGCCGGGCGGAGGGGAGAACAGAGCGGTTTTTGGGGCCCGAGAGAGATTACCAGAATCTGCGCGCTGCTTGCTGGAGCTGATAAGCCAGCGATGATGCGTCGTTATAGGTGATGTCCCCGTCGCGCCATTGTCTAGGGTGAGAGAGAGCCTGTATCGTCGAGAGATGAAACCGGAGAAAGGGCGACGGCGCATGTGAGGGAACGGGGGCCTCGGCTTGGCTTGCCCATGAGCAAGCTTAAACAAATCCAATTCAAAAATTAAAATCGTGGGCTAAGCATAACCAGATCTAACCTTCCGGAGGCCAATATTGTAATCAAAGCAGTAGCTTAAAAACAGAAGTATTAATAGTATCGCGACCGCTTCCTCACGGCCGGCACTGGAACACGAAAGCGGATGTGCCTAGCGATGCTTGGCAAAGTCCACCGTGCTATTAATATTGATCAGTGCTCTTTAGATAGGCCTTGCTAATTCTATCAACTGACAAGGCGACATCAGTACGTACAACTACTACATGCTCACGTTCTGGTGTGGCTGTCAGAATGGACCCGTACGTCCTGGCACATCATGGTGGCTTGTCAAGGAATAGTCGAGATTCCCGAGCTCTTCGTCGGAGGAATCCCACCGACGACAAATTGATTGAGTGGCATACCGAGAACTCGCTAGCTCCAAAGGCTGCCTTTTCTTCGTCTTTTTTTTTCTTTTCTTCTAGAATTCAAAGAGTAATCGGTTGTGCCGAGGATAAGACCCCTTCCTTCCCGACAGCAATTAAGTGAGGTTGATTGTTTCTACCACGACTTCCAGGGAACCCAGACATCCTGAACGGTCGCACTTTCTTCTTTGAGCGATGAGTCAAAGATAAAGAACCAGTGGTGGGCAGCTGCGACCATGCATGCACTACGTAAAGAGGCTGCTTAGCGGAACCGTCACGTCCAACGGAAAAACTTCAAGAGACTCACTGCTGGGGAATAATTCTGACCTTGTCGCCGACTCGGACTTGCTGCGTCTTGCCCTGCCCCTCTAGACGGTCGAGGCCCCATTCGCTGGCCCACTGATCCGGCGTACCCTTGCGGACAGCGAGGATGCCGTGCTCCTGCGAAACTTTGCTGACCATCCATCCGACCTTGCTCGGTGGGGACACGATGTGACCGTAGCCTTCGAACTGTCCCACGTCCTTGCTCAGAGCGATTCCACCCGCATCAATCATGGCTTCGTCACCATGGGAGGCGAGCTTGCCATCCGAGACGGCAATGGATCCCTCTGCCTCTCCCTGGCTGCGGCCTGGGTAAAGGCTGGTGACGGTTACAACCACACTGAGAGCGCAGTCATCGATTGTCATGTGGCCGACTGGTCCCGAGCTGCTAAGAGCGTGTGTTGCCATCTGGGAAAGTGTGCTCTGGCCTTCAGCTTGCGCATACTGCCATTGAGTGACATCGACTCACCTGCTGCAGATCGAGAAAGGGATAGTTGCCCGCGTGCAGCTCTAGTTCACCTCGCAGGAGACCCTTGAGCTTCTGCAGCTCCTGGCTAGACGGCCCTGCACTTGCAGCATGCGCCGTGGGCGTGGCTCCTACGCTCAGAACCAGAGGCGACCGATGTCGGGATCGATCGCCCGCTGCCTTGTCGAGAATTGACTCAGCCAGCTGTGCGGCATCGTTGATGCATCGCACCTCCAACGACAGGAAGTCCTGAGCGTCCTTTTCAGACTTGCTCCCGTACGAATGTCCGGCGTGGCAATAGAGCCCCCAGAGTGCAACATGCGAGCTTGTTGCAATGGCCTCGAGAAGAGACGCCAACGACGGTGAATTGACGGTAAGGCCAGCTCGTCTATCTCTCGCACGTCAGTTGTGGTCTGAGATGTACACTCGGGCCACACTCACCCGTAGCCGCAGTCGATCTTGACAAAGGCTTGAATAGGCTTGGCATTCAGGGGCGCGAGAGCCTTTTGTAGTACATCGACCTGTGCGATATTGTCGATGATAACCTTGACGTCAGCCGATGGTCCACCCCGCTTGGCCATTTCGTTGCGCAGCTCGAGGATCTCGGGAATCTTATGCACGCCCACTGGCACGCCATAGAGGATCTAGGAGCAGATACAAGACATGAATGAAGGTTGTCGTCGTTGAAAGGAGGGAACTTCTGGTCTTACGTCATTGATGCCAGCCTCCTCAATCAGACCTGACTTGAGGACGCCCCAAGCTTCAGCGAGCGTAGAGACGATGAGGGGAGTCTTGCCCCTCTCGCCATCGCGCACCTGCGCCAGGACGCCCTCCCTTGTCTTGTGTGTCTTGATGTGGGCTCGAAAGAGGCAGCCCCAATCCCTTGCGATCCTCTGCATCCGAGCACAGTTGCTCGACACCTTAGACGAGTCGATCACAACGGCGGGCGTGGGGAGCTCATCGAGCGCGACACCCTTGAAGCGCTGCAGCAGCGACACTCGGTCCGGCAGCGGCAGAAAGTCGCTTGGAGCCATGTTGCCTAGCAGATGATGATTGTGAGCAAGCAGGAGGAGGGAGCGGGCCGAACGGCCTGTCCGAGTCACCACCAAGGAACAGCCAGTTGCATTGCCCCTCCACGGCGGCCAAAAATATCGCCGACGGCCAAAGCCAGAAAGCATGCACGCACGTGCACGAAAAAGACACGTGGGTCTGCAGCCCTCGGAACCAGCAGGCGAGAGTTGACCATCGCGATATTCTCGTTCGTCGTCAACGCCGGTTCTTCATCGACTCTCTTCTTCCTCTTCCTCCTCTCCCCTTTCTCGGACCGCCAGTCACAGCACGATGAGCCTCCGATCCGCCGTTCCGCGAGCTGGTGCGTTGCCGTCTCACTCGCGCTTCTTTCAGGTGCCTTCATCGGGACCGATGTCTAATCTGATCTTCCCCGGTGCTTTTGCAGCTGTCCTTCGGTCGGCGGCCGCCCGTCCTACCGTTCCCCGCACCGCTCTTGCTGCCTCGGCAACTGGGTGAGTAGCCCTAGGAAAGGTCTCCGGTCTTTGCTGCGTTGAGAAGTACTCATCATATGATCGATATTCCTTTGTCTTTAGGGGTGTCCGCTTCTATGCCGACAGTACGTGTCACCAAGTATTTTCTCGTCTTCGAGTCCTTGCTCACAGCACTTGGAATTCTCACAGAGACCTCGCCCGAAGCCAAGGCCTCTTCGCTTCTCGACATTCTGCCCGGTAATTCGCTCGTCTCCAAGACGGGCTGGGTCACTCTCGGCACGGGTCTGTCGGCGTTGGCCATCTCCAAGGAGCTCTACGTGGCCAACGAGGAGACGGTCATCCTCGTCGGTTTCCTCATCTTTGCCACGCTTGTCGGTCGCTCCATCACGGGCCCTTACAAGGAGTGGGCTGACGGTCAGATCGAGGTGGGTGTCAGGCTAGACGAGCGGGATTCGAAAAGACCGTGCGACTGACTCTCTCAATCTGATCCAAAACAGCGCATCAGCGGCATCCTCAACTCGGCTCGCAAGGAGCACACCGAGGCAGTGCAGAGCCGCATCGACTCTGTGAACCAGCAGCGGGACGTTGTTGACATCACCAAGTCGCTCTACGCTGTCGCAAAGGAGACGGCCCAGACGGAGAAGGAGGCCTTTGAGCTGAGCCAGCGCACGGCCATTGCCTCGGAGGTCAAGAGCGTCCTCGACTCGTGGGTCCGGTACGAGGCACAGGAGCGCGAGGAGGAGCAGAGGCAGCTGGCCAAGTCTGTCATCGAAAAGGTGCTGGGCAGCCTCAAGGACGACAAGCTTCAAAAGCAGATTCTCGACAACGCCGTCGCAGAGGTTGAGCAGCTCGTCAAGAGCAAGGCGATCTAAATGGTCCTCTTGCTGCTTCTTTATAATCTTTGTCCGCTGTAGGGGAGATGACGGTAGAATAGCAAATGAAAGAGGAAACTGAAAGAGGAGACCGGGCCAGTCGATCAGGAAAGTCGCACATTGAATTTCAGGTCCACTTGGAGCTATCATGTAGAGTCAACTGCCATAGCTTCCGCTGTCCTCGGTGCCGTACCCTCCTCTTCGCTCTTCTTTGCCAATCCCTCGCGGTCCAGCAGTCTCGTGATGTCCGTTGGCCTAAAGATCCTGCTGAGCGGCTTGCCGGACTGGTCGAGGGAGAGAGTCGCAAATTCGACTGCGAGAAAGTAGCAGGGATCAGAAATGCTGCATCGAGCCACAATCGCCGAAATCCCATATGGGAGACTCACTCTTCTCACTGTCCAGCGTCGTCGAGTCCATCGTCTTGCTCAAGACCTTGCAGGCCAGGCTCATGGCCTCTTGGATGGTCAGATCGTCCTTGTAGTCCTGCTTGAGGAGGCTCGTCGCTGTCCCGTTGTTGCTCCCGATGCACGTCGCCTGATCGACGAGCCGCTTCAGCATTTGAATCATTATCTGAGGGCAGTGAGAATCAGCTCACCTTCCATCCTGAGTAGTTTCCAGACGGGTCCGAGTGGTACAGCTGGAAGTTGTGATGAGGATCGTAGCCGGCGTAGAGGAGCGAGACACCAAAGGGACGGAGACCGCCGTACTGTGTGTAGCCCTGCTTGAGGTCGCAAAGGCGCTGAGCCAGTTGCTCAACGGGCATGTCGTCGTCGTAGGCTCGCAGATGGCGCTGCGCCGCATTTCGGGCGTAGTTGATCAGCGAATTGGCATCGGCCGTGATGCCGGCGACACCAGTCATGATGTTGCTGTGGAGCGCAAGGAACAACAGACGCTTGTCAGCCGGAGCAGCAAGAGGGGCAGGAGGTCGTCGCACAGTACGCACTCGGACAGAGAATAGATCTTCTCGCTGCTCGTATCCTGCTCAAGCAGCTTGCTCGTCACCTTTTTCTCGGCGGCCAGCACGACTCCGTCCTTTGCGAGGATGCCCACGACCGTTCCAGCGTGCGAGATGGCCTCCATGGCATACTCGACCTGGTAGAGCCTGCCCTCAGGGCTGAAGGTCGTCGTCCGTGAGTCGTATCGCCGAGACATTGTGGCTGCTTGCTTTGTCGTCGACGGTAGACGATCCAACCAACTTGGGGAGGAGCAGCCGTCGCCGAGAAGACGCGCGTTGCTCTGTGGCTCGTGCTCCTCGGCCGAGACATCAGTGCTTTCAATTTTTTTCCTTGGGCGTGCTCTTACAAAACGTTGGTGGAGCGAGCTCTTTTTTTGTTTTTTTGTCAGAGAAGCAACAACGTCGGTAGGGAGAGAGGATCTCATTGCAACACGGACAAAGGTCGATGCAGGCCACACCCACTGCGGCTCGGGCCAGCAGCGTGGCGATCGCTGCCGTTTCCGTCTACCTGGGAGGCTGGGGAATATACTATGCCATCCAGGACACCGCCAGGCGAGCGGCGATTAGGTCAAGGCGTCGGAAGTATCCCCTGCAGCCGAGACCGGCGGGACTGGTCCCGACACGGGCGAGGAGCGCAAGCGTAGCTTCGACAGCATCCACAAGCGAAGAACATGTAGAAGGGTCCGAAGAGCTCCCCAATGCCCGGGTTGTGGAGCGTGCCTCGCCCAAGAGCGCAGATGTCCACCAGCACATGCGCTGGTATGGCGCGGCCTCTGCCATCGAACACCAGTCGATTCGGTCTCGATTTGCTCCCCTCACCATCCTGGGTCGCTACCTGAATCCCTTCGCCGAGTGGAGAGAGGTGGGAGCGTGGGAATTTCTCTACTGGAAAGTGATCTACACGCCACTGCGCTACCCGAGCAGATTGGTCTGGGACGGCGGACTGGCGAAAGATCTCGAGAGCGAAGAGGGTAGGAAGAAAGTGAACAACGTCCTCCCGGTCAAGCGTCTTGATCGGCAGAAGCTGTGGGGTCATGAGGAGGGCTGGGAGGTTGTATCCAGCGATGCCTCACTTCCTCCGCCCTGCGCCAAGGCCACAGGCACGACTTTTACCTGGTGAGCTAGCCCTGATCAGAGAATTGAGAGGCTCTTCAAAGATGGACGCTCACACCAGGGCCGTCACTCCCCAGGATTGGTCAAAGCACCTGCCTTGTCCAGATGAATGGCGTCAATATCCTCACGGACCCCGTGTTCAGCCCTCAACCGATCAAGAGCATCTTCAGCCCGACGCGGATGAGACCACCGCCATGCCAGATCGAAGACTTAATTGAAGAGCGAGGCCGCATCGACATTGTACTCATCAGCCACAAGTAAGTTGATGCCCCTCTAGGCTTCGAGCTTTGGGACTGATCGATGATGCGTCACATCTAGCCACTTTGACCACATCGATGTCTCGGTGATTCCCAAGCTGTCGCCAGAGACATGCTGGGTGGTACCCTCCGGTGTGCGGGACCTTCTCGAGCGTCACGGCGTGCTTCCTGAGCAGATAACCGAGCTCGAATGGTGGGAGCAGAGCATGGCCGACGTCGAGGTGCCGGCAAGGAACACGTCGGGCACGGTCAGCCATGTGGACCGCAAAGTCACCGTGAATGCCGTCCCTGCGATGCACTGGACTGGTAGAGATCTGCTCGGTGTCAACCGTTCGCTCTGGAATTCATACGTGGTCCGCGTCGGTGGTGGAAGTCAAGATGAGCCAGGTCTCAGGGAAGCATCATTTGTGAGTAGGCAACGCGCGTATGCTGGAGCAAACCGAGATTCCTGACCTGATAAATCCCTCCAGTTCTTCTGTTGCGACTCTGGGTACTCGCCACTCATGTTCTCATCGATTGGACGAGCGCTGGGGCCCATCGACGTTGCGGCTGTTCCCATTGGGTCCTACATGCCTCTCTGGCACATGTCGATCCAGCACTGCAGCCCATCGGATGCAGTCCAGATGGCACTCGACGTCGGGGCAAGGCAGGCGTTTGGCACGCACTGGGGCACGTGGAGCATGAGTGACGAGGCGTGGGACGAGCCTCCCAAAGATCTTGGAAAGGCCCTTGACGAGCAGGGCCTCTCTCGGAAATACTTTAGAACGCTGCCGTTTGGCGAGACGGTCGACGTGATCATTCACGGCAAATAAGACTGCGCCATGCGATGACTGTCCATCACACTACTGCTAGAGATACCCCTTTCCTTCACTCGTTGCAATCATTGGGATGATCATAGACATGGAATTTCACCATTCACTGACACATTCCCGCTCGTCATTGTTGTGTTACTTCGCTGCGCGTCTAATGACGTGAGGGAGGAAGGGTGGAGGGAGGCAGAATGACGCACAGACCACACGAGCAGGCTACGAAACTTTCAACCCCCCCCCCTCCCTCTCTCTTTCTCCTTACCATCGACAAGGAGGCAGAGAGTCGCAAAACATGACTTCGAATACGCCAAATCAGCACCTGATACTTGCGGGCGGGGCTGCTCTGCTCGCCGCCCTGTCTTCTGCAGGCTACCTCTTCTTCTACTCGTCTTCTTCGGCCGCGTTCCTGCCTCCCTCTGTCCGGTCGTCCCTGCGCCTCTCGACGCAGCTCGAAGCCCGCGCGCTGCGCTCGCTCTCGTACCTGCTCGAAGCCTTTGGTCCCAGTGGCAAGAATGCGCCCGGATGCCCTGCTGGCACCATGATCGCCAGTCCCTCGCGCCCAGGCTCCCGGCCGGGCGGTGCGGACGAGAACGAAAACTACTTTTTCCAATGGCCGCGCGACGGTGGACTGTGCTTGCGCGAGGTTGTTCGGCGCCTCGTCTCGGCTGCCGAGGTGGGCGACGTTGTGGGCGTGCAGGAGGAACAGGCCAGCAAGCTCGAGACGATCGTGCGCGACTTTGTCAAGATGAATGTCAAGCTGCAGCACACGTCCAACCGCGCCGGCAACTTTGAGACTGGCGGCCTGGGCGAAGCCAAGTTTGAGGTTGACGGAAGTCCGTTCGACGCCGACTGGGGCCGGCCCCAGAACGATGGACCCTCGATCCGCGCCATTGCTCTGACAGCCTACGCGCTACACCTGCTCGAGAAGCGGCCGCGGTCCAACGACCACGGCTACGTCGTCTCGACGCTGTACAACAAGGACGTGCCCAGGACAATCATCAAGGCGGACCTCGACTATGTGGCACGAGCGTGGAGCGAAAAGACTTTCGAGCTCTGGGAAGAGGTCTGCGCTGATCCTTCCGCTGGTGGCGGTCACTTCCACACGCTCATGGTGCAGCGCAGAGCGCTGTTGGCCGGCGCCAAGCTGGCGTCGCACCCTTCGATCAACGACGACGAGTCTGCGGCCAAGTACCGCGAGCAAGCCAAGAAGATCACCGCGCATCTCTACAAATTTTGGAATGCAGACGGCAAGATCGGCCTCGAAGGCGGGCCTGCGATCGAGCAGGGACCCATGGCAATCCACTGGGACGATGCGCGGAACCTGTCCAAGATTCCAAAGAAAACGGTGCTGCATGCACCCCACATCGTCGGCACCCTCGCCCGCGTCGCTGGCCAGCAGAAGCCTACGCAGGCCGACACGGCCGTCCTCCTCGGCTTCCTCCATGGTTTCTCGGGCGACGTGTCCGACATTCCACCGTCGTCGTCGGCTTCGGCGTCGGCGTCAGCGTCAGCGTCTGCGTCTGCGTCGGAGGCGAGAGGAGGCGAGGATCTCGAGGCGGGCAGCAAGTGGACGCCCTGGGACAGCAAGTGCCTCGCCACGCTGTACCGCCTCGTCAACGTCTTCAAGCACGTCTATCCCATCAATGCTAGCCACGACGTCTCCACTGGCGTCCTCCTGGGCCGCTACCCAGAGGACGTGTACGACGGCGTGGTCCAGAGCATCGCCCACCCCTGGTTCCTCTGCACCCACGCCGTGGCAGAGGTGCTGTACGTGGTGCATGCCCACTACGCCGTCAGCACCTGGCTCTCCATCGATGTCTACTCGCTGCCCCTCTTCCAGCTCTTTGTGCCCAGCATCACGACGGGCACCTACGCGCGCGGATCAAAAGAGTACGAGCTGCTGCTGCGCGGCCTGCGCCGCATGGCCGACGGCTACCTCGACGTCGCCGGGCGCTACGCGGCAAAGGACGACAAGATGAGCGAGCAGATCAACCGCTATTCAAGCCGCATGCGCGGTGCCAGGGAGCTCAGCTGGAGCTACGCCAGCTTCCTCAGCGCCTGGGCTGCCAGACGCAGGGACTTTGTCAAGGTCTAGATGCCGAGATGCGGTCTCTCTCTGAAGTGAACGATAATCTTTGTAATCAACCAATTGCAACTACGAAGCCCAGAAGGGGTATACATGTCTCTCTGTGTGTGTATGCGTGTTTGGAGGATGGGAATGCCTGTTCGAACGGTATCTTTGCCAAGGGAGGGTGCCTATTCAGACGGTATCTTTGAGCCAATGTGCTTGAGCTTGCCCATGAGTTTGCGCCCCATGCTTGGCTGGGCGTCGCCGCTCTCGGACGCTTGAGAATGGGGACTGTGGCTCTGCGCACGGGCAGCCAGGTGCTGTGATGAAGAGGACTTCTGGTGGGAAGAACCCGGTCGAGAGTAGTCGGACGCTGGACCGAGGTGGCTGGCTGCACCAGGCTGCGGGTGTTTGGGAGGTTTCCCAGGAAGCCCATCGGGTGGCGAAGCAACCTTTGGCGGCGGCGACAGGCTCGATGTCGACGAAAATGCCTGCGCCGGTCTCCTCTGACTCGCCTCAAATTCGTCAATCTTTTCCTTTGAGAGAAAGATGGCAAGCTCTTTGGGCGCCGAATACGGTTCTGCCGCCGTCGCCGATGACGAGGAGGAGGCATAGTCGGACGGATTCGCTGCCGGCTCTGGCGCGTTGAGCTTGATGATCTTTGGTCTCTGGCTCGCCTGGGGTGGGGTTGCAGGAGCAGCTGGCGTTGACTTTTGTCCGTCGATCGAGGGATCGCGCACATACTGGTACAGGTCTTCGGCCACTTCGCTCGATCCTGGCTGGGGATCCAGAGTGCGGCCCTTGGCCGTCGGTGCCAGCTTGCTCCATTTCGACTTGACCTCGGCCGCGACTCGGACAGCGACAAAGGACGTCTGGGGTGTGAGAGCGCGCAGAATGATCATGTAGCAACCCTGACCGCCCACATCGACTCTTAAAAGGTTGACGGCGTGCTGTGCAAGCACCTCGACGGGCGTGTGCAGGTCCACAACGATCTCATTGGCTTCTGGCCGATAAGCCCGCGACGGCTCTGTATGCGTCGTTTGCGCATTCTGCTGCGGCTGTCGTTGTGGCGCAGCGTCGGCGCTCTGCTTTGGCGAACCAACCGAGCTGGCGCCTGCGAGTGCGGCTGGGTTGGCACCCGTGCCTGACGTCTGACCGAGTCTTTCCGCCTTGTAGGGACCTGACCAGTAACCATCCTCGTTGTTCACGCCCTCACTGGGGACCATGATGGGGGCACCCATGTAGATGTTGCCGCTCTCTCGGTCCTTGTGCTTCTCGTCGTACTCGACGTCGAGCGAGACGAGGAAGGCCATGACGGCGAGAATCTCCAGACCCCTCTTGTCGCCCACTTCGATCCTCTGTACGTTGTAGTCAAACACCTGGAAGAAGGCAGGGCGGGATTTTGTCCGGGAATGGTACCTCGCGATCCTATCCCGGGGAGATGGGGATCAGCATATGACTATGCAAAAAGCAGGAAGAACGGAAGAAACCAACTCACTCAATTTCTGGGTCGGGCTTGCGGATCGCCACAATCTCATACTCCTTTCCGTCCCTCCGGCAGGCGAACTCGTTTTGCTCCCACTTGAACCTCCATTCCTGCTTGAATGTCATCTTTTGCTTCTCGAGCGCCACGACTGCGTCTGGGTTCATCAGCCTGATTTCCTTTGTCCGCTCCAGCGTCGAGGGCGACTGTACGCTAGCCAGGGGCAGCATGAGCAGTGAGTCGACGAGCTGGACATCGTAGAGAGGGCCCAAGGTCACCGCGCGCGAGAAGGAGTAGGATGGTGCGACAATCTGGTCCTTGGTGCTGTATGAAGGCTGCATCGGCACGAGGTCCATCATCCTGACATCGTGTCTACGGCGAAGCAGCGTCAGAGTGAAAAGCTGGCTGTCGTGGACCATGATTGTCGTTGCACAGCAAGCAGCTACTGCAGCTGCTGCTGCAGTATGTGACGTTTGGGGAGTGGGTTGGGTTGGAGAGAGGTGGGGATCGACTGAGGCCCGGTAAAAATTGCGAAGAAGGCGCTGCGCTTGGGCCACGTTGAAACGAGCACAGCCTTTCTTTCTGACGCGTTTCCGCTTGCCGGCAAAGTGGCTGCGCCCTCGGGGTACCGTCATTGCCCTGCCTCCTGGAGATGATCAACAAGCAATCCCATTTAGAGTCCATTGGAGCGAGCAGTATAATACAGAGAAGAAGCTATGATTAGAAAGACTTGGTGAAAGAGAAGAAAGACGGAGGCAGACCGAAAGCTTAGGGCGAAACGGCTGACAGATCCAGCCACCGGAGTGAGATGTTCTTGACCTTCTTTGCGACAAAGGCAATGCAGTACGTCGACTTCCCGTCTGGCTCGATCATGTGCCGAAAGCGCTGATGCGCCTTGACCTCCATGATCCCTGCGCGCTGGCACCGACCGATGAAAAGGGCAAAGCCCGAGGTATCCCTTCCGCCAAGGAAGGTGTCGCGAAGCGTAAAGGCGATCCAGGCGTCAGGTGCCAGAAGATTATAGGCAGAGGTGAAGGCGCGCGGAGGCAAGTCATCGGGCCCGACCGAGGATGCGCAAGTGAGAAGGTTGAACGAGTCCGGCTCCAGGCTGACCTCGCCAAGTGGGGAAGAGGGGCCTTCAGTTTTAGCAGAGGCTGCAAAAGAAGGTAGGACGTCGTAACCGTCGAACACCTCTGGACGGTCGCGGTCGGCGGCCAACTTTGCCTCGGGCATCGCATCGATCCCTCGAACGTAACCGACACCCAGCTCCCGGAACTGCTGGGCAAGAAGACCGTTGCCGGCGCCGAGGTCGAGCATGCGGATGTGTTGGAGACAGGCAAGGCCCTCGCGCTTCGTCTCTTCGTTGAACAGCTGCGCAAGCATGGCGGGGGTAGGGCTTCGGAGCACGCGGCGGAAAAGGACCTCGAAAAGACCAGGCGTGCGATAGATTTCGGCCAGATCCGAAAGCTCAATGGTTTTACGGAGGAAAGGTGCCTCGTCCGCGGCAGCCGAGTGCGAGCGGATCTCGCAGTGGCAGAAGCTGGGCTCATCGAGCTTCCTTTGAGAAGAAGAGGCAGACGAGAGAGGGTGGCCAAATCCAGTGGGCGACGAAGGCGACGAAGAGGGTGGCGTCACCCGAACTTTGACCGTGTGGCCGCTGTGGGACATAGACGCCGTCATGGGCAGCTGGTGAGGTGCAGTGGGCTGTACGGCAAGCATTGTTGGACAAGCTCGTCAAGGAAGATGGCAAGGGGAAGGGGTGAAGGGAAGATTGTTAAGGTGCGAGAACAAAGCCCCTCTCCTTTTCAAGGGCATCGCCGCTGTTGGCTTGACCGCCTGAATTGCTGAATGACAGCTCTCGATGCAGGCGCAAGGGAATGAGTAAGTTTCAATGAAGACTTATGAAGGACCGAATGAAGATTAAAATTTCCGTTCCAGTTTCTATTCTGAACAAGAGACAAGAGACAAGCATGTGAACAGCTGCGCCTATCAGTTTCGTCCCGCAATTGCCTGTCGCAAGTCAAAGATAGACATTTGGAGGCGAAGCGCGTCAAGATCCTAGGGTGCAGTAGTAGGAGGTGGTATCACGCAACAGAGAGGTCACTCTAGGGCCCGCCCCTTTTTGGCGGCAACTAGCCCGGTTTTTTGATGCGCGTTTGATCTGGCCGACGGCATAGAACGCTCGCGGGCTTCTAAATCTCATTGCCGATGCAATCAGTTCTTATTTCGTCTGCTTGCTCGTGCGAATCACTACTCACACTGCTGTGCATACAATGCAGTGGAAGCCAGTCGGGCAGAAGTCTCCGAGAACCAAATTTCAAGAGCGCCTGCCGGACTACGGAAATGGGGCAAAACTGTTTCTATTGACGTCTCAGATTAGTTCCAGGGAGATCGACCAAGACGGGTCTTCCAAATGAAAATTTTTGAAACATAGACGGTTTCACCACTGCGCCTCACATTCATCGCTGTGATCACGCAAAACATAGGGCCAACCGCAAACCAGAGCCATGACACATGCGCCTGCTGATAGACAGTCGCACGGGTCAGCAAGCTATCTCAATCGATCAATGTCAGCGATGAGGTTCTCACAGGCAGACAAATGAAAATTCAAGTTGCTACTTTGTTTGGCAACATCGTTGCCGCTCGAGCCTTACACCTTGCACCTCGCTTGTGCACCGCCGTGCCGAAGCCAGAGTGTAAGACATAAACATCACATTTAGCGACCTATCAATGGCTATCTTTGAAATTTCAGCTGGCGACGGCAGTGCAGGCCACCATTGTCGGAGGCAAGGTTGACCGTGAGGGAAAGATAGAGACAGCTAAGATATGATTCGCTTTGTTCCCAGATTGGAAACAACATTGACATCCACCCTTTAGTCTGTGCTCGAAGCGATGGAGGCAACATAGGAGAGACTCCCAGTGCCAGCTGCGAAATGACAAGTATTGGCGAAGAAGACTCATCAGGAGATATCTGAAAAGGCTCGTCCTAAAGGCCCCCCTAGTTGACATTACCCTCCTTCAGTCCCATCACCTGGCCACCTTTTCGTACAAGAGATGTCCTTGACAAGTAACCGCACGGTCCACAGGAGGAGCGATCCCGACATGGAGAAGGACAGCGGTCCGTCTTCTAGCGGTAGGAGCTCTCCGACGCTCGATGTCAACGCAGAGAAGAGAGGCATGACCCGAGACGACTCTTCTGGCACCATCGTAGTGGGCGATGCTACTCCCAAGAGCATGTCTCGCGGTAACTCCACCGAGAAGTTGTGGGAGAAAGAGTTCCTCGTGACATGGCAAGAGGGCGACGCTGAGAATCCGCGGAATTGGTCGGAGGCATACAAGTGGTTCGTATTCATCGTCTACTGCGCCCAGCAATTCAACGCAAACGCCATCAGCACCCTTTGGACGCCCGGGACGCAAGAGGCAGCCAAAGAACTTGGCGTCTCTGAGGTAGTCATGTCTCTCGCCACCGCCATGTATCTCTTTGGTTTCGGCGTCGGCCCAAGTCTCGTCTCAGGCGCCGCCGAACGGTGGGGTCGAAAGGTCGTAGAGGCACCTCCACTGGCTCTTATTGCCATCTTCCAGATCCCCACAGCCTTGGCGCCCAATGTCGCTGTTGTCCTCGTCTTTCGTTTCCTGGCCGGATGCGCTTGCGCCGGCACTTTCAATGCCGCTGGCGTCGTCGCTGATCTGTGGCCTCGCGAGGAGCGAGGATGGCCGACGGCTTTCTTTGTACTCAACAGTATCGGTGGCTCCAACATCGCCGCTGGGTTCGCAGGCTACCTTGTCATGGCCGTCGGCTGGCGATGGACGTTTGGCATTGGCGGCATTTCAACGGCATTCATGCTCCTCTTTGTCTTTTTGCCCTTTGCCGAAGAGACGCACCACGGCGTCCGCCTCAAGCGCCGAGCAAAGAAGCTTCGAAGGGAGACGGGAGACGAACGCTATTTTGCGGACCACGAAATGAAGACGACGGGCCAGCACCCTCGCCAGATCATCTTTGAAACGCTTCTTAGGCCGACGTGGATGCTCTTGACGGAGAGCATCGTCTTTTGGTTTGGCTTGTTCGAGTCTCTGACTTACATTGGTGAGCACGTCGATAGAACGACTGAATGGAAGCATAGACGGCTGACCGTATCAAAATCAGTTATCTATCTCTTCATCGGCTCGTTTCAGCTCATCTATGTTCAGTACGGATTTAACATGGGCGAGCAGAATCTGGCCTTCTTCGCCATCGTCCTGGGCTTCTGCATCGGCTTCTGCATGTTCCCCATTCAAAAGGCCCTTTGGAGGCGAGCAGAGAAGAAGGGTCCGATGGAGAATGGCAAGCCGTCGCCCGAAGCGAGGCTGCTCTGGGTCATGCCAGCCGGTGTCCTCTTCTCCTCGTCACTCCTCTGGTTCGCCTGGACCTCTCGGCCCCCCGTACCGTGGATTGTCTCGATGATCGCCCTCGTTTTCTTCGGCATTGGTGCCTTCATCACGTGGGTTGCAGCTGCTTTCTGTCTTCAGGCTCTCCGCTGAGCTTCTTCTTGCACTTCTACAGCTTCACGGGTGCCACCGAGTACGTGATCGCGTCTTACGGGCCTGTCGCTACGAGCGCCACGGGCGCCCAAAATCTACTCCGGGAAACACTAGCCGGCTCTTTGACTATTGCCTCTGTGCCTATGTACAAGGGCCTGGGTAATCAATGGGTGAGTTCCTCTGTAATTCTCCCATTTCGGTACCTCCATTCGGGCGAAGAAGGCTGACGTTAACCTTGGCTGTTCTTCCCATCACAGGCAACGACGCTACTGGGCTGCTTCGCCGCCCTCGTCGCCCTCGTGCCCTTTGTCCTCTTCAAATACGGCCCTGCTATCCGCAAGCGGTCGCAGTACCATCAACTCATCGTTGAATCGATCGACACCTAGGTTCCCTTCCACCTGTACGATAGAGCCCAGCCCACCTCAGCATTGTGTGACACTCGAACACATTTCCGCCTTTTTTCAAGGCACGTGAGAAAAAGACTGGCAATGAAAATCAAAGGGAAAAGAAAAGAAGAAAGGCGGAGAGGAAATTTGAGAGAGAAGCGCTCGAGAGGAAAAAAAACGCCAGCGCTGAGGCCGAGGCGCGCTGAAGCGTGGACCCTCGAAAGCAGATATTTAAGAACCCCTGCCACAAACGAGCTAGGCCCGCGCCCGACGCTTCCCTCTTTTCCCCCCGAAAAAAAAAGTCATTTAGAAGTCGACTTTCGCGCGCGCGAGGGGGGAAAAGTCGCGTCTAATTTTGGTTTGCCTTCTTCTGAAACGGACGATTTCGGCCGACCAGGCCGAGACCGGGTCGTCTTCGCAAGGCGATCCATCGTCGTCACCGACACCGTCGTTGCCAACGTCGCCGTGATCGAGTCGAGGAGGTCAGCGGTGGTGGGCGGCCATGGCGGCTGCACAGACCCGTGAGTTGATGGTGTGCTTTCTTCTCCCAGGCTTCATTCTGACTGAGCACCGTGGCAGGCCTCGACCGCTTGGTCACCCTCCTCGACTCGGGCTCCACTCCTGCCATTCGAGGCACGGCAGCGAGGCAGCTGGGCCAAATTGCCGCTCTTCGTGTTCGTGGTGTAGCTTCGTCGGAGCAGCAGCAGCAGCAGCAACAGTCGGCGGCGCACGTGGAGGGCAGCACGAGCTACAAGAGGGAGGAAGAGTACGATGAGACGAAGGCCGTAAAACAAGAGTCGCCTTCGGGTGCCTCGACACCAGCTTCAACTGCACCGCAAGGGGGCACGGGAGCAGCAACAGCAACCGGGGTGTCCTCAGGTGGTGCAGCGGGGGAAGCCTCTTCCCACTATGCGGGGATCGAAGGCGACTGGAACCAGGCCGTGTTCCTCCTTGCTCGAGTCCTCCCTCATCTTCGATCAAAGACATGGGATACCAGGGTTGCGGCCGGCCAAGCCATTGAAGCCATCTGCTCGGCAGCAGGCACGTGGGATCCCGATCAAGTGCCGGGAGAGGCGAAAGTAAAGATCAAGGAGGACCCCGAGCAATTGGAGAAGGAGGGGGAGGAACAAGAAGACGAGTCAAAAGCTAAGGCGAAACCGGCCGAGCTTCTGGGCTTCTCCACCTTTTCTCTCGCGCAGGTTCTCACCACTGGCAAGAAGCTTCTCTCTTCCGCAGGTTCCGAGTACGATCTCCCTGCCTTTTCGTCCGTAGAGGACCGACTTGCGCATGCAAAGAGAGACATGCAGCGACTAGGCTTGGGCAGTCTGGCGGGCGAAGAAGTGGACCTGGGCATGGACGTCGAGCAAGAGCTTCTCGGCGCGCCGACTCCAGAGGCAGATTCTTCCTCGTCGAAGCAGTCCCCTCCTCTTGGCTCGCGTCCAAAGACGCCAGGCGGTGGCTTACCACCTCCCCGTTTCGCCCCACAGGCCGCCAAATCCTCCCTTCCTGCCCCGCGCTTCGCTCCTGGAGGCGCCGACACAAAAGAGTCGAGCGGGAGTCCAACACGGAAGCCTCTGCAAGCTGCTGTGGCCATGCCACCTCCATCACTTCCTGACGCGAAGGCTCTTCACCTCAGCCCGCCCTCATCGTTGTCGTCATCGATGACGGCGACAGCGGCGACAAATGCGACGACGGATGCGATGTCAGACGTGACGACACCTGTTGAAGAAGTAGATCTCAGTAAGCTGAGTGCGAGGGAACGCAACCAGCTCAAACGCAAGCGCAAGCTCGAGGAAAAAGGTGTGATGAGCGGCAGCAGTGGGAGCGAACCCACCAAAGCCCGCATCGTCGAAGCGACGCCGGCTTCGACGCCTTCGACTGAATCGGTTCCAAACATCAAGATCAAGACGTCGTCATTGACGGGCAACGGCGCGACAGCTCCGAATCACTCACTTAAAACGCCAGCGACACCACTGCCCTCTACGCCGTCCGGGGCGACGGGGGGAGACTACCTCACTGCTAAGCCAGCAGGCACGGTGAACAGCACGGATACGCAGTCGCCTTTCACGCCACGTGGCAGCGTCGATAGCACCGCGCTCGCCAACGCTGCGGCGGCCAATGCAACGTCGTTGATTGCGCCTGCTGGCCAGTGGCCCTTTGTGCTTGTTGGTACCTTGCTTCTCGCCGATCTCTTTTCGCCAAAGTGGGAGATCAGACATGGGGCAGCTTTGGGCCTTCGCGAGCTGTTCAAGACACAAGGAGCAGGCGGCGGCAAGGTGCTCGGCGTCGGAGCGGGGGCCAATGCAGATTCGCACACGGCCTGGTGTGAGGATGCCGCCATCCGCCTCTTGTGCGTCCTCTCCCTAGACCGGCTCGGCGATTTTGTCTTTGATCATGTCGTCGCGCCAGTGCGCGAGACGGCCGGCCAGACTCTGGCTAGTCTCCTCAAGTGGATGCCAGCCGAAGCCGTGTCCAAGGTGCACGAGGTCCTCATAGCCATGGTACGTCAGGACTTCACCATCGATGAAGCGCAGCAAAGCTCCAAGAGTACGCACTCGCGCATCAAGCAGCTCGAGGCAAAAAGAGGTTGCAAGGGCTACGCATGGGAGGTTCGCCACGCGGGCTTGTTGGGCCTCAAATACGAAGTGTCCGTTCGACGCGATCTGTTGCTGAGTGACGGTGCTCATCCGATCAAAGAGGAGGAGGAGGAGGAGGAGGATAGCAAGATGCGAGACGGCGATGGCCCACGGGCCAGCGACAAGCTGCGAGAGATCATCAATACTGCCATTCTATGCCTGCGCGATGACGACGATGACGTGCGCGGCGTTGCTGCTGCCACGCTGTTGCCAATCGCCGATCTCTTGCTCGAACATGTCCCTGAAGCCATCGGCGAGCTCCTCGATCAGCTCTGGGATTGCCTAGGTGATCTCAAGGACGACCTCTCGAGCAGTACCGGCGGCGTCATGGACCTGCTCGCTCGGCTCGTCGAAAACTCACGGGCAATTGCACATCTCAATCTCGAGGACAACATCGAGCAGAGCCGGAGTGTATCGAATCTGGTCCCAAGACTCTTTCCGTTCTTCCGACACACTATCACCTCTGTCCGGCTTTCTGTCCTCAATGCGCTTTCCGTCTTTTTGTCAGTGCCTTCGCTTTCGCGGGACTGGATCGATGCCAGGGTTCTCCGCCTGCTATTTCAAAACCTCATCGTCGAAGAGAGGCTCCCGATTCGAGAAGCAAGCAAAAAGGCCTGGACAAAGGCGTTGACCATTGTCGTGGAAGCTGGTGGACCAGCCCGGCTCGTCGACTTGGTCAAGCCTCATTTGAGCTCTTTCTTTACCATTCTCATGACTCCCCTTGGGTCTCCCCTTGACTTTTCTTTGTTCTACAAGGCATCGACGAGCGCAGGCGTGGGGGGCGGAGATGCGCACAACGTCGACAAGGGCATCTTGGCTCAGGACCTTTCCCTCGTCGGCGTCGACACTGTCATTCGTGGTCGTCTGGGCGCTGCAGAAGCTTTGGGAAGCATCATGGCCCATTGGCCTCGCGAACTGGATGATGAAGCATTTCACGACAGTCTGGTGCGCTACATTTCGTCATCCTCGGCGCTGCAAAAGTGCCTGGCCTCGGCCGTGGTGCAGGAGTGGTCCGAGTCGGCCACCAAGATCGAGGTCAACATCCTTGAGGCTAGCCCCATCTCACGATCCGTCGGGGCCAGACTCATCTCGATTCTCGAATCGCCACCACCCGACACTTATGCAGAGATGGCTGTGATGCTGCAGCGGATCCAGACTGGCTGCCAGGGCCTCTATACGGCCTTCCAACGCGACGCCAAGGTTGCCAAGACAAAGATCCCAACACTGCCCTCGAAAGTCGATCCTCTCGGCCGGAGTGCAGATGGATTCACAGTCGAGACAGCCAAAGACGTCGTGGGAAAGGGTTTTGACGCTCTGCTGGGCCTAGTCTCCGCCAAGACGCGAAAGACAGCTCAGGCGGCCCTCGACGAGCGACGGATGAAGCTGATTGCCGATCTCGGCTTCTACCAAGCAACAAAGAGCAAGCAAGACACCCAGGTCGCGGCTTGTGCTGCAGCGGCCGTCATCGGCCTCAAGCTGATGCCTTCGAAGCTGAACCCCGTCATTCGGAGCATCATGACCAGCGTCAAGTTCGAGGACAACTACGATCTCCAGCAGCGATCTGCGCGTGCCGTAGCCAGCTTCATTGGCTTCTGCTCGTCGCCGGCTGCTACTGCAAATCCAAGCGATAAGATCATCAAGAACTTGTGTGCTTTTGTGTGCCAAGACACAACGCAGACGCCCATCTATGCCAACGCAAAGGACCAGCTCGAGGGTATTCTCTCTATAAACGAAGTGCCTCCAGTTGCGCCAAAGTGGAAAGGACGAGGAGGCGGCCCTGTCTCTCAAGCGGACGCAAATGAGCCAGAAGAAGTTCGCGAAGGCAAGCTGATCCGGCGCGGGGCAGAAATGACTTTAAGGGAGGTCTCGCGCCTCTTCAGAGATCGCCTCTTCCACGTCGTCCCCACGCTGTGGGACTGCATGAGCGCGCCCCTGCTGGATGCCTTTGGCAAGAGCAGCGACGTCAAGGAAGCACAAGGGCTGGATGTGAAGGACGACGGACAGGGCCAAACGGTCATCGATTGCTGCACGCTGCTGCAGGCCAATCTCGCCAACTTGGACGCGAGCCTGCATCAGGAAGCGCTCGTCTTGCTCCCCGCTCTGACGTCGGCGATCAAGTGCAAGCGTGCAGTCGTCCGCACGGCTGCATCCAAGGCCATCAGCACCATGGCAGAATGCATCACAGAAGCAACGATGATGCACATCGTCAACGATGTCGTGGCGCTCCTTGGCGATGCATCCAATGTATGCAATCGTCAGGGAGCCATCGAGGCCATTTCGCACGTTGTTCAGCTCCTTGATCTCAAGCTCTTGCCTTATGTCATCGTCCTCATTGTTCCCGTTCTCGGCAGGATGAGCGACTCAGACGATGCCGTCCGACTGGTGGCAACAAACACATTTGCGTCGCTCGTCAAGATGGTGCCTCTGGAGACGGGTCTGCCGGATCCTCCAGGCTTCTCGCAGGAGCTTCTCGCTCGTCGCGAGGAGGAGCGCAAGTTCCTCTCGCAGCTCCTGGACGGAACAAAGGTGGAGCCCTACACGATTCCTGTCAAGGTCAATGCCGAACTGCGAAAGTACCAGCAGGATGGCGTCAACTGGATGGCCTTCCTCGCCAAGTTTCAGCTGCACGGTGTCCTGTGCGACGATATGGGCCTGGGCAAGACGCTTCAATCGATCTGCATCCTGGCCGGCAAGCACTACGAGCGAGCGCAACGGTACGAGGCGACAAAGGCGCTTGACACCACGCCTCTGCCATCGCTCATCGTCTGCCCACCCACGCTGACGGGCCACTGGTGTCACGAGATCCGACAGTATTCCACAAATCTTCGACCACTCCTCTACGCTGGACTGCCGCAGGAGCGCGCTCGGCTGCAAGGGCAGATCCCCGAGCACGATTGTGTCGTAATGTCGTACGACACCGTGCGAAATGACATTGCAGTGCTGTCGCAGATCAACTGGCTCTACTGCGTCCTCGATGAGGGCCACATCATCAAGAGTGCAAAGACAAAGACAACAAAAGCCATCAAGATGATCAAGTCCCAGCACCGCCTCATCCTCTCGGGCACGCCTATTCAGAACAATGTCTTGGAGCTTTGGAGCCTCTTCGATTTCTTGATGCCAGGCTTCTTGGGAACGGAGCGCGCTTTCCATGAGCGCTTCGGAAAGCCCATCCTCGCGTCAAGGGACGGCAAGGTGACAGCCAAGGAGCATGAGAGGGCGTCACTGGCCCTCGATGCCCTTCACAAGCAGGTCTTACCCTTCTTGCTTCGAAGGATGAAGGAGGACGTCCTTAATGATCTGCCGCCGAAGATCATTCAGGACATCGAATGTGATCTGGGCGATGTTCAACGACAACTCTACGATGAGTTCAGTCGTACCCAGGACCGCAATGCCATCGAGGGCGCCTTTGAGGGCGACACCGCCGCGGCAGGAGACCCGTCCAAGAAGCATCACGTGTTCCAGACGCTGCAGTACCTTCGTAAGCTGGTCAATCACCCGCTGCTGGTGTTTGACAAGGCAAACAAGAAGCACGTCGACGTCGAGCGGCAGCTGATCAAGTCGGGTTCTTCGTTGCGGGATGTTGCCAATGCGCCCAAGCTCCTCGCCTTGCGGCAGCTTCTCAACGATTGTGGCATCGGCGAGTCTAGTATTGGAGGCACAGGGGGAGCAGTAAGCACCGCTGCCAGCGATGGAGCCGGACCGATCTCGCAGCATCGCGTCTTGATTTTCTGTCAGCTCAAGCAGATGCTCGACATCATCGAATCGGATCTTTTCAAGACGTTGATGCCATCGGTGTCATATATGCGTCTGGACGGTGGCGTTAGTGCTGACAAGCGCCACGGCATCGTCCAGCGCTTCAACTCGGACCCAAGCATCGACGTGCTGCTCCTCACCACGCAGGTGGGCGGCCTAGGTTTGACGCTGACAGGCGCAGACACGGTCATCTTCGTCGAGCACGATTGGAACCCGATGAAGGACATGCAGGCGATGGATCGGGCCCATCGGCTCGGGCAGAAGAAGGTTGTCAACGTATACAGACTCATTACGCGCAATACCCTCGAGGCGAGGATCATGGGGTTGCAGCGCTTTAAGCTCAACGTGGCCAACTCCGTCGTGACGCAGCAAAATGCTGGACTGGAGAGCATGGACACGGATCAGATCCTCGATCTCTTCGACCCAACGTCGGACACGGCTCAGAAAGGTGGAGAGGAAACCGATCAAAAGAAGAAGAAGGGAGGCATCAGCCAGAAGGCCCTGCTGGCCAGCATAGAGGCCATGCCGGACACGGGCGACGATTACGCCGACATGGCAACCTGGCAGGCCTGAGGATACTTGTAACAACAGCGGCATCTACATGCCTATAATTGTCTCTAGTCTCGACTCTCATTACTTTTCCGCTACAAATGTAACAACGCTGAATCTCAAGCACATCTCATCGCTTGCTTGTTGTTTTATACGACCTTTCGTCTGCCCCTCCATCGGATCACGGATCAAGGATCAAGCCTCAATTCTCTGACGGTGACTTCCATCCTCAGCGCTTGTCCCCCGACAGCAGCGGGCAACGCAGAGGCCACGTGTTAAATACAATATTCGTGGAGCTCCATTAAGGTTCTGGGACAAAGCCTTTTTTGTATTGATCCGAAGTGGAGCGTTGTCGCAGCCAGAGAGGAAGGGGAAAAAAAGACAAAACGCCCCCCAGACGCTCCCTCGGATTACGTCTCAACAGCGACAGACACTCTCACGCTTGCTTCCCGTCTCCTCTCGCCGGTCGATACGCTCGCCACAGATTGGGCGACCTCGGCATTTGCGAGAAAGAGTGTGTGTTTGCGTCTGCGTCGCTCTTGGGGTCGGGGTTGAGAGAGGGCAGCGAAGAGAGGAACCGATTTTCCGTGTCGAAGCCGCAAATCACGACACGTCCCTCAGAACCGACTCTCTCGCCATATTTCCTCCTTTTCTTTCCCACAATTGACCGCTGATTCCCAGCAGCGAAAGGGAAAGGTGAGAGGGCGTTGGCGTGAGAGGATCAGGAGGACGGATAGCTTGAAACGACTCGAGTGAAGAGTACCTGCGCAAGAAAGGCGAGGTAGCAGAGACCACCTCGAATGTCTCAACTCGTTCTTTCCTCCTCTACTGCTGCAAATTTGCATCACCATCAGCCACCCAATCATCATCCAACGATCCAGCAGGAACAGCGCTCGCAAGAGCAAGTAGTGCAACATCACTCCGAGCAGCCTTACCTGAACGCGCATACAACCGGCGACACGACGGCGACCACGTCAACGACGAGTGCCAGCCTCGATTCAGCCTCGTCGGGCGATCCAGACGCTCCTCTCTCGCGCGCCGGTCGCCCAAGACGAAAGGCGGCGATAGCATCGCAAGCCGCCACCTCGGCCAATTGGGCCAGCGGCAGTCGACAGCAAGGACGCACCAACGGCAAGGCAAGCACCCAAGTCGTCCCATCCAAGCCTCAACGATTCCCTCCACTCGCGCCAGGATCCGCGACAGCAGGAGCCGCAGTAGTAGCGACGGAAGAATCATCGGTTCCCACCACACCAGCGGCCGCAACTCGACAGGCCGGTTCAGCACAGCAACGCGTCATGGCTGCGCTGCCAAGGGCAAAGCGGCCGCGGAGGTCGGCCCACGAGCCTGACTTTGGCCAGGCCATGGACCTCGGCTCCCATCCTTCCTCATCACTTTCATCCCTGTCCTCGTCATCGCACCGTAATGGTAACGACGTCAACGGGTACGGACACACAAACGGCAGCATCACAGGTGGGACAGCGGTCGGTTCGACGTCGGCAAACCCAATGCTCCAACATCACTCAACCCTGGTTCCGGGGCCATCAATCAACGGGGCTTCGTATCGCAATGGGGCATCTGCATCCAAGCAGAGTTCGGTTCGAGAGGTCATTGCTGGCAAGGTGGGTCATCGAATTGTTCTCTCTCCCCTCCTGCTTTTCTACCGCTCGTGCTCACTTATGTCTGCTCTTTCACTTTCAGGAGCGCGAGGTCTTCGTGGTAGATAGCACTAGCCCGCCAAATTCGACGAACCAGCATCAGCAACATGCATGGAATAACTCTGATAGCGCAGCAGGGCTCGCGAATCCATACGCAACGGCCACCAGCTCAACTGTGCCGAAGGGAAAGAGAAAGGCAGGCGCTTCGCCATTGGCAGCGAAGCCTGCTTCAGGGCAAACGCAGACGGCATTGCAAAAGAGGCGGAGATACGATGCAGCGTAAGTCATCACCGTAGATCCTTTGATGAAACATTTGGGCTAAAGTTGCCTGCAATACAGAGAGAAGGCGGCCGTGGACAGAGAGAGGGGTCTTCATCCTGCGCCAGCGGCAACGAACCACTACGTCGACCGAGAGGTGAGCGTGCTGGCCGTAGCGCAAGCTCCATGGCCTTGCTGACGCTGTAATGCATTTGCAGGCTCTCAGTTATGTCGCACCACCGCCGACCCACACCGTCGATGACAAAGAGGGTCATCTCATTGTGCGCAGTCGAGACTATGTTACTGGTCGATGTGAGTTGCCACTCTTCTCTCCTCGGTTTTCTGGTGCTCGATGCTCACCTCTTCGATCTTGCAGATCAAATTATCCGGCAGTTGGGTCAGGGAACGTTTGGCAAGGTGGTGGAGTGCTACGACATCAAAACGCGAAAGATGGTCGCCATCAAGGTTATCAGAGCCGTACAAAAGTACAGAGATGCCAGCAAGATCGAGATTAGGGTCCTCGACACACTGCGACAGCATGATCCTCTCAACCAGAAGTGAGTTTTATCCCAATTATCCACGATACAAGAAGGCTGACTTGACACCTCGTAGCAAATGCATCCACCTCCTCGATACCTTTGACTTTCTCAACCACGTCTGCATCGTCTCTGAGCTGCTGGGACAGAGCGTCTTTGATTTTCTCAAGGACAACTCATTTCTTCCATTTCCAAGTCGTCACATTTGGTCGTTCGCCAAGCAGCTTCTCCAGAGTGTCGCATGTGAGTGTGCCCCTCCTGGCTAGTCACCACGTTCTGCTCTTTGCTCACAGACAAGTCTGCCGTAGTCTTGCATCGCCTGGGTCTCATCCACACCGACCTTAAGCCTGAAAACATCCTCCTGGTCAACCATGACTACGACTTGGTTCCACTGACGCGCCGGGCGAATTCCAAGCGCAAGCGGGTTCTCAAGGAAAGCGAGATCCGACTCATCGATTTTGGTAGCGCCACCTTCCAGGACGAGTACCACAGCATGGTCGTGTCGACGCGGCACTACCGAGCGCCGGAGATCATTCTTCAGATGGGGTGGACGTTTCCCTGCGATGCATGGTCGATTGGATGCATCCTTGTTGAATTTTTCACAGGCGAGGCCCTCTTCCAGACACACGATAATCTCGAGCATCTCGCCATGATGGAGGCAGTCTTAGGTGTCATGCCCGACGATTACAGGAGAAAGGCAGAGACCTACTTGCCGGCCTACTTCAAGCATGGGCGGCTAGACTACCCCAACAAGGATACGCAAAAACAGTCGAAGAAATACGTCAAGGCGATGAAAAGCCTAGATGTGAGTCGTGCATTCCGTCTCGTTCTCAAGACGTTAGGGTGCTGATGCCGATTTGACTTGCTCTACAGGACATCATCAGATGTCCACCGAGCTTTTCCAAGTTCGAGTCGAGGTTTAAGCACCTTATCAAGCGTTTGCTGACATTTGACCCGGAACAAAGGTGTGTTGTTGAATAATGTCCTGACTGTTGCGCGCCCCCTGACCTCTCCCTTTCCTCTGCAGAATACGTGTGGATCAGGCGCTGCATCACCCATTCTTTGAGCTCACCGAGGACGAAATCCCGCCGTGATGTCAAGTGGCACCAGCATTTGGAGACAGGAAGAGAACGCATTCGTCTATCGTCATCATCGGCATCCTCATCCTCGGTTTTGGAAACATGTAGCATTATATTCCCCTTCATCGCACCACGCCATGACCATCCCCTTACTTATTCTAGAGTCTTTTGTCCCTTCCTCCTCTTGTCATTATCACCCTCCGAACGCCTTACACACTACCCGCACAATACATGTATGTACAGTGCTCTTCTGTCCCGCTTCATTCCTTCGCCAAATCCACATTTCCTCTGGTGATTCGTCGCCCTCAGCAACTTCAAGCGAAAATCGGTCATTGGGGTGACAAAACGTTTCGGTTCACGTGATTTGACGCACAGACTTGGTGTGAACAGAAAAGCGCGAGCGAGGAGCGAGCAAAGGGCGCGATAGATTTGGAGAATTGCAGCTGCACCTGCAGCAGACAAAGGTCCACGACGACGGGCATCCCCCCTCTCACAACGCCCTTCTACTAGACAGCAGCCGCGACTCTCTTCTTCTCTTCGAGTCAAGCGAGTGCTGAGTCTAGCCCGCCCGACGCTAGCAACACCTCCGGTCAAAGGCCCTTGGCACAGCTCACTCACAGACATCCACGCCTCGATCGGCTGCAGCATTGCTCCTTCTGTTCACTTCGCGACACGCAGAGAACCTGCATCGCGCAAAGGAGCGACACGGAGCGACACACAAAGACGACGGGTAGCTACAAAGAGCGGGGAGCTACTGAAAGGCAACGACTGAGCTGGTCTGAGCTGAGAGATGCCACCGAAGAGTGGGTCTGCATCCACTTCGACCTCTACCTCCAAGTCAACAATAGCAACAGCAGCAGCAGCAGCAGCAGCATCGACGGCGGCACCGCAGCAAGCAGACTCTCTTCTGGCAAAAGAGGAGGGAGGAGATCGAGACGACGAAGCCGGGTCAGCTGCTGATACGGAACCGCTTTCGTTTGAGGAAGACGAAGGCATGGCCGACATAGACTCGGTTGAGGCCGGGGCCGAAGCTCTCCAGGACGGGCTTGAGCAGGAGCAAGCAGGGGCTCAGAGAGAGGGCGTTGAGCAAGAACAGGCCGATGAGAACGAGGATGCAAGGATGGATGAGGGCGAAGATGACGACGAGGATGCGGACGGCGAGGCAGACGCGGACGAGGGCGAGGACGGGCAGGAACGAAAGCAGCAGGTCAAAGGCCAGGCTGGTGGAAGCGGATTCAGTGATGACAGCGATCTGTCTGATGAGCCATTCGAAGTACAGCAGCAGGTCTCAAATGCAGATCCTGTCAGCAACCCCAACGGGGCAGATGCTGATGAAGACGAAGAAGATGAGGACGAGGATGAGGATGAGGAAGAGGACGAAGAGGAGAACGACGACGAGTACCAAGAGGGTCGCGCCACGAGGCCCAATCGCAAAGTATCGGCGACCGCTTCCAACAGCAGGACAAGCGCGAGGCTGAGCGCATCCCCCAGCAAGCGCAATACCAAAGGTGGAGCAAGGCGAGGTGGCGCTGGCGAGGTCGAGGAAGAAGAGGAAGATGATGAGGAAGACGAGGATGACGAGGATGGAGAAGGCGATCTCGCTGATGAAGACGAGGCTGCCAAAGGTCTGGCAGCGCTCACAGGAGGCGTAGCGACACAGGAGCAAGAGGAACAAGACGCTCAGAGTGGACTCGATGGTCTGGTCGCCCTGGCTGCTGTTGGTGCAGGACAGGCTGTGGAGCAGGCCCTAGCAGACGAAGACACAGACACGGACAGCATCGCCGGCTCTGTGAGGCGTGTCAAGGGCAAGAAAGGTGGAAAGCGTTCCAAGGGGTCATCTCGCTTGCAGCAAGTCGTCGCAGCTTCGCCCCTGCAGCCAAGCTCGGAACAGGGGGAGGACGAGGAAGAGGACGAGGACGAGGATGGGGACGGGGATGACGAGGGCGATGCAGCTGAGAGCGAAGACGAGGAGGAAGACGAGGAAGAGGATGAGGACGAGGAGGACGACGAAGACGAAGATGCAACAGAAGCGAGTCCCACCAAAGGCACCGAGATGTCTGCCTTGGCTCAGCTCTCGAGTGCTGCCAAGCGGAAAGCGGCCAAGAGGGGAGGCTTGGGAGGCGGTATGCTGGCAGGCGCCCCAGCCATCACTATCGAGGGCGTCGATGGGAGCGCAGCGCCCAGCGCCGCTACCTCGCGCGAGCCCTCGCCTAAAGAGGAGGAGGAACGCCGCGACGAAGAGGTCAAGGTGGATGAAGATGAGGACGCCGGCACAAAGGAGCCCGGCACGCCAGCTCAAGATGTAGAAGACGTTGGTCATGACGAAGGTGAGCTGTTTGAATATGTGAGCATTGGGCGCAGCAGCAACGACTTAACACAGCTCTCTTCAGAGCCAGCAACGGATGAAGCGGCATTGAAGAGGCAGGAAGCCATGGAAGCTCTGACAAAGATCGAGATCGGCTTTGCCGTCCTGCGAGACAAGCTCTACGTTGAGAGAATGGAGGAAGTGTCAAAGGAGAGCGAGATGATCTACAAGGGTGAGTCAAGAAGGTGTGTATTTGCGCGTCTGCCAGAGTTGACACGTTGCCTCTTGACAGGCACACATCCCGATCTTATCCACCTGACCAATCTCATCGAGCTCCGGCGAGAAAGGCGACTCAAGCTTGTCGAGCTCTGGTTCGAAGAGCAGCAAAAGCAGTATGCAAGAGTTGCAAGCTCAGAGGAGGCCGCTGCCTGGAGCCACTGGAGAGTGAGTCTGCGACTAGATCTCTCTTTACGACCGTGTTCTGATCCGTGTCTTTTCTTTTCCCAGCACGATGCAGCGGAGCTGAGAAGGCAACAAATGAACGACTTTTCGAGGAAGCGGCGAAAACTGGACCGAGAAAAGAGATCGTTGGATGCGCCCCGCCCCGCTCGACAGCACCAGATGTTTGAAACAGAGCTCGTTCCGCTCCCCGACCTTGCGCTCCGACAGGCGCAGGCAAAATCGCGCGGCAAGCGAAGGGTCCAAGGCCCAGATGCAACAGACGATATGGATAATTATGTCGCCTTTCCTGATTTGCGTGGTCTCGACGATCATGAGGCATGGACCGACATGGAGCGGATGGGGATCGCGCTTCAAGGCGACGCACGAATGTCTGGTCTGCCGCCAGGCTATTATCGACCTGAAGAGCTCGCAGATCCCTATGCGGTCTATGGGCATGAGGTAGGGCCCGGCGCTGGTCCGAGCGGGTATATTAGCGCCTATGGTGGTGGAGGTGGTGTCGGACCGTACACCAGTGGAGCAGTGCCCAGGGACGCGCGCTACAACGACGGGTACAATGCCGATCCCTACGATCGTGCCTACGATGCTCATCGGCCTCCAGCTCCACAGCCTCCTCCGCTCCCTCCGCCTCAACAAGGAATTTACGCTGTGGATCAATATGGAAGGCCCATATCTCCTGGCCCAAGCTACGAGGCTCATCATCCTGCGCCATTGGCAGCTCCCCAGCATCCTTCGCGGTCGGCGAGGAGCCATGCGTACCCATCGGCAGACCACCAGCCGCGGTCGCAGCAGCAACCGCACCACTATGACAAGCAACCCTACGGAGGTGGGCCTCTACCCCGGATGCCATCACCTCCGATTGGGCATTTGCATCATGCACAGCCACCTTCATCACCATCTGCGACAGTGTCACAGGCAGCAATGATCCATCCTCAAGAGGATCGCGAAATGAAAGCATACGCGAATGGCTCATCTTCGGCCTCTGCAAGCCAAAGTTATAAGTCGGTCGGTCGACCGCCAATCAGCTTCTCCTCTGGTGCATCGTCCAGGTCGATGCCTTCCAATGCAGCATCACATTCTGGGCCCTCGGCAGCGGATCGCACGGCAGTGCCCCATTCTGCCAGCGGCTCGCTTGCTTACGCAAGGCCTCCATCCACGTCAAGTGCCCAAGAAGTTGATGCATTCGGGTATTCCAAGCGGCCGTTGCCTCCGGGGCAACATGCAGCTGCAGCAGCAGGAGTAGCACCGGCGGCGTCTTCGGCGGGGGGAGGCAACTCGGCAGGCTCTCCCTCCGTAGCTCACCCTCGTCCAGCATCGGCCGCGGGCCCACCAGCGCCACCGGGTGTTGGTGCGGGTCCAGGCCGATTATCGTCGGCTGCACTGCAGCATACTCAACCACCGCAGCCGACTGCTACTAATTCCTCCGCACCCGCTTCTGCTCACCCACCTAGTACGACTGCGCAGTCAAGACCACCGGAGCCGATGTTCTACCGATAGTAGTGACTCTTCGTCGCTCCTTTTCTGCATTCTTTCTCTTGCCACCGGTTCTCCACTTTGTGCATGCTAAGAAAATCGATGGCTTCTTTACTTCATCGTTCCATTACACAGGAAAACAGATTGTTTACAGCTAAGTTACATTGAGTGAAAAGAGGGGCAGAGTTAATGACGGTAGCACATATACCTACTTCACGACGAGAAGAGGCTGTCGATGTTAGACAGGTCGTCGCCCCATTCGATTCCGCTCGACAGGAGCTGGATCCAAAGGCTCGCTTCTGTGCCGCCACCTGCACTTGCAGAATTACCCAAGGCGGTGTTGTCTGTGAGCGGATAGCTTGTCTGTGGGTAAGAGGACGAAGGAGGTGCATCCGGATCTGTGAAAGGCTGTGCAGGTTGTCGTAAGGGGGCAAGAGCAAGCGGGAATGGGTCACCATTTCTGCTGCTCATTGTCACATCCATGCCAAAGTTGGACATCGATTGGCTTGGCGCGCCCACAGCGGCTGCTGCCGCTGCTGCAAGGTAGCCTGTCGCGAACGAATCGTTAGAATTGGAGAACAGATCCGGCGAGTCGCCGTTGCTGGCCGTCGCCGTCGATCCTGAGGCACCAGTGCGTTGGTCCACACCTCCCACTTTCTTCTTTTTGGTCGGTCGCCGCTCTTGGCCAATGAGCTCCATGCCATCGTCCTCTTCCTCCTCGTCACCTCCATCTTCCAGCGCCGCCCTCTTCTGCCGTTCGTCGCTCTGTTGCTGCCGCTGCAGCCTGAATGAGGCAAAATCGTCGCTCCCCTGCCTGATCTTCGACGTGCCTCTGGCCTCCAATCGCCTTAAGATGGAGTAGGGTACCTCAAGCGGTCTCCAGCCAACCTTGGCCTTCTCCAATAGCCCAATGGCCGCCCTTACGTCGCTCAATGCGCCTTGCGCCGCCTTTGATTTCGGTGCTCGAATGACGTAGAGCGCACAGCAGACTGCCGCTGAAAAGCACAGATTCCAGTAGAAGAACCACCTGTTCGTCAACGCTGGCTGTCGAGACCACAGCGCGCGAATGAGAAGGATGGTCTCGGAGGAAGATGCGAGGACCGTCCGAACGCTGTGAGCGAAAGGCCCAACATCGCATATCTCCTCGTCGTTCGTACCAGGGAATGGCTGCTGATTCGCCTGTTCCACTGCCGAGTCCTCGGCATCTTTCTGTAAAGCTCGACTGAACCAAGTGCGGTGCAAAAGGATGAGACCCTGATGAATGTTGACGAGATTCGTGTAACGCTGCATCTCAAGAATGAGGTTATCTCTTGCATCTTTGTCGGTGTATGCCTTTTCCAGAGCGCTGTAGGGGTCCGCGGAGGGCTCGACCTCATCCAGTGCTGGTTGCATATAGGGAGGCACAAGGCGAATAAGGTGTTTGATCTCCTCGTCGAGCTTCATCGTTGCCCTGCACGAAATTCTCTGTTAGTCAAGCGGATAGCGAAGAGATACGCCGAGTCCTCTTCCATGACTCACTCGTAGTTGGTGGCGTTGTTGGTGCATAGGCATTCGTCCAGCATGCGATCATAGATTCGCGTCTGGATACACTTGAAGGCATGAAACAGGCCTTTGCTCTGATGTTTCTGCTCGCTCAAGTTGTTGAGACTCCATTCGGCGGGAAAAAGAGTGTCGACGTACCGATCGAGGAGCGAGGGAGGCCGGTGGAGAGAGAGTGAGCGGAGCACATCCATGCACTGAAGGTCCCAAAAGAGCCTTCTACGTCTCTCCCTCTCGGCCTCCTTGGCTTCTTCTCTCGATCTTCCGGCCATGTAGGTCGTGACGGGGACGTCCCAAGCGGCAGGGTCGCGGTGCATGCCGGATGAGATGGTCAAGCGCATGAGGGTACCATGAAGCGGATAGGCGCTCTCGGCATATTTGCCACCACGTCGTCCCGTCAGGTAGACAATGCAGCGAGATAGGGCCGCCATTCCGTCAAGGCCAAGGCCCTCGGTAAAGTTTGACATGCACAAGGCTGACCATGCGCAAACGTACATCTGTTTGCCTAATGGGTCGTTGAGCTGTCGTCGCACGTCGAACAAGATGCCTAAAGCCATCGTTGAGAATACGAGCGAGAGGACGTGGGGATGCGGTGGCTTCTCCACAGGTCCCTCGTCTTGGTAGACGGCACCAAAGATGTGGTCGATGGAGTCGTGGAAAGGGATCGGGTCCCACATGAATGTGACACATGCGTCACAGACCTGGAACATCCGCCAGGCAGCATCTCTGGTCGGTAGATACTGCCGCAAGTGAGCGTAGATGGCTGCTGAGCTATGTGGCGAGCGAAGACCTGGGGTAGTCCACATGAGGGCAGACGAATCGTTGAGGCCATCGGATCGGGGAGTCGACGCCGAAAGGGGCAAAGGCAGAGCAGCGGCCCCAGGAGATGTAACGGGGTTAAAAGGCGAGCCTGGACGAGTTGCAACTCCAGCAGGTATCGCCTGGCCCAGCTCCGGGGACGCTTCCTTGTTCTTCTCTGCTGTTCCGATCTTCTTGAGCCCCTTCTCCTGTGTTTCTTCCTCCAGCTCGCGAGCAAAGTAGACTGAGTGAGCATTTGGTCCATGGTAGAGCGCTCTTCCGTCGGGTCCCATTGTGAGAGTTCCTTGAGCATTGCTTTTTGAGGTTGCTGTCATCTTGCTGTTACTGCTATTGCTATTGCTCTCGCTAGGTCGCCTGGGCCTGCTCCGATACCTTTGATCAGCAGCTAGGTCTGCCAGGTCGTGGAGTAAACCATTGCCTGACGGCATAGAGAGATTAGTGGTACTGTCATTCTTGAGCCTTTGAGGGTGTGATGATAGCTGGGCCGAGACGAGCAGATCAATCTTTCGCTCCAGTTCGCCCAACTTGTCCCACACCGCCGTGCCCTCTGCATCTGCAGAACGAGAGCTGCCGGCTTGCTTCTTCTCCTTCTTCTGCGTGTCGTCGGGACAGAGGTGAGCGATGTTTCGCTTCACACAAGTCTCGCACGGCCATTGACGATTGCACTTAAGCTTCAGCCGACGACACTCGGCGCAGCTAAGGCTGTGATCGGCTGTCGTGCGAACAGGCTTGGTTGCGGCTGAAGCTTGCGGGCCTGAACCGGTCTGGAGCATCGAAGGTGGCGCTGAAGAGCCGGAAGCCGACGGTGACATGGAAGGTGAGAACTGATGGCTCATCGACGTCATGGGTCGCGGGTCCATCGCGGATGCCGGTCCGGTGCCATAGCCTGCTCCTCCCTGGTTGAGGACAGAGAAAAGCCCGATTCTCCTCCCAGAATAGGCGGGGAGGCGGAGTGACAGAAATTTAGGCTTCGCGACCCCACGTGACAATTCATTGGTCACCACCGGCAGTCACACGTTGGCAGCCAAGTCGTCGCTAGCTTCGACGCGTTCACTGGTCAGCGCACAAACGCTTTCTCTCTCCGCAAGCAGGATATAGCTTGCACGATGGTGAGCTCTGGATACCGTCTCGAAGAGGAGAAGCGAATGTGGAACTCACGCGTCATCTCGTTCCTCACCAGGCACCTTCCAGCAATGCACAGGCCTTGAGCGAGGCGCCTCGCCCCGTCGAGACCATGCACGAGGACATGATTGTAAGAGCGTTTCGGCAGCATCAGGGTGGGAACGGGTCTCTAATCTAGGGTGACTATCCACAGCATGATGCGCAGCTAGACTACTACGGAAGGAAACTGGCAACGTGCTCCAGCGATCGCACTGTCAAGGTGTTCGATGTCGTCGACGGCAACGCTTCGGGACAGGGAGAAACTCTGAGAGGGTGAGTAGCTCTCGCAGCACGTTCAATGTAGCACTGCAGAAGCCTGACCATATGCTCATTGACAGCCACGAGGGGCCGGTCTGGCAAGTGGCTTGGGCCCACCCTAAATTTGGGCCTATCCTCGCTTCTGCTTCGTACGATGGAAAAGTCATCATCTGGAAGGACAATGGCTCGGGGTCTGGCACTACTGGCACCAACACTTACGGATCCTATGGGTCGACGGGCGCTGGATCGGGAGGCTGGACAAAGATCAAGGAGCATGGGATGCATAGCGCAAGCGGTGAGTGCTTTGGAAGTGAATCGCTCTTCCCGTAATCGGCACTAAAGGTATCCCTCTTCCTCAGTCAATTCAATCGCCTGGGCTCCGCATGAGCTTGGATCGGTCCTGGCATGTGCTTCGAGCGATGGCAACGTCTCAGTCTTGACCTTCAACAGTGAGTAGTTGTAGTAAGTTGCTGATTGAGGGCGTGACGGCTTAGGGCATCACTGGACCAGATGATGGCACGTGGGCCGTCGATATGGTGGCCGCCCATCCAATCGGCTGTAATGCGGTTTCGTGGCAACCTGCAACACAACCTGGGTCGCTTTTGACGGGACAAACTGCCGGTGACGCCAACGGTGCCCAGTCCAGTCCGATTCGACGCTTTGCCAGCGCTGGCTGCGACAATGTCATCAAGATCTGGGAGCTAAGTCAAGAACAGAACCGATGGATCGAGGTGGAGCAGTTGACGGGCCACACAGACTGGATCCGAGACGTCTGCTTCTCCCCTAACATCGGACTGCCTCGATCCTATCTGGCCTCGGCGAGCCAGGATCGGACAGTCTTGGTGTGGACTAAGGATGGCTCCGGCCCCTGGACGAAGACGAAACTCTCACCGGGAGGAACGGCGGCAGGCGACGACGGGAAATTCAAGGATACGGTCTGGAGGACAAGTTTCAGTCTCAGCGGCAACGTCCTGGCCGTTAGCTGTGGAGACGGAAAAGTGTACTTGTTCAAGGAGGGCATCAAGGGAGGCTGGGATTGCGTCAGCGAGCTTGCTGCTTAAGATGTAGAAAACGATTCCTGTCCTGGCAATTTGATCGATGCTCCTGTAGACCAAATTCTTGCAATGATCACACGTCCATCAGCAGGACCTGTCCGCAAAGGAAGCTGATGATGTGCACAAGCTGCGTCAGCCACGACACATCATCATTCGCCGTGACCTCGGACTTCGTGCTCGCCCCCTGGGGCGGTTTAGCATCGTCACGAGTTTGGTGCCTTTCTTCCTGCCATGGTCTCATTTCAAGTCTGTGCTTTCCACGCGAAGCCAAAAGTGGAAGGTAGCATTATACGAAAATAAGCCTGCCCTTAGTGCGACGCCGGATCTTCCTTCGCACGGCCGAGGTTCCGCGTCTGTCTATCTTTTTAAGCTCTGAAGCAGAACAGGAAGATTCGCAGCACCCTACAACCATGTCCACGGTGTTCGACCTGGGAGTCGACCACTCGCGCCGCGAGCTCCTCGGCTACGGTGCCACGCCTCCAGACCCTCGCTGGCCAGGTGGGGCCAAGATCTGCGTCTCGTTTGTCGTCAACTACGAAGAAGGCGCCGAGCACATCGGCACCTCGTCGTCGTCGACCGTCTCACGGGAGAACTACAACGAAAATGACGGCCATGCCGAGGTGTTTCTAACAGAGAATGGCGTGGGACCCACGGTAGGCACTCCAAAGGCACATCGTAACCTCAACGTCGAGCAGCAGTACGAGTTCGGTGCCCATCGGGGTTTCTGGAGGATACTTGCCCTCTTCAAGCGGCACAACCTCCGATTCACCTCGTGGGCTGTGGGCAGGGCCGTGCAGCTCAACCCTTCCGTTGCCAAGGCGATGGAAGAGGCCAAGTGTGAGGTTGCGTCGCACGGCTGGCGGTGGATCGACTACGCATCCATGTCGGAGCAGGAAGAGACGCAGCACGTCAAGCTGGCCATCGAGGCACTTGCCAAGGCTTCGTCTGATGGCAAGACAACACCCCGTGGCTGGTACACGGGCAGGCAGAGCTTGCAGACGCGGAGAATTGTCTACGAAACGTATCGTGATCTGGGCATGGCCGAGCAGTACTACGACTCAGACGCTTGTGAGTTTGTGCCTCTTTCTGCAGTGTAGCCCATCTCACTCCGATGATGAACCGCGTCTCCGAAAGACGATGAAGATCTGCCCTACTACGTCAAGTCTCCGTCACCGTCCAAAGAAAAGGCCTCGCCGCCCCTGCTCGTCATTCCCTACACGCTCGACAACAATGACATGAAATTTGGCATCGCACCTGGCTTCAGCACCTCGGACCACTTCTTCACCTACCTGAAGGATGCCTTTGACGTGCTCCTCGAAGAAGGCCAGGCGGGCGAGGCAAAGATGATGTCCATCGGCCTGCATTGCCGCATGGTCGGCAGGCCGGGGAGATTGGCCGGTTTGACCAGATTTGTCGAATATGTCAAGGAGCACGAGCAGAGAGGACTGGCTTGGGTCGCGACACGGGACGAGATCGCAGATCACTGGAGAAAAACGTATCCTCCTCAGCAATAAAATCAAGAGTTGCATTCGCCATTGAATCTTCTTTTTCTTTGCTCCTGCTGGTGTACAAACTTTGCAGCTCGCTGTAAAGATGGGGGAACACCCTCCGCTCAAGCACTTCCCTTCCCGTCTTGAAGAAACCTCCAAAGGCTCCGCTCTTCCGGTGTCTGTCGCTTTCGTCTGAACAACTTTCACATGATGCGAAAGGAGATGTGAAGTAAGTTGGACACGGTGCACTTTTTTACGGTCGACGCGCGACGGTCCATGAAGAAGCATGTAGCAGTGGTCGAATTGCAGCAACAGTAGCAGCTAGAGGAGAGTGTATCAAGGATCTACTTTCCGCGCCACTTGGCAAATGTCTCCTTGACGCCCTTTCCCTGGAGGAGGTCCTCCTTGCACCGTTCATCGACCTCGCGCGCCTTTGTCGCGGCCTCGACGACAGCCAGGACATCGGCGCGGGGACAAACAACGACGCCGTCGACGTCTGCGCGGACGAGATCATCGGGCGCGATCGTCGTGGAGGGAAAACTCGGTGCCGTCGGGTCGGCAATCGAGAGGGGTACCTGGAAACGCGAGGGCCTGGTGAACGGCGACTGACCGAGGGTCGAGTGGGAGCGCGCAAAAATACTGAAGCCAGAGTCCCACTGCTCCTCGAGATCGCGACAGCGGCCGTCAAGCACGACGCCCTTGACGCCCAGCGCCTGGGCCCGCAGCGTCATGAGGCCGCCCCAGATGGCGGAGCGCGTTTCGGGCGGCGCGCTGATGACCATGACGCAGCCCTCATGGCCCTCGGTCGCGTCGACAAAGTGCTTATCTGGCTTGGGCGCATCAACATCGGCCTGAGATACCATCTAGCAAATCGCATTTCCTCATTCGGTCAGTCGAAGTTCCACCCTATGATTGAGAGACAAGGACGCACTTCAACGGTAAAAGCCGGCCCACAGATGCCCGTCGAGGGGCCTGCCTTGTCAGGCCGAGGCGCATGCGCAAAGATTCCAGGGAGATGCCCGCCCGACCGGTTCTTGAGCTTGACCAGAGCGTCTGCAATCTATAGCGTCTCGATTTGAGCTGATGCTTCAACATGAACTCCATCGATCCGGTAACAACCCACCTCGCATGTCCCAAATTTTTCGAGCAGAGAGACAAGTTCCTTGGTCCCTTTTGCCGCTGCCATCTTGCCTTCCTTTCCGCCGCCGCCGCTGTTGTCGCTGCGTCGTCCGTCAGTCCTCAGCCGTATCCTTCGTCTGGAGACGAAAAGAGGTGGTTGCCTGCTGATCGTTGGCTGTGCCGATCAGATTCCGCCCGCCATCTCCGGGGAGGATGGGGAAATCCTCGATAAATGAGAATGGCCCGAGCGTGAAAACCACGTGCAGTACACCACTTCTTGCGTTGACGGTGACGTTTCTACTGTCGAGGCGCCTGGCCTTAATGGTCCACCTCGAATGCTTTCAAGGAGGGCAATACACCTGTTACAGGTGCAGCCGAGTGCCTCCCTGGCCAGCCTTAAAGCTTTTCGTTTCTCTAGCCTTACAAAGGCCGTCAGAGAACAGCTCTGCGCCACACATTCAGGCAAAGACAGGGTTCAAAGAGGCCCTCCGAAGATCTTGCGGGGGGCTGGTCAAAGCTTTCGAGTGGCCTGCCAGTTAGCTTCCAGTGAGAGCCACGTTACATGAGCACATTCGAAGGGCATGATGCAGCTCTTCACGTTTTCCATCGAAGCGTTCCTCTTGCCACTGCCAGCATGCAGTGGCAGATTGTGGGACTGGGATTTTGACGAGGAGCACGCTGCGACGCTCTCAACGCGCTCTGATTCTAATGCCCGCTAAGGGAGCTGCTCGATAATTCTTCACTATATAAAATTTTGTCCGGACGCAAGTGATAATCATTTCTGTACCTTGGAGTTGCTTTAGCGCTGGATTGGCAGGCCAAGCAAAACAACATCCTGGCACTCTGTCCCTCTGACAACCGTGGCTGCTCTCTGATAAGCATCGGACTAAAGTTTAGACCGAAGAAAAAAAAAAGTGGGTTGGCGGTACGTTTGCCCTACGACTGTGGTGAAGCTAAAAAGGTTCTAGGGTAGTCTGTCAGTGGGTGGGAAGAACACCGTGTGCCTGCCTCATCGCCTCGGTTACAGAAGAGAAGCACCCTCTCTGCTTCCACCACCAAACGCTGCACCTCCTGCTCTCACCTCAGTCGTCTGTCATTAAAGACGGGCAAGGTGATTTCCAGACGGCGACGATGGAGGCCGTGTCAACCCGCCTAGAGGCGGCGAGAGCCGACCTAATGTCTTCGAGGACCGACTTTGACAATTCTGAGCAGGGCGTCGCTCTGGCACGCCGGGCCGAGACGCCAAAGAACTGGTGGGGTAGGATGCATGCCTCCCCCCTCTTTCAAGTGAGCTCTTTAACCTTCGATGCTGGCCAAAGGGCATCAAAAGCTTACTGTCCGGCTCTAGGTTGTCATCCTGGGTCTGATCCTCTTTCTCAACCCGGGGCTGTTTAATGCCGTCACATCTGTGGGCGGCGCGGGGCTGAGAGACGCAAAGCTAGCGAGCGACTCGCTCACGGCCCTATACGCGTGCTTCGCGGTCTCTGGGCTTCTGGGCGGATCGGTGGCCAATTACTTGGGGTTGCGAGCAACGCTCTGCATTGGCTCCACGGGTTACAGTCTCTACATTGCTGCTCTTCTGACATCCCACATCGTCGGCCCCAAAGTCGATGCCTTTGTCATCACTGCCGGCTGCATCCTTGGTATCACGGCCGGCCTCTTGTGGACAGCCTACGGTACATTGATCCTCTCGCTTCCCACGGAGTCACAAAAGGGCGTTTGGCTTTCGATTCCGTGGGCCCTCTTTAATCTCGGCGACGTCATCGGTGCTGCCTTACTCCTGGGCGAAACCTCTGACAGGTCCCAAGGCAGCGTCAGCACGGCAGGCTACTCCGTCGTCTTGGGTCTCACTTTCCTTGCCATTTTCCTCCCGTGGACCATGATGCCGCCTCGCAAGATCACTCGGTCTGACGGTACCCGCGTCATCACCCCGAGGCATCCGACTTTCGTCTCGGAGCTCAAAGGCCTGGTCCACTGCTTCTGGTCGGATCCCATATTCTTGCTCATGGTGCGTGTAAACGTTTCGTGATTGCTGGAAAGTAGACGGAGGGGAAGATGATACTGACCACGCTGCGCGCCCAAAAGGTCCCTTTTTTCTTCATCAGTAACTCGTTTTATGCCTACCACTTCAACTGCTTCAATCTTGGCTTATTCTCCATCCGATCACGAGCCCTCAACTCGCTACTCTATTGGATCGCCCAGGCAATGACGGCGCCCTTGCTCGGCTTGATTCTGGATTCCCCTCGCTTCTCACGAAGAACACGGGCCAAGATTGGCTTCTGCATCGTCCTAGCGCTCGTCATGGCCGTCTGGGGTCCCACATACCACATCCAACACTCATTCAGTCGAGAAAATCCAAAACGCCTTGATTACGAAGAGCTACAGATGGGCAAGGCGTACTATGCCGGCGTTTCGATTCTCTACTTTTTCTGCGGTGTATGCGATTCCAGTTGGCAGTTGTACGCCTATTGGGTCATGGGCGCCTTGTCCAACAATCCTCGCCGATTGGCCTACTACAACTCTCTCTACAAAGGCCTTCAGAGCGCGGGCAACGCAGTCTTTTGGCGGCTGGACTCATACGGCGTCCCATTCATGACGATGCTGGTTGCCACTTGGGCCTCGCTGGGTGCGTCGCTCGTCTTGGCAGCGCCTATGATCATCTTTCGTATACGCGACTTCACAACGACGGACGTTCGTATCGTCGAGACAGAAGAGCAGCTTGACGAGACGACGTACACGACGATTGGAACGATGGAGAATGCACATCCGAGCGGCGAGACTATCAGCTTAGAGGATCATCACTTGCGGCAAAGAGGAGCCAGCCGTTTTGCTGCGGACGACGATGATGACAAGGCTCTCTCCAAGCTCGAGACAATTGAAGAGACGCCTTCTGTGCTCGCGCGCCAGGCCTCTGCAGCACACCCCAGCTCCAGCTTTTACGAAGACAAGGTAATAAAGGAGGAAGAAGAGGAAGAGGAAAATGTCTACCCAGACGGAAATACCCGATCCCATTGTTAGAATGGAAATGAAATCCTTCTCTTTGTAAAGCTACTCACTCATCTTGCGGCAATTGAACCTTTCTTACAATCTCCCTGGCTGCAAATTTCACTTTTGTGATCCCAAGACTGACACCCACAGGGTTGCTCTATCTAATCTCTCGTCGAAGCTTGAGGACCAAAGCCTGGTCCCTTATCTTATCCATACATGAAACAGAAAGTGGTGCCCTTTTGACCAAGGACCAATCAGCTTCCGTGGATAGAATCTCTCAGCGCTGGGGCCACGACCAATTAAGGCGTTAATCTCGGGACTCTCCAGCACTGACGAGAGGGTTCTACCGTATCAGGATGACCGCTTACACGCTCGACTAAGGTTTCTTTGCTGCAATCTTTGCAATGACGCAACTTCAAGAGGCTAAGGAAGGAAATATCAAAGATCGGAGAGCTAAGACGTGCTACAAATTTAGAGCTCACTTGCCGGGGAAGCGAAGTTCCAAAGTTAGCATCAGCCTTCGAAATCGTTCCACTCGACGGTCCTCTTCGTCTTCACACTTCACCCGGCAGCGCTCGAAGATTTGTCTGAAAACAGCCCTGCAATATGCGTAATCTGGAATTCTGCTTACAGAGATACGACGTCAATTCCTTCTCTGCCAAACTTGCTCTGGGTTCGACGGGACAAACGCTTTAGGCCTTCATTATCTTATATGATCGATACTGTGCTGCACTTCTGCTACACTACCGTTGCTACTGCTACTACTGGATTGCGGCCCTTGCCTTCGGGACGGCAAGAAGCAAGCAACAGAACAGAATTATGTCTGATCTTGACGACTGTGTTCTCCTTGTCTCTGCACCAGCACATACCATGAGAGATCCGCGTTGGAAGTCGTTCCTTCTTCGGTCTTGGGACGAACCGCTCGATTGTTTCGCTGGGAGCGCCTCTATTGATGGGGGCGAGAAAGGACTGAACCAGCCTGGACTTAATGAGGTGATCGGCAATGGCAGCAAAGACTGCGTAAGAACGGATGATGACGTCTCTGCCACCGCGCCGACAGTCGTTGAAGACTCTTCTCCGAATGAGGCCAGCGACGAAGACGATACGATCGCACCCTCATCGCCAGCAAAAACCACTATTGTCATGGAAAAACAGAAAGGGAAGCAGAAGGAACGGGACGTCGTCATCGTAGATTGGGACGACGCCGATGCGCACCGCAATCCTCAGAATTGGTCAAAGGCTTCTCGATGGTTTTACACCGGCCTCGTCTGTCATCTTGCTTTTAACGTGTGAGTCTTGTCGTCGCAATCTTTATCGGTATGCACTTACGCAGGTGATTCCGAAGCACATTTGCGTCAACCTCCCCCAGCGCGACCCAGCAAGCCATCGCAAGCGAATTTGGTGTGGGGCGAGAGGTGGGGACGCTCGTCATCAGCCTGTTTCTGACGGGGTATATCTCAGGGCCCTTGATCTGGGTGAGGCAAATGTTTCACTCTCACCTCGTTTGCAATGGTTACTGATTGGTAACTCAGTCGCCCATGTCAGAGCACATCGGACGACGGATCCCACTGCTCCTCTCCTTCTTTGTCAACATGCAATTGATCCTCGGTCAAGCGCTCGGCCAAAACATCCAAACCGTCCTTGTTACCCGATTTTTCTCAGGCATCTTCGCAGCCGCACCTCTCACTCTTTCGGCTGGCATCATCAGCGACCTCTGGGATCCTTTTCACAAGTCCATCGCTCTCTCCCTCTTCACTGCCTCCGTTCTTTCTGGTCCTGGTCTTGGTCCAATGATGGGCGGATTCGTAACGCAGACGATCGGTTGGCGATACACCTTCTGGATTCTCTACGGCTATGATTGGCTCTCGTGGATTGTCGTCTTCGTCTTCCTTCCAGAGACTTACTCGCCCGTTCTTCTAACTGCCAAAGCCAGGAAATTGCGTCAACATTTCGGTGGCGAGATGCTCAAAAGCCTGCGTTCCGCACGCGAGGTCGAAGACAGCCGCAAGAAGGCAGAAGCAGGAGAGAGAGGCTGGATCTCATCCTTTTTAAAAGAGACGATCCTACGCCCTTGGTACATCCTCGTCAAAGAGCCCATCATGTGGCTCGTCACAGCGTATCAGTCTTTGATCTTTGGTCTGAGTGAGTCTTCGTCCGGGCCGTAGCCTCATAATGTCACTTTTGTTGATCAAGGCCTGCAGTGTACGGCCTCCTCGAGCTATTCCCGGTGATCTGGCAAGAAGGTCACGGCTTCACTTTGGGCCAAGTTGGTCTTGTGTTCCTCTTCCTCTTCGTTGGTACAACGAGCGGTGCTCTCTGCAACATCTTCATCAATGTCGCCCTTCAGAAGTCGTACGACAAAGGATCTCGCCAACCCGTTCACGAAGACCGAGTTCGAGGGACCATGATTGCTGCGCCAACGCTTGTCGTGGGAATTTTTTGGCTCGGTTGGGCAGGTGGATACCCTGTGTCAGTGCCCTGGTACGTGCCAGCACTCGCCGCCATCCCGATCGGATTCGGCTTTTCGCTCATTTTCATCACGACGTAAGTGCCCTTTCACCTGCATGACCCTCTACAGAGCTCTAGCGTCTGACATCAAAGGAGACAGAAACACATACGTGGTTCAGGTCTACGGTCCATATGCCGCATCGGCGCTCGCTGCAGCGACCATGACGCGGTCGATGTTCGCTGTTGCCTTTCCGCTCTTCATGCGGCAGGCAGCACACGGGATTGGCGTCCAATACATTGGCACGCTCTTTGGTTGTGTTGCAGCTTGCCTCTCTCCGATCCCGTTTGGTAAGCCCTCCATGTCTTTTCTCTCTCTCACTCGAAGCTAAGAAAGAGTGTACCAGTCTTTGCAAGGTACGGTCGTCTGATACGGGCGCGGTCGACTTTCAAGACTAGCTAGATCACCTCATCTTCTGTAGCTTCTGAATTTCAACGATTGGCCAAGGAACAATGAACAGTGCCAGACCGGTCTTCTAATATTATTCTTCTTTGAACGAGCCCTTCATTCTAAAGCAACAGCATTTGCTCACACAGGCTGAGAGGTTGGACATCACCACCTGCTTTGTGTGAGAAGCGTCTACGAGGTAGGGCGAAGAAGAAAAAAGGTCCGTGCGCATTTTGGCCCTGCCCTCCACCAAAACAAGGAAGGGCGAAGAACCGAACTCTAACATACCATGACGACAACGAGCGAAGAGACGAGGAGAAGAGGCCTCGTGATAGATGCCGAGAGACCGTGGCGGCTTTCGCATGTGCTCAAAGGGCATACGCAGGATGTTAAAAGCGTCTGCGCCTCGGCACTACCAGGAGGAGAGGTGGAGCTGATTCATAGCGCCTCGAGGGACGAGACCGCACGTTCATGGTACCGACACACCTCGCAGGGGCTGGATACCTGGCGACAAGGAGCGACCTATGGGGCAAAGAGGTATCAGAATGCCGTCGCACACGTTCCTGGCATCGGTGATGCTGGATTGTCGATTCTTGGCGGACTCGATTCCCGGATCCTCTCCTACGAGACCCAGTCGATGGCGAGCGAAAAGCCTCAATCGAAACCGCGGCAGGTGCTCAATGATCATTATGACAACGTCTGCCACCTGTCAACAGCCTCCGAAGAGGGTAGATGCCTCTTGATCTCCGCTTCGTGGGACGCAACCGCCAGGGTGTACGAGCATAAGGCTGACAGCTCTGGCGAGTGGAAGCTCGTCCACACGCTAAAGGGTCATGAGAGGGCTGTTTGGGATGCTGGCATCCTCTCTTCGAGAGCAGGCGGGGAACGTTATTTGACTAGTGGGTAGCATGCATGCTATTGCATTGCAACCTGCTTCACTCCTTTCTTTCTGATCTCTTTTTCCAACAACAGCCTCGGCGGATCTCTTTGTTCGTCTGTGGAAGCGAGACGAGATCGAGGCCATCTACCGGGGTCATAGCGATGTGGTCCGTGGCTTAGCCATCCTGCCGCCACATGAGGGTATGGATCGAAAGATGAGCATAACAGATCTGCCAGAGCTCCACCCAGGCGAGGAGCTGTTCGTCACATCGTCCAACGATGGTTCCCTTCGAGTCTGGTCTCTTGACGAAAGCAGGAGGCCTAGCAACAACAAGCAAAACGGCGGCGATGCGCTTCGTGTCCTCGTCCCCAAAGATGCAAAGGAAGCCACACTAGTCTACGATGTGGCATCGCTTGGCTCTTCCAGGCAGAATGGTGGGCTGCTTGTCGTGTCGTGTGGCGAAGACGGCCTCCTGCGAGGATGGAATGTCGACAGTAAGTCCATCTGTTTCAGAGAATCCCCCCTCTCAGACACTCACGATCCCACACAGCTGCGGAAGTAGATTTCTCAATCCCTCAACCTGTAACGTCTGTCTGGTCTGTCGCAGTCCTACCCATTTCGGGGGACATTGTCACGGGAAGCTCCGACGGCATGGTCCGCATCTTTACGCAGCGCGCGCCTCATCACGAAGATGCACCTCAGTCAGTTCTGGCGCTTCACGACGACGCCATCCCAGAGGCAGACCAAGACGAGCTTGAAGAACACCTGCGTCGGTGTGAAGCTATTTCCGCCAAGCGAAGGTGATCTCAACCAAGCCCCTGTCGTCTTTCCGTTGCTGACCTGTCGGGGACTCTGCAGAGTTCGCTCGGAAGTCGTGCAACGAGAGTCGATGACCGAGGAGGGAGACTCAAATAATTTTGAAGGGAAAAAGTACGACGCCATTCTCAGAATCGACGTCAGCGACGACGCTGAACCTCTACCTTTGCCCATCAATCGAGGCGGTGAGCAGGAAGATATTGAGATCATAGAGCTAGTGCTGACTTCCGGAGTGCGATACGAAGACGATCATAGGGTCGCGGCCAAGGCTTTTCTAGAAAGGCACGGGCTCCCTGAGAGCTACGAGGATCAGATCGTGGAATTCATCTCAGTCGTTGGCCCCGACTCTAACCAGTAGCCGTCAGAAAGGAATCGATGTATTGCGAAAAGGCGCTTCATTCATGCCTTACAGACCGAGACCTCCCTATCCTGCCTGAGGGCCTCTTGTTGAATCTCGCAATGCGCCCTAGCTACTATACATGCTCCCTTCGGCTGGCTGGGGCAATTTACGGTTGTTTGGAGAACCCATATCCCTAAAGAAAGCGTCATGAGCACGAGAGTCGTCGCTCTGCTTGCTTCCCCATGTATCACTCACTTGCGAATCTCGACAAGGATCGTCTCGAGCGTGTAGTGTCGCTTCCACTGGGAGAGTACCGGCAGAAGGCTCGATTCAACCTGTGCGACACCAAGAGACTGTCAGTCATCGTCATCGAATAAACTCAGCGTGGTAGCGAATCTGTGTCAGACCCACCTTTCCCGTTTGCTGATTGACGCACGGCAGGTTGATGCGCGTCAAGAACCAGATCTCTGGCGGTTGGTCGGGGTACTGCTGACCACAGGTGATTTTGAGCGAGTAGATTCGGTTCTGGTGCACTGAGTGGCCAGGACCGATGATGGTCCCATTCCAGTTTGACATCACTTTGAAAGAAAGATGGGCCGCAAGATCTGAGTGCGGCCCTGATGACAAGAGACGGGAGGGAAAGGGAGAGGATATACTCACTGACATCGGATCCGTCATCGAGGCCATAGGAGCATGTTCCGTCTCCAATGCCTTTCTCACCCTTGTCGAGCTCCTCGAGCAGTCTGAAATTGCGAGGGACTAAGATGATTGTCAGCTCCGAGGAGGTGTATGCCGTCCAGCAGGGGTCTCGTTCGCACTCACCTTTCGCCATCGTGGACTGCCTTGATACTATTGAGACAAGCAGCTGCGATGTCGACTTAGGTTGTAGCCCTGATCACAAGTTATATCCTCCAATGTCGCTGGGTCTTGTCCCTTGTCTTGATAGCTACTGATCGAGATTCGCGATTTGTTGGCTGCACCAAGAGGTCCGATGAGGTCCAAGCGCAGACGCGACCGCGCGTCGGCCGAGAAAAGCCCGCCTCCTCCTTCCTCAGCCACTTTCTGCTCCTTCTTCCTCCCTCTCTTAATCTCTTCAGACTCGGTAGGCCGAGAGTGGTCGACGTGATATTCAACAAGGGCAAGATGGCATCGTCGTCTCGCAAGGAGCCCTTGTCCGTCGATGCACTCTTGCAAAAGCAAAGGGAAGAGGCTACTTTCAAGGTGCGCAGGCGTGCAACCCTTCCCGAGACAGTGCATACTAATGACGCTTCTCTTGCCACACTGCAGCCGAAGTTTTTGAGCAAGGCCGAGCGGCAGAAGCAGGCTTTGGAAAAGCGAGAAGCCGACATCAAAGAACAAAAGAAGAGGGATCAGGAAGAGAAGGCAAAGCGAAAAGAATTTGAGAGAAGCGCAGCAGCAGCCAGCACTGGTGCTCCTGCCGCGTCGTCGTCGTCGTTGTCGTCCTTGTCGTACGATGGGAGAGCCGCTCGACGTGATGAATTCCCAAGGGCTGAGCAGTACGACCCGCGCGATCCAAGGAATCGCAATCGGCACTACAATGGCAGAGATCGAGGGGCAGAGGACCGGAGACAAACGGCGATAACTCCCTCCTCAAGCCAGTCGAACGGCTCAGCATCGTACAATGGACATGGTGCTTCGACTTTGCAAACCCAAAAGCAGGCTGACGCGGAGCAGAACACGTTGACGGAGGCAGAGCAAGCTCTGATCCGCAACAAGTACTTAGGTATCACGGAGCGGTCCAAGAAAAAGACGAGAAAGCAGCTCCAGGATAAAAAGCTCATGTTTGGGTGGGACCAAAACGAGGACACATCCGACAAGCTAAATCCAGCTCTCTTTGATCGTCAAGTCGAAGCGAGAGTCTTTGGCGCAGGTGGTCGCGCTGGCATGGACCCCGCTCAGCAAGAGGCGTCGAATGGCGCAACCAATGGCGACCCGCTGCGACGAGGGGCCAAATCGGCGTTTGCAGAGAAGCACTGGAGTGAAAAGACTCTCGAGGAGATGAAGGAGAGAGACTGGCGCATCTTCCGGGAGGACTTCGCCATTTCCAGCAGAGGTGGCCATATTCCCCGACCGCTCCGATCGTGGCGGGAGAGCACGATCCCCGAGCCGATTCTTAAAGCTATTGACGAGATCGGGTATACCGAACCTTCACCCATTCAACGACAGGCCATCCCCATCGGACTTCAGAACCGCGACTTGATCGGTATCGCAGAGACGGGTTCAGGAAAGACTGCCTCGTTCGTCATTCCTATGCTGGCCTACATCTCGCAATTGCCCCCATTGTCGGATGCAAATCGGCACCTGGGTCCGTATGCGCTCATCATTGCGCCCACTCGCGAGCTGGCTCAGCAGATCGAGGTCGAGACCAAAAAGTTCACGGATAGCCTTGGCTTCAAATGTGTGTCCATCGTGGGCGGGCGCGACATGAACGAGCAGGCCTTCAGCTTAAGAGATGGAGCGGAAGTCATCGTCGCCACGCCTGGTCGTTTGAAGGACTGCGTGGAGCGCCACGTTCTCGTCTTGAGCCAGTGCCTTTACCTGGTCCTCGATGAAGCCGACAAGTCTATCGGCCTTGGTTTTGCAGACGTGCTTGACTACATCCTCGACTCGATGCCTGCATCTAATCTCAAGCCCGATACCGAGGAAGCAGAGGATCCTTTGGCTCTGATGAGGAACGAGGCGATTAAAGTGCCAAAGTATCGCGTTACGATGCTCTACTCAGCCACGATGCCGCCCAGTGTTGAACGACTTGCACGCAATTATCTGAGACGACCTGCGCACATCACTATCGGCGAAGCGAACCAGGCCGTGGGCACCGTGGAGCAGCGCGTCGAGTTCATTTCCGGCGAGGACAAGAAGAAGGCCAGGCTGATGCAACTCTTGTCCTCTGGTCTCGAACCACCGATGATTGTCTTCAGCACGACGAAACAATCGGTGGACAGCCTTTCCAGAGACTTAAACAGGGCAGGCTGGAATGTTGCAACACTCCATTCAGGCAAGACACAAAGCCAGCGAGAAGAAGCTCTCGCCTCGTTGAGATCGGGACAATGCCCCATCCTTGTCGCCACCGACCTGGCCGGCCGAGGTATCGACGTACCCGACGTGAGCGCCGTCATCAACTTCCAATTTCCAACATCGTTCGAAGCTTACATCCATCGTATTGGCCGGACAGGTCGTGCGGGCAAACGAGGTGTGGCTTTCACGTTTTTGGAGAATCACGACGAGGACTACTTCTACGATCTCAAACAGGAGTTGTCGAGGAGCAAGCTTTCGAGCGTGCCGAGGGAACTCGATCGGCATCCGGCCGCCCAGAGACGCATCACGCGCGAGATGAAGCGAAAGAGAAACGAAGAGGAGGAGTGACCTGCATTGTCGACCTTCCTACCTTTCCATACGGCATGATTCTTGCAGGACTTTGCCAATGAGCGATTTGAAATGACATTATTGATGTAGTTGTACACGTTACAAGTTACAAGTTACAAAGCACGACAAAGGAACGAGCGAGAAAGTCGCTCTCGTGTGTTGCTTGACAATCAGGCGCCAGGGATGAAGTAGTTGTCAATCGGCACCGACGCAATCTCGTACAACAGCATGTCGAATTCGTCGAGAGAAGGGCCAGGAAATTGACTCAGGTCGTCGCCTGCGCCATTTCTGTAGAAGGCACCAGCGTGGCCACCTTGCGGTCCCTGGCTTCCATCCCCTGGTACTGGGCCTGGTGGGTTGGATAGAGGTGTCTGCCGTTGCTGCTGTGTTTCATGCGGATTTGCCGGAGTGTGGTCGACAGGACCTGCACCGCTGGGCTGCCCATTCGACTGCTGCTGAGCAGCGACAAAATCGATCAAGAAGGACGCGTCGTGCGCATAAGGTGACGAGGGGTCTCGCTGCTGCTGCGGGTGATTTGGCCCTTCTTGCCGTCGACGAGGGGGGAAATGACGAGGCATTTGCGGATTCTCCATGTTGGTCCCGTAAAAAGGAGGGGCGATAACCCCACTTGTCGGAGCCCGGCCATAGCGAGCCTGTTGGGGCGGCCCAGGCTGCGGTGTAGCGTTGGAAGAAGATCTCCGAGTGGCATTGTCCGCATACGAACGCCACTGACTATGGTACGAAGTCTGATAGGGGACTTCAGACGCCATGGGAGGTTCGCACTGGGTGACCCCCTTCCATTGCTCGCCGAGCTGTGATGGGAAATGAACCTCGCCCTGCTTCTGCGGATGACTCTGCTTTCCCTTTACACCCCTCAGCTCGTGCGATGCCGAGGTCCAGTCGTAGATGGCGTCACCTGTCTTTTGCGAAATGGCTGCTGAAGTCGCCAAGATACTGGCATGACGACGAACAGAGGTAGCCAGTGCTTCCTCCTGTTTTTCGCGCTGTGCTCTCGCTTCTTCGTCTTCGCCATCGTCATCGCCTCCTTGCTCAACGGGTCGATCACTGGTCGAATTTCGGGGTTGGCGGTGATGCCATCGGAACATTGTTGACGATGAAGAGGGCGGGGCCTTTGAATCAAGAGCTTTGAGCGCCTGTGCCATGTTGCGCATCACAAGAGCCGAGAATTGAGCCTTTGGAGCAACCGAAGCGGCACGCTTGTTCCACGTCGAGTCTTGAGAGACGGCGGCCACTTCTTCGGCGAGAGCCTGAATTGATGTCAGCGTCACGCCCGCCACAAAGGCAGGTGGCGGAGTGAGGGCTCGAAAGGAGCCATTGGCCAGTCGAGGGAGGACCAGATTCGAGATGCGGACAGCAACCTGGGCGGCTTGCAGTGTTCGATGATGGCCACCAAGGAGTACCAAGGTCTCAAATAGATCCGTGTGGCCAGACAGACGGCCCAAAAACGTCTTGGACGAGTTACAAGGCCCGATCTTGCTGTCATAGAGGACGATTGTACTCTCAGTGATCCGACTGAGGCAGACAAAGTGCAGCGCCACAAATTCGAATTCGAGCCAGTCGATGCGGATTAGCCACGGCGACTGCACGCCCTTTCTCGACTTGCCAGCCCTCGATGGTCGTTCACTTTCCGCGCCTGTCCCTTTACCCCTCGACGCGGACGATCTTCCTCGTTTTCCTGACATTTGCTCCCTGAGCTGCTGGAGCTCTTGCTGGTAGTCCAAGTGCTCTTGTGAGACCTGATCAATCAGCCGAGCGAGAGAGCGGAGCTGGGCACTGAAATCATCGATGCGCGCCTGGAGGCCATCGATGCTCTCCACAACAATGTTGTGGATCTCTTCCCCAAGCACTGATGGAGGCAAACGCTCTATCTTCGCATTCTGCTCCTGGCAGAAGGTCCGCATCACGGCCACAGCCTGGTACCGCAGAATCGAACAGAGCATCCAGAGACGCTCCTCTTGCTCTGCATTCGCGTCCCTTTCTTCCTCGCATCCCTCTTCTTCATTCTCGTTACCGCTTTCGCCACGTTCCTCCTCGTCGTCAACTTCTTTGTCTTTTCTTTCTCGTTGCGTAGCGCTCGAAGGCGGGAAAGGACGAGGGACTGGATTCGCGCAATATTCTTGAATCGCCTGCAGGCTGTCCATAGGGCATTCCACAAACGGTCTTCGTTGAATGTTGCCCGCGAGACTGACGAACGTCGTGTACGAGGAGAGAGACACGGCCAAGCTCGCCTTTCTGAGAAGACAAATAGATGATTCTGTCGGTACTCCAGCACCCAGCTGCCTGGCCGTGTCAGCCAGATCGATGCTGTTTGAAGTGGCGGTAGATGCTGCTGCGAGGAGACCGACGCCGTCGAAGGAGCCCTCGAATGTCTTTCCGCATCCTGTATAGTCCCACTCTTCGTCATGCTTGGCCAAAAGCAGAGGCTCGTACAGGGCCAGGCAGGCCAGCGCCGCCGCCTCGCCGGGTTCTGATGGGCCTCTCAGTAGGGTGGCCAGTGCCTCTTGACGCAGGGCTGCGAGCAGCTCAGCCTCGAGACGATGAGCACCGAGACGCTTGGCCGCGAGATAGACGAGCACGCCGAGAAACAAACCACCTTTTGGTTGGCTGCCCTGCACATGTCTACCGTTTCTTGAACGTTTTGCTTTGGAACTGTCTGGTGATGCACCGCCATAGATCTCTTCTGCGAGGATCGACTCCACGAACGGAATGTGCAAGCGATAGGACTCGAGCCTGCCGAGGTCGAAGACATCGTGTCAGCTGGACAGAGACAAACAAAAATGAGGAAGCTACACTAGAAGCTGTCCAGACACGTACGCTTCGTTCATTCGATTGACGTCGAGTAGTGGCCCATAGTCGCAGAGGATCTGTTCGACAGACTTTGTGGGAAAGGGAGCTGAGCGGGAAAAGGAGGAGGGCTCCGAGCTTGAGGCTTGCTCTGGGGTGAATAGGTTCCATGCGGATGGAGGAGGTGGCCTGCGGAACGTCGCTTGACGATAGCATAGCATACGTAGGGAATCATATGGACGCAGAGACGAGCGCACAGAGTCGATCCATGGTCGCGAGCTGACCAAGGCATCCACCGGAAAGCTCCCTGGGGCATCGGCTAGAAACCCTGCTTGGTCTCCCTCTTCCTTCTGCCATCTCGGCTCTCTCATGCCGGCAGCCACATCCTTAGCTGCACTTTGGGGTCCGAAGTTCGGTCCGCTGCGGCTTCTGTTGAGAAGGGCCTCTGCATCTGGACCCTGAGGCGAGTCGGGGCGGCGCCCAGAGATCGAATCCGTAAGACGAGGATGGGTGCGTTGATGTCTACGATTCCAGTTGACCTCCATCATGTCGGGATCAAAGACATGTTCTCGTCGAGCAAACACCCCTTCTTCCACCTCCGCATCCACATCCTCCACGTCGCCCTCCTCATCGACCATGGAAGCCACTACGACAACTTCGTCGTCTTCATCAGACTCAGCTACTACGGGACCCGGTCCTGTGCCTTTGGCGTGCCGTGCTCTCTTTGACGCTGGATGATCTCTGAGGTGGTGATGCTGCCGCTCTTGCTGCTGCTGTTGCTGCTGAAGTTGCAAGCTCGCAGGCACAGCATTGGCGCGCAAAGATTTAGGGCCACCTCGTTTTCTATACGAAGCGGGCAGCGGCTCCGAAACAATGCAAGCCTGCTTGAGGACCTTGCATCGATGGCATGCCAGCTCGGTCGGCTGCGGCGCCTCGCTCGCCAAAACCGCTGTCACATCCGGAAGGTCGCAGCGCTGCTTCGCCTTTCGGCAGCCCACGCACGATCGAGGCCCCCTCGTCCTCTTTCGCTTCTGCGTGCCATGCGCTTGCACCTCTTCTTGCTGCTTTGTAGATGACGAGGTCGATGGAACGTCGGCCATTGTGCCGTAGACGTCCTTATCGTCCTGCCACCGAGGCGCATTGAGGCAAAGAAGAGGCTAGGGAAGAGAGTGAGAAATATTAGCTCGGAACGAAGCATCCGCATCTCCGGCTTCCGAAAATGGCTGCTTTCAGACGACCCTCACTTGGGTGAAGATGGGTGCGGTATGAACAATGAACGCAAGGGACTTTTACAAGTACGTCTGGATAGTTGCTACAGTTGTGGCTCTTCAGGGTCTATGGGAGACCTGCAGGTGCTTAAAGGAGAGGACAAGGTGGTAAGAGGGTCGAACAGAAGTGAGAGTTAAAAGCATTGGTAGCTTTCATTTTTGAGGTGTGGAGAGGAGCCTTAGCTGGTCCTTGGGCGTGCGTAGGCCGAGTGTGGAGAGCGCTTGCGAGGCACGGCAGGGAGGCAGAGGGTGGAGAGGAGCTTACTGAGCAGCGAGCCCGTCTCAAACGGGTTTGGTGGAGGAGCAGTCGAGAAGCGGAGAGCCACGTCTCGGGTCAGTTGCTGAAGGATTGCATGTGATGAGATGCTAGAAGACACCATCTCGCAAGACCTGACTCACCCTTTGAACAGTCGTTTGTCCTCTTCGAGCTGCTGTGAGGTGCTTGAAGAAGTAGCTCGTAACTATGAGAAAGCTTGGAACGGAAAAAAGAAAGAGGATCGTAGCGACGGGTGCTGCACGGAGCGCATTTCGGAACGAACCGACGCCTTCCTCCGACATAGAGACAAGTTGAAGACCAGGAATGGAAGCTGCCGACGAGCGTGCTAGGTAGGCGAGGTGAAGCGCAGCAAAAACGGTCACGTACGAGAGAGAGAGAGCGGCGAAGATGAGAAAGCCCAAAAAGAAGGCCAGATTGCCTGATCCTACATCAGCGCCGATCCAACGACAGTGTCCGAAGTTGTGCAAGCAGCACCGTCGGCAGATGCTGCAATGAAAGGCTCGTGGAGGTGGATATATGTCGCAAACGTCACAGTAGCGGCAGCGAAGAGTTGTCGATCCCACTTGAATCTCTCTCGGTACTGGCTGCTGCTCCATGTCGACGACTGGTCGATGAAGTCCCCGAAGAGCAGTCTCCCTACGCCATTGTCTCCACCGTTTGATGCTGGTGGTGCAAGGCGATTTGAAGAAGGCGTTGAAGCCGTTTGAGTGGCTCATAGTTGTCACATTGTCAACTTCGTCCTGTCGATAGATGAGCCAAGTCCGTCGACCACCTGTGTCGAGCATAGGCATTGCTCGAACAGCGTCAGGCGAGGCTAGCAAGTTCAACGGATTTGTCCGCTCGGACTGACTACCTTGAGCTTCTTTCGTGACAACTTCGGTCCTCACAGGGACAACTGTTCTCGCCTTTGTCGGGCTGGCCTTAGCGGCTGCTTGCTTGATCTGCTGCCTGAGTTTTGCCAACGCCATTTTCTTCCGGGGCGAGTCGTCGTCGAGGTCTTGCACTTCTTGCGACAGGTATGAGGTTATAACCACCTCATTGTCCCGACCTTGTTGCAATGGCAAGCTTCCTCCTGGCCGTGCTGTTTGTCTCGCGACATCTTTGAGCGTGTATTGATGCAGCCCCAGTGGAATTGTTCCTGGGTCAGTGGCTGCGGCGCAGACAAAGGACACGGCAGTCCCAAGAAATAAGTAGATCGGGGCAACCGCCGCCGCCGGACTAAAGGCAGACCAGAGGAAGGGGGCCTCGAAGACAAAGAAGAGCGCAATTACCAGCACCTGGAACAGAAACACCATGGTGGTCATGGCATATCTCGAAGCCCTTCTTGACCACCGTCCTCGCGCAGCACTTGCCGCATCTGCGGGAAAAGCGCTCATCTCTTGATCGGCTTCTTGCTCTCGATCATTGGCCTTCGCGACATTCTTGACCTTTTTGACAGGCGGAAGGAGCTGCATAGAAGCGACGACTCTGCGGAATTCGGCTATTGAGACTGTGTGCTGTTCGATGTGCTCAACATCCGCTTTCCGAACACCTGTACCCTCGGGGTGATATACAAACGCTTCGACCTCCGAAGCGCTCCTTGCTTCTTCGTCGGTTGGCGCCACATGATGATGCTGACCTGCTCCTCCAATCGCCGAATTGATCCTCTGATGGCTCATCTTCTCAGCATCAACATTTTCGCCCTGAGATGCTTGTGCCTTCGATGCTGCCTGTCTCTGTCCTCCCTCTTCGTCACTGCTGAGTCTGCTCCTTCTTCTCGCCTTTCCGGGTCCTGCCACGAGCTCGAATGAAGAGCTCCTGCGAAGTGTATCCTCAGGTTCCGTTGGCATTGTCATCGCTTTCGCACCTTTCCGCCCTTTTGCGGCTCCCTCCCAATTTGAGGGGCCTGCCTCGCCTTCTGCAGGGATAGAGGGTATCTTTGCTGTTCCTTTCGGAGGAGATGAGAAATTGCTCGATGGCGTTTCAGCCCTTGCTCTTTTATTCTTCAGTGGTGCCGAGAGCGAGGCTCTGTTAGTGTTGCCATGAGCGTGGTATATCCCCGCACCGAAGCTTCCCCCTCTCGGTCGCGGCTTGCGCCCATCGAAGAAGAAAAGCTGACTGAAGTCTTCTCCACTACCGTCAAAGGAGCGAAGGTCGATGCCCAGACCGACGCCGGTTCGACTGCCCGCAGTCGTCAGCTCACTGCCACTGCTGGGGCTCCCACTCTCGCTATAGTGGCCCTGCTCGGAGCCGAACAGAGCGGAAGCTGCCTGCTCACTCGCTTGTCGATGGTCTCCTCTGTAGAATTGCTGCCTCTTGAGAGGCGTCTCGGGCAAGGGTATGGGGGCTACTTCATGGTCTTCGACATCGTTCTCCGCCCGCTCTCTCTGGCCATTGTGACCTCGAGTCGAAGGGTGGCTGGAGCTGAGGGACGCCGCTGACACGAGGCCAGATGCCTCAGGAATGGATCCGTGGGCCAGTGGCAGCTCAATTGTTCTGGGAGAAATGGTAGATGAGCCATCACCTCTGCTGCTCTTTCGAATCGGCAATTGCGGTCGACTAGGGAGCGAAGAGTGGCGGGTCGAAGGGGTCGGCATCTGTTCGAGCTCGTTTCTTGTTCTCTCAGATGCGAAAACGGGCCTGCTCTGTCCCTGTACTATAGCAGGTGGATCGCTCCCTTGTCGGCCCTCCGCCGATTCGATGCTCCTGTAAGCTCCCTCTGCTGACTGCGTTGGAGGCATGACTCTTTGTGGATCTTCCTTAGCTGCAGCTTCTTCCTCCCTCCACCACCTTTTCATGAGACCTATGGCCGGACCAAGAGACGACGCCAAAGGTGACAGGCCAGAAAATTCCTCTTCACCGGGCGATTGTCTCTCGTTATACGACATCGGCTCGGACGATTCTTCCCGACGGAGCGACGAGGGTGTATGGAAAGCTTGCCCTATCGAAGCAGGCGACGAATGAGCGGACAAGAACCGGTCTCCATCTTCCGTCTTCGAAAGACCGCTTCCTTCTTCTTGCATCTTTTCAAGCTGAAGCGACCGGCTCGCCGAGCGTCGGTGCGTGACCGTCTGGGAGCTTAGCTTCGCGACACCCTCTCCTCGCCGTGGAGCGTAGCTATAATCATGTCCACCATGTGCATGGTCACTGCTTACATGTGAGGGCGATCGTGAAGACTGTGTAGGCGAAGAAGACGAAAAGGGCTGACGTTGCTGTTGTTGTTGTAGTTGCTGCTGCTGCTGCTCTTCTAGTCTCTTTTCAAAACGCAAGGCGGCCTCTGGCGAAAAAGCGCCCTTGGGGAGCGACTCAATGCTTGAACGCTGGCTTGGCGATACGGCATAATTTCTGGTAGTGAGCGACAAGGGTGGGCGGGCAGGAAACGTGACTGTGGGCGAGATGGGAGCTGACCGCGGGTGGTGCCAAGATGTGGGCCGCCAATCTTCCCTGCCAGTGTCTTTACGACGGAGCGGAGACGATGAGGAAGAGGCCTGCAGTTGGTCTTCTGGCAAGATCTTGTTGGTTTCGCTGTCTTCTGGCCTGTCCGGTGCGTGCCGATGATATTCATGGGAGTCTGAGATCCACGTACGGGTGCCATGAGTGGGCGCGCCATAGCTTTGTGAATGGCGGAGTACCCGTCCACTTCGTGCCTCGTAGCTCCTGCCGGCTCGTTGCCGCAAACTTTGCCAGTACTGCTCGTCAGCTGAAATACGCGTGGTCTGTGCTCGCCTCGCTATTTTATCCTGCCCCACGTCCTCGCGACCGTAGCCCGCACCTTCCGAGCTTCTGCCCTCGTGCTTCGACTGCAGGGCAGCCGGCCGGGATTGATAGCCAAGCCCGCCGCCCATGCGAAGTCGCATCTCCCTCTCGAAGGCTTCATAGCTCGTCAGCGCACTCGAAGATAGCGGCCTTCGAATTCCGTTTCCAACATTGTTGTCATCATCGATCGAGGCCGACGACGCCGGACGACCTGCCGCCTGGGTCCCGACCGACGTCGACCAGGACGGCGTCCGGCGGTAGCCGAGAGAGCGTTGCGAAGAAATTGTTGGACAATCGTCTCGCTGTTGGCGTCAGGGTTCAGCAATACCACAAAGGGCGACGTCCCTGGCAAGGGCAAAGGGTCGGTGTTGGCTCCAAGGAAGAGATCTCGAGGTAAAGAGAAAGGGCAAGAAAAGAGTGTGCCCTAATGATTGAAGGAAGAACGCAAGAACAAATCTTGACCTCGATCCAAAAGAAGGTAGTTGCGTTGGTGCTCGTCAAAGAGAGTGTTCGCAAATTCGCTGTGCATCCCAGCTTCTAGGCCGTCGATGAAGGCCACAATCCGTTGGCGTCAGGCCATGCCACTCATCAGCACGAGAAAGAAGGCGCGAGCGGAGGTGAGGATGGGGGGGGGGCTGAGACAGGGGCACGCCTCCGACAGCGAGCACGCCGGAAGACAACACCGAAGGAAGAAGAAGTAGACACGTTTAGGTGAAAGACTGCAAGTGGTCGTCTGCTCATCTGTTTACTAATGAAAACCCTTCTTGGGGCGGATTTGCCAAGTTCTCGGCCCAATGACGGCAAAAGCGTGCAGGAGGCGCAGAGAGGTAGGGTTAATACAAGGCACGCTCGCTACAAGGCTTTGCTTTGCGTGCTAGTGCAATAGTAGGCAGCAGAGTGTTACTTGAATCACTCTACGCAAAGCCCGGACAAGCAGCTAGTACTTTCGTAGTGCACAGCAGCACCTAATGCTCTTTCAAGGCTTATCGACTCGTTGAAGGTGCAGTAGATGATTGCAGTCCTCTTTTTCTTTCTATCTTTCCTTCTCTTTTTCCGCGCTTTTTTTTTACCGCCACACTTCACACCTGGGCACGAGGAAGCCGCCGCCGAGGAGTCTTTCCTTTTTGGAAAAAGCGGGACATGCAAAGTTGCACCGATCAGCAGCAGGCTTTGCATTACTGTCCCCGGCCCGCAAATGAACATTCACGTTTGTTTACTCTTCGTAAGACCGGAGGTTCCTGATTATTATCGGCCGCTCGGAAAATTCTTTTGAAACAAAAGGACAGACAACAACAATCTGGTTCCGTTCCACAGTTGTGGAGTGGACACACAATCTTTTGCAGCGGGGCCGAGGACGTAATATCACTACTCTATGCTCGTCCTAGGCTGCTATGTCACGTGGTTTAAGTAGCTCTTCTCGGCGACATGCCCGCTCTTACTGTCATCAATCTGGCGGGCCTGCTTCACGCTGCTTCTGCACCGCTTGACGGCGTCCAAGCATGCATCTGCTGAACATCGTATATCCCTAAACAAGCGTGGAGAGAAGCTTCGGACGTTTTTTGCCCGCCCGCCGCATGACTTGGAACAGCAGAACAAAGACTTGTAGGATCTAGCTTGTGCGCGCGTGAACACACGGCAAGCACAGACCTTCCGCATTTCCTTTTTGAGTGCTGTGCAGTGCAGAACAGTGCATTTGAGTGGTAGGGAAGAAAAGTAAAGAGGATCCGCGCAGATCGAGACCGAGGCCGCAACACTGATCTGGTGGACGGACAGAACACGCGCGTATGCACGGCTACTTTAGGTCGATGACGCTTCCTGTGGCCTCTTGTGGTCGAACAGTGATGGGATGGATTTGCCACTATGAGGTGAAGTCATATACCTTCTGGAAGTTGATAAGCTTTTGCGAAGAAGCAAGATGAGGAGGCCCCACGCACTGCCCTACCTGGCCTAGCGGTAATTAATTGGGGTGATCCAGCTGTCAAGACTCTTACAGGCCTGGTGCAAGGCATCCTAATTTGATTGTGTCGACGATCCATATGTAACTAAATCAACGCTGAGATGCCATTGTTCGGTCCAAGAGCCTCGCTAGAAGAATACGATGACCGTGGGTGTCTGGCATCTATTTCTGCTCGCAGTCTGGCTTTTGGCGCGACTGCCTGAAAGATCGAGCAGGAAGTGGGCCCGTGCCACAGCGTGAGAACGACCGCGGCACTGCCATGAAACCAACTGTACTCTGGGCATCGAGGAGGATCGATTCCCTCTCCCGAAGAGGCCAAAGCGTGGGCAAGTCCCTACATGCTGGCAGGATGAGTGAGCGAAGGGAATGAAGGAAAGGCGGTGTGGGTGACGGAGTCGCTAGCTTTCCAAACTGGGAGCATCTTTCAATAAACAGAAAATGCAATACCGGTGCTCGAGCCGCCTCGCATGCTCACACGCACACTGGCACTTTCTCAGATGGCCACACATGCTACCGAGCTGCCACAATGCACTCCGCCCTTCCTCAGGCCACTAGCACTAGATAAGAGCAATGAAGGGAAGAGGACAAGGCTTCGATTGCAAACGAAGGCTTTAGTTCCAAGGGTGTGGAACAGAGCGACCTGCAGCGGTTCTTTTTTTTTTTTTTTTTTCTAAAATGTCAAGAGTATTTTAGATAATGTGTCTTGGCTCCTCCGATCCCTTTGTCAGTCGACAAGCGCGCAGCACCGCCTGCCGCCCGAGTGTTTGTCCTTTTTTTGTCTCAAATGATGTAGGTGACCTCACATCTGTCTGGCGAGAGTGGCGAGAGTAGCGCAAGAGTGAGATGGAGAGGTCCCCTGCGTCCTTCACGGGAGGATCCTCTCCTACTTCATCCCCCCCCCTCCCTTTCCTCTTTCACACCGCGTCTTCCCTCTTTCCGCCACTTTTCCCGCTTACCCCCCATTGAGAAACTCGACAAAGTCCGCGTCGAGCCGGGGACAGAGTTTGTCATCAACGAGTGCGCCTGCTTGGAGAAGAGACATCCGTTAGGAATAGCGCTCGATTGACGTGGGTCGGGTCGGCGCGCTTTGGCTAGCCAGACTGCATCACAGCGCGATGAGCAAGGCGATCCACTTTCCTTCCCCACCTCATCGACCTCCATCATCAGTACAGGAAGGAGCAGCGACCGATCCGAGCTTCATCGCATTCAGCAGCAGCCCTAGCGGCGACGAGGAGACGAAAACAGCGGCCACTGCTACAGCAGCGTCGCCGAGACGAGGATTCAGCAAGCCATTTGGGAGGCGAGCGACACCAAAGCTGCTGCTCAAAAAGGCAACCGCCAACGGCGACGAAAACCTTGTCCCCCCTTCGCCTCCGCCAAACGTGCCGCTGCCTCCCACGCCAAAGGACACGGCAAGCAGCATCACGAACGGCAGCGTAGGACACGACAGCGACGTCAACTCGGTCGACGGAACAACCGTGCTCGGCTCGCCCAGCTCGTCCTATCGATCCAAGCGGGCCATCAAGCACCACCGCTCAACGACGCCTGACCTTCCAAAGGTCACCTTCGACGTCGGTGAGGCGCAACGCAGCAGCAACGGCCACCTCGTCGTAGTTCCACACCGATCGAGCTCCACCAATCTCAAAAAGGACAGTGAACACAGCAAAGACGCTGGATTTCACGCCGACGACGACGTGATCCACTTCGTGCAACCAAACAGGTGAGTCTAAATGGTTTCCTGTCCATTTGGAGAGAGGGTCCATGCGAGAGCACTGGTCTCGGTTCGCGATTGCAAACAAAAGCCGGAGAGTGGGGCCTAAAGTCACGAGGATAGGCGGAGGGGCTCGGAAAAAAAAAGCAGGAAGAATCAAAGCAGACACACGCTATCTTTCCTGATTGTCCACATCGGGCAGGTGGAGAAGATTGGATCTCTCTCCTGTGGTTGGCCAGCCGTTCAGGCGATCGGCGAGACCTGCGTTCGTCCGTACGTCACCTGTAAGGGAGACGGGCTTTTGCAGACGAGAGGGCGCCACCGGGAACAATTAAGATTTCGTCTGCTACTCTTGGCCATCGCCATCGTCATCGAAGATGCGCGGCTAGCATGGTTTTCGTGGGAAAGAAACCGTCAATAGAGGGTTCTGCTGTCTTTCGTGACTCCGCGATCTGGTCCCAACATCTTATAATAAAAGGGCTGTTATTGACGAGAAGGCCCATATTCCTTCATTCTCGACCCTGCTCCGTCAACGGCCATCCTATCCCCTTGCTGACATTATCTGCCTTTCTCTCTATGCCATCTGTGCTCAGCGCCGATCAAACGGGAGCCACCCTTCAGCCAGAAGGAACAGGCGAGTCTCACGAGTCGCCTAGGCCTTCATTCACCTCGGCTATGGAGCGGACGCTGTCGGAGCAGTCAATTCTGAGCAACAACAAGTCTTCGTCGCCCGGAAAGATGAACAACAAGGCCGATTCCAACCGCGGGGTGGCGCCGGTCAAGGAAATGCCATTGGGCTCGACCGAAGCTTCTGGTGGCGGCGATGTGACAAAATCAACCAACAATGAATCACGTCGACCGCTTTCAAAGGAGCAGTCCTCAGGCATGGTCAGAGCCGCGGCCCAGCCTGTCGATAATGGTGCAGAGGGCAACAGGTCCGGCGAAGACAGCCGCTTACCCGAACACGAGTACGAAGAGGACGAAGCAAGGGAAGACGACCAGCTCGATTCGGACGAATACGCCTATTCTGATGACGGCGATACGGCTCAGCCCCATGGCCAGGAGTCGGTGCCGGCGCCGTACGCGGGCGTGCGCTACAAGACAAAGCGCTTCGACGACTACGAAGGAGATGGCGTCGGTCTGGGTGTCATGACCACACAGCAGCAACCGTCTCGCAACGGCGGAGTGCCCAAATGGCTGTCCGAAGAGCCACAGTTCACGTACGGGTCACGCCCCTCCCGGCACGATAGTCGTACCAGCGCGAACGATTCTAATCGCCGAACCAAGGGCGGCCTGAGGGCAGCGGCCGGCTTTGTGGGCTCCCAAGGCGCCCTCGCGCACACCGACTACGCTGACGACGTGATGAGCCCGGGCTTAGAGACTGGACCTCCGTCAACGAGGGGCTTCAAGGCGCTGAGGCACGGTGCACCGACTAACGACAGCCGCAGCACCCTGGGCCAAGAGCCTATGTCTCGCAACCCTTCTCATACCAACGTGTACCGTAAGTCTGGTTTGCGCTCCGACTTGGCCGACTGGGCTCCGTCTGCGAAACCCAACCCGCACATCAACGACCCGGCCTTTGCCAGCCACAATCTGCCCGAGTGGTCTTCGCTCCGAGCTGGTGACCCAACCTCGAAGCCAATCAGCCGGATCCGCCGCGACCTCGATTGGTCCATGCGGCGCCTCATGAGCGAAGACACCTTTGAGAAGCTCATTGGCGATCCACTCGGCCGCTACCACTTTCGGCAATTTCTCGTCCAGCAGACAGGCACCGAGAACAAGCTCGATCTCTACTTTGACGTGTGCCAGTACGCAAAGCAAACCGAGGCCGTCAGGTCGGCCAGCGATGCCCTTCACGATGTGTATCTGGCTCTGGACTCGGAGTCGCATGTCGACCTGCCCGAGAATCTGGCCTTTGATTTCTACAGCACACTCCGGAAGCAATACGAGCTCAAGACGACGGTGGCACCCCTGCAGCGTCACCTGCTCCAGTCGCTCTACAGAGGCGAATTCCAGAATTTCGTCAAAGCCAAACTCGTAGAGCACAACAAGGTCCGCCTCGGCACCCTCATGGATGATTCTGCCGGTGGCACAAGCGCCTCTGGCCTGGGCGACTGCTTCTGCCTGACAAACCCAAGGCTGCGAGAGAATCCAATCGTGCTCGTCTCGCCGGGTTTCACCGCTCTGACGGGCTATCCGGCCACGTCGATCATCGGTCGCAACTGCCGTTTCCTCAGTGGACCGGGAACAGCACCCAACAGCATCCAGAGGATCCGCGACGCCCTCAACGCAGGCTCATCTTGCACCGAGCTGCTACTCAACTACAAGCGCGATGGCCAGCCCTTTTTCAACCTCTTGACCATCTTGCCTCTTCGTGACGCCACTGGAAATCTGGTGTACTTCATTGGCGGACAGACGGAAGTGACCTCTCAGCTGGCCAGTTCCAAGGGCCTCTCTTGGCTCCTTGGAGGAGGCGACGATGTCTTGCCAGTATCGGTCACCGCGGCAGCCCAGCACAACACCGTTAATGGTGTAGAGGTCTCACCTCAGATGGCTCGCTACCTGCAAGAAGCCGATCGCATGAAAGGTTTCGCCTCTCACGAGGACGATGCAAGCGATGATGGCTTCAGTATGGCCGGCGGCAGCAGCTACAGGGGCGACGGCGACTTTGATGGTCCTAGCCTGGCGAGACCCCGCATGCCAGCCAGCCGACAGAGGTCGCACCGCACAAAGGCAACGGCAGCTGGCTACTATGACCCCAACGCATCTTCGGGACCTGCCGCAGACCAGATGGTGCCCGATTTGGCCCCTTCCTCATCGTCTAGTTCCTCCAGGCGAAGCGATGCCGGTGGCGCCACGTCTAGTGTCGGTCTCATCTCCCGTCTCTTTGGTGGCGGAGGCAGTAAAAAGTCAAAGGGTGGCAATCAGAAACAAATCTCGAGTGGTGGCGACCAGCAAGGTCTGCAGAGGCTCGCCGGCGCTGAGCAGCTCTTCCAGCGTGACCCGCATTCCCTCGAAGACCAGATGGGTGAGATACCGATTGTGTTGTGTCCATTCTTTATCCTTGCTGACCTCTCTTGAACGCTCGTAGACTTCTTCTCAAACCTCTACTCGAAGCTTATCATCTTCAAGCGCGCCAAACGTGAGGTCGTGTTTGTCACGCGCGCCGCCATCACCTACTTCAACCTGCCCACCACGACGTGGTACGACGTCCACTCCTCGCCCCTCGTCCACGCCGATTTGCTCAGCCTGCTCCGTGGCAGCGACAAGGCGGAAACCAAGTCGATTCGTGCCGCCGTCCAGGAGGCCATCCGGCAGGGCACCCACATCTCCATCCAGACAGCCGTCCGCACTCCGCCAACGAGCCGCAGAAATGCCATCCTCGACAAGGTGGCCGAGTTTGGAAACACAAATGGCAAGACGCCTGTCGATGCCAACGGCGAGCCGCTGAGGTTCACGACGATGCACATCACCCCACTCAAGGATCGTGAGAACGCCAGCTTTGCCTTTGTCGCCGTCGTGGCGTGAAAGCAAGATTCTTTACCCTCAATTCGTCTTCTCTTTCCCTTTTTTTACGCCAAAACTTTCGTTTCTTTGTCACACTCACTCGATCATACTCCCACACTCTTCATCTGTTCCATACACGGCTAGACTCGGCCTTTTCTAAGGGCCGGTCAGAGATTTCGTTACCTTGAAGAAGCTTTATAGCAGGCCATAACAGAGAATACATAACAATCTTTCGCTGTGAAGTTTTGGATTGCGATTACAGCGTCAGTTCGTTTCCCTTGTCTTCCATGGCCCCGGTTCTCCTTGGCAACAGCATGCGCAAATCACAAAGGGGAACGGTTCTTTGCAAGAGAAGAGGGTGTGTCATTAATGCGAAATGTCGCGGCACTGTGAGGCGCGCGCTACTACTACAATGCTATCGAGTGTCCTGGGCATCTGTGAGAGAGGGAGAGGAGAGAAACGGCCGCAACGATCCTGTTAGTAATTGCTGGGATCCGCAAGGCGGAGGTAGTCGGTAATCTTGTACGGTGTCGTCGTGGTCGAGGTCCTCCAGCCGACCTTCTCCTGAGGCGTGTCGCCAATGAAGAGCTGGTACGCATTGTGGATGTAGGTGTCCTGGGCAATCTGCTGGGTGAGTTTGCCGTCCTGGCTCGGCTGTGGAACCACACCGAGGTAGTTTTCGGTGCCTTGGTTGCCAGAGTGGTCCCAGACGAAGAACTGACGCTCCTGGCTGTCGTCGTCCGTGTAGGAGCACCGCTGGCTGGTGAAGCGGCCGTTGCGCGAGGTGCCATCGAGGGTGATGCAGAAGTCGGTCGCGCGCGTCGACCGAACGTGGCCTGCAAACGTCGTGCCATTCTGCGCCGGCAGGTTCATGTACTTGGACGTGCACGCCTCAAAGACAAACTCCTCGGGTCCCGCGGGCGTCTTGTCGTTGGCCTTTGCGTCGAGGACGAGGATACGGTGGCCGGAGCCATCGCGGGTGTCAGTGAAAGCGGGGTACCGGGGATCATGGCGGCAGGCCTCGCAGTCGGCATTGAACTTGAGGACATAGCCGGGGGGCGAGACAACTTTGCACGTCACACCTGGGGCTCGCTCGATGAGCTGCTCAGCAGGTGCTGCCGGAGCGGCGGCTGCCATGCCGAAGAAGGAAGCCGCAACAACGACAAAGCTGGTAGCAAATTGCATCTCGAAGAATAAATCTGGCTCGGATGGGGAAATTTGGAAAAGAGAACGAGGAGGAGGGGCCGATGTGAGAAAAGGACGAGGAGAAGGAAGCTTGGTTGCTGCGTGAGCGCGAGGAGAATGCAAAAGGCTCGTCCTTATATAGCCTGTAGATGTACCCACACCACACCTGGGAGCTCTGAGCTAGGGTCGCTTCAAGTCCGCCGGAGCAGGAAGGGACAAATGTCCTGAAAGCAACGACTGTCCAGGCCCAGGGGCTTGTAAGGTCCTTGAACTGAACCTCAGAATATAGTGTTGGACACATCTCCACTTGGGCGTCGGAGAACCGCGTCGAAGAATCGGTTCATTGAATCGGGGCCTTAGTCTAGACTATGAAATGGTTCCAGAGTGCTTGATTCTCCCGAGAAAAACATGAAGCTCGGCTCATCTAACACCGATCTCTGTGCCTGGCTGATGTTTCTCCGAACCACCGGCAAGGCGCCGTGACACCCGCTGCTCGGCAAAGTAGTGTCCATGCACTCAGAGATGTGCATTGGCTTCTTCTGCTGCTTGGCGCATTACAGAAAAGGATTTATAGAAGATTCGGCCCCGGTCGCGTCTTGGCTATTGAAGTCAAGGTCGCGGAGCAGCGTGGTGGGCTTGTCAGTGGCTTGGCCTGCACCGTTAGCCTCTTTCTGGTATCCTCAGCATGGGCAGAGTAGTAATTATTCTTATATGTCTCGCTCGGTGTTGCGGGAGCAAAGGGCTCCCTTGCATCCGTGTGCATATAGGGAGCCGACGGTTGGAGGTATTGATGATTGTATTGCGGAGCGTGTCAAGATGGGAAGAGGAACAGAGAGTAAGACTTAGGTTTCGACTTTCATCCAACCAAAGAGCGAATCGAGGCCGACGTATCGCCTTCCCGACCTCTGAGAATAACGAGCAACAGCGTTCCTGATGGCATCAAGCGTCCGAGCCGTGTTGCTCTCTGCGACGACACAGCGAGCTGCCACATCGTCGTATCGCGCGGACCCCGTCGCGCGTTCGAGGGCCCTCTTGCGGTCGACGAGCGACTCAAAGTAGCAGAGCTGGTCATAGAGAGCCTTGTCCGAGTACTTTGGCACCGTCTTGCCCGTGCACCCGGGCATGAGGCATCGTCGCGCATAGACACCCACGACCCTCGTCTCTGTGCCGCATGCTGGCTCGGTGCAGACCGTGACTGCCTGGTAGTATCGTGCAATATGTTCACGTACCCGCGCTTCGACCTGCATGACGGCATTAACCATGCCAAAGTGCGTCTCGCAGTGCGGGCAGCAAAGGCCCGAAGAGGATAGGGGCAGCATCTTGAGCGCAGCCTCTTCGCCCCGCATCAGCCCAGGCAGCCCTGCGAATTCGCTGGTTTGACCGCATGAGCCACAGAGCAGTGGCACAGCCTCGCACTGAGCAAAGCGAACCTCGTCAGGTGTCTGACTGTCGAGCGTTGTAATCATGTCGCGCGACGATGATCCGGATCCATTGGCTGAAGAGACCGAGGCATAGCGCGACGCTTCGAGGCCCAATTGCTCCGCGAGTCGTGCCCGGTCAGTTCCCTGAATAGAGTCGCAGAGGCGCTCAATGGGTGGCAGCACCTGTAGGGCCAAGTAATGCTCAAAGTCGACACGCAGCGTGGAGCCAGCCTTGCGGACCTCATCGGGGTGATACGCCCGGTCGGCCTGGGCCGTCTTGGACGCGCTGCTGCCGTCGTCACCCAGGCAGAAGACATAAGGGATCACGTCGCCCATTCGGACAGTGACGCCACGATCAGCCATGCGCTTCGCCACCTGCACGTGGGGCAACGATTTGGCTGCCGACTCTGCGTACTCGGACACCTTCTTGGACAGCCGCTTGTACACAATGAAATCGTCGAGGTTGATTTTGCTTCCTCGGACCTGTTCCGACATATCTGCCAGGTACTCGTGGATGCGTTCGACGACAGTGTCGGTGGCCTCGCCAGAGAGGATCTGCGAGAGGACATATTCGGAGACATTCTTGGACAAAGCGCAGTACTCGCGTCTCTTCATGTCCAGACCCTTGATCTCCGTCGAGAAGCGAGCTTGGTCGCCGGCATCGATGTCGACCTTGAGGGCGGCGTATTTCTTCTTCTGCAGTAAGAGCATGCGAGCAAAGACCGCATCAATGTCGATCTCAAGCAGACGGTAGCGCTCGTTGACGGCCCTCTTGAACTCCTGACCGATGCGCATGGCCTCCATCAGATCAGTGGCATGGGTGTTGATCATGACCGAGTCAGTGTCACCATAGACAACATCGAGTGAGAGGCTCTCTGCAAGCTCTTTTGTCGCCGTCAGAATCTCTCGACCTTTGAATGTCGTCAGAGCGGCGAGCGGCCGGGCATAAAAGCGCGAACCTTCAAAGCCTAGACAGCCGTACATGCTGTTCGCAGTCAGCTTCAGGGCGAGCTGCTTGATGTCCCACTGGAGATGCTTCGAGGGTGGTGCGTTTCGGTCCTTCATCAGGCTCTTGACCTGTCTTCTCCTCTGCACCAGCGTTGAAATCAGTCGAGGCAGCACACCCTGCTTGACATCCGAGGAGGGCACCTCTGGAACGTCTTGCGAGCCCGACGAGCCGCCTTCGAGGTGTACCGAACGGTCCACGGTGGTGAAGTCAATGTTGAACTCTTGGATGATGGAGGGATAAAGTGAGTTGAAGTCCATGACGAGAATGTACTTGTCCCACAAGCCACGCTTGGGCTCAAATACAAGACCGCCCTTGAACTTGTCCTTCTTTGACGATTTTCCGCCCCCGCCGCCCGTGGCGCCGTCTTCGTCGTGATCGTCTTCGTGGTCTCCGTCATCGTCGTCGTCATCGTCATTACGCTGCTGGCGCTTCTTTGAGCTAGTTGCCGCAAGCGTGGCGAGCAGCTGCTGTCTCTCTGACTTGTTGAGCTTGTCGGGACAGATGAACTTTTGACGGTGGAAATCGTGAAGCAAGATATATTCGTTACGCTCCGCACGACCACCATTGAGAGTCCGAGCCCACGAATTGCCCGCGAGGTTTGTCAGCTGCTTGGTCAGGGCGAGGATCTGCACTTTCGAGGCAAGAGCCATCTGGAAGAAGGCGTCGACCTCATTATGACGGACGAAACTCATCAGACGCTCCCCGTTTGGAGCTAGGTGGTCGAAAAAGGCTGCGGTGTCGTCCGGGTCGATGTCCTCCCTCTGTGCCTTGAGATGGGTGCCGACCATCTCTGTGAGCGACCACGTCGTCGAGGGAATCATGCCCTTGGCTGTGTCACTGGCCAAGTCGCAGATGAGTCGGCCAGAGACGAGCCTGAGATTGAATCCCTGGCGAAGCGGAGGCCACTTTTGCCGACGCAACCTGCCCAGTCGCGACCAATGGTCGACACGAAGCTCCTTTATGCGATGCAGGAGGACGTCGAGGGTGACGCCGGCAAATTCGTGTCCCACAATGACATCGGGATCCTGCTGCTGCACGTGGGCCAAGAGGGCGTTGAGGAGCATCCGCTCGTACTTGACGGTGAGGACCTTGGTCGGCTTGGCCGCCCTCGCTTCTCGCTCGAAACCGGGCGGGAACATGTTTCCCAATGGTCGGACGACGGAAAAGAGATCGCTTCGAACATTCTCGGGGGGCGTGGCCTCTTCCAATTGCGTATCCTTCCACGTCCTTGCGGCGCAGGCGACGATTTCGCGCTTGTTCTCCTTGTGGTTGATAATTGTCCGCACCGAGAGGCTCATGACCGTCAACGGAGGCGTGTCGCGAGGCGCATCTTGGTCCGTGTCGGCAAATGGCTTGACAAATTTGGCGTCATCGACCGTGAGCTCGACCTTGCACCAGCTCAGCGGCGTTTCCGAGGCTGGACGAAGCGAGGCACATTCGACATCGAGCCAGCAGGGACCCATGATGTTGCGCTTGACGACAAAAAGCTCAAAGGCACTCGTATTGGTGCCAAAGGCCCGGGAGAAGGTGCGGCCCTGCACATCGATGGGCAGCTGCGGCTCGTCGAAGCCGTACTTGACCTTGAGATAGTTGCCCTCGGCAGGCACGCCAGGAATCTCAAAAGCATACTTGCGTGGCACCCACTTTGCGAGGAAAGACTTGATGCCGTGCTTGGACGTCATTGCGTCAAAGTCGTCGTACACCTCTTCCTCTGTGAAGACGACTTATCAGCAAATCAAGTTTATAAAGTCAGACACGACCAGTGCTCACCACCAAAGCCCTCTCGAGGAAGTAGGTAGACGCAGCGTTCCACTCCTTCGACCTGGAGACAGGCGCTGACGTAGCGATCTGTTGCATGGTCCTTGACCTTGCCTATGAGGTAGATGATTCCCTGCTGCTCGGTGTAGTCGGTCCAAAAGAACCTCAGCTTTCTGCCGTCTTCTTCGAATGGCTTAATCTTCGATGAGGCTGCATTCGATGCCGATGTCGATGTCGAGGGAGACGGTATGTCGTTGACGTTGGCCAGGCCTGCGCCGATGGACTGCCAGCTCTTCTTGAGGTCTGGAGTAGCCTTTTGCTCTGGGGCTTCAACCTGAGCCACCATCTCGGGCATTGGCAGATCTTCTTCAACCTGCTCTTGCTTGACAACGACTGTTGGTTTGGCAGGCGAGGCAGCCTTTGTGGCCTTTGTCGCGCGAACACTAGTGGTACTGACGAGGTGGGCGTTCTTCTCCGGCGCACGTACAGAGAATCCGTCGTCGTCATCCTCGTCGTCGTCGTCTTCGCCTCCAGCCAACAGCTCGAGGGAGGGGTCAATAACAGATGTCGAGCGACGGGAAAGCAAGTCGGATGTCTCAGTGATGTCCATGCTGTCAATTCGCTTTGGAAGACCCTTTTCAGCTTTGAAGCGCTTGTGGTTGAGGTGGTCTTCCTCATCGCCGACCAGGGCCCAGGGCGGCGTGTCTCCTCCCCGGACGTGGACTCTATTGCCAACATCGTCGGATGAGGAGGGATCGAGAGGGTCGCTGCTGGGTGGACCGGTCGATGGGCTCGATGGTGCGTGGTGCTGCCGGAACGACGTGAGGGAGGGAGGAAACTCGTCTGTCTTGCGTTTGCGTGAGTTGTTGTTGCTGCTGCTGCTGCTCAGCATACCTCGACCGACGCGTGTCGCCGGCGACGGGCTTTCGGCCACCTCGCCAGGTTCAAGTCCACCCATGAGCCGTCGCATGAAGTCGTCCTCTTTCTCGCGATTGACGGCGGGCCGATAGGCGTCCAGCGCGTTTGCCGCGTTGCTGGGTGCCATTGCTGATGCACCTCCTGCGGCTCTTGGCCTGGCCTTCTGCTGCTTGCCAAACGCGTCGGCAAGCGCAGTCGCCCTCTTCTTCTTGTCTGTGCCCGTCTTTCTCTTGCTCTTCTTGCGCCCTGTCCTAGCATAGTATTCTTCTGCATCTTCGCTGTCCTCTTCGTCGTCGTCCTCGCCGTGTTGTCTGCCTCGATTGTCCCACTCGTCGCGTCCGTCGTCGACGTAGCCGGATCCATCGTCGTCTTCAATGAAGTCGTCGTTCATCATCCTGCCCCGGACGATCGACTTGTATTCGTCCTCTGACACCTCATCGTAGAGGTCATCATCTGAGTCCGATTCGCCCTGTATGCGCAAGACCCTGTTCAGCATCGTGTCCTTCCCTATGCTGCGAATAGAAGCGACTCACCTTTGCGTATTTGACGACACCCGCTCCGGTGCCCCCTTCTCGCTTCGCCTTGAGAGCCGCAAGCGCGTTCATGCGCTTCGCCTTCAAGCTGCTCATCTTGGCGTCGGCTCTGCCCTGCTCAGGTCGAGTCGCGAGACGGGCTGTGAGTGAGAGATGGAGCAGACCAGAGGGGAAGAACAAGCGCGAGGCGTTTAGCAGCAAGCGGTGGGGAGAACGCGTCGGGAAAAGTGTTTCATTTTCGCGCGCGCGCCCTCGAGCGTGATTTGTCATGTGCCAGAGTCGGTTCTCCCAAAAGCGTCATTAATGGACGAACAAATTTGTCACCGCTTTCTTTCGCTCGCCAGAGCCAAGAGCGGCGGCTACATGACTCGAGGGCCAGGCAGCAAGCAGCTCTGCCTGTTCGGCAAGGTTTGCCCATCAATCTCCATCGCATGAAGGGAGAAGCCTCCTCTCGGAGGCTCGGCATGAGTGGAACACCATGGGTGGTAGCCCGAGCTCCGAAGAGCGCGACGAGCAATCCGGCCTTCTTCCAGGGGGAGGATTCTGTGAAGCCACACTGCTACTACTATTTCCTGTTAGCAAAGGCGGGCCACGGATCAGATCTGCCAAAATCGCCGCCAAATGGCCGACCGCGTTGGGCCGTGCAAGAAGTTTCGTACAAATTTTTTCAAAACGCGGACTTCGGAGCTCGTTCTGGGCGGACCAACACGCAGAGAGGAGAGGGTGCATTCGAGCGTTTGTTTATGCATACAGAGCCAATAGCAGAGGTAGTAGTGCTGATAGCAGTATAGAACGCCGGCCTAGCACCGAGGGAGGCCTGCAAACTGGTCGGCTGAGGATGGAGGCACGGCCAAAAATTTATAAGGACGGGCGGCTGTAAGATGATTTGTTTGTTGCTCACTGCCACCAAAACACTCCCAGGCAGTGAAGGGGAGCAATGAGCGGACACGACACAAGCGACATCGGCCTCGCCGAGCTCCAGCAGGCTCGCATCCTTCGCTACGAGGAGACTAGCGACGCTCATGATAGGCGCACCTACCAGACGGCCGGCTTTGGCCCCATGTCGCCGTCCGAGTCAAAGTCGACGACGCCGTTCGACTCCAAGGCCACCTCGGCCCGCAACTCGTCAGATGGCCTTCCGTTATCGTCGTCGTCGATGGAGCAGCCGGTGCAGCTGCCGACCGAGGCCATGTTCCAGGCTCGCCCGGCCCAGCTCAAGAACATGACGGCCGAGATCCTCTTTGTCATGACGTGCGCCCTCTCGCAGATTCTCTTTTCCTTCTTGCTCGGGAATGTCGCCACGCTGCAAGACGTCCTCGTTGACAAGCTCAACATCCCCCATTCGCAGTCGCCTTGGCTCATCGGTTCCTATGCCCTTGCCAACGGCCTCTCCGTCATCGTCTCGGGCCCCGTGGCTGACCTGACAAAGCCAAAGTACCTCATCTGTGGCGCCTTTGCCTGGCTTACGGCTTGGAGTGTCGTCGGCTGCTTCTCCCTCACCAACAAGTATCTCTTCTTCGTCGTCCGCGCCTGCCAGGGCATCGCTGTCGGCGTTCTCCTCACCTCCACACTGTGCATCTGCGGCAGGATCTACAAGCCTGGGCTCCGCAAGACGAGAATCTTCTCGGCCATGGCCAGCGGCGCGCCCCTGGGATTCTGGCTCGGCTGCATCTCCTCATCGGCCCTGGCTACCGCTGATGTCCGCTACATCTACGTCCTCGACGCCGCCATCTCAGCCTGCTGCCTCGCCGCCGCCCTGTATGCAATCCCGGCAATCGACTCGTCGACGGTCGTTAATGCCCCCTTCGATTATCTCGGCAGCATCTTTGCCGTCACGGGCTGCTCACTCCTTGTCGCCGGTCTCACCCAGGGCCCCTCGGTCAGCTGGGCGGCCTACGCCATTGCAATCGTCGTCATCGGCGTAGCATTCATCGTCGCCTTCTTCTTCATCGAGACACGTGCTAAACGACCGATCATGCCGCCCCAGGTCTGGAAGGCGCCGAGCTTCACACCCCTCGCCATCGCCTACTTTGTCGGTTTCGGAGGTTACATGTCCTGGCAGTGGTACATGGTCCAATTCTTCCTCCACGTTCAGCACGCATCGCCAGTCACGACGGCCCTTTACATTCTTCCGAACCCGATCATCGGCGTCTTGGCGGCCTACATCGTGTCCATCATCCTCCATCGTGTCCCTGGACATTACGTCTTCTTCATCTCCATGGTCTGCTTTGGCCTAGGCCCCGTCTTTTTTCTTCCCCAGACGGCGGGCACGCCGTACTGGAACCTGAGCCTCGTAGGCATCTCGCTCGTCACCCTCGGGCCCGACCTCTCCTTTGCTGCCGCCTCGGTCATCATCACGAGCTCCACGCCCAAGTCCTACCAAGGCTCGGCCGCCTCGATCCTCGTGACGCTGCAGAACCTCTCGGCGGCCATCATGACGAGTATCAGCGACAGCATCGGAGTCAGGGTCACCGATGGCTCTGGCTCAACGACGATTGATCTGAGCGGCTTGAGGGCCATCTGGTACTTCAACATGGCCTGTGCCATTGTCGCGGCCGCCATTGTCCTGATCGCCGTTCGGGTCCCAAAGAGCATCGAAAAGGACCACGAGAAAGAATACTGACCAAATCAGGCACACCGCCTCTTTTCTTCCCTTGTATTTATATGAACCATCCACCAAGTAGCGTTTCCTGGGTCTCACTGTCACCTTCTCATTCTTCTCTTCTTTTCCACGAGAGCGATGGTTGCCACACAATAATATACTCCGCCCCGTCCAAGCCTTACATGTGGATGAGCGCGTGCGTAAGGGACTGGGAAACCCATGCAGGAGAGCCTCATAAAGACCAGCTCACACCTTCATGATACCACATCAGTGTTCGTGTTCTAGAGTGGTGGAATTGCCTTGCCTCGGGCTGAAAGGTATAAGACCTTATGGGAGAGGAAAAGAGGCAACGGGAAAGCCTTCAGTCGTCAGCGATCAGGTCTGCGACGATCGCTGTGCCGTGATGGAAGAAGAGCGAGAAGTGGCCCTCGCCGGGAAAAGTTTTAAGGCTGGCATTCGGAAGCCTCTCTTGTGCATATTGGCCCATGGACAGGGGCGTACTTCCGTCGCGGTCACCGTAATACAGCTTGACTCTTGAGTGGACCGATTTCAGGGGGAAAGGTAATGGCGCAAATTGCATGTAGGCGTCGGTCATGTATCCTTCTGAGCCTTGTCTCATTGACTCGCGAAAGACGTCGATGAGACGATCGAATGACTCTGCGTCCTGTCGCAGGCACCTCTGTTCGATTTCTGGTAAAGACTCAAGGAGCTTCACCATGGTGCGGCGAAACACTGCAGGGTCCGCGTCTTGCGCTGGTCGAACGAAGTCGCGGTCGATCGTATACTTGAGCAGGGAGCGGGGTGCATATATGTTGTACTTGTATGCGATGTAACGCTGCCATGATACACCGGACAGGCCAGCATCATAGAAGAGACCAGCCAAGATGCCCGATGACTTGAGGCGTCGCTGATTTCGGAGCTTTTCGCCAAGGTACCTTGCGCATGCCATCGCGTAGATACCTCCGCCAGAGCCACCCAGAACATGCACATCTTGAAGATTGAGGTGATCGCAGAGATCGGCAATGTCTTCTGGCCACTCCTTGAGCTCGTAGTCCTTCTTCCAGGTGGAGAGGCCTATTCCAGGTCTGTCAATGCCAATGATTCGCGCACCCGTCTTCTTGCCTGCCTCGCTGCAGTCTCCAGCCTCGAGACGGGAGCCGGGCGTACCATGAAAGTATAGCACAGGTTTGCCGTACGGATCCCCAAATTCAGCAAAGCCCAGCGAACGTCCGTCGCGGAGCTTGCACGTCTGATGCGCCTGGGGTAAGTTGGACGTCGCCGTTAGAAAGGATCGCGTCATGGTCAATGAATGCCGGAGCTGTCGAAGTGATGAAGACACAATCGAGATAGCCATCCTGACGGGGCGAATGGATCTCAAAGCTTCTCAAATGTATCAATATATAGGCTCGGCCGTGGTTGCCCACATGACGGTCATCGGCGCCAAGAGCAAGTGAAGGATAGGCTGGGACTAAGCGTCTTTGGGGCTCTTGTCTCTCCACGTCGTAAAGTTACGGAAATGCTAGGAAGGGGCAGCAGAAGAGCAAGCACAGCTCTCACTGAATGGCCGAACGGTCTATTGAGAATGGATCTCCACAAGAGCGATCGCGCCCGAAAATGTGATCTCATTCCGACCTGATTCCGACTACGAGGCTGACTGAGAGGTCAAAACATCCCACCGAGGCATACCTATAAACAATGGTCGTTGCTTGTGCACACAGAACGAGGGGGGTGACCGATTCTGAGCTGGCGTCACATCACTATTCGCCCACAAGCGATTGTAAGCGACTGTTCATGAGGGTACACTGCGCTGTCTATGAATTCGGCCGACGTCCCCCACCATTGAGGGACAGCGCTTAATGCTATAGCAAAGGGGAATGAGCAACCCATCTCAGGAAGCGTTCGGCTAAAGCACCTGAGTACTGGATTGCCGTCTGGCAAAGCTGTGAAGCTGTGCAGCTGAGACCTCGGATTTCGAATTCCGCTCTGAATCTTCGGATCCGGGCGGGGCATACCATTTGCATCCAAGATTGACCTCAATGCCACATTTTGGTCGAGAGTCCAGCCCCTTCACCCTTTCGCTGCCGCTGCTCGGCTCTGCATGCCTACTCTCAATAAAGGCACTGCTGCAGGCGGGTGAGCCCTAATTCTGCCAGAGGAAGGTTGCTTTGCCTTTCACAGCATCCTGCCGCCATGAAGCGAGAGCCACAAGCTTCACTGTCCTGTAGCGAGAGCTAAAATTGGCAGCCGAAAGGAAACGAAGCAAAGATGCATAGGTCAGAAGGATGCGACTTCCTCGAATAGCATGCTCCGTACGAGGGACAGTCAAGTTCGGGTCTCCTCCGAGAATGAGGGATACTGAGGCGCATGCCTCTCTGCCCAAAATAAAGATGCAGGATTTGGCTTGTACGCAGGACAGACCCTGCCGTGACGCGGTGACCTCCATTTGATTGGCTTGTGTTGCAGCAAACATGTGTGATCTATCTCGCTTCGGCGTAGGAAGGCGAAAGACGGGTGCTTGTGTGCCCAAACTATCATGCCGCGGGCCAAAGCCGACGGGCCCCATTATTCACGGAGGGCCTCGTAAATATTTTCCCCATCGCGCGAAGACCTCCGAGAATTTCCCTCGCGCGCGCGCGCGGACAATTTCGGTACAGGAACGGAAAAGAAGCCAATGGTTTGATGACGGAGCGCTCATTACATTCAGACAGCTCCAGCTCGACCTGCACAGGAGCTCTATCTGGCTACGTCGCACTGCGTGTTGCTAAATGTGCAGGCGAGACGACTCCAATAGTAGTGGAAGATCGCTCACCCGACAAATCGATTACGTCCTCTGTTAATTGCCATGAAGCGAGCTAGCAACATGCACGAAAATTCTGTGTAGGAGCGCTGTGGCGTCTATGTGCATTCGTCCGAATTCCTCCATCCTAAGACATGCTTGGCTCGTTGCCGGCGATTCTGACGAAGGGCTTTGCTGGCACAGATGTAGCCACGTCATTAGATTGCTCGGTTCAGAAATCAATACTTTGCCCGGATGAAGGGTAAGTAAGTCACCGAGGCTGTCGAGTGACACAGCCGAGCTATGCTCGTGTCAGCGCCTCGTTGCTCCCCAGCCCCGGGACCTGTCAAGTTGAAAGGAGTACGCGGGACGAGGCGCGATCCAGCGGGCAAGGGGAGCGGGCTCGTGTGACGTACGACTTCCAATAGCGGAGCGTCATTGTCAGGCTACTACTAGCAACCCCTTTGCATTCGGAAAGGACGGATGGGTTTCGCCTGGGAACGGAAATTTAAGGAGGCATGGAGCTTCCCTGAACGGACGACAGCCGTGTCGTCTTCTTGGGTCCTCCTCGGCCTGACTCGCCTTTCGTCGGCCTCCCGGTTCATAGCCATTGGTCCACTGTCGCATTTGTAATGGCTCAATCTATATTGTCATTCTCGCAATTAAAACAAAGTCTAGGGGTGGAAGCGCGGTGCCAGCACTGGGACCGTCTAGATTTCCTTGAACTTCGGGCCAGTCTAGATTCTCGTGAAATTTGAACCTTCCTCGGCTTTCCATAATTTCCTTTATTGCTACCTGTCCCCAGGCGCATGGGCAGGGGCTCTGTCATTTTGCCGGAGCTGAGCTGCAGTAGTGCTGGCTTCTTTCTTTAGTTGACAAGGGACACCAAGCGTTTCCTTGGTAAAAGGCCCGCGTCTGGATTTCAACGCGGCCGTCGAGGTCCTGTGTCAGTCTGTTTAGGCGTCACTGACCTGATGCCCCGTTGCCCGCCACATCTGACGGAGACACACACGGTTGCGCTGCGCTCTGCGCCTCTCTTCGGGCTAGTCCGCCCCCCGTCGTTCTGCCCTCGCTCGTCTGGCCCTGTATACGGACCTCCATATAACCAATTCGTCCGTTGTCGCGCTTACGCAGTTCCCCTCCTCGCTCATCCCCACCGCCGCACCTTTCCAACTCCTCCATCGCATTCACCGCCATATCTTTCGAGGAGCGGCACCGACCACCGGAAATAAAAACAACAAACAAAAGGAACCTGATTGGAGAGCAGGCTTCTCCATCATCAAACCTCGTGTTCCACCGCTGAAAGGCAACAACCTCCAAAAGCACCCCTCGCTGTTTCGGCACCCAAAAGGGATCATCCCACTCCACCACACCACCGGCCTCTTGCTTTTCTCACTTCATCCTGCACATCAAGCACAGCATGCCGGCCCCCATTGCCATTTCAAGAACGCCCTCGGAGCTCGACTCGTTTGGCTCGCCCCGTGCCTCGGTCGGTGCAAGCCAGCACCCGGTCAGTGGCCTCCTCTCGTCTTCGTCCAGCGGAATGTCGACACCGTTCATCGGTGCGTCCAGCGGCTCGTTCCGTGAGGCTATTGCTGCTTCGTTTGGAAAGGAAGCGTCCGAGTGAGTACTGGTTGAAATTGAATTTGGCCCGGTGGCGAGCCTTGATGGGAGCCCGAGTCTGACTTGACTGTCTTGTTGTCTCTTCCTGCGACTCAGCATCATGGACTACTCCATCTCGGCATTTTCCTCGTCGGTCGACTCCGAGGCAACTGTTCTCCCTTCGACTTCGATGCCCAAACGGCTTGAATCGACGTTTTGCACCAACTTCAAGTGTTGCGGTCAGGCACTGGCCAACCTGCATGATCTGCTGCAGCACTACGAGGAGCGACATGTCAAGTTTGAAGACGATGACATGCCGGCTATGATCGCTGACGACGACGTCTCGTCGCCCTCTTCGGCATCCTCCTCGCAGCCGCCGAGCCCCAAGGTGGTCAACAACGCCGCCAACGGCGCTGGGCCGTCGAACCTCGAGCAGCAGCAACAGCTCAAGAAGCAAGTTGCTCCCATCCACACCAGGGTCAACAGCAGCGACATTGACACCTTCGAAGAGTCATCAGCTTTTGACACGGCCGTCATGCGGAGCCCAATGAGTGCAAAGGGCAAGAAGCGCAGCTTTGGACAATTTTCAAACGGCAACAACACTCCTCATGTCCACCAGTCGCTGCGTCGTGCGCTCATCGACGGAGGCGTGGGACGGGGCACAAGCGGTCGCAGCTCCGTCTACTCAGCCAACTCGCCTTTCTCGACGCCAGGCAGCTCCATCCCTGGCACACCCGTCATTGAAGGGGACCAGGACGCGGCCTTCTTCGGCACAAATGCCCATGCACCTGCCTTTTCCTCGCTCTCCATCCGTGGCAGTGGCAACGGTGCAGCCAACGAGGACCACGACCTGCCGTCGTGTGCACCACCCAACCTCTTCTTCCCTGCCTCGGGCGCCTCTTCATCTTCGAGCACCAACGCTGCCGGCGCGCCACCAGCGAAGCGCGAGCGCGTCAACTCAATCAACAACACGACAGCCTCGTCGATTGCCGGTGCGCTCGAAAACAGCCTGGCCAGCCCTGGCTCGGCGGCCGACCGGCCGTACAAATGCCTGACGCCGGGTTGCGACAAGGCGTACAAGCAGATGAATGGGCTCAAATACCACCGACTGCACGGCCAATGCAACCAGAACACCCTGCCACCTCAGCAACAGATTAGTGCAGTCGTCAACGGCAATGCCCCCGGCACTCCTACCGGCCAGCAGGAAGATGGTGACGACAAAGTGATGACCGACTCGCCTGCACCGTCGCCCCGCTTGGCCTCTGCCGTGCCCGCTGTCGCTTCTGCGTCGACTGCATCTGCCGCCGCTCCGTCGCAAGTGCGGCCCAGCATCGCTACCACGGCTGCTCCACCGCCATCACCTGCGACGGCGAACGAATCACCGTCGCCGACGCCCACCGGCTCCGCGCCCAGCAGCCCACGGTCGTCGATTGGCAGCCTCAACGGCGGCGCTGCCGACAAGCCCTTCGAGCGCGTCTACATCTGCCAGGTCGGCAACTGTGGCAAGCGCTACAAGAACCTCAACGGCCTCCGCTACCACTACCTTCACAGTGGGTCCCACGGTCTCCTGGGTCTCCAGCTGCTGCACTCCAACGGTGGTGGTGCCAGTGCTCGGGCCGACTCTACAACCGGTCGTCCCGCTGTCAGCACCAACGACCTGAGCAGCGCAGCGCTTGCCGCCGCCGCACAAGCCGCTGCTGCCCAGCAGCAGGCCCAGCAACGATCGGCCGCCGCGGCTGCCTCGTCAAACAACAGCAGCCAGCCCACTGAGTCGTCCGCCTAAGGTCGCGATCACCTCTTCATCTACAATCAAAAATGTGAGGCTTTTTACCCTCACGATCCCAAAAAGGAGACACTTCTCCGCCCAAAAAAAAGAGAGCACAAGACGTTGCCCTTAGATTTGGCATTCGCCTCCATCGCCATCACCAGTTCTTCTCAACGCATCTCACTACTCATTCTTGTTTATCGACATTGCAACCTACTATATTCATACCCGCCCTGACACAATCTCTCGGGGCCTCGCGGACGATTGACAGATCGGCTCATCCCCCTTTTTGTCCGGTCTCCCCTCTGTACATGTATAAAAAGGCTTGCAGTAGACATCGCCAGGCCATTCTCCCTATTTAACTTCTTATAGCAATACCTTAGACGTTTACTCCTACCCTAGAGTAATTATCTCGACGACGATTGTCATTCCACCTCCGTGCTCGAGTTGTCAGCCTTCCTCCTTCTCATTAATGATTCGAGCTCTTAGCCTTTCCCTGCTGCAAAAGAGTGAGAGAGAGCGAAAGGAGAGAAGCAGAGGTGACGCTGGACCAAGTTAGGAAGGTCTCGGTGATAGCGGGCCGAAAGCGGTGCGTTACCACGTGTCGAAAATATGTCTCGCCTCCACCCTCGAAGATCTGACATGGCCCATCCATCGGGTTGCTCATGACCATCATCACGAGCTCATCGATCGACAGGTGTCTCGTCAAATGGAACATCATTAGTCACTTACGGTAGGGCAAGGCTGCTGACGAATGCTTTTCTCACGGCCAGTCTGGTCTGGATTACAGACGACACGGGTCGTTGGCCAGGAATCTACAGAATGGCATCGAGGATTGACAAGGCGCATGGACAATTTCCCTGCAGGCACTACGTACTGCAACTAGACTAGCAGCTAGCTACCGCACCGCTACTTTGTAGGTCCAGCGAGATTCTAGGCAGGCGGCAGGTGTGTCACGGCCGCGTATCACAAAGGCCAACATACGACCCATTGGCAGCGGAGCTGGTTTGATACAGTGGACCCCATGCCAATTAATTCTCACGGCTCGATACCGAGCACAGCTGCAGGCTTGTTTAGGTTCAGAACCCATCAATTCCTTTTGGTAAGCCGTTCAGGGAGTTTAGGCAGGCGGCCAAGCAGGCATACATGCAAGACCTCTTTCCACCTTGTCTCACTTCTCCGTTCTCCACCCTGACTCTCTCTCTCTTTCCTGTCTCTCTCTCCCTTCTCGTCCCCCCTCCGTTCCCGATCCCCCCGCCGTCACAGGCTTCGGCAGGTCCTGGCCTCTGCTCGCGCAACACACACACTCTCACTTCTTTCTCCTCTCTTTTCTCTTCCCTTCGATCGTCACTGCTCGCTGCTGCTGCGCCGCAGAATCTTGCAAACGAGTAGGAAGCACCTGGTCGTGCCTCCTGCACCTACACACAACAACAACACACTCCCTTCTCCTTTTCTTCTCACCCTCTCTTCCGATCCGTTTTCTCCTTTTCGACACCCGTAGGACGGAGGCAGGCACGTCTTTACAGGCTCGACGCTCAACAGGCTGCTCTTTGGATGGCAGGCTCCCCGCCCTTGTCCCCTTCGTCGCTTCGTTATCAGCCCATGGAGGGCACGCTCACGCTGACGGGCCTCGTCGAGACGAGGCGTGGAGCCATCTCGGCCGGTGTCTTTTCCGAATTCAACAGCCCGAGCTGGACGCCGTTTTTCAATGGCGCCAGTGGGCCCGTCGAGTCCTTTTGGGCAAAGTCCAACGGTGAGTCGTCGCTGGTGATGTCAATTCTTGTGCAAGTGCACGATGCAGCGGGATGCTGACAAAGGACTGTTGCAGATGAGCTGAATGCGTTTACAAACCTGGAGTCGCTGTCTGTCGACGAGCTTCTCTCTGCGGACGAGGTGGCCAGCTCCTCGCCTGCCTCGACGAGTGAGTCCGAGACGCAGCGGCGGACGGTGCCCTCGTCGTCGCTCCATCTGCCCGCCTGGAACTCGTCCAACAGCCTGCGTTCCGATGCGGGCTTCCTGCTTTTCGGCGACGAAGCCGAGGACGATTCGGACAAGGACCAGGGCGCCAATGACATTTGGTTTGCGCCGGCCACGACGGCCACGACGCTCCATCGGAAGCGGAGGATGGTGGGCCTGGGCTCGGGCTCGCGCAAGTCGAGCTTCACAGATGCGCGGCGCAGGAGGAGCCTCTCGCCTGCTGGCAACCGGCTGGATGCGGACAAGTCGGTCCGGCAGTGCGTCAGCGCTCCCGAGCTTCCCATGCGCACTGAGGAAGGTGCGCCAGGAGAAGCGGTGGACCGCCAAAGCAAATCTCGCATCGACAACCTCCTCGCAGAGCTGGGCTGGTCTCGAGAAAAGGCAAATGCAGTCATGAGCGAGGCCATGGATGCCGACTCGCAGGAGCAGGAGCAAGGGCGGCAGCAGGCTCATGGCCAACAGCCACAGCAGGGCCAATCGTCTGGGAGCGCTGCCAAGGTTCCAAGCGGTCTCACCTCGACAGGTGCACTGTTCCAGCGTCGGGCTCACATGCGAGAGGGCAGCAACATGCCATCTCCCTCTCCCGTCGTCATTCCTGGCTCTAAACAGCCCGTAAAGGGAAAGAATGGCGATGAGGACGACGAAGACGAGGCGGTGGAAGTGATGCGGGATCCTCAGCACCAGCAGCCTCACAGCGCCACCCTGCCCTTCAGCTCGCTCTCAGATACACAGAGGCAACGGATCCTGGCCGATCTCCAGGCGTCGCAGATCTCGCAGCAGACGGCGAATCGGCTGGGCGTCTTCAACGACTTTGTCACCCCCAGCCAGCAGTTCTCTGGTCAGGACGCAAGCGAGCGGGCAGCCAGGGCCGTTCAGGCAGCACTCTTGTATGGAATGGAGGGAAAAGGTCCCAACATGAGCCCAGGCGGTCAGAGGCGCCCTAGCACCGCCAGCTCCGGCGGATCGAACTCTACTACTGGTATGATGACACCCATCACGCCGCTCCATCCCTTGGCTCCTGCAGCCACAAGATATCATCAGCACCAGCAGCGCCTGCCTTCGCGCTCCTCGTCCTTGTCGACTCCCTCCAGTGCATTCAACGCACTCTCGATGCAAGACCACGCACCACCCTCGGCCTCCATGGGAGGCCAATCCTTCCACCAGGGCCAGCCGTTTGCGTATCAGGTGCCGTCCACCGGTGGACCCCAAACTTCGCTCCCGTTCTCGCCCTCGGCTTTTTCCCACTTCCAACAAAGTGCTGCCTTCCCCGACAACTTTGGCGCGCCACAATCCGCTGAGGAGACGGACTTCATGACGCTGGGCAACTCACTGGGTCTGTCGTCGGTCCCTCGGCAAGCGCAGGCGCAGATGCAACCACAGCACCTCCAACACCACCAACAGCGGGAGGATGAGAAGAATCCACCCGTGATTGACTCCTCCTCGTACGGCCATATCTTCGGCGGGATGCCCCACGTTCAGCACTTTCAGCAGCTGCAACTCCAGCAGCAGCTCCAGCAGCAGCAGCAGCAGGTGGCTTCTTCGCCCAAGAAGAAGTCGCCCTCCAAGACACGGAGCTCGCCGAACCTCCGCACGACACCACCCGCCGCTGGTGATGCCTCCACGCCCTCGAGGTCGCCCCGCCGAATCGCCAGCAACCGACGTCTTACTCTCTCTAGCCAGGGGGGGCCCGCGGTGCCTCCGCTCCCTCACCTGCCCAAGTCTCCCTCGTCCAAGGCTGAAAAGCACCTCCGCAGACACTCGCACGCTTCCTCTGTCCTAACAACGGCTTCCTCTGGCACGGCCGACATGGCCTACCCAGGGGGCAGCAGCAGCGCAAAGTCGCCCAGCGTGGCTCTGCCTCAGCCGGGCAAGTTTGCCTTCGTCAATTATGGCATGGAGGACGCCGAAGAGCTCTGCTCGGCCGTCGCACCCAGTGGCTCCTACAAGGTGCCGCTCAAGGGCTACGGAAGCTCAGACGAGGCGACACCTGGCGCCGGTGAGCAGGAAGAGGGCAAGTCCAACAAGAAGCCGGCAGGAGGCAGGAGAAGTCGGACGAGGACAAAGTCGCACGGTAGCGCCAAGACAGGGCCCCGCTGGGAGCCCGTCGAGGAGGATTTGTCTTCAGGCGACAAGCAGCAACCGCAGCCGATGCAGCGCTTTGAGCCCGTCCCGCAGCAGCTCCAGTTCCAGCAGCTGTTCTTTGATGTCCACGGGGACGAGGTCGGAGGCGAAGGTGCAGACATGGGCCTGGATGATGGTGATGAGGACGACGAGGAGGCGCAAGCGCAACAAAACAAGGTCAAGAGACGCAAGAGCGTCGCGTCGCTGTCTAAGAAGAGCAGCAGAGAAAGCATCGGAACACCCGGCAGACCTCGCAGACATACGAGGACCAGCACGGGTGCTTAAAGTAAAAGAGACAGAGAGAGAACCAGTTGATGCTTGGGTTTTCACGCGGAAGTTTTCCTCCATTGGTCAACATTGCTTGACCGGTGTAACTTCTGAGAGCTTCCCGGACTCGGGCCTGCTCCCCAGTGCTCCTGGCGATCTCCTACCTATTTTACGGCCGCAATCACTTTTCTTTCAGTCGCACATGTCGTACTCTTATCATCTGTACCAGTCGCCGTTCCAGTCCATCAATGGCATTCACATACACTCCTTTATTGAAGATTTTAGTTGAAAGGCTACAATTGGCACTGTCCCAGCTGTGGCGGCTACTATTCCTCATCACTCTCGTCGTCGCCCAGCAGGTGGGCAAAGTCCTCTGCCGACGCAAACGTCGGAAGCGCCTTCTTCTTCTTTCTCTCTCTCCGCTTTGCTTGGCTCTTGCTCAGCTCCTTTCCTTCCTCTTCCTCGTCGCCAACGTCAGAGAGCTTCCTCTTAGCGCTCCTCGACGCTTCCTCGTCCTCGTCGCCATCCTCGTCAAAGCCGTGGAATGGCATGAGGTCGTCTTCGTCCTCTTCAAACATCCCCTCCTCTCCATCTTCGTCCTCCTCGTCGCCCCCTTCGTCGTCATCGCTGTCCTCGTACATGTCCAGATCCTCGTCGTCTTCTTCCTCCTCCTCGTCGTCCAGCAGCTCATCACCGCGCTCCTTCGGCATGGTCCTCTTCATCTCCTCCCAGATTTCACGCTCCATATCGCTGTCCTCTTCCTCCTCTTCGTCGTCTGATCCTCCCATCTCGTCCTCTCCCTCAATCATAACGTCATCGCTATCCTCGGCGTCCACGTCATCGTCCTCTTCTGCTCCGGTCGCGGAGTCAGCTTCCTCTTCTTCGCCTACCTTTCGGTCCTTGTGGGACTTCTTCGCCGCATCTGAAGCCGCCTGACTCCTCTCCAATTTCTGATTGAAGTACTTGTGGAAGAAGAGCTGCAAAAGCCGCGTCAACATCATCTCTGTCACCATTCACCGCTAAACATTGGCCACAAGTAAGCTCACCTGATCGACCGGCACCTGGCCAGCCTTTTTCTTCCAGAAGGCTTCCGAGTTGACGTATTCGTCCATTCCAACACCTCCACCCTTGATCCTCACGACACCTCCGCCATTCATGGCGGCGCTCTGCCCCGAGGCGGCGGCGGCGGCAGGCTGCATGATGCTGACGCCCTTTTGCTTTGCCTTGCTTGCGTCCCTGGCACCTTTCTTGGGGTTTCTGAAGACGAACAGGTCCAAAAAGTGGCTCAACGTGTTTAAGGTCAAGTCTGCTGTCGTCGTGACCCTCTCGCCAGCAAGGAGCTGCTTGGCGTGCAACGAGACGGAGGGGTGATAGTGCGCCATCAGCCGGGTCATCTCCCAGAGGCACGACAGTTCGGCCCGAGCATATTGAGGCTCGCGCTTGAGCGGGTCATACTCTTTCTTCTTTTCTTGGGCCAAAGACCGGCGAAGCGCCTCTCTTTTTGCTGCGCTGTCGACTTCTCCTCCTTCAGCGTCTTCACCATCATCGGGTACGTCGTAAAAGTGTTCCTCATCATCTTCCTCGGGCTCGGTCAGCATCATGCGCAGACCCGGCTTTGCCGTGAAGAGCTATTGAAGGAGCGACTTTCAGTGTACGCTATTGATAATGGCCAGGTCATCAGCTGCTCACCTCGCCGAGAAGAAAGAGGGATCCACAGATCCACGGTGGTTCAGCATGGAGAAGTGTCTGGGCAAAGCGCTTGACGAATGCTTTCGTTCGCTTGTCGTCCTCGTCCGACTTGACAGCCTTGTACAGAAGGTTGAGGTACATCGCTTGCTTGCTGGTCGTTGCTAGCCGAGGGTCAAGCAGACTAGCGTAGAGGGCCCGGTAGAAGCGATCGCCGATGCTCGACGTCAATGATGAAGTTCCACTGGCGCTGCTGCTGCCTACGGAGGAAGAAGAAAGAGGCGAGGAGATGCTGACTTGGTAGATGAGTTGAAGTGCTTGGAGAGCAATGTTGAAAGTGCTGGTGTGGGTGATACGGAAGAGGGTGTCGATGTGCTTCGCAAAGCTGAATAAGGATATGGAGTTGAGATCAGCCAGAAGCAAGCAACGGAGACATGCTTCAAAGACTCACATCTCGGTGTCGACCTTGGCAAATGGCATGGCTCGTCGCACACCCGTCAGGATGGCCGCCATGAGCTTCGCATCGGCATCCTGCACCATCTTGTCCTCGTCTTGGGGATTATGAGGAGCTCCTTTGCCCTTGCCGTTTTTGCCCTTCTTGCCTTTTCCGTTGGCACCATCTCTCCAGCGCCCCTTTTCTTTCTTTGCTTTTTGCTCGGCTTCCTCTTTGGCGGCAGCCTCCTCAATCGTCTCTTCCTTACCACCGTCCGCCTTGTCCATCTCCCGAAGTACCTCGTTGAAGAGGTCAAAGTAGATTGCAATCAGACGGTTAGACACAGCCTCGTCGTGCTTGGTCAGCATCGTCTGGTTGAGAGTCAGAGTACCGTAGTAGCGTGCATGCGCATTGTGACGCCCGATGGCCGAAAGGCTTGGGTCCTTGCTGATGGTGCTGGAGGCCGCGACGGGCCGCATGATCAGGTTTGCCACCTCGTTGACGATGATTGCCTTCATCGCAGGGTGGACGGTGAGGACTTGGAGGAGGCTGTTACTGGCAGCGCTTGCCACGCTCCGGTCGCCATCGCCAAGCTTGTTGGTGATCAGCCGGAGGAGGTTCTGCTCCTGCTCGGCCTTGTCGCGCAGCAGGATGAAGATCTGCGACACGGCCTGCTTTCTGACAAAGGGCAGAGTGTCGTGCGTCTGCGTCTCGAGCGTCTGGAGAAACTCGAAGTAGAACTTCTTGAGCCGGTCCTCAAAGGCAGCAATCATAAGATGGATATCGACAATCTTGCGGGTCTGCGAGTCGCCATCATCGAACAGGACGGCGAGCTGGGTCACGGTGGGCTGATCCCTGAAGTACCTCAGCTTCCGATCACCCAGTCCACCTCCCTTTGCCAACACGTCTGCCAGCGCTCGAGTAGCCCGGCCGCTCTCTTCTCGATTCTTCTTGGCGGCCATGCTCAGCAGCGTATCCATCGATTGTAGGTTGTGGACCGGACTGCTTTGGGCCAGAAGCGTCAGGGCTGCGATTCTGTCGGACAGTGTTCCTCCTTTGGCGCCACCTCCTGGCGCCAGAAGCTCGGAGATGAACTTGGCGTCCGAAGATGACAGCATCCCGTGGCCTTGTCCAGAGCCACTGGCCGTCATGCTCGCATAACGAGCATTGTCGGCATCCAGCAGCGTCTTTCCTCGCGCTTGCATTGCGGCCATCTTGGCGTCGCTGACCGCGGCGGTGGTCTTTCCCGCTGCGGGAAGAGGAGGAAGCGTGGCCTCGCTCCATCTTGTGGTGGGCGGAAATACGAAGCCATCCACGGATGAATCCTTTGATGCCTTTTGCTGCTTGGCAGGCACAGAGCTCTGGCCTTCGTCTTGAGCTTGGCTTTTTGCCTTCTCTTGCTTCCGCTCTGCTGCTTTGGCCTCCCGTTGTGCCTTCCAATCATCCACCAAACCCTTTTTTGCTGTTTCAGCACCATCCCTTGCAGCAGGCGAGATCTTCTTTGCTTCGACAGATCTGGCCTTGTCTTTCGACTTGTCCTTGGTTGCGACGACTGACAGCTTGGGTGCGTCCACGCCTGCTGCTTTGTAATCGAGTTGCTTCATGAAAGACAAAAGATCGTTGCCGAGGTCCTCCTGCCGAACGAAAACGTCTCAGCTTGTGTGCGCCTTCTCCCTGCCTGCATGAATAGTACACCACTCACATCTTCTTCTGCTTCATCATCATCACGCGACGCCTTCGCCTTTCCCTTGCCCCGCTTCCTGATGAGGTCCAGATCTTGCTTGTCGCCGCCCATCGACTTGATCTCCTTGAGCAGCGTCTCATCGTCAACGTTGTCTTCTGAAGAAGAAGAGTCCTCTTCGTCCCTGTCGGCTGCAGAGGAAGGAGCTGCAGCTGCTGCTTCACCCTTCCACTCCCTGCGTGGCTTTGCTGTGCTGGCCTGTACGACGCTGTTCGCACCCGTCGCAGACTGTTCCCCTTTCTTTTGCCTGGACTGCCCTGAAGGCTTCTTGCCTCGAGCTGCTTTCGGACGGAAGTCCCTCGCCATGCTTCTTTCGACTGCGTCTGGCCAGGAAGGAATTGGAGAGCAGGTGTCTTCGGAACTTCCACATCCAAAAAAAAATGGAAGGATAAAAAAAGCTGAAGCCAAAATTTTGGACGGCTGCACGTGCCGCGCCCATGGGCAACGCCGACATCAACACCTGCCTCCTTTTGGCGTACGCCCATTCCTGAGAGCATCGACAACTGAGCCATTAGGACAGCTGGGTGTCATGGTCAGCTCAGATGCCCTGTCGAGCTTCGTGCCGCTGGTGTCATGGCTCGTCCTGCCCAACATCCTCACCACTCTAGTCTTGCGGGCGGTCTACCAGACGCAAATCATTGCGCTCCCGTCCAACGCGCAGCAGCAGCAACACCACAACCAGGTGGCCAGGGCCTTTGTCATTGCCTCGTACCTCATTTATACCATCTATGCCTCTCTCTTCCGTCGCGAAGCCAACTTCTACCAAGTCCTTGGAATATCTCTCGACTGCGATACAGAAGATGTTCGCCGAGCTTTTCGCAAACTCGCCCGCATCTACCACCCAGACAAGGTGGGAGGAGGTGCGCGCAGCGAGGCCTTCTTTATCCTGCTCAGACGGGCGCATGACGGGTTGGTAGAGCCGACAAAGCGCTTCGCATACGACCGGTGAGCCTGTCAGCTGTTGTGCCTAGCGAAAAGAAGCTCTGCTGACCGAAGCGAGCCGGTCCAAATACCAGCTTCGGTCCAGAGGTGATGCGATGGGGGAGCGATACCATCACCGAGCGAGAGTACTTCTCAAAGGGCGTCACCCACTCTCTCTCCTTCTACATCATCAACCCTCTCATCTTTGGAGCCATGAATTGGCTCAATGGAGAAGCCGTCTTCACCTTCGTGAGTGCATTAACCCCTCCCTCCTTCCTCAGCCGCATGCCTTTAACGGCTGCTCCTCCTATACAGTGGCGAACTGCGCTTCTAGTGCTCCTTTTCACCCTCGAAGTCAGCCTCATCACCGCTCCTGCCTCGCCACCTGCTCTTGTCAGGGTCCTGCTCCCAACTCAGACGGTGCACGACCTCGTAGGATGCCTCCACACCACCTTTATCGCCGTCAACCTCGCCTCGAGGCACATCGGCTCGCTCTTGCCTCCCCTGGGGGGCACCATGGGCAAGATGCGAGAACTAGCGTCGCTGGAGGGAGGAAGCGCAAAGAACAACGAGAAAGGCATGCAAGACATGGTGCAGGCCATGGCCAAGATGCAAGACTTGTCGACGGCCGTACGCATCGAAAGTGCCCGCAGCATGGCTCACAGGTGAGTGTGGCACCATCGAATATGCATCGAGAGCTGCGAATGCTGATAAAGAGACAAGCCTGCAACCGCTGAGGCCACCAGCAGTGTCGTCGGCTGCGACGGTACAAGGCGCAGCTCGCGATGCTGCAGAGGCCCATGCGAGCCGGTCGCACGAACCCAGGGCGAAGCTTCGGGCGCCATCCAAGGCCGAAGAAGCCTGGATCCACCTTTTCGGTCGACGACTCCTCCGAGCTCAGGTGGATGCTCATCGAGGGCAGCAAAGCCAGACAGGGCATGTCGCACCGACTTCGGCAGCGGTTAGCGGGACCCCCGGCTCCTCGGCCGTCGCTCCGCCCGCGCTTTCGTCGCACACAGCGATCGAACGACAACCCCATTCTAGCACAGATGGTGCGCATGTATCATAGAGAATCAGTCATTGCTATAATGAAGAGCCTAGTCAGCAAGAAGTAAAGAAGGAGGGCCAAATGGGCGCCAAAAAGAGGAGGGGAACTGCAGCACCCAGGATTCCCGCGTGGTCCCCCACCGCAGTACTGACTACAGGGACGAGAAGGAAGAAGCACGTAGTCGTGCGGCGATACTCTTGATTATACGCCTTGCCATCTCAGCCGTCATGGTGCGAGAGGCAGTATTCGAGGTGCCTTAATACGTCTTCGAGCTTTTGGGCATTTGCGTCGATGGTCGACAGCTTGGCGTCGATATCCGGGAACGACGGCGGCGAGGTACGCAGGGCTCGGAGCGCCAGGCTTCACCACGCCTTTTCCTTGGCCTGATTGAGGAGCCAGCGTGCATAGGCCTCGTCGCGCTCAACCTCGACGGCAGCCACGCGCTCCCGGTACGCTTCGACCGCACGGATGGCGACCAGGAAGTCGACCATGGTAGGCTTCTGCTTTCGCACCAGCGCCCTGAGGTCGGCACGTCGGCGTCGTCGTCGTCGTCGGCGCCGCCCTTGTCCCCCTCGTCGGGCTCGGTCAGCGCCGTTTCGTCGCCCAGGTCCGAGGGCCTGGCAAAAGGAGACAGGGCGTCCTGCGTTGGAATCGATCAGCTCGGCCGACGTACTTCCTCAACTCCGTCAACGACTGCGGGCACGCCGAGCGTCCAGATTTCCAACTCGTCATTCTCTTTGCTGCCGAGAAAGGTTTTGAGTGAGATGGCCACCTCGATCAGAGTCGCGAGACTGGGCGTCAATGTGAGCGTAAAGTCGGATCCTGGCTCAAAGTACATGCGGAAGTCCTGATTCAAGAAGACGAGGTTGTCAACCGAGCACCTGCGACGGGCTCGCTGTTGTGGCAGACCTCAGAACGGACCGGTCGAGCGAGACCAGGCGTGAAGCTGCTTGAGCAGCTTTTCGCTGTGAGGAAAGACATGGGCGCGGTCGGGTTGGCGACGCCCGCTGAGAGTGCAACACCTGGCTTCCTGGTGTTGTTGTGCCACTTAACCAGATCCAGCGTCTCCTCGGTAGAGCTGTCAAACTCGCGCGGGGGTGTCTTTTCGCCATGGAGCACGGGAACCTTGATGTCCCCCAGACGGAGGCGACGCAGCCTGATAGCGGCAGACTCGTATGACATTGTCGTGGTTGTGGACTTCTGTTGGTCGTAGCATCTCGTTGAAGCTTTTTGTTCCCTTCAGTGCGGTGTGCTTGTGACGCAAAGGAAAACTTCCCCCAAACTTGGCATCTAGTTGCGAATTCGGGTGCAGCGGTAGCCACGTGGTCGTCTCCGGCGACCACGGCGGAGCGTACGATTATCGAGGAAGTACTGGATCTGCTGCGAATCCTCAACGGGGTGCCGGAGCGTCAGCGAAGGCCTCCGGCTGGGGCTGTATAGTACGCCCGAACTGCTTGATCTGTCTCAAAGGGAGACCAGTCCCTTCGGCGGCGTCGATCGCTTCGCGATTGGCGCCATCGCCGACAATCGTTGCGCGCTGCGCGCGCACCGACCGGTGCCCTCTCAGACGGAGCTGAATTCGAGGGCGATGCCGATAAGATTGAAGTGATAGATAGAGAAAGAGAAGTATGTACATCAAGGACGAGCCTTTGACTCGTCCAGGGAGGAGCACGCGTGAGAACCGGACGGGCCGTGCGCCGATAGACACGTGGCCCAAGGACGCTCCGACAATGGCGATTTTCCAACTCACCTCCCGCTTTGCATAGTAGTATTGGCACAGCAAGCAGAGGACCTTGCAGCAGGCAGCTGTAGCTAACCGTCAGCCGGCTTGGAAATCCTAAAGGCAAGTTGCGGAAGGAGCGACAAGGCCATCGAGCTTCCTTCCGTGCGTGGCTTGCCTTATTATCTCACTGTGACATAACCAATAAAGGAGGCGAAGTATACATCAGTAGTAGTAGTAGTAGCTGTAGAGTAGTAGTAGTAGTGTAGTAGTGTAGTAGTGTAGTAGTGTAGTAGTAGTAGTAGTAGTAGTGTAGTGTGCAAGTTCGTATTGTTTACAAACGAAGACGCACTTCCGAAGATGCGCTTCCACAATTTCAATTTGTCGTGAGGCCCTATTCGGCAAGCTGGGTGCACTCCGCTGCTACTCGAACAGCGAGGCGATACCGTGCTTAACTTCGCAGATCGGACGGGATGCGGTGCTTTCACGGTTCTATGGCCGCAGCTGAAAGCACCTGTTTGTTGCTGTGTTTTATGTCGAGACCATCAGACCAAAATTCAGCCGAGTCTGGCATCGAAAGTTTAAATTTGCTGGGCAAGGTGCTTTTGAGGGACCTTTGAGAAAAAAAAAAGCGTCGCGACACTACCGTTTTCCTCTGTGCTCTTTCCCATCAGACTATAACGTGGGCGGAGCGGACGCTGACTCCCCTTTAACTTTAGGCTAATCCTAGCCACACACCTGGTTCTGGCTCTTCTGGCTCTGACGCTGGGCGGATATCTCTGTCTGGTTTTCATGGGACTCGAACCTGCGCCTACGTGCGTCTTACGGATTCAAACGTATAGGTTGGCCGACTCAACTTGTGCAGCACCGTTGGGATATTAAGCATCGCGACGCTTTGTGCACGTGAGGCTTCTCATTGGAACACGAATTGCAGAAGTGGAGCGGACGGGCCACCACGCAGGTGCTTGGAGGTTTAGCTTGTGAACCACGACGAGAACCGCCGCCATGGAGGGAGCTTCGCTGCCGGTGCTCCCGCTCGAGATCCAGCTGGAGGTATTGCAGCATCTCTACTACGTCTCACCCTCGTCCTTTGCCAGTGCGGCCCTTGTACTGTCCAGGGCTCACCACCGACACCTTGTCACGCTCCTCTACCGGCACATCTGTGTGCGCGACCGTGCTGCTCTCGAGGGTCTCGCCAGCACGCTCATCGCTCGGCCCGAGCTCGCCGCCTGCGTCCGTTCATTCTTTTTTCAGGGCCCGCAGGGCAGGAAAAGAACAGGAAGGGAGCTGTTGCTCGCCTGGGAGCAGAGCGGCGACGAGGACCAGGCGTCGACAAGCGACGAGGAAGAGGACCAGGAGCCCGAGGCCGTTTACGATGAAAACGGCTGGTGCGAAGCACGCGGCGAGCTCGAGCCAGGCATCGAGGGGGAAGGACAAGAAGCGACGTGGGATGAGTGCGTTTTGAAAGGCTGGCATGTTTTCGCCCGCCAAAGGCGATGTGGTGGGGAAAGCAAGCTGACGAAGAAAGGCACTACACAGGCACGAGTCATTGATGCATCTTTGCACCCTCATCCTGCGCATATGCGCCGCCAATGTCGTCTCCTGCGGCTTTGTTGACTGCGTACCTTGGTTTCTAGCGCCTTATGAGGGCGGCAACCTCAACTTCCCGCTGCCCCGCTGCCGCGACTTCACTGGCGTCACTGTGGGTCTCTTTGGCCTGCTACCTCATCTCCAGCGGGAAAAGCAAAGAGTAGAGGGGAGCGACACCAGCCATGAAGAAGACAAGGTCACCTCTCTGCGGCGTATCCACCTCATCGGCGGCGACTTTGGCTCGTTTGCCCTCCAGCGCGTCCTCGTTGCCGCGCCCACGGCAAAGACACTCACCCACCTTCACATTACCGCACCGACGCTCTATCGGGTCGAGCATCATTCGCATCTCGTCTCGCACATCACTCAGCTGCTGCAGTCTAATGCACGCCTCGAGCGCATCAGCGTCGCATTCCTGCGGTGGCATCGCCCACCGCCGAGACGCAAAGCAACGCGGGCCGGTAACGGATCCCAGGACAAGACATTAGACGAGCTGGAACGAAGAATGCGTGAGCTGAGCAGCGAGACTGCCTCGTCCTCCGCGACAGTCTCTTCGCCCACCACCGCGACAGCCACGGAGCAAGCCACAGGCGAGGACTCGTACGAAAGAATGCAGCTAAGAGGCGTGTCGAAGAGCAGGAAGAGCCAGAGGGATCGTAGGCCCGTGTCGGTCGAGCGCTCGCAGCGCCAGTCCGAGGACGAGAGGGTGCAGCTCTGTCGAGAGGCGTACGTCTATGCGCTCCCGCAAGCCCTCGAAGCGAGCCAGCGCTTCGACGTCGAAGCAAGCATCGTGGAGCTCCCCTTTGTAGAGGGCTCCCCCGTTGGCTTTGCCGGTTGGATCCTGACTCAAGGGCAAAGCGAGGCGGCTGCTGCGCAGCTGGGACGTTTGCAGACAGGGCCAGACAAGCAGCGACTGCCAAGGCTCGCCGGCCCAGCCAAGGTCGAAAAGTCTTGGAGAAAGAGGGACTTGAGCCTCCTCCCCGTCAATGTGGCAGATGACGGCGCACCTGTCGGGTCTATTTGGGCTCAAGAAGCCAGCCTCGTCTGGAAGCTCAACCGTGATGGCGATGCACAGCTCATCAAGGGATCTCTGTAGGCATCCCCAGGCTCTGTTTCCAGTTTTTATCATCATGTACTACTACAACACACTCCAGCTTGATGTCAACGTAATAAGTGATACCCTCCCTTCCCGCTTTCCGGCCTCTGACCGGTGTGAGATTAAGACGATCTTGATGTATGTCAAAAGATGATACCCAATGGGCCAACCCCGGTATGTGCACTGTACGAGGTGGCAGAAAGCGCCTCAGGCCAAAAGCCAAAGGGCCTAATTTCCACGTGGGTCAATGAAATGCATGCTTTCGTCACCCTGCCGGCCTCCGCTCCACTATTCCTTCTGCAACAGTAGCACGCGCTGGAGGCTAGACTGTAAAGTCCAATTGCGTCGCGGCGCTACTCTCACTTCTGTGGAACGATCATCAATCGTCCAGTGACCCTAGCATACCCCCACCCACCTTCTCAACCAACGCAGCCATGGTCGTCTTGAATTTTCATCCAGGCGCACTGCCCAACTTCAGCCTCCGGATGAAGCCTACCGACACACTCTCTACGATCCGGGAGCGTGCTGCCGCAAAGATCCGGCTTGACCTCAAAGACGGCATTCCGCTCTCGGTCAAGTACGGACACGGAGGCAAGTCCTTCACCCTTGAAGACGGTGAGTTTGACTATCTCACTATGGCCTCTTGATAGACGCTCAGACCTGATTCGGATAACATGGCAGATGATGACTGGGACATCTTCGTTGAGCGGTTCGGTAACGAGAAGGAAGCTGATCGTGAGTTGTTTCCAATGTCTCTTTGAGTCTCGTGGCCCTGCAGTGCTGACAGTCCACGCATACAAGTTTACCTGGAGTCACCTGAAATTCCTCAGGCGACTGATGATTCCGACGATTCCGACGAGGATGAAGTGCGTCCGGTGGTCGCCAACATTCCGGTGACAAACGACGGAACCCTGGTTGCTCGCACGCCTGGTCGCGGCAAGGGAGGACCCGTGAGCATCCATCGGGTTACACCGAACCGCGTCACCTCCGTCGACGAGTACACCGAGGCGGGAGGGCAGACTACCGGCGGACGAGACTCGATCCTGTACCCTGCGCCACAAGAGCCCATTGCACACCCAGGCTACAGCAAGCCAGTGGTGCCAGATTACCCCACAACGACGCCCGCAATGGATGCCATGTCGATGCGGAGCAACAAGACGGCCAGAGCCAAGCTCAGTCAGACTGCGCAGAGCCTGGTGCCCTCGCACAAGATTGCCTTTCAAGAATTCCACTCTCAGCTCGGCGTCCGCCTCCTCAAGGGTAGCCTGGGCCCCGTCGATGACGTGCCCATGATGCTCAAGAGCGGCTACAGGCATGTCTACGTCAGTCGCAGCTTTGCTCTCAACCACGGCTTCATCCCCAAGGACACGACGCCGGGCACGTATGGCTTCAACGGAATCACCAACCTGGGCAAGTGGCCCGTCAAGGTGGGATCCAAGAGCGTCGCCTGCACAGTCATGCTGGCCGAAGACTCGTACTTCCCAGTCGTCCTCGGCCGCACCTTTTTCGAAAAGAGAAAGATCCGGACGGACCCAGTCGACATGACCAACGTCGTCTTCATGGACACGGGCGAGCACGTCGACGTTGAAGTCGTCGTCGTTCGCGACGAGAAGGGGGAGCCCGTCCCCATCCCTTGAGTTGACCTTGATGCTCATTCCACTCCTTTTGTTCCTCGCCTTTCTTTCTCTATCTTTTCCTTACTTGCCCCTGTCCCTGGAAGCTGAAGTCGAGGAGACCTTGTTAATCGAATGTGATATGAGATTTCACTGTCTACCGGTTCATGATACACTTTTGCTACACAGTCTGACCTAAAGAAAAGGGCGAGATAACTAAACCAACGAGGACGCAAGCCCTGAGGGCCTGTATGGCTCCATTGCTGAGCGTGAGTGCGAGCCGAAGACGATAGTAGACGCTCGTGGACTGTACGAATAGAGGCTTTGACCCAAAGTCGCTGTCATGAGGCTCGCTGTAGGAGGATAGATCCACTGGTTGTGCGCCCCTATCGTCGACGTAACTGATTCTGCGTCCCTAAATGCAGCGTCGCCCTTCCTTCCTCCTTTCTCATTGTCGTTAAAATCATTGCCGTCATCGTCGGAGAGACTCGTAACGCTCAAGCTACGAGCATAGTGGGTATTTGCGCTCGTCTTGGTAGCCGTACTCGATGCTGTCGTCGTCGTGGCAGATCTCATTCTCTGCGTGGGTATGGCCGCGCCATCATCAAGTCCAGCTTGCGCAGCTGACCTTCGCGTGCCTCTGAAAGGTCCTCCGCCGTTGCTCCCGTCTGCGGCCCCAGGTCCGCCACTGGCACCGCCGCCGCCGCCGCCGCTACCGCCACCGCTTCTCCTCGGCCGTCCTCCTGCTCCACCGCCAGCACCATTGCTGCCTCCGCCTGCTGCGGGTCCGCCTCCTCCACCACCATGGTGTCTCCCGTTATCTGCCCCTTCCTGCTGCTTGGCAGCCTGTCACCCATACAGTCAGTAATTTGCACCTCGTCTGACAGGTTGAAGGACGAGACTTACCCTCTTGCGATGAAGCGTCATTTCATCAATTGCATTGTCGATGACTTGTTGCAGTAGCTCCCTCGCTTTCCAATGGCCTTCGCAGTCAGCCAAGAGCGCATGGTCATGCTCGATTCTGCAGGTGCCAGCATTCAGTCGAACTATCATCTCAACAGCATGATCAGCGCATTTGCACTCACTTGTGGATGCAGGCCGTGACACGGTCCTTCTCCTGCTTTGCAAGCCGCACATTTTGTTCCAACCAATCATTGTACACTCTCCGAGCAGTCCTTCTGATCGCACGATACTCGGCATCAGCGACCTCGAGGTACGTCTTCAGGGGGATTCTCCCAATCGTTGCGATGCTTCGCTTTGTCACAGCTTTCCTCTCTTGACGAACTTGCGAGATTGTCTGATACTTTGCCCGATGCAAGCCCTTAGTCGCGCTCATTGGCGGCTCCCGAGGTGCGAGCCAGAACTGTTCGAGAAGCTCCGATTAAGCCATGCCAAAAACATGTTTTCACGAAAAGGGCGAGACTCACCGTCCAATCTTCCAACTTCTCTCCGTCAAGGAAATTGCTCTCGTCGCCCACAGCTTCCTGCACCCCTTCTCCTTCGCCTGCAGTCTGAGAACGGCGATTGTTAGGCTGACGTACGGTGATCCTCGCTGATGATCTTCGACCGTGTGCTGGGTCCGCGTCTGAGCTTGCCATCTGTTCAGTGCTGCCACTCGAAGGGAAAACACCCGCCTCATCCAAGAAAGAAGAGGAGTGATGCTGCTGCTGCAGACTGCCATCGTACATGTGCTCATGATAACGCGAATCGTTGCCGACTTGTCCACCACCGCCGGCGCCGGCGCCGCCGACGTTGTTACTACCGCTCCCTGTTCCGCCATTGGTGTGCGTCGTGTTATTTATCGCCGGACCAGAAGAAAAGCCAAACGCCTGATCAAGGCTTTCGTTTGCGCGAAGAGCCTCGGGAAACACAGGCGAAGGCAGCTGATTGACAGTGTGCGCCTGAGGTGCTGATGCTGGTGGCTGCTGCTCCACGTGACCCAGTTGGTCTTGGACATGATGTCGTTGTTGGCGTGATTGGACCCTAGCACTGAGAGGCGTGGGCTGGTAGGGTGGCGGCGGTGGCGGTGCCTGATGATGGTCGTGTTGCTGCTGCTGCTGCTGTTGTTGTTGTTGATGCTGGAGACCGTTGACCTGACCAATTCCGCTGCGCCCTCGCCTTTCGGCTGAGATGGGCGGGTCCTCGTTGGCGCTGAGCATGAAAGCGACCTTAGGTGCGGTTGACATAGGGGATAGCCCCTCCTCTGGCCCCGTGAGTTCTTGCTGCTGGCGGCTGTCCTGCATCGACTGAGCCATGTCAAGGTGGTTGGACATGGCTGATTGATGGCGATAGTCGTGCCTGGCCTGAAGATCTTCCATGGCATATCTACCTCCGCGATCCGCAGCAGGAGGGACAGAGTGGGGAGTGTGAGAGGGCGGTGGAGGTGCTGGAGCAGCTGTGGCTTGGAGCCCGTCGGAGATTGACGAAGCGGGTGGAGCCATTGGAGGAGGCAACGACGGCGGATGGACAGGCTCTTGAGCTGATTGAAATTGGCGATCGGGCGCGGTGACATTCATAGTCGAAAGCCCAGTGGAAGCATCGTACTGACGAGCTGATGAAGCGCCTCCTTTCTCTCTCGTGGAAGCTTCGTTCCTGCGATTACGCCTATGTTCACGATCCGGGGACCTCGAGGGCGAGCGGCGTCGACGATTCGACGTGGAAGCCGCTTCCTGCGTGGCTTTGATCTCGGAAGACAGCTTCATGAGCACAGACAAGCTCTCTGTGTGAGCGTCGACCCGCTAGATAGACAGCCGCCTTGAGTCAGTCCCCCTTTCTTCCTGTCCACGGCTAATCAAGGCCCGGGTGCCAACTCACAGCAACGAGCTTGTCCAAAAGACCAATCACGCTCTCATTTTGGCGAACAGACATAGACATGTCGCCAGCGATTGACGAGAGCGACCGTCCGATCACTGACCAGTTCGTCGGTGACGGGTCCTCACTGCCGCCGCTGGTCGACGTGCTGCCGACCAGGCCAGTGGCGGTAGCAGGACCGCTTCGGGCATGATTCAACGAGGATGCGGACAAAGACGACTGCCTTTCGTGCGAGGTGCGCTGTTCGCGCGACGAAGGGGCCTCTGCCTGGTGCATTCCACTGCCGTAGGTGCTGCCGTGCTGGATGAGCCCATAGTCGGCTGGGTAAGACTGATGAAGCATAGGAGAAGAGGAAGAAGTAGGGTGTTCCTGGTAGCTAGCCACTTGTTGCTGCGGTGGTTGCTGCTGTTGTGGATGCTGTTGCTGCTGTGGATGTGGCTGCTGGTGCTGGTGCTGGTGCTGGTGCTGCTGCTCCTGTTGCAACGCTTGAACCTGCTTGTGTTGTTGTTGCTGCTGGTGCGGCTGGTGCTGGTATTGCTGCTGCGGTTGGGGGTGCGGCTGATGCTGCATTTGCGACGGGCTCTGGTAGAGGGAGTAGGCTGAGCGGGGCGACATCAAAAGCCGTGAGCCTGCGGCGGAGCGAGAAGTGTGAGGAGGGAGCGGCGGCGCAAAGGTCTGCGGCGACTGCTGCCCACCGACATTACCGCCCCCACCCGCTCCGCCGCGGCCATGGTGGAGAGAGTGACCGTGGTACATGGCCCACGCGATTCCTATTCTCGACCGCCGACGTTGTGGCCTCGATGGTGGCGGGAGGGACTCGTCGTCGTCGTTGTAGGCCTACCCTTGCGGGATGACAGGCATGAATTCAAGGCGGATTTACGAATAGCTGGGTGACGTCGCAGCTTTAATGCAGGCACTACTACTGGTAAAATTCCCCTCGTTATGTTTTTCATAACTTTTTTTGCCCAATCAGCCTCTAGTTTGATGCTGATCTCCGACTTCTACCACTACTACTACTACTAGCTTGTGCTTGGGTATTTTACACTGTATAGATCGAGGAGCGCACGTACAGTAGTACACTGTCCTACGCTAAGTAGACTACTTCTTCTAAGTTAGATAGAGAAGGCGCCTGTATCGGCGATTCTGGACAAGAAAATTTTGATTAAATGCAGCTGACAGCGAGTGGCCAGGATATATACCTCTCATGCTTCGCGGGCCGAGTTCCGTCGAACCGGCTTGCACGCTCGAGTAGTACGGTACAGATTCCAAAAGCGAAGCATGTCTGATCTGCAATGAAAGAACGAACAAAAAAGAAGAGAGAGAGAGAGGATTACTGGAGCTAAATGGAAATTAGTCTAACGCAGAGGAGAAATAAAAATTAAGAAATCGCCTCTAAAAATCGGGTGAAAGTTGGAATCCTCTTGTGGAGTCAAGGTCATATCACATACAAAGGGCTTCATCGAATCCTGGGTCCCCCCACTACTACCACTAAGTAGGCGACGAGTCGACGCGGGATTTTTTTTTGCTCTGTCGCGATTAAACGAGAGAGAGAGATGACCTTTCTTAGCTTCTCGAGAAAGTGGCAATTCATGCGATGCCGAAGCGGCCAGGACAAGGCCAGAGAGCAGGTCCAAGGCTCCGCGCCGGAGATTCGGGGTATCGAAGATGTCGCCCACAGTACTACTACTACTACGGCTAGTGACTAGGATACTAGCGTCGCAGCATCGTAAAAGTGCGATTCGCGCGAGCTCAAATTCGCATGTTCGCAAATACGAGCAAATACGAGCAAATACGAGCTCCGCGGTCATATCTGGCACGGGAACCCGCCCGGAGTAGTGTAGACGACAGACAGAGTGATAGAATGTCCGGCCGACAGAATGCTCGAGCATGAGCATGAGCATGAGCACGTGCTATGCCGAAGAGAACTCAGGATGGCGAGGAAGAGGAGAAGGAGGATGCGCGAGTGTGCCATTGCAAGTAAGAACCCAAAGATTATCGCAGCCAGAATACAAGAATCTGGCACAGTCAGTGCCTTTATGCGTCCCCTCCCGGACTGGCCCAGGACCAGTGCTGAAATCCTGCGCGGTGGAGCTCGTCGCGCACCATTGTCTCTGCCCTTTCTTGTGCCTCGTACCGCCGATACGCGGCTGCGTCTCGCTCCACGCCAGTATCTTCGCCAACTAAAGGCCTTGGACGGCGACCGTTGTCGTCATTATGTGAGGCTGCTGCTGCTGCTGCTGCTGCTGCTGCTTGCGCGCCCGCGAGAAGTACCCGGTAGGCATCGACGGCGGCGTGGACCTGCTCGACGTCGCGCATGCCCACGAGTGTCGGCAGGAGGGCCTGTCCCGGTGCGTCGGCTCGAGCGACTTCGGAGCCCCGCATGCCGAACCTGGCCGCCGTCTGGGTGAGGGACGGCATCTGATTGGCAGGTGATAATGTTGACGCCTGCTGGAGTGCCTTGGCAGCGTTGATGCATGCATGCTTGAGCTTGAGGGGGGCAGGGTGCCAGGTTGGCGGCCCATCGTCAGTGAGCAAGCCCATGGAAAAGGGCGAGGCGTTGAGTACGCGGGGCGGGTCCCAATTGTGCTCCTCTGACAGCAGAGGGCAGCGCTGAAAGTGGTCCAGGTAGGCGACGAGGAGGTCGCTCTGGAGCGTGTGGTGCGAGTAGCTAAGCACGACGTCGAGGGGCCGGTGCAGGCGGGCAAAGACGAGCCTCGAGAGGCGGAGGAGCGTGGGCAGGGGGTAGCCACTGATGCCGACATTGTCGACGATGCCCTCGTCCTTGAGTCGGAACAGCTCGGCGACGGCCTCGAGGATGCTGTCGTCGCCCTGGCCAAAGCTCTTGCCTGCCTGGGCCGGGGCGAGACCACAAGCCATGTGGACGGGCCCATCGTCGTCGGTCTCGGCGATGAGGTCCCTGGCGGCAAACCCTGCGGCCTGGGCGGGCCCTACGCTCTCGGCAACGAATTCGACATCGTGCATGAGGACGACATCGAGATACGTCGTCTCCATCCTCCGGCAACTCCGCTCGACGCTCCTCCGCACGCTCTGGGCGCGGTAGTCGAAATCGCCCTTGTTTGGCCCGTTACGGCCGGCCTTTGTGCAGAGGTAGTAGGAGTGGCGTGGGAACTGGGGCGCGAGGGTGCGCAGGATCCGGCCCAGGCGAATCTCCGAGGGGTGATAGTAGGGAGACGTGTCGATGGCATTCATGCCGTACTCGAGCGCCAAGCGAAACACTGTCGATTGTTCAGTCTTTTCTTCTTTCTCAAAGAACACTCATTTGCTTCTCCACGGACTCACTTCGGTACGGCTCCAGGCCGCGGATGACGTCGTCGGAATGGTACATGCCCTCGCCCAGGCCATTGCCGCCAATGAGCAGCGGCGGGCACCCCTGCTTGAACGGCGGCAGGTGCCTGCTTCTGCTTCTGCTGCGCTGCACGCTGCCGTTGCTGCTTCCGTTGCTGCTTCCGTTGCTGCTGCTGCCCGCGCCATTTGTCTGCCGAGGAGAGATGCGGGGCGCGGTAGCAAGTGGCGCACCCCGGAGCGCCTCGGGGACCAGGTCGTCGAGCTCAGCCTTGACGAGGACCTCGTCGGGCGAGGGGTCCACCGCAGGCACTCTGGGCATCCTGGCCCGACAGCTCCGCTCAGCTCCGCTCAGCACTCTGCGTCGTCGTCGTCCTATGTCGTCGTAGTGCTGGCTGACGCGCTTGCTTATAGCTAGCTACTATCGAGGCCTGATGCGACGGTTGGTTCTGCAAAGCGGAGCGCGGGAAGATCAGAAAAAGGCAGAACTTATTGCAATTGCGCAAAACAAGCCTAAAATCAGAACAATGATGACATAAAAACCCCGACACGCGCACAAGATTGCAAAAGTGGAGCAAAAGCAAAGGAAAGAAAAAAAAAAGCCAGAAAAAAAAGATCTGGGTGTGGTTTTGGCAGTGCTTGACTAGTGTAATCAAAATGTGTAGTAGCAGCAGCAGTAGAGTAGAGAGTACAGTACAGTACATCACGCCGACGAGGGCTGCTGGTCCAGCATCTTTGTCCAGTCAAATGGCTCCCACTCCTTTTTAAAGTCATGCAGTCTCTGCTTCTGCTCGTGGGCCTGCATCCTTTTGGGCTTCCTCCAGCGTCTCGGCTCGAGGTCGAGCACGTTGCCGACGACCTCGGCGGCAAAATACACTGGAAACTCCTGGCCCTCTTCTTCGTCTTCGTACTGGTCCTCGTCCTCGCCGCCGCCGCGGTGCCGGGCCTTGCCATCGTCTTCAATGACGTGGCCATAGCCCTTTTCGCCCTTGTGGTCCCACTGGACCATAAAGTAGGGCAGCTGCGGCACCAGGCTCCGTCGGAACGGCCTGGAGGGTGTAAACGTGATGAGCTTCTTGTGCTGCGACCACTCGCCCTCGGCCTGGAGAATCGCCTGCTGAAAGTAGCCACGCAGATCGTCCTGCACGTCGCGCGATACGACAATGGCCTCGAGGAAGGTGTGCTTGTGGTGCTTGACCGACTTGACCGTCTCCCAGATCATCAGCGCCTCGCCTCGCTGGGCGGCGAGCTGCATGAGGCACTTGATGAAGTTCTTGATCTCCTCCCACGTGTCATCGTCGGCTTCGAGCGACGAGACGTGGTGCTGGATGGGCACAATGAGCAGGTGGATGCGCGTCAGCGGCTCCGTCTCGCTCAGCGCGAGGTAGCATCGCGTGCCGCTGCAGACGACCGTCGTCCGCGGCGGCCGCTGGCCCTCGTCCTGCCAGCACAGGTTGCAGCTGTCGAGAGCCTTTTTCGTCTTGGCAAAGTCTGTGCACGACAGTGTCAGCAAGCTGGACTCGTTGAAGCAGCGCATACATTCGAGGATGCACTCACCTTGGATGGCAAATTCACGCTTGGCGCCATCGCTCTTGACCTTTTTCCTCGAGAGCCGCTCGACGTTGTCGTCCACGTAGTCGACGTCGTCCTTGTATGCCTTGTCGCCCATGATGCGCGATGCCAGCTCGGCGTCCATGTCCTTCTGGTCCCTTCTCCCCGCCCCAAACCTCTCCTGTCGCACCAGGTCGGCGAGCGTCTGCTCGTCGTCGTCTGCATTGTACCGCAGCACCTCGCCGGTCTTTTTGTCCCTCGTCTCAAACTTGTCGGCCTTCTTGCGACGGTTGCCTGGCGCTTGTCTTCGCGCTTCATCGTCTTCGTCGCCCGGCTTGCCCGTGCCCACGTCGTAGAGTCTGCCGCGGGCATCGAGCGTGGGGAGCACCTGGACATCCTGGCCGCCGCTGCCTGCATTCCAGCCCTGCCCGTGATCGCCCCCATTCCCAGCCTTGGCTCTCGCCGTCTCTCTCTCGAGCCTCTCGCGGAGCTCGGCCGCATTGGGCGCGCCCGACATCTCGGCACGCATCACCTTTGCCGAGAGCTTGTTGAGCGCGACGGGGTCCATGGCCGCGGCGGCGGCGGCGGCCGCCTTGCTGCTGTCCGCCTCGCGCGCGTCAGACGCCTCGACGGCCCTCTGGACCGCGTCTTGCCTCTCGCCTGCCTCGGAGCTGGCAAGGTTGCTGCTCCTGGGGGGTGCTGTTGTGGTGGTGGGCGTGAAGACGCTTGGGATTGGCGTCGATGGCTTAGGCGTCGTCGTCGCCGAGGAGGACGGCGACGATGCAGTTGCGTCAGTCTCGAGGCTGGCCTGCTGGAACCTCCTCGGTGCACTCGGAGGCCCGCCGAGGGGAGTCGAGGGTGCTGAGGCCTCGCCTGGCTTGCGGAACGACTGCCGCGACTGCGGCCTCGACGGCAGGCCGGGCGAGTCCGAGTACATGAAGCCTCCAGCCACTCCAGGCCGCCTTGTTGCCGTGGTAGGTGTTGCGCGGCCGCTGCTGCTTGCGCTGACGTGGCCCTCTCCGGCCCTTGCCCTGCCGCCACCGCCGCCGCCGCCGCCGCCGCCACCCCGCTGGTCGTCGAGGAACTGGCGCTCCCTCCGGGCCTCCTCAAAGTCATCCAGGCTTCCGTACCGCTCCAGCGCCACCTCCTTGACGTCTCTGCCTTCCTCTTCGGCCGCCTCGTACACCCGCCGAAGCTTCATCATCCTCCACTGGTGCCCGGGTCCGCCGTATGCGCTGGCGCCGGCGCCTCTGGCACTGCCCTGGTTCCCGTCTCTGTTCTTGCTGCTGCTGCTGCTGCTCCTCTCGTCTTCGTACTCGTCGAGCTTCTTGCCCTGCGCAAACTGCGTGTTGAGCTCCCTCGACGACACCTTGAGATCGTCGGGGTTGGGCTTCTCTGGCCGAGGTGCCTTTGTCCGCGAGTACGTCCCCAGCGAATCGAAGAAGCCGTCTTCGTCGTTGCGGTCTCGCTTGCGGTCCCCTGCTGCGCCTTCATCGGCAGCGGCATCATCCATAGCCGACGACGCTTCATGGCCAGAGCCACTCAGCATCCAGTCGTCGCGCCGCAGAGGTGTCTCGGTCGGTGCGCTCTCGGGCAGCGGCGCAGGGTCGGCGGCGTGCGAGGGGGCTGCATGCGACCGGAGGTCCAGCGACTCAGACGTAGGCACATTCGACGTTGTCTGTGTTGTAAACACCTCTCCAAGTCAGGCTCGTCGTTCTTGATTCCTCGAGGAGCGCACTGGGACTCACCTTGCTGTAACGCTCATCATCCACATCAGCATACACGGTCCTTCCAGCCGATGTGCTCTCCCCTCTCTCGCTCTCATCAATGACCCTCTGGCCATCCCCATCTCGCTCCCTCTCAGTCTCCCTCTCCCTCTCCCTCTCCCGCCGCCGTCGCTGTCGCCTTCGCTCGCGGTCTTCGTCTTCGTCGTCTTCTTCTTCCTCGCGCCGCTCTCGCTCTCTCCTCTGGCGCTTGCGCTCCCGCCGCTCTTCTTCCGTCTCGGCCTCGGCCTCGCCGTCACCGCGCCGATGCCCATGTCGGTGACGATGCGATGGCCTGTCCCTCTCGCGTGATCTGGACCGGGACCTGGATCTCGCACGGTGCGATGACGACTTCGACGACGCCTTTGACTTGGACTTGACCTTTGACTCGGACTCGTGCCGACGACTCTCCCGATGCTCGCTCCGTTGCGTGCCGGATGCATGCTCCCGTTCCCGGCCTGACATTCTTTACTGGCCTTGTCTCGTCTCGTCAAAAGCGGCTTGGCGCACTGGCGAGTCGCTTACTTTTGGATGGCAGTGGGAAAGGGAAAAGCTCGCGCGCGACCTTCTTTTCTTTCACTTTTTCCGTCTTGCAGGTGGAGGGGGAGGGAATGTGTGTTCGTCAACCGCACTACGTCAAACCTACCTTCTTGACGAACACTACGTCAAACCTACCTTCTTCGTGGCCACACAATTCTTCTGATTCATGTCTCCCTCGCCCATGCTATTATCCATCTGCGGCCATAGAACCGTGAAAACACCGCATCCCGTCCGATCTGCGAAGTTAAGCACGGTATCGCCTAGTCAGTACTGCGGTGGGGGACCACGCGGGAATCCTGGGTGCTGCAGTTCCAGTTCTCTTTTGCCTTTCTTTTCTTTTTGCTTCTCTGATGCCCTCACTAGCCAAACCGTTCTTAACGTGCTATCAAGCTCTTGCTGCAGGCGTGCTGAACAATGACATGGTAATAATTGATCAAGCATGAACGACAAAAGACTGAAGATGGCTATCGTACCGCCAAGCGCTGGCTGATTCTCTCTAGGTCCAGGTTGGTCCTCGCCGCCGCGCCGCCGTCCAGCGCGCTTATCCCCGCGCCCATTCCCTTGCCATTGTTAGTGCTGCCGCTGCTACCCGGGGCCGCAGCACCGGACGCGGACGAAGTGGCACTCAGGAGCCGAGCGACGGTCTTTTGCATCGCAAACCACTCGTCCTCGGCCGGGCTGGCGAGCGTGCCGACGTCGTACACGTACACTTTACCCTCTGCGCCGCCCATGGCCAGCTTGCGGCCCTCTTTGCGGTCCCAGCCGACCTTGTTGAGGGCGCGACCGGCACCGACGACGGTGCTGATGATCGGCCGCTCCGTGTCGACGTTGAGGTTGTACAGATCCAGTCGGCCCGAGCCGTCGACCTGGGCGAAGAGGGCGGGGTGGACAGGATGCCAGCGGACGTCGTACACGTAGTCGCTCGCCTCGTCAAAGCTCAGTACCGGTGCAATGGCGTGGCTGCTCGAGTTACCTTGCAAATGCGCGGCACCTGATGCCGCGACGCCACCGGTGCTGCTGCTGCCGGCACCAACACCACCACCACCACCGCCGCCGCCGCCGCCAGAGGACGACGCCGACGCTGAAGACGAAGACTGCTTTTTGCTGCGCCACAGGCGACAGGTCCAGTCCATGCTGCACGAAAGGAAGAGGTCGGAGAAGTCAACGGGTCCGGCCAGCGGGTGGAAATGGAGGCCCGTGACGGGCGCAGAATGGCGCTTGAAGACGTCTTGCAGATTCAGACCGGCCTTGGCCCCTGCACGGTCGTAGCGTCCGGCCTGGTATACGCTGCCCTCCTCTGTGCCGACCCAGAAGGTGGTCGTCTCTTGGTCGGGAAAGGCAATCGTGGTGACGCTGACTTCGTCCGTCTTTGGATGGAGCGTGTTGAGCAGCTCGAGCGTCTCCTGGGGTCTCGCGAGCATGTCGAGCATCCACGAGCACACGGTCCCATCAGTTGAGGCCGTGACGAGGTTGTGGGCGTTTTGCGTGCCCACGAGCTGAAGCGCATAGACGGGGTGCGTGTGCCCGGCCGCCGAGAGTGGCGTCTTGAGCACGGGCAGAGACCGTGCTCGCGTGTCCCAGATCAGAATCTGTCCGCTGTAGGTCCCGCCGATGACGAGGTTGGGATGAAAGGGCGAAAAGGTCACAGAGAGCACGTCCGTCTGCCGTTGCCGTTGAAAAAATCGTCAGTGTCCATGGAGAGGCACTCTGCTCGTCAATGAAGGAAGCTTTTAAAACCCACCTGAGCATGGAAGACAAACTCGGGTCGGTCTGCCAGATGCATGTTCCAGACGAGAACAAGGCCGTCGGGCTCGTCGTTTGCGCTGAACTCGCTCCGGCTGTAGCTGGCCACGACAAGCTCGGGGTGCTGACGAGAGGGAGTGGGCGCATCAAGTCAGCTATTGTACAGCGAGGTGAATTTCTTTGGAGAATAGAGCGGGGTAACATACCTTTGTGGACCAGTCGAGAGCCGTGATGCTCCGTCCCCTGCACAGCCGCTCGTCCCAGAAGACCCGCTGCGACTTCACCTGCCGGCCTTCGTAGTCGTCGGCTGCGCGGTCGTCGAGCAGCGTATAGTCCTTGAGGTAGTCATACGTATCTGTCAGGGCCCTTTCGATGATCTTGCTGCTCTGCTCGACGAACTCGGTGAACTCTGACGCGCCATAGATGGCCCCAAGCTCCTCGCCAGTCAATTCTCGGAGGCCCTCTTCGATCTCCTTTTCGAGCCGCTCTTCCTCCTGCTTCATGTGCTCCTCCTCTGCCCTGAGCCTCTCGACCTCTTGCTCCTTGAGCAGCTTGGCCCGGATAGCTTCCTCGGTCGCAATTGAGACGCCATTTGGTCCTATCGTCCTGTCCCCACCTGCCTCGTCGTCCTCCGAGTCCGAATCTCCGCCGCTCCGCAGAGTCGTCTGGATCTCCTTGGTATAGTACACTTTCTCCTTCTTGGCAACGGCAGCGGGCGCATCGAGCGAGTCCGTCTGCACCTCGCTGTCCACCAACCTCGCCCTGGGCTGGCCCACGACCTGTGTCCCCTGCGCCTCGCCATCGGCGCGATTGACCATCGTCGTCGCCATGCTCTGTCCCTCGGACGCGCCATCGTAGTCGCTCCTGCCACCATACCCTGCCAGGACCTCTGTACCGGACTTTCTCGGGCTCGAGGGCGTACCCCTACCATCACCAGGCCCGATGCTCATTCGGCTCGAGGTGCCCTGAGTCCGGCTGCCGACGAGGTTGGCGACGAGGTCATCAATGTCCCGTCTCGACGACGGCGTCGTGGCCTGGTTGTGCTTCAAGTGTCAGCGCGCATACGAGAAGCCCGAGCCTGTTTTGAGCATCTAGACCGAGAGAGCCACCCATCACACACCCACCTCGGAACCACTCCGGGTATCGCTGCTCCTGCCAGCCTGCAGCCGGCTCGTCCGTTCCTCTCGCGCACGCTTGAGCTCGGCCAGCTTGGCCCGCTTCGCCTCGATCTCGGCCCGCCGCCGCGACTCGCTCGTCGTCGGTGCCGGCGAAGAAGACATCGTGCCCGAGCAGCTCGCAAGCGACAAGCGGAACAGAGGGGAGGAGAAGGATGGGAAAAGAAAGTAGAAGGTGAAGAGGGGGGGTGTTGGTCTAAATGCACGGCCAGGTCAAAATCAAATGCGCCCTTGTCACTGAAAGGGAGGAGACGCGCCTCGGCCGATATCGAAGTCATCTCCAACAGATTTCCGCAAGTGCTTTTCCACAAGCTGGATGGAGGTGGAATCTTTACACCCCTTCAGAGCGTCACATTCATCGATGGCGGTGCCCACCATGCAGGACGACAACGACGATGCGATCCTGTATGAGCTCTCCGTCGTACAAAAGGAGCTCCTGGCAAATCTTGCCGCAAGCCACGTTGGTGTCGGGCCCAACGCACACGCGGTGCTCAGCAGCTCGATGCCCCTCGTCGCCCAGCTCCGTGCCCTGGCGCGCAGGGCCCACGACGAGGTGCGCCGGGGCAAGCAGGCCGTGGCAGAGGCGCGCGCCGGCCTGGAGCTGGCCTCGCTCGAGCTGCAGAACCTGCAGTACGAGAAGCGGCACCTCGAGTCCGAGATTACTACCTGTCGCGACTTTCGGTGAGCTTTCCTCTTCTTTTCTTGCTGCTGCCTGGTCTACGGCAGCAAATCAAGAAGCTCTCATACTGACTGAGGAATGCTTGGCTGCCCTTGACAGCTCCATCTACGACACCATCGAGTTGACGGACATGGACGACTTTTGCGCAAGGGCCGACGAGGCCGACAGGACCGCCGACATTCTGGCCGACGCGCACAAGCTGCAGCTCGCCCGGCTGCGCTTCGAGCTGCAGGAGAGAAAGCGGCTCGAGGCAGAGAAGCAAGCACTGCATTCCAGGCGCGCTGCAATGCAGGCCGAGAACCGGGAGCGGAAAAAGAGGCTCGAGGGCCTCGAAGCCGATCTCAAGGACATGCTGGCGCGCAGCAGCCTCGTCACGCGGCGCTTCGTCGATGACAAGAAGCAGGACACAGGGCTGCAGCCGGGCCACGAGGAGCAGCAGGACAAGGACACGGCTGCAGCTGGCGAGGAGCAGGACGTCGAGATGCAACAGACCAGCGACCAGTAGCAAAATATCCACCATCTGTATTTTTAGTATTATTGCAATCCAATCCAATCATGCGGCAGGCTTCGACAGCGACAGGTCCTTCAAGTGCTGCTCCCTGTGAGCCTGAATGCTGCGATCGGCGATGAAGATGCGCCAGACGGGGATGCCAATGCCCGCCATGAAGCTCTTGGCCTTGTCAAGGAGCCAGCCGTTGCCGGGCACGCTGCCGCCCGACGCCGTCGCGGCGCGAAAGAGCTCGGTGAGAATGTCCGTCGTGATGAAGAAGCGGCCGCGCTCGACGCCCTTGAGCAGGCCCTCGGCGCACTGCTTTGGCGTCAGGCCCTCCTTTTCGCCGTCGCCCTCGAGCTCGAGGGTGATGGCCGGTTTTGTCTTGTTCTCCTCCTGGTAGCCCGGCGAGAGAATGGTGCCGGGAAAGTAGGCGTGCACGTCAATCGAGTAGAGCTGCAGCTCGGAGCGGAGGCACTCTGCCAGGCCGCGGATGGCAAACTTCATGGGGCTGTACTGCGCGTAGCCCACCATGCCCATCAGGCCCAATGTCGAGGAGACGAGGACGATCTTGGCGTCTCGCTTGGCCACGCGCACAAAGAGACTGGCAGCAGCGTGGGACGTGGCGAGGGCCGTCATGTAGTCGGTCTTGAAGCCGGTCTCAAAGTCGAGCTGGGTCTGCTCGATGAAGAAGCCGGGCTTGGCGCCCCCTGCGCAGCAAAAGACGACGTCGGGCTGCGTGCCGCCGGCAGCAGCAGCCTCGAGGGCCTTTTGGGCGCCCTCAAATGTGCTCACGTCGGCGGCGACGGCGTGGCATTGGGTCGAGCCAGTCGTGGCGGCAGCAGCCTGGACCTGGGCGAGGGCGAGGTCGAGCTTCGCCTGCGAGCGTGAGCAGATTGTCACTCTCGCCGCTCCCTTGGCCGCGCAGAGTTCCGCCAGGGCCAGGCCCAGGCCTTGAGATCCGCCCGTGATGAAGACGTGCTAATGGGTGACGATCCGACATTTCAGTCCCCAGGCGAGGCGAGGCGGCAACTATCGACAAGAGGAGGGGCCACTCACCTTGCCCTTGCACGACCACCGCTTCGAAAAGAACGGCAGCGACATTCCGAGAATAGGTACGAGTATGGCAGCGAGCACGGTCGAGAGTAGCACAGCAGAGATGGACGAGGTCCCGTCACCAAGCATCGCCCAGTGTCGTTGATCACTTTATCCTGTCGTCTTTTGCAACAATGCGATTTCAAGCTAGACAGGCAGGCAACTAGCTCATTTAAGCTCATATCCGTCGCCTTCCTCTCTGAGGTCGCCCTCCTGCCCGTCTCCCGAAGAGGAGCGAGCCCAGCCCAGCCAGCCACGCCGGCACGTGTGGAGATTCGGTCACCACAGGGGCGCGCGCGCGCTTGTAGCAGACGACGGCATCCCAGACAGACAGACGGACAGGCACCCAGAAGACACCTAGAAGAGGGAGAACACACTCTTCGACCTCGCCAAGACTGCCACGGCCGCCATGTCGATCGCTTCGCAAGCTGCCGATCGCACACTCCTCGCGCTCATCTCCGACGAGGACACGGCCACGGGCCTCCTCCTTGCCGGTATCGGCCACATTTCCACACCCCATGGCGCAGGAGCAGGAGCAGGAGCTGGGGCTGGAGCTGGAGCTGGAGGACAAGGAGGTAGTAAAGCGGGCGGTGGGGGCACAGGAGCAAGCCAGCAGCAGAGCACAAGCCTCTCGCAGGACTCGTCGTCAAAGGGGCCCTCGCCCGACCGGAATTTTTTCATCGTCAACTCATCCACCCCAGTCTCGGACATCGAGGCGGCCTTCAACCTCTTTACCCAGGAGCGGCAGGACATCGGCATCCTCCTCATCACCCAGACACTCGCCGAGAAGATCCGGCCACTGTGCGATCGATATCAGCAGGCCTTTCCTGCTGTCCTTGAGATCCCCAGCAAGGATGCCCCCTATGGTGGGTGACCAACTCTCCTTGTGGGCTGTGAGATGATGCGCGCGAGCCATGCTGACCTTCTCTCTCTCTCTCTCTCTTTCTTCTCTCTTCTCCTTGGCAGACCCTTCAAAGGACTCAATCTTGAAACGAGTGCAAAAGGTATGGAGCTGCTGCAGCTGTGGCAGAGTGCAAGGGATACTGATCGCACTTGCTCCTCTCCAAACAGCTCTTTGGCGAATGAGGACTGGAGAAGCGATCGCACTTGTTGAGATGAATCTGGGAATGTCGATGCTTGCAATCATGACAATGTAATCACCAGGCTATTCAGCAGCACTGCTGGGACTGACGTTGGCCAGAAACGTTCCTTTCGAGGCCTCGTCTGATATGAAAGACAAGGAAGATTCGCAGAATGGCCGCTGCATACATTGTGAAGGACTCCTCAGACTCGGCTTCACCCAGCCACGAGCTTCCTCAGCGCCGCCTCGTCCTTGCACCCCTCCTCTCCTAACCGGCCGAGCTCCTTTGTCTGACGGGGCCACATAGCCGATGAGGACGATTAGCAAATTTGATCCTTTCAGGACGATGGAGAGGGAAAAAGGAGGAGTGGGTTGGGGCGGGGTGGGCTGGGATGGAGGGGGACAGGGCGGAGAGGGGGGTGTGAGGGGGAAAGCTTTCTGTCCTCGACAACTCACACCTTGCATCTTGACTATAGTCGGCACGCCCTCGACATTGTACGGCTCAAGTCTGTACTTGTTGTCCTTGACGCCCTTCCATTCGTGCCTTTCGCCCACTCGCACGACATACGCCTTCGGTGCAGCGCCTTCTGTCGCACCGAAGACGGCCCGAAGGGGAGCGAGGGCGTCGACGCAGTCTGGACACCAGGGAGGAGAGCCAGACGCAAAGTAGACTACGTAGTGCAAGCCCTCGTCGTCTGTCGGTGGCGTGACAGCGTCAATGAGAGGCATCGCTATTGCTCGTCAGACGCAGTAAAGCCGGAGTAGCAGGGCAGGGCAGGGCAGGGCGGTGCGAAGAGGTACGTGGGAATGTTGGTAAGGTGGTGTGAGCGAGCGACGCCAATGCTGTGGAGGAACGAATCAATAATAGAAAACAAAACAAAACAAAAAAGACAGAAAACAGAGCGTAAAGCTCGCGGTGTTGCCTTCGCTATCGCTGTAGGAGAGGTCCACTGGGCATCGAGCGCAAGTACTTCGCATTGCAAAGGGCACACCGGCAGTGTTGATCTTTAAGGAGGTAGCTATGACAGCGCCGAGGAGGTCCAGTGAAAAAGTGCGTAGGTGTATGGGTGCTGTTATCTCGGTGTCTTTCGCCCTATTACCCTGACGAAATATTCTCGTGATGGTATTGTCGGTCGCTCAAAACACTATGTCGATAATCACAGCAACAACAATTCACAATAGCACTGCAGCAGTCCAGACCTTAAAAGACTTACGGCGGATTGGTCGAGCCCACGGCTGAGGCGAATTCAAGTTTTGCCAAAGGTATAGAGGCGAGGATCTTTCCTGGAACCCTCGCCCCTCCAGGAAAGAAAACCCACCTACATCCCAAGCTCAGCAGTCAAAAAAGGACTTTACGATGCTCAGAGGCTGGGAGCTACTGCTTCTCCTTCTCCTTGTTGCTGCCGTCGGCCGCAATGCGGCAAGCGGAAGCGGGAGTGGACGCATCGGAAGGAATCGTCCAGTCGACGGACCGCCACTAATCGACCTAAACATGCCTTACGACCCTCAAGAAGCAGACACCGCTGTTCAGGATAATGCCGAAGGTCACTCTGGACTGCACTTGCATGGATATGCTCACACACCGCGCCATCGTCAGCAGGACCTTTCGCAAGTGGATTTATACATGTCTTCGGCGCCTTCAGATCGTTAGGCAGCATCGCCTTCATCTTCCCAAAGACGCAAGGGGAAGATGACGCAACGTGCCCGAGAAGAGGGATCTTCGGCGACCCAAGAAGGCAACCTTACACAAGGCCACCACCAGCCACTCTCCCACCAAATGCATACACATTTTCCGGAGCTATCCTCGCTTGACAGAGATACAGCACAAATGCTTCAGCAGCAGATGATGCAGCAGCAGATAAAAAAGGAAGCTTCTAATCAGCAGTCACGATGGGGAACGTACGAACAGTACCAAAATCGCTTCTTCCAGAATATGCAAGCTCAACCCCATCCACTTCAAGGGCAAGAACGAAGTCATCACTACAGGTCACATCCAGGCCATGATCACTTTGCACAATCTCAAGATGTTCTGAATTATGCGAAACTGGCTCAACAAATGGAACGGCAGCACATACACGACCATGTATTCAATCAGCCATGGTCTGGTAATGTCCCTTTCATGCACAGTCAAGGCCAGCCCTCTCAATTTCAATACCAGTCCCAGCCTTCTTCGCCTCCCGCGACATCTGCAGCTCACGACTATGTGACGCATATGCAGCAAGAGTTGCCTCCTAGCTTCTATGAAATGGAACAGACAGGGGCATCATCATCGTTGCACCAAGGTCGGCAAGCTGTGGAGGCCATTGCCTCACAAACGCGAGAGCCCTTCTCGCAAAATGCGATAAAGTTTCTGCACAAGTCTGCGCTTCCTATTGAGAAGATGATCCGAGGCGAGTTCATACTACACTGGCGTGATCCAAGACCAGGTGAAGAACAGAGCCTCGCTCGTAAACGTTCACTGTCAAGAAATGGGGAATCGGTCAGTAGGCGCCGGCTCGCTTTGCCCGACCATGACACATACACGAAGATGCTCAAGACTCTGATCGGAAACTGTTTCTCAGATGTTGCACGTCCTAAGAACCGATTCGAGAGCAATTTGGCGCAAGAAGCAGCGTGCAAACTCAAGGAAGAAATTGAGACCTTTGTTTCAAACGCAAAGACCCAGGGTGATTTCGACGGGAGATATCAGACTTTCGTACAGTTCTTGCAAGATCAGGACGCCAGGCGGGAGGGATATAAGTCTCGCAGAGAAAAAGAAAATGAGGCGAGGAGGGAAATGAGGGCACGGGGTGGCCACGAATAAGCGGTGGCAGATGAGACAGCTCAAACTTGGTGGCACAAGTGCACGATTATCACGTAGTTCATATTTGCCTGCCTACCCTTCCCTCAGGCTCTTTGCTCGTGTTCCGTCCTAACGACAACCTTCTGCTCGAGCTTACGCCGTCAATCATGTTAGGGCCTGGTCATAAATGTGATAGAGCTGTCACATAGACGAACGGGGGGCTGTCAGAATGTATTCTGCGACGAAGAGAAGAGGGAAAGTACAGGAAAAGGGGCCCGTTAGACGGCGACGCCTGCCTTATTTCTGGGATTCGTACTACAGGGCGTGCTTGAGGCCGCGCTTGAGCGCCTGCTGCGCTCCACAGCAGGCACTGGCGTCCTTGTGGATATCCGGCGCGGTAAATAGGCCCGAAAAGCAGGACCTAGTAAACAAAGGCGAGCGAGTTAACACGACTGAGATAAAATAAACAAGGACGGCGAAAAGAGGGAGCACACAGGGCCCCGGGGCGCCCACGACATCCCAGGACCATGACAAAAGAGAGATAAGGAGAGAAAAGAAGAGAGAGAAAGACGAAAAGAGACGGCGTGCTCTCCCATAGACGAGTGAATTTCCCGGGGCAGCCATAAGCCCCCCGGGCAGTGCTCCCGGCGGGCTGTGCTACTGGCCTGCTTGAGACTTCTGAGAGATTGCCTGAGCAGCTTTTCTCCCGTCGTACACCATCACCCCAAAGAAACGTACCGTGCGCCCTATACTCTCATTTGCCTGCATTCCTCTCTGTCCTTGGCGTTGCAGCCTCAATACTGGGCATCATCTTCGCTCGTCAGATGCAGTAAAGCCGGCAGGCAGGGTAGGGCGGTGCGAAGAGGTTTGTGGTTTGTTGTTGTAAGGGTGGTGTGGCGAGCGACGCCAATGCGGTGGAGGGGCCAACAAAAGAATAAACCAAAAAACAAACAACAAAGCAGGGAGGGGCAGACAGGCAAAATGCTCGCGCCAACGTCGGAGCACTGGCGCAGTAGGGTGGGCGCACTGGGCTTCGAAAGCAAATATTTCGCATTCATAGGGGCACGTTGATGGTGTTGACTACGAGCAGGCGGCTGTCACAGCTGCCAGGAGGCCCAGTAAAAACGTGCATATGCATGTGTACGTGTGGTGTGAACTCGGCGCGCTTCGCCGCGTTACCTTGACGAAATTTCTCATGATGGTGTGATTGGTCAATACGCCTTGCCAGCGATAACAATAAGACGACTCTCACTTCATCACTATAGCGGTCCGAACATCAAGCAACGTATGTGTCCAGAACCCTGCCTCGGCTAAGTCGCTTCGCTCTTCTCCCAAAGCTATAAAGGCGAGGTTCTTTTTCTAGGACTCAACCCCCTTCAGGAAAAAAAGTCGACCTATATCGAGCTCAGCAGTCAAAAAGAGACTTTACGATGCTCAGAGGCTGGGGTTGTCTAGTTTATCTTCTCCTGGTTACTGCCGCTGGCAGCACTGCAGCGAGCGGAGAAGACCACACAGGAAGGAGACGTCCTCTTGACGAACCATACTCGTTAGATCTGACCTTGGGCTTGCCTCAACATCACGAGCAAACAATCACTGGCCCTCAAGACATTTACGAGGAACACCACAGTATGCGTGTCCACGAAGACACTCGCCCACATTCCCGTCATGGGCAACGCTCCTCGCATGAGGATTCAAGGATTTTATCGGCGCCTTCAGGTCACGGGGCAGCATCGTCATCATCCAACCGACGCAAGTTGAAGAAAATGCAACGTTCGCGAATGGGAGAGGGACAATCAGGGACCCAAGTAGTCGATCTGACACAAGGCCACCACCAGCCCTTCTCCCACCAAATGCATCCTCAACTTCAGGAGCTTACCGCGTTTGATAGCCAAACGACACAAATGATTCGTGACCAGTCGATGCAGATGATGCAGCAGGCAGCTCATCAGCAGTCACACTGGGGAACGCAAGAACAATACCAGACTGGCCCCTCCTCTTATAAGCAAGGACAGTACCAGACTGGATTTCCCCTCTCTGTGCAAGCTCAACCTCAGGCTTTTCAAGGCCAGGTACAAAGTCTTCCCTCGGGATCATACTCCGGCCACGATCACATCAGGCAATTTCAAGATGATCCGGCCTGCGCGAAAGTGATTCAGCAGCTGGAGCAGCAGCTGGAGCAGCAGCATCTATACGAACAGGGAATGACTCAACCATGGTCTAGCCATGCCTCTTCGACGCACAGTAAAGGTCAGCCCTCTCAATACCGATACCATCAGTATCCACATCACTATCCTCCTCCGCCACCTGCAGACCATAAGGTCATAATGCAGATGCAACAAGAGTGTCCTCTTACCCTCCATGAACTGCAGATGTTGCGGCAGACTGGGGCAATGGCAGATTTGCAACACCAGTCGCCTCGTACCCTCCATGAACTGCAGCAGCTGCAGCAGACAGGGGCAGCATCATGGTCGTACCACTTGCTTCATAACCAGAGCCCAGCACAATCATCAGAAGGTCTCTTTGCTTCAGGGCAAGTGGCAGAAGCAAGGCTGGAAGGCTGGAAACCTGAGGAGGCCAGTCTCTCACGAACGCACCCGCAATATTCGACTGAGTTCTTGAGAAATTCTGGCCTTATGTACGATCATGCGCCTCAAGGCAACATCCTAACCACACTACACTGGCGACCTCCATTAACGGATGACGAGAAGAAGCTCGCTAGGAAAGGAATGCAATCAGGGAGTGCGGAATCAGATTACAGGAACAGGCACGGCTTCCCCAGCCATACAAAATATTCGAGGGCGCTCAAAGTTCTGATCGGCCCTCGCTTCCTGGACGTTGCACCTCCTGTGAATGCCTACGAAGGCAATTTGGCAAGAAACGCAGCGGCCAGACTCACGCACGAGATCAAGATCTTGGTCGCACACGCAAATGCTGAGGGTATATTTGACCAGAATCATACATTTTTCAGGACATTCTTGCAAGAACTTGACAGAAAGAGAAAAGAACTACTCTATCGCAAAGAGAGTGAAAGAGAGATTGAAAAGACGAAAAAGTTGAAGGAACACGTTCACCTCGAATGAGAGACGGCAGAGGAGACAAGGAGACGACGTTATCCGAACAGATTTAGCGTCACCGCAAGTTGATCATGTAAGGTTCTGCATCTACCCTTTCATCATGCTCTTTTCTTGTGTCCGGTACTAGCGGCAGCCATGTGATCGAGAACCCTACTCATCGGGAATCTTGCTATCACCTGGACCGAAGTTTTAACCAGCGAGAAGGCGGGAGAGCGAGAAATATTGAGATAAAAAAGACAGAGACAGGCAAAGGCTGAATTAGATGGCGTGCCCTCCCACAGACGAGTCAAATTCCTGGGGCCGTGAACATACATACCTGACCTCCAGCCAGGCTAGGTTCCTACCAGGCTGTGCTACCAACAGGATGTACTTCCGGTAGGCTGTGTTGCTGGTGGGCTCTGCTAGTAAAGAGCCGTGATGCCACCCTACTCGAATATCTTGTGAAGTTGCCTCAGCCACCTCTCTCTAAGCGACCGACGTACACCTTTATTTTCCTATTTCTGTTGGTGGCTTAGCAGTGTCAACAAAGGGAATGACTCTGGCTTGTCGGTCGTTGCAAAGCCAGCAAAGCCGGCAGGGCGGGCAGGGCGGGCAGGGCGGGCAGGGCGGGGCGGTGTGAAGAGGATGTGGATTGTTGTTGTCAGGGTGTTGTGAGCGAGCGACGCCATCGCGGTGAAGAAAAAAAAATAAACAGACAAAACACAAAAGATAACAGTGTGGCCAGAGCAAAATGCTCGTGGCGCAGTTGAAGCACCGACCCAATAGGATAGACGCACTGCGCTTCGAGAAGAAATATTTCGCATTCGAAAGGGCACGCTGACGGTGTTGACGGTGAGAAAGCAGCTGCCACAGGTGCCAGGGGGCCCAGTAAGAATTTACGTAAACGTGTGCTGTGACCTCGGCGCGTTTTGCTGCGTTACCCTGACGAAACTCTCTCACGATTGTGTTGTCGAACAGTCGCTCTACTAACCATCACAACAACACAATCTTCACTGCAACAATGTGGTGGCCCGGAAGTTAAACGATCTAAGGGGGAATTTTGAGCCACGGCTGAGTCGTTTGGAGTTCTTTCTTCTCCTTAGATATAAAGGCGAAGGACTTTTCCAACAATCAAACCCCCTTCAGAGAAGAACAGCTCACCTATCTCCCAGTATCGGCTGTCAAGAAGACTTAGCGATGCTCAAAACTTGGGCACTACTAGTCCTGCTTCTCCTCGTTGCTGGCGTTTGCAGCACTGTGGCAAGTGGAGTGGAACATACAGGAGGGGGCCTTCATGTTGACGAACCAGACCCACTAGCTTTGACCTTGAGCTTGCCTTACTATCATCAAAAAGAAGCCACCGGCTTTCAGGACGTTGCTGAAGCTCATTCGAGTACGAACGCGGACGCAGACTCTCGCATACAACGCTCCTCGCATGAGGGTCTAGAGTTCTCATCGGCTCCTTCAAATTACGGGGCAGCATCGTCTTCATCTTCTCGCCGACACGATCTTAAGAAGATGAAGATGCATCACGATCGAGTCAAAGAGGAACAGTCAGGGAATCACCTTCTCGATCTTACGCGAGGTCGCAACCAGGCGCTCTCCTACCACTTTCATCCGCAACTTCTTGAGCGACTCGCGATGGATAGCCACACAGCACAGATGCGTCGTGACCGGTTGATGCATGGGCGAATGATGCAGCAGGCAGCTCATCAGCAGTCACAGCAGGGAACGCAAGAACAGCCGCAAGATCGCGTACATTCCTACATGCAAAGTCAATCGCAGCCTTTTCAAGACCAAGCAAGATATCTTCCCACAACGTCACCCTACGGCCGCGGTCACTTCAAACAATCTCAAATAAGTTCTACTAACGCCCCAATGATTCAACAGCTGGGGCAGCAGCATACACATGAACACAGAACGGCTCAACGACGGTCCGGCAAAGCCCCTGCGATGCACAGTCAAGGTCAAGCTTTACAATACCAACACCAGCCTAGATTTCGCCATCCTCCTCCGCCATCTGCAGGCAACGACTACATGATGCAGATAGAACATCAGTGGGCTCATAGCCTCAACAAAGTGCCGCAGATCGGTTCATCAATTTTGCATCACCAGCCTCATGGCCCAACCCCGGAGCAATTCTTTCAGGGTCCCTTTCATTCCGAACAAGGTGACGATCAACCAGAAGAAGGTGACGATCATTCAGAAGAAAGTAACGATCAATCAGAAAAAGGTGACAATCAACCAGAACAAGATGATGGTCAGTCAGAACAAGGTGACCCTCAAGTAAACGAAGTAAGGCATACAGAGTGGCAATCTGAAACGCACACGGGTCCTTTGCCTTCTACAAGAGCTTCAGAAAATAAAGGCCGAACTTGGAACTATCGCAGACGCAAAATACTCCCTTCCAAGAAAGAGGAGGATGAGATCAGGGCGCTGCTTGGCGACAGAGAAAAATCACACTTCGTTGGAGAAGGGGTCCAAAGCGACACTGAATACGATTTGCTCAAGCAGAGGGCCCGAGCATACTTGAATTCGCCAGATGAAGATGAGGGAAAGAAGGAGAAGATGCGAGAACTTACGGAGAAGATCGAGAGCCGAAGGAAGGCATGTCTCCGCAAAGAAAGGCTGCGAAGTAATAGGAACAGTTCAATAATTCCGTTCAAGCCCAGCCCCCCTTCACTAACACATCCGTTACAACTTTGGCCCCGTCTTCTGGACGACTTTGGGCTTCAATTTCCGCAGGACAAAAACCCCCGTGAGAAGCCCGAATTATATTGGCGAGCCCCAGAGGGAGCATTCGAAGAGGATCAAGCTAAGAAAGGGTACGACTATAGAACGGACCTTCATCGCAGGAGAGAATGTCAATTACCCACACCGACGGAATTCTCGCAGGCGTTCAGAGAACTGATCGGCAACTTCTTTTTTAATGTGGCACCACTGGACAACAAATTCCAAAGCTCAATAGCTTTTGACGCAGCGAAGAAGCTCAAAAGTGAGATCCAGGCTGTTGTCACCCGCGAAAATCCCAGTGACCACAATGCCGAAAGACTCAGAGAATTAGCATCGCACTTGCGAAAGTGGGAGAGCAGGGGTAACGGTTACGATGCCAACAAAAAGGCGTCTAAAGATAAACGGAAGATAAGAAACCAGGCCCGCCGTCAGAAAAAAAATAGAGGGTACGGTGGCCACACAGCCGCCTGTTAATGCCACAGGAGCCAGTTAATTTCGACGTTTTCTACCAAAGCCTGTCTGTCCTAAGCTCAATGTTCATTTTTTATCGCTGTATCAACGAGGATTCTTTTGTTGAAATGGTCCAAAACGTCACTCGAGAGGGAAGAGGGGGGCCATCGTTGATGGCTTATTTCCCCGTAAACGAAGCAACTTCCTGGGGCTATAAGCGGGCACAAGCTCCGGCCATTTATACAATTACCAGGCTGTGCTCCCAGTGGACTGTGCTGCTGCTGATGTGTTGTGCTACTGGCAAACCTACTAATCATAAGCTGTGAGGCTAGCTTGCTTGGAGATTTTTTTGGGATTGCCTCAGCCATTTTTCTCTTATCGTCCACATCTGCTGGAGCTCGTTATTTGCCTACGGATGCCTCTATCGGTGGCGTAGCAGGTCGATAAGGGGGAAGGACATTGATTTCGCTCGCCAGACTCAGTAAACCCGGCAGGACAGGACAGGGCAGGGCGTCGCGAAGAGGCATGTGGGTTGTTGTGGTCAGGGTGGTGCGAGCGAGCGACGCCATCACTGTGAAGGGACCAATAAAAAATTGAGAAAAATTAGACTAAAAAGAAAACAGAAAAACGGCAAAACGACAAAACAACAATACAGGGTAGACACAGCAAAAGCTCGCGGCGCCGCACTGGAAGCGCCGATGCAATAGGATGAGCACAATGCGAAGCGAACACAAGACAACAAGACATCGGCATTTTAAAGGGCACACTGGCCCTTTTGGTGATGGAAAGGGAGCTGCAACAGCTGACAAAAGGCCCGGTAAAAGTGGGCGCATTATTACGTGTGCTGTGATCTCGGTCGGCTTTAGTGAATTACCATGACAAATCTCTCTCACGATGGTGTTTATCACAACAACACTACACGGAATCCACCTCATCTCTGTAGCGGTCCGGATGTTAAGCAATGTATGAGCTCATTTTTGAGCTACAGCTGAGCCGCTTCGGGTCTTTTCTTGAGATATAAAGACGAAGGACGTTCCCAGGTCTCTACCTCCCTTCTTCAGGAATATAATTCTTCTAAGACCAGGTTCAACAGTCGAAAAACGTTACGATGCTCAGAGGCTGGGTTCTCTTGGCTCTTCCTCTCCTCGTCGCTTCCGCTGGCAGCACTGTGGCAAGCGGATCGGAAGGCGCAGGGAGCAGCCGTCCCGTTGTCACACAAGAGCCTTCACACCTGGCCTTGAAGTCGCCTTTCCATTATGAAAAATCATCGGCCGGATTGCGAGAGGTTGGTGAAGGTCACTCCAGAATGAATATGGACGAAGATACTCGACCACTTCGCTACCTTCGGCACAGCTTCTTGCATAAGAATCTCGAGACCACATCGGCGCCTTCAAGGGACAGAACGGAATCGCCCTCGGCTTCTCACCAGAGGAGAGGAACGTCGCGGGCTAATCATGCCTTGGCGAATCACGCCCGATTCCGATACAGAGAGGCACGGCCGGAGACACAAGTGTCTGATCAAGATCAGCTTCCTCCCTTCAAGGTTTATCCAGAGGTTCAAGAGCCATCCGCGACCGATGATCATACAGCACAGATGCTTAGCGAGCAGTCGATGCAGCAGCAGATGTTGCAGCAGGCTGCTCACCAGCATTCGCGCTGGGGAACGCAAGAACAGGAACTACTCGGCATCGGCAAACACTTCTACATGAAACCTCAGCTCCAGCCTACTAAGAGCCACGTACAAAATCTTCCCTCGGGGTCACCTCCAGGCCACGGTCATATTGGACAATTCCGAGATGATCGAGCTTATGCGCAAACATCACAACAGCTAAAACAGCAGCATGTACACGAACATGGATTCACTCAGCCGTGGTCTGGCAATGCCCCTTTGGTGCACAGGCAACGCCTGCCCTCTCAATACCGATACCACTCTTCACCTCACTGGCCTCCTCCACCACCTGCAGGCCACGACTCTGTGATGCAGATGCGTCATCAGTGGGCTCATAACCCCGATGAAGAGCATCAGATGAAGAAATTATCAGGGCTGCACCACCAGTCTCGTGGCCAAACCTCGGAACAATTCTTTCGAGGTCCTTTTCTTTCAGAACAAGTATACGATCAAGTAAAGGCAGCGAGGCATGCAGAGTGGCGATCTGAGACGCACACAGATACTTCGTCTTATACAAGCACTTCAGAAGCTGGATCTGAAAACGGAGATCGAGATTTTGGCAGAAGCAGAGGACTCCCTTCCACGAAGGAGGAGGAGGAGATCAAGGCGCTGCTTGGCGACAGAGAAAAATCAAACTTAGTTGGAGAGGGGAGCCAAAGCGGCACTGCATTCCATTTGCTCATGCAGAGGGCCCGAGCATACTTGAATTCGCCAGATGAAGATGAGGGAAAGAAGGAGAAGATGCGAGAACTTATCAAGAAGGCCGAGACGCAAAAGCAGGCAGCCCTCCTCAGACAAGCGCATCGAAGTGATAGAATAAAATCAATAACTCCGTTCACGCCCAACCCACCCTCACTGACACATCCGTTACAACTTTGGCCCTCTCTATTGCAGGAATTTGGGCTGGTGTTTGAGGAAGAGGAAGACCTCAGTAAGAAGCCCACGCTATATTGGCGTGGCCCAAGCAGCGAAAGTGACGAATGGAAGGACGTTGGGAAGCAGTACATATATAGAACGGACCTTCATCAAAGGAGATGTCAGTACTTACCCACGACGAAGGAATTCTTGCTGGGGTATAAAGAACTGATCGGCAACTTCTTCTTCAACGTGGCACCACCTCGTGACAAATTCGAATGCAAATTGGCGTTCAAAGCAGCGATCGAGCTCAAAAAAAAAATGCAGGATGAGGTCAAAAACAACCGTCCCCCCGACCACAACGACGAGAGACTCAAAAGATTAGCATTGCTCTTGCGGACCTGGAAGATACGGGGCAACGATCACATGGCGAGGCACAATGAGCAAATGGAAAAGCGGAAAGTAAGGGACAAAGCTGGTCGTAACAAGAAGTCTAAGAAGACATGATGGTCATCTCGCAATGCACGAGAGCCAGCTGATTTCGATTCTTCCACTATCACTTTTCTATGCTGATTGATCTTGCTCAATCGATGTATCAATGACGATTCGCGGGTTGATATTCTCATAAGGCTGTCCATGATGCGGCTCGAGAGAGGGAGAGGTGTGATGGCGCGCTCTCCATAGAGCTGTATATCTACAAGGCTGTGCTACCGGTGGGCTGTGCTGCTGATGAGCTGTGTTGCTGGAGGGCTGTGCTGTTGACGCGCCGTGAAACTAGCCTGCTTAAAGATCCTTTAGTTTGCCTCAGCCACTTTCTCATCTTACCATCCACATCTGCTGGAGCTCATTATTTGCATTTGCCCACGGTGCCCTCTCTTGGTGGCGCAACAGCGTCAGTAAAGGGAACGGGCATTATTTTCGCTGGTCAGGGGCAGTAAAGATAAAAGCGGCAGGGCGGGGCGAAGAGGTATGTGGGTTGTCAAGCTGTTATCTCGGTTACCTCGGTGCGTTTCGCTGTATTACCTTGACGACACACTTCCTTGATGGTTTTATCGGTCAAAATACTATGTCATTGCTCACAATAACAACAAGTCACTATAGCACTGCATCAATCCGGACCTTCCGGGGTTTAAGGCGGTTTGGCCCAGCCACGGCTGAGGTGCTTCGAGTTTTTGCCAAAGGTACTGTGCAGTACAGAGGCGATAGACCTTTCTTAGGACCCCACTCCCTTCAGAAAAGAAGGAAAAACTACCTACACCATTTTGCTTTCTCAAGCAAAAGAAGACATCACGATGCTTAAAGGTTGGGTATTTATGCTTCTTCTTCTCCTCGTCGCTGCCGTTGGCAGCAATGCAACAAGCGGAAGGGAACGCAGAAGAAGGAGTCGCCCTGTCAACGAACCGGACTCATTAGAGCTGACCTTGGGCTTGCCCTGTCATAGTGGGCAAGCAGACAACTGCTTTACGGACGTCGACGAAGGTCAATCCAGCAAGTCCTGGTACGAAGATGCTCACAAACCACGCCACCATTGGCAGGGCCTTTCGCATGAGAATCCATACATGTCATCTGCCCCTCCAGATCATGAGGCAGCCTCGCCTTCATCTTCTGGAACACACAAATCGAAGAAGATGCATAGTGACCGATGCAGAGAGAGACAATCAACGACCCAAAGAGTCGATCTGTCACAAGGTCACAACCAGCCACTCTCCCACCAAATGCATCCACAGTTTCAGGAGCCATCCGTGTTTGACAGCCGCACAGCACGAATCTTTGAAAACCACATAATGCAGCAGCAGATGATGCAGCAGGCTGCTCATCAGCATTCGCACTGGGGAACACAAAAACAAGAACAACTCGGCACACCATCCTACATGAAATCTCAGCTCCAGCCTACTAAGAGCCAGGTACAAAGCCTTCCCTCCGGGTCACACTCCGGCCACAATCACGTTGGACAACTTCAAGGTGATCAAGCTATTGCACAAATGATCCAACAGCTGGAGCAGCATCATATACATGAACAAGGAATGACTAGGCCGTGGTCTGGCATTGACTTTTTGGTGCACAGGCAAGCCCTGCCCTCACAATACCCACACCATTCTCCACCTAACTGTCCTCCTCCACCGCCTGCATACTACGACTACATGATGCAGATGCAACGACAGTGGCTTCACAGCCTCCATAAGCTACAGCAGATAGAGGCATCCTCATCGTCGCACCATTTGCCTCGTGGCAAAGGCCCAGCACAATCTTCACAAGATCCCTTGGCTTCTGAGCAGGTGAATAAATCGGACCCTAAAAGCCGGCAACCTCAAGAGGCCAGTGCCTCACAAACGCACCTCTCGCAATATGCGATTGACTTCTTGATGGAATCCGGACTAGTTCCCTTGAAGCTGCACCCGCTAGACACCAAGATCACACTATACTGGCGTGCTCCACTGACGATCGAAGAGCAGAATCTCGCTACTTTAGGTCTAGTCGCCAGCAATATGAATTCAGATCACAGGACCAGGCGCGCCTTGCCCACTCATCAGACATACTCGTCAATGCTCGCGACTCTGTTCGGCAACTTTTTCAAGGAAGTTGCACGTCCCCGAAACTTTTTTGAAAGCAGATTGTCGCAAAAAGCAGCGGCCATACTCAGGCTTGAGCTTCAGAATTTGGTTGCACGAGCAAAGCGCGAGGGTAATTTTGACGAGAGATATAAACCTTTCGAGACATTCTTGGAAGAACATGACAAGAAGCGGAAACAATACCTCGAGAGCAGAGCAAGTGCACAGAGGACTCATGAACAGAAGAGAAAGGAAAAGGGTCAGGTTCCTTCCGAAGAAATTTTAGCAGAGGAGACAAAGATCGTCCGGCCATAGGTCAGCGTCGGGCACAAATTTTTCAATTAGAGCTTCCCCGTCTCCCCTTCTTTCATGTTCCTTGCTCCTTTTTCGTACTAATGTCCACTTTCTGATCGAATTAATGGCCGTGACTTTTGCTATATTCTGGGCTAAAGAGAGGAATGAGAAAGCGAACGAGAGAGCGAGAAAAAGCGAAATGGTTGAGACGGAAGGAGACGGAGAAAGGCTTAGACAGGTGACGTGCCTAACTTTTATGCACACTGGCAGTGTTGTTGGCGAGAAGGAAGGTGCCATAGCTGCCAGAGGACCGGTAAAAAATGTGCGTGAGTGTATGCGCGCTGTGATCTCGGGGGCCCGCTTCACTGCAATGCCCTGACGAAACATTGTCGTGGCGGTGTTCTCGGTCAAATTGCTGAGCCAGCGATTGCAACAAATCCAACTTCACTTCGTCGTTATACTGGTCCGGATGTTGAGCGACGTATGGGCTCATTCCTCTACCATGTGAAGAACCTGGAGGACCTGGGCGAATAGGGCTATCAGAACGTAATCTGCCACGAAGAGAAGAGGGAATATACAGGGAAAAGAACTCGTCTGTATGCGACGCCTGGCTTATCTCTGGATTTCGTAATTGAGGACGTGCTTGAGGGCGTCCTTGAGGGCACCCTGGGCCTATTGCGCAGCGCAACAGGCGTGACGTGCTCCGGACGTCCGGGTCGGCAAACAAGACCCGAGAAACAGGGCGTAGTAAACAGGGCGAGCGAAAAGGAAATACACAGGTCGCCGGAGCGTCCAGGACGCCCCAGGGCCCAGACCCTACACGGCTGGGTCGCCTCGAGGAAATTTTCCTTAAGGTATAGGCGAGGTTTTTTTTCTAGGACTCAACCCCCTTCAGAAAGATAAGGCGACCTATATCCCAAGCTCAGCAGTCCAAAAGAATCTTTGAGATGCTCAGAGGCTGGGTATCCTTAGCTCTTCTTCTCCTCATTGCTGGTGCTGGCAGCACTGCTGCGAGCGGAGAGAACCACACAGGAAGGAGACGTCCTCTTAACGAACCACACACGTTAGACCTGACCTTGGGCTTGCCTCCCCATCATGAACAAACAAGCACCGGCTTTCAAGACGTTCCGGAAGGTCACCGCGGTACGTATGTGCATGACAACACCCGCCCATATCGCCGTCATGGGCAAAGCTCCTCGCACGAAGATCTAGAGGCCTCAAGGACGCCTTCAGCTTCTCACCGACAGAATTCGGTGGGGAGGAAGGGCCATGCCCGATTCAGACACAGAGGCGCACAACCAGGATCAGACGTCGAACAACCGCTTCCTTCTCAGGCATTTCCACAGTTTCAACACCCGTCCGCGTTCGATAGCTTTAAAGCACAAGAGTTTCTTGACCCGTCGATGCATGAGCAGATGACGGAGCAGGCTGCTCATCAGCATTCACATTGGGGAACGCAAGAACAGCAACTTGACATACCCTCCTATATGCGAACTCAACCCCAGCCCTTTCAAGGCCAGGCACAAAGTCTTTCCTCGGCGTCACATTCCGGCCACGGTCACGTTGGACAACAAGATGGTAGATTGTTCGCACAAATGATCGAACAGCTGGAGCAGCAGCATATACATGAACAAGGAATGACTACGCCAAGGTCTGGCAAAGCCCCTTTGACGCATGGTCAAGGCCAGCCCTTTCGACACCAACACCAGTCTCAGCCTCATTCTCCTCTTCCGCAACATGCAGAACACGACTACATGATGCAGATGCAACGACAGCGGCCTCATAGCCTCCAAGAAACATCCTCATCGTTACAACACTGGCCTCGTGACTGGAACTCAGCACAATCATCTCAAGGTCTTCTTGCTCCAGAGCAAGTGAACGTAGCGAAGCCTGAAGGCCAGCAACCTGAAAAGACCAGTGCCCCACCAACGCATCTCTCAGTGTATTGGACTGACTTTCTGATAGACTCTGGTCTCATTCCCCAGATTCCGCTCCCGGAAAGCGTAATCTTACTTCCAACACTACACTGGCGTGAACCAAACGCGGACGAAGCGAAAGCGATCGATAGATCGGCAAAAAAACCAAAAAACCCAAGAAACATATATAACGCGGAATCAGATTTTAGGAGAAAGAACGGCTTGCCCGACCACGACAATTACACGGAAGCGCTCAAAACTCTCATCGGCAATGTTTTCTCAGTCATTGAACGTCCCAGGGGCTCATTCGAAGTAGAATTGGCGCGAAGAGCAGCGTGCAAACTCGTTCACAAAATCGATGAGGTAGTCGGAGAGGCAAAAGACCAGGGCACCTCCGACTCCAGAATTGATTCCCTCAAAGACATCTTGGCTAGGCTAGAGACCAAGAGGCAGACTTATAAGAGAAAGAGAGATGCAACACTTTTGAAGTACAGCCAGAAAGCGAAGGCTCGCCGCGAAGGAGGGGCAGAGGGGAATTAGGTCATCCGATCACATTTCAACGTCACAGACGGAACCCTTTCTCTTTCCTGGTCTCTGCTCGAGTTCTGTACCAATGACAACCATCTGGTCGAAACAATAGTCATGACTCTTGTTATTGCTTGGTGTAAGCAAGCTGTCACCTGGACCAAACAGAGGCTGTCAATATGTAATCTGCAACGAAGAGAAGAGGGAAAAGACAGGGAAAAGGGCTCGCCAGTGTGCCTGGCTTATCTCTGGAATTAGTAGTTGGGGGCGTGCTTGAGCACCGGCTTGAGGACGCCCTGGACCTGTTGGGTAGATTAGCAGGCGATGGCGTGCTCTGGACATCCGATACGGCGAATAAGACCCGAGAACAGGGCCTAGTAAAGAAGGTGAGCGAAATAAACATGGGCGCGGGAAATAAACAAGGGCGAGTGAAAATAGGGAGTTCACAGGGATTCGGGGTGCCCAGGGCGCCCCAGGACTTTAACACACCGCGGCAGCAACTTTTTAAGGCAGTGATTTAGGTGACACTCTAGGACCCCAATCTCCTCAGGAAAGAGTTCCCACCTACATCCCAAGCTCAGCAGTCAAAGGAGGATTTCACCATGCTCAGAGGCTGGGTGTTCCTGCTCCTTCTTCTCCTCATCGCTGCCATTGGCAGCAAAGCGGCAGGCGGAAGCGGACGTAGTGGAAGGAATCGTGCTGGTAGCGACTCGCTCCCATTCGACCTGAACTTGCCTTACCACCCTCAAGAACCAGAACGCGGCTCTCAGGACATTGCCGAAGGTCAATCCAGCACGTACTTGCACGGGGATGCTCACACACCACGACATTATGGGCAGGGCTCCTCGCATGAGGACTTAGAGGCCTCTTTGGCGCCTTCAGCTTCTCACCGACAGAATCCTGAGAGGACGAAGCGTCATGCCCGACTCAGACACAGAGGCGCACAACGGGGATCAGACATCGAACAGTCGCTTCCTTCTCAGGCATTTCCACAGTTTCAACACCCGCCCGCGTTCGATAGCCATGTTCTTCAACCGTCGATACACGAGCAGATGATGCAGCAGGCTGCTCATCAGCATCCACATTGGGGATCGCAAGGACAACAAATTGACGTACCCTCCTATATACAACCTCAATTTCAAAGCCAGGTACAAAGTTTTCCCTCGGAGTCACACTCTGGCCACGGTCACATTGGACAAACTCAAGATGGCCGAGCTTTTGCACATATGTTACAACAGCTGGAGCAGCAGCAGCAGCCTGTCAACGAAAAAGGAATGACTGAATCATGGTCTGGCAAAGCGCATTTGACGCATAGTCGAGGCCAAGCTTTTCAACACCAATACGAGTCTCAGCTCTACTATCCTCCCCCCACACCTGCACACCAGGACTACATGATGCAAGTGGAGGATCAGTGGACTCGTAGCCTCCATGAACTGCAGCGCATAGAGGCATCATCGTTGCACCACTTGCCTCGTGGCCAGGACTCAGCACAATCATCTCAAGGTCTCTATGCTCCAGAGCAAGTGGATGTAGCGGAGCCTGAAGGCCAGCAACCTGAAGAGACCAATGTCCCACCAACGCACCTCTCGCAGTATGCCACCCAGTTTGCGACTGAAATTTTGAGAAAATCAGGCCTTTATCCCCAGGCCCCGCCCCAAGACAGTTGGACCAAACGTCCAATACTACGCTGGCGTGCTCCATTACCGAGCGAAGAGGAAGCGATTGATAGGATGAGAAACAAAGAAAAAATGATCGATAGGAGGAGAGAGAAGAAAAAGTTAATGAGTTTGGATTCAGACCGTAGGAGAAAGGGCGGCTTACCCGATCACTACAATTACACGGTGGCACTCAGACGTCTGATTGGCGACTTTTTCTCAGAAGTTGAACGTCCTGGTGGCGCTTTCGAATTCGAATTGGCGCAAGCCGCAGCGGGCACACTCGTTCACGAAATAGAGAAGGTAGTCGAAGAGGCAAGGAACCAGGGCACCTCCGACTCCAGAATTCAATTTTTCAGTGACTTCTTGGAAAAACTCGACACGAAGAGGAATAGCTTCAATAGTGGCAGAGAAGCGATTGATGTGAGGCAACGCCTGAAAGGGAAGAATCCCCGCGACAAAAAAAAGGGAGCAGAAGAGCCATAAGTCGTCCGATCGGATCTTAGCGCCACGGGCGCAAGATGATCTTGGAGGGGTTGCACGTTACCTTTCCTTCAAGGTTTTTGCTTGTGTTCCGTAATAATGACAACATCTTACCGAAATAGCAGTTGTGACTCTTGCGATAGCTTGGCCCAAAAGGAGAAGCAAGAGAGGGAACGAGATTGGGAACGAGAGAGAGCGAGAGAGAGCGAGACGGAAGGAGACAGGGAAAGGCTAGAATAGGTGGCGTGCTCTCCCACAGGCGAGTAAAATTCTTGAGGACATACTGTATCCAAAAGTAATACAAAAAGCCTTTAAACAGAGCGTAGAACTCGCGGCGTTACCATCGAAGCGCTTCACTGTCAGCACAGGAGAGGTGCACTGTGCATCGAGCGAAGACGTTTTGCGTTGCAAAGGGCACACTAGCACCGTTGATGAATAGTAAAGGAACTGCCACAGCTCCCAGAAGGTCCACTAACAATGGGCGTAGGTGTATGTGTGCTGTCAAGTCGGTGCTTTCGCCGTTGTACCCTGACAAAATATTCTCGTGATGGTGTTATCGGATTCCCCGGTCAATATACTACGTCAATGATCAAAACAACGACAAGTCACTACAGCACTGCACAGCCCGGACCTTACGGGACTTCCGGCAGTTTGGCCGAGTCACGGCTGAGGAGATTGAGTCCTTGCCAAAGGTTTTAAAGCGAGGGACTTTTCTAGACCCACCCTCTTCAGGTACAAATCCCACCTATATCCTCCAAAGCCCAGTTGTCTAAAGAGGACTGTACGATGCTCAGAAGCTGGATTTTTCTAGCTTTTCTTCTCCTCGTCGTTGTCGTTGGCAGCAATGCGGCAGACAGAAGCGGACGCAGAGGAAGGAATCGTCGTAACGACGGACGGCGCCCGCTCGACCTGAACTTGCCTTACGACCCTCAAGAAGAAGATACTACCTCTCAGGACACTGCCGAAGATCAATTCAGCACGTATTTGCACGGATATGCTCACACACCACGCCATCATCCGCAGGGCCTTTCGCATGAGGATCCATACATATCATCGACGCCTTTAGATCACGAGGCTGCATCGCCTTCACCAGCTTCCCGCCGACGCAAATCAAAGCTGACGCAACGTGCCCGAGGAGAGGGATCTTCGGCGACCCAAGAAGGTAATCTGACACAAGGCCACCACCAGCCACTCTCCCACCCAATGCATACACAATTTCCGGAGCTATCCTCGCTGGACAGTCACACAGCACAAATGATGCAGCAGCAGATGATGCAGCAAGCTTCTCATCAGCAGTCACATTGGGGAACGTACGAACAGTACCAAACTGGCATTTCCCCGTATATGCAAGCTCAACCCCATCATCTTCAAGGCCAGGAACGGATTCATCACTCGGGATCATACTCTGGCCACAATCAATTTGCTCAAGTTCCAGGTGATCTGAACTACGGGCAGCTTGCTCAACAAATGGAGCAGGAGCACATTCACGAACATGGGTCCACTCAGCCATGGTCTCGTAATACCCCTTTGATGCACAGTCAAGGCCAGCCTCATGGCCAGAGCTCAGCACAATCATCGCAAGATCCCTTCGCTTCAGAGCAAGGGATTGAAGAGAGGCAAGGAGGCGGGCAATCTGACTCGGCCAATCCCTTCTTTTTATACCTCCCGCAAGGTGCGGCTGAATTTTTGGTGGAGTCTGGACTTTTACCTGCGCATCCGCACCAATTCCTTCCTTTCACCTTACACTGGCGTCCTCCCGCTTCGACAGATGAGCACAATCTCGCTGGAAAGCCACCATACTCACATAATACGGATAGTTATCATAGGCGCATGATTGGATTGCCCGACCATGACACATACTCTTCGGCGCTCAAAGATCTGGTCGGCGACTGTTTCCTCAGCATTGCACGTCCTCAGAACGGTCACGAAAGCACATTGGCGCTAAGCGCAGCGTCACACTTGAGGCATAAGTTCGAGGCCTTGGTTGCACAAGATGCACGTAAAGAGCACGATGACCATGTCGACGAGAGAGACAATCCTTTCAAGCACTTCTTGCGTGAATTAGACGGGAAGCGGGCTAGTTTTTCAGATCGTAGAGAAGAAAGAAATCAGAGGAGGAGACGTTCGAAAGGACAGGATTCCTCCGATTAGGAGGCGGCAGAGGAGACAAGGAAATGTTGTTCGTCCGGTCAGAATTGGCGTCACAAACACAAGTTCGCGTCAACTTTTCCCTCCTCTTCTTTGCTCGTGTTCCGTATTAATGACAAGCCTCTCTTCGAAGTCAGCGTCGTGACTCTTACTAAGCCCTGACTAAAATAGAATGAGAGAGAGAACGAGGGAGAAATAATGACCAAAAGAGACGGCGTGCTGTCCAATAAACGAGTGAACTTCCCGGGGCCTTGAGTAGACACAAGCCCCAGGCAGGATGTATGTCTACCGGGCTGTGCTCCTGGCGGGCTGTGCTACTGGCCTGCTTGAGAGTCCTGTGAGATTGCCTCAACAGCTTTTCTCTCGTCGTCCACAATCTCCTCAAGCACGCCATGCGTCCTATACTTCTATATGCCTACAGTGCCCTCCTCGTTGCGGTCAATGTCGTTGTTGCCTCCCCCTTCAACAACGCATCGCCGCACATTGAAGAAGGCTCGCTGCAAGATTCCCAATCTGTGACACTTCTCTCTGAAAGAGGACCAGAGCGTCGATCTGATCCTTTCGATCTGCTTTTGAAAGCTGTGGAAGCCGTTGAAAAGCAAGATCCTACTCTCACCGCTACGAGTGGGTCTGGACCTCTCCGGCAGAATCAACACCTACGTCGTCAAGATCCTCGAATGCTTCGAAAGCTGGCGACAACAGATATAGGTTCATCGAATGCTGATGGAGCTGTTGCTGCTCCGCAGAGAAGGAAGCGCGTGTTTAAGCCATCGGGACCTCGACAGGGCAGCGAGAGGCCGGAAGGCCGTTTCAAGTTTGCAAAAAAAGGACATATGGGGGCTTCGACGGACCGATCCACTACTGAAGAAGCGAGTCTGACACTCTATCGGATGAAGGGGAGGGACAAAGGGCGGCGAAAGAGAGAAGGGCTCCCTACACGTACAAGCCAGAAGTTGATGGAGGATATGATGGACCCTACACGCTCCGTCAGTACTACCGACTTCGTTACCGATGAAGAATTTAAGAAGTATAGAAACGCCGCCAAAGAGACTCTGGAGGCTTTCAAGGCATACTGCGCTCATTTGCAGTCCTCAAGTCCTGATTCGAACGATGTGAGATGGGCAAGAGAAATATTGGATGATGCCCTTTCTCGAGAAGCGGAGAGAGTCAACGACGGACACAAGAGAAGGCCGCGGCGAACGGACGATGATTGGAAAGGATCGCATAAAGATTTCAATTATGATAGGAACATCCGTTATCGTGTTGGTCTACCGACCAGGACTCAACAAGTTCGACTGGGCAAGCTTCTTCATGGCGAAGATTTCGAACGAAACACACGGCCGTCTACCGTGGAAGGTGGCAAAGAACTTCGCAAAGAAGCTTATGATCTTCTAGAAGAAGCCGTGGCTTATCTTGACAACCAAATCGATGAGGGTTTGACGGAAGAGAGCAAGAAAAGGGCGAAAATAGCCGAAATAGTGACGAAAGCGCGGGCACAATCTGTGAAGGTGAAAAAATATTCTCAGAAGGGAAAGGAGAAGACATCCACATGGAAGCATCAGCAGAAGTAGGACTCATCCAAGATGTGAAGACCCCCGCCTGATTTTTACTCATCCCCTTTGATGACTATTCTCTACTCGTCCTACTTGTCTTACCTGCTCTTCTTTATTTTTTCAAGTCCATCTCTTCTACGGCTGATTGCCTAGAAGGGATGCCGTGAGGTTTCGACCGTGCTAAAAAAGCACATCATCTCCAGATTCAGCCGAAAAATTCAGCCCCCGGACTTGAGCGAGCCTGACCAATCCTATAAATAGCCCAGACTCTTGAAATCTCTACTACTAGACCAAACCCAGCTGACAGCAGCGCCTGCGACGCGTGGTTTGGCCTCCTCTACAGTATTGCCTGCTCGGTCCGAGGTCTGCACCGAGCCGTATAAGTCGCCCAGGCTGACATCTGCTCGGTCCGAGCTCGGTGCAGATGCATCTGACGTTTGCTCGGTTCCTACTTCTGCGCAGCCATCAAGACACCCCTAGGCTGTTCCCTGCTCTGACCAAATTTGACACGGAGTCATCGAGCCCCCTCGGGGTGCTGCTTGGCCATTCGAGCCCTGCGCAAAGGTTCAAAGCCCCTCAAGGCTACTGCATGCTCGGTCCGAGGTCTGCGCCGAGCTTACGTTAGGAACGCCAGGGGCTGAGGGCGCTTCAAGGTATGAGACACACCTTGAGCGCTCTTGACAACGCTCTTCCCTCCACTTGTCTCTACATAAGGTAAATAGCTGAGCTGCGCGATCCAATTTCACCTGTCTCCTCAGATAAGATGTTGGTCATCTCCCTCTTCGTATTCTTCCCTCTCTTCGTTGCGGCAGCTCCAGCAAGCGAAAAGGGCAAGGGCCAGGCAGTCCGTCTGCAGTCACCAGCGTCGACGAGATCGGATGAATCACAGTATCTTGATCTTGAGCTCAGTCTGGGTCCTCAAAGAATCTCGCACCGTGACTTTACCAACGGAAGCCGCAGCCACGAACAGACTGAGCACATAGGCTCACAGCTTCGATCAGCGTCACACAGACAATCTTATCCCCAGTTCGAATCTTATGGCCATCAGGGCGGTGCACCTCACCAGACGGATGGGAACTTCCTCTCTCACAGTGGTCTGGCCCCTAAGCCACATGCTCAACAGCAGATTGATCCCCGTTTCAATCCTTCCAACAACTTCAACCCTTGTCCCCAACTCAACCCTTGTCCCCAATTCAACCCATATTCATATCTCAAGCCTTATGGGCACCCAATCGATGCTGCTCACCAAGCGCCAGGTCCCTATGACCACGTGCTGGGTACTTCGCAAAATTACAAATTGCTTTCACAGATGTATGAACAGCACCACAAGCATGGACCCCCCCATATATCCAGCCAGGATACTCGCCAGCAGATTCAACCGCAGTATCAACATGGATATCAACTCGAACAATATCTTCAATCGTGGCAACATAACACGGCTTCTTCAGAGAGCATTTGGCAACAGTTTCAAAGCCTACAAGCTCAGGAAGGCCCTGAAAGCTTATTCGGCAGTCGGGGCTGGGCCTCAGGCTCTTCGGGGTACCAAGCTCATGTGGCTCAAGGCCAACACGAAGCGTACGGAGCGGAAGAAGGCTCAGATAGGACAAGGAGAAAAGGAAAGCAGGTACTTCAGGGAGAAGGCTCGGCACCCCGAAGAATGCACGTTCTGTCAGACGCGGAGGAGTGTGTGCTCCGTCACCTTCCAACAACGGCTCGAAACATGCCAACCTCCGACTCAGTGCAGACGATGGTTTCAGTTCTGTCCAATCCCCGCGACAAGAATCTTATTGAGAGGCTAAAGACACTTCGTCTGGACTACTGGAGAAATCGCGATCAAAGGCGCCGAGGCTCTTTCGGATTTCCTACTCGGACTCAACAGAGAGATCTCTTGGCACTCTTTGGCAAATGGATGCAACAAAACACATCCCTTCCTGAGCCAGTCAGAGAAGAGGAGTTCGACGAACAGTTCGAGCAAGCAAATTGGCTTCTCACAAGCGCGTTCTGTGCAGCTCATCAAATTGGACTTTCACTCGATCCAGCGGAGCGTGAATTTCTCACAGCACTCTTCGAGAAACGAGGGAAGGCCTTGTTAGCATCACCAAACCCGGAAAAGGAACGTAGAAGAAGAGAAGGTCAACAAATGCGAGAGAGGTCACTCCTGCCCAGCGAAGAGGAAGAGACGTGGTTGAAAGACACTTTTCGAGCTGAGGCTTCCTCGAGATACAACGACCAGGACGAAGGTGAAATAAGGTGGAGAAGGCTGTCTGCACTCCTCACGCTCGCTATGGGAGCTTTTGAATTCAACCAGCCTCCGATCACGGAACCTACGCGGGTGAAGCTGAGACACATTTTCCAGAATATTGTGGTCGGAAGGGAGCACGAAATGCAGCTTAGAAAGGAAGGCGCAGAGAAAAACAGTCGCCGAGGTCTTATCAACATCTCGAACTGAACAATCCTGGGACGTTGCGGCAACAAGATACTCAAAGGTTCTACAAACGCCTACGGTACACTGGCAGACGTCAAATGCAGACGGATCAATGAAATATCTACAACATAGCTCTTCTCTGAATCTTCGTCTCGCTCTTACTCCCTGTCGTCCCTCTTCCCTCCCCTGTCTCCTAGCTCCGCCTGTCATTCGTCCAATTCGCCTTCGCTTTAGGTCTGGGGGCATCTCATCATCGCCTTTATCCCCAGTCATAAGCAAATATCAGTATATAAGCGTTCACACCCTCCTCTCAGCTACGGCAAGGTCTCTAATCATCACGACCATCGACTGCCAGGCCTTCATATCTTTTCACATTCTTGTCAATGAAATGTTCCAATTTGTGCATGGAGCCACCATTTGTTTCGCCGACTCATCAACCTCCTTCCGGCTGCTCCTGGCTGGACCTAGTGATCGCACAGAATTCAAGTCTCCCTAGGCTCTTGCGTTCTCGGTCCGAGGTCTGCGCCGAGGTGTTATTTACTCTCGGCTGACATCTGCTCGGTCTGAGATCTGTGAAGACATCAAAGGGCACTCGAAGGCTGAAGCTTTTACTTGGTCCCAGTCTGCGCAATTATTGAGACTATCCTGGGCTGTTGCTTGCTCGGAGCGAGTTTTTTTCGCCGACTCACCAAGCCCCATTCGGCTGCTCCTAGGCTCTTGCGCGCCTGGTATGAGGACTGCACCGAGTCTTACTCCATATACCGAGACCACTTGGGGATGCAAGACGCAGCTCGAGCGCTCTTGACATTCTTTCCCTTCAAGCCGTCTCAACGCACGTCTCTGCATAAAGGGAGCCACTTAGCAGCGCGACCCCATGTCGCCTATCTCGGAGAAGGAGAAACTCGGAAAGATGCTGGTCTTCTTTCTCTTCGTACTTTTTTCCCTCTTCGCCGTGGTAGCTCCAACAAAGGAAAAGGGCAAGCGTCAGCTAGCCCGTTTGCAGTCACCAGCGTTGCCAAATCCGGTAGAATCACCAGATTCAGATCTCGATCTCGAGCTCAGTTTGGGTCCTCGAAGAGACTCGCAGCGTGACTCTACTCACAGAGGTCGCCACCATGAAGCGACTGAACACACAGGCACACAGTTTCGATCAGCGTTACACAGAGCGTTTAAACCTGAGTTCTATGGCCATCAAGGCGGTGCACCTCGCCACACGGATGAGTACTCCTCCTCTCACAGTGATCTGGCGCCTGAGACACACGCTATCCAACATTTTGGTACCCGTTTCCATCCTTATTCCAATCTCAACCTTTATCCCCAAATCAACTTATTTCTCCATCCCGGTTCTTTTGGACACCCAATCGGTCCTATTCACCGTCAAGCGACAGGTCTCAATGACGACATGCTACGTCAAACGCAGAACTATCAACGGCTTCAACAGCTGTATCAACAGCACGACAAGTCTCACTTCGCTACTTATACTCAAGCTAGTTCCAACCTTCCAGCTAGCCAGCACATTCGCCCGCAGAATGATCCACAAATCCATCAGGGACATCAACACGAAGAGGATCCCCAATCGTTTTCCCAATCGTTGCAGCTTCACACGGCTTCTTCAGAGAGCATTTGGCAACATTACCAATGCCTTGTAGCTGAGGAAGGCGCTGGCAGTTCAAGTGGCAGTAGAGGCTGGGACTCGGGCTCTTCGCGGCACCAAGCTTACGTACTGGCGCAACACGAAGCAGACGGGACGGAGCAAAGCCACGATAGGGCAAAGAAGAAAGGAAAGCACGTACTTGAGGGAGACGGCTCGGCAACTCCAGGAATGCACGTTCTGTCAACCGCGGAGGAATTTGTGCTCCGTCATCTACCTACAACCGCTCCAAAAAAGCCAGCCTCTGGCGCAGTGGGGACCTTGGTTTCAGTTCTGTACAAACACGAGGACTTATTCGCAATCCAGACGCTAAAAGAACTTCGTCTGGAATATTGGAGAAATCGCGACAAAAAGGATCGAGGCAATTTCGGCTTTCCCACTCGGACTCAACAGAGGGACCTCTTGGCGTTCCAGAGCAGATGGACGCAGCAAGTCGAACCTTTGCCTGAGCCAGAGACAGAAGAAAAGTTTGACGAGCAGTACGAACAAGCAAAAGAGCTTGTCAATTTTGCCTTAGCTGCAGCTCTTCAAAGTGATAAGCCACTCTACCAGGAGGAACGTGATTTACTCATGACGGTTCTCGAGAGACGAAAAAAGGCCCTGAAGGAATTATCAATGCCGAAAAGGCATTATAACAATAGGAACGATCAACAAAAACGAGACAGGTCACTCCTACCCCGCAAAGACGAAGAGACGTGGTTGAAAAGCACTTTCGAAGCTGCGTCTTCCTCGAAGGACAACGAAGAGGATGAAGGTGAAAAGAAGTGGAAGAGGTTGTCTGCACTCCTCACGCTCCGATGAAAGCTTTTGAGTTCAACCAGCCTCCGATCACGAAATTTCAACGGATGAGCCTGAGACGAATGTTTCTGGAGACAGTGGCCCGAAAGAAGCATCAAAATCAGCTTAAAAAAGTTGGCACAGGGAAAAAAAGTCACCGATAAGTGATTGTTGCTGAGACGTAGCGGCAAATTTGAAGCTGCACAAGAAGTTCTCCGAAAGCCCAGAGCACACAGGCAGACGTCAGATGTGGCCAGCGCAATCATGTATGTATCTACAGTACAAGTCCACCACAGCTCTGCTCTAAAACCTCGCCTCTCTCTTTGTCCCTCCCAATCCGCCTCCTTTCCTCTAATTTATGTTCCTTTCTTGTTGTTTTCTGTTGTGTTTTTGTGTGTGCGTGTGTGTTTTTTGTGTGCTTGTTTTTGTGTGTTGTTTTTGTTTTTGTTTTTGTTTTTGTTTTTGTTTGTGTTTTTTTTATTAAATTTTATAGCTACGCTTGTTTCATAGCTCCGCTTGTCTCATAGCTCCCCCCTTTTTTTATTTTTTTTTTATTTTTTATTTTTTTTTTTTTTAGCTCCGCTTGTCGTTCGTCCAATATGCCTTCGCTTTAGGTCTGGCGGCACCTCAGCATCGCCTCGATCCGCAGGCTCAGGCAGACATCAGCTTGTAAGCGCCCACATCCTCCTCTCTGCTACGGCGAGGTCTGTCGTCATCACGACTTCGACTGCCAGGCTTTCGTATCTGTTGACGTTCTTGCCAATGAAATGTTTGAATTTGTGCACAGAGATACAGTGTTTTTTTCCGACTCATCAAGCCCCATCCGGGGCTGCTTCCGGCTAAATCAGAAGATTGCGCAAAATTCAAGGCCCCTCGAGGCCATTGCATGCTCGGTCCGAGGTCTGCACCGAGTCGTCAGCTACTCTAGGCTGAGGTCTGCTCGGTCCGAGCTCTGTGAAGACATCAAAGCGTCCTCTAAGGCCAAAACTTCCTCTGTGCTAGCCTTGCGCAGTCATTGAGATTCTCTTGGGCTGATACGAGTTTTCTCGCCGACTCATCAGATCCCATCTGGCTCCTCCTGGCTGAATCAGGAGCTTGCACAGAACGCAAGGCTCGCCTAGGCTCTTGCGCGCTCGGTCCGAGGTCTGCACCGCGTCTTACTCCAGATACCGAGAGCGCTTGGGGATGTAAGATGCGACTTGAGCGCTCTTGACAAAGTTTCCCTTCAAACCGTCTCTACATGATAGGGATCACTACATAAAAGGAACCACTAAGCAGCACGACCCATTGTCGCCTTCCTCTCAGAGCAAGAAAGAAACCTGCAAAGATGCTGATCTTCTGTCTCTTCGTGGTCTTTGCTCTCTTCACCGCGGCAGCTCCGACAAACGGAAAGGGAAAGGGCCAGCTAATCCATTCGCAGCGACAAGCATTACCGGAATCAAGTGAACCACTAGATCTCAATCTTCGGCTCAGTCTGGGTCCTCCAAGAGACTCGCACCAAGATTCAAATCTCAGAGGTCGGCTTCCTGAAGTGACTGAGCACACCGACACACAGCCTCGATCGTCATTTTTAAATTCAGTTTATCCTCAATTCGATCCCTATGGCCATCAGGGCCATGTTGCTCGCCAGACGGATGGGCACTTCTTGTCTCACAGTGGTCTACCTTCTCAGCCACAGGTTCCCCAGCAAATCGATCCCCATTTCAACCCTTATCCGCATTTCGACCAAAAGCCCCATTTCGCCCCATCTCCTCATTTCGACCCACCTCCTTATGCCAGCTCTTACTCCCATCCCGCTTCTTATGGAAAGACAGGGGTCCAACAATCGCGGCAACGTGACACGCATGCTGCAAAGAGTGCTCGGCAATATTACCAAAGCCTTCAAGCTCAGGAAGGTTCTGCTGCAATGATGCGGGCGGAAGAGGACCTCGGGCGACATGTATCGGGTCATTGGAGTTCTGGCAGCTTGTCGGGCAAAAGGGCTTGGGCCTCTGGCTCTACAGTCTCCCAAGCGCTGGTGCAACACGAAGCGGAAGAAACAGGACGAGGGAACAACAGGGCAAAAAGAAAAGGGAAGCGCGTTCTTCAGGGACCACGCTCGGCAACACCACAAATGCACGGTCAATCAGCCGCGGCGGAGTCTGTACTCCCTCGACTGCCTGCAAATGCTCCAAATTTGCCAACTTCGCATGCAGTGCCGCCGGGCTATATAGAGGTGTCCAGTCTCGACGACGAGGACGTCTTTCAATATTTGAGAAAACATCGTTTTAACTATTTGAAATTTCGCGACAGAAGTCGACGATTCTCTTGCGGCCTTCCTGATCGACGAGAGCAGGAACGACTCTTGAAGCTCAGGAACAAATTTACAAATCGAAACGAATCTCTCTTTATACCAGGAACTGAAGAAGAGCTTCAAACCCAATTTCAGCAAGCAAAAGAGCTTCTCGAGTACGCACGATCCGAACTCTCGCAAAACCCGGAGCGACTCAACCGTGCGCAAAAGAAGTTGATCTCAAAGGTTCTCGGAAAGCGAGACGCAGCCTTGAACACGCGCATAGAGAGGAAGTGCGATGATGCAACGAGACAAGCTACACAAAGACGAGATATTGCTCTCATGCCCAGCAAAGACGAAGAAAAGTGGTTGAAAAGCACTTTTAGAGATGTTGAGATTGGCCGGACGGACGACGCCGCGGAGGACGAAGCCGGAAAAAACTGGGAGAAGATGTCTTCCCTTCTCAAGCTCGGGATGGACGCTTATAAGTTCAACAAACTTGCGATTTCGTCGAATACTCGCGAGATTTTGAGAATAATGTTCCGGAACATAGTGGCCCGAAAGCTGCACCAGATCAAGATGGGCAATCACGCCGAGGAGTGAGGGTACTTTGAATTGATGCTGAGACGTAGCGGCGAGTTCGATACCATACGAAAGAAATTTTGCGAACGCCCACGGTACACTCATAGACGTCGAATGCAGCCGGGCCAGTGATATATCTACAACATCACCATAGCTCTTCTCTGAATCTTCGCGCCTCTCTTCCTCCCTCCTCCCTTTCTCTCTCCTAGTTCCGCTTGTCGTTCGTCCAATCCGCCTTCGCTTTAGCTCTGGGGGCACCTCTGCGTCGCGTCCATCTGGAGGCTCAGGCAAACATCAGCTTGTAAGCGCTCACATCCTCCTCTCTGCTACGGCAGGGTCTGTAATCATTACGACCATCGACTGACAGGCTTTCGTATCTCTTGAATTTCTCGCCAGTGAAATGTTCCGGTTTGTTATTAGAAAAAACAGTGCGAGAAGGCTTGACACCTGAGCAAACAGGGTCTACCAGAACGTCTTCTGCGACGAAGGAAAAAAAAAACGAGAGTATAGGAAAGAAAGCTTGTCATTTAGGCAGGCGTCGCAGTTCGACGCCTGGCTTATCTCTGCAATTCGTGCAACGGGGCGTGCTTGGTGGCTCGCTTGAGCGCCTGCCTGAGGGCATGTCAGGGCGCACTGAGCCTGCTACACAGCACAACAGGTGATGGCGTGCTCGCGGATGTCCGGCACGGCAAACATTCTCGAAAAAGAGGGCCCTGTAGACAGGGCGAGCGAAATATATGTGGGCGCGAGAAACAAAGAAGGGCAAGCAAAGATAGGGAGTACACAGGGAATCGGGGAGTGTAGAACGCCCCGGGACCCCGATATACAGACCATCAGAGAAAGCACGACAGGCATCTTTGCCCCTTCAAAAGCTTTCTCCTCGACACGCATACTTGCCCTGAGCTCTGCGCAGTCGTTGAGACTCTGCCACGCTGTTACTTGCTCGGACCGAGTTTATTCGCCGACTCGTCAAGCTCCATACTGCTGCTCGCAGAACGCAAGGCTTCCGTAGGCTCTTGCGTGCTTGCACCAAGGTCTGCACCGCGTCTTACTCCAGATCCCGAGAGCGCTTGGTGGCGTATGACGCAAGTTGAGCGCTCTTGACGGGTTTCCCTTCCCTTCAAAATGTCTCTACATAAAGGGAAAGGGGGCGACCTAGTGTCGCCTTTCTCTCAGTGTATCAAGCTCGAAAAGATGCTAGTCTCTTTTTTCTTCGTGGGCTTCGCTTTCTTCGCAGCGGCTGCTCCACCAAGAGGAAAGGAGAAGATTCAACCAGCTGCTTCACAGCCACCAGCGTCGTCGGGATCTGCTGAGTCACTAGATCTTGATCTTAGACTTGGACCTGCTTCTCAAACAAATTTGTACCATGGCTCTACCTCCGGACGTCACCGCCATGAAGTGACCGAGCACGCAAACACACAGCTTCGACCCTCGTCACACAGACAGCCTTATCCTAGGTCCGACCCCCATGTTCATCAAGGTGATGAAGCTCGCCAAACGAATGAGTACCTCTCCTCTCACAGTCGTCAGGCACCTCAGCCACAATTCCCCCAGCAATTTGATCACCAATTCAGTCCCTACTCTAATTTCGATCCTTATCACCATTTCGACCCTGATCCACATCTCACTCCTCATGGACACCAATTCGGTGTTGTTCACCCCCAAGCGCCAGGTCACTATGAAGACTTGCCGAGTCATTCGCAGAACTATCAATGGCTTCGCCGGCTGCATCAGCTGTACGACAAGCCTCAATACGCTGCCCATACGCAAGCAAGGTCCAACCTTCCGATTAGCCAGCACGTTCGCCCGCAGAATGAACCACTTTTTTCTCACGGGCATCAATTCGAACAGGGTCCTCATTCGTGGCAGTATGGTACGCCTTCTTCAGAAAGCATTTGGCAATATCACCAAAGCCTTCGAGCCCAGGAAGGCATTGCTGGAATGATGCGAGCCGAAGACGACATCGAGCGACATGGATCGGATCGTTTTGGAAATGTTGGCTTGACTGGCAGCAGAGCTCAGGGCTCGGGTTCTTCGAGGTATCAAGGTCATTTGCAGGCGCAACATAAAGCGGGTGAAGCGGAACAAAGTCACGAAAGAGCAAGAAGAAAAGGAAAGCGTGTACTTCAGGGAGAAGGCTCGGTAACCCCTGGGATGAATGATCAGCCAGCCGCGGAGGAGCATATGGTCCGTCACCTACCCCCAACGGCTCCAGAGAGGTTGGACCCCTATGCATCGTGGCCGCGGTCTTCAGCTCCTCAAGACGATAGCATTCTTCAAGCCTTGAAGGAATATCGTCTGCAATACTTCAGAAATCGCGACAGATATCGTCGAGGCTATCTCGGCCTTCCTGCTCGACTTGAACAAGCAAAACTCTTAGAGCTCAGGAACAGATGGGTTCAAGAAAATGTTTCTTTACCTGAACCAGTCACTGAAGAAACATTCAGAGAACAACGCGAGCAAGCAGCAGACCTTGTCGAGTTCGCGAGGTTCGTATGTCAGCTACACAGGGACGTTCTCACAGATACGCAAGAAAAAAAGTTCCAATCGATTATTGCACGACGAGACAAGGCCTTGGTAAAACTCATGCGGAAAAACCGTGACTGTGAGGCAAAAGAATGTAATACAAGGCGAGTGTCGTCACTTTTGCCCAGCACAGGCGAAGAGGAGTGGTTGAAAGAGACTCTTGGTGGAGAAATCAAGACCCTCTCGATGGAGAACGAGCTGAACGAAGCCGAAACAAAATGGGAGAAGCTCTTTGCACTACTCAAGATGGCGATGGAAGCTTATGAGTTCAACCAACCTGCAATCACGCCCGATACGCGGGAAAAGCTGGGACTAATGTTCTACAACATAGTGGTCCGAAAGGAGTACGAAGTGCAGCAAGAGGAGTTGCGCAAGGCATTGTGGCCTTGATGTTCTGCCGTGCCTCAACGCTGCATGGAAGAGGTTTCGCGCACACCCACTGTATACGGGCCGACGTCAGATGCAGCCGGCGCAACGATGTTTACAACACAACCATAAACTGAATCTTCTCCTTTCTCTTTCTAGGTCCAGTCCTCTTCTCCTTCTCTATCTACTAGTACCAATCACCGTTCAGCTTGAACGTCTTTGACGTAGTTCCGGGAGCATACCAGCAGCGTATCCATCCGCAGACTCAAGCAAACATCAATATATAAGCGCTCGCACGCTCCTCTCTGCCAGGGCAAGGTCTGTAAGCATCACTGCCATCGGCTGCCACGCTTTCAGAACTGTCATTATCCTTGTCAATGAAATGTCTCGATCTGTGCAGTGTACCTAGAGAAAGCACGACAGGTGTGATTGAAGAAGTTCTTCGATTCAAAAGGGAGGACTCGTTTACTGTACTGTACAGTACTGTACTGTACAGTACAGATTCAGGAATTCGCCACAGGAATCTTTGCCCCTTCACAAATTTACTCCCCGACACGCGTATTTGCCTCGAGCTCTGCGCAGCCATTGGAACTCTGCTTGGCTGTTGCTTGCTCGGATCGAGTTTACTCCAGCGCCTCATCACTCACCGGCTGCGGCTTGCCCGGTCCGAGTTCTAAATACGGACGTGAAGATAAGCTGTTGTATGCTCGGTCCGAAGTCTGCTCCGAGACCTGCCCCTTAACCCGAGGGCGTCCCGAGGCGCAATGCACGCCCCTCAATGACGCTGGTAGACTCCAAGCTACCAAGCCATCCCTACATAAAGGGAATCGCTGAGCAGCGCAAACCACTCTTTGTCTTTCACTCAAACCACCTCGACATGGTGCTTCTCTTTTTTTTCTTCATAGTCTTCGCTTTGTCTGCAGCGGCTGCTCCTCCGAAAAGGGTAGAGCACACGAGTCAGACCCCGCAGTCACCAGCAGCGTTGCCGAACACAGCTACATCATTCGATTTTCCTTTTGGCCTTGGTTTCCAAGACGACTTGTATAGTGGAATATCGCCTGGCCATCACTATGATGGAGATTCTGAGCACACGGGCTCGCAGCTTCCAGCGCCTCACCAACAGACCCATCCTCGGTCCGACCCGAGTGATTATCAGGGTCACCTCGATCCCCATCGCAGGTTCGAGTACTATTCCTCGCAAGCCTATCCACAACACCCCCAGCAAGTCGTGTCTCAATCCGATATTTACCGACATTCAGGCGGTATTCATCAACTCCAAGCGCCAGGAACTTTAGGCATGCAGACAAATGAGGGTCACCAACCGCTTCATCAGCTGTATCAACAGAATGAGCGTCAATCCATCCCCCAGGATCGTCCTATTGGCTTGTACGGTGCGATAATGGAGCAGGCTCGCGCGCAAGTTGACCCAGAGTTTCGCCAGCGCTATCAGCGGCAGCATCGGCATCAAGTCGGCTCTCAAAGTCCTCCAGCTAGCTCCTACCAGCCGTCTGTCGAGTACGCTCACTCGCAAAGTGCCCCTCGGCCTCAGGGTCACCCAAATTTTCTGCTCGAGGGACAAGATCCGCGCCTTCTTACGCCGGTTTCATTGGATCCTGACCTGCTTTACCAAGACCTTCACGGTCAGGAAGGCGACCATAGGACGATGCAAGCCGACCATCACGATAGCGGCAGGAGCAGAAAGGGCAAGGAAAAAGAAGAGGAAGAAGGACGGGGAAAAGGAAAGGGAAAGGGCAAGAAACAACCTGACAGTCAAAGTCAAAGCTCTTCTTCCACGGAGTCGCTTTCCACGGAGTCGCTTGAACAGCCAAGCTGGGCGGCCCACAAGCTCTTGGCCTCGATTGAGTCGACTTCCGGCCTAGACCAAGCCTCCATCGACATCGACGATCTCATCAAGAAGCGTCTTGAGTTTTTGAAAAATACCGACGCGCATCAGCGGAGAGAGCTTGGTCTTCCTTCCCGATTGGATCATGACATTCTCGCCTGCATGAAGGCGAAGAATCCGCCAAATTGGCAGACCAATCAGCCAAAAACGCAAAGTCAGTTCGAGAAAGACCGCAAACATGCCAAGAGGCTAGTTAAATTTGCCGAAAGTCTGTTGGAAACACCTGATCTGACGCCAGATGTGTTTGACTTGTGCAAGAAGGTGACAACTGCGTCGGCGAATGCAAAGGGAGAACCAAAAGCAAAGTCGAAAGGGCATTGGAGAAAATACGACTCGCGCAAGCGTAAAGCGCAAGGCCTGCCCAGCATAGAGGACTTGTCTGAAATGGAGACGATCCTGTTTGGAGGCCCAAGAACAAAGCCGCCCAAATCGAATGAAGAGAGCGAAGAAGGACGTAGAACCGCCGGCAAGGTGTTGGACCGCGCATTGGCAAGGTTGAAGCACAACAAACCTCTCAGCCTTGAATCTGCCCGACCTCGACTGTTAAATATTTGCAGTGAAATTATGGAGCGACGTGACGGAGAGCTTGCAAGGAAACGGCAATATAAACGAACAGAAGCAAATCGATAATGCGATATGTCGTCCTCAGTAATCGTCGTGCTCACGAGCCTGCGGCGAGTTCTACAACGCGATCCCTGAATTCAGGTTTTTTCTCGATCACACATGTCTGCCCTTTTCAGAGATCAATTATTAGCAACTGTTGTCTACATGCAGTAATATCATGACGCGACGGGAGGCAGTCCTAGGACAGAAACGGAAAAATGCTACCAAACGAGGCGTGTCAAGAATGCCAACCGTCGTCTTGCGAGATGATCTCGCTCAGGCACCACCGCTCCAGAGTAATTTGCCAACGATGTTCTCTGCTAAATTTCTTGTCAATGAAAGGTCTCGAATTATGCACTATGCAAGAGATGATAACCTATGGGAGAAAGCAAGACATGCATTTTTGCTCCTTTTTAAAGAATATCTAGCTATATCTCCCCGACACGGGCAATGTTCCGAGTTCTGCACAGTCTTTGACGTTGCTGCTTGCTCGACCGACTTTTTTTTTCACCGCCTAATCAAGCACCCTCCGGCTGCTGCTTGTTTAAGCCCAAGCTGTGTACAGATGCAAGGACATGAGGGCTCTCCTTGGGCTGTTGTATACTCGGTCCGAACTCTGCACCGAAACTAGCTCCACGAACTGAGGGCGCCCTGAAGCGTAAGAGACGCCACAAGCGCCATTTACAAATTCCTCCTCTTCCAGCCTCCACAGCATAAAGGGAAATTGCTGAGCAGAGCATAGCTCTTTCTTTGTCTTTCACCCGAACAACCAACTTTGGAAAGATGCTGCTATTCTTCTTTCTCTTCGTGATCTTCGCTCTGTCTACAGCTGCAGCTCCTCCTCCTCCAAAGGTTTTGCACACGGGTCAGCCATCCAACTCGCCGTCATCAGCTTCGCCGAACACAGCTGCATCATTCGAGTCCTGGCTGGGTCATGCTGACCAAGAAGACCTATACAGTCTGGTCGCTCAGGGGTATCAGCAGCACGAAACATCCGAAAAAACTGGCGTGCATTTCCCACCACCGTCTCACCAGCAACCTCGCTCTGACCCGTATGCCTATCAGGCTCCCAATCCTCGCCATACGCCCGGGGACTATGAATCGCATGATCACCCGCAGTCTTATTCAGAGCCCAGCCAGTCAGCCGACGCTCAATTCGATCTCCAAGGACATCTGGGCGTTGCTGATCACTACCAGCAAGCGCCTGAACATCTTGGCTTGCAGGCAAGCCGACATTACCAACAGCTTAGTCAGCTCCATCGACAGTACAGCCAGGTTCAACCTGGCACCCGTGGTGGTCCGGCTGGCTTCTACGGCTCGTTTAGCGAGGGGGAGACTCATGGGCAAATTGACCCACAGCTTCACCAACGTTTTCAACAGCATGATCCACCTCAAATCGGCATACATGGTCGGCCAGGGAACTTCTACTGTTCGAATAGTGATAATGCTCGATTCCAGAGTCATCATCGGCATCAACAGCTCAATCCGCTCGGAGATGGTGGATGGAATGCGCACCTTTCTGCGCCATCTTCAGAAAATCTTGCGCTCTTTGATCAACGCCTTTGCGGTCATGGAGGCGATCATGAGAAGAGGCCACTTGAACGCCACGAGAGGGACAGAAAGGGAAAAGGCAAGGCAAAGGAAGGATTGCGTCGTCACAGTCAAAGTCAAAGTACCCCACCTACAAAGACGCCCGATCAGCCAGTCTATGAGGCGTCTGCGAATCAACACCTTTCTCTCATGTCTTCGAATGGATCGACTTTCAGCCCACATCAAGAGTCCAGCGAGATTGACGACTTAATCGAGAAACGTCTTCGTTATTTGAAAAACTCCGACGCTTATCAGCGCAGGGAATGCGGCCTTCCTGACAAAGAGGATCATACCTTTCTCTTCCGCTTGCGGGAAGTGAGGGACAAACACCCGTCTGACTGGAGGGAGCCCTCGGATCCAAAAACGGAAGCCGAATTTGAGGAAAAACGTATGGAGGCTGTGGAGCTGGTTGAGGTTGCCCGTGATCTGATCAAGAAAGCTAATCTGCCGCCAGAGGTCTTAGAAGTCTGCTGGAGGGTGGTAAGCGCATCGAAATTGGCAAAAATGAGCGTTCAAAAAATGTCCGACGTGGTTCAGTCCGATTCATACGGCAAGACGCGTGCAGCGCGAGGCCTGCCCGGCATAATTGGACTGAAGAGGATGGAAGAGATCTTATTTGGACGGCCAACAACGAGCCAGGATAGCCATGAAAGAGGCAGAACTCCAGGCAACGTACTCGACCTCGCATTGAAACGGTTGAAGAACAACGAACCTCTCATCCTGGAGGAAGCCCGGGGTGAGCTGATGTCTATCTGTACACGGCTTATCAGCGGACGGGAAGAGCACCTACGAAAAAAGCGGAGATCGACGCGTCGTTATCGTTCGAGAGTGTCTGGCTCAAGCACCACTGCTACAAAGTAATCTGCCGACGTTGCCAGCTATGATCTCCGTAGCAATATGGTGTCGAGAATGGTGCACCACGGTACAG